GAAGGACGACAAGAAGAAGGACGATAAGGAGAAGGACGACAAGAAGGATGATAAGTCTGACAAGGATGACAAGTCTGACAAGAGTGACAAGACTGAAAAGACTGAAAAGATCCACAAGGAGAAGGATGACAAGGAGAAGGATGACAAGGAGAAGGATGACAAGAAGGATGACAAGAAGGATGACAAGAAGGATGACAAGGAAAAGTCGGATAAGACTGATAAGTCTGACAAATCTGACAAGAGTGACAAGACCAAAAAGACTGAAAAGGATGATAAGGAGAAGGACAACAAGGAGAAGGATGACAAGGAGAAGTCAGATAAGACTGAAAAGTCTGACAAGGATGACAAGGACAAGTCCGATAAGTCTGAAAAGGAGAAGAGTGATAAGGACGAATCAGACAAGAAGGACAAGTCTGACAAGGACAAGAGCAGCAAAGCCTGCAACGACAGCTCCCTCCTCGACATCCTCAAGAAGCGCGGCCAGGAAGGCCACTACGCCTGCAACGATGACCAACTCACCAACGTGTTGAAGGGCCGCAGTGAAAAGGGCCAGTTTGTCTGCGAAGACAGCCACCTCATCGAGATCCTCAAGAAGCGCGGCGAAGAGGGCCAGAAGAAATGCAACGACGACCACCTTTTGGGAATTCTGAAGCGTGGTGGCAGCGGCAAGTGCACCTGTGATGATGGCCATCTGCTCACCATCCTGAAGAAGCGTGACGAGACTGCCGGTTTCAAGGTCAGCGCGGTTCGTTCCCTTTAAATCGAGTGGGTATACGATCAGTGGGGGGATTGGTGTTGGTAAAAGTTTTGGTTTTGATGCATCGTATTATATTGCTATGATGCGATCATATGGCTTAATGTGTAATAATCTGATTTTGTTGAAATACTGATTCCATGAAATTAGTCATGGTAATCACCTTTATATAGTAGTCGAAGAGAAAAATCTGAATAAATGTAATGTTGCAGGAGAATATATAATGTTGTTGCGGTGCGCTTTTCTATATCTATCGTATCTAAACCACAATGATACCAACAACTTCTAAAGTTAAGCATCCCTCATCAAAGCAGAATGACGAGGCAGAATTCCCGCATTCTCAAAAGACCGGAAAGTATCAATCCAAGTATCATAGGTGTTGTCAACACGGCCCCATCCATACGTCCTAGCCTTGTTCACCGACGAAATGGTCGGCCACGACTTACCCATGGCCCAGTTGAAGAAGCCCCAAGTGCCCCAGTCAAAGGCTTCGACATTTCCACCGTACTTCTGAACCACTCTCTCCCAGACGGGGCGCTTGTCTTTGGCCCATTCCATCATGTCGAATTCGTTGCTGAGTGTTTCTGCCTGACCGACTGCTTTTTGAAAGTTGGGTTCGGGGACCTGGGGTTTGTTAGTTGAGCTCGTTAATTTGGAAAAAGAATTGGTGCTCACCTCAAGACCAAAGTATTTGCCAATCGCGGGCCAGAAGTACTTCCAAACAAAGATATCGCCATTAGAGTGGTTGAAAGCTTCATCCTTGCACTGTTCCTGGGTGGTAGCCCAAACGGACAAATCGGCCAGACTAGGCGAGTAGGAACTGTCGTCGATTGATGTCCAAAAGTATTCATTCCCGGGGAACATGCCAGAGTCACCGAGTTCTCGACAGATGAGGAAGTACATGGCCATGGTCAAGGCCTCGGACATTCCGTTTGCTAGGAAGTATTAGCATACGCGACCGTGGACAAAGCAGGTATACAGACCGTGTGGAGTAAATCCGATGATAGCATTTGGGCGGATGATGTTGTATGACCAGGTGTTACGTCGCTTCTGGACTTCAAACATGTAGTCCTCCTGGGTGTAATAGAAGTTGTAACCTTCGTCGTTGTAGCGAGGGATGGATTCATCCAGGGGAACCTTGACAGGTCCCAAGTGCACACCGTAATGCTGTTCATGTCAGGCATTGAAGCTATAAAGATAATATGCACAGGACATACCTTTCCACCAGTCTGCAGACATACTCGTTGCAGATCAGGACAAACGGTATCCATCGCATCGATAAAGTTCCTGAACAAGGGAACGTTCTTCTCCTTGAGGACTCTGAAGTCATTGTGATGAACATAAGATGTGAAATAAGCATGTGTAACATCTTTGCAGATGTCCTTCAGCTCGTCCACGATTGTCTCCAGAGGATCGAGAAAGTCGACAGCGACAAACTCGATGCGAGGGTCGATCCAATAATTCCCCAGAGGTCGACGAGAGGAAATGACAATCTTGGACCTTTATATATTCAGCATAAATTCAAAGAAGAAGATCTTGAATAGGCACTTACCAGTCCTCTTTGGATGTTCGGATCAGATGCTCCACGATAGCATGTCCACTGATGCCATTGGCACCAGTCACGAATGCAACTTTGCCCTTGGGGATACCCATGATGAATGCTGATTACTTGATTATGAAACTTGAAAGACTGGATACTCTGATCAAGCTTGGTCTTAAGCTGTCATCTATCGTCCTTTTATATCTAGGCCATAGTAAATATTCTCAACTGCCAGTCGATCAATATCTATATTGGGTAGGCGTCAACCGGAATAACGGCAATGCGCAATTATAACGTATGTATGCAAAGTTAATTTCCATTACATACCAGGTATCCATTACACATAGTGCCGATATGAACCAATGGTAGCTCGGGTATTCGTTACCCGCTAGTAAAATCTGCAAAATACCTCTTACTAATTGCAAAAGTCTGTTGCAAATTGCGCTTCAAGTGAAAATTGCATCTTGTTGCTTATTCTCAAATGCCCGGAAAACGGAAACTGAAACAATGCAGTCGTATGTCATGCGATATTATTATTTATCTTAAGGGTATCTGGCAGCATAAATTTCTGTGGCGGCTTGAAAGGGTAAATCACGGGCCAGGCCAACACCAATCCAATGGAGTTCAGGTAGTCTCGGAGATGCAGTGGTTGATAGAAGACCCATCGCTTCTAGAATCGGCTTGATGCAAGTGCGTGATAGCCATCTGAGAAAAGAACCCGAAAGTGAAGTTTGGTCAAGGGGTACCGTTGTCTGTTCATCACAAAATAGACCATGTTGACTCCGTTTCTGGACAATGTCAACATCTACTTTGCGCAACGGCACGTTTGAGACGCCTGACTTCGAGACAATAATAGCATCACTTCGTATTTCGGTGATGTTGACAATAATTATAACTGATTCCCCGGCGAAATGCTGAAGTTCGCCGGCGGTAAGACCTAATAGAAACCGATCATGGCTCGGTAATTGTCGGATGGTGGAAATGCAATCATCCAACTCTTGGGAAACAGCTAGACGACGCCTAATGAGCCCCTGCTGGATGTGCGGTAGGCGGCTATGCGGAATCTGCTGGTTGATTTCTCTGCGCAGAGCGATGAATGTAGAAGTTATCTCAGGGTACCAGACCCTTAACTCGGCCAGATCCGCTGTATCCTTGGCCTGCAAGGCTGTAATACTTCCATAGCCGAGTTCGAGAAGTTCAAGTGTGGTTTCAGGTGTAGAGCCGTTTTCGAGCTGGACAGAGCAGGCATCGGCGATGAAATCAGAGAGGTAAGTAGTGACTTTTTGTTCAATTGCATCCTGTGTATTATGGCTATCCAGGAATGGAACGAGATCAATTCCTTGTTTCGACACATCACTTGCTCTAGTCCAGTCTTGTGATTGTCGTAGAATATGGAAAGCATCAATCGCTGCTAACAGGCGAATCGAGGGTTGACTGCTTTGACAGGCAATCGTTTCCAAGAAGCAATCTAAAGAGGCATTACTATTGCATGCCTCTGGAAGTAAGTGATAGCAGGTTCCAAGTAAGTGAAGAAAGTTGGAGCGATCCGGATGATCCTCTGGAATTATGTTGAGAGCCTCCTTGACTTTGCTAGTAGCCTTTCTGAGGTCGTTTAGATCGCTGATCTCGTTGAAACGAATAAGAAGCCTCGTACTATATTCTTTCAGGAGCTCGGGTCTGTCCATCTGTTGTACCGAACTGCCCATGGCAGATTCGTAGGTTACCTGAATGGCAGAATCTAGTTCTTCAAGAGAATTGGAAATTTCGTACAGTGTCTGGAGCCTAGACCCTAAAGCACGGAGCGTCCGCCAGTAGTTGGGATTATCTCTGGGAGTCACGGCGGTTGCCTCCTTCGCAAATTCAATGCTTTTGTGCAAGTCGTCGTGACTGCCTGTTTGGGTGTATCGCTTTTCCATTTTGCCGGAGATGCTGCACAATATTATCCCCACGCTTTCATCACCCGGAATTGTTGCATCCCTCGCATCATTCGTCCTGCGAATAGCTTCATCGAGATCATGCGTGTGTTGGCTCTGAATAAACCGTCGTTCGAATCTATCGCCCAGATTTAGTATAGTTATTACTAAATCCCCGTGGTTCTTGGGGATTGTCGCCAAAACCAATTCAGTCATTTCAATGGAAGCGTTCAGATCCTCGACATTACCCGTCAAAGAGGACCTGGTATCCAGCAAAGATGCCAGATGAATTTGTCTCTGCCATGGATCATCACTGTGCATTTGTAATGCCATTTCCAAACACCCAACTGCATCCTGAATATCTTCAATCCTCCCGGTCTGTCCAAACCTCAATTCCAACCTATCGCTTATCACAGAAAGCAGTGATCCAAGATGACTGAATCGCTCTCCCGACGTTTCTGTGCTGAAGACAAGGATTCGAGCTGCTTCCATCAATATCCCAATGTTGGGAGACCATTCAACTGCTCTGCCAATCAACACTCTCGGTCGGTCGATAGAACTCGATGAATCTGGGAAAACGGTGACAATTATATCTAGCGACTGTTTTGCCATCTCCGCTGCCTTCTCGAGGTGATCGAGTTGTTTCGTCTGTTGATAACGAGCCGCTAGGTTTCCGCATCGATTGGCGAGATAACTCGCTTGGCGAAGGTTATCATTTGGGGTATCCGTACTCGTAATTTCTGTCGGAGGTATTTGTGTATAGTAGATCGGAGGTACCGGATTGGAAAGCTGGAAGTCATCTTCAAGAGGTTCCATCGTGTGTTCGTATCGAAGCTGTCCTGCTGTCCCCCGACGTGCCATTCCACCACCCCAGAGGTTTCGATCGCTGCGCGGGGCGCTTCATCAAACGACGGCTATGGTTGACTTGCAATTTACAATGGCATTGGCTCATCACATCATAAACTGGTGGACCCAGCGATGGTGATGCTGCATGTTGACGATGTCGGTGTGAAGGCGGGGAAACGCGGGCGATAAAGGGAGGGAGGGCCCTAGACCTAAGCCCTATACCCTAGGTTCACCTTGATTGGTAAAGGGAAACAACGTAAGCTGAAACATTCGCTTTTAATCTAATAACTTGGTCTAATACAATCTAACATCTAATTTCGAAATGTACAGGAATGTTGTGCTATCTATAAACCGCCTCTGGCTTAGTCGCTCTTCGCATCCTCCTTGATCAAGTCCGATGCCCGCTCTGCCACGGCATAAAGCGTGCTAACCAAGTGACCACAGACCTGGAAGGGCAGAACTGAGGCATCGACGACTCTCACGTTGCTGGTTCCATAAACACGGAGACGGCTGTCGACAACACCGCCATCCGAGCGGGGCATCATAGCGGCGGTTCCCACGGGGTGGAAGTTGGAGCGGTCTATTCAAGTTAGTTTTGATGTTATATACAACAACGGAGAAAGATGACATACAGTTGCCCTTGACCCAGTCAGCCCAGACATCCTCAGAAGCTCCCTGAGGAACTGCCTCGAAACCGGGAGCGGTCTCAGTCTGAACCAGCTGCTTCAACGGCGCAGTCTGGAAGATCCGTCGAATATACTTGGCGATGCCGACCTGGCTGCTAATATCCCAGCCAAACATGCCAAAGTTGGGGTTAATCCTAGCCTGAACGGAGGCGTTGGAAGAGGTGATGTGAATGTTGCCACGGGCAAATGGGAGGAGACCCCAGTACTCGGAGGCGATTTCCTTGGTACCGCTAGCGTACATGAGGATTTCGGCGATGGGGGCTTGGCTCTTGACGATGATGTCGTATTGGAGTTCGAAGAGACGCTGGAGGACTTCCTTCTTCATGATGCCGTTGCTGACGTCTGCGGCGGCGGCGGCGTAGTCTGCGAGCTTGGCCTTGAGCGAGGAGGTGATGGATGAGGTTTCGTTGCCGAAAACATCAGTGACCGAGGGGTAGGCGACGGTCTTTGCGCTGGTGAGGGCTGTGTATCCGTTGGCACCGAGGTGTCCGTTGATCTGATCCTGGAGGTTCTCTCCGACGGTAGGGAGGTCGACTTGAACGGGAATGTTGAGTTTGTTGAGGATGCTATTCGAGTCAGTGGAGAATAATCGATGAAAGTGGATGAACATACCTTGGGTTTCCAACACCCGAAAGCTCCAGAAGAGCAGGGGACTTGAGAGCACCAGCAGAGATAATGACCTCGTTCTTTGCGTGCACGGTGCTGACAGTTCCGTTGGCGGATGTGATCTCCACGCCCTCTGCGGTGGCCTCGTCGCCACTCTGGCTCTTCCAGATAAGACGGTTGGCATTGGTGTTCATCAAAACGTGGAGGTTTTTCCTGCTCTGATACGGCCAGTAGTACGCACGAGCAGCATCCTCGCGAACATACTCGGCATAGTTGATAGTCGAGGGGAAGATATTCCAGCCGCGCATCTTGCCCGTGTTGACATCCTCCGTCCATGGGACACCGGTGTTCTGGAAAGTGCGGTTCAGGGTGGTGGTGAAGTTGCTGGGCTCCATCTTCAAGAAGCCCACATGCTGTGGTCCCTCTTCGCCATAGACGGAAGAGTCATATGAGGCACCAGCGGCGACCTGGACGGTAGTGGGGACAGTGAGGTTCTGGCTCTTCTCGTAGTAGGGGAGGAGGCTTTTCCATGTCCAGCCTTCGTTGCCAATCTGTTCCCAGGCGTCGATCTGCACGTCTTCGGCACGGGTGTAGGCCATGCCTATTATGTGTCAGTGCTATGCAGCATCAGAAAGAGTGTCAATACGTACCGTTGATAGTGCTAGTTCCTCCAAGAGCCTTTCCGGCACGCAGAACCTGTTGCGCACCACCGGCATGGGTCTGGTTCACGGTCTCATACTGCCAGTCAATGGCACTACCGAACGACAACCCATAACCCTCCGCATTGGTAACATCGTCATCATGAAGAACCGACGCACCAGCCTCGATCACAAGAACAGACACATCCGAGGCCTCCGACAACCGGTTCGCCACGACCAGACCACTAGTACCACCTCCCACGACGATATAGTCGTACGTAGGCGCATTAGCGCCGTGCGGGACAGCCGCAACAGTAGACAAAACACCAAGCAAAGGCAAGAAGATCATATTGAAGACGATGCGAAGGAGCTTGAGATCGAACACCACAGAAAGACCCTGATCGACAGGTTTATATATAAGTCTAAATTTCTAAAAGTAGCGTCATATTTTTTTTCCCTGGCGCAATCTTGGCTCCGTATCAGACCACAATTAGGTTTGTCAGATTTAATATACGATGTGATCGCATAATGCTCTTGTAAGCAAATGCCCAGCATAATAAATGAAGGATTGTTTCACTAGTGGAGTGTGGGATGGACGTTTAAGACTGAGAGATTGATATGATAAGATGGCAGTGCAGAAAAAAGTTTAGGCTATACTAGATGCAGGTGAGGTGAAGAGTAACATTAGTCACAGCATCATTTATCATCAATTCATAAGCATCGAAAATAGACACCAAGGTTTCTATACGAAGACGAGATAGAAGCCGAGACTGCGGCATCATTCCGCTCCGACCATCGGCATGCCGATCGGTGTTGTTCCGTTTACTTTCCACACAGTTCTGTCAGCATCGGGCCGAAATAACTACGGTAATCTTATTTATTTGATAGAGTTTCGCTCTTTGTTCTTTAATATCTCTGATGATACCTTGGAGACTCAGAATGTCTTGAATATATATTAAGCACTGCAGGGATGTGCTATTGAAGCAAAACACACACACTCATTTTGACGAATTTCGACACACCAGATGATCAGATCAGCACCACCCCCCGATCATTCGATGCACTTCAAGAAATCCTTCGTTCGAATCCTTCGAGGAAACCCTACCACGGAATTGGGAATTGGTCGCTTCCATAGTTGAAGAAATCAATCTCCTAGTTGACCAGGATTAAATCCTTCGCGCCGAGTCCAGCATTCTGGAATTTGCGATGGAACTAGCGTGCTTACACTTAATTTATGGAACGCACACGCTGGTCGCTGATAAATGATACTGAAGATACCCACCTGAACACAAACGCAAACAAACAATATTAAAAATAATTAAACCTCCTGTCTTATCTTCAGTCTTCACACTTGACACAGTGTCAGAAACATCCTGTCTCACTCCGTTGCACCCATCTCCACCGCCACAAAAGCACCCCATCCCGTCTCTGTCAACTGATCGACACTGTCGACGTACGACTGTAATCTTAATCCTCCTGCAAGTCTCCCAACACGCCCGAAGCCACGACATCGGCATTCAATGCTCATTCGGTGATCAATCATCAGTCAATCAAGCCAATACTTTTCTCTTAACTTTTCGCTTCGAGCCGTCTAGTCTCGTGGAGCTGTCTTGTCTGTCAATCCGGTTATAATGCGACGATCACATCCACCGTCTAGTGTTGGCGGTACTAAGGACTAGTTTTTCGCGGATCGCCTTCCGTACGCGATAGTCGAAATGGGTCATGGATATTGGATTTGAATGGAATGTTAGACGGAGTATTCTTTAGTATATCCGAGGCTACTGTTCGGACATCGGATGACGGGAGAAATGGTCCAACGGATAGATAGATAGTGGAAGATGCCTATTTGATAACTATGTATATTAATGCAACCTGGTCTTTGCGTTTAGGAGACTATACACGCACTACTGTGGTTTTCGGGATTTCTCGGACTGTCATGGAGATTAGCTTTGGGGGCTGATGGACATTGTTATAGACTGTACAGTTGTTGAAGTCAATGTGATGTGTCAGTTATAGATTGAATGTAAATGACAATTAAGCTCATCATCATATTAAAAATTTACAATCAATATACATAACCAAAATAACCCCCAAGTCCAACATGTACCTAGATACCGCATACGCCCATCCCTAAATCTCAAAGCCTGATAAAACATAAATCAGGTCTTCCAGCCACATAGAAAATCATGGGTATAAGAAAGAAACAGAACAAAAGAAACAAGATATATATACATCAGTTGTAGAGCGTAGCCTCTCAATCACCGATGAGACATACGCGATTCCCACTCGCGCGGGGGAGACGAAGAGTTAGTCGTCGCCTCCTCAGCAGGCCACGGCTCGCTTTGCACCACCGTCTCCGAAACAACCGTGATATCCTTGTTGGGCTGGCCGTTTTCGCCCGCGCCGAGGATGTGTTCGTCGCTTCCCCAGGCGGACGCACCGGGGTTATACGTAGCCGGGGCTTTGGACTTTGTGGTCTTGTCGCGGTTGGTGAGGGTTCCGAGGCCGTGGGAGGAGAGATGGTAGCTTTGGGATTGTTTGCCGCTGGTGCTGAAGAGGACGCTGAGACCGATTTTGCTGGCGCAGCGGCGGAGGAGCGGTTGGATGATGGGGAGGTTGGAGACGACGATTGCGACAAAGGTTTCGCGGCAGGCCCATTTGCTTCCTGCGACGGCGCCGTCGGGACCGGACTGTGCTTGTTAGATAGATGTTGGATGGGGGTGGTGGTGGACTTACAGTGGCAATGGTGACGGCACGGATGATGGCTGCTGTGATGACGAAAGCAGCACCGCTGAAGAGGGCCATGAGGGGGATCTTTCTTCGGAGACCGATGTTGACGGTCCAGAGGAGCTGGGGATGTTAGTTGGATATGAGACAGGGTGGGGAGGGTGCATACCGGAAGAGGAATGGAGAGAAGGTAGATATCCGTGAGGACATTGGGAATGACGACAATCAAAACATAGAGCAGCGATCTGGTGGGTTGGCAGATATCTATACACGTCAGTTATCACCTTCAACAAGATAGATCGTATAGAACTCACTGCCTGGGTCCGGGTTGATCTGCCAGTACTTGTGGATCGGCTGGCATCCCAGAACAATACTCAACCCGGTGACAAGATAAGTCACCGCCAGAATGATATATCCAATTCTCACACGCAGAGGCAGGTTCTGCAACCCCGTCGTCAACCGCGAGTAAAAGACCGCCAGCGAGGCCTTGACCAGCCACAGAATCATCGCATACAGCGACCACCCAATAACCTGGATCTTGGAACCGGCGACTCTATCGGCCCATTCCTTCGAGTTGGGGTCGAGGGTGGCGCGTTGCTCGTCGGTCATGTAACTATTCGTGAGACCGTTGAATTTGGCCTTGACGAGATATGCGGCGACGGTTTCGAGGGTGAAGACGACCTGATGTTGGTTAGTATAGCTGCATGCTGCATGTGTATCCAGACCAACTTACCCCCGCCAAAGGCATCAAGTAGTCATCGAGCTGAAAGTTGGATGGGCCGACAAGAGACCAGCGCACACCGATCCGGATGATTATGACGGCCAAGGCGATGGATAGTAGAATCCACGCTTCCACCGATCCGTCAGCAGCCATGATAGTATGGTGGATAGAAAGATGTCTCGGTATAGCAAGTGAAGAACGGAAGCAAAAAACGGGAGTTGCTGAAGATTAAAAAAAAAAAAAAAAAAGTCCAAAAAGGTCGACCCCAGGAGACGAGCGAGTCTGAAAGGGCCTGAGACGGTCTAGCGTTCACGTTGATTGCCCATTTTCCAGACTATAGTAGCGTTCCGCACTCTTCTCCTGCCTGAGCGCTGTTCCCCTCGCCATCCCGAGTCCCAGGACGCGAAGAATGATTGCTCAACGGTCCCATTGATCATCAAGCCATGCAGATTCTTCCCGGTGCGCAGGAGACGAGAAAGCCACCAGGTGATCGACGGGGCTCTTGCATATCCAGCGCAGAACATCCCAGCCAATCAGGGCTTGCAAAGATCCGCACCGCGATGGTTGATCCAGCGTCCTTGGGCCATGTGGACTGGGCCCCACTCGCTTATTTAGCGTGGTCGGTTTCGGTAATTGCGAAGACTAGCGGGGCGGGTTGCCATCCGCCAAGGGTTGCCTGCCCGCGCTAGTCTGGTTAGCGGGCGCCACTGACTTGTCCGGCCAATCACAGCCACAAGGCTAAAGGACAGGCGGGAAATCCCCGTGCTCCTGCGCCCCACCCGGCTTGCGCCGTCAATGATGTGAAACAGGGAGTGGTTGATGGCAGACGCCCCACTGGATCCGGGGGGGACAATTAACAATAGCATTCAGGGAAATGGCGATTATTGCAGGCTGTCCAGAGTCTATTGAGGGGAAAAGTTTAACCCCTGAAGGGTGCGAGATCAAGTCAATCTTAATCTGTTCCATTTATGGAATTTCCGGCCATATTGGTTGAGACGCAATCTCCCTTTGAGTTCTGACTCATGCCACCACTGACAGCCGTCGTCCTCAACACAGTCCAGTTCCTGTGACCTTCCTCCACTCTGTAACGGGGGAGTCGGAAGGGAGTCTCTTCCGGCCCACTCTCTGTATTGTGATTGGTGCGGACACGACCTTCCGGCGTCTTTTAGGCTTGACACGGCATCATCACCGTTGAGAGTTGGAGGAGAAGCGCTCGTGCGTTGGGCAGAAGGAAGTAGTGTGTATGCAGGCCATCAATAACCCAGTCAGACCCCCTGCTCGTGGTATAGAAAGGCCCCTATTAGGCCGGCTTCCCCTGGTTTCTCCCATCTGTGCGATCTCGATCCTTCGAGAAGTTCTACTATATATTATTGCTTTTTCATCGTGTTGTCGTAATCTTCTTCTCACGTTGCTCTGGTTTAGCAATTTAGCAATTACCCTTTTTTGTCTTGCCATTATTGACCATGTCTCACTTTGACTTTATCGTGGTTGGGAGTGAGTATATAGTCGCAGTCGATCTGTTGCGTTGATTATATTAACATCGAAACCTAATTAGGTGGACCATCTGGCAGTGCCATTGCCGCTGGATTGGCAAACGCAGCCCAGCGCCCCAGCGTTCTCCTCCTCGAAGCCGGCTCCAAGAACGAAGATCGCAGCCTACGCGTTGACGGCAAGCGATGGTTGACCTTTCAGAACCAAGACATGAACTGGGGCTACAAGACGACGCCCCAGGAGGACTGCAACAACCGGGAGATCGACTACAGCCGCGGACGATGCGTGGGCGGATCCAGCGCCATCAACTTTGGCGTGTACAGCGTGGGCGCGCGCGATGACTACGAGGAATGGGCTCGCATTGCGGGCGACGACAGCTACAAGTGGACCAACATCCAGGCGCGACTGAAGGCGCTGGAGACCTTCCACGGGGAGATTCCTGCTGGGCTGGATGCAAAATACGCGGCTCCCAAGGCGGAAGACCATGGCTCGTCGGGCCCTTTGCATGTGGGCTTCTCGAAGGAGTGGGAGAGAGATCTGCCTCCGTTGCTGGATGTGTTTGAGGAGGCTGGCTTCCCTCTCAACCCGGACCACAACTCGGGCAATCCCATTGGCATGTCGGTGTTGATCAACTCGTCGTTCAAGGGCCTGCGGTCGACGGCGGCCGATCTGGTGGCTGCGCCATTGGATAACCTCACCATCGTGGCAGATGCCCCTGTGCAGCGCATCATCCTGGAGGGCAAGAAGGCCGTTGGTGTTGAGTCTAATGGAAAGCAGTGTATGTCCTCCCTATCCTATGTTATACCCGTACTGACGTACTGACCCTTTAGACCTCGCCTCCAAAGAAGTCATTCTGTCCGCTGGCTCGCTGAATGACCCCCGTATCCTCATGCACTCTGGTATCGGCCCTGCCGACCAGCTGGAGAAGTTCAACATCCCTCTCGTGCACTCCTCCCCAGCCATCGGTCAGGGTCTGCGTGACCACTGCTTCTGCCCCCTCGTCACGACCCGCAACGAGGGCAGCAACGACCGCAAGGCCTTCTACGGCGACAAGCAAGCGATGGAAACCGCCCTGAAACAATGGGAAGAAGAAGGCAGCGGGCCGTGGTCGAAATTCGCTTGCGAGCTGGGCATCGGCTGGTTCAAACTCGACAAACTCACTGCATCGCAAGAATTCAAAGACCTCCCCGCCGACGAGCAGAAATACCTCCTCCAAGAGACCGTCCCCCACTACGAGATCCTCACCCACTTCCCCGTCCACTGGTTCATCCCAGACTTCCCCGACGACGCCCTCAACTACTCCTGCCTGCTCGTCTTCTTCTTCAACGCCCAAACCCGCGGCGAAGTCACCCTGCAGTCGGCCGATCCCAACGCCCCTCTCCGCTTTGACCCCAAGTTCCTCGCGCACCCCTACGACCGTCGCGCTGCCATCGAAGCCCTCCGCGACTCGTTCCGCATCGCCAAACACGAGTCCTATACCAAGGACAACGTGGCGCAGCTGGCCGGGCCCAAGTCCGACTCGGACGAGGATCTGCTCGAGTACTGGCGCCAGAACATTTCTTCCAGCTGGCACATGACTGGTACGGTCAAGATGGGCAAGGTGGGCGATGCCGATGCTGCCGTCGACCCTGACTTCCGTCTGATCGGTATTGAGAATCTGCGTGTGGCTGATATGGCGGCTGTTCCTGTGCTGGTCAACTGCCACGTCCAGGCTGTGGCGTATGTTACCGGTGCTACTTGTGCGGAGAAGCTGATTAAGGAGTACAAGCTTAACTGAACAGCTGGTATGTTCAATAGTATATATACTATCTAATATATTATAAATAAACAAGCTTATTCATAATACTACGCCATCTTATTAAACGATTGTAGATCCGGGATATAAATTCTCCCAACCATGGAACGGCCTCACCACTCCGTACCAAGATAACAAAACAACGTCAGCAAAATGACCAAAATCTTCATGTACTCCCCCTCCCAGAAATTCCTCTATCCAAGCTCACCTTTTACCACCGGCATAAAAGGCTACATTGTCAGGAGAAAGTGGGAGAGACTGCAATAAAATTATGTAGATGGATAGTCACTGGAGATTAACCTGATATCGCTTTGCTAACGTGCACCATTTGAAATGCGTCTCTGTAAAAGCCAACAAGATAGAGGCAAACATCGCCCCATTCTGATCCTTCATTTTCATCTGCAGCTGCTGGGAGATATCCATCGCATCTAGAATATGCTTGTTGTGCATCAGACACACTGTTTGTGTAGTATCAAGCAGTGCTTGGTGATCCTGTCCCTGCAAAACCACGACAGCATTCATCAGCTCTCCCTCTTTCAGATCTTTATCCAGACCGACAAGATCATTCTGGAGCCCATTAACGGTGCAGACAGTCTTTTGTAGAAGGGCTAGTTCATCGAGATACTCGCTCGGATGGAAGATACTTCTAATCAAGACGAAGAAGGGATCAAGCCCGATGGTCCGATTCCGAATGCCCATGTACGTCTCGAGGGTATTCGGGAGATGACCTTGTCGGAAGGAGAATTCGTCAATTAAGCCTTGAAAAACACCATAGACAGCTTGCATGAGACTATCCGCGACGGTAGGGGATAGTTGTGAGCCGCAGTGATCTCGAAAGGCGTTGAGGATGAATCCAACTTGATCGTGGCCTATACTATCAGTATAAATAAACAGATGCATATACAGTACTCACCGTACTCACCAACACAAAGCGATTTATCTCGCTCAATCGTCCTTTCCAACGACGCCTGGGCAGCCTCCAACGGCATCAGCTCGAGTATATCATCGACAGCACACAGCGTCGCCAACCACGCCGCCATGCAAACCCGAATATTCTCCGGCCTGACATCAGGGAAGAAAAGGTTGATCGCCTCAACATCTGCGATACATCTTTCTGTAAGCTCAGAAGCGGTGGCGCCATCTGGATGAATGGATGATTTGAATTTGATATGCGACTGGGTGATGATCCGTGGAGAGGGGGTGTTTGCAGGGAGAATTCCATGCTGGAGGATTTTCAACTGTTGCGAGGATTAGAGAGAAATGGGACGCAGGGGTGAATGTACATTAAAAGATAGATCTGGTGTTTTTAGAGGAATCAGACAGGTTTTGATGTCTGGATTGGCCTGGGTTCGTTCGTATTCTTTGATTTGGCCGGTCATGTTGATGTTGTCGAATGTATGAAAGAGATGAGAAGTTAGTTTAAATAACTTGGACCATATATCTCTGAGCTGAGTGTTTATTCCATATCATAATGTCTAGACCTTTTCAGCTATCAGGTTGTACAATTAATATTCTATGAGGTAAATGCTGCTACATAGCTACGAGGAATGCTATCATCAATGCCACCCGGATGGCAATCTTCCGACACGACCTACTTTAAAGCAAGAATGATACACGAGATAGGAAATACAAATGTAGTCGGTGTGCAATATCCCTCACAAAGTATAGTATACAAGATTGTGAATCTGGCCTAAATAGGAAAGAGCCATGTAAGCAGGCAATGCCAGGGGTATCAGGATAGGAAAAGGTGCTACAAAACCAGACTATTCAAAGTGAAAGAGATATGGCAAACATGAGATATGGTATGTGCATAGTATCACAGAATCAAAGACAAGTAGAACCTGGAATTGCCAATCAAGCAAGGTTGGATGTTGTGTAACTGATAGTGATATACAAAGAGATTAGAGTTAAGGATGAGGAGGAAGGTCTGGCGAGGTTTCTACACCAATTCTATTCCTTGGAAGTTTATATTTTTAGTAGACTTTCTGCTAGATGAAGTATAAGGGTGATACTGCAGTTGATATATAGTTTAGAGATACACATATTATTACTCCAAAGGAAGTGCATGGTAGTCAAATCCCGTGGAAATATTATATTTTTAATTCGAGGGTACAGCGAGAGTTTGGTCATCCATTGATATTTTGCTAATAGAGGTTCCTGGAGTGTTCCATGGAACGAAATGGTCCGATAACTGTCTTTCCACAGATATAATCAGATTCCCACAACGCCATGATGAAAGACACTGTGGAACAGTCCAGTCCATAGCAGCCGCTCTATTTCGGATATGTTAAAAATGAACATGCAGAACATGCATTTGACTGTTTCTCAACTGGAGGCAGTGAAGACCTGCAGACCAATATCCAAATCAGTCCTAGTGCAGGTGACTGGGTGTACAGTTTCCGATTGGCTGCGTTTCAATTTAATATCAGCTACCATTGGCTAGTTTGCCCTACTAATTGCCCCAGGTTCTCTTGGCGTCGTCATTTCTGAATAGATCATTCATTGTCAAATGCACTCAATATCCAACCCAACCTTTTCTCAATACCCATTCTATATCCATCCTCACTCAACATGGGCTTCAACCTCGAACACACTGGTTGTGCAAGAGTCGAGAACAAGCGAGAAACAAGCTGCTGTTCCGGAGGTGCGGAGTCGGAAGGGGTTTAGAGAGAAGTGGGAGAGAGAAGGCTACTGGGGCTTGATTTGCCGTGCTGTGGATGATATTTATACCCGTCATGTGAATAATTTACACCATCTATTATCTATTTATCTATTATCTATCCTTTCTATTATCTCTATCAAGTACTTCTCTCACTAAACCGATCCCCAAACAGCTCTATATGCGGCCTCATCACAAGCGTATATTTGACAAACTCCTCCATACAATCCACCAATCGATCCCTATTCCCAGAATACACCAACCGCTCATCATCCGGCTGCCCCTGATCGGGAAAATGGGTATACGCGCGCGGAATCGACGACTGGTTCGGGATGGTGAACATGCGCATCCACCGACCCAGAATACGCAGCGAATTAACGGCGTTGAAGGACTGCGAGCCGCCGCAGACTTGGGCGATGGCGAGAGTGCGGCCTTGCGTTGGGCGCACGCTGTTGGTGGTGAGGGGGATCCAGTCGATTTGGTTTTTGAAAACGGCCGTCTGCGATTGTTAGTATGTATGTACTACTATGGGGTGGAAGGTGTACATACGAGATTTCCGTGCTGTTCGGGAGAAACCCAGACATGGCCGTCGCTCCAGATACTCAGATCACGGAGTTCTTGGACTTTGGGATGGGTGTGGTCTGTATCATTCTTCACGGGTAGACCGTCAGGGTTGAAGACGCGGACATCACAGCCAAGACGGAAGAGAATGCGGGATGCTTCGAATGCCACGAGGCGGGAGTACGATCGTGCACGCAGACTGCCGTAGAGAACGAGGACTTTTGGTCGGTCGCTGGTTTGGAGGTTCGTTTCTACCATGTCGAGGACGGTGGTTAATTCGAGGTTGTTGATCCAGTCATTGGTGTTTGTGTCGTTGAGGATGAAAGGTCGGTATTTTTGGCGGATGGCTTGGTCATCCTGGGCTTCTGGGATGGCGAAGGATCGACGGTCTGATATAGTTGACATGTTATATCTATATGGCAGTAGTCTAGGAGGGAGAAAGACCCTTTTTGGTCGAAGAGCGAACATTGTGTATAGATGAAGTGGAGGAAATGTGGTGTTGTAAATAAAATCAGAGCATGTCACTCCCGCATGCTGATTGGCTGATATAACCTCATTTTTCAACATTATAATGGAGATGAATCCACATAATCCATAAATATCGGACTAGTCACAACCTTCTCTCCACTCCATTCTCTGCCGACAAAATACACCGCATCACCGGTAACAGCAACATCGCCTTCAACCCGACGAGGGAGGGAAATATCGGGAATAGCCTCAACCCGCACAAACAATTCACAGCCGCCTTTTATTTCAATCGCCTTACCGCCAGGAACTTGAATCTCATCCCAGGATGCTTCAAGGGAGAATGTCGGTTGATGTTGATGGGGGTTTCCAGCCAACGCATCGCCAACTTTGACGTAGCCACCGATATTACCCGAAATGGCGATTGACGATGGCACGCCCGATGAAAAGTGTACATGAACACCGTCCGCATCACCGCTGGTATGACTGGAAAATGTGGCAGCCTGTGAGCCGGATTGGATAACCTGGTCTTCGGGATTATCTTCAATCCCACCAAACGGTTCAAGGCGGTCAATCACAGCTTCTGACAGCTCAATCCTGCCATTCCAGATTGCCTCTCGATACCGATCATAAAGTCGAGCTCCGCCCCAGGTAACTCGAAGAATGGACGGCGATTGCTGAGACTCAGACCAGAAGTGTCTGCTCCAGGCAAGCCCAGTTGTGTTGAGCGCTTCAATCGAAGCGAATCCCCTATCCCCAAGAAAGAGATACTCAAACTCCACAGGCTTGCCTTTGGGCCATGTAATCTCATCACCTTGGATAGCATCACCTCCCTTGACCTTGACTAAACCAACCAACCGCTGCCCCGTCGTAGCAAAAGTATGTCGAGAACGTAACGCAGCAGCAACATCACCACGCTCCAGCCTATCAGCCAAAACACCCGTTAGCCCTCCTCTTGTCCCAAACACTGCCGTCCCAGGAACACCACCACCGCATCGCCCACGATGCTCGTCAGAGTTGGCAGACACCCCCATCCTCCATCCCCGGGCGAGAGCATCACGAAGCAACCACTCAAACTGGCCCCAGGCACTGCCAATCTCAAGCAGTCGTTCGAGTCCTGGATGATGCCAGCTGAGATTGCACCGCCGCCCACCAACATGCGGGATGAGGAGATGCTTCTCCGTGTCTTGACCGTAGATGGCATACACTTCGTCCAGCGGCCACGCACCGGGGACGAGATCTTTCGGCCCATCCACCGACCACTCGAAAGAGCGCGCAACAGTGCCGTCTTGAGTAACGGGAAATGCAGGCGGGTTGGTTGTTGGATCATTCAAAAAGACAACATTATGGTCCCCTCCTGCCGCAGAGTTCCCGCACCATTCTGTGCCCGGGAAGATGACGAATTTACCAGGTTGATTGAGAGATTTGATCAGGTTGACTGTTGCTACCCAGCGTTCGTGCGTAATTTGAAAGTCGTTTGCTGTGTAGCCTAGGATGTCTAGGGCTGCGATGTCTCGTCCGTAGGTGAAGTTGTATAACGATGATTCTGTCCCGACTGTGTCGTCTGAATGGACATGCAGATCCCCAAAGAGGATTCTGGGAATAGACAGGTTGGAAGAGATGGTCAAGTGGGCAGTGTTTAGAAGATGGATTTTTCCATCGTCACTTTGGAACGTGATGGTGTAGGTGTAATCTCCATGCGGTAGAGTGAGGTTGTCGAATATGGTATTCGTCCATCCTTCGGCGGTTGATTGTCCAATAACATCACCCTTGATATCCAGCTCAAAGAAACCACGAATATCACGAGTTACATTCCCCCAGATATCCTCAGCATGAGCATGAATAGCGAATGCAACACCATCTCTCACCAATCTAGGCGAAACAAGCCCAAGTCTATACGGACTCCCCGCCACGACATCCCACGAAAGATCCTGAATAGGAGCAAACCGACTACCACGACTGTCAAAAAGCCACGAATGATAAATAAATGAAAAGAAAAACTCACGAAGTCCCAACTGGATCAATATAAAACCGCCATCTAAAATCCCTCTCCACAAAGCTCTGCACTCTCGTCCCTCGCCCCCCAAACCGACGATCCCCCAACCGGATCAAAATCACATCACCGGGATTTAAATACCCGTCGTGAATGTCAATAATAACAGCCTTCTGAAACGGCCTCTCATGGCCTTTTTGGTCAAACCGCACGCCCAACGACTGCACCGTAGCGGGCGTCTGTCCGGGAAGTAAAGGGCGGGGTATATACTCCGCGCTGATGAAATTATCTTTGGTACGATCTGAGGTTTGGAATAGAGCCCAGTCAGAGTAGAATTTAAAGGTGCCTTTGATCCAGGCGCCGTCTGCGAGACCGGATGCTCCGACTGTGTATTTGAGGGAGATTTCGGTCCATTCCCCTGCTGTTAGTGTGGTGGTGTCGCTGGTGATGGTTCCTAGGAAGGGGAGGGATTTTGTATATTCATACAGGCCTGTAGGGGCAAAATAGGGCCCTGCGAGCTGAAGCTGAGATTGAGTGAGATGCATTTTGATGCTGAAGATGAATTGTGAAGAATGAATGTATAAGTATGTACCCCGCGAGCACGCCATAGTAGGTTGATATTGCATTTTGAGAATCTGTATATTGAAACATTACGCATTTTCATCAACCTCAGGACGGGAATAACTTATATTAGTTAGTCAATCATGCTCTAGTCAGTATCAGGCAGATTCAAGTTAAACTGGGGTTCAACTAATATGGTCTGTTTGCCACTGGCGAAACAGTATCAACCACATATTGACGCAGTATATATTTCAAAATATATATTTAGACATTACTTTGATATTTTTGACAATTACGATATTTATTATCGAGTAAGCTGTAATCGAATATAGACAGAATAACCCAAGTGTATATTAAGTTCGTCTAGGAAATACATTGAACTATATAAATGAACTTATCCATAGAAGACGTCACGATGCCTTGCTATCAGATGCCTCACCAGAGAAAGACGATGGATAACTGCTCTGGTACATCAACACCCCTAGCAGAACTACAATAACCGATGCCTGCTACGGTTAGTATTGGATAAAAAGACACACAATTAACTCACCAGCGAAGCATCCAACCCCTCTGCAACATCCACATCCCACTCCAGCGTTTTCCCAGGGACATAAGCCGACAGCTTATCCGTCCTCTTGGCCGTCATCACCATCGCTCCGTTGACATAGACATTCGTCCGGAGTTTCCAGACATCCTGCCCACGGACTTCCAAAACGACCTCTTCCCCATTCGCCGCAGCATTGAGGAGATGAACGTCGAATTTATCCTTGAGGACGCTGGATCGTGTCGCGATCGTCGCGATGGGTTGCGCGTCTGTGTCGTCGCCGGGTAGCCTGACGTACCATGTCACGCCGGCTGATTTACGGGTGAGTTCGAAGAGGGGGAGACCGGATGCGTCGCGGAAGTGGCGGCGTTGACGCCATGAGGCGATGTGGCCGTCGACGGAGAATAGCTTTGTTGATGGTGTTTCTGAAGAGGTGGCGGTGTCTGGGGATGTTGAGATTGTAAAGTCCGCGCCGGAGAGGCTTTTATGCTGTGCCACGCGGAGAGATGTGGTGGATGTGGCGATGTGTTCTGGGCGGATGGCGACGGGTTGTTTGAGGGGGGTGACGTCTAGTTTGGCCATTTTGAAGTTATAGAATAGGAAAGGGTGATGCTATTCAGGAGGTAGTTTTAAACACTGAGTTACATAATCACTGTCTGCCCCGCATGGATCCCTATTGAGCAGACTGCAAATCATCATATGATGGGTTTATTAATAGATGATGCCATGGGGGCGATTCAATCCCCTTGGCTGTTGGGGGCCAATTCGGGTTTCGGAGATGTTCCGCCAAGTGTTATTGTTCCTGTTTCACGTGGAGTTTATACTACACCATTATATACCCACATCAAGTCCATGATTCATGTTAACTATCCTGTATTATCTACACTTTACTGTCAAAAATGAAAACACGACGCCTCCTCACCGAAGCATTCCCCGTCCTCTGGGCCATCGCATCCATCTTCATGGCCTGGAAAGCTCTCTGCGCACTCACCGGCACAGCACACCCCATCATGGTCGTCACCTCCGAGTCCATGTCACCGGCCTTTCACCGGGGCGATCTGATTCTCCTCTGGAACCGAAAGGAGCAAATCCAGGCAGGTGATATCCCTGTCGTCTGGTTTCCTGGCCGGCCATTACCGATGGTTCACCGTGCCATCAAGGTATCGCAGGATGTTGACAATCATGGTCTATCTAGGTAGGTAGGGAGCTGGGAGTATGCGGTTAGTGCTGACAGGGATAGACAAGTGATTCTGACAAAAGGCGATAATAACGTTGCGGATGACGTCGGGCTGTATCCTGGTCGACGGACGTTTGTGTATCGCGACGAGATCATCGGGTTAGTACGAGGCTATGTGCCTAGTCTTGGATGGGCGAGTTTGGTGGTGAAGACTTACCCGTGGGTGATGCAGGGGGCGAGTGTTGCTGTTGCGGTGGGAATGGTGTGCTGGATGGTATGACGGATTGTGTCCGTAAAAGCGGAATGAAGGATTACTGTGATATGACTGTTTGTAATTGGTATCAAGAGTAGTTTCTGAATCAGATGCTGTAGATCAAGTATACGAGATATACTCCGCCACCGACGATGTTACAGTCGGACCGTTGTTAAGGTCCGATGATGGCTACCCTAGCCATGTTGAATATCAGAAAGATCGACAGTAGCCAAGAACACTCGTGGAATTAACCTCACCTCATATGGCGTACCTTGCTCGTGGCTTCGACCCATCACCTTGGCTTGGGGGCTGTTTTTTTAAAAGGGTGCAGAATGACCCACTCTGTTTTGGCCCCAACGCCTTGCAACGTGCACTGCAGAATGCGGAAAGGAATCAGGCTATGTGGTGTCAGGGGTTTAGTGAATTCTTCTGATGTTGTCGTGACTCGTGTTGTTTGCTACTTGCCAGGTTAGATATCCTGTATCTAGATAATTTATTACTATGAGGTGTAGATTTAAGTCAATCGTAGGTATAGAGATACATCTGTATATTAGATATGAGACATGAATATACCGTCCCTCTTATCGAGGTCTAATGTGGAGAAGGAATGCGGGGATTTATGCAGTGATCACACTAACTTAATCTAGAAGGTCCATATAGGAGCATGAATCATGAAAGAATAAATAAAGAACCAAAACAGATAATATAATTGATAATCGAACCGGAAGCTAACTAAGCACTACCAATACATCCACCTCACAGACCCCATACGTACAACATCCAATCCCCTATCCATATAATATCTAATTACCATCAAAAATAGCCTGAAGACGATTCAAATCATCATCCGAAACCCCATTGTAGCTCAAAGCGTCAGAGCCTACCAAGTCAGTAACCGTCCAAACATAGCCAAAGAACAACTTACCAAGAGGCGTAGGACGCGGCTGGTTCGGATCCGTTCCGTCCCCGAGAATAACATTCGACAGAGTCATGCAGGAAGAGGGGACGTTGTCAATGCGGAACGCCCCCTTTCCACTGGGCGAGAATTTGACAGTCACGCCGTGCAATTGTTCCTTGCACTGGTTTCCGGCGGGTTGGGGGAGGTTGGCGAAGGGCTGATGTTTTGTCAGTAGACATTATTGGATTGAGAAGGGGATGGGTGACTTACGTCGTCAGCGCGAATGGTGTATTTGACAAAGTCACGCTTACTCTCGTTGTGGATTTTGTTGATGACACCGCCAGTGACTCCTCCCCAGGTTGAGCCCAGGACACCCATCAGGATGGGCTCGAGGACGGCTGCGGGAGGAGCAGGGCAGAAATCGACCATGGCAGTGAGGGCTGCGATGGCAGAGACGGCAGGGATAAAGGTCTTCATTTTGATAATGATATAGACTTGAATGCGAGAATGTATAGATGAATTGGGTTGTGAGTGGATGGGTGATGGAAACAGGAGGAAATGATGTTTATATACACGGATATCGTGATTACTATTCGTATTCAAGAAAGAGCAATATACGGGGTTGCTGAGAACCTCCTTGGTCACCAAATTGGGAATTCCGACTTACCATCATGCAACGGGGATGTACATGGGGGCCAAATGACTGGGAGTTGAGTGAGGCATTTCCTGATTGTATGTTGTTACTATTCAAAGTGGGTGATGCTACGCTTGGCTTCAATTTGGCCCCTTGTCTGAAGCTAAAGAATTGCCTCGTGATGCTATGGACGATGAAGGTTCTTAGTCTTCCAGATAGACCAGATAGTACCTTGCGAGTCACATCGGAGAGTATCCTGAGTCCGATTGCAAGCAGCCCCAAGACGGCATAATCAGATGATGCTATGGATTAAGGAATAGTGGAGCAGTCCCTGAATCATGCAATGCATACTGCCTCTAAGACAAGAAGTGGGGATATAAGGATATCAGGTACTTCTAATAATCCTTCGTAACCAACACAATAAAACGATTTCTATTGGCTATAAGTAGTCTGTGCTTAGATATGAAGACAATACCCTAGTCATTCTATCGATGATCTTCATGCAGTCTCTCCAGTCCAGGAAGGTCAACGACGGAACAGGCTATGTAGACATGATACTTGACCCACTTGATATGCCAATCCAATTTACGAAGTAGATACATACTGTTGGTTCTCTAATCATTCTGAATGGATGAATAAATGAATCAATCGCTCTTCTAGAACGAAATATCCGACACCGCAATGCAACGACTTGTATCTCTCCACTGACTATATTCATCAGCCAGGAATATCTTGGCTGTAGGATTCATACCCATGAATACTATCTAGAATGAATATGGCTCCAGTTTACGGCCCCAATATGAGTATCTCAATGCTCATGTGGTCAACGGCTTCATCGCTACCTTACCAAAGATACTATCGGATGACTGGATTGGATATTGCCTTGGTAGAGAAGAAATGCCTCATGCAATGAGGGATGATGGTAGAAGATGGAATTGAATAGGGGGATTGCAAAGATAAATAGCTGCTTCGTCTTCATCTGATTCTCCTCTCATCAGCAACTCTCACTGAAAACACCAAGCAACTCATTCCAACCCTCTTCCCACTTCACTTCAACTTCCAAAGCCAAAATGCACACCTTCAAGACCGCTGGAATGGCCACCCTGGCCGCCATCTCCCTCGTGCAATTCTGCCCTGCACCCCCCGCCATCATCGCCACCGTTGCTGGCGGTGTCCTCGGTGGAGGCATCTCCGGCGGCATCGGCGTTGCAGCCAGCAAGTCCAGCCGCGACATGTTCTCTCGCGGTCTTCCCGCGGGGGTCTCCCAGGAGTCGGTCGACCAGTGCACCCAGCAGATCAACGCGCAGAAGGATCCTGTGCATGTGTATGATACTGGTGATGACTGTACGTTTCCCATCTAGTATATGCTATATGATTACTGATGATTGATAGCCGCCCGCGCGGATAACGTTCCCGCTGCTTGTATGAATCTGGCTACGGTTCTTTTGAAAGAGCCCGCTCAGGCTGGTGGCCCTGTTCCCACTACTATGGGTAGTTCGAGTCTTGAATACCACGGTTTGAGTGCGCAGGATAAGAAGGATTTGCAGCAGGCTTTGTCTGGTTAGGATGGTGTTTCGATTGTGAATGTATGAGACTAGTGAGACTGTATTGTCAGATGGATGGGGGCTAGTTGGTTTGTATCTGAATGTGATTTTGTTGAATGGCATAACCGGAAGAAAATGGCATCGTATGCCCGATGCAGTCAGCCCCATGGCTGTTAAACCACAGTAGAGAGTGGGGCGTCCCTGAAAATGGGGGCCATGTCTAAATAAATCATGGGTATATATAGAGTAGCACTTATGATAAATCGCTGCTGTAACTTCTATCCAAGTTCTTAACTTCATGTCTTTGTTCATGCAAACACTCCCCATCTTCATCCCTATTTCATACTTTGCATTATCTGTTGGCGCCTTTTTCATCGCAACTACTGTTCAATCAAGATACCTCCTACCATTCATTCTACTCCCCTCCTATCTCTCATTCAGAACAGCAGACCACTGGCCCGGCGATGTGAGCAGTCTCTGGGGCCTTCTCATCTGTATCTGGGTCGCACATTCGACCTCATTCCTCTGGCTTGAAGACCCGGAAGTATGGGAGGAAACGAAACGCACCCACCACGGCAGAATAGCCAAATACATTCCAGTCAAGTACCATCGAGCATTGAAGCAGTGGAATAACCCACGTCTACTCGGGACAACCCGACAGTCGATTCCTGCATATGAGTACTCGCCATCAATACGCAGATTCACCATAACCCGCACTGCAAAACTACTTGCATACTGCACCGCATATACCTGGGGGAAGACACACATATTCCCAGCCTGGTTCATGCCCATCCAGTTCTCCGAATTTGACCCCTCCCACCAAGTCTACTTCAGACGACTCCTCTCCTCATCGACGCCCATTACCCCCCGCGAAACCCAAATGCGAGCCGTCTTCGTGCTGTGGTGGGCCTTCGCCGCAGTATCCATGCTAGACGCCGCGCACGCTGCCCTCTCTCTCATCGCCGTGCCACTCCTCCGTCTGGACACTCCATCCGAATGGCCACCGATTTTCGGCCTCCCAAGCAACGCGTGGAGTATGCGTCGTTTCTGGGGCCGATTCTGGCATCAGATTGTTGTGCGTCCGTATAAGAATCACGCTAAATGGCTGTCTCGGAGAATTATTGGTCTGCGCTCTGGATCAGGGGTGGATAAGGTAGTGGTTATATTTTTGATATTCCTGTTTTCGGGGGTTGCGCATGCGGGTGTGGCGTGGCAGTTGGGGGATCATTGTGGGTGGGGAGGGGATGTGTGGTGGTTTTGTATGAATTTTGTGGCTGGGGCTGTTGAGGTTGTCATTCTAAAGATGGTGAATATTGTTATGCAGAGGTGTGGACAGAAGGCAAGATGGGAGAGACTGAGAGGAGGGCTTTTGGGAAGAGCGTTTGGATATATGTGGGTGTTTGGATTCTTGTTTTGGAGTGTGCCCAAGTGGCAGTATGCAAAGGTGTATTGTCATCTGCAGGATGTGCTGGAGATGGAATGAGCATTGGCAGTCATTGTCAGTCTTTCACTTCTGGTCTTGAGACATGGTGATGGTAGATGTTTTGGATAGACAAAGAAGTACCTCGTGACCAGGAACAAGTTTGCGTTGAAAGAGTTGAAAGTGAAAGAATAGATGACAATGAATGTCTTTGTTTGTCCTTCTTTGTGTAGATGAACAAGGGTTATATCCTTTCTATTGATCAGCTGGACTGTCCAGAACATCTATATAAGGCACACTACCCCAATTTCATAACCCACCACCATCTATCTAATAGATAACTCTCCTCCATCACCATACTACCATACACCACTTCAACACCACCACCATGTCCGTCCCAATCCACAAGATCAACCCCGAATCCACCGAGCAAGAGGTACGTACCGCCTGGATGTCCCGCCTACTCACCCACTATCCCAGCTCCCCCGAAGCCACAGCCACCGACAACCGCATCTACGAAACCATGACCGCCGACTTCCCCGGCGTCGAACTCTGCACAGCAAGCATCTACCACGACCTCGAACACGGCAACCCGCCCTTCCTCATCATGCACTTCCGGCCCTCCGAGATTGAGGAAAAGCGCTTCAGCTGGCGGGACAGCAAACCCGGCCTCGAGGATGAGTTGGAGCTGATCCAGATTAGTGGCAGGCAGACGATACATGGGGCGATTGCGATGGGCAAGTCGGTGCGGTTTTTCAAGTGTACGGAGAAGAAGGGGCTGGAGAGTGTTTCGTTTGGGAAGAAGAAGGTGCTGCATGTGCTTTATGATGCGGCGATTATTGATGAGCATTTAACTGCTATTAAGGGTTGATTTTGGTATTGTTGTGGTATCTCTAGCGTTGATTAATATCATCTTCATATCCAAGCTTAAGCGTAACTGGCGCCAGTAGATCCTCTCCTCTTAAACAAAACCCAACCACAAACAGCGACGCAAACAAAAAAGTTGAGGAACATAAATGCCGTATCCGCCTTGGCCGAGTGACACCGACTCTTCACTTTATCAACCCCAGCGTTGCAAATCTTAAAGTCATCCTCCTCGTAACATCCCTGACTGAGGATTTTGTTGTCCCAAATGCTGCGTAATTTATCGCAGCTGGTTCCCTTGAGGACGACGGCGTAGGCCTGATATGGTCAGCATGGCAGGTATACAGACAGGAAGAGAGGGACGTACGATTCCACCAGCGAGAAAGGCAATACTAGCAACGGCGTCAAGGGCACCCGAGATAATACCGCTTAGGGAATCAACGAACAAAGCGACGATGCCGACAAAGGCTGCGACGATTCCAAAGCCGCCGGTGAATGCAGCGTAGCCGGTCTCTGCGGGCGCCGAGCCTCGTACTTGGCCCTTGGCGAGATTGACGGAGAGGCCGAGGACGATGATGGCGAAGAGGAGCTGGAAAGCACGGAGAATGGAGGTAACCAACTGCATTTTGATGGTTGAATAATAATGTAGAGTTGAAAGAACGGAAAAGAGAAAGAAAGGACAGAAGGGGTTTTAAACAGCCTGATTTCTCATGCAGGATGAAACAGTCGCACAGCCTTGCAAGCAGCCGCAGTCTGTATACGAGGAAAATGGGGGCCAAGAAGGACAGGACACAAGGCTGAGCAGTCGACCTTGTTTGAGCCTGATTTATCAGGCCCTCCCAGCCAATCATTCTGGATTGTATCCACTTCCCTGCATCTGAGTCACACAGGGTTGTTTGATCGCAAGGCTGCACAGCCTGATGTCCAACCGCCGAGCAACAGGGCTAGAATCACACACTAGCCAATATTTCACTTCTGGGTGATGCTGCTTGTTTATACCTCCATCCAGCGCTAAATAAATTGCCAACTGTCGAGTTAAGCAATAGCCTTGCTGATAACTGGCAACAGCGCCAACCAGAAGCGCTACTCCGCAGAATATGGCTTATCAAAACGCTGTGATGGGTGTCCCTACTAGCGCTCCAAAGCTGCATACCGCAAGGCCTTGGCCGAAGTGTGTATTATGTCGCTGGGGTTGGGACAGACTGGGTTGTTAAAAGAACTATTTATAAGCGGGCGGACATCATACCTTTTGCGACCTTAATGTGAACAGACATCAGGATCTGAATCCATCCACCTAACTCCGAAATACCGGACACTGCATAGCTCTGACTGAGTATATATATGCACATTGGATAATTGAATACTATATACCGTAGATATACTTACAAATCAAGCCTGACTCGCCGGCTTAACAGGCGCATTGAAAAACCGCCGATGCACATAATCCCTCATTGGCTTGGACGCATTTTTCGTCCAGCGAAGCATATTCAACTCGAGAATGAAAATCAGAAACCCAAGTAACGTGATGGGGATGGTGCAGATGAAGAAGACGTATATCTGGGGGGAGACGACCCATGATGATCCATCGGAGGAAATGTCGAAGAAGTTCATTCCGAAGAAGCCCTACTATATTAGCAATGAATATATAGTAATGGTGGAGGTACCATACCGACATGAACGTCCCAGGCAGGAAGAGAAGTGTTAGGACTGAGACAGTTGATGCCAGAGATTTTCCATCATCGCGTGTTTGATCGAGAATTTCGACCGAGACTAGATTGGACGCGCAGCCGATTTCATTATTCATTCGCTCGACGAATGCATCGGCTCGGAGTCTGAGATTGGATAGCATGTTGGCATGGAGTTGTAGTGCCTTTGTTGTGTTTGTCGATCTGATGGACGGAGTCAAGTCCTGATGATCGCGGGCGATGGCGAGTAGATTGTTCGAAGCCACATTAAGCGATTCTGATATATGGATAACGTGTCGTGATAGCTCATGCATGCTGGTGTATCCTTTAAACCGTCTCTTAAATAGCAGTTCGTCCTTGGCTGATCGTTGCAGCGCATTGTCTCGCGCCTTTTCAATATTTCGGATTGGCTTTTGGAATGTCCACAGGTCCAGTTCGAATTGCTTCATCACGAAGCTGCTGGCCAACTGTAGCAGATGGAATGGGTCGTTTTTCGATTGGGTCGAATGTCTCTCTCGAACAATCTTAATCATATCATCCTGCTGATGGTCTTGAAGGTCAAAGCAGATGAGGATGTTGGTTGCTGGTATGACGGGAGCCTTGCTATATTCCAGAGTTCTTGAACGCCACAGACTGCAAAACGCCATAAAGTGCCAGTCGTAGCCGTATTCGGCTGCTTCTTCCTCACTTGCGTTTTTGTCCTCCCATACCGTCTTGGAGAGGAAGCGAGCGAAGGTGTCTGTCAATTAGCATCGCATTTTCAGGAGATAGGCTTACGTACTGTAGCTGCTATAATTGGCATTCTTCAGTGGATTATTGACACTCCCAAAGAAACCGTTCGCGTTCCAGCCAACTCGTTCGAAGAAAAAATCAGGAAGTGAGAACTTTTTGATCAGCGCGCTGCAAACATTTTCGAGTTCCTTCTTTTTGGCCTTATTTTCAGCGCTTAATGGTTTTTCCAGGTCACTGTCATCGATGTAGAAGTTTTCTTCGATGTTGGGGAAGAATCTGCTATATTAGTGATGCTCAATCAGGTAGAAGGCTGCCATACAAAACATGCGTTCCTGGTTCTTCGATGACCTAGATAATTAGGCATGCTCATTTGACTTGGATAGAAGCTTACATCTCGCGATAACAGCTCATCCACCGTCATGTAAGCCTTTGTTATCGGTTCATCATGATCCACGGTCTCATCCAATCTCCAATGCCGAATGCGCTTCTGTCGATACAGCACAAATCCCTCCCCACTTGAAGAATCAGTCATTTTGGCAGCGGGTTCGAAAAACTGCGCCATTTTGCCAGAGCCAAGATGCCAGAAGCCCACCTCTTAAAGAGGATTTCAGGGCGAACAGGGGCGTTCATCGTTAGGCGCTGAGGCTGAAGCCCGGACTTCATGCATGGTGTTGAGGATGTATCCACCAATGACAATGGGGCATAGTGGTAGTGCGTGACGTGGACTGGGTTATTGAGGTTAAACCACTCGACTGAGGCTATCTTGATGGGCTATCATCACCCGGGTGAGTTATGCACACGGTGTCCGGTATACACACGCACTTGCAAACATGGGCATGATCTGATCTTCATCAATCCTGCCATCACACACGGTTGCATCGTTCCAGGCTAATCTTCCTCGTGCGACAATTCCGAACTGTTGACGGAATTCTTCTTCCTGGCTGCGCAGCGCTTCGCCATACCCGATTAGGCTGCAGTGGACATCAGCCAGCCAGCCAATCACTGCGTCGAATGGCCATGCAAAATGGATCACATGAATTGGTCCAGCCTCCCCCTCATTCCCTCAATATCATCAGATATCAGATTCAACTGTCAACAGTAGAGAGTAACCGTTTAACATACACCACATGCTCCGCGCCATGATTAACGGGGTCTTCAAATCCTCCGCCCAACATGACCACCCACAAGATGCACACCCGCCAACCGTGCAGATGGCAATCGACATCCAAAACCACACCATGTGCGCCTCCACAAAAGCATATATAGCAGGCAAAATCCATCCAACAATACTGCTAAAGCCATGGTCTCGCATTATCGTCAAGGGAAACTACAAAAGAACCGGGCCCAATACGCACATTTCCCCGACGGAGATGGACAAGCGCTGCAATCGGCACAGACCAACCGCCACCGTTGTCGACGATGAAACGCTGGAGATTAATTGTTTCCCTGGGCGAGATTACGTGCGACATTATGCGATGCTGATCGCGAGTCATCTGGGGGATGGAAGTGGGACGGTTGTTGAGTATGTCCTGCCGGAGAGAGAGGAGTGTTTGGATGTTTTTATCAAGTCGAACCTGCAGGCTATGGGGCGTGTGCATACGGTGGTAGTCGGGTCGATTGAGGATTTCGTTTCTGATGAATCCGGATGGGAGAGTGGAAGTGACGATGGTCAAATCTTTGCATGGCGGAAAATGCAGAATAAAGATGGAACAAGCATTGCATTTCTCGCATGTGTCGTCAGTCTATGGGGGGATATCACCGAGTATCTTGTCCGGGCTTTACACTCGCTGAATCATGTATCTCGGATCATATATATCGGCAAGGCAGGCTCATTACACCCTCGAGATAAACCAAACCACGTAATCGTCACCGGAGACGAGACATGGTTCGACAAGGAACTCATACAATGGGACAATGCCATCACCATTCCCACATCCGGTCTCACCACGACAGCTATATCGGGAAACAGCGTGACAGTCTCATCACCACTCGTCGAATCCCGGGAATGGCTGCTGAACTGGGGCGAAAAGGCAGATTGGGTCGACTGTGAGGTCGGGAATATGATACGCGTTTGTCGGGAGTTGCATATTTCATTCGGATATCTGCATGTCATATCAGACAATCTGGCCTCGTGGGATTCGCAGAATCTGGCGACGGAGGATGGAGATGAGGTGGTGGCTTGTCGGAGGAGGTTACTGGGGGATATGTGGTATATTCTAAAAGAGAATCTTCGATTAGACGATGGATCATCATTGCATATAGACTGATGTATAGTAGTGATAGAATAGATTGCATATTGATATATCTACAGAATCCCATTCATAGGGTGGAGCAACATCATACCTCGACAACTTTATCTAGGACTGGCCAACAACCTTCCAGTATGCATTTACAACCTTGCCAGTATCTCCTAAGAAGGCTGGAAAGCTTGGTACTCGCCATATTATCTGTATTATAGATTAAGATAGAGTTGAGAAGCCAAATAATTGAATAGCATCAACATCACGGAGTTAAGCAACTATCACCACAAAATCCGAGTCAACCAACAGGGGTCCAAATCCTGTATGCCCATCACCGGAATTAACAAGTATTTCTCTAGTGAGCTAGTATCGGAAATAAGAATTGGAGGAATGTACTATCAACACTAATAGTGCAGTAGCGTAATCCTTATGGATTGCGCATGTTGGAAATGCCCTGATTTGACCGAGTTCATCAGGTACACCTGTATCGAATTTTCAACAGAATCGATATCCAAGATATAAAGCAGGATATGATAACTCTTTGTTCTTGGTTTAATCTTACTTCTTAACCATAGACAACCGCATAAAATGGCCCATCACATCCTCCTCACCGGCGGCAATGGCTTCATTGGATCCCACATCCTCGCTCAACTCCTCGACCGTGGCTTCACCGTCTGCTGTCCTGTTCGATCTAAATCCAAAGGAGATAAAATATTAAACGACTTTTCCACCCAGAAATCGCAAATCGACATCTCCATAATACCAGACATTGTCGCACCGGGTGCGTTTGACGAAGTATTAACCAACTCGTCATTCGACACGGTCATCCATACTGCATCTCCATTCATCTACGGTACTGTGGAGAGTAATCTCGAATTCTTGGATCCAGCAATTAAAGGAACATTAAATCTCCTGAATGCTGTAAAGGGGCATGCACCCAGTGTGAAAAGGGTTATATATACCAGCAGCTGCGCGAGTGTTGTCAACTACGATCTTCTTACGTCTGATCCTCCACAGGATCTTACAGAGGATGACTGGAATCCGATTGAATGGGAAGAGGCTGTGAATGGCGACCAGTCCAAGGCGTACAGGGCGAGTAAGAAGTTTGCAGAGCAGGCTGGTATGTTCAATCTGTGCCGATGGGGGTTCCATACTGACTTGTGTAGCCTGGAAATTCATGGACGAAGAAAAACCAAATTTCGACCTGGTGACACTGTGTCCACCGGCCACGTTTGGACCACTGCGCCACTCCATCTCGAGTATCAAGGATTTGAACGAGTCGAATTTCAGATTGTGGAGGTTGTGCACTCAGTCCGGCAAAGATGCGCCTGTGCCGTATATTCCTGTGCATACGTATATTGACGTGCGGGTATGTTGATCGTACTCTCTATAATACCATTACTGACGTACCAGGACTTTGCAAACATCCAAGTCCAGGCGATGCTTGTACCGGAGGCAGGAAATAAGCGCTTCATTGCCTGCGCAAGCCAGTTCAGCTTTCAGGATGTTTGCGATGTTTTGAGAACGAACTTTGGTGAACTGGATGAGCGTGTGCCACTTGGTAAGACTGGGGTTAGCTCTCTACCTCCGGGTGCGTACACGTGTGATAATTCCAGGGTCAGAAAGATACTTGGAGTGGAATTTAGGGACTTGGAAGAAACAGTGGCAGATCTTGGACGGCAGTTGCTGGAGATTGAGAAGAATGAAAATGGTGGAGTATAGAGAGTATAATTCCTAGAAAACGAATATAACACCGACAAACAGTGAGATACTGGACATTAGCGAATAAGAAGACTCCCCTTCCATCCCATCTCCTTCAATCTATCCTCTACGTATCGTGCCGTGACGCGCAGCATACTCAGTCCATCTTTGCATGCACCACTTTCTAAATGCTGCGCAAGTCCACTCAATGTAGAGAATGATTTTCTCAATTTCGAAGAAGAGGATATGCCAGGCAGAAGCGATATTGGACAGTGATAGATGATACTAGCATGTGCAGGAGAATCGAGATGCTGTTGTAGTGCTTGATAAGACCCGAATACCCTCGTGCTCTGTGGGCATTTGTAGCAGCGGATACCGGATTTCTTCTCCAGTGCGCCGATAAGAGAATCAGAGTCGCTGTCAGAAGGAGTGTCGCCGTAGGATGAACTGGATGGTGTGTAAACGGCTTCTCCTGGCGTGGATGTCCCACTGCTGCCCTCGATGAAACTGATATTGAGTTCATCCGGACTGGTGATGATTCCATCCACATCGTTCTCACGAATCAACAAATCAATGTCATGTCTATTCAGCCCAGATCGACAACCTCCACTCTCAAGATGATGCAACATGGATGACGGACTCTTGAATTTGCGGTTACATCCGGGTGCGATGCATTTGATGTTGCTAATCGGACGATGAACGATTGAGTCCCGGTGTTGCTGCAGCGCCCTCTCATCTCCAAATTCACGGTCACAATCTTTGCATCTTAGATCTGCTCCTCGGTCGATAACATGAACCTTGTCTCTCAAATGCTGATTCAGAGCATTCTCATTAACAAAGTCCCGATCGCAGTCGCAGCAGTGGAACTGGCCGATATGCCGAGGGGAATTCATATGCTGGTTCAGCGCTTGACTGTCGATGAAAAATTTGTCGCATTCACCGCAGTAGCAGTGGCCCGTCACCTCTTGGTGCAGCGTAAGATTGGCAGTAGATGAGAAAAACTGGCCACATCCATCGCAGGAAATATGGCCCATCGCCAGGATGTGTTGTTCTACTCCCTCGGCTGTTTTGAGTTTCTTATCGCAGTACATACAGCCATGGATGTGGTGTTTTGCTGTCTTGTGCTGGGATAGGGCGTTGTCGTTGCTAAAATAACGCCGGCAGAAACAGAAAGGCATTTTGGATCATCAACATAGGATGAGGGTTGATGATAGAAGTTGAAAATCGACGTTTAAGGGAGCCAGCTACCTCGTCATTATATGGTGTTTGGTAGCCGCCAGCCTTGTGGGATCCAGACCAACGCCACGTAATAATGATGCGCTGAGCCACGAACAAGACAGCTGAACGAGACTGTTGCCTACTCATTATATTAAAATCTTGCTGCCGCAGTCATTTTGCATCTGCATTTGTCATACTTTAGGCCCTCGATGTAGCTAGTAATATTTTACCGGGGTTACAATTAGTTACATCTCCTAGTAGCGACTTGATAATACGGAAATATGCATTGGAATAACGATATCAAAGAAACCCTTTTCAAAACTCTTCAAAAGGTTCCCTAGGTTCCTTATCACGTTCGTCGTCAAGGTATTCAAGTTCCTTTTTCTCGAGCTCATAATCGGAATGTTCATCTTGCTTCGTGATAGCCTCGTCATCAAATTTGTCACGCTCTTCAGCTGGAATAGCTTTATCATAGGCAACATCACGGATTTCCACCCACTTTACGTCTGCTTGCTCATCGAATTTGTCTTCCTTGATGGGGTAAAGTTCCTTTTCTAGAGCTTCCGTCCTAGCAGCGCATATCATATGGCTGCTCCGTGTAAGGAACCTATCGAAAGACGTTTCCCCACCCAGCAAATCGATAAAGCCATCGGCCATAAAGAACTGCGTGTCCTTCTGATAAGCTGCAGCCAATTTGTCTTTCAAATAGTCGATAAACCGGACATCGCTTTGGAGCTTTGGAAAAACCCCTCTTGCTGTAGCCAGGATATCTACAATAGGAACACCTTTGTCAAATTTCTTGATGTAGGTTTCAGCGAGACCTTTGAGGCCATGGATCTCGAATGTATTTGCGACGGTGTACACCAGCACACTACGGCGAAACTCGGTCAGACGTCGAGGTGTCTCGGGTGTGGGCTCGCGATGGAGTGTTTCATAGTTTCCGGTACACAGATAGTGAACAAGAGTATGGCCAATGTCTTCATCTACTTCTCGCAGATAAAGAGTTGTGGGAGGAAAAAAGTTCGTTGCTGGTAATAGCAAATGGTACGGCTTCAAATAGCATTCTGGTATCGTGAAACGTCGCTGGTTTTGTCCGATAAGAAGGAAGATGGTCTGGCTTTGGTAGGGACTATCACGGTTAGCAGTGAGGTAGACATGATCATAAAGTGAATGCCTTACGAAGTCGTTGGTTGAGAGTACTCTTCAATAGGAGGATCGGCCATTTCTGCAAACTGAATCTCCTCGGGCTTGGGAGAAGTACCAATTGGAATAGAATTGCTGTTCTTCTTTCCTTTCTTCTTTTTCCCAGCCATTTCACAAACCAGGATATGGGGAGGGGGGTCGAATTACGATCAGCCACCTGTATTCTCGCAGTTAAGAGATGGGGGCATTTATGATACTGATATGAAGAGGGGTAAATGCATAGATGAGCTGTCGAGATAGTCAACAACCAATCGCCATACACTCCTGACTCGAGATCATAAAGATGACGCCAATGGATCAGGTGTGTGAGCTGTTTGAACTCGATTGGGTGCCTTACTCTACCTATTATCTGATCCATTGAAAGCTCAGCTGTTGGCGTAGCTGCCGCAGCGTCTTTGCATACTTGGTGGTGTACACCGCAAGGCTGGCACATGCACAGCCATTCAGAATAGCTGAACTAATCTACTTGTGTGTTCATGCATGTCTCGCAAAACAGTTGTCTAGACTAGACAAGGTTCCCCTCACCTGGCGAGGCTATCAACACAATACCAACAGTACTGTACTCCCAGCTAGAAAACGGTACTCCAATAAAACCACGTATTATCTTTAGATTTATTTTCCTAGGAGCCTACCATTCAGAAAGGCTATTTGGCTTTATGTTTTGGAATATTAGGAGCCACTGTGATGATATATTCATTGTGGTAGTGCATTATCAAAAATATGTTCCCACGACTGTCAAGCATCACTATCTATGATAAACTTTCTATCTCTTGATTTCAAATAATGTATCAACTGATTATCATTCCCAGTCTCTTAAACTGACTAACCATCCCACCCAAAAAGAGACCGATCACCAGTATGAGGAACATGGAAATCCACAACACGCTCCACAATTCTCCATCCTTGCTCACCATCAAATTCCCCTTTCACCAACTTATCGTTGAAATCAGCCCATCCCGTCAACTGCTTGCCCTCATAATCCCCAGTGCCAAAATGTCCCGCCATACAGTAGGTCGTTGCAGTCGCAGTGTTCTCACTTGTAAGCTCAATAGCCTGGGTTGTCAAAGCATGATGCGTCTTCATGTTAGTCAGAAAAGCCTTTGTCCGTTGGATTATCTCGACGAGGCCGGTGAGGGTGCCTATCGGCTCTGGGTACTTTATGACGGCATCGGTTGTGAATGCTTTGGAAAGTAGTTCGTAATTTCCCTTGTCAACCGCTATTGGGAAGTAGGCGATAGCGTTTCGGATGAGTTCGTGGTCTGAAGTTGTCATTTTGATATTGAGGCTATTGTTACTGTTACTATAATGAGTCAGATCCATTACGTCTGCTTGGTCTTTCCTGCATACCTTATGAGGGAGATGGTGATATCAGATGCATAGGGGAGGTCAGCACAGTTTGATTTCTATAGCCAACGAGGTCCAATTTATATATTCGAGATGCCTTCTCCCCAGGACATACTAGTTACTCTTGCATCTCCGGCATATCAGCTTATCTCCGTCGTATTTACAGCGTATCTCCGGCGATATTCTTGGTGGTAAATCATTGTGCGTTCTCATAGGCCTGGAAATAGCGCACCTTGGTGCTCAAGTCATCAGTACAGCGAAAGCAGTCTAATAGCCCTGTTAAATATTAGAATCCTGTCCTACAACAAACTAGCACTGCCTTACAAACCGCAACGGAACACGCCTGGGAAGCCACATAGTCGGGGAATTTAAACTCTGATCGAGAACTGCCTGTGCCTCATCCCTCCTCTCCTCCCATGGTTTGTCTCCATCCTCTGCAAGCTGAACCCGGCATTCCCAAAAGATACCAGCCATGACAGACGCAAACTCAACTTGTGGAACCCTCTTTGCAATTTTATAATAAGCACCGGTCTACCAGCAGATCAGGCAAGATATACGAGTGTAGGATATCTCAAGGCAATTACATGATCACTTCAGAAGCCTCCATGGCTTTTTCATCCGGCTGAACATCTTGAACCTGGGAAGCGGTGTTAATCATCCCCAATCGTAGAGCCCAATCCGTCCGGCCACTCTCCTTGACCAATTCCTTTGCCAGATCAAGACGTCGAGTATACTCCTTGCGAGGACCATCGACCTTGATGATATTCCCATGCATTTGCATGACTCTTGTTGACATATTCACCACCCCCAGCAAGCCTGCAGATGAGATTAACAGAATCGTAAGCAATATCTTGCCTGTCTGTTTGGCATTGCTAGCCAGGGCAGCGGTGAAATAGACGAGAATCGTTGCAAATCCAGCCAAGGCACTCTCAACTGCATTCATTTCACGCAGCCAATTTCCAGAAGTGACAGCTTTGAGGTCATCCACCCGTCCCCGGATTCGGACCCAGCGGTCTTGACTGAGCAGAACGAGGAGATCACCATTCACACCGGGCTCTTTGGCGCCCTTCCAGCCTTCATGATTTCGGTTTCGGATGAGGAAGATATGAATGAGGCGGCTTAGCATTAGGAGAAGAATGACGACAAGTCCCCATACATCCTCGGTAAGGATGAGCAAGACGAGTGTCGTCAACGTACCGCCCACAGCAAGGAAATATGGTATGACAACCATCGGATTTGCCGTGTATCCAGAGAATAGTTTTGCCATGCCACGCTGAGCTCGCGTGCGATTTTTAATACTAGTAACTGACAGCGTAGTCAATTGTCCTGTTCGACCGACCTGCTGAAGATAGTACACTGTTGCCGGGTTCTCTACGCGAAAGGCATACCCAGTGGTCATGGCAGCCACGGCTGGATACTCATTGCCATGGACCTCTGTGGCGCGTTGCTGCAGATGAAGGCCCGGACAAAGGATGAAGGCATCGAGCAAGGTTGCATCGCCTGTAAGTGCCGTTCGATGGGCGATTGTGGATAGATCGGCCAGCGAAACAATGCCAGCCAGATCAAGTGATATATTTGGAACTTTAAGGTCTAGCATTGCCGACTGAATGGATATGATCTTGAATTGTTAATATTGGTTAAATTACTCAACCGTATAACTTACCTTGTCGAGGGTCTGCTGGTAATATTGAGGGAAAAGGTTGATCAGGCCCGCCATTTTATTTGGCTTAGGTTTATATGACAGCTCATCCACAGAGTTCTGTTGTTCTTTGCTATCACCAAAGGCGGGTGAAATGAGGCTGAAGTGGCAAGGCTGTGCCAGGGTGCCCGACGTGTATGCAGTCAGGTGATTTGGGCGGATATAAAAGCAACAAAAGTACAGCCACTTCCAAGTCAATTAAGATGATGTAAAGTATTTTGGTGTTTTTAATGCTGTGTCTCACTATATGTTTTAATTTGAAAGCTCTGACTCGTATAATGCATTGTGGACTTTCCACAATATTGATTTACTGAAGGTGGATTTTTGCGACAGCGGTTTGACAGACTGTACAGTTTCTATATGGCCTTACTTGAATACGACTCCTGCATATCAGTCTAGGTCTGGGACCTGGCAAAGTGCATAATTTATACCGCTTAGATTTATAGTCGACTGGAAAATTTATTCGAAGCCTATCAATTCTTATTTTCCTCGAATCGGACATAAGAGGGGTTTGGGGTTACACAAGCGAAAGCGTCCGTGAATCTCCAACGATATAATATGTTCTTCGATGGGCTGACTGGGATCAAGAGGTGATATGTCGAGAACACGTGAGAAAAATAGAACAGTCTGGATTAGAATCAATGCCAATTGGACTAATCCGACGGTATCATCAGGCTGTATGGGATGTTTGGGCCATGTCACCACTCGGCGGCCAGGGATCGCTGAGACTGATGTATCGAACCAACTCGACCGACGTGGCCACCGAAGGTCTGCGGTACTGGGACAGTGGCCCTCTGGGGAATCTCTTCGCATATACATGGATAGGAGTTGATCACGACGGTGCTTACCCGTTGTCAATGCGAGACGTCTATATGACGGGCCTGATGCAGAGCACAAACATCAAGATACGACCATTGGATCAGTGGGGAAACGTCAAGATTCCACGACTGCCAAAGGCAAATTCATCCCATACGGATTCGGAAGGTCGGTTTCACATCGCCAAAAACGCTTCTCGGCCAGAGGAATACTCGTCGCTTTTGGGTCTTCCGATTGTTGGGCTGTCTGATCTCCACGCAGCAAGGATGCAGTTCACGGTTGAAACGACTTATGTGGAGGTTTCATGCCCACAGGCCGAGTTCATAGATATTGCCGATATGTCTGACTTCAATATGAGTATGAATGTGACATGTCCTGGCTGCAGCGATGGCAACGTCAAGGTTGTGCGAACCAACGCCTTGCTTGGCCCTCCTGCTCCTGGTCTTACAGACGCAGAGCAGGCGAATGCGACTTATACCCAACCACGAAGCATTCAATTTACTTCTAGTGGACTGCCCGGACGGTCACAGGTGGCCTGTCCGGTTACCCAACGACCGGTAGAGACGTTCATCGAATGTATTGAGGGTAACTGTGCTGCGACCAAGATACGCCCCTCAACGACCGACCACCGCAGTGGAAATTACACCAGCTTCGACTACTGGGCAACTGTCGTCTTGGACATGATTTCCAAAGCAAGCCAACAATATACCGGCGCCGACAGCGTGATTGTCGGGGCCAGCACCTCCGAGTTGTTTCTCAACAATTCAGACACTCTCCCCCTCGAGACAACCGAGGATTGGTCTTATGGAGATGGATCCGTCAACCTGTCTTCTGTCAGCCCGGAGCTGTTTTCCGCGCGAGCATCCGTTATGCTGAACACGGCGCTGCAGGTCTTTATGTGCCCGACTGGCTTTGCCGGCGACCTGTCAACCAACCTGTCCTCGTACGGTCCGGATCACATCCCCGCAGATGGTCTCACGGTATTCTCCGCCAATGCCTTGACATTGGAGGCTGGGCCCATCCGCGAAGGTCTTGCCATTGAGTTTAACACGCCCTTTATCGCAGCGTCCACCAATGCCACGCTGACGCGGCATACCGAGGTTTACCGGCCAAATTATGTCTGGGTTATTCTTCTCGTCATATCAACAGTTCTTCTCTTGGGAATAGCGATGGTCGGTCTCTCTCTGCGATTTGCCACGATGGCCCCGAATATCTTCGATCCCGTTATGGGCTTGACGTACAGAAATGAGAATATGCCTTTGCACAAGACTCCATTAGATGCAGACGACCGAGCCGAAGCGATTGCCAATGACCGGGTCAGACTGGGGTATATGGAGGATGACGGCATACAGGCAAAGATAACCTTTGGCAATGAAGCCAACGTCAGTCCGCTAAGAAAAGGAAGATTGTATTATTAGAACTCACACCTTGTCGATTGTGTATCGGAGCAGAGAGACTTTATAAGAGTTTATACCCCACATCGTATTCACAGCGATCGACAACCGTCACAGCCACAACACGGCATATCTCATCGAATAAGAACCACCCAACGTGTTGCATGAAGCTAAATTCGGTATATTTGGGGCTGCAAATGTCCGGATGGACGATCTCATCTATGCTACAGTCTCTCATTGGTTGGTCACAGCCAGTAGGATCCAGCTAGTGCCGTCATTTGGGAGGAACGGGTGAAGGGTCTGTTCTTGATGAAACCGACGTAGCAGTGAAAAGGATTAATATTCCCGCTTTTTTCTACAGGTTTAAACAATTTTACTTCACTTCCTGCATACTTAGCAACGGTGTCGAAGTCACCATGTTGCGGGTACTTTTTCTTCTTTCCACATTATGGACGCCGATACGAGGAATAGCAAACACACAACAGCTACCATGTCGATCAGTCTGTAATGGAGGCGGAAATACCGGTCCTGGGGATCTCATCTGCGTGGACGAGCAATACAACAGCACCAAGACAGGGCGCATAATGAAGGAGTGTCTCGAGTGCGAGAGTAACAGCACAACATATAAATCGCCTACAGAGAATGACCTCTACTATTTTCTATGTATGCGTCCATATGATACGATGTCAATGATATGCTAACAGTCTCAGTCAACCAACAATGGACAGTCCAGTACTGTCTCTTCGAACACTCAACACAAACATCCGCATGGCCGCAATGCCAGTCCAACTGCTCGGGTATACAAGACGTCCTCGAACATGGTTGGAATGTGAATACAAATAATGCAGTGGGACAGTATGATTACTGCAAGTGGAATGGTAGTGCGTTTGGGAAGAATGTTGGGTCTTGTGCGTCGTGTTTAGGGGGCGTGCCGGGGTCTGTTACGCTTTCTAACTGTGAGTATATCGTCATTACTTTTGATATGAATTGATACTGACAGCGCAGTTTTGTTAAACCTCGAAACGGCATGTAACACGCAGCCCAACTCATCAAAAAACGATACCCTGAAACTATCGCGTCCGCTATTTTACACACCCTGGGAGGAGTCAGAGTCATCGGGATTATCAACCGGAGCCAAGGCTGGGATTGGTGTCGGTGTTGGCGTGGGTGGTATACTCGTCATCGCGGGTGTTGTCTGGGTTATCCTCCGACGGAGAGGACAGAAACAACACCACGAGCGAATCCCGCAAGAGGAAGAGGTGAAGAACACCGGACCGAGCGAGATGGAGACACCGGCGAACCATCTGGAATTGCATGCTGGTGCTGTTGCGGTTGAGATGGAGAATACTGCCAGACAAGTGAGGACGGTGCCGGGGCCGCCGTCCGAGCTTCCTGTTAATTAACAACATGTATTATTATGCTCATTATACAGCTGATGAATATAGAATCTATGTATGCTGATACCGGTATTCAGACTATCGAATGACCTTATTCGCACGCCCCCTTCTACTCAACCGCAACCGCCGCCCCCATTTCATGCGACTCTTGCGCATCGCCCTCTGCGTCCTTTCCAACGGATAATTCACCGGCGACTCACCACCCGTAAAGATGAAAAAGTCATACAAGAACGCCCCCACAAACGCACCGCACACCGACCCCGCCCACGGCCCATAGAACCAGTACGGATCGCGGAATAACTCACCCCCATATCCCAGCGCGAGAAGAGCGAGACGCGGCCCAAAGTCGCGGCTGGGGTTGAAGGCCGCACCGGTTTGGTAGGCGAAGGCCATGCAGAGACAGGTGATGACGAGGCCGATGATTAAGGAGTTCATGCCTGCGCCTGGGGGTGCGTTTTGGTCGTCGCCCAGCGCGAGGATGGTGCTGGCCAGCAGGGCGGTGCCGATGAATTCGTTGAAGAAGGCGGTTGCAGGCTCGATCCAGGATTGGCGCTGGCTGGTGACGAAGCTGGTGACGATGCCGGTGTCGGTGTTGGTGAGGAGGTAGTTCTGGATGGAGTGGTAGTAGACGCCGTATGCGACGAGGGCGGCGCAGAAGGCACCGAGGAACTGGGCGAGGAAGTACTCGGGCATTTTGCGTTTGGGGAAGCCACGGAAGAACCACAGCATGGCGGTGATGGATGGGTTGAGATGCGCGCCGGAGACACCACCGGAGACGTAGATGCCCATCATGGTGGCGAAGCCCCAGGCCCAGGAGGTGGTGTTGGGGTTGCCGGCGTTGGCGATGGTGACGGAGAGGTCGGCGGCGAAGGCGATGGTGAGCTGGACGAAGACGCCGAGGGATTCGGCGAGGGCTTCGCGGTGGTGCGTGCGGATGACGGACCAGGTGGTGTGGTTGTTGTGGACTTCATCCTCGACGAGATCTTGCACGAGGGGGTGCAGGTCGTCGGGGATGGTGGCTTTGGTGATGTCGATAAGACCGGCATCAAACGGGAGGTCTTGCTCTTCTGGCTCTTCCGGCACTGGTGGGAGAGGGTCGTCAAAGACTTGATTCTTGCCTTCGTCTTGCGGTTCTGTCTCGTCGACTGTTGACAGCTGATCTGGCACATCCCACGCAGATGAACGTCTTCTACGGTTCGACGAGCCGCGAGACACGCGGGATCCCGGTACAGTCGACGTCGCCTCGCCGGTGAGGATCTTGTTCATGAAGTTATTCTCCCGCTGCACGCGGGCATCCTCCGCCTGGGCCGCCATCTTCCGCGGATCCGCCGTCTTGTCAATCCGCCCCTCCTCGAGGTCATTCGGATCAACATCCAGTCCCAGCTTCTGCGAATTCTCCGCCGGCATCTGCGCATTGGCACGATTCTCCAACAACTCATCTTTCGTCGGCACCATGCCCGCCCTCACCACACGGGGGAGGGGCTTGGCCAAACTCCATATCGGCTTGACATTCGGCGCCTGCTCGTACGACGGGTTGAGATCGCCATACCCCGGCTGCACGAATGGCTCATGAGCAAGGCGTGTCTGCGGCGTCTCGTCCGGCCCGGCCAGCGTGAATTTGCCCTGCGTGCGCGCCGCCAGGGTCGTTCGGGGCACGAGACTGGGCACTGCGCTTGCGCCGCTCCGCCTGGAGGCTGCTGAACTCCGCCGGCGGACGCCTGGGACAGCGTCATCGACAGCGGATGTTCGTCGCGTGGGTGAGATGGAGTCCCAGTCGCCGTTTGCTCCGCGGTTGCTGCGGGTTGGCGAGGTGGGCGAGGCGGCCTCGTCTCTCATTCTCGAGGCATCGGACTGTATCCTGTTAATACGAGGTGGACAGTTGAATAGCCGGACAAGACTTACCCTGGTCCGCGCCCTTCCGGGAGCATCTTGATCCATTTTGCAGCGTGTTTACTCCAACTGGCAGTGCAGAGGCAGTGGCAGAAGAGAAAACAAAGCAGCGAAAGAAGGGGAAAAACTCATCTTAAAACGCACCGACACAAAAGTCCACCCCTTGGACCTTTCGACGGCGCCATTGACGCAATGGCAGACCAGAACTGCCGATTCTGCGATCGTGCCTTGAACGACTGGCGCTGAAAAAATTGGCTTTTGGGTGGAGTTTTATTTCCCGAGCTGTCGGCTGTCAATGGCCAGTCGGGATGGCAATCCGGGTTGAACAAAGACATTGCCCACTTCGCTTAGAACTAATGTGGGCTCAGCAGACAAGACAGAGCGCGATATTTGCGATTGACCCTCATCTGAGGAGTTGGTTGGATGAGAAGAGTCATTGCGATGGTTGCCCCGCTTGCTGAAATTTGGTTCCTTGTCGTAGGCTTGAGCTTGGCATGGACGGTCGTTGTTCGGTGTTTGGTGTCTCAGTGGGTCTTCACTGTTGGGTTGAGGAAATTGTTGAAAAAGATAATGCGTTTTCATAAAGAATGATAGCAGCAATTGCAATGGCTACCTTGATATGTGTTGTGATGATGTGTGGAATATATATTTAGCCACTGCATTTTGATTCTCCAAAAATGTGTCAGGCAGCAATCAGTCTTAACATATATTAAAACCACCTATAATAAATCGTCAATTCCAGTATTATTTATCGGAAACATGAAGTACTTTAGGCAGTCAAAAAAGGGGATGCTAACCAGCCAAGCTTTATCACTAGACCCACATGCCAATCAAAACGTGCACATTCATCTATCTTCTGCTGTCAACACCTCATCTCAGCAGGTTGAAACACAAGATGCTTCTCGTATGCGAAAAGATAGCCCAAGCAGAGGTATAGGACAGTGTGTAATCTCTAGATTAGTATTCGTTATAGTGATGAATAATCTTATAGTACATTAAATCAATCCAGCTCATATCGCTCCTGGGGCTTACTCCGATCTGCAGGTGCCTCCACCAGAGCAGCCCCCGTCGGCGCTTCTGCCACCGGAGGCGTTGACTCCATTTCTACTGGATTCTTCGCTATCTTTGGCGGATCTTGCGTTGAAGCAGGTGGATATTCAGCCGGTACGTTATTCCTTGCGGCTGCACGTTTTCTCCAGACGATAAATGCCCACGCGAGCGCGATGAGAATGATACCCGCAATGGCACATCCAACACCAATACCCGCCTTTGCACCGGTTGAAAGCCCACTGCTTGTGCTTGTACTGGACTCGCTCGTCCCGATAGGCGTCCAGTAGCTAGCCCACGTTTGTTCCCAGGAACTCCCCGATCCGGTGATGGCGGTATCGTTGTCTTCGATGGTCGTGACGGACGGGTTGGTGAGGACGTCTGGGCCCGGTGCCTGCGCGAGGAACCAGTCCCCTGTGCCTGTGCCCCAGTTCACGCCGAGAAAGGCGGCTTGCAGGAAGGCTCGTCCTAGGAGTCGGGTATCTTCGTCTGGATAGCAGGGGAAGTATTGAGTCGGTTTGTCCACTAGAGGCTCTTCGAGGGTGAGGTTCATGAGAGAGTAGGGGACTTTGATGGTCATGTTTTGCTGGTTGTTGGCGTTTTTCTCAAAGGTGAAGGAGAGGTATGCGGGGGATGCCACGATGCGTTTGTATTGCGGGTCTGAGGTGTTCCAGAAGTATAGACCTAGGCTGTCGTTGAAGGTGACGGGGAGGTCTGAGGTGAGGGCATCGCAGGTGGCTTTGGGGAGGTACATATAAGGTCTTTCCGAGTGGACATAAACATCTGTTGCATCCGAGTTATTCTGTGCCCAGAGACCATTTTTGCTGGTGAATGCGAATGGCGAGCCTCCTGATGCCACTCCAATGCCGATATCAAGGAGTCGAATCACGAGCGATCCCTCGGGGTATTTACTTCCAGCGGGCACGTATTGCTGGCTGCTGACTTCGCCCAACACGCGGTTCTTGTCGAAACCTCCGAGATACAAAGATGGTGGAATGTTCGGCTCCTCCGCCGATCCGATATGCAATCCGTACGAGTAAGATGAGATGACGTCCAGTTTCTGCAAATGGCCGTTGATATACCACAGAGTGCCGTTTCCTTTCTGCTGATAATTGCTCGGTCGTCCCAGTGACATGGAGCCGACGGAGATGGGATAGTTCTTGCCATTGGGATACGTCTGGAATGCATCGTAGACCACTGTCGTGCCGATATTCGTGAGCACGCGCCCCGTGGACAGTGTATAGTTCTCGCCGGCGACATTCCTCCATATCTGGCCCGTCGGCGTATTGAACCAATAGCTGTACCACGGCAGCATATCCGTCGCATTTTTCAACGATGCCGATGTTTTGGGATTGTATAAACCTGCGTCATTTGCGTAGCACGTCGTGGAGGTAGTCGTATTGTCGCAGATTGACTTGGCCAGGATGGTGTTTGTGAATCGCGAACCGGGATAGACGGCGATATTCTGCTTATCACTGCCGATCGTCAACTTGACAGCATGCCAAGGGCCGTCTGGGCCGAATGTCTTGGACGACCAATCCATGACCTGTGGGGAAGCTGCCATGCTGCCACATACTGCCGACAGCAGCAGCAGGTATAGAGAAAAGATCATTGTTGCAGGACAATGGAAGCGGAGAAAACGAGAAGTCAGCACGGGGAAAAGGGGAGAATAAGAGGAAACCAAGACGGAGGTTCGGCAATATCCGCGCTGGCAGCCTGATTGTCAATCCAACAGACTGGCAGCGTCTGGTTGGCTGGTTGTGAATGCCAAGGAGGGACTGCATGAAGCACTAGGCAGGAAGGGGACACACAGCCGCAATGGCCCCAATGTAAGCTGGGAAAGAAAGCATGCTGTGATTGGTGGACTAGCAAAGTGTAATTATATATAGCCTATAGCTAAGCAAAGCCATTAGGCCAACCATCATTAGACTTTGCGATTCATAATATTGTGTCTTCCGCCAGGGTGGATGGCCTGTCTGTGCTGTGGGAATACAGAACCTTGCAGAATATTGCTAATATTCCCAGTATAACATCATCGGTCTTACTGGATCTTGATAGGCCGATCTATTATCCTGGTGTCTCGCAGAACCGATTGAATTCTGGCCCCCATCTGATGTGCCCTGTGGATCTCGCTGCGCCTTGGTGTTCCTGATTAATTCGCCGGGTTGCTTTAGCGGGTATTATTCAATCTCACTGTATAAGATGAACATGGAATAAGCATACTCAAGCATAAATAGCTGCCCCAGTCAGAAAAAAAGGAGAAATGGGAATTGAAGATGTGTATGGATTAAGTATATAATCCTAATCTCATATCTATATATGACAACACGAAGTCCCCGTTGCCTAAAGGTTCAGCCCAATGAATGTGACAACACCCAACTCACAGAGCATAAGAGCATAGCAAGCGTATCTGTGAAACTAAAATGAACGTCCCTTTTCAGGTCTACAGTCAGGAGGAACCCATATAATCTTCCATCCGCCATTTATTCCGTCTCTCATTTTGTACAGTACAACTGAGCAATATATTTGGGTGAACAGACTGGGAAGGGAATGGATAAATATACAGCAGAAGGGGTAAGTGCAGCCTCACTAGATAGGCGCACTAGACTCATCAAGACGTATTTCGGAAAAGAAAACATCAACATGCGAATATAAACTTTGAAATCTGGGGTAACCTTAATCGGACCGCTACATTGATTGATTGATTAGATGGTCAATGCAAGAAACTAGCGTTTGAGCTTTTTAAATTGAAATTTGATAATTCTACTTCAAACTAGCTATACAGTCGTGTAGGACATGGTGTCACTACCTCGTATGAGGTAAAACTGCAATGGTGATACTCTGGCTCAGACACAGTATCTGAACTCATGTCAACCTCACCCCACATAACCTTTTTCAGGGCTGCATCCCGATCATCTTCCGGTGGATGACAAGCTGCACTAATAGCAGCACTGCAATTCCCAGCTAGGGGCAGGTTCCCCTTGAGCCGTCTGAATCCCAAGGTGACTGCAAAAACAAGCATCATGATGAGAAAACCAATGAAAAAAAGCACCGGCAGACCCTTGAAATAGGCGCCGTCAGTTACTGGGGTTGCGGAAGGGTTTCCGAATTTGTCATAATGCAGTACGCGGCTGTAGTATATGCTTTGGGATAGAAGCCAGTGGGCCAGTGCTGATCCAATGAGAAGTGGCACACTGTATCTGTACGGGATGGTAAGATAGTATGTAGATCTTTGACTGCCTTTGGGGAAAGAGACGCGGAGGCTCTTGCGGTGGCACGCATAGTCCGCGTATTCGGCGACCAAGAGCATGTGCGTCAGCAAGTTGTTGTAGAGCAGGTAGAGCGTCGACATGAGTAGTTGTGGAGTGTTTGCAAAGAGAAGTACGGGCAGCGGGCTGCCATAACGTCGAACCAATGCGGGTATCGAGTCTATATTCCGGTGCCAGAGACTGGGCATCCACCATTCCTGGTATACAGACCCTTCGAAGATCACCCAATAAAGAATTCCCGAAGTGCCCAGGCATAGCAGAATTCTGTCAACGGTTAACGTTCTGTTGTCATATTCTCTGGGGGGTTGACATACAAGGTAATTGTCACGCCCCATTGAGAAGACCCAGCAGCACGATGCCATCTGATCTTCTTTTCGGGGAGTCTATCCGCATATCCTTTAGCTGATTGATTTGCAATCGCCGAGGATGCTCTGGATGGCTTCCAAGGTAGCCATCGCTCTTCTTTCCAGAGTTGAGGTCCTTGTCTCACGCTCGAAATAGACATCAGGCATCGACCTTTGGTTGTGGGATCAGGGTGAGTCAGAAAGGAGGCGATTGCATCGCCAACTGTCAAGATAACATCCAACCTGTCGTCGCTGACAGCCAGTAACATACACATGACTTTAATAGCATTGCACGCAATGATAACAAGGCAGAATGGCAGAGAAAATAGCAATTCACACTTTTCCGGGACTTTCTGGCTGAGACAACCGGCAAGATGATATGGATTCCACTTGTGGGTCGTGATGCCAGTGTAACCGGTGCATACGGACTCTTTCCGTAAGGAGACACTGGAAGCCCAGGAAGCATTTTGCCAGTTTGTCGAATTGTCAAGGAACGCCTGGAGATCTTTTCCTTCCGCAGCCTCTCTGGGTGAAGTCATATAACCGAGATAATCTGCCAGTGTTTCCATATCATTATGCAATTCGGCATCACTACCGGCCAATGGCTTATACAGGACACGATATTCATAAGGAGCAACCGTCACCGTGCCATTTGGTACCGGGATGTCAACTCCCCATATAGGTATTTCCCATGGTAGAGGCTGGCTGTCCACAGCCCCGTCGCCATTGGTATCGACGGTTTGCAGCCTGTATATGACTGAATGATTTATCCCTGCAATGTCGTCCGACAAGACTATAATCATGCCTTGGCTGGGAGCACAGGCGACACAGTCTGCCCTGGTCTCATGCATCGCACTTTGAATTGTCCGAGTGCATGTTTCGTGGTCCAGATATTCAAAGCCGCCGTGTGTGGAATCAGACATACCCTGTCCAACGGCCTGTTCAAAGCAGCTCTCGTTGTCGACGGACATATTCGTAAGGTCGGAATCGGCAGTCGCAAGGCCAAATTCAAAGGAATTGAGATTGTCCGATGAGAACACAGCCGAGTTGTATCTGCTCCAGAATCAGCACAATCCCGCCACGAACAAAGCGAGAGACTAACATGTTATGAAAGGGCAACGAGGTGAGGAACAAGATGAACCATAGACACCTCCGTTTGGCAGGAATAAACCACAGATTCTGTAAACTTGCTGTGCCGACGTGGAGCCAGGTATACTGCCCATGCGCCCGGTCGATTTCCTCGCGCGAAGGCGCACTCAGACATTGCATACAATTGTTACTTGCTGCCAGGGCGATTGTGCTGAGGATATTAATTAATAAATGCAAACCGGTCGTCCAGTTGTTCGACAGCTTGCATGATCCGCGGTATATGACGGCGAAGCCAAATTGCTGGCCGTCAAACTTGGAATATGCTATGCCCGACGCGATCACCGTGAGAATAATGTTGATTATGAGGACGGCAATGGCCGCTCCAGCGGCAATGCGGACTCGTTTGGTCCATTTATATTTGGGTTCTTCATTCGTCGTTGACTCGTGCGAGGTCGTTGACCGGGTCTCGACCAGCCCATTATCCATCTCGATGCCACTTTCCCGGGATCCGAGTTGATGATACTTGGTGTTGTTGAATGGCCGTCGCCATGGTCGCTGCTGAGTTGGTGTCGGTGAGTCTGAGCTTGCTGGTCCATCGGTGTTGAGAAGGGGTATAATGGACGGGGTGGAGGAAGATGGGTTGTGCATATTTGGCCATTGCAGAGACTGATGCTTTCATTTCACACGGCATGGATGTCTCTTATGAGAAAGTCCAGTTGCTCAGCCTCGCGGCTGTTGAATATCATTACTCGACATGGTATCTGGAGCATGGGCTGTGATCGACACCAAGACAGGACCCACCCATCAGACGCCATTTGTCCGCCTTGTCGATTTTTCACCAAATTGGCCGATAATGAAGCTTACGGGTGTGCTGCTAACGTTGGCAGACTATTCAACATCCAGCCTTGACAAAGTACATACTTCCATTCACATTCGTAATATTCACTTGTATACTTTGGTACAGGAGTATTTACAATGTGACAGTGCCAATATTTGAGAGGTATATATATGCGTACGGTACCCCCGAAATAGGAAAATATCTGTATGTTTAGGAGGCCTATCTGGAAGCATCTTGTAATGTTGGATTATACATACGTCTATGTCAATTTGACATGCTTCTATAGTGGGTCATCTAGCATGATAGAATGCCGACAGATATTGCGTGCAACAGCCATGCTATGGTGAAATTCCATATTCCCTGTATAGCACCACTTACCATCGATCACAACAGACTGGCTTAAAATGGTATTATCGATTCTCGCATACATATATACCTCGCTAGTCTCCCCCATCAATGCCGTCTACGCCCCCCCGTGCAACACTTTATCGATCCACTACTCCACCATGACCGAACCAAAGAAACAAATCATCCTCAACGCCTTTGTGATGAACACACCCGGCCATCTTTCCCCCGGACTGTGGCGCCACCCCCGCAACAAAACATCGCAATACAAAAAACTTTCCTTCTGGACTGATCTTGCGCAGCTCCTCGACAAAGCCAACTTCCACGCCATGTTCATCGCCGACACACTCGGTCCTTATGACGTGTATAAAGGACCAGCGAATGTCGTCCCCGCATTAGCATCCGGTGCTCAGTTTCCCGTCAACGATCCGCTGTATCTCGTTCCTGCCATGGCGGCCGTTACCAAGAATTTAGTGTTTGGCGTTACGGCAAGTGTGACGTATGAGAAGCCATATGCGCTCGCGAGGAGACTGTCGACGGTGGATCACCTTTCTGAAGGGAGACTGGCGTGGAATATTGTCACCTCGTATCTGGATAGTGCGGCGAGGAATCACGGGCTGAAGGAGCAGATTCCGCATGATGAGCGATATGCGATAGCGCATGAGTACATGGAGGTGCTGTATAAACTCTGGGAGGGGAGTTTCCGTGACGATGCTGTTGTGGAGGATAGAGACGCTGGAGTGTATATCGCCAGTGATGGTGTGCGGGAGATCAACCACAAGGGGAAGTACTTTGACGTGCCAGGGCCGCACTTTTGTGAACCATCGCTACAGCGCACGCCGTTCTTGTTCCAGGCTGGTGTATCTGAGGCTGGGAATGGGTTTGGCGGGAAGCATGGGGAGGCGATATTTGTTGGTGGGCAGACGCCGGAGATTGTGCGGGCGACGGTGGATAATATTCGCAGGGTGGCCGAGGGAGAAGGACGAGATCCGAATCATATCAAGATCATCGTGGGGATTAATGTGATTGTGGCTGCGACGGATGAAGAGGCCAAGGCGAAACGGGAGGAGTATCTCAGTTATGCAGATGAAGAGGGGGCATTGGCGCTGTTCGGCGGCTGGACAGGCGTTGATTTATCCAGCCATTCCGACGATGAGGACTTTCGATTCAGCGAGTCTCCGCGTGTTCAGTCGATTGTGCGACGATGGTCTGCGACAGTCCCAGGAACGGAGAATCTACAATGGACAAAGAGACGAATCGTCGAGTTCCTCAGCGTGGGGGGCCTCGGAGCAAAGATCGTGGGCAGTCCGACCACCGTTGCAGATGAGTTGGAGCGGTGGGTTGAGGTTTCCGGTGTAGATGGGTTTAACCTGGCGCATATTACCAATCCGGGCACTTTCGAAGATATCATCGAGTATTTACTGCCTGAGTTGAGACGGAGGGGGATATTCCGGTCTGAGGTGGAAAAGGAGGGAGTCACTGCTAGAGAGGCCTATATTGGATCACGGAGATTGCCAGAAGATCATCCGGGGAGTAAATACAAATGGAGGGCCGGTGAGGATACCCCCAAATATCTAGATAGTGTACAGGTATAGGTATAGCATCAATTTCTAGTCAAGATGAATCAAGGCGAATCATCGCAGCTGCTGCCACACCCATAGTTGACCGAGTTGGTCGGCGCAGTCCACTCATAATCCTTCATCCAAGCCGTGTAATCGCCCTTGTCACTGCAGCGACGACGAGTATATCCCTGAGTGCGGAAGAGCTGCTGCTGAGTCCACACAACATGACACTGGTCGTCATTCCAAGTGCAGAACGTGGTATCCTGCGCCTGGTTGCAGTTCTGCACCTCATACCCAGCACTAACGCCCATATTGAAAATGTCACTCTGGATGCCGGCCGAGATCTCAATCGACGAGGTCTCGCAGGTCTGGTCGCCCGTCATCTTGGTCACCTGGCATTGTTCGGTTCCGGAGCAGTAGACCTTGCCCGAGGCGACTTGCCATGGCGAGTAGGTGATGTCCTGGTTGACGACGTACCAGTCGTTCCAGCATTTGACGCCGGAAGCGTAGTGGTGGATGCTGTCTGAGTTGACGTAGGTGCCTTCGCCGTCGGTGTATTGCGAGTCGTCGCGTTTGAAAGCGGGAGTGCCGGTCACGATGGGGAGGATGGCGAGGGCGAGGGTGAGATATCGCATTTCTGTGATGTTAAATCGTGTCTATGAGAGATAAGGCGAATGTACTGTTAGATGTACTGGAGACTTGAAGATTGAGCTGTCTGGATTGTCTATTTTGATGGGATAGAAGGACATATTTATATGTGAAGACCAGGTCATTTCAATCCTAACTGAAGTTGTATCAACCAGTTGCTCTTTCAGGCAATTGGTCCATACAACTTTACCTTGGTACGTGGAGAGCCAAGATCTTCTATCTGCCTCGGAGGAATTCAGATCTGCATGTACATCTGGGGGCGAAAGGACCTCCCACGGGGAATCCTGATTGATCGGAAGTCTAGATGATCCTCTGCCAAGAGTACGATGCCTTCAACATAAATCACAGCCTAGTGGAGCCCCGATTGATTTCAAGACGAATGGGATGTTTATGCAAAAGACTGCAAGGAATATTTATAAATCAGATGACATCATGGGTAGGCTGTTCAGTCTTGGCTATCAACACCAGTTACTCTTCATGGTAAATGGTTATCCATTATACACAGCGATATAACCATCAGTTCAAATACTTATCCACCCCCCTCGCAATAAAATCAGCCGCATCCTCGGGTCGACTCAAAAACGGCGAATGTCCCGAATCCCAAGTCTCTACATGCTCGAACTTGGCATTGTCAATCATCATCAGCTGCATCTCATACGGAATAGCGATATCATTGCGACAAGCGAGATAGGAGGAAGGAATATCCCAATACGCCGGATAGGACAGGTTAGTAAACGACAAGCTGGCATCGTGAGTGCCCAACATGGCAGCTCGTTTCTCTGCCTCGTCGATGGGCAGGTCGTGGTAGAAGACGTCGATTGGTTTTAGGAAGTGGAGACGGCCGTTCTGGTGTCGTTAGTAAATGACATACATATAAACCAAGGGATGGGGTTATACCTCTTCTTTGAGATACTCGCCTTGATCGATGAATCCTTGCATGTTGGCTAGACTGCCGATGCTTTGTCCTACAGGAACAGCCCAGGCACAGAGAAAGACCAGCGCAACGACACCGCCAGAACGACCTTGTGCGGTGCGGTGGGCCTTGGAAAGGTCTTTCATTGCCTCGCAGCCGGGCACAGCGCCGTACGAGTGCATCACGACTGCTACGTCCTCGCCTGCATCGATGATGTCAAGTACGGCAGATCTGATTGTTTGGACATCGTCGTTGAAGGAATCGGTCTTGTCCGCAGCCACGCCGGGCAATGTGAGGGCGTTGACGGTGAAGCCTTGGTGGTGGAGATGCGGGGTAATGAGGTCGAAGCAGGCGGCGGTATGCCATGCGCCAGGGACGAGGATGAGGTTTTTGGGCATTTTGATAGTATATTTTGATGTAGCAGAGACAGTGAAGATGCAGGTTAATTAAAGGACAGATGGCATTCCGGTCTGAAGGATGAGGCTAAGAAATGGTATGCGTGGGGTCCGACCGTGGATACTGAGTATAGTGGTATTCATGGAGTGTTATTCACCAATATCTTCACATACATATGTATGTATATGTTTATGCATTAAACGACACAATCAACTTGCCCTTGGAAGTGTTACTCTCCAACAGCTTATGCGCCTCAATAACCTCATTAAACGCAAACACCCGCTCGACAAACACCTTGAACGAGCCATCCTTGAACTTGGGCAATGCATGTTCAACCAGCGTATTTCTCAACTTCCTCTGATACTCCACATCGCGACTACGAAGGGTACTTCCCTCCACACGAATCCTCTTAAACAGCAACGGGGCAATATTCACCCCATCAGGCAGCTTGCCACCACCCATCAGGCCGAGCAGCACAACCCGCCCATCACGGGCCGCGGCATTCAGATTGCCCTGGAAGTAAGTCGCACCGATAAAGTCTACGATGAGGTTCACGCCCTCGCCGTTGGTGATCTTGGTGATCTCCCCCGCCCAGTCCTGGGTGCGGTAGTTGAACGCAGCCGTCACGCCGAGTTCGTTGACGAGGAAGTCGATCTTTTCCTGGGACCCGGCAGTGGCGTAGATGGCCTTTGCGCCGTGGGCTTTGGCGAGTTGGATGCCCGAGATGGAGACGGACGAGGCGCCTGCATGCCAGAGGACGGATTGGCCGGGTTGGAAGTCGCCGATCAGGAAGAGAGCTTGCGAGGCAGTGATCCATGTCTTTTTCATTAGCATTTTAAACATGATCTGATATTCATGGGCCTACCTCGGGAACACCGGCGGCTTCTTCCCACGAGAGCTCAGCAGGCTTATGCACGAGCATGTGGATCGACACAACAATATACTCCGCATAAGCACCTACACCATTAGAAATCATGCAAATCATCTAAAGCATCAGACAAAACAAACCGCCATAAGCAAGACCCAAAACCTCATCTCCCACGTTGAAATCCCCCTTGGCATCCGATCCAAACCCCTCAATGGTACCCGAGAACTCCACGCCCAGCGTCTCGGGCGCCTGCGGAGGCAGCGGATACAGACCCTCTCGCTGTAAAAGATCCATGCGGTTCAGACCAAAGGCTTTGATCTTCACCAGCGCCTGGCTATCGCCGGGGACGGGTTTGGGGATCTGGTCGACGAAGAGGGCGTCGGCGGGGCCTTTGCCGTTTTTGATGGCTGATGTTGTTAGTTGGGTTTGATATAGAGGGAGGGGGTATTACAGATTGCTTGCATGGTTGCCATTTTTACGGTATTTGAGGTAAGATAGATGGTGATGTTAATATTCGCGTTAATATTGTGAGTGATGATTTCAATATTTATGATGCAACTGGCTTGATTTATAATCATTTGCAGAGTGGGGATGCCACTGGTATAGATATATTCTACCCGGATGCCCCTCTTTTATCATTACTATCCCATACATAATAGCATCTCTATCCCCAATATCAATTACTCCCTCTTCCGAAAAAACCGCGACGTATCACCCAACGGCAACACCACAATCGAATCCTTCATCATCAAATGCAGCGTCACATACCATCCCACCAACCCCGCCACAAAGCAAAACGCGCCACCGGCCTTTTTCAACCCCAATCCGGCAGTTTCATTCCCATCCGCAATGGCAAAGTAACTCGCAGCGACAGTGAGGAAGCCCATATCGACCAGGAAGAATATGGCAATGTACGCTATATTACTCGGTAGGGAACCGATCAGGAAGGTGAATACGAAAACCGTCCAGAGGATCATGAAGAAGCCGAGCGCGTTGTTGTACTGCACCGTGTCGTTTCCGTAGGCTTGTTCGACGCCAAATGCGGGGGTGAGGATGGCGCCGTAGCCGGCGTAGAAGAGGCCTGTTTATTAGTTAGCATCAGAGTATATGAGTTGTTAGAGGACATACCGAAAGCACTAAAGACCGTGTATGCGAATCCATTTCCAATAGACAGTTCCCATTGGGCAGTAACAACCAGACCAAAGGCAGCGATGAAGAAGAAGTTGCCGATATACGCATTGGTCGTGCTGACGCCTCGCCATTCCATCAGGCTGAGCGAGAGGGTGGTGAGTGTTGTTCCAAAGGCACCGAGGGCGAGGGCGGACTACAGTTCAGTTAGTATATATCAAGTATAGGAGTCAGTATACTCACCCCAGCACCAAGGGACTTTGGCGCTTCATGAGTGCGAATCTGAGGAACAGTTTGCTTCTCGATATCGCCAAACTGGGCGGAATGGTTGCTTCCGTCGATGGTATGTTCGTTCTTGATTGAAGCCATCTTGACCACTGTACAATATATACGACTTGTACAACAACTAATTAATGTTAAAGAGAGACAAAGATCCCAGCACGACGGCACAATTTAAGATAGGAGGTGCAGCTCGATGATCGACAAAATGGTGTTGCGATAAATCACACCATCGTGAGAATTGATGGCGAGAACCCAATCAGGGCTATCGCAACACGGTAACCCCTCGATAACTTAACATGTCTCATTATTGGGATTCAAATAGTTCCATCTGAACTTGTTTGTTGATTTATACTATGGATTTTATTCGATTAGAGGTGGTCTTGTGTATGATGTGATATATTAACTTCCTTGCAATGACATGATTTACCGTGCATGCAGATTTAATTTCGGCATTGTTCAGATGCAATTTACCGATGCTTTACAAATCTAAGATTCTTAAGATATAATGATCAATCCTTGCTATCCTGTATGTGCTGACTCTGACTCTGATTGATGGACGCATAAAGCCACGTTTATATGCAAGGATCGCAGCCAATAATATCCCATCGGCGTAGTCAATTCTTACCAGCAAATGATGTGAGAATAGTTGCAATAAGATTTCTCCACTTTATTCATGCTTAATCCTGGGTTCATCGGTTTTTCTATTACCCTTGAAGTGTTCTTTTCTTGCTCTTTCTATGGCAACTTAGACAGTGTTGTCAAGATATGTCACAGGATAGGACAGTGATATTGGCAATAGTACAGATATCAGACTGACTACAGTACTAATCAAGGCATTGTGCTTTACATAGAAGATTCAATTATCATTGAGACCCTTTATCATTCGGCTATTCGAAATATAGCCGATCCGAAATATTGTGTGGAGAGAAAATTGGGGAACCGAAAATGTTTCCGTTGTTGGAGAAACAACCTCCAACCCCACCACGTCACGACTGAATTATTAATTAATTCACTTTATTTCTAATCCACCATATATAAACTGCCTTGACATCTCTATTTCAATATCAGATTAAACAATTGCATCATGTCGAAGCTCTTCCAGCCCCTCCGCGTGGGCAATGTCCAGCTGCAGCATCGCATCGTCATGGCTCCATTGACCCGACTGCGAGCGGGCGATGACCATGTGCCGCCCTCCATGTCGGTTGACTGTATGTTATCTGCGTGATGTGACGATATCATTTACTTATAACGCAGATTATACCCAGCGAGCCTCTGTTCCAGGCACATTCATCATCGCCGAAGCAACCCTGATCTCACCTGCTCATGGCGGCCTCCCCAATGGACCTGGTCTGTGGACAGAAGACCAGATCAACGGGTGGAAGAAGATCACCGACGCCGTCCACGAAAAGGGCTGTGGCATTTTCTGTCAACTCGTCGCGCTTGGCCGTGCTGCTGATCCAGGCACTTTGGCGAGAGAGGGTGGCTATCCGGTTGTCTCGTCCAGCGCAGTGCCCATGGCAGAGGGCAGCACTGTTCCGAAAGAGTTGAGCGAAGAGGAGATCCAATCGACCATCGCCGACTTTGCCACCGCCGCCCAGAATGCCATCAAGGCTGGATTCGATGGCGTCGAAGTCCACGGTGCCAATGGGTATCTGGTCGACCAGTTCACGCAGGACAACTGCAACAAGCGCACAGATCGCTGGGGAGGCAGCATTGAGAACCGTGCTCGCTTTGGCATTGAAGTCGCCAAGGCCATTGTCAACGCCATCGGATCCGATCGAGTGGGATACAGAATCAGTCCATTCAGCGAATTCCAGGCCATGAGAATGGCCGAGCCAAGGCCTCAGTTCTCCTATTTGGTGGATGAGCTGCGGAAGCTGAAACTCGCCTATCTGCACGTCATTGAGTCGAGAGTGCACAATATCGTCGATGTGGAAAAGACGGAGGGCATTGAATTCGCACTGGATATCTGGGGCAACACATCGCCGGTCTTTGTTGCTGGTGGATTCTCACCGGAGACTGCGCACCGTGCTGTTGATGAAGAATATCATCAGAATGAGGTGGCGGTGGTCTTTGGACGCCACTTCATCGCCAATCCCGACTTGCCGTTTAGGATTCAGAATGGGCTGCCGTTGACCAAGTATGATCGGTCGTCGTTTTACACGCCCAAGCAGGTGGCGGGATATGTGGACTATCCATTCAGTCCTGAGTTTGGAAAATAGATTAGATGTAGATACTGGTATAGACAAAATTGAAAGATTAAGATTACATCTGACGTGGTTGACAGGTTACACTACACGTAAGAATGCCTATCATAACAATGTCCCCGCATTAGATATCAGAGACTGCCAGTAAATTCTGACCCAAAATAGACCTAGGCATATATGGAATACTTGTTATCAGTGGCAAATGTGGACGATGATTGGTCAACCGAAGTCAGGTTTTCTCGCATTAATAGCCTAATCGGGTAATTCTGAGGATCGTACATCACTCCCCACATCGTCATATCCCCAACATTGGTATCATCCAGCCTCGATGAATCTCTCATTAATACCTCTTTTGGGTAATATTGACATCCACACAACTTCTCCCCTGCTATAAGAATGAGACACTCATCCCCTCTTCTCACCATCGTATCGTACTCAAGTCAAAATGACCTCCCGCGACGGCTTCCACTGGACAGCAGAAACCGGCCTTGCCCAAGGCGTCCCCTCCATCGGTGTCATCTCACCACCTACAAACATCACATCGACTGAGCAGCCATGGGATGTTATTGTCGTTGGCGGAGGATACTCCGGTCTGACTGCCTCTCGTGATGCAGCACTCGCTGGTATTTCCATCATCCTCTACTACGCTTCAGTACTAACAATACAGGTCTCCGCGTCCTTCTCATTGAAGCTCGCGACCGTATCGGTGGCCGCTCCTGGTCGTCCAACATCGGTGGCTATCCATTCGAAATGGGCGGTACCTGGGTCCACTGGGGCCAGCCTCATGTGTGGCGAGAAATCTCCCGATACCAGATGCGGAATGAGCTGGAGTCGTCGTTTGATTTCTCCAGGGGAGTGAACCATTTCCAACTGCGGACGGGTCATGGGGATCAGACGATGAGCCATGATGAGGAGGTGAGTCTACGCAACTATACTGATCACTATAGATAGCTGACGATATAGGACGCCCTTCTTGCCGGTGCGTTGGACAAGTTCGTCAATGTCGACGGAGCAAAGGGCAGGAATATCATGCCGTACGCACATGATACATTCCACGTTGCTGAAGCGCATCAGTACGACAAGATGTCTGTTCAGGATCGACTGAATGCTATTTCCGCTTCGTTGACTCCGAATGAGCGAGCGGTGTTGGAAGCCTTCACTCTCCTCTGCAGCTGTGGGACACTGGAAACCACCAGCTTCCTTGAATTTCTGCATTGGTGGGCTTTGTGTGGATATACCTATCAAGGCTGTCTGGATGCATTAATCACGTACAAATTCAAGGGCGGACAGTCCAGCTTTGCGATTCGGTTCTTCAAAGAAGCGCTGTCTACCGGCAATCTATCCTACGCATTCAACAGTCCTGTCAAAGCCATCAACGATCAGGGAGGTAAAGTGACTCTGACTACTCGAGATGGACGCGAATATACCGCCGCCAGACTCATCTCGACCATCCCATTGAATGTCTTGAATACCATCACATTCAATCCTCCCCTCGACGCCCAACGCACCACAGCAATGAATATCGGCCACGTCAACCAGTGCGTCAAAGTCCACGCCGAAGTCTCCAACAAAGACATGCGTTCCTGGACCGGAATTTCCTACCCCTTTAACAAACTCGTCTACGCCATCGGTGACGGAACCACCCCAGTAGGAAACACGCACATCGTCTGCTTCGGCGGCTACTTTAACCACATCCACCCAGAGGAAGACGTCAACAAGACCAAGAAGGCTGTTGAGAATCTAGCGCCGGGAAATATGGATATCAAGAGACTGGTCTTTCATAACTGGTGCAAAGATGAGTTTGCTAAAGGGGCGTGGTTCTTCTCGCCTCCGGGCCTTTTGTCGAGTTCGTTGGAGACGCTGAGATCTGCGCATGGGAATGTGTACTTTGCAAATTCGGATTGGGCAGTGGGATGGCGTAGCTTTATTGATGGGGCGATTGAGGAGGGGACGAGAGCTGCTATGGCTGTTAAGGAGGACTTGAGGCCGAAGAGTTCTATTCGTTCGAATTTGTAGATAATTTATAGGATTGTGTCCTTTGTCAATCACATATCATATTTCAGACCCAATAATATGGAATATCAGAGTAAAATCAGATACAATAGATGATAAGACTCAAAGTATGACATCAAGTGGAATGGCAGGACCATGCTGAACCTGGAAATATCCAATCTTTTCCAGTGATAGCCATGCCAACCTAGATAGATACTATGATATCAGGCCTACCATAGGTCGAGATAAACTGGAAGGCATTCCTGATTCGCCCTTGCAGATGACTCGTCTTTGAGTTTCTCTCTTTTATAACCGTTTTGGGTAATTTTGACTTCCCCGCACATGTCCATCGTTCTGGATATCTTGAAGTATATTCTGGCTATCAGAGGGGTGGTATTATATTAAGCTGGATATCATTCAAGGTTGTCAAGTATCTTTCTACTATACTACTGACAAGATGGATTCCAGTGACACTATTAAAAATGATAAAGGTTTGCCATCCTACCATCTGCCATATCGTGCTAACCATACCAGGGCAAGACCTCGAGCAACGTACGATCTCTACAGGATCCTCGTCCCATACTAACATCTACAGAAACAACCCAAAGCGAAGGCCAAATCCGCCCACTATGCGTCAAAAACCTCCATATCCAACCACAAAACACCCGACGAATGACGTACTTGGAAACCATATCCGCCAGTTGGGTCATCTGCGACAGCTGGGCCGGAATGGCTGCGACAGTCTCACTGGCCATTGCACAGGGAGGTCCAGTGACTCTGGTATACGGTCCCATTACAACGCTGGTTCTGGTGGGTGGTTGTGCCTTGACGCTAGCTGAGCTGGCGAGTGTATATCCCACCGCTGGTGGACAATATCATTGGACTTCCATCTTGGCTCCGAAGGGAATGAGTCGTGGCCTGGTATGTTTTCTGCTGTGGATGATGCAATTACTGATGAAATAGAGTTATTGCTGTGGTGTTGCGAATGTCTTTGCGTGGATTGCTATCTGCACTGGGATTGCGATTATTCCCTCTCAGCTGGTTGTAGGAATTGCCATCTTCTGGTGTCCGTCTTACTCTCCGCAGCCGTGGCATTACTTCCTTATCTATCAAGCTGTCAATGGACTGGTGTTGCTCTATAACATCACTCTACTGAAAAGATCTCTTTGGATCCATGATGTTTCCTGTAAGTCCTCCCCCTTCAGCATCGCAGCCACTAACAATGCAGTCTTTATCACTCTGGCCAGTTTCCTCGTCATTACCATCACCTGCGTTGCCCGGTCATCCTCCAACTACGGATCATCACGAGATGTATGGGACAACTTCCTCAATAGCAGCGGATGGAGCTCAGGAGTGGCGTTTCTCACCGGCCTTGTCTCTCCCAACTACATGTATGCCGGGATCGACGGTGCGTTGCATCTCGCTGAGGAATGTGAGAATGCAGCAGCTGTCGTCCCTCGAGCTCTCCTCAGCACCATCACGATCGGCTTCATCACGACGTGGCCGTTTATGATTGCCATGCTTTACTGTACCGACGATCTAAATGCTGTTGTGTCATCAGCTACGGGGTATGCAATCCATACTCTCTATAAATATGAAATCTAATTTATTTATCAGAGTCCCAATATATGAAATGTGGCATCAGGCAACCCACTCCCCCATAGCAGCCACCATCTTCATCATTCTCCTCTTCTTCGCAGCCACCTTTGCCCTAACAGGCGCCCAACAAACCGGATCAAGACTCACCTGGTCCTTTGCCAGAGACCACGCCATAGTTGGTAGTAAATGGCTGGGAAAGATGCATCCCACGCTGGACGTCCCCGTGTGGGCACTCATCTTCAACTACGCCATCATGTTCATCATCGGGTGCGTATACCTTGGCTCATCGTCTGCATTCAACGCATTCATCGGAACGGGACTGGTACTGCAGCATATATCCTACGCCTTTCCGGCTATATTGCTAATGTATCGCGGTCGGTCGAGGAAGTGGTTACCTGAGAGTGCTTCGTTTCGGTTGCCGGGTTGGTTAGGGTGGGTGGTTAATATCGTCACTGTGTGCTTTGCGGTGTTGGTGTTGGTTTTTTATGACTTTCCTACTGTTATACCTGTGACGGGGAGTAACATGAGTGAGTTTCTATAGTATTTTGTGTTGATGTTTGCTGATTTGGATATATTATACCGTTGCTGTTCTGGGAGTGATGGCCTTGTTCGCGGGCCTGAATTGGGTGTTTTATGCGAGGAGGACATATCAAGGGCCGCGACTTGATCTGATTGATGGCCAGGAGCAGTAATATCGTTTTTCTTGCATTGTTTTGAGGTTTTCCAAAACTAGATTGTTGCCCGGATACAATTGCGGACGTACATATTCTCGCTGGACAGACACCACTTGACAAAAATGCAGCTCTATACAACAATTTACTAGTATAAGTAAGATAGTTATGGCTACCTGATAGTCTATATCAATTATATTCATGTTATTCTGTCAATTGTCAGTTTGTATACTTCACCTAAAGCACGTCGTATTCGTATTCGCATCGGGCCAACATTCCCCCGACCCCGCATATCCCATCCACCACAATCGATAAAATAGCTTCACCTCAACAATCCATCTCAACCTCATATGTAACCAATCCAGCAGATGACTGCCCCAGGCAGCAAGAACAGAGGTACCCCTCTCCTATCAAATGTAAACCCACCAGCTAATTCCCCAGGCTGCTTCCAGTGTTCCAAACGCCGCATAATCTGCGACTTCGGCGAACCGACGTGCAAAAAGTGCCAGAAAAAGGGCATCGAGTGTTCCGGCCCCGGGCGGTTTCGGTTTACAGAGGGAGTCGCGAGACGGGGGAAGTTGAAGGGATGTTCGATTCCTGTTGCGGATGGGGCGGAGGAGGTAGCGTTTCAGGCGCAGGAGAGGGTTGTGCCGGCGAGGATTCGGTGGAGGGATGAGAGGCCGAAGACGATAAGGAATAAGAATCGGAATAAGGATAAGCAGATTGATGGAGGGCAAGATGGTGATGTTGAAGTCGTGCCTCGTGTTCATGAAGAGAACATGTCGATTGCGCCGTGGATTCCTCAATTGAATCCGCAGACTCGCATGTTCTTTTCGCACTGTAAGTCTTCGCCCTCTTCTCTATATCACCGCTAATTGTGTAGTCGCATTAGAAGTCGCCCCCGTCATGGTCATCCTGGACAACATCTCCAATGGCTATCGCGACGTCCTCCTCCCCATGGCCTGTCAAGATGAAGTCCTCCAGCGCGCCATCAACACCGTCGCTGCCCAGCATCTCGCCGGAAAACAACCCCATCTCCAATCCGCTGCAGACGCAGATCGCGCTGTTATTATATCGCGCCTTCGACAGGATTCCCTACAAGCATCGCCCGATCGCGTATTCAACTTGTCGACATGGGCTACGTTGATTGTCCTACTCGTTGGGGAAACCATCACAGGCAGTTCCGAATATAGTCATTTACTACATATCCTGATGTGTTTGGCGCAGAATATCGGGCAGCTGCAGCAGAGCCCTGCAAATGCGTTTCTCATGCAGCAAACTCATATGTATGTTATCCTATCCTCTAGCGGATATGAAGTACTTATGGAAGGTTCCAATTTCTGGGTCAGCCACTTCTAGGCGAAACACATGGCATCCACGCTCTTGGACTCCCTATCGAACGGTATCTCGACTGGATGGTTTACGATCTCCCACCAGACTCAGAACACCTCCACGTTCTGCATTTATCACGACTTGCATTCATGAAAGCATCTCAGATCTACCTTGGTCGAGCAACAAGCAATCAAGACCAATGGGAGCTGCTCGAAAGTCTGAAACAGCTTATCAGCCAGATAGACCCTGATGCACCTGGCTCGCATGCTTTGGTATGGGTATGTTTTATCGCAGCAGCGGATAGCACTGACCCCGAGCATCGACGCTTCTTCACCGACAGAATGCAGATGGTGTTTGACAAGACAAGGTTCCGGAATATCTGTATGGCGGTTGATTCACTACCTGCTATATGGTCCCAACAGGGCAAAGGAAGATGGACAGAAGAGTTGATTCGACTGTCTCCCACATTGATTATGTGATTTGTATATTAAAAGCTAATGGTAATTCAACATCCTTATGTCCGGGCTGACAGTATCTGTACTCTGGACAGTGAGAGCAGCAGCATCCTGGGCAAACTGGATTGAATCCTCATCAATTCCACCATGACTCTGACTTCGGACGAGTTTCGCAATCAGAGCACCGTTGAACGTATCCCCAGCTCCGTTGACGCTGACCACGTCTTCTTCGCCGACAACAGTACGTGGATAGAAATGGTGTAAAGAAACAGCAGCAGGTGATGTACCATTCCGCACAATCGTCGCCAGTAAGCAGCCATTCTTATCGAGCGTAGTCAAGATCGTTGGTAGATACTGCAGGAGTGCGATAGACTGTTGAATGGCGCGTGGGAGACGAGAGTATATAAGGTTATGCGAAACCGACTGCTTCAAGGTATCGAGCATGACTTTGTATTCTGTTGGTTTGAAGAGGCCATTTTCTTCAGCGGCATTGTATAACCCTTCCAATTCAACCTGATTAGGCGTGATCAAGTCGATGTTATGTTGTGGATATGTTGATTCCAGGGTGATCAAGCCAGGAAATGGTTTCATGAACTGCTTCGCCAGCGGAACCGAGACCGGCTCAATCAGCACCTTTGCATTAACATGTCGAGCACAGTCAATGATTATCGCAGTCACTATAGCCGGATAGTACAAATCCAACAAAACCCACTTTGGCGCGGTACTCTCCATCAACGCCTCCCAATGGCGCCTATAATGCAGCGCATGATGCTGCATGATGGACACATCTGCCATGCCAAAGATGAGGTTCTTCTCTACGTCGTAGTTCCCAATATACGTTCCTGTGTTTCCGTCTGTGGCATCAAGCTTAAGCACACCTTCAGTCGACAGGCCTTCTTCTTTTAGATCTTTCAAAATAAAACTGCCGTTATGGTCGTCCACTATGACTGTTGATAGAGTGACGGATGCGCCAGCGCGACGGGCTGCCAGTGCCATGTTATACGCGACGCCGCCCACGCATTGTGTGATTGTTGCTGGGTTGGAGGACCCTTGGGCGGGCTTCAACTCATCATCTGGAATGTGTATGCAGCTAATGTCCAAGACGCAGGAGCCTATAGCGAGGATGTCTGCAGGCATTGTGTAGTATAAATCAAGCAGATGCAGTGAATTGGTGCGGGGTATGTCAGAAAGCCGACTGTGTGTAATCGCAAGGATCGGCAAGTTCCACTGCTATCTACGCTAGTCTGCGCTGATCAATTAGAATGTAGTATGGAGTCTACATCGTTTTGATCCATTATATACAGCCGACAGCCGCCTCGATATACTGTCGAGTACTCACCAATCCATTACAACCCACCTCCAAACCCAAGTCCTCAATGGTCAAAACCTCTATCGCCTCTTTATCCCATGCTGCTCGACCAGACCTTTCCAGAAACTTCAACATGACTCCCAATTCCCCGCCCATCCCCGGCCACAGCTGCTCAACCGCATCTATCTCGGTCGGGATATATACAGCATCAATATCCTGCCCTGTCCTGCTCCCAGTAGCCTCCATCCACAGACCGAAAAACTCCCCATTCTCAATCCAGTCAGTTACTCCACGCACGTATCGCCGTGGAAGACATTGACTCGGACTCGCTAGGATCCTCTCTACAATCAGCCCGACATTCACTCGATGACCGCCAACAAGAGGCAAGATCGTCTTCGGTCCGACCGGCTGAATCCAGACATGTTTTCCAGCGGATTTCACCCGATTCGGCACGAAGCTGGGATACTGGATATTTTCTGCGTACATGCCTCCCCAGAAAAGGTGGTCTTGTCCGCTAACTCCGGCAGTGAGGAGAGGATGTATTCGTCTACTTCTGCCTTGGCGTCTTGATGCGGGACTGAGAATCCCTTGGATAGAGCAGATGGAAGAGTCGACCAGATAAAGTGCTGTAGGGTGGGGATGGTCGCCGCGACAGTGGCGATGTTTTGGCCGTGTCGTGTTTCGCCGGCCATATCACCATTTACCATTCGTGTTACGGCGAAAATCACATGTGCATTGTCAAAGGCAGCGGATAGACTCGAAAGATCGTCGAGATCTGCTTCGACAACCTCCACGCCTTGTGATTTGAGGTTTTGCGCCTCGTTGGAGTTGCAGTTGCGTGTGACTGCGCGGACGCCGTAGAGATCATTGCGGAGAAGGGTATCAACAACAGAGCGGCCCTGGCCTGCAGTGGCGCCGAGAATGACTGCTAATTGTTTCGCATGCATGTTATTGACAGCGAAACTAGGCATCCAGCTCGTGTGTGTTGCCAGTACAGTAAACCACCGATATAAGCAACGGTTCCGTCCAGGCAATGTACTTGCTTATATTGGTGAGTTGCCTATTATCAGTTGTATGTATTGAAAATTTACCTTGCAAATCTAGTCACATGATACCTGACCCATTATTTCATGCAATACATGGTATTTAAATGATGTTATTGGCTGATACAGGCCCGTCCTGAATCGATATAGGCAATTCTGTATGGGCGAAAGAGAGAATTGTAGTAACTATCTAATATCGGCGTTTTAAGCTATTTAATTTGGGGGATCAAAAAAGATGCGTTGTGTAGTTTGATATCGGTGGTTTACTGTGTTTATTGGATTTTTGACAGCTCTTCAGCCGCACAGCTGTTCATCTACTCAATGAGGCATTCCATGACATTGACTTTGAATATGCCAATCCTTGCTGTTTACAGAGAAAAGACGGCCAAGGGTATATCTGCCCTCATTGGCTGTGGCTCGGCTATACCCACCAGTCATGCGGCTGAGGTGTGGAGTTTATACAGAACAGTCCAAATATGCTGGCATTTATTAGACATTACAGTAAGCTATTCAGAATTTCATCAAGCCTAAGCACTGCTAGGTACACTGCTAGGTGCACTGCTAGGTGCAGGCAAGTACGACGCAGAATACTCCTCCTTCTGATCATACTCGCTCCGACCAAGTCTCCTCAAATACCCACCACTAATTAGATCCTTGACAGGGCTGAAAGCAGCAAACTGCGTCCCCAAGCCAGGCTGCTCAAACCACCCCGCAATCGGTCCTCCACTGACGACAAACGGCTTCGTCACTTCATACACATAGTAGTTGAACGGGTACGCGCCGTCATAGGTGTCGAGGTTACTAGGCGGCAAGGCACGCTCGATATACGGCGCCCCCAACACCGCCAGAAACGTGCCAAACTCGGACCCGAACCGGTCGACTTTCTGTCCGACCTTCAGGGAGATGTTACCCAGCACGGGTGCTTGGTCGGTGTCGAGAAGGAACCCGTTGGAGGGGGGGTAGATGTATGTTCCGTTTGGACCGATGTCGGTAGCCCATTTCTCGAGGAACTCGTAGGGGCAGAGATCGCCGAAACGGGAGTATGTCTGGAGCTCGGTTGAGAGGGGGAAGTTCTTGGGCAGGTTGACGGGGCCTAGACGGGGATCACCGCAGACGTAGGTCTTGTTCTGGAATGTGATGCCCGCGCAGGGATCCGGGTCACATCGTTCGGGGTATTGCTTTTCCTGTGGGTGTTAGTTGGGATGGTGTATGCAGAGAGATGGACGTACAAGGAAGTGGGCATATCCCTGTTGGGCGACAGCCCCGAGGAGGAGAATGGAGGAAGACAACTTCATTGTGTGCAAAGTATTGGATTATGGAGATGAAAATTGAAGTGGATTTCTAACGGAGGACAGAGCCTTTATACTATCCATAATGATAAACAAAGCTAACCGCTCACAGCCAGCCAAGACGAGCACATCTCAAAATCGTGGACAGATGGACGAATTGTAGAAGACAACGAGGGTCCAAACTAGGCTGCAAAGGGCAAATGTGTGACGCCAAGCTAATAGAGCTGAAAATCCCAGGCCACATTCCAATTTGCGGTACACTACCTAGTGTTGAATAATGGAATACGAGATGAGGGATTTAGGGCATTCATTGTACAATTGCTTGTGTCCAATGAGAAACCGGATTAGCAGTAGTATTTGAATACTAGCACAATCCCACACATACCCAGACCAAAAGGCATGGCCAGAAAAATGGCCTAGCCAGATTTGGTAAATTCTTAGTGTGAGTCTGAGTGGGCCTAGATTGCATAGCCCTATCACAATGCATCCTCACTGCGTATATCTACTTGGGTTGGATGGATACTTTATATGGAGCATTGACTTTTATCTACATGTACCAGTAAACATGCGCTTTAGCAATGAGAACAGACAGGGCAATATATGAAACTTTGAGCTGGAAACCAAGCAATATAAGGTCGACAGTTACTATTGACATGAAAGTGTATCGTTGGAAACTCAACTTTAATTCCACACGGAAGACACCTACATTCCAAATTCCCCGATTCGCGCATGCAGCAGGCATCCCTGCATTAACTAGCACACACTATTTACCCATAGCAGCACACCACTAAGAATTCTGTCTTGTTAACCATGCCTGTAAATCAAAAGTACCATCCTGCAAACCCTCCTCCTCTCTATTACACAGAAACATCCATCCTATCGTAAGTGTATTATCATCCTCAAACCATATACCAGCAGGCTGCAACTTGTACGCCTCTGTTTCAAACTGCACCAACAAATCTCGTTCTCTCTCAGTCTGAACCTCATATGCCACTCCATAAACAATATTCGGGTTGGGAATATTTCCTTCGATCAATGCGGGATAGCCATTCCAGAGTTTGCAGGTCCATCCCTGTACCCGGGCCCGACGGATGTTTGGCTGACCAGGACGTTGGATGACTCTGGCAAGTGTCGATGGATCCATCAGGGCGTCATAGAAGAAGAAGTATTCAGGGGCAGATTCGCCTTCAGCAGGCCCGATCATGTTCTCTTTCGGTGGTCCGGCAAGCATTTTGCGGACCATTATCGGGATTTTTGCCCGTTCTTTTCTGGCCGCAAGCTTTTATTCTTAGCCGGGATGGATTCTGGTATTAAAATGAACGTACCTTGTCTGATTCAGACATGTCGAGCTCCCTATGGATATGATGAAGTATATTGAAGGAAGGTGGTGAAGGTGGTTGCGGGGATGCTGTTAGAATGGCATCATGGTAGCATCACTGACCATGTTTATTACAACGTCTACTTTATATTTCACGTCTTACGACCCGCCCGAGCTGCTCTGTTCGTAGCTTAGGATATATAACTATTTGATAATACAGTGAATGCTGCCATATGTGTCTGTGGATCGAAGTTCTACAAGTACTATCATCGCTGTAATAATGTGAATGCAGTAAGTACAAATTTTTATCTCTATGCTTCAAAGCTCGCGTTGGCATTGTCATAATCATGAAGTGGTATGAGGAACTCCCCATAGCAGAAGACAACCAGAAACAAAAGAAAGCCCAATCTTTATAGATACATCACTTTCCCCGCAGTCCATATGTCGTCCAGTTTCGTGTTAATCCTATCTCATTCCCCTGATAATTCGGCAGAATCCATCAGAACTGGTCACCAACTCTACCCTCACGAGCAGTATATTTCTCCGCATGTGTTGTCGGTAGCCTTCCACCGGGTATTTTCAACATTGGTACCAGAGCAGTAGACAGAGGCAGTGAACTTCCACTTGATATGGCCGGGCTCACCACCGTCATCGCACGAGGTCGGCGACGCAACGCACCCAGAATGGCCGAGAATATATCCTTACTTAGACCGCGAGTTGGAACTTCTTGTTCATTTAACCTTTCAGATCTAACAGATGGTGATTATATCTGATATTGGTGTCACGGTTTCAGTTAGATAATCAGCCCCCTTGACCCACAGAACATTGAATCTGGAGACTTTGTCTAGGCATTTGGCTATGTTTATTTTTATCATCGAAAGATGTTAACTTATCGCATGATCACTCTTGTTGATTCCTTGCTATAGACTGCAATGGCCTGTTCTCTCCCACATATAGTTGTAGTGATGATTTTAGGAGTTGACAGCACTAATATCCAAGAAATTCGATCGAATGAGTATCCACATATTTATTCTTCAGATAAAGACGAAAAATATGCAGATAAAAAAACCATCCCTCTACGGAGTAGTAGACCCTGAATGGACAGACGATAAAACTTAACTTATCGCTTCTCATCTACTCATGAGTTAATTCCATCGCTTTTTCACTCCCATCACCGAAAATCATCGAGAATGCCATCCTCATAATGCCAAACGATCTATCCAATCATCAGAAGAAATCAGGCATTCGCACATCTCTCGCCTGTCAGCCATGTCGATACAAGCATTTACGCTGCGATGCACGCAAACCCGCCTGTTCCCCCTGCACCGCTGACAGAAAGCAGTGCGTCTATCCGCATTCCCGGCGGCGGGGGAACAAGAGTGCGCCGCAGTCTACACCAACGCTTACGGTGGGAAATGAGTCGACAGAGAGCCGTGTTGAGGCCCCATCACGTTCGGTGACTTCTAGGAGTAGTGATATCAGCGGACAGAGCGAGAATGCTGATCAGCTTCTGGCACTTTATTATGTCTTCTTCCATGCGGCCCATCCGTGTGTTCTTCCATGTCAGTTCTTGAAGTTGCGGCAAATGGAGGATGCTATACAGCCGCTCCTGCTGGTGATGCAGTATATTGGCTCTATTTTCGCATCATCAATACCCGAAGGGCAATATGAAGACAAAGTCCAAAGAGCATTAATCGACATTCAAATGAGAAACTGTCCCATTACTGGATTCGATGTACAAGCCGTGCTTCTCTACGCGATTGCCATATATTGGTGTAACGATACCGACCGTGGTACGGTACTATTGGATGAAACAATCCAAATGGCAACAGAGCTAGGAATGAACAGAAAAGGAGTTTGCCGTTGAATACGGACAGAATGATCCCGTTCTCGATCAGAGCTGGCGGAGAACATGGTGGTTGATCTATATTACTGACGCGCATATTGCTGGGAGTACTCACACATTCCCGTTTCGCACGAGTCGGACTGAAGTGACTTGATCTTCCTTGTGAGGAGCAGGAGTATGAATCTGGGGTATGTATCACCCTGAGGGAAATATGTCTTTCTAACATTGTTATAGGATATTCCTGTATCCAGAACTCTGCAACAGTATGACAACCGGGAGTTCATGGCGGATGAAATGGAATTCTCCTCTTATGCAGAGCTCATCGGGCTGACCAGGGGCATTGATATGGCTCTGTCGTCTAGTTCTTCTAATATACAGATCTACAATTCCATGTGTGCAAAGTCTGACACCAGCATGGCAGCATGGCATTCTCTTCTCCCTTCGTCTAAAAGATCTTTGATCCGGCCAGATGGCTCCCTAGATGAAGTCATGTTCAAAGCGCAGTTTATCATGCATACGTGAGTCTTTCATCTCAACCAGAAATCATCCTAACATATCCAGATACATCATTGAAATACACAGACCTCTATCAAATCTATCATACAGCCCGATTGAATCAGTATCAAGATGCGCCCCTCTCGCTCCATCGGACAATCTGCGCAGTTCCAGCACATCCGAATGCCAGCTGCACACGGTGAAATGCTTATGGGCGATTGACCATCTTGACCAACTATTGACACTGCCTACCAATATCACCACCCACTCCCCATTTATCATATGCATGATTGCCAATGCTACCATCGCGCATTTAGCTGCTTGCCGTTTTGTCTATCATGGGGAAAAACTACGCATCGCCCGCGAGAAAATCCGGTTAACTATGGGCACGTTAAAGGTCCTCAGCGAATACTGGCTGTTGGGAAAACGAACATATCGGGAAATCGGCATCATCGCAAGGGAGATACTGTCTATAACGTAGAATACAGCGGCTGAATCATTGGACATTCAACAGCAATCTATCGAATTTCCTCTGTTGGAGCCATTCCCAGACAACTTTGACTTTTGTACTCTATTCGATACAACCATTGGTGGCATTCCAACACTACAAATAACGTAACATATTTGCAATGACAATATCAACAATCACTTCCTATACTCCTCATCCACCTGAAACAGCGCATCCATCCCATCCCGCTCATAAGCCTCCGTATCCAAAACCATCGACGCAAGCAACACCGCCGGCTCCGTCTCACTCGCATTATCACTAATGCGATGATGGCACCCAGGCGCCTCATACCACGTTCCACCTGCAGGAATCACTTTCATCGGGTCATTGTTCATCTTGTTCAAAAGTGTGCCGCTGATGACGTACGCAGAGACAGCGGCGCCACCGTGTCGGTGGGGAGGAGTTGAACCGTTGGGAGGGAAGTCGACGCGGAGACCGATGATGCTCTTTCCGGGGACGTTGGAGAGTTTGTATGAGTATGCAATTTGAATGGAGGGCATCGGGCGGCTTGGTTGTTAGTTTTGTAGTCTTGGTGGGGAGATGGTGATGTATCTACCTAGGGTTGTAGGTTGGTTCTTCCATGGTGACGGTGTTGGCAGATCGCTTGTTGTTGATGTTGTTTCTGTAGAAATAAAACGATATTTATATTTCACTTCAGGTAATGAACATAGGCTATGTTAAGACTCAAAATGATACATCATGCTGAGTGTGTTGGCATTGCGTCATTGGCTCTTCCGAGATGATTCTGGATAGCCTATCCAATAGCCTATCGCTCGCGGCGGCGATGTAACTGCATAAATGTAGTATTAGGGTTGGCACTTAATAGATCGGAAGTTTGTTAATCAGTTAAGATGCTATTCTCTAGAATAGCCTAACTTATGCGTTCAACAGAATTTGCGAGGTTGCAATTTTATGGCTTGCCTGGATATATATGTTGAAGGCCTTCTTGATGTATTCCGTTCGACGAAAAATGCGAACACTTGATTATTCTTCGGGAATTACTTATTTTATATGGGAGAGGTTCCTGACGAAACGAAGGGCCTGGAGGCCTCTGGAATCGTTGCGCAGGTTGGGAGTCTTGTCACCGAATTCCAGGCGGGAGATGATTCCCGGAAAGCCTATCGCGCAATAGCCTATCGCTCGGGGAGGCAATGTAACTGCACAAAGATATTATGAGAGTTGGCACTAGGTATACTAAAGTGTGTTAATTAGTAAAATGCTATTTTCTCTAGAATAGCCTAATTTATGAGTCGATCGCAATTTATGATGTTGCAATCATGTGTCTTTCGCCGATATATATATGCGCGTCTTTGACACCACACTTATTACAATGAGAAACTGACAACAAAAACCAACTCAGTCAACTATCCCAATAAAACCATCAAATTAAACTATGACAATGTCACAGCGATCAGTCCAATCTGTTATTCTGATCACAGAGCCCGGAAAAGCTGAAATACACCATGACCTCCCCATTCCAACCCCAAATACCAAGCAGCTTCTAATCCGAATACACGCCGTATCTCTCAATCCCTCCGATTCAATGGCACTGCACAGCTTTGCAAAACCAGGCTCAGGGATGGGATTTGATTTCTCGGGTATCGTGGATGCAGTCGGACCTGAATGTACGGATTGGAGTATCGGGGATCGTGTTGCGGGGCTTGTTCATGGGTGTAAGTGCCTCCAGCAGAGTGTGTAGCACTACTAATACTGATGAATTTAGGCTATGGCCCAGATTATACGATCGGGGCGTTTCGGGAATATATCACGGTTGATGCTGAGATGGTCATTCGAGTACCGGATCATTTAGACCTGAGTGAAGCATCGACTCTGGGGATGGGCGTTAGTACTGCTGCACAGGGATTGTATCAATCATTGAAATTGCAACTACCACACATTGATGCTGCGAGAAAAGACGAGACCGTACTGATCTATGGGGGAGGAACGGCAACGGGCTATATTGCAGTACAGCTGGCAAAACTGTACGTGAATCTAGTCCATTATGATTAACATTTGCTAATGGTATTTAGATCTGGATATCGCGTCATCACAACATGCTCCAAGCACAGCATGGACAGAATCCGATTGTTGAACCCGGATGAGATAGTTGACTACACTCATCCTGATGCCGTCGCCATGACCCAGAAGCTAGTTCGTCCAAATGGCCTATCACTCATCCTCGACTGTGTGGCCAACGATTCTACTGCCGCATTTTGCTATCAATGCTTCAGTCCACAAGAAAACCAGCCCTGCATACACGCCTCGCTGATGCCGATCAACAACATCCCATCTCACGCTGCATCAATGAAGATAACCAACAAGTTCAATTTAGTCTACACTTGCTTTGGGAAAGAGTTTAATCTAATGGGTCAAACATGGGAGGCTTCTGAGCTAGATAGAAAGTTTATGATCTCGTTCTATCGGAGGATGGAAAGGCTGTTGGAACAAGGCCAATTGCGGTTGATGCCGGTTGATATTAGAAATGGGGGGCTGAAGGGTGTTTTGGAGGGTGTTTCCGAGTTGAACAAAGATAAAGGAAGAAAGTTGGTTTATATTGTAAGACCCGAAGAAAGTACAGGATAAAGAAATTATATCCACTAGTTATAGCTGGGTATGTACAGTGGAGATACTAATATCATCAAACATCCACCTATTCAAACACCTTGAACTCCACCAATCTCACCTTCTGTCCCTCCTTTGGCGTAAATAGCAATCGGATCTGGTTCGAAGTAGTCGTATCCCAAGACGGAGTGGTAATTCCATTCGCCACAGGATCGGTGAAATTTCCATTCGACACATCCGCCCACGAGCCCGTGTTTGCCTGGACTCTATACGAATCCGGAACATCGTATCCCAGGGTGCTATTCGCGAAGAATGCAATCTCCGCAGAAGAAGTTGTGGTTGCGGCCCCGAAATCAACCTGGTACCAGATTTCACTGCCATCGCCGGCGGGAGTATCCCAGCCGTTGGCGATTTCAGGGAAGAACCAGACACGGCCGTCGATGGCGGCGTGGACGGATTCGGTATCTGCATCGGATACGGAGACACTGCCTTGAGGCCATTCGGAGGCGGACTGAAGTTGGATGGAAAGGGCGGTTGGCCGGTCAATGGATGGTGGTGCTTGTCGGGTGATGTTGACAGTTAGACGTTTCAGTTCTGATGCTGTTGCGACGGTCTTTCCGTCTACTTCGACTGTGAGGCCGGCCGTGCTGTATTGGTTGCCAGTTGCATCCCATTGCACGGCGATGTCGTGGCCGTGGTAGAGGATGTTTTCAGCGCGGAAGTAGGAAATTGTGTTTGGGTCAGCCAGGGGGTTAACGTCCAGAACATCGTCTGCTCGAGGTCGGATGCCTACAAGGCCAGAGAGGACGAGGTCAACGTATCCAGAGTGGAAGTAGTGAGGGGATCGAGCGAGGCCGACGATGGGACTGCCTGAGTCGGGGTAATAGTCTTCTTCGATGTCGAGGACGCCACCACGTTTGGGGTTGTAATGAAGCTGAGCATACTGCTGGAGGAGGGTGGTGTAATCGGCATTGCTGACGATTCCAGCAGAAGCAGAATTGGGATAATGATCGAGCAGATTGGCAAGACCAGTGAGGACCTGAGTGGTTTGGAATGGCCAGATAGGACCATTCCACTGGCATTCTGGCTGTGTTCCTTCGTAGCGATATTGATGCATGTAGTATTCATAGCTGGGCTCGTTGGTCCGCATGCCATGCTCACCAGCCAGTTTCTCACTATCTAACAGATGCTTCCATGACTGAGCAAAAGTAGCATTATCGTCTGGCAGATCGTGTGTCCATGGGACATAGCCAACGAGCTCTCGTCCCCGGATAAAGTCCCAGTAATTGACATTCTCATTGTCGACATGGTATCGATCGATGAAGTGCTCAAAGGTGCTATTCCAGAGCGAGCTCTGCACTGTATCTTTTATAGCAGCAGCTTGGTTGTGATAGTTATCCGCGAGGCTCTCATCTCCCTTCAACGAAGCAAGATTGGCGATGGCCAGCGCGTTGGCGTACTGGTAGCTGTTAATACTGGGTCTGAAGGCATATCCTCCGTCAAAGCCATCAGAGCCACCCGAAGCATCGATGCTGGCAATCGTATACTCGGTCGCGTCCGTCACAGGTTGAATCCAATACAATCCCTTGGATGTATCGTATCCCCCAAACGACAGCGAGGTATTCCATCCCTTAAACACATCCTGCATCGCATCCAGATGTGCGGAAGCATCATCAGCCACTCCATCAACCAGATAGCCCTGCCACACGCCATCCGCCATACTCTCCGAGAACTGATGCGTGGCCGTGTTATCTGGCCCAAAGATGAAATTGGCATAGTCCTCTTTGAACCGACGATCACGACACCACCGTCCTTCACGGAGATGAAAGTTGGTGGCATCAATCAGTAATCCGAATGGATCAAGTTGCCAGCTCACATCGTTGAGGAATTCCGTCGAGATGAACCCGTTTTCTCCCAGGTCGCGCTGATGCGCTCGGAACAGACTCCATCGGTAGTAATAGACGTCGGTTATTTCCTTTGAACTGGACTCGAAGATAGGAATGCGATTGAGATACCACGCAGAGTCATTTCCAAAGTGCGCTTTAGTGAGACTGCTGGCATCGAGCGCTGCGTGGACGATTGTATAGAAGAGAGATAACACAAGGGGCTTCATTTTGGAGGTGTGGTGTGCATGAACATACCTATACGGAGTTACCTAACTGGTTATTATGTGTTTCCGATGATTCTCCGGTGGAGAGATTCAGGGGTGAAATGTCTTGGATGATCATTTCTGCAGCGTTGGCTCTCCTGTGGGATGATGCTGCAACCCCGCATTTGCTCCGGTGGGGTGAGGCTATAGTGGCAGTTATTTCTACAGTCTATGAATAGATGCGATGACTCTACCAGAATATTTGAGGAAAAATCCGAATTAACCGAGAGTCCAACGTCATGAAATAGGACCATGCCTTTCAATATGGTTACTGTTTCTGCACCAACCCCATCACAGGCGACCAGTTGTATACCATCCTCTTCCTTTCCTCTGCAAAAAAACACTTGAGAGCATCTTCCCGACGACTGATCGGCGGCGCCAAAGCAGGTGGATTTGTCCTTTTCAATCCCCCGAGAATCTCCTGGAGAGGCAACAGGTACGTGTTTGTGCACAAGTGTGCCAGGTTTCCCTTGAACACGCCCGATTCTGAGTTGATGATGTTGAACTTGGCTTCGTCGAGCTGGCTGGGATACTCGCGACCCAGCTGCTCGGTTAAATTAGAATTACCCTTCCATCATAATGGAATGGATGGAATAGCTATTGTCGATGCCGCATTTGGGGAATAGGGTGTTTACCATCTGTTCGAACGTCTTTCCCTTCGTTCTTGTGACAACCTGATTTACTAGGTCTGCATCTTCCCATTGAACATAGCCTCCTGGCTCTGGGCTATAATCAGTCCCATACAAGTTGTAATAATTGAAAATACTCACTCAGAAGAAGAGACGTGTGATAGAGCAGTGGTGCCATGTCTCTCTCGCGAACATTACTAGCCCACATCCGAATATGGACAACGTCATATTGACCCTGGACAGATGCTGGTGGCTGAACAAACGAGTCAAGCAGTCCGAGGTGTACATTATGTGGCTAGTGATCTTCATGCGGGAATTTACCATCCGAAATATCGAACCCATGAAGCTGGACGCTCGATGGGAGGTTGTTGGCGAGATCAAAGATCCAGATTCTACGGCCTACGTCATACTATGGGTGACAAAATTCCAAGGTCAACTGTCATACTGCTCTGACTTCATGGGGTGTTCCCTGATACAGTAGGAGCGCAATCCATATAGTGACTGGGTACGATGATGAAACCGTCAGGCAGGTATGCGACATATCAAGAATGGAGATACCTACGATGCAGCAAATCCCCAGAATATGGACATCAATGAGACTGCTGATGAGTGCATCGAGCGAGTGTCTCGAGCGCTGGCTGAGATCGCAGAGGGAGAGAAGACCACGCTACGTGAAGAGGTTCGCAACGACCCAAGAGAGATTGTTGAGCATATCATCTCCATCAAGGAAGCTATCAGCGAGCTCAACCGTCCTTGTCCCGAGGAAACTGTGGTCATGGAAGATCTTATGTCTGTCCGGCCCCGTGGAGGTATGCAGCATCTTGGATCCAGAGTAACTGGATATCTAGACGAGAAGAAGGATTTCTGGGATGCATTCGACGTCCTGTTCCCATCTATCACTGCGTCAGGAATTCCCAGGGCACCAGCCCTCGAGGGCATTCAACGTTTGGAGAGCCAACCGCGAGAGCCTTACTCCGGAGCTGCTCTTCTCATCGACAGCAAACGGTCTTTTGAGGCTACAGTGGTTTTGCAGACTGTACTGCAGGATAAGAATCGGCGATGGGTATAGGCTGGAGCGGGAGTCATTGCGCAGGCGAATCCTCAGCGGGAAATGATTGAGACCTGTGAGAAGTTGGAAAGTATTGCTCAATATGTCGTGACAGAGTAGATGAGTACTGGATAAATTGGTCTAGATTATGCATGCAAGAATGCCAAATACAGATCCTGGTAAACTCTGATTCCCGATAAGATAAAATAAGCTTCGATCGACATGCTCCCATTGGCTGTGTCTCAGGAACCGTGGGTCTCTCGATCTTTTCGCAATCTCTTCATCCCTTTTTGATTTCTGCGCGATCATTCTGCCATCATTGTCGTCTCTCACGATCTTGCCGGCCGGCATGGAAGCCCACAACCTCCAGCCCAATCCGCGGTTTCTCTTCCGCCAACCGCTCGCCCTGCAGTGGTTTGAAAATGGCAAGCTTGTTAAGCGATCGGAGGAGGAGCGGCAAGCTGGTAAACCCCCTGATGCGCGTGTGAGTGCGCTTGCTGATGAACAGGCCGCTTTGAGTTGTTTCTCGATCTGTTGTATGTCGCGATTCTTGCGAACTTTGCCGACACTCTTGCCGAGGATATATCAGGTGTGAAAGTAGTGAAATATATTGTATCTCTCCCGGTCGCATTCACTTATTCCTACTGACAGAGGACAGCTTATTCTTGCCCCATCATGGCATGTATGGAGTGATTTGCGCGAAATCATGAACTCCTTCTATAATGATGACTTTCTCCAGCGCATTCTGATCCTCTGGGTGATGGCCGTGCTGATGGTGTATGGCAATAATGCCTCGCTTGTCGATGAAGATATCGGGGCCCTGCGTTCCACCGTCGGCGCGTATATGGTTGCTCGGCTGAGCTGCAATATCGCGCAGCTATACTATTCGTTTGGTAGTTATCATCATCGCCCGCAACAGCGACTTTGGGTTGCTCTATCTACAGCGTGCCTCTTCATTTACATTCCCCTCTATGTGGATACTATCTCCCTTCGACACAAGATTGCTGTTGCAGCTGTCGCTGTCGTGCTAGAGGAATGCGTGTGGGTATTCTGCTACTCACCCATTGCGAAACGGATGCTCAAGGCCAAGTATACAACCGCCGTGGACATTGCGCATGAAATCGACCGATTCGCTGCCTTCTATATCATTGCGCTTGGAGAGTTCCTCTACTGGAGTATCGTTGGTAGTCCGGCCGCAATTGGATTTAACACTGGCTTGCTTAGAGCCGTATGGACGCTGGTTATTGCGTTTTGTCTTAACTGGATATACGTGCACAACGACGGATCGTTACATGGAACACACCCTCTTCGCCATTCCATCTGGACGGCATTCTCATGGGCAACTCTTCATCTCCCGCTGATTGCATCTTTGCTTGCGGGCGGACACGTAGCTGCGCTGAGTGCAAAGGAGGACCAATTCGGAGAGTCTGAACGGTGGTTGCTCTGTGGGAGCATCGGGGTTGGATTATTCTGTCTCTGGGGATTTGGATTGCTGTATGCCGATAAGGATGAACCTGGGACGTTGATGCTGAACAAGGTATGTATCTCTGAACTCTATAACATTTCCATACTGATTACAATAGCATTTTCGTATCATAATGCGTCCTATTGTCGGAATCGTGATTATCTGCCTTCCCCTGGCAGATGGTGAGAAGGAGGTCACGACGACCATGTCTACCATGATGGCGTTGATTGTGTTTTGTCTCATTTGGGAGAATGTGACTTCTCTCCGAAGAGATTGCCAGATTTGGGAAAAGTGGGAGAATACGAACTATCCGGAGAAAGTAATGGACGGGACGAAAGGGTCAGGTTGATATCAGTCATCTATAGCTTTAATTTAATCGACATCCACAACATCCTCTGTCGATCCATTGCTCGTTGTATTTAACTGCTCAACCCAATCAGGCTGCTCACACACGAACTCGAACCCGAATGGCCTCATTTCATTCCGAAGTCGATCTACTCGGTCCCACGGATACTCCACTCCATTTCCTCCTCCCCAATATGAGGTGTACTCAATTGTGATTTTCTTGAGTGCTGCCTTCCTCGTAATGGCTTCCTTTATTAGCTCTCTCAGCCACTTTTCCTCGTCAGCGCCAAAGTCCGGAGAACACTCTGCTTCCTCGTCGGTCCATCGGCAGTCCAGAGTGAAGCTCTTCAGTTTTGGGGCGAGTAATGTGTCAGCGACGGTGGGCGAGAATTTCAGGTCATCTTCCATCGCACTTCGGGATAGACTCAAGGCTTCCAATTCGGGAAAATCCGAGGCGGGGAATAGGGGGCTGGCATCGGAGTAGCATACATTACCGATGTCAATTGTTTTGAGTGTGTCATTGTGGTTTAATAACGTGGAATAGACGATGGAATTGCTGAGCTTCAGATTCTGGTAAAAGTAACTGATGCCGTCAATATGGAAATGACGCAATGCTTTGGGCCACTTGATTAATCGCTCCAGGTCTCTGCTGGTTATAGAATAGTTGCTGAGTGTGAGGCTGGTGAATGCAGCAGCTCCATGCTAGAGATGTGAGCTTTTGTTCGAAGTGTGTTCAATTGAGTGCCCACCTTGTAGTCCATATCATCGAAGTCTTCATCGCTAGTCAGGCCGTCTATACTCAGCTCTCTGAGTGATGGCATATCGACGGATTCCATAATCTCCCTTGGTTGAATGTCTTCCTTTCCCGCTTGAATCTTCAACTGGGTAATCTCACGCATAGACCGACTCGCTATTTGAAGGAAACGCGATCGCTGCGGTCTAGTACCCCGGAATGGCGAGGTATTCATCTTCAAAGTTTTCACACAAGAAGACCATCCAACGATATCACAAGTAATGACAGACTCCTTTTCATCATCTTCATCATCGCCAACGTGAATCGTGAGCTCCTGACAGTACCTGGCGAATGTCTGTTTCTGCTTAAGAGTGGAGTGGAGGCATTTTGTTACACCTGAGGCAGACGATACTTGAATGTTGATAGTATGGTACAACAGAGGAACGGCAATGCGGTTGAATGCATGACATGTCACCGTCAATGAGATTATAAAGAAAGAGCTGTATCGATCTCTCTCCCTGTGTCTGTCCGGGATCTCTCTAGCGGCGAGCTCGATGATGAATGCCAGGATTTCTTCAGGGAGTCTGAAGATGTATGCTTCGGTTCCGACACAGGGTTGGCAGGTACATCTGGATTCTTCCCGTTTTGAAGCCATTTTGTCGATGTGAAAATAATGAAGATAGGGATTTCGCGAATGAAAGGCGGGGCAGCAGGGAATACAAGGGGGCTGAGCAGTGTGGCTGAGAGGACATACGAGGCTAGGCGAAGTCTTCACCATAGTCCATTCTATTTATTCCTTACGACAGTAATCTTCTCCATTATCGAATTATCATCACAAATCACTATCTGTCTCATCCGGAATCGGTTCTCTCGCCGCCTGTTCCATTTTTCTGCTATACTCTGCCAGTGTTTCAGGGTCAATGTTGAGATCGGAATAACCTGTACAACAGTTGGTGTGCCAGCACTGTATTTCCATATTAGCTCAACCAGATAGAATTTAATAGCACGTACCAATGATGGATCATTCAAAAGTCCCCGGCAAAGCCATAAAAATGGCTCGTCAAAGTCGGCACTAGGCGTCTTGGTAGATATTTCACAGTATTCAAGCCTGTCCATCCTGGAGATGACATGCATATTTATCTTGATTTCTATCTCGATGTCTGCCTTATTGCCACATATGACAATTGGTATATCACCGTTGAGAGATACAATTTGGCCTAATATGTTAGATCAGAGTACATTCTAGAGAGGGTACATACTGTGCCAGTATTCGATATTCCCATAGGTCCGTTCATCAGAAGCATCAACCATGATGATAGCAGCATCAATGTTCGTTAGATACTCTTCTAAGCTCTGTGTAGAGCCCTGGGAGCCAGCAATATCCCATATCTCGAAATCAATAACACCACGATTCTACTCTATCAGTACGAATAACATACATAGAAAGTATACACACCGTTCCAAACGACAGCTTCCAAGTCACATCATGTTCATCTGTTGGTATATACTCATCCTGGAATTCTCCAGTGCAGTTCCGCTTCACGAATGCAGTCTAAAGATATTCTTATTAGCTGGCAACTATCTTATGGGGCATCGTTGATACCTTTCCTACGCCTGCGTCTCCGACCAGCGCAAGTTTGAACTGAAATGGCTGACTATGGCGGGAATTCATGATGGAATTGTCCTGTGTATGGAATTTATTTATCAAGTCGGTAGTTGCTGCGTACAAAAATTGTGCGAACGAAATGTATGGGCACATCTGGAAGATAAGCAGCGACGTGGCAGAGATCTATACCTAAATAGGCAAAGTATACGAGGCCCAGTGGCAGTGCAGTTGGAAAGTATACTCAACAAGAAGCAATACTCAAGTATGCAGTAAACCGATTCACAGTACGTTGGAGTCAGTACAACCCCAAAGGGCAGAGGTAAGGCGGTGCTGTACCGTCAACGAATAATGGAAGCTTTTCAGTTACACGGTACGAGATGTTTTTAGACGAAGAGATGCATATCAACCTTGTGTGCAACTCAACGACAGCAACTGCCGCTGTATTATTCAGAATTAGATAATTCCTTCCGAATGATGAAAGATATGCGGCTGTTTCACATACCAACAGCAGTTCAGGGACGAGCTTAAGTTGCCCTGCCAAAGTACTCAGCTCTTATAAAGCTGAACGAGACGCTAGGATTATCCTACAGGTACACCGTTTCGATAATTACCATGACACATGCAGCGCATTGAACTAAAATTGGTATTGTATCATCACCCTTGAGAAGCCTGTGGGATTTAGCATGTATATCCTTCGCGTTTAGGGAGTTTATGGTGGTATCTTGTCATTTAAATGAATGATGAAGCTCTTTGATTGGGGTAAATGCGAGCAGAGTGAGCAAGACTATTTAAAATGATGTGGAAAATGCAAGTCGAGATACAATGTAATCATAGGGGCCCAGGCAGTTTCAAAAATGACCAGGCGTGTATAGATAACTTTATAACTGTTGCATCATATTGTATTTTCATTCCTATGGTAGACTAATTATCGGTTTTTGGTTAGATACTATAAGGATAACTTTTCCACTAATGTTCCATGAAATGAATGATCGGGGTGTGATAATTCCACAGAATGAAGGCAGTTCCTATAATAGAGCAATAGTATTTCTATAAAAAAAAATACGACAGAGTTTCTATTATTGGATACATATAGTTTAACCATTTCTAGCAAGGTTTCGGAATTGCCTGGTGCCCTATGTTAGAATTTACTGGTATTGTCTAGCGAGAAAAGGAGTGCTTGCAAGACCAAATGCGGAGATGTACCGCATACTCGGGTCAGCCCTCGCATCTGTCAGAAAGTATCGATGAGTAAAGGGATACGATCTGTCATATCCGCCGCGGCCCATCGTGATGCCATTCAATCTATTTCCTCGAAAAGTCCGTCGAAATGATATGAATAACCCTTTCTTCCTCGTTCGTCTTCGATTAGATATAGCAATTTCATCAAACAAGGCTTCTAGGAAGCCAGACTCGCAAGATACCTTTCAGCTGTTCAACTTTTGCAAGCAAAATGGCCCACCAGAATGATATACCGCTGGATACAATAGAGAGGCTGGTATATTCCTGAGGGAATATGGCAACATCAGTCCGGAGAAGCACTCGCAGCATTGCAAGCGCATTGTCCGTCGTCTATGATCCCACCATATCCAATACTGGCGCCAGTTTCTATAGTCAAGAGAAGGCTGGAAAGTCTTGAAATATCCGTGCTTCCCATAGTACAGATTCCTCGGTTTTGACCTTGCTCGTTCACCGGCATACGAGGAATCCTTTTACGATCAAAGAAGGCCATCATTTTCTCGACTTGGGCTGCGGCCTTGGTCAAGACATGCGTCGATTGGTATACGACGGTGCACCCCTAGAGCACCTCTTTGACTGGACACGACCAGGGAATTCATCGACCTGGGCTTTGAGCTATTCCATGACAGAGAAGACACCACCGAGACCAAGGCTCTCAGCCAAAAGGTCAACATCATCAACTCGGGGTACTTCATGCATTTGTTTGACTGGGATACTCAGCCGGATAATGCTAAACGGATACTTACATTATTCTCTCCGCGTCGAGGAGCTGTCAAGTGATATGGGGACATCGTGCACTTTCTACTGTGAGATAGATGGTGAAGCGCGCACTTTGTATCCTGGAGGGTGTCTGTTGAGATGGGTTGTTGAGCGGCAGTAGACCATCTGTATTGGCCATAATAAATGCATAGAATGGATAGAATGGATTTTGTTGTGTGGGCAGGTCACTGCTAAGAGAGCATTTCTGCTGGATATATATAACGCCGCCATAGCGTCACCCAACACCATGATCCGATGGCTAGATATTTCAAATTGAGAATTGATGTGGCTATTACTCTCACAGATTATACAGAATAATTAGCATCAGATTAGATAAATCAAGAATAATTGTTGTTCACTTAATCCCATCCCTGCAAAAGTCGTGATGTCATCGATATCCAACAGCCCAACCAGTCAAGATAAAATAATTGCACAACATCAATCGCAGACATAAACCCAGAAGTCAAGCATAAATGATGCATTGATTAATGCAATCACTCGATGATCTCAGCATCCCAAGATTATCAGGTCTGCGTGCGACATTAGTGGCTGCTTATTTGCTGGTGATGACGAGCAATGACCACATCTCGCCACTGGAGTCAACCACGAAACCAGATCGATGAACATTGGCCTCCCTCGATCGATTGTGGGGTATGTAAATTCAATTCTGGATGGAACGTCATTACTCGTTGACCAGAGGGATCGTGGCGTCATGGATAGACGGAGCGGATAAGCGGTTATATATACCTGTCTGATCCCAATGCCACTTCAATCTACCATGCAACATACTTTACCTAACTCTATCTTTTCAATTGAACTACAATAATCATGTCAGGCATCGCACACAAAATCAAAGACGCCCTTTCCGGCCAAGCCAAAGACTCCGCAAGCAAATACGGCAACGAATACCTCGACAAGGCCAAGTCGAAAGGAACCGAATTCGCCGATGGAAAAATAAAACAAGGCCGCGAGAAGCTGCAGTCGTATGGAAAGGACGACGGCAATGGGGGTGTTGGGTCCAAGGCCAAGTCGCAGGGAATTGGGGCTGCTGATTCGGGAGTAGAGAAGGGCAGTGATACTCTGAAGTCGTATGGGAATGGGTCTGGCGATGCTGCTTCCAAGGACCAGAGTCAGGGTCAGAGTCAGGGCCAGGGACAGTCTGGAGCTGATGCAGCCGATTCGAAAGCGAATCAGGGTGGCCAGGCTGCTTCGTATGGAAATGAATATGGTGGTGCTGCCACCCAGTCTCAAGGAAATGCTACGAATGCTGGATCAAAGTACCAACAACAGGGCGACAACGTCGCTGCTTACGGCAGTGAATATGGCAATTCAGCCTCCAAGACCAAGTCCCAAGGACCCGAGTCTGGCAGTATTTCCGATTTGAAGTCACAGCAGGGACGTGGTCAATATGCTGGTGGTGCTACTGCCAATTCTTCCCAGCAATACGCGAACACGACCAACATTGCCGACACCAAGTTCCAACAGGGCCGTGAGAGCTTTGCTTCTCACGGCAATTCCAACCCGTACTCCCATGAATCCGAGTTTGGCAACACCGACAACTATGGCTCGACTGGATCCAAGGGTGCTGCTGTTGGTGCTGCCGGCGTTGGTGCAGGTGCTGCTGGAGCGTATGGCAGCAACCAAGGCCAGTATGACACTCGATCCAACAATCCTTACGCGAGTAACAACTATGCCTCCAACAACAAGGGCAGTGAATACGGCAGCAATTATGGGCAATCTGGCAACCCTTACTCCAACAACCCATACTCCAACGAGGCCAGTTCCGAGTATGCCGACAGCTACGGCTCAGCCTCCCCCAAGGACACCGAGTATGGCAACAAGTACGAGCCATCATCGCTGAGCAAGGAGAACAGCGGTGCTCAGTCTAGCCTCGCCAACACCCAATCTCAAAACTCCCAGTCGAAAAAGGTTAGCAATACCGACTCGAAAGCCAGCACTGATCGCGGTGGCCGCAGTGCTACCACCGCAGCTGGTATCACCAAGCAGCCTACCTACCCTGCAGGCCAGCAGAGCGCAAACAGACATACCGCTGCCTCATCTGAAAATCGCCAGGGAAGCAACATCGCGAAGAAGACAAGTTCCCAGGGTCAGAACCAGCAATACAACACCGACACTAGTAAATTCATGAACGACGTTCACAAAGGCAGCATTGGCGGTGCCGGCGTGATCCATGCGTCTGGATGTTCTGGTCCGACCACCACCAAGACGTTTGATCCCCATGCCACCGTTGCAGGAGGCGGCACAACTCAATCTGGTGGATCGAACTTGGCCAACGAGTCGTCTGGCGGCAACGCTGAACCTGCAGAGTCGGACACGACCTATGGCAGAGCCGGCAGCACCGGGGCGAGTGCGCAGCAAGGCAGTCAGAAGAAATCCGCTGCAGGATTCGGTGGATCGACGGGATCCAAAGCGGGAAGTGAGGATAAAACGGCCGGCAGTGGGGGCGAAAAGGGAGCTGTTGGATCCACGGGAGATGTTGGCAGCAACAAAGCTGGTGGTGACGATGCTGAAACGTCAGAGCTGAAGAGCGTCACCAACAAGTTCAAGACGTCCGCAGCTGGTGGCCCTGTAGTGATTACCCGATCCAACACCCCCGACAGCGACTATGGCACGGCCAGCGACATCGGCCACACTCCGTCGCCGGCTCTGAATGCGCAGAGTGGCAGCCAAACCATCCCCCGAAGCGGCGAGACCAGCTATGGCGACTCGACCGGGTTGAACGTGGGCGGCAGCCACTACAATGCCCCTCGCAGCACCAACGTCACATCGACGCCGACTGCAGCTAGTAACTACGGTGCATATTCTGGCAGTGCCGCTCGTGACGACTATAGCCTGATAGGTGGTTATAATAGCGCCAGATCCAACGCCGCGGGCACCAGCTACAGCAAACCTCGCACCGGTGGACCGGTCATCACGACGCAATCCAACGCGTCTGGCAGCGACTTTGACCTGCCGGCCACAGGCTATGGATCGACGGGATCGAACGCAGCCGGCAGCAGCTACAACACGTCAAACATTGGGCGTGCCGTGGGAAGTGAAGATGATGTTTCGCGCAAGGTGGATAGTGGAGCTGAAGCTTATCGCAATGGATCGGTGGTGTATGGGACCCAGCGAGGAACGCCATACTGATTTGATTTTCTATTTTTGATGGTTAATTTTGAATGTGTGATTGTGTGTTTATTAATAAAATTCTTGGTCGAATCGATAGTGTTGGTACTTTTGTCATGCCCGATTATTTGGTCGACTAGGGGTTGCTAAGAATACGAATAGGAGACCGTTGTTGAGTGATCGATCAGCTCGATGATAGCGTCGAATCGGACAATAAACTAGTCACAATAAACTCATCCCTTGACAGCCTGACAGCACAACAGAGTTTGACCAAGACATGTCGACGCTTCTTCAGACGATGCATCGTAAACTGTCTTTGCTACGCGACTCCCCACTGGCCCATCCGCAAACTGCGTCCGCCATGCAAGGGCTGTGCGCGCCGATCAGCCCCTAATGTCTCGACTTCCCTGTCGCGCTGCCCAGGTTTAATTACCCCCGAATCCTTCGCTCGCCCAACTAATTCCTGCAGAGGGGCAATGCTATTGAGAGAAAATCCCCCTAGAATTGGATGTCTCGCCTTGCAGGTGCGGATGTGATGAGTACAAGCGAGGGCAGGTCGAGGGTTTCGCCAGCCCCCACAAGGGAGGATGCGTGTGTATTTAAAATTGAATATACCCATGTTTCTCAGCACGATCCTACGATCATTCCAAATCGATGCGTTCTCTCTCGTTTTCTTTTTCTTGCTGAAGAAGTGTCAAGATGCGGTGTGAAGATGGCACCGAGGGCTGTTTTGGCCCGTCCAACGAGAGTCTCCGCCGGTCGGTCATTGTCTCGCTCGTCTTTGCGTTTTTCCTGTCGACCGTCACCGTTGCGTTGCGGCTGCTGGCCAGGAGGATCAATGGGACGAAGCTGTTTCTCGATGATTATCTGATTCTGATGGCACTGGTATGCCGCACCTGCATATGATATATGTACATGCTAATTCGTGCAGCTGTTCAAGTATGGTTGCTCGATCGGTGTTTGCATCCGTAAGTCTCGCATCTACCGATCTCATTCATCGCTAATCATGATAGTCCTATACAATGGCCTTGGATCGCACATTACCGAAATCCCCCCAAAGAACCTCATCATCTTCGCCAAGGTATGTCTCTTTCTCCCTCGATTGAAGACATATACTCACCCGTCAGATCGGCTACTCCAACTCCTTCGTCTATACCGCCTGCATCGCATTCATCAAACTCTCCATCCTCACCCTCTACAAACGCCTCTTCTCGACCCGACGCATGATCCTCGCCTCCAACCTCATCGCCACCTTTGTCATCCTCTGGGCCATCAGCATCTTCATTGCCGGCGCTCTCATCTGTATCCCGGTCAATAAATTCTGGGACCAGTCCATCCCGGGTCACTGTCTCGACAGCGCCACGTTCTACTACGCGATGCAGATTCCGAACATCTTTTCCGATCTGGTGATTCTCATCATGCCGATGAAGATTGTCTGGGCGTTGCCGATTCCCAAAACGCAGAGGATGCTCTTGTCGTGCGTTTTTGTCGTGGGTGGATTGTATGTCTTCCCTCTCTACTAGGCTTGTCAATGCTAACAATATAGAACTCTGGTCTTTGATATCGTCCGTCTCGTCGCAATGATCAAGCTCACTCAGGCTGGTCCTGACGTCACCTGTAAGTCTTCTCGTCATACACCAACACCAACACATCTAACAATATACCACAGACTATCAAGCCCCCGCCGCACTATGGACCTGCATCGAAGCAGCCGTCGGCATCACCGCAGCCTGTCTCTCCAACCTCCGCCCGCTCTTCAAACTCGGCTACCGCGGTGTCTGGTCACACATCCGATCATCGACTCACCAATCCGCGCAGCCACTAAACCCAGGCAGTATGGAGAAGCCATACGATTCGTATGTCACGGAGCGTAGTGTCGGGAGTAGATATAGCCTTGACGAGAGCAGGAAGCACTCAGTTTGAGATACTGTATCATTTGAGTTGAGCGATTTTACATTGGGCGTTGCTGTTGGGATATATCCAGGATGTTTGTTTTCAGGTGTAATATAAAGTAAAATTGAGTTTGTTTGGGACTATATTAGTGCGATCGGTGTCGTTTATCGTAGTTCATCATAGCTATCGAGTATAATAATATATTTGAAACACCGGCCGTAGCGCTGATCGAGTATCCGTGCTTTAGTCCATGGTCAAAGTTCCCTGCCAAAGCTGCCGGTCGCTTTGTCGATATAACGTTCAGGAGTCTCAAATGGCGATGGCATAATACCTCCTCAGATGCTGTTCCTGGAAGCTTGTCTTCTAGCTTCTTTTCATAATGTCCTCGATATAACACCCAATACATTATGACGTAGATTCGGGTCGATTGAATCTCGATCACACCCTTGCTTGCAGTCCTTCGATACGGCGTGTTATCTCGAACTTGGACCTCCCAACTGCCTTGACATGTCATATTGGAGTCCACCAGGTCCGACCACGACTTCTCCCTACCGGCTCTTCGGTGCCAATGGGATGCCACCACCGACTCCGACACGATGGTACCATTTCAATAATGTAAAGGCCCTCGAGACCGATTATGCCAAAGCCGTTCAGGCAGAATTGGATGTATCAAATTAAGTGGTTGCGGTAGAATTAAGCGAGCCACTAAACTGTGCTGTCGAGTAAAACATTGCCAATAGAACGGGTTGTCCGTACGGATTGATCTGTTCGAGATCTAGTAAGCGCTAACACGGCTTCCCCTTGGTTTTCAAACCTTGCTTGATATATGAATATTGTCTTCAACAGAGTACGGATTCTAGGTGGGAAATGTTAACGTACCCTCATGGGCGATGCTCTTCATTATCAGTGCCTGCATTATTCGTTTATTCAATCTATTCATCCAGCTCAATAGCCACCCAACTCCGGATCCGACGGAGACGCATGCTTCTTCCTACTGCGCAGCGGATCCAAGAATTGAAACGCCTTGATCATCTCCTTTCCCGGACCATGACTCTCAATTCCATATTTCGTCTCCTCCTTCTCGGATGGTGATATCTTCCTTTCCAACGCGCTCGTTTTCACGGGATTTGTTTCCTTGGAAGGTTTTTGCATTTTGTTATTTGTCTGCTTGTTGCGTTTCTTTGGGAGGACTCTCGCTTTTAGATCCTGTATAAACTTTCCCCGGTGGCCTTGGTGCATCAACGCGTGGTAGTACTTGTTGAGAGTGTTGACGTTGAATGCGAAGAAGAGGAAGAGGAAGGATACGCCGATTGAGATGCCAACTGATTTTTCATGTAAGTAGGTATTCTCATAGTGGATAGAAGCACGTACAGATGATTGGGAAGATCCACCAGCCTTCGAATTCGACATTGTTTCCTACATGGGGAAAGTCGGATATATTCAAGGCAAAGACCGAAGTCAGGAAGGAAAGGGGGAGAAAGACAATGGTCACGACGGTAAAGACAGTGACGATTCTGTTCTGCTCGTGGCCGAGCTGGGCGTCTGTCATGCCTGCTTGTTTCTGCTTCAAGTCTAGCAGCGTGTTGATCTGTGACTGTTAGAGATACCTCACTGCTTGTACTATATGGGTAACCAACCGAGTCATGAGTCTTGTCTGCCTCTTCAATCATCCTGTCAACCTCTGCCTTGACCGACATGGGCGTGCAGATAGATCGATCCTTGAAATGGTCATCGTCAAATGTCTGATTCCACACCGTCTCCTGAGCCTCTGCGAGTGTCCGCAGAATCTTCAACTCATCCTGGATATCTTTAATCTCGCGCAGAAACTTGGTCTCTTCATGCAGATTGTGCCATGGATTCAACGCTGCGTTACTGCCGTTCCCGTTCTTGTTATTCTTTGGATCCAGAGAGTTTTCGAAGCTGTTGAAGAGTTGAATCTCGCTGTCGGCCACGTATCTGATCGATTCGCGGAATATTTCCATCGCCTCTTTGGTGATGATTTTATTACCCTCGAAGCTGGTCTTTCGCATAAAAGGGCCGGTTGCAATGCCTAGGATTAGCTCCATCATGGACATGACGCATGTTGGTTGTTTGAAACCGCCTCTGCTCTCTTCGAAGACGAGAGCTTCGTAGACCATGTCAACAAAGTGCTTGAAGTCGTGTGTTGTTGCTGTAATAATGGTGTCTAAAGAGTCAGTATCACATCACTCATGCCATGCAGTCGGTACACACTCTTATCGCTAATCCATAGCCAAAGCTGGTCGACGACCAGGATCTTCGTCCATGCGCCGGCCTTGTTCTCGTTCTCGGCACGTCTCTTGAGAGTGCCCTCATGGGCGTTTTTCGTTTTCTTAGTACCCTGCTGTGTCATCCATTCCTCCCACTTCCGTTCGATGTAGCGAGAAATCACCTGGTCACAGTCCCTGTTCTCGGTGTTGTTTGCAGTCACATAGTAGTATTGATCCAGGGTCATCACCTTGTTGTTCTGGGGTATATGACTGCTGGCATTGTCGCTGTGGTCTGCTCTTATTTCTTTGTCATCGACGGTCAGATACGGCATCTGGCTGGTGTTAGCAAGGTTTCCTGTGTAATCTGAGAACACATACATAAAGAGCGATTGTCCTGTCATTCAACTCATCAGACCCCTGAGACTAAATGAAGATTTATGGTCAGTAGGTCTGCCTTGTTGTAGAAATGCTGTGAACATACAACACAGTTCGGCTTCATGTAGCGCTGGCCGCCTCCTGCATTCAGCTGTGCCCAGCTGTTGCTGAAGAAATCGGCCAGAGGGCGATGTTCCTTTTGCGTTTTCCCCGAGTCGATGGAGATGCGAGTTACGAGGTCCTTTCATCGTCAGCTGTCTGTCTACGAGGATGGAGTGGCTGTCGGTACAAACCTCTGCTAGTGGCATCTGATGATAATCTGATTAGCATAGATTGTAGACAATATAAACGGGTCCTTACGTTATTGACAGGCAAATGTATCCACCGAAACAGATGATCTCCTGGAAGTCGCACCGAGTCCACTCTCTTCAGCTGGTCTATTCCTTTCGTCTCGGCTTTCAGGGGATCACTATTCATCCCGGATGGGATTTTCGACTGCATCAAGTCCTTTTCTCTCCCGGTTGTTCCCTGGGGCTCAATGCGTGCCTTTTCCATTCTCTCCTTGAGTATATCGAGTTTGTAACACACATTCTTCCTGGCTTCCGACATGACCTTTTCAGGACCTTTTTCGTAAATGAGATCTTCGACTTTTTCTTCTTTGAAGTGGAAGTCGATCTTGTCTCCGTTGGTGTAAAAGTCGATGATTGTTCCATCTAGACCAAGGAATTCGTCCACATCCTGAGGCGGTCTCGGCAGCACGGGCGGATTGTCATTATCTCGATTGTCGACATCTTCGCCCAAGACCGGTGGAGGGTTGTGCAGCAGCTCCGTGACGAGCGAGTCCATTGTGCCGTGATGACTCTTATCTTTGGCGACGCGGAGGGCGTTCCGGATCTTGTCCCCATGGAGGTGGCCTCCTTTGGATAGAATCCACCATACAGGGATTGCCTGGGACCTATAGACAGCCCAGTCCAGCGCCGTCCATTTGGCCGAATTTCCGTTTGAAGGTTCGCCCCATGTTTCCAGCATGTGCTTCAATGCGTGTTCGTGTCCGGGTATCTCGGATTCGGCGGCGAGTTCCAGCAGCTGCTCGGCATCCTTTGGTGAAGATCTGAGAAAACCGGGCCCAGGTCTTGCCAGGCAGTCGAAAATGACCTGTTGCACGACTCGATAGTCTCTGTCGATTGCCACTTGGAGACATGTTCTTTTGTTGTCGTTTTGTTTCAATATCAATTTGACGACTTCTTGGTGCGACTCAATGGCAACTCGACTAAGCAACCGTTCCACCACATCAGCGCGTCCTTTTTCTGATGCCAGATGAAGTGCCGTGTTTCCACTATCGTCGGTCCCGGTAATATCTGGGTTATTTCTCAAAAGGAACTCCACCACTTTGAAATAACCCTTGGCAGAGGCGAAATGTAACAGAGACCACCCCTCATTGTCATTCTTTGTCTTTTTGATCAGCTGCTCTTCCAAAGTCGGTTTGAAATGGTCCATTTTCGCAGCATCAGCGCCGTGTCTCAACAGCAACTCAACGACTTCAATGTGTCCATTAGATGCCGCATCGTAAAGACCTTTAGGCTGGCTCGAAGATGCATTATCAACCTTGGCGCCCCTGCTCAAAAGCAGCTCGACAACACTGGTATGGCCGAATTCAGCGGCAAGCTTAAGGGGAGTTGCTCCATCATCATTGAGCCTGTCAACACTTGCGCCATTCTCTATAAGGAGGAAAGCGACCTCACTGTGGCCTCCCAGAGCAGCAGCGTGAAGGGCAGTTAATCCCTTCTCGGATCCTTTTTTCACACTGGCGCCTTTGACTAGAAGCAACTTGGTGACTTCGATGTTGCCTGTCAGAGAGGCCAGGTGAAGCGCAGTCACTCCCACTTTTGTTTCGGTTTTCACACTGGCGCCCTTTTCCAAAAGCAGCGTGGTCACTTCCAGGTTGCCAGCACGAGAGGCATAGTGGAGCGGAGTCCATCCATCCTCGTCGACCTTTTTCAAACTTGCTTTTTTGTCGAGAAGCAACGACACAGTCTCGGCATGCTCGTTCCATGCGGCGATATGGAGAGCCGTACAGTGAGTGGCGTCCGGTGTATCAATCTTTGCGCGATTCTCCAACAGCAACGAGACCATTCGCCGGTTGCCCCTTCGAGCCCAGTGGTGTAGTGAAGTCGACTGGCTCGCTTTTGACTGCACATTAACATTTGCCCCTTTGCGTATGAGCAATTCGGCGACTTCAACGTGCTGGTTTGCCGATGCAAATAGAAGAGGCGTCCGTCCATCGTTCTCTGCAGACTCAATCTTCCCGCCAGCCTTGATGAGGAAATCACAGACTGACTGGTGCCCGAACTGTGCAGCCACGTTTAACGGTGATTCCCTGTCGTTTGTTTTGATTTCGATGTTTGCATGCTGCTTGACAAGCCTCTCGACAATCCTCAAGTGGCCACACAAACAGGCCATGTGAAGTGCGGTCAGGTTGTAATTAGCCGTCCCTGCATTGACCCGCGCCTTATGTCTCAGGATCTCATCCACAGCCTGTATATCATCTGAAAAAGCAGCAAGCACGAGCGGCGTGACTCCCGTCGACGCGCCCGCCGCGTTTGGGAAAACATAATCAAATCGAATCTCGACGGCACCTGCTTGTTGCAGCAGATCCCTCAATCGGTGCACATTTCCATTTTCAATCGCCTTAGGCAGTTCTGTGCCCAGGTATCCCTCTGGTGGCTGTCCATTTTTGCTGATTTCACTCACACGTGGCCGGGCGCTGTCATCTGTCATGATGAAAAAGCGGGATTAAGCTGTTTACTTGGCGAGGCTTGGGAGAAAAGTTTTTTCTTATAAATACGGTGGTTGCAGATCACTGGCACTAAGAGTCGTTCAGTTTGGAAAATGCGCCAAAAACGATAGGCTAGAAGTTGTCCGAGGGATTTGATACCTTTTGGAAAAAGTAAACATGGCTGCGTTGCTATTGGTCAGTCGCCTGTCATGTCCTAAACATGTGGGTCTTGTGTCAAGTGGATGCTTGGCCTGAATCGATGGAATGGAAGCTGGATTGTGCCGCGGGCATGTTCAATAGACTCTCTTCTACTTTTTGGCATTTAGCAGCTTGACAGGTGCGTTGAGCATTCTGCCATTGGGTTGAGAATCCCAACTTCCAGCCTGACTGAGCTGAGAGATCTCCACCATGCACGGTCCAAAGACCCATATTTCACGCCATAGAAGCCAATCATGTTATGAACAGTTTTCAGCTGAGGTTTGACACCTGTTCTCGAAAGCTGGACATGTGTACGAAATGCCGAATACAAATGATATTCTTGCTCAATTGTTGTTCGATTTATGCGAATAATCTTATTCAGAAGGATATATTATTATGGATCTTTGTTGATAGCTGCTACCACCCCTCTTCTGAAATAGACTTCGGAACAACCAAATTTATATTTTTGCGCTGTTTACCTGACCGCCATATCAAATCGTCCATTGTTAACAATGTCAGTCTAACCATTTGAGTAATGATTTTGAGAAGAATCATCATAATAATCACCTTTTGAATTGGTTGGGATATATACTACTATCATATAAAAATATCCATTGGTGCAATGTTTTAATATTGGGGCTGGGACGTTTAAAAAAGAGAAATACAATGGCCAGTAATTAGCTGGATCTATCAAGTAGTAATAGTACGTTGCTAATTAAGTATATTAGAACATTTGTACTCGCTAATATATGGGGCTACAATTGCAATGGCGAAGTATAGTATGATAAAACTTTCAAATTAAACAATGCAAATATACAGTATATACATTCAATATCACAGATAGCATCTTTCTAATAATGAGTCTCCAACACAAACTTCAAGCCATACACATGTCTGCTATACACGGGATCATCTATTTCTTCTGGATCTCACCCCAGATTTTGCGCATCTTCTCGTACTCATTCTTGTTCAGGTTGTTGTACAGCAGACAATCAGAGCCGCAAGGAGTAGGTCTGGGACCACCGGAAGCATCGCCATCGATAACAGTTGCCAGGTTCATGCAGCTCGCAGGAAGACCTTGAGCCCGGACACCTGGAGAATGTCAGTTATAATTCATATTGTATCTGTTGGTTGATTCTCTTACCGTGGTTCTCAACAGGTCCCTTGACATTGATCTTGACCGACTCCTTGGACAAGTCGTTGGCGCAACGGTCAAACTCCTGCTGGGGGACTCCGGGGGGAGCCTTGAAGTCGCCTCGGATCTCGAGGAGCTCGCCTCTTCGCTCTTTGTTGCCGAAGTGGGCGCCGACGATGGCACCGCCGAAGGAGGCACCGGCGGAACCGACAGCAGCGCCGATTTGAAGGGCGGCGTCGATGGCAGGGACAATAGCGACTTGGGGGCACTGGCACTGCTGGGCGACCAGGTAGGCGGCGACAGTAGCGCCAATTGCCTTGAGGGGGAAGGAGACCATTTTGATGTTGGAAGATGAAGTGGAAGATGAATGGAAGTCTGAGTAAGATGAGATGGATGTAGATTGTCTGAGCTGAGCTGTTGTGATGATGAGAATGGATTCAGAAGTGCGAAGATGGACCAATTTATATCCATTCGAGTTCTAATATAAATAGACGATTCTGCCTCAAACGGATGTGTATAGTTGGGCGTCATGGTGGATTGTTGGGAATGAGCCTCGCCAAGAAGTTGTATATCCCGCAAAACGAGAAGGATTCGTGAAGAAACGGGGCACTAGCAATCCCCGCATTGACGTTGATCGGGGTCTGGAATACTATGGTGATGTATTTGGTCTTGCATAGCCCCTGGCCGACCAACGGTGCTAGTATTGGGGGCCATATAAACACGAGTTTCCCTCCACAACTTGCCGTTTTTTGGTGGGTCGAATCCTTCGAAAGAATTAATGCGGTATTTTCAGTCTTGCAGGCGTGTTGGTGTTTCTGATGATATACTGAGTTGTATGGTCCTGAAGCCTTTGATGAAACCAAATCGACAGAATCACTATGGATCTCGCAGCATTGACGCCCCTCCTTTACTATGCCGTCGCAAGCATGCTGACCATGGCATCGCTGACACGGCATAGAGCAATCAGAATACTATCTTTAGGTCCAATCTGGCTGTTTACTGTTCTATCCTTGACTTCATGCCACAAATTACCCGGACTGCTCGGGGCGAATACCACCTTTGCCAGTTTGGTCGTCAGTTACTTTCCTTATTCGATCAAGATCCTCGCCATTGAACGGCATTCTGTGACCCCGGAAACATCAAAGAATCCTTCGGCCTTTATCGACTGCTATAGGATATGGAATAATCCTCGGCAGCTGCCACTGCGACCTTCCCGTTTGGACAAGTCAACAGGATGCAGTGGCAAATCACGGGCTATCTTTGCATTGTCCAAGACAATCAAAGCAATGGTTCTTTGGTTCCTAAATAGTTTCACCTTTCAACAGATCCTCGTCTGGTCATTTGGAAATATCATGGCAGCCGACTTTTCTCCGGCAATGGAAAGCCCATTCCAGCTCCTCTCCGTCCATCAAATCCGCATCCGAGCCATCATGTCCGTGCAGTGGATATGGAGCGCTTACTTCTTTCTCGAATTCTACAATTCCCTCATGGCAATCATCTTCGTAGCCATCTTGGCCCTCGACCAACCCCAAGACTGGCCTCCTCTGTTTGGCAGCCCACTCGAAGCATGCAGCGTCCGTGGGTTTTGGGGTCGGTTCTGGCACCGTCTTACATTACCCACCTACATCTGTTTCGCATTTCCCATCTCTCGGGGTTTGCTGGGTATACCGCCAAGGTCGCGGATGGAGAAGACCATAATCCCCCTGATTATATTCAGCATGTCGGGCCTGTCACATTGTCTGGTGGGATGGGCGTTGGGAGAGTCAGCCTTGGCTAGGGATTTCCTGTTTTTCGAACTGAACTTTCTTGCTGCCGCCATTGAGACGGCGATCTCCAAGACCGATATGCCCGAGACATTGAAGGGGCTGTTTTTACTGCCCAGATGGATCCGTGTGGTTGTGGGGATGGGCTGGGTTTATGGATTCTTCTTTTGTATCGCCCCGATGTGGATGTATCCTAAAGTTTATTCTGCGTTGGTGGGTCTGATTCCATGATTCATGGTTTATTGTACATAGTTATACAGTTAACAATATCTCAAAATAACATAGCAATATCTCTCAGCCGTGATGGATTCTGCAAGATAATGAAAAACCACCCCAGAAATGGCACGTAGCCCCGAACAAACCCGATAATCTCGTTCCGGTGCAGATATTCCTGTCCATCTGGATACAACATCGTATCATCAACGAGATTATTATCCCCCTTAGTCAAAATAAATTGCCTACACATATTAGCAAAGCTCACCATAAGCAAGAGAAACATACTCCGTATCCTGATACAAAACCCGAACAACTCTATGCACCATCGGGTACGACCGACCAGACGGCCAACAAACCGGCAGATCGCCAATTGCCACATTTCCATCATGATTCGACATGAATAGAATATCGCCCGGTCGGAACGCAGGAGCCATCGACTCAGTGATGACAACCATGGCGGGGTAAGGCGTATTCGTCCAGAGCGTGAGAGCCTTCCATGTCATGAAACAGACCGAGATGATCTGGCAGAATACGAGGGTGTTGTTTAACAGTGATCGACATTGTAGATGCATTGTGAAGGTGATTTTGTATGATGTAGGATAGTTTGGTCATATGTTGTTTTAAGAGAAGCTGTTGGAAGTGCTGGGATCGGCGTTGAGGCTTTGCTGCTGATCTCTGGGGCTGCCAAGGAGGTGTTGTGTAGAGTTTGTGCCGTGCGATGGACCATGGAAATGTTCAGCGGAAGTCTGTTACAAGGAAATGCTTCTCTACAGCCTCAGTAAAGTCAAAATGAATTTATATTTAGCATCGTCACTTATGAATCGATAGACTTTCTCTATATACTACTATGTGAGGTGATATAATTGAGATGGGAATTAAAGTTTAGATCTTCAGTATCTGCCAAGATGCATTCCAACCAATGACTTCTCGTATATTTCCAACTAACCATGATGCACACAGGGTCAGATTCCTTCAGGGGCCATGATGATCCCTAATCTATACTAATAAACAGCCCTCCGCCACTCAAGCACCGCCGCCCCCAACAGCGCCAAGTGCCCCAGTTCTCTTCATCAGTTTCATATCGGAAATATATGGCACAGGCGGCGCCATGCTGTCCAGAGCTGGGCAGGTTAGCCGAATTCCCTCAATGACTCAGTCTGGCTTACCTTCTCTCTTTGCCTTTCTGCTCTCGGCTGTGTCGTGCCATATTCGCAGAACCCACATGGCAACCAGTGCGTCTCTCATTTCCTGTTCCATCGACACCAAGATGGATAGCTTCTGCTGGTCGCCTTTTTTATCTTCCAGGGCTATTTGTTTTCCGTCCGCATCTGTCCATTTATACTGACTGCCCGGCCATTTTGGCTTGACGGTAAAGAGAAGTTGTGGGCGGTCGTCGAATAATGGTTTGTCTGATGCCGTCTTCTTCGCGCTTAGTAGTGCCTTGAACTCTGTTTTCTGCAATCGGGATTTGGCTGTCTCAAAGACGATATTACCAAGTGTCTCGGATGAGACTGATGTAATGTAGTAAGCGGGGGTGTCGTTTCGATATTGTGCGTCTGGCGGGTGTGCGAGGTAGAATATGTGTTGGTTGTGCTCTTCCTTTTCAATATTGTCTATCCGCTCGAATATCACAGATGACCCTTTTTGCGGAATAGCTGTTACATCTCTGTTTATCTGGTATAATGGTGTGGACGCGTTCTCGTTGACTATAGATTGTCCCGCCAGAACGAGAACAGCCGGGTCTATCATCTCTGAAGAGAACCCCTTCCCCGAATCTGTGTAGAGAGATGACATCTTGTCAGATGGTGATGTCGAATTAGTGTAGAGCGTTGGTGTTGGGGATGTAAGCATTATATGTCGGCAAATGACGTCGTCCAAGATATCGCGTGGCTGTGCCGATGAGGGGTTTGATCCCGCCAAGACCGGGCCATCAGTATACGAGGGTTGGTGTTTCGGACGCAGTGAAGATCATTTATTATTTATGCCGTGTGAGGGTCATGGCTGTGTTTTCATATTAACCGGAGGACGTGAAGACTCCTGTTGTCCCTCTGGTCGAATTGCCTACATACTATCTATCCATTACTGAAAGCATCACTATGGATAATCCAAATCCACCACTCTACACTGAACACCACAGCGAACCACCACCAAACTACATCACAAACTCGTCCAGCGCATCCTCTCATCCCCCATTCCCATCTACCCTAAATGTCTACGGCGCATGGTCACAATGGAAATCCATCAACCTCTGCGGCGCAACTTCTAACGACCGACTGTGTCTTCTCGAGATGCACACTGGGTACACTTCCAAGGGACCACTCGGGGCTCGGCCAGCCATGCTTTTACACAGTGGAATGAGTACCAAAGATCCGATTATCGTTGCTGTTGGTGAAGAGTCACATGGTGTCAATGCGTTTAATTTAAATAGCGTTATCAAGTTGCCTGCGCTTGAGGGTGATGGGAAAGATGGTCGTATGGATACGGAGATTATGCGTGCTGGGACTTCTGCAGCCCATGATGTGACATTCTACTTTAGCATTGAGGTTGGGGAGAAGAGGATACGCGAGGAGTTTGAGTGGAGGAAGTTTAAAAAGGGATTCACGCTTGTTCGTCCGCACAGGGGTGGATCGAGCAGCAGTACAGATGATGGCGAGACTGTTGCTTTGGTCACATGGAGGACATCACTGACTAGTTTAACACACGCATTCTCGCTCGAGCTGATGGGTAGTGGAGAGTCAGGGATACTGGGAGAACGATGGACTCTGATGGTCATCATTACTTCGCTAAGGTTATACGCACTGCACATCAAAGGCAGAACACGCAAGACTATTGTTGGCATGGGCGAAAGAACTTCCAGCAAGTAATATAATAGTGTAAATAATGCATATTCATATACTTAATCTATCATATCTCGCACTTAATGACCAACCAGCGCCTGGTTGGCAGGACCATATCTGTTCCCTTGCGGCTTCGCAGCATCAATAATCCTGCGCATATCCTGCTTCTCCTCCTCGGTTAATTCAACCTCCCGAGACGCCCAGTTCTGCTCGAGACGGTGCGCCTTGGTCGTGCCAGGAATGGCAATCATCCCTTGAGCAGCAACCCACGCGAGCGCGATCTGGCTGATTGTGCAACCTTTCTTCGAAGCAAGCTTCTTGATTTCTTCGACGATAGCGCGGTTCTTGTAGAAGTTTTCCCCTTGGAATTTGGGGACTGAAGTACGTTAGCAATCGTTAACGGGCTTTTTATAGAAACACTCACCCGTTCGCCGGAAATCATCCGGTGCAAAGTCATCGGGGGTTTGGTATGGGAAGTCATCGACCAGCCAGCCGTGGCCGAGGGGACTGTAGGCGACGTATGCCACGCCCAGCTCTTTGCACGTATCAATGAGACTGTCTGTCTCGTGGAGAGTCTCAAAGGCAGAGTACTCGGCCTGGACGGCGTCGATTTTGGCAACTATGGAAGTTAGCATTGAATTAGCAGAAAGGCAAGTGAGGACGAACTGGAATTGGCGGTGCGAAGAGTCTTAGCCGAGCACTCGGACAGACCGATGTACTTGGTCTTTCCTGCCTTGCGGATCTCATCGAGAGCGGGGATAGACTCGGTTAGAGGGGTGTCTGTAATAGTCAGTATGTGGGTTTAAATGCTGGTCTTGGACATACTAGGGTCAATGCGGTGCAGATAGTAGAGGTCAGGAGTGAAGCCGAGTCTCTCAATAGTACCATCAATGTACTTTTTGATATGTTCAGCGGAGTTGGTGACGGAGGAGCTGCCCTCCATACAACTGAAACCACATTTCGAAGCAACTGTCGGACATATTAGCTTGAAGCCTGTCAATAATAGTCTGTCCAACTCACTAAAAACCTTGTCGCGAACGTTGTGCTTTCTGATAAAGTCTCCGAGAAGCTTCTCATTCACACCCGCTTGATAGACGACCTGCATCTCTTAGACAATTTATTCGATAGAATAGATTATAAGACCTACCGCAGTATCCCAGAATGTGCATCCCAGTTCAATCGCCTTCAAGAGCACTGGTTCGGCCTGTTCCAGGCTCAGGTTGCTGCCCAAGCCAAAGCTGAGACCCATTGCACCGAAGCCCGGTGATGGGACTTGGATGTCACCAAAGGGGAGTGTCTTGACCATTTTGTCTTGAATATGTTTCTTTAGAACGTATGTAGTTGAGCTTGAATGTAGTAATTGCAAGTGCTACGAAAGGGTGGCAGGTGTAGGCTTATATATAATTCCCCTCATTTGAGACCGTTGATTATGTCCGTTTTAAATCCGTCAAAATGAAGTCATACAAAGCTTCATTTGTTTAGCCGACGATTTGCCAATGACAGTGGCGAATATGCTTTCCACACAGTTCTTCAACCAGTCCCACACGGAGATAATGCACCGCGATGACAAGAGTGGGTCTCAGCCATGACCGGGCAGCCAATCATATTGGATATATGGAACGTTTCACTCCACTTTGACCAATCATGTCACTCGGCATTCAACTGATTACCCTCGATTACGCCACATGTCTCCGGCTATATCCATGTCGAATAATTAGAACCATTAACTGGGCTTGAGATGTTTGATAGTTAATGTTCATTTCAGTTGTTATGATAAAGAATAAAAGAGTCATGTATCGATTCTGGTAGGCAATTTGATTATCCAGGGCCAGAAGACCCCCAACTAAAACATAGCAACAAGACAATCTGTAATGCAAGACAAATATATATGGTTTCCAGGTTTATAAATGAAACACATCGAAAAAGAATAAAAGTATCAAGTACCAGAATAGATCAACTATTCATGGCATGAACCAAACAGGGGAATGTCCAGATAGTCTGGGATATCACGGATACCGCAGGCATCTGGACAACCCCGAAGAAAGAAACATCTCAGATCCAAGAACTCCAAAACCAAGTAAAGATAGTGCAATTAAGCAGGAGTCAGATCCATCGCGTCAAACAATGAGCGGTTGTTGATGACAACACGGCCAGAGTCGTTGCCACGCAGAGTGTAGCGGTTGTCATCGGTGGCGTGCTCAATGGCATAAGGGCCGTGACGGGTGATGGCTCCGTTGTGATTTCGGGACATGAGGTAGACTCTGTCTGCCTGGGAGTAACTGGATGTCTATGTGTTTGTCAGTTAAGCGTTTATATCGAATCGCGTGGGCTGTTTGCTTACCGAGGAGACGGACATGGATCGACCTGTAGGAGCAGGAGGACCGTAGCTGGATTGTCTGTGAATTCAAAGTTAGACTGTGATCTGGATGGAATTGACAAGATAGAAATCGTACCTGATGGGATACATTGCGATTGATTTCTCAGGATTGCTTGTTGTGATGGAGAAAAGAAGAATCCCCAAGTCGAGAAAAGAGCAGCTTATATACTGTTCGATTCAGGCACAACACCGCTAAATGCAAAGCTGAAGACAAAGCTGAACACGGTATACAAGGCTACCGCCAGGCAGCCAATCAGCGCCCCGCATGGAGCACCCCAGTCGGGCACAAACTCAGCCCGGCGCCACACCGCCAGGTCAGATCTCCGCCGGTTGTTTGCCCCTGATGCGGTCTGGGGCCGTCCAGATCTCGACACATTGCAGCCATCGTGGGTGGTATGCGTTGTTGTTTCGCGTGATTCACCAGCGTTGATCCTCCTGTTTTACATTCGCTTCACTTCGGGGGAATTGGCCATGATGAGTCATGACAACTCAGAGAATAAATCGCATTAGGCGCATTATGTAAAGCCTAGATCTGTGATTCATTCCTGTTGTGGAATAGCGCTGCCAATCATACCAAAAAGCTGTCAGGAACAACAAACAGGTGGAAGAATCAGGGCCCAATATGAAAACACGACATTGGGGGCGTAAAAACCCCTATTGCGTGTTACGCCTTGCCGATTATCAATAACTCGTTATTATTAGTGATAAAGCAGCCTACGAGACGAGAGAAACGCAGGATTATCCAAACAAATGCAACCTCAGTAATCAACGTGGCCTTGCAATGTCAATTTGTATTAGCAATTGGGTTCTGTTTCTGTTTCCTGCTTCTTTACTCATCCTTGTCGTGGCAGTCGCTGTTCAGCCTTAATCCAGCCTTGCTTCGGGATTATTCGTGCCTTGGGGTTCTTGAAATCGGTCCGATACACTCGGAGATTAAATCCTAAGGCTGAATGATTACTCAAATGTCAAGATGGCTTTGAAACGCCAAAGACAAGTGCAATTTCTCGACCAATATTCATTTTAAGCATCTACCTATCGTTCCAACCCACCTACTATCTCTCACAGCGAGTTAACGGAAGGAGTGGGATTCGGAGGCACTGAGCCACCTTGGCTGGGTAGAGCACCCCATAACCACAGCAATAGACAAGGAAGAGTCTGTTGATTATCAGCAATTGAATCCGGTCTCCATCAGTGGGAATTGAGGCAACAAGATATCATGCCACGAGCCGTCACGGCTCAGCTCTGGCTTAGCATAAACCCGATCGGGTTTAAAGTTTTTCCAAGCAGCTGAAGTATAGTGTGTTTTGGCTTCGGAAATTTTCTGCTGCTGCTTTATGTGTGATTCTTGAAATCAAAAGTTGCTTTTGCATATACACATGCACAACTGAAGAGTACTTGCGCATTTAAAGCACACTCTCGGGGATTACTGGTTTAGGATTAGCGCTTCCATGACGTAGGTGTTGATCAGGTACCCCTCGATGACGGAGAAACGTTCTCCCGAAGGAACAACGGCAGAGTCAGTGTTTGTACGTCAACTGCCATTCCTTTGGATGTATTTAAGCCAGCAATTACGCTGTCTTTGAACAATTATACCTGGTTCATCAGTTTGACTGATATTGTCCGAGAGTCTGCAATCTCACGTCAATGTGCCTTGTAGCTCATATCAGGTGTTACCCCTCCGCTAGTGTCTCATACACCGCTCATTCCTGTTCTGCCGTGATGCCCCCGCCTTGTCAGTTTATTTTTGTAGAAACACCCTATCACAAGTCTGATGCTGTATTCTGTCTTGTACTTGTATTTCAATTTTATCTGCTGTACCGGGTAGTAGATCCCTCTTGGGTCCTATGAGCAGGAAATACAGCTCAATTCGAATCTGGAGCTGTATGTTCAGCATGGTAGATAATGATGATCTCTATCGCAGACTACGTACAGGTACCCACCGTACCCACCACGCCAACCAATCCCACACCGTCTACGGCTATCAGCCCATTGTTGATCGGTGATCGCGTTATGCCACATGTTAAGATTCAGCTCTTGAATCGTCCCTCATAAATACCCTCTATCCTCCCGTTGCACTCAATTGCTCCAATCCTACATACACTCAATCATACCAATTGCTCTCCCAACTATCACAATGTCCATCCCTCACTATGGCGTCTGGGTAGCCTATCCCACCCACTTCATCGCCCAATCTGCTCGCCAGGACCCTAAATCCCCCCATGTCTATCTCAAATTCGACCACAGCAAGGAAAACGAAGCCGCCATCAACGTCAAGTCTCTCGACCGCGATGGCCGTCTAGCTTTTTGGTTCCGTCGGGACTTTGACCACCCCATCACACAACATCTCGAGCAACTCAACCACGGCTTCCACCCTATCCAATCCCACCGCCGCGGCCCAGTCCATGGCATCGATTATCTCCGCACCGACGGCCTATTCAACCCCGAATCAGCCAAACTTCTCCCCCACGACATCCCCGGCGCACACAACGATGTCCTCGATAACCTCGAGCCAATCCTCAACGATGCGATCCACCAGCGGGCAACGGCGTATATCTTTGGCTCGTCCTATGGAACCGGTATCCACGATATCCACATGAACCAGGGCAGTTTCCCGCAGTTTGATAACGGGGTATACCAAGATGGAGCGCTCTTTTTCCGCTTCCCCGATGGACACTGGGAGGCGGTGTTTATGGCTTTTGCGTCGCAGAGACTTCCTACAAATGAGGAAACGGGAGAGTTTGTGCATGGTTCGAAGACTTTGGCGCAGATTCTGGGAGATGATTAGTGAATTTATCCATGAATATATTGGACATATCTTGGATGCATTTGTTATATATGCATTGATAAGAATCACGCTAGACATAGATTACATGAGTATAAATATCACGATTCAAACATCAACCAGATCATCATCTTTGCTTCATTTAACTTGAATAGGAGCAACGAAGTTATAGACTCTATCCCCAGCTATGCAGGCGATTTTACTGGTCGATATGGTATGGCAGAGGGTCATCAACTGGTGTTTCAGAAACGGACCTCGATAAGTATCGTCTCATATCCTGTGCGATCATTCAGATGGTATAGATCCAGTCGCTGGCGACAGGATGCAGCAGATGTGAGCGATCGAAAAGTCAGACGCATATGAGACAAACTGCGAGACCAGCGACTAGTCCCATCCGACAGCATCGAAGCTGACACCCAACGTTTCTTTCAAGGCAAATAGGAATGAATTCCTATCAATCACCAAAATGGCCTGCCACATGGTGTGCGACAGCTGCTTCATCGCCATTAAACTCGCCACAGACTGGACATGTCACTGCTGCACTTGATTGAGTGCTGACTTGCTCCTCTTCACCTCCAACAGGCCCGGTCTTGCCCCTTCCACCTCTCCCATTCTGTCGTTGCTTCCCACGCGTCATATACGCGTCCAGCCCGATATGCTGGGAAGGAAGCCCTGGCTCAGCAGTCGTGCGGGCAGCAGGCACAGCCGCAGCTGTATTCGTCACAGAGCCGGCATTCCCACTCGCCATGGACTGAACTCTACCGACGCGGCCATCAGTGAGACGGACTTTGATGCCGCGGGGGTGGTTTCCTCGCGTTAGGACGGTGGCTATGGTCCCCGCGACAGTGCGGCCAGTCGGTTGATCGGCTTTTAGAACGATGTTGACGGGTGCGCCGACGATGACTTGATTTGTGGTCGGTACGCGAGGCATTTTGATATGGATTGCATAGCAGGCACTCGCTATGATGTGAAATGTTGGTTGGCCGTGTGGTGGGGTGGAATAAAGATGGATTGTCATTGGCTCAGCCTATCAGCTCACGTGATACGTGCAGTGATGGATGTCTATAAAAGAGAAATCATGAAAGAATGGCCTAAGGAAAAGAGCATCCGGAACTGAGAAGAAATGCAAATCAAATGGCAGGAATATGATTTGATTTTGTACTAGAAACTATGCCATCGTACTCATAGCCCATCTACTTATATATTGTATCTGTCACCTTGGTCTTGACACAATCAACTCTTTTCTTAAACAGTATTATCTATGAACTTGCCGGAACTTCCCGTGAACATCACATGTAAATTCAATCTGAGCCTTCCAACCCATCAGATATACTGTGTATGTGGTAACTGCTTCGGCAAAGCTCTTTTTACATTCCCTTTGTTCAGCTGGATCTAAGATGTCATCACCGGTGGGCCCATTGAGCCAATAATATCTTTTATACAACGCCAGCATCTCGCTTAACATACCTTTTATAGTTAGACTTCGATGACTGCGGACGAACCAGACTTTGCATGTTGACTGTGCCATACTAATTAGCACTATCAACTGATGATTGGATAGTTCTTTCAGCTCCGTGGCTGAGCTATCTTCAGCCGCACTGTTGATCACTTGTTCAGCTGGAGATTGTTTGATTTAAATCATCGTGGCTCGCAATTCCATCTCTTATTTTCATTTTATTTTCAAACCACACAACACACAACACCATGTCGCTCCACGAATCAACACCGGGCTTTTCCAACCACTCGATTCTGCTGGCCGTAGCAAAGGATCGTCCTGTTAACCAGCTCGAACTGCTGCTTGATCACGATGCCGAGTTGAACATCAACGACATCAAAGACGAACAAAACAGGGACCTACTCTACTACGCGGCCCTGGGCAACTCGGAGGAAAATGTCCGATATCTGTTAGAACGCGGCATGAAGCCCGCTGCCCAACCCACAGACCAACCATCTGTATCGCCCCTGTTTCCCGCCGTTAACTCGGGCAACGCAGCCATCGTCAACCTCTTGCTGGACCACGGCGCCAATCCCGAGATTCGCGCCGCTGACACCGAGGACGACGAATATACTCGGGAAGTTGAAACTCCCCTCGCTGTTGCAGTGAAAGCCGAGCACTATGACCTCATGGAGCTGCTGTTCAAGCGTGGCGTCGACCCCCATAAGGAGATCAACGCAACCAGCCTCGCCCTCTGCTGGGCCGCTTATAACTGCAACATCGCCCTCGTCACCCGCTTTCTCGACATGGGCTTCGACGTGAACAGCACCGCGCCTATTGTGTGGTACATCCGCTCCAGCGTGCTCTCCATCGCAGTGAACCGTGGCGCCAAAACAAAATCGGCCGATGCCGAGGCCCTCATCAAGCTCCTCCTCGAGAGAGGCGCCGATGTCAACTCCCCCACGGGCTATAACGAAATGGCACCGCTGGCATATGCTACAGATTCGCACTGGGAAGCAGCCGCCAAAATATTGTTGGAGAACGGTGCGAACCCTAAGCAGATGGACGGTGATGGAATGACGGCCTTTTGGCGAGCAGCCGAGCAAAATCAGGTTGGGATTATGAAGCTTTTCTTGGATCATGCGGTCAAGGAGGAATGGAAGGGTGACTATACACGTGCTGCGGTCTCGGGAGCAGAGCTGTACGAGGCCCATGATGTGTTGAAGCTGTTGAAGGAGCATCTCGAGCGCTATCCGATCCAGCACTCTGAATGCTGCGGATGCGAATAAACATTGTATGAGATAATATGAATTAATTGATTTCCACCCTTACATTAATCACTTGTCACACGTCCAAGACCTCTGATGCTGCAAGCAACATGAGCAGCGCACTAGATGGTATCAACCGTCACAAAGCATACCCCAAAGATCAACTACATTCGCAAGCTGTCAAGCAATGCTCCCAAGGCCCCATGGAGACGGGGGTTTCAGGTCTAGACCTGGGCCAGATCATATTTGATTTTGTCAATAGCGTATTGCAATGACAATAGCCACTGGCAGCGGTAATGCATCTCATTTTGAGGATACAATAACCTAGGCTCAACGGAGATAGACTTGCATGCACTGGGATTATTATAGAGCTTTTCGGATGGGTTCTGGGGTAGGGTGGTGAGTTTTCCGGCATCTGCTTTCTCATCAGCTAGAGGTTGTCATTTCTCGCTATGGCGGATGCTTTTAGTAATTCATTATCTTTTTACGATATTCTCTCTCCGAAAACCAAGGGTAGTAGTATAATATTATCATGGTATATGGATTTACCCCATATTTAAGAGTATAAGGGTCGATGACGCAATCCGCCGGATATGGATCGCATGTGACGATGTCGAGGTCCTCAACCACAAACTAAATCTGTCCAACTTCCTTCACCATATTTCTATCATAGCATCAAGTATAGCCAATATGCCCGTCCCCGAAAAATTCCCAGCGGCGGTGGTTCCTAAACCACGCGCACAGAATATCATCTCTGAACGTACATTGCAGCCTCTCAAACCAGGAGAAGTGGCCATTAAAATCACCGCGACGGCCATCAACCCAGTCGACTGGAAGATGCGCGACTACGATGCATTTATCAGCGAGTATCCTGCCGTCCTTGGTTCTGATGCTGCGGGAGTAATCGTCGATACTGCGCCTGACGTATCGAGTCATGATGTTGGTGATCGCGTCTTCTTCCAGGGGATCGTCGGCAACTACGACTCTTCTACTTTCCAGCAGTATTGCAAGATGCCAGCTGTGTTGGTGTCGAAAACACCGAATTGCATCACCGACGAGCAGGCCGCGGGTGTTAGTCTCGCGACAGTGGCTGCGGTTACGGCATTCTACGACAAGCAAGGACACGGAATGATCCCACCGTGGGAACCACAAGGTCATCAAGTCGGCAACGGCAAAGCGATCGTCATCATCGGCGGTGGCTCGTCTGTTGGACAATATGCGATCCAGCTGGCCAGACTGTCCGGATTCTCCAGGATCATCACCAACGCAAGTCCCGCCAACCACGCGTTTCTCGAACGACTCGGCGCACACGTTGTTCTTCATCGCGCGCATTGTACCGCAGCGGATTTCAACGCAGCTATCTCCGGACTTCCATTGGAAATGGTGTTTGATGCCATTTCGATCAAGTCGACGCAGGTGCTGAGTGTGCAGATCATCCAATGCAAGCGTACTGCCGGCGACGTGGTGACGGTGCATGTTGTCAATCCAGAGACCGTTGATCCTGACGCTGCAGCGTTGAGTCGATCGACAGAGCAAATGGTTGAGATCAAACAGGTGCTGGGGCTTGGTAGTTCTCCAGAGCTGCGCTATCTCAGTGAGCCTATGGTGAAGCATCTTGGTGGTGAAGATGGGTGTATCGCTAGGCGTCTTTTCATTCCAAACAGAGTGCGTGTGATTCCTGGGGGACTGAGATCGGTTGAAGCAGCACTTGCGAGTAACAAAAATGGTGTTTCGGGTGAAAAGATTGTATTTAAGCCTTGTGAAGAGTAATTAAATACATGCCGAATTACTCTCGATCAATCTCATAAAATGTTCAGTTAATACATCCACTACTTCCAAATCTCCACCTCTCCTCCTCCTCGAAGAGCAGCTACTCGCATCGTGGCAATCATATTCCTCGCCGCATTGGAATGGTCATACACGCCCCCATTAAACGCAGATGTTGCATCCTTGCCTATGAAAGATCGAATAATAGCCTCACCCCCTGGATGGTCTTCTATAAACCTATCCACACCATGAATTACCCCTTCAACAGCCACCAATGCCTTGCCCTTCCTGACTTCCTCCTGGAACTCCATCCACTCCATGACAGGCAGGCGATCGATAGACGGTCCCCAATCCAACTGAGCTCGTCTTTGCTCTATTTTCTTGCTATCTTGCTGAAGCCGTCCTTTGTCAATCACGCTTTGTCGGAAGCGTTTCAGATTCTGTGCTAGACCTAGCTGGGCAAAGGCCCAGATGAGCCACTTTGTCCAGTCAGGCTGATGCCAGTCAACGCCATTCCGGTAGTCAGACGGGAATTCATGGTGAAAATTATGATACCCCTCTCCAAGGGTGACGATAGCAGTGATGAAGGAATCCCGCGGAGAAAGCCGATCATCGAACGGCTGTTCACCGAGATAATGGCCCAGTGAGTTAATGCAGAACGTAGCCTGCTGGCCGAGAAACGTCCGCACGATACCCGTATAAACAAACCCACCATACCAATCTCCCCAGAATATCCCAGCAACGAGACTTGGGAAGATCCAGGCCATGAACGGCCCGGCGAAGAGGTAGTTGTTATGCTGCCAGACCACGATAGGATCGTTCTTCAAGTCGGATATATCCACCCGGTTGTTCTTCTTGGGTTGTTTCAGGATAATCCAGAGGATATGGGCGTGTGCGATACTCTTTTGGACGTTGTATGGGTCTCGGTCTGTGTCTGTATACCGATGATGGGCGCGGTGCTCGCGAGCCCAGAACTTGATGGATCCTTCGATTGCACCTGCGCCAAAGGCTGCGAAGATCAATCTCAGCAGTGTTGAGCCGGTGTATGCTCTGTGAGCCCATAGACGGTGGTATCCTGGAGTTGTTAGTTTGGGGCGAACTCCTTTTGATATACCAATCTACTTACCACCCGTGATGGAGCTAACAGTAGCAAGATAGTAGAACACAGACCATAGGAGGGTTTGTCGATAAAGAGGAGTCCAGGGCATTTGGATAAGACCCAGGAGTGGGATGATGACCACTAAGGTCATGTTGAGCCAGTCGATTCGGCGATGCAGGTTTCTCCAGGTAATTGGTTCATTTAGTGAGTGAGGCATTATTCCTTGGTCTTTCGATTCAGTCCCATGCTGGGAGGCTGAAGGGTGAGATGTGGGAATGGTAGTCATAGTAGCCATGATGATAGTCGTTATTCCTAGTCAATCTAAAGCAGTGCTGAATTCATGAAGTGCCGGAATCGAGCAGTATTTATACCAATCCCTGTGTCTGTCCGGCCTACAAGTCATAAGATGGGCATAGTGCCCACAGTCAAGTCACGTGAAGTTATTAAAGTTGCTGTACACCTTTATATTACAAATCTTAGCCTTGTCCACGAGGTGGTGTTTTTCTTACAGGTCACTAATCAACCCTGAGCCAATGAATACGCCATAGTTGTGGAAGGATTATTCGTTGGGGACACAATGCTACAATCAAGGGGCTCCCAGGAATGCAAGGTGTCATATGCTTCATGCAGGTCGATCAGTTTGGCGATGCATATTTTATGCGGTGTTATAATTCTACTTAGCAAGGCGCGCAGTCACAGATTTTTCATTGGAGTACTGTCAAATCAAAAGCATGAGGCAGATTGACATGCCATGCAAGATGTCATATTAAAGTCCAGTGTTACAATAAATCAGAGGCGTGTCTGTGTAATATGAGTACCTATCTGTGCGACAATAACGTTGGGATCTGAAGAATTGTCGGGATTGGAACCCAACGTATAATTACCTGTCACTTACCACTGAAGATATCTATGTCCTACAGAAGGCAACCAAATCTATAGCCATACAACCTGTATTTCCAAGGCTGATGACGATGATGATGGAACACACCAATGTCGTATAAGATACAGCTGCCTGAGGTATCACGGATTTATTCGAAAGAGGGTGATGCCCTCACCCCCTCTTAGGATTAGAATAGGCTTAGCTTAGAGGTTTATCTATGTAGGTTATATCCCATATTAAATTCTGTTGTCTGTCAAGAAGAATCTAAGTTTTTATATATAATACTCTACAAAATATACTGTAACAATGGTCATATAATTCCATAAAACAGTAAGAATTACCTCGAGGCCATAACTGATTCTTAGATTAAGATGTTGTTGTCCATACCGGCAATATCTAAACATAAGTAATTTACACTCACCGTGAAATGATATGATAGTGGCTTAGCATAGCTACTGTTATATGACTCACAGGGCCAAGTAGCAGGGATTATCACTCCTCTCAAAGATCCTGTATTAATATTTATACATAACACCCAATCCCTTCACTAAGCCTCTTTCAATATATTGAAATTCAAATAATATGTTCCTGAAAATGTTAACAAAACGAATCCTCTTCAACCACAAGCTCAAAGCCAATCTCCCAGACCTAAACGCACTTTTCCAGGCGCATCTCAAGAGCCCCCACAGCCCAGGATGTAATTCTTCCTGGTCTTATACATGAAGAGCATACACCCATGGGCCCTGATAAAAACACCCTTATCATCTATATTTTCCACAAAAGCACCACTGAAGACGACAGCAAACCTACCACCCACAACAGTATAGGAATCTACACCATCCACGGCGGCGGGATGATGGTCAGCAATCACTTCACCAACATTGCGTGGGCCATGAAATGCGTTCACTAGTTTGGCGCTGTCTGCATATCTATCAAGTATCATATTAGCCCAGAGCACCCTGATCCTGCACCTATGGAAGATTTGTATGCGGGGTTAATCTAGATACAGGATTACGCGGAGGAACTAGGGATAGACCTAACTCAAATTATGCTCCATGGCGCATCTGCTGGTGATGGACTATGTCTTGGTGTGAGCTTGTTGTACCGCGATCGAAACCAACCACCGCCTCTATTTGCCCTGGTTCTGTTTGCGCCTATGGTAGATGATGTCAACGATTCCGGTTCTGCGCATGCGTTTTCCGGTGTGGGTGTCTGGGACCGGGCGGTGAACGGTCAGGGGTGGGATGCTCTATTGGGGAGTCGCAGAGGGACAGATGATGTCAGTATATACGCAGCACCGATTCGAGCGACGGATTTCTCAGGCCTCCCGACGATGTATGTCGATGTTGGATCTACGGAGACGTTTCGGGATGAGAATGTGCTTCTTGTGCAGAAGGTGTGGCGGGATGGAGTCCAGTGTGAACTGCATGTATGGCCGGGTGCATATCATGGGTTCTATGAGTTGTGGCCGGAGGCTGAGCTGAGCAGGAAAGCTACGAAGACGCGGTTGGGTTGGTTTAGACGGTTGATCGTCTCACAATAGAATAGGTTAATAGATTACAGTCTCAATAACTGAGTTTGAACTATTGATTGAATATACTTAAGGTGCTTTAAACAAAAGTACATCTCATAAGTGCCGGGATCGACACTGCTAAGGATGAGCTTGGCATTTAGACCTCAAAATGAGTGCAGATCCGCATTTCTATCATATAATAAAGAATGAATTCGTGGAAGACAACAAACGGAAAAGAAATCAGAAACTATTTCCACCCATGGACTCAGGCGCACTGCTATGGTTCTCCCCTTTCGCCTTGATGACAATTCGCTCCTGGCTTTCGTTGCGCGTTTCCTGTAGAATGGTCGTGCCCATACCGAGACTGCCTTTCTTGCGGCTACCACGGTCGTTTCCATCTTTCATATTGTCCATCGGGTAGAATCCGGGTGGTACACCGCTGGAGCCATAGTTACGGCTGGCTGATGAGCCGAATTGACGAAAGCAGGGCAAAACACGGAGTGAAGATAGCGAGCCTGCGACGAGGCCAAGGTTGAATTCGATTGCCATCCAGTATAGCGAGGATGTTGAGTCGACTGTTCTGTCAGTAGACAATAATGATATGGTATCAGAAGAACATACAAGTAGTATCTGTCGCACCATGCAACAGATATCCCAACGTACTGAACCGCACAATGGGCGAGATACAGGCAATAATACCAGTGCTGAAGACAAACATCAACGCGACGATCTTTCGTGTTGGCATCTGCAGACCACACAGAACCGGCATTGGGATGAGTAGGATGATGATGTCGGTTACGAAGATCAACACTGCCTGGTACAGTGTGACCTGGTATAGTTGGAATGTAGTAAGGCATTTGGCAGTAGCCGCGATAGCTAAGTCATATGCGCCCCTATTACCGGTTAAGTAAGGGTTTCATGTTGAGTATGGTGAGGGTGTACCTTGCTGGTGAGCATCGGAAGGCCAAAACCAATGATCCAGATACGGTAAAGCAGACTTGAAATATCATCACGCCGAGTGTCAATCGGTTGACCCATGCTAATTTAGTTAGTGACCATTGAGAAAAGGATAGAAGGTGATTTACAAATGGGAAACACCCGACGTAAAAACAGCAACAGGCTTATTTTGACGGCCATCGAGACGTACAGATAATAGCATGTTGCCACATAGTATAACTTCCAACATCAGTATATAAATAAAAAGACAATATTACGATAATACCTTCATCCATAGCCCAAGTTCGCTCATTGAGAGAGTTTCCTGATGCCGCCCACTTCCAGAGTGAACAACGGCAATACCCAAGCCATTAAAGACCTGAGTGAGGACCTAGCAAATTGTAGCCAGTAAATTGATGTCCTTTGCCTCATAACAGCTGCCCACATACCAGCGCAAATATGACAGCCCAGTCGTCCAGTCCAAACTTCTTCAGAACCACCGCTCTTGCATAGAGCTAATCTAGAGTTAAAGTGGATTTCGCATTATAACATTGAGAAACTCACTCTAAGTCCACAGACAATCAAGGACAGACCTGCCATGGCAATAATCAGGCCATAAGTCAGCGAAACCAAATGCTGCTCATCTGGCGCCAGGCCGCGTGCCACTATTCGCGACAGCATCTCGGCACAGTGCAGTGAAGCAATTTGAATCGCTCAACGGTCGAGGGCCACATCGCTATTTGTGCCCCTGCAGCGGCTGGTAAACCGTCCAAGCTTCCATTATACCTGTCAAATTCCATTTCACTAGCCAGAAGGGGAGATTTTAAAGCAGTAAAGAAAATAAAAAAGAAAAGAATAATAGAATGCAAGTAAAGGCCAATCGACCGGGATTAAGCTCCTGGTCTGGGCGCTATTTCTAACTCCGGCCAATCGCACGGCTGCGGGAACCTCTAGCCGGAGCCGTGTGGGACTGGGCTTTGTGATCGGCGAATCAGAATTGCCGGTGGGAATCCAAATAAGACTGCCGCAGCTGTGAGTGTCACAGGATATTTCCATTTCTCTCCCTTTCGGTGGAAATTGGCCGGAAAAATGGACGAGGCTTGCAGTAGTGGAAGATTCAGCGTCGCACACAAAAGCCTTATGCATGCTTTAAGCATACGATATCACGCGCCGGCTATCGCGGATGCACCACAAGCCGGTGAAAGCATACGAGAAGAATGCCCCTAACACTACGCCATCGCAGAGGCTATAAAGTAGCGGCACCACAACCTAAATGATACAGCAACATAAACAATGGGCGATTTTAAAGTGCTGATCGCAGGAGGCAGCCTGGTCGGACTGACCCTGGCTTTGGTCCTGGAACAGGCTGGGATCGACTATGAATTGTTCGAAAAAGGGGATTTTGCGCCACAGATCGGGGCTTCTATCGGACTACATCCGCAAACGCTTCGTATTCTCGATCAGCTGGGTGTGTGGGCGGATATCCAGAGGGTTGTCGTGCCTTTACACCATAGGTATCATTTTGATGGGAATGGACGATGCTTTGAGCAGTCTGAAATCTTGCAGGATATTGAGCAGATGTAAGCTGCAACTGTTCTATCAATCCAGCTCTAATAGAAGATAGCTTGGCCCGTCCGATTATTTTCATGGAACGATGCGAGGCATTGCGAATCCTACAGAGTCACATTTCGGATCAGAGCAAGCTCCACGCCCACAATGCAGTAACGGCATATGAAGAAACGACCGATGGTATTATCGTAACGACAGCCGATGGAATTACACATCGAGGCGACGTTTTGATCGGAGCAGATGGCATCCACAGTCGAGTACGGCAGCTAATGGCCGAACATATCAGCCTGGATAATCCGGCACGCAGTCAAGAAATCACACAAAGTCAGTATCATGTTAAGGATACACCCATCCTGATATACTAACTTCTCTAGCTTTCACAAGCGAGTACAAATGCATCTTCGCCGTCTCTCGCAACGATCCCTCCAGCCCCTTCCTTCCCGATGCCACAGTCCACAACGTCTACTACGACAACCATTCCGCCGTCGCTGCAACCGGATCACCAGGGCTAGTATTCTGGTTTCTCTTCGTGAAAACCCCTCTGACGACGTCGCCGAACTGTCCTCGCTATACAGACGCCGATGCAGATGGGCTGGTTGAAGAATACGCCAGTGTCGCGCCAGGACCGGGGTATACCATCAAAGATCTATGGGAGGCACGAGTCAACGGAGCACTGGTTCCATTGGAAGAAGGAATTATTCCCCAATGGAGCCATGGACGGGTTATGCTGATGGGGGATTCAGTTCACAAAGTCACCATCAACGCTGGTCTAGGAGGAAATCTCGCTTTTGAAGCAATCGCACACTTTAGCAATGCTCTCGTCTCGTTACTACACGATAATCCGTCCCCTTCTACCGAAAAAATAACAGCTCTATTCCAGAAACTTGAGCAAACGCACCGACCACGCGCGACAACTGTCCTCAATGTATCCGGCCAGATCACGCGGTATGAAGCGCAGGATAGCTGGTTCTTGAAATTCGCCGCCCGGCATCTATCCCCGTTAGTATGCGACAGGTGGAAGGCTCAGCTGTATGCCAATTTCGCGAATGGAGCGCCATGGTTGGATTTTCTTCCGTTGAAGGATGAGAAGAAACAAACACCTGAGACATCTAATACGCATTTGTGGATAGGTTTGGGTATAGGAGCGGCAGTTGTGGGAGTGGTTACATCGTGGAAACATTTATGAAGGACATTATTTATATTGAGATGTAAATTGTGGTGTTAATGCTTATTTTTAAAATATAACTTGGGTTTTATGTGGTCTGCTATTGATTTACTGGGGTTTATCTTTGTATATACCCCCGCCGTACTTTATACCCTAATTTATCTAGTTTCCTATAAACGTTGGCCAAGCCACTCACCACAGATTCATTTGTTAAGTTTTCTTATAAAAATACTCAGCTAATTATTGGTCAGATTGAGAGTAGTTTTGGTGAAAAATATGGCCCGGTTCTTGTCAAGGCGTGGAATGAATTATCAAAGTGCTGCTGAGGTTGTGAGAGATATCAAGGAGTTGATTGGATTTAATATTACTAAAGAGGATGAGGTCTTGCATGAAAAATTATTAAACTGGGAAAGTGTCTATAAGTTTATGTTTGTTGGTGAACAGACTGATTATGAGAAGGAGATACAGTTTACAACGTTAGATTCAGGTCTTACATTTATCCCAGGGTATTTGGTAATCACACCAACTCCATCTTCATCTCGCCATCAGTTTATCCTCATTGCCTTTGATATCCCTCCTCATGGTTTGACAAAAACCTCCGCCTTACAGCTGAATAACCATCTCCTGTCTATACCAAAACACTTGATATTCGCACTTGAGCCATTTCTGGTAGAGATTAACCGTTTGGAGTGCCGGTGTAATCCTCTCGGGAATCTTAATGTTGAATTAACAAGGCGATCTATCATGCTGTCGCCTGCCATCTTCACTAGGCAGAAAGTCTTAACCGTGATGTGCTCATGTGCGTGTGGCTTCCCTATCTACACAAGAATAATGACCTGGTTTTCTGCACACGCCTCTTTTCCCATCGTAGACGCAAATCGATAGATTGTAGTGTAATCGACAGGTGGAAGAAGATTTACTCTCCTTTATGCGATGGTGGTGGAGCATATCCTCGATATTACCCCTGATGACACTACTCCTGATGCGGTACTGGTCACCATCAGTCAGAAGATTGGAGTAAGTGCAAATATATGCTTGAGTCTGTGTGTCTAGCCACGATGCTCTCTGCTGGCGCGATCTTTAAGTTTTTTGGTTGATATATCCTGCCTTCCTGTACTAGTGATTGCTTTTGATTCCTTTCGACATCTCCCAGTCACCAAGGCTCAGCATAGAAGTGATTATCCATACTGGTCTCTCATAGACCATTTTCTATTCACCCTTAAGATAGCAGTTTATTATTTGGCAATGGTTAGAATTTTTAATGGGTTCCTTTAAGTCTGTTTCAAACATCACTGTTTTTAATGCTGCTTTTCTAATCAGATTTCATTCATTCGTAATGCTAATAACCTAAAGCACTCTCTTATCCATCACATGTTAACAAGGGAATCAGTATTTGCTCACTGTATTATTACGCCGTTGCTACAGACTTAGACGTAGTAAGCAAAAAAGATAATGTCTGAAATGAGAGCATTAAAAATCATTATCTTCCGCTTCAACTATACATGACACTGTTGTATATATTTGACTCTATTAACCCAACACTTTGTGTCACCATATTACCTCTAAATCATAAATTAAGGAAATATTAAGATATAAAAGTCTAAATACTAGATAGATTTTATATATCCTTAAAATATATAGTAATCTAGAAAGACTATATAGTATACTAGTAGAAGTAAGATAGAAGTAAGGCAGAAGTAAGGTAGAAGTAGTAGTAATAATTAAGTAATAGTAGTAATTATCTATTTCCTCCCCATGGCTCTATTATAAGCCTATAAACTGCCACTTCTATATATCTTAATCTCTCTAGATCCTCCTTATCCAACGCCTCTATCAATATATCAAAATTCAAATAACATTTCCTGATAATGTTCACAAAATGAACCCCCTTTAACTGAGAGCTTGAAGCCAATTTCCCGGACCTGAGCACACTTTTCCAGGTGTATCTTAAGAGCCTAACAGGAATAAACTCGGAGACACTGTAATGTATAAGGTAGTTTCCCCATGAACTAAGTCGAATTAAAGGTATCACAACCAAAGAACCATGGTAACATCTTCAATCAGCTATCCTAAACTTTCATCTCCTTGAAATCCCTGTTACACCGTGAGTCTGTAGACTCCAGAGTACCCCTGGGTAAATCCGTGCCTGACGAGATAATATAAACCGGAAACTGGAACTCGACTGTCCTTCTCTGCGACAGGGTCAGCTCCTGTACGCACCTTCTCTCCAATCAACAACAACTACTGACATTATTCGCCCCAAATTCAATCCCAAGCCGAATCACCAACGCATAGATCCGCGTAATGTTACACGTCTCGAACGTGGGAGCCAGGTAGGATGGCAGCCGATGTCTACTCCACAATCCATCATTCACCCTTAGAACAGATCCATCCTGGGAATCGTGGGCGGCCACAATAGAAAGTCGCAGATTTGTCATCGTCTGGATGATCCACGACCGGGTTTGGTTTTCGAGGGATCCCCGTGCGCGCACATCTGTCGTTTCCAGCAGCATGGACTGGAAATCGTGTATGACTATCTCCTTGGGTGAACCAAGTATGCTCCGGATCTCTACTGCTAGAGAGATCGGTTTGTTGAGTTGGAGGAAGGGCCCATTTGTCAGTTTCGCATCGACATCGTACATGGCCGGTTCGGAGCTCGACGTTAGTGAGAGGAGAGGATCGGGAGGATGTCTATCACAAAAGATCCTATGCTGGTAACTCAGACTATGTGCGGGATTTTGCATGGTGGATATTCCAAGATATTGAATATTGCGACTCTGAGAGAAACCCCGTTGTTAGGAAGCTGAGAAGGAGACACGCGCAATCGATGGTACGGGAGACTCAACGACTTTCTGGGTTCCACTTAGGAGGCTATCCTGCCGTACTGTCGCTTCTAACAGATACTTGATTTCTCCTGGGGTGGAACTATCCCCAGTAGATGGGGGTAGTTTGCGCAGGAGATGATGTCTTCGCCTGTTTGTCGGGCGTTTGTCGTGACTGGCGGAACTGCCCTTGTAACATTCTGAAACTTGGGGGAACTGGAAGATACCCGATGTGAGATAAACAGACCCTAGGCAGATGGTGAGCGGTGCAGTACATACCCGAATTGAGAAGGAAAATGTGTATTCTCCGGGACCGAGGCTCATAGCACGAGAGTTTGTAAACCAGCTCGAGCCTGGATTGAGAGGGAACACTTGTTCGACTCGTTTGAATAGCTGCCTCGCACTGTCAAAAACCAAAGGACCCTTGAATGAATTGAGAATAGTTACCTGATGTGACTCGGTAAGTTTCCCAGAACGCAGCCTCGAAGTTGCAGATCCCGAAAGCGTCACCGTGATTGCCGCAACGTCAACTTGCGCTTCATTGCGAAGGATGATATGACCTGATACCGCGTCCTCGTTGGTGTACACGGCCTGCTCTCTATCCAGCTGGACCCGCAGATCGATGCGAGATGGTGAGTCCAAAAATCGCTCAACTCGAGACAACATGGAAAGACAGGAATCGATCGACTCTGGGTTGGAAACTATCGATCTTGGCCTCGTGCCATGCAGATCAGACCTACATGCCATCTCCTCGCAGGAGTCCCGATAGATACAAAAATCCGAAGTCATCTTATCAGCCAATCTAGAGAGTTCACTCGAAGAAGCTGCTGCGCATATGAACCACCCTGTAGAGTGAATGCCATTAACCTAAATCCAGAAATAGCAACGAGACTTATATTTGCCCATCTGGAGGAGGCTGTTCGCCGGAACCTTAGAAAAGCCATGAAGCCCACAGCCTCGCCGGACCAAAAAAAGCTCTCGGGCAGTGCCAAGTCATATTTGAAACCCAACTACGCCGCCCATGTAACAATGAAGATTGGACGTCGAATGGGCATGGACTTCAATTGCCGACTATATTTATCCCCAGAGGGACGGGCCGTGATTGGCTCGGCATAAGGGTGGAGCCCCGCTGCCCAATCGGAGAGCGGGATTCCCACTGTTCTTGTATATTTCGGTAGCAGCAGCTTCAGATTCAGAGCCTCATGCAGATTCTGATCTTCACATCCATACCATTGTTTCTCCTGCAGTTAGAGAGACAGCATGTATGCAAGCGACGAATATCGAAACCATTATTCATTTGAAATGGATGGTAGCTGCCGTCCACCGCGACAGTTAACTCCTACGGTTAGCATATCCCGGTTCAAGGGATTGTCTGCTGCGACTCACTGACCTGATCATTCCAGCCTCAGAGCACGAGTGAGAATGAATACGACAAATCGGATGATATTTCGCAGTCCCTGCTGGGTTCCCAACTTGAGAGCCCTTTCACATCGCCCAACGAACCACGGTACCCGGAGACCCTCGCAACCCCTCAAGAACCACCGCGAGCAAACTCAGTCTCGGGAGTATCCAGCACCAGTCCATGGCAAAAACGTCAGATTGAGAACGCACGCAGTGGTCTCCGTCGCTATCCGACTCGACGGATCAATCTGGTCCAAGGGACGGTCCTGAGCGTCGATTACCCAGTTCCGAGTCCGATCCTCAATTCCGTTGAACCGAAATACTGTGACAACAGCGAAGCAACCGCAGAAGAATTCACTCATCTGAGATGTAAAAGCCTCTACAGACATCGTTTCACAGCTCACAGGTACTAACAGAATGGTTAAGACACGGCGGCCACCTGCGATCCCGATGATTTCAATCTCCGCAATGGATACAACCTCCGAGCCGCCATGTACAATCGATACACGGAACTCCTCATTGCCATCACCTACTACAATGAGGATAAGGTTCTAACCGCCCGAACTCTGCATGGAGTCATGCAGAACATACGAGACATCGTGCAGCTGAAGAAAACTCAATTCTGGAATAAAGGAGGACCGGCCTGGCAGAAGATAGTGGTGACACTGATCTTCGACGGCATTGGTCCGTGTGATAAGAATACCCTCGATGTTCTGGCTACTATTGGGATCTATCAGGACGGAATCATGAAGCATGATGTGGATGGCAAGGAGACGGTTGCCCATATAGTACGTGCTACACAGTATCCCTTTGACAGGCGATCGCTAATATTGATTAGTTTGAATATACTACGCAGTTGTCGGTGTCGCCTGCGCAGCAGTTATTTCGCCCCAACAGTGATGATCCAGAGAACTTCCCACCGGTGCAAATGATCTTCTGTCTCAAACAGAAGAACAGTAAAAAGATCAATTCGCACCGCTGGCTATTCAATGCGTTTGGACGGATTCTCAATCCAGAGGTGTGCATATTGATTGACGCAGGCACCAAGCCGGGCCACAAGTCCCTGCTTGCGCTATGGGAGGCATTCTATAATAATAAGAACCTGGGTGGAGCATGCGGCGAGATCCATGCACTACTGGGCTCACAGTGGGAAAAGCTCATCAATCCACTAGTCGCGGCGCAAAACTTTGAGTATAAGATTTCAAACATCCTGGATAAGCCACTGGAAAGTGTGTTTGGGTATGTTAGTGTTCTACCTGGTGCGTTTTCTGCCTATCGCTATCGTGCCATCATGGGCAGACCCCTCGAACAGTATTTCCATGGAGATCATACTCTGTCGAAGAAACTAGGAAAGAAGGGGATTGAAGGCATGAATATTTTTAAAAAGAATATGTTTCTGGCGGAGGATCGGATCTTGTGCTTCGAACTTGTTGCAAAGGCGGGATTCAAATGGACCCTGAGTTATGTGAAAACCTCAAAAGGCGAGACGGACGTTCCTGAAGGTATGTTACAGCATGGTTACCTAAATAACTTCATCGTGGCTAAAATAGGTTCAGCCCCCCCCGGAGTTTCTGAGTCAGAGAAGACGATGGCTGAATGGATCATTTGCGGCGAGTTTATACTCGGTCATGCACTTCAACCGCATTTACAAAAGTGGGCATAGTATCGTGCGGCTGCTCTTCCTCCATGTCCAGCTGCTTTACAACATCTGCCAGTTGATTATGACATGGCTCTCCCTTGGTTCGTTACCACCGTGTTGGGGTGAATATAACTGACCGATCTTAGCATCATACTGGCTGACGACCTCTGTAATCATGGACATCGTCGGCACTCCTAGCGCAACGAATAAGAACAAGGGTTGGCCGTTTGGAAATGAGGTGACACCGGTCATCAACAATGTCATCAAGATACTCTATCTGGCATTTTTGATGCAACAATTCTTCCTCGCGCTTGGAAATCGGCCCAAAGGGTACCACCCATTCATCCAAAGCTTAATTTCAGTCACCGGCTAACAAAATCATCATTAGATCCAACTTCTCCTACATCCTAGCCTTCCTCTACTTCTCCCTCGTCCAACTCTACATCCTCGTCCTTTCATTCTACCTCGTCGCCCAGGCCTTCAGCGGCGGTAACATAGACCTCGACTTCGAAAATGGCGCTGGCGGTTTCATAGGCTCGTTCTTCACCTCCACCACTGGCCTCGTCCTAATAGCCCTGGTATCCACGTACGGGGTCTACTTCATCGCAAGCGTCCTCTATCTCGACCCTTGGCACATGGCAACATCGTCCTGGGCATATTTCCTCAGCATGCCCTGCTCCATCAACGTTCTCAACGTCTACGCCTTCTGCAACTGGCACGATGTCTCCTGGGGTACAAAAGGGTCAGACGAGGCAGCATCTCTCCCCTCCGCGCAGACAAAGACATCAGATGCAAAGACAAACTTTGTCGAGGAGCTCGACAAGCCCCAGGCAGATATCGACACCGAGTTCGAGCTCACCGTGGGACGGGCTCTAGCGCCGTGGAAGGAGCCGGTGGAGAGCTCCAAGGTGCAGCTGGATGATTCGTATCGCACGTTCCGCACTAACCTGGTGCTGTTGTGGGCGTTGAGTAATTCGCTCTTGGTGTTGCTGATCAACAATGCGAACGTGCGGAGTCTGTGTCTAACGGTTTGTTTTCGATGTTATCCTCGTTGTAAGTCTTGCGCTGACTTTGATAGACGACATCGACTGATCGCACCATGTGGTATTTTAAAATCATCCTGTGGGGGACATCGGGGTTGTCGATCTTCCGGTTCTTGGGTGCCTTGGTGTTTCTGGCGAAGACGGGGCTTCGGTGTTGTTTCTCGAGGCGATAATTGTCGCCTATTACTATTATAGACCCCATAATCTAGTGTCATATAGTTTGTGTTAGTTATGTACTATTCCACGGTTCCAATAGTTAAACTCAACTGCCGAAGACCACGAGAAGAACAACCATGGTGGAACACTCGGGTGTGGTCTTTCTCTATCTACACGAGCATAATGACCTGGTTTGCAGCACACCGATAGATTGTAGTGTAATCGGCGGGAGGGGGAAGTGGTACTCTCCTTTATGCATTAAAAATCATTTTCTTCCTCTTCAACTATGCATGACACCGTTGCGTCAATTCAACTTTTTTTTTTTTTTTCCCATTAATCCGACACTGTGTCTCCGTGTTACCTCTGAATCACAAGTTGAGGGAATCCCGAGATATGACAGCCCGACTATTGGATAGATTATATTTCCTCGAAACATAGTAATCCAAAAAGACCGTACGGTGTACTGGTGGAAGTAAGATGGACTCAAGATGGAAGTAGTAGTAGTCAAGTAATAGTAGCAATCAAGTTTATTGTCCTCATCGAGCCCTATGGGCTACGAAAGACAGTACAGTCCATGAGCATAAACTCTGACTCAGTTTTTAAATACATGTTTTGATTCGTTCGAATTTCGGATCGTTCGGATCTTCGAATTCCCTTGTCCTCGCCCCGTTCCGTCTATCTGCGCACAGCGTTCGGGTAGGACTCATCGTAGGGTAGATATGGGAGAAGCAAGCTCATCATTACTTAATATAGAAGAAGCAGGAAGTGCTCTTAGAATAATAGATCGGTTTCGTGACCTCCCTTTACGTGACTGGTGGCTCGGAGACACCTCATTCGTTCCACCAAAGTAAGACCAGGCGGTAAGTGCTAACCAGTTCAACTGCGCCCTAGATAAGCAATTCTCTTTTCGCTGACAACTGTTTTCGTTGAGGGGAGGGGGAATCAGACCCGAAGGAAGGCAGGAAAGGCGTATGGCCCCATCAAATGGAAGCGAACATGTGGCTTACTCTTGGCGTGCGGAGGACTTGGTGCTGCGGGGGATAAGACCTAGCCCAGATGAGGAATGCATGAAGTAGTCGAAGACCAACATTTAGTCTTACAGGCTGAACAATGCTTGATCTTCAGGTGCTCCACTGGCACTCTCGGAGTCCATCTCATCCTGTGTTCGCGGTTACATTTTTAAAAGTGCCAAGTGCTGGTTTCCCCACAGGCACCGACAAAAAGACGTGAGGCATATCGGTGAGGCACCAATGTTCTATTAGAGATCGTCCCAGTAAGCATTCCTATAAATGATACCTCCACCCAAGGGTCAATTAGATGTATCCTTCCCTTCGGTTTTCTCAAACCTATTCAGAAGTCCAACCTGAAATCAGCCATCCTTTTCGATTACTCTCGAAAATGATGCTTCTCAGCCTCATTCTCACCCTGTCGAGTGTCTCGCTGTCAGTGGCCAAACCGGCGGCAAATTTCAATGCATCGACTTCGACCCTCACATCCCTAGGTTGCGATTCTGCTTGCCAGCGAGTCTTTAGTGAGGGACAAAAGCAGGACGTCGAGATGTGGGAACCGGATTTTGATTTCGATTTTTACGCCACAGCTCGCAATTTCTCCTCGTCAAAGCCAGGCGACCTCCTCAAGTTCCAACCACTGAACGGGTCGTCCCTCAGCGTGATTTTTGGACTTACTGCCTATCGATACCAGTACACTTCCCGCAGCATGAATGGATCCGTTGTGCCTGCTACGGGATTTATTGCAATTCCATACAGTTCATATCGGCAGGATGGGAAATACCCCGTCGTTGCCTACGCCCACGGTACAATTGGCATTTTCGCCGGATGTCCGCCTTCCTCGACCGCCGAACTATACGACTACAACAACTGGGGTTTCCTTGCGCAGAACGGATATGCCATTGTCGCCACTGACTATGCGGGACTTGGGAACAACTATATTGAGCATGAATACTGCAGCTTTTCGGCCCATGCCAACGATATCTACTACGGCATGCTCGCTGCTCGCAAAGTATTCCCAGACACCTTTACCGATGACTGGGCCGGTGTTGGTCACTCCCAGGGAGGAGGAGCTGTCTGGAAGCTATCCGAAAGTGCCCTCGTCAAGTCTGGAGCAGCCGGCAATTACGTGGGAACGGTCGCCATAGCGCCAGGTACGAAAATGTACGACTTAATCCTCCTGACAGCTGAGAAAATCTTCCCCAAGTCCAACTATAGCACTTACTATATTACGTATATATTCTTATGGATGACGACCGCCCTTCGACGTGCTATTCCCTCGGCGGATATCTCATTCTTTGCGCAAAAGCTTCTGGATCGGGCTCAGATTGCCAAACTCACGCAATCCTGCTACAATGGTGCCTTGGCGCTTGGACTCGGGCTCTCTCCAAAGGAGATGATTACGAGCACCGCCGCGCTCAGGAACAGCACAGATTTCCAAAACTGGCAGAAAATGGTTTCTCCCGCCATGGGATCCAAAACAGAGCAACCGCTTTTGATCGTTCAAGGATTGAATGATACCACGATTTTGCCTCAAATTACCATCAACTCCTTCCATGACACCTGCAAATACGGGAGTCAGGCACATCTGAGTCTGTATCCAGGCATGGATCACGGCGATGTGCTCACAGCTAGTTCCCCCGAGTGGACGCGTTTTCTTCGTGAGCGCTTTGAGGGAAAGAGCACAAGTGGGGGATGCAAGAAGACTGTTAATGCCCCATTTGATGCTACTCACATGACTGCACTGAATCAGTCGACCTTGATACTCGATCTTTGATTTTGGGTGGTTATTGGGCTCGGATTGACTTCACGCGACATCTGGCAGATAGTGGCTCGCTACAAAAGCGAAAACAAATTATAGTCCTCCTGCAGCCTAGTCCCACATTTTCTTCACTTCAAGGTTGTCCGTATCTCGTAGGTGATGAATCTGAGGCTCCATATTGGTCAATCTCAGATTTCGACGGGAAAAATGGGAATATGAACCGAATACTCTTACCTCTTGCTCCACAGACGAATATTTATTACTTAGATATGCAAGCATATCCAATATCATTGTTGTCTCATTAGAATGACAACTCAATGCTATGCATGTAGTCTCTAAGAATTTGGGCATGCGGCTCACTCAAATAGATGTATTCCTTGCTGCCAGGCATCAATGGACACGGCCAACTCGACTGGTTCTCAGTCTCACACCCCTGTTCCTCCGCTTACGTGCATTGGACCAATTGTATAGAGGTTCCTCCCAACACCATTGTAGCTCGCTAACCTTGCATCCACTTATATGATCCGTCCCTACCATCCAGGGTTGCTGCAGGCCGTGTTAGCCGACGCTTGCTTTTGAAGCGGATGGCGTATCCAAGTGTCGTAGTAGTCCCTATCCCAGCACCCTGGACACCTTGTGTGGGCGGTGCGTTCAACAATGGCGTGCGGATGTGGGTGTTTGCAGCTTCTGTCATGAGATATCGAGCAAAGGTGTTCCCATCATTATTGTCATTGTTTCTCGGGCCCACAAATGATCGCTGGGTGTTGATGCAGATGCAGTTATCGTCCTTGGCTGGCTGTCATGGCTGGCCGCATATCAGTCTGGCAATAAGAAGCGACGATCGCACTTGTTAGTCCTGGTTTAATGACGGATTGATTGAACCACTGGACCCATCAATTAACCCTGAGAATATCCCTAGACATATCCATCATCGAATCTCTCCTCGTATTCCGCTCGGAGTCCTGACTGCCTTCCTACCATTGCCATGCCCTGGATTAGATCGCGTTGGAGCGAATCTGACGGGCGGATCGTGGTTTCTCCACATACCGGCGACATGGTGACGTCGTACTAGCCACAATAGTATATGGATGGGTCTGGTAGACAAAGCGGACGTACCTGGAGGATAGAACTGGCAGTCCCTGGAGTTATCGCAGGAGGGAATGGTCCGCTATTGTTTGTTGATGTCTGCCTCGTTGCTACCGCTCAGAAACTCTTGGACTGCTAAATCTTCCAGATATTCCTCATCGTCCGAGTCCGAGTCCAAGTGAAAGGCGGACAGAGGACTGGTCGGAGGTGACGCATATTCTGGTGGCAACTGAATATCCGAATCTTTAACTGACGAGACTTCAGAGTTCCTGGGGGCCGCATTGTAGGGCAGGGTCTTTCTTTGCCTCTGACCTCAGCCGAGACCGTGTTTGGTGTTTGTCCTTCACTATCTTTCTGAGACTGGGAATTTCATCGCAGACGTCTTCGAGAGTCCATTGCAGAGTGGCTTCTGATCCTCTGTCAAGTGCTCTGATAAAGAATTCTTCGAGTGGCTGTGGGGGAGGCTTGGATATGGACTTGTTTTGGTGTTGTTCTTTGCGTTTTGCTTTGCGTTTTTCTTTGAAATTTTCTTGGCGGGCGGTATTTTGAGAATGGAGAATGAGTGTACAAAGAGAATGTTTGAGAAGAAAATTTAAGACCACAGTTTTCTATCATCTCTGTGGGTGGAAGTGTGAAATTTCCATTATCGACACATCACATCTCGGAGTATATAGATCATATCAAAACCAACTAATGCACTCCTATGCACCACAGCCAAATACGGACAAATCAACCGACAAAACTCCTCTTGATCCCCTTCAGTCCCTTCCATATTTCATATCGCCCATCGTAAACAGGAAAGATCACCACCGCGCCAAATGCGACAAACTGCCAGATGATCGCCACCGTCGTCCACCCGGAGAAGAAGGATTTGGTGAAGATGTAATCGCGGTATAGCGGCATTGGCCAGGCAACGAATGTGAGCAGGATTAACACAATCCACGTTACCCAGGCGATCTTGTACCATCGGTGCAGCTGGGTGAGGGTGTCGCTGTCGAAGGGATGGCGGAGATCGTCGACGGATTGAGATGGTTGAGGGTGAACTGTCACGGCCGTGGTTTTTTCTGTCGCTTCTTTGCCTGTAGGCGATGGATTTTCACTGTTTTCTGGGTGAGTGTCCTCTGAATCAGATGAGTCGACGAGCTCGATTCGGAGAAACTCCCTCCAGTCGAATTTATACGGCTTGTACTGCGAAATGATGACAGAGTACAGCGCCGGCGAGAAAAAGGATGCTATAGAGCCATACAAACTGGGTGCCTGCTGCATGGTAGTGCTCAGATTAACACCTCCATACATCGACGACGCCGTACTCAGCCAGACGGCAATGCCAGTCGCAAAACCTAGTATCGGCGATAAAATAGCAGCCAACCGTGTCTGCCCATCCCATGTCAATGTTAATATCAACGGGATGATACCAGGACAAGTAAGAATCGGTCGGAAGTATCCCAGCCAGGTCATATTTGCGCCGCCATAATTCAGTACAATGGAAAAAGCCGTGATGAAGACGGCGTGGAAGATGACTGTCAGATGGCTGACATGGATAAGTCGCTTATCGGATGCCTTTGGGTTGATGTATGTTTTGTATAGATCAAAGGAGAGAATACTGCTGACGGCAATCATGGAGGAAGATACAGTACTCGTTAATGCCATGAAGAGGAGGACAATAAATGCGATAACACCTTGACTGCCAATGAGCGCTTTGATGGTGTACGGCATGACGAATCCAGAAAGCACCTCTTCTGAAGTGAATTCACCTGGATAAGTTGGGAAGATGGGCGTATTATGCAGAGCCCGTGCAGAAAGTCCAATAACGGTGCCCAAGCCCCATGGGACGCCGAAGATGGCGATGGCTGCGAGGTTGTAGCCAGGAACAGTTGCTTTGACTTCGGTTGCGAATGATTTTTGCCAGAAGGCAGTGTCCTATCTTATTAGTATAGAATATATTGTAAACGGGGTCGACATACCATCACAACCAAGGCGAGATTGCCAAACTTGAGAATCAAGCCCCAGATTATCGCACCCTTGGACTTCATTGTCAACAGCGATCCTTGGTAGTTATCCTGGATGTAGTTGTCTGCTGCAACAGCCTGTACTTTGTTATACAATCCAGACAAACCACCGATAGCATCATGGGTGAGGATGGAAAGCGTAAAGTAGATGATCAGAATAAGTGCAATGGCAGTATGGAGAAAGTCAGTAAGGAATGTCGCTTTCAATCCACCAGTTGCAGTATACAACACCACTATAGCCATTAGCATTGCTATTACCTATTATAAATAATACTCACCTCCAAGCGGAATCAAAATGGTAGCAGCAACGAAGTGCATCCCCGAAATGCCATGGATTAATTGCGATCCAGTCAGAATCATCGACGCACACCCAAACACATTGCAGAATATATTCAACATCAGGAATACAACATGTGCCACTCGTCCATATCGCATCCTGATGATCTCCAATGAAGTATGCGCATACGGCACGCGAATCTTTGCCAACACACCCAATATCGCCATGAGTGCGATCTGAAAGCAGAGACCAGATCCATACCACTGCATTGCATTAGCATATAATAACCATCTCTTAGATGTAAAGAAAACATACCATTGGCGCAGCAAGTCCAAAGCGATAACACTGCACCGCCGACGACACCGTCTCGTCAATCCACATCCACGATGAAAACACCGCTGACGCCGTCAACCCCGTTCCCACCGTTCGATTCGCCACCATGAACATCTCCGACTTGCCCGAGTCTTCAGCTAAATATGACTTTTGGATTCTGACAGCGATGATGATAACCGCGCAGAAGAGGACGCCCAGGCCGATGAGGAGGCCATATCCGACGCCTTGGGGAACAAGTGTCACCCCTGCTGTTGTTAGATCGACACCCATTGTGTTTATCGTTCCATAATCAGGGGAGTTGTGCTGATATATATATTCAGGATTACGTTGTAGAGGGGAAGAATGGCGTTATGTGCGTTATGTTTTAGTCCTTCATTTCGATAAGTGTATACAGAGTGGAATTCGCATTAACCAGTTAAAATGATCATAACAACAAGATAATGCATAGGAGAAATCTGATTTCGAATTGGTGCACCAGTGCTCATATCAGACGCTAAGTAATTGCGTGCTGCCATCTCCGAATTGCAACGCACTAAGATTGTGTGATGACAGGCATTCTATGGCAGATTTGAACATTGACTCAATCAGAATGGAATATTTTTGTCTCCACGTGGCGATGGATTCTTTGCTTTATTCTGGATTGCACGGATGTATTTAGTGTTTCATCGAATTCGGTAGTTTCCACGGTATATGTTGGCGTCCTTTAAGCTTTGGATCTGATATGCCCGACCACAAATCTTGATTAGTCTTGGCTTAGCCTTATTTAGTCTTATTACCCCAATCGTGATGCATAATTCTGTCTTCTGACTGAAAGAAAAAGAATATGTCGGAATTATCCGCCATGGTGATACGATGTGGAGATCTGACGACATAACAGCTGTATTAAAATTATTCTAGATTATTATATTCGATTAAGCTGCCCTCCCTTCTGAATCTCTCGCATAGATAGTAGATCTGTCACTGTCCTTGTGCCCTGTCGTTGATTCATCGGCATCATCCTCCCATCCCAGATAGAACCGTGATTTAGCAAACATTCCCTCCTGCTGCTTTTCATTCCGCGGCACATCCTCATATTGCTCCAGAATATTCGAGTCAGCAAATAGACTCGCCACCGCTGCAATACTGCATGGATTCTTCGGAAGTACATGGTCGGTATTCATCAACACTGTTGCCAACACACCCAAAATCACCATCGCAGCCAACAGCGCCTCCAACACCCGCGTGGAAGCTGCATCTTGAACTAGCCTCCAATGGTCCGGACGTGTCGCATTTCCCGTCAACAGTGGCAATGAGCTATTCTCCGCCGAAATGCGCGTGTAATTGGCGTAGTATTGCGCTTCGATGATTCTGTGCGTGTGCTTGACTGCATCTGCGACTCGGTTGTTGTCGGCTTCGCTCCCGAATGTCTCGATGGGAATGGCATACTTTCCATACACAGCCGCTTGGAAGAATGTATCCAGGCTTTCTGACGTTGATATATTGGGAAGTTTTTTCCAGTCAAAGGTATTCACTCCGCGGTAGATATCATATGGTTGTACCGTAGATTCATCCGGGACTGGTGGGTTCTCTTGGTCAATATCAAGATCAGGTAGCTGAAACCGCACAGTCGTATCGACCATCTCGGCAGTCTCGTTGCAGGTTAACAAGGCGATTTGGTCGACTGATGACTCTCCCACATGGCCCCAAACGTAGGTTATGTTCGAGCATAGATCTGGAGCTTTGTACATCCCGCTAGTGTAGCTTGTGAGGGTCATCCCAAAGTACGTGTTTGGCTCGATGTTGTGCACGGTGATCACAGTGGCTTCGTTGAAGTCACCCAAAGCGCTGGGGCAGTACTCTTGGGTGAGGTTGATATTGACGTTCCAGTCACCTGGTGTTCCGGTGAAAAATGAATCATCGTAATGCTGGTTCCTGGAGAAGTTTGACTGCATTTCGGATGATGCGTATAGTCGACAGGTGAGATTTGCTCTTGCAGCAGGAACGATCATACCAACGGAGGACAAAGATGAATTGTCTACATTTGCGTCCATTGTTAGTTCGGGAAAGGCGAGTTCTTCGTACGTCCACTGCGGATAGGTTAGGTTATCCCAGAGAACTAGACCAGCCATCTGCGTCCCTCCGTTCCTTCGATCTCCGAGCGCTGAAAGGTTGCCGGTGAAAAGCGTGTCCTGCTGGAATGTGACGGGAGTGATTTGTGGGACTTGGATGGCCGAGTACAGGCCGCTGGCGACGATGGTTAGGAAGGATCCGATCAGTGTCATCACAGTGGTTGCTAGAACAGCCCATTCTCTTAGACGGATTGATTTGAAGACATTCAAAATGCTGATTGTATCCAGAAGGTCGACTGTCATGGATCGGTGGAAAAGTGTGCCTGTCTTTTGGCGTAGCTGAGCGTATGGGGCGAGGCATCGGGTATTAAAGTCGATGCATGAGAGTGTCATTGCGATAGACACCATGATGACTGCTGGAACGAGTGTCCAGACAAAGTGTATGTATCCACCGGTGTCGACATCTCCGAGTCCGTTGTTCTTCTGTGATACTTGGAGAACACTCTCGAGAGCTGCAATGACCAACACCAAGAGGATGAAGATGACAACTCGAGCACTCATCCTAGGAAATGGCCTCCAGATATGGGCAGCATACTCACGAATAGGTGCAATCTTCCCTCGTGGATCTTCGTTAACCCTGACTGCAAATCCATCTGGACCACTATGGGAGCTGTACAGCCCACCCATGAGCGAGTCCTGTACGACATTCAAAGGGGCAGCACCAGTCCCACGAAGACTGTAAGTGAACTCCTGACTGCGGGCCAGAATGGAAGCCATTGACGAGAGGGAACCAGCATTTTGTGGAGAAATCGCGTTGCGGGAAGTGAGTAGTATCATGACCATCACCAGAACGATCATCACGGCGACACATGCTTCCATGCCGCGGAGAGACAGATTCTCAACCAGCAGCCTGTTTTCATTGAGTACTCCCGTTCCATTACTCTCTGATGCTGAGTTGTCAACCAAAGCCTGTCGAACGAGTTGAGTGCTCATGGCCCGATAGTATGTTTTTGCAACATTCTGCAGAACATTGTCATGGAACATGTTGTCGATATCAAGAGTCGATGTGCCACTCAGAAAGAGACCGATGCGCATCGGAATATACACCAGACTATGCACACCAAATGGTTGTTCCATCCCGATCTCGTTCTCTGCTTCTTTTTCGTTTGCCCCGTACTGGAACGAGGCATCCGCGATATTCCATGCCGTCAGACCGGGAAGTGTCGTGTTTGTATCTGGAACCGTCTTGAGGTGCGCTTTAGACAGGGACTCGGTGGCGTTCATCTCGACCTGCAGTTTAAACAGCGAATATGTCGGTTTACAGATCAACTGCGCCGACCGAGCCAATGTCCGGTTCTGCTTCTGCGAGTAACTAACCGCCGGCTGTCCCTCCGGCTGGCTGACGTTGTATCGTGGTCCAAGCGGTCCATCTTTCACCTCTGCCATGGTCACCAGGACTCGACCGCCATCGTCTCCCTCGATCCCATCACACTGCGCGGACTGAAATGTGTTATAGTACTGATGAATCCTCCATTCATCTGAGCTGTATGTCCCAGCTGTATCCACATCGAGCGATACGTTGGACACCGTACAGGATGGCGTGGTCAGCCGGATAATCTCCGTCCAGTTGGGGTTTTTCGAGAATTTGCCGTACCAATCCATGGTAAGTTCCCATTTGTCGATGTGGACTATTGCAGGTTCGCAATCCAAGTCTGCGGCCATCGCGTCGACAGTAGTGGAGATTCTTGCGTCGGATGGCAGGCTTGGAGCGGAGAATTGCTGAAAGACCAGATCTGACGTTGAGCCTTCGGGGTAGGTGAGGTTGTAAAACATGACTCCATTGAGGATATTATATGGCTGTGTCCCGAGATTGGCGAAGCGAGATGTATTGGCGTTGAAAGACTCGAGCAGCTGGATGGGGATGTTGTCTCGCTCGACATGGACCTGCTGGAGGGATAAGAGACCAGTTGAGAAGATTACCAGGAGCCTAAACAGTAGTGATGCTGTCACTGTCGATGCAACAATATAATTTCCATTCCGGAGTGCTTTCGGTAGTGCGAATATCTGCGCCATCGACACATAGTCCAGCAATACACTTTTGCTGGCATCAGTCGGCTTATCCAGCATTGCCTGCCATGGAATGCTCTGCTTGGACTGATGTTCAGTTCGAGCCCATATCGCAGCAATCAAACTGAGAATAGCAGTCGGTCCGTAGGTCCAGAGATAATGCCTGGATTCATTGGAGGAGACGATGCCATGGCGAGATCTAGATACCTGATTGACAGTCTCCAGTGAGGCAAGAATCACACAGAAAATGACAGTATAACCTGCCAAAAGCCGTCGACGCAGATAGAATGGCCGCCATTCATCCTGCTTTTGTGGCTGCTTGATATCTAGAGAATCATCGCTGTCCGACAGCAGCGGAGGTTGACTTTCTCTGCTGTCCATCTCTTCAGACCGCAGATGTTTTGTCGGGAATTCCATGACTACTTAAATAATTTTGCCTCCCAGCCCAATATTAAATAATCTGCAGCCAGCACAGCCATTCTCAGCCCTGCTTACGCCGAGACTTTTACTGCAGCGACCGTCCCTAAATGGGGCCATTGATTGGCTGATATTTTGAAGGATTCGCAGGATCCATTTAGTCCCAACAGATAAATTAACAACTTCGTTAGAATGCGATCTGATTGCTCCTATCCTACTCCACTCCCAGGATCCAATCCTCAATCGGGCTTTGGACTTCTACGCTGTCTTTCAGCTCGGACAGACCCTGTTTCATCCTATCAATCTCCACCCCCAACCCAGTTGAATGAAGAATATTGCAGATTGAATGATGCACGTTCAATAATGTAGGATGAGGGAGCTCGGTGCTATTGTTTGTTTTTAACTTAACTCGACCACTTTCGGGTAACCTCTTCGGCATACATTTGTCATCATATGTGTTTATTCGATAGTTATTATCCTGCCAATGTCAGTCATGTTCATTGATATAGAAGCACATACCTCTTCATGAACAAGGGTTATTTGAAGATTGCCAAACATCCGACCCTCTCGTTCTGCAACAGTCACGGCATTCCTGGCATGATTGATTGCTCCCGGGGAACGAACATCCAGAATGACTCGACTATTGGGGAAGTATCTATGCAGAAATGCCCATATTCTTGCTTTCTCTTCGAGCTGTACTCTGTCAACAATGCTCGCTGGGTGCTTAAAGATACCTTACTTCACTTCTTCCAATCCTCCCATTAGACGGCAGAGGAGCTAGAAAGTATGGAATAATATGCACACATTTTGTACGATCATACTTTACTCCATCTTTCTCTTCTTCAGCGAGTTGAGAATGCTTAATTGTATCATAAAGTCCAGTAATGATACACCTATTGTCGTCACGTTCGAGACATATCTCTTTCAATTTGATCTGCTCCGGTATTATATTATCCGCCTTTTCTTGAAAATCTTCATTTGGCGCCACGGATAATGTTTCCGATGGACTGGGTGTTTTTCCACTCGTCCTTTTGACTACTTCTGTTAGATACAGTCTACTGAATATGATGGGTACATACACTCGGAGAACAACCATGTTTTCATTCCTTGAACATGCCTCTCTAGTTCTCGATCTGCACGACCAATAATGTCCTGAATCAGATTCTTCTGTCCTTGACTCGGCAGTTCCTCCAGAAGAGAGAACATAATGTTTTGTGTATTATCTCTCTCTGAATGTCTCTCATACTGCTTCAGTCTAGCATATGCCTGCTCGAGCGTTGCGGGTTTCCGCGCTGCGCCATTTGCAAGGTTTCGCAGTTCTGTCTCGATTGGATCTGCAGGACTGGTCTTTCGACTTGAAGGACTGTTTCCTGCTCTTGTAGGTGATTTGTTATGGGGCATTTTGTCCATTTGGTTTCATCATCATATTCAACACGGGAGATACGGAACATGGGGTGAGTTAGCCATGACCTCACAATCACGACATACCTTTGATAAGAGGTAATAGAAAATCATATCTAGTGGTCATTAACTATCTCTGTTTATTATGAGACTATAATTTCTTTTATGTAACGCTAGGTTGGAAAATTTAAGCATATATCATTACTACTCGGGTGATATTCAAAATATATTTGAGCTGTGCCAAATTGGAAATCAAAGTCTTCAGGGTACGTTTTAACAGGAGAAAAAAATGCCAATCCCTTCCATATAAAGAATGTATATGGCAACTGCAGGCAAAACTAATACTACTTATCAAATATTGATTGTAAATGATGAATCGTGTCATTGTTGTATTTCCCTTGTTGGTTCTGGCTTCATCCTGACCCGCTATGATACCCCTGGAATAAAGATCCGCCAATCACCATATTTCGGGCTCTAATGATGACCACGTTGGTAAACATACATAAATGATTATGCTCCTCTAACGCATTAGGGTATGAGGACTTTATTATGACCGTGCAGGACAGCTATATTATATAGACTCATAACCAAGAGGTTAGATTGTCCCTAGACCTCGCATAATTGATAAACCAATAGTCGTCAATATTGTATTATCTCATACTAGGTGACCCGGTGGCTCTCCTACGCAGGAGCGTGTGGGTATGAAACTGGGTAATAGTTCCATGTCAATCTCGTCTACCCCTGATGTATGTCTCTGCTTGACTTGGTTTGATGAGGAGCTCTTCGGAATGCTGAAGCGTAACAAGCAGGACTGAAATTGTTACCCTTCGGCAGTTCTAGCCACAGAAACCTTATCTACGCAGCGGCAAGCCCGGCAGAAGAGATAACTTTCGATGTGTATAGCACACCCTAGGGCGCTATAAATATTAGGTTCTCGAACATGATCCTATCATCTATATATTCCAATCATCTTTAGAATATATAGAAACCAAAAATATACTCTGTTATATACCCTTCCAAATTTATTCCAACAAAAACAATAATTCCATCATGGCGTCCGACAAAGAGTCATGGAAGTTAGAGATGGAAGACATCAAAGCAGAAATTTCCCACGAAGAGAAAAAACCCAAGCCGATCTCGATGACTCGATTGAAACGACTGATCCAGGAAAGGCAATCTGATTTATTGCGTGTATAGTATCAATGGGATGATTCCTTTTCAGTATACTTTTCTCTCATGATATGGAATGTAGATTAAGATCTACATTAACATGGCTTAGGCTACGACACGGGCGTCATTTCTGCTGTTCTTGTTACAATAAAGTCTGATCTTGGTAAAATTCTCACATCTAGTAAACAAGAACTCGTCACATCAATTATCTCCGGTGCTTTAGTCGGTGCTGTTCTAGCAGGCCTTAGCTGTGATCGATATGGACGGCAGCTGGAAATATATCTTGGCTGTGTCCTATTTACAATCGGTGCCATAGTCCAAGCAGTTTCCTATCCCCCCCCGCCCGGCAAATGGTAGCTTGCCGCTTCGTCATTGGTCTTGGTGTCGGAAGTGCTGCTATGATCTTCCCTCTGTATATTGGTGAGATGGCACCAGCACGCTTCAGAGGGAGACTGATTGTTTTGGATTATCTTTGCGTTGCAGGTGGGTGGACAGCTTGTTTCGTATGCACTGGGAGCGGCATTTACTGAAGTCCCTCAAGGATGGCGATATATGATAGGACTCGGTCCTCTACCTGCACTTCTTCTAGCGGCAATGATGCCCTGGTGCCCTGAGTCTCCGATACAACTGGTCTCTCATGGAAAGATGGAGGATGCTGAGGGTATGCAAAGGAGTTGCAGAAGGAGCTCAAGGAGGCGAGGAAGAGAGATAATGCTGCTTGAGCCTCAATAGATAAGGATCAATTTTGAATAATTGCAGATCTAAGTTCTTTCACACATTACGATCCTGGAAAAAGTTGCCCAAAAATATAAAGGCTACTTATGGCAAAGCCTGGGTGATAATTTACTGTTGCGATCGATAGATGTGCTATATGCTCCCCACAAATGTTTGAGTAAAGCTGTCCCTCACATAATGGGATCACCATTGGTATCCTTCCTGTCCCAGTTGATGTTCCATCGCTGAAGACCTCTAAACTCACTTTGCAGATTCTCCATCATCTTGATGACGTCTTTATTTTTCTGGACGCGTTGACCTGGAGGAAGTTGGCCATTCTGATTCTGAGGCCGGTTCATATCGTAAAATGTGTTTGTCCACTTGTCCAGAAAAACATAGACTGAATCCTCGACCTCCGCGTACCGTCTTTTGACCCACTTGTTCCATTCGTCTGCGAGCTCCAGCGGTTTGTATGGCTCTGTGATTCTCGAATTTGGGGCATTCCGAAGCTGCAGAACGGACGTGTTAGGGTATGGTATTTCGTGCAGTGGTTATAAAACTTACATGATGTTCAAGAAGACCGTTTTCAGCTTTCTTCCTGTGTCATTGTTAGTTATATTCGAAGATGCGCTTGTGGTTTGACCTACAGTCTGTCGGCAACCCGGTTGACCTGCTTTATAAGCGTCGTCTGGATTTCAGGCGTTCCAAGATATCTGCGTTGAATCATTAGTGCCTAAACAAATAGTCAATACCATGTGATGTCTTACTTCCAGACAAGAATATGCTTCTTGAGAACTCTCAAGCACGCATTGTATTTTTCCTTTCCTATTTTACACTTCTCGAGCTTTGTGGTCCCCGCCAATGTGGTGCCAGAGAACCACTGATTGCAAGTCAGTAAAGCCGTTGTAATGCTGCCCATGTATCATGTAATAGGATAGACTCACTCCCGCCTTTGTTCCCGAATTCAGGTCACCGGGCAAAAGGATCTGGATCCTCTCTATTAGCCAGTTGTAGCTAATGGTGGTTGCATTGCAGAATGACTCACCCATTCATCTATGTACTCCTCATTGCTAGGGTATGCCTTAGCAACATAATCATTTCCAATGAAGTTTTTTCTTCTTTCACCCCGACTCCCTTCAAATCCCCACCAGATCGGCATGTATTCACAGAAGGTGAGCTCGTCTGTGCCGCCCAACGGATCCGGGAGCGAACGGGCGTCGGGATTTGTCTTCTGACCTTCCAGGTTGGACCATCGTTTTGAATATTCTTGAAAGAACTGTGGTAACTGTAATGCATAAGATTACAATTTCTTTATCAAGCAGAAAAGGTGGACATACCATTTGAACCTCGAGCACATGCTCACCTATCAACATCAGTAAAAAGCCTTTTGAATCGAATGGGTAGCACTCAGTGCTGACATACTGGCAAATACTCTTTTGTCTGTTCCTGGCTTTGCAGGCGTGGGAACAACACCAAAGCTATAGTCATTGCAGTCATTCCAGTTGAGGCCATCATATGAGACCACGTTTTGAACCCCCTTCTTCTCCACCAAGTCTCCGGAGGAAGGGAAAGTTGGGAATCTAATCACACAGCTTTCATCGGCCGGGTCGAGGAAACCCTCCCACGTGTCTCCCTTCCGCGGATTCCTACAATAAGAGAAATCGGGCTTGCCGCTTCGTTTTATGACTGAGATTCTGTCTTCTTCATCATCATCATCATCCGAAAGGTCGTTGATGTCACATTTGGGGCTGGGAGAGTCCTCGGTTTCATCTTCTGCGCAGTAAACCCCTCGAGTGGAGAATGCACAGGTACTGCTCGATGAGTCTGGTATATCCAGACCAGCTGCCCGGCGAGCAAGACTGGTGTTTCCCATATGTAGATGGTGATCATCGTCAATAGACCGCTTGGAGAAGTCAGGCAAGGGAAGACAATCCTCGTAGACCTGTCTCATCTTGGGTGCGTTGAATGTGTAGTTGTTGCTGTTCCACTCCGAAATTGCACTCTGTACGTCAAGCTGAACATCAACATCAGCCTTGAGAGACAGGTCAATGCCTGTGCAGGAAGTTCCCGCAGATGCTATATACCGTTAGATTATACTTCATATAAGACAATATTTGGCAATCTCACCGGCTACCCCAAACTCAAAGTCTGCCTGTGTGGACAGCTTGATGGAAGTATGCATCAAGTCCTCCGTCGTCTTCTTCTGGGGAATATACAAACCAATATCAACTCCAATAGTAGGTCTTAACGAAACGGCGAGGTTGCCTCCTGTCTTGGCCGTGATGTCTCCAATCGCGGCAACAGGCCCACTTGTTGCGGTCAGGTCGAAGTTCCCAGCGGGCTGCTCTGGCATGCTACTGCTCATCGTATCTGGCAAGAAATACCAATAACGCGGATGATATATAGCAACCTCTGCCGTCGCTTGGGCAGCAAGTATGATATCAGCCTGCACTTGTGCCTCAACCTGATAATATGGATTGACCTTGAAGATGCCCTTGATAAAGTAGTTTCCCCCGAAACTGTCAAAGCTCCCCACTGGCACATAACCACTTGAGAACTGCATTTTCGCATAGGCTTCTACGCCCACTCCCATGGTGGCATTGAAGTCCTTCTGGCCGAAGAAGGAATATGCCTCGCTGAATGCGAAGTTGCGGAGTGTTCCAATGAATGACATGCCCATGTCCATTGTTGTATCCAGCTTGCCATAGACACTTGCCTTGGACTGGACAGTACCCTGCTTGCACTGCGCAGAGACATCCATCAGGCACTGACTGTACTCGTAGTGCTTCTTCAGCCCGGATTTGTCGTTCTTCAACATGTTTTGGAACCGCTTCCGCCAGGACTCTTTGTCATTCTCGGCCCACCAACGACGGTCCAGGGATCTCCAGTTACTTGCATCGCGCTTTACCGGAGACCCGGGGGTATCCTCAACAATCTCTTTGTAGTACCCCGGATGTGTAGACATGTCCGCCCGGAAATAAATCTCCCCGCCATCTCTTCGAAGGAGATGAAATTCATAGTCATAGTGAAAGTCGTATACAGCTGCTCCTTCTGATGTTCGTTTCTGCAAATGCCCAGGGATACTCGTATTGGTGGACCGCTCAAAGTGAACTGCACGAACCCATTCATTGGGGCCACAATGAGAGGGTAACCGGACAACGGTTCCCTCGACGCCTCCCTTTGTGATATCCTCGCAATTACTGTCAGAGCCACCAGTGCAAACAGCTCTAACTTTTTGAACAGAGTAATCATCTGGGTGTGTATCAGGACAGTCGAACAGCTCGAGATGTGAGCCATCGCGCTTTGAGAAACTTTGAACATCCTCTTCTTCGCCCACCATAACCATCCAAGCAAAGCCATTATCATTTGGATCATTCACTGTGGATGAGTCCGGATCATCTTGGCTATTATCAATGACCTCGTTGAATATCGTGTCGACCGAATGGCTGAACTTGTTGGCAGTCGGGAAAAGATTCTCCAGAGGAACTGGAAGGAATGGAGAACCACCGGATAGGGGAGGGTCGCAACAGAACGAGGCCTTTGATCCTCCCCAGCATCCCAGGCGTGGCGATGGAGGGCCACTGTGTCGGCCATTCCAGTTGAAAAGCTCTACTTGGCCCTGTGGAGGGTTAATAAAGGTAAAAGAAGGGGATGTATATCACTCACCACTGGACAGGTATTGCCATCACAGGTAGTCTCTTCTCCATGCCATCCACAATTGCTGTATTCCTAATAGTCTTGTTAGCAATCGTATATATTATATGAGGATGGAATTACCGGATCTGCTGGGCAACAAAACTTTTGAGCGTATTCTCCCAGCCTAACACCAAGTCTTCGAGGAGAAACTCTGGTGAGCTCTTGTGGTCTGTCGTCCGGGCAATCCTCGTCGTAGTTTGAAAGCGCACAGTGCTGGATAGCCTTCTGACCATTTGTCGCGGGACAGCACCCTGGATATAGCATTAGTATATCGAATAATATCACAACTGGAGCACATACAAGCCTTCTGGCCACCGGTATCGCAATGCGATCCAGATCCGCCAAAGTCATCCTGTGCCATCGTCACTTCTCCAATCTCGCAGTTGGCATGACAAACACCGAAGTAATTCGGCTCTCCTCTCCATTTACACGTTGATGAATCAGGGGCTGTTCTGGCGGGACAACACACTGACTTCCTTTAGCATATTAATGTATATACTTGGATAGACAGACTTACAAGATCGTTGTTGACTGTCACCAGTAAAGCCCTCAGAGCACCCATTGCCATTTTCATTTTCATTCAGCCTGACCATTGTGGTATCACCATGCGAGCAGCTTTCCCCGCAGTCTGTGATATAGCAGTCGTTCATATCGAACGCACCAAATCCTTCTTCAGGAGAAGGCGTGGGAACGTAGTTCTTTCCCGTCACGGCCTTGAGAGCGTGCAAACTACTATCGTCCTGATCAAGGGCCCAGATATACATACCACCAAGGCCTCGTTGATTGGCAAGATCGATCTTCGCCTTGAATGAGACGCTGTCGTCGAATGACATCCAATTTTTGCCCCCTTTTCCGTAGTTGAAGTAGTATACTGCCGCGTCTTCATCGTAGGTAATTCCTTGCCCGATGGACACACCTGCTTCGTCCATCTCATGAAGAATCTCTGTGTATGAAAGTATTCCTTTCGTATTGGTGCATTCGCCCTTTGGACCTGGTCCCTTGAAGGGACACCCAGCCTCATCACAACTTGTTGAGTTCAACTCGAATGTTCGACCGTAGAACTATCTTGTTAGCTGGACTCGTATGATGTGTGTGTATACTTACTGCAAGCCCGAGATTAATCTTGCCGGATGGCACGTCATTTCGCCAAAATAGATCCAACGCCAAGTCTATCTCCGTCAAGTTTGTATGTGCATACACATAGTTTCCGATCGGATTATTTCTGTCCCATGTTCCATGAAGGTCGTACGCCATCAAGTTAAACGAATCAATATGAGGGGTAAGGGCGCTGACATCGAACCATCTAATTCAAGTTAGACTCATATAATTTAAAAGGGGTTGAAGGGAATAATACCTGAGATACCAGTACGAGGTCGGGACGGTGATGGATATTCCAAACTCCTTGCTGCCTCCGTGGACATCGAAAAAACGCCTCATTTTCTGCAGCATTTTGGGATAGTTCTCAACATCAACCTTGCGACCTCCCCGATCCTCGGCCCCTGGATACTCCCAGTCTAAGTCAACACCATCAAAGCCATAGTTGTTCATAAAGTCCAGGAGGCCTTTTGCAAACTGCTTTGTCTTTGCTGTCGATGCGGCAATGTCAGTGAGCATAGATGGATAGTATGCGTCATTATTGAATTTCCATCCACCAACACTAACCCAGACCTTTAGACTGGGGTTCCTAGTTTTGGTATCAGCAAGACGGTGGTATAGGCTGTCAGGAACCTCGTCCATGTTGGCTACACTGTAATCATCCGGGTTGATATAAATGAATGCCACATTCAGCTGATCGAGCGCTTCAACGGGGATGAGTTCGGGTATCATTGCGGTCGTCAAGCTGCATTCGGTCGAGTCTCCATTTGCACGCCACATTTCATAGTATCCAATGACATTTTGGCGAACATCTGTGACACCACTGTCTGGGCGAGAGACATTACCGCAGTTGGATTGGCAGCCTATTTGACGTTAGCGGAGATATATAGTGTACTGTGTTAAACTTACCCCCTGAACAGAATTCCTCCGTAGTGCCTATTACAATTAGTATGTACTATTCTGAAAATATATTTTTTACATACCACAGAACCCGAATTCACTATACAGATTAGACTATGTCATCTAAAAGGGAACAAGGAAAGATACAAACCTGCAGCAAACCTTCAAAGGACATTCAGCACCTGGCTCCTCCGCATACTGACCACAAGGTGCTTTTGCTTTGCAGTTGGACTGACATCCATCTCCGCAATATACAGGCCCAAAGCCACAGACGTTGCTCGGTCCACAACACGCTCCGTTATCGCATTCCTGGTCTGGTCCGCATTTATGCTGCGTACTATCTGCCCGACGCTGGAGAGAAAGTCCCGGTGCCAGTGATGTTGGCTGAGGATGGCTCGGATGGTGATGGTTCCCGAGCACAGTAGTCCCAAGGGACGACAGCAGCAACAATGAGGTCAATTGCATACTGTCTAGGCACTCTCTACTGGGAACGGAGATGTATGGTCGAGCTTACCTCGCTCCATCTTTATATTTACGAGAACCCATGGGTCTCGCTCTACGGAAAGCGCAATTGAGCCTCGCGAATGACCAGTAGATCATTTCCTACAGGAACACAGTATTTCGAATGATATACAGTGGGATTGCTTGATAAAGGTAGAAACAAGGTCATGACTAGCAGAAACCTGGTTGATACTACATGATTCCACTTCCAATCTCCGGTCGGGGTCCTTCTCGATGATCATTTTTCGAGGCCAACACATTTGGACGGTTTCGAGGAGGCAAAGGATCTATACCCCGGTCAGGGTGGTTTGGTCTATGATAAGCTATTGTCACAGCCTTGTCCGCATGCCAGACTGTTGCCTTCAGATTATCCCGGGAAGGTTCATAGTTATATGACCATTATACTTATCAGGTGGCATGACTTTATTTACTAATGAATCTTCGAGGTATATAATTACCAGATTTATGTTCTCATATTCAACAATGTCGTGGAACAATGTCGTTGTTGACAGCCTCCACGACCATTTCCACGACACACGATTTCATGCTGAGGCGCCTATCATCTTGGCATACATATAGTCCCTGAATCGAAACTTAAAAATGCGTCTGGAATCACAAACGCCTAATGCGAGTGTGCACGGGTGGGTCCGCGCATCGAACCCTCATTAGCCCCCGCTGTGGGGAACGGGTTCATTCCGTGGACCAAAGATTCAGAGACTCCACTCGGTCGTCTCAAGACTGGATCTTCGCTGCATCTTGACTGCGCCGCATATCTGTTAAGAACCTGTCATAGGAAAAGAGATACGATCAGCGCCATTGAGCTGTGCCGCTGTGATGACTCTGTCCGGCGATGAGAGTGTATGACTCGATATCGGAAGAGACGGCAGCCATAACAAGGTTGTGGTTTAGGCAAACACGGGAGAACAATGCAGAGAAAGAGGCAAAAAGGCCTCAGTGGGATTGGTTGCATTCGATCCTGGTCGCACTTGCTTGAAGCAGTATCATATGCCGAATCGCGGCAGCCCAGCCTTTGCCTGTCGTGTTCAAGTATAGATTTCATCTTACAGCCGAATTCTCTTCCGGCCCAACAACGATACTAGGTGTCAAAATGTTTTTTTACACGCAGTGCGTTGTGTTGACACTCGCTGTGACTTTACCTGGTGTTCTTGGTCAGAATGCAACAACCGAAGGTTTACAGCTCTTCCCTCATGGTCCCTTCCCTTCCTTGTCTGCCAGCTGCGCAACTGCATTCACAGCAAACTTGTCGTGTAGCCTGCTTGAGACTGGAAACTCAATGTATCAATTCAACACCAATCTATCGACGAAGTTCTTAGACACGATGTGTACAGACAGCTGTCGCAAGTCAATCACTGAGTACCGGAAGAACGTTATCAAGGCATGCTCCAATGATACTATCACGTTTGGTAACAACGGAGCATCGTCGAGAAAGAAGTCAAGAAGCTCAACTGTTTATCGGCCCATTGCTCTGGCCGATTACTACTTTACGAACCTTGAACAGAGATGCACAAAGGATGGGTATGTGGAATATCAACTATTCTTGTACGCGCTAACTATGATAGAAACGGCAACTACTGTTATAAGATGATTGAATCCGAGTCTATTGAAAGTGCTTGTGATGAGTGCCTTCTGAAGATGCCCCAAATCAAACTGAGCAACCCATATTTCTACAAAAAAGGACTGGCATCTCGATATGCATCTCGCACATCTAGCTGCTCTGTTTCAACACTCCCAATTAGAACCGGCTCTCCAGTGGTATTAACCAGGTAAGTCAAACTACATACCTACCTATATCTAGTGGATTATCTGACAGTATAGTGCTTCTGCCTCTTCCTCTGCAACGCCAAAATGTACCGCCCCCACCGTCCCTATTCATCCCGGAGATACGTGCGACTCGATTGCAGCAGCCCAGAATATCAGTACCTGGCAGCTTCTGAGTGACAACGGCTTGCCTGGTGGATGTACTGATTTCCCATCAAACGGTACACTGTGCATTACAGGGACCTGTCAAACACATCTGATGACAAAGAACGATACCTGCCAGGGCATTGCCAAACAATACGGCATCACCATTACACAATTCCGGACATGGAACCCAAGCCTGAATGGGCGGTGCACCAATCTAGACATAGTCAAAGGTCATTATGTCTGCGTGTCCAATCCTGGTCACTTCACTCGTCCAAGGAAGATTGGAAGCAGTAACAAATCCGCTACGAGTGCGGTTCCAGTGCCGACGAACGTTGCACCTGGGACTAACACCCGTTGTGGGAAATATTACGATGTCCAAGGTGAGTACTTATACAACCTGTCTGAGACTAGCTAATGGGTTTGCAGAAGGGGAAAGCTGTGCTCGTATTGCTATGGCGAATAGTATTTCGTTCGATGAAATTCTGTTTCTGAACCCAGACCTCAACTCAGACTGCACGAACCTTCGGCCGGGATCTCAATATTGTAAGCACAGTTTATCTCAGTTTACGCACTATGCCTGCTGATGATATACAGGTATTCTGCCCGTAGGTGATATCGAGACCTACTCCGGTTACGAGGCAACTGCCAGTGGGAAACCTTCAAGCAGCACAGCAACCGTCACAAGACCTGCTATCACAGGCACCCGGACACCTTGGGACCAACTTCCAGAAGCAACCGGCAAGAGAACCGACTATCCCAAACAGACTGAGGCACCATTAGCAAAAGGAACCAGGAAGGACTGCGAAGAATACATGGAAAATATATACGGCAAGGATGTTGACTGTTCATATTTTCGGATACAAGTGCCCATGTCATACTTTGTGACATGGAACCCTTCTCTATTCTACTGGAATTGCACTCTTGCCAACGCGACTCGGTACTGCACCAAGCTTGGAGAAGGGTTTACCATTGATACATCCGAGGATGACGCTGTGTATGCTTCTGTGCCAAAGAATGCAGCACTCAACTCGACTCATCGCTGCTTTTCATGGCATAATGTTACCAGAGGTACTTATTATACCCGATTCTGTCAGACTGGTATATATTGACTATTCAAGGGGATGGCTGCGATAGTATCAGAGAGGAAGCTGACATTGGCATGGGCGCTTTTTATGGCTGGAATGTAAGCATATACACTCTTTTGAAATAGCCGCCATCACTGATTGTTTCAACAGCCCAGCATCCGTCGTAACTGTACCGGGTTGCAGTTGGGAGTTTCCTATTGCGTTTCAGGAGAAGGCTATGATGACACATCCTTCTCTACACCAACTCCCACGCCTTCATCTACTCGACCATCATCCAGTGCAACACCAAAGAGCACTTGTCCACCCGGAGGCGTCACCCCACCAGGTCCAACACAGTCGGGCATTCCCTGTAACTGCAATAAATATGCCAAACATGAAGATGGTAAGTATTGACAGATTCGTTTGGATACGTACATTGAACTGATCAATGAGTAGGTAAATACTGTCAAGACATAGCAGATGAGAATGACTGCACCCTTGAGCAATTCTACAAGTGGAACCCCGCTTTGGGCGGAAATTGTAAAGCTCTTTGGCCAGACTATAGCTACTGCGTTGGGGTGAGCAAGTAACCTTAACCTGTGAATTGTTAGTATTATGTGTCAAGCAGTGCTGTTATAGCACTGTATTCTGTAACTTGATGACCTTGTCTACCCTCTAAACCAATAGATATCTGTCATATGAGGCTATGAGGCTATGAGGCCTAGCAATCTAATCACTTCCGCGATCAGACACAGCGTTTTGAGTTGATCAAATTATTGTGTTTATGTAATGCAGTGTTAGAACTAAAATTTGTGATCTCGAGTCTAGCCATCAAGGTTGGGACGCTCAATGGTCTATGCCATTGAATTAATAAGGATTATCCACGGTCAACAATCTTCATGATCCCTGACAGGACAAGGCTGTGTGAGTGGAGAAAGGCAGAAACCTGAAACCCATAAATGAGACTGCCAAGCAGCCCCTCATAGCATCACCTGACTCCTTGTGTTCAAGACATTTAATTCCTCAACTATAGTACATTGAATTCATCTTCACTTCACTTTATTTCTACCTTAAACCACATGTTTTACCAGCAACTTCAACTCCTATAGTAGCAAAATGGGCTGCGATCTCCCTCTCGAAATCCTGTCTCAAATTGCCTCCCACTTCACCATCGACTATGACTTTACTCGCAGGACCCCGCGAGAACCATTTCCGCTTGTGGCACCATTTACTGTCGTCTCAAAGACATGGCAGGTAGCCTTTGAGCCAGTCATCTACAACACTTTGCTGGTCCAAAGCAAGGAGAAGGTAGTAACCCCCAGATGCAACACTGGGCTGTTGACATGGGAGCGGTTCAACGAAATCACGTCAGGTGCACCATATCGGGTGCGACGTCGAGCGTGGGTTCGCCGAATTGTATACTGTATTGGTGTTCCCTGGGGGATAATGGGGGGATATAATTTCGCCAAATTGGACGGTTATACGCCAGATAACTACATGCGACACGAGAATGACGAGGCATTTCATTATGGCATGACGAATCTCTTTGGTGTGCTGGGCTCGTGGGGTCGTTTGGAGCCTGGTCTTTCACTCAATATTTCTCTGCGTGTGGAAAAGAGAAACGTGGAAGAGCCATTGACTGTGTATGAAGAATCAGCAGACACAGTCACCACAGAATATATGACAGGTGAAACGGACTCGGTTATTCCCCAAAGGGCTTCTTTCTTGCCAGGTGATGAAGGACCCAGTCTCGTCGAAGTACCGATCATTCGAAAAGTAGATTTCGATCGCAACAAAAAGTTCCAAATAGTCGACCATCTAATCTCCGTCGATGGGGTTATGACCATTCTCAAATCCTGTCCTTTTCTTGAGAATGCATCCATCAAGATGGAGCACTTTCTTCGGCCAGATCACCTGGAAGCCTTGAAAGATCGTCGAAACGGTATTTTGATGATCGTCTTGGTATTCTGAAACCTTCGTGCTAATTGAAGAAAAGGAATCGCAAAAGGGCTTCTAGAGCTCCCGTCAGCCCTCGAGGTTCTTCGGTTGTCGTGTGATCCCGAAGAGCCATGGGCAAACAACATGGACCCGCCTTACGTTCTCTTCGACGGCTTGGATACATTATCAACCAATATCCGGAGAATCAGCATGGACCTAGTCGAGATTCATCTTAATAATGTCCGGATCAGTAAAGAATTATTCTGGCCAACAGATGAAAGCAAAACTGAAAATATCTACTGGCCCAAGTTGGAGGTGATTGATATCAAGACGCCCCCTTTTCAACCTAATGGTGAGCAGTGCCTAGCCGTTGCTCACACAATGAAATGAATCACTAATTCTCTGACCTTCATAGGCTCATGGGTATTCCTTGCCGATTCAGATGATGACAATATGTATTTCGAGCACTTCGATGAGGAAACCTGGGCTATGAATATTTCAGACGCGGACGCAGGCAACCCACGGCGAGAGATTTTGGACTTATATACCATCAATGCCCTTTATCTTTCCGCGAGTAAGGCTGTTCGCAGGATGCCCCGTCTTCGAAAGTTTCTTCTCGATATCAGCGACTTTCATGCATCTATGAAGCTGTCCGTCGCAAAGATACAGGAGAGTGGCAAGTTCAAAATTGAGTGGGTCAGTTGCACCGGATCCCAGCCAGGATACAGACCAGACCAAGAGATTTGTTTGGCTTGGGGATTCGACCCCGGAGATTTAGAATTTATAGACGATCTGAGTCTAGACAAGTGGGGTGATGATGACAGGATTACCACTTCACGTGCGTTGGTTGATCTATAGATCTTGAATCCTGAATTTTAATTCTATTCCAGTCAATGCTCCCTGTACTCTCATTTTTCTTTTTCTTATTTTATCTATTTATTTTTACTTCTTTTGTTATTATTATTATATTTTTTTTTTTTTTTTTTTTTTTTTTTTTTTTTTTTTTTTTTTTTTTCCTTTATTTGGCTGGCTTGAATGAGGTATTTTTACGATGAAGTCGGAATATATATATCGTGACGCCTGTCCATTATTTTCCAACTTCTTGGCCCAAAATGTTCAATACTCCGAATGAAATCATAGCATGAATAAAAATAATAAATTCTTTTCTTGGGTATTTATCTAAGCTAATATAATTAGTAAATATCCGACGTGTACGTTGATTTGTCTTGATTGGTCAAGATTCATGTACAACAGAAAATACCAAGAGCATTGGCATGAGCTTGTCTGATCAGTTTCAAGAACATGTTTAAAGCACAGCTGGTGAGAGGCGTAAGTCCTCGCAGTGCATACTCTTTCGAGCACTCGGGCAGCGGTGTAGCATGACATTACGCAGGACAACCCCTCCAAAGTGTCCGGCCTTACATGAACGAACAGACCAATGAGAGTGGATATGGCGACATTGAGGCCGGAGCCAGGTATCCACAGGGCCAGCCCTCCGAACCCCATTCCGAATGCGGTTAAAGCGTGGCCAAGAGATGCATTCCTTCGACAAAAACATGACACTCGGTCCCTCGGACACGTGGACAGTGTTTTGTCGAGTCACAACAGACAATTCGAACGGCCATTTCAGCCCAGTCTGTGTTATTCGTCATTCTGCATATGGAATCAAGGTCTGACTCTCTGTCGATGAGCAAGGCTGAGTGCAGTCTCTGCGTATCCCTGCCCTGTTATTGGCTATCTGGCTAGTTAAATCCGCCTTGGCTTTGTGGCCCCCAAATGCCGCTGATAAGATGGAGCGAAAGGATGCGGCTGTGCTCCAATGAGCCGTCTCGTAGATTGGGGTGTGGGGGGATCGTCGGGTAGCAGCAAGCCCATTGGCTGTCGGGCCTTCTGACCGTCCCGCCCAAAACCCTAAGCAGTTTGCACCATTCTCAGCCCCAACATCGGCACCGAAATAGAATATCAACTGTCAGATCAGGGGAGCAGACAATGAAAACTGCCAGCTGCAGCTTCAAAGCTTGCTGGAGACCCACTGAGCTTGTATTGCGATCTGGTGCTCTGCATGGGGTTGTGGGAGGAAGGATTTGGGATTTAAGGCACCTTATCCCCCGTTCCCAAAATGCTGCATCACAACTCTTTCGAGTATCCTCACTTTCGTTTATATAGGTAACGCCTAAAGTCGTCAAAATGAGTCGACTACGTCTTTTTCAAAGCCCTGTGGCCAAAAACAGGCAAGAGAACCAATCCCTCCTGGCCGGCGAGGATGAGAAGATTTTCGAAGACCCCCGATTCGAACACTATGAAGCAACATCGAACCTGCAGCTCTTCTTCGACTTATTCTTCGTCGCCAATCTGACATCGTTTACCAACGTCCACGAGATCAACGATAGACACAGTAGGTTGTCATTCACCAATCGGCGGGGATAATAACTTACATTGCTCTCTTAGAACTGACCTCCTACATCGGATTTATTGCGCTCCTCTGGTTTACCTGGGCGCAGGTCACCCTCTACGATATCCGCTTCGCAACAGACAGTGTGTTTGAACGACTCGCTCATGCCTGCCATTTCGGTGTCATGGTCGGATTTGCAGTCATCGGCCCTTCATTCTTGGAGACACACGAGGAATGGGGACCTCAACAGCAAATGTCCATCATCCTCATGGCCAGCCGTCTTGTTTTGTTCTGTCAATATGGAGCGGCACTCTGCTTTACCTGGAGATACCATAGAACGCGTACACCCTTGCTTATAATAATGGGCACACTCCTCGTGGCTGCGGCGATCTATCTTGGTATATCGTTTGTATTTTACCGTCATCTTGACTACCATTGCTACATTGTGTGGTACGTTGTGTCTGTCTTGGAGGCGGTGATCAATGTTGGCGTTGCATCATGGTGGCCGGTTGTGTCGCTCTACAAGGCGCATCTTGTGGAGAGAATGACCTGTCTGACTTTGATTATTGTATGTGACGACCTGGCCCCAAAAGAAAGAAGTGAAGCTTACTGGAACAGCTCGGAGAAGGAATCATCGGTCTTACCAAGACAATCGTCAAGGTCGAGACCATGGATAGCAAGTTCACTTCTGCAGACATTGGCATGATCATTTCTGCAGTGTTGATCATTGTAAGCATTCACAGTTATAACTATCGGTCAAGTTGCTAATAATTACAGTACTTTGTCTACCAAATCTACTTTGATAGCATCTGCCTCGAAGCCTTGAGCCACATACAACAACAAATCTGGGGCCTCCTGCACTTCCCCTTCCACCTCGCCCTCTGTCTCATGATGGAAGGCATCAACCAGACTCTCTTATGGTCGCATATCGTCGCCGATTCCAGGACTATCTTCCTTCCCCTCAACACTGCCCTCGACAACGATGCCGCCGCACCAGAACTGAAAACCGTCCTTAACAACACCATCACCTACGTCTATAGCAATTTCGACAGCACCCAAGATGTCTGGGACGACGTCCAGAAGTCGATGAACGAGACTCTCGCCCTTCCTGACTCCGCTGACACTGACGAGGTCCTGGAGACTGCCTTTGGTGCCGTCACGGAGACAATGAAGACGGTCATTGAGGCCTTTGGCTGGGAGATGCCGACAGAGACATTGACTGAGGGTGCCGAGGGGTTCTGGGAGACAGCTCATGAGATCCTGAAGGTGTTTAACCTCACATTCGGCTACTTTGTCATCTGCACCGGTATCATCCTCATGCTCTCCAGCGTCTTCTCCATGCTCGCTTCCAAACACGACAGAGAGCACTACCACCTGCGATATCTCAGCACCATCATCAACAGTGTTGTCGGGTTGGGCATTGCCTTGCTGAGCTGCATGACATTGACCGACAGTGCAGAGACGCTGGGTGCGTCGCCCTGGGCTCTTCCAGGACTTATGCTGATCATGCTAGTTTGTATGTTTCTGACTTTCTATTTAAATATAAATGCTAACCTCTTCTTTAGTGCTGATCATCCACCATCTACCACGAGGACGATATGAGTCTGTGGTGAAGGAACCTGGACCAGAGTGTTGAGGACGCAGTGATATACCCAATTAATTGTGATTTTTAGCGAACATTGTATATTTATACCAATATGAATTAATGACCGCCTTTATGAGGCCATCAACTATAATTTACCAGCTCTCTGATATTCGTAGCAAAGATTAAATGAACGATTTAAGCTGTGAATTTTATATTCATGTATTGTGATACTTATTGGATCTAGTCTGACGGCCTCAATGATTTTTATTTGACATTGTTTGGCTGTCTGAACATAATTATATGCAAGTTTACTGCTTCTTGAATGAATAGATAAATAATGCATTCTCACGTGACATGATCGACATGTCATTTCCCTTGAGTTTATTCTGGTTGTGCTCTGTCCTCGTCTTCTGGTTGGTCAATCTCTTTAGGGCTTCTTTAGCGGGAAGAGCACAAGAAATTTCCAAATAATTTCTGCCAATCTGATTTTTATCCTGACAGTTCACAGCCTCAATATTCAGCTTCATCACCTCGTCTGTCACAATGGAGGCAACTAGCGCCCACAGCCAAGAAGGCCAAGATGACCTTGATCTGCGCAAACTCGGCTACCAGTCTGTGCTGGCCCGTGGATGGAGCGCCTTCGACAACTTTGCCTGCTCATTCTCTGCTCTCAACTGCATTGGCGGCATTCGCGTGCTGTTCTACATTGCGCTGAGTGCTGGTGGGCCTGCTGCCATGTAACCAACTCCATCATCCTGCATATTGTGTTGTTTTAGATCGCTGACGTGCAGCAGGTGGAGCTCTTGGCTCTCCGGTAGTATCCTGTCCATCATCACCGCCGCCACCTTGGCAGAGGCTTGTTCGACCTACCCCGCCGCTGGCTCTATTTACTACTGGGCTTTCCGATCGTGGGGCGGTGGTGGTGTAGGACGTTTTGTATCCTTTTTGGTTGCTGCGTGGACTTTGGTCGCGTGGACGTCCTTCCTGGCGAGTGATTCCTTTGGTGTTGCCAACTATCTCATCTCGGAGGTGGTCGTGTTCAACCCAACCACTTCTTTTCCGCATGAAACATCGGATGTCAAAGCGCGTGCTGTCGCTTGGGCCTTGTCGCTGTTCTTCCTCGCTTTGGCTACCTCGTTGAACTTTTTGCATCCTCGTTCGTATGCTTGGATCTTTCGTGCTGGTCTGATCGTCATTTCGATTGACATTCTCCTCAACTTCATCTGGTTGCCGATCGGAGTATCCAAGACTTACGGTTTCCAATCCGCAGAATATGTGTTTACATCAACATACAATGGAGGAGGGACGAGTGCTGGCCTGAACTGGGTGTTGTCGTGGTATCTGACAGCTAGTTGTCTCGTCGGCCAGGATGCCTCTGGCCACGTCGCTGAAGAAACTGTCGCAGCGAAGAAATCCGCTGCTCAAGGTGTCTTCTGGGCGACTGTTGCCTCTGCGCTGTGTGGCTTCCCGATTATCATTCTGTTCTTGTTCTGTATGCCGCCGATTGAGACATTCTATGACACCACTGTGCCCCAACCGTTTATCAACATGTATGCACTGGCACTTGGGCCACATGCCCACATTGTTGCTACTATCGTGGCTATGATCGGGGCTATCCTGAACACATCAATCTCTCTCGTGGCCGTCTCCAGACTTGTCTTCGCCATCGCCCGTGACTCTGTCTTTCCATTCAGCGACATCCTCTGCCGTGTCTCAAAAGACAAGCAGCCACATAACGCCGTCATCTTCATCTCCACCTGTGCGGCCCTTCTCCTCTGCACTCAGCTACCCTCCCAAGTCGCCTTTTCAAGTCTGACATCCACCTCTGCCGCCGGCTCCATCGCTGCGTACGGCTTGGTCGGTTTCGGTCGTGCATTCATCACTCGCAAGACATTCAAACCTGGCTTTTGGGATCTCGGTCGATTCGGTGTTTTAACTGCTGTTGTCACCTTTATCTGGAACAGCTTTGCGTTTGCCGTACTTTGCGCTCCGCAATATGGTGATGCTGCCATTGCGGAGGATTCGACTCTGTTCAACTATGCCATCGTCATCATGGCGGGTATCACCGTCGTTGCATTGGAGGAATGGTGGCGCAAGTCACAGAACGATTGGTTCGGAAATATCAAGGATATCGACACGAATACCGATGCAAGCGTTGAGCCTGAGCCAGTCTATGAGACTGGAAAGCGGGATGAGCCTTCTTCTGGAATGGCCGTTTAGTGGTTTACCATTCTGTATCGGTGAGTTTGGATGGTACATCGACAAGGTCTCTGTCGAGGACTAGAGGGACTTCATATAGCATGACGGGTGTTCGATGATTGCTTTGGCATGACTCGTTCTGAGAATTACCGTTGAACTTGATCTGGATAATACCAGCGATAAGGACATGCTATTTTTCCTTCTTTTGTACCTCTTCTTCTGCAGTTCCATGCTGGCATCATATGATGCTTGTTGTTCTACTGACCTGCAGTCGTAACTGCCCACCGTGGCTTACCGGTCGTCAGTCATTCCAAACCGCGACATTTCCCAGACGCTACATCGTTAACCTCCGAGTGCGCCAGACAGACCTATCCCAATGCGCCTCACGCCGATTTGCTGAAATCTTCGTGGTATGTAAGTGGATTATTTCCATGTCTCACTTGTAGTGTAGAGGGTCATGCCAATGATGATCACTACCCAGTAGCATGCCAACTTATATATTAAACACGTATACTCGCTAGTATATAACCATTGTGCACAAACACTAAAGCCCACTAGTTGACCCTTCCAGTCAACAAATCAATCATGGTTTGATTACTTGAACTTCGGGCGTAATCTAACGCAGTCTTGCCCTCTGCATCCACCACTTGAACATCAGCCCCATTCTCCACCAGTAAACGGACAACATCCTCCAATCCACAAATCACAGCCATAGTCAACGCCGTACCCCCATTCATCGGGGTGAAGGGCGCATACGGAGTCATCTGATCGTTGAGATGTTTATTCGATCGAACAGCAGCTTCAATCAGAATTTGACAAATTTGAGTCGCTTCTGGGAAAGGATCCCGCGTATGTTTATACCTGAAGAGGACTGCATGTAGAGGTGTCATTCCATTTCGCGGCTTGATGGTGACGTCTGCGCCGTGGCGGAGAAGGAGCTCTACTCCTTTAATTGAGCCAGCGCAAGCAAAATAATGTAGAGGTAGGCTTTCAAGAGCACGAGGTCTACCACCTACAAATTCAGGAATCGTGACTTCGGTGGCGTTGATATCGCCTCCTGCCTCGCGAAACGCGTGGAATATCCTCTCCATTATTTCCCAGCTCAGCTTTTGTGAGCACCCGGCACATCCCAATGCAGACTGTCCCACCGCATCGTGCGGAAGAGGGTTTGCATTGCGGTCAAGAAGCATCGTAACAATCTCATCGTTTCCCTTAGACGCGGCCAGTGTCAACCCTGACAGACCGTGCGTATCCCACCCGGACGCGTCCGCGCCATTTTCAAGTAGAATATGAACGGAAAGAGGGTCATCCTTTCGAATGGCGCGGTGCAGAGCGTCGATGCTATCCGAGGGGGCAAAGACATTGCCTCTCTCGCCGACTTCTGCCCGGATGATTTCGACAATTCTCTGCACAACTTTGCCAGAGCAAAATCCAGCCGCCATCGTGAGGACAGTGAGTCTTCCCCCGTTGATCCCTCCCGTGACAGGTGCATTCTTCTCCATCAGCCAGAGAACCATTTCATCCTGCCTGTGGATGACGGCTCTGGCGACGGGGCTATATCCATCGTGGCAATTGTTAATATCAAGTCCCTTGGACAGGAGCAGCTCCATTAGAGGAATATTCCCAGTCCGAGCAGCCAAATGTAAGAGACTCTCTCTTGGTTTGCCACAGTTAGATAAGACCTCTGCAGACAGTGACTGAAAATAATTCAGAATAACATCTGAATGCCATCTCCCGACGCAATCCGTCCAAGGCAATGGTGGAACTTCCTCCTCCGAATTCTCAGAATAAACAGAGTCGAAATCATCATCATCTGAATCATTGTCTTCATCCTTCTCAAGTGGGATGGGTTCATGCAGAACTTGTTTATAGAGATACGGCGTCACAAGACGCGCGACCCCCTTTTGGGTCTGAATCAACGCTGTCAGACTGGCATTGGGCAGAAAGCTGATCACCCGTAGGGTGAGCTCAGGTGGGAATGAGAAGAGCATTTCGTAGTATTTATGGCATCGATGTGATGCGATGGAGTCGATGGACTTCTGGATTAAATTTGAGCATCACTTTAGCGCCAAGTTAGGGCGAATGCGTGGAATTATATTCACCCGTGATGCTGTACCAGGACTTTTATAGTACTCGTGCTATTCACTTTATAAAATGTTTTCAATCTAAATATAGGTATATAGTAGCTACTTTTACCTGAGAAGTTGGTTTTTTTCGTGCAGGCTTCCTAATATTTTGCATAATTTTGAGAGGGCGATTTTAACCACAGCCGAAAGTTGTGTTGGCCCCTCGGCCAACACACAGTCTATTAAGTAAAATCCGTGACAATCTCCTGGAAGACGACGTTAAATAAATGAATTGAATGGCTATAATTAGTGCACTGTACAATGACCAGCGAGACACACCCTCAAAGCCGATGTCTTCCATAATGGGTCTCAATACAAGGAAGAGGGACAGGGTGGTTGCTATCGGTGCGGCGAAGAATTGTATCACGATTGGGGCCAGTGAAAGCACCCGACAGACTGCATCTACTTATCATGATGCGTGGCCTCTCAACTATCCCCAGCCTCCGATCCGGAATGACAGCATCAGCGGTAATCTCGATGGTATGGCTGCCTTTAGCAGTCCCGGACCGACCAAAGAAGGCCAATTTAAACCAGATGTCGTGGCACCCGGGACCAGCATCCTGTCTACTCGCTCACGAATATCACATCTTGAGCCATAAAATGTTTGGGGAACGGCGAGCGGGGATTGGACTACTTATGGGAGGCATCAGTATAGCCACGCCCCTTGTCTAGAGTTGCGTGGCTGTCCTGCGTCAGGCTTTGATAGATCAGGGCGAACGAGAACCGAGTGCTGCACTCGTCAAGGCACTCTTGATCAACGGTACAGCTGAGCTCATTGGCCAATACAATCCTCCCAAGTCAGGCCCATCACCGAATCCTAATTCCGGCTGGGATCGTGCCGACTTGGCCCACTCGGTGATATTCATGAATCAGCAGAATGCCGGTTACGCCCAGGGTGGTCCCTCAAACAAGGCGAGGACGGAGTCTTCACCATTCGCATCCCCAGCGCGGGGAATAATTTAAGGTGACCCTCGTATGGACAGACCCTGCCGGACCATATCTTCAAAATGACATCAACCTTATTGTTACAGTAAATCAGGAGGAACGACATGGCAATACGGGACTTAGCCAAGGGTTCGACCGTGTTAACAATTTTGAGCAAGTGTACTGGCTTAATGTCCATTCAGGAGAGGCCAAGGTGAGGGTTCAAGCTGATCGTATCACCAAATATGCTCAGAAATATGCCTGTGTCTGGCGGTATGAGTAGGAGTGATAACTGCGTGTCCTCAAATTATCTGTATACATTCAAGTGTCATAACCCTTCTGGAAAGTCCAAGCAGTAAGTATAATAGACTCAACATATCCATGGAACCATATTTAATGCAATTGAACTTTCTTCACAGTGCCAAGAGAAGCTCTACTCAAGGTTCTTTCTTAACCATCCACTGCATCCCATTGGCTACTGGACCCAGTGCGGCTGAAGCGGGGTACAACGAAAACAGAGCGACTGATTTAAACCCTATCCCACTTTGATTTCTTCATTTCCCCCATATCTAACGTCCACCTACAACCGTCAAGGTGGGTTCCTTGGCAGTATTAAATTTAACATATTAATATTTGGACAGATGTGGGCAGAGAGGGCACAGCTCAAGAATACGGCGAAAGAGTACGTCAATAGGTTCTCCTTCTACACCGACAAGGTCAAAGACAGCATCGCCCAGTTCAAGTACGACAACAGGCATAACAAGGCAGCCATCAACTGGGATGAGAAGTTAGCAAAGGAGATCGAGAATCTGAAGAATTCACTCGATCACCAGTGTCTCCAAGACTTCCGCCTAGAGTGGCAGCGGCAGACGTACGGTCTCGACATGGACGAGAAGACTGAACGTCTCGTCCAGCCGAGAGTGGACGAGATGGACGCCAAATTTGTTGAATACATGAATAAGACGGTGGATGGGTTGAAGAAGAAACGAAAGGAGGGGTTTTCGGGGGAATGGGATCTTACCGATTGGCAATATGAGTATCAGCGCTATATGGATGATCTGGTTGAGTATGTTGCAGACATGAACGACGATATCAACGACGACCACTCTGGATCTGAGTCTGAGTGATCGGGCCACGAAGAGCTGTATATTGTAATTATTATAGGCAGGTTATTAGTGCACAATCCACAAACTGCATATATTCGAGCAACATCCACAAGATTCCTCGTGGTGTCGGCCAGAATATCAACGTTTGAATCCCTGTAACAAGACCATTTCTCATTCATTCTCGCGAAGTGGCGAAGGAGGGTCTTCCCAGTCATTCTCGGGGGGCGCGAGTGGATCTTCCCGTTTATTCTCTTCTGTGCTGCCCTTGACAAGCACCTGTGCAGGGTACAGTATAATCTCATCATCCCCCTCACCCAGGTCATTGCCCTTCTTGACAACGAGTGGGAAGAGGACTAACTGAACAACGGCTCTTTGCGCTTCCAGATCTTCATTCGATTTACTGCCCCCGCTGGATTCATTCATGAGAGTTGCATTGAAAAAGATCTGACTGACCAAATTACCCTTGTCGTCAAACTTAGGTTGCAGAGGGGGTAACACGATATATTCAGCCAATTGGGTTCGCATTTCAATTGCCAGTTTAGCTGCGGCCTGTATCACCTCGCAGAGTGACTCGAGAAGTTGCAATTCAACTTCTGTCGGCGGAGGAAGGATAGGACATAATGTGCGGAAAATCTCGTGCGCAACCGCTTCAGTATCAGATTGCACCTGATGGGTAAATGAAGAGGTGTGAGAGGATAATGCCAAAATAACAGCTCGCCAATGGTGGGTTGTTTTAGGTGGTGCAATTGTACCAAGGTGTTTCTCCGCTGTTTTAAGCCTCGTTCTCTGATCACGGTCCATCCCGAAGAGGTAACGTGTAAAGATGAACTCCCACGCCATGCTCATTATGACAGACGTGAAGACCTTTGTTCGGTGGTTATTAAATCCCAACCAAGTGTCAGCAGCTGAGCCATCCAAGATGGCGTTATCAAATCGATGAGTAACTTTCTCCTCGCCCAGGTCACCCAGCAAGAGACATTGACGGTTATCCGAATGTCTTGAAAAAAAAAGAGCCCACTGCTCAATCTTCTCATAAAGTTTTTGGCACTCGGCATCGAAGAAGTCCTCATCACGGTTAGTAATAGCATCTTGACTTAGCCTCTCTGCGAGGAGTTTCTCAACATCCTCCACGCGTCCTTCCGCAGCTGCTTGGTAAAGCTGGGATATCAAAATGGTGACAGGTTCCGGATCGTCAATTTGCAACGTTTGACCAGTGTTCATCGCTGTGGCGTCATCTGAGAAGGTCCTTTGAACCTGATCACCGGCCATAGAAGTAGGGACGATATTTGGACGGGCGCTGGCAATGGAATGCGCCGCATTTCGCTTTCCACGTCTCACCGGGGTCGGGAGTGGAAGCTTAAAGGGAGGCATGGGTTCGCGGGAGTTCTCTACACGAAGTCTCTGGTTGTTAGGACTCTCCGCTCCGGCACTTGCGATGGTTGGGGATGATTTCGCCTGTGTGGTGACTGCGCGTCGGTATTTTTGCTTAAGGAGGAGAGCGTTGATTTCATTCCGCCCGACGGTTGGAACATCTCTATCTGAAATATTACTTTCAAGCCATAATATAGTCAGCCAAAATGGAACCACGTATTGGACGCAAAAGGAATGGGACACGCACTGCTGCATCATGGCGGTTACGTCCTTTAAAATGTCACTGTAAAAGACAAAACGAGCCGGTAGCGATAGCTCATCTCGAAAAAAGCGTTGAATGTCAATCCACGCTTGTTTCCAATTTGCCTCGGCTCTTCGGTGTGGAGAAAGGTCCAAGATATCCTGAAAGGTATAGTACAAGCTTTCGCAGACTAGTTCACGGTCATTCTCCACAGCGTCAAGCTGGTCTTTATAATCACCGCTCACATTCAGCCTTTCCAGGGAATCTAGAGCTGCGTGGATAAAGTCAACGTCCAGAATAAGTCTGGTAATTTCTGCCGCATGTTCCGGTAGATTTTCGCGAAATTTCACAAAGAAAGTCGCAATATAACTAGCAGTTTTAGAGGCTTCATCAAAAGAACTGATTGGCATTGTATTTGCAGGATCTGTCGGAGAGCCAGGGGAGACAAGGCCGACGATCGGACTATCAAAATCAGCTCCTGAAGACACTGAATCTCCATCGTCTGCGGTCATTCTTTCCCAGTCATGATCATTTCGATCGTTGGGAGGGAGGGCAGAATTTGATGAAAGACCCGAATGTGGCGGTATGTCTGGATTTTCGACATCGCTAGCCAGAAATGCATCTAAAGTTGCGAGCTTTCTCTTCTTTTCTTTCTTCGCCTTCTTCTTCTGAGCCGCTGTCATGGGGAGATCTGCTTCTGCTGTTTCTTGGGAATCATGTGCTTCGGTATTGGTAACCCCTGATAACTCCTCTTGAACTAACTTGCCCTCGGCAGCTGCCTGGCCAAGGATGACTGAAGACTCTCCGGTAGTAGTAGGAATGTCCGTGGCTGTATCCACAGGGTCTATACTGGAGCTCTCTGACGATATTTGATGGTGCGAAGGGACATTAGAGGGCGGTCTAGCCGAGGCAGTGTCCTGATCTTTGTACAAGAGCTCCGTATCTTTTTCCAAGCCCCCTGGGAATGCCCATTCATCGAACTCGGGGGTTCTTTGCCCGATCCTTCTTATTTCCCCTGTTTCTTCAGAGCGCTCGTCACTTCCTTTGCTTCCAAAGGACACCGATCTCTCCGATTGCTTTAGTTTGTTCAGCTCGACTTCCCAAGAAGCATCTGATTCAAAGTCGCTGGAGCTCGAGCCTTCCGAGCTGCCCGCAAAATATGCATTATACTGGAAGTATTCAGAGGTAAAATGTCTTTTCTCACAAGATGGCCTCTCTTGATCCGGACTATCTGCTAGACTGTTTTCTATCAGCCAGTCGTAAACTTTGCTGGCGCTGTAGTCGATTCGCTCATCAGTCTCCTGTCCGTTATCATCGGCCCAGGGTAATGCTCGAAGCGAAAAAGAATGTATCTCCCTGGCGATATGATCAAGGAGCATATCTTTGTCCACTTCGCTTTCTTGGCCTTCTGGCCAGTCACACAGTGGACAGGAATTGATCTCCGTAGGAGCGGACCGTTTGCAAACGGTTGTTAAGAGTGATATTTGATCTTGCGGAATAGATGATGCATGAGCCGTCGTCGTGTGTACTATAAAATCGTGTTCGCTGTAAAACTGTACGTTGTCTGAACAGGCAAAGCAAACCCAAAAGTCAAAGCTACGGTGCTCTGTGAGAATGTGTCGTCGCCAGGTTTCCTTCGTGGTGAAGAGAACATCAGGCTCATTGCAACCCGGCAGGATGCAGGTGTAGGGGCTAAGGTCATCCGCGACGTGCTTTCTGTCGCTTATCAGTATCATTGTAGCTAACCAGGAGCTGAGATTCATACTTCCACCGGTTCTTTTCTGCTTGGGCTACGGGATATGTTGCACAGCAACAAGGACAACGAAAGATTTGTGCATCCTTGTTTATCTTTGGAGGTCGCGGGTATTGGAGATCAATCACCGTTGATGACATTACAGTCGATGATGCTGGTGCTGGAACCAGGGCTTCTTTCAAGGCAAAAGAGTTGCTCATTGCTGATGCACTAGTCCCTGTTCTTGTATCCATTGTTCCATTCCAGAGCTTTGAAATAATCGGTCGAGACTTCTGGTTTCCACCGTCATCTGGAGGTGGTTTCGTTATCTCGGGAACTGGCGTTCGATATTGGTGCTCCGTAGTCGCCGGATCCAACCCTTTCGAATGCTGCTGTGCATAGAGGAAGCGATTTCGACGCTTCAAATTACAACGAATCAATCGCCGTTGGACCTCATTTAGTCTTGAAGGGTCGATTTGCTCTTTTGCAAACTCGGGACGGGCAAGCAGAATCGTGGTAAGGTGCTCCTCTAATTCCCGGTGATCCTGAGGGTTGAATCGCTGATCTGCCTTTTGCAGTCGTGAGCGCCTTCCTGATCGGCGAACTGCAACAGCGATCCGAGCAAGCTGGTCAAGCATCATCTCTATGTTATGCATGGCATCGTGCAGTGGGTTGCGTGTCGAAATCGGCCCCGTCTCTTCTGACTGTGAATCTGAAGACGAGTCATCCGACCATGGAGAAAATGGTCGTGCTGGAGGCTCATCCGGAGCAAGGAACCCATCTGCCCCTGCATCACTTTCGAATTCTGTGTTAGAGTCGCTGTTTCCCGAAAGTGCTGCGGCCACCATTAGCGGTTGTCTCGAAGAGCGTGGGGTTGACCCAACCTAGTTGTTTACACTCGTCGACGACATTCGCAATGAGACATAATAGATTCACTATTACCTCGCGCGCTTCGGACCTCCCAGTCAATCTCGCATCGAGCGATGCCCGTTCTCGAGCCGAGGCACCGACGCCAGACACCCACAGGTTGAAATCGGCCAGGCGGTTTTCCGCCCATTCATCCTTCATCAACGCCTCGACTTCGAGGCACTCTGTGAATCTCTGAAGGCACGATGCAGTGGCCTCTGAGATGGCCACACCCACCATATTACCGGCATGGGTTTTCTGTCGCGAGATTTCAGATGGGATTAACACGAGCAGCGTGCAGTTGACTGGAGGGGCATGCAGGTCACGTGTTATGTGTCCTGCATTATTAGATTGACGAATCACAACCACGCTTTCGACGCACAAAAAGACATAGCGCGAGTCCAATCAGAGAAAGGAATACAAATGTTTGCTTTTTCTGCCGGCAGCCTAATAGTTCAGACATACAACCCCTCCACCCCCGCGCTTATTTCTCATGCGCGACACTGTCTCTCTATGTTACACACAAAGATTAGACACCAGAAATACTCCAAAGCATAATAACCATGGCTCATAACCCAACATACTTCCTCGCCCCCAATTTCTTCTTCAAACCAGGAACAGGCCCAATCGCGCTGGGCAACATCATCGCTGACCCGCTACGGCCACACCGTGCGCTCACAACCATCGATGCCACCACGCTGGAGAAGACATATCCACGCATTGAAACAATCACCAATTATGAATATAGCTCTACTCGAAGCAAGAGTCATGACATGTCGATGAGCATCTGGGCACAATTCCTCGACACTGTGACCGCAAAGGTGTCAGGCGAACGAGGTAATAGCATGCAAACAACATATAACATGGATGCGCTAGAGACTCGGTATTTTGTCGATGATCCTACACTTGAGGAAGTTGAAGCTCGTCTTGCGGTTCCTCGCGTGCGGGCTGTTATGAAGGCTAGCAGTATACCGGGCTTCAGACAACCAGTGTATATGATTACCGGATTGATGATCGCGAAAGGATTTTCTGCATCGCAGGAAAAGGGCAAGCATCGGTCCGGTGAGGTGGACGTTGGAGGAAGTGCTCCTACGCCCACTGGTCAGGCAGGAGTGGGGGCCAATGTGACACGGTCTAGCAGCGCCGAGGAAAGTGATGGATGGAAGGCCGGCGAAGATATAGTCTTCGCTTACCAGCTTCTCAAGATCGAGGTGAAGGGGTGGAAGGGGAAAAGGATCGAGTACGATGAGCTGAGTCACGAGGCGGCATATCTCGGCAAGGACGATGATGATGAGGAAGAGGAAGATGAGGATGAAAGTCTAGGAGAGGTCACAGTCAACATAGCAGACGCGCATAATCTGCCCACTTCACGGAGCACAGGTGGATTTACAACGGTGGAGCTGGAAGAGGGAGATCGGACGTTCACATGCATCTCAGCTGTCGATATATAAATCGATATGTAATATTATAGTCGGCTCTATATACACCAAGATATACCCAATTATCAAATATCAAATAGTGCTGCCACAAAAATGGCCCATCGCACGTCATCTGGTTTGCCCATGAGCTTCCACGGCGCCAGATACAAGTAGCGTTCCTTCAGGGTCGCCGAGGAAAGAGCTTTGAACATGGCCAGCATTCCATGACGCGTTCTCATTTTCATGTTGATATAGTCGTATGCGCTTTCCTTTGGCTTGGAGCTGGTATATCCTAGCAGGGTGCCTGCTATACCCGCTGCGACGGCAGTTGCAATCGAGGTTCCAGACTTATATACCTCCGTCATACAATCGCTCAGCCCCGATGATGGGACATCTAAGCCCAAGGTACCAAACACCGTCTCTTCATTGTGACTTCGTGGCGGGTTAAAGTCCTCGAAGTCGCCATTTGTGTTTGTACCGCGGATCGAGATAACGGACTCGTGTCTAGCGGGGAACATTTCTTTGTCATTTGCTCCATAGTTTGATGCCGCTGCAAAGAAGAGAATGGAATCATCGCGTTCGTAGAGGGCTTTGCGGATGGATTTGCTGATGTTAGGTTGGTCTTTCACGTAGCCAAATGACATGGAAATGATGTCGGCTTTGCACTCGCTACTCGCCCAGGAGATGGCCTAGAGTCGAGTCAGTCTCTGGGTCAGAAACAATACATACATGAGGTAGAATACCTGTGCCACGTTCTCGCTTGCCCCTAAGAGGTCATCCGGGTTTTTAGCGACACGCGCTACATATACATGCGCGTCAGGGGCAATTTTCATAATCAGAGATACCAGATGGGTACCATGTCCATGACCATCTTGAAAATCGTCAGACCCATCAGCAAAGTCCCTCCAACCTTTGAGACGAGATTCATTGTCTGGATGTAGGAAAAACGGGGCATTGAAATCACAGCCGGTATCTAGTACGGCGATTCGAATCCGTGTGGTTATAACAGGTGGAATTGTTTCACCCAGCTCGCTGTTCAACCTCCTCATTCTTGAAAGCCATCGTTTTGCATCCTTCTCGCTCTTGGTCAGAAATCTTTTGCTCAATTTCCGTACCGTTGGTGTCACGGGGGCATCATCAACATCCGCGGAGAAATTTTCGGCAGAGATTGACATGGCCTTTTTGGACGGCGCTTCCAGAGGCGGAATTGAGGTCAGCTGTTCCATCCATTTTGTTCCCTGCAGTACTTCCTCGAGTGGAAAGACAACTTTGTCATACAAGATGTTCATCCGTTGCTTGAGGCCCTCCATAAACTCTTTATCACTTTGTCCTCGAATAGAGGGTGCGATATTGAACGTTCCAGGGTCCAAACAGTGGTTTACTGCAGTCAGATAATCAGGATACTCGCAATCCTCCCAGAGTCTCTTGTCCTTTGAGTACTGCAGGGCTAGTAATAAGTCCTCGTTGATTCTTGCTGCTAGTGACTTGGACGAACGATCTTTGTCACTCCTATGAAGCGGAAATCCAATTCCGATCTCGACCAGCATGATACCGAGAGCTCTAATCCTCGGATAGTGATGTATTTCTCCATCTAGATCGCTATATTCGCCAGACTCAGGGTCTTCGTCACCGAAGGAAACTGATAAATAAGGCTTCCAGGCAAAAAATTGGCCTTTTCCGCAGGTACGATCACTTCCGCATTCTTTGACGAACTGTATCGTCTCACTTGTCCACCTGGTCTTCATCCAATCGGAGTCATAGTACTGCCAAACGGAGTATGCAAGGATATAAGCCAGTGCTAGTTTCATCTTTGCCGTAAGATGGAAACGGCTAAGAATGTCAGCAAGCGAAATGCCAGGAACGTGTTCGACTATTTGCTTGAGGCCCTCGAAGCCTGACTTCTTCAGCTCTCCATCTTGGATTGTCAGACAGATGCGGGAATTGGCCTGAAGTCCAATGAGGTTGCAGAATTGGCCATGATTCACTGGCGTCAATTGTGTAGGGCTGTAACCGTTATGTTCATGTTTATCGCCGAATCTGGCAGTTTTCTTTGACTTCCGAGCCCTGGGTATCTCTTAGTCCGTATTCTCAGTGAGAGAGTTTCTCGGTACTTACCATGGAATTCTTAAATGTACATCTTGCCAGCTACTGAACGGAGATCCGATCCACCATGGTGCAGATGAAAACAACATATCAAATTGTGCCAGGCGAGCTTCATTTTCCTGCGGTGGCGGTTGGAGTAACAACCTCACCAAATGATCGCCGTTTACGTTCTGCTTGCTTTTCACGTTGCAGGTGCAACACATATGGTCCCGAAGGACATTATGAGCAAGTATTTTAATGTCTCTTGGATACTCGGTCGGTGCGCTCTTCTTCGTGGTAATTTCTTCCTTGGCTCCGTGTGGTTTTTTATCAATCTTTTTTGCAAATTTCTGTATATGGATGATGAAACTCTCCGTATAGGCAATGTTTGACGTGATATTGAGGAGTCCCTGTTGGATTTCTGCTTGGGCCTTTGGATCTGGGTACACTTGTGCTATACCCTGTAGCAGCGGGTATCCCACTCCTGATTTTGTAGGGGAGCACTATTGTGAGATTAGCTGGAAGTACACAAGTTCACCAGCGATGCAAAACTCACACTACAGATCCCTTCAACCTCCCTCAACAGCTTTGAGATGCGCACCCGCAACTGCTCCTCCTGATCCAGACCCGCCCTGTCAAGGGATTCCGCAACCAAGAACAACTCCGCACCCAGGCGACCGCATATCTGCCGCTTGTACTGCACGCCCAGCACCAAGGCGATCTCAGCCACTCGGACGATGGCAGTCTGTGCGAGGTCTATCGGATCGATCAAGGCCATATTCGAAGCATAACTGCTGTCTGACTGTGCGTTGCAGGTTGTTCATCGGACAAGGCTGGGGGGCTGAATTGGCGATTGGCGGGGCAGACAGTGAGAACCGCTAAGCGCTCGCTTTGCAGTCGGCCAATAGGATGCAGCCAGAGCGCACAATGTGCTCATCTGGTATGAACCTGTCAAACATTTAGATTAATTATTACGGAATATCTATTGGACTAGAAGTCATGGAGAGAAATAAATGCCTTCTTCCATTCATGTCATCAGTATATGGACCCCCATGACTTTGATTGGTGTAATATATATCCCTGCTGCTACGATGTGCAATATTCTTTTGAACCACAAATAGCACTACAAATGTCATATTCGGAAATATATCTATTATAAATAAAAATTGATGTTACATGTGACCCTCGTAAACTTAATCTACCAGTTCGTTGATTTATAGGCCAAGACCAGGTGATGGGATGGAGAGGATGCTGATCGACTGATCACTGCAGAGCTAGCACAAGATTGTCAGCGCCGAATATGTCTTCGCGCATAAGTTCAAACCGATATTTTACCAGGCTGAAGAGAGCCGAAGATTGGTCCTACTACATATTTCCGGTTGCATGGAATGAACCGGTAAATGATCGGCAGCGGACGGCGCCGGCCCGCACTTTTTATGCATATTTTGACGGATGCGGCGGGGCTACACAGCGTCATTTTTGCTATTGGATGACAAATGGCGGAGCTGAACTGTCATGTCGCTCCAGAGTCTGTCTGATACTGTCTAAAGGATGAAAACATTTCTGGCCGAGTATTCGACAGACCAAGGCAATTTAACGTACTAGAGAAATCGGTATTCCCTACATGATATGCAATTCTAATAACTATCCGGGATGCGTTAATTTTCTTCCTTTTTGTATACTCCTATGCTGTCAATATGTCGACCCCACATGTACTGCCTTGCATTGACATATCCCGTGGGTCGTAATGCACGTCAGTCAGCGAGTCGACTTCTTCCAACAGGCATGGCACGAGGTGGAGTGCGACGCTAGTTATATCCATTTGCAAATCATATAGAAATCTCAACCCAGGCTGACCCAAAGATCAGACATTTTGTGACGTTATTGGTCTGGCTCAGCTTTCACATTCTCAAACCACCACTGTCTACAGCTCCCATCTCTTCAGCTCGTATGTCTTCAAGCCTCACGCGCTGTACTTCTGTATAGCGGGGCTTCTCGGCCCGTTCAAAAGTCATGTAGGCAGACAGTACAGTAGCTACTGGTCTATTGGCCATGGAAGTGGGAAACAAGCAAGAAAAGATCAATTAGTTAGGAAGGGATTGACTGCAACGAGAGGTAGTATCGTGACGTCAATACAACCAGACCCACAGATATTGGCTATATAAACACCCTTCTGATCGGTCTTTTCAAGGTCCAGAAACTACGAACATTCATCTTTTTCAATTTATTCAGTGACAAAGCTTGATTCGCCATGGACACTTTCACAATGGCAGGCTCCCACCTGCCCGACTATCTTCCCATTGCACCAGACAGACCCCCCAGCTTCTATAACAGCATCGATGGTGGTTTTGGATCCGTTGACCAGGCCAAAAAAAGCCGGCTCAAGGGAAATGGCTATCCTATCCCGGGAGTCCAGTCCCCCAGTGCAACCTCTGTCATGACAAAGGACTATTTCGTCAGGTATTTCCAATATTCTTGTGTGATGTGAGGCAGTTGCTAATGGCTATCCAGTGATACAGACTGGCAGACTATGCTTGACCATGGCAGCTTCGACTACATCGTCGTCGGCTCTGGTTTTACTGCTCTTGCCTTTATCGACGAGGCGTTGAAACTGAACCCGGACTGCAAGATCTTGGTTCTTGAGAGAGGTGGTATGTGAACTGCTGAACACATTCTATTCATATTCTCATATCTGTTCAGGTTTCTGGCTTCCAACCCATTTCCAGAACCTCCCCCTCCCATTCAAGATGGTCCTTGGAGGCCCCTCAGAGACCTTCCCATGGACCCTCTCCCGTAAGACACACAAAACCCGAGAGCTTCAATTCTGCCACGGCTCCTGCCCTTTCTTCGGCGGTCGTTCGACATTCTGGTCTGCCTGGTGTCCGCAACCACCTATCGAGCTGATGCGAGGCTACCCCAGGTCCTTGACCGACGCAACCGAGGAAAGATGCTTCTGGGCGAAGGCCAAGGAGCTGCTCCATGTCACCCCCGCTAACGAGATCGGCGATACCATCTTCGACGAACTCCAGACGAAGATCGATAACACTCTGGAAAAGAACCTTAACAAGATCTCAACCGCAAATTATGTTGAGTCGGCTCCATTGGCTGTTGGTCATAGGAGCCCAACGTCGACTTTGCGGTTTGACAAATTCTCTGTGCCGGGGCCTATGTTGGCGCTCTCTGAGGATCAGCGGATAGCTGCTACACAGCGCAACGGCTCGCCCTTGGAATTGATGAATAATTGTGTTGTCAAGAAGATGAGCATGGAAGATGATGGCTATGTCCGCATCCTGGAAACTAGCAAGGGTGTGTTGAACTGGGATGACAAAAACACCAAGGTCATTCTCTGTGCTGGTGTATGTTCTCCAAACAACAAAACAAATACACAAGCTGACTTGATACAGTCCATTCCCAACGCCACTCTTCTTCTCAACTCTTTCGAAGGCTGCGAAGAAACCGTTGGAAAGCGCCTGACAGGCCACTTCCTGACTCACATTGCTGCCCGGTGCCCTGTTTCGGCCGTGCCAGGCTACACTCCCGGCAAAACACTCGAGATCGGAGCCACCTATCTGGCTGGACAGCACACCAACGGAAAGCAGTATCACATCCAAATCACTGCCATTCATAGTCCTAACCCAGAGGACGATGTCGACGATGCGGCCCGCGAATGCCCTGACTATGCTGCTTCTGCCACCTACGACCAGCTGAAGGACTCCAAGGACCATATCGTCTTCAGTACGTGTCGACCTAGAACTATCCATTGATATTATTATACACTAACCACACAATAGTCTGTGCCACCCTAGGTGAATTCTCGGAAGACAACAAGGACAACTGGATCAAAAAGAACAAGACCAGAGACATCACCTCCAATGTCAACTTGCAATTCACCGTGTCCCCCGATGACAAGGCTCTCTGGGACACCATGGATACCGCTACATACCAGGCCATCCAGGTCATGTCCAACCAGCCCGTTACTGACAATGGCCTCGGCCAAGGAATCGAATACTGGGACACCAACACCAACAGCTGGAAGGCGCAGAAGCCTGCTGTTGACACTATCCGAGTCCCCGGTGCTGTCCACGAGAGCAGCACGGCATTTGTTGGCGAGAAGTCTAAAGGCGGATCGCTCGATGATATGTACAGACCCCATGGGGTGAAGAATGTGGTATGTTTATCTATCCAAGATTTTATCAAGACTATGAGCTGACAACATGATAGCATGTTACCGGTGGCGCCGTATTTCCAACTGCAGGAAGCTGGAACCCTACCCTGACCATGTGTGGTTTTGCACAGGACCTTGCTCGGAAGCTTCACAAGGAGCAGTCAGCTAGAGTTAGAAGACACTAAACGTACTGCAAGGAATAGCACTCATATCATTCTTTTAATTCAGGAGAGATGCGGAAATGGAACTGATGGAGTTGTATTGACAATTTAAACCAGTGAAAATACAAATCAACCCTTTCATGTTTCTGATAGCTACAAAAGGCAATCTTTCTACTGATCCATCATTTTTGTGTTGGAGTTGCTTCAAAGTCTCATTGGTTGGCACAGCATCTCGAATACCCCAATAGGACTAGTGCAATGCATCCACAACTCCCTTCTCTCACCAATAGAGCACACTCTCCTTAATTCTTCCACTCAAGTCAGCCCAACGTGGCTGTGGTTAGTGCCGATACAGCCCTGCTATAGGTGGACCCAAAAGTGGGGGAGGCTGTTTCCCGAGTGGGGGCCGTTTGGGTGTCCTCCCCGGCCCAACAGAACAAGTGTTCGCAATTCTAGTGAAGACTTGAAACGCTATCGAAAACTTGTTGATCTTCAGCCTTGCCAAGTTGACAATCTCATTCTTTGGATGCACAGATATGCCGCCCGGTGCAAGAGCCTCTAGGAATTGCGGCAACTGCCGCGCTGTCAAACGACGGGTGAGTGCTTTTTTCTCTTTGGATGTAGACTAGACCAAGGCCAACTTCTATGTATAGTGCGACCAACAGCTTCCTCACTGCGGACAGTGTATTCGTCTACGCGAAGAATGTCCCGGGTACCGAGATGAATGGGAGCTCGTCTTCCACGACCAAACCAGCCATACCATCAAACGGTCCAAGGGAAAACAGACCAACGCAGCCTTGACCGAAACCAAGCATTCGCCGCCCATCCGCGGGCCGAGCCCCAGCGCTGACGAGGTCGGAGTTAACTACTTCCTGTATCATTTCGTCATTGGAGGCCCATCCCCTTCGCGGGGGTATCTTAACTACGTGCCGGCTGTTTATAGCGCTGATGGCGAACACCCGACACTCGTGGCCAGCATGGCAGCTGTAGGGCTGGCCGCGTTGGCCAACGCAACTCAGCAGCCTGAGCTGGCTAAGCATGCACGTGCGAAGTACTGGGAAGCAATCCAGAATGTGAATGCTGCATTAGCGTCACCTGCTGAGTCTGTCAAGGATAGCACCTTGATGTCGGTCATTTCCCTGACCTTATTCGAGCACGTGTCCCACTTTGAGACGTGGTTTCGACATATTCAAGGAGCTGTGGCACTGGTGGTTTCGCGTGGCAAGAGCCAGTTCTCGAGCCCAGCTGCAGTTCTCATGTTCAATCAAGTACGGGCAGACATGTCAGCTGCGTGTATCCATAGTCTCCGACCATTTCCAAGTGAGATGCTTGAGTTGCAGGACGAAGCAACCAAGCACGCTGACACCTCCAGTGGGTTTTGGCTTCTGGGGGTTCTGGCGACCCGGTGTTCGAATCTTCTGTCAAATGTTACACATAAAAAGAGCGCACCTTTGGCAGGCTACATCGAAGAAGCAACTGTTCTTCAGTCGGACTTTCAGCATGTTCTTCAGATCCTCACCAAACAAGAACCATATACCACTACCCGAACATCCAGTGGAGATCCAGAGATCTTCTACAATGGTCGATCCGATCTCTACCAGACTTCCTGGGCGATAAGAGTCTGGAACAACGCACGGATGTTACAAATAGTCGTCTGCGAGGTTAAATTCCACCTCTTGAACAGGATGCTTGCCACAGCTATGACACCACCCTGTCGCACACAAATAGAGACAAAACTGAAAGAGACGTTACAGATTCTCTTAACCCTAGGAGATGATCTATTAGCTTCTGTCCCACAGGCTCTAGGGCATGTATCATCGGTATCTGAACCTATTACCTCTATTAATTCATCTACCCACGCTAGTGTGTCAGGCAGGTATCTGCTAATGTGGTGTCTCTACACTGTGGGGAAATCTCCGGTCACCGGAAGCAGTACCCGGAAATGGGTTATGAGGCGGCTCCGGGATATTGGTGAAAATGCAGGCATCGCAATGGCGCTGCAGTTTGTTGATGATGTAGACGAGATAGACAAGTTAGCTGGCCAACTATAATTTCTCAATTTTTCATGATGACACTTTTTCATCAATATTACTGTTAAATCAGCTCTCTCCATATTTTTTAGCTAGATGCCATTCTGCCTTGTGTAAAAATATACATTCTCCATTTATGCCCACTCTGGCAATCAGCTCCGAAATATATCTCCGTACCCAGGAAACCACGCATATATTGCTCGATCGGTAGAGCACTGCGAGCCTCGCTCGCAGTACGCCTACTGATGTGTGTTCCTGCAACCGATCTATATTTGGCCCCAATGCGCCCAATTGATTTCTCGGAAAAGCTTGCCTGTTGCTTCTTCGCCCTCCTGCAGAGGTCTAAGCCCCACTGTCCCACTGTTTTGCCAGCCACGGCTCGCGTTGATTGGTGCTGCATCTCTGAAGCCCGAATAGGGCTAGCGCTATGGGTCTGGATGGGCTAGCGTGGGCATCAGAATTGGGGCTGAAAAGAACTGCTGGGGACGTCCGATTGGCTGATCTGGATTCTGGGGCCAAAAGGTGGGGCTAAACCAAGCACTGCCCATCAACAAATGCAGCCCTGCGATGAAATTATTGCAGTGATTTCAAATTGGGGACAATGTCATAGAGCTTGGCTATATAAATCTGGAGCTTCCCCAGTCCAGATCGCTTTAATCATTCTTCATCTCAGTTACAAAATAATCACCATGAAGCTGCTTTTCCCTACTATGCTGTCGGCTTTCGCAGCCACAGCGATGGCTTCGCCTTCGGTCAATATTGAATCCGGTACCCTTCTGGGTGGAAAGTGTGCCAACAAACAAAATTCCGTCTACTACAAGGGAATTCCCTATGCTGAGCCTCCCCTTGGAGAGCTGCGTTTCGAGCCCCCCAAGCCCTACGGCAAATACCCCAATAGGGTGTTTAATGCAACCACCCCGGCCACGGCCTGCATTCAATTTGGATCAACATTCGAAGCACAAGGCAAGAAGTCTGAAGATTGGTAAGTTAGTCTTTGGATTCTCTGTGTGACTGTGCTAATAGATCAACCTTCAGTCTGTACTTGGATGTTTGGACTCCATCTCATGCCACTAAAGACTCCAAGCTGCCTGTCAAGGTGTGGGTCTACGGTGGATCAAACACAGATGGCGGAATCAGCGACTCTCTGTACGATGGCTGCAACATGGCAGAGGATGGCACAATTCTGGTGTCGATTAACTACCGACTTGGACCCCTTGGTTTCATGGGATTGAACAGTGCCGGAATCTACGGTAACCAAGGAATTCAAGATCTCCTTCTTGGATTGGAGTGGGTTCAAAAGAGCATCTCTGCTTTTGGAGGTGACCCGGTATGTAAACTCCTACAATAGAGGGAATTGAGAGCTAACATTATTCCTAATGCAGAAAAAAGTCGTTCTCTTCGGACAGTCAGCTGGTGCTACCGATGTTTATGCTATTGCTACTCTTCCTGAAGCACCATCGCTCATCAATGGTGCTATCGCGGAGTCCATCGCTTTGCCCTCGCTGCTGTCGAATGTTTCTCTGCAACAGAGCGGTGCATCATATGCCAAGTCTCTTAACTGCAGTGTTGGAGATGTGAGTACAGACACCTTCTATATTCTAAATTGATATTGACTTTTATAGAAATCGTGCCTAAAGTCCAAGACTGTCGCTGAGCTGAAGAGCGCGTACAAGTCTGACAGCTACCTCACTACTGGAATCGGATCAGCTTCTGGCCTTGGTGTTTCGTCTGCATACTCGCACAGGTTCTGGCCGTATGTCGATGGCCATGTCATCTCCGAGAACCCCATGACTCGTGGCATTCAAGTCCCGACCATCTTTGGATCCAGTATGCATGAAATCCACCACTCCTCTGAATAAAGACTAACAAATCCCCAGACCAAAGAGAAGGCGTGATGGATGCTCTCACCAAGTACGACAGTGTCGAGCTTGTGGAATCTGCCAAACCCGCTGATTACACCAAATTCCTGCGCGACAACTTCGGCCCCGCCGCTGCCACTATCGGGAAATACTACCCCCTCTCGCTATTCAACGCCACCCTCTCGCCCGTCATCTCAGCCATTGCAACCGTCATCACCGACTCTCAGTTCAAATGCGCCGGATACCAGGCCGCCACGCTGGCGAGACAGAAGAACATGCCCGCCTATATCTACGAGTTCACCCACAACTCCACCTGTGTCTGGCTCGACACGATGATCCAGGACTACATTTCTGTCTATGGCGCTGCTCACACTGCCGAGCTCCCCTACGTCTTTGGCAACCTGCACTTTGACTTTGCCAACTCCAACACGACCTGCACGGACACACCGGCTGAGATGAAACTCAGCAAGCAGATGATGAGCTTGTGGACTGCCATGGCGGAGAACGGTAACCCTTCTACTGACGCCATCCACTGGCCGCAGGTTGAAGTCGCAAAGAACTTGACGACTCCTGGGTTGGTCTTTGCTAACTCGACTGCGCCTGGCTCTATTGACTACTCGGCTTGTGCTCTGTGGAATAAGGTTGATGCTCTCCTGAGCAATAAAACTGTTGTGGACGCGTGGGAGAGAAGCACTGCTTCGGCATCTGCTTCGGCGACTCCCTCGGCGACTCCTTCGCCGGTTGGTGGTGCGTGCCGCGCATAAGTGACTGCTCTTGATGGAGTTGTATTTCCTAGTTTGGCCTTGGGCATGTTCATGTAATATTTAGTAATGACGAATAGAGTTTATGTTTATTAAGAGATGTATCAATTTGTACGTGCCACGTATATGTAAAATAACAGGACTGCTCTGGCTTGAATTAATAAACCTGGTCAATAATATCAGGGAGATAATGGGAAACGTTTAGCCTTGCCTCAAAAACCAGCTGATAAGCCTTCGATTCCGATATATCCGAAGTATAGCCATGACTGACTTGTCCAGCATGTGTTCGTATAGGACGTATATCTTGTATCGGATCCTGCTCCACGGGTCGGGTCGGACGTTTCTACCTTTCCGTTTAGATTGGACGAAATGAGATCGATATTTGCGTCAAACAAGGAGATTAAATGAGCCTAGAAAAGCTTGGTTTCATCTGGCTTAATTGTGAATGGCTATGTTGAGGAATGTGAAACACCGGTATATTTAGAGGCATTTATCTACATTTCTCAAATTTGGTCTTCCAAGGCATCTTATCACCAGTAGGAGAATAAGAGGCATTTCAAAGTATTTAAAGATGATTGAGTCTACCAGTATCCTATACAAATCATCACGATCATCATCATCATCACCTCACAATGTTCCTCCAGTCTTTTCTCCCGCTCCTCCTTGCCCCCTTGATCGCGGCCAGTCCTACCGGCGTCGCTCCTCGCAATGCACACCACGCACGGCAGTACATCGAAGCCGACGATCTGGCAACAGGTCAGTGCAAGGACGTGATGTTCCTTTTCGCCCGTGGATCTACAGAAATCGGCAACATGGTAAGCATCTCCGTTGAAAGATGCGACTCTTGCTGACTCGACAGGGCACTGTCGTTGGTCCTGAAGTCTGCGATGACCTGGCTCTCCAGGGTATCGGGTCTGTCGGATGCCAGGGCATTGGCGGCGCCTATACAGCTGGTCTGGCGGAGAACTTCCTCCCCCAGAACACCGCACCGCAGGATATCCAGGCTGCAGTGGACATGTTCAACCAGTGCAGTACCAAGTGTCCTAATGCGAAGATCGTTGCGGGTGGATACAGGTGAGTATCAGCGATTCAATCATAATAGTAACTCAATCTAATCCATAATCTCAGTCAAGGAAGCGCCGTCATCGACAACGCCGTCCAAAAACTCTCCGACGACGTCAAGGCCAAGGTGAAGGGCGTGGTGCTATTCGGCTTCACTCGTAATCTGCAAGACGGAGGCAAGATTCCCGGCTACCCGCAGGATCAAACCAAGGTTTTCTGTGCTGTAGGCGACTTGGTGTGCGATGGCACGTTGATCATCACATTTGCCCATTTGACGTACGGCGCGAATGCGGGCGAAGCAGCGACCTTCCTCGCGTCCAAGGTCAAGGGGTGAGGAGCTGAAAATTGGGTCTGGTGATGGATGATCATTTTTCCCTGTTGCTAGTATCTTACGGTTACCTAGAAGAAATGGATTTTTGTCGAATATTGAGTCAGTTGCAATTATGGGTGCTGCTAAATGGCTGTTGGTGATCCACCGGACCGAGGTCTCAAAAATGGGTTACCCACTATGTCTTTATCAACCCATGAGATGTTTCAAAGACATTTAACCTCGGCCATTCATCTTCCATGTGCCTTGTATCCTCTACCAACTGGTATGTAGACTGGCACTTGCAGATCATCCGGTTGAACATGATTTTCTTCAGCACGTTATTGACAAATTGACATGTTCATCAGTGCTGATCCTCTTCAACAGTGATTAAAGATCTTCCATATATGTACTACACTTAACTATCCTGTTTCACGATTAAGTACCACTCTTTTTAAAAGCCGCCTTGAACTGCTTCGCAAACCAGCCACATACTCCGGATTCATAATCTTCGTATGAATCCCCGGGCAGTCATAAAAGTGGACATTACATCTGACAAAATCCTTCTACCGTCCAAGCGTATTATCCCTCCAATCCTGCCTATTCTTTGCTGCATTGCATGGCGGATCTGCCACAAACACGTCTAGGTGATCCACTTGTCCAACTGGCCCGTACCCTTCAGCATGAACCCGAAAGTTCTCTCCAATTTCGGCAATCAGCTCTAGACGGCCTGCGGTGAGTGCAAGTGCATGCACACGCTCCCAATGGCTGATGGACAATATATAAGCCAATGCATCCGGCCGGGACATGATATGCTCGTAAAGATTCAATAAATGGTTAGGATGGAAAGAATCTGTCAGGTGTACGGACATATCTACGTGTAAATGAATCACAATCATACTCGCTACAAGGTCCAGTCCTATCCAGTTGGAAGATGCACCACGTGTATTTGATGGTGAGCAGTCTTCTCTTGCACAGCCAAGACAATCTCCCCATGGCGGAGGGGATCACCCTTGGCATTATCAGTGCTTCCTGAAGTCAGCATTAGGATGGCTGTCTCTTCAGGCTTCTTCATATCCCCTACTATGGGAAAAATGCTAGGTGGGCGATCAGAACCCAGACATGTGCTGGTGGCTAATACCTCAACCGGATATAGGTGAAGACCCTCCCCACCAAGGACCTTGGCAACATATCATTGAGTTGTGAGAATGACTGGTTTTTGGAGAATAGTCTGCAAATGACGCAAGTGCTTCTCCCGCTGCGTCAGATCATGCACGAATGGCGTTGATACGACTGGGAAACATCCTGCAATGATATCAGCCCAGAGCCAGTGCGGCATGCCACTACTCCCAACGATATTGAAAGGCTTGCATCAATCAAGAAGATGCAACTGGCATTCAAACCCTCTTTCTAGAGGTCGGTTTCTTTTTTAATTGAAGATACATAATTTGCATATCTGCTGGTCCCGTTTCAGCAAGGAAAAAATGTACGAGATGAGACCCCCTACATCATAAACGTCTACCTCATTGGCTCTTCAGATCGAATGAAACAAGTTGATAAATAAACTATGAAGGGAAGCTACGGGTTGTCATCGGATACCATCTTCTTCTGCTTCTGTCTATCTCGTTTCCCTTTGCCTTTTGCCTCCTTGCTTTGGTTCATCTTACATATGTAAGTCTCGCTCGAATCTCGGGGAAATAGCCGGGTCCCCGCACGCAATGACATTCGGCGTTGACCATCAAGGAGCTTGTTGCAGAACCTAGATGTGACATGGCACCTCCATCAGACTTGTTAGTGGCTTCAATGTGGATGCTTGGACTGGAAGCTCCTGGTATTTGGAATGGTGATTTGAATGTGACCGATTGAGCAAAGCTGTTGAGAACGGAGGTGGTTGATTATGAGAGTGTGCGTTAATATTAGATAGAATAGAATGCAAATCAAACAGCTTTTGTTTATAATTCTGGCTACTGCTATTTACCTATCCGTAGTAGGATAAAAATGAACTTACTGCAAGCATGGAGGGTCTGGCTTTACTACTATATATAGAATAGATAAAGTATAAGTTTATATTGAAAAAGCAAGTATACTACCACCCTACCTAGTACTAAGGCTGATAATTAAAGAGTAGAAAATTACATCCTCTACTCATGGAATATATCCCTAGTATACTTACTACCTTTTTATATGATAGATAATTACTCTATAAAATCACCATATGAATGTGTCTAGTTTGACTTTTCGTAACTCATATACTGCTTGTACAGTAATAGAAAGCTCTGGAGGTATTCTGTCATAGTAACTAGGCAAGAGTAAAAGTCCCAAACTTCGGCTTTGCATCAATCCAAACGTCGAAGTGACTTTTCGCCAGCGCAACTCGCCTACTGATCCCATCTTCTGACTTCACCACCATCAAATACACGATCAGCTGTGTGCTCTCGCTCACAATTAATTCCACAGGATAAGAAAACTTCGATTTTTTTAACGCAGCGTACGCCGACCCATTTACATGAGGGTCGAAGGCAGACACGTCGGCATCGCAGCGGAGGAAAAGAGCTATAACGTCATACTCGGTATTCAGATCGATCAGGTCCCAGTTTGCCGTTTCTTCGTCGATCCATCCGAGGACCTTTCCAGTTGCCTCTTGGAGCTTCCCATATTGAGTATATTCTGAATGCGGATTGTGCTGTACTGGTTGGATGCGCAGATGGAGAGATTGGGTGTGCACCATGGTATGGCCGGGTTGGCAGCGTTGGTAAAGAGGGAATTTGGTCTTCATATTCTTGATCAACAGAGTGCGCGAGTCAATACCTTGTGCCGCATCGCAAATGTCAGCCAGTGATGACCAGTTTTCGTTTATCGCGTCTTCGTATTGTCGCCAGGCACAGTTAAAGCCCAGTTCTGCTGAGAACGTCTCGGGAAAACAACCTGCCCGCCAGGCTATAATCACCGCCAGTTCTGTCTGGAGATGCTCTTTCACGTCCTGCTCTCCAACTTCATGGCGCTTTTTGGATATGTTTGGGATACATTTGAATGAATTCCCAGACGGAATCGCCCAGATAGCCAGCGAGGCGGTGCTTGACTTCCAATCTGGCCAGATGTCACGATCGATCTTGACGGTATTTCTTGTGGATAGCCACGTCCAGGATGGGAATACATCCCCATCCGTGGTTCGTGGTGGATACTTTCCATCCTCTGTATACCAGAGAAGAGCATTGGTGAACTCTTCGAACGGGATGCCGAAATAATGGTTAGTCCCATAAACTGCATGCAATATGCCCGTGAACGCTCTTAGTATGTCTGACTCGAAGGTAAGATCCTTGCTTGTATACTCATATATCAGCTTCCGGTAATTCGTCAACCCGATCTGAGCCTTGTAGTACGTATCCACGCTTCCTGCCTCTTCATCTGTATATCCATGTCGCCCGTTGCACTCGTAAAAGAGACCCATGTCAGAAAACATCAATAAAAGCTGGGAGAGCATTGATTCCTGGAATGTCCAGCCGCGAGTTGTCCATTTTGAATGTCTGACCAATAGCGGATAGGGAGATTTTTCATTGAGCAGGTAGAGACCCTGTGTCGTTCCTGTCCATCGTGCTGGTCGTCTGTCCACGCCAGGAAGACCGTACTCGGCATTGTCGCCAGCGAGCGCAACCAGCGTCACATATGCATGGTTATATATCCTGCCCATGGCGTCTAGGTGGGGGCTTTTCTTCTCTATATCCTCGTCTTGGAGAATGCATAATCTGTCTACCCAGAGATAGCGCACTTGGAGATTATCGCATACTATCGTCGCGTGTCGGATGACAGCTGATACACTATTATCTGCTAATGACCCTGGTACCGAAAGGCTGTCGATATTCGATGTAAGTGCTTGTAATGATCTACCTGCGCTCCCCCAGACATAGCTTAATGCTGCATAATTGCAGAATGGAGGAGCTCGTTGCACACATCGTCTCTGCACATCTATGACACGAAACCCGGGTAGGAGATGTTGCACATTATCCTTATAACAGGGTGTATGATGTTTTTGAGGATCTGTGTCACAATCACGAAGCCAGCCAGACACTTTGCGCCAATCTATATGCCCCTCTGGTCTTTGAATCGAGATTAAAGAATTTCCTGACTGAGGGTCTACAGTTCCATAGTATGTAGAAATCGCTGCATCCGTTAGCCTTTCTCAAATTCGCATGGATAGAATCCACTCACCTTTCCGAATGTCGCTATTAAGCTCCATCTCAATTTGATAGTCAAAGTCTACACCATTCAAGCTCCCCGGTTCGAGTGTCACAGACAACGTCACCTCCGCGTCTGCTTTGACGCCCTTCAGTGGCGCTAGTCTGGCTATCTCTGGCGCAAACACGGCACATGTTGAACAATCAGATCGTTCCTGTACCTCATCCACACGCCCCAAGATCAAGTGAACCCCGTACAACCCGAATGCATTGTTATAGTACTTTTCCCGCTGCACTATATCCAGATCATACCCATAAAGCCCACAGCGGATGATATGGCCCAGCCGCATATGGCTACATACTCTGCATAGCGAGTCCCGGGGTATCCCCACGCATTCATTGCAATCCTTGTGAAAGCATAACCGGCGATACACTTCCAAATGACGCTCCCAGTCTGCGCCTGGGTAGGTCCAGCCATAGAACTTGACTAGACTACTGCAGAGATGGCAGCTTGGGCTGGTGGAAGAGAGGATTTTCTCACGTGAGAAGTGAGGGTTTCTGCTATATGTGGTGCTTTGCTGTCTCATGGTATTCAGAGTCAGTGAGGAGTGAGCTGCAATTGATTTGTGATTCATGTTCAGTGATTTATGTGATCTGCAGGTGGGGCGGGATGTGGATGTGGCAGGGTGTGACTGGCTTAGGATGTCTACGGCTAGACATGGGCATGATGATTTGGATGAAAGCAAAATAAAAAAAGATACTAAAATTAAGAAAAGTAAAATTACATATAGAATAACTTGTTGGAATCTAATGGAGTCCAGAATGATTGTTGGTCACTAAACATCAATGGTTTTATCTCCTCGAGAACCTCCATACAGAGGTTTACACTAAGGTACTACCGATGTTCTTGTTATTCTCTAATAAAATCTGACCAGAGCCTGCTGCACTAGTAACTGCGAGCATGAAACCACGTCAGTTTTACCAGTGCAGCCCCGATTCCTTTATCAGGATAATCGATTATCAGAAAGTGTGTTAATATTAGACAGTATAGAATGTAAATCAAAATTTTTTATTTATAATTGTTTATAGTACGATTTATATCTGAGTAATAGGCTTTTCCAATAAATCATTCCATATTATCCATGAGAATGATTGCCTGTTTTATGATAAACGCAAATGTGTAATATAAACGTTCTGAATATACTAATGGATTCTAGTTTTGACTCCCACACATCGGCCGAGCGGTTGATCGATGTCTTCGAGGTGGACGGGTTGTATGTACCGGCCTTGTCCGCATAGCATGCAAAAGTTTTGTTGTCGCAGATCTTCGACGAAAAGACCGTACTGCCATAAGTGTCACCGCGATATAGATAGACTGGTTCACGGTCATTGCCCAGATTGACAATCAACGCGTACCAGGGGCCATCTGGGCCATGGTTTGTGGAAGACCAAACGAATTCAAAGGGCCAAGTTTGAAGACTGAGTTGCGCAGCAGACAGCTAAACACCAGAAACGCTGCCATTATAGAGCAAGAAGAGAAGGAGTAGATGATACAGAGATAAACAGGAGGGGGGTTGAAGAGATAGTGCGTATGAGAGATAAATGGAACAATTGACCTACCCCAAGTGGGCAGTTGCCCAGAGAGGCCCTCAATCACCTGGGCGATTCTCATGTGGCTGTACAGAGATGGCCGCTTGGCGAGCATCTTGTAGTAAGATGGAGCCAAAGCAGAAGGGGCTCATCGTAGATTAATGTCGGTTGGACTCTTCTCACGACGATCTTTGGACAAGGCTGCGAATTACTTTTAGACCGGGTTTTTGGCCTGGAGTAACCTCTCATTCTGCCCAGGATGCTATTCCTCTCAAAGTTCTCTTCGGCCATATTACAAACGATTTAGGAAGTGGTGTTGATAAAGTCCACCATGTCCTCGAGCTCATCAATGCTGTCTGTGTCCATATCAAAGGTGCCCTGATGAAGTTCAACCAAGTCTTGATAGAGTGGTGCCTTGGTCAAGTCCATTGGGGATGATGAGTAGTAAGTGTGTTTCAGAATGTCAGATTCCCTAACAGGCACCTCAATTAACTAAATGTACTGGGCCAAGAATTGAAGGATTTGATGACGTGTTTGTGACTGGGGACCCTGGCAGCAAAGCTGTATATACTTGCAGGATGATATTTGTCACTAATAAGCAAGTATTTCCATGGCTGCCTCACGCACAAGTACCAGAAATCTACATGATGAATAATAATAATACTGTCATTGCCATTGATGGCGCTGACAGTGTATCTTGGATCTTCTAGACAGTTTGACAGAAACATTGGTGGAGATTGACAACCCAATGCCCCACACGAGACTATCCCGATAGTCACTGGCCCTTGAGCAGAGTGTAGACAGCCATCGTCTTTATTTGGTCACAGAATCTTGCCCCCACTCACAGTCTTGGCAAATGAAAATTCATATCTGCCTATATTCATTTGTTCTGTCAGTTTGTTCCACGGGAAGACCTAGCATATCTCCATAGCCTTGGATACCATGCTTTCGGCTGGAATTCAAAGCCACTGTTCGATATAACTATCGGAAAACGTGAGCAAAGGGTCCTCAGTTTCCGTAGCCCTTGGCCAAGCTATGCCCCCATGGGAGTTGTAAGGGCCAAGAATTGAGAATTTCTCCTGATAATGACCGATCCAATGAGTATTGGAGAGAAACATCTATCTATATAGGGCACAGTTCTGTCTATAAGAACCTGCTTTAGTATAAGGTCCTCTATACAGTACAGACAGTTAGGAATGAATTAGAATAAATATTAGCCATATTTAAATATTCCCTTTTTCTACTCTTAACTATCTTCCTACATAGTATAAAGAATATCCATCTATATATGACAGATAGAGCAGGACTGCATCTAATATTGCGAAGTTTCTCTTGGGACTTGGAGGTCGTATTTCCCATTTCTTCGGTGCTGAAGATCTGTGCAGCTAACCGAAAGGAGACTGAACAGTGTTATTATAGGTAGTAGTGATATTTGTTGGGTATACACGCATCACTTGCGTGTATATCCACCTTAAGGGTGGGGATCTGACAGTCCCCGCATGAGGATGGTGGGGAATTAATTGATGTTGCGGAGACGAGCAGCCTCGTTGTGCCCAGCCTTGATGCGTCCAGCTTTGTCATCTCCAGGCCATTATACATATAGGAATATGGGTATATGTCATTTCAGCAGTAAATTGCACTTTTTGGGTTCAAAGGTCATTTATATAGGATCTGAAGCAGCATTAGATGCGACTATTTCTGGGAAAGGTAGATAGAAGCAGGCCTAGAAAATAGTGATCGCCCGCCCAGGTAACTTCCTTCAGAAGCCGAGAAAGTTGACGGTAGAGCACTGCCTACTCCATTTTTCACTTCGCTTTTGAATTGTTGGCATATGAATATATTGTTGGCTTGTAATTGCAAGGTTGATGCCAGCTGCTTCCGTCCCACCTTTGCGAGGATCCTCAAATTATCCGATGGATTAGGCCCCCAGTCATAGCCTCAGAGGCTCATACAGCGTCTTGCTGACGTAGACTCTCAACCCGAAGACTTTGAATAGACCTCTCTTTGATAGGATTAAAGGTATAAATAGCCCATTGAGCTCGCAGGTAGTCTACATCATTATCATCATCTTAAATTCAAAGATAACTCAGGTATATCCAGCAATTATCTTTTACAAGCCCACCTTTTTATCTAAATTATCGCCATGAAGCTCCTTAACCTTATTATGCTGTCTCTGGTAGGCATTGCTGCCGCTGCTCCAGGCCTAGAGAAGGTATGTCTATCTCTGATAAATGCTTTATGTAGCCTTAATTTACGTACTCACAATGCTCCAGCGCTGTGACGATGTCTTGATGACCTGCAAAACTCATGATGATTGCTGTCCTGGACTTGCCTGCACAGGCAAGATTACGGGTAATTGGGTTTGTCAGCCTAAGTGAGTTTTATTTTTTGAGTTCCTGGCTTGTATACCAGCTGCTTACCCTGGTATCTAGATAATAATGCTATCCTCACGAAAGGGCAGTGAGTCAATTATGAAAGGACTTGAGCAGAGTTTTTTGATATCGGTATTGAGCAATCATGCATGTCGAGAAACGGGTGCCAAGTCACCTGCCCAATGGGGTCTAGCACATTCCCATATCATGTAGCTCAGCTCTATTGGTTTAGAATCACTAAGATACATCTAAGTACATCAATTTTATGGTCGAATCCACTTGTTTCCGTAAATTTACAAAGCTATGGGCTGGCAGCATGTTTATATATCTTCTGCAGCTGCTAACAGACATGTTTACACATCCCTTTGTCTATATCATTCGATTGCAGCTTTCCTTTTAGAGAAAGGCTGGGTCATTGTGTACCGTATTTCCAATGTTAGCGAGCATTCACATGAATTATGAGATGAAGGTAGCACTGGTTAATATGTATATAGATGCCTTTCCCCTCCGACCCAATGCTGGTTTATAGGGAGGCAATGTAATGTTATGCTTTTAATCGTTGTAGTTCTGCTCTCTGCTCTTCTGGTCTTTTTAATTGGATCTTTTTTAGCGTGACTGGATAGTGCGGGATTGACAAGCTCCGTCACCTTCATGTGGGAAACTACGAAAGCTAGTCGTTATCCTATCCGAGGCTTCCATCACCTTGCTCAGTAGGTAGAAGTATCCGGGCCGTAGATTTTATTATATATATATACATCGAATTGCAATCCTGCATCTTGTTGTTCACACAATCTCTAGCTGCTGACAAGTACCTCTTTCGCAAAGATAGGTATGGTCAACTGGGGATTTCATGTTTTGCAATACTTTAGCGTCATAAGATAAATCAATGGATTACAGCCCTAGACCTCCACATAATAATTCCTCCCGAACCCCCCACGCCAAAGGAACAGCAGCTCTAGGACCCAGGACACATACGGTGGGACTAAGAACTAAGCCGATTACCAGCCAGGACAGACGTAGTCTTCCTAATAGCTTCAAGGCCCAAACACAAGAACTAGCCACGTCATTGCACCAAAGATATTGAAAGAGCGACAGGCAGTGTAGCTCATGAAGAATGCTAGAAGTGATACCTAGACGAATGGATTTGAAATTCATCCCTTTCATAGTACAATTTTGTACAACATAAATGCTGCATCTTACTTGACAATCCCTCTGCCCCCGGAATATCTTCACTGTTCTTTGAAACCACCCCTACCTTTGATCCAGACATATCTTGATTAGTACAACTTTGCCTAATATTTGTCTTTCTTGTACTATACTTTGCAGAAATTTATGTATCGGCAGCCCCTAGATAGAAATTCGCCACCTTATGACCTCATCCTACTTAGAAGAGCAACCATTACATATGGATCGCTGTGTAACATTTCCATATAGTTAAAGAGGATTCTCTACTGAGTGCTACGTAGCTACCCACAACCAATAACGATACTTCTACTGCCAATGATCTAATTCTTCCCATGATCCCCAGAATCAGCCATTTCAACCGTTTCTCCGCCCCCACAAGCAGGCTTCCTTTGTGATAAGTCCCCCAAAACAAACCATACTGATCCACAGCGTCCTGAACCGAAAACAAGGCAAAATTACTCCAAAAAGTAAGGCCTCCATTCCACGTAAAGGGACCGGTCTTGACCGTATGCACGCCCGCCCGAAACTCAATAAATATCGGAGCGATAATATTAATCAAGGTCATGAACTTGGGAAACACGGGTTAAGGTCACTTTGCCCACTCTGGGGGGTTATGCGTGCAATATACTATTACCATACCTTGGATTCTCTGTATGAGGCCCCTATTAGTTGATTGACGCGTGGGGACATGCCTTTTTATTGGGTGCTGATGGTGATGGTCCAAGCGTTTTCTTCGTGTGGATTCTCCTCCACCTGCTTAATAATTACATCTATATAAACCCAGACGTCACAACCATCATGTCTCCCACTCCATCTCTCTCTCTATCACAAATCTAGAATATCACCATGGACTCCCTACCCTCCATACACCGCGCCCTCGTCCTCGAAGACCACGACGAGCCCACTCTCCAGCTCCAAACCCTCCCCATCCCCCAGCCCTCCACCGGCAGCGCCCTCGTCCGCATCACCGCAGCCGCCATCCTCCCCTACCACAATGCCATCTATACCAGCCAGCGCACCAGCTCCCTCCCCAAACCTCTCATTCCCGGGTTCAGCGCAATCGGGCGCATCGCCGCTGTCGGACGCGATGCGACACTCCTGAAACCCGGACAACTCGTTTACGTGGACTGCGTGGTTCGCGCGCGGGATGATCCAAGCTGCTTCTTCCTCTCCGCCATCTACGAGGGTGGTAGCGAGGGTAGTAAAATGTTGATGCGGGATGCGTGGCGCGACGGGACGTTCGCTGAGTACGCTAGGGTGCCGGTGGAGAATTGCATTGTGCTTAAGGAGGACAGACTGTGTGCTGGATTGGGATATGCGGAGCAGGATTTGGCGTATATGGCGTACATGCTTGTGCCATATGGCGGGCTACGAGACATCCAGCTGCAGGCTGGGGAGACGATCATCGTGTGTCCCGCGACGGGATTCTATAGCAGTCTGGGTGTGCAGGTTGCAGTGGCGATGGGGGCGAGAGTGGTAGCGGCAGGCCGGAATGCAGAGAAAATGGCGGCGTTAAAGGGAGAGATTGAGAGACATATGCCTGGGGCAGAGATTGAAATGATGACGATGACCGGCGATGAGGATGAAGATGCGGGTGCGCTGAGGGTGTTTGGGGCGGATGCTGTTCTGGATATGACGCCGTCGACTGCGGGAATGGCGACACATACGAAGAGTGCCATCAAGGCGCTTCGGAGGGGAGGGAGGGTGAGTCTAATGGGGTCTACAAAGAACATCTCGGTTGCGGAGATTATGATGAACGATATCACGCTAAAGGGTAAAATGATGTATGAACGGGAGGCGGTGGTACAGTTTGTTAAGATGGTTGAGAGGGGGTTGTTTCCCATGGATTGCATCGAGACAAAGGCGTTCTCGTTGGAGAATTGGAAAGAAGGGCTTTATATGGGGGGAAAGCATAATGGCATTGGGAAATGCGTAGTTCTGGCTCCTTGATGCATCATTTCCTATTCTTTGAACACACATGCAACAGATATTCAAAGAGAACAAGAATATAAAAAGAAAAAAAAAAATATAGAAAAACATACAACAGCAGGGATTCGCTGGTGGTCACCCACCCAACTACTAACCTGCCGGCGTGTGGCTTAAGTACGGCTGAGCGGACGGGAAGCCCTGTTCTCCACACCCTGTGGTCGTATGTACTGGAAATAGCATATGAGGGGGTTATATAGGAAGTCAGAGACGACCACGCAACACCCTAGCCTGCTTCTATAAACGTGGCAAAGATCCTTCCAGCCCATATAATGGATCCAGTGGAGGAATCGGCACCGCATCACTAAGATCACCCAGAACCCCCGTCGGGTCAGAACCCAGAGCGTAATTCATATCGAAGCGATGGTTTGTCGAATCCAAAATCCCCTATCTCTGTGTCAGTAATGCACCCAGACACGCCAGTCGATCTTACATTGGGGTAAAGACCAATGAATTCATAATCATCTCATGAATCCACCGCGGCGTGGCATATCCCTGCCTGTTATTGTTAGTGTTTTTTTTTTTTTTTTTTCTCCTTCTTCCCTCATTGATTCAGAATAAACCGGTCTACATACCGGCAGTACAAACACGTCGCCTTTCTGCACACTCAGCTTCATTCCGTAGGGACGGCCTTGGTCATCAAATTCTAGATCTTTCGGTCCAACGCCCAACATATACGTTGATCCGCCCTGGATGATCCCATAGTATTCATGACATTGTGTGTGGAAATGAGGAATCTTGTATCTTTTCCGCTATCCGCCTTTAATCCAGCCATTCGGCTCAATAATATTCAGGATGTTTCGGGGGCTGGTATCTTGCAGTGCATTGCGGTAGACGAGGATTGGGAGGCTGCTGTTTGGTACGTGAGGGGTTGGGGCGAGGAAATACTGCTCTGGCACGACTGGTTTGGGGGACATGGTTGATTTGCATGATGATTTTAATAGTTGTTGCTGCTTTCTCCCTCCCTCGTGTTTTCAATTTCGCTTATTCTGCTGCATTTACAGTTTTGACCAATGGAAGAGATTTTCGGCCGTCAAAATGCCGAATGTGCTGATCTGGATCTGGAAAAATCGGAAAGATCTGCCTTGATTGATACCGACTATTGAAATCGATTTACCGTCTGCTGTATTCTTCTGTTCCAACTGGCCCATGAGATGATCAACGGCAATACTATAGGGCACTAATACAGAGCTGAGATTTAAGCTGAGATTCAAGCGGAGCTTTTCCAAGAGATCGGCAAACACTCGATATTATTGCTTCTTTGGGAGGGCATTATTACGTTGTTTCTCCCCCAGATCTCAGCTGACCAGCCCACGGCGTTCTAATAAATAGATCCACGCAGTCCGTCTTTGGACTGTATTCTTCTTTACTTGTCCTTGTACCTTGAACAATTCTTCTCATTTATCGCTTCCAAATTTCAATATGCGCTTCACTCCTATTCTGATGTTCGCGGCGTTCGCAGCTGCTTCGCCCCTGACAGCCCGAGACAGCCCATGCGACCAAAAATCCTTTCAATGCTGCTCGCAAGTAGTAAACCCATCCTCACCTGCAGCCAGCGCTTTAATTGGATTGCTTGGAATCTCTGCCCCGACTTCCGGGGAGGTCGGGTTGACCTGTAAGTCTTCCGGCTACTCTTCTGTATGGTTATGATCTGACATGCCCTCCCAAACCAAGGTTCTCCACTCAGTGGCACGGGTGACTCGTGCGACCAAAAGCCTGTGTGCTGCGATGATAACAGTGTAAGTATCACATCCTAATGGCGTATGAACACGGGACTGACATGCACATTCACCCCAGTACAATGGAATCATTGCTTTGGGCTGTACCTCTGCGAGTGCATAAGGGGTTGAAGGATGTGAAGAGAACATGTATGGACAGCACCTCATAATTAGAGCGGGCTATCACCATTATAATCATTAAATAAAGCTCCCTGTCCATGTGTGCTGTAGTCAAATAAGAAACCAGACCAGAGCCAGGATAACGATGTGCAAATTAAAGTACGAACCACAATGCAGTCTCTACAGCATCTTCTAGTCTTTCCCTCTTTCATGCATGCTTTGAGTCAGTCTGGTTCAGCTATACACACCCGTCTAACTCGCTTCCTCAAGCAGGATTTCGAAATGTATTAGCCCTATTTATCTACCACCTCCCATGGCAGGTAAGGAGTTTGTCTGCTGCCAGGAAAGAAATTTGGAATGCCATCGCGATGGTGGAATAAAGACGTGTTCCAGCCATATGATCATACTCATGAATATGTTGAACTTGTCAACCAGGAGATTCTATCGTCGCTGGGGCAATATGTGACATCTTCTTGGTCAAATATTCTGGGCCTGGCCGTTTATGAAAGTCAAGGTTTCTAAGACTTCCCACAACGACCAGCTGCTCATATTCATGGCTCAAGAAACTTGTTCAATATTTCAATTGACTGTGAGGCTTGATTCCTGCGATTGGCCTTCACTGCAACCTAACCAGCAATGAAAGTGCCCAATTCATAAGCCGTCGCGTTCAGTGAATGTCTTCATCTTCTTCACGTTGAATTTGTCGTTGAGAATTGATCCCACCCTACTCCAATATGCTGTGATGATGTACCACGGTGCCAGTAAACAGCCACCTGCTAGTATTAAAACCGTTTAAATCTATCGATCAAGAATGATAATAATACCAGAACCAATAAAAGTACATGAAATACATAATATATATCCAAAAAAAAATACAACAGCAAGGTGTAAGGTGGTGGTCACCCAAATCCGCTCACCCTGTCGTCGGTGGTTCGTCGCCCTATTCAGTCGCCCTTCAGGAAGATCCAGGCAACTCTTCACCCATATGGATATTCTTCACTGTAGAAATAGATAGCGCCTTTGTGTAATTTTATGATGAGGAGGTTTAATTCAAGTACAGTGATATAAATACTAGATGATCGTAAGCCTCTGCTGTACACGGGTAAGGTGACTCGGTCTGGACCCAATTCGAATAAAATTGATGTCGACAAGAAGCTGGACTGCACCAAGTGGCAACAGAAGCTGAACGGCATTGACGATGTTATTCAATGGCAACATGTGGACTCGCATCACTGGTCAACCGTTATATATCCTGTTTCTAGCCAACTGGGTGTGTGGTGAGGACACAACTAGTCGCTCACAAATAATCAAATGAATACGATATCCGACTAAGGTATACATAGACTAGTACAAAAAGTGGTAATCATTATTATTTGCCGATGCGTGTGCTAATACAAATTCAAGTTTCGACCGAAACCACCATTATTAAATCCGTCTGTAAAGAATTAAAAACCTAGATATCGCAAAATGACCGCAGGTGTATGCAATCTTAACTGCTCGTTTCCGTTTTATTTCAAAGTCTTCCGTGTTGGGATGCGAGTTCAAAAGAAGGTGCAACGTGTCTAAGCGGCCATTTTCAGTTGCTCCCTCAATCGCAGTTCGACCATTCTCTATTGCCGGAGCCCCGTTTATATCTGCACCCAGGCCCAACAGGATTATGACAATACGGATATTCCCATTGATGGCAGCGCCCTGGAGGGCAGTCAGCCCGCCGAAAGGAGCCGCGGCAGCATTGACATTAGCACCGTGCTGGATCAGATATCGGGTCATGCTGAGATTGCCGGCAGTTGCGGCCTCTTGAAGTGCTGTTCTGCCTCGCCGTGGACTGGGTGGTGCATTTATATCTGCTCCTCTCTGTACAAGCAGATTCATTATTTCGTAACTACCAGTGGAGATCGCAGCTTGGAGTGCAGTCCTCCCTCCTTTGGCATTTGCGGGAACATTGACGTCTGCTCCCCAATCGAGTAATGATTGCACAATATCAATATTCTTGGATTCGACTCCTGCTTGAAGTGCGGTGATCGGCCCTAGATCTTCTCGATTCCAGCAGTGGTTAATGTCAGCTCCTGCCATGAGCAGGATTTGGACGAGATCAAACATTCCCTTGGCAGCGGCAATTTGAAGTGGGGATTTCAGTGAAGGCGCGCTGTTGACATCGGCCCCCGCCAGAAGAAGTATATTGATCATGGTCGTGTCTATGTTCCATCGAGTGTTCATATCCTGCTGTAAGATACGCGATCGAATCTTTGCGTCCTCCCTAATGACCGCCGGGTCTTCCTGAAGAAGCAGTTGGACCATCTGCACATCTTGTGTTGATACTGCAGCCTCGATCACCGAGGTTCCATTGGAGACAGCTGGTTTGCCTCTGATATCACCCCCATGTTCTAGAAGAAGTCTCACATTGGCGATAGATTGGATCCCAGCAGCCTTCTGCAACGCCGTTCGACCACAGCTCCAGTATGCAGGCGCATTGACGTCGGCACCATATTCCAGCAAAAGTCTGACAAGTTCTTGGTTGTCATTTCCAGCCGCCCGTTGAAGCGGCGTTAACTTTGCTAATCCAGGGGAAAATCCAGGATTTGGGCTGACCCCCTTTTGCAAGAGCCATTTTGCCATCTCGTAATCTCCTTGCTCCACAGCACTATGAAGGGCAGCATGTTTCTTCTCATTTGCCTCGTCTATCTCAGCCCCTGCAGCGAGAAGACGCTGTACCATTTCAGACCTTGCTTCATTGTCTTGAATTCGAAGCGCTCTCTGTAGAGCCGTTCTGCTGTCGAAGCTTGGGGTTGCATTGGTATTTGCTCCTGCCTGCAACAGGATATTCACAGCTTCAATGTTGCCAGCAGATACCGCACTTTGGAGAGCCGTCTGGCCCTCTTCAGGACTGGCTGGAGCATTTACATCCGCCCCCTCATCAATAAGGAGGGTTAAAATGTTTGTGTCCTCATGCGCTGCCGCAGCCTGAAGAGCAGTTTGCCCTGCGTAAACACCTGCCGCAGCATTGACATCTGCCCCCTTCTTCAGCAGTATCTGAACCAGTCTTTCATTGCACACCATGACGGCTATTTGCAATGCCGTATGGCCATACTTTTTCTTCGGCCTGATGTCCACGTGTGCCCCTGCGGTCAGAAGCATGCGAGTCATTGTGATGTTACCCGCTCTCACGGCAGCCTGCAGAGGAGTGAAAACAGGTATCTCACCCTCGGCATAGGCTTCTTCGACTATCTCACAGATTGCCTTCTCGGGATACCTGGTGAGTCGGGGATTCACAGCAGCTCCCCCCTCAAGTAGGATCTGGACAGTTTCCCAATTCTCAAATTCTGCCGCTATGAGGATTGATGGTTTAAAGGAGAAATTCTTGGCTTTATTATCCCATGGATCCACGGAATTTCCAGATTCAGAGTCAGAGTCAGCCAATTCCGAGTCACTGTCCTCGGTGTCAGTTGACTCGTGCTTGTAGCCAGATCTCGCGTCAATGTCTGCTCCTACTGCGATCAGGAGCTCTGGGATCTCGGTCTTTGATTTCTGGCATGCAATTTGCAGCGCCGTCCCTCTTTTGTAGGTCGTGTAGGCATTCGGATTGGCCTTGGCCCTTAGAAGAAGCCTTACCAGTTCGGTATCGGCGTTATCCACGGCGGATTGCAGTGGTCTCGCTTTGGCGGGGTTCTGCGTGTAGTTGGGGTCAGCTCCCCCAGTCAAGAGAACTTGGACCATTTCCAGTGGATTGCTCCAGATATTGACCGCTTCCTGTAGAGGTGTGTTTCCTGTTAGTGCAAAATTCGGGTCGGCGCCAGCTTTGAGCAGCATCTGCACTACTGAAACATTTTTGGCCATGACGGCCGATTGGAGAGCTGTTGTGGGACAAATGCCTCCCGGTGTATCGACCTCCACTTCAGCATCAAGCAAGATACCAATTGTCTCAACATCCTCTACCATCACGGCACCCAGCAGCAAGTTCGTGGCAAAAATCTCTGCGGTAATTGTTTTCATCTGGACCATGTTTTTCAAGTAGTCGCGAAGCCCGTTGTTCGAAATCCAACGGACGAGTTTCGCAGTCATATAAGGTTCCATCATGTTATTCGACGCCATGAAAACGCAGAAATCGAAAAATCGCCTAATTACTTCGGAAGGGGAAGACTGGAACATCCCATTGGGCCCGAACGATGATCCTAAAGGACTTCCTTCGACCGTGATCGGTTCCAAAATGGAGACAATGTCATGCGAAGCTCCTGTAAGATTGCTTCGGGCGCTTTTGACACAGTCTATTATAAGCGAACTGGCTTCCTTGACTGACTGGGAGCTGATCAATGCTAGTTCAGGAAAGCTGCATGTGGCGAAAGGTGTGTTCAACTCAGGTGGTGAAGCAAGCAGTAGAATATCTTCTGAGGTTTGATGATCACCAGAGATGTCGATTATATTCGTATCGAACAACGCTGGTTCATTATTAGGTAAATTAAAATCCATATCGAAATTTGAAGGCTGGCGCTGGCCAAGAGTTGGACATCGTATAAGAGAGACTTCTTGAAATCATCAGCGCCTGGTAAGACAAGATCAACCTATTATTTACTTACCGTGCTCTTGGACATCCCGATTACCTTCCTCTGTAGTCGCACTTGGCACGTTTGCAGCAGTCTCGTGCTCTATCATCGCCGGAGGCGTGCAGATGAATACTCCGTCTGGGGTTTCAGGCCCTGGTATATGTCTAGTTATATAACCATCCCAAGGGCATATAGAGCATGACTTACCTGGTCCGGGAAGGTATTCAAAGCTGGCTGGGACATGACGTGATGTCTCTTTCTTAAGTTTGTCTTCTGTGATAAAACCTTCGTTTATATACACATTGCTATCCTTTCCTTCTTCAACTTTCCGCTTCTTCACGCGGTGGGTGGTGAACGTCCACTGGTCCTCTGTCGCGTTCTTCTTCCAGTTCCATTTTTTGAACTGATAGGTAAATTGGTTGTTGCTGTATCCGATGTCAGAAAACAAGACAGTAAACGAGACCTATAAAAAGCAATATGCGCCACTATCACCTTTTGCAAAACTGGTATTTATCTTCCATGCACTTCTTGATATCATCGACGGTTTTTCGCTCGCGGAGAAACAATGTCCGAAGCTCCTCCCGGTAATATTCCCACTCTTCATCGTGTTCCCTTTTTCGAGGCATCTGTGGCTGTATGGATTGGAGGGATATAGAAGACCGAAGGGTAGGAAGACGAGAAGTGTATTGTGCCGGGTCCTAGTCAGGCTTGAAGCTATTTATACAAAACAGAACATTGAAAAGGGGATTGGAAAATTTTCGTTTCATGCTTTGATTTCATTGGATGATAACATTTCAGGGACTTGGGTGCTGTGTAGTGTCTCAGCCTTGTCTACTTGTTCAAATTACAAGGATGGAATGGTTGACCGCAAGGCTGTGTAGTGCTGCTATTGGCCCTTGCCGACACGGGTGATGTTTGAGAACAAGCAAACATATATTTGCTCTCATTGGTTGATGCCACATTGGAATTTTCGGTTTGTAGGCAGCAGCCTGTTCGATCCAGCTTCGGAATACCTGGCTATAACTTTGATTTCTTTGCGTTGGAACATCTCCGCCTTTTGACACAGCCCTCTGAAATACTTTCCAATTGCGTCCGTCCGCAGTATACCCAGAATTCAAAAACCCGTCTTTCTTTTCGACGCCCGAGAATCTGTCACTCTGTAAAGCAGCATATTTAAAGAATACAGGGATGGCTCATCACTATACCACTTTGTTTGGCCTGATCGGGAAAGTCAGCCTTCTCTGTGCCGTACTCACTTTGTCCTACTTACGATCCATTGCTCGACGAGTGAAGTCCAATCGGAGTTGCTTGTGTCCGTGGCCTTTCCAATCGCTCTAGATTTGTCTTGAGGTCTTGTTGACTAAAGGGGGAAAGCAGAAATGGCCCCTATGTTCTGGCTCTGTATATGGTGTCGCTTTCCGGCGAATAGGTCGAGGGCATGAGGCAGCTTCTAACAGAAATCCAGTTGGTGCGACCGCCCAAGGCTATTGAGATTGCTGTCACCAGGATTATGTTAGAGCTGTAACGTAGATCTCAGAGATGGCAATGTGCAGGAAAGGCACATGCTCTTACACCTAACCAGGAAGCAGGCTGGCTCTGGTTGCCACGGGCTTTGCATTTGGATGTCAGAAAAAGTCCGAATTTGGTACTTTTCAAGTTTCTTGCTGCCTTTCCATCACTTCTCAGATTTCTGTGAGACAATCGGTCTAGGATACGGTCCGTGAGATTACAGGTAATTTCTGGCTTTATGATAGTATGCCTTGGACACCGTCTCTTTCAAAATGAAGCAAAAATTGCATTTCTAAAATCACGATTGGACCTGTCACATATCCTTTGCTGATCCCCGAGTTTTTATTGGCTTCCTGGATCAGGTGGGTCTAGACCTATATCAATCTCATTGATATTGCTCGTATTCCCATCCATCCCCAAGGCCTTCCATCTATTTTCCCTTTTTCAACCTCTGCATTCAAAAAAAAGAAAAAAATTTTAAAAATCAAATTTAATCCTCCGCCAGCCCCGTCTATCTCAACAGACATTTGGTTTTGGGGATTGTGATCTGCCCATAGCCGCGCTGCATAGCTTGACTCATAACAGGCACTTCTCTGGGAAGATCCCTCAACATACCCAAATCGATATTTCAAATGCGAATTGTACTGGGTGTCTACCATGCTTCTCAAGCCACGCCCATGGCTCGTTCAGTGTCGCGATATCCGCCCGTTCCAACGGCGTCGTTGCAAAAAGTGCACCTGCAGGACCATGGCAAACCAGGCCAACACATTTAGTAGTGTCACTCTGTCTTCCGAGGATAGAAATTTGAGATTCAACGACACTTATGGAAGAAAAGAGGCAGTCCAACCATATGATGGTGCTCATGATTATATTATCGTGAGTTTGTCAATCGGGGTGCGGTGGGTGACACGCCTCACTCGTCTGCCTATTTTATTCTCAAAAATAACTTGATCGACGATGAAGATGAAGTCGTTGAGCTTGATCGGGGAATACACCCCTGCAATCGTCGAGTATTGCGACCCTGGCCTTTCATGAAAGTCCGATCCTTTCCAAGACTACCTGCAATGAGCGTCGGCTGCTCATATTCATCGTCTCTAAAAACTTCTTCAAGGCTTTGATCGATTTCAGCCCTTCGTTCTTGCGATCGGTCTCTGCCGCAATCTAACTGGAAACGAATATTCCCAGTTCAGATGGTGTCTCGAAGGAATTGTCGAGGCTGGTTTCTTTTGCCATCTCAACCCTTCGTAGCCGGTTCATCGCAGAATCGAAAAAGTTCGCCACGTCTTTCAGGTCTTCGAGAGCCATACGCTGCACATCTGTAACTTCAGGTCTTGGCTTGTACAATGCATCAGTTCTTCCTGCGCGGATATGTGCTGCGTAAAAGACTTGACTTGGGTTTCGATCAGTCCATCGGGCGCATCTAGATGGTGTTTCCGCATGTCGTCTTCCCGCATCGATACTCGGAAATGATATGCTGTGTATTTTTTGTGACCTCCACTGATAAAAAGGCCCTCATCCATGTCTTCATTTTTTTCACATTGAACTTGCCATCGATTATGGACTTTACCTTGGTCCAATTTGCCGCATAGCAAAGAACGATGCGAACCCCTGCGAGATCAACAATATCCTCCATGCCAGCATACGCATGACCCCGTGCTTCATACACTGAGTTATAACACTGTTTTCCTCCACGTCTTTCATAGCTGCGATGGTTGCCACTTTGCAATGATTTTCAACCGGCTGTGTGGTACAATCAGGCTGTCATAGGAGCCCGTGAGTAGCGCCTTGCAGGCCAGACCTAATCGCTGACATTTACCATCCACCGATGCAAAGCATGCAGCATACTAATACACCAACACCGACAGCATACATCAATGAGTTGTCACTCTTTCCTCGATCGGCCTGTTATATTCATTGATGACTTCGGACCCTCGGAATGAACCAAGCCCACGCGATCAGAGCATCCACATCCAACGAATCTGTGGTTTCAGGTTTTAGCTTCATTTCCGTGGTGGGGTTGGTTCGTGATCAGCGAACCCGGACGCAACACAGCCTTGCCGATGAACCAGTTCACTTCTGCCCAATATCGATAATTATCATGATTTGTCGCGGATAAGGCTTCACCGTCATTTCATAATTACCCCCGGCTAACAAATATTCTGCTATTAACATGCATCAGTTCCCAGGGCAAAGAGAAAGAGATCGTTTAATTCCATTAGACACCATACCTATCTGTGTATGGAATTGATCTTGGATCAATCCCTGGCACAGATTCCAGGATAAAGTTTCCCTTGGAATGGTCACACTGCATAACAGCAGTTATTGGTACCTTAACCACCTTCCTTTTTCTGGAATTCTAAGGATGCCTATTATACATGCACGTGCACATGGAAAAAGAATCTTAACTTATCTATTCATAAATAGTATTTAAACAACTCAAACCGTTTCATTCAAGGCATACAATTTCATAGTACAGATCCACCTTATTAATGCTATATAGTATGTTTTTGTTCGTTCAGTCTCCGTGATTATATTTTATATAACTTGCGAGTGGCTAGCCACGTAACCACTTGATGAGTAGGCTTAAGTGCAGCTCAGTGGATTTGAAGGGACAATAACGAAAATATATTACGCCTACTCGGGTGACCTTCATTTATACTATCTTTATTCATTCTACTAGAAATTTCTGGCTGTTTCTTGCTTCTCCCATTCTATACAAGGTGTGTGTTTTACAATATCAAACTTTATACTTCCTACTCTGTATATAAACCCTATTTAGTCTAATTCTTGTTCGAAAGTGAGTATAACTAGTGGATAAACAGACTTTACAGTGAAACGAAAGTATTCATATTCTGGATGGAGTTGTTATAGACTTCATAATGCACATATAGTATATTTTAGAGGTTGAGCCGCCGATGACAAGAGGCCTAATGCTAGTCGTATTCTTGACTATACTCGCTTATTTTGTATAGGCCGCTTAGAATAGCACACAAGCCATTTTGTTGAGATACTTGCCAGAACAAAGCCTTCATGACATCTTCCCATGGGAATTGCTCGTCAACAAGAGCTTAGCGGGGGTCGATAGGGTTAACAGACACGTCACCGTGTCCTCAGGTATGGGAAGATTCAGAAGCACCAATGAAAAAATTTTCCAGTCGTCAGATGGGCAGATCCATCGGAAAGATCTGCGATGATTGATACTCTGGTCCTCCCCGGTGACTTGTTAGTACAGTGGGCCAGGCGGTATATCATGAGCACAATACCGCCTCTCTTAATAGGAATAGCCATTGATGATAATAGCTTAGTCAGATATATAACAATTTGTGAATGGCTAAGGTGGAAGTAAAGTCCGGCAGAAATATGTATTTAAACCCCTGCTAGTATGGGCATAAATTACATACTAACAGAATCATCGGGGGGGACCGAGTACGTACTGACTATTGAAGTCGATGGGTATGTATCATGCGGTGTATCATCGCATCCTAATTGGCCTAGATAATTGTTGATGGAAATACTATGGGGCATTGTTACGGCAGCTGCAGCTGGGTTTCAAGTGGAGCTCTTCCAAGATCAGCAAACACCGAATATTATTACTTCCTTGGGAGGGCATTGTTTTGTTGTTATCTGTAAGTATCATATACTAAATGGCTTATAAACAAGGGACTGACATGCATATTCAAATTCTAACAAGGAGCCCTTGCTTTGAGTGGGTTGTTCCTCCATATGTATCTAAGGGTTGGTGGATATCACACTAGTATATAAATGAAGATAGCATGTGTGTTATTCTTATCTTTCAAGCCGAGTTAATACCGCATACATTACACAGATGTGATAAGTTAAATGTGAAATGTAGTGACGAACAGAGAACCACTAAAAGTGGGTACCAGATCAATAGTTCGGCAATCAACTGATCAAGAGTTTAAAAGTGAAGATATTCCAAATTGCATAGCTGAATCGGGAAGGACCTCGCAGATTAGTAGTTCTTGACTCATTATGCCCTTCAGCTGAGGTGGAAGCGCCACCTAAGATGATTCATTCGTTCCAATCGACGATAAGTCGATGGTAGGCCGATCATTCGGCAGCTGAGATGATGACAGTGGGGACTTTGTGGGCCATGAAGATGTGAGTCTCTTAGCTATTGGGCAATCTCTGTGTGTTAGCTCGAACTATTGCCTGCTAGTTGGCAGACACGTCCATGGCGGTGGAAACGAGGGATCTGCGAACTGCCCAGTGTAAAATATTTATCACTTATCATGTTTCAACTGAGTTCTCTTCTCTTGTTTTCATCTGCCACTCTCACCTCCAACTTATCCTCACCACACAATGGAGCAACGAATCGAAACCAAATCCTTCATCGGAGCCAAACCGCCGACTTTCGAGCCCATCACTCTGTCCGCATTGGATCATCTCCTATCGCCCATTCATCTCTTCGCCTACTTTACATTCCACGTTAACCGTCCCTCAGACGCCATTCCTGTCCTTGAAAACGGTCTCTCGCGCTTATTCGATGCCCTCCCTTTCTTGACCGGAGATATAGAGACTCTACCGCATTTAAACGGCAAACAGAATGTGATGCAAATGAGACCAACAGACGCAGTGACACTGGCCGAGTCACCAATGCTCCGCATCGTGCACCACCAAACCAAAGCATCCGCTGTCGAGCGTGATTCCGCCGAGCACACCGATTACGTCCCCATTCCCATTCCGATGATCGCCCCCGATCCAAGTCCTGTCGCTCGGTTCCAGGCAAACATAATGCAAGACGGTGTCGTCCTTTGCATGGCTTTCGACCATCGAGTGATGGATGGCCTGGGGGTTATTGCTATCCTGGAGTCGCTGGCTGCGTGCTGTCGGGGAGATGCCGCTCTCACCACCATGGCCTCGCAACTTCAAAAGAAACAGCAGATTGCATCCATCACCAGCTCAACACCCTTTCACGATCAAGAAGGGTTTGGAACTGAGCCCAGAATCCCGGTGCATCCGATCAGTCGCAAGTTCTCACTCTCTGCAGACAAAATCAGCCAGCTCAAGAAAATATGTAACTCGTTGACTCCTGCCGGGTCAAATATTTCTTTAACAAACGGTGACATTGCCGCCGCGATCATTTCGATATCCGTCATGCGCGCAATCCAAGAAGCGTCACCGTCCCTACCCAAAGACGCAACTGCCAAAATGAACTACATCGTCGATGGTCGCTCCATCCTTCAACCCCATCTGGGCCGTTATATCGGAAACACCTTGATGCCGGGCCGATTGTCCTTTTCCCACGACGCCATGAAGCGCAATGCCTTGAACGATCTGGCGGACATCTCGCTCATCTACAATGTTGCATCGTCACTCAGATCAGAAGTCCAGTCAATCTCCGCGGAACAGATCTGCAGCCTTGTCTCGCATATCAACAACCTGGACGACTGGGGCTCGTTCCAAGGGCAATTCCCTGACTTTTTAGTTAGTAGTTTGCGTGCTTTTCCTGTGTATGCATGGGACTGGGGACATGTGCTCGGCAAGATGGCCAATTTAGATATGCCTGATCCGCGATTAAATGGGGCTTGCTGGGTGATGCCTGCTAAAGCAGTACCTGGGTCCAATAAAGCACCTCCGTATGAATTGAGGATCGTGCTGGAGGAGCGGATCATCGAGTGTCTGCGGAGAGAACCTCTTTTCTGCTGGGCATCGGATGCAAGTCAAACGAATGGGTCTGCAAAGCTGTGATTTACCAAAACACTAGACTATGGTTGGTTGTAAGTATAATAACAGAGTCTATGTGAACGGATGGATAAACCCGAACCGAAAGGTGGAGCAGCCACGATTCCCTGTTGTTTGGAGCTGAGCCACTAATCCTTCGGATGGCGGCTACAAAGGAAGCCGAAGGAAAATGAACATATCGTACGATGAGGTTGACGCGGGAGCCTATCAGCTGGACTGTATATATAATGAAGAGAGTAATAGACATAGATCCAATCTAGTTTATGATATCTCGACTGCAAATAAATATATTCAATTGTTCATTTTGGAGCATTCCATCGCAAAGGGTAAGTCCATATTGACCAATGAGAGCGAAGATAACTAATCAGCCCAAAAATAGAGGCCCACTCAAAGCACCTTTTCCGAAAAAGGAGACCTGGGAACGACCATCCATATTGAGTATCACAGGAGAATGAGTATAACAGACCCATTCACTCTCATCCTCGGCATTTCTGCCATCTTTATTCTTTATGTCGTCGTCAACCGTCCCAAAGTCGATCCCCGCGAACCACCACTCATCAAGCCGAAAATCCCCATAATCGGACATTTGCTCGGCGTCATTCAGCATGGCATGCCTTACTATGCAGCTACATAGTATGTTATTGTCTACCTATATTGAGCATCCCATTAACGAATACAGCGCAAACAACCCCCAACCAGCTTTTACTCTGGACCTCCTCTTCAGCAAGTCATACGTGATCAACACACCCAGTCTAGTCGCAGCCGTGCAGCGCAACTCCAAGATCATCTCTATGGATCCGTTCATGACGTTTGCTGCAAAGGCTATGGCTGGTGTCACTGGTCCTGGACTCAAGTTGCTGCAGGAGAAGGATTCCGGTGGAGGAGGGTTGAACCAGGATGTTGTGCATGCGATGAGTCCGTCTTTGCTGGGTGCGGGATTGGACCCGATGAATCGCACTATGATTCGCAACTTGATTGGGTTTATTGATGATCTGAAGAACCGTGGGAGTACCCAGTTTGACTTGCATGGGTGGTGTCAACATGCTATTACCATTGCCAGTATGGACTCCGTGTATGGGCCGTTGAATCCGTATCGATTAGAAGAGATTGAAGAAGCATTATGGTATGTTACTCTATCTTATATCATGTATGCATACTGATGAACAGGGACTATGAATCAAACCTGGGTGGTCTTATCCTGAATATCATCCCCCAAATCACCACCCGCAAAGCATGGAAAGCCAGAGAAAAGATCGTCGCTGCCTTTGTCAACTACTACAACGCAGATGGCCAGAAAGACGCATCCGAGATGACACACGGCCGATGGAAAACACAGCACGACGCCGGCGCCAAAACAGAGGATATCGCCCGTCTGGAAGCTGCAACGGGCATCGCCATCACGTCCAATACGACCCCTGCGACATTCCGGATGTTGTTTGAGGTTTATTCTCGACCGGAACTGCTTGAATCGCTGCGGGAGGAGATTCTCACCAAGGCAGTTCGCATTGAAGGAAATGTATACACCATTGACCTCGCTGCTATCCGCGACAACTGTGCCCTGCTTCTGTCCACATACCAAGAAATCCTTCGGTTACGATCCAACGCCACGCCTACGCGTCAAGTAAAGTCTGACATCCTCCTCGCCAACACATATCACCTCAAAGCCGGCTCCGTCCTCCAAATGCCCACTCAATCCGTCAACTGCGAACACGGCAACGGCCCCCAACCAGACTTCAACCCCCGCAGATACCTCGCCAAAGACGAGCAGAAACTCAGATCCACAGGGAATCTATTCTTTGGCACATCGCCGAATATGTGTCCTGGGCGACACTTTGCTACGGGCGAGATTCTGGCCATGGCGGCGATGATGTTTTTGCGTTATGACATTTCCTCCGTCACAGGGTGGAAAGAGCCAAAGTTGAATACGAGGGCTCTTGCTGCGTCGATCTTACCGTTGGATGAAGAGTTTCCGGTTACTGTGACTGTGAGGACGGAGTTTGAGGGGGTGGAGTGGAGGTTTGATGTCACGGAAGGGAAGGGGAAGTATGCGTTGGTCACAGGTTGATTGCGTATAATATATTTTTTTTTTATGTATGGCATCAAAATTCAGCAGACCCAAATAAACCTGGAAACATTAAAAGGCCGTTATCCAGAGCATGGACTGGCCAAATACCAGGAGAGTTCAAAGCCGATCGTTCAATCACAGACTGACTCTGCACGCAAAAGTAACATGTAGGAGGATGGTGTACATCGTCTGCAGACCATCCAAGCAGATCGTCCGAAGGGCAACCTTCCCAAGGATATTCCTCTGAAACCATCTCTTTCATCATCCGGCAGATGTCGCGATTCACCACAAGCGATCTTATTTCGGGCATTTTGGATTGGATAAAGGTAGTGACTGAGTCTGGAAGTATAGTATCTCCATCGATGTCGGAGTATTGGAATGGGATAGACTCAGCCAAGGCATCAAAGACATCCCGTAATACTTCGGCCTGCCTCCAGTGTTCGGAAAATACAGCCAGAATGACCGAACATGTTCGAATGGTTGCTGATACATTCCGTGAGTGGTAAACAACAGACCTGGATGATGGTGGAGTAGCCCAGAAGCAGTATAGAAGAGTGATACCAATTCCGAATTGACTAAGGAGCTATTAGATATGTTAGCATAGTCAATCCAATGCAAATAGCAGATGAAGGCTTACCCCCGGCCACAACTGCGCTGTCTGCCGATTCTTTTGATACTGCCGAAAGCACAAGGCAATTTCCACACAGGCCTGTATACAGGATTCTCCCACTAACCCACGCACATTACTCTTCGTCGGTCTATATAAAAGCAGCACGGTGTAGTTATACGCCATACCAACCCACCCTTCACTCGTATATCCCTTCGAGGATGGATCACTATGTCGTTGAAGTTGGTTCTTCCATTGATTAAGTTCGTCAAGTATGTGGAGACGCCAGTTATGAGAATGAGCCCACTGCGTTTCGTAATCATGGCGCATCATCAGACTCAGTATTCGTGATTGGATTCGGCGGCCTCGGATGAGATGGAGAGCAGAGGAGACTTGGGTTCGTCGTGGGGTTGATTCTATTTCTGAGTTGGAGTGGGATCTTGTCCAGGTTTTGAGCTCGTTGTCATTGATGTTTGCGAATAGCTATTCAGTTCAGTATACTATTACGATGTAGTCTTCCAGGAATGCTAACCTCAACATGGATATTATCATCTGCAAGACTGCACGGGACGTGATAGATCCAGCTGACAAGCCGATCAATAGCATAAGCAGACCAGAATATGCGGCGTCGTGATTGCACTTCAAGGGCCGTAGATGCATCAGTAATATCAGGCTCAGCACTAGCAAGATGCAGCTCAGCAACAGCACAGCTGCGCATGGTGGCGGATATCATAGTAAGAACGGTCTGCGAAGATGGAGAATGAAGGGCATGAAGAGTACACATGAGATAGGCCTGAACATGTAGAACAAGGTCCGGATTGGCCAAGACAGACCCAAGCGATGATGTAGCACAGGAGTATAGAGTCTATATCGTTAGATATAGGCTTGACTAAGAATGTGGTGTTATACCTGGGAGAGCTTCATTTCATCTGGAGATACCTGGGGTGTGATCAGGAGACTAATAGAAAAGACCTAGAGATTTAGCTTGTTCATTTATGCTAAAACGAAGACAGTACTAACCATATTCACGAAGAATGATTTCCATTTCTCTTCATCTGGTAGTATTCTACCATCTTTCCACGAGCTATACCAGTCCTTGAACGTATCCTGATGTAGGGATGGATATCGTGGATTTACACGCTCGAGGTATGTCTGAATTAGATCATGCTCAGTATGATCAGAAAATGTGGGATATTCTCCCCGCTGTTGCGCAATATATGGATTAAGAGCTGCGATGGGGTGATTCAATCCCTCCCGGCAATACGACTGGGTCGTGGCCGGTGGTTGATTAGTAGGAGAATGAGGTCTTTGTTCTGGGCTTTCTGGATGGGCTGTCGGTATTGAGCCACCATTTCGCAAATTTGACTGCTGTAATTCCCCCTCTAACTCGCGTACGCGCTTTTCAAGTGTATGTGCATATCTTGATAGTCAGATCAACGAATATAAATATCAAGATACTAACATACTCTGCATTTACACGAGCCCTTTTAGATACGCCCTCATTAGAAATACAAACTGCAATTTCTTAGCTTATACGACTACCATGGACACAAGAGTTGTTCCTACCTGCGTCCGATCGCGCACAATTATCGCAGGGTCGATTGCGATTACACTAATGCTAGATTAGGATATGTATATTGTCATGTACAGACAGGTTCAGTCATACTTTCTGCTTGCGAATGCGACATCGCTGACAGGCTAGTACTGTCTGCCTTTGTGCGTTATTAGTTCTCGTTGTCGTTCTTGAGCTATGCATGATAGCTGAGATCTAGTCATAGTTCACATGGATTCAATTGATTTGATATTGAATAGTCACTTAGCGTGCTATTTAATAATGACTCAAGGAGTGTAGTTTCATCCTGCTTTTTTGGCATCCGAAATTTGACGGAGCTAGTCCTGATCGGGATAGGTCTATACTATATTCAGAATGGTCAGGTGATTTATTCGCAGAGAATGAAGATAGGCACATGTATAGAATCGCTAAATTTTGCAGTTATACTGGTGCTCTAGAATCGATATAGAAAGACCAGTGACAATAAATCATAATTATGACTTTTTGCGGCATTTTACTCAATCCATGCTTCTTGGTTTGGCTGACACATCATCCTCGGAGCACTTTGGCCGTTTACTCTCGGACGCGGAGAAGCCTCAATGTGATATCTTCAGGCCTTCAAGTATTTGTATGAAAAATATGCAATTTGATTGGGAAAGACATATTCATCAATATATGTCATCTCGCCATCCTGCAAAGTGTTAAATATTACCGAATTGCATTCTGTCCACGAAGGACTCTTCGGGCTTTGACCCCGTCGGAGGAACAGCGGCGAAAAAGCTCCGACAGCAAAATATATAACCCCAGTATTTCCCCGCATCATTGCAACAACCTCCAATGAACTATTGTCTCAATTTCATACAAGCCCCATAAGAACCAGCACCAAAATGCCCAAAACCCTCACCGTGGGCGTCGCCCAAGCCCGCACCCTCTCCTCGCTCCCAGCCACCCTTTCCGCCCTCGAACGCATCACTCAGCACGCTGCAACCCAAGGCGTCCGCTTCCTCCTCTTCCCCGAAGCCTATCTCGGCGGCTATCCACGCACCTGCGACTTCGGGGCCTCAGTGGGCGCACGCGCCCCGCACGGCCGTGACCAGTTCCTCGCTTATTTCCAATCTGCCGTTGACCTGGGCGATACGCCTGCTGGGGCGGGCGAGGACTGGGTTGAGCGACGACTTCCTGTTGCCAAGGGGAAGGAGTATCGGGGTGATGGGACGAGGGAGTTTTTGGAGAGAGTTGCGAGGGAGACGGGGGTGTTTATTGCCACTGGGGTTGTGGAGCGGGCGGGAGGGAGTTTGTATTGTGGGTTGGTGTTTGTCGATCCGAAAAGGGGGGTGTTGGGGAAAAGGAGGAAGGTGATGCCTGTATGTTCTATCTGGATATTTTCAGGGAGTATTGCTGACGATATAGACTGGCTCGGAACGATTGGTTTGGGCGCAGGGCTCGCCGTCGACACTGAAGGCCGTGACGGCTGAGATTGACGGTGTCACTCTGACTATTGGTGGTGCTATTTGCTGGGAGAACTATATGCCTCTGCTGAGACAGAGTCTTTATTCTCAAAACGTCAATCTTTACCTCGCTCCCACTGCTGACGGCCGTGATACATGGCTGCCGTTGATGAGAACTGTTGCTGCAGAGGGCCGTACATTTGTGCTGTCTTGCAACCAGTCTGTCAGATACAACGAGTTGCCCGAGTGGATCACGGATCATGCAACAGAGGAACAGAAAGGTTTGTTCCATTCATTCTGCCATATAGATTTCATCGGTATAGGTTAACATATTTTAGGCTCTCACTACATCTCCCGCGGCGGTTCTTGCATCGTCGATCCTCTTGGCGCTGTGATCGGTGAGCCTATCTGGGAGGTATCGACAGATGATACACTAGACTCATCAGTCAACAATGACGGTTTGGTTATCTCACGGATTGACCTGGAGGACTGTGACAGAGGAAGGCTCGATCTGGATGTGGCAGGAAGCTATTCGCGTAACGATGCGTTCAAGCTAACTGTGGAGGGACTGGATTTGAATCCTCCTCCTTTGTAAGGAATCTTTGCAAATATATTCATTTATATTTTGTGTACATATCATCAACTCAATAAGAATTTGATCGAGGGTAGTTTAACCGGTTGACAATGAATGTCCTTCACGCTGGAAATATTCCTATCGATACTTCCAGGCTCCGGCCATGTATCCCTACCAGTGCTGAGGGGGATTGTATGTGCGTGACAGGATTGCTGATGATCTTGAGGTAAATATTGTATAGGCACATAACCATGAGAGGGGAACCCTTGATGACCTGGTGGCGAAACTGGCGGAGAGACTGGAGGGGAAACCGGTAGGCTAGTTCCATAGTAGTCCGTATTGTATTGTGCTTCCGGAATTCGTGAGACCTGTGAAGCTTCTAGGGCTTTCTGGGCTTGTTGCTTCCTCTGTAGCTCAATTGGCACAGCGCGGTTGCGTCGCTTAATGATGGTCGACCAGATCACGCGTGGTCGGTGGTAATTGTGCGATTTAAGGAACAGGCCTGTGTGAATTAGCAGAGAATGACGAATATCTAGGATGGAACATACCGCACGCATTGCAGATGGGATTATCGTCATCATCCCGTCTCCAGAGGGGGGTCGTGGTTGTGCCACAATTGTAGCACCACCCACCCAGAACAACATCATTCATTGGAATGATGCTGACTCCATGAGAATACGGGTATATTGGTGGAGATGGATATGGAGGTGAAGGTGGGTATTGTGCGATTTGAAAAGGTGGAGCCTGGGGTTGATATTCACATTGCCCATAACAGGCAGGCTGACCAGCAGGATGACATTCTTCTGGACTGGCAAGAGGCTTTGGACGCTTTTTATGTGACCGTCGAGTCTTGCTGCCTTTCATGAAGATACCGCACGCGTTGCAGACAGTTTCACCTGTTGATGACCGTCGCCACATGGGCGTGGCATTAGTGCCACAGTTGCTGTGAAACCAGTATTAATTAATTGTACCCGATTACAACGTTATCAATCAGCGTACCTGCATAGCCGTCGAGCGATAGTTGATGGATCCATTGTGAAAGTATACTTTATCTGAAAACAACTCACAAAAGCCGGCCAGACAACGGATCTTATCTTGACGGCAGACCAAAACGGCCGGTTTTCTCTCGGTGGGTGAGATGCAGGCTGACGATCCCCTGTCAATCATGTGTCCTTTTGGCCAAGTATACGAACGCCCATCATTGGATTGCGTACGGCTGTTGTCCAGGATAAGCTTTTGGAAGATCCCACTGTGATCTGCATCTGATAATTTAGGGTTAAACATTTACACTATATCCGTTTATCATGCCTTGCCTGTGGTTTTTGAGCAATAGCCGTTCATTCGGACATTCCCCCGCGATAATCAGGACTACATCACCGACTGCTGTTAATAGTTCTCGGTGAGAAGGGAGCAATGTCGCATCCTTGCAGCGTTGCAGGCGCGAATTACACATCACGGCCTCGATGATCACGACAACGTACTGGCTAGCATGAAAATTAATGCCAACTCTAATGCAGTCGACAACTCCGCCGCCCAGTCGCCTGATTGATAAACAGATTGATAAGCGGGAAACCCAAAGTTTAATGAACGCCGTTTATGCAGCCGCCTCGGAAAAAAGCATCATTGGAAGGCTGCATCCCCACTCTGTCCAACAACAGGAAAATGCACCTGCCTGTGCAAATCATTGCACGTTAGGGAAATACACACGAAGACGAAACACCGGGGTATTAAACCCCCAAGGTGCTTTTTTCCATATTTTAGCAGTTTGCGCATTTGGCGCTATCTTGATAGCACATGAGGCATTTCTTGTAGGGCTGAATTTTCGGCCGAAGAAGGAATAGCCGTTGATGTCGGGTTCGGGGTGTGCTTTCCATTTTGGGCTTATGGTACATTGTTCAATTTGCATGTTCAGGGTACCCCGCACCAATATACTATGTTATCTCTCATTTATTCTATATTGATGGATATACAGAATGATAACCTGTCATAAAAGAATTGTTGTTGTCGCAGCAGTTGAGGAGAGAATAGAGAAGAGTTCCCTGTTAGATGGACGGTCCGATTACTGCAAGCGGCATAGTACAAGGCAAACCCCTCTTTGTCTATTTCGGGGCATCATGCGTTTCTGACGTAGTTGAGTCGAGGTCTTTCTTGGCCTCCTATAGGCATTCAGCAAATGTAATGCATATTCATATAGCATCGCTTACCATCTCAAAGAGTGTAGAACTGGAATCATTATCTTTACACCATACAGTATGATGCCTCATGGTATCTGTGGTACTTTGACCAACAGTTATCTGATCACGCCGAGTCTCCGCAAACTTCTTCACCGGAGATTTTATCTTGTCATGAGAAAGAGAAAAGCTGCACAGGTAGAAGTCTGTCCCACGCGAGTGATTGAGACTCCACTGAAAGGTCAGATGTACAACGCTGTAGCAGATATATTGATCACTTACCATCCTCATGATGAGAATACCAACAATTGTCCAACATCGACTCTTAAGAGCAAGTGAGATACTAGGCATCAACCATGCAACATCATAATCCCTATCGCCTACGCACGCCAAGACATGATACTATCTCATGTGACACCATAAAACAGCGATAGACAGTATGGAGCCATAGGCCAATCCTACTAAATCTAAGCTTTGGCTAAGTTTCTAGCAACAAAAACCAACTCCACTTGGGAATCCCGATTGGCCCACCCGGAATTCCCAGCTCCCATATGGCCTATGTGCAGTGGAGTTCTGACGGCTCGGCTACCCTTAACGTGTCAACGGAAAACCGATCAACGGCTAGATTTAAATGCCGCGTCAGCCCTATTTCCCAGGGTTCATCATTCATCGTTGTTTATCTGGTCTCTGCTGTGGGGGCTGGCTTAATTGGTTGGTTGCTTAGTTCAGCGTTCATCTGGTTTTTCGCGCCGGGTTGTGCGGCTGTTCATATCTCGGTTATCAGAGATCAGCCTTCTTCTGTCTGTTACTGGCAGAGAAGGGAAGTTCAGGAAACATCGGGAGAGCTTTCAGGTCTTGTGCCGCTCAAGCGATCTACCTTGGACTGGTATTCACACGAAGTACATGCATGGTAATTTTGCATAGAAGAAAACTCATAAATGGGAAGTGCATAGACACGTTTTAGTATAAATAGGATGTACAGTCTTATCATTAAAGTAGAATGAAGTATGAATCCGAGTGTTATACCGCGTAGCATAGTAGCATGACTCCCCGAGGGAGATAATAAGAATAAGTGGAGTGAACAGGTTTCATCCCAGCTAAGCATCGTGTTTTCCGAAATGAGACCCATAAAAATTTGATCGCATGACAACCTCTGCTATCTCATCTTAATCTCAATCTTATATTACAAAGCCGCGATCTGATAATCTAAGGTTTCATCAATCTTATAATCCATTCAAATTTTCAGTTACTGATGACCACACTGTCATGGCCATCATCGAAGCGGCAGACCCAATGCATCCCACTCCCCTTTGCCGGCGGAAGAATTTGCTGTAGTCGAGGAATCTACCAAGTTGAAAGACGGTGTTACCGAGCATGATGAGATATTGACAGGTGCCCAACTCTTTGGAAATACATTTTTGATATATTCTAATGAAACCATCATAGATGACAGCGACTCCGACATCACAGACCTTCTATCCGCAGCCGGCATCAACGTCCACCAAGAAGATGAGGAACCCGACGCTTCCTGTTCTACCATCCGGATGCGGGTTATCGGAATCATCTTCTGCCTGGTCAGATGCAGCGTCAATACCCTCTTCGAGCTCCGATACCCTACTGTAACACTCAAAGCGACATTGGTTTTGTTCCTGGCATACCCTGTGGGTAAATTCTTGGAGAAGGTCCCCCCCGACTGGACTATGCGTGTTGCTGGTTGTGAAGTGCGCTTGAACCCAGGCCCATTCAATCGAAAGGAACATCTCTTAATGTACATCATGTACCGTGCCATCCATCGTCTATTCTGCAGACTCCCCTCGCTAATCTCGAATGCCTTCACTCGCTCGGCCTGGACAGAAGACAGGTACACCGAAAAACTAGGCAAGATTCCATACAAAGACGTGTCCAAGTGGTGGTATATGATCACCGCAGTGCTGGCTTTGTTCCTGGCTATGTTTTTTCTGTGTTCTGGGATACGCAGTTGACATGGTATGGGGCGTTGCTGGCGGTTGTTGTTGCTACTGTTCTTACCATACTTGTGAGTATACAATCTACTATGACACCTTGCTGACCATTCTAGGCCTCAATTGTCTGTGCTTAAGCAAATACCAGAATCAGCATCGACGTCTTCTGCCCGCTTCCTCTTCCTAGGCAGCATCCTCGCCAACATCAACTTCCCCGGCTACAGCTACGTCGCACAGTCAAAGCCATGAACTTTGGAGAGGACCTAAAACTAGGAATATACTGTCGCATATGCCACCACACACCCATCTATACTTCTCATACCAATCCTATAGATCCGCCCACGCACCCTCTTCTCAGTGCAAATCTGCGGCATGATCTGCGCCGCCCTCAGCCAAGTCGGCCTCATCAGCTGGGCCCTCCACCACATCCCCGACATCTGCACCAGCAAAGCTCCAGATAAGTTCAACTTCAAATCCTCCAAAACAAATTACAACACTGCCACCATCTGGGGCGCTATCGGTCAGCAACACTTCTTTGGCGAGGGCTCAACCTACCAAAACCTGCTGTACTTCTTGCTCGTTGGTGCTGTCCCCCCATTCCCCATTTACTACTTCGACGTAAATATCCCAATTCGATGTGGAAGCATGTCCGCCTACCGCTGCTTCTGGGCGGTCTTACGCAGCTTCCGCCGGCGACGGGCACGAATTATAGTAGTTGAGCGATTGTGGGGTTGAAGTATTTGGTTATTATCAAAAGTACTTTTTCTGGTGGAAGAGGTATAATTTTGTGTTGAGTTCTGCGTTGGATTGCCCAGTTGCTGTGGCGGCGGTGGTGATTTACTTTGCTATCACATATACGGGGGCTTCGGATAAGATTTCCTGGTGGGGGACGAAGGTTCATGAGGTGAGTATCCCTATCTTTCGGGATGAGTGGTGATGCTAACTGATGTAGAATAATTGTGATTGGAATCGCTGTCCGTATAAGGAATCGGCGGACGGGCAGACTATTGATTGATCCAAGGTCATGCCTACGTATGAGTGAGCTGAGAATCTGTGGTTGTATATAGGAGAAATAGGAGAGAAAATATATAGAAAGGAATTTCGTATCAATTAATTCCAATGTAAGTCTCATAATAGTAGTGTCTCGCAATGTGTAGTCCTAACGGATAGTAAACTCCTTTACATCTGGGTCATGTTCCCAATCAATCGGTTTTTCGAGATCAAACTCTTCCAGAAAACAGTCCCCAATCATCTCATAATTCTCCTCGCCACATACTCGCAATATAAATGGATACCGTCCCGTTGACAAGTAGACAATTTGATCTCCCGGCTGAGCACGGGGTGGTGCCAGCCCCATCGAATTATTTGTGATGAAGAACCTCCGGCCATAGCAGACTGGCTCCATCAATCCAGCATAATCATCAACCTTTTCCTCGGTATCGGCCATTACATTCGACATGGAAGCAAGACGTGTAGCATTGAAATTGTCAGGGTCAGCTTGACCCACAACCCCTGTACCGTATACATCGTACCAACTAGCGAATACTGAGGCGGCTAGAGTCCTATCCGTTACATCCTTGCGCGCGATGAGTGTTTACTCAAAAGCACACCCTGTCGTCTTCCAGCAGGTATTGTATTTGACTTTTGCTGCGAGTGACTCCCATTCATAGAGCACTCTGGTGAATCCTTCACTTCCTGGAATATGTTGCCCATCTGGAACCAGTTCGCAACTAATTTCCTTCACCAGTCCTAGATGTCTTCCCTTGATTATGAGGTCCTCTTCACGGAATCGAAATTGAGGCTTCCTTCGACACTTTCTACGACCATCTCTCAAAGGCCAAGGGAGTGTCCCCGCTACCCCCGAGAGGCCGTAATCAGGAACCCAGGAACAAAGCCCACCCGGGCCTTTGCGCGGCCCAAACCAGTGAAAAATCTCAATTGTGCTGTATTTCTGGATAGCTGATTCTGTAAACTGTCGGTAAATATCCGTTGCTTCTGTGTTGTAGTCGATTGGGATCATCTGCCGTTCGAATATGCCGAGCACTCCGTAGATCCTGTCTTTTGGATCACTGGCGTGGCAGATTCTGCTGTATCTAAAAACATCTTCCACGCTTTTTTCTCTCGCGAGGAACCATAAATTTATAAGATGATGCCAACCATCGACACCATAAACCGGGTGATACGCACACTTTAATCCTTTGCGTATTATAAATCGCATAAATAGCCGATTCAATAACCCCCAAGCTTTCACATCGGGTCCACATGCAATGAGAGCTTTTTTTGCCAGGCAGAGCTCTTGGAGGACCCATGTCCGAGAAAACCATGGTCTATAGCAGACCTTCGTGAAGGCTTCTCGTTGCTCCTCTGTGTCATAATCGCCTTCATCATCTTGAAAGATAAGATGCTATTGATATGCATGCTCTCCAAGCCAAATGATGACATGTTTTGCACTTTGGTATATATCTCGCATGATTCGTACTTGCTGGTTCCGTTCTTGTATATTCTCCTGGTTGATGCAGATGGCATCCACCCACAACCGTCGACGTTCTTCTTTCCTCCGCAGTCTGAATAGAGCACTCCATAAGTTCATCGTCACACCTAACCTGCAATCGTTGACGGAAATTGTTATTTTCCGGGTTGTATTACCCCAGGCGTATGATATAGCATCATAGTCTGGTTTCTGAGAAAGATCATCCTGTACCATATGACAGCGTATCGGATCTTGGGGCGACTCTGAAGGCTCTAGCTCCAACAGCCGGATAGAATCAAATCCGCTCAAGTCGGTATATACAAGCGGCTCCATATCCTTCTCGTTCTCTACTCCACGCGGGCTAGGATACGTATATTGGGACGCGGTTTGCTGCTCCTTGCTCGCGGCATACCGTGCCTCAGCAGCCTTTCTTCTGATTTTTCTCAGACCTGCATAAGAGCTTGAGGACGGAAGAGATTGGATGCATTTTTTCGCCCGAGGAGAGTCCTTCCCGTAGCCGAGGATCACTCGACAGGCCAGGAAGTTGTTCTCTATAAACTTTCTTCCATGGCCTAGTGCATAATCACACATTTTAAGGCTTTGGGTACTGGGGCTCTCTTGGAGGATCATCTCCACGGCCTCGGGGTTGTCCGCTATGATAGCGCGTTTTAGCAGAGCCTTCCGATCGACGAGCCGCCTATTGCGTCTAATTCAAAAACAAATTTTTGAACCGACCTTTGGTTTCATAGTGGATTAGCAAATATCGTAACATCGGCAAGTGACCCTTGTCCAAGGCCACATATGCAACTTCATGAGCTGATGAGTTGACATCCGAATTCCCTCCTGTTCTATTAGATATCCCAACAACTCCACGCATCCATTTTCGACGGCGTATTCCTGTGCTCTAACCCAGTCAAGCCTGACTCCATTCTTTAATAGAAAGTTGATCACTTGTATGTCCTCACAGATAGGCACTTCATCAACTCGAGAACCTTCTTGCAATAATCTTTCGGCTAGATCCATCTGGCCCAGGATGACACTTGCAGCCAGTAAGGCGTTTCTATCATCGTCATTCACCCCAGCCACGAGAAGTAGCTCACAGATTTGCCTAAACTCAATGTGCGATGAATATCTTCCCTCCTTCAATTTGCAGAGAAGCGTCGAAGATGTGAAACTCCCTGTAACATTTCCAACCCAATGTGACTCAAAATAACACTGGGAATGTACATTCACGTTATGACGTATCAGTAGCTCAACCATTGATGCATGGCCGCCGGCGATAGCTGCATGGAGTGCTGAGCCGACCCGGTCTCTCTGGTAGATTGTGCATGTCTCAGCTATATTGACATCAATCCCGATATCGAGCAGCTTGTCAACGCTGTGTTCGTCGCCTTCATAGCACAATACGTAGAGAAAGGGAATCAAGTCTCGATTGCGACAGTCAACGGGCAGTCCTGTATCTAAAAGGCGCGTTATAATAGGAACGCGCCTCTTCATGTACGCACGACGCCCACTCCTGGAATCATAATCCCACATCGGGTCGACCATACTTATGTAGGGGCTAAGAACAACCTGTAGCAAACTTTGTTCCGCCCCAGCCCCTGTGCTGGATACTTCACCTCTGTCATTATTTAAATCGCATCTCCGGTCACACTGATGCACGGTTGAATAATCTGCACCCACATCCATCAGATAGTGGAAGATCTCGAGATAACCATGGCAGCAAGCGTAGTACAGAGCCGTACGCCCCGTGTCGTCGCGGGCGTTTATCTGCGCCCCACAGGATACCAACTGTTTAACCACACTGATCATATCTTTATCTTCCTCCAGATTGTATTCAGCCTCTGCCACATCCCCGGAAAGGGTCCAGGGAAGGATATCCGGCTCGGATGTAAAAAAATCATCCGGCAGAGCTCCACCCAGCAAGCACAGCGCGACTTCGTAACTTTCATTTTTCAAAGCCACTCGTAGAGAATGCAGCAGACGCTCTTTGAACCTCTGTGATTCCGCTATTATCTTGTAGTTGTTCTCGAGCATCTCGATTTCGTAATCAAATAAGCGACGTTTGCCCCCCGCGAAATCTTGACTGGCCAGATGTGCGAGTGCGTTTGTTGCGCGTTGGACATTGTCAGAGCCCATTTTTCGATGCTCTTGATCATCCAATTTCTATTTCTGCACAAATGTAGGGTCTGGTCGGGTGATTTGATAGGAATTTTTCGTGACTTAAATACTCGGGGGTATTTTGAGCTGACAACTCATCCGTTATGCACAATGTGTGAGGGTGATTGTTAGTTGCAGTAGTGCATCTATACTTAGAACCAATCATACAAGGCTAAATAGAGCCTGATATCTAGCCATGCAGTAACATGTGATTCCTTTTCATGCATCTATCTGGATACCTACAGCCAGGATACAAGATAGTTATACACCCTCTTCCATAGAGACGCAGGCGCATCAACCATCATCCCATACACCATCAACCCCTCCCCATTCTCCTCATATTCGCCCTTTGTATTCGCCTTTCCAACTCCTATTCGACGTTCCACTACTGTTCTAAATCCCAAGTGCTCATAGACCTTTCGTCCATGATCGGTGATTGCTTCAAGCCATACTGGAACGCCTTCTTGTTGTGCCCGTTTCAAGTACGGGTCGATTAGAGCTCGAATGACGCCTACTACATTAGCTTCTAGATTGACATTATTGAGAATAATACTCACCCTTTTCTGTTCGTTCAGGGTGTCTTCCGATGATATTCAGATACCAGTATTTCTCTCCTTGGAGGTGACGTTTCTTCTCCGCACCAAATATCTCGCGGAATTCTTTCAGCTGTGGACTGATTGGACCGTTTGATGGCATATTTACACCAGGGGGAAACCTTTTACGTCAACATAGCTCTTAACAAGCGATCAGAGGGGAATACCAAATAGCGACAGCAGCCCAATTCCCCGCCTCTACCAACTCAGCCCCATGTCCGACTCTCTCCGGAACACTCTTGTTGAACCAATTATCTAGAACGTCTGCCGGTATTTCATCAGTCCAGGTGGACTGGGGCGTTCGCATAAGCCACGAGGTAAAAGCTGATTTGGAGAAGGCGCCGGAAAGCACTTGAGCGGCTTCTTTGCCGTGTTCTGGCCCTCTTCTAGTGACGGTTGGCGCTGTGTGTGTAGTAGCCATTTTGTTCTTGAATCCAACGGTTTATTCGGTGATAAATGATGGGGACTGATGGATGAAATTCTCAAGTCGGCAATAGTGCGGGGTGACTCATAGCCGAGCAATTGCCGAATTCATGCTAAAGTGATGCCAGAGATAACGCCATAGATAAGTAGGCATGGATGATTATCATCCTGGTATTTTTCAGATGAGCGGGTGAATATGCTGCATTCAATACAAATGGACAACTAAAAGGATGTCAGGCCTGGGGCTATCACTGGAGACACAGACAATCCCCATTCAAAGTTACAGAAATATATGATGAGTTGTATCAGACTTCCAGTCGCGTCATCGTTCAAGAAGGAACCCTTGTAATATCATTCTAGACATCAAGCTTCAACAGATTTAGCCAAGAGTTTCGTATCTAAGTTAAATGAAACATCAGCAAACTAACTCTTGTTGAGATAGTTCGATAAGTGATCTCGCCAGTGCGTCACGGCTAAAAATTCGACTTACTGAGACATCAATCCATAATAAGGATATTCGATTGTCACAATTTATATATCTCTGTATATGAGTTTGCATAGACGGTTGGGGGTTCAAATTGCCGTATTCCATTTCGAAGACGTTCCGCGAGTTGCATGCATAGGAAAATTTAATGTTAGACCAATAAGCTATTAGATCTAAGATCCTTTTGTCTATTCGCAAAGATAGGCTATGTATGTAATACATTCAGACAGGCATATTTAACGTTCCTTGGTGGGGATGGCTATATATTAGCTACTATCATTGTCCACACAGTAGGCCATCAAAATCTACGAGTACTCTTTTATCATGCACAGCAGCTCAATAGGCCACCATATTCAAAAGTGTGGAACATCTTGTCGATCCACAGTCAGCTTATTCTAGCTTGAGTGCACTGTGTATGTGGAGTAACTTTATGGCATACTCTATGCACCCCCTGGGGTAAGGCAGGCAGCCTAAGAACTTGGCAAACAGTTCTCCTTGCTTGGACTCTACTGATTCATGACCATTTGACTCTAAGCGATATCTTACTTGATTAAATACCAAGAATGACTATTATATCTCATGCTATATAAGCTATAGTTATATAAATAAGTATTCTCTGGTCAGTTTAACGTATCTTAGACACAATGTAAGCAGTTCTCACAGATAATGCCATTATCCAGCATGATTAAACAAACTGACCAACACCATTGATCATCCTTGGATACGAGACGCCATGGAAAATGGCGTCCAATCATAACCCACCCACCCCAGCCTTGTGCCCATCACTGCCTATACCATCCAATTCCAGCGGGGCCAAAACCTCCCCCAACTCAATCACAGCGCGCCATTCTCCCTCATCCAACACCACAGCCAATCCTTCCCAGAATAGTCTGCAGTGATACCCTGAAAATAAAAATGCCCAGACTTTCATAGCCACGTTAGTTCCGCCCAAGTCAGCCTCTCGTCTCTTTTTTAATTTCTTCGAGACCCTTTTCTGCGCGGTCGGCCGTGTTCATGTTTACCCTCACGCTCGTTTGGTGACAAGACATGATCCGTCCTTCCTTTTCCTCGGCCCTGCTGGGGCTTCTGGCTCTAGTAGGGAGTGTTGATGCTGCAACCAGACCGTATACTGTTACCTGGTCAGAGACATCCCACGGCCCTGATGGTCCCTGGCAGGCGATTACGGTCAAGGTGGGCAGCAAGAACCAGGCTATCGATCTCTACCCTGGCGATAAATGGGATAGCAGCATCTTTCTCGACCAGATTTGCGATAACAAGACACTTTCTGAAATATGCTACGCTGAACGCGCCGGTACGTTCAACATGAACGCCTCCACCACCGAGACCCATCAGTCGGAGAGCCCGTGGATGGACCAGACCTGGAACGTGCCCGGACAAAGGCGATTCTCGGCTCTCGCTGACCGGATTGATTTTGGGCGCAAGGTCGACAATGTCAGCATCAGTGCCTTGTATGACACCTACCAGACGTATCCGAATGGAAGAGCGTATCCAGTCTCGGTGGGAACGTTGTCGCTGGGAGCACCACAGCGCTATCACACCACGAATGGAAAACAGATGAACATGATTACAGCCGGGCTTTACTTTGCTGGTGGCGGGCAGTCTATCCCGTCGTACTCGTATGGGATGCATATCGGGTCTGTGAATGCCAAGATCGATGGCTCTCTCGTGCTAGGAGGGTTTGACCAGAGCCGTTTGGTGGGCGATGTGAGCGCCCAGCCGGTGAGCACAACCGGGGTAAGTGGTGAACTGGGAATCAGGATGACCGATATTGGAATCGGTGTTGCGGCTGGATCTTCGCCGTTCGGCAACTATACCACCAAGAACGGTTTACTTGGGTCGGCGCAGACTGCTGTCATCGATCCGGTCAGACCGTACATCTATCTCCCGAAGGCGACTTGCGATGCCATCACCGCCGACCTCCCCGTGACGTACAACGAAAGCCTGGGCCTATACTTCTGGAACACGGACGATAGCAAGTACAAAGACATCACCACCTCAGCCACATATCTCTCCTTCTCCTTCTACGGCAACAACACCGCCGGCTTAACCACTACCACCATCAAGGTCCCATTTAAACTCCTTGACCTCACCCTCCAAGAACCCCTGGTCTCCACCAACACCTCCTACTTCCCCTGCTTCGCCTCCGACGATGACACCTATATCCTCGGTCGCGCCTTCCTCCAAGCAGCTTTCATTGGTGTAAACTGGAAAGACGCCAACAACGACGCAATCTGGTTTCTCGCACAAGCCCCAGGCCCAGGATTTCCCGTACCCTCCCTCCAGAGCATCGAACCCAACGATACCATGATCCAAGCCTCGCGCAGTACTTGGGAACAGACATGGAACGGCAACTGGGATCCGCTGGGTGACTCGGGCTCAGACTCTGGTCTGTCTACCGGTGCAAAGGCAGGAATCGGGGTTGGATGTGCCATTGCGGGGCTTATTCTCATTGGTGCTCTTGCTTGGGTGCTTGCTTTGAGGCGGAGACGGAATGCTGCTGCTGCTGCTACGGCTGCTCAGAGTAGTACTGATTCTCAGTATCAGACATCTTTAGCAGCTAAGCCAGCTGATCCATTGATAGCGAAGAACAGCGCGCCGGTGGAATTGGGGCCGAATGCTCAACCGCCGCAGGAGGCGCCCACGAATCAACGATATGAACTGGGTTAATTGATATATTGGTGTATAATAATGGATGTATGTAATAATAATCAACAAAAAAAGGATAATACTTTCAGACCGAGTCAGCCTTGTCTTGAGAAAAATAAAGTAAAAATAGCCCATTCTCTGATGACATCATCGCCAAGGGCGATCACAGCGTGCTCTGATTGGCCAGCGGCACATACAACCCAAAACGGAAAGGCGGATCAGCCAATCAGAGCAGCCTTCAGATAGATCTGCGCCTCAAAATATCATCAAGCAAAGTATTTATACGAGTCGAATGCCCTGAGACTATCCATACTATCTATATCATACAATGAACACAATGGAATCTACACCCAACACAGACAGTCGCACCCTCAAAGTCGACTTCTCGTGGAAGAAATTCAAAACCCTCATCACCGAACTCAACAACCCCAACCCCGACCCTCTCTACATCGTCGACTGGCAATCCATCAAAAAGCCCCATTTAATCTTCAAATCTGCCCAAAATGACTCCACCATCGGCACGTCTACCTTCCACACCTTCAGCATAAACACCGACTACGAAGTCCACGGCAAAAAGGGCATCCTCGAAGCCCAGCGTCGCTTCAAAACACACTACACCTATGATTCATATGCTTTCTCTGATACAGACTCGCCAGTCACGATGACATGGACAAGTAACTGTGGTCTGAAAACGTGGAACTTTGTCTGTGTTGATGAGCAGCAGATGCCTGTTGCGCGGTTTTCGGCGAATGTTTGGGCTGTGCGCAAAATGGGGAATATTGAGTTTATGGGTGAACGGGCATATAGTGATGCGGTCAGAGATGAGATTGTGGTTACAGGGTTGTCGCTGTTTTTCTGCATGTTGATTCGGAGTAATAATATTCTGTCTTTCTTTGGGGCGGTCTTTTCGAGGCCGGGGCATGATAAGGAGGCAAAGGTGGAATCTGACCAGAAGGAGCATATGATGTGATACAGATTGAATGATACTGCGACTGTACTATAGAGAACTAATACATCAACTGGATCGATACTTGATCCTTTTTTTCGTAATTGGTATGGCTTTGCAGTAGAACAGAACGACAAGTTGATAGGGATTCTGGTACTTTTTTCTTTAACTAATCCATCTTTGAACTCTCATTGAACTATATTCAACAGTGCCAAAAATTAAATGATATGAAGCACGTTTCGGCAAGGCTTTCATTGCAGTTCCAATCATAAGAAACCGCATGAAGCATCCGCACAAAGTAACCTTAATTTTCTATATTTCCGCAATGGGATATGCTGTGGCCCGGATATCTATCTCCGGTGTCGTAACCAATCATGATTTATAATGGCCAGTGGAGTAGTTAGAAGTCAATCCAATTCTCGAATAATTGTTTGTTGTTCCATTGCTTTCACACTACTATTTGCTCATGCTACAACAATTTCGCCACAAAATATATAATGGGGGTACCCAAACATTGCACACTCACGTTTATTAAAGTAGTAATTATAACCATGACTACATTGGAATTCATAACGACAAAGCGGCTTTAAGAAAATAAATACCAAAAACAGAAGATAAGTTACAATTGCTATCGACTGGTATGATGTCATCGCAGGATAAAGTCATGTGGGCCTCGGCCGATAACCAGAAATAAGAACCTCGGCATCCCTTTAAATTGAAACATTTCACCTTTTTCAACCTCAGGAAAATGTCTTCGATCATTGTATATGGATATGTAGGTCTTGATACACTGATGTGGATGTAATGTCGTGCAATTGCTAATCTGCTTACAGGGCGGATCGCCATATACGCAACTCGTGAAATGGTATCTCGCGCTACGAGGAATTGGCTATACAGAATGCGTGAGTCTGAATGTCCATTACGACTATCAATACTGACCAATCAGCCTCAACCGATGACGATGCCTCGTCCCGATGTGGCAGGACTGGGCGTGGGATATCGTCGCATTCCCCTGACTGCCATTGGTAGGGATGTCTTCTGCGATACGCCATTGATTCTGGATGAGCTGGAAGAGCGCACCAAGGGACAGGGAAAGCAGATCAACCAACCTTCTGGGGCAGGATTTGAGAGATTCCTCCGCCAATGGAGCGGGGATAGTCTCTTTCAGACTGTCGCTGGGATGCTGCCGTCTGATCTGTTGACGGATGAATTCCTTCGTGATCGTGCCCAGCTCACCGGGGCAACTTGGGATAGAAAGAAGATGAATCTGGCTCGTCCATTTGTATGCATACTCCATTATCTATGCGACATGTCCGCTGACGCAGACAGGCTGTATCCAAAATGCGACAGGAGTTCCACTTTGTCGAGACTGTCTTGCTGGCAGATAACAAGCAGTGGGTGCAAGGCACATCCGAGCCCAGTTTAGGCGACCTGTACGCTGTCTGGCCCTTTGCCTGGGTTGTCAGTATCCCCGGCGCATTGAAAGGAACTGATATCACTCCTGACACCTTCCCCCGCACGTTTGACTGGATTTCTCGATTTGTATCCATTGCGACCGCAAAGTCTCGCGCAATCAAGGTAAACAAGGTAAATGGCGACACCGCACGACAAACCATCCTGGGCTCTTCGTTCCGCACGGAAAAGGAGGCCTTCGATCAGGCTGATCCATGTGGGTATCATCTCAACAGTCTTGTTGATGTAAGCCCGACAGACTGGGGAAAGCACAATCCCACACGAGGCAGATTGGTTGGCCTGTCTATGCGAGAGTTTGTCCTGGAAGTCGAGGAGAAGAATGGTAGCACTTTGCGAGTGCATTTCCCGCGGCGAGGATTTGCCGTCAAGACTGTGGCGGAGTCGAAGATCTGACGATAAGCTTATATCGCCTGTTTGGATGGAGGATTATTCATATCATATCATATCATCTTACATGTATGAGATTATTCATTATTTGTGATTTGTTGTACGTACAGTTGTCTTTGCCACGATACCTGAACCTTTGAATACCATGCCACACAGTCGCATACCATAAACCAGCAATAGATTCAACAATATCTGCTCTATATAAAATGAGTATAAAATAGAATATCTAAGCTATAATCGATCTGGTTATCTGACTGTAGCGCTGTGGGCCAAGTGGCGTGCAGGGATGGCTTTTCTGCCTGTTGTAAGGCTGCCTTGTGCACAGCCTCCGCGACCCAAGATTATTTAACCATCGCCCTAGAATTAACGATGATCCGTCCTGAAACTCTCTTTTTTTTCCCTTTTTTTTTTTCTTTTTTTCTTTTTCTTTTTTTTTTTTTTTTCCCCTTAATGTTTTTCCATTCCGAGAAAAGATTCCCCGCAGTTGATAATAAACTCATTTTCAACGACAAAAACCAATTTATCAGCCCATAATGAGTTTGCCCAGTCCCATACAGGAGCCTGCGGTCACGACAACGCTTACGAATAAAACGGCCATCACTGCGTGGGAGAGGACCGATGAACATCTGGCGATTGCGACAGAGGGGGGCATCTACATCTATCGATTTTCAGACAATACATTAAATACGCTACAGCTCAAGGGGAATGCGACCTGGAGTCTTGCGTGGTGGGGGGACGAGAATGCGCTCGTAACGGGCGGGTCGGACAGCAATATTCGAATATGGGACATAGACACCAAGTGAGTCCAGACAGTTATTTATTTTTATTTATTTATCTCTCAGAATGGCTTGTTGACGGGGGGCAGATCGATAATTCGCACATTAAAAGGCCACTCCTCGACGGTGCGATGTCTCCAAATCATCAACGGAAAAACCCTTATTTCCGGGAGTCGGGACACGACCATCCGCATCTGGGACCTGACTTCGCCCTCGCCAGAGCCCATTTTAGTACTCGAGGGCCACAGCGCGACGGTTAAATGCGTGCAGGCCCATGAAGATCTGCTCGTTTCTGGCAGTTATGACCACGATGCGCGTATCTGGAATATCCACACCGGGGAGTGTCTGCACGTGCTAAAGGGCCACCAAGGCCAGATTTTCGAGCTGCAATTCGACGGAACCCGCATTGTGACCGGTAGTTTCGATACGGAAATTCGCGTCTGGGATCCTAAATCTGGGTACGTCTTTCAGATAAAAAAAATTATAATAAGAAAAAAAAAAAAAAAAAAAGAAAAGAAAAGAAAAACTAATAAATCCAGATCATGCCTTGCTATTCTCTCCGGCCACAAGGATTTAATCACCCATCTCGATTTACAAGCAAATAACCTCATCTCCGCAGACTGCGTGGGAATGCTACGGAGATGGTCCTTGGAAGGCACCGACAACACAGAACTCACGCCCGCTGATAACGACAGCGTCATCTCGCTCGCCACGCATAAAGATCACGTGCTGCTCGGCAAGGCGAACGGCTCAGTCCGACTGGTGAATCGCAACTCCGGAGAGACGAGGACACTGCTCGACAGTGGTGGCACGGTATGGAAGGTGGGCTTCACGCCGTGGTATCGTCCCATGGCGGTTTACACGAAGGGGGCCGAGACTCGGCTGAGTGTTTTTACGGGCTGAGTTAATATTCTACGTTACGTTTAATAATGAAAATGATGGTTTTGTTAATGAACTTGAGTGGTCTAGATTATAGATAGAGGTTATATTCTTTTCTAAAACTAATGTGGCCGAGGCCGATTCCGTGGGTTGCAGATCACGTTTGGACTAGACATTCTCGATCGCTTTTGGCCTCTGGCAACTAGATCTGGATACTCCATAGTCCACTCTTACATCGTTTATTGGTAGTCTGACAAGCGACAGATTAGGCCACGAATGACGAGAAAAGGTAAGACAGAATCCCTACATCTTTGACGGGCGCCAAAAGCCTGGCTGATCCACGGAGGTGGCACTTTACTAGCCGAAGCTCAATATCACCTCCAGGCATGGACTCTTTCGTTTCACCGATGCCGCAACATCAACGATAGTATTGGCCAAATCGACCTGCCCAATTCCAACGATCCCATGACTTTTTCAGACTTGAGCAGGCGAAAGCCCCGAGCAAATTCAGTACTGTAACCCGTCATAAGTGTGCGACAACTTCGATTCAACTCCCGTTGGGTCAGCTGCAGATGGAACGAAGGTTGAAAAGTGTGAACGCTGAGCTGCGCTATTGCGCAAGGTGATGGGGTAGATCGTTCGGCGGGCATATCTATATAGGCACAGGTTGGATCCGATATCAAATTATAGATCTTGAACCATGGGTAGGTTGCATCACAGAAGAACCATGCATCTTTCTATCCGGGGCTACTTCAATCCTTCCAGAGTAATCTGACCAGATAGGCATCAAATTGTGGTCTGATCTGTAGACAGTACTGAGCAATTAATCATCAACTGATATATATTGGTAGATAGATGCCTTAAGACAGCTGGGCACATACCACAACGCCACTCCAGCCAACTTCTCAATGATCTCATGAGGTGGGGCTGACCTGGCCCGGTGGACCCACGGGACCGTCCCGCTCCCGTTATCCGACTGTCCCATTGGTTCGGAGGGTCGCACGGACCGATACTGAGACGCTGGACCCACTTTGGGCCAATGAAAACATATGATGGATTATGGATGGAATTAAATGCTATTACTTAAACTGCTTTTGCTATGACACTTTATTGAATGGCATAATTTCCAGCAGCTTCCGTCTTTCTGGTTCCCCTCTTTATGTAACATCGAAGTCGCTGCCAGTCAAGTTCCGCTTCGAATCAGCCGGAACTTCATGGCGCTTATTCATGGTGTAAGCAATGTTCTATCCTGCTTTATTGTATGCTCTATGACTCAATCGCAGAAATATGCCTCTATTTAAACTGCACCTATCGACATAGTGTATTCTGAAAACACCAAAAATTCGTCCATCCGTGGTAATAAGAACTTGTCAAAAAAGTCTACACGCCATTCATCCTCACACCAACAAGTGTAATGCGCCTTGCAATATTCCCAAAAATCTGGATACCAGCCTGACTGCTCCCAATCCACAATACCCAGAATACGAATTGGAGAATCTGAGGATACCATAATATTCGCCCGGTGAAGGTCTGCATGCGTAAACTTGATCGCCCCATCATCTGGCAATATGTGCCTATACGGGTCTTTGCATTTTAGTGATGGAAGAAGTCTCTGCTGGACTAATGAGGCAAACCAATCGTTGAAGTCTTTGACGCTGAGGAATGGACGGCCTCCTGGTTGTAATTCGAAGACATAGTCTAGAGGTGGTTGTCGGTTTATAGACCCTGAATTCCGCGGTTAGTATACGGTATTTACTTTAAACCACCTTTCTTCGTACCGATGAACTTATCAGAGGGATCCTGCTCAAGTTGGCGTAAGCAACCGACAATGTCACACAGTTGATCACGAAGAACCCCTTTATCCACACTATCCAATCCATCCCAGCGATCTGCCAGCCTCTTCCCCTGAATGAGTTCCATATAAATAAATACGTGGCCTTCATCGTCGATTCGCCATCCAAAAAGCTCAGGAACAGGAATCTTGCCGCGGAAGACTTGTCTGATCATCCAGAGACATTGCGCTTCTGCGATAGTAACATAAAGGCCAAATTTGACGAATATATTGGGGTTTTCGAAAATGATGGGCTCTGGTTTAGGGGTTGTGGAGATGTCGGTTGACAATGCTTTCACTTGCGCTGGAGTCGGGAGGCGGTGGTTGGGATTTTGGAAAAACGAGGACTCAAGAAAGTCCATTTCTCGTTTGGTCGCATCAGGGAGTTGGGAAATTGAGACTATATGCCTCTCTGGCATACTGTTTGGTGTTTCCATGATGATGTTACGGAAAGATTTCGGAATGTTACCCCTCAAAGAAGGATAAGAGAAGGAGTCTCTCGGCTTTCGATATTATCCGGACCTAGTCAAGGATGCTGGGACCAACTGCATCGCTGATGTTTAGGATGTGACGGCCATCTATTTTGCTTTGTTTGAGCGTGGCTTTGAAGATTGCGTTGGAGTATACCAGCTAGCTTGTCTATGACTCACTGGATATGTATGGAAAGAATAAATAAGAAAGAACGAGGCTGCCAAGTGCGAAATCCAGGCAAATGTTGCCTGCTAATAAGGCTGTACTGATTGCCCTGTGATTGGTTCCAAACCGGTCCGACACAGGGTTCTTGATTATGGATTGAGGCCCTTATTATAGTGACTCATATTGAAGTTGGTGATGGCCTACCCAGAATACAGCAATTGATGATCTACCTAGCACTGCATACTAATGTAGTAAAAGATATGCCATAAACCAAGATCACCGTATTCCTTGGTGAGTTCATTCAACATTGCCCAATCCTTGTGTACGGAGTACCTGGCGAAGACCCCTGTTACCAGATAGAACATCACCAACCCCGCACACAGTCAACGTCGATCCTAACATCATGGCAAGATCTCAATCCATCTGATCCAGTTCGTTTGATACTATCGCCTCTAGTGCCTCGCTTAAGCAGCCCCTCAGCGATCCCTGCCCAATCAGGCTATCCCCACCAGCAGCTCAGCTGGCGCTGACTTGGCATTTACAGCATTCTCACCACTTCACACAACCCAGATTCAACATCCAGCATGCTCTGCCAGAAATGCACGGCGTTGGTGCAAACCCTCGTCAAGGACGACAGGGAGACGACAATCAAGTTCGTGAACCACTATGCCGACACGCCGGCGGAGAATCTGCAACGCCCGGGCGGCTGCGACATGTGCATATTCCTGCTGCCTTCTACTATCAAAACGCCAAAGGAGATGGTGAAATATGCAAAGAAGGATCATGAGCTTATTATCACCAGAACGATTGAGCGATTGCCGCATCTGTGTTATTCTATCAAGGTCGTTTTTGTGCTGAGTGACCCGGTGACGTGGAGTTCGTCGTCGTTTATGATTATGCCTAGTTCGACGATTCCCATCGACTTTAGTATTCGGGATCGGCCGTCGGATTTTGATCTCGAGAGTGCCATTCCTGCGGCCAGGCATTGGATTCATGGCTGTTTACGGGGGCATGAAAAGTGTCCGAAGAATACACGTCCGCAGTCGTATCCGACGCGATTACTAGAGCTGCATGACTCGTCAATGCGTCTTGTTCTGCCAGCTGAGATGAACCTGTCAGATCCTTATGCAGCGCTGAGCTACTGCTGGGGCGAGAATCCATCATTCCTGTGTCTTTCAGCGTCGAATTTCCACGAATTCCAAAAAGGAAAACCATATTCCATCCTGCCTGTCGCCTTCCAAGAAGCCATCCGGTTGATCAAAAAACTCGGCATCCACTACATCTGGATTGACGCGCTGTGCATCATCCAAGCCGGCCCAGGCAGTAAGGAAGACTGGCAATCGGAATGCGTCAACATGCAACAAGTCTACTCCAACTGCGAGGTCAACCTCTCTCTCTCCACCGCATCATGTCCAGATGAAAGCTGTCTCGACGGCCGCCGGCCCAGCAAAACACCCCCATTCGAAATCCAAATCCCCTCCCGGAATGATTCCAACAGACATGAAACTTGGACGATAGTATCGCCCAAATACTACGAAGAAGCACTGTACGACCAGCCACTCGGCACAAGAGCATGGGCGCTCCAAGAACGTCTCCTCTCACCGCGCGTCGTCAGTTTGGGCCGTGGTGAGCTCTTCTGGGATTGCATCCAGATGCCCAACGCCAGTGAAACGCTCCCCTGCGGCGGTATCGTGAATACCACCGACGAGAGACAATTCCTGGAAAAGTCCATCCCGGATACCTCGGACAGAGAGAAGCTCGAGTCTGTGTGGTGGAATATCGTGAAGGAGTATACAGAGCGCAAATTGACCTTCCCGCACAAGGACAAGTTCATGGCGTTTTCGGCGGTTGCGGCGCAGATGGCCCACGCGATGGACGACGTGTATATCGCCGGTCATTTTTGGAAAACTATTCCTTATTCCTTGAACTGGCAGGCAGGACATGAAGACGAAGTAGAGACGACACCGCAGCGGATCGTCGTGCCGGCTGGTGACGATGGCTGCGAGAAAGACAGCCATACCCCTAGTTGGAGCTGGGCATCGATGAACGGGGCTCTCATCGTGAATCCCTTTTCTGCCCCTGAGAGTGAAATAGTGGCAGAGGCTGAATCTTATGAACTATCCCTCCTTGAAGAGAACCATCCATACGGACCAGTGTCGTATGCAAATCTGAAAATCACAGCGTTTTGCGCAGAGATTGAATGGCGGAAAACACAGCTTAAAGGTCGTTCTGTTCTTCGTGGAGACGATCCGAATGAGATGCCAGATGAAGGCGCTGGAGTGCTGCTGGCTGCATTAATTCACTTTCCGACAAAAGAGGAATATTGGGATGGGATTATACTGCGAGAAAGGGAAAGGAATGGCCATAAGCAGTACACACGAATAGGCCATTTTACATTCCAGCCCGACGAAGAGCATAGCTTTGCCAGCTTTTTTGAATCGGAAAAGAGAACACTTACTCTGGTATAGTAAAGCAATTAATATAAACAATATGTACATGAAGATAAAACTCCATAGTGATGCCAAGTTACTTGTTATTCCGACTCCTCCGCCTCTCCTTCTCCAACACCGACAACCCCGTAATCATCACCATCAAATCAAACTGACTCCCATAATCCACGTTGATCTGAAGCTTGCCACACTTGTGATAGCTTTTATGCCCATTATTCAAGAACACTGCGATCAGCCGCCCGTCCTCGTCGATCAGCTTGAAGTTTCTCGCGCTCGCCTTGGATGGCATGTCCTCGCCGATACCGTACGAACATGTCCGTTTCCAGTTCAACGTTCGCCGCTCGTGATGCCCGTCTACTCCGGGGAGCAACGTCTCGTATGTGTAGCTGATCTTCTTCAGGGTATTCCGGTACATGTCCTCCCAGACGATGTTGTTGGGGTCTTTGGGGTCACCGAGGCCAACGCGGGAATGGCGCGCAAAGTTGATGAACTTGCATACGGCGGCGACAGGAGCATTTTGATCTTCTCCTGCATGGAACGTCACGTCTGGCTTGCCGATTCGGAACGACGAGTTCTTCACGTAGAAGAGTTGTTTTTTGTCGGCGTCGTGGACGGTGAGGTTAAAGTGTGATGGGGTGTGGTAGACATGGAAGATTCGGCCGTCGGGGAGATCTTCGTGAGCCGACAGGTCGGACGAGGCAACGCTCTTTGAGTCGTTTTCTGGAGGTGACATTTTGATTGTTTGTTGGGATGGAAATGGGGATGTGGCTGCTGGCTTTATATAGCTGAGACGTCGCAGTGGTTGCCACAAATGGACGGATTCAACACGAGGTGTGGCTGATCATCTCGTATTCAGTGGATCGGCCAATCGTATTCATGGATGGTGATGGCCATTATAATTTGAACTCCTTTCCGCTGTCACTTTATGTTTGTTTCCCGTGTCCGAGCGGGGGTTCTTCATAGCCTGAATAAAGTATACCAGAACTAATATCCCTGAGAATCGTATTGGATGTAGATACCCTGTCCTCTGATATTCAATTATCCTACGAATAGTTGACCTACGCTATTTGAGAAGTCACACATCTTTTCCAATAGACATTATATGGTCCAGCATGATTTAACCTAGCGTGTCCTGTCATGGAAGTATATCAAGATTACTTTCCTTCAATCCACTATAAATGAGCCCACATAGACTGTTCTCAGCAGCAACTCAACAGAATGAATGACATCCTTGAATCAACAACCCCAGAACCCACAAGCAAACTCGTACTTTCTTGGCACAGAAAGGTCCAGTCTGCTCCCTTTCAGGAAAGATCAGCCCGAGCTGCGAACGAGACCGCTGTGTGGATAGGTCTGGATCTATTCAAAGATGGATTAGGAATAGATTCAGTTGCTCCGCCTCAGTATGCTACATCCAACCACCCTGAAGACGAGGGTTATAGCTTTTGTCTCCCAGGGTCAGCGGATCAATGGGCTCCTTCTCATCCACCGATGACTGACCTCACTGCAGATCCATTGGGGACGGAGAGCTGTAGACAAAATACTATGGCAGTGACTGTTGGGTCTGCAGACCAATATACAACATTCCAGCCTCCATTGAATCCTGGACCATCTTGAGTGTAAATATGATGGTCAATACACTGGTTTAAGTCTAAAGTGACGGCAATCTATCAACCGCTACAGCATTCATTCTGAATATCCATTCCCTTCCATCCACGCATCATCCGCAAACTTGGTCAGGTAATTCCTCACACTATCCGGAAACACAAGTACGATTGTTTTGTCTTCAACGTTGAACTCGGGGTGCATCCCAAGGAACTGGACCATCCCCACAAAGGCAGCCCCAGATGAACCGCCACAAAGCAGTCCTTCTAAACGTATCAGACCCCTTGCCATCCTGAATGAGACCCCATCTGTTGTCTTGACCCGGACATCGGGGGCTGTCTGCTCCAAAGCCCCAGGAACAAAGTCATACCTAATTCCCTCCACTTTATACTCGCTCGTCTGCTCATTCGGAACCCCCGGCCACGCAAGGACAGACCCGGTAGGATCGACGCCCACAACAAATACATCTCGATTATCCTTCTTCAGCCCTCTGGTGAAACCAGTGACGGTGCCTTTGGTTCCTGCTCCAGCGATCCCCACGTCCACCTTTCCCTCAGTCTGACCTCAGATTTTCTCTGCAGTCCAAAACGCGTGAGCGCGAGGGTTTTTGGGTTTGTTCTACTGATTCAAAATCCACGATCTTGGCATCTCCTCATTCAGGCGCTTTGCGACACTAGGAATGGAATCTGGATCGTCGACGGGTACTCCAGCAGGTGTCCGGCCTACTCTGGCTCCCAGTGCGTGTAGGATTTTTTCCTTTTCCAGTGACATCTTCTCTGAAAGCGTGATGATGCATTTGTACCCTTTGATCGCGGCCATCATGGCTATCGCTATTCCGCTTCACAAAAAAACATTAGCACGCTTTTCGTCCTGAAATAGAATTGATATTCGGTAAACTACGTATTACCATCCACGCTTCAATCAAAGTATCCCCCGGCTTGATCAACCCATCTCGCTCAGCCTGCTCAACCATGCGCTTCGCAATGCGATCCTTGAAAGTATGCTAGTTTTGCGCATACATCCGCCTTGATTCCGAGTGAGGCCGGAACTGGGAGGTGGTTTAGCCGGACAAGAGGCGTAGCGCCGATGTGGTCTGTGATAGAGCCGCTGAGGGGTTGGCCGAGGTATGTTGTTATTCTATTTTGCGCTTTCTTCAGAAGATCTGTATGAGTAGAGCAAGGATGAGCTATATACCACAAAAAAAGTCTGCAATAAACAGCATGCCAATCATGTTTATACTGGTCATGTAACTATATCCAACGCCCTGGAGATTACCGCATTCGGTTTGCCTCTGCCAAGACCGAGGCCTTATTTGTTCCCTTTTTCGGAACGCACAAAGGCGCGCATCTCCATCACTGGAACGTTGCACATCTATTGCCCAGATCATCACTATTTTTAATAAATAATCTATAAAGTCAACGAACATCTACAGCATATTGTAAACATCCATCGCGCATCAGAGAATGATGACGTCATTGGAAAATACCCAACCCCCAGAGGGGCAGACACGCCTCGTCAGGCATTTCCAGGGGCAGTATGTTTGATTTGTATGGACGAGACGATAGTTAAAAGACTAATCCTTCGATATAGATCTATCGATGAACACTCCCATGGATGGTCCAACCTCTGGGACACCGATAACAGTGACCTCTGGGATCGAGGAAAACCTTCACCGGCTTTGATTGACCTCATCGAAGAGAGGAGCGATCTATTCCATCCTACAGCTGAAAGTGGAAACCGGAAAAAAGCTCTAGTCCCAGTAAGGTCTACCTCTATTCCGATCTTGTGTTTGTCAAACTGAGCATGTGCAGGGTTGCGGGAAAGGATACGACGTTGTGATGCTCGCCTTGCACGGGTTCGATGTCTACGGCCTTGAGGTCTCCGAGACTGGTGTATCTGTTGCAAAGGAGTACGCTAGAAACGAGCTTATACACCCGCAGGAGTATAACTTTGGGTCCTCCGCGCAGAGGCAAGACCGTGGCGAGGTGGTGTTTATCCAAGGTGACTTTTTCAAGTCGGATTGGGATGCTGGGATCAAGTTTGATCTTATTTATGATTATACCGTATGTCCTTTCTGTCGCTGTCTCGTATATCATGCTGATATGGTAGTTCCTATGCGCCATTCACCCGACCATGCGCCCTCAGTGGGCATCACGGATGGCTGACCTCCTCGCCCCGACCGGTCAGTTAGTCTGCCTCGAGTTTCCCATGTGGAAGGATCCCAAACTCCCCGGTCCACCGTGGGGATTGGATGGTGTTCACTGGAATCTACTCGTGGAGGGGGGTGATGGAATCGTTGGGGATGAGGCTGTGAAGGATTCGAAAGGGGGATTCACGCGGTCGCTGTATGTGAAGCCGGCGCGGTCGTATGTGAGTGGAAGGGGGGTTGATATGTTGAGTGTTTATGTTAAGAAGGCCTGATTATTTTTGTATGTATTTACTATCAGATGGTGGAATGTAGTGTTAATGGAAGCTTGTCGTGCAAGGTATTTCTATAAACCAGTCCGCCCCATGTACAGTAACAAATCAGATTAGCATCAGGAACAATCTCCAGCCAATCGAGGATCAGCAAACGAGGATCAGCAAACCCTAGTCACATTGGCTGCGCCTTTGTCCTGTCCATTTTGTTTTTCATACGCCCTGGGAGTTTCCTGTTCCGGTTGTCATCTTGACCTATAAAGCACACAACACTCCTCTGCCTTCATGTCAAATCAACTCTGTATCAACCCCCGAAATGTACGGCTTTGGAACCTCCGCTGTGCGATCTGGCCTTCCTCGTGATGCTACCACCGGTGCTTTAGTCGAGACGGTATCCTACCAGAGCTCCATGGCGATATTTATACTAACCGTATAGATATCCCTATCCACCATCTTCGCCCAACAACATCCTGCATCTCCCGTTGGGAGCTACGTCTACTCCCGCTCGGCCAATCCCAATCGCGAAAGCTTTGAGAAAGCCATTGCCGATCTGGAGTCAGCCAGGTATGCCCTCGCCTTCTCGTCCGGAATGGCCGCAACAGATGCAGTCGTGCTAGGGCTGGCTGCACACTCGCACACTGTCTCCATGTCGAGTCTCTACGGCGGCACCCATCGATACCTGACACAAGTAGCGCCATTGATGGGCGTGATGGTGTCTTTTGCGAGTAATATCGAAACCGAACTGGAGGCTTTGATAAACGAGAAGACAAAACTGGTTGTGATCGAGTCGCCGAGTAACCCGATGGTCGATATCCAGGCTGTGGCGGATATAGCACACAAACTCGGTGCTCTTAACCCTACATCTGCGCGCCCTTGCTACATCGCGAAATGCATCAACTCTCGCCCGAACCCTCGAGGCATCGCCGTATGTTCTGGCTGTGAATTACCCCGGTCTTTCCTCTCACCCGCAGCGCCCAATCGCCGTCAAACAGCACCGCAATGAACATGGCGGGGTATGATATCGTTTCGGGTTCGGGGAGGCAGCAAGGCAGCTGGTAGGTTCTGTACGCAGTCGAGGTTGTTTACTTTGGCGGAGAGCTTGGGTGGAGTTGAGAGTTTGTGTAAGATTCCGGCGGTTATGACGCACAAGCGGATGCCGAGAGAGGTGCGTGAGGAGGGAGGGATCTATATTGATTTGATTCGATTGAGTGGGGGAATTGAGGATGTGAAGGACTTGAAGGATGACTTGGCGAGGGCGTTGGAGATGGCTGTGTCTGGGTAGTTGTATAGGATGACATCAAGCTTACCCCTATACAAAAACGCACAATGTATAGAAACGCACAAATGAATTTCTTTCTTATTTTCAATTATCCTGTAATAAAATGAATCTAGCCAGATACTGGCAAATCCTCCGCCAAAGATGGCTCTTCAAAAACTCCCACGAACCCATCCTGTTCAAACTCCCAATGGAGCTCCTCCTTCAAATCCTCTCCTATATACATCCACCGCATAATTACTGCCTCGCTTTGAGCTGTAAAGGGCTATACCAACTCTTCTCACCAGTTCTCTCCGATGAAATCCTCCATTTCCCACATCTTCTCCCTAGCAAACCATTCTATAGGGCGAATCATATGCGACGAGACTTCCTCGCCCAACTCGAGGATAGCCAATGGGCATACTGCTCAAAATGTCTAAAGTTACATCCACGAGGTCAATACCGCAAACCAGATCTTGACAAACCTCCATTACAAAGGAGTTGCGGTCCGTATGCTGGGGTGGTCGATATATGCCCTTGTCTTGCCCTCACGCATCGTGACCGATTATCCATCGAGGACTATATGATCACGAAAAGAAGACGCAAAGCACTCAATAAGTTCCTCGAAGCAGACCTCCTCATAGCCAATGGAGGGTATCTCTTCCATCACTGCACCGCCTATCTCCACCTCGGCATCAACACTGTTTTCTTCCGCACCGATGGAATCTTATTCAGCTGTACTCGGTATACGATACACACCTCGACGTCAATCGAGTTTCTCGAACCAGTTCTTCTCTGTCCTCATCGGAGTCTAGTCAGGTTCTTACATCATAGTCCAGAGCCGGAATGTCAGCAATGTCCTACACAATCACATAAACCGGAGCATTTGAATAATGATCAGTTTATAGTGGTGCAGGCTGTGCGGACGTTGGGAAAAGCACAAGGGAGACGGTTGCCTAGTTATGATTGGTGGTATCAATGCCGGCAGACTTATATTTAATATATTACTGAACCTTGTTACTTGGTCTACTTGAAACTCATTGCAAGTAGCCATTGTTTTGTTGTACTCGTATGGTTACCATAGGATTAAGTATGTCTAAACCAATTCCTCTTGCTCCTAGATCCATAGTTCATCGAAGGTTGGCGGAGCTGAGGTGGGAAGTCTCAGTGATTTTTATATTTAGGAGGATAGTTGTCTCAATACCAGCAGTTTAAGCAGTAAATTACGTCATGCCGAGATTGAAGATAAAGTCGCTCATATGGACTGCAGTTACAGATAATACCAGAACGCGACATAGACTAAAATGTGTCATTGTTCAAGACTTTTCACAGTTGAAACCCAATGCGTATCAGGATGGATTCTTCTAATCGGTATACAAGTCAGCCATATAATAAATCACTTAAATACTCGTCTAGATTACTAGTGTCAGTCTTCCTATTATTCGAAATAACGATTTTCATTGCCTATCCCTTCATGATATATTATTAACCCTTTGAAGAATTGAATCTCCTTGTCCGATTCTAGATTCTTCCTCATAATTCCCTAATCCCTGCTGACTGCCCCCTAATGTATCAAGTCATGTAACCTAATCTTTGAGATCCGATTGTTTCATGTATACAAGAATACCTGAAACAAACGACAAAGCCAAACATCATTGAAGAACATCCAACAAAGAACAATCACACATTGATTGATGAAAAGAACCATTCATATGTGTCTTTGTATCTTAAATAGCTGTAGGGAATAATTATATACCTAGTATCAACGACAAAGGACATTGAAATTGAACGCTTTGTGCGATGAATCCCCCGTTTCAGACGATAAACAGCTTTGTATGAGAATCCCTGATTTTATAATTTCTATACATATTACTACATCATAGTAGACAAACTTTTATATTCAATATATGACCCTGAGTTTGACTCCTATACATCAACACCACTCATCTATACCATTCTATACCTTATACTAAATATACACAACTCAGCCTAACCTCAAATCATCCACCTCACATCAATCGAAGTATACAAAATGCACACCTTCTTCGTGACAATCCCCCTCACCGGCCCCGCGCCAACTAAACTCGACGCCCTCAAACAACTCCAAAACTCCATCCTCGAAAACCAAGCCACCATCAGCCCAACCTTCGACCCATACTTCTCCCCAGACGGGGCCGTCATACGAGTTGACTTGCCCCGGTGCGCAAAGACAGAGACCGATGTGCTGCAGGCGGCCATGGTCAAGTTACAGCAGATGGTGAATAGGGAGATTACCGGTGCCCCTGCTTCGCCGTTGTATAACCAGTCGTCGTCTGAGGAGGAGATAGAGGAGGATGGGGATGGATGTGTTTCGATTAGGTTGAGAGGGAGAGAGTTTATGAAGGGGGAGGTAAAGCAGAGATATTTTCGACGGAGAGAGTGTAAGATGGAGGCGTCGAGGAGGAATCGATTTGATATCTAGATACAAAATTTCCATCTTGGTTAAACTACCTGCAGCTCTTTCGGGTTCATCGTTTCCCCCTCTGGTTTGTCTAGATATCCCTTTCGCTGATAATTCCCCAGTACAGGCGTATAGTCGAGCACCATATCACGGAGCTTCGCAATCGGCCACGGCAGACTATGGAACAATCGATACAAGAAACGCGCAAACTCCATATTATGATTCACGTAGTAGACGCGCTGTTTCTCGTACAGCTCAAAGTTAGCACTGGCAGCCCGTTTATCATGCAGGCCCACTCCATCGAGTGCTCTGGCAAGGTAGTAACCATCCTCGATCGCCATCCCCATACCATACGCTGCATACGGCGAGACAGGGTGCACAGCGTCCCCCACACACGCGATACGTCCCGTAGACCACTTCTCACGCCCACATCCCGAAGGGGTTGATATCTACTGCTGTCTCCCACTTCCGAGTTTATAAAGTCAGACATTCCCCCTGGTATTTCTGTCTGCGACTCCAGTGATTACTCTCATCCTATCTGGTGCCGACTTGGTCTTCTCTTCTTACATTCCAACAGAATGATGTCTCTAAAACCCTTGGTCTTTATCACTCTCTTCGTTTCAGGGTGCATCCATACTCCATTGTTTGCACAGCACAAATTCATGCCTAAGGCATTCACAATCAGTCAGCGGAAGAAAGAACCGTTTATAAAGCATCTTTCTCAGTGGATGTCATTCCTATTAGTTGAATCATCATCTCAGCTTTTGAGAACCGAATATGTCAAGCTAGATGCATATCAGTCCGAAGTGGACATATCTCTCATCTGGAACTATATCATGAATCATAATCAACAGCAGCAAACCTGAGCATCAACTTCCTCCCCTTTGGCAACGAAATAAACTCATAATCCTGCTCAATGCCTTCATCGTCCACAATCGTCGTCGTATAATTCGTAAACACCGCAGCCATGACCAATTTAATCTCTACTTTCGTTAGCACCATCCATACTGAATATCAGATGGAATACATACCCTGCAAGGCAAAATTACTCCCCAAACACATCCTTCCTCCACTTCCAAACGGCCACCACAGTCTGCGCATATCGTGGATTCTCCCTTCTGGGTGAAGCCATCGTTCTGGAAGCCATTCTGCTGGGTTGGGATAGACTTCCTCGATGCGGTGGAGGCTGTACGCGGAGGAACTGACTTTGACGCCGCCGGGGATGTTGTGGTATGAATCGATAGATGTGCCGGATGGAGTATGCGGTGTTACTCGTGGTAAGGGGCCGGGAGCGGGTGAATGCAGACGAAGCGTCTCTCTGACCATTGCGTCGAGGAGGGGGAGAGAGTCGATTGATGATGGGGATGGTAGATCATTGGTAAATGGATATTTCAGCTGAGGTTGGAGGGTGAGGAGTTCTTCTCGTAGTTCGTCCTGTAGATGGGGATGTTGCGATAGCTGCCACATCATGTAGGTGAATGTGATGCCAGTTGTTTCATGGCCGGCAACAAGATGGTCGAGTAGTTCAGACGCAATGGCCAGCTCAATTGGTCGATCGTCTGGGTTTTTGAGCAGACTGTCGTGGAGCTGGCTGTACACCACTGCCTTGGTAGACACAGACACATCATTCGGATGTTCATTCAGCTTCATCTTTTGACAGAGCGACAGACACCAACTCTCAATAAACCCATGATATCGCTCCTGCAGACTCATATACTTGAACCGCTCATACTCCCCCAGCCACCTCATCCACTCCCCCATATCAAACACAAACATCGTCCCATTCTCCGTCCCAAACAAATACGAGGAGGTAAAATCCATCCCCACAGCCTGAAACAGCGGCAGCACATTGACTGAATCCCCCGTCTGCGCCAAATTATCCAAAATAGGAAATATCCTCTCCTTCAGCATCATCCGCGAAATGGCTCTCAAATCCACCGACTCCGCCAAGTACGACTTGGAATAAACCCGACTCAGCATGCGCTTCTGCTCCGCGTGTGGCTTATTATGCACCATGCCCACCAGATTCGGCGTCATGAAGTTGACAAACACATCTGCGTAGAAGCAGTGTTTTTCGAATGCGCCCGTGTAAATGGTTTTCAGCCCGTGGAGCGAGTTCACGCTCAGTTCGTTGGGGGCGAGGCGGACGAGGGGCCCATGTTTGCGGTGGAGAGAGTGGAGGGTGAGCACTTCTGTGCCTTTATTGCGCTTTGAATCTATCCATTTCGAGGTGAAGGGGGAAGTGAAGTGGGCATTGGGGATTTTGGAGAGGGGGGAGTGTAGATACGTGATGTATTTGTATAGAGTCAGGATGACCACGAGGGCGACAATGATGGAAAGCATTTTGAAACCAATGAATGCGATATTAAATAATAAGTAATCAATAAATAATATAAAATAATACAAACTATGCAAACTGACAGGGATGAGCGTTACACTAAACTAAAGCACCATTAGATAATGGCGCCATTGCAATTTAATTAACCCTGTTAGTCTGTTTGGCGACAATTTATTTTCTATCGTATTTCTGATTTCTTTTCTTCGACATCTTTCTGAATGAAAATGTCTTCCATCAAAGGAGGTGGCCAGGTCACAGCTAATGGCGAATATACTGGCAATGTACCGGCCAAATACCGCGGCACCACAGCGGACAAGCTGGACATGAGTGCGCTGGGCAGAGAGCAGGTTTTGAGGGTATGCACCTTATATTCACATGGATAGAGCATTGCTAACTGTTCAGCGCAACTTTCGATTTATTTCCATTGTCGGTTTTGGATGTACTTTGATCGCAACATGGGAGGTTGTCTTGACGTATGCCATCCATCCCATTTATCGATCCATCTAACAATATAGACTGCTCGCCCAAGGATTAACCGACGGAGGCACCGCCGGCCTCATCTGGGGCTTTCTGATTGTCGCATGTGGATTCCTGCTCGTCTTTCTGAGTCTGGCTGAAATGGCCTCGATGGCGCCCACTTCTGGAGGCCAATACCACTGGGTGTCTGAATTCGCGCCGCCCAGCTGCCAGAAGTTCCTGAGCTATATCACCGGCTGGTTGTGTGCGATGGGATGGCAATGCGCAATTGTGTCGATTGCGTATCTCGCTGGGACGATTATCCAGGGATTGATTGTGCTGAATGATACGACGTATACGTTTGAAGCGTGGCATGGGACGCTGCTTGTCATTGCGATTACGTCTTTTGCCATTCTGTTCAACACTTTTCTAGCGAAGCGATTGCCGTTCGTCGAGGTGCTCATTCTCATCCTGCACGTGTGTGGTTTATTCGCCATCATCATCCCCCTCTGGGTGTTGGCTCCCCGTCGCACAGCCAAGCAGGTGTTTACGGAATTCAACAACGACGGTGGCTGGAATAGCGCTGGCACGGCGACGTTGGTGGGCTTTTCCACGACCATCACCTCGTTGATCGGATACGACTGCGCCGTGCACATGTCGGAGGAGATCAAGGACGCCTCTGCGACGCTGCCCAAGGCGATGATCACGTCGGTGATTGTCAATGCCTGCTCTGGGTTTCTTATGCTGGTGACCATCTGCTTTACGCTGGGCGATATCACGTCTGTTCTCAGCTCGCCTACGGGATATCCGTTCATCCAGGTGTTTTACAACACCACGCAGAGTCTGCCGGGGACGAACACGATGACGGCCATTCTGGTGCTTACTTTGACGGCCAGCACGATCACCGAAGTGGCGACGGCATCGCGTCAGCTGTGGTCGTTTGCTCGTGATCGCGGACTGCCATTCTCTAATTTCTTTGGCTATGTAAGCTATCTCTATCTGTATCATATGGTCTATACTAATGATCAGGTCACCCCCGGATGGAACATCCCCCTCAACGCCGTCATGGTGTCCCTGGCCGTGACAGCCCTCCTCTCCCTCATCAACATCGGCTCCAGCACCGCCCTGCTCGCCATCGTCACCCTCACCATCGGCTCGCTCATGTCCTCCTACGTGATCACCATCTCCTGTCTCCTCCTCAAGCGCATCCGCGGCGAACCCCTCCCCCCTCACCGGTGGAGTCTCGGGCGCTTCGGAATGGCGATCAACATTGGCGCCTTGATGTTTCTGCTGCCGGTGTTTGTGTTTTGTTTTTTCTCGCTGACCTCGACGGTGGATAAGACAAGTATGAATTGGTGTGTTGTCATGTATGGGGGAGTAATGATTATTGCGATTGTGTATTATGTGGTTAGGGGGAGGTTTTATTACGTTCCTCCTGTTGCGTTGGTGAATCGGGAGTGATATATTATCATTATATTATTATTAATATGATTCCATGTGATGTTATCCACATCGGGATGGCCGATATACTATGTGTCAGACGGCATTCCCGTCAGAGTTTTCAAGACAATTAACACGAGCTTTATTGCTTCTCAGCCTGAAACACAAATCATCCCTGCCAGCCCTCGTGTGGGATTCTCGATGCAGTAAAGATCAGTAAAGATCCAGATCGCTTGGGCCTTCTATAGCAGCCCAAGAAACGCCGCTCGATCTTAGCGTCGGTCGATGGATTTAGGGCCAACTTTATGCTTTATTTTTTATTTATGATTTATTATTTTTTATTATGTCGTTATTATGCTGGGCTGTGTCACGTAATACCATCCTTGCAATATCCCAGATACTGATCGAGTTCAGTCGAATGGTGCCATCTGTAAACTCACCATGTCTTCTACATACATGCGATGGTCGTCGTCCCTGAAGGCCAATATCCGCCATTCCAAGTCATCGACGACACGCACCATGCCGGCATCATCATCATCACCGCTGCCATCTGCATGGTCATCTCGCTGGTGTGTCTGCTTATCCGCGTGTATGTGCGTCTTTTGCTGAGTCCCCCTTTTGGGGTGGACGACCTCATTCTCCTCGGTGCGACTGTAAGTATTCACCTATTATCAGATGTGCAATATGTACTTATGATAGATCTTTGGAATTGTGGAATCCGTGATCGTCTTTTATACCGCCTCGATCGGATTCGGGACGGCGATCAGCTTGCTTTCCGAGGATGCCATCTGGACTGTGCAGAGGGTAGGTTTTCCTAGCTGTGGATGATACATGCTGACCGACAGTCTCTGGTTGCGAGTGACGTTCTCTATCTGATAACGCTGTATCTGTCCAAATGCTGCATTATTGCGATTTACCTCCGTCTGACGCCGCGACAGTCGCATCAGACTCTGCTGTGGGGGACGTTGGCGTTGAGTACGCTGGGGGTGTTCATCTCGATTGTGATTCTCACGGCGGATTGTGCGCTGAATCGACCGTGGATTACGCCTGCGGAGAGTTGTTCAAATCTAGTATGTTTATTATCTATCTGAAGTATTCTGCTGACTTTTAGTTCTCGCGATGGCAATTCATCACAGCGCTGGACATCATCACCGAATTATTCCTCTTCATCTTCTCCATCGCCCTTGTTTACGGCCTTCAAATGCCGTACAACCATAAATCTATCATTACGATCTCTTTTGCAGCTAGACTACCGTCAGTCCGCCATCTATCTATATATCCATCATCTAACCTCAACAGCATCCTCATCTTCACCTCCCTCCGCCTCTCCCACCTACGCACCTATGCAGCCTCCACCAACCCCTCCTTCGACGCAATCCCCCACTCCATCTACACCCAAATCGAACTCAACTACTCCCTCATCTCTTGCACCGTCTTCTGTCTCCGCCCGTTTATGAACGCCGTCTCCACATCCTACGGAACAGCCGGCGATGAAAATCTCGAAAGCAGCTCACGCTCACGCAGCGGATACGCATCACGATCGAGAAGCACACAACACAGCTACGCGCTGCGCTCGCTGAATCACTCGACTACTTCCGAGCCAGTGCCTGAAGGGCTGTTTCTGCCGAAAGATAGCGCGCACGGGGAAACCGTTATTACGGGCGGCGATGAGAATAGCATTCGGAGTGATGCGAGTACGAGGATGATTATTCAGAAGAATGTCGAGTACACGGTTCATCGGTCGGATCGAGAGTAATACGTCTAATAGAACGGATATAGTAATATTCTGACATGTCATTTCGCAGTGGTGACGGCGTTCAACTGAAGATAATGATGACGCAACGGCACCAAGTATATAAACGCATCCTCATTCTAGTCGGAATATTCACCCACCATCTTTCCCATCGTTCATCTATAGTAGTAATAATATTATAATAAAATGACGCCCAAAGAAAACGGTGAAGATCACCACCATCTCATCTCTCTCCTCGGCAATGCCCGTCAAGACATCGTCAGCCAGGCTGGTCGGATTGTTCCTAACATTCGCACCATCCAGGAAATCACCTCGACGGTTCTCAATGGCGGTCTCATTGACGATCGCAAGTATCTCGTACGTATCCATCTGATTCTGCATGTTCACTGCTAATTAGTAGATCAGATTGAAAATGTAATCCAAACCGCTGCCTCCCTTCCCAACAACTCCGGGATCAGGGATAGCATCACCAATACCTTTATCAAGACGTTGTGGAATAGTCTCCAGCATCCGCCACTGTCCTATCTAGGCGATGAGTTCAAGTATCGCACTGCTGATGGAAGGAACAATGTGAGTACTTCACCTTTATGGCTATATCAATACACTGACTGATTTGTAGAATATTATGTATCCCAATCTGGGCATCGCGGGAAGTCACTACGCGCGGACTGTCACTCCTAGACATCCTCGGTTGTTGAATCTGCCTGAACCGTCGTTGATTTTTGATAGTATGTCTCTATTCATTCTCAAAGAAAGGTATACTGATTGAATAGCTCTGCTTGCTCGCAATGGCCCGGCGAAAGAACACCCCAGCAACGTCTCCAGTCACCTGTTCTATCTCGCCACAATCATCATCCACGGTATGTCCATCCTCATGTATAAGATCTATACTAATATCAGTTATAGACATCTTCCGCACGGACGACCACGACCCCACCGTCGTCAAAAACTCCTCCTACCTCGATCTCGGCCCTCTCTACGGCCATAACGAAAACCAGCAACGCAGAGTGCGCACCTTTACGGACGGCCTCCTCAAGAACGACACTTTTGCCGAACAGCGTCTTCTCGGCCAGCCGCCTGGCTCTTGTGCGTTGTTGATTGCGTTTAACAGATTCCATAACTATATCGTCCGCGAACTGGCGTATATCAATGAGGTAGGAAGATTTAGTCTTCCGCCTGGTCTTACGAGTGATAGACCGGGGTATCAGGAGGCGTTGGCGAAGAGGGATAATGATCTCTTCCAGACGGGACGGCTGTACGTTCCCTCATCTATCTTGAAAATACATGCTGATTGCGTAGGATCACCTGCGGCCTATACGTCAACATCATCCTAAACGACTACCTCCGCACCATCCTCAACCTCAACACAAACCCCTACGACTCAAACTGGACCCTCGACCCCCGCGAAATCATCAAAGTCTTCGACGCCCAGGGTCTCCCCCGCGGCGTGGGGAACCAAGTCAGCGCCGAGTTCAACATGATCTACCGCTGGCATGCGGCGATCAGCAACCACGACGAAGTGTGGGCGAGGGGCTTCATGGGTGAGATTTTTGGGGCGGATGTTGATGCTAGTACGCCTTCCTGACTATTCTAGCTTTATGTTTATGTGTATGAAGATGCTAATATGCGCAGGCACGCTCTCTGTGAGCAGCTTCCTGGGCGGAATGCAGAAATGGTTCAAAGAGCATATTCCTGGTGATCCGTCGATGTGGAACTTTGGGGGATTGAAGAGAGGGAAGAATGGGTGTTTTTCTGATGCAGAGCTGGTGCGGTTGCTGCAGGATGGGACGGATAATGTTGCTGGTATGTGTATACCCTGATGAAATACTTATACTCATATGATTAGGTGCCTTCGGAGCGAAGAATATCCCTCGTATCATGAAGGCGATTGAAATGCTGGGCATCGAGCAAGGTCGGCAGTGGGAGTTGGCCACGTTGAATGAGTTGAGAGAGTTTTTCAAGCTGAAGCCGTACTCTACTTTTAGTAAGTTATCCTTTTATTCAATGCAATGCTGACGATATCAGGCGAAGTAAACTCGGACCCATCTGTCGCGGAAACACGTACGTCCCCTTATCTATATCTATAGCTGAAGCTAACCAAACCAGTCGAGGCACTGTACGGCCACCCCGACAACATCGAACTGTACGTCGGCATCCAAGCAGAAGAAGCCAAAAAGCCCTTCATGCCTGGTTCTGGTCTCTGTCCGGGCTTCACCATCTCCGTGGCTATTCTGTCTGATGCCGTGGCGCTTGTCCGCGGTGATCGCTTCTACACGGTGGATTATAGTCCGGCCAATTTGACCAATTTCGGGTGAGTCTTCTGCTCTTCTTTAAAGACTGTATTAATGAGTAGTTTCAACGCCGCCAACTCTGACTTTGACGTCGCCAACGGTGGCGTCATGTATAAGCTGCTCATGCGCGCATTCCCGGGCTGGTATCGACCCAACAGCGTATACGCGCTGTACCCATTCACGACACCAGATGGAAATCTCGAGATCTTTGAAAAGACTAACAAAGCCAAGTATCTCGACTTTACGAAGCCGTCGTTTGTAGGCTTGCCGGTTGCAGTCACCACGTGGAAGGGCGTTGTTGATGTCTTGAATGATCAGCAGCGGTTCCATGTTCCTTGTGCGTTTTACGGTCTATTTGATGCTTGCTATATACTGACTGTATAGGGGGTGAACATACGTATCAACTCACCGGACATGATTACATGCTGAGTGGCGATACACCGGATGATGCAGCCCAGCGTATCTTTGTCAAGGAGTGTCTGTATAGACCTCATGATGCGCTTGACCAGGTCCGTCGGTTTTATGAGGCTACCACGACGGATCTCATCAAGAAGCATAGCCGGAAGCTGGGCAATTCGTACCAGGTGGATTTTGTCAAGGAGTGAGTATTTCATACTTAAAATGAACTATGCTGACGATATAGGATCGGAAATCTCGTCCACGCATACTTTATCTCGGAATTCTTCAACATCCCGCTCAAAGGCACGCACGGTGCTCCGGAAGACGCACACACGCCGGAGGAAATGTACGAAGCCTTCTCGCAGCTCTTCGGCTATGTCTTCCTCGACGTCGATCCGGTGCAGTCGTTCAGGAACCGGACCGTGGCTACTCGAGCCACACAGCGCATGGGCAAGTCTGTGACTGATGCTGTCTACGATATCAAAGGACAGCTCTTCACTCGCATCAGACAAATCCTCGGCCATTCGCGACGGGGAGCAGCGCTGACAGACTATGGCCCTGAGCTTGTGAGAAGACTGCTGGATGGCGGCAAGACGGTGGACGAGGTGGTGTGGATTTTGATTCCGACTGCGGCTGCTGCTTGTGCGACGCAGGCTCAGGGGGTATATCTTCCATCTTGTTTCTTTTATATCTTGCTGACTGAATAGTGGGCGCAAATGATCGATCTCTACCTCTCGGACAAGTACTCGTCTCACTGGCCTGCCATCCAGAAACTCGCTCAGTCTGATAAACCCGATGCCTTTGAGAAACTCAAGAAATACGCTCTAGAGGGGTATGCCATCCATCCATCTTATATCTACGTATACTAATAATCAGCTTCCGCCTATCCACTCCCGCCTTTGGCGTCCTCCGCACCGCCGCCGACAAAACCACCATCAAAGACGGCATCAGCTCGACCAAAGTCGACAAAGGCGACACCATCTTCGCCGACTTCATCACGGCCGGCCAGGATCCGCTGAAATTCCCGAACCCGGAGGACATCAGACTCGACCGGCCTGGTGAGGTGTATATCCACCATGGATGGGGGCCTCACGCGTGTCTGGGTAGAACGATTGTCACGACCGCGGGAGCGGTCATGTTGCAGGTGCTGGGTAGATTGAGGAATCTCCGCCGTGCGCCTGGACCGGCTGGCGAGATGAAGAGTAAGTTGGTGAATGGGGCGTTTAAGGTGTATTTGCCGGAGGATGGGAGTGAGTGGACGCCGTTCCCGTGCAGTGAGTATTCCGATTCTGGGGTTTGTAGAGAGATGCTGATGAGGAGTAGATATGAAGGTTATGTTTGACAGGATGTTGGAGTAGTTACTTCTTTAGTCTTTGGTAGTTTAGTAATACTAGTTAATGATGCTGGATGATCGATGATGTATGATGATGTAGAAGTGACGAGCGACTTTCTGTAACACAACACTCTTCCCTTGTATGTTGAACTATCTTCATCTTCATCCACCTATTCCAACTACATGTAACTCATTTTGTTAACCAAAATGTCCTCGTACACCCCCAACAAGCCCGCCCATGGCAATCCCTTCCTCAACATCCCGTCCGACATGGACACGAACCCCTTCCGCTGGCTCTGGCAAGACATCCTCTCCGTCTTCCGTCTATCCAGACTGCTTCCCCTCATCTTCTTCCCTGTCGTTCCCTTCCCCTCTGGACCTCTGGACGAGCTCTATCCCAACTTCCGCAACCTGAGAGATCTCTCCCTGCATGCGTTCCTCATCGTCAGCCAGCTGTTCCTCCTCCTCTCGCTGCCCGTTGCGCTGGCGACCTTTTGGGCCTTCCCTGCTGTTGTCCATCTCGTGTTTTATGTTGCCTTCGCGGGTGTTACTATGACCGTGCTGTGGTTGTTGAATGGCCATCCCAGGGCTACGTGTTTGATTGGCGTCCCTAAGTCTGGTCTTCCGGTGAATGATGAGAGTGAGCTTTGGTTTTATATCAATGGGATCGCGACGGGGTATGTCACTCTTATATGATAGTACTATGCTGACTGTCTAGGACTACTTGGTTGCAGTCGAATCTCGATCTGCTGGCAGACACCTTTGGCAGGGAGATCGTGGGCATCCACAACCCAACGTGAGTATCTATCTCTCTATCTACATCACCTAACATCCTCCAGAAAAGGCCTCATCCTCGACCTCGTCGAATGCCTCATCCAACGCGATCTCGACTACAAAACCCGCGACATCAGACAAGGCCGCGCCCAGCTCCGCGCAGCCCTCAAAGCCGACTCGACCAAGAAAGTCGTCTTGATCGCCCACTCCCAAGGCGGCATCGAAGCAGCCTCCATCATCGACTGGCTCTTTGGCGAACTGTCCAACCAGACCATGCGCAAACTCGAAGTCTACACCTTTGGCAATGCAGCGCGCCAATTCCGCAATCCCCCGCTGCACGAGGATAACGGGTTGAAAGATACGCCCAGCGCGAGTGATCCCTGTCGACAGAGCCATGGGGAGAGAGTCATTAAGTACATCGAGCACTATGCGAATAGCGAGGATTTTGTAGCGAACATCGGCGTGTTAAAGTTCACATCCTCTGCTGCGGCGTATGCGGGTGGAACGCTGTTTTCGGGGAGTGTGTTTCGTAGGGAGGGATCGGGGCATTTGCTGAATATTCACTATCTGGATAGGATGTTTGGGGATGATTGTGCGTTTATGGATAGTAAGGTGGCGGTGGGGTAAGTCTCTTCTTCATTGTCTATTACGGCGCTAATAAGTATAGGGAGTCGAATGAAGAAAAGACAGTCAAGGAATTGTCGAGGCTGTTTGCGTACAAGAATGGAAAGTCGCCGGATGGTCCGGATGGTCATAGTTAATTTGTTATTGATACCATGATGTCAAGAGTATTGTTACACAGGGTGATACACAATATGCAAGGGATAGTCCTTATAACAACTACTGTGCTCCGCATTCTTAACTCCATCCCATCTTCATCATCATGGAAGAAAAAGAATCCATCCCAACTAAATACGACGACGCATTGGACTATCTCCAAACCCACAGCCAGGATGTAGACAGCATCGATCTGCCGGCTCTTCGCCGAAAGGTCGACTACCGTATCATCCCATTCATGTTTGGGTGCTTCTTCCTGCAGTCGCTGGATAAGATGCTGCTCAATGTAAGCATCCGTCTACCATCTACCATCAATGGCTATTCTAATAAGATAGTACGCCGGCGTAATGGGCCTCAAAACCGACCTCAACCTCACCGGCAATGACTTTTCCAACACGGCGACTTGGCTGAACATTGCCTGTCTCATTGCTGAGATTCCAAACGGTACCTCCCCTTCATCTTCTATAGACCATGCTAATTGTACAGTCTACTTTCTGCAGAAAGCACCCCCAGCCAAATGGCTCGGCCTCAACATCCTCCTCTGGGGCACCGTCGTCGCCGCCTCAGCAGCAACAACAAGCTACACCACCCTGCTGACCGCACGCATCTTCCTCGGCTTCTTCGAAGCAACCCTCGGTCCGTCGCTCATGCTCCTCAGCAGCCAGTACTACACGCGCGACGAACAATCCCTCCGCTTCACATTCTGGTATCTGGGTTTAGGTCTAGCGCAGATCATCGGCGGCGTCATCTCATTCGGGTTTCAGTATGTGCGGCATGCGTCCATGGCGGGGTGGAGATTGATGTTTCTCGTGCTGGGGGTTGTCACGGCCGCTGTTGGGGGGTTGATTGTGTTGTTTATGCCGGATACGCCGATGAAGGCGAGTTGGTTGGCGGAGGGGGAGAAGGTTGCGTTGCTGAAACATGTGAGTGTTAATCAGACGGGAGTGAGGAATTCGAATGTCGGGTTTTGTTGGAGGCAGATATGGGAGGCCGTGCTGGATGTGCAGATTTGGTTGTGGTTGTTGATTGCCACGCTGGTATGCCTCCTTTCTTCATCTTGATCTTCATCTATACACGCTGCTGATTATGTAGAGCACAATAACCAGCGGCGTCGTAGCAACCTACTCGACCACCCTCATCGCCAACTTCGGCTTCTCCCCTCCCCACGCCGCCCTCCTCAACACCCCCTCCGGCCTGGTCAGTATGATCTTCACCCTCCTCGTCGGCACCGGCATCCGCCGCACCGCCCACCGCTGGCTGTACATCATCGCCACCTCCCTCCCCGCCATAACCGGGGGCTGTCTCCTCGCCTTTCTCTCCGAGTCCAACAAACCCGGCATGCTGATCGTCGTGTACCTCGTCAACTCCGCCGTGGCCGTCTACCCGATCATCCTGCAGTGGGCGGCGGCGAACTGTGCCGGCGCGACGAAACGCGCGTTCACGGGACCGCTCGTCGCAGCGGGCTTCTCGGCGGGACAGATTATCGGGCCGCAGACTTTTCAGGCGAGGGATGCGCCGGGGTATAAGCCGGCGAAGGTGGTGGTTGTGGGTGTTAATGCTAGTGTGGCGGTTGTGGCGGGTGTTTTGGTGGGTTATTATGTTTGGGAGAATCGAAGAAGGGATAAGGTGAAGGATGAGGTTGATGAGGTGGATGCGAGATGGGCGGGTTTGACGGATAAGGAGAATCGGGCGTTTCGATATGTTTATTGATTTCCAGCGACAGCGACCTGTTCAGTAAGACGCGATATGGACTACAAACTTGACTAATTTTTCACTCTTCCACCATACGAATTATACCAGGTTGGTAATTGATTGAATTGAATTGAATTGAACGTGTATTATCATTGTCATTGTAACTATCGAGGCATAGGCCAGGTATATAAGAGAAAACCTATCCTGAAGCAATTAGCAACAGCCACAAAATATGGAGTGAAAATCTTGTGTAAGAATGAAGAGCTCAGAGACCCGTCTTGAAAAGGATATATATATGTTCCACATGTTTATTTCAGTGAACAAAAGGGATATGTAACATCACCGCGAGGAGGACTGGAGGGTAAAATAGCACATACCAAGTTATAAGTTAGTCGTTCTGATAGTTTGTAGATGGTCGCATCAGACCATGACAGACGATCTGCATAAAGATCAATCCAGGCAGAACTGAAGCTGTTGATGGAAGAAAAAAGGAGAAGAGTTCATTGCGGTCGCTTAAATAGGGCGCTCAGTAGGGTTAGCGCCCTTGTTTTGTCCGTTTTCAGCGATGATGTCATGCCTTCTGCCTGAGGTGTCTTTTATGCCTCGCTAGAGAGTAGTCTGGAAAGTGGATATTAATGGAGTTTGTTTATCAATATCCATCTATACATTCTATCTATACTAGATTGAACTAGAAGTGCCACTTATTAACACAGCTATCCTGCATAACTAATAGTCAGAACTTACCAACCACAAATACTCCATAGTAATGCATCAACCCCTCATGACATCTTCAACCCCACATTATGAACATGGACGATCACCCGCGAACATCTCGTATGACATCGGCTGCCTCCATCCGGACTCTTTCTTCGGCGTCTTCTATCCGGCTTCTTTCTTTCCGGAATCACCGAGGTAGTCTATATCTAGTCCAATCAGCGTATCTGGATTTATATCCACCTTGTCTAGGATATCCAATCCAGCTTCATGGTGATCGTGGCAGGGTTGAGCTTCCCCGCGTTGACGGATGAGGGTTTCCTCGGTCCGCTTTTTCATATGATTGTATTGTATAGAGCAATGATGGTGATGATGGTGATAATATTGATGTTTGTATAGAAGATGGTAGATTGTATAATGTATAGATAGATATGTAGATATAAATTCCCATGTTGTAGATATGAATATTGTATCATTAGAATATCTTTCATCGCATAAGAAACCATCAAGATGAATACAGATCTCTGGAACTACATCATCTACTCTGCATTTGCTATCATATCATACCTCATTCTAGTCTCCTCCCTTCGCTTCCAACGAGTCAACGCCCTCCGTAAAACATACAGCAAATACCAAACTAGACAATCCCTATCTTCCATGACCGACAGTGATGCCTGGACTATCCAGAAGAACATACTCCAGCTCGAGTTTCCTTTTATCTCGTTGAAATCTCTCCAATTCGCCCTCTTTAGAGTATGCATTCCTTCTACATTGATATACTTATCTAACTATACAGACATACGGCATCCCAACCATCTCCTCCCTGCTCCTCAAGACATCCCAGTTATCAGACACTGCCACTTCCTTCAAGCGCTACGCAGACACTGGCACCCTCATCGGCGAGTTCATGGCCTTCCATCCATCTTCAGATCGTGCACATACAGCCATCGCTCGCACGAAATGGTTACACACGGGATACAGAGCTAGTGGTAGTATTCTCGAAGAGGACATGCTCTACACGCTTAGTCTGTTTGCATGTGAACCTATTCGCTTCATTGAAGAATATGAATGGCGCAGTTTGACGGAGTTGGAAAAGTGTGCTATAGGTACATACTGGAAGAGTCTGGGTGACGCGTTGAGTATTAGCTATGAGTGTCTTCCGTCAGGCAAGATCGGATTCAGAGACGGGATTCATTGGCTTGAAGAGGTGGGAGCTTGGAGTGCAGAATATGAAGCTGCGAATATGCATCCTCATCCGAGGAATAAGGAAATTGCAGATAAAACAATGGACGTGCTGGTCTACGCTCTCCCGTCGTGGCTGAAGCCAGTCGGGGTATATTTCGCTTCGTTCATCATGGACGACAGGCTTCGAAAAGCAATGATGTCTGTCTCTCCACCTATCATTTACAGCTTCTACTAACGATCAGATCAGGTACTCCCCACCGCCCCCTCAATACAATCACATTTTCAACACCCTCATATCAACCCGCAAATTCCTCCTCCGCCATCTCGCCCTCCCCCGTCCATACTTCCTCCGCTACGAAGCCTTCACCGAGTCCCCTGACTCCAAAAGCCGCCATTTCATGCTCGCCTGGAACGGATACCCGTATTACGTGCAGCCGACGCTGTGGAATCGGTACGGCCCGTCTGCGTGGTTCGCGCGTGCGATGGGATTACCCCTGCCTGGTGATGAAGGTGAGAAATACTACCCGCATGGATATCGAGTGGAGGATCTAGGGCCGAGATATTTCGAGGGAAAAGGGAGGGCGCAGATTGACGGGATCAAAGAGGGGTTGGGCGTGCAGAGGAGGGGGCAGTGTCCGTTTGCGTGATAATCTAGGCAGAAAACACCTGCATATGTGCGTGTCTGCGGGAAATTCAAGGATGAACAGCCACCGTGTATGCGGTTCTGGCTGTATCCGCTAATGATCGGCTGGCGCCTAATCCGTGGTGGTGATAAGCCGACGCCAGTTTTGACGCTATTCCGAAACACAGCGTATGCAGGAGCCGAACAATAAAAATAGCACATTAGTTCTTAAGCACGTTTCTCCCGGATTTTCCGTAGAACAAACTCAGCTTAAATATTTATCTTTATATTAATCTTAATCTAATGAATGAAACTATCCCATCGCCCCCAGGTTGGGTGGATGAGCCCGACGGCCGCGGAACATGGGGCATTCTGTCAACGTGCATTCTAACCATTATCCTCTGCTGCTGGACGTCTGTCTTCCCGAATATTCGCGGACAGTCGGACGGACCAATCAGACAGTTGAAATATAAATTCGATCTCGCTTGTATTGGGCTGCTAGGGCCGGAGTTTCTGTTGATGTTGGCGTTGGGGCAGTGGTCTTCTGCGCGGGCTTCTGTGGAGGTATGTATCCTCTTCTTATTCTTAAGGAGCATACTTACGAGATAGAAATTCCGAGCGATGGGATATAAAAACTGGACGCTTAGCCATGCCTTCTTCGCCGACATGGGTGGTTTTGTCATCGAAGTGCCAGGAATGACGTTTCCCATCGACGCGGAGCAGTTATATAGATTGATTGAAGGGGGATACATCGACTATCCACACCTCGACGAAGAAGACATAAAAGATAAAAGCAAATCAGACGGTCTCACACGGTGAGTATTCCATACTCTGCTGTCTAATGAAGCTAATAAACAGCCTCATCGCCATCCTCCAAGCCCTCTGGTTCTCGATCAACTGCATCCTCCGCGCCGTCCAACACCTCGCTCTCACCACCCTCGAACTCACCACTCTCTCCTTCATCATTATCTTCCTCGTCACCTCGTACTGCTGGCACCATAAACCCATGGACATCTCTCGCCCTATTACCTTATCCCTCAACTATCCCCTCGACATAATCCGCTCCCACCACCACCAACCCCTTGGCGAATGGTACCAAACGCCTTTATCGTTTCTGTCTCGCGATGAGTGGTTCTGCAGTCGCTTTTGGCGGTATTATGTGCGCATTCTGCATTATCTGCGTGTCCCGCTTTTCACCCGCCCGAGAACGATTCCCTACGATCGCATACCCAGTGATAATTTTCCAAGAGTGGATGTCTGGGCGGAAGTTATTTGTGCCCCGGCTATACTCTTCTTCAGTTGTATGTTTCTGTTTGCGTGGAACTTTTCGTTTCCGTCAACGGTGGAGAGGGTGTTATGGCGGGCTGCGAGTGTTTATACGCTCGCGTTTGGGCTGGGAGGGGGCATCTTTTGTGGATATTGTCATAAAATGATGTTTCCGAAGCGTATAGAAAGTGAGGTATTGCCTGGTTGCGAGAAGAAGACGGCGAAGGGATGGCTGGGTAGGGTTGCGGATAAGCTGAGAAATATCCATCCTGATAAGGATCCGGAGTTGGAGATTCCTCTGCGAGTGTTTATCCCGCTTACGATGCTGTGTTCTGTGTACTGTGTTTGTCGGGGCTTCATACTCGTCGAGGATATTATTGGGTTGAGGAAGTTGCCGGATACTGCCTTTGATACGGTGTCGTGGTCGAAGTATATTCCTCATTGGTGATCCGCTATATGGGTATATTGCAGTCTATGATGCGGAAAGAAACAAAATGAAAACAATCAGAAAAAAGAACCCCAAACCCCTAAATGCAACCGCTTTAGCATGCCACCGGTTTCAAAGCATAGTCACGATCATTGGTGGCTCTCCAGAGCAGCTTGTTCAGTTGCTCCTGCAGGTCTTTTGACTTCATGCGTGCCACCGGCTCAACAACGACCATATGCCCCATGATTAGATGGAGAAGATCGTGTATTACCTGCGAAGAACGTTCGTGGTAATGTAGCCTCTCGACCCAAGTGCAAACTTTTGGCCGGACAATTGCCTCCTTATCAGACGTGATGGTGTAGAAGTTGTCATCATTGATCAGCATCTCCTCGGACCATTCACCGCGGTAATCAGAGAATCCCTCAATCTCCTTGAACCCCAGCACAAGCCAAGTCACAAACTCCAGATACACGCAGCCCAGGCTCCACATATCATATACTCGCGAGACAGAACGTCCAATCTTACACTCGGGGGGCTCGTACGTTGGCGAGTAAGGTACAGTGCTGGCGTGCGTTCGCGATCGAGAATCTCGGCCGTGGAATCGCCCCAGGCCAAAGTCAGCCAGTTGTATAACCCCCATAGGATCGTCAACACCGGGGGTATCTTTGAACCAGAGGAAGTTTTCCGGTTTGATATCACCGTGACGCCCATAGAGCTTCTCCTGGTCTTGCACCTGGATGATAGTGCCGTCGGCCACCTCGACTTTCCTGGGGATTTTGCGGTGGAACGTGCCGACAAAACTGTGAATGCGGGCCAGGGCACTGGCGATGCCAACCATCTGCTTCAAGACCCACTGGATGGTGTCTTGATCGAACACAGGCATGCTGTGAACCTCCCAGTATGCGCGAAGGTTCGAATCAGCAAAGGGGAACATCAAATGCCATTTTCCACCTTGCTGGAAGGTTGATAGTAGTTTGATCAGATGAGGGTGGCCCTTGGGAGTTAACTGTATGAGAATTTCCTGTTCTCTTTTGAATTCCTCTTCCTCTGACTGGATGAGTCGCTTTATAGCGACTACTGGGCCGGTAGACTGATACATTCGTTAGTTAGATGGTAGTACAAAGGTGTGATATGCAAGGACCTACCTCTGGGTCTGCGATTGCACTCCATCGGTGGTGCGTGTGGTGGATCCGGACTGGATATACTTCGCTATACCCCCCACTATCCAAGCTGGAATTTTTGTCTTCGAACGGGACAGTGGGTAGCACGACGTTCTCGTCGAGCTCGTAATGCTCCAAGTCTTCGAAGATAGGGGCGAGGAACCACCACTGGATACGGTCAAACTTCTCGCGACATCCGCTGTTCCATCCGACGACAGATTTCACTCGTCTTCCATGCTTCGTTTGTAGACTGAAGTGTTTTGTGCCATTGACTCTTTGCAAAGGAAGACTGGCGTCTAAAATCCCTTCATCGAGGAAAGGTTGGATGTCTGCCTGCTTCTTGATCAGGACCAGGATTGCAAACAGGGCTCTCCCACGGGTGCAGATTTCCTCGATCGTGCTTTGCTGGACCCTTGGACGGTCGATTTGTGCAGCTATTTCCGAAACAATGTCCCTGTTGATAAGGTCATACTGAATCTCCCGGGGGATGTAGAAGCGATGGTTTGCGGTGTCTTCGGTTCGGGTATTTCTGAGCTGCTCCTTGAGCCTTTTTGCTGGGCCATCCGAGTGGGTGACGCTGGATGGTGGTGAATCCGGGGGAGTGAACAGTGTACTCATAATTGCAACTGGGAGATATCGTTTCGTAGTCGACTAACGACCCTACTTATGCCTGTTATTGGGGACTATTGGAACGGGACCGGGTCCACTTACCAGTATACCCCTCCTTTATATTCCCAAGGATCGGATGGAACGAAGAAACTGACATAGTAAGGTGGTAGAAATGGCCTAAATGAGTGTTTATAGGAATATTGTATATAGCGGTGTATCCGGGCGAAGCAAGGCAAAACTGATGGACAGCAAAGCAACCACTCAGTTGTGTTTTGGAAAAGAGAGCCGTGTTCCTGCCCAAAAAGACGGACAAGGCTATCGCAGCTATTTTTTAATTTTTCTTTTCTTTTCTTTTCTTTTCTTTTCTTTTCTTTTCTTTTCTTTTTTTTTTTTTTACGGACGATAATACTGGCTGTGTGGTGTATTGATCTGCGAGCACTTGCCCCAGATGACCCCTCATCCTAGGCAGTTTAATGCGTGATTAGTTTGTCGACGGCCAGGTTAGTGGTGTCCCAGCGGCTAAGGAGGCTGCGGCGACAAGGCTTCACTCAGAGGGTGAATTGGTCATCTTTAGCTTGTTTCAGAAGAGGAAGGTGCAATAGAACAATCGCTGAATCTCGCAATAATATCCGGGCACACTCAGGTTAAAACGCCTTCCATCATTCGTCCCTGCCCGTCCCCCTCCGTACGTTCCGGATCTGATATCGAGTTTGTTTGTCTGGCTCGGACACCTAATCGGCGATGTCACCCTTGTCTAGCGCCTTACTCGATCTTTTCCTGGGACACCCGGCCAGCTGTTCTTCGCGGTGAGCCTTCTGCGATTTCTCGCGGGAATCCCTGCTCTATGTCCTCGATGCCCCTCGGTGACATCATCCTCCACATGTTCCTCCTATCCCTGCCCCCCACGAGAGAATCACTCCGATATCGTTGATGAAGTGGCGAGGCAAACCGCACGCACAGCCACCATAGAGCCACCGTGATGATAGTCAGAGGGACAGACACCGCAGCCAGAATCCAAACCTGGGGTGAGATTTGCATGCTTCCGTTGCTGCCCGAAACGAATTCCGTAGAGAAGAAATTCTGTCCAGTTAGATGTTGTTTGCTATGCAGGGTGATACGACTTACGGCGACGATGGTGGTAGGGAGGTAGATCAAACTGATCACCGTCAAGACTTTGACTGCGGCTGCATCTTTGGTGCTTTGAAACTGCTCGTGTTAGATGGGATATCATTGTGTTTCTTTAACATACTGCAAGTAAAGACATAACCTTGCCCTCTTCTTGGGACTCTTCCGCGAGGCCTTTCATTGCGTTGGCCTCTTCGTAGGATAATAAATCGGTCAACTAGCCACGTTAGTAGATATCATCGTATACAAATATAACCTACAAGTCGAGTAGTAGACTCCATTCTCTCTTTCAGCACTTGTACTCGTTGAATATTTCTCTTCGTATCATCAATATTATCATCGAATTCCTCCAGTAAATTACCACAATCACATGGTGGGGCGAGGCTGCATACTCGAGAGCAATATCGGTGGCAAATCTCTCGGACACGTGTAATATTCTCCAGCATCGTCGGAAGAATGACTTGCAGACTCGATATGGAGTTCTCCAGATGTTTCAGATCCTGTATGTCATCGAAACGGAACTTGTAATTGGTTAAGTTGACGTCGTTCTTATCACCCACTGTTGCTAGAAGGATAGGTTGGGCCTGATTGTCAGCTGTGTACTTTGAACATAGTAAGTAGTAGACATAACATACTCTTTCTTGTAGTTGATCTTCTATCCAAGATAGATACTCTGTCCATCCTCTTCCGCTGTCTGCAACCAGTAACCCGTGAACCATCCAAGGATTCAGCTCTTCTGTAGCAGCAGTATTCATTGTATGCGATAGTCCGTTCCTAAAGTCAGGCGACGGGGAAATAAGAAGATAGACGGATCTGTATTGTTCTCCATCGTCCCTTGGGCCCAGTTGATGATAGACGGCCGTTTGACGGATCGACCACGGTGATTCTCCCGGTCCACATTTGCGTCCATTCAGTTCGACACGACGGAGTATATACGATATTTCTAATCTGTCAATCTCATAGCAACAATCTGGTAGACATAACATACCATATTTCTCGCCTTGGTTTGTAGTGGAATGTTTGGAGCAAGGACCAGGAAACATAAATTCATTCTCTTGAAGCTTAAATCCAAGAGCAAAGATGGACTTCCATATATCCGGGAAGACGAAGTATGTATCGAGAAATTTCTGGAAGAGTTCTTTGGATATGCCTAATCTAGCCCAGGTATTCCTCTGTCGAATGATGAACAGCTGCGAGTGCTGGCATGCAATCTATGGAGTACACAGTTAGCAAGTTAGCAGTAGTCAAGGATATTCTTACCCTTTTCCATAGCTCTATCTGTGACGCATTTACTATTTGACTGGTGATATCGGCAATATCATGGCTTGATTTGCACAACCGAATAGCTTCTAGTTTGCTCTCTCGTGCATCGGCCTGGAATGTATGACGCGACCGTCGCTCAATCCTGTCTTTGAACAAGTCCATTTTCTCGATAAAACCTGACTGTAGAAAAACTTGCTCGGAGATTTAGACATGCGTATATTCTATATCTGATGCTATTCGTAAGGCTTCATCTTTTGCTTCCGTGTACCAATCATACAAAATGACGCAGCCTCATCACTTTGCCCACCCCGCCATAAAAGCCAGGCCACGTTAGCATCTCATGCAAATGAGAGGTTATAGCTAGTTGCTTTGGGCAGGCACTGCTGTCCAATATACCAGACCAAAACAGAATTTCTTTTGGAATTACCCCATAAAACAAAGCGTGTAGCTCCATGGGGAAAAAACAGAAAAGAAAAAAGAAAATGCATTCTAATTCGTCCATCTTGGTTCATCCGAACCAGCTCTTGGATAACCGAATATCAAAAATCAAATCGCAATGTATATGTCACATAAAGCATTCATATAACCTCCCATCTATTGGCACATTAACGTATAAATATTCATGGTCGAAGTCTCTGGCGAGTTCGACAGGCCCTTATATCGTCCTTGTTGAAAGTTAGCCATTTTCCACCAGACTGATATGTCACATGAACATACCTCCGTCAGATCAGGCCCGTCTGTTGTTCGATATATCTTGTATTTGTTGAGGCGGAGCTTTCGAGATATCAGCATTGGATGCTTTATGTATTCAATATTGGTGTCTTCGAACCTCAACATAAAAATTATTTTTCCCTTCCTCAGAAATGCCATAGACGTTTCGTAGTAGCTTGATGAGTTTTCGTGGGTCAACACATTTGCCGTCAATTTGTTGCATGGAAGTCATGGTGAATTATTAGGTAAATATTAAAATGATATTAGAAAAAAGAGATCCTCTAAATGTTAATCGAAATTGATTATATGTGTGTGGCAGCTGCCTTAGGGGCGCACGAATGGGCTCAGCATGAATACTTAAATACCCCCCAAGGCCCTCGGAGCACCCGGGGATCATATACCACATACGCAACTCTCTAGTTCCTCCTGTGTAGCATTCATTATATTAGTTTACAATTTGACTAAGAAAACGGGGCCGTCAATCAGCAGGCTATCAAGGGTGGCGGTGTGTATGCAACTTATCAATTATGATGTACGTTACCTTAGTCAAAGTTCTTGGTGCTTCCACGATTATGTGGCCATTTTTCTTCTACAGGGAGGGGTGTTGGTCAGCCCATATCCAGCTAATGGAGGGGAAGGGAGGGGTAGGAGTTGATGAGAAAAGGCCGGGTTTGCCATAAGTTCTCACCTGAACTCTACAGGGTTGGCTGGGGAAGAGCGCCTTCAGCAGGCTGGCAAGCCTGTGATCATCCATATAGCGCATTATCATGGTCTGGGTCATGATGGAGCAGATCCCGAATGTCTTATGAGTTTCACAAATGCAACACTCCTGTCTGAGTGAGCCTTGTCTTGTGGGACCTAGTCTCGGGGGAATATGCCCGCTTATGTGTCTTGAAACGACCTGAGGCTCTTAGAGCCGGAGGAGTACCGCATTATCCTGACTGATTATGAGTTTTGGGACGATAATCGTGTATACAACTTTTCTGTGGTGGTTTACCCTTGAGTTGGTGTTCATGCAGACGGGTTCCGAGATTCCGTGTCTCGAAATGACCAACTCAAGTCTCAACTGAAGGGATAGACATGCATTTGAATGCACAGCGACTGATGGGGTAACTTGAAAAACGGGACACCTCGGGTAGTGCGGAGACGATTTGGAGTCTACATTAGTCTGGGTCAATCACTTACTCCATACTGATAGATAGTGCCACACAAAGGTCGAATGAGCGGTCAGGAACAGGGATGCTGGTTTGCTTCCTGTTATTTCTTTGACGCCATATGCGAGGAGCCTTTGTTTCTGGACGGGTAATTACTCTCGTCCTGGGCTAACCCTGTTAACTGAGAAAGATTGTGTGAGATTCTTTTATTGGCGGGCTGGGCGCTTCCCAGCTGATCCGCCATGGTTCATCCTAGCAACCGAATCGTGATAGGCACACGTGGATCTGAAGATTCTTTTCTTTTTTTGTAGGAAAATAATAATAATAATAATAATAATAATATATATATATATAAGTGAAAGTCACAAATGAAACTAAAGATCACTACAACCACTTCATAAAAAACCCTACCATGCTGGATGACTTTGGAAATCTCATTCTGAGTAAGGGCGTCTTGAATGTGAGCAGTAAGGGTGACCTCTCCGCTGATAAGGCCGTATTGGGCGAGAATATAAAACTATCTATGCAGAAAGCAGACTTTGGATGCCTTCAAACCCACAGGGTCTCTTTTGGGCGCTTTCGTGAGTCAATTAGAGCCCTGAGCGGATATTTCTCGGTATATTTACGTTCCATAGACGCAAGTATGACTCCTTTCATGTTGGTTGAATCAAGTCCTGTAGCTGATCTAATATATTACATAGTATCCCTTTCTTTGAGCCAGAAGCAGCACTAGTCTCCCTAAATCTGTGCTAGCTTTGGCCTAGAGGCGTCGCAATATTGACAACTCAACTGTTGGCTTTGCTGTACAGTTCACCATTCTCGTGTCGATCACACCTTTTGTGTCTGCGTTTTATGTCTCGCGTCTGGTGCTTAAGACCAATAGGATCTGTTCTAATTTCTTTAGATTGTGGAAAGGCAAAAAAATTTTCAGTGAAGGTCGTGCAAAAGAATGGCGTGGAAGGATTCTGACATCGTATTTCTGTGGATAGAGTCCATTGATGAGGCGCTCTTAGACCTCATGCTCTCACGAATTGGCCGGTTTCCGCTTGTGCTCGACGCCTGACTCCCCATCGTCAGCGAATCCAATCCAAGGAAGCGCCATGAATGCGAACGAATGAAAGTGTTCTGCAACGTGGTCGACGGATATGGAGTCGCCTCCCTGACCGGAATTGCCGCATATAGGGCAGCTGTACGAGTGCAGTTCCAGTTGTGTTCAATTGAGCAGACACTCGAATCTAAGTGGAGGTAAATGACTTGTCATTGCCACAAGTCTCCACGTGACGGATCCATTCAGTCAACAGTGGATACTTGGCACAGCTGTCGGGAATGGCCGAAAATGGGCATATCCAGTATTTCATGGTGTGGCTGATGCAGATGCTTCATCCATTCCTTTGACAAATACAACTGGTCCTGGGATGAGCAATCCTTAAATATACAAGTGTATGGCAAGGGTCTTGGGGAGCATGAGAGCACGAGATCTATAAAATTAGACTCTTCTCAATATATGTCACAAGGGCAAGCATACCTCCATCCTTGATCAATTGCATATTGATTGGTATTATGTAAATGGAAACAGTAGGGACATTGAAGCAGTTATACCATCTCCGATCTCAGACGCCTTGGGATATTCTATCCGAGTTTCATTTGCCAAAAGTCTTGATGGCATTGACCGCAACCTCTTGGGGCATAGGCAATTGAGGTTGAGTGGTAGAATCTGCCATGCTATCTGCTTGTGAAAAGTTGAAGAATCTCCCTCACTTTCTTGTGGTAAAAATTCTATTCCGTCTCACAATGTTGGCATGTACCATACGTTTTTGAATTGGTGTTAGCCTTCCTGAGTTTAAGATGAATGCTCCCATGACGATCTTCACTGCCAGAGGTTGGATGCCTCGATGGGTTAGAGATGGAGCATGGCTTGTCCAGCTGTATTGCTTATGGCCAAAAGGTAGAATGGACTTGAGATGACGCTCAAACTCGGCACGTTCATCCTTTCTCAGCGAATTATCTGCATGAAGATAACGAAATTGATTTCCAGCTTTGCGAATGGCCAAACCAAGTCGCTCAGTTGATCCAAAATTGCTGTAACATTCCGGGTCTTTCCAAGAAGCGAAAATTGGAAGAAGACTTGATATTGATCCATTTCCGGATTCATTGCATCTTCATCTTATCTTCATAAATCAGACCATGATTTGTCACTATCATCGTGCTCAATCTCGAAGTCTTCAACATGGCCCGTTGCAATTTGTCGGCCTTGTGTCCAGGAAGACTCTAACCTTTGCAGAAGAGATCTGATGACATCTCTTGCATCGCCTCGCTTCCAAGGGCGATAGTCAGGCGATGCACAGCTGATATTCACTGCCTGACACCTAGCCAACCATAAATCAGTCTCCTAACCGATTGTCGATCCAGCTATGGATATTAATGTAGCACGAAAAAGGTTTCGCTCGGGTTCCATACCTTTGCGATAGAATCCCACTTTCTAAGGAGCCGGTTCTGAAAATCCCTTACCCATGGTTATCGAAGTAAATGTGAACAAACGAAATCATGGCCCGGTATCAAAGTGGGATGATGCTCGCATCAGGCCCACGTAAAACGGAGTGGCAAGCCAGGGGGGTTCACGTGAGATTTGCCAGGAATGCTGCTGGAGCCTTGTTATTTGGGACATATCTGGGACATTAAATGAGTGAACTTGACCTCCCACTCTCGCAGGGTATACCATTTTGCCACCTCGGTACCTATTTTATGGATATATTTGGTACCTTCCTCCTTAGGTTTAGTTTTAAGTAGTACCTGGTTTTAATGTATTGTCCTTGAGGTTAACCTCGAAGCAGCCCCCTAGATACACTAATGTTTTGGTAGGTACTTTGTTGGTTATAAGGTGCTGGCTGTTTATCAGTATCTCTTTAGTTTTCTCAGTAGGTATAATAGTCACTCAAGAGACTAGTATATACCCAGATTGGAATCTACATGTGACATACTCAATACACGGTATAGGTTAAGCACATTTCCATATGTGCATAGTATTAATTTTTACTATCTTTGTTAGTTGCGATAGTTCAAATGTAGTATTCGAATATTGATAGGGACATGATCTATCTAGTTACAGACATCTACATCCACACTAGCGCGGGGCCTCCTTTGCTCAAAAACATCTCTTGTTTATCCAATTTCTGTGAATCATCGAAGAGGTGAACCTCGGTACTGTAGTCGGTATTTATATTGGGACTTCCGCCAGGGTCGAGAAACTCGAGCTGGTGATGCCGTTCTATGCGGGTTCTGAGCTCAATCTTTCGGGAAGTCACAAATAAATAAATGATGGATCTAATGGTATTGAAGGATGTCTTCAATGTAGAATGGGAGATGTATTTCTGGTGATGAGTATTCAGTTGATGACTGAGCTCTATATGGCTTTGTCAGTATGGCTTACGAGGTTTCGTAGATGCTCACAGGCCTGACATCAGGGATCCAAGATTGTTTTTATCTCGCAGACGGATCATCAAAGTAACTCGATAGACTTTTTCATTGAATCTTGAGCCACCCATGTCGAGTGAGTTGGAAGAGGGGCCTCCCCATGACAGCTGGCAGAGCATCATCATTGGCTTAGATTGCTTCGGACCCCGCCTTTATCTTCCACGTCAGTGTACAATGAAATCGTTAGAGGCGCCCTTCTCAGTTTAAAAGCATTTTGATGATTATGCTAGCTGACATCCTCACGCCACAAAAAGAGGTTTCCATGGGTAAATGCGAGTTCGTCTTGCGACAGCATCCTTATCCTCCCCCACGAAATGGCCACGGCCCGATCCGCCTGCAACCTCCACCAACTCGATCGTGTGATTAATTGGCCCTCATCCATTCCTGCGAAGACCGTATACTCCATGAATTGTGATTTGGCATGGGCAGACTGCCGTGAATAATTGAGCGGTGGCCTGAGTGTCGGTGTGTCAATTCCTGCGACTCCAGGACTGTCAGTCGGGCCAAGTGTTGGTGTCGCTTTCCAGCGCTCTGTGAGCATTTATTGGGAGTTCGAGTCCCTTTATACCGATATAATCTAGCCCAAGACGGCCTATATGAAGCATAATGTCGAGAGTCATTCGGTCCAAAGCCATGTTGAGCAGAGGGTGAAAATAATCAGCGGGTGTGGTAGCAGGTCTCATCACAGCCAAAGGCGCTCTGAAATGTTGATCACAGAGGACATGCACGCATCGAGGTCGACAAATGTAAGTAATTCCTATCTCTGATTGGGGCATTATCTAACCTGTGTCCTATTTAGAACAAGGTCCACGTCGGTAATTCTCAATGTATGTGCGGGTATGGATATTGGCAGGACGACAGATATAGTGTTTCTATATCAGGGAGCTAGAGATTTGTCTGGAATATTTGGTTGACTAGAATATCTAAGAGTTTCTTTTCGGGTTATCTTGATTACAAGAGCCATGTGAAGGGTCTACATTCACGACCAGGCTCCTCTGCAGATCTCTTCGACAATACCGTTGAATCCGTATCTGATGATACTGAGACATTTGTAATCCCGCCTGACCGGTGATGACGTTTTTCAGTGGATAAACTCGCAGAGGGCCACATAACCGAGGGCATATTGGCATAGGTCCAAGTCTTGAATGGGATACGCTCTGGTTTCGCTTTTGTCTACTCATTTCCGCGGTCTTTATCACTTCGAATGATCTGCATTCTACCGCCTACTAAGATGGTAAGAGCATCAGTACAAGTTTCCTAATTAACACTACGGAGTACTCCGTATTCTCTCTTCAAGGTAGCCACATGACTTCATACACTGACTAAATAGAGCATTGACAAAACTGTTTTCTACAATGCAGATAGCAAGTCAATCAATCCCAGGTTTGTGGCTTAAACTAGCGATCATATGCGAATTGTCTTCACCGAAAAAATGGCTCAAGGTGCGGACAAACGGAGATCAGTGCGCTAGGGCCAATTGCCCCCTAATGGTTGCCTTTTTTTTTTTTTTTTTTTGTGCACTTAACCGATTACCGGTAGTCTTGCGAGCGGCGGAAGAAGAAATTTCCAATGGCTGGTTTTGTTGGCAATGAGACTGCGACGTGGAAGTGAGATTACTGGTTTATTGTCAGCAGAATCAGTTACAACATTGGATGACATTATCAGAATGGTGATCAATTCATTATGCATTATCAAAGCCCAAAAAATGACAAAGAAGAACTCTTCCTCGACTTTCTCGTCTCCTTATCCAGTCCCATCAAGTTATACACGGCCATCTGCGCGCCTCGGACAGTATAATCCATCGTGACAGTTTCATCTGGGATGTTCACAAACCGGCCTATCAGCGCCATATTCATCATATGCTCTGGAATCACTTTGGGTCTGTCGGTTGTGTCACGGGGGAGGAACGTGGCCGCCATACGAGGCATGACGCAGGGAATGGTGATGGAATCAGATAGGATATCGGGAACGGGAAAGTTGAGATGGTGGAGTAATTCAATCATGATTTCCTCGCCGGAGCACGACAGCATGGGCTTTTTGATATAGTCGCCTGTTCGGTCTGGGTATGATGCGTAGCCCCAAAACACCTGAATGTGTTCGGGTTGGTTGGGGAAGAGTGGTTGATGGGGGATGCTGAGGGTGAAGAGCCATGGGCTGTCTTTTAACGTCACCAGTGCTCCAGTGCCGGGTTCATCGCCTGTCAATTCAATGAAGGCGTTGAAGAATGCCGGCGTGCGGAGAGTGACGGTGAACGACTCAAGTTGTGATTCATTCATGCGCGTGCAAAAGTTGTACGCATTCCCGAATTTGGCATCTTTTGTAGCCAGTTCCAGCCAGAGCAGCCAGTTCTCGTCGAGGCCGTTCTCTTCGCCCATTAATTCCAACGAGGGAGGCTCTGTGTTTGTGCCGCTGGATGAGCCGGACATGATGGAGCCTAGAGATACGATCACGATATCGTTCTGTCTGACTGCGATGGTCTTTTCTGTACAATTCTCCACATATCTGATTGTGGATACTCGCCGATGATCGTCTGCCGGATCAGTGATGATATCCGTCACCCTGCTGTGGAAGCGAAAGTCGACGCCTTCGTGTTGCAGAAAGTGGGTGATGGGCACGACGATCGATTCGTAATGGTTGAATCGTGTTCGATCCAGAACTCTGGGATGGTTTAATTCGTCAAAGTCGTTGTAGAAACGATGCAGAGAGCGCCGGAATTCAGCCACGCTGTGGCATTCCCGGAAGCCGGATCTAGACGGTCAGTATCATATCTTCATCTCTTCATATATGGACAGATGACATACGTCGTCGACCATACGATCCAAAACGTCGTCTTGAAGAACCCCTTCCCAAAATACTCTTCAATCCTCATCCTCCCCAAGCCCCTCTCCGTCTTCGTCATGAGCATCATGATATCCATCCTCTCCTTCATTCCCAAGCCTCCCCTCCGCCCATCCACCCTCTCCAACCCCTTACTCCCCCTCACCAACAACCTCGTATTCGCTCTGTCCTCAATCCTCTCTTTGCTGTTAAAATCCTTTATCTCCTCTTTGATCGTCCTGCCAGACCCATTCCCCATGGGCACCAACGAGAGCAAATCCTCCATGCACACATCGTTGAACCCCGGCATGCAGCCAGCCCGGTAGTCGTACCCGTTCACCGGGTCGCCGGAGCTAATTGACCCTCCGCCGCTTATTGTGCGCGATTCGAGGATGTGGATGCGATGGGGTGGGAGGTTGGCGTCGCGGAGGAGATGGACGGCTGCGCTGAGTGACGCAATGCCGCTGCCGAGGATCCAGGCGTCGAGGTCGGGTTGGGATTGGGATTTGGGTTTGTCGGGCATGTTGATTAATTAATTAATTAATTGACCAACGGGTGATGGGCATTGTGGTTTGATTCAAAGCTTGATTGATAATTGATTGATTAATGGTGATGGTGATGATTTTGCACGTCGTTATGAGGTTGCAAGTATGTGACGTTACCATATCCGGCGATACCAGAGGGCGGCGTTGCATCAACATTATTGCATTCATCTTTCTATATGATTGCTAATATCTGGCTGAGGCATGGCTAGATTGATTAGTTATTGTCTGCCATTACAAGTATACTCCAGCCACAAAGTTTACTTGTCGGAGTCCTCTCAATCAACGGATGAGTCGTACCACAGCCAGTAAGTGTCAGCTGATCTATTTAGATTATATTATCTATTCCTTCAGAATAATCTAATAAATGTAATATGCATCGGAGTCAACAGTTAACTCCGTATCTGGGCTCCGTATCTGAACTCCGGTTAACTCCGGTCCATATCAACTTAGCCGATCTATAAGATACAAGATAGAACACCAAACAATAAACCCATCAAGCCTAGATACAATATCAGAATACAGAATGCCCCTAACCTGGCTCATAACCGGCTGCTCCTCCGGCTTCGGCCTCTCCCTCGCCCGTCTCGTCCAAGCAAACGGCCACTCTCTCATCGCCACATCCAGAAACCCATCCCGCACACCCTCGCTCGTCTCCGAGATCGAATCCAACGGCGGGAAATGGCTGTCTCTCGACGTGGACGATTTGAATTGTGCATCTCTCATCCACGAACTCGAGTCAGCAGGTCAGCATATCGACGTTCTCGTTAACAATGCGGGTTTCTCCATTCTCGCGCCAGGCGAGATACTCACCGACAAGGAGTTGAGGGATATGATGGAAACGTTGTATTTTGGGCCGCAGAGACTCATCCAGGCCGTGCTGCCGTATATGCGGGGGCGACGGAGTGGTGTTGTTGTTAATGTGAGTAGTGGTGCTGCGTTGGAGGGGAGGGAGAGTATGGGTGGGTATGCGGCTGCTAAGGCTGCGATGGATGGTATGTCCTCTATTATCTTATTCAAATAAGATCTGTATATTGATGAATAGTAGGAATGGCACGAGTGCTCTCCAAAGAAGTCACCCCTTTCAAAATCCGTATCCTCACCCTCTGGCTGGGAACATTCAACACAAACTTTGGCAACGCCATACCACAACACACGAATCCCATTCCGGACGACTATGAAGGTACTCTCGTGAGCACCTTTATGAAAGCCATTACCGGAGGTAACTTCACACCCGATGGGGATAAAGACAAAGCCATGAAAGCGCTGTACGAAGTCGTCGTCGGTGAAGGCGTGGGTAAAGGTCTTGAAGGAGAGAGGTTTCTGCCATTAGGAAGGGATATGGCGGCGAGGGTTAAACAGGTGCAGGATCAGTATAGCCATACGATGGATGTGTTTGGGGGTGTTTGTAATAATGTGTATAGAGATAACTAGCTGTGATTGGATTATTTGACTTTTCTTTCTAGGAATGTCATAACTAGTCCCGCGATGTCGTTGAGATTACTCTCGAGAGCAAAATGGCCTGCATCGATGAGATGAACCTCAGCATTTGGCAAGTCCTTTTTAAACGCCTCCGCACCAGCAGGAATGAAGATAGGATCATTCTTCCCCCAGGCTGCCAACAGTGGAATCTGCGATTCACGCAGATATTCCTGAAACTTCGGATACAGCTTCACGTTCTCCTCGTAATCCCTAAACAGATCAAGCTGGATATCTGCATTCCGATCCCGACACAGCAACGAATAATCCAACCAGTACGTCTCAGGCGGGATAACCTCTGGATTCTTCGTTCCAGTCAGATACTGCGCCTTGGTCGTCTCAAAACTCAACACAGATCGTAGAGCCTCTCTGTCCTCTCCACTGTTACTCTCCCAGTACTTCTTGACTGGATCCCAGAACCCGCCTAGACCCTCTTCGTACGCATTCCCGTTCTGGCTGATTATTCCGGTGAACAAAGTCGGACGTTGCAGGGCCAGACGGAGCGCAATCGGCGCCCCATAGTCGAATATGTACACGGCGCATTTGTCAATCTGCAGTGCGTTCAGAAACGCGCTCGCCGTGTTGGTGATGTTCTCGAATGTATACTCATAGTCATCCGGGACGGTGGTGAACCCGAATCCTGGGAGATCTGGTGCGATGACGCGATAGTGTTTGGACAGAAGGGGGATGAGGCTTCGGTATTGGTGGGAGGAGCTGGGGAAGCCGTGCAGGAGGAGGAGGGTTTTGTTGGTTGGGCAGGTTGGGTCGCTGGATTCGCGGTAGAAGATGGTGAGGTTGTTGATCTTGGTTTGTTTGATGAGGGTCATTTTGAGAGAATTTTTTATAGACTAGATGGTATAGAGTAGATGGTAGCTGTTGTTTGGGTTGTTGATTTTAGAGTAGGGATGATATCATATGTCATTATGATCTATGTATCAGTTATGAGATAATAGATCACCATTACACTTACAGATCAAACAGCTATCTTATCAATCAATTAGTAAGTACTCCTAATAAGTAGGCATGGATAAACAGAAGTGAATATGCAAGAAACTGCGGCAGTTGGAGGCTGTGTTATATCCTTGTTCCGATGGCGGGTAATGTTTTATATTAAACACTGCCAACTTATCCATATATAAGCAGTGTTTTCCCATCCGATCATCCATTGCTAAACTTGATTCATTGGCACATTTTTTGTATAGAAATCCTCATCTTACCATCATGGACACTCCAGACGATATGCTCAAATCAGAAAGAAGAAATCTCCGCCAACATATCGGCCTTGGACCAGAACCCGGTGACCCCCCATCCGACCCTCCTGCATTCCAGCCATTATTTTTCATCGAGCTGGCGCCTCCTTCAAACAGGGGTTCCCAGTGTAGACTTCCTACTTGCACTAGAAGAATTTACCCTGGCGAGTTGCGTTTTGCCCTAAACCCGGGCATGAGAGGTGCTAGTCGGTATAGAACGTCCTCTTGTAAGTTTAGTTATCACCACTTCCACTGCGACAGTATTAACAATGTAGACCTCTACCACCTCCCCTGCTTCGAACAAATCGCCGACTTCTCCCAAATCCCCTTTCTCGATCGCGTCCAGCCACTCACGCGCAACAACTGGGGCCTGCGCGGTCTCAACGCCAGCGCCATCCTAGACGGCAACTACATGCTACCGGGAGGCGTGGAGCGCCTCGTCCTCGAATGGAAAGTCACGCGTGGGAAATGGATCGATATCCGCGATGGCAATTACAAAGAAAGTCGTATGGATGCTGACTTTGATGCATTGTTGCACAAGGCTGGGTTGGCGGAGTATTCTGGGAAACTGACCAAGCCGCCTAAGATGGGTGAGTATGAGTATCATAATCTTTTGTATACACTTGCGCCGTATGAAAGTGATGGGGTTGGGGAGGAGTGGAATTTGTTTGAAAGTTATCTTGATGCTACGGAGGGGGCTGTTGATAATCCGTGTGATTTGAGTGGTATGCTTGGGCGGTGGATGGAGGATGTGGTAAGTATCATTATCCTGTTCTATATTATATGCTGACTGTATAGGATACTGCGTGGAAAACAGATGGAGTCGACAGACTGGGTGAAAAGGCAGCCAGAGCGCTTAAACGGTTATCGGCCATTCCACACCTGGAGCTGTAGTCATTGCTGGTCTTAAGAGATAAGATTATCTGAATCATGTGTTGCATGTGTTATGATTAGGATACCCGAACACAGCCTCTGTCAGACAATACTCCACGTGGAGTCATCTTCTTAATCAAGTCTAATGAAGCATAATCTTACCCTATTCTCGACGCAGATATCCAATCCCCATCATCGCCATGTAAAATTTAAATATAGAAACCCTCATGTGCTGGCAGCCATAAGGCTGCCAAGTGGACCAAGAAGGCGGAGTTCGTTTTGGCCCTCTGTTAGTCTTTATGGCCGCATATCATTGCCATATCCGGCAGTTGATCATCTCGTATTCCACCATGTTAATCTGCGAGGACAGTTCTGATTGGATGGAAAATACGATCCCCTGAACAGCCTCATGGCTGAGTTCTGCCGTTCGATTGTCATTTGCAGTGCCTCTTTGCCTCTTGAGTAATGTAGTTGTCAGGCTGTGCTGGTGGTCTTATAAGTATCGTGTTTCTTCTTTTTTTTTATTGTTTCATCTCATCTACTTTACTCATCTACTCTCGGGTACTCTACAACTATACTCCACCCAACACAACAATAGATACACCCCAAATGGCCGAAAAAGCTGAATGTGCGTTGCCCATTTATCTACACACCCACAAATATAACTAACAAAGTAGACAACCCTCCTCTCTACGAACCGCCCCAGGGAATGCAGCCCCAAATGCAACACCAACACCAGGGCATGCAGCCCATCGAACCAGACCACGCATACATCCACGAAGCTCCCACTCCCGTCGTGCAACCCGACGCCTCGCCCATCCCCATGCAAACCATGCAAGCCGTTCCCACAAACCCCAACGGTTACCAATCCGTGACTCCGCTGCATGCGCTCAACCGCGCCTCGACGCCCGTTGACTGTCCTGTGTGTGGGAAGCGAGAGATGACGAAGGTCGAGGCGAGAAACGGAAATACCAACCAGTAAGCACCTGCTGTTTAACTACGATGGAGATCGAGGAAGATGCTAATTTGTGTAGTGGATGGGCTGCGCTGCTTTGCTGCTGCTTCTGTCTAGGATGTATCCCCTACTTGATGTCGTCGTTGAAGGATGTCGAGCATCGCTGTGGAAACTGCAATGCGCACCTCGCGACATGGCATAACAGCGGCCATGTGGATATCCACCAGGGCGGGCAGAAGAAATAATCGTTTATTTGATTTTGTATTGTGTTGAGATGTGATACCACTTTGTTTTATTATTCATTTAGCATATAATGGTTAATGCTTGTCCACCTGATACATATATCCCAATAGCAAACCCAAGTGGGTATTAGCCAACGCCAACGCCAACATCCATATTGAACAGCAATATCAGAGATCATTCCGATTCATACGCCTGCTGAGCTGCCTTTCTAGCCATCCATTTTCGGTATATCACAAGCGAGGCAACGCCGAATGCGACGATGAAGACGATGCAGAAGACGAGGATCGGGCCGGGGTTTTCGCTGGCCCAGTTGCTTCGTCTGAAGTGGGGTGGTGTTGCGGGCACTGTATATTATTAGTTTGATCGACAGGTATATTATCGATGAGCTTACTTTTGAGGATGGAGTTTTTGATGGTAGTGGGTAAGGATGGTGGAATTGGTGGGATGGAGATATGGATAAAAGTGTATTATGTTTTATTGACGTGAATATCTTCCATGATGACATTCAACATTTTACACCCTCTTACTATCTGCTATCACTATAAAAATATAATCATCCATGGGATACATCTCGATCTGATCCAGCATCACCAGAAATAGATAGAATAGGCAGCGATGAGGCTCAACCCATGCTAATTAAACACAACCGCCAATCCACTGCCAATCTTTCCCAATCAGCGCCACTAACTACGCAGCTAATCTCGAGCTAAATTCGATCAAACCCTGTGCAACCGCCAAGACTTGGCTCATTTGCTGTTGGTCTGACTGCCTCGCGTTTCATTATTGTTGCAGTTGTGGCAGGGTATACTATGTGCCTATGTTGAACGGACACGGAGTCGGAGTCGGAGTCCGTTTGTACTCTATAGTATGTACACCATAGTATCCATGTGAGTTCATCGGACACGGACAAGGAGATTGTCGAGTCATTTCCGAGCTAGCTGCTGGCTTCGTGTTCGGCCCCTGGGATCGCCAATCCCCTCCACTTTCGGCCGTCATGGCGAGATTCACGAGCAGATTCAATTCAGCCCTTGTTGATATCAGTGAGTATGACTACTACTATAGGATATATTAGAAGATATATAAATATCAGCAGCTTCTACAGTAACAACTACTCCATCTCAATGGCCATCCAACCAGTACAACAAGACAAGTACACCATCCGATCAACATCATACATGCCCAATCCGGAAACGATCACCACCTCATCTCCACACCACTGACAGGAAATACGAGACCCTCTCCATATCTAGTAGTCACGCCTAAAAAGTAAAACCCATTTTGCTGTGGCTCCTGAACTCTGTCTGGAATTATAAATCCCCACGGCCACTGCCTCCCGGTCTCGATTGATCTTCGCTTCTTTCGCTCTTTGCTGCCAAACTTTCCTTCTGTCTGTCGTTACTGTCTGTGTCTGTTTGTCCTCACCATGGGCTTCAAACACCTCTTTCTGGCTGCTAACGCCCTCTCTCTCACCCCCCTGGCTTCGGCTTGGACTTTCGTTTGGGCGAATAGCACCGATTCATCAACGATTGAGACGGCGTCGACGTCGCAGAAATGTAAACAGATTTATCTGGAAGAAGGGTCTCCTTTCAGTTGGAATCCTGATGGGAGTGCCTGGTGTATTGGGCTGTGGAAGGACAATGGATGCTCGCAACGGGGTGGTTTATCCTGCGACAGCAATGAATGGGGGCACAATGCCACCCAGAGTATCGGTTCTTTCAATGTGTATAAGAAGTCGTCGACTGCTTCTACCACTTCTTCATCTTCCACTTCCACGTCGACTTCCACTTCGACCTCGACTTCAGTATCATCGCCATCATCATCGCCTGTCGTTGCAGATGCTGCAGATCCTGCATCCACAGACTCATCCCCAAAACACGGCCCACCACTCTCCCCCGGCGCCACAGCCGGCATCGTCGTCGGCATCGTCGCCGGCGTCGCCATAATCGCAGCCCTCTTCTTCATCTGGGGCCGACGACGCCGCAACCCAGAATCTGCCCCTCTGGCATCATCACCACCACCATCATCCCACCAACAAGACCCGCCCGCATATACAAACTCCATCCCCGAAGCACCAGACACCACCGTCAACAATGCGCCTGCAGCCGTGTATAAGCCGGTCCCGATTCAAGGCGAGAAGATGAGTACGTTCCTGGCAGAATCGGCTGGGATGGACGGGCAGAAGAAGCCTGCTGTGCCGCCGGCAGAGTTGGCGGCGGATTTGGGGATGGTCGAGTTGGGGGATACGAGTTTGGGGAGGAGGAATTGATTTATTTGTATCTTGATATCCATTTACTTAATTTACATTGTTTTGTTGATAATGCGATTGTATGTCCGAATGCGGAAATGGACCCGATGATGACAGTATACGTCATCCATAATGAACACAGAATGCCATCATTTCTTATATTTATATGCCAATACATTTGTCCAGGTACATTCTTCATTATCTCTAAACATCGACACAATGTATCTCACCCTCTTAGCCGTCCTCACCGGCTCCTCAGCCGTGTATTTCTACTTCTTCCATCGATCTCTCGCAAAACGCCTCCAACACTCCTCCCACCACGGCACTCTCCCATCATCACTCTCATCTTCCATCTCCTCCATCCCAGACCCCATCTACACAGAAAGATACTACTCCATCGTGGACCATGTCTCGCGCACCGTCCCCCGTCGTCTCCTCCCCCCCAAAGACCCCTCCCTCCTCCTCACCCTCCTCTTACGCAGAAACATGATCGCCTTCGCCCGCTTCCCGCAGGCACTCATGATCCGCCTCGTCACGGGCGACTATCAATCCTTCAAGCCTTCGCATATTAACAGTCTCGATATGAAAGAAGGCGACGTCGTGTGCGGCGTGTATCGCGTCAAACACCGCGAGCCGACGCGCGTCGAGTTTGAGATGCAGAATATGAAATTCGGGGGTGGGAGGTTGGTTGTTTCTGTGTCTGAGCAGGACGGCCAAGTCGTGTTTTCGAACCACACGGTCATGTGGCGGTTGAAGGAGGAGAAGGGGAGGTTGCCGTTGGAGTGGGCGTTGGTGAGGTTTGTCCATGAGGTCTCGGCGTGGTGGGTGGTGGATTCGGGGGTGCGGTATTTGATGGATTTGGAGGGGGATTTTGTCAAGGAGATGAATGATTGATTCTCTTTCTTTGTTCTTGTTATTTGTTATTTGAAACAGACTGTGTTGTTGTGTTGAGACAATTCATTGTCGGAATAGCTTCATCTTTCTTTGTCAGTAGCTTTCATAATGAAACATGTCTCAGTAGGAATGATATATAGCCCCCTTCACTTCCACCCAGAGTAGCTTTCCTATCACCGATCTCTGATCACCATGTGCCAATACAACTACCACCACTACATCCACTGCGGCCACATCGCCAACTTCACCATCGACACCTGCATCGATATCACCAACTTACTGCGCCAGCCCAATTCAACAACTACGAATAGATCGTGTACTCGAATCGACATCGCCCACGACCTGTTACCTTCTTCCCATCCAACGCTGTGTCTGCAGTGCGAGAACGACTGGAAGACCAAGATGGACTCACCACAACCACAGCAGAAATACATCCCGCTAGAGGGAACCACGACATCAAATCCTGTCACCATGCAGGTGAATATGGAGATGGTAAGGAAAGAGCCTGAATGTGAGTTTGCGCTGTTGCTTGAGGATGATGATAAGTCTGAGCAGGATGCTTCATTTCAGGATGAAGATGAAGAGATTAAAGACAAGGTATCACTCTACGAATCCTTCCACACATACGGACTCGATGCCCCAGTCCCTAAAACCTACGTTCACTGGGATGACAAGCACAGGGTCCCCGAATCATCATCTTCATCCAACAATCTATCCACCAATCCATCTACCAACTCTACATCCTCTTCAGCTGAATGGGCAGTCTCATGCAAAGATAACTGGCGAACAGCAGAGGATCGAACGCCAACGCCATCTCCCCCGGAAGAGACGGTTCTTGCTTCTTCGCCATATGAATGCTCCCTCATCTATCCCAGTGATGATAAACTCGATGAGGATTTCTACGACGCAAGTGGCTATCATGCCGACGACGAAGAAGATCTCTCCGCAGAACTCTACTCAGCGTGCTTGTCCCTCATTATCAAGATCCAATCTGATAAACGCGGTCGTCGGCCAGCGCCAGCAGCTAAACCAAAGTTGAATTGGTTCCCTTTCTTCAGTGGCATTCATGCAAATGCAGAGGAAGACACCGCTTCTGATAGTGAGGAGTTCTACGATATGGGTCTTTCTGTTGCATCGGGCGCTGACAAGAATCAGTTACGAGAGGAGTATTGGGCTGCTGTTGATGCATTGGAGGGTGAGGATGAAGATGAAGATGGGGATGAACTGGAGGAACGAGTTGAGGATGCGAGATATCAGTTTACGTGGAGGAGTGTGCGGGATATGTTTTATAGGGCTTTTAGAGGTACTCAGTAGGCTTTATATTACTATCTGGTTAATTGTTGATTGTTAGTGGATTATAGATGATTGATTCATTGGATGTAGCAGTAGTAAGATTATTCAACAGTATAGAGTACAGAATTCTAGTATTATAGCAGGATATTCAAGTAAGCCGACTGAGATGGCCAAGGGTCTCGCACTAACCATGCGCATAAGCAAGGCAGAAACATGAAACATCGAGATTCTCCTGGCAATGCTGTGAATCTGGAACCTGTTCGACAAGAGTGTCTGTCACCTTCGTCCTACGTCGGCCATCGTTTCGTCACTGTAAACCCGAATCACCTGCGAGTTCGCATCATCGAAGAATATTCAAAGCTCTCATCCAAGGAACATGTCACTCTTCACTGGAAACAAGCACTTGGGAATTCATGCGCTACAAATCCAACCAGAATAGCATGCTTTATGCGCAAGTTGTACCAGGAGATCCGAGACTATCTCAGTACGCTTTTCATCGGACATTCTGTTTCCATTTGTCAACCTTTTCCCTCCGCCACAACACATAAAATATCTTCCAGAAACTCATTCTATCGGATTCAACTCGATTGCACATAGAAAAGGGGAAAATAGCTCTGCCCTTCTTTGAGGCAGAACGCCCCAATGGCTTCAAAACGGTGCGACCCTCAATGGGGATGCGATTGTTGGTGTATTGCTGGTAGGAGTCTAGTATAGAGAATGTCCATCTTACTTAGAAAAGAGTGTATGGCGGCTGAAGCCGATTATCTGGAATATAGCCAGGTATTAGGAAATAGATCTGTCAGTGATATAACCGTTTGTTGACCTTACCGGCGTTATTAGATGATGTGTTGGATTTCATCCAGGTCATTTCTACTGTCCTCGATGGAGCAGTCTGTGTAGTATTGTAGGATTTAATTGACCCCCATCAGAGTCGTATCATTAATATCCCTTGCTATCCCGTGTTTTAACAGGTAGAACTGATTAATTAACTTCACAACTTCAACTATTTTAACTGTTACTCCCGGTTCCGCACTCGCAATTCTCGCAGTGAAAACTCCATTGCTGAAATCAGTATGTCCAGCCAAACAGAGCAGCCCGATAGAAAATGTGACTCGAAGAGCACCATAATGCCCACGGTACAGGCAGTTGTTGAATTTCTCAACCCAGATTGCACACACCAGCAGTCAGGCAGGAAGGGTATAGTCAAACGCTGTAGGAAGCTTGCCATAGCGCAGTCGTATTCTTCCTCTCATCATCTTGAGTAAAAGAATATTCTGGAAGACACAAAGTACAGGCATATACGTAGCACAAAGGCCGCACTGCAAAGGGGAGGATATGAAAGTTCTCTTTGCGGTAATGAAAGCAATGATGACGACACCCAAGTGATAGACAAGCCATGACTTTCATCCCGGTTTCACAGTCAGTGAGTCCATGCTACTGAGGTATATCAAACTTGAGAATCTCCTGCTGTTTCAGGACGAATGTTCCGTTGTTCCACATGTGGTGAGCATTTGATATATCCACTGGACATTCTCAATATTGACAGATACCAAAAAGCGAGGAATATCAAGGCCTGCATTGAAGATGTTGAATGACCCAGCACACGTCAGGACGAGAAGCAAGCTTGGAATGATCTCTTTCTCAAAGGCTGGTGCACGATGAGTAACAGGACAGGAGCAATGCACTGTCATGTTTTGTTGATAGAAGATTTTCGACTGTCGTGTTGACTGGGATTAGCATGAAGTAGAATTCCCTTCTATGGCCATCTTCGTTTTGTAATATTTTATTGTCGCTGAGGTGGATCGAATTGCAGCTGTCTATCCTAATCTATAACATCAACCTTCAGAGGAGGAAGAAGTCTCCATCTCTTGCCCGCATCGACGTGGCATGAAAAGTGACGTGTTGAAAAACTTTCCTGGTCTTGACAGGGTGTTAGGAGAGGAATACTGAAAGATGTGAAGTCATCCTAACTTACCAACTTGCGGTTCACTCCCCCATTCTAGTACGCAGTCTTCTCGTTAGATGCCTGCTTTGCAAGCCATAACATACACTCCCTCAAAGAAGGCTCATTTAGCCGGCTGGCCGGAACTGCCGGAACCACAGTAGAATGATGCAAAGCAATTGTCGTGGCGCTTACATCTTTCACGGCAATACCTTCTCTTAATGGTACTCTAATCGCACATTGCTTGCTAGCAATAGTTGGACGAACCGGGGGTTTCGAACGAAGCACAGGCAGGCCACCAAAAAGCAGTTCCCGGGCCAATTTCTGGTTACATCTTCGCATTCACCAATGGCGTCAAGAACGAAAACAGTCCGTCCTAGGGGTTCATCCGTTAACATTTCCTCTGATGGGATTCTCCGGGTGCATTCCATTCAAGAAAGCATCACCGGGGAGGTCCACAAAGACAGTATAGAATGCTCATGAGTAACGGCTGCATTGTTAAACTCGGCTAGTGGTGTTGCCCGGAAGGAAGGGAGAGTCTGTTCCACATATATATTTGGACATAGATATGGACGTTATTCTCACTATGCTGTTTCTTGGTCTACAAAGACAGGCCGGCGTCTCGTACTTATCATGAAGTATCTTTCCTTTCTGTGATTAGAAAGCCAACACCATCTAGTAGCATCTCTTGGCTACTATCAGCTAAGATGAACTGGCTGATCATTAGTTTCATCTGACATGATATCAAGGGAGGCAATTTCACTTACACACTACTCCATTTCCATAGCTGCTATCTGTCATTCTCAAGTTGACCAGCACGGCGCCAGATGTCTCCGTTCCCTTTTGGACGAACGCTACACGAATTCCAGTCTCATCTCATTGCTGAGCCCGTCTGCCAGATGGGTAACGTCCTCTTCTCACGAAGATCTCTGGAAGGTAGGGATTGGTGGACCTTTACCCGTGCCCTAGTTCAAAGACAGCCATCACGAGGGGTCTTCGAAGGCGTGTTGTATACTTGTCATCAACGGTCATGATTCGCATCGGGAAGTAATCCCCCTTCCTTTGTCCTGAGGATTGAGAAAATCTGTTATCTCCCCAAGCAGACATATCTGGCTGATGGATGTGCGGGAGCTATAAGGGCCCTCACCGGGGGACATGCGGCGAGTGTCGAATCCGTGTGATAAAATTTGTCGTCCGTTGCTTTGCCGTAGATTGAAGAAACATCGGCGGCGGACATTGCGTCAAATATCTTGGGGGTCTTAATTCTGTCTCTGCCGTAGATTGAAGAAACATGGGGGTCCATGATCCATCCTATCAGCTGGCTGGCCTCCTTGTACCGTACCTGGGGCATTTTACGATGTCTCGTAGATGCCCGAGCTTCTACTAGTGCAAACACCTTTTCGGGAGGGGGGGCTCGAGTTGGGAGCAGACATCTTTTTGTGCTAAAAGCGTAAGTATCTCTGTCACGTCTCTGCTGTAGGTTGGAACCCAAAAGAAGTTATCTGTCTGGACCTATGGACCATTGTTTCCTGTTTGCAGTTGTTGTAGAAGTTCGATGTGACTCCGTTGTAAATCTGGGATCTCTCGGCCAAGGCACAAAGGCACGCATTGCGCCTTGGTCATGATGGTTCGATTTTCATCCTCGGTAAATCTGATATCAGAGCTGGACAGCCGGGGTCCATTGAAACAAGCAATCCAACCGCGACGAGTCGTTGAAGTCTTGCAATCTCGCAAGGTGAAACCAACCCAGACGCAACATTGGGTGGCATCTTGGCTATCTCAATAACCTGCGCCGTCATGACAAGCTTCATCATGTTGTTTGATCCAGGATGCTTGGATGATCAGCTCGGATAGCTAACATGTGACCCTCGCACCGTCCGCGACGAGTTCTGATGTGTTCGCAATCGGTTCTTCCTCTGTATCGGAAACCCCCCAACAGCCAAATAGCGTTTTTACCTCGCTAAAGCTCTCGTTCTAGCTATGGCATAAATAAAGGAGCACTCGATCAAGCATAGATCTTGCCGGGGACCTGATTCTGGAAGCTGGATTGAGATTGTTCAATATCTATCTCTTCCGAATCGTATGGGCGTTGACCAGGACAACATCTCCATGTAGCGAATGGCTTGCCCTAAGTATTGTTAGCTTTGTCGCTTTCTGTGAGGTCGAATTACTCACCCATGGTTTATGGTCGATAGCGTACAATCGTTCTGGTCTTTCCCACCAGGTCAGCCATCCGTCGTGGTCTTTCACGAAGGGCTTCCGATGCTTTTGTTTAGCCCATTGCGTGTGCAGGCGCCACATCACACATTTCATTGAGCATTGCTCTGGCCCTTGAACTAAGGGAATGCGGATCTGCGTAGGATATCTGAGCTTGGTCTGCGACCTCATTTGAGCGCCCAATCCCTGGAATCTCCACTTTGATTATGCCCCCAAATGTCGAGGACCAGGAAGAGCTTCTTTGAATATCAATTGTCGCCCTTGGCCTGTTCGTTGCTCAATGTCTCCTCGGATAGTGGAACGTAACTTTAAGCCCTTCGTCTATTGGGGCCAAGGTCATTCCGAATACCCTCAATTTCCGTTCCCCTGGCAAGCAGGTCCGGAACCGCCGACATTTCAGTGGAATCATCTTTATTCAGTTCACTTTCTTCAGTCGAAAGTGCTTCAGAACCCAGAGGTGCAGTTGGCAGCTGATCAGTCACCTCATCAACAGGAAGAAGTGCCAGGTTATCATCTGATATTTCAAGTTCAGGAGCCAAACGAAGTTCACATTCTTATTGTGGTATATCTTGAGTCCAGGGATTCCGCAAATATGCTGAAAAGATATCTCTGTGTCCTCGAAGATGAAGACAGTAGAATTCACGTGTTATATCTTGCGTCAATGCGTCCATAAGAGAGGGTTAATCGCGTGGCAGTCATGAATTTTGCTTCTGGCTCTGCCATCTTTCGAACACATTTTGGGCTGATGATGTCCTTTCAGCAATCACTAGTCCGTCTGCCGTTTATTCTCCGCGTATTATATTATATGTTGACATTTGCGAATAATCCAATCACAGTCTGGATTCGGGAGTCGATGTGCTCAATCGTCTTCATCGAAGAAGTCTGGTGCGGTGATAAGATGGTATTAATGTGCGATGATTCAACGGCATGACGATGAGGGTAGGCGACGGCAAAGGACGCAGGGCCTAGCACCCGGCAAACGCCTCTCGGAAAGAAAATGGCATTCGTCGCAATGGTCTTGACGAAGTGTCCCTCATCGAAAACAACACGGCGGAAGAGTCTGAGTTCGCCATCTATCCCATTAGTATGAAGAACAATTCAATCTTGATAGGAAACTTGCATCAAAGCGAACAGATGCCTCCCATGTCTTCCCTAAACCTACCATATCGCCGAAAATGCGCTTTGATACTGTATGTATATGTCGTAGTTCAAAATGCCGTCTAACTGCGACCGTTTGCCAGAATTTCAACACGGTGTTTCGGGGTGATCCTCTGGGCGCATGATGTTGGTCCTCGTGCAGTGGTTGCTGAGTGCTGGGCATCCCATGGCTTGAACTCGATAATTCCTGGAAAGTTCTGTTCTAGCCCAAGGTCTAAGATTGAACGAGCGTAATGATTGCCGATTCGGAAAGATTCAGCCCGCCAACTCAGACAGAACTCCAGCCTTAGGCAGATTAGGGTATTGAGTCCTGCAGGCTAGTTAGGCGAAACCAATCTGGAAGCGCCGGCACCTTGGCAATCTCAATGATCTTTCCAGTCCTTCCAAATTGGATCATACTATTGAATCCATCAAGGAATCTGTCGGTTGATCCAGGTTAGCCACGAAGTAGTTGTGGCCTTCCCATCGGAAACCACGGAAACCGCAGGTTCTGAGCGTGTTTGTAGCTCAACGGTATCTTTTTGAATGCAGAATCTCTGTTGTCAACATATATTTGATAGAATGTCTGATCCATAGCGCCACCATATAAGACATTCCATCCGAAGAGTTGAGACATGCCCTTGCCGGTTCGGGAAATGCTCAAATCGCGTAAGAGAGAACTTTAGACGCTGTGAGACAACAAGGGTATCTTTCCATTCCATGTGGTCCCTTCTACCTGGTCAAATCAGTATTCGATTCCTATGAACCAGAAGGGCCTCTTACCCTGCGGTGCTCGGGTTCTGGTATATCCAATGCATACTCGGGTGCTGGGCTAAACGCCACTATAGCATTCACCGGTGTTAAGATTGATGCTGCATTGGATCAATCAGTTCCCCATGGCTTTGGGGATCTAATTGGGAGATTTGATTATTGTGGGACAGCTTCTTGGTAGACGACAGATTTTTCTTTGCGTTTCATCTGCCGGCTGGTGTATGAGTCGCTATTCTGTATGGGTTTATGCGGCTTTCTTGAGCATGCAGTTCTCAAACCGTAGATGGGAACAGCTCGAAATCTTCGACAATAGTTCGCCTCCGAGATAGTCCTGGTAATCGAACATTTCGTCTTCGGTGAGATACTGAAAGCCAGAAACGTCGGAATTGTTCATGGAGTCAGCCACAGCCAGACAATGAGAAGGGCGTTGATATAGGACCACCCTGGATGCAACTGCAGTCGACAAGTTTCGTAGATATTGAGTCTTCGCGTAACGGGCCAAAGCAATGTTTTGGAGGTTGCGGAATACAGAAACCATATATTGTCGATAGAGCCGGGGACAGTCCGATGCTCCCGGCCAATGTCTCGGAGAATACCCAATTCCTCTAGTTATGGCATGTATCCCCGGCTGGGTCGCTTTGACATATTAGCCATATACTTGCGTTTCTTGGATGGATCCCTTACCTTTGGCTCGTGCATAAGACGAAACATATCCTGTTCCATTGAGAGGAAATGAACTGTTAATCAATTTGGTTTCGGAGAATGCAAAGTCTCCATGCCCATAACGTATCCGTTCCTTCTGGGTGGTCGAAGAAGCAAGACGTTTTGCTTCGACAAAGGAGAATACATGACAACGTTTTCTCCTACGGGGATTCGCTAATGGCCGGAAGCAACGATACAATGCCTTCCAGGCATTCGTAGTATCGTTTGGGGCTGTCTTTTCCGAATCAGTATCTTCTCGTGTAATGCTAACATGGGACACATACGGCTAATGTCTCTCGTAAACATGCGAATGGGAATAAGGGCAGCCTCTGAGCGTCGAGGATTCTTCTCAGCGACAAGGTGCTGGCAGGATATGAAGAAATGCTCAGATCATCGCGGGAGAACTGCAGGATCGCATTTGCCGGTGGTTGGTAAGTAATGTCGGGACACCAGATTCACAGACGCGAGGCTATACACGGATATAGGTTTTCCTGGGTCGATTCCGCTGCCTTCGTCGTCATATTTGTAGAAGTGCTCAAAGATGGCTCGATCTGGGAAGAAATAAATCCCCCGCTGCTCTGGCAGCCGTCGGCTGATTCGAGTCGCACCGGGTTGCAGACCGGGAATCGCTTGTAGGAGGGGTGAAGTAGGATATGCTGGCGGAGTTCAGGAGAGAGTGATGCAAACAGGCCCACAAAAGATCACCAGCATGGGTCGGTTCATCGGCGTCGGGATCTGGGACCGTCACTGTACCAGGAGAGCAGTCAGGTGCGCGTCTGCAGCCTGATGGATAAGCGGAGCTTCCGTGTCGTCGATATCCGTGATGCCCAATTTCTTGGGCACTGGGATTAGGACGTCCAGTCGATAGTCCTCTATATCCTCCCCTGCTCCAGGCTTCGTTCCATGGCAGCGTGCTGATGGAAGAGGAGCTTCGGAGAAGAAATGCTATCAACTGACTGTCTGGTGCTGGACCACTTGCAGTCACTTGCTGGACTGTCATCGATTGGACGTGCATTCCAGTCATCTGAAATAGCACTGTTCCGCTGTTGACGGTATCCTGTACCATTTCATCGCCCGGAGTAAAACCAAACGAGTCAATGAAATTAGGTGACTCACAGTCGGTGCTCTTTGTTTTAAAGACCTAAAATGACGGTCTGCTTCTGTGATCAGCTTTGACTGGGGAAGTCTCGAATGTACAGCATGTGGATAACCGCCCCCGCAGCGTCATGACAGAATGCAGAAACCTAGAAACGCAGTCAGGATCAATACTTCCATAGATTGGAAGAGTACACACGGAGGCACAATTATCGCTTGCCAACGCAGCTGATAACGACGGCACAGCCAATTTGTTGGTTACATTCCTGACCGTGGTTTCCACCGCGGTTTACAATCTGATAGGTCTGTGTATAGAATCAGCCAGCCATATAGTCCTGTCCCACACTGTTTGTGGTAGGGACTTGATGGCATACTTCAAACTCGACATCCTGAATCCTCCTGTTGAGTCTCTCCAGGACTTCATCAAATTGATGTAGGATGGCCAATTGTACTATTATATGGTCAGTACTAGACTATAGCATCGTTCATCAAGTTTTGGAATATACGTACCAGCCATCATTGTATCCGCAGATTAGGGCTCCAAATGCTGATTGGATCTGTTTTGATCATCCATTCTTCTCTTCCGTGATAAGGTAGTTTGTATGTCTGTATGAAATTGCCGCATAGGTCCATTCCAGTAGTTGGTGTTGCATCGGATACACTCTGAGAAATTCAGCAATGCAAACTGTTCATGGGTCATTTTTGACCCTGAACTCATCTTCCGAGTCGGATAGCGGCAGACAACATGGCATAAAAAAGGTCGAGGCCATGTCTTAATCTTTTAGTTAGCGATGTGCAATATTCATCTTCAAGGTGGTCCTTACCACTCTCAATGTAGAATTTCAGCGCTTCCTGACGTTCATGTCTTTCCCGTTGCTGCACCACGGTCCATGGTGTTTTTAGTTCACCGACGACTCGATGCTCTTTGCTTCAGTCGAACCAGGCAGTTAAAACTGCCGAAGGTAATATCCACCCGGGCATTACAAACAGCTGTCATGACTTGTCCAATCTTGCTAAGGCTATTCCATCCCAAGATAACGGCCAGACCATGATGAACTTGACCGCAGTGTTTGTTTCAAGCGTTTTGACTTCAAACGACACCAATAGGAGTTTATCATTCTTTCCCTTTTTGGTCGACACCAGGGCGGGCCGCAGAGAATCTAGGCACTCTTTGTGGTTTTCGTAAAGCAGTTCATGTCATCGTCTCATTCTGAAGATCTCATTTCGCGACGGGTGTTCGACGCCGCCCTGCACTCACTGATCAAAATCGACGTTTAGGTTCGTGTGGAAGTGTCGCAGATCGTTTGTGCGAAGCCAAACTGCATTTCGAATGTCTTTTTCACCGTCATTGATTTCGTCGTAACGTATCTTCGTTAGGTAGAATGACCCCCATCCGTCTCTGAACACCCGAAGATCACCCTTGTATTCTGTGGGCGACAGTTTTTGGTTAAGCCCACGGAGTATGCGTATTAGTGCGGCGTGGTTTTGAGAGCGTAGCGATGTAAAGAGGTCCACGGTACGGCCTTCAGAGCCCTTGACAGAAAGTTCTATGGCGCGACGAGAGATGCCGTCAATAACTTGAGCAATGCATTTATGTTCGAGCTGTGATTTTCGAAGCTCCGCTGAACTAACATCTGCACGAATCTGAACAGCGGGGGGGTTGGTGTTCATCGCAAACCACTTGTGGTTTGCTATGACTGCTGTATGATGGAAGCTCCAGTAGATGGCAGCGTGGCATGGGTGGGTATAGTAGGTGTTGGTAGCGGTTGCGGTGCCGCTCGAGCCGGATAATGTGGAAAGTGATTTTCTGGAGATCAGAGGGACTTACGGCAGGTTCTCGAATGTATGCTGGGGTATGGTTGAACCATCTGAAAAGACCGAGCATGATGCTAACTGGTTTCTCCTCGACTGTTGCTGAAGCTGAACTGTCTGTTTCCTAGCTAATTTTGGAAAACGTCGTCTCTTTGTATCCGCGTGACACAATGTAGTCGAACAGCTCCCAGGGTGACTTCATCATGGGGTAAAAGAATCTTATCGGTACTGACTGTATGGCGAAGATCTTGGACCCTGACTCCAGGATCCGCCATGTATACAGTCGTTTACTGCGTGTCCATCCGTTGAGCAGTTCATTTCTTTCAGTAGGAGCTGTGGTGGCCATCCTGCATGCCATGTATTGTGATCAAATTGGTATATGCGATCGTGTAGTATAGACCCAAGACAAACAATCCGCTGATGATGATTTTCCAATTATCACCAGCAACGGATAAAAGAATGACATGTTTCTTCTCTTCAGCTGACGGCTCCAGGTCAAGCAAGTTATCGTGAATGTGAGAGCCATTTTCCAACCGATGTGAGGCGAACACTTCAGCCCCAGAATAACTTGCGATCTGGCGTATTTACTGTGACCGTTAGCACTAATTACCGCCACTTTCTGCAAATAGCATAACTGACTATATATAAGAAAGCTCAACCGCAAACACTCATTCGTGTCCCTCTAGCTGCATATGCAGCTTTTTCACGCCCGTTCCCTAGGGCACGCATGTAGATTGAGTCCATTGATGATCCCCAGGCATCTGCTGTATCGTCAGAAACACAAGAAGCAATGAAAAAGAGTTGTACGTACCAGAAGACGCAGGGGATAGCGTTGAGATCATGGTTGCCGGAGGAGCAAAAGAGGAGACGAAGAAACGAGTGACGATATCAGATACAGCGAGTCATTTAAGCGAGAAGACGTCAATTTGGTGCCAGGATGGTTTTTCGGATGACTTTGGCAACTGCCATCCTCCTCGAAAGGAAGCTTTGCGTCAGCAATGATGACTTCTTTGCCATCGCCAGTGCTATGCTTACCGCTTCTCTCGCGCTATCGGGATCAATATAGATCGGGATAGTACTTTGAGATACATCCCCCGAACTCGCATGGACTTCTTCGATGGCGGTGTCTCAGATACAACCGCAATATCCAGGAGAGTTGTGTCTCATTCTGTGTTGTAAATCGGGCCGTACTCATCGGGATTGAATATGGTGCAGGCCAGATGCAAGGAGAAATTGTTGAGCACGTAGACGGGCTATGCCAAGCTGTCTGAGTCCGAGGATCTACTTTTCGTCGATGATCAGGTAGTATATTCCATACTGAGCACAGCTTGGGATATAAAATTCAGTCATTTTGGACGGTGAGAAACTGGAAAGGTCAGCCAGGGTCTTTCACATAGAGGTTTTTACTCACATTCGGGGGTGTCCATTGCTTCCATGGAATAGGATTGCTTGATCAACAGCAGGTAGATTCGGTGTTTGTAAAGATTTCCTGAGAGAGACTAATAGAGAGGCCCTGAGACGACACAAATCATCCACCTGGTCGAGTACTCCCGAAGCCAAAGCAAGAAATTGTTGCACTTCTGGCCGAATCCACCAGAATATTTGGTATTTTCTGAGATCGCTCCTGTGCTCTTTTGACGGCGGTCTTTCTCTCTCAGTCTTATTGTTCGTCAGGAATTCATTACATTGTCTTCTGTCATTGCCTTTGTCAGTCGAGATAGTCAACTGAGTCGGATTTGCAAGGCCGTAGGGCATCTTGGAAATGGACGAAGATAGATTGCCCTGTGGGCGAGGAAAAAGGCCGCACAGCCTTTTACTCCTCCATGGACATCGATCAAAGGAAGCAAAAAAAGATCCATGAGTCGGCGGCTTTTCAGACGAGGATAACTGTAGTCTGACGATGAGACGGCATGGGCGGAATGCAAGACAGTCCAGAACTCAATCGAACAGGCTCATAAGATGAGAATAGTTTGGTCAGCAGTTCATGTCGAACATCGTCAATCGCGGCTGCGGTGCCACCGATATTTGTGATGGTTGGAGGGATTGGAAGGCATATGTAAATGCCTTTTCAAGTAGATTGCTGATAGAAGTAGTGATGGGATGCGTCCCGTGGTCCATGGCCGAATAAATGTTGATAAAGTCAGCGATACCAGGAACTGAAGATTGCCAGACAGCCAACGAATTATCTGACCAGATGTTCTCTGTTAACAGGACAATTGACTTTCAGAGAGTCACAAGAGCAAGGCCAGTCAAATACCGCCGGTTTCCCGCATCTAGGATCGTCATGGTGATGAGACCAATATTTGAGGGGGGGACTTATAGTCCCCAATCTCTGCTGGACATGCTCATGCTTCTCAGTCGTTGCAAAGCCAAGTGCCGTGGTGCAGAAGAAGATTTCGTCATATCTGGAAGAAGCGGCAATGACTCGCTCACTCCCACCTCGCTGGGATGGATTAGTATGTTGGAACAGAAGATTTGTGGAGATCAGGCACTCACTCCATGTCCGGAGGATATATTGCCTCTACCAAGTCTTGGGAAGGTCTGATGAATGCAGGATGATCGCTTGATATCATCAAGGCGAAATGGACTGACATGCATCTCCTCTCGGATATGATTGAGGATTTGGTTCATTTGCTTCATGAAATACTCTCGACGTTGAATATGCCGGACGCTCAAAATTGTGAGTGCTGTAGGCATTGATTGATACCTGTTGAAAACCAGAGCACCCAAGGAATAGAATTTCTCGTGTTCTCGTTTTGCTCAGGTGTCTTTTGTGACCAAGATACGGTTAGGGGACGAGCACTGTTGAAAGATTAGTATGGCTCGTTCAGCTTGGAAATCGCACCCACCTAGGCCAGATCTTTATTTTCATCTGGCAGACATTGTGAAAGGGCTCGGCTTCACTCATGTTGGTTTGTAGCAAGATGATCGTGCCGGTATAGTTGTATTGTAGAGACGAGGAGAGTGAGATTGAGGATGGTGCACGCCCATGGGCCAAATGTTTGCATTTCTAGAAACCCAGACCAGGGGGCGAAATGTCCGTCTGGATAATGAAGCCAGAATTCCCGGGTTTCTGGTATTCACGTTGGTCTGATGTCACTGAGGGGAGGTTTGAGCGTTTTAGGCGTCTTTTCAAAAAACTTCCGTTGTTTATGATACGAGCGTTCAGGGCGGAAATGAAAGTCTTAGCTTTTAGCAGTGCCGCTTTCTTTTTGACAGCCTTTGAGAGTCGAGACGTGGCGTTATAAATACATTGAATTCCTCAAAGTAGTCTTGCACCCTGATGCTCTATCGCTCTGGCGGCTGACAAGCCAGGGAATGCCATTAACCATTGGTGGATGTTCGAAGATGGTCCATTTGGGTTCCCTGTCGACTGGAGTCATCAATGGCAAGACAGATTGGATTGGAGCTGTTCTGACGATTGAGACATTTTCATCATAATTTGTGATGAATCCGTATTGCAAACTTGACAACATCAAATGTTCACGTGGGTCTTGATCTGGCTTGATTGATACGTTGCGATTGAATGTTTCCTCGGCTTGTGTATTCTCTTCTTTAGTTGACTTACAAATCAGCATTATTCTTCTGATAATAGACATTGACTCGCCAGTGAATACCGTTGGATCATATGTCGATATGAAAAAGGCCAGATATTTTCGTCCTTGTCAAGTTGCATCGTGTCTCGCTCTGCTGGTTCTGCAATTCCACCATCATGCTGTTCATATGTCTGGGTTAGCAATGATCGATTGCATAGCCAGGAGTCAAACCTATATATTCGCACTTTTATTCTGGGAGAAAGCAGGGCCTTTTCCGGGTCCTGTGGTGGGATTCGTCGCTGCATGGCTGGGATAAAAGTGCACACGTTTATCATTCGCAGTGTTTTCATCGGCCACTCGGCGATATCTTGGTCTAGCAGATGTTAGTATAACTTCACCATCAAAGATGAAGAGACCTTACCTCTCACAAAACTAATCCTTTCGTTGAAACCCCGTTGTTTTTCCACTGCATTTTTTTAACGCTGATAACTACTTCGTGGTAAAGGAGACCTTTTGGATCAATTCGTCGTCCCGAAAGATTCTTAGGGTCTGATGGGATGTATATAATTGGAAGCTGAAATCCTGTCATTGATTGCATTGTTAGCAACCGCTATACCTTTTCGGACAGAACGTACTAAGCATTGCTTTGAACGAGTCGGCACTGCGACGCGATGACTTCCATTTTCTCTGTTATTTTCGAGATTCACTCTCAGCCAGCCGACGTACCAACCTGGCGTCACTTATAGGGCCTCGAGGATTTATATACTAGACGTACAAGAAGAGTTAGTATACGACTGACTGGAACATAACAGCATAACTCACTATCCAGAATTATCGCAATCGTGGACGTCCAATTAAAGCAAAGATGATCCACCTTTCGTTGGCATTTCGTCTGTCCCTTTATCTAGATACGCGAGGATGGCTCTGATGGCTGTGTAGTGCGCACCAGGCCCTGCTGTGTTCAATTGTCTGTATTCGATGGTTAGTTCTGGATTGTGCCAGATGAAAGGGGGAGGGTAGAGATACCTCACTAAGATATAGAGACCTTCGAAGGTCGAGAGTGGGAGAATGTATCTGCCATTTTAATCATTAGCATTCGTATACTTTGGAGTATCTTGGTCACATACAGATAGCGACGCAGATGGGATACAACGAGTGATGATCCATCAAGATCGACGAAGATTGATCAACGAAGAGAATGAGGAATGCAAAGAAGTGTCGTATATAATGAATAAAGTATATAGAGTATATAAAGTATAGAGATGAAGAGAAGGAAGAAGGAGAGAAGAAGAGAGTATATAAGTCCCTGAAGCTATTCACCGTCATGGATACGCAATACCAACTGAGACATGCACGTTTGCTTCACTCTCTCCATTACATCTCCTATCTTCCACATTCCCTCATATCTTCTATCCCATTCATCCTCCGATATTCATTTCCCATTCTTCCATTCTTCCTATATCGGATGATCTCCGAAATCCACATCCCCGCATCATCCCGCTTTCCTTCGGCCTTCTCTGCGATCCCCTCTTTATAACTACTTCACTCTCGCATTCCTTGATTCTCACCAAAGTAAATTAATATAATCCAATCCAATTCAATTCGATTTATTATTCAATTATAGCAAAATGATCTCCAAACCCCCCATCGGCTTCGTTGGCCTAGGCGCAATGGGCTTCGGAATGGCCACCCACCTCGTCAAAAAAGGCCACCCCGTGCATGGCTTTGACGTCTTCCCGGCCTCCGTGCAGCGTTTCCAAGAAGCAGGCGGGATTCCTGCATCGTCGCTCCGGGAGTCTGCAGAGGGGAGGGAATTCTACGTTTGCATGGTTGCGTCCGCGCCGCAGGCGCAATCGGTTTTGTTTGGGGAGGGCGGGATTGTGCAGTGTATGTCTCCCCTTATACCAACTGGTTTCTGATTGATGATTGCGAACGAGGCTAATTCCGGCGCCTAGATCTGGCGAAGAATGCAACGCTCCTCCTCTGCTCGACTGTGGCTGCGTCATACGCCAAATCTGTCGCGTCAGAACTCCGCTCTCTAGGCAGAGACGACATCTACTTCATCGACGCCCCTGTCTCGGGCGGCGCAAAACGCGCCGCGGACGGAACACTTTCCATCATGGCGGGTGGGTCGGACGACGCTCTCGCCCGCGGAAAGACACTCCTGCAGACTCTCGCCGCGCCGGATAAGCTGTATCTTGTCCCCGGCGGGGTCGGGGCGGGAAGTAACATGAAAATGGTGCATCAGGTGCTAGCGGCCATCCACATTCTGGGCGCGAGTGAGGCGATGGGTCTTGCGGCAAGATTGGGGCTGGATGCGAAGACGGCGTCGGAGGGGATTATTTCGTCCGATGCGTGGACGTGGATGCATGAGAATCGGCTGCCGAGGATGGTGGAGGAGGATTGGAATCCCGGTGCGAGTGCGTTGACGATCATTCTCAAGGATGTGGTGAGTCCATCTATCTATCTATCCATATGGTTATGTATATACTGACTGGATAGGGCATCATCACAACCTCCGCACGAGAAAACCACTTCCCAACCCCCCTCTGCTCAACAGCAGAACAAACATACCTCTCTGCTCTCTCGCAAGGCTACGGCGCAAAAGACGACTCCGCCATGGTCCGCCAGTACTATGCTGACCCAATCAAGAACATCCCATGCACCCTCTCGCACGAACAAACAACCTCCGCCCTCCAACTCATCCAAGACCTCCAAGTCGGCATTAACCTCGTCGCAGCCGCAGAAGCAGTCGCGTTTGCACGCCATCTCTCCGTTGATCTGGACCAGTTCTACCAGCTCGTCAGCGACGCAGCTGGTGCTAGTCAATTGTTCATCACGCAGGGATTGGAGATGATTGAGGGGCGGATTGGAGAAAAAGCGCCTGCGGGGCCGAGTGTGGATGAGGCTATGCTGCGGTTAGAGAAGGTCGTGCAGACGGCGAGGGATTTGCATACGCCGTTGCATTTGGGGAATGCGGCGTTGAGTGTGTTGACGATGGCGAGGAGGAGTGGGTGGGGAGAGGAGAATCGGACGAGTGTGATTAAGGCTTTTGGAATTTGATTATATAGATTATTGTTGTATGTTTATTCTATGTATCTCTGAATATATTTATTTATTCTATATCTTAAATACACTTTATTACTCGTTACTATTATCCTTCTTCCTTGTGTATAAACAGTCAGACCTCATGTCGACCTGAATACTATCGAAATTTCGAACATAGTCCGCACTTCCACTCAACTCTATCAATACATTCCGAATACGAATAACCGGCTACACAATAGCCGATATCTTGAATATCATAAATCACACAAAGTAAACATTGACGTCAATCGGACCAACTCCGGCGCATACGGTGGATCTACGAGGGGCAGAACTATAAAACCCCTCATGTCAACACACCACCACACACAATTCCATTCATACCTGTCCATTCATCCATACTCCAAGCACAATGACTGCAAAATCCATCCTCAACCATGCAGCAGCCAACCACTACGGCGTCCCCGCCATGTGCTGCTACAACGTCGAAGGCATCCTCGCCACCGTCCGCGCCGCCGAATCCAAACGCTCCCCCGCCATGATCCTCCTCTTCCCCTGGGCGATTCACTACGCAGACGGCATCCTGGTCCACGCAGCGGCCGAGGCAGCGCGCAATGCCTCCGTCCCCGTCACCGTGCACATGGACCACGCACAGTCACCGGAGATCATCCGGCGGGCCGCAGACATGGGCGGGTTCGACAGCATCATGGTCGACATGTCGCACTACGAGAAGGAGGAGAATCTAGCCCTCACGCGTGAGCTGGTCGGCTACTGCCACGCGCGCGGGATCGTGACGGAAGCCGAACCGGGCCGGATCGAGGGCGGGGAGGACGGGGTGGCTGACACGGCTGATTTGGAGGGGATGTTGACGACGCCTGAAGAGAGTGAGGAGTTTGTCGAGACGGGGATTGATTGGCTCGCGCCGGCTTTTGGGAATGTGCATGGGGAGTATGGGCCACGGGGGATTCGGTTGGAGTATGAGCGGTTGAAGGCGGTTCATGAGAAGGTTGGGGATAGGGTGAGGTTGGTGCTGCATGGGGCGGATCCGTTTACGGAGGAGATTTTTGCGAAATGCATTGCGTGTGGGGTGTCCAAGGTGAACATTAACAAGGTGTTGAATAATGAGTATGTCAGGGTGCAGCAGGAGAAGGCAGGAAGGGTGCCGTTGACGACGCTGCTGGAGGAGGCGACGAATGCGATGCAGAAGGCTGTCGAGAGATGTATGGATATGCTCAAGTCGACGGGGAGATATCCATGATCTGTCAGTCATAGATATAGAGTAGACCTTCATTCCTTTGTTAAAGCGAGAATATATTCAAAATATCCTTCTTTCATCTGTCATCATTCTAGATTAAAAGATATAGAAGATCTAAATATGCACCGTGCAGCCTGTCTTATCTGACGATCCAATGACAAAAATAGACTGTCATATTCCCAGCAAAAAAGAAATGAAAAAAAGAATGGACTATGTGGGAATTGAACCCACGACCTCCCGCATGCGAAGCGGGCGCTCTACCCCTGAGCTAACAGCCCAGCAATTGTTAGTGGGGCTAAGTTTTAATGCGTTATATAGGACGCTAGTCAACGGCAAGTGAATAAAATGCACGTTGCCGACTGTCAGCCCAATCAGGATGCTCCTAATGCCGTGGTTAAGCAGACGCATGTCATATCAAATACACTTCATTCAAGGATCTCAAAATAAAACTTCACAATTTACACCTATGAAAACATCCGGTATGAAGGCCTCCAAATTCGAGGGAATAAAAAACAAGACTCAAGAAAATATAAGAGATATAAGAGACAAGACAGGAAGACAGAAGGAAACAGTTCTTTTTTATCGCTCCACCACTCTAGTTGGTTGCCAGCATCTTCTTGATCTGCGCAATAGCCAGCGCCGGGTTCAATCCCTTGGGGCAGGTTCGCGAGCAGTTGAGAATGGTGTGGCATCGGTACATGCTCATGCTGTTGTCCAGAGCTTGCTTACGCTCGGCGGTCTTCTCGTCACGCGAATCGGCCAACCAACGGTACGACTGGAGCAGAATGGCGGGTCCGAGGTACTCCTCGCTGTTCCACCAGTACGAGGGGCAGGAAGTCGAGCAGCAGGCGCAGAGAATACATTCGTACAGACCGTCCAACTTTCGGCGGTCTTCGGGGCTTTGACGGTGCTCAAGACCCTATCCAAAGTTAGATCACATCAACATCATAATGCGAAGCTACTTACGTCCTCAGTCTTGGTATCACGCTGCAGGTAAGGCTTGATGGACTTGTACTGCTTGTAGAAGTAGGTCAGGTCAGGAACCAAGTCCTTGACCACGTATGTGTGAGGCAATGGGTAAATGCGCGACTCTTTGGTAGTCTCGGTGGGGATGCGGCCTAGAACAGTCAGTCCTCGTCCACGCCATACCCCGCATCTCGCGAGCTCTTAAAACCAGGTTTCCGACATACACAAGCAAGCCAGGGTGTTGACACCGTCGATGTTCATTGCGCAACTTCCACAGATACCTTCTCTGCAACTTCTTCGGAAGGTAAGGGTGGGGTCCATCTCGTTCTTTATGCGGATGAGCGCGTCCAGCATCATGGGACCGGTCTTGTTCAGGTCCAGCTGATACGACTGCATCTTGGGCTTCTCGGTGGGCTGGTCGGGGTTCCAGCGGTAGACATGGAAGGTCTTTGTGCGAGGGTTCTCGGACGGGCTGGGTTCCTGCACGATGAAGTTTTAGACTCGGGGAACAGCCTAGGAGCTGGTAGACCCGGTAGCGCTTACCTGGGCAGCGGTCTCAACAGTCGCATACGAGCGAGCAAAGGCTGCGGGCCGGAACAGAGGCCGCGAGGAGGCGATCAAGCGCGAGGTAGAGCGAAGAGCAGACATGGCGGGCGAACGGGGAGAGGGATGAATTTGGTCGCAAGACAGACGCTGGAGAAATGTCTACACAGAGACAACAATGGCTAGACGGGACAATATTATGGTAGAGAGGAGATTCGGACCAGCGTGGGATGTCCCTAGAGGCGACAGCGACGAGATGAAGTGCAGGAGGCCGGAAGATCACTTGAAGCGTTCGCTACATGTTTTGTCGCTTTTGAGCTAGGTAACCTCGGGTCTGGCGGTCGGCAATGCGCTGAGTCAGCACATGCCGCCAATCACGGCAAAGGTAATTGCAAGCGTCGGGGATACACGGTAAAACTGAATGGCAGAATCACTTCCATCACAGCTATCAAGGATGCATCTATTTAAGCGGATGGTTTATCTGATCTGCTCATAATACATTCCGTCTATTATTTTATCTGATTTCGACCGTAAAGATGCCATTGCTGGACATGGCCGTTCCGAAGGGCGGAAGATTGATCCCGATTCGCCATCATGTGTTTCTGCCTCAGGCATAAATAGTCCCGTGGCAATTCATTCATCCAGAGCGGCAGTTGTCTGATTTGCATACATCTAGAAGATCTGGAGAAGCTGGATATCTAGAGGTGACTACTATAAATGACAGTCCATAGGTGTTGATCCTGAAAAAGTGAGTTGGTATTTCGACCTTATTGTGGACAACTGCTACAATGAAAGAACTGTCACTGGTCGTGTGCTCGATATATATACGGCAAGCTGGTCGGCAATTTGTTCCCCGCATACTCCCACGTTAATTGTGTTACATACGGAGAATAAATAGTCAATGCATTTCCGTTGACTAAACCTGCTAGACATATGGAGTAAAGGTGTCTTGTCAGTGAGTTGTCAGTTTGCGGGTTGCCACTATGGAGGCTGCCAACAGCCAAAGATGGGTACCTAGCTATGGCAGTGATGTCTATAGCCGCCCACGTGAATACTCTAAAAAAGCGTAGCATAATGACTGATCAGCTACATAAGCAGTCGAGTGCTACGGGATAAACTCGGGCTATTTAGCAAGGTGCTACTGCGATCAGCAATGCCAATGCCATTCAAGTTCTAACGCATGCATATTCATTTTTCATAAACCGTGACTAGTTGGTGTGATTCTGGTTGTGATGGTCTAATAAATGGTCCTAGTAGAAAAGTGGCATCTCGGCCCCTCTTCACGTGATCTGGATAGTTTTGAGAGATGCTTTCGATTCATCTGCACTTGGAATAATTATAGTAAGAAATACCATAGACACAATGTTTATACACAACAATACGATAATGTCTTCGTACTCAATAGTTGAAGCACCATGTAAACCGAGAAAGAAAAGAGAAAACAGAAAGCCAAGGAATGGCTGGTGATCGACATGTATATCACTCCATATGGACGACGTTAGATTATCGTTAGATTATCCGGCATGGCATCAATCACTTTTATATAATTTCGTTCTTCAAGAACTAATCTGAGTGTCTTAGATAATTAATATCTATCGAGCTGTGCCTTACTGGACGCCTCCCCCCTTAATATATCCGCTGATAAGTACAAGCTTTATAAGCCGGAGAAGAGGCGTAGTTTAATGAGACTGACGACAGCAATCAAGATAGATTAATGGCACGATTGAGCAGCCATATTGGTCGGAATGGTCGGAGTCTTCGACCTGTCCATGTGGAGGTTCTGGAAAGACTGGATGTTGAGGCTACTATGCCCACCGCCATCCTTGGTTCCACTATGTGGACCGTGGTGTAGATGCTTGAGTTTCACGCCTTCCATCGCCGTAGTTTATTCTGCGCCTGGATGCTCCGTTCCCAATTGCCTATTCTGGTGTGAAACACTTGCAGTGACTTGGCCATCTTCAATACTCTTAATTCCTACAATGCACGTCTCATCCAGTGCTCAACAGCAGCCCTATCTGCCATTCGGATGCCGTCCGAGCGGTGATCGCCAAGACGGAGAATTTGACGGAGAATTTGTGCTGCGATGTCTCCCCCCATCCATGGTGGTGAGGATGGAGATTGATAATAATGGCTCCTCCTGCGGGGCGCCTGAAAAGCGTAGAGGATGGGTGACTTAATGTCCCAATATCAAACTAATGGGACGAACAGGATACACGCCAATAACAGTCGCGATAGTGGACCGACGGGGTGTTTTACGGCGTTTCATCTCCCTCACACCACATGGGGACTCACGGTGCACTCCGAATCAGTCGGTTGCTCCGGCCTCGAGAGGGGAATGCCAATGCTGGTTCTGATGGATCATTATCAGATGGTGTGCCACTGTTTGACTCCTGCTTTATCTCCGGCTTAATTAATCGTTATTATTGCTGCTCCCGCTTGAATCATGAACGCTGGCTGCGATCAACCTATATAACCTCCCCGTCCGGCAGCTCTGTCCATTCCTCCATCATCCTTCCATTCTTTTCTTTTTTCATTCATTCCTTCTTTCTTTCTTTGTATTTTTGTCTTGTCTTTCTTTCACCATGAAGTATACCGCCCTCCTCGCTGCCATTGCCAGCACCGCCGCTGCTGCTGTCAGCGTCTCTGGCACTGCTGAAGGTTTCGCCAGCAGCGTCACTGGTGGTGGTGATGCCACTGCCGTCTACCCCTCCACCACGGATGAGCTGGTCTCATACCTTGGAGACGACGAAGCGCGAGTGATTGTTCTCTCCAAGACGTGAGCTTCTTCTTCCTCTTCCTCCATCACGATACTAATATAATCAATCCAGCTTCGACTTCACCGAAACCGAAGGTACCACCACTGGCACTGGCTGTGCTCCCTGGGGAACTGCCTCGGCCTGCCAGGTCGCCATCGACTCCAACAAATGGTGTGAAAACTACGAGTCTGACGCCCCCTCTGTTTCGGTCTCATAGTACGTCTTGTCTGGCACCATCTCTCCGATCTATACAGCTAACACATCCAGCGACAACGCCGGTACTCTCGGTATCACCGTCGCCTCCGACAAGACCATCCTCGGTGAGGGCTCCAAGGGTGTCATCAAGGGCAAGGGTCTCCGTATCGTCAGCGGTGCCTCCAACATCATCATCCAGAACATCGCCGTCACCGACATCAACCCCAAGTACGTCTGGGGTGGTGATGCCATTACCGTGAACGACGCCGACCTTGTGTGGATCGACCACGTCACCGTACGTCTCAAACATTCTTATTGCTGTCGCAATGCTAATTGTACTTCAGACTGCCCGTATCGGCCGTCAGCACATCGTCCTCGGAACCGAAGCCGACAACCGCGTCAGCATCACCAACAACTACATCAACGGTGAATCCGACTACTCGGCCACCTGTGACGGCTACCACTACTGGGGTATCTACCTTGATGGATCCAGCGACAAGGTCACCCTCAAGGGTAACTACATCTACCACACCAGCGGCCGTAGCCCCAAGGTCCAGGGCAACACTTACTTGCACGCTGTATGTCTCTCCTTTTTTTCTACCATTTCCAAAAAGCAAAGTCTAATCTAATATTTCCAGGTCAACAACTACTGGTACGACAACACTGGCCACGCCTTCGAGATCGGTGAGGGTGCCTACGTTCTCGCCGAAGGAAACGTCTTCCAGGATGTCACCACCCCCGCCGAGTCCCCCATCGACGGTGAGGTCTTCACTGTTCCCAGCACCACCTCCGCTGAGCAGTGCTCTTCCTACATCGGCCGTAACTGCGAGGTTAACGGATTCGGTAACTCTGGCACCTTCAGCCAGTCTGACACCGGTGTCCTCTCCAAGTTCAAGGGTGAGACCGTGGCTTCTGCCTCTGCTTACTCTTCCGTTGCCTCCAGTGTCTCTAGCAACGCTGGTCAGGGCCACTTGTAAGCTCACAGCTTGCAGAATCAGCCAACTGTCGAAGTGATGTGGAGGTCAAAGAGAAAAGGGGTCGAGGTGATTGATAATTAACTTTCGTGTATTTAATTATATTTAGACCTACAATTAAATCCATTTGGGTGGATCTACTATTATTGAACATGATATCCGTGCCGAAGAATGAACAAGCTACAGTATATAGTATGAATTACTTTCTTGCGATGGGATGAAATAAAAGAGGTTGTATTCCCTTAAAGCAATCGGTTAGGGCAGAGCAAGTTTTAATGAGAGACTAACTAGTTGGAGCAATCCTGATTGACACAAAGCAATAAGCCCATAGAGCTAAGAATAAAAAGACACCGAGCTACCGACGGACAACCTAGTTCACAATCAACAATCCTGGCCCAAAGACAGTCGCCTTTGCCACGGCATTCGCATTGGGAAACGGTCCACTGCTGTTGGTAACAGCCGCAATGGTCAATCCGTTCATCAGATTCTCCGTAAAGGGGAAGAATGCCTCCGCAAGCACCCTCTCCGAATTCCGGAAGATGATATGAAGGGGCACCACGATAGGAATATTCAGCTGGTTGATGTAGGTCATCCAGAGAGTTTGTGGAGGAGCACCTTGAATGGGCTTCCAGGCAAACTGCAGATTCTGCGAGGCGGGACCAGGAGGCGTGACAACTTCCAGGGGCTGAAAGGTCTGCAGCGGAATTTCCGACAAGCTCGGGCAGCTTCCAGGCACGGTGAAAGACTGAACAGCCGTAAAGGCAAAATTCAAGTCACTGGTGGTAAGGAACGGCAGCTCACTGGGGATCTTATTCTGGAGGATTCGATACCAGCCTAGTTGTTCTCCTTCCTGTCCGATGACAGACGAGATCAATCGCGTCAAGTTAAAGTCGCCGCCAACTGCAAATCGCTCAACAACATCCTGCAGCGTTCCAAGAACGAGATCGGTGAAAGTTACAGCCAGGATGATAGCAGAATCAAAGTCTTCGACGGGGAAGTTGTATTGACAGGGCTTGATCGGGGTAACGTTGAAATGCTGGAGGGCATTGTTGGCGGAGATGGCGTGAAGTTCTTCTTGCTGTTTGACATTAGCTTTGCTCAGATTAACAGGAACGAATGATCCATACCGCCAGAATAGCAGTCAACGCATTTATCACAATATCACGATCTCCAAGGCTTGAAAATTCAAAGCCCTCGACATTTCCGGTCACGTTGATAAGAAGCTCGTGGAAAAAGGCCACTTCAAAGAGTTCGTTGAATGCAATCAGCTGCAGATTGACGATTCCCTGATCGCTGATCTTGTCAGGAGGAGGAGTATTCGGAAGAGTTCCATGAGCTCTCTCCTCGATGGCTCTCAGCTGTGCCGGAGTGGGATTTGGCATGTCATCGGGAAAGGGGATGTCATGGGTGTGTGGCGTTGGATGTCCATGGAGAAGGGAGGGAAAGCTAAGAAGAGTGACGGCGAGAGAAGTAAGACGCATCTTGGTGGATGCAAGAGAGTGAAAGGTTTGAGTCTCAATAAATGAAACTGAAGCTATAGCGTGGAATGGATACAGCGTAAAGATCGATGGTGGTGAAGAAGAAGAAGAAATCTAAAGGAGAGAGAAAAGCCATCATAAGAGGTCAACGGCACCATGCATGCGTTCCTTCCAATTATCTGCAGCGTGGGATTGAAAATGGCAGTCGGTATGCAGCTCCTGTCTATTTGATGCTATACGCATCTTCTATATCAGGAAGACATCAAAGTGACTGTCTCAGTACGTCATTCGAAGGCAACACTGGGAGTCATCGGAAGGAACCTTGGGTTCAACACAGTTTGATGCAGTCTCCATACGATTTGGTGCCTGTCTGCTGTTTAGAAAGGAAAAAACGTTCGAATCGGGATAAAAGAAGGCATCCATCGATCGATACAGTCTAGTTCTCTGCCTTCTCAGCAGTATATAAACTCCTCGACAGCCGTCGACCTCTTCTCTCTTTTTCTCCCACCTCTATCCACTTCCCAAAGCAAGAAACAAGACCAAAACAAGACGTTTCACCAAATTTCAACCCTTGCAAACATCCAAAAGAGTATGTCTCTCTCCCTTTTTCTCTTCTTTCATATAATAATACAGACCAACGATAGACAAAAGCCATGGCAACTGGAAACGTCTTCCAGCAATGCCTCAAGGCCCTCGCTGGCCTTTACAAGTCCAAGCGAAGGGGCGCCAAACGCTCCTCGCACCAGAAAGAGGGCGGCTGCACCACCAAGTGCAGCATCTACCAGAAGACGAGCGGACCGGAGTACGGTCTGAGAAGGGTACCAACACCCTATCCCGTGTTTGGTCAGAACTGTTAGGCGGAGGAGGATGAGGAGGAGGGGAATGGGCGGCATACTGCTTCATGTATACTTTGCTTTGCTCTTTGCTTTTCTTATACCTGCATGGCGTTGGTGGATCATTTCCTTTGTACTTGACATCTTGTATCTTGTCGATAAAGCACATCTTTTGTATTGGGTTTGATCGCAGTAACCTGTCATGAGGCAGCACTGTCTTCATCTAACGAAGCACCGTATAACTATATCAACATGAATCAAAGAACATTTACTGATTAACTAAAATCTTGTAGTCAGTGCATTACCGCGCTATCTATTGTGGTATATGAAAATCTTTCGAGACTGCCGTAGAATCAGGTGACACGCCAAAATAGGAAACCTGTCTGCTTCGAGTCTCTCCCCTCCACGACTTCTTCTCCCATCACCTTTGCTGAATGATCACGATCTCAAAACAACATCTTTGCTCTCCCGTCTCCCTTCCACCGACAGCCACTTATACAAGGCTGAGCAGCTAAAATCCAAACACGTTCCTGTCCTCCTCATACCCCCATGCCAACAACCCCGGCAAGATCGTTTCCTTGATCAAAGTTGGGGGACCGCACACGATAGCAACGTTTCTTTCCCCTGGCTCAAAGGCATGTTGATGAAGTATCTCCTCAGTAACATGGCCCTTTTTTCCTCCCCAGTCCTTTTGGGGGTGTGACAACACGTGGGTGACCTCCAATCGATCCGAGTGCTCTCGAGCTAACTTGTCAAGCTCTTCGTGTAACAGGATATCCTCCTCCGTCCTATTTGCGTCGATTAATTTGATCTTTGTTTTATCCATCTCATCGGACAGAATTCGAATAATGAGCTGATAACCTGGCGTAATTCCGGAGCCTCCCAGAATGAGTGAGATACGATCATAGCAATGCTCTTTGTTATCGATTGTGAACCGTCCCCGTCCATAGTACCGGATCTCTCCTGCTGGGCCCTTTACTTCCACACGTTCGCCTTCTTCGAGACAGTCAAGGATATTACTCAACGTTCCCCCTGGCTGACTAGGGTCGGGGAAGTATGTCTTGACAACCAGGTCGAACGTGCCGTCATCCTCGCCTTCAAGAATCGGTCTGGTAGGGGTATATGAACGAATCACGAGCCGATCTTTGAAATGAAACCCAAGCAGCAAATGCTGACCGATTTCGAGACCTAGCCGAATAGCTGGAGGTGGAAGGGCGAATGTATAACGCTGTGTATTTGGCGATAGCCTAGTCTTTTTGACTAGTCGAACAGATGTCCATCTAGTCGCTCAAAAGTAAGTTTCTGGAAAGCAGTATACTCGGCGCAACACGATCGTGACACTAGCCTCCTGTTGAAGAACAGTGGAAAATCACTTCAAGACGAAACTCACGTATGTCGCTTCAACGCCATGTCATGCTCGCGTTTTACTGACTCGGACCTTCGTTTCTCATTTTCACTGGTCTCCCTTCTCATGAAATCCATTGCCTTGTCAGTCACCACCCCTAAGACGCATTCTGTTTGTCGTGGTCAGCATATTGCTTAAGAATTGTGGAGATTCTTCTAACCCTCTAGTTTCGCATGCGCATAGTTGTCGTGTACGCTTTCATACTCCTCCGTCGTGTCTAAATGAACCTGTCCTGCATGAGCCATGATGGCTGTTTTGCCTCCTGGGTGCCAATCTAGGACTCCAGTAGCATTATACACCTTTCCATTGACGACAATCCAACAATCCCGCTCTGTGCGGTGCTTTTCAATCTCTTCACGAGTGAACTGTGCTTTAGGGGCAGAGCCCTGCCGCCGAAGACTTTCCATTTGAATTTCTCTTGATGGCTTCATCCATCCATTGGCACCATTTCCTGCCTCGCAGGGATGTCGAAACATCAAGCAAGATGCATTGCTATCTGGGTCTACTATGGTTTCTGGCTTCACAGTATACCAACAGTTATTCATCATTCTGGAAGTATACTTAGCAATGTCGGTGTCCAATAAATTCTGCATGGAAAGGTAAGGCCTCACCCTGTCAGATTCCATGTGGGCTTCTCAGGCTGGGTATTATTGTTGGCATTATAGCACCGGACACTAATACTTTCTGCGCGAAGGAATCGTGTCACGTCAATGTCAATATGCCAGAACAGCCAAGTCCAGAACTTTTTACCGTGTCGCAATGGTTCATTGGGATACTATCGCTAGTCAGTCCATGCACAATTGGATTTTAAACCAACAGAAACCATGTCTTTACCTACCTTGCGAACGCAGTATAGCCAACGGTTTCCACCATCGAGGCTTATTTCAACTCTTTGTACTTCATTTCCGCCTCCGTTATAGGCAAACCCTGCTATCCGGTAGGTGGCATCTTTCCTCATCTCTGCAAAATTGAGCTTCTCCCCTTGGGCAGGCCTCGCGATGATGGAATTCAGTATCTGTTCGTTGCAGATGGTGCTCGGGTGTTGAAACATAATCTTTGCGAACTCCGAATCCTTATCATCCACAAAGCTGGGAAGCATTCGATTGTCATTTATATGGTAGTAACTGTCGTTTTCATAATCTGTGACCCATATTGACTCCAGCCACTTTACACATCGTCCTCCAACAAATCCAGGGATCATTAGGCGCAGGGGATATCCATGATCGGGTGGCAAAACTGAGTCATTCATCTCATATGCGAGCAGCACATCATTGTTTGGCTCCATGGCATAGTCCAGGGGAATACAAGTGGCATATTTACCTTCATTAAGGCTGTCTGCCCCTTGAAAATTAACCCAAAGGCGTTTGTTCGAGTATTCCTTGATCGTCTGGTCAACATTGGCTTTCAGAAGAACATCTCGCAGAAGGACGCCCTTCCAATAAGCGCAGCTCATAGCACCAGGACCCCAGTTAAACCCCGTGGAACGTTTGATCATATTGAGCTCCTTCCTTCGGTTTCCATCACACGCAAGAAAGATAGGGATATTAATATTGGAGAATTGATCAGTCAAATCATCCATGAAAAATACCAAAGTCTTGCCAGCTGTCACTGTCAATCTGTGGTTTTCCCAGAGCAAAGGTGGGACTGCACCATGGCTACGGACATAGTGCAGTTTATTGGGAGTGATGAGACCTGATTCATATAGCTCTGTCAAATCGGGTTCCCCGTTCAATGGATGTTTACCAGTCAAACGATTCAGGTGGGAACTACGAGGGACCCAGCTGTCAGGTGTGAATTGATAAATCTCATCGATATCCATTGGGAGTTCCGCAGCACCCGCGGGCGATTTTCCCTTTCCATCGTTGGATTTTAATGAGCACATATAGTCCTTTTCTTGGCGTATATTATCCAACGTCGCCTGTTGTTCCGGTGTGTATGATGGTTCTTGATATTCTTTCTCAGGTCCGGCATCTTCTTTCTGTGGCTCTTTCGGTTTCTTTTGCTGGAATTCTGGATTTCTCTGATTGACGAGCCAATCCTGTTTGTATTTGATGAAATCTTCCGTGGTATGAAGGACATATCGCCAGTTCTTCGGGTGCACTTCCGGCCGTCTCAGATAAAAGTCCTACCCGCAAGTCAATTGTGATCGCCTGCATCGTCATCAATCTGTCAAGAGCACTTACCTTTTGTTTGCCGAAAAAGTCACGAACGGTGAGCAACTCCCCTCGTTCCTTCTTCTCGCGAAGCCCTTCGACCTTCTCCTCCGCCTCGAGCTCGAGTTTGAATCTCCAATCATCCCCCGAATGCGTCAGCCCAGGAAACCGGTCATCGCGGTTTCGCAGCCCCACCCGATGGCTATGGGTCTTGGTCCAGTCGGGCTCGTCGAAGATATCTTCTTCCGATGCTCCAGAGTGCTGCGTCGCCATTTCTCTGACAGGTGCACCGAATCCCAATAAACCGGCAAGGACCCGAAATCAAGCCCAAAATGGGTGACTTTTGGAAATCGTCAGATTTCAGTGTTTGTATGTGACTTTTTTCGAAATCGGGGCACGATTCCCTGGGGTTGAATACTGGCGAGTAAGCCGTAGAGATTGTGCGTTCTTCTGAGGCTGGTATCATTGTAATGAAGAAGTGGTGACAGTAGTGAGAGATGAATGACGCCATCCTCTGCCCTCTCAATCCACGACTTGTGAAGGATGCTTGACCCATGGATATCATGGATACTTCCTCCGCAGTACCGTCTTAATGCCAAAGCTGTTTATATTTCTTTAGTGTCTATCAGAATATCACATATGAAATCTTGCTGCAGAAATTAAATTAGCTCTCTACGACTCCAGTCCTTTTTCCAGTATCGATCGAGATCTTTCAGCTCCGGACACTCCCCCAGACAAAAGACCTCCAGCTCCTCAACCTTCCACGAACACCAACTTGTCAACCATCACCCTACTCCCCAAAATGCCCCATCCCGCCCTCAATATCCCGGAGATCCTGGTGGAAATCTTCGAATGTCTTAGAAAGAATACTGAGACTCTTTGCTCAATCATTCTTGTAAGCAAAATATGGTACGAGCATGGGATCCAGGTGTTGTGAAGGCATAGGACTGTTGAAGAGCTTGCTAGGCTTCCTTCTAATCGCCGTCACTCCACGCTTTCATTCTTTCCAAATTGTGGCTTAAGGACTCCGAAGAAGAACATTTGCCTCATCTGGAGGGCCTCACATTCCGGAAGTTGAAAAAGCTTTGCATCGGTACCTATTCTTGTCCCTACCGGTCTCAAGACAGCCTCGTTCGGAATATCAGTTAATACGCCCAACTTCCGCTTCGAGAATTCGTCTTTTACCGTGGTACCCTGGATTCAGCGATGCTAAACCATTTGAGACTAACTTGTCCCCTCCTTCGCCGTGTCCATCTAAGTCAAGTGGGCAGAGAATTGACACCAGATTCTTTATTGGAATTCCTTAAGAGTTTTCCGTACCTAGAGGACGTGGCTCTCATATACTTGAGCGACCAGCTCATCACGGTTGATACCTTAGTCGTTCTGGCATCTTACGAAAACCCAAAGGCACTGAAGCTGAGAAGAACAATAACCTGGAAGGACATAGATCAGGTTCTGACCAAAGTTTCGATTCCATTCAAGTCTATCAAATCCTTGGAGATTTCGGCCCACATGGTGGCTGTGCCACCGATCATTGATATAACGCAACATCTTCACGAGCTCTCTCTTGGACTTGAAGGGTGAGAGCTGGGGTATTTTTGAACAATTATCCCGACTAACAGGCTTGCGGCATCTTACATTAACTTTCGATTATGCAAATTCCGTGGATCTCTCAATCAGAGAAATCATGCTACTCTCACGCCTAATCTATATGGAGGAGCTATGTCTCCAAGACGTAGGAAGCACGAGCGTATGGTCATTAACCGACACGGACTTTGGCTCCCTGCTTTCCCACCTTCCTAATCTCCGGAAGCTGGTCGCCAATATCGATCTCTACAGGTTAGGTGCAGTGCCACTAGATGCAATCGCTAATTGTTGTCCCATGATGAAAAGTATCGAGATGCTTTTTCTGTCTGTCGATTTCATGGCCCTCAAATGGGACTCAAGGGCTGCCCTGATGCTCCCTCAGCTCAAGACGCTCAAGGTCTCGGGACTCGGCTTTTCAGTCCAAGGAGAAGATAGATCGTCCCGGTTAGTTCACTAAAGGTCTAATAACTACTTATATTTTCCCAAGAGTTATTCTAATTTCAGGTCAATATCAGATATGCAGGAATACATGCCGTAGCGACGATTATCCGAAGACATTTGCCAAAGCTCGAATATTTGGACTTTGCGGACCCCGATTTCCTCGAAGATGAAGAATTACTCGAAATATGGGAGAGCATGGGCTCTACATAGGCATGCTACGGTTCCCTTTGATCTTTACATTCGTGCTATTCGAGACAGGCACAGGAAGCCCCCACAATGTTCAGTCAGGCAATTTCATTGAATTTCATATCATGGTATTGAAGGTTACATAATAAGCATTCTCCATACATCATTTCTCCCTCTTCACATGAACAAAACACGATGTAATTCCTCCTAGCGCTGCCACTCCAGTAAAAACCTGCCACACGATCTGAAACCCCACAAGTCGGATAAAGTGCATATTAGTTATCCCCTCACTGGTAATTAGTCTTCTCTTGGCATGCCCATTATCAACATCATCATTAGATATGCTGACAATATTCCCATTCATCTGGTTCAGGAGCATCGCTCCCCCAACAGGAATAGCAATGCACATCCCCCAAGTCCGCAGAAACGAATACATGATCATGGCGGATGCGGAAACTCTGTGTTCATCTTCTCCATCTTGCCTTTGCGGGAAAGCTTGCATGTATGTGTTGTACCCGGATATGAGCAGTCCGTGGCCCATTCCTGCGGTTATGAAGATGAATATCCATCCTGCCGTTGGGGTCTGAGAGTACAAGACTATCAGAAGCGCAGTTGCCAATATGTTGAGTATCCATCCAGCACGGATAGTCCATGGAGAACTTCTAGGAGTATTGGCATATCTGTTGGAGAAGATGGTTGTCAATAAAGAAAAGCCCGTTATGGCCATCAAGCTGACGCCTGCGGAGGTTAGAGCAAGGAGCTTAATGGAGGCGAGGTATATGATGAGATATTGTAGCTGGCAAAACATCTGGTCAAGGGTTAACTTTTGAGTCTGTGTATTTCTTATAGGCAGACAAACCAGGAGTCCGTGGAGAAAGCTTCCTATATATGCCATCACAGCTGAGTAACTTCTGAACACCGTCGAACTGAATAGCGGCTGCACTGCCCAGATATTCTCGTAGACGATCAAGGCAATGATCGAAGCTCCTCCAATAACTAACGGTGTCAGAGTCTGCCAATCGTCCCATTTGCATAATGTTCCTCCAAAGCTCAGACCGACCAGAAGACAGCCGATCCCCAGCATAGTCAGAAATGCACCAATCCAGTCCACCACACGCAGTTTATAGAAGTAGTCTCCCTTCTGTCCTCTGAGATCAATCGCAAAAGGTATCATAAGCATCCCCAAGGCACAGAATACTAAGTTGAAATAGAACGCCCAGCTATATTCAACATAATCGATGAATATACCGCCTAGGAACGGGCCCAGCATGGCGCCAGCTACTTGATTCATGAACACGTAACCGGAAAATCGTCCTCGATAGGGAGGGGGTATCATGTCCGCCACAATCAGGAGAGATATTGACGTCGCACCGCCACCGCCAATACCTTGGATAAATCGGCCAGCGATTAATGTGGGTAGGTTCGATGAGCCACCGCAAATTCCTGTCCCTATGGTGGACACGACGACCGCTATCAGGAGAAGTGGCCCGTGGCCGAATACTTCGGATAGCAGGAAGAAGAAGGCTTGACTCGCTGCGTTGGCTAATAAGTATCCTGTAGCACACCATAGGGTAGCGGCTATTGGCTTGCTAAAGCTTTTCGATAAACCCTACTGATGATCAGACCAAACTTGACGAGAAAGATCCTGAGCACAACATACATACTGGTATGAGAGATACAACCGTTGTCGCGCAAAAGGAATCCATCATCGCCAGAGTAGAGACACAAACTAGAACCAACCACTCCCTAACCCCAGGCTTCCACACTGTATCGTCCGGGTTGGCTTCATCTTGAGGGATCTCGGTCGGATCAGTGATTGCGCTTATTTGTTTCTCTTCATCAACGCTATGATAGCTCAATGGAGGGTCTATGTATGATATTGTATCATTTTCTGCATTTTCAGTAGCTTCCGGGACGCCCATTTGTGATGATTTATAGCAGGTTGTTGATTTTATTCAATATGTCGAATCCTGACTAGGATTCGAAATAACGACTGGAGAAAGGAATCTGCGATCGTTCGCCATGGATCGGATTGTTTCTTCCTTAAAAAAGGGAACGATAACAGGCTTCAGATTGAACAAGAATGCTACAATAGACATTTGCGTGGAGAAACTCATAATCGAGGCACGCAATCCCAGATTCCACGCCGCAAGGGATATGACACATTGTCTACACGAATAGAAAATTAACGCATTATCCATTGAATCTATTCAAGCCGCCGAGTCATTTGGTATCAAACCTTAGATATTGCTGCATGAGCGCACGCCTCTGAAGTATAGGCTGTGGTTTGTTGCAATGATTGGCTATTTGCATTCCAGAAGTGTTGGTAGCATGCCAAACCTGACCTTTTCGGAAGGTCTACGTAATGCGAGCTCTGAAACGGTATGATTTTCTGCTTTAAGTTGCTTTCTGGTATGCTGTCATTAGTGTTCATTCGCGCCATCGCGTTTAGGTTCTTCATAGCTGAGGCGAAAGGTTGGATGTATGCCTTGGCAACGTACAATTCAGCTCAGCTTTGGCAGCACATAACCTCCAATATCCGCGAAGAACCGCCCTGCTCGACTCATAAAGTCTGAAACATCTTCTCCCAGCCATGTTGGGAGCAATTTCGCCCTCGTCAACTCCATTTCTCTTTGATATTTCCCGGCAACCTGGTATCAAAAATCGCATATCAGATCTGCATGTCGGAATATTTATGACATCAATTTTCTCATCACTCACCAAAAGACATGCCCCCTTCTTGCTCGAGTCCACCGCCATTTGTACAATCGACTCAGCCACCCTTTGCGGAGTATTAGCTTCAAGCCCCGCTTCCTCCCAGCTTCGTGCAAATCCCGCTGTGATTCGAGTGGGTGTGAAGAAAGGTGCAATGGCATTCACTCTGATCCCATGCTGCTGTGCGGTGGCTTGTGATGCGCGTAGTAACCCAACAACACCATGTTTTGAGGCGACATATGCGCTCACCCCCGTTCCTCCAAAGTAACCTGATGTCGAGGCGAGAAGAACGACTGATCCGGACGGTGTTTGTTTTGACTTCATATGATGCATCGCTAATCTCAAGGCTTTTGTCGTTTGTTAGCTGGCTGTCTATTCGGACAAAACCAGGAAAGAGCCATAAACATACTATTCAGCGTCCCCTTTAGATTCACATCAATCACTTTAAACCCCTCTTTTGACTCTCTTAAATCTCCCTCTTCGTCTAAATCATCCAAACCCAGCACCGTATGAGATTCCATAATCCCGGCATTGGCGATAACAATATCAATCCCCCCAAAGCGTTGTACTGTCCCCTTGAAAAGGGCTATCATCTGCCCCCAATCCAGGATATTGGCTGGAAGGAAAACCCCGCATTCAGGATGCGGGAATGTTGCAATCAATGTCTCTGCGTTTTTCTCGAAAGATCGCAGATCGGCTATGACGACGTTTGCTCCGTGTTTGTTGAAGAGCAATGCCGTTGCGGCGCCGATGCCGTTGGCGCCGCCTGTGATTATGACTGTTTTGGACGAGGCTTCGGAGAAAATTGATGGGTCGAAGTCGACTTGGTGCATTTTGAGGTTTGTTTGAAGAGCTTTTTCGAGTGTTGCTGGATGGATGACTTGTAAGAAGAAGGAAGTGTGCAGTTCGAGGGGACTGGAGCGGGGTTCGGAGATCTCACGCATTCACTGCGGAGAGCAACATTGCGTGCCATGGCACAATCTATTGATTAAACAGTTTCAATTCGCATTATTTACAGCCCATATAATAACGATTAATGATACTCTACATCATGTCCCCGCTGAACTCGTTAACCCTCCATCTATCACCACTTCCTGTCCCGTAATATACTTAGCCGCATCACCCGCCAAAAACAGCGCTGCATTCGCCACATCAAACGCATCTCCCATCCGACCCATTGGCACATTATGCTGCGTGATCCGTCGATATATCTCGCGGTCCTCTTCCTTCTCGCTAGCTCCGAACCCTTCCACCAACGGCGTGAATATCATCCCCGGCACAACGCAGTTCAATCGCACCCCCTTGGGCGCATACATCACGGCCGTCACCTTGGTGAAATGGATCACGGCAGCTTTGGCTGCTGAATACGCTGCTTGGGGCTTTCCCAGGTATCGTAGGCCAGCGATCGAGGCGTTGTTGATCACGGAGCCGGATCGTTGCTTTTCCATGATGGGGAGAACGACATGGCAGCTGAGATACGTGCTTTTCAGGTTCACGTCGATTTGTCGATCCCATGCGTCTTCCGGCATGGTACCAGGGTCGCTTGGAGCCGTTAGACCGACGTTGTTGATGAGGATGTCGATTCGGTTGTATTTGGCTAATACTGCGTTGACGACTCGTTGGATGTCTGCGGAGGAGGTGACGTCTGCGGTCATGACATCGCAGATTCCTCCTTCGTCGCGGAGTCGAGTTGCTGTATACTCTGCGGCAGTGAGGTTGATATCGCAGCCGAAGACCTTGACGCCGTTAAGGCAGAGAAGTCGTGCCATTGCAGCTCCGTTACCCCAGGAGTTGATGTTGACTGTTTTGGTCTGACCGATTCCCATGACCAGAGCGATCTTGCCCTGGAGATCTGGGTATCTTGCAAAATTCTCCATTTTTATATGTAGCTGATCTGAATAGTAGGTCAGATACACGGGATAATGTCAAACGTCGCTACGCTTGAGCCTGCGATTGCATTGCTCTGTCTCTCAAGCCACTCTAGCTGAGATGGTATCTGTTATAAAGCTCCGTCCATAAAGCAAGAGCGGGGATATGCCGATCTGAAGCTTGAGATAGTGGAGAAGATTGGCATGAGGCAATCCCCGCACCATCGTGGATCGGAGTTGCGCCATCACTCCGAGGACGGATATTTTTCCTGAGATATGAGTTTGTGGATATCCGAGACATATTTAAGTGAGCATGAAACATCGTTTAATTCGATTGGTATATGCAATTCAATTAAGACATGTAAACGTATGTAAACTTGGAGATCCTTTAAAAATTCTGCATAAAATAAGCCACCATATCAAGACAATCAGGGTATAGAAGCTCAAAAGATAAAAGTCGCTGCACTAGTATAGCTGTTAAACGTGATAATGTCCTCCAGACCAGTGATGCTGGTATTATTCTGACACCTTAGGAAATGGAACAAGCATAAAATCATGGATACTGTTTATTTCCAACCAATTATTGTATAGACTAGTCGGTCTTATCCCGGCTTGTGGCTCTCGACAAAGCCAAGTCGTGCATGGAGGATTTGGCGGATTTGGAACCATCGAGGGTGCTGACCGCATGGAACGAAAAGTCGAGCTCCCCAACTAACCCTTTAACGTTTCTGCAAAGTTTTGTCAGTAAACCCTCTAGTACTAACTCGAACTTATCACCTACCGCATCAATCTATCTACGTCACCGACAATACACCTGGTCGAAATCTGCAGCACTGAGAATGCCGCAAATCCTGGTTCGGCAATGTGTCTGAGACTGAGAATATCTTTGTCAAGAGCCTCCAGCCTCCTCGAAAAGCTATACGGTCTCGGTGCCTTCAGATACGGGGGCAAGGGTTGGCGGTTTGTGATACTTGCTGAGAGAAGACACAGAACCGATGTAACCTCATGGGTCGTGACCTTGGCACTAGCGACGAGCCTTTTGAAATCATGGATCCAGGCTGAGTCTGATTCATCTGGATCATTGCCAAGGTGCAAGAGGGAGTCGGATGCATAACCCAAAAGACTTAGATAGTTCACAATACTAAAGGCGCATTAGCAATTTACACTTGAGATAGGCTTTGAGTAGCAAACATACTTTTCGATGCATAGAATGATTGCATCATATTGCTTCTTTGGGAATCGACCACCAATAGGGACCTCCCATTTCAAAAATCCAGAGTAGGTTCGTAGGCCATTGAGCATCAGCATTTGTTTCGAAAATACCTGGTTGCGTGCTTTCAGGAGTCTGCGGCCTGATGATGTTTTCAAAGCCAAGTCACCCTCATCGCCACGGATACGTCCATTTACCGTCTCGTGAATAAGTGAGTAGTAATTTGCCAGCAGATATAGAGAAGCTCCCAAGCTTTGGCGAAGCACCGAGTGTTCCGAGATAGGGTAAGGGAAAACTGTCCATACAAAAGCCATCGCAATACCTCCCGCTACTACCGCCAACCGATATGGGGCAAGAAGATAAGTAGGATAGTATTGCTGCCCGTTCGCAGTTGCAGCATCCACGCCAATCTTCCGGACCTGGAGCTCATAGCCGATTACCATTGTCGAAGTAATGAGAGTGATAATGCCGATGGAACGAAAGCGAAATAACTTGATCGGGATGTAGAAGGCCAAAGACGCAAAGATGAAGAAAAACACAATTATACCTGGTGTCTTTTGGTCCGGAATATACCATGCCATAAAGCTAACCACTGTGGCAATAATGGTACCGAAGATACGAAGAACAAAGCCGAAAATGCTTTGACCTGAGGTAGGAGTCATGGCGAGGTTCACCATGATCATACCCCAAACGAATCGGTGCTGGATAAAAAATGTCTCAGTGTCATGCAAGTATCCGATAACGGCAATGGTCATAGTCGCACATGCCACACGGAATCCGTACGCAGATTCGGGAGAACGCAAGAACGATGGGATAACCCTAATCCTGTCGCCTAGCCTTTCGAAGGCCGTTTTTGGAGGCAGGTGCTCTGGATCCTTTCGGTGCTTGTAAGCTTCTCCAAGGGTGAGAATGTTATTTTGCGTGTGCACATCGCCCATGTTGTCATCGTCGTGAGAGTCTTCCCCTCGAAGTGCGCTTTTCATCCATTTAATCAGGCGCTTAGAACCTGGGATAATGAGACGCGTCTTCGAAAGCTTTCCACTCGCGGCTCTTTCGTCTACGTACTCGACGAATTCTAAAACAACTTGGCCAGTTGAATAGAGCAACTGTTCCATCTACATGTAATAGTCAGTATATCTGCCACGTAAATTGGGTTCCACTATCCAGTCGTTCTTACATAAAGAAATAGGTAGAGTTGGCGCCGGCTTCGATTCCGGCCGATACCAGCTTTATCCTCGGGGGTATCAAATATACTCTCATTGAATGTCGACGGACGGTCAAAAAAGTCCGGAGGGAGATTGAACCCTTTCTCTTCGGCCCAGGTTTGTAAGGCAATTCTTTTGGCCATTCTGAATTCGCCAAGTCTCTGTTTAAAGTGCGCAGTAAACCCCTTCTCGCCCGGAGCTGTACTGCCCGCTGACGACTCGACATCGTCACTGGGTGCTCCCTCTGCGGTGCTATTGTCATTTCTAGCAGACGAAGAAGATTTTTTGGGTGGTTTTGTTAGTTTTAGTGTATATGATATGTGCTGAAGGCCTTCATCGATAGTTTCAATCATCGACGCAAAAGGATCATGGACAGCCCTCATGATATCGTTCCATTCACGCACGACACGTTCGCGTATAGTATCAGGTGGCGCCTCGTTGCCCAGTGGGTCAATGGGTTCATTCCATTTGTTGTATTCGGAAAGACGTTGGAAGATATCCACAATAAAACTTAATCCGACAACAGGAATCATCACTTTTCGTAGATTTCTGAATACATCTTGAAGGTCGTCAGCTCCTAGTTGACCTAAAGCAAACTCACGCTTAGCAAAGGTCAGGTCTCCATGGAGTTTACCATGGAGGTCCGTAATCTTTTGTACTGCTGTTCTAATAGCTTGTGCTTCTGGACTATAAACCTTTCCTTTCTTGTTTACCTTCTCGACAGTGTTATCAAAGGTTTCGGCTCGGCCAAACATGTCGTTCTTCTCCAGAGTCTCAAAGTAGGCTGAATGGGCCTTGAGTGCCCCACGTAAGCCTCCGATATATCCAGCCATCTCCTTGAAAACGACCTGTCTGGAGGTGACTGGAAAAATGAACAAAGAAGTTCCCGTAGAAAGCGCCAGCCCTGTCAGAGAAACTTTCATGATTCGTTTGACAAAGCTGATTGCAGCTACCATCGTAGCCATCTGAGGGGCATAAACAGCGGCGATGTTGGCAACCATTGTGTATATAATCACTGGAAATTGGAGTTGGGGAGCCCTTGCACGGAAAGTGTTGACCAAGTAGATCTGGAAGAAAAGCCAAACACCGCTTACTGCTGATGCAGACGAATTGTACGTTGAAGACCCGCCAGCGCCAGGGTTATTCTGTCGCGCCTTCACGCTCGAATACATCGATAACAAAGCAAGTGCCGATGCTATACAAACAGCGAGTATATTAATTATCATCATCTGGATGAATTTGGCCCTAGGCATAATCGCAAAACCCAAGACGGAAATAATGCCAACGAGGTAGCCGAGAGTCGTAAACTGTTGCGAAACAGCGTCGGATTGGAACCTTTGGCCTGTTAGGTTATTCTATGAGACGATAAATCAGGGAAAGACTAACATTGCAAGGGCAATTGTCGGCGCGATTCCACCTCTAAGCATACATTAGTTCCTGTGTTGTAGATTGGAGCCGGTAAGAACTCACTTGGCCATCATCTTGGCCGTTTGCCAATCTAGGTCTAACTTCGCCCATATTTTCTTGGGATATTTAAAGAAATCCTTGTTCTGATTCTGTTCGTTTGATTCATCTTGTGAACACTGCGACTCCGCAGATGACGCAGCCGATTGCCGTGAACTGACTCGCGATACCATACTGCGCGACGTCCCAGTCCACGGTGCGATTTTCAGGATCTCTCCTCCAGGAAGAGATAAAAGCAAACAAGGTTGGTTAAGGATAAGAACCCCTCATCGACATCTCGCCGCTCTTGTTTTAACCACGTGACCGATCGGCGCTGCGATTCATAGACGTCGTGCAGGAGACGCCGTCGACACGTTCAACGCCAACCAACGGATGTGAGCTGTCGTATTGCCCCTTGGTTGAGTTTGGTCAATTATGGGATGAGCCGTGGTCGAGAGTGTGTCAAGAAGAGATTTTGTGCGGGGAGAAGGCGACTGTTTGAACTCTGGAGATGAAGGCTGGACTTGCTGGTGACGATCAAAAGCAAAAAAAAAGGTGGGCCACGCTACATCGTTGCCAAGAGCGTTGTCTCTGTTGAGTCGACTCCCAATTCTCTCATCTATACTTGCAGATCTTCAATAATATGGTTTATTCTCGGATACAGGCAGTTTCGATATTAGATCGAATAATTCATGGAGATATGAATCATTTGTGTTGGCCAAATCAGATGACGCGAACGGTCGGTTGTCAGTGTCAACTCAGGAACCGAACAGCGCAGATGCCGCGGTCGGTTTGAACCGCGGAATCTCTCCGTAACAACATCAACTATCTTATTCTGAGAAAATAAGATCATGCAATCCCATGATATGTAATATATGTACTCTGTATGTACATTGGAATGGTTCGCATATTGATCGCCCACGTGGAAATTCAACGGTTGACGCTATCGGTCGGCGATCGATAGTCGATACGAGTTGACGCAGGGGGGGGATTTGCGCCAGTTGACACTGACAGCTGATGGGCAATTGGATGATATTCCTGGTTCATGTTTGATGATCCAATCTCTCCAGTAGAAAGTTGACAAAATATTCGAATCAATTATGCTGCTCTTTCTCGTCCATATCTCTGCTCATGTCTGCTATGTTTTGAATGGCTTCAACCCCTGAAACCCGCCGTTCCCTGGATCCTCTAATCTTTGGCGTCTATCGCGAGGTTTGGCCAGCAACAAAGAACCAATCATCTGGTCTTGTTTGATTAATTGGCTTTTTATCTTCGATTTCCCCTCTTCAATAAAGCATCCTCGATTGCTCAACACGATGGTTCCCCAGGTCTGAGTTGCTTTCCGCACTTGGGTCATTTCCGACACAATGGCTACCAACCTTGACAAGCCACTGCCAGAACTCAAAGTCCCAGAATCGCATAATTCACTCTCTCAGAATATCACAACTGCGGTTCCAAAGCGAAAGCCGGTTCCTGTCACCAAGACTGCTACTGCTGCAATCCCTGATGCGACGGCTGCGACCACTGTCCCTGATGTGAATCATGTACCGCGACGAGGATGCTTGGATTGGCGACGATATTCAAGAAAGAAAAGACTTCTTCTCATCGGAATTATCATTGGCGCTGTCTGCCTCATTGCACTCATAATAGGTCTTGCTGTGGGGTTGACTAGAGGACGGAGGTGAGAATTGCCAGGGCCTTCCCTACGACAATACTCCCTCGATAATCTGTATACTCCCTCCAGAAGCTAACACAATGCCTCATAAACAGTCATTCGAACCTGCCCCTTCCCACATCCCACGGCGGACCATACACAGGCGACTTGACATACTACGATCCCGCGCTCGGTTCCTGTGGAATTTCCAGCTCCAGCTCCGACCACATATGCGCGGTCTCACATAAACTTTTTGACGCTGCCTCTAAGGGCTCGAATCCAAACGAAAATCCATTATGTGGACTGAAATTGAGGTTGCGACGGAACGGGGAGAGTGTGGATGTGAAGGTCGTGGATCGCTGTATGACACTCCTTTGATATTCGCTTCCATATACGGGCTTACAGAATTGCTAATTTGAATACACGGATACAGGCGTCGGTTGTAAAGAGACTGATTTGGATGTCTCCCGGGCTGTCTTCAACCAGGTCGCTGACCTTGATCTAGGTCGGGTGGTAGTGGAATGGGCATGGCTGGAGGATTCGCCCATTGCAAGGATCTGATGGTTGATGATTGTGATTGTTTTCTCTCTGCTGCATAGCTTTGTTTTTAGTTCTATGATACCCATTTTGTTGTTGTCAATATTTATTGAGTGGCTGGAAAAGTAGATTGTCAGGATATATATCCATGACAACAGTTGTTATGTAAACAAATAGTGGTTTAACAATTTCGACCACTCGAAAGAGGCTAATTAATTGACTACCTGGTAGCTTGGTACCGAAGAGGTTATTACTGTCCGTTGAACACCAAAAGAGTATATGGTGATGCATCCAACTGGTTATCTAGTTGACGGAAGTGATGTACAGCACCCCAATATGAAAATTTCCCTTGATAATTTAAATAATAACAAACACTGTCAGCCAAGCAACTGGGATAACCCAGTTGGAATCTTCCTTGGTCTAGTGGTCATGATTTCCGCTTGTCATTAACCTGATAAGCGCGGGAGACCGGGGTTCGATTCCCCGAGGGAGAGATTCTTTTTTGCTTTTTGTTTTTGCTACTTTTGCCCATCTCTTTGTCTTGTTTCCTTTTGCTGTTGCAATGCAAATGGGACATGAGCTCTTTTCTCCAATTGGATGTTCATATATCATTATTCTATCTATTTTAATATTCTGGCCATTCGGGGTCGACTTGCTTTCGCCATGCATGCAATCCTCCCTGGATGTCACCCACAAATCTATCTCCACCACGGTCTAGTCCTAGCTCCTTTAACTTTTTAACAGCAACCTGTGAGTCGTTTCCGAGGCGACAAACGACATAGACCGGATCAGTTGACTCTGGTGAAACAATATCCGCCGGAAGCCAAGGAGGTATTTGGCTCGATGGGTCAGTCGGCTCGCCGGTGTTCTTCGGGAGACTCATAGCCGAAGATAGAATTGTGGATATCGGAATGTTGATGCTGTTATCTATATTGCAGATATCGAATTGAACCTTTTCTCTGACGTCGATAATCGTGTGTTGCTTGTTCTCCGTCGAGGGAGCTGCTTCTGGATACATCTTTCGGTACTCTAGCGGTGAGATTCGCTCTTCTGGGGAAAGCAAAACTTCCGGATCGGTGATACCACAGAAAAAGAAATAATCAGTTGATCCCGATGCCAGAGTATCGAGTGTCACACTGGCCTCTGCGGAACACACCGTGCAGTTAGGGCGACGAGAACGAAGCTTTATTGTTCGGAATAACGGCGAAGAGTATGCGGAGAAGATATGCATGGAAGGAGGGCCCGCAGAGATGCCATCGAGCCCAGATGAGATAACCTTGACCGCTTCCGATGCCTGCAGGACGCCCATTGTGCCAACCACCGGGCCGATGATGCCTCCATCTGCGCAGCTGACCACGCTATTTGCTGGGGGCGGTCTTGGAAATACACATCGGTAACATGGCCCTCCGGATTTGTCACCTGCTGGCCGAGGAGGGTAGTTTAATACCACCAGTTGGCCTTCAGTCCGCAATGCCGAGGCAGATATTAGCGGTTTTCCGAGTAACACAGCAGTGTCCGAAATTAGATAGCGTGTGGCCGGATTATCCGTGCAATCGAGAATCAAATCATAGTTTCTGAAGATATCGGCGGCTTCTTGAGGGTTTAAGTGCGCTCTGTGAGGGATATATGTAGGATGCGGGTTCAGCCTGAGATATAAGTCCTGTCAGTATACACGGCAATGTGAACCATAAGTGACGGATGACTGACTCTTGAAGATATTCAATAGCACTATCGACCTTGAATTTCCCAACATTCTTACTCCGATGCAGGACCTGTCTGTGGAGATTTGAGAACTCGACCGTGTCGCCATCTACCAATCCCAAAGTGCCCACACCAGCCCCGGCGAGATATTGAGCAGCCGGACACCCTAATCCACCTGCTCCTACAATCAACACCTTCGCGGACCTGAGTCTGAGTTGGCCTATAACACGTAGACTTTGAGTGAGTATTATCCCTGGGAAATCGTGTATGATGCTGTTCTCAAACAACTAACCTTGCAACCCCAGTTGAGGAACAATCATCTGTCTTCCATACCGCCGATATTCGTCGTCCAGTAGAGGCCAATCCCTCTTCTTGGTACCGTTTTCACTCGATGCAGAATTCGTAGAATGCTGCCCCTTGGTTTCTGCAGCGGCCTTTTCTGCGGTTTCAAGCTCGCGTTTCAACCCCGCGAGCTGTGTCTCGGTGGCGGCGATCTGCGCGCGCAGCGAAGCGCATGTGTCTTCAAGATTATCCATAGCCATTCACGATAAGATGAGCTTATCTCATGCCGGTGAAATGCTCAACATACAACAAGAGGTACGTTCGAGCTGAGTATTGTCGTGGATATTCGTCCCCGCACTGGAGACTTTTTTGTACCTAATCTTATCGCACCGATTGGGAATATCGCGCTAGTCTGTTTTTGGAAGACAGTCTTTCCACCTCAACTTCAACGATAGAAAAACACCATCCCTCTAATTATATTTGTTTTCAGGCTATCCTGACTATACAAGATTTATACTATACACCAATAAATCCATAATAAGACAAAAAGATCCAGTTACAGTTACACAACATCACTCAACTCAGTCTTCGCTTCGATGTATCTTCGAAGCTTTTGTCTATTCTGCGTCTTTTGCTCAAATGCGTAAGCAATTTCGATGAGCTTCTCTTCGCTCCATTTCTCACCCAGAAAGCTAATCCCGAATGGAAATCCAGGTGCATTCTGGACTAGATTCCCGGTCTTGTCGTACAAAACCGATGTTCCATTTGGTGATGCGCCGAGAGGGACTGAAATGACCGGAGAACCCACCATAGCTGGTACACTAGACGCGATCATCGTGGGCAAAAGGATAGCATCAAGGTTGTGACGTGAAATTGCCCCCAGCACTCCTCCCTTTCCGGCATGGTAGATGTTTTGTTGATAAGATGCCCAGAACTGCGGCGATGTGTTGTTGATACCTAGGGCAAGTCCCTCATTCCACAATGCAGTGTCGCGGTGTGGATAATCTTCCAACGGCTCGTGTTGCGTGAATCCCCGCAGATCCTCCAGACTATAAATGCTGTTGGGATTGCTGGTCAACGCCGAGAAATATTCTGCAAGATTGCTGATCAAATCGCCTGCCGTCACAGCATTTGCATCTTGAGTATCGTTCATTAAAGCATCGAATTCTGTGAAGTTTGTGTTCTTGATGATGATGGCACCCGCAGCAGACATCACTGACATAGCGTCCTCGAATTCAGACATAACCGGATCATTGGTGATGCCCAGTCGAGCAATCACATTGTTCGGGATACCAATTCGCTTTCCTTTGAGCCCAGATAACTTGCACGCAGCGACATAATCTGGGGGGCCCGTGTTGGCAAAGGGTGAGGCCAGGGTATAGTTGTCCTTCGGATCTTCTCCAACAATGGCTTGCAGAACTTTGGCTGCATCCTTGACAGTTCGCCCCAGTGGTCCAATGGTATCTTGACGCTCGCTGACGGGAATGACCAGATAGCGCGAGGTCAGCCCAACAGTCGGTTTTATTCCAACAATGTTATTCGAGTCACTTGGACATAAAATACTTCCACTTGTCTGTCAAACATAAGCTGAGAACCCTGGTCACGTTGAACATGATTTACTCACCTCTGTACCAAGGGTTGCCAAAGCGAGTCCTAAGTCAGTCGAAACAGCACTTCCACTTGAACTGCCACAAGGATCTTGCTTGGGATAATAAGCACCATAAGTTTGACCGCTCTGTGCATCCCAACCATTTGAGGAATTCAGTGACCTAGTATTTGCCCATTCGGACATGCTTGTCTTTCCGAGAATAACAAGACCGTTTTCTCTGAGCTTGGCTACAACCGTTGAGTCGGCCGGGACTTTTGCTCCAATAAGAGCGTACGAACCAGCTTGGATGAAGTCAGTTTAAATGGAAAAATAACGCTACGGCCCGAAGAAAGCTTACCTGATGTTTCCATTTGATCTTTAGTGCCTATACTTGCTTTGATCATGACCGGGAGACCGTGAAGAGGTCTTGAATCAATATCATAAATTAGCTACACACCGCTAACTCCAATGTGAATCAGGACATACCCTCGAACCTTGCCACTCTTTCTCTCTCCATCAAGCTCCCGAGCAATATCCAAAGCATCAGGATTGATCTCAACCACCATGTGAAGCGTCGAGTTCACTTCATTAATCCTCGCTATATAAGCCTGTTGGAATGTTAGTATCTGTCAATCCGACGGAATCTGGAATGAAACGAACATTCACTAAATCAACACTGGTAAAGCATCCATTGCTAAGCCCAGCCTCAAGCTGATCAGACGTTGCCTCACCAAGAGATGGATATGTACAACTATTCCCAGTCGTGCTTTTCGACCACCCATAATGCCCCGGCAGTAGAAGAGGCACCAGCGACCAAATATTCGAATGTAGCATCGTGATTAGGAAATAGCAAAATGCAAACCACACAACTATAGTACAACCCATGGCTTTTTGTGACATTTATACGGTCGTACTCTTTACGACTGGTTGTTGACCCCCTGTTTCTTCGACTGTCTCTTATAGGAATGCAAGGGGCCGATCGGCACAGTCAGCAACTCTCCAATACACCGCTATGGAGTGAGAGACATGGAATATGAGACGCTCTGCGACGGGTGAAGTCGATGGATTTAATTGCTTTTTTTTGGCTTAATAATGGTGCTAAGGCGCGTTGCGGTCTGACCAACGTCCTCGAACTCGTCAACTGTAGCACGCTAAGGTTATATTCTGTAGTTTATGTGTAATTATGAAGTATTAATCAATCGATATTATTTCAGTCTTTAGACCCTAGCAGAAGAAGCTTTGAACCGGCTTCTAAACATATCGTGGCTATGCTCTAGTATTCAAGTTTGAGATGTCACATCCCCGTCTAAACCATCAATCCAGACATGACAAAGTCAGACATATTTGAAAGACATGGCATTCTATTCCATATTTATTCCATATTTATCCCATAACCGACCCACTGTCTCACCGGTCCTCTAATAGGTAGTAAATCTAGTTCTTATTTCCCTCCTGACGCACAGCAGCCTCCTCGTCGACACGCTCTGCATGTGTCACCTCATGCTTGTATAAGGTCTGCTCCACAGCAGCACGTCGTTTATTTTCGTCTGCTGCGCCGAATAGAATGTCCATCTCCTCAAGACTGCGGCCCTTTGTTTCCTTGGCAAAGATGAAGACGAACACACCCATCGCCACGCAAAATACACCGAACATGATGAACGTGCGCCAGCCGACGCTGTTGATGGCATGGGGTGTCACTTCGGTAATCACGAAGTTGAACAGCCATTGTGATGTCGCTCCTAGCCCTACTCCGTATGCACGTAGGCGTGTTGGGAAGATCTATAACGAACCTTTGTTAGTTTTCGCTGCTTTCGTGATTGGAAAACGGGGAATTGGAGACTTGAATCTACTCACTTCGCCTAGATAAACCCAGGGGGTTGGGCCCCATGAGGCACTGTACCCGATGACATACAGGTAGATCATGACTACCATCGCTATGGAGGCTTGGGATACACCGGTGGCGTTTGTGTCGGGTGGGTGGGTAGCAAGGACCGCGGCGATGATGAACATCATGCTTGCCATCCAGATACTGCCTCCGACGAGAGAAACTTTTCGTCCCCATCGATCGATACCGACGAGCAGGAAGATACCAGTTGCGACTACCTTGACGGTTCCGTAGACACCAGTGGCGAAGAGTGAGGAGTTGGTCGCGCTAAGACCGATGGTTTGGAAGATCTGGGGTGCATAGTATCCAATGCTGTTTGTTCCTGAGAACTGCTGCCAGAACATGAGGATAAAGCCGAAGAGAAAGCGGTTGCGGTTGCTTTTCTGCAGGAATTCCCGCCAGGTCAAGCCCTCCATTGCGGAATTTTCTTCGTCAATGGCTGCCTTGATCTCAGCAATTTCCTTTTGCACACTCTCACTAGTAGCAGACTCGTTTCTGATGTATGCTAAGGACTGGAGGGCTTCTTCGTAACGCCCCTTTCCCATCAGCCAGCGAGGGGACTCTTTGAGGAAGAAAAGGCCGATCAACATCAGTCCTCCAGGGATCAGCTGAACGGCCACGGGAACGCGCCACTGCTTGGTGCTGCTTGGAATTCGCAACGAGACACCATAGTCCAGCCAGTATGCGAAAGTGCTTCCTATGACGAGGAATTCTTGAAAAAGACCCGCGATACGGCCTCGCGTTTCAGGCGGGCAATTTTCACTGACAAATACGGGTGTGATACTGGACATTCCACCGATTCCCAGTCCAGCGATGACACGACCAGCGTAGATAACCCCAATGGCGTGATGGGCACCGACCTGGAGGGCTGCGCCGACCAGGAAGATCAAAGAGAAAATCATGAGAGAATAGCGACGTCCCAGACGGTCGTTGAGTAGAGCAGCAAAGATGGCACCGAAGAAACAGCCGGCTGTCAAGAGGGAAACCACATTGCTGGATACTTGAGCATTCTGTGCAGAGGCAAACCCGTTCGATTCGGTTGGGAGACCAAAGTCATTCTTGAAACTGTCTAGGGCAAGTACACTGCCCATAACACCCGTATCATAGCCTGAGTGGGTTAGAAAATGTGAAATAAGAGAGAAGATAAGAAGAAGACGTACCAAAGAGCAGTGACCCCAAGTAGGCCACTGTGGTAAGGATGTAAACACGATAGTTCTTAAAGAAGCCCATGATGGCAGCACAAGCAGCACTTCATGGATCTTCAAAAGGAAAAATTCAAAAGAAAAGGTCAGAAAGGAGCGAGCTTCTCTGTTTAAATAGGGAACAAGCAACCCCCCTAGGCCAATTCGGCCCAAGCAGCACGATAATCATCAGGCCATGAGAGCCGGTGTAAGTGGCGTGCACAAGCAAGGCGGCACAAAAGGCACCAGTTCCCCGCCAATTCCATTCCTCCCCGCGTCTTGTATATGATAGATAGTGGAATTCCGGGGATGAAAACGGGGGGAAAATCGGCGATGCTTCTTTTCGTCTGGGGAGGTGTGGATACGACGGAGAAATTGTGTGGTTGAGGGCGACGATAATTTTTCCGTCCACAAAACGAGGCCGTTGAGATGCCAAGTTGCACAAGCTATGCAAGGGATTAATTCGGTGTTTTGATGGAGGTAAGAGGAGGATAAATATATGGGTGGTTATTGATATTGCTGAGTGTCGAGGTGAACGAACTGATGGAGTAGCTGTACAAATTAGCTGTATATCGGACTGTAGGTTGTTTCTTCTCTGTATCAGATGGATTGAATGAATTAGATGAATCAGTATTAGTCACTCACATCCTTGCTGTAGTATTGTAGTATTGCAGCAGCTTGTATAGCATCATGGCATAGCTATATGTGCCTGGTAAAGCAGGATAACAAACAACAACAATCATATCTACTTTCAGAATATCAATATCAATATCATTTTATATTATATCATATCAATATTGATATCTGTCAAAAATTGATTAGCGAGAATTCTTGTTTGTTTGGTTTGGACTGGCAGTGAATGCGATGTATTTCCCAAAAGGGAAACCCAAGCAACAGCCCACAACAATTTCTCTTCTCCCACTCTTTTTCTCTCTCTCTTCCTCTTCTTTCTCCTCTTTCATCCTCTCTCTGACCTTAGGACAGATAAGCACAGTCTAGATTGGTGTAAGAATAATCCTTCTTCTCTATTATTTTCTTCTTACTAATTTGTGAAGACTGCATCTCTAGATAAGAGAAAGAGAAACTCAGATTCTAAGAGCTATCACCGCGGTGATAGCCTTAGAATTCCTTTTTTTTTTCTTTTTCCCTGCGATCGAGAAAGGATCACATTTCTTTTTTTTTTAGCAACCCTCCCTGATCGACTTGGTATGTTATCATGAATGAACATGACTATCTATTCACATGTGTTACTGACTGCCCCTAGTATCTTTATTCCTTAGGCCACTATGTCTGTTGCCTATGCACATCTGGATAGTGTGATCATTCATTTCAATTGCTACTGTTGTGGCACGGAAATCTATCTCGAAGGCGATCAAGGATGAACTTCCCCCGGGAACAGACGTAAGCAAGCTTACAGCGAAAGACGTCGAAAAGTTCTATTTCAAAAAACCTGATACCTGGCCTGGATATGCTAGGTTTAGTAAGTAGAGAAGCATATCTTCCAAGCAAGACAGCAAGCTAACGTTGAGCCAGTCATCGAAGACAAAGCACGGGATACGTTCAGAATTTCGGGCATCTCTCAGATGTGCACCCCCCCTGTCGTCATTATGGACAAAGATGCTTTTTTGAATGAGCCTAAGAAGAAAACCGACTTGGAAGTGTCTGTCGTTCAGTTTATGCAGAATTACCCGAACGCACCGCAAACGGAACACCACACAGTTTTCCCCTTACATGCCAATTGCTGGACTATGATCATCAAGTTCTTTGGTCCAGAGATCGAAGTCAATCTGGGTTTTCTCACCGAGGCTCTCGAATCAAGGACTGACGAGGACTACGCGCAGGAAGGGTTTTTCACTCCCCAACACATCGCAACTAGAAATGAGCCAGGTTGTGATATGCGGGAATTTGTGCAGAATGCTACCATCCCTGAGGATTTCTTTAGTGAAACTACCTTCGCGTCGCCTGGTTTGAAAGAGGCCTTCGAAGACATGTTCCAGGGCTCTATCGCCGGGGGAACCTTGTCCATGATCCCGGGGTTCACCCAACTGGTCGACACTTTCATGAAGCCATTTGACGCGGTCAGATCTGCCGAGGAGCCGTCTTTCTTCACAGACCCTGTCAACATCTCGGAAGTTCTCGGTATCGTTCAGACATCTCGCCACCGTCGTCAAATTACGGATGCAAAGCGTGCCGAACGCGAGTCCAAAATGGCTGAGGCCGGAAATGGCAACGCGGCCGACTCCAAGTCTTTCTTGCCTAAACTCCCCGGCGAAATACACCAGCTGATATTGGAATACCTCAACCTTGAGGATATCGAGAACGTCCGTGAGTGCTTCGAATGGGACATCCCGCAGTCCTTTTTCTACAAGGATGTTCGCAAAGATTTCTTTTTTGAAGTGCGGGACTTTGGCGTCGATGATCTCGACTGGGGTTATTTCAACCTCCAGACCGAAAAAATGATGAAACACACCCAAATTTTGAGTAATCGCAAGAGGATCAACTGGATCCTTGAAGATACCAAGGTGATTCTCAACGACATTTGGTTCGACTCTCTAGTCGGACGCAGAGAAGGTCTTGACGACGATTTCCTCGGCGATTTCCTTGAAGGACTTGATGCCGATGATGAAGACGGTATTGATAACCCAAACGAGGACTTTGACGATCAAGAATCCGGGGAAGAGTTCGATGACGAGTTTGAGGAGGGCGATGAACCTGAGGGCTCGGCGAATGAGGCTTTTTACGACGCGTTGGATTAGAGAATCCGTGATCGTTGGTTTAGCTAGGACATGGCAGTCGACCACATCTTTTGATCATCCAATTTACTGGATAGACCCTTGTATTTTGTCCTTTGGGATACGATTTGCGTACTTGCGTACGACGAATTCAAAATGTTGGCAGGAAAAAAGAAAAGGCTAAAAAAAAGCAGAAAAGAAAAAACGACGCAAAAAAAGGATGAAAAGCAGAACTACTGAAAAAATCGAAACAGGAAAAATGAAGAAAAAAACAGGGGGAAAAATCAAAACAACAAAAAAACATGTATCTAGTCTTAGCAATTACCTACCATGTAGGGCCTAACAGCCACGCGAGACTAATGGGAACCTGTTTGAGTAAAAGAATCTCCTCGTAAAACATGACTTCTACCGTCGAAGCCAGAAGCTTTCGGACTCGCTGTCACCGTCACAATCTACCACTACAAAGGTAGTAATCATGGCAGCTGAATCCCAGAATTCTCCCTCTTCGAAGCCGCATGACAGCACATCAAGCCCTACCAAGAAGCCTACGAAGCATACGGGCGTCCAGACAGAGTGCAACAACCATCAACCACCTAGTACCACGATCTCCGAGTACAAGATCAAACACGCGCATATCAGTGAGCTTTCGCCAGAGAAACTTGTTCTCCGCAGGGAACTTGCTGCAAAAAAAGTGGCAGAGTGGCAATATTAGGACGATCACCCAGAAGAACTTCTAGCAAGAGTACGACATTATAATCCTAATTGCCATGGTATCAAGCCCTTTGCCTTTTTACTTTACTTAATGACTAATTTCCTTGATAGATGAGCCTATCCTCCCTTATGAATTTGAAGAAGAAGAGCATAGCATGTGATTGTTGGAATAGAGTTAGGGATTATGCCCTTGACAATGTATTATTTTCTCTTCGACAGGTTTTCTCTCTTGCTCACTTCTGCTCCACATAGTGCGGAAGGCCATAAAGACCATATGCCTGCTTTAAAGATCCTCTGAGCTATGGGCCTGACCAGAAGATACTGCCCATACCTGCTTTTCTTTTCATGGAAACTGAATTCTTCAGTGTTCAACTTTGCTTGGGCTATTTCATCTGATTTAGGCTTTTCCCGCTGGAAGATTGCCCTGATTGCTCTCTTGTTCGATGTAGAGCCCATTTCATTTTTCTCCTCCACCAATATGACGATTTTCTCTGGAGAAAGATGCAATATAATCGCTCCGTAAAATCGGCAGAATGATGTCTGCCTTGGATGGCATTGCGGATGGCTAATTGGGACAAGGCAGTAGAACTGATGCCAACTTGGAAAGTACACTCGAAGACTCTTATTATATAGGGACCTTGACCAAATACACTACGAATAGACAGGATAACTATCTATTAATTGCTTAAGACATCTAGAGAGTGACTGATAGATGGCTATCTGCTGTAGTGATCAGCCCCTTTTCTGCAGGGCAAGTGGAGCACCAAGGCTGGGGATTCTCCGTGGGGGCCGAAAAGCGTCAGACTCAGACATGAACAATGAGACTGCCAGAATGCCTCCTGGCCCCCAATATTACTCTTATATTTAGAATTGTATACGGATTTGGATCTTCAGAGACGTGAGGGGTTTCTTCACCGACTGCCTTTGTCTTGGCCACATTGGGCTGATAAAAAATCTTTGGACCCTTGCTATCCACGTTGTCTCATTCCTAGATCTCATTCACTGTTGTGCGATTATCAAGCGAGTCAGTTCGAGAGATATACGACATGGGGTTATTACCTGCCCTGTTGGCGTTGAGTCTTCTCGAGCCCCTTGTCTCGGCTGTCGACTTTACATCCCATGTTGATGTTTTGTGAGTCCTCGCTCATCTTTATTTCCACCTTCTACCAACATATATCTAATATTCACAGCCAAGGATCAGAAGGCGGCGGAAATGATTTCCCCGGCGTCGCGCGTCCCTTTGGCGTCGTCAAACTCGGTCCCGATCTGTACGACGGCAAAAGCGACGCGTATTCCGGCTACCTCAGCAAGGGCAATTTCTCCGGCTTCAGTCTGATGCACGAGCAAGGCACAGGAGGAGCACCAAAATACGGCACCGTCTCACAGCTCCCTCTTGTTGGGAATATCAGCCAGCCTCTTTCCAATCTGACTGTTGCTCGGTCTGGTACGGATAATGCGACGGTGGGATATTACCACGCTAAAACCGATGAGCATGTCACTGTTGAATTAAGTGCCTCGGCGCATGCTGGTATCTATCGATATACATTCCCCTCGGGATCGCAGGGAAATGTGCTGGTTGATGTCTCGCATGTTCTGCCCTCGTTTCGAGGAATGGGTCTTGGGCAGAATTATAAGGGGGGTAGCTTTGCTATCTTGGAGGATGGCCATTATGAGGGCCATGGTGTTTATGATAATGGCTGGAATGAGGCCCCAGACTGGACTATCTATTTCTGTGAGTCAACTTCGAACCGGGCTTGAATTATAACTGACGGCTTCATTGCCTAGGTGGTCACTTTGACACTACTCCCACCAGCAAAAAGGTCTTTACCGGGACCGATGAGAAAGGCAGTGTGGAACAACCCAGCGGATCTGCGAAAGCATCCACTGGATCAACTCGAGTCGGTGGCTTGTTCTCTTTCAAAGACTCTGACGTCATCTCTCGCGTGGGTATATCTTGGATCTCAAAGGAAAAGGCCTGCAGCAACGTTCAGGATGAAATGCCAAGTGGAACGGAATTCTCTACCGTTGTTGAGGATGCCAAATCCGAATGGAACTCTAAAGTTCTATCCAAGATTACCACGACCAACACGAATGAGACTAGTTTGTCTTTGCTGTACACATCACTCTACTTTATGCATTTGATCCCTACAAACCAAACCGGGGAGAATCCCGGGTGGACATCTGATGAACCCTATTATCAGGATATCTTTACCTTTTGGGTTTGTGTCTCCGTTCCCTGTTATAAGATATAAGCTCACTTTGTCAGGATCTATTCCGTTGCTCTACCGCCCTCATGCAAGTTCTGCAGCCGACTGCCTACGAAGAGCAGATCCGCTCTCTGATCGACATCTGGCGGAACGAAGGCTACATGCCTGATGCACGTTCTTCCAACTACAACGGTCGTACACAAGGAGGATCAAACGCAGACAACATACTCGCCGATGCGTATGTCAAGGGTGTGCGTGGTGCCGTCAACTGGGACGACGGGTACAAGGCCATGGTCAAGGATGCAGAAGTAGCACCACCCAATGACCCAGTTGATCCCATGGCCCCGGACTCCTCTACCAAGCAGGGACGTAGTGCTCTTCCAGACTGGCTCAGTCTGGGATTCATCACCCCCAAGTTCAGCCGCGCAGTCACTCGTGCAGTGGAATATTCCTGTAACGACTTTGGTCTGTACCAGGTGGCATCGGGATTGGGTAAGAATGAAGATGCAGAGAAGTATCTCAACCGATCACGAAACTGGCGCAACCACTGGGATAAGAGCAAAACCTCCTTAGGATTCTCTGGCTTTGTCGTTCCTCGAAATGAATCACATCTTCTTGACACTGATCCTGTGAAGGACACTGGCTACTGGGGCGACCCGTACTACGAGGCCAGCTCTTGGGCTTACACGTGGAATAGCGTTCACGACATGAAGCACATGGTTAATTTAATGGGAGGTGCTGAGACGGTAAAGAACCGTTTGGACATTATGTTCAAAGACGGGGCTACTGGCTCCAGTGGGATGATCTTCGATCCTACAAACGAACCGTAAGTCTTCAGACGAATCACACGAGTACTCCATCTAACAGCAAATAGAATGTTCAACGTCCCATACCTATACAACTATATCAACCGACAAGACCTATCCGTCTCTCGATCCCGAAAAGTCGCAAAGGAATACTACCGCACCGGAAAGTCTGGACTCCCTGGCAACAGCGACGCAGGCGCCATGCAGACTTGGCTACTCTGGAACATGATCGGTCTATACCCCATCACAGGACAGACGACCTTCCTGATCCATTCACCCTGGTTCGAGTCGATGACCATCGATCTAGGTGACAACAAAAAGCTGCATGTCACCTCGACCGGGGGTGACGGAAACGGCGATAAGGACTTTTACGTTCAGGGTCTCAAGGTGAATGGAGCAGAGTGGAAGAAGAATTGGCTAACGTGGGATGACATCTTTGCTAATGGAGGCACGCTCGAGTTCCAGCTTGGAAAGACGGCGGCCAATTGGACTACGGAAGAGTTGCCTCCGAGTCCTGCATCGTAGATTGAGCATGACTTGTATAGTGTCTTTGAGTTGTAAATATTATCAGCTGTATAATATGACTGATTGTCCCTGGCACTAGTCGTTCTAGTTGGCAAGCTCACTTTGGATGGTTCGGTTCCAGCATCGTTGTTTCACATCCAGATCCACCATTTTCGGTCCACATGAATCTATCCTTGGATCACTCCGATTCACAGAAATTTATCGAATCTATTTCAAATTCGTGATAAGTCTCCGGTTGATTGATTTTATCATGAGATTTAATAACTTTTGACTGCGTTGTATTTCTCTGGGTTGCACATTGTAATTTCCCCCAGGATCACCAGCCCTACTAGTGAAACGATCATATTCGATATGAAGCTTGACCATCTTTTAGCACGTTCCACAATTTATCTGATTCAGGTTGTTTCATTTTCATCTAGCAGTATCTTCTATTCAGCTCTACCAGCTATCAAGGATAAATGCTGGAATAAATGTGGTAATGACATTGCGACTCATAACTTTCTCTATCCATAACACTCCAGACCCTCTAGTCTAGAGTGCAATTTATAGCGGAGCATTTTGATAGTCTGGAACTGACGATTTTAGCACCAGCTTTAAATTCATAAGAAATTGTATTCCCATGTCCTTTCTTCCTTCTTCAACTCCGTTCATTCATTCTTCCCTTCTTTTTTGTATTTGTCTTCCCTTTAGTGTGCAACCATGCGCTTCAGCACTCTTTCTTTCCTTTCTCTCGTAGGCCTGGTGCCCACCCTCGCTGCAGCGCAGCTTTCCGGCTCAGTCGGCCCCCTAACCTCTGCCTCCACCAAAGCAGCCACAAAGACCTGTAATGTCCTCGACTACGGCGCCGCAGCAGACAAAACAACCGACCTGGGCCCTCCCCTCGCCTCCGCCTTCGCAGAATGCAAATCCGGCGGTCTCGTCTACATCCCCTCAGGCGAGTACGCCCTCTCCTCCTGGGCACGGTTGAGCGGCGGCAAGGCATGGGCTCTGCAAATCGACGGAACCATCTACCGCACCGGCACGGACGGCGGCAACATGCTCTACATCGAGCACTCGAGTGACTTTGAGCTCTTTAGTAGTACCTCCTCTGGTGCGATGCAGGGGTTGGGGTATGAGTTCCATGCGGATAATAACTGGAGTGGACCGCGTTTGCTGCGGTTGTATGAGGTGACGGACTTCTCGGTTCATGATTTTATCTTGGTGGATGCGCCTTCGTTTCACTTTTCTATGGATACTTGTGAGAATGGGGAGGTTTATAATATGGCTATTCGGGGTGGGAATCATGGTGGTTTGGATGGGATTGATGTCTGGAGTACTAATATCTGGGTTCATGATGTGAGTGACAAACTGGTTTGATATTGAAGAGTTTCGTCCGGCTAACTTCTCGACAGGTCGAAGTGACGAACAAAGATGAATGTGTCACTGTCAAGGTATGTCTTGCTTTCTGCATTTTGGTTGCTTTGTTCTAACAATCTTGTAGAGTCCGGCTCAGAACATCTTGGTTGAAAACATCTACTGCAACTGGAGTGGTGGCTGTGGAATGGGATCCCTTGGAGCAGACACCCAAATCTCTGATGTCACCTATCGCAATGTCTATACCTGGAACTCGAACAACATGATGATGATCAAGAGCAATGGTGGCAGTGGATCCGTCTCGAATGTCGTTTTCGAGAACTTTATCGGTACGTTATATCACTCAAATTAATTGTCCACTGGAACATACCAAACTAAATGATTGTTTGGTAGGCCACGGCAATGCTTACTCTCTGGACATTGATAGCTACTGGGCAAGTATGAGCGCTCAGTCTGGAGATGGCGTCGAGTTGAGCAACATCACCGTGAAGAACTGGAAGGGCACTGAAGCAAACGGTGCTGCACGTGGACCTGTCAAGGTTATCTGCCCCGACGGTGCGCCATGCTACGATATCAATATTGAAGATTTCGCCATGTGGACCGAAGAAGGCAGTAGACAATGGTACTCGTGCCAGAGTGCCTACGGTTCTGGATTCTGTCTGGAATCTGGCAATGACTACAAGTCCTACGAGGTGACCACAACTACCGTCTCCAGCGCTCCATCTGGCTACTCGGCGGCATCCATGGCCTCTGATCTCCAGACCGACTTTGGCACCACGGCTTCCATCCCCATTCCTACGATTCCTACTTCTTTCTACCCCGGAGCGACCCCGTATAGCTCTTTGATGGCAGACAGCGCTTCGACTGCCGTCAATGCACGCGCTGCTGTTGCCAGCTCCAGCGCTCCCGTCGTGACTGAGACTTCCCAGGCAACTTCCACCGCCGCTGCGGAAAGTGAGGCTACTGAGGTACCCCCGAGCACCACCACCGCTGCGTCTCCCGGTTCCTTCTTCCCAGGTGGTTTCCTACCAAGCCACCGGGGTAGTCATGCTCGCCCCTGGAGGCAGTTCCGTGGCCACTAGATGTGACTATTGCAATGTGCGCAAGCCGACTAGCTCATATATTTGGGCTTATTTGGGTGCATATTGGACTTGCATAACAGAATTGTGCATTATATAAAGCAATATTCGATAGAATAAAGTGAAATAAATGTCAACAAGGTTTGGAATATTGCTTTGGTCCGTATTTCGATGTGTCCGTTCAATAGAATCCGGTATAATACCATTCTGAATATCATACAATTATCAGATTAATACACTGATTATAAGCAAACAGCACTTACAGAGCAGCTCGTATATAAACGCCTATTATTCCCTGGAGTTATCGTAGTTCAGTCCAGACTGGACGATTCAGACGGCCAAAGCGTAAGCGCTGTGCTAAATCAAGCCAAACAATCCTAGCAGAAACCCTGCCACCCTGGTTAGCATCATGTCGATAATATTTTCCAACAAGAGACGAAAAACAGGATTTGGAAAACGAAAATCTCTCTTCCGGCGCCCACCTCTGCAATGTCACCTGGAAGGTGGAGAGAGCTTCCCATCAGCAAGTTTCCGCATCCGTCGTCACCCCTCACGGGAAGCAGAAACAGGAATCGGAATCGATAATCTTCATTGATAGGAATGCAGCGATAAGATGCCACGAATAATTATCTAGAAATTAAGTCCATCCATCTTATAATAACAGGGTAAATTTTCAAGACGGCTGGGAAGAGAAAAAGCGTTGAGGGGTGATACTGATGTCACATGGGTCGCGTTGAGCTTTGGTCTCGACCCTCCCCCGCATGTGCCTCCAGAGAAAGCAAGCGTGAGACTTGACTGTGTCTGTGTTCCACCTGCTCCGGACTTCCCCTTTTTTTCCATTTTTTTTTTCTCTGGTCACGAAGAAGATCTGTTCCTGGCTGTTCCTGAGTCTGTCTTTTGCTAGACCAATAGATTGCTTTTGCTGTGTTGCGGCGTCGCTTTCCTTGAAATCAAGAACCAGTACTGATCCGACTATCGTCATTGCTTCCTCATGGCTTCAGAAAGCTCTCAATCAATACCTGCCGATGGCACTGGTTGGTTCTAGCTAGTCTTGAGCTTTGAAATTACTTTTCGAAAGCTATTTTTAAGCTATTTTTTCTAACTGAGCTCTTATAGGTGTTATCCAGCTTGACCCTTGGCTTGAGCCATTCCGGGGAGCTTTGCAGCACAGATTCAGTGTCGTGAAAGACTGGCTCAAGATCATTGATGAGACTGAGGGCGGATTGGAAAAGTTCAGCAGAGTGAGTAATTCTTCCTGTGTATTCGTTGTCGCTGTAAGGTCGGGATGCTAACACGAACTCGAATTGGATAGGGTTACGAGAGTTTCGGCCTCAATGTCCGTGACAATGGCGACATTACATACAGAGAATGGGCACCCAGTGCCGTCGAAGCACATCTGGTCGGAGATTTCAGTACGTCTGGTGGCATTGAATGAGGGATCCGGTGAAAGGCTTACTGAGACTGGCAGACAAATGGGATACCAAGGCCACCCCGATGACCAGGAACTCATTCGGTGTCTGGGAACTTACACTGCCTGCAAAGGACGGTGTTCCGGCAATTCCTCATAACAGCAAAGTCAAGGTATCTCCTCCGAAAAGCCTACGCCAGTACTTGTACGCCTCGCTGACTTTCATCTCAGATAGTAATGATTACCCGTGCCGGGGAGCAAATCTATCGAATCCCCGCGTGGATCAAACGTGTCACTCAAGATCTAAATGTTTCCCCGGTATACGACTCAGTATTCTGGAACCCACCGGAAGAAGAGAAATACAAATTCAAGAATTCCCGGCCCAAGAAGCCCGAAAGTCTTCGTATTTACGAGGCGCATGTAGGAATCTCATCGCCAGAGACCAAGGTTGCAACATACAAACAGTTTACTGCGAATATGCTTCCCCGAATCAAGTATCTGGGATATAATGCAATTCAGCTGATGGCCGTTATGGAACATGCCTACTACGCTAGCTTTGGCTACCAAGTCAACAACTTCTTTGCGGCGAGCAGTCGCTATGGCACACCCGAAGATCTGAAGGAACTCATTGATACCGCTCACAGCTTGGGTCTGGTTGTTCTTCTTGATGTAGTGCACAGCCATGCATCAAAGAACACTCTAGACGGACTCAACATGTTTGATGGTTCAGACCACCTTTACTTCCACGAGGGAACAAAGGGCCGACATGAGCTGTGGGACAGTAGACTGTTCAACTTTGGTAGCCATGAGGTGCTGCGCTTTCTCTTGAGTAACCTACGATTCTGGATGGAAGAATATCAATTTGATGGCTTCCGTTTTGACGGAGTTACGAGTATGCTCTACACTCACCATGGAATTGGAACGTACGTATCCCTCACTCTTTCCCTATCTTACTTTTGTGTTTAGCTAACTCCTTTGTAGAGGCTTCTCGGGTGGATACCACGAATACTTTGGCCCAGCAGTCGATGAGGAGGGTGTAATGTATTTGACTCTTGCCAACGAAATGCTTCACAAGCTATACCCCGAATGTATAACAGTGGCCGAAGATGTGTCCGGCATGCCAGCACTCTGCCTGCCCTATGCCCTGGGTGGAGTTGGTTTTGACTACCGTCTAGCCATGGCCATCCCAGACATGTACATCAAGCTTCTAAAAGAGAAGTCAGATGATGAATGGGACATTGGCAATCTCTCTTTCACATTGACAAACCGACGTCACGGCGAGAAGACAATCGCCTACGCAGAAAGTCATGACCAAGCGTAAGTTGACAAGCCCTATCACGAGAAGAAATAGAATCCTAACTCAACCCAGTCTTGTGGGAGACAAATCCCTCATGATGTGGCTCTGTGACAAGGAGATGTACACAAACATGTCTGTCCTAACGGAATTCACTCCCATCATCGAACGAGGCATGGCTCTACATAAGATGATCCGACTAGTCACCCACGGCCTCGGCGGCGAGGGATATCTCAACTTCGAAGGCAACGAGTTCGGCCACCCCGAATGGCTCGACTTCCCCCGTGCTGGAAATAACAATTCCTTCTGGTACGCTCGTCGTCAACTAAACCTAACCGAAGACAATCTTCTCCGATACAAATTCCTCAATGACTTCGACCGCAGCATGCAGCTAACCGAAGAGAAATACGGCTGGTTGCACTCGCCCCAGGCATACGTCAGTCTCAAGAACGAGGCTGACAAGGTCCTCGTCTTCGAACGCGCAGGACTTCTCTGGATATTCAACTTCCATCCCAGGGACAGCTTCACTGACTACCGTGTTGGTGTTGACAAAGCCGGTACTTACCGGATTGTCTTGGACACTGACGATAGTGAATTTGGTGGCTTTGGTCGTAATCTCAAAGAGACTCGCTTCTTCACGACAGACATGTCGTGGAATGGACGAGCTAACTATTTGCAGGTTTATGTTCCAACAAGGACAGCAATAGTGAGTTCCTCATTCTTTAACGACTCAATTTAAAGAATCCAAGAGCACATACTGACTTTGACTCCCCACAGGTCTTGGCCCTAGAAGAAACACTATAAAACCAACCTTCACCATCCCTGCCTTACTCCACTTTCTTGTTCCCTTGATTCTTTCTTCACCTTAATATTCCTATTCGAGAAATGCTTCAAGGATTATTCATGGTTGCGTATTCTTTTCTTGATATCTATATTTTTCTGATTGGTCTAGATCTAATTGATCTTTCTATCATGTTTATTATGATCTTCTGTTACGTGTTCTGGCGAGTTTTATCTAAATCCAATGAATTCGACACAATGTGCCTTTCTATTCTAGCTCGATTCCTTATTATGCGAAATGAAAATCCTAAATGGTAGAAGTATTCAAGGACAATATGAGATCCACATCCCTTTGATGTAAACTGCAAGTCAATCTAATCTAGACTCTGGACACTGTATGTCTTACAGCACGATGCCAATAGTGACCTAACGGCTTATGGGTAGCATACATGCATTGACGATGAACGGATCTATCCACAATTCGGATCTACGAATGACTACATATGGAGAACTACGGAACGCTAAGGTAATAACCTAATCGAACAAAAGAAATGATACAATTGTCCCAGCCTGGAGGGTATCATCCAGGCTGGCTGTGGTCATGCTAAGTTACTTACATTGAGCACATAGTGTAACACAAGCGTGGAAGTTTCCAACCAGCTTACAGAGGGTGAGATGGAGTGCTCCTTTCTTTCAATAGGAATTATAGCCTTTCCTTCAAGTCCTTTTTCTTAGATCGAGTACTGTACACGCATCAAAAGAAACCGGAAAACTCAAGAAAGAAAGTCCATGTCTGAAAAAAAGAAAGGGGCGCTTAAAAACAATATTACATTTACTGGCCCTCCAGCTCAGCCATAATCTTCTCACCCTTAGCGCGAGCAGACTCGAAGTCACCAACCATGTAGAAAGCAGCTATAATTTTGTTAGCATCAGTGCGCAAATTCACGGGGGATGTATTCTAAACATACCTTCGGGAAGGTCGTCACCCTCTCCGTGGATGATGGCCTTGAAGGAGCGGATGGTGTCCTTGAGGTCGACGAGCTTGCCCTCAATACCAGTGAAAACCTGGGCAACGGTGAAAGGCTGACTCAGGAAACGCTGGAGCTTACGGGCACGCTCGACGGTGAGCTTGTCGGCTTCGGACAACTCGTCCATACCCAGAATGGCGATGATATCCTGGAGCGACTTGTACTCCTGGAGCATCTGCTGGACACGGGTGGCGGTGTTGTAGTGGTCCTCACCGACAATACGGGCGTCGAGCATACGGGACTTAGAGTCGAGAGGGTCGACAGCGGGGTAGATACCCAACTCGGAGATACCACGGGACAAGACAGTGGTGGCGTCCAAGTGAGCGAAGGTGGTGGCGGGGGCAGGGTCAGTCAAATCGTCAGCGGGCACGTAGACGGCCTGGACGGAGGTAATGGAACCCTTGTTGGTGGTGGTGATACGCTCCTGCATACCACCCATGTCGACGGCCAGGGTGGGCTGGTAACCGACGGCAGAGGGGATACGACCCAGAAGGGCAGACACCTCAGAACCGGCCTGGGTGAATCGGAAAATGTTGTCAATGAAGAGCAGCACGTCCTGACCCTCCTGGTCACGGAAGTACTCGGCGATGGTCAGACCGGTAAGGGCGACACGGGCACGGGCACCCGGGGGCTCGTTCATCTGACCGAACACCAGGGACACCTTGGAATCTCCCTCGAGCTGGATGACACCAGTCTCCTGCATCTCGTGGTACAGATCGTTACCCTCACGGGTACGCTCACCGACACCACAGAAGACGGAGTAACCACCGTGAGCCTTGGCAATGTTGTTCTGAAATTTGTCAGTAAAGCATTTTAAGACAAAGGGAAGCTAGTCAACTCACAATCAACTCCTGGATGAACACGGTTTTACCGACACCGGCACCACCGAAGAGACCAATCTTACCACCACGGGCGTAGGGGGCAAGCAAGTCGACGACCTTGATACCAGTGACGAGAATCTCGGCCTCGGTCGACTGCTCGACGAACTCGGGAGCCTCAGTGTGGATAGGGGCGAACTTGTCGGCCTTGATGGGACCACGCTCGTCAATGGGGTCACCAGTGACGTTGATGATACGACCCAAAGTGCCGGGACCGACAGGGATTGTGATGGGGGCACCAGTGTCGCGGGCGGCAGCACCACGGGTCAGACCCTCGGTACCTATAGATCGACGTGTTAGACTCATTGAAGAGCAAACTTCAAATATCCAGCTAGGGGGAGAGCCGGTTCATGTGCCTGAATGACCAGGGCAGTTACCAAGGTCATCCAGGACACGACACAACCAAGGGGGGGAGAAGCTTACCATCCATAGCAATAGTACGGACGACATTCTCACCCAAGTGTTGCTGTTATTCAAGTTAGCTATCTGAAATTGATGTCATCAAAAGCTTGATATATACATACAGAAACCTCAAGGACGAGCTTCTGGCCGTTGTTCTGGGTCTCAACGGCGTTGAAAATGGCGGGAAGCTTTTCACCGTCGAACTTCACTGTTTGCGATAGTCAGATATTGATCATTGGAATTGCCATTGCGACGTTTTTGATTGTTGTTGTGATGGATTCAAGGCCCGGAAAAGATTTTCGCGTAGCCCTGGTCCGGCAGGGTTTTCAACAGGGTGTCCGCTACGTACCGTCAACGACGGCACCAATGACCTGGTGGATCTTTCCGGTCTGAGCAGCCTCAGAGCTGGCGAACCTGGCCAGAGAAGGCAGGCCGTTGGATCTGAGGGGCTGAAGGGCGCGTCGGGCGACGGGGGTCGGTCGAGCAAAAGCAGCCCTCCCGAAGGTCCGGGCGAGACCGCTGTGAAGAGCAAAAAAACAGCTGTCAGCAAACAAAAATCTGGGAGAGAGGGCGATCAGAGAGAAATTGGCGGCGAAACACACCTCTTGAACATCATGATGGTGTTGAAGAGCGAAATGGGTATAGAAAAAGGGTCAAGGTGACGAGAGGATGGAGAGAGGGAAGAAAGAGGGAAGGGAAGGGAAGAGGTTGAGGTTGAGGTGGACACAGGCGACTGTGCCCGGCTTAGCCTTTCCGGGGCGGTTTTGCCGACGATCCCGTGATGTACCGAGCAACGCGCAAGAACATGGCAACCAGCCTCAGCTGTTTATTGATGATGGAGCAAGCTTGCAGCTCTGCTGGCAGGGCTATGAACTGGCTACGGGCCTAGCATTCTAAAATTACCATGATTTTATCTATCATCTCATCGTGTCGACGGGTTCTCTCCAGCTGCTCCAGCTCACCGACTGGGTTACTAGGGAGAAATCGCTACACACAACGGGGAACTTCTTGGCGCCCGGATGCAGGGAGCTTCAGCGACCCCATCAAATAACAATCGCCAGCACGGTGAAGAAACTTAGCTGCCATCTCTTTATTGCTCGATAATAAACTGTCAAAAGACGCTCCAGTTATAGCGCGAATTCCTCCGGTCTGATCCATATCCAATTTGCCCACCGCTGGATTCCCCGTGCCTGCCCATGTCGTCCATTCTCCCTTTCGGACAGGTGGAAATTTCTGACGTGTTCCGAGTTCTTCGAGTATTTGCTCCGTTTCATGAGGATCTTCTTCCCACAGTAATTGCTAGCCTTGATAAAACATAATTTTTTTTCTGCTACATTGAATCCTGGTACAAGATATATCGTAGTTTAACACTATACTACATCCAATTGGAGTGGTAAATCTTAATGACCTCGAAAGGATCGTTGACATCATCCCATTCCAAGGGCGCTGCTTCAATATCAAATATATTCCCACGTATCTCATAGAAAATCATAGCCCATCAACTTTGGTCCAGTGTAGATTTCATAGAATCCAATTATGAAAAGTGTCTATCAATCGCCGTTCCATGTACTTACAATAAGAATTACCCTACTGCTCAATCAAGTCCAAGATACAGGGAACGATGCAAAACTGCTCTATGGCTACAAAGGAGATAGATTGATTATTGCACAGTACGGGATACACAAGTTTTGGGTTTCGAATTGACATCAAGGAAGACGAGGGTGGGGGGTTGCGTTCAACGGACAAGAACACAGAGCCGGGGTCATCAGGCGTGTCGCGATAGACGGCCGGCGATCAATCCCAGCACTGCCTATACGGCATTTCTGATTGCTATACCTATTCCTCCAGGATAGAGGTTTTCAACCTACGATCGCTCGGCAGGGGCGCTCTGGACGAATCCGGGGCCTTCGTAACCCTCCTTGCTGATGCCGTGGATGGGGTTCATCTTCTCTCTCTGTTGCGACGACTTGTTAGCAATCACATCATGATATAGAACAGAGCCCCAAAATTCATCCGGGACTGTATTTCTCACGTACCAAGGCGTATTCGTTGGAGGCCTCCTGCCACTCCTTGGACATGGTCTTGGGCTGGGGCTTGGCGAAGAGGTGGATAACGTAGAAGAGACCGAACGAGACGAGGGTGAGCTGAACGACCTTCAGGAAGATCTTCAGGTTCTCGCCCTTGGGGGGCTGTGCGCGAGGGCCATGGGGACCAAAAGCAATCCAGTAGGCTATATAAGGTGGGGGAGAGAAAGGTCAGCAAAAATTCTGATCGATCGGGAGGCCGGGGGGATGCCATAGAGCAGGGGTACGAACCGGCTTTCTTCTCCTGGAGAGTCATCTGGTGCCAGTCAACCTTCATGCGGTCTCTCAGCTGCATCCACAGGTCGGCCTGCTCCTGGGGAGGCATGGCCTCCCAGCGCTTCTCAATACCGGCCAGGGTGGGATTGGCGATGGCATGCTCGGATGCGGCGCGTGTCTGCTGGGGAGCAATAGACTTCTTCTCGGTCTGAGGGCGGACATTCAGGCAAGCCATTGGGCTTGGGACGGTGCGGTAGGAGCGAATGGCAGCCGTGGGCATGGCCGAGCTGCGAGCAGCAGCTCGAGAGACGGACTGAAGGAACATTGTGCGGAAGGGCGTGCGCGCGATAAAAAGCGATCAATTGAAGAAAAAGCACTCTCCAGAGGCTATAGAGACAGACCCTCGGAATTGAGGATGATTAGAGGCTGGCAAGGGAGTGGAGGGGGTGGTCGAGGCTCGCGATGGAAGACGAAGACGACGTTCGACTGTGATTTGAAGTGGAAGTCGAGTGTCCGGACGGCTAGCTTAGCCCGATTTGGCCGCCTCCTCATTGGCCCGATTCCACCCGTCAACCATCCCTTCGCCATCATGATAATACACATTACTATTGCACTCTCATTTCGTTTGATTCAGACGAGGTAATTAGTTCCATCATTGACATTATTATCTCGAAGTTCTTCTAACCACTAATCAGACTCTTTCAGGGCCATTACCCATTGCTCTCCCGTCGACGGCCTCGAAAATTGACTGTCGAGCCTACATAGCCAACCTTCCTGTAAGTAGATGTCGAACCCTACGCAACTCCAGTCAATCCAGTTGGTTACGAAATCATGATATATCGGAGGTGGTGCCGTCTTTTCTACTCTACACCGAGCCGTTGAAACCACGTCCCATATCAGGCAGGAAGGAGTATTCTGTATGGGCAAACCCCATGACACACAAGTTCCCCTCGAAACACTCATCCACGATGGGCTCCACGATCGCAGAGAAAGGCGGCCGGGTCACTATGAAAACACTCTCAAGTCGTAACGGTCTCATATTGAAGCTAAGTGTATGCAGGGGATGTCATTGGTTTGGTCGTTCCCAAGCACTCCGTGGTCTGACGGATAGCGGTGCAGTGTAATAAGAGCCAACACATACAAGGTCACTTGGCCCGGACCCAGCCGGCGCACCCGTTTATGCTTTAACCTTGCCACCGCTGGCTTCGCTCACAATGTTCTTCCATTCAATTTCGTCCTTGTCGTCGGCTTGGATGGAATTGCTGACATTGAGGGCGGTCTTGAAGCCCTCACGGCTGCTGGCGTAGATCATGGACGACTGTCCGGGTTGTCAGCGAAAGCCAAACGCACAAGAAAATAAGGAAACATACGCGAATGTTACAACCGCTGGGAACCCAAGAGATGAAGACGATCTTGTTTCTGCACAAAGGACAATTGTCAGTTTCGGCCCATCAGTCTAAGGGGCTGTGAACAATCGCACCTCTTGCCCTCGTGTTCATACTCGACATCATAGACAGCGTAACGAGGTGCAGGTTTTCCGTTGGCCTCCTTGACTTCGGCGAGCTTGTTGCGGAAAGTCTCATAATTGGGGTCGGTAGAGGCCTCTTCAATCTCGATGGTCTTCTGGTCGTCGGAGACCTTGAAGATGATGAACTTCAGTCTCTGGCCTTCCGGCTTGTTACCCGACATGCGGAGCTCGGTGAATGTAGTGAGGCACTCATCCTTAATGGAAACACTAGTTATCGCCTCTCGTCAGTATTGCGGCGAACTATGAATATATCTGCCTATCCCTCGAAACACAACGGTCGGGAAATGTGGGGAAAGAAGGCACTCTACATACCCAGATGCGACCTGCGATAGAAGATGCAAGTTAGTATGCAACCAGCTTGATGTTGGGGAGGATATTACGGACCGACATGGTTGCTTTTGTGAAGGTAGAACCGTGCTGCACGCATTGTCAGTTGTGGACTGTTATGATCGACTTGTTCCCTTTCGAAAAGAGTAAAGAGAGAAAAAAAAAAAAAAAAAACTCAGGACAACAAGTCCGCGGGGTATAACTAACCGAATGGGAAGATAAATTGAGTTCAAGAGGTTCTCAAGGATACCCTACAGCAACCAAACAAGATATTATGGGAGGAGGAGAGAAGGAAGGGTAAATGAATAGTGTAATGGGGGGAGAGATGGAGATAGAGGGGCTCTGGTTGTTGTGCTTGCGTTGTTGATGGCGGTGGTGGGGGGCCAGTCCCCGCACGTGACAAGCCCGGCGGACCACGAGCCGCTTTTTCTCTACTATTGATACTTGGTCTTATTTTTCACCCCCTGAGCGATATTAAATCGACGTAGAAAAAAATGACATATGATGTCGTGCAGCCTGCATCATCCCGCATATTCCATCTGTATCACTTGAATATCAAAAAAAAAAAAGTATCACGAATGCGGGAGCTCTAAACTACGAAAGGTGTAGGCAGCATGAAAACATATCCTATTCATTTGTTCCTCTCACCGGACTATGAATCCCAGACCTCTCAACCATGGGACTCCAGAGCCACTTAGTGCTGGGCTTACCGAGTCATATCACGTCATGGTGCCACCACAAGGAAATAAAAATATATCGGACATTCTCTGTTCATGCATATTAATAGAAGAAGAGCTCATCACCCGATTCATCTTCCTTGTCTTCTGCTATCCTGTTTATTCCGAGCAATGACGATGGTACGGATGCCGGGGTATCTCAAGTGGGAATAGCGCCTGGTGTGGCTGTACTGGCTTGGCTCCCTGTCGTAGTATCTACAACTACTACAGCTACAGCTACAACTGTGGCTCGTGATTTATGGCTTCATAACATGACATGTTTCCATTTCATCATTGCTAAACTATTCATAACCATCACAGCTTCAGATCTCCCTTTCTGTCCAAAAAGCCAATGCAAGGAATTCCATACACGAACTCACTCGGATACAGCAACGAGAACGAACCTACGCTTTCGGAGCAAACTTGGCCCTCATCTTGTCCGCGACGGCCTTCTCATCGAAGATAAAGTTGACACTCTCGTGGTTGATGGTAGCCTCAGCCCAGCGCTTGAACTTGGGCGCCTGGTCCAACAAGCCCGGCAGCTTAGCACTGACGAGACCGTGTTCGGGTTTGCTGAAACCGAAGATGCGAAGGAGGAATGATCCAGTTTGAACCTATTCGTCAATAACCCACCAGTCAGCTATATTTACCAGTAACAATGGGCACACTAGACGACGGGGGAGGAAATGGGGATGGGATGTGAAACGCACCTCAGCCAGAGTCAACTGCTCACTACCACCAAAGAAAGGTCCCTTGCCAGCCTCCAACAACGGCTCAATCTCCTTCACAGCGGCGTCGGCCAACTTCACCGCAACAGCATCCCGCTCCTCCTCCGAAGCAGCCCGGAAACTTCCATGCAAATGCGGCACAACCTTGCTGGTGAAGGTGTCGACAAAGAAAGACACACGGGCACGGTACAAGGCATTCTCAGCGGGCGATGATGGCGGCAGGAGGTGGGAGGGGTGAGCGTCAGCGATGAATTGGGCCACAATAGCGGATTCGGTGATGATGTTGCCGTTGTAGGACAGACTGGGGACGAGACCGCGCTGTTTTATTGCAGGATTCCGTCAGTTAACCATTTTCGCTCTATATGGGTCATTTTCTGGGATGAGGGGTACATACAGGGTTGATCTCGAGATACCACGGCTCACGCGGCACGTTAAGATCAATGCTAACTTCCTCGTACTCAACGCCCGACTCCTTCAGCGCAATGTGAGCGCGGTGAGCCCATGGGCAAAGACGGTTTGTATAGAGAACGATCTTAGGAGACGCCATTGTATAGTTAATTAGATCTTGTAGAAGTGGTGACTGTGTTTTTGGGTGGTGTTTGATGGGAAGAATAAAGACAGCTATAGCTAATTTATAATCCGTCAAACGTTGATGATGTGAGCCACGAGCAAGATGACGATTTGAGGAGAAACAGCTGGAACTGCGTACTTCTTTAATGGAGGGGCATCAAGCTAGATTAGTAAAAGGGATCGGACGCTATCCCGCAAAGTCCGAGCCGGGTAAGAAATAAGCAACCATTCTTGTTGGCTTTTGAACTTGCAGTGCAGATAGGAAATGCGCGACTGCTGGTGGATTTCAGTATTTATGCATGATTTAGTACCAGGATATGATTTTACCTTGACATGTATACAAATGCTTTTGTTTAACCTCATATCCTCTGATTTTATGAATATCACATCTCCCGAGTCATCTCCCGAATCTTAACTCCGAGATCTATGGCAGAATCATCAATCTTGATTTGGACAACAACCATAAGAGTATATTACGATGGAAAAAAACAAAATTGGCCCGCATATTTAAGTTTTATTATTGAAAGTGGCACTGAAATATCTATGTACATACATCAATATGTACTGTACCGAAGAAATCCAAGCATAACATGCCATCCGGTGCCTGCCACTGGCAGAGAATCCACGACCTGCATGACCAACGGCCATGGGCATAACATGATACAGAACAGAGTAGAGCATGTAGACACGATATACCGATAGGCGGTAGTTTTTCCAGGTGCCTCTAACATTCCAATGGTCATCTTTGCATCGGAGAGCAGTCACGCAAGGCATGATAGAAATAAACATAAGATAGTGTAAAGAAAAGAAGTATTGTAGAGCAGAAGAATCGTTGCCGCACAATGGGGTATATAAAGGATGAAAACAGATCAATTCGTCTTGCAAGCACCAAACGAATATCTCGACGAAGCCCTTAGGTGAAGGGCACGGGAGGAGTGGTGTCAACATATGCTCCATGGAACCAAACAGCCCGCGGGGAGGTGTTTAAACCCGTGAATTAATCGACTAGAGCAGTTCGTTAAGCGACAGTGGACGGTAGACTTTTGGGAGTGTTGAGGACGAGAGGACGAAGAGGTTCTGTAGATCGCTGTGATAAGGAAGTTAAGAAAGCTGACAGAAGGATATAAGCGCTATCATCAAGGCGTAAACCTGCATGGCTTGGGCATGCGTTAAGTCGGAAATGCACTTGTTTCAGCTGGTCATCCTAATCCATCCTGTCCACCATCGATAATCTTCCTCCAATGCTGCGGGAGGCAAACACAGACCAGTGGGAATGCCTTGATTTCTCCACTAGGGGCGGGAGATGGCATCTTGTGGGATCCATTCGACACCCCACTGTCGCGCTGTTCTCGGTATCTGATATCATAGTCCTCGGCATTATCGGGAATGCGAACACCAGTCGCCCAGCCATCATCCCAGATACCAATCACCTTCAGCATATCTCCTCGTTCCAGCGAGAACTCATCACCAGCTCGTGGTTGATATGCCCAGAGAGCAGAAACTCTATCGCCAGGGTGGATATCATCCTGCGAATAATAATCGTTGAAAGCTGACATCTGCTCCGACTGACCACTGGTCATTCCAGGTGAAGAGTACTGTCCAACAGTACCCGAACGGGGCGATGTGTCGTTACCGGAACCGGCCAAAACCGAATTGCTCGAAAGTGAGCCAGTCCGTTTTCCAGTGACAGGGGGGATTTTCTTCGACATCGCGCCGGGACTTGCACCAACATATTCAGAATCGGAAGAATCACTGTATTTGGCGCCACCGAAAAAGGCAGACCGTCGGGACCGTGCTGGGGATGAGCTGGGAACCTCTCGCAGAGCAGACATCCTGGCCACTCGTCCTCCAGGGACAAAAGTGAACCCTTTTTGGCTGGTTCCGCTGTGCATTGACGGGGAGCCTTTTCTTTGCGGGTTCGGTTGGTTCAGCGCAGTGTCATCCCTTGTGTTGCGTTTGCGGCGCATACAGAGCAGCAAAAATGCGGCCAGGGCAGCTAAGAGAGCGAAAGCCGCAACAGATCCGATGACAATTCCGGCTATCTGACCACCGGAAAGACTATGGCTGGAACCACCAGACCCGGCTGTCGAAGATGGAATAACAGGCGATAGAGTCGAGGAAGGGATCGATATATTTTTGCATTTGGTCGCAGCATTCGCACTTTCACAACAAGTATCCGTAGAGTTGGGAGAGCTCGATCTACAGTACCCACACAATCCCATGATATTCGACTTGAATCCACACTCGTCGGGTTCGTTATCAGCTCCGGAGATACAGGATCCAGTAAGCGAGTCGGCTGGGAGAGCGCACACAGTAAAGTCGGAACGGATCTGGCTCATGTAATCACTGCGCTTCTCCTCGCATAGGTCAGAATTCACCACAATCTCCTCCTCGCTCGTAGCCATCAGTGCCTGCCAAATATAATTAGAGTAGCGCTTTGCGATTCCAAGGAGAGGGCACGAACACAAGTGTCAGCACAAAGCGGCTTGGACTGGTCATCAGATAGATTGCAGTCATTCTTTGAGCTCTGGACGATTCCATTACAAATTACACTTGTTGTATAGCGAGCGTAGTAGTTATCGATGTCTGTGCTATTGATTGATTGACATCCCAGATAGTCAACATATCTAGTAGTTGACACAGAATTAGTAGAGAACCTTTGGGTTGAGCGACAATATGGACATACTTGGATTCAATGTAAGACCCGTTGATATAATTACTCAACTCTTGGTCGAATTGAGTCAAGTTTGCAACATTTTCAAGAAACGGACTGTCAAATGGTCAGTACATCTGATCCAACGTCTGTCTATCTGGGGAACCCACAAATCCGCGTAGAGACTAGAGTTGGTCGATATCGATGAGCCATTGAATGCGGGACACTGTGTCGACCCCGACAGAGAAATGCAAGTGCCTGACATCTTTGTTTCCAATCACGGGGGAATATCGCCTCGCGGGGTAGGTGGTGTCGCAAGCAATAGTATCGACGAAAAACAGAAAAACGATATTGGATAGCAGAATCGATCACGGATGCGACGTTGGGGCGTATCTATTGGGCGAAAGGCGTAGGGGATGTTGTCATCGTGTGTCTTGTCCCGTCCTTCTATCACAATCTAGCGGAGGAATCTGCGAAAATACCAATTGACCACAGGTCAGAGGTCTAGGAAATGGCGAGCGCGTCGAGCTGTCGGGAAAAGGAATAAAAGCGAAAAAAAGGAGACCACGCAAGTGGTGAAGAAGAGAAACACAAACGAGCGACTTGGTTTCCCAACGGGTAGCCGTCAGAACCGCAAAGAAAAGTGTAAAAAAAGAGGGCAACGAGAGAGCCCGAGAAAAGAAGATGCCTAAGGAGAAGAGAAAGCAAACCCAAGGAGGAAAAGGCAGGAAGAAAGCAGGAACTGATTACTCCCGGGTTGGCGTCGACGAAGAGGTTAAGCGGAGGCCCTAGAGAGCAACGGTGCCGGGAAAGATTCAGGAACAGGAACCACACGGCTCAGCAGTCACACAGCCTCTGGCGCTCTCGCAGTCTAAGAAAAAAGCAGAAGATCCTTAACGTCCTAAAGAAAGAAATCGAAGAAACCCTCGGCCAGGCTGTCGGTGCTTGTGTAATTAAACAAACTCCACTTTTCAACTCGCAGGACTGCCTCCGCAAGGTTCAGAGTCTGCAGCAGAGAGTGAAGGGCCGGGGTCCACTTCCAATGGGAACAGACGTTCGAGTTGGTCGATCGCCAATATCAATAATTAGGTACCAAGCGAGTTCTTTTTGAGTTTGCGAGCTGTTGGATTTAAGACAGATATGATGGGTAGACCGTGTCTGTAGAGAAGAAGATGATTTACCCAGAAGTGAAGTCACAATCGTAGAATAAATGCAGGAACGGCTACGCTAATTATTCTGATCAGTGAGTGCATTGGGGCAGCCCGACCAGCCTCCAGCTGTCAGAGGAGCAAAAGCGTTGAGTGACGTGGCGCTGCTCTACGCCGTCGACGTTGCTTTGACTGCGATAACATAAAACAGCCAAGTCAGCGTTGATTTATCATTGTTTGCATACGGCGTGCAGTGTTGAAACACCAGATATATTGATGCAATTATTTATTAAAATGATCCTTTTCTGCCGTGTCCCTTTTTTGCCCACTTTTTGGTTTCGAAATCCGCGGGTGATTCTGGCCCTTAATGGCCGTTCAGCCAATGGCCGCTCTTTCACGGTGGAGGCGGTTGACGCTTGGCCGATCACTATTTTAGCTACCTTAGCCTCATTCGGGCAGGGGATTGTTGCCCTGTTGGAGAATGGAGATGCTATCCAGACACTGCTGCAGGAACAGTTCAGACTTCAGATGGTTACATCGTGAGTCCTTGCTTCTACTATAGTATGACTCCGATGAGTAAGGGACTTTAAGTTTGCAACATGTGAGTTCAAGTCGATACCAACTATTGGTATGATATTACCACCATTATCAGCCAAAGGGATATCTATCCCAATCTTTGGTTAATAGTTACATATGGGTGCAACAGCACTGATCCTAGCCAGGCACCTATGATACCTATTTAGCCTAGTGGTGCCAATGGATGTGCTCCCCAGATACTCCATACAGTTCTCGAGACCACAACCCATAACAAAATAGCTTGACTTATATATAGCAATACTTACTATGATGCGCATAACTGTGCTAGCCCAAAACAAAACAAAACAAAGCCAATGCTGCCGCGGAAATTTGATATCATGCATGTAGCACTCTGTATTTCTATGCTCCGATGCCCAGGCGAGATCCTAATTTTCCGCCATGCTAGGAACAGCTCCTTACCGCGTACCTGCAGCAGTAATTACACTCTGCTCACGGGGTTAATATCATAATCAAAACATTCAAGTTTAATAATTTGTTCGGAATAATCAAAAATTATTCAACCCGTTCCTGACAGTTCCAATACACCGACAATCCGGTTCACTCCACATCCGAGGTTCCATATGGGGTCAACCAAAGGCTCCGAGTGGATCGTCATGAACTGCCGGGATGCGGTGATTTCAGATTTGTGCTATCTAAGATCTGGCTACATTTAAATTTCGACATCGCAGTTGACAGTCGACAGTAAATGCTTGTAGGATCTTCCATGCTAGGGCTGTCACGGAAAAGCAAACAATAGCATTGACATCTGATATGGGTGACGATCGCTTTTCGATGTCAAACCACACTATCAAAATGCTTGGTAGCGAGGTTCTATTCCATATTCCATAGTAGCACAATGCAGACCATTCTAAGATGGTAAGGTAGTCCGTAAGGTAGTCCATACAGGTATGGTATGGTATTTGATTTCCGTTCTCGCGTGGCGATCTCCGATGCTGTCGTGATGCACACAATATCAAGGTTCATATAGGTCATATTGCCAATATGCATTAAGTTTGCGATATATATACTGTCCTGATGATATATAACATATCGCAGGAAAACAATGACATTTCATACAACACAGAAGACAAAGTTCTAAAACCTGTCGGATTTTCAACCCGAAGTCTTGCTCTGCGTGCATTACTGGACGCCTGGGAACCCAACAATGTAAGTCGAATTGCCCGATTTGACTGTATCCTGTATACAGCATCCGTCTAAGATAAATAGATGTGCTCTTACGTAGAGGCTACATGTGTGTGCCTCAGAAAAGAGTCATCCCCGTAGCACTAAAGTCATTGTCATAGCATTCTTTTGTCGTTCTATATATATTGATCCGATATGGAGTCAACGTATCTGCTTTCTTCTGTGACTTGACCTTATGCGGGCTTCCAGGCAGACTTGCTTGCAGATGCGATCATCCTAGAAAGAAAATAGCCATATTCATTAGTAAACAGACCTGAGTGTTAAAGAAGTTTATTGAAACGATGAGGTCATTTTGTTGTCACCAGGATAGACGGAATGATGACGCACCGTACAACACTACTTCCGGCAACAAATTTCAGAACAAGATAAAAAGCAAAGAACTAGCTACAAATGATTTGCAGCAATCAAAGAATGAATAAAAAAAAATAGCAAAAAACGTCAGCGACAGGACTCGAACCTGTGCACACGAATGTAATAGATTTCTAGTCTATCGCCTTAACCACTCGGCCACACTGACTTATCGAAATGTATGATAAATATTTTGATATACAATCCAGGACCTGTACAGTTGTCCAAGACAACACAGGCTGCAGAGTGTACATAGACCCGATAGACCAGACAAGCGCGGAACGGACAGCTGAGTTAGCAGCAGCAGTAGCTGTCAACCCATACTCCGTAAGTGCAGGTAGTTTACAGATAATTGGAGAAGGCGATAGCAAAACAAGGCAAAGAAATGAGACCCTCCAAACCTCGCAAATATCAAAGCAGGCAGGGATATGCTGCTGATAATTGTTCGACAACTTTGTGATGCCTAAACCCCGGCGGTGTCTATCCGCCGGTAAAAGAGATTTGTAAGAAAGTTCAAGAGGCAAAAAATTTTCAAATGAAACGTCAGCGACAGGACTCGAACCTGTGCACACGAATGTAATAGATTTCTAGTCTATCGCCTTAACCACTCGGCCACACTGACTTCTGATTGGTTTCAATAGTTATGGCCCGATACAGACTGTAGGTCTTGACTTTCTTGATTTGCATCATCCCTCCAGGCAACGACAGGAGTGAGTGAAAGGTTCCTTGTGTCGATATCGATCTGGTGCTGCCAGCAGGGTCCATTCAACCCTTGGCGGTATCAATGTAGCCCGACACTGGTCCACGAAATCCTTCCTCCGGCACGATATCATGTTGCAATAAAGACCTGTCTTCCGTAGTTCGTTATTGTTTATTGCATGGGACAGTATCTCCGTCATCATCTGTATGGCCTTGGTTATGGGCAAAGATTGGGATTCTGTGAATTAACAGATATGTATTTTGTCGGATGGCAGCAGATGTTCTCGAGTGTTGTCTCTAGCAAGCTTGTTAAAAAAGCAAGTTGCTCCTTTTGCTACTTTCCCCTGTAATCATTGTCTGGGGCCTCGATAGTGGAGGTATATGTGTCTCACAGACAGATGATGGTTCCACTTTTGTATAGAACCAGATGTTGTTTGCCAGTGCACGCACAATATGACACGCTGAAGATATATATGGTAATCCCCAGAAAATTTCAGAGCCTCTATATGATAGCTGATTGGGAGTTGTCAATAATGATCCTTGGAAGCCTGGTATCGTTCCGCCGGCCTTCCATAGATAAGCCGTGGTCTGAATTCGGGCTGCAGACTTTCTTAATCAACACAGCGATTATGGCGAAGTTACGTAGCATTTAAGCCTTTGAATCGACCTAAGAGGTTCAAACTGTCATTAGTGCTTTGATTTAAATTCTAGACACGCGAGAATTTCACCTGCTGTCTCGACTCAAGGAGAGCTAAGAGCTAGGCTGCGAATTCTGGTCTCTCATAAACAGACCCCTCTCACCTGAGCACAGCCATAAGTAATACCAGAGAGATAGAGCCTAGATAGACACTCTAGGTAGCCGATACGCGCCAGACTCATAGGTGTCTTCCGCTGTGTTGAAATCTAGTAGGCAGACATCGTTAAATGCCTTATGGCCGTGAAGCGCTGAGTCGCTCAAGGCCTTTACCCGGTAGTTTAGTCGGGATGAAATTTGGCTTCAGACTCAATAATTTAGAGGTAGATTCAGTGAATAGAGTAGGTTGAAGCTTGGAGTTGGACAGTACCTCCACAGTCTAGAAGTCACATGACAAAACATCATTTGACGAGAGCCAATCAGAGCCAATATCAAGGGCTTGAATTTACCCGACGTCAGCGTATCCATGATGAACGTACCTATGGTAATAGTAATTTAGCTTACTGGTTTGATATAAACCTGGCAGATCGATGTTAACGTATGTACAGATTTCTCTGGCGTAGAGACAAAAAAAATCAAAAAAACGTCAGCGACAGGACTCGAACCTGTGCACACGAATGTAATAGCTTTCTAGGCTATCGCCTTAACCACTCGGCCACACTGACTATTGGTATGCAATGGCCGTGTATAGGATTACTTAAGCTAAGCTGAATGTATTATTTCCCAACTATTGCGTTTATCAGCGCCGCAGTCACTTCTCCATAATCGCGTACATCGCAGTGCCAAGCAGCAGAAGATGCTAAGCTCATGGGATGGGAATGCTAAACCATTTCTAGTAACTTGCGGTCTACCTGACAATATTGGCGCATTGTCCGGTGGCGTACAGACCTTCGAGCACGAGTCTACAGATACAGAGCCATAGTGCTGTGGAGTAACTACCTACTTACACCTAGACACCTATCATACGATATTCCTGATATCTGTAGCGTATGGAATCATCATGTTTCTCTCCGGATATGGCAGAGCCACAAAGTCAGGTGATGTTCCCGACGTCATCTGACGACCCGCCGCCTATCAGGCTCCTGCGTTGCCATCACCACTGAGTCTTCGAACTCTGCCACTTTATTGTCTAGATATTCCTATCAACCCATTTCGAGTACTTAGACTCAGTCGCAATATATAATATCGATTTTGATACCCAACTCTTGCGTGCTCTGAAAGTATGTGCGGCTCAGACATATTCCTTGGGATTCTCGCTGTTTTCTTCCCACCCGTCGCAGGTGAGTAGTACCCCGCCTGGATCTGATGGTTATGCTATTCTCAAAAGCCTTTTACTGATTGATATCCGATATAGTATGGATTAAGGTGGGCGTCTGCACAGCCGACTCAATCATCAACCTTGCCCTCTGCTGTCTCGGCTATGTCCCCGGTCTTCTACACGCATGGTACATCATTCTCCAAAATCCAGAACCGGACCACGACGAAATCGGCTACGAACCCGTCCCAGGTCAGAGGAGAGATGTTGAGAATGGCCGCGTGACGTATTACTACGTTTCTCACGGTCCCATGCAGAACCCTTCCCAGAGGGGCTATGGTACTGTCGCACCGCAACCTGCACAATCTCCTCAGCCTCAGCCGCAGGCTTCGACTCAACAGCATGGAGAGGGTCAGGGTGGAAGCAGCAATAAGACCCATGCGCCACCTACCTATGCTGAAGCTATAAAGGGAGACCACAAGGTGCAGTCGCACGAATAAGTGTGGTAACATCCGCGCTTCGGTGCATCAGCGCTATCCTTTTTAAACACCTGCTTCCTCTACTGGAATCGCTTCCCTGTTTGTAAATCATGGCTTCGGTTTTTTGAGCTTTATTATTCGTAATTGAACACGTTATTGGATTCCCTGCACCCTAGGTTATGAGACGCAAGAGTTTATGTATACAGAACGAGTTAATGCCATTCATTCAGCGAAAGCAGTCTTTGGTTTGCCTGCAGTGAGAACTAGGGTGCTTCGAATTAGCCTTTAACATGCAAATGAGCATTCTTATCAAAGAACAGTATGGAACAGATCCATGCATCCAACGTGGGCATAGGGTATATAAGCGTCGATTCTCGGGCGCATCACCCGAAGCTGCATTCCGATGGTGAAAAAGACTGCGACTCCACCCGGATAATAGATTTGCATGGAGCAATGAAGATGGTCTAGATATGTATTTCGAAGAAGTAGAACACCACAGCGGCATACCTCCAGAAAGGCACAGAAATGTCAGAAAAAGCAATATAGACCTTAGATTTAGCATAACCGATAGCATGGCCAGTAAATAAATCACGTCGAACCGCAGATCGCTTATCAGATCGCAATGGCGGGCGATTCCCGCGGGCAGTGTGGATGATGGACTTTCAGCTGCTTTCAGCTGCCCGCTTCTCACCAGCCTCTCCGAACCTATTTCCACCACCCCCAATCGATTGATTACCCAGTCAACACCTCCCCTCCAAACACCAGCTTGGTCGGCTTCCTCCTCTTCGTGGCCCTTTGAACTGGCCATGCAGTCCGTGCCATTACTGCTCAGGCGGCCCCTCCGATCGAGTCTCATTCTCTCGAGAAGCTCGCCGTCGCTACGAACTCAGCTCCCGCCGTCCGCACGCCCGAAAGCTCTTCATGCTGGCAGAGAGACCACGCGGAACTTTTCGGTCTGTCTACAATGTCAATTTCGGAAACAGTCTACTCTCTACTCGTCCAGTGAGACGGACAAATTGAAAGACGTGAAGGCTGCTGGAGAGACGAAGGAGGCGGTGCTTCCGGAGGGGATCCCACGGCCAGATGCGGATGCGGAGGCTCAACGGACGACCCCCTTCGCTGAGGAGGGAACCGTCAATACACAGAGTCAAATAAAAGATGGAGAGAAAGACTTAAATCCAGATGGTGCAGAAAGTGGTGGTCTCCCATCCTACATAGAGAGCCGCAGGTCAAAGTATTCCAAGCAATTCACTGAGATGATGGATAACCTCCAATCCAATGTTTTTGTGGCGGGCCAGCGATTGAATGACCTGACCGGGTATTCTTCTATCGAGGCACTCAAGAAAGAGATTCATTTTCAAGGTATGCGAACAACGACTTATGAACTTACCCGTCTCTATTTTTCCATCTGGAAGCAAAGTGTTCTGACCGCCAATTTATCACTATACAGAGGAACGACTCCGAACTGCCCGGAATCACATCCGCGAAGCCAAAGATGCCTACGCTGCTGCTATAAACCGACGCTCGACATCACAGCGTGAAGTAAACGATTTGCTCCAGCGTAAGCATGCATGGTCTCCCTCCGACCTGGAGCGATTCACCCACCTCTACCGCAATGACCACACAAACGAGGTTGCCGAGAACGAGACACAGGAGGCCTTGTCCGCGGCGGAACGTGAGGCGGAAGAGGCTTCGGCATCGCTGAGCAAGAGCATCTTGTCGCGTTACCATGAAGAGCAGGTTTGGTCGGACAAGATCCGTCGCATGAGTACCTGGGGTACATGGGGCTTGATGGGCATGAACGTTCTACTTTTTCTGATTTTCCAGATCGCAGTGGAACCGTGGCGCCGGAAAAGACTGGTCAAGGGCTTTGAAGAGAAGGTTATCGAAGCCATCGAGAAGGAAAAGGTCTTGCAACAAACCGAGACTGTCGATGGCCAGAGTGGCTTGGCCGAAGACTCCTCCATCCCAATCACTTCTGAAACGTCTGCTGCCAACGAAGCCGCAGCAAACGACGCTTACGCTTTCATTGTGTCCGAGACACAAGGAACGACAGACCCTAATACTATCACCCCCGATCCTTTACCCGCTACAGCGACCACCGCCATAAACAAGAACACTATACACTGCATCCAAGAAACCTGTTCTCGAACGTTGAACGATCTTCTCAGCGATCGTAGAATCGTCACCACCCAGCGGGATCTCACCACCGTTGCTGTTCAAAGTGCTGCAGCTGGTGCTGCGGTTATGGGCCTGCTGATTGCTCTCGTTCGACCACGGTGAATGTCAACTATAACTCATATACGCGGTACATACATTTGAGGGTATGTTGATACCACAAGCATTATGTTATATCAATCTGTTTTTGCGTACTGTACAGACCCGAGATAGGAATAAATAGATCTCTTGTACTATAGCCATATCTCATCATACATTCTCTTACTGTTTCTAATACTCGAGTGTAAGTAAAGCACAAAAGAAATTGCATATGAATATAAGGACAAGGATATTGAAAATACATGTACTCGAATCGGACATGCAAATGAATTTACATCTGCATGTCCAGACTCCCTTCAAACAAACTGCATCCAGCCCCCCACTGAACTGCCCGAGAGACAAAACAAAAACCCTTTGATAAAGACAGAGAGGGGATTTGCGACAAAGAAAGTCTATACCCAAAATGATTTCCGCAAGACAGTGAAAGATATAGGCTCTATGAGCAGAATCGGGTTGAAATAATAGAAACAAGAGGCTCATTTTTAGTCCATATTAAAACACAGTCTCTTTAATCTTGACAAGACAACAGAGATTTCATCTAAAGCACACACAAACCTTACCATCCCGGCCTTCTTCCGATCACCGTCTAAACCAAACGCTCAACCGCGGTTTCAGATTCAATCGTTCGTTTAACCGATGACGAGAGTTTCCTCATCGGGGAAGTTGTACTGAGGAACCTCGAGGTTCAGGGGAGCAGGGCCCTTTCTTATACGGCCAGAGATGTCGTAGTGAGAACCGTGGCAGGGGCAGAACCAGCCGCCAAAGTCACCGGACTCGCCGATGGGGACACAACCAAGGTGGGTGCAGACACCTGGGTAGAAGAGGATTGTTAGTTTGGTCGGATCGAAGGGATTGAATCAAATCACTGCTGCTATCACATACCCAACATGACCAGCCACTCGGCCTTCTGGACACGCTCCTCATCAGTCTGGGGGTCACGCAGACTCTGAACGTCAATCTCGTTGGCCTCGTTGATTTCATCCTGGGTACGGTGACGGATGAAAACGGGCTTTCCACGCCACTTGATGATGACCTATTTATATCAAGTCAGAAAAGCGGTAAAACCAAGATCGCGATTTGCCACAGGAAACATACGTTCTTGCCCTCGGGGATGGCACCGAGACCAATCTCAACCTTAGCCTGGGCAAGGACATCGGCGGAGGCGGACATGTTGACCAAGAAGTCTGTTGGTAGAATCGCGAATCAGCAAAACCGTTCCCTTGCGACCAGTGAACACCCAATTGCCCAATCCTTCTCAATTGAATCCCAATTCCTTCACTCGACTTTATCATATCACATTCCCAACAAGAATAAAGACACCTACCCTGAACAGTAGCCTTGGCACCGACAGCAGAAGCCAGACCCAGGGAGCCGGCCATGAAGTAGGAGAAGACCTGGTTGGATCTCGGGGCCTTCTTGGATTGGTATTTGCTGAAATTGGGGATCTTCAAGGTCGAGTCGTATCCCTTGGAGGTGCCGAAGGGGCTTTCGAAGGACGTCTTGGAGGCATCAGCGACTCCCCTCCGCTGCTGGCAGGAGGCGATGGCGGCGCGGCTGGTGGGCACCTGTTGGCGGGCGCAGGCGCGCAACAAAGTGCTGGAAGCGGAGGAGACAGACATGACGAGAGTAGCAATCGACAGCAATTGCGGGGAGGAGAAGGAAGGCGGCGGCGTTGGGGAGGGGAGAGAGAAGAGGACGGAGGGAGGATTTTCCCAAGGTTGGAGGTTGAAGTCGGAGGCCCGGCATACGGGAAAGTCGAACCAGAGCTTTCGCTACGACAAGCGATCGGAATCACGGGGCGCCTCATTGGCTGCTCGGCCCACGCCAGTTGTCGATTTATCATGGCAACGTCTGATGCAGTATTGTTTACCCTTGTACATCAATTCAATATTTCGATAAATGGCTCTCTTGTTATTATTATTTTATTCTATCTACACTGGCATTATCATATATAATTATGCTGTCAAAACTGACCAACAGAGCACTTTTTTGTCTTCATCCGTTCCCGTCCTGCTAGCTGAAACCAACCAAACCCAATGCGATCAACAATAACTTATCATCAAAATCAACCCATAGATATAACAAAACTCCTCATGCAAACCCAGACAATTACAAGCAAGTTAATCGAATAAATCATTCGTCGGTCATCTCCACGTCATTTTCCTGACCATTGCCCCCGGCCTGTGTATCAACGGTCCGATCCACCATCAGAGTAATCGATGGCCCAGAAATCGATGGTTTATCGCCTTCTTTCGCCGATTCATCATGCTTCTTCGAATCGCCATTTACTTTATTCCCTGCCGGGAGGTTTCCGTTTAGTGTGCGTTGACCTTTCTCGACCCCGGGGGTTTTGGCGGCTTCCTTCGCCTTCTTCTCTTTGAATTGCTTATAAGTGGTTGTCTTGGGTATCACGTCCGCAAGAAATTCGAGGTTATCAATTCGCGAAACTGCCGTAGCTATCCCCCCACCCTGTTAGCACCCTGTTGTTCCGGGGGTTGGTTTGTACTGACCCAGATCCTTGTACTGGATATTCTTCCGTGGTTTTCGTTCCGACTTGACGACGTTATGCCCTTGCTCTGCGAGGTATTGGATGAACATTTCCTATATGGTTTGAAAGGGTGGTTAGCATGAGATGATTAAGTATGAAGACGAAAAGCGTAATATGGCACGTACTGTAGCAACGGAGATGACAAACGTAGCGTTGGTTGAACATTGTACAATATCTTCGTCCAGTTGTATAATCTTCTTGACCCGGGACACTATATGATGCGTTAGTCAGTACTAAATCAAACGGGGTTGCATCCCACATACATGGAAGAGCACTCTGGCCGGTGATTTCATCGGAGGGTGACTGCTCGGGGGCGTCTTTGGGAGACATCGTGGATATGTGTTTAAAGGCAACAGCGAGGGACTATTGGGTATACAAAGAAAATGATACGAAGTAACAGGGGATGAAGTGCTGCAAAGTTGCAGAGTAAGCCTACTTGTGGCTTTGTCGTTCCTGGAGGGGTTATTGGATGTTCAGAAAGTTGAAGCGCGTTGCGGCGTAGAAATCCACGGCGCGTGGCGTATAGTAGAAAGCACTACGCATCATCGTCATCAAGCCCAGCGTTGCTTGTCCACAAGAAGATAAACCGAATAAAAATATCATATATGCTTTTCCTACTGAGCTACACTTTCAAGCTACTATAAATCCCCCCATTTAATTGAAAATTCCAGAACAAACAGCTTGTTCGATCCAAACGCGGGTAGCTTCGATCTCACGTGGGCGGGTTGCGTATTCATTCAAGTGTCATCTCCAATCGAAGAGCTTCAGAGCATCAGGCCAACCTCGACTAATTATGCTCATCGCACAAAGACAACCGATGGTATGACCTCGAATCGTGCCTCTTCCGCCTCCGCCCGTTCCCCCTCAGTCCTATCTGAGCGTCGGAACTGGAGGAGGTTATCAGGCTTGTCCGTTACATCGCCCGCCGAACCGCACCCACCTGTTGACCACGGCCCGCCGGGAATTACGGAGGAGATCAGCGAAATAAAAAGATATGAAGACTTTACAACGATAGATTGGGTTCAGGATGCAGTGCACGAACAGGCACGGAGAAGAGCCAAGCGACGGGAAGGGTCTGCTTTCTGGGACCAGGAAGGCACCTTTGGATGGAGGCGCAAGGTCCGGGAATCTTACGATGCGGGACAGGCCTGGCTGGTGATCACAATCGTTGGCGCAGCCATTGGCTTGAACTCGGCTTTTCTAAATATCATCACGGAGTGGTTGTCAGACATTAAGCTGGGCCATTGTACCACTGCCTTTTATCTCAATGAGCAATTCTGTTGTTGGGGCTCCGAGGGAGGTATGTCAAGGCCATGCGGTTTGGACCATGGGCTATGAAGCTAATTTCTCCCTGTTTGACAGGCTGCCCTGAATGGAAGCAGTGGACCTCAATCTGGTTTGTGAACTACGTCTTATACTTCTGCTTTGCGGTGCGTTATGCTCTACCCCATGTGGATCGCAGTTGCTGATGAGACTTGGTACAGATGTTGTTTGCCTTTATCGCCGCAACTTTGGTCAAATCATTCGCCCCATATGCCGCAGGCTCCGGTATATCTGAGATAAAATGCATTATTGCTGGTTTTGTTATGAAGGGCTTTCTCGGCGCATGGACACTCCTGATCAAATCTATTGCACTGCCTTTGGCTATCGCCTCCGGTCTTTCAGTGGGCAAAGAAGGGCCTAGTGTACATTTTGCCGTTTGTACAGGGAATGTGATCTCTCGATTCTTTAGCAAATACAAGCAAAATGCGTCGAAGACTAGGGAGGTTTTAACAGCTACGGCAGCTGCTGGTGTGGCTGTCGCATTCGGTAGTCCCATCGGTGGTGTTCTGTTCTCACTCGAGGTATGTACACCGGATCCAATATCCTAGGACTCGATATTGATGAACTTCCAGGAAATGGCATCATATTTCCCCCTCAAGACCCTCTGGCGCAGTTACTTTTGCGCTTTAGTTGCGACGAGCGTGTTGGCGGTAGGCAGATTAAAAGGCCATTCAGCCCGAGTATGGATGTTAATGCAAATTCCAGGCAATGAACCCCTTTAGAACCGGGCAACTGGTCATGTTTCAAGTGCAATACGACCGTACTTGGCACTTCTTCGAGCTTATCTTCTTTGTTTTCATCGGAATATTCGGTGGTTTATATGGCGCATTTGTGATCAAATGGAATCTTCGAGTGCAGGCATTCAGAAAGAAGTATCTCTCAATGCACCCCATCGTCGAATCAGTGGTTCTTGCTGGCGTAACCGCGCTTCTGTGCTACCCCAATATGTTCCTGAAGATTAACATGACTGAAATGATGGAAATATTGTTTCGGGAGTGTGAAGGGGGTCACGATTACGATGGTCTTTGCGAGTAAGTGATTTTTCTGAGATGATGTCTCCTTTTCTAACAAGTTGATTAGGTCGAAGAACCGATGGCCCTTGGTTTTGTCGCTATCAGCCGCTACCGTGCTCCGAATATTCTTGGTGATTATATCATACGGCTGTAAGGTGCCAGCTGGAATTTTCGTTCCATCGATGGCTATCGGAGCATCCTTTGGTCGTATGATTGGCATACTCGTCCAAGCCTTACATGAATCTTTCCCCGATTCCACATTCTTTTCAGCCTGTTCCCCAGATGTTCCCTGTATCACCCCAGGAACATATGCTTTCTTGGGAGCGGGCGCGGCGCTCAGTGGAATCATGCACTTGACGATCTCTGTGACAGTGATCATGTTCGAGCTCACTGGGGCTCTGACGTATATCCTTCCCACTATGGTGAGCTCTCTTCGATTTCGTATAAGGAAATGATTGAATGCTAACCCTATGTCTAGATCGTGGTAGGTGTCACCAAAGCTGTCGGGGATCGGTTTGGCAATGGTGGAATCGCGGACCGGATGATTTGGTCAAACGGGTTCCCTTTCTTGGATAATAAGGAAGATCACGTCTTTAATGTTCCTGTTTCCCAAGCCATGACGGTCGAACCTCTATCGCTGCCTGCTTCCGATTTCCCTGTACGGGAGGCCGAGCATCTCTTGAGTGACAACAAATTCCAAGGCTTTCCAATTGTTGAAGACCGAACGTCCAAGACTCTGGTAGGCTATGTTGGCCGTACAGAGCTCCGCTATGCGATCGACCGCGCCCGGAGCGAGGGCATGCTTTCACCCAATGCCCGTTGTGTATTTACCAAAGAAGCGGCTGAAGCCTCGGTGGCGCGCAGGGCCTCCGTCTCGACGAGTCGCTTAGCCCCCGACACTTTCGACGCTATCCAGTCGAGCTCGGGTGCAAGACACGTGGATTTCAGCAGGTATGTCGACCATACACCGCTGACTGTGCATCCCCGCTTGCCTCTCGAGACCGTGATGGAGATCTTTAAAAAGATGGGACCGAGAGTCATCTTGGTCGAACATCGTGGCCGACTGACGGGCCTCGTAACCGTCAAGGACTGCTTGAAATATCAATTCAAGGTAGAGGCGGAGGAGCATGTGCTGGCTGCCACCAGTGCAACCGAGGTGCCCCTCGGAGGACACCTTCACAACGGAAGAGCTGGCGATACACTTGAGGAACGGGTGTGGAAGTTCATTCAACACTTGAGCGGTAAAGTGCCCTGGTGGCAAAGAACCGGACAAGACGTGAGGTCCACCTCAACAGAGAACAGAGAGCAATCTGGTATCTTGGATGGAACGGAGGAAGACGATGGATTCGTTGAGTTGGAGGAGAGAGATAGACGTTGACACTTTCTTGCTAGATCAGGATCAGGTATCCTCATCATTTGTTTGAACATAGATCACTTATACTTATATGTAAACCGTCTTTTTATGAAAATGTACTTTGCTCTCAGCCATACCCCAAACATTATCCAACATTATAGAAACAAAAAGAATAGATCTACGACTCCTCCCTCATTCCAACTAAAATACACCCAGCCGCCATCATCGCCGCCCCAATCCACCACAACCCGCCCAACTTCTCCCGGAAAACAATCATCCCCAGCATTGCGGTGACAAAGAAATTCGCCGACGTGTTGGTGATAGACACCTTCGTCGTCGAGGGAGACGCGGTCAGCGCGCGGGTGAAGAGGGCCCACATGATGACATTGCAGAGAACGTTTAGGCCCAGACAGATCTATAAGGATTAGCTACAAGATACCTTTATAATTGCAAGATGTTTAGAAGGGAAGGGGGGTGGACGTACACCTCTAACTACCAACTCCAGGAAAGCATTCTCGTCGTTGGAGGTGAAGATGTGGAGGATGGCTCTTGTGATGGCGGAGGTTTGGTCGTCGGTTGTTCTGGGTACAGTCAGTATCCTTTTTTCATGTTTATCTTGAAAGCTGAGATATTTAAAAATCGATATATATATATCGATTTGATTAATCATCAGTTGAAGCAATTCAAACATACAATTTGGCGAATAGTCCATTAAAGGCGGCAAAGGCACCGCTGGCTATGGCGAGGATAATCCAGCGCGATTTGGTTGTTTGCGTTGTTGGTTGATTCATTATTGTTCTTGCTCAATTGAAATATTTAAAAGCAAAGACAATCTTTCTTTGTATTTCAAGACCTAGATTAGGCTGGATGGGGATGTTGGTTGATGGGATGTTGATACTTGATAGTGAAGGGGGCCCGAAGCCCGTGATGGGGATTCTTGGCTTGCCAAGTGCGGATTAGAGTGCATCAAGTACTCTTCAAGACTCCATAGTTTCGTCTCACCCGACTACGTACCATGATTTTACGAAGTTTGGGTTTATAATTAAGCGGTTGTGTTTATATGCCATGCTATTCATTGATCTGATAATTAATGTATATAACTGAATCACGCTTAACACCATGTATGCAATGGCAGATATATCGCCATCTATGGCGAGAGTCTTTGGATGCGCCACTTAAACACTGACTCTTCTGTGCCCTGCACCCTCACATACCTGAATCTATCATGCAGTCGACTCCGTCTGCCTTGCCAGAACTCGACGGATTCTGGTACCAAACGCACGCCACCCCAGAACGGAGGAAGAGGGATCTTCTCCACACCCTCGAAACGCGCTTCCATGTCTTTGACCCGCTGCTCGAGCATAGCACGGCCATCCTCCCGATCGATCTCATCAATGTCTGCTGGAACATCCGGACAGCCAGATTCGAGAATCGGGTTACCGTGGCCACCGGCAGCGGCAGCCTGACTCTTTCGTCGGTGTTCAACCAGAGAGTCTTCTTCTGCTGTCCAAAGAACCTTACTCTGCCAGCTAGCCCACGCACCAATCTGACTTCCTCGCTCTCTTGTCCGCCAGTACATTTCGCTTTCTTCGCGGCTAAGTGGCTCAAGCAAACCCTCAATCCGTACCTGACGTTCCAGAGGCGACCAGCAAAACGTTAACGCAGCCCACTTATTACCCTGGTCCAACCCTTCCACAACGACCTCATCCTCTCCAGGAATCGGCATAGAGCCAAGTTCCCCATAACCGTCCGCGGAGGACCCAAATACTTGTCCACCTTTTCCTTCTCGACTACCCCAGTTACTGTATACCACCCAGCCCCTCTCGTCCAATTCCTTGAGATACACGACACGAGCACTGACACGACCAGAAGGCAACGACGCCGTAGCTAATGTGCAGGTCTCCGGCGCTGAGGACGGCGCATGCCGAGGGTCACGGAACCAAGAATTGAATTGGTGTAGAGGGTTCGCCGGGTGCATTTGGGAGATGGTAAGCGGGGGATTGCTCACGAATTGATGCGCACGAGCTGGGTGGGTAAGGATCTGGGTCTCCATGACTGAATCGGGGGTTGATGTATCTGATCGAATAGCCTCTTGGACCAGACGAGAGGTAGGAGGAGCCGCTGTTGTTGGTGCAGGAGCCGAAGGGTCTGAGGTTTCGGTGGCTGTGATTTTGAGATCTGGTGTTGCTTCGATATCACCGGGGGCAACTGAGGGGGAGTCATTAGCTTGTCAAACTTGTTGTCCGTTCAGAGGATAAAGCGTACAGATCAACTTTTTTGGGCGTCGAGCTTCGAGGTTTTCATGTGCTCCCTCCCCCAGACTGATGTCTGAGCTGGGTTTGTCGTCAGCCAATGGTCTTTCTGTTGTCATTGAGAATGATCGCCACGAATTGTGGTGGTGGGGATTATGATGACTTCGAGAGACCGACTGGATGCGACGTAGAAACGAATGAGAGAATGAAGGCAGACGAAGAGGAAGCATCAAAAACACAGCAAAGATGTGAATGCAATCTGATCTAAAAGATTCCTCGCTCTAGTAATAGCAATGGTGTTCTGATAGGATTGAGGAGAGGAAGTTCTGACGAGGAAGAATGCGGAGGAATAGCGGGGTTCGCAGATGACTGTCGGAGACGCTTGGGTTCGGAATTGTCACACCACCAGAGCAACCCATGCATCACAAGGTGACGATGATTGTTTTATGAAGTTGTTTTCTAATCTTGAATAGAATGGATGAATGCGAATTGCCAGAACAGAATGATGCTACGAAGCATTACACAATCTACATGGATGCAAAAAAAATCCTCATTATTTCTTGGTTTTTATTAGATCTTTTCAAGCCAGCTTTCCTGTAAAGTACAGGACAAGCAATGACTTGTATATCACAGCGTCAAGGAAGATGAATGGTGACCATCCATCTTGTGACTGCCGGAAGAGGAGTTGGGAGGTTCTATAAACATAGGAAAGAATATAAAAAAACCATAAAACATCAGACGTGGTATACATGCGCCATTATTATTGAACTTTTCAACAAACGCCTTGCCCCGCTCGCTGGATGCAACATATACAAAAGAAAAAGAACAACAATAAACCGAAACCCACTGTAACTCAATGTTGCCCCCCAAATGCCCATGCAGAGCCATCAGGCTGGAAATAGCCAGAAGAAAGGGTCCAGCCCTGGTGACAAATGTAAAGACATTAGAACAAATATTTTCGGGTCAAAAAGTTTTCAATCCGGTGAAATGAGAATGGAAGGCAACATTATAGTAGAATAATAGAGCACTTTAGATAGCAGCCACTGATGCAGTGCCAACAAGATCGAGAATCTTACAGGCCACGGCAGTGGGGTATCCACGAGACATCATCTCCTGCACAGTGCGAGATGCACCCTCACGGTCTTCAGATGTCAGGAATGCACGAGTCATGGCCTCGTAGGTACTGGGCTCCCGCTTGTTGATACCAACACTGTCATAGATAGCCTTGGCGTTGGCAACATTGCCTTCTGCGGCCCATCCGTGGATCAGAGTGTTGGCAATGTAAGCAGTCATCTCAACCCGGCGAGCAGCCATGTCCTTGACAATGGCATCAGAGTCGGCCACACGACGGTTGGCCACCATAGCCTCAAGGAGAGCCTGGTAAAGACAAGGCTGAAGGCGCACCTTGGAGTTCGACACAACGGAGTTGAAGACCTCGAGGGCGGCATCCATGTCGTGCATCACACAGCCCTTGGCATGGATCAGCGATGCATAGTGAACGGCTTCAGGCTGCTGTCCAGAAGCTTTAATGGCTTCGAGCACCTTGTCGGCCGCAGCCATGTCCACTGGCTCCAATGAGGCATGTGCATCGATGAGAAGCTTGTAGGTGTGCATAGTAGGCTTGATGTTGCGGGCCTGCATACGCTCGTAGTAAGCCAGGACCTTGCTGCGATCACGCTTGGTGTTGAGGAAGTACTGAATCATCGAGTTGTAAGGAGCTGGTCGGGGCTTGTAGTTAGGCATGGACTCCATCTCTTCGAACATTTCTTCGGCGAAGCGCTCATCACTAACTCGGCAAAGTGCGTTCACGATGGTTCCATAGGTAACACTGGTTGGTCGAACACTGTTGGCACGCATCTCCGCGAAGTACAGGAGGCAGTCATCGATACGGCGGGCCTTGCCAAGCTTGCCGATAAGTGCGTTGTACAAGAATGAAGTCGGCTCCACACCCTCTGCAACAGCACGGTGGAAGATCTTGAGAGCTTCTGTCGCCTCGTCGAAAGTCTTGGTAGACTCCTTAAGGGTGGTAATGTACAGACCGAAAGTGTTGGCCGATGGAGCAGAACCGAGCTCTAGGAGCTCCTGGTGGTATTTGGCAGCAAGGCTGCGGTCACCAAGGGTCAGACAGGCAGCCACCATGGCGTCCAGGATAGATACCCAGCCATATTTAACAGCATTGTGCTGAGGAGTAAGAGGCACATCACGGCGGGCCATGCCCAAAATCTCATGAACCAGATCGACACGGTTATTCTTGGCGGCGGCAGTGATCAGCTTAGCGTAGGTGATGTAACGAGGGTGACGGCCGATGCGGCGCATGTTCTTCACACGAGCCAATGCGTCATTGAGATGAGACTCTGGCCGACCGCTAGTGCTCTCCAACTCTTCAGCGATGATCGCCGATCCGCGGAAGTCGGTGGCATATGCGTACGGATCAAATGAGTCTTCGCTCGAAACCGGTGTGAGGACAGAAGAGTCCGATACCGGAGTGCGGCGGTCAGACAGGAAGGATGAGGGGCTCGATGTCAACTTAAGGTAGTCGTGCCATCTCTTGACCATATCGGGCCGGCTGTTGAACAGCATCGCAACTGCTTGATCAATCAGACCAGTAGTGAAGGCATCCATTGAAAGACCTGTAGACAAAGCAACGTCGAGCATGTGGGAGAAGCGGATCGGATGGGAGACATCAAACGGCATGGTGCTGTTGTTGACGAGCATACCGGCCTGAACCTGAAGAGCGAGGGTAAGGTCACGAGGGTTGAGTTGGGAAACACTCATTGGGCCAAGGCTGGCGACAGCGTGCTCCGCGACTGGGGACACCAGACCCCCATTCTCCACCATGGACCAAAGGAGATTCATAGCAGCTTGAGGAGGGATGATGGCCGCCGTTTGCATGAGAATACGACCGACAAGATGGAGGGCTTCGTTAATCTGCTCGCGGATGGGAGCCAGGAGGAGATTGTTGGGAGAGGCATTGCGGATCCGAGCAAACATATTGCGGGCCTCCAGCAGGCCTTCGTCGATCTGACCACTCTTGAGCAGGGCAACCGAATACATAACGGTCGGTTGGACCATTTCCGGGGTTGCCTGACCCACGCTGGTTAGCATCAACCAAAATGGCCGGGCGGCCGACACATTTCCTTGTCGCACATGCAACGCCAACATAGAAATGGCAGGGCGCTGGCGAATATTGGCTTCAGTAGGTAAGAGGTCGTATGCTTCGGATGCTGTTTGGAGGTTTCCGGCATCCGCCGCAGTGATGCAGATCTGCGACATGGCATGATCGAGAGCATTATCGTGGAGTCGGGTCTTGGCTTGTTCAAGGGCCTTGCTGTGCTCACCCGAGCGGAGAGAGTGCTGCACCAAGCCATTTTCGACAATTGCTGATTCCACGATTCCTTTGCGGGCTTCAGAGTTTTCCACATCGTCGAACGAGGACCGAATCCGCTCGAGGAAACGGAGAGCACCCTCCTCGTTACCACAAGAGAGATAAGCTCGAACCAAGGCAGCGTAGACTTGGCCATCCAAGCGCTGGACGATGCTGAATACTCCATTGTCATCTGAGATGGCAAGTGTCTTGTATTCATTGTAGCATTCAACAGCACTTGTCAGGTCGCCAGCAGACGCGAATGCATTGATCATTGATGGGAAAATGGAAGCGTGCGGTGTGACCTTCTGCATTTCCATATGGGCGTAAATGCGGATCATGTCCTCAACCTGACCTTCTTCAGCGCAAGCGGTGATAAGACGGCTGTACATGTCGAGCGAGAAGACGAGATCAACATGGCGGGTAGTGGCAGTGTTGAAAAGCTTGACGGCAATGGCGAGAGAGTTATCCTCGGCGAGGATGTCACGCTCCAACTCACTAGATTGCAACATAAACTTGCCCGGTTCTTCCATCCCGCCATAGCGAATTCTCTCCTGCTCCAGTGCTGACTTGGCCGTGATGTTGTCGTGTGCGCGAGTCACAAACAGTTGAACCAACGTCTGGTAGGTTTCCTCGTTGGGAATCACCTTGCGACGAAGCATATCGGAGTAGACATCGAGTGCCTTGGGGATGGCATGAGAGACATCGGTATGAAGTCTGACTGCCGCCAGGAGCAAGGCATTGTAGGCACCAACAGTCGGAGTGAAACCATCTCTAAGCAGGGCCTCAAAAGCAGCTGGAATTTCGGCATACTTTTTGTTGGAAGCCAACTGAACGACACGATCCGAACCAGCTTTTGCCTGGTCCGTAACCACATCGGAAACAGCCAACTCGTCTTCGGTGAGCTCGGGGAAAGGTTCGACACCAGCGTTGTCCTTCGCCTCCGAAGCCTCTTCTGCTTGAGCTTGTTCCTCCTGTATTTGAATCTCTCGGGCCACTGCCTCCTCCACCTTGGCACTAACATCTTCGTTCGCGGCGGCCTTGGTGAGATGAGGCGATTCGCGGAAATCGGGGTGAGAGTCAGGCGATTCACCGCTATTTTCCGTAGCGGCTTCCTCACCGGACTTTGGTTTCCAGCCAATTCTTCTGTTGAACTGGAACTGCTTCCAGTCACTGTCATCACCAGTCTGCTGGGCATGCTGCCATGCGGCGTAGTAGGCCGCTAATCCAAAATCTCCCGAGCCGGAGCCCTGACTGGCCTTGGCGCCAGCACCAGACGACGAGCTTGACGGTTGGAAAACATTTTGTAGTTGGGTTGTCCGAGAAAATTTGGCGGACTGGTTGGCGAGTTGATTGAAGGTAGTCGAGGACGCGTACGAGGTTTGCGACGCGGCGACTACCGACTGAGCATAGCCATGAGTAAAGGCTTTTGTGAAACTCTGACGCGCGAGGTGAGTAAATGGTTTGAAGACCATTTATCTAGCGGGTGACCTCTTCAGAGTGAAGAGGCAATGCTGTAGAGGTCAGTATGAGACGAGTCGGAGAGAAAAGAACATGTGGCATGCATTACCTTGCAATCACAATGATGTAAAATATGCAGGTTCATTTGACGACAGACGGTCGCCAAAAGAACGCGCTAATATGAGGGATGGGAGGGAAGAGAAAAAAAAAAAATGTGTGAGTTTTGAATGAGATGACAAGAGGATGGATGTCTCAGTAAAAAAGAGGAAACGATCGATATTTCAGAACAGGCGAGAATGATCTATCGCGCACTTTTTTTTTTTGGAATGCAATGGATTGGATGGATGTACGCCGACCAATCCCAAACAAGCTAGTGTAGATCCCACACCGCACTTTACCTGTTTGGTCGAGGGGAGATGCAGTGATTATGCGACTGATTATTATTATGATTGAGAAGAGTGAATCGACTCTCTGGGGGAGAAAGCTACAAATACAGGTGAATAGCCGCAGAGAAAACTGCTCAAGGAGGCTGTGTAATCAAGATGAATCATTGCACGAAAAATCATCGTTAAAAAACTCCTCCTGAACCCGCAAGGAACCAAGAACCAAGATACCAACGTCAGCAGAAGGGAAGCCTTCGAGAAGTTGCGACGATGGAGGGATCAGGTGGTCTCGGGCCTCCCGGGGAGTAGTGGCCAATCAGCGCCCGTAGACCACTAGGGCGAAGGGAATAATAGGGACTGCGGGGCGTCCGGAACTCCGGGTTCCTGGCCGTGGGCGGTGGGCTCCCCTGTCGTTGGCTCTGAGTCACGCTGGCTTTCCGGCTCTTTTTCTTCCTGGCATCTCCGCTGGCCGGAGTTTGGCGCTGGGTCCGATGGCCGGTTCTCCGATAGTCCGGAGGCCGAGGGTAGTAGTAGCTTGGTAGTTGGTAGGCTATATGGCTGCCTGAGGACAAAACATTGTGTTGACAGAAGATGATATATCATCATGGAAATGACGAGTGTAGCATATGTACCGCTTATCACCCGTGAATCCTTTTATTCCATCTCATGTACTCGAGGGAGTACAAAGGTACTTGATCTAATCAATTCTCCTGCTAGGGACCCTTGGAATCATACGGTGGTGACATCAAGCTGCCTTACTAGGGTGTGTTTTACACTCTGTAGTCATCCTTTCGAGTAACACTCTTCAATGCTTTTCCCCTGAAAGTGTCATTGATCATCATGGTCAGCATCTCACGTATGCCGTACATGGCTATATCTTCACAACGTCCAGTCGTTTCTCCAACTTATCAGCGCTTACCGTGATGATTGCTTGGCATCGACTCTATCAGCCACACCCAGAACCGCAGCCACACCATCGTGATGGAAGCTTCAACCAAAGCGCCTGCTTTAAAGATGGTCGTTCGTCATTGCTTACTAGAGCCTCGCCTGTTGACCACCAATTCCCCTCCTATTTATTGATAATTTTCAAATACATTCATTTCATCCTGTGTGCTGTTGTCTCGTCTCTACAATCTACATCCCATTCTTCAGTGGCATCTACCCACTTGCCTTGATCTACCCCACTTAGCATTGTACTACACCGAGCTGGACATCAACAACTGGGGAAGAACTGATTGATTTCCTCCACTATCGTGTGCCAGCACTCAACCACGCTCTAACTTGACAAAACTAAGCCTTGACAGTATGTATCTCCACCAACATTCATAATTGATTGTTGGATTTACAGACATCAACATGCCTGGTCGTGAATTTACTTACCAGTTTTCAACCCCTCAGCGCCTTGATTAGACTTCGGGATTCGATCCCCAAAACATCTGGAACCATCATATCTCAGTCAATCAAATTCGAGGTCTTTAAGTGATCGTCATGTCCGGTCAAATCCCCACAGCAACAGCCCTGTCCGCCCCAGGCAAGGTCCTTTTGACAGGAGGCTACCTCGTTCTTGACCGCAACTACACAGGCACGGTCTTTGCTCTTGACGCCAGAATCCATGCTATCGTTGAGCAGCAGAAAAAGACACCGTCAGATGCCGCTGACAAGGAGAACGAAGACACGGTTACTGTTCGTTCACCTCAGTTTGTCGATGCCATCTGGGATTATAGCGTGCACCGATGTGAAAATGGTGGTGGGGTGAGGGTCCAGCAGAAAGGCAATGGGTAATATTTTTTTTGATTCTGTACTTTTGAGTGCCATGCCATCTAATTGACTATAGACCACGGAATCCCTTTGTCGAAACCTCTTTGAACTACGCCTTGACCTATATCGGCTACGTCGCTGATTCCAAGGCCTTCGGATCGTTGTCCATTACTATTCTCGCAGACAATGACTACTATTCCGAAACTGCTTTCTCTAAAGATGCCGGGTCTCAAGGTCGGTTCGTGAACTTTGGCGTCCCACTGCACGAGGCGCACAAGACAGGTCTTGGCTCTTCAGCTGCTTTGGTCACTGCTTTGGTATCTTCCCTGGTCATCCATCGTACCATGCAACCTGATGACATCGGTGCTGGCCGCGATAAACTTCATAACTTAGCTCAGGCAGCCCACTGTGCAGCGCAGGGTAAGGTCGGTTCCGGATTCGATGTTGCTGCAGCAATCTACGGGTCTTGTTTGTACCGTCGCTTCTCTCCTTCCATCCTAGAGTCAATTGGCGACGCGGGCTCCCCTGGGTTCGAAGAGCGATTGTTCGCTGTCGTGGAAGATGCCGACCCTCAGCATCCCTGGGATACCGAATGTGTGGATTTCGGTATGAGACTTCCTCGAGGCATGCAGATGGTTTTGTGCGATGTCGATTGCGGGTCGCACTCCCCGTCTATGGTCAAGAAGATTCAGGAATGGCGAAAGCAAAACCAGAAGGAGGCGGATGAGCTCTGGGTGGCCCTTCAAACGAACAACGAAAACCTCCGTTTGGAGCTGAAGCGGCTGGCGCAAAGCTCCGATGCGGCCGCGTCTGGGGACTATACTGACGTCCGCACTTACATCCAACGCTCGCGCGCCTACATCCAGACGATGACCCGCAAGTCAAACGTCCCGATTGAGCCGATTGTACAGACCGAGCTTCTAGATGCTGTGTCCGCGATCGATGGAGTGGTTGGAGGCGTGGTCCCTGGCGCGGGTGGATACGATGCCATTGTGCTCCTTATCCAGGACAAGCCCGAAGTGATCCAACGACTGAACACTCTGTTTGAGAACTGGACGAGCAAGGTGGAAGACGACTTTGGAGGGAAGATTGACACGGTCCGACTCCTTGGCGTGCGACATGGGTCGGAAGGAGTGAAGAACGAAATGCTTGAGCAGTATAATGGCTGGGTATAAAGAAAAAAAAAGGCGCAGCAACCTTTTTTCAGCGGTGACAGCAAGACATACCATGAAGGGTTTGGAATTAGACTGTGGAACTGGATTGACAGGCAGCATGGTACTACAGCCACTCGTTGTGCTGTATCATTAGCCCTAACGTTGAGTATGTAGCAGGTTCTCCCTTCAGGGATGTGGAGCGCATGATAATAATAATATATAGTATGTGTTGAGACATGTATATCGAGCCCCCTGCATATGCGACTTTCCAGAGAGAGCTGGGGATGCGAGCAGCTACTTGGAAAACTCGAAATGATAGTCTCATTCAAGTTTTCAACAAGCATCGAAACATGCAGAAATTGCGGTGCGCCGTTTGCTGGTGTGTTTCGGAGGGAAATAAAACAAACCGCCATCTGACTCGTACTTCTTTGTTCGCCTTCTAAGCATTGTAAATTGGACCAGAGCGAATTTTCAATGAATCGAAAGTGTGCATTTGATCTGCGGATCTTGTTTGATGGCCTATTGGTGGTGAGCTGAGTATCTATCTATCTTCACCCCCTCTCTTCATGAATCATACGACGAGAACAAACCGATAGATATCTTAAAAGCCGGGAGAGAGTTGGCAACTAGCTAGCTATGTACATACCCCTCGACAGAGTCAGAAATCAAGGCAACCAAGGTGAAGATCCCATAATCCTGCAGTAATAGTGCATGCAGCCTGTCTCTTTGTCCTCTACTGTAGGTGCAGCAGTGGCAATCCATCCTGTGGTCAGTCCAAAGGTGGTGATGATGGGCGCTGGTTCTCCGCATGCGACCATGATCAACATGGGAAATCAATCAAGGGCACGATACTCTCGGTCTGCACGCGGGGCTATGTGTTTATGATGATGACGAAGAGGAGGAGGAAGTAGATATTAGCTTCCTATTCTAGCCAGCTCTGTAGAGAGCAAATAAATCATCTTGTAGGAGAACGAGGGCGAGTCGCAGCTAGACTGGAGCACGACCCAGACTTGTGCTCATCAGAGTTCCGACACTCTCAGAACTGCCAACGAGAAACCAACGCAAACCAAGCCCAACGGCTCTCCCCAGATTTCTTGTCGTTCTTGTCGCTTTTTTCTAACTATTGTTCTTTTTCTTATTTATTTTCTCCGTCGCTTCGTTTTCTTTATTCTTTGTTATTGTCGCGGTGTTTTTTGCCGGGTTGTCCTCTCTCTCCTCTCTCCATCAGAGAAGGTTTAATTTCCTCCAGTTATTTCGCCCCCCCTTTTCATTTCCAGCTTCACCAAATTCTTGATTCTCCTCTTCAACTGCTCCTCTCCTTTCGCAAGGCTCATCTCTTCCCTCCACTTTCCCCTCATATCGATCCCGGTCGTTTCTCACCCGCCCCCAGCGACTGCGCCGCCTCCAGCCTCGGAGGGAAAAGCTTTAAACAACCACGTCTCGTTCTATCTCACACCATCCTGATATCCTGGTCTTTCCCACCCTGCCAATCCTGACTCCGCTACAACACCTCTTTATCCTCATCATCTGAATCCAGATCAATTGTGAGTCGGCGATTAGAATTTCATTCGACATGTCTACTAGCGACCAACCGGGCCCGGGCCTATCTGGCATCGCCGACCCTTCTGCACCCGCATCAACTGGATCCCCCCACGAACAGTCACAACAACCACAGCCCGCTCCTGTTTCATCGTCAGAAACCGCCCAGACACATAACTCCCCTGCTCAGACTGAGGACACCCAGCGAGGCCAGACAACGGCCGATGCGAAGCCGGAAGACGGTGGCGAAAGCACTACTCCAGTAGCACCGGCCGCCCCCGCCCAAGCTAAAGATACGGAAGCTGCTGCTGCTCCGGTCCCATCGCCAAACAATGTATCTCAACTAGAATCAGAAGAGCCTAAGGTCGTCGCGCCCGCTGCTGCTCAGTCAGCGTCGGAAGAGCCATCGGATGCTACTGCGAAGGAAGCAGATGAGGACCCTGGACCGTCGTTGGTGATTACACTCCTTTTAATCACCGGTTCAAGGCATCCATTCAAGATCGATGGGAGATACCTTCGGAAACAATCTGTTAATGTCGAAAACCATGATCCTTTTCTTATGAGTGTTTACACACTGAAAGAGTTGATCTGGAGAGAATGGCGATCAGGTAAGAATGCCGCACTTCTGGAATTTAGCCTGGGGGGTTTTCTGGCGTGGCTTGGTATGATTGGGAGGACGCTAACATGGATTTGTCATTGTAGACTGGGAACAACGTCCGACGTCACCTAGCTCGATTCGATTGATTTCGTTTGGCAAGCTATTGGAAGATAAAGCTCCTTTATCAGGTATGTATTTATCTGTACCATGTGACATATCGATGAACGGATATGCTAACTAGCTTGCGATCAGACTCCAAATTCAGTCGGGACGCCCCCAACGTGGTGCATATGACCGTGAAGCCTCAGGAGCTCGTTGATGAAGAAGACGCCAAAGGAGCCAAGACGCAATACACTAGGGAGCGGGAAGCCAGTGAGCGCAGCCCCAGCTGCCGGTGCGTCATTCTATAAGCGAAGTATTTTGTGCATATAGAAGGCACGCGTCATATACGGCTCTAGCCCCGAACTTCCCTCGTCATTTATCACATATTTTTGCCCTTTGCCTTTGTTGCAGAAGAGGCTCCACCATTTGGACCATAATGTGTTGGATCTGGTGATCTTGCATATCGTTGCTTTTTCTATTTCTATTGGTTAGAGTTTTCACCCGCCACTGTCTATTTGCCTTGATGCAGGATATCTGGCTTTCGATATGGTTAACCATACGCTTGGGACGGCGTTGTCGACTTTACTCTTTTTTTTCCGGCGCTCAGGCATCTGCGGTGTCTCTGAGTGTATTCCTTGATTTGGTTGTCTTTCTGCTTGCATAACCGCTAGGTTGGTTTGATGGTCGTTTTTTTTCGAGTCCCTCATCTCCCGTTATATATACCCTATTTCTTTTTATCTCTTTTTTTACCCTCTGGGCTTTGTCTACTGGCTTGTTTGTCCCCATATTTGCGAACCACTTCTCTGCAATCTATCTGGTCCAACCAAACTCAAACCCTTTCTCTATCACATTGGAAAGCCTGGATATGCATTACCCACCTGGTACAAAGTACCACCAAGGATATCCTCTTAGAAGCTTTTTTGCCTTGGACATTTTAGGGCTTGCTACCTTGGCTTCCCAATTGGATGGAAGGGTTTACTCTCCTTTCATTTTGCTTTCCTTTCTCTCTTATCTAAGGCTCGACCCACTTTTCTTTTCGTCTCAAGTACATATATTCCATTATTTCTTGTTCCTCTCTTTTTTGATTAATCTTTTTCGGGTGCACATTCCTTGCACAATAGGTGAATTTATGAGAGGTTGGTAGCGGAGGTGATGTATAAATGAAATAAATGGACATATCATATTGCTTATGCTGACTGAGTGCATTGGATTTTGTTACGTTTATTAGCTTGAAATGCTTTGTGAGTTAATCAGGCAATGTCGTGATTGATAAATTCGCCATCTTTAACACCAGACTGGATGAGGTCTTTCACAACTATAATACATCCAATTCCGTAAATATCAACTCATGAATCCGTTACGCAGCTCGATAAAGTATGAGAGTCGATTCTAGTTTGGAAATCACTCTAGGTTGTATCTGCGTCTGATATCGGGTGTAGAACCACTGAAGCATAACAGTGAAGTCGTATGAAGAAAGGCATGACATAAATGAAATAAATTACCATTCCATCCGCAATCTCTTCTCCATTTCATCGTGGAAGGCGGGGGGTTCCCTGAACTCGTCTCCTGCAGAATAAATCAGCACCGACAATATAAAGCAAGTATATTGGAAGCGTAAGAAATACGTACCTTGGAAAACATCCTCCCACCCGAGCTCTGTGTCCCTACCACCGAGAGTCAAGATATCCTCATGCACATTTCCTCCGGGGGAGCCACCCAGCAGAGCGGGTCTGAACGAGCCATCTCGGACAAGCTTCAATTCCATACCACGACGCACGGGCTCGGCGATACCGTACACCCGGCGCAGAGACTCCATCTTCATCGCATCCTGGGTGCTGCGCCAGGCGTGGAGGCGGGCCTCAAGGGGATGTGCCGAGGTTGTTGCGGCGTTGGCGTTCGAGGATGGGGGACCGGTAGGGGCGGGGAGGGTGATGTTGTTGCGGAGGGTGTCGGGGAGACCTGGGGCGGAGGGGGCGCCTTTGGATGGGTAGGGGAGAGAGATGGGGATCTGTTGGCGGGTGGTTGTGTTGGAGGTTTGGGTACGGTGGTTGGTGGGGGGAGCGATGCGGAGAGACTGCGTTGGTTCTTGTTAGTTATAGGATTCTTGGATAGTGGTTGGATATGGAGTGAGTGATGAGACTGAGGTCACATACCATTATGACGGTGGGGATTTAAGGTGAAGATACTCTGAGAAAGAAGAGGGAAATGAGAGATCTATCAAGAAGCCTCCTTGGTTCTAGCCACAGGAAAGCCAATGAGAATAATGGAGGAAGCAGGTGGATAGATGATAAAAGAGGATGAATTGAAGCCGGAGGTCTGCTGGCAAGGTAGCTCTGATAGAGCAAGTCAGGCTGCCAGAGCGGCGCGTCCAGCTTCTCCGACACCGCAAGCTGACCACTTGCGCAGAACCCTCATGTCAGCAAAAAATGATCACGTGTAATCCATACCAGGAAATTATCCTGAATAGTTACCAATTGAAGCCGCAGAACAAGCTGGTTCGCAGCCCCATCCCACCATCTCATAGTGACAATGCCGCCATTCATCTCCTCCCTCGCCCTCCGCACGCTGCGGACTATTGTCCAACGCCCATCTCTCCCCGCAGCTCTCCCTGTCAAGTCCAAGCCTTCGTGCTTCATTCCCCGGTTCCAGCCCGTCCTCCGCACACCCACCGCGATCACCGCCGCAAGACTGTCCGCAGCCCCTTCTATCCGTCAATTCTCGACCTCTCCCTTCCGCCAAGCTACCTACAACCAAGTCAAGCGAGGATGCCGTGTCTCGCAGCGTGCGCGCCGATCCCGGTCTCCGGCTCTCATTGACCGATCGCAGATGAAGGGTGTCTGCCTTAAAACTGGTATCACAAAGCCCAAGAAGCCCAACTCTGGTGAGAGAAAGACTGCCAGAGTACGCTTGAGCAGTGGCAAGGTCATCACTGCATACATCCCCGGTGAAGGTGGGTTTTTCCATATCATTTCGTGTTCGGTCTGAGCACTGGGAGACCAGGAATGATAACAATTATTGCAGGTCACAATGTTCAGCAGCACAGTGTCGTTCTCGTTCGTGGTGGCAGAGCTCCGGATTGCCCTGGTGTGAAATACCACTTGGTTCGTGGAGCTATGGATTTGGTACGTATCGATCATTCTATAGTTGAATCATTCCGGATCTCATTACTGACATACTTACAGGGTGGTGTGTCCAACCGTTTGACTGCCCGATCGAAGTACGGAACAAAGAAGCCCAAGAGAGATTAGATATAACTAATGTATTTGGATTTCTGGTTGATGCTGGGCATGGATTGAGGGAAGAGGGTTGAAGCTGTTTTTTTTTTTTATATACTACTGTACTATCTATCCACTCGGGACATTGCGTTCTTCAGTTCTCTTGCAATGGGTTATCGTCATTAATTTTCGTTCTTAAACCGTCATGTACATTTACGAAGCGTACTTTGTTTGAAACAAGTCAATCGGCTTTTTTTTTTTTTTTTTTTTCCCCTGATATAAATAACCATATTAAAAAAAAATGATGGCCCATGATTCAAAAGTGTCACAAACGCCATATAATACTAACACATGTAAGTGAAGCCCTAAACGCTATAAAGTGGGTAAGAAATGACGAAAGCTTGTCAACAATAATTCTGAACATGGCATCCAGATCGCAACTCAAGATGCCATTCAGAAAGCCCGAAAATGCGCGGGATACGCCTCTCATTCCAAAATTATTCCTCACGGACTGGGTAATGCTTCGCTTTGGATTTGCTAACATTAACGTCTGCCGAGGAAAATTTGCGCCCTTCTAATAACCCTTTCTCGGAGTTGGCTACACGTAGCAAAAACGATGCATCCGGCTATAATAAAGAATAGGCAGATATTTCTGACAACGGTCAGTCACGACTCATCTTGGTATCCCTTGGGCTTTTGGAGTTTGTTGAATTCGAAGAATTTTGATGTGCCTGGAATTTGTGAATTAGCACATTCCTGAAACAGGATGCAAAGACTGCTTACATGAGTATCCTTTCCAGTCAAAGTTGTCACTGGGGTTGCAGTGGCACTTCAGGTCCAATCTTGTCTGCTCACCAGTCGGGCAATGGGTGAAGGGAACATGGTAGTAGGCAATCTCGTTAAAGAAATGAATCTCTTCCTTATTCAGCAGCAATCCGGCCGCAATGGAATGAACAGGAGCATCGCCCCAGCGTTCATAGAAGAAACCGCCGTCCTTGTCAAGAGCGTCGAAATAATCAAGGTATTGCTGGGACCTCAGCCATTCCAGACTTCCAACCTCGAAATTCGACCACTGCGCATTGGAAGGTTTTGGTTAGCAATCGCGCCTAGCACTAGAAGGTAGATGCTTACAAAGTGACATTTATTGTACGTCTCGCCTCCATCGTCACTCAGGAAGCCCATTGAGTTTTGCTCAGCGATATGTTCTGGGTGCTTGCTCATGAAACTCTTCACGCTGTCCCAAAGAGTTGGGATGGTCTCATAGTATTCGTACAGACTCAGGACGAAGCTGTACTTCTTGTTGTTCTCCTTCATAAACCGGAAGGGGTCAAACCCAACGTCGCAAAACAGTTTAATGCTGGGCTCCACCCGCCAGTAGTATTCGTAGTTCAGCATCAATGGGTGGCGGAAGAAGAAGCCCGACTCATAACGGCACATGTGTCGATAGCTCTCAGAGTCACCATAGATGATCTTCTTCTGACCCATTTCCTCCCGAGCCTTCTTCGCCTTGTCTAGATCGATCCAGTCAGGGTAGGACCAGTGCTCCCTAGGAATAAGACCGTAATGTGTGTTTCCAGAGACCAGGGCCGATGTGAGCTTCTTGAAGTCGTCATCAAACTCCTTGTCGTTCAAGAAGACCCAGTCATAGTGATAATCACGGTTGAAGCGGTCCTCGACCTGTCGAATAGACTCCGCAATGTCCCAGATATCTGAATTGCGGGCCAATGTCACAAATGTCGCATTCACACGACCAGTAGGAGCGCCAACGTTCGCCGAACCGGGCTGCTTGGCTGGAGCGGCATTGTTGAAAGAGGAGGATTCAGGTGATTTCGACGCCTCCTTATAGGTACTCGGATTCAGCCTGGAACCAATGTTCTCGGGGATGGGAATAGCGGATCTCGAGAAGAAGAAGAAAACCGTCAATGCCTATGCGCAGCGTTTGGGGGTTAGCGACAGACTCCACAGCTATTTAACGGCATCAGGACGCAAAGCAACTCACCAAGACGGCAAAAAGAATGTATCGCACATATCTCGCCGGCGTAGACGCCATGATGCTGAAAACCGTTTACCGTGACAAGCACGGGCGAGATAGGAGGGGACGAAGGCGATCAGGGAAGCAGGCTGAGGAAGAGGCCAGGTGAGACAAAGTCGTCGGAAATACCACCCAGTCAAGTCAGCAACATTCGTGATTTCCCAACCACCCAAGGAGGGGAATCAGAGAAGAAATACTAAAGGTGAGCCCAAATGAGATGGGTGTAAAAAGAGTGATTTGTAAAAAAATGGCAAGTTCAAAAAATTGGACACATGGTCTGGTGGTAGATTATTACGAAGAGAGTACCTATTAGAACCGCTTGGCCACGCGTGCAAGCGCACCGCTTTCAGCCCCGTTCGCCTCTTGCACCGGAAGGAATACAATTCCTGGAGGCGAGATGGCAAATCCGGGGTCCGACTACAGGCAGATCATCGTTATGATGTTGGAGCAGTACTATCATCCCCATTCCATCATATTTGTCTAAATCTATAACTAGAACGAGGGTCTTAACGTCCACTGCACGGGGTTCAGCGTTAAATGCGACGATCAATCTGCCATTCCTTGGCATTGGGGCAATAGGCAGTATCACGTACTCCAAAGCAGGTATAGATGTTGTTTCAAAAATAGCAATAAATAGTTTAAATCGTGTTTCAAACATTCTTCATTTTATTCGGAAATTTAATACCAAATGGTCTTGTCAGTTTGACATTCTGTAGCGTAGCGCAGGACTTGCTGCCTCAGGCACCACACTAGCTTACCTTAGCGGGTGATATCAGACCGGCTGTGAACTTCATCCCGCACCACAATAATGCTGTGATCTCCTCCCTCCCCCACATCATCCAACTCTCTGCTGAAGATGTCCTTCTTTGGCTTTGATATCACCCTACCCAGGGACCGTGATCCCTCGGGTGATAAGCGGGGTATTTTCGAAGCCCCAGACCCTTTTGCCGAAGTCGCTCGCGCCAGAGTGGAAGGACACTATGCCGACGACGATGATGCGTGAGGAACTTCCCTTTCCTCAATTCTTCAATGGAAGAAAACCACATACACTGGGCACTTGTCACTGACATACTACCTCTGCAGAATTGATTTCGAGGATACCTATGATGGTCTAGGTGACCAGCTCAATGATGAACAAGATGCCTTCAACGACGACACGTTTGGTGATGAGTTCGAAGCTGCCCCCGTGGGTAAGGACTTTGATTTCTTCGGAAGGACGGCGCAGGTTGCGGATGCAATGGGCGAGGAGCAAGTTCGCTACAGCTTACAACACCCTCAGCCGCCCGCTGCTGTTCATGCGGGTCCTGCGACAGAAATCGCTGTCGAGACCGTTGAAACGACCCCCGCCACCCAAAAGCCGAAACGGTCAGGATATGAAAAATACCAGGACCCAGGTTATATTCCTGACCTGCAGGCCAAGTCCAGTGTTTGGGGTACGCAGAAGAAGCCTGCTGCTGCTACTGTTGACCCGGCCATTCCAATGGCATCGCAAGCCAAGAGGATGATGAGTCTGGAGGAAGTGGAAGCGCAGATCCGGAACCAGGGAATGCCCCCAGGACTTGCTCAGCCTCCAGTATCGCTACCGCTGCCGATTACAGAACCATCCCATCCTCTTCAACGAGCCCAGCAGTTTCCTGGGATCCCCGAAGGCTTCCCGCTGCCACCTGAATTCTTGCAAGCTCAGTTTGCCAAAGGTGTTCCGCCAGCTCAGCTTCTGCCCCATCAGCCGGTGGTACCAGAGCCGTATCCTCTTCCTGCGCATGCGCCTCCGACCGCGCCTTTGCACCTCTTGCAGAATGCCAACATCCCTCAGCATATGCCTCCTCCCCCACAGCGTCATGTGCCACGGCAGCAGCAGCCTCCACCACAAGCTATGCGGGGCCAAAACAGCCCGCTTCCGCTTATCACCAATCCTCAACAGTTGTTGCATCTGTCAGAAGAACAACGCATGGCATACTTGTTGGAGGATGCCAAACGTGCGAAGCGTAACCACAAGATTTTCCTCTTGTCCAAGGGCAACGGATTGATGACCCCACAGGATAAGAACTTTATCACGCGAATCCAGCTGCAGCAGCTTGTGGCAGCCGCCGGAAATGTTGCAGACTCGGATTCCGAGGCTGTCCTGGCGGAGGATTTCTACTACCAAGTCTACAGTCAAATCCGTGGCGCTCCTCGTCAGCATCCTCACCAGCCACTCGGTCATTTTGCACAGACTTACCTGCTTCAGACGGGCAACCGCCTTAGTGGCCATGGTCCTCGAAGGCAGTTCCAGAGCGCGGACAACCACATGCAGCGCATGAAGCAGCAAGTCCAGCGTGCTGTTGAGGCTGCCAAACTGAAGCCCAAGAACAAGCAGCTCATCATCGAAGGCAGCTTGGGTAAGATCTCTTTCAGTAACGCGAAGACCCCTAAGCCGATGCTCAGCATCAAGCGCCCTGAGAGCTCAGAGGGCACAAAGGCCGCTAAGAAGCCACACACTGATTTGAGTTTGAGTGACCGAAAATCCATTTTGACCAACCTTGAGCATGTTTATAGCACGCTCATGGAGATGGAAGATATGGAGCGCACGATGCCCCCTCCACCAGATGAGAATGACCCCGAGGCTATCCAAGAGCACATGGAATGGCGACAGAAGATCCGCTCGCTTAACCAGAAACTTTGGCAAGGGCTCAAGGTCATGGAGCCCATTGTTCCCAACTCCAACACACCCCACCCCTTCATCGCATTTCTGTCTTACCCCAAGGGCAAGAAAGCCATCCCGCGTATCTTCCGCCATATCGACCAGGAACAGCGAATCACCATTCTTACTATGATCGTTGTCCACCTGGACACTTTGGACGTTGTTCGACGCGCCCAGACTGTGCCTGGTGAGATGCAGCCGTCTCTGCCAGTACGGGAAGCCATTGAACTTTTCTCGCAAGCTGTCATGCCGAGTCTCTTGGGCTATGTTAACGAAGCACCATTCAACGTTATTATTGGACTTCTGGGGCTTGTCATTGCCCAAACTCATGTGCAGACTGTGGCCAAAACCCGGATTGGTCTGGGCATCCTGACCATGCTACTCAGTCGCGCGGAGATCGTTAAAGAAGCTGGACAGGCCACAGAGCGGGATTGGCAGCAGTGGGTTGAAAAGTTCAACGTGCTGTTTGACACTCTTGAGCCGACCTTTGCCGATATTTTCCCGAGCTCAATCAATGCTGGAGATGATATGTATGTGTGGCAGTTCTTGGCGGCGATTGGTATCGGAGCCAGCCCAGAACAACAACAACGCTTGGTGATTGCAGTAAAGTGAGTTTTCATTCATCTATGTGTCAATCATTTTAAAATATACTAATGCCTCGACAGGGATCGTGTGATGGAGACGGTGACTTACAGCAAGACGCTTCCAGCCGATATGGCCAGCCAGCGACTTAACAATGTCAACCTCTTCATGCGTGCCATTGGCCTTGACGTCGAACTCCTTGGTTAGAACGGAGAGACAAACAGTGTCTCATAATTATGCCTGAATGGCCGACTTCTACTACTCCTGGGGCAAGGCATGGGCGATATTCCATGCTGGAGAGAAAGAAGACCTGCCCATTCATCCCGGGCCACGTCCGAATTGGAACTTGCGCGACACACTACTTGTCTGTCCATCTATAAAATATGTGTGATTAGCAGACCTTTTCTGTCACGGGGGGCTATTATCTCGGAAAGACGAGACAACCGGAGGGAAGAGGAAGTAATGACTGGCCGAAAAGCCAGTTATTCAAGTGGCTCGTTGAAATCAAAGATGGGGGATACGATAAAAGCCAACGACTTTTGTTTTAATTTTCTTTTCGACCAACAAAATTGCTACTGGAGAATTAAGTGATGTACTCTTATGATCTCTACCCCGTACTCCGCGATATCTGGTGCTCTTTGTGGTTGTGACCACGATGCTTTATTTTTTATTTTTTATTCTTATCTTTATTTTTTTATGATTACCCGTTTCACTTCTTATCCATAGAGCCAATCTGTACATTTTCCGCTCTCACTTGCAATTATTATTGGGCCTGATTGTTATGTAGTAGATCTTCAGGACCAATGCTGATCTGAAATGTAACAATTTGATTGTTCGAATGATGATTATCCGAAAGCAGCCATACACAATAGCAGCGCAACCACAATGCGATACGCGTTCAGCAGAGGCTAAAACATCGTGCTCACAACATTAAATGACGCCTGTCAGGAGTTCAATTTAAAACGAAGATGAGCAATCCTCGGAACGCTGCCATTCAGCTCCCTTGGTTTGCCGGTCCACTTCACAAGCTGAGAAGTGGAACTCGACCCGCCCAGGGTCGAAACTCAGTCGAAAGGGACACCTGGTCAGTAGTTCAGGTGCTAGCAGGAGCGGTGGATGGGGCCATCTGGGCTTTCTGGATGGATCGTCAAGTCGTCATGGTGGTGATTGCATATGATAGGCAGTAGGCAACCCAAGGTTATCACCGCGGTGGCACGTTTGGGCTTGAGACGCACAGGCGGCACATGCTTGACTGGCTGCTGCGGAAAGATCCCAGACATGCAGCTGCATTAACATGCAACCATCTGTATGCGTATCTCTGTCAGGGTAAATGCAGAGGGCAAATTGGTGGATGATCGATCATCCTATTAGTCTGTTTTGCTGGGCCGCCGGGATGACGATCAGCGACAAAAAGAAAGCAAGAAAGTGGACGAACGAAGGGGATTCTCTCAATTCAGGTAAAAGAAGACCCTGAGATCTCGTTCAGCTGTGAGGCTGTGAGCTGTCACTATCCAAGTCCACGTAATTCTCATTTCGCATTAATATTATTCTGGTAAATCCCTATTGCGTCGTCGTGGTGCCCCTCCGCAAACAGCCCTCCAAATCTCCCCCACCAATTGCCCATCGAAGCCAGCCCGCGCCCCTTAAAAAGAACCGCTGCCCCTCGTCTTCTGCTCTCGTTCTTTGGTTCTCTTCGTTCGTCCTTTCTCCAAACAATCAATCCATTTTCCTATCTCCCCTTCTCCTCATCAATTGCATTCTGCGATCATGTCTGCTGGATCAGTTCTCGTCACAGGGTATGCTTTTCTGCCCGTATACCCTAAATGTCTTAGTTACAAACTGGCTAACCCCGCAATTCTCTCGACAGTGGAACGGGCTACATTGGCTCTTTCACCACCCTCGCTCTGCTCGAGGCTGGCTACAAGGTTGTCGTCGCCGACAACCTCTACAACTCCGACCAGGAGGCTCTCAACCGTATTGAGTTGATCTCTGGCAAGAGAGCCGAGTTCTTCCAGTTGAACGTCACCGACGAGGCCGCCTTTGACAAGGTCTTCGAAGCCCACCCCGACATTGACAGCGTCATCCACTTTGCCGCTCTCAAGGTGTGTATTCTTCCTGGTCGTCACTTATACTACCCATTTCTCACTCTCGTTCAGGCTGTTGGTGAGTCCGGTGAGAAGCCTCTGGACTACTACAATGTCAACGTCTACGGCACCATCTGCCTCCTCAGCTCCATGGTCCGCCACAATGTCACCAACATTGTCTTCTCCAGCTCTGCCACCGTCTACGGTGATGCCACCCGTTTCCCTAACATGATCCCCATCCCCGAGGAGTGCCCTCTGGGTCCCACCAACCCCTACGGAAACACCAAGTTCGCCGTTGAGAACGCCATCACCGACTTGATTAACGCTCAGCGCAACAACGCCATCAAGGCCGGTAACGAAGCCGAGGCCAAGAAATGGAACGGTGCTTTGCTCCGTTACTTCAACCCCGCCGGTGCTCACCCCAGTGGTATCATGGGTGAGGACCCCCAGGGTGTCCCCTACAACCTGCTGCCCCTGTTGGCCCAGGTTGCCACTGGCAAGCGCGAGAAGCTGCTTGTCTTCGGTGACGGTATGTTATCTTCTACTTTTCGAAAAACGATTGCCTCTGTACTAACCCATATCTTTAGACTACAAGTCCCACGACGGAACCGCCATCCGTGACTACATCCACATTCTCGACCTCGCTGACGGTCACCTGAAGGCCCTCAACTACCTCCGCGCCAACAACCCCGGTGTCCGCGCCTGGAACTTGGGTACCGGCAAGGGCAGCACCGTCTACGAGATGATCGATGCCTTCTCCCAGGCCGTTGGCCGTAAGCTCGCCTACGAGGTCGCTCCCCGTCGTGCCGGTGACGTTCTCAACCTCACTGCCAACTCCACCCGCGCTCAGAACGAGCTCGGCTGGAAGGTCGAGCGTACCCTCGAGCAGGCCTGCGAGGACCTCTGGCGCTGGACCGAGAACAACCCCCAGGGTTACCGCCAACAGCCCCCGGCTGAGCTGGTGGCCCAGCTTAAGAAATAAATTAATCGACGTTCGGGGCACGATGTCTGGGAATCTGACTCGTTGCGAGGAAAAGTGGAATTTACCCAGTCGCGCTGACATAGATACCGTTCGAGCTTTGTAGTAGATCACATGAAACGAATTTCCTTTCTCTCTCTTATTATATTCCGAGTCAATCGTCACCTATGATTTATTTTCTCAATTAATTATTCAAACGGTCCAGCATTATTAGCAGTTTGGCGCTAGTCGTGTTACTCTGATATTTGGATAGCACTGCAATAATAGACTTCATAGAACCAATGGGTAAAGTTGCTTTTATATCAACAATCTCTATTTAATATAATAATACAGTAGACCTATATGCCTATTTTAAAAAAGCTAAACCCTAAATTTGACATCTATATTTATTTCCCTTTCCGACTTCTCCGAGACCCTGGTGTTGGCTCTTTTGCAGCACCGGAAGTCTCAGGCTCAGAAGCCTTCTGTTTCTCTGCCTCCTCTTTCTCCTTTTTCGCAAGTGCACGCTTCACGGCACTCTCCTTCTCCTGGGTTTGGATTTGCTGCTCACTAAACTCCCACAGTTTCTTTCCCTGCTCTTCACTCTTGATCTCTGATCGCGCGAAAGCTACCTCTCGGCATTCCTTTAGCATCCAAAAACCCTCGCCGCGACTGAATTTGCCTTCCATAGCAGCGTACAAGATGGTCTGAGCGCCTTGCTGCGGAGACTTGAGAATCAGCCACCAGATGGGCCAGGTGATGAGATAGAAGAGAAGACCCCAGAGCGACCCGCCCGTCAGCCAGCGCCGGGTTCCAGGTGTGCGACTAAATCCTGGGTCGACGACAATCACACGCGTGCAGGACGGTTGGCCATCTGGGCGTTTATAGGCGTTGAGGTGTTTCTGGAATGTGTGGGCGAACGTCATCAAGGAGAGCTTGCTCAGGCCGAACATATTGGAGTTCTTCTTCTGGGTTGCTGCGGATGACTTGGTTCCTGGCTTTCGAGCCGCCTCGATCTTATTTGCCTGTTTCAGGTCGAACTCGGAACCGATATAGCCTGGACATGTTGTGAAGATGACCCGCACATCTCGGTGGGCTGGCTGAGCCCTTAGCGCGGGGCTGAGGATGCTCAGCAAATGGAAATTGCCCAGATAATTGACCTGCCATTCTTCATCTAATCCGTCTTCTGTTGGTTTTCGCTGACCGGAGGAGGGGACGGCCGTGTTGGCACAGAGAATGACCATGTCGAGTCGGCGGGGAGGGGCATTGTCGATCCACTTTGTTGCGAAGGTACGAATAGAATGCAGGGAAGATAGGTCCACCTGTTCGGCGTAGATAAGCTGGTTGCCTGTCGATTTCCGTAGGTCCTCGATGTACTCGACTAGGAAAATGTCCGACGGGGCGTGTTGGGTGAGGAGGATAACTTGAGCGCCGCGGGAGGCGAGTTCGTGAACGACGCTGGCTCCGATTCCTGATGTGCCACCCTATTTAATAATTAAAATTAGCTGGCCATATTATCAAGAGAGGAAAAACAAGCATTCATACAGTGACCATGACAACTTTCGAGTGCATTAATCGCTCCGACGTATTTCGAGCCCCCCCGAAGTACCACTTCAACACGGCCACCAGGAGCACCCATGGCACGACCTTAAGTACTGTATAGGCATACGGGATGGACGATAAGCCCTCCGAAATCCCTTGAGTTATCAAGGGAATGGGCATTTTCGTGATATTCCAGGGAAATTAGATTCTGAGAAATCGTGGATAGGGAGAAATATTGACAGAAAGGAAGGACAGATATTATTGATTGAAGCTGGGTCTGGAATTCCCCATTCCAAAAATAGCTTGCCTGAGGCAGATAAGCGGGCGATCTTCCGCCACCACTTATGACAAAAGACCGCATCGCTTTCATCTTCCCTACAAACACCACTACCACACTCGTGGATGGAAGAAAAAAAGAAGGCCATGTCTCACGCCAACGATGACGAGGACTATTTTCTCCCCCTGGAAGACCAGCGTGTCTTTGGGGCTGGTATTCGACGAAAACGCGTGCCCTTCGTACGGTCATCAGAGCATGAGCTCAACACCACCACTCCAGCGACAACAACCGCCCTATCCTCGAACTCCGGCGTGAGCATAGCCAATAAATACCTATCTATCGTGTTGCCAAAGAAAGATCAAGAAGAAAAGCAAACAGAGGAAACCCATACTACCAACCAGAACAATAGAAACGTCCCCGGCGCATCCCAACCCGCCGCTCCTGAACCCAACAACGAGCGCTGCGAAGTCTGCAACCTTCCCGTATCCAGCTCTACACAACCCGCCGGAGACGGCGCAGAACCTTCCTCGGCTGCTCGACCACACGAAGCTTCTCTCGCTCACCAAGTATGCATGACACACTCCCATCCGCCATCTCACTTGGACAGAAACCGCCACGGTCTGCGCTATCTATCTGCCTACGGCTGGGATCCGGATAGCAGGTTAGGTCTCGGAGCTCCAGGGCGCGAGGGAATTCGTGAGCCGGTGAAAGGGCGATTGAAGGCCGATACGGTGGGTTTGGGTGTCAAGCTCGATCGACCCGCCAAAGACAGCAAATCCGGTGACGGAGTGAAGGCGGCTAAGGTGCAGAAGTTGAATGCCAAACAGGCGCGCAAAGGGCATTTCGATGCTAAGAGGAAGGGCGATAGATTGCGGGAGATGTTCTATCAAAATGATGATGTTCAGAGGTATCTTGGCGGTGGTGGGTAGGTGGTGGACCAAAGATGATCATGATGTTTACTGGAGACAGGTTTCTTTATATGGCGTTTTTGATTTTGTGTGATACCCATTAGAATTTGATTACTTTACAGTTGTATACAAGAAATACCTAGAAGTTATGGTCTCGAAGAGTGATACATATGTCCATTTAATTGCATAGGCGGAGTTCACATGGGATTAATACCATAGCTATCGAAGAAAACGAAAGCTTTAACAGCTCTCAATTAAGCGCCATTGATAATACTCAGGTCACAGGCAGAAAGATGGTATCACAACAGCGCTATAACATAACAGCACGGGAAAAGATGTTAAGCAGCAATAACTGCTTGGAAGACAGTACAATTAAGATCAGCGGCCGAAAAAGTGATGCCGTTTCTTTTCTTTCTTTTCTTTGGGGGGCTTCCCTCCGGGTGCAGCTGGGGGCGTGCCACTTGGAGACCCATTAGGCGCTTTCTGGTCCGGTCCTAGAGACATCTGTCCCATTAGAGCTGAGGGAGGTGCTGGGGGGTTGAGATGGGAGGTTGGCACAGGAACTTTCTTGGGCACAGGTTGCGGTGTCGGTGGAGGCTCTCTCTCGAAAAGATGCGCCGGAGCAGTAGGCTTAGGTCGCTCTGCCGGGATATCCAGACGCCGTTTGTCAACGCTCAGATCTCCAAGTTGTCGCATATACATCCCTGGGCTCAGCATGTGGGATGTCGCAAGGAAGACATCTTTGCCGAATGTTTGCGAAGCCTCGTAGCATGATCGAGCTTCTCCATGAGTGGCACCGCCGGCCATAAAGACAATGATGCGCTGGCGTGGCTGATCAGCAGCAGAGCGAGTTCGAGCCCATGTCGGTTTGGCGCTTCGCAAAGAGGCCTGCGAGAGACCGTCCTGCTGCGCCGTCATGCCATCCACATCAGTCTGGGGGCGAGTAAAAGGGAAGGCGGTGGGGTCCAATGTCCCGCGAATTTGCTCCTCCAGCATCAGTTTCACGTTTAGCTCATATCGAGACAGGCTTGCCTCGTCGGATTCCGAAGGGACCGGAGGCTTCATGTTAAATAATGGCTGAACGGGAGGTCTCTCGTCCCTCAGGGGTTTCTCTGCTCTTGCTCCGAGTAGGTCGAGGTTGTAGATGACTTCGCCATCTTGTGGCACAAGCTGGGCATGTGCCATGAGCTTTCTAATATCTCCCGAAAGCAATCCACCTCGGTAAATGATATAGAGCAAGAAAAGTCTCAGTCGGTCTGCACGCCCAATAGCCTCATCGTCAAGTAGCTGGACGAGCTGCGAAGCCAGGTTCTTTGCCTTTTTGTAATTTTCGTCAAGGCCAGTCGCAAGACATTGTTCAACGGAGCTGACTTCGATCAGCTTGTGTTCTTGGAAATGTTTCATGCACTCCTGTGCCATATTAAGGTGAAGGGTGTATGCGTTCCTCCCCTGCTGAAACTCGGTCAGACCTGCTAACATGTCTTTGATTGTGTTCACGTTAGCGTTGTCGTTCCTATACCAAAGTCAGTGCTCGATTCCAAATGGCCCCATAGTTGCGAAACCAAGCTCTTACTCTTCCGCGAACTGAGGATTGGCTGCTCTGAACTTGGCAAAATCTTCGCCCAGTTTTCCGAGTACATCCTTCATATGAAGATGTCTATAATCAACCCAAACTTTGTCTTCCTCGTTGATTTCCATTTCTTTGAGTTCCTCGTTCGCGCTGCCCTCGTTGATAAGTGTTTTGTAGGTCACCTTATCTCCATCCTTTACTGGAAGCAGATCATGCACCATGGCTTGATAGGTGAATTCATGGATTAGCGGAGACACAATGTCCATAGAGCGATCCACTACAAGAAGGACACCTCGAGGCCTGGAAGAGGGAGGGGGGAAATTGCGTTGAAACTGAGCAAACTGGTCCATTTCGTTTTGTATAAATCGAGCGAGATGGGAGCACAGGACGCTCGCCTCGTGTGTAGGGGTTCGGGGCTTATAGTATCGAATGACAGGGTACTCGCCCAAGCTTGCGCAAAGGGAAACAACCTCAAACATAGGTCAGCAGTTGTAGTACATATCAGATACTCGGGGATTCCCCTCACCTTCTGCGCGAGATCCTCCAGATGTCCGCGGATTAAATGGTTGCAGCCGGGATGGAACAGAACAGGAAAACTCCACGGATCCCGGAACGTCACAACCCGTGATTCTCTAGGATAGAAGTTGATATTCATGACTCGAAAATCTGCAATTTGCGCCTGCGCCATTTGCGATCGTTCGATTCTGGCGCGTTGTTGCGGATCGAGAACTGCACATAATGTCAGTCAGGGTAGGCAGCCGCCACGAAGACAAAACTAACATGATGTCCAAACCAGCAACGACTTCCTGTATCTCTTTCTCTCGAAGTCGGCCATCAAACAGTCAACTATATGCGTCATGGGGGACACGATATACAACGCATCCATGTCTGGATTGGGCGCTCGTCTATGCTCGATCTGTTCGACATCTTGGGGGGATTAGCCGATGACGTCTCAAGAACCAAAAGCATGGCTAGGCTTACTGGTAACGTTGAGATTAAGAATATCATCTTCGCTGACAGCATTGTCGATCAACTTTTTGCTGGTTTCATCCACAACAAGTACCTTCCACTATAAAAGGGGGGGGGACACCGTCAATTCCGTCATTGATAGTAAATGGAGGGGCGGACATACCTCGTCACCTCCGGCATAACGGATCGTATTGAGGATAACTATCATTCAAATAGTAGTCAGTAAGAGGGATCTCATGCGAACAGCATTAAGCCAGAAGAAAAGGTAGTAACCCACTATCGCGCTGGATACTAATAATTGAGGTGCTCATGCTGGGCTATCGGGCAGCCCACGACTGTGCATGGGCTTCACTTAGATCACAGGCTAAAAAGATCCGGCAGGGCAATTCGGAGGCTTGAGTAAAAGAAACAGAAGAAAACGGCGGAAGCCAGAAATATACTCCAGCCAGGGCAAAGGTGTTCTCACGAGGGACTTGTTTTAATGAAACGTATCAGTTAGTTGACCCCCTCCAAAATTCCCCACTGCCTATCGTTCAGCGGGAGCTTGGAAACTTGGGTCAAGTCCGCCGCGGTGATCGGCAACGCGGTGTGGCGGCCGATAATTGCTGTCGCCAGGATCTTAATTTCGATAAGGCGTCCGACACTCCTTTGGAGATTGTTCTAATTATCCTCCGTCACAGGTTGATGTGCTTGTTTGTTTCATCTCCAGATTACTTTCTAGCCGGTGTTATACTGCCCATGCACGGTCTTGACTCTCCCTCGCGCCTACACTAGACCTCCGCGGCCATTTTGCCTGTCAACCCTTGGAAAGGATACAACACTTATACACCAGTCTGTCGAATTGGTCGAGGAATGCAGTCATGGGCTGGCAGGGGCAGCCGTTGCCTGTTCTGTGCAGTGCAGCCTTTGTTTCGTCCTGTAGGACGAACCTTTGCGACAACGCCAGCGCTCCAAAGAGGGAAGAGACTGCAGAAATCGAAGTCGAAACAGAATGAGAAACCTGCGCCAAGTACAGTATCTGAAGATGTACTCAATACATCCATTTGTTATGTTGTTCAGAAGGTTACTGACCCAACAATTCGTGGATAGTCTCTGTCAAAACCGTCTCTTAAACCCTCCGCGAGGTCCAAAAGAGATCAGATCGCCATTCGAGATTTCTCCGTTGTCGTCGGATCGGTATTACAAGACTTCAAGCGCAAACTCGGACCGTCGGATCCTCTGCTCAATCGATGGGGTAAATTCGAACGCTACGTGATAAACGCATGCAAGTTGGAGGATAATGGCAAGAATAATTTTGGTCCTCTCAAGCATTTGAAGTCAGCGTTGCAGAGAACCTACATGAAAGATGGTCTTGCGGGTCTCAGAAAAGAACTACAATTTATGCTGGAGGCGGAGGATGTTACCGCAAAGTATTCTGCACCAAATCTAGAGCAACAGAGCAAAGTGGCAGATTTGCGATACCCGGCTGAGTGGTATCCGCAGGCTCGCGCAATGCAGCGGACGATACATCTACACGTTGGCCCAACTAACTCTGGGAAAACTTATCATGCGCTGAAGCGACTTGAGGCTTCCAAAAGCGGCTTTTATGCGGGTCCCCTAAGACTTCTTGCGCAGGAGGTATACAATCGATTTGAGTCGAGTGGGATTCCTTGTAATCTCATTACTGGTGATGAAGTCAGACTTTCCGAGGGAGAATCCCCACCGATTGTGAGTAATACAGTTGAGATGGTCAGTCTCGGTCAGTCGTACGAGGTCGGTGTTATCGATGAAATTCAAATGATAGCAGATCCCGCACGCGGGTGGGCTTGGACTCGTGCTGTCCTTGGATCGCGTGCCTCCGAGCTTCATCTCTGTGGTGAAGCAAGAGCAGTGCCTTTGATCAGAGAGCTAGCTGCGCTCACCGGTGATACCCTTGAGATTCACCGCTACGAGCGGCTAAATCCCCTCAAGGTCATGGATCAAAGTCTGCGGGGGAATTTAAACAACCTTCAGAAGGGAGACTGCCTTGTTGCTTTCTCTCGTGTTGGAATACATGCTTTAAAGGCAGATATAGAAAAGGTTACTGGACGACGGGCAGCAATCGTTTATGGAAGCTTACCAGCTGAGATTCGCACGCAACAAGCCCGTCTATTTAACGACCCAGACAACGATTACGATTTCCTGGTTGCCAGCGATGCTATTGGCATGGGTTTGAACCTGTAGGTCTTCTTGGTTCACTATTATTATTAATATCCTAACCTTTAACAGGAGTTGCAAGCGCGTAATCTTTGAGACGTTGGTCAAAAGACTTCCGGGGGGCCTTCAAAGGCTTTCCGTGCCTGAGATCAAACAGATTGCGGGACGAGCTGGTCGTTATAGATCCGCCGCACAGACACAATCTAAGGGTCAAGATGAAGAGGAAAATGTCGGTTTTGTATCATGTTTGGAGGAGGTCGATCTTCCATACATTCGCCAGGCAATGGCCCTTGAGCCTCCACCTCTTGCTGCCGCCGGTATCCTTCCTCCAGACAGTGTTTTCCAGAAATTCTCTGCCTACTTCCCACGCACAGTTCCTTTTCAATATATAGTAAAGCGTCTGATGGATATTTCGAGCATTCACCCATTGTTCTTCATGTGTGACGCGCGAAGTCAACTAGAGAGCTGCGTGGTTATCGATATGGTAAATGACCTTACCATTGAAGATAAGTTGATCTTTGCGGCTGCGCCTCTGGATGTTAGACATGAAGCCTCACGGAATACGGCCTGCTCCTTTGTCAAGTGTGTAGCCGAGCACACCAATGGTCGATTGTTGGATATCCCCGACCTTGATTTAGATATCTTGGAAGAGCCAGTGTCCGGAAGCAAGGATTACTTACATGTGCTGGAAAGCTTACACAGGTCTGTTATCCTGTACTCGTGGCTGAGCTATCGTTTCGGCGGGATTTTCACAGATCGAACACTTGCGGCTCATGTTAAAAAGCTGGTGGAAGAAAGAATGGTCAGAGCACTGACCGAATTTTCCGCAAACAAGAAGCTCAGGAAAGATGCTTCTCTTCGCCGACAGATTGCGTTGCAGAAGCAAATTCTGGAACAGAAGCGACTGCTTTCCGAAGCAAACCTGGAGCCTTTGGAAGATGAAGCGGCTCCTATCGATCTATCAGCCAGCGAAGACTCTGCGGAAGATGTTGTCCAAGAGACAAATGAGGCCCAGGCTTCATGAAGAGATTCACTCTTCAAGATCCCCTCTTCAAGATCCCCTCTTCAAGATCCCTATTCCTTGAGCCTTGGGTTTGGCCATTGGAGTTGCTCGTGATGGGCTTCGAGAGTCGTCGGGTTCAACTGCTTTGGGCGATGGTTGCATATTAGTTTCTGGAAATCATGTTTTAGATAATTCTGTATAGTTAGTATCTGTGTACATTAGATGTGAAGTACTAAAGAAATAGACTTGAATCACCACTTAATCGGAAATATATATTTGACTTCATCTAATGGATTCTAGTTGCTTCAACTGTTCTTACATTCTGGACAGAAAGTCAACAGCAGATAGATAATCATTCACCTCATAGCTAATACATAACTTATACCCACTAATATTGATAATAGTAATAATTGAATTTGAACTTTGGAGTGCTCATACTATCAGACTTGTTGATGGCAGCCATGGATCATGCTTATCAGTGGCGAGTGCACCGAACACCGCCACAACGATTTTCCGCGACAGTGAGTGTTCCCGAAGACAGCGACAAACCGCGACAGACAAAAAGAAAGCAACCTTTCTGATCAGAGGTGTGTCTTGCACACTCTCTCGTGGCTGGACCATCACTATCGTCGCTTGATAATTGGTTCTACTTTGTTATTTTTTACCATTCTTTCTTTTGTTCCCCATTCTCAGGACCAGCCATGGACGACCTCCAGTCCTTGGAGCTCTTCTCGCTCGTATCGCGGATTACGGGCGAGCTGCAAAACCATTTGGGTGTTAGCGACAAGACGTTAGCAGAGTTCGTGATTGACCAACATCTAAAATGTGATTCATTTTCGGGATTCAAGAACAGCCTCGAGGAAATGGGCGCCGAGTTTCCTCAGAGTTTGATGGAGAGCATTGATCGTCTGGTGTTGACGATGCACCCCAAATACAAGGGAAAGAAAACGGATACGACCGAAGCTTCGACAGCAGGAGATGACGATATGGATATCCTCGGTGCTCTAGAGAAAAAGGCGCGAGTCTTTAAAGGTCTTGCCGTCCCGGATAAGGAACAACATTGGGAGGAAGATGACTACACTCAGCGCAATGGTGCCGATGAAGATAATGCAAAGGCGGGTGCTATGGATGACACATTTGCAATGCTGGAGGGTCTAGCAGGAAAAGCCCAAGAAGAAAAGGGTCGCCCAGCGAGAGAGGATCGGAGCAATAGGAAACGAAGAAGCAGAAGCCCCGATTATGACGACCACAGCCGCGGACGCAGACACCGTGATAAATATCGTTCTCGATCCAGGTCGCGCAGCGCTCGCCGAAGCAGGAGAGATGATGACGTGGATGAATTTGGCCGAACAAAGAGCAAATACAGCAGTAAGGATGACGGGCATCGCAACGGCCACAGCGAGCGACGAAGAAGACGCGATCGAGCCGAAGAGGATGAATATTTCCGACGACCCCCACCTGTCGAACTGGATGATGAGCCTATTCTATACAAAATTTATGATGGACGTGTGACGGGCGTGAAGGACTTCGGTGCTTTTGTGAATCTGACAGGTGTCAAAGGGAAGGTAGATGGGTTGGTGCACGTTTCTGCCATGCAAGAGGGAGCGCGTGTGAATCATCCGTCTGACCTGGTGTCTCGAGGCCAACCCGTCAAAGTAAAGGTTGCAAGCATACAAGGATCTCGAATTGGATTGTCGATGAAGGAAGTCGACCAAGTTACTGGCCTTGACCTTATCCCTCAGCGGCGTCTCGCATCGGGGGCCAATATGGAACGCCTAGACGGCATCTCTGCCAATGACAGATATGGAAACCTAAGCTCGGACGTTCCGGTCATTGAAGAATCGGATGGCAGACCTATGAAGAACCGAAAACGATTGACCTCTCCTGAGCGATGGGAGATTAAGCAGTTAATCTCATCCGGTGCTGTTTCAGCTGCCGATTATCCTGACATCGACGAAGAATACCATGCCACTTTGACCGGTGAAGGCACCTTCGAGGAGGAGGAAGATGTTGATATCGAGGTCAAAGATGAAGAACCACCATTCCTGGCAGGCCAGACCAAGATGTCTTTGGAACTCTCCCCAATCAGGGTTGTCAAGGCTCCTGATGGCTCTTTGAACCGATCAGCGATGGCAGGCACAAATTTGGCTAAGGACCGAAGAGAATTGAGACAACAGGAAGCCCAGGACAAGGCTGCAGAGAAAGCAGCTGAAGTCGATCTTAACGCACAATGGCAGGACCCTATGGTTGCACCCGAGGACAGGAAATTCGCAGCCGACCTTCGAACCGCCCAGCAACCAAAGCCTGACGAATCAGTTCCCGAGTGGAAGCGGGTTACTATGGGCAAGAACCAATCTTTTGGCAAGAGGACCAACATGTCTATCAAGCAACAACGTGAGAGTTTGCCTGTTTTTAAGTTCCGAAAGCAATTGCTTGATGCTGTCCGCGATAATCAATTGTTGATTGTCGTCGGAGACACCGGATCAGGAAAGACCACTCAATTGACGCAGTATCTGGCCGAAGGAGGATATGGGAATAACGGTATTATCGGATGTACACAGCCTCGTCGTGTAGCGGCGATGTCTGTTGCGAAGCGTGTGGCAGAAGAAGTGGGCTGCAGACTTGGTGCAGAAGTTGGATATACGATCCGTTTTGAGGATTGCACAAGCCCAGAAACAAAGGTCAAATACATGACCGATGGAATGCTTCAACGAGAAGTCCTTTTGGACCCAGATTTGAAAAAGTATTCCGTTATTATGCTTGACGAGGCCCACGAACGAACCATTGCGACAGACGTTCTTTTTGGACTGCTGAAGAAAACTATCAAAAGGAGACCTGATCTCAGACTGATCGTTACATCCGCTACCCTGGATGCCGAGAAATTCTCGGAGTATTTCAATAAATGCCCCATTTTCTCGATTCCTGGTCGAACATTCCCTGTCGAGGTCATGTACTCCAAAGAGCCAGAATCCGATTACCTCGATGCAGCTCTTATTACTGTCATGCAAATTCACCTCACAGAACCCTCGGGAGATATTCTTCTTTTCTTGACAGGACAAGAGGAAATTGATACTGCCTGTGAGATTTTGTACGAGCGAATGAAGGCGTTAGGCTCCACTGTACCTGAGCTGGTTATCCTTCCCGTCTACTCCGCTCTTCCCAGTGAGATGCAGAGTAGAATTTTCGAGCCCGCACCACCTGGCGGTAGAAAGGTTGTCATTGCAACTAACATTGCGGAGACCTCGATTACGATTGACCAGATTTACTATGTCATCGATCCTGGCTTTGTGAAACAGAACGCCTATGATCCTAAGCTCGGCATGGACTCACTGGTAGTGACGCCCATCTCTCAGGCACAGGCAAAGCAGCGAGCTGGTCGTGCAGGAAGAACAGGACCAGGAAAGTGTTTCCGGCTGTATACTGAAGCAGCTTACCAATCAGAGATGCTGCCGACTACTATCCCTGAAATTCAGCGCCAGAATCTTTCGCATACCATTCTCATGCTTAAAGCTATGGGCATCAATGACCTGCTTCATTTCGACTTCATGGACCCGCCCCCAACCAATACTATGCTTACTGCCCTCGAGGAGCTCTATGCACTGTCTGCCCTTGATGATGAAGGTCTCTTGACGCGTCTGGGACGGAAGATGGCCGATTTCCCCATGGAACCGGCACTCGCCAAGGTTCTGATAGCATCGGTCGACATGGGATGCTCGGAAGAAGTACTGAGTATCGTTGCTATGCTTTCTATCCAATCGGTATTCTATCGTCCAAAGGAGAAGCAGCAACAGGCAGACCAGAAGAAATCGAAATTCCATGATCCATGCGGTGATCACTTGACCTTGCTCAATGTGTACAATGGGTGGAAGAATTCCAAGTTCAATAATGCATGGTGCTTTGAAAACTTCATTCAAGCCCGACAAATCCGTCGTGCACAGGATGTTCGCCAACAACTTCTTGGAATTATGGATAGATACCACCACCGGATTGTCTCATGTGGAAGAAACACCACCAAAGTGCGCCAGGCCCTCTGCACTGGATTCTTCAGAAACGCGGCTCGTAAAGACCCAACAGAAGGGTATAAGACGCTTGTCGAAGGCACGCCTGTTTACATGCATCCCAGCTCGGCATTGTTTGGCAAGCCGTCCGAACATGTCATCTATCACACTTTGGTTCTCACCACGAAGGAATACATGCACTGTACCACCTCTATCGAACCAAAGTGGCTTGTTGAAGCAGCACCGACGTTCTTCAAGGTGGCGCCCACGGATCGTCTCTCTAAGCGCAAGAAGGCCGAACGCATCCAACCCCTGCATAATCGTTTTGCGGGAGAAGATGATTGGCGTCTATCTGCACAGAAACGTCAAGGAAGGGGTGGTGGTGGAGGAACATGGGGCTGATATTGTCTTCTTTTTCTTTCTCACTTGTCTCATATATACGATAATTTCCAAGGATACCCTTTTTTCAGTGTCCTCTGCATATCTGCCGTCTCACTTCTTTTTAGCCACCGGGTATGTTTTAACGAGGGAAATAGGACTTGCGCGTTGTTTATCTCATTAGATATACTGGCTTCTTTTGTATTGTATCAAAATTTAGATCTTGGGGCAATATTGATTTTAGTATAATATAGAACTTGAAACAACCGTTTCGAACCTTTGATAGACGGTTTTTCGATTCCTTTTTGAAAGATTTGCAAAGCTTTGAATATATAGCTCTAATAGCTAGGGTTAATCACGCAACAAGGTTCTGTAGTGTAATGGTCATCACAGTGGATTCTGATTCCACTAATCCCGGTTCGATCCCGGGCAGGACCTAATCATTTAGTTAAATTTCTATAATTTTCCTCTGGTCAATGCTCTAAATATTTTTCACATTTTGATTTTTGCTCGATTTCTTTGATCGAAAATTCATATTCAAGCCATAACCAGAAGATTCCGGTTTATTCTTTTCTCACAGGCAATTACCCCGTCGAGTACACGGGCGCTCTCATCGTAAAGAGCGACTTGAGGTGCTGCGTCGGAGCCAATCAGACGCCGCAAAATTCTGAAAGGAAGATATCCCGTCTTCTTCAATTCCATCCATGACCTTGAAAGTCCTTGCTCAATAGTAGAGCATCGCATAACAGCAAAGATGTCGCATTTCGAGGACAATTCCCCAGCTAAGAGGAGAAAGCTGGATATTGATCAGCAACATGATACAACCGCCGCCATAACGTCGCATACGCAACTGCGCGCGCTTCTGACTTTTTCACAGGACGCCGTCGAATCCAAGCGAGGTAAGCCATGATAGAAACCCCCTCCACAGACTTGTCTCAATGCTCACATTAGAGATAAGGTATAAATAAATTCAAAGAATTTCTTGTCTCTATTGGACAAACTGAAAAAGAAAATGATAAAGCGAAGAAATTTCGTGTGCTCAAAGCTTATTGTGATTCGCAAATCTCTCGCAACGGGGATGATAGCGACGCAGTATGCTTTCCAGATATGATACAAACCTGGGGATTCGCCGATACTAACAATCACGAATCTCTCCTGACGGTTGTGCCAGCTGTCCTGGCTCTTTTCATCAAAACGACGTCTAGCCAGCTTGAGTTCCGGGAATTTGGACTGGCGCTTTGCAAATTCTTGTTGCAGAAGGAGCAGCTCCGACTTTTCAACCGTGGCCTGACGGCTATGAAATCAAAGGAACATTTGATTTCCCCTTGCCTCCGGTTGCTGACTGAGATCGTCAGCTTTGATGGAGGTGCCGTGGCGCGACTGCTTCACACCGCACGCTATATCACATTCAAGCGCCTTGATATTTTCCTCACCCCCAACAAAGCGCAGCTCGAGGAAGCTTCAGATGACTCTCATAAATCAACACTTCGACGAAATGCGCAAAAATATGTGCTCGCAAATCTGAGATTCCAGCACGTCAACGCAAAGAGCGACCTAGTTGAACAGTCCAAGATTATCCGAGCATTCATTGAGTACGTGAGAAAAGATCCCCGGGAAATCGTTCTTGAGATCATTAGGGCAATCGATAGAGATATCATTCAGGATGCTGCCCTTTCTCGAAACGCGAAAACTCGGTTCTTCAGCCGATGGAACCTGGAGAGACTCGTGACACTCTATGGGTACGACCGAGACTCCGAGGAACCGAATCCTGATGGTATATCCATCGCAAGCGAGATCCATAAAGTCTTGATGAATGTCTGCACAACTACTGGACTTGGTGTTTTGTTGCCCGAGACAGGCTGGTATCCCAATGGCAGTGACCCTGAGTCGCTACCAAGTGAGGACGATTCTTGCATTGAACTGGGTCTCGATTCCGCGGTTTATGTTGATAAATACAGGGAGTCGGTTCCTGTACGGAATGGTATATTATCATATCTGATCCAAGCACTGCGCCCTGATGTGGATAGTCTTCAAATCGAACTGTTGGTAGCTATCTTTAAGGCGGCGCCAGAGCTCGTTGCCGACTTCTTCACAAAGAAAACCATGTTCATTTCCGACCCGAAACCTACGCCTTCTTGGATGGCTGAGTCTGCGCTTCTATTCTCTACAATTCAGCTCCCAGTCCCGGCCAACTGTGGCTGGAAGGACAAGTTGCCTGCTATGCCGCCACCCGTCTCGGTGGTTATCGAGAGTATCCTTCCGCGTCCACTCACACAAAAAATCTTAACCCGCTGCCTGAACCAGAATGCAGAAATTGTCACTTTATTCGCGGTCCGAATTTTGACGATTGCCTTCAATAAACTACGAGCAGTTTTGAAAATTTTCAATGCTGATCATGGATCAGGACAAACGTTTTGGAACCAGGCTACGAGCAAACTGGTCGCTGAATTTTGTCGCCGATGTCCTTCAATGAAGGATGTCATTCTTTTGTTCAGAAGGACCGAGAAAGATGATTTGCAGCAGCAAGATGCCGTTGCAGAGTTGTTGGCTTGTTTCTACGAAGTCATCCCTGACGTTGCATTGGAAGAAAGCTTTGATGTTTCCTTGGTTATGGTTGAAATCTTGAAACGATTGGAGCGCCCAGATCTTGGTACAGAGGACTCCGAATTGTTGCTCAGTCAATTGCAGAACATTCTCAAGATTGCACAGCAGTCTGCATCCATCCGGTGGTGGCAACAACCTGGTGAGTTATCTTGACAAAAACGGTATATATTTCTATTTCTAACATAGCCCAGCTTCTATGCAATATTCTGCATTCACCTCTATTTTGAAGGTTCTTGTCGAAGCATCAGATAAAAACTCTCTCAGGGAAATCCAAAACCTATTGAAGATTGTGCTTGTCGAGAATTCTGTTTTGCGAAACGCATCTTCATTCTCATCGCTACTCTCTAGCTTCGAGGTTTCCGAGTCCGAGAAGGTCCATAGCCAACTTACGTTTTTTGACAACTGTGCGTGCCGGATAGCAAAGAAGCCTGTTCATTACCAGGACCTAGTTGGATCTTCCCTTCAAAGTGACCCAGAGTCGACTAGCCCTATAGTTGCTGCTATCACTGAACAGTGGCCATTTGTGATCAAGAATGGAGACGCATCGGCAGAAAGTGATGTGGGCACATGGATCGCTGCATTGCTTGGAAAACTGAAACAGGCAGGTGAATCCTCCAAAGCACTGAAGGCTGCCCGAGATGTTTTGGTGGAGGCTACTGAAAACAAAAAGACCAAATCAAGCTTGAAGAAGGCATTGAAAGACATTGAGGGGATCGAAAATGATGGCAATGATGGGCACGGCTCGTCTCGAAAGACTGTGCCAGGTTCTTCGGATAGTGTTCCACTTGTGGATTTGGATGAGGTCTTTGGCACATTACCTGTTGAGGGCAAAACTCATAATGCTCTTCAAAGGTGGGAAAAGGAGGATCTTGAAATGTCAGTGGAAGAAGGTCGTGTAGCTGAACTCATGCTCTGCGTGTCTTCTGAGCACGAAGAAGTCAGGAGACAGGCCTTTGCCAACATATCTCGCTTTATGTCAAAAATCAAGGTGAGTTGGGCTCCCTGGAATTGCAAAGCTACTTGGTTAATATTAACGCTTCTAGGAATCGAAATACGCTGAATGGCGATCGGCTTACATACTGGCTGGTGAACTGCTTGAAACCGTGAAGCAGATTGGCCTTGAAGCGCCTGTACCGTGGATCGTTGGAGAGTGTGCCTCTAGCTGTCTATCCGTCCTCACCAACCCGATGCACAAATTGTATGGGAAGGTCAACAAGTTTCTTCAGAAAGCTCCTTCTTGGGAGCCGGAGAAGATCCCATCTTACTGGGTTGACAAGATCTTGCTGCATGAACCCGAATTGGATGACGGCTACTACGAAGAAATAAACTGGCTACTGGACCTGCTGATAAAGGGTATTCGGACAGAGACTGTAAGTATCTCCCGTCGTGTGCGGCCTCCGAAGCACTGCTGATAAGTTTTACAGGACATGGAAGTCTACCGCCGTGCAAATGTCTTTGAGCGTGTGCTTTCATTTTATGACTCGCCAAGTGCAGGAGTCTCATCCAAGAGAAAAATCCTCGAGCTTATGTATCGTGCGACCCAAGTGGGAGGAAGTACAACCTTGATCACAAGAGCGGCTGCTATCAGCTGGATCCAGAGCCAGGTCGCAGCAGTGAATGACAAGGAAGCGTCAACAATCACTGCCATAGCTCGCGCGGTGCGTCAATCCTCGGATCAGGAACGGGTTGATAAATGGAGTGGGGGAGCTTTGACACAGGCCGTCGAGAATATCGCAGGATAGGAGCGCTATGACGCACGAGCTTCTGGATTGCGTGTCGTTAATATGTAGTCACTATTCCGTGCCTTGATTGTATAAGAATTTAGACCTGAGCATAGCATAATAATCGAGCATAGAATGTTTCTTTCCCGAGAGATAATCAAGGCAATGTACGCAGTCGCAGTGTCGTGATGGTGGAAAATTAGGGTATATATTTGCCAGATTTACCAAATTCCAAGTCAACAATCCAGCCTTGAAACCATTTTCTTATTGATCAACTCTCAAAAATAGATGCACAAACACATGCAACAGCTGCCGGCGAGACCGACTATTGAGTGTTAATATCGATGGCTGGCGGGCAACACTGGCGACTTTCCCCTTTCGGCAGTCTCAGACCACAGTCAACCTGCGAAACGTTTTGTTGGCCAACGACCGACTCTCCTCCCCAGTCCTCCATCAACCCCCCCGATCACGATTCATCGCTTCCTGCTTCCCGCCGACTCCCTCCTCAAGCCCATCTGTTATTCCTCTGTCCATTGATACGAAGAGAAAAAGAAAACCCCATAAAAAAATTTCGAAATTTCCGGTGCCCCTCACCCGCTGCCAAACCTTCAACGACCTTGACCGATCGAAGCTCCGCCTTGACGCCTTGCCACTGGCACAGGTAGCCTTGCTTTATTTCCCCATCTCTGCCACACACCTTTCGACCACGATTCGTCCTTGCTCAAGCTTACTACTTGTCCTCTTTGTCACATTCACCTCTTCCTCGTTGCTTGCCTCGACACTTTGTCTCCTACTTCGAATGCTTGTGGACCAATGAGAACCGTGTAATACTGGGTCGATATTATCACCACACACTAAGCCATCCTCATGGCGCGACGTTACGAGATCGATGAGCTGCTATGGCTGCGCTCATCGCCTCTGGTCACCAAACCTGCAAGTCTACCACCGGTAGAGGAATGGATGGGGTACGCATTGTCTTTCCATGTTAATCCACATCTTGCTCTCTGAAACTGACTCCGATATCCACGACCACCAGCCCAATTCCCGAACCAACAACCCAACGGAAAACCAGTACAAACCCGAACAATCCAAATGAAGCGATTACGAACAGAAGACCCAGCCTTTTTGAAACCCGTCATATTTCGCGAGGCTCGAATTCAGGTAATTCACCGTCTTTCCCCTCTTCCCCCTAGGCCATCGTCTTAGCAAAATGCCAAGACCCTCGCTGACCGACTGAATTCCATGACAGAGGACATAATTCTTGGACCCCCAAAGACTGCCTTTGCTTCCGCATCTCGTATCGCTGGCAAAGGATCGATAGATACAACCGAACGGTCATCCAGACCTAACGACTTTGACGACCTCAGGAACGATCGTTTTAATTTCCGGGACAAGTTCTTCAAGGACCGTGATGCCGGAGATAAGGATTTTGACAAACGCGATGGAAAAATGGGAACTTTCACTGCCCGGCGTGGGGATAGGGACGATTGGAATAACGGACGCCCACGTCGCACCTTCGGACCAGATGACCAAGACCGGAAACCAAGACGGAATGGTGAATTTGATCGATGGGAAAACCGTGATCAGCAGCGAGATCGCGATCCACGGGATCTGAACCAGGATCGTGGAGCCAGAGATAAGGATGGCCGGTTTTTCGTTCGGAAAGACGAGCAGCCAGGGCGAGCTAGAACTGAAAGAACTTGGTTCCGTGATGACAATGCCCAGGATGGTATCGATCCCGAGGAAGAGAAGCCCTCAATACGAAACCGAGAGTGGCGCCGCGACAGACATGGTGCAGACCGTGACTGGACCCGGGGGGCCAAGTTTGAACAAGATCCTGAGTGGATGGATGCGAATGATCGCGATGAGCCCCGCCGCGTGCATACTCAAGAGGATTTCGAGCGCTGGAAGGAAAGGATGAAGGCCGGCTCGAATCCGCCACCTGCCGAGGAAAAGAAAGAAGTTCCGATTGAGCCCCCAACCGCCGCCTCGCAGAAAGCAGAAACTAGACCTACCGATGGTGAAATATTTAGCAGCAGTGGCGCGCCATTCCAGGGAGATACGGCAATGGAGCGGTTCTTTGGCTTGCTTAGTGACTCGAAACCTCCTCCTCCCCAGGAAGTTAGCACCCCTACATCTGTGGAATCCACGACTAAGAAGGAAGCCCTTCCTGGAAAGTCTATGAAATCATCTCGTTTTGCCGGTCTATTCAGTCCACCCCCAGAGAGCCCCGCCAGAGACTCGGACTCTCCTGTCGGATTCAAGTCTCCTCCTGCGAACAATCCTTCGTCCAGTGATGCCGACCAAGAGGGCTTTCAGCGCATCTTGCAAATGTTGGGAGGGAGTAAGTCACGTAATGCTACCCCTCACAATGATGGTGTACAGCCCCAGCACCACCCTGCTATGGTACACGCAGAACAAGCTCGAAGTGCGCTCTCGTCACCTTCTCGGGAGCCACTTGGCCGCCCAGAGTACATGGTGATGCAGGATAGTCCCGCACGAGGCATGGGCCCTGCTCTTCAGGAGAATATTCTGGCCCAGGAATCCTTCAAGGACCCACAGGCTCGGGAAAGAGAACATCTTCTTCGTCTTATGCAACAGGTCAAGATAAACCCCGTTGCAAATGTAGCACATGTTAATCATGGCCAACCACAGAGTGCGGGCCCGGCTCCTCCAGGTTTGTTGAACATGCCGGATGTGATGCCGCCCCCTCCCCCAGGACTTACAGCCCAAAAGACGCCAAATTTCTTGGATGACCCAGCAATTGCCAACATGCAGAGACCGGATGTTGACCAACTCCGGCGAAGACCCGCGGCCAATGGCCCACCAATGGGCTACTTTGATGATGTCCCATTTCCCCAAGGCAACCAGGTTCCCATCACCCCAGGTGGAAGTAGAGCTCCCCAGAGCCAAGGCCACCCTGCCATGGGTATCCAGAGACCTCCAGGCTTCGAACACTTGCCGCCTCCCGGATGGGCCGGTCATCAACTACCTCCACAGCAGGGTGGCGGACCAAGTCCTTTGGCTCCTCCGCCGGGTATCCCAACCCCGAACCGAGGAATCAACCCCAATTTCATGGCGAATGCAATGCCAATGCATGGAAACATGCCACCTCTGAATGAACGTGGCTTCCCCCGCGCTGCTGGTGGCAATGGAGCAGCTGGATTTGGACCTCCACCGGGTATGATGCCTCCTCCGGGATATATGAACGGTCCCCCGCCCTCAGGTTTCCCCCCGATGCCGCCCAATGCTGAGGCATTGATGGGACTTGGCCATGCTGCACAAGGCCCCTTTGGAGGTGCTCCTGGTCCACAGGGGCCACCACCTTCTTCCAGACACCTGTTGGATATGTTTGGCCAAGCTAGCGGCGGTGACGTTAGAGGCGGCATGATTGGTCCTGGACAGTTCAGATAAATGACCAAAAGGTCATGATGCTTGGATGGTTTTGTCGTGCCAGAACCCAAGCCAATATGAAGAGAACATATGGTGTATAGCGAAACTTCCCCGGTATTCATGATACCCCTTTGTTGGTGCATTTTTCGAGTTGATATGCAATTTTGATTGATAGCCCTCTAAGTTTCTGTATCTCTTTTCTTTTTCGTGTTTGCTATACGCGTCACGGAGGCTGGTGTTGCTGAACCCGCCGGAAGGAGTCTTTTGCCATATGCCAACACCGCGGAGATGATGATGGAGCATTGATCTTGGCTTCTTCCACGGCCATTTCAGATGCTCAATACACTAAATGATGAAAAGGATTGGACTTTAGCGGATGGATTGTGATTGTCGTCGGCCTTTTGTGATCTCAAATGCCATAAGATTGCCAATATTTATCTTCATTGATAGATGGCTGGATAGTTTCAATCTAATCTATTGCTTGGTTCATATATGTTATGATTTTCGTAGACTTCGAAGAAACAATGCCTTGGATGTGTAAGAGTGAACTGGTTGACTGTTTTGCGAGCGAGTCATCAGTAATCAAGCAAAGCAGTTGGGAGGAACGATGCCAGACGAAGAGAAGAAAAGAGAACCAACCTGCGCAAGAGACCAACCATCAACCTCAACCTTTTTTCCCATCCCAGAACTTGGTCTTGGACACCAGAGATGCCACTTCTTTATCAGGAGGGGTTGTGGACAGTCTAACACTGCCCGTGAGCACTGGGTGTTGGGGTTCGATCCAGTGAATGCCATCGACAGTTCTAGCACAGTTGACAAAGGTGGTGCAAAGCTGCCTTCCACTCTTCCCTTCCTTCTATCAGTCTAATTCTTTGTCTAACTCTCTCTTCTTAGATGGTCTCCTTTATGTGAAGATAAGATGATAAGATGATTGCTATTACGATCTGAAGGCAAGTTCCCTCCCTCCGATATTGCGCTGGACTGTGCTAGTCCCCACCCTCTTCTTTTCTTGATGAATTTCCTCTCTTTCGATATCTTGGGTATTATGGAGTGTTCCTGTTCTGCCTACTGCCTTGACTGCAGCTCACCTCTCCTATGGCTCCTGATGACCACAAACAAGTACAGCCAAAAAGCACATCTCAGGACGAGAAGCTCAGGTACGTAGAAACAAAGCGACAGCCCTTCTTCCTCGCTCTTCATTTCCCTCAATCTGACACCAAATATCAATAGTCAAGGCAGATCCCACACCGTCTACAGCCTCCAAACGAAAAAGACATACCCCACACAGCACATAATGCCGTTCTTCCAGACTTCTCATGAAAGCAAGTGGAACATTTTTTTTTTTGGATACATGACAATACTGCAAACACGCACATGTCAATGGCTTTGAACAGATACGGCTAACATGGGTCTTGTGGTTTTCTTTTTCTTGTTTACAGGCAAAAGGATCTCTCGACCGCTCGATACGATGGAAGAGATAGATTTTGAGTTGTGCCTAAATGTCGAACAGCATGTGAGTTACAGACTGTCTTTGGGGTTCTATCTCTATCATACCCAGGAAAAGTGTCTGTCCCGATTACTGACTATCGTTTTTGATGAAAAACAGGCAGCAGTCGCTCGTCGGGAGAAGAGGAGAATATCTGCAAGAAATAACAACACCAGCAAAACGAATAGAGAGAATTCAACAACTGCTGAAACGGACCGGATCAGAAATCCTAACCGCCCAGAAAGCAACGATGGTGATAAAAAAAGCGAAGGCAGCGAAAAGACAGAGCCCTGGTCCCTTCGACCAAGAAAGAGAACAAAAGTATCAGCATCTGGAAGCTGGAGAGAACCACATTCGACCAACAGCCATGAAAACGCATCCGAAGATCAAAATGAGGATATGGCAATCGAAGCAGCAACCTCTGATGAATCCCACCCGCAAACCTTTCCAGATACAAGCAGTATGATATCTGAATCCTCTGCCACAAACCTGAACCTCCTCCACCTAGACATGAGCGCAGTCAACATCGACGAAAGCGAAAATGATGACCATCGTTTCCCTCTTGACTCTCTCGTTTGCGGCGAGATGAGTGGTTTCAGCTCTCTCGGATCTAACAAGTTGAGCCATTTTGAAATCTACGAGGACCCTGATAGTATGGATATTGACGATTCCCATCTCAAGGCTAGCTGGCGCTCGTCCTCTCCCGATGAAGACAAGGAGAACGCAGATGACGAATACGAGCAGCTCAGCAATGCAGATATTACAATAATGAATCAAGAAACCAACATTCGCCATCGTATTTAGCTCTACGGCCAGATGGGAGAACACTACAATCAGGTACCGCGATGATGTGCCTGGGGACTTTACGTGGTTAACGATTACCGATTCATTTTACTGTACAGAGATATCGAACTGGATATTTGAATGGCACATGGAGATCGGATTATTCGAGCTCTGAGTATCATCAGAAATGTGATTGAATTTGTGGAAACGTTTGAAGCGTTTCATTTCATGTCATAACTAAGTGGGTATCTAAGTCAATCAACAGATGTGCCTCCAAATAAACATGCAGCCATTCGAGGATTCGAGTGTAATCCAATTAGACCAAACCTTGACTGCGAATAGACAAAACTCCCTTCGAAAATGTAAAATCCGTTTTCCTCTGATAACTCCTGGTTTTCGCAACTCCCGTCCCAGATTCAGAACTCTTTATAGAAACTAAACGCCATGGAATCAACGGCAGAGAACACAAGGGGTGTCCATCACTAATCATCTTTAGCATTCGGGATGATTATGAAACCACCTCCCGCATGCTCCTGAACTGTCCCGAACATTTTGATTAGTTCCATGATTGTCTCTCTCCCCTCCAAAACGCCTTCGCCAATGGTCCCATTGATCTCCTTTGTTTTCTGTCTCTGGAGCTTCATGATTCTGTCGTCTACCGAGTTTCGTATGACGATCTTGACAAATTCAACTTCTCTCTGTTGGCCGATTCTGTAAATCCGGCTGAATGCCTAATCTGATTTGTTAGAATAACTGAAACTCAGAAGGCAAGAAGATTCGGCTAGGATGACCAACTCACCTGTTCTTGAATGGCCTCGTTCCACCAGAGATCAATCAGGATGCATTTGTTTGCCATTGACATGTCGAGACCTGTTCCTCCAGCTCTGAGAGAGGCAATCAATATCCTCACATCGGATTTGTCCCTGAATTCCTGCATATTTTCGTCACGGCATTGCATGGGCATTTTTCCTGTCAGCTAAAGGGAATCAGCAAAGTCAACTCGTTATGCAATTGGAATTGCTGCACCCACCATGGTATGCTTCCAACCTCTCCTGTAGCACATCCCCGACAGGACTCGGACAGAGCCTAGAAACTGTGTGAAAATGACTACTTTGACGCTTTTGTTTTTTCTTATCCAGCCTGCAATCAATTTTTCTGTCTGGGTCAATTTAGTGCCGGGCATATGAAGAGCAACGTTTGTTTTGTCCCAATCAACTTCGTCGTCGCCTTTTTTGTCGCCTTCTTTGTTCTCGGGTTTGTTGTTATCTTTTTGCTGTGTCTGGGACTCGTCACTGAACATTCCATACTTGGCCATGCCGGCTTTCTTGCTTTGTTTTGGCTTCTTAGATTTTCCTCCCTTCTTTTGCGTTGTTTGCGTTGGAGGATCAGGAAGCGACTCTTCCACGTTGCTGTTGTCCACAGTTCCATAGCGAGCGGCTTCTTGGATGGTCACATTGCACCTCATGCATATTGGCTTTCCATCCTCGGGGGCTGTGCTTTCCTTGAGAATGTAGTAGCACTCTTCGCAGTACAGATGCATACAAGACGTAATGACTGACGCCTCCCCTAGGTATCCACAGCTAGGGCAATTTCCTCTATCGAGTCGCTCAACCCAGTTCTCTTCCCCATGTAGTTCACACATGAACGCACGGAACTTTCGGATGAGCTCCTCTCTATCCCCAGTAAGGTATTCGTCAAGTTGTGCTGACTCGTCGGGTTGCGCTTGCATTGTGCCGCCGGATGTCGCTGGCTTTGGCGGGATTGGGAGTGAATTTCTCAAGGCTGCTAGCCACGTTGCAATCTTGTAGGACGGATGCTCTGTGTCTTTTTGGTTGGATAGTGCGGTGATTTCTCCCATGACCTCATCTGTCAACAACTTTTTAACAGAGAATTGTGCGGTGAGTAGATGACTGGAGAACATGCGCAGCCTTAAAATCATAACTAGGAAACACTCGATTTGGGCTATCCTATCGTTAAGTCCAACAAGACCTGCCATCACAATTAGCTAGTTTTCAATGCCCGATGCAGCGCTCTGTAATCTTACCATTGACTTCAGCGATACCACCCAGCTCAATCAATGTGTAGATCTTTCGCTCAACGTCGCAGAAGTTCACCGTAATGGTTCGTTCGCTAAGATCCGGTAATTTGATGATTGGCAAAGAGAAGAGCCTGCTTGAATGTGTCCGACGGGTGAGGATAGATCGGAGTAAATTTACGAGGCGCTGATGGGATTGACCATCGCCGGGCTGTTGTATAGAACCTTTAGCAAGATGTTGCTAAATTGGGAGAATTTCACTTACATTGTAATAGTTCTGCTTGAAGTCATGGTACTGGCCGATGCGCGGAACTTCCAGGAACTGAAAGTATGTATAGAGCTCTCTGACCCAGCTGCAATTATCATCAGTTACAACAGCTCTCGAGGCAGGTGTTGCATTGTGGAAATTTCAAAGCCTTACTTGATTAGAGGCGTCCCAGTCAAGATCCATTTGTATTTCCCAGTAAGGGCCCGGACAGCAATTGAGGTCGAAGATGAGATGTTTCTGATCAAGTGTCCCTCTGTGGGTTGTTAGTGAGTCCGTATAAGCATGATGGACTCAGCTCAGTTCTTACCGTCGAGAATGATTCGTAGAAACTTGATCTTGTGCAGAGGCCCAACTTCTTCTTCGTAAGCCTGTTCCCACAGCTCTGTAATTTCCTTTTCACTTTTGTTCATGTTGCCCGAGAATTCAATCTTCGGATACGACCTTCGGACTTCTTCATAAGTAGTAATGCTGGCAAGATGTAAGAAAATTGACACGAATAAAATGCCATCCGGGATTACTTACACGACATCGTGAAGCTGGATAGTGCCGACGATATCCAGGGACGACAGTCTTGCCCTGGCATGATACTCAAGCACCCTTCCAATGGCGCTGACGTCGCAGTGCCTGAGTACTTGGTCCCTCCTTATAGAATTAGAAATGTACCAGAATATCAAAATAATATTCATGGGGCATACCAGTGTGACACAAGATGTGATGGAACAACAATCAGTGTTGTTTTCACTGGATCATCTGGATCTGATGGCTTGCCATCAACCACGTTTGCTAGACTGCATTAGATCGAATGGACATGATGGCATTTCAGACCTACCTAGAGCCTGGAGTGTCTTTCCAAACCCCATAATATCGCAAAGAAGACCCCCGAATGGTCCTTGAGATGAGTTTTCTCGGTCACGCTGCTCGAGTCAGATAGAGTCTTTAGACTGCGTGAATGTCGACTTACCATGAAAGCTGCTCCTAAAAGCTGATTTCATCGTCATGTTAGAAACATTCCTCAAACAGGGACAGAAAGAACAAACCTGGTGATGGTATAAGGTTGTCCGCAAGCCTTTAATTTTCCATCCGCCTTGATCATCACTCTTCGCGCTGTGGGTAAATCTCCTTGTCGCTGCCAAAACTTTATTCTTATCATCCTTTACATCTTGATCCGCATTAGGTATACTGGCGATAAGCTCGGCAAGTGCTTTGTCTTTGTTCCTTCCAGCAAGACTTGGGATCGCTGGGAGCGAGGCGTTGGCGGCCGCATCTTCAACAATACCATGAGCAAAGAGGCCATCCAGGTAAACATCCTGTCCTGTGGTCTTTTGCTTCTTGCGATTGCCCTTTCCTCCGGCATTTTGTCCAGGATTCGGGCCAGTATTATTGGCCTTGCGTTTTCGTGTATTCCCGGGTTCTTTCTTCTGCACTCTTCCGAGAGCAATATCGAGACCAACCTGTCTGCTTCTCCGCTTCTCCTCTGCAGAGATTCTATTCTTCCTTTCCCGTGGCTTTGACTTCGGCTTGTTGTGACCAATTGAGCTTGATGGCCCAGGGTCACCATTGCTAGGTCCCTCATGAGGCGGCATTTCTGACTCCTCGTCAGAGCAAAAGAGCGCTTCATCATCTGTCGAGCCTGATTCGTGTTCTTTCAAAGCCTCCCGGCTTTCCAGTCGCTTTTCCCGAGCTTCTTCTTCCTGGACGGCTGCTTGATAGCGGATTGTATCTGCCAATGTAGGTTCTTTGAGGCCCTGATACCAGGCTTCAACTGCATGAAATCTATATGGATTAGACAATTGTCAACCACAACATCATCGTAGTACTTACTTGGATGTGTCTTCCTCTACCATTGTGAGGTCGTTGGTCCAGTCTAAACCACTTGTCTGGGTAAAAGAGCCAGCCGTTTGTGTTTCAGCAGGCTCATCGATGGTAATTGGCAGAACAGCATCGGTCACCTCATCTGGGATGTTCGGAAAGGGTTGTAATGCAGATTCGCCATTAAACTCTGGCATAGACAGCTGGGTGAAGTCGAGTGGCAGAGAACCAAATGTCTCATTCGACAAATCAAATAATGGTTGAGTGGTGTTTTCGGTGTCGAGTATTCGAAAAAAATCGGCTTCAAACTCCAAACTCGGTACGTCGAGTACTTCATCGAATACATTCGGGATTGACATAGAATTGTCGTTAAAAGAGGGTTCGATGGGTGTTTGGCGTTTCCCTGAATAAAGCACAAGAGCCATTGGATTTTCATCTGCTGGTTCGACTATTTCGGCCGGTTCGTCTTGCTTGATCTGTTCGACCTGGTCGTTTTGTTCAGTGTGCTCAGCCTGCTCTGTTTGCTGAGTCTCATCAGCTTGCTCGGCTCGTTCAACGTGTTCGGCTTGCTGGATTGATTCGACGGGTCTGACTTCTTCATCTTGCTGGACTTGATCGTTTTGGTCAGCTTGTTCACCGTGCTCAGCTTCTTCATCTTGCTTGGCTTCTTTGTCTTGTTCGATCTGTTCATTCTGTTCAACTTCTCCAGCAGGTTCTTCGGATTCGACTTCTTCAACCTGTCCTGCCGATTCAATTTCCCCAACTAACCCAGCCGGACCCTGATCATCCTCTTTATCCAAAACCGGAGGAACAGGAGCATCACCAGCTAGATTCTTCTGGAGGGAAAGAAGACTCTTCGCGAGCATCCCCTTTGACCTGGTTTGCTTTCGGCGGGCATCGATGGATTCAAGCAGTTTGTCGTTGATGTCCAGCTGCTCTTTCTCGGTCTGGTCGTTTTGGGCGTTTTGGTCGGGTTGACTGGGTTGGGTATATTGATCGGCTTGGGCATTTTGAACATTCTGGCCATCCATTTTTGCGACTTTGTGTGGGAATTGGAGGATTGAAGGGAAGAGACGAGGAAGAAAAGAGGGATGATGGAGTAGTGGAGAGATAGATATGATGGGGGAGGGATTGTACGAGTGGTAAGAATACAAGGTTGGGAAGGTGGAGGGAGTTAGGAAGAGGGAATCTAGAGATATCCGTTGCTTACAGGCTGTTTTTGATCTGTAAGAACGAGGAGGTGGTGGTTGGTGCTAGTGGAGAGGAGAAGGAGTGGCGTTGTAGGAAGATCAAGAGGAGAGGGGGATAGCTGAGGGTATTCATATGATAGGAGAGATCGAAATGGGTGTTGAAGAATGGGATTATCGGGGAGGCTAAAGGAAAAGGCGGAAGGAAAGGAGCCATGGACATAGTTGTAGAGGGAAGAGAACGAGAGAGGGAGAAAGAGGCGGTTTATATAGCCACGGGATCGGGACTCGAGGATGGAGGTGAGAGATAGAAAGAGGTTTTCAAGTCAAGGATAGATGAGAGGAAGCTTTATACAGTGATAGAGCTCGGCCCTCGAGAGAGATATGAAGGTGTTCGAGGCTGCGATGGTGAGATAAGCAAGTGAGCGATAGATGAGATGAAAGTGCAGTGAGTTGAGGTGTTGTAGTCTAGAGATCAGTGCGATTGGAGGGTATATGACAACACGAAGATGAAGTGAGGTGAAACAAAGCGTCAGTTGATGAGGTTTGAAAGTCAGTATCTTACGACCTCGAGAAAGAGAGAGAGAGAGAGCATTGAGCTTCTGCCAGTAAACTACGTTTCGAATCAATGAGTAGAATGCATACCATAATATCATAATTTTTATCCTGAATTTGAGGCTACACCTCAGACCAGACCTATTAATCGAATATAATATATCAACAGAAATCCACATCGTACTCAGATAGCGAAATCACAAACGGATATCATCATTCATTATCCCTTGGTCCCATGTTACTCCCACCTTATACATGCTAAATCTTTTACCCTGCCTTTGGACTAAAGAACACCGGAATAGGAAAATCACATCTCTTCGACAGCGCAGTTGGGGTGCAGGACGTACACGATCTTGTGTGTTTCCCCTTCATCGGCATTGACGGTGTCGACCAGACCTTCTCCGCGAATAGGCATAAGGATGTTATCCTGTGGGAGATTAGTAAAAGAAGAACATGAAAGACAGATTGGAAAAACAAACCTTGACCATTCTCTTCAAAACCTTCATGGCCAAGTCACGCTCCCGCTGCAAATCTTCCTCGTTGTTGAGTTCAGACTCGATTTGCTCCAGGTACCAGACAATAAGCTCTTCTTGCTCAACACCGTCACCCGCCTGGGATTCGTCTTCGTTGACCCTCCTAACGACCAGGTTCAAGATCTTCATGTACTTGTCGTAGGTAATCTTGGTCTTCTGGCGGGCGGGCTGTTGCTCCACATCGTCACGCATAGGGCTGTCGCCTTCTCTATCGCGATCAGCCATCTCTTGGTCTTCCTCATCGTCACCCCCGTTTGCATTGGCAGCCTCTTCGTCATCATCGACTTCAACATCGTCCTTCTCGACGGTGACAATACTCTGTCGGAGGAGATCGAAGGCTTCGCGAACGAATTTGGGCACAATCTCTTCCACACAGTTGGCCTTGGCGACAGCTTCGGAAAGACGGATCAAAGATTCGAGCTGACGAACGGTGATACGGTAAGATGATCGGCCCATGCCTCCTTGCGCGTCGTTTGCACGAAGCTCCTTGTATTTCTCAACAAGCAAAGCCTTAGCCTCATCAGTGAAGACAGGCTTGAACGTCCGGGCAAAGCGGATGTAGCGTTGCAATTGTTCCGTGCTGAGTTCTGGTTGAACAGCCTCATCCCGGTTCATGTGGACATTGACGATGTGGTCAGCCAGGTTGCGGTCCACGGCTTCATTTGGATCATCTCGAATGACGAAAAACAGATCGAATCTACTCATGATAGGAGCACTGAAATTCAAGTTCGCCCGTAGTGTGGTCTTGGGGTTGTAACGACCACCAATGGGATTGGCAGCGGCAAGAATCGATGCACGAGCATTGAGGGTGGTGTGGATGCCCGCCTTTGCGATAGAAATTGTTTGCTGTTCCATGGCTTCGTGAATAGCGACTTGATCGCTAATGTCCATCTTGTCAAACTCGTCAATGGCACAGATACCGCCTCCGTTCTGGATAATTGTCAGCTCTAAAAAAAGCAACTATAGAAAGTTCAGGTATAACATACAGCAAGCATCAGAGCACCAGCCTCGATGGTAAATTCACCAGTTTCGGCATCCTTCACGACTGAAGCTGTCAAACCGGCGGCAGACGAAGCCTTACCACTAGTGTAAACTGCACGGGGGTGTAAAGAGCAGATATATCTGAGATAAATTGTAAGCAAACTTCAGATCATAGAGGGATAAAAAATTTGGCTGACTTACTTCAAGAACTGACTCTTACTTGTAGATGGATCACCAACAATGCAAATGTTAAGATCACCACGAAGCTGCATGTTCTCCTGTTCTGTGGTCTTGCTAACACCTCCAATCAGCTGGAGAAGCAAACCCTTCTTGATCTGCCGGTGTCCATAAATCATGGGAGCGATAGAGTCCACAAGTCGCGAGTAGATATATTCCGAATGAACAAGAGCCTTCAAGTCCTGGACCTCGTAGGGGCTGAGACTATGCAGAAGAGCCTCTTGCGCCTTGTCGTCATCGCTCTCAGGCTCTTGGTTTTGATTCAAGGAAGCCAAGATATTGTGAGATTGGCCGCTCAACTGCTGGTTCGTTTGCTGACCAGGAGTTGTTGCGTCCGGAGTCACCATACACGAGAGGAAAGCCAATCGGTAAGTCAGATCTCTAACACCCAGCGCCTTGAGACCAGTCACACCTCCACCTCCAACATCTCCAGTGCGGAAAGAACCGTTATCGCGGACCGCCTCCGGCCGCACTCCAGGAAGCCCTAACTGGCTGACATCAGGGACCACAATGAGAGTACCAGTGAAAACACAGCGTTCGCCAGCCTTTGCACGGTCAACCATTTCACCTCGCAAAATGACGTCCATGGTGCGGGGCATGCTGCCGGTAGGAATCTCATGGGATGATTCCTGCAATTTCACCTTTTGCCAATCAACAAATGTACTCTTTCCAATATCTAAGCGCCAGCCGATGCGGTTACCACAGGTGCTGTTCGGGCACTCTGGGGGTTCTGTGTAGCGGAAAGTTTGCTCGACATTGGGAACGACTGATTTGCACTGCTCGCAAATGAAGGTTCCAAGAGACAGTTCAGGTCGAATTTCGGAGGTTCGTGTGATTGTGCCGGAGATGGAAAGCAGCTTGCCAATCTGGGACGTTCGGAGTTGTCGTAATCTGGATACCAAGGGCAGGTTATAGAACGCCAAGGAGAACAATCTGTCCGTCTGCTGGTGGCGTGTCTTCTCACGAATGTTGCGGTCCAACTCAGGGTTATCAGATATACTTGCATTTGCGGCCATTGTCGTTGCCTGCGAGGAGCCACTGCCGACCTGTCGGTGAGAAACAAAGTATTCAGGCTCATATTTAGCAATCAGATTGTGCAACGCCTTTGTGAGGAAGGGCTGAAATCGATAGTATTGGTTCGCAATAGCGTCCGCCAAAATCTGGTTATCCAAGGATGTCAAGTGTGTAAAGTCGACATAGAGGGTGGACAGGTCAAATCTTCTCATGCCATGGATTTGTGCGATATAATATTTGTCACTGAAGATTTCCGAAGACGGCGGGGGTGCAGACGACGACGGTTCCTCCATGAAAGTCTCCAGCAATTCCTCAAAGGCCTGTTGCACCTTTTCACCAGCCAGGTCGACCACCGGGGGCGGGCCGGGAAGGTAGGGGTTTCGCAGCCGGCTCGCGGTCGAGCTGTTAGGGCCAACAACCTGGTCATCGGGGAAGGCATTCATATCACTCATCGGGCCATTGCTCTCGGACGGTGGCTGTGGTCGGGAGCTAGGGAATTGGTCTGAATTCAGGCGTCTGTCGTGAGAGCCAGCCGTCGAGCCACCCAATTCGGACTGGAGAACGGCGTCAAAGAGGGACGACATGGTGGGTAGATCACGGCCAGAAAAGGGCCGCTGAGGGCGTTGAACAGAATTGACAGGTCAAAGTCACAAGGGAGGGATACACAATATCGTGAATGTATTAGCGGGTGTGTTTGGAGGCTCACAACGTTGGTGGTGGTAACCGATCCCCTCTGCGGGCGTCTTTTGCGATTTCTCGTTTACTTTCTTCTTTCAGTGAAACGCGTGGGCTACGCGAACGCGTCGGTGGAATGATAATGCGCTCCGACGCGTAAAGTGCTTTTTGGAGATTAGCTAAGCATTCCGATTATGTCAGCTTTTCCTCAAAACTGGCACGCTCTGGTGGGGCCAGTAGCAACCAAGCTATCCCTGCAGGCTAGCCTCTCTGGGATAAAGGTCCTCGAGCCCACATGCCATCCACCAAGCGGATTCGTTCCACGAAAAGTCTGGCAGCCAGTGAAGAGCTGCAGGGATTGTTTTTCCGGGCCTAGCTCAAAAAGACCAATCAGACGACGCTCTCAGGCCATTTATAGTTTCGGTGCGAAAGAACGGGGGCTCTTCAGGACCCACTGCCGTGCTCTGCTCATAATAAGAAAGGGCAACTTAGCCCATGCCGTAGATAGTAGACACCTAGCGATCAGGTTGACCTGCTATCCCTGCCATGACCGTTTCCATCAGGGCCCTATCTCCTGGCAGAACCGAACTCTGCAATGACTACGCTTAGGGTTCATCGCGCTGGAGGTCTTCAGGTGTTCTTCATTCGATATGCGGTTGTAACAAACAACCTGCTATACTAGGAATCAAGGAGTCTTCTGCCTCCAGACGGCCCGTGATGTCTTCAGGCAGCCCCCCAACTGCCGATTCTACGCCTTCAGCATCCAAGTCGGTGCTGTCGGACTCAGCCCCTGAATTGGGCCACCCAGGTCAGTGCTTTTGTGGGTTACTGGATTTTGACTCTTTCGCTCTCAGCTCACGCTGGACACTTGGAATAGAACGCAACGATGAACCCCCATCCCCTGTCAAGCCAAAAAGGCGAAGACGGGCTGCGGCTTCGGATGAGAAGCCCGTCAAGAACCAGATGTTCTATTTTGTCGATGCGAGTTCCTCGTCACGAGAGAAACGGGCTCATGTCATGCGCCACCATGTTCAGGAGAAGCGGAGGCAACGAAAACACTCGACTGCTGGCGACAACGACGGACACTCCCAACGTAACCCCTGGCAAGGGAAATTAGAATACGGCGACAGTGATGAACTGCATAGGATACAGAGAAATAGCGAAGAGATTGCTACTGGCAATAGCGCTTTGGTATGACCATCAACACTCGGATACCGCGCGGTTTTTGTACGCAGAAATCGTTGGATCTTTTGCACCTCTTATCTTCTCAGTATGCGCTGACGATATGTTTATTTCTTAGCTATCAACAGGACCTGTACCCTTGAACCCCGCTTCCCAGACAAATTCACCATTTGCTTCGCCAGTCACCATGCTCGACGCCTCCCGAAAGGACCCTTTTGATAGTTTACCCATGGTATTGGGTAAAGATGATCTTGAGCTGGTTGATTATTGGACAAACAAATTGACGTACTGGTCGGGTCAAAATATATACATGAAGAATGCAGTTTTTCGAGCTGCAATGAACCATCCACTTGCTTTTCAGGCAGTGGTACTTACATATTGTGCCCGTTGGAGGGCGCAGCTATACGGTGTAAAGGATTGTCCGGCAGTTCAACATCACCTTGGTCAGACTACCAAAGGCATTGAGGATATTTTGAATGGGTCGATTCACATTGACGAAGACAACTTCGCAATGGCATTGACCGGAATGGCACTACAAGAGGAACGGTTTGGCAGCAAGGAAACTGCCCAACGGTATGCAGATAAGGCTGTACAGGTTTTTCGACCTCTGTCCGGGAGTAATATCCCGGTCGAGGTCTTTATGCATTACGTGCGATATGTCATGATTCCCGCCAACCCCGTGGTTGACGTGGATGGCCAACGGTGGCTCCTCACGTTTCTTCGCGGCGCGGAAGAATTGATGGCAGAGCAAAGCAAGGATATATATATCTCGACGGTTCCCCAACGCCGAGAATCATTTCAGATGGAGGGACCGTTATTCCCGCTGCTTTCCAGCGGGCCTTGTCCATCGCAGGTGCCGCACGACTCGCGCATGTATGTGGTGCCGGGAGCTCCGACTCAGGAGATTTGCCGGACGGCAGCATTAATCTATATCACGGCGGCGTTGTGGGATTATCAAGATTCGGCGAGCAAGACCAGCCGGTTCCTGGCACATCTGTCTGCGACCGTAAAAGCACATAGTCTGGACCGGTATCCGGCGGTTGAGACGTTGGTCTGGCTGCTATTGGAGGAAGGACACGATGCAGACCTGAAAGATCCGGAACGGGGGTGGTCAACGGGGGAGCTGCTGAAGACGCACAAGCAGCTCCGGCCGGACCTGCAGTTTTATTTTAATGAGATACTGATGAGTTTTCTCATGCTGGTGCCGCCGATTCGCGGGATCGATGCGTTTGAGAAGGAGTTGCAAGCGACCGTGGGGTGAGATGATAGGACATGAAGTGATTTAGTGTATTGTACGTGATGGACCGCAGGCGGCAATTGATTTGATACCATCCTACCCTACCCAGGAACTGTTGAAGGCAACCAGCTGGAGAGCGTGCCTGTAGCAATCACATGGATGTAAGCGTCATCGAGTGGACTGCCAACTACGGTAGAGATCGTGGTGGGCGCATGGACCATGGATGATCGGGGTGGAGCAGGAGAATCCCAATGTTACGGTATGCATACAGATTGCGGTGAAACCGAAAGAAATAGTAATAGTTAATCACATTTGATGATGATGCATGATGAAAGACTCTGGGATCGACAGATGGACAGAGCAGATCACAGTTGCAGCCGTGTTTAGCGACCCGTGTCTCTGACTACTGACTGACTGACTGTAAGCGAGAAAGGCAGTAATAATAATAATAATAATAATAAAAGTCTACCAGTGGAGTCTAAACCAAATTAAAACCCATCCCTGCCAAACGCACAAATAAAAGGCCTTGAGATAAAATTTCCCATCTAAGCGATTCGCCACCGGAAAAAAGGAGAGAGCAAAAAATGACTGGAGCCAAGTCAGTCGGCGATAAAGTCAAGGCAACTGAACGCATCCATGGATGTAGTACTTTTAACACGGCGACTAGTTGGCTAGTGTGGCTTTAGTTGGGAGTAGTTGCGAGGTAGTTTACCTGGACCCGGAAGAGGTTGAGGTTATTCGATGTGGTTACTGATTAGGAGGGACGAGACTTCAATAGTGTTGTTGGTAAGGCATGTAATAATTATCATCCTGATGTCAGACTTCATACAGGTACAGAATAATAATGGAGGTAGAAAGGTACAGACTACAGAATAATAGGTACAGGGACAGGGACAGTAAGGTCAGGACAGAATGTGACTATCCATGGTCCGGTCGCCGTCCATGTATCCCTGTTAACACACTGAAATCCAGAGGAATAAAGATGTGGCTGAGATCTGTGGCAGTACGATCGGGCATCTCCTAGACTAACAGACTAACACCATGGATTCATCATCAACCATCATCATCTTCCATCATCGACTGTACCTCGATGATCAGACTCTGACCTGAGAACGGACTGAACCACGGCTGTCCTTTGTTTGGCTCTGGTGGAGAGCTTTCTCGTTCCTTTCTTTTCTTTTTCTCTTGTCACTCTTTTCTCACACATTCCTGGTGGCTGGCTTGGTATCTCCTGCTGGGTCCAATTACGCAGTCTTTCTGCTAGAGTTTTCTGATCTGGATCAGACGCAAAAAACGTGACTCTTTGGATTTCGATTTGCCCCTCTTCTTCCTCCTTCGTCGTCGCTCCCTTAAGCTTTTTCTCCCCTTGATCCACGATCGCTCGGTTTCCACTCGGCTTTCCTTTTTTTTTTTTTATCGCTTCTCCCTGCGAGGATTTTCAATCTTTTTTTTTTTTTTGTTTTCATTCTTTTGATCTCTCTTTTCTTATGCTTCCTTACCACTTAATATACGCTTATCTAACTTAATTCTCCTGAGTCGGGTTTGACGCCGTGGATGTTGAGCCACTTTCAACTCTGAACTCCTTACTTTAACATCGCGAAGAGTGTCATCTCTATCGCTCTATCGCTACAATGGCCACCTACGATGCTGGCCTTGATGGCCTGCATCAATTGACTCGTCGTGCTGTAAGTGCGATCCGACAACACTGAAGATGCGTGCGTCGCGTAGAATCATTGCTAATATCAACAGGACGAGGATGTTCAAAGCACCAGCTCTTCGGCCTCCGGTCTGGTCAGCACCTTGGTCGTTGCGCTGATTCCTGCCGTCGCCTTCGTTATCCTCTTCGTGATTCTCCGTAAGAGTCAGCGTCGCATGTATATGCCCCGTACCTATGTGGGCAGTCTGCGCGAAACGGAGCGCACCCCCGATTCGCCTACTGGTCTTTGGGATTGGGTTGTTAGCATGTACCGCTTGCCGGACGAGTATGTGCTGCAGCATCACTCCATGGACGCCTACCTCTTGATTCGCTTCCTCAAGGTCGTTTCCATGATCTGCTTCGTTGGCTGCTGCATAACCTTCCCCATCTTGTTCCCCGTCAACGCTACCGGTGGAGCGGGCAATCAGCAGTTGGATCTTCTGAGTATCTCCAACGTCGGCGATGGCAAAGGTCGCTACTTTGCCCACGCTTTTGTTGCTTGGATCTTTCTTGGTATGTACTAGAGACTTGAATGGGTTGAATCGCTCTAACTTTATTCCCAGCTTTCGTCTTCTTCACCATCACCAGAGAGAGCATTTTCTACATCAACTTGCGTCAAGCCTACTCCCTCTCCCCGGCTTATGCTAGCCGTATGTCGTCGCGCACTGTACTCTTCACCGCCGTGACCGAAGACTATCTCAACCGGGACAAGATCCGTCGGATGTTCGGCACTGAAAAGGTGAAGAATGTCTGGCTCACCACCGACACCAAGGAGCTGGCTGAAAAGGTCGAGAAACGTGACGATGCCGCAATGAAGCTCGAGGGTGCGGAAACTAAGCTCATCATGATGGCCAACGGCAACCGCCTCAAGGCTTTGAAGAAACGAGAAAAGTCAGGCAACACCGAGCCTCTTCCCGACGATGAGCTCGCCCAGGACTCTTGCGAAGAATCTGGATCTGTTGCCGCCCGTTGGGTCAAGGCGTCCGACCGTCCCACGCACCGACTCAAGATGCTCATCGGAAAGAAGGTCGACACGATCAACTGGGCTAGATCGGAAATTGAACGCCTCACTCCGGAGATCGAAGAGCTCCAGGCCAAGCACCGTGCGGGTGACGCCAAGTTGGTCACTTCGGTTTTTGTCGAATTCTATCACCAGACTGATGCTCAGCTTGCTTACCAGTCTGTGGCTCACAACCTTCCTCTGCATATGGCACCTCGGTATATCGGCTTGGATCCCACTCAGGTTATCTGGTCGAACTTGCGCATCAAGTGGTGGGAGCGATTGCTTCGGTACGGTGTCACAATGGCATTTGTTGTCGCCCTCATTGTGTTCTGGACTATTCCCGTTGCTGTTGTTGGTGCCATCTCCAACATCAACTCCCTCACGAACAAGGTCCACTTCCTTCGTTTCATCAACAATATGCCATCCTTCCTCATGGGTATTATCACCAACATCCTTCCTACTGTTTTGCAGTCTATTCTCATGGCTTTGCTTCCAATCATCCTTCGATTGATGGCCAAATTGAGCGGTGACCCCACCTTGGCCGCGGTGGAATTGACCGTCCAGAACTGGTACTTTGCCTTCCAGGTGATTCAAACCTTTTTGGTTGTCACTGTCGCGTCTTCTGCCTCCAGTGTTGCTAGCAAGATCGCCAGCAACCCTTCCAGCGCCGCTACGCTGCTTGCGAACAACATCCCCAAGGCTTCCAACTTTTACATTTCGTACATTATCCTCCAGGGACTGTCGTTCAGTGCTGGTGCGCTCCTGCAGATTGGTGGTTTGATCGTTGGCAAGATCTTGGGTAAATTGTTTGACACAACGCCTCGTAAGATTTACACTCGCTGGTCTTTGCTCGCCGGTCTGGGATGGGGAACTGTTTACCCTGTTTTTACACTTTTGGTGATTATTGGTGAGTTTGTTTTGATATGATAGTTGAGCTATTGCTAATGTGTTCTAGCCATTACGTACTCATGCATCCAGCCCTTGGTGCTTGGATTTTCGACCATTGGTCTGTATTTGTTCTACTTTGCCTACCGATACAACATGTTGTATGTGTCCAACGCAGACATCGACACTCAGGGCAAGTCGTTCTACCGCGGACTGCAGCACATCACTGTCGGTTGCTATCTGCTCAACGTCTGCTTGATTGGTCTGTTTGCCATTGGAACTGCGTCGGATCCAATTTCTGTTGGTCCCTTGATCCTTATGATCATCTCTCTGGTTGCCACCATCTTGTACCACATGTCTCTCAACAACGCTCTTGAGCCATTGATCAACTTCCTCCCTAAGAACTTGGAACACGAGGAAGAGGCTCTCCTGTCCAAGGACCGCAAGCTGGGCAACTCTGTGGACGAGAACTCGGACGGCCCCAGTGGCTCCCCTCACGACAGCGGCGTGGCCAACGTTGATTCTGCCGAGAAGGGCTTGACCAACGGAGAAGGCAATGCCCCTGACCCGAACGCGAACTTCATCATCAGATGGTTCCGTCCCGACATTTACAGCAGCTACGAGCAGATGCGCCGTTGGGCCCCGCGCGACGAGGCCACGACCTATCCTCCCGAGGTCGAGCGCAACGCGTACTTCCACCCCTCGGTCAACTCCCCTGCTCCTCTGCTCTGGATTCCTCGGGACCCGATCGGAGTCAGCAAGCAGGAAGTCGAGCACACCATGAAGGTGATTCCCATCACCGACGAGGACGCCTGGTTGGACGAGAAGAACAAGATCTGCTGGGACATGGACAAGGGCGAGCCACCCATCTACGAAGAAAAGATCTACTACTAGTGGGTTATATACAGGGTGGTTGTCTCGTATATATCGATTTGGATACTTGTCTTTTTGATACCCAGTTCTCAGTCAGCCTTGGCTGTATATCCTCGGTGGTCTAATATTCTAATTCTTCATTCAGTTCTATGAATGCATCTCTTCTATGATTAATTATGTGTTATGTTCTTGTGTTTCACGATGGACTTGATGGGTGTCCCACATCATGATTGCACACTATATAGCAGCATGCAACCTATGTTTATGGACTCTAACTTGAATCGTATGCTTGTCGCGTAAGATAGCAATAACCAACCAACTAAATTTCCCTCACCCTTTAGTCGTGAAGATAACTATTTTCTGCATCTAAATATGATGGAAACCTCAAAACCAGTAAACACAATCGGACACTTTTCGGCGACCTGCAAGACAAAACCATTACAATCTAAATGCCATCATAAAAAACTACCTAAGTAAATAAATAAATATAATACAAGCGCACGTCCATACGGTATACAAGAACCCAACCATCGGGTTATGATGTACATTCTGTCATTCTGCAGGGGTAAGACAACCCCCCAGAAAAGAAATTAGTCTGCACGACCCGACAAGTGGGAATACAATATCCACCAGGTATGAATATCATAATAAGCGTAGCGTACTGTGTAGTGTAGTGCGGTAGGTAGTAGGCAGTTGCCGTGTGGGCGACTGGGCGTAGCTGAAAAGAAAGGCAGCGGGTGGCGATAAGTTCGGAATCCGCAGACGATTATTTCCTTACATGATGGATTGTCCGTGTTAGTCTTGAAGGTTGCTTATCTTACTTGCCTATGATATTCAACTGTTGACATGCATGTATCTCCTCGGTACTTTTCTAAACATGTAGACAGGTTAATAAACTCAAATAAGAAAAGCAGAATATATACAAACACGGTTCTGTAGTGTAATGGTCATCACAGTGGATTCTGATTCCACTAATCCCGGTTCGATCCCGGGCAGGACCTGATCATTTTTTTTTTGCTTGCTTTTTCTTTTTTTCTTTTCTGGGCGTTCGTTGGGTTGTCTTGTCTTGGTCTTATGGTTTAATTTGCTTTTTTCTCGGTGAAAATATTCGTTCGTCATTTTGATGGGTGGTGCCCCTCATTTTGTCTGCCTGCATTTTGACTATCTTTGGTGTATGTAGGTAGAGGGCATCATTTACTTAATAGGTATCCATGTCTTAAAAAACAAAAACAACAAAATATTCCCCTTAAAACCTACATCCAACACCTAAAGACAAAATAAAAAGTACCTCAAGGACCCCGTTCATCAACAATATTAAGGTAATCAACCCGACGCAACGCGAGCGAGAAAATAAACTCCAGATCCCCCAAATCGGGACTCTCTAACTGGCCCATCGAAACGCTCGTTCCTATTCCCCTTTTGGTTGTCTGGCATATGCAGACACTTGCCTATCTACCTATAGGCTTTCAGACCATGACGGGCTTGAAGGCAAACTGAGTTTTTTGCTAGGTTCTGCAGAGGGGATATGCCTGCCTGTCTGTCTGTCTCGGTCCTACTCAGTACTGGGATACACAGGCTTATTTAGGTACAGAGTAGTGAGTAGTGAGTGCATATTTAGCTTATGATTCAAGTAAGGCCAAGTCAAGTAATGTCTCTTTTCAGGTTTCCTACACGATTGGCCATTCGAGAGTCCATTTCTTTATGGAGAAGTTTTGTCAGACAAGACAAGGAACACGACCTGATTCAATTCAATTGGGCAGTTGGGCTTGGGCAAGAGGGGGGGAAATCCCTCCCGGTCCGAGCTGCAGTAGCGCAGGAAAATGTGTATCATGTAATTTACCACGAATTAGGGGTTCACAACTCCGCTTACTCCGTGTTTCCGCATGTACGGTAACCGTACGTACCTTACCTTACTAATACGACGGGATGTCGAGGTCACTGGTATGGATGGCTGCTGTCGGCGCTGATTGGCTAGGAGGTCGATTTCCGGGCTTGGATTTACCGAGATGGACCCATGGTTGGTGGATGGACTATTCCATAGTAGTGGTAATTTTGGGCTGTATCTGGCCTGATCGAGTCGGGATTGGCGTTTGTTTTGTCTTGTTTCTGCTGGGTTTTTTGTTTTCCACGTGCGGCGATTTTTTTGTCAACTTGCCGAGTTAGTTCCGTTGTCCGTCTGTCAATGCTGAACTGGATACAGAGCTACTGAACGCTTGGTCATGTCACACTACACAGCACAAAGTATACAGGTAAATATGAGAAATCGTATATATGCTAATTGATTGCCAAATTAAACGCCGCCAACACCATGCTCCCAGCCAAACTCATATAGACCGGTCAATGAAAGATGTATAAAAAGAATGATAGTCCAAGGGTATTCAGAATGAAAGAACGGAAACCCGCTAGATGGAATGCCTTTTCTCGCTCAGGGCAACGATCAAATGCTTCCACAACGCTAAACGCAAGGAATGGGTGCTGAATCGCTCAAATAATTGCAATATCAAAAATGACAGATGAGGCTGCTTCCTCGTCCTAGGCTCTGTACCGATTCCGATTCGCTCGGAACGCTGTTAAATCAATCGATTCGACTGATACGTCTGACGAATCGTCCACTTCAATCGCCCCATCGGCCGACGCGAGGGGTTTATCATCTTCAGCTGGAGCGTTGGGTGTTTCTTCCTCCCGGGGATTCTGCTTTTGTTCTTCTCGCAGTCGCTCTACCTCGCTGGTAGCCATTCTTTGTAGAGTTGTGAGTTTCCCCTCCACGCTGCTCAGTTCGGTTGAGCAGGTTCCCACACGGAGGAACTGGTACGCTGCCGTCTCACACATACTGTGGGCCAATTCGAGGTGTTTATCGGCAGCATCAAATGGCGACCCCTTTGGAGGGCCTCGGTTGCGGGCGCTGCGTATGTTGGGTAGTAAAGCGGCCGGACTATCTGCCTCTCCTGGCAGCGACGGTGGTGGTCTCATATTCCTCATACCAGGTCGGAGACTAGGGGCCGAGAGCTGTGACATTTTGCCTTTGCGGATGTTGTTCCTTGCCGTACCGATATCCCGGACGAGTTCCTCGAGGGTCTGCTGGGTATGGCCGTCGTAGTGAATAATAACATTGTGTCGCAAACTGACCACATTTAGCGGGCCGTCGGAAGTACCAGAGAAAGCGTCGTCACATCCACGCTTGAGCGGGTTCTCAGCAGAGCCAGTCTCACCGGCCGTTTCTTCAGTCTGTTCAGTCTCTTCGGCCTCTTCCTGGTCCTGGGTCGGCTTATCCAAATCTTCGGTATGAATCGAGCAGACAGAACTGTTCTTTCGTCGACGCGGCTTTCTTCCCTTGGAGTATTTCTTATAGGCCTCGCTGTACTCGGCGTTTTTGGCGGCAGTGTAAGCGGCAAGCTCAGATACTCGATTGATCCAGGATGGAACGTTATCCGAAAGATGGGAGAAGGCTCCCAAAGCATCCATCGAGCGCATGTTGTGGCCAGTAGCTAGTACTGCCACGGTGTGCTAATAGGTTGAGTATATAGTAATCAAGTAGAACCGTTTCGTCGTGAGTTCGTTATAGAATTGAGGCTGAAATCCAGATAGAGGGACCAAGAATGAGTCGAGACGAGAGAGTTGGAAAGGGAAAAGAGGCCGTGGGCGGCGTTGCAAGTTGGCCTAGTAGATCCCCATGGATGGTGTGGAGAGGGGACGGACAAAAGTACGGCTGACCGGGGTCTGTCGGAGAAGACAGACCAACTGAAGACACGGAAAAGGCGACAGATGGTTGATAAATAATATACTCGACACTCAATACTCGATACTCGACAGTGGACAGTGGACAGTGGACAGTAAGAGCCGAAAAGAAGCGAAGAAGCAGAATGGTGGAAGAGCAGAAGAGGAGAAGAAGAGGAAGAGCGAGAGAAAAAAGAGGGAGAAACGGACGGAAGACGAAAAGGCACTAGTGCTGCGTTACCAGTGGGTACGGGCAGTACGGTACCGTACGGATACCGTCACACATCCCTGTTTCGCCCGACGGATGCTGGGGATACAGCCGCTGTCAGGCCGTATTGTTCGGTTAATACCGTTTGTCCACCAAAAGAGAATCAAAGTGCGAGAAAAGAGGGCATCGACCAATGCCTCTGAATCCCAGCTATACAGAGTACCTATAATATAGACTGTTTTATCCACTGGAAGATCAGGGATTGCATGCTTGATGAACGACTGACAGCATGTCAAAGGAGCGGTGAGACGGTTCCTCGTGGAATTCATGCATGAGATGCTATCGTATGATGATTCTCTACCTCTACAGAATACGAAGATAAAGTAGAATATTCTATCGATCTCATTAATATCCATCTACCGATTGATTTAATCTCTAGGAACGATATTAATATTAATATTATCGAAAGAAAATAGAATAATAGAAAGCAGTACGCTCCACAGCACAATCTCAAGACAGAATAGAGACGGTGCATGGTAAATCTCTCAACGGCTGCTTTGCCTAAGACAGGCCATGACACGTAACGGTTGTGGGGTTGAGGATAAAAGAGCCTATGAGACAGGCTGAAGAAGATGCATCCAGAGTCTTAATCTTTAGACTCGCCTTGTTAACTTATTCTGTTAAGCGACTGGAAGATGGATGTCGTCCGAATACGACGTTTGGGGATCAGCGGAACCGCCCGTGGACTGAGACGGCCCAGCCCGTATTTACGCTGTCTTAGTATTCCATCTTTTATTTAATTTAATATTATTAGTTATTAGCTATTCGTATTATTTTAACTATTATTATTATTAGTGGGATATCATATTATTATTGCTTTCATGTGATGATATCAGACTGCTTTGCCACCTCCAGCTATCACGAACATCAACATCCTAATAAGTACTCTTCATCCTACAAAGAGGGAAAGGTAACACATTCTGTCTCACAGCTAGCCCTTCCCAAGCCATGCTGTAACCATACCTCGAACCGCTGCATATTTTATTTCCCTGTCTTGTCTTAATGGCGCACAAAACACCCACAATTCCAAATACCTGATATACCCCACTCTGCATACTTGAAGAAAAATTCGAATCACTGCATACGCACTGAATAAATGGTAGGTAAGGTAGAGGCTAAGGTAGTAGCAGTAATGTGATGCGGAGAGCTACGCTATAGTTACGTTGTATAGTACCTACAGTAGTTGGAATACAACCCTCGCACAAATGGATACGAATGGAATGTGCGGAGTACATATGATTATGATTCATCCACCATCAGATGCATCTACCGTAGGCTACAGCTCGGAGTCAGCTTTCCTGGAATGAGTGACTATGTGGAGTTAACAGGCAGTAGTACGCAGTGACGAGGTTGGGAAATAGAAATAGCAGGTGAGGGCTCATATTTCAGCTGGTTTGGGGGGTGTGTGGGTTGCGTATGCCCGTATGTGCGTGCGTCTTGCAGTAGGCTGGTTTTCTGGCGTTGGTGAGGAGAAGAGCATTATGAAATGGACGGACGGAGGATCAGTAGTATCTGTAAATTGGGGTGGCTTCATATCATTCATTCGTGCTCATCGCTCATAGTAATCCCTTAATCCACCACCAGATATATGCAGTGCAAACCATCTCACCTCCGGAGCCCACGATTCCTTCAATCCAAGCTGCCCCATCATGGCCATTCCTGCGAACAGAAACCCACGGGTTCAGCTGAAACAAGACAGGTCTCCTTTCCTAATTTTCAGAAGATCAAAAGATACAAAAGCCGCTCATCCCTAGCCGCTAACCAGCAGACGATGTATACAGGAGCAGATCCAACCCAAACCAATCCCAGACAAGCCAGAAAAACCACCAGAAACGCCAGGAACGCCATCGCTATGCACCATAAATTCATCCAATCCAACAACCGAAAACAACACCGCAAGTCCTTCCAGGAATGACGGGACTACAACCCTTTCCGCCAAACCTCCACCCAGCTGTCCAGCGTCTCTTTAGCAGTTTGAAGAGACTCGATCGCCGCAAGCCATTTGGTCTCACAGTCCTCAAGCCTCTCCTGCAATTGTCGACTGAGAACTGTATGCATGGACAACTGGGCGGCCCCCTTGAGACTATCTGTCGGGAAGGGGGGAAAGGCTTGCGCCCCGAGCGCTGTGGCGCGGGGCCTGGCAGCAGCAGAATCCGCACCGGGGACTGGAGCAGCGTCAGAATCAATCTCTTCGACTGACTCGTCGCGCTCTTTGTTTGGCTTGCGCCCCCGTTTGGATCGCTTCCGTGGAGGTTTGGTTCCCTCCGCGGTGCCGGCCCTAGCATCGCTCACAGCGGCTGCGGCATTGGAGTCAGAAGCGTCGGCTGGTTCTTCCTCTTCTTCTTCTTCTTCCATATCGGCGAGCTTGCGCTTGCGACGGCCGCCTCGGGTCTGCCTTTTTGAAGAGTCCGCTGGCTCGGGTTCGGCTGGACGGGGTTGAGACCCTGTAGGGGCCTCTTCCTCATTGGTGTCTTTCCACCGAACCCGAAGCGTCTTCTTCTTTTATGGGGGAATCTGGTCGTCCGCGCCCACCTCGGCAGAAGTGTCGTTGTCATTGCCAGCGTCATCCTTGACACTGGCGGGTGCCTCTGAGGTCTCACGCTTCCGCTTTTTCGAGGGAACGTTGGACGCTATAAAGACAACCAGTTAGCTAATCATCACCAGCAGACTGACAAGAAAAAGAACCTACAATCCCCCGTGTCAATAACACGACGATGCGTGCAACGCGTCTTCGACCTTTTGCAAGAGGCACACGCCGGTGTCAATTTTTTCCCAACAGCGCCTTTGGCCGCTGTTGGGCGGATGCGCCGCTACAAAAACCATTAGCATGACCGACTCCAAACCCCCGAAGATTATCACATACCTTGCGGCTATCAGTCGACTCCACCATCGCCTCCTCGCCCATGTCATCTCCAGTGGCTTTCTCAGCCTCGGACTGGGGCGCTTGGCCGGGCCCGTCAGTGTCAGGGCCGGCAGTGGCCTCTTGTTCCTGCGTGGAGGTTGCCCACTCAGCCGGGTAGCTGGTTCTTGCACAGGAGATGCACATCTTGGTCACCATGCCGACGAGCCCTTTCTGGCGAGGGGCGCCGCACTTCTGGCAGGGCTGGGTCTGCTCGCCCGAGCCCATTCTGAGGAATGCCAAGAAGTGTCCTGTTATAGGTATTAGGGGTGAGGAGAATAGGTAAGATGAGATGGGCTGACCTCAGTGGCTGTTGTGTTGCTTGTCCAGAGGAAGTGCCTCGCGTCTGACCTCAAGGTGAGGAGAAGATAAGAGAAGAGAAGAATCATAGAGAGCTTTGGAGCTCTGGAGATGACGATTGCTGTGAGCTTGAGCTTGAGCTTCAGCTTGATGCTTGGTAAGTCTTAAGGAAAAATCAGTTAAGAGGAAGATGAAGATGGTGGGAGGAAAGGGAAGAAAGAGAGGGAGACAGGGGATGAAAGGAAATTATATAGGAGTAATTGGGAGGCTGCCAGGAATAAGCGAGAAGGAAATTCCATGGGAAAGAGGAAAGTTCTGTAACTGAAAGCAATTCACGGAGTTCCATTCACTTGAATTGGGTTGAAACAAGTGAATCGATATCAGGTGAATATTGTCCGGACAGAAATAGACGGGAAGAAACCAGGCTTTCATTATCAGAAAAACAAAGAACCAACAAAGAGCTTATTCTTTGTGCTACGTTCTTTGTCTGATACTTGAAACAACATCAAATGACATCTTCATTCTTATATTTATTCTTCTGTATACAAACCTCACGGCCACAATTCAACCTCCTCCCACTGGCCTTTCTTTTCGTCCCACGTCCAATTCCACCGCTGTGGATTCTCATAATCCGACACATCCAACTGCTCAACTTCCTCTGGCCGAATAACCACTACCCTGAAGTTCTTCCGGGCAATAGGATCGAAAATATCGTCCACCTTCTGACCGAGTTTAACATTAGGGTCCGCAGGAACTTGGGATCTGGGTTGTCCAGGAGGAGGACTCTTAAATGAACCTGTCAAGTCAAGTCAGCCTATTCCACGATTGAAGATATCACAGCAGACAGAAACATAAAGAACACCAACCTCTTAAAACAGGCGTATGATTCGCAAAATAAGTCGTCACCTGCTTCTCCCACCCCCAATCACCCACTCTCCCCTCCTCACCATCCTTCACCCTCAATCCCCTCTGAATCTCCCTCCTCGCCTCATCCTCACCTTCCCCTCCCCCAGCATCCCCAATCACAAACGCAACCCCCTTCACCCGCCACTGACTCCCCACATCCTTCAACCAAAACACCCCCTCAACCACGTTCCCGGACGCCGAAAGCTGCCCCACCTTTTCCATCCTCACATCCGTCGTAAACGTAATCATATCACTCTCATACACCCCCGGATTCCCGCCCCCAGCTTGCTTCTCCAGCGTCTCGGCCGCGCTGGAATGGAGATCGGGGGTTGGGAAGAAGCCGCGGAAGCCGCAGACGCGGGAGCGAGGGACGGGCCGGTTCTGTGCGTCGTGCCCGATTGTTGAGAGGAGGAATTCGCTCGAGCTGTTTTTGTTCAGGTGGGTTTCGAATCTTGTGCGCCAGGGTGCGGCTGATGAGGGGGCTGTTGCCATTGTTGATGCTGATGCTGATGCGGTGGGATTGAGATGGGTGATTGGGGATCGGAGGTGCTGGATAAGCGAGGTTATCCTTCTGGTGGTGTTGGAGGAGGCCACAGTGATAACTATCTCTATAAAATTGAGTCTGTTAGATGACTCAAGGTCTCAAAGCGGGGTAGTAGACCAACGCAGATTAGGTCCTGATAGAATACCTGGTCAGTCTATAGAAGCATGAACAGCAATGTAAACTCCAAAAGAACACTTTATAATGCTTGACAATAAGGAAAATCAATAGCTGTAGAATAGAAAGCCAAATCAGATCGTCGTCAAAGCAATGACGTTGTGATGTTGCTGGCACGTGCAATTTTCTTATCTTATCTGATGATCTGCTCATGCCAATATGACAATGTCCAATCGATTGAATTTCAATAATTTAGTTGATTTACTGGATTTCGTGGGATATTGAGTTATATTGGCATATGTTGGTAGTGTGGTTAAGCCAGAAATGCTGTCCTTTCTAATTAGTATTGTCTCACACTTATCATAACCAGAAGCATGATATATATCAACCACGACCAAGAAACATGAGGCATTGCAATCTCATGAAAATAACAAGATATCTGAAAACCGAAAATGTATTCTATTCTGTTCAGAATGCTAAACCAGACTTCAAATCCATAGAACACCGTATCGACAGCCCCCAACCACGAGAAAAGAAAGCTTTTATGTATTGTGCTGTGGTCAAATCTCCGATCCCGGAAAAAAAAAATTACCAATATTCAAATCGAGATGCCATACAGGGCTTCAGAAAGCCTCGGAAGAAAAAAGAAAGATAAAAAACCGTCGCTTGCATCACATCTGCATCTCTGCGTCCTCGTCCGCTTCGGCACCGAGCGCACCTCCTGGTATCCGGCCCTCGTTCAATTCCTTCTCTAGCCTGGTAATCTCTTGCAAGCTCTTTGCTTCGCGGATCATCTTCTCGACTCGCTTTCTCTCTGCATCGGTCAATTGGACCCGGACGGCCTTGTCTGCCGGTGCCCGGTCCGCGGGGCCTCCCGAGGGAACGTCGAAAGTGTGCGACTTGATGCCCATGATCTTGGATGCAAGAGCCGATGGTTCCTTTGCAGTACCGAACAGTTCCTCGGCCTTGGTGCGCTCAACGTCCTTCACTTTCTGGTAATCGAGGAAGCGGACACTCGGGATTCTCCAAATAACCCAGTACCGATAGTTCTACAGAATTAGCATAGCCCAAGAAGAAATTCAAGAGCACCCCTCTCTCAACAGGGAAAGCCACTAACCTCCTTCCTCGTCACCGGATTTTCCATCAACACCAAATGCGTCAACTTCGGCAAATTCCGAAGGGGATCCAAATCCGCCAATTCCGACAAGTTATTCGAGGTCAAAACGACAGTCGACAAATTCGGCACCGACGAAGCCAGTGTAGGCTGGATATGCTTGACCCGGTTGCGCGCGAGGAGAAGGGTGTGAAGACGAGGGAAAAACGGGAAATTCCCGAGGGATGAAATGTCGTTATCCGTGAAATCGATCGCATCTTGGTCCTTTTTTTACCGTCAATAATCGAACCACCAAATAAGATCAAGAAAGCAAGAAAGAGGGAGAGGTACCTTTGCAATACCCAAATTCTCAATCGCGGGGATCTTGTGCCCTACACGACTCAAAACACAAAAACGATATCAATCCAGCTCATTTTAAAAGTGTAGTATCTATTCCTTTCAGGTTGGTGTGTAGAAACGCACCTCGGAGATCCAGTTCGCGATCTTTGATCGGGTTGATATACGAGAGGGAGTTCTGAATGAGCTCGACGGTCAATCGCATGGCGGCGGGTGGGACGAGGTTTCGGTCTGATCACGGTAGTTTTTTGGTTTATCGGGGTATCATATAAAGTGTAAAGCTAATAAAAATGTCACAAACAAAACAATTGAAAATCAAGAATAACCGTGAGAGTGATTGGGAAGCTGGAACAGCGAAAAGAATCGACGCTGGTCGCATGGCCGAATTGTTGAAGCAGCATTACGGAGGACGGCTTTTTGCCAGGCGGTGAAGATATCAGTCAGCACCACGTGATTTAATACGGACATATCGATGAAGCACTTTTGCTTCGTGGACAATTGGAGTAGATATTTCCTATGTATATTAGAAATATGATGAATTAAGAAGGCAAGAGCAAGAACAATTTAATTAAGGACATTATTGCATTTTCTGCTATAAGCATTCAAGATTCTCAAGGATAGCCAATAGTCGAATCCATAGATACATAACTCTTTCATTATAAGATATAAATCGCCAGAATCATATCAAATGAGCGACAGCGAAGCAAAGGCCTGAACGGCAGCTATGTACATCCTCCGGAGTCCAAGCTCATATCGTACGAAGAAGCAATCAAAGGTAGATATTGCAGGCGGAAGTAATCCACAAGACAAATCTCCAGCTGCTTGCGGGAAGGACTTCTTCACCGGCAAGTCAGTACTAAACACCATACCAATAACTCCAGAAAGGTATGCGATAGAGAATAAATTCATATAGAATAACAGCGTCATCATCCAGCAGCATTACTCGTGCGCCAATGGCGTCATGTTGGGGGATTTGTGATGAGATCTTGCTGGACTGCCAGTTCGGGAACGCCGACCGTTGTTGGTTGGACCCAAAGCCAAGGGGGCCAAGTGATCCCTACCCTCGGTTCTCACGACCAAACCTGTCCGATCCATCGCAGCGGCCCCAGCACCACCGCCAGTGATACCCAGTCCGATGGTTCCCGTGGAGCTGTTGTCCAGCCCAAATTTCAGGCTGGGTGTACTGCCGGCCCAGCTTGAAGCACGCTTTGGTGGTTGAAAGCCCGAGTCGGCGTCAGACGGACGACCACTATCCAAATCAGTTCCATCGGAGTCACTTCCTAGTTCATATTCTGGGGCACCGTCTTCCAGGACGCGCTCATAGGAAGGTGTTCTTCGGCCAAAGAAGGGCAGCTTGCCCCCAAACAGCTTCCTCTTCTTGGGATGGTTCGGATGAGACGGCCCCCCATAGAACAGGTTGCTGATCCTGTGGTACATTCTCAGACGACGAGATCGCCCACAGAGGAAAAATGCTGCCAAGATGATGATGAATAGGAAAAGCACAAACCCAGGGATTCTGCGAGGCGAGTCACCGTCAAAGAGCGCGTCGTGCCAATGCTCGCCGTGAAGGGCCTGGGGATTCGGCAAAAGTTCAACACTAGGGTATTGGAAATCGCTCGGGATGCCGGCGACATTGCTGCCAAAACCGACCGGAAGAGCCTCTTCAATCTCCACTGGAACTTCAGAGGATGCATAAAGAACCATCTTGCCCAGAGTCCAGCTTACTTCCGTCGAGTCAATCTTGTTCACAGCCTGGAAGGCATCAAGATATCCCTTATTTTTCCCATGCGATAAAACTTCCTTAGTTCCATTGTGACCGGAGCCAGTGGTATCCTCTAGTCCCACGCGGGGAACTCCGATCCCATTGTGCAAGACATTGATGATCCACGAAGACTTGAAGCAGACCTCGTAGGCAGACTCCAATTTGAATTTCTTCCCAAACTTCTGAAGAGACGCACCATTCTCAATGGCGTCCCAGTCCTGCGAACAAAACGACTGCACCCGTTCTTGGTATGTGTTGAAGTCGTATGCCTTGTCCTTGTGGCCCATTTCAAAAATCTCATGGGTCGTGTGCCAATATTCGCTGATTCCGATGAAATGGTTGATGTCGAAATCAATTGCCGGAGTATGTACCCCGTGCAAGAGACATGGCTGATCCAAGCAAGGAGCATCCTTGTCGAGCAACGGGAAGGTCTGCCGTAAACATTCGTCGAATCGCCCAGTTCCTAGCAGCGAGGTACCGACAGCCTCCCCGTCCGATGGGAGAACCTTCCCATCGATTGTGGTTCGGAGTCCAGCTGGAAGGCAAGGGTCTGGTAACTCCTTGACACCTTCACCACCACTACCGGTTTGAAGAGCCTCCAAATACCGTCTCCGAGCCTCGTGAACTCCAAACTCAAGCCATGATGTAACAAAAACTCTGTATTCCTGCGATGTGCCATCCACATTGCGTAATCGGAGCAGCTTCAGATCATTCGCGTGTTTCTCGGTCTCGGTAGCATTGGGGGCGAAAGCGATCTGGGCGGACGCACCACCCATATCCAGAAAGCCGTACGTGTGATGCCCTTTGCCATGATCGTGTTTCCCGGGGGTATCGAAACTGCCCATCAAATAGTTTGTCGCAATCCATCCATACAGTCCTTCTGTTACTCCTGGGATCACTTGAATATGGACGCCGCAGTCGGGAAGCAGGAAGTCGGAATTGGCACGAGCGTACGAGCAGATCTGATTCAATAAAAGGTCTCGTTCCACATTTCCCAGCAATCGCATGCCGGCCGTAGCGAGGAGGAAAATTGGGGTATCTCTGATCGCATCCTCAGGCACGATTTCCTGAGCATGCTTCAAAAGGTCTGCCAGGTGGTCGGGACCAACCTGCTCGGGTTTGTCGGCGAACGAGGATACACCTACGGACGCAAGATTAGCAACTTGGCGACTGGGGTGGAAGCGGAGCCGACCATTGGATACTCACCGGGATGTATTTTCTTTGTCCATGCTTGTTTGGTCTTAATTTCCGGCAACGACTTGAGTTGAGTTACGTCGGCACCCTTCCTCGCAATGGCATTATTCAGCCATCGATAGATGTGTACTCGAGTCCCCTAGTCATCATTAGAGGAAATCCAGGAATCAGATCAAAGCGAACAACTCACAGACGAGCCCGCGTCCAGGACTACACCATAACGCCCTAATAAAGCAAGAAGCGTTAGATCAACGAACCCCAAGACAAGTTGACACAATTAAACATTAAGAGACAGAAACGAAAAATCCGACGTACATTTGCCCATTTGGACTCGAGATGAAGATTAATATTAGTATCTGCGGTGCATGGCCGCCAGGTGGCGATTTGCGATCAGCGAGTGGAAGGGAAAACGATGCGGGTCGAATCGAGGGAAAACCGTTATCGCTCCCGATAAAAGAAAAGGGCTAAAAAAAAAAGGAGGAGAGAGAAAAACCGGTGGAAGATGGAGGAGGGAAGCAGGAAACAAGAAACGAATGGCTTGCAAAAGAACGCAAGAGAGAGAGTCAAAAAACAAGAGAAGAAAAAACTTTTCCCTGAGAGGGGGAAAGGAAGACCAGAAGATGAGGCTTGAGGGCGAACGAAGGCGAGGAAATTAATGAAGGGGAGAAGACGATAAGCCCCGACGGGAACGGCTGCAAAGGACGCGACAGGCTGCCGATCAGGCCGGAAGGGGAAATTTGGATGACAGCAGTCACTGACAGTAGTATACAGTAGTAGTATACAGATAAAATGGTACAAGTAGAGTAATAGATCTCTGATCATAGATGATGAAGAAGAATATCATCCCACATCAATATCCCGTACTCTGTAGTCTGTACTATGTCTACTGCTCTGTTTGTGCTCTAGGTAGGTAGTAGTAGAGTGTCTTACGCAAACAGCATTCTCAGACTCAACCTTAAGACATAATCATTACCGTATAAAAATGAACCACTCATTGGCTCTAATTTCAGTCTTATTATCCCTGTAATATCCTGCATCCATCTGGCTAATATTCAGTGGAATCGAACAGCTGCCACTGATGCTGGGAATGCCCAACCCCAGACCCCACGATAGCAGCAATTATCTACCCACCTAGCGACTCGCCAGGGAACATAATTCAATAATATGTACTCCATAATATCATCAGATCAACTCCTGTTCATCTGATTGTTTCTGAGTAAAATTATTGAATATGGCCTCTTCTAATAATAATGGAACTCCATCCCGGCCCTTGACGTAAGCTCCTGCAGCCCATCATGCCTGCATCCACCCGCTTGATTGGCGGAACGGTCTCTGCCCAGTTTCAACAGTCGTCATCCTCTCCCCTCCTTCTCCCCACCCCCTCATTATCCTCTCTTCCATCACTCCATCAGGGATTAAGGGTCTGATAACCCTGATTACTTTGATAACAGTGCCGACTACCCTGTTGATCGTTTACGCTGCGATTAGGTGGGCTTGGCTTTGTCCATGGCAGATGTCATGGGTAGCGGCTACGACTTGGAATGTGGCTCTAGTGCTCTAGTGCTCCACAGAAACAGATTATTGCTCAAAATAATAACAAGCTACAGCACTAACCAACGGTAGTACACTTACAGTATCACGACTTATCGCTCGACTGTTGCTCATCCTTGGCTTCGTGGACACCCACCATTGTCTCACTTGTTGACCCAAATACCACTCCAGAAGTGCTGTCAAACATGGTCCAGTCCCCTATCTGCTCATCGAAAAATTGAGCTCGATCCAGTCCAACCCTTTCCGATGTCTCATCTACCCGCAGTTTCATCCCCGGGATGAATTTGAGAATGTACAGCAGAATGCACGTCACTGCAAAAGAATATCCCGAGATGGCACACACTTCCGCCAGTTGTTTTCCAACTTGAACTCCATTGCCGTCGATCGCTCCGCCTGAAAAGGTCGCGCCGTCTAAAGATGATATGGACTCGCTTGCGAAGATGCCGGTTAGGAAAGCTCCCACCATGCCGCCCACGCCGTGGAGCTTGAAAACATCCAGTCCCTCGTCAATGTTGAGCCAGTCGTTGACGTCCTGCAAAAGCGCACATACAACGCTGGTTATGAAGGCGATACATGCTGCAAGCCAGACGGAGACAAATCCAGCTGCTGGTGTGATCCCGACCAGACCGGCAATGGCTCCTTCGCAGGCTCCTACCAGGGAGAATTTCCCTTTGTGTTTGATGAAGTCGACCAAAACCCAGCCCAAGACCCCGATCGAAGCCGCTGCATTGGTGTTGAACACGACCAGCATGGCACGCATGTTGGCGCCGAGGCTGGATCCACCCTAAGATTTATCAAATCAGCCAGGGATCATTACCAGATAAGGAAATATTGAAAATGTACATTGAATCCCAGCCACCCGAACCAAATCAGGACAGTTCCTAGAAATACCATGCTAGTATTATGTGGCTTTCCATGTGATGGTTCTCCATGGTGCTTTCGCTTTCCCAGGATAAGTGCATATGCGAGGGCGGACCATCCCGAAGCGATGTGGACTGGACCACCACCTGCAAAATCCAAAGAGGGTAGGTTATAGAGCCATCCGCTGCTGCTCCAAGTCCAGCGGGCAAGTGGACAATAGACGATGGTTGCCCAAAAGAAGCTGAAGATTAACGATGGCAGGATATTTCCTCTTTCGAAGGATCCACCGACGACAATCAAGACCTATCAATGTCAACATCCATGCGCGAAGGAATAAACTGGGATGACATACTGTGCAAACACAGAATAGAAGTTGAAAATAGCAGAAAACAATTTCTGGAAGGACGGGGGAACCGGGCGAGGGAGCCACCATGACATCCATCAAGCCAAAGTTCTTAAGGCTGCCGATGAAAGGCCCTCCATCCCTGGAGTACGCCAGCGAATAACCCCAAAACATCCATTGGAATGTGATACTATTCTCATCTCAGTCTCGCTCGACATGGTGAGCCATACTCAAGTCAGAATACTCACACCGCAACAATCATCAGAGATTGAAAGAGTAACGCCAATGCCGACTTTCTCCGTGCCAGACCGCTATAGAGCAAACCAATGCCCGGGATGATCAACCAGACAATGAACGCACACGTTGTGATGTAGACATAGTTGTACTCGAAACCGACATATTGGGCGTTCACATCAACCTTGGTTGGATCGCCACCCTTTGGCATGGATGCATTGTATACCGGCTGCAAACACGAAGATAAATTAGCTAATATCTCACGAGAGCCGAGCCTGTGGGAACGTACCTCAGCCATGACAGAAACCTCTGTTGGAAAAATCTAATGTGGTTGCTTGAGCAGTGTGGGCACTCCCAAGCTCTGGTTTCGACAGGAAGGACATGTTCATATAACATCCATCAAACGGATCTCGTCTTATCTATACCCCACAGTTGAGACCATGTTGGAGACGGTTCTATTCCCTTGGCGTGATGTATACGAACAAGCCTGAGATAGAATATCGACCAACACACGGCCACATTGTCAACACGAAGTGAAGCAAGGAGCCTTATCTATAACAGCCAAGAAAACTAGTATATCGAATCAACAAAAAGAAATTGGACAATAACAAAACAGAATCAAGAAAACACTAGCTTCAACAGCCCCAACTTATGTCCATGTTCGCCCATCAATCTGTTATCAGTGTTGAAATAACCCAGGATATTCCCCGATAAGATAGGTATTTGGAAATCTGGCCGGGATCGTATAACCATCTGGGGTTTAGATCCAAGTTCGAGCTGATGATATTGGAAGTCGAATGCGCGGGGATCACAGGTGGTTATTGGTGGTAGATAAGGAAATTAGAGGTGATCTTGAGATGAAGATCGTCATGATATTAATTCTTTTTTGGGCATTGGATCTGATTGAGAATTAATATGAGAATGGAATATGAGATGATGTCATTCCAATAGTTTGGAAGGGAATGTTGGATACTCATGTATGAGTGGTGTGCGATGCTATGAGATAACAAGCAGAGTGACACGACTAGGCTTAAGCAAGGATATCGATATTTGAGGCTATTATTTCGATATGAACCATCGCTCATGTGATATTTCTAATTCTTCCAAAGAGTAGTCATCTCTAAAATCAACATGCCAACTGCCAAGATGATGGCAAAAGAGGTTAGTCGACTTCAACCTTGACCAACACTCAACAACACCACACCTTCTCTCTCTTTCACCATGCAGACACTCACACTGATCTCAACTTTGGACCCTGTATGATTTCCGATGTCACAGACTGATTCATCACCTCCATATTGATTAGGATAAATAGTTATCCACACGGATATGATATCCGACGCACCCCAAGATCGAAAAAGAGGACACCTCCAACACCCCAGATTGACCAACCTCTCAGAACCCTCGTTTACAACAACATGCAAACCATCCCACGATAGCTGTGACCGAGGAAATAATCCGCTTCCCCCTCGGAAAACAAGCACGAATAAAAGAGGGGAAAGTCATGTTCGGCAGTCATCTCGGGAACTTGACAGCCCAACGATATCATCCCATCACATCAGGCTAGGCGGATGCTTTAACCACCTCGTGAAGCTTATGCACCATGTTGTGGATACAGCGACGGGCTCAAGCCTTGATCGTCATTTCGCTTGTGCCTTTTCGGGGGCTTCGCTTGCAAGCTTTGATCGCTTCTTTTCCCCAGGCACAAGATGACATCCCCACAACTTTGCCCCACAAAGTATCGTCATAATCTGGGGAAGATGCGACTACGGACTGCTACGTTGTTTATGCTCTATGGGCTAGATATCTCAGCATGCAGAGCGGTGGTTATTACTCCTCGTCGATAGGCACAGACAGCTCCATGCCAGGTGACTCAGGCAGGATCAATGCTGATGGCTCCATCGGTAGGTCAGAGTAGGTCAGATAGCCGATGGATCCTGTACTACAGCTGTGCTAAACTATTTGCACGATACGGAATCTATTGGTTAATTTACGGATCTCATTGCTTTTGATAGAAAGAATTGCGAATTTCGATGACTCTTTCAACTACAAATGTCTCTATTCGTCAATGCTCAATTGAACTGGAGCTTTCAGCTTTCAGGTCAGGTATATCGGCATGGTCCAACCAGAGCCCATTCCGTTGATTAGATGGAAAAAGGTCCCTAGACCACGGGAATTGTGATTTTACAAACTACCGCAAGTGCGGAATGAGCAGCAATCCGTCGGCTGTCTCCGCATCAATGCCTTGACCAAGTCTATTACCCCAGAGAATCGATCAAGTCGCATAGATTACCCGAGGTCCACATTGAAGAGTATCTGGGGTATTGAGGTGGACAACTTTTGAGCGTTATGACTCTCAAAGAGGGGTTTGGGTGGTGTGGGATAGTATAAATTGGATCAATTTCACCCGTTTATACGCATATCTCATAATCGAGTCACTTTGAAAAAGGGGAAAGAAAACTACACAATGGGAGGATCATATCTTCTTCGGTCTTTGGGACTTGTCAGCATTCTTATTGGATGTATCTATACCTCAGCAGAACAAACCTCCAGCACCGCAACAGAATGGCCTCGACAGACATACAAGAGTACTTCGGTGCAAGCCCCTTATATGAACGTCACCAAAAACGGCAAGACCGAACTAGGATACCTCTTCATCTCACCCTCAGATTCGATAGCAGGAGTCAGCCACCCTATGATCTACTCCGATGATGGCGAGCTCGTCTGGCGGGGCGAATTGGGAAATATCTCCGCATATATCCCGCAGACGCTAGATGGAGAACCCGTCCTCACATACTTCCACGGAGCCGACCCAGGATTAGGCTTCGGATATGGCTCCATCGGTATCCTGAACAGCTCGTACCAGCAGATCTACGATGTCACGCTACCGGGAGATAAACAAAACTTCGTCACGGTCTTTCACCCCGAGACCTTCCCATCCTACATCGATATCCACGAGAGCCAGATCACAGACCAAGGAACCTTACTCGTCACCGCTGTGAACGTCACCCAGTTGGATCTGCGGTCAGTGGGGGGACCAGAGAATGGCTGGGTTCAAGATGGTCTGTTTTACGAGATTGATATCAAAACCAACGAGATTCTCTTCCGTTGGAGTACCTTGGAACATCTATCCCAGATTCCCCTCTCAAACGCGCGTGAGCCACTTGGGGAGAAGGGCAGGAATATGAGTGATCCATGGGAATATCCTCATTTGAATTCCGTTGCTAAGTACGGGGATTCCTATCTCATTTCCTCGCGGTACACGTGCAGTTTGTTCCTCATAGACAAGGATGGTAATGTAACTTGGCATATTCATGTGAGTCTGACTACCTATCTATACCCCCTTTCCTCCAAATAACAAAATACATATTAACCATGTAAAACCACAGGGCCAAACAGGCGGCGACTTCGACCTAGGCATAGGAGCAACCTTCTGCTACCAACACGACGCACGTTTCGCACACCATTCCCCCGAAAAAGCCACCCTCCACATCCACAACAACGAAAACGCAAACTTCCCCCCCTACACAACCCTAACAACCGGCCTCGTCCTAGACATCGACTTCAAGACCAAAAAGGTCACCGCAAACCGCACCCTCTACGACTCGGACGAGTTCGTCTTCGTTCACTCACAGGGTAGCTATCAGAACCTAACCAACGACCACGTCCTCCTCGGACACGGCTCCACGCCCAAGATCGAAGAATACGATGAGCACGGCGCCTGTGTGATGAGGGCGAGATTCGGGCATGATATCGGTATGCAGTCGTACAGAGCTTACCGGAAGCCCTGGGTTGGACGGCCCAAGACGAAGCCTGATGTTGTGGCTTGTCCGGAGAAGGGGAAGATGGCGGTATATGTGAGCTGGAACGGGGCGACAGATGTGCAGTCGTGGAAGATTCTGACGGGGTCGGGGTCTGGGAATCTCAGCGTTGCGGAAACTGCACCGCGTAATGGCTTTGAAACTAAGGTTTGGGTTGATGAGGTTTCAGATAAGGTTATTGCTAAGGCTGTTGGGGGTGTTGGTGATGGGACCATGTCGAAGGTTGTCACCGTTGGGGATGGTTGCTGAGGCTCCTATCAATAAATAGCATTTAAATCGTATATAATTTGTGTTGGGGTTGGTCAACATAATGCAATGTCCTCACATATGCATGCAATATTCCTACAGTGCCACACGCAGGGTAAAATGCTTCGCAATTGCTTGGAATAGATTTTCGAGTAGTGTATAATATTTGCAGCCAACTCAGAGGAAGTCGTTCAGCCATAACTCTATAAATATTCATAACCGAAAGACATGATGCATTGTGTATGTATAGTCAAAAGTCGATAGACAGGGTATGGGTATTATTAAAACAAAAAAAGAAGAAAAAGAAGACGATCAACGCCGCCACTGCTCATTAAGCCATGTCCCATGCATCCATAGGGATCAAATCTAAAGCTTCGAATCCGTTGCAATGGCCTTTCTGCGCATTTGCTTGGTCGAAACGTCTAGATCGCCTGCGGAGCTTGCAGGGACAGTACTTGACGAACTGTAGAATAGCTCTCGGCCAACAAAGTCCGACATGGTAAGAACTCGTGATGAAACCGTTGCTCCATCTCGGCGGTTTTTACTGCGCATTATTAGCATATGTAGTTTCAATATTCAGATGAAATTCGACGAGACTCACCCTTCACGTCTAGATTGAGCAATCAGCTCGGTGAAGTCCCATAGGCGTCCGCGATCCAGCAGTTTGCCAGTTGCCGGGTCTCGCTCTGGTATCCACTCGGGAGCAAGACGCATCGTTGGGGCTGTGCGTGGTTCCTTGCGCTTCGCAACGAGAATGATGCCCTCCTCCTCGAACCGCTGGTAGGAGTTCTTGAGAGTCTCCTTGTTCACAGCTTCGAAATAAGAAAGGTCACCTTGGTGGTACAGTGTTTTGCCGAGCTATACAGTGGTCAGTTGACGCCTTTTACACAGATTCAAAAAACTTACGAGCTGTGCATTGTCTTGGGCCTTCTTGTAATCGATCCATACGTCCTTTGGCTCACCCAATGGTGGGGTGAGTCCAAGAAGAGATACGGCACCAAGCCAGGAAGCCTCTATGAATGGCCAAATCAAGAAACAGTAGAAGTCGAAATTCTCCCGTCCACATTGACGTTCCGCTTCGCTCAGTTCGACAAAAAGCGGCGTTCCGGAAGGATCGCGGGTCACCTTGATCACGTCGTCCTTTTCGAGTCCGCGAAGTGTATTCTCCAGATTGGCAGTCAAGCCTTCAGGAGGGAAGATAAATTCACCACGGAAAAGCTTCGTATTATTAGAAAAGGACAAGAGAGTATTTAGGAAACCAACATACCTGTGAAAGGAAGGAAACCTGCTTTAGAAGGTCCCCGTAAGAGATTCGTTGGTAAGTGGGCCCGCCGCCTTGCTTGACTCTGGTATACATGGCTGCGGATACCAGTGCCTCGGTGATAAATAGATGGATTGTCATGTTGCGGTAGAAAGAAAGTTGAAACCGGTCGACGGCGTAATATGTCGGTTCAACCAAACCGGATATCTGGCCGACAATCTTCGGTCCTAGAACATCAAGGGCACGATCGACAACCAGCTCAGTTGGTGATCTATAAAAGTGTGCTACCCGTCCTCCTTTCACGCGAACGCGCTCACACAGCCATTCCACACGGCGCACTAGCTCGCCTTTGCCGACTCCACGACCTCGAAGCGTCAAGAGTGCAGTTCCAACAAGGGCAGTAGGCATCATGACAGACACATCGTTGATGTCGGAAAGCACCCTATATCCTAGCGTCCTTAGAATACGGCCTCTTTCAGTATAACTGATCGTTTTAGAGATATTGTTGTTCATTTGAGTTGGCATTCGGGTCAGCTGTCGGGTGATGAATTCCCTCAAACTCCAGGGCTGCTGGAACCGAACATCAACACGGCCTAGTTTCAAAGACAACACTGATGACGACGAAAGCAGGTCTGACAGATTCTCCTTTCGTTTTGGCTGACCCAGAAGCTCACTGATATAAGATCTAGACTTTATGTTAGTGTTTGTCGCAAGAGGGTAGCGTTTTCAGTGCCATACTCAGTCTCTATAACCTTGTCGTATTGTGTGCTGACGGGACATATGATCGTATCTTCGACGCGACCAGACAAGACACTGTCCAAAATGAAATTGAGGATTCCAAACTTGGGCGAGAGAAGCTTTCCGGTTCTTGATCGTCCACCTTCAATAAAGCATTCAAAGTTGAAGCCTTGTTGCAAGATCGTGTCGATATAAGCCTGTACGACGGTGTGGTATAATGGATCATTGCCGAAGCTTCTTCTAATCCACATAGCACCTAAAACCGTGAGAAGTAGAAAACACAAATAGGCGCTTAAACCATACCTGCATGTTGTAAGAAAGGCCCCAGCAGTGGAATATTCAAGTTGTCGCCCGCTACAACAACGGGGAGGCCGATTCCCAAACGATAGCATATAATCTGTAGAGACACATAGTCCACATGGGACTTGTGGCAAGGGAGGAAAACAATCGATTGCTTCTTTTTGGCCGCTTCCTCGGCAACAGACCTCAAACGCAGAACTTCTTCACTGGATACGTGAACCCCTGGTCGACATGTTAATATGCGACTTCCTCCAGAGAAAGCGGCCTAAGAAACTCACCTTGGTGGTATGCGCGCGTGAGAAGCTGCGTGCACAGGTAGTATGCCCCACGAATGAACCTCTTGCTCTCCATCTTGCAAATCATATCGTCCATCATAGTGTTCACCACCTCTTTTAGATTGCCTTCAATTTCATTCTTCCGATGTGTTCTCTTCTGGTCAAATGAGCCCTTCCGTATCTCTAACAAACCCTCCTCTTGTTCAACTGCGATTCGTTTCTCGGCCAGCTCTTTGATTTTCTCCAGTAAAATGGGACTGGAAAGAATACTGGACTTGATCCGGTCCGAGAATCCATTGTAAAACACAGGTTGTCCGATTACATCGTCATAGGCTCGCCAGCCTGTACCCGACATGTACAGGCTGACTTCTCGTAGGAAATCGAAAGGGTTCTCGCGAAAGCGCGCCATATGGCGGACAAGATTCCGTTCGGTGATCGTGTCATCGTGGTGACCAGGCCCTCCGGTAAAACCAGTTGGATGAATTGTAACCCGGTCTCCGACAATCTCCAAGTCTGGCGCCGAATGGCCATCGTCGACTGTCTTTTCCGACGGCATCTCTGAAGCGGGGAAAGGGACGGTCGTACAAGGGGGAAAGACAAGCTTCAGATAGAGGCGCAGGGTCAACAAGACCCCTTGATGATTTGAGTCGCAGAAGCAGATGAGAAGTTGTGAATCATGGCAGGAAACACCGCCAAATCGGAGAAAAGAGCCAAACCCTTTAAGCAACGCCGTAGCATCGCCTTAATCCCAACAAAACCGGCTGATCGCCCCGGATGCTCCCCAGAATACCTCGGATGTATATCACGTGCAGCAACGGGCGCCCTAGTCCCGATGGGGCAACGCAACCAAAGGATGAGGTCAACGCTGAAGCCACGAGCACGGACGGATCGTGAGAATAAGATGCGCTTCTTCGCTCAATGGCAGCCAGTTGTTCGTGCATGAAATGAATCTGTTCGCTCTGGAAGCTTCTGTGGTCCGTGTCTGATATCTAGGTTCGTACTACTCCACAGCGGGTGACAGAAACGAGAAAGAGCCTTGGAGGGGGAATTGATCCGCCTTTAATAGCAACATGTCTCGCTGGCTGAGGGCGTTTTCGAGTAAGCTCACAAACATCCTTCTGGTCAATTGGTTTCATTCTCTAACATTTTCTTTTATACAACAGCTGCCAGGTCGTTTCTTGGTAACACCACAATGGCCTCCCAACCCGTCCGTCAGTATTCCTTCCAAGTGTTCCGCGATGTCCCTCCTCTCCGTAAATTCCGCCGACAGCTCCTACTGTCAGATCGAACCGTGGGTTTTGTTCCCACCATGGGTGCCCTTCACGAGGGCCACCTGTCCTTGGTTCGACAAGCTGCGGCCGAAAATACAGACGTTTTTGTGAGCATCTTCGTCAACCCGACGCAATTTGGTGTCAGTGAGGATCTGTCTAGCTATCCCCGCACCTGGGATAGTGACGTGGAGAAGTTGGAGAAATTGAACGACGAGCTTGCTGCATCTGGAACAGAGTCTAAACCCCTTGGGCGTATCACGGCCATTCTGGCTCCTACATCAAAGGCCATGTACCCGGCATCGCCGCCTACATCGGAGGTTAATGGACATGGTTCCTTCGTCACAATCACCCCTCTTTCGCAGAAGCTGGAGGGTGCTTCTCGTCCTGTTTTCTTCAGAGGAGTCGCTACAGTCTGCATGAAGCTATTCAATATTGTCACAGCCGATCGCGCCTATTTCGGACAGAAGGACGTTCAGCAGACAGTTGTCATCCGGCGAATGGTGCAGGATTTCCACGTTGATACGGAAATTAAAATCGGTGACACAACGCGGGAGTCTGACGGATTGGCAATGAGCTCCCGGAATGTTTACCTCGGAGCTAGACGACGTGCTGTCGGTCTCGTTCTTTTCAACGCTTTGAAGGCCGCAGAAGAAGCCTACAAGTCGGGTAAAGTTACTCGCAGCGACATCCTCAATTCTGCCAACCGCATCACCCAGCAAGTTCTTGCCGAGCAGCAAGCTCTTAAGCCCTCCGAGAGGGCTCTTTATGAGGTTGACTACATCTCTCTTGCTGACCCCGACACATTGGACGAGTTGGAGACTGTCGACCCAGCCAAGGGCGCCGTTTTGAGTGGTGCAATCAAGATGGCTCCCCTCGAGGAGCCCAAGTCTGATGAAGAGCGTGGCCTTGGAGACGGGCAGGTCCCGGTGAGATTGATCGACAACCTCATCTTCAAGCCGCTTGTTTGATATTGCGAATACTCTCATGCTGCGGATATTTGCTTTGGGTAGCGAACATTGTGAATTCCAGCCCTCGTGCCCTGGTGGCATAAAAATAGATACAAATTTCGGTACATAGCCTTACAAAAGTTGGTTGCAAATAGTTACTTGAGCACAAGTTTCGAGTAAAAATATATATGTTTGAAACATCTACCCCGTATTATTATTGTTATTAAATGATACATCACATTGCTTCCCCAGATCCCATAAACGTGTTGCAAACCAGGAAAGTAGGGCAAATCCTTAGGGTTCGGAGTCCAGACCGGCCCGAGAAAATTTCCTTCTGCAGTAAAGTCTCTGCCGGACCCAGAAAAAAGTTATCGGCGGTTTTGCAAGCAAAAAGCCGTCACCTTTCGATTCCACCCATAATCAAACGCTTTACACCATGGCGGACGATGGCATGCTCTTGAACTTCACCATCGGTGACAGTATCATCAAGCCAGAAACCAAAATCAAAGGTGGATCATGGCGCGACCGTTTGAGCGCCCGGAAAATCGCCCAGCATCGAGGAAATCCCCGCAAAGAAGGTGCCGGCAATAAGAATGCAGAGAGGAACGTGAAGAATCCCAACCAGATTCAGGTTTCTGGGTCGCGACCCCCGAAGAGGCAGAGGACGGACGGAGATTTTCAGTCGGATCATCATGATGACCCCGCCGAGTCGTCGCGAAAGCCCCAGCAGCAACAGCAGCAGAAGCCACGCCAGATTATCTCGTCGCTGTTCTCGTTTAACCCGAGTGCGAAGAATGTGGAGGAGCCGAAGGATGGTGAAGAGGGACCGGCCGAGGAGGTCAAACCGACAAATGCGCCTTTAATCGACGGACTGGATACCTTTACCAACCTGGGTCTGTCGCCGAACCTGGCAGCCCACCTACTCACGAAGCTCGAGTTGAAAGCCCCGACTGCGATTCAAAAGGCATCGATGTCCCAACTCCTAAAGGAAGAAAGCGACGCATTCATACAGGCCGAGACGGGTTCCGGAAAGACGTTGGCTTATCTCCTGCCACTGGTACAAAGAATCATGGCCGTTTCGCAAAGCCAAAAAGACCAGTCCAAGGATTCGGGTGTTCATCGGGATAGTGGATTGTTTGCGATTGTGCTCGCACCGACTAGAGAATTGTGCAAACAAATATCCGTCGTGCTGGAAGGCTTGCTTCGCTGCGCGCATTGGATCGTGGCTGGAACCGTCATTGGTGGTGAGAAGAAGAAGTCGGAGAAGGCTAGATTGAGAAAAGGATTGAATATCCTCGTTGCAACGCCTGGACGACTTGCTGACCACCTTGAAAATACACAGGTGTTGGATGTCAGCAACGTTCGGTGGTTAGTGCTAGATGAAGGTGATCGATTGATGGAATTGGGTTTCGAGGAGGAGTTGCAAAATATCGTGAAGAAGCTTGATGCTAGACAACGCCCCAGTCGGATTCCCGGTATCCCTCCGAAGAGAACTACGATTCTTTGTTCGGCTACGTTGAAGATGAATGTGCAAAAGCTAGGAGAGATCAGTTTGAAGGATGCAGTGCACATCAAGGCAGATCCCGCCGACGAGGATGAAAACACCAAGGCCAAGGATGAAGATGAAGCTTTCAGAGTACCGGCTCAGCTCAAGCAATCCTACGCTGTTGTTGCGGCTAAGCTTCGACTGGTTACGCTGACTGCGATGCTGAAACGGACATTTATGAGGAAGGGCTCCGTGATGAAAGCTATTGTCTTCGTCTCCTGCGCCGATTCAGTCGACTTTCACTTTGAAGTATTTACACGAAAAAATTCCTCGGGTGAAGATGAAGAAGAAAAGGAAAAGAGCGATAGCGATAGCGATAGCGATAGCGACGAAGAAGAGTCTGAAAAGCCCAAGAAGCCCGAACTTTCACCTCACGGAACCATCGCCCCTGCTACCGCATTCTCCAACGCCTCGAACCCAGTGACATTACACAGACTCCACGGCTCTCTCCCCCAGCACGTCCGAACCGCCACCCTGAACTCATTCGCCCGCAACCGCGACCCCTCCGTGCTTATCTGTACCGATGTCGCATCCCGTGGTTTGGATTTGCCAAACGTCGACCTGGTCGTGGAATACGACCCCGCCTTCAGCGCCGACGAACACTTGCACCGTATCGGACGTACAGCCCGTGTCGGACGCGATGGACAAGCGATGATCTTCCTCTTACCCGGAAACGAAGAAAACTACGTTGAAATTCTCAAGCGCGGTTATCGGGATGGCGGAAAGGCACTTAAACGCACAGACGCCAACGAATTGCTTAAACGAGGATTCGGAGGCAACATCAAGTCTGAGATTAAGAACTGGGAGGAAAAAGCAACAGACTGGCAACTCGACGTTGAGCGCTGGGCACTGGAGAACCCGACATATCTGGAGATGGGTCGACGAGCATTCCAATCCCACATCCGTGCCTATGCCACACACATTGCCAACGAACGAAACATGTTCAACATCAAAGAGCTGCACCTGGGACACTTGGCGAAGAGTTTCGCGTTGCGTGATCGTCCCGGCAAGATCAACGTCCCTGGTCTGCGACCAGGCAAGGAGGACACGAAGAAGGATTTCAAGGCGGGCAGAGGTTCAGCCGCAGGAAGCAAGAGAAAGGCCGGTGATGATGGTGATGATGCTCCTCGTTCGCATGAAAACTTTACAGCGGCCCAGAAGATGAGGGCGAAGATGAAGGAGCATATGGCCGGGGCGAACGAATTCAACCTTGCTTAGACTCTCTCTGTTTTCCAACTCGGTATATAGAAGCGATCGATGATCTCAATAGATATCCCATAATGAAATTTTTCCATCTTTTGAGCCAGCGGCTAGCCAGTGTGTTTTTTGTGCTTTTTGGTTTCTTTGATGCTGCACTGTTGCAAGCGAATAGTCCCCTTCACGTCGAGTAAGCTGCTGCTGCTGCTGTTGCTGATTACTGTCGTCTTCTTTTTCTGACGATCCAGCATTAGTATCTGTAGAGACACTAGAACTCGAATCCGTAGATATCTCCGCAAACCCAACAGCATAACACCCCTCCTTATGCCACTTAAGCACCGCCAACTCCTTCATCGTCTTGCACGAATAAACCCTAACCCTACAATCCCACCCAGCAGTCGCAAACACCTTCCCATCAGATCGTATCCGCAAACCCTGCTGACCAGCATGTTTCGTATTAACCGTCTTCAAAGGCTTCTCTTCCACATACCCCGTCCCCAGCGGCCCAGGCCGAGAAATAGGATGCTTTATGAGCAGCGCATCGGCAGACGAAGACAAAACATAATCCATAGACGGCGACACATCAATCGACAGCACAGGTTGCGAGTGCAGACGACTCGCATACACCTTTTCCCATTTCCAGGATGCACCGCTGGATAAGTCCGCTTCCTTGAATGCGCCACGGCGAACGAAAACGATAACATGCCCGTCCTCGTACGCGGACGCAGCGTATAATTCGCCAGTCGCTGAAATAAATAATTTAACAGCCATCACCATGCCTGTCTTTGTCGTTGTATCTGCGGGGATCGTGCAGATCCGTCGTTCCAGGGGTAGATGGAAGATGTCAATTGCGCCGGAATCAAGGGCATTAGGGACTGCTATTAGGACTGGTGATTCTGGTTTATTTTCTGCTGCAGCATCAGGTTCAGGTTGTTGCTGTTGTGATTCCTGACCATCCTCGATATTGGCACTTTTCCGAATGAACAGCATCGAAAACGCACAAAAGTTCAATGCGTTCACCGGGAGCGAATGAAGAAGCCAAGGCTGACTTTGACTCTGGCCCTTTACTTGTGAAGCCTCATCCATATCCACGGGGAGAATCTTATCGAGGATCTCTTCATCCTGGACACGAAATCTCCACACACGCAGCTTATGATCTCTACCATGTCTGCATACCCAGTTAACCCCTATCCATATACAGGTACCAATAGTATATCAGTATAATAAAAACTCACGTATAAACAACCGTCCCCGTCCCCGAGCCGACAAAGCCCTTAACTTCCAAAACAGCACCCTCGTGCGCTTTCCACACCGTCACCGGCCGTTTCGTCACCAAATCCCACACGACGATCCAGCCATTCGCGTCTGCTGAAATGAGGCGCAGATTTTGGCTGAAGAGGTGCAGGGCGTGGATTGGAGATGCGTGGCCGCGGAGGATATATGTGGGTGTTGGGGGAGGTTGGTGGTGTTGGAGCTGATTTGATGTCATTGAGATTTGTTGGTTTGGTTTGTTATTTGTTATTTTTGTTATTTATTATAGATTTGAGAGATTCTTTTGAGAAGCTGGGGTAAGGCTTATTCTATATTTGGCTTGAGGGAAATGATTGTGGTTGAGAAGAGGAAGAGAAGAGAAGATGTCGGATAAAAGCAGCAGTCTTGGCATTGGCTGGGTGGGAGTGCAGTCTTCGATATTTGTTTACTTTTTATAATACTATTATTGAACTAATCTGAAGTTGCATTTATTGTTTAGTATTTATGAAATAGTGTACATAATCCAACAGTACAGAGTATCCATGTGTACATCATGAAGTCGAAGAAAAATAGTACACCAAAGTCCAAATAACCTATTCAAGCATAATGGTATCATATAGCAGATAACGCTTAAGAAGAAAAATAAACCAAATAAAACCAAGACAAACGCCATTCAAGAGTCAGAAATACCCAGATCTAGAATGCCCCGTACTGATAATGATCAATCGGGTGGTGCGGGGGAACGTAATAGTTTTGATATGGATGATTCTCCATCGAAGAATCTGAATAGGCCATCAGAGGATTGTTTTTTGGGTGTGCTGGGATATGAGTCGTAGAGCTCAAGGCATGGTGTTGCTGGTGGGAGATATCCCAGCCCCAAGTCGCTTGGAGTTCTTCCTTGATGTATTCTGCTGGCCAACCGGTTTTCTTAATTAGGTTGTCAAGGATTCGTAGGGCTTCCTCCTGGGCTTCCCTCGTGGCCAGACACTCTGCGGCAGTGGCGAGGAAGCGAATGGATAGACTTGCAAGACCTCTAGTGACTGTTAGCTAAGAGCAAGACAACTGAACGAGACATTTTCATACCGATCTTTCACATGGGCCACGATGCCACAAATATCATGCGCTTGGGTTTGCTGCATGTTTCGCATGCTCGGGCTGAATTCAGATTCCAATGGGTATGTTTTAGATAGCAGAAGCCGCGCAGTATGGTAGAATAACCGGGCCACAATAGCAGGTCGTTTGATGAGCCTATATAAATCAGCCAACTAATCCCAAGCCAAAAAATGTGCACCTACCAAATCTCTGGGAAATTAGATTTTGAGTTGGTCTGCCAGGAATGGAGATAGCAAAGAGGCATCATAGATCGTGGTGCAGCTTTAGCCCACTGATCGCATAATCTGCTATAGGCCTCCCATTCCTGATACCGCTGATTGATGAGCATCTCACTCGTCGTGTGGTCCAAAATGGGGAATTGGGAGATGGACGAGCGGAAATCAGAAATCTTAGCGCAGATATACACCATCCGGTGAGCCCATATTTCCTCATCCCCTGCAAAATGCTGCTGTTCTCGATCCATATCCATGTCTACCCCCCAAGAATCGGGACTCCAGGCTAAAGTCCAGTTGAATTGTAAGCAACTTAGCAGTTCTAACCCAATGTTGAGCCAGAAGCATGCTCCACCAAGGCCGAGGGTTTTCGCATCCCAGCAGCACTCTTTAATTAGGACCCTTGCACCAACAATATGGTTCATACCGTGCAAGAACCTAGAGCACATGGTTTCATAAACATTAAGAGCGACAGCCGTGGTGGCACACAGGGTGGAATCACGGTCTGGATCCTGCAAGTTGTTGAAAAGGTCCTGAGAAGCTGCTTCATAAAACTGGGAAGCTTTCTCTTCGCCGTACGCAGGATTGACATGGTAAAATTGCCGGGCGCCGCATGCCAAAAGGGCTTTCAAAAGCATAGGCTCTTCCAAAGCGCGAAATGGCAGAATTTCTGTGAACTATTTCCAAGTCAGAAGATCATCTAGTTTGTTATGGATAAACAACTCACATGCTTCATGGAATCCATTAAGTCCATCCATATCCCGACTTGATCGACGAAGACTTGCATCAGGAAAACTTGTTCTGGATCATGAAAGTACGATTGGCCATCAGAATCCAGATTTACTTCCTTCGTCAAGCTAAAAGGAGCGTATGGTATGGGTTGTTCTTGGAAAGGAGGGTGGAATGGGGAAAAGGAATGACTATTAAGCATAATATCGATCGCATCGGACTGGGTAGCTTCAAATGCTTGAACAAACGAGCGAGTGGCCGATGAGTTAGGTTGAGGGATTGGATCGGAGCTTATGATGCTGGGCCCCCCCTCCTGGGGTGGGCCTTCTTGTATGATATGAGGAACTAGCTCTAGAGGGGGATATCTCTCGAAGCCACCGACATACTCCGATGCTATGTATCTGGATTCATCCCGAAAAGTCAATTGAGTCCCTGGCGGACAAAGGAGGGCGTGAGGAGGAGTAGCCGTTTGCGTATCGATAAAGTTGAGACGGAGACCACGCCTGCAGACCCTGTTTGACTTGCGACAATTCTGACAGCGGTGTAAAGCTTCATCGCACTTGAGATGGCGCTCCCGACAGGTCAAACAACCCGTACGGACTCTTCTGGATTTCCCAGAAAGCCCAGTTCCCTTTTTCTTCTTGTTCCCTTTTATGCGCGACGCATCAGACGCGGGGCTGTCGAGGGTTGGAGTTTGACCGCCATCGACTGATGTTGCTTCCTGAACATTGGATTCAGACACCGATGCATCTGGCGGCTGGATGTCTTGGTCTTGTAATTGTAGGATCTGAGCATCCGAGCTGTGTTCCAAATCCGTCAGCTCCATCGAGTTGTTCAGGTCTGATGGTGTAAAGACATGGTCTTCAATGACAGAGGCCATATCCAACCATATGGATAAACCAGCTTTCCGCTAGCAATCCCGGGCATATGGCAATTCGAGGAAATTATCGCAATCAGCTCCATATGATTCCTGTTCCGTGCATGATTGCGACTGGTCAAGAATAGTTCAAGGTGCGTCGACAGCGGTGAATCGCATACGACAGCGGATGACGACGGTTCGGAACAAGCGAAGTCGGCGCAAATGGAGGAATATAGGTGGAGTATAATTATGGGGGCTGGTCTTCCTGCGACGTACTTGGATCCATTGAACAGACGAGGATGCTTTGGATAGTCTGGGGATGGGAGAGGTAGACGTTCTGTTCTGGCGAGGTATTAGTGAGTCTAGACGTCATGTGAAAATGGCACTTGGTCATGAATAATAACCCAGATAGAACAGAGATGTCAGTACATACCTTGTGAGATGAATCAAGAGCCAAAGATCTGGAATCTGGACAGGCGATCAGCGGCGGTCGGAAAATCCCAAAAGGCGGGGAACTGAGGCCATTGCCTAAAGCGGCTAGGGCGGTCTGGATCTACTATATCTCTTTTCTCTTGTTATGAGGCTGCATTTCACAGAAAATACGATTCTTCTGGGAAATGATGGAATTATACTTGATTCTTTTTATAAAAACAGGATGCAGAAAGAAACAGTTCTTACAGAAATGCAATTGAAGCATATGGGCTGAGAGATGTCTTGCCATTGTCTCTTGTTCACTGCAAACGATTCGAGATTGCATATAATAAAATGTTTTTGATAGTATCCATTAGTTCTTTGATCCAAGTTATCCTACCGTCAATCGATTGGAGAATAATGGACTACTAACGCATGTAGATAGTCACGGACGTAAACCTGATATCAATCCCTTGTGCAGCATGAATCATAGTAACTGAATATAGATACTAATGCCACTTCATCCCCAACCGCTGGAAAAACGAAAACAACGACCCCTTAGGCACATAGCCCGCATACATTCTCTGCCATCCAGCAGCAAAGGACCCCTCCACCGGTCCTAGCTCTGCAAATCCCAGAGCCTCAACGACCCACGGCGTTAAGATCGCCAACACTCCTATCGCGAGAATGGTAGCGTAGACCGGATGGTCAGTAGCAAATCCGACTGCTGCATCGCGTGCTTTTTCAAGGGCGTTGCGCGAAGCTTCGGCCATCTGGGCGCCTGCGACGATTGCTTTCGAGAGGCCATTAAGGAGAGCTTGGGCGATGGCGTCGGTCCATCCGGATGTGCTGACGGTTTCATGAAGTTGCTTTCTAAGAGATTCTGGGGATTCAGCGGTCAGAATCAAATTGAGGATGTCAGAAGCCGTGTCTTCTGTCGTACGTGCCCTGGTGGTGGGAGGATTGGATCCTGTGATGCAGGAGATTGCGATGCCCATTTTGAAGTGGTGGATGGGAGAATACTAATTTGACAGTAGAATTATGAGAAGTGAGACTGAGGAGGAAGAGGAAGAGGAGAAGAGGTTGTTGAGTAGCAAGTGACTCTTTATGCCTTGCAGACGTACTTTTGTCAAGGCTGTACATACATAAGTCTAGCCGCCGACAAACAAATGACTGGCGATCAGCTTCTTTTAAAAAGTATCTACCTTTAGTAGCCTGATAGCCTGATCATTGTATGAGCCAATGATGTATTACACTCTTAGTTATTGATTGTACGGCATTCACCATAGACCATTCCTTCCTAAAGTGACCTTCCCACCGTCTATGAAAGTCCTTCCCTCCCTCTCTCCTCTTGATTATACTGCGAAGACCTACTTTTCTATTTCTGCATGATATGAAAGGAAATAAAGCCACTGCGTTGTTCCTACACAATTGATAAAACGTACAATTAGCAATAGACATCAAGCGATCGAACAATAAAATACTCAAACAAACAAGTCGGTCAATCCAGATCATTCAGGAAATCTATCCCAAAGATATAAGCCCGCAATATACGCACGCTGTACATTCCACTTGAATTGGCCAAATCAATCGGGAAATCCTTGACATCATCTAATTTGGCATCATCACTGAGCCCACGGCTTCGGACACAACAGCCACAAGCGGAGACGTGCAATGCCCCCGGTGATCCGTGCTGCGATGAGATGTCCCTCGAGGCTTTTCGCAGCATCCACAGTCTCTTCCACAGCATCCTCCTCGTCCAGCACAGTCCTGTCGCAGCCATGGAGTGAGATACCAGTTGGGGTTCTTTCGCCATGCCCTAAAGGCTCTCCCTAGAGATCCCATTGGAATACCTGCCTCCAGCTTCCATATTCTCCGATCATGAAACCAATATCGGTCATGCAGTTTCTTGAGCTCAGTCTCATAAGTGCTCAGTTGCGATGCCTTCTTCCTCTCCTGTTTGAAATCATGTTCAGATTGCTCCAACGAGGCTTTCAAAGCCTTCATCTCCTCCTGTACGTAGACATCCCTCTGAACAATCCAACGACCCTCGATATCGGCCTCGACCACCCCCTGACACCATTTTAACTTCTCTAGTTTGTTGGGATGATTTCCCTGAAGTAGCTGATAACGCATCAACTGGACGAATAGAAAGTGGCCGTTTTGTTCCAGCCGATCTTCGAGCCACTCCCTGATATCCTGGGTTCTCGAGCTGGGATCCATCCGTAACTGAATTTGGACTTTGTCCTCGAACTCCAGGTCGGAGCGGAGAACTTCTAAGAGTTCCCGGCAGTAATAAGAGTATTGGATTTTGTGTTTCCATTATTCGACTTTACGCTCGTACTCGGGGTCGCGCTTTGGGGGGGCATACTGCGGTGGTTTCTCTTCCTGTGGTGATTCGCACTTTGTGGGTTGAGTCTTGGGGGGGTTCTGTCTTTGTAGACTTTGATTTGAATAGATTCCAAGGCATGGTGATGGTTGTAGAGACGAAAAAGAAGTGTGTATGGACGAGGAAAAGTGTGCAGGTAAATGGGAGTGGTTGACAGAGTTATCTAGGAGTGGTGCCTTGAATACTGGTGAAGTTTGGTGTCATTCCCACATAATGCATCCATATTTGGCATAAGTGCTTGGTTGATATTCTGTGTATCCATTTCTAATAAAAGGATGTTCTGGATGAATAGAAGCCTGTCAGCCTGCATGGGAGTCTGTATGGAAACCTGAATATCTTCGAGGTAGAGATAAATATGACATAGATGATGGAGCTTCAATATATCCACATGACAGTCTATATTACTATCTCTCGTATAAGGCTCTAATTATCTCTCATAGATAAGGAAAATGAATACGACATCTTTATTATCAATCAACAGTTGCGCCATCGATTTGTCAGATTGTATTTCTAATCGGGTGAACCCTGTAGAGTAAACACATAAATACTACTATATACCGCATATCAAGCACCATAATATCCATTCCACAACATCAATCAATCAATTAAACAACCATGCCCCTCCGTACAGCCATAATCGGCCTCTCCTCCTCAGCAACCACATCTTGGGCCTCATCAACCCACCTTCCCTCCCTCCTCACCACACCCGGAAAATCCCTCTTCACCCTGTCCGCCCTCTGCAACAGCTCCATCGCCGCCGCCCAATCAGCCATAAAAACATTCAACCTCGACCCCTCCACGGTAAAAGCATACGGCGACCCTGCCGCCCTCGCAGCAGACCCAGACATCGATCTCGTCATCTGCGCGACCCGCGTCGACAAACACTACGAAACTATCCTCCCCTCTCTGCGTGCGGGGAAATCGGTATACATCGAGTGGCCGCTTGCGGGGGATAAGGTGCAGATTGAGGAGTTGGGGCTTGCTGCACGTGAGAGTGGGAATGGGACGGGGATTGCGGCGGTGGGATTGCAGGGGAGGGTGGCGCCGGCGGTTTTGAAGGTGAAGGAGTTGTTGCGTTCTGGGGATACTGGGCTGGGGAGGTTGTTGAGTACTGAGGTGAGGGCGTTCGGGGGGACGATCGATAGGGAGTTTCTGCCGCCGGGGTTGAAGTATTTTGCGGATAGGGAAGTTGGTGGGAATCCGATTACGATTGGATTTGGGCATGGTGGCTATCCCTCTATCTATCTGGCGAGCTCAAGATGCTAACTTGATGCCTAGTGATTGACTACGTCCAATCCGTCGTGGGAGACATCATCCCCGGAACAGACCATGTGCATCTCCAACTCCAACGCCCAGATATCCGTATTCGCGAGCCCAAGACCGGCGAAATCACAGAGACGATTCGCTCGAATGTGCCCGATTTACTCAGTCTACACGGTAAGCAACCGCACTCTATATTATCCTATGTTGGATATCATCTAATGGGTGAAAGGAACCCTCCCCGAATCACCCTACACAGCCCTCAACGCAACCCTAACCGCCTACTTCAACCGCGGCCAGCCATACCCCAACGACCCATCCCTAACATGGACGTTAAACTGCGAACATGGCACGATCAGACTCACCGCGCCAGCGGGGATAGCACTACAAGCGCATGCGTATGCGGAGCCGGTGACGATCTCCGTGTATAGATTCGAGACGGGCGAGGTGGAGGATGTGCAGTGGGGGTGGGACGAGGCGCAACTGGAGGTTTCTGTCCCTGCGAGATCGGTGCTGAGGAGTTTGGTTAATCTTGCGGAGGGGAGGGAAGATGGGTATGTGAGTTTGGAGGATGCGGTGGGTAGAGCGAGGCAGATTGGGGGGTGGTTGGATTCTTTTGAGATTTAGATTTATTTTATACTATTTGAGTAGTATTTAGTGTTATTTGTTGATAATCTAAATGTCTATCGATATTTGTTATGTTTTATATACAGACATCTAGAAAAACACATAAACTTTTATTTCATGATAGCTAGCATTAGCTGAATCATAAGATCGTTAGGAATGGAGCAGTGGCTCCTCCAATGCAATGCACATGCAAAAAGACATTCTATGAAAACTTTTCAATGCACTTACGCAGTTCTATACCACCTCAAGCCTTGGTGCCCAGTCGTGGCAATCGCACTCGGAGATGCAAGGCAAACATGATACCTCCCCAAACTGCCGCTGAGACGAACGTCATACGAAGGGCGGCAGAGTATGCGCCAATCACTAATAAACATATTAGCGTTTATCTAGCAAGGTAAAAGAAGGGAACTCACCCTCATGCCGATGCAACGGATCCAAGCCTGCAATAGCTTGAACCGATTTTCTAACGAGAAGAATAACATCATCCTTGTTGGGACCTGTCACCTGCGCATCGAGTTGGTAGGAGAGTGTATTCTGGAAGATCCAGCTACTAATGGATACGCCCATCACAGAGCCCAGATTCCGCCAGAGGCCCAGCGTCGTCGTAGCCACGGCCTGGTCCTCTTGTTTACTGGTAGCGAGAACAGATACCATCAACGAGGGGAACGAGAAGCCCTGGCCGAGACTGGATAAGGAAATGCAGACCATCGCGACGGCATCAGAGGTATCGACGCCCATTGAGGCAGCGGTACAACCTCCCAGGAAGAGGAGGAACCCGCCGATCAGCACGGTTGGCTTCATGCGTTTCGACCAGGTGATTAGGAACCCGGTTGAGACGCTGGATACCGTCACTGCTAGAGTGGCCGAGACCAGTTTGAGACCTGATTCTGTGGGGGTAGCCAATTTCACAGCCTGGAAGTACAGGGGGGCATTAAAGACCATGGTGTTGACGGCGATGGCGCCAAAGAAGTTTCCGAAGATCAGACTCGCCCGGGGTTGGCTCGATAGGAGGGATATTGGCATCACGGGCCGCTCCACGCCACGCTCATATCTCACCAGGAAGATTCCTAGGACCACAGACAGGATCAAGGAGGAAATGACGAGGGGGTGTGTCCAGCTGAAAACGTTACCGCCCAGATTGAGACCCATGATCAATGTCGTTACGCTCCCGACAAGAAGCAGCGAGCCCACCACGTCGATGTTCTTGAGCAGCTGTAACACGGTCATCCGTTGTGCGTTGGCCTGCTTCAGCCCCAGTCCGCTCGGGGTTGTCCAGGCGGCCACCAAGAAATACACAAAGATGAAAGGCAGTTGCACAAGGAACGCACCTCTCCATCCTACCCGGTCAACCAAGTACCCTCCAAACGCGAGACCTAGACAACCACCGGTACCAAGGCAAAGGTTGATGTATGACTGGTACACTCCGCGATATTCAATGCGAACCAGGTCGCTGGACAGAATCATGCCCATGGAGAAGACACCACCCGCACCGACTCCAGAAACCGCTCGGGCGGCAATGAAGCTGCCAATACTCTGCGCGGCGGCACACCAAGCAGTGGTGATGAAGAAAACAGCAATGGCGAAGAGATAAGCCGGTTTCCTGCCGACAGTGTCGGAGATACGTCCAAACAGAGGAAGAAACGCAGTAGAAGTCAAGAGGAAAGCAGTTGACAGCCACGACGCCGAGTTGGAGGCATGGAATTCAGAAGTGATGACCGGATGACTCGAAGCCATCAGCGTCGAATCGAAGAATCCAATCACATAGCCCAGCAAGACACCAGAGAAGATCAGCCAGAATCGCATGGGCGACACGTTGATGAATCGAGACGCATAGCCGGTATCTTCTTTCTGGCTACATTCTGGGTCTTCAGTGGCTTTTTTGCTGGCGACATCAGCCGAGGGGATTCTCTCTAGGTCTGGTTCAATATCCACGCCCTGAGGAATGGAATTCACTCGAGCAAGATCGAGGATGGCGGATTCATCTTCGGCGGTCAGCCCAGTGGATTGGGGATTTGAGTGATTGTCTTTCAACAGAGGCGTTGACTCGTCCACCTCGCGTTGCGGCTGAGGCTGCTTTCCCACAGTCATCGAGAAAATGAGGTGATTTCCACACAAATACTGCAAAGATTTTCAAGAGGAGAGTTTGAACGGAGGATATTCTTGCGATTCAGTCGAATCGTGAGGGGTTCTTAAGATGAGATCAAATGCATGGATGATGGCGAATAATGGAGACCTTACAGGATTTACGGCACTAACGCAGTCTCTGTAATGTGGCTGGAACTTGATTCACCTTCCACACACGGATCGTCCAAGTGAGTCAACTGATGAAGCATCCAAAAGCCTCGTATCGTCGCACTCCATCTGACAGCTCGAATCCATCGATGATGCTCGATCAAGTCGAATTTCCAGGATGACTCAATGTTACCGATGTACCATCCTGTATCGATGTGTATTATATCAACCAATTGGGGCCTCGTACATTAGTTATCGTTGTGGAACCTTGCATCTTAGCAGCCAATGACAAAACTTTTAAATTGGAGAAGTGGGTCTTTTCATCCTGCCGCTTTATCCGGTATCACTGATATCGCTGCGACATTCGAGATATCAAGAGAGCATGCGAGGGATAAGAAGATTGCTATGATGAATGAGTTATGGTGGCATTGATATTATATACTAGAGGTATACTGGATGACAGGTAGTATTCCAACTGACTTACGGTTGCAATAACTAGATCAGATAAGGCAGTATCTGATATAGACAGGGACTTTTATTATTGATGTTCCACTATGATACATTTACTATGGATGCTTATATCAGGCACTCAAGCACAGGTGGCAATGATAACAATCGATAAGAAACATCTCCAACTATCGGAGTCATCAACACATTCAACCCCTCATCTTCAAACGTCAACCATAGCATCTCTCAACCTGACATTATAGCATACTTTATCCTGATAATAAGGATATAACAGCCACATAACAACAGCTGTTTCAATCTGCCCCAGCCGATCCTTCCAAAATGGCTTCCCCGCTTCGAATCGCCGTCCTGGAATGCGACACTCCAGTACCCAATGCCGATGTGAAATATGGAGGTTACCGCGGAGTATTCGCGACTCTGTTGAAAGAAAGTGCCACAGCTTTAGGACAGCCTGAGAAACTAAACCCGGAGTCTGGTCTCGACATCACTGGATGGGATGTTGTGGATAAGCAGGAATACCCCGACTTGGAGGATGTTGATGCACTTCTTTTGACTGGATCTAGTATGTCTCCTAATTTCGGAATATATCTTTACTATTAATTCCAGATGTCATGCTATGGTGGCATTCATTCTTTTGGCATATCCCGCACTAGACCATCCCGCTGACTGAGTCATACCCCAGAACACGACTCCTTCGACGACCAACCCTGGATCCTCAAATTAGTCGAATACACAAAGAAAGCTATCAAGCACAACCGTGTACGAGTACTAGGAATCTGCTTCGGACACCAGATCATCGGGCGTGCTCTCAATGCCAACGTCGGCCGCAGTAATGACGGTTGGGAGATTGCAGTATGCGACATGGACTTAACCGAGCAGGGGAAGAAAATCTTTGGAAAGGATAAGCTTGTATGTTTTCTTCTCCAGTCGAATGTCTGGTTTATAGGTGAAGGTTCTAACGTGTTTCAGCGCATTCAACAAATGCATCAGGATATCGTTCACGAATACCCACCCAATGTCGTTCCGCTTGGCTTTTCACCAAAATGTGCCGTGCAGGGAATGTACTCCCCCGGTCACTTTATCACTGTTCAGGGTCATCCCGAGTTCAGAGAGGATATTATAACTGAGATTATCACGATCCGAGCGGAGAGGGGTGTGTGGTCCCCGGAGGAAGCTCAGGATGCTCTAATTCGGGGAAAGACAGAGCATGATGGCGTTTATATCTTTGTGGTTTTCTTGAAATTCCTGCTTGGTGAGTTGGAATAGACTGTTTCTATGGTCATCGAAGTCTTCTCGCATAGATTGTTCATAGATTTAGATATTCATATACACCCAGAATATACACTTAATAAAGAATAAGTCCCCTGAAGCTTTTAATTGTAGTAATATATGCCCGCTTTTGATAAAGTACAATACCATGATATATATGGAAGAACATAGCAAGTGAGATCCATAACTCCAATGCCGTATACAATGGCAACATGAACGACCACCTGTCTCCAGAATAACCCTCGGCTCCAAAATTGCGCACCAAACAGCATCATTAACCTGTCGCATTCGGATCCTCCCGTTCTAAGAAAGTAGGATCCATCGCGACCCGCCGCTCAAACTTCGTCCACCAGTCCCGAAAGCTCTTCAGCGGAACAGTATCATCCCCAAAGCTAGCAAGGAAATTGAACGCATTCCCGATAATCCGCTGCGCAAGAACCTTGGTGGTAACCTCCTTCTCCTGTCGTTGTTCTGGCGCCTGGCGCACAAGGTCCGTCGTCGTCTCACCTCTGGGCTTCTCAGCCTCCAATGCAGCAAGTTGCGGCGCAACGGTTTGTAAAGGCTCAATTGAGATACCCAAAGTCACCATCCCATTGGGCACTGATCCCCCCGTAACATTGCTTGTGCCTTCGTCCAGCATTTCATCTTCTTCATCAGCTTCTGTGCGCCGAGGGCCTGACGAGGATTCACTCGATCGGACCTTGAAAATGTTGGATGGGTTTTCGTTTGCCAATGCGCCTATGAAGCGGAACTCCCCGCCGCCAGTCGGGGAATTGGGGTCGGGGAGCTGGATGTAGAGCGCGGCCGCAGTGTCTTGAGGGAGGACGGTGCCTGGTAGGAAAAAGACGGCAATGTCCGAAAAGGTAGGATGAGAGGGAAAGGTGAATGCGAATTTGGTGGCTTGTCCATTTGGTTGAGCGTCAACCGCGACACTTTCTGTCAGGCATGGTCTGCCTGGAACGATTACGGAGAACATGGCGGAGACGTCACAGGTGGGATGAGGTAGGCTGTTTGAGCGTCACTGACTAGAGGGCAATTTGTAGTAGTAGTAGTGGTATGATATGAAAGGAGAATGATGGTATTAAGCCGTACTAGATAAGCGGCAAGGATTAGTATGCATTGTCCAAAATAGCTGTCCTTTCCTTGAATCGCAAGCTAAGAAGAATTTCCTGGCGCATTCAATGATGGAATCTCAAAGAAGCGCAGCGGTGACGAAATGGCCCGTTGCCCTTATCGATAAGGGCTAGTAGCCAAATCTTGATGCCAGATTAGTGAGGCATAAGTGCAGACATCCAGGCAGCGATTGCGATCGGCAGTCAGACTCTTTGGACGAGGCTAACCACCAAGTGTACATACTAGATGCATATGGACCTTTCTCTCTTGTACATATTCTGCATTTGAACATAATCAATATCCGCCAACATGGGAAAGTCAATGCTAGACCTGATTGATGAATGCGACAAGTATGAGCGGTCCCCCCCGTCCGTTAACAAGTATCTAACCAGATGTCAGATTCCCGTATTACCATGATAACCCCGCATTTTATACTGCCCACTTGAAGACTTACCATGCCTTCAAAGTGAACGGATGCGATGCAATCTTGGGCTACATCCTCAACTCAATCGTGGACAAGTTCTACTGGCCAGACGGTTGGACTATCGACTCCAAAAACCAAACCGTCACCCTGGCTACCCCTGCAGATGCAACTCCTGAACAGCGCAGCAAGGTGGTAGCAGACACTCTTGCCGAAGCAGTCAAGCGAGAAAGCTTCGAAATCCTCAAGGGGTGGAGGAACGAGAGGTACCCGGTCTACGGACCTGGTGGGGAATACCTGCTCGAGATTGAACGGAGCGCCAGTGCGCTCTTTGGCATCGTCTCGTACGGTGTGCACGCGACCTGTTACGTTGAGGATGAGAATGGGCTGCGATTTTGGATTCCCAGACGTTCAAAGACCAAGCAAACCTATCCGGGCATGCTTGATAACACCGTGGCCGGTGGGATGAGCACGGGTGAGCGGCCCTTTGAGTGTGCCACCCGCGAGGCTATGGAGGAAGCCTCGCTGCCTGAAGACGTTGTCAAGGCCAATGCCACTCCGACTAGCTGTGTCACGTACTTTTATGTGCGCGATTCTCGAGCTGGAGGGGAAGTCGATCTGCTGCAACCCGAGGTGGAGTATATTTACGATATTAAGCTTGATGCCAGTATTATCCCCAAGCCAGGCGACACCGAGGTTGAAGAATTCCATCTATACACGGTTGAGCAAACCAAGCAGGCGATGGCGAATGGAGAATTCAAGCCCAACTGCGCCGTGGTTTTCATCGATTTCTTCATTAGACATGGACTCTTGACGCCTGAGAACGAGCCCGATTATTTGGAAATCGTCTCCAGATTGCATCGTCGTCTCGAATTCCCTACCGCATCGCATGCCACCAGATAAACAGTTGCCCACAGCAGCAAAGGAAGCCATGTATGCAAAGATGCAAAGATATATTTGATAATCTATTGATATACCCAATCACCAATTAAACGCCGACGCTGCAACCGAAATATGTCAATCAAATACAACCAACTTTTCTGACTATCCAGCGTGCCAATTTAACGCATTAGGCCGCATAAGTCCGAAGACAATCAAGTGATAAGACAGAGATTTCTTTATTTCTTAAGAAGCAGGTACACATAGTCAATTCTCAAGGGTGCCAGCTTCTTGTAGGGCCCCTCAAGGTAAAGCAGCAGTCCACCAAAGGAAATAAAGACCGCCCTAAAAGTGGTGATCGGTTAGCATATGCTTCATGTAGATAGCAACGCCAATGGCATGACAGTAGACATGCGACAAACGAAGCTAAGCGTAAAGAATCTGTAAAACTTACATGCTTCCAGCGGTCGCTCCCTCCTCGAATCGGTAGACCTTTCCGTGGCAGACGTAGTCATAGTCATTCGCCAGAGTTTGTTCGCCCATTCCGACATCTCTCCAGCTGGTCTTTGCCGCAGGGTCATCCTTTCCATCCAGCGAAAGTGTCGATGCGAGGGCCAGGTTGACGTTCTCGCCGACCGCGCAGGGGTAGAGCTCCGTGTTGACATCCAAGGTGAATGATGTGTACTGGTCGGAGGAAGTGCAGGTCAAACGAGAGACACGGTCATATTTCTGCTGGTTGACTCCGGTGATCGTGAAGGTGTCTTCGAAAAGTAGCGGATCAGACATGGTTGCGACCGTCTGCTGTCAAGCAGTCAAATAATCGGAACGGGTTTTAGGATAGTTGAAATCCAGTCACAGCTGGATGATGGATTCGGAACGAAATAGGTAATAAAAACACTGAAAAGCGTGGCGTGAAAAGCCGTGGAGGAATTGACGATAGCAGAAGAACCGGAGAGAGAAGAAGTCGAAAGGAAAGCCGCAGCTTTTTTTGCTCACGTTTTAGCGCACCGCCGCTTTTACGCCCAGAAGCTGCCCCGCCTCATGCAGAACTATTTTGCGCCCACCAGTTCCTAAAACCAACAGACACATACACACAATGTCTTTTCGCAAACGAAATATTGGCCTTTCGGCAGGCGTAGATCGAACTGCTGCTGCCAATTCCCCCGCGCAAGCACCACAGGCTGTTGCGACGCCAGAATCGAATCCCGGGATCCGCCCCTCCCCCGATGATGGGCGCCCGACAACTTCTACAGGCACACCATCGCTGGATAATCTGCTAGCAGGACATGGTGGTCTTCCTATTGGAAAGTTACTTTTGGTTGAGGAAAATGGAACTACAGACTTTGCGGGTGCATTGCTAAGGTACTATGCGGCAGAGGGTGTGGTGCAGGAGCAAAGAGTTCATGTCGTTGGAGTGCCCGAACAATGGGGCAGAGGTCTTCCTGGCTTGATAGGTTCTGCAGAAGCTGGAGAGGAAAAGACAGAGAAGCGATCGAGTGAGCGCATGAAAATTGCCTGGCGATATGAACGTCTGGGCGAGTTTGGCGCAGGAGTGGCAGGATCACGAGGTAAGCATCACTGTGGTCATTTACCTCCATTTCACCGGGTTATGCTAATTGATTCAGCACCTGCAGCTTCAGATCAGAACCAAGCGACAGCAGATGGAAGCCAGAGCAAGCAGCCGGCATTCTGCCATGCGTTTGACCTCACGAAACGTCTCACTCATCCTTCCATAACCAACATGACCTTTATCCCCCTCATCCCGTCGAGGGAACCGCTATTCCTCACTATTTACAAGCGACTTCAGACTGCCATCACATCAAGCCCGCCAAACACGGTCCACCGTATCGTCATTCCCTCTTTGCTCAACCCCACGATGTATCCGCCAGACGCCAGTCAGCCAGATAACATCCTGCAATTCCTCCACTCTCTGAAGGCACTCATGAACACACAAAACCAGCGTATCACCGCAATGATCACCATCCCTCTATCCCTGTTCCCACGGGCTTCGGGCATCATCCGATGGATGGAGCTCATCAGCGACGGAGTAATCGAGCTTTGTCCTTTCCCGCACTCCGCGGATGGTCTCGCAACATCGGGGGCTGCAACTTCTCATGAAGAACCACCACAGGGCATGCTGAAAACCCACCGACTACCAGTCCTCCATGAACGTGGCGGCGGTAGCGACCAGAACATTGGACAGGATTGGGCATTCACTCTTAGCAGGAAAAAGTTCGAGATTAAACCCTTCAGTTTACCGCCTGCTGAGGGAGACAAAGAAGCACAGGATGGAGCAGCAGCAGCTGGTGGAATGCCGAAGAAAGCAGATCTCGAGTTCTAATAAAAGTGCCGTAAATCGAAAGAAACACGATCAATTGATCATTCCTCGTGGTTTGAGTCTGCTAGCATATCCTCCATTTCGATCTGTTCGGACATGGCAGGACCGGTGTTGGCCATGTTTCGGAAATAGTCTCTTCCATAAGCATCGACTCCTGGCCGCATATGAGCGGCAAAACGACTCCTACGAAAGGATGAAATGGCAAGCCATGCTTAAAGAGTGTCAGCGTCCAGTCGATGACGGGAAACATCAAGCCTACCTAAGAAGAGAAGTAAAGGGGCGAAGAACACCAGGAAAAGCACTAGAAAGAAGTTCATTATCGAATGACTGCTTCTATATCTTCAAAATAATATAGACTAGTTTAAAATGATACCAAAATATTTCTCTCGTCGATGTGGAAAACATCATCAAGAGCCAGCAATTGCGGTCCGTCTCGGCTTCCGGAATGCAGCGCCCGAATAGGAAAAGCGCCCCCTCCACCTTTTTTCTTCCTTTAAGAATTTCTTCGCACCACCAAAATTCTTCTTCTCCATCAATTCTTCAAAGTCGACAGCTCCTGGTTTTGCTGGACAAATCCTAGAGCGACTATCATGTCATATTCTCTTTAATGGTAAGTGAATATGTGCTTTATTTGCTTGATTATCTCCTTAAGTGATTATATAACTACTATAATCTGTCAATCCCCTGAAGCTCAAATAATATCTCAATAATTCGAGCACCTGTGACTGAGAAACGTATTGAAAATGATTCTTGCCACTCATATACTGCTATATGTTGAATGATTCTGTTTGAGCCTACGCTAATACTAGAATCTTTTGCAGCACTGAATTAATATCATTGGATCAACCTAGTTGGAACAGTTACAATGGGCTCCGAACCCACCCTTCCTATACCGATTTCATATATATCCGGTAGCTACTTGATTTTCTCAATTGATGCAGTTACATATTTGAGACGCGAGCACCACATCTGCGGTGTTCTGGTCGGTACTCTGCCGCAGATCCCTCAGCAAAATGTCTTCTTGAGTCTGCCATTGGAGCTGATGCCGGAAGAGGCGAGGCTGCTGGTGGAAAAGGGTGTAGCGTGCATCGTAGATGAGGCAAAGGCCCATAAGGATGGCATGGCATCTCTCATGGAGGAGGATCGAAAAAGATACCTTCAAGACTTAGAAGCCCAAGGACTCCAAGCCATGCGTCTCCAAAATAGTCGAAGGGAGCAGAAGCGAGAGGAAGTCTTAAAGACATTAGATGAAAAGAAGGCCGCCAAGGCGAAGAAGGCTGCTCCGAAAGATACTGCCGAGGATGACACCAAGGAAGTCCCAGGTCTTGAACTCTTCGCAGGCGACCAGAAACCAGAAGCTAGCAAGCCATCCTCGCGTGCCCCGCCAGTATCATCTGAAGTCGCAATGGGCGTTACTCCCGCTACTTCCTACCCTCCACTCCCCGCTCAGCCGTCTTCTCAGCAGCTGTTGCCGCTCCCTAAAGTGCAGTCTTCCTATCCATTATTCGCTCATCTTCACTCGCAAGGTTACTTCTTGTCACCTGGCCTGCGGTTTGGATGTCAGTATATGGCATATCCTGGCGATCCTCTACGGTTTCACTCTCATTTCCTGGTTGTCTCTGCCGAATGGGATGAACCAATCGATCTGATGAATATCATTGTCGGAGGTCGTCTAGGCACCGGTGTGAAGAAGGGATTCCTCATCGGCGGAGCTGAGAAGGAGGCCGAAGAATCCGAGGCCAAGGGCAACGACAGCGTCAGGACGTTCAGCGTCGAGTGGGCGGGAATGTGAAATATGAGTCCCATGCTCATCCAGCTGATTATTCAACTCCTATCATCATGCTGTTGCTCCCATCGAGTGTTTACGTCTTCGGATTGCAGCGACATCTGTGGTTCTGGTGCCTCTGCTGTCTCAACCGACCTGTGCCAAACAAGTGGGATACTTGTCAGGTACTATCCACCTGATCAACTGACATGCCAGAACGCGCATCGCTTCGGCTTACACTACTTGGTGAACAAGCACTGTGGAAGCCTGCCTCATGCAAAGTATGAGCTTGGGGTGAAGCACAAAATGCCAGCACTCATTGCAGAGGGACGATGTATTCTAGCGTAAGAGCAGAACTACATTGTCAGAGATGATTTATAGCGGGTTCCAAAGGAATGTCTGTAGACATTCAGGATCTAAGCCTTATGTATTACCATGCATTTTCGCAAAAAGAATTTCATAAAATCAAAAATCATTTACATCAGCTTCATTTGAATTCATTCCACCATCGTAGTTATACTATTTGAGCCACAGTACTTTTTCTGTATAATAGTCAAAATCCATAGCCTTAGGCCATTGATGGCTTCTGTCATTTCATTGCAGATTCCAGCCACCCCTAGTGCAGAGCAGCCATGCCACTGAGGCACTGCTGATTCTCAACTAGCATCCAATTCGAAGCGAAACGGCGCGAGACTGACAGGCTTATTGGAGTATTCCAGACACATCCTTCTTGTCCCGATCACTATTCCTGATAGCAGGTAGCAAACAGGAAATGTGTATCGCTCCCAGGCCATATCGAAGATCTGAGACACGAAGGGTCCCTCGCCTGGAGATGCAACGAGATCTGCATTTGATCTTTTCGGTTTGATAATCAGGATAATCCAACTGCTTGATTGGTCGGTTATAGGTATTCGACGTTCCTCCACTTGAATTTCTTGTTGGATCTGTCAACTGCGCGGTTCTGGAATTGGCTGCCATGTAGTTCGAATACAAGGTCCTTTGGTGCGGTTTTGTCTTCAGGCTCTTCTGCGTCTGCGTTTTGCGAGACCGGTACAGGGAGATAGAAGCGAAAGATGGTCTGCTCTTTCGGAACATCTAAACACAATCTCAAGTCAACAGATGATCGCACCCATCGTAGGTTCCCAAGTTATCACTCACTCTTCAACTCATCCTTCTCCGTAATAATCACAAACGTAAACTTCGTATCCCTCACCACAATCCCCTTAATCCCAACACGACCCGCGCATCGACTCCGAACAACCTCAACCTCCGCCCCGTGGAAATCCGCACTGACAAGTTTACTCCCATGCGATTGCGCCGAGATGGGCGATGTAATCGGTCGATCCTTCAAATCCAGAATCTCTTGCATATACCCCACCCACATCTCATGGAGGCCTTTGAAAATCGCATACTTGCATTCCTCCTTGGGGAGGTCGTAGATGCCCGACGCGCGCTTCTCCCGCGCGGAGAGGGGCTTTGGCTTCTGCTTGCGGAGGAAGTATTCTTTCTTGCGGAGGCGGTGGAGGCGACGTCTGGAGCGGTTGTCGGCGGGTGTTGGGGATGTTGGACGGAGGAAGAGAGGTTTTTGTTTGATGCGTTCGGTGAAGAGTTGGTTTGCTGTGTCGGGGGAGTGGGCGCGGGCGAGGAGCTCGTGTGCGATGTGAAGTTTTGGTGTCGCCATGGTGGGGTGTATATGGATGGATATATGGTGGATGATTTGCAAGCTGATATTGTCTGCGATAGTTGAGGTACTGTCACCTATAAAAGGCGTTTTGCATGGTTGCCGTGGTGGATGAAGATGCGTTGGTGAAGTTGCAGCGGAGATTCAGAAAAAAAGATATCGCCAACTGATAAGGATTTATCGGCCTTGTCTTTCTCACCAACACCATCTCATCTCACTTTCATCAACCAGATGGGAATATCATCGAAGAAAGGATATAATTATATTCTGATAAACAATATGGCATGAAATTAATGACTAGAGCAAGAAAAAAGCTCATTTTCTCCAAGAATACTGCTTCGATGGATATAGGCAGAGCTGTCACTCACTCCAAACACTCGACTTCCCGAGCATTTTCTACTAACCAGCAGCAGAATAGAATCCATCCATCATCCATACTGTGGCTGTTCATCATGTCGATCTCGGCTGTCTGGATATGCGAATCTCCTCGGTTCCAGCTTCTTTCCCCGCATCAGGTGTCAGCCATTGACGGGCCATACAATACAGGATGACACTGCCATGGCTAAAGATGCATTTATTTCAATTGTTCTACATTGATCAATACTGTGAACAGAATACCAATATTTTCATAACCTCAACATGGCTGCTCAAACAGACAACTTTCCGGAATTGCCTCCCTTCCCAGCAGATGTGCCAACAGCTCCTCTTCTCCGTCTGTCTCTTGGGAAGCTCCTAAATCATGACAAGGACGAATGCCAGAACTTCATACAAGCATGTGAGAATATCGGATTCTTCTATCTGAATCTGCAGGACTCAGAGCATGGCAGCCGTATCCTTGAGGACGCAGACGAACTGTTCAAGATTGGCAGCGACTTGTTCGAGTTAAACCTCGAAGAGAAGCAGAAGTATGACTTTAGCAGCCAGAGCTCTTACTTTGGATATAAAGCGCAAGGAGCTGCCATCGTCGATCGCCAGGGAAATCCTGATCGGAATGAATTCTACAATGTCTGTCCATTCATCACCTCTATCACTTCGTTACTAAATCTAACACCATTCTTCAGATCTCCAAAGACGACATCATGGGCATTTCAAATCCCCTCCCAGCCCCAGACATCCTCCAGAAAAGTCGCAAAACACAAGAATCCTTCATTCAAACCTCCCACTCCATCGTCACACACCTCCTCAACCTCCTAAACGACAACCTCCAACTCCCACCCTCAACCCTCGCAAACCTCCACCGTCTCCACGCCAGAAGCGGCGACCAAATCCGCTTCGTCAAAGCTCCTCCACAGCCCACGGACGACAGACGCACCGCACTAGGCGAACACACGGATTTCGGAACCATCACTATCCTCTTCAACCGACTCGGCGGACTGCAGGTTCTTCCTCCCGGTCTGGACGCAGAATGGCTCTACGTACGCCCTCTCCCGGGCCATGCTATCGTCAACCTAGGCGATGCACTCGTCAAGTTCACGAATGGGCTTTTCAGATCGAATATCCACCGTGTTGTTTCGCCGCCAGGTACGCAGGCCGACAGTACCCGGTATAGTCTTGTTTACTTCTCGCGGCCGGAGGATGAAGTTCCTCTGCGCCGGTTAGATGGGACAGATCGCATCCCGTCTCTTGGTGAGGGCGTCATCGAAGAGGAAATTAATAGTAAGGATTGGATTATCCGGCGGGCGTTAGGCCGCAGGACGAATTTGGTTTCTGGAGTTGATTTTGAGAAATCGGCGGGGACGGAACAGTTGAGTCGGAGGATTAGGGTGTGATAGCTAGCTTTTGTGCTGCGTGTTTATTTCTTATGTAGCTGTAGCTAGCTACTGGTACCTGGATCTTATCTTGAATTTTTGAAACCCTAACCGGATACATCTTGTTCTACGAGATTTCCATCAATCAGTCAAGATATACAGTAGTAACAATCTATTCTGCAACTGATTCAATCCATTCATAATATCAGAGTATCTGGTATACTATAGAAAATGTATAGGGCCCAGTGTTATCCCCAAGTGGTAAATACAACATGTTTTATATTGTTCCAGCAACTCAACACAATACTTCACCTGGCTACTTCTGGCTGTTGTACTCTCTCTACATGTTTCAGATCTATCTAGCTTACAATAAAGTTAGTAGGAACAGCTCTACAATAGGTCCCCACAACCTGAGCAACACAGTCCACACTTGAAACATCACGTCTGGAATTGCATTGTGAGTGAATCGTAGGAGATATGTCAGTTCTGTGTTATTCTGTAGATTATATCTATCTATCTCTGTAGATTTTTATCTTCTTTTTCCTCTTCTTCAAACATACCTTTTCGTTTTCAAACTTCAAAAACTACTCAAGACTCAAGACTACGAAGTACTTACCTTTATCCGAAATCACCATCACCGAGAATATAGCCAACATCATGGAGGACAACTGGGAACCTCCTTTTCCGAGGAATGATTTGGATACAGAGTGTTCGGCGATCTCGATTCTCAGTAGTCCGCTCAGTACCCCCGGATCTCTATCGCCATCTCCCCCGACATCCCCTGCACGGTCCGAAGAAGCAAGGTTCATTTCCGCTGTCTCTGGTGAGTTGTCCCCATCTTGATCCTCAGTGCCCGTGACGCGAAGGGCTGACGGAAGTATATGGTGAAGAAAAATTTACCTCCTCGCTACTCTTTCGCCGAAGCGGAGGGTTCAAGAACTTGTCGATAGACATTCCGAACAAGCCCAAAGATTCACGGTCCTCGAAATCTGCCATAGTTAGGGAAACCCTCGATGAGATCGAGGAGAAACAGAACACCTTCTTTGTAATGGAGAAAGACCTAATACTTCCACTCTTGCCGGAAGAGAACTCGATACGGGATTTGATCGACTCTGACAAATACCGGAATGCTCGCATTCAACACCTCGAACCGTTAAAATACCAACCCGCTGGGTAAGTCAATCCCATTGGGCTTCTTTTCAGCCCTGACCATATGGATATAGCCTGCGAGCGGAGTTGAAACCCTATCAACTAGAGGGTCTTTCCTTTCTTCTACATCTCAAAAACAACGGGGTGGGTGGTATTCTTGGGGACGAGATGGGTCTTGGAAAAACAATCCAGACCCTCTCGCTGTTTCTGCACATAAGAGAAACCGAGGACATCCAATGTACAATTTGCCCCCCTTTCCTGGTCATATGCCCCTTGAGCGTTTTGGATAACTGGGTTTCTGAGGTGACGAAGTGGACGCCCGGTTTAAATGCAACCAAATTCCATGGCTCGCAAGCCGAAAAGGCCCAGATAAAATCTTTCATCGCCGCTAAGAAAGCGGGGAAGGGTCATGTGGAATCAAAGCCAATGCCTGATATTATCCTGACGACGTTTGATACCCTTCTCTCAGATAGAGCGTGGTTCTCCAGAGTGTTCGTTTGGAAGTATGTGGTATTGGATGAAGGTCATCGTATCAAAAACAGTGAGTCTAAACGAGCTCAGGCCCTTCGAGCCATCAAATCCGAGTTCAAATTGGTTCTCACGGGGTAAGTCTGGTATTGAATGTCGCCCTGATATACGCGCTGATACCGTTGTTTCAGTACACCTGTGCAGAACAATCTGAGAGAGCTTTGGTCGCTATTCAATTGGCTTTACCCGAATATATTCGTCCCATCCACTTCGGAAGTGTTTGAACAAGCGTTTTCTCTAGGTGAAGGAAGAGTGGACAGGGAATTTCTTGAGCATGCAAAAAGATTCCTCGGCCTGGTGATGCTTCGACGAGAAAAAGATTCAGCAGAAATCGGCATCACCATCCCTTCAAAAACAGAAATAACACTTTCTGTACCTCTTTCGGATCTCCAGCATTCTTGGTATCTCAAGGCCCTCACGGGCATCGATCAGATGTCCTATGGTGACCTTAGAAAACCCGGTTCAACCTCTTATAACCGGGCCATCGGCAATATCCTTATGGAGCTCAGAAAAGTGAGTAACATTACCCCGCCATTTGAGAAAGATATTAACACTAATAGTGCTCTATCCATCCGTATATGCTTGATGACGCCCTTCCAGACCCATACGAACCGGGCGATCATATCGCTATCAATTCTGGAAAATTCGTCGTCCTGCAGAAGCTTGTCGAGCAGTTTGTTTTTATGGACAAAAAGAAAGTTATCATTTTCTCTGGCTTTGATCAAGCTCTGAATATTTGCGAAGATCTTTTTTTCACGCTCAAAGAAAACGGATTGCGATTCGAGTACGTCCGCTTGGACGGAAAAACCTCCCGGGCTTGGAGGAATCTCAATATTCACCTCTTTAATAGCGACGAAAGATACCGGATTTTCTTGATTTCAACCAGGGCTGGCGGTGAGGGTATAAACCTCACCAGCGCGTCGACTGTGGTCTTCCTCGACGAAGACTGGAACCCCCAGGCCATGCGCCAGGCGGAGGCGAGAGTGCACAGGATTGGACAAACTCAACCAGTAACGGTTTTCAGACTATATTCCCGTGGGACTGTGGAAGAACAAATCCGCTGCCGAGTGGACAAGAAAGTTTACCTGGCCTCCAAGGTCACAGACAGCGTGCAATCACCTTGCGTTGACACTCCCTTCAGTCCCGGGGGAGTTCGGAACACCAACTGCGCAGACACAACGACTACGAATGGCAGTCTGGTGGCATCGCTTCGACGGGCTGCCTTTTCTGGGAATCATCTCGACACTAAGTACCTGACGTCTTTGGATTGGGAAACTCTTCTCAAAAAGTGCACGAACAACCAGAAACCAGACGAGGGCCTCCTAGGCCCCATCATGACCGACGAGGATGAGGAGGCATGGTTGAGACGTGTGGAGAAAGTTAAAACCAATATCTTCCAAGGCCTCAAAATTGACACGACCGCCCGATCTTCTCCAAAGGTCCAGGAAAACCCGGATCTTGGATTAGCACGAGCTGAGCGGCGAATTGGAAAAAAGCGAACTGTCAAAATTGATGGATATGACGTGCTCAGAAGTGATCTTCGACAGCCAGTTCCCATGACCAAGGATCAGGGTAAAAACGACACAACTGTCGAATTCGTACATGAGATAGTAAGTTTGAATACACATTCTTGATGGATATGCGCTCATCATCCCCAGACATGTTATGTTTGCAGGGGGTTCGATCCGACGGAATGTCAGGTTTGTCCCCGTGCTTTCCACAACGAGTGTGTCGAGAAGGTAGTTGAATTTCAGCCAAATCGCCCGGCGGGCTTTGCATGTCCGCATCACTATTGTTGCAGCTGCCATAAGCCCGCATCGCAGGTTGGGCGCCTTCTTTTTCCTTGTCGCTCATGCGAAAAGGCATACTGCGAGGTATGTCTGGATTGGAGCCGGGCCACATTCATTGGGACAAACCCCTCGTTCGAGCAAATGGGGTATTATCCAACGAGCGCATTCTATATAGAATGTGCGACCTGCAAGGCTGTCCCGAAGAGGAAGGTCAACATCCAAAACGAAAGCAAGCCAGCGAAGCGCATCAGAATTTAAATGTACGGAATGCGGTCATGGGCATAAGCGATTTGGAAAAATGCATCTGATAAGCTGCATGCGGTTGGTCAAGCGAGGCTCTTGTTTGGAGAAATCGGTCACGAAGAGATGTTTATGATGACGTGGATGTATTTGGACGATTCAAGATATGGCAACTTCCGGGTTCTTTTTCGTGGCGATTTCTGGCAGTCCGATAGGACGAGTCGGTTGAATGTGAGCATGAGGATTGGTTTGGCTTTGGTAGATATCGCATAGCAGTTCAATCGTAAGATGTGTATCTGCCAGCAGATATATGTGATGGATGAGTTGGCCATGCAGAGTAGGATGTATCAGATGCGGCAAACATGCCGCACACCATAGTTACTCCCTAACAGCACAGCTGACAGCAAGGCTATCCACGGGATTGTTCTGTTTCGACATGAATTACTTGCGTTTCAAAGGAATAAGACAGAGTACGTATGCCTGCAAAGATGACACCGGCTAATCGATTAACCTAAGGCTGCATCAGAACGAAAAGACAAAAGGCAAACATGCTTTACGAATCCAAGACATCACGAATGACCAGAATAGACAAAAACAACCGAGGCAAAGACGGGGCGGTACGTACATACATAACAGTAAGGGATGAGCTGAACTTACAAGCAAATAACTCCATTCAATATCAGATAATCCCCCGGAGAGGCATCCCATTCGCTTCCAAACTGTCGGGACCAGAACAGGAACAATAGTTTAAGAAAAGAAAAGAAAAGAAAAGAAAATACGAGTCACAAATGGTGCCGACAGCCAATGCAGGGCAAAAACCGATTATTTGGGAATGGAGAATCATCACACATCCCCGACGATTGGGATTGGATTTGCCATCGGGGGTTTGCCCATTGTGGTAGAAGGTCCAGTGCTAGGCTGGCAATGTGGCTGATGGGCTGAATATTGAGGATGTTCTTTTTGTGGCGGCAGGGTTTGAATCATGAGGTATTGGTTGCCTGGATGCCTGGATTCCTGCATGACTCGAGGCGTTTGTTTCTTGCATGATGAGATGATGATCACTTGAGATGACAGAAAAAAGAAAGGAAAGGAAAAGAGAGAAAGGAATTCAACGTGAAGGCAAAGTTGCATGGAGCACGTGAGCAGGATGCGCTGTCTGAAAAATACACATTACCATACCGGCTGTATCATCTGTATGCGTACCACGGAGCGTCAACCAGTACTTTCGGGCGGGTCGCCATCCGGTCCGAGCCGTAAAAGTGGATGTCTTGCTGGAAAAGGCAGGAGCATCATAGCAGGTATCTATGAGGCATAAGGCATAAGGCATTCAATATTCAGGCAGTCATATGAGTTGGTACCTGTACAGAGTATTGAGCTGAATGGCAATGGAGAGATGCCATAGGATAAGAATCAGTGGTCTAGAACTAACCCCTGTCCCGAAACTAGTATACAGGCCAGGAATAACATCCAATGCACTGGATGAGCAGAATAAGAATTATACACCAGGAACCAATCTGGCATCGTGCAGAATGACGAAATGAAACCACGGAGAATAAAGGAGACATCAATTGGGTCTGAGTTTATCCATGTCGAATACTCTGTAGTACTATGATCATACGATTCTGTCCCAATTGTGTGACTTTCTATCCTCCATAGTCCATATTCATATTACTTCTTTTCTTTTTTCTTCTTTTTCAGATAGTCCTGTAGATCGAAATACCAAATCACAGACAGCACACATCCATTAGTTAGCCCGGTCCACGAATCTATCCAGTCCAGTCCCGTCATAGCTTCCATTCCAATCGCAACCAAAATTGGATGACCCCAACATCCGGCCGAGAGTGTTTTATTTTCATCATTCAGCCCAGACCAGGGCCAGCCACGTATATAGTCATACAGAACACCGTTATAGTATTCCGTACTACTGGTATCCACCCACGGAGGGAGACACAGAATAGGACTAGAAGAGAGACATAGTTAGCCTCGGGGATTAACAAGAAACAACCGACACATCAGCTGTCAGTGTCAGTGTCAGTGTCAGTGCCAGTGTCTGATCATGATCGCTGAGAGGGGCTGAAGGGGGATATCCGATTATGGGGTACTGCCTTGTCGGGACTGGAGTCAGGAGTCGTCAGAGATGGACAGGAGATGGTAGAATGATACTATCGCCAAAACCGTTGTGGAAGTGGGGAGGGATCAGCTGTCATATTCGTTGCATGATTACTCTACTACCTACAGGAGATAGTCAACTACGGAGTAGCTAGTATGGTGACAGTTGAAGAAATATGAACTATCACATTTTGTCTCCCCCTGTTCTACTACTGTACTCCGTGCTTACTATTCACCTAGTGGTTGGTCTGATCGCTGCAGTCACAACGGTTTTGAAGCTTAATTCAGATGGATGCTGTAGGTGCAATTTACACAGAATCGATGGGTCAGATCTGAATAATCATGTATGCAGTTCGGCAATTAAGTGATATGTCACTTGCTGTGTAGCTACCTACCATAGCTATGCTATAGCTATAGCTATATTGTATGTAGATACTCATGATATCAATGAAGCATCTCATCCCATCCCTCTTCAACGGAATAATGAATAAGGACAATACTAATAATACCAAAATAACCAACTTCTACTTCGGGACCTTGGCACGTCACCTCAACCCACTCACCTACCCTTATCACCCATACTACATACCCCAAATATAATTTCCACCAACAACATCCATCCACTCTATCCATCCGATCCAGAAATACACCACCAATCCCGCCTCCCATAGCCGACTGTAATCCGTCAATACAGAAATAAAATAGAAAAAACCCGGATCCGAAGCCCCGGGAAATCAGCCGGGCCCAGCTGCATGTCCGAGGGGCTGAATGGAGCAGGTATCGACGGGCCTATCAGGGGGTGGTGGGGTTGGTGGTGCTTGATTGGTTGCGGGATTTGGTCGGTGTTTGCTGGTAGATAGCCTGATAGGAAGAGAATGGGTGATGAGTTATTGAGTGATGGTGATGGTGGTGCATTTATTGTATTGATAATAGTACTTTTATTATCTAGTATATCTATCTATCATATTGTATACAGTACTCTATAGTAGTGAAGATGAAGTAAAGTAAAGTAAAGTATACTGTAGATCGTTACACAATAGGCAATCAGTCAACTCCTACCAAAAACAGACCCAAATCCAGTCGATCCCTGATCACGGATCAATCCACTATCCAGTCAAGACCACATCAGCATCCTAATTCTTCAATTCTCTTATGTACCAGATATTCTAAATCCAGATTTTCTCGATAATAATATGGAACCTCTCCGACCGTTGGGCCCGCGCGGGTCGAAATCCAGTGGGTCATGGTCTTGCCATCCTGCGAGTTGCGACTTGGTCGGGTTGGGGATTTCCCGATTGTAGTGTTAGTCTATTTTACGTAGTACTCTCGGCGGTAACTTATTGCTTGTTAGATTTGATAGTCGATGGGGCTGGCACTTTGTCCACTTGTCTGTTGGCTGCTGCTCCATCGTGCTACGTATGTTCTGGGCCGCTGTGTCGAATCGAGTTTCAGGTGAGGTTGACGTCCTGAACAGCTGGCTTTTGCCACTGGCAGATTTTTACTAGTATGGTCTGTAGAATATTCACGAAGTGTAGGTAGTGTGATCTCGGTGGACGAACCACCATAATGTATTGCAATGAAAGCCATGCTCCCACTAAGTCTGATAATTCTGTCGTAACCGTGCGTAGAAAGAATGAATGCCAAAGTTCGCTCGGGGATGTCGGACAAGGAAAGGCAAGAAATCACAAAACATAGGCTTCCGCAAAATGATGCAATGAGTGGTATATGTAGGGAAAGAAAAGCAAAACACGCTGTGCAATCGTCGAGGCTATCTAAATACTGATTTCCAGCTTCGCAAGTCGATTCTGCACCCGTTTCACCGTTTCTGGATCGGGTTCGGGTTTGACTCGTTTTGGCCTGTATTCGTCAGTATTCTCAGTCTTCAGAACTCGTTCATCATCAAGTACATACGGGTGCCGTTTCGTCTCTGGTCCTTTTTCTACCCCACAGCTTGAACATGCCGTCTCTTTCGATTTCAATACAGTCGAGCATTCGTGGCAACTGTAGCGTACTCTCTGTCGTGGTTTTCTCCATACCCGTTCGGGCGGTTCAATCGGCGGATCCGCATCTCCAGGATAACCGTCTGGATATTTATCCAGTTTGGGCCTATATTCGTCAGTCTCACCACTCCATTCGATAGACATCTTCACATACGGATCACGAGGACACTTCTTGCAACGAACATGGTTGCAATTCTCGCACTCGGTCGAATTCACGCCAAACGTAGTATTGCACCGGTGACAAGTCCGCCGAACCCTCTGCCGTATCGGTCTGCGAATAAGATCCTGTCCACCGGTCCGCGAGGGAATCGTAAGCGGCGGGTCCCTGCTCTTGCGCTGCACAGGCGCAACATCCGGTCCATTTCTATCAATTCCCTTCCGTTCGGGAACCCTAGTTCGGAACTGGATCGCTCCCTCGCTCTGCTCCTTGTCCTTGGGCGTTGGGTGTCGAGGACATTTCTTGCATCGGACGTGCTGGCAGTTGACGCAGACCCTATCGGGGCCATAGGTAGTCTGGCATCGGTGACAGGTGCGACGAACTCTCATGCGAATCGGCTTGGCCACTCGCTGGACCGTCATGTCGCTCGGCGATCTCCATTCTCCCGGTTCAAGCGTCAATCCGTACTTGGCAAACAAGGCGCGGGCCTTGTCCTGTTGGATGGCGCTCCAGTGGGGGACAGAAGTCGATTCAGTGGTTCGATCGACGGTCGCGGGTTGAGTAGCAGGTTTGCTGATGGGCTTCTGCACCGGGGCGGGAGCCTGGGCCTTTGGGCTGCAGTGTGTTAGTCAATTAAAGTGCTAAATAGAGTAAAACAATAAGACGTACGCAGTAGTGTCCTTGCTGGATTCGCCTTCGGGAACGTGCGTGTTGCTAGGCTCGGAAGTAGTCTTGGGCGCCGTCGAAGTCCTCCTCAATGCCGTTCTGACTCGCCTGATATACTTTGACAGGCCCTCCTGCTTCTCCTCGCCTGGGTAGTTGGCTTCCGCTTGACCTGACATTTTGGCGATTTTAAAAATTTTCTTTGTCGTTGTTCGTTGATTTAATTGATCGCGGGCATCGATAATAATACCGGTTCTTCCTTTTAATAACGATCGGTCGGCTCTGTGCACCACGAAATCCCGTTCAAAAAATCCTCATAACCAACAAATCCCTCCGGTCGCAAGTCGTTAAAAATAGTAGAACCCGATTGAAAACACTTCAAGACCAGCCGATCAGGTCGAGTGGATAAAAAAAAACAGCGAGGCAGGAATAGTTGATAAAAGGACGACCGAGAGTGAGGCACCAGCCTATCAGTTGATTATTGGGTCACACGGGTACCGAGTCCAGAGGCTTGGGACAACCCGGCGAGACGGTGAGGGTTTGCGAACAGTAAGAAAGCGGCAAACGACCCAAAGCGCAGGGTCTGCAAGTGCCACTGGGCAGGGAAGCAGCTTTTTCTTTTTAATTTTGATTTTTCTTGGGCGAGTAATATCTGTGTAAGTTGGGCGGTAGAAAAACAGGTACAATAAAAAAAAAAGTGACCTGTTGAATTTTATTTTCCCCCAGGAATAGGTGGGAAGAGTGGTGTATATATCACCAGATCAAGAGGATGATGGGGTGGAGGAAAAGGGAGGGCAAAAAAAAAAAAGAAGAGAGAAGGACAGCCGAGCAGCAAAAGCCAAACGATAAATAGAATTGGAAGCCTGAACAAAGTTTCTGGGGGGGAAAAGAAAACGAGAGGAGAGGGGGGGAGAGCAAGACTAAAGGGAGTGGCACATGGGGCTGATAGGCCTGGTTTTTTCACTTTGCGCAGTCTGTTTTTTCAATTGATAGTATTTTCTAACTTTAATCATATTATAACAGTGAAAAAACAAAAATAATACACTCATACTTTGCAGGTACTCTGTCCAATTCCTACTGGACTCGATAATCCAGAAATCAGAACCAGATACCCGGCATAACTATGTGTTCATGGCATCTGACTGGTAATACTAGCCCCAGAAGCTCGATACCGTGGATCCGTGCGAAAGGTAAAATAATGAAACAAAATTAAAATTAAAAAAAGGGTGTTTTTTCCACTGCCGAAAGGGCCGAAGCGGTGGTGGTGACAGACTAGCGCCAAGGCTACCCAAGACGCTAGCCCGCTAGCCCCACCGGCTAAGTCGATAGCTGGCGAACCATGAGGCTGGCGGGGCGCTGGAGGGGTGGGGGGCCTAGGGTGGACTGGGTGGGAACCATGGAAATCGAGAATTGTGGGATCCTCTTTACCCTCTCTGGCACCTTGTCCGAGTGGGAAGTGGAGAGCGTCTCGCCCGTCTTTTTTATCTTTTTTATCTTTTTTTGGGCATATTTTCTTTTTTTTTTATTATCTTCCAGGGGTCTGAGACGTCTGGGACGGAAGAAATATCGATATCATGATTCAAATCGGGATCATCAAAACGATGACATCTCTTGGCCTATTCATTACGAGTCATGGGAATGTATACTGATGTAGGAGAAAAAAAAGAAGGTTGTCAATTTGAATTCTCATCCTCCTTCTCTGATAATTGCTTTTCCTGCTCCCTCAATGACTCTTTTCTAATGCTCATGTCATCAGACATCGTGCTGCATAGTCTAGACGATCATAGGTTTTTTAATTAGCCCAATTCATGTAGCCGAGCTGCTGCCAGCATGGTCGAAAGTTAATTCCTTTTTGCGATCGTGCCAGCCGATCATTATGTTTCATGGCAGAGATAATTGATAAGTCGACCATGGTTTCTGAGGAATTGGAATGGAGTATCAAATCATATGAACCGTCCTCCCATATTGTGTCAAACAATCCTATTATCATCATGGCATGTCATGAATCATGATGGAAAGCAAGACATGCCGGAAACGGGGGGCATTACGTCAATCCATCGGAGATAACCTGACGTAAGGTATCTATCCGTATTTTTACTGTATTATATTACCCCTGATGAGAATTGGCAACTGTCAACCGAGTATAGATAAATAAGTATCCCTCTGGTTCTGAATAGTTCAGGCACTATCAGCCATGAGCTGAATATTCTCTAGGCATTCATATGAATATAGGAGATGTACATGGCCAGTGTGCTGGATAGGAGACAGACTGACGCGACACCGACCGACTAACGTAGAAACGCGACCATGCATGCTGCACGACAAGATGCGCTGGATCGAACTCTCGAACCACCGTTCAGTCTTAATCTTTAGACTGCTTCCTTCGGAAGAGTCTTGTCAAACATCCGCTACATGATCATCCCACATGATAAAGTATCTTTTAATTAATAAATGCCATTATATACGGGATGATTGAATGCCCAACGGCTTCATGCATGGTCAATGGGCTGCAGATTTGGTGTTTTCTTTTTGCTTTCTGGCTAGTTTCTAGGCGACGGTTACACTGCATCTTGCGAGGAGTTGAGTAGAGTTTCGGAGAATTTAGGACATCCCCACTGTCTATATGATATTGAAAAAAATATTATATTCATTTTCATATTCATATAACTAGTATACTCATATAGTACTATTTACTACTATAAAATGTGTTGAATATAGTACCATAGTAGTACTACTTCAGTACTATGGCACTGTTGTACATGGTCAGTGCTGGCGCCAGGCCACTGGGTCTCTCCATTCCATCCAAACATCCCAAATCCAGCCCAAACCTGAACAATCCGATCTCCGGGATCAAGGCGTGGATCCAGCCAGGCCTTTCCGCCAATCATTCAACAGGGATTGGGGTTCCGGCGGCACGGGGAAGTTTGCCTGGGATAGACTGAATCAGTGCGACGGGCTAGGTCCACTTAGTGTGTATTCGTACTCGGTACATAGTACCGTATGTGGTGTATGGTGGTTTTTGCATACGGAAACTCAAAGCACAGTATCTACAAAGTACAAATAAAGTACATACAATAGAATGGATAAGATAGTATGGAGACATATTGTCAGTTATTAGAGGATGCCTATGTACATGAGATAATAAATATTTCTACTGTACACTCTACAATCTACACTATGGTCATCTGAAGCAGTATGCATTAAATACTCTGTACTCGTAACAACCAGGATTATATGCTCTGTAACCATCCATAATCCCACCCTACATAGTAATCATCGTCCTCCCCACCCTTTTCTCTCCCAATTTTCTGGCTCTTCGCCTTATCCTCGCCACGCTGTCTACCTCATCCTGCAGCTTGCTGGTGGCAATCGTGTCCATGTGAATCTAGAAGAACACAGTGGAGTGTCCATCTGTTACCGCTTACTGACTTGTGCATGTGTTGTTTGTCTCACTGGTCCCGTGGATATATCCTATATCGGATGGCTGTATCGACAATTGACTAATGGCCGTATCTACAGACCGCACTGTACTCGCAACTGCAACAGCTAGTTGAACCATGGGATATCCTATACTAAATAATGCCTCATAGGAAAGCATTCATATGTGTATCAGACTGTGTACTCGATCCATCCTCCAACCCTGCAATTTGCAATCCTCAAATTCAGTCCTCGCCCTGTAGCCTCTTTTCAATACCGATGATATCGTCCTCGCTCTCCACATCAAGCACTCGGTTCACCTCCGCCGTACTACGCATCAGCTCGACTGCACCGGCGTACGTCATCCGCAGGTTGGGGTTGCAGTTCTCGGGGAGATAGTAAAGGAGGACATATGGCACTGCCAGACGACCAGAGCCCTAGGGGGGTATTAGCCAGCGCTTAAAGCGTAGACAAGAAATGGGAAATAATCCACCAAGGTGAGAGGATAGCTCAGGAGGATAAACCGCGGTGACGATTCGGGAAGCTCGTCCGCCAAATCTTCCATCTTGGAGTAGACCTGTCCATCTTCAGGTCGAATCTCTTGGCTCTTGGGATCGATTATATCTGTCAAATCAGAAACAGGATCGTCAGCTCTGGAACCGTCTCAGGGATTTGAATATGGGCCGGATAGAAATCATATGGCATGCGCCTTGCGTCGGCGGGTACGCATAGAAGGCCTGGGGATGGGGAAACAGGGAAAGAGAACGGGCGATCCTACAAATAATGGCTTGCGCATCTTTGGCTCTAGATGTTGTCAGGCGAAACTTGCGCAGCTTCTCCTTTGTCTCCGGGGAGAAAGAATATAACCGGGACTCTGACGACTGTAGCCATCACCATTGTTAGCCACGAGAGCAGAATGCGGGGCAGGATCACCTACCATGTTGGATATTATATGGGAAGGACTGGCAGACAGTCGAGTATATTGACAATATAGCAAAACCAAAAGCTGCACAGAGTCAATATTGTGCTTTCAGCCAAAACCACAGAGCAAGCAGGATGCGTGGTTGTCGTCGCTGCAGAAGACGCAAAGTGGGAATTGCTGCGATCGGAACTTCTCTTTCCCCACCTCCCTCCAAAAGCCATCTCCATCTCCGCCCTCTCTTCTCCAGCCCTCCTCCACCTCTCCTCCAACAACCCCCCATGTTCTCGCGCCTCAATCAACTCACCCGCCAGTTCACCCGTCCTGCCCTCCGTTCGGCATCTTCGATTTCTTCGCCTGCATCGTCTCCGTTGAATCGATTTCCATCCACCATGACATCATCCGCGGTCTCCAATCATTCCCGGACAATACACACGGCGGCCTGTTTGATCATCGGTGATGAGGTGCTTGGTGGAAAGGTGAGCTTCACTGCTCGTCATTGGGATCTGTTTTGATTCGGGAGAAATAACCGTTGGATATCGTTGCTAGACCATCGACACTAACTCCGCTTTCTTCGCCAAATACTGTTTCTCTCTTGGAATCCAGCTGAAGCGAATTGAAGTCATCGCAGACGATGAGAGTGAAATCGTCGAGGCCGTCCGACGCATGAGCAATCGCTATGACTTTGTCGTTACCAGCGGTGGTATTGGGCCTACGTTCGTATACCCATTCCTCACTCGCTATAACTACCAGGCTAACATTGTCGACCAAAAGCCACGATGATATCACCTACGAATCGATAGCCAAGGCATTCGGTCTGAAGTTGAGATTGCACACACCCTCTTTTGAGCGCATGAAGAAACTTTCCAAGCCTCATCCGATGCAGCCACACTTTGACTGGGACACTCCCTCACCGGGTTTGACTGCGAAGCTCCGCATGGTTGAGCTCCCCCATGACGAGAAAATCCCCGACGAACAACAAGCTGTCTTCGTCGCAGATGACATGTGGGTTCCAATTGCCATCGTCAACGGCAACGTTCACATCCTCCCCGGTGTGCCGCGTCTCTTCGAGAGACTGCTTGATAGCCTCAAGCCCTCCTTGCTCCCACGCTTGACCAACCCAGATGGAAAGGGAATCCACCGCTTCCTCTTCAGCACACCTCTCCCAGAAAGCGCCGTCGCTCCATACCTGACCGACCTCGCCGTCAGAGCGTCCCCGCACGGCGTCAAGGTCGGCAGCTACCCCCGCTGGGGCAACAAGCGCAACACCGTCACTCTAGTCGGCACCGACCAGGCTTTTATGGATTCATTAATTCCGGAGGTCGAGGAGAACATTAATGGCAGAAAGGTGACTTACGAGGAAGAACTGGACCCTCCATCCGAAGGCGAAGAGAGCAAGTAGACATGATTATATTGATACCTGGCCGTGTCCGACAGATTTGGGGTTTCTTTTCTTTTGTATATTCAATTGATCAGCTGCTAGCACATTATACCTAGATTTGTAGACACCCATGAACAGACATGAATATGTTCGCATTTTTATACTTCATATATAGTAGTCTATGTTGATGTTCTCGCCACTTTTGGCAGACAGCTGCAATATCCATGTATTGCTTGCATTGCATACAGCATCCATGTGCATGCGAATATATATCCGATCAAGAACTATACTCGAACTTGGAATGATCAATTTCCCCATAATCCCTGGAATATACTTCTGAATGGTGGTTAAATGATTCAAGTGTAAGGATATATATTAGGTTCATTTATTCGGATCAATGTTTATTATCATTAATATCAATCCACGGAATCACCTATAACCAAAAAGTAGATCTTAGTGGTGATGCAGGATATTTTCAAAACCAATCTACGAGAGTAGCATTCTGCTCTAGACGCTGTTTTAGAGGCGGTTATCACAATATATCATAATTTATTATATAAATTGATCCCTCCGCCAATTCAGACGTGCAGATCTCACGTACAAACGGGATGAAAATAAAATAGTCTTATAGCCAATCTAAAGAGGTTGAGGTTGACTGGCCCCGGAACAGAGGGCGTCGTGCGATTACCTTGTCACCATGCATCCAAAGGGATGCCATGTTTGGAGCTTGAGACAACCTCAACGGAAATAACAGAATAGAAGAAGACAATAGAAAAAAAAAAGTTCAAATAGAGGTTCGGAATCCTGATATGTCACAATAGATAGATGGTAGATATGACAGAAGACGGCGAATGACAAAAGACATGAAAAATATGCAGCCCCGATAACCAGACGCAAGCCATAACAATAGCATGTATCTCCGCAAGGACAGATATACAAAAGGCCCGTCGCCTCGTTCTGCCAAAGAATGGGAAATCATCAAGACAGCAAATCTTTCAAAAAAGCAATCAAAGGAACAAAGGGGGAATCGAACGTTCATGGAGACGATGACGGCATTAAGGTGGGAGCGGACATCATCCGATAGCGAGCCTCGTATGTTATAGAATCACAGCTAAAGCGCATTGACAAGCCGGTTTCAACTTCCAGACCGTGGCACACTCTTGTGACCAAGTCTCTCCGTTTTTTTCTTTTTCTTTTTTTCTTTCTTTTCTCGTATTTCGGTGGTAGGGTTTATAATGATGTTTCCTCTCGTGTCTCGACTTGTGCGCCCTGTAGATCTTTCAAAACCCAAAAATTACATAATAATGCACTTTGCACAGCAGCCTTCGCTGTCGCCTGGCTCGCTCATGTCCATTTTGCCTTCGGGCGCGCGTGAGCCGAATGCGCCCGAGCCAGATGGGTACGACGACATCTCTTTGTTGTATCGGCGAATTTCACGGACGAGATCGTAGAAGGCGTTTTCGACGTTGATGCGCGACTTGGCGGAGGTTTCGATGAACTTGCAGCCGAATTCCTTCGCGAGAGCCTCACCCTCTGGGGAAAGCACACCGTCATTAGCATACGATCAACCGAGTGAACCTGTCAATGTCTAAACCCACCTTGCTCTGTGACCACCCGTTCCTTCTCCAAATCGCACTTGTTGGCAACGACGATGATGGGGAAGTAGTCCTTGTCCTTCACTCGTAGAATTTGTTGTTGGAATGTCATGATTTCTTCGAAGGATTGGCGGGATGTTATCGAGTAAATCAACAAGAAACCTTCACCGGTTCGCATGTATTGTTCGCGCATTGCCGAGTATTCCTCCTGTCCGGCGGTATCTAGGACATCCAACAAAGCAACCTCATCATCGATAACGCACTGCTTGCGGTATGAATCTGTATAGCAGGGATCCTGTATGAGCCAAACGATCGAGAACGGTTACAAACACGTCGCCCACCTTCAATTGTCGGATCATATTCGTCGACGAAGTGACTCTGAATCAATTGAATCGTCAAGCATGACTTTCCGACGCCACCACCACCGACAACGACCAGCTTGTATTCTCTTAAAAACTACAGTGAGATAAAAATGTAAGCCATCAATCATTTTTTTATAAGATATATAACGGTTGATTAATTTTTTTTCCTCTTTCGAGTTTTCCTCCATTTTTTGTTGAATAAAACAAAATGCGCGGGAGCGAAAGAGATAGGGAGATAGGGAATAGGGAAAAAACGAAACGAAAAAAGAGGCAAATGGTGGACGGGGATGTCTAGCAAGAAGCGTGCTTACCTTTGAAGCCATGGCGGCAGAATATGTCTCTGACTATTATTGTCAAGAGGTAAGGAAGAGAGGGGGGAGAGAGAGGGGGGTGGAGGAAGGGAAAGAAAACGGGTGATCGAAGCTATCTCAACACCAAACCGCAACAGCAGACAGAGGCAGAGCAGCAGCAGCAGCAACACAATTTTCTTTTGCAGAAGGGTCGAAAGTCGGGACCCAGCTCGTCGGGAGAGTTTCGCGCAAGAAGGAGGCGCCTAAAGAGCAGTCCACAGCAGCAGCGGGTCTAGTGACTAGGCCAAGCTTAAAGCAGACGGGGGTCGGAGGGGGAGTTCTAGGTAGAGGATCAGGGGGTTCGTCGCAAGAACTCGCAGTAGGGCGTGGAATTGAACGTGAGCGGGTGGTGGCTGGTAGGGTCTTTTTCTCTCTCTTTCTTTTTTAAGAGGAGAGGGGGAGAAAAAAAAATCTGTTTTTTTTTTTTTTTTTTTTTCGACTAATAAAGAGAAGAAGTTAACAATTGAAAGATAGAAAATAAACCCCTAGGATGACGACGGGGGCTGGCAATGGGAAGAGGGGAGGGGAAGGGGGGTGATGATTAAGGAGAGTGGCATTAAGTTAGAAGAACGGAGGAAGAAGGAAGTGGGGATGGAATGGGCAAATGTGAGAGGGAGAAAAGCAAAAAAACGTACCTTTAGATTGATCCGAGGTATTTAAAACTCGGTCAGTAGTGTAGATGGATGGAATTGGATTATTGGGGCGTGGATTAAAGGGAGAGAGAGAGACTGAGAGGAAGAGAGAAGAAGAGAAGTTGGAGAAAGAGTGGAGGAGGAAGTGGTGGTGTGTGTGGAATTATTAGTTGGGGAGACAGACAGACACGCGCAAACAACCAGATGGCAGGAGATCAGTCAACTCTCGAGGCCAACAACAACTGCCAAACAGAAGATGGAACCACCTTTTGGTTATTGTGATGAATATATGAGGGTGAGATAAAGAACAACACCCTGCAGATGAAAAAGAAAGGGGGATGCAGCAGAGGATACAGGATGCATACAGACAGACAGTAAGGTCATTGCTGCGATTATTTGTCCAAATTATTTGCCAGCCCCTCTGACCACTCTGGTCCAGCCATCCAATCTCTTTTGATTCTATTCTATTTCTATTCGTATGATCCATCTGCCATCATGATGCTGATGATTAGATTAATCTTCACCCAGTTCCACTCTAGCGCCGGTCGACAGTCGTTCTTAAAATCGCCCATTCGACCCTGGCCGGTTTGTCGTCACAGCACCAAGGGCTCGATGAACGAACGGCTCTACCAATCCACTGGTCAGTCTGGATCAAAGATTAGCGGGAAAATAATCACAATCGGCGTCGTTTGGTTGATTGCTTTTGCCGTCTTCGAATCCTTCGAGAGGCGTCGAGCCAAGCGGGAAATCATCATCGACGGACACAGACTACAGAGTATCCAAGCACGGCTTCTAGGCCGAGATTCGAGAAGCTACTTGCCAAACGACACGACGACACCAGGAAAGGAGCTTTAAATACCACCTGGCTCACAAATGGTTGGTAGACTACGAATTGTCTGAGCGCCCCAAAACCAAGGAATCAGACCCCATCCACGAAAACCAGCAAACGGAGAAATACGGTTCTCATCCCTCGAGCCAGACAACCTTGTTCGGGACGCCATCCTGGGTGTCATGATCTCATGGAATTCCTACAGCCTTCTAGAAAACGATTAAGCCTCAACGTTCTCGAGTAGGGCCTCTTGAACTTTTCATTTCCACTCTTACATCAGCTTTCTAACTACAACTGTCCCTGCCCTCCGTCGAAAAGGTTGAAACATGGTCAATTTGATCGCTTCCCGGCTGCACTGCCCTAGGCTTTTAGCCTACAACTCGAGTCTTGTTCCCCACGCCTCCACTTCCCAAAGGCGATATTCATCCGTGGCTCTAAGGCCATGAGATGGCATCCAATCATGGATGCCATCACCTGTGATAGCATCGTGAACCTGGACCCCTTGTAGTTTTGTACATATACCTAGGTAAGTACGGGGTGCATACTCAGCAATCAACATATGATGGTCTTTGATAGAACATACTACTCCGCACTGGAAGCCGATAAAAAACATACCATAATACTTGTCACTTTTGTGGCCAGAGCCTTGCATCATATTGCTGATTATCCACCAGTTGATCATTCCACTCTAGGTCATACCAGTCAATTAACTCCCGAAGCCAACAATTGACGATTTCTACTGAGGGAACCTTTTCCGTATAATCGCACCACAACTGCGACCATAATGAATATCATTGAGATTGATCCAGACTTTCCAGTCCATATCCATATTAATATTGACAATTGTGAATGCAGATCCCGGATAATAACCCCCCGCCCAGGCGAATAAATAGCATCGGATATGACTTACAGTTACAGACTACCGACAGACGACGGATACTCCATAATATAAAATTATCCTCGACCAACTCCGTACTTGATTTCAAGGGGATAATCACCCCGTTTAGGAAGTATATTTGATGGCACACTCTCTGTGCGTGGTTTTTATCTCATTTCCTCATGCAGGGCTGTCTCAACCTCAATCTCATCTTTGCTGTATACTGTACGGGATGTACTGTAACCAGACAATATCAGAATATCAGCAAGGGACTCTTTCAGCAATCATGATACTCTGTCCTCCGTGACTCATGACAGATAGCTATCAATGATCCACAATAATTCCATCTATATATATCAACATCTATCAAACCTCGAGATATCTAGACCCTGACTATGGAGAACACAATTGTAACTAACTAATACGGAGAATCCGATCCCCCCCATCTCCTCTTCTCCGTGGAACCCCTAATCCACCGGGTTGCACTATGACTGGCGGACATACCAACTGATCTGCTCTTACTGTCAACCAACCGATGGCATTTACGAGAGAGTGTGAAATCATGTCCAGAAAAAATCATAAAAAAAAAAAAGCTCATAGTAAATGAGAAGCGAAAAAAAGTAAAAAGAAAGTCTATATTATTCTCAGAAACCATAATTATTCGTATTTCCCGTCTCTCTATCGCTCATCTCTCTGTCTCTCTCTCTTTTTGATTGATTGCAGTCTGTGCCTTGGTTTTACTCGGGTTTCCAGACTTGGAATAGGGGGTGGTTTATTAGTTAGTTTCTCTCTCCACCTCCCCCCCCCCTTTTTTTTTTTCTCTCTGCCCACGACATTCCTTGGATAGTTAGATTGATGTCGATATTAAAGAACTAAAAAATAAAAAATAGAAATAAATGAATCAGGATTGCATGTTGTTTTTTATTTGTTCATGTTGAGTAAGCTGCAAGGTACATGGGTGGTTGCTGGTTAGGTTGGTTGCATGGCCACGTCGTCAGGGACGAAGCTGCAATTAAATTGAAACAGTTTGCAGTAAGTGCACTCTGGCGGAGGGTCAATTGGATGGTTTGTTATCTATTATGATTCATGGTTCATGACTCGATTTACTTATCGCTGTTCACTGTTTGCTGTTCGCTGCTGCAGCGTCTCTACAGGTAGAATGTACGGTGTATGGATGGTCTGGCATGATCGCTGCGTTATTCCCTACGACTGATATAATTCTATTTGTGTATATATGTTTCTATCAGACTGTCACCTCGCAGATTTTACGATGACTTGTGCACCGCAGTGGGCGATGCCTGTGAAACGGTCAGCGCTAGTTGCTCTACACACATAATTGCGGTGTGATAGTATGGATTGCATCGGCGTCTTACCTGGTGACTCGGGAAGATCAACGTATCGGCAATCACAACATTCTCTCGTCGTCCGGCGGCAAAAACGATTACTTCTGCGATGTCGTCAGGTGTAAGTGGCTCGCAGCCCCTGCAGGAACATGTCAGTTCTCTTTCCTTTTCCCCATGTATGTGTTGTCGGCCAGGGCTTATCATACGCATAGACGGCATCTGCTTTGGCCTTGTCACCGTAAAATCGCACCAGGGAGAATTCCTATTCGATCGAGTTGATTAGTTTTTGTCATGAGCAATTGCATCGGGGAAGTCTCACGGTTTCCACTTGACCAGGGTCAATCTCGATAATCCGGATTCTCGACGCGATCAGTTCCTTTCTCAAAGCATCGGTGAAGGATTTCACGGCGGCCTTTGTAGCACAGTAGATACTTCCACCGGGGTATGCTTCACGGCCAGCGATGCTTCCAATGTTGATGATATCTCCCCGGCCTCCGTCGCTTCTCTTCTTGAAAATGGGAAGGATTGCCTGAGTCATGTTGATCAAACCGTTGACGTTGGTGTTGAACATCACATTGATATCTTCAGTTTCGATTTCGGGGGCCTTTGCAACACCCCGGACCAGACCACTACTTGCTGTCAGTACATCATCCACTTGCAAAGCACATGTTGACTCACGCATTGTTAACCAGAACATCAATCTCCTGGAATTCAGCCGGCAGGGAGGGCACAAAGTTCTTGACTTCCTCCGGGTTGCTCACATCCAGCTTCACGGGGAGCACTTGGACGCCATCACCAACTTCCTCCTTGATTTCCTGAGAAATCTGGTTCAACGAGTCGATACGCCGTGCTGTCAAGATAAGCTTCAGGCTCTTGGGTGATGTACGAGCGAACTCCTTGGCAGTGCTTCTGCCAATTCCTGCCGAAGCACCGGTCACCAAGACCGTCTTGCCTTCAAGGCGCTTTGCCATTGCCGTCGCCATTGTGCGTCGGATGAATCCCGGGTTGGTTATAGAGTTGAACTGGTTAGGTCGTGCGGAGAGGGCACCAGAAAGGGAGGTGAGATGACGAAGGGATCTAAGGGATTTGCTGTATAGTCTTAGGTGATTCATAAATGGTGTTCCGCTGGGGACCCTCAAGACTGAAGTAAGAAAAAGAGACGAGAAAAAATTAACTCCGAGAAAGCCAGAGAACGATAGAGAAATGGCCGTGGTGAATGATACCATCGTGTGCGGGGAAAGCGAATCGTCATTCGGCACGGGGGCGGGGCGGCCAGAAGATACCGGCTGAAGGTTTGACCGATCGGACTTCCTCCCGATGGGTGTTTTCTTTCAACTTTCAAGAGGCCAGTGATCAGATATCTCTATACCGGTTGCTCTTTTCTGGGCTCTGGTTTATATATTTTCGACCCAATGGACCGTTCATCCAACTGCGGGTCTTGCCAACGGACCATACAATGTTCTATATTGGGGATCCGTGGATCAAGCTCGCCATGCCCAGCTTTCGATATGCCAGACATCATCACAACGAGCTAACAGGCTGATTAGACGGCAGCTCTGTTGAATAGATCCTATATATTATGGATGGCAAATTTTCCAGACGAAAGAAAACGGAAACAGTCAGAACCAAAACATCTCTATACCAGGCTGGGGCTTCATGCCTGACGAAACGATTGACGGTCGAGTTAGTTGTCACGGCCTGACTCTGATTTACCTTTAAGCTCATAGACTAATGATGACCAGGTGCAATGGCGCCAATCTTCCGAAGCTTATCTCTAAAAGCCCTTTCGATATATACGGATAAATCTGGGATGATTCCTATATACGTCGCCGCACAATGTCTTCTCGGGGTTCTCCTTTACGACTTATATCGGCATTTTCCTGGAGTTGATTACCCAATGGCTATATACACGGTCATTACCGACTATGGCGTCACGGTCTAGATCAATGATCAAGGGGTTTGCCTAAAATTGGATGACAGGAACGGCAGTCTACTTCGGATTGATAGGCAGCTACTGACAATGACCTCACTTAACGGAGATCTTAGAGGTCCGTATGGGATTCTCCAGATATATCATATATCAAGACTGTTCTAGGCCTGCTATCTGTCAACTTATATACCGTCAAGCCGGATATTGGACTGCCTCAGGCTGAATGATCGCCATATTATACTGGAATATCCCGATGAAGGCTGGTATATTCCGACGGAAAGCTACATGGTTATCCTGATATAAAAATGCATTTATATCTTCAACGGAGATCTCCAGGGAGGGTTATAGTATATAAAGAGGTAATTTCTCCCCACAGCTCTCTCTATCTTCCTTCCAACTACATCTATCTTCAACTCTCTATTGCAAAGCTTCAAGCTTCACAGAAAGCAATTCTATTTCTGCTTTCAATATCTTGATACCAATCCACATACCTACTACTCAAGATGTCTTCTATGTCAGCAATGGAGACCAGCCGTATGGGCGCTGTTGAGCAGGTGAAGTCGAGTAAGGATTCATCTTGGTACCAAATGCTAATATATAACTTGCTACTTAGGTTACCATGAACATGGAAGACCTGCTTAGGCTAATTCCCATGGATTGGGCGGAGGAGATGGAGATGGAGATGGAGGTGGAGATGGAGATGGAGGAGGAGGGGAGTGAGAGGGAAGAGCTGCCACGGGCAGATAACTTCGATTGGGCGGAGGATGTCCAGGAGGAAGTGAGCGAGAGCTCCAAGCGGATCGAGATCGTGGACGACAGAATAATCGATTCGTCGTCGGACTCTGGCAGCTTCGGAAGCGCCTTCGACAGTGACAGCGACAGCGACAACGGGAACCTTTTCGAACCCAGCGAGACACAGGCAATGATCAACAGCATGCAGGAAGATGTCAGGCGCGAATTTTCATTCCGCGACTACTGCATGAAAGCAGACGAAGACGAGACCGTCCACCATTTCAATTGGATGGGATGTCCAGTTTACGAATACAACTGGACACCTGCAGTGATCTCCTTGCTGTTCCTGATGTCGAGCCCGAAGATCCCACGACTAGGCGACGAATACCGCCTACGATCAATCATGACAAGGGCCATGGTTTGGGTGGACCCAGTCATTGTCCACCTCGAAGACGGATGGAAGGACCTTCATCGGCGAGGTCTTGACCTTGTCCGTTTTGCGACTGGCCGGGTGTTCAAATTCTACTCGCCGCACGGCACCTGGGTCAACGACGAGAGGGAAATCAGCGAAGAGACGGCGTTGGATGATGGTGACATCCAGACATATCTTGCGTCTGGGATGGCTCAGGGCAACGGGTTCGTCAAGCTCTGCACCATCAGGTCAAGGGATCAGTGGGAGGAAACGAGGGACGAGTTGATGGAGACGTCCCGTGCCATCACAAAGCGTGTACTGCGTCAGAAGATCCAGTACGACGTGTTTGCGCCTTCGCCCCTTCGACAGTCGATGGCTGCAGAGGAGCTAGAAGAGGGTAAGCATATTCTTTGCTTTCTTACTGTTATGGATGCGTTCTAGAAGCTAACGTATGAAACACAGAAAACGAGGCCAAAGAGCCTATTTCCGAGCCCTCTAGAAAGAGGTCCATCGAAGAGATCGCCTGTCCGTCTAGGGTGCCTCTCAAGAGACGTCGCGCCATCCACAATCTTCGTGTGGAAGCTGACCTCGACGCCATTACGATGGTCGAGGAAAATGACTACGATGGAGACTCCGAGGAAGATGAAGATGAGGAGGAGTTTTACGAGGAAAACGGAGACTCCGAGGAGGATGGGAATGAGGATTACTTCGTCGCAAGATTCGGTTCTCGGCCGGTTCTACCGACCTGGCGTCTGCAGCACACCAAGCACGGCAACAAGGGTCCAAGGTTGCAAAGGGGCACTCGCCAACCATTTAAGACTGCCTTGGAACCGATCTCCGAGGAAGAAGAGGAGACAACCACCACTATCTCATTGGAATCACACGTGGGCACCAAGAGATCAGCTAGTGGATCGGAGGAGTGGAAGCCGAAGGGGAACAAAGCAGCGGGTGTCAAGCGCTGGCGGCGGGTTGCACGCAAAGCTCGCCGTGCGTTGGGATTTGGAGGAAAGGGGTCTTTGTCTTCTGGATCCTCGGTCTACACCAATGATTCGAAGTTTTCCAACGAGTACATTGCGGTTGAGGAGGAGTCAAGTGTTGTAGTTGCGGAGGAGCCGTCTTCACCGAGGCGATCTTTTGCAACAAAGGTTTCTTTAAAAAAGGAGTCAATCTCCAAGAAGATCAAGGGAGGAATGAATCGGTTGTCGAAGGGATCTGGGGAACAAAAGGAGAAGGAGAAGGAGAAGGAGAAGGGGTATTTCAGGGAAATGTTGAAGGAGGGATTGATCATGGGGTTATCGGGGATGGGACCATACCCATTTGCTATCTTTTGAAGGATTGGGGGAATGATTTTATGACGGGTTATGATTATGATGGGATGATGTTACGAACTGCATATGGGTGATGGGATACAGGCGCACAACGGATTTTATGGGCAAGATACCCAGGGCTTTTCATGTATGGCGCATCTGGATTGGAAATCATTTTGTACGAGGCAGAGATGATGGACTTGTTGACTGCAGTTGCAAAGCGCAGACTGTATGGGATGAAAGGATAAAAACTGGAAAAAGGAACTGGTCGATTCGAAAGGGGACATGAAGCCCTAGCTAGCATAGCTCTCGAATGGAAGATTTAGTTCTGCTGCATCAGCATTTCTTTGAAACGTAGTCTGGTGATATAGGTACTGTCAACAGTAGTCTGTGGGACTCGGCCATAAGGAGTCAGGACCACTTGGATATCTCCGTGTGTTGAATGTTTTGCATGTAGGAAAAAAAAAGAAAAGAAAAAGAAAAAGAAAGAAAAGAAGTCATGGCATAGGACTCCTGCTGCCTTATGGCCCATTCATGATGCAATCATCATCATGCAAAACCGAATGATCTTCAGGGGGGCGCTTAAAGTCACGCCTTAAGCGAGCTGCTCTCGTTCTTCTCTTTGACTTCCTGACGTGGTGCGCTGCTAAATCATCTCCACTCCCCACGATCGTCGATAATTCTCTTTGACGATCCCACTGCTTAACCTGAACTGGGCATGATGTCCGTGGCCCTAACGGGAAATAAACTGACAGCACTTACTCTTTGGGATAGTGGGACTTGAAAGAAAAAAAAAAACGGTGGCTGTCGTGATGGGGTTGCCAAACAGCAGTCAATCAATCAGGGTAGCTCCTCGAGTCCGGGGACATCCATCTCTGTTTACGGCTTGAACGTTGATATTCATGCTCCGCTGATAGGACGAGGACCTTTCTAGTCTAACTGACCAAGTTTGTATCTGCCCCTTTTCTCCCATACTGTGACGCCATTCATGACTGGAACTGGCACTGACAGACTGCTTTCATAGTGACTACTCAGGTGACCATGGTTAGCCTCTAATAGTAACATTCGGGAAATTACAACAAAGCAATCGAGGCAGAATAGCACCTAAGCACCTAGCACTGAAGCAGACACCGTACGAATCGTCTCCACTGCACTACAAAGACGACATCATCCGAATATGATCCGATTTCGTTGTTTCTTCGGGGTGCGGTGGAGATTAAGCCCTGCTACCTTTCAAAGTTCAGCATCACGGGACCTGGAAGGAATCCCAATTGGCCAATGCAGACCAAATATGAATAAACGGGCTTATTATTTTTGTTCAAAACTCGAAGACAACAGGGTTACGATTCAGCTTCCCCGAGCTGGCATAAAATTATGCTCATCGTTATTCGTACAAAGCTTGTCCGGTTCTCCGCTTATACAAACTGGTCTCTCGGGAAACTGTTACTGGGGAGTCGTCAATCGAGCTTAGAAACTCGCAAAAAACGGCGGACGAGATTTTAATTTTTGGGGCATTTCCCCTCACAAATGTGCTGCATGATGATCCGTTTCATAACAAAGAAAGAAGGTCAGCGCGCGTAGGAACTTATCATCTCCCATAGACCAACGTGCTCGACATTCTTTCAAGTTTTAATCCTTGCATCCGATGGCGGGACAAGAATATCGGATCTTTCAAGTTGAAATCCCTTTTGAGCATCCGATTTGATTTGAGATAAACTGCAACCCGATTTCCTGGTTCTTGGAAACTCGTGTGCTAGGGGTAGCCCCATGACAAACTCCGATTCTCCGCAGACAGGGTTTGTTCAAAACTATTCCAATCTGTAAGGCTTATGGGCCAGAAGGATGAGCTTTACGCAGGAGTGTATCGTCGAGGACGACAGACCTGAAACTGACTGAGACGCTGAGTAGCGTTATCAAGCGAGCATGATCAGGACGCCATCTGTTGATCCTGACACAGTTCTTGTCGATCATCCAAAAAGGGAAGTGTATATGCATGGTGGCATCAACGCTCGATCCGAAAGGGAAAGACAATGCGACTTGCGTCAAGCTTGCAAAGACCCCGGGAGGAGATTTGCTTTCATGCTACGACTTCACGATTCGTGAATTGCGATTCATGGAGTTATTAACACTTGAACTATTATCGGGAAGCTTTCCCCGGCACTATCTTGCTATATCGAAAGTCAATCTATGTTTGTGGCTTTGGGCGTCTCGATCAATATCGAATATTCAAATATTTCAATCATTAGCCCATTTTATTGACTTTTCATCGAAGGCCAAAGTGCGGCTGTTAAATTTGCGGGGATCAGCAATGCCAAATCTCCGCTTCGGCACTGAAAGATTATTTTTGCCTCGGAGTTCCTCCTTTTCTGAATACACCGGCCAGCTTAGGCTGCTTAGCCATCCCCTACTGCTGCGCTATGATAGTAGTGGACCACGCTACTGTATGCCACAGCATTGGGACCATGAGTGATTGTGCCAGAATGGGGCATCTGAACAATCCCGAGCCCCGAGTCACCGATGACGGCGCTCAGATGCTGAACGGAATGAGCGGAATTTTCAGAAACTGGTAGTATGTACGACAGGCTTCGATGCCAAATTCCCTGCATTACCAATTATCGGCGAGACTTCATGCAAGGATACAAAAACTATTAATCTCATGGAATCAATTTCGTTCCATATGTATTCGATCTCGCCACGATCCTGCAATCTGCATGGTTTGTTAGGGGCAGCTCGTGGCGACTGGCCTAAAATAACCGAACCACTACTATCGCCGGGCAACCAGCAATCATATGATACTACGACCCGTCTTGTTGTTTGGGCAAAGTGTGTATAAGCGATGGCCTTTGACAGGCTTGACAGTCGGGGCGTTCCATGGGTCTGTTATCGGTAAAACACAAAGCATGAGACATGAGTCGCAAGTAGAACAACTTGAGCTACTTTGACAGCTTGAATCGTGCCATGCAACCTGCCAATTTGATTATTTATGCCCTAGTTTGGGACAGTCAATGACCTACATAACTCGTGTCTCCACCGAGTATATCCACCGTCTAGTGGAGCATACACTTCCAGGCATTGATCGCTGTTTCTCTGCATGTAACTGGAAACTGCCCCGCCTTTTTGGCACTTGGGTCATGGCAAACAAGGTCAGCCCAGCAGGCGACAACGACGCCTGCATGGTGGGTTACCCAATCGTCGTGACGGTGCTTTCCCTGGTTCGCTATTATTGAGCACTATCAAACTTTGATCTATGGAGCGGGTCAGAGTGGGAGGAAAGATGTGACAAAGGCAACCCCGGTCCTCGTTTTTAAAAGCAATTGCATCTCTCGGGCCGTCGTGTCTCTTTGGCTCTGCGGAGCTGCTGTCGAGTCAAAAGACAGACTCATGCCCAATTAACTATACACCTGCCTGGCTTTGGGATTTGCGGTACCAAGAGATGGACAATCGAGACACATGCAACACTCTTTACTAATATCGAACCACGTTCTTTTTACACTCTACGGATCTATACCCTATTCGCTCTTTATACACACCTAGACGGACGATCTCGACGGAATGATACTACCTCGCAGGATGATACTACCTCGAACTGATGACGATGGGATTGATCGGGGGCAACGAGCCCTAGTGGTGACGGCGGTGCTGACATCGTTGGCTATTGTGGTTGTTGCGATGCGATTATATGCGAGACTCGGGCTGATGAAGATAATGGGACGCGAGGACGGCTCTATTCTGATCGCTTTGGTATGCTTGTTCTATCACCAAATCAAACGCTAGATTTGGACTGGCTAACGGGCTTGAAAGGTTTTCTCAATTGTCTATTTAGGGCTGGTTTGTGCTGGTAAGTTCATCGTCCTGTATGGCATTTAGATATAATGCATGTTCTAAACGTTACCATCAGAGGTGCATTTCGGCCTCGGCAGACACTCTAACGCCATCTCCCATGTTGACTTGATGCATCAATTGAAGGTATGGCAGCCATATCATGTACGGGTCTTCGCAAGACTAACCCTTCCCAGTCACTGTGGGCTGCGATCCCCATGTATAACGCCAGTCTCGCTTTCAGCAAATTTTCCATTCTTTTCCAATACTTGCGCATTTTTCCTGGTCGAAAATTTAGATTTGCCTGCTATTTCATGATGGCAGTGGTCGCTACATATTCGACCTGGGCGATTGTCAGCGGCTACGTGAACTGTGTGCCCGTCGCCAAATTCTGGGACAAGGATATCTCTGGCCACTGCCTGAGCTTTGAGGCAGTTTGGTTCTTCAATGCATCGATGAATATTGTCACCGATACGGCCCTGATGATTTTGCCGATGCCGCTTCTATCGCAACTTCAGCTTCCGCGGGTACAGAAGTTTGCCCTGATGGGAGTTTTTGCCGTGGGTGTGGTGTAAGTCCGCCTGATCCTCAAGGATCAATTGATCAAATGCTTATATTGAGATAGGGTTGTCATCACGAGTATTCTGCGTCTTTCCAGTTTGCGAGTCGTCGCTCAGAGCACGGACACATCTTGTACGTTCTCTCTTGCCTGCCAATCCTTTACTTTTTTTCTAACAATTCTAGGGAGCAACGTTGGTGCCGCATACTGGACTGCCGCCGAATGCAATGTCGCCATCATCTGTGCCTGTCTGCCCTTCCTTCGACCGCTTATCAGCAGGATCTTCCCCAAGCTGCTGTCCACCAATAGCTACCAACGCCACACCGCAGGCCCAACCACAACCATGGCCTCCCGATCTCAGAAACGACACCCAGAGCTATTCAGTGCGAACCGAGAGTTCGGCAACCAAGAGTTCGGCATGTGCTCGATCCATGCCAAGTCAGACAGCCACGATCACGGCAACATCGCTGGCATTGAAGTCACCACCGAGATGATCCAAGAAACGGAGAAGCCCGGGGAGACAAGCAGCGAACGAAGGCTGGTGATAAACCCAGCATGATTGACTTGCGCCTCGACCTACTTTTTCTTTTTCAACTACCTTCATTTCGACACGAACACGCGGCTTGCCACAGCCTTTACTTTTCTTGTATATAATAATTTCCACCGGGAGAGGACATCTGCTATCGCGATAATGATGATGTTCCACACGACGCACAACTCGATTTTCTTATCTTATCTTAATCAATCAAATCAAATCAATCAATCAATCAACATCCAAATCAATCACAATCTGACCTTCCTCTCCAAGATCTTTCCTAACCTTCGTCCCCATCTCCTCAGTAAGCTTCGTGATCCGCCTCCTCACCCACCCATGATCTTCGTCCGCCCTATTTAACAACGTCACTTGAAACCGATCACACCTCGTGGGAAAGATTTCCAATCGATCCAATCCCAACTTCTTCACCTTGCCCCCATCCCCATCCCCCTCAACCCCCCTAACCCAAACCCTCCAAACACCCCCCAAATCATTCCGAAACTGCTCATTCAACGCATAATCATCCACAAAATCCCCGCACCCATATATGATCAGTTTGCCCTTATACCGCTCCACGCCTTGCACATGGTGCGCCGAGTGCCCATGCACAATATCCACCCCGCACTCGTCGACCAGGAAATGCGCCATCGATCGGATCTGGCTGTCGGGCCGCCAGGCGTAGTTCGGGCCCCAGTGTACGGAGAAGATCTTCAGCGCGGCGGACTGACTGGACGGCGACGTGAGGAGGGACTTTAGGGATTGCCGTGTGGACGACGTATAGTCGATGAAGTGGAATGTGGGGATGTCGGACCAGGAACTGGGGTGGTCGGATGCGGAGGAGATGTGGATTTGATAGTGCTCTTGTTTCTCACTGTCATCGCCCTTTTGGCGTTGAGACGCAGACGCAGACGCAGACGCAGACACAGACGAAGCACGCGCAACTTTTCCTCCCTCTTTCTCAACCCTAGGCAACCTCACCACCGTCCCAGAAACAGCTTCTTTCGTCCTCTCCCCCGCCCCCGAAAATGCAATCCGACTCTCCCTGAGCGTCCACACCGTCTCGACGAGCCCCTCAGTCCCAAAATCCAAGACGTGGTTATTCGCCAGATTCGCATAGTCGATGCGTGCCTCGTGCAGGGCCGCGACGTTTGCGGGATGCATGCGGTAGTTGAATGCTTTGTTGGGCCAGGGCTCGGGGCTGGTCGTCACGGCTGTTTCGAGGTTGATGAGGTTTAGGTCGGAGGTGTGGAAGAGGGGGAGGGCGGTGCCCCAGGGGGATTTGGGGGTGTAGGATTCTAGGTAGGGGTAGTTGTCGAGGAAGTTTGTGATGGTGCGGTGGTCGTGGGGGTTGTCGACGTGTTGGGGCCAGAGTTGGTCGATGAGGCGGCCGAGCATTATGTCGCCGATGAAGTTGAGGGAGAAGACTCGGGTAGTATTGGAGTTGGGCATGGTGAGGTGAGTAGGCTGGTTGTTTTTGTTCTACTATGTTAATCCGTGTGGTATACTATCATGTAGATACTGATATTGCATGTCATGATGACACTGGTCATGATGACGTACGAAATGCAAATGCATAAACTTCTTGAATCCTTGGAATCATAATGAGAATTGTTCCCTAATCACACATACGCCAGACCACGCTGTCGGCCATTCCAATTCCTCGCTCTCAAGGTCAAAAAACCCAAGCTCCGAAACAAACATAAGAAGGTAAGAAGTAAAGAAAAAAGGACAGAAACAGATCACAACACACAATTTCTTCCATCTGCCCTCGTTTCTTTTTCTTATCATTTTTTCCTTTTGATAATCCCATACAAAGTAATTTCCCGCCGGCGCTTTGAATAAACAGTAATAAACAAACAATAAATCATGCAACTTTTCCCTAAGGTATTTCACAAATTCTGTAATTCATCAAATGGGGGTTGGATTAAGTGGTATCTTCGTCAAAGTGAGCATCTCAAGTGTATGGCTGAAGAGAGAAGATTAAAAGTGGAGAAATTAGTATGATAAAAAATTTTATCATTGCTGTGCGAGCTCCGCCAGCTCTCGCTCCTTGGCTCTCAGCGCCTCACGCATCTCCTCTGCTTCACGCTGCAATTTGGCGCGTCGGTCCGCCTTGAAACCATCCAATTCGGCCACGCCAGGTAATTGCTGTTGTGGTGGCTGGGGATGAGCAAGGGGAGGAGCTTGGTGGTGGTGGTGGTGCGGAGGATGTTGGTGAGGATGAGCGGGCTGTTGCTGGCGGCTGAGAGCGGCGAGGGAGGGGTCCAGTCGTGAGTCGTCACGACCACCAGGGTTCAAGAGGGAGGAGATGGAGCTGAGGCGAGCGGGCGGAGCTTGGTTGCCCGACGACATAATGGGAGGAAGTTGGTTTGATCCAGACTCCAAGGTGGTTGGGACAGACATGGCCTCAGCAGATGATGCAGTTTCAGCGAGAGTCCGCTTTTTGGGATTAGAGGGATTAGGAGAGACGGATCGGCGGCCGAATTGTGAATTAGGGGAATGACCAGGCGCCATTCTTTCAGGTTCCAAGAGCCTAGGAGGGGGAGGGTGGTGTGGTAAAGAGACCGTTCCGGCAGAGTACCCTGTGAAGTCGACTGGAGGCGGAGCAAAAGCAAATGGTCGCTGGATTGCTTGCGGCGAGATTCTCCCTGTCGACATGGGGTGGTGGTGGTCCATCGGTTCAGAGCTCATATATCTGTAGTGGTCGTCGTAACCGTGTGCCAGTGCGGCAGGTGACGCCTCGGGTGATGCGGACGATCCATTGGACGACTGGGTAGCCCCAGTTGGCGACTGATCCCGCAGCGCGGGCACAACCCGTTTCCGCCGCTTAATGATGGTTTTCTTCATTGTCGTAGGCCGATAACAGCCGTGGAGCTTGTAATACAAACCTGTTTGACGGCAATTAGTCAAAATCCTTATCAGATTAGATCTCAAAATTATCTCAAAACTTACCACAAGCATTGCAAATGGGATGGCCATTCTCGTCGCGTCGCCAAAGCGGTGTCACCGTCGTCCCACAGTTCTGACAAGAAACTAGCAAATTACCGCCTTCTGTCGGTGGTGCGGGATTTTTGGTCGGCGTTTCAGTGTCCTGCAATGGGAGGGGTTTTTCGCTTTCTGGGATTGGAGCACGATTCCAAGCGTGGACCGGAACTGCCCCTCGAGGTGCTGATTTGTACACACGGTTGTTGTAGGCCGGACATCCGTCACATCCCTCTGCCCCTCCAGTGCCGTCGCAATTCCCACCACCGGGGCAAGAGCCCTTGCCATGGCATCCTCCTTCCGACGTTGGGGTAGCTGCTTCTTGCTGAGGGGCTATCGGAATACTCGAGTGTTGAGCAGTTTCGGGGCCTGATTGTACACGGTTTCGTTTGGTTGGGCGAGCGACATTGCGGGCCTTGAGATAGAGACCACAGGCATTACAAATCATCGCACCAGTCGGGGATCGTCGCCATAATGGGGTACTCTTTGTGCCGCAGTTACTGTGTGGGAAGTAGGCGGTTAGTAGTGCGTAAGAGTGAGTGAGTTTTGGGGCAAAGCGAGAACCAACCTGCATGAATGTCCCAAAAATGAAGTATCCTTCTGAGACTTGGGCGATGTGCTTTGCTCGGGGGCGTAGTCACCCATGGACGACTCTGGCCAACGTTGTGTAGATCCATCGAGATAACTATCTTGTTCATAGCCATTACGAGCGACATCAGGTTCAAATTTCCGAGCTGCGCTGTCCTCCCAGTGACGATCGACTTGGTGTTCCCGACCGGCCTGGGCCGACGAGATTAACTGCTGAGCAGCATCCAAATCCTCCGCCGAGGGGTGGCGTGTGATAACGTCGGGAGTCCGGGGAAGTGATCGCACCGTCTCCATTTGCGGAAGCGAAGCCAACATAGCCATCAACTATCCCAAGTATTGTATTGAAGATCTCGAGCGTCCAGAAAGAACGCACAGAAAGAATGAGGATATCGCTCGAGGGATCCTGTTTTGAAAAAAGAAAAGAAAGAAAGGGGGGCGTTTGTCGAAAGGGTAGGATACCACGCGTCGAGAGTGTAAATGTAGAGTATCACAAAGTTAAAATGTCGGTCAGGATGATCGTGCAGGAGAGAAGGACACGAAAGGGCCCAACGGAGAGGCAAGCCAAACTCGGGCAGGCAACTTGCAGCGGATGCAGACAAGAAGATGGCGTTGTTCCGTTGTGACTCGTGGAGGCTGTCAAAATGACAGGGGGGAGGGACAATGCACGTCGAGGATTTGTATAGAACAGCAGATAGCCCGCCACGGAGGGTTTGTTGGCTGACCAATTCCGAATGAGGTTAGGGTGGCGTTTGCAAGAACGATGCAAGGTGGATATCGGTCAAACCGGAGGATAAGAATGGATAGGATGGAGAGGATGGAGAAGGAGGCGAGATGAAGACTAGATGAGGGGTGGAGAGATTAGAGAAGGAGGCGAAAAGAAAGAAGAGGAGGAGAGGGCTGAGGGCAGGATCTGCGATGATCAAAGAAGGACAAGTGGGATCAGATCAGATATGATGGATGAGATGATGATATATGATGGTGATGCTGACGATGCTGATGGAGAGGATGATGAAGGATGATGAGATTTTCGGACGGTGGGTAAAGTCACGATGATGGGCAGGGATGGCCAGACCGCAACGTACAGAAGAAGACACACTGACTGCCTTATCGCCCGCAGACTCGGGAAACGCAGCGACAGAGCAAAGGCTTATCGATCTCCCAGGGGGATCTACACTGGGGCGGCTTTTTCTGCTCTTTGTCCTTTCTTCGTTGTCAGTGCTGGGATGCTGTCCCGCCGCAAAGGTAACGTTGAGAATAAGAAAGCGACGGCTGTCTGGTGTTGTCTCGCGTTGCTTTTTCCCCCCTTGTTAGGAAATGTTCGGTTCTTTCTTTTTGGCCGATCTGGGCTCGTTCGTTTCTTTTTTCTTCGATCCAGTTTCCAGCTGGGTTTGGCCGCGTTCTTCTGCGTCTCTCCCCAGATTGAATCATCTAGGCTCCACCGCTACCTATTATGGTTTAGCTCGGTGGATCTAGTGGGAATGCACCTTCCCAGAAGGGTATATAGCGTGCCTGTGCTCAAATAAGCCTGATTCTACGCCTGCTGATTCGCCCACGCATCCATGTCCATTCTGTCAGCATTATTCTTCCTCTCCTCATTGGCCGCAACGTGGATTCTTCCCATTCCGTTTGGATTTCCTTCATCTTCTGGGAATTAATCTATTAGGTAACCTGATTGTCTCGAGGACTGATCTAATGTATTTCCGATTGGCCAAGCCAATCACCGCGGAATCGGAAGGGCTGATCCAATGCAGAAGGGAAATCTAGCCTCCCCGTTAGTAAATTCCCTGACCTACAGATAATCAATCAATTCATTAGTGAGATGATCAGCTGTGCAGGCCAAGTCTTATAGATCAACATTCCAACCGGGCCTATGAAACTCTGCAACCGGCCACGTAGACTTGATCTGATATGATAAGTAAATTACGTGGCTGAATAGCATGACACATGTGATAGATATTAGATATTATTGTTGCCCCCTGTCGATATTAGACTTTATCCCTGAATTGATACGTAGATAAGATCAGCAATCATGCCAATAGACTATGAATAGTACTTAATATCCCCATCCTACTATCATCAGCCAAGGGTATCAGATCTCTTCTTTTTTTCCTTTTGATTATTTTTCCCGTCTAATCACGCCATTTAAAACTACATAACACCTCCTGGTCGTCGGCTCCATATCGGCTCTCACCGAACAACGCTGCTAATTTAAGATTCATATCAACTGATGTTTGCTGCACTCGACAAACTTACTGCGCTGGCAAATCCAATTATTATTTTTCATTCAATAGCGTAACACTCTTTAGTCTTTGGTCATCCGCCTCACTAATGAAGTCTCGTCGATAGCATTCCTCCCAGCCTATGCAAACACGTCACTCAATCAGATATCCAATACGGAGTACCCTGGATTGTAGAATTGCTCAAAGGAGGTCTCCGGTGTACTCCATAATCTAGAAAGGGTATATCCATGAAGACCAAATAGGCAACCAGGCAAGATAGGAAGAAGATGATATCAAAGGGCACCGACAGACAGGATCCCTGATAAACTTAATAATGCATAAACTATTAATAAAAGCAGTAATACCATCACCACCACCATCATCATATCCTTCCATCCTTCCATCTGACATCCTGATCGACAATAATACCACAAATACACATCCTGACGGTCGCACAAAAATAACCACTCCACCTTTGACATGTCTCCATCAATCTCCCTATATCTAATTGGCCAGATACTTCACAACTAACTTTATTCATCCTAGCGGAAACTTACAAATACCAATAATACCTCCCAACAGCCTCATCGATCTTATCTATCACTTCGCTTACAGACCAAAGGATTCTAGGTTCATCCATCTTGCTCTAGAAGTCATAGTCATACAATAGTAGCCTGTCCAAACCACATGACGTTTCTGTTAAATTGCCACTTGTGCCGGAGATACCGGAGCTCGGCAATCTCGAATGTCTCAGTCTTCAAGTCGAATTCCCCGACACTTTCGATCATCCAACCAAGCTTCTCTCTGATTCACTCGCCCGTCCTTAGCCGATGCTGAAATTGCTGCTCCACTTTCTCGTATGAAAAGTCAATTGCGCTGATGCTATTATTACCTAATATTGAGTAATTCAATTCAAATGTCCATGATTGGCTGCCCAGGTGGACAATGGATGCCGATGCATTATAAACCATTCAATCAAATCGTGTCCACATATAATACAGTTTCATCAGAATACAAGGTATCCTTTCACGTTGGACAGAAAGAAATCAGAAAGAAAATAATCAAAACCCTCAGCCCCCCTCCTAGAGATAGTTCTGAAATCATATCTCAACACCCTCTCACATAACCATCATCGTTGCAAAGCAATCAGTTTTATCATCGCTCTCGTCGATCATCATGTTTCGCGTCAAGAGTGTTTCCCCTAACCCCTCCTCATGCACGCGCCCTTGATCTTGAGATTGAGTTGCATTCAACAAGAACGCGCCGTGTCCATTCCAGCATCAGACGGATGCCCGATTATGCGCATTTAAACCTGCTCAGCACCCCAGCCCTGGTCGGCCTCGCGCATGTTTGAAGGGGGCTCGATGGAGGGAATGAACTCGAGGGCCAGGTATCCAACACCGATGAAACCGACAATGGAACCGGCAATGTAACGCAAAACACCGTCGTGCAGCAAGAGCGATCCAACGAAGATGTAGACTGAAATTTGGTTAATAAACAACAAGCAACGGAAATGCGCATAGCCAGGGCAGCAACTTACAAACACCTCGTCCCAAGAAGGAGAAGAGGAAAGACGCATAGCGGTAGACATAGTCCGGCACGTGAGGCAGGAATTCCAACCCACCGACAACTACTATGATGAGTATACATTCCTGCGCATTCTGATCGAGAAAACTTACCGACACCAAAGAGGATAACGTAGATTCCAGCAATGATGGAGCTCATGGAGATGGGGAAGAACTGCGCAATACCACCCAGCACCATGATCACCGCCACGACCAGGTTAACAATCCGGCTGCATACAGTCAGATATTATCCAGATAACCCCAGCCCCAGCAGTTGCCATATACTCAGAAGCGGAGGGGACGATAAATGACGTACAAAATGTTGGAGAGATCCATCTTGGATATGTCCTGTGAAATCGGCTACTTGCGAATAGTCAAACGTATAGCAGGTTCTGCGGCGGGGAATATCAAAGGACGATGCGTCTATCGATATGCAGTATATTGTACTCGTTCAGCGAGAAGGAGACGACGTCAGATCGAGCCTGAAAGAATCTCGTAGCCTGGTTTACCGACGGGGAAGGACGTGGCAGAAAGGAAGTTCTGGGGTAGGTGTCAGACGAAGCGGAGACTCGCAGACTAGACGGCGGATTAGTGTCAGCGTGAGCGTCAACAGCAAAGCAGGAACAAACAAACCAAAGAAAGAGAAAAGGTGGTTGGGAAGCACAGGAGAAGATCGCAAGCCGTCGAGGAGTTGTTGTTGCTGCGCCGCAAGCAGCGGGTCTGCCAAGCCTGCTGAGTCAGTGTCGATCGGCGTGGATTTAATTTGGGATGTGGCATTACCATCTAAATGGGATTAAGGCATCATTATCATTCTAAGATGCATTCGGAAGATTATAATTACAATATGCTACTAAGGACTAACAGCTCAGCCATGACAATAGTACAAACTGCAATTTGAGAAAACCCCAATCCCTGAAAGTGACGTCGTTCCAAGAAAAGAACAACAGGCAAGAGGCAAAAGCAGGGATCTATTCACATCACAAAGCCATCATGGATCTCGGTATTATTATTATCTGAGATATGCTTGGACTGGAGTAACCAACACCAACGATGCCCAAATCACGCCCTGTCAACAAAGGCATCTTCGCAGCTTCTCGAAATACACCGCCAGTTCCCCAACACCAGCGGTGACGGTGACAGTGACATACTGCATAGACTATACATACATGCTTCCACCGTGTTGCTGTTGGGTAGAACCCATCATATTCGGTGTTTTGGTCAGGCTTGCGCTGCTGCATGTACTGCTATGCATGTATGTGTGATTAGTATCTTCAAGTTATTCCGGTTTTAATCTTGAATATCTTCAATCCTTGTCCCCTGTATACTGTATGTATGGCATCGATATTTGTTTTTCATCGGAGAATTGTCCGTGTCACCTTTTGCAACGTGCGGTGACAGAGTTGAACAGCATGTAGAGTATCAGTGCAGAAGCAGGGATTTAGAGTGTGTCATGGTAGTTATTATTCTTATTCATATAAATAAACCCAAGTAGGTAAGGCTATTTTGTAAAGCTCTTTAGATGAACTGTCGCGTGCCTCGAACTGTATATAGTCGATACAACCACGCACCGTGTTCGACGGTTATCCGCTGTATTACACGTATGATACAATAACAACAACAATACCATACATATAAAATACATCTCCATCTACTGCGATTCCTTCAACAATCCCACCTCACTTCAGACAATCCATTTGCAAATATACTCATCTGCAATGAATTACGCTTCAACTCAGAATATATGACATCAACATCTCCCCCAATCCCAATCTCTGCCGCTGTCTTCAAACTTCGTGCATCGATTGATGGCGCCATCGAGGGCCAGATACTCTGCACATTGTTGAAGAAGATATCGACGCCTAGATCGCCTAGTCCTTTGACTTCTTTGACTAGTTGTCGGGCTTTTGATGGGTTGCGGTTTACGTTTTTTAGGAGGTTGTTGAGATCTCCGTCTATCAATCATCGTTAAATATGGCTGGATAGTATCAACGAGTAAAGAAAGACATACCATACTTCCCCTCTACCAACCGTACCAATTCCCCCAGATTTGTTGCCTCTTTCTCATTATATCGATTATATCCTCCTTCCGCCAAGACCATTGCCCTCTCTTCCCAGCTGCTGTTGCTCAGTTTCTCGATATCATGGTATCCGACATCGATTATGTGGTTGACTGCCTTTTGCGATAGTTCGTGAGAAATTGGTCGTGACTTAAGCAGGGCGTCAAGAACCATCGCAAGGACTGTCTCTGGTGTTGCTGACAGAGGCTTTTGGGCGATTGGCGTGGCCTCCAGGGGAGCGCGGGCGAATTCGTCGATGACTTTGTGGATTTTGGCTTTTTGGGTGTTGTTGAGTGTCATGGTTGTTGTTTGAATGAGCTTTATGTGAAGATAGTGAGTAGTTAGAGTAGTGTGTTAATCCATTGGATGTCGAAGCAAGAGTTGGATCCAGTAATGGGTGATGTCATGATGATAGATGGTGCTGTATATACACCTGGAATGCTTCTTAGACCATGAATTATTCACATACAATGTATTATATCATCTTAAAGCTTCGCCTTGTCCTTCTGCTGGAGGGTTTCATTAACCAACTTGACCGCAGTTTGTGCACAGCCGAATGAAGCCTGGTATCCAAAACCGCCATGACCATAGTTGTGCACGATAGCAACACCATCCACCTTGTCCTTTTCAATACGCGGACCACCTTCTCGGAGTGGCCGCAATCCCACGCTGTGTCGGATGACGTCCAACCCTTCAATTCCCTGTCCCTTGCTCACAAGCTCCGGGCGTAGGGCAATGGCACGTTTCATGATGCGAACGGCAAGGTTGGGATCAGGCGATGATTCCCAGTTGTGCTTCTGGTATGAGCCACCGATAACGGTTCCTCCTCCTGCTGCTCGTGTCATCATGTACACAATCTCGTCTTCTCCATCATCGCTCCCGGAGATTGTAACCATCGCGCCGGGGTCATTTCGTACGACTACAACCTGGCCTCTAGCCGGGAAGAGTTTGTCGTCACGCACTCCGCCCAGTTTCTTCGATGACAGACCAGTACAGTTGACGATTAGATCAGCTTTCTTTCCGGAATGGTGTACATAGGCGGCGTCTGTAATGTGCTTGAAGGAGCCTCTCTTGAAAACCACTCCATTTTTGCGAGACTGGCCGATAAGCCATGGCAGATAGATGGCAGGATTGATGCACACGGATTTGAATGTGGAAGCATTGTCAATACCCTCAGCTAGCTGACCGGCTGGGATCTCTCGGAACTGTCATGATCAGTCTCAGATCGAGAAGCGAGGGATACCTGCAGGTACATACACCGAGGACGACATCCTTATACCACGGGTCTTTTTGCACCAATTCAGAGAACCACTGGCCACCAGCAGATTGCTGGTCCTTCTTGCGGTTGTAGACAATTGTATCTGCCACTGTTAGCACAGCTTAGGAGAATCTGGAAATGGGGAGCATACCTTGGAAATGAATGCCAGCTTCTGGATACTTTTCAGTCAATTCCTTCAACGCAGGCCAAGTGGCTTTTTCCCACTCTGCCTCGGGAGTACCTTCTTTTCCAAATCTGAGAAATCAATTAATTATCGGCTTCTAAAGAGGTGTGTTCATGAAATTCATACGGTTGATAGTTGGCACCAGCGAAGGGAGAACAGTACTCGATATCGTAGTCTCCGGGCATGTGTTTGGCGACGACAGTGATGCTATTGGAGGCATCCTTGGATAGGAGATATGCAGTGGTGAGTCCAGTAACACCAGCACTGGTGGATAGACGTTAGCATCTGGAGCTCTAGTGGAGTCAGTCAGAATCCGGGGAAGTAGTTCATACCCCAGGATCACGATGTTATTCGAAGCCATGTTTGAGGATTGAAAACTGAGTGAAAGGAGGGGTACAGATTGAGATCAGAGGGAATACGAGAGGAGAGGAGGAGAGGGATGAGGAGTATTTATCTTGAGCCAGCGGAAAGCGGAATTGAAGGCATTTGATAAGAGATACAGTATGAGGGGTGTATCGTGTATGTATGGTATGTATGATACTGTATTCACTGTATTCATCTTTACACCTCTTCACGCTCAACATTCTAACAATATCATTACAATATCTGATATATCTATTCACTTGTTCTTCATTATTTCTTTATTCTTTATATCTACTCTATATCAATTATATCCTTTCTTATAATCTATCTCGTTAGGTACTATACCTACTAGTTGTCCACCAATCGCAACCCCCCTTTGTCCACCAATAATATTTCGTTTCTGCTCACCGCTCACTCGGCCCTCCTTCGGCTTCCGCTTTTCCCTCCGCAGCCCCGTTTGTTCATCGTGATTCCTGACGCTTTCTCGCTCCTCCGTTTCTCGCGTGTCGGTCGGTCTCTTTTTTGTAGATCGTCCTTTTTTCCCTCTTCCTTCTCTCATCCTTACTTTTCTCTCTCTCTTCTTCCTCGGATCCGCTTCTCTCTGCTCGACGAACCCTTTATCTCTTCTCTGCCCTCTTGTCCCACTTTGCCTTAACCACAAATGAGGGCCTTTCGTCGGGCAGAGCTTTTCCAACCATGGCGGACGTCTCAAAAGCTGGCAGAATCGTGCCTATAGTCACGCCCCGTCAACATTACTCCAACATTCCCCCAGAAGAGGCACCCGTGCAACAGCAGCCTCAGAAACAATTACCTCAGCTTCAGAACCAGCCCAGGCCGCCCAGGAATAATACCCGCAATAGTAAATCTGCAGAGGCGGAATGTCTGGAGATCCCGTGTCTCAATGAGCTAGGGCTCTATGCTCTGCCTACGGAAGGTGATGGTAATTCTTTCCTTCCCCGCATCCCCATCTGCCATTGACTTGCTTGGCTCAACGCCTGCTCTTCCAATGGCAAGCGGGTGGACTGGCCCTTTTCTGACATTTCTGCTCGTAGGCAATTGCCTCTATTACGCCTTCTCCGATCAACTTTACGGAGACTTTACCCATGCCGACGAAATCCGTGTTCGTCTTGCAGATCATATTGCCGCCAACCGAGACTATTTTATGAGCTTCATAGCCGCTGTCGGTGGGGAGCGTCGAGCTCCCAGGCGAGCCGCCGCGTCGGCCGCCAAGTATTCTTCCTGTTCTTCGTCTTCAGCTAGTCCTGCACCCCCGTCAATCAAGGACAAAGAGCGAAGCTTCGATTCCAAGGTATCAGAAAGTCGGAGACGGGGGGTTTGGGGAGGAGCAGAGGAAATTCAGGCATTCTGCCAGTCGTTCAAAAGAGACGTCAATGTTTACACCATGTATGGCATCCAGAATTTTCGGGATGTCCATGCTCCCATGAATGAAGAAAGAGAACTCGTACATATTGCATTTCATGTGGGTTTGCTCGCGTTTTTTCACACAAGGTCCAGTTTCCTAATCACTCGCCTGCACAGGACTTTCATCACTATTCCTCAGTACGCTATAGAAATGGACCCCGAACGGGTCTGCCGTGTATTCCAAAAGAGAGCCAGATGAGAGAGGAGGCTCGAAAGAATCCTATTCCTACTGTGGTAGACATGGCCACTCCATGGAAAATTTCAGCTATCCAGGAGGGCTTAGGAGGCAAGTACGACCGTGACGCAATTGTCGAAATGCTCCAACAATGTCGTGGCAACATCGACCGGGCTTTCACCAACCTCCTTGGTGAAAATGAAAACACCGTTCCGCCTCCAGGAGAGTCTGCCGCGTCTAGAGCAATTATGAAATCACACATTCAGCCGTCTTCGCGTTCCTCGTCTCCTTTCAGCACCGGTAGCAAGCGCTCAGCGGATGACAGTGACAGCGAGGAAAATCCTCGACCAGTTCTCCGACGCACCCGGGCTCGGGAGCAAAAGAGACGGATCCTGCCAGATGTCACGGTCGGGATTTCCTTCAAAGACGATCAAAATGACCTGGTTTCTCTAAGGCTACGAGTCAGCCCAGAGACCGTGGCAGAGAAAGCGACGGCTCATCACACTCCCGAGCAAGCAAGCAATCCAGCTATTCATACGGGCCAGGGAAATGCGGACTCCAAGGCCGAACCAAAACCAAAAGCCAAATCGGAACCTGCTTCTGTCGAGGCCTCTAGCCAGCAGAGCGAGTCCAATGGCGAGCAAAAACCACGACGAAGCCGACGTATTACTCGGAGTCGCACTGCGTCTAGAGTTGTTTGAGAACCCTCGATATCTCTTTAGACATCTTATCTTACATTTTATCATCGCAACGGGTTAGACCATACATACGATACGTTGCTCTCACCCTTAATACCGGATGCATTTCAAGCGCGTTTGATCCTTTTTATCTTGGAGCGTCATTTCCATCTTTCACTCAACAGCAAAAGTGACCTTGTTCCCTCGTTTCTACAAATTCTTTCATTTTTCTGGCATACGATTTTTTCTTTTTGTCACTGTGACGATTTTTATCATGTGAAGCATATGACATGTTTGATGAGGCGTTTATTATCTCTGGCTGTTTTGCATTGGGACTGTGGGTGAAAAAGTTGCCAACTGGGTGGTGCCCTGCTTCCTTTTTTTGATTATCGATTTTGGATGGGGATTCCAACGCAAATATTAGAGCTACCATGCCAGGTGCATGTTTCAATGGGTGATGATTCTTGAGTTGTTTCTTATATACGAGTTGCCTTTGTCATCCCATCTTGATTTTCGATGGACACTGGTGGTCGTCGATTGTGAAAGGGGCAAATTTTGGTTGTCAAAAATCGGGCCAATATAATTCATGATCCAGTCCAGAATGGATGGATTAGCTGATCTACACATTTCATCTATAAATACTTTATTGGCGTAGAGTTGAAGGAAATGATGTTGAGTGGGTATTTCATTCGGGTCGGTTTATTATAAAATTTGTTGTCTTTTGAACTTGATGCACCAAACAAGTTCCATCATTCCAATTAATGTCAAAGACCTCTAGATTTGACACAATTGACCCAAGGCAAACCACAAGGCCATTGAGATCCAACATGGCTTCAACACTGTCGACTATCACTCGGGGTTCAAGTCTGCAGTTCATGTCTGACAAGTAGACTCAATTAAATTCTTTCTTTGCCTATCAGTCTTCTAGGAGATCGGGATTAGCCTGTATGCCCTCATGGGCACCACTTTCGGTCTGACATGGGCCAGTTTCCTAGCGTATTTGTGGTGTGTTCTGCTTCACACAAAGTGATGTGAATAAGGTTGAGTTTATCATCGAGATCACCTCGGGAAGTTTGAGTTTAGTTTAGTTTCTAATAATTTCCAATTTGAACGAATTCAACTTTCAAACCACCCCAGAGACATGCGAAAACATCGTATCAGGCCTTAATCTGATACTAGGCGCATAGCAAAGACTATACAATTCGTCGACGTATGTGGTAGCCGTCATCTCCCCAGCTACGACGGTAGTGCGAGACGAGAGCGTCCCCAGGGAAGACTGGGTAGCTGTTTCTTCAAACTTTGCCACGTCGACTTTAACTTCACGACGGACCATGATCTCATTAATGGAAGAGGTGTCGACGAGGGATTCCCGGGACTGCGAAGCGGTGGGAGGGCCGTCGCTTGGGAGTTGTTTGCGAGAGGGGAGGAGGCGAAGCATTGATCGGGCGGATTGGGTGAGGTCGGATTCGGTGAGAGAGGTTGAGCGGATGTTTGTGTAGAATAGTTCTTGGCTGAGTTCTTTGGAGAAGCCGTCTCTGTCTGAGACGCCGTCGTTGACCTGTTGTTGGACTCTGAAGAGGCGGAAGGGTGTGAATGCGAAGTCTGGGGTTGGGGTTTGGGTGTCGAGGCTTCCGACGACGCAGAAGGGGAGGAGGATGCAGTTTTGTTCGTCGGAGAGTCTGGAGCCGCGGCATGGGGCTATTAGGGGTCGAGCTGAGAAGCGGGCCATGGGTCTGATATCGGGTGGGAAGGACTTGGTGAGTTCGATCATTGCTTGGACGAGCTGTTCGCGGAGTTCTTCCACGTCGTGGTATGCTCGTGCTGTGTCTGAGATTAGCCACTCTAGGCAGGCTGATATAGTCCACCCATCTAGGTGTGAGAGGAACTTCAGATGTGGGATTCGGAGGCGTTTGATCGCCAGTGTGGAAGAGGGTAAGGGATTCCCGACGCCCTTGGCTGTTAGGACTTCGAAATGGTCATGAATAGTTGGTCTCATAACAAAGGAGATTAGGTGGACACCTTGCTCAAAGTTACGACTAGTGGTAGCATAATCTCGCATATCCCGGAGATGAGTACCCAATGCTGTGGATGGGACGTGGATACGGCGGGATAGTGGTGATGTGACATGCTCGATGGTAGCGAAACGGAAGCCCGATGCTGCAAATCGAGCAGCTTCTTGCTTGTTTAGCTGTCGGACTGTGAAAAGCAACTGGCCTTTGCGAGGTAAAGAGTTTCCAATCGCTCTTGAGAGACGTGATATCGACGCAGTAGTGGTCAAGACATCATCATACAGCATCCCCAGGTCTTGAAGCGGCTGTCGAAGCTCATCGGAAAGCTCTTGTGCAGTTGTGCAGAAGAGTTGCTTGAAGAGCGTGTCGAAATTAGTCTCTTGTAGTTCCGTGTCTTTGTCCACTCCGACTCCTTGAGTGAGAGCGTGCCTTTGGACCACGACCTCTTCAAACTCCAACCGGTTTTTCATAAAGGGAACAAGATCTTTCACCAACTTCCAATTTCGGCTTGCCCTAAAAGCCCAAAGGAAGGCGGGGTGCGTCCGGGTAAGATCATCATCTTTGAATGTCTGTACAGTACATAGACCAGTTAGCATATTCATACGCAGAACTGCTAAAATAGATGCTCAACATACCTTTCCAACGTAACGTTCGACAATCTTCCGACTTGGAAGTACCGCCTGTGGCGTGACCATGATTCTCCCAGCTGGATCAAAAAAGGCACAGCTAAGGACAAGTTGGCGGGCTCGTATAGTCGATTTTCTGCGATTTCCTCCAGCAACAATAGCACATGCCGACAAGAATACGCAAGATGCACACGACTAGAGCAGGTTAGTACCAACCAACATCCAAAAAACAAATGATACACATACCAACACAGCACAGATAATGACAGTCTGGCTCCGAGATAACGGAGTACCATGTCTAATAGTCTCGTCATGTTCCCTATAAGAAGTCCCTGCTGTCGCCGTCCAGTGCATCCCCGAAACAGCCACAGCAAGCAAACAACCACAGATGCCTCGTCTCCACCAAACATCCGTCCACGTAGCACGCCATCGAAAGAAGATACCCAAAGCAGATGTACTCGCAAAGATGGCGATGATGGCGGATCCAACCACACTACCGACATGGTAAGAGCATTTATAATTAGCGATACCGAGTTGGCCAACATAGTGCATGCCGCAAACCGCGCTTCCGGTTAGTATGCCACCCATCAGGATACGAATGTAGCCGGCTTTTTCTTCCACCCCGACGGCGTAGAACGCGATGAGCAACACGCATACTGGTAAGGCGAATGAGATGCCGGTGAATGCCATGCTGTAGTATATCTGGATGTGGGGGTCGCCGTCACCGAGAATGACTGCTCGATTGCCGATGAAATGCATGCACCAGATGCCGATGCCACCCATTGCGATGGAGGAAGTGAGTAGGAGATACCTGGTATTGTTAATCGATGGGGTAGTGCGGTTTGTACAAGGTTGGCGTACCAATTGAGTAGACCGGCCATTGACGTCCTTCGATGAAGCAGTTCCAAGGTTGTTGTGCATCCCATCATGCTTATAACATAAGAAAGAAAGATGTACCCCGGGAGGTACGAGACGGCGATCATCGCCTCAGGGCTATGTGTATCCACCATTGCACGAGGAAGGTTAAATAGCGACAAAAGATAGTGGCAATATCATTAAGACCTTTGGGGGAGAAATGCGAGTCAATTTGCTTAATCAAAACATCTGGACGACGAACAAAACTACAAACAGAAAACGAAAGAGATGGGCGGGAACAAAATGAAGAATAAGGTTGACATATTGACAGATACGATCGTCCATGTGGGAACTGAGAACATCTTATAACAACCAGAAAAAAAACCAAAGCTAAACACCATGCTATGTACCACATGTCAGGACAGTGGGACACAGCCATGTCCAGGCAGGGTGATGGTCTCCACGCATCATTTTTCCGATAGACCAATACCAAGCAGCCACTGGACTTTCTTGCGATATCATGGGCCCTCCTTTCGAAGAATTTACCCAGAAAGTGGTTCAAAAATGGAGTCAGGCTCCTTCTCACTGGACCACTTGCACATAAATACCCAAACAAGGGTCATGCAAGCGATTGCAGCTGGGACCACATCGGTGAGATTTGGATCTATAGATCGGATCGCAGTTGGCTACCGAAGGCAAGATACGATGGGGCGTGTGTTCCTAGTGTCCACTCTCCCAAGAGGGGTAGAGTTATCCGACTCGATGACAGGCTGACAGCCACGAGACTGAGTAAAAGAGTTTTCTGGCCCTAGAATACTAGCAGCTTAGCAATAATATACTTCTGATCGGTGAAAAAAAGAGCGAAACAAAGAAAAGACTAGTCAGTGGCTTCTGACGTATCCAAGTCGTCGAGAGCTCTTCCTAGTGGGAACCACTAAGCTCACTAACGACGGAGTTCAGCTGCGCCTGCATCGCTCTTCTCCGATGAAACATGAGTCGACACTCGACTGGGATTATTTCCACGAAGAAGGACATGATAATAAGATCCTGCAGAAATCGGAGTTTGCGAAAGGTCGAGTGGATACTGATTCCCACTTTCCTGGTGGGGGGCTGAATCTCGTCCATGTGGCCATGTCTTGAATCTGCTGGGATTTCTCGTCTCTCGGCCAGCACTCAGCAGTGAAAATATGAATTTGTTTACTGTACTGTGGAATGGATCAGGAACCTAAGATCCATGGGAAAGGCTCGATTAGTTTTGGGTCTTCTTTGGTGTCATTGGGACTATTTAGCGTACCGCCAGCAGATAGTCGTTGCTATTTGTAAGGCCGAATCTAGTGCTGAATTCACGCGAGTCAATATTCAGATCGGCATAGAAATGCCAGGATATGACGGACAAATTAGCGAGGATAGCTCAAGCTTATCCCTGTACTGTCAATTCTGATGACAAGATAGTCGAAGTCTCAGGGAGGAAGAAACAGAAAAAGAAGAGGAAGACGAGATCTCTCGACCATCCAGATTAGGGCTAGCGCAAGCACACGCATCCGAGACATTCAGATTTGCAGTTCGTCCAGGGAAAGAAAGACTTGGATAGATCACATATTTCACTTTACCTTACTATCAACGGTTTCTTTATCTGGGGCTCGTTTATTTATGCCTGGTTTGTTATTATTCCGTTTCTTTGTCTGTATGCTCGGATAGATAGGTAGGCAGGCAGGTGAGATGGCATATCTAAGCGAGATGAAGACAGCGATGAGAGGTTTAATAGCTATCATGGACAAGATGGTTATCTGGATTAGCATCTAAGCTTCAAAAGGCTCTCTAAGCATGGTGGTGATGTGCAAGTTTGATGTCTACCACTTAAGTGCCTACGATGATCTCCTCTCGCCCCCACCAGAGCTATCTCAACCATGACGCAGCATGCAATCTACTCTAGTCGCAGTCGTTCCCAGATACTGCATGTACAGTAGCTCAAAACTAATCTCATATGTGCTTAGGGTATCCCAGCAATATCAGAGACAATTTCTGCTTTACAATGACAGCTTCCGATACAGGCTGATAAGTTAGCTAGGTATTCTATAACTAGTTGTTAATGTTCGATTCATATCAACCCAAGTTCAAGATCAATTCAGGGTTCATCGGGTACATCCATACTGCATGCATGGTCAAGGATATGCATGCATGGTGTGACGGACATGATCTGTCACATGCATAATAGACTACCCCATAACATGGAAATCTATAAAAGCAATTCAATGTACAGCAAGTCAAATCTGTATAGATAAAACTACTATGATCCTGCTGCAATGTGGATAAATGGATTAATTCGACTGATTCATTCGTCTAGTACAGGACCCAGTTACGGTGGTCCTTTGGATTCAAGATAACAAAACAACATAAACATTCCTGTATTCAAGCCCCCTCAAATTTATGCAAGAGCCTTGACAGCTTCCTCGACACCCTTGGGGTTGGCACCGACGACATCGTGGACCTTCTGGCCGTCCTTGTAGAAGAAGAAGCTGGGCATGGCGCGGACACCCAATTCAGCAGCGAGCTCGGAAACATTGTCGACGTCAACCTTGTAGAACTCGGCATGGGCGTGCTCTTCGCTCAAGGAAGAGATCTTAGGGGCGATGGCCTTGCAAGGACCGCACCAATCGGCGTAGCAGTCGAGGACAAAAGTCTTTTTGGCATCGACAATCTCCTTGAACTGAGCGGCGCTGTATTGAAGAATTAGTTAGTGAACACAATCCCAGCCCCAAGCCAGAAGGCATATAAAAAGACGACATACGACTTGATCTCGTGGACAACCATGGTGGCGGGTGTAGGTCTAAAGTTGTTTGTGCGAGAAGAAGAGAAAGACCGAGAAGCAGCAAAAACCTGACGCTGGAATGGGCGAGATATCAAGCTAGAAGCAAGAGGGGTAGAGAGGCGAAGGGAGGCCACGGTGGATGATTTTGAAACTATGAAGAAAAGGCGGAAATTGATTAGCTTCCAAGGAGGGGCTGTCAAGGAGGGGCAGAATCGCTCTTATAGGAAAGGGGGATTTTCATTCCCCGAATGACGTTGGGCAAAGAGGATGAATAATCACCGAGCAGCCGGAAGCATCTCGGGGGTTCGTAGAATCAAAACAGGCCAGAGGGCCAGACAGCGAGCGACTTACTAAGACTCGGGGCGAATAGAGACATGGGTGGTGCGAGGGTGGATTTGTCAGGGGGAAATGGCAATTGGAAGAGATATCGATGCAATTGAGCGATTGGCTGAATTGGACAAGCAGTGAGCGAGACAATCTGTTTGGTGGTTGCACTCGTTGGAGACAAGAAAACAGAAGAGGTGAGCAGCCGCGGTTAAAGCGGCGGCAGTTAATGACGTGCTTTGCCGCTTACGAATCAGGAACGGTCTGGGCCTTAGTCAGACTGACACCTGAGGCACTCGTTTGTCTTGGAAATCCTCCATGTCTAGACAACTACGTGGGTTCGATTACTGGGTCATATCGGAAACATTCTTAGAAAGCAAGGGTAAATGACTCAGATGGCCTGCATCAGCCAGGTTTTATTTCTCATTCACAATATGTAGTATTACATACATACAGGCACTCTGCCAATCGGGTTCAATTCCTTGCTTATGCCTCGCCGGTCCGGTCGGAATGGCTAAGCCAGCATGGTGACCAGGATCATTATGAACAAATAGGAATTATAAATAATAAGAATAAACAATACTAATACCATGTCAGATAAAGGGATGCAGACTTTGGGGGCCTTGGCCGGCAGAGTCACAGAAATATGTGCATTGAATTGAAAATTGAAGATGATCCGGAAGTATCAAAGAAAGATACCATCAGGTATCAAAAGAGGAGAATTATTATGCAGTGGGCAGGGGAAACTCATTCAAACTTCCGCTGAGATGGGGTATCAACAAAACGCGAAATAGCAAAATTCCAGTGTGAGGGGAAATGCACTGGACTGGAAGTTTTTAGAAAAATGAAAATGAAAAAAAAAGGCAGAAGAAAGGGGGGAATAAAGGCAAGCAGCATACTTGCGCCAGGCAGTATTTCACACCGTTTAAGAGCTAGCCATGGCTTTAGAATGGTAGTCGGAACATCAACAATACAAAGGAAATCAAACAAAGGAAAGATAAAGAGTGACTGAATATGTACTGAGAAATGCTCAAACATTAGGAAGTATTGAGTATCTCAACAAGAACCTAATAGGCATGCTCTCCTTCAGAATGGATGCTCTCCCCCGAGTGAAACTCGGCAGAGTGCTCCTCTATGGGGCTGAATTCTTCCTCGGCAGAAAAGGACTGGATTCTGTTGAGAAGTCCCTCATTCGACTTGGGCCGAATCGTCGGGTTCACCAGTACGGGTCGTCTGGCAATCTGGTCATGCCAGGTTTCCTCCTCTTCTTGCTCGGGCAGAACGACTGCCATGCTCTCTCGGTCCTGGTGACTGGCTCGGGCATCGTAATCGTTCCCAGAAACGCCGTTTTCTAGAGCCGACTCCTCAACCTCTTCTTGCAACTTGGTCGGCGAGGAGCACTGGCTTCGTCGAGTTGGGTTATTGTTGTTTCTCTGGGAAATACGACGAAGGAATTGACCTGACATCCATGATCCTTCCGAGTCAATCGACGCAAGGGATTGAGACAAAGGTATATTGTCATCATCGTTCAAGTTCTCTTCCGTCAGGGCACCCGGAATTGGACGAGCACCGACAACCGAATGAGAGGTTCCCTCGTTCTCCATCCCAGAAAGATCAGCAGAGCGGTCAGTGGGCTCCTCGGGAATGTCTGGTGATTGAAGGCGAGAATCCGGTGGAGAAAGAGGCTCGTCACCGAAATGTTCGGTGAATTTAGATTGGGAGCGCTGAATTGTGCCAGCCCGAAGGAAGCTCTTGGGAGGAACATAGGGCGGTGGCCCCGATGATTGGGTGGGAATCCTAGAAAAGGACTCGTGAGAGGCATTTGAGAGATCCGAGGTCTGGTCCTGGAACCGTTCACGATAGCTTCTCTTGAGACGGTGGCTACCGCGTCGGAAGAAAGAGGATAATGTGTTGATGCGTCTGCCGCTCTGGTCGGACAGACGTCGTTCAGAGTCGATAGTTCTAGAAACGTCCGAGGTAGAATCCCGGGTCATTCCATATATTTGCGAGGATGTTGGACTGCCGAGACCATGTCTCGACGGGGAGTGAGACGGTGATAGGGTACTCTGAGACATTCCCATTTCTTGGGATGGAGCAAAGCTGCGGCGTGGGCCCAGTTTCTGCCCCCGGATAGAGCTATCGTCAATGTTGCCAATGACGCGAACGCTCTCCAAAGATTCGCGGCTTCGTACGGTCTCCTTGGATTTGGAACCATCCCGCAACCAAGTACCCGGCAGAGTATTAGGCACAAAATCTTTTGATTCAGTGTCCAGGGCGGTTTCTTCTTCAATAGGTTCTGGTTCAGCGTAGACTTCAGCATCTGGCTGGATCTCGCCCGCGTGATCCTGGAGTTGAGCACGTGCTTCCTCCAACTGCTGTTGTTCAGCACTATCTCGCAATTTGCGGTGGAGCTTCTCATGATCCTCGATGTGCTTTCTCTCTTTACGGCGGCGGTCTCTCTCGAGAAGTTCTCGTAGACCGCCGGCGTCGAGATTATCCGCTAATCGGTCAATCCGCTTCCTCGAATGCAAGTTCTCCTCCGACATGGTCAGAGCAGGTAACCTCTCCCTGCGGGTAGATGCCGCAGATGCATTCTGACTCCGGGCCGTTGCAAGTCGAGGCGGTTCGACATAGCGGATGGCGGGCCTTGGGGTCCAAGCAGCGAATGCATTGACCTTGAAAGTGTTTGATTCTGAGATGTCAGATAACGAAGACGCCAGAGAGTTACGGATGGAAAGGCTGGCCTCTGAGAGCTGGCGGTCCGAACGTTTATTACGGAGGGCCTTTTGCCCTCGCTTTGGTTTTGGCTTTGCATCCAGGAACTGGTCTGTCCGACGACGAGGAATATCGATCGGAGAAGAGACCATCATCCGAATTTCTTGTTCACGGGCAATCTCATGAGCCTTCCGCTTGCTTAGCCGTTTCTTCAACACGGCTGGACCGTTCTCGTTACGCTTCCGTAATAACGACGGGGTTCGAGACATGGCTGGCTGATCTTGGCCCACGCTCGAGTGGGAGGTGTAGACATCGACACGACGGTCCTTTCGAAGAGATGGATCTCGAACTCCCTTCCTTGAAGGCAGTCGTTCGCTATGGGCAGTGGGTGGGGGATGGTAGGTGAGGTGGTGAGGTGGCGAGGACGGTATGGCATCGTTTAGACTCGAGATATCTTCGACGGGATGGGAGTGACGGTTTTTTTGACGTTTAGATGATTTACGGGACGGGGCTCCGCCCAAGTCCGCCTCGAAGCCGGGAACCGACCCAGGGGCCACTTCGTGCGACAGACGAGAGTCGGCGGTTTCAGGTGCACCCAGCTGGATTGTATGCCGCTTGTTCTTGCGACCAAAGGGCCATATCGCCATGGCGGGCGGTCCGATCTAGGTCAGCCTCGTCCCGGCTGGCGAGTCAGATGTGGTGGACACTGGTAATCTCGACTGCAGGGTTTGGCAGAGTGGCTGGACTCATTGGGGGATGAGGGTTGGAGCGAGACACGAGACCCAGAGGCAAACCGACAAAGAGGAAAGCCACATCAAAACAAACCGGGGGTCGGAAGAGACAGAAAATTCGGGCGGGTCCGACAAAGGGAGATGACGGAGGGTGAGAAATTGGTGAAAGGATGAGAAGAGGAGAAAAGAAGAGATGGGAGATGATGGAAGGACGAAGGAAGAGAGAGAGCGAGCGAGAACGAGAGCGAGTAAGGGCCCCAGGTACTATTTTAGACTTGGGGGGGAGGATTATTAGGGGACTAGTGGCAGTAGAACAGGGTAGCCAGTAGGTGACACTACGGCGATATAACGTGAGGAAGGGAGAAAAGAAGGAGAAAAAACGAAAGAAGGGAAGAAGAGAAAAAGAGCGAGAAAATTAGGGAAAATAACAGGAAAGGAAAAGATGGAGAAGATGAGAAAGTGAGATCCAACGCCGAAGAGTCAGAATGGCCGAGACAAACAAAGCGCCCTTTAGTCTATCGTCAACCAGGGGACGCCGGTTCCTGGTGTACGCCGGGCCGTACCACTACATATTACTTGTCATATCTCTACTGTACAATATTTTTATAATATATATTCTTATTCTCATTTATTATAATAGTAGAATAATAATAATATAGATAATAGTAAATAGTATACTGTATTATGATGATGAGAGATCGAGATGAAAATTCTTCCAGTGTGGGGAAACCATCCACATGACTGCAGAACCGAGACCCTCAGATGTGCGTACAGACACATACCTAAGTAGGTACTAGTAGGTAGGTAAATAAGGTAACATAAAATATAATAGAGTACCTAATAAGATATTTACTATGCATAAAATATTTCTTATTCTTTCTTATTATTCTTCTTCTTCCTCTGTTAGGCATCGTTAGGTATCAGGCTATCAGGCATACAATACATCCACGGTATTGCTGCTCCTGACAGATGGGCCAAAGCGCTGCCGCAACGGTTGCTTGTTCTCCTAGTAATGGCCCAGTGGGGCGCTCTAAAACCCTGGCAAGACAAAAACTTCAGAAATAATAAAAACGACTAGAGGAAATTAAGTGCCGATCGTCTCTCGAGGGTTTTTTGGAACGTGTCGGTCTGGACCTTACATATGTAGATAAAAAAGTTGTGTAGTATGGCATATGCAATACTACAGCTACAACTATGCACAGGATGTACAGACTACAGACAACGTCCACAGGTACAGTGGAGATGGACAGATGTACTGTAATGGATACAGTAAAGTATCAGCAACTGACATCATTTCCGATACGGTACTGTATTAAAACAGGGATCCTTCAGGGCCAAAATGAGATCGCCTGTTCCTGCATCGACTAGAGCCAGTCTGCTTCTTGAGAAATGATAATGTGAGACATTCTCACTTAGTGGCCAGTCTGGACACTCCCGACTGTCATCCTTGCATCGGTCTTGAATATTTATTAGATATTTTATCGATTGTGTGTACTTTTCAGGGTTGGGGTTCGGTTAATCATCCCTCGACTGTCCTGCTAAGTACTGCTAATGTAGGTAATGGTGTATCTTGAACCGCGATCGGCCTGGATGGGCGGTTTAATTTCACCTCATCAAACCCAGTGGGGCGTCATCTCATCTCATCTTTCCTGCCTGCTAATGCCGTTAACTGTCGCGGTGTCGACTGACTCGACTCATGCAGACGGACTACTCTCGGATATTTAACTGAAGATAAGTGTGGATATTCTCATTCCACAATCCATGGAATACCCGCCATCCTGAGCCACGGTAGACTTCCCGGCAATAAATAGAAACAATTTAAACATAACCAACAATGACATTCTCTGCCCCCAAAAAAAGAAACAAGATGGATATTCTCCGATGGTTTGATGATAAGGATAATCGAATCCTCCTTTCAATCTGGTATACACGTGGCAAGGTTTAGACTGATACATATGTACACTGTACTTGTACTTGTACATCCCTGAAAAACAAAATCACCGAGATAATAAATTCACTGCGTCGCCCTCTTCCTCAACCGGTTCGGTTCTCGCTCCAACACTCGATATCGGCGTCGACTGAGGAGTCGCTTTAACGACCATGATTCGTTCCTCTTAACATCACTATCCTGGCTGTGATGGCGCCAGTCTTGTTCAGCTTGCGTGTAGTAGTCTTCTTTCGGCCCTGGGCGCAGAGCGATAGTACTTAGTGAGTCCACGCCCATTTTTAGCGGTTGTTGATGAATATCGTATTTCGGTTCGAGGTTTGAAATGTATCGATGAATCAGAGAGTCTATCTTCCGATGAGAGGGGAATAGTTCGATGGGTTTGAAGAAGCAGACTGGATGGTGGATGTGGATGGGAGGGAGGGAGACTGCGAAGAGTGACGCGTTCTGCGGATGCTCTGCGGATGCTTCGGTGGATAGTGAGCATTTATGTAATATGTATTTAACTTTAGCTTGGGCTGCCTGATCTATACATACTATCTGTCTGCCTAGATGTGCTCTACATAACATATCAATCAATCTTCCTACTCATCTCCGTTGTCTCTTCTGTGTCCAATATTCCCATCATGATGAATCTCGATATCGGAGGGGCAGGCGGGGAAGAACAGATGCAGCCAATCAGAGGAGCGAGAGTGGATATGACACGTGCTCCGCTTCCCCGCTTCTTCTCTTTTTCTCTGCGAGTGACAGAACCTAGGTATAGTAGAAAGGAGGAATAACAGAAGAATAGAGGAATGATATCTGATGACGTGGAAAACGATGCTGTCCCCATCCCATCCATCAGGATCATCCATCAACCTCAACATCAACATGACATAACCGTGGATTCACATCCTCGTCCCAACTCTGCCAGCCCTCAAAGAAATGCATCTCGTACTCTGCTGGTCTCACCGCATCAACTGCACTCCAGGGAGTCTCACCGCCAGATCATTCCAGTAGGTTACACACAGTCCACTTTTTAGAATTGCCCAACTTCGAGAATCATTCGGAATGATTGTCACGGACTCTGTTGATCCTTTGATCCTATCTTACTGTGTGCCCGTGTTGGTGATCTGTACATGCATCTATAGTCAGACTCTTGTGTAGATCGGTACATCCAGCCTAATCAGATCAACCAGATAGCCCAACACTCCTGCATATAGCAGAGTTGATATCATTATGATTATTTAATGGAAAAAAGAAAAGAAGAATAAAAGAAACCCAACCCCGCTCTTCTCGATTGGTCCAACGAAACTCTGACAGATCAAAAAAGATGGAAATGTGACATCCATGCAGTCATCCTCCATATTTAACCCCATTCACCCCTCTTCTTTTCAACGTTTTGAAACATTCTACCATCTCACTCTGCATGCTAGCTCTTACCTGTCTGTCTGTCTTGTATATATTCTTATCCACCTCACGTAATGGACGCATTATGGCTCTTCATCGCCTTTGGCTATCTCCTCCTCTACGCCTTTGCCTCGCTGTATTCCATCGATCCGCACATTTATCTCGGACGCATTGAAAATTGAACTTGTCGATTTACCAGGCTAGCCTGGATGATATTATTCAAGGATAACATCATCATTTTATAATGAAATTATGTGAAATGATTACCCCGTCTCTCGTTACCCATCTTGTCAATACCTATCGATATCCGTATACGATTTACGAAAGCCATCACCTCCTCCTGCAGATTCTATCCACGGTAGAATCTGGGATTCGAGTCGAGCCGAGTCGATGTCAATGTCGATATTACCGGACTGCGGTTTAGGATGGTTTAATCCATCAATATCAGTGTCAACATTCGTTTGAAGGTCTGACTCGCTCGATGAATGAAGCTGCAGGTGCAGTTGGTTGGAAAAAAATGGGGGTGGAAGTGAATGAGATGAACGATGCTTATGAAGATATAAAATTGATATATACTGTTATGGAATGCACATACTGGGGTGACATCATGTTTATCCTTATGTTGCCTAGATCAACTCTATACCAACTCTATACTCTTAAATCATCCTCTTGGGTAGTATCCAACTACACAAACCAGCAGAACAGCAACCTACACAATAGCATAGCTACACACCGAACAACAATATACTCAACAACAGCGATGTTCCCCCCATCATTCCTCCCCTGGCTCTTCCCATGGCCAAACACAACCACAACCCCTTCTCCCTCTTCTACTTCTCCATCCATCCTAAACCGCCAAAAACGAAGACAACCAATGAGAAACCTAAAAGTCGAAAAACGAAAATACCGCGCTCTCCGCAGCAGAGTGCTTTCCAGAAACTCCTCAACTCCAAGATCTGCCCTAGCCCGGGCTCTCCAAATCTACGATCCGGGTCTCACGTTCTACCACCCTCCTTCGCTGGAGTAGTGGATGAGTTAGAGGAGATTTTTGGTTTGGGGAGGGTGGAGTGGTTGTCGGGGCTTGAGAGGGCGAGGTTGTTGGAGGAGAAGGTTGATAGGGTGCTAAAGGGAGTTTTGTATAAAATGGGGTATGTATATCTTGGTTACCTTTGATGGGTGTATTTTTGGGCTAGTGCTAATGCGTTATGTAGATATCGGGTCTTTTCCTATTATGGGCAGAATGGACGTTGGTTTCTGGTGATTGGGGTTACAGATGGTCGGATTTTTTTCTCTGCTGCCGGGGTGGTTGAGGATTCCGTATTTGGTGCATGCCGAGTGTCGTGATATAGATTAGCTGTGTTATGGGGATGGTGACTGTATATTGTATTGCTTACAGGGTGTCCGATGTATTACAGGCTGCTTCTTGATATTGTTATTTTATTCTATTCATCTGGTCATAATAAGCCATACGTCGTGGATGACATGTTCATTCCATGTGATTAAACGCCTTCTGTCCACTGTCCCTGTCTTGGACATCGTATTCCAAGGATCTAGACATTCCAATCGTGGCGATCGGGATTACTGAAGAAAGCCATTATCTCTCTGGCTATCTGCCCGCTATCAGGACATGGCTGACACTTCAGAAGGCAGGTTCGCAAACTAATGCAGTGTGATCCCATACTAGCTGTCTAGTTCAGACTGGGGTCTGTTGTCTTTCCGCCAAGTCTAGTTCCCCCTGCAAAACCCATCTTTTTTTAAGCCTTTCTTCGGCTTGTAGATCATTAATTCTCTCAAGTTTAAAACCATATCTTGATCAGCTCTTCACTGACTGCACTGGGCGTCAGAACGCCGCTATCCGTAATCAACGCGGAAATCAGATGAGGAGGGGTGAAGTCGACCACGTCAGAGCGATCATCCATACTGGTCTTTGGAGTCGCTTCCGATTGGCTGGCTGCGGGCTGTTGCTTGGCTTCGTCTGCAATGTCTTCTTCGCTCTTGAAGTCGATGACTCGCTGATCAATAGGCAAATCATACTGTCCAAGCGGGTAAAGTCGGACGAATTTGTGGCTCTCTGCCACGGCATAGAAAGGCTTGCCCATGGCCTTGGCCAGAAGTCCAATCTGATAAGTTCCCATTCGCGACACGATTCCTCCGTTTTCCACCACACCTTCGGCTCCCACAATCACTATATCTGCCTTTCCGAGAGAATATGCGACTGCCGACTCAGGAATCGTAGCCACAGGAACTCCCTTGGCTCGCAGCGCACGCACTGTTTCCATACCCTCGGGCTCTTCGGAGGAGCTTTCGATGTTCTTCTTGGTTGATGATGAGAGAACATAGATCACCCGGAACCGCACCGCAGACGGGCCACCCTTTTCATCAGCTGCCTGTTGCAACAACGATGCGACAACTCTGGATCCACCGTTTGTAAGAACTGTACTTCCATCGCGCACAAATCCCCTTCCGAATGCAGCAATCTTGTCTCGGCTTTCCTTTGCACGTCGAATGAACAATCGACCGTTGGAGAGCAGGTGTGCTCTGATGGCGTTGAAATCACCCGCAGGTCCTAGCTGCCCTGGCCTTTGTAGAGTTGTGATCAGGTATCTCTGGAAAAGGTCGGTTCCGGCGGAGAGACCGATAGGGTTGGGGATCGACTTTTTCAAGTGGGTAGTGGATTTCTCCAACAAGTCTAATGTCTCTGATATCGTCGAGGAGGGCGAGTGTGTAAGAAGAAGAACCAGAGCTTCGATAGCCGCGATTGGCATCGTCAGGTCCGGATCCGAGCGTAGCAAGTCATTATATGTAGCGACAATGCTGTCGAGGGGTTTAGCAAATACAACGCAGGAGGTTTTTTGCCAGAATCCTTACTCGAATGGTTTGGCGACATTTGACGATTCAGTAGCCATGATGATCCGATGGCGCGCAAGCCGCTCTGGTTACTTAAATAAGAGTAGTTTCTATCAACCTGTGCTGCGATCCACAAGAATAATCATGACCAAATAATCGCCATGAAGAGTCATCGAAAAGAAGCGTGGAGTGGGAGTTTGCACTGTTTGCATCCGCTGCCCCTCCAGGCCGCGCTAGTCCGCTTCTGGTTGCCCTGCGAGCCAGGGCGGTAAACAATCATCATAACATTTGAGAAGATCTCCACGAGCATCACCGCAACCCACCTTCTGCATTTTTTTAACCTGGCATCTGGGACCTGCGATTTGAACCTGGAGTTTATGCGACAAAATGTCGTACAATCATCGGATGAGCCAGCAATTCCATGGCACCCAGCAACACCATAACAGGGGACGCAAGAAGGAAGATGAGAACGATGCCTTGATGCGCCTGGTCAGTTTGTCGACTTGACACAACTAGCATTATATCTAACGACATGTACAGCCAGATAAAGAAATTGCAGGATGTATCAACGATATTGGTATTCCTTTTACGACCGCCGACTTGATCAAACCGAACCCGCAGCAGATTCAAATGGTGTTTGAATGGTTCGGAGAACTCCTTATGAATGTCACCAAAGAGACGGTAGAGCCTGCTATGCGTGCAGCTGGCGATGATGTATCTGGCGATTACCCAGACATTGTGCCCGTGGACACGCGCAATTTAATGGGGTTCTTTATCAGTCTGAAGAGGTTAATGCAGGAGGTATTTTCATGACCGTTCTTGTTCATCCGATGAATTGCTAATACGATGCTCGTGAACCAGTGCGGAGTAAATGATTTCACATTTACGGATTTGACCAAACCTACACACGACAGACTCATCAAGATCTTCTCGTATCTCATTAACTTTGTTCGATTCCGCGAGTCGCAAACCCCTGTCATTGATGAGCATTTCAACAAAACAGAAAAAACCAAATCACGCATCGATACACTCTACGTGGAGAACCAGGAGATGGAACAACGGCTGGAGGAAATGCGACGGAGCCTTAAGGCCAACGAAGGGCAGGTGAGGGAGAAGGTCAGGAGGAACGATGAATTGAAAGCACGGCTGCTCGAATTGAGACGAAACCAGGAAAGGGTCGCTGAAACCCTTGAACGAGTAAAAACGGAGAAGGCAAGGCGACAGGCTCTATTGGAAGAGAAGACCGAAAAGGTTGTGCGCAATCGACAAGAAGTGGAGAAGCTTCGACCATACGTCTTGGAGAGCCCAGCAACTCTCCAGTCAACACTGACTGAACTTTCGGAGAGCCTGCTACGCGAGAAAGCCCAGATCGATGCGATGGAGAAGAGAGCCAGAGCTTTGCAAACGTCATCAGATACCTTCACAGTGGTTGGAAACGATGTGCAGGCTTGCGTCAGGCTTCTCGAGGACATAGCTATGGAGTTACAGAAAGAGGATGACGAAGATTCCCGAGCTTCAAGGAACAAGGAAGCCATTTCCGAGAGGGGCAATAATGTTAGAGAAGTGGAACAGACTGAAAAACTGCTTCAGCGACAATTAGCACGCTGGAATGAGAGGATAGAAGCGCTCGGAAAGAATGCTCGGGAAAAAGCAGCAGCAGCACAAGCTCGGATGGAGGAGCTTCGAGATGTCCAGAAGCAGCTCCGTGAAGAGCGTGCAGAAAAGCAGCGTGATATGGAGAGACGGAGAATCCGCATTGAGCAAACTGAGAAAAAGGTATGTTTTGCGTGGTCATGGATGATTGTCGAGTATCACACTAACTCTTCTAGATGGCCGATCTCAAAGAGAATATCGAGAGCGAGATTCAAAGCGCCCATGACCAGTATCTCAAGCTGGAATCACATATCAAGCTTTATACCACCGAGATGGAAAAGTGTCTATGAGCGAAGGAGTTCAATGGGTTATGATTCAGGAGTTTTAAGCGTTGGCTCTAGGGATACCCGGGTGTTTATTGATATTGACAGTACATATGTTACGTATTAACTAGAGCAAATGGATTGGATAGGGTGGTTCATTCTATTTATGCAGTTGAAGCACGAGGAAATAATATATACGAAGTGCATCCATTGTAACATATTTCTCAAGGATTGCGAGGAGCTTTCTGGTCAATTTTTTCATTGAACTCAAACCATCGTTGCGCAACTCTTTTCACTGGCACGCTGCGTCCTCTCAAAGTACTTTCATCTCCCCCAAATCGGACAGATCCATTGAGCAATGGGACATGGACATTCCATAGTGCCTCGCCGCGTTCATTGCTGGGATCAAGGATATCTCTGCATTCACATAGCACAAGATTCATTCCCATTCGAGACGACACTTCCACCACATTTGCAAAAGTCCTTGATAGTCCCTGTGCAGAGAATTCAGACGTGGAGACATGTAGAGCAAGCAGATTAAGAACTGCCAGCAACGGTCGTCGGCCCTGCTGATCAACGTGTGCTGTGTCTTGTTTAACATCACTCGAATGCAACGCAGACAGACAAGCTCGTAGATTCTCCAGTGTTGGGCAGAACAGTAACCTGATCTTGCTTGAATTCGCCAGCAGTCCAATGGTTTTGGTGGACAATTGGTGGCCGTCGGACGCGCCTGTTTCGTCTGTGTGGTTGCGTATGGCAGTAAACAATTGCCCTAGGAAGTGGTCTCTGGTTGAACATATGACAAGAGTTGTAGCACATGCATCATTGTAAAGGACTTGTTTTAGAAAATCCGTGACCGAGTCGAACGAATATATGCTGCGGACAGGTCCCATTGCTATGGAGAGCTGCGTGTCGACGCCACTCACTCCAGGCTTTTTTGTCAAGGAATCCTGCTGGCAAGTGAAATAAAACCGAAAGTCCCCCGATATAACATTCTTCACATTGAACCGACGTCCACCAGCCCTGTCCAGCGTGGTTGTTGGAGAGTTGCTCGGAGTCGGAGTGCGGGGAGCAGTAGACGAACCCAACAAGAGCCGCCGGGCTCGCTTGCATCATTTCATTTATCTCCAAACCATCACCTGCTCTCGAACCCCTCCACCTCCAATCTTCTCTTCTTTTCGCCAGACCACTCCCTTAATCTGTCAGTGCGCCCGTCAGGGGCCTTGGGGGTCAGGAAAATGGAGACTATTTCTAGGATTTCTTCCATGCTGGAAACAGGTACGGCCGTTGGGACTCTCCTGCCTGCGTGTTGGGGCTAACTCTTTTCCAGCTCGAGAACTCACTCTTGAAGCTGCTCAGTCTGCCGCTAGTAACAGGCTGTCCAGTACCAATGCCTCGTCTCGCGGCCACAGTGTGTCTCATATTAAGAAGCTCCTCGAAAGTCGCATTGAACGGGAGGTCCTGGATGGGATGCGGAAGGTGATTTCGGTACGCGACAACACATGGCTTCGCTTCTACGCCCACGGAAATAACAGGCTACTAACTTCATATCTCTCATCTAGGTGATGTACCGTGACGAACCGTCCTTCCCTTTCTTCCCAGCGGTTGTTAAAAATGTCGCCAACCCAAATATCGAGGTCAAAAAGCTGGTTTACATTTACTTGGTTCACCAGGCAGAGTCGGAACCGGATCTTGCTCTCTTGTCGATCAACACGATCCAGAAGTCCCTCACGGATCAGAATCCCCAGGTGCGCGCCATGGCACTTCGTACAATGTCTAGCATCCGAGTTCCGGTTATCAGCCAAATCGTGTCTCTGGCGATCAAAAGAGGTTGTGGTGACATGAGTCCCCATGTCCGCAAAGCAGCTGCACTGGCAATCCCAAAGTGCTATCGCTTGGATCCGAATACCATTCCGCAGTTAATTGGCTATCTCTCCACATTGCTGGGTGATTTGCAGTATTTTGTCGCTGGACCCGCCGTCGCCGCGTTCTTGGAAGTTTGTCCGGATCGTATCGATTTGATTCACAAGCACTACCGGAGCTTGGTCAAGAAGCTAGTGGATATGGATGAATGGAGCCAACTGTCAACACTACGTCTTTTGACTTTCTACGCGCGGAAATGCTTCCCCCGCAAGACCCAGAGAGTGAAGAAGGCAGTTACTTCCAAGGGATTCTACGATGACATTGATGACCAGGATACGACCGAGCAGAATGGTGACGACGAATATGAAGTTCCGGTCCTCGATCCAGACCTCGAGCTTCTTTTCCGATCATGCAAGCTACTCCTGCAAAATCGCAACTCCGCGGTGGTTGTCAGTGTCGTCCGCTGCTTTCTCTATCTGGCCCCACCGGAATACCTCACCGATGCTGTTGGCCCTTTGATTGCTCTTCTTCGAAGCCCCCAGGATATGCAGCAAATCGCGCTGTACAATATCGTCGCCGTATCGTTGCGCAACCCGAAACCTTTTGCGAAATATGCTTCTCACTTTCTAGTACACAGCAATGAACCACCCCACATCTGGCGCCTCAAGCTCGAGGTTTTGACTATTTTGTTCCCGCACTTCGGGATGCATCTCAAGGGAGTGATTATCAGCGAGCTGGAACATTTCTCGCAAGGTGCAGACCCGGATTTAGTGCGGGAAAGTGTTCGCGCAATTGGCCGCTGTGCACAGAGTGATACCAGCACCTCATCTCACTGCCTCGGCATCCTGCTCAATCAAATCACAAGCATGGATGACAACCTGGTGTCGGAGTCGTTGACCGTGATCAGGCATTTGATCCAACAAGACCCAGCAGCGCACGAACAGACAGTAATCCAACTGGTGAAGCACCTCGGGTCGACAACTAGTTCTGACGCAAGGGCAACCATCATTTGGCTCGTCGGGGAATATGCAGGCATTGAGCCAGAGCGAAATTTCGCACCAGATGTGCTGCGGATATTGGTGAAAGGCTTTGCGGATGAACCAGAGGCTGTAAAGCAGCAAATTGTCCTTTTAGGTGCCAAGGTGTACTTACATCACCTGTTACGAAACCCTTTGAAAGAGCAGCCAGAGTCAGAGCCCAAGGTAGAACAGAAGTATAGCAACGAATGGACCGATAACCAGGATGAACAGAAAGAGGAAGAACCCGAACAAGAAAAGCAGGAAGAAGAGCCAGAAGATAAAATCTCTCTTCTTTGGCGCTACATCCTCCTCCTCGCTAGATACGATCCCTCTTATGATCTTCGCGACCGGGCTCGTCTCTACAAGGCTCTCCTCGACTCACCTTCCAAGACGCAGCTCGCCAACCTACTCCTCCTTGCTCCTAAGCCTGTCCCACATGTCCCAAGTCCGTCGGAGACGCGCAAGGACTTGCTTCTTGGATCCTCCACACTCATTGTGGGACCAGACGCTGGTCTCCATGGTCTGAAAGGCTACGAGAAGCTCCCCGAATGGGTTGAGCCAGGACATGAGCCTGACGCTCATCTTCGTGAGCAGGAAAAGCCTCAAGTGCTCCCAGAAAAGGCATCCATGACTGCGGGCGAGAAGCTCGACAAGGCCCTCAGGGACCATGAAATCAGCGTTGCATCTGCTACTAAACAGAAGGCTGCTGTTCAAGGCGCAGCAACGAAGAACAAGAGCCTGAGCGAGTGGTTAGAGGATGAAGAGAGCGAAACTGAAGAGGAAACTGAGTCGGAGTATGAGGAAGTGACCGACTCCGAGGCAGAAGACTCAGATGAGGAAGAGGAAGGAGAGAGCGAATATGAAGAAGTGACTGACTCGGAGGATGATGCTGAGGGTACACAGCTATTGACAGCTCAGCCTCCGAGGAATGCATAGTCAGGAAATTATTTTTTAGAAAAAAAGGATATTCATTTTGGAAATGATAGTTATGCCATTTGATGAGATATCCGCTTACATATTTAAATATATAATTCATTCTATGGCTTCTATTTATCACCTTTAGTTTTGGCTTGCGTATGTATCATCATCTCCCTCTATTTAGTAGTCGAAACAAAGATCGGCCCAAATGTATTTTTCAGTCCATCATCAGTTCGTGTTATTTAGTATACATAGTAGTGGTACATGGATATTCCCAAATAAAGAAGACGAAGGAATAGACTCAACACCGTTATCCAACTAAATACAGAAGGGTATATATAGATTTCAGAGTGCAAGCAGAAACATGAGAAAGACCCGAGCATAGTTTAAATTAGGGCCATGAACCCAAATTAATAAATAGAATCCAGTATTAAATATTTCAAAAGCTATTATAAGACCCACGAAAAGACCTTCCAGAGGTCTGTAAGGGCTGACCCTTGAGGTACGTCATTATGCAGAGTAAGTCCCAAAATAGATGCCGTAAACCAGGGCTGTAACTAATCAGGAATCAGTTTGTCAGAATAGGCGTCGAATGTCCAAAAATAAGCGCGTTTGTTTTTATTGGTCGATGTTTTGTAGGAAAATAAACTGTCGCGAGAACGACTGATACTACCATCGACGGCTTAAAAAGTTAGCAGATGACATTTCAATGGGTTTCCTTGTACATACCTGTATGCAGAAGTGTCTTGCGACTCCCGTCGCTTCTTGATTTTGGGTGTCTCTATTTCCTGACGCCGAGAAGCCGTATATTCATCCTCCGGGGATTCAATAGAACGCGCTCTCTTGCGACCAGCGCTATTCGGGGGCGACAGGGTATAGCTCGGCTTTGGTTTATTCCCATAGCATTGCTTGGGGTGGGGCATATTATTATATTCAGCCCTCGGTGGCTGATGAGATATATAGGCTTCGCGAGGATTATGTTTGTTCCATGATTTCGATCTTTGGTGTTGCCTCGCAACAGCATCCTGGTTTATGCGAAATTGCTGACTATGAGCCGGATTGCCCGAAATTGAATTTCTGTGCTTCGGGGTGACCTTGCCAGCTTCCAATTGCTGTACTTGTCGATCAATAGCTTGTGTATCCTCGAACATCATTTGATCATCTCCCAAGATACTTGAAGTCTTGAAAGTATGTTTCTTGAGTACTTGTTCTCGACGCCTGACAAGTTCCTCCATGGAGATGCGTGCACAGTCACTTGTGATTTCATGGAAAATGGGATCGTTCATTCTGCGTGGCCACTCCGGGGTTTGCCTAATATTACTCTGCTGCTCTTTATGGTTTTCTTTTGATATATATTTCGATACAGACATGCCTGGTTGGAGGGTGCTTATTGGTGGGAGCGGTCTGATTTCGTCGTTGGCAAAGAAAGTTGAAGGAAGCGGACGCGCGACAGAACAAGCTGACCGCCATACTTGGATCTTGTTAGCAAAGACGAATCTATGTGAATCTAAGAGCATACCAATTTGATCTCCAGATAGCTTTTGCGGCCTGTGGCCATCAATGGCCTGGAGTTCCTGCATCCATGGTTCGATTGGAGGTGCAATGTAGGGCACATCATCGCGATGAGGACATTGACACTGAGGTGGCTTGAAGCGTTCTTCCCGGCACGGCGTATGACCGATTTCAAAATAGCTCTGCGGAGGATTCTCGGTATTGATGAATGGTGATAACTGTGGTGGAAAATATCCTTGAGACTGAGGGCTAGCATGTGATGACGCAGGACTAGGGAATTGAGAGCCATTTGTCGTGTTTGGAGTTGGTAGCCCATGCGGGCCAAAATAAGGAGGATACTGATGTACAGGAGAAGTATACTGCGGTGAATTCTGCCAGGGGCTAAAACCTGGTGATTGGGCTGACATTGGAGTGGCTGGATAGGTGTTAAACGGTAGAGAGTTGGGTTGAAGTACAGGAGGCTGGGAATGCCTCCGGCTCAGTCCCGGGCGCTTAAAGGGCTGTTGAGCCGAATAGCGACTGTATGATACACTATTTGTTTTAAGACGTTTTGATGGACGAGGATTGCTTTCAGAACCTCTAAGAAGATGGGTATATTAGCACTGAACCCGATAGTTTTCTGGTTATACTCACGCGGGTATCGCACGTCGAGGCTCTGGGCAATTCTGTGCCCAATGCCCCGGAGATCCACAGTTATAGCATGTCTGGGGAATCGAGTTCCTCCCAGGGATGTCAAAATATCCAGAAGATTCAGGAGCCGGTGGCTGGGAATAATAAGATCCTGAAGCTCTGCCTCGAAAATCCTCATGGCCGAATGTTGAGGGAGCTCGATGGCAATGCTGGTTGGGCAATGGCCCATTCCATGATAGACAATGATCCATATTGAGATCCGAGAAAGATATTCTTCTTTGTTTTATTTAAACGACGCAAGACTCAAAATGGCAATAGTAGAAGCCATGTAAAAGACGATATACCGGCCTGCAGTAGTTTGCAGGGAACTCAACAGTCGAGATATAGAACAGAGAGATGATGATATAGGGCATGAATAAAAAAGCAAATATATATAAACCAGTATGAAAAGTAAAGCCCTGGCCAATCACAAGGTCAGGACAATGCTGCCCAAAGGTATCTGGGAGATGGGGATACCTGAGGCCAATATTATGATGCTGCCCAGGACTACTCCACAGTATACACGGAGTAAGCTGCAGGAGCACGAACACCTTCTCCGTCTCTGGGGTCTGTCGATGAACCAAAACGTCAACAAAACCGTATGATGGAAGACTCGATCTCTCTCTTTTCAGACCTTCGATGACCGTTTTATACAAGCAAGAATGGACAAATTGCCAGATGGAAACCCGTCCAGAATCCCGCTCGAAAGCACGGGTCAGTTCACGTGGAGCGCTATTCCGTTTTTGGTACGCATCTGGGGATTGTGCTTTATAGGGTGGGCGGTGTCATCCGGCAGAATACACCCTCAACCGCCTTTGTATTTGGAATCCCTCCGGTTTGTCTCCGGAAGGACGCAAGAGAAATTAAAAAAAGACATTGTCAGTGTTGTTGGGCTCTGTCGGTAGTGTTGCAGCGTGTTGCTCACTCTTCCAACTCACTACCTTGCTTGGTTTGTTGGTCATGATGCGAGCTGCTGCAGGAACCTTTCAGACTTATCCCTTTTCCAGCCCACCGTCATAGCTTGTTGCCCTTATTTCTACTATCTATCCCTATCGGTCGCTTGATACTCTATACACGTCTCTGTGTTGATTATTATTTTGCACTGCGTTACGACAAACGAAGATCTCCGAGTTACTGTCTGAGATCCATCCAGCCGCAATGCCTGGTTTACCGTGTACGTTCGGATTTTGAAAGTGGGTTTCGTTTACCGCAGAGGGCTCATTGTGTGGCAGCTAGTATCGACCTGGACGAGTGCATTGAGAGGCTCTATAGAAAAGAATTGCTGGCAGACTCCGTTATCGAGGCAATATGCGCCAAAGCGAAAGAGCTTTTGATGAAGGAGAGCAATGTCGTTCACATTGCTGCTCCGGTCACCGTGGTGGGAGATATCCATGGCCAGTTCTTCGACATGATCGAGATCTTTAAGATCGGGGGTTTCTGTCCCAACACAAACTATCTTTTTCTAGGTCAGAAATCTCAAGGGACTAACGCTCGGGTTGACGGTTTGTGTTGCTGACGGGCAATTTTTATAATGCACAGGTGATTATGTGGATCGAGGTCTCTTCAGTGTGGAAACCATCTCCCTCCTCGTCTGCTTAAAACTACGGTACCCTCAGCGCGTTCATCTCATCCGCGGCAATCACGAGTCCCGCGGTGTGACGCAGTCCTACGGATTCTATACCGAATGTGCTCGAAAGTACGGCAACGCCAATGTTTGGCACTACTTCACCGACATGTTCGACTTCCTTACTCTTAGCGTCGTGATCAATGATCAGATCTTCTGCGTACACGGCGGTCTCTCCCCTTCCATCCACTCCATTGACCAGATTAAAATCATCGATCGGTTTCGTGAGATCCCCCACGAAGGCCCTATGGCCGACTTGGTGTGGTCCGATCCGGACACCGAACGCGACGAATTCTCGCTTTCCCCGCGAGGCGCCGGGTACACTTTCGGCGCGCAGGTGGTTCGGAAATTCCTCGAGGTCAATAGTATGTCTCATATTCTGCGAGCCCATCAGCTGTGTCAGGAAGGGTACCAGGTTCTTTACGATGACCGATTGAGTACTGTGTGGAGTGCACCGAACTACTGTTATCGGTGCGGCAATCTTGCCAGTGTGCTCGAAGTGAGTGACACGGGCGAGCGGTACTTTAACATCTTTGACGCGGCCCCGGAGAACGACATCCATCGCGGCGAACAACAGGCGCAGCAGAACAAGGATGGACAGAGTCCTGTGATTGACTATTTTTTGTGATACCCTGGGTTTTTATCTCGTTTTCCTTTTTTATGCAATATTTGGAGTTTGGTACAGGACATAGCATTTATAGATAGCATTGAGGTGTGAATAAAAATGTGAAAGACGACAAGCATCAACAGAGCGTTACGCAAAGCCTTGTGGATATCAACTTGGTTGTGCTATTTAGAATAACCTGGCCTTAGCGGAGACCATAGATTTTGAGAAGGAAATTCGTTCAACATGGGACTCTTGAATCAAAATGAAGAAGAAAAAAATTGCTGCTCATGATATAATCATAGTTTCGTACTGCAACTACCCGAAAAAGAAGAAAAAATCTACCAATCCTTAGCGATGTCAAACGACCACTCGAACTGGAGGTGAGTGTGGTCATCGTCATCGACAAACTTGGAAACAGCATTGTAATGTCCTCGAGCGATCATTCCCGAAGGAGCCTCTTCTGCGTGGACTAACGAAGCATTAGTGTCGAGTTGATTCATGTCAGATTGGGCTATACTCACGCTTCTTTTCGTAGACGGGCTTGTCCGAAGTGTTCGGGGCGAAACTGCCCTACATTGGAAGTTAGCATTGGCGTAAGGCCATCAAGAAACAAGTCAGCACTCACCAGCATCTCTTCGTCCTTGCTAACTCTAATCCCCTTGCGCTTAACGACTTGCAGGTACTTGAGGCCGCTGAGAACCTCGTGGTTCACTTGAAAGACAGCCTTGGTTTGGAAAGCGGCTCCCTCCTTGATGGTGAAAGGCTTGTCCTTGAGCGCATCAAGAGCACCGGGCGCGGACAGCTCAATCAATACATCGTCACGTCCTTCAACCTCCAGGGCGAGGGATTTGATAATGCACTTTCTAGGGTCGTTGGGGTCTCCGATAGGGGTACCGGTGTTGAGACCCAACGAGGCCTTCCAGCGGTTCAGGGATTCGTCATTCTTATCTATTAAGAAGCCATCACGTCAGTTTAAGGATTCGAGGCGAATGCATATGCAAGATGAAGATTCGCTTCGACATGACATAACGGTCGAGGCAAGGGGTAGTTATCTCACGAGACACCTCCGTGCGACGAACCGATAGTATGCCCAAGCAAAAGGAGGGGCAACACTTACCCAACTCGCTGTATTCATTAATTGTCTTCTTCTCTCCGACCTTGAAACCCTCGGTCTTGGAGGCAACGAGATCGTCGTTTTGCTCAGCAGACATTGTGTTGGTGGTTTAAAGATAATCGAGTGTTTTGTTCCTTGGTGGGGTACCTGACGGGCTGATGGAGAACCGAAGTAGATTCCAATGGAATAACCAAAAAAGGTTGACGATGGTACCTGTCAAAGGGCCCAAAGAATGGATAAATGAATGATCAGGAGGAACAATAAATGAGAAATAATAACAACAAGGATGAAAGGCTGAGTGGGTTTTTGTTTTGGTGTTGGAGGCAATTAAGTAGCCAGTGTACAGACTGGCGGGGAATCGGTTCCTTCTCCTTCGACGGTGGGGGGGAAGTGGAAAGGCGGTGGACGACGAGGATGTCTTAGACGGGATTCAGGGGCTGAGGCGATTGAGGCGATTGAGGCGATGAAGCCATTTGTGCTGATGTGATTTGCATGGTAGATGATCTGGATGATTATGATTATGGAGGTCACTAACAATTGCTGTCTCTCTGTCTACAATTGGTGTGGGCAAGGCCACCATATCATCACAAACAATCCCAGGTCAACAGTCCGACTGACAGGTGGGGTTGTTGTCGCCTTAATTGACGCGTATTTTTTTTTTTTTAGCTCTCTCAACACTCTATCTGTATTTCTCTGCCGCTGAATACTGGTGTTTTATGTCTGTCTTAGCGGTGTGGAATATTATTATGAGCAATAATATCCAACTTTGGAGATTGGAGTGACAGAGAGTAGTGACCTCCAGTGGCATCAGAATGACAACCTGACCTCAAGTCAATAAGGCCCTACACTGATATATTAACGTACGTTTTAGAGTCTTGGAATTAGCTTGATTTAAAAGATCATTAGCACTAAATAATCCTTGTTGTGTTGTCAAGATGCTCCAAATCAATGTAACCACCCAGCATAGGTAAATAAGCAACTACTTTAGGTATTCAGAATCTATTAGGTACTATCTATTTCATGATACTTTTGTTCTAGCTTGACAACATTCGTAAAATATATCTCTGAAAACAAACATTGCAACTGTTTTGATTAAGCTCTGATAGATCATATAGCCTCATCACGGGGGTAACGGCGAGCGGATGTTGAGCTTCAGGCCCCCAGGCATCAATACCACGTAATTGAATTCCCGTTACACTAGTGTCATCAAATACCGGGGATGGGCCATCAACACAGTTAATTGCCTGATGCAGCTGGCGCATGTGACCCCCATTGCCGATTATTGGTGGACTTAGGTACCGCCAAGCCCCTGTCAATACCATCTGTGACCGTACCGTTACCCAAGTTACAGCATCGACTCAATGGAAAAAAGTGCCCGCCTCATTCCGGCCTGCGCTGCTCTTCCTCGTCCCCCTAATCTCTCTATCTTTTCCATATCTATCGATCGATCTTCGCTCGATTTATCTACAGCCTCGTCGCGGGTTTGTTTGTGATTCACGGGTTTGGTTCTCTCCTTTTGCCAAGTCTATCGTGGCATTTTGCGAGCCCTTGAGTGACGTCTTTTTCTTTTTTCTCCCCTCGAAACGCGCCTGCAACGTGGCTGCCGTTGGCGTCGCATCTTAAAAGTTACTTAAGACTCGAGAATTCTTATAAGAGCCTCAGTCACCACCCCTCGAGGCACCATCCTCTTATTCCCAAGGCACCAATATCTTATCATCCCTAATCATCCATCATGGTGCGATCTCTTCCAAAGAGAAACAACCCTCTCATCCTCGCAGACGAGGCGCCAGTCTGTAAGTTCGAACTTTCGCTTGTCGCGCGCGTCGACGCCTATCTATCTCACGGCTTCCTGTGTGCCATGCAAAGTTTTTTTTAAAAGGAGACATGGCTAATAGTCTCGTTTAATAGACGATGAACTTCTTGCGCGCCGTCGTCTGGGAAAGACACATCTCGCCGTGAAGCCCACCCAGATTGGGACATCTAATGCGACCAAGCCAGAGAACTTGGGACCCTTTGAATATGCTCATCTACGTGCGCCTCTGCCCAGAGACCTCAAGGGCTCCGAGATTTTCCCCTCGCACAGCCCCCAGCAGCACCCAGAGACTTATTTCCTGATGGTGAGTCGCGACCCGCGCCCCGGTGCGTCCCCCAAGATGGACCGGTTTTTGACTTGAAAATTTTTTTTTCTTCGACAATAGCGACGAAGCAAAGATGGTTTTGTGAGCGCCACTGGAATGTTTAAGATTGCCTTTCCCTGGGCAAAGCTGGAGGAAGAACGGACTGAGCGAGAATATTTGAAGGCGAGAGATAACACCAGCGAAGATGAAATTGCTGGAAATGTCTGGATCTCCCCCATTCTTGGTAAGCGCTTTTCTATACGCGATTAAATCGGTCGATGGGCAGCTCTGACAAGGTATACAGCCCTTGAATTGGCAAGAGAATATAAGATGTATGACTGGGTCCGCGCCCTCCTCGATCCCACCGAGATTGTCCAGAGCCCATCGAGCGCGAAGAAGCAAATTGCCCCGCCTCCGAAATTCGATCTGCCACCATTGGATGCACCAGTCGTGCCACCTCCCCAATTCTCCCCTCCCGCGATGCGCACTAGAAGCGGCCGATCTGCCTCTCCCAGCAAGAGACTTGCCTCTCCACGCAAGCCCAGACAAACCAGGGCAATGAAGGAAGCTAATGCCGCCGCCACCAGTGCTGCAAATGCAAGCCTTCAGTCTTCATTGGATATTACCGCCGAAACAGCCGATTCTGGGTCGGTTAATGAAACCGTTCATCAAAGCGTGGAAGTGGATGAGGAAGTGAAGCCAAAGTCGACTCCGAAATCTAATAAGGCTACCGCAGATGCTCCTGCTGCCAGTGAGGAGGTTGCTGAAAAGGAAGAGGTCAAGGTTGATGCCGAATCCAGCAAAGACACAAACAAAGAAGTCGAAACTACTAAGACCACCGTTTCGATCGAGATGCCCATTAGCCTCCTCCCCGATGCACCCTCTACCGAAGATACCGAGCAGATGATCGCCAAGGCGAAGGAGATGGTTCAGGAAGCTGTCAAGCAGCAAACAGAGGAAGAACCCGCAGAGTCGACGTCGCCAAAGGCTGCCAAGAAGCGCAAGACAGACGCGCTAAGTGAAGATGAAGATGATGAGGAGACAAAAGCTGAGCGTGTCCAGCGAACAAAGAGAGCGAGAGTTCTGGAAGACAAGCTCAAGCGTGAGCGAGTCAGGAACCGTGCTTTGGTTGGCGTTACAGCTGCTTTTGCACTTGCGTAAGTACATCCTTGAGACGGATTGCAAAATTTATCTTTGATGTTTGGACCGCCTAACAACTGATACAGTGCCTCGATCCCCTACTTCTTTTAAAACCCATGGCCTTTGGTCTGGTGTTGCGCCAAACGAGAGCAGAGTCTCCGTAACGAAACACCAGCAACACGTCTGTCCTGATATCAGCCCCAGTTGACATGGCTTGCAGCTTGCCAATGGGGCGTACCTCACCATGTTTCTCGTCCTTTCTTCCCTGATCATACCCCTTTTTTCCTTTAAATGCATCTACCCTCCCCTCTAAACAGCTCCCTATTTCGGTCATACCCAAGGTTCATCAAGCCCTGGGCGAATCCTTTTGACATATCTCCCAAATCGCATTGCGATCAATATATTGCACGTGTGGTGATTCTATGTATTGTATTGACACCTTACCCCCTTTCTAATATCATGCCCCCAAAAAGAGACACGCTTTCCATAGGAGTGGCCAGGTTTATATGGCTTGGCTTTCGCAATTGGTGGATCCTGGAGATTCGAGAGAGAAGCTTTGTCTCGTTTCGTTCTTTTCAATCTGTGCAATTCTCACCAATTTTCTTTTCTTTCCTGGATACCAGATATATGCTTCATAATCCTGCATCTTCTTATTCAATCCCCTACTTTGTCTTTAGGGTCTTTTTTGAGCTGTTTTCCGCAAACCGAGAAGTGGTAGGAGTATGAGGACTTTGATGTGGAGTTGTCCATTGTTAGCTAGATTCGAACATGAAATTACAGGAACTGATAATGAAGATCTTAAACAAACATCCTCAGTCAACAGTAAAATATTCTCCTAGCTGTAATATTGTGTCGCTATTGAATCCATCCTAGCCAAGTTTTGTTGCAAACAATCAAAACACCGTCATTTCTCCGCCTGCAGCTCCTGGAGCTTTGATATCACCATCTTTCATCCTCAATCCTTGATTATAGCAAATTCCTCCCCATCGCACGACTCAATATCTGATCTAATCTATTGATACCCATTGGCCTGATCTAAAGGACTTTTCTCACACCCAGAAATGCAATGTCTCTCCCCGGTTTAGAGCTCACCCAACCCACCGCGGAGAGGGAGTTTGTCGCCGCCCCGCCGACGCAAATCAGTCTTTCCAGAGGCTCAGAATGGAGATTTGAGGTTGCATTTGCAACAACAGTGCGAGTAAAGGTAAGTGATTGATTTATTTATGAAGAATTGGCCGCCATTATCGAGTTGATGGGCGGGTTTGCTGCCGTTCAGCGGCCAAACCTGCGAAGAGTACCGAAGCTGCATGGGGTTTTTTCTTTCCTTTTTTGCTTCAGGTCTTGAAATTTGACTGACTTCTTCTTTGAATCTTCCTTATGGATTATTATAGCTTCTAGCAGGTACCGCAGAACTCTTTGGCACAGAACTTGCCGCTTCTCAGACCTACACATTTTCCGGGACCAAAGCCGCCATCTACACCTGGCATGGCTGTACGTTGGAAGTCAGCGCGGGCGAGACGGTCTTAGCGTTCGATGGAATGACACCACTCCCGACAAATGGCGCCCCCCGTGGCTTGGGAGCTGGCGGGTGCCAGAGCGAGTATACGGCGGAGGAAACACCGATGGTGGAATACGCCAATGTGCACTTTGCGCTGGAGTCGATGAGACAGGAGGCGAAGGCGACGGGCAAGGATGGTCCGCGGGTGCTCATCCTGGGCCCTGAAAACGCCGGCAAGACTAGTCTGGCGAAGATTCTGACGGCTTACGCGACCAAGGTTGGACGGCAGCCTATCGTGGTCAACTTGGACCCAGCCGAGGGCATGCTCAGTGTTCCGGGGACGCTGTCGGCTACTGCTTTTCGGACTATGATTGATGTTGAGGAGGGGTGGGGGAGTAGTCCGATGTCTGGGCCGAGTCCGGTGCCGGTGAAGTTGCCTTTGGTTTACTTCTATCCAATGCAGAACCCACTCGAGGCGGAGGGGACTGTCTACCGGCCTATTGTGTCGAGATTGGCCCTGTCTGTGACGGGGAGGATGGCTGAGGATGAGGATTCGAGGGAAACGGGGATTATTGTTGACACGCCGGGTATTCTAAGTCAAGGGAAACCTGGGAGTGTTGAGATGATCAACAGCATCGTTACGGAATTCGCAAGTATGACTCCCTCTTTTACGTTCTTTCAGTTGATATCTTATGTACTGACGACACATAGTCACCACCATCCTTGTCATAGGCTCAGAACGCCTATATAGTACTATGATGAAGAATTATGACAACAAACCGAGTGCCAGCGCTTCTGCCGTAGCATCGGACGAGCGAATCTCTGTCGTGAAGCTCTCTAAGTCCGGCGGATGCGTCGATCGCGATGCATCATTCATGAAAGGGGTCCGCGAGTCTCAAATTCGGACCTACTTCTTCGGAAACCCCATTCCTTCCACGGCATCGGCTGCCCTCTCGCTCTCCGCGTCATCCACCACCAACGTCACACTTTCCCCTCATGCTCAGCAGCTCGACTTTGGATCTCTGTCCGTCTACAATGTGACTCTCCCGTCGCAAGAAGAGGACGAGGATGAATACGATCCATCTCAACTCGGCACTGGCGACTCTTTCCTCCCAGGCGGCGGTAACGATGCTGACACTAATACACCACAGGAAGAAGAACCCTATGCGCCGCCTCTCCCTGGCGTAGGAGCATCAATCAATACTGCACCTGCATCTAACACTTCACCTGAACATGATGGCGTGCCGCTGAAGAAGGTTCCGGCACCTGCACCGTCCGCTCTCGCGAATTCGCTTCTCGCCGTCACACACGCACTACCAAATGCCAGCCCGTCGGAGGTCCGAGATGCAAGCATCATGGGATTCCTGTATGTGGCTGATGTGGATAGTGACAAAGGCAAGATCCGAGCTCTAGCCCCGGTTGGAGGACGGGTCCCTGCGAGGGCCATTGTCTGGGGGAGAAGATGGCCAGGTGAAGTGGTGGGATTGGTTGGGTAACGACATCACCAGCACAACTATACAGTCCTTCACTGCATATCCATCATGTGCATCTCGGAGTTGCGGGTTTGGCGCGAGGAAAGGAAACGTTATGGTGTTGACCAGACGATCGAAACGATGGTTGGCTCCTTTTTCACAATGTATATAAAAACGAGATAATGAAAGAATGGTTAGTTAGCCTCTTCTATGTCCCTCATCTGCATCCATGGGCCATTGACACATATCTATCCCAGATGCGGCCAGTAGACGGCATAACTGGGTAGCTCGTATACCCCCGGATCCATATAAGGCAAGACGAGGAAAACCTCCACCATAAGATAGACACGGGCAACAGCATAAGCAATAAAAACCACCACGACAAACAAACCCAGCACAACACTCATCCCCCGACTGAGCCGGAGATGCGCATCCGGCCCTCGCCAGGTCTTCAAACCCGCCCAGACGGCAAAAGCCAACGGCCCCAACCAGCAACAAACACGAAAGCCGCCAAAAGGTCTCCTGCGCACTGCGCGGCCGCATCACGTCTGCATCCCAGGCAAACAGATGCATCGCCCCGTAGCACAGACTAGTGGCCAGGAACATGAGGGCGGACTTGGTGAGTTCGGCGGCGATGACAGGTCCATCGGCGCTGTCCAATCCGCGTGGCCAGCAGAAATTGGGCTGGCGGTCGCGCAGCCAGACGGAGTAGTTGCATTGATAGTGACGTGGACCGTTTAGGGTCCTGCGCCACCGTTCTAGAGTGATGCTGTCTACTTCGATGGAGGCGAACTGAGCGTCGATGCGAACGTCTGTGTGCGGGATGAGTTGGTGGGCTTGGAGCCGTCGGAATAATGGCTCTTTGGGTGCCTTGTGATGATGCTGGGGAAATGGGCATCGCGTCCGCAGTCGCAGCTGTGCAGTCCGTGGGTGGCGAGGGAAATACAACCATCGTTCTGTGTCGTGGTGGAAGAGATACCAGTCCTCGCCACTGCCGGGGGAGAGCGTGATGCCTCGGCGTCCCCGGAAGATCGTCAGCAGTGAGTCAGTTCCGCCATGCGTGAAAGATGGTGTCCAAGAGGAGAAAATCATTCCGCTGTGATCTGTCTGCTGGAGCACATGCTTCTCATAATGCATCCCTGCAGCACCCAGCGTCCACTGGGCGGCACAGAGGTCGCCTAGAGCCTGGGACTCGGAGGTGGAGACCACGAAGGGGTCGCCTAGAGCCTGGCTTGTGCCACCAGAGGAGATAGATAATCAAGGCGCATAATGAGTGTGCGAAGGTGTTGAGCTCCAGCAAACTAACGGGCAGGGCCTGGTGGACACGGACGAGGAACTGGATGCAGAACCACAGGGCTTGGAGGATGACGAGGAACTTGGTGAAGCTATCGACTTTACTGCGACCTTCGATGCTCTCGAGAGTGAGGAAATCCAAGTTGATGTTCTTGAAGGCATCACTGTCGAGGCACTCTTCGATACAAGCCGGTGTTATGGTGAGGTTGTTACACCATTCCGGCCACACGCGATGCTCGTCGTCCGTCATGTCCACCACCAAACCTCCCATGACTATAAGGAAGCCGTGGGCTAGCTGGAACGGCTCTCGACTGGTTATATTCTCATCCTCGTGGACGGATGATTGAAACCCTTTTTCGTGGTCCTTCTGCTGGTTTTGGTCAAGTTCGTTCACGGTGCTGCGCCCTAGTATATATCTTCGGAGAAACGCCATGAAAGATTCCGGCTCTGTCTGTCCACTGCGTCTTCGCAGCACTTGGGCAATCCGTGATGCCTGGCGGTGCTGGAACCAGGCGTTGTAAACGATGAACTCGGGTGCGAGGAGAGCGATGACCATCCATTTGAACCGGATGAGCCAACGGTGCCACCATGGACACTGGTGATCAAATACATTGAGGTGGAGGGCACTGTAGACGCAGAGACCTAGAGTGATAATGCAAGTCTGGATAAGATCCCAAGTGCCACGGTTGTTAGGGTTGGGGATCCATTGGGAGTTGGTGTAGTTGCTGGTACCGAAGATGGTCATGAAAGGATATACTAGTTATGATCAACACTGAACCAAATTGAGAAAATAAATGAGTTTATCCACTGTCTATCAATTTACGGTCTCTATATAAGAACCAAAGATATTAATAGAGAAAAAAAACCTCACTGCTCCTGGCGGCAAGAACCAGTGTCTTATTGGCGTGGGAAACGCTCCAAGTCGGGCGCGTAGTTCTGGCTATTTCTCAACAGATAAAGGATCAATTCCTTGTTAAATCAAGCAGTTTTATTATCGTCAATTCATAGCATGCTAGATATCAGATCATCTACTTCTAATCCAAGAGGTTCACGTGCTCTACTTTGAGTAAGTCCCCATCACCACCGTCAACACCAACACCATCCAAGAATCAACCCAATTAATCAATCCCTCCAATGGATCCAATAAACCAGAAAATAATATCATGACTTCTAACCCCCCCAGAAGAACAGAAGAAGAAAAAGAAACGCGAAATGATCATCCCCATCCTCACCTCCTTCTGCCTCCTCGTCCCCCTCTACTGCATCTACAAACCCCCCGCCCTCTTAATCCGCTATTTCCAACATCGCTGGCCCGACGTCCTCTTCCACGTCCCTCTCCCTTCTTCTTCTTCTTCTCCTAAAAAACTCGTCGCCCTCACTATCGACGACGGTCCCTCCGCTTACACAGCCGATATCCTCCATCTCCTCCAATCGCACGATGCAACCGCGACCTTCTTCCTGATCGGCTCCCAAATCCCCGGCTACGAAGCTATTCTCCGCGATCTCGTCCGCGCCCGCAACGAACTCGCCAACCATGCCATGCACGACGAGCCATCGCGCGCATTGAGCGACGCCGTGCTCACAGAGCAGATCGCCGCTGTCCAGGCGAAGATCGAAGAGGCGTACAAGTCAGCGGGCGACGAGACAGAAGGACGACCGCGCAATTGGCTGTTTCGGCCTGGGTCGGGGTTTTTCAGTGAGAGGATGAGGAAGGTTGTGGCGCGGTTGGGGTATCGGTTGGTGCTGGGGAATGTGTATCCGCATGATCCGCAAGTGCCGTTTTGGAGGTTGAATGCTAGTCATATTCTCAGTATGGTTAAGCCGGGGAGTATTATTGTCTGTCATGATCGGAGAGAGTGGACGGTGCCTATGCTGCAAAGGGTGTTGCCGGAGTTGAAGCGTAGAGGTTATCAGGTTGTTACGGTTACGGAATTATTGGAGGCTGGTTCTTCTTCTGCAAGGTGATGGGAATCGATTATTTCTATGTAAGGTCGTCTCGTCATCGTCATCATGGTACATGTATAGTATATTATAGCACAATTCGGTCCAGCCGACATGTTTACAGGATAATAGAAACAATATCGTTCATTCCCATTTCTTCCACTCCTCCATGTTTTCCCGAAACTCCGCATCACAGTCATATCCCAGTCGCTGCTCTTCCACCAGCTGTTGTCTTCGGTCCCGGAAGCGTTGCTCGGCTTCATATCGTCGCAGTCCAATCAGCTTCAGATACGTCAGGTCGTTCTTTTGCACCGCTTCCCGGAACTTGGCCCGTGTGCGAGGCGAGTAGAGCTGGCAGCTGGCCTCACCGCACTGAGTCGGATCCTCCCCGGGAAGTAGACGCATCGACGTCGAGAACTTCCGCGCAATAGGCTGCTTCGCCTTGACGAGTGGCCACACCACATCATCATAACAGTCCTCGCACACAGTTAGCTCAGGCAGCTGCCGCATGTAATGCCAAGTGCTTAGAACGACCCGGTCCCGGCGGCAGTCTCGGAGAACCACCTTGCGTCGGGCATATGTCAGGAAGTCGTCTAGATCCGGTTGTGAGGCACCTTCGGATACCGCGCGGTTGGCCGCCATGTCGAGATAATCGATGTATTGAATGAATCGGGGACTATCCGACACAAAGTCGCAGACCCGTTCCTGCATTTCAGTGCTCCGCTTGAAAGAATCCCGGTGAGACGGCATCAAGACCCGGAGGTTGCGAATGCACGCAGAACACACATTAAACTTGGGCAAGAACATTCCCGTGGAGGGATCGATGACACGGTACCAGTGCTGATCGCTGATGGTACGCCCAGGACATTGCTTGCGCTCTGTAGATGGTCGAGTCATATGATAGAGCATGTCGAGGTTTTCATGGTGTTTCTTAATTGTCTGAACCCATGCCAACCGCGTCCACGGCTCACTAAACGAGCAGCGGACCATCTGCCCACGGGGCTTGGGGCCACTAGGAATGAAAGAGTCGCGAAATTCCGACTTGTCCAACTGACTCGTGCACGAGGGACAGATGTCAAGGTGAGTCAGCCCTTTGATCGTGTACCAGTCTTGATGGCCAGCCACCGGAATGGATCTGGGACAAGGCAAAAGGCATAGACCCGGAGGCGTAGGGGAGGGTTGGCGGGAAATAGGAGAGGACTGACGGGACACGGGCGAAGATTGGCGGGAAACAGGCGAAGATTGGCGCGAAGATTGACGGGAAGCGTCCCTCGAAGAAATGCTACGCTGGGACAGTCTTAGCTGCAGCATCTGCTTGGGCTGGTCGCACTCATCTTGTTGAGAAGATGTGGATTGCTGTGCTGTATCGTCAAGGAATGTCACAGATCGTCTTGCCCTGGACCGACTTCGCGTTCGCCTCACTCGTGTGGATGACACAGCCCGATTTACCGTGGAATGGCTTCGTGCGTGTTTCTCCTCGCTGGGTGTCGCAGATTTCCCTACTAGTGATGGGCTTCGTCTTTTCTCCTCGTCGGATGGTATAATATGTCTTATTGTAGATTGACTTCGTCTTTTCTCATCATCGCATGGTATAATATGTCTTATTGTAGATCGGCTTCGCCTTTTTTCATCGTCAGACGGCGCAGCCAACATTACTGAGGATCGACTTCGCCGTTTCTCATCGTCAGATGGCACAATCAATCTTGTCGAAGATCGGCTCCGCGCTTTTTTCTCCTCGTCGGACGGTACAACAAGTCTTGTCGAGGGTCGACTCCGCGTCTGCTTCTCCTCATCGGAAGGCACAGGTTTTGGTGGCGATTCATTGGCATATGACTGATCCTGTAAAGTGTCCACGAGTGTCGAGACTGCAGCAAATGACGCCGCGAAGGGGTCATGCTCCTCTACATAACCAGCAGCAGGTGTCTGTCTTCTTGACGACGTCGAGGGAGGCCTTGAACGAGATCCTTGGCTCAGAGTAGAAGTATCCAAGGTTAGCTTGACAGCAGGCTTCGTCTTGCGTAGTACAATAGAGTCTGAGCGTGGCTTATCTAAATCGGAGGATACTCCCGACTCCCGCAACTTTTGTCGACGTTTCAGTTTTTCTTCTAACCTTTGAGCCAATGATGTAGGTGCATCAGAAGCTTTCTCGTTCACACGAGAGAGACTTGACTGGCCCGGCCGTTTGCGATTGACTGTGGTGTTGGAGGTAGTCGAATCTGATAGATGACCCGATCCCGATGTTGATGTAAGTGTAGGAGATCGGGTTGGGTTTTGGTCAGCTTTTGAACGCCCCTCCGAGCTTCCAATCCTCACAGCTTTAGGTCGAGTTGGTTTTGGTGGTGCAGATAACAAGGGAACTTTGATCGGGGTTCCTTCAGCAGGTCGCGTAGCTGAGGAAGGCACAGGTGTATTCCGGGGACTTTGAGAAGATGATCTTGAGATAGCCGGGGTGTTACTCTTTTTGGTGTTGCCGTTCTGGACAATGGAAGTCGGGAGTCGCGAACTGGGTCTTCGCTGGCTATGACTCGCGCTCCTGGTGCTCTGAACCGGCTGTGGATGGGATTTTTGGCCGGGTAGCCTTCCTCGAGATGGTGTTTTATCCTGGGACTTGATCTTGGTGGGCAAAACTGGCCATGGGGGAGACTTGGATGGGGCGCTATCGACAGAATAAAACAGAGGCTCCTTTCTGACATCCAAGGGGGTGGGCGGTCCTACACTTTCATCCGAGCTATTTCCACGGCTGAGATCTTCCATGGACGATGGAGTAAGGATGGCAGTAGATGGCGGAGGGGGAGGCACGTCTATGATCACGGGGTACTGTTCAAGGGTTCCTCGGGCACAAACAGCTTCGAGTCCGGGGGTTTCTCCCAATCTGGAAAGACCGTGTAGTTCGCGGGAGAGAGACTGGAGCTCGTCTTCCACGAAGGGCTTTGGCGGCCATCGAGACCGCATGCGCCGCTTGAAGGGGATGGCTTGCTGCGAAAAAATGCTGAACATGGTGTCGGGTTGTTGTTGTACAGGGTATTATTTGGGAAGCGTTTAGCCAACATGCAAGACGTTATCCTGTTGCAGTGGCACGACGCATTAGAACTTGTCCGCTGGCCGCCGTTTGCATGGTCTAACTGTCGCGAACTCACTCGGGGAGTTGTAAGATTAGAGTCGACAGATAAATGTCGACAATGGGAAAGAAGTGGTGTGAAGGCGAAGGGGGTCAGGTGGTTAGGTCTGCAGGTGTGGGGTATAAAGTATAGAAGGAACAAAACGGCGCTTAAAACAACAGGATAGTATTGGACAGAAAGAGTAGTTCGCTTGACTTCTCACACACTAAAAACAGGACAGCGGGAGAATATATAGATCCCAGGGGATTTGATCGGGCAGCGCCTTATTCGCTATGGTGGCCCTATCAGGGCCAGACTCGAGCGATTGGGCGGTAATCGAGGACGAATCAATCGTCTCTCGTAATAGAACATAGACATAGCGGCCAGAAATTGGCAATTGAGCCATAAGATTCTGAGGGAGCCAAGTCGACCGACAGGGGGAGCAAACAAGCAGTAAACAATTCTGACGCATTGGAAAGACTGCTCCATGTCTAGACTGGCGATGAAGGGTCGCCTGCCGCCCCAGAAGGTGGGACAAAGAGTGGCCACGACCATTGATGATGCATTCTCAGCTGTAATGTGGATGGAGATATTTTTTCTGGGCCCAAATAGACCACACAAAAGTGTCTAAGATACGTGGTGGGTGGAGAGGACACTGCAGGTAGTCAAGGGGACAGTTGTCGACGCCATGGTCATAGGCAGGGCCAGGCACGGAGTAATACAGAAAGTGTGGAGAGTCGTCAGCCACAGCCTTCTTTCAACGCCTTCCTTGATTGATAGGCGATGGATGCTTGGCTGGTCGGGATGCAATCATCAGACGATGCCCATTGGAGTCTGAACGCCGATCGTTGTGTTAGTCGATGTAGGTTTGAATGCAACTTGTGTGTCACCTGGGTAAGCAGGGTATCTGGTGATAAAGGAGGCTGGAATGCTTATGATGACGATGATGATTATGACGGTGGTGGTTTTTCTGATTATGACAATGGTGATTATGATGGTGATGATAGATTGTTATGTTATGGTTATTGATGGAGAGATGGGATGAAGAGAGGTGAAGGTGAAGGTGGAGAGAAGAAGAGAAGGTCTGGACTTTTGGTGGAGCAGTTGGACCAACGCAGTGCACTGTGCAAATGATTGACGATGCATTCAAATTTCAAGACTACTACTAAAAATGCCTGTCAGTTATTATTATTCAAGCTGATTACTCCATCGACGAATTAATATCCTGTTTTGAGGATATGCAGTGTGTTAATATAGCACGCGACCAGACAGCTGTTCTTCAACTGTTTTGGATAGAAACAATAACTTCATCTGTCTTGAAATGGTCTGACTCTACGCCAACATCCTCTGACAGCTCCATCTCCATCTCCATATCAATTTATCTTTAATTTATCGCTTCATCGATCGCTGGCAAATGTCAACAAAGATCCGTCGGGGATTTGATAATTTCCGTCGGATTCGGATCGCAGCCGATAATGGCGTCATTCCGAACAACATTGAATGCTGATGATGTATCTTGAATGAATATGATTCTGAACAAAATTCACCTATTTGGTTAAGAATCAATAATTATTCCAGTATATGAGATAGAAATAATCAACTTCTGAAAGAAACATTATTGGCAATCAAAACAACATCCGGTCTTCCATCCGAAGTGCGGGGATAGAGCATCCTCTCAACCCTCAACTATTGCGAATCGACTGACAAATCCAAATCCAAATCCATCTTCCACGTGATCCTCATAAATATATATCCTCTCTCCTCCCTCCCATGTATTTCAACCGTTCTCTCCCTCTGGCAACTTCTCGACTCTCCGCCATTCGCTCTCATCTTTTCCGTCCTTCCCCACTCTCAGCTTTACCCCTCAACAACAATATTCACCATCACCAACACCATCAGATCCGCACCATGTCTCTCCCATCCACCATGAAGGCCATCCTCACCGAACAGACCGGTGGCCCTGAAGTCCTCCAGTTTAAATCCGACCACCCCGTCCCCGTCCCCCAAGAAGGCCAATTGCTCGTCAAGAACAACATCTCCGGCATCAACTACATCGACACCTACTTCCGCACTGGTCTCTACCCCGCTCCTAAACCCGAAGTCCTGGGCCGTGAAGGTGCCGGTACTGTTGTCGCCTTGGGACCCGGTCCCAACACATACAACTTCAAGGTTGGTGACCGTGTTGCTTGGTTAGGCACAAGTGGATATGCCGAGTACACGGCTGCCCCTGCAAGCAAGACGATCAAGATCCCCGACGGTATCACCGATGAGGATGCCATCGCTGCGTTCCTGAGTGGAATGACTGTCTTGTCGTTAGCCAAGGAGACGTATACTGTTCAAAAGGGCGACTGGGTCCTCCTGCATGCTGCTGCTGGTGGCGCGGGTATCCTTATGACTCAGGTCCTCAAGTCCATCGGGGCCAAGGTTATTGGTACTGCGGGTGGTCCGGAGAAGGTCGCTCTGGCGAAGAGCCTGGGTGCAGATGTCGTTATCGACTACCGCAGTGAGGAAGGAAAAGACTGGGTGAAGAAGGTCAAGGAAGCCACTGGTGGACAGGGTGTTGATGTCGTCTACGACTCAGTTGGAAAGGATACCTGGGAGGGAAGTCTGGAGGCCGTCAAGAGAAAGGGTACTATCGTCTGGTTTGGTAATGCCAGTGGCCCTGTGCCTCCATTGCCTCTTCCGTATGTTTTCACCTTGAATCTTCTAGGTGGTTGCAATGCTAACCGTGAATTAGAAAACTCTCACCCAAGTGTGTTAAGGTCGCCCGTCCCGCGCTCTTCGGATACATTGAAACTCGTGAAGAGTTCGAATTCTACGTCAACGAGCTGTTCAGTCTTCTCAAGTCCGGTAACCTCAAGGTCAAGGTCCACAACGTTTATCCTTTGGAGGAGGTTGCTCAGGCTCACAAGGATCTCGAGGGAAGAAAGACCACCGGAAAGCTTCTTCTCAAGGCTTAATTTGGTAGATTTATAACGATATGTATATAACGGTCTGTTTCAAAGTATTATGTATTCCCCTATGATGAATATCTTCTAGCATTCCATGACGTCCATGAGATATGCGCAAGTAGCAAACCAAATCATCCTAGCCTCCGATCTCGCATCTAAACCATTGAATGACCCTCAGAATTATGCCCTGCAGCAGATCCTCTATTGATTCATTCCTATTCACCGTATGTCATTCTACAGGGTCTGCTCTATGTCCCCATCCTCAGCTTCCTTTGAATCACACTCCTTTTCATGTCCATCAACCTCCTCATCACCATCATCTCCACCACCCCTGAGATCCTTCGGTTTCTTCCATCCCAGCATGAGATCATTAAAAAGAACCGTGTATAACGAAGAATAGGCAGTGAAAATCTCATCGAAAAAGTGCAAGCCACAATTCAACTCCCACACAGAAGTCATCACCTTCATTCCAGGGTAGCAGTACTTGAGCAGACTCTCCTCGAGAAAGAACTCAAACTCATGCATTGGTGCCCCGCCATTCTCCCACTCCAAGCTTTCCTCGGGACTCAGGTCGAAGCCAGGCTTCCCTGGGTCTCGGTATGCCCTTGCAAGGAGACGTCCGACGGGGTAAAGGTCCGAGGCGTGGGTCTGGTAGAATTCACGGGTCTTGTCATCAGGTAGGATGACGGTTGTGACTTCGAAGCCGTCAATGTCCTCGACTCGCATGGCGCGGAGGGCGTTGGTGTTGGCGAGTTCTTGGAATCTGATTGCCTGCTCGTTTGAGCCGGTGCCGGCCAGGGCAAACTTGACGACTTTCCGGGCTATGTCGTTGGACATACGGAAGGTTTCGTCCTTTGTGTTTTCCCATTTGTTGTCTTCGACGTATAGGTCAAAGAAGAAGCCGCCGAAGAGCGTGGATGCAGCCGTGTTGAAGTTGCCGGGTCCCTCGGCCGTGATCTGCTGGTTGTTCCAGAGTTCTTTGCCTGCGATGTCACAGGAAGTTCGGGCCTCGTCAATGTTCTCTTTGTATTCTGGGCAGACATCGTGGTAGAGGATGTAGGAGAGGAAGTTCCGTATCGTAACGGTGGCCAGTTTCACCATGTCTTCAGTTTCAGGGTTGAAGTAGAATGGGAAAAAGGATGTCCTGTCCTTGTGAGTAACGTAGCCTTCTTGGTATAGACGATCTCGCTTACAGATATCCCTTGACCACAGCATTAAAATCAACAGCCAGATCGGCGCGATCCTGTCTGATGCTGGTCTGGCCTCGGGCCATGAGGATCTGCTCACTGTCCATTTCTTGGAGCTCGCGATCATCCACACCCCCAAACATCTTGGGGCCAACATCAACGCCGCCATAGGATAGGTATTTGGTAAAGATCTCCCGTCTCTCTGATTCGATCCGGCGGTTTTTCTGGAAGCGCAGTATAGCATCTTCCATCCGACTAGGTCAGTGTTAGCGGTATAAAGGGTCAATAAGTTGCAGTATTAGTCTCACTGGATGATAGGTCGCTCGCTTCAGAGATAACAGTCAGTATGATACTTGGTTTCACGGGTCTCGGATCTCTGGGGCACGTACACATCGTATATGCTTCTCTCCTCCTTGTGCTCTTCCGGCGTGATGGGGGCATCGACGTAGAATTCCTCAAACCCGGTAGGCTTGTTCTATGAAGAGTCAGTCAAGCTTGAAGGTCCCAGTTTATGAATTGATGATAGCTGTACCTTTCCGCGCTTGCTCTTGGGACGGGTCTTTCTCTTCTTCTTTTTCTTGGGCTCAGGCTCAACCCAGTCGACGGTGGTAGTCATTCGCTCATCGTCCTCCCCTTCCTTGGCTTCGGATTGAGGGTTTTCAGTATTAGCTGGTTCCTTATCAGCTTCTTCCGCACTCTGGGCTGGATCTGGCTGCTGGAGGCCGTTGGAATCCTTGGTGCGGATGGGAAGGTGTTGAGACAGACTCGAGGGAGAGGCTGGAGTCTCCATGGCCAGTATTTGTTTGACAGTGGTGACAATGAGAGCTGTTAAGATGAAAGAAAGAGACAAATAGTACTAGATGTAGATGAAGTAGAGAAGAAAGGGAAACCCCAATGCAAATGAGGGCAGTCAGTCAATGGACTGAGAGATGAATGAAGGACACTTGTAGGTGAAGATTCACTCTACCCAGTCAATGTGAGAGTTGAATGCTACAAACAGAATCTTGAGCATCGATCATGGCTATTAATTCTGCCAGCTGGATATCCAACTGATTCTATTTCTTTCATCCCAGCCCACGATGCATCTTGTCGAGCAGGTTGCCGATGCAGCAAACGAGCAAAGGCATTTTGAATAGTCTAGTAATCAGCAAACAGAATGATAGCTACTAGAAGGATTCCACATTGGAATCATCAGCTTATCAGTTCATTTATTGTTTATATTGTCCAGCATCCCCTGTGGTTGCAGCGGTTATATAAATAGAGGGGTTCTGTTTGCTCAACAATCGCGGAAATCATATTAAAAACACTTGAAAAGAGGATAGAAAGGATGATATATCACAATACAATAAAGGCCATTTCCAAAATGTGCATAAATAGCACCAATATCCTCAAGGAAACCAATAAATCAAAATAATGTCGTCCGCCTGCTATCGCTTTCTCCGCCCCCCTTTGCCCCATTGCCGATCATGATCGATCTCAGCTTTCACCCTTGACGAAAATACCTTGATATCCCTAATCGTCATATCAAAGCTCTCTCGCTGCCTTGTCTCTCCTTTTCTTTGTCTTCTTTTCTCGCGCTCCTTTACTGTCTCTTCGAATTTCCTTCCTTTGCTTTCTTTTCTTTTCTGTTCTCTTATCGCTTTTTCCCCCCTCCGAGAGCTTCCTTTTATCGTCGCTCGTGACTCGTGCGGAATGCGACTGTAGGCTTTGATGCTCTCATCCAGACAGCATATGGTCTCTTTGGTTGAAAATTTATCTTTTTAAAGTATCAAAATGCCACCGTCTTCGAAATCAGACGGTTTGAAGACGGAAAAGTTGGACAGTGAGAGCCTTGTCGCGTTTGATCACGCCGCTGCTGGACAGTAAGTATTGGTCTTACTTCTATGATTTTGGATACTTCGTGGGGGCAGTTGGGCTCTGAAAAGCAGCCTGGAGCCTCATTTTGGTTATATTTGTCCATTTAATACTGTTTTCGCCGTTGCTAACCTACCTCTGGTCGTAGTGACGGCGTTCGCTGTACCCCCTCAGGCTCCTTGATCGCAAAGCCATGCACTCCCGAAGAAGTGGCTTTTTATGAATCTACCGCCCTCCATCCAGAATTTCGGGAGTTTATCCCCATATACATCGGTACACTCTCTGCCGCCGACCAACAACAGCCTTTTGCGCTCGCTGCCGCGCAGCAATCCGGGGCTATCGTGCTTCCCGGATCGGATTACTCGCCAACATCGGATACTCAAACCGTTACGGGGACGCCATCGTCTAGCGCAACACCATCTACAGAGAAAGCTCCCGCTGCGAAAGAGGAAGGTTCATGGGTGCCTTCTGGTGGACGAAAGCTTGAAACGGGTCTATCGGTCGTGCTGGAGAATGTGGCTTCTGGATTCAAGAGACCAAACGTGCTGGACGTGAAGCTTGGGGCAAGATTATGGGCTGACGATGCCCCTCCAACGAAGCGAACAAAGTTGGATGCCGTTTCAAAGGAAACAACCAGCTCCGGTCTCGGATTTCGGATCGCCGGCATGAAGGTGTGGACCGGTGTGAATGGGGAAACCGACGAAGGAGGGCACACTGATCCATATGCGACCAAGTATGAGGGAGCAGAAGGCGCAAAGGGTGAAGTCATTGAGAAAAATGGCTACAGGCGCTATGACAAGTGGTACGGGCGATCATTCAACGATAATAATGTCAAAGAAGGTTTCGAAACGTTTCTTGCTGGAGCAAAATCTGGGAACGTCGATCGTTCCAAGCTTGTTGCTAAGAGATTGGCGGGCGAGTTAAGGAAAGTGCGGCAGGTTCTGGAGTCGGAAGAGAGTAGAATGTACTCCTCGAGTGTCTTGGTTGTTTATGAAGGAGATTCTGAATCGATGGAGCACGCACTCGATGAGGAAAAGAAGGCCATTGAGAACCAACCAGAAGAATCCGAGCAGGATGAGGAGGAAGAAGAAGACTTGGACTTTAATGGTTCTCTCGAGTTGCTGGATGTCAAGGTCGGGGAAAACGGCATACCACACCAGACAATCAATATCAACATCGATCCAGAAACAGCACAACATTTTGATCTGGACGATGAGGATGAAGAAGAGGCCCCAAAGGTCCACGATCTTCGCCTGATTGACTTTGCCCACGCCAACTGGACGCCTGGTCAGGGACCAGATGAGAATGTCCTTAAGGGAGTTCGAAGCTTGATAAAAATCTTCGATGAGCTTGCGCAGGACTAAACCAATGTAAAAAATCATCTATCTTGGAAGCTATATGTATCTAACAGTCGCTGGCGGCCCTTGGATACCGGAGATGCTCTATACATCTACCTTGATATAGTATTATGAAATACAGAACCAATCATCAAGGGTTTTGGTCAATGAATATAACATAAATTATTTCTTGAACATATCATTGTCCATGAAATTAAATTAAACCCAAAAAATTGCGTATACTCCACTGTCTTTATACTTTATGTTAATCCTTCGAGATCATCACGATTCTTGTATACCGCTTACATAACCCGCAGAGTCCGACAGCGATAATTTGCATCGCAACATCCGCAACTCATCGAGGTCGCCGAGCAGCGCCCACGTCAAAATGTTTCCCACTCGTGCCCTCCTTGGGAGGTCTGTCTGGAAAGGTATGTTTTTATTATTCATTGCATTGAATTGATGGTGCATATAATGCATTACCGGGGAATTCAACTTGCTAACTTGCTCTTAAACCAGGCCCCAACATCGTCCCGTACGTTATATTCCCCGATTGAGCCGTCCACTACATCTATGGCACCAGTCGAAAGAAATATTGAGAATATCTGAAAGACTAACCCCCGGGTTTCAAAACCAAACAGTCTCCCTCTCCCCCGCAAACTCCCTCCTCCACCCAACACACCTCCGATCAAGACCCAGAAGCGCGCCGCAACCATCCTCCCCAACTTCGTCGGTCTGCGATTCGCCGTGCACAATGGAAAGACATACCAGGATGTCCTGATCACTGAGGAAATGGTGGGGAGAAAACTTGGTGAATACGTTGCGTATGTTATTCAATCCCATCCAATCTCCTGTTTCTCCGGGGAGGCACTTAAAAACATCGGGCTGACCATTGGGGCTTTTATTTTTCAACTTCCAGGACACGCAAGCGTTTCACATACAAGCAGTCCAAGAACAAATAGACGAAAATAAACGGTTTATGGGGCTTGTTAGTTTACATCGAATCGATATCCTCGTTTTCCTTTTTCTTTTGTCGTTTTGGAGCTCTGCCTTGGAATAGGTGGGAATGGGCAATCTGGAATTACGTTTTTGACTTTTTACATGTTTATTGTAAGATGTTGATTATCGTCTGAAAAGGAAGATATATGAAAGACAGCAAGTCCTCCGGCTCATATTAAGCTCGAGATGGTGAGGGATTGGGTATGCATTCACTTTGGCGTTCCCTGTTCTTGCTCTGCAAGGCAGTGTTGTATATTTATGTGTGTTCTGTACAATTAGCTGTTACTTGATTGTGGAGTTTATGGACGTTTAAAACCCATTCATTCTACGGATACTTCTTCTCTTTTCTTGTTCCAGATCATGAGAGGTAATCATTAACTACGTATATCGAAGACAAAGATAACTGATTCGATTTGACCGATTGTTCTTTTCTTTTAAGCCATCCCAACGCCTATGCAAAATAAATCCATTATTGCGAATTTCGAGGGCCCCAAATGTAGGATATCGTCTCGCCCTCTACCCAGTATGTACGCCAATAAGTTAATAAAAAGAGCCTTCCCAACAAAACCCACCCCTTTTTCCAGTTGACGGCTGAATCAGCCGGAATGCATGCAAATCTGTGTCCCCTCTTCTCAATGTGGGTGTACATCCACCGCGGAATGATAAATCGGAAAGAAAAGGGAAAGAAAAAGAATAAACTACCTCGTGCCAGAGCCACCCCCGCAGTGGCAACATAATCCGGTATAGGCAGTACCTTACTGCCCCCAGACCAAGTTGTCCCAGCGAAGAACAAGTGCTCCCCGCTCCCCTACCGATAAAACTCCCCTCTCTTGACACTGACTCCATACTCAGAAACTGCCATTCCCAAGTCTTCCATGGTGAGCACCGTCCGTCCTTGTCCAGACCCACCGGAGCCACCACCACCGAACCCAGGTCTCTGGATTCCAAGGTGTGTGTTGGCCTTTCCTTTGCTATCTCCGCCTGACACAGCGGGGGCGGAGCCTGCGCCTGCAGCCCCAGTTGGGAGGTTGAGACCCGACGCTGCGTTGAGACTACCCATCGGGTTACTAGCAGACGAGCTGTTGGAGGCACGGATGCGTGCATACTGATAGGAATCGGCTGCGATATCAGCAATGAACTTCTGTGTAGCCAGAGCGAGAAGTCGTGCAAGGTGCGGTGGTGTCTGATTCGGGCCGTTTCCCGGGGGTGGAAGACCAGCGAGTGTGAGGTAATGGGCTGTTACGGCATCGGGAATCTAGAACTTATTGTTAGTACAGAAAACGAATTAAATAGCTTGTTAGAGGGATAAGAGTTTATGTAACGTTAGAAAAATTGGTAGGGTATCAACACTTACAATAGGCGCATACTCGTCCATCTTCCCCAAAAACTCGCGCAGACTTGTCTCTTTCTTCGATGGCGCCGCGGCCGCAGCGATATCATCGACTGATGTTGGGACAACATCTGGAGCAGGGATTCCCGGTGCCACCATTTCCTCAGATTCATTTGCGCCCGCCATGTTGGTGTTGTCGCCGTTCGCGCCCATATCGATGTCCTGCTCGATGGAAGCGTCCAAGTCTGCAGTGGCTGTGTCTGTTTCCTGCTTTGGTACGACGTTTGATTCGGCAGTTGCTTCACCAGATACTGCTGTTGATGATGGATGAGGTTCTTGAGACCCTATCTGTGATGGGGGCGGTGGTTGCGATGAGGGCGGAAGAGGAGGTTGTGATGACGATGATTCGGCCATGGTGGCTAGGTATTTGGCCAGTCAGAAGTGACTGAAGAAAGAGGAGAAGACGGTAAGGCAGGTAAGGTAGAGAGTCAGGCAGATGATCCCTGCTGCGACGAATGGGAGAGGTTGGAGGTTTCTCTCGGTCCCTAGTATCTTGACTAGGTCGCGGAACACGAAGAAGACGTGGTGATGCAGAGCGGAGACCTGTCCGCGTTCGGCCCGATATTTAAGGCTTGTTGCTACATTGATTATGGGGTTGGTTTTGATGGTAATATATATATAAAAGAAGATAAATTCACAATTTGGCTAGAGTAAAATTACAAAATATTTCATCTGATATCGGCGCCACTTTAGATAATACATATTTACTGTTACAGATCATCCTTGGTAACTGAACAGGACGATCTTGTCGCTCGAAATACTTTTCACACTTTGCTCTTCGAGAGCAGAACTCATACTTATCAGACTGAGAGTTGGACAACAGACAAAATGTCTGTCGACACTGCCCGCTGAAGCACCAGCATCTATTGTGGAAGGTGCATGGTCGGATCAACATGTTCTTGATGATGTTGGGGTTGTCCAAACTGATCCCCATGCACCTCTTGTCCAAGAGTCTGCATCAGGTTCTGCTCTGCAGTCTGGTCAAACGCGGCATGGCTACCAGCGTCTGGAAGGCCAGGTGATGCAGACATGTCGTGCGGGTTGGGAGCCATCGGGACTTGCTGGGAGTGTGCGCCAGCAAGAGCCATCATACCCTTGATTCCTTCAACGTGGGCTTTATCCTCTTCACCCTGCTTCTTCTGTCGCTCCCGCGCTTCCCGCTTGGCAGCCTGGGCAGGGGCACGGGTTTTGAGCTCTCCAGTGACAAATTTCAGATAGTAAGGAACCTCAATCCCGCTTTTGAGGAAAAAGAGCTTGAGATTGCGAGCTTTGTCCTTGAGCTGAACCTGATTGCGATCCTTCAGCGCTTCGCTGATAGTTCCTCCTGGCCCGAACATTGCCAGAATCTGGCTCCAATGCGGTCCTTTGACTCGGTCAAGTCCGGCCATGAGAGCATTTTCTTCTTCTGTCGTCCAGGGCCTACGCTGGCTTGGAAGTCCAGATTTACGGCTGCTCGGTGAGGACTTGGCTGACGCTGCCATGCGGGCGCGCTCATAGAGAACCTGAGTGGGCTGGGACTGAGAGTAGTGAGGAATTCCAGGCATGTAACCATGATTAGCTGCCGTGGTATTTGGCCTTGGGGGCATGGGTACGGCGCCAGCAGGGTTGTACTGTTGGAAATTGGCTTGGAGAGGACTTTGCTGGAATGTGAGTTGCCCCGGTTGTTGTTGAAATCCTGGAGGTGTCGGACTATGTTGATAATGTGGTTGGTGTGGGTTTTGTTGGGGAAGCTGGCTAGGTGGTTGCGCAGCAGAATACCCATGAAGAATCTGACCTCCTTGCTGAGCATGCTGTGGTGCTTGCTGGTGTTGGTGCTGGTGTTGTTGGGGTTGCTGGGGCGGTTGAATATGCTGGTGATGATGCTGTAATTGCTGGTTTGGTTGTTGCTGTTGCTGCTGAGGCTGGGGTTGTTGATGATGTTGATGGTGTTGCGGTTGCGGCGGCTGCTGCTGTTGCTGCTGTTGTTGTTGCTGCTGCTGGGACTGTTGCTGAGAGCGTCTCAGCCCATGGCCTTGCAGAGCAATTTGTGCTGCACGAGCTGCACGAGCCACCAGATCACCGTGCATGTTTCGATCGACTGGAACATCTTGAGGCTGGGGAGCAACTGAAAACTGGCCCTGAAGAGGTGCACTAGGTGGATCCTGGGAATCACCATTGGACGAAGATGGCTGGCGGCCCTTGGTTGTTTTCTTTGCCTAATTTCAAATTAGCAAATGCCCGGTAGTACAAACGATGGATTTAGGCATTACGAACCTGTGGGTGACTGATCGCATCGAAGTTTTTCGTAATATACGAGCTCAAGTCCCTCAAGAAATCTTCCCAGTGGTACTTATCCGGCAAGGCCTTCATCGCTTCTTCATTGTTGATATCAGTAAGGAGGATATCACGACGCGATCCAGCACGTTTCACAAAATCGGCTTCGCTCGGAGCAAGCTGGCGAGTCCCAGGCCGTCTATCAAGAAGATTTTGCTCTAGGTCATCTGGAAATAGATCGTATAATAGCTCAGTTCGTGTGCGTTCAGTGTTGTTCATTGAAGCTATGAAGGCTTGTGTCTTGAGCTCCAAGAACAGCGCGCCTTGCACCTTGAGTAAACGGCCACCCTCGGGAACAAAAACGTCGAGAAAATTTTCATTCAGCTCAGAGAATCCAATTTCCTGTGTCCCAAAAATACTGGACACAAATGATGCCAAATTTGCCTTCCGGATGACATCGACTTGAGAAGACTCCGTGAGGTCAAGCTCGGTGGCAGATAGAAAAGACTTCTTGGTAGAATACACCTTCTTTGTGTGGTCAAAGAGTGATCGCATCGTCGCGTACGCTTGTCCATTCTCTGAATCGGGTTCCGAAACAAACGAAGTGATGTCTTGGTAAGTGGACTTTGCAAGCAGCGATAGGATTTGTGTAGACTAAAGATGAATTTTATTAGCATGGCATTTGCGTAGTTCAGACAAAGGCCCATACCAGATTGTCAAGAATCGGCAAGCTTTGGATTTTGAGGTGGGAATTCGCCTTAACGAATACCAGACCTTTTGGAGCGGTCTGGTCAACCGTGTCGGTCAGCTGCTGTTGACCAATTGCACACTGTTCTTCGACTCTCTCAGCATGATTCATGATGCTCGATATGACGGTGGCCATATCCGTGTCGATTTCAGCGCCAGGTTCGGGCGCCACGGCGCTTTCTGTAGAAGTTTCAATCTGGGCATGGCTGTCGACCGGTTGCTCCACCGTGTCAACCACTCCTGATCCCAAAGCCGATGCTAATTCCTCTTCGATCTTGTTTCCAGGAACCTGATCTGCCAGGTCCGGTTGTGGTGGGAGTTCGAGATCTTCAGGCTCAGACCCAATGCGGCGCTTCTTGGTGGCGCGAGGGGAGACAGAACCGTCGTCGTCGAGAGGGTGTGAGAGTTTCGGTGCCACTACAACAATTCCAAGTCAGAAACATACACTTAATAGAAATATCACACGGCTCTTGTTGTTCCTGGATACAAAACAACGGACAATGGCTCTACTGCCAGAGTATGATAGCCTTGATCGGCGGTACCCTCGACGGGCTGCGGGAGACTCACCATTGTCCTCCACAGGGGGGGAAGGAGATGTGGGAAATTCCGAAGACTCTTTCCCATCAATGGAGGGACGTGAGCCACGCGTGTTTACCATATTGGACAAGTCAAGATGGAATGGGGGTGCAATCTTGACTTCCAAGAGCAGAAATGAGGGCTTAGGGGTAGGGCGCAGGCGTAGGGCTTGCGAGAGAGACTGGCGGTTGGCGTGAGAGATTTTTCGCCGGCGGGAGGAGAAACAATTCCCCTGGACAGAGTCTGGCAGCGCAGAACATCTGGATTCAATATAATTAAACTTAATGGTGATAAAATGTATTATCTCATTATTGATTATTAATATGAGTTTATTATTTTATTTTTCATCACTCCTGTATTATCTTTTGTTCTGGTATATTCTTGTTCACCAATCGTTGATGCCTGAGTATCTTTCTGCCTCAGGCCAATACATAAATATCCCCACCAGTCTGGGGAATCCCCGATCTTCTTCCCCTGCTTCTTCACTCTATCTTGTCCTCAATTAAAAAACATTGCTATAAAGTTGGACTTACTCATGATGGAAATATTCTCCTATGCTCCAAGTTCAACATTTTCTCTTCTCGCGAGAATGCCCATCTTTATCCCTGGCCGTCATGACATCCCAGCAAATGCTATGTGCGCGTCATAGACCATCGACTCGACATAACAAGCTGGGTTGCTTTCTACCCCTTCAATTGCAACAGACTGACGTGCTACACGCAGTTCTCTTCCAGAATGGATAACTTTCCCATTGAGGAATGTTACTTATCTACGTGACATCCATTAGAAATTGTATCCTAAATCAAGATTTCCTCCAATGCTAAACCCAGGTCATCGTTCCTCTCTACTCGAGGACACCTGCTGCTAATCGCAAAATGGGTCTACCAAGTACAACAATCGCCCGTTTTTTACGGCTGGGTTGGGCCAATTTTCCAAGGTCCAGAGTATCCATACCTGAGAGTCATCCCTGAGGCCTACGCTGCACCAATGTACTGGTATTCGTGTCGTCACATCTATACCGAACCTACCGGAAGTCTGACGGATAATGCCAAGTTCCAGACAACTCGGTGATGGGGGGTTTTTTTTTTTTTTTTTCAATTAATGTAGCCGGTTTCAGAAGTTTCCATTCTAGTATTTCCTTTGAGAGGTATCTTCAGTCCGTCGATAGTGTTTTATATCACCTCTCACGTCCCATATCCTTGCGCTTTCCCTCTCTTCCCCGTTGGTTTATCACACCAGCCCTGTCTTTGGTTTCGATTGTCCGTCCCTTTGGGACTATATCGCCATCCCAATAGTCGTGAGATTGTTCAATAGCCAACTTCATTTATCGTTGTGAAATTACTACCTAGTTCATTATGTTGACTCCTCGCTACTCGATCACCTTCGCAGTAGCGCTCCAAGCGTCCGCCTTGGCTTCTGCTGAAACTCTGAACGAGAAGGTTTGGTCGGTATTCGCCTATACTCTCCACGGTGATACTATTCCAGAGGCTTTGCCCCAGTCGAGTACCCTGACTACGTATGGGGCCAGTGGACTGTATTCCGCAGGATCTGCCTTCCGGAGTCGATATGTCGCGGTGCACCCGGGTGACAGCTATCCAAGCACCAGGATCCAAAATATATCCCCTTATGCGCTAGAAACAGAAGAGGTCGATGTACTGTCAGCCGCCGATCAGTCTGTCGTTGCGTCTGCCCAAGCTTTTATGCAAGGGCTCTATCCTCCTCTCGGCCAGTCTTACAACGCAACATACGTCGAGCCCTCTTCCCTGTTAGCAAACGGATCATTGGCATCCGCTCCTCTGAATGGATATCAGTATCCTCAGATCACTGCCCCGAGCTCAGCGGATCCTCTTTCGGTTCAGGTGGCTGGTCAGCATGAATGTCTTATGCATCAAGCCGCAGATTATGAGTATCGTGCCAGCCTTGAAGTCCAGGAGATCACTCAGGTCTCCGAGGCGTTTTATATGCGCCTTTATGATCAAGCATTGTCTGGTGTATTCGAGCGCTCTGCGGCCACTTATAAAAATGCCCAGTCCATATCTCAATTTCTGGAGTACCAGGCCGTGCACAATGAAACCCTACTACACAGCATCAATCAAGAAGACATAGATCGCGCGAGGTGGTATGCAGACCAGTATATCTATGCTACAAATGGCAACAAAATTTCCTCAGGCCCTATAGCAAATGCTAGCATCCGGACTGTGGCAGGACAAACATTGGCACCACGCATTTTGAATGCGTTCAAAAATAACATCAACAATCGAGGGAATGGCGAAAAACTTTCACTTGTATTTGGCAGCTCCGAGCCTGTTGTCGCTCTTGCGTCACTGATGCAGCTATCCTCACCAAAAAATGGAAATTTCCAGTCTCGTTTGGCGGCTGGCGCTTCAATCGTGCTTGAACTCTTTAGCCTTGAGGATGAGGCCAATCCCACATATCCCGACCCATCCCAACTTTGGGTGCGGTTTCTCCTTCACAATGGAACCGACGACTCTACCGATTTTCGATCTTATGCTCTTTTTGGACACGGTCCCAGCAAAGTTGATATCCATTACTCTGAATTCGAAGCGGAAATGGAAAATATCTCCATGAGATCTGCTGAAGATTGGTGCCTCAAGTGTAATTCGCGTGCTGTGTTTTGCTCCGGATTGTTCAGCGAGCATCACAATCAGCCTGCGAGCAAAAAGGGCATAAGCCCTGCCGTCGGTGGTGTTATCGGGGCAGTTGTTACTTTGGTTGTACTGGCACTTGCTGCTGTCATCGGGTTCTTGATCTATGGCTTCCGCACAAACCGCTGGCGTAAACCAAGCCTTGGGGGTTTCAAGGGAAACGGAAAGATGGCAAGTGATTCGGATATTACCTTCAAAAACCCAATATGGGGTGATGTCAAGGTAGCCGAAGGTCAAAGGCCCGACGAAAATGAAGCTGGGGGAACTATAGTAAGAGGTAATGAGCGTTCAGGCAGTTGGGAGATGAGGCAGCAGGGCCAACGCAACCGTGGGAACCCCAATGGTGCCCAGCAGAACAATCCTTTCCAAGATGAAGTTGAGGAGGAGTGGAGGTTGCACAGCCTGATGCAGCCTGTCAGAGTTCGAGAGAGTGTTTGATATACCGTACTAGGGCTGCGGCGTATCCCATGTATCTTCATGGCATAGTACTTACTACATTGCTCATGATATTAATTTGATAGAAAAGTTATTTCTGTTGCTGGTACATTTCTTTTCTCTCTCTCCCTATCTTACTCCTACCAATATATAGGCACTTTCCTGCTCTATCATCGTCAAATGATTTTGGGCGCAGCTGCACAAAACCCAACTGCAGTCTGTGGTGCGCCTTCCAAATTGAGACACGCGTCGGCAGTGCCATCCCCAACACAACCTCCAGGCTCTTCGAGCTTTTCTTCCTTGTTCCCCTCTGAATCTCGCAGTTCTCTACCACTCCTTGATCCACTCCCATCGCCTTTCAACTCGTGGTATCTTCCTGAGTACCAACGTGATGAAGTATGAAATCCCTACGCTACTGGCTTTGAGTCAGAAAGCCCACATAGACATCGAGAAATTCAGCATCCAGGCACTTGGTAGTACGTCTCTATCTACTCCGTTGCAGTGACAGATGAATGCGCTGGAGTCCACTAACTATTTCTTAATTAATATCAATCAGGCAATCTACTCCGTCAGCGCAAGGCAAGCTTGGGTACTTTGTCAGAAAGACCTCTCAATCGCTCGAGAGAGGTATCCAACTGTTCTTGTCGCACTGAGGGGACTTCTTCGACTTTAAACACTCACTTGCGGTATCCATCTCGCCAACCGAATGATCCTCCACAGGGAGCACGCGCCCAGACTGATGCTGGATTTGCACGGTTTCTCAAAGAACACGCCTCCCCTAAACACCAGCGCGTCACTGCTGGTGGACGGATAGTCCCCATGGACTCACGGCCACCAGTACCAAAGATGAAACTGTCCGCCCATGGGCATGATACAACAGATGGTGAAGGTGTTAAGCCAAGCACTATTTCACAGGGCAAGCACAAAACTAGGGCTGAGAAGAAGGATACTGAATTCATGGACAAGAATCCTAGCACTAGCGATGCCTCAAAGACCTCTTCTCTACCCTCAGTCACATCAGTTGATCATGCAAAACTAGCCTACTCCAATGGCAATTGTCCAATCCAGACACCGGGTCTTTACCCAGCTCTTCCACCGGCGTTGGTTAGTCCCGCACTGTTTATGCAGCCGAACAACGTCCCTCTGGCGTTTAGCACTCGAATGTTTTCACAAGACCACGCCCAAGAGTTTCCAACGCCGTTCCCAAATTATGTCCCTTGTGGGTTTAGTACAGATCAAACTGCTTGGGTTCCGAATATGAATCATGTTCTGGGTATGCAGAATCCTACTGCTACTTTCATACCAGCATCCAATCAGCCGCACCCGTCCACCTCGGGCTCATCGTCAGACTTTTCAACATACAGTGGCTTTGCCGGAATGACTTCTCCTACGTTCAGTGCCTTTTCATCAGGATTCGACTCGTTTTACCATGCTTTCCCAGCTGCTGGACAGCAATTCTTTGATAGCCAATCATCCCCCAATCAGCCATTCCTTTTCCCTGGGACTTCCCACGAAGCAATGCAGTGGAAATCTCTACAAGATACCACAAAGGAGCATGAGACGCTTTCTGCTCAGCTCTCTCGCCTCGATAGATACATGGCCATTCACAGTTGGGACTTGGATCCTCAGTCGAAAAAATCTCTGGTTGAACAACGGATGAGCTTAGTGCGGGAATTGGATGCAGTGCGACTTCATAAAGAGCAATTAGAGCTAATCTTGGCGCAGCTAAGGCCTGGCACTTCGGATGTCCACAGGGAAGGGCCTGTTGATATACAAATGCTTCCAGCTCAGTATCTGACCGGGAGCGTTGCAAACAGTCAAAACTATATAGCACCACGAACCTTCTTTGCCACTGCTAACCACGCGGCTCCAAATTTGTCTACATTCACACTTGCAGACACCCTTCCATCGATGCTCTCGACCCATGAATCCTTCGAAGGGGGGTCTCCGCGCCAAAGCAAGGATGATCGAAATTCATCTGGGACAGGCTCAGACTTTGGGCCCATGCCCACGGAAATGAAAATGAATGTACCTCATGAAACTGGACCATGGTATGGAGAGCAGACAATGGCCAGAGGGTCCAGTACATCCAAGCAAAATGCACAGGTGCAAGCGGTCAACGCAGCTGATGCTAAGAGCACAGTAGGCAACGGTGATGGATGGACAACACCCACAAAATCAGCACCCCCCGACATTCGTAGAATCTACCGCAGAATTGAAGAAGCCAGTAAGCAGGGTGATTCTATGGAGGAGTTGCTCAAGGAGCTTGCTGCGGCTACCACTCGGCTAGTACAGCGCTGCAGGGTAGAGCGCGATGGATCGCCCCATCCACCACTAAGACGGACCGACAGGGCAAGTTTGAATAGCCAGCTTGATAACGATACAATTCCAATTCCAGGAGGGTCAATAGACGTTGGAGTGCATTCTCAGCCGGCAAGGCTTGCGGCAAGGCGACTCTGGAAATCTGAGAATGGACACCTTCAAAGACCTTCAAACATTCTCGGGGCCACGTCATTTGGAACCGACGATGAAGACGACGGGAAATCATGTTCGTCCTACGAGTCGACCGTGGACTCGTGGGCTACAATTGAAGAAGGGGAGTAAGTAACTAAAACAACCATTGCTAGTGGGAAATCACTAAACTTAGCAGCAAGCGTTGGGTCCAAAGAGAAATGTTGAAGGGTGAAACCGATGACGAAGATGAGAGCTCATCACAAGATAGGTAGTTAATCCCCGGTTCTACCATGTGCGCGGCTCCTGATATTGTCTAGTGCAATCGAGAGTATACTAGAAAACACTGAGATGGTCGCATCTCAAGCATCGAACACTCGCGATACCATTGACTGGGTCCGTAAAACCAAACCCGGTGGCGAGGGCACAAACAAAGAATGCGATAATTCATCATTCGACCACACAAAGGGCACGCAGGCACATTCAAACTCGGAAGCTGGAAAACCGATATGCTCTCAACTGCTCACTCAATATTTCAATAAGGAGCGCGGCATCGTCTCGCAAAAGTCGGCAGCACTGACAGTCTCGCATAATGTCAATGCACATGCTTATCTTCCATCTTTCGATGGCGCATGCGATTCCCCTTGCTGGAGTGAAGGTAGTCAGGCCTCAGAATCCCATCTTGACCATGGCTTTTCGCAGAAAGATGTTAGTCAGAACCCAAATCAGGAAAATCAGTGGTACATTCCCAAAAAGCGCATTAAGCCCAGTCCAGCCGTGCTACGGGAATTTTTTCGTCGTGTCGAAGAGGAAGAACGAAATATGATTCGACAGTATCAGATTATGGGCTCGATTCCGCGGTGACTTGGTCTCACTGCGTCCGCTGTGTGTGTTTTGTGGGGATGAAGCATAAGAATTTCCAATGGAGGGCTGGTTGATGTATGGGATACTTCAGTAAGAGGATTTGTGATGTTGGGAAGAGGCTGTTTGTATTGTTTAACCAATGCATGGCATATTTGGCATGTTTTAGGGTCTGCTATTTGCTATGAACCATTCTGGTGCACCCTGTCTGGTTATTGATCCGGAATCATTTGTGTGAGGATACCGCGTGGAGTATGGTGTGTTTGGGTTAGGGACTGAGGTCTCTAGCCGAGTTGGTAGTGTCGTATTGACTATCGATGTGGTTTACTTATGATATTAACCTCCTGTACTTGGTATCGTGGGGATTCTTGATCCTGTTTAGGTTGATCACGGCTTGACCAATTTATGAATCTTATCGATGTTATTGATGCTATCCACTTATTTGATCTATTTCTCCGTATCTCTCCATGCTTACTAGTAGGTAGCACTGCTTAAATTGTTGGGTTTTTTGGTTAGTACTCTTGGTGAGATACCAAGCATCAACACCGATATATACAGCCAAGCCCAACTACTATATGTGGTAGTATTTTTGAACTTTCAAAACTGCTAGGTCCACTGCAACGACCATAAATTGAGAGATAGATATTTTAAAACATGAAATCTACCTACAAAACACTCACCGGAAGCTAGGCTTGTGGTCTAGATGTCTTAACGCAGCAGGGAGATGAAAGACTTTAAAATAGGATTTGGTTTATGATACCATAGTTTTTGCCACCCAATATGAATGAGACACTTTGGCCGAGTGGACTAAGGCGCTGCCCTGCTATTTGGTTACTTTACCTAACCTGTCAGGCAGTATCTTCGGATGCGTGTGTTCGAATCACACAGGTGTCGTTTCTTTTTTTGTTCTTGCTCTTGGTGCATTTTAGTTGCATCTATAACTATTTTCTTGGTACACCAATCACAAATCGACACTTTGGCCGAGTGGTCTAAGGCGCAGGCCTGCTATTAGGGTTACTTAGTAACCAATACAGCCTGTATCTTCGGATGCGTGTGTTCGAATCACACAGGTGTCGTGTTTTCTTTTTGCCCATTTGTGGGGTAAAATTCATTTTGTTAACAGTTCCCTCATTCGTCAATTGGACTTTGTCGAAGGTTCAGTCAGATATCGTTTTTTTTTTTTTTTTCTTTTCTTTTTCACATCGCTGATTCCACATCACCCATATTGTTCTCTTTCACCAACAGGTACTAATCAGACACTCGAACCAAGACACATCAAGTACTTGATCATTCAAGTGATGTCTTCATCAAGGATTCGAAGTATTCGTCGCACGCCACTTGTTTCATCAATTGCTCCGCGATCAATGTCTTAACCGTCTGAGCATTGTACAACCCACACTCGATCAAGTATTAATCTGGTATCCAAGAGAAATTTCAACCCCTATTCATTTTCAATATGTGATTGACCTCACTATCCCTCTAACCCAGCTCATTCAGCCTTCAGTGAGCGCCGAGGGAGTTTGAATCCGCTGCTCCTGCATATGAAACATGCTACGTGGTTCGCTATCATCAATTAGACACTTTGGCCGAGTGGTCTAAGGCGCAGGCCTGCTATTTGGTCCTCCTTTGAGGTTACCAGTTCAGCCTGTATCTTCGGATGCGTGTGTTCGAATCACACAGGTGTCGCTCATTTACTTTTTTGCTTCGAATCAAACCAAATCCATCTATCGTCTATCCCTGCTTGTCCATTCCATCAAAATGGTAGCTTGTCATATTCCGTTGGCTATCTTAGCCGCCTCCGTTTGTTTTGTTTGCTCTGCTTGAATAGCCACCAGTTGTATGTTGGACTGTCATGTGACTCTTTCAAGAACAAGACACTTTGGCCGAGTGGACTAAGGCGCTGCCCTGCTATTTGGTTATCCTTCAACCTGTAAGGCAGTATCTTCGGATGCGTGTGTTCGAATCACACAGGTGTCGTTTCTTTTGTTTTCTTTCTTTCTTTTTTTTTTTGCTCTTTGTATTTTGTCGACAGGATATCCTGATGTCGAAGGGAGGTTGTTGGAGTACAGTACTTGAGTGATGTGGTTACTGGTCTAGGATGGAGGGAAGGTCTGAAGGTAGCTTTGCAGCATCCCGTCAAATTTAGAAATTAAATTACTTAGCTAGCTTTTACCAGGCCTAACGCACTCCCTTTAATCGGCAGTACCATGAGGATACCTACCCCACGTTGCCTGCATCTCAATAGTCACTGGTTAACTTCTCCTTCCACACCCATATCAAGCTGGTACTAAAATATAGGTCCACCTAACCTATCTTTACTAGACCCAATACGAAGTACGAAGCACTCAATGGTTCCCGGAGAAAAGGGCAGGGGCGACATAGTCTAGACTGCGACTGAGAAGGTCGTGGGTCTCCCAGGAATGTACCTATTCTGTTCTCCGTAGAGGAGCACTCCTGATTCTGGTACCCTGCCCAATTTCGACTCTTATCGCGAAAACCTAAACGCCATCTGTTACCCCTTGCTCCAACTATGTGACAATCTAGCTGGCATAGTGCAGTTTATATTCATGGCCAGAGTCTAAATCCTCTCCATGCCCCTGGAAATACGGATTGATTCGGACATAGTAACCGCAAGATGTCGATAGGGAACAGCGCATAGAAGCACGTACCTCCTTAGGTAGTGTTGAAAAGAAATGTGTCTAATCGCGTGGACCCAATAAATGATTTATAATGAGGGAAAAAAAGTCTCGTTTCTAGAGTCCAGTCTATATAGTAAATAAATGTATGGTTCCATGTGTCGGGATATCCATCTTTAGAGTCATACAATTCCTATATAAAACACAATAAGGTTATAATAGTTAGGAATAAGACACTTTGGCCGAGTGGACTAAGGCGCTGCCCTGCTATTTGGTTACTTTAGTAACCTGTCAGGCAGTATCTTCGGATGCGTGTGTTCGAATCACACAGGTGTCGATTTCTTTTTTGTTTTTTTATGTCTGGTATAGTTATGCCAGCGTCACCATGTCGAGATTACGGATCGGACATCCGACGGATAAGAAAGTGAACAATTGACTAGTTTAAGATAGTCATCATCCTTGAAGCGCTAGTATCTGTCTCTTGCAGGCCAAGCGGTTTGTGGAAGCCACAATACGAAGTCGATCGAAGTGACGACGGTCAGTGCGGGGATAGCCATGCCTATTGCCTACAGAGCCGAATGTTTTCGTCGAGTATATCGTGATTCGATTAGTATGCACTTTGATGATTATCAATCCTAATTCCGTCATGTCGGATGACTAGATGCCCAGATGACTTTTTTCCTTTGTCAGGGCGTTAGTTAATTTGATGATAGCTTTCGTTCTGCTGAAACGATGACATCTGCAAACAGCCTGGCATGGAGAGACAGGGGATGGCCGGAGAGCATCATCGACGTCAAAGGCAATTATTGCGAGGAGATTTGGGATATGATATTGCACTTTGAAACTGACACATGCCGTGACTCTCTGATGTATTTTTATCTTATTTTCCCTTGGGTTGTCTGTATTGCTTTTTCTGGTGGCAAATGGGATGGGGTTTGAACCAGCGCCGCTGTCTTTCCAGAAGATCGAGAGAGAAGCTGAGATGCAGTAGTACCTGGGATGGAGATATCTGGTTGGTCGTAGCCATGGACAAGAAGGAATGGTTGTCTTGAATGTCTTGGATTCTTATTGGGGAGAGATGGATCGGAGAGTGGCAAGATGGATGGAAAGTCTGGAGATGGAGGAGGATTATTGGAGAAGCCAGCAGTAGAGGCGATGGCAGTCAACAATGCGACACTGTGGAAGAATCAGATCGTTTGACAATGAACCCACTTATCCATTCTCTGTCTCTTTTTTTATCTGTCCATCTCATCTATCCAAAAAAACCAAGGCATTGTACATGTTGTACGCACCACTGCCACTGCTTTGACTAAGCCTGGATTCCCACTTCCCTCCACGTCTCCACTTCTCTTCTTCTCTTCTCTCTCCCTCTCTCTCATTCCCTCTCCTCCTCTCCGCTTCTGGTCTCCGACTTTCTTTCTTTCTTTCCTCCTCATCTCATTATATTCTTTATCACCTCCTGTCTGCTGCTTTCCATCCATGATCGCAGCATTCCCCGGGTGGACGCCCCTCTTCCCCCTCGTTTCTGGTGCGACCACCGCCTGACGTTCTCTTCTCCCCGCGGTTGCTGGGCGCCGCCCCCTGCGCCTCATCTACCCTCCATTATTTCTCCATTAGTTTATTCAGTTCAATCCAATCCCATCTCCACTGATTAATACCCTCCTTCTCCTTCTCCCTCCCCCTTCTATCTGACGTCTATACTACAAAGACGTCATTGTTTTCTCTGAATTCGAGTCGCTACCGTCCGGTTAAACGGTATTCGTTTTCGACATGACGCAGCTCTTCGCTTCCAACCCGTCGGCCGTGACGAACGAAAAACGCGGGATCTTGACATCCAAGAAGCACGCCGGCGATTCGAGCCACTTCCCTACAAAGATTAAGAACTTTTTTCGCATCAACAGTTCTGGCAACAATTCCTCTGCTCACACTGGCCATCAGAGCAGCAGCGGTAGCCATCACAATAGTAACGATCGGGATAGGGACGGCAGCCCTTCCACCGCCGCCAAGACCGAGTCCAAGTCCGCTTTTAGACAATCCCGTTTCCTGCCCACCATCGGCCGCAATCGATCTACTACTGTCGCTAGTGAAGGCAACCCGCTTGATGATGGCGTGTCCCCGACTGCAACAGCAAATCCATACTTCGTCCACCAAGGGCAACCGTCCCTCCAACATCGCAATGACGGCTCGGTCCCCTCGTCCCCTCCGGATACTCCCGAACTGCAAGTTGACGGTGTCTCCGCCGCGGAGCAGGCAACCACCGCCAACAAGGAGGAACTTGCTCGCAAACTTCGCCGTGTCGCTTCAGCCCCGAATGCCCAAGGATTGTTCGTGAGCGGCCAGACCAATGACCGACCTCAGACGGCAGAGATTGGGAAAGAAATTCTAGTCGAGCAGGCGATCGTTGATGATGATGCGACGACGTTGGCAGATGCAGACCCTAGCCTTTCTGTTCCTACTCTAGGTCCAAACGGCAAAATCCCCTCCCCCGGCCAGATCCGTGATGCCGTTGCCTTCCGCCGGACATACAGCTCGAATTCGATCAAGGTTCGCAATGTAGAGGTGGGACCGAGCAGCTTTGATAAGATAAAATTGATTGGCAAGGGTGATGTGGGTAAGGTGTATTTGGTCCGTGAGAAGAAGACAAGCCGTCTATATGCCATGAAGGGTAAGTTACTTGTCGCGTTGCTCCCCATATCTATAATTAAAAAAAAAAAAAAATTTAGGGATTGCATAGTAGGACCGCAAGCTGACAGCACCTAGTTCTGAGCAAGAAGGAAATGATCAAGCGAAATAAGATCAAGAGAGCACTGGCTGAGCAGGAAATTCTTGCCACCAGCAACCACCCGTTCATTGTCACTCTGTATCATTCATTCCAGTCAGAAGATTACCTCTACCTTTGCATGGAATACTGCAGTGGCGGTGAATTCTTTAGAAGTGCGTATACCGCCTTAACGCAAGCTCCTTGACTTTTGCACATTATACTGATACTAGTTTCTAGCTCTTCAAACACGTCCCGGGAAATGCATCTCCGAAGATGCTGCACGATTCTACGCAGCGGAGGTCACCGCCGCTCTAGAATACCTTCATCTTATGGGTTTCATCTATCGTGATCTGAAGCCTGAGAGTACGTCGCTTGATTTTTATGGATTGGACATTGAACTGACAATCGGTAGACATTCTCCTGCACCAATCAGGCCACATTATGCTGTCCGATTTTGACCTGTCCAAGCAGTCTGGACCAGGCGGTGCTCCCACAATGATTCCAGCACGAAGCGGCAATTCTACAACCTCTTTGCCTACTATCGACACCAAGTCCTGTATTGCCGATTTTCGAACAAACTCCTTTGTCGGCACTGAAGAGTACATCGCACCAGAGGTCATCAAAGGTTGCGGGCATACTAGCGCTGTCGATTGGTGGACCCTTGGTATTTTGATCTACGAGATGCTCTACGGGACAACACCCTTCAAAGGGAAGAACAGGAACGGCACATTCGGTAACATCCTGAGGGATGAGGTGCATTTCCCTGAAGGTGCTGGAGCACAGCCGATCTCCAAGTAAGCTTTTGCTGCCTTTCTGTTTCCTGTTGGATATAGAACAGAACTGATTATTGAAATAGCATGTGCAAGTCGATAATCCGCAAGCTATTGATTAAGGACGAAACTAAGCGTCTCGGCGCTCGGGCCGGTGCGTCTGATGTCAAAACCCACCCCTTCTTCCGGCAGACGCAATGGGCCCTCATTCGCCATATGAAGCCGCCAATGATCCCACACCAGGGCCGGGGTACCGACACTTCCAACTTCCGCAATGTCAAGGAAAGTGGCAGTGTCGATATCGGCGGAAACAACAACAACAAGATGAAGGGTGTTCCGATGGACTCAGGCCTTGCTACACCCAATGGAGAGGTCAATGACCCCTTTGAAGAGTTCAATAGTGTTACTCTTCACCACGATGGGGACATGTGAGCATTTTCTGTGTCCTGAACCACCGAATTATCCTTCATGCCTGTTCAACTGCATGGCAAAAAATAGACGAAAACGCACGAGCATCGCCTTAATTCGCTATGGAGCCCAAATTTTTCACGACCATGATGCATTAAAGATCTCTGTACTCGAAAGTTTACAATCTCAGCTGCAATTATTATCGGGAGTACGGAGTGTATAGAGTTTTTGTCGGTGTTTTTCTTTCATTTTCATTGTTCTTATTCAGGTTTATTCTTATCTGGGCGTGACAGGATTGATTTTAGTCTGTCTCTTTTTTTTTTTTTTTTTTTTTTGCCCGATGGCAGCCTCTATTGTTGGATGTCATGTTTCTTGCTACCCATTATGATGTCCTAGTACACGCGGACTCGTTTTCGGCCCTTCTTGTGCACTTGTTTCTTTTCTTTTTGGAAGCTGCGGCGGTATAAACATTCTGTTTCTTTCATTCTCTATCACTTATTATTGCAAAAGACGGCGTTGTTGATTTCGGTTTTTTTTATGCGAGAGCGGAATTCTTTACACGCAACAACTCATTGATTTGCAACCCAAACCTGGGTGAGACAAGACGATACGAAGACTCCATTGTGACTTTTGTTCTTGACTGTTTATTGCCTGGTCTTTCGTATGGAAGGGTGGTGTGTCTTCTGGTAGCGGTCTCAGAACAGGCCTGGTGCCTGCGATGGACATATCCCATTAGGAAATCAATCACTCCATCACACATTAAACGTATATGACAATATTGAAGGCGTGTAAGAGGTTCAGTCGAATTGATCCAATTGTTAGATAACGGTGGTTACTATATTGTAGCGTGGACCGGAGGAGACAGTAAAGCCGCGGCCAAAACATCACCGCTCCGGCTTTCTCGATCTTTGTTTGGCTTCTCCAACATCCACATCCATGCCCATTGTGTCCCTCACTACTACAAGCTCAATTACGATTGCAAACTAGCATAAAGAACATTTTTCAGCTCCTCCATAACCAATTCATCACCTACATCGAACACCAAAAACTAAAGAAAAATTCAACCACCACCATGTCTTCCGACCCCGCGACGACCACACCCCCAGCAGACCCCGAATCCGAAAACCCTCTCCTCCGCGCCTCGAACCCCCTAGTTACAGATCTCGAACAAGAAGTCTTGGATGAATATACCCGGTTACTGGGGAACGTGAACAAGGTGCGATACACTCATCATCAATCCAATCCAATCCAGGCGGGGATTCACCCCCCTCCCCTCCACTCCGACTAACCCCTCTCTTCCAACCCACCTACCTGCCTATCTACACACGAAGCTAATAAAAAAAAACAACATCCAGCTCTCCGATAAACTCTCCGATCTAGCCGGCGACCCATCCTCCCTAACGCTTGACGGCCTGCGGCTCCTCGAACGCAAAACGGCGACCGTATGTACGCTTCTCAAGGCGAGTGTGTATAGTATCGTTCTTCAGCAGCAGATCTTCAACGAGAATGAGGAGCAACAACAGGCGCAGGAGCAGCAGGATCAGGAAGAGGGGTACTCGCAGGGTCAGGGGTATGGGGTTGAGCATGGGTTTGATGAGGATGTTACGTTTGGGTGATTGATGGGCTGGGTTGGTTTAGATTGGACTAACTGGGCTGGATGTGTTGCGATGGATTGATGGATGAATGGATGAATACCCTTTTTCTTTTCTTTTTTGCTTGTATCTATGGGTTTGGGTTTGTTGGCGCTGTGCGTGCATGGAGTCTTGATCAATTTATGTATGCATAGATGATTCTACATTCATTGACTGGTAAATGAATTGAAACCTGATTTTAATAATATGACAGAGGCTTTGCAGATACAAGTACACATCAGAAGGAAGAGAAAAAGAAAAGATTATATACACCGTCGTAACGCAAAGATGAAAAAGCAAGCATTCGCGACAATGCCGCTCATGCTGTGTCCATACTCGTACACCCTGTATTCTATGCGTGACAATGGCCCGTTGAGATGGGTGTCTAAACAAAGACCGAAATAAAATGGTACCCAGGAAACACCGCCGGAGGCGAATCGAGTCGTTGGCTCAACCCGCGAGAGAATTGGAGAGATGATGACGTTAAAAACCAGAGCATTAAGCCAAGTTTCGTCCCGAGTAGTAGACCTTGCGCACATCCACCATCTTCATGCCCCTTGCGCGTGCAACGTCTTCGGGGTTGCGTTGTGACATCAGAGCGTCATAGGCAGCCTTGACCGTGTTCATTTGGTTTCTCGAGCGGTTAACCCGGGCAGCCAGATCGTGAATACCGGCGGCACGGCACATTTCGAAAATGAGGTGTTGGCAACGAAGACCGAATCCTAAAAGACGGGTTAGCTCTTGATGTCGAATAGCGAATGTCTAGAATAGATACATACCTGGAGGACGGGTCATCAGTTTCAATTCGACGGCTCCGACCTTGCCTTGGACATCTCCGAAAATGGTACGATTCTCATATCGCGGGATGGGCTGCATGTTTCTGATGGCTCGGTACCTGGACTGCAATGCGGCATCACCGGCTTCCTCAGACTTGGCCTCGCCAATGCCCAGCAAACCCTGACCGTTACCAGCAATCGACAGACAGTACTGTCGACGAACCTTACCCAGACGTGTCTGGTTCACGACTGCATGCGCAACGAGAGTCTTGGTCTTCAGAGCCCGAATCTCCTTTGCAGTGTAGCCGGTGGTTTGAAGGAGTCTCTTCAAGGCATCCGTCATCTCCTCGGCTTCTCTGGAGCTCGTCTTCTTGACGTCCTCCACTTCTTTGGCCTCCTTGCCAACCTTGAGCAAGGATTCTCCCGGTCCAAACAGGTCCGGTACCAGCGAGGTGTGAGGGTTCAGTTCATTCTCCTCCTTGCCATTGGTTACCCGCAAGTTCTCTGCGAAACGCACCCACTCACTCGCAGCCGCATTCTCCGGCATCTCTGCAAAGAAGCGTGCGAAATCATCGGCAAAATCATCTTCACTCTTGAACGTAGCGTTGTAGTCCGAATTAGACTCCGGGGCGCGCACGTGCTTGTCGACACCGGGCTCAATGACGGAAAAGTCATCCAGATAATGCAGCTTCATAGGATCCCGGCGAATGGCAAACTGATCAGCCAGATCCTTGGGGTCGATTGAAGCCTCACCAGCCTCAATGGCAGCAATCTGTTCGGGTGTGTAATGTTCTTGCAACCGGGCCTTTTCCTCCTCCGTGTATGGCTTAAAGTCCTCCTTCTTCAGATCCCGCGTGATGTCCTCCAAAGTCTTCATATCACCAGACTTGACATTGGGGAATTTCGGTTTCCGGTCGTTGAACGAGGCAGGAGAAGGGTGGAATTGGCGACGAGGCACGCGAGGGCCCGCAGAAGCAGCCCGAGAAAAGCTGCAGAACAGGCATCGGATAGGCCGTGTGACGCTCATGATGGCGATGAAAAACCGGAGAGAAGCTCTCTGGCCAGCAGAGGCCAATGGAGAGCTTGATTAAAAAGGTGTGGAGAGAAGGGAAGGTGGATGGAGAGGCAGAGGCAGAGAAAGGTGTCGGTATCGGGGCATCACGAAGAAGGGAGCATCGAAGAGCGGATGGAAATTCTCAGCGGCCGCTTTCCGGCTCGACCAATCCGCGCCCGCCTTTTTTTCTTACTCAATCTTCTGCTTCCGCCCGCCATCACCAGAAAAAAAAAGATCCTGCTTTTCTTCCCTTCTGTTGCATATTTATTATTCCGTTGCCAGAATAATTTATGTTGGCTTCAAGGTTTCTATTATCCTCACAACTCCGTAATTGGCCCCGGAATCAGAATATTGTCCGACAAACTCTACGCCTCGTCCATACCAACCCTTCGTTTTCTCTGCCGCCGCGCCGCGATGCGCCATTCCCCGCAACGATAATGCAGAACTCACCTAGAAAACCAGAGGTCGATGCGAAGAGACGCAGAAAGGCCAGACCCGAGAAGAAGGAAAAGAGCAATGGATTCGATGAAGTTCTCCAGACCGATATCGACCAGCTTCTGAGCAAGAACCGGCCGGAGGACGCAGACCCCAATGCCAAACCAGTACTGCCAGAGCAATTCACAGAGATTGAAGTGAGAATCTCTGTGCTGTCATCAACTGGCGATGGTCTTGCGCTGTCTGAAAATTTGGACCATGTCTATGTGGTTCCATTCTCTGTCCCCGGAGATAAAGTCCTGATCAAAGTTGTCAAGCATTTCCCCTCCTTATCCTATAGTACGGCAGATTTCCTCAAGGTGGTTGAGCCGGGCTCCCAGCGAGACGACGCCCAGATTGGATGCGGGTATTTTGGAAAATGCTCTGGTTGCCAGTTGCAAATGATGCCGTACGAAGCACAGATGGCCCACAAGAAGCGCATTGTGGAAAAGGCATTCGCAAACTTCTCCGGCCTGATTCCTGAGCTGATCCCGGAAATTGGGGAGACATTTCCATCGCCCATGCAGTATGGATATCGCACAAAGTTGACACCGCATTTCGCGGGCCCTGCTGGTGCCAAACGGAGGGGCCCTAAGCAAGCCCACACGGAGGTACCCCCGATTGGGTTTACCTACAAGAACCGACGCAACGATCTGGATATTGAAGATTGTCCGTTGGGTACAGACATTGTGCGGCGCGGACTCAAGAGTGAGAGGAAGAGGGTCGCAGAAAACATTGGCAAGTACACCAAGGGCGCAACGCTTCTGATGCGCGAGTCTACCACTCGAGTCCCCAAAGACGGCAGCAGCACCGCCGAACTAGCCGTCGAGAAGGAGGACGTGGTAGAGAACAAGAAAGGGGTTCCAAAGGAATCAGGAGACGTGATACGCACCGAGCGCGACAACTACATCGAGGAAAAGAGATGTGTAACGGACCCCAACGCAACCTCGATTGAGTACGTTGACGACTACATCTTCACGAACAAGGCCGGCGCCTTCTTCCAAAACAACAACTCCATCCTCTCCGGCTTCACAGAGTACATCCGCGAGAATGCCATGCCCAAGAGCAATGACCAAGATCCCAAGCCGATCAAATACCTTCTCGACGCCTACTCCGGTTCCGGTCTTTTCACTATCACCCTCTCCCCGCTGTTTAAATCGAGTTTGGGTGTTGATGTGGCTGGCGACTCGATCGTTTCCGCTCGCGATAACGCCCGCGAAAATAATCTCCCCAACACCGGATTCGCAGCTGCGGACGCCGCAACTCTCTTCAAAGACCTGCCGTACCCCCCCGACCAGACTCTCCTCGTCATCGACCCATCCCGCAAGGGCTGCAGCGATGACTTCCTCCGCCAGTTCCTGGCCTTTGGCCCTCGCCGTGTTGTCTATGTTAGCTGCAATGTCCACACCCAAGCCCGTGATATCGGCGTCATGGTCCAAGGCGATGAGCAACTGAAGATCAGATATGAAATTGAGAGTATCCGGGGCTTTGATTTCTTCCCCCAGACCGGCCACGTTGAAGGTGTGGCTATCCTGAATAAGGTGGCAATCCCTGAAGCTGCATCTTGATTCTTCTAGCGCCTGGGATTTTTTTTTTACATTTTTCAGTTTATCTACTGGAGTAAGTAATATGGGGTGTTTTCAATTACTTCCTAAAAGCCGGCGTTTTGGTATATCAAAACTAAAATACAGAGAGCATGGGTCCTGGGAGGAAACGATAGGATTCTCGATTTGCATATATACATTCGGCTTCAAAGCAGTTTAGGCCAGGAATCTTTTTTCTTCTTTTGTTGGTAGAACAGAAATAATGCGCATGTAGCTTATCTTTCCGATCCCCCACCCCGAATCCCCTTCTATCTACCCGGAAACATAGAACAATTGCGTCAAAGAGTTGAAAGATTCTGAACCATCATGAAGGAAAACGAAAATAAAGAACTATGGACAAAAGGCTGGGAAACATGTGTGGGAACAGATCCGTTCCAACTCTCTACGAACTTCCTGGACCACCAAGCAGAGCGAATCTCCGAACGATGCTGGGACCGATCTCGTCGTACTCTGCCTTGGTGTGACAGTAGCTTCTGAACTCTGGTGTCTGTCCCAACAAGCTACCTCCGAACCAGGGGCCGTGTCTCTGTCTCTTGTGGGTCACAACGGCCACATCCAGACCACCACTCCTAGCTCCTCCGCTGCGCGCTTCCGAAGCACGGATGCGAGCATCCACCAAATGTCTGATATCACGTTGCAAACGTCGGCCAAAGTCCTTGTATAGAGTAGATCCTCCAGACAAGACAATGTTCTTATAAAGACCTCTCCGAACATCGATAGGGGAGGACTGGATGACGCCGTCAACGACGGTGGGCAAGGGTGTCAAGAAGTCGGAAGAGTAGATTTCTGGGTTGAAGAAGATCTCCGGAGCAAGGAAACGCTCGTATCCGATATCAATGTTCACACTTCGGCCGTTCGGCGAAGTCACGGTGTGGTTCAGGAACCGATCGGGCTCGCGGTCGTAGCGGGCGAATTCCTTGACAATATCCGGGGACACGTAACAGTATTCTTCCTTCACCTTCTCCGCGGTCTTCAAGCTGCTGTCAGGCTCGCCGCGATCACGGAGCAAACTCTGTACGAAATAGGTGATGTCTCGACCGGCGATGGGTATACTCTTGATGGAGGATCCGATGACGTAGCCTTCCGCGACGGGGATGACATGGGTGACACCGTCACCCGAATCAATAACTGTTCCGGTCAGGGATCGGTCTGTCACCTTGGAGGAAGTCCAAGATGCGGCAAGGGCAAGCACAGCCTGTACGGCGATATAAAGACCAGCGCAGTTGAAGGACTCGAACATAATCTCTGCCGTGTTCTCACGGTTCTCGGGAGGGTTCAGGGGCTATAAATCAAGAATACATTAGCATCCATGTCGCTTCCTTGGTAACCACAGCCATGGTAAATGGTATATATTTGGGCCCAGTTCATCCTTACAGGCTCGGTGAGTAAAAAGTAGTGGTCCTCGGGTTCGACGCGCAGGTATTTGAAGATGGAGTTCGACCAGAAACGCTCCATGGAATCCCAGTTCTCAATTTGACCATGACGAATGGGATAGTTGACACCATATCCAGGGCCTGCTCCTGCAGCCAGAGCCTCATCACCGATAAAGAAGTCCAAGTCTTCCGTACCACGCTTCGCGGACAAGTGAGAGCCTGCCCCACCACTTCCAGCCAAAAACCCCGGCTTGTTCGCAACAGCAGGGCGTCCTGAGCCAGTACCACCAGTGCTTCCAGCACCAGCTTTGGTAGCAATTGCAGTCGGGAAGACGAAAGAGGGCGAGTCGTTACCGGCGAATCCTGGTGACTTGTCAGCCTAGCGCTCGAACGGTCGATATTAAACAGCGACAATTCGAGGAACCCACCGAGTTTCGAGTATCCAGTACCGCTGTAGAGCAAAAAATGGTTAGCTACAGCTTGTGCATATGTCAGGGGCTCCAGAATTGATAAACGTACTTGTCCATGACAACGGCCGGGGTTTGGGACGCCATGGCGAGTGAGTGGGCGTGGACCGTTTTACCAGTAGTAACAAAGGAATTTAATGAAATAAACGGCGGTGGACCAAAGAGATTGAAACGACTATTATATTAAAATAATAATCGCAACCAAGATGCCCGAGCAGAGAGGGATCAGGAACAGGGAGAAAGCAAGCAGCGGGGAGGCGGGCAGTACACAGCGAAGGTCGTCGGTCTACGTATGGCCGCAGCTTACACTAAAGCAGCGGGAGTGGCAGATGCCAAGCCACGTCATGTGCCCGGATGTACTGCGACACCAAACAATGGGGATTCTGTAAAGGAAAAACAGCATTCAGGATGGCTTTCTGGTTGTTCATCTAGGCTGCATTGATGGACTGATTATATGCAGATAATGGCTTCAGACAGAGAGAAAGTGGCTGGGAGCTGCTACTTCTGCTGTGATTGATGCTGGAGTGAAGAGACGGAAGGTGCTGCACCCAGTATCATTTCTTCTGGATATCGTCTTTTCTTCTTCTTCTCTCATCGACATCTCCTGTAATTATTTATTCATTGATACCCATTTCTCTTTTCTGCACAACCCCTCCCTAGGACCCTTTGTTTTTGTTTTTGTCTCTCCCTCTTCTATCCTTCTGTCATTCACTTAACCTTACCATCAACACCTAAGTCCTCGCTCTTCTCTAAATTCTTCCTATCTTTTCTTTCTCTATCAACGGGAAAGAAAAAAAAAAATAAAATAAAAGAAAAAAAAAGTCGCCTCTAGCTTCAGTCATTCTTATTGGCATCCTCACCATTGCTGCTCTGAAAAAAAAGTAGGGAAGAGGGGCACCTGTCTTCGGGCACCGTTCTTGTCCCATCAATCCCTCTATCAAAGAGCAAGAAATAGAGAGGTCAATTCGAAATGACAGACAGCTTGTCCTAGGGTACATCGAATTGACTTTTTCCCCACCGTGGATCTTTTTTCCCGGGGTTGTCGAAACCGAAGGCTGCTCGACTTATCCTATCCTAATCTCGTCCTGCAGTATTCTACCTCCCGCTCTCAAAAGAGTGGCCCGATTCGATATGAATCGTCCAAGAAGAGGCGGGGATATCTCTGCCATCTTTGTCCACGCAGGGGCAGGGTTCCATAGTCATCACAACGAAAGAGCCCATTTGGAAACCTGCGAAAAGTGAGTCCACCAAGCTCACACTGTTTAATCCTCTGCGCATTTGTTGCTCTTGCGATGGATACCTGACCATAAACAGTGCTGCCAAAGTGGCAATGGCAATGCTTAAAAATGGCGGGACCGCAGTCGACGCTGTTGAAATCGCTATCATGTTGTTGGAAGATGCCGAGATCACCAATGCAGGCTATGGCAGTAACCTAACTATCGATGGCTCTGTCGAGTGTGATGCTACAATTGTCGATCACAAAGGACGAAGCGGTGCAGTTGGTGCAGTGGCTCGTAAGTCTCTATTGAATCTGCTTTTTCTTCTTCTCCTAGCCTTTCATTGGTTTTGCTGATATTGGACATCTATAGAAGTCAAAAATCCAATTTCATTGGCACGAGTGGTCCTGGAAGCTTCGACGAAACCCCTGTCTTTGCAGAGAGTGCCTCCCAACTTCCTTGTAGGATCGGGCGCGGTAGACTTTGCATACGAACATGGGCTGGTGGTGCTCCCCCATGATGGTCTAATATCCGTGGCAGCCAAGGAGAGATGGAATCGCTGGCGACATGACCTGGAAGATGCCGCGGAGAGGGAGAGACAGCAAAGTCCGACACGGTATAGTCACAAGGCATACGTCCGTCAACCTGTTCCAGTCCATCCGGCCCAATTACTCGCTACCCCTTGTAGCATCGGACCTAGTTCGTTGGCTAGTTCTCCTCTGGCTTCCCACCCAACCAGCAACTACGTACCTGCAGACAACATACGTGATCGTACCTCAGCTCAAGAAGCACAGGGGCTCACTCCACCAGCCGATCAAAACAGTGAGTACTCTGACTCGAGCAGGGCCAAAGGCGGTGGGTACATCGATGGTGCTTTTCCTGAGACGGGAAATACTTCAGGTGCCTTGAAAGGAAGTGCTCTCCGTGACTCTAGTTCCGCTTCAAACGTGAATCTCTCGGAGCACCCAGCTGTCCCCCCTGAGACTGGCCACTCATCTATGGACATTGACCCGCCCGGAGAACCAAACCAGCATCATACAGACGCCGATCATATTACAGACACTGTTGGAGCGATTGCAGTAGATCGCTATGGAAATATTGCGGCAGGATCGTCTTCCGGTGGTATTGGCATGAAGCATCGTGGTCGAGTTGGACCTGCAGCGTTGGTAGGCATAGGCACCAATATAATTCCCGCTGACCCCAACGATCCTGAAAAAACTTTTGTGGCTACTGTGACATCTGGAACTGGCGAGCATATTGCTACAACTATGGCAGCCAGTACTTGTGCATTGCGAGTTTACTACAGCCAGCGTAAATGCGAAGACGGTGCATTTGAATATGTCTCCGAGGACGAAGCTATAAGGGAAATGATCAAGAGTGATTTTATGGGTAAGTTCATATTTTATCTGACAATCAATTGTTCGTGGATACTAATGTCTGTTCCCTAGACCATCCTGGTGTGAGGGGTAGCCTTTGTCAAGGTGCTATTGGAGTCATGGCAGTGAAAAAGACCGTTGACGGGATTTTTCTTTTCTTTGGCCATAACACCGACTCGTTTGTAAGTGTCACCTGCGATGCGACATCAGACAGAACCCTGGGCTGAACATAACATAGGCACTCGCTTCCATGAGTAGTGAGGACAAGAAACCTGTGTCTGTCATGTCTCGTAGCAGTGGAAACGGGGGCATTGCTCAAGGCGGCCGTGCTTGTCGACACAAGAGGTACGTACATAAAAGCTGCTATGACCTCATTGATTATCTGCAAAAACAATGACTGACTAAATCGGGCTGATCAGTTTGTAGGTACAAAGCTCGAGATTTTACCGCAGGGACCGATCAGAGAAAGTAAGTCACCCATTCGCCAGGGCATTATACACCTAAGGCGCAGACCTTCAGTTTGTTTTTATTGTTATTTCATGTTTCCCTGTCTACTTATAGGACCAATAAATTGCTAACTTCTATCCAATAGCATGTAGTGCTCGTTCCAAATGATTCTTTCGAATCAACCCTGATGCTTCCCTTCAGAGAACGGACCAGGGGGCATACTATGTTGGCTTGCAGGACAGAGCCTGCTCGACTAGTATAAGACCGTTTCCTCGCACTTTATCATATCATTAATTGGGACATTCTGCGGGGGTGATGTTAGTGATTTTTTCGGATAGTCTTTGGGTTATGTCGGATAAAGTGGCCGGCACGGTTACTTGAATATGTCTGACGACTGTTGGGTGTCCGCTGCATGTGCTTGGTCCTAGATTCCCTAAAAATATACCAAAATCTGTTGAAATATCATCCTCTTCTATGAGACGACGTTCCCCCGGAGGCATAACAAGAGAAATAGCGACTCAAGCCTGGCAGGCTTGGGCTGATGTATGGAAACAATGGGCTCAGTTCTCCGCGACTAGGAGTGACGGATAGTGCGCTTGCTTTGAAGAACATATCAAGGGCCTGGAGTAGGGGTAGACATAGGCGTAGCTGTGCCAGAAGCGCCGTTAGGACGAGCCTTCTTCTTCTTTTTCTTTCGAGCCACGACAGCTGGCTTTGCCCCATAATCACCCATCTCGAGATGGGTCCCGCAAGTCAGACAGTCTCCATTTGCCGGGGGCTCACAAAAGATGCTAAGGCAAATGGAGCAGACGAAACCAACGTCGACGACGCGGCGGTGGCAGAAGCAAGCAGCACGAAAGTCCACATCAACACGCGTGGGGAGAACCATATGTCTCCGAGATCGCTGGTCAGGAAGAAAAGCCATCATCAAGTATTGTAATAGACCACGGGGTTCTGTCAAGGACATGTAGATTCCTCGAGTGGCGTCTGAGGCCTGTTGTAAAAAGACGGCATCGCCGCTCAGTTTACAGACGTCGATGGGGATGTGAAGGCGCTGGCAAGCGAAAATGCCATTCATGATAGGGATGTACTGATGGGCCGAGTCGGTCGAGCTGCTGACTGAGACGATCAAGATCCGCGACTGTAAACCTTCATTGCCGTTCTCGGCAGCAGATCGCGATCCGCTCGGGGCCACGCCGGTTGCTGTTGCGCCCGCTGCAGTATCCGCTCCATGAGCTTCTGCCCAGGCGATTGTTCTCCGATTAATATGACTCAGCGCAAGCGTCAGGGCGCCCGCCATCATGGTGGAGGTTGTGGCCTGGATATCCGAGGCAGCGGTGGATTCCATGAGGTGTCGGAGGTTGCGCGTGACCTGTTCCTCGACGATCCGAAACGGACGGTACTTATTTACCTGGGCAGGCGAATGGTCTGGACCATTCATGGCGACGTCGCCATCCTGGTCCGTGGAGGATTTGCTGCCGGGATGTTGTTCGCATGGGTAAAGCCAAGTTGCTTTTTGGCTGTGGGAAGCAACCACGGCGACCTCATTGGCGTAGTTGCAGGCGAGGTGGGCATTAATAAAAACCAGAATGTTTGCTATAGCTTTGGACAGTGGGAGGGAGTCTTCGAGGAGCGTCCAGGCGTGGGGATTTGTATCGATGACGACGGTGAGGAGAGACGGAGCCGGATCTAAATGGGAAATAGACATACCGCGGTCAGCGCACAAATTATTTCCAATGCCAAGCTGGGGTTTGGCATGTTTCATTGACGATCTTACCATTTGCACTTGTTTCATAGTGCTCTGTTGCATCCAAGCTATTCATCTTGAATGAATCAGAGGAAGAGGGATGGGCGAGGTGGTAGGTAGGAGCTTCAAGAGACGAAATCTATAGCATCGTGATTTACAGGGTGAGGATAAATGATCGACCGGGGCGTTGTTTAGCCTCGGGATTTTTTCCGGATATCCCACTACCTCTCAGCCCCGTAATCCGTTTGTCCTCAAAGCTATACCAGATATATTGAGGAGGGGGTGGGATGGATAACTTGGATAGCTGGTGATGGACTTGAAAGGCTTGAATGGAAGCTCTGGCGGAGATTCACGTGATGATGATGCAGGTGACTTGATCTGATAAGCTACCCTTGCCCTGAACCCTAATGTTTCCTAAATTGGGTCGGTGTATACCACCCCGTGTCTGGATAGCTACGGAGATGCCATTTACGGGGTACGGGGTAAAATACGGAGTCGACAAATGGGAATATCATCTGATTGGCAGGCAGTGCTATCAGTCTACAAAGTCTGGACAGATTCTGTTGAGGATGAGGAATGTCAATGGGGCAGTGAATTGTTGACGAAGCCACATAATTTAGTTACAACAGTGATACTGCGTACTGCGTACAAAGTAGAACGTCGGGTGGTATGGATGAGGCTGGGCGTCGATAGAGATGAAGGAGTTGGTACGGAGTACCGCAGCTGCAGCTGCAGCATCAGCATAAGCATGAAGAGATAGTACTGACCACGTCATGAAGAAGCATGATTGGAGAAGGAGGGCATCAGTTATGCTCGGATGACTTGAGATGAGGCGGAAAGGGCCCTGATCTCCCAATAACTAAACCCCAAATCCAAGGGCTGTAACTGCAGAGCACTAGACTATTTTCTTGGAGACTCCATCTGAGTGGAGCCGGGGAAGCCATCCTAGTAGATCTTCCCGCCAAAGAAAAGCATAACCAATATTCAGGACGAAAGCCCAGATCACAGTTACACTGGGGAGTCATGTGAAACCGGTCTTTCGTCAGAGGATGGGGTAGCATTGGTGTCGACACTGGCTGTCGATCTGGCTGGGATGGAGGAAGATGGAAGTCTTGGAAGCTTCCATCCAGCAAGGCGTGGGGGAAAGGCCGGCTGCGGTTGGTTGCGGATGATGCTGTTATCTGTGACATCGCAGCATGAATAAGGCGACGGTATTTTATTATTGATGAATACCGGCGATGATGTTCTTTTGCTATTCTTAGTGAAGATTATCAGATGTCGAGGTCTGTCTGGTGGTTATTTTTGCCTGCTGTGGTAATCTCTTACAATCCATTCCTCCGTGCTCTCCCAGACATTCCATCCATCTTCCATCTCGTCCTGGAATGTTCTCTCCATCTCATAAATATCAGCAATATCAGAAATATGTAGATCTCAGACGGTGACACACCGCAAGTAAAATCCCGGCCCATCGGAATCCCATCTCCTCTCGCTCTCGTCGTGTGTCTGTCGTTCTTTGTGCCGAACGAGGGGCTTCGGATGGTTACCGTATTTTACAGCAATCCCGACCGGCTCGGACTCCCGTACGTAATACAGAGATAACATTTCTCCTCCAGCAATAATATAAAATAATAATCAAGAGGCAAAAAGAAATAATAATAAGAAGAAGAAGAAGAAGAAGAAGAAGAAAAAGCAAGCCATTCAGCTGTCACTTGCTTCTCCCCTTCTGCTTACATCTTCAGCCTTCGTCCCTCCCCCATATCTTCCTTCGTCTCCATGTCGTGAATGATTCTTCTGGGTGGATTGATACAGTTCATCTTCTGCTCCGCTGTCCCGCCGCTTCGCCAATAAATCGTTCTTCATTATTTCCCTTCCCCTCGATTCCCTCCTTTCCCTCCTCTCTTACCCAATCTCATTTTCTCTTCCACGTTCTGCCTTTCCAAGCAGCGTGCTTCTTCTTTTTTCTTATCCAGCCTGAAATGGTTCCAGCAACGGGTCAAGAACGCGCTGTACATTTGGCTCGAGAAGCTGTTGAATTGGTCGACGCTGGTCATCGTGAGGTCTGTGCTGCATCCCCATGATGTTCTACCTGATGATTCATTCAATTTCAATTTAAATCTGTACGCTTTTATATGCGTTCCCAAACATCTACTAACGTCTATTTCTTTTACAGGCCGCGTCCCGAAACCTCCGAGAAGCTCTTTCCCTGGCTCCAGAAAACCCGGATGTCAAGACCGTTTTCCTCAAGATCCAACAGGAGGAGCAAAATGGTCACCACTTGCTAGACTTATGTCGGCGATACGCCTCTCAGAAGGATGAGAGCGCCGGAAAAGATGCGGCTCTCTACTTGCGCACAGATGGACTCAAACCACCAGAGGAGGTCGCTTCTGAGTGCCTGAAGCTCCTGTTGGCAGAAGCGCCACATGCGCTATCCTCGATTCAGGATGATATTATATCGGGATTGGTGCGCCAGAATGTCAGTGTGCGTCAGTACTTCTCGACTCAGTTGCAAATATCAGTGACCACGTTCTTTGACGAAATCTATGAGCGTGGTGATGGTGCGGCAGTGTGTATGGACACTGTCGTCTTGGACCGCGCCGTGTGGCCGTCCGAGGATGTCCGCTACCACTGTGAATGTGAGCTCTTCCAGCTCTTTATCGCCAAGCTGATGGAGTCGGGCCATGACATGGATGGTCGCTCTCTCAAGGGCATTGCGCGACTCCTTGCGGTCGATGCTGCTTCACTGCAACACCTGATCGATGACGAGGGACTCGAGGTGATTGTCTCATCTCTGGACCACCGGCTTCCCTTGGAGCTCCGAAGTCAAGCCACTATGGCAATGGTTAAATACCTCGAAGTTTCCAAGGAGGTCGGGGAGAAGCGGTATACCAAGCTGGTGTCGGCCAAGTTACAAATGGCTCGCTATGACGACGTCGTCGTCGCATTTTCCGCCGTTGCTGCCGTCTTCCCGGTGGTCCCTACTGTCGCAGCTAGCCTTTTCCTGTCGGAGGAATTCATGGCTTCCCTGACGCCCTTGGTTTCGCGAACAGCCAAGAGCCGACAGGTCGAGGTTGCGGTGCTGGAGCTGTTGAATGCTGCGTCCATCAACCGTGCTTGCCGTGAAGCAATCTCAAAGAAGTTCTCTGACTGGTTGTCGCACACTCTTACAAATGGTAGCGACGAGGGATCTGAGTTAGCTGCGGTGGTTTTGGCCAAACTCCGGGCATCCGAGAAGAATGTACCCTCGGAACCAAACGGTAAGGTTCTGGAGGAGGATAGCGTTCCCGAGCTGGTTCATAGATTCAAAGGACTGATGTCGAAACGAAAGGCCGAAAACATTTCAAATGCTGTTGAGGGTCTGGCTTATTCATCTGTGAGACCAGCAGTCAAGGAGCAACTTGCCAAGGATGCTTCCTTTCTGCGAGAGTTCATCCAGACTTTGAAAGCGAATGTTTCGGACTCATCGGTCCTATATGGCGGGTTGATGACTATTCTAAATCTCACGGAATTTCTTCCTAATATGACCGAGGAAGAGAAGAAGATATCGCAACTCAAGTCATATGCCAACGCCTCTCCCGAGGAAGCACGAGCGGCACTGGATCCGCTTCAAGATGACGACCATGTGATCGCTCGCTGCAAAGCTGTTGTGGACGCTGGTGTCATGCCTCTTCTTATGGAGTGTGGCAAAGTCGGTTTGCCGTCTACCCAGGGTCTCCTCAGTAAAATCATGTTGGCCCTGTCCCGAGACCGACGATCCAGGGGCACCCTTGCCCAACAAGGCGCAGTGAAGCTGTTGCTCAGCATCGGAGCCCCCAGCCAACCCACCACTGATTCCACTCCTAACGAGACAACGCATCATGCGGCACACGCTCTGGCACGCATCCTAATCTCCGTCAACCCCGCCCATGTTTTTCCATCCTCTGGATTCCCCCAAGTCACAACCGCCATTCGACCATTGGTGTCCCTTCTGTCATCGCCCGAGAGCGCGGTTCTATCCGTGGATCAGCCACGGGATCTGCTACCCGTCTTTGAGAGTCTCCTCGCACTGACAAACCTTGCCTCATACCCGGACGAGACTGCCGCCGAAGCTATTGTGCGACAAGCCTGGTCGGCCGTGGAAGATCTGTTGCTTTCTAGCCACGGAACCATTCAGCGGGCGGCTTGTGAGCTGGTCTGCAATCTAATGACCTGCGAGTCTGGAGTGGTCAAGTTTGCAGATGGCACCAAGCGAGCTGCACAGCGTCTCCACATCCTGCTGGCACTCACCGATGCAGATGATATGGCGACCCGACAAGCATCCGGCGGAGCGTTGGCCATGCTGACCGAGTTTGATGCCGTCATTGCCGCCGTGTTGGACCGACCACGCGGGGTACAATTGCTGCTGGGACTATGCCAGGAGAACGATGACGGACTGGTGCATCGAGGAGTGGCCTGCGTGCGGAACCTGACCTGTATTGCAACCGGCGAAATCGGCGTCCGTGCGAGAGAAACCGTGAAGAGAAGCGGGGGAATCGAGACGTTGACAAACGCGATCAAGAAGACATCCAACCCCGCGGTGCTCCAGGCAGGAGTCGAAGCTTTGAAGCCTTTGATTGATCCATCTGCGGGCAAATAAACGTGCTACGACGGTACTCTCCTACGAGGTACAGACACTATGATTTTCTGTCATGTTTTCTTTTTTCCTTATCTCTCTTTGTCCTTTTTTTTTTTTCTTTCGCGAGATATGTGATGAAGCCATGTAATTGCTTTGGGTGAACTGGCGTTTGATCCACTTGGTCTCTTTTTTTTTTTTTTCTTACGTTTTATTTTTTCGTTATCAGGCAGGCGGGCGTTTTTATCGATTAATTATTATTTGAAGATGCTGCTTGCTGTTATGACTTGATGCGTGGTTGTTTAGCGTTGGGAGGGTGTCTGGGTCATGGTCATCATCACCAAATCCGCCGATGCAGGGTATCTTTTTTCTCTGGGTGCCCTGTGATTGAGGGGATTATGATTTGCTCGTTTGGTTATTATTTAGTCTTTCCCCCTGTGCTTATAGACACAAACAAATCGAATTGGTCTAGTGTACGGCTCTATCTATGAAACTACCGACGGATTCCCTGTTGGGATGATCATCTGATTTCCCACAAGTCGTAATACGGAAGAGTCGAAGAAGGATTATTATTGCCTCGGAGAAAGAAAAAAGAGAGAGAGATGCAGACATGCAATCATGCAGCAAACATTGACCTGTCAGAAGAGTGGGCAAGATGAGAGAGCCTGCGAGGACCCCTGTTGGGTAATGTTATGGTGGTGTTCGATCGACGTCAGAGGAGCGGGGATTTCGGATATCGTTGGGGAGAGAGCGGGAGAAAGGATGATCATTGATCATCATTTCTTTCTTCCTTTTTTTATTTTTATTTTTATTCTTTTGGAGGGGGAGAAATAATTGATTCGAGATGGGATGGAAGGGATATTGCAATATGGACTGCCACGGGTAAGGACTAAGGTTAGGTTGTTGTTTGTGACACTCTCACGTGGTGGTATTCTACAGAAGCCAGAAGTAAGGCCTACATAGTTGATAGTTAGGCATAGTAATAGTAGTTGGTTAGTGTAGGAGTTCTCATCGAATATATCGGGACATCAATCTGCACATCACCAGTGGTCGATCCAACCCCTGCCTTGCCTACGTACCGACTTGGCAGATGCTACAGAGACACAGAATAGTTTCATATGATGGACAGAGAGGACAGAGTGTACTGCATACACCGCTTTTGTTGAATGTACGGGGGCACCGGGGGATGAGATGGAATATGTTCCGGGCTATTCTGACGTAGTGGGGGGAGTGGATAGATAGAAAGGGTCAGGGTGTCTCAGTTGACTATTGTATATTATTGGCTTGGCTGGAGACTAAATAGAATAAAATATGTCATGAAAGTAATAGGTAGTGATATTATTCTTATCCTTATTATTATATCTAACAGATACTTTTATTATTATAGTTGATATAGATAGCAAACATTATGTATAAATGAATGATAAATAGCATCTAAAACACAGACAATGATCCTTTCACATGATCAGTGATCCATTGCCCCACCTGCTCCTCTCCTATTGGCCACCGAAGAGTCTCGAACAATCTGCTGCTGATATCGTGTCTTTCCCCACGCAGCAGAGCTCAGTTACAGTAGCACCACAGCTCTCGCAGCATCATCGATATTTATAGTGGCATCATTCATTTGGCGATTATGTGATTGCCCATGGTTGCAAGCTTCATCTTCACTCAATATTGCCACGGAGGCAACCCTCACCTCAACTAATTCTTCGTAGTCTTTCGATTCTCTGGCACAGGCACCACCAACAGCAAATCAGCGTAAGGCGTGAACCCACGCCGTGGTTCTCTCCACCACCGCCATCATCCTATCCAGACTATCTCTGAACCAGAGATCCCACTTATCTGTTCTTTTTTTTCGCCTTCAATATCAGTTCCCTTCCTTAGTCTAAAATCCTCCTCTTCCCTATTCTTATTTATTTTTTTTTTTAAACTTTTTTCTCATCCTCTCGAATGCGCCATCCCGTGCACGCTCAGCTTTCTTTGGTCTGTCTCACCGCATCTTGCTCCTCCTCCTCCACCCACCCCATCCTGTTGATCATTAACCGTTACTGATCTTCCATTCTTTTTCTCGGTGCAGACTGCATCCTTCTAGTGCAAGGGCAATTGAGCCGTGCTTCCTCTCGTTTCTTCCACTCACAGTCCTTCGCGTGGACCCGCCACCACCCTCCGCCATCCGATTCCTCCATCCATCTGCCCTCCCCCCAAATAATATTTCCACGTTCCATTCTCGTCAACTCTCTGTTCTGCCCTAAAAGAGAGTCGAGCTTCCTTTTCTCTCTCTTGAATTCTTTCGCAGAATAACACATGGCGTCTTTGTTGACTACTTCTCATTTCTTCTCTCTTTTACCTCGGATTTATTCTTTCTTTGTTTAATCTTCCCGCTCCAACCCCATCTACCTACTCTTTTAATAGCTGTTGGAGCTTGACTCTACCATTGAGTCTTTGCTAGAGGTTGTGACGGTTTTCAGCAGAGAGAATTTTGTTTTTTGGTTCTCCAGGATTTAACTGGAGCTATACACATCCATCATGAAGTTTGGTCGCAATTTGCCTCGAAATGTTGTCCCCGAATGGAGCACCAACTACATCAAATACAAGGCATTGAAGCAGGTCATCAAGGCCGCTGCTGATGATGTCAAGGCTGGCAAGAAGGCTGATTTAGCTGGTAAGTTTATTTTTGTTCTTGTGTTTCTTGTTTCTTCTCTCTCCCGGAGCTGTACTGACTCATTTTTCCTAGGTTTCTTCTACTCCCTCGATCGAAACCTCGAAGACGTCGATTACTTTTACAACAAGAAATATGCCGACTTTTCTCGCCGGTTAAAATTGCTCGAGGACCGATATGGTAACTCTCTGGAAACTGGCCAGCGTCTCGAGCACGAGGATCTCGAGGATCTTCTGGCTGCTTTGCTCGAACTCCGCGGTCAATTGCGGAAGCTACAATGGTACGGCGAGGTTAACCGTCGTGGTTTCATCAAGATCACCAAGAAGCTCGACAAGAAGGTGCAGGTTCAGGCGCAGAAGATTTACCTTGAGACCAAGGTCGATCCGTCGCCATTTGCCTCCAACGCCCGCGTTACCCAGTCATTGAAGAAGATCAACGACTGGCTATCAATTCTGGGTGACCAGAAGGCGTCTGATGAAGCTAGCTCCAGACGTTCTTCTCTCTCGTTGAAGAAGGGTCCTTCTCGCCCCAACTTGAATTTGCCATCCAGTATGCTTGTGGCGGTTGATGAGTCGCTGCGCAAAGATGATACCCATGTTTTATTGGAGCTCCTCGAGACCTTGAAAACCGCATCAGAAGAGACTGGCGAGGCTGTCTACCCCAAGGTTCTCAAGAGTCTTCTGCAGCGCTCTATCTTTTACCGGGCCAAGTCTTGCATTGCCGTGCTTCTCGACCGAATTGATTCGCTCGAAGAGGATGATGATATCAACAAGCGCAATTGCATTCACAGACTAGTCATCTCTATCGGGAGGGCGCAATCAACTACCGACTCCGAGGAGACCGCATCGATGGTTCTCGACTTCCCTCTGGAAACTTCGAATTACATTACCCCCGCAGCCCCTCCCACCTTGCAGGCGCCTCGTTCCATGGTGAAGGAGTCCAATATGCCACAGCATTTGGAGAGGAGTGATCCAGCCGTCTCTGTTTTGTCACACCTTTTAGATCAGCTCCGCCCTCACCAGCGAAGTGCTCTGCTTGCCAGAGACCTTTCCGGACGCACCCCATTGCACTATGGTGCGCAGTACGGCTTCAAGGTTGTCTGCCAAGTGATTATCGAGCATTTGCAGGCGTGGGATATGTTCGATGTCCGTGAAGGTATCGACAGCCCTCGCTGGCAGGACAATGACGGCTGGGCCCCTCTGCACCTGAGTGTGGTTGGTGGCCACCCTCTGACAACCCGGGTTCTGCTTGAAGCGGAGAACTGGAAGGGCGCCAATGAAGACAAGGTATCCATCCGCAAGCAGGTTTCAAAGTCGAGTGCGGTGCTTGCCTTGGCTACCAAAGCCAATTTTGTTGACATTGTTCAACTTTTGGTTGATGCCGGCGTTGATATCAACTATCAGGATGACCAGGGTGAAACTGCGCTGCATGTTGCGGCGCGTTTCGGACATGATAAATGTGCCAAAATCCTATTGGAAGGTACCGACGACCAAAAGGCCGATACAGAGTTGGCTGAAAACACATATTCCTGGACGCCCCTGTTCATCGCTTGTGTTGATGGATCATTGGGCGTTGTGAATTTGTTGATCGAGGCAAATGCAGACATGGAACGATCAGACTCGTCTGGATGGACAGCTAAGGAACATGCTGCATTGAGAGGTCATCTTGACATTGCTCGGCGCATCGCAGAGGTTTCACCGGAGCCAGAAGTCTCAGAGCCAGAGCCAGCGATCCCTGTGCCTAATACGCTCTCCTCGTCCCCGTCTTCCCCTCCGCAGTCTTCTCTTGCCGAGAGACGGTCCAATGGCACTTCGTCTACGGGGAATTCTGGCACGAAAAGCTCAGAGCCCATTAAAACCTTTGGACATCGGTATCTTACCGACGAGGCCATGATCCTGGTCAGCCTGGGTACTATGGACATTCGGAAAACTACCGAGGCAGTGAACCTGGACCGCATTCCCATGGAGAATGCCCACTCTACTCAGCTCGACACTGCTCTCTCCATGGTTGTTTCCGCCAGTGGAGCACATGGGGAACCGGAGCTTATCGATCTTCCCGTCCAGGATAACATCGCTACCGAGCCCATTGTCTTCCATGCAGCAGACCCCACCAAGGTTAGACTTCTCTTCGACCTGATCCCCACCTATGCCGGCTCGAAGGATCAGATCGTGGGACGAGGTGTTGCTTTGCTTTCGAGTATCAAGCCCACTGTCGGTTCCCACAGAATCAACCTCAAGGGCGATTCGACGGTGCCTATTGTGGCTGCAAACACCTTAGAGGTCATTGGTTCCGTGACGTTCAATTTCCTTATCATCACGCCGTTCAAACACCCTAACATGTCGATCACTGGAAACCAGACATACTGGAGGAGTATGAGTTCTTCAACCATGATCATGGGACACCGTGGTCTGGGTAAAAACATGGCCAGTCGCAATTCCTTGCAGCTGGGTGAGAACACTATCCAGTCATTCATTGCGGCAGCAAATCTGGGAGCATCGTATGTCGAGTTCGATGTCCAGTTGACCAAGGATCATGTCCCGGTTATCTACCATGATTTCCTGGTCAGTGAAACGGGTATCGATGCCCCGGTTCATACCCTTACACTGGAGCAGTTCCTTCAGTTGGGCGACAACCGTTCTCAGCGGTCAAGTTCGCCTACAGGGTCTATAGACCGTAACGGAACAAATGGCACAAACGGCTCCGCTGCCAATCTCCGTCAGCGATCGATGTCTGTCGGTGGCTCTGAATACGACCCTTCGGAGCTCAATGAGAAAATTAAGCACACCCGTGATTTCAAGAAGAAGGGATTTAAGGGTAACAGCCGTGGCCACCACATCCAAGCACCATTCGCCACATTGGAGGAATTGTTTAAGAAACTACCACCCTCTGTTGGGTTTAATATTGAACTAAGTGAGTTATTACATCCCCCAAAGGAGCAGTTACAAGACGATCTGACTGTGATCGATAGAATACCCCATGCTCTACGAGAGCGAGGCGGAGGAGATGGACACATATGCGGTTGAGCTGAATTCCTTCGTGGATACAGTCCTCACCAAGGTCTACGAACAGGACCAGAGCCGCAACATGATCTTCTCTAGCTTCAACCCCGACATCTGTCTTCTGCTTTCCTTCAAGCAGCCCTCCATCCCCGTCCTTTTCCTAACCGACTCTGGGTCTTCCCCCATCGGTGACATCCGCGCCAGCAGCTTGCAGGAAGCAGTTCGGTTCGCCTCTCGATGGAACTTACTTGGTGTTGTCACGCAGGCCGAGTGCCTTGTTCTTTGCCCCCGACTTGTCAGGGTCGTGAAAGAATCTGGTCTTGTTTGCGTGTCTTACGGAGCTATCAACAATGATTCTGAAAAGGTCAAGGTAAGTTCAGATATTTCAATCTGCAGAACCCCTAAGAAGGAACAATTTTCTAACATTTACCAACAGCTCCAAGTTGTCGAGGGAATCGATGCCGTCATCGTTGACTCCGTCCTTGCTATCCGAAAGGGACTCACAGAGCACGAAAAGGGCGAAACGCCTGCTGCCTCGCCTCGCCCTAGCCCCGTCGCCAAACCAGCCATCAATGATACCCTGAAAGAGGACTCTTTCCAGATCCCTGTTCTCGACTCGACTGAACAGAAGAACGGCCACCTCCACGTCAAGCCCCAGGCTTACGTCTAAAGTTTTCCTCTACCCCTAATATGAACTTTTTTCAACACGTCCAACCCAGCCATTTTTCTCTGATGAATTCAACATGCGATTTAGCGGGAGGACTCATACTTATTTTTACTACTTTTTGCTTTAATCATGGGGCGGTCATTATTTTTTTTCATTTTGCCTTTTGCACCTTATATCATGTTTTGGCTCGTGCCTAGTAAATGCTGGCCATATATCTGATGACGTTACTTGCAAAGGTCTACCTATCTACTTGGTTAATGTTTAAACAATATTGACCACATAGTATCAAGATGATACCAGTTTTAACAACTGGTTGTTGCTGTTTGTTTGTTTGTTTGTTTGTTTGTTTTTTTTTTTTTTCTATCTATGTATAGCTGTTATACTGCTCCTTGTACAGTTCTGTTTTATCTGTCATGGATGGAATATATTGAAGGAAACCATCAAGATCCTCAAGATATCTGGCTCGTTTTGAGTTTTGGTATAAATACAGTCAAAGTCTTCGACATGGCTCGTGAGTCTTTTTTTCACGGAGTGCTGATCTCTCCTCTCGTCTCTCCTCTTATTGACAATTTTTCCTCTTTCTTCGTTTTTCTGGCTCTGCTTTGATGAGATCTGATCATGGGAAAACATACACATCACAAAAGAAAAATAACAATTTACTGCAAATAGCAGCACCCACTTCAGTTTTTAGCCGAGATGGGACGTTTCAGCAAGTCTTTGAACTCAGCTAGAAAGCAAGTCACAAATACAACTCAATCGAATTCGTGGGTCCCATATCACATCAGACATCCATCCTTGATACTCGAGTGCAGATCACTCATTCCAACCCTGACACGTCGGGGACCGCCACGACCATTCTGCTGTTTGGATTTGTCATTGGAACTATCAGAACCCGGCGAAGTGGTCCTTGCGCCAGTCATGAGGGGGCTGGCCAGTCCCCCTAGGGGAGATTCGCCGGCGCGGTATTCAAGAGCAAAGACTTCCACCATCCACTCGTACCAAACCTTTCGGTCATCGGTTTGTCGGAACATGGTCACGACTATTTCGCCATTGTCGGGAACATTTAGGGGGGTCTAGGGTGGGGGATCGTCAGTCTGACTATGTCTCACACAGGAGAAAGAAAAAGGGAAAACTCACCTTTAGTGGAAAGTAAATTGGGAACCAGCTGATCATGCTAGCACTCTTACTGTCCATAGTGACAGGATTCGTAGAAAGCTCCACATCGCGGTAAAGGACGGTCTCAAAGTAACCAGCTAAACCATGGCACACTCCACGATTTTGGGTAGGGAACGTCAGACGGGTTTGGCGTTGGTTGTGCAAGTTGGAGACGGTGGAAGAGGATAGTGGCTGAGGTGGAATATGCCTATTAGGATGGGAGAAAGACCAAGCCGTTTGTACGTAAGGAGTTGCAGGTTCGGTTCCTCCTGGAAGAGTTGATATCGATGACCGAACAGGATTGCTGCTGCTGCTGCTATTGCTGAGGTTGGTGTTCATGAGAGCGGATGCAGGGGGTTGGTTCGTAGAAAGAAAGTCAATTGCGTGTAACATGACCACATAGGGCGTTTCAGGAGCCGCGGGGTTGGAAATGCTCTGGTTCATGACATCGGCATGGAGCTTCGGGGCTGAGATTGGGGTGAAGTGGGCAGTGTATGAAGCTGGGATGGAAATTCCATGCACGGGGTTAATGAGATGATTGACGCCGTCCAAACATTCGGGAGAGAGTTCGTTGTCGGCAAAAGACCCCAACAACTCAGATATCAAAATGTCAACATGGGCGTAGGTGTATTCTGAAACTGATGGGCGGGCAGACGACGGTGGGGAATCCTTTGGGTTTTTTACATCGTCACCTGAATAAAGGAGCGAGTCTTCAATCCCGAGAGACTGACCGACAGGTGCTGGCGGCGAGTTGGACGCGATTTTCTTTTCAACCCGAGGCCCCTTCCAGCTTCGCATGTCCGATTGCACAAGGGTTACTTTCCCGTCCCAGGTGCTTTCTTTGTGACGCTGTAGAAGAACAAAAGCGTTAGGGTTCTTCTCTACGGCCCACATGTCGATCTCGACGCCTGTTTGGGCACTGGCTCGAAGAGCCCGTGTTACCAGTGGACCTCTACCAGCACCGACCACGGCGACAACTACCCGACCATCTGGGTTGGAAGTGGGCTTTTTTTGCTCAGCCCAGTCGGTCAAGGCCTTTGCAATGGCCCGCTCATACCAGTCGTACTTGATGGGGTCTTTCTCAAAAACTTCGTAGGTAATGCTTTCCAGATTGACAGTCAAGGGTTGCAGCGGTGCTTGTAAATAGTCTTGGTACCCTACGCCAAATCTCTCAATAGGGGTTCGAGAAGGCTGTCGTTGCTGAAGATTCCTAATATATGATAGATAAGGGGTCTGATCGAAATACTTCTTGGTCGTGCTAGCAGCATGGGCAAGACTTGGAAACTCCGAGCCTGGTAGATTAGATCGGTTGGTTTCGACGGTGTCGCTTGACTCCTCTCCTGGAATAGGCCCAACGTCGCAAAGAAGGATCCACGGTGCCGTTCGAAGACGCATGAACCTGGAGATCAGAGATTGATGTGCTTTTGAAAGAACAGGGTATCCTTTTTGGTTTTTGATAAAGGATGAGACATCAAATGTAAGTAGATGGACCGGCTCAGAATGCCACCGAGACTGGACAGACATGGGTGGAAGATGCTTTGGCATAGAAAGTGCTGAAACAGTGATTTTAGCAACAAGTCACCCCAAAATATTGACGTGGAACGCAAAAGAAAATTCATTCTTACCTACGAAAAGTCGTGCATGGTATTTACAGGTTCTCCTAACGGTATCCCAAGCATCCCAGGTCCCAAATGGATCCACCTTTGTCGTTGGTTCCCCGTCCGAGACCAGGAACTCCTCACGGGCTAGAGGGGCAAGGTCGCCAATCTGGTCAACTTCAAGGTCCGGGCTATCGACAGTTCTCAACCAGATATGGAATTGGATATAAGGGCCGATATTCAGTGCATCCTGGATAGCTCGTGCATAGAAACCCACACCCTCGGAATGCATGCTACCATGGTGGAGTTTGGGCCCAGGAACGAGAATATAACCAATGCCACAAAAAGCTGCATAGGCAACCTCCAGCATGAGAACTTGACGGGATATGTCCGCGATCAACGGATCAGGGGAACACAAATCAATCCACGAACTGGTAACTCCCACCAATTGAGTCATCGCATCGTTCGGCGTCAGATGCGTATCCGAAGGGGTCAATTGGGGGATGACAAGAGGCCTTATATTCTGCGTAGTCGCCATAGTACCATTAGGATCGCATGTCGCTTTCTGCAAGCTCGACAGATGAGAGGAGAGCAGGGTGAGGACCCGGGAATGGAATTGAGAAGTGGTGATAGGGGCGGTAAGCATATCATACTGCGTAATTATAAATTAGCAAAGGAGGTAATTGAGGCATGGAGTGGCAGATATACGCTACTCTCATGGGCCCTCTGCACCGTCTGAGCAGTGATGGGCAAAGGCCGATTGCTTTGGTGCTGGCCAATGCAGAAAGTAATTTCTTCCTCCATGTTAGCGGTTGGAATCCAAATCGTCCTTAGAATATGAGCCAGAAGAGTAGATAGTGTAGGATCAGTTAACAATTAGAATTGTAGCCAGTCAATTGCAGCAAGCTGATATGAGCAGTACAAAGAGGGGGAATTGTTGACACGGGGAAATCCGCCTGGGAGAGATGGGATTAGCAGTTTCGTGGCCCTAAATCACCATATCCCGGTCATTCCTGGGATAAACGGCAAAGAAAGGGAGATGCAAAGGAGTCCACTTGAAAATCCGCCCTCTCGACTCGAGTCCTAGACAGACAGCAGCATGACCATCCCCATCGTGATTTCTCCTTGCGGCGGGTCGTGGGGTGCGGCAGAATACCCAGGCGGTGAGGCTCCTGATAAGGCAGCTGTGGCGATGCACGGTCCACTTGCCTATCTGGGACTTTTTTTTTCGCAATCTTCAGCCACATCCCAAACGCCCATCGAGACTCTTTCACCTTATTCACCTTCCCTCCGTCTATCTCACCCTCGATTCTTGTTCCCCACATCATGGGCCGTTCGGATTCTGAAGGTGGTTCACGCGCTAAACGTCAGAAGATGGCAGAGACGGATCCCAGGGACAATCCTTACCTGGCTCATATGTATGCCGACGAGTCCTCTAACGGCGATTCTAACTCATGGAACAATGGCTCCTCAGGCAACCCGACCTTTGATAAGCTGAAGAGACATCAAACTACGGCTGCTCTGGCTAAGAAGGTCGAGGATGGGGAGATTAACCCTTTCAATGGCCAGCCTTTTTCCAGCAAGTACTTGTCGATCTTGCACTCCCGTCGAGATCTTCCAGTCCATGCTCAAAGGTAAGTTTTTTCTTTCCCCTTTCAAGCCCTCTCCCTGGGAATCCCACTTGAAGTCTTGATATTGATGCTTGTTTGAACCTATACAGAGATGAGTTCCTCCAGCTTTACCAGCAATCTCAAATCCTGGTCTTCGTCGGTGAGACTGGTTCCGGAAAGACAACACAGATCCCCCAGTTCGTCCTGTTCGATGACCTCCCCCAAAGCCAACGCAAGATGGTCGCCTGTACTCAGCCTCGTCGTGTTGCCGCTATGTCGGTTGCCCAGCGTGTGGCCGCAGAAATGGACGTAAAACTCGGAGATGAAGTGGGTTACAGTATTCGTTTCGAAGACATGACAAGTCCCAGGACGGTCCTCAAGTACATGACCGACGGTATGCTTCTCAGAGAAGCTATGAACGACCCCAACCTCAATCGTTACAGCACAATTATTCTTGACGAAGCTCACGAACGGACGATGGCTACTGATGTGTTGATGGGTCTTCTTAAAGAGGTTGTTGAGCGTCGACCTGACCTCAAGATCATCATTATGTCTGCCACTTTGGATGCCCAGAAATTCCAGCGCTACTTCAACGATGCTCCTCTTCTTGCCGTTCCCGGACGAACCCACCCCGTCGAGGTTTTCTACACCCCGGAGCCGGAACAAGATTATGTCGAGGCGGCCATCCGCACCGTGCTGCAAATCCACGCCACCGAGGGTGAAGGAGATGTTCTCTTGTTCTTGACAGGTGAAGAAGAGATTGAAGATGCCTCGCGCAAGATTGCTCTCGAAGCAGATGAAATGGCCAGAGAAGCTGATGCGGGCCCCCTCAAGGTCTACCCACTTTACGGAAGTCTTCCCCCGCACATGCAGCAACGCATTTTCGATCCCGCACCCGCGGCGCGCCGACCGGGTGGCCGTCCAGGACGGAAGGTCATCGTGTCTACCAACATTGCTGAAACTTCGCTTACTATCGACGGGATCGTATATGTGGTGGACCCTGGCTTCTCCAAACAGAAGATCTACAACCCCCGTATCCGTGTCGAGTCTCTCTTGGTATCACCCATCTCCAAGGCTTCTGCGCAGCAGAGAGCCGGTCGTGCTGGTCGTACACGCCCTGGAAAATGCTTCCGTCTTTACACAGAGGCTGCCTTCAAGAAGGAATTGATTGACCAGACCTACCCTGAAATTCTTCGTTCCAACTTGTCGTCCACTGTCTTGGAGTTGAAGAAGCTTGGAATCGACGATTTGGTTCATTTCGATCTGATGGACCCGCCAGCTCCGGAGACGCTCATGAGAGCCTTGGAAGAACTCAACTACCTGGCCTGTCTTGACGATGATGGCAACCTGACTCAGTTGGGACGTCTCGCTTCAGAATTCCCACTCGATCCTGCACTTGCCGTCATGTTGATCAGTTCCCCAGAGTTCTACTGCTCAAACGAGATCCTATCGATCACCGCTCTGCTTTCAGTCCCACAGGTCTTTGTGCGACCCGCCTCTCAGAGAAAGCGCGCCGACGAGATGAAGGACCTTTTCTCCCACCCTGACGGCGACCACCTGACCCTCTTGAACGTCTACCATGCATTCAAGGGCCCCGACGCACAGGATAATCTCAAACAATGGTGCCATGACCACTTCCTTTCTCTAAGATCGCTCCAGTCGGCAGACAATGTTCGCTCGCAACTTCTGCGGATCATGGAGCGCGAAGAGTTGGAAATGGTCTCCACGCCGTTCGAGGATAAGAAGTACTACGAAAACATTCGACGTGCGCTGTGCGCTGGGTTCTTCATGCAAGTTGCCAAGAAGGAAACTCAAGGCAAGAGCCAGTACACGACCATCAAAGACAACCAAAATGTTCTCTTGCATCCTTCTACTGTTTTGGGCCACGAGGCTGAATGGGTTCTCTACAATGAATTTGTGCTCACAACTAAAAACTATATCCGAACTATTACTGCTGTCAAACCAGAATGGCTTGTGGTATGTCTCAATACATTTACCTGCATTAACAAAGAACTGGGCTAATTCAATCACTAGGATATTGCTCCTACTTATTATGATATTTCCAGCTTTCCAAAGGGCGAGATTCGCTCTTCCCTGTTACGGGCCGCCGAAAGACTGTCGCGTAAAGAGAAGATGCGCGCCGATCCTGGAAGGAGACGCTAGGAGATTTTTCAACTTGACGAATGATAGACTATTTATTCTTTTTGCTTCCTTTATACCTTTTCCAGATGTCTATATTATTTGAAGACATGGATAGAATAGTCCTCTCCCTCAATGGTATCATTGGACTATATGCCTCTTGCTGTTAATGCCATGACCAAATGTACTTCTTGATATTTGAACTGAACAAGACACTTTGGATCCTGCAAAGGCCCTTTATACAAGATCAACATCAAGTACCCCAGATAAAAGTAAACCAGAACTCCAAATTGCAATGCAGTGTCTTTCTAAGGTAAAACGTAAAACTCCAATGGCTAACAACAAACATTGTTTCCATATAACTGAGGAGAGAGTAGTGTCATGGAGATTTCCCATTTAAACATCCGAATATATTCTAATACATCCCCGGCTCCAGATATCCAGGTTATGACATAATATACAAAGTATCGAGGTATCAAAGATAAAGAAGAAGAATAATAAAACAATCGAGGTGTGCTTCTCCAATCAACGCTTGAGTGTTTACCAGTCAGATCATCTCGGAAAATAGGTGCTCTTCGAAAGATCCGCACCCGGAGTTTCTAGGACTTTGTCCATTGGAGCTTCCAATGGGTTTCTGAATCCTGGGCTTTCTTACTATTTGACCTTGCACTTCGCTGGCCTTTTTTTGACACAGGGATAGAGCTGCTTGTTCCTGTTTCCCCTGGATGGCTGGGCGAAGCCTGATGGTGAAAGGATTTGGTTTGACCTGGAAGAGGGCCAAGGAAAGGCCTCCTTCCATCCATTGGCGATTGAAAAGAGCCGAACGCAGCCTCCTCGCGTGCTTCCCTGTTAGCTTGTTCTTGTTTTATTTGGGCTTTTCGTAGCTCAAAAACCATTTCTCTCAACTGTGAAACTTCATCTTTCAAAGCCAAAACTTCTTCATTTTGTGCGTTTGATGCCGTAGGTGCCTTGGTTTGCGTCTCTGTCCTTTCATTTTCCGTGGGCTCGGCCAGCTCGGCCAGCTCGATGTAATCATTAGATGAGGATTTTGAAAATTCTGGCTCGACGTAAATCTTAGATGAAACTTCCGGGGTCTGTTCAGAGGCCACATCATGGCTCATGTGCTGCTGGGCGAGAGTGGCTGCCAAAAGATGCTGCGAATGCCATCTGAGCATGTTTTTGTGTCGCTGAGAAGTGCTCAAGTCCTCGTACATCAACTGATCTCCAATAATACTTGCGAAGGAATGGCATTTCTCGCCCTGAGGCTTCTCCTCTATCTCAGGTACTGATGGACCTGCAGCCTCCCGCCACCGCTGAAAATGAGGATCTACCGGCCAAGTGATATCTCGTTGTTTTTTTGGAAGGTCACGTGGAAACCCGGACGCAACGGCGGCATCAATCAGACACTTGGCTAGGTCACTTCGGTAACATGAATCGCATAAAAGCACCATCAATGTAATCATTCGTTCGACGAGATGTTCTTCGAGATCAGTTGATGAGACAAGGTAAGCCAGGGCTCTTCTCAGCGTAAACAGTCCCTTCTCCCAATCCTTTTGAATGCCATAGAATCTCAAATATGCAAAAAGAGTGCTGAAGTCATCCATGAATCCGGCTTTCCGCGCGGCTGAGTGCCAAGCGTCGGCTCTTCCGGGTTGGTTGAAGCGTAATGCAGCTGTTATCAAATTTGCATAGATGACAGGATTGGCGCTATCGAGGGGAGGTGTGACTATCTCAATGCCGTTAACCACCTTACGCTCATAAAATTCCAAGTTGCCCAAGTCTATCGGATACCCCGCCGTCCCCGTCAACATCTGCAAAAACAAATCGAAATCCTTGAGATTCTTGGTTTTCCGATAGAAAGACAATACTGTCACGATAGTCGAGGAAGTTAAGAGGAATTTGTGAGGCAAAAGCGTCCTAAGAACCAGCTCCCCCAAATCATTTTGACGAGATTTCGCGAAAGCCATGAGCATGATTCTTACTGCGCGTGGTCGATCTGGATCAGTCCCTTGCATCAAATTGCTCGCGAGTCTCAGCAGATATTCCTGTAGAGACATTTCTTCTTGAAGAAATAACTCGGTATCGCGCTCAAGTTCATCATCGAGTTTATGTTGTTCTTTCCAAAGATGAGGAACAAAATGTGTACGGAGACCCTGCACCAAATCTTCAAAAGGCTGATCTTTTGATCTCTTGATGTCGCGGATCCTGCGTCGAATCCTTTCTAATTCCGCCAGGGTCTCCGTTACGTTCATTTGAGGAACTTTGTAGTCGGGTTTGTAATTCACATGATGACCCAGATAGCCGTGGGCAAGAGCCGGGCGAAGCAGAAGCCGGAGAGAGAGCTGCCTTAGCGCAAGCTTTCGTACAGCCTTCAGGCGAAGAAAATCGTGCGGGTAAGCCCAGTCATCTGTATTCTTAAGCTCCATAGCAAGAGGACTTTCGCCATGCTCGTCATCGTCAAATGGAGAACCCATTTCATTACAGATCTTCTCGAGAACCTCGGGATTGTTCTCCGCCTCGTGATGTTTTTCGACCGCTGCGTTTAATGAAGGACTTAATCCGTTCCTGTTCTCTTTGTCAAATCGACGACTTCTGTACAACGCGGGAGTGGTGCTGTATTGTCGTGTCTGTGAAAACCCATTGGAAAGCCGCTGTCTCCTGCGTGACGCAATAGCCGTAAGAAGGCGTTTTTCTTCATCCGCTAACACATTGACTTCCTCCCTCACTGCCGCGATCTTCTCCTCCCATTCATTCCGGCGTCGGTTTTTGGCCTTAGCATCGGCCAACGCCGCGGCCGCAAAAATACTCGTGTAGAGCGCCGTGACCGAGTTTCCAATGCGAAGCCGCCTCTTGCTTGCTGCTGTCGTAGCCCTTGAACTAACTGCACCGGCACCGGGATTCACGCATGAGACGCAATGGCAGTTCGCCTGCGGGCGGGCGGCACGGGACCATAGCCTCTGCATTATCCAGACATTTCAATGCGTTGCCGAACCATTAATATATATTGGAAAAGCGAATGGCACGGGACCAATTGAGCACCTCCTTGGGCTCAATGTCCAGTGAAGAGACACAGCGTCGGGAAAAGGGTGGGCAGGGACCGGGTTGGGTTGTCGATAGTCGGCAAAGAGGTGTAGACGGGGACGATTTTCTTCGCCGATGGTCGAGCTGTTCGGTGCAAACACTGCAAACAGAGGGAAACAAGCTTACGGCGCCGAAAGGACAGCAACCAGACGACGCTGGGGGCGAAGGCTATCATATTTAAGAGAGAAGTTATTGATCATAATTGTGGTTACCATTCAATTGTTACAGTAAGAAAAAAAGCTATTAGCTATCTAAACCAGAATGCTCGTCCGTTCAGTCGGTCTCGCGACTGCGTTGCTGGTTCTCAGCAGCGGCTTTGCAAATGCCCATGGCTCTCATTCCAATGAGCAGAACCCTTCTGACGACTGGTCAATCCGACATATGCAAGGTAAGATCATTGCTTGGACCCTACAGTTTCTATGGGATGCGACCTATAGAACAACCCCTATTGACAACTTGGCTCGACAGAGGAACACCACATTGATTCTTTCGACGCCGGCTCCTTCTTTGCCCTTCACGATTATGATTCCTCTGGAACATGGACAACCAGCGAGGTTCGGAAGACATATGGTATGAGTGATGAGTCGAATGCCGGAGTGAGCGAGGATCGCAAGGCAAATGCCATTCGCGAGGTATTTGCGATCTTCGATCCTGCAAACACCGGGGTCATTACTCGCGCTGAATGGATGCGTCTAAGCTCGGAGGGTAAACGGTTGCCTGACCTTGGATTCGGTCCCGGTCATCATGGTGACATTGAGTATGAATACGAAATTCATCACTTCGAGAAATACCACGGCGACGATGCCAAGGAGGAGGACCTGACACACCCTGAAGATATCGAGCACTTCCGGAAACATGACCAAGAGGAGGATGCTGCAGATAGGCTCGAGCAGCTAGAGAAGATGCCGATCGTTGAGGGCAATATACCCCAGAAGTTCCTCCGACAGCCTTAATGGGGGTCCACGGTCCGTCTTCTGTCGATGTATATATGTTTTGTTTCATAAATGAGTCTGAGCGTCGGTTACACCACACGGGAGGCTGCTTAATCGATACCCTTTCTGTTGAATTTTCAATCTCCATGGACTGCAGTATGAATGATTCTCGTGTCACTCAACACCGCCGTGATTATAGTATGGGGTATATGTTTTCGAGAGACAGTTTCGAGGGTGCCAAATTCATATGGAATTATCTTAGGGGCAGCTGTCATAAGACGGTATCTTGATGTCGAAAACGCAATGCATAACTCCTGGTGCATAGGTCTTAACATGCTCAACATGTCGGCATTCAGCAGCCAACGCCAATTTCGCCGGTTTTAATCGGTCCTGATCTTGAGTCCGCAGTCTCGTCATTTCGAAAACGATATCTTCCTTCATCTGGTCGATGTCTTGAATGGCAACATTTTCGTGGACATGGGCCCAGCCTCCTCGCTGGAAATCAAGCATCTTGCAAGCACTGTCCCAAGCAGGACGTGATGATGGGAGAAGTCCCAAATTGACATGTCTGATACTGCTCCATGCTCCTTGGGCTTCCATGATGCCCTTAGTTTCATTTATAATGTCCGCCGCAAACCGGTTGTCCCCATGAAAGATGACAACACGATCCGTATCTTTGAGATTGCGAACCAGCTCCGGAAGGGATTCATCCAACTTGCCATCGTTTTGCACCTTGACCACTTTGCATCCCCATCCGTTCTCCATGCACCCCCTTCGTAATCCTTCAACCGACCAGCCATTGAGCTCAAATCCCCATACTCTCTTGACTCCTCTTCGCAGATATGAGAAGACAAAATAACCAATACCCGCGTACATATCCACAACACTGATTTCCTCAACAGAGTCGCCCCCAAGTGAAAGCTCGTCAAGTCCTTCAAACAGTCCCCCATGGCCTAATATCCGAGCCTTTTCGGTGATATTTCCGCGAGAGAACATCGTGTAAAGCGGTGCCCAGACTTGAATAATCCCATTGTTCTGCAAAGTGCGAACCCAGAGAGCATTCTCAAAGTCACTCTCCATCGGCTGCACCTCTTCCCCATCTCCCGAACGCAAATGTCCAAAATACCCATGCAGAGGTATCAACCCCACAGGACTCCGCATCCTATTCTCGTGGCCTTGGGTGTCTGTGAGCGTGATAGGGGCGTTGATAGCCATATGTGTCACGCTCGTTCCACTAAAAGCCTTAAGCATCGAGGCATAAAGATCCTGTCGTTGATCCTCATTCAATACTGCGTAGAGAGCACCCCAGGGTGCGGGGGCGCTGAAAGCATTCGCAGAGAGCAGTAGCAAGGGTTGGTAAACAGTGTATCGTTTAGGGAGAGAAGATGAGATAATTTCTAACGATAAACCATTATCCGAGAATATTGATGACGGTAGGCGTTCCAGGAAATCCTGTATTCCTTTCTGCAGTTGGTTTGAGCTCTTCCTCGCTGGGCGTTTCTCCTCGTGTCGGCCCTTGGCCTTGGGGCCATTTTTGGCATGATTGGAGCTGCTTTCCGGATTACTTGAATCCATACTATGGCGATTCTTAGTAAATCAATCTTTTAATGGGGAAAAAAAAAAATTGGCTATCAATGGAATCAAATATCGTGTGTTGGTACATCAATATAGTATTGGAGAAAGCAATAAATGAATTCCTCGTGTATGCGGAATGGTCTGTTGTAATGGATGGCCGTCTCCTTTCATTACTGATTATAGGAAAATTCTTTCACCGTTCGTCAGTCGTGCTGAATGGCCACTGTGGTCTGTAAAAGTGGTGGAGATCGAGGGTCTATGATATTTTTTATTGCATATCCGCCACGTGACTTATATACATCTTCTGCATACGGAGTAACCGTCAGATATCATCAGAGCAATGCTTTTTATAATTTGCATTATGAAGAGAACAATACAGTGGGAATACAAAATGACGACTCATTTATAAGCACGTAAAATAGAAATTGCAGGCTGCTACGAATTACAAACAGGTGTATAGCTATAATAATAGATGTGACAACAAGGCTATATACATAAAGCTTGTACGGAGTATCTTCTCATGGTAGAGCGTTTAGATAAAATATATCCTGCAAAGCGCAGATGGAGAAAATGCATATCAAATGGAGCAGCAAAGGAGAAAGACATTGGAACGGCCTGCACCAAACGAATAGAAAGACGCTTCAAATAAAGAACCCAACGCTGGCAATTTCTGGGCAAAAAAATAATACTAATATATGTGACGAATTAAAGAAACTCAGTAATCTGTTACTGAGTATCCCAATCTATCATTGGAATCAAGTACCCTAGTATTGTTAGTCTCATTTCAAAATAAAGCGGCATGCAACTTACGAGTATTGTTTGGTCAGAGTTCCCTCTCCACCTTTGGAAAGATCGATATTGAACACGTAAAAGTTACCATCGCTGGTTACAACCATTACTTGGGGAGTGTTGCTGCTCATTGCAACCACGCTCCTAAGGGGCCCGGTGTTCGCATGTCCACCAGGCCCTTGATTCGGTTTTGGTAGTTTGATCCAAGCAAAATCCCGTGCTGGTTCCCACATCTCACTGACCCCCTTGGGAAGATAGCCACCAACCGTGGCAGCAACGGTGCTTCCGACATTCTGTGAAGTTCGCCGAAGCATTCCCATCAGTGTCCCATTATGCTTCCTCGAAGCAAAGTCGGGAGACCCCGCTATCTCCCCGCTCGTTTCGTCGCCGTCTGGAGAATATGTGGAAGAGCTTGCACTGAAAGCCCTCTCGCGGCCCACAGGGGAAGAAGACGAAGGTGAACCATCCGAGGTTTGACCTTGAATCAGTTTGAATAAATGAATCGTCTCCGTGGAAGAAGAAACGCAAAGGAGAGTTGAGGTGGTATTGAAGGACATGCTATAGATTCTGGAGGGCATGGAGCCTCGTCGGAATTGATATAGTTTGTGGCCATCGGGAACCGAAAACACCCGGATGATAGTTCCCTTGTCAGAAGCAGTCGCCAGAAGTGTTCCCTCACTATTGAGCGTGATGCATGCTAACGGAGATCGGTGGGCCTCGACGACGTTGATTGCTTCCAGTTTCAAAGTGTCGAATATCAAGACATCGCCGCTTGTCGGTGAGACGTGAGTCGTTCCGGGAGGAGCATGGGATGGAGGATTAAACGATGCAGGGGGCGCTTTCTGCGGAAGAGGGTATGCGAGATAGCAGTTCTCAGAAGACGGCGATAGGGAGCATATTGCTGTTGTAGTATTAGAAGTCGTGTCCGTCATCGATCATAGGAGAGCAGTCCGGTCTTACCGTGGGGGTTCGGTGATGTTTCGATTGTATACAAGAGCTTCATGGTCTGGATATCGTAGAGGTAAATCTGGTCTTCTAGAACAATCACCAGTCGCTTTCGGTTCAACTTGACTGCTAGTACCGTCGTCGGAAATGTCAATTCGCATATTGTAGATTGGCGCTATGGTTATAGAGAAAACGAGTGTTAACCAAATGTGTCCAAGCAGCAAACAAACAGACATTCAGATAAATGTTTTATAGAATTCTAAGATTTCTGGTCGGGATTTCCTACGAACCTTGGTATTAGTGATCTGAAGGCGACGGGGCGATAGAATCAGGGCAACCAGGGATGTCGAGAACAGCATCTCAATGAGAGCGATATTGCCTTCTTTGGTCTCATAGCTTTTGGCGAACGGATCCGTTGTGAATATTCGAAACCCTTTGGACGTCGCTGATCGATGTCAACCAGTGTGTTTCAAGGATATAATCGAACTAGAGGGAGTTCTTCTTACCAACAGCCAGATAGCTGTAGTCCTGGTTGAACGTCACGAAGTTCATCGCCATCTTGTCGACCTCCGATCAAATATGAATGCGCCACAGGCAAAAGAAAATAATCCCACCCTCGATCTCAGGACCCTAGTTCGTCGGATCCTCAACAAAATAAATACTCCGCGGTAGCAAATCGGAAATAATGATGGGAATGGGATGAAGGCGGAGGGGTTTCAAGACGATCCCATCGCAGGAGTGGGAACTTGCGTCACAGACAATCGATCCTCGCGTCGCATTTCCCGTGGCTCATCGGCCGATGCACTGCATGCCCAGCAAGAACAATCAGCCAGTAGATAGTCGACAAGTGGATAGACGATAGCAAAGGTATGTATGTATGTAAGTATCACGAAGGATCCGGGGGATCGCTGAACAGCAGTTCGTTCGTTGACGTTTGTTTCGTCGCCGCCTTGGGGGTCTCCCTTTGGGGTCAGACGCGGCAAGCGAGCGATTCGCGACGCTTGGGCCACATCTTGATTAATCAATGCCGGCGACACACAAAATTACACCCCTCCAGCCACTGATCGACGACGCATTTTCACGATTTACAGCCATGGGGTCAGCAAAAAAGCCAGCAGCCACGGCTGGCCCGAGTGCAAAGGCGCTCAGGGAGGCGGATTTGGTTATGGGGGTTGGTTTTTCTTTTTGTTCTACAGTTCGATTGACAGCGGCGCATACTAACTACAAGGTCGGAAAATAGACGAACAATAGCAGCATCGTATCGAAACGAAGCGTCGAGATGCTCTATTACCCTAAGCCCCATTTCTTCCAATACTTTGTCAAAAAACCACTGAGACGATCGCCTGTGATCAACCGCGGATACTGGCTGCGCATGTATGCGATGAAAGAGTCGGTGCGACGCTTTATGAAAGAGCCATCGGATAAACCCAAATTCGTCCTGAGCCTGGGATGTGGATTGTGAGTCGTAGAAATCTGGTTGCAGAACAAGATATTAGGCGGGATAGTATGCTAAGTTGGGCTGTCGTAGTGATCCGCTTCCGTTTATGCTTCTCAGCGCCGAAGGTCCATTGTGTAGAGATACAACGTTTGTGGACATCGACTATGAGAAGCTGATGCTCAATAAGAAAACCGCAATCCATGGAACCCCGGAGATCACAGAACTTCTCGAGAATGTAGAGTTTCTGCCCGACGAGAGTGCAGTGCAGGTGCGCAGTGATCGGTACAAGGCCATAGGCTGTGATTTGAGAAACCTGAAGAAGCTGGAGGATACTTTGAATGCTGAAGTTTTCCCTTCTTCTGAATGCTCGATCCTGTGTCTGGCAGAGGTCTCTTTGACATATATGGACGTCAAGTCGGCCGGTGCTGTCGTCAACTGGGCTTCCAAGCTGAGTAGCGGTTAGACACTCCATCGATGCAGGAACGACAACCAGCTAACTACTGAAGATGTGCAATTCTGCATTTTGGAACAGTTTTTCCCTGACGGCCCAAACCATCCGTTTGCATCGACCATGATGAAGCATTTCAGCAAATGCGGTGCACCCTTGCATTCAATTCACGAGTTCCCCTCGCTGCAAGAACAGGAACAGCGGTTCAAGAATGCAGACTGGGCTCAAGTACGGGCAAGAAGTCTCTGGGACCTGTGGTCAGATGACGACTTCCTTAGTCCTTCGACAAGAATATCCCTCGATGACATCGAACCAGTTGACGAGTCCGAGGAATTCTCGCTCTATGCCTCCCATTACTTCCTTTTACATGCATCGACACGGCAACCCGATTCAAACGGGGAATCAACACCAGACCAAGAGGTTGACTCAAAGTATAACGCATCTAATGATTTCAAGTTACTGCCTCACTGTCCCCCGGGAGTTGGCCAGCGAAGATTTGGCGTTCTGATCCCGGACAGCGAGAAATCCATAGGCTACCACGGAGGATTAGGCCGTCAGACTCGGCTTGCAACTACAGACCTTTATGCCACATCCAAGGAGACCACAAGCCCACTTCAGACCTTCCCATCACGGGATATCTCTGCACGGATGTGCCATACAGCAACGACTCTCGGTAACGGCAACTGTTTGCTTGTCGGTGGCAGAACCTCTCCAGCGGCGGTCCTCCAGGATTGCTGGCTCAGACAAGATAACAAATGGAGCGCCGTTGACAGCCTTGCGACACCTCGGTTCAGACACAGTGCAACTAAAGTGACTCTGAAATCTGGCACTGAAGGCGTCCTGATTTATGGAGGAAAAACCAAGGAAGGCCAGCCCTTGGACACTTGGCTGCTCTGGAGCAACAACGGAAACGGATGGCAAACAGTCGAGACAAACGCCCCGAAACCAAGTGCCCGTTTTGGGGCTTGTCTTGGAAACCTCAGCAGCACATCTGGAGTTGTCTTTGGAGGAATCGGAGCCGACAGGACTGTCCTGGAAGATTTCTGGACGTGGAATCTGTCGCAGAAGAGTGACGGGACCTTCTTTTTGGATCTGAAAGACATCACACAGGAATTCCGAGCTACTTCGCCATTGTTCAAATACATCAATCGGTTCGCTGCCACAGTCAACCAAACCTCCTGGGGACTGGTCATTATTGGTGGTATCATGCCAAGGCAGATTATTCCCCACGATAAGGTGATCATGCTACTCGATTCCACAGAGCTCCTAAACATCCTGAATGGCGTCAAGCCATGGAACGACTGCCTCATTTCCAGCATAGGCCTCGGTGCTGAATTCCACGGCCCAAGACCCCTGTTGACAGGCCATGCCTCGTGCGCGACTGATCCGAACCAGGTCTTGATCCTGGGCGGCGGGGCTGTTTGCTTTGCCTTCGGAACGTTCTGGACTGAGGGAACCTGGTTGCTGAAGAAGCGCTCCGATTCGACTCTGGAAAATACATGGGAACTGATGCCCGAAAGCGTGCAGCCTATTAAGGACTTGAAAGAACACTAAATATTACATATGCGGAGTGAAACCCATGGAAAGTAGGGGACAGGGGCAATGAATGATCGTTTCATATCCAAATTAACGCTAATTAACCTTGGTCAGGTCAAATAAAAATGTATGGCCTACCACCGTAGCATTTGTTTCGTACCGTCTAAATCATCACCGATTCAGAATTTCGGGACGGTGAATGATAAAAGATATCGCATCGACCCCTGGGGTCCAAATTCAGTCTTCTGCCCGATTTCAACAAGTGTTGGCGAATGGAAAACCGGTGGTCATTAAGGGATCTGATATTGGGCCTTGTACTGAGCGCTGGAACAAAGGAATACCTGGCCAGCACCGTTGGCAGCGATCGCAAGGTAAGGCTGAACGGGGTTGACTCATAGCTGAGTGTCAGCTAACATCCGAAAAGTCGTTGTGCATGAGACTGGGCCAGAGAACATGAATTTCCAGCCCGAAAACTTCTCCTACACCCACCAAACCCTTTGGTACTATCTTGGATGAAGTACACGCTGGTGGCCGCCAATACCTCCAAACCATCTCTGCTGATCAGCCATCAAAACTGCCTGCTGATCTGGCCGCGGAATTCCCGGGATTGAAGGATGATTTTCGGCTACCAGAGCAGCTGTCAATAACAGCCGAGAACGTTCAGGGCTCACCCCTGAGGATATCAGGGTCAGTTGGCATGTGGCTTCATTATGATGTAAGTTGAAGCCCATAGCTGCAATACCAGGAAAGCGCCCTACTTAGCATGACTGAATCTAGGTTATGGGAAACGTCCTGTGTCAAATCCGTGGCGAGAGAGGACTCGTCATCTTTCCCCCTGGAGATGTGCAATATTTACATGTCCCCGTCGGGGCCTCGAGTTCCCCCACCGACATCTTTCAGGATGACGAAGCCGGGTCCATTCTTTCCATCCCAATCACGTCTCCTCAGGAAGTCACTTTGAAACCCGGCGACATTCTACTCATCCCTCCTCCCCTATGGCTACACACGGCATCTCCGAATAAACAAGTCAGTGTTGCGGTGAACGTTTTCTTTCGCAATCTTGACAAGGGCTACGCAGCCGGTCGGGATGTTTACGGGAACCGCGATTTGCAGGCGTACGAGAAGTGCAGAAATGATGTGCAGAAGATTGCATAGTCCTTCGAGGGGCTTCCACCTGATATGTCTCGGTTCTATCTGCTGAGACTGGCACAAGAACTGAAGGAAAAGGCCAAAATATGATATACAGCAGTTCAAATGCAAAGCGACATGGGTCACACGGTGCTATCAATTGTTACTCGAGTGGAATGCTGGAACCCGTCAACTTGCATGGCTGAAGGTGGAATAATCTCGCCTTTGTTGACTTTGGCCACCATGGCAGTACTCATAGCCATATTATCCATTCAAAGTCTCGAGATAACAGCAAAAAGAAACCGAGTTTTTCGGACTAATTGCATGTGGGGGGCTTCGAATGGCTGGTGGGATGTCATACAAATATAGAGGTTTGGGTTCAACTCAAGTCACACAGCATTGGCATATACCTGATCCTCAATCGTTTGTGATTGAGGGATAAGCGCTTGTATAGCACAAGCAACTTCCGGCCCAAAGACACAGTCTGAAGGCCGAGCAATTGATCCGATAAAAGTTCAGCACGATTTAGGATGATCAGTCCACAAGCCTGAAATGATTATCTTGGCGTGCTTAGTTTAGATGAACATAATTCAAGAGTTGTCACTATTCAGTTGTTCAGGAACACCCATCCAGGGTCGACAGTTCTCTTTCCATGAGAATTGACCAAGATTGAACCCGTGGATTAGACATCCCACGCTGAGTCGGTAATTAGAGATCCACGACTGGGATGTTGCGTAAATTAGGACAAAACAATGTGGATATGTTTGTGGATACATGTTCCTGGTGGAGCAGAGTCGGATCATGCCGAAAGTCTTATCAAGAATCCAAACTGTCGATCTAGTCCGATGATGATGATGATCAGAGTAGGACAACAATATCCCGATCAAATGTAGCCATCTTGACTACATTTCGCAGTTGAAGATAGTCGGAATGTACAGAAGACGACTACTCGTCTTCACGCGGGGTATCATTATGAATCGGAATTGCCCTCATCAGCAAATACACCCCGCCTAACTGGTTTGTTCTGAAAGAAGAAAATGTAATAACTCAGCCTCTTTGAAGAATCGTGGCCCAATGGCTTTGGTCTCGTAGACGTCAGTCAGCTTCTCAAAACGCTTCTTTGCTGCTGGAGTGGTGTCATAAATCTTATGATCTGCATCGAATGCGGGTTCCGTCGACAGGAGCATATGTGAAGATGATAAATATGGGGCTGACTATTGTTAGTATGATGGTCTCATGATGACCGTGGCCAAGCGAAGGATTCTGTTCGGTGGATAGGCGTTTTGGGTGAAGTGGTCAATCAAAGAAAGACAAGTTGAAGGTTGAAGGACGAAAGAAGCCGAAGCGTCATGTGACATGGGTTTATCTAACTATACGTAGAAATAATGTATTTCGTCATTATTTACCTTAGGAGTCTTGGATACACATCTACGCATGAATAGCTAGATAGCTAAAGATCCATGATAGGAGGAATACGTAAAATAAAATCATGTGGATATATACTCTGGTGGAGCGAAGTCTTATCAAAAGTTGGGATTGTTGATCTAGGCTCGTGATGATGTAGTCATCATTGGAGCCCGATAATAATGCCGTTGTCTAGTTCAATATAGCTAACCTTAGATAAAACAGCTTATCTACTATAAATAATGAGAGATACTAAGAAGTTAATTGCTCTGGAATAGCTTTCCACCGAGAGACGCTTCAACTTTAATTTCCTCTTGACATTGAAGATAGAAATTGTATGAAACCCTTGATCACCGGATGTCCTACTTGATGTTTCCGTGTCCAGCTTTTCGATGATATGGGTTAGACTCGATGGCTTGAAGTTGATGGACATGAGATACAAGCTATATCTAACGGCCTGATCCAAAGCTTCTAGTATCGGACATGGGGATGAAGAAACCCTGTTTTTGGAAAACAACAATACCGTAACCACGATCTGGAGACAAGGATGTCGGTAGATGCCAGTAAAACCACATGATGCTGGAGCACTGGCCCTTGTCTATGACGGTCTGGATGTGGTGGATTGACTTTGGTCGTAGAAGCTAAAGACATTGCGATTTTATACGAGGCGATAGGCTTGGAAAATACTATTCGTGGGCAAGAGGCAATATTTGGAGAAAGCTAGGTCATTATGATGGATGGCCCATGGTTCTTCCAACCTAAATCGTCAGCTACTGGTTAGGTAATGCACATGTAGGGTGCTTTCTCCCGAAACCTGGTCTTGTGTGCATTGATACCACGGCAAAAGCGCTGGTTCCATAGATGTATATTCTCTGGATGCTATCTCACACGTGTAGTGGCTTTATTTCTCGCGGGGAGTTGAGATTGATAATTGCTTCTTAGGACATGTGCCAATTCATCGCGACGGGGAGTCATCGAGGAATATCCTTAAGTATTCAGAGGCTACATTCCTGCATCTGCATGCGAGGGTGAAAAGTTGGCATGTTTCAGCCAGAACTGGGGGGGCTCGGATAGCCTCAGGTCGGGCGCAATGCCAGCCGGACCGAACGGTAGGCCCAAAGTGGCACTGTCAGAGAGGAGGAAAGGGTGGCTGCTAGAAATCTGGTGTGCATAGGTGCATATGTATGAGTATGAACAACGTGCATGGAATAGATTAGTCTGCCCTGTGTCTGTGGTTCAGGTTAGGTTCCAAGTCATCACCACCCCAAGTGGGTATATTTCGGGGGGACGGGAGGAGGGGGAGAAGGGATCTAACCAGCCGAACGTACCTGGTCAACAGAGAGAAAATAATGTCATCGTCATAGGAACCAAACTTTGCAAACTATCCCGATCGCAGTTAGATTCCGAAGTGAGGGGAGAGAGAAAAGAAGAGGAGAAGAGAAAGAAAAGGAGGGGAGTGAGTTGGATGCCCCATGGCTCAGTGGACAAAGAACGAAGGATCCTTGCCACCGACCGTTGGGTATCAGGCAAATGATGGAGGGGAGGGAAGACGCTGCATTGGTGTGCTGCACTGGATTACGGGGATTCTCGTCGTCTTGACTGCGATACCAATCCTAGGACCGGTTTTTTCCTTTTTCTCTTTTCTGCTGTGTCGATTCCGGATGGCGAGCAGATTGGGTTGGCCGAGATGGAGAGAAAGTGTTGGCGTCAAGGACAGGTGGGACATCAAGGCAGGAGAATGTCGAGCATCGTCATCCATATTCCGCAAACAGCACACAGTAATATAATGGATATAACAATGAATTATCTTTGATTGAGTTATTGATTATTATTGGATTTGATTTCAATAACTCGTATCATCATTACCATAGTTACATACGCCTGCACATCCCCCGGAGCACGAGCCAAGCGCCGCCAGACTGTAAGGCTTACCCCTCCCCACCCTCTCCCCGGAACTGCTTGGAGATACAACAACAACACTTCTTCGCTCGGACGACTACTTCTACTCAGTATCGCCTATTTTTCCTCTTCTTTCTCTCTTCTTAATCCTCCCTCTTTCTTCTTTCTTGCATCTTTCTATCACCCTTCGTCATCGTCGTCCTGGGGTTCCTTATCTTGGGTCGCGTCGCATTACTTCATCTATCTATCCCCCCCCCGTCCTTCAGTCTCATCGCAATTCCCATATTCTTCTTGAGACCTGGTTGGATTCTAGTCCTTCATTTCATCTGAATCTTCACTTGCATTGTCATCATACTGTCAAGTTCTGTCTTGGACTTTTACGTTCACTGGTATGTGGTCTTGTTTCACCTCTCCCCCTATCCTAAACATTTCACTGATGAATAGCCTCTCTTAGGCGTGATTAGCGGTTCATTTGCACATATAAATGATCGCTTTCCTTAGGATATCCTATAAAGAATGCACTGTTGATTTGCACTTCTTGACTGAGCATTATCAACCAGGATCCTAAGCCTGAGACATCCATTTATTGAATATCATCTACTGTGATCGACCATGGCTACAGTCGTGGTTCAGCAGCAGACGCTGCGACATTCGACTCCTCCCCCCTCTGGCATATCCCCTGCCCTGAGCCTCAACAGAACGACCACCCCGATTCCAAACAAGCATCTTCCCGTCTGCCCGACAGGCCCTTCTCCCATCATCTCTCACTCAGCACCACCCGTCACCAAACATAACAGTGACGACCAAGTCTCGTCGCTTCTTTATCCACCAGATGGCTTCTTCCGGCTGTCAAAAGCCCCTCCGGTGTATTCCATAGATGCTGTTTCGATGGGGGCTGCTATTGACTACTGGTCTTCCCAACCTTTGCCTGACCCCAAGCGAATGTTTCCTTGGATCCATGGACTTCACCCCGAAAACAACCTCCAGGTTGGCTTCTTTACGAATCGCAAGCGTTCCCTCCGACGAACCCCCAGATGCTGGAGAGGAATTACCATAGTTAAAGTGGGAGGCGATTTGAGTAGAGCCAGGATCAAAGGTGCCGTCGCCCCGGAGGAGGTTCTGGCACCGTCAGGATTGGAGTTTATCGCAGCCGATCCTCGCGAAGGATTCTCTGTTCGCAACTTTCAAATTCAGACTGCAAAGATGGCCACCTTGTCGGATATCATCGTCTACGGCGAAGACGGTGCCAGCCACAGAGACCTGCTAGACATTGCTGGAAGACTTGCAATTGCCCAACATGATTGGAGGATTAAGAATGACCCCGAACGGGCAAACCCAGTCTATAATACTTTCATTCTGTCCAGTAAGCTTCGAAAACCTCATTGGCTCAATCTTATCAAGCTAATCGCCCGCAGGCCCATTTCGTGAAGTTGAGATAAAGTGCCCCAGTATCGTCGCGGTGGATTCTCTTGGCCAGATTACGGGACAAGTCGTTGATTTCTGTAAGCTCACTTCCCAGATAATCCATTCGATGAATCTAAGTCTAATGTTTTATCAGTTCAATGGGAGCGCCTGGAGATGTGCGAGATGTCCCGAGCTTCACAGATCTCAAACAACGTCTGGCAAGGCCCAACGCCGGATTACTTGCTACGGGGAGGACCAATTGAAAGTTCATACCACCAGAAGTTCGACTTGCTGATCGAGACGAGTGACCTTGCAAATATCCCGGGCCCTCGCCTTCTGGCGAAGCTCAACAGACAACTAGATGACGGGCCCCAACGCCTAGAATTCCCCTCCTCCGGTTCGGTTGTTTTGCCTTCCGGCGAGACTAGAGAAGTCGATGATCTCGTGAGCACAGTTCGATGGATTTATTACCTGGCCAATCCGGAAGGGGCGGACAGCGATGGTGATATTTCTATGGCAGCCGTCGCGAAAAAGCCTCGCAAGATCCTCATCCACTGCCCAGACGGGTATACTGAAAGCTCGCTGTTGACCATCGCATATTTCATGTTTGCCCAAGGGGTACCGGCCCACGAAGCCTGGTTGAGACTTCACTGCGAAAAGGAGCGTAATTTCTTTGCCTATCCATCTGACGTTGCCTTCCTCAGCAGCGTCCAAGGGCGGCTTCTCCAAGAAAGCCCTGCATCGCAGTCCCTAAACTTTTCACACCTTCCTGATCCTGATTGGTTCAAGTACTGCGATGGATCTCTTCCCAGCCGAATCTTGCCTTACATGTACCTCGGAAACTTGAACCATGCTAATAACCCGGAACTGCTTCGGGAGCTTGGTATCAAGCGTATTCTGAGCATTGGCGAATCGATTTCATGGAATGAGTCAGAGCTCGCCAAACTGGGACCCGACAATTTGGTACATGTTACTCAGGTTCAAGATAATGGCATCGACCCCTTGACCCAAGAATTTGACCGCTGTCTGGACTTCATCCGTAAGTGTTTAATCTTGAAAATTGATTACACAGAAGGCTAACAAGACAAATTACTAGGCAAGGGAAAGACTGATGGTGGTGCTACTTTGGTTCACTGTCGTGTTGGAGTGTCAAGATCAGCTACGATCTGTATTGCTGAAGTTATGGCATCCCTAGGCCTTTCTTTTCCACGGGCATAGTAAGTTGAGACATTCTCAAGCGGCTGATCCCCCTGCTAATGTGTTTTACCAGCTGCTTTGTGCGAGCAAGAAGACTTAATGTGATCATTCAACCTCATCTCCGATTTGTGTAAGCATTTCCTTACCAGACATGTTAGTTATACATTGCTAACAATTGAGTGAAGATACGAGCTTCTCAAATGGGAAGAGCTGCAACTGCAGAACCACAACAGACCTCTCAAAAGGGAACTTGAATGGGCTACAGTGGCTCGTGAAATTGCATTGATGAACAAACCCTACTCTAGATAGTGGGAAGTAACTCCAACGGACCTTTCTTGAGATATAGGGTTTTCCTTTTGAAAGACACCCGACACCCGCCAAAGTCGAAGCCCGTCTTCACCCCAAATTTACTGTAATAGCAATTGTCTTGACGATAGTCTGTCCTGGATGATATGAACGATCATATGAATGAATGAGCAACGGATTTGTTTTCTCTTGGGCGCAATGGAGTTTGGCTTGGTCGGGTTATCATTACACATTATTTGTATTGCGAGTTTGACATACCAGCGCTTATTCTGTCTTTTCTGGCCTGATTTTCTTCTTTTCTATCAAATTCAGCGTTTGGGAAACTTTCTCGACCTCGGGCTTTAATAGGTTGCTCTTGACCCTTCATTCATCTGCGTGCTTTTTTCGTTGAATATTTGAACAATGTAACTTAAACATCTGTGATGAAACAAACAGGATTGATATTTTCACCACCGAGGACTTTTGGATAAATATTTCTGAAACATGGTCTCAGCTGCTTCTTGTACGAGACATGAACAAATCTATACCCGTAAATACATCGAAGGGAATCTTTCCCATGAAATACTCAACAACGTTCAAAAACCCTATATAAACCCTTCAAATCCGCAACCTCAACCACACCCCGAAGAAGACGTGACGTGGCAACCATCCTCGCCCGCAACGCCGGAAAGACCACATGCTCCAGCATTCTGCCCATCTGCACCCGACGTTGCTGAATGAACGCGTCTTCGTCTTGTTCACTCTGAGACTCGCCTTCTGGAGTTTGCGCCGGAGGCGGAGGCAGCTGCTCGGGCGTGTAGAAAGCAGCAAGTTCCCGTAGGAACGTCCGGAAGCATTCCTCTTCACTGGTCCAGTCGATGTAGGGACCGAGTCTTAAGAGGAACCGTGGTAGTTTGCCTAGTGAGGGGAGGTAGTTCTTGAGTAGGAGGGGGATGGAAATTAGATCGCCCTCGGCGGAAATGTTTAGGGAGAAGTATTCGTTGAGCATTTCTCGGCGCTCGACGAGTGTTCTGGAGACGGCTTCTGGTGCGTTGGCGAAGATGTCTTCTTCTTCTTCGTCTTCATTAGTTTGGTGTGATTGATGCTCTTCTCGCTCGATATCTGCTGCGATTCGCAATAGATCTACAAGCTTGGGTGCTGGGTCGAGCTTTATGGTGCCGAAGTTTCCAAAGTCTGTGAGACCGACTTGGTAGAAGAATTCGCTGCAGATCATGCCGTAGTCGACTAGGTAGAGCTTTACCCCGGATTGGATGGCTGCGATGCGTCGTCGTTCGTCGACCAATCCCACGTATGTATGAGATGCGATTGTCTCAGTCAAGGTGTTGTGCATGGCCGTACGAACGGCTGCGCGGAGGTTTTTGATGGATGTTAGGGCAATGCGGAGGGGTTCACGATCGGTGGTCTCGTATTGGAACCCTTCATCGAGGACCGTTGGTGAGCTGGTTTCCGCTTCGGTGCCGGTAATGTTTTGAGGTACTGCGGGTGAGAGCATCGAGGTAATTTTGCGGACTTTGGAATCTGTGCGTACTAGGTTATGCTCATATGGCTTCTTTGTTTGTGCGGGCGTTTTGGGAACTGATATTCCGCTCTCATTGGAAGTGTCAGGGGCCGCATTGTCGCGGTTTAGATGTTCGAATGTCTTCACTCCCGGGAGGACTGTTTGGGTGAGAAATGTTCGACTTTCGTCAACTTGTGCGAGTTTTGATCTGATTTCATTGCAGATGCATTCGATAATTTCATCCTCATTCAGGAAATTCACCTCACGCTTCGTCGGGTGTACGTTGACATCCACCCGTTGTGGCTCAATCTCTAAATCAATGTAGACAAAGGGGTGGCCTCCTTTGGGAAGAAAAGCCGAGTATGTCTGTTCGACAGCCCGCTTGACTGTGGTGGACTCGACAGACCGATGGTTGATAAACAGGAGAATGGCTGTCTTCTTGACATGGTAGTTCGCGTTCGTGACAAGGCCCGATGAGCGGAACCCCAATTTGTCGTCTTCCACTTTGAATCCAACCAGCTCATTAGCCACAGAGCTCCCATGAATCTGGCGAATGCGGTCCGCGGTGTTTGCTGCTGATGGCGTTGAGATGCTCACGCCCGAGTCACCGTGTTTGCGGCATGAAAATGCTACTCCTGAGCAGTGCACGGCGTATCGGCCAACGACATCAAGGATTTTGGCGTATTCTTCACTCGCGGAACGAAAAGCTCGACGCCTGGTTGGAACATTGTAGAATAAATCTTCGACCTGCTCGGGTTAGTTATCTTTTTTCTTCGCCCAGGCCTTAAGAGTTGCCCTACAGTTATCTGCGTGCCACCGCGTCCAGCCGTGGCTTTGGGAGCGGCACTCTGACCAGGCTTGGGAGCAATGAGCTTCCCATCGCCATAGTGAGCCCTCCAAGCACAGCTTGAGCCAGCCGTCTTGGTGGTCACTGTGAGATGCGCGATATGGCTGATACTTGCTAAAGCCTCACCCCGGAATCCATAGGTCCCAATAGATGAAAGATCCTCGAAGCTCTTTAATTTGGAGGTTGTGAATCTCTCGCACAGGATGGGGAGATCATCTCTCTGAACAGGAGATTAGTATTGATATTCAAAGATAAATGTCATAACAACTCACGTCTATACCATGGCCGTTGTCAGTGATCTGGAGCAGTTTGAGGCCGCCGTCCTTCACCAAGACTTCGATGGATGTCGAGCCAGCGTCGACAGCGTTTTCGATCATTTCTTTCAGAGCATGCATGGGGGCCACAATGATCTCCCCAGCAGCAATCTTATTCACGACATCTGGATCGAGTGCCTGGTTATTTTAATTAGCAGGGGGGATTGTTCCGTAGGGAGGTTGTTGAACTGACCTTGATTCTTTTTGGTTTCTGTGGCTCAGTCTCTTCAGCAGGTCTTTTGGTGCCACGAGGCTCAAGAATATCCATGTCCATTCCGCTATCCATGGTGACTGACGAAATCGAGGATATGGAATGTCGTTCTGGTCTAAATTCTAGATGTTTTTGCTGGTGGGTACCTGGAAGGGCGATCGTTCATATGACGCAGCTCCTCGCTCCTTTTGACAAAGCTACCACCAACCCGAGGTTTTTTAGTTCATTTTCCCATCTCAAGCAAATAAATCATCACAATAGCTCAAGAATGTTGTGTTTCAATATGACTTCATCTCATGGCGGGGAAGATGGAGGACAAGGCCCAGCCCAGATCGACGATAACAGTTAAATTAACCCGCGTAACCCGCAACCAGCGCCCGTTCAGTAACGCGTCACTCAATTCCAGCCTTCCCCTCCCCCAAAGGTCGATGCCACTTTCAACATCTCAAGCTCCCTCGGGGCAATTGCTCAAATGTTATAAACATGCTGCCTCCCAGGAAGCCTTATTTGGCAGATGAGGAGCTGGGGAAGAAAGATGACGACCACCGGCCGCAGAGCGATCGAGAGCGACTTTGGCAGTCGAAGCAATGGAAAACCCCACGACGGCGACGGATTTTGATGACGATTGTCGGCTTGTACTTGATATATCTTTTCTTTCATAATATGCCAACAGATCTTGTACCTGCTGCCGAACGGTATAACCCAGCAATCGCACAGGCACGACAGAAAGGCCGCACGCCAACCCAGTCCCCAGTGGTCCCTCAGCAAGGACCCCCGCCACGAGACAAAGATACAAAAGGAGGAGATACGGAAGGTTTATATTATGATGGGCCTATTACTTTTTATGCGCTGGGAAAGACCTTGCAGCGGTTTAAACAGCCGCCGAATCGACACGGAACTTTCGCCAATAATGCCGTCGTTTTTGCCGGTTCGAGCTTGCGAAGCGTTTCGGACCTTCTACCTCTTGCATGTGATATGGCCGGTCGAAAATTGAATCATATCCACTTCGTGTTGATGGGGAGGGATGATGTATCGGTTGAAGGGATCCAGCAGGTGAATGGGATCAGTGATGCGGATTGCCCGATCAACTGGCATGGTGCGTGTAGAACCACTGGATTTGATATACCAGGATGCTAATATTTGGGTACTGTAGATGCTCGCCCGGACTATGCGCAGTGGTCGATTGAAGCTCGTATGGAGAAATCTGTAATGGCAGGTCTCGGATACGTCCACTCCTACATTCGCCCACAAGTCATCATCACACAAGGAGAGTCATGGGAAGACACTTTTTTCTGGAAGGGAATCCAAACCAAGATACAGGATATACGGACTTCTCATATTGCGCTTCCTAGTGCTGCCAGAGATCTGATGTGGATAGCTGCATTGGACAGTAGCGCTCTCCAAGGTAATTCTTAATCGGTTGTTCTTATGGGATCTTACACTAACATGGGGATAGTTTGGAATGATGTTCACGTTGAGATACTCATCCATGCACCCTCCGAGTCTTCGGGATCCCTGATTAGATTGATCAAGTCGTTGGAGAAGGCCGACTACCTCGGATCCACCCCCAGCTTGACGATTGAGCTGCCCCTACGCGTGGATCCGCAGCTTCTCAACTTTCTACAGAGTATCCAATGGCCGCCTCAACTGTCAAGCAAAGTCACCATCCGTCGCCGTATACAACCGCACGATATGAACTCTATCGAGTCTTCTATAAAAACAGTGGAGGCCTTTTACCCTCGAGATCCGAGTGTATCACACTTGCTAGTGCTCTCTCCTCAAACAGAGCTGGCGCCATCATTTTACCATTATCTGAAGTATTCTCTGTTGAACTACAAACATTCGGTTCGCGCAAAGCGGTTCTCATCCAAATTGATTGGAATCTCTCTTGAGCTCCCGTCCTCGAAACCAATCACCAATGGCGAGCCATTCAGCCCTCCGGTTTATCCCAGCAGTGGATCCTCACAGCATATTGATGGAGAGCCATTGCCACTTTTCCTTTGGCAAGCCCCAAGCAGTAACGCCGCATTGTACTTCGGTGACAAATGGGTCGAGCTTCACTCATTTCTCTCCAACAGACTTGCTATCCAAGAGGCTACAGGCAATTCCCCTAGTGGGAAGATTATCTCGAAGAAATACCCGGCTGTTATGGAATATATTCTCGAGTTGATTCGCGCCAGAGGCTACTACATGCTGTATCCATCGTTCCCTGCCAAAGGAACCTACAGCTTGGCGACAATCCACAATGACCTATATCAGGCCCCGGAAGAATTTACCCATGGGCACACACCGGAGACAACGGAAATGCCCGACGAGAGGATAGATGACCCGTCCCAACCTCTGACGGCTGAGTCCATTGAAGGATTAGGATCCGTGGAAAAGCCTTTGGGCCGAGCCTCAACAACGATGGCTCTCCTGGATCGGTTTTCTTTGAGCCTCCCTGAAGTTGATGATTTGCCTTTACTGTCTTATCGTGGCGATCTGATGTCGGGTTCCATGTATGACCAAGATACCAAGGAGTACGCGCGGAAATTCAGAGTGCTCTATGGAGGCTGTGCTGATGAGGTCTCGAAAGACGAGGCAAGCTCGGACAGTCTATTCTGTCCTCTGGAGGGCTGATTATGTATTCCGAAATGTTTGCACTGGTGTTTTCAGGTTGAGTCACCGATTGTAGTTTATACCTAGTCCATGTTCTTTGTTCGCACCCAAAACAGATATGTCTGAGATTAGCTAAAATCCGCACGATAATCCTGTATAACAAATCAATAGACTTGATATTTATTTACATTAGATCTCACATTATGGTAGACTGGATTTTACTATGACGACGAGGCACTCTTCTGGCAGCCCGTGGAAAGCTTGGCGTTGGGTGCGTTACATAAGCGAGCGGAAGCTCCACAGGAGTGCAACGCCCGAGCGGCGACCAGCGAGAGCTCTCTGTTTCCATTCCCATCAACCAGCTTACCATTTCATTCTCTGCGGCATCGCTCGGTGTGCAGGGTTTTGTTGCCATATTATTTACCGTTGCCATCCAATCTATCGCTTCCCCCCGTTTCCCCCGTTACGAATCTCTAATCACACCCAGGCCTACTCGCCAGATACCCGTCAGAAATGGCGAACGAAGGCGAGCGGTCGGCTCCCGCTGACAAGGGCAAGGGCAAGGTCGATGATGCCCGTGAGTTGCCTGCTGGAAAGAAGCCGCAGAAGGACGAGAAGACACAAGCGGATGGAAAGAAGAAGAAGGATGAGGAGCCTCAGGAAGGTAGGCTATCGACACTCGGCTGGAACATAACGGAACCGTGTTCTCAATCAGATACTAACGTGACTCTTCATGTAGAAGAGCTCAACGAGGAGGATCAGCAGTTGAAGAGCGAGCTGGAAATGCTCGTAGAGCGACTAAAGGTACTGTTGTGAAAGCTGTTTTGAGCGATACGCTGAGCGATGACGTTTATTAATCTGTCTTACCCCCACAACAGGAGCCCGACACCTCGCTGTACAGTGCTGCTTTAGATGCGATTAAGAACTTCATTAAGACCTCGACCTCTTCCATGACAGCCGTCCCGAAGCCCCTCAAGTTCCTAAGACCGCACTATGACGACCTCGCTGCCCTTTACGAGAAGTGGGTTGCGGGTCCCGTAAAGGTTGGTCTATCCCTCTGGTGGCCTGCTAATCAAAACTAATACATATGCGAATTTAGGACTCGTTGGCCGATATGCTCTCAGTTCTCGGAATGACCTACGGAGATGAGGAAAAGCTCGAGACGCTGAAGTACCGCCTTCTCGCCGCGAAGGCAGAGGACCTTGGCTCCTGGGGTCACGAATACATCAGGCATTTGGCATTGGAGATCGGACAGGAGTACCAGAACAGGTTGAACTCCGAGAAGGATGTACAGGACTTGGTCGACCTTGCACTAACTCTTGTTCCTTACTTCCTGCGTCATAATGCCGAAGCAGATGCCGTTGATCTGATGAGCGAGCTGGAAATCATCGAGGATATCCCGCGATTCGTGGACGAGAACACATACTCGAGAGTGTGTCTATATATGGTCAGCATGGTCAACCTTCTTACATACCCCGAAGACCAGCAGTTCCTCCGGACAGCCCACGAGATCTATGTTCGTTATAACGAACTTACCAAGGCAATCGTGCTTGCGATCCGATTGAACGACACTGAACTTATCAAGAGTGACATGAATGCCACTTCAGACAAATCGCTCAAGAAACAGATGGCGTTCCTTGCTGCCAGACAACAAATATGGCTTGATATCCCCGAAGACGAAGAGGACCAAGCCTTCACAGACTGCCTGAACAACACCTCCATCCCTAAGCACTTCAGATCTCTTGGAAAGGAGCTGAACATTCTCGACCCGAAGATGCCCGAAGATATTTACAAAACTCATCTTGAGAGCAGCCGTGGAGCTGGGTTGACCAACGTGGACTCCGCACGACACAATCTGGCTAGCGCCTTTGTCAACTCCTTTGCCAATGCCGGGTTTGGAAATGACAAGCTGATGCTTGTTGAGGGTGACAAGGGTCCGTGGGTCTGGAAGACGAAGGATGATGGTATGCTGTCAACCACGGCGTCGATGGGTATGCTTCTTCATAGGGATGTTGAGGTTGGTCTGGACAAGATCGATAAGTTCACATACGCCACTGAGGATCAGATCAGAGCGGGTGCCCTTCTCTCTATTGGTATCCTTAACTCTGGTGTCAGAATCGATTCCGACCCCGCCCTGGCCCTTCTGAGCGACCCCGACAACCTCGAGGCCAAGAGCGTGCCTATGAGAGTCGCCTCCATCATGGGTCTTGGATTGGCCTACGCTGGATCCAACAAGGAGGAACTTCTTGAGGTTCTGCTCCCAATCGTGGAGGATGTTTCACTTGACATGCAACTGTCTGCAATGGCAGCTGTTTCGTTAGGTCTCATCTTCGTTGGTTCATCGAACCACCAAGTCAGCGAGGCAATTGCTACAACATTGATGGACGAGGAAAGGCAGAGACAGCTCAAGGATAAGTGGACCCGCTTCATGGCCCTTGGTCTCGCACTCTTGTACTTTGGTCGCCAGGAAGAAGTCGATGTTATCCTTGACATCCTCAAGGCCGTCGATCATCCCATGGCCAAGCCCACTGCCGTTCTCGCCTCCGTTTGCGCGTGGGCTGGTACCGGCACTGTTTTGAAGCTCCAGGAGCTTCTCCATATCTGCAATGATGTTATTGAAGACAAGGATGAGAACAAGGGTGATGAGCTTGTTCAGTCATATGCCGTCCTCGGTCTGTCGCTCATTGCCATGGGTGAGGAGGTTGGCCAAGACATGATTCTTAGACAGTTTGGCCACCTGATGCACTATGGTGCTAGCAACATCCGCAAGGCAGTTCCCCTGGCCATGGGTCTGATCAGCCCCAGCAACCCCCAGATGAAGATCTACGATACTTTGTCTCGTTACAGCCACGACAATGACAATGACGTTGCCATCAATGCCATCTTTGCAATGGGTCTCTGTGGCGCGGGTACCAACAATGCCCGTTTGGCGCAATTGCTCCGACAGTTGGCCAGCTACTACCACCGCGACCAGAACTCACTCTTCATGGTCCGCATTGCTCAGGGTCTCCTGCACATGGGCAAGGGTACCATGACACTCAACCCCTTCCACACTGACCGCCAGGTTCTCTCTCGTGTGTCCGCCGCCGGGTTGCTTACTGTTCTGGTCTCCATGATCGACTCTAAGAACTTCATCCTCGCCGAACACCACTACCTGCTCTACTTCCTCATTACCGCCATGTACCCACGATTCCTCGTGACCCTCGACGAGGATCTGCAGCCTCTTACAGTGAATGTACGAGTAGGACAAGCTGTGGACGTTGTTGGCCAGGCTGGACGACCCAAGACTATCACTGGATGGCAAACACAAAGCACACCGGTGCTCTTGGCGTACGGTGAACGAGCAGAGCTTGAAGACGAACAATACATTCCCCTTAGCAGCACTCTGGAGGGCTTGGTCATTTTGCGCAAGGTATTTCCCCCCTTTTCTTCTTTCTCAGATTCTGGATGGTCTAGCTAATATGATTTCTATAGAACCCTGACTGGGAAGAGAGCTCTGCCTAATTGGGCTGGGATTGTCGTTACGTCATGTTTTGCGGGTTAGATTGAGCGCAGAGGAACTCATTTAGCGCTCTGGTTTGGATGGATCTAATGTATTCAGAACGAGTTGGGAAATAACATGCACCATTTATCTATGATGAATTGCGCGATCAGCTTCTGATGGAGTTGCGCGGCATTGTATGCTACGGAGCGTAAGCTAGATATAAAATGAAGTATGAACTATGAAAGCCCAAGCCAAAACCAGTCCATTACTTGATTGTAAATCGTAAAATGGACCCATCAGTGAAAATATCACGATATCCCAATCGAATAAGTGTGAAGTTATACAAAACTGCCAAAGGTCCTCAGTTGGGCAGAATCAGCACCCCAAAAAGGAAAGTAGGGCATAGGGCACGAAAGATAATACTTTTCCGCATATCAGCATCCGCAACAACTTCCATGAGATGAAGGACAGCAAAGGCAGCTTATAGCTTGATTTTACCCGTTGGTATATTCGATTCATCTAGTCTAATCATTCCAAGCTTGAGGACTGTGCAGCCATGAAGCTCGATCCCAAGGCGATCCGCTATCTCACCTCTGAGGATTTCCGCGTCCTCTCTGCGGTACGTCTGCTTTCTTCCCCTCTTCGCCCCGCCTTCTGATCCCCCAATGGTCGCAGCTTGTTGTCTGACGGCTAACAAAAGTGTTGTTTAGGTTGAAACGGGAAGCAGGAACCATGAAGTTGTACCGACGCCTTTGATTGCGCAGATTTCGGGCCTCCGTGGTGGCAGTGGAGTGCATAGAGCCATCTCGACCCTGGCAAAGACCAATTTGATCGCCAAGGTGAAAAATGCGAAATGTAGGTATTTGAGTTTGATTTTCTACGTTTTTTGCGTCTGCCTACGACTACCTACTGTTTATCGTGAAGGAACAGATTGTCTAACTCTTACTGCGCGAAACAGATGACGGTTACAGACTTACCTATGGTGGTCTCGACTACCTGGCGCTCAACGCTCATCAGAAATCCAAGGCCGTTTACTCTGTCGGCAATCAGATCGGTGTCGGGAAGGAGTCGGATATCGTCGTTGTTGCAAACAACCGTGGCCACCAGCGCATTCTCAAGATCCACCGTCTTGGTCGCATTTCGTTCCGATCAGTCAAGACCAACCGAGACTATTTGCGCCATCGGAGCTCAGCATCATGGATGTACATGTCGCGGTTGGCTGCGATGAAGGAATACGCTTTCATGAAAGCCCTGGGAGAAAACGGTTTCCCGGTGCCCGAGCCCATCGCGCAGAATCGACACACCATCGTCATGAGTCTCATCGATGCCTTCCCGCTCCGTCAAATATCTGAAGTTCCCCGCCCGGATGTCTTGTACTCGGAACTCATGGACATGATTATGAGACTGGCGCGATTTGGATTGATCCACGGTGACTTCAACGAGTTTAACCTTCTCATCAAAGAAATTGAAGACCCCAACGCCAAGGGCAAAGCCCCCGCAAACGAAGAGGGCGGCGAGTCGCAGAATCTTCAACTGGTACCGATTCTTATCGACTTCCCCCAGATGGTTTCGATCGATCACCAAAATGCAGAGATGTATTTCGACCGTGATGTGAACTGTATCAAGCGATTCTTCAAGCGCAAGTTGAAATTCGTGAGCGATGAGCCTGGTCCTTTCTTTGCGGACGCCAAGAAACAGCTTCTCAAGAACCCCGGTAAACGTCTAGATGTGGAGGTCGAAGCATCTGGATTCTCGAGGAAGATGGCACGAGAGCTGGAGGCATATATGAAGGACGTTGGCGCTAATGAGGAAGGGGAGGGCGCTTCCAAGGACGACGAAAACGACGACGATGAAGAGGAAGAGGAAGACGATTCGGAAGCCGAGGAAGACGACAATGAAGCAGATAAAGAAGAGTCAAAGAACGCACAATCCGATGAGGTCGATGAGAGCGCCCGAAGGATAGGGGAATTGCATGTTTCTGAGGCCTCTGGAGGGCAGTAGCGGCTATTTCAGGGACCAACAGTCATGACCATAATGAGAAAAATCTAGACTTTTTTAATGATCATTTCTTCAATCAATTTTTTTTGTTCATTTCATCTTCAATTGGCAGAAACAAAACAGTGCGATACTCCGTAGAAACATAGCAATTGGCTGTCTGCCTGCAAAGGGGAAAGAGGGACTACGGCACGTGGCGCGGCCAACCGCGCAATTTTGTTTCGCTCCAAAAGTTCCGCCGAGTCTGAAAGGCGGACGATATCGAGCCCTCTTTGCCGTTGGAATCCACGCTTCATCCACCAATTCCGTTCTCTGTCGTCGCTCCTTTTGTATTTCGACCTCTGTGCCTCACAGACAAGATGGTGCGAAATATCCACAAGATTCCCAAGAAGCCTGCAGACTGGCTGCCTCCTTCGGCGCCGCTCTCGCTGCGCAAGCAAGTGTTTCTGTATGTTCAAACAGACCTACTCAGCATCCACAATTCTTTTTATTATTCTGTGATATCACTCAGGGGACACAGTATACTAATTGAAATATATTATCTAGTCCTGATTTCACCATTGCTCTCATCCGCACCCCCTTCCTCCCGCCCCGATATGCTTCGTTCTACGTTCCTCTGAATTTCAACAAGCTTGACATGCGCGACTACATGAAACGTCTATACGGTGTCGATGTACTTAACGTCCGTAGTTACGTCGAGCAGCAAAAGGTCACCCGCGCCAAGTCTCTGGGCCGGTACGGATATGGACAGCTGAGAAGACCGATGTCCAAGAAGAGGATGACTGTCGAGATGACACAGCCGTTTGTGTGGCCTGAAACACCAAAGAACATGGATCCGTACGTTATTATTCTTTACATTTCCCGGGCGTATGGGTTATATATGATATGGCTAACATGTGTTACAACAGATGGGAGAAGGACCAATACTTCAAGGCCGCCAAGTACCAGGAAGATCTTCAAGACCAGCAACGGCCAGATGCCGGTATGAAGGCCAACGAGTCGGAGCGTGAGGCGTACGAAAAGGAAGCGAAAGAGCTGCTGGACGGCAAGAAGGTTTGGAGGCCGACCTGGCAGGCTCTGGGTCTGAGCTATGATCGCAAAGGATTGGGCGCAGACAAGGGTTCGAGCTCGACAAGCTCATAAAGTGTTTTGTTTTGATCAGGGATAGAAAAGCGTTCTCTTTGCCTTTGTCTTCTCTGTTTCACTTCTGTTTTTTTCACTTTTTATTATGTATGTGATAACCGTCATCTCTGTATTATATGCCCACGCGCTACATAAACATAAATCCAGTGTCATCAAAGTTCATGACATGCATTTATCTATAGAAATTTTCCACATGTTCAATTCTCAGTTGCTCATAAATTCAATAACTATCAGGTATTGGTGGTTGTTGGACGTCCAACATCATCCAAATCAATTAAGCTAAATATCACACGCTATGCAAGAACGACTGGAGGTGAGATGGGATGGCGAAAACAAAGATGTTACTGAAAGGGACGGGAAACATAAACATGCATCTTAAGCAAAGAATAGCAGAATCACAACTCCAAGGGTAATTCCTGTAAGAAAATCAAAACTACAGCCGACTTTCCACAAAGTTGACATGGTGTTGGCCAGGCCAATGTGCGTCAGGCCACACCTGTCGAAGGGCTTCCCAGATATGGCTGTCCCATATGTTAGTTCTCTATTCATTCTTGGGCTCGAGGGAAACTCAATCTCACCTGACATAAACAATATCTAGGCCTTGGCTGACCTCTTCCGGAACGTCTTTAACGTCTTTGCGGTTGGCGTAGGGCAAAAGGACTGTCTTCACTCCGGCACGCAGGGCACCGATGAGCTTCTCCTTGATACCGCCTACAGGCATCACTCGTCCTCGTAGGGAGACCTCACCGGTCATTGCAACTTGTGGAGGCACAGCCTTGCCCGTGAACAACGAGATCAAGGCAAGAGTGTGTGCAAGACCAGCGGAGGGCCCGTCCTTAGGAATGGCTCCCGACGGGCAGTGGACGTGAAGGCTGCGGCTTTTCATGATGTCTTCATTGGGGTCGTGTGCCAGACCAAGCTCGAAGGAATGGGCCTTGACCCATGTCAAGGCCACCTCCACACTTTCCTTGAGGACATCACCTAGCTTTCCTGTGAGCTGTAAACGGCCGTTCCCTGGCATATCAGCAACCTCGATGAACAAAATGCTGCCTTGGCCGCCGGTAGAGTAGGCAACAAGACCAGTCACTACGCCGGGACGACCGTGCTTCTCAGCAATCTCTTCTTCGAAGCGCTCGATTCCGAGAATCTCTTCCAAATCGTCAAGGGCAACAACCGGGTTATAAGTATCCAATTTATCAGCATCCCCGGCATCTGCATATTGAACGGCCTTGTGGCGGCAAATGGAGCCAAGTTCACGCTCGAGGTTACGAACACCGGATTCTCTAGTATAAGAAGTGATTGTCTTATCGATCACTTCATCCGAGAGTGCGACCTGTCCATCCGACAGCCCATTGGCGGTAACCTGCTTGGGAATGAGGTGCCGCTTCGCAATGTGTCTCTTCTCGACGGTTGTGTAGCCAGACAACGAGATGGTCTCCATCCGATCAAGCAGTGGCGCGGGTATAGTATCGAGGGAGTTGGCAGTCGCAATGAAGAGGACTTTACTCAAATCAATGGGGATATTGATATAGTGATCAGAAAACGTGTGGTTCTGTTCAGGATCCAAGACCTCGAGCATTGCCGCAGACGGATCCCCTTGGAAGTTTGCACCTCCAACCTTGTCAATTTCATCAAGTAGGAACACTGGGTTGGCGACTCCAACTTTCTTAAGGCCATTGACTATGAGGCCGGGCATTGCTGCAACATAGGTTCTGCGGTGGCCTCGAATCTCAGCCTCGTCTCTCACACCACCCAGAGAAATTCTATGGAACTTGCGGCCGAGAGATGTAGCAACGGATCTTGCCAGACTGGTTTTGCCGGTACCTGGTGGCCCAACAAGCAACAGAATTGGAGATTTGTCGGTCATACGCTTGGATTTCAGAACCTGTAATTTTGTCTCGAGAGCGACTCTGTCGGATTCCGATGGAATTGGAATTTCTCGCTCAATATCACCGCTTGAGGAGTCAAGGTCCTTTGTTAGCGCAGCGATTTGTCGTTCGACGTCGTTGTTGGTAGACTGCTTAAGTCTCAGCACTGCCAAGTACTCGAGCAGCCTCTTCTTGATTTTCTCAAGCCCATAATGATCGTCATCCAGCTGTTTCCTTGCTCTTTTCAAAGTATCCGCTCCAAGCTGGTCCACGGTAGCTTTGGTCCATGGGATCTCTGCAATGTTCTCAAGGTAGGTCCGGCAAACACCATATTCAGCGTTCGCAGGGTTCATTTTACGAAGACGTCTCAGCTCCTTGTCCGCAATCTTTCTAGCCTCAGGACTAAGTTGCGCTTCCTGAAGCCTTTGTTGAAGCTCATCAACTTCGTTGGGTTCTTTTTCCTCATTGTCATTACTCCGTCCGCCAGCCGCACCAGGCGGTGTAAGGCCTGAAAGACCAGCCATAGCGCGTCTTGCTAGAAGCTCACGGTCACGGGGGTCAATCTGGTTAATGTCGAAGCCAGAGTTTGGCAAGGTAGATGTGGAGATGGAGGTCACCTTGACATTGTTCTTAAAGCTTTGTATTTGTCTCCCAAGGATCTCGAGCACCCTCTCTATTCTGGGCTTAAGATCCAAAGCAGCCAAAATTCTAAGCTTCTCCTCCAAGCTCGATTCGGTCACATCTGCCATGAAGTCGGCCAATCTTCCTGCTTGGGACAGATCAGTTCTGGATATATACAACTCGAATTTACGGGCGACAAGTGGTGACAATCGCGTTGAAGTAGAAGGCAATAACGATGAGATTCGCAGCAAGGTGAGAAGCTCTCGTGAGAGACGTCTCAGCTGTTGGAATAAGTCACTGGTTTCTTGGTCGTTGGACACGGCATCTGCTCAGAGTAGGTTAGCCATCGGAGGAACATTGCTCAAAAAAAAAAGATCCTACCTTGGTCATCGTGAAGGATAGCCTCTGCTTCAAAGTAAGGTCTTTCCTTCAAGATTCGTTTGATTGTAAACCGCTGAACTCCTTGGACAAGAAGGTATGGTTCCCCGTAGACACGGCGCTGAACCGCAACCACCTTGCCGAGAGTTCCGTAACGGAAGAGATCGTCCTTTCGGGCCTGTCCTGCATCGATGGAATCATACTCCTCTTTTTGATCATCTTCCAATGTTGCATTCTCGAGGAGATTTTGGCCATCATTACTCAAGAACGGTGAGCTGAGCGGAACACACCCAAACGTAATTGTGCTTCCATCCCGTTTCCCCGAAGTCGAGCGGTCAAGCAGCGTGGAAAGCAAATTGGAGAGATCAGGGCGATTCGCAACTGGAATTCGTAATGTAACTCCTGGAAGCAAGACAGAACCCTTGGCAAGAGGTACTATGGCGAGCCGTGTCGCTTTACCGTTATTAACCGCCATCTTAGACTGTCACGGTCCAAATGGTAGAGACGGTTAGATTGAAATGACACCGAATGTGCCAAGAAGGAATGATTGTGTCGACAGAAGATGAGATGATTGATATTTGGAGTAAGGGGAGATGAGGGGAAAATGATGGGGGAGCCCAGAAGGGGATGCTTATAAGCGTATGTACGGTGAGCGAAAGGCCCAGAACACCGTAGATGAAGACCGTCTGGGGAGGCGATCAAAAGATAGATAAGCCTGTGCTCCGAAGCCGAGGTTAGCTTTGGGGAACAAATGGGGGGAGGCTACGTCAGTCGCAGATCTGCGTGAGACCTGGGGGAGGTTGGGGGTTGCAGAGGGGTATGGTGTCTCACTGAAAGCGCCTCGGGGTTATTTGTGTATTTGGATGCAACTAGAATCGGCTATCAACAAGAGAATTGGCAATCTCACCATCTCCTCGCCAGGTTGTAGTCGTGGTTCTTCTTGGCTTGGAAGATGGAAGAATGCGCTGGTCGGAGATATCCCGTGATTTCCGTCTGCAATATTACGGCCAATACGGTACGGGCCCTGTATGTACCTTACAGTACGCTAGCGGGTCGGCCGCTCGTCGGAAGAGCATCAGACGATCTCACCACCGAAATCCCTCTACAAGCAGTTTGATGCACTCCATCTATTACAATATCGACTGATAAAAGCATTGTAATAGATACTGCTGTTTTCGCCTAACTCGATCTATTGCTTGCACAGACCTCCTTTCTGCATTATCTTCTCGATCTATTGACGTCGCTATGGCATCTGCCCCGCCCACCTACAACGACCCCTCGTCGCGAAAGACGTTCACAATCGGAACCCGCAGCTCTAAGCTTGCTCTTTTCCAAACAAACCTGGTTGTTTCGGCGCTGAGGGATACATGGCCAGATTATTCGTTTAAAATTCACTCGAAGGAAACTGCCGGTGACCTGAACACAACTATTGCTTTCCGCGAGTTCACTACCAAGAACCTCTGGACTGAGGAATTAGAGGAGCTTCTGACTGCTGGCCATGTGGACTTTATCGTCCACTCTTTGAAAGGTATGGTTCATTTCTCTGTCTATAGTTTAGTTCGGTAGCAATGCAGTAAGACTAACGTGCTTCGACTGTTATCAGATGTGCCAACCGTCCTTCCTGCCTCGTGTACCCTGGGTCCTATGATGAAGCGTGAAGATAGTAGAGACGTTCTCGTTATGAAGAAAGGCTTGCCAAATGGGGGTCTTTCTGACCTTCCTGCGGGATCAGTTGTCGGAACCTCGTCCATCCGTCGCACTGCTCAGCTCGCTCGGTTATACCCCCACTTGAAGGTTATGGACGTGCGTGGAAACATTGGTACTCGATTGGCAAAGTTGGATGCGGAGGATAGCCCATATTCCTGCATAATCTTGGCTGCTGCTGGTTTGCTGCGGCTAGATCTTGGAGACCGCATCTCCCAATATCTCGATTCGAAGAACGGTGGAATGCTGTATGCGGTCGGACAGGGAGCTCTTGGTATTGAAATCCGCAAAGATGACCAGGTTGCCCATGGGATGCTGAAAAATATTGGCCACGAGGAAACAACTCTGGCTACTTTGGCCGAGCGAAGTTTGCTGCGGACCCTCGAAGGTGGTTGCAGTGCACCGTTGGGAGTCGAGACTGAGTGGATTCAGGGATCTGACGGGTCACGCCAAATTAAGATGAGAGCTATTGTTGTCAGCGTGGACGGAAAAGAAAGCGCTGAGGTTGAGATTGATGAAAGTATCAGCTCACCCGAACAGGCAGAGAACTTCGGAATTACAGTAGCCAAAGCCTTGGTAGAGCAGGGCGCAGGGGCAATTCTTGAAGCCATCCAGCAGAATAAGAAGTCATCGTGAATGCTTGCTTTCAATGATTGAACTTTGATCATAAACATGCAAGGGAGATGCTGGTCTTCTCCTACAAAATACATTGCATCTAGGCGGATACCAGTATAAAAGAAACTGTCAATGGATATTTAACATTATTCTTTTCTCCAAACCCTTACCCTGACCTGATATAATTGATCTATCGATACGAAGTTTCTTTTTTAGAGAATCCAAAATATCTAGGCTGAAGAAATAGAAGTAGGGCATTGGGAGGAACGCGTATAGCATCGTAGGATCATGACAAAAATGCATATTCAGGTATATCTTCATGTGACCAGAACAAAATGCAAAATATTGAAAACAGAAAATCCAGCAATGAGCTTCATGGAAGAAAGATCAACCTCTATTCAAAGTGTTTCCAGAGCCCTTCGGGTTTGCCTCTGTGTATTCGTCCCAGGCTCTTGCTTTCATAGTCTCTTCGTCTGCCCTGTCCATATCATCCTCATCAACCTCCGGCTTCATTCCTGATTGCTCGCCTCCCTGGAGGACATTTCCTCTTCGGTGTTCTTCATCAAGGTACTCCTCAATGGTCATAGTGGGAAGATTGTGGCTAGGTCCGAAAACGCCCTGCTGGAGCTGGGTCCGGCGGTCGAGTAGTGTGAAGGGCTGCATTGGTTTGCCTTCCTTGCTCAATATCGGCCCGAATTTACCTCCCTTCAAAAGCTGGGAAATGGGAGGGTCTAGACGCTCTGAATAGCTCGATTGTTCTTCATTCTTCCGCCTTCTTTGGTCCTCTTGCGAGTTTTGCTGTGAGATTTCAGGGTTTTTGCGAATGGTTGAAAGCATGGCGAGCTCTTGCGAAATGAGATCGAGGGATTGGAAGGTCTGGTGCGTGTAAAGCTTTATTTCTGCGAGGTAGAGCTTTCGAACGTCATCGTCATCGCTTTGGAGACGGCCTTGGTTCTGGGAGAGGTACTTGGGATATTGTAAGTATACTAGCGACTTCTGTATAATGGGTCTGTCAAACCTCAAGCTTTTGCTTCAGCTCTTTCTCTTCCCTGAATCTAGAAACCTTCACTTCTCTCCGAACGGCGGCATCGTTAACCGGGATCAAGGAGAATGTGGAGGGGTTCGCCGAGTATCGCTCGTAAAGCTTCTTGTTTCCTTCTTCCAGTAACTCATAATCATCCAAGCGCGCTAGATATCTATCGTATTCATCAAGGGTACGTCGCAGAGTACCCTCGCGGTCTGAGTTATAAGAACGTTGGAGGAGGTCGGCAAGTAGGTATTCCACCGTCAGATACCTAACAAGTAAACGAATTAGCCATTACACTTAAATCAGTGGGTATAGTGAAAAGTACTGGATATCACCGGTAGAAACCTCTTCCAAGGGCTCGTTCGAGCTGAACAAAGATAGCAAACCGACCAGTCGCCGACACTCCTCCAGCTTGGCTATCGTTAAGATCACATCACTGCGATAAGCATCTGTATTGGAGTCGGGGCGTGTCTCCAACGCCGTTTTCTCCGCCCTTGCAGCAGCAAATAGAGATCGAAGGTTCTGAGGTTCTTCCATTTTAGCCAGTCGAGAGATGCTTGTTCGTGGGTTGTTCTGCAAGGCACAAGCTCCGCTGGAAGACGCCGATCGAGGCGCAGAAATAAAATAAACTGGGTCAACCCCGCGCAGCCAGAACGACGCCCCGCTGGGGCCGCAATTTTGGTTGAGCTTTATCTTAGTAGATCAATGTCACTGTTTATTTCTGCTGTATTGTATGCTCATCATCGATTTAAACACATTGTATTTGGTGACACGAAAGTGAATTGGGTGGATTTTACTTGACTGGGATAAAACGCTTTTGATTCCGGGTCTCTGTTTGCTCGTACATGCAATGTGGACTGCTACTGGCAACAAAGGCTGAAGTTGTAGCTTTCTCCTATTCACCATCTTTTCCTCAGCTGATAATCAATCTGAATTCACTTCTCTTTCTTTCTCCAGCCCTCTTTCTCTTCTACCTACTCTTCTTTGAAAGCGAATTGGTCTCTTAAGCTGCCAAACTACTTCAGACTTATTCAATTCCTCGACTGATTTGGTCCATATCCATTCTTATTTCCTATAGAGACCTCTCATGGGTTTAAGATGGAGTTATTGGAGTCTTACGAGGAGCCAGTATCTGGAAATGACCAGATACCCACTGAGCCCTTGCCAGCTGTGCCTCCTGACAATATCTTAGTAGATGTTGATGCCGATGAGAAAGACGATAGCTCGTCAGATGATTCAAACGATGAGAAGGAGACGCCCGCGGATCATAAAAACGTCTCTCAGCGCCGTCGAGTCCAGAATGCTAGGTTTGAAGCTCTGTATGTTTCGAATTCACAACTTATCTTGACTATTCAAGCTAATCCGTGCACAGGCTTTCCAAACGTGCTGACCCTGCTTCCATCGATACCACCAAAGCGGCACCTCCTGATTTACCAGAGGCACAACTCTCCACAGCTCACTTGGTAGCAAAGCAAGATCTTGGGTCGGGGACGCTGGACCCTCGGGAATATCAATTGGAGCTTTTCGAACGAGCAAAGGCGCAGAATACAATTGCTGTGCTTGATACTGGTTAGCCCACATTCATCATTTCAAATATAAATAAAGCAACCATCTAATATATCTCAGGCTCCGGGAAGACCTTGATTGCTGTGCTTTTGCTGAGGCACGTAATTCAAAATGAGCTGGTTGATCGTGGTGTAGGAAAACCACATCGCATATCATTCTTCTTGGTGCGTATGCTTTCTTCTTGTACTGATGAAAATACAAGTTTCTCACCTTCTATTTAGGTCGACAGCGTCACTCTCGCATACCAGCAGGCCGCTGTTCTCCGCAACAATTTGGATCAAAATGTGGCCCAATTCTTCGGCGCCATGGGTACTGACCTATGGAGCAAACAAGTCTGGGATGAGCATTTTGCAAAGAACATGGTAATAGTCTGTACAGCAGAGATTTTATACCAGTGTCTGCTTAATTCGTACGTGAGGATGAATCAAATAAATCTGTTGGTTTTTGACGAGGCCCATCACACCAAGAAAGATCACCCTTATGCAAGGTTTGTAGTATAAATCCGGATAAAAAGAGAAATGTGAGACTAACTGTATAATAGAATCATCAGAGACTCTTACTTCAAAGAGGTTCCATCTAAACGTCCTAGGATCTTTGGGATGACGGCGTCCCCGATTGATGCCAAAGGCGACATCATAGAAGCAGCTACGTAAGTCCGGATATACTAGGAGAATAAAGTAGTATCTTACCTTTATACAGGCGACTCGAGACACTCTTGGACAGTCAGATTGCAACGACATCGGATTTCACATTACTACGACAAGTCGTCAGTCGCCCTATGGAGAAAGTGTGGACATACGATAAACTAGAGCCACATTTTGCAACGAAGCTCTACAAGATAATGAAAGAAAAATATGGCGACATGGGCTCTCTTGAAGGTGTTTTCAGATTCGCCTGGAATGCAAGCTCTGAGTTAGGTAAATGGTGCTCGGATCGAGCGTGGACTCACGCCTTAGCAGATGATGTGCTGCCAAAGCTCGAAGGCAACGTTAACAAGCTCTCCCACTCTGACGCCGGGGGCCAGATACCTGAAAGTGCCTACAAAGAGATTGCGCGAATCAAGGAAGCCAATGAGACTGTCAAGAGCCATATGTTCAAAGACCCCGACACTCCAGGCGAGCTCAGCTCTAAAGTACAGATTCTTCGCAAAGAACTCGGCAAATATTTCGTATCAACGACAGATACAAAGTGCATTGTTTTCACTCAGAAACGATACACGGCCAAGATCTTATTTGAGCTTTTCACGGAATTGAACATTGCTCATCTACGCCCTGGTGTGCTTGTTGGCGTTCGATCGAGCGATATTGCGGGGATAAATACGACATTCCGTCAACAGTTTATGGCTCTGATGAAATTTAGAAAAGGAGAAATTAATTGCCTGGTAAGAGTTGTGCAAGTGAATTACTGCAGAATGCTTCCCTGACTTGTGCAAGTTTGCTACCTCAGTAGCCGAAGAAGGCCTCGACATTCCAGATTGCAATTTGGTGGTCAGGTATGTTGCTCGATCATACAAATTCCATATGCAAACTTATATTGACTTTGAAAGGTTCGACTTGTATCACACTTTGATTCAATATGTACAAAGCCGTGGTCGAGCTCGTCATTTCAACTCGACGGTAATGCCCCATTCATTTACGTATTGATGAAGCATAATAACATTTCGGTAGTATGCAAGTATGGTTGAGAGAGACAATGCAGAGCATGAAGCACGGCTGATGGAAGTCCGGGACGCAGAAGTACGAGCATTTCCATACATACTTCGAGATATATATATCTAACGCTTATCTAGAAAGTCATGCAAAGTTTTTGCGAAAGCCTCCCAGAAGATCGAATACTACATGGCTATGATCACGATTTGGGCCTGCTTCTACAAAAGGATGAGGGCAAAAGAACGTACACTATCAAGGCTACGGGTGCAAAGTTAACATATCATTCTGCCGTAGCTATCCTCGCACGTTACGCTAGTTCTTTGGTAAGCATGTCTCTAAAAGGAATTATATCCCAGTCCTAACAAAAGTAATTATGCAGCAATATGAAAAGGAATCACTGATTCAAGTTACCTATGTTGTTCTTCCTGTGAACAGTACCTTCACTTGTGAAGTCATCCTCCCGGAAAAGTCGCCCATTCGAGGACTAACAGGACGTCCCTCGATCAAAAAATCTACTGCCAAACAGTCTGCGGCATTCGATACTTGTCTCTTGTTGAGAAAGCAAGGACTTCTGGATGACTATTTTAATTCAATTTATCACAGACGTCTACCTGCGATGAGAAACGCAAAATTGGCCATTACGTCTAAGCAGACAAATCAATACGCCATGATGTCAAAACCATCCTTCTGGGGCAGTGGACATGATACTCTTCCAGTGAAGCTCTACGCTACCCTTGTTTCGTTTATGCCTTCGAAAGCCCTTACACGAGAGCACGGAACTATAGTTTTGCTGACCAGGGAAAAGCTGGTAAAGCTCCCAAACTTCTCCATTTTCCTTGACGAAGATGTAGAGACCACTGTGATTTCGGTCTCTGCAGAAAATATCCTACTGGTATCAACTCAAGATTTGGAGTGTTTGACAACATTCACGCTTCGTGTCTTTCGAGATGTGTTTCACAAGATTTATGAACGGCAAACCGAGAAAATGTCATATTGGCTAGCTCCAGCAAGTGCCGGGGCAGCTTTTGAAGAAAGGGCTGAACCAAGAACTGTTATTGACTGGAAACTGTTATCATTTGTCGAGGGAAACGATGGGATAGAATCCGTTGGTATGACCCCAGAATCCCTCGTCAACCGGTTTGTCTACGATCATTGGGATGGGAGGTATCGGTATTTCACCACTACGGTAGATGATACGCTTCGTCCTTCGGATCCTCCTCCATCTTTTGTTCCGCGTCGCAGGCATATGGAAAATATCATGAACTATTGCTTAAGTTTGTCGAAAAATTCGCGTGCGAAATTTCTTTCCAGTTGTGATTGGGACCAACCAGTCCTAAAGGCAGAGCTCGTTCGTCTGCGAAGAAATCTTCTTGACAAAATGTCAGAGCAGGAGAAGGACATGGGAACTAGATGTGTCATTTGTTTACAGCCTTTGAAAATCTCTACTGTAAGTCACCCCTAATTCCACGGTTCTACTGATATGTATATATTTGCTAACCAACAGCCAAGATCCCTGCATCAATCGCCGCCTCCTGTTTGGCATTCCCGGCTATTATCAGCAGAATCGATTCTTATTTGGTGGCTCTCGAAGCCTGTGATATTCTAGACTTGACCATTCTACCAGAATATGCTCTGGAAGCATTTACCAAGGACTCTGACAACACGGAAGAGCACAGAGGCCAACAAATCCAATTTCAAAGAGGCATGGGCAAGAACTATGAGCGTCTTGAATTCTTAGGAGACTGCTTCCTAAAAATGGCTACTTCGATTTCCCTTTTCACGCAAAACCCTGATGACGACGAGTTTGACTATCATGTGAACCGGATGTGTCTTATCTGCAATAAGAACTTGTTCAATACGGCTATCAAGAAGGAGCTTTATAAATACATCCGAAGTCGTGGATTCTCTCGGTAAGTCTTCCTACATGGGGGTGAGAACTATTATACCTAACAAATTGGCAAGGCACGCATGGTATCCCGAAGGCCTTACTCTGCTACAGGGTAAGGATCATAGCAAAAAGGTATCCGCTGAAGCAAAACATGCTCTTGGAGAAAAGACAATTGCAGATGTTTGCGAGGCATTGATAGGAGGGTCTCTGCTCTCAGGTGGCCCTGAGCATCGGTTTGACGTCGCTGTTAAAGCAGTGAGTGCGCTTGTTGACAGCCCAAGTCACAGCTTCTCGTGCTGGAAAGACTACTATTCTCTGTATTCTCTGCCAAAGTATCAAATCCATCCGCCGGATGGCTTTGAGCTTGATCTTTCTCAGAAGGTTTTTGATAAATTGGGGTATAATTTCAAATACCCTCGACTGCTGCGATCGGCTTTCACACATCCATCATACCCTTCAGCGTGGGCCCAAGTGCCATGTTATCAGCGACTCGAGTTCCTGGGAGATTCTTTGTTGGACATGGTTTGCGTTGAAGATCTATTTGGTCGATTCCCTGATCGAGATCCCCAGTGGCTCACGGAGCATAAGGTAGGCTAACAGACCGATCCCTTTTCGAGCAATACCTAATAATAATTCTATAGATGGCGATGGTATCCAACAAGTTCCTCGGTGCTTTGGCTGTTAGGCTTGGGCTACACAGGCATCTTAGGCATTTCAGCAATCCATTGCAGTCGCAGATTACCAATTATGCAGAGGAGATCGAGACAGCGGAAACTGAGAGTGAAAGCGGAGTAGACTACTGGGTTGTTACGAAGGACCCGCCTAAGGTATTCCATCGAAATACTTGAGGGTTGAGTTTTGGAACTAACATGTTTGTACCATAGTGTCTGCCAGACATGGTTGAAGCGTACCTTGGAGCTACCTTTGTTGACTCGGGCTTCAGTTATGACGTAGTGCAAGAGTTCTTCCAAAACCACGTCAAGCCATTCTTCCATGATATGGCGATCTACGACACGTTTGCCAACAAGCATCCAACCGTAAGGCCGTTGTTATTTCTGATGAGAAGATGTCAAACTGACCTTATCTCAGACGTTTCTACACAGCAGGTTGACAAACGAGTACGGCTGCACCAATTATTGCCTGAAGGCGGGAGAGATCCCAGCTGGCGACGGAGGACCAGGTAGTGTTTTGGCAGCTGTGATCGTGCATGATTCCGTCATTGCAGAAGGAACAGCATCATCTGGTCGCTATGCCAAAGTGAAGGCGAGCGAGAAAGCACTCACCCTACTTGAAGGAATGCTTCCATTTGAGTTTCGCAGGAAATACCACTGTGACTGCCAGGAGAAAGGCAGTGCTCAAGATACAGATATGGGGACTGCGATTTAGATCTGTTGCTGCCAATTGGCCATGGAGACGCCAAGATATATTTAATCTCCAATCCCCAATCCCCTGTTTAAAACGAAACAGATAGATGAGGATGAAACGTCTTTTTCCTTGCAGCATGAAGTAGAATAAGGACCATCCCTTAATAATAACGACAGACCCCTTGCTTCTTGGTCCATGTAGGTATAAGAACGGTCCAGGAACGACGTTGAGCCATGGATGTCACATGGGAGCGCCCGTTAGACGCTATCCCCTTCCTGGCCTAGCGCCAGCACCCCTGAAGTAGACCGACAGAAACATGCCCGCCGCGTCCCACTGCGACGGTTGTTGGTTGTCAGCTAGCTGCTCTGAGAGTGAATCATGAATTTCTGATCCACCGCTCTCTGTTTACCAACCGACTGTTCTTTTTCTCTCCTTTATCCTCTTCAACCTTATCGCTCCTTCTAGCTTCTTATCTCGCCTCGTTGTCCCTTCTCAGCATCCCAGGCGGACGGCGCGTTTCGCTGCATTTTACGGATAGCCTGCGACAAAGCCACGATTTGTTAATACCCGATCCTCGATGGTTCTTGCGGATCGCTGTTGATAAACAATAATGGATATGGAGGTCGCAACTCCAGGGGTGTCCAATGGTGTTGCGACACCAGGACAGGCCTCGTTGGTGGATTCGAACGCTATCATACAATACTTGACGGAGGTGCTGCAGGTGACTTTGGGAGCTCTGAAAACCGAGCTGGAAAGTACTGGCAGTTTGCTGTCCAAGACAAAGTACAGTGAGACTGTACAACGGTGTACGCGATTTGCTTCAGAGTCGCAGGTCGCCCTGTATGTGCAGAAGGATCTTGTAGCCTCCGAAGAGGCGAATGGAACAGAGGATGGTCAAGGTATGAAGGCTATGATATTTGCAGGGTGAGAGCTCCCATACTGATTATTTACTACCAGCATCGTCTGTCCAGTATATTTACAATCTCTCCGCTGAAATCTCCTCGTCGTCAACTACGGTCGCGTCCGTAGCCTTTATCAAACGCCCCACCGCCATTGATCCCACGCTTCCCATACAGTCTCAAATCCAAGTAATGAACCTTCCCGGACTGGCATCGCTTAATAATTCCCAAGCCCAACAAGGTGGTTCCATGTCGCCATATGAGATTTTGCACTTGCTGGTACATCATGGGTTGAGCCCCTACTTTGAGGCTTACACACGCAACCAAGATGTGGTCGGTGGTTCCAAGCCGAGGACGGACACGGAAGTCAAGACGGGTGTTCCAGGAACGAAGAAGAAGTTTGCAGAGCTGGAGCTTGGTCTTTTGCATTTGCAACAGAATGTCGAGATTCCGGCTTTGAACCTGCCGCTCCACGAAGTCGTCCAAGCTGCATTGGATGAGGCGGAGTCGCGAGGAGTCAAGCCCTCTGTAGAGCTGATTCCCTCTACAATTCTCGAAAATAGTGCTTTTATAAACAGCATTCAAAATAATGTCAATGCCTGGATCAGATCTATCCAGACAATCACGAAGATGTCTCGTGACGCTGACAGCGGATCAGCGGCGCAAGAGATTAATTTCTGGCTGTCCATGGAAACTGCTTTGGAGGGAATTGAAAAGCAACTGCGTGGTGATGGTGTCCAATTGACCATGGACATCCTTCGTCATGCCAAGCGTTACCAAGCGACTCTCAGTTTCGTGGCTGACACTGGTCTGCGCGAGGCCACTGATTTGGTCCAGAAATACAACCAGCTTATGCGAGACTTTCCCTTAGATGAGCTTCTATCTGCGACTACACTACAGAAAGTCCAGGAATCCCTTGGTCTGATCTTCAACCATCTCAATAAGAAGCTGAAGATTTGCCCGTACCCCATCAAGCGAGCCCTCGCACTTGTTGAAGCCATCTCTGGCGATCTCGACTCGCAGATTCATTCCCTGCTTCATGGCCGAACGATTTTGCATTTGGATTACCGTGAGTTCCGTTCGTTGATGAAGACGGCTGGCGCGATCTGGCGGACATGGGATGAGAACCTTAAAGAGTTCACCAATGTCGCTCGTGAGTCAACAAGACGTCGTAATGAGAAATTCATTCCCATCAAGATTGCTGCGCGACACGAGAAGACCCAAGAAAGATTGAAGTACATCAACACATTCAGAGTTAACCACGAGCAGCTTCAAAAAACGATTGTCAATGTTCTTGGTCCAAAGAGTTCCTCATCTGGAGATACGGCCACCGGGACTGGCTCCGACGGTGCTGTGATTGTTGAGGAAATCGGCGATGTGGATGCTGTCGAGGAAGTCGCTCAAGCATACGCCGCTCTCAAGAATGTGGATGTGCTTGATGTATCGTCTGAAGGAACCCAGCTTTGGATCCAGGAGGAGATTGCCTACAACGAGCGTACGTCCCGCGTCGAGAATTCTATCATCGCTCGCCTCAGAGATCGCCTTGCTACCGCAAAGAACGCCAATGAGATGTTCCGTGTCTTCTCGAAGTTCAACGCCCTTTTGGTCCGCCCCAAGATTCGTGGTGCTATTGGCGAGTACCAAACGCAGCTCATCGAAAATGTGAAGCAGGATATCACTGCCTTGCATGAACGGTTCAAGCAACAGTATGGCCACTCCGAGGCTCACGCCATGGCCCAATTGCGTGACCTCCCTCCCGTTTCTGGTGCGATCGTTTGGGCTCGTCAGATCGAACGACAGCTTGATGGTTACATGCGAAAAGTCGAGGACGTTCTTGGAGAGGATTGGCACTTGCATTCCGAGGGCCAGAAACTCCAAGCCGAGGGCAACCTGTTCCGCAAGAAGCTTGATACTCGGCCGGTTTTCGAATCATGGCTGCACGATGTGCAAAGGCGGCACATTACCATATCTGGACGATTATTCAATGTTGTGCGGAACCGTGCTGCAGGAAACTCTTTGGAGCTTACTGTCAACTTCGATGCCCAGATCATCGCCCTCTTCAAGGAAGTCAGAAATCTTATCTGGCTCAATTTCCAGGTGCCCCATGCCGTCAGCAACATATCCAAGGAGGCAAAGCGAGTGTACCCGTATGCAATCAGCTTGATGGAGAGTGTCCGAACGTTGTTGCAAACAAATCGCTCGATTGCTTCTATGACGGAGGTCGCGATCCTGTTGAATGGATATCTGAATGACGCGCAGGGCATGATCGTCAAGGGTATCCCTCTCAGATGGGAGTCCTTTGTCCACTCATATGAGCTTCATGTCAAGCAATCAGCCCTGGCTAACGGCGCAATTGATTCCACCATCCCCAGCAGAGGCGAGAGCAAGCACGTTCAATTTGTCCGTGAATTTGCTGGCTCAGCATCGGTTCTCCAATCTAAGACCGCTGTCCTGGCCTCGATCAATGAAAACATTCAGAAATCGATCCATGAATTGAAAACATGCCCTTATGATGCCGCCGCTTTCAAGCAGCGCCTGGATACTATCCAGGTTGCCGTTGACAAGCTTAACCTGGAGAACTATGTCAACCTTGGATATTGGGTCGCCAACCTGAACCAGAAGATCGAGTTGATTCTTCGCGAGCGCCTCCACCGTGCCATTCGCGAGTGGATCGCAGCCTTCCAAGAAGCGAAGAACGAACAACAAAACACGCAAACCTCGATTGGAACCCAGTACCCAGCACCGGGCGAACCAGAGGCTGTGGCCTACAACATCGAATTCCCTGAGCTAATCCACGAAATCTCAATGCGCAACCAAGTGCTTCATCTTGACCCACCGCTGCAATTTGCCCGCGCAAGCTGGTTCTCGCAATTCGATCACTGGTTGGGCGTTATTTGCAATCTAGAGAAGATCAAATCATCTCGGTACCAGATTTCTATCGACGTGCAAAAGGTTCACCTGTCCGAATCTTGCTTTGCAACTCTCCCCCAGCACTGCACCAATGAGCTCAACCAAGTTTACAACGCAGTGGAAGCTAGACTGAAGGAAGTATCCGCATACGTCGACAAATGGTTGCAGTTCCAGTCGCTTTGGGATCTGCAGTCCGATAATGTCTATGATATCTTGGGTGATGATCTATCCCAATGGCTCCAGCTGCTCCAAGAAATCAGAAAGAGCCGTGCTACCTTTGATACTTCTGAGGTCAGCCGCTCATTTGGCAACATCAAGATCGACTACGAACAAGTGCAGACAAGGGTTAACGCCAAGTACGACCAGTGGCAACATGAAATTCTTTTGAAATTCGGATCGAAACTTGGAGGCCGCATGAGAGAGGTTCACTCCGAGATCGCTTCTGCACGACGTGATTTGGAAGGGCAGACTTTGGAAGCTTCTTCAACGGCACACGCAGTCTCTTTCATTACAATTGTCCAGCAATGCAAGCGCAAGGCTAAGGTTTGGGAACCAGAAGTTGACCTGTTCCGACAAGGCCAGGCCACGCTCGCGCGCCAGCGTTATCAGTTCCCAAGTGACTGGCTACATGTCGAGAATGTCGATGGCGAATGGGCCGCCCTCAATGAGTTGCTCGCACGGAAGAGCAAGATCGTCCAGGACCAAACTGAGGGTCTTCGTGCAAAGATCACTGCCGAAGATAAAGTTATCAGCGACAAGATTACTGAGATTATTGGCCAATGGAATGATGAAAAGCCAGTGTCTGGTACCATTCCACCTGATGAAGCATCGCGGACACTGAGCTTCTTCCAGTCCCGCCTTGAAGCTCTCCAGTCTGAATTTGAGATGGTATCCAAGGCAAAGGAAGCCCTTGATCTTCCTGCAAGCACTGAATCTTCTCTGCCTGCAATCTTGGAAGAAGTCCAGGACTTCATGTCCGTCTGGGCGGCGTTGTCGACTATCTGGAAGAGTCTTCATGATCTTAGGGACGGTCTGTGGACTAGCGTGCAACCCAGAAAGCTTCGCCAGTCTATCGATGGCTTGATCAAGATGACAAAGGAGATGCCGAGTAGAATGCGCCAGTACGCCGCTTTCGAACACATCCAAAATGTACTTCGCCAGCTACTTAAGGTTAACCCCCTGCTTTCTGATATGAAATCTGAAGCAGTTCGGGAGAGGCACTGGCAGAAGATTTACAAGGCTCTGAAACCGGGCAAGAGGTTCTCCTTCGTTTCTCTTACTCTTGGAGACGTATGGGATCTCCAGCTTGCTACTAGCGAGACGGTCATCCGCAATATCATTGCCCAAGCTCAGGGTGAGATGGCCCTAGAGGAGTTCTTGAAGTCTGTTCGTGAAACATGGCAGAACTACTCGCTGGACCTTGTCAACTACCAGAACAAGTGTCGCCTCATCCGTGGATTCGACGACCTGTTTGCGAAATGCAGTGAGAACTTGAATTCTCTGCAAGCCATGAGGCACTCCCCATACTACAAAGAATTCGAAGAGGAGGCATCTTCTTGGGAAGATAAGCTAAACAGAGTTCATGTTCTCTTCGATGTATGGATCGATGTCCAGAGACAATGGGTTTACCTTGAGGGTGTTTTCACGGGCAATGCCGATATCAAGCACCTCCTTCCTCTGGAGTCCAGTCGCTTCCAGAACATCAACTCGGAATTCTTTGCTGTGATGAAGAAGGTTTACAAATCGCCTTTCGTGTTAGATGTGTTGGCCATCAACGGAGTGCAAAAGTCATTGGAGAGATTGGCCGAGCTGCTCAATAAGATTCAGAAAGCATTGGGAGAGTACCTGGAGCGTGAACGTATCTCTTTCCCCCGTTTCTACTTCGTTGGTGATGAAGACCTGCTTGAAATCATTGGTAACGCAAATGATGTCTTGCGTGTCGCCAAGCACTTCAAGAAAATGTTCGCCGGTCTTTCCGGGCTCCTGATGGATGATGAAAACAACATTGTTGGATTTACGTCTAAAGAGGGCGAAGAAGTCCGTCTCAAGAAGGAAGTCAATCTTGTCAAGACCCCTAGAATCAACGACTGGTTGAGCGCACTCGAAAGCAACATGAAATTGACACTGGCGGAGCTTCTTGGTGAAGCCGTTGAGCAGTTTGATGGCCTTTACAATGCGGCTGAAGTCGACCAAACGGCTTTCAACGACTTCCTTGCCAACTACCCAGCTCAGATTGTTGTTCTTGCCAGTCAAGCCGTGTGGACAAATGTGGTACAGAAGTCTTTGGAGAACGAGGGCACTAATCTCCCCGCTTTGTATGATGCTCAGGTCAGACTCCTCGAACTGCTTGCCGCTACTGTCCTTGGTGATTTGGACTCCATCAGTAGAAAGAAGTGTGAGCATATGATTACAGAATTCGTCCACCAACGAGATGTCATCTCCAAGCTCATCAAGTTCAATGCTACAACCCCAATGCACTACCTGTGGCTCCTTCAAATGCGTTACGTCTTCAACCCCGAAGCCGACTACCTGCAAAGGTTGTACGTTCACATGGCAAATGCCAAGCTGAACTACGGTTTTGAGTACCTGGGTGTTCCAGAACGCCTCGTCCGCACCCCTCTTACTGATCGCTGCTTCCTGACGCTTACTCAAGCCTTGTGTCAGAGACTTGGTGGCTCTCCCTATGGTCCCGCTGGTACAGGAAAAACAGAATCCGTCAAGGCATTGGGTCTCCAACTTGGCCGCTTTACTCTTGTCTTCTGTTGTGATGACACTTTCGATTTCCAGGCAATGGGCCGAATTTTCCTTGGTATCTGTCAGGTTGGAGCATGGGGTTGCTTTGACGAATTTAACCGTTTGGAAGAGAGAATCTTGTCTGCTGTTTCCCAACAGATCCAGAATATCCAAATTGGTCTGAAGAATGGAGAAGACGACGAGAAGTCCCAAATTGACTTGGTTGGAAGACGACTTTCTGTCAACCCTAACACTGGAATTTTCATCACAATGAACCCTGGATATGCAGGACGTTCCAACCTGCCCGATAACTTGAAGAAGCTCTTTAGAAGTGTGGCTATGTCCAAACCTGACAAGGAACTCATTGCGGAGGTTATGCTTTTCTCGCAAGGTTTCAAGCAGGCCAAGCCCTTGTCGAAGCAGACAGTGCCCTTCTTCGACCACTGCGCCGCTAAATTGTCGAAGCAGGCGCACTATGACTTTGGTCTTCGTGCCTTGAAGAGTGTTTTGGTTAGTTCCGGTGGTCTCAAGCGCACTCGAATTGCCACTTCCGACAGTGACTTGGGCCCAGACGAAGTTGTCGAACCTCAAATCATCGTACAGAGTCTTCGAGAGACCATCGCCCCCAAACTGGTCCGAGATGATGTTGAGAGGATGCTGGAGATTCAAACACAGGACTTCCCTGGCGTGGAGTATGTGCGAGCCAACTTTGACAAGCTCACCGCGGCCATCCGTGAGATCGCTGAAGAGCAACATTACGTCGACAGCGAGATGTGGATCAACAAGGCGCTCCAGCTTCATCAAATCCAGACCATTCACCACGGTGTCATGATGGTTGGAAAATCTGGATCCGGTAAATCTGCTGCATGGAAAATCCTTCTCCAGGCCTTGCAGCGCATTGAGGGCGTTGAAGGTGTTTCTCACATCATCGACTCCAAGGTCATGTCCAAGGAGGCACTCTACGGTAACCTTGACAGCACAACCAGAGAATGGACAGATGGTCTGTTTACTGGTATTTTGAGAAAGATTGTGGATAATCTTCGAGGAGAGGACTCGAAGCGACACTGGATTGTTTTCGATGGTGACGTTGATCCCGAATGGGTTGAGAACCTGAACAGTGTTCTTGACGATAACAAGCTCCTTACCCTTCCCAACGGAGAGCGTCTCAACTTACCCCCCAATGTTCGCATAATGTTTGAAGTCGAAAGTCTTAAATACGCCACCCTGGCTACGGTCAGTCGTTGCGGTATGGTTTGGTTTAACGAGGATACTGTTACGCCCTCTATGATGATTACAAACTATGTCGAGTCACTTAGGACAAAGACCTTCGAAGACCTCGATGATGACAGTGCTCCTGCAGGACAAGCAGCAATCAAGACCCAGGACTCTCAGGAAATGCTTTCAACGATCCTCAAGCACCTCTTGCAAACCGATGGACTTGTGATGAACGCCCTCAGCGAGGCAAAGAAGTACAACCATATCATGGATTTCACCGAGATTCGCGGTCTCAACACTTTGTTCAGTCTTTTGAACAAGGCCTGCCGAAATGTTCTCGAGTACAACATCCAGCATGTGGACTTCCCACTTGACTCCGAGCAGATAGAGTCCTATATTTCCAAGAAGCTCCTTCTTGCCCTTGTTTGGTCATTTACTGGAGACTGTCCATTGGCAGACCGTCAATCCTTCGGGCAATCTGTGTCGGCCCTGTCCACTATTGAATTGCCGCCTTATAATGAATCCTCTTTGATCGACTTTGACATCACGCTTCCCAAAGCTGAATGGACAAGCTGGCAGTCACAGGTGCCCTCCATCGAAATCAACACCCACTCCATTACGCAGACCGATGTGGTTATTCCGACAGTGGATACTGTTCGCCACGAAGATGTTCTCTACTCATGGCTCGCTGAGCATAAGCCTTTGTTACTTTGCGGTCCTCCTGGATCGGGTAAGACGATGACATTGTTTGCTGCTCTCAGAAAACTCCCGAATATGGAGGTTGTCGGTCTCAATTTCTCCAGTGCCACCACCCCCGATCTTTTGATCAAGACTTTCGAGCAATACTGCGAATACAAGAAGACTCTGAATGGTGTTGTTATGTCCCCCAACCAGATTGGACGATGGTTGGTTCTCTTCTGCGACGAAATAAACCTTCCCGCCCCCGATCACTACGGAACCCAGCGAGCCATTTCCTTCCTGAGACAGCTTGTCGAGCAGAATGGCTTCTGGAGGACGTCCGACAGGACTTGGGTTACCTTGGACCGCATCCAGTTCGTTGGTGCTTGTAACCCTCCCACTGATGCTGGACGTACGCCGATGGGCGAGCGATTCTTGCGCCATTCGCCCTTGATCATGGTTGATTACCCCGGAGAGCTTTCTCTCACTCAGATATATGGCACATTCAACTCTGCTGTCCTCAAGATCATTCCGTTGTTGCGTGGGTACGCTGAGTCACTTACGAAAGCCATGGTGCAATTCTACTTGGAATCCCAGACTAGATTCACTGCGAAGATTCAGCCTCATTACGTGTACTCGCCTCGTGAACTTACTAGATGGGTTCGTGGTGTCTATGAAGCAATCAAACCGCTCGAGAGCCTCTCGGTCGAAGGGCTGGTGCGTATTTGGGCACACGAGGCTCTGCGTCTTTTCTCCGATAGACTGGTCGCCGAAGATGAAAGGAACTGGACAGCTGATGCAGTTCGCCGCATTGCCTTGGAACATTTCCCCACGATTGATGACGAGCAAGCCCTTAAGGGACCTATCTTGTTCTCGAACTGGCTGTCTAAGAACTACGTGCCAGTCGAACAAGAGCAACTCCGTGACTTTGTCAAGGCACGTCTCAAGACTTTCTGCGAAGAAGAAGTAGATGTTCCTCTTGTGCTGTTCAACGACGTCCTGGAGCATGCACTGCGTATCGACCGAGTATTCCGACAGCCTCAAGGTCATCTTATTCTGATTGGAGTTAGCGGAAGTGGAAAGACTACATTGTCCCGCTTTGTCGCCTGGATGAACGGTCTCAAGGTCTTCCAGATCAAGGTCCACGGAAAATACTCTTCGGAAGATTTCGACGATGATTTGAGAAGCGTCCTTCGTCGGGCAGGATGTAAGGGCGAAAAGATTTGTTTCATTATGGACGAATCTAACGTTCTTGACTCTGGTTTCCTTGAGCGCATGAATACTCTCCTTGCCAACGCTGAAGTCCCCGGTCTTTTCGAGGGAGATGAGTTCTCCTCCTTGATGACTGCCTGTAAGGAGGGTGCACAGCGACAGGGTCTCCTTCTTGACTCGCAAGAAGAGCTCTACAAGTGGTTCACGCAACAGATTGTCCGAAACCTTCACGTTGTCTTTACGATGAACCCGCCTGAAGAAGGGCTGTCGTCGAAGGCTGCCACTAGTCCTGCACTGTTCAACCGTTGTGTTCTCAACTGGATGGGCGACTGGTCCGACCAAGCCCTTTTCCAGGTCGGCTCTGAACTAACACAGTCGGTTGATCTGGACAAGCCAAACTTTGTTGCCCCTGACAGTATTCCGGTGGCCTACCGTGAATTGAGTCTTCCGGCATCGCACAGAGAAACGGTCGTGAACTCAATGGTCTACATTCACTACTCGTTGCAGAAATTCAACCAACGTCTGCAGAAGCAACAGGGCAGGACTACTTATCTGACTCCTCGCCATTACCTTGACTTTGTTGCTCAATATGTGAGACTGTTCAATGAAAAGCGTGAGGACCTCGAAGAACAGCAGAGGCACTTGAATGTTGGTCTTGAGAAGCTCAGGGATACCGTGGACAAAGTCAGCGATCTTCGCGCTAGTCTTGCACAGAAGAAGACTCAGCTCGAGAAGAAAGATACCGAGGCCAACGAGAAACTGCAACGCATGGTTGCCGATCAGCGGGAGGCAGAGCAACGGAAATCCGTCTCGCTTGAGGTTCAGGCAGCGCTAGAGAAACAAGAACAAGAAGTAGCCACTCGAAAGGAGGTTGTGCTGAATGACCTTGCCAGAGCCGAGCCTGCTGTTCTGGATGCCCAGAAGAGTGTCAGCAACATTAAGCGTCAACATCTCACTGAAGTTCGTTCTATGGGCAATCCCCCAGCCAGTGTTCGTCTTGCTCTGGAAGCCGTCTGCACTCTGCTTGGACACAAGGTCGATAGTTGGAAGACTATCCAGGGTATTGTACGAAAGGATGATTTCATTGCCAGTATTGTGAACTACGACAATGAACGCCAGATGACTCGGAGCCACCGAATCAAGATGCAGAACGAGTTCCTGTCCAAGGAGGACTTCACCTACGAAAGAGTTAACCGTGCCAGTAAGGCCTGTGGTCCTTTGGTTCAGTGGGTCGAAGCACAAGTCAACTATTCTGCAATCTTGGACAGGGTTGGGCCTCTTCGTGAAGAGGTTGACCAGCTCGAGGAGCAAGCCTTGCAGACCAAAGCGGAAGCCCAGGCTATTGAAAACACAATCCAGGACCTCGAAGCCAGTATCTCCACATACAAGGCCGAGTATGCAGCGCTCATTAGCGAGACCCAGGCCATCAAGACCGAGATGTCCAGAGTGCAATTCAAGGTCGACAGAAGTGTACGGCTACTCGACAGTCTGTCGTCTGAGCGTGGCCGATGGGAGGAGGGCAGCAAGTCATTCGAAACTCAAATCAGCACTCTTGTGGGTGATGTCCTCATTGCGTCTGCATTCCTTGCCTACGCTGGTTTCTACGATCAGCAATTCCGAAAGGCAATGGTGGATGACTGGGTCACTCAGCTGGCCCAGTCCGGCATCAGCTTCAAACCACACAACCCCATCACGGAGTACCTGTCGAATGCCGATGAGCGCCTGACTTGGCAAGACCACTCGCTGCCAGTCGACGATCTTTGCACCGAAAACGCCATTGTCTTGAAGCGGTTCAACAGATACCCTCTGATCATCGACCCCTCTGGTCGCGTCACCGAGTTCTTGCAGAAGGAAAGCACGGAGAGAAAGCTCACGGTTACAAGCTTTTTGGACGACTCTTTCGTCAAACAACTGGAGAGTGCCTTGCGTTTCGGAAACCCAATTCTTATCCAGGATGCCGAACATCTGGATCCCGTCCTCAATCATGTTCTCAACAAGGAGTACCAGAAGACTGGAGGACGTGTTCTTATCCAGCTTGGCAAGCAGGAAATCGACTTTTCTCCTTCGTTCAAACTCTTCCTTTCGACTAGAGACCCATCTGCATCGTTCCCACCAGATGTGTGCAGTAGAACCACTTTCGTCAACTTTACTGTCACGCAGAGCAGTTTGCAAACTCAGTCGCTCAACGAAGTGCTGAAGTTCGAGCGACCTGATGTGGATGAGCGACGTACCAACCTTGTCAAATTGCAAGGAGAATTCAAGGTTCACTTGCGTCAACTTGAAAAGCGTCTCTTGCAAGCATTGAACGAGTCCCGTGGCAATATTCTTGACGATGACAATGTCATCGAAACTCTGGAGACTCTTAAGAAGGAGGCCGCTGAAATTTCGAAGAAGATGTCGGAAACCGAGGGCGTCATGACTGAGGTCGAAAATGTCACACTCAACTACAGCATCATTGCCCGAGCCTGCAGTGCTGTGTTTGCAGTATTGGAGCAACTTCACCACATCAATCATTTCTACCAATTCTCTCTCCAGTACTTTGTTGACATCTTCAACTCGGTACTTTATCAGAACAAGCGTCTTGCCCAAGAGAAAGACCATTCCGCTCGCGTTCAGATCATTCTTCGGGATCTGTTCGTTACAACCTATCAGCGAACTTCGCTAGGGTTGATCCAGAAGGATCGAATCACACTGGCCATGCTGCTCGCCCAAGCTGTGCCCTTCGCGATGGACAAGAGCATTATTGACATCATCCTTGATGAATCATCAGAAGGTACAGACCTGTCGACGACCCCCGAACTTCGCGATCAAGTCATGAGCCGTATCGCGAACATGTCGCTTTTCAAGTCCACTATTTCAGCCGTGTCTTCTGAACAATGGGACCAATTCCTCAGCGAAGAGCTTGCTGAAAATGCTGTCCCTCCTATCTGGGAAGAGAACACAATTGATCTGGACAAGTTACTCCGATCTCTCCTTCTTGTGAAACTGTGTAGAATGGATCGGTTTGTGCCCACTGCTGAGCGCTTTATCGAAGCCGTTTTCGGTCGGGAGTTGTTTGAGGGAAGCAGCGACCTGAAGGACGTTGTGGAACAAGTCACAGCGACTACGCCAATCTCTCTTAGTTCAAGCCCGGGCTTCGATGCCAGTTACAAGGTTGATGCGCTTGTCGAGCGCACACACGCAACCTGTGCCAACATTGCAATGGGCTCCAACGAAGGTCTCCAGAGCGCCGACAAGGCAATCAGCAACGCTGCAGCGGCAGGCACCTGGGTGTTGGTCAAGAACGTGCATCTGGCTCCATCTTGGCTCCAGAGTCTAGAAAAGAGACTTGACTCGCTCAAGCCGCACAAAGACTTCAGACTCTTCCTTTCCATGGAATCTAGTCCTAAGATTCCTGTCAATCTGATCCGCGCTTCCCGCGTGCTTATGTACGAACAGCCTGCGGGTGTGCGCGCCAACATGAAAGATTCCCTGTCTTCTTTGTCAGTAAGGGCCGGCAAGCCTCCGGTCGAAAAGGCCCGTGTCTACCTCTTGCTCTGCTTCTTGCATGCCGTCGTCCAAGAACGTCTACGGTATGCTCCCAACCTTGGTTGGAAGGGATTCTGGGAGTTCAACGATAGTGATGTAAGTTTTTTCAAACTCAAAGTTAACGAATTCAGCTAACACGCTTTTTACAGTACCAATGCTCTGCCTACATCATCGATGTGTGGGTTGACACCGTTTCTCAAGGCCGCTCAAACGTTGCGCCTCAGAAACTTCCTTGGGACATGATCCGCACCCTTGTGACAGAGATGTATGGTGGTAAAATTGATGACAGCGAAGACTTCCAACAGCTGGAGAGTCTCGTCACCAGCTTCCTCACTCCAGCCGCCTTTGAGGACGAGTACAAATTGGTCTCTGGCGTCGAGAAAGATGACTGCCTGGCCCTTCCTGGAGAAACAAGCATCCGCGACTTTGTCGAATGGGTTAACCGCCTTCCTGAGCGCGAACCACCCACATACCTGGGTCTGCCTGCCAACGCGGAGAAGTTGTTGCTGGTTGGTCATGGTAAGAAGATGATTTCTGATTTGTCCAAGTTGACAAACCTGTTGGATGAAGGGGAGCAATTGATGGTCGATGCTTGAGTTTATTGACTGTATTGATTTTTATTTTGCATTTTCTTGTATATCAACATGACAAGGTGGATATACCTCTCCTTGGAGGTTGATGGATATAGTCTCTCTTCCCCTCTTTTTTTGTATTATTTTTTAGACTTCTTCTTACAACTTCCTGTATCTTTTCTCAACTACGTAGCCTGTTACATATCTTGGATGTTCTCTTATACACTACAAATGAGCTGATATATGTATGTCTATGTCGATCAATGTACCATATGGTATGATATTCATCTGGTTCAATCATCAAAATAATGTCACATTCCTATCGGCACATGCTAGGTTGTCCACCAGGGACTCGTCTCATTTTACCGAGACTCGATATGACAGCACAAAAAAAGAAGACAAAAAACGTAAAGGTATGGGTCGTAACTAAGGTATCTCTCATCAAGTCGTCAGGCATAAAAGGCGGGCGTAAGTCAGATCTCCGCAAATCCGTAAACCGTATGACCTATCTAAGTTTGGAAATAAATAGTCAGTAGCTGGGACTAGAGCATTTGGTTTGGAAACCTGAGAGGGGAAAAAGAGCTTACCTTCTGAAGCGCATAAACAACCTATCCAGTCAGAGACGCCAATGTTAGTACAGGTGTTTTTCAATACATTCCCACGTATGATAGTTAGATAGTCGGTGACTACTTACATCTCGGGTGGTAACAACCTATTTCGAACCCCCATTAACTAGGTAGAACAAATGAAGAACATGTTTAAATATATCTTACCTTTCGCTCATGGCTGGGGGTCCGGGCAGACTCGAGAATGTAAACGACATGACGTAGAATCTGATACTGTCAGTTCTTCTTGCTTTCGAGGTATGTATAACCAGACACAGAAAGTGTTATAAGGTAGGTAAGGTAGGTTACTTACCTCACGGAGACGGTCCTTCAGCACTCCCCGAATCTCATCGTAGATCTCTTTCTTGATGCGCATCACACCACCCCGACGAGCGAGACGACTATAAGTAACCGGTTAGGAAGAAGATCTTCTGCTCCACAGGGTGTTCGGTCACGTACCGGATGGCGGGTCTTGCTGGGAGGTTGTTAGCTAGGAAAGACGGAATTGATTTGAAGAAAGAAGTCTTACTGATCCCTGCGATGTTATCACGGAGCTTTCTAAATTTGCTGTTAGCTAAAGGCTTTTTTATGAAGGGATTCGGATATCGCAGGCTGGGAAGTGCTTTTGGTAACGCACCGGTGTCTTTTGGGGAAGATGTTCTGCAGGCGAGGGGCCATTTTGTGCGATTAGTGCGTAGAGTTAGTTGGTAGTAGATAAGGAGTTATTCAGAACCGGGTGGATGGTATTATCAGGAAGAAGAATGAGAAGTTGAAGACGGCAAACGAAATGGGAAGAGATGGGTGTTGTAGAGAAGAAGACTTCGAGAGACAAAGTTAGGGGTTAAGAAATACCCAGCCGAATAACACAAGAGCGACAACACTGACATGTCTGGTTTGTGTTGAATAGGAATAGGATAGCAAGTGAATTAACAATAGGGAAGTTGGAATGGAGTTGCTGGGGAATAATAAGGGGGCAGTAGTAGCTGGTGAATTGGGTTCATTTCAAGAAAAGAGGGCCGGCAGGGAAAACAATAGGAAAGACGGCAAGATGGAGAAAGTTTTTATTTCTTTTTAATTGTTTGTTCACTTGGAAAGAATTATATATATTTCAATAACATTAAGTATTCTTTAGTGGTCTGTGGATTATGAGGAATCACGGTGTGCGTTGCGTATGAATAGCATCAATCAATAAGAAAAAGAGAAACACTCAAAAACGCCATCGACGAGTTCCCAGAGCTTGGTTCCTATGCATGGGGGCTCGTTTACGAGATGAAAGTAGCCTCGGAGAACATGAATCCCTCCTCTGTAGTTTCGGTATCGCCGACCTTGAGCTTCAGGGAGAGCTTCTCTTGGGGAGAGTACTGGGCTATGTTAGAGTCATTTGCTTATTAAAAAAGAAGAGTAAACTAACCTGGAAGATGTATGGTCTTGTACCAGCAACGCTGCCCGCGATGGATTTAATGAAGCCCGGCACCTCGGCCATGACATCGATACGATCCAGTCTCTTGCCGAGGGGACCTTCCAGCTCTGCGTGAACCTCCTTCTCGTCCGCCGACTTGCCATTCCACACCCACTTGATCGACTTGGGCTCTGGCCACTGGCTGTCGGGGTCTTCAGCAGTGTCGGTGTGAGTTGCTGAGTTGGTGATACCGGCATAGACGATTTCATTATCCGTGACAATACCACCGACGTTGACCTTGGTAGAGCCATACGAGGGAGGGGTGGTGTACTCCATCATGACGGCGGTGTGTGTTGGGGTCTGGAGGTTGACAAAGTTCCATCTCGCGGCTGTTCCTGGTCAGAATTGTTATACTCATAGGTGTAGAAAGAACGTACCAGCGTGGTGGGGCTTCATTCCCTGAAGCGCATGGATGAACATTCCTCGACCCTTTAGGTCATGGGTCTGTTCCTTGGTGGTGATGGTTCCCTCGACGGCGCAGCGAGGCCAGAAGGCATGGCTCATCGAACCCCACGGGTTCGCCGGGTCAGTACCGAAGTACGAGGTACCGTCCTTACCGATGACGAAACCCGGGGCAGAGCGGGTAAAGGTCAGGTTGACCAAGCTGTCATCGTTGACAGCAGACTTGATTGTGTATGTGTTGCCGTCATCGCTGAGGGTCAGAGAGAGGTTGTCCGCTCCAAAGGAAAGCATGCTCTCATCAAACATGAAGTTGTACAGGGGGTCGGAGTGCCAGTTATGCGGGCCATCGCCTTTCAGGTTAAAGATCTTAGTGTTGAACTGGGCAGTAGTATGGATGCCGCTGTAGTTCAGAACGAATCAGCAAGATGGACGTAGCGTCGGGCAACAAAGCTTCAAAAACAAGGCACTTACACAATGTTGCTGTAGATGACCTGCACCATGACCAAAGTGCCGTTGTCGGCCATGGCATAGAAGGTCTGCGTCTCAACATTGGTGTACTGGTAGGCTCGCCACCGCAGGTCGTCCTTGGTGAGCACACTATAAGGGGTTGTCTGGGCCTGTTGGGCGACAGACTGGATGGCTTCGGGGCCATAGATTGGTTCCTGCGTGCCCGCAACGCTCGACAGACTATACGGTGGGTCAGTAAGATGATGAGGATAGCTTGGGAGAAAGCACAGGAGATGCATACGCCGACTTGAACCAGTTCATGATGGACAGAGAGGTGGATTGGGAGATATACGACTTCGTTTGTTGTTTGGCAGAAGAAGGTGAAGAGTTGCGGGAAGAGGAAAACGATAGCGCGCGGGGCCCAAAGGGTGTCTTTCCCTTTAGCTCTTTTGGGTCTATGCAAGTGGCTGGCTCGGATGTTTAGATGGAGGTGAGGCGACAAAGGCTGGGAGCCCAGCTGAGTGGAGGAGAGGAGCTTACAGGAATAGGACCAATACTCGATTGGACCGATGGATAATGATTATCAAACTGTCAGGCCGATCAGCTCTGCTTGTCCTCTGCTTCTCCCATATCCAGCATCCATTAATATGACGTCCGGCACTTTTTCTCTCTCGCTTGCGGTCGGCGCAGTGCAAACAGCACAAACAGACGCCAAACCGCCGGGGGAAACAAAAACTTCGCCGACAACAAGCGGTTAAACACCAGACGCAGACAAGCCTAGCCCCCTCCAATTGAATCAAGCACCTCCGTTAGGTCGACGATACTCCCTTCATCATGGCGAAGAAAGCATTGGCCAAGGATCAAATCGTGAAGCTCATCGTGGGCGCCGGACAGGCGAGTCCCAGTCCCCCGGTCGGTCCAGCTCTGGGTAGCAAAGGTGTTAAGAGTATGGATTTCTGCAAGGTAGACACACGACGACTTGATGAAACAGCTACGATATCCAATGACTGATCTTGTCTACAGGAGTTTAATGCCCGAACAGCACACATCAACACCGGTGTCCCAGTCCCCGCGCGTGTCACCGTCCGTCCAGACCGTTCCTTCACCTTTGACCTCCGCACCCCAACCACGACCTGGCTTTTATTGCAGTCGGCCAACGTGGAACCTCGCAAGAACCGAATCCGTGGCGCTATGAACCCGGGCCACGAGACTGTTGGCAAGGTCTCGTTGAAGCATGTGTATGAGATTGCTCAGATCAAACACTCGGAGATGAGATTATCGGGGTTGTCTCTGCCGGGATTGTGCAAGAGTATCATTGCACAGGCCAAGTCGATTGGAATTCAGGTTGTCCCATAAGGGGATAGTGAATGGGGAGATTGGAAGTGTATTGTATATTGCCACTGCTACAGTCTTTGGTCATGACACCGGCGTTATAAGGGGATATGTCTTGGTCATATTTTGTATTATAGGGATTGCATGCTAGAGAGCGTTGTTACTCAATGTCTACGGGCTTGGCAGTATCAGGATAATCAGTTGACATTGTTGCCCTGAAGCAATTATCGTTCCTACAGGTGTTTATTTCTGATAAACTCTCCCATGGTCAGTATGATAGGCAGACCTAGGATGTATCTCGAGCAAGGGATAAGATGATGACGATGGAATTTAGGCAGTTGATAAAGTATGGGATGACAGGAGGAAATGGCATATCTATTGAAATCCAATCGACCTCGTACATAGGGAGATCCGCTTGGCAAATATGAGGGCGACGCAATGCAGTCAATAATCGACCGCTTGGCAGGAGTCTGGAGAAGCCAGAAGGGGTAAGCATCATCTCCTCCTATATGACAGCTGATGAGATTGAGCTATATATTGGGACTAGTGGAGCATTTCCCCACATTCCCTGTTCCCTTGATGATGAAGAAGGAGATGAAATGAAGCTGGAGAAGAGAGGATGAAGCGATGAATCATCCCGTCCCTGTTTGGACGACCAAAACAGCAACTAACCCGATTCGAGGCAGACTTTCCTAGTTGGGCAATTCTGATCGCAGCGAGATCTGACCCACTTGTATAGTCTGTAGTCAGAGCCGTATATACAGTGTTCGTGTAGACATCTTTATATTATTATCATGAGAATGAGAATCAGATGATAAGAAGAACATAATGATGGAAGAATCTGGAAAATCTGGAACGTCTGGAAAAATCTAGCGGGGAAGATGCAGCAACGCCTAGACTGCGCTGGCACGGATCGGGCGTTGCTGCGGCCCTGTTGTTGGCCTGTTCGCGGATACCGCGCTGGCACGGAAGACGGCACTGCTGTCCAGATGACTCTTCGGCCTCAAATGCAGGGACAGAAGAACCAGAAGTATCAAGTTATTTCTCGTCCAGTCTTCGGCGCATGTGTCGACCACAGAACTCAGAAAGAAAGAAAGGAAACAGAACTCTCCGCGAGATTCCGAACCACCGCCAAGGTCCAGTGGGAGCACGGGCAAAACGCCATCATCATCCATTTCTTCCTTTCCCCCCCTCTTGAGGTTGTTCATCGCCATCCCCCACTACTACTAGACAGACAGATACAAGACAATTATTCTTACTATGATTGACTAGTTGAGGTCGTTGGAGATCCTGCCTCGACTTCTGCTGCATATCGTCTTTTTTTTCTTCTTACTCACTCTTCCTCTCCTCTCCACTCTCCAACTCTCCCCTCTTGCTATTGCCGCCATTTCCACGGAGTCTTTGCTTCCCTCTCTTCTTCCTCTTCTTCTTCTCCTCTCTCTCTTGTAAACCTTCTCCTCTTCGTATCTTCTCCCTTCTCTCTCCTCCTCATCTCCTCTGCTCTTCTCCTCCTCAATCCATTCTCCCACTCGGTGATTCTCCTCGGCCCGTCAAGCATCCTCAAAGGCTCTTTCCTGAGTAACCCTAGCCTGACAGAAGGATTTGCTCCGCCATTTGACCGTCAATCCGTGCAGCACCGTTCCATGCTCCTCTCCTCATCCGCAAATCTCGTTGGGCATATATAAACTGCGAAAAACAAAAAGCCCCCCAAAATAATTAATTAATCTCATCCAATTTATCTGGCAGGAGATCGAATCCATCCGTGGAGGGGCATGTGTCCCACAACGTCTCAGTGCTGGTTTTTTGTCGACTATGACGTCTGAAGCTACCGATTCGGCCTTTTCGAAACAGAACATGGATTCAGGTTCGCATATTATCTCCTTATCACTTTTTCTTTTTCTTTTCCTTTTCTCTTAAATCCTGGGTCTCCTTCTAATCTCGTACCGGCCCGTCAACAGCCCAGGCAACACAGAAACCCGTCCAGATGCAGACGGATCAGAACACGGAGTCTGCGGACCCCGACTCCAAGTCCAAATCACAACCCGGCCAGGTCCGCTTTTCTTCCATCACCGAGGAGATCGAACCGTCTGCTTCCGGCTCGTCTCCCACGCCCGAACAGCCCAGTCAAGGCCGTCTGCCCGAGGATGAGTTACGGTCGCTGGCTGCGAGCCTGCAAAGCTCCCAATTGCAGGAGTCGAGACTCCGTAATTTCTCCTTCGACCCCGTCTCTCTTCCTTCATCTAGGGTACGTATGCGACCGATCGGCCGGTTGGTGGTGTAGTCTGTTCATTCTGGGGCGCTCATTCGTGTGCTGTGCTTGACGGTTGATATGATGGTCCACTCGGATATATCACATGCCTCTCCTCACATGCACTCAATTCCCTTGGCAGATATAGAATGAACATGGGCTAACCATGGTGTGTCTCTCACAGGTTGCATCTCGAGACTCGAGCGACCGCAGTGGTCGCGAAACAAATGGATCCTTTGGAGTGTCCCCCCATCCTTCCCCGCCGGTTTCCGCGATGCAATCCCCTCCTCTCACGCCAGCCGCGACGCATTCGCGCGAAACCAAATCCAACGACATCGCCACGGCCCTGAATGCCGCCGAAAAACGAAGCTCCGGGCAGTCGACTGCCATGACACCCGAGACCTCTCCCCCGGTTACCGACAAGAACGGCGTGCCCCAGAGTGCTCCGACCTCACGGCCTTCGTCAACAGATCAATTGGGTGATGCCTCGCGAACTTCGACTAAATCGCAACCTACGTCAAAACATCGAGCCCAATTTTTCCTTGGTCCTGCGGCGGATAGAGGTGCTCACGAAGAGAGCCCCCCGGCCACTCCAAGCACCGAGACCGAAAGCTACACTCCTCCCGGCGCCATCACGCCTATCGGTGAACCTAATGATCCGTATGCGCGCAGCAGACGCCCCCCGCAATCCAAGAATCTCTCGCAGATTGACCAAAGGTTTATATTTGGAGGCCGTGATATGAAGCGCCGAGGACCGCCTTCATCGTCATTCGTTCGTCCCACAACCCCCCGCTCAGCCAGTGCAGGGGATCTCAAATCGAGCGACAAGCGGGGTCCTATCTTCGGTGGCAAGAAAGATCTGCGGAAGGAGGATTCTGGTGGTAAACACCATGGCCATATGGCCGAGCTCAAGCGATTCTTTAAGATCGGCCACAAGCATAAGAGGGGAGAATCGCCCTCATCGCTGCCCAAGAAGTCCAGCCGATCTTCCGGAAAGAACACCCCGTATCAGATGGCTCCCGACAATGTCCCATTTGCCGACGACCATGGTTTGAACTCCAAGTACGGAAAGCTTGGCAAAGTCCTGGGATCGGGAGCCGGCGGTTCAGTCCGCCTGCTGAAGCGCAACAGTGACGGTGTTACCTTTGCGGTGAAGCAGTTCAGAGACCGTCATTCTTGGGAGACCCTGAAGGAGTACTCCAAGAAGGTGACTGCTGAATTCTGCATCGGATCCACTCTCCATCACGGAAACATCATCGAAACGCTTGATATCATCCAAGAGGGAAGTCACTGGTACGAGGTCATGGAGTACGCTCCCTATGATCTCTTCGCCATCGTTATGACAGGAAAGATGGTCAAGGATGAGATTGCCTGCGCATTTAAACAGATCCTCAGCGGAGTGGCCTATCTGCATGGAATGGGTCTGGCTCATCGGGATTTGAAATTGGACAATGTTGTCGTCAATGAGCATGGAATCATGAAACTCATTGATTTCGGAAGTGCGGTTGTTTTCCGTTATCCATTTGAGAACGACATTGTTCCTGCTTCAGGTACGTGAACTATCAATTGCTTTCTCCAAATCCAATCATGCTAACATAGCTCGCTCTTTTCAGGCATTGTCGGTTCGGACCCATATCTAGCCCCGGAGGTGTACGATGAAAAACGCTACGACCCACGCCCCACAGATATCTGGTCGCTGGCAATCATCTTTTGCTGCATGACTTTGCGACGATTCCCCTGGAAGCAACCTCGAGTCACTGATAATTCCTACCGACTATTCGTGGCAACCCCTACACCGGGCACACCTGTGCCAGAGGCCGATTCCAAGCGTCACCGGCCCAAGTCCAGCGCAGACCTTCATTCTGCTGGTCAAGAAAGCAAACGCGAGAATGGTTCACCCGAGCGGTCGGGTCAGTCGAATGCATCCGGATCCGAATCCACTCGCGAGGAGAACCGCCCCCCTGAAAATACCCAAGTCAAGACCACCAGTAACAGCAATAATCATAATAAACCTACTCGCACAACTAGCAAAGAGGCGCCTCCTCTTCCACCCTCCACACAGTCATCAGGCCAACGCCAAGAAGTCATCAAGGGACCTTGGCGTCTTCTTCGTATCCTGCCTCGCGAAAGTCGATACATCATCGGACGAATGCTCAAAGTAGCCGTGAGACACCGGGCGACCCTTGACGATGTTTTGACCGACGAATGGGTGCGCAATATCAAGGCCTGCCAACAGGAGGGATCCGGTCAGATCATCAAAGCCCCCGGTCATGGCCACATCCTCGAACCTCCTTCCTCTTCCGCTCCGCCGGCCACCAAAAGCAAGGCCAAATGATCTTAGCAGTGCAGTTCCGTGTCTATAGGTTTCATTCGATGTCAAGAAAAATAACTTCTTCCCTGCATTGTTTTTGCTCCCTTGTTTTTTATTTTTTGGTTCATTGTCCTTGATTCCCTATTACGCTAATCCATTCGACAATATGTAGATTGACTCGTTTCCTTGTCTGTTGGGTGGTGTTCTACCGTGTCTGTTTCGTCTCTTGTCCATTTCCTACCCTCTGTATGGTCTGATATATCCATAAGGTGAATGCTGCTCTCTTTATCTGTTCTTTCCCCTCCTTTCCTGCCAGCTTGACTGTTTTGATTATATTTTCCTTCTTATTGCCAGGTTGGAAAGAGGCCCTGAGGGTTGTTTGTGCTTTTCTCTGATACTTTTCATGGCGTTGTGGTCGCTCTTCGGACGGGGCTGAATTGTTGAAGCAGGTTATCCGGCTTCCATCATAGAGGTTTGGCTGCTAGACTTGTTGTTTTTTTGTCTTCCATCTGCTTTCTGTTCCCCAGGGCTTGTTCCTGTTGGTTTTCTCCTTTTTTCTCCTGGGTGGTTAATGTCGTGCATTTGGTTCTCTACAAGGGCCTTTATTTCTCTGTGACTGTTCATTCTTTATGCCTGTCCCTAATTGTATCCATCAAGGCAAATGGTTAGGTAGATATTATAAATAAATGGTAACTTATAAATTGACATACTGATTCTCTGCTATCAACCTATCCTGTCTTGTCTTGACGTGGGCCGATGCGGAGATTGCGGACTTTAGAGTGACGCCAAACCCTGCGATTATCGGAGCTCATTTTGCCCTTCGACAACGGCTTCATCTTCCGACGGTCAACTCAACGACCTGCCCTCTGCCTCCTCGCCCGGAAAACAACCCCAGGACTCTTTGGTTTTTGATGGTCCTGGTTGATCTGTAACTCAATTCCTATTCTACTTTTTTTATTATTATTCTCGAGCCCAGCTGGTAGAACCTTTGCAACCTCACGCACGCGACAACCTCGGACTCTTTCATATCCTCCACAATGGTCGAGCGACCAGAAACAGAGCCAGCGGTCGGCTTGTGGACCAGATCTTTGCTTGTACGCCGATGAACCCATTGTCCAAGTCTCTGTCCAGCATGAGCGCCACCGCTTATTGTCCATCCTCTGTGTCTTGACTGATTGATTGATCTCTTTCCCCACTCCAGTCCGGTGCAGTGGCTGGTCTCACTGTCGACTGTTCTCTGTACCCCCTGGACACGATCAAAACTCGCCTTCAGAAAGCTCGCAGCCATGGCCCGTCGGCTCCATCCCCAAAACTATCCCTCCGGCAGACCATCCGAGGTATCTATGCCGGACTCCCTTCCGTCCTCTTCGGTTCCGCCCCGTCGGCCGCCTCGTTCTTCATTGTCTACGACGGCGTGAAACGCTCTCTTCTGCCCCATCCATCCTCGTCGGAAACGCCATCCCGGGCACACATCTTCCTCACCCACTCCCTCGCCTCTTCGATGGGCGAGGTCGCCGCATGCGCCGTCCGCGTCCCGACGGAGGTGGTCAAGCAGCGAGCACAAGCGGGTCTGTTCGGTGGATCGAGTCTGCTAGCTCTCAAGGATATCTTGTCTCTGCATGATGCAGCAACTGGCTCCAAGAGAAGCTACGGTCAGGTCATTCGGGAGCTGTATCGCGGTGCGGGCATCACTATCGCCCGGGAGATCCCATTCACGATTCTGCAGTTTACCATGTGGGAGTCGATGAAGGAAACGTATGCGAAGCGCATGCTGCATGCCGCGGGGTCAGACACCCCCGTGAACCAGACTCAAGTGCCAGCCTCAACGAGTGCCATGTTTGGTAGTGTGGCTGGTGCCATCTCGGCGGGACTGACCACGCCGCTGGACGTGATCAAAACACGAGTCATGCTGGCTCGACGCGGGGATGGGGGTTCGGGCGACGGTGGCCGTGTGCGGGTGAAGGAGGTGGTGCAGGATATCGCCAAGGAAGGCTTTGGGGCTTTCTGGAGGGGTATCGGACCGCGAGTGGCATGGATTGGAATCGGAGGGGCCGTGTTCCTGGGCAGTTACCAGTGGGCGTGGAATACGCTCGAGGGCAAGAGTCACAATGCGCAGAATGCGGAGTGATGAGAGATTGAATCGATTGCTAGATTGGTGTGGGGCTATGGTTGAAGCATCAAAAGCATGTATAGCATGTATAGTAATAGATAGATGGTATATTTACGAATAGACTGGCTTGTACAGAAACATCCTGCCTGCTTCGTGTTGAGAAGCCCTTCTGGGCATCATAAAAGCTTAGCGTCGGCATGCAAGACGATATTATATGCAGATGAATTATTCCATGTCGTACAGCAGATCTCTACCCCGCATTTGGTATCATTGATTAGTACCTAGATGGAGAATCTTGTCTCAGTGATTCTGCGCTATTCCAGCTATATCAGATGTTTTGTCTTTGTTAGTGTTCTCATAGCGCTATGGTAGCACATCAGCCTATATGACATCAGCATGGGTATTTGAAGCCGTAGTCGTGGTTGTTTGCATTCAAGGGAAATGAAATCTGTGTAACCGAGATTGATATTGAATGGAGGAAATTGCAATTAATATATTAATTTTCTCCATTTGGTATATTGGTATAAGCAACTGTTCGTGGTCATCTATACCAAGATCCCGTCCCTGAGGCATTAATCGACAAAATAAACAATCCATTCTGTCCCACATAATAAACACGGAAGAAATAGTGCGTAATATCAGGTAACACTTTTGTTATTATAATCCTTTTTATTATTATTTTATAATACAATTATCAGCCCCCATCCGTGGAAATAGCCAAGTCGCTGGACAGTTGACCGTCCGTCTTCATTGACTTTGCCCGCTTTTGTGCTCCTCCTCCTTCTCCTCTTATCGACGTACTCCTCCCACCCTTTCTCCATCTGCATCGCCATCTTCTCCCTCTCATTCTTCTCTTTCTTGTCTTTGTTGAACTGATTTCTCCTCTTCCGTCCCGCCTCTGCCTCTGTCTGTCCTTGTTAGATCGCATGGCCCCTGGTTCTCCCCAGCCTCTCCCATCTGCGATCGGCCGCCCGTGTGAGCCCAGGCGGATCAGCTCCGCATCGTGAACCGTTACCTCCGCAATTCTTCTCGCCTTCCATACATCCACGCTGCATGGCCCGCAAACCAAGTCATCAGAGGGTCACATATGGTGAGTATTCTTCTTGACTTCTGCCTTGGTGCTGTCCGGGCTTTCTTTTCGCTAACGATATGTTTCTTCTCGTCCAGTGCTCCCTCCGCCTGATGCCCCAGGCGGCCACCGTTTGGGTGTCAACGGCTTAACCGTCGATGCGGACAATTCTATCTTGTGAGCAGAGCGAGCGTCTATTTATTATTGTGTCCCTTGCAATGCTGCGCCCGGAATATTCCCAATTATAAGCCCCGTCTAACTCATTTATCCAAGGTACTCTGCTGGTCGCGACGGAGTCGTCTGCTCGTGGAATCTCAACCTTCCGCTCTCTTCCGCTTCGATACCCTCGTCCTCAAGCTTGGCCAGGAAGCCTGGTCCGACTACATTCAGGAACCAGATCCAAGCTCACAGCCACTGGATTAACGATATCGTCTTGACCCAGAACAACTCCGCGCTGGTTTCTGCTTCCTCGGATACTACCGTTCGACTATGGAGACCGCACTCGGAGTCTACGGAGGTGCCTGCCCCCATTGGCAAGCATGCGGACTATGTCAAGTCTCTAGCCACCCCCGGGAGCCACTCGAATTGGGTTGCGTCGGGTGGTCTGGACCACAAGCTTTATCTATGGGATCTTAATGGTGGTGGGGATATTTTGAAGATCGATGCCTGTGGTGATGATCGTACCGCGAAAGGATCCGTCTATGCGCTGGGAGCTGTATCTTCCATTCTGGCTAGTGGTGGTCCGGAGAGTGTTGTTCGATTGTGGGATCCCAAGTCCGGAAAACCGATCACTAAGTTTGTTGGACATACGGATAATATCCGAGATATTCTGATCAATCGGGATGGAGATACGATCATGACGGCTTCCTCTGACGAAACGGTCAAGATTTGGTCCCTGACGGCGGGAAGGTGCATGCACACACTTACAATGCATAACGATAGCGTTTGGTCACTTTATTCAAACCACCCGCAACTGTCCGTCTTTTACTCCAGCGATCGGTCCGGTGTCGTGGCAAAGACAGATACGAGAAACACCCCGGACATTGAGCAGGGAATTTGTGTTGCCGCTTTGCAAGAGAACGAGGGCGTGGTTAAAGTGGTTGCGGCTGGTGATCACATCTGGACGGCGACTCCCAAGTCGAGTATAAACCGTTGGAATGACATTGACACCACTGCCGAAATCGAATCGCCGTCAGAAGCGCACGAAAGGCCGTCTAGTTCAGACTCGGAGCCGGCTGAAAAGACCCCAACCCGAAAGGACCAGTCGAAGAAGAAAATCCCGTATAATTCGATTCTGTTGCTGACAAGCACATCAACGTTCCCCAAGTCGCGAGTAGCTGAGAACATCTCGCTCGACTCGGCCACCAATGGCCAGCAGCAAGCTTCTTCACCGGATATTGGGGATGAATTGGATCTTACCCTGCCTGTTCAGTCATTGCCAGAAGAGTCAATAGAAGGTCAACATGGGTTGATCAAGCATTTCATGCTGAACGACAGGAAACGCACATTAACACAGGACTCTGCTGGGGAAGTTGTTTTATGGGATCTTCTCAAGGTAAATGCCGAATGGAAGTCGTATATGGTTGGTCATTCCTGTTAACTGTATATCAGTGCGTCCAAATACAGTCCTTTGGCAAGCGCCATATAGATGACGTTGCGTCCGAGATCAACACCACCGAGAGTATTGCCCACTGGTGTACGGTTGATATTCGGACTGGACGACTATCTGTCATTTTGGAGCTCAACCGCTGCTTCGATGCCGAAGTATATGCTGATGAACTAGACCTGCCTGATCAGTCACAGCTCCGGGATGACCAAAGACGTATGCCTGCTTTCCTCCAAAGCTCATTCCATTTTCTATGCTAATTCCATTCAACAGTGAATCTTGGCAAGTGGATTTTGCGCTGGCTCTTTGCTCCTCTAGTGGAAGAGGAAATCATACGTGATAGACACTATCGCGAGGCGGCCATTGCGAAAGCGGAAGATTTGGCCAGACTAAATTCAGCCGGCCACTCGGCACCGATGGATATACCGTCTTCAGATGTCCCAAGGAGCTTAGGTATCCCGATACCTCACGGCCCACATTCATCTTTTCCGCGTCCTGGGAACGAGTCGTATGGTAGTCCGACTACTCCAGGATTTGGGATTGGGTTTGCCAATACCCCCGGGACTATAGCATCTTCGTTGAACAATACCAACCTGGGTACATCTCCTTTCACAACGGGAGAAGGAGAGTCTTCCGACCATTTGGCCGATAAGCCACCTGCCGATATGACGAGGAATTCCTTTTCGGATAAGTCCAGTAGTGATTACTTTTCCTCCTCGAGATCACAACATTTGACAACTTCAGATAACGACAAAACCTCCACATCCCCGGCAGACACGACCCCAACTGCTCTACCCCAATCACCGGTCGAACCCAACGATAGAGAGGAGAAGAAGAGGAGTGGGTCCCTATTTGGCAAGAAGTTCCGGATGGATTTCCCCAAGAAGCTTGGTCGGACTTCAAGTGAGGCCAAGCCTCAGATCCAGGAGGAGCAAAAGGTGGAAGAATCCGACAAGTCTTCCACCAAGGAAGAAGTCAAGGTATATGAAAACAACCTCAGCGGTTTCATCGACCGAATCAGGCACGAATATGATGAATTCCTTGCTGCGCATCCCGGTCAGGAGTTGACCTCGGCTATTACTCCGAGTCCCGATAATGAGACGCCAGTGCTAAACATACCATCTCGGACTGCTGTTTTCATCCAGGAGGAATCGGGAGACACTGCTGTGGCTTCCGATCTCTTCCGGGGTACCGTCGGTCGTATCAATGAGGAAATCGATAAGCTGGAAAAGTCGATTCCTCAATGGCTCGCGGACCTGCTGCTGAAGGTTAGTATTCGCCGGTGTTATAGATGGACTATTATCTGACCACTCTTTTTACAGAACCAAGCACCTCAAAAGGACCCAATCAAGATTGCTTTCACATTGAAGCCGTATGACGATCTTCTGCCCCCTGTTGTGAAGCCAGATGGGTATGTATCATGTTATCCGGTTGTGAGGCTGTAAACTGACTGTTTTCCCAGGCCTGTCAACAATGGAAACACTAATAATTCTCGGTTGAATGCCAATCGCATGCTTCGTGCAAAGAAAATATTGGCTTATATTACAGAGCGAATCGATCCTCCCAATCCAGATGAGCCGGAGGAAGACGCGATGAAACCTGAAGAGTACCTGGACTTGTATTGTCAAAATATGGTAGGTTTTCGCTTCCATAGACTTTTTTATGCGAAGTATGCTAACTTGGAATCAGCTGATACCACCAAACATGACTCTGGCGACAATTCGTACGCACATCTGGCGATCCTCGGGTGACATGGTTCTTCTCTACAAGGCCAATGGCAAGAAAGAGATACCGATGCCTAAGAACGAGAAAGATGGCGACGAAGGCAACCAGCCCAGCGAAGCTGTTCCTAACCAAGGAGGCTTGCTCAACGGGGATAGTCGAACTGGGCCTGCACCGCCTGGAAGCATTCATTCCACGCCTGCTCCAGGGTCTGCTGCACCGTCCATCAACAACTTTTGATATGGCAGATTTCATTGTCGAATTCGTGTATGCGTTGTTAGCCGGAGGATCTTCTATCCAGCTTTGTGTGTTGAGGAGTTTTTATTCTGTGTTACATTATTTTCCTGGTTTATATTGAACGCCATATCGAAATATGGGTTCTGGTACATAGTTTGGGATGTTGCTGGTCAGATATGTAACCATATTGGATCGGGACAATCCCTCCAGTATAACAATTATCAATCTATCCAATAGACTCTTTATACATTTCACTGGCGACTTCTAGTATTCCGTATCACTGACTATCATCTTCGTTGACTAGTCAGGTGCCCCAACGCCAAGAACTTCCAAAATATATCCTGGCAATTCCACCTCCAAACAATCTAGCATCCCAACTTTTCCCAATCCACTTCCTTTTTCCTATTCTCACTCAGCCACAGACATAAATAAATGGCCGGAAATTGCCTTCTGCGATCGTCCAGCGCAAAAGCAATTTCTGTATCTCAATTCCTGGAGAACTTCACACGAACATGGTCCGAGGCGCGGCTATCCGTCGCAGGACGGAGAAGAGCAGAATGTTCCATTCCACGCAGACTGGGTATGTATTGCCATCTTAAACTATTAATATAGTATATGCTCGGGCTGTCTATAAGAACTAACGATATAAATAGGACTTGCCATTAGCGGAGGCGCAGATTCCATGGCCTTGGCATATCTGTGCAGCCAGCTGGAAAAGAGCCAACTGGTGAATGGGCTGAGCGTGACGGCCTTTGTGGTGGATCATAAAGCCCGCGAGGAAAGCAGCCGAGAAGCAAACACCGTTGCCGGATGGCTTTCTGATATCGGTTTGTTCTTTCTTAATACACCCATGTCGGAAACAGAACTGACATAACACGCAACAGGTGTTAAGGCTCAAATCCTCGAGCTCGAATGGCCACAAACCACCACTACGCCGTCAAAAGTGACTGCGTTTGAAACACACGCGCGCAGATTGCGGTTTCAGGCTATTGGCAGGGCATGTCGAGATAATAGCATCGAGACACTGCTTATGGGTCATCATCAAGATGATAATGTTGAGACTACGCTCTGGAGGCTTTCTTCCGGAGCACGCGGTGCTGGGCTCGCGGGAATTCCCCGGGTTGCTCGAATCCCTGAATGTCATGGTCTCTATGGGGTATCTGAGAGTGGATCTTCCGTTAAGCTACCGGGTAGAAAGACGAGTCTGCAGATTAACAATAAGGGTGAGGTTCAAGTTCAGGATACTTCATCCTCGTCATCAATACGTCCAGAGACAACCGTATCAACAGGCGGAATATCAATCTGTCGGCCACTTCTCTCATTCCCCAAGGCTAATCTCCTCGCAACCTGCCACGAGAATCAAATCCCCTTCGTCTCCGACCCGACCAATTTCGACCCAACTCTCACCCCCCGAAACGCCATCCGCAGTCTCCTATCATCCAACAAATTACCACTCGCCCTGCAAGGCCCATCGATTCTATCTCTAATAAAGTCAAGCCAGAATCTCCTCAAAAACTCAGACGACCTCTCGAATCGACTCTTGGAGACATGTAAACTCCTCAATCTCAACCTCAATACAGGGTCGATGGTTATCCAATTCCCACCCTCCCCAACAACAGCACAGCTCTCCTCCCTCTCATCCTCCTCCACGACGGAAAAAACAGCAGAAATTCAAGCCTTGACACTCCGCCGCATCACAGAACTCATCTCCCCATACCCAGACAACCACTTCTCCCTCCGCAGTTTCGAACCCTTCACTCATCGTATCTTCTCGACGGCTCTTTATACCATGAACATGAACCGCCAATCGTTTACCGTCGGCGGTGTCATGTTTCAACCTTTACGCTGGAAACCACTGCCTACTTCGTCTGATACTATATATAATAACGCAAACGTTAATGCTAATGTTAATACCTGGCTTCTCTTCCGCCAACCATTCATGCGCCACCGAGCACCTGTTCTTCGAGTTGAGGTCCCTGTTCCGTCATCATCATTATCATCATCGTTTTCTCATGTTTCATCACCTGTCTATACACCATGGACACTATGGGATGATCGGTATTGGTTCCGGTTTACGGTTGTTCCAGAAGATGGGGATATGCCCACTCAAGACCATGATGGGCGGCAGAGCATCTCGCTGGTTCTTCGTCCGCAGCAGCAGTCTGATCTAACAAAGCTTCGTCGGTCTTTTGATTACATGCCAGGGAAACCTGCTGCAGATAATAGAGCCCTGACGGAGCTAACGAATATGCTTTCCCGTGAAGCTCCAGGACAGGCTCGTTTTACTGTTCCTGTACTGACGATGGAGAATCTTTCTAAATCCGAAGAAAATCTACTGGCTATTCCAACAATAGGATTTCGATTTCCTGAGAGTGGGACGCAGGAACTTCTACAGGCTTCTGGGTGGAAGGTACAGTGGGAATGGATGTATAAAAAGATTGACAATGAGCCGCTCAGATTAATGGGCTGGTTGGAAGATAATAGTTAAGCTATTTTACATGAAAATAGAAAAATAATAGAAGAAGAAAAAAAAAAATGCTAAAGACAGACAAGGCTAAAAGCATGACAATGCTATCGCTGTGCAAGTCGCCAATATGAGAATGACAAAAATCTGCCAAAACAAAATAAGCCCCCATGTGATGCATTGGGAATAGGCAAAAGAAAGGTTGTGACGTATGTCAAGAGGAAAGAGAAAAACCTATCAACAGAGTACGGAAATGTGATATAGAGACAGAAACAGAAAGGGAACTCTGCAGCCAGTCTTCGCGAGAACTGGCATCCAAAGTCATCATGTTCCCTTCTGGACATATTCAAGAGGCTGCATAGACACCATAAAAAAAAAAAAAAAAAGAGAGAGAGAGAGAGAGAGAGAGAGAGAGAGAGAGAGAGAGAGAGAGAGAGATAAGGAATGTTCATCCTTCATAGGCATGATCTCGTGTCCATTGCACATCTTGAAAAAAGGAACAAAAAGAAGAGGGTGAGAATGTGAATTGTGGCCAAAGCCTGGGTGGCCAGCCACCAGGCACGTATAGCCTGGAATTGAAAGATCACAAAGTGTGGTTGGAATTCATTTATTCGCTTGCCTTCAAGAGAGCCACCGCAGCTTGCTGGGCGCGCAAACCGCCGACCTCCCTCTTTAGCCGGAAATTTTCCTTCTTCAGTCTCCCGATTTCCTCGAGAGCCCCGGATAATTGAGACTTGAGAGCTTCGTCAGCATTCCCAGATCGGACGTCTCTGGCGATTTTGTTCAGCTCAAAGTTGAATCGATCATAAAGAGCTTCATTCTCGGCACTAGCCTCACGGTACAGCTCGTCCAATTTCTTCGCCCGCTTCTCGCTGACAACAAGAGACGATTCCAGATCCTTTTCGATTGCAGATGTCCGGCCGGTAAATTCCCCAGAAAGGGAATCAAATCGCGTCTCAAGGCTGTTAATACGGGATAATAGAATGGCCGTCGAGGGAGAGTGTGATTCATCAGAAGATTCGTATTGACCTGCAGCCTTGGGTTGTGTCGGAACAAGCTTCAAGGCTTGCATTTCTTCACCAATCAGGTCCAGTTCATCCTTGAGTCCCAGTTGCGCAGACGCTTGTGCTTTCTTTTCGTTTTGAAGACGATCCCGGAGCTGTTCAACGCGGGTTAGAATTGATTATGAAACAATATGGTGAAAGAGTATTTTACCTTTTGTGGGCTTTGCATCCGCAATTTCTGCGGTTTTTGGGTGGAGGATGAAGGCTGGGCGCGTTTGATATCAGAACCATTGACTGCAGTGGGGCGCTCTTTGAGTCCAGTCGCCCTTGAATGGGGTATACTGGTGGCGCGGGATCTTCTTTTGATATCTTGAGGTGGCGAAGAAGAGCCATCGCTCTTTTTATTGGCCGTGCGCTCTGTTTGGGTCAACTTTGGATCGATGTTTTCTTTCCGACTCGGGGTCACAGGACGTGTCGGCGATCTTCTGACTGGTGAAGTCATCCGAGAAGGAGAGGCTCCCTTTGCTGGTGATGAACTCCGGAAAGAGGATGCTGATCCTTGGCTGCCTTGCGGTCTCGGTTGTGTCGATGGCGTTATAAATTCTGACTGAGGACGATTCGAAGATGGAGTTGTAGGCCTCAGAGGCTGAGTCGGGGAAACACCAGAAGTGTCCGAAGAAGCAGTATCGGGTCTCAGATCGGATAGTGAACTCCTTCTCTTCCTCCGAGCCTTCACAGGACCGTTAGTTGATATACCCCTGATAGAAGACAAAGATGGAGGTTGCTCTTGAGAACTGCCGGGTCGACGAAAGTGGTCTTGTGAGTGTGACGAGCCCGGAATGGGACGATCGCGAGAGCCTGGGCGTAACAGAAGATTCATTCCAGCGTCGACATCTATCGACTTGGAGCGTGATAGTGTGCCTTTGGGGGTGTTGGGCTCCGAGTCGCCCGAGCCTTTGCTCTTGCTCAGAGTTCGTAAGATCGATGAAACCTTGCTCTCTCCATCGTGCTTTGAACCTTCGCGGTGTAAACTGAAGCCAAAGCGTTTCCGGAATGAAGAAGCATTGGAACTAATAGAACCGGCATTTTGCGACGCAGATTTGGTTTGATCACATGTCAAAGTGCCTTCCAGCGAAGAACCACCGGGGATGAATTCCTCAAAAAGATTGTCAAAATCCTCTACCAGCCGATCTAAAAGAGAAACATGATGCATCGGATCTCCCTCCACAGTCAGGACCTCTGCGAAAGCAGCCGTCAAAGCCCCTCTATCGCCATCATTTCCAGAGGCATCTAGTAGCTCTGCCAGCAACCGCACCAAGGAAGCAAGAGCGCGGCGATTCTGCGGGCTCATTTCAGCTAGAAACCTGCGAAAGCTGTCGTCGAAATCCAGGGGATGCATGGTATCGAACTGGTTTTGGATTAGCTTTAAAGAGGGAGGATCAAGTATTGGACCCATGTGATCTCGCCATGCGTTCGCGATGAAGGTCTCAAAGGCAACAAAAAGCGTATCGACGGGTACTTCTGCGGCAGCCTGGATCTTGCTGGGGTCCTCGAGTAGAATATTGTAAAGCTCGTTGACCGTTGACCTGTCAGCATGTTCTCGCGCGCGAAGTGAACGTCCTACGATATTGCCGCTCCTGGATTGTAGAGACAGGGCATAGGCAGCAAAAGTCTGCTCCAGCAGCCCAAACTGATCATCTTGTCCTTTGGCGGGCGCTCCTCCAACCACCGAGATCCTATTCGAGGTGTCTTCTTTACCGGGAAATACCGAAGGCAGGGTGTTAGATCGAGAATGGTTCGCTCTCGGGGGAGGCATCTTTGGGAACTCTCCCAGAAGCGACGCGGAATTGGGTGCTTTGGCGTTTGAAGAGCTATCTTTCGACTGGCTCCCTCCTAATAGACTCGAAAGCAGTTTCGAAGGAGAAGGGGGTCGGAATCCACGGGGCGTTTTGACCTGCGTCATGAAATTGCTTGCCAGATAACGCAGAATCTCAAAATTAGAATGAACGATGGACTCTGTCATGGTCTGGTTTTGAGAGCCATGCAAAGGCAAAAGTATGTTCAAGACTGTATTGTCAGCGGAAATAATGACCACGAAAAGGTTCCTTGAGACTTACGTCGTTTTGAGAGGACCGGAACGAAGCTGTCTGCCGTCACCATATCTGAGGTTGCAGTGCCAACTATTGAATCCATATCAACACGATACTGATCCTCAAACGATGCAGATACCGAAACAATCACTTCTAAATCCGTGTCGTTTAGTATCTGGCTGCAATCAGCCTTTGGGGTATCGAACACAACTCTGATACGGGAAGAGCCATTTCGTTTCATTGCGTTCCCTTGATCCTCTTCGAACACACATGCCAACATGCCGATATTTCCGACAGTTCCAGTGGGACTTCTGATCGTCCATTTACCACTTTCACGTTCCGCTTCGGAGAATCTGCCTTCAATTCTGGCCTTGACGATCTCTTCGATCAAGCGATTGGCCCTTCCCTCATACATGGCTGTCAGCTCCAATGCCAGGAGATCTACCGTATTCCCCTTTTCCGCTCGGGACTTGACTGATGCGGAAGCCAGGAACAAAATTCGGCCACACGCAGACTGCATGCAGCGCATGGTATGGAGATCGTATACTTGAGCAACCCTTATCTCTGTAGAAGTGAATGAGCCGGAAGAGTCGTTGACGGTGGAAGCTGCATTGTCCAGATCAGCCATTAAACCACGTGCTGTCATTCTGCTTTCTGGAGCTTTTGATAAGAGAACCAAGCAATTTTTATAAAGTAACATAATCCCCATACTCGGGCTGGCAGTCTGGGCATCCATGTGATATGGCGGTGACAGCTCGTTGAATTCCACCGCTGATATCAAACGACCAACAGGCACGATGTTTGTCGGCCACCCGTCGACCAGTTCTTTTAGCCTTTGGAAGCTCTGCCCATGATTTGTCGATGCGGGGTCATCTAGCGAGCATATGTCTTTGATGATATCGCGGGCTTTTAGGAAAGGTCGGACGGCAGGGTGGACCAGCGGCAGGCTACTTGTCATTGTATCAATCAAGAGACTATATCGGGGCAGCCGTTGGACGGGCTCCATAAGTAACGAGCGTAGCCTCTGCTCCCCTGTTTCGTACACCCGTTTCGAAAAGCTGGAGTGTTTATCCCTCATGAATGAGTTCAATGTCTGGGTGAAGGTGGTATGGGCGTGCATATAGTTCGCATAAGGTTGTGAGAACCGTGGAAACCATTCGAGTAGCGCATTTGCGAATGCGGTGGCACCGATAGCATCCTTTCCGTCTCTTGACGATCGATGCGACACGGACGACGGAAGTTCTGTATCCTCACCGATATCGAAAATGGCGTCTTTCTCCGTCTCTTCTAATACATGTCGAATTACTTCCAGAAATCCCATGTTGACGTCGAGGATCTCATTTAAACAAGGAGGAAACAGAGTTTCCAGGGCCGACTCGTCGGGACTCGAGCTTGATGTCGCTCTACCCTGAGCTTTTAATCTGAATTCCTCCGCCACATTGCACACCAGAGCATAGAGCTTGGCCACATATCTTTCCTCTGTATCCACAACCTCACACATTGTCAAACGGAGAGCCTCCTTCTGACTCCTTGAAAACACCTTGGATTTGCTCACGTTGGTCGGTTGCGACGGGGCGCGTTTCAATCGGGACGTCGGTAGGAACATGGGCTCGCCCAGCGATCGAATGAGCAACGAATACTGGCCATACTCGCTGTCTGGGTTTTCTTCGATATCCACATCGTCATCGGACTCGGGCCGTTGGGGGGGTTGAATGGACCCTGCGGGCAGCACCAGATCGATATCGACCCAGGGAACCTTGCGCTCCTGGAAAGCGCCACGGATGTCGCGTACAATGTCCGAAGTCTGGTCAACCTTGGTCATGCGATTTGCCAAATCCGCTGCATGCATCTCATCGAACAACTTGGGTATCTGGCCCCCGGGCTTCCCCGCGCGGGCCATCTCGTACAGGCATTTTTTGGCAGGATCGGACAGTTCGGCAAAGTACTTTAGCATACTGACGGCCAAGCCGCGACACACTTCATCACCTTGTTTCTCGCGAGGCAGGTGGTTGACAGCGGCGTATAGCGGTGCGGCGGGGGAGATGGTGATTCGGGGATAGCTTTGGAAGCCGGCGGGGGTGAAGATATGCGCCTGGATTCGGGAACTGCTGACGGTGGCATTTGCAGTAGCAACTGGGCCATGGAATATGAAGATGGAGGACAGATAGGGATCGGAAGCCTGGTAGAGGGTGAGTTGCTCCAAAGGCAGGTCCGACAGAGCGCAAGAGACGGTCGCCATGGCGGCGGACAGGCAGGAGGATTGCGCGAATGCGCTGGGAAGGAAAGAAAGAAAGAAAAAGAAAAAGGAAATGACAGAAGAAAGATGGAATCAAATAAGAAAGAAAGAAATTAAAAATAAAGCCAAAAAAAGAAAGAAGGGAATTAAAGAATGGAGGGGAGGAATGGACGAAAAGAAAGATGAAGCAATAGACAGAGAGCGTCACAAGTCAACAAGATAGAGCGAGAGATAGCGATAGAGAGGGTGGGATGGCGGCATCGATAAGGCCACACAGGGTAGAAGAGAGAAAAACGAATGAAGGAGCTCATACAAACCCAGCAGGAGTGAGACTAAACCCCTCCATGGGAAAGTGATGAGAACGAAGATAGACAATAAATAATAATAAAAGAAAAGGGAAGGGAAAATGGAGTGGAGGAGAAAGACGCGTTGCGCATTGGCTTTTCGAGGGGTTTTGGAGTCGGTCTGTTTGTCTGATCACCACCACAACAACAACCGTAATAATAGATCAGAATTAATTATTTTTCCGATAGAATAATCTCCATAAGCTTCTTCTAGGATATCCGGTGAAGATCTCCATCCGAGCACAGCAGTAGTCGATGCAGGGTTTGAGAAGTGAGATTGTTTTTTTGTCGGGGGCAACCGGCGCGGGGGAGAGAGAGAGATTACTGCTATAGAGACCAGAATAATAGTGGGATAGTTACAGAAGAGTGACACAGGGCAGGAATGGGAATGGCTAGTATTGATATAAGAATAGAATCGAAGACAAAGTGGATAAGATGAATCTGGATCTGAGGGGATCGACTGGTCTAAATCCAATGATTCTGGTTTGTTTTGTTGTCATCGCAGCCTGACATTTTGGCCTTACACGTGTCTGAGAATTATGTATACAGAGTATGAAATATATAATATAAATCAAATATAAAACATCGAATATGAATATTAAATCGATCATAGATGATGATAGAACAAAGAATAAATGCAAGGAAGTGAAACTGTCTTTGATGTCTGATTTGAATGTCATTGTGTGGAGCAATAGTCGTACGGTAGAGCAACTCTAAGTCTAGTAACGGAGTATCCATCTCTTTAATTCTACTGTGGATATCATTTTTTAGAAGTATTTGTATTATTGATGTTATCAATTTATTATATCTTATATTCTATCTTTCTATCCGTCTTGATTTTTGTTTTATATTGTTCTTATAATGATGTTGATTGATAACTGCTGCATCATGACATGCATAACCACAACACATCCACTTATTCTTATTCTTATTCTTATCCTCTCTACCAAATACTCCATACTCCATCTCTATAGTAACTATTATTTATCTCCTTGCCTGAAGTTATAAAGTCAATTAAAATGACTCGTCCATAAATCCATATAATACCGTATGTATGTATCGTATGTACAATACAGTATGGTAAAGGCGGTCGGGCGGGGAACCCACGCTAGCCGTATTCGGCAACTGGCGACGGCAGAAGACCAGCTGTTGTTAATCGTTTCTCGCGATGCTTCGATTCCCCGATCTTCATCGATGCTCTTCCCAGGGCTCGTCTTGTGCCATTCCCTTCTCCTCTCGCCATGTCGTCTGCCTCCTTGCCCATCGCGGTCGACCCGGTGGCTCTTGTGACTACAGAATGTATCACCGTCACCTCTTCTATGCGCAAACATGCCCGTTGGGCTCACTCGTCCGTCTCCGCCATCCTCGGCGGCGGGAACGGTGCCTCCAGAGTCTACGATCGTGATACTTCGGCGCCTCCCAGTCCGCGAAATGGCCCCGTCTCTTCCAAGTCGTCCAAGTCCCGACTGCTTGCCGTCGATGACGACCATGCTCTCGCCAATCGTTGGGGTTTGCGAGGGAAGAAGGGAAAGAGCATGCAGGACAACCCCCTAATCTCCGCTTTCACACGCCTACGTAGCGATCTCAAGGGTTGCAAAGATATCACGACCTTTGATACGCCTGCCCTGCTTCATCCCTTTCTCCAGGTTGTGCGCTCCTCCTCCACCTCGGCCACCATCACTTCCCTTGCCCTAGTCGCCATCACCAAGTTCTTTTCCTATAATATCATCAATCGCGATTCCCCACGCCTCTCTATGGCCATGCAGCTCCTGTCCGCCGCTATCACCCATTGTCGATTCGAAGCCAGTGACTCTTCCGCTGATGAGATTGTTCTCTTGAGAATTTTGAAATTAATGGAGGGGATGCTGTCTCGGCCAGAGGGCGATCTCCTCGGGGACGAGAGTGTCTGTGAAATGATGGAAACGGGTCTCAGCATGTGCTGTCAGGTTCGTCTGTCAGAGGTTCTGCGGAGGTCCGCCGAGATGGCCATGGTCAAGATGTGTCAAGTTATCTTTATGCGATTGTCCCATTTGGAAGTTACGCCGCCTACCGAGTCCGAGTCGTCCAACGAGAAGAAAGAAAGCGTACCGTCTGACTTGAGGATGGACCCGTCTGTCAATGGAACTACAGTGACCTCACAACATCAGTCCGCCATGGGCTCCGACACAGCGGTCCCAGAGAGCGAGCGCGGGAGTCGGGATGAGACACCTGAATCAACAGTCAATGGCACCGCCGTTGCCGCTCCCCCAAATCCCCAGGACGACCTCGGCGAAGAGGTCACACCGTATGCTTTACCCTCCATCCGAGAACTCTTTCGGGTTCTCATCGACCTGTTGGATCCCCACAACCGCCAACACACTGACACCATGAGAGTTATGGCGTTAAGAATCATTGATGTTGCTCTGGAAGTCGCTGGTCCGTCCATTGCTAAACACCCCAGTTTGGCTATCCTGGCCAAGGATGATCTATGTCGACATCTCTTCCAGCTAGTCCGCTCGGAAAACATAGCGATCTTGACCGGGTCTTTGAGAGTAACGGGAACACTGTTGATGACTTGCCGCCCTATCCTCAAGCTTCAGCAGGAGCTCTATCTGTCGTATTTGGTCGCTTGCCTCCATCCTCGGGTAGAAATACCAAGAGAGCGTGGTATCGATCCGGCCCTTTACGATGGAGTGCCCCAGGCGCCGAAATTGGTCAAGCCCCCTCCATCGCAAACCAGCAGTGGACGATCTACCCCAGTTCCTGTCAAGGATCGCCAAAAGCTTGGTCTGGAGGGGGGTTCTCGGAAACCAGAAACTCGGGAAGCGATGGTAGAAAGCATCGGCGTGCTGGCGCGTATCCCAAGTTTTATGCTTGAGCTCTTCATCAACTACGACTGCGAGGCTGACAGATCTGACCTGTGCGAGGACATGGTCGGTCTACTATCCCGCAACGCATTCCCGGACTCGGCGACATGGAGCACAACAAACGTTCCCCCGTTGTGTTTGGATGCCCTTTTGTCCTACATTCAATCCATCTATGATAGACTTGATGATGAGCCAAGCCTTGAAGGATTTCCTTCCCGCGAGGATCTGAGAAACCAACGCAGAACCAAGAAAATCATCGTTCATGGCGCCCAAAAGTTCAATGAGAACCCCAAGTCGGGCATTGCGTATCTCACCTCGCAAGGCATTATTGAAAACCCAGACGACCCTGCCGTGGTTGCCCGCTTTTTGAAAGGGACAACCCGGTTATCCAAGAAGGTCCTCGGAGAATATCTCTCCAAGAAATCCAATGAGCACCTTTTGGATGCGTTTGTCGATCTTTTCGACTTCTCGGGCAAGAATGTCATCGACGCCTTGAGAGACCTCCTTGGTTCTTTCCGCTTGCCCGGAGAGTCGGCTCTAATTGAAAGAATTGTAACGACATTTTCCACACAATATGTTGATAAAGCACAGCCAGAGGGAATTGCCGACAAAGACGCACTTTTCGTCTTGACGTACGGTATTATCATGCTGAATACTGACATGTACAACCCTAATATAAGACCACAAAACCGCATGACCTACACGGATTTCGCAAGGAATTTACGTGGTGTAAACGCCGGAGGTGATTTCACGCCCGAATTCCTCCAGGAAATCTACGACTCCATTAAACAGAATGAGATTATTTTGCCGGATGAGCATGAAAACCAGCACGCTTTTGATTATGCGTGGCGGGAGCTATTGCTCAAGTCATCTTCTGCTGGAGAGCTCGTGACTGGGGAGACTAACGCCTTCGATTCGGAAATGTTCGAAGCTACCTGGAAACCTGTGATCGCGACTCTTTCCTATGTGTTCATGTCCGCTTCAGATGACGCCGTGTACTCTCGAGTTGTGATGGGATTCGATCAGTGCGCCCAGATTGCTGCGCGGTACGGCTTGACTGAAGCATTTGACCGTATCGTTTTCTGTCTCTCTTCTATCAGCACTCTTGCTACTGAAAAGCCACCGAGTACTTCCCTCAACACCGAAGTGCAGGCTGGGCAGAGGAGCGTAATGGTAAGCGAGTTGGCTGTAAAATTCGGAAGGGATTTCAGAGCCCAGCTAGCCACAGTGGTTCTCTTCCGAATTCTGGCGGGCAATGAGTCTGTGGTCAAGCAGGGCTGGAAGCACGTTATTCAGATTCTCAGCAATCTATTTATCAACTCCCTCATCCCGCCGTTCGATAGCACGCTTACTTCTGAGCTCGACATACCCCCAATCCCGCTACAGCCCCCGTCGCAAGTGGTGGACCGTGATGGTCGTGCAGGAGTAGAAACAGGCCTGTTGTCAGCGTTCACATCATATCTTTCAAGCTATGCTGCCGATGATCCTCCTGAGCCATCGGACGAAGAACTTGACAATACCCTTTGCACTGTGGATTGCGTCACGGCATGCTCTATCCAAGATGTCTTGAACAACATCAAGTAAGACTAGTCGTCTACCCTGGGGGTTTTTTTTAATCATACTAACAATTGCATTAGGTCTCTCCCTTTGGCGTCTGCTTCAGACTTGGTGGGGTCACTGTTGGCTCAATTGCCAGAGGAATCTGCACCAGCGGTCATTGTCGTGAAGCCCGAGCGGCCTGCTACCTCGAGGCCCCCCGGTGGCAAGGCTGGCCCGAATACGCCAAAATATGATCCGGGAATGATTTTCCTATTGGAGTTGGCCACAATTATTACCCTCCGGAACAACGAGACTTTGGAAACCCTTGGCGAGACTCTTTCTACCTCTTTGCAGACATTTGTCCGTGATGCCAAGAATATCCACTCTCTGGCCCTGTCCCGTATTATCTATTACTTACTCAATCTGCTGCGGCTGAGCCATGTATGCACTGCCTCCATTATCTGCTATTCTAGAGCAAGAAAAGCTGACAGTTTTCAGGACCAATCTTTCATGCGGGTACCTGTTATTCTCCATGGAATATCCAGTTTTGACCAAGATGTCCTGGAGAGTGTGGCTATACCTACGGTCAATGGTCTCTCACGATGTGTCACTAACCCAGGGCTATTGCGGAACGAGATTACCATCTCGCCAGATTTCTGGTCGGTATTGCAGAGCTTGCACCATCATGCGGAAGCCGGGCCCCTGGTGTTCGAGCTTCTTCAAACCATTGTAGATTCCTCTCCCCCTATCATTACCGCAGACAACTATGAGTCTGCTATTGCCCTTGCAAACGATTTCATCAGTGCTGGTAAAGTGGGGTCGATTGATGAGCGGCAGAGAGACGCTGTCTCCCGACGCTCTAAGGGCGTTAAGCAGCCAAAGCCGAGGTATGCATATAGTTTTTTCTCATATAGTACATCGACGAAGAGACTAATGAATGAGCAGTGAGAATCAGGTGGTTGTTCGTGGCGTGAAAGCAATTGGTCTTATTTACCATCTGACCCGACGGGTTCCGACTCTTATCAAGCAATCCCACCTAGAAGCGAATGAAGGTTCGTGCAGACCAATTTCCGTATATTGGGAGGCGCGTGTGCTAACAATATGTAACCAATAGCCTGGTCTGCTTATTGGTCACCTATATTCCATTCTTTAACATCCCAATGCATCAACCCTTGCCGAGACATCCGACACCATGCCATTTCCACACTGCAGCGGTCTCTTCTCTCGGCTGAGCTCATCGCGAGCGATGACAATGAGTGGACTGCCATTTTCGACCAAGTGCTTTTCCCGCTTGTGCTACGCTTGTTGAAGCCCGAAATCTACCACTCTGACCCACTCGGTATGAGCGAGACCCGGGTTCAGGCAGCGACTTTGGTTTGCAAGATCTTCCTTCGTTATTTGGATCAATTACCAAACCGGGATGGAATGCTGGATCTCTGGCTCAAGATCCTCGATATTCTCGACCGAATGATGAACAGTGGTCAGGGAGACAGTCTGGTAAGTATCAACTTTTATGAGCCTTATAGAAATTCCTTTCCGATATGTGAACACATCCAACTAACTGTAATTTACAGGCGGAGGCCATTCCTGAAAGTCTTAAAAATATCATGTTGGTCATGGCCGATGGAGGCTATTTGGTGCCCCCATCTCAGGATGCCAGCAAGGAGCCAATCTGGTCGGAGACCAAAAAACGCCTGGAACGATTCCTTCCCGACCTATTCCTGGAAATCTTCCCAGATGCAGCCAACGAAAAGTCCGCGCCAGTTTCTGTGATTTCATCTCCAAAACGGACATCCGCTGAAGTTCCGGTTGATGATGACACCAAACCCCAGGAGGAACAGCCAGCTGAGACCGAGACCGAGCCCGCTACTGAAAAGCCCACCACTCCTGATGCATGATAGAATTCTTTGGTTTTCATTTCTTTTCTATTAAGCACCCTTGGCATTTATGGCGTGGTTAGTTTTCTCAAAACACTTACATGTAAATATAATCAATTTATGTACCCCCCAAAAATGGGCGGATGATAAAAGAGTCCTTGATATACTTGGCATTGGCTCGGGTTTGTTGTTTGGTTTTTCTTTTTTGGCATATACACAAGTGCTACTTTTGTTTGCTTGTTACACATACGGATGCATGGAGGGGTAGGTTCATTTGAAGACTACAGCGTCTTTTATGATTGTGATATCCCATCTATACATACAGAAACGCCCATCTAGCGAAGGTATCGCACAGAATAGCAATATGAATGACCTGATAAAGCAACAAGACACAATGCGAAGCGAAGCGAACCAACAAAAGAAAAACAAGCAAGTGCCGTAGTTGTAGTTTCCAAAGTGATACATGCGAATCGATCTATGTATCAAAGAAGCAACAAAGATCGGGGGGATATAATAGCAACGAAAAAAAGCAAAAAAAGGTGGACAAGAGGGGAGCAAATGTTACAGTAGAGCTTCTTTATAAGGAGTGACGATTGGAGATGCGCGGAAATTCTTCCCCTCCTTTCTTTCTTTCCATTAAACAGACGAAAAAAACCGGCGAATCTCGAATAAAAATGACAACAGGCAGCAAGCAATCAAAAAGCTAGTAGTAGTATCAATATCACTATTCAGCGTCCATATCATCATCAAGGTCAATAGCATCAGGGTTAACAGGGGCCGACGGCTGTTGCTGCTCTTGGCCAGGGGGTGGTGGACGGTTGCCTCCCTCTGGGCCAGTGCTGGCAGCGACAAAGCCCACTGGAGCGCGTGCTTGACGTTCCAAGGCCGCCATGGCGTCTGCCTGTTCCTTGGACACATCCATGTCTTCTTCGCTCTCCTCCATTCCTCTCTCGCCATCTTGTGTACGTTGTTGACTGCGGGCGATTGCCTGGGATGCAATAAAGTTGACATCGGTACTATGATATTGTTAGTAACTGGTTGCATATGGGGCTATGAGAAATTAGGATTACATACTTGTATTGCGCTTGCACACTTCTCTTGATACGAAGCATCTCCTTGAAGGTGTCTTCGTTTCCGTGTTGCACTTCGAATGCCTCCCATTTCTGCCAGAATTCGGCGTTGGTTCGGGGGTCGCAAAACTGGGATGCGTGCCCGTAAATCGCACGTGCGCGGTCGATTTCGCCAAGACGTCTTTCCATCTCTGCGAATTTGAGACACATGAGCTTCGCTTCCTGGTCAGGCAGAGCGGAAATGGCCCGCTCGTAGATGGGTCTTGTGGAGGTCAAGCCGAAGTTCGAAGCGGATTTCGTAATGTAGAACTCGAACATCTCGAACCGGTCCTCGTCGGATACTGCGCGAGTAGCACGCTCGTAGATTCTCATCGCATGTCGTGCAAGACCACGTTCTTCTTCCAGGTTGCCATACATCAAGTAGAGAGGCTTGGCAAACTTGGGGGGGCAGCCATCCAAAGCCTGCTCAAAAAGGTCACGTAATCTCTCGATACCGATCTTCCGATCCACTGCTTTGGTTAAGTAAAGGTTCCAGAGCTCAAACGCAACCGGGTAGCTAAAGAGGTCCAGTCCACGCTCGTAAATCTTGAAAGAATCCTCATAATATTTGTGTTCCTCCATGAGATTGGCGTAGTTGACGACTGTTTGGGGAGTTGCGATGCGAAGTTCGAAGATTCTCTCGTAGACCCTCTTTGTCTCATCCAAGGACGCAACACTCTCGACCAAATCGACATAGAAACTCCAGAGTTTCCAGCTCTTATGAACTCGCTGCTGGGGGGAAAGTGTCTCATCGAAATAGTCCACCGAAGATTTCTTGGGCGCTTGTGTTGCCTTTGCCATGATCTCAACTGCCTTGTCGAAGTTCTCGCCTCGAAGTTCCATTTCCGCCCATTCACACCATGTTTCTGCCAATTCGGAAACGGCTTTGAACGGGACCTTCACGGCCTTATCGAATATGACTCTTGCTGTGTCCAAGTCTCCACCAGTCTCGTAGAACTTGGCATAATTGACCCAGAGCTCGGAAAACTTGCCATGGGCTTTCTTGGGGTTGATGGCTGCAATAGCGGCCGTATATGTTTGAACAACTTCGTGTTTGTTATCACCCCATAGAGCCACTCGCTTTTCCCATTCAATGACGTTGTGGGGGTTCTGCCTCAAGAGAACATCATTGACCAAGAAAGGTCGTCGGTCCATTAGCTGTTCAAATCTCATCATGCGAAGATCAAGGTCGAAATCGGCATCTTCGTCATCTTTGCCCTTCTCGGCTCGCACTGCTGCCGATTCCATCAGGCTTCCAATGATCGATTCCTCAAACTCGACGTACGAGTCGAAGACAAGTGTAAAGTCGCGAACGGTCATGACGGTAGTAATTCCCTCCTCGAAAACATCTCGTGCCTTTTCGAAGTTTCCCTTTGTAATCCAGTATGTGGCCAAGCCAGCCCATAACTTTCCTCGCTGATCCGCGAACCGATCAATTCCGCTTCGAAGAATGGCATCCACATCGATGCCAACTTGGGGGCCGGTTTCAATCTTCTTCGCTTTGGAGACGAGTAAGTCCACCATTTCGGTCCATAGTTGGAAATTACTCTTTCCCTCCTTCGACTGGAAACGTGGGTTGTCGAGGATATCCATATATCGCTTCACGGCTTCTGTATACTGGCCCATCTCAACGAGCAGTTCGATATATTCTTCAGCATTCTCCGGGTGAATCTGCATATACCGAGCCCAGATTTTCACGGCAGTTTGCCCAGAGGCAGAGCGCGCAAACGACTTGTAGAGTTTCCAAATCCGGTTGTGCTGGGTGACAGGTAGAGCTCGAAGTGCGCGATCAAAAGTCCGCCGAGTCTGTGTGACGAGGGGCTGTTGGAGCATGAAAGAGAGATACATTTCCCATATCCGTGGCATCTTGTTGAGAAGTATGAGAGCTCGTTCAAAGAGGGCGTTCACTTTTTGGTATTCGGCCCGGTATATAGTCGCATTGCGACCTCGAAGGTGATTCATTCTAAATTCAAGGTACTGGACGTAGTTAATAGCTGATCTGAGTGATATAGTCACTTGAGTGGCGGAAAAGAAAAAAGAAGAAAAAGTGAACGTACCAACTTCCACAGCTTGTAAGACCTTGGGAGCTGCCTGCAGGCGCGCTCCATAACCTAAAATAAAAGCAGTCAGCAACCCTCCCAGACAAATCAGAGCCAGAAAAGCTTACAAAGGCCTGCTCATAGAGAGTCCCATGCTGCTGTTTGTACTCGATGTAAGCAAGCCATGGCTTAATACTGCCAGAGTCTCGTAGAAGGTCTTGCTCGTATACGGTATCCTGATCGGCCTGTAATTGAGTCGCATGGTCAGTCCCAGGTCATCTGCCTAAATTTATAGCACTCACAATCAGGTAAAGATCCGGCCCAGAGGCCGACGTTCGGTCCATCTGTGCGTGTTGCCGGTGGGATCTCGGGGGCAGGAGTGTCCCTGGCATTTCGCCACTCACTGGAGCGGGATCGACTCACACGGACAGCACTAAAACAGAAGTAAAATGGGGTCGCATGAACGGGAGAGCTTTCTCGTCGCGTTGAAAAGATAGTCGCTGAGAGCCGCCAGAGATGAAGTCGGCGGGCGACACGTGACCTATGTCATGCCGCATCCAGGCGGGCACGGGCAGGTGGTCCGAGCTTCCGTGGTTATCGCCGCGTATCGTCATGCCAGGCCATACGATGCTGCCTCCTAGTGGTTCTTGAAGCTACGTTGGACATATACCGTTGATTTCGCAGCCATGTCGGGTGCCGTGGTGAGTTGTTGCAGTTTGCTTTCTGGTTGGAATGTTTTGTTGATGTGATGTGCTTTCTATCCAGGGCCGTGAAGCAGTCTTCCCGACTCGCCAGTCGTTGGGGTTGATGAAGGGTAAGCTGAAGGGTGCGGAAACCGGCCACAGCTTGTTGAAGAGGAAAAGTGAAGCTTTAACCAAGTATATTTTCTCTCATATGGTATTCAATTGACGATATCGTTTGCTAATACCTCTCAACAAACAGGCGTTTCCGAGGTATGGTTAGCTAGATCTCCCCGCATTGTCCAGTCTAACAATATGCGATAGAGATCACTCGCCGGATCGATGAAGCAAAACAGAAGATGGGGCGTGTCATGCAAATCGCCGCCTTCTCCCTTGCAGAAGTGAGATACGCTGTTGGAGGAGATATCGGCTATCAGATCCAAGAATCCGCCAAGCAGGCTCGATTCCGTGTACGGGCCAAGCAGGAGAACGTATCTGGTGTTTTCCTACCTCAGTTTGAGAGCTACACAGAAGACGGCATCAATGACTTTGGTTTGACCGGTCTCGGAAAGGGAGGTCAGCAAGTACAGCGCTGTCGGGAGACATACGCCAGAGCAGTCGAGACGTTGGTGGAGCTTGCCAGTTTGCAGGTATGGAAGTTATTGATGAGATTTTTACATTTCTAACTCTGCTATTTAGACTGCATTTGTTATTTTGGACGAAGTGATCAAGGTCGTCAACCGAAGAGGTAAGTTTTGGCTACATAGACCGGGTTTATTGCTTAGTTACTAACTCATGTCACAGTAAACGCGATGTAAGACACGTACCCCCTGACGTATATCCAAAAACCCATGGTAATCTAACTTCGCATCAACAGTGAGCATGTCATCATTCCCCGGACTGAAAACACCATCAAATGTCAGTATACTGTTGCCCTTGTTCATATTCCCATCAGCTAACATGCGTGTAGATATCAACTCGGAGCTCGACGAGCTCGACAGAGAAGAGTTCTATCGGCTCAAAAAGGTATCAAATAAGAAGCAGAGAGATACTGCTGCTGCAGACGCGGAGATTCTTGCCGCCAGACAGAAGGCAGCGGAGGAGCAACAAGATGGTGCTGCCACAGAGCCAGTGCCGGAAGTCGAAGCTCCAGATGTTCTTGGGGAGCAAGAAGATGCAGATGTCATTTTTTAGCCTTTTTCTTCTTTTTCTCTTGTTATGTAACTAGTGTGTTGTTTATATCATTCCCATGCTATTTTCATTTCCTTGTTTATCTTCTCGGGTTCTCTGTTACGAAATTACATTCAAGTATGGAAAGGCGAAGCGATTGCATCATGATCTCCAAATTCCAACAAAATATTCAGACAAACAACCTTCCAAACGCCAGTACAAGCTGTCCACAATGCCTAAAGCTACTACAGACAAACGGTTCACTGTCTCTGGTAAGTGACCCGAATGGGCTTGCCGTTGTCTCCCATGGGCAATCCCGAGGTGGCCTCCTTCGCGCTGATCGCTCCGGACTCGTTCTCGTACTCGACGAAAGCAATTCCTTTTCTTCCCGGCACCAGACGAACTTCCTGGAATCCCTCGAAGCGACCAAAGACCGACGTAAGCGTGTCCTGGTCTGCGGTGTCGGGCAGATCCCGCAAGAAAAGAATCTTGTTGGGGGGAAGGTATTCGTCGGGGATGACGGCTGCGGCAGCACCACTGGTCGGCTTGAGGCCTGCGCCTTTGGTTGTCTTTGCTGGACGGGCAGCATCGGCGGCTCCAGCGGGACGTTTAAGCTTCTTTTGAGCCTCGAGGGCCTCGTGGGCTTGTTTGCGTTCTGTAAGTAGGAGTTGTAGTTAGCAAATAAACCCACATCTCAGCAATCCCCCACGCGTATTGAATTGAATCAATGAATCCAATTGCAAAATAGGGAACGAGCAAAACGCACCCTTCTCAGCTAACCGCCTCCTCTTATGGGCCTCAAGCTCATCTGCACCTCCCTCCCGCATAACGGTGGCATCACTCCGTGTCTTCGCATAGTCAAGCACCATAGGCTTATCGAAAAGGTCGAACCCATTGATCTCATCAATGGCGCGGGTAGCAGATTCGACATTGTCAAAAACGACGAACGCTTGCCCCTTGGCCTTCAGGTTGGTTTTTGCGACGATCTCAACGACATTGCCATATTCAGAGAAGATCTCCTCGAGCGCTTCCTTGAGCTGATCGACCTTGATTCGTTCTTCGAGGTTCCGAACCTAATAATTCAAAAGGACGTCAGTTCAGTTCTCTCTTTGTCTCTCAAAAAGGCGCGATGAGGGGTTTCGGTGGGTGGGCTGGAAAGGCGAAAACATACATAGACTCTGCGGAGATGACAAGCTGGTTAGCCAAGGCGTTTTTGATTTTGGGGGGTGGTAAATGAATGAGGGGAAGTGTATTTTGTTAGACTTACGTAGAGTTTGGAGGTATACTCGTCGGTGTCACCCCTACTGTAGCCATGATTGCGACGACTGTGCTCTATCACGAGCTGATGTTCCGATCAACTGCCTGGGTCGTTCGGCGGAACTTCTGCGGGTTGAGATGTTGGAGCTGTCCGGAGCTGCGTGGTTTTGGGCTATGTTTTATTTATTCGTCGGAATATTACAACAAGAAGCATCATTGGTCTAGTGGTAGAATTCATCGTTGCCATCGATGAGGCCCGTGTTCGATTCACGGATGATGCATTTCTTTTTGTTTTTCTTTTCCTCGCCCTAATGTCGTCTGACTCCTTTTTATTCCATTGGTTAATCAATTTTGTATTCTTTTTTATTCTAATTGACTCTCTATGCTGTTATATTTCCAATATATCCACTGCTTCTTGACCCTCGCAGCATTATGGGATAATATGCATCCACCGACATAGCCAAGTCGATTCAGCAGTATAGCATTGAAATGCTCAAGATAATCGTCTATGTAACCAGTACCGCTCTTAACCCATCAACCTGCTCTTTCAATTGCTTGGGTTGCCTGGTCCAATCCTCATCCTTCACAACATCCAATTCAGTCTCCATAAACAGGTGCTCTGCCGCGCCGGCTCGGATCTGTGCTTGGTTAGCAGTGTGAATCGTAGCAGGATCACCAGACCTACCCTTGGGAATGGGTGTAAAAGCATCGATGACAATTTCTTCAGAACATCAATCCGCAATGGCTCTAGTCTTGACAGCGGTGCGTAGACTCTGATGGCAGCTTCAAGTCTTGCTATGTTGGAGGATTTGAAATGCGCTTTTTGAACGACCACAAATAGCTTTCGGAAGCTGGGAGAATAACAGTCAATGAATGAATGGATTACCATTCGGGACCACATATAGCAACTTACCTTGGCTCCGAGCCTTCGGGGATGGAAGAAACATAACCATCAACCAAAAATGCTAGTAACTCCATGGTCGGTATAGCATAGCGGTCATCTTGTAGGTTATCATTCAATATGACTATCAGATCTTTCAGCGTTTCAATCAAAATATTCCGCTGCTCTTCTCCCTCCTGACTATTGATGCATTGTGTTAAAGCTGAACGGGATGCATGGATGAGACCCTCGGTTCCAGCAACAGCAGAGGTAGCAATGCCTTGGAAAAGCGGCAAACGCAACCACTCTATCGTCTGCAATTCCAGGAGTTGAAGGAAATAATCAGGAGCAGACACATGGCTAAAGTATTCGTATTTCCTCTGCAGTGGTGGGAAGTTTTCCGTCGACTCCCAGAAGCTCTGTAAACAAAGCCAGGCTTGTAAGCGGACTTTGTCTAGCTTCTCTGTTGCAAGTCGACAAATACATCCAACAACTTTTTGGGCGCGGGAAGAAATAGCTACTGGTCCAGTCTCGTTTTGAAGAATAGTCTTTGCTGCTTGGAGTGCTTCCATTCTGATTAATGACCCGATGTCTCCTCGTCTGTCTGTTGTGTAGTCATTGAGGAATCCAATAAAGTGATCTACAAGATCATCCGTCACATCTACAAGGCGGTTAGCATATACTCCTTTCATGATGGGTTTAAATAGCATACCTGTATAAGGTAGGATTTCCGTCGCCAGGCATTTTACTGCCGTCACCCTTTTTTCAATGAGCTCTTCCTTCCCTGTGCACCGTATCAGCTCTTCGATGATAGATTTTATCAAAGAATTCCCGACTTCAAGTCGCTTGAAAATAGCACCGAGAGATGAAATCTGACCGCGGCCAGTGGGCAATTTCCATGTAGAGCGTATGTACGAGAACCAGCCCTGCACTGTCTCATTCTGTTTCGACGGAGATAGAAGTGGAAACAGTTGTGATATCGCATCACATGAGGACTCTATGACAAGGTCTTCGCCACGAGAAGCACACAACAAAAGTACTTCACAGGCTTTGTCTATCACGGTATCAGATGGCCGAAGTGACGTCGATTTTTCTGCCTGATGAGCTGACTTCGACAGGGAGCTAATAAGACGTGAGGAAGCCTCGGCTGTCAACTCTGGGCGTGACATCTGAAGCGTCAAATCGTCTTTAGTAGGTCCAAACGATGAATTGAAAATGCTCCAGAGCTCCACAACCAACCGGGAAACTCCCAAGGCTTCAGAGGAATCTTTATCTTCGAGGCTATTGTAGGCATCAACCGTCGCGGCAATTGACAACAAGCATCCATGTCTCGACTCTACATCATTCCGAGGTAGACTAGATATTTTGTGATGCAATCGCTGAATCACCGTCTTCATGGTCTTGTATGATCCCTTGGTACTCAGGCTTCCTATTGCTCCAGCTGCTTGTCTCCTGGATTCGGCATCTGGAGAACCGATGCCTCTCCAGTTCATCAATGACTCTACCAAGGGGCTCCAATAAATATCACTGAGCGATGCGGTCATACTTGCAACATCGATCATCGCTCTTGATCGCCGTGCAACTGCATGATAGTCCACAGCTTGGACGAGTGGTATTCCTTCAGTAATAGTGTTAGGATGACGGCCAATTAACTCTTGCAGGGCAGCAGAGGCACCTCTCCGGATGTTTCCTGAAGGGTCTACACAAGCTGCACATACTAGCTCTATAGCTAGCATTTGCAATGTGCTTGCTTCCCCGTGGCCTGTAGAGGTACTGATCGTTTGCGATTTTAACGCCAGCAGCTCCTGAGTCGTGTACTTGCGTGAGAGAGCCCATATACCAAAACAAGAAGCATCCCGCACACCAGTCCCAACAGAACTTCCAGTGGAAGATCTCTGTTCAAAGTCAAGACCAGAGACAAGAGGCTGCAGTACGTTAGGTAATTGACGGGTTGGTGGTGCGCGGCGAAAGAGAAGATGGCCCAGGGTCAATATCAAGCCTTGCCATCTTTGGGCATCGACAGCACTCAGATTCCGCTTCAGCTTGTTCATTCCAATCATTCGTGCTTCAAAAGGCGCCACAATAGTGCCATCCCGCGTCTCGTACAAAATATTTTCCTCCAAGGACCCAGTCACAGCCTCGATGACTTCAGTGCCCATGTCCGGATTCAGTTTCAAAGTGATGATACTCAGTGCCTTACTTGCTGCAAACCGCACAGGTGTATCCTTATCAGCAAGAGATACTAGAAAATGATCAATTGTATCCTCTAGGATAGAAGATACTTGATCGTCCGAGAGAGGGCAATTTTCTCTCTCGCTCAATGACAATGCCATGACCGTAACGGAGCGAAGAATTTTGATGATGATCTTCCGAGCAGAAGCAGAAGCCCTGATGACTTGGGAGACTTCAGAATTCTCCTGGGCAATGCGCAGGGTTTGTTTGAAGATAGGTAGAATCAACGGAGCGAACTCTTCAACCTGACCGGACGCACCTAGCCGCGCAAGGAACGACAACACCCCAATGCAAGAATATACAGAAGGTAGTCCGGATTTTCCACCAGGTTGAATAACCGAGAACGCCCAATCTGTAAGATTGGTTAGCACTCCGAGAGCCTGCATATCCCGACGAAGGACTAGTCGTGCAAGGAGCACAGTGGCCGCCTCTCGCTCTTTCCCAGGCACATTGACATAGTTCAAGGACACTGAAAGAATGGACCTTGTCACTGTCGGTGTTTGAGATAATAGCGGCTTCAGTTGATCCAGATTCTCGTACGGAACAGGTATGTCATCCGACGACATAGAAGCCAAGTCAAAAGGCGCCAGCAACTGATGTGAAAGCCAGATAAGCATCATATATCGTTCTTCCCAAACAAGACGTTTAGGCACATCATTCGTACCCATTTCCATTGGATCCTCTTGTGGTACTGCGTCCCACTCGATAAAGGCCCGTAGCAAAGGGTCAAGATATTTGGGCTCATTGTTCAAGAACCTGCTAATGACCTTGACCCCGCGTACCTTGCAGAAGGTATACAGAAGCCGACAGACAGCTCTGGGAAGTGGATAAAGTGCCTGTCGACCCTGGGACCCGGTCACCTCTGCAACATATTGATCGCGATGCTTCACCAAATATGCCAGGAAAACATCCACTAAGGGGGGTAGCAGCTTTGATAAATGCGGATCCAACAGCTGCGGCCACTCCTGAAAGGGCTCTAGCTATACCAGTAGTTAGCCAGAAACCCGCTATCCCATCTGGTCAGATTGCAATCTTACAAGGCCTATGAGTTTCTCCGTCTTAGCAGCCGGTGTCCATCGTCGTGGGACCCGGGTCTCGGAGCCATTTTGGATTCGCGATTTCCAGAGCAAAGAGGGCAGTTTTTCTGAGAACTCGCTCACGAGGTCGCCAGACGCACGCTGGAGTTTGACCTCTCTATCTTCTACCGCATCCATGATGAGGGTTTGCGACTTCCATCTGAAGTCAGACTGTTTGCATTCGACAGCGTGAAAGACAGCGGGGATTCGGTCAACGGTCCAGGTCATGTGACTGTATACAGAAAGTTGAGTGACCGAATCAACAAAAGCACAATAGCAGATAAATAAAAATATTTTCCTGCTTGTATTTGATATTCAGATGATCCTTTTGAGAATAACATGAAAATAAAAGATTACTTCCAGTTGAGGAGGTTGAGCTGCTAATGTGTTTTTGCATATATATACTCGTTAACTACCACAATCCATCAAAGACTCTAACTTGAATTCATCCATAGTTTCCATGCTTCTACCTCAGTGCTATTAGAAAACAGAACGCAAGTAAATGACAATAAAATTACTAAGTATCATAATTGCGACCAAACTCCACTTGCATAAAAAGAATTGTATAATATTAGCCAGCTTCTTGCTTTCAAGTTTCCATATTTCCCTTTCGATGGGACATGCATCATAGATCCTCATCTGACGTTAGTCGTATACCATCAGGGACCTTACAAAACCCTCCCTCGCAGTCATCTGCGAGTTCAATCATTGTCCTGCGAATCCGCATGATGGCAATTGCAACAGCCAGTGAGCTCCATGCATCCTGTCCGTATTCTCCCAGATCAAATTGCGAGATAAACTTGCTTCCAGTACCCTTACTCCATCCTCTCTTACTCAATGGATCTGTGTCCAAGGTTAAGATGGCAACTATTGGGCCACATATGACGAAACCAACAAGAAGAGGGAATCTTCGCTGGCTGCGTAGGACAGACTCGATTTCTTGTTTAATCTGACCTTCTGGAGAAGGGGAGGATTCTTCGAGTCGAAATGGCAATTCCAAGGCATCACGATATCGCTGGGAAAGTGCTTCTAAGCGTCGATTGAGCTTGCGGACGGCTCGGAGTGTGGACTCCCCTTTCTTTTGGGAATAGATGGCGTGCACAGGAATTGCTCCAGGGTTGACTTGCACATTGGCATCGTATAGAGCCCAGCGTAGATATTTCTTGATAGCTCGTTTGATCACAGGCTCTGGTCGAATTTGTAGAATACTGCAATCTCTCACTCGACCTCCGAGGGAGAACAAGCTAATCAGGGATTTGATAGCTACGAGAATATGCATTATTAGCAAGATCGATCCGTAGAAAATGACTGCCAAAACTCTAACTTACCATAGAAATCAGAGCCCCTGCATGCTTGAATAAGAGGCGCTCTGCCATATCCAGACACAGCAAACAATGACCCGGGAAGAGTTCCAAAGTCGAATTGCCAATGGCTTGGGATGATAGGCTCGAACCCACGCATCGCGAGTCGGAAGAAAAGCTCCTTTTCTGCTTTACTCCAAAGGCCCTCAGGCAGGCTGATAGCATCGGCCCAGCGTTTGGCCTTTTCCACTGAAAAGTCGAAGGTGACGCTTTTTGTCTCGCTTTTTGGGACGCTAATGTTGCTGAGGTAGTCATCTTCATCGTCGTTATCGTCGTTGTTGTAATCTTCGTCGTCACTTAAGGACTTGATAGGTTTTGGCTGGTCTTTGGAAGCGGTTCCTGTCCCCGGATGGAAGGTATAATCTTCATAGATACTAGAGCTTTTGCGTGTCTTCTCCGGCGGGGATAATCCCCAAAAAGGACTGGACTTACCATCGTCGGAAATCAAGTTGCTATCTGATTTCCGTCTCCAAAGACTATCGTGATCTCCAGGAGGCTCAGAATGTGACCGTCGTCTGGGAATGAAGAATCCAGAAAAGGAACTCCACTCAATTGCTGGAAGGTTACTAGCAAGATATCCCAAACTTTTCTGTGGCAGTGGCTCGATTGGATAAGTAGATTTTTCTGGCTTCTCACTTGAATAATCCACGAGGTGCGGAAACAATGGCAGTTGTGGATCGTGCCCTAAACTGCGTCTGCGTCGCTTTGGAGTCCGAGGAGGTGTACTTTTCTTATCATCCCCAAGGCTTGTGTCAGAAGTTCTCTTTCTCTTCCGCAATGATCTCGGTGTCGTGGTACCATCTGCCTGTTCATCTCCGGCAGGCAAAGATCCATCGAGCTCTTCATCATCATCATCTTTTCCGGGGACGTACGTCGGATCGACATCTCGTTTCTTTTTCTTGGACTTGTTGGATCCCGACTGATGTGTATTTTGATCCAACTTTGAACCGGAATTCATTAAACGTAATAGTGTTTCTGGCGTTGCCTTTCTATCATTTCCATTTCCGAGATTCTTTCCATCTTCTTCTCTTCCAGGAACGTATGTTGGGTCGACCGTCTTCTTTTTCTTCGTTTTCGACTTGTTGGAACCTGGGGTTTGGTGTTTATTCTTCGCATCATTGAGATCCTCATCCTCGTCGTCATCCTCCCCAGGAACATACGTAGGATCGATAGAGTCTCCCCTCTTCCTTTTATTCTTAGTAGATCCCGGGATCTGCGTTTTCTTTCCATTTTTATCGGCATCCATCAAGCCTCGCACCTCTTTCGGCGATACCTTATCCAACTCATCGACATCCTCTTCATCCGACCCTTCGTCCCCAGGGACAAACGTCGGGTCGACAGTAGTGTCATTTCCTTTTGTTTTGGATTGACTAGATTCAGGCGTTTCGTAGCTGTGGTCGTCGACGAGGGCTGTGCGTCCCAAGACCGTCGTGATCATTGTATCGGTTAGACGTTTCATGGGGGTATTCAGCGCCATGTTTTTAGAGTGATACTTTCGCCGTTTCAGGATAGCTTTTTTTTGACTTTCAGACAAAAGTCGAAACCATATGTGTCGGCTGAGATAACGCAGGAGAAAAGTATCAGGAAACAAGACGACATCTCAAGACGTGGAGTCGACTAGGTAATTATGTCCTTGAAGAGTGAGATGGGGGGGCTAGCTAAAACAGCCTGAATGAAAGATAGAATGAGATAGAGTACTATTCTTAGCTCTGTCGAGTTTCTTTGTCTTTGTTTTGAAGACAGACGAAAGACGTCGAGTTGAGTTCCGGACAAAGAACAGGAAGAGGCGTAGCAGAAGTCGAGACAGACAAAGAAAGATAGAAAAAGAGAAAGAAGGATGTGCCCGAGTCCTCGAGTCTGGTGTTTCCTGGACGTCATCTCCAGTGAATATGTGTTGCTGAAGAGTGGTTGGGAGAAGGACAAATAAAAGAAAGCGTCGACTGGAGGAACTACGCCCAGTGTTCTTCCTTCAAGTGAATGCAGGCAGTCATTCTACAGACGTTTCTGGAAATTAAACAATTCAAGAAGATGTATAGCTAACATTTCAACACCGTTACTTCGTATTCGCATTGTCACCTCAAAGCGCGATCTTGGGAATCAGAAGCTCAAATGAAACATACTCGACCTCGTAAAGAAACATCATGGATGGCATCCATACAACATTCAAAATCAATCAACCAGGTTCACAACAATAACGACATCCGCTCCTCCAGATTCGACAGTGCAATAAACGCCAGCAACCCCTTTTGCTTTCGACCTATCAATCAAGTGTCATGTCAACTGCTTCTCCATCCAAAGATATAGCATCACCATCGACAAGGGTCCGATCCGAGGCAGAATTACATTCCAGGAATTGGGAATAAAATTCGTAAAAAAAAGAAATTAAGAACGAGCAGTTTAAATGAAGACATAGAAGGGAAAAGAAGAAGAAAGAAAAAAAGAACCCAGGAACCAAGTCGCTCCTTTACCTGCACCCCAAAGGACCACCATACGAGATAGTAGACCAGCTCTAAGAGGCGCTCACACCAGCTCTCAAAAAACTCTCATGGGTATGTAAAGCAATGTTTTCAGTGCAAAAAAAGTGCTGAAAAGTGACTGGCAACGATCAAGAAGCTAGAGGGCCATTTGCTTTAAGAAGATCCAAATCCACTTTGAGAAAAGAGTAGCAACAAACGCAAGACGATTTTTATTAGAAAGAAAAGCTGTTCCATTAGGCAAAGTCCGCGGTGTAAGAGAAACCACGGAACTCTTCCTGCATAGCTTGAGAAAGAACTAAATTCGGGGGAATTGATATTAGCAGTTGAACGGTCAACTCGACGAGATTGAATCTTACCTGACTGCACGGGCGTAAGGACAGGAGTGACACTGGTGAATTCCTGGTCGAAGTTGCTTGTATCGGTAGGGCTGCTGATGGTTGGCATGAATGGAGGAGGAACCCGCTTGTGGTAGATGTCATCCCAGTTGACATTCCTGAAGAACGCATGGGACATGACCTCCTGGGCATCCGTAGGTCCCGAGCCCAATCTCAATTCTGGCTCACGAGTGAGCAGCTTCTGAAGAATGGAGACAGAGTCACGAGGCATGTGGATGGGGTAGAGGGGCTCATCAGCCAAAATGGCATCGTAGATTTCATCCTCATCTTCACCACGGAATGGAGACTGCTGAAGAAGCATCTGGTAGATAAGCACACCGAATGCCCACCAATCAACTGCCCGGCCGTATTTCTTGTCCAACAGAATCTGCAGCGTGGTTAATACTTAAGATCATCAAATTTGGATCTTGACTACTTACCTCTGGTGCCATGAATTCAGGAGTACCACAGAATGTGCTGGTGGTGCAGCCATACCACATGTTCTCCTTGCAAAGACCGTAGTCTGCAATCTTGATGTGACCGTCCAGGGTCAAAAGGATATTGTCAAGCTTCAGATCACGGTAGATGACACCGTTCTCGTGGAAGTACTTGAGAGCCAGGCAAACCTCGGCAGCGTAGAATCTGTGCAAGATAGTTAGCAGTCGTTCCCGTTTGCGAGGGCTCATTGAACACGTACTGGGCCCTCTTCAGACCGAACTGGCCACGCTGAATGTGCAACATAAGATCACCACCACTAATATATTCCATAACGAAGTAAACACGGGTTTCTGTCTGGAAACAGGCGTGCAAGTTGAGGAGGAATGGGTGGCGTTCCTTGTTGGCAACCAAGAAGACACGCTTTTCGGACTTGGTACTCTCAACTTCGTCGTTTTCGATAATAAACTCCTTCTTCAACACCTTGATAGCATAAAGCTTCTTCGCACTCTTGGTCTCTGCCAGCATGACCTTTCCGAAGTTACCTTTACCAAGGACAGCAAGGAAGTTGAAATGGTCGAGACCAATTCTGATTCTTGGCTGCTGAGGGATCTCGTCCTTCACGGCTACAGGCTGCTGCGGAACTATAGGCATAGGTTGCTGCTGCTGTACTGGCATACCATACGGCGAAGTAACCTTCTGCTGCATTGCTTGAGGGGGAATACCTTGCTGATAAGGTGCGTATACAGATGGGTCATAAGGAGCATGTGCAGGTGGCTGTGACTGTACTGGGCGGCTCATTTCTGTTTGGTACTGAAATTAACTACTGTCGTTAATGTCATACGGAAGGTCAACTGGACATACCTGGTACTTGTTGGGGGGTACGCAATCCTGTCGCTGCGGCGGCGGCGGCAGCAGCAGGGCTTGACGAAGGGCTAGTCGGGGTAGGAATTTGCTGTCGCTGCGCAGCTGTTGGTGACTGTGGTGGCATATAAGAGTTAGTCGCGGCGCTAACAGCTTCTGCAGAAGCCTGTCTTTGGGGGGCATAAGGGCCCTCGACTGGCTTTTGCGGGTAGGCAAGAGACGCGTTTTCTTGAGGACTCTGAGGCGGGCCGCCTGGTCGAAGGGTGCGGCCACTGAGACCAGAACTAACAGAGGCGGATTTGTTGTGATTCTTTGCGCGAATCAAGGTTTCCAGAATCTGATTGGCAGCTTCCATAGACATGCCACAGAAATCGGGCACAAGGTGTGTGCATTGAGCATGGCAAGCAAGTCCACATTCTGGGGAAAGAGGTCAGTTTTGTCAATAGTACATATGGGCAGTGTGTCAATTACCTGAGCATCGTTTGGCGCTCTTGCGTCCGAAAGGAAGCAAGTAACCGCAGTGGCAACACCAGTTCGCCGAGAGGTTGGAGAATCCCTCGAAGCGATGGGGAATACGATGGTTGATCTTCTCCTCGTCGGGATCGGTCTCGTAGTTTGCTTTACTGATACACTTGGTGACAACCTTAGGATAACACTTGCGGTGGCAAGTATACTTGCAGTCGGCACACTGCATACCAGCAGCATATTTCAAAAAGTCGCCGCAAAGGGCACAACGCATAATGTTGTAGAATTGCTGGGTGACAAACTTGTGGCCCTGCTTCTCATGAACCTCTTCCTTCTTCTGTCGAACGGCACCTTGACGGTTCAGACCAATGTCGAATGGTCGGCGGTCCTTCAGTTGCTTGGCTATATAAAATGTCAGTGATCTGGAGACACACCAAAAGCGATTCGGGTTTGATCATACCGAAACTCAATGACAAGTGAATACGGCCAACTGGTTCCAAAGCGAACCAAGAATCGATCAAGACCGTGTTCATCGAAGGAGCACCAGGGGCACCGTCCGGAACAGGAGCGTTGGGATGTGCTCCGGCGGGATTCTGGGAACCACCCATCGGTGAAGAAGGCCCGGAAGCACCGCCGTGCTCCATCTTGTCTGCAGATACCCAGCCAGAGGCATTCAACTCTGTCTCGATCTTCTTGCGACGCATCTCCTCTGCGATGTCGGAAATGCGCACCCAAAGCATACCGATGGGCGTTGGTCTGTCGCCCGATTTGTCGTATACGGTAAGTTCGATTTCGTTGGCCTTGTCAATGTCGATGGTAAAGGCTTCATCAGGCCACTTGTCTGCTCTAGTGGGCTTAGTTCTTGCTTTGATAGCATCTTCAACCTTGAGAATGACAAATGTTTCGGGGCCTCTGGAGAATCTTGAGCCTGCGGCATGATCTACGTCTTTGACAGCATGGATACGCAGGGTTAAAAGACCAGTGAGCGGCTTGCGCATGTTAGGAGAGCTAAGACTTTCATCTACTGGAGGTTAGTCTGATACAGAAGGCGCACTTTGAAGAAGGAGCATACCATCGGGTGTATCGGTGGACTCGATGTCAACGTGGAGGTCTTCATATCGCTTCAAGGCCTGCTTGAGCAGCTGGATCTTCTGGTTGCTCTCAATCCGTCGACCCTCGGCGTCCGCGCGACTCTTTCTGTCACCCTCATCTTGATATAGACGAACCATCTTTTCAATGCCCGCCTTGTATTGTTTCTCCACACTCAATTTGAATTCGAGCTGGGACAGCATGAGTTGAATCTTGGGTCCGAGATAGTTGGTGTCATATTTAATCAAGTCTGTGTGACACACGAGGCATTAGTATCGAGTCAATGAAAGAAACCACGCAGAACGATTTCCAACATATCGTGAAACCTACCAAGTTTCGTATAATTCGGCCTGGCCTTGGGGACAGGAGCAAAAGGTCGCGGGTCCGAGTATGGAGCACCCGAGGGCATGGAGCCAGCTCCTCCTTGCGGGTAACCAGAATCACCAAAATCGCCCGCGTCATTGTGATAGCCCGGCCCGTAGTCCTTCGGGGGAGGAACGGGGCCCTGTGAACTCCCACGGTTCTCGGTGGGCGAAGCAGAACCGCCTTCCTGCTCGATTCGACGGATCTGCAACTCCTTCATCTTCTCTTCCAGGTAAGCAATGTTCTTGCGGCCATCGCGGATGTTCGCATCGACTCGCTGCTGCACCATGGGGTTATCGGTCGACTGCCGCATGTTGGTCGCAGCGGTGATGAGAGCCTTTTCCCGCTCGATCTTGCGGTAGACCGAGGCAATGAGTTCGTCGCCGTCCATGCTGGGCAAGGGTGGTCCGAAGACGAAGAACCAACAGAGAAGGAATCAAACGAAGGCGTACAATGCGATCAACGGGGAGGGATTGTGCCGTTGTCGTTCAGTCGATGGGATGAAGGTTGTCGGGGAAAACCGTCGCGGGGCTGTTGTTGACAGTTGCAGGGGGGGGGGTGGAGTGGGATCGCAACGGCAGCGTTAATGCCACTCGGAAAATGTGAGACACGCCACGGTTCGATGACGAGCCCTGGTGATTTTTTTTGACCGGCGGAGACTCGATCGACAGGGAGGAAGGGAGGCAAGTGAATGTGAGGAGGATGCAGGGAAAAAAAAAAGAAGATTTGGAGTTTATTGCCAGCCAGACGCGATCGGGCAGATTGGAGGGTCGTGTGTGGCAGTTAAAGTAGCTTGGCTGAATGATCGATTCTTCGAGGAGTAGGGGAGAAGCTGGAGGAGGAGCAAAAGAATGCAGTCTGATGAATTAAACACCCTCAACACCTTCAGACAAACCGACAGCCAGACAGGACGACTAGAGCAGAGAGAGAGAATGGCGAGAAGTCGTCGAGATGGAGAGAGACAGAGAGAGGCCGACGGAGGGGCATCTGATTAGGTCATCGGTGGGTTTAGGGACACGAGGGGATCGCAGGTATAGAATTCAATTTAGACGACAATTAATATCGATAACGAGGGTTACTGTTATCATTTACTATCCAGTTGAGGATCAGGTAAATGATGGAGAAAAGAGTTGGAAGTGGAAGTTGGTGGAAGAGACGAAGAAGAGAGTGGATGCTATTGTGGCGAAACGGTCAGGATATGGAGACGTTATCTTTTATTTCTTTGTTTCATTTTATTTTCATTTTCATTTTCAGTTTTATTTAATTCTTTTTAATCTTTTATTTCTTATCTTTGTATTATTTATTGTTGCTTTGGTCTGATGATGCAGATCAATCATCTCACATTCCAGAAAACAACAGCATCAAAGAACACATGCCAACATGTCTGGATAATCCAAATAAACCCAAATGATGAAGAGCCGATAGAGTCATAAAGAGGGGCAGACCAGATCAGTCCATCTGACAAGGGGCATCAGCAAGGAGATATCGCACCCTGCAGTGTGACCACAAAGGGATATCTTCATATCTCCATATCTTCATACAATCAATCCAAACGAATACAAACCTTGCCAACATGCTGTCCAGATTGAAGATATTAATATGCAGAAACTACTTCATCTCGCGTAAATCCAAAATTCTTCTCCACGGGCATCCTCAGCTTCGCCCTGTCGACAAAAGTAACCAGATCCTCCATACATTTAGGCCCGATCAAAACCCCCCGAACGACGCACCCCTTGGAGAGAGCAAGTAGAGGAACATCAGGCACGCGAGACTGGTCAATCTTAGCCAGATAGCCGATGATACCGATGACTCCACCGTATGCAATGGCCTTGATGCTCTGCTCGATCGTGCCAATTCCTCCTATTTCGAGGATGTGATCGACGCCTTTTCCGCCGGTGAGTTCGAGTGCCTTGGATGCCCAGTCTGGATGTTTGCTGTAGTTGATGCAGTGGTCTGGGTGGAATTTGGACTTGATAATCTCGAGTTTCTCTTTGCTGGATGAGGCGATGATGGTCGTCGCACCGGCTGCTTTAGCCAGGATGAGGCCTGTGACGGATACACCCAGTACCTAGTCATCATCAGCATCTGTATAACTCGCGTCTCAATTGAAGTAAACTCACCCTGTATTAAGACAGTCTGCCCAGGCTTCAACGCAACAACGCCATACAGACTATTCCATGCCGTCACACCCGTACAAACCAACGACGCCAACTCACTGTAACTCTGCGGCGCACCAGCAGGCACCTTGACCACCGCAGAAGCCGGTCTGGCAATATACTGCGCCAGCGTGCCATCAACAAAAGCCCCCTGGCCGTTATAAAAGTCTTTTTGAGGCCCGTACAGATGAGTAGGATCAAACGAGATGACCCGATCTCCCTTCTCGAGACCTTGAACGGCACTTCCCACCTCGACGATATCGCCAGCGCCGTCAGAGCAGGGAATGTGGTCTTTTTTGGTCGGGAAGGGGTATTTGGAAGTGGCGACTTGGATATCGCGTGAGTTCAAGGCGACAGCCTTGATTTTAACGAGGACTTCATGTTTGGCGATGGTTGGAACTTCTTCTTGGGAGGAGATGAGGTTTTGAAAGGAGCCTTGTTCTGGAAAGCGGAAGACGGTGTGCTGAGACATGGTGAGATAGATTGATGAAGATGTTCTTGAATGAAGAAGAAATTAGAGAAAGACAAGAAGTCTCATATAAGTTGATCCGTAGAAGCATTGCTTTATATAGGAAGACGACACAATCCAGATACTCTTTTCAGTTCATTCCAGCCTTTCCAATTGGACGAACAAGTGGGTCTATGTAGGTAGTATCTACTGGTATGATCTATGATGACATTCCAATGGCTTTATTTCCATATAACCGAGTTATCTACAGTCTATTGTTTCACATCTCTGATACAAAGCATTCAGTCCAAGGCTCATTTTGTTTCATCTATATCACCTCACATTCGTCCTCGAATCATCAACCTCCAGACTCTTCAGAATCAATTCAACCTCATCGTCTGCTGCCTCCAATATATGCTCCGGTGGATACTGAGCTTTCCACCCAATTTGCTGTCCATGAACAGCCGTAAACGTACACCTGATATAGCTGTCAGCAAACCCCCATCTTCACCATCACCAAAAAGAGATACACATACTTTCCACCCAAAAGAACAGGCACATCAGATGGTTCAACTTCAAGTGCCTTTCCCATCTGTGCCAATGCTGCGTCATCTGCTTGTTTCACCGTTGCATAATCGACAATACCGCGTTTCGCAAGCGCTTTAGCCATTGCACTGTAGATATCCTCCCATGGCATACTGCCTGAAGCAGCGAGAAAGTAGCCATGTTTACCATGTCCGATATCATCTCCTGTCAAGATCTTTCGCAGGATATGCAGGTAGAGATTGATAGTGTCGATGATATGACAGACGGGCCATGTCTGAATCAATGAGTATCACTGTTTAGAGCTATACATATAATGGAGAATGGTCATACCGGATGGTCAGAATCCACCTTGTATACTTGTCGAATCTTTTTTGCTGCCTTGACAATTGCAACATCTTGAATTGAAATGCGGTTTCCAAACCCTTCACCCTCTCCATAGACGATACAGGGGGCAAAAATATAGCTTCGTACCCCGTACTCTTCAGCAGTATCAATGACTATCCTGTTCGTTTTCATAGACTATAGAATGAGCAAACCCACAACAGCAAAATATTGATAAAATGTCAGCTCACCTGGACAAAAAATTCATGAGATGTCACTGCATCCTTCTGAATATCATACAACTTCGGATCTGTATCGAGTAATGGATACTCGGTCGAAATTCCCGCATGACGACTAAATTGTTTCGCACCCGTTGTATGTAAAAAGTGCACCTCCTGCCCAGTCTGTTTCTTGACTTCACCCAGCGCCTGAATCATAGCTGGCTGGTACTGGGAACTATATGCATCGACTAGGAAGTAGATGATTGTGATTTTCCGACTAACGATGCTCTGGATGATACTGCCATGGTCTTTGAGATTACCGATTAGAGGCTCAGCTTCGTATTGCTTCACGGCCTCTCCTTGCTCTTCTGATCGAACGAGAGCATAGAGCTTCGAGTATGGAGGGAGCTGGGCGCTTTTCCAGCGTGCAAGGAGCGTTCCTCCAAGATAGCCCGAAGCACCAGTGATGAGAATATTCCGAGACATGGTTTTTTCGTATAGCTTGTCAATTTGGCAAGTATCAATCCATGGCAGAATCCATCCTTTTATGCTTGCTGCAATATAAAATTTGTCATCAAGTCGGCCCGGATAATGAAGCATTACCATTTGCAGTAGCATAAGTCCAGGCATCCATGACGTATTTTTGATTTGGCCAATAGGAACCAGCGGGATAAACTTGATATGAATTAATAAGTAGTCCACTGGGCAATGTTGGTAATCATTTTGGGGTAGGTGATATGGAGTATACCCAAAGGGGAAATCTCCCTCTAGGCAAGCCCCGAATTAGCTGAGCCCATGCTATGACGTACAAAAGTCGATGGCGTGCATCATGTATGACATGATAATTGCAGAATTAGATGCATTAATTGTTGAAGAACAGCGAGTCATGAAACATGTTTATATCCGGCAATCCAGTAAAAGCCTCATTCACCTCGTTACAATATGCAGCCCAAGATTCTGGGCCTAAAAGGTCGACCCGAGGCCATAATACGTCTTCATTTGCATCTTGCAGCTGTTGGGAGATGGGAGTGTGCTCTTCTATACCAGTAGGCTGGACTGCCGGATTATTTGAGATATCTGGCGTTTGGTTTGCAGTATTCGCGTTGTTGCCAGGCATAGTATTCAAGTCTTGTTTGGACAAATCAGCCGGGTCCGGTCTTTCAGTGATATTTAATATTCTGACAAGAGTGTCGACTTTGCTACAAAGATGGCGTGTAAGACACGCTGCACGGGCTGCTGCAATGTTCTGGCTACCGGCAGATTCAAATATTTCAAGGGCCATATCGGTGTGCTTCCGTGCTTTTTGAAATCGGTGACAAAATGGATATGCCAGCATGAATCCGATGAGCGTCAAGACAGCATTCCACTGGTATTGATACAGCTCACACGACCCATAAAGTGCATCATGGTGTGTCATACGACAATGCACCACATTAATGGTTGCCATAGCATGCTTAAGCGCCGTGGCTGCATGGACATCTGCTCGAGGAGTATTTTTGGGCACCGTGGTATGAGTTGGGAACTGGATAAAAACTCTGTGGAGAGTAATAATGATGTCGTGGTGCTGGAGTTCGAGCAGTGTGGCTAATAGTATCTGAGGCGGTGGCTGGTTTAGAAATTCATCATCCGCATCAACTGACATGTTCTCTATATCAAGCTGCAAGCTGCGAAACGATTTGTCTTGCAAGACTTCCTCTCGCCACTTGCATAAAAGCCCTAACTCGCCAGAAAGTATTTTTGCTCGAGCCTCAACATGGGCCATACAATCAGTTGTCTCGGGGGCGGGATAACAAACAATCGAGTCGATAACAGAGAGTGCAGCGGCTGTCAAACGCATTGACTGGGCATGGTAGGAGGTATACTCTGGCTCCAGCACCTGCACATGAGGCGGCACACAGGTAGAATCACGAAGCTGAACACTAATAGGCTTTCCCAGATGCCTCGAACAGCGAAAATCAAGATGAACTAATGTCCACCATATACGCCGAAAGATCTCTGCATCATCACGAGGCGTACTCGCTGTCGGGTCCTGGTGAAGGTTGAGTGACTGTGCGATCCGAACGGCCAGCCCAACCATGTTATACGCAGCTTGGTGCTGTCCAGCATCGAGCAAGTATAGTGTCATAAAGCAATAGCATTGAAGAGCAAGTATTGAGGGCCCCGAAAATGTCGTGTACTGAGTCGTAGCTGCCAAACAACGCCGAAAATACGACATGCCAACCATTGTACTCTGACTGCCTCTCATGAACTCATCCCACTGCAGACCAAGAAGCCGTGTGTTCAGCCCCAAGTAGAAGGCAGACTGCATGGAATACGCCGTAATAGCATCACGCAGGGGAGAGGCTGGGGATCCCTGGCCTCGTTGAGCAGCAGGCAGGTCCAAGTCCCTGCGCTGGACAATCGGCACCTGCAGTCGTAAACGCGTCCAGAAAATCCGCAGCAGACGCTCTATCTGTGCATTTGATAAAGAGCACTCTGCAGCACCCATTACTTCCAGAACATAATGGGGATAAGGACATGTATAAGCAGGCGGTTGCTCATGGGCAGGTGAATGGGCTGGAACGGAGGTGAGCTGAGGCATCCTCGAGCAGAAGTCGTTGATGCGAGAGATGAAGCCCAGCATCGAATCCATCCGGTTGGTTACAGGTTCTGTATCATCTGTTCCTGATGGCTGTGGAGTGGAGTCACTTTCCACACTCTGGGTGGTGTTGGCTTCTTCGCCTTGGGCCGATAGCCCCGATGGCGACTGTGCTCGAACAGACGAGGATGGTTCGACATTGTCACTCTTTTCTCGAGTAAACAAAGCCTCATGTTGACAATTAGGACGAGCACCTGATCGCCTGGGACGAATACAGGAAACACGATTCTCAATGCACTGGGGGCATGGTGTCGTGGCTTGACAGCGGACCCGATGTTCACGGCAAAAGTCACATGCCTGGCGAACTTTCTGACGCTTTGCCACTCGCGACGATCGAGGCACAGCAAAATTGTAGAACATTTCAGACCTTGATCGATAGGATAGGAAGGGCTGGAAGCGTTGTCAGCATGGATGAAGCCAATATTTTCTCCTTTGAGATTCTCCATGTCCGAATCCGGTAATCGAAGCTGGTCTATTGGATCAGCCAATAGGGAGAGCTGGAAGTGACTACAAAGAGTTAGACTAGATTAGTAATCGTTGGAGTCATTTTGCTCAAGTTTATAGATCATGACCCCAATTGAAGGAGGCATTACTCTTTAAACCGCAAACTGCAATGCACCTTTTCATAGTTTATCAAAACGATAAAAACACTTTGCAAAAAGTGTAAAAACATACAACAGCAGGGATTCGCTGGTGGTCACCCACCCAACTACTAACCTGCCGGCGTGTGGCTTAAGTACGGCTGAGCGGACGGGAAGCCCTGTTCTCCACACCCTGTGGTCGTATGTACTTGCTTCTTATTATTTGGGGGTTATATCTATAGATAGTTTATTTAATGGAATTGGGTTGTTTAGTTCAGGATATTTATAATGAGTTTATTCTGTTTCGTTGTGTTGCTCTCTCATGCGAATACATTCTGGGGGCTATCCGAGTACAATCAAATCTCGAACTATTTAAAACAATTGAAGATTATAAAGGTTAATGTATATCAAGTAGACTTACGGTGTAAATGCAGAGAAGTGAAATTGTAATTATTGTACATGCTCCTTCTCAACGCTCTTTGGAATACGAACAAAAAGACCTCACATTAAGGCTGCCAGTAAAGAAGCTGCTAAACTAAAAAACCAAATCGCTCTCAGAGCATCCAGATCAAGAGAATATCCCTCGCCCTTGGTGACCTTCTCTCCGATACTATCCCCAACGGCAGTAAAAACTGCCGTGGACAAGTCATGCATAGTGATCAAGAGCTGCCAGCAGCGCCTTGGAAGGGCCTCGGGACATTGGAGGAAATAAATATCGAAGCTGCTGCGAACGACATGTCCGGGCCGAAGGTGCTCAGAATAAGACCGGGAAATGATAGTGCCCAGTATATCATGATTTCCGTTCGAGGGAGGAAGAATACTGGCCCCAGAGTGAAGGCAATCATGCTGAGGATCATAATGTAGTGACCGGAGATGATATGCAATGTTTTCGCGACAACCCAGGTGGCAATGGTCCCAGAGACAGCAACAGGGAGGAGATAGACATCCGCAATGATTGGTGGTCTATCCTGAATGGTGAGGAAGAAGCGGACGGCATAAAACATCCAGGCGACAACATAAGCACCATAGCCCAGGAAATATGAGCCCATAAGCCAGAGGAATCCCGGGGTTTTCCACAGTCGATTGTCAATTAGTGGACGGGACACCCAGCGTTCAGCAAAGTAAAAGGCAACAAAAATAAGAGCCCTACAATAACCAGCTTGTAGGTATACGGGGTCCAGTGTGCCGGAGCGCCCTGGGTAAGACTAATGACGAGGAAACCACAGCCACCCGCAGACAGGGCTGCTCCTAAGAAATCAAAGTGCTTTATAGACAAGGCCTCATTGCCTGTTGCGTCAGATGAGGATGGCTTCAGCGATGGCATGGTGAAATATGCCGCTACAGCACACAGGGTAGAAAGAATGGTTGTAGAGCCAAATACCCACTCCAAGTGCGCACTGAACGCACCACCCTGAAGGGCCCCGACACCGAATCCCATTGTAATCTCATTGCCGACATCAAGGCAAGGCTTGCGTTGCCAAGGTTTGTAGATTCGCCCGAGCATGTTCATCGCGGTGGATTCAAGGACTCCCACCGCAAGCCCTTGCATGGCTCTAACGAAGAAATACAAGACCATCCGGGAGGGCTTAATGGAGAACACACAGATCAAGTCCTAGATAGTCAGCCAGACAAAGGCGCCGACAGTCAACCATTTGGGATTGGTCAGGTCTGCTAATGAACCCGAAATGATAACCGAGATTCCATTGGTAAGTAAGAACGAGCCGATGAGCCACGGTAATAGAGAACCACTGTTCCCTAGAGCGTCAACCAAGTTGACCTGGTTGACCATGGTATCGGCTAGAAAGATGGCAAACAGAAGCTGCCCCATGGTGCAGACAATCACAAAGACGATCTCTGCCATCAATGTGGGAAGCTCTGGTGGTTTGCCCTGGCTTGAACTGACTCCGACTGAATCAGGCTGCTGTCCTCCATCTTGAAATGTATCATTCCTTGTCTCGTGTTCATCGTGTGGGACCGAATCTGGCATGCGTTCATCGTTCGGTCGACTTTGCATTTCCATTGTGGGGGATGAGGATGGTTTGGTATGGGCTTTGGACGGGCCTGAAGGCTCTATCAGGCTTGCTGGAATCGTATTCATTCGGATGATGAAGATCAGACAATCGTGCCTTTCGTTCTTAGGCGCCTCCGTGCTTGAATTCCAATGGCAAGGGATAGATGGACCAAGTTAACAGAAGATCGACTAATACCCATCAGGGATAGCACAATCCAAACCTCTAATCCACCTTAAGGCTCAAAAATCATCATATAGCCTATATGGATTTGTCAGATGCGACATGCATGAGTGGAGCATTTGAAGCTATACGCCGTTTGGAGACATTTGATTATTGGAGCGTCTCCAAAAGGCCAAGTGTAAATGATATTGTCTTGAATTATTTTCCAACCATGATAATGGATATATCTGTTCTTCCTACACAATTCCTTTCGAAATAAATCAGGGAAAGCAATTTTCACCACTAAATCCAGCAAATCCAATGAAAGAATATCGTAACCTCATGTAATCAATGATATCTCGGGCCAATGTCCAGATACACACTATTCCGATCTCTTGGAAATCTTGGGCAGTGATAGCCAAGCGGCGAGCATCACCACGTATAAGCCAATGCAGATAGGATGCAGAACCACAGTTCCCACATTCTGTGCCAGTAGACCCGTAAAGAAAGGTGCCACAGCTCCTCCACTACTGCCCATCGCACTTGTAAAGCTCAAACTCGACATCTGAATATGTCTAGGAAGTAGCTTACTGAAAACCGCTGTGGCACAAGGGTAGACTGGCCCGAGCAGCAATCCCACGAGGGCCACCGTGACAGCCTCCCCGATCACGTTGGGAATGAACCAGGTCATCAGCTGAAACGCAATTGATCCCAGCACAAGCAAGACGACAGCGACCTTTTCTCCGAACTTATGGGCTGGATGGGACAGGACAAACCGTCCAACAGTGATGCCTGCCCAAAATCCAGCGCTAACATAACCAACACGCGACGGATCCCCATGACGATAACTAATGAGAAACGAGACAACCCAGCCGGAGATAGACACTTCTGCACCTTGGTATGCGAAAATGAACAGCGAACCGAGCAGGGTAGTCTTGTTTTTCACGGCTTGCTTGAGAACTTCCTTTCTACTGGGCGCATCATCATTTTGCTCTTGACGAGAAGCAGTCTGCTGGAGTGCTGTCAGTAGCTGAGCTGGCAAGTCTTTCTCGTAGTTATGGAAACTCCATGCTGCAAAGACTAGGTTGAAAAGGGACATGGCCAGATTGATAGAGTAGTAGAATGACCAGCGGACCCCGTGAGACACCAAGGCCGTTGCTATGAGAGGTCCTGCTATCCCTCCGATACCATAACCCCCATGCAAACCACCTAGGGCAGCAGTGTTGTTGGAAAGGTTGGCGCAGAAAACATTGTTGAGAGCCAGGTTAAGCGATATGCCAAACCCGAGCAGAAAGAAACTAACGACGACCACAGGAAACGGTGGCTTGCAGATGATAATAACATAAGCAGCAGCCAGAATCAGCGTTGACAATGCATACGCCTTGGAGCGTCCAAGTTTGGTTTCCAGGAAATAAGTAAACGGTGCCGCGATAATAAAACCCGCAGCGTTGGAAACGAAGATCAGAGAGACAACCGCATATCCTATGCCGTAATCCTTCTCAATAGAAGGGATCAAAGCACCGGGAGCACTATCATTGAACCCATTGGCAAGATTCATCAGACAAGCACTCAGTAGTCGCCATTTGGTCATTGACGAAGCCGTATGGTCTGGGACTGGATCGGTAGCCCAACGCTCTCCAGGCGTGTCTGCACGGCTCTCTAACTCGCCAGGAGACACGGGTGTCTGGATCCCTGCACTTTGTTTTGGAGCATCTGTGGCAGAGTGTGTATCCCGTTGAATGTCATCCAGCTCGTGGTCGGTTGGAGAGCGAGCGATGCCCTGCTTATCTTTACGCACAACAGCAGCAGGATTGGTGACTGGAGGGGAGCTCTCGAGGTGAACCAGAGCCCCAAACGTCGAAGTGGACATTTTAATCAAGGAAATAATTCTCCGTATGAGCCAAGGGACCAAGTCAAGAGATCAGGCAATAGTTGCAGAGGATATTGTCTTCCGAGCGAAAGGAAGAAGCTTAACTGCTTGGGAGCTGGGAATCCCCACCCCGCACCTCAGGGTCTGTATTAGTTAGCGGTCAATAGCAGGAGGACATGGGAAAAAGGATCCCGATGGCCAAGAAGAGATCAGCTGGCAGTGAGTTGAAGCGATCCAATCTGGAGAAGTGCCGGTCGAAATGATCTATCCAGTGGAGATGATTCCACTGTTCGGCATTCACCGTCATGGTAAGCTGTCTATGCGGGGTCAACGGTTGGTTGGCACGGTTCATTATCAGAATCCATGGTAATTATCAGGATAAAACAAGAATGACCGCATAAATTGTGCCTGGTCGCTGGATAAGTGAGTGATTGCATTAAAAACGGCAGTGGTTGAAGAGAAGATGGCAGCAATCCGAAGTTCCACAATCAAACGATTCGCCCACGGGATTTCGACAGGCTAAAATTCTTTCTTTGGCTTCATCTTCTACCCCAGTTCTCCAACCCCCACCTGGTCGAGAGAATAGAACACTGGATAATTATCCAAGTCTAGTACTTCAATTTAGCCTTGTTTGAATTTAGCTGCCAATTTACCAGCAATGGGTCCCCCCAGGAGAAAGGTGCTTGCCACCGCCGAAGAGACCATGACCCCTCCCGATGAGCTTCAGGCAGGACAGCAACTCGCACGGGTCATCAAGGCAACGGGCAACAACATTTACTCGGTCGAGACGCCCTCGAAGGAATCGCTGTTGGTCGAATTGCCTGCCCGGTTCCGGTCAACTATCTGGATGAGACGGGGTTCTTATGTCGTGATTGACACCAATGCTCTTGAGGGCCGTGACAACAAGCTCAATGGAGAGATTGTGAACATCGTCAGAGACGAGAAAGCCTGGCGCAAGGCTCCGTACTGGTGAGTCGTTCGAACAGCTTCTTCCCACCTTGACTCTCGCTGATTCATTTACAGGCCAAAGCAATTTGCCAGGCAAGTACAATCAGCTCCAGACTCATCTGACGAAGAAGAGTCCAACATGGGCAAGATGCCTTCGTCAGACGAGTCAGATGCGTGATGCTGTTCTCCCTGCGCCCATTCTTTATGGCTGAATCATGGCGCTCTACGGCCTGGTATTCGATGATCCCATTGTTCCTGGACTGTCTACTACTCGCCTAGCCATACTTGTGGAATTTCGAGTCTATTTTGATAACAACTGCAATGATGACAACACGCTCGCAAAAATTTCGGGGCCATTTTCATTGGATATGCTCTTTGGCGGCACTATCCCTCAAACGGGTCTCATCAGATGCGGAATTGCTGTCGAAAAGAACACCAAATACTTGGGCGGCAAGTGAAAGAACAACGACAATGGAACTCGCGTTGGTGCTGGGAAAGGTGTTCCAGGCCCACTCTTGCAGAGCCCACGCTGCGTATATGAGGACTGGATGAATACCGGCTCGCCAGAGGAGGAAAGGAGTCGCCCACGAGAGATAGGCGAAGAATTGATAATGGAGGGATCTTGCACATAGCAACCCAGTCGCAAGAGATGCCAACATCACCGTCATTACGAAAGATTTGGGGAGGGACACTGTTCGTTGACGTCCACGGATCAGGTTCCAGGAGAAGTCAAACACGTTGGATCCGGATGGCTTGAGCCAGCTCGTGGCGACGAAGATTCCCAGTAAAGAGACATGCAAAGCTAGCAATGCCAGAGAAAATCCTTTAGACAAAAATATTTCTTCGCCCACAAATCGCCAGTTAACTGTCCATTTAAACATAAACTGCCTGGTCAGCTCAAAAGCTCGCGAAGCATAGCCGGCAGGATTGTTCTGCAGGAACGGGATTGCAAGTAAGACCTATTCTACGTCAGTTGACCACTCTAGTTAAGAGATGCAGCGACATGGAAATCTTTCTAGATATCGCATTGGGACAGGGCCGCTTTACCTGGACAAATACTGCCAAAAGTCCAAGCCGGATACTTGGTATAAGCGATAGACTGAGCACCGTCACCACTGCAATTGCAGGCGCAAGAAGCAGCAGGGTCATTTTGACAGCAACTCCTGTAGACCAGACAATAACTCCCATCGTCCATTTCCTGTTTTGAAACAGCAGAATGGCAAGCCACATAGCGAAAGCCGCGACACCATCATTGAAAAGACGTAGGACAAAGACGCTATGAAGTCGCTTGGAGAGGACAAGTAGAGGAAATAGGTATGGAGGAGCTCCCGACTGCCTATAACACCCCATCACAACCACCAGAGTTGCAAGATATAAACCCGCGAACAGAATCTGCCCGAGCAGTATATCCCGACCTTGATCGGTAAGGTGGTAGAGGAGGGTGTAGATATAGACATGGGCGGCGGGATACACAAGGGGTCCAGTGGAACCTTTGATGAGGGTATAATCACGTTCTCCGGAGATATATAGCGATACTTGCTGCATATATGTGGTCCAATCGATTTCAGTATCTGTCGTGCAGCATCAAAGTTAGTCTAATTCAGACATTCCGTAGAAATATCGCGATAGGTGTTCTTAGAACTCACATGAAATCTTCCAGATAATAAGGGCGCAAAGGAAAGCATCCCCCAAGACGAAGAGAGGGGCGATCCATTTCGTATGTCTTGGGTTCAGAAGGATATCGCAAACCCAATACTTCAAGTCCATCTTAGTCGCGTTCTCCTTCGTCTTCTTCCTCTGCGATGCGATCGTCATGGGTAACTTTTGGGTTGGAGATCCGGAGTTGCATGTGGCCTCAGGCCATCTATTCCTTTCCGGGTTAGCGCTATATGGCATCAATCACAAGCAGTGACAGCGGCAGCACTTTTATATACGTTGAGACAAATCTTCAAGACTAATCGCTGTAATTCATTTGATATATTTGATATACAGTTTGATTGCATAATGGCAATCCTCAATCTGGTACAACTATATGTACAGTCATAGGTGTAGTGTTGGCATTGGCCTCTCCATGGCAAGAGTTCCAAGGCCAGCTGCGTATTCCAAGGCCAATTCCCACGAGCCTATATTCATGGTATCTTCGAAAATTCAAAAAAAGTGTCGCTTGCTTATTCCATCCCGCCGTGATTGTTTCTCAGTCGAATATCTGGTTATGAATTCCGCGTTTGTTGTGCGTCGTCACGGCCTGTGAAGCCCAAAATATCTCCCAGAATCCCTTTTGGTTTGGGAACCGGGCATTCTCTGCCAACCTTGGCCATTGATTGTGCTTCCTCCTCCAATTGCAAAAACGTCGACACTTCTTCATCGCTGGCCTGAGCCATCGGGAACGGGGTGTGACTGTTGCCATCTTGCTCGAGGGTGTCCACATCCTTTCGTCTCTTTCTTCGCACTCTGTGCACTTGCTTTCCATCCACAGTCATCATCATGTCTGAATCGGCGAGTGTGCGTCGTGGGGCGGGACAAGGGAAAATGTGCGGCATGCCGACGACGAAGAGCGATGCAAGAAGCGTTCCCGCAAAAAGTGAGGTCGTCGACCGCGACCGAGGATGGAGATGAGGAGGCATATTCAAAGGGGTAGAGAAGCAATTGATACAAAAAACGCGACCGTTACGTGGACATGGAAAGGCCCTTTCAGACTTTTCGTTAGCAAAACAGGGAGCCAATCCACCAGAAAAAAAACAAACACATACCTTTTTCAACGCAGGGGCAGCTCAGCAGCACAATCAATACTCAAAAGAAAGACATGGCCCCTCCAATGGCAGCGGGGACAGACGGCAATCGACGGTGAAGCAGCCAAAGTGACGCCGGCTCGAAACGGACGAAGTTGGAATTATTCGCGCTCCCCTTGGCGATCTAATCTTATCTCTACGCCCTCTTATTGGCCGCCCGCCGTCTGTCCAGCACAGCGCGAAATCCGTCAAGTTGTCAACGCGCCACTGCGAGAAAAAAAGACCCAGCGGCATCCCACCAGCTATCGATCCCATCTGGTTCTTTGTCGGACGTCATACTAGTCGAAAATGACCGTCCTCTTTCTCTACACCTAGCCTTTTTTTCTGTTTCCTCCCAGTCTCATTCCAACCCGGGGCGCCCTCACTCTCTTCAGGCTCAACTCCTGTTTCTCCTCGTCGCTAGGACCCACTGATGGTCATTCACCCGCTCAGACATTCAGCAGTCTATTCCAAACAAAGCCAGTCCTTTTTTTATCTGCCCTAACTCATCATGAGTGACCTTGACAGGTAGTACTGGACTGCTTTCTCGTTGCTACGGCGATACTGAGTCGGAAGAATCTTGCGCTGACTCTCAGTTCCCATCGTGTAGGGCGATTTCGCAGTTACGCGCTTGCCGTCTGATACCCGAATCCCAAGTCCGTGAGCTCTGCTGCAAGGCGCGAGAGCTTTTGATAGAGGAAGGAAATGTGGTGTCGGTGGATGCTCCAGTTACGATCTGTGGAGATATCCATGGCCAATTTCATGACTTGATGGAACTCTTTCGTGTCGGCGGGGATGTGCCCGACACCAACTACTTATTCATGGGCGATTTCGTCGATCGCGGTTTTTACTCTCTCGAATCCTTCCTCCTCCTTCTCTGTCTTAAAGTCCGCTACCCCGATCGCATCACTCTGATCCGTGGGAATCACGAGTCCCGCCAGATCACCACCGTCTACGGCTTCTACGATGAGTGCATCCGCAAATACGGCAGCGCCAACGTATGGCGATATTGCTGTGAGGTCTTCGACTACTTGGCGCTGGGCGCTCTGGTCCTTGGAGCAAGTTCAGAGCTGGAACCGACGGGGTCGAACATGGCCGATACCACACAGTCCACCATGCCCATTGACGATGGCGAGCTAGAAACCGAAGTGCTCAACTCGAGGGGAGAGGTCACAATGAGCACCTACAGACGACGGCAGAGAGCGTCATCGGATGCGTCAACAGACTCCAGAAACATATCCCCACCAAGAGACATCTCCGCCACCCCAGGTCAGGCGCCTCTCAGGTCCGGTGCCCCCGGCACAGGAGCCTCAGGAGACGGCGCAGGTAGCCTTTCTAGCAGCAAGACAGGCGCAGTCCTCTGCGTCCACGGAGGACTCTCACCACTCATCGACACAGTTGACAAGATCCGATTGATAGATAGAAAACAAGAAGTTCCACACGAAGGCGCCATGTGCGACCTGCTATGGTCCGACCCGGACGAAATCGAAGGCTGGGGATTGAGTCCCCGTGGAGCCGGATTCCTGTTTGGAGGAGACATTGTGAAACAATTCAACTACAAAAACGATCTGTCCCTAGTTGCGCGGGCCCATCAGCTCGTGATGGAGGGCTACAAAGAGATGTTCGACGGCGGGATCGTCACTGTCTGGTCAGCCCCCAACTACTGCTACCGATGTGGCAACGTTGCCGCGATTCTCGAGCTCGGCGAAGATGCCAGCAATGGAGGCACGGTCGCCAGAAGCAACGGTGAATTTGGGCGGAGTAACGGTGTAAATGGATCGGAGTCTCGAGTCGTCAGTCCCGGAAGAAGGTACAGGGTGTTTGAGGCTGCTGCACAGGATACAAGGGGTATGCCCGCGAAGAAACCTGTTGCTGATTATTTCCTGGTAAGTCTATTCCCTCTTTCATATTGTGAAAGGTTCTTCCATGCTGATTCGTCCCAGTAATACAGTGATACCATGTTGGCGCTCACTTGATTGTTTTCCCTATGAGTCCTATCTACACTTTTATATAGGCCGGACCGGACATAGCATCTCAGTTTTGACCATTGATGACGACAAATGCATATGTGACTTGCATGGAATGGAACTTTTTGCATCTGTGAATCTTACTCCCGTTCTTTGCGGTATTTAGTGGAATGATGTAGAGTAGAGCGTTCGTTTCGCTATCTAGCTAAAGAAACGACCTGGCCTCTGACTTGGGTTTACGGGTATATCAAAAAGACTTAAAAACGAAGTAGATCTCCATCCCAAAGCGCCCAACACCACCATAATACTAAAAATACTCCATAGTACATACAAAACATCGCTATATAAACATTCATATATACAACAGTCACTGCTGGAAATTCCCCGGGAACATAACATTGCTATAACCCGATGTATTCGGGTCCGTTCCCGACTCACTGATACTCGGAGTAGGCACGGCGATTGGGAAAGTGAGTGACTGCGACGGCCTGGACCCGGCATCCGTAACCGGTGCCTGTCCAACACCGGAGCTGGGTATCTGGCCTTCATACCGCAGACTTGGAGCTGCTGTACTGGAAACCCCCGCGGACCATCCGTCAGGCCAGTTGTCGATTCCGAGGTTCATTGCGTTGGGGCCGCGGGACCACCAATGCTGGCTTTCTTCTACCAGGTTCTCGGGTGTGTCGAAGTTGTGCATTGGTGATGTTGCAGTGGTGGTAGTGGTGGTGGATGGGGTCTCTTGTCCGGCGTTTAGTGGTCGTATTTGATTCCTCGTGCCGCTGAACCATGTATCATGCTGAGAGAGTGGAACGGTAGGGACAGGTTGGTATACAGGTCTCAGATAGGTCGGCTCTGGTAAGGGTACATCTGCTCGCTGCAACTGAGCACTGAAGGAACGGTGAGCCTCGCGCATTGCTTGTAGAGAGGCGGCAGCGGAAGATCCAGGCTGGAATTGAGTGCCCATGGGCCCAGTTACTTGAACAGGCCCGGGAGTAGAGGTGCTACTGTGCTGTGCGAGCGAAATATGTCTTTCAGGTGGTGAGAATGCGCTTGGGGTAGGAGCTGAAGGTTGAGCCGACACCATTGAGGGAGACTCGTCAGATGCTGAGGGCGAGGTCGCCTGGTCCCAGGAACCCCATGAGCCCCATTTGGTATGTGTTCGCTCAAATATGCTAAGGGCTTCACGTGGCAATGCAACCTGCCATTTGTTGGCAGATATGTCAAGAATGCGAAGGGTGCGTCGAGCGCAAAGCCAGCTCTCGGCCATCTCCTCGAGGTTTCGGAGACCGTGAATGATGTCTCGCTGGGCATTCCTCTCGGGTAGATTAAGAAGGTGGATGGTGCAGGCAGTATGAGCAATGTAAACCACAATATTGCATATTTGGCGGAAACCGTAATTACGTTTATATATTCGAAGCAATTTCGAAATTGTCGAGGCAGCCTGAGTGCACAGCTTGCGAGGTGACACATGCTGGGGGAGTGGTGAGGTTGATTTTGTGTATTTCAAAAAGGGGCGGTAAAGATGTATGAAGAGAAGCTGGTAGAACATGCTGCAAATGGTCAGTATCATTACTCCCTCGGACGAAAACGATGTCAACATACTGCATGACAAGAGCCTGGGGTAGCTGTCCCTCTTTAGACTCCAACTCTTTGGGCAAATTCTTTTTCCAAGCTTCGAGTCTCGTGTGAATGTCGCTGAGCCTCTTCAGCTCTTGTTGTTTGGACGGAGGCTTTTCTGTAGGAGCAGGGTGGTAGAAAAACACAATCAAGTCGCCGCTAATCTCGCTCAACTTCGAGATCTGCAAAGAGACCGTTCGGATTCTCGATGCCTGTGTGTGCTCATGGCCCACTCCAGTATCCGTGTACGGTGACCAGAGCTCTGCTTCCTCATTTGGTAGGACATCAATCTTCGGAACAGTGACATTGGATGTTGGAAGTTGAGGTTGGCGTCCAAGATAATTAGACCAGCATCTATTAATGTTAGAAGTCTTGCGCATGTGTTAAGGTCATAAATGACGAACTTATCAAAGAGAAAACAGCCCCAGAAGGTCATCCGCCGCGCATCGATCTCCTCCTCACCAAGGCTATGGGCGCCAATGCTAGAAACATCAAGATTTAGGCCCAGGTCAAACGCCATGCGGAAGCTCATGCCGCTATAGACCCAGCCTTTGCCTTCACGGCCGCAACCGGCCTCGCGTACGGACATGAGCCCTAAAGCCTGGACAGTGCAAAGTTTGGCATTCACGTGTTCGTCGTTTTCAAGGACCAGCCTTTTCGCTTCTTTGAAGAAGTGATCGCCTGCAGTGGCTGAGTTTTGAGGATCTTGACGGGCTCCTCCCCAGGAACTGAAATGGCAGCCAAGGGCCAACATTGCATTGACCAGTAAAGAGGAGCAATATTGACTCGAAGTTCCACTGACATAGTCACGGTAAAACAGGTCTTTGGAGAGGGTTGTGAAGACTGGGTAGTGCCATGTAAAGTACATGGTCATGAGATGGCTGATCAACTGCTCGTCGTCGGTGACCCTCGTCCAGCGAGTGACGGAATAGTCATCATCATTGCCCGAGTCTGGACCACTGAGGGCCGGGTTGAATTCGTAGAGTTCGGATCCCGGTGGGAGGAAGATGAGATTCGACGTGCCTCCGATGAACTTGCGGGAGCCGTTCAGCATGAGCTCGCCCATTTTTCCCGCCAATTCGGACTCGAACTGATCTGCTTGTGTAGGATCCTCGTCGCTGCTAATTTCAATGGCACCCTCCGTACCGGATGCAAGTCCTCTCTCCCGAGCAACAATCGATTCCGCCACATCTTCCAAACTGTCACAGGAGCGCATCTGCCGTACCAGTTCAATCGCGTCATCCTCGTCATAATTCAGCAACGCTTGTACTATGGTCTGCAGCGTTGTGTTTCGCGTTCTCTGCGTGTCTGTATCCTTTTTGTACACACCCTTCCGGCGATGATCGGAATTCGGGTCGTAGACACCTGTGATCCTTATTAGTTGTCTCTAGTAGACTCTTAGATAGGTGGCAGGTAGTACATGGTGTGTGGTAGACGGAGGAACAGGCGGCGCAGCTCGGTAGATTTCCATCACACTTAGGAGAGAACGGTCAGCTATATCGCGAGAAGAAGGTTTGGAGAAATCCATGCTACCTTTGATTTTCTTCTGCGACAGGCAATACATGCTGTGCTAACACAACGTCGTTTGGGAGCAGAGGCATTCTCTGCGCCCGATGCTTTGGTCCTCGCGATCGATTTCCCCCGAGAGCCTTTGGATACGGGCTCAGCATTCGACTCAGGCGTCTTGTCCACAGGATCGTCCTCCATGATTGCTGTCGAGTCCACCCGGGGTATGAGAAGGTAGCATAAAGCCCGAATAGAGCATGCTTATAGAAGAACGCGAAGGGTTGGTTAGGCTCTTTGTCGGAGACCAGACTATCGAATTAAAAAATGTTGGATGCGATCGCCGGCATATGCTGAATAATTTGACAGGCTAGAATGGAGGCTGAGGCATTAGTTCATGTGCAGAAGGGAGCGAGAAACACGAGGCGACAATGCATTATCGACGATCGATGGTGATAATATTGGCAAGGAGAGACTGGCTGGACTCACGAATAATGGACGAGTGACGAGCGTGTAGAAAGCAAGCACCCCACGGCGCAGACCCGCAACGGGGGCGGGGAAGAATGATGCGATACAGATCACCAGCCCAGGAGTTTGGTTGAGAAGGCGACCAGATAAGGAAATGCAATGCCGGATGGATGATTGGATGGTGATAGACAGATCAACGCCAGGTACTTAATAGTCTCTTGTAAGCCCTTCTTAGCTGAAGGCAAGAGTCGCGATAGGATCGATGGGATCGTTTAGTCTTTTGGAAGATTAATTCTTGGACAAGCGCTGACTGGCGTGATCAGTGGTTGTTGAAGCTGGGCACGTCATGATAGACAGTGTTGCTTCAAATGAAAGGCAGGTCATTCTTAATCATCAGCATCCAATGTCAATGGAAATAATTCATTTCGTCTCAATATGACAATCTGGAGTTGCGATAGATTGCGAATTAAAGATTGTAGCTCATATTACACTATTCGAAGGCCGCTTACTTCAGCATTTGACAGATGCCCGAGTGGTAAATGTGTCTGGCCAGAATCGCACAGCCTCAGCATCGACTCCTGTTGGCGTTGTTTTTTCTTTTTCTTTTATTTACTTCTCCCAGCGATAAGATATCAATTGGACGAATTGGACTAATTCTCACTATAACCTCAATCGATCCATCATTTCTACATCATAAACCATCATAAACCAAAGTACCAACAGGCAGAAAGACCATCCAGCCTTCCTTACCGCTCTTTGTTTTTTTTTGCTCGCAAGGCCGAATGGCTTGACTCCGCAAACGACAACACACAAAGGACTCGCTTATGATGCTCCACTTGCATAGTTCGCGTCCTCCTTACTATTCGAGAGCAACCATTGACATTTTCCATCTGAGTCAGTGTTTCATCAATCCATCTCACTCACTTCTGCATCCAACCTGTTCCTTCGAGTATTGTAACACTCGATTATTCTCCTACCAGACTCTGCTAGGTATTTGATAATGTAACGTACTGGTAACAAGAACAATGGTACGAGTGGAGTGATATATGGATGCTTTCTGCAGGCACCACACTAAAGGCAACCTTAAAAAAGGAATTTTGTTCGAATTTTCTAGCGGCATTTGGTGAGACAGCCCTCGTGGAATGAAACACCCTAGAAGAGATTTAGGAATGTATATTTGATAATAGTAGGTAGACAATATAATATTATTGATCTTATTACCATTATTATTATGAATTATATTATACTAATAAATATAAGAGTAGTATGCTATGGTGGTTGGGCATACACCTACATAATAACAGTGGAGTGCATCTGGCGGAACATCCCCGTCTGTAATCTATTACACATCGAATCCATGGATGGGTCCTGTATTATTGGGCAAAGTTACTAAATAAAACGCCCTGATTCGGTGCGCTGGTTTGGGCTCACCGGCTGTTTTCATACCGCCAACTCAACCCTTGGCCCCTCTCCGCCAATCACAATGCCCCACCTCACAGTACCACGTGTAATTACTGTATTACCGTACACACGCAGCACCTCCGCAGTCTCCCGATCGTACGCTGTCAGGCCCCCGTAATAATCATGCCGTCACCCGCTCTTATCGCCCCTACCATTATTCCTTCTGTTACGCTGTACTATCCATCTCTCTCTCATTCTCTCTCTCTCTTCTTCCTCTTCTTATATACCCTCCTTCTCATCATCTTCACTCTTATTCTTATCACACTTTCGGGTCTCTTGACCAGCACCCCGTTTCCGGCTTCATAGTTCATACCGCCGAGTCGCGTGCCCTCCGCTCGCCCTATTGCATTCATCCTATACTCCTGCAGGACGGAAACGTTTAATCAGAATTCCTCCCGGACGGGAGACTTCTGCAATCATTTTCTCCTTATATCCATGTATCTCGCGCAGACACTTGATCAGAGTGCCTCCTCAGGCCAAAGACGCCTTACTACAACATCCTGCCGTGTTTCGTACAATATCTAAACAATATGATGGTCCCTAGAGCCTTTCTTTTCACTTCCCATCAGCAGCATGGTGAAGTGAAACCACGCAAATCGGCAATGGATATCTTTGCGGGTCAGGATATTCCTGGTCTTGATTCTTTGACAGACACCCAGACACCACATTCGAGCCCGGTCGTTATCCCTCCGAAACGTGGCCCTCGCATGACGTCGCTACACCAGGAATACAAAGGCAACGGTTTAAAATCACTGAGGAGATCAAAGAGTCTTCGTAAATCACCTTCTTCCGAGAATCGTCCCCTGCCAAATTCGATTGCGTCGATCCTTGAAGCCACCGCTATTCCGGTCTCTCGCCGGAACAGGACAACTCGAGAGTCTCGGAGACTTCCTCGTGGGAAAAATCATGTGGATAATTTTAGCCAGATGATGATGGATGGTGTTCAGTCAAAAGAAGATAGTTCGTCGATGGATGGGTCCGGTAACACCATGCTTGACATTCTACTCAGTCCCCCAGAGGAGAACGAAAAACCAGGGCTTGGAAATGATGACGATTTGGATACTCCCTCATTTTCCGGTCGTTCTACTTCTTCAGACTCGGTGCCGTCGTTGGACCATGATATGGAGTCGCCGTCCAGCCTTCTGCCTTCTACTCCCGGGAGTCAGAGAAGCCCTTTGGAAAAAAGGTATCGACAACCATCACATTCAGAGGACTGTGCTTTCGACCACCCTCTTCTTGAATCCGACTCGGAATGCGAGCTGGATCCTGTTGGCCAGGAATCTGGATTGTCGGAGACGGTTGCCCCGAATTCTCCCAGTCCGTCTCGACCATTCCCGCGGCTAGGGTCTACGTTCAAGTCTAATCTCACGGCATCATTGCGGGCAATCAAATCTGCGGCGCAAACAGTATCAACATTTGCGACGCCTTCGGTTCAGCCCGACGATTTTCTTACCCGGTCACTATTTACGATCAAACCGGAATTGACGGACGACCGTCGGCCTCCCCCGATGAACGAGCCGCCTTCTCCGGCCCTGCGACGGTATCTGAACCCGGTCACTGTTTCACCTGCGGAGATGCACGTCTACCATGACTACCCGCACAGCTCTACTGACTCGTCACTCAATTGCCCTGTTTCAATCCAGATGCAGACGTATCACCGAGTGGGTCGCAGTCGTGGTGGTCGGAAGAGTAGATTTCGCCTGGCTGGTGGAGAGGGCAGCGACCGACAGTATTTACCTTTTGACCCGGAAATCCCACCCATGTCACGGCAACGAGAGCCCAGGGAAAACAGCCATTTCCTACGGATGGTCGTGCTGGAAATGAACATGAGGCGACGCGGTAAACTCCGGGACGACATCCCCCCGCGGGCTAGGGTATGGCTACCACCCCGCAAAGTCAATTACCACGGCTACAATGAGTACGACGATGACGACGACGACAATGAGAATGCGGTCCCTCCGCGATGGATGGGCGTCTCCATTGATAGCATGTAGCATCGGGTAGCTACCCGATGTTTTCTGTACAGCTTTTTATTTCTTTTCTATTTTTTGTTTTTATTATTTCTAGACACAACCGAGCGAGGCGTTGGGACAAGGTGTCAGCATAGCCAGGCATATCTTCATTTTGGCATTCTTGAACACCAATCATTCTATTTCCTGATAATCTGAGACCTGCATAATATCAATGTTCCAACTCACGTAACCGTAATCTACAGACGAATACCCCGCAAAAACCAGTCTCCATACAAGTCGCACATGGTAACGTCACTTCCTTTGTCTCTCACCAGCGCAGGCCATGTGACGCCCTCCAGCCAAACCACATGATATCATTGTCTCGCCCTATCCCAAGGAATCGTCCCAAAGCCTCATTCAAGATCACCAAGACTGACTAGAACTGACTCTGCCAACCTTACTCCGTACCAAACAAGTGCCTTTGGATGGCGATACAGGAATCCTCTTTTTTGTCTTGGCGCCATCATGGATTGTATTAGACTTTCTTATCTCGGCCCAATCGAGGTGGAGATGATAAGCTGTTTCTATCATCCATGTTATTGTCATACTCAGCCTACAAGGGTTAAGATGATTATCTTTCTGCTTTACGGATTACTTTACTTACCATACCGGGGTTGGGTCCGATGGTGATGATCATTATGGTCTGAGTGGGGGGGTGTCATTCATGTCATGTCATGTTCACATTGTATAATCAATTTGCCTCGCGGTTGCCTTTAAATATGAATATACTGTATTATCTATTAAAATGCTTTATCGGGTTGTTGATCTCTTTATCTTCTGGAGTAGACTACTCCGTAACTAACCATCTCATGACTATGACTATACAGGGATAGAATATTCTCCCGCGGATTCGGGCACAGCTGCATACAATGATTAATAATGCCAGAAGTAGTCGGAGGGGTCTCGGCCTATGGAGTGCAGGAAAGGAATGTACGTATTATCGAGAGTATTCTTTTATCCTTGCTGCGTGCATATTCGATTGTATGACTCACAGCGCTTCTAGATGAATTCCCAAAGGGGTTGGAATTGTAAACTTGTAAGACAGGGCATAGTTAGGGATAGGAACTAGTGCATTATTTTGCTTGATGTTGCATTATAATCATACACACCTAGTAACAGCCAAGAGTTTAGTTTTAGCGTCGTTCGTTAGTAGTTGGGTACGTGAAAGTGACGCTGCAAAGAAGCCCAAGTTATCTGTCACATAATGTAGATCACCGAGACGGTTGAAATCGCTCTTCGTCCATCAATGTGCGCTCCTTCCAACACGTCTCTATCCACTCGACTGTAACGAGATGCGGGAGTTTCGCTCCAGATTTCGTGGCCAGCGATCCGCGCAGCGAGGAAATGTCTGCAGACGAGCTATTCTGGTCCACTACAATGTGCGTAATAGCCGAGTTCTTCAAGGAATCCACCACAGCAGCGCCTGCAAATCTGGCCGTGTTGCGCGCTGAGCGAAGGCGATATTGTTGACCCATCTCTATCGCATCTGGCTCCGAGGAATCCAGTGCCTTTTCGTGGAAGAATACGGTTAATCCCTTGAAAAGCCAGCCTATGGGAATCTCGTATCCGGAATTTGCTCTTTCTTGAATACGTTCTTCGAGCTTTCTAACGGCTTCGGGGCACTGAGAGGTTTCAAACTTGTGTTTCTTGCTCATTTGTTTCAGAATCTGGGCCTGGTTAGCATGTCTCTCTGTGCCTGTGTTCTGCAGTACATACTTCACTAAGTTCGTCCACTGTGGTGTCGCGGGCATAGCTATCGTTGAATTGGTCCGTGTTGGACGCAATCTCTTCATGTTTGTCGGGCATAGTAAAGAACATATGCTTTGGCTCCAAAGGTAGGAGCAAATCAGGAAGCCCTGCATCGACTTCATTCTGCTTAACGCAATCAAGAAGCCACGAAGGCCGGATGATGTTCACATCACCGCCTTTCTGCAACGAAGCAGCCTTTACTGTTCTTCTATCTGCAATACAAACAGTATGTGGAGCTGCGTTGTGAGTTTGATAGAACTTTCCTCCGTTGGCCTTTACCAACTGTTCCAGCTCCGACTTGGATCTCTTGTCCGGTGCACCAGCATCAGTCATGATAACTAAACCACTGGTCAGTATATAAGAGAAAGAAAGAAAGAAAGAAAGAAAGAAAGGTGAAGACATACAGAAATTCATCCCATCGAAAATATGTCCCGATGGTCCAATATAGCTGACTTCTTTATCATCATCGTACCCTGCGATACCAAGAGGCTTCTTGGTAGCCCTCTTCACTCGCTTCTTTCGAGAGTTATCGACATTGAATTCCTTATCTCTCTGTTCCTGTTCCACATTGGACTTGAGATCCAGAAACTCCTGCACCGAAAGAGCACTCTTCCAATCCTTGTCCATCCGTAGTCTTTTGAATCGCGGGAAACGCAACGTCAACCCGATTCGAAACTGATCACTGACGGACACCGATGCTGCCTTGACGCAAATGACAACCGAATCTTCCGGCTTGATCCACGCATCTGGGCGTTCAAACTGAGAATCTCCGCCTGCCAGCTCAATATATGTAGTGGGGAGTTTCTTAGGGTCCCAGTCAACCCATTTACCATCCGTATGATGCCGAATGTTTGCATAATCGGCGGCATTAAAACCGCCGCCTACTTTGCAAAATGAATAGCATTTTGTTGCGTTTGCTCCCTGTGGCGAATGGGCATCATCGACCCTTAGTCCGCAGAGGAAGCTGGAAAGCCCACCACCCCGACGACCAGAGCCGTAGTATCCGCCAATAATGATGACATCGAGAGACTCTCCAAACTCGGTCATGTACTCAGGCTTCACTTTCATCCAATCATCGTGCCTCTCATTCAAACGATACGGTGACCTAGGGTTCTTGAGAACCAACCCCTCGGAAGCCTCTGCAACGACTCTCCGTAAAGAAGCTTCAATCTCTGTTGTACCGGTTGCCTCTTCGAACGGGTGGATCTCGAATCTGCGGTGCACGGGCTCGACAGCCTTTTGCAATGCATTTCGACGATCACGAAGTGTATACCTGGTCAGGTCTCGCCCGTTGAGGTATAAAAGATCGAAAACACGAAACAAAGGCCGAGGACCATTTGAGAAGGGGTTCCGTTGTTCAGCTAGAGCTGCCGTTTTGAGTGTGCCAAAAGGGACAAGAGCATCCTGTTCGGGGTCCCAAGTGATCATCTCACCATCCAAGATCAAGCTCTGTACACCATCCGCGAAAGCATCTTTGAGATGTCTCGTCAAAGCGCCATTCTCATCTTGTATTCCATTCCCGTAGAGATAAGTATAGTCCTTGGCTTTCCTCGACCAAAAGCCAAACCTCATCCCACCAGGTACTGAATCATCACACTCCATGTGGAGCTGCATACGCTCACCATCAAGTTTCTCCTCAATCCAGAAAACTGGGTCTTCCTCTGTTGGCCTCATCCGATCAATCATCCGTTCCAGCGAGTGCATCTGGAATTGAGCCAGCTGGGGCTGAAAGCACTGCATCAATGTGATGCCTCTGTCTTCTGCCTCGAGCCGAATATTCGGGTCATGCAGCTCCCAGCAGACGCGGCGGAGACTACTGGAGATGCTGTATAGATTCTCCGCATCGGGATGCCAGACATCAAAGAACGTCCGCTCCGTAGCTCCAACCTTCATCTGCCGCAGGATAATCCGGATCAGCCACATGAGCTCCTCCGGATTCATGCGTCGATAGAACTCTGCAAGAATAGGTACTTGGTGCTCCTCCTTGGACGCTGCAGAAAGCCTATCCAGCTTCTCATTGACTTCCTCAATCGTCATGTCCCCTACTTCTGTCCGCATAGGTCTTTTGGAGAGAACATCGTAACATCGACCCGCAAAATCACCGGCCATCCTCGTCGCGGCCGCTTGTCCGGGTAATTTCCAATTAAGCAGATTAAACCCATCTTCAGAGTTCTTGTCGATCTTCATAATCTTGACAAGCATCTTCCCAATCACCTTCTCTTTAATACCATACATAGCACGGTCTCGATCTTTGTCAGGAAGAATCAGCCGGAAAGCAGGATAGATATCATCGCCAACTTCCTTTCTCCATCGCGAGATAAACCGCTCGATAACGTCCCGTCGTCGTTCGAACGGGTTGAGGTTCGCATTCGTCTGCCCCGATCCAAGCTTCCTCCGCGCCGCTGTGGCGTGTCCGGCCGGCTTCCTTTTAATCTCGCTCAATGGATTGAAGAGGTTCATAAATAACTCGTGAAATCGTAACGTTGACGAGTGATTATGCGGTCGATTGGGGAACCTACATTATAAAAAAGAAAATAAAGGTCAGCTAAGAACCAATCCCAAGTACGATGACGGTGCAAGTTTACTTCTCATCAAGATCCGCTTCATCGTCCCCAACTGCGAGTTTTGACTCGTCTTCATGATCGGGTATATCGTCTGAATCCATTTTCTTGGTCCCTTTATCCAAGCACACTGCGTCCAGATAGTTTCAGCTGAGAGGGGAAAGTTTCGCTGCTTTTTTATGTTTTGCGCGCCTTCTAGGCTGCAGCGCCGATAAGATAGCAGCTGAGCATGTGACATTACATCACTGCCTTCAGGTACGTTGCATATATACTTCGTCAGAAGGAGTTGGGGTTTTAATTTTATGCTGATGGTTTTATTGTGTTATCTGTTTTAGTATAAGTATGTGTTTCTTGATGGTTTGTTCATCTAAATTTTGTTTTTTAATTAAAAAGTGTACACACAGCACAAAATATATCATGCGGGCTTGTAAAGCCACAGTATAAACAGAGCAAGGATATCAAGTACATCAAATAGGAAACAAAACTAGTAGTCTTTTAGATCATAATTACATTATATAAGACCTTCCAGGTCTACCTTTTATTTCTTCCATGCGTCAAGGTCATGCTTGGTTCAACTCAGCGAGCCTTGTCAGGATCACAATAAATTTCTTCGATATACTCCACGACGAGAGAATCTCGAGAATCTCACAACCAACTCTTAGAACCCGCTCAGGGCCTTGAGGAGCACATATATCCCCAGCGCCTGTAAGATTTCCCACCATGGTTTGACCTTCGCGGACAAAAAGCTGGACTAATTCATCATCACATGGTCTGTCGAGATGAATGAATGTGGGGTCGGGCTTTGAACCGGCAATCAAGTTGGAATCCCGAGGTGTTCTAATGTTGCACTTTCCATACGTCCATAGGGTAAGAATTGCAAGAAATGTAGCCATTGGCTCGTGGAATGAGTTTCTGGAATACCGACGAATATGCCACAAGGTCGTGCCTGCGTGAATTATTGCCAACCGGGCTTTGTACTGGTCATGTTTGATCCAGCGCAAAATGTAATGCCACTCAATCGTCTGCTGGTGCTCACCCCAGCGGATCTTTTCCATTGCCAGTGAGGTCGCCAGAGACCGTATTTCGCGAAAAGGTGTGAGGAGAACTATACGCGCGACATGAAGATGTAGGACAGTTGGGTGCTCTAACCCAGAGGCTTTGGTTATTGTACTGTTGGCGGTCCAATGGAGTATATCCAAGCAATCACAAGCACTGTTACGCCACTTGGAATACGATGGGATTCCAGGAAGCCAAACTGATCCAGAAGGAATAGCAGCGTTGCGAGTCTGCTTTTTTGCGGTAGGATTCCAGAAAGACAGAGGGCGACGAAAGTAGTCGCCTACTTCCCACATCCGATGATAGAGGGCATGTATAAGCAGGATGTGGCTGAATTCTGCTATCCCAGGGACAAGTCTCTTTTCGATGTACATAATATGAACGGCATCGTAGAGAGAAACGATTCCTAGTATCGGCAGAACGTGAGTAAAAGGAGATGTAATCTTAAGCAGGGAAAGATATACCTGAGGATTTATCGAAGAGTTGCTCCCAAGCTCCTGCAGATTTTACCTGCCAAAGGCTTTCGTGGCAGGGTAGTGGAGCCTGGCTGTCATCAAGAGAGAGAAAAGGTTTTGTATCAAGGTGATATGCGAGCGTACAGTCCACGAGCTACCGCTAGTCAACCACACAGATCGTCAATATATGCCTTGGGAAACATACCCATATAAGATATCCAGTTCTTCTTCTGACTTCGCCCTCAATCCATATTGTCCATTTCCTTTCCTGAGATAATTCGTCCGATAAGAGCTTTGTCCTGCTGGAGGGTGACAACAACCTTTCTCGGGTTGTGAAAGTAATAAGATCGCCAAAACTGCTAAGTGCGGAAAGCCTAGATCGCTCGTCACTATTGTGAAGTAGTCCAATGCAGCTGAGTAGCATTGCTTGGAGAAGCCAAAGAGGCGTTCGGTCTAAACGACATTTCTCTTTCTACATTAAGAATGCTATTAATAAACCATTCATGCATGAAGAAGACTAGACGATGTCTGCTTACCTCGACATTTATAGCACGCCGTAAAAACTCATCAAAAGCCATGGCGCAATCCTCCGCTTCGGGGATTTTCGCAGCACGACAGCCTATGGTTGACACTGCGAGTGTTACTAACCAGTGGCATCTGTTGGGATTGAAAGTGGGAGAGTGGAATAGCGGACACGCCGACTGGAAAGAATCGAAAAAGAGATGGATGAAACCGGACAATGTGTCTGCGGAAGGGAAGTTTTCAGAGTCAAATTTTCGGTAGAGGAAGTTCTCTGTGCAGCACAGCGTAAGGAAATTGTGATGTATCTGGTCGTATATCGAAGACTCAATCTGACGATCGAGGGTAGCCTCTTCCTCGGAAACAGAATCCACGTGTACTTCCTGAACAATAGGGAACAGGATTCGAGGATTCGTATCACCGGTTCCCGGGTGTGAAAAATTTGTTATATCTGCAGATTCTGACCAAGAGCTGTGCTTTCTTCGATACTTGGGAAATCTGACACCAGTGCCATCTGCATAATAGTCTGCAGGGCGCTTGGCGACATCGCCAGTCTCTGGATGAGAGGATACTTCTCCAATAGCATTATTAAATCGGTTGGGACTTTCCAAATCTGCACCTAGCGCTATGCTTCCTGGAGGCTGTGAGGCGTCTTCTGGTAGAGACGGGCTAGCGTGTCCCGCATTGATGATAGGTGGAAGCCATGTATTTTGAGCCAAAGAACTATTTCGACTTCTTGAGTAACTGGGCTGTGAGAGTCTGGATGGGTCATTCATTGCATCGGGGAACAGATCATTGGGGAGCCAGTTTATTGTGGAAAGCATTGATTGATCGAAGAATGGCTGATCAAATCCTAGATGAGCCTGTTGGCTGTTTGCGCTTGCCATTTCGATATCAATATTGCGCCCAACAATCCCTGATTGAATGCTCCGCATCTCCTGATCAAGCCCGGGTGTTGCTACTGCTGTATCGGTGGACAGAGTGTTTCGAATTCCGGGATTTGGTATGTCTGGGTATATTTGCTGAGTGTTGACATTATGAGACGAAAATGGGACTTGGTTTCCACTGGAAAGAAACGCCCGAGAGCTTGTATCATCCACCTGAGAAACACCTCGGTCTATATGAGTGTCCTTCGACTTGACCGGGGAGACATTTTGTCTATCGAGGTTTGTTGAATGATTAGGCTCGTTCAATTCTAACCGAAATTGGGACGTATGATAAATAAACGGCGGAGGCGACTCGGCCCCAACTTGTGTACGGGGAGCGCCATCTTTCTGGGTCGGATGGGACTGAGACTCGTGCAGATGTGGATCGTTTTCGGTTTCTAGCGAGGCTTTTTCATATGGCTCTTTTCGCGTCTTTACCTTGGAGCGTCTCTCAGTTGGATATTCACACTCGAGGGTCCGATTATCACAACGTGCACATGGTGTGCCTCCACTGCATCGCACTCTTGCTACCGCACACTTGAAACAAGCCCGGAATGTCTTGACAGTAATCCGATGTGTGCGATCTTTTCCCCCTTCTGGCCCTAGAGTGTGATGACTTAGTTCGTGCCGATGTAAAGTGTCACTGACACACATGTTAGCCAATATCTATAGATTTTATTTCGCAATCTGAAAGACAAAGTAATAGACATACGTTCTCGAGAAATTCCGGCCACACTGCGCACACTCGAATGGTTTCTCCTTGGTGTGGCTGCGAAAATGGCGCTTTAGATGCTCTGGTCGCCTAAAGGTACTTTGGCAGACCGAGCACTTAGCTTGACCCGCGGTTGTGGAATTAGACCTCTCGCGATTAGGACGGTTATTGGTATTTTTTTCTTTCCCACCGGCTTCATGGTGGTTCACAGCTCCTAATATAATTTCTGGTTATTTTTCAATAAACATCAGCTGCTTGGTTAGACGTCGTACCTTGGCCAGCGCTGCTCTTCTCCGAGGGCATGGCGTCTCATGGACGATTGTTCAAGATAGAAAACATGAGGGGTTCGCATTGCAGCTTTGGGATGATAGAATTAGAAAAAAAAGCGCATCACGAGTGAAACAGGCGCGTCATCATTGTCGTCGATGGTATGGCTAAGTCTGGCGATCAGCGATCAGAGAGCTCTTGGTGCCGTGACAAGAGAAAGAGAGAGAAGCGGGGAAAAGCCAAGAGGGAGACGGCGACGATATTAGAACGCAGCGTCTTAAATTGCAGTCGAGGAACCAGTGATCACAGCCCCCCTAAGAGAAAGCCAGAATCGAGTTGGCGTGAACTGATGATTATTCCATGATGATTTCCAGTCCGTCCAACGGGCGATTGGCAGTGATTGGAGGGATCGAGGAGGAAATCCCCGCTGTGTCTCGGTTAATTTCAGGGATTCAGACAACCCGGGGAATTCTGGAGAAGTTGAGGTCATTGTCGTGCAGTCGACAGTCGTCTGTAAGGAACTCTGGTAGTGTAACAATGTGGCATAGAAGCAGCGTTAGGCCAGAAGACAAGAGGAAGTCCAATTGAGTTGATATTAGGTCCAATCTTGCAGTGATGCCCCAAAGGGTAGATCGGACGTCTGCAGGTCTATCGTGCACACGTGCTTTCACAATCATTCCATTGTCAATTCCATCATGTTTCTTCTGACTTATAAGAAGACAAACCCATTAATTAATATATTCCATCTCTTTTCTTATATATTTTCATGGATGATATGTCACAGCTGCAGTTCTCCTTTCTTGATGCTGATGTCAACCCACACTAACCCCTTTGGGATGCGATCGGGCTGGCAACGAAACAACAAGAAGAAACGATCTATCGTCATGCCACTTTGCCTCCTCACCACAGCCAGGTCGATGGATTCAATTGACGATATTTGACGATTTACGACTTGCTCGACTCCGCATTCTGTGCAGACGGCTGCCGACTCCTGAAACACCAACGCACGGTTTATTATTAGCTCAGCTGCCCTGCACTGATGGACATTAAATAGCCGGCAATCTATTTCTCATCCGGCGTCAAATTGCGTTTTTGGAAGCTGATCAAGTGTCTTGCGTACTGTCCAAGTTTCAAGCTCGATCTTGTGATCCTCTGGCTATTCGGCCTCAGAAACTTGGTTCATCCCATCCCATGAGTTCGCTGAACCACAGGCCGCCCTCCCGCAGCCATGCCAACGACAGCCTGACAGCTCTCCAGGGAGCTGCCTTAGCCTTCAATGCAAGTTCGTCAAGAGCCCCATCTCCTAGTGCGAGAGGCACGGATCCAAATAAAGCCATGGGTGCCGCGTTGCTCGCAGGCAAAAATGTGAGCCATCATCATCACCCCCAGTCGGGTGATCATCTCGCTCCCGATTCCCCAGCACCGCCCGAAATTGGCTCCGTCAGGGACAAGATAGGGAGGTTTGCAGCCAATTCGCGTGCGACAAGTCCACAGAGTACATCCGATAGGTCTCTCAAAGCTGCGGACATTTCCAGGTCGCGAACTCCGCAGAAGATCGCCGCCCGACTTGCTGCCGAGCATTCTCCAGTGCGGAGTGAGAAATCATCCATCGAGAATGATATGGCAAAGCAGGCGTCGAATAAAGTGCATCAGCATATTCCACCCAGCAATTCTATCAAGAAGGAGGTTCCGGATTTGCCAGCTCCAAAGCCAATTCACAACACAGTCGATCTAACCAAGACATTTGATCATATCTTACAAAATGGCCAACCGTCATCCCCTGGAAGCTCACCGATTCACCGCAAGCCGATCGTGCCAGTACATACGAAGCCTCCAAATGTTGCTCAGCAGGCTGCTATAAAATCGTCTCCTATTTCACCTATACAGCGAAAACCTGCCCCACCGGCTGCTCGTGGAACAGTCAGAGCACCAAGACACGACAGTCCAGGAGGAACGAGGAGCTTTAATAGCTGCCGGTCCTCAAGTCCTCAGTCTTCTACGCACTCAAAGCAATTTATATCACCTCTGTCCGATGAACAGAAGCCTCAACTTCCACCCCGACGAGTCGATCCGTCTGTCGCTCGGGTGGCATCCAGCCATAATGGATCCTCTTTTGGCGACAACAGTTCACCACGAACACCTTTAACCCCTAGCGTTGCTTCGATTTATTCCCGGTCGCATAACAATAGTAGCGCGAGTATACTTGATGAACCTAACATCATGAGCGAAGAGGCACTTTCCAATGCCATTGTTGCTTCGTCGCTCGCATCGTCCAGAGCATCGCCAACGAGAAAGGTTCCTCCCCCTCCACCACCAACACGTCGACCAAGATCCCGATCCATTCTACAATTGGCGCATGCAAGCAGAAAAGAGATTTCTCGAACCCCGAGCCCATCCCGAGGCATGCGACACACACTGCGAGACCCGACCAAAGCGGACGAGGAAGAAGACCGGAATCGCAGACATCATAAGATGCATATTATTCACAAGCACCCTCACAAACATCACGAGGGCGATCGGAAGAGGTGGAGAAGTGAGGTCAGCGAGAAGGAACGAAAACGATATGAGGGGGTTTGGGCAGCAAATAAAGGATACCTCGTCCCCACTCAGGCACAGGTCATGATGCAGGATCGAGGATCGTTGAACAAATATCCTCCGAACGCCTCTGAGATGGTGCTGAACCTAGTGGTTCGAGACATCTGGACTCGAAGCCGGCTTCCACCCACGACCCTGGAACAGATCTACGAGCTAGTGGATCGGCAAAAGATCGGCCTGCTGACAAGAGACGAGTTTGTTGTTGGAATGTGGTTGATTGATCAACAGCTCAAGGGGCATAAGCTCCCGGTCAGAGTTGCGGACAGTGTGTGGAATAGCGTGGCGCGGATCTCTGGGATCAAAACTCCCTCCTTAATTTAATTTGGGGAAAATAAAAGAGGCCCTTGCCGGTGATGGGAGAGATGATGTATAAAAATGATTTTCATAGAAGGCTACGAATCATAATAATAGCGAGTAGTACACAGTAGTTGCTTTAGTCTGTACATATATCACCAGAAAGGTGTGAACCGATTTAATATTTAATTGATTTGATTGGCAGGCTAAAGATGAAATTGTTTTTTATTTTATTTTTTTAGAGTATTTGGAATTATGAGAACCGTGGATGATTATCCTTATGTCCGACTGGGAGGGGGATCCACACCAACCCGACTGTTCGCTGACTTCATTTTTGCCCCGTTGGTGTCGACGCTGGTGGATTTTTTAATTTGAATGGCTGAATTGGCTCTGGAAAGTTTGTCGATCAGTGTGACAACAAGATGAAGCACTATGGAGCATTGTACATTGTACCACCATCCAAAGTAGACATATGTTGCGAGACAAATAGAGCGATATCAGGCCGTAAGAGAGTCTGAGTTGTATAGAGTCAATCACGTGACAGAGATGGAGGGCCAACAGCGACGTTCAATTCCCTCGCGATCCCCTTAATCAACCCTCATCATCCTCATCATCGACCTCCTCTCGATCTCTCAACACCTGCAGATTAGCTCCATCAGGAGATGTCAAGCAAACTAGCGCATGAGTGCATTTTGACTAATCGTCGTCGAATCCAACGCCACATTTGGTCTTTTCTTTTGAGAAGCAAATCCCGAACCGTCGTTTCGGGATTTGCACCGTCGACGGACAATGGATGATTAAGCCTGTGGGCTGCTTTCACAACTCTTTTTCCTATTCTATATCAGACCATCAGTTCTTTTTTTACTTTAATTAATTAATTAATATCTTGGATCCCCTCCAATCGACTAGGCTCTCCCCCGGAGAGTTCTTTGATGAAGTCTTACCATCGTCTGCGTGCCCCCAGTCCTATGGCTAGTTATTATGTGCAGTCGGAGTATCTAAGTCTGCGGTGACTCCGTTTCCATTCTCCAAGGCTCTCTGCGGCCGTCAAAAAGAAAGAGCTGCGATCAAATCAATCAATAATTCTCTCTAAGAACAAAACAAAATAATATCTATCCGCCATGGTGCTTGAGAATCCCCAGCATCGTCTATATAATCATGAGCTTCCAACCACTACAACTACCACAACCACTTTGCCCCAGCCCCAGTCCAAGACGTCCTCGAGACCCTCCGTGATCCGCAAGAAGTTTGCAAAACCGCCTGTTAAGGTAGCTTGTTTGGCTTGGTAAGCTGACCCAGGGCCGTGTAGTCGGGTTTCGTACTCCATCGCGGGGCTGTTTGTCTTTCATTCTTTATCTCGGGACTAATTTCTTTCATATCAGTCGTTCGTCACGAACACGTTGTGATGGTCAGGATCCGTGCTCCAATGTACGTCTTTTTTAAATTCTTTCTTTCTTTCTTTTTCTTTCACCAGTTGGCTTTTCTTTGATGTCAACAAATTGGTACGGCTTTGATTCATGTACTGAAGAGGCTATAATTATATTCGACAGTGTGCCAGCAAAGATAGAAAATGCTCTTATCTGCCCAGTAAACGCGGAGGACCGAGGAAGAAGAAGACCTCCATCTCTCCAGAGAGAAGCGACCAGCAGGATGGCTTTCAAAACGAGGTCATTACTCCGACTTCCAACTTCAATGAATGTATGTGCTGCACTTCTTGCTCAATGTCAATGGGACGCTGCTGACGGTGACACAGCATCCGGGGGTATGTTCGGGCAGATCGACGTGCTCTCCGTGCCAGGAGCCGGATTGAGATCTCTGGATTTTTCTTCAGATGTGCAGTCTATGTTTGTGGACCTCTTCCCTGCCAATGAAGCAGTGCATACCCATGTCCAAATGGAACCAACCCCCTCGCCATCCAACGAAGCTTCGCAGTTTCTGGTGAGGACATATAGCAGTGAACACGAAATGTGAGTTCCTACCCCGGATGCCTCGGGCTGATTCTAAATGAGAGGGCAGATTAAACGCATATTATGACTTCATACACCTTTATTTTCCCATCCTTCCGCCTAGGATCAACCGTCCTTGTCCTGATCGGCCGTTGAATTGTGCGGGGTCCTGTGCAGATTCTCCCTCCGAAGAGCCCATCCTGTTGTACCGACCGCAGTCTCCTCTTAGTCTTGCGATATCCGCCATTCTCGCCCTGATACCGCACCCAAATGACCCAGAACCGACGTCTGCTGGCGCTGTGCTGCAGCGTAGGACCTACGCCCATACATTCGCACAACTGGCCAACAATAGCATCGAGGCAGACTGCGAGCTCCATGCTTCGTCTACGGAACCAGCACAAGCATTATCAAATGATCGACCGCTTATCAACCGTGAACCATTTCATATCAATACGCCCGTTGAGCTCGAGCGCATTCTCGCTTTACTCGTCCTCTCAGTCTACGAGTACACCCAACGAGGCAATTTGCTGAAGATGAGATACCGTGCAGGCCAAGCATTGGCAATAGCATTGGACATGTCTCTACATTCGCTGGGAGAAGAATTTGATGAGTTTGCAGAAGCCAGACGGAGGACTTGGTGGATGACAGTGCGAGCATTCTGAACCCCATATTGCAACAATAAACTGACCATATACGCAGTATTATTGCGTCCTTCAAGGCTCTATAGTCAGCACAACTGTGAGTCTAAATCGCTGCTCCACCAAATATCTCTTAGTGAGACTAACTTTGCGCATTCTTAGCCGCCCTCTATCACGTTGCATGACCCTCAGTTTGTTACTCCTTATCCACGATTTGCGTCTGATCCCGATGTGAGTACAGCACTTTTGCCAAAAGATGAGTTTTCTGGAATTTACGAATTGGTCTGATATGCTGAACAGGGTTGGTCTATTCTGATACAAGCGCAACAAGTGATAGTCTCGTCGACCCAGTTTATCATTGATCTAAACAAGTGCATCAGAACAGGGTCGAATTGGCATTACATCTACGAGCGCATGCAACAACTCGACGCGTGGTCGAAATCTATCCTGGCACAGTCGAATTTGCCTCCTATCAACTGTGGTGACCAAACGGAGGCAATCACAGCTCAAAGCATTCGTGCAATTTCGCGAATTAAGCTGTCCAGGTGCGATAAACTCCGCGACTTGGTTTACTTACAAACAACTAACCTCTAAATAGTGCACAAATCAAGACCCATCGTTTCCGAGCGTTCTCCGACATCCCGATATTCATCAAAAAGCATTGCGATCTGACAGCAGCAAGCTCCAACAACGCAAACGTGAATAATTTCCCCAAAGCGTCAAGGGCCCAGAGCGGGATATCTAGTATCCAATGTTCATGCAGCAGTATGGAACCTTTTCAAAGCGCTTCATCGTCAGACTATACCGGTTCCTCCGCTTCTTCCACACCCTCAGATGCCCAATCGATCCCGCAGTACCCATTCCGCAATGACTTCCCATACACTAGCCAACAGTCCGCCAAAGTTTGCCTGAGGGCGGCTTTTCTAATCTCCCACATGTTCTCAAGTTTACCTCTACCGGAGCCGTTATATGTACCAGGCGATGGGCAGGAGACCCCTTTACACCAGCCTCCGCGCACTATGCCCTCATTCGCATGCTGTCTTATGCAAGGTAGCTATGCTTTGTTGATGATTTTCTACAAAGCACGCGTGGCAAAACAGCTATCCCCCGGATTCGACTACGACAACACCGGTAATCCATCGGATCGGCTCGTTGAAGAACTTCGTCAGGGTCTGGGTCGTCTCATTTCTGCCGTGGGAAACTACGCAATTGCATTCGAGGCTTTGGACGGCATGAGAGGTGAGGACAGCCTTGTTTCTAGAAAGAAAAAAATCCTTTACTCTGGCTAACTTATCTTCTACAGATGAAATCGCAGGTGCATATCAGACGGCATTTCCCCAGGTGTAAATTCCTCAATCTTCCTCAAAAGGGGGCAACTGGATCTTCTTATTCTCTTTTTGTTGCGCTTTGCCCTCGCAATAATTCTCTTTCTCAGATTGCTCTTTTCTTTTCATTCTTAATTTCTTCTGCATATAAACGAACATCAGCTACTCCACCCTGATCGTTCGATTTCTTGGATACACAAAGGACGGCGGCGCATTTGACTGGAGCTTGGACCCGGATACCTAGGCCTAGGTTTGGCTTGCTTTTAACAATGGCAGGTGGGAGTTCACTAGGGTTACCACTATCTGACCTTTTTTATTTTGGGGGGGTGGGTGGTGCTGGGAGAAATGGAGCAGAGATAATTAGAGGTGTTTATTTATGATTTTTTTTTTTTTTCTTTCCTGTTTTCTATGATTCTACCCCGCCCCCCCTCTTTTTTTTTTCCTTTCATGTATTTATACTTGTAATTATTGAGTATGGTGGGTAGATAAACGGTATGAGGACTCTATCAATGTTTGAATATACCCTTCTATGTGCATGTTGCAGATTTCATTTTTCTACTTTAAAACACCTTTGTTTTCAGAAAGCATGAAGAATGGGAAAATCAGCAAGAGAATCTAAGGTATCCAACAACTGGTCCACTGAGAAACAATGTACAGTAGCCATGACGACGCATCGAGCGATGGCATGAATACGATCAAAGTTTTGACCGGATTCCTTCTAACCGGAACTTGACGTCCTTCAGCACCTTGCTAGCCGGCTTCCAGTTATCGAATTGCCTCAATAGTTCCACCGTCTCTTCATAGAGCTCATTCCTGACGTATTCTTCTTCGAGAAGACCTCGCATGGCAAATGGGAGGATATAAGGGTTTGCAGCTGAAGAGGGGAGGGGTCTCTTGATATCAAGGGTTGGGCTGTTGACGTTCGACGTTTCTAGTGCAAATTCAATGGCAAGACTGTGTTGAAATTAGCTGGCTGTATTAACTTGGGTTCAGGAATGACATACGAGTAAACAGCTTCATCGTCGTATAGTCGAGAATGTCCCTCTCCAGAGTAGAGGCTGCCCGCGAGTGGGGAGCTCAGCTCCCGAATGAGGCCATGGTCTGAGATTCCGAGGTTTCGTAGTTTAAGGGCAAACCCGACCAAATGCGAAAGGCTTTTAGCAACGGTCAATAGAGATCCAATGTTAATTGCGCTGAGAAACTTACAAGCTTGGGGCATGGACACGACCATCGACGAAGACTGCTCGATAGATGTAAGGGTGGCTTATTGGAGAGAACAGCGATGACTGGAATGAAAAAGATTAGATACCGTTCGCATAGCGGGGGAATTAATTAATTCTTACCTCAAGAGAAACCAGCTGGTCATCAATGCTTCCCACATAGGAGATTCGAACCCCGAAATTTAGAGCGCTCTTCAGTGCGGCTTCATAATCTTTCGAAACCTGGCTGTAGGGCAGTGCGAACTCAAAAAGTTCCCCTGCAGAGCCACTGATCCATCGAGATCTGTAGTCTGTAAATGGACCCTGGTTAACGCCAGCCATTGCGCAGATGCCAACCCGAGCAGCACTTAAACAGCCAAACGATATCAGTTTGGCAACCAGCATGATTGCCACAGGAACTCCCTGACTGTGGCATGCAACCATGATGAAATCTGCTTTTCTTATATCATCCATCCAGTTTAGGAGTAGCTTCCACAGTAGGTCCACACGGTCAGAAATTCGGCCTTCACCTTCCAAGGCTATCTTTTCAATGTCGCATTTGTATCCGCGGGACTCTGTCCATTTCCGAATTGCGTCGGCCGCCATGCCTGAGAACCTTATGGATGTTCCTGTTGGCTGACCAAGGACACTCCGGATCAACGGAGCGGGAAAGTAACCGTGTACTCCAATAGCCAAAGCCTTCCGGATATGAGGAGGGTCCTTGATCATATATACGTGCTTGTTACTTGGTTCCTTGCTATAATGCAAGAAGCGCCCAATAGTCTGCAGAAAAGAAGGTGTCTCTTGCAGGGCAAAGGTATCCTCGAAACGCGGTAAGACCTGGTTGGGCAAGATCTTCTGTAACTGTTTGGAAGCAGCTTCAGGGATCTTAGGCGGTACTGCTTCTGGGGGATGGGCCTCCAATTCGGGAGCAGCCGGCCCAAAGGCAACCGCAGATTCTACATGTCCTTTGGATGGTTTGATTTTGACGCTTCCTTTCTTCGTAATCTCCACTCTTTGGTCTGAGTCTGGTTCTAGATCACTGGTTGGCGGTTTTGATAGCGAATCATGAGCCATTGGAGCTTCAACAGACTCTGCATCTTGTGTTTTCCCCCCCGAAGAACCTTTGGTATCTCTGAACCAAAATGACCAGGTGGAAGATTTGGCGCTCTCGGCAGGTGCCTTAGGAAGGTCACCTGCTTCTGCGGGCCTCTCGGTCTCTTCGTTCGATTTTGGTACCGTATCGGCAGATGGAATTGCTGTATCATCTGCTGTGGGAGGATCCGTGGGCTCCTCTTTTTTGGGTATTTCCTTTGGTGGGTGCTCTGGCCCCTTGGACGATGACGACGAACCGTACCACATTTGGAGCCAAGATCGACTCTGCGGTGGTGCGGGAACTTCAGTAATCTCGGTGGTCTCTGTATTTCCTGTTGTATTGGTGTCTTCGGCAGCCTTGTCTTGCTCTTCTGGGCCCTTGTTGTCTGTTTCAGTGTCGTCTGCCTTCGGCGTCTGATCCTCGTCGCACGGGTCTGTCGGAGGCTTCACTGGCGTTGAATCATTCGGGGTGCTGTTCTCGGTTGCATATGATCCGTAGAGCCATGAAAGCCATCCCCCAGTCTGATTTGCAAGCGCTGGGGTATTGTCCGGTTTCGCGGTGTGAACACCTACATCCGAAGTTGCGGTCTCAGCCGTATTGTTCGGGTCTTTTTTCACACCTTCATCCACAAAACCGATACCCTTATCGTGAGGCTCTTCCTTATCCTTTTGTTGTGTTGTTGGACCAGGGGATTCCAATGGGGTGTCCGCTACAGGGGTAGATAAAGAACCGTCCGAGGCAATGTTAATGCAAGTCGTTGTGGCGTTCGCGGGGAGAGATCTGGTCGATGCGCCTTGTTTTCTTGTCAGTTGGAGAGAAGGATTTCGATGTTGTCTTGAGGAATCGAGAAGGGAGGTCGAGGAGGATGTGACGTTAGATGCTACATTTTTAGCAACTGAGATGCTCTCGCGGGCAACCTCGGTAACAGGAGCCGCTTTAGATGCTCTTGAGACGGCCGGCCAGGTACCAGGATACCAGTTCTATGTGAACGGGCCATGTATCAGCTACAAATTCACAATCATGATTAATCTTATTTTCTAATGACTTACTGCTCCACTTCCTTGCTTCCGCGAAGTCGAAGTCGAACGGTCTCTGCCTGATGCGGGCGAACCCCCATTGCTCGATGGCGGGCTAGGATTTATTGTCTTGCGCGATCCCGTGGGCGCCATGGAAGCTGCAAGAATGACATTACCAAGATTGAATATGTTGGGAAGAAGAAGGCATTCTCAAATGCTAGGATGGAAAGTAATAGTAAGTCATCAGGCTATGCTTGTGTGTCAGAATCAGTGCAATAGTATGCGTTATCAGGCGCAGACAGCGACGACTGATATCATGTCACATGTCATTCCGAGCCTGACCGCCTTTTGGCCTGAGGCATAAAAGGTGGTGTGGCTGGTGTATTCCGCACCGCCACATGAAAAAAAAAAAGTCGGACTTTTTGGAGGATTCTTATTCCCTAGTGGAGACGGCCAGGCAAGTTAGGAACGAGCCCGATAAGCAGATCCTGATCAATCTTTTTTTCTCTCTGCTGTCTTTTGAATTATTTTTTTCAACCCCCAAGCGTCTTTTATTTTGTGAATTGGGTTTGTTGAGTCTGTCTCAACTACCCATATCTCAAAATGGCGATCCAGAAAAAGGTATGCGAGATTGGTCCAATCCGTGCATGAAGGTATCGGTACTGACTCGAAGCAGCACGGTAAAGGTCGTTTGGATAAGTGGTATCGCCTTGCGAAGGAAAAGGGATACAGAGCAAGAGCTGCGTTCAAGTTGGTTCAGCTGAACAAAAAATATGGTTTCTTGGAAAAGAGCAGAGTTCTTCTCGATCTTTGCGCGGCACCAGGTGTAAGTGCATTTTGTTTTCACTCTTGCTAGCCCCTTCTCTGACAGCAGAAATAGTCATGGTGTCAAGTAGCTGCAGAATGCATGCCCGCGCAGAGTATTATTGTCGGTGTCGATCTCGCCCCAATCAAGCCAATCCCTCGAGTTATCAGTTTCCAGAGCGATATCACAACGGAAAAATGTCGTGCGACCATCAGACAACATCTGAAACACTGGAAGGCGGATACAGTTCTCCATGACGGTGCGCCTAATGTCGGTGCGGCCTGGGTTCAAGACGCTTTCTCTCAGGCGGAACTGGTCTTGCAGTCCCTGAGATTGGCCACTGAATTCTTGAACGAGGGTGGTTCGTTCGTCACCAAGGTCTTCAGATCGAAGGATTACAACCCCCTGCTGTGGGTTTTCAAGCAGTTGTTCACGTCAGTCGAAGCGACAAAGCCCCCCTCCTCTCGAAATGTCTCTGCGGAAATCTTCGTCGTTTGCCGCGGATACAAAGCCCCAAAGCGTCTCGATCCGAAATTCCTTGACCCCAAGCATGTGTTTGCCGAATTGGCAGACCCCACACCGAACAATGAGGCCAAGGTCTTCAACCCTGAAAAGAAGAAGCGCAAGAGAGAAGGTTACGAGGAGGGTGATTACACGCAATTCAAGGAGCTACCAGTGACTGAATTCATCAACACTACCGATCCCATTGCTATCCTAGGTTCATACAACAAACTTAGCTTCCAGCAACCACCTAGCGGAGATATGGCGTTGTCCACTCTGGACCGATTGGAGGAAACAACAGAAGAAATCAAGACTTGCTGCGAGGATCTAAAGCTTTTAGGAAAGAAGGAATTCCGAAACCTCCTCAGATGGCGTCTGAAGGTCCGTGAAAAGTTTGGACTTGTTGTGAAGAAGGGAACGTCGCACAAGAAAGAGGAGCCGGAAGAAGTCGCTGAGATCGCCCCCATGGACGAGGAACTAGCGATCCAGGAGCAACTTCACAAGCTCCAAGATAAGGAGACGACAAGACAAAAGAAAGAGCGGCGGAAGGAAAATGAGAAAAAACGTAAAGAGATCGTCCGCATGCAGATGCATATGACTACGCCTATGGACATTGGAATGGAGCAGCTGGGACCAGGAGGGGATGATGCTACCTTTACTCTTAAGCGTGCCGACAGGGAGGGTGCAAGAGACGCGATTGCATCCAGCAGGGACATCCCAGTGGAAAGTGAAAGCGAGGAGGAATCCGAATCTGATGACGATGACAGCGATGATGATGGGGACCAGTTGGAGCGAGAACTTGATTCCTTGTATGAGCGATACCAGGATCGCAAGGAAGAGAGTGACTCGAAGCTGCGTGCTAAGAAGTCACGAAAGGAATACGAAGCCGAAGAATTCGAAGGATTCTCGGATTCTGGAAAGGAAGACAATGGCGAAAACTCAGATGAGGAAGAGTCTGAATCCAAGGCTCAACTAGGCGCAGGCGGTGCACCCAAGTCTAAATCTCTTTCGAACAACGCCGCTTTGTTCTTTGACCAGGACATTTTCCAAGGTTTGGAAGACGTCGATGACGTTGAGGACGAGGATAGCGCAATCGAATTGCAAGAGGACGATGAGAAATCCAAGTCCGATGCTACATCAGACAAGGAAAATGTTAAGGAATCGAAGAAGGAGAAGAAGGACAAGAAGAGTGCAAAGGCTGAAGAATCCGATGAGGAGTACGAGGAGCCTGAGGATCCACGAAAGGCAAACGGCCAGCTCGGTAAGCCCCCATGAACCATGATATAGACAGATTGAATCGATTACTAACCGCCACTGCAGATATCGATATCATTACCGCAGAGGCTATGGCTCTGGCTCAGTCGATGGCCACAGGCGAAAAGAAATCCCACGATGTGGTCGATGATGGTTACAACAGGTTTGCCTTCCGGGATGTCGACGGTCTTCCGGAGTGGTTCCTCGACGACGAAACCAAGCACGGCAAGCCTCAGCGCCCCATCAGCAAAGCCGCCGCCGCTGCAATCAAGGAGAAGATGCGCGCTATCAACGCCCGTCCGATCAAGAAGGTGATGGAGGCGAAGGGCCGTAAGAAGTTCAAGGCCGCTCAGAAATTGGAGCGCTTGCGCAAGAAGTCTGCACTGCTGGCGGACGACGAAGCCCTCAGCGAGCGGGACAAGTCGCAGGCGATCTCGAAGCTGATGAGCAAGGCAACCAAGAAGAAGCCCAAGTCAGAAACGAAGTTGGTTGTGGCCAAGGGAGCCAACAGAGGTATTTCTGGTCGTCCAAAGGGAGTGAAGGGCAGATACAAGATTGTGGATTCCCGTATGAAGAAGGATATCCGGGCCGAGAAGAGGCTGGCGAAGAAGAAGTCGAAGTCGAGGTAAAGGCCTCGCGAGTGATTGTTGTTAATATATACTTGTTGTGCAAATACCGAGTCAAAATTGATACCACCAGAGGGGTTTTCTGTGCATTTTTCTACTCCATACAACTCGTAAATCATGTACAAATAAAACATCAAAATAAACTCCACATCCTCGGCTCCTGGCAAACTCTCAAAGACTGGATAATGAATCCCTGATCCGAAGTGGCGGAACTGATGGTTATCGATCGCTGTTGGCTCCGCCAATCTTTTCCCGCCCGCCGTGGATTCGCGGCTCTTCTTCCCTGTTCTTTGCGGCCCCAGCAGTGCCTTTTTCCTTTTGTTCTTCATATAACTGTTTGACTGCATGATTTAGCCATTGCATTAGTTTTGTTCACGTCTTTCCTTCTTTGTCTATATTTCTTTATACGCGTTCCACTTGGTATCCTTACGCCTTACGCCCCCCACTTTTCCGCCTGGTGACCGATTCTGCTCCATGGGATTTTTCGACCACCTCCAAAAAGGAGGCTCTTTTTCCCTGCAAGCTCAGAGGCCGCAGATACGCAAGGTTGTTCAAGCACGGCCTGTTGCTCCCTCGAGATCGTCGTCGCAAGCCACAGACAAAGCGCCATCGCGAGTCTCGTCCGTGAATGGCAGGAAGACACGAGAGCCGGAGAGCAGATCAGTCTCCAGAGATCCGGACCAGCGCCCCTCGAGACAGCGATTAAATACACCATCGCGCAATCGCAAGAGACAAACCCCCGAATTGCGACTATCGAGTGATGATGATGCAAGCGATTCCGATACTTCCTTTGAGGTGCGCAAGCGGGCTAGGACGGGCGACAGCGCAGATCCAGACCCTGAAAGACGTGTGCGCTCATTAAAGGCATTTTCTGAGGAGGGCAGCAAGCCATTCTCTATGGTGCATGCCGCGGATATAGTGTCTTTGCAGAAGGCAGGGAGGTTCAAGCGTGCATTCGGGGAGACAGACAAATCAACGGAGATCCTTCTTCAATACCCTAGTGCTTCGCAAAAAGAAAGGTATTATTCGTCAACAATCAAGATATCGTGCTATTATTTTCTAGTGAAGGTGTGGCTAATTTAGATTTTGTTTTGTTAGATTCAACCTGCTTGTGCCACGAGACAACGACGACTTCAAGCCGATCGACGATATTTTTCAGGTCATCGAAACTGTTTCACAACATTACGTCTCGGAAGACGAAGCGGATGAGTTTAATGATGAGTCGACTGGCATCAAACGGAGACTGCGGCGGGCTCTTGCACATTCGTCTGAGACGGAATTCCGAGAAACCGTGGCCGATTACAATCGCGCCATTGACAAGCTGAGGCGCAGTGGGAGTATCGCAAAAAAGCTCGATGCGACACATCGGTTAAGCTTGCCTCATGTGGAGCGGATATTGACTCAGATCTATTCACGCACTGTCTCGCCTCGAGTTGAATCCCTCCGGCAGTATGAGAACGGAACCGATAATGTTTACGGAGAGCTCCTCCCGCGTTTCATCAGCAATATCTTCAAAGAGACAGGGTTGAAGTCGGGACAGGTTTTCGTCGACATGGGCTCTGGCGTTGGTAACGTGGTTCTCCAGGCAGCCTTGGAAATTGGTTGTGAGAGCTGGGGATGCGAAATGATGCAAAACGCATGCGATCTCGCCCAACTTCAGCAGGCCGAGTTCAGAGCACGATGCCGTCTTTGGGGTATTGCGCCAGGAAAAACGCACCTTGTCCGTGGCGATTTCCTCAAGGAAGACAGTATGATCGAGGTCCTAAAGCGAGCCGATGTCATTTTGATCAACAACCAGGCTTTCACTCCTCAACTCAATAACGAGCTGATCAACCATTTCCTAGACATGAAGGAGGGGTGTCAAATCGTTTCTCTCAAGTCGTTCGTTCCTGCAGGCCACAAAATTACATCGCGAAATCTCAACTCGCCCGTCAACCTTCTCAAAGTCAAGCAGAAGAACTACTGGTCCAACAGTGTCAGCTGGACAGACGTCGGGGGCACCTATTTCATCGCTACCAAAGACAGCTCTAGACTGAAAGCCTTTGTCGAAGGCATGTAGTGAGAAGTTCCTCACTATTTTCATCACCACTATACAGTCATTTTTGCATTTTGTATAGACGATCGGCCGGCTTAATGCCAGATCTGTTTTGGGTTTTTTGGTTTAATTTTGTGTATTGGCATTGGAAACCCGGTACATACTCACCTATTGTGTCCTTGTATTGTTAGCCGTTTGGTGCTCTTTTCTTTTTGGAGATATTTTTCCCTTGTGATGATACCACCCTCCTTGTACAAAATATTCACGATTGTTGGCATATGTTTTCATGCGCCGCTTTGGAAACCCCCGCTTTTTGGGAATCATATATTATTCGACCACTATCAGTTGCCATCTACTCTTCAGTCTTGTGTCTATACAAAATAGTCATTGAAGACAGGGGTAGTGAGCAATGTATGTGGTGTCATTCAGGCATGACTGAATTTATGGGTATCATATATAGTATGAATAGATAGAAATGTTAGATCAGAACAACATATGTTACTCTATCCATTTGGAAGACTGTCTGGGTTTCCTTGTCTATAACCCAGGTGTATGGTTTGGGGTTTGCGGTCGCTGAGGGCTTATAAATCTATGAATACTTGGAAGCATTATTCATAGCCTCAGCTTCCTTGCCCATTCTGGCCATCCAGCGATCGACCAGATCCTGATTTTCACGTTGTAGCCGGTTGGATTGCTCCTCGGCCATGTTGAGCTGTAGATTTAGTGTTGCTAATTCATCTTGAAAATCCTAGATACGAACAAGTCAGCAGCCTATACAGAGGATCGGGAGAAAGCAGTAGGACATCAACATACCTCGAGCAATTTGGCTTTTCCCCTCAACTCCTCATCTCTGTCTTTCAGGCGTAACTGGATATGTGTTCTATCCCCTTCTAATGACCTTATTCGTCGTGCATCTTGTGTGCTCCTCTTTCGAAGCTTTTCCAAGTCAGTGCTCACACGAGTAAGCTTCTCCTGCAGTTCGGTTCGAGAACGTTGTGCTTCGGAGAGATCGGCACGTGTGGCTATCAAAATATCTTGGAGAGAAAGTTCTGGCTCCCCCGGAGCTTGTTGTTTCTTGGAAATGTTTGATGAAGAAGAGACTGATCGTTGGTTGTCTGGTGAAGTGGGGGTTTGGGCACTCTGGGGAGCTGTTGCTATGCGGCCAGTGCGATCTGCCAATTGGGTATCTAAAGATGGTTAAGTTGATTCTGGGAAAGATGCTTTATATTGTATGCATTCATCAAGATAAAATGACATACAGGCTTTATACAGAGCGATGTTGCTCTTTTCTTTCCGATCTCGAGCTGCCAGGGCGGAGGTATACTCCTCCCTCCAGTGGGCCATTTGATCGTCTGCTGATAAGGCACCAACTTTGTCAAGGTGGTAGGTTACGGATGCATCATGGAACTGGCTGAATACACAGTCGAGTTTAGAAAACCTGGCTAGGCTTTGAATCTGAAACACACAAAAACAAGAGCTGATCTGTAAGAATAACTAACAGCATGGAAGGACTGACGCAACCCCGGTTGATATACAGTTCACGCATTCAGACCGCCCCCTCGACCGCCCCGGCATCGTGCATCATCGAAACCAACCGCCCCGTTAGCTCAACACCGCCCAACTAACGACCTTGCTAACTTAGCTGCTACTCTTGCTCACGATCCCAGCCTTCCCTCTTATCTCGTCCAGTCTCTCTTTTTATCCTCTACGAAGCTTGTGTTTCGCCCATTTTTCTCTGAGAGACTCTCCTTGCTCCTCACTTCACCTTATCCGCCTTTCCCCCACTCAACTGCCGCCATGTCGTCACGGAAGAAGGTTTTGTTGAAGGTAGGCGGCATGCTTTTCATGGGGTGTCTCATGGCTAACCTGGCTTCGGTTTATTTTAGGTGATCATCCTGGGTGACAGCGGTGTCGGTAAAACGAGTTTGATGAACCAATATGTGCGTGACTCCAAGGTCCTACGAGATGGCCACTTTCTCTGACCATTATTTCTGTCGATAGGTCAACAAGAAGTTCAGTGGAAGCTACAAGGCGACCATTGGTGCCGATTTTTTGACCAAAGAGGTCCTGGTGGATGACCGACAAGTGACAATGCAGGTAGGGTTTCCCACCATCGGTTGGAAATCTAGGGAATTGGCGGGCTAACCTGTTTCGAACAGATCTGGGACACTGCAGGTCAAGAGCGCTTCCAGTCTCTGGGTGTTGCGTTTTATCGGGGAGCTGATTGCTGCGTTTTGGTGTACGACGTGAATAATTCCAAGAGTTTCGAAGCCCTCGACAGCTGGAGGGACGAGTTCCTTATCCAGGCAAGCCCTCGGGACCCTGAGAATTTCCCCTTTGTAAGTTTACCATTTTATCCTATGGATAGAGGCAGTTGCTGACCGATGGCTAGGTTGTCATTGGTAACAAGATCGATGTGGAAGAGAGCAAGCGCATGATTTCCTCAAAACGGGCCATGACCTTCTGTCAGTCCAAGGGCAACATTCCTTACTTTGAGACAAGTGCCAAGGAAGCCGTCAATGTCGAACAAGCTTTTGAGGGTGGGTTTCTTATATTTCCATGTCTACCTTGATAGAGTGCTAATGTTTGTTATAGTTATCGCCAGGAGTGCTCTGGCACAGGAAGAAGCAGAGGAATTCAGCGGCGAATTCAGCGACCCGATTAATATTCATCTCGATAACGAACGGGATGGCTGTGCCTGTTGATACCCTACTGATGGATATGATTTTCAAATGATTTACATATTATCGCTAATGCCTCTGTTCTGCTTTTTTTACGCGCGTCACGTTGGGTTTTGTAGAGAGTTTGTTTTTTCTTCTTTTCTTTCGTCCTTTGATTTGCAAACTTGGAGGAATATAGTCCTTCCCAGTGGATAACATCTATTGGGAGTTATCGTGTACCAGAATGCTGTCTCTTTACGTCTGTTGGGTCATATACAGGAATTGCTTTGATTCTTTCTTTTGATTTTGTCACAGGCTGCATTGTCATATCTTTAGGAGTCTGGAATATCATTTTTATCTTGACAACAAAGCGTAATGGCTGCATAATAGCCCAAGGTCATTAGTCCAATCACTCGTGACGCTATCACAAAGTCGTGATGCTTGGCGCTACCAGTTCCGATTTCCTGCGTAACCATAGATCGAGTATCCACTGCCGATAGATATCCACTGCACTCTTCAGCTGAACCTTCAACCTTCTCAGCTGAACCGGAAGCATGACCCGCAATATAGAGTAGAAACTCGAGCGAACGAGACTATCATTTCTGTCTTCTGCGCATTAAAACGCCTTGTCCTCCCCCTCTGCGCAATGAACTAGACGTTCGTGCTCTTATCCTCTTATCAATTCCTTCCGCGTGACTTGCGCGGAGGAAACATCGGTCGCACGGAATGACGGGGCCCTCGACGGTTTCAGAGCAAACATCTCTCATACACAATCAATCGTCTATAGATCGACGACAGCAGAGTGATACTGACATGGATGTCCACGCTGCCGCGCAGAAACTGGGGCTGGGGGTGGGCAGGCGGACTCTCGGCATTTGTCTGCTAATGATCGTTGTCGTGCTGTGGACGGCCTCGAGCTTTCTAGCCAGCGTACGTTACTTCAAGACAATCTGGTTTAATATTGTGTTGCTTTTTACGTTTTTGTTGCCGTATAGATGTGAATATGCTAATTATAATGTCTTGGTCTAGACCATATTTTCCGATAATACCTACTCTAAGCCGTTCTTCATGACATATTTCAACACCGCATTCTTTACTCTCCCCCTGTTTCCGATATTCTTGAACCGCCTTTGGAGACTCTGGCGCTTGAATAAACTGTCGCAGATTACTTCGTGGCGGACCTTCTTGAAACACATTGATGCGAGTAGTGCAAAGGGAGAACAGGATATACTCGATGGCAGGGACAGTGACGCTGAGCTCGAAAGCTCTCACGACAGACTGCATACTATTGATACAGAGTCTGGGGCGCTGAGTTTAAGAGACACAGCAAAGTTGAGTCTTCAGTTTTGTATTTTATGGGTAAGATATTCTACTCTCGATCTATACATGTTGATAAGCTAACCTGGTTATAGTTCGCTGTAAGTCTACAGGAGAATACGCCGAATATCCAACAATCTAACATATGTAGGCCAATTACTTCTCCTATTCCTGTCTGCAGTACACCACAGTCGCAAGCACGACCATTTTAACCTCCACAAGCGGTATGCCCCAAAAATAACCCAAGAAACACCCAAACATGACACCTAACACATCCCACCCAGGCGTATGGACTCTCATCTTCGGCGCCTTCCTCGGCGTCGAGAAATTCGGCATCCGCAAGACCCTGGGCGTCCTCGCCTCCCTAGCAGGAATCATCCTCATCTCCCGCGTCGACATATCTGGGTCCGACGACAACGGTGGCAGTGACAGCACCGACGGTGCCATTCACAGAACACCCGGCGAGATCGCCCTCGGCGATGCCATGGCCGGCGTCAGCGCCGTGCTATACGGAGTCTACACTATCGTCATGAAGAAGCAGGTAGGCGACGAGTCCAAGGTCAACATGCAGCTCTTTTTTGGTCTCGTGGGCGTCTTCAACTTTATCCTCCTCTGGCCGGGTTTCTTCATTATGCACTGGACGGGTGTTGAGCCGTTTGGTCTGCCGGATACGAGTAGAATCTGGACTATCATTTCGGTAAATACATCCCTTCACCCTCACCTATTGTCTCTCATTCGAATAATTTCTGACACCCACGCAGATAAATGCCGTCATCTCCCTTACATCCGACATCGTCTGGGCCTACGCAATGCTCCTAACCACCCCGCTCGTCGTCACCGTCGGGCTCAGCATGACCATTCCCCTCTCCCTAGTCGGCCAGATGATCCTACAGGGACGGTACTCGTCGCCGCTGTACTGGGTCGGCGCTGCGATTGTGTTTCTGTCGTTTTTGGTCGTTAACCAGGAAAGTGCGGTTAATGATCCCGAGCCAGTGCAGAGGGGGCATTATGATGCTGTTCCTGGTGAGGAAGCGGGTGAAAGGGTTCGATAGGTATGCTTTGGGGGCAATTTATAGATATAGATATAGATATATATCTTTTTGAATTAGAGATATTTCTATTTTGCTACTGTTACTGTCAATTACTGTTCATGGTAAACGTGTTTATATATTCAAATCCAACATTATTCATTCGGATTCAATAAAGTAGAATACAAAAAGGTGGCTATATTACAAATAAGATATTGAGGTGTGTCTGAGGAAGAACAGAAAGTGAGAAATGCATAGAGTCGACTTCCCCTAATAGTTGCGTCTCATCAGTTGAATGAACAGAAACCCACCAAAAAGAAAAATGTAATCTCGACATGACTTGTCGGTACCTTTGAAATTAAGAAACAATATCATAAACAATGCGGGGTATGTATCATAAAGAAAAGTAAAAGTAATAGAAACAAAGAAAGAATAATACATAAAGATAGAATTGAAGTAAAGCGTAGAAAGAAAGAAAGATAAAACGAAGGCATGACTGGTCTCAATCGGATACACTATACAGCATGTCAAGTCGATATGAAGGTTCATGCGGATTTCGCAGATGTAGGCTCCAAGTTCTTGCGAGCAACAAGAATGCTTTTTAGGGAGCCTAACCATTTCGTAAGGGATTCTTCGTCGGGTGTGCATAGTCGGTATGACTTTTCTTCAGCGATGATCTGAAGGCAAAATTTCTTGGATCGAGACACAGGGTCGATTTCAGCTGCCTCGATGATTTGTGACATGGGGATGACCTTGATAGCAGAGTACTCCTACATATATTGAAAGAAAGACATTAGCATTGCATCTCGCGGGGTTGTTTGTGGTTGAAGAATAATGCACGCCTTGTTTCGGCAGAGCTCGAGGACGCAGATACCATACCTGTTCATTCTTATAAAATCCAAGGCTTTTTGGGCGCAAAACAACCCAGTGTCGTTTCCATTGTTTCACACCTCCTTTGATTCGGAGACACTGGAGATATCCATGGTAGATGACTCTCTCGGGATCACGGAGGATACCCAAATCGGTGTTTCGACTCGACTCACGAGGCAGAGACGATTGTCTCCCAGTTGGGACGGATATAGAGAGATTGTTGATCGAGGGCTTGGAGCGGATGCCACCACTGCTTGATGGTCCGTCCGACCATTCCGAGAAGGAAGTGACGTCGTTGGCCGAATGATCCTGGGGATAGACGAAGCGCTTAGATCGACTGTCCGGGGAAAGCGTTTGTCCAAATTCAGGCGAACTGGCCCTGGCAGGGAGATCGATTTCCGAGAAATCAGTAGTGTCGTCGACGGGCTGTTTTTTGGTTGTAGTAGTCGTAGTCGCAGTAGTCGTGGCAGGGGTCTCCCCTTTCTTGGTCAATGCCAGGATAGCCTTCTCCTCTTCTTCCACCCCAGTTTCAGAGCGGATCAGCCGAATCCAATCCTCCAAATCCTTTTCTGACGATGCTTGGAAGCGGTAATTTTTCGAAGGGGAGAAGATGCCAAAGACGTGTTGTCGGTTCGATCGGTGGGACTTGACGGGTGCGATAGCTGTGACTTCGGACAGAGTGACGGACAGTCTTAACCTCGTTGCTTCCTCATCTTTGTAGACCGACAAGAGATTCGGTCGGAGAACGAGGTATGCGGGCTTCCACGAGGCGCGAAATGCCTAAAAAGGATGTTAGTTGCGAGAAAAGGCGAATGCGCTGGATTGTTTGTCAAAAAGTGACTGACATGTTTGTGTTTGACCCGACGGTCTACTTTTCCGGTCTTTATAACCCGGTCAAACTCGAAGCTACCGTTTTCATTGACAGGAGAAAAACAATCTAGGTTGATACGACCGTTGCGAAAGGCCGAAGGAGGCTGTATGGGTTGTAGATAAGCTGGCGGTTCGATGGTGCCGTCAGGAAGCTGGATGGTAGGACTTTGGGGATGCCCCTCGGCGGCGGATGGAGATGGGATAGTAAGCGTTTTATCCATGGTTGCGCAAAAAAAAGATGAAGTCAAAAGACAAATGTTGAGATGAAGAAGACAGCTCCCAGGTATGCAGTAAAAGACTGACGGTCAAAAGGAGCCAGAGCTGCAGGTCGCAGTGAGGGATGAACCTAAGTCAAAGTGCAGTCGCATGAACATCGGGAGAGAAAAGGGAGGAGGGGGACCGAGGGATAGGCCTCCATGTATAAACCACGGCTGCCTGTCCCAGAGGGAAACAAAAAAAGAAGAAGCTAAAGTAAGCTGAAATGGATGGAAGATAATGCTGACTGCAGGATGAGGTCAAAATGGTAGTTTCAGGAGTTGTTTGGCGTGAAGGGCCAGAAAACGTCCGAGAACGGTCGCGGCGATGACGGACGACTGGAGAAGCACTGTTGACCCTGAAACTGAACGTGCAAGCGCCGTTGAATCAGTTTTATATTTTGACAGAATATTTAGCAGGTTTGAAACTGAAAGAGTTTCTCAATTGCAGATAAGAAAGAATCCAGAATTTGTATGGCCTTCTTTTTTTTTTTCCCTGCTTCTCCTGTCCCAGACGATCGGCTGTTTAGAGGTAGAGTTAATATGGTGGAGATGACGATGATAATCATCATTTCTGGGAATGTGGACGGCCAGAACCACGTCTCAGATTGAGTATCGATTCTTATCTGCAGATGATTTGAATTTGGAGTCAAATTTTCATTAATGGGTTTCCCCTATTCTCCATGGTCTACTATAGTAGTTAACCAGACTCCTGCTATATCTACAAACTTCAACACTATTATATCCGACGAGTTGTAGTCTGGCACCGTCCGAACAGGAATCGACTATTGATATGAATTATTATTCCAGAAGAATGGACGATTTCCAGAACGGCATAAGCTCACATGGACACTTTCTGAACAAGATGATGGCAGATAGACTGATGGATGATGCTATTAATAGGGGTGTTGATCATTGATGAGCTCACTGTCGTACAGCATATAGTATGTAGGATTATCCATAATATGTAGGATTTTCCCCTGGCACGATATAGATATGATAACAATAATACAAATACAGAGTATATAAAAATATACAAATATGACGGATTATATGATGTTGACTGCGCTATACATACAGACTACAGAGTCAAAGTACGGATGCAGTGGATGCCCATGCAGTAGCGCATGCATGCAACAAAGAGCTCGAGGGAGTTGGTTTAGAAAGCACGAAAGGCAATGTATGGGCAGATGATAGTATGCTGCAATAATGATGCAGCTGTAATCCAAGATCCGATCTCACAGTTAATATTTTGATCAAGGATGAAGATGAAGATGAAGAATGACGGCCGGTATTTAGCCGAACGAGGAGGTTAAGCATTTCAGGGTCCAGGCCAGAGTGGGTTTTAGGATGTTTTAGGAGGATTCTTTAGTTAAGGCCACCTTGACAGTGTTCACGTGATCGATAGACTAGAAGAAGAAGAATAGAAGAAAAGAATAGAATAGTATAAATAATATAATAACTATAATATAGATATAAATATTCTATTACTCTACTTGGTATCTGAGGTGATACCTGAGATATTGTGTGTATGGGTTGTGTAGGTTATGTATGTACGTATTATCCTCGCCTTGATTTGCCGAATTCTGATTCCTCTTTGGCGTCAGATTTTTCCATTCAGTCTGGTTGGGGCCACAGTTGCATCAAGTCATCGACTGTGTCTAACTTGTCTAACTACAGTCAGACAAGAATAGCAAACTAGTCTTCTCGATCCCTTTCCGGGAGATTGGCCGCTGATCTTCAACTCATCTAAACCTCCATCCGACTGCCCAGTTACCCAATCGGTGATTGGGGGATGTGCTGTCGTGCATGCAGGTTAAGCTTCAAGTGTTCTGAGGCAGTCTGTCCAACTATTGGGAGAAAGGGGAGTTAAATACCCCAGGGGTGCAGCCAGCACTTACGTACGCCAGTGGTGGCAATCCGACGTTATTGTTTATTAGGGACCGGTCTATCCTGCCCTTACCGCGATGGCTCAATTCTGCTTGTCTGGTGTAAAAAAAGAACAGATTACCTGGTATCGCTGTATCAGCCTGTATTCCGTATCATCTTTTCGCCATCTTTCGCCCCCCGTAGCCCCAAAGTACCCTCTCTGTTACCGTATTTCTGTGACGCCTGCCCCAAATCCACGGTCTCTGGCCGCTTGCGCCTCCCTGGCCTTGGCAGCACTTCCTCCCATCCCCATCCCCAAAATCCATCTCGTAAAGCCCTCCATCCTTTCCCATCGGCTTTCTCCTCCGCAATTCCTGCCTCTTCCTCCTATCCACCCACCTCCATCCTGATTGATGACCTCGTCGACTGTCTTTGTGCCTTTGGCTTCATTGCTCAGGACATCAGTCACAGGTGCTGTTCACGCCTCCCCCGCCCGTCTGTCTCTGGCCGACTGAAGAGAAAGCAAAAGTTGGGGAGAAAGGAGGCATTCCTCCGGCCACTCGTTTTTTTCTTGTCTTCTTCTTTTTATTTTTTCTTCGCCTTTTTAATTCATTTGTCTTTACAATCGATCCTCGTCATTGCCGCTCGTACTGGACATTTCGCGGTTCTTCCAAAAGAACCACACAGCCTTGCGCGTACTGACCCTGTGACCCTGTTCGCTCAAGATTGCATCTAATTCCGACTGGCGTCGATTATCCCGATCCTCCCTCTTTTTTCTAAGGCCCCTGTGGTATCGCTAGGGCCTTGATTCTAGAGTATTTCCCCCCCTCGTCTTCGAACGAATCATCGCTCCCCATGAGCTTCATTCAGCGACTTACGAAGCGGCTGCCCTCGGCGCCGAGTCTGCCTCTCGACGATGTTTCGCGCGAAAAGGGCTCCGGCTCTTCTAGATTCGCTTTCTTCAGACGGAGGATACGATTGAAGGGCAACTCGTCGATTTCAATACCCCTGGGATTTGTTTTACTATTTCCATGCCTTGTAATAATTCTTATTCTACTTCTCTTTGTTCGACATCCTTCGTCTCCCGGGGGTATCTTAATTCCAGCTGGCACACCGCCATCCATTAGGTTCGCTGCACCCCCGACGCTGAAGACAGAGTATGGTGGTTATTGGTGATTATCGAGGCTAACAATTCCCGTTATACAGAAAAATTAGCGAGAAACATGACAAGGTCTTTGCCACTGGTTGTCTGCCAGTTGAAACGGACGGTCCTCGGGCAAACGCTGCGTTCGTCGTTCTCGCCCGGAACAAGGAGCTGGATGGTGTGATCCAGTCTCTCAAGTCGATCGAGAGACACTTCAACCGGTGGTTCCACTACCCTTACGTGTTCCTGAACGACGGCGACTTTGACGATGAATTCAGAGCCACTGTCAAGAACTATACCAGCGGTCCTGTGGAGTTTGGAAAGATCGACGACAGCATGTGGGGATACCCAGATTGGGTTGACCACGAGGTTGCCAAGGAGGGTATCAGGAAGCAGGGAGACGCCGCCATTATGTATGGAGGAATGGAGAGTTATCACCACATGTGCAGGTTCTACTCCGGGTAAGTTCTTAGAGGCCCATTCTGGTACCGCACCAATTCTAACATTTTCCAGTCACTTCTACAAGCACCCTCTCCTGATGAAGTACGAGTGGTACTGGCGTTTGGAGCCCGAAATCAAGTACTTCTGTGACATCACCTAGTAAGGATCTTCCTCGTATATCTGATTTCATCTACTCACACATCCTAGTGATCCTTTCATCAAGATGGCAGAAGCAAACAAGACCTATGGTTTCACAATTGCCGTCAAGGAGCTTCGCGAGACCGTCCCCAACATTTTCCGCTACGCCGCTGCCTACAAACGTAAGAACAATCTCAAGTCAAAGGGTCTCTGGGAAATGTTCCTGGAACCCAGACCAGAGAAGGAAGAGAAGCCAGAAGACGTGAAGCAAGACAAGCTTCCCGAGGAGATCTTGCAAACCGATCCTAATGAAAACAACCTCGATGACATCGACCCCGAAGCCATGGAAGGCGAATCGTACAACATGTGTCATTTCTGGAGTAACTTTGAGATTGCGCGCCTCGACTGGTTCCGCAGCAAAGAGTACGAAGACTTCTTCAACATGATGGATAGAAGCGGTGGTTTCTGGAATGAAAGAGTACGTATTTCGTTATCCCAGTCGTCTGTTCATTGTCTAACCTTTGATTCGCTGTAGTGGGGTGACGCTCCAATTCATTCGCTTGCCGCCGGTGCCCTCCTTTCCCCGAGTGATATCCATTATTTCCGTGATTTCGGATACCGACACACGACAATCCAGCATTGCCCTGCTAACGCCCCCGCACGGCAATTAACCCGAATCCCATGGCTTGAAATGACCACGGAGAATGAGAAGGAGCGGATCGAGGAAGATGAATACTGGGCGACTCCTGACCCTGTCAAGGAAAACGGAGTCGGCTGCAGATGCAGGTGCGATACCGACATTGTGGATGTTGAAGGCAAGCAGGGTAGCTGTCTCGCCGAATGGGTGGAAGTTGCCGGAGGCTGGGCATCTCCATAGATGGAGCTGACCTTTTTTTTGTGTTCGCTGTATCATCTTCACCTCGTTTCCGTATCTATCTGTTCGACTGTGAGCATTACTTTGGGTCGCCCTTGGAGTTGTTTGCTTGGGCCTGCATCTTATGGCCGTGGGATTTCACTGGAACGGCGTTTAACGGATCTGACGGCTTCTTATACGGAAGACGGTGTCAACATTCTCATCAATATTGACAATACATCTAGCGTGCTGTGCGTTCAATTTGGATTGCTGTTTGTTACAATATCTTGCCGACTTGGAAAGAAAAAAGAAAAGAAAAGCCTGTCGTCTGGCTCCGAACCCACAATGCCAGTCGAAGTCCTCGCGGCCATCCACTTGACCCAGTCGATCTCTGCAAAGCTTTGTCCTCGTGCTAAGCAGATGCTAGCATGGCTCCGTTCCCCGAATTCCTCTGATAAGTCGACCATTTGTTCAATTATGCGCCAAACCCAGTTCGCTAGCAGAAAGCTCCAGCAGCGGCATTACGAGACTTATGACATTGTTTTCAGGGGCATTACCTGGGAAGAAACGTTGGTTCGCATGGGAGAGCTCAATTGGCAGTACTAAGCCATCTGTTTATTTATTCATGTCTTTATCACCCCCTTTCCCCCCAATACTCCCTTTCCCGATGTTCTCAATTCTTGATTGTTTTCTTTTAGCATCAATTCACGAAGTGTACATATCTTTTTTCCTATTCCCTGGTGAACATGGGTTTTCTCCCACGCATTGCCCCTGCCACCCAAATAACCAACCGGGTCTGGCTGTATAGAGTATGGAATAATCTACCCACGATATAACCGGGATAATATAATCGCTCTCTAATTAATTGTCCATGAATGTATGGCTCCTGGCTAGTGCTCCCAGTGTTAGAATCGAGTTGAGCGAATAGGAGTAGCATTGATCTTCGTGTATGGGTGAACCTGCCATGGAGGTATTTGTGATACGTTTACTCAATTCCTGGTCGAATGCAAAACCATCACATCGTTGCTGACTGTTTGTGCGTGAAGAGCTAAAAAGTCAAACCCAAGCACCTGCAGATAACTAACGAACACCCGCTGACAGCTGACAGGGGGTCAGACAACACACCTATCAACCCCTCTCATGCAGTGCCTCGAGCGCCGTGACAGCAAATGCAAGACCAAGAACTTTTGCATGCCTTTTTATATCCCAGCTTTTAATCCTTGATATCCTTCTGACTGTGATGGTAACAGCGTAACGCCATGATCCGAGCAGCCCTTCTCGTCGCTCTCTTTGGCCAAACCATTGCAGCTTTCAACAACCCCCCTGGCGTCGACATATGGTGTGGAAAAGCCTATCGTCCCACGTGAGTAAAAGAATGCACTTCTCAATTGATACATGCATGCATGCAGAAAATTGAAAAGCTAATAGATAAATTTAGAAATGCATCGTTTGAACCGGGAGGATGGCTAGAAGAACCAACTGCGTCATCAACGCCTCGACTGGATTTACGGATCCGGCCTCGCATGAGTCTTTACACGGCAGAGGAAGAATCGGGGTCGTTTATTATTGATGCGGGGATTTCGCGTACGCATGGGGAGCCGTTTGATTTTCGGTCTGTGGTGTTGCTGGATTCTGCGCAATCGTGTCGGGTGCTACTGGTGGATGTTTTGATTGAACAGGCTGGGGTTGAGTTGAGGCGTTCCGTGCCTGTTAATTCGACTGCGAATGAGGTTGTTTTCGAGTTGGATGGGCTTGAGCCGCGGTTTGAGCCGTACGATATTTTAGTGACGGTGTCTTATCCGTCGGGGAATCAGAGTAAACCGGTACATACGGCTACGACGCAGGTGTATCGGTTGCCGGAGAGGGCAGACGGGGGGAGTATCACCAAGATTGATAGCCTGTATGGGGGTCTACTGGTCCAGGACTATCTCAGCGACTCGTCTGTGTGGACGCCTATCTTGCCGTATTCCTTTTACGTGAGCTGGGGCGGGTGGCTGGAGAAGTCGTTGGACAATGTGCAGAAATTCAAGGACCAGGGATATAACATCTTGCATCTTGTTCCTGGTGGAGGAACGTTTGGTGAAGCTTTCAACCTGACTGAGCTGAATATGTTCCTCGATAAGTGCGATGAGATTGGACTGTGGGTTATGTGGGATATGCGGTGGACTTATCAGAACTTGACTTCTGTGGAAGAGCAGGTGAATATGTTCAAGTCCAGGAAGAGCATGCTGCTTTGGTATACTGGTGATGAGCCAGATGGGCACAGTGATCCGTTGAATGCTACCAAAGAGGCGTACGATAAGATCAAATCCTTGGATCCCTGGCATCCTATTTCGCTGTGTTTGAACTGTTACAACTTCTACTATGAGGAGTACTCGTCAGGAGCGGACATTATTCTCTCTGATGTTTACCCCATTGCGGTCAATACCAGCTGGTCGGATCAGTATGATACTGCGTGCAACACGACGTATGGCTGCTGTGGCTGCGACGACTGCCATGGCAACTTTGAGGATATCTCCCTTCGTCTGGATCGTTTTTCCCAGTATCAAGCCTGGATCGGTGGAGGTCCTAAGACATACTGGGGAGTTCCACAGGCGTTTGGCAATGACTCCTTCTGGAAGCGCTCTCCAACCCCCGAGGAAGAAGTAATCATGAATATGCTCAGTATCAACCACAACGCCAAAGGTATCGTCATGTGGACCTACCCGACCAACACGGAGATTGTGAATATCGCAAGCAAACTGAGTCGAGTCTTGGTATCTCCGGAGGTGACGGGATTTCTGCTGGGAGCACAAACGACGCCCTTGCAGGTGGAGGGGCAGCAACGGATAGATGCGGCTGGGTGGAGAATTGGAAATCGGATGCTTGTCAGTATACTGTACTTGGAGTATTCCGCACTGCAATCGCAGGTCACAGTGTTGTTGCCTGAGGGTAGAGCTCGATCTATCCCTCGCACTCTGTGGGGATCTGGTGATTGGTCAGTACATGAAGGCCAACTGGTGAAAAACAGCCTTTCGGGACTGGAGACGGATCTGTTGATTATAGAGTTACAGTAAATCGAGACCAAGACACTCACTCACCTTATGGATTCCCCCCACTGAGTGTATCCAGAATGTAGGCACTAAGTGTAGATCGGTGGATGTCCGGGGAAGCCGGCTATACTGATTCAGGCATAGTGCTATCGTTATCGGGGGGGGCATCATCGAGCAACGCAAGAGAGCAACGCATGATGAGGTCAACGACGGCCGTATTTCGCCATCAAAAATGGACAAAGAGACAGTAGATCATCGAGTTTACTAGAATAAAAAGCAGACATCTTCCCCGCCTGACCACATGTGGTGATGAGCCTACAGCAGTCAACCCCTCCCCCTGTCATGTGCCCCGCGTTGCGTGTAGATACGGCACGTTATGTAGAGTTGGTTATCTAGACAATATCACCCCTCTCTCTCTCTGTTCTGACTCCCGTCCTCTGCCGAAGATTTTCTGCTCCGTTTATTTCCCCTTCTCTTTGGGCCTTCCTGATAAATATATTTGTTTTCTTGCTTCTCATAGCTGCTCTTTCTCCTCTTTCTGCTCTGGAAGCACCTGACCCTCTTCCCGCTCGGGGCCGGGAATAGTACCTCACCGCGTCATTGGGCAGCCGCCTATTAGGCAGAGGCTCATCCAAGGAATTTGAAACAGTCACCACTACCTCTTTCTCACTCTTGGAAAGAAACAAGGCAAATATAAATCTCCTCCTTCGAGTAAAAAAATCATCCTCGTTATCCTCTTTGCTGCTGGAAACCTCTATTCTTTTTGAGGAACTGAAACTCAGTTCTTTGTATTCACCAGCAGAAAGAAAGACGAGAAGCTCCGTTTCCGCTTTTCTCCTCACCAGCCTTATCTCTGGTTCCATGACATCTTCCATCAGACACCATGGCTGACTCTCCAAAGCCTCCCTCCAGGAATCATCCTCCTTCTAGTGCCTCAACAAGCCTACGATATCCGACCCTTCCGCCTTTGAGTGCCTCCGTTGAGGAGTGGTTATCTCGCTCGAGACCTACAAGCATGACGTCAGAGCCTCACGGAGATCATCCCCCGCCAAAGTCACTGGGTGAAAGCTGGGCGACTCTGAGCGTGTGTGATGCCCATTCTGAGGATGGTGCTCGATCCGAACAGACAGACGTGGGGTCGCTGATTGACCAAACCGGCCCGGACGATGTTGCTAGCCTCGATGAGCGGTTCAGTAGTAGCGAGATGGATGGAAATGATGATGATGACGACGACGATGATGAGGAAGAAGAGGTATATGGCGGTGATATATACGAGGATCGGAGCAGTATTTCTGAGTCTCAGGAATTACCTGCTCGCTTCCCCAGATTGAATAATACCATCGAGGATAGTGGTCTTACCGCTAAGGCTTTCCATCATTCTACCGACTCTATCGAGTTTGCAGAGCCTGATCTGTGGCCTGAGCTCGAGCGGGTTGAATTGAAGCATACCATTCATGTCTTTGGGGATGATGAAGCATCCGAGTTGAAAAAGGGGCTTCCTTATAACCTGCAGGACTCTTTTCTCACGGCTACCGTTCAGCAGACCATGACGAAAGAAAGCCTTGGTGTCGACAAGCCGTTTCGTGTGTTGTATATCGGCAATCCGGAATTCAGGAACATCATACTCGACAAAATTGGCGATGTCTTGGTGTCTAGCTCGGGTAGTTGCTCTGAACCTAGCTCTGCAGAGTCGTCCAGGTACCATGTGGTCCCGACGTCCTTTGGTGCAGGAGCTATCCCAAACTATGCTGAGCTTCTTCCAATTCACGTCCAGCTCATTGTCGACGAGTGCTTGGGAGCGGTGTCAGGCCCTCAGGCGGACAAGCCCAGCACTATAAGCCTGAACTTCAAGAATCGACCATCGTGCACCTCCTCCTGGACCGGATCTGATTACTTTATCTCGTCTTCGTCAGAGTGGACGCTGCCAGATGTGGCTATCGTTTTTGTAGCTAACACGGATGACGCTACTGCCACCAAAACGCACAGGGCCGCTCGGGCCTTCATGGAAAGGCATGGGGTTCCTACTATGGCCATTTCGGAGAAGCCGCTCTGGAAGATGACTTCTGATCTGATCCCTGTGAACCCCCATAGCCTTCACATGTGCTTGGAATCTCGCCACTCAGAGACTGGAGAGACCCTGGTCTTGAGACGGTACCCTATTGATCTTAAGACCTTCGAGAGTATTACTCCTAGTCAACTCAACAGGAACTTGGCTTCGTTGGCAAGTATCTATCCTAAGAAGTCCAACAAAGTCACCACCGAGTCTCCAAAGGCCTTCGAAAGGAAGCCGTTCTTCGATACTGAGAAATACTCCACAAACATGTTCACCTTCTCATCCTCTAAAAACATACACGAACTTACCCCTGCTCTGCGTATCATTACTCTAGCTATCATTTCGGCTGTGGCTATTTCTCTGGGTCACTCGGCTCTGAAAGCTCTTTTTGTCTTCATTTCCCAATTCTTTGCACGCTCTGCCATTTCTACCCTTTCGCCCCCCTCTTCGAGCAGTGTCTCTACTAGCAGTATCATTCCAGTTGAAGGACTGAGACAGACGTCTCTTTCTGTGCGATCTGCACAGGCCGGCGGAGCTCAGCTGGCAAAACACAAATCCCAGAGTCGACTTGAAGAACTGATGGATGTGGCACTCGCGGCTCCTGCGCAGCAGAAGCCAGACCAGTTTGAGATTCGGGTAGTCGGCGATTGCCACGTTGTCATCAAACCTCCACATGGATTCCCTACAGGGAGGAGACAGCCGAGATTCAGTGTCAATGTACACCGACATGATACCGTTCTTGCATATGAACTGTCTCGGTTATTCGAGGGGGTATACACTCTCAAACTGGACAGAGAAGATGCATACGGCCTCATTAACATTACGATAACGACAGATTCGAAGCCATTTCTCAGTCAGGTCACACCGGTGGACTTTGGGACGCCGTGGCTGAAGATTGCAAACTGGAAACGAGCGGCGCATGCGATCTCAGCTCAATTTACCAGGGACTTGAACATTGCTCAGACGGGCTTGTCAGAGGTGTATGGTCGGATCTGTACTGATCTGCAAGTCCTGATGGGGGATGTTGTGAAGAAGTCGCATTTTCTACGACAGGAAGCCGACCTGCTGCGTCGAGATTCTGTGCAACAACTTTCACTTGGTACTAGAGAGGTCGTTTTGTCGAGGTCAAGGCAGCTCTCCGAGGCTGTCAAACGCACTGCTTTGCAACCCTTTCTGACAGCATCTTCAGCACTACAAGAACGTACTGACAGGGTGAATCGTGATGCAAAGGAGCTTGTGAGTGGCACTTGGAATCGGATCAGTAGCGTGTCAACGCAGGGCGTTGACCTGGGAGCAATGATGGATCATGTTCGAAACGCCAGGAAATGCAAGACGCTGGACATCGCGCAAACGAGGGCACGAAGTCTGGTTTGGCGCAAGTCTTGCCAGGAAGTCGAATGTTCTGTACAGAGCCATTAGGAGTGTTTGCTAAATTTTTGATGCCTTGCTCTATCTTTAAGCACCATAGTTCCGTTAGCTAAGATAATGTAATCATCAGTTTGGTGCAAATGATCCATAAAACACGAAACATAGGTCATCATTACGACCTGTTTCACTATGGAATCCAGAGAACATCACAGGCCATATCATCGTCCACGAGACCATTCCATAGAATTTGTTATGGAGCCCAAGTAGTTCGTAGTGGTGGATCTGGAGGCGGTGGCACTAGCGGCCTCAGGCAAGAGGAGGGGACAAAGGGGGGGCATTATTGCCTACCCACCTTGACTGAGGAACCAAAAACACTTAGTGTTCATATTTTCCCACCCCCCTCCAGTGATCATCATCACAACAAACACGTCCTTTTCAATCCCTAATTCATCACTAGGTATATATCCCCGCCGTGCACTTTATTTCCAACTCTTCTCATTCTCATCAACTAAGCAGATTACCATCTCCTATCCACCATGTCTGACGTCGCGGAGACCAAGCCTGACCCCACCACCAGCGCTCCTGAGGCTGAGAAGCCCGAGGAGACTACCACCGCTGCCCCCGCCAACGATGAGGCACCCAAGGCCGAGGAGGAGAAGCCTGTGACCGAGGCAGCTCCTGCTGCTGATGCCGCCCCCAAGACAACTGACAGCGTCTTCTCCATGTTCGGCGGAGGCCCTAAGAAAGAAAAGAAGGAGGAGCCTGAAGAGCCTCAGGATGAGCCCTCTGGATCTTCCAAGGCACAGAAGAAGGAGGGTGAAGAGGTGAGTTTGTGATGTTTTTTTTCATTGATTTTTTTGGTCTTTTGGGTTATTTGTCGCGCGCGCTTCTGATGGGCGATGAGTCAAATGGTGTAAAAATGTTTTCTGTTTGGGAGAAGAAAAAGAAGAAAGAAAAACTTTTTCATCAGATGGCTGACTGTTTTATCGCAATAGGAGGAGGCTCCCGAGTCTCCCGAAGTTCACTTTGAGCCCGTCATCCACCTGACCGAGACTGTTGAGACCAAGACCAACGAAGAGCTCGAGGAGCAGACCTTCAAGATGCGTGCTAAGCTGTTCCGATTCGACCGCGATACCAAGGAGTGGAAGGAGCGTGGTACTGGTGATGTGAGACTGTTGAAGCACAAGGAGAACCAGAAGACCCGACTAGTGATGCGCCGCGACAAGACCCTGAAGGTCTGCGCAAACCACTACAGTAAGTTTTACCCGCGTTCTGATGTATAACATAGCAGAAAAGCAAAAGTGAGGCAGGTGCTGATACGTCTATTCAGTTGTCCCCGATATGAAGTTGAGCCCCAACGTTGGCAGTGACCGCAGCTGGGTCTGGAACGCCACCGCCGATGTCAGCGAGGGTGAGCCAGAGGCCGCTACTTTGGCCATTCGCTTTGCCAACAGCGAGAGTGAGTTATTCGTCCCAGAACGAGGAGAAAGTGGGATTGTTGCTAATGTGATACCGCAGACGCCAACCTCTTCAAGGAGTCCTTCGAGAAGGCTCAGCAGGAGAACGAGAAGATCTTCGCTCAGGCTTAGAGAGTTGCGATTGAACTCTCTTTATGACGCCCATCGAGTGCAGGTTTCCTAATCATGGTTGTCTCTATCATAACGAGTTTTTTATCTATGGCTCAGGAATAAATCACCTTCGACCCAATTCCCCTCAACAAGCACACAAACTACACTCTTCATTTCACTCCCCCCTTTTTACACAAAATCACTTGATATTTCCCCCTTCCCCGACCCCCTACCCACGAGCGATACGGCAGAAATGAAGATGTTGGTCGCGACGACACCTATGAGTCATCTTATGCACAAACTGAAACGGGATAAACATCATCGGATGATGCCCGTTGTCGGACGAGGAGCTGGCAGTAGATAGACATATGATCACTTCGAATATACACATGAATTACTCCAATGATTTAATGTATTTCAACCGTAGAGGTGTAGTTGCTTTCACGTCTGATTCTATTTGCCTTCATCGCCAGCGGAAACGGACTGCAATGTAGCCTAGCTTTAAGGAGAAATATCGCCAGACCAGCAATCCATCTGGTATGCAGCATGATTTAGATCCAGCGACTGAATTGAAATACAGACATGATCGTGTGCAGGGCTGAAAAGAAGCCACTCTCGTGAGGGTTCCCTAATAATGGCGGGTCTCCTGGCCTGAAGTCGTCGGATCGCTTCATCCGCCGCGTCGAATCCCCCGCCCAAGCAAGCAACTTCCAGAGCTTCACTCTCTCCTCTTCCTCGTCTCTGATTCGCCGTCTCCCCATACCCATCTATTTCCCATAATTTCTTCTTCTAATCTCACCGTGACTGTCTGCGACAACTCCAGACCAAGTCCTCAGATTTAATTCCACCCCGAAAAAAAGCTGGCTTGGTCGGTCAAACAGTCAACCTCGCTTCTTCCGGCCATTATCCGCGCGACACCTGAATAGCTCCCTCTCCGTCTTCCGCCTTTGCCATTTCGGATTCTCGCCCAGGGGAAAGGGGATTATACAATATCAATCTAGCCCACGGAAAGCTAGATTTTTCTTTTATCTCATTATCCCCCCTCCAGTGGCTTTGTGAAAGAGCCCACTGGCAAAGATGCCTGACGTGAGTTTTGTGATTGCTTCCAATCAGTCGTCGATGGAGAGAGAGAGAGTAAAGAAAAGCTTGCTCTAGTGTCGCTCCATTCCCATCTATCGCATTGTGCTGATCGTTTGCTCTTTTTTACTTCATGTTTAGGTCAAGAGGAACATCAGGCTGGTTACCGAGCAGCGTATCGCGTACGTTTTCCCTCCCTCACCTTGTCTACCTACCTATCCATTCCTATCCATCGCGTCACAACCTTCGAGCCATCACCATTTCATTACATCGTAATGGGATGAAAAACGTTTGCGCGCGTTCAGCGCCTGCTTGCAGCACATATTCCAATCAATTCAAGGGGACCCTTTGGCTGATCGTTTGCACGTTCTACCTACAGTAACAAAGACTCCGGCGTTGAAGGATTTCCTCTCCGATCGTGGTCGATCGAGGTCTACCTTGTCAACGAACACGGAGAGCAGGTGCCAGCGAATGTCTTTGACAAGGTGACATACACGCTGCACCCGAGTTTCGGGGACCGGGCTATCCAAGGTATGTTATGCTATGCCGTCGTTTTATTCTACCCGTCTAGTTTGTGAGGAAAGAAATACCCGACTAATGCGCGCGATTTTTTCGCCTTCTACAGCGTTCAAGAAACCCCCATTCCGAATCGAAGAGGAAGGATGGGGTGAATTCGACATGCAAATTGGCCTTTCCGCCGCCGACAAGGAACATTATGTGACCCACGATCTCAACTTTGCGCAGGCGCGCTACGAATCCAAACATGTCATTGTCAGTTTTTCCCCCATCTCTACTTGAAAGCATGAGACAAGAAGCTAATATATGTATACTGGAATAGACATTTAAAAACCCAAAGCCTGGCCTATTGGCCGCCCTCCGCGAATCGGGACCGGTTCCTGGTGATGAGAACGGGACGAAATCCAAACGTGCGGCAGGAGGAGACGAAAGCTCCAAGAAGAAGAAGCGGACAGAGAAAAATGTAAGTCTTACGGGTCTTACGGGTCTTACGGGTCAAAAAACGAACAGTTCTTAACCATTTCCCCTAGGTCGACATGGACAAGCTGGCAGACGGTCTCCAGCGACTCGGAGAGGACGATCTCCTCCAAGTTGTGCAGATGGTGCATGATAACAAGGCACCGGACTCGTATACCAAGAATGATGTTGAGCGTATGTGGATCCTGACTTCTATTGCATCATTGCATCACTGTAGAAGGGATAAACTGACAAGACTGCAGAGGGCGAATTCCACGTTGATCTTTATACCCTACCAGACAATCTCATCAAGATGCTCTGGGATTTCACACATGAAAAGGGCGCTTTGTAAACTGGTTTCTCACTGAAATTCTACCTATCTACCATATCATTTGCCATTTTCCATTTCCATTGCCGCCTGTGTGATATGTACTTTTTTTTCTTTTCTTTCCTTTTGTTTTTTTGATGGGTGGCTTCTATACAGAGAGAGTGGGGAAAGCGAAAAAGCGGAACAGGGAAAAAAGAGAAAAGACAACAAAAAAAAAGAATTCTGACGATTATATCGGCACCTCAACAACCGATCAGCGGTTCAATGAATGAATACAACGAAATCAATCAACCAACGCCAGAAGGGTCTTGATACGGGATACAGGGGGAGTATATGATCAAAACAGGATCATTTAGAGAAGAGTTAGCGAGAGGAAAGCAACTTTGAATAATAATAGGCTTGATATTAACACAAGAATGAATCTAGTGAAAAAAAGATATTTCCACCACACGGCCCAAAGAAGAGGTTATAGACACAAGGGTAGCGAGACAAAAAAAAAAAGGAAAGAACAAATGTGGGATATCTCAATATAAGACAGGAAGAGATCCAGTAAGTCAGATAATGTCATTTTGGTATGAGGGAATGCAAGAGACGGACAGATTCGGTAAATCGTCCAAAAACGAAACGCCATAAATGTATTGATGCAAGAAAAAACACGTGCTTGAACGAGTCTTGATAAAGCATGAGGAAAAGACCACCAATGATAAAAATCATGAAAGAGTGTGAAACAAAAACGACCCATACGCCCCGCTGTATTTGTTATGAAAACAAAGCATTTTATCTAGATTGCCTGCAATCGATGCTGATCGATGAGGTAGAGACATTATTTACCCAAGAACAGGACATAACTTATAGCACTCGGTACCTATAAACAAGTCAGAATATGAATGACATCATGGGGGTTTCAGGTTAATCACATACACCTTTAATAAATCCTCCAGGCTCTCTGCACTGCAGCTCCGGCCTTTGGGAATGTGTCTGAGGATATCGACAATTGTCGCAAAAACATCACCTCCCTTGTAGGCCAGCAATGCGGGAGCTTCGATGTGATCCATTTGGGCAATTTCGTGGTGAAGCTTGATGAAGTAGGTAGTAGGGTTTCTGCGAGCAATGGTGTTGAGACAGTCCTCCACGAGAGCGCTAGCATTGGACTATTGACAGGGTTAGCATGTGAAACATAAATCCGGGGACCATGGATCTTACCTCTGGGTCATAAATGCACACCACGGTAGTAGTACCCGGGTTGACCTTCTCAATGGCATCTAAGTAGCCACCGGCATCCACAGCCTTGAAGGTTCCATACATCCTCCGACGGGGGCTCGAACGTCTCTGGTTGTGGCCCTGCAATTCCTGCATGCGCGACTCACGCCATTTGCGCATAAACCGATCTTCGTCTTCACTGCCGGATCCATCAGGGGGAGAGGAGTTTTGCAAAAGGTTGGCATCATCAGTGGACTTGGGAGAGCGGTGGTGATCAACACCAGCGGCACCAAGCAATGTCCTGCGGAAGGAACGCTTGCGAGCACGCTCAAAGGCCTGAGCGTCGGCGATGACACCCTTGGGACCGGTGTTGGCGTCAAAGACCGTGTTGGGGATGTGGCAGGTGCCAGTGCGGGAGGCCATGGCGGATTCGTCGTCTTCGTCGTCGAGGATATAGTCGTCGTGATGGGTGGAGTCGTTCTCGTCAGACGAGTGGTCAGAGTTGTCACGGTCCTCGGGGTGAGTCGAGAAGGTAGCTTTGTTGCTGTTGACAAGTTGATTGAATTCGTCTTGGGCAGCAGACATGATGAAAGAAGAAAGAAAGAAGAGAGTACAAAAAGGCGGGGGGTAACGAAGTGTTATAAAACAACGACCTGACGAAGATCGCGACCTGATCACAAAATTAGCTCTTGTGCTTGGCCAGGATTTTTTGCTTTTTGCCCACCCACCGACTCTCTAGTCGAGTGACACAGCCCTACAAATGATGAAGTGATGGAGGGATTTGGGGGCAGGGTTTTGGCTTAGGACGGTTTCAGGCCGGAGATAGATCCCTGACGACCAAGAAGGAAAATGATGCAAAACAAGCAAGATGGAGGGACGATCGGTGTGGGAATCGTGATACGTAGCGGCAGATGAAACAGTCGAGGCTGCAAGAAAGGGGGAGAGTTTCTCGAAGGGGGAGCGCTGAAGAAGATTCCGGTTAGATCGAGATAGAAGAGAAATTATGAAAGGAAGATGGTGACTTGGTGATAGCGAAAGACTTACCCCTTTTCTGCCAGGCACACACGTTGGGGCACTTGGGGGCGTTTCAGGATTCCGGCGATCGGCGGATTTTCTGCTCTCAAGCAGTTTAGCAGCACTGCTTCCACTCCGCCACGCTTGGACGAAAGGGCTCCCTCCACCCGCTAGAAGGGGCGAAGAACATTCTATTTCCGAGGTATTCAGTGCATCGTCCGTGATGTGTCTGCGTGATATGTGATCTGTGACGCCAATATTGATGGCTAGTGGCTGACAGGTGCCCGTGATAGGTGTCAGAATCCTTCAATAATTCCTCCCCATCTCATATCGCCAATTGAATGCATCATCCCACGTGTTGGCCAGGATCAGACCTCTCGATCTTCGCTTCGCTTCAACACCTTCACCGTTCTCCTCTCTCTCTCTCTCTCTTTTTTTTTTTTTTTTAATATTATCCATTCCTTCACAAGTTCTTTTTTTCTTCTATGGCTTCATTTCCGGCAGGATCCGACTTCTATTCTTGGGCTCGGAATAGCCGTCGTATTCGCCGTGTCCAATGACTCCATCAACCTAAATACATAGTCCAACCCTGCCGGTCCACGTTTCTTCGTGTTTCATCCCTGATGCCGACTTAGGCTATATGGTCAAAGTGAGGCAGCAATATGAATAAGGCAACCGAAAGCCGAACGACACTGACTCGTTGAGTGCTGGAATTAAGGATACAAAACAAGCTTATGGGACCTATGGATCCCCCTTTGACCGCTGCGTTCCACCGTTCTTCACTGCTACTTGCCAGTTTCAAAGTAGAACCTAACCATGACATCGCCAAAACGCAAGATATGCTTTCGAAGGAGAGTTCAAGATCTACCTCCCTTCTTCCGCTTTGACTTTCGAGTCTATCGAGTGGCATGACTCGAAAACGGCTGGCCTGGTTGATCGAGATCAGCCGGATGCCCCGGTGTACCTCGTATCCTACTGTTGATCTTGCTCGAGATATTTTTCTACGGCATTTATCCCTCTTGGCTAGTCAAGTTCTTGACGCTAGAGTTTCATTCACTAATGAAATCCTCGGAGAAGCAGCTTACCTCCCAACAGATCACACCTACTCTAGTTTTATATCCATTCTCGCCAAGGACCACACCGCTTGGAAAGGTCTGCTAGGACCGTCCATGCCTAATGCCCATGGTCCATGGAAACACACAGAAACAATCTACGAAACATCGACGTTTTGCCGAAAAACATTGACGCAGATTTGATACATGGATAGACTCGGAGACTGCATCTCGGACATAGATGGAGGCCGTAAAGGAAACCCACTGGACTGGTGGGCTGACGTAGGACAGTCACTCATTGCGTATGCCATTTGCATTATCCCCAGCCCAATTGCAATATTAAAGGACTGTAATATAATATAATAAGAGTGTCACAAGAAGGAGAAAAAAGAACTTGATCTGCTGGAATAGTTTAAAAATCCAACACCGCTAGAGAAGCCCACATGACAGAAGAAAAACCACTCTCAGGCATACACAATCACACACTTTCAGACATATTGATTAGTAGAAACAAAATAGGAAAAAAAGAAAGGAAACTGATGAAAAAGGAAATCCACAGATCACACAAAAGAAAAGTCATGGCCTATCCGGAAACAGTCACTCCCTCATGTCATCGCCCGCAGGAAAATACATGCAGAGGTCGATGCACGGAGAAAATCCAAAGGGGAGAATAAAAGAAACAAAAAGTAAAAGGGAATAATAAAAGGTCCAGTCAAGAAGGGGAATGAAACTTAAACAGAGGGGGTAAAAAGGGTTAAAAAAAAAAACAATAGGACCAGAAATTCTGCGAGCCTCGGCGATATAGAGAGCGCCAGAGGTCAAAATTTGAGTTGACCTAAAACTCTCACCATACCGTCTTCGATAACTATCAACGGGCTCCGTTTACGAAACACCAGGTCAGTCATTGAACGTTGTTGTTTGTTGTTTGTTGCTTTTTGCTTTTGTGTTGTTCATTTTTTCTTTTCGCACATCCAATTCGAGGCAGCACGAACTCAACCGGAAACTTCCCACAACCCTGGGATCTGCCTCATTCATCGCTGGTTGTGATTCGTACCCTCGTCTGTTCCCCCTCAAGGCATATTATGGATGTAAGGTGGGCAATCGCTCTTCGGCAAATAAGAATTATCGTACAATGGCAGACATGTAACCCATCGGCGCAAAAAAGAAGTAAATTCGAAATAAAAAGTGCGTTTGCGAATGACTGAAACAGGGTATCTTGTTTTTCTTTTCTTTTTCTCGTTTTACCAGGCCCAGACCTTGAGCTATATTGCGGGATATCGTTAGTATGCTGCAATATCAAGCTAAAGACGGTGGTTGTCAACTTACCAGAGAGTCCCAAGATCCAGTACACAAGCTGATTCCGTCGTTGCTGACTCCGAGGCAGCTGACACGGTTCTCGTGTCCGCTGAGGGAGCCAACCTTGTCTCCTCGAAGGACATCCCAGACCTATTAAAGTGATCAGCAGCAGTCCTCAGAATGATTGAAGAGTGGTATAGCTTACCTTGCACTCAAAGTCATCGTATCCTGCAAACAATAATCTTCCAGAAACGGAGAAAGCAACGGATGTAATACCGCACAAAACTTGGTCGCTCTGAAAAAATGACACCATGATTAGTACTCATCGGATAATGTATACGATAAAACCTACCTGGTAGATGTTGAGTTCTCTGTCGGCACGGATATCGAACAGGCGGCAGGAGGTGTCGTCAGAACCGGTTCCGAAGGCATTGCCGTCGGGGAAGAATTGAATGGCGTTGATGTCTGACTCGTGTCCAGCAAAAGTCTGCACGGCCTTTCCGGTACGGATATCCCAAAGCTTAGCAAAGGCATCGCAAGCACCCGAGACGAAGATGTTCTGGTTGGTTGGGTTGATGCTAATCGACATGACGTCTCCCAGATGGTCGGCAAACTCGGTCACCTTCGAACCCGACTCGATATCCCACAGCATGCAAGTCATGTCGCCCGACGAAGTGATAATTCGGCGGTCATTAATGAAGCGGCAGCAAGAGAGGTAACCCGAATGTCCCGAAAGTTCACGCGCGACGCGGGTGGGGCCCTCGCGGGAGGAGAGGTTGTAAATCGAGCAAATGTTATCCAGACCACCACAAGCAACGTAGTTTCCACTGGGGGCGTAGGCGCAAGTCATAACCCATGACGACCTCAATGGGATCGCGTGGACCTTGTTGGTAGTATAAGCATCCCAGATTATGAGCTTGCCGTCTTGCGAGGCGGAGACCAAATGGCGACGGTCGGTCGACCAGTGCATAGCGTAAATCTTGGCCAAATGACCCTTAAGCGTCCGTCGTGGCTTCATTCCAATGCGAGGCAGGGGGTCGGACTGGTTTTGCGCGACTTGACGGACTGTACAGAACAAGTCAGTGTTAACCCGAAACAGAAAACATGGTTGCGGAGGGAGAAAAGCCGCGGAGCGCGAACTCTCCCCAAATGGTGAATAGCATTGTTTCGTCAGTGGGAGGAAATCGTACGGGTTGTGTCTGCCAGCTCATCCTTTCTGCGCTTAATCTTATCCTTAAGACCCTCAGCTTCGCGCCTGGCCGCAGTGATCTTGGCCTGCATCTGCTCGCCGCTCATATCGGCCATCTTTAACGGATAGAACCCCTGGGGAGGATGTCAATTGGGAAACGTGAACGGTCGTAAGGTGGAAAATCGAATTGAGAGCGATGGCGTAATAGTACCCAGGGGGGCAGAGGGCGCGAAAAAACGGAGAGTAGAGGTGGGAGGGGGTGGGAGTTGGTGGTGTTGGAGGTGTAAGGGTGAGAGGTCAGGGAGAAGAGAGAGAAAGAGTGAGAGAGCGAAGAGGGGGCTGAATGGAGGATGGCCTGGGAGTGGAGCGAGTTATGGCGGAAGCGACCGAGCGAAGAAGGTTTCGACCCGGAACAGGATGCTGGAACAAGCGTTGAACGAGCAGGGAAAAAGGTGAGGGGGATGGATGAAGGCGAGGCGATGACGGATGATGGATAAAGAAGGACAAAGAGAAGGAGGGAGAAAGAAGAAAGATGGCAATTCGAGAAGATCGATCCAACGGCTCAGCAGGAAGAAGGGGAGCAAAAGTGAGGATCAGAAGCTACGGTACGGTACGGGTACGTATGGATACGGATGGATACCTCCAGGTAAGTTTAAGGGGAGTAATTTAAAAAATAAAAAGCCGGTGGAGTCGTTGGAGAGCCGCTAAGACAAGGGGAAAGGAGGAATAGGGAGGAAGGCTGGAATAGAATTCCATCAGGGGTGTGGCACAGGAAGAATTCAATTAGAAATTAAGAACATTCTTAAAGCCTTAAACAGAATATCTACTCTGGGTGAATCATGAGCTGCATTATTCAGACTAACTGTTCTGATGGTTGCACAATGGATGATTGATGCCGAGTCAGAACCCGGTGGGCAAGTCATGGAAAACACTAAGACACTCAGAAGACAGGAGAAGAAGATGAAGAGTAAGACAGTAGACACGGCTATGGGATTATCATACTGATCAGGATTACTATTGCTAAATATTGGTGTTTATAATCATCAAAGTTGATCATAGAAGTATGATTTTCCAGGTCTACCAAGTGGCATGGGTAGGTAACATCCATGGAGTTCGGTAATATTTCCGGTAATTACGGTAATATACCGGAAATAGGAGAACCTGTATCTGTACATCTAGCTATCGTCAACTCTTAGGTATGTATCACAATGGCTCTCGTCAATACGCATTTTTCTATCTTTCCCACATGCATATTGATTAGAACGAGGATCATATGATATCAAAACATTCGAGCCACCCAAAAATAAGAGAAGAAGGCATCGTCATCCCTCGGGAAAGCAGTGGTCCTAGTTCCTGGGAGCTCCGATGATCAAGCGGAGATTTGGACCATCTGCAAGTAAAAATTTCCCTCTGTTATGACGATGGCTGCTTTGCATTGATTGATACTGCTGGGTATTGTTGTTTTCATTTCAAAAGAATATTCTCCTACCACCATTCATATGGCAGAAGTCCATCCATTATTCTGGTCTTTTGTGCAGTCAAATCTTCAATATCTTGGCTGCTTCTTTCCTCTTTCAGCCAAGCGCCGCGTTCTTGATTTTGCATCTCCCACTTTCAACCCACAATCATTCCTATCAAATGACGTCCATCTGCACAACATCCTTCAAGTACTATGTACACCATACAGTCATTATTAATTCAGTTTACACTTTACAGCAAGATGACTAATCCAGAACCGCGGAGGCTTTAATATTACCGCTCAGGAGTCTATTTATGATTGCGATTCGCAGACGGTGCGGTACTTGTCGTGGTCAACGCTGCAGCGGGTCTCTTGTCAGCCAATTTCTCCATCCGCAGGGAAATTGGCCATCTTGTGTCGATTCCGTCTGGAGGATTTGGCCTTTTGGACTCCACCGGCAAAGATGATCGTTTGAGACCATGCCTGACTAGTTCCGTCGGGGCGCCCCCCTCATGGGGGAAGGTCTTCACTCTTCAGTACACACACAACCTTTGCTATGATGGTATTTGGAACGCTAATTATCCCAACAGACTAACCAGTTAATAGTCGTTGAAATCTCTTCTCTCGCATCCGTCTTGGGCTTTTCTCCGCCCTGGGCTCTTTGAAACTGCCTCTTGGTTCTTGACTCCCTGCAGTGCGGGCGGACGGAGCACGGCCACGGAGAACACGGAGTATGCCCGCGTACGGAGTATGTAGACTAGGTACGGAGTATTATATGAACATCCCCTTATCCCTTTGGGATTGGATTCAACTGCATGTCTTAAAGGAGTTCTGAATACTGCATCTGCATTAGTTGCCTGCTTACTTGAGGAGGCAGCGACCGATGGCCATCAGGACTGTATTCCACAGCGACAGTCTTCAAGTTCAGATAAATTGCTTACGCGAGTCAGAGTCATACGATGGAAAGTTAATCTAGTCACGTCTTATCAACTGCGTCAATTTGCATGGATGATGGAAGTATCCCCGCTGCGTCATAGAACAAGCTAGAATACTGTCAACGGGATAGATAATCAGATTGCATATTCATCACCCAAGAAGATTCTATCCGGCTTCGACGGAGATGCATGCATGCATGCATGCAGGAGAAGGCGTTGATCTCTTCTGGATGAACTGCAAGCATAAAGGGGCTGGAAGATAAGCATCCATACTATCGACTCGGGCGTCGTTGATTATGGGGCTACTGGATATAATTGCCGTTATCCAGTCATTAGTTCAGAATTAGTCTTGAATGCCTATTCAGTCACTGAGACTAGCAAGGTAAGACTACATGGTACATACGTAGTGCATATGTATATGGGCAATGGGACACGTTCGCTTAAATCTAGATTGGATATGAGATATGCAGGGTTGCCGTCCGTACCCACTTTACACTCAACCATCGTAAACAACTACATATCACCAGTCTCAAATTAAACCGATCAAAAAATATCCTCAACTTCTCTCCATATGCATCACACTTCACCGAATTAAACCAGACATGGCCCAACGCAGCACGAACAATATACGCACAGCTCGGGGGCAGCGTATCAACCACATGCAAAGCAGTACAATTAGACTCGGCAATATCAACCACCATTTTCGTAACTGTGTCTGGCGTAGCATATGAAATTTCCTTTAATAGCAGTATCAATCGAAGCACAAAATACCCCCCACAACCCTTTACATTGGTCCATGACCACGCTAAAAAACGATTGAATGGTACCATCCAGCCCATCGAGCTGGACTAATCTCAAGTCGAGACCGGGGATTTTTAGACCCTGGAGAAATTGACCGAGTAGCCAGGCAGATTGAGCTGTGCGACTAAACCCACTATTTCTGGTGCGAGGAGAGATGAGTCTAAGTGTGTTGGTGGTGCTGTAGGGTTGTCTTGTTTGCCCTTGTTCATGGTGTCTGGCTCTGTTGGTGGGTTTCGCCTTGGATGGTGGTGAGGAGTGGTTGGCCTGGATTGCTGAGTTCGCAGAAGAAGGTACGATTAGGTAGGCGATGTATATCAGTTATCAGTTACTCTGATTGACATGTCTGTTCTTGGGTGATAGGTGATGGACGGATGGTGAGGAGAACGGAAAAGTCGGCTGATATTTAATTGGCATTCATAGGTTGATTTTGGAAGTATCTACGTGAGAGCATGGGATCTAAAGACGGATGCTATGGAAATACCGAGTGATGCTATTGTCCATGAATTGGCCTGTTGACTGGATGATCTGGAGGGCTTGATGGTATAGATTGGGCTGATCTATTTCTGGCAGAGCAGGGGGGATGTCTAAAGGATGGACGATAGGACTGTTTTCAGTAGCAAGTGATATACAGAGAATCTATTAGGCCACTTAGAATTGCATAGAAAGTAATAGCGACTATCTAATCCTCTCCCATGACACAGTTAGATTCACAGCATCAGTCAACATATCTAGTTACATATTACAATACCCAACAAGGCAGGGCTTTATCGCACTTCTTCCTACGCACCTCGCAAGTAGCACACACCTGGGCAGTAAGCAGCTTACTTGTCATCTTTGTCTATCTACAAATGTACATTTACAATGTTTTATCTCTTCCGCTCAAGCGGATTATAAATCCACTGTTTTGAATCGAAAAAGGTTTAGTGGCGGCCACCAGAAGCACGCCATGTGGGGCGATGATGTCGATCTGCATTAGCGTCTGCGAATAGAGCCAATCATCTTTTTGTTATTATCCTGATACTGTCGGGTAGCAGTGTACCTAGATAGGTACAAGCATGCTAATGCTATGGTGTTCTACTTGCACTGGCCGACAGTGTCAGTTTGATTGTGTTGCTAAGCTCATAGATATAAAGGCCACGTTGGCAAGGAAAACTGGTAAATCTACAATCTACAATCTCTGATTTCTTTATTGACATACCAATGAGTGAGGAGTCGGCGACAAACCAAGGGACAGTTGCAAATGCATCGCATCTCCCAACAGAAGAAGGCACGCGGGGCTGGCTGTGTGTCTTGGGCTCCTTCATTACACTGTTTTGTACTTTTGGATTCCTGAATGCGTATGTCTTGTGCTATTGAGAGGACAACTACTAACATGATTATAGGGTAGAAGTTTTTCACTCTTATGTAGGTCACATGCTTTTATCTATTTTATAAAAAAAAGGAAAATAAAAGGTCCGCATAATAAGTCCTACAAGCAGATATTACCAGATATCTCTAGCCCAAAGCCTGGGTTTGGAATCGGAGCTGGCGGGGTCTTCACGGCTGCCATGGTCTGTGTAGGGCAGTGGTTTGTCTGACAGCGAGGTCTGGCGACCGGCGTTGCAAGCGGTAGTAGCAGATTGAGCGGGGTCGTTTCCCCATCTTTCTAAACAGGGTGGTTGAGGATGTTAGGTTCCATGGTGCTGTGCGCTAGGTATACGGCTGTGTGTCGGTGTTCTTCTGGCGATATTGTGTTGTCTGATTCGAGCACGTTTTTCGCGTAAGCCGTGGAATCGAGATGTAAAGTGGTATGATGTGACCCTGTTTAAACAAAAGCAGTTTTACAGTTTTGGTTTTATGCGGTGGGATCGTATTCGGTCATGTATGTAAGATCTCTGGTCACTATGGTCTGCTTGCCGATGTTGATCAAACAGGTAGGGGTTATGGGCGCCGATTGACTATCTCTCGAATGGCAGTGGATGCGGGATTTTCGTCCACGCTTGCTTTGTATTTGACTTTCATCATCAAGTATGTCGTCAGTTATGTTCAACAGAAGAGATAACTACTGACAGCATCAGTTCAACTTCAGTCCCTGGTCGAATAGTCCCCCCTTACCTAGGGCTTTCAACGTGCTTACTATCTGTGCGCTGCTAAAAGGGGGCTCAATGCTCTGTCTGTGGCTACCATTCAGCTACCATCCCTCTCATGCGGGACTTTGCGCTGGCATACGGATTCGTCAGCGGTGCATTCGTCACGCTGCTCATGTCCTGTGTAGCCAAACCAGGCAGCCTGGAGACATCAGGACAGCGATTCGGCACATTTAAAATAGTTATCGCAGTTAGATCTGTTTCAGCTTTCAATCTATGCACATGCATATAACTAATTGATCGATCTAGTTGCCTGGCAGGTCTGCCAAGTATGGGTGCGATTTTAGATCGACAAGACGATATGAACTACTCTGGACTGTAAATCTTCGCCTCCGTCTCGGCTCTACTGGGTGCTTGTCTTCTTTCTTCTGTTGGATCGACGTATTGCATGGCCCAGATTCGAAAGACGTAGAGGGTGTGATGTGATCAGCTCAGATGTAGATTGTCTACCATTTACCCCTAATAATCACAGTGGAGAGTCGAATAAGCCATATGGGGTAATATGTGGATAACGCATGCTAGTGTCAAATAACAATCCCAACGGCCCGTCTTGATGATGATGCCAATCTCCGGGGGAGGAGATTAAGGGAAGACTGAAATTCCAGTAATCAGCTGAATTGGCGAGGAAGAAGGATTTCTGACATGACTGTATTACCATCGTCATCATCAATAATAAGCTTGATTTCTTTCCAAGGTAATAAAAGAATAAGAATAGGGTGGTTACATTAGTTACCGCCCATGTGGTGATGTTTCTAATGATAGCAACAAATGCATCCCTCCTGTCTGTGCGGCCGACTAACAAGGTCACTCCTCACTAGGGATGGGGTTATTATCATTTATTGGCATATTGCGATCGTGTCATACAGGAAATGACGATGGCTCCGGTGGACCAAGCCAATAATTCCTTTGAATATTGGGAGATCATGAGATAATCGCTTTGTTGGTCTATCAATTATCAACACATCCGATGGCGAACTGATGTATCCGATGTCGTTCCGATCAGTTATTCTGTAATTTACAGCTAGATAATTGAGATAATTAATGATAATAACCCTAGTTATAAGAGGAAGAATACCGAAATTAAGATCAGTCTGATTTATATGATTTGTACTGCCAGTCTATCACTGCATCTCCCCCCTTTGTCAAATTGGCGGATTATCATCATCACCACCATCGCTTGACTGTTTCATCTTCGGGCAAAGCGACCGAGACTATTTAAATTCTTTCATGCCGTAGGAGCCACGGTGGGCGCTGTTGCTGGCCACTGCTCTCTGGATCTACAGAGGACAGACTCCGCTTGTTCATCATGCGCGCCAACCTTGGTGGTTCCCTCATCTTGCGTTCCTTCGTCGACTCCTGGTTCTGTTGGAGCAGAGAAACAGTTGGACTCCGTCGAAAGGGATCTACCCTGGGGGCGTCTTGTAGTCTTTGTAGCAGCAGAAAGTAGACGTATTTAATAGCTGGAAGGAGTCTGACGATGGACGGACATCTCCATGGTGGCAAACCGTCAGATCTTGAAACCAGATCTCAGCCTCACCGAATCATTCCTAATTTTCCCATAAGCCCAGCTCAGTTGTATTTTGCGGTAATTTCTTTTTCAGCTGTTATATCTTGCGTTCAATATCCATTATTTTTCTCCCTTTTATTATTTATTTATTCATTTTTTTTTTTTTTTTTCCCAGAAGAAACCAACATTTCGGTGGTGGCTCGGACTGAGGCAAAAGTGGCGGGCGTTAATTGCTATTTATCAGGAGTTTTTCCCCAGCAGAAAAAAAAGGGAGGCGCCTGACAAAGACAACTCCGCTTTGGCCCAAAGAGACGCTGTCTGATATTCCATCACACTCGCCATCATAAAGAGAAAACGAAAAGGACCTGAAAGACGAAAAAGAGATAATCAAAAAAAGGAGAGTCGTTCGTCTCAAATACACTCGACCCCCGTCTTCTGCCCTCTTCGGTTGTGTTCGCTCAGTGAATCATCGTGGGCTACCACTCAGGCTCTGACGGTTCCCGGTCTTGGCTCCAGCAAACCAAACCTCCCTTTCACATCGCCTCAGCGCCTGTTCTTCTTCTTCATCCTCCTCTCCATCACCTCGCCTGCATTCTTTCGTTCGCATCTCATCTCATTTTTTTTACTTCATGCCTTGGAAATAGACGACACGGCCTTCTTGATACCCTTTTTCCCCTTTCCCTTTTCTCCCTCTTGGGTCACGTTTGCCCCCCTCCCGAACTGGCAATCTGGTTAGGGGTTGGAAAAGAAACCGCTGCGACCCCCTCCCATACTCTCCTCCATCTGGGATCCCATCTCCCTGATTCTCATCTAACGGTCATTTTATTTTACGAAACGCATTGATTTTTTAATCTCGCCCATCATGAGAGAGGTCAACTTTAGCATCCCCAATGTGAACAAGGCCTCTGTCAACATCACTACGACGCTCTATGATCGCCGTGCCCTCGACTGCACATCGACCTTGCCCCTCATAAACTCCCTCAACCATCTCGCATATCTCACCACATCCTCTGCTCGGATCCGGGATATCCTGACCGTCGATGGCGGCATCGAGAGACTGGTATGCATCCTCAAGGAGGGCCGGAGTAGGGACTTGATGGAGATGTGGAAATGGAGCCTCGCCTTTCAGTGTGTCGTCAACATTGGTGTGCGGGGCTCAGAGGGCGTAAGGACAAGAGTCGTGGAAGCCGATATGGTGCCTGTCATTGCGACCATTCTCGACAACTACATCAAGGTCGTGGACAAGGCGCGGGCCCGGGCCGATTCAGAAACTCAACGGCACTCGTCCAGGCACTCCAAGCCTGTTCCCACCACCGATGCCTCAGGGCGTCCATCTTTCCTTGAACAGTCCTCCAACATTGAACAACGCACCTCTCGCCGCCAGGCTCCTCCTCCCAGCATCGAAATCCCCCAACCCTTTTTCCAGGAAAACCATCTCGCCGATACCAACGTTGTGGATGTCACATCTTCCCCTCGCATGCCCGTGACATCGCCTCCCGAACGAAGCACATTTAACCAGGATATTCACAATCATCGATCTAATGATGTCAGATATCAGGCCGCAGGCCACCGTCACAGAGCGATGCAGCCCCTCGCCACAGGCGTGCCATCGATGGACACCGCTGATGGGTTTGGTCTGCGACCTGTGCGTGACACTGAGCGCCTCCCCAGCATGCTTCCTGGTTTGCAGACAGGATTTACATCTCAACCCGATTCACCTACTACTCCCAGCGGCCCTGTGCAACCACGGAGCACCGCACATGCCGCTGTGGCCAGACAACGTCCTGCACTTCTTCAACAGCAATCCGCCTCGGGTGAATCAGATGACGGAAATGGAGAAGGCTCTTCTACGATGGGTGATGAGAACAACTCTGGGGAGACAGCCGACCCTATTGTTGGACTTCCCAACCGGATGGAGATTGACGATGATGGTGATCGCCAGGCAATGTTGGATGACGTTTCCAATACCCATGGCCTGACGGTCTCGGATCCGTCTGACGGGCAGGACCCAGAGACGTTCAACATCACGCACCGCTCCACCGTGGACGGAAGCATGATCAACAATGACACTACACAGACCAACGGTGGATTGGGCCTGTCACCTACGCAGGCTGCCAACAACGCCAACTCCCCTACTCTTGTTCCCAGCCCCTACGCTCTCTACTTCCGCGACCGATCTGCAACGCCCGCTCAAGGTGTCTTGATGGCGATGCCCCGTGATGAAGATGTCCTGATGTCCCTCCAGCTATTGGCTTACGTCTCCAAATACTGCAACCTCCGCTCTTACTTCCAAAACTCACACCTCGTCCCTAAGCTCAAGATTGACCGTGAACTTCACATGCTGGATGAAAACGCCAGCTCGCCAATTGAGCCCCCCGAGGAGGAAGACGAGTACCTACTGCCTGACGACGTGAACATCTTCCCACTGGTTGAGAAGTTCACTGTTCGACACCACTCCAAGGACATGCAGTACTGGGCGTGTGTCGTGATGAGGAATCTTTGCCGTAAGGACGAATCGCGAGGGGGCATTCGCCAGTGCGCATACTACAAGTGCGGCAAGTGGGAAGAGTTCCAGCGACAGTTTGCCAAATGCCGTCGTTGCCGCCGCACCAAGTACTGCAGCAAAGATTGCCAAAAGGCTGCGTGGGTTTATCACCGTCACTGGTGCCACACCACACCATGATATGAACGGACAGGATTTTTTAATATTCATAATGCATATTGGATTGCATAGCGTCATATCTGCCACATGTTTGCAGTCGCTTTTTCTTTATTCCCTTTTTATTTTCAAGGTTTCACATCTACCCGTGCATGGCATTTCAGAACCTGGCGGCGTTTCTATTCAATCCAAAGATACCTTTTGTATGTTGTCTATTTATCTGCAGACTTTTGTTTTTTGTTCCATTACGCTGGGCATAAAGCCCGTATGTTTACCACTAGCGGTCATGAATATACTACACTTTTCTTTGGATCTCATGTCTTTGCGTCTGTTGCGCTCCAGCTACATTTCTTAATCTGACGAGTTTCCTTCCAACATCTCATCTGTGTCCTTACTGTCTACCGATCTTCATTCCTTGGCCTAACTTGTCCGTTTGGTTTCCAATGATTGTATTTCCATCGGCATGTATCTGTTTTCAATGCATCAGGCTGAATAGGCCTTGTGTTCTTAAGCATAGGTATTGTAGAAATCAACTTGATACACTGCCTGATCTACCTATGTTACATTCAAGATGCCATACCCTTGTGACTCGCCAAGATGACCTACAAAAGTGACATCATACAGTCTGCAAGCACAGACAATCTAAGATCTTCTTCAATCCCTTTGGACAGAGAACCGGTTACAGGGCCGGTCAAAGTTGAGCTCTCTCATGCGGGGAGATCACAGAAACCCTCCCTGCATTCGTGCATGCGGGGTTGTGCGCGGGGTTTATCACCTACCTTTCTTATATGGTAGACTGAATTATAAACAGCCTTCGACTATTCGCCTTTTAACTCTATGTAAAAGAAAACACAGCCCGTGTTGTATCTCGTATCTTCTAGGCAAGACTTGTACGAAATAGTAAGGGAAATAGGTAACCATAAGGCCCGGGACGAGCCACGCGATAACGCCCGCCCCCGTCAAAAGACATCTATGTACGAGTCCTACTCAGCGCACGCAGATCTCAAACTCAAACCCCGAAGAAAACCACGCATACGCATGACCACATCGTAATAGCCGATCTGTGCTCAGATGGATGTAAGCAATGCAGATCGGATGTGAGTGGTTGGTTAGTGCTTACTACACTTACTACACACCCCCAAGGGTAAGAGAGGTTGGGGCTGGGCGGGTAGATGGGTTTTTAGGGTTTGAGTTACATATCCGAGCGTGGAATTCTCGCTTATATATTGGATGAATATTATGGGTGTTAAGCATGTGAGAGAGATTCATCATTTTAATCAGGAGGGTTGGGTTGGGTTATGTCAGTTCAGGGCGTGGGGTTACGGCTTACGATGGCAGGTCGATAAGGTTTTATAAAGTAGATAAAGTACTCCATAGTTTATAACTATATACTAGTTTAACAAGATATGGCAGTAAAATAACTACGACTCATCAAAACCCATACGTCGCAGACAACCTCGACATCAAATGCTCATGAGCCGTCAGAGGTCTCTTTCCAGGCGCCAGATAACCCGCACCACCCCCAAACCCGACCTTGACGTCCTCGCCCTTTCTCTGCTCACGGTAAGCAGCGACGACCTTGCTAGGGACAGGCACCAGCTCGGTCTTATCCAGCGGGTGACAGAAGTACGCAATGCTGTACCGGTCCTGGGGGTTCGGGCTGCGCTGCTCGGAGAGCGGGAAGACGACTCTGTGCACGGTTGAGCGGAGGAGCCCGTCGGTCCAGTAGCTGAGTAGATCGCCGATGTTGACGAGGATGGGCGGGAAGGGGAAGGCGCTGTTGTCGTCTTCGTTTTGGGTGTTGGCTGGTTGGACGGGGACGGGGGCCCAGGTTTCTTCTGGGGTTAGGATCTCGAGGCCTGGTTGTCCTGGGCGCTGGAAGAGGAGGGTGACGCTGCCGTAGTCGGAGTGGGCGCCGGCGCGGACATCCTTGTCGTGTTTGTAGGATGATGTGGCTGGGGAGAAGATGGAGGGATAGTAGAGGTAGCGGAGGATGGAGCCTGAGTCGCCTTTCTGGGGGTCGTGGCGGGATGTGAAGAAGTCGTGGTCGATCTGTGGGTGTTAGTATGCATCAATGTAGATTTTAGGATGGATCACTGCTTACCTCAAGGCCAAGGGCTAGGAGGTTCAAGATTCTATCGCAGGTCTTGATGCAAAGAGAGGAAAAGTCTTTGATCTCGGACTCGTGGGGAGCCAACGAGGGAGGGAGAGGTTGTTGGGCTTTGCCATCTTTGAACTCGCCAAAGTTCATGGCTCTGGCTGTGAATGAGTGAGTGAATTCATGCTTCTGATGGGATAGACTCACTCTTTAAAGTCGCCGGTCTGTAGACATCATTAGCCAGTGTTCATCCAAATTGGGATATTCAACATACCCGCTGATTCTCCGGATCGAGTGTTTCCACATGCATTCCTGACCATCCACGGTTCTAATTTATCAGCCTGTATCATTGAGACGAGGTAGATGATGGTGAGACAAACATTCGGCTCGATAGTACATGTCGCCTTTTCCTCTGTAGGCGAGGCAAAAAACTTCCTCGACTATGAAGAGTTAGAACAGCTTCAAGTCTTAGATTCTTATATTATAACGAGAGCATACCAGACCAAACGCCTTTTCGATATCCCCCACGGTAAAGTCGGTTCCTTTGCTGTTCACATACAAAAAGCCGTATTTGGCGGCCGCATCGAGCATCGCCTTCCCCACGGCGGGGTCATTGGGATTGGAGATGTCAATGACGGGGAGTTGGATGGGAGCAGCTGATTCTGACATTTTGAACTGAACTAATTGCCGAGGTGCTGGTATAGCTATTAAGGTGAGGGAGCGAAGATTAAAAGGGAAAACGTTGTTGGGGAGAGGTTGTAGATAGATATATCAGGGTCACGAGAGCTAAGGATCGGAACGACGCGACAGATGGAGTCGTGCAATGATGCTAAGATGAATGCAACAAATCGACTGGATCGCCGTCTGTCTCGATACGACGATATCTGATGCTAGACATCCCCAGCGACCCGTTAGATTTCATGGATTGAAAAGCGGGTCATCGCGTATCTGCGATGAGAAGAATTGGCGAAATAGACGATCTGGACGCTACCTACTTAGTATATGACATTCATTCTGATCTATTCTGGTACTGCCTATCAGTTGCTCTTCTGAATAGACTATTCTATTTTATTTCCAGCTTGAAAGTATGATTCTCTATTTATGCCATCCCTAACTTGTCATCAGTGGCATGTTGCACTCGGCTATGGTGGGGTTTGATGTGCCCCTCTATCAACAAAACTGATGCCTTTAACTAAGAAGACAATTGAAGCTATAATCATCAAGATGGTCTAGATAAACTGTTATATAATTAGATATACATAAGTATCCAGTGTGTGATCTATCGAAAAAGTGATGGTGACGTGCTGTTTATATCCTCGATGTTTATGAATATTTATATTGGAGCTCCCTCGTTCTACCTCCAACTCAAAGTTGAGACAAAACTAAATAGTAATAAACATATATCTCCAGTAAATAATTAACATATAATATAAAAATCAGAATGACCAGTATAATGATATATTCATCGTCATTGATGTACAACAAAGCAACAAACAACACCGCCATCCATCGGAGCCACTGATCTCCGCTCCCCGGGAGTTGCAAGATTGCCCAACTCGTGCTTCAGCAACGCGACGTCGACTCTGTGATTTTCACGAGGGTTCCAAGGAACTTCATCTTCTTCCCTCCTCCTGTCTATTTCTCTACTCCTTTTTCTTTCTTCCTCTCCCCCCTCTCTCTCCCGGGCTCTCCATGCCCAGCTGGCTCCGCTGCCCGCGCCTTTAGCCTCCGTGACACAGCTCCAGCTCTCAACCATGCCGAGTAAGATAACTAGCTGCTGTTCCTGCATTTTGAATTCAACACTAACCTTGAGATTTATCATGAATAGTCCGTCCATTGGATGAATGGGCCGCTGCCCGTACTCAGTCCCTCCCCCTCTCCGCCCTCAAAGGGGCTGTCGTCGGTATCGATGCGTCGCACTACATCTCCCAACACCTCCTCCACCATTCAACCCGGGAGCCTCTCCTGGTCGCATTGGGCGGTTTCCCATTCGCACTGAAGAGCAACATTGAGAAAGAACTGCAGGCTTTCAAGAACTTGGGCGTGGCTTGTGTTTTCGTCTTCAATGGCCTCGACTTTGGCAAAAAGAACCAACGACCCCACCTGCAGCAGCCCGAATCAGTACGGGCCTTTGAGCAAGCTTGGGACCTCTACGATCAACAACAGGCAGACCGGGTGGTGGATGCATTCAGCGGCGCTGGTATGGTTTCTGTGATCCTCTGTTCTCCCCTTCTTGGAGAACCCCGCTCCGCATGCGCTGACCATAGGTCTACCCAGGCACTCCGCGGCCAGAGTCTCTCTACCGGTTCTTGCAGCGTATCCTTCACCAGAATGGCGTCGATTCTATTGTGGCTCCCTATAGCGCCGCAGCCCAGGTGAGAGATCCCTTGATTGGTTTCTGTTGTACCCAATGGCTGATCGTATAACTTTGATAGCTGTCCTACCTCACCAAAGGCCCGAACCCTCTGATCGATGCTGTCTTCGGACCGTCTGAAGCTCTGTTGTTTGACATTGATAAGTTGATCACTCGCATTGACATCGAACCCGCGCAGTTCTTCTGGATTACAAAACAGACCTGTCTGGAGGAGTTGGGTAGACTATCGAATGAGCAATTCGTGGAATTCGGCTTGCTTCTCGGCTCCTCGTTCTTGAGCTCTTTCCCACCTTTCGACAACCCAGCTTTCCCTGGAAAGGGACCGAACATTCGCGATGCCTTGCCAATGTTCAACGCCGCTGGAAGAAACGCTCTGGCCCTGTGCGCTCAGTTTGAAGAGGACCGTCGCATGCAGGACCTCCAATACTCGGATCGTTACAAGCGGGCGTTTATGACTGTGATGCACCATGTTTTCATTGATGTGGACGGAAAAGTTGGTCCCATGGATGCAGAACACACCTCTTCTGACATGCATGAACTTATCGGCCAACGACTCCCGGAAGAGCTCTACTTCTATCTGTCCAAGGGAGTTCTGGGATCGGACGTTCCTAACTATCTCACATCTGGTGAAGTCCTGATTTCCTTGCCTCTGGGTTCGGAAGACACGGAGATCTATCGTCAAATCGCAGGCGACTCTCTCACACCCATTCGGACCCAGTCTATCTGTCTGCTTTCGAACTCCCTCCACAGGTTCTACCAGACCAAGGTGATCAACGTGCGCACTTGGTTTGATGAAAAGTCAGACAAATCAATCAACCTCAAAACCCTCCCTTCCGTAAAAGAAACCATCCAATCTTGGAAGATCAACTCTGGGGCTCTTCCAGAGGGAATCAAGAAGCTGCAGGTTTGTTCAAGCCATGTTCTACCCAAAAAGTAACAACCTGACCTGACCGCTGGATAGGAATCCTGTGGACCATTTAAGTTTGCCGTCCAGAGTTTGAAGGATACGGACTTTGTATCCAAATCTTTTGCTGGAAAAGACTCTCCCGTATGTACCAGTTATGACAACACGATAGGCTCTTGCTGACCATTTCAAGATATTATCTTCACAGGATGAAATCTTGTCCAACGTTTTCTGGCGATTCCTACAACTTCGGGGTTACATTAACGAGAAGCATCAGCTTACCCAGTGGGGTGTATGCCTCGAGCAAGCACTCTCTGTCTTAGACCCGGCCGATGGACTCGAAGAAGCTACTTTCCTCGCCATTGAGATGCTCCGCTTCGGACTTCTCAATTCCAAGCAGTGGTTCTCTCACGTCTCGGGGGGTCCGATGAGAGGATCTGGTATGATCCCGCTCCTTATTGTGTGCTGAAACGTAAAGCTGACATCTATATTAGATGAGGATAAGAGCTTCAACATGCTGGTCTCACGCGTCGCCTGTATTGGCAAGTTACAACACAAGAGCATCGGATACTCCGGTCCCCTCAGCAGACAGCTGCTCTGCTACCGTTCTTTGATATCTGAAGTCCGCTCTACACTACGAAACCTGATCGAAGTGGTCCTGGCTGGACTTCTCCTCAGTGGTGAAGTAGAGAGAGACCGAAAGGACTGGAGCGAGTTGAGTGCTAAGTAAGTACGCCGAGTCTAAGCGAAGTAAGCATTTCTAACATCATTTCTAGACTTCCGTTTATCGACGACCATGACTGCGGTCTGGGAATTGCCGTGCGCACATATCTCGATGACCTGCCTCTCCAGGCTAACCCAACCTCGCCAGAGGCGCGAGCAGAGGTGAAGACCAAGGGCAAGGATTGGTTCCAACACAGCGATAGCTTTACTGGCAACCTCGACATGGCATTCAAGCTTTGGGATGCGGTGAGTTCTTCCAGACGACCTTCACGATACATATACTGATGCTTATTCCGTCTCAGGTCTACAAGGGAACGCAGAATGCTGGAAAAGAGGTCAAGGATATTAAAATGTGGGACACCACTAACAGCTGGTTGACTGAGAGACGGTAGTGGCAGTGACGACAAGCTCAATCTACGAAAGATCGCCGTGTCAGCGGTGGTGAAGCACAAGTCCACCTGGCCGTTCGGCAACTTTTACATGAACCTGTATCAGTAGGAATGACAAGGGGACCGATGAGATACCTTCTAGCCATCCTTGGTTTTTAATATCGTAAATGTCGATGGTTGGTGTAGCAATTCCGTCTAGAATATAGATACCAAGTGTCCTCTTCGGACCCGCTGATAAATCCGCCTTAATCGCCGACGATCACCGGAGCTCTTGTGGCGGCTCTTGCACCGTCAACATCCAACCTCCCCAACCGAATCACAGGGCTAATTCATCCTTTCTCCTGTTGGTCCTGAATCTAAAATCCATCAATTCAGATTCAATCTTCCTCTCCCTATTGGCGACACCACGATATCCACAAAAAACATGGCTCGTTTGAGCTTCCTGCTCGTGAGCTGCCTCACGCTGCTGGTCGGCATCGCCAGCGCCGGCTCAGCCGTGATCGATCTGATCCCCAAGAACTTCGACAACGTCGTCCTCAAGTCCGGCAAGCCCGCTCTTGTGGAATTCTTCGCCCCCTGGTGCGGCCACTGCAAGAACCTTGCACCCGTGTACGATGAGCTCGCGCAGGTCTTCGCCTACGCCGAGGACAAGGTGACTGTCGGCAAGGTCGATGCGGACGCCAACCGTGACCTGGGCAAGCGATTCGGTATCCAGGGATTCCCTACTTTGAAGTGGTTTGATGGCAAGAGTGACAAGCCTGAGGAGTACAAGGGTGGTCGCGACCTGGAGTCTTTGGCTGCGTTCATCACTGAGAAGACTGGCATCAAGCCCCGTGGTCCTAAGAAGGAACCTAGCAAGGTTGAGATGTTGACCGACTCTTCTTTCAAGTCTACTATTGGTGGTGAGAAGGATGTTTTGGTTGCTTTCACTGCGCCTTGGTGTGGACGTAAGTTTCCTTACTGTTTATCCTGGGAACTTTAGTTGCTAATTACTTTGAAAATAGATTGCAAGACCCTCGCCCCTGTCTGGGAGACCCTTGCCAACGACTTCGTCCTCGAACCTAACGTCGTCATCGCCAAGGTCGATGCTGAAGCCGAGAACGCCAAAGCCACCGCTAGAGAGCAAGGTGTCACCGGCTACCCCACAATCAAGTTCTTCCCCAAGGGCTCCAAGGAAGCCGAGCCCTACCAGGGTGCTCGTTCGGAGCAGGCTCTTGTCGATTTCGTCAACAGCAAGGCCGGCACCCACCGCACCGTCGGCGGTGGTCTGGATGGCAAGGCTGGTACCATCCCCAGCCTTGACGCTCTGGTCACCAAGTATCTCTCGTCTGGCAGCTTCAAGGAGCTCGCTGGTGAGGCCAAGAAGGCTGTCAAGGGTGTCCAGGACAAGTACGCTGAGTACTACGTCAAGGTTGCTGACAAGCTCAGCCAGAACGAGGGCTATGCCACCAAGGAGTTTGCTCGTCTCCGTAAGATCTTGAGCAAGGGTGGCTCGGCTCCGGAGAAGATCGATGACATTGTGTCCCGCAGCAACATCCTCCGCCAGTTCGGTGGAGACAAGGAAGCTGACAAGGGCAAGGACGAGTTGTAGATTATAAGTACAAAAACAGTTGGTTAGAAGGGGATAAGTTATGTTTATGTGAAAAGATAACAAGGACTTTATGTCCAAACTGAATGATTTCGGACATTTGATTAGGTCCACCCGTTGTATGAATATCAGAAAACAACGAATACAATATGAAGAGATTGCCAATGGATACAACTGCTCATTCGTATATAATGCGATCAATCCTCCTATATTTACTTCTCCGCAGGGTATCTCAAAGCATGTCTAGGAGACTGGACAACACGGCAAACCAACTGGAAAGTGGTATGCCAGAAAAAAAACTTCCAGCCTATGCAAACGCTTATTATAATCAAACCAATAACTCCGCAAACCCAAGAATGCTCGATATGGACAATGATTCTCGCACGACGACGGGATGGGGATATCACTTTGTCGGGCTCGCTGCTGTCGTGTCGCCCGCAACTGTCAAGGAAGCTTCCAGCTCATCAAGCCGTCTTGCCATGTCGTCCACTATGTAAAGAAGAAGAAAATTAGTATGCGACACCCAAAGGAACCCGATTTGGGCACAAACATTTCCCAAACATCTCTCTTGACACATTATCGAACTTGTGCTGTAGTTGATCTAGGAGATCGTCGACCGCTGCTGTAAGCTCTCCCTGCGCATCTGTGTTCTGTAGGTATTCTTGTTAGATTGGTCCCTGTATTCGTCTTTTTGGAGTGGAGTGCGGAGTGCCACGCACCTGCTGCGACTGGAGAGAATCACCCGGAGGGGTACTCTTGGAAAGCGGAGATCCGTTATTGTCTGACATTATGGCGTTGAAATGTAGGTTGTATATAAACCAGTCGAGACAGTTCTCCAGCAGCAAACAAATTGAACAAGTCAATTATGATGTCGACCATGCAGTCAGTTCCTCGTGTTTGTATACGGGGAAACGGCGTACATAAACGAGATAAGAACACCGAGGATCAACTGTAATCCCGGATCACCGACATCCGCTAGCCATATCAGGGTTAGTCCCGCCTTATCGTGTGCGCTAACCGGGACCGGACTAGCGCCATCCCAAAAAAAATTCCCGTTGCTTTCTGGATCTCAAAGTCCGCAGGCGGTTTGCACGACGCAGTTAACCACGCTTATATTTCTTCACATTTTCCCCCGTGTCTGTGTTGATTTCAAGGCAAAATGGTTAAGCGCAGCAAGCTCCTTCAGGCCCTTGATGACCACAAGGGCAGAGATTATGCGGCCGAAAAGCAGAAGAAGCTAGTCAAGGCTGCGGAGAAGAAGAAAGCTGCTAAGCAGGAAAAGGCTGGCGTTGAAAAGACCGAGGAGGGTGACAAGACTGAAGAGAAGAAAGAGGTAAGCTCAGAGAGTGCTGAGAGAAAAATAAGAGAGCAATTGCTAACATAAAATTATGTGAAGGTTGAACAGAAGCCCGACTCAAAGGCCGCCAAGTCCAAGAAGCGCGAGTCCACCGAAGCCGTCACAAAGGAAGACAACAAGAGTGATAGTGACGATGAGGAGGTAGACGAGGACTACCAGGATGAGGGTGACGATGACGACGAGGAAGAAGAAGAGGAGGAAGAGGAAGATGAGGAGGAAGATATTCCCCTCTCTGATCTGTCCGACGACGAACGAGAGGATGTGGTCCCCCACCAGCGTCTCACAATCAACAACTCTGCCGCCATCAACAACTCCATCAAGCGCATCTCCTTCATCACCTCTCAGACACCGTTTTCAGAGCATCAATCTCTGGTTTCGAAAGACGAAATTGACATCCCCGACCCCAACGATGACTTGAACCGCGAACTGGCTTTCTACAAGGTCTGCCAGTCGGCTGCCTCGACTGCGCGTGGTCTGTTGAAGAAGGAAGGCGTCCCCTTCACCCGACCTGGTGACTATTTTGCAGAGATGGTCAAGGACGACGAACACATGGGTAGAATTAAGAAGAAGCTGTTTGACGAGGCCGCTGCCAAGAAGGCTTCTGCAGAGGCCCGCAAGCAGCGTGATCTTAAGAAGTTCGGCAAGCAAGTTCAGGTTGCCAAGTTGCAGCAGAGAAACAAGGAGAAGCGCGAGACACTCGACAAGATTAACGAGTTGAAGAAGAGTGCGTTTTCACCGCCACCAATATATGATGGACTGAGTTTTTTACTGACGAACCTTTTATACAGAGCGCAAGGCCGATACCTCTGCCCCTACAGATGACGCCGGTGACATGTTTGATGTCGCCATTGACGAAGCTAACAAACCCGAGAGCCGCAAGCGTGGACGCGACGGCGAGCCCAAATCGAAGCGCCAAAAGAAGGACCAGAAGTTTGGATTTGGTGGAAAGAAGCGATTTGCTAAGAGTGGTGATGCCGTTTCCAGTGGAGACATGAGCGGCTTCTCTTCGAAGAAGATGAAGGCCGGCGCAAAGGGTGGCGCGAAGAGGCCCGGAAAGAGTAAGAGAGCGGCCAGCAAGGGAAAGTTCTAGGCCATGACCATTGACACTGTGTGTTTGATTCCATTATTTCTCTGTTTGGAGTTCTGAAAAAAAGCTGTTTGATGTATTCCTTTTTACCACACTGAGAATTGAGCTGCGATACCATGGGACAGCTCAAGGCCAAGGCTTTTATGTGTATTAGAATAATTGATAGAAATGGCCATCGTACATATCATATTCTGTCATGTTTGCTTTAAACAGTAATCGATCGACTCCATCTTCATATTGAATTGATCTACTCGATTTGATCTGATAAAATGTGGTCCCTCTATGATCTACTCTAATCTCTAATAGGCATAACGATATCCCAAATACTTCAGTATGCCGCAAAAATCAATCCATAATCTCTTTCGCCAGCTTACTCTTCGCCCTGATTTGAGGCCCAAAAAAGACCAAAACCCACGGCACCAGCGCCAAAGCAGTTGCAATCCCACCTAGAAGACTGGCCGCAGGTCCAAAGGAAAGATTATCAAACATCTGCGTCGAAACTAGCGGAAAGATACCCCCTAGCATATTCCGACAGAAACTCTGAGCCGCGAGTGCTGAACTGGCGTACCGATGGTAGGTATCGGTGAGATAATTGAACACGGCCAGGTAGATTGAGAAAATGCCTAGGGTTGCGATCCCCAGCGCTATCGCGGGAACAACCCAGTGTACTTGGTAATGCGACGACCATCCGAATAGGAAGAGCCCGATGGGGAGACAAATGCCTTCCAAACAGCTAAAATACAGTCGATGTTCGGGGACCGAGTTCCATTTTCCTTTTTGCCATTTCGTGCTTGCGAGGTGTTCCTGATAGATGGAAATGAACAAGGCTAGGGTGCTACCTGTGCAGGAAGCCGTGAATATAGCATCGGATTTAGATAGAGAGAAGCCATAGGCGCTCTCGAAGACCAGCGGAATCACGGACAGGTTGATATACAGCACTGACCAGGCAAAAGCAGCCCATAAAGCAAAGAAAAACACTACTGGCTCAGTGAAGAGCAGTTGAAAGGGTCGAAGGAGGGAGGTCCGAAGCATCGTGCTCAGATTTGCTCGTTCTTCGTCTGCTGCTATCTTCCACCGGAGGCGAATGACCTGTTTCTCAGGTGCAATAGTGCCTTCTGGTACTTTGTTTTCCACGTCTTGCTGTGCCCAATTCACACCGTAGTATCCTTTGGACTCAAGCTCCTCATACCACTTGTTGAGTCTCTCTGCTCTCGCCCGGAGAACAACAGGTGCGCGAGTTTCCCTGAAGAAGAGGATGACAGCCAGGGAAATCATCCCTCCAGTGATTATCTGCACATAGAATATCCAGCGCCATGTTGTATATTCTGCAATGAAGCCGCATACCAATGGACCCAATCCAGTTCCGAACAGAGCAGCCCAAGAGAAGAGTGCCATGGGAGTGTTTCGATCGCGAGCGAGGTAGATATCTGAAACGATTCCTCCTACCATTGTCGAGAAGGTAGAACCACCTACGCCAGCGAAGAACCGAGCAACTAACATTCTATATATGGTGCGGTTAGCATACATATATTGGGCGGCAGAAGTGATCAATCATCTTACCCTGGAAACGACCTGGTTACTGAGCAGCACAACTGACAGACCGCAAACAATATCGCTGTAGCCACAAACACCGGCTTCCTGCCATTGATCTCGGAAAAGGGTGCGAGAAACATTGGCCCAACCGCGAAGCCAGAAGTGAAGGTGGTGATGCCAACGAGAACTGCCACTTGGCTCACATGCCACTCTGCTGTCATGTGTGTTACTCCAGGGCTGTAGCAGCTAGCAGCAAATGAAGAGAACAGCGTCGATATACATGAGACGCCTGTGATGAACGCTTTGTGTGTTGGAGACCAGTCGTACGGGAAGTCCAGCTTGGTCAAGTTGGGCGGAGGAGGGATGCTGGCGATTTCATCGACCGGCACTGATGGAGATGGGAGTTCAGTCTCAAAGGTAAGATTTTGATAGAAGATTGGTTTCTGGCAGAAGTCTTGATCCTCGTCGCTGTCTGGTGGTTGCTGTTGCTTCTCTGTTCGGTTGCCTGTCATGTTATCCATCTTGACGCTGTCCCGGGGAATTCTCATTCTCACTGAGACTAGGCAAGAGAGACACGTCCATTATTTTAATACTCATCCCATGAAGCCCTAGAATTATATCGAATGCGTTCTGTTCTTCTCTCTGCCGGAAGAAATGCGGAAGTCGTGCGGACCGCATGAATCCCGCATCTCCAGTCCAGCTTTAGTGAAATAATTTGACTTAGAAATCATGAGGGAGAAGATGACTCAATAATAAGCGTTAGAAATCAAACCGGAACAAATCACCCATTGGTCATTTCATATGGTTGTTGGGTGGAAAGAGTGAATGTCCTGATCTCCAACCGAAGCAACGCGATCTCCAACTTTTCTCCATTTTGTCTCCGCATGAATCACCACCTGCCATCTTAAACACAACTCTCTTCGCAGCATTTGCCCAATCGATGGCAAAGCCGAAATGTATAGTGATAGACAGCGATCTAGAAAGGCCTGCATATCTTGTCGAGAACGCAAACGCAAATGCGATGGTGGCCTTCCTTGCACGTACTGCCTTCGCAACGAACATGAATGCGCCTACGAGCACACTCGACGCAAGAAGAAGATGCAGCGCTATCTAGACAGAAAGCCCCAGCTTCAGACATCTCCTACAGATGGTGAGGGCACTTCTCCAAAACCAGGGATGGCCGTTGAGCCTAAGAACCAGTCTCAGCTGCGACTGCTTGAAGCCAATTCGCCCGCGGTTTTTGTACGACGATTGGGACTGAAGATGAATCCTGCCGTGGCTCCTCGTCTGAACTGCTATGCTTGGAATCTAGGATCTCATAAAGAGATTGCCTGTCTGCCTCCGGCCTCGTGTATCACGGAGATACTGACGCTGACGGAGATGCACGAATTGGCTTCAATCTATTTTGCCGAGGTGGGCCCTGTCTACAATTTTGTGGATAGAGAGGAAGTGGACAATGCTATCGTTAAACGCTGGCTACATCAACTTCCATATGATCCCATTGACTCGTTGCTGTGTGGTGTGGCAGCTCTGGGGTGTGTCTTTGGCCGGATGTCGTCGGCACTGGAAACTCAACTTGTCCATCGTGCTCGCATCGCCCTGGAGCATTCGAGTCAATTGGCATCTCCCGAAGTAGACCAGGTTGTTGGCTGGCTGCTGCGAGTGATATACTTACGTCTGACAAGTTCTCCCCATGCCACTTGGATGGCGAGCTGTACCCTCATGCACATGATTGAAACAACCAAACTCCATTTCGAGCCTGCCAGCGACTCGATCCTGGCACAGTCTACGGAACCAGGGTGCTTACCAGAGCGTCGACGAAGGATCTACTGTATCGCCCAACTATTCAACACATGGGTGTCCCTGGATTGCGGTAAGTCGCAGGTAGATCTTCGTGGTGCTTCATCGCAGCTACCAGAGACGAGCTGGACAACGGATCAGCGAGAGCTGTGTCGTCTCTCTGATTTTCTAACCCCCAAGACTGATCGTGACTATGACGAACTGGAAACAGAGTTGTTCAACCTCTGCACATTGGAGCCGGCCCATCCAATGATGCAGCTGCTGCAATGCAATATCGGATTATGTTTATATCGGCGCGTACGGGCTCTGGGTCGCACCATGTCCGATGACGCTCTCGACACTCTCATGGACCTAGCCGATAAAGCTCTCAAGGCTGTAGACGGACTGGTCAGGATCTCATCCCCTTGGTGGCATATTGTCAACATCCCATTCCAGCTCGTGTGCATTTTCCTCGTCACCGACCATACGCAGTCCCTGACCCGGCTATCAGAAGCACTACAAACACTGAAGTTAGTTGCAGATAGATATGACACTTCAATCGCGAGGGAGTCCTATGACATCGCACAGTTACTAGTCCGCCAACAAAGACAGAGACGATATGATGAACTGAGATCTCTTGACCACGCGCTGCATGGACACGAGGAAACGTCTAATGCAAGCACATACGGACAAAAGGGAGATGATGATAGTGAAGGGGCATTTTCTGCCGCCGATGGTATCTTTGGCAGCTATCCAGTCTTGAATGGATCTTTGTTTGATCAGTTTCTACTCAACAATTTATTCAATGATACTGCGATTTGAGTGACCCATCATATTACTTCATCACCAGCATAAACGATCGGATTTTTCAAAAGGCCACCTTGCAATATGAAGCAGTTTGTGACCAAGAAATAAAGTCGAATGGTCGTTCCCGAGTCCGTTTACTCCCCGATATATTGGATGAGCATTTGGCTCGCTTGGGAGGGGGTTCGGCAGCTATGATCACGCCATGTGCAATATTTACGCCATCTAGAACTTCTAGAGTGAGGCGACAGAATGACAATACTAGAGAGGTGTAGATAGAGTCTCCAACTTGGATTCCCAATCTCTGACCTCGACCTCCCTGCTGGAGTGACGGACAGCAGCATGTTGAGATATAGTATACCACCAGCCTCGGGGACGAACTGAGAGATGAAGCTAGAAAGCTAAATGAAATATCAAAGGCCCAAGTTTAGAGTTCAGTCAGCATTGTATTTTGTCTCTTGGGGAAAATATATTTTTGGTATGAATAGGTAAATTCACATCTAGGTATCACTAGAAAACAAGTTGTAACTATGTCTATGAAAGAAATCCCATGAAGTCGTCATAAATCGCTTACTGTACCACCCATTCTCTCAATGCAACGCCATATCGTGTCGTGTCTTTCCACCCCGAGTCCCAGTTACTGTATGAAATAAAAGAAAGGTCGACCGGCGCGTGCCTCTATTGTCGTTGATATTCTAAGTAGACAATTATGTTATGTCCTTGCTGTCTCGGGCGTTCTCTGGGATGGGTCTGGAGATAAGGCGTTAGCATTAAGTTTTCAAGATGAACAAATTTGGAGGAACATACCATTAGAGATAAACACAGACTCGCTCCCAAGACCTTATCCCGTCCTTTGATATTCATTTGAAGCAATTATTTTCCTGCGAGGTTGAGAACAAAAGCCCCGCCTGGACTTTTATTTAGAAATAAATCATGTTTGGACACCATTAGTGGCCCCATTTCCAACGTTGGGAAGTCCGGCATCAAACATTCCAAACTCCCGAATACGACTGAGTAGGTTATCAACGGGAAGACCGATATTGAGCTGTTGCTCTGAAAAGACTAGATCAATCTTTTCTTGGGTGTCATGCTCATGGATTTTGTTGTGCTCTTCAATCATCTCCCTGCCTTCATCGGAAGTGCTGTTGTAGATGATTTGTTCGCACCCTCGTACTTGACAGGTCCACGAATTAGATTCAGGATCACCAGCTTGAGAGGGATCCAGGTCGGGTGCATCCTGGTCTGCAGCTGACACAGAAGTGTTTCTGCTCTGCAAAGTTTCCCGCAATGGTGTCTTTTGGACAGGTGTAGAGACTGATTCGGAAAGAATTGACCGAGTTCTCCGTTTCGCTCTGGTCGATAGCGGATCACGAACGAGTTCATGGCCGCGGACCTTGCTGGGGGTTTCAAATTCATTCATCATATCTTGGTCATCCGACATATCTTCTTGATCGACTGCAGTGCTTCGAGTTCGCTTGCCAATTTGCTTTGTGGAAACGGAGCTCAGTTTTGGACGTAATACGGACTTGCGAACACGGCGCCTTCGGGGTCTTCGTTGCTCTTCGTGTTCGCTCTCTTCTTCAGAAGAATCATCCTTGTCTGATGAGCGAGGGCGTAGGGGTGTGAGTGCTATCTGCTGCATGTCGTTTTTCTCAGCGGTTGCCTTGATATCCCGGTAAATGGCCTTGCGAGACCAGTCAAAGTTGGAGGTCTTTGCTTCATCCATCAATTCAATGACAATACCGGCTCTTGCTGAAATGAGGTTACGTGCATATTCTGGTGTTTCAATATTGAAACGGGTCACTAGGTTGTCAACGACGAGGTCAAGATTCAACAGGCGTTTAGCTAAGTATCCGGCCTCTTTTAGATCGTTAATCACTTGGTATATGGTTTCTGCTTGGTTTTTCGAGATCGCAGTCGGATCAGGAGAGTGTGTTGGCTCTTCCGCCTTGTCTTCGGTGTCCTTTTCTTCCGTAACGGATTCTTCTTCTGGCTTTGGTTCATATTGGGCCTTAATCTGCTCATAGTCCTCCTATATAACAATAACGTGAGTTAGGGCTCAGCTGACCCAGTGGAGATAGATCAGACTTACAGGAAATTTCTCGCAGAGATGCTCAAACAGATTGGTCTTGGTCCACTGCACGCCTTCCTCGCCCTTTAACATCCGAGAAAGCAAAAACTGATGATGTTTGTAGAAAACCTCGGCTGAATCGTCTGCATCTTCGCATATTCCGTGGGTATGACTGACGTACTGATATCCAAAAATAAGCCATGAGTACCAAGCTGCCCACCTACTGTCGCACCCCGCGAGTAGGAACAGGAACAAAGACACTCACCTCCTCACACAGGTATTCCACGCTGGGGTTCCAATCTTTTCGCTTCCTGCGCTTCCTCTGATGTCGATCTGCCAGGAAGTAGAGCAAATCGATAGCTTCTGTCATGTCACTAAACATAGGTCGGAAGCCCCTCGCTGGCGAGATGGAGAACCACCCAGCCCGGCCAGCGACCCAGATACCGACCTCTCCATCATTATGTTGGCCGTAAGCGTAGTGAGTCACATTTTCGATCACAATGCGTTTCGTGCGGTAGTCTTCGTCGAGAACTGTTGTAGCACAGGGTTGCCCCAAAAGTCAGCTCGTCTTGGACCAATGGTAGATAACGGGGATTTGTATCTTGGAGTAATACGCACCTAGGCGTTCCTGCTCCTCCTCCACTTCATCCAGACAGCCAGTCACCTGAACCGGATTGTCCGGGGAGACGGAGAGGAGGTTTGCATAGCGGAGTTTACCTGGGAGCAGGATTCTGACCTCGGACAAGCTGAACTCCTCCCAGTCGTTCTCGTCATCAAGAGACGGGTCTCTGGCGGCCAGGACACTATCTTCGCGCGATGTCATGTCTCCGGCAGCAGCATGATGCCTTGAAAGACATTCGATAAAGGGTCGGGGGCTCTCTGAGAGACGATTCGAATGAAAGTACCCGACAAGCGAGGAATTAATGGATGAAGAGGGTCACTCGTGGAATTCCAGAGTGTGTCGAGGGACATCAATAATGGGGTCCGCCCAAAGACCCCGTAATTACGCTCGATTTACAATGTAATTTACGATACGACGTTCTGTGAGCTCCGCCTTCTATTTCTCCGGCATAAAAGCTTGCTGTGCCCTTTTCTTTTCTCTATCTTACCTCCGGTTCAATTCCACTGTGAGTCCTAAAGTCTAACATCATCTGCTAGTTAGTGGGAATGAATTGATCGGGGCTATAGCTAACCCAACAAATTCAAAGCCATTCTATGGTGACATGACTAGGTTGTTTTATTCATACAGACAAGAAAAGTATGCAATCCATTAATTACATGGCTAGAGAACTCGCCGTGCTATCAGAAATATCTTTGATCTAAGCCAAACTCTAGGTTGGCATAATTTCGTATATATTTTCTATTCATTTAGACAAATCTGAAAATATACGCCCTCGTCTATTCTTTTTTGCAATTAGTGACGAATCATTGCAGTACCAACTGTCGACCCTTCCGTGGGTATGAATGTTCTCAAGGAGCATAAACTTTGACGGATGATCCAGGAGCTAGCCTGGACAATCGTAGAGTAAATGATGTGTATTGGTTTAAATGATCACCATCATCGCTGACGCATTTCCGGAGTGATTGTATCAGCAGTATGGGCATACTCGTCCTATATTCCCATACATAGAGCCAATGAAGGACTAATCACGCCTTCGATCACTTTGATAGATGGTTTAGTAGTTCCACTTATTGTCGAGAGCTCCTCCCGGGAGGAATGCCTGTACAGCACCATTCGTTTCGTGATATAGTCGCAGGTACAAGCAAATAGAAGGACATTCCAGTCTAGCCCTAAGTTCAATCCACCATATGCTGCGACTTGCTTTGCGGTACCATAGATAGAGCAACAATAGTGCTGCAGGATCCCTTTTCAGGAGCAAGTCTCTGAAAGGGCCATGGACACTCCGCATGAAGAGTTGAGTCGGACCTGTTGTGACCTCGCTATCCGGGAGGTTCAGGATCTGGGATACCGCGTGGGCGGCATGGAAATACGGATTATTTTCTGCTGTAGATGACTCTTTGAGGTTACACACAGTAGCCAAGGGCCTTGGTATACCATCTATGCCTCCCTCTGGCAATGGTGAATTCATTTGAGCAAAGGTCGCCGCCATGACGCGAAAAAGGCTGTCTGGTCGTAGCGGGTTGACCATGTGCCACAATGACATTTTACCCTCGCTCATGCGCAGCCAGTCCAAGTCGGAGGAGTCGGAAGACTTTAGAGGCCACGCTTGCTCCGGTGTGCGTGCATCAGGGGACGAGAAGGTCAAGATAACTAAAGCAGCCGCAGTACCCCAGATTGGATCCTTATCTTTTGCTTCAATCGGTTGTCTTAGCCGCTTGTTCAAGAGAACTGTGCATTGAGACCAGTGATAGCACTCTTCTAGAGTGCGACGACTGTCTAAGGGGCCATTCAGATGGCGGTCATATGTAAGCGCCACAGCTAGAGAGGCGTGCATTAAGAAAGGGTACTGTAAACCATGTGTTAGCCGAGTTTTGTCTGAAGGGACAGATTCATATAATAAAACTCACGGCGAAGGCTAATTCTAGGAGCTTGCGATTAACCTGTATCATATTAGGGTCGTCTGGGGTAATGAGACTTCGTCCAAGGTACCGGGTTATAAAATCTTGACACTTTGCGTTCAGATGATATCGATAGGACGTCGATGCATCAGATGTCCAGACAGCATTTGTGAGAGAGGGCTGAAGCTCTGTTTGTCTTCTAACCACCAATGGCCCTGTGTCAGAAGCGACGGGTTGGAGGTCGGGGATGTTCGACATGAAGTTGCATAATACCCCGAATGAACGACATCTCTTGCACTGTGGTTTACCTTCGTCGCACTATTCGGTCAGCCAAGTACCAGATTATGGAAAGACTTGGGCCACCTTGAGTTTTCGAAGCTTGCAATTTCGGCAGCCATATCTCGACCTGGTCCTACCCTGCCGCACCTGTCTTGGACAAGTCGAAGCCATAGCCTGTGAGGGATTTCCCGAGTTTAATGCTGGAAGGATCAGGAGTAGGTGGAGGTGATCACCACGACACTATGGAAGTAGTGGATCTTCCACCTTCGCGCTAACTGCTACTCGGATGCAGAGGTTTCTGATTGGCTGCGAGTTCTGCCCTCATGTATAAGTTGGTAATCAACACAAGATTGCAAAGGATGATTAACTTGGAATGATAGCTCAATGTATAAGAAGAGGGGTATTCCTCGATATCCTACGCAGAAAGTCTACTTCCAATGGCATCCGCAGCATAAAACATACCAGACTCGATGTACATAAATTTTACTCCTCGAAGGCCTTAGCTCATCTACACTTTCTATACAAGCAGTCCAGAATGGCCACCCACCTCGCCGCCGTATCCCTCGCAAAAAGTGAGCCTTTCGAGCTCCAAACCCGCCTTACGCCGAAGCCAGGCCCAGGCGAACTCCTCATCGAGATCAAATCCGTAGCTCTCAACCCGGCAGACGGCTACATGCGTGATCAAGGCCTCTTCATACCCACCTACCCCACTGTCATCGGCTTCGATATCTCGGGGCTAGTCCTTGAGGTAGGCGACGACGTCCCCGTCAGTGCTACCGATGAAGGTCCAGGCCTTTTTTTCCAACCGGGAATCACCCGCGTCGCTGCCTACGCTGCTTCCTTCTGGAAGTCCTTTGACCCGGACTACGGCGCCTTTCAGGAGCGGTGCCTCGTCCCCTGGCAGCACACCCTGCCTCTTCCGGATGAGGGTATTTCTTGGAACCAAGCGGCAGCCTTGCCTGTCGCCGTGGAGGTACCCCTTAGCGCGTGGGATATGATGGGAATTCCACGGGTGGGAGAAGCTACTGCTTCTTCTGCTTCCGTCTCCGCTGCCCCAGTCAGCACCGATTTCAGCGGAGGAACTCACAAAAACAAGAAACAAAAGAGAGAGGCCCTATTAATCTGGGGCGCTTCCTCTAGCGTGGGCACGATGGGCGTGCAAACCGCCCGGGTGCTGCGGGAAGATCGCAACTCCTCTTTCGCCGCCGTGTATGCCACGGCCGGTGCGGCAAATCAAAAGTACGTAGGCTCCCTAGGCGCGGACCGCGTTTTCAATTACAAAGAGCCGCAGGTTGTGGATGCGATTGTTTCAGCAGCCAGAGAGGACGGCCTAGTGATTCGGCACTGCTTTCTTGCCACGGGACAGCTTGCGCCATGCCAGGCCGTGCTTAAGGCTTTCCTCGGGGATGATCAAGGGGGAGAGAACCAGAAGGCGAAGATCGGGTCGGCACCGATTATCCCTCCAGATGCAGAGGATGTAAACGGTGTGGAAACCATCTTTGTGATGCCGTCGATGGACGAAGGGGAGAGGTTGGCTCAGTTCCGATATTGGATTGGGACGTGGCTGAGGGAGAACCTGACCAACGGAACCATCAGACCAAGTCCGGAGGCGAAGGTCGTGGGAAAGGGCTTGGGGGCTATTAATGCTGGGATGGATATGATACTCCGCGGGGTCAGTTGTACGAAGTTGGTTGTCGAGGTTGCTGAGTGAGAGTTTCTGGGAGGCTGCCACCAGGTACTTGTTGGAGCTCCAATTTTGATGGCAGATCGTGTTTAGGAACATAGGAATAGGCCAGCTGTCAAGGAATTCAAATGTTTGTCATTCTTAACTGCGCAGTATGCTCATGCTTTTGCCATGGCGTGTAGCGCATAGAACATCCCCATTGCTTTTAGGGTCTTTCAGATAGAAAATCTTGATATACCGAAAGTAGACAGAGCCTGCGAGATCATTGAACAGGTGTACTTGAGAAAATCACTCTGGAAAGCTTGATCTCGATCATGTTTGCCCAAGGACGACTCGCCCGGCAGGGAGCTTTATTGAAGGCATTCCAGGTCAAATGTATTTTCGTTATTCCAAGTAACATTCAATGACAGCAATGCATGCTACAGTCTGCTGCAAATAAAAAGCCATTTTCAGCGTCATTTTGAGCGTGAGATGAGTGGAACTGAGGAGAAGAGAATAACTTCAGTTGCTTCAATCAAGCACAACACCAGGTCAGGTGACAAACAACTATTGTATGTAATTTACGCCGTATGTTACGCGATTTACTGACATCTTCGTCGATCTGTATTTTTTCTTTCTGTCTCTCGCAATCTGGTCATCTGGAATTGTCCATATTCTTGATTAAGCGATCAATTGATTTATCCACTCCTTGGTTTTGCTCTTGGAAAGACCCTCTTTGAAAAAATTATTCATCCACCCCCGAATTCCTCCCTTCCCCGCAGCTGATGGGCTTCCGTCACGGCTTCAAGCTCTTTCGCACCACCATGTCAGGAGAAAAGATATACGAAGGCGTTTTCGGTATGTGCTAGATTTAGACCCAGCGAAACATATAATACAATCAAAGCAAAAGAGACAATAGACGAAAAAGCTAACTTTCAAATAACCAGCCGTTCACAAGCCCCAAGGAATCAGTTCCGCCGAAGTAATCCGCAACCTCCAACACCACTTCAACCCATCCAAACTCTTCCAGCCCTGGTTGGAGAGCGAGCGCGAGCGCCGAAAACGCGAGAGTAACTTCCAACGGAAACGCCGGCGCTCACAGCGACTCGATGTCAAAATCGGACATGGAGGCACTCTCGATCCGCTCGCGACGGGCGTTTTGGTCGCAGGCGTAGGCAAGGGGACGAAACAGCTCAATGATTTCTTGGGATGCACCAAGTCATACGAGACGGTTATTCTCTTCGGCGCTGAGACGGATACCTACGATAGACTGGGCAAGGTTGTCCGACGGGGCCCCTATGAGCACATTACTCGAGAGGCAGTTGAGAAGGCGCTGGAGCAGTTCCGCGGAAAGATCATGCAACGCCCGCCCATCTTTTCGGCGCTGAAGGTCCAGGGAAAGAAGCTTTATGAATACGCCCGGGAGGGTAAGGAGCCTCCGATTGAAATCCAGGCTCGGCCGATCGAGGTTCACAACTTGGAGCTGCTTGAATGGTACGAGCCGGGCACGCATGACTACAAATGGCCCGAGGAGGAGGCTGCCGGGGAAGAAAAGGTGATTGCAGAGAGACTCCTCGCTAAGGATGACACACTGGCAGTTGCACCTTCTGCTGAGGCCGAGAAGAAAACCCAGAGTCAAGACCAGGAGGCATCATCAGCGACAAAGCGCAAATCGCCCCCTCCCCCAGAAAGTCCCAAGAAGGAAGAGGACGCCAACACCCCAGCAGCAGCCGAAGCAGCCCCCGAAGCCGAGCCCTCAGCAGCCAAGAAGCAAAAGGTGGAAGGCGAAGAAGCAACGGAAACCGAACAACCCCCAGCAGAGGAGCCCACCGCTCCCTCCGAACCAAGCAAGCCCGTTCCCCAACCTGCTGCCGTTAAAGTCACCATGACCGTTTCATCCGGTTTCTACGTGCGCTCGCTTGCCCACGACCTGGGCAAGGCGCTTGGCAGCTGCGGCCTGATGAGCTCGCTAATCCGAACACGCCAGTCGGATTTCGTGCTCGATTCTGACAAGGTCCTCGAATATAAAGACTTAGAAGCCGGCGAGGAAGTCTGGGGTCCCAAGGTCCAGCGATTCTTGCAAGAGTGGGAAGATAAGAGAGCTGCCGAGGCGACCGTCGATGAATGAGTGACGCAATAAGGGCCAGCAGAATAAAAAAAAAAAAAAAAGCATATCAGTCATTTTCTCCGTGGGAGTTTAGGATTTTTGTAGATATACCAAAGCTTGCATCCAATGGGGGTTTGCCCAAAGCTAGAAACAAAAGTTTTAATACTACTTTGTACTTTATTGCTAGAAGAACAATCTCAATATCAGTTTAAATTCAATTGAAGACAACCGACTTGAATGCCTATGCCTTGAAGATCGATACGCAGTTACAAAATGACCATCTATCACAAAACAAAGAGGATATGTACACATTAGATCCATCATCCAAGGGATGGATTCGAGATATCCTTAAAAAAAAGTCTAGAATGCAAAATGATACCCAGCCCGAGAACGCAAAAGACAGCTGACAATTAGCAACCCCATAGCCAAAGACAAAGATGAACTGAAGCTACCAATCCAATAAAAGACCCTTTGTCTGGCGACAGGCTGCTGAATAAACAGATGTCAAATCATAATATCATGCATCGCATCAATTTGAGAATGAAGGAATAGTGATAAAGAGATCAAAAATAAAAGCCCGGAGTTGAAAAGAAGCGTAGGAGCCAATATGAATGACTAGATAGACAAGTTTGTGAACACAAAGGGACCATTTTTTAATGGGGTATACCGCTGAAAACACATAGAACAAATAGAAAGAGAAAGGAAGGCAGGTAATAAAGGGTGAGATAAAAGAAAATATGAAATGAATGGGGAATAATAGATGTATTTCAAAAAAGACACAAGAGGAATAAAATGCAAGAAGGGTTGTACATGTAGCAAAGAAGTTGCTATTGAGATACAAGTTGTTGCTGAGTACTGTGAGCATGGACAAGAGCTGTGGCCCGTTAGTTTTCTTCTTTGAAAAGTCCGTAATGGTCAAGTGACTTACTTTGGAGCACAGATGCTTGCCCCTGTCTCGATTCACATGCACACTGAAGGGTGCTTCCATCGAGGAAGTCGAGCAAGATGCTGTTCGGCAGTTCCTGTCGATCTTCATCTGGGAGGCAAGGTGTTCGGAACTCAGTCAGATGGTAGCGTTTGATGAGATTGCGGTTGCTTGAATCAACATTTCCTGGGGTCAAGACCAGATAACCCTTGTCATCGACTCGGATGTATCGTCGTTTCCATAAAAGAGTGTCCGGGAACTGAACGTTGACTTCGCCAATGTCGACGGCCTGGGGAGCCTCGAGCCTCGTATCCGACTTCTGAGCTGGAGGTGCGGTTGTGTCTTCTTCCTTTGCCGCTGGGCTCAGTGCGCTAGCTACGCTCTTCCGCGAACTAGACGTGATGGACGACATACGACGGAGCAGTCGAGAAGCGCGAGATTCCTTCTTGTCTTCGGGGCTGGAAGCCATTTCAGGTGATCTTGGAGAAATTGCTTCGCCCTTGGAGTGCGATGAGACAGACAGTCTGCTCTCCGAACGGGCTGGAATCGTGGGTGTCACGGACTTCTGACCTGAGCCAACAGATGACATAGACGGACTACGTTTCCGCTCTGGGCTGCTCTCAGCCTCTACCGCCACGTCTTGCGAGGCAGGGCTTTCCGCGGCCTTGTGCTCAACGGTCAAAGGACTAGCCTGGAGATTGAGCACACCCGAGTCGAAAGGATCAGGTTTAGGGTCATTTGGAGTGATGTTCGGGTCGCGGACTATTCGAGCTGTCACAGAAACAGAGCTTGTGGCGTTCGTGCTAGACTGAGAGTCACGACGCGCCAAACTCGGGGCTCGAGAGATGGCTTCTGATGAGAACGATGGAGTTCTGGACAACGAGGTTGAATCCTGCTGTCCATTACCCAGCGAGATAGAGGCACGCTTCCGGAGAGGATCATAGGAAGCAGGTGTAGGTGCAGCCAGGTTTTGGTTTGAATTCGAAGGAGACGACTCCCGAGTGTTCGAAAGTTTTTCCAAAGCTTGGATGCGTTTCGAGATGCCTGAGGATACGTTGATCTTCTTGGCCACCAGGACAGGTGTCGTAGGGCGTTCGAGATCTCCGTAAGGACTAGACACGGATCTGCTCGTAGCTAGTGGCTGCAGGGTGGGCGGTTGACGTCCCAAGGCACTTGGGTTCGAAACCGCCCGTGAGTTCCTCCATGCATCGGGGCCCGTCTGCTCGTTACCATTGGTCGAGTAGACCGGTGATAACGGAGACTTCCCGACTTCCACGGGCTTAGCTTCCTCAAACGTGGCACTTCTCAATTCTTCCATGAAGGAATCATCCGAGAGCAGGTTATCGTCATCAGAATATTCTGGGGTGGGGACCTGAAGAGGCTCAAGGTAAGGTTTTCGTTTATCCTTTCGCTCAACTCTGACTGGCTGTTTGGCCTCAGGGGTTAAATCATGTTCAGATTCAGGGACGTTCAGAGCAGTTGGCGTCGATGGATCAGCGACAGGGTCAGGTTGTGAGGCATGGGATTGTGTGTCGGGAAGAGTGGATTCAGGTGTTTTTGTAGCTACGTCTGCCTCTTTTCCAACAGGGGCCGGGGGGTTCCCTGTTTCGGGGGTAGGGGGGGCAATTTCTTCTGGAGCTTTTTCCGACTTGTCGAGTGGGACTTCCATGGTCGCGCTAGAAGAGCCCGGGCCACTCTTAGCCTCACTGTCAACAAAAACCGCCGAGTCCTTTTCCAGCACGTCTGTTTCACGTTGGTGGGCAGTCGTTGGTGGGGTTTGGGACTGATCAGTTTCAGGGGATTCATTGCGGTCGGTCAAATCGGTCGCAGCAGTACTGGAAAGGGAAGTATTGGAGGGCTGATCCCCGTCGGAATCAGAAATAGCCATGTCAACAGCTGGATCTGGTTTTGACAGATCTGATGAGATGGGATTTACCTCTTTGCCGGGCTCTGCACGGGTAGGGGTTGCTTGTCCCTTTTCTTCTTCTTTCTGCCCCACTTCATCGACATTCTTGAGCTTTTCAGCATGATCCATGTTCTCCTTGTCCCCATCGGCATTTGATGATGTATCTTGTTGTTCCTCGGTAGCCTTCTGGTTCTTCTTCCCTTCTTCTGCTCGTTTCTCCATCTGCTTCTTGCGCATCTGAAGTGCTTTCATCAACCGCTCCTTCTCGGGAGACATCCCACTTGCTGAAGACATTGCGCTCAATGACTTGGCACCAGGCGAAATCTGGGGCCTTGAAATTGACATTGACAGCGGAGGCACAAGTAAGGGGGGTACCGGTGGCGCCCCCTTGCGGGGCGTGGATGCCAAAGGGCTTCCTTGCGATCGGGGACGGGGAGAATTGGGATTGGGTTTTCGTAATGAAGAAGACCGAATGCCCGCGGGCAATGAAGCCACGGGTCGTTGATCTTGGTTTCGAGACAAGCCACCTGCAGTGCGAGGCCGTCCGCTGTTATCCACCGAAGGCCGGGGACCAAGCTTGACCTTTGGAGAGGGTGTAACCTGTTCTAGATCCCGTAGCGACGGTCTGGCGGACTGCGAAGATTTCCGTGGTTCGTAGGACGGGTGGGATGGGTCTTCTTGCAGTGTTCTTCGCGACGATGGACGTTCGGAGGTAGGGTCTGAGGGCATGGAAGGAGCTGGCACGTCGGATTGCGATTCGATGGGGCTGCTCACAGCGGGCGACTCTTCGTCAACGGTCTGAGCGCGCGATGCAGCTCGCGGGGTAGCCACAGTGGAATGAGATAGCTGGCTGGCAGATCTTTGTCGAGTATCTGTGGGTGGAGACTGTGCCTGCGATTCGTCCTTGCCGGTGGCATTTTCCTCTGCATCTTCCGTTATTTCCATCAGCCTGCGGCGGCGGAGGGAGTTCGAGGAAGAGGTGATAGAACCTGAAGCAGCATGGAGCAAGCATGCGGAGGATAGTGCACTTTCAGTGAGTTCCGTCGACTGCGTCAGAGAAAAGACAGTGTCATGCGGCGAGAATTTGTCCAAGACCGATTGAAACTGGACCGTAGTTCGAGCTAGGGAGAGGGTTCCAACTGCGTTAATTGAAGGTCCAAAACCAAGCAGACTCCGAAGGTCATTACCTTGTACAAGCCGAGACATGCCCTGGGGCATAAAACTAATCACCAACTTCCTCCGACGATATTGTAGAAAGCCATAGAGCGGAGACTTTTCCTCATAGCCGTCGATCGCATTCCGCACCTCAGGCACCCCGCCTGTTCCGCGTTCAAGGAGAGCGACCTCATCTCTTGATACGTAATGAAGAAGGAACCTAAATGTGATGAGAGATTATGCGCGTTAGCCGATTCAATTCACATTGCGCCGGGGTTCCGGTGTGATGGGAGCGATCGCCTGAGCGGCCTAAGGGGGAAGATAGGGAATAATCGTCTCGAAGGACAGACTCACCATCCTCCCGCTTCAGTCAGGGCAGTCTGGTAGGCTTCGAGAACAGCGGGATTATCTAGCCCATTGAGAGACATGACGGGACCGCATCGGAGGCAGATGCCTCGATCGGACGATGGTTAGACGATCGGAGATCGCCACGGGTGGTGGGAAGAAAAAGGGAGAGGGAAAGCTGACGGGGAAGAGGGGATGGAGAAAAAGACGGCGGAGGGGGAGGGGAAAAGAAGACGAAGAATGTCGAAGCCGAACGATCGAAAAAAAGAAGACGAGATGGAAAAGTGGCAGAAAGAGAGCGACAAGACAAGACAAGACAAGACAGCCCACCCCCTGCAGACCAAGATAGTTAGATCTTCGTCCCCAGTAGGAGGAGAAGTTATCGGGCACTAACAAGACAATTTTAATTAAGATGATAGTTTCAGGATGGAAGAGGAGAAGTTCTAACTAATTAATTAGCCCCGATCGAACCTCTCAGGAGTTCAGGGGAACCTCTGGCTGCTCCACCTGGGGAGTTTGGACCCTCTTCTTACGTCCGCGTCGGATCCCCGAAGGAGAACAAACGAGATTCAATAGATGACAATGATGAGGCCAGATGACGAGACTATCGTGTAGGTGAGATGGAGGCAACTATGTGTTCTTTGTTCGAGAACGGCTGAGGCTATTGCGTTCTAGATTACTGCTTATAGAAACGGTGAAGCTATTGCCACGAGGCCTGCACTAGCATATTTCATATTCCACAAGATGAATTGACGTCCATCTCGACAACTGCAGGCCTCGATATGCATGCTGCCGTTGGTCCGTTCTTCAACGATTGTATTATCGACCTTTATCACAGCAAACCAGACTGGTGATATCGAACCCCCATTCAATCAGAGCTCAATGTCCCTCGGATGCAATATCACTTTCAGGTCGCCAATTCGTGGACACCAATGCAGAATAAATGAGAAGCTGGTCCATTGCCTCGTCGCCTGCCTTTGTTACTGTCGAGACGTGAGGCATTTCTTCCGACAGAAGTTGGGAAGTTGGGATCGGCACGATTTCAAACAGAAGCTTTGCCATAGCTAGACCATCATACTTGGCTGCTATCCCGCTAGCAATTGAGTGTAATGGACCCTCTTACGCTGTTTAGGTGACATCGACTGCCAGATTTCCATAATAATGTCAATCATCGGACATGTCATGTTCGGCGTCTTGGGTCCTCGATGTCAAACCAAGTCCTTTGGGTATATGCTATATCTTCTGACAGCATAGATATGGTGAATTGAAATTGATCATAACTCACTTGACTGAATATAACTATCTGGTTGTGCTGATATTGTGGTGAGTTGTGACGGGAGAAAATATCAGATAGCTATCGCGGGGTTCAAAGCCTATCTTACTGTGTTATAACGATCTTAAGATGACAATAGGTTTACTATACACTTTATACTCCTAATATCCGCATAATACTAGCTCTAACTAATTATTTTAATCTTACCAATGCCTATATATACTCATTTCCATCCAATAGTGTATCCATTTCAACAGTCTATCTGGAGGTCTCCGCCCCGCCAAAAAACACTCGGAGAGCGCCGATGCGGGGATGCCATGACGTCCGTTATAAAATATCCTGCAGGGGTGTTTTTTTTTATCTTTTCTTTAAAAAAACATTTCCCCCTTCTCTTTCAAACACGCCGCTACAACATACACATCTCCGAAATAAACCCTGAAATAAATCCTTAAGGATAATCAATCAATATGTCAACCACCATGTCCGCCCTCCCCCCACCATCCATGATCCCCTCTCTCCCCCAAGACCAACAATTCCAAGTCCTCGACACTCTCTTCGAGTCCTCTCCCGAGATCCACACTCTCATGGCCCCCGTACTAGCCAACCAGCCTTTCCCAACATACGATCTCCTCATTGATGCCGTAGGCGGACGCATGTCTGCTCTATCCGCGGCCAACTCGCCCACCGATCGAACCATCCTCACGGGAATCCTGGGATCGCATCCGCGTCTGGGACGACCAAAGGTGAACCCGGAACATCTAAGCGAGTTGAGTCAAAAGGAACAGGCGAATCTGAATGTTGGGGCCGAGGAACAGGCGGAGAAGTTGAGGGTGTTGAATGCTGAGTATGAGGAGAGGTTTCCGGGGTTGAGATTTGTGTATGTTTTTCTGGGTCTGAATTTTGAAGATGGTGTATTTGAGACTTACTGATGGTTGGTAGGACGTTTGTCAATGGCCGGAATAGAGAGGTTATCATGGACGAGATGCGAATGAGGATTAATAGAGGGGATGCTGAGCAGGAGATTATAGAGACAATCAAGGTATGTCTATTCAAGTCACTTTGATACTGATACTAACTATATGCACTAGGCAATGTGCGATATTGCCAAAGACCGGGCAAGCAAGCTACTGCAATAGATCTACCCATTACGCCATAGACATATAGACTGTATGAATGAATCAATCTCCACACTCCACGCGCATTGATCAGAGAATGGCCTGCTTCGACGGCTAATCTAGTCGTTGGTGCCCAGATCGTGGCTATGCAAGAACGTGTGGGGTGTTCTAGAAGAATGGAATAGACTAATCTTCTGTATAAACTTCTCATAGCATCAAAAATGATTATTACTATCCTAACCGTTACTCCTAACGCCTTTTCTACATCCAGACATCATTTCACCAGCTTACGTCCATAACCACCAAGAAGTTTCACAAACGGCCATAACCCAACAGACCCAGCCTTCCCAGCCAAGTATCTCTTCAAGACTTTCTGAAACAGCCAACGCATAGACAAAAAGGCAATAAACACCCGCACCAACTTCTCTACCATCTCCTGTCCATTATAGTATATCGCATCCTTAAACCGCCGCTGAAAGATCTTGATATTATTCCCCGTCGGATACGGCTGAGAGGGAATTGGCTGCTCGAGGAACTGACACAGAGGCTCCCAGCCCTCGCTGACCTTATAGACGAGCAGTCTCTCGGGTGGCACCATCGCCTTGACAGAAGCGTAGTGTGCTTCGTATGCCTTGCGGCCGTTTTCTTCAAAGTTATCGTTGAAGAAGTGCTTCCAGATTTTCTTCCACGTTGGTCGGGCCCAGCGCGTGTGCATGACGAATGTGTTATCCAGGAATTGCATGAGGGGGAAGAGGGGGTGGTAGAGGAGGGGTTGGAAGGTTCGTTTGACGGAGCTGATAGACAGTGCCTCGTTAGCCGTGTTTTGTTTTATCTTTTCTAGAAAGACTAACTTGTGCCATTGATCGACGTCTCTCTCTGTGAGGACAATCTTGGCCTCTGGATATGCCTCGATGAGCTCTTTGGAGAAACACGCAGCGGGAAAGTCGCAGACAGCCTGTCGAATTAGACATGATCTTGAGAGAGAAGGATAGCGAGACTCACCTGACAATGACCCAGCAGCTGATCGAATTCTTTACGGCCATATGGCTTTCCAACACCATCGTATTTGGCTTGGAGGGCTTCATACCACATCTCGCAGTCTCGGGGGTTTTCCAATGCAGCTAGATAACCATGGTAGGTCTCACTGTAGCCCAGTAGTCTCAAAGCCTGTCTCAATGCTACACTAGTCAGCTGTGATTCTGAGATAGAACAGGATAACAGAAACTTACAGTCTGTTCCCGTGCGACAGAGCCCAAGACAGAGGACTTCCATGGGGACTTCGCGTTGGCATTGTCGCCGGTCAATCGCGGTGACTGTTTTGGAGATGTCGTGGAATTGGTAAGTTGTCATGTTTTATCAGTTAATTATTTTATGAATACAGATTAATTAAATCCTTTGAAAAGTCTTGCAGTCAGGGCAATACAATTTATATCTTCAGTCCGGACTCTACAATCCGTCTACTTCATGGACTATCGTGAACTATACACCACTAGTCACATATGGAGTCAAAACATCTCCATATCTCCACTTCCCCACTGACCAAGAATTGATTCATGCAGCTTCGCTCAGCTGAGATTGAGTTCTTCGAGAATAAACACATCTTTTTCGTTTTCATTTTTATTTTGTGTTGCTGCCCACGCTATTGACTATAGCATTGTTTTTTATTAATGCCATGGATTCTCAGCATCGCATACATACTCAGTAGTAAATCGACATTCAACAGGTGCTACTATTCAACAGATCCATGTCAGCGCATCGCAAAAGATCGGCATCAGCAGTGCCTGTCGATCAACCCATACTTCAGCTATCCAATGCTTTTTCCTTTTATCTTTACCAAATCATATCCACTTCGAACAGATATCCTTGTATCCAAAGAATCAGAAGACAGCCCTGTGCGCAATACCAAGCGAGCACCTGAAAAGCTGAATGTTGATCGTTATCTTCCACCTCTGACCATATTTTAGTCATGGCCAGCTTTGCAGATCCTTCTAGACTATGGAGTCTTCCTCTTGGCTGTGCCCACATACTACATACTAGATATGGGTATACGAGATGGGGTATTCTATTCATCTCTAGTTGTAGCTCCTCTGTGAGCCTTTTAAAGGGATGACTGGACTCTGAACGTGTCTCTTGAATATCCCAAGCTAACTGCTGTCTGTCTCTTGTCATCACAATGTCAGCTCTATCTAGCATTCAGCACGTGCAATCTTTTGCAGATCAGACTGTCCTCCTCACTGGCAGCACTGGGGGCATGGGAGGATGTCTCCTATACAAGCTGACCCTGCAACTACCCACCAAGAAAGTCTATGTGCTATGCCGTGGCTCCAGACAAAAAGCAATTACGAAATGGAGGAAGAGCCTGGGAAGCTGTGTTGATGCTATTCTGACCACGAAGAAAGTCGTCTTTGTCATTGGCGATATTGTGCTGCCCAACTTTGGCATCAACCAGCACGATATGGAGAATGTTCGCCGCGATACTACAGTCATCATTCATTCAGCTGCGAGTATCGCATTGAACAGTGAACTGAGCGATGCCATCGAGCAAAACTGTCTGCCCTGCTTGGAACTCGCGAGAATGGCCTCATCCTTTCTCAAGCTGAGACTTCTGGTGCAGACATCAACCGCATACGTCAACACCTTTCTGCCAAACGGCAAGATCAACGAGAGAATATACAACGACGTGGCAGACCAGAACCCCGAGATGGAACTGCAGCACATCCTGAAGACCGGCGACCATCCCAACACTGCCAAATACACATGGCCGTATGCCCACTCGAAACACCTCATGGAGCGTCTCCTGCAAACCCGACACAGCAACCTTCCTATCCTCATTGTGCGGCCAACCATCATCGGACCTGCAATCCGCCATCCATTCCCTCACTATGGCCCTCCAGGCTCGAACCCAGCATCCACCTTTGCCCGAGTCTTCCTATCCAGTGGATCAGAACCGATGGTCTTCCATGTGCCTCAGGGCCAAACAAGCGGGACAAACATACTCGACGAAGTGCCCGTTGACTGGGTTGCCAATGTCGCTCTGTTGCACATCGCAGCAGGATCTGTGGGAATCGTCCATGCAGGAGCGAATTTATATATCCCTCGCACACTGGATAGTCTCCTAGATGCCATGCGAGACAGTGTGTGCGGCGATGTTAAATGGCAGCTTCCGAAGATCATTTTCTCAGACGACCACTCCACCGAGCAATGCTTTCTGGCTCAGCTGTTTCGTATTTGCGCGAACAACTGGGATTTCGACTGTCAGCGCTCTGAGCAATTCAAGGAGCTGACAGGTCCTCTTAGTCTGAAGATAGACGGTCATGAAATGGTCAGATTTACTGAAAAGCGGGCACGAGAGATTGCAAGGGAGGTTGTTGCTGCGTCACGATCAGCTAGGCTATAGTATCGCCTCGACCTATACTTTATGGTATATATTTCCTTGATGTTAGCGTTTTTGATAGCAATAAGACAAGCTTGATTGTGATGTCAAGAACAATCTGGATAGTGAAACTGATCTATACTATTAGTAGTAGGTGTCTCAAGCTGCTTATACCAGCTAAGACAAAATTTGCCCTGGAGCATTCCCATGCAAGACCATCCAGACTGATATAAAATCAAACCGTCTCATTGTTTGCTCATTATTGTTCATGGTCATGTTTTTTCTGGTGGACAATAATTCCACCTTGACATCATCCATCGCGATAAGCATCATCCGAATCCTGCCGCATTTCTCCTCTCCCCGCCCTTCCCTTTCTCCCTTCTTCTAACCACCTCCATCCCGGTCACTTTCTGGACCCTTCAATCCTCCATCTTCTCCCTTTACTTCCACATGCGCCCGCCTCAGCATGGCGGAGGGTTCCAGAGCACCCACGGAGACTGAAGCCGTACCGCGTTCTTCAATGTCCCCCGCGTTACCTGCGATCGTCACCACCACCTCCAACAACAGCACCGCCAGCAAACCAACTCCCATCCGGACATCGCAGTCCTATCCCATCGGTATGTCTTTCTAGGATAATTTATACCTTATAAAAAAAATCGCTCTACATGCTCATCGCGCTCGTAATTGAGGCATGCAAGCCATGGCCAATAGACGACCAGGCAAGGGTTTCACAGGCTGACTTTTTCGCTCCTTGTTCGGCTTTGCCCCGATAGGTTCTGCCCCGTCGGATGTCGCTTCAGGATCCAGTGGGAATAATACACAGCAGCAGGATGCACGCAGGAATGCTCAATCGGTGCATAATAATACCAATAATGCCTTGTCGCCGACTGGGTTGGATGCGAGTGCCGAGTCTAGCGCAATCGATCCATTGTCTCAAGTATGCCGATTTTCTTGTTTTTGAGTAAGCTTTGTTGGCGATACGAGCTTGCTGACTGTCATCATGACTAGCATATTATCAAGCGCACGAATACCCAAAAGTCGATTCCGCTGAGGCTACTGGGGAAGGCGTCTTACGAGGCGGAAGCTGGCGGGCCAGACAGTCATAGCCTGAGCGAACAGAGTCCATCCCGGGGTGATGCAGTGCCACATCAGAAACCGAAGCCCCCGAAAGAGAAGAAGTGAGTGTCACCCACAGTTGAGCTGTCAAGTGGCACACACCCCGGACCACCAGACTGTGTGCAGACATACATCATCGTTGCTTACTGCACCCCGCATGCAAAATGCCTGTCTATCCCTAGCGCATGGAATCCATTAGATTCACTAACGAGATCTATCTAAAAACTACAGAAAAGCCGTCTCGTTTCTCAGCCGCATAATCGGGAAGAAAAAGGATCAGCTGTCCGACTCAGAAGACGATGTTTCGGAACCCGAATCGAACCGCATGGATGCCGACGCTGCGCAGCGGATAGGATTTACTCCTCGAATTCCCCCTCCACCGAAATACCTCAGAGTCAAGGCGCAATACAAAAAAGAGAAGACATTCAACCGGGTGTTCGTGGCGCAGGAGCTGGATGGTGCAGACGAGCCGTCGATTCCGTTGGACAAAGGCGCGACGGTCCCGACCACTGGCGTGCGAAGTGAAACGGCTACTGGGAAGGCAGTATGGGCATTAGTGTTCTCAAATGATGGGAAATATCTAGCAGTCGCAGGGCAGGACAGGAAGGTCCGTGTCTGGGCTGTTATCGACTCGGCAGAAGAGCGGGAGGCAGCGGAGCTGAGGGGAGAAGGAGGCCAAAACGACGGACCGCCCCGGTTGAAAGCGCCAGTGTTCAAGTCAAAGCCGGTGCAGGTGTACGAGGGTCATACCGGGAGTATATTGGATCTGAGTTGGAGCAAAAACAACTTCCTTTTATCCTCGTCTATGGATCGGACTGTTCGCTTATGGCACGTGTCTCGGGCAGAATGTCTCTGTTGCTTCCAACACAGCGATTTCGTCACTTCGATTCAGTTCCATCCTCGTGATGACCGGTTCTTCCTTGCAGGATCGCTTGATACCAAGCTGCGACTTTGGAGTATTCCCGATAAGAGCGTGGCTTTTGTCGCAACGGTGCCAGATATGATTACATCGGTTGCGTTCACTCCCGATGGTCGACACTCGATTGCTGGATGCCTCAACGGAATGTGCAACATCTACGAGACAGATGGGCTGAAGGCTATTGCGCAGATCCACGTCCGTTCAGCGCGCGGTCGTAACGCCAAGGGCAGTAAGATTACAGGCATTGATACTATCGCCCTGCCGGCCAACAATGATTTGAACGCCGAGGTCAAGCTTTTGATTACCAGCAATGATTCTCGCATTCGGATTTACAACTTCAGAGACCGGACGTTGGAGGCCAAGTTCCGTGGGAATGAGAACACGTGCAGTCAAATCCGTGCTTCGTTTAGCGACGATGGCAAGCATGTCATCTGTGGGAGCGAGGACCGCAAAGCATATATCTGGCCCACTGGCCCCGTGGAGAAAGATGCGGACAAACGTGCAGTGGAGATCTTCGATACGCAGACTGCCATGGTAACAGCGGCAATTATGGCACCTACAAAGACGAAGCAGGTCCTGGGCTTTTCGGAGGATCCAATCTATGATCTCTGCAATCCGCCTCCAGTGACACTAGTTAGTCAAGCGGAGCCTGCATCTAAAGATCGCAATCGCAACTCCGGTGCCAGCAAACTGGCACAAGAATCACCGGCTTATCTGTCTCGATCCACGCACCCAGATGGCAACATAATCATCGTTGCCGACTATTCCGGCAAGATCAAGGTTCTCCGACAGGACTGTGCGTATCAAAGACGACGCACTGACAGCTGGGATACGCACTCCACGCTTTCTAGAAAAATTCTGCGGCGCTCCAACTCGGCTCGCCTCAGCATCGCCTCTTCCATTGGAAAGGACTCGGCGCATAAGACTCCGTCGGAGCGCATCATTTCCTGGCGCAATGCCGTCATCAAACATGATACCAACCGTGCAGACTCCCGACAAGGAACCAGAACCCGAAGTCCGTCGCCGCACAAACTCTCTCGCTACTCGAGCCCCAGACGTGTGACAGACTCCCCTGCGTTGACCGTTTCCCCGCCGCATTCCGACAACAAATCCTCCATGGATAGTGCTCAGTCCAGTGCTGAAACTTCGGGCGGTACTCAGGCGGTAGATTCACGGCCGCTTCCACGTTCTGCGGCGGCAGTAGTCAAAAGTGGCAAGGAGAAAGATAATCCTCTGTGGTTACAAGGCGATCAAAGCTATGCATATTGGAACAAGATCACCCACGATGCGCTGGCGTCCCAGCAAAGACAGTCCAAGCTACTGAGTCCGCATCGCGCCTCAGCACACGACCGACATATGAGCGTAGGAAGTGCCTTGAGCAGTGACTACGCTTCATCCGCCGGCGAGGCAGACGACGGGGAAGTTCTCAAATGCGAAAACTGCGGGGGGACGAACTTCCGCGCGACCAAGGGGAGAAACAGCAAACAGAGATTGGTCTGCGTGCGGTGTCACCGACCTATCAGTTGATATTGGTTCTTTTTGGCTTTTTCCTTTTATGATTCTCACGATTTTTCTTCATTTGGCATGGGCATCTTGATGGTGTTCTAACTATGTTTATGTACTATGTAGCATTTTGTAATTAGGTCTTTGTATAGTATGAGAAGACGATGTATGTGATGTATGGCATGCAATATGACTTTGTTTTATTTCTGAATATCAATCTGAACAATATAGTTCATCATAGTTGACGTGCTCTGCTCATATCATAGTCTTATCATTCCTACCGCCAAGCCTGACTTTCTGCCCTCCGACTCCACGCTGTCCGCACCTCCACAGCTTCATCCAGAACACCTCACTCTCTCACCTTACTGAACCTCACCCTCCAGACTCACAGAAGAACAAAAAACTACACCCGAAAATGCCTTACCTCCCCACATCCCAGGAATACCTGGAACAATCCTGCCTATTGCTAGAAGCATACCCGGAAACTGTACAACACCCATCCTGACACCATACAATCAACCAGCTAACACAAACAACAGACAAGAATAACAACAAAATACAGCTTCCCCTCGAAACCCTCCCCCTCCACATCCAAAAATGCCGCCCAATCACAACAACAAACACAACAACCACCAGCAACAGCAGCGCCAACACCACCAATCGCAACCCTCACTTTAAAAACTTTCAACCCCACCTCCGGAATCTGCCTCAAGTACCAGACAAACAAAATCCAGGAAGTCGGTCGGCTAATGACCACGTTGGGCAAGTTGGCTGCTGGATCTGATGTGGCGGGGTTGGGGCTGTCGAATCCTGTGCCTGCGGTGTCCGGTGGGGGTGATACGGAGATGGTTGATGCGCCGGTTGAAGAGGCTACGAATGCGGGTGCGACTGCTGGGAAAGGCGAGGGGGCGAAGGGCGGGAAAGGAAAGAAGAAGGGTGGGAAGGGGAAGAGGTGAGAGTTGATATTGGGTGGGATATGGATATGGGATATTAGTGGGAACGGAATGAAAGAAAAAAGGTTCAATATTCGATACGGAGTAAAGTCGAGGTGCTTTTTGCTTGAGAGTTGTTTCTGGGCAGACTGCAGAGGTTGGTGGAGTTCAGGACGGACTTGTATCTTCGCTATGAAGTGGCTGCCATTTCACACCAGAACGTATCCCCAACTGCACCAACTCAACCATCGCACCAGTGAAGAACCAAGATACCTCATACTGTACATATAAAATGCAATTTCAATGTTACAGGAAGTGCCTGATCTGGAAGTAAACTTTAATCGGAGAATAGCTCTAATGAGAAGATACAAAATACTTTAAACAATGGAGATATCAAGTTCATATCCAAGTTGAATGTACACTATTTATTTAAATACATAAAATTGTCCATTCATCGATAGACGAATGACAGACATAGTTGACAATACACAAAGAGATTTCCGCCAATTCAAAACGCCAAACCCATGCTTAACCTTCAAATATTCTCATCAATAGTAACAACGCGAAAGGGTAAAAGATAATTAGCAACGTATCTCGTGGCGCGAGCTAGGTAATAGCAGGCAACCGGGGTATAATGTTTTTTTTGTTTTTGTTTTTGCGACAAGCCTAGAAGTCGTCGTCAAAGGCAAGGCCACCCTCTCCCTCTTCGGTCTTCTTCTCCTCGTCCTTCTTGGTGCTGGCCATGACACCAGCCTTCTGGTAGTCACCGACACGCTTCTCGAAGAAGTTGGTCTTGCCGGCCAGGGAGATGGTCTCCATGAAGTCGAAGGGGTTGGTGGCGTTGAAGTACTTCTTGTTGCCAAGAGCGAGCAGGAGTCGGTCAGCAACGAACTCGATGTACTGGCACATCAAGTTGGAGTTCATGCCGAGAAGAGCGCAAGGAAGGGCGTCAGTGAGGAACTCCTTCTCAATATCAACGGCTTCCACAATGATGTCCTCAACAACCTTCTTGTCAGGGCGGGTGTTGAGGTGACCGAAGAGCAAGCAAGCGAAGTCAGTGTGGAGACCCTCGTCACGAGAGATGAGCTCGTTGGAGAAAGTGAGACCAGGCATCAGGCCACGCTTCTTGAGCCAGAAGATAGAGGCAAATGATCCGGAGAAGAAGATACCTTCAACGGCGGCAAAGGCCACGAGACGGGAGGCGAAGGTAGACTCCTTGTCCTGGATCCAGCGGATGGCCCACTCGGCCTTTCTCTTGATGCAGGGGACTGGAATATCGTTAGCAATCGATCATTTCAAATGTAGCGGTTGGCACATACTGGTCTCAATGGCATCGAAGAGGTAGGTGCGCTGCTTGGGCTCCTTGATGTAGGTGTCGATCAGAAGAGAGTAAGTCTCAGAGTGGATGTTCTCAATCATGATCTGGAAACCGTAGAAGCAACGAGCCTCGGGGACCTGGACTTCGTTGCTGAAGCGCTCAAGCAGGTTCTCGTTGACAATACCGTCGGAAGCGGCGAAGAAGGCAAGAACGTGGGAGATGAAGTATCGCTCGTCATCGTTGAGACGGTTGTGCCAGTCGTGCAAGTCCTTGGACAGATCGATTTCCTCGGCGGTCCAAAAAGAAGCCTCAGCCTTCTTGTACATTTGCCAGATCTATAGTGGGGAAGACGCGTTAGTTTCGCGGGTTTCAATAGTGGCGGGTCGAAGAAAACCACTTTACGCGTGACGCGTGGTGGCAAGTTGACTTACCTCATGGTATCTGATGGGGAAGAGAACAAAACGACGGGGGTTCTCCTGGAGCAAAGGCTCCATAGCTTCAAGCTCTTGGATAGTGGGAGCCTTGGGGGTTTCGGTAGTCTTTTCCACGGCGAGCTTGTCGGCAGTCGCGTCGACGGCGGGGGCGGAGACATTCTCCTTGCCAGCGGCGTCGAAGTTAAGCTTCTTGACAGGCGAGTCGCTCATCTTGAGGTTCTCGAGCGAGGAAGCAGCCTAACAGACACGAATTGTTAGTTTCATCTGCACCAGGACGCGTCTGCAGTGGGAGGCGACGAGGCGTGACATGACGTACCTGCTTCGAGGGAGTGACTTGGGCCATTGCGACGAGTATCTGAAGTTTATCGAAGATGAGATAAAGACGAATTGAACACACAGACACAGAAGCAAGTCCGATAGAGAGATGGACGATGAGGATGAAGAAAAAAAGAGGCGTAGAAGGGAGGAAAGGCCGACAAGAAATACTGCGTCGGAGGAGGAGCGTGATTCTTAGCGCGACGGGCTAAGTCACGGTGCACGTGACTTGGCGCGCCGCCAGCCACCGGCGCGTCTTGATTTCGCTGGTTAATTACTGCGTACAATACGCCCTGCGTGCCTTGCAGCTCATGCCACTCGAGTTCCAGGCGATCCGGGATCTCCACTGGCTGGATGAATTATTGGATTATTGAATTTGGATCCAGTTATGTGCCAGGCAGAACAGGAATTCGCTCCACTGACACATTCCAGGCGTGTTGCGTCGCGTCCTAGTTTGATCAGATAAGATTGATAAAACGTCCATACAAAGTACTCTTAGATTAAATACACGAACAGGTGAAGATTAAAGATGATATTAATTAACTGATATACATATTATAATAGTATATTTCTATCCATCTCTATCCCTACATAATAAATACATCTGCTGTAATGCTGTGGTGTTGACGTATTCTATCCTGTACCACCCAAGATCATCCACTCCACATCACAACAACGACGCGAAATTTGTCAATCCTCTGTCAGCTCCGACAAAACACTCTTTTCCTCCGAATCCGATCAAACCTCCCTTTTCCCTCTAATAAATCCGCAGTGGATCCAGTTCACTCGGCTTTACGGATATGCACCACTAGATAGCTACTAATCCGAGTCAACAGCTTCAAGTCACCAGTTCCACTCCATTGACCAGACCCTCTTTTCCCACTCCTTATGACGCTATGGACTCACTCAACGCGTCTTCCAGTCCTGAGATGGACGCGTCTTTGTTGTTCCTTCTTTGATCTTCTTTGAGCTATCTGCTTCTGGATTCTGGTGAGATGGAAAGGTAAGGTTGCATCCGTATTTCGGAGCTCGCTGTCTATTCCTTAATACTCCTCACATTGACTCAATGCCCATCTGTATAGGGCTATGATAGGGCTAGTTATTCGCAGGGTTTCTCCTTGCATGATTGCTGCCTGGAGATGGAGATTGGCCACCAGCTAGGGATGGGATCGGACGAATTCTTCAGGTTGACTACTCTATCGTGGCATCACCCCGCAAGATCATTCCGTTCCTGCAGAAGCTGTCTCACATATAGTGCTAGGTAGTACAATCAAGTCGTTGATCTATTAAATACACATCGCATTCACAATGCTGAATGACCCTCTATCTCTAATCTCTATTGCACAGCATGCTTTTACCCTCATATCTCATCCCCCCCATGTATGCTCCATGCACACCCCTACAAACACCCTGAAACACCACATTCCAACCCCTCAACGCCAGCAACACTCAAATCAAATCATCAGCCAAATGAAATGCCTCAATTTCGCCAAACATTTCGGAGCTTCCAACCACTCAGAACACCCAGGCACATCCTCTGCATGCTGATAAAGACCCGATAACCTGCTATACCAACTATCACACCCTGGACATTTATACGGGTGGAGATCGTCGCCAGTCGTGTATTTTTTGCGCTGATAGCACTGATGAGCTAGTTTGTAGATGCGACTTTTATCCGTCCCCGATGAACAATTGCCGAATTCGAGGTGGATTAACATCCCCGAGAAGGATTTGAAGGTTTGTTCGCAGCCGTAGCATTCGAGGTTTCGGGGGTGATGGGTTTGGTTGTGCTATTCGATCCATTAGCCTCCCTCTTCATCTATAGACAGGACAAGGCAGAACATACCATCCGCAAGTTATTATCATTCCCAAAGAACCGCTCACAAGGCCTACAATACGAATGCGCCTCTTCATAATGATCCTTCAACTCTCCTACAGATCCGAAATCCCCCCGATCCCCACGCGGACATTCAAAGCAGGGATTATGCGAAGACGAGTATCGAATATGGGCTGTCTTTGCGCCTCGTTTCTTAAACACCCGTCGACATCGTTCGCACCATTCATGGCGTGCTGTATTTCGGCAGTGGTCGTATAGGGCTTTTTTGTTCTTGAAGTATCTGTCGCAGAGGAGACATTCGTATCCATCGCCGGTGCTTTTGAGGTATGGCCCTAGTGCCATGTTGATTGTAGGGGAGACAGGGAGAGAGACGGTGATTTTGAATAAAAACCGGAGACCGCTAATTTAAGAAGATGGGGAAGAATTCATCTGACAGAACAGAAGATAAAGAACAGCCGTGGAATGGAGATATGTCACAATGGACAAGTCAATCGGACTGCTAGACAATGCACCGTCGGGTAGCGACATGGGTTGCCCCAGATGCAGTGCAATAGTAGGAACCCACTGTTGTATTCTTAGCCGAAACCCTCTGCTTTTACAGTCAAACGGATGGTCTGGTCAATAATCTATCATTTGCTCCCTATGTACAATCCTAACTACACAATAACTCGACATGGTAACCAGGGGATAAAACGCCTCCTAAGTATGGGAATAGGTAGTATGTACCGAACATGCGACGCTGATCACATTTGGCCGTCTAGCAGATGCAAGGCAAGAAGGTCAAAATCTTTTTTTCTTTTTTTCAAACAAAAACTTGCGGATCATCAGGATAATCATGCTCGTTTACAGTACCTCCTTGAGCGAATCGGACAAAAATCGGTCCTCGGCTCGGCGCATCAGTTTGTTGGTCTGTTCGGCCAAACTGAGAGTCAAGACCTACATGAGCATTAGCTGATCGTCCTTGGCATTTCTATTTAAATATGCGATGTCACTTACAGTGTGAGGCAAGACACGGGCCAAATGGGCAAAGAAGCCCTTGTAGATGGCGAAAACACCCTCCTTGCGAATCGTCTTGTACAGGCAGTCAAATGCGCCCTTGTACAAATCACCGGTCTGGTTGTACATTCTGGACATGACGGTGTCTGATGATTCAAGTCAGTCGGGTTGTGCACTCATTTAGCATTACCAATAACTTACCAGGAGGGTGCATCACGCAGCAGACGACAAATCCGGAGGCTGTGCTACTGGCCAAATGCAGACCGGGGCCCTCTTCCATGCCCAAGTGCTTCACCAGGCGTCGCTTCGCAAAGAAATAGGTAGGGAGCTGAACGGAGCTGCCGAAACCAGTGCGCACCATTGCTGCTCCCACGCCACGATATAGTCCGTTCACTCCCTCGGTAGTGTAAATCTTGCGCAGTCCATCAAACGAGTTCTTGTACTTGTGCTGCGTACCGACTGGAAGGAATGGAGAATAAGATTGGAGTCGTGTCTTCACCAGGAAGAATGGCGATCCAGCAGCAGCACCGATGATACCTGACGCAGCACCAGCGAACACGTTAATACCCAGCGACTGAACGGCCGGGTCTGTATAGAGGGCTGTCGTCATGCCCTTGCGCAAGGGCTCGTAGAAGCCTAAACGGCAGCCGTTCAACAAGACTTGATAAATGTACTAGATATCCCCAGTTAGTCCCAATAGCATTCACAATCGGACACACGTCACATACGGCAGATCCGATACCGCGGAAAAGTCCGCGGGGACCCTCATTCTGCAGAATGACCTTGACACCATGGAAGACACCCCGGTACTTCTTGACAGCATCACTCTTCGTTTGCAGTTCTCCCTGCAGTTGTAACCTGCGATCCCGACCAGATCAGCCCTAGTACGGTGTGTGCGCATCGAGATCGTCCAGCACATACCGAATCTTCACGGTCTCGAAACTATGGGTGACGGTGACAGCTCCACACGCCGCGATACCGCCAGCAATAAATGCTCTATAAAAAGAGAAATGTTCTATTAGTACAATTTGTCATTGCCCACCAACGCAAGCTGCATAGCGAACACTCACCCTGTGGTTGTGGACATATTCTCTCAAGAAGCGGTCGCCGTTAACGGAGAAGAGTCGAAGGCCGCGGAAAGCGGGCAGTGATCAAACAGAGATCGCAATAATTCAAACAAGTTTATAAATATGAGACAGAGGATGAAAGAGTGAAAGGAAGCATAGGCTGGGTATAGAAAATGATCGACAAGAACAAGCCAACGCAGTATTGTGTGTTCAGCTGACTGCAGCTTGGTGTTGATAAGAATAGGAAATTGAAGGCCTGAATCTGAAGGAAGCCCGGCCAACGGACCTGGAGCGTTCACCACTTGCAGTTCCAGAGATCCATGGGGGAGCTTGGCTTTGCCGATTGGTTTCCACCGCCGCTTATTGGCCAATGGCACTTACCGGTGCCTGCCGAGTTTATGCGCGCGCCGACCTTCGGGATGAGTCAGCCGCCGGGGTCGGAAGAATATATTGCCGGGAGATTGACAAACGCGTCAAACATGGAAAAAGAAGGTCGCGTTGACCGCGCGGGGAGAAGTTGAGGACAGGAAGGTCGATTCTCCTCTTCAGTTTGGTTTCTGCTATGATTTGAGCTTGCTCCAGATTGCTGGTCTTGCATTCTGTCGGCTCAAGTTGGATTCTGTGGTTTCACATCGGGGTAACGTCTATAGCGATCAAGAAAGATGGCAGAAGGCCAGCAGCAGCAACAGCAGCAGCAGACGTCGTTGCAGAGTCAGAAGGTGTCTGATATCATTCGTAGCTATCGTCCTACAAAGGTTGGTGCTTGCAAGCTCCTCAGCTCAAGTGACGAATCTAATTGGTATTTCTGCCACAATAGGCCTTCAAAACGTCAAAGAATGAGCCCACCAACTACGTAACATCTCTGGATTTCGATGACCAGGGTGACTACCTCGTTGCGGCCGGCGACGATGAGACAATCCAGGTTTTTGACATCAAGGAGGGTAAATCCTCAAAAACTGTTCCTAGCAAGAAATACGGTGTTCATCTAGCTCGGTTCACACATCACTCTCGCCAGGTCCTTCACGCAAGTACCAAGGTCGATGGTACGTTCTTCCATCATGGCCTGTTGGATTGCTCCAGCTTACATTGACCAGATTCGCTACGATTGCTCGACCTCCACAATGAGGGTTACGTGCGGTATTTCTCCGGCCATACAGACAAAGTGACTTCCTTGGCTCTCTCTCCTGGTAACGACGCCTTCATCTCGTGTTCCAAGGACAATACCGTTTCGCTCTGGGACCTCAATTCGAGAAACGTACAGGGTAAATTGAATCTCGCAACACCGTATCTGGTTGCATTCGACCCCTCCGCCTCTGTGATCGCTATTGCGTCCCAGTCAACCGCATCCGTACTCCTTTATGATTTCCGCAATTACGACAAGGCGCCGTTCTCGACCTTCGACCTGGCTCCTTATGAAGAAAGATACACTCCCTCTACCCGGGGTAGAGCATGGACTCGCCTGGAGTTCTCTAATGATGGAAAACACCTACTGGTTGGAACGGACTTTCATGGTCATTTTCTCCTCGATGCCTTTGACGGCGTTGTGAAGGCCTTTTTGGTTGGTAAGAATGGATCATCGGGAAGAGCTGCCCCGGTTTCGACAACTGGGAAGCCTGTCGGCCAAGGGGATGCCTGCTTCACACCAGACGGACGATATGTCATTGGAGGATCAGGCGATCAGCCTGATATTCTCATGTGGGATACACAACAGCCTCCGGATTCAAACCTCTTTTTGCAGCCCATGGGCAGGTCATCTCACCGTGGCCGCACTGCCCTTATCGAGTACAATCCGAGATACAATATGATTGCTACGGCTGACAAGGAGATTGTCTTCTGGCTTCCTGAAGATAGCTCTAAACCGGCTGATAAATAACAACCTACCACATTTGTTGGTAAAATGCTTTGTTGAGACGAGGACTGCGTGTCCGCTTAATCAACAGTCGATTACGCAGGCATTTTCTCGGTGCAGCTTCTTCCGCCTGGAGCGGAACCGAGTTGCTGTTGGAGATGTGCGTCATCTATCATGTCGTTCATATTTTGAGGTCTATCGAGGAAACTTCATTTCCGATCCTTGTCTTTACCAATCAAACTCCTGGCCGTGTTGCAAACCCAGACCGGGGGACCCTCCAAGTCTTCATCACCGTCTCTATGCTCTTCAACCGTGGCCTCTATCTCTCTGACCACAGTACGATTGCTGGATATGGTCACCAGCCCAGTGGCCCATCCATAGAAAAACACGCTATAGTTGATATCAGAAAGAATCGGAACCACTCTGTCAGCCACTTTAGGAAGTTTGCCATGCAACCTGCCCGACTCAATGACTGACTGTGCTTCGACAACCTTCACAGGAAGCTTCAACTCAGTTGGTACCAGAAAGTCTGATAATTCCTGGAATTTTTGGATGAGGGCCTCCCTATCACAATCGTGGAACTGGGCATCGCCCATCAATATTTCAGTCCTTTTCTTTTCGGTATCGGTGCCAATTGTATCAACGATCTCCCGCATTCGCTTTGCTGCCTCATCCGTGCACACCAGTTCGTGTGCATCCATGGCTGGCCAAAGCTCTGCCGGTAGCAGAGGTTGTTCCTTTTCAACCTCCATCTGCCTGAGAATGGCTTTATGATGCGATGGGCAAATGGGTATGTCTTTGTAATGGGACAGGTCCGAAACAACAGCGAGCAGCAGCGTACAATCCACATTGAGAGTGGAAGTGAAGCGTTTGAAAGGAGTGGGAAGGAGACGAGATATACCAGTGGACACAGCTATAGAGTCCCTTGCTCTATCAACATCTTCTGTCTGAGAATCATCCATGTTTCCCCCACATTCAACTGTGATTCCATAGCCTCGGATCACCTTGAGAAGATCATCAATCTCAAGACTCTCTCCTTCCACAATCTTTGGCAACACAAACCGTATGCGAGGATGCTTATACATCACCCGCGTAGCATCGGAAGCCTTCCTCATATCCCTGGCCAATTTAATCAATTCAAGCTCGTCGTCATCATCATCACCCTCGTCCTCATCGTCGTAATTCTGTAGAACTGTTCGGTTTTCCTCATCTTCCTCCCCGGAATCCGAATCCCCCTCCCACCCCTTTTTAGCCATCTCAAACAGTAGCCGATTCTCCGAAATCGTAGAAACCTTCACCCATTCCTCCCCATCATCAGCCACAATATCCACAAACACACTCCGCTTCTTGTCCTTATTCGGCCTCTTCTCCCCAGGAGCCACATCAACCCCCTTCCCATCCCCATCCCAATAAAACCTCGTCCCAAACGCAACAAGCCCCGTACAGCTCTTCTTCGCAACCGACCAAACCGCCTCATGGAACGGTAAATTCGACGACCGCAACGCATGCACCACCCGCTGATCAGCCTCGTCCTCGCCCTCCGCAGCCGTAATCGCCTCAGCCTTCTTGGCGAGTTTCTCCAGCATCTTCAGCTCGGAAACGATATTCGACCGCATTGTTCGTACTTCGACGAGTTGGGGATTGCGCAGGGTCTGGGTGAGTTGGGTTCGGAGCTCGTCTAGCTCGGAGAGGAGAAGACGACATCGCGCCACGAGGTGGGCAGCTAGGTCTTGTGCGGATTGGGGCTTTGGAGGGTTGATGTCGTCTTCGTAGTTGGTTGTCTCGTGCATTTTTGCGATGGATAGATGATATTACCCCGCTATACTGTGCAATCGATTTGTGGAAAAGTATATTGATGCTCAATAGCACGGAGTACCGTGGGTTGATTGTTGAAGGTAACTTGATATTTCCACTGAAATATGCACCCAGGAAATGAGAGATTGCTCAATTGCATATGGTGGTTGGGTTTCTTGACAGATTGACTTGGGGCCTAAAAAAAAAGTTGGAGCAGACCTTATGCGGGGGCCGAAAGCACTCGTGACGAGGAACTATGACTCAATGATATGGAATATTAACACTAGCAACTTCGAGAATCAGATGGAAAAATCAGTAGAATTCCATGTAATAAATTCATTATATTCAAGAATACAGGTTGAGCTGGTATGAAGGATTTACTGTTGGCTCTAATCCTCGGAGAACAAGTCCGTTGTCCAAATCCAGACGTCTAAATTATTCATGACCAAAGAAAGGCATCATAGAAAATAAATTCATGGCGTTAAATAGGAAACTGAACAGCTCAACAATCATACACTATTAGGCCAAACGCCATCATATGCTTGTGATACAGAAATACCACAACGACAATGAAGAAACCAAAATCAAAACCTTGTTTATCAAGTAGTGAACAAAAGAAGGAACCTCTCTCCTGGATAGCAGTACAAACCAAACGACTTTATACTAACTAACCACCTCCGTTAAATCCGCAAAAAAAGTATACAAAGCGAACGGACTAATCCGAGTGCTTGCCCGTGAGCCTCTTGTGCTCGCCCGAGTTGCGAGGGGATTCGTCTTCATCCTCGGACCATTTGTCTCCATCCTCATCACCAACAGCAAAGATAGTTTCTCCGTCAAGAGACTCGCGTTGACGTGGTGCAGAAGGGACAGGCTTAGGGGGCACAGGTGACAGGTCACGGCGTGCTTGCGCGTATTGATTCTCGGCAGGGGGAGCAAAGGCATCTTCTTCATCCAATCCACTGTTGAAGGAGCGGATCTCAAAACCATCGTCATCTTGCGCGAGCTGTAGGTATTGTCAATATACTTTCTTTTCAAACCCGTGGGTAGAGGGGGCCATACCTCATCACTCATAGCAAATCGTCTGTTGTTGGCAGTGGGTCGCCACAGATAAGCAACAAATCCGATGTCAAACAAGTAGACAATGTTGAGCCAGCCATCCAGCACAAACCACCGACTCCTCCAATGCTCGGGCACAAAGCTGGCTTCACTCCGACCGGCAAAGGCGATCGAGTTGATAAAGAAGAATCCGAAGATTACAATGATACTGCCCAAGATGCACCACCACAGCTTCTTGTACATCATAGCCTTGGTCTTTTGCTTTCTGTCAATGAGATCCTTCATCGTCGCATTCAACGAGTTGAGAGTCCACACGTAGAATGCAGTCAGAGTACCGGCAAGTGGAAGCACAATGAGAAGGACGAGTGGGCCAGCGCTATCTGGAGTAATTGACAAACTCGCAACAGCATAGATCACACCAAAGACGAAGTGAGTGATTGCGAGGATCCGGACATAGATCATAGTTCGGCCAAGAGAGGGCTTGACGACTCCGTAACCCATACAGACAATGAGAAGGAGGAAGAATGAAAATGAATTGCGTCCCGCATTGAGCACAGCTACAATCACCATAAGTGCTTTGGCGCCGGCATTCAAACCATGGCGATTTTGGAAGTCTGTGGACGGTTAGTCAAACAGGTATATGGAATACGCATATGAAGTTTAAGGCATACCGTAAAAGCCCCATGTCATCAACTGCTCAACGATCAGGAAGACAAGAATAGCGGTTATATAGTTCTGGACGGGCACTGTTGACTGTCAGTGGTGATCCGGACGGGGCTCGGGCTCAAGTCACTTACAGATGTCGTGGCGGTTCTGAACGTATAAAAATGCCCAAAATCTATGCCCAGTCAGTGATATCCTTTGAATCGGCTTTCAAGGTGACATACGCTCCAATCACGGCGTAGACAATTGTCAAAGCTCCATAGAATGGCAGCTTGGCAATTTGCGCACCCGGAAGTTCACCGTATGCATTCCTAAACTCGACCACCGCTTTGTAGTCCTTTTGATCGTATCCATATGTGCTCACACAGTAGAAACCAGTTTTTTTCACGGGGTAGTTCACGGCTTGGGGGTTGCTGAGGTGCACTGTTTTCGAGATGATCGGGAATTCGGAGGCTTCGGTCGCGTTCGCGGCGAGAATGAAGGAGCCTATTTGTTCTGACGTACACAAATTGGCCTGGACACTGGTTTCATCGCAAATGGTCTCCTTCTCCTAATAGTTGCGAATTAGCAATAGGTAACAGCGGATAAAGGAGTTCTCCGCAATTAGCCTGAGGCCATACCTCAGCATCGTCCGAAATGGATCTCCCAATCAATTCCTCATCAGTCCACTCAAAGATGACCAAACTGACGCGATCATTGCCCTCGGTAAGAGTTGAGTCCTTCGAAAATCTAGCCAATATAAATGGATCGGTGTTTCCACCCCAAGCCTTGCGGCTGTACATCCCCGAGCAACGCTGCCGATGAGTTTCATCTTGTTTCTAAGTCCAGCGTTAGATATGAACTGTATGAGTCTGTTCGTAAAAATGAGCGCACCAATTCCACTTCATTCGCAAGCACCCGTCCTACCAGCAGAGCTGATAGGCACAGGGTCTGAAGCCAGCCCTTCATCGTCGTGGTCGCAAAACACAGAAGCTACCAAGTGATAGTACTAGGCTCCCGGATTCCCGATGAGAAACGGATCTATTGACGGTTGTGGATCATAAGAGCAAAAATAAGTAAATTATTGTCAGTAAACAAAGAGACCATCAAAACGCTGCTCGCACATTCAGATGGTTCTGCGAAGCTCGTCACTTGTTGGAGTTGTAAGGAACCGTATCGTGGCTACTAAACCGGGGAAGCCGCGTGTTGCAGCGTCCCGCCAATTATCTAAGCCCATGTGCCGCACCGCCATCGGGGCCAAAGAATTCTGCCTTTTCTTCTTTACGCCCACCAACAAGGCATTTCTACTTATTCAGTATCACCATATTTTCGCAAGCCAATATGCCTGGGAAAGAGCTCGTGGACCCGTGCATAAATTGCAGTGATGACGAGGCTTTTTTGGACGTCCGCGCGCGACGTCTATGCAGGTTTGTTAAAACTCGAGATATAATACTCTGCGGGGTTAGACTAGTCACTAACAATTTGTTCCCTCGTCTAGAGAATGCTTCACACGTTACGTGTATTATAAAGTCCTTCAGCGCATGGAAAAACACCGTCTCAGTCATGAGCGACGCACGATGCTTCTCCCCGTCTCATACGGACTATCCTCATCGGTTTTGCTGCATTTGCTGCACGTTCAGATAGAGCGCCAGAACTCGAGGCCGAGCCGTTTCCCTGGCTATAATCTTCATGTGCTAGTCGTCGAACCCTCCAGTATTTGTTCGTCGAACCCGTCGGATGAACAGAAGTTCGGCCTGATTCAAAAACATTTTCCTGGACATTCTTATACTCGGGCCCCACTTCACAGCATTTTCGAGGTTGATCCTGATATTCAGAAGACGTTGTCTGAGTTTGCTGGACCCAGTTTCGTGGATGATCTTTCTTTGTCGCCAAAGGAGCGCCTCGATGCTTTCCGTGCTTCGATCCCCACTGCCACATCCAAGACCGATGTCGATTATGCCTTGATGAATCGCCTTGTCGTTGCCTATACAAAGAAGTTGGATTGCACAGCGGTGTTGTGGGGAGATTCAGATAGCCGACTTGCTGCAAAGACTCTTGCCAATGTCGCCAAGGGGCGCGGCTCGGCGCTGACATGGCAGGTATGCGATGGGATGTCTCCATCGGGCCTGGAATTCAATTTCCCGCTACGAGACTTGTATCGCAAAGAACTACAGAGCTATGCTGAGCTCTATCCGGAGCTCACGGAGATTATCGTACCTGAAGAACCACCATCAGACAATATGCTTACGAAAAACCTCTCGATCGATGAGCTCATGATGCGTTACGTTCTTACACAGGGTGAGAAGTACCCTGGTGTCATGGCGAATGTGACAAGAACCGCAAGCAAACTTGAGCCGTCTAAAGCCTCACCCGATGCACCTCACTGCGCCTTTTGTAAAGCTCTCATCAGAGGTCCTGAAGGAAAATCGAAGGGAATGACGGCCGCGGACAGTCTGAAAGAGGACCAAAACTCTCAATTCTGTTACGGGTGTGCCAGATCACGCCCTGACCTGGCCTGCTAATCAAATAACGAAATATACAATGACATTAGATTGAAACATAACAGATAAGGGGTGCTCATAAACTGCTAGCCCCTCCAGGCATCATAAGGTGCATCATAAGGTATAGGGTGCTGTGTATACACAAATCATTATTGCCGCCTTGGATCATTACCATTTCACACAACTCCACGCTCCAGGTCTCCTGGTCCCTGCTCCAGGTCTGCTGGTCTTTGTTTCGATCCGCCAAACCACCTTTTCTCTGAGCGATTCCTTTGTGGGTGCCTGGCGGGTTCAGGTCTGGTAGGAGTTCGGGCACCACTCGGACCACCAGAGCGAGTTGGACCTTCCCTTTCATATTTATCAAATTCATCCGGCAGACTCGCATCAATTTGATCTTGATCTTGTTGCCTCTCCCTTTTTGAAAGCGCTCGGGCCCCTTTTTCGCGCAGATGTTTCTCCAAAAGAACGGCATTACGTGTGTTGCATTTGTATATGGCATCTGCAATGTCTCCTACCAATGGTACGAGTCCGATGAAGAAGTCAATTATGATGTTGATCATCATTGACATCCGGAGGCGTCCTGGAAGTCCTCCATCGATTTTGTCGCAAGTCCTCATGACCATCAGGGCGAGGGCTGCATCAGCTGCATCACCGACACTGGAACGGTTTATATTAGCGCCAGGAACAATAGAATCCGAGTCACTTGAATCAGTACTTACAAAGGGAATAGAGCAATCACACTGCTCCAACCGAACCGAATCCCACACAAGTTGAAAAGGCACAAGTCCAGCCTGTATGCCCTGCGTTTCACTTGAGTTAGGACTTTGGCATCGTTGTCAGACAAGCCGGGTGGAACGGCTCTGCGTCGTTTCTGTGTCTTTTTACCAAATGCGCGGTTGAGGCGGGAAGCAGGGACTTCTTCGAAGTAAGGGTCCTAGGAGAACGATATATCTGTCAGTTATCACATCCATGGTATCATCATCTCCGCAATTCAGAGAATAAAACTGGTGCTGTTATACCTCTTTTCCAAAATGATTCTTCGCTGTCTCTCCCAAAATCTTCTTCCCGACCAATGACGCAATTTGACCCGACATGGCTGATTGATCGATAACACAGCAATGGCAAGGAATTCAAACAACGTCGTTAATACAGACACAAAAAAAACGTCGATTTATTCAATTTGTAGGGATGAGGATAAAAGTTCAAATGTAGAACGTGGGAAACGAAGAAATACCCCAAATAGATATACTAAATGCTCCGTGTTTCGACAGGCGCTCTGGGTCCCACCATTCAAGCCACAGTCGTTAAAGCACACGAATGATTGTTCCTTGAAGGGATATTTGGATGAATGGATTGACGTGGAAGCGGTTATGAAGGGGAGAAACCAGTTTTTAATTTTTCTCCCAACAACCGGTTATTTAATCAGATGATATGCTTTCTCCTGAGCTGAGCTGAAGGACTGTCCCTGGAACCCAAAACGTCATTCCGTCCACGGGTGGCTTCAGGTTTTGGTATTTTCCGACGAAGATCCTGCACCAGCCACACCTGTGGCGTTACATATGTGGCGCATTAGCTGCTGATTGGACTGCTGCGCCACATATCACCAGCTCAGCAGCAGCTCATCTCCGACCAACTCTCGTTTTGCTTTGCCTCCACCCCCAGTCATTGAGAGAGAGATCACTCGACCTCTCCTTGTTCGAAACTGTTCCATATTTCTTTGACGCAGAGCCATAGAGCACTGAGCTTACGTGTTCGCCACTGTCTCGCTGTTTGTTCCCCTACGATACACCTTCAGGGTTGGCGCTTGCCAAGCACCCTTCCTTGAAGCTGTTATCGCTGCCGTCCCCCTCACCATCTAACTTCTCCACCACCACTGTTGGTTTCGGAGAGTCTTTCACCAAATTCACCAGCCGTTTTGAAATGCTAGAAGACGTCGGACAGTATGACAGAAACAAAGATGCAGTTGGAAGACTGTGAGTCCCGGTCTCGTTACTGATGCCCAACGAGGATGACGCTGACTCGGTTGCTTGAACAGGGCTGGATGACCTGTGTGTCCGATTCATTGTTAACTTACCACGCGAAGAGCTCGAGTCTGTAGAGCGAATCTGTTTCCAGGTCGAGGAGGCACAATGGTTCTACGAGGACTTTATTCGGCCGTTGGACCCGGCTCTCCCGTCGTTGTCCCTGAAAGCGTTTGCGTTGCGCATTTTCCAGCACTGTCCGCTCATGTCACAATGGTCCCATTATCACCATATCACCGCCTTCTCCGAGTTTCTTGCTTACAAGACACGTGTGCCCGTGCGCGGGGCCATCATGCTGAACCAGGATATGGATGAAGTCGTGTTGGTCAAAGGTTGGAAGAAGGGTGCTAATTGGAGTTTCCCGCGGGGTAAGATCAACAAGGATGAGAAAGACCTAGACTGTGCTATTCGAGAAGTTTATGAGGAAACTGGGTTTGATATTCATGATGCCGGGCTAGTCAAGGATGAGAAGGACGTTAAGTTCATCGAGATCACTATGCGAGAACAGCATATGAGGCTGTACGTCTTCCGTGGTGTGCCGCGGGACGCTCATTTCGCGCCTCGAACCAGAAAGGAGATCAGCAAGATTGAATGGTATAAGCTGTCAGAACTGCCCACCTTGAAAAAGAGTAAGCAGCAGGATGATGGATTTGTGGTTGCAAATGCCAACAAATTCTACATGGTTGCACCATTCATGCATCCGCTTAGAAAGTGGATCGCGCAGCAGAAGAAGTTCGACTCGAAGACACACGCAGGTGTCAAGCAGATTCTTCAGAACGAGGGAGACATGTCGATGGATGAGGCCGTTCACCTTGTCAAGAGCACTATTACGCCTATCCAAGCTCCCGCAGAAATGGCCGCTCCGAGTGATCTGCCGGAGGTCACATCTTCCCAAGATGCCTCCTCCCATATCAAGCGTCTTTTGAACATCAACAATGCCATCCCCGCTCAAGACCAGTTTCTTCCTGCTCCGCCAATGCAAGCTCCTGGCCCCGAAGCTGCAAAGTCCAATGCTCTCCTGGCTTTGTTGAGAAGTGGCTCCTCGCAAGATACTGTCCCTCAAACTGCCATGAATGAATCACCATCACCACCACACGCAGCATACCCAGGGTCTTTGCCCCGGTCACAAACTTATCCAGCCCCGAACCTTTTTCCCGGCCTCCCACAACAAAGTCAATATGCTCAGCAAGCGGTCAATTTGCCGCAAGTCCATCCACCGCCGCAGCACAGCTTTTTACCCCCTCATCTATCTCCCGCCCCTGTTTTCCCGATGAACCCACCTCAACAGCATCCATTAGGGCAAGAGCTCCCTCCTATCACTCAGGTGGATCCTCCAGTCGGATTCCAAGGAATGCCGCAGTTTCCTCCGGGGCAAACATCGCAGCCTTACCCCGAGAGGCCTATGCAGTCAGGCTCAAATGTCTTCCTGCCAACGGAAAGACATGCCCCTGCACCCTTCCATCGGACCGGGGATCCTCAGTTCTCCCACCAAGCTCAACCTCCTCAAATCCAAGGCGCGACTGTACCTCCGGCGAGCAAGTTGCCCCCTCCTAAACTCACAAGTCATTCATTGGCACTCTTGAACGTGTTCAAAGACGAGAACTCCAAAACGCCCAGGGGTTCTCACGCAACGCTGGTATCTGAGAATGTAACTGTCCAGGAACGCAAACCTTCCCAACATCAGGACCAGCTATTGAGTCTGCTCAGGCGATCTCCCGCTATGCCCGCTCCTGGGCCAGTTGAACTGTCGGGCCACCCAGTTTCTCCACCAGGGAAACGGGTCCTTCAGCGCCCTCAAAGTACCAAGCAATCTGTGGCTGATACGACTAGGGCTCTTAAAGGCGAGCCTCGGACTTCGGCTACATTGTCGGGACCTTCAAATATGCCGCAGGTCGAAGGCATTGCTAAGCACTCGCCCAGAAAGTCGTCGAATGGTCCCAACCGGAAACCCAACAGAGATCGTCAGACACCGCCTGTTTCCTCGCCTATCACCATATTAGCTAGACCCCAGACCTCAAAACGAGAGCAATCTCCAGTTCCAGCTGCGCAGCCTCCGCGGTCCTCCCCGCGATCTTCCCCACGGCTCCGTTCCAATAAAGCGAGAAATGCTGAACCACCTAAACCATTCCAGCCACAAATTTTGCGCCGTTCCGACAAGGCTGATTTGAACACTACGCTGCCTGTTCGGCCAAAGGCTGCCGATGATTCGGACCAGCAAAACAGGGACGGATCTGAGTTAGAGGCCCCAACCAAATTGGATCGTCGGCCAAGCCAAACACCTGCCCAAAAAGAGGCGCTCTTGTCCCTCTTTGGCAAGCAGGCTGTTTCCCCTGGTAGTTCACCGTCGGGGCTCGATCTTCAGGCTGCTGTTGTAAAGCCATCCGGCACTTCCTCTGTTGCCAGCCCACTGTCGCCTCTGAACCTCCCTGTTAGTGGTGAGTCGATTTCCAGACATGGGTCGCCTTTCGAGGTTGGGTCTCAGAGCTCGAACCACCGGGGTTCAGCGCCAGGCAACAAAGCCTTCTTGCTTGGATTTTTGGAGGGGGTTGCTAAGGGAAATAAGTAATGGCTACTTGTGTTTGCCACGGTATTATCACGGAGCTTTTTTATGTGCATAGTTAGGAGGGGTTTGCTTTCGTTTATATTCAGTCTACCATACCGTCTATATGATCCGTTCAAAGTATCTTTCCCATATCATGTCACTGTAACCACACATGCTACCTAAGACAAATGTAAGCAAAATTACTAAAAATTGGTCTTGGACTAGTAGAATGGCACAGTAAACTCTTGAATCTTTATCAATGAATCGAATTAATGGGCCGAGTCTTGATATCAAAGAACCCCACCGGCCACTCACGCCTAATCCGATTCTTACTTCTTTTGGTAAGGGCACGATTATGTCATTTATTCTGCCATTTCCCACCGCCTGATTTTCAATGACAGCCCTTCGATTTGTAAACCAAAAGATCTCCAATTGTCCGCAACAACATCAATACAATTATACGGCCATGATGCGTCCTGGAAGATCTACACATTCGGTATGCGCTCGCTGTTTGACGCGCAGTCGGCTCTTCTCGACCACTTCACAGCCACGCGGACAGCAACAGCAAAATGCGATTCCTCCTTCCCCACCGCGGGCCGGTTATACTCGACTGACGAACCGGGGATTGATCACCATTACAGGAGCAGACAGCACTACGTTCCTTCAAGGGCTGATCACCCAGAATATGCTGGTCACGAATGACCCGAATCGAGCCGCTCGTCGAACCGGGTCCTATACCGCTTTCCTCAATTCCCAGGGCCGGATATTGAACGATGCGTTTATTTATCCATTTCCCAAGACCGACAGTGAGGCAGCCTCGCTTGACGACCCGGCCTGGATTGTTGAGGTGGATAAGAACGAGGTGCCAACTCTCATGAAGCATCTCAAGAAGCACAAACTCCGCGCCAAGCTGAAGTTGCGTGCTCTCGAGGACGGGGAGCGCACCGTCTGGTCTGCCTGGAAGGATCATACCGAGCCCCGATGGGCGGCTTACAATCTCGAGTCTGATTCTTCATCGCCATTTTCGCCGGACTCGCCTGTTGCGGGGTGCGTTGATACCCGTGCCCCAGGATTTGGATCCCGACTCGTCACCCCCGGGGCGGAAGACCTCCGGATTCATCTTCCTGATGAATCTCAGATTGCAGGGTCCGAAGTCGACCTGGGGTCGTACACTGTACGCAGAATGCTGCATGGTGTGGCGGAAGGTCAGAGTGAAATAATCCGCGAGTCTGCTCTTCCGATGGAGTCCAACATGGACATGACGCGGGGGGTTGATTTCCGCAAGGGCTGCTATGTCGGCCAAGAGCTTACGATCCGTACTCACCACACGGGTATTGTTCGGAAGCGTATTGTCCCTGTGCAGCTTTACACAGGCGAGCAAGGTGCATTGGAATCAGCCGAGACTCCTGTGTATGATCCCTCCACGGAGCTCACATTGCCGCCTAGTGGATCGAACATCTCGAAGGACAGTGCACGCAAGGGCCGCAGCGCAGGTAAATTCCTTAGCGGCATTGGAAACATCGGTCTTGCGTTGTGCCGACTGGAGATGATGACGGACATCTCGCTTACAGGCGAAAGCAGCCAGTATAGCCCCGGCCAGGAGTTCAAGATCTCTTGGGCTGCCGCAGAAGGGGAATCTTCTGGTCCTCAAGAGTCAGGGGAGGTGAAGGTGAAGGCAATTGTGCCGCCTTGGACAAGAGAATATATCAACTCTGGTGGTGTGCAAAAGAAGAATCCCGCCAGTCGCCAGGGAGCAGATGAATTGGAAGGCCGACGGGCCAGGGAATTTGTAGAGCAGTTGGAAGAAGAAGAAGAAACCGCACAACGGCGGCACGAGTAGTCAGATGTCATGTATTCATGTACTGTACATATATAATGATCTTGTATAATAAGTGGATTCATTTAACCAAAACTGAAACAAACACCAGAATGACAGGAAAAGAACTGCAGGGGTATCTCCTGAAATAAAACATCGAGCAAGCCTTCTATACAAATAATGACAACGTTAAAACACATCAGCTGCCAGTAACCAGCTAGCGCCTGGATTCAGCAGCAGCTTCAGCGGCGTCCGCGGCCTCGTCTTCTTTTTGAATTTGTTCTTCGAGGGCTTTCCGTTCCTTCTCCCGTTGCGCATTCTTCAATCGCATCAGTGTCAGCTCTTCCATGCTTGGGGTGCTCGGTCCCTTGGCCGAGTCGTCAGAAGATGTTGATTGCTTTGAGTTGGCCGATGCGGCAGCGGACCCAAATGAGGCGAAAGAGGGTGCTTTACCAGGCTTCTTACCCGCCCCATCAGATGTAGCTGTTTTGAATCCTGGGAAGTTGAACTTTGGTTTGGAAGCAGTAGAAGGGGCGGTTGTATTCTGAGTTGGGGTTGCCGGTGCACTTGGTTTCTGGGGAGATGCAGGACGATTTGTCTCCATTCCCAGCTCAGGCTGAGTGCCCGATGCCCAGAATACTGAATCAATAACAGCCCAGTCGTCGTCTGTCCGTCCGGTACTCTGGCGTCTCTTTTTTTCGCTGTCCAGAACTGCAGCATGGGCGCTGACTATGGAGGCGAAAACCACGACGCCTGTCGCGACAGTCTTTTTCTCGCGATTGTCTCCGATGCGTTGCCGCTTGTCCTTGAGTGTGATTGTGCTCTCAACCTTGCCGAACGGGGCAAAGAGAGAAGCCAGAGAGTCTTTGTCCAAGTCCATGCCTCGACCTTCCCGGACCCAGCGTACTTTGACCGCACGTTCGAGCTCGGAGACATTGGCGCCCCCTTCCTGTGACCGATCAACCCGCTGGCTGCTTCTATCTGCTGCTTTCTTGGCTTCCTCCTCCTCCTGCTGCATTATCTTTTCCTCCTCTTCCATTTCTCGCTTCATTTTATCTTCTGCTTCTCGCCTCCGTCGGCGCCCATCCTCCGCGATGCGCTCAATCTCTCTCTGTAGCTTCTCTTCTGCGTCGTCCTCGCCCATTCCACCCATCCATGACCTCTTGACCCCTCTCTGCGCGTCACCTCCCATGGCAGTTGCTCCTGCGCGCTCCCGCGCCTCCAGGTCCTCCCTCATCTTCCTCTTGGCCGAATCCATCAGATCCCTCTCCCGCTGTTTGCGAATCCGCGCCTCCCGCGCATTGTCATAGAGCTGTCGTACCGTGGGGTCCGAGAGTACATCATAGGCAATTTGAAGCAGATGGAACTTGTCAAGATCTGCGGGGGTCGGATTTGAGATCTTATCCGGGTGGTACTTGAGGGCGGCGCGTCTGTATGCACGGCGGATTTCGTTCTCGGCGGCGGCAGGGGAGAGGTCGAGAAGGGCATAGAAATCCTGGTTAGAGGCGGCGTGCGCCTTGAGGTCGTCGGTTGATGCCATTTTGGCGATTCAATAGATCTGACTTGTGTTGCGTAGAGGATCTCCGTATGAGGACGTTTTATCGAGGGGACGGTTTGATCGTCCAGTCCAGTCGCAGAATCAGATGAGGGAAGATGTTCACGCCAGGAAAAATGGAAATTTAAAGAGAGAAGCTTAAGAAACAACGATATGACTCCTGTTTGAAGTTCCAACAGGGTCTGTCAGGAGAGAGAGAGAGGAAGATGAAACTCGAAAAAAAGTCGCGGTGGATGGAAAGTCGAAAAAGAGAAGCTCCGGCGGTGGCGACGATCCACTATGAAATCTACTATGACGCTTCACAAACAATAGATTTAAGTCACCAGCTTTTACTTTTATATTTTCAACGAGATATTTTATGACGATCTGTATTATTTTAGGATTCTATTTAAACTGCAAAGTGGTTTTGTTTTAATGGATATCTTGGATCGTGCTAACCATCTGACTGACAACCATATATATACTTCACAACCTCTATTTCTCGACTTCAAACAATAAACCCAACAACTTCAAATTACTTTTTAAAGATATTTTCATTATGGGTATATTCAAATGAGAATGCCTCAACAACATTTATGACACCTCTAAACATTACTGAGAACTGAGATGTTGATCTAGTATAATCATACGGTCGAGCTGTAGCCCTAGAGCATCATATACTCCTGACGATGTTTGATATTACTGCCTCAATATATGGATAATGCTTTGTTACATGATATATGACCAGTATCTTCATTCAATGATGTCTTATACCAGGTATCGTGTCGTGTTTTTCTAAAGTGCTTGTCGAAGATGAGCAGCACGTGCTCTCCAGAGAACCTCTTGGGAATCTGGACGACTTCATCTTCCTCACCAACTGCGCGTCTTCACCTCATCCGAATTCCACTGGACCATCAACAGAAGCCACTTTCCCAAGGGATGTTTCTACCCAAAACCATGGAGAAGGATTCAGTCCCATCTCCGGCCCAATTGGCTCTTGCAATGGCCGTCGTCAAGCAGAAGCCAACAGGCGTAGACATCAAAGGTTAGGAGAATTGACTGCCCTTGGTCTTGATATATATTTATTAACTGAACATCCAGAACATATAATGCAGATCCGGGAATTCATCAAGGAAACAAAGGATTCCCATCGATCTAGCTCCCAGGACAAGTTCTTTGATAGCGTTTCCTTCTGGCAGCAGGCATTTGAGAAATCCGAAGCCGAGCAGATCAAACTGCTGGATCGAATATATGAGCTGGAGCAACGAAATGAGGCACTGCTCTCCAAGCTACAAACAGGTAGTACTACCCATGAAGAAAAGACACAAGAAACAAACAAGCGCAAGGCCAATACGAATAAGAACACTGCAGCTCGAAAAAGAGCAAAGACACAGGCATTCAATCAGAAAGCTCCTCTGACCGATGATCAAATGGGTGGTGATAATGCAATCCTTAATCAAATCGAATATCTGGAAGAATGTTAGTCAATCCGTTGGCTTTCAGTCTACTATGCTGATGATTGTAGCTACGGGCCCATTTATGAGACACTTCTATGTCCTACAAAGTGTGCTACAAAAAAGACCAAATCGCTCCATCATCGTTAAAGCCACTGCCAATTTATCCAAGACAGCAGCCAACGAACTGCTCAATGCATCTCATGACAAAAAGGCCGCAGGTCGATCAAAAACGGCAATCTTGATACAGAGCAGAAAGCCTAAGATCACTGCTGTTCTACGCAGCGTGGAACATGCTTTTCAACTTCTTTACCAGGGATTAGAGAAACTGATTGGACCAAAGCAGAGTATGCTGGAAATAGGGCAGGTCATTTATCACCTCGTCAGCCTTTTTGACGCAGCCATGAAGGCCTTGCAGCAGAACTGCAAGACCAAAGCTGAACAGTCCACAAGCACAAAGGCAAACGCAAAATCTACCAAGAACAAACAGACTACAAAGCCAAAGAAATCAGTGACTGCCCTCGCCCCTCCCAAGGCTGATGATGAGCTAGCGACTCAGATAACTCGATTACTGGGTACTATGGCACTCTCGCTTGATCTTACATGCCCAGAGCACCAGGAGATATTGGAGGGCTTTCTATTTACCTTGCTCACTCGTGTTGGTGTATTGCTAAGTCTCTTTGTTTTTCAAGATCTACAGTTACGCCCTGATCTCCAAATCGACCCTGCTCATCTTCCGCTCCCCAAAGGGTTAATGGAGGCTGGCCTAGATGATAAGTCATTATGCGCAGCGCACTTGGAGGCAAAGCATCTCATCTGGCTCTTGGAGAGAGTATTGGCTTCCTTGGATTCTACACCATCCTGCTCTTTACCACCGGAAACCACATCTTTCGTGTTTAAAATAAAACAGCAACTACAAAGTACCTTGCTTCAAGCTGTTTTCGGTGCAGATAGCGTGCATTTCCACGAATCCTTGCAGTATCCCATGAAGCCTGACGCTTTAGAGCTTGACCAGATACAGACTTCAACGCAAACGCCTGAACAGACGACTCCTGACTGGTTTATACAAGAAGTTTGGAGACTACTGGGGTGGGATATGCTTATGAGCGACGACCTTTACAAGAAAAAGTGAAATTATATCTGCTCGTTTCTTCTCTTGATTTGCTAACTCCCGTATTTTTAATCGTTCTAAAGTTCGATTGATGACTGCAGATTCTGTCTATTTCCTCATCGAAAAAGTATACTATACAGCTCAGTATGATCTTGATTTATATATTTACTAATCGCTCCTGTACTTCCATTGCTAGATGCAAGATATTAATAATGCAAATCGTGTATAACCCTGAGGTTCGAGAACTCATTTCAGATTAAGAATTCTAGCTGCATTCCCTCCCAAGACTGCTGTGACGGCATCGTTGTCTGTATCGAATGCAGCATGGATTGCTTTATAATTGGTCGTTACGCTTGCCCACTTCTCGTCTTTACTCTCCAATGGAGGAAAGAATGGATGATCAGTTCCTGGTAAAAAGGTCAGCAATACCACTACTTGGACCCAAGAAACACATTCTTACCAAATAGAAGTCGGTCAGTTCCTCCGCTAGCAGTTACAGCTGCATTTAGTCCAGCCGTGCTATATACAACTGCGTCGAGATAGATATTTGTCTTCAGGATATCCCACACACTCCTCTGCGGACCTGGAACGTCGCCACCATTCGCAACAAACTTTCTTTCATGAAGGATGCAACTCTCTATCCGCCCTGCGAGGAAAGGAAGCGTCCCTCCAGAATGAGCTAGTAAGATCTGCAACTGAGGGAACCGATCAAAGACGCCAGACAGGAGCATTCTCGTCACTGCAATTGTAGTTTCTAGAGGAAACCCTAATGCCAATGGGAGAACGTGGCCGTATCGGTTCGTCGCATCTGAACCACCAAATGCCTCATCGGGGAGGCCGTAATGGGGGTGTAGAAATAACATAGAGCCTGTTTCTTGGAGTGCCGCCCAGATGGGATCTAACCTGGCATCGTCTAGGCCTTTCCCTAGCCCGGATGTGCCCATGATGACGCCCCGTAAATGAGGCAGTATCTTTAGTCTCTTGATCTCGTTGACGACGACATCGGGACTGGGCGCACTCAATGGCAGTGCCCCAAATGCAAAAAGTGTTTCTTTATCGTGGAGTGCGCTGGTTCCTGTTGGGTCCGCTGCTTGATTCACTCGCGCACATGTTGCTTCCAGGTCATTGTTTATACGCTCTGCCCATACCTGAGCTTCTTCAGGCTCGAGAAAATCTAGCCAAGGATTGGCCAAGGATATGACGCTCGAATTAATCCCGTGTTGACGCATGAAGGAGAGCTTCGCGTTGATGTCTGAGTAGGAGGAATCCACGGGACGACCGCGCTGATCGAGGGGAATGGATGGATCGTCATCAGAAGCGAGGATGATGAGACGTGGAGTCGCATTGGAGGGTGGATCGTGGATATAGGGAACCGTCTTGCGCGAGCGCAGCATGTTCATATAAGACGGAGGGTAGACATGGGTGTGAATGTCGACGATAAATGGAGGTGCCATGTTGAGCTTCTGTTTTCTATCTAGATCAGCTTCAAGTAAATATTGATTCAGTAAAGAGATGGAACTTGCATTATCCTTCTCAACTCTGGAAAAACGATGAGAAAGATGCAGGAGGGGTGATTGTTAGATGCCAATTCATGGGATGCGGGGTTGCTGCATGCCACTACACAGCAGCACAAGTCATGCCTATCTTCTTCTGAGTGTATCTGGTACTTTCCAGAGATCGTTTGATTCTCAGGACTGCTCGATACCTTTTCCAATAAAAGATGATTGATTGTAATCCTTATTCTTGACTTGGATACCACTATCATTTGCCATTGACGATAAGCTATCGCAGTATTCCCATTTCTGCCAGTGAATATCGATTCACTTATCTTTCCCCTCAACAGTTCCTTTCCCATGCAAAGAATGTAACCCAATTCGTCTTTTGGGATGCCCTGCAGCGCACATGACCTTCTCTTCTTCTCCTTGGAAACCCATCATTATTCTTTGCATCAACATCGTCAGCTACCACCAACCACCAGCCTTCACTAGCTTGGATATACTTTCCTCTGTCTGGTCTTAATAAATTCAAGTTGTTCTACCAGCGCTATATTTCCAGAATGGAAGGCAACTTGCCCCAGCAGAAGTGTCGACCGGCGTCAACAGCTGTCGCGAAAGATGACCTTGTCATTCCTGTGAAGCTACCCTCCGATACTTGATTATTATCTACTATCCCCTACTTCTGCTAATAAATATCGAATTTCAGATAATCGATTTCAGTCCCTTTCTTAATGGAACACCCGCTGAGAAGCACGCAGTGGCAATCTCCATAACAGACGCTTTCAAGACGTCCGGTTTTCTCTATCTCAAAGACCACAGCATCCCACCTTCAGTGGTATCACAAGTTTTTGGATCATCGGCCCATTTCTTTGCCCGACCTCAAGATCAAAAAGATAGTTTACGCTGGATGACCCCACAGTCCAACCGTGGTTACATTGCAACGGGGCAAGAGAAGCTGACCCAGCCTGATGAAGCTTCCGGGGTCGAAACTCTACGAGCTACAATTCCTGATCTCAAGGAAACCATGGAGATTGGCCGAGATGATGTGGATGGCTCCCCGAACCGCTGGCCCGATCAGATCGATGACGAAGGGAAGGATTTTAAACAAATCATGAAATCGTTTTTCGATATGTGCAAGATACTTCACATGCAAGTTATGAGAGCGATCGCCCTTGGCATGAACCTACCAGAACATTTCTTCGACGAATTTGTCGATGCTGGAGACAACAATCTCCGGCTTTTGCATTATCCGTCCGTTTCTAAACACCTGTTTGAGAGAAATCCAGGGCAGGTGCGTGCCGGAGAACATAGCGATTATGGCTCTGTCACGCTTCTTTTCCAAGATTGTCATGGAGGGCTGCAGGTTCGCAGCCCCAAGGGAACCTTTGTGGACGTGACTCCTATTGCAGACACCATCGTTGTCAATGCCGGTGATCTTTTGGCTAGATGGTCCAATGACACCATCAAGAGTACTCGCCATCGAGTTGTCGAACCTCCCAGAGAAGCTGGTGATGAACCAGAACACAGTTCAGACTCATATCCTGCGCGGTATAGTATTGCATACTTTTGCAATCCCAATAGAGCCAAGTTCATTGAAGCTCTACCTGGTACATATGGAGAGGATATACATAGGGCCAAAAAGTATTCGGGGATTAGCGCTGGAGATTATCTTGTACAAAGACTGACAGCAACCATTTAATCGCTCTAATTTTTTTTTTTTTTTTTTTTTGGTTATAATTTCAGCCATTTTCGTTTCTCACATAGCGTCTTGATGAATGCATTGATTGATCAGATAGGATGTTTGCTTCGAAATATTCGAATGTTCAAATGTTCAAACAGTCACGAACACCCAATCTATCTCTATGTACAAAATTTTGGAAGAATCCTCGTCTAGTATGCAGAAGGCATAGCACTCACCCGGCCACCATCAGTAATGATGATGGTACCATTGAGGTAGCCACCAGAAGCACTGGCCATCCAGAGGATAAGGCCTGAGATATCTTCCTCGCTTCCGGCCCTGGTAAGAGGAATCATCTCGCGGGGAAACGAGCCTTCTGAGGTTCCCGATGTCTGAACACCACGGGCATCAAAGGCTGCCTGGGACATATCTGATTGATACAAACCTGGTGCGATTCCATTCACTCGGATATGATACGGAGAGAGAACCGTCGCAAGCATCTTAACCAAGTGATTAGTGGTAGACTTTGAAAGGCTGTACGCAAAGCTAAAGGGGACCTGACGGCCGAAGCCAGCAATAGAGCTGGTGATAATAACTTGTGCCGATGGCGGAGAGAGTGTGTTGGGAACGGGGGGAGGTCGCTTCTTGTTCGAAGCTTCAAGCAAAGGCAAAAACGCAATAACTGTATAATACGCCCCTGTGACGTTGATGTCGAACACCTTTTGGAAATCACTCATCGGAGTTGACCACAGCTCGTCGCGAACCTCAGATAGACTTGGGAGGGAACCGTCCGGCTTTGTAGGAGGGCGTATGTTGGGGCCCATGATACCACTATTTGCGAACAGCACATCGACATGATCCGTCTGTGCAGCGACAGACTTATAGGCAGACTCCAAGGACTCCTTGGACGAGACATCGCCTACAATAGGAACGATGGAGCCGTTTGGTCCCAGGGCCGCGGTCTCTTTCAATGCATCTTCACGTCGACCGATGATGAAGACCTTTGCAGCACCATTGATATCCAGAGCGCGTGCCATTGAGCGTCCCAGCCCTAGAGAAATCGGTCAACACTCCACGATAACCTCTAGATAATGTCATATCTGACTCACCACTTCCAGCACCTGTCACAACAACGACCCGGTCCTTCACGGAGAACAGCTGCGAAGCTTCGAGATGAGACATTACGGCAATCAATCAGGGGTAAGAATGCTATTCGATACAAAAGTCGACCGAGAAATGAAGATGGAAAGAAAAAGGAGCTGCGAGCAAAGCCCGAGCACGCCAGACCGGCACCCATTATTAATCCATCTCCAAGTGGATAGAGGAACAAAACGTCATAGGCTCCAATTCCCTCTCATAGAAAGCGGGGTTCCGCGGAGATCAGCCGATAAAATGATGATCTCGCTGTTCGTGCCTGGCAGCAGAAATTCTTCCTGCTGGTAAGTAGCCTTTTTCGTTTTCAGTTGGATCCAATATCTTATACTTACTTATATTCGCAGGGTTCTCATCGCCAATGGTGTTGATCATGCAATAACCCCAGAAGTTCCATCTTGATTCGGGGCTGGGCTACAGGGGTATTCTGCAACATTACGTCTTCTCATCAAGGATTCTCGATTCTTAATGAAAAGAAAGAGATAAAAACGAAAGTCTTGGGCTTAATGCGACGCCCAAAACAATATCTCAAAAGATTTCAACCCGAATCAACACTGCAGCTGAAAATAGCCGTCGTCATCAAAAGAACCATGGACCATGAGGACGTTTCCCCAGAACGTCATTGCTATCAAACAACTTGCTAAATGGAATGGTGCTGAATCAACTGCGAAGAGTATGCATTCGCAAATAATGTCCTCATTCTACTATGTGTTGATGAATTGATATCGGACCAATAGCTTCAGCCTCATCATGGACGGCATTTTTCTAAGACAGCTTCTAGTGTTTATCTTATGGTCAAAACAAGAGCCAGAATTACTACTCACAACACGCCAGAATAAGGAGAAGCATGGCAGTACCATGAGCCAAACCCATGGCGTGAAATTATTGTGCTCTTTCGCCTCGGAAGTCCCAGTTCCATCTATACTACACGATATGACTTGTTCGTGACCTCAATCAATTTGAAACGCCACAGAGCTAGATAATGGAATTCTTGATGGCAAGGAGCGTTGCCTCTCCCCATCTCATAGCTCCTATTCTATATTTTGCCTGTTTAGCTATGGCATTTCAACGTCATGTCTGATATATACGGGCTTTGATTCCTCATCCAACCCAGCTTTAAAGGAAGGGAAACACATTTCCTGGCTGTGTATCACTTACGTCAATGGCAAAAGAATCCTGGGGATAGTTTCTATATGTACTTTCAATGCCACCTTCCCCCTAAACATTGAATGCTATGCTAGCAATAGAGCACAACCAGCAACACACATCATGGCCTGGAATCATTTTCTAGTATCTTGCCTGCTTGGCTGGCTTCCATCTACTATGGCAATTCCCAATGAGAACATTGCCCGAGCTCATTCAGCGTCTGATACCACTGCAAGCCATCATACTTCGAACTCGCATATTAGCAGTCTAACCACCAGCGCCCCTGCCGCCCCCATCAGTGAAGCGCCAACTGTCATCGGGGCTTTGAATGCTAATTCTGTTGGCACTGGAATCCCTAACTTGGGCGTGGATCCGGCAGCTACTACTTACCCCAGTGATGGAAATCTTCATAGTCCTCAACCAGCTCCCTTCGTACCGGCCGGTGGTGTTGGAACAAATGGAACGACTCCCGTGTACAACGTGAAAAGCGATTTTGATTTTGAATCACTGGTATGCCATATCATGGAAACAAAAAGATGTTCCATTGCTAACAGTACTCACTAGGCTCTTGCGCTTTATACCGAGTATATTGAGCTGGACGTGTTCAATCATGGCCTTTCTCGCTTCTCGGAAGCTGACTTCCTTAAAGCCGGTCTTAACGCAGAGGATCGTTATTTGATCCAGTTCATGGCTGAGCAGGAGATCGGTCATGCAGCTTTGCTGAGAAATCTCCTAGGCCCTAAAGCACCTCGGCCATGCAACTATACATTTCCGTTTAGGACTATCCAGGAGTTTGTGGATCTCTGTCAGAAGGTGACTCGTGTTGGAGAGTCAGGAGTCAACGGGTTCCTTGCTCATCTTGATTCTCGGGAGGCAGCGGCATTACTGTCCCAGACGGTCACCACTGAAGGCCGCCAACAGATGATTTTCCGCCAATTTGAGGGCCTCTTTCCGATGCCGGTCTGGTTTGAGCCTGCAATCCCTCACGCCTGGGCTTGGTCATTGTTGGCGCCACTTATCAAGTCGTGTCCCAGCAACCAGACCAGGTTGGCATGGCAGAACTTCCCAGCATTGTGGATTCTAGAGCAGCCCAACCCTACTCGAGTCAATGCATCGGCTGGGCATAATGAAACCCTAGGCGCCGGTCTGAGTGTCTTGAGCAATGCGAATATCACCAAGTCTGCCTCGTGCCTCAACAACACTACCGTTGGTGTTCATTGCAATCCTGCAATTACCCACAACCGCACAACCCCCCTCTCCTACGCAGAAAACAACATAACACTGCTATGGGAGGCTCCGGGTAAGCTCGTTGGCCCTAATGGAAGCTATATCACCTCGACTTCCGCTGGAAGCCCGAAGTATGTCGCGTGGGTGACGCAGCTGAACGTGACCTACTCTACACTGGATGTCTATCATCCGGGCATTGGGACTACTGTTCAGCCGAATATGTCTGTATTCCCTGGTGGTCCAGGCATCAACAACACTATGTTCATTGCTGTTACGGATTCAGATCCTGTGCTGAGTCCTTTCAACATCAGCGCGATCAATCCGCACGTCGTTGCAGGACCGGCTCTTTTCCAAGCTGGATAATCTTCCGACAATTATTGAGAGTTGAGATAAACACGATAAGCTATGTTATCATTTAGATCGTTTATTTGTTTCCTGGCAGCTTCTTTTTCGAGGTTTCGAGTGTAGTTGTTTGTATGGATTTTCATCATACTATATTAAATATACAATAATGCCAATTTTCGTGATCTCACGCCTATATTGTAGTCTTAATAGACCCTCCATACGATATAACAATGTATTTGAAATCATATCAACTATCATTACTGTTGACTTTGCTATAGAGATCGGGACTAATTCCGCTAAACTCCGGGCGGTGATCTTCAGCTGGCGGCGATTTGTTCTATTCTTGTCCCGTCAACTGTCAATACCACATTCCTAAGCCTACGTCTTGATCCTTTATCACCACCGCGAAGCTTCTTTCCAGCTTCGTGCAATTTATTCCATCTCTCAGCTCACGAATGGAACCCCCCAGAAATCGAAAGCAACGGCGAACTGCCGCCGCTGCAGCAACCGATACCGACTCGTCTTTCGAACCATCCTCGATCCCTCTGGCCCACCCGCCCCGAGAAACTGCCTCGAAGAAGAAGAAAGAAAATGTGAAGACACTATATGATATAATTGCCGAAAGACAAAATGAACTTGGTGGTGTGAAGGATATGCCTGCTGGGTCGGGGTTGAAGCCTCAGTTCATGACGGTCGACCCTGCGTCCGGCAAAATCTCTGGCGTCGACCCGTCTGGTATTCTGGGAGAACAAAATGAGAATAGGGTTGAGGAGATTTTTGATGAGGAAGGCGAAAAAGAGGCAGCAGAAGCAAGTTTGCCTGACAAAGGTTCAACAGAGGCCCAGGAGCAACCTCTCCCGCCCTTCATCGACACGATATTGCTTTCGTTCCCCTTGACCACCTTACATCTGACGCTGGGCTACCTTGCAGCTCATCAGTACGCAGAGAAGATTGTACTTTCTCAACTCGTTCGAGAATCTGCGTTCATAGCATTTCCCATATTGACTTTACTTGTCCATCTAGCCCATGGACACGTCATCTCGTTGGGACGCAGCTCGGGGGACAGTAACACCACCGGTACAACATCGCTCTTTCCTCTGAGCCAGGACAAACTGTCTATAGCCTTTATGCGAAAGCTTCTTTTCCCGCCGACCCTGAAGACTGTGGTCTTTCTTTCGCTTGCCATTTTCCTTGGCAACAAATTGATGACGATTACCAACGAAGATCCGTACTACGCTGTGATGAAGCGGGCTCCGGCAATCGGTACGTTGTGGGTATGGAGCATCCTGGAGATCCCCGTTGGCGCAGCTGCACTGGGAGCGTTGGGACCCCTTGGATGGGGCGTTTGGTGGAAGGGATATGGTATTTTCTAAACCATGCGGTGGGAGTGGTATTCCCTCAGGGTTGATCACAAGTGAATATTTCGGATAGCAAGAGACATCCGAGATACATCTCGTCGGTGTCCGTTTTGCGTCGGACTTGCTCCGGTCAAAGGTACCATACCTAGGCCATGGAGCGTATCGATTGCTACAGCTCAAGCAGAACGATTCCTTACAGCCAAATGCATCGGGTGACGTTTCCAGGCATTCATTTTGGATGATGAAAATAGAGACGTGGTTGTCGAATCGCCACCGCGGCTAGATCGTGAAACTGATGACAAATTCACTGATAAGACAATATATCTCCAGGATTTCAAACCTGCTTGATCCGGAAGTCGGCAAAGGCCGCATACGCATATACTGAGTCCGGAACCTAGCACGACAGATGTCTGACAAAAGTCGAAACCTCCATGTACATAGCAGCTTGATAGCAAGTCCCCGGACAAACACCGAGTCAAAGCACCTGAACACAACTTCATATCGTTCAACTACAATACTTCAGGGTTACTGATCCCGACATTATCTTGGGCAATAAGGCCTGAAAACTTGAATGTTAATGCAGCGTAAGGTTGGGGGTGGAGGCTAAGCATAGTTGGCTGCTGCCACCTACGCAACGGATGCACAGACTTGGACAACTGGTCTGCTGACGTCCGAGCTCAGGAGCCAACGAAGGACTCACATTGACTTACCGTGCTTGCTCTACGGCGCAAGGTACGACAAATAATCTTTTGATGAAATGCAGGCACTCTAGAGTTCACCGCCTGCAGCTACATCATCAAAATACGACAGCATTTCTTGGGGAATTCGAATACAGCACCAACCCCTCCTTTGCAAAGTATTGATACCTTGACAGTGTGGAATGCGTTATTTACAATCCCTAGCACCAGGGTGACAGCGTCATTTGGTGCGGGGCTTGCGATCGAACTGGAAAGCCGTTGCAGGACTAATGCACATGCACAATGCATCTTTTCGATATTGCGGTCAATCAAGCGCTCCCTCGAACCCCCCTGCAAAACGGCCCCAAGGATGGAGCTGAAGTGGAGAGCGGCACTATCGAAATGGAATTGAGAGAAAATGAAGACGACGATAACGATGCAACAGACGAGAAAACCGGGATTTTGCGGTTCATGGAAGCTAGTGTGATCATGGCCTGCATCTACGTACCACCTACATAACAATTCTGCCGCCTTGGAGAGAGGGGCAACGTTAATCATTCGTGTGTACCTTGCCCTTTCAACCGTTGGTGCTGCTGCAGTGGCCATTAATGACTATTGGTGGCTGCGTCTTTATGATCTCGACCCAGTGTGCATGAAAGAATTGCCGACCCTCCCTTGCAATGAGCAGGGTGTTTCGATACGACTGATTGGCGTAATTCCGGGCCGGTGAAGCAGGATTTAGTTACATATGAATGATCACCTGTCATGAAGTCTGGGCGACGTATTGAGTCACCGAGTCCGGAGTTAAGCAGCCAACTGCTGTACGTCACGAAACATAGCGCTTGATTATCAACATCGAGTATACTACCTCGGTTATCACCATGGGCTGGGCAATCGCGTGGAAGCCAACGATCCGAGTACCTGGACCACATGATGCTCTATCAGCCATCAGACCGAGTCTCGTCCGTATAATTTGCTTGGCGGGTGTTAGTTGACCTGACCAGCGAGAGTCGGCTAGGGATTTGGGGTGTAAATCGTTCGAATTTGCTTATTCGGGGCCAGGCTCTGCAGTACTATATCGAGGAAAGCTAGGAGGGACTCTATTCCAATCCACGATCTACCCACGGCACCCGAGGACTTCCGTTGGTCCGTACCAGGTTATCAGAAAACCTGGTCTCGATCAAATTCTATGACAGCGGGAAAGTCGATCTGATCGACGCCCACCAAATCTGGGGGGTCACCATTGATTCCCAGCCGGTGTCCAGCATGATGGCACCAGCCACGCCGCGAGAGCTGATCATGTTTAGTCTTGGTAACACGAACATTGGTGGACGAATGAGAAGCGCGTGCGCCACCGTTGCGAGCAGATATAGGGTTGGCGTGACGCTAAAAATGTTACTATTGTCGCCCATCCCTTTAGGGCCAAGCACCAAACCAGAACAAGCAGGCCCCAAACTAGGGCCTTCTCCGACACGTATCAAGATGGAAGCAGTTAAGATCTGTAGTTCGTCCAGATATGTTGAATTCAGTAATTCAGTTCTTGTTGACCGAGCTTCTTGACCACGGCCATGACGTTGGTATCGCGGGAATTGACGCGATCACCATTGCAGAAGATAAAGTTAACCCCATGGACTTCAAGGAAGACTATACGTCTATTGCATTGATCTAGTATCTATCCAAGTCCCCAACCCTTCCCCTCTCGGCTCAACCTGCACAGACAAGGATGGGATGGAACTAAGGAACCGATCGAGTATTCGAACGTGAACATCGAATGCACGAGGCCACTTCGGATGTAAGCGTGCTCTCGAGGGTTTGTGTAGCGCGACAAGTACATCCATCACGACCAGTGTTACCTATTATCTCAAGGCCAAGGCCGATTTCGAATCGACGGCGCAGTATACGAACATACGAAGTCATTCTCCAGCCTATACGGGCGTATAGCGAAGTGACGACGAGTACATGTTATCATGGATCATGGATATACGTCGTCTCGTTTTGATGGCTTTGAGATAAAAATAACCCATATCAATATGGATTAATGTGAATATTTCCAAACCAGCTGATAGGAAAGGGGGAAAGCAAATAAAAATCCATCCTTACTCCCATGATCCCAGCAATATCAGCAGGATGGCTTTTCCCTTTCATTCTCTTCAAGTAAGGCTTGATATGCAAGGGCAATATGTCGTCTTTTTCTAACAGTAACATTGCATGTGCTGCATGTACGCGACAGAAAAAAGAAAAGCGTCAAAGAAAAGAAAAGAAAAGAAAAGAAAAGAAAAGAAAAGAAAAGAAAAGAAAAGAAAAGAAAAAAAAAAAAGACAAAGGCAAAAGATCCTGGCACACTTTCGTGCTGATTATTGCTTATTCCTCTGGCCTGTCCGTCTGTGCGTCGACAGCCTTAACATACAGTAGCCGGCCAGTAGTCAAGTGCCGCCCGCGCCACAGACTGTCTTTTTTTTTCTTTTTCCCGCCCTTTTTTTTTGCTTATTACGTTTTTACTTTTCTTTTTACTTTTATGCACTTCTTGGATTTATTTTCTTTGGTTTGCTTTTCGATAAGGTTGGGATGGCTGAAACACTCTTTTTGACGAGTTTGTTGGGATGAAGTATAATCACTACTTTACTTTGTAAAAAAAATCAATAGATTGTTGATTGTTGCCCCTCTTCTGACAACTGTCACTTTTGTGTTAGTTTAGAGCCGGTGAACTTTGTTTTCTTGTTTCTATTATCTAGCTTATCGAATATAATATCTATGGAGTTGGAAGGAATGAGGAATGGGGTCGGATTCGTGGAAAAAGAAAAGAGTAAGAAAAAAAGCAAACATGGAAGGATTCAAACCCAAAACAAGGAAGAAGCACGAGCTCGAGTCATGTATCATATCATATCATATCATATCGGATAAAGAGTTTGAACGGAAAATCATTTATTTAGTCTAATGAAGGTATGTATGTATGTAATGGATCATTATCGACATGTCGTAGAGATAGTATGTATGTGCCAAAAGATAACCCCAATATCATCAAGAAATCCAAACCTATCGCCAATCCATCCAACGCCCGGCCATGAAATATTCATCAGTATAGAAGAAACAAAGAAATGAATCAGATAGTCAGTCTGTTAGGCCAACCATGCTAAGCTAGACTGTTACACGCCCCTCCTGCATGATCCCAATCAGAGGCAGGTCATTGCCACTCCCAGCCCTGGGGTCTGTTCCCTCGAGCCGAGAGAGCAGCGAGGCCACCATCTCTCGGTAAGCGTTCATCTTGGATAGCTTGAACCGCTGGATCTTTCCACTGGCTGTTCGTGGGATTTCTTCCACGAAAATTACCCCGCCGTCCAGGGCCTTGTAGCTCGCTAGTTGCTGACGGGCGAACATGTATACCTCCTCGGCGTTGGGCTGGTTCGCGGGGAGTCCTTTGGTCCGGACGACGAACGCTCGAGGCACTTCGGTGCTGCCATCCTTGAGGGTGACGCCTGTCACGGCCACGTCCACGATGGCAGGGTGTTTGAGTAGAACAGCTTCGAGTTCGGCTGGGGCCACTTGCCATCTGCGAATAGAATGTTAGCCATGACTCCACAATTGATATGACGTGAGGACAACAAGGATTTTTTTTTTTGAAAAATTGAAAACGAAAGAGAAGGAAAAAAGAAAAAAAGAAAAAAAAAGGATGAAAGAAAAAAAGGATGAAAGAAAAAAAGGATGAAAGAAAAAAAGGACAAAAATAAACTTCAACCACGTACCCTCGCACTTTGATGAGTTCCTTGGTGCGTCCGATGATATAGTATTGCCCGTCTCGGACATAGGCCACATCACCAGTCCGAAACCATCCATGCGCATCCTTCGCGTCATTGCGTCCTTTGTAGCCAAGAAGCAATCCAGCTCCACGCACATACAATTCGCCGGGCCTGTCGTCGCCATAGACAATATTGCCGTCATGACCGACCAGACGCACCTCGTATCCAGCCAAAAGTCTTCCGATGCTTCCGGGGTGTCCCCATTCACCGTATCGGTTCTGGAAAACCACCCCTACTTCTGTCATTCCCCAAATCTGAAATGCGCAAGCGTGGGCGTGCAGCAGACCGCGGAACCTGTGCATTGACGGCCCGTCGATGGGGGCGCCCGCGACACCCACGTATCGCAGCGAGAGCAGATATTCGGCGACTGGCAAGGCACACCGATTGAAGGCATGGATCATGGCGGGCACCATGTAGGTTTCGGAGATTTGGAACTGGTGCACGGCGGCCACGAATTGGGTAATCTCAAAGCGCGGCAGGATGTACAACGGTTGGCCATAGCGGACAGGGAAGATATGCGCCCACAGGGCACCAAAGAGATGGAACATGGGTAGTGACATCAAACGGCTGACATGGTAGGGGACGGTGTAGTTGATGCCCAAGTGGTGCGAGACGATCGCATGGTGGGATAAAATCGCAGCCTTGGGAAGGCCCCCGGTACCGCTGGTCGAGAACATGGCCGCGGGGGTCGCTTTGGCGATCGCCTCATCGTTGAACGAAACCCAGTTGTTTTCGCCATACCTCAATAAGTGAGCAAAGTTTAGATAGCAACCGTCTCCACCGTCCGGCAGCAGAGTCTCGTTCATAACAGGATACCCCAACGGCCCAGCCAGCAGGAGTTGCAGCAGGTGATCCGGCCCTGACTCGTCTAGCAGGCAAACCTGACTAGGGAGCATGCCCCGGCCAGCGGAGACATTGAGAACGGTGGGCAGCACATCGCGCGAAGTGATGATCAGCTTGGGTTCGGCCAGAGAGAGAATGTGTTCTAATTCGCTTGGTTGACTTCGAGGGTTCGAGCCCATGTACACGCCCCCGGCGCCGATGATGCTGAAGAACAGTGCGGGGTATATGATCTACGGCACCAGTGAAAATAGTGGGATCAGCAACCAGAAAAGGAAGAAACATTTAGAAAACAAAGAAAGATGCAAAAGTTCGGTGTGCAATGGATAGTGCATCTGCAGGTCGCTTACGTTATTCCCCAGGTGGACCAAGACACAATCTCCCCTCTGCACATGATGTGCTTTTAACCCGGCGATCAAAGTGCGAACAAGCAATCGAAACTGTCCGACAGTAAGGGAGCGCGAAGGGTCTTCGGCGTCGATGAAAATTGGCCGATTAGGGTCGTAGTTGGCGTTGCAGAAGGTGAAGGACAATAAGTCGGTGTATAGAGGACTTCCCGATTGGGGAAAGGCCAAGGACGCATCCCAGAGACCCATTGTTGCGGTTGAGAAGAAAAAACAAACAAAAATTATAAAATAATAGTAAAATAAAAAATAATAATCCAGAAGCCAATTGGTGGAGAACAAATCAATAATAATTCAGGAGAAACCGGTCAACACGTCGTGTTAGACGGGCGAAAAATGGGGAGAGATAGATAGAGTAGAGGAAGAAGAGAAGAGAAACACCATGCTGAAGGGGACATAACGACGGTGATAAATAAGTTTTTTTGAATCCTTTGGGCCCTTTTTTGTTTTTGTCATGCTGGGTGGCCGAACACTTCAAAGGAGCAGGAATAATTCCTAATTCCAGTTTCTTTGGATGTGAGATCCGAATGATTTGGAATTTCGAAGCCGTGGCGCAAACCCCGACAGTCCCATCGTCCCGCTGAGATCGCAGCGCAGCAATGAACCAGCCTGTCAAATCCAAGCCTAACCGTGGCTGAAACCGCAATTTTGTTTTTTCTCCTTTCTTTTCTTCCTTCGTCATGCTTGCTTGCTTGACTTCTGTTCAGATCTCATCCGGTAGTGTGGATCGGCCATTGGCCAAGGAGATAGTGGGAACAAAAGTACAGACAGCCATGGCTCCGTGGATACGCCGTAGATTCGACGAACGAACTAGTCATTCAGATCCATGTCCACCTGAGGCTCCATAGTTATCTGTTTGTTTTCAGCCAATGCTGGCACGAGCTCAGCCAGCTTAGTCGGCGTGTGGCTTGGACTGAAGATGCGCTTGTTTAACGAAAGTCAATCCATGAGAGTGAAAAATCCTCATACTCTGAGCTCGACAGACTCTTTCGTAGAGATTGCAAAGTAAAAGGCAAGGTAGCAAAAGCAGTGTTGGCCATTTAATCCACTTCGAAAACCGCAATCGGTGAACCCAGGACTCTGGAAAGCCTGCAGAGTCTGATATCATCGATCCCTTCCGTATATCGGATTCGGGCGAGATAGCCATCTCCACTCTGTCGTCCCATGGGCCATGGCCGGCTGACAAGTTAGTTCCCTTTCCCCCCAAACTACCTCCCAGGACCCCATGCATGAATGTCCTTATTGACCCCCCGTTCACTCATGACTGTCTGTGTCCTGGAAAAAAAGCACAGCGGGCGGAGGCACGCATCTGCAAACCCCTCACACATCCAATCAATCATCCTCGGGTGGGTATATCCAGCGGCATGTCGTGCTACTGTATCTGTGATCCACCACCCTATCGAGTCAGGAAACTGGATCCCCATCTCACAGAGAGGGCCTTGTCGTTGAGGCCTTGACTATTCCTTCTGTCTGCAAGTGATGATCAACCCCTCCTTAGGACAAACAGGGATTGGTGATCTCCCCCAAACCCACAGAAACTATTGTATAGTTAGCACGACCCGACTGTCAAAAAAAAGCAGATTCTTTTTTGTTTTTTCTCCCAAGATATCCAGGTTTCCGCCAGCCCCCAGTTAGTGAACCCTGCACAACCCGCCTGGGTCGATGATCGACTTGAGATTCCTCTCTCATGGGCTGTGCAATCTGCTCTGCTGCTGTGGCAAGTGGACTCCTCCCTGCTGAGTGGGCGTCAATATTATGGAGCCTTTGAGCCAGGATGCATCCGCCATTCGAAATGGAAGTATAGGATCGTGAACCCTTCACCTCAGCCGCCACTTCGACCCAACACTAACGAGAACAGTAGTTAGTTCTGAACAACCGGTGCACATGTCTGTCCTTGATAGACACTTCATTGGCTCCTGGGTCCTGCCCCATCCGGAGAACGGAAAGATGAAGTAAGGGAGTGACCATTGCTCATTCGCAACCCTCTTGGGGAACTAGTATACGGAGTAACCGGTCTGATGTTCCGTGACGTACTGTACTCTGTAGTGTCATACAACCAAGGAAGCGTCTGCAAAAAAGATAGACCAAAATAAAAAATAAAAATAAAAAAACAAGAAAAGAAATAAAAAATAAAAAATAAAGATAAGTGAGGGAAAATAGGGACGGTGAGGATAGTCTCGGCGAGAACCGGTCCTGATGGATATGGCCCAGGACTCGAATAGTTCTTCTTCGCATGTATGGCCACGCTTTAGGATGGATCCCACCATCTAACCCCGATCCCATCATTAGTAAAGATTAAAAAGATGCATGTATCCTTACGAGTGAGAGATGTGCTTCAATCCCGGATCAGATCCATTTGTCCATATTTCTTCTTCCTTCATAGTTTGGATTCTGGTATACCCTTGTTAGCAGTTATCTCCAACATCTTTTCTTATCCTCCCCCTTTAAGGTTACCTACATCATCGTCAACCCCTGGTTCCCTGGCATTGTCGTTGTTTTGTATATTCCTTCTTCAGTAACCATGTCCATAGAAGAGATCCCGATCTCTATCCCCCCAGCGACGGCCAAACGTGCCTCAGATGCAACGAGTTTCAGTGATACAACATGGGCTGAATCAGAGAGGATGTCATTCCCAAACGGCCTGCCAGAGAAGGTCGAGCAGTCATATCTGGAAAAGGAGAAAGCTCAGCCAGGGCCGTTTGATGTCGAAGCTCAGATCCCAAGAAGATCACCGAGCAGATTCGCTTCGATCCGATACACCATCCTCGACATCTACCGCCGCCTCTTCACACTTGTATTCTGTGCCAACCTGGCCGTCTTCATCTATATCATGGCAAAGGACCGAACCCTTCTCGCCCTCGTAAACGCTGCGGCTGCCAACGTGCTGGCATGTGGTTTGGCCCGGCAGCCTCTGGTCGTGAACTCCATCTTCTTCATCGCGTGCTCGATACCAAGGTCCGCTCCACTGAGGCTGCGTCGAATAGCAGCCAAGGTATACCACTATGGAGGCGTCCATAGCGGATGCGGAATCGCCGCCTTCGTCTGGTACGTGGGCTTCGTGGGACTCATGTCGAGGGAATACTGGTTCCCTCCCGGAGGCAAAGGGTTCATATCCGTAGCCCCCATGATCCTGGGCTATCTCATCCTATTCCTCCTCCTGGCAATCATCATCGTCGCCCACCCGAAATTCCGCGTCAAGATGCACGACTATTTCGAGCTCACGCACCGCTTCTCCGGCTGGACAGTGGTAGCCCTCTTCGTGGTCCTCCTCCTCGTCTTCGCCGACGAAACCAGCAAAGCCCAAAACCAGCCCCTCGGCACCTTCATCCTCAAACTCCCCGCCTTCTGGTTCCTAATGGTAACCGTCGTCTCCATCGTGCACCCCTGGGCACTGCTCCGCAAAGTCAAGGTCCAATCCGAATACCTCTCCCCGCACGCAGTCCGCCTGCATCTCGACCACACCACCACCACCTTCGGCAAGGGCATCCAGCTCTCCAAACACCCCCTCCAAGACTGGCACGGGTTCGCCACCTTCCCCGACCCCTCAGGAAACAGCTTCTCCTGCCTCGTCTCCAAAGCCGGCGACTGGACCGCAGCCTGCATCAAGGAACAGCCCACGCATCTCTGGAAGCGGGGCGTGCTCATCTACGGCTTCGCATACGCAATGCGAGTCTTCAAGCGCGTTATCGTCGTCACGACGGGCTCAGGAATGGGCCCCTGTCTTTCCTTCCTGGGCGACGAGAACCGGCCCCAGCTCCGCGTTGTCTGGCAGACTCGTGCGCCGAAGCGTACGTACGGCCAGGGCGTTCTCGATCTCGTGGCCAGGATGGATCCCAACCCGGTTATCATTGATAGTAACTCGTCCGGGCGGGTCGATATGGTGCCTATTATCCGGCAGCTGGTGGTGGAGTTTGAGGCCGAGGCTGTCTGTGTCATCAGTAACCCGGTTGTGACGAAGAAGGTGGTGTATGAGCTCGAGTCGACGGGGGTGCCGGCGTTTGGGCCGATTTTTGATTCATGATGATGACGATGATAATGCTTTATGTTTGTTTGTTTGTTTTCTGTTTATGTCAGTTCTTCAGCAAGGAGTGTGGATTGTGTATTTTGAAGTGTGGGATGTCAAAAGCAAAGCAGAGGGAAAAGAGAAAGGAGAGCAAGTTCTCAGAGGGTGAGAAAGAGGGGGGAGCCTTGTCATTGTATATACTGTAGATTGTAGAACACTACACCAAGTACTCTACACAACGCCGAAATATCACCCTCCAAGACAGGCTTCCCTCGCCTTACTTGTTTCTAGCCATCCATGCAAAAAGGAGCATTCTCTAGATGTTGTATCCAGTCCTGTGGGATCTTGCATGGAGAAAGTAACGTAGACTGGGTACGTGCAGGACTTATGGGGTTACGTTTATTTAATTATAAACTGGGAATCTGGTACAACCTGGAGGGATGGGATGGATGGATATCGTTCGATTTGATGATCCCTGGCAGATTGGTTATAAGTTGTCTCAGCAGGATGTGAGGGGTGGTCGAGACCAATCATGGCTTCATCTGTCTGGAATGTTAAGCAGTAAGATATATGACTACAAGGCTACTATATATATTTCATGTAGAGGATGGTAAGAAAAAAAAAATGTGGTAGTCTATTGGATATCTCGAATTAGAGGTGCAAGTTGATTGCCCTGTTGGATATATGCAAATAATGTACTTGTGATAAACACCAGACAACGACCCAAGTGCGAAACAAAATCCTGAAACAAAATAGAGGGTATCATGTAAGTTGAAATCTTCCTCCCATCAAAAACACAATCCTTTTTTTTTTTTTTTTTCTTTTCTTTGTCTTTGCTGAATCCCTGGAAACATATTATAGGTTGTAGAGTGAAGATTAACTGAACCAAATCAAGAACAAAAAAGAAACTTTTCGAGGTCGGTCATTCACGACTTGACAGTCTGAGAAGAGAGTATCAAAGGAAAACTTTTTTTTGGCTTTGGGTCGTGGTAATTCGTGGATGGTCGTAACTTCGTCATAGGTAGACTCGCGGAGTATGATGATAGCGTCGATGCTCAATTAGATGTGTGGGAGGCGGGCGATTCAGCCCTGCTTTGGACTCGTGATGGCCCCGCACTCAAATCGTCGTTGGAGAAATGAGTCCGTCCGCGAGAGGAGGAGTGAGTTGAGTCACTGTCCAAGCGAAGAGATTCCATTCGATCCAACTCATCGTATTCTGGCAGCGCAAGAGGGGATCCGCTGTAATCTTCCATGACGCTGTCTCCGTCCAAGACGGTGTAGCCGGGAGGGCTTGCGGGGACATTCTCATACACGGGGGGCATCTCTTCGTCCCAGCTGATACCCAGTCCGCTTCGCTCGGTGACATGCAAGTGGAACTGCATCCGTAGGACACGGGCGGCACCAGTGGGTGTGATGAGACGGGTGTTTCGGTTGGGGCAGAATTCTTCGGCGACGATTAATTCGATGACCAGGTTGTGCTTGGCCTCCAGCCCGCCAGGGGCTTCGAGGTCGCACACCGGGTTGCAGGTAGGGTTGATGCTCGCTTCGAACTGCATGCTGATTTCGCCACCGGCGGTGTCGAAGTCCGTCTTCCAACCGTTCTTCTCTTCGTTGTGGCCGATGATTCGGGTTTCCTGATGCAAGACTCCTTTGCCTTCGCCGCCGATCTTGTGGGCGTGCTTGTTGCAAGCGGTCGATACAATCTTCTGGTGCTCTTCGATCCGCCACATCATCTTGCGTAGACGCCAGCGAGTCTGTGTCTCCTCGCCCTTGTCAACTACTCCACTCAATGTCATTTGCACGGGGAAGGTTCCAATGGGGTGCACAACTGGAGGAAGCACAATGCGGCCTGTAAGGTTGGTAGGAGGGAAGATACGAATGGAGGATTTGTCATTGCCGGGGAGGATAGCTCGCTTGAGGTGCACAGGCATCTTAAAAGTGTACTCCTCGCCAGTTGCACTCTGAGCTTTGGCTGAAAGGAAGTACTCGACCTGACCCAATGAGCCATTGCAGGAAGCAGGCAGGTGACCAGGGAACAAGTAGCTGAACGGAAAGTCGTGCTGGCCAGTGTGGAGGTGAAGAGCCTCAGTCAAAAAGTTCCACTTGGTCAATTCCTCTGTGCGAGTCGCGCAGTTGGAGCATTCCCTCGACACGGGCTTCTTGGTGGAGATTTTGGTCATGAGACGCATCTCAAAATGGTCGAGGGTGACTGCGCCTGCCAGATCGGAAACGGAGATTCTCAAACGGCCCGAGAACAACGCACCAGTCGAGTTCGCGGGGTTGCCATAGCAAACGAGAGGAGGGGATTCGACAATGACTTCCAGCTTGGCCGAAGCAGGCAAGGCCTCTTCCTTGCCAGAACGGTCCTTGGAGCGGGAGGACTTTCCAAGGCTGCGGCGCTTTTCCTTGCTGTGGTCCCGGTGCGGGTGGATCAGGTGGTCCATGGAGAAAGACAGACGGCGCTCCGGGGACCTTGCGCGATCAGCGTGGGCGTGGGAGGAAGGCTTCTTGGAGGAATGGTGGTGAGGGATCTCGTTGACGGAGGTAGTAGAAGAAGCGTTGGAGTTGGGGTGGGAGATGGAGGAATGGAGGGAGATGGCGGGGCGAACAAAGCCGGAGAGTAGACGGCCAGGCATGGTGGCGATATATAGGAGTTGGCAACAAAGAGATGGGTATAGAGTCAATTCAATGGAGACTTATTGTTCAAGCAGTGAGAAACAATTGAAAGACGTCATTAGCCAACAAGGCATAACACTCTGGTCAATCCAGCATGAAGAACGTTCTTTGAGGGTATATCCAAAAGCGAAGTGGAAACAAAAATAATATGAGAAACAGAAAAGGTACAGCAGCGGAACCGGACGAGCAGCTGCCTTTGAAGGAACGCAGAATAAGCTCCAGTGCCAGTGACTGTCACGATCGAACAAAAAATCTCTGTCCGAGTCAATTGGAGCCACACGGAAATGGCATGTCTTGTCGGTTCTGGCCCCGGCACCGTCTCAGTCACATTCGGCCTGCGATGGAGTCGGTGGGGCGACGGCGTCATTGTGGGGCATACAATACAGTACGTTTCATGATGTTTTATTACGGTTACAGTACGTTACCTGCTTCTATCCTAGGATACATTCTAGGTCAAGGACATTTAGTACTAGAAGAGTAGAACTACCCGGTAGTTTGATGCCTACCTAGGTAATAAATGGTAGGGAACATGCATACAGTTGATATCATAAGACATGTCAACTGTCAGCTCATTAATTAGACCATCCTGATGATTCTTGCATCAAAATTAATCATCCTTCGACATGTCAAGCAACCTATGACTGCATTTCTCCTGGAAAGCCCGTGCGCAATGAGTCACAGCTGGATAATATCCACTAGCGTCCCTGCATACACTTTACCTTGACAAACTATGGATATCGGATATCATGTGCTATTTAGAAGTCAAAAGTCAGAAGTATAAAGTTGTAGAATAGATGCTGTAGGATACAATGTAAATGTATAATAGAATAATAGAATGAACTAGAACTAGGTTACCTATTCCGTCTCTATTACGCGTCAACTGTCAGAAGCGGATGCTGTCATGGACTCGATTATTTTAAGAAAACAACAAGGAGCTGACTCAGGATTCTTCACAAAGCCCAGACAATCCCCATGTTCTGCAATGATTGGTTCACCTTGTGTCTGATCCAGTCGGCCACGACATCCATTGTTCATTGTTCGTTTCATCTCGCCCATCACTCCAATCCAGACCTGTCTCGTCGCACGCCATCGTACATCAATTGCTCAATTCTGGCATCAACATCTGGTATCCACTACAGCCTCATCCACGGCATCCATCCATCCATCCCAACACACCGTATCCAAAGAACAATGAACTGTAAGGTCAGCTGCCGTCATCCCTCCATCACGTGGCGTCATTTCTGGCACTGACGGCTCGTTTGCCGGTCGGCCCTGGTAGGCGGTGTGGGGTATTGTTGCCGGATACAGAGCGTGACGGGGACCTGGCGGCGGGTGTACGATACAATACAGACGATACCGACTGGCGCTAGTTGGAGATCCTCTGGATTTCAAGTGCCGCTTTTCCATGTTTCGCTAAGCAGAACCAGCTGGACCCAGTCGAACCACCGGATCTGTTGATTTTTTCTTTCTTTCTTTCTTTTTTTTTTTTCCTCTCCCGGTTGCAGTAGGCTGAAGTAGACCGCTTTGTAGGGTCCACTTTGATATTAAGAGTTTGATTTTTTTATCAGGGGCAGTATGCTACTATGTACATGGTAAATAAATACTGGGATGGCATGGACCTACAAAGGATGTGCCAGGGACTCTATATCCAGGATAATCACACTGGCCAAGCCTCCAGGGCGCGCGTCAGTCGAGACTTAGCGAAAGCTCATCGCCTTGATCGCATCATCGCATCAGCAGGGCGTCTACCCCGCACTGCGTCTGAGGCGGGGCATATTGCTTTTTATGACTCTGTCTAGGAGTTGACTGTCTAGGACTGTCTATGTGAAGATGTTGGATGGATAGCATGATGTTCAAGGTACATATCAATACAATATACTGCCATATGGATAAAAGTATAAGGTATAGCCAAGACAGGAGAATATTGACAAATGAGCACGCCAATTACCTAACAGTTTCGTGGGCCCTGGCAGCCATGAAGAAGTCGTCGTTTCTACCGCATGATGATTGACATGTCGAGACTCTGGCTGATCAATGATCATCCTGATCAGAGTCTGATCAGGCCATGAGATCGGTCGACGGAACAGCCCTCCGTCAGACCGGAAATAAACCGGCTAACGTTGTGGTCGGCAAACCACCTCATTTTCTCTCTCAGACTCTCTCCAAGCAGCTTCCTCTTTCGGGACGGTTCGCGCTGCACCTTGGAGATCCCATATGATATACAGAATAGTACCTACACTGCCTGCCTACCAGGTACTTATTAGGTCAAAGACTCCGTATATCGTAATATTAACTACTCCGGATTAATCTATTCTGAGGGGTTTCGATCCTCTCTATCCCTACACCGCACTCAATTGCGCCATTTTCCCAAACACCCAGCAAGGTCCTACCACCAGCTATACTGTATAGCGACATGTGAGAAGAAAAACTAGAAAAACTAAAAACTAAATTATCCGAATTAGCGGGGCTCAGGTTAACTTTTCTCGCGATTCCTCCGCGGGAAACATTCACCAGGTACAGTAGTCAGTCACTACTAAAGAAAACTACTCCAACGCCTTCCAAGTTTCACGGTGGATGGGCGACTCCTCCTGCTCCATCGCAATCACACCAAGTGGCGCCGCAGAATTTTCCATCGCGGCCAGCAGCCATTCGGCCCGTGGGAACGTGACTCTTAAGGTCGCCGCCAGTGGCGGGCCGTCGTGGTCTAACGCCTTGCACTTGCCTTGTCGGAGGTCTCCGATGTTGCTATTATATAACCATTAGGTAGTCAATATACAGTCCACAGATGGAATGTTTTATATTATAAATAATAATACTTGAATAGCAAGTAGTTTCTGTCAGTGTATGAGTAGGTGAGAGTGATTATCAGATCTAATCACACGTGATCAGATCAGCTTCTAGAAACCCTCATCCAGTTAGCTTCGGTGTCTCGGGCCCAACAGCCAATCACATCATCTCCTCAATATCAGATTTCATTCAGGTACCATCCCTGACCTGAGACTTGATTTGATACGGCCGAGTTGATGTGATGCTTCAGTTCCGGCCCGTATCCCGGTTGATGACGTGCTATCGAACAAGCTAAGATGTCTGGCAAGAAGACAAGAATAGAATGGCAAGATATAGCGGTAGCCATTCACATGACCTTCTCTAAGCCCGTGGCTGGAGATGCCAGTATATTCTATGGAGTATTTCCATTAACCTTCTAGCTAGTAATATTCATCGACCACGTGGTTCTTGTGGCGTTGATTGAGTTGCCATCAGCTCGAACTTTGAAGCTATTCAAGAAAATGCCAGTCACATGACTACACGTGATTCGCGGGGATCTCCATCGGAAACACATCCCTCTTTCGGCCACCGTGTCTTCCATTGCTTCAATATCATTAGATGCATCACATAATGATCAATTAATTGCATTGAGCTCATCACTTAGAGCTAAGCAATTGATGTTAACTGTTAACTGTAGCCGAGGTGAAGCGACGATTGGAGTGCCGCAGCGCATTCCCCACCGTCTATCCAAGTCGTCTTGATCTCACTTGATCCACCTCCTGAGACTAAGCTAATCGCTACTTCTCGGTATTACTATCGGAGCCTCAAATCGTCTCGGAGTTGAGGAGTCATCGCCTTAATCAATCAGTCCGCCCGCCTGTTCGCTGTTCGCCATGTCCACCCAATCCCTAGTCACTCTAGGCTTTGCCGTTTCCTTCATCTTCCTCTTTTGGACCCTGTCCTCCACAAGCTCCTCGCCCTTCACGCGGAGCTTCCCCCGACTCTACAACAAGCGCATATGCTTATTGATCGCACACCCCGACGATGAGGCAATGTTCTTTGCGCCGACGGTGTTGGCTCTCGCGAGGCCCGAGTTCGGCAACCACCTCAAGATCCTGTGTCTGAGTAGCGGTATGTGCAGCCCTCGGATGAGATAATATGATGTGATATCGCAACAACGCACTAACAAATCGCGAACCGTTGCAGGTGATGCCGATGGCCTCGGTCACATCCGCATGAAAGAGCTCCAGAAAAGCGCCCTCCAACTCGGCCTGCGCAGCGAATCGGACGTCTTAGTTCTCGACGACCCCTCCCGCTTCCCCGACAGCATGACAGTCACCTGGGCAGAGTCTGATGTCGCCTCTGTCCTGACGTCGGCTTTCGCTCCCGATCCCTCCCCCTCCTCGGCTTCTTTGCGACGCAAACAAAACACCACCAAATCGGATACGCCTCCCGCAGCAACCATCGACATCCTACTCACCTTCGACCAGGGCGGCATCAGCAACCACCCCAACCACCGCTCCCTCTACCACGGTGCCGTCCACTTCCTGCGCTCCCTCATGAAAGACAAACCCGGCTACTCGTGCCCCGTCACCCTCTACACCCTCACCTCAACCAGCATCTTCCGTAAATACATCGGCATCCTCGACGCCCCCCTAACCATGGTCAAGGGTGCACTGGGGAACGTCGCCACCCGCCTGTCCGGCACAGGTCGTAAGGCAGGAAATGACTCCCCAGCCCGACTCCTCTTCATCAGCTCCGTGAATGAATGGATGATTGCCCAATCGGCCATGATCAAGGCTCATCAGAGCCAGATGGTCTGGTTCCGATGGGGTTGGATTACTTTTGGTCGTTATATGGCTGTTAATGACCTGAAGCGGGAGAGAGTTAATTAGATGTATATGGTGTATTCTCACATATCCGTCTGTCCATATGTACTAACAGTTATGTATATTGCATTATTGAAGTGATGTCTGACTATATAATAATATCTTTATCATGGAGATCATCTTCTTACTCACTAGTGTTCTATCATATAACCTACAAGCTGAATCAATGACATATTATTTTTGTCATAAATACCAAGCCCATGTATAGTCACCTAAAAGAACAGATCTACCAAACTTTCCTGACTAAAACCAGAGACGTACGAGTTTATTATCCAGTGAACTTCTCACAATATCAGTCTCAAACTCAGTAAAATCCATATCAATTGCTGCTATGCAGAATGGTATCATGAGACAAAGCAAGTGCCAGAAGAATGATATCTCACAAAGCCGCTCATAAACACAAAAATATCGTAAGAAAAAGCAAGGAATCATGAACCACATAAGAAAAGGAATGTCGTGTCAGTTTGCTGCACTGCGCGAAACTGGACATTCATGAATATTTTTCAGCTTAAGCCATGCTGAAGGGACCGGGTATATGGCCGTGATCGAAGGATGATGATGTTTCGTCTGCTTTCTGCGTGACTCGTCCTCCATTGGGATCGTGTTGGAAAGCATCGGATTCGACGGTGGTATCCTCGGCCCAATAGGTTGGTGTAGTTTCGAATGCTTCGCCCTTGTTTGTTGTTGTTTCCCAGTATAACCGGTTGATAGGGGCAGAGTCTAGATCCAGAAAAGGGCGTTTCTGGCGGAATTTCTCCCAAAAGAAGTCGTCGTCGATCTCGCTGGCCTCGGCTTCAAGCGCGGCGTCGCTTTCGCCGATGGGACGACGGACGGGGACTCTGTTGTGGCCGGTTAGGTTTCGTTGATACCAGCGTGTTGCGCCTCGAAACTGGACCATTCCGCCTTTGGTGCGGTAGACAAAGGATTGTGGGAGGAAGTCTTGCCATTCTTCCAACGCCTGCGGGAGAAGGCATCGTTCCCAGGCCGGATTATCGCGTCCTGTCCATCGGTGGTGGATTAACAGGAGTCTTGCCAATCGCTCCACGATCATCGTCTGCTGGGCTGTGCGCAATCGCAGAATGTCGTAGGTGTTTACTGCATCTGCAAGTGCTCGTGACTGGAGGAGTAGAGGGTCGATCTGCGGCATGCGTCTTCGGGAGGAGCGGGACATAGGCCCGCCTAGGTATCCCTCGAGAATTAATCTTGCTGTCCTCCGTTTCCGCCTCGTCTCAGCCAGGAGGTCGTATGCGGCGCGCATGTGGTATTGGAACTCAGACAGCCTAGCCCTATCCCAGGCGGTTTTGGCCAGCATGTGATGGATTTCAATTGTGGGACGAACGCTAAAGGGCGGCGATATCATGGTCTGAAACATCGTATTTAAGAATTCATAAGATACCTTGCCTTTGGCGTTTCTCTTCGCATCGGGACCGAACCGTGGCCGGGAAAGCACAAACGATCGCTCGAATAATTCGAGCCAGACCTTTTCCGGAACCACCAGGTCATAGGAACGTGAGATAAAGTCGATCGCCTTGAGTGCGGCGGGTATGTCATTATTTGTACCAAAGGCATGGGCGACTGTAAACAGTAGTCGATGCGTAGGATGCAGGGGTGAAGAGCGATCGTAGTAAGTGACCTCAGGCAAGTCCGACTCGTCCACATTGTCCATCAGCGCATCGATATCAACATTCCAGACAGTCTTCAGGACATTCTTCATGCCTTTGATGTGGCCCACGCGACTAGATGCCAAGATCACATTTATAAAGGTAGCCTCGTCACCGTGGTTTCCCATCTCCGTCATCTCATTGAATATCTGCAGCACTTCTTTTCGGACACTCCGACCAGCAGTCCCGTAGCCTTGCCAGCCCTGATTGGGATTGAAGAATCTCCGCTTGCGATACGCATAGGGGGTCATTCGCAGGTTATACTTTTCCCGGCCAGTGTATGCAGTGTCCCAGACCTTGGCTTCCATGTAATAGTTGTAGCACCGGACATCAGGATATATTTCGTCTTCCCTCATGTTGTGCCATATGCTGTCTGCCATAATTGCATCTCCGATAGATCGCGCGCAGTCGAGAAGGTGTGTGTATTCAGCAAGACCCAGGGTGTGACCGGCCGACTGTCGTATGTTGACAACGGTAGCAAGGTTGTTGACGAACTCGTCGAAGATCGAATCCAAAGACCTGTATTGTTTAACGTCCACCGCGGAAGGATGCAATGGTCGATGGATTTCTCGATAAGGGTCGACAAAGTAGGCTGGAGAGAGTAGATGGAAGACCTCGACGAAGATGGTCTGCGGCAGTGACCCGACCAGCTCTTCAAAGCGAGGATCTAGGAGCGCATTCAGAATGGTTTCTGGCTGGCCATCTTGGATGATTCCATAAAAGATGGCTTTCAGGGAGGCTTCGTCCTGAATGTCTTCCAGCGACTCATCTTCGTAAGCCCCTTCCTGCTCGTAATCGTATGATCCAGTAGATCCTCCTTCAAGAATATCTGTTGTACTTAAACCTGGTCGAGAGACTCTACTTTCCGCAAATCTGCGGCCATTGCGAGGTTGAGAAGCCTCCCAGTGCTTCAGCGACTCAGGACCAGGGGGAACACCAGACTGAGAAGCAAACAATCGCCACTGAGGCCTATAATATCTGGCAGCAAACAGAGGAAAACGAAGCTCCCTAGAAAGACGATTCCGGCTCGAAAAAATCGCCAAACGAGAGCGCAAGCTCTCACCTGCAAATAACAACCTCCGCATAGCTGAAGAAGGCCAGATTCCCCCGCCAGACAGCAGGAGAAAGAAAAGGAGACCAGCATGCTGTGCGCTGACATGGATTGTATATATAGAAGAGGGGAAAAGCGGAGAAAGCTGTCTGGACGGCTTGGCGGTCTTCCCCGGCGCTAACCTGACTAGACCGACGCTTAGTGAAGCGACCTGAGCTTTACGGCCACTCACTGCAAAACCCCACGACGTGAACCTCGTGCTTCGTTTCTTTTTTATATCATCTTACCACCTCAATCAGACGAGATGGCCGACACAGAGGATGCGGGCGCATCGTCCGTCGCGGAACCTTTAGATCTGGTGCGCCTGTCGCTCGATGAAATGGTCTTTGTGAAGCTGCGCGGTGATCGCGAATTGCGAGGTCGCCTCCATGTCAGTGTTCAATTGCGATCTACATGTCTTCATCTATTTCTGTGTTACTGACTAAGATTGTTGACAGGCATACGACAGTCACTGCAACGTTGTGCTGGGGGAGGTGGAGGAGACTATTTACGTGGTAGAGGATGATGAGAACGGTGAAGAGACCATCCGGGTATGTGATGTCGAAAATACGGGCGAGGAATGAGCATATTGGCGAATGGATGGACTGACGGGATTCTGGTATCAGACAATCAAGAAGCAGGAGGAAATGCTGTTCGTCCGAGGTGAGTTGAGGCCATACATTTTCCTCTATCAAATTTGATCGTGATGCTCATAAATTCTTGTCCTGTAGGTGATTCGGTCGTCCTGATCTCTCCCCAAGCATGATATACTCGATATACTCGATGGAATTGATGGAAGGAACGGATGAACGAGAACAGAATGGATAACAGCCATTCGATGATTGCGAATGCTATAACGGGTTCAAGAGACGCTCCTACACAACTGGGTCTGGCTATGAGACCACGACGCAAAAATTATGACCCCAAGATATCATCTCTTTTTATTATAATTCGATGGTGAAATGATTTAGAAATACCAAAAATGAGGATATACCCTAGATCTGGATTTGTACGTTGCTTGATGTCATAGAAATTCAAGTGAAGAAGGACGAGTCAGCCTCTAAGACAAATGAGTCATTTGCAGATATCAAAGATTCCACAGAATCAAAAGAATCAAAAAGAAGCAAAGGATACACAGCCTTCTCATTCCTATGCTGCCTATTCCTGATGTGCTGTTGCTGTTGTGACTCAGTTCATTCTCCGCCCCGTGGATGGCAGTGCGGCGATGACTCGCTGTATTTATCGATAAAGCTCCCCCGGCTCCTCCCTCGGTCTTCTTCCCACCCTTTCATCTTCTTCCACCAGTATTCAATCATTTCCCCATCCATATTCATAGTCTTATTACCACTGTCAAGTGGAATTATGATAACACGAATACGTGTCTGAATGCGCCAGAGGCGATTACCCCTCCTATCCACTAGTTCTCCGACCGAAAAGAACAGCTTTACTTTTGATTAATTGAACTGAAACAACTTGAACTGCAAACCAGCAATAATGCCACCAGTTGGTCCTAAATCGACGCTCGACGAGCGCCGAAGGGGTGAAGTGGTACGTTTCTGTTGCAACCCAAATCATCAACCCCTCCCTCCCTTGCTGATAGTTACCTGCAGGCTCTCAGTGAGTTCGCGGAGTGGGCGGAGAAGCAGCAAAGCCATCGATCTGCACAGGTCGCACCCAGCGACAGCGGCTACTCGACTGCCAGTGTGTCCCGAGTCAACGAAGACCATGCCGAATTGGACATCCTCGACCAGCTTTCGCTGTCCGACGCTCCTAAAACTGCCAAGTTGAAGGACTTATTACTGAATACGGGCGACCAGACGGATGATAGTCTACAGCAGCTGGCTGGTCTTTTGCAACTCCGAATTGATGAGGGACATGGAGAAACCGTCTTTGACCTTGGACTCGAGGATGGCGGCGAACCGATGGGATTTGACCTCGCTCAATGGAATACGGCTTTGCACCGCACACGAGAGGCCGCGGAGACTCTTCCAGCGCACTGTCGCATCCTCCTCACCTACAATGTAGGTGGGCCGGAAGAGTCGCCGACCAAGAATAGCCGAATGAAAGATGCATGGGGAAAGATTCTTATCCGACAGCCAGCAGACACAGTCGAGGAAATGGCTGAGCTTCGCGTCGCAGTTGTTGGAAATGTGGATGCTGGAAAGAGTACCATGCTTGGGGTTCTGGTCAAAGGAAACCTGGATGACGGGCGTGGCAAGGCTCGACTCAACCTATTCCGTCATAAGCACGAGGTTGAGAGCGGACGGACTAGCTCTGTCGGGTTGGAGATTATGGGCTTTGACAGCCATGGTGAGATCGTCAGCAGTGCTCAAGGCCGTAAGATGTCTTGGGAAGATATTGGGAGAAAATCCGCCAAAGTAATCTCTTTCTCCGACTTGGCTGGCCATGAACGTTACTTACGGACTACTGTCTTTGGCATGCTAAGCAGCAGCCCTAACTACTGTCTACTGATGGTTGCAGCTAACAACGGTCTAATCGGAATGAGCAAAGAGCACTTGGGCATTGCATTGGCTCTGAATGTGCCCGTCATGGTCATCGTCACTAAAATCGATATCTGTCCTCCTCAAATTCTACAGGAGACGCTTAGCCAGTTGAACAAGATTCTCAAATCACCTGGGGCTCGTAAGATTCCCGTTTTTGTGAAAGACATGGATGAAACTATCAACACGGCTGCGCAGTTTGTCAGTCAACGGATCTGCCCTATTTTCCAGGTATCCAATGTCACCGGACAGAACTTGGACTTGGTGCGGACGTTCCTGAATATTCTCCCTCACCGTGGCCAGTATAACCCAGATGCGCCTTTTGAGTTATTGATTAACGACACATTCTCTGTGCCTCACGTGGGTACGGTGGTGTCAGGGGTGGCCAAGTCCGGGGTTATCCATGCTGGTGACACGGTGCTGGTGGGCCCTGACTCTCTCGGTCAGTTCACGACGACAACCATCAAGTCTATTGAGCGCAAGCGCATTCCGGTGAACGCCTGCTTTGCGGGGCAGTCTGGCTCCTTTGCCCTGAAACGGGTCCGACGAAAGGAGGTGCGCAAGGGAATGGTTGTGCTGAAGAAGCTCGAGCAGGCCCCTAAGGTTTACCGAGAATTTGTTGCTGAGGGTAAGTTCAACCCGCTGTCTTGACTTTTGTTAGGTATATGCTAAGTGTATTGTGGTTTAGTTCTCATTCTTTCTCATGCCACCACCATCAAGCCCAGATACCAGGCGATGCTGCACGTAGGAGCAGTCAGTCAGACATGCTCTGTTATCGACATTGACCGTCCTTTACTTCGAACCGGTGATCGCGCTTTGGTCGCTTTCCGTTTCATTCAGCGTCCTGAGTTTCTTGTTCCTGGAGACCGAGTTCTCTTCAGGGAGGGAAAGACCAAGGGGCTAGGGATCGTCAAAAGTGTTGGATACGACCCGGAGCATCCTCTGAACCCGGAAACGAAGGAGACAGGGGGAAAGCAGCCGTCTAGCTGATTACTCGAACAACGGCCCTCGTTCATGATACACATATTATTCCGCAGATATTACTCACCCATTGGACAGTCCTTTGATTGTCAGGCTTATACCCGGTTTCCAATGCAACAGCCTGGCGCTGTATGGTTCTTTATTTGCAGACTGGCGAGGCGAATATTGTTTTTTGCATGGGGTTTCTTCTTATTACACTGGATATTGATGCTATTCCACTCAATGCGATATGCATTATACGGGCGACTACGGAAGGCCGAGCTGTATATATCTTGGAATTGTTCCTGTTGTTTTTTGTTATGTCTGTTTTGGGGTTTTTTACGTCGTTTTTCCTCTTTTGAAAGCGTGGTTTTTTCCTTCTGCCAATTGAACTACAAAACAGGGAACATGGGGGATTCCCCTGGAATATAGCTTTTTTCAATTCACCAATTCCTTTTATCTCCAGTTTTTTCTCGATTGTTGGTTCCTCATGTTTGGCTGACTCCCACGTGATGGTGACGTCAGTATATCTTCCTGGTGTTTGTCCATGATGCCATGACGCCAACTGATCTTCATCCAGTCCAGTCATCCCAATTCGCCTGTTGCTGATCCTTACCAGTGTGGTGTATCTGTTTTATGCACTGACGTATGGCAGAGCCCTCCCAGGTTCTTAAGAAGCTCCTTCACTACCCCAGAGGCGAACCATTTAACAGACACGAAGACCTGACAAACCAAACAGCCTACATTACAATTGATCTTTAAGGGCACTCGCAGCAAACTTTCGACTTTCGTTAAGTGCCTTAACCCCTCCCTACCACCAGACCCAACCCAAACCAGGCATATACCAACATGGAAACCGTCCATAAGGTTGTCGACGCAGCCTCCCATGCTATCTGGGGCGAGGCTAATACCCAAGACCAGCATAATCAATCACTGGAACAGCATGGCGACGAGCCTCTCTCCGGAATACAGGGCAAAGGATCCGCCACAGATCCTTATGATGCTGGAAACCGTGACGGTAAGCTTCCATCCTACTATTTGCTTCCTTATTGCCTTCTGTGACGACAATATGGCGTTCTTTGTTGTTCCAGATACTGCCACTTTGTGGATATCTATAAATTCTCCCCATTTTCACATTCTCTTATGCGCTGGCTAATATTTATCGTCTATTTTTGATATACAGAACAGCCTGGCGCTCCCTCAACTAAAGAAAACACCGCCGTCGTAACAGGACCCCCACCAGACGATCTCCCTTCGGACATTATTTCCGCCAAAAAAGGCACCGATTCCTCCATGACAGAACTATCGCCTCGTGATCAGGAGAACCAGGTTCCTTCGGGGAACAGTGGGAAAGAAGACTTCAGCAGCCAGAGCCAGAATGTGGAGCAGAGGAGTCAGGGTCAAGGTCAGAGCGAGAACACATCAGAGGGCCAAAGGAGCAAGCAGTCACAGCAGAGCGAACCTAAAGAAGAGTCCAAGGAGGCGTCTTCTAAACAGGAGTCCTCTAAGGAGGAACCTTCGAAGGAATCCTCCAAGTCCGCTGATGACTATGAGCAAAACCCGGATGTGAAAGTGAGCGAAGAAGCCCTCAGAGGTCCCAAGACACCTGCACCAAGAGAAGCGTTCGAGTTTGAGAAACGCATGGATGCCAAGGGGCAACCGCCAAAGCCAGGTGAGCAGTTCTTTCGTCTTGTCAGAGTTTGGACTCGTTAGCTAATATCCTATGTCTTGTATTAGATGGTGATGGAGGAGCAGCCAAAGAGCCAAAGCCGTCCCAGCAAGAGCATCATCATGATGGATCAGCTACGCACCACAACAAACCGATTACTTACATGAAGGACAAGTTGGGAAGAGTTGTCAAGGCTGGTAACCACCTACATCATTCCAACAAATAAGATCGAGGGGTTGGTAAATACTGGGATGAAATTCGACGATATCAGCTTTGAGGGTGCGTTCTCGAGTGTTCTGTCAACTTGTGATGGCCTTTTTGATATGATGCTTTGATGAGTGCGCATGTTGTTTTTCTAGTCCCTAGAGTCGGGAAATCATTTCTTGTATGTATGATTATCATGAATTAATTATATTGTTAATAGTTGAGCCCTAAAGGCAATGTCACGAAAATACAAAAGCGTCTCAAACTGAAATATAATTTAATATCGAGAGTTCATGTTGACAAAGTTTTTTGTCTGTCTATATTCTAGCCGAAAACCAATCATGCCCATCATTATGGTGACGTTTCTGTGTCCAGCGCAGATCACCATTATTATAAAAACTAAGGTAGAATATACCTGAAAACCTTTGACCCTTTCCAGAAACCCAAAATTTTCAACAGATATCGTCATAATATAATACACTCCCTTAGACCATTTACTCGAAGAGTAACTTGAGCTCTTCGATGCGTTCTTTCTTTTTGTCATCTTCATTACCATCACCACCAACTCTCAAGCCTAATGATCCGGCAATGTTCATTTTTCGTTCCTGCACACGCAGCATCCGGCTTTCAATCGAATCTTTGACAATAAATCGCGTCACAGCCACATCACGCAGCTGGCCCATGCGGTGCACACGGTCGATAGCCTGAGCTTCAATGGCAAAACTCCACCATGGGTCCATCATGAACACGTTACTTGCGGCTGTCAAGTTGAGACCGACACCACCGGCACGAAGACTGATAAGCAATACAGTAGGCGGGGGAGAGGAGGATGACGACTGGCCATTTCTTTCTGAAGGTTTTCTGCCAGGGGAACCAACTCCCTCATCGTCGTCAATCTCTTCTTGGTACGTCTCCGTTTTGTTGAATTGGGCAAGAACTTCAGCTCTAGCTTTCTGTGGCATCGATCCGTCCAGGCGAACGTGGGAGATACCAGCTCTCGTCAATTGTGGGGCGATTAGATCGAGGAATGATGTGAACTGAGAAAAGACAACGGACTTGGTGTTTGATGGAACGCGCATGAGGTGATTGAGAAGGGCATGGATTTTGGAAGAGGTGTGAGCTGACGGCGAAAGGGGATTGATCCGTCGAAGGGAAATCCTAGGTGCTAGCTGAGAGCTTGTTGGGGGTGTGCTGGAGACAATCTCATCTTCAGCGGGTGTGTGGTTGGGTGATTGATATCGAATGACCTCGAAAATGTCCTTCGCGCTGACTGGTGCTCGACAAGAGAAGCATCGAGGAGGAACGCCCTTATCGGTCTGATGGCGTATGTAGTCCTCTAAGCACTTCTTACACGCACTGTGCCAACAAGCTGTCACGCCCGGATCGATCATGGGCTCTTCCGAGCAGATCGGGCATTCACCGCTGGACTCATTCTGTATTTGTTTCAAGGCATAAGCCGTGAATTTGGTCGTTGAATTTTGTTCTCCGTTGGAACCTGCACCCTCAGTGGCGCTTGTAAACCGGTTTATAAGCTCTTGTAGGTCCATGTCATCCTTGAGGCCGTTCGATTCATCGGCCACAGCTGCAGCATCTTCCTCGTCTGCAACAATAGCTTTGTTGCGGGTTAGCACAGGATGGCAGCACGTCTGGCGTAGGCGGAGAATTTGAGCGAAAATGGTCGAGTAAGACTTGAGCAGTGTGCCAGCTTCCACGTTGTCGTTGAATGCCCGCTTCGCTCGAGTATAGATCAAGTCGTAGATTTCTCGTTCTTGTTCTGGAAGCTCAACTTCTTCAAGTGTGATTGTTCGGCGCGGCAATGGCACCAGAGGTTCGCCTTCTGGTGTCTTCATCGTCTTTGTACGTCGGAGGACGAGGGGCTCAAGGACGGTTTGTACGACATTTAGGGCACGCACATAGTCCTTTGACTCGAATGGCACAGTGATGAATGTTTTCCAGAATGAAAAGTTGTTCCAAGGTTCCACCTTGAGGAATCGTACCAAGCTGAACAGATCTTCTAAGCGGTTGACAATTGGTGTTCCAGTAAGAGCCCAACGATGCGTTGCTTTGAGCTCGTAGCAAGCTCTTGCCGTCTTGGACTGACGGTTTTTGATGAGATGGGCCTCATCCAGGATAATCCTGAAGAATTCCACCGAGAACAAACCGGTGTTGAGCTGATTCAATAATGCGGGCGGCGTCGACTTAACATAACTAAACTCAGAAAGCACAACGCCATAACTGGTGACAATGACATTGGGAGCAGCCGCGGCATTCCTTGCAGAGCAAAGATGTTTCAGATCAACGGCTTTATCATTTCCGTAATATACGAGAACATTCATCGTCCCAGGATTAGAAGCCTTCAAAGCCTCGCTTTCCCACTGCGCGAGAAGAGATGTCGGGGCGACAACAAGAGTAGTATAAGGTGCAGGAACCTTACCGGCAACAACACCAGATGGCCTGATCAGACTGTTAGTAAAAATTGACCCATCGAGAGCCGCTGGATCAGGCTCAATCCTATGGGAATGGATTAGACTGAGCATCTCGATTGTTTTGCCCAGTCCCATCTCATCAGCCAGGATGCCACCTAGACAATGTTGTTCCTGGGCTGGGAACTCGAGACTGAGCTCACCAGAGTAGGGGTTGACATAGAAATGATCTATCCCTTCGACAACTGGAAGAACTTTATCATCGACATCCTTAGAGGGCCAAGTGTATTCTTCCCATAGTGGATGCATTGAATTTTCCCTGCCGGATTTGTTGTCCTTCTCTTTCGCGAGCATCCAATGAAGTGCTTGCCGCTGATACTTTCGAAGATCCATGGAGAATGTGGATGCCGGTTGCGCCTCGGGCATGCTGAAATCGAAAGACTGGGCTTTCTTGTAGAGAGTATCAAGCTGGTCATCCTCAAGCTCGGGGGGCTCATCATCCTCGGAAGATTCGTTATTCCCTTTATTTTCTTTTTTGACTTTATCACCTTGCTCCGGAATTTCCGCGGCACGAAGCAACCCTTCTTTCTTTTGCTTCTTCATTGTGTCATTGGTTGAGTTCGCTTGTAGGCCGATCTCATCGAACAGTTTCACAAGCCCGATTTGGCGAAGCCGCAGGTTCTTTTCTTCGGTGCTTTCCTTTTCTTCGAACAGCCCAGTAGACCTATTATCATCCAGCGGGCCAGCGGACATCCGATTCTGAAACGTCTCTTCACGTAAATAACACCACAACTGGATATAGATTGTATCATTCACACGGATCCTGTCTGGAACAAACACGCAGGTCCCTTCAAACACACAGATCTTCTGATCGATTAGTGTTGATACCCATTCAGCCGTCTCTCGAGGCAACCTTCCGACTTCCTGGCCGGATTTATTCGTGAACCGAGTTAGAACATCGCCTTTCTGGTTCATTATCATTTTGCCATTACGACCACGCTTTTCAGTGGGCTGTGATCTTGCACGCTCGATATTGACTTGGTCTCCATGTTTGAGCAGTCCCGTACCACTTCTAGTCGCCCATGCCCCGACGCCAAACGCACCAATGTATCTTAACGCGGGTTGGGATGTAATACGTTCTGATGGCGTGTCTGCTTGTTTTGGCGGAGCTTCGGTTGATCTTATTTCTTCAGCAGGGGCTGGGGTCGGGGCTATAGACGTAGGAAGTAACTGCTGGCGAGGGGTCAGTGTAGTTTGGGCTTGCTGGGGCCCATTAGATGTCTTCCACGATCCATCGAAATAGATGTTGACTGCTCTTTCTAGGTTATCCGAAGCAGCTATTCGAATCTTGCCTATCGCACTGGGAGAAAGGTGCTCCCCGACGATGCTGATGAACGTCTCTGAGTCAAAACCTCCTGTTTTTTCAGCCGGTGGCTGCATGGTTGTTGCCATCTCCTGGTCGCCATTATCACCAGCCTCGATTTCCTCGCTGTCGTCGAATTTCGATCTAGTTTCACGAACAATAAATCCCGGGTGGATTGGACCTGGTGGAAGTTCGTCCTTATCTTGCTCATCGGCCTCAAACACTGTCTTCTCAAATCCTTCTTTCGATCTTTCTGATCTTCTCGTCAATGCTTCTTCCTCTTTCATCCTTGCCGCAACGGCCTTTCCAAACTGTTTGCAGTATTCCGGTTCCTCGCAGTTGTCTTCATATCCACAAACTTCATCATGGTGAAAAGGAGGGAGGCTTTCGGAAGATGCGCCGGGGGGCGGCCATTGTATGATTATGGGGTCTTTTTTCGTCCAAATAGTATATGTTGGCAATTTATAATCTGTTTGTCCATTGCTGGAGCTGCCATTTGCCTCTTGTCGAGCAGGTAAAGGTGCAGTAGATGTGAGATTTTCGGCGGGAGAGGGACTCGTCAGTGGTGCTTCGGCATCATCAAAGAAAAATCGCCTCTTTTTGAGCGGGCGCTGGTTAATATCCCCAAAATCCATGATGCGCTATTCCCTCCGCCCTGTCAAGATCGTTTCAAGGCCAAGTGCCTGCAGGAGGGGTGGTTGGAGTCGTGAATCGATAAAGTCTGGGTGGACGATCGCCCCTTCGCGCGGGTCCAGGAAGACGCGCCGAACGACGCGAAAGACTCGGCCCGACGTCATTTCGTGAAAAAAAGTCGTCGGGGAAATTGCTCCAACTCCATCAACGAATCTATCTGGCTTGATTTATAACATGCTATATCAGTGGCGGTATGTGACTGGAAGGCGTTCTACACTTTAGTTACCTCATTTTTACCATTAATGACGCTGATTGACTGCTTTTTCGTGTCCAGGAATTTTTGTTGAATTGTCTTCCCGCAATACGATGCCTTGTCCATTTATGATCGTCTGAAATATACCTAATATCGTCTCCAAAAAGCTTCATATCCTATCAATATGTCCTTGTTCAAGGAAATGGTCCGCCCATGCCGTGCGGACAAACATATCTGCTCGTTCACTCGTCCCCGAAGAAAGATTCAATCACCGCAGAAACGGCATCTCAGTCGATCAGCTCCAGTTGCGAGTCCCGTCACAGGAGCAGCTGAAGCCGAAGTACAGGCTGCTCACAAATACTGCATCGATCTTCTTTCGTATGGATTGTCCTCCGGTGTCTTCACATAATGAGTCGCAAATAGCTAATTGCCATATCTGTACAGAAAATATGACCGACCCTCATATACGCTCAGCACCTTCGTCCCCCGCAATGCGCAAACATTTTACCTTGCACTACGAGCCCTGAATGTCTCTCTTTCCATGATACCTGACACCACATCCTCGCATACGATCGGACTGATGCGCCTCCAATTCTGGAGAGACACAGTCACCAAAACACTCGCCGGTTCACCTCCGAAAGAACCCGTAGCCATCCTCCTGGCTTCCGCCATTTCGAACCTTCACGAGCGAACCCAGGGTCGGGCACGGATCACCAAGGGCTGGTTGACTCGGATGATCAATGCGCGCGAGCAGACATTAACAAATGACCCGTACACGAACATCGCTGCCCTCGAGTCGTACGCAGAAAACACCTACTCGACGCTTCTGTACTTGACGTTGTCGGCTTTACCGATGACATCTGTAACAGCCGACCATGTCGCATCGCATATTGGAAAAGCAGCCGGAATAGCGGCCGTGCTAAGGGGTCTACCGATTGTCGCATTCCCGCCTCCAGCGGCCCAGTCACCACACCAGGGCGGTGCTGGCATGATGTCCGGAGGAGCGAAGCAAGGCGCTGTCATGTTGCCTTTGGATGTGATGGCCCAGGCGGGAGTGAAGGAAGAGGAGGTCTTTAGACTTGGTGCTGAAGCACCAGGACTGCGTGATGCTGTTTTCACTGTTGCCACGAGGGCAAGTGACCATCTGATTACCGTGCAGGAGATGCTGAAGAATCTCCGTGCTGGTCAGGATGTGGGCCACGACTTTGAGCACCAGGGTGAGGAAGGCCACGAGTATGACGCTGAATACGATGTCTTCCAAGGCCAGCAGAACGAGTCGCCTCTGGACGAGGTGAACCGGGCCTTTGGTGTTTTCATGCCTGCTGTTGGCACTCGTCTCTGGCTGGATCGATTGGAGAAAGTTGATTTTGACATTTTCCAGCCGGACTTGCTTCGGTCTGATTGGAAATTGCCATGGAAGGCTTACATGGCATTCAAACGGAAAACGTTTTAATATTGGTCTTTTCCTCAAGCGAATGTTCGAGCGAAGTGTAACTGGAAGCATGTCATGTATTATTGTAAAAATATAATGTTTCTCTACTGGTTATTTATACAAGGTTCTTTGGTACAAGTATGGTTAACATCACGTCGTAACAACTGTCTTCTGGACAATGTAAGAAAGGATAATCAAATCTTGGCCTTTCTTCCTTGTCTCTGTTTCCTCGAGCTCGTTATCAGACGTCTCTGAGCGAGCAACACCACATAACGTTTGATTTTATCACGCCTAGTCATAATGTTAGTAGCTTTCACATAAAGGGGGAGTATAGAGCAAGTTACATCAGTAACAATGTAGTCGCAAAAACGAATGGTATCGCAATTTTCCAGAAATATCTAATCAAACTAGTCAGTATGACACAAGGCCCTGCCGTTGCTCTTCGAATCAGTGGACATACGAATCACTGTGTTGGATACCAGAAAATGTTTCAAAGTTCATTCCAAAATAGCCCTACATTTGGGTTAGTTTGCAGTTCCCCTGAAGAGCCCAACCAAGCCTACCGTCAAGAATGTCATAGGGAGATAGAGACACGTCACGAGAGTAAGTTGCTTCATACTTTCGTTCTGATAAGCACCTAAACATCATAAAGGTCAGCAGAGTCCAAAGTCAACGGTGCTAAGAAATACCAATTGTGTTGAATATCAAATCAATCATGTTGTCGGCAGCACGTCTCATCTGGTCGTATCCCTCAACAATCATGATACAGTGGTCCAGAGCATCGCCCAAGTATGTATGGCACATATGGCTGATATTCACGCTCGATCCCATTAAGTTTTTGAGGTTTGGGGGGGTAATGTCTGCATTTGGTGGCGTCTCAGAAGACCCGGCCGCGAAATAAGGAGTCATCGTCCCAGGGGTTTTGAAAGCGCCAAAGCCTGTGGTGCTGACATTTTGGGGTCTATGGTCACGAAGCGCATTGATCACGGTCACTATTGGCTGCATGAAGTTCCGGAGAATTGCAATCTCGGATGTTAAGATATAAAGACTTTTGGATTGATCGACGTCCGGGTCAGTCAAGACTTCAAGCTCCAGGTCTCCTATTGCGTCTTGATAAGCCATGGTTACCGGTATCGCAAGATCAATAATGGCGTCTAGAATGGCTTGCAGAAGCATGCTTGCGTCGCAGGACTGGCGTAGAATTGTCTCGGGGGAACTGAGACGCCTCACTATGGGAGCCTCGATATCGTCGGCACTGGTCTCAAAAAAGGACGTCACTGTATTGTCTGCGTGTAAAAATATTGATACCTGCTCCAGTGTAGCGCAGAGACCCTTTGACGCCAAAACAGCATGGCGCTCCATAAACCCGATTCGGTCTTCATTGGGACCACCCCGGTAACGTTGAACGCTGCGAGCAGGTGGTTTTGGGCGAGAGATGTCGCCAAATTGGGTTGTCTTCTCCTTCCCCCCTGGACGAATACTGGCCCCGACGGTACCCTTGCTCTTCTTTTCTTTCTTGGGCATTTTTGGCCTGAAAAGGTCTTTCAAAGCTTCAAGAATAACGTCCCATTTGCCAAGTTTCTTTCGAGAGAAAGCCGTCTTTTCGCTTGAGACTGAGCTTCTCCTATGGGGCCAAGTGCCTTGTTTTCCGTCCTCTTCTTCATCCTCCGAGTCGCTGGTATCTTCTTGCAGCTTGACCAGTTTTTGTAGTGTGAGCACAACGTACGCGTGGTCCGAGTACCAATCGGCTTTGGTACGATTTGTTGTGTTTATCAAATCTTCGATCGCCAATCTGTGTAGTCGCTTATGATTTCCCAGTATCCGAATTACATCCCAGCTGAGACCATTGACATTGATCCATCTGCATTGTACCCATGGCTCTCTCTCCTTGGCGAGAAACGGCCCTAAGGTCTCATTGTCCAACTCATACTGTCGCATTTCATTTTGCGAAAAGTCTACCACGATTATTTCACATTTTCTGTGTAGGTCTGACGGTATAGGTGACACCCAATCTGAAGTGTAGGGAGGGAGCGGTTTGGTCGGGTCAAGTCCTGGCTCTGTTCCAGGAAGCCAATTTGGGTCGGGGACGACACTGTCGGGATGGTATGATCGAGCCGTATTCCTCCGTCCACGATGTTTTATTGTATCGCGAGAGTTGATCTTGGTCGCTGTTGTGAAGGTCGTAGTAGTATCAGGGGAGTCAGAAGGTGCTTCCGTGGTCTTTGGTGAAATCGCTCGGCTGGTTGGTCGCTGCGCTTCGATATCTTCGGGGTGTGTAGGGCTCGACGGCTGTTCCGCTGTTTGCGCGTAGTCGAGGGAATGAATACTCATCCTGGCGAGTAAGCATAGATAGCCTACACTTAGCAAAGCGAAGGAATTTGGACAGGGTCATTGACGCGACGGTTGAGTTGGAGACTGTTGGGTGGGAAAGATTTCCACCAAACTTGGGGATTGTCAATTGAAAATGAGGATAGACAAGGACAAGAGGAAGATTCTAATTGTCAAAATCTCGTGCTTCCGTTGATAGCCAATTCCATAGCAAACGAAACCTGCGCGTATCTCATCGAGACACCCTGGGGTGATTTCATCGCGGGGAGATGACGTTTTTCGAAACTGATCGTCGATCCCCCTTCCTTTCCAAGAGTCGATCAAAGAAATGCAGCTGCACTCCAATTTGAGCCAATTGGAGTTGGTATTGATAAACTCAGACGATGGTGTTTTGCCGCGGTCAAGAGATGTGAAAAAATTAAGAGAAAGTTTGGGGGATCATCGAGGTCTGAGAACAAAACCGGGAAGCTGCAACAAGCTAGAGTCTAGAGCGGGTGACACTTAGAATGCGCCTAAGTGAGACAGACTCAACAATGTCTTATTCCGTCTTCAAGATTGCTTATCAACTCAGTTAAAAAAGAAGTATTATTATTCCATGGAGATTCAATTGATACAGATTTCTATGCGTATTATAAACATCACATCTTCATACATGTACACACATGATCTTTGTCTTTTCATGACCCGCAAATCGCCTCCTATCCTAAATCGACCAACATGACGCCGTCCCAATGCTTCACAAACCGCTTATACATACAGCTGAAATAATTAAACAGATTAATACAGGTTTCATGCCCTAGTGGGCATCGCCGAAAAGGATAGAAGATATAATGAAAAAGGAAAGAAAGAAAGAAAGACAGAAGAAAAGGTGTTGTAAAAACCAACATCACGCCCGAGCAGAAGGCTTAGGCTTCCAGCTCTGTCGTTGGAGATTCATATTGGGATTCCTGCTCCCTTGTGGAAGACTCCGGAAATCACGGTAAAGACCCGACTCCACATCCATCAGAATGGCTCGCTGGGGTTCTGCGGATGGAAAACCGGCCGAGTTAAAGCGCGTCTTCGGCGAGCGCGTAGCCGACGGCTTCGCGGTTGAATTAGCTTTGGAGACTTCTTTGATGATTTCACGAAGTTCTTTGTCGTCCTTGGCGATCTGAGCTCGAATAAAAGCTGGGCTATTGGAGGTCTCAAGGGAGGACATGACGGACTCGCGAGGTGTGTAGTGATACTTCTGGGGGCAGGGTGGTGAAATGGGGGTGGTAGATGGGTCGAGAAGAGCTTCTTCATTCTTTGCCAAAAGCTGAGCAATATCTAAGCTTTCTCCATGTGGGATCTTCTGGGAATGGGAAGGTGTAACACAATCCATATCCACTTCTTTTCGTAGGACATGGTCAATGTCGACTGCAGAAAAGTAGGCGCAGGACTGGGGGAGATCATCGATGCCAACTTGCTGTGAAAACATAGCCCGTGTCCACACATTCGCGATCTGCAAAGCCAGAGCAGCGCGGTACCTGTCCTCGTCCTTAACCAGGTATCTGATTTCGTCATGAACAGTGATAGCCACACGGGCAGAGATGTTGTAAAGCCGGATGAGATAGTCCATGGAAACGATAAGAAGATGGAGATAATCAACACCAGACGACTGGATCGCCCAGTTGATACGAGAGGTCATAAAGCTGCCCCTGTTGATAAAGCGTCGCATCAAGGCCTCGGTGATACCAGCTCCCAGGGCTGGGGTCCTGGGTCTTTCTTGTTCGGCAAACTCTTCTAACTTGTTGAAGACGAAAGACTCACTGCCTCCACGCCAGAAAGGACTCTCGCTCAAAATGCGACGAGTTGTGCGGGCGCCCTTGGTCTCTTTATATAGATTGCCTGCAACCTCTTGTGTTTCTTTCTCAGTCATGGAGGGGTTGAATTGACGAAGCAAAGTAGCAGCAAACTTAAGACCAGCTCCATAGATGCGGCCATAGTTGAACACCTTCGCATCGTTTCGCGAAATGCCCAAGATTGAAGCAGTCCGAGAATGCATGTCTGTTCCTGCGGCCTTGGAACCCTCCAAAGTCATGAAACCGATCGCGTTCCCACCATGCAACTGGAATTGAGCATCTCCAATGAGACTTGCAATCCACAATTCCTGAGAATCAACATCTGCACCAACAAACGAGTACCCAGGAGGAGCTTTGATCATGGCTTTGAGCTCAGAACCGACACGATTGGACTTTGCATTACTTGCCGTAAGCCACGTGTTTTCAACTGCACGTCGGGTGATAGTTCCCATGGGAATGATTTGAGGTAGAATGAAGCCGACCCTGTTTTCAGTGAGGTCATTTGCCCGGAAGTCCTTGACCTGGTCCTGAAAGACCACCATTTGGCCCGTGATACGATCACGAGCACTGATCCAATATGAACAGGACGCGTTCATCTCTAGGGCTTCCTTGGCGAGGGCATATTGTGAGGTCAGGGTACCCCGTTCAAAGTATTGCATATAACCTTTAGCCAATGGATTTGTGCAGCGAGCTTGCGGTCCATCCTTGTGTGGAAGCTTGAAATACACGTTCTTCTTATCATCGCGAAGATCGATGATTTTCTCTTCGGTCATATCACAGAGTACCACAGGCTGGTTCTCGAATTTCTTAACTTGGTCACGGGGCACTTTGAATGTCCACCCATGTTTATCAGACCATGTAAGAGGATAGCCGTCCCACGAAAGCTTGAGCAGTATAGGTGCTATTCGGGTCCGGACTGTCAAGTTTATCTCGGCATTGTTTGAGACAAAAAGATCTTTAAACCATTGAGGCATTCCCGGCTTTTTCTGCCTTGCGGCAGGTCGCGGGGGATCACCCTTCTTCTTCCCTTTGGCCATCTTGATCTCCTGGCCAGTCCAGTCCAGCTGCCGTAACCAAGGATCGTTCATATACACTTCTGGTAATTCTTTAACCTTCACAGCTTCATCGCAAAGTTCAATTAGTTTCCGCTGGACATCTTCGAGCCGCTGACAGTATGTTGTTTCTGCATTCGTAATATACTCCTGCCAAGACTGATTGACAGGTAGAATGACTGAGGACAAGTGCCTGAGAGCTCCGAAGCTGACCGGGTGGGGGCAGACTTCGAGAAAGTTTGGAAATACTCTCTTATACACACGATGTGTGATTGCGACGTCGGCGGCGCAATAATCAAGAAGCTCTTCCAGCCTCCCCAGGATTCCTTCCCTGTCAAGTTCGCCAAAGTAATCCCGTTGGCTTTTGTCAATAGAAACATCGCAATGAAATTTAGCCACATCCCGGAGTGAATTCACAGAACTCCTCCCTACCCATAATTCCTCCTCTTCCTCACTGAGCATCTTACTTTCAAGCAAAGCCGCAAGCTCGACAGAGTTGCTTTCATTTGCGATTTTGTCTCTCAAATCTTTGTTTTTCTTATGGCGCATCCAAGTTGGCCTCTGCTGAGAGCACATCCCATTGACCGCAACGTGAAGCGACATTGTATCGACGAAGAAGTTTTTGGTTTGCTTCAGGTCATACTCTTCCAGAACCCGTGCTCTATCGTAGCCAATGTTATGACCAACAATTATCCGTGGCTGTGATGGATCTCCCAAGGGTATAAGTTGAATTTCGTTGTCCGATTCTCCAAGCAACCATGGGGAAAGCCACGCATACCATGCCGTAGGACTGACAGCGCAAGCCATCACCGCAAACGAATGTTCTTTATACATAACTTCAGTATCGAAAGTCAGCATTGACTCATTTGGTGCATCAACCGGCTCTGATGAGCCATCACTATTGTATTTGGTCCACCCGCTTCGTTTGACCCATTTTCGTGGCATCTCGGGAGACTTCACCGTGATATAGGTTTTTGCGTAGGATAAATATGGCTCTGATGCGTCCATTCCTAGTTTGAAGAAGTGCTCGTCCAGCGTTTGCCCCTGAAGGGCGGGAAAGTTGAATGCGACTGGTTCCGTTGCATCCTGGGATTTTCCAAGTAGATCATGCCTCGATAGATGATCTTTCGACAATTTAACTAACTCCGGGTCCGGTTCGGTAGATTTATTCGGAAATATTTGAGAATATACATGGTCGCTTAGCTGTTGAACTCCGATCTCGTTGAATCTGGGTGAAGCGGGGACTGCGCAATTAGTATACACGGTTTTCTTTTGCGAAACCCAGGATGGAAAGTACCTGAAAGGGACCGCGATGCCGATTTCTCGTCCCCATTCTCTGTTGGAGGTTGTGAAGCATAATATCTTGCGAGCGATAACAAGGGCTGCGGCCGGATAAGTGGCGAGCGCAGTCTCTGCGAGCAAGAACGTATGACACTCCGAGAATAGGGAGTACAAGAAAGATTCCAAAGCATTATGGATAATTTTTTTTTTTGACTTCAGCTCCGGAGCATTATAGCGCAGGTATTTGCAGCCAATGCTGCGCAAAAATGATCGTGAAGGCGTCCCAGGAGTATTGATCGTGGTTCTCCATTATTTCCTATCGCGGTATCTAAGCGTCATGCCGGTCGGAGTAACTATGTTCCTAGAGGTATCACCGCCTTCCCTGATCGATCGTAAATGCTTATCACCACGTGATATCAGGCGATATGGGCTGCTTCTCCGCCACAGTTTCTTGGATAATTCGATTGTGGCCATGATTCCATCGCTTTCCAGACGAGAGGCAATGTAAGGTCCATTCGAGAGACTGTCCGTCTCCAGAGTGCGTTGTTTAATGCCAATTTTCTTCTGATCAAACTCATCTGTCAAGCCAGCTACACCTTGGTTGTTATTCACTTACCCCTCTCCTTGGCCAGGAATCCCATTATCTCACGAGACGAATAAATACTAGTCTAGACGTTCACTTTGTCCTCGACTTCTATATCTGCAGTCCGGCCGACCTCTTCAACCAGATACACTCTTACGTGATATTCATACCATCACTATGGATTGCAATCCTTCTTCTCATAGTACTCGCCGTACATCGTCGTCAAACCCAATCTCGTTGGAGAGTTCCTCTCCCCCTCGACGACCGCCTATTGAATCTCCGACTTTATCACCTGAACCTCGTCACCGAAAACGCCGCCGTTTAACTAGTACAGGAACAGGCACAAGCACATCCGCGGAACCCGATGAAGAGCCCATAGAATCGATCGATCTCACGGAGGTCGAGGGTCCGTCGGCACTTTCTAAGGCGTTAGCAAAGCAACGGGAGGATGCTGTTAAAGCCCAACACACTGCTGAAGATGACAAAGGACGCTCTCTGTTAACTGCATATAAATGTCCCGTGTGTATGGACACTCCCGTCGACGCAACCAGCACGGTATGCGGTATGTGATATGTCTTCAGATATCAGGATAAACTCGTGCTTACTATTTTCAGGGCATCTCTTTTGCCATAAATGCATCATCGACACCCTGAAATTTAGCGAAGAGCAACGAGCAGATTCTTCCGGAAAAGGACCCCGAGGTACATGTCCTGTGTGCCGAAAACCCCTCACCCGCATTGATGCTCCGGGTACAAAACGAAACCTCGTTCCTTTACAACTCAAACTCGTTACAAAGAAGAGAAACACGATTACAGTTGATAGCGCATAGCTTTTCGCATATGTCTTGGGCATGGAGTTTGGGTGTTTGAGTCGGAACGGACGGTTTATTAGCTTTGGATACTGGGTCACATACTGCATATTCACAGCAAGTTGAATGCTTTTTTTTTTCTCTCTTTCTATTGATTTTCAGCGAGCATATATTGGCCCTCGTGTACATGAACCGTATTGGGGCTTTGAAGTGATGATTTTTATCACACCTTACAATGGCTTAGTTGACGTCAAGATTCGTGATTTTCGGATAGACACCATCAAGAGACCATACTGAATTAACAATTATTCGATTTCTATGACTATTATTCTTGGGTAGTTTGTTAAGATTTCATCTTCCCCTCTTTCCTGCCATTGTCTAAGGTATTTCTCCTACTCAATCCATTTCCATCTCCCCCTCGAAGCATCCCATCGCCCTTTTTGCCCAGCACAATCTCAAGGGCTTGCACAAGGGCTCTTGGATCATACTTCATCCCAACTGCAATTTCCGTATCCCCATCCTTCACTATTATTTTCGGTCCGTACAAACGGACTGTCTCAATTCCCATCTGAGCCAAGCGCTCCCTGTCAACACAGGGTGTCCCAGGACCATCCAAATGCAGAATATGAGTGACGTAGGAATTATATGGGAGAGGATTATTTCGCACGTTTTTATTCGGAGACGAAGGCCCTCGTCCTCGACTTTCTTCCCCGGCACGGGTAATAGCCTCGACGAAATCGGACGCTGTGAAGGGTTCGGATGGAGGCCCTGTTTCACGGTCCAAAGATCCGTTCAGGATCAGGATCTTATGGCGCGCGGGACTTGACACGATAGTTCGACCTACACCTTGCAGAATCATTGAGGGGATAATTGAGGTGTATAAAGAGCCGATGCTGTAGATGATTGCTTGCGCTTCGCGAAGAGACTCGAGCACACGGGGGTTGGCTGGTGGCCGGATCTCCTGGCCGTAAGGGTTGATGTACCAGATACGGGTGATACGGGATGGGAGGTCCTCATTTTCTGTCTTGCTAAAGGAGATATTCTTATTGCGCAAAGTGGGAAGAGAGCCAGGGAGATGGTCGTCCTCATACGGGACCATGTCAACGGCCTCAGAATCCGTATCTTCGATATCATCCCCGTCCGCAAGAAGCAAGCTGGGACGTCTGGAGCCAGCTTTCCTCGGCATAGCTGTAGCTTCACTGGGGTGGGAGATACTGTTTTGGCCAACGATGACGGTCCCATCTGCGAGGGAGGCGGAGATGTGGTGGGAGAAGTTTGAATTGATAGCAGGAATGACGCGAACATCATCCGAGGGTACGCCACACATACTGCCTAGCAAATAGATGGCACTCTCGAAACTGCCACTGAACAGCCGTGCACCCGTCAGGAATAGGTTGCCCACACTAGCCGAGGTAAAGTCAAATGTCGAGCTTGGAGGTCGCGCCCGTTTCAAGATCTCTAGATTGAGTAAATTAAAGAACGACCGGATCAGCTCTTTCTTTGCTGGGGTGATGGACTTCCAAGCATCCGACGTGCCATCCACAATGGCATGCCATGCTTGATGAGCAGCAGAGGCATCAGCAGGGAGTCGATGGTTAAAGAGTGCCTTGACAGCCGCCCGTTCAGAGTTTGGAGGCGAATCTGGAATAAGACGAACTAATCTGCCTGTTTTCCTTCTGTGAGTCCCAGATAGCTCTGTTCATAAGGGATGTCATGGGGATGCCTACTTCTCACGTCGCCGATCCCAGGGCCCCCAAATATTCTTATCAACTCAGACGAGGACCCTCCATTGTCACTAATGGGAATAATATAGCTCAATGGACAGTGCTTGCTCTCTCGCACAGCACTGAAGACATCGACAAGATTATTTGCGGCACTTCCTCCGGAGAAAACCACGATGCCCCTATTTGGAGCTGGTGAGGTCGATGATGCCATATCGGCGACGTCTAAACCGGAAAGTTCAATGAGCGAACAACTAGTGAAGACAATAAAGATAATATTGTAGATAGCTCAGGAAATGAGTGGTGAAAAAAAGTCGTATGGTGCCTCATAAAACCATGGAAACGACAGCCAAGCGACGATGACACATGTCTCGGAAAAGCCACGAAAGCCACAAGTCAGGGCAGCATCCACAGGTCTGTAGATCAAAGTCAGGTTATCTTTCTAGATGGGTTTAATGTCCATATATACTCACCTGGATGAATTAAGCCTTTATATGGTGGATATTAGGTGGTTGTTGCTGGTTGAGTGAAGAGATGCGGAGGTTTGGTTGCGACACATGGAAAGAAGAGCACGGGACTTGATCTGTAATAATAAACACCAGCTGTATGGCTTCAACTCTCGAAGATGCATTGACCTGCACTGAAATAAAATGGTCCTAATTACCTAGTAGCTAAGGCTGTCTCAGATATTTTTAGAACTACAGTTCAACGGTTTGGGTGCGAAATATATTTATTGCCCCAGGGTCCATATACACGTCTAAAATCTATGCAAAAACCAGAAACAACAAGAATACAGTATCATGCAATAAAAATGCTTAAGCATTCAATATAATACAAGTCCAAAGGACTAAAAGGGTTTAATGTCCTAATCCTTATGCATAAGCGGCCCAGCCTGTGAGAGAGCATGATTAGCGATCTGATATAGCCTAAGATATCACGACAATACATACCGCAATAGAGAACAGCCAGGTTCTTTTCGTCCGTCGCCTGCTGGATCAATTCATTGACAGTGGCAGTAACACTCAATGTTTTGCTCAACTTTTTGGCGACCACTGTCAACGCTCGATCGGCCTCACTGGGCTCGTTGGCTGTTCGTTGATCAGTCGTACCGGGGAGGACAGGCCCGTCGCCGGCTTCCGGTGCATCTTGCATTTTCTTCATTCTCAGGGGAGACACGGTCCAGCTATACAGCGGGTCATATCGGAGAACGTCAAGGATGGTCATGATGCTATAAGACTCTTGTCGAAGCGCCTCGAGAGTAAACTCGCAACAGCGCCGGAAAACGCCCTCTGTCTTGGTAATTCCCATGCCATCAACAAGATCCCGAGTGAGACGGAATGGAACGACTTCTGGAACAGGCAATACGCGTCCTTGTTCAAATGCTACACCAAGGTCAATGTGTACCACCTCACCCGTCCTTTCATCCAACAGGATATTGTGACCGTGCCTATCGCCAAGTCCAAGGACATGACCCAATATCGAAATCGCAGCAGTGCTCCTGGTGTATGAAAGCCTCTTAGTGAACCAATCGTCTGGGTTATTGAATTTTTCCATGAAGAAATACTTCATTACTGGATGGAAGCGTTCCGTGACCTGGCGGTAGGTCCGGACTCGCTGCTCAAACGATCGCGTTTGAACATCAGCGATGTGCTTCCGACAGGCATTAGGCTTCATATCCTTCGGGAAGTATTTCTGGTGTGCTGGCATCAAGTAATCATGCAGAGGGATAGTGTGTGGTACGAATTCGATTATTCCCGCATTTGATGTGAGCGGAAGTACCTTATACGTCCTGATGCCCAAATTGCGCTGCTGCGTGACTTGGTGGTCTTTAAGAAGGCTGCTGACTTGTTCGAATACCTGCTCCATTATTGCATCTTGTCGCAAGTCATCATTTCCTCCTTTGAACTTTTTTTTTTTTTTGATTTGGTTAGAACCGACCATTAATTTTTTAAGTGAAAAGGACTTACCAGTTGCTTATACCGCAAACCATCTGTTGCAATCGCTGTGACGATCTTGGGTGCACTCACACCAGACGCTATAGTGAACTCAGGATTGAAGCGCACAAGCTTAGGGATATCGCTGTAATTGCAGTCAACTCGAACATCAATCTTCATCGTGGGTGGTGGTAGCTTTTGAGAAGCAGCGTCTTGCTCGAGGCGTTGGCCAGTTAGCATTTTCTTGAGCGACACCTTTGCACCGCTCCTCAGTTTCTCGTCGAGTCTATCGGCTGCAAATCGTACGTAGTTGATGTTGGTGTTGTGTATAGAAACCCAGGTTGGTCCAATGCGCTTGTCATTCTTCAAACCATCCACAAGCCTACCGGCTGCTCGGTACCGAGCCAGAGATGATTGATCCTTTCCACCCTTGGATTTACTGCTGGCAAATATTTGGTACATCCCATGGAAGGGATGCTCGACACAGATTCTGAAAATCAATGCAAAGAGTAAAGACTGGAAATCATCGGACACGTCAAGCAAACGAGACGATAACTGGTTCATCAATGGCGCGAATTTTCGACTTGGAACCTGATTGAGATGTTTGGAAACGGCATTATTCGCAATCTCATTGTCCGACTTGTCAAGCCAAAGTGCACAAAATCGGAGCGCATCATTGTTGTACGTGTCACTCTCTTTCAGACATAGCAAGTAGTTCTCGAGGCATTGCTGTAAGAAAGCCTCCCGACTCCGCAGTAGACGCTGATACTCACGGTCGTCAAGGTCAAACCACTGCTTAGCCTTAGCCCTGTACATTTTAAGGGCTTCCCTATCTCGTCCTGAAGAGTTCCCCATCATTTCTTCCCAAGCAAGCACCTCCTTTTCTTTGCGGTTGCGAAGCTGTTCGACTCGTTTGAAGTCTTCCAGTCCATCTTGATTTTGCAGCTGCTGATCGCAAAACATCGCGAATCCATGGTAGACGCGACCAGCTTCTTCACCTTCAGAGCGTCCTTTCAATTCCTTGACTGCAGGGGTCAGATATTGCTGGATAATAGCTTCTGGTTTCTCTAAACGTGCTTCTGCAACGTGGTGTCCCTTTGGAGAGTTAGAAATTGAAGGTATAAAGAAATGGGCTCACTTACCAAGGTGACGAGGAGCTCTGCGCGACTTATTGGTATTGCTTGCTTATGAAGGTCGTTTTGGTCATTAAGTTGCTGGAGCATTCGGATAGATGGTGTCATCTCGCCTTGGTCCCATAGAACGTTGGCCAAATCAAACTTCGCTGCCCCTTCGATATTTATTCCACGTGAAGCACATGGACCTGCAAGCTTGGAAAGGCAGATTGCCGATTTCAACGAAGCTTGGGATATTCCATGGTTTCTAGTTGTCTCGAGAGACTGACGGATGGCTTTCACTTCCAGCAGTTGCGCATCTTGGTCTGTAATATTGAGAGCAGACTTCAGGTAATCCTTCTCTTTAATCGAAGAGAATAATGCTTCGCGGCAGTTCAGGATTTCTCCAACCTCATGGACACTTTTCTAGGTTAGAACGTGCTTTCCAATAGCCCGCAAAAATCTTTAGGACCTACCTTGTCGTTTTCAGCCAGAAATTTCTTGCCTTAATTCTCTCCCACCCTTGACTAAGCTCCACTGACGACGAAGCGTGTACGACATCATTTATCTCCGTCATTATCCCCAGGACCCTCATCGCAGTCCGTAAAGAGATGGCAGATCGATTGGTACTAGCCAACAGGTCCAAAGTCGTCAGCATGGAATCTTCTATGGAAGTAGAAACCTCAAACAACGTCCCAGATGTATTGAGGCTCTGGAAAGCCCGAAAGACAGTTGCTGATGACGATGGGTTAAGAGGTGGAACAGGAATGTCCCATTGCCGTAAGCTCGTTGCAGCTTGCAGCATGCTGTCAAAGGAAGAAGTTGTGTCCTTCAAATGCCCAGGAGCTGTGAACATGGAATTGGCAATTCCTTGAAGATTTGTCGAATTAAGTGCCTTCAAAACGCCGTAGGTATTCGCGCCTCCTGACATTTGTATTTCGCTGTCATATTGGGCACTTTGGAATTGGAGATTTTTCAGTCCAGAACTTTCATACTCGAGAGTCTCCATGACAGACTCCAATGATGAGCTTTGTTGGATACCGTAGAAGAGGTCTGGATCATCTATATCCCTGAAAACATCGTGCATAATCTCGGGGGGTGGCTCAAATTTGGCGAGTGAGGAGCGGCGAGATCCAGAGACTATACGAGATGCATGGATTTCAAGGAAGAGTAAGGACGTCTTTGGCATGCGGCACTTGTTGGCAGCTGAAGAAACATCTCCATAATTGATATCAAGCCATTCGTCTCGCTCCACTATCGTCACTTCATCGGGTATTGGCTGGTTTCGAAGATAGAGGATGCAATTGATTACAAGCCGGGCATGGGGAATTGTGCTTTCTTTGACCTGTTGTAGAACTTGTTTAAAGATCTCCGATACAGTATGCCGAGTATTTACTGCTCCTTCGAGCCCCATCAGTAAAACATCATGCAGAATAAACGGCAAGAGTTCCACTGCGAGGCCAGGAATCACACTCAGAACCTTGCTCAACGGCCCAACAACAGGGTCTTTGTGAGCTGCCTTTGAGAGGAACAACGCAATATTGCGAGCCCAATCTGCAGAGGAAAGACTGGGATCCCAACCAACCGTATCATTGCTTGCCCTTTCTTCTGCGGCTGACATTGATATAGATGGGCATTGATAAGGGTTCCATATGAGTGCCTTCATCAGTGAAGGGGGTATCGCATTTCCAGAATGTCCAAATTCAGGCGAATTGACAAGATTACTGATTATGAGTTGCAGTGTTCTTTCGACGAGGCCAACTTCGAGATAACTGCCGTTTTGCAACATATCGCAAAGTATCTGTATTATACGAGCCTTGGAGTGGCAGACAATTCCATCTGATGATCTAGATTCATGAGCTTGGAAGAGAGATGGCTCTTGCTCCCTTAGTAGAACGTCGCTAATTTGCCCAGTAGCAGCGAAGCCTCGACCGATGACTGTAGCGGCCCATAACCGATATTCAGTTCCTGGCTTGAAGTTCCGAAGGGTCTGGCAGAGAGCCACGGTGTTTGAAATAGCATCCTCGTCTGTTTCGATATTGTCATATTGATGGCAAGGCAGTCGTTTGAAATCAACACAAAGCAATGACACAACGTGATCAAAGATTGGCTTGCTCAACAGATTACGACTTGAATTCCGGTCTCCAAGGATCTCAAGCAATAGGTCTCGCTCATTTGTATCGCCTGAGTTATCTCCAGTGATTGATACCTTCTGTGCTGACCTGACAAGACGTCTGAACGGCTCATATGTGTCTGTTCCCAATATGGATGACTCGTAAGCGTCCAGGAATTCGCCGAACCAAAGAAGAAACCCTTGAAGCTTTTCCAAAACTATCATGAACTGGTTTTCTTGTGTCGTGCTTTCTGGAGATGACGCAAGAAATTTATTCAGAGATACGAATGTAGAAACCGTGAGTCCGGCCATGAAGCCGGGGCTTTCAGTCAAGTAAGATTTTCCTGATTCTAGCAGATACCAGAATATACCCAGTGCATCTTCTGAGCAATATACATCGGTAAGAAAAGGCCGAAGAGCATGAAGAATCATTTCGAACGGATAGTCCCGTAGCATGACGGGTCCAGCCACAGAAACTAGGATCCTGATCTTTCGGATAACAGAGCATGCATGCAGGGAACCGAGAGCTGGATGAACCGATTCAAGGAGGGTCCGACAAACGAAAGATACTAATGCAGGGGTCCATATCGTGTCAAGATCGTAGCCACTCCGCTTACAGAGGAACTTAAGTTCATCCAAAAGGTACCGTGCCCTAAAGGATGGCTGTTGGTTGGCAGGAAGTGCGTTTTGAGAACAGCTCTTGCCAGTAATTCTTTTCAGGGAGTCTAAAGCACCCTGGAAGTTCAGTCGTTTGGAAAAGGCTTTCTCGATCTGTTCGTACTGATCAAGAGAACCGAAGAAAGTTGCAATGACCTGAGGAAATTGATTTTCAATCAAGGTCACAAATAGTTCTGTACCTAGCATCTTCTTCAGTCTGTTCTCAACTCCTCGTGGTTGGCTTCCTTGACTAGGTGGTGTACTGATGTCTCGCGATATACTGTATGCCTCAGCCCTATAGAAAGATTTTTTCAAGAGCTCAACGAAAGAAACATTCATGAAGTTCGAAAGCTCGGCTGTTTCTTGTTCATTTCCACGCATAATGATTTGACCAACAAGCTCATCCTGTACGTCGTCCAGCATATCCCTGAGATCGCTATATCCAAAGATGCTGAAAGGCATCAAAGTGATTGACTGCGATTCGGTCCAAGTGTAGAGAATTTGAGAAGAGAAGAGTCGGAATAGCTCTTTCGCATTATCGAGCCCAAGAGTATTTGCAACATCTCGCATGCATTTCTCGGCGTACCACAGCGAATGCGGCACCTGGGCAGGCGTTTCGAACATATGGTAGATACTCCTTCGAAGTAAGGTATGCCATTGAGAAGCCAATTGAGATAGTATGAACAAGCGAAGGGCAATGCCTTCACTCCAATCAGGATCACGAGGTAGACTCTCTAGTACATCGTTCAGTATGGCATCGTGGTCTTGGAGTGAAAATCGGCCAAATAAACGGGGTATCAAGTTGGCAACGCTGAACTTCACCAAAATATCTCCTTCTTCGAGAATCATGAAAAGAGTTGTTCTTGGTGATGGATTGGCTTGGCCACTTTTATATGAAGCGTTGGAACTGATTATCCCACCCAGAAGCTCAGAGAGGCCAATCAAAACCCCGCACGAAGCCTTTCCCTTTGCCAATAGCACATCCGTGAACCAAGAATATAGATCTGCGGCTGACTCGCTAAGGTGGTCTTCCTTTCCACTAGTCCATGCGTTAACAAAATTGGTCAACATAGAGATACAAAGACGCTGGGAGCTTTCGCAACGCTCTAGTCCGTAAGACTCTAAGCATTTCCCACCAAGGTCTTCGAGGATATCAAGTAAAAATGGCCTATCCATACTCGAACATGATCGATAAACCTGAGGCAAAAAGTACTGTGCAGACAGAATGTCAGGTTCCTCCAGCGCCGTCAGGTACTCAATCAATGATCTATTGTTTTGCTCTTCAACTTGGTACGTGTCCACCAGTGTGCTCTGTAATATGGACAGCTGAATGGTCATACGACGTTGAAAAGTGGCAGTGTCGGGGAAAAAAGGCAGCGCCTCCCTATTTAGGTTGATGATGGACTTATTAACAGTCATTTGATCGACATTAGCAGACAGTGGGTCATCCAAATCCATAGCATCTTCATCATTCGAGAATTCATTTTGGATTCGTCGCTTTTTCTCGAGGATCTCAGCCAGTGGAGGCACGATATTACGAAGGCCCCTAGAGACAATATTCTCGGGATCAAAGAGGCATGGGGCTGAATCGAGAATAGGGGAAAACATCTCCAGGCAAGGCTGAATAAAATCACCTTCGCGAGATGCCAGGAAAGAGCAGACATTACTCCACAGGCGTTGGCTGTTCTGCTGCAAATCCGCAACCCGAGAAGCAAGTTGTTGCGGTAGGCACTCCGTATATAGAGCAATCGCAATGCAAAAGGAAGCAAGGATTTGTATAATTTCCACCGTGACATGATGTGATTTGTCCTCAGACAAGGACCGCCAGGCTTGTAAAAACATTTCAGATTTCGCATAGAGGAGATCCAAAACAACGGCATCGTTAGGGTCTTGCCGTGTAAATGGTTCCAAGTACAGTTTCTCTTCTGTATCCCAAGGGTTTACAGAATCCCTTATCCCTTCAAGGTGAAAAAGATACCTCAGCAGCCTTCGATTTCTATGCGAAAAGTGCCAGCTTCTTGTAATAGTACCCGTGGGCCCCCTAAATTGACAGTCAGGAAGCACAAACGGTCTGTTAGTACAAGCCAAGAGTAGATTCAAAAGATCCATTGGCCGTGCGAACATAGCAACTTGTGCCGTTTGGATTCGATCAGTAACCGTTCCTTTACAGATGTCAGCTGACACGTTCCATCCAAAGATTTAAGCTTAAATACCAATTGTCCAAACCTCCCGCAGCCAAGTACATATTTGTTTCGAAGCATTCAGTACTGACCCTGGGTTTATCTGGGCATTCATTCGTGTCAATATCGCCCAAAGAGACAGAGATGTATCCGATATCGTAGAAGGACCGCTTAGATTAACAGACGAAAGCATCGAACGCGTCGTTTCTGCAACTGCCGAGTACTCCAAGAGATCGAACTGCATGATACTGCTCATCAAGTTGCAAGCAGCTCTTGATGTGACTTGAGAGGTAGAGGCGCGTGATGTCAGATCCCAAACCTGCTGCCAGTATCCTTTCAATGATGGCGTATCTGCGCCGGGACTGCTGGCAATGCTGTTCAACTGTCAGTTTACGGTTGTGAAGATCGAGAGACGCATCCATACCTGGAAATTGCTACCATGGTCCAAGATGAAACTGCACCATTATCATCCAGTATGTTGGGCATCAGCCGATGAAGTAGAGACGCCTTTGATTCAACATTCATTTGGCTTTTGACAAGGACTGGAATAAGCTGCAACGCGCAGAGACGCTTTGTTCCTGAAGACGAGAAAGAATCACGGAAGACTTCTTCTATCTCTGATGTGAAGCGCTGCCTCTTGCTCGCGGCTTCCTCTAGATTATGAGGCGTCGATAATCGCGCAGCTATCTCTTCCGATAACTCCAACAAGCTCGCTATAGCCCAGATGAGGGTCCAGTTATGCTCGGATTTAGCGTTTCCAAGGCGTGGACCAGTGATAAGTTTATCTGTCCGCGTTGACTCTGGTCGATAGAAGATCAAGTCATCAATTTGCAGCATTTCCTTTTCGGCTCGCCTAGTATACTCCGAGTGTAGAGTTTTCACCAGTCCCTGAATCGAGTGAGACAATATTTCTGATGGTTCCTTGCGAATTGCATCACCCAAGATAGTCATGCAAAGCATGATAGTGACGAGTAATTCATCTTTCAGACCAGTGAGTTTCGTAGCCCACAGGCGTCGAATTACTGGGATTAAATCCAACAGAAATGTCCGGACAAGCTCAGACTGGTCAAACAACACTTTCGTAACAACTGTATTTATGCTATTAAACGCAGCTTGCTGCCCACTTCCTGCGATGTGTGACGATTTCACAAACTCTGCCAGGCCATGAAATATTTTCTCGGCGGACATCTGGACAGGCGCAGTCGGGCTCGCCGTTAGAAGTTGGATACACACTACGATCTCTCCGAGAGCACTTTTATCGCCAGTATGTTTCTCCCTGATGGCCAAAACTGGTGTCGCTCTGGACGGGGTTGACCGGCTAGGAGTATCCAGATATCCATCCAATGTAAAGCGATGACTATTCCGAACGCTGACTTGGCTATCCTCATCTTCCTGAACTCCGAGGCCCCGTAGACAGAAGCTTATGAGTTTTTCCCATTCGCCAATGCCTAGGTGCTCGACATGGGGCGGGTAATGCAAGAGTGCTGACAAGCATTTTGTGTAATCCACACTTAACGGTTCCCATGGGCCTTCTCCTGGGTCCGGTATGGTCTCGGTTATATGGTCAATGATGGCGCGAACCGACTTTATCCGCAAATTCTGTAGGAAGACATCAACAGCCGTTCGAAGAACTGAGGCACACGCAGATAATCGAGAGGCAGATGGTCCCTTGGAATTTGCACGTTTGTACGCCGACTTCTCAACTGAAATGAATCGAAAAAGAGACTCGAAGATTTTGTGGCAAGCTTTATCGTTGAGGGTATTCCTAGCGACACCATTGCGTCAGTAATATCCCCAGACCTTGCGCACAGTATTTGGTTTCATACAGTTTAGAGCTCTGTTTATTCTTTTGCAAAATATGCTTCAAATCTGGCAGTCAATGTTAGCACAACTTCACGGGAGTTTTTGTCTTTTAAGCGACAGACCTGCCAGGCCATCCGAGCGATCTCTCTGCTTGTCTGACGATAGAAGCGCAATCGCTTTATCGACAGTAATTTCCGCCATGATGTTGATACTGCGGAGCTACGACTATCCGCGTGGGATTGGTGCGAACAAACTCAACACCAAAGATTCATTTCATCAATACTTTTGAGGGTCTCTTCAGAGCGAAGACCTCTCAAATTAAATCATAAGCAAGATAAGAATCCTTGTAGTAATATGCTGGAGAAAACGCGGGGTGGAATTGTTCCTAGATGCTCGGAAGCTCTGGTGCGGCTTTAGTCTCTCCGCCCACCGATAGGTTTAGGCCGGAATTTTGATCGCGTCCTCCGACGTTTTTTGGCCCGTGACAACAGAGAGCTCTTTGCAGCTTTCCTCCCACATCGTCCCCTTGTGAGCCGTGAACGAACACTGAAAATGGATGGGGGAGAAATGGTCGGCCTTCGAGGCTTGTACCAGGATCTCACTGCTCTTTCAGACTCTTCTTTTGTGAACATTGAGCGCCTTCGTGTTGAGTTGGAGTCTCACATTCAGGATTTCCGAAAACTCCTAGACAAGCCCACGAAAAACAATGCAAGCCGACAAGCCGTTCTCTCAGGTAAGTTGCCAATATAGCTACTCTCTACTTTAATAGGGATACATTTAATCCTGTGCACTGCGCTGACATGACTTGCGACTCTATAGGCAAGATTACGCTTGGCGATGTGGAGTATTCGATCAACGAACATTTTCAACAAGGGGTGCTGCAAGTGGCAGATGCCCTCGATATCGATGAACTGGAAGCGGCGTTGATGTTTCTTGCTGCTCAAGAAGATGCCCAGGTGCTGGACCGAACCCCTCTGATTACTGCGATCATGCGATTCCACGAGCGCCGGCACTTCCTGCTAGAATGTTTGCGCGTCATTCTCCAGGAATCGTTCGAAGTGGAGAGGGAAGTGACGCAGGAGATAATGCAAGAAATGGTGGCTTATGTTCTGGAAATAAAGGATGCTCCTCTGCGGAATGCATCTCTTTTTGCAAGGAAATGCATGGCTTCGATGGAGAACATTGAGAAGTGGCTTCTGCTTCTTGGTGAGCAGATCCAGAAAGCGACCGTTGTGGGCCAGCAAGGAGACTCCGATACTATGGAAGCTATCGATTACCAACGCATCAGTCTGCTGCAGCAGCATGAGTCGCTCGGTGCAATTATGTGCTACCTTTTCAAAGGCCCTTATACTAGCCCCGAGGATCTCCGACACCTTGTGAGCCGCTTACGAAAGGTGGACCGCTTTGATGGGTTACTCGTGCATTACATCCCTTCAGTCGTTGCTTCTTTTGTCCAGCATGGCTCTCCAGAAAAGAATGGTTCGTACAAAGAGGCGAGAAGTCTCCACACAGCTATTACTTCCTCTAAAGACGGCCAACAATGGATCCTTCCGACTTTTCATTCTGCCGTCATCGCATTATGGCTTGCGGTCTACAGCGCATGGGATTTTGATGGACCATCATCGCCAATTCCAGGTGTTGACCTCGAAAAGGAAGCGGAGGAGCGCACAAAGTTGTTCATGACTGCTTTGGATGACGGAGCGCTGGATTTTATACTCGCAATCTGCTCTGGGGTAAATAACGAAGAATGGGGTGACCCAGCTCGTAGTGAACTGGTGGCGCTCTTATTGAAGGAGAGTGCGGCATCCGTCCCTGATGCGGAGGCTTGTCAGGAGTATCTGAAAAAGTTGCTAATGGAAAGCTTCGAGGTTTTTGCTGAGTCTTGTGTTGCAAATATGCCCGATGCTGTCCGCATGCTCAAGTCTGAGGAGGATTCGCAGAGGCTGGACCAAATCACTGCCTTGAGAGATGGCTTGACTTCTAGCCTCCATCGCGGCCTCGTGGAAGCTCGAACTCATCTCGAGTCCTTCCTTATGATTATGGCATTTGCTTTTGAGGTCCGTCAAGATGCTGCACAGGAATTCTGGGCGGACCCAGATGGCAACTTGTACGGCTTTCTCCAATGGGCCTCAAAGCGACAAACCGTTCCTCGGGTCAGCGCTTTCTGTGAGCTTTTATGTTCTATTTCTGGGGGTGAAGAAAATGCCACTGCAGCACACAGATTTCTGTCGGAAGAAGACAAGTTCATGTCTGCCAAGTTTAAGCGATCTACTTCAATGAATTGGTCTCAGATGTTCGCCGAACTCCAGCTGTACTCAACCAGGGTTCTAGAAAAGCCTTCAGCAACATCACAGACAATCCTGCGTGCCAGAAAGTCTGAACCAGCAGAAATGAGCGAACCCGAGAGTCCTGTCATGTTGACGTGCTATCTCCGATTAATGGGACATTTGTGCAAACAGAGTGCTACTATAAGAGACTGGATGCTCCTGCACCCATCATTCAACATTGTCACTACTCTACTGACTTTGTGCAGTGGGCCAATACCCACTCATCTGAGGGCTACTGCTTTCGAAACTCTCTCTGCATTGATGACCGAGAGAACACTTGTCAATGGCAATGAAATGTGGCTCTCTATTGACCAGTGGATCTCTGGGGGTTCCATGAGTGCCTCGGGGCTTGGGAAGGTCCCGGTGGTCTCAAATCCCCTTGTGTGGCACGAGCAGCAAGCTTTTCAGAAGATCGGGGAGAGCTTTGACCAAGCCAACGCATTTGTCGCCCTGATCTACTCTCTTACTGCTCCAACTGCCGAATTAACTCATTCCCCTCTCTCGCTTCCCTTCCCGGAGTCCTTGGGTTCTTCTTATCGCATGCCCGGGATTGAACCTTATGTCGACTTTGTCCTGGGCCAGGCTTTGACCAGGAAGGTTCCAGATCTCACCGAGCACCAAATGCGCTTGTTAACTTACAATTGCTTGGATTTCGTTGTGACCTGTCTGAAGACCTTTAACGAAAGCCTCGTTACAGTTCTTAGCCAGCCTTCTGCGTCCCCTGATTCTGCTGTTAAGACCTCGTCTTTGGTTTCGTATATCCGCCTTCACCCCTTTGCACGTGTAGCAGAGTGGCTCTTTAACGAGGAAGTTATCAAGGCCATTTTTTCCACCGCTCATCAAGATGTAAATGAAGTCTCGAGAGCTTCACCCGACTCTGTCCAGGTTCTTTCCTTGCTCAGGAGTCTTGAAGTCATTAACCTGATGTTGGACCTTCAATCGACCTACGCCAATATCGTTAGGCCATTGATCAAATCCCAGGCAGGCGGAAGCCGGACCAATGTCGGCAATTCAGCACTTTCTTCATTTGAAGATAGCATTTTAAACAATTTGACGATTGTCCCCGACTTGTGCCTTTACTGCGGAACGGGACATCAGCAACTCACTGTCATGTCGATGGCATTGCTGGAGAAACTCTCTAGCTCTAAGAAGCTCAACAAAATGTCCTCTCCTCAACTGTCGAAGTGGCAATCTTCGAACAAGATAGTTGAAGTGCTAAACACAGAGGTGGACTTGGACAGTGTCTCCCGGCCGCTTGTGTCTCAAATGCAACCCGATCTGAGGGACTTGGAATTTGGCGCGGAATCTGCTGGATATGTTATCCGCGAAAGCCTGTTAGCACTCCTGAATAGCTGTCTTGGCATGATCTCGGACCGGCCAACAGTCGCCCATCTTCTTCTTGGATTTACTAGTGTTGGCAATATACTTGATGTCCCAGCAGACGGTCTATTTGCCAACCAGATGTCTTTGTTGCACACCCTGATCAACTTTCTCCAAAACTACCCCGACGAGATGGAAGGCAATATCATCCCGTGGATGGTGCATCTCAAGCGCATGGCTTTTGAAGTGATGAAACATTTGTGGTCCTCGAAACTATCGTCCTTCTTCACTCTTTCTGAAATGCGTGCCAGTCGTTTCCTTCTTAATATGTTTGCGAGCCAGCCTATCATTGGATCGAACACTCCGTGGAATGGATTTCCTATGACGACAGATGAATTCTGGCTTTCCGATTCGACCTCTGCTTTGGCAGAATTCTTGCTCTATAGAAGCCATCTGTATAACTATGCGGCAACAGAAATACGCTCGGCTGCTAAGCTAGGCTCGCCAACTCTTAAAACAGATATCCTCTCCACTTTGTTTGGCAACTCTGTCTTAGAGACGGGCGAGACCGTTGCTAATCCCACCGTGTTTGATCTATTTGACTTTGCGGATTTGGACATTGGGCATCAATTCTTTCCTCCCCCGCTGAACTTCCTCGATGGGATTGCCGTCGATTTGTGCGCCAAGCCGCAAGCCGACGAATCACTGGTTCTTTACGATATAGCCGAGGTGGAGGAGCTCATCCAGGTCAGAAAAGACGAGTTGATACAGAGTGGCCGGTTGCGACCTCTGGATGAGGAGCAATTCGTGGCCGAGTCCCAAACTCTAACCTTGTTCCTTCGGTCAACGAACCAGAGCAGACAAATTCAATCCAACCGCTACGTGGCTCTCCGATCATGGACCGAACTTATTACGACTATGATCACCTGCGCGGACATGGATGGAGGACGACGATCGACGTTTATACTCCACTCTATTCAGTTGATTCTTCCCAAGCTCGAGGTTGCTGTTGAGGACGATCTCCCAGAGGGAGTTGAGCTCGCACGATTGGCAGAGACTTTGGTCAGCAAGTTAGACTCGGCCCCGTCCCAGATCCAGTCCACCCGAAGTGGGGACGTGATCGACGAGAAGCTTCACCAACTGTTCCAGATTTGTGTCCGAGGCATCATATTGGCAACTGGGAACGTCAACCTAAGGGAGACTTTCTATAACATTTGCTCGCATTACATCTCCCGTATAACAGCCCCAGATCTGGTGCACGAGAGCCTGAGGCGCCACAGCCAGCAGGTTATCAAGACAGCTGGGTCTGCTCTCATTGAGGCTACATGCGATGATGCGTATGGAGGTCAGGAGACATGTCGGGTGTCGGCTCTTTTGTTGCTCAACCTTCTGGCTATCTTGGACAGCCAGTCGGACGCCGTCTTGGCAGAGGCCATATCGCAGTCAAACTATCTGAGTTTGTTCTTGGACGCGATTCGAGCGCTGCCCAGTGAACTGAGAAATGCTCAAGGAAATGGTATGTTACGTCTAACAGCTGTTGTTTGTTGTTGCTAACTAATCCCACCAGACACCCCTCTGCTGTTATCATACTATGAATCTCTACTGTCTCTGCTTCAGCAACTCTGCCAAACAAAGAATGGAGCTATTCAGGTTCTTAAAGCTGGTCTTTTCGAAGCCACACGAGACTCTCAGCTGTTTTCCGCTGACCCCGACATTGGCATCGGTTCGTATTCCTTTCCAACTGCAATGGTCAGATCTAACTGAAGTAGATATCGACAACCCTGATGCCCTCCGAAAGTATTACGACCTTCTCCTCTCGGTGCTCCGCGTCATTGTCTCTGCCGTTTTCTCTCGGGGACTCCATAACGAACAGATTGCGGAGCAAACGCGAGCATTCCTAGGCGAGAACCGACAGAGCATGGTTGGTATTTTCAAACGATATGCCAAGATTGGGGGATCGGGCGTTCCAGACCACCAGGAGACGCTCCGTGATCTGACCAAGTCATATATGGCACTGATTGCTGCGACGGACTTTTTGGAGGTAAGTATCTTAAAATTTTGGTATTGTATAGTCTCTAACTGGCTGTAGTTTGAGGAAGAGGAAGTGAAAGAACACTCTCGGCCAGGGTTATTTTCGTTTTCGTGAGTTGGATGAATGAATGATGGCTGATACACATGACTTGGGAGGAAGAGAGTGTAAAATATGAAAGAAACCACATATTCATTGGCAATGATTATTATAGCATTTGCATTTAGTTATACGACGTTGAATGCCTAAATATGTTTAGATCGGAAAGTTAAATAGCGGGTTCAATAAACTTCTATTTGTATTCCAAAATTATCAAATAAAACAGCTTTAACCCTATTACCATGAATGAAATAGATAAATTCCTGATCCCGGAGTAATCGTTGGTGATGTACAATGCAGCAGCTCTGGTGGAGGCGGACGAATTATCTTATCCCCGCCTAACCTCAACTGAACTGCGGAGTGCCCGACCAACCTCGCGCAATCAACCCACTGCTCACCATCGCCCTCTCATCGTCGAAACCGTCGCGTCGCATCTCCGATTATCAACAGGAATCCGATAGTTCTGCCATGATTGATTGGACCCGGGATTCTCTGGATCATCCCAACGCTGAGAGCTCCTCCCTTGACTTCTGCAATTCGGACACCACCGGGTAGATGAAGCAGAACCCAAGAGGCGCCACCGAGCAGAGGAGCGGTAAGCGCAAATCGATCGGCAAGAGGAAGCTTTCTGATCAAGGGGAGGGGTCGTCGCAGCAGCAAAACCACCAGCAGGCGACCATCTCTGAGCTTCTATCCAGGAACAACACGAAGGGCTACCCGCAGCAACAGCGGCCTTCGTCTCCAACGAACAAGCGTCCCCGATTATCGCCCTCTCTTGCGGACTCGGATCGGCCCCAGGAGCTGATCCCACCGGACAGAATGTATACTTTTTCAAATTCAGAATCGAGAGCAAGTGGCGGGGGGACACTGGGACAAGGGTCAGCTGGTTCCTCCGGTCGCTCGAATGTACCACCGGGCAGGCCTCGTCCGTTTAATGCGGCGACCCGTCAAAGCAACTTTACACCTCATACTGGCGCGAAGAAACTCGTGGTGAAGAACCTTCGGACCGGGCCGCGATTGGATCAGGACTCGTATTTTGAGAAGGTCTGGGGTCAGCTGGATGCAGCGTTGACTGCGATATTCAGTGGCGGCAAGCCTGAGATGTCGCTGGAGGAACTTTACAAGGGGTCTGAAAACGTTTGTCGACAAGGGAAGGCTGCAGTTTTAGCCAAGAAGCTCCAGGACCGATGTCGGGAACATGTATCAGGGAAGCTTCGTGAGGCTTTGACGGCCAAGGCTGGAGGGGGGAATAACATCGATACTCTACGGGCTGTGATAGAGACATGGGCGACATGGCAGTCGAAACTGGTATGTGCATTGATGTCATGTGGTTTTGAGTTTAGGGATTAACATGATGCAGATTACTGTTCGCTGGATGTTCTACTATCTCGATCAGTCGTTCCTCTTGCATTCGAAAGAATTCCCCGTCATCCGTGAGATGGGTCTTATCCAGTTCAGATCTCATATATTCTCCGACCCCGTGTTAAAACCGAAGATCCTACAAGGTGCATGTGACTTGGTGGAGGCAGATCGCAACCAGGACAGCAGAGTGATGGCCGATTCATCCTTGCTCCGAAATGCGATTGAGCTCTTCCACGGGCTTGACGTATACACGACCAATTTTGAGCCGCTACTTGTTTCCCAGTCAAAGGACTTTTTTGAGTCTTGGGCAGAACGAGAGGCAGCTGGGTACTTGGCTACCTTTGCAGAGAACAGCCACTATCTGATTGGACGAGAAGTCAATCGGTGCGAGCTGTTTTCGCTCAGCCGGAGTACCAAACAAAAATTGTCCGAGCTTCTGGACCAGATTTTGGTGGAAGAGCAAGAAGATGTACTGCTTAGCCAAGGAGATGTACTGGGTTTACTACGGGCAGGAAACAAGGTTGCTCTGGAAAAGGTCTATTCGTTACTTGAGCGAAAAGACCTGGGAGCACGGTTGAAGGCCCCCTTCAGCAGTTACATTGTTGAAGAAGGGGCAGCGATCGTGTTTGACGATGAGAAAGAAGCAGAGATGGTGACACGGCTGCTGGAGTTTAAGCAGCAGCTGGATGATACATGGGTGAACTCATTCCACCGGAATGAGGACCTGGGACACAGCCTACGAGAAGCGTTTGAGAGCTTTATGAACAAGGGCAGGAAATCCGAAGCTACGGGCGGCACCGACAATCCCAAGACGGGAGAGATGATAGCCAAGTACGTGGACCGGCTGCTCAAGGGCGGGTGGCGATTGTCTATGGGACGGAAGCCAGAGGAGATGCCGCTGGCGGATGAAGATGCCGAGATCAATCGACAGCTGGATCAGGTACTGGACCTGTTTCGATTCGTGCATGGCAAGGCAGTGTTCGAAGCGTTCTACAAAAATGATCTTGCCCGACGGTTGTTGATGGGTAGGAGTGCAAGCGACGATGCCGAGAAGAGCATGCTTTCCCGACTCAAGACCGAATGTGGATCCAGCTTCACGCACAATCTGGAGTCGATGTTCAAGGACATGGACGTGGCACGGGACGAGATGGCGGCATACAGCTCTATCCAGCGCGAACGCAGTCAACGCCTACCGGTGGACTTGAACGTGAGTGTGTTGTCGGCGTCGGCATGGCCCACGTATCCGGATGTCAAGGTGCAGATACCACCCGTGGTCAAGAAGGCGGTGGACGACTTTGAAGAATTCTACCACACGAAATACCAAGGGCGCAAGCTCCACTGGAAGCACCAATTGGCGCATTGTCAGATCCGGGCCCGATTTCCTCGGGGCGATAAGGAACTGGTGGTCAGTTCGTTCCAGGCGATTGTGCTGCTGCTCTTCAACGACGTACCCGAGGGCCAGAAGCTTGGGTACACGCAGATCCAGGAATTGACAGGGCTTTGTAAGTTTTGCTGAAGAGATGCATGTGAAGATGACGCTAACCGCCCGACCACAGCCGACCCGGAACTGAAGCGGACACTCCAGTCACTGGCATGTGCCAAGTATCGGGTGCTGAGCAAAGAGCCAAAGGGCCGGGAAGTCAACAGCGGGGATGAGTTTTCGTACAACGCGAAATTCTCCGACGAGAAGATGCGGATCAAGATCAACCAGATCCAATTGAAGGAGACCAAGGAGGAGAACAAGACGACGCACGAGCGGGTGGCGGCGGACCGGCATTATGAGACGCAGGCGGCGATAGTACGGATCATGAAGAGTCGCAAGACAATAACACACCCGGAGCTGGTGGCGGAGGTGATTAAAGCGACACGCAGCCGGGGGGTGTTGGAGCCGGCGGATATTAAGAAGAACATTGAAAAGTGAGTGTTTGCAATTGGGTATGCATGATGTTGAGTGTTGAGACTGACTGGTGTGCAGATTGATTGAAAAGGACTATATGGAGCGCGAGGAGGGGAACCGGTATCAATATGTGGCGTAGAGTTGTACATTGTACATTGCACAACAACAATAACCGTGGACAGAAAGGAGTTGGGCAGGATTACAGATCAGCGATCAGGTGCAATGCAGCCGAAGTTCTAGACTGACAGATTCATAATCGCCAGAATCCACCGTGTTTACCCCTGGGTTGGGGATTACAAAGTGTGGAGTGATCGACAGACCATTAGTTGGGTTCTCGTCAGATGACTCTCTCAATAATATGATTGAATAAGTAATTACGGAGTACAATGAGATATGATCATCTAGACTACAACTACCAAATTAACCACTACTCGTATGATTAATTATAATTAAATAATTAAATGCCTAATACCTCATGGTCGATAGTATCCTAGGAGTAAGAAAGCTCCACGGAGATCTGACAGCTCCACTTCGGGGCATGGGGAAGCAGAACTATCTTTTTTTCACGTCCCATGATCTCTCGCTGTTTCTTTTTTTTCCTCTTGTCCCTGCAGATCTCACTGTTTTCCACTGTTTTTCCCGTAGGAATTGACACTGCAGTTCAACAATTCTAGAATACTGCACCTGGAATGCTGTCCGGCTGACCTGCTCTTCCCAGCAAGGAGCAGTCCTCAGAGGAGTACGTGGCTTCCGAATCCGGCAGTTCCTAACACCCAAAACGGACTACTGGAGAAGGAAAGCCGACCTTGGCTTTTTTTTGGTTTTGGTTGGGGATGTTTTTTTATTTTAATTCTATTTTTTTTTTTTTTTCGGGTCATATGAAAGATCGTGTTCATGTGAGCTGAAAATTTGCCTTGAAAAAGAAAGTATCAGAGTCGTAGTGACTCAATGCTGGTTATATAATATTCGCTGCGTTCGCTGTTCTTGTTGGGTTCATCATCATTCTTCTGTGTCGTCTTCTATCTTATAATCCTGTTTCCCTCTCGCCACCTCCTCATCCTCTTCATCATCACTATCCTCATCATCAATTCCATCATCACTCTCACATAATTTAATTCTTCTTCCTCTAACTAATAAACGAGTCTCCTCGTTTGCCGGTCAAACGTACTCTATCCTATCTATCCATACATACTATAATCACCATGCAGAGTACGTTTGTCCCGCTCTTCCGCTTCCCTCCCCATACTTACAAGACCAGCCAAGCACTTCTTCTCCGACCCTAACCACCTCGTCGTCACTGCCCTCAACTCTCTCACCCGCACAAACCCCTCTCTCGCCTTCGACCCGGAAAACAAGATTGTCTTCCGTCGTCCAGATGCCACCAAGTCAAAGGTCGTCATCATCTCCGGCGGTGGTTCCGGTCATGAGCCCGCCTTTGCCGGCTACGTCGGGACGGGTCTGCTAGATGCCTCTGTGGCCGGTACCATCTTCGCCTCGCCCTCGGCCGAGCAGATCCGCAAGGCTGCCATGGACTTTGTCGACACCTCCAAGGGTCTTCTCGTCATTCCCATGAACTACACTGGTGACGTGCTTAACTTTGGCATGGCGGCCGAAAAGGCCCGTGCTGCCGGTATCCAAACAGAGTTCTTTGCTGTCAATGACGACGTCGGTGTTGGGAAGAAGAAGGGCGGCAAGGTTGGCCGTCGTGGTATTGGTGGTGGTATCCTCGTCTTGAAGATGGTTGGTGCTTTGGCTGAAGCTGAGTATGTTCCACATATTATATGGTATATTGTGCGCAGTCTAACAAATCTAGTGGCTCTCTCGACCAAGTGTATAAGCTGGCTCAGTTGGCCAACGACAACCTTGTCTCTGTCGGTGCTTCCCTCGAGCACGTTCACGTCCCTGGCCGTGGTGCGTCCGAGGACAGCATCCCTCAGGATGAGATTGAGGTCGGTATGGGTATTCACAACGAGCCTGGCTCCCACCGTGTCAAGGCTACCTTGGACCAGTTGGTCAAGGGTATGCTCTCGCAGTTGCTGGACTCCAAGGACACCGACCGTTCGTTTGTCAACCACGGCCCCGGCGATGAGTGGGCTCTGTTGATCAACAACCTTGGTGGTCTCAGCGCCTTGGAATTGTCTGGTATCACCGAGGAGGTTTGCAGCCAGCTTGACCGTGACTACGCTGTCAACCCCGCCCGTATTATCCAGGGTACCTTCCTCACCAGTCTGAACCAGTTGGGTTTCAGCATCTCCTTGCTGAGACTCGCCGACACTGGCCTCGGTGACGGCAAGTCCATGGTCGACCTGCTCGATGCGCCCGCCGAGGCCGTCGGCTGGTCCGCCCCCATCACCTCTTCGACCTGGGCTCGTCAGCACGACCCTCCTGTCGAGATCAAGCGTACTGCTGCCGCTGCTGAGCGTCCCAGCAACTTGAAGTGTATGTCTTATTTTTCCTGTGCTATGTTTAGACCGCGCTAACATGCTTATCAGTGGAACCCGCCGTGCTGAATAAGGTTCTGGGATCTGGCCTTGAGCGGGTCATCGCCGCGGAGCCGCAGGTCACCCGCTACGACACCATCGTTGGCGACGGTGACTGTGGAATCGGTCTCAAGCGTGGAGCTGAGGCTGTCCTGTCTCTCATCCAGTCGGCCGATCTGTCCACCGACCTCCTCGACACCGTCCACCGCATCATCAACGTGGTGGAGAACACCATGGACGGCACCTCGGGCGCTATCTACGCCATCTTCCTGAACGCGCTGGCCCACGGTCTCCGCGAGCAGGACAAGTCCTCCACCCCCACCCCCGTTGACGTTGGCGTGTGGTCCGCCGCCCTCAAGTACTCGATCAACGCCCTGGCCAAGTACACCCCCGCCCAGCCCGGCGACCGTACCATGATTGACGCTCTGGTTCCCTTCTGCAACACCCTGTCTGAGTCCAAGGACGTCAAGGCCGCCGCCAAGGCATCCGAGGAGGGCACCGAGGCCACCAAGAGCATGAAGGCCAGCTTGGGTCGCAGTGTGTACGTTGGTGGTGAGAGCGAGTGGGTTGGCAAGGTTCCTGACCCTGGTGCTTATGGATTGATGGAGTTCTTCAACGGACTTGCCCAGGCTTCTTAATTGTATACATATTAATTAACGAGATACGATGTTCATAGCAATAATAGTTAAAATATTCAGATAATCGTCTAGTGTCCGTGTATATGTAGCAGCAAGTTAGATACCCAGCTAACTTCAACAGACGCATCTAGCAGACATTTATGCATCAAACCAACCTACAGGGCAGCACATCTAGCCTCAGCCATCCACTTCCAATCCCGAAATCTCAACAAATCCCACAATCACAAAACCCAATACCAACTTATCGAAAAAGTGCATAAGACAAGGGTTTAAAAACATGCCCCATCCGCGACGAGTAGTTATCTACACCCCACAAATAAAACGAACCATCGTAAACGACCACTATCACCACTTCCCCAGATCATGATTGATAAACCTGGACGCCCCGCACGATCCAGATGTAGTATGGATTATGTTTATTATTTGCCCACGGCACAAGCACCGCCGCACTGCTACTCGATGTGGGCAGATAGGTTGTTTTTGGGATATTACGGAATAGGCTGCTTCTGGCATCTGTTCAGTAGTGTACGAAGTTGAGTTGTAAGAAGGACCAATCATCTCTATTCTGTCTAGTCTAGTCTAGTCCAGATAATAGGTAGGTAAAAGCATTGGGTTCATCCAGTAGGGGGTAATCCCCGAAGAAGCAAACCGGCATAAGACACACGGGAGTCAACCCAGTAACGGGGATTCTCGGTTTCTGGTGTATTATCGCCCTCATTTTCATCGCTCATGTCATTGGGCTTCTTTCCGGCAGCGCTCTCTCCGTCCTTTCTATAGCCTTTGTCGTTAGGCTTTCCGTCGGGCTTCTCTACGGCTGCACCCTATGCATCGACCCCGTCGTCGTCTTCGCCATCACTGCTTGTCTATACATCCATGTTAACAGTATGAGATCCACTGGCACCGAACAGAAAGATAAAGTGGAAAAGGGAAGCTCACGTTAATAACGGCCAGACTACTGGTAGTATTTGGCTTCTTGCTATCCCGCTTGCTATCATCGCTCGTTGCTTTTCGCTTGTTCTTCGTCTCCATGACGTTCAGGCTGTCATCATAGCCCAAGTCTGTCAGCTCCCCCATGTGCAGGCGGGACCGGCGTTGACCGAGAATAGCGCACATATGCTTCGTTGTCTCGATGTTAATCAGTTCATCTTCTGCCTGGATGGAGTCAGCCTGTCCAGCCGCCTCTCTCCTCTTCCTGCCTGACTCGATCAGTGGCTGGAGATAGTGGCTGATGTCGCTCGCCACCTGCGGCATGGCCTTTCTTGCCGAATTGGCCTCGATCCATCGACTAACCGTGTGCTCGCCAAATAGTATCCAAATCTTCTGTCGTTCTTTCTGTCCCATCCGGTGCACGCGGTGGGCTCCCTGGAAAACGGTGCTCAGATTAAGAGCTGGCTCGATGATAATCACCCGGGAACAGGTAGTATGAAGATTTAAACCCTGAGCGCCACAGGCAAATGTGGTCAGGAGAATCTTGACATTTAACTTTGGATCTACAAACCGGCTTGCCGCTGCAGTGCGCTCCATATCGGTCATTGAGGACCTGATGACTTCAAACTCGACGCCGATATTGGAAAGGAACAGCTCCACATACCAGAGTATCAGGGGCCAATGCACAAAAAGTAGAAATCGGGGACGAGGGGCATTAGGGTCTTGATTGAATAATCCTTCATCGAAAAAGATCTTAAGGACATATCGCAGTTTGATACAGTCGGCAGCAAGCCAGTATGCTGTAGAGGCTTGCGCAGGAGGGATGCATGCCTTTCGATCAGAGTTCACATGTGCCCATAGGAATGCGAACCCCTTATCGGGGCGTGAGGCGTAGTTGTGTACTTTATCTGCCATGCTATTGACCGTCTTTGCTGTGCGGACAAAGTCATCCAGCACTGGGTGTGAACCCCACATGGCTGAGGAGGCGTATACCGCCCCAATAGAAGTGGCTAGCTTCTCCACTACTCTTCATCGCCAGCGTTATGTCCTGAAAACGTTCATCATGGATCTTCTGAATGCGCTCTGAGTGTCTGAGCTCCACGGTCATGATCCGCATTGGCGGGTTGTCATCGCCAATGCAGCCACGAGCCGGGTCCCGAGGGTCCATGGGGTCACCCATGTTCCGCCTGATAGAGATCATCTTCATGATCACAGGAATAGAATAATAGCCACTACGGGCAGACACGTAGCCATTTGGCGCTAACGCAGCGAATTTTCTCGGTGCTAATAAGTGGTAGGGCTGCTCCTTTGGGAGCTCCTCCATCTCACTGTATGCTTTGAATTCACTAACTGGGTCATCCGCGATGGTTACAGGTAAGTCATTGGGGGTCATGTCTGCAAATGTTGGTGTGAAGAAGAGTGAGAGGTATCCGCATATGTCCGCAGCCCGGTTATGCAATGGCGTCGCCGATGATACCCACACATGTGGGCATTCTAATAGCCTCACAGATTGATGCCATCGCTTTGCGATGGTCTTCACAGCGTGTCCTTCATCAAGGATCACGCGTCCAAAGAGACCAACAGCCAGGGTCTTGTAGCGAGTGCTCTTTGGTGTTTTCTTCTGCTCCTCAGCCGCGGCTTTTGCCTGTATTACTTTGAAATGGTCAATGGCGTCGATATCCTTCTGTCCTGTCTTCTCCGACACTGGCTCTTTGCTCTGATCTTCTTGGAGTGTGCGAAACGCCCATGTCGCGTAGGAAGTCAAGACCACTGTCCGAGCCGTGAGCCGGTCCTTAGGATCCAATCCATTCACAAAAGCCCGCAGCTCCTCCATGTTGGTCAGAGTCATGTTCTTCCGTCGAAGGTTCGCAATATGCTGGGCTTGGCCATGAAAAACCTTCACACGCAGTCCTAGGCTAAAGCGGGTCTCTATCTCTGTGAGCCACATTTCGATTAACGTCGCTGGGCAAATGATAACTGTGGGCTGGTAACCTGCAACGGGGTCCGCAGGCCGGTCGCCAAAGCTATAGATTGTGGCCAGACAAGTCGTGGTCTTCCCTGTACCGCAGCCATCGGCCACGAATCCCCCTCCTACTGGGGTGGACTCTTGCGTGCTGTCTGTTGGTCCCCGTTTGATTACCGTCAGCCGCCTGGGCGACAGCCGCGACGTCGATGGCGTCCCAGATCTCGCACAGCTCCTCTGCGGTCATGCCCCACGACCCCGTACTGCTACCGGTGGTCGAACCAGTCGATGCAGGGGTCTCAGCCGGCGCTTGGTCCGAGGCCGAACCCGCAACAGTAGGCTCGTAGTTCCATGGGGCGATGGCGGGCGTTGAGTGTGGTTTTTGAGTCGTAGTTCCGTGCTGTCGACGGGCCCATGCCAACAATTTCCATCCGTGCAGTACATCATAGGGGTTGAGGCTTGGTGTCACGCCCTTGACTGATGAATTTCGGAAGAGATGCGGTTTGGCCGCCATTAGCTGGACAACATACCTTAGACACGTTAGCGGTGCAATAGTTGCGTTTGTAACTTTCAAGCCATCCACAACAGGGCGGTCATCGCCAAAGATAATAGATTGGAATTCATCCTCAAAGGCCATCGACAAGAGCTGCGTGCCAAACTGATTCTTCGCGTGCTGCGCCCACTCGGTCAAGATCGGCCGGGCGTACTTGTCTTTCAAAAGCAGGTCCCAAACATGAAGGGCATTCTGCAGACCTAGACAGCCCGCGAGGAGTCCGGTGTTCTGTTCCATTTTATGGACACATTCGCGCTCGTATTTGATGCCTGGTATCCCGCAGGCCGAGGGCGGCTGCTTTACAGGCGCCATTAGGATGCTGCTCAGATACAGTACATTGTTAGCCATCAGCCCTCATGGTTTAAGCTGTGGGTGTTGAAAGGGATCCAGCAGGGGATGCGAACACGGTGGGATGGACTTACTCAGATTTGCCCAGAGCTGTCTCGAGAAGGGTAAGGACTGAACTAGGAGGGAGAGAAGAAAAGGGAACGAGGAGAATGATGGAAGAGAGGGTTAGGTAGGGACTCGAGAATGATGGGAACAGAGGTGGGTGAAAGGAAAGAAAAGAGAAGAAAGAAGTAGAGAGATAAGAATGGTGGGATTCGTTCTGGTCTAGACGCTGCAGTCAGTACGAAAAGAAGGCCAAAGTGAGGTTATCTTCAGATTGTCAACAGCTCTGGCGCAGCGAAGGAGGGTGAGGAACTACATGCCATGGACAGACTCAACGTACCTGTTTGACTTCTCCATCTCAGTCAGCCCAGGATTCCAAGATCTTATAGAATCAACTCGTCAGAAACAGACTTACCTTTGATGGCAAAGCCAGGCGTGACCAAGATTGGGTCAGATCTGGATGCCAGTCAATCTGGATCAGGAACAAAAGGCGAGTTTCAGAAAACCAAGTCACGGTACTCAGTTGCTCAACCTGTTTTATTATTCAGAAAGGAAGACACCGTTTGGATGCTCAGAGATGTAGGATACATACCCCACACAAACAGCTAGCCAATGTCAAACAAAGAAAGAAAAAGCCAACACCGGTGATACTGTAGTGCGTGAAGATTAGTGCTGATAAGTGAGACTAGCACTGCCTCGCATTTGCTTGCTACACTAGGCTTTTAAGTACATTCACTGTGTATATATCAAGTGAATGAAGTAAAAGTAACCCTGGACTCTGATTGGTTGAAATAAAAATTAATAACTATGGCTGGAATTCTGACTGGGCACTCCCATTACATATGCCATCATAACAATCATGCCCTATAATCCAGTTGCCAGTGATGTACTACTGAGATGGGCCTTGTTAAAACCTCAGATACTTGCCATATCTTTGGCAGCGAAACATGAGTTGATTGACAACTTAGCCGGTGGAGCTGACTAATCTGTATATACAACATTAAATAATACTGGTAGAATGTTAGAGATGAGGTTTGAATACTTTATTCATTAAGAGTTTTAGGGGTGGAAAGTACTAGATGAAGAGAGAGCGACAGCTAAGGAAGTGTTGTGGATAAGTGGTTATTACACTTACGTCCTACATAATATACCACCTTATACACAGTACCTATCTAAAAACGATGCCCGGTGACTAAACCAGTAATTGCTCGATGATCTGTATATCCATAATTCATACAGTTGAAAGAATCCTTCGATGAAACAGACAGAATAAAAATAAAAATCGGCCACAAGTCCGATATTGCTTTAGGCGGCGTGTGATTCGTTCGCGGCGAAAGCTTGATTTGTGAAGCCAATCGGATTACACATATTCGGTCTTTGGGATCCGCTGTGGGGCTTCCGTGCTTTTGTATGTAGTTGGATGAATTCAGTTGATGAGAACAGTAGGTATACTGTACAGAGTATGTAGAGAGTATTATTATTTATTGTTTATTTTATATCTATCTAGTAGTAATAGAGCCACGTATTTTATGATAAATAATTAGAAAGAGATAAATATAACCCTATATACTCATGTATGACAACAATCGGCCAGATGTCCGAGAAGGATCTACTCCACAGATCTGATCTCCCTGTTCTTCTCCCGGGGAGAGTGCGTCGGACTCCGGTCTATATACGATCTCACTCAGTCAATTGAGTCAAGTCATGGATATAAATATGAGGATAACACCAGAGAGAATGTTAATCAATCAACTCAGCAGTCAACATGTTCGCTTTCAGATCGAGAAATCTGGCTTTGGGCCGGGTGTCGAAGAATCAGTTAGTCTGCCATCATCTATCCAAGTCCAAGTCTGTCTAACAGGATACAGTCGCTTTATCTCTTCCTCCCACAATGAACTCAACAAAGTCTCCTCCAAAATCACCCAGCCCAAATCCCAAGGCGCCTCACAAGCCATGCTCTACGCAACCGGACTCCAAGAAGACGACATGAACAAGCCCCAGGTGGGGATATCGTCCGTCTGGTTCGAGGGTAACCCCTGCAACATGCACTTGATGGATTTATCAGCGCTGGTCCGCGACTCGGTCGCTCGAGCAGGCCTCGTGCCGATGCGATTCAACTCCGTCGGCGTGTCGGACGGTATCAGTATGGGGACCGCAGGCATGCGGTATAGTCTGCAGAGTCGGGAAATCATCGCGGACGGCATTGAAACCGTGATGAACGGACAGTGGTATGATGCGAATATCTCCCTTCCTGGATGCGACAAGAACATGCCGGGTGTGTTGATGGCGATGGGGAGGGTGAATCGGCCTAGTATCATGGTTTATGGAGGAAGTATCAAGCCTGGGTGCAGTGCGGGGGGTCAGAAGTTGGATCTGGTCAGTGCATTTCAGTCGTACGGGCAGTATATCACTGGGCAGATTGATGAGAAGGAGCGGTTTGATATCATCCGCAATGCGTGCCCGGGAAGTGGTGCGTGTGGGGGGATGTATACGGCGAACACCTTGGCGACGGCGATTGAGACGCTGGGGATGACGGTGCCTGGGAGCAGCAGCAGTCCGGCTGAAGATGCAGGCAAAAAGGCAGAGTGCGATAATATCGGCGAGACAGTCAAGAACCTGCTGAAAGAGGATATCCGGCCGCGGGATATCATGACAAGGCAAGCATTCGAGAACGCGATGATCGTCGTCAACATCCTCGGCGGCAGCACCAACGCTGTCCTGCATCTCATCGCCATCGCCGACGCAGTGGGCATCAAACTGACCATCGACGACTTCCAAGCTGTATCGGACAAAACCCCCTTCCTGGCCGACCTCAAACCCTCCGGCCAATATGTCATGCACGATCTGTACAAAATCGGCGGCACACCCGCTATCCTCAAATTCCTGCTTCGCGAAGGCCTCATCGATGGCTCTGGCATTACGGTGACTGGCAAGACGATGAAAGACAACGTCGCCTCCTGGCCTGACTTCACCCCCGACCAACCCATCATCCGCCCATTGAACAACCCCATCAAACCATCTGGCCATCTACAGATCCTGCGTGGATCTCTGGCACCAGGTGGCTCTGTTGGGAAGATCACTGGAAAGGAGGGTCTCCGCTTCACCGGCACAGCCAAATGCTATGACTACGAAGACGGCTTTATCGAAGCCCTCGAACGCGGCGAGATCAAAAAGGGCGAAAAAACAGTCGTGATAATCAGATATGAGGGGCCAAAGGGAGGGCCAGGCATGCCGGAGATGCTCAAGCCCAGCGCGGCCATCATGGGTGCTGGACTGGGTAATGATGTCGCATTACTCACTGATGGACGGTTCTCTGGAGGAAGTCATGGGTTCCTGATTGGACATATTGTGCCAGAGGCGATGGAGGGAGGACCGATTGCGTTGGCGAAGGATGGAGATCGAATTGTGATTGACGCTGAAGAGAGAGTGGTGGATTTGGAGATTTCAGCAGAGGAGATGGAGAAGAGACGAGCAGAATGGACAGCGCCGCCGTTGAGATATTCCAAGGGGACGCTGAAGAAGTATGCCACGTTGGTCAGTGATGCCAGCCATGGCTGTGTGACTGATGGACCAATCTAATAGATATAAATTAAATATAAATAAATAATGGAGCTATACTCTCTTCCCCCCAACACTCTCCCACTCCCCAATATCCGCCCTGTTATCCCCCATCTCCTCCACATCCGGTGCACACCACGCCCTCAGTCCCAACAACCCCCCGTTCTGCTCCAACAGCGCCGGCGGAATCAGAATCGAATTCTCATCCTTGGGCGCCCCTTCATCCAACTCAGACAGCCGAATCGTATATTTCGGCCTCCAGCCGTGTCCCAGCGACTCGATATACCGATTAATCGCCGCTTCACCTCCATTCCATAACAGGGAACCGAAGCTGTCGTATTGGGGGATCCATGCTTTGGGGGTATGTTGGAATTCGGTATATTTGGCTGTAATTTGGCAGTACCTATTGTCTTTTAATAAGGAAAAAGAAGAAGAAGGAGAAAAACAAACCAGCTGTTGGGCTTCCTCCACTGCCCCGCTATTTCAGTCATGTAGACGCCTTTGCCGATGCGGGTGCCTGCTCGAGGTCCGGTATAGACAGGAGTACCGGCTTCATTATAAATATGTGCTTGGGCCTGTATATCAGTTAGTTTTTATGCAAGAAGAGAGCAATTTTGTATCTTCTGTTGTGTTGTACATACAGCACTGACGGTTCTATACCCAATCAGGATCCGACGATCAACAGACTCGTATGTGATGCCAATCAAGGCGAGAAGGATTAAGAGTGTTGATATTGATATATTTAATATCATAATAATTATTATTATAGTAATAACAATGCCATTATATTAGTGGCGATCGATAAATGAGGTGGCAGAATTTTGGTGATAGACAGACGAGCTGAACATGTGTGGATCCCCTAGCTGAATCTAAATACACTCAGTTTTCTGTATAGAGATTTATTGGATAGTAGATAGTACATACCTGGATACTATAGAGTAGTTAATAGTACTATACGATAATTCAATTAAAATGTGATTGAATTGATGAATGATGAATACTCATGATGAATGCTTTTTCCTTGGATTAAATACCCTCTTCTCTTTTTGCTTCCTCTCTTCCTCTTCCTCTTCTCATCATCAACTTACCATGGCATCTCCAGCAGACAAAGTCACACATTAAAGGCATAAGAATGTCTCTTCTAATCAATACTATCTCAGCTCAAAAATGCCTACAATCTCTGCGACGACACCAGTCCCAAGCAATGCCATCCCCGGATGGCTGGAGGGTGTGCCCAATGGGGCAGTGTTCAGCTCTGCATTCCCAATTGGGGGCATAATATTGTTGATGTCCTCATACTTTGATAATCAGATATAGGCGAAGGTATGTACTATCTATAACCTACCAAGGTAAATAATATCATATTCACTATCATTATGATACCCAAAGCACTACCAGTATCAACCCCAGAATGCAAACGAATGGATCGAAATGCAAAACACGACAAAGCCCCAAGGTAAGTCAAGAATCAAGGATTAATGTACTATGCATAGAATACTAATACTGATGACCTAGACTGGGGCGTGCACGAGAGTCTCAGCAAAAATTGGAATGGGTTTTTAGCCTGGGCCAAACAATAAGTTGTTCGAAAAGAAAATCAAACAATCAGGCAGTAGCCCCGATGTTGCACTGTTTCAGAAGTTGACTATAGTATGGAGGACTTGTTGTACTGTCTGGGCTGTATTGTTGTTGAAGTACATGTAGCAGCTGGCTCCATTTTCTTGTCAAGTTCGTCATATGTCAAGTTCGTCATACTCGATATAATCTATTTTGTTTGATGGACATTATGCTAGACACAATCAACACATTTGGGACAGTCTATACTGCAAGGAACAGGTTTACGAGATGGTATCAAGCGTTGCTGTTCTGTATGGAGGGTTGCATGTATCAGTTGAAGAGGAGAATATGAACAGAATATTCAACAAGCCTAGGGTAATTCATGATTATGTATGTCACCTCATATTCCATCATCGACATGCATCTTGGATGACATGACAATGACACCTACACTACAAAACTATATGTATAACTGAATCTCCATCAAATAAACGATCACCAGTTAATCACCATGACCCCCTCTGCATCCTCATCTCCAAAAAAACACCCATCGAATACTGGGAAGCCAAACTTGCCAACACCAAAAACCTTGTCTCTTCCTCTCCGCTCTCCTCTCCTCCCTCTCTTTGCAAAGATAAAGTCAAAATCCTAGAAAAAGTCACACTCAACGAAGATATACACGGAAAGTCGGGGCAGAAGAGAAGGTTAGATGATATGAAGGATTTTCCGTTTGATTTGGTTGTGGATAGGGCTACTACGTATAGTGTGCGCGTGAAGCGTTCATATATCTGGGGAGTGGGATTTTTTATGGGAATAATAACTGGTAACCAGTAGAGATAAGAAAGATGTCTTGTTCACTATTTTATTTTCTGATGTATTGCACATCAAGTACGTGTAATCTGAGACCTTGATTTTAGCCAACGCCTTGTCCCAACATGAAATATATTAGACAGCATAGCCACAGTCAGATCGTCCTTCACATCATATGAACGAAGTCACATCGTCTGACCAATACTCCAGTCTGCTGGCTGGACATACAGGAGTTCGAAAACGCGCGTGTGGGTATCGATATCAATTAAGGTCGTCCTTTCTTTTACTTCGTAGATGATACGAAAGTAGGACCGGAGCCCTGCCAGAGCCGAACAGTGTAGTAGTGCGCGCACGTGGTGAGCATCATGAAATTTTTCTTTATTCAACTGAGCAAAACGAGGATAACAGAGTCGCCGCGAAGGAACCTGGCCAATAGTTAGACGGGCCGATCAAATCCATATGCCACATGACTTACATCTTGCTGACGAAGCGATCCTTGTTAACACCCTTGCCCTTGCCACCCTTGGGCTTCTCCGTCCACATCTCCTTCACGTTCTCCAACACCATGTTGCAATGACGGTCAAAAGCCTTGACTCGCGCGAGCAGCTTGCGGTTGTTTCGGCATGAGATCAGGACCTGGGTGTGTGTGCGTGTAGCGGTTTGAAGGAGCGACAAAGGCCCGGCAGTCAGCTCGTGCTCTTCCACAAGAGCGACCTCATATTCACTACGATAAGATAAGTTAGATATAAAATTTGGCACGTCAATGAACGGTCAAGGATGGATGGTTAAGTATGTAGGCCGTGTTCATCATGTGATGATGGGTTGAACCGAAGAATTCGATAAAGCGATGCGAAAAAAGGGATGGAATCGATGCGGGTAGAGGAGGGGTGACATACGTGAGCTCACTCTTGGGCTTGTTAAGCAGGTCTCTGAGGTATGGTTAGCAAGAGCTCGACCAGACGGAGCAGGGATCTAGATGGCGAGCAAAACTCCATGACTCATAATGTCAGATGGAAAAGAGGGGAAACATACTGGATCTTTGGGTCGGTAGACATGGTGGCCGTATAAAAGCACGCGGATGGTCGTCTGGCGTTCTCTGCTATCTTCTCTATCTTGCTCGACCATCGGAAGTTCGCTCGAAGGCTTGGCGCGAAACTGGTCACGTGCACCGTGTTTGCCGTGTTTGGCCGCAGACACATCCGGAGGTCGCGATTGGCTGCGTCACGTCGCGTCCAGACGGCGCCCGACACGCTTTTTGGCGATCTTCACAGCTTCGTTCACGAGTCCATGCAAGGCGTCTTCCTTTTCTTCTCTTCCTCTCTCCACTCCCACCACCAATCTTTTTTCCCACCATTACAACCCTGCATCACCTCGTCCGGATGAGTTGCAAGGTTTCCCTCTTCCTCTTATTCCTTGACTGACCCTGAACCTCCTTTTTTTCACCGCTCCGTCTGCAATATCACCCCTCGCGGATCTCCTCCCACTTCTGGCATTCCACGGAACTTTTTCCCCGCGAATTCTACCTGCATACCGTTGCATTCTCCTGGTCGACCGATCGTCCCCTTATTAGATTCGTCAGATTGACCGATAAGACGAGTGTGAGAAGCTAGATTGTACCTTGCTTCCCTCCGATGGTTCTTTCCTTCGATTTCTATCCTCGGCCAATCCCACGATCCCCAACCGATTGACCTCCCATTTCTTCGCCTCCATCTTTTCAACCTGATACTCTTTCAACTTCCTTTTTGCTTATGGTGAAATTCCTACGTTTGGTGGAATGGAATCCCAGGACGGAATATCCGTCCGCCCTATGAGGCGTGAGTTGGGAACACATCACGACATTGGTTTTGGCATTGGACGCTAATTTTGGACTTTGGAAATAGTGAAGGTACTCTACACGTTTGACAATGAGAGTAAAACAAATTGCCTGGCTCGATGGCCGCATCTTCTCGAAATCCAGACAGCCGCTCTGGATGAGAAAACTCAAGTCGGTGTCATCGAGCTAAAAACCTGCATCCAAGCCATTGTCTCTGCCAGGTTCGCCCCCCTTATTCACTGACACTTAATTTTCCAGTGTTAATCCTATTTCTCTACTTAGCCCCGAATTGGTCGCCCAACTTGGTCAAGATTATACGGTTTATGCCTACGATTATTCGGAATATGAGACACCTTTGGTCGGACAGGGAATGCTATCATGGGTTCTAGCTTCATCTTCCCCGACCCCTAACGCACCCGCTCACCAATCCAAAACCATGGTCACCGGTCGTGTTTGCAAAAATGTGCTTGGTCTTTTTTCGAAAGGTGCTCAAGAGACGTTGGAGGTCAAATTACGACTCGTGCCTGTCCCTACCGTTATGCAAAGCGAATACCTCGAAAGTATGCAAAAGTATCGGGAACTGAGCAACTACATCCCTCATGAATTCGATGCCCAATCATGGACAAATTTTCTTCGCCAAAACCCCGGCTTGATGGCCAACACGACGACTCAACAGGTTGATCGAACGACATCTCCCATGGACCACGCAGGAATTGAGCGATTCCATCGGTTACTCAGTGAGGGCTCAACGCCCAGGGAGCTTCCATCGATTGCCAACGATCCTTTCCGATCCGCGTCCCCCTCACAGTCCATCTTGGCACCCAGCAGGGTATCAACCCCAGGCGGACAACGTCCATCATATCAACAGCAGCAGCAGCAAGACTCGCAACAGTCACAACACCAAAACAGACCCACAAACGATGCCATTCGTCCCACCTCCAGTGCTTCAATGTGTGATTCAGACTTTGCCAATCACCCATCCTTTGGCACCCGCAGAGGCTCGATGCAATCCGGCTATGGCAGCGGCGACGATTCAGCCGATCCCCAGCCACGGAAGAGGGCCAAACTGTATCGAACTGAGATGCCTGGCAAATCTGACTTCAACATTGAACGGCAACCTAGTTCATTGCGAGTTGCAGCTAGCACAGCTGCCTCTGTCCGGATCCATCGCCCGACGCCTGTCAACCCAGCCATTGCTGCTGCTCAGTCTTCAAATGAAGAGCCCGTTCGGCCACCAACCCCCATTGGCCAACTCAATGATTTCCCCCGAAGGACACGCCCTCCGCCAAGTCTTTTACGCGAGTCATCAACCCAGAGCAATGCTTACACTTCGCCATATCCCATGAGCGACGACATTCCTTTGGGTGACCTACATAGTCATTCGCCGGAGGCATCCCGGTATCAAGGTATCTTTGAGCCCTCATTCAGTATGCCTTCCTCGCCTCCCGTCTTGGATTGTGCATTCCCCAATCGATCCAGCCCAGTTCTACCACCAATCTCTACGGATCCCGACTCTGGCTTCATGAGTGGAGGAATTGATGAAATCATGGAGGATGATATCGGCACACCGCTTGGAAACTCTTCGAGGTCTGTCGCCAATGGTGCAAAGAGGGAAAAGCGAATGGCTCGGTCTGAGGTTCAGCCCAGCTCCCCTGCCGTGGTGGAAAATCAGGGCGAGAACTTTTTGGTCAGTGATGGAATGGGCGAGCAACCTGCCAAAGAAGCAGCACCAACACTGCCTCGAGCACCCGCCAGTGCTGCCGGGTCCCGGCCCTCTTCTCGAGCCAGTGTCAGACAGGCACCGAAGGCTTTGGCGCCTGCGCCCATATCGCAGAGTGAGCTTGAGCAGCTCATTCACGCTATCCCTGCAAGTGATCCAGTCATGCCTTCTCAGGGCTCTCAGCACCCTCATTCTTGGAACGGTCCGATGAGCGATTTCGGTTCTGTCGCGACACCACCGCCACAAGTCATTGATGATGGCAAAAACCGGAGCGGAGCAGGAGCGAAGAGGCTGAAACAGGTCCAAGCACGTCTTGATAAGTGCATTCGGGATGGACAGGTCCCTCCTTTCTGTGTGAACTGCGGTTCAATCGAGACACCTACGTGGCGCAGAGCTTGGACGAAGGAACTCGCCGGCACCGAGCAAGATGCCAATGAGCTTATGAAGGATCCTACAATGTTGTTCTGGCGGGCCTTGGAGCGAGATGATGCGGAAAAGGTCACTAAATTCAAGCTTCACAAGAAGAGTCTGGTTGACGCTGACAAGGATTTTGTCCAAATCCTTCTTTGCAATCGTAAGTATAATATGTTCGCCCGGTTTAACATCATCGCTAACCCAGGTAGCTTGTGGTCTTTGGCTCCATAAGTTCAAGACGATGCGGCCAGAAAACAAATGGAACAAGTCTGCGAATAACTCGAAGAAACGCCCTCCTAGGAACCGCAAATCCGGTCCACTCTCGAACAATGGTGCATCAACAAGGAGCCGCAGCAAAGCAGAGTCAACCAAGCCTGCCGGTTCTTCTCCTGCGGGAACCGATGCCTCATCCCCGCCAACAGAAGATGGAAACACTCCTCGGGCAGAAAATGAAAATGATAACGAAAATGAAGACGATGTCCAGGAACCCCCGTCGAAGCGTCGTCGTGCCACCAGCGCAGAGCCTCGTAAGTCGTCTGATACTACGGAGAGCCGTTGGCACGAACAGGATGCGTCAGAGGCCCTCGAGCGGGCTATTCAGTCTAGCCCCGCTCGGAACATGGACAATCGAAATGCCCCGGCGGTAGAGCAAACTCCTACATCCAAGCCCGTGAGAAGAGTCTTGTTTCCCAACACCCACAATGAAGGGGCTTTGAAGCCTCTGGGTGATTCGGTCATGAACAGTCCCAGACGCAGCCCTCGTGTTCACCGCGAATCGGACAAGCAATCGCAGGACAAGGAGAATCAAGGTGCAGCAACACATGATGATCTTGACGGGCTTTTTGAGAGCCCGAATTTGGATTTTGATCTACCCACCAGTCCTACTCCCAGGAGACGCATTCCCAGGCCAAATGTGTTGGGGGAAAGACGACTTTCTCTTCCTAATTCTCCTTCTGCTGCACGCAAAGAAAATGTCTCGGATTTGACTCCGACCAAGCTCACTGCACAAAAACTCCAGCGCATCCAGGGAGGTGCCGGGTCAGCATCCCGTCAAAACAAGACACCCAAGCAGTCGCGTTCCCAGGTTCCCGATTTGCCCGAACTGTCTGACGATGTTTTTGGTCCAAACGCGTTTGAGAGCATGAATGGCATGGTTGTGGATATTTTTGAAGAAGACTCTGTCTCTGCTGCGAATACGGACTCTTTCTTTCCATTTGACTCGTCAAAGTCGAACAACAACTGGCCCGATTGGGTGCCATCGGACTACGTGTCTCCAGTCGGGTCTGATGAAGACCAGGTCAATGGCGAACACGACATTCCGGACGATATTATCAATGCGATCCTGTCTGGCCCAGACATTCAAAAAGAAAACCTACACAACTTCGACCCTTTCAGCTTTGACTCGAGCTTCCTGGGCTCTGATGCTCTCGGCGCAGATCTAATGGCTCTGGGAGTCAAGGCAAAGTCCTCTGATGGATCCGCCAACAAGGAACAGCCACACGCGGCTTCCGAAAATGATTCATGAATCATTACCTAATTTTGCTAAATTTTTTGACGAGTACTTTTACTCACATGGCTTAGTATATCTTTCTTTTTCTTTCTATCTGTTGTTTTAGCGATGGCGTTTGGGGGGTTTTGTCAGACTTTCGAGTCAACAGTGAAACACATACATGTTACGACTTTCTTTGTGTCACCCGAGGATCTTGGTATGAAAATCACTTTGTGCTTCTCCAGTGGATCTGAGAACATATCACTCGTTATTGCATATGAGACCAGTTATCAAGCTGTGTCAGGTTATATCCAAGTTACGACTACAAATCTTTAGTATTTAGCAACAAAAGAATCAATCAAATATCAAATCATAATAACTCAGTTTCTTCCAGTCTTCATTTTAAAGATGCTGCAATATTTGATGCCCAAAAAGTCTATTTACAACTCGCAAGACCATGTAATGTCCATCATTCGAAAGTAGTTCCATGGGTATGCCTCCCTCGGGGCTTGTGATTTAAATGGAGTCTATCCACGTAGCACAGCTCCTTTCATGAAATCATCATCATTGAATCCCCTCACCCCAACCAGCAAGCAGGGGGGAATAAGATATAGGCCAGGGAGGGGTTCCACCAGACGCCCTCCCTTGAGCATCCTTCAAACTATAGTTGCCATCCGCTCTAGTCATGCTCCACAAAAGGAGATGCAGAAAGAACAGGGTGTGATATCGTAATTCTGGTCCATATACCCGTACCAGCCTACTCCGTAGTGTTACCGCCTACAGCCAAACCAAACAAAATCGGTCAATGCATTTATTTATTCCTGGTCGTAGAAGATCGGCTTCAATCGATGTGTTGCCTCGACAACACGCTCGTAGATTTTGTAATCTGCAAGAGTCAGCACCTGTACATCTGAATCTATGCCTGTCCCAAGTTCGAGAAAACATACCACAATCAGCGGGATTTCCCCAATCCGTCGTTCCCAAGACACGCACACCAAGACCCTATCATACAGCATTAGTCTCACAAATCAAGAACAGCACAGTAAAGGGCCAAAAGGGTAGATATATACCTGTCCACCCTCCAAATCAGTAACCTTGCCGACAACCTCCACCAACTTCCCCATCTGCAAATGCGAATCCGGCTTCAGGATAAGCGTCACATCACCCTGGCTCCCGCATGTAATGGTCGCTGTATCGCCGCGCAAGGCGGAAACGGTGCCCAGTAGACGGACGGTGTGTGTGGTGCGGGGGCCAGTGCTGGAGGGGTGGAAGGCGTGCAGGTGGGCGGGGAGGACGCGGGGGGTTTGGAGGGACATTATGTTTTGTCTGATATTGTGTTGATTCGATTTGACGGTATTGGCGTTATTTGAGGGCGTTGATGTGGAAGAAATGGATAGGATTTGATTGATGTGAGAGTCTCGATGTTTGATTGTATCTCCGGTCCCGTCGCGGGGACGCGAACGCGTGAGCACGTGATGTATATTGAGCAATTTTGTCTGCTACGGTTTGCAAGGTAGATTTCATGGGGCAAACTTCGCATTTACTTTCGTTTCGCTTTCTACTATTAGTACGCTAGAGCACTATTTGATAGCCTCTAGATCATACGTTAACTATAATGAAGTTCCCAAGTCTAGTAGGCCTGTCACGTGACCAGGCAAGATCGCCGCAGCTGCGCCGAAAGCTTTGGAGCCGTACGTCAATCAACTCGCATTCCATCTGCGATTGGCCTTTAAGACCAACACATTTACTTTCATTTATCAGATAAATACATCGCAAGGACCGCTATCAATTTCAGCTTCAGTAGCTACACCTCGACTTCCTACAAACACCTTTTTGCGAATTGAAACTGCCGTCGCGGCATCGTCGTCGACATGCCTCCTCCATTACCCTCCGTCCATCGCGGCATGACCGCCAACCCGCTCAAACCCAGCCGCTACAGACCCGGAAAAGCCGTTGCCGAGGAGCCGTCTTCATCAGAGGAGGAAGAGGATGAGGAGGAGAGTGAGAAGATCAAAGAGCAAGAACGTCGCAGAGCAGCAGAGGCGCAACGTCGACGAGAGCGACAAGCGCCCAAGGCTACGTCGTTCCCGACTGGCGCTGCTGGAAAGATTACAAAGAGGGTGCAGGATGTGAAGATTGAGGAGGAAGATGATGAAGAGGGTTTCGTGACGGATGAAGATGAGGAAGAACAGCCGCCTAAAGTAGCTGCGCGTGTTCCGGGTGACCAACCGGCTCCTGCGGCAGTTAAACCAACGCTCAAGGAGGAAGACGAGGAAGAAGAAGAGGAGGAGGAGGAAGAGGAAGAGAGTTCCGAAGAAGAAGAAAGCAGCTCCGAAGACGAAGCACCCCGGAGAGTTCTTTTCCGCCCTACATTTATCAAAAAAGATAAACGGAATAACGCAGCGACACCAGACACAAGTGGACAGGCACCTGCCGCCGGCGTGGACTCCACCGTGGAAACAGAAGTTCGAAAAGCCCAACGACAAGAAAAGGCAGACATGCTCGTCCGCGAACAGCTAGAGAAAGACGCCATCGCCCGCTCCTCAGCGAACAAAGCCTGGGACGACGATGAAGCAGAGGCAGGCGAAGAAGGCGCCATCGACGACACGGACGGACTCGACCCAGAAGCCGAATACGCAGCCTGGAAACTGCGCGAACTCAAGCGCATCAAGCGCGAGCGCGAATCCATCGAAGAAGCAGAAAAGGAGCGCGAAGAGATCGAACGACGCCGGAACCTGACCGCGGAGGAGCGCGAGCGCGAAGACTCCGAGTTTATCGCTAAGCAAAAGGAAGAAAAAGACGCTACCCGCGGACAGAGTAGCTTCATGCAACGCTACTTCCACAAGGGAGCTTTCTTCCGGGATGATCTCGAGCGCGAAGGACTGGACAGACGAAACGTCATGGGACACCGGTTCGTGGACGATGTCTCGCGCGAGACATTGCCTCAGTACATGCAGATCCGCGATATGACCAAGCTCGGCAAAAAGGGACGAACGAGGTACAAGGATATGAAGAGCGAGGATACAGGACAGTTCGGCGAGGGCTTTGATAATCGCCGTCGTCGCGATGGCCCTGCGCTCGGCGTTACCGATGAGAGATTCCTTCCTGATCGTGACGACCAGAGACCCAAGGGTCCCACGGGAGCCAACGCCAGTGTTGTCCGAGAGAGACGGAGATCGAGAGATAGGTCCTTCTCACCAAGGAGAGACCGTCGCGATGACCGGTCGAGAGATAGACGCGATGACCGAAGAGACCGGTCAAGAGATCGCTACAGGCCCGAGGGCGGCAGTCGCAGAAAGCGGAGTCCCTCACCATATGACGACCGAGACAAGCGACGACGAATGCGCAGTGTTTCGCGATGAAGATGATCAATTTGAAAGAAAGCAAGCAAGCAAATATATCCATTGATTCTATTCCTATTGGCGTTGGTGGGTATCCTGAAAAAGCATGGGTGGGCCAAAGTTATGATGCATTTGCAATTGTGTGATTTTTTTGGTCATTTGATTCGTACTTGATTATATCTGGGATCTCCTCGTCGGCAGATCAAACATATTGCCGCATATACAATCACATATGTCCAGGCAGATCACCTTCCTGGACTTGCATAAACATCAACGCCGTCGTAAATAATTGCATTGAATAGAGAAAGAACAATCCTTCAGAAGTCCCTGATAGTAGTCTCCTTAACGCCAATTATGTAGACCAGAAGGAATCAATCACCTCAGTCATAAATTTATTTCACCCCAGCCCTCTCCAACACCTTCTCCCTCTCCATGACACTCTCCCCAAACCGTAGCAAGAAAACCGTCCGACCCGGCCACATCTCCGTCGGCTGATTATGCGCCGAGACCTTCGCCTCGAATCCACACCCATCACAGACACCCTCGATAATGCCCGCGACGAACGCCGCACAGTTGAGCATGTTCATCTCCTTGGGCACGCTGATGTAGGTATTCACGAGGGGGTCATTGTCTGTAATCATGTACTCGTTCGGCGTATCGGGGGAGACGGATTGTTCGAGGGCGTCAGCGGGACGCTGGAATAGGAGACGCCAGAGCGGGCCATGGATGAGGTGGAGGAGGGGGAGGATGCGGAGGGGACGATTGGGCGGGGAGGCCGATGTCGAGGAGCTAGATAGGGAGGAGGAGGTCGAGCTGGACATTGTTCGGTAGAAGAGGAGGTCGAGGAGACGGAGGCCGAGGGGGTAGCCTTGTTCGTTCAATCTACTTCATTAGCATCACCCATAAACCATAAACAGATATCAGAATCAGTAAGAGAAAACCTACCGTCTCTCCAAATCCTGTATCCCCGTAACCCTCCGCTGAGCATACGTGACCATCTCACCAAAGAGATAGGCAAAACTGGCGCGACTCGACTCCGCATTCCGACTCCGATTCAAGTGTCTATCGTAGATGGTTTTGCGATTCGAGGGCACGCGCAGCCCGGCACTGGGCTGCGGCGACTGCGACTGCGAGGCGGCATGGCTGTGCTGTGCGGATTGGGTTTTGTCGGAGGTGTTGGAGAGGTTCGAGCCGCTGTTGTTGGTGTTGCTGATGGAGAGCATTGCGGCGTGTCGTGATTGTGTCATGGTGGATGGAGTAGGAGTAGGAGTAGTGGTTGGTAGGTAGGTGGTGGGGTTGGCGGGTTCTAATTATATCAAGATCAAGGGGTCATGGTGTTCTTTTTGAGAGGAATTGGATGATGAGAAGGAGTTGTTCGACTGCTCCTTTGGTCTATGGAAAGAGAGGTGAAGTTTGTATGTCTCAATGTTGTCTGTATGGCAGCGGATGAGGCTCATACGGTAGGGGAAAGCATCCTTTTATGCAGTTCTGGGGATAAATTCAGGATAAAGATTCTACGATTTATTCAGTTACAGTTGACTACAGTTCTACAGTTCTACAGCAAGTATCAAGAGTAAAAGCGAAATATCATGCATTTGACCACTATCTAAACCGATATCCTATCTAATCGTCCTTAACCCAGTGTATTCAAAATAAGACCTATCTTCAAAGCAATTAGCAACTTTCTCAACCGAAAAAGCAGTGATTCAATTCGATAAAAGAAGCAAAAAATCAGACATCCAAGGAAGATATTGCGCACAGAGCACGTCTTTGATGGGTTCAAGCGACGGCTAGCGTGGAAACTGCGAATGTAGGAATGGTTTTCATCATAAGAGCCCGAAGGCCGGTGCTGGTTTGGATTGAAAGAGAAAAGAAAAAGGTATAACTCACAATTGCAGTTAATTTGCTGGTGTTTAGAAAGTGATGGTAAACTGATTGTACATCATAAGTACTCAGTGTGCTGCTGTCAGGACAGGCATTGTTGGCGATGAGAAAAAATGAAGAAGAAAAATTTTGGGCGGCGAAGAGGCTTTTTATAGTCGGCCTGAGGCTGCCCGGCAACGCCAACTTAGACGAAGCTTCTAGAGCTCCACTGCAAGGAACAATCGATATTTCTGTCTGATTCTACAGTATTGAAAGAAAAATAAAAAATAAAAAATAAAGTATGCGTATTTGCCTATATATTATTATTCACAGATTTGGCCGTCATTTCATCCATTACTCCAGCTACTTGAAACTCTTTTGCTTTTGTCGGGAATTCCAATGCAATGTCTTCGAGATGCTATGCACCCAGTCCTCGCCCCGTCGTCCTGGAGGTAGGACATTGGCAAATGGGTACCGCGATGCTGAGACGGTTACATAGTCGCCGGGGTGTAATTCAATCCTGTCACCTGTCAATCAAGGGTCTTGTACAAGTCTGAATAAGAATGGGGCTACCTTTCTCGTCCATCGAAACTTGCCCATGAGCTGGTTCGGGCATCGTATGGTACACCCATTCGTAGAACCATTGTGTCTGGGAGTATGAGCGGTCGGAATGACAGGGTATGCGCGCAGATCGCAGTGAGCAGGATAACAGGGTTCTCTGGATGGGATAGCGACCCTCCGGCTGCTAGGTTGTATGCAGTCGACCCAGTAGGCGTCGCAATGCAGATGCCGTCAGCGAGAACGGTGGTGAAATGCTCATCATCGCCAAACAGCTCGATTTGAGACATGGCTGGAATCTTGTTAGCAAGTATTTCATAGACAGCCCTGCTCGGAAACAAACATACTTGGATTCGGTCCACGGTCAAGAACAACATCGTTCAGAATCTGGAATACCTTGTCAGGCGTATGCGTCAAGGTGCCTTCGACCTCCTCCCCAATCAGCTCCTCAACAAGATCCCTCTTGGCCGTTCGTGTCGCCAACTCGTCCGTCGAACGCGGCTTGCTCCTCATAATCGTGCACTCAAACCTCAGCCTCAAACTCACCACCACCCCATCCCGAAACGCCGTGTCCAGTATCTCGTTATACTCATTAAAGTCAAACTTGGTCAGAAACCCCAAAGACCCCAGCGAAAAGGACAGAACCGGCGGCACAATCCGCTGGAACAGCCAACTCGTGTAGAGCACCGTCCCGTCGCCTCCAAGCGTAATCACAAAGTCAAACAGATGCGGCTTCTCCATCGCAAGCTTCGTATCCCAATACCTCAGCCGCCCTTCCCGGGTCGGCTCCTCCTCGAGCAGCTGCTTCGCCGCGAAATCTGGATGCGTCTCCAGCCGCTTCTCCACGTAGACCACATACGGCGCGTCCCGGTCCTGGGATAGCAGCCACTGCGTGACCTTTCTAGTCAGGGTGACGAGGGACTCATCGTGGGCCTTGGTCACCAGGAAGACATTCCGCACGGTAAGCTTGAGCTTGATGCTGCCGAGTTTCTTGGACAATTTGCGCACATTCCACGCCATGTCGGACAGTTGGCGTTTCGTCAGGTGTCGCGATTGAACTACCGTCGGGGCGAGTTTCTCGGTCTGCTGGTTTCCAAAGTCCACCACGGAGACCACGCTGTCTGTGGCACCATGAGCGTCGGTGATGAGGGGTTGCTCGTCGGTGCTTTCCTCCTTCACTTGTTCAACGCTATCGTGCTTGGATGGGGGTGTCACCCATTCTCCGGCGATGAGAGAGTGTACGAAACACGCGGTTGCTTTGTCTGGCGGGTCGAGCTGAGGTCTCTTTGGATCGTCGGCCGTAACCAGAGAGGACTTGCGACGGTGTGTAGAATCGGGATAGAAAACGACCTAGCCAAGAACTTCATTTAAGTATCGCCGATATCAACAGTATAAGAGATGATAGAGATACCTCCAGCTGATTCTGGGCGTCCAGGTCGCTGGCTACCCCGTCATGACTCTGATTCAGCCCACTGTCAGTTTCCGAACACCCCGCATTGTAGGGATTTGCAATTCCACAGCACCCACGTACATGATCATCCTGAGGTCGCCCTTCGTCCATGATACTGAAAGCTGCTTGGCTTCTCAAGCTCTGGGTGAGGTTTACCGCACAGTTCTCATCCTGCGCCCTCAGCTGAGGTGTGGAGGTTCATAAACGGTTTGGGTTAAGCAAAGCGGGCTATGACGTCGGCCATTATTGACCTTTGGTGGGGAACAGCATGAGAGCATCATGGCAACACAGGCAGTAGATATATATGGGATATCCGGGTATTCATACTTGTGACGAGCTTGAATATCTAGTTTATTTCGTCTTGGCAGTCTTTTTCTTTCAGATTGTTTCGGGTAAATATATATCACTGCGGTCTATCTATATATTTTGTTTACTATGCCAACCCAAGCACGAGCAATAAAGAATGTTGAATACAGTTTTAAAAACATCAACCAGGTGCGTGTGTGGCTTTTTGCAAGAAAAAGAAATGGGTATATTGATTGTATTCTAGATACATGATTGATAAATCCAACGGCAATGCAGTCACACCAACGCTATGCAACTTCGGAAAAGACAACTAGGAACTGGAATCACTTGTATATTCGGATTCTTCAGAGGACTCAGAGACCTCTGGAAGCGAGTTCTTCGCAGTCGTATTGCCACACGGGGTTGGAACCGTCCAGCGCAGAAGAGACTTTACCAACCTCTTATAGTTGGTGATATCGAAGTTGTGCAGCTTGGTGCACTGGATCTTGAGGGCTCCATCGAAATGGCCCTGCAGAATTCGAACTTGTACCGGGTTCAGTACTGAGATGACCAGAACCTACTGGCATTAGTACCATGCTTGAGGAAGATGCAGAAAACATACCGGGTATATGAAATGAACGCGGCGAGGGACTTCCCTCCTATCAAAGGCCCGCTTCGTTTCCGTAATTTGTGCTCCCATCTCGGAGAGCATAAAGTCGAGCATAGCCATCACTTCGGAGGCCGTGAGCTTGCTATCATCTCCGACGCAGTCTGTCGTGAGATGGAGTATGCGATGGGACTTGCTGATCCCATCGATATCAAAGACACCACCGACAGAATATTGTCGGTTGCCCGATTGGTACGCCCATGTCGAGCTCTGGGAGATGCTTTGGAAGACGTATTAGTACAGATACCAATATACAGGAGTTCTGCATACCCGATAGGCGCCCAGGGCTCGGAATGGCAGCGGGCAAGAGTCCAATGGTGCCCTGCAACCTCCCTCATGAGGTTGCATCCCCAGGAATAGTCCTGGCAGAACCCACTGCTGCTGAAGTGGTGGTCCTGAATGGAAGCGCCGTCTGACCCGGCGTTCCAGGTGTTTTCAATTCTTTCCTGAGTGGCTGGCAGGAAGAAGTGAGGGATTGTCGACGAGACCTGACCGGTCTCAAAGTCGAGACTAGAAAGCTGGATCTCGAGGTGGGTTAGATGAGCATCAGTGAGATGCTCATCTGGTTGCTGGGCCAGGAAGACGTGTTTCTCCCTGAGCTCATTGTACCAGCTCGTCAAGGTCTTGAATTTAGACCGGAGCTGCTTTCTGGTTTTGTCAGGAGACGACATGTTGATATTGATATTGATAGATGTGAGCGATACTCGGTGTAGAGACGAGGAGAATGAAATGGAGGATATGCAGAAGAGATGAAGGAGAGAGATGAAGAGGGAAGAAACGAGCGACAGGAGGAGAACATGGCGAAGGTGAAGCTGTTGCAGGCATCAGCAGGAGAACCACGTAAAGGGAAGGAACGAAGGCATTTATGCTGGATGTGTAGAAGCTGCCTATTTATGAGGAAGAAGAGCATGTCGAGCTGAAGTATAACTATCTTTAGGAAGAAGCAGAACATTAGGTTTATAGTAGATCAATCTAGTTTGGCTGCCTGTAGGGATAGTATAGCCATTCACTCATAGTGACTTGTATATTCATCATAACTGTATACTTGATAGTCTATTAATTGCCATAGAGTTACTGTGCGAAGTATGGGCATGGTTGTCCATGGGCAGACGGCATGTACAATGGGATTAGATAGGACAAGATAAATATCTATAAAATCTACTCTAGCAGAATAAAAGATTTTCTAAACATAGCTGACAGTTATAAGATAGAAGCAGATATCTGTATGTCTGACTTTCCTAGAATAGAAGTTTGTCAACAAGCATATGCATGAAGCTATCGGTTAGAGTATATATACACTTGATAATATCTCTCTACCTTCGTACTATAGCACTGAACTTAGAGGCCGTCAGCTTGAAGATAAAAGTTGCCTACTAGTGGGATGAACATCAGATCACTACTCGATAAAAACCCGAATAAAAGCCATGAATTATGCAAAACCAAGATATGAACAGTCACCACCGAATCGAGGCAACCATGCATCAACACCATGACAGATTGTTGATTCCTCCGTGGTACATGGTAAAGTTCACTAATTACCGCCGCCCAGCAAGTTGCATGTCCGATCAGCGATCAGCAACAATCATTAAATCACTTGCCAGCCACCGCATATTTATTCCCTTTTCCCCACTTGGGACGAGACTATTATTATGTGCAACTTTTTGCGCCCCTCCTTTCGCCTCCTTTTGCTAGTCCAGGTCGACAGTCTAGAAATCGTCCATGTATGCAACTTGTCCTGTACAACTCGGAAGTATCCAGTTTATTATTATGGAGTCTTTTGTCCTTTTTTTCTCTCTCCCTTCCGCCAAATCCGGCATGTTAGTCACAGGGCGCAAGGGCCGATGGATCATGGAATCATTCCATTCATGAGAAAAAATATGTAACCCATTCTCCATAATAATACTCAATCCCCTCCGTGCAACTCCGTGGACAACACCAGTTAACCAGATCAATGCGACACAACTAGCAAAGCCTATTTTGCATCTGACCTGGAAACTGGAACTACTGGACTGACAACAAGTCTTCTACTCCAACCCATAAGACTGTGGAATGGTACAGAGAGTGAGTCATGGTGATCATTTGCGGTAAGATCAAGGCAACTGGATCCGGAATAGTCGGGCTTGCATAGTATCATATTAAATGCGTTTTGTGGCGTATTTAGTATCTGGCACGCCACATGGTCTCCTACATAGCCAGACCGGAGTAGAAGAACGGAGTAGACGGAGTATTATCTGTCTGTACACTGCCTACAGAGTACCCTCTTGTAACCGCAGAATCAAGGCAGTGATGCAAGTCTGCCCTGTCCTGCACTCCATCTCTGAATGCATCAGCCATACTACATAGTTATCCCCACCAACGGCCTGATTGGTGGAGTCGGGCTGATTGGATGGATCGCTTGCCGTGGGAGGAGAAAAAAAAAAAAAAAAACCACCACAATTCGAGTCGACTCCACTTGGATCTACCATGAGACTGACAATCAATGCACACGGGATCTGTACGAGTGCAAGGTTTATGTCTCAGTGTAAACCTACCACTCGACTTTACATTCTGATGTAGCACTCGATTGCCTGTTTAGGTAATACATCAGTGGACCGTTGAACCGGCGGTGTCTAATGTCCATCACTGCTAATTAAAGCCCGAGATGTGGATGCAGTTACGATATCATAGGCTGCATTCATTATTGTTACTGACTGTCGAGGAGACTGACATGAGGCATATCATATCACACTGGCGACAGTCATGTGGCGGTTAATCCAGTCCTAACCGACATTGGCTGCATGTCCGACAGTCACACAGTCTCAGTCTCAGACAGACTCAGAGGCTCAGACTCAGTCAGGGTGATGGATTATCTTAGCCTGGGTAGTAGACGGAGCACTCCTAGCTACTAGGTACGGAGTACTAAGGTTAGCTAGGCACATTGGCTCAGCACAGCACAGGGGATATGCTCCTTCTCACTGGCCATGCAAACTGTAGATCAGCAGAGTCGAGCGTGTCGATGGCTGTACTACTATGTATGTAGGTGTGCATGGGCCACCAATTGATAGATCTGGCAAATCAGCAGGAAAAATATGCAGGAATCTGGAGTGCGTGTGTGGTACAGACTATACAGAAATATTAAGGTGTCGAGGGGGCTTGCTTACTCCTCAATTTATGGAACACGCCAGGTGATGGTGGTGATTGGCGGATGATACATAATACATAATACAGGGCATGGATGGCTGCGGTCTGCGGCCACCTGCATATCCACTTGAATAGCAAATTTACGGTACATCTTACTATAGTACTGTACCTTGTAGTAGTCTGTCGCCCTGGCAAGAAGACTCCGCCACACATGCTGTTGCAACAGCCTGATGACCCCCACTGTCGTATTGCTTTTCGATGACGAATTCGCTGCATATCTCATCAGGCATTAACTATCATCTGCTGTGTAATGTCTCCAGAACTAGGCATACAGATTCACTGCCTGTCCTCTGTACTGTACGTATGAGTTGAGTATGGTATGGTACAGTATGCCATGTCACATCGGCATCCAGTTCCATTTCAAAACAGCCTTAATATTATGTGTTATTTTTTTTTTCAGATGCAAGGCGGTTGAAACAAATCTCCTTCTCCGTCACTGATAAGAGTTGCTGGCTGTGCAGGCTGTGCGACGTGACCACTCCTGATCAATATCAAAATCAAAATATCAGGCCTCTCCAGCACCGATGACATGGCGCTAAGGCAAGCCAAATTCATTAGCGCCGACAAATCCCATCGATTGGGTCCTTTGCGTTGATTGTTGGGGGCTGCTTTTTATTGATAAAAATAAATAATAATTACAGTAATAATTTAGACTGTCCTATCCAACTGTCCAAGTCCAAGGTTGAGGGTCAATGATAGTTGGCAGATCCCTACTTTTAGTCCTCCGAAACCAACTTAAGCCTGTGTGTCTACTCCTGTCTCGGAAGGCCACCGCCAATTCGTTCGTATTGCTGGATTCAGCCGGCTGCATCGGCTATTACTCATCCCCAGGTTTCTTTTTTTTTTATTCCTTGTTTTTTTTTTCTGTTATCTTAAAAAATTTATTATCTAAATTCTGGTCACTGTGACGACAGGGTCTATCAACTAGTACACATCAGATGCTCGCAGCCCAGATCCGTTTGTGATGAATAAGAATTCTCGCATCGCCGGTGGCGGGGACAACTGCAGTCAGCATGAGGGGGACGGAGTAGGAGGAGGGGGCTTGTGTGCCGCATTGGGGCTCCTGGGGCTGCTGTTCCTAATAATCCTGGTTGATAGTTATATCTAGGCTGAGTAGTAGGCGCCAGACCAGACCAGACTGGTAGTAAGTGTGAAGTGTCTCGCCTGGTTTCAAGATCGGCAGAGGATTGATTGATTGTTTAATATGGTCGCCTGAGAATGACCAGACTGCCCTAGAGTTGAGACTGAGAGACGGTGAGACCCTCGAGTCCGCAATCCTGCAGCCAATCACAGTGCATATATTGCCTGGGCCACAAAGTCTCCGTCACGTCCTCGGCGAGTCGCCAGCCTAAAAAGAAAAAAAAAAAAAAGAAAATAGAGTGGGGTCCGGTACCCACTACACCAAGGATATGGACTGTCATTGGCTCCACTAGTATTTCCGCCGTTGTCCTAGTGGTATTCAAGAACCTTGACCCCTGACCTTCTGGAATTTGTTCTTTTCGCTCGCTAGCGGGCCTAGCCTGGATCGCTTTGCCCTCCTACCGTGGTTCAGCAGTTCCATCCCATTCCATTCCCTCCATTCCTTTTCCCCCCTGTTTGGTGCGGTGGGTCCACCGCACATGCGTTGCTTCCCGGCGGTGCTTTCCTCCCCGTAATCTCCGGCATTGTGATTTGTAGGGCGTTCCAAGTGATGATCTCAATTGTCCGATTAGTCGGTTCGATGATGATGATGTCGATTGACGCCAAAAAAAAAAAAAATAAAAGAAAGAAAAGAAAAATAGCCTAGACGGCTAGACGCTATGACTTAGTCACCAAGACCAGCCTCGCAAGTCGGAAGACAAGACCGCCTGAGTCTTGGTCGCGAACATCATTGTCAATCAAGGACCTATCATCTCCTCATGAGTGATCGCTGATCCGCAGGGCGGCCAGGGCCACGTTGTGACGGTCTTGCTGATGTGATTATTATGGACTCTCCGACTCCTACGAGAGAGGGGCTTTAGGCATGTATCCATCCATCGTCCATACCATATCCGTATCTTGTAGACCGTAGACTTGGCCGTCGAGAATACCCCTGTTCTGGAAATGGTCTCCATCAGTCCTTATCACTCTGTTTGGTTGCTTCCGTCCCAGACTCCTGTTTTCTTTGTATGCGTTGCGCACGCATGGACTGGTCACTTGTCACATTTATTAGTAGCCTGCCTAACTATTCTTTTCCCCCACTTCCGTCTCGAGTTGATTCTGGCCTTGTATATCCGTGAACTCTAAACGACCAAGGACATGTCTAGTTATGTACTCCAAGACTCCATCGTACTCGTAGTATGTCGCCTTTTCCCTAGCCGACCGTCCCGTTGCTTTTGCCATCACCATGGCGGTCGGACAAAGTCAGTACATAGTCAGTACTCCGTCGTCACCAAGAGTCTTGACCTGTGGCGATCCAGCCAACTTGGTCTTGATGAAACAGTCGCTCCACTGCCTGGTATACCCCATAATATATTGGATTTTAGCTCGACCTTGGAAAACTGGAAATGCCATGTTCCTTGGCAGTAGTTGGCACTAAAACTCAGTCTACACGATTGAATAATCAAATCATCATGGATGTTCGTCACGATCAGACACTCCGAAAGGGAGTAAGTACCCTTGATCGTACACAGTTACATACTGTGTAGTAAAGGAGACCACATAGTAAAGGACGATGTATGTAGGAGCATTGATAGGGGCGTAGGGCGATGTTCTCGTAACCCTTGCGTAACCGGGTGCTATGAACTTGTGACGCGTTGGAACGGTGAACTTGTGGGGATTGAATAATCAAATCAGACCCAATACGGGAAGTAGAGCTGAGGAGATGAGGTGAGGACCAGCAAGTGGTAGCCGCAGAGTGACGATCGGGTCCCAAGGGCCCAAGTTAGCAACAGCAACAGCATTCCGTGGGCGGTTAAGTTGGCGTTCTGCATCCGATGCGTATCAATACGGGTATTCTGCGGTATTCGTACAGATGGAGCTTTAGCCCGGTGGGGCGCTCACACGGGCCCTACTGTAATTTAGTTTAGTTTTTAGTTTCGGCATGTCCAGAGAAAGAGAAAGAAAGAAAAAAAAAAAGGATGGACGGGTCTGATCGTCCCCACCCATCCCCCATTAATCATGACTTTCCATTGGTCCACCGGCTGCCCCCCCCTCTCCCCTTCCCTTTCTTCCCTTCCCCCCAATTATGGTCCTTCCATGGTGGAACACACCGGGTGGCAGCGATTGCAAGCACATCCTTGTCGGTCCTTGCCTATTTAGTAATTTTCTGCTTTTTCTTGTTTTTTTTATTTTCTCTTTTTCTTTTTCTTTTCTTTCTTTCTTTCTTTCTTTTTTTTTTTTTTTAATTCTCCCTCGGGGTGCCGCCGTCTAGACCCACCCAGACTAGACCTGTTTCGTTAGTGTCAACGTCGTGTCATCCTAGCATGTGTGGTATGGGATCGTGGAGCTGGGGCGGATGGTAGATCGAGAAATGCCCCAATATTACCTATTCGGTCCACGACGGATTATCCCAAAAGCACGGCGTACCTTGCCTTGTGATCCCCCCCCCTCTCCACAGCCCCTGTACTCATTACTTATGGTCTCCGTCATCCAAGCGTCTGGACTTCATCTATATCTATCCTTTATCTCCTACTTTATCCTTCTCTACCACCATGTATGTTCAGCTTCATCGACATCTTCTCTTCTTTCACTGATTAGTCTCCCTCTACTCAGTCCTACTACTACAACTACAACTACAACTACTACCACCTTTTAAATGGCCGACTGCTGGCAACCTCAAGCCTCTCTTCCAGGCTCCCACTGGTTCCCTCAAGGAAACCAACAATGCTTGAACTCGGCCTTTCGTGACTTGGTCCACGCTTTCCCACGACCACGACACTCGGCTCGAGTGATGAAACCCCGCAGCGCTGGCAGCAGTCCTTCCTCTGTGAGCAAGCGAAGGACGACAATGCCTCACAGTTCCACCATGCGCCGCCCTACTCAACCTCAACAAAACCAGTCGTATCAGACTCCGTTCGATGCCGCTCTGCTCGCCTCGGCCGTCCAAGAACGACGATCTCGCCCCATCAGCTGGCACCCTGCTTCGGCAGCTTCGACTGGATACTCGAACCCTCAGTACTATTCTGCCGCGACCACCGCTGACAACCTTGCCGCCATGGCTATGCCTTCGCAGCCCATCAATGGCTTGCCCTCGTATGGAAACGAGAACATGATGTACCCGACCGAGGACCTGTCGCTTTCAATGGAGCCCTTCCCCTCTTTCCCCGAATTGCAGGGTACCGATCCGATGCAACAGGCATCCTTTTTGCAGATGAACAGCGGTTCGCAGGTCGACCCCGTTGCATGGGATGCTGGCACATCCAACTTTCCCATGTCCCAGCCCATGTCCGATGGCTGGGCATTCGATATGATGTCCATGAACAACAGCATGCCCTCCGCAGACGTCGCAGGATCCAGCTATGAAAGCGTCCCGTCTTCAGGTGGATTCTCTGGACCATCCACGCCTGATTTCCTCCCGATCCAGCAGCCTGACGACGATGCCAATGCTCTGTCGCAGTTGGCGGCCAAGAAGCCCGAGGATGAACTTGTCGGAATGGGTCTTTACAACAACCCTGATGCTTTCATGGAAAGCTCCCTCCAGGGACTATCAGGAAAGGGCCTGAAGCTGGAGGAGACCTTTACCCCGTCTGCGGACGAGGAAAACAAGAACTCCGAAGACGATGACGAAGACGACGAGGACGAGGATGAGGACGAGGCTGACGAGACCCCGGCCGACAAGCAAGAGCAGCCAAAAACCGAGTCCTTCAAGCAACCATCCAAGCCGTCTATGCTTAACAAGTCCTTTTTCTTCGAAGACGACGATCTCGAATCGCATGCTGTGACTGGTACACAGCCGCTGATCAATTTAGCAAGTCAACCTTGCATGAACTATGGATACGGGTGGATTTGAGCCTTTTGCAGCGATTTATTTTCTTTTTTTCTCCATTTTCTGTTGGATTCATTGCATAGCATAGGAGTTTTTGTGGGTTTTATTGGGCGTTTGCATACATGAACGGATACCCCAAGGGATGGACGAATATCGATTTTGTACACGTATTAGCATTAGACTTGAACATGTCGTACATCGACAAAAATAAGAATAAGAACAAGATATCAGAAGACTGATGGAACATATTGAACATTTCGAAGTAGTAGTAGTTGTGCTAGCAGCAGTTGGTAACAATAGCTAGGCTCTCGGAGAAATACCAGCAAAGAAGAAATCGACGGGAACAACAATTCTCCGCCCTCTTTTCCATCCATCAAAATCACGACCAACACCAGATCCAAAAACGACATATACCCAAGCCCTCTTCCTTCATAAGAAGAGAATCAATCATATCAAGATGGCAAAAGTCATCTTCACACCATGGAAGGGTCAATCCCAATTACTGGCTGTGCGGAGCCAATTCTATCCACCGCCTTCATATGACGGGCCGGACATGCGTTCGAAGGCTTGTGCAGTGGTATGTTTTATTTATTTCTTTTTGAAAAAAAAGCAATCATACTGATTCGTATTGCAGGTTGGAGCATGGAAGTTACGGGGAAATCTCCCTCATCCAGTCGAGGCAACTGCCTTGTTAACAGATGCGATTCTGCATGATGATGCGCAGAAAAACTCGATATTTTCGATTAGAGCGACCTACTCTGCTGCTTTTTGTCGGTGAGTTTACTGTCGTCTTATCTACTGTAAAGAGATTGGGATTAACGACGACATACAGCTTCGTAACGGGTCTTGTCGACTCGAAACTGCACGGGCAGAGAAAAACCATGTTCCAAAGAGCAACTGACCTCGGGCTTCCGGCGTCGTTTGTCGAATTGCGACATGAGGCGACGCATCGTGAATTGCCTTCTTTGATTGTTCTGCGGAATGCGGCGCAGCGGTCGTTGGAGTGGTTGTGGGACTATTACTGGGCGAAAGTGGAGGCAGATGCGGATTCTGTTTCTCCTCAGCCTGGGCTTAACCCTGCAACGGAGGGTGTTGAGGATGAGGAAGTCAAGACGGCTGTTTTGAGTACTCTGGAGCAGTTCCAGGGGACAGGGGAGCCGCTGCGGAAGAAGAGAAAGGTGCAGGATGAGCAGGCTTCGATTGCGATGCAGTTGATTTCGATATGTAAGGATTTCGGGAGGGGGGCGGTTATTCTTTCGAGGGTGTTGATTGATGGGGGGATTTTGATACCAAAGGGGAGGAAGTGAGTATCTCTTTCTTGGTTTTTTGTGTGGGTGCAAGCTAATATATGACCAGACTGGGTGATTCTTTGAATGAGGTTTACGCCAAGTGGGATCAGTTCCTGCAGATGGTTGTTACCGGTCATCCTACGTTCCTAACAGCGTGGACAGAGGAGATGGTCAACGACCTGGCGTTTACAAGAGCACTCAACCCGAAGAGCAATTCCTACTGTGAAGGAGTCTACATGTGGCTGGACCACGTACTGAACTCGAAGCAGTGGAAGACCGGCAGACGATTACTATCCCTTGGATACATCCGTACTGTCTGTACAGAGAGTCCAAACCACTGGACAAGTCTTCTGAAGGAGAACCTAAAAGATAACGACCTCTCCAGTACATCTGCCTCTGACCGAAAACGCGACACTACAGTCAAGAAGGCAGCCACCCCAGACGATCTGAAAGAGCTGAGCAAACACGGCTGGGAATCACTAGATATATGGGACAGTCGACCACTAGGCATTGTCTAATAATATTGTACCTCAAATAGATATCCATAAACATCAAAAGAAGCTGATCTCATGCCATCCACCAATAATTCCTATTTTAGTAATCCCCTCGACATCATTCGTCACGTGGGATACCTGGTTACATAAGATTGCTGTCATCATTGCTTCTCCATCCTGCATAGAAAACACCACCACCCCCGCCCTATTACAAATCAAATATACAAGAAAAAAGACATATTCATCGTCGATGAGCTTCGCAAGGGTGCTAACTCGGCCTTCAATTGGATTTCGGCAGTTAAAAGCACATCAAGCTAGAGCCATGCATGTTCATTCGATTCCGATGTGTGAGTGTCTTTCATCATAGATATCGTGAATATGATGAATATATTTCTTACTGGCTTATATAGGGACCGGGAAGGGCAATAACTATGCCTACCTGGTGACTGATGAGCCGACGAAACGGTCTGTTATTATTGATCCAGCTAATCCCCCAGAGTAAGTGTAACTAGTATTTAAGGATGATTATGATTCTGATGAATATAGGGTTGCTCCAGTGTTGAACGAACAGATCAACGCAGGCAAGATCGATCTCACAGCCATCGTTAACACTCACCAGTACGTCTAACCTTTCTATCTATCTTAAAACGCTAACGATAAAAGCCACTGGGACCACGCCGGAGGAAACAGCGAAATCGTACGCCTTATCCACCCTAGGTATTCTATCTAAGAAAGAAACTAACAATCGCAGCTGAAACAATTCGGCAAACTCCCCGTCATCGGCGGCAGAAGCTGTCAAGGCGTCACGCAAACACCCAAAGATGGTGAGGTGTTCAAGATTGGAGAGCGGATTACCGTCAAGGCGTTGTATACACCCTGCCATACGCAAGATAGTATTTGCTTCTTCATGGAAGATGGAGACCAGCGGGTTGTTTTTACGGGCGATACGTTGTTTATTGGAGGTATTATTTTGGTTTCATCTCTATTTGAGGACTAAGCTGATGGGATATCTAGGATGTGGTCGTTTCTTCGAGGGCAATGCGCAGGAAATGCACACTGCGCTGAACGAGACTCTCGCTTCGTTGCCGGATGATACGAAAGTCTATGTAAGTTCTCCAAGTTAGACTGGCATAACAGACTAAACTGACAACTCAGCCTGGACACGAATACACCAAGTCCAACGTCAAGTTCTGTCTTGCCGTGTCTGAATCGGAACCGATCCAGAAGCTGGCGGCCTTTGCAGACGCGAACAAGGAGACACAGGGAAAGTTCACCATTGGAGATGAAAAGGTGAGTTTGTATGAGATTGTAGCTATGATGGAAACTGATATTTTTGATAGCTCCATAACGTGTTCATGCGCGTTCATGTAAGTGCTTCTATTCTAATGACCATGACTACGACAACAGACTCATATAGTACAGGACCCCGTGATTCAGAAAAAGACCGGAAAGACGTCGCCGGTGGAGGTCATGGCTGCGCTCAGAGAGATGAAGAATTCCATGTAGACATGGTAGTGTGTATCTATTTCTTGTTTTAGTAGGATTGTCTTAGTAGGTATATGCATAGCATCGAGGAGCGTGGGTTGGAGAATATGATATCTTGAATTGTCATTGAACACAGCGTAGAAACCAGTATACTGAATCCATGTGTTGACCTCATCCGCTGATGGTCATCGTGACGTCAAAGCGTAAACATACTATATCAACTCACATCAACCATCTACCACATCCACCACATCTACCACATCATCTCTCCAACAAACTGAGCTACCAATTCATCCATCTATCATGTCTACAACTAGAGACCTCCCCACCGACGAAAATGGGATCCCAGGTTCCCCCCGTACATCCAAAAGCCGAGCCCTAGAAGCCGGAGCATCAATGGTCCAGGATTTCACGCCTGTGAAGCAGATCTGCGCTCATCTAAATGCGTTTCATGTGTATGCATCTGACCCGACAAGATGTGTCGAGGCGAATCATTACTGTGCGCATGTAACGGAGGGTATGTATTTTCGGGTCGTTATGGATGATTATGGTTGACCTAGGCGTATAGACATGCGACAATGTCTCCTCTACGACTCGCCCAAGCCAAATGCCAGACTCATCGGGATAGAGTATATGGTCTCCCCGCGTCTTTTCAAGACTCTACCCCCCGAAGAACGAAAACTCTGGCATACGCATGAATATGAAGTGAAGAGTGGGATGTTGATCATGCCTGCTCCAGCGGGGATGCCAAATTCAGCATGGGAAGCGGCGGAAACGGCTGAGATGGAGGATATCATTCCGATTTATGGAAAAGTCTATCACCTCTGGCAGGTTGATAGAGGGGATCCGGTTCCCATGGGTCCGCCGGAGTTGATGACCAGTTTTATATCGGAGGAGAAAGTCCAGATTGCACATCCTGAAGGGTTGAAAAGCATGGTTGCGGATAGGGACAGGAGATTTGGGGTTGATCACGAGGTGAAGGCAGAAAAGAGGAAACATATTCCGGCCATTGAGAAGCATCCTGGTATGTATCCCTCATCTGATCTTGTTGAACATTGCTAACCTTCCAGACGCCGATTCCATATGGCAGAATGCGGATCTCAAAAATATCGAAAAGGGGACCTTGTCGCATTAAGTGCATCCTGTACGAGCGAAGAAAACAAAGTAATAGAACGAATCATCCAATAAATTCATGTAATATTGATTATAAGAGTGTCTCCCACCCACACCACACAGCTTCCCAGTCCCATAGTTAAATGGGGTCAAAGCTGGAATGGCATTCGGGGATATCTCGCCACATTTGTGGTCAGTCGAGACGTATAATGTTCATCTTGCTTCACTGTCCACACTCGCGCGTCCTGGTGTTTAATTTCGGAAACGGCAAGCTCTAGCAATTTTAGAAGCGGTAGTATATATAAAACAAAAACGAGGCCATTGGCATGGCGGGGATCAGGTCAAAGTCAATTGAATCTGGATATGTGCAGACATTATGCAATATCGTTCCATTCAAGGATTGACTCATCAATACTGTATGAGAAGCAGACTCTCAAATCCCATGGATTTCTGCGCATTTGCAGAACAATCCATCTTGTTGTGCGAATGAAGAAGAAAGAAACAGGAAGCGAAGAATCGCGGGAAGAGTTTTTAAAAGCTCCCCCACGTGACCCCATCATCCGTCGGTGCGCCGAAGCTCCGGCGATGGATACAATACAGACAAACGGCGAACAATCGCGATTATCTTCACTATCAGGCATAGAATGCTTGTATCTCGTCAATGGAGCGTCTATTCCGTTCAGCTCTGAGGAGTTCCACGCCGGGGAATTTCTTCCGCCTCGCCTTCAATGGCGCCGGCCTCTTCTGTGCCTGTACCTTGGTCTGGGAGCATTTGATCACCGTGCAGCTCAGCGAAGGTCCCTCGATGTACCCCACATTCAACGTCAGAGGTGACTATCTACTCATCTCGAGGGTGCACAAGAATGGCAAGGGCATAAAGGTCGGGGATGTGGTGCGATTCTACCATCCCAGCTTCTTGGGGGTCAATGGCGGAAAAAGAGTGTTGGGGATGCCCGGGGATTTTGTCTGTAGAGACAAGGCATTCAGCACCGACGCCGGGGCAGAGCAGGAAATGATACAGGTTCGACTCAGTGATTATGAACGTGTCTTAGTTTCATACTAATGTTTGTCGTTTTAGGTCCCCGAAGGACATGTATATCTCGCCGGCGATAATCTTCCTTGGTCGAGAGATTCTAGAAATTTTGGACCAGTGCCTATGGGCCTCATCAATGGAAAGATCATCGCTCGAGTATGGCCCCTATCCAAGATGGAATGGGTACAGAATACAATGCAGCCGGCGCAATTATCCGACGAATAACCTCTACAACATCTCACCCTCGGTCTTGAAGCATATGAAGCATGGTTATTAGGTAGGAGTTTCGGAGTTTTGGAAGATTTTGTGTGCATATTCATACATATCGGTTGTACAATACAGATCTATGATCAAAATGTGATAGAGAATCCAACGAAAAAATTAGAAATCGACAGTGAAAGCATTTCACCGGAATGTAGAAGGGTTTCTCCTCTTGTAGGGAAGAGGCTCGACCCTCTTCCGGCGAAGCTCCATGTCCGCTTCGGGGAATCCAATTTGCTTCATGACTCCCAAAGTCGTCTCATCCCACTGGGTTCTGAACAAGTGCGCTCCGATGGGCTTCAGGTGGTATCTGGCCTGCAGGGTTCGGAGGAGGGTGTTGTCACGGTCCGCCTCCTCCGTCTGAAGAGCCGCAGTGTGCAATGGCTTGGAGTCCTTTTGCTCCATGATGAAGACAGACAGTCTGTGGTAGGGGCTGCCCTTCTGCGCAACTGGGGGCAGCCACGGGAGAACAACCTGAGATTCGGTCGAAAGCTTGGAGAGATCGACCTTGGTGTTGGTGGCCGAGATGGGGATGTTGACAGCAAGGTAGTGCATCTTGTAGTCAAAGCTGTCCTCCTCCACATTGGGAACATCCGAATCGACGACGGCGATGGTCACCAGCTTTTCTCCACGCTCAAACAGCTGCACATCAAGCTTAGGGGGCGTTGCGCTGGCCTGAGCGTTCACGAAATCTCCGGGCTGGATTAATTTGTTGAAATACAGCTTGGTGTCCACGACGGGGTCGCAGTGGGGAAGAACGTCGGGAATGACCTTCATCTGTGTAATTCTTTGGACGAGGATCTTGCGGCGGTACTCTCTCCATTTACGGTCGGCCAGAAAGCGGTAGATGGGCTTGCTCATATCGCCTGGGTTTCACATCAAACGTTAGACATATTCCAGAAAAAGCATTGAAATATAGTACCTTGTCCGTCTTCAAACTTCTTCTTGACCAATGGATCATTGATGTCGGCATTGACCTTCAAGCTCTCCAAATGTAATTCCATCGCCCGCAATTTCGACTTTTTGGACTGCTCCCCGACAGCATCTTCCGGCTGAACCGCCTGGAGTCTCGCGATCTTTTCCCTCATTGCCTGAATATCTTTCAACTTCTCTGCTCTATCGCCGAGCAGGACATTTCGTGCCTCCTGGAAGCATTGGTAGGGGAGCTGTTCGAAGGGAATGTTGTCGGAATTCTGCAAAGCTGCTCGACGTCGACGGGATCCAACAGGAGCAACACCCTGTCGCAGCAGTCTTCTCTCCAATCGGGGGCTCGACACCAGAGACGGATCGGGGTTTTTGTGGAAAGGTTCGCTCTTCGCCTCGGTCTGGGCCTCCTCGCGAGTAATGGCGGTTGTTTGAAAGGCGCGTGTTGACTGCAGCTGGACGCTGTTAAGACCTCTAGAGGCGCTCCGCAGGCATTGAAGCAGAGGCTTCGAAGCCCTCTCACAATGAGCCATTGTGATTGAGACTGGAATCAGAGGAGATGGTGGTGGTGGTGATGTTTGATGTTGTTGGGGGAGGTTGTCGGCGGAGGGAACTTTTTCTCTGTCTGTCTGTTGCCAGCCAAGCCTCAGCGGGCTAGCGCCGAAAGGCACCGCGAAACCCCGAACTTTTGCTTCACCTGCTTTGATATCCCCCAGCACCACCAATTTGTCACCACACAACTTCCCTTACAATGCCAGGAAGCGAAGCTTTTCGGGCGCTGAGATGGCTCTCACGGAGCCCCAATGGTCTGCTTTCAGGACCTGAGGCCCTGACTGTATGGTCTACCTTTTTCATCTCATTTTTTATCCTCGCAAACATGGATACTGACAGTTGAACCACCAACAGCAACGATGCCTGTCTACACCCTTCTCGCGATCAATGGCAACCGAAGCCCAACCCGCTTCTGAATACATCACCAAGGAATCCCCGGCCGCCGCTAGAGCGACATGGAACCCTGAGCCGGTGAAGGCGACCGCCTACTCTTTCCCTTCGATGGAACCCATCCGTTTTGTCGAATACCCTCGCAACCACCTTTCAATGCCTCTCCGGAAGGACCTCCTTCACCGAGCCGTCGTCTACGAGGGTGACATGACCCGACAAGGTACAGCAAGCACCAAGTGGAGGGACGAAGTGTTTGGTAGCAACAGAAAGCTGGCCCCTCAGAAGGGAACCGGTCGGGCGCGTGTAGGTAACAAGAAGTCGCCAATTCGAAAGGGAGGAGGTGTTGCCTTTGGACCTCACCCTCGGGATTTCTCTTCGAGTCTGCCCCAGAAGATCTACGACCAAGCATGGCGGACAGCTCTCAGCTACCGATACAAGCGCGGCCAGCTGATTATCATCGACAACGAGATCTCTATTCCTGACGATGCCACTCCGCACCTGATCCAGGAGCTGTTCAAGACCAACAACTGGGGCCAGGAGTTTGGTCGGTCGACGCTGATCACAGAGCGTGAGAACGAGGCCCTCTTCTCCGCGGTGCAGGAAGTTGGAAAGCATGCCAAGATCCTGCACCGTCTGGATGTCGATGTCAAGGATTTGCTGGAGACAGGGAGATTGATCATTGAGAAGCAGGCGTTGGATCGCATTTTGGCACAGCATTCGAGGGACCTGAACAACACGCCTGCCAAGGCTCTGTATTAACTGCAATTGGGGTGATTTCGGGCGATATGGATTGTTTCTACCTTCGACGTTTGTTTTGTTAAAACCTATCTGTACAAATAGAACCCTAACTACGGTCTGATTATCCGAGTTTGTTAATTATATGGCACAATGAACGTAGTTTGGATAGAACCAGGTGTATTTGATAACTATGGACTTGGAAGCCTGAGGCATTAAGGCCAGTGAGTGTCTTCTCTCGACTCCAGACAGCTTCTAGCCTTTCTCCATTACAAATTTCAGATAATCAATTGGAGTAATTACGCCCTTTCAACTGACAACATCGTATCGTCATTCTCCATCTGTTGACCCCTCTTATTCCTTCCTGTTAACCGCGGAGTTGGGGATCGCTCGGTTGTCGTTTTCAGCTGCCGGCGGAGGAAAATCGTCAGCGCGAAAAAAACTCCGAGGTCAAGCGTTCCAAAGAACAGAGAAGCGGAGAACCCTCTGTCTGCTCTCATTTACAAGAAGCCCTTCCATCCCCTCTTTTCCAGCCGATCTTCCCATCCTGCCTCGATGTTACTTCGACGCAGTTTTTGCCGATTACCCACGCCGCCGAGCTGGATCTCGCGGGTTTCGCCAACCATGCCTCTTCGCGCCAAGGTCACCAACCCAGCGTTTGCGGCCTCTGCTAGGGTAATACTTCTGATTGATGGTTATGGGATAGCTCTGGATTGTTGTGAGGCTAATTGGTGACTAGATGTCGACCTCGACTGATATCCCCAAGGAGCTTCCTGGCGATGAGCCCGATGATGTTTTGTTCAACTCTCTCTACGGTGTGCGGTCAATTGAGCTCAACAGACCCAAGAAGCTCAATTCTCTGAACGGTTCGATGGCACGGAAGATTCTCCCCAGATTGAAGGTTGGCAACCCCTTGTCGATTAAAACCTCTTTGACGATACAGCTGCTAAAGCGGGATTGTTGGAAAAAATAGGAATGGGAGAAGTCCCAGCTTGCAAATGTGATCATGGTTTCCGGTGCTGGCTCGAAGGCTCTGTGTGCTGGAGGAGACGTGGCTGCTCTGGCTTTGCAAAACGAAAAGGGCCCAGAGGGACAACAGCAGTCGACAGATTTCTTCGGACTCGAATACCGCCTCGACCACTTTATCGCTACCTACTCGAAGCCTTATATCTCCGTGATGGACGGAATCACCATGGGTGGAGGTGTCGGTCTCAGCGTCCACGCCCCGTTCCGTATCGCGACTGAGCGTACTGTCTTCGCCATGCCCGAAACCACAATTGGATTTTTCCCGGATGTTGGTGGCTCGTTCTTCCTGCCCCGTCTTGACGGTCAGATCGGAACCTACCTGGCCCTCACCTCGGAGCGTCTGAATGGTGTGCAGGCACTCTACAGTGGTATCGCAACACACTACCTCGACTCCAGTGTTTTGGGCAACCTGACGGCACGCCTTTCAGAGCTGGTCTTCCAAGACAACGCCTCTCTTAAACAACGCCTGGACCTGGTCAACAGAACCCTGGCTGAATTCTCCAGCGGTCTCCCATCCGTGGAGCAGGAGCCTATCCTGCTGGGCGGAAGCCTGCGCAACGCAATTGACCGTTGCTTCAAATACAACACTGTCGAGGAAATTCTCCAGGCTCTCGAGAAAGAGACGGAGCAGAAGGAGTGGGCTCAAAAGACATTGGAGACTCTGACCAGCCGGTCACCCACATCCCTCAAGGTCGCCCTGCGTCAAATGCGCCTGGGTCCCAAGTGGTCGATTTCCGAGACCTTCCAGCGAGAACATCAGATCTCGTCCAAGTTCATGAAGCACCCAGACTTCGTTGAGGGCGTCAAGGCACGTCTCATGTCGAAGCCTCCCCGCCAAGCCTCGTGGCAGCCCGCTACCCTCAAGGAGGTCACTCCTGAGATTGTCGATTCCTTCTTTGAGATCCCCAAGGGTGAATCGAGGTTGCCGCTCTTGAACGAGGAGAACTTCTCGAAATACCCCCATGCTCATTACGCCCTCCCCACTGAGCGGGATATTGAGAACTTTGTCCGAAACACCACGGACACCCGAGAGGTGACAGTCAAGGACTTTGTTGAAAAATGGGGCCAGAAGGAAGGAGTCAAGGAAAAGGTTGCAGAAGTCCTCGCTCGACGAACAGTCAACACTCCCGAGGGACTGCGATGGGTTGAGTGATTTACCAAGGTGGAAATAAATTTAAACAGCGAAAGTGAATATTGGGATTTATAATCTTTATTAACCTGTATTTTTTAGAACTTGAATTTGAATTACTTGCGATCAAACCAACAATCATCCACAGCGTGTTCAAGCATATCTGGCCAGTCGGTTGTCTACTCATTTGAATATAGGGAATCATAGCAGCAATATAAGCATTCTCATTTTTCCCTCAGAAAGAAAGTGCCCATACATCTCCCAATCTCTGGTTTGACTCGCTCAGGCCTCCCTGTACGACAACCGTGTTCCCATAGATGTCTGCAGCAAACCAACCACGAGGGCAGGGACGATCTCCCTGGACATCCACTTCACTCCATTTCCCGGTGCTCACATTAAACGCCCATACATCTCCCAACATTTTTCCTGCTCCCTGGTGTCCCAAAGAACTAGGGTTTCCCTCTCCAAACAAAGTGAGCAGCAGCAAATCGCCCTTGACATGCATAGGGAGTAGAGTGCCAACGCTCCGGGGTACAGGACCATTCTTCCCGTCAGGGGTGAATGCAAGCGATGACCAATCGTTCGTTTCGACATCGTAAATATCAATCTTCCCGCCTTGCTCCGTGTTCCCATCGAACCCGTTCATGCGATACAGGTTCCCGTTGGCGAAGGTAATCGACGTTCCACCCCGGGCTGGATCCGGGGCCGAAGCCAGTTGTGTCCATTGTCTGTTCGAGACACGGAAGGCCCAGAGATCGCACAGTCGGCCTGACTCGGGGCAGCCTGCGTGGACGTAGAGAGTATCGGTGCCGTTGCTAGTCATGCAGTGATAGCTGCGGGCAACTGGGGTGCAGTCTGTAGATGAAGATGGAGTTGGTTCCTCGGGGAGGAGCAACGTCCAGGTCGATGTGCTAGGGTCGAATTCCCAGACAGCACCGTTCTCTTCGATGGGCGCCATGGCGATGCCGCCACGACCGGAGAAGAGGTAGATTTTCCCATTGAGGGTGGTAGATGCTGTACCCACGCGAGGTGAGGGTACATGGGGTGTTGCTAGGTTGATAGTCCGGGGAGATGTTTTATCTGGATCCAGTGTTACTCTAGTCCTTGCTTCACCAAAAAATTTGAAGAGAGGTGATAATCACCTTTCAAAGAGAGGGTGTGGACATGATTGTCGCGGGGTTCGCGGGGTCGAAGTTCCCCTCCAAAGATGTAGACATCGTCCTTGATGAGGGATACGAGCTGGGATGACCGTTCCAGAATCTCAACATTGCAGACTTGAGTCCATTTGGCGGATGTCATTGTGATACTGGGCTGAAAAGAGTAGGCGTGAGAGAGAAGAGGTGTGAACAGTCGCTCCTCCGGGTAGATTTGAGGTCATATTCGTATAACTATGGCTGGGCATAACCCCATAACTACGTAGTGGTGATTGAGGACCCTTGGGACCAGCATCCCGTGTTGAGACGGCTGAACCGTTGAATAATTTACGAATCAGAGCCTGTGGATATCATTGCACGCAGTGATAGGACATGGCTGTTGTATAGCGAAGGACTGAACTTCCCAACAACACGGATTCTTCTCCCCCCATCTCCGCTTGTATGCACTCCCACGCATTTCTTCCCGCTTCTCGGCCCGCCCACCAACAGCATCAGCCCATGCTCTTTGACATTTCCTCTCCTCCACCGGTCGGCAATTCGCTACCCGAGCATCATTTGGTTTGTCGTCAAGATTGACGTGCTACTATTCAATGTGAGAATGAGAACTGAACTAAGGCAATTTAACTGCAATTCTTGACGTACAGCCCATGAGATACGCTGTCAAGACGTCTCCACGATCAAAGCACAATTGCACTTCATCACAAGATGCAACCAGAAGATTCAGATTCACCTCGAACCCCCATGAATGATTCCTTTGAGGCCGCACAGCCACTTCTGTCGTCATCTGACGCTCTGGACGTGGAGGCAGAATCCTCAATAGAGAGACCGGAATCGAAGCGCGTGCTGGCCCGCCTCTACATCTCGCATTTCCTGTCAACATGGAACTCTCGCATGTTTGAGTTTGGAGCTGTCTTGTTCCTTGCCTTTATTTTCCAGGAAACGCTGCTATATGCCTCTTTATATGCACTGGTGCGTGCTTTGTCTGCCGCCGTGTTGTCGTCCTGGCTAGGATCGGTGGTGGATCGGTCGAATCGGCTGGTTGCTTTGAGGCAGTCAATTGGTATTTCTATTCTAATGATGTTGATGAGGTATATAAGTGCTGATATCTACTAGTTTGGCAGAGAATCCCCGTTGCGGTGTCTTGTGCATGCTTTGTGGTTCAGGCATCAGTAGGGAAGGAATCAACTGCTATCACACTCGCCCTATTTGCCTTTCAGGTCCTCCTGGCCTGTGTGGAGAAATTGGCAGCCACAGCAAATACTGTGGCGATTGAACGAGATTGGGTATGTGCTTGTCCCTAGATGTTGGATGCATCGTACGCTGACCGGAACAGGCGGTAGTGATATCAGACAGCCTGAACATTCCTAGACAAGGTAAGCCGTCGATCTATCTTACTTGGTACTTGGATGGCTGATTGCGCTATATAGAATTAAATTCGTCTATGAGACGGATAGACCTCTTTTGCAAACTGCTAGCTCCGGTTTTCATTTCTCTTCTTGATGGTCTGTCAAACAAGATTGCCATATGGACAGTATTTGGCATGAATGCCTCTTGTGTTTTGGTTGAGTATATGGCCATTGCTCAGGTAAGTACTTGTGATCCTACTTCGACTGCTCAGTTCAGACTCGCTAATTCACGATTTACACAGGTGTATCAATCAGTACCTGAGTTGGCACGAAACCAGTCAATTTTGACAGATGAAGACGATGAGCAAGATCAGACGAACGAAAGTCTACCAACTCAAAACACAATCCGCAATGCAGACTGCACACAAAAGGCTCTAGCCCCATGGCGAGAGTATGTGTCTAGTCCTGTTTTCCTGGCATCGTTTGCCCTGAGTTTACTCTACCTCACCGTGCTCTCCTTTGGCGCAACAATGGTCACGTATCTACTGCATACTGGGTTTAATCCGTTGCAAGTGAGTTGCATGAGGATTGGCTCTGTTATCGCAGAGTTGTCTGGCACATGGGCAGCGCCATTCATCACCAACAAAATTGGCCCCATCCGTTCTGGATTGTGGTTCCTCAATTGGCAATTCTGCACTTTGGCCACAGCTGCTGCTGCCTTTTCCTTTTTCGACTCCAATTCTCAGCTAGTAGCAGTGAGCTTGATTGTGGGAGTGGCCTTAAGTCGCATTGGACTTTGGGGATTTGATTTGTCAGTTCAGTTTCTCGTTCAAGAGGTAATATTCTGCAAGTCCATATCTTGTTGATCACTCGCTGACATTGATTGTAGAGCGTTGAAGAACATGCTCGAGCACGGTTTTCAGCCACCGAAATGGCCTTGCAGAATATCTTCGAGCTTCTGTCATTTGCAACCACGATTGTGTTTCCCCTTCCAGAACAGTTCAAATATCCCGTGCTCATCAGCTACGGGGCAATAGCAATGGCGGCTATCTGCTTTGCGGGTTATGTTCGCAAGGAACGGGGACATTTGCTTCATATGTCCAAGTGTATCGGGGGCGATAAAACATGGATGCACCGTGATATCCAATCGCGAGTTATGGCTTAATCGTATATAGCATTTATCTAGGCTGGCGATAGAAAAGAAGCATGAATATTGTCTCCGTACCTGGCAACGTCATCGAGTGGGTCCAGGGGAAATGCTTTCGCAAGACACATGCAATCCCACCACCTCTTGATGGTTATTCTAGCATATATATGACATAGTTCTTTGTGATGTTTACTTAGTAACTGCTATAACTAATCAATAGTATAATCAATAATCAAAATCACAATTGTTGCACAGCTTCATTGTGCTACTCGTGGAGTCGAAGTCTGGACGATCGACCGAATTGCGGGGAAACTCCATTTCGCTAACAAAGAGCCATCAGCTTCCAACTCATCACCACGTCTTTCTCCCCACTCACACAATGCCTCTTGCTCACAGACAGCCCCTCGGTGCATCATGGAGGTAAGCACCGCAGCTTCGTCTATTTCTTTGGAAGGACTTTCTCCCGACTAATGGTGCAGGTTCCCAAAGCACGGGGGACGGGCAGATCAGGCCCGCGACGACGAACAGGCTGTTTGACCTGTAGGGCGCGGAAGGTTCGGTGTGACGAGGAAAAGCCCAACTGTGCCAACTGCATCCGGCTTCGACTCCGGTGTGTCTACAAGACGATTGTCCCGGGTATCGCGCCTCGCCAGCGAAGTGAGCGATCCTCCGTCTCGGTAGACTCGGCAACGACCACTCCGTTCCCCCCATCCCATCCAGATGAGAATTTCTTCAATACAGTCCTCCGAGCTGATGCCCAGCGTCAGCGCCAGCAGCAGCAAAATAATGTGACGAATTCGCTACGACCGATGAACGGTGAACCGGCTTCCTACGGACCGGAATTTCAAGGACCATTCGATATGCTTGGGTTTATCGGGGAGATCACATCAGAGCTACAACAGAAACACCTCGATTTGACAAACGGGGTATCGGATTTAAGAAATCCAACGCCACCAGCGGTTACTATAGCCCATGGCCATGGGCCAGCATTCAATAATCAACGCCAGCAGGCGTTAGGACCCGAAAGATCACCACTGCAAAACGGACTTTCCGCCATAGCCGGCAGTGACCATCATTCAGAAAGATTCGACTCGGAACCCCCAGTCAGCAGTCCATGGCCGGAACCACGGGCAACGTATGAGGAACAATTGGTCATGCATTTTCTGGACATCGAGTCACCGCCAACGATCTTTGGGCCGGTGAATATGGAGTGGAAGTATGTGCGGCCGGAGATTGTGGCAAATTCTCGTGGCTTTGACTCGTTGCTAAGCGCTATCTATTGTTACGCGGATATCCACAAGGCAATGATGGAGGGGGAGCGGTGGAAGTTGGCACCAATGTATCATCGATTGGCCAGCTCAAAGATCCAGTCGTGTATATCAGGAGATGTGGATGATTTTACATTGAAGAGGGTGTTTGCTACTGTATTTCTACTCATGCTATCGGAGGTAAGTTTACGATTATGGTTATCTTATAATTCTGTATACTGACTGTATAGCTATTAACCTCCTTGGAGTTGTGCCGCCCCGGAACGTCATTGCTCCACTCGGCATACCTCCTGCTACAACGTTTCCACAGCCAAACAAAGTCCTGGGTCGGCTTCGGCTATCTGATGGTCTCGTGGATCTCATTACTAGACGTCAAATCGCTGATTGCAGGACGCGACGGCGACCCGCTGATCGAACTGGGCCACCTCAGTGACCCCATGACAGAAGGCAACGGACAGCGATTCGACAGACTCCCAAGTGGCTATGCAGGATGTAAAGAAGAGGAAGTCGACGACCTTTTCGCTAAACCAGGATACCTCGTCTACGAGGCGATTGTCGGACCGGCGTTTCGATTCTTCACCAAAGCACAACAGGTAATCCGACGCATCGTCTGTCTGGATCTCCACCATCGCAGCCGTGGCACTTTGAGCGATGAGTTTGAAGTCCTTCAAATTGCGCACAAAGTGGGTGCAGATCTTGAAACACTCTGGAATTGTCGTCCCCGCGTGTTGGATGTCTACGACCGGCCGGAGGAACTATTTGACACATTAAGCCAGCCCGTGGCGCTAGAAGTATGTCGCACATTCCGACAATACGTCGCCAACTTCCTCGCCAACTTTGTCTATCTGCACCGAGTTGCTTTTGCCATTTATCCACGAACAGATCGGGTCAACGGGGCCGTGGACCAGATCATTCAGCTGGCCACGGTAGAGTCTGCAGGCACGAAGCATCTGCCAGTGAGTTTCTTCTGGCCACTCTTCGTGGCGGGGCTGGAAGGCTCGCTGGATCAACGGCTGTGGATCGTGCAGGAAATGCAGCAGATGGCATCGTGGACGGGGGAGACGACATGGCGGCATCCCAGCGCTGGAAAAGCGTTGCTGTTGCTGGAGGAGATGACGCGGCGGCAAGATGCGTCTCGGACGTGGGCTGATTCGAGGTTCGTGAGACAAGAGCTCTTTGCTGATTTTTTCGTCATGATTTGATTGACACTGTATATGCTATGACCTGACCTATTCATGATGAGTCTGTTGATGTACTGTACCAGCTATATACCATTTTTGCACATATGATAGATTGAAATATATATAGATTTCCATAAGTCAAATCGGAATCTATCAAACTAACAGGGGGTGCATGGTATCGTGTACAAAGGACATATATATCATCACAATCATAGCCAGTTTAAAACGGCTTCACCACCCTCTCAAGCCGCAATGGCTCGCGCATAAACTTGCTCGGGTCATCTCTCGCTCCCTTTTTCCAGTAATCATACTCCATCCACGCATTCTCCGGCATCTGCGCCTCAGTGGCCTCAAGAAAGTCACCCAGATCAGGGTTCAGCGGAATTACACCAGTCTCAATGACATATTGATCCCAGAGTTTCAGCAGATGCTGCAGCCGCTCCGGCTCGGCCTCGGCAAGGTCATGAATCTCACCCGGGTCATCGGCAAGATTGTACAGCTGCCACTTTTCTGGGCCTTTGGGTTTGGGAATGTACACGATCTTCCAGTCGCCGTAGCGCAGCGCGGCCCGGCCGCACGTTTCCCAGCCCTGGATGAAGTCCTTTGCGTGGATGCGCTCTGAGTCGCCCGTGGCCCAGTCGACGAAGCTCTTGCCGCGCATGGGCACGACCTCACGGCCATTGTAGGTCGGAGCTGGATGCGAGACACCTGCCATGTGGAGGATGGACGGGGCCAGGTCCATGACGGTTGCGAATTGGTCGGTGATTCCGCGGGCTTGGTCAGCGACGTGGACGCTTTTGGGGAATTTGGCCAGGAAGGGGACGCGGACGCCGCCCTCGGTCGTGTAGGCCTTGTATAGACGGGATGGGGCGGTAGCGGCCTGCGCCCAGCGCGGACCGTACCAGATGAACGAGTTACCGTTGCCCAGGTTCTCGAGGCTGTTGTCGTAGTATTGTTGTAGGTGAGGCATGACGCCGCTCTGGACGAGTGGGTAGGCCTCGTAGGCGGCGCCCTCGGCGCCGTTGTCGGACATGAAGCAGACGAAGGTGTTGTCGAGTTCGCCGATGCGTTCGAGGTAGTCGACGACTTTGCCGACGTTGGCGTCGATGCATTCGACCATTCCGGCGAAGACTTCCATTGCAGTGCAGGATTTCTTCTTTTCTTCGGGGGTGTAGTCGGCCCACTCTTTGACTTCTTCTGCGTTGACGGGGTGCGGTTCGACGTCGGAGCGGACCATGCCTAGGTCCTTGAGTCGTTGGAGACGACGAAGTCGAAGCTCATCCGGTCCGTCGTCGTAGATGCCACGGTAGTGGTCGATGTACTCACGGGGAGCTTGTAGGGGCCAGTGGGGTGCGGTGAAGGGGAGATAAGCGAAGAAGGGGCGGCTGTCATCGTCCTTGTTGTGCCAGTCATCGAGGTATTGGACCATCTTGTCACCATAGCCGTCAGACGAGTACCAGCCCTCAGGAAGTTTGCGAACGTAGTGGTCATCCTCCGTGTGCAGTGCAATGTAACTAGCTTCGAGGAAGGTTGGGGTCTCGTCCGAGCCTTGTAGTTGGGGCTCATAGGCGTAGTGGTTGGAGCAAGCAGGAAGATGAGCAAACGAACGATCAAAGCCACGCTTATAAGGAGTTCGTTCAGGGGTGAGACCGAGATGCCACTTGCCGGCCATGAGAGTGTGGTAACCGGCATCTCGTAGCAGCTCTGGGAGGGCGACGACCCGTTCATTGAGATAGCCCTCGTACCCAGGCATTCCACGCTGTGGAGCAGTGCTCATCTGGGAGCCTTTAGGACCGTTCTGACCAGAGATGTTGGTCCATTCGATAAGGTTACCGAGGCCTGCGATGTGATGATCGGTTCCGGTCATGATCATGGCACGAGTTGGTCTATGTGTCTGTGAGCATATGGGAAAATGAGAGATAAGATGGAAAGACTGACGAGCAAGCTGCGGCTGCGTGGAAGTCTGTGAATCGAATGCCTCCATTATGAGCAATACGGTCGATGTTGGGAGTTCTGATTTCACCTCCAAAGCAGCCAACATCGGAGAAGCCAAGGTCATCAGCGACGACAACGAGAAAGTTGGGACGTTTGGGAGCCATTGTATAGGAAAGATTGGAGCTGAAGGTGGAAAGACAGACAGAGAACGAGAAGAAAGGCAGAGCGATATTTAACTCCTGAGGGGGAAACAGTATAGAGTCCCAAAGGGGAAATAGGGCAAGTGATTAGGGCAGTCGGCCATCGGCCATCGGCTAAAGCTCAGGTAGTTGATATTGGAGCAACGAAAGTACGCATGCTGTGTGAGATAGTGACATTCAGGAGTAAGAATGAGAATAAGCAAATAAACAGCAAGTCTAGACTCTCAAGAAGAACGATAGTAACAATAATAAACAGCGTCGATGCAGCGTTGGATTATTGCGGGGCCCCGGATTTGGAGTCATTAGATCACCACCTCTCCCACTCTCCCACTCTCCCCTCCTCGTCTTTTCTATTTATTCTCTTCTCTCCAGCTGCTCATCTTCTCTTTCCATGAACTCCCAAGTCCATCTCCTCGACCATCGCCATCACACATTCGCAATGGCGCAATCTCTGGCGTGATCTCTCCACCTTCTTGCGCGGTCGGCTGTCGGCTCCGTCTCTGACATAAGCGGTTTCGTATGTCTCCTTACACCTAAGCTGTTTGCTGGCTGGCACAATCACATCATCAGCACTCTAAATCACCCTCATGTCCCCAGTTTATCACATTCCTATCTTTATCAGATCAGATACGATCTATCCAGGACAGTACTAACAGTCAACATGGCAAAGTCGTACGCCCAACTCCCCCAGCAAGATCCGAGCGACCTGCTCCCCGATCCTCCCGATCCTTCGACCATGGTGGCTTCTCGTGGCGTCTTCCGCATCTATTGGCTGGCTGCGGTTCTCTGTTGCGGCGGTGCTTTGTTCGGCTACGACTCCGGCGTCATTGGTTGGTGTATTCGGTCCCATACTACTGTGTGCTACTGTGGCTAACCCCAGTTACCAGGAGGTGTCCTCACTTTTGAATCTTTCCAGCATGACTTTCGCTACGATGCCGCCCAGCAAACCCGCGTCAGCTCCATCGCTGTCGGAATTCAACAGGCTGGTGCCCTAGTTGGTTGTTTCGCCGTCTGGCCCGTGACCAACCACTATGGTCGTCGCTTCGCCATGATGGCCTGCTCGCTGGTCTTCTGCGTCGGCGTCATCTTCGAAGTCATCAACGCTCACTCCCTACCCCTCTTCTACTTTGGTCGGGTGATCTGCGGACTGGGAATCGGCGGGTCTGCCACCGTTATCCCCATCTACATGTCTGAGATGAGTCCCAAGGAGATTCGTGCCCGGCTGGGGAGCTGCTACCAGTTCACTTACACCATCGGTATCCTCATCTCCTACTGGATCGACTATGGCGTCAAGTATATGATCCCCTCAGCCTCCCAGTGGCAGATCCCCATCGCCCTCCAACTAATCCCCGGTGCCCTCATGGGACTGGGCATGTTCACCCTGGAAGAGAGTGTACGCTGGCAGCTATTCAAAGGCGACACCCACCGTGCCTGGACCAGTCTAGTCTGGGTGCGCGGATCCGACTCGGCCACCGTCGAAGCCGAATTCGCAGAAATGAAACACGGCGTCGAAGAGCAAAAGCACGCCACGGCAGGATTCAGCCCACGCGAACTCCTCGAACGACCCAACGCCCACCGCTTACTCCTCGGCGCCGGTCTCTTTCTCGCCCAACAGTCCACAGGAGCCACCGCCCTCGCCTACTTCGGACCCCAGTTCTTCGCCCTCCTAGTCGGCCCCGGCGACAAGAACCTCCTCCTAACCGGCGTCTTCGGCGGAATCAAAGTAGCAGCCTGCTTCCTCTTCATCGTCTGCATCGCGGAACGCTTCGGCCGCCGCCCTCTCCTCATCGCCGGCGCAGTCGCCCAGTCCGCCTGCATGCTAGCCGTCGCAGGCGTCCTGAAATCCTACCCACCCCCCGGCGACGGAACCGTCACAGCCGCAGGCATCGGCATGGTCGTCCTCATCTACCTCGACATCGTCGCGTACAATTTCTCCTGGGGACCCCTCCCCTGGCCATGCACGGCGGAGATCTTCCCGACGCGCATCCGCGAACCAGGCGTGGCATTCGGCGTCGGCTCCCAGTGGCTATTCAACTTCGTCTGGTCCTTCAGCACCCCCTACATCATGGCCGGGATCGGATGGGCAACGTTTCTACTCTTCGGCGTGCTGGACATGCTCATCGCCTGTTTTGTGTTTTGTTGCCTCAAAGAAACAGCCGGTAAGACTCTCGAGGAGATCACGGCTATGTTTGAGCCGGTCTCGTCGGATGTCGAGGGTGATGGCTGGAAATTATCCCGGGAGGAGTCGCGGGAGTCACAGGCTGGGGAGAGTCCGCGCCCGAAAAGTCCTGTCGCGGGCTATGTCGAGGCGAGTCGTAGTTGACTTATTATATTTATTTTATATATAATATGTCTTTTCTAGATAGATTGTATAGTACAGTATACGGGGATTTACTATATAGTGGGGTAGCTGACATGCGGGACATGCAGCTATGCATCTGCCATCTACAGACTTATGGAGCCACCTAATAGGCACAATAGACTTTATACCACCTAAAAAAAAAACAGGAAAAAAAAGGGTCCAGATCCTATGGTAATTATAAAAAAAATTCTCTGGAAATATGAGGGGGAATCAGAAGCTTAAAGAAAAAGCAAAAGTACTCTGCAGGAAAAACTACTAGGATATATTCCATACAGAAGATCCGATCACCTGCAAAAGTACAGACGACATCTTTAAAAAGACGCATCTCGTTCCTGATCGACCTTTACACTTCCATCTCATCTTATTGTCTAGACCCACCTAGATCAGGGTAAGACATCCAGGCCAAAGATAAGAACTACACTATCAAGTGATCAACTGTCATGTTGTCACGACTCCATTCAGACCCACGGTTCATAGCTTGAATTAATCCATGGTGGCGTTAGCTAGAGAATAATATACATCTATCGAGTACAACAGCAACACCCCAATAAACCACAAGAAATTCTCACTCCAAGCGCCTCAAAATCATTGAACGAATGGACCCCAGTAAAATACCTCCCGAGCTGTCCCACGCTTTTGTACCTTAACGCCGCTTGTACAGACCCGCTTTCGTCAATCAGAATCATCATATCATCAGGAAAATTAAAACGACAGAAAGTAAAAAGTAGAAACAAGAAGAAAAGTAAAACTAGACATTAATCAGGTCGTCAAAGGTCTCATCGCTCGAGAACGGGTAGGAGCCTTCCGTCATCAAGGACGTCTCCGAATCCCGACGTATCTGCTGCTCAAAGGCTCCAGAGTTCGACTCGAGCTGCAAGGGATCATCAAATCCAAAGGACAATGGTTGCTGCCCCGTTGGAGTCATAGGGCCGTCCGAAGAAGACGCAGCGTCTGCCACATCGGTTAATTCCGGCGCGGAATCGTTGTAGGTGATTTTCTTGACCATCTGTGCCAGATGCAACTTGATGGGTTCATCACCACACTGAGCGTGCTTAAGGACCTCGTTCTTGAGACCCAGAATCTCCGATCGCAGCCGGGCGATTTCAGTCACCAAGTTTTCTTTCTTGTCTGACTGTTCTTTGTATCGCGATTCGAGCAACATAGTATGCTCCTTCTTCTTCTGGCGACACTTGCTGGCGGCGAGACGGTTCCGCTCAAGGAACTTCTCACGCTTCGCCCGCTCGTGATGGGTATCGTCTTCGTCGTCGATGTAATCGTCCGGGATGTGTCTGGAAACCCGACGACGCTTGGAGCTGCTGCTGCTGCTATCAGGTCCAGAGATATCACTGAACGTTCGGATGTGACCCTGACTCTGCGGGGGGAAAGCCGCCGCACCATCCAGTTGGCATTGGGACAGGGTATAGAGCTCGCCGGTAGGATGGAGCTTTCTATCGTCGTACGGAGGCGGGGTAGGCTGTCCATTGCGGACATGGGCGTTCTTCAGGTCCCGCTCCATTTGGGGAGGATTAGGGAAACCCTGGTCCTGTTTACCATTCCACGACGCCAGAGGAGGAGAGAGAGGGCTGAGACCCCAAAGATTATCTTCATCGGGGAGAGAGAGACCGAGAAAATCACCGGAAAACGCATTGGGAGTGGTAAAAGTAGGAGGGCCCGTATCAGAGCGCCCAAAGGGAGATTGCTCAGCCAGCATGTTGATAGTGGACATTTATTTTATCTTGTAGGAGTAGTTGGTGTCGATGGAGAGAGATGAATTACTAGAGAAAGAAAAGTAAAGACAATAGATGGAGAAAGAAAGAGCTGGAGAACATGAAAAGACAAAGACAAGGCAGCTTTTTAGCTGGGAGGGGACAAGAAGAAAAAAGAGGCCAAGGACAAGGCCCAGCCGTCGTCGTCAAGGACTTTTGAATGGTGGTGTGACCCTGAGAGAGAGGAAGAGAAAGTGTGTTCCTGGAGAGGCAGTTGCGAGAGGAGAACCACGGTTGGCGATGGACAGTCTAGGAGAGGAAAGACAGATGACAGCCACGGAGACAAAAGGCAAAGGGGGGCAACAGAAGAATTAAAAAACACCGGGAACTGCTGGAAGACCCAGGGATGGCAGCAGAGAAATGGCATCGTAACCCCGGAGGCGGCAGAGCGAGACCAGCGGCATGGAACAAAGCAATCGTGATGACACCAGCAAAGGCATTGAGCGAGCATTATTGGCCGGAAGAAAAGATCCAGATTGACAGAAGACAAGCAGGACGACAGAGCCTTGGGATGGCTTCATTGGGCAGGGTTTGTCCCGATGACAGCGAGTGCGAGTGTTGACATCATGGCAGGGCGGGGAAAGTTTCCAGGCCGTTGAAGATCAGAAACTGGGCTGGCAGAGGTGGAAACATCGCGAAGGAACCGGATGGCGTCCATGTTTGCTTGCTGCTGGCCGCCGTTTTGTTCCATCTGGATGCTCCAAAGTGGGCTGGTGGATCGCCGGATGTCAAAGCCGGCCAGTGACTGCGGACGATCGACGGTACAGGCTCAAAAAGTACATGCAAGCTCCTCACGACAGCTGGTTAAGCTCGCTATTATCTGCTATCTCAGCTACTGACTGTCGACTATCTATCTCCATCTATCCTGTTCTTTGGTCTGATCCTCCACTCACCTCGTCTTGATCCAAATTCCCGATGATCGGTGCGTCACTTCTCTTCTCTATATGCACATCATGTCTGACACGCAACAGGGTTTCTATCCAGATTCCCACATTAATAATAATAAGAATACCTGATCGTCTGCCGTTTCATTTCTTCTCCTCATCGCCCGGTTCGTCGCTTCTGGCCTCGCTCGTTCTTCGACTCCCCCCGCACCAAGACCGGAAAATCGCCCGCTGCCCCGGATATCCATACCTCCCCCAGCGTCGAAATTGTCGAGAGATACTGCGCCAGTGGTCCATCACCATATACGCGACCCGTTGGCTTTCAATCTCCCGCTTGATTACCCCAAAGGTGTCCCGTCTGTCTTCCTGTCCGGTCCCCATCAACAGCGTACCAAACACCCAACTTAGTTCCTCTATATTCATCAACCCCATCCCAAAACTCGATGGCATGCCGTTTCTCACGCAGTATTGCTCCGCCATCACCATCCGGTCCGTCTCGTGCAATAAACTTGCGCACAGTCCAAACACCGCGCAGATGAGTTCCAGCTGGAACTCGCTCGTCAATGCCAGAATCGCAAGAGCTATCGCTTTAGATCTATCATTGTCCGGTGCTGAAATCCCCTCGAGATAACTATCTACTCGCTCCAGTTCATATTCCGAGACGCGACCGTAGTAAATGTTCAGTAGCACGTGGTACAACTGCGTGGAGCCCAAAATGCCCCCAGGTAGCCCGGCCAGGAGAGACTTGAAGACCCAAGCCACACTGAGAGCACGAGGTGGGCTTTTCCCGGGAATATCTGCGTCGAGCATTCCTGCCAAATCCAGAGGCATCGTACCACGCCGCATCGTCACCTCAATCTTCTCGTTTTCCCTTTCTGCCGTGAGGACTTGGTGAGCAAAATGATCGTACATTCGTATAGCTGCTTTCAGGTCACCGGGGTCGAAAAACACATTCCGCACACCGGACGCTGTACAAGTACTTTGTCAGCAAAGTGGCAGCGTTACTCTTAGCAATTCAAGGGCATTTACCGTGGCGTCTCAAGTATACTGCCGTTGCCACAAAGCACACCGGTAATTTGAGTCTCGCTGGGGCAAATTCGGTTGAAAGACTGAGATAGCTATGTCCCCCAAGGCGAGCAAGAGTTTCCAAAGATTTACCTCGCAGTGAAGTCATTGGGTAGGAACGAGAGGAAAGGTTGGCATGTGTTCTGACCCGTCGCACGCTGCGTTCTCCAGGCACTAACGGGGGCTTCAATTGCAGACTCGAGCGCATCGTCCGTATCCTACAATAAATCCTATCACGACGCCTGGGAAGCCTGTCATACACATTTATATGGGTTTCATTGGCTATACGCAGTCAGAATATATATTTGCACGAAAATGGAACATGTACGATCTCACCTGGGCGCCCATCGTCCTTATACTTGTTTTTATGGCTTAGATCCAAAGGATTCAAGTGCAATTTGGTGGCCAATAGGTTGAACTCTACAGCCGCATCGTACTGGTCATGACACGACCAAGTACTTCCGTTTGAGAATTTCCTGGAGTGCGAACTCTTGCTAGATGAGCTTCTGGTTCTGAAACACTCATGCTGAGGAATTGGATTCTGCGGTCTTTCGATGACATCCGCCTGGTATATCAGCTGCGAGCTGTTGTCACTATACTCAAAGCTAGAACGGGTCGTGGTGCGCGTCGGGTCTGTAAATGGGTTGGATCCCGACCCGGATGGCGAGGTTTCCTGAGCTTCGTCAAATGGATTCTGATACAAATCTTCCCGATTCACCATTGTAATCGGGGTCAAGGTGCGCTTTGAAGGATGACGATGAACAGTAACTTCTGTGCAATGAGACTTGTGCGAGTCAACTGTCTGATCGCTAACCTTTCGAGTTTCAGCATTGCCATTTGTGTTGGCCTGCAATCTATTCGCTTCCTGGACTGTGCACTCTGTGGTCGGATTATTCTGGCGATCTTCAGCTACATTATCGCACGCTTCAACCTGTCCAGCTTTATTCAACATTTCAGAAGGAATTTTCTGTCGTTGAGCCTTTCGAGAACGGAGGAGCGTCATAAACCCGGCCAATCTTCTGGTCCCTCTCACGGAGTGTTTCGAATCTGTAGCAGACGAACGTGGTTCTAAGGTCCCATCGTCGGTAGATTTTGGATCTGTAGGCGGAGCAGGCTCTTTCGGCCCTTTGTCATTTTTCTTAGGTAGCGTGCTTTTGGTTTTAGCAGCGACAGCATTTTCAGAGGTGTCGTTGGTATCGGCTGAATCCTTTCCCTCTAGGGCTGTCTCTGAAGAGTCGGTGGTATGGTTGATAGCGATCTCATCAGAACCTCCGGGGCCTACCAAAGCCCATGATCGTCTAATTCCGGAAGGTTTGTTTGTGTCGCCGTTTTGTGTCGACCGAGAGAAAACGCTGAATAGCCCCATCGCGGATTTGGATGTGTGTCTGCTTTGCGATGTGGCTGTGACAGATTCATACTCACGGTGAGTGTAAAGTAGATAGAATAGACACTGCAGAGGCCGGGTTTGAAGACATGGCAACTGCATCCACAGTAGGCACATGGTCCCATTCGCCCCTTCCATACCTGCCCTGTACTTGCCATCAGTTGTGTTTCTCTTATATATTATATAAGAATAATAGGCCATGAGATCATTCAGACATTGCCTAGTGAGTTTTATACTTCAGCTTGCGCAATGTTGACGCTGTAACAGTCAGATAGTGAATTGGACCTCTTGAGTGAGCGCTTTTTGACACAGCTTAGCTCCAGTTCTTGACTAGAAGATATAGCCAGAGAACCATATGTAATACATTAAGAAAAGAGAAGGGAGAGAGAGAAAAGACATGAATCATAAACAATATAGATGGTCATACAGAATCGGAAATCTATTGCTGTTAAGCCACGCGCCAATGCTGGACTGTTGACAAACCCCCCAAACCCTCACGATTAGGAGGCCAAGGAACACGATTTTTAGACACCATAACATTACCTTTTCTTGTTCTTAAATTGCAAACCCATATCAAAAAAAGAGGACGAAAATAGAAAAACATGGGGCTCTGTGGAGCAAGCCAGACTTGTCCGTAAACCCTTCGAACCCAATCCAAATAGTTAAAACGCCCATTGCCATGCAAGTATAAGTCGTATGAGGTTGACTGTGTGCGCAATCGTCTGCGTTGGGTCATGATACTTCGTCACTTACGCCTTCTAAAAGAATGTATTGCAAGATGTCACTCAGTGTGAGCACTCCCTTGAGTCGGAAGTGTTCATCCACCACCACTAGACGGTGCACCCGAGATTTACGGATGGTGTCAAAGATGGTATCCAGACCATCATCCAAGGAGCATGTATAAATACCAGGGAAATCCTGTGGAAGTCTGTTAGCCGTAATCGACCAAATCACACGGCAGACGAACCCAACGTACCGAAGACCGCTTCTTCAACGCTTCACCGACAGTTAGACTCAGGTCATCGTAAACACCACCTTTAATCAAGGTGATGACATCAACCGCTTCGAATACGTTATAGACGACACCTGTATCGAGTTTCCGTAAGTATTCAGCTTCGAAGCTTATACCAGACATGCTCTGCTCGCACCTTCAGAATTTAGAATGGGAACGCTGGATATACTCCGTTCCACCAAGATGTGAATAACATCAATGACCGGTGTGTCCATTGATGCTGTTGCGGTGTCGTGATAGGTACCCAGGCGAAGCTCCCTCAGAGGTTTCCGTAGCTTCTGTGTATCACTGACATTGACGGCGACGAATTTGAGAATACGGTACTGCGTTACGACACTGAGGACGTGGGACCGGTCCGTTTGACTATCACTGGTGACTAGAGGAATCCTACGGGCCCGGGACTTCAACATGCGCCTACAGGCCTCGTAAAGAGGTCGCTCGGGGTCGATAGAAATGGTCTCTGGAGGAGCCACGCCCAGTGCTTTTTCGACCTCTGCACACCCATCAAATCAGCTCTGATCCACAAATCACCGTTGCAAGGGGTAAAGTGACACACACCTCGGAGGCTATCCAGTCGGAACTGGTCGATCTGGTCTAAAGCGGCAGGGTTCTGGAAATAGTATTGGATGACGTTGATGTAATCGGAGGTGGTCAGAAGACCTGCAAACTTCGAGGATTTGGAGTCCCACAACGGAGCCGATACGATACCTATAACACGCGCTGCTGGTTAACTTTGCCCTGGATTTTCATCGTTCGTTTTTAAAGACGGTGCGACTCCGTGGCTAAATCTGCCCCTACGGATAGGAAAGAAAGGCGAATACGTGCCATTTTGTATCAATATGTTTAAACTCTCCTTGACCGACAATGATGTATCGAAAATTATAAGACGAAAACTGAGTGGGAGGACATCGTAACTGTTGCGGACTTTGAGGAAGTTGCGAATGGCACACTGCAAAAGATATGAGGCAGCTCGTTAGTTTTCAATTCCCATGAGCATTGAAGGGTGGCGTTCAGATATAGAAAAAGAAAGGAGCGGGAAAAACAAAGCATGGAGGGCCCCAGACCACAATCCTCCGTTGCCCATCCCTGCCTATTGCGACACAAGCAAGTCTCATGCGGGGATAGCCCGACGGAACCAGAAATCGGAAATCTGGAGGTCAATGGAGGGGCAGGGGAGGAAAGTTGATCGAGAGGCCCAAAACGCCACAAGGAATAACAAGGTAGACAAGGAACAGGACGAGCAGAGGGGAAATACCAGGCCTTGACGCTCTTCCCGATCGATCGCCCTCTCGGGCTGAGCTGGGGGCATTGGATGCGAGACACCTCGCGGCCGGAGGTAGGAGGCAGGCTGCACGAAAGGCCCCTCGTGACCAATATCGAAGGTACGGTCAGTGATCGTATTAGGTCTAGGCGCGTTCGTTGATGTACCGTCGTTGTCGTCGGGGTTGTGAGTGGAGGAGACGGAGGAGAAGATGGTGTTGGTGGTCAAGGTGGCGGGCATGGGCGGCGACCCGGGAGTAGCGTTGCTGTTTCTGCCCGTGGGGTATGAAGCATCGTCCGCCATCGTCATCGTGTGAGAGGACTATGGCACGGAGAGCCGCATGGAGCGACAGGACTGGGCCAAGTGGATCGAAAATGGATCCAGGGGAGGAAGACAGATGCGATTCTAGAAGCTGTTTTCTTTTCTTTTCCTTGTTGCCAGATGCTGTTGAGAAGGATGATGGTGGTGTCTGCCGCCGGTGCCGCGTTGTAGAGTGAAGCGGGGAGGACAGGGACAACAGATCAGAGTTAACAGAAGAAAAAGCAATATCTATAATGATGCAATAAATTAACTTGACTTATATAGCTTGTCTGGTATTTCTGGTATCTCTTGAATCGACAGATCGTGGTGCTTGATGGAGGGGTTTGTCTAAGAAGAGAAGGATGGTTTGAGAATGGAATATCAAACAGAATGCGAAGGTGGGCACAAGATATGTAATTCTGTTTGCTTTCTTTAAACAATTATTGTGCTTTCTTGAGACTTAACTCGATATTCGATAGGAGTGTCTCAATATAGCGCTCTCGTCGAATATCAATCATACCGTCACTTTGGTTGCCCCGCCCCACGTGACAGACGACGAGGACATATCTCCTACAGGACCTATTATGGATTATTATTGTAACTACAGTAACCAGTAGGAATCACTGCCTGATAATTGCGAATGGGGGCGCATGATATTGGGATATTCCTGTTTGGGACGTATCATAACATAATGCATAATAGGTCAGATGACAGAAATGCGATGAACTGAGAGCAGAAACGATCTATCAAACAATAAATCTCACAATTGCCCGAGATTAGTATACTGTGGAAAGAAAAAGAACCCCGATGACACAGAAGAAGTTGATTACGGAGTAGGTATATATGTAGCTCTTGATATAACTTCTGCGGCGAGCTTAGAAAATGATGAAAGATACACAAGGGGGAAAAAAAAAAATTAAACAATATCAAGGATTCTATGGTGTTTGATCAGACTGAATCAAGCCTCAGGCGGCTTTGGCAGCTCCATCGGAGCCTTGACTCTGCGACAGACTGGGGCTTGTACCGGTTTTCAGGTAATTCTCATGCTCTCCGATCAGCTTGCCGCCCTGAACCCAACGCTCACGGTATTCGCTCTTTCGCTGGTCAGCCAGTGCGTTGATGGCAGGCCAGTAGATTGAGTGCTCATATCGGAATTCGACATCACCGCCCATGGCTTTCATCAGGTGGCTCGAGGGCACATGCTGGCAGAGATCCTCGTTGAACTTCATCTTCTCCCGGGTCAGCGGGTCGATCAATGGGGTAACCAGCTTGAAGAAGCCCCAAATCATGAAAGGTACTACACAATGTTATTAGATGAACTCGGAATTTTGATATCATTACGAGTACTTACCATTAATGACCAACGCACGACCCAATCGCTCCGGGTAGTGGTTCTGGAGAATGTTCAGAGTTTGCTTGGCCTGACCCAATGTTGCATTTTGTCCAGACTTGCTTTCGTTGTAGTCAACGATAAGTGCCAAAGTTTCCTGGTCTGGGCCCATGATATCAATCACTCGCTCCAGCATGTAGACAAGATGCTCGACCTGGCGGTCGCTCTTCTCTGTGTTCTGGTTCGAGGGCAGAAGGTAAAGACAGGGCCGCGCATGGATGTCATATCCGAGGATCACCTGCTTGCCCGTTTCATTTTCAATGGAGATGTAATCCGATGTCAGTCTCTCCAATCCATACTCCCGACGCCAGGTGAGGGTTCGTTGCAGTCGAGCCACGGCCTCGGACACATTCCACTTGGTCGCACGCAGGTATCGAAGAAGACACTCGCGGGTCATAAACATCCGCTCATCATCTGTGATTGGGGCTGTTGGGGCATTCTTTGCAGAGGTCGTAGGCACAGTTTCCCACACAGAGACGGTCTTGAAGACGGAATTGTATTTCTCCTGTTGATCAGCAGTGAGCTTGGCTGGAGGCTGCGGTTTGGCCGTCTCAAGAGGTGCGGGGAAAGGCTTCTGGATCAATCCATCAGCAGCAGATCTGGGCAGATCCAATTCCACCTTCTTCTGTGTCGGAGTGTTTTCTGCAGGTGTGGTTTCAGCGGTCACGGCCGGCTCTTGGGTCTCGACGGCATTCGATGACGCATCAGGTTGGGTGTTGACCGTTTGTTCGATGTTATTGTTGTTGGCCGCAGCAGCAGCATCGGTGGTTTCTGGGACGCTCATTATGTGTATTATGGGGTACTTGGTGTTTCAATTATATTATGTTATTATGGCACGTTTGATGGCAGTCGCATTCTGAACATTTTATTTTTTTTTTCTTGACAGATTGTCAGCCTCAGCTGGGATCGACAGGCCCACAACGATCATCGCTGTGGAAGTGTTCACTTCCGCGGGCTGTTCTATTGCCTCATTAGGCAGGCGGTGTGGATGGAAACGCCAGGACGCGTTTGGACGCGTTTTCCGTCTTTTGCGGCGTCTTTAATTAACGATAACGGGGGGTATAGCGGCCAGTATATCGATTCCACCACGTAGTGGTTTGTCAAGGATTTAACCATCGAGTTGTCGATTATTCCGCGATGGAGGATCTTACTGGAGAGCTCAATGAGCTTTTTGCTGCCTCTTCCCCCGATGGCCTACCCAAAGATGTTCTCACGGAGTTGCAGTCTATCGTGCGGGTGCATTCGATGTCACCGCAGGAACTCTTCTACAAATGGGAGTCTTTCTGCTTGAAGATGGGGTCGGAGGAGACCAAATTGAATCTGGATACAGTACGATTGTTCAAGCGAGATGTACAAGAAGCGTTGGAACGAGAGAGTCGAAGCAAGACCGGACGGCAGGCGGAGAAGAAGAGCACAATGAGTGCTACCCCGCGCGCAGCGGCAAATACTGATATGTTTGGGATGTGAGTTGCCAGTGACTGGATTTGTGCATATGTGATGTCTGACTTCCTGTCCAGGTTGGATGGATTGACCCCCAATGCCTCTAATGGCCGAGCCCCGAACGGTGTCAATGGCTCAGCAAAGCGCAAGTCGGATTTCGGATCGCCTTCTGTGTCCAAGGTGGGCAAGGTCGAATCTCCAATGGGCACGAAAATGTCGAGTAAAGGTGCTGGTGCAGCCGACGGATTACAGTATGGTTATCACAACAGTCCCAAACAAACCATCAGACGCTGATTCATTGCAGGCCAATTCCCTTCTCGGAGCGTCAGAACCCAGGCCAGACCATCGAAACCATAAACTCTCATTTACCAGCATCAGAAGCCCCCATGGCTCCTTATTCAGAGCCCCGGATACGACCAACAGCAAATACAGATTTGAAGAAGTTTGGATACAAACCAATGGGATTGCGCCTTTCTGAAGCGTCGGAGATTTTGGACGACCGAATCGATGAGTTCATGGCCCTTTTTCAGCAGCAGTATGAGGCGGAGGATGTTACATTTGGCAGCGCAGCCACACAGAGTACCAGCGAGATCATTGCCGTCGGACGCATCGCGTCCGACAGTCTTGAAGGAAAGCTCAACTCCGCATCGCTTGTACTCGAAACATCTCGACGAACTGGGGCTGGCTTGCGAGTGCCATTGAAAGTTGACTCCTTGCCGTCGGCCAATTTCTTTCCAGGACAGATTGTTGCCCTGAGAGGAATCAACGCATCGGGAAACTACTTTTCGGTTAAGGATGTTTTACCAACTCCTCTATTACCACCTGCAGCATCATCCGCAGTCGTTTTGGATGGCATTAATGAGCGGTTGGGTGAAGGAGATGCCAGCGCCCCATTGAACGTTATCGTTTCCTCTGGACCGTATACAGCCGATGATAATCTGGATTTCGAACCGTTGAACGAAATCTGCCAGAAAGCCGCTGACAGCTACGCGGATGCAGTTGTCCTGATGGGCCCTTTCTTGGATATCGAACACCCGCTACTGGCATCGGGAGACTTTGACCTCCCCGAAATCAAGGGCTACGACCCCGACACCGCGACACTGGCCACGGTATTCCGGCACTGCATCACAGCCCCGCTACAGCGACTCGTAGCGGCTGTTCCCAGCATCACCATTGTGCTGGTTCCATCCGTACGAGATGCAGTAAGCAAACATGTCTCCTGGCCGCAGGAGCAATTACCAAAGAAGGAACTCGGACTTCCCAAACAAGTCCGCGTCGTCTCAAACCCAGTGACCCTCTCCTTCAACGAGACCGTCATTGGAATGTGCTCTCATGATGTGCTCTTTGAGTTGCGGAGCGAAGAAGCCATCCACGGCAGGCCCAAGGAAGGCAGCTTACTGACCCGGTTGCCCAAATACCTCGTCGAACAGCGCCATTTCATGCCCATCTTCCCACCATCCTCGCGCGAGAGTCTGCCCAAATCTGGGAGTGGCATTGCGACCGGCGCTATGCTAGATTTGAGCTACTCGAAGCTGGGCGAGTGGTGGAACGTCCGGCCGGATGTGTTGATTACACCAAGTGTGTTGCCACCATTTGTGAAGGTCCGTATATCTTCCCTTACATATGAGCTCCTCCTAACTTTCTGCACAGGTTGTCGACAGCGTACTCGTGATCAACCCAGGCACACTATCCAAGCGACGAGCAGCAGGGACATATGCCCAGATGGCGATCCACCCCCGAGAAATCGCAGAAGATGAACGGGAACAAAAACAACTAAGCCACAAACTCTACGAGCGGGCACGGGTAGATATTAATCGAATCTAGTGTATTATATGAGCATAGGCGGTATAGGCGTTGGCGTTTAAGACATGATAATGACAACCGTGGTATCAAACCAGAGCATTCTGGTAAAAATAAACAAAGACAGAAATAAAAAATAAACCAACCCCTCCATCCCAAACAAAATAGAAAAAGAAGAAAAAAAATCACCGTAAACAAACCACCCTCTTCCCCCCCATCAACCTCCCCGCCTCTTTAACCCTAACCTTCTTCCCGGACTTCCCACCCCCACCAACGAGTCCCTCCAGCCCTAGATCCCTCCAAACGGCCTCCCTCCTCCTCTCCATCGCCCTCGTAATCCCAAACGCCGCATGCTGATCCGGCACCACGTCATCCTCATCCTCCGGATTCGGCGGCTGGTACTGCGGAAGCACGTAGATTTCTTCGATGGGTAGGAAGGAGGGGACGAGCGCCGGCGAGGACGAGCCGTAGGTTACGCCTGAGGCAGCGTTTGCGCCTGTGCCGCCGTGGTGGTAGATGTGGGAGGAGGAGGCGGAGGAGGTCAGCGCGGTGGTTTGTGAGGTGTGTGGGCGCGTGAAGTCTTCGAAGTAGTCGGCTAGACGGGGGTGGTGCATGTGGATGTTTGTTGGGGAGGAGTCTTTGCTCTGGTTTTTTGTTAGAGGGACTGCTGTGCGATATGGTTTGATGGCTTACCATTTTGGCGGTATTGGTCCTTTCAGTCACAATGTTTGACGATAGATGATTGATGAGGGGAGGTGATGATGATTCTAAACAACCATAAGGCGGGCAGAATAGTATCACACTCACCGCCTTTATACAGTTGCTGCCTCAGGCTTCAATTCAGCATCATAAGGATAATCCATCTAATTTGCATTATTTAACCTCTAATTGATCCCGCTAAGCCATACACCTACGACCGTATACGTCAATAGAAACCAACCAATAAAAGACAAATCCCCAACAGGAACCGGTGTATATCAACCAGCCTGTAACTTTTGGTGTAGACATAGCAATCAACTCGCAGTAAAACAATTGACTTGGACAAGCCCGAGAAAAGAGAAAAAAAGAAGGCCAAAAAACGACATGGTTTGAAGAAAGGCTTCAAAGTAGATTTTGCCTTGAAGGCAGTGGATGCAGAACCAAACACAGTAATAAAAGATCAAAGCACCATACGCCCGGGTCACCCGCCTTACAAGTTCGTACTCATCCGGTGTACGATTGGAACGGCACTGGGCGGCAAGCTGCCCATCTCTGTGACGACCATGTCCACATATTCGGCAGGGGTGACGTCGTACATGATGTTGAGCAGCTGCAGGTTGCGTGTGTCTTTCCAGTTCTTGAGAGGGGTAGACGCATTGTTCAAGGCGGGATTGGGCTCTGCGGCGCTAGCAGGAGGGGGAGCCTTGCCCTTCTTGGGAGGTTCCGATTGAGATTCAGCAGCAGTATCAGGCAGGCCGGTTATCTGCTGAAAGGGCTCAGTTGATACCAACTCGTCCGCATCAGCGATTTCGTTAACGACGATACTGTCCAGGGCGACGCGGTCGGTGAACTTGACCGTCTCGCAGCACACAATGACGGGGACCTCGACACCACCCGCACGTTCCTTGGCCGACATGGCAACCAGGGCTGTACCAACGCGAGAGTACAAACGTCCGTTACTGGTCATGGCGTGGGCCCCCAGGAACACCTTGGTGGCATCCTTGATGGCGTGGCTGATACCGTTCACGAGAGAGTACTGCACGTCGAGTCCAGCGTTGACCAAAGCCCGAGCCATGTTCTTGCCCTCGAATAGAGGGCGCGAGTCGATGATGGAGACGCGGAATTTTTTACCCTGCTTGTGCGCGGTAACCAAAGTCTGCTTGACAATCGAGCTACCGGCAAAAGTCACAATCACGTCGCCATCCTGGATCTTCTGCGCAGCGCTGCCCGCAATAACTTGGTCGGCCACGGTGATCTTTTCCCGTATGAAGCTGTCGATAAAGTCACTCAGAGTGGCCTTGGCAGACGCCTCAGGAACAGAGGGGTCAATATCAGCGATGGCCAGCTTGAGCGCTCGAATAGCATTACCCTGACTGATGGAAAGGGGACGACATGTCGAGAGATAGGTGATCTGGTGGGACAAATGTGTGGTCAAGTGTCGAGACAGGGAGGTACCAAGGGGTGTGCTATAAGCCTCGATAACCTGTAAAAATCAGCATCCGAAATGATTTAAAAAAAAAAAAAAAATATCAACAGCAAACGTAGGAACAAAACATACCCGCTTAAACGCAAGCAGCGTAGCAACACACCGCGCACTACTCCCACAAACAACATAATCCCTCATCTGCAATCCCAACGCCAACACAGCCGGGTGCAATTCCTTGCCAGCCCCGGCCACCGTCGTCCTCCTCTGCTGCCCATACAAATGCCCAAACACAGCAACATTCTTCTCCTCCTGCTTCTTCTTCTGCTCCGCAGCTCCCAACTGAGCCGTCGTCTGCGCAGACCCCCGGCGGGGTAACGCCTTACCCCCCTTCAGAGACTGCGACGACGTACCATCCTTCCCTCCTAGTCCACCACCGGGGGGTCCCTTTTTCGAGGGCGTACCGGGAGCTCCTCCTGCACCGGGCCCACCGCCAGCTTGTTCTCGTTCCAACTTTTCCTTTGCTCTGCGGGCGGCCTTTTCGGCCTTGGCCTTTTTCTTCAACTCCGCGCCCGATAGTTTCTCGCCGCCGGCGGCAGCGGCGTCGCCTCCTTCGGTGGGAGCGGGAGTGCCTTCTTTGGCCTTGCCGGATTGTTTAGCGGGTTTGGATGCGCCATTTGCTGGTGCTACTGGTGCGGCTGCTTTGTTGTCGCCGGGAGGGGCTTGGGGTTGCGCTTGTTGCTGTTGCTGTTGTGGTTGTTGCTCTGGCTGAGGGGTAGAAGTGGGTTGGGCGTCCTTGCTGGAGTCTTGCTGCGACGCGGGCGCAGGAGGCGCTGGAGATAGCAGCGACGAGGTCACTGCAGGGTCGACGGGGTTCGCCATATCGGGAGAAGTTAGTCGAGGGCGATAACAGAGGCGCGGAGGGGCATTGGAGACTTTGCTGGTGGTTGTGGGGGGGAACGACGGAGGAACGAGGGTTGACTCACGGCCGACCTGGAATGATGCCATAAGCGGAAGAGAGCGCCTGGCACTAACGCAGCCCTAATTTATGCAGTCTCTACTCTATCTTCGCAGGATCTTCATGGAACAGTCAAAGAAGAATCGATTAAATAAATCCAATAACCACAGGAAGAGTAATCATTCATTACATCGTTTCATAAGTCGTCGCAGAAAACCCCAGGCTGGTACAAAATCCTTCGCGATTCAGTCCCGCGTACAGAAGAAAAAAAAAAGCAAAAAAATTCCAATCGCTCATGAACATTAAACATAAACATCTTTGCCTCCATCCATTCCAGACACCATAATCCCAAAATAAACACAGAGTAGCCGCCCAGGGTAATACCGATCAGTACACGCCAGAAAAGGAAAGGAAAGAGAAGAATTAGCGATTGTGGCCGAGAATACTGCTCAGGGCCCGTCGTCGTTTGCGGGATTCGTGCTTCTGGATGGAGCGGAATCGATCGTGATCAGAGGCCAGTTTGCGTTTGAACACGTTCAGATCTACCAGCAGGTCTTCCATGTGAGACTGCATGTCGTGAGCTTCGATCTGGTTCGATTCCACTTCGATCGTGCCGTCGTCCTCCCAGATCAGATCTGGTTCGGGCTCCACGTCGGACGTTGGGGATCCAGGTCGACTCTCGTCTTGGGTATCTTCTTCATCCAGACACATCAAACTGCCTCTACGTTTCTCGATCGTCACAGCGGGGATGGGGTTCTTGAGACTGTCAACGGCCAGTTTGAGGTGATTGCGAAGTGCTTCGTTCTCCGTCTGCAATTGCCGGATCTTGCATTCGCTAACCATCTTGGTCTCCTCCATCAATCTCTGCATCTGGTCCACTTTTTGCTGATATGTTTCCAAGCGTTCATTCTGCATTTCGCTCTCGCGTCGGTTGGCCGTTGCCATGCTGACACTAAGCTGAAGTGTGCGGATCGTTTCCGCCATCTCCGCCATCTGCTTGTCGCGCTCGGCAGCCGAGAGATGGTCCTGGTTGACTCGAGCCCGTGTGCGAATGCGCTTCGCCTGATCTGCATAACGTAGGGTTGAAAGCGTTTCCTCGTAGTCCGAAGGGGCGATACATGCGATCATAGCCGTCTTTGAGTTGCCTCCGAGGCTGTCCTTCAGTAACCAGGTGAGAATTGAATCACGATATGGGACTACGTCTTTGCCCTTTCGTTTTCCGCCGCGACTCGGCTTCGGATCTGCCAGCGCAGCGATGACACGTCCCAGCGTGGTGAGCGATTTGTTGATGTTCGAACCTTCACGGAGTCTCTGGCCTGTGGCCTCGGTGGATTTCGCACGTTCAGATCCTGCCAAATCAACCAGGCGAATTCGAGCGGTACGTTCGGTAGTCTCATCCGTCGAAAGGTCGTGGTGGATCTGTTTCAGAGTGATGGTGAAAACGGCATGGGAGCGAGAGGAAGTATCGTTCATCTTGGTGCTGGCCACGGTACGAGACACATCACCTTTCCGCATGAAGTTCATCAGCTCTGCAAAGTTACGGGCAGTAACCTCCGTGAGATCTTTAACGTAGGGACCTTCAGATGGGGACTCGCGAATTCGGAGATAGTTGGGTGGGTCGACTCGAGGGACAAGCAAATCGCGCACATGTTCATTGTAGACTTCGAAATAGGAGACGCGGACATTGTAGCTGACATCAGGGGACTGGGCGCTTTCGATACGCTGAAAAAGGTCATCGCAGGTACGGGGGATCAAGCCTGGCTGCTCCGGGGTACCCATCATGGTGTAACTCTTTCCTGAACCGGTCTGGCCGTAGGCGAAAATGCAGGTGTGGTATCCTTCAAAGTTATGGTCCAGGAACTCCTCTCCCAGACAGTTGTACACGTCCTCCTGGTGAGCGTAGTGGTCGTCGGTATCGTCATGCGACCAAAACGAGTTGTCGAAGATGAATGACTTGTCTTCCAGCACTTTGCCGCGAGCCTGCGATTTGGGCTTTCCTTCGTCGACGGGATTGACCTTGGGTGCGAGGAGCTTGGTCATTTGGGTGTTGGGGTCCATGCTGATCAAGCACTCCGCTTTCCGTTGAAGCTCTATTCACCGCTGTATTAGTCTCGCGTTTTCAAATTGTGAACTACACATACCTCTGGGAAGGAACTTCCTAACCCGAACCACGACACGAACATTTCCTCCCGGAGAGGGACTGGCGATGGCAGCTTGACGTGGAGACATAATGGCAACGCTCTCTCGTGCGCGAAGGGAAGGGCTCGAAGCGTTCGATCGGAGATTAGCGGAGGATGCCGAGGTCGAGAGGGTGGTCGGGGCCGTTGTGCCAGTGGCAGCCGATGCGCCAGACGAGAGGGAAGAATGGGAGCCAGGCCCAGAGCCGTGGCCGATCTGGTGATAGAAGCGCGGGTCGAGCGCCATATCCTCGCAGTAGTGGTATAATAACTGTACAAACTGAGTGACGAGCTCTCGCTGGCGAAGAAGTAGGTTTTGGTACATACAGGCCAATGTACCAGACGCAGAAGGAAAGAGAGAGTGGGATCAGGTGACTTGGTTGCCAGCGAACAAGCGAATGCTGCTGCAAGTGCGTTCCTTGAGGTTGTCGAGTTGTCTCTGCCTCAGGTTGCGAGAATCAACTCGTGTTGGCAGCGTCGATGGAATGCTCTGTGGGGGATGCAATGCACATCGGAGTAAACAAGGATCAGTGGAAGGGGAATGACGTCTGCTATGGATAGTAAAAGAGCGAAACATGCAGCAGTGGGAGAAGAAGGGAAAAGATAAGAAAAAGGCCTGATGCCACAGGGACAATCAGGAATGCTGCTGTCTGGCTGTCAACAAAAAGAAGACGATGCGATGATGATGCTTGGTGGTGCAGGCCCATGTGTAGAGTGCCTCAGGCAGCCACTGGCGGGTTGTTGCCATAGCAATGCCTCATGGTGGGAAATCTTGTGATTCCATCCAATAAAGGCGAATTTAAATAGATTAAAGATACGAGGATTGGAATTAGATCTCAAGATCTGGGAATTTCCCGAGTTTAGTGCATGCAGGTCATAGCTGACTGAAGTTGAGGCGACATAACCGACGGACATACACAGACCGTACACACTGAGGATAAAAGCAATTATATTTGATGAGCTCTCAGAGACCAACAATTAAACCAAGGTGAATGAATATGGATAAATACAGTAGCTCTAAGAGGACATTTAGATAGTTATTTGATATGGATGACTGGCTTATTTCTTTCTTTTCACCCCTCAACTCTTCTTCCTTACCCTCTATTTCACCAAACCATGGCAACATCAAAGCCAATCCAACGAACTGTTGACCTCTGGAAGGCCTTTGACTCCATATCACACAGCCAAACCCTTCCCCCCAAGTAGCCGTTCTGGCCTTTCACTGAGAAATCAACAACACTGGAGCTCAGCGTCTCCAAGATATGTTGGAAATCTTCAAGAGCTACAATGTCTACGCCGAAAGCTATGAGATTCTTAGAGATTGGTATTGACACTTTCTTTACATGATCTATGCTAATTAGGTATGGTGGACAGGCCGATATAAAAGGGATTTCCGTTGGACCTTGAACCAACTGGTGCAGGGTAAGTGCCACACTCGAGACTCTGGACGGCGACATACGCTATCTTTTTCGGCTGCTGCTTCGATTACACACTATGGCGGCAGCCTGGAAACCATCACGGCTTCTGCTGGGAGCAAAGCTTTACGCTCAATAATTTGAAAGGAGAGCCTGAGAGTGGCTGGGATAAATACCCGCTCTCTAGAAACGCCTATCAGAACCAGATAACTTGACCGGTTCACATACCGAAAAAGGGAAGTCCAAGCATCGCCTCAACATGCCTGTAGAAGCGTGGATGATGCTGCCACCAGATGAAAAAGCTGAAGCTTATATTCCAATACAGTAGAAGTCAAAATGAATCAAATCAAGCCACAAACTCATTCATTGTTTATACTATTTGCATTAAGGACATTATTTCTCAACTCTTCTGTCCAATTTCCAAAAGAGCGACATAACATAAAATAACCATATCACATCATTTTCTCCATATCCATACGTATATCCATCGTCTTCTTAATCAAAATCATCATGCATCGCATCATACAAATTCGGCTCATCCTCCTCCTTCCCCTTTCTCGCCTTCGCCCCATCCCCAAAGCTCGCCGGATCGGGCACAGGATTACCACTGGCATCCATATGCTCACCTAGCAACTGCTCAGTAGTCCAGGTAGTGGCATCCTGGGACTTTTGAGAGCCAGTACTCGCCTCGTCACGGAGACGGGCACCGTACTTCTGGTCCTGGGTGGTATTACGCAGACGACGCTTCTGGTCGTCGCTTTCGGGGAAGCGAAGGGCGGTATCGGTTTTGGAGGTAGGCATTTTGTTACTATATAGGTCAGTATGTGTGGATGATGTGTATCTGCGTATGACTTGTATCGTTCCCTGCATACGCACCACCAGGTACAGGTAGAGAGTAAGAGAGAACGTACCAAGTCTGTGAATATGCAGATCAATAGTATTCAGTTAATGTTGTATTGAACTGGGACAATGGATTGTGGGATCCGGGCCTATTTAAGTTGGGTTAAGAGGTGGCGTCGATGATATGATGATGACGACGACACTTTACCACCACTTGCTTTACCTCGGGCTGTGGCTATTTGGATGGAATGCGGTAATTGTTGATTCTTCTAGAAGGTTATTCTAGATTGTATTCTAGACTGAGGGATTGTCGTGATGCATGATATGCACGGTGATGGCACGTGATGAGATGCATTAGAATAATAGGGAATAGGCATGGGAATAGGGATAGCCATGTCTGTATGATCTGTAGGACAGACTATGAATAGCATCGACCAGAATAGATCAAGCAAGGCTTACACTTCACCATCGCATACGAGGACTGTAACACTCAACACTCTCCTCCTAGTATTCTAGTATCCTAGTAAGCTGTAGATACTGCATCTCAACCACGTCAGCCCTATCCCAATCCATTCCTTCTTCAGCCCTATCCGTGCGGGGCCGTGGAACTGATCCACTGCCTGTGTTGGCCTCCATTTGCTCCTCTCCCCTTGGTCCATGGCGCAATCCCGCGCGAGATGAGGAATTCGCATTTCCAGGCAGCGATTTTCCCTCTCGCCAGTGTTTTACATCCTCGTGTGTGCCCGTTGTGGTAATTATCGACCACTGCCGCTGCAAGGGACTCACCGGAAACCCTCCGAGGGCCGTAACAGGCAGAGTTTTCCTCGGCACGGAGGCCTGATCCCCTCGACATTCTTCTTCTTCTTCCCTCCCCTCTGTCAGCTGTCACTGCACTGTCTGTGTGACTGTCAATTGTCAATCGGTATTCCTCTGCATACTGCAGACATTTATCTCAAAATGGCTGAAAAAGAGCCTACCGATGTCGAATCCAACCAACACCCCGAGAAACCCCCTCTGACCCTTTCCCGACGGTTGAAGCAGCCCGTCTCCGCCTCGTACGCTGACCTCGTCTGTCTGCTCTGCTGCTTCATCACCGGTCTCTGTGACAGCAGCGCCTACAATGCCTGGTCTTGCTTCTTGGGCATGCAAACAGGTACTCCCACTCCCCCTATATTCAAACAAAACACTGACAGTTCAGGAAACACCGTCTTCCTCGGCCTAGGCGCCTCCGGCCAACCCAGCAACAAACCCTGGGGCTGGCTCAAATCCCTCGTCTCGATCGTATCCTTCTTCACCGGCGCCTACCTCTTCGCCACGGTCACGCGTATCGTCGGCGCCCGCCGTCGCGGAACCCTCTTCACCTCCTTTACCATCCAAGGCATCCTGGTCATTATCGCGGTCGCGCTCATCGAAGCAGACCTCATCCCCCACACCTCCGCCGACGCGACCCTCACCGGCGGCCGTCTCTTCCTCGAACTCATTCCCATTGCCCTCCTCGCCTTCCAATCCGCCGGCTCGATGGCTTCGAGTCGCGCGCTGGGCTTTAACGAAATCCCCACCGTCGTGCTGACAAGTGTATATTTCGATATCGCCTCGGACCCGAAGCTGGCTGATGTCCCGACGACCAACCCCAAGCGGAACCGTCGCATTGGAGCTGTGGTGACGTTGGCGATTGGAGCGATTGTGGGCGGGTGGTTGAGCAAGAGTAGTGGGGGGATGCAGGCTGCGTTGTGGATGTCTGCTGGATTGAAGTTTTGCATTGGACTCGGATGGTTGGTGTGGGCTGCTGATGAGAAATAGATAGAGGATAAAATGGGAAGAGAGGAGAGGAGATATAGATTGTATACCCATAGACACTTAGACTGCAGATTAATTACATACTTTCACATGTTTACAGATTATCAGGAGGCCTTACCAGCATACAAGACCAATAGTCTCGGCATCCTATACATAAACTACACCTACACCTACAAATCAACCAAGATACCCAAAAGAATGACTATTAATCAATTCCAGCTAAAGAATGTACATCCCAGGGCCCTGGACAAAGACAACACCAGAATTGAATAACCACAACCATAACCAGAGACACACACGTCCACTTCCCTCCCCTCCTCTCCCCACCATCCCACCCGATTATATTACGCCTGTAAGCGACTACTGCTGCAACTGCTGCTGCATAATCGGCTGCGGAAGAGCAGCCAGCTCCTCAGCACTACCGATGACAACACAGCAGGCGCCGCTCGGGGCGGTGCACTAAAGCCATAGTAAGTATCATCATATCATATAAACTGAGATATAAAACATACACCATTGATTCCAGGAACGAGTGTCTGTATCTCGTCAGCTTCATCCATCCATCTTTAGTCCGGTCAGGTGGGCTTCAAGACACTTACTAATGGACACGGGATGGAGATGCCAATGATCGAGATAGGGAAGCAAATGGCAGGAATACAGATTCTCAGGGGGAAGGTGGTCCATTCGGAAGCATTGAAGTTGGTGAGGTCGGTGATGGTGGGCATATCGAGTGAGGTTTCAGTGGCAGGGGAGTTGGTCTCAGCAGGCATGGCGATGGCCTGTGAGGCGAAGAGAGCCAGGGCAGTAGTGAGGATGCTGAACTTCATGATGGATAGTAGATAAGATGAGATGATGAGATTGATGGTGCTGATGGTGGAATGGATTGCGAGATGGGAATGGGATTGTGGTGATATTTATGCTGTCTTGTTTGGATGAATGAGGATATAGATGCTGTATCCGGGTATTGCTTGATCGTGATACACCGGATATCCAGTATCACATCCTGTCAAATCAAACCGTGAAGTCTAGATATGGTTGCATTGTAACTGTGTACAGAGAGTATAATCGTTTCATGTTGCATTGAATAATTTGGATAAGGTAGAATATAGAATGATAGAACGGATATGTTATCCTACTATCAATATAGCAGTTGATAGAGCTATTATATGACTATCTATATCTATATGCAGTATACAACAGCTATCTCAGTCTATTTCAAAATACTCTAAACACGACCAGTAGTATCAGACAGATAGAGTAGTTCATGCAACTCAATATTGTCCTACATCTCACATGTTAACCGCCAACATCACAAGATCTAATGTTGTAGACTGTGTTACTTTCTCTATCGACATCAGGAACAAAACACTTCTAGTCTAGCTATAGAGAACCATCGGAGCATATCTTATAGGCTAAAGAACTACTAACTACTACCTAGTAGATCGGAGCTTCCCCGCATTACTGGAATGGTTGATTTCAAAATGCACCGACAGGGAAGAGATTCGGTTTATTATGCTGCAATCCATCTGTTTGATGTTTGCTCGGGTCTTTCTGGTCTTTCTGATAGGCTGCTTTACCTGCCTTACTACACAGTAAAAGAGTGTGATATGAACCTGAATAATACCTTATTCATATTCATCTTCATACCTAAGGGAAAACACCAATAAAAAGACTCTACCATCTACCTATCCCACATCGCCAACACATCACCTCATCTCAACCACCATCATCATCACCAACCCAACCCACATAACGCATGCACACCCAAGCACACACATAACTCACAGAACACATGGGACTAACTAACCAGGTCGACATACATACATAACCGCCCATTGCATACATCCCCACCCACCTAGCCTTGCCCCATTCCCTGTCCGCTTATTCGCGCATACCCATCCACATGATAGCGGTAAATGGACTGAATGGGCAAGGATCCTCGCGTTGCCCCGATGCAGGACATGGATGAGGAGTGTGACTATGATGGAGGGGAATGGAGGGGTGGTGATGTCAGGATTGCTAGCTGGGCGTTTAGTTTGACATAGAGGGTGATGGGGAAGTTAATCGCTCATAGAATGAAGAGGTTTGGGTATTACTGTATTGGTTTGTATTGCTTACCCCTCTTTGGCACATGGCGGGGTTAGGTTGACTCGTACATGATACTGCATTTGCTGTGGTACTACCAGTTTCATGTTGTGTTACAGACAGAAGATAGATAGATAGAATGTAAAGAAGTAAATGTAAAGTAAATAAAAAAATGTCTATCGGACGATGGTAGTTGGTGTCTATATACGCCGTCTCCTCACATCCCCAGAACAAAAGAAACAAGACGCTGCGTGTGTAAGGAATGAATCAAACCAACCGTACCGAGAAAACAGACTCGCAAAATGGTATCATCGAAGCAAAGGCAAGATGGCTCAAACTTGAGTAAGGTCAAAAGACGAAAAATGCATCATCCCAGGTAACAGAGTGAAGCAGCACGCCGGAAATCAAGAGCAAACCCCGTCCCAAGATGAGAAACGAAACGAAGAAGTTCAAAAATAGAAAAAAAAAAGATGATTAAAATGCGCCAGAATGATGAATGCTCGCGCCCGATAGCGGTTTCGCTTGGTCGAATAAAGCAAGTCTCCTGCCAAACGCGCTCAAAATGCAATCAGACAATCGATGGAAATTCAATCGCTGCACCGATACCCTGTGCGATCATAGTAGTATCAATCCCGACGCTAGAACCCAGAAGAATCAAGAATCAGCAAACAAAAAGCAAAATTACTTTTGGTCCATGTCGTCCCCAATAATGTAGTAGTGAGGTAGTGAGATATCGTCTATAGACGAGTCGGTAGGTGTGAGGTGTCTATACAGACGGTGGTGTGTCTAAGGAGAAGACGGCTTTCGGAGAATGTCCTCGCAGTTGGCGTCAAAGCGCATGTTCCACAGGCGAATGCTGTTCATCAACTTCTCTGTGTTTTCCAATTCGCGATCCCGTCCGAATAACGACTCGACGAATTCACAGCCCGCATTCTTGCCCATCGATACGGTTTTGCCACCTTCGCGCTTGGCGGCCTTCCACATGAAATGTTCACAGGCCTTGAGCAGCTTCTTGAATCGTCCCCACAGCCGCTCGCCACTCTCGAGGAAATCCGCCACAATCTCCTGCGATTCGATCCGCTGGATCCGGTTGACGCACTCGTCGGCCCGCTTGACCTTACCGGCCAGCTTGATCAGCAACAACCACAGATCGCCCGCGACGTCGGCCATCGGAGTCGACGCGCCGTGGTAAAACACCGTCCAGTCGTAGATCCACTTGCCCAGCGAGTTGGCATCAAACACACTTCCCAACAGGATAATGGGCGCTTCGGTGGGATCCCAGTTCTTGGTCGAGTAGCCTTCGGGAATACCGGCGCGGACGGCGTCTTCCTCGGTGGCCTTGGGTGGCGGCTGAGACGAGGAGGCGGGCTTGGGCTTGGGCGGGATGCGGGTGGAAGTCGACTGGCGGCGCGCACGAGATCGCTTGGCGGTTTCCATGTCATCGAATGCTGGAACCTGGTGGTAGAAAGGATCAGTGGGTGGCTTTGGCTTGCGATGAGGCGCAGACGTCGGGGTTCGCCGAGGCGGAGCGTGACTGTCTCGCTTGGGAGTCGAGGGCGGCTGGCCGTGACGAGTCTCGCGAAAGACGTATCGCGGCGCATCGTCAAACACATCATCGACCACATCGACAAAAATGGATCGTTTCTGCGAATGCGACGGGCGGGAATGATCCTGCCCCAGGCCGCCCCAGGGATCTGCCATGGTATGACGGCGGCAGTGCGGATTGCCACCGAAAGAAGCACTTACATGATCGTGCTTGCGCGGCGACGGCGACGAGCCATATTCAGGCGTGGCTTCATAGAAGCTGGGAGCGTACGCGGATTGCCATCCTCCAGGCTTTTCCGTCGCGGCGTAACTGGCCTTGCGGTTATGACGCTTCGAGGTCCCTCGGGGGGAGGCGAAGGGACTGGCAAATTGGGTAGCGTAGTAGGCGTAGTGAGGAGAGGTAGGGGGAGAGGTAGTGTAATCGAAAGTCGACCACCCGGGAGGTGGAGTGGAATAATGGTACATTATCTCGAGACGAGCATGGAAAATGGACGCAATAAAACTTTTGATAGGGAGGCCCCTGAAGCAATCAAAAAAGCAATATCAAAGACGAAAAATGAGAAAAAGCAAAACTAGTAAGCAGTGAAAAGACAACCCAGTTATATTATACAGGATATCGTTCAGAACAGCAGATCGACGCCGATTAAAAGAATAACTAAACCGGAAAATCGAAAGACGACCGTCACCGAGGCACGGATTCAAAGCGAAGAGAGGAGGATTGAGATTGGATGTGCTGGAAGTGCATTTGAACGTTGGTGAGTCGACCGGTCGACGGGGGATGATATTGACTGTGTGAGATTTTGGATCCTCGTAAGCGAGTTAGAAGATACCAAAACCGGGAAGACGCTTTCTAGAGAAGTTCTGGGCAACTACCAGAACCAAGCCCACAGAAAAGGAAAAGAAGGAGGAAAAGAGAAGAGAGGAGAGGGTCTGAAGGGCGAGGCAACTGGATTAAAACCCGGGGATGGGCTGTGGTGGTGAAGGGGAGGAGAGGAGGAGGAGGAGAGGAGAAGCGCGCGGGCGAGGCCCAACCAGGTTTTGTACCACGGGACGGTATGGAGACGCGTGGCGGGAGGAGGAGGGCGTGGCGATAGAATACGGTACGGTACGGTACGGTATTATGCTTCCATATTTGAGATGGAAGATTCCATTTAATCTCCGTCATTATTAATAGGAGTCATCCAGCATCCGTCAGTATCCAGTCAGGTATCCAGTCTTATCAACTTATAACAACCAATAAAGAGTGCATCGGGCAATTAACATGTACTACGATGTAGCGTAGATCGTGAGTCAGAACTACTGTAGCTGATGAGCCTTGCCACGGGGAACAGTGGCTCAGCTCTTCATTACCTATATTTAAACCAGGCTGCCTATACGGAGTGTAACATTTGACCATGGATGGACTCGGATCTCCCGTTTTGACCCATGGTACTGTACTATATAAAATATCTAATCTACTATCTAAATAGTCTATGTCGAGATATGATATCTGTTGGGCAGTGGGCTGAATGGTGCCCAGCAGACCGCAATTTGATTCCACCTGAAAAATTTTCAATACCCAGGCAACGGGCTGATCGAGATTAACCAGCAAGAAATGACCAATCACACGCTGGATGCAGAAAACCCCTGGCATAGGCAACCACAGCCGGTCTGACGGTCGCACATGGCGTTGCAAAAGAATAATAAATCCTGCCACTATCGCCCGCAAGGGATCTGCGCGCTAAAAACAGTTTCATTACTGGTCAGGGGTTAACAGGCATCACGAGTGACTCGACAAGGCTACAGCTGGAGTTCTGAACAGATGTAGATGGAGGCATGACTTCACATACATAGTTGAAGGACTCAGCTGGACTCTGGAGATTCCGGGAGAATTAAGGAATATGATGATGTATTCTAGCGGACGTCCTCCGCAGATGCAAAGATCCACAGTGGAACTGCCAGGTCCACCAGCAGAGTTTTCACGATCCCTTGCGATATCTGTTTATTTGGCTTATGGCCACGCAGAGAGATAGTTATTACAGAGTAATAATACCTAGAAAGATATCCATGTGTAGGTATCCATATCGGTATATTTGTATAATACTAAAACTGCCCCTGAAACTGTTGAGCGCGTTGGAATGGAGATCTTTGTGCGCGTCGTCTGTTAGGGCTGTGATTTGCCCTTGCCCTGAGCCCTATCTGTACTACTACTACAGAGTACAAGTATACTACAGTACTACTAGTGATATTCTACTAATACTAGATAGCGAGTAGAATGATACTATGACTGCTCGTTGCTGTAGTAGTTGTCTGGCTGTCCACTATCCGCTTCCGCGATGCACTCGTATATACACTACCAAGCAGATAGTGACTAGATACACCGTCTACACTTCACACTAGCAGTAGACAAGTGACAGCAGACGAATAATAAAGTTATCTACCCCTCCTGATCATCCACCTCATTCACTCCCTCCTCAGACGAACCCCTCCATCTGCTTCGTATAAAATCCCCGACCCCGATCGGTGGAGTTGAGCCCGCGAATGACCGTCTGACACGCTGTCAACAGCCTCACTGCCTTGGGCTATCCCCATTTCCTGACCGTCACTGGGCAGGCAATTGGGCTGGTCTCCTGCTGGTCTTGTTTGTTTATCGTTGGAATTTGTGTTGTGCATGATCGGGTTTCTTTGGTGGTTCTGGAAGTTCGTGGCGATAATAATATTCAGTATTCAGTATTCGTACTCTGTATTATATCTGAATACTGAATACTCCACTGGACCCAGAGAAGACGATGGAAATTGAATGATTGTAGCTGTGCCCAAGTGGCTGTTGAGCTTCGTGTGGCGTATATCTATATACGTTGACATGTCGATAGACAGAGTCAAATTATGAAGGATTTAAACAGTGTTAATACTGTATTAGATGCATATCAGAGCAGGGATACAGTCTCTATCACATTTGCCGTCTATACATATCAAAGACCAGTCACATATCAACATCGCTTAGATCCCTGCTCAACTTCATATACATCTATCACATTTACAGTATTTTAAAAGAAGTCAGTCAGTCAAAATGTCTTCACTTCATTCATCTATACCATACTCATACGAACATGTCTCACTCCCTCCTCAACCCCCCCCCCCCTGGGAACTCATCCTCTTCATCATCTCCAACCTCGCTCTGAAAAAAACCGTCAGTCGCCTCAGAACCTGCCACTCCCTCTACGACTCTTACATCCCCGTCCTCTACCGTCACAAACCCGACAAAGCAGCCCGAAGAGCTCTAAAATGGGCCATGAAACGACGCAAACCCGCCACCGCCCGACGTGCCATCCTCAACGGCAAAGCAGACCCAAACGTGCACTACAGATATCACGGCAAATATCCCAGGAGTACATTCAGGGCTATGGATATGGATACGGAGTCGGATATGGAGGTGGTTGAACTCGATGAGTCTAAGGGTGCATGCCCTCCTCTCGCTGGAGGCAGTTGATATCGGTTATCCCCGCGCGAACAGCGAAACGACACTCTCTGTCGCGGCTAGAGGGGGCTGGATCGCGATGGCTAAGATCCTCCTCGCTAACGGAGCGAATATTAACGCGTCCGTCGTGAAATCGTGCAAGAAAAAGGCCTACCCGGCTATACCAGCGGCAGCGCAGAAACAGAAATGAAAAATGGTCGAATTCCTCCTCGCGCAGGATGGCGTCGATCCCAATGTATCCGATAGTACTGGCTGGACGGCACTCCACTGGGCTGTACATTGGAAGCATACCGAGATGGTCAAGGTGCTACTATCCACCAAGGGGGTGGATGTCAACGCGCGCGGATGTAGAGGGCTGTAGGCCACTGCTTCTCGCGTGCAACAACAGAAATACAAACATAATCAACATTCTCCTCGACATGCCCGGAGGTCAGGCCGATGCTCGGAGTGTACATGGCGCTTCGCCTTTATCTGCAGCTGCGCGCCGGGTGGATAGGTTGTTTATGAAGAGATTGATTCAAGCAGGGGCGAATCCCAACCGAACAGATGAAGAGAAAAATCTGTCATGGGATTTATTCTGGAAGTCTCTGGCTCTTCGGACTAAGCTGGAGTTGACGATTCCGGAGTCTTTAGATGATGGTGTTTGCCGTCTGGAAATGAATAAGATACTGCGATACCTTGAGAGGGTTGATATCCGGCGTAATTCTCTTCAAATTTTTGGTGACAAAGCTTGGTTTTGAGTGTATTTATATTTAGTATCATTATAATGGAGTTTTAGACGGTATGGAGTAACTGTTCAGGGTCTACTATAGGAGGCTCGCGATGTTTGACCTTTTTGGAAGTATCCACAAATCTTCACTAGTTTTACTTTATAAGATATCTTATTAGACCCCAATGAGTACGGACTATCTATAATAGTAATTATTATTATTATTGTTATTATGATGATGATGATGATGAGCATAAGAAATTGTATGGATGCGCTATTCCTAATCTGGCCATTCATCGCGATGTCTCCACAGTCCATCTATACGAAGACTGAAATTAGGATAAAAGCAGATATAAAATCTCTCATTCTCGAACACATTCTTCAACCATTTCTCAAATTATATCCATACACTCACAGTTAATCATGCCTCCAACAAATACCCAAAAACACATCGCCATCGCCGAAGTCACCATATTCGCACTCATCCATGTCGTCCAATTCATCTCTAGATTCATGCAGGAATGGCGATACTGGCATCACGATAAAGCCAAGAGGCCCCTTCGCTGTGTGCTTTATTCCTGGTTTGGGTTGATTGGACTGTTAGCGCAGCGTGGGTTGTCCAGGTGGGTTGTATTTGTATATTGCTAACTGGATTATATCAGTTCGAATTGCTGGTTTCGCTCTGGTGCTTGCGACATCCACACCGAGCAAGTCGATGTTGATTGCAGAGACCGTTCTGCAGGGTATTGGTCTTTCGCCGTTGTTGTTTGAAGTGAGCTTTATCTTGCTGCGATGGTATGTCTTTCTTTCCCTGTTCTCACTTGAAGCCCGGACTAACAAGCAAAGTGGCCAATCCGGACGAACTGGCCCAGGAAACTCGAGATACCCCAAACCAACCCGCTTCATGCTCCACTTCTTCCGTTTTCCCATATTCATCGCCATCGTCCTAGTCATCGTGGGCAGCTGCGTCGACATCCGTCCCTGCGTATACGCCGGCTCAGCCATCCTCGTCACCGCATTCCTCTTCGTGTGTGGTATCGTGGCTTGGTTCGCCGCGAGACTTCGGAAAGACCTCTCTAGTGCTGGTAACCATGCCGTGTTGCTGGTTCTGGTAGTGCTCCCTTTTTTGGCGGTTAGGGTTGTGTATTTCCTCATGGGGCAGTATGGGTCGGGTAGGTTTCATCCTGTTCATGGTGATGCGGACATCATGGTTGGAATGGGGTTTGTGATGGAGGTGGTTATTGCTGTTTTGCTGTTGACGGCACGCGTGGTGATTGAGCCTGTTTGGCCGGTTGCTTGTGAGGTTGTGGATAGCTGTTGATCTAAGGTATTAGAACTCCTAATAGAATGTATCATCCAGTAAAGTTCTGCGGTCGTAACGCGGCATAAATCTTCGAAAGCCGTTTCAACCGACCTTCAATCCACAATCTAGTCGCGGGATCAGCCACCTCGAATGCCACTCGCAAAGGAAATGCCATCCGATATGGCCCCAGAAGTCCACTGCCGTTGTATTCGACCGATTTGCAAATCTGGTCTCGGAAGTAGATTACCATGGCTTGGTGTTGTCCAGGATAACCACAGGCTTTGAGTATCTCGTGTATAATCACCATGTAAGAGTAGTAGCCGCAATGGATAGAAGCGTTGTTTACATCCGAGTATATAAGAGCCGTTGGATACAGCGTGTCGTCTGAGGCTGTGAGGGTCTCGGTTGGAGGAGAGACTATTCGAGAAAACTCGACATACCATGCCTCGATCTTGCTTTTCATGTCGAGAGCTCTTTCCAGGATATTTGACATTCGTAGCCAACTATCTGGACTTATGGGATCTGCCTCCTTTAGATCATAAAGTTTGTGCACGAGACTTGGAGCGAATGTGAAATATGCAAAGAACTGTTCTATTAGGTGCTCAAAATCAGCAGATAAGCCCGTGTTGAACGGTTGCTTCATCACGGCATGCCAATCACCGGAGGTTAAGAAGCATTTTTGGCCGGAAAAGAGAGAATGCATCACCTATAAGTATTAGCATATCATATAGATACTGCTATATAAGCAGACATACAATCAATCCCCGGGCAGCTTTGAGCAAAGTATTATCAATCTCATTCAAGTAACAATCACGCCCCCTCGCTTCAGCCAGTTGACTTAACCCCTTTGCATGCTTCATCCATGACTCTGAATCGTGGGTATTGGTAAAGAGCTTTCTAGTCAGAACCTGAACAGCTACAGTTGCACAAGCACCTACCTCATACAAACACAACAACATAACAGCGCAAAAGATATCCGAAGAAAGACCCTCAGTGGTACTCAACGACGCCTGAAGCCGGTTCAAAGCCTCCACGTACGTACACCGCGCATACCGGATCATTGAATCATTCCGAGTCACATTCCCAAAATGATAAACGGTGAAGGATTTAATCGTGGCATCCAACGTCCGATTCCGGCCGTACATGGACGGAAGAAAAGTAAACCACCGAGACACGATAAAGGCCGAGGTTGCAGGGGATGGGCGCGAGAATTCGTCAATCAAAAGTCCCAGACTTTGTAGGACGTTCAGGTCGGCGGATATCAATGACGAGGGTTGTTGGTCTCGTTGGATTAAAGACTGATGATGATTGTCTGAGTCGTTTCCCGAGGAAGTCCTCCCCTCTGAGTCAGGGCGTCGACGTCGTGTCCGATGAGGCTTGCCTGTGACGAATTTGAAATTCCGATCATATCCTGGACAAGGCTTGCCATACGTTTCACATCTTGCGCATCCAGGGAGTCTCTCGTCACACTGTGTCCTGTCAGCATCATGCCGTGGTCATGAGATAGGGGATGAGGCACCTTGACTCGCCGCTTGACGCAGAGTGAGCAACCACTGCTCCTGGCGACCATTTTGAGGCAAATTTGATATTATTATAGCATCCGAGACATGATGATAGACGGTGGATGAGGATGAATACGAGACGGATGTCGGCAAAAGTAATGCTCCCTGACTAAGCGTCCCAGAAAATATACCAATTCAGCGATACATGGAAGATACAGATACTACGATAGAAAGCATTGTTTATACTTGAATATCCAGCAGAATTATTACCTCATTCGTGATACTCGGTTGAGTACTCCGTAACTGTCATGAAATATTTACTAATGCCAGCTTGCGCCATCCTCTGTTGTATGTAGATACATTACCATATATCCGTGGAATCATGAAACGCTTATTATCAATGCCAGATATTCCAAATCATTTCCAACGCCCAGTGTATCGTCATATGCCCAATCAGTTGTATATAAACAAATATCACACCACCATGTATTCTCCATCTGCTCGTTTGGCCCGCATGATATGGTGCCATCGGAAGCCTTGCCTACTAGGGGCGGATATCTGTGTCGAGGTCGCTTCACCCGAAGGCCAGCTACCAGGGTATCCCGATGTGTACCCCATATGGCCATGTCCGTACGCAATGCCCGTGGGACTGGACCTCGCTCCGGTGCTGCTTTCTCCATCCTCGGCAGGATTCTGAGTCCATATCTTCTCCAGAAGTTCGAGGCACGATAGGTTGTTGAAGAAACCCGAGTCTTTGGATATGTCTTTGCAGCGTTCGCGGATAATAGTGCGGTGATTTTCGAGCACGCACTCAGAACCAGTGATAAAGAGGGGCCACAGTAGATATACGTCGGATTGAACGACGGAGATATGGTGTATCGCTACATGGACAATGTTCTGAATGCGGGGGTCGCTGGACGAAAGGTCTGGGTATGCTAATCGTTCGCTGTAAAGGATTGCACAATGACGGAAGGCTTCAGATGTATGATAGACATCCTCGACATTTTCCGGTGCCACAATATGCTGGGAGATTGGTGAAGAGGGGGGTGATATGTAGGCCTGATTAGGGGTGACTCCAGAGTTCATGGAAAATGGAGAGAATGGTTGATCATTTGGCGGGACAAACCGCCATGACTCAAGCTTTTGTCGAAGAGGATACCACTCGGTCCAGAAAGCTTGAGACATGGGCTGCCTTTCCTGGTCATGAGGGCGTGGCGGGGTTGATATAGGTAATCCATTCATGCTAAATGTGCCCATAGCGGACAGATTACCTGAATATTGAGGGTAGGCCATTAAAGGGGGAACAGGGACCGTGGGCATAAACGCATCGTGAGGCGCTGGGCCCGCCACCGTCTGATTCTGGCTCAGTAGATTCAAACGACCCAGCTGTGCAATCAATTTGAAAAGTCCCGAATCGCAGCCAGCCAAATTCTCCAGGGGCCATTCTCCATCCGACAGAGCGGCGACATCCAAACATGGCCCGCGAAGCTGAATCTCGCGGTCATTGGTAGTTGCCGTCATTGTATCGTACCAGGTGAACATGCGAATGAACCATTTGAGCTCGTCTGAAACTTTCTTGGAACCACGCAACCTCATGGCCAGCAATCTGGTGACCCCCGCAAAATGCTTTTTAAACTGAGCCACTCCTGTGTCACAGACATAAAAAAGACAAAGAATTAATAGGGTCGCCAGCACCGAATCCGCAAGCATGCGTTTGGGATCTGCCAGTTCGGCATTCAGAGCGTTAACAGCCTTGATTCGGTGACGCCACTCCCCCTGGACAAAGGCCTCGGAGATTGGGAGACCATGTCGTTCTTCAAAGGCACCTTCTGTCAGTGCACGGTGAGCCAAAGACGACATACGAGCCGGAAGTGTCCTCTCGGTCGACATTGTCTTACGCTCCCGTCTCTGTCGTAAGTTACTAGTGGAGAGAGTTGCAATAGCTTCCTGAAGGGATTCACTGTCCTCGGCCAAACGAAGAATATGAGTGCGAAAAGGATTAGTTGGAGTGTCAAAGGCAACTATCATCGGTGCAATGACCTCCGCATAGTAGCTGATTAGGTATCTGAGCCGGGGAGTGCGCCCGACAGATCTTGCCAAAAGCAGTTGAGAGTACGAAGGGGAATGGCCTGTTGCCCACAGGGGAGAGCTCGCGGAGCTTTGGCTAGAAGGCGACAGAGTATAGCTGTTCTGTGTGGAATCCTCATCCGATTCTTGCGGCTCAGACGCATAGGTTTGTAACGGCCATTGTGGCACAGACGGCTGCGTCGGCTCGTACCAGGTAGAGGTCAAAGCAGTCGATGGGTTAGATGGAGTTGGATAATGTTCCACAAAATGGTCCCTGGGCGATGGAAACACTGGAGCGCCCGATGGAGGTGTGATATTCCCATGCGGGTTTGCTTGGTATAGGCTTGGATGGCTCAACGGGGGTTCAGGCGAATAAGTCGTAGGGATATTGGACCAGCCTTGCGGGTACGGCGTACCCGCCATCCACGTCGTAGTCCCCGAGCTATCAGAACCTGGCGATGGCCGCTGGGGAGGTGGAGGAGCGACCGTAGCAGAACTCTTGGAATTGTTATTAGACCCCGTCTGATAGCGACGGGGTTTAGAGGCACTCCCTCCAGCTGGTTGCGCCCCCGACACGGGAGTCGAGAGGCCCCGCAGTTTCCCCCGACTGGCAACTCCCACTCCCCAGGTCAATGTTGTCTTGTACCCTGAGCATTCTCCTACTCGATCTAAGCACTGCGAGCAGTACGGGCGCCGGCGATCGCAAGCCGTACCCTGTTTGGCGCAGGTAAAGCAATCATCAGCCGCGCCGCTCACAACAGTTCTCTTGCGTCGTTTTCGGGGCGCGGGAGAAGTAGTCGACGGAGCCTTGCGGGCCTGGGGTTTGGAAGTCGACTCCATCGGACTATTCGAGCTGATAGTATCATGCGTCATCGTCGAAGGCCGATGGCGGTAGTGCGGAGGTGACCCGCGTTGCGGGGTCCCATCGACTCGGACGGTTCGAAGATAGACAGAGTAGGTTGGAATAAAGATGACCAGGGATGATTCTGTGAAGAGGAGATGGAATGACGGGATATATACACTAAGAAGAATAGGGGAGGGGGGTAATTAATTAAAAGGTTAAAAATAGGCGGAAATCGGAGACGGGGATCAGTCTGGGTTAGAGGGAGACGTGAAGAAGGGTGAAGAAAAGAAGTGAAGAAGTTGGAGATGGAGCAGAAGCGGAGGCTGTGAGAGGAAGTACTAAGTACCAACATATGGATGAGCGACACTCCGCGGCACTATCCGCCAGAACAGCAGCAGAGTTTGGCTCGAACGAAGTTTGATTGCTCTGGAGTCTCCAGGGGATTTTGCAGAACGGGAGGATCTATCTGGATGGGACTCCAGGATGGTTATTCATCGCGGTGACCGGTCATCCTGAGGGTTCGGGGTATTACTGCGAGGTTAGCAGCGCTTAGCAACATCGTCACATCCCCTCTGTCACATTGCCATGAAACCTGAAGAATCCCGAACAAGACAAGATGAAGAACAGAGCGACAAAAGAGGCCAGACAATGCCATTGATCTGGATAGGCCATGCTATCGCCATCGGGTTCTCTCCCGCGAAGATCAACGCCCGCTCTCTCCACCGCACCAAGTGGCCCGTCGTGGATTTTTCTTCTGTACGGAGATTCTCCGTGGTTGCAGTTGGTTTTGATGATTTATTTAAGAATAAAAGACTAACGAGAGTTTATTGGATGACGAACTGTTATTAGTAATTGTTCTGATCTGAAACTGCTATTGATGCTGTAGTGGTGGTTAGTTAGGTGTATCAGGATGACTTACTGCTTCAGTGTTTTAGAATAACACAGACAAAGATAGATTTAGATGAATGGATATAGAAATGGATAAATACTTTAGTCTATGGATATATATTATCATTGCTTGTTCTTATACAGAGTGCTGATTGATGATATTTCTTAGCCTGTCTATAGCTGCAGGATGACAACATCAACACCACTTATCAAAGAAATTAAATCAAAAATAATCAGCTTCTCTGCTCATACTCATATTGCACTCTTTATGGTCACCCTTATTCAATACAATAATATATCTCATCCCTTGACGCAGATCTTCTGCTTCGCTTCTTTTTTAATCCGCCACGTGAAGGGATCTTCTCCTGTTTCGTCTTTGCCCAGACCAAAAGTCTCCATTCGGCACGCGACACCTCGTTCACCACCACCATGCACCGGTTTCTCTAACTACCTCGCCAATTGAAGTCCATTCTATCGAGGCCCCTTCTTCCTGTTACCCTATGGGACTTCGGTCCTAGTCTGCATGACACGCAAGCGACCGTTGGCAAGACACAGCGATCGGATGTCCCGCTAAATTCATCAGATCAGGCAGACTTCATATACCCAAGATATTCCCCGTCATCTTAACACTCGATCCTCCATCCTACACAATGCCTGCCTTCCGCCCGGTCCGTCTAAGGTCAATCCTTCTTGCGATGGGAGCCGTGCTCCTCATCTGCTCCGTCTACCTATACTGGACTCCGACAACAGCCACTGCCTCCGTCGTCCCTAGTACGGCCTTTGAAGTTCCCCTTGCTGAACGCCAAAACGCATTCTGGAAAGCCCTCAAGCCCATTCTAGAAAGAAACGCTCCCAACTGCCCTCCCCCCGCTCGAACTGGCGATGCGGGCGCCATCCCGTTTAATGCAACGACGCCCAATGACCGACCTGACTTGATAGAAATCCCCGCTGAGGATCGCACTGCGATGCAGGAGGCACATGAAAAATTCATACGCGAGGTCAAAGAATCCCGGAAATTGCGCCCGGTGCATACTCCCGGGTCAAAGGGTCTGGTGTCCACCGCGGGGGCGTCATACCTGCCGGTGTTTCTGTCGTCGCTGCGAATGCTTCGCCGGAAAGGGTCAAATTTGCCTGTTGAGGTGTATATGAAGGATTCGGGAGAGTACGAGAAACGCATATGCCAGAAGATCCTTCCGGAGCTCAACGCGCGATGCTTGGTTCTCTCCGAGATCGTGGGGGACAACGCTATCGAACACTATCAGCTAAAGATCTTTGCCGTTCTCTTTTCCTCCTTTGAGCAAATCCTCTGGATGGATGCGGATTGCTTCCCCTTAGATAAACCGGAGCTTTTGCTGGAGACAGAACCCTTCACTTCTTCTGGTCTGGTTACCTGGCCCGATTTCTGGGCCTCGTCCGCCTCTCCGGCCTACTTTGAGGTCTCCAAGCAAACGGTTCTTAGCATGTCGGCCCGGCAATCGTCGGAGACGGGTGTCTTTTTGGTCTCGAAGAAAACCCATTTGCGTACGCTGCTGCTGGCTGCCTACTACAACTACTACGGACCGTCGCATTACTTTCGACTGCTATCTCAAGGGGGACCTGGAGAGGGTGACAAGGAAACCTTTCTCCAAGCGGCTTCTGCCCTGGGGGAACCTTTTTACGCAGTCAGTGAGAGAGTCCAAGCGATCGGTCATCCGAAAGAGAATGGTGAAATCTCTGGGTCTGCCATGGCACAGTCGGACCCAATAGAAGATTATGCCCTGACCAGTGAGGGAATATGGCGCGTACAGGATGAATCTGCCGGCAAACCCCCTCGCGTCTTCTTTGTTCATGCACACTATCCCAAGTTCAATCCCGGAGAGCATGTTTTTGGGGAAAGTTGGGAAACGAAGCCAACCCTCAAGCCCGACGGGTCGCTTGGGAGAGCATGGATTGCGCCAGATGATATTATGCAGCGGATGGGCTATGATGTCGAAAAGGAGTATTGGGAAGAGATCAAGTGGGTTAGCTGCAACCTGGAGAACGAATTCCGGTCCTGGAAAGACATTCAGGGGATTTGCCAGAGGGTTGAAAATTATTGGCAAACTGTCTTTGCGGAACCACATGATGACGACCCCAAGTTTACAAACGACGCCTAAACTGGCTGATTTCAAGTTGAAACGAAAAGCAACAATGCCGCACCAAAGGAGGTGCCTATGCAGTCACTATGCCTGTGATGAACACTGGACAGAACCAGTTGGCATGCTGTTTACGAGACGACGACCTTGCAAACAAACCAGCATTTGTATAAATTTCCGTTTATATGCTGTACATAGTACATAACCACTACTTTTAATATGATAATGAAAGACTGGAAGAGGTTATTGTGATTCGTAATAGCCCATGATCGTTACAGAATTAGGTACTTTTCTATTGTACATAGTCACATAATTTATTTGATACCCTTCTCGTGCAATCTCTGCTCGTCTTCCATCTGCAACTCCCGGTCAATCTTGGCTCCCTTGGAGGGTTCGTGGCCGTGGTGAACTGCCTAATGAATGCATTAGCATATTTCCTCATAAAATGAGATATAAAGATAGCATAGTCAACATACAGGAGCAGTGGGGTTCTTCTTGCTCAATTCCGCCTCGGGGTCATAGTGAGAACCAGAGGCAGTTGAGGGTTCATCACTTCTTGACTGGGCAGCGAGTCTGTTGGCGATGGAACGGTCGTCCTCTACTTTCGTTAGCATTTTGTCGTGATACAGTGGAAGAGTGCGGGAGATGACATACTCGAGTCGATGTTCTGGTGGCTATGTTTCTGGCCCTCTTCGTAAGGAGCACGGTGCTGAGTCTCGGTCTTGGGAGGGTTGCGCTGGTCGCCAGCTGCGTAGAAGGCGCTGTTACCGATGTGTCCGGGGTGACCCATTTTGATGGATGATGTGTAAAGGATAAAGGATAGAGGATGAAGATAGAGAATAGAAGATAGATAATAGAAGAGGAGATAGAATGATTATTTGCTTGATGAATAGAAGGTTGCGAAGCTGGTTGAACAGCAACTATATAATCCATCCCAGGATAGGAAGTGATGTCATCCTGGAGTCACTGAGATCATACCCAGTGGGGCGAGTTGCAACCAGTATCTGGGAACAGTTGGGAATCAAAGAAAAGAAAACTGGAGAATTCCATCCTGGATGACATATCCTGTTTGCAGGTTTTTTCCTTGGTTTTATCATAGAGAATCAGATCGAAGTATTTTGATCGCGTGTTGATCGAGCTTGCGGTGGGTTTTTGGTTGGCGGGGGTTTTGTCATGGTGCATGTTGATATGCAAAATTCTTGATAGAAGCTGAGATGAGAACATCATGTTTCTGATTTCTGATTGCTGATTTTTCAGATGATTCTAGACTTTCTGCCTTGATTGCTGAATGGCCAATGATTTCACTGTCGATGGTCCCTGATCCAGCTGTATGGCATCATGTGGTGACATCAAGATCTCACTGTCTATAGACAAATGGAGACTACTGTACTACTATGTTTCTTGTGTCTTCGATGATATTCAGGTAAAATATCATTTCTTTCTCATCAACGTTTGGCTATTATGCTATTTCTCAGGCTTAGCATTACTCTATCTCTCTACCGAGCATTAACTACCTGAATCTACACCAATTGGTGTATACATGTTTATTTACCTTATGCCACCTCTAATACTGCATATCATATGGATTGATATTCAAGATATACTGAGAGCATTGATATATTGGATGAACTATTGTTGAATACTAGAAACAGCCAAAGCCAGATATACTGCACTTATACTGCAGACTGTAAACACTTTCAATCAATGGCTCATTCCATAAAGGCTATACATGGTATATTGAAATCGTGAGCATTGCTAAGTATGAATGGCATCAGCATAGAGCAGACTCAGCTAACGCCGCTCAATCCCCGCACTCCCCTCATGAACCCATCTTATTTCAACCTCTAAACTCTTCATCCAAGTAAAGAACACATCAACAAACAATACCTATCATAACTAGGTACTTACTAGACATATAATCACATCTAAACTGCCATCAACACATTACATCTACACAATGGCTTCCACCCCCGCGGTTGAACCCCGCTTCCAACAGCTCTTCCAAGACCTCGAATCGCGCTTCCAAGCTACCAATATCCCCTCTGACAAATGGTACATACTTGCCACGGCCACCATCGTCGCCGGTCCAGATCCCGAACGCGCAGATCAATTATATCTATCCCTGATCAACCGGCCCGAAAACGCCACTTCCGACGCCCGCCAGGCTCTCGTGCGCCGTATGCGCGAGGCGCTGTTCAAAGCCGTCCAGATCGTCGGCGTCTGCAAGCCCATTGAAGCCATTCTGGCTATCAGCAAGTTCGAGCGCGAGGAGGACAAGGATTACAGCGCCACCCGCAAGGACTGGCAGTGTGACGAGGCCAACCACGAGCGGGGCACTAACTGGCTGCAGAAGCTGTATGCCGGCAACACCGCGGCTACGCTGGACTTATTCCGTGCTCACAAAGACTTCGCCTGGTTGTCGACTGAAATCACGTATGGGTTGTATCTGTCCGACCGGCAGGTGTTGGATGATGTCGATACGCAGATGGTGGTGTTGCCGGCTATCATGAGCCAGAACCTCAAGAATGAGACCCATTGGCATATCCGGGGAACGAGACGATTGGGACTCTCTAAGGAGGATGTCCAGGTGGTTTGGGATTGTATTCAATTGGTGGCCAAGTTTTTCGGGGTCAAGTTGGATAAAGTGCCCACTGTTGAGGCTGTCGAATATGATGTTTGATTGAGATCACTGGGTTAAAATATATCGATATATAGCAGTAATTGAACAAGATTATCCTTCATATCAACAATATCTGGGTTTATAACCAAATACGAACCTCTTGTTCTCATCAAAACGATCACTATCGAATGCATCTTTGATAGAACCGAATGCGGTTTAGCGAGGGGCGTCGGAGCAACTTTTCTCGACGCCGATCAACGATGAAATATTGCGGGAGAATTTCCACCGCCTAAAAAATAGACCAGCCAACAGACACAGACAACAATCTCGTCACTCAGATAATCAAATCACAATGGTCAAAAGGAAGCAGCTCAAGGATGGCGATGTCGAGATGGCGGGCACCGATCCCACCGTCGGGGAAGAAGACAGCGACGAGGTAGCCAATATCCATCCTCCGCATCCGCGGCGCAAAGCTAACCACTGAGATGATGTGTAGGATATCGACATGGTGAATGTGGAATTTGAATGGTTCGACCCTCAAGAGGTTGATTTCCACGGCCTCAAGAACCTTCTTCGACAGCTTTTCGATGCCGATTCTCAGATCTTCGACATGTCCGCTTTGGCGGACTTGATATTGTCGCAGCCGTTGCTGGGTTCGACGGTCAAGGTCGACGGTAATGAATCGGATCCGTATGCCTTTTTGACCGTTTTGAACCTTCAAGAGCACAAGGTATGTATATCCTGCATATGTGAAAACATGTAGTAGAAGTATGGCAGAACTGACCATCCTAGGATAAACCCATCATCCAAGAATTGACCACCTACCTCCAGCGCAAGGCCTCGTCCGACGCCTCCCTCTCTCCCTTGTCGACTCTCCTCTCTCAGACCCCCATCCCTCCTATCGGTTTGATCCTTACCGAACGATTGATCAACATGCCGTCCGAAATCGTCCCCCCGATGTACAACATGCTCATGGAGGAAATCGCCTGGGCGCTTGAAGACAAGGAACCGTACAACTTTTCACACTACCTGATCGTGTCCAAGAACTACGAAGAAGTCGAGTCGAAATTGGACCAGGAGGATGCGCGCCCCCAGAAGAAAAAGAAGAAGTCTGGCGACAAGGTCGAGCGGTTTTACTTCCACCCTGAAGATGAGGTGCTGGAGCGGCATACAGTGTGCTCGGGAGCGTTTGAATACACGCACAAGCATGACGACGGCCATTCCGACTCGAAACGAGCTTTCCAGGAGCTGGGTATCAAGACCGGTGGAAGTTTGATGTTGATTGAGGCTCCCAAGTTTGAGTCCGCTGTGAAAGATCTTACTTCATACCTCCAGCCTTCTGTATAAAGAACTGCCATGACTTATTGATGAAAAAAGCAATTGATTATTTATTCCTCATTTTTCAGCATCCACTGTTCATAGATGGTCTATGCGCGTCGTTATGCCGAATTCCCATCATTCGTCAAGGCGTCAAATGCATTTCGTTTCTCAGTTCTATAGTTTCATATATAGTTATAAAGACAGTGCGTTAAAAGGTTATTATTCCCATTCGGTTCCCTTCAAGCGCTGCATGAGATATTCAACCTCCACCACCTTGGTCAGAGGGATGACGCATTCCTAAATGGTGTTAGAGTAACCCGAAGTAAGAAATTCTGTCACTACTAAACTCACCTTATACATGGCCACAACCGCATCGACATTGATCTTCTGACCCGATTCCTCAGGGAAAGCAGGATCAGTGCCGTAAGTCTTGGCCTTCAACCCCAGTCTCTCCAGGACCTTCTTCTCAACCGCAGCATTGGTAATGGCGGCATCGATCCCCTCGCGATCCTCCGCCTTGATCAATTTCACAAACTTCTCAGTCTCTGACTGAAACTTGGACTCGGCCACAAACTTGCCAAAGTGAATGCGACGCGAGAGCGCCTGCAAACAGTTAACATCGCACGTAGCAGCCGATCCGTAGTTCTCTTGTCCCTCGCCACGATCCTCCCGTCCAAACTGGGGGCAGATAGCCGGGATAATCTCCTCCGCGTAGCGCTGCTTGATAGTCTCGTTCACGCACACGTCATTGTCGTGCAGAATCTTAGGGTATTCCAACGGCTGCAAGATAGGTTTCTCGAGCACATCGGGGAAGAAAGCGTACTCGTCGGGCGATTCGTAACGTCGAACACGCGACTGCAGACGTTCCTGTTCCCGCAGCAAGTAATCCAGCAAGCTCAGATCACTGCCGGGGATGGAGACACCGCCGGGGACATAGATGGTCTTGTTATGCGGGAATTGAACCCGCTCAATCAGGTGGAAGGTGATTGTATCCTCAAGGCGGCTGTCAAACCCGAGGTTGTCAGCAACTGGACGGAAGTTGCGTTCTGCGGGGGTAACCCAAACGCAAGATCTACCGAGTTTGCGCGCAAGGGAGATACTAACATTAATTGGAAGCGGATGTTGGCGAGATCCAAGGCCTTGGAGGCGTTCGAAAGATCAATGGCGGTGTCCATGGTGTTCATCCGTAGTTGAAGGATCGCTGGTGCTGATTCTCACTGTTCTTGCGCCGTCTTGGGTAGATGTTCGCAGGATGGCGGGGAGGCCGAGGAGGAGAATGCCCTCAGCCCAAAATTGCTTTTTCTATCATGGTCGTATATATTCGTGACCATTCAGGAAAGTCACCCAGAAGAGTCTTATATCATTCTGGTCGATTCCAACTCTTGCTAGGATCAATAATAGAATAATTACTATAGGCGAAATGGAATAACCATCAAGGATTAAGTAAGGTCCTGTTATCGCATGGTATTGTGGTATTATTGGAAACAGGACGGCTGACAGCCTCCTTCATTGGCACACATCGCCTGACTTGGGCTATTCCCAGCAACTCGAAAGAAACTAATTATTGCGAAATCCCCCGCATCGTGAACTTCGATAAGGCCTAACTAATGCTTACTACTGAGATGGATCGACAGTTATCAAGTTGCAGCTGAAAACATCCACTCGCTAACCCGCGGTAAAATTACAGCTCGGGAACACGGTAATCCATCGCGTGCAACTCCAGACCAACTCTCTCCAGCAAGCCGACCAGGTGCCGAAGACAATTCATATTAAGCCATCCTTGTCGGTCAGGCAATCCCTCCACTTCGTCCTAACCTCCAGACAAAGCCGTATGGGTCTTTAAGTCTCCTGGGACGTTCTTTGTCTGGCCGGTCTCATGGAGAATCACCGCCGCGATGAATCGCCTTCCGGTCTATCAGATATTGCTGAGCAGGACGGTCTATTGGGAACCGGCTTGACGGTAAAGCGCAATCTTCTTCTTTGATTATCCTTCTTCCCGAAATCTTACTGATATGTCTTTTGTGAATCTAGACTAGGCATATCGAGGCTTTTGGAAGGAAGGTCACATCAACTGCCGGGCATTTGATAGGACCGCCCGAGGAATCTGGAAGCAACGGCGGTCACTATCACAGTGCTATGGTCGACATTCACCGCGAATTACGACGACCCAAGACACAGCGCAAAGTTTTCTCTTTAACGCAAACCACTCCGACCGACTTGGTCCGCTCCAAGCTCTATACCTCCGAAATTCAATCGCGGGCCATCTCCTCTCTCCCCGACGACCTCCTGGCGAACATCCCTGAAGACTCCAGCTCATACTCGTTGTTTGAAGGTTTCCAAGCGACTCTCCCCGAGGATGAACGTGAATCGAGAAAATCCCACCGGAGGCGCAGCTCGAAAGGCGGAAAACTGCTCAAAGATGGCGAGAAGGACGCAGCGCTACCGCCCACTGCGAGTGGATTGAAGCAGGACAGGGAGAAACTCAGTCGCCGATTGAACATGATGGGTGTTCGCAAAAATATGTGCAGTGCGGAGATTCACGAGATTGATAACAAAATCGCCAATCTTCACAACATTCGCAAGATTGTTCTGGATCGGTTGGCTGGCTTGGAAATGGATGAAGCGGGATTGGAACATGAGCGTGGGTGACATTTTGGCTTTTCTCAATGGAATAGCAAGCGTCTGACTTTTTTGGGACCAGTGACCGAGATCGATAACAAATTGGAGGATATTCCAGACGAAGAGCCAGAGCCTGCAGCAGCGGCCGCGACTCCCAAGTCTTCCGAGGCGAACGATGATTCCATCATGTCTGAAGATGCGGCCATGGATGCCTCTTTCATGTCCGAATCGATTTACCAGAAACTGCCTTCGCCCTCGCAGAGAAGCTTAAGGCACAAGTCCAACAGTACGGTGTTCTCAAACTGCGTCCGATGGGAATTCCTGGCTAATAATTGCTCTAGGAAAACGATCTATGCCCATTCTACACGAACATTTCGCTCCCGGATCACCAATTAAAGAACTCGAAGCCCACACCGATGTAGTGACCGCCATCGATTTTGACTACCCCTTTGGAACTATGGTTAGCGCATCGTTGGATGACACAGTGCGAGTCTGGGACCTTAACACAGGTCGATGCGCAGGATTCTTGGAGGGGCATCATGCTTCTGTTCGCTGTCTACAAGTCGAAGACAACATTGTGGCTACGGGTTCCATGGACGCTTCGGTCCGACTCTGGGATTTGAGTCGCGCACGACCTGTGGAGAGGAGCAACCGAATTGGCAGAGGCCAGGAGGAGGCAGAAGAACACTTCGAACCTAGCCGTCCCTCGTCATTATCTGCCTCAACTTCTCTCAGCGATTGTCATGTATTTTCATTGGAGGCCCATGTCGATGAAGTGACAGCGGTTCATTTCCGGGGCAACACTTTGATTTCCGGTTCAGCAGACAAGACTCTGCGACAATGGGATTTGGAAAAGGGCCGTTGTGTGCAAACGCTCGATGTTCTCTGGGCGGCAGCCCAAGCATCAACGCTGGGTGGCGGCGACACGCAATGGAGACCGTCGGGGCGCGTACCAGACGCATCTGCCGACTTTGTCGGGGCAGTTCAATGCTTTGATGCTGCTCTGGCTTGCGGTACCGCAGATGGCATGGTCCGTCTTTGGGATCTTCGGAGTGGTCACGTTCATCGCAGTCTTGTCGGCCATACTGGCCCTGTGACATGCTTACAATTCGACGACCATCAAATGATCACGGGTAGTCTCGACCGCAGCATTCGAGTATGTCATTCTCATATTTACGTTTCATTGAATTATTCTGACTCTTAAACCTAGATCTGGGATCTTCGAACAGGGTCCATCTTCGACGCATTCGCGTACGACAAACCAATCACCAGCATGATGTTTGACTCGCGAAGAATCGTGGCTGCAGCAGGCGAAAACGTGGTCAAGGTTTACGACAAGGCTGATGGTAACCACTGGGATTGTGGTGCCGGACTTGGTGCTGATGAAGAGGGACCGTCCCCTTCAACCATCGATCGAGTACGACTCAAGGATGGATATCTCCTCGAGGGCCGAAAAGACGGCACTATTGGAGCATGGACTTGCTGAGCGATGAACATACGAGGAACGTTTCTCAATCTTGTCTATCATGCATGCTTATTCTTGTATTCTTCCGCGACTTCGCGACTATTGTATACTATTGGATTTGATATAGAAGCGAAACTACTGGCGATGTGGCTGGGAGGACCGTTATTATCAAGTAAATTTATCATCTTTCTTTGTATTAGGTCCAAGTAGAATTCTTAAGAGACCTAACATTCCTGGTCAGGACTGGGATGGAAACGCGTTTCGTGGTAAACCGCCTTGGGTGTAGAAATCCCATCACGCCGTCTTCCACTGAGTCAACCTGATACTTGAAAGAAATCCACGGAGTTTAAAGCGTGAAACATAAATAGAAAAGCAGTGAACAAAGCGAATCGACAAAGAACTGTTCAGGATTGTTGATTCTCGACAGCCGCCAAGCCTCTGCAAGACGACAAAGAAAAAGCAAAGAGCCATTTTAAAACCCATCTATAATATACAGTGCCCACCGTCATCATCCTTTTCCTAAAAACCCATTTCATCGAGTCTGATCTTCTTCTCTGCATGCCATGCGTGGTTGGTAAATGAAGCCATCGCGATATCGTGCGGTACAAGTCCAGCCACGCCTTACCCGATTTGTCCACTCCTCCTACTGCCACGGACGGAACTGCCAGTTGCGCGCCTCCATGGGACCATCTCTCTTCGCTCGACAACACGGCAAAAATCCTCCATTATCTATGCTAGGAAGCGTTCGTATTCTCGCTGTCTGATACATACGCTTTGCGACGGCATTTCTTAACCGAGCATTGGATTAAAGTGCTGCATTAGAGGCCGCCGACTGGTGTTGATCCTGAACCCGCCGCCGCGTCTGCTTTGGCGCGCCGTGTCTTTTTTACCCCGACGAGGGAGGATTATCACCAAGTTTATCCAGGCTTGAATTCAAGGAATTTATTTGAGGTGCATTTTAATAGCCTCTTTCTTTTTCTCGATCTTTGACAGAAAGAAAAGATTTGGTGTTGCGACAGCCATATCGTGCCACTTTTTTGGCATTTCTTGACGTCGAATTTACCAAAACAAATCCAGCAGAGAAGACATTTCAATTCACTGTCTTGGTCAATACAGGCACTGTTATCTTTCTGCAAAGTGCCACGCTTTTCTACTTCTTTATATCATCTTCGAGAGCATATCCCAGGCAATTACAGATTTCTGCCTGAGGCTGCAGCAGTTTGAGATATCATTTTGAATGCAGTCCAACTCCTGATTGTCTACAGTTGTAAGTATAGGCCCTTATTTTTAGGATATAAGCAAGGATTCCCGATGAATCTATATATCACCTTTCCTTTCCGAGAGCCGTTCGGCTAACATCGTCTTTAGCTTTGGACAAATCTGGGAATATGCCTCCTAAACGTGCCTCTACCAGGCGTTCTGGGGCCACCCCTAAGTCAGGAGGAACACTGCCGTTTTCTTCCAGTCCAGCGGGTTTGAATCCTGTTCTGCCAAGCGTTCCTATTAAACGCTCTTCTGAATATGGCTCGTTAGCAACAGCACAGATGCCCCGCGGGATGAGTGCTAGGCCCAGTATGGGTCTGGCTGAAATGGCCGAATCTATCGATGTAGGATTGAAGAACGCTCAAAACCGAGATTTGGCAGCTGCGGGCAAAACAAGGAACACGCCTCGTAACACCCGTTCACAGAGAAAATCAGTCTCTGCTAGTGTTTCCCCGACTCGCCGGAGGGCCAAACGTGAGCCTACTCCTGATCAAATGCAACTTCTTGACTCGCTACGAGATGTCACTGTTTCACCAAACCCTGGAGACAATGCCAGCCGGCCTGGACGATCTACTCCGACGCCTACTCCCCCTATCCCACACGCTCTTTCTATAGCTTCAAGCCCTGCCCCCGGCTTTCCAAATTACCCATATTTACCAACAAACGAGCCCCTATATCCCTCTCCACTTCAGCGACTTGGATCCCCAACCCAGCGTAACCTTCCGCTAGGAAGTTCGCCCCAGCAGAATTTAAATTCTGTCGATAATGAATCAGTTATCTCATGGGGCGTTGAACGCGATATCCACGAAGATGATCTACAACGAACACGGTCGAATAGATTCTTCGAGGAGGAACAGCGAAAGAACATCACCAAGCCCCCACTTCGACCTTCGGGCTTTGCTTTCGCCCATGAGACTATTGAGGAGGAGGAAGAGCCTGATTCTCGGTTATCTATAAGAAACCCACCTTCGCCTTCACCATCACCAAAGCCAAGTCCAAGACCCCAGTCCCAGCCAGCGCCTCAACCTCAAGTTCAGCCTCAGCCCCAGCCTCAGCCTGAACCTGAACCTGAGCCTGAGCCTGAGCCTGAGCCTGACCGCGATCTCGAACCCGAATCAGTGCTTCAAATAGAGCCACAACCGGATCATCAAGCAGAACCCCAATCTTCAACAGCCCCCGCAAAGACGATTATTCCTCAGAGTAGTTTCCATGAGACCTCATTCCGCGATTCGTTCCGTGAATCACTCTCTGCTTTATCAGAGCAGTCAGTGGAAATAGGAGCTCGATCATTATCAAATATCTCTTCCTTTTCGTTCCGAAAAGGCCCAGCTGCCAGAACAGTCATAATGGTGGTTTTCACAGCGTTGTCTCTTTTTACCGCCTATTTCTTCAGTGACCACATATCCAGTATTGCCCATGATATTGGTTCCTCTCTTCCCTTCGGTCGGCCCACGCCTTATATCCCCTTGGACTCTACTGGTCTAGAAGCTGTCAATAGCCTTACTAGGCAAGTGTCGAAACTAGGCTCACAAGTTTCATCCTTGTCTAAGGAAGTGGATCTGGTTAGATCAGATGTTGATAACATGCCTATTCCAACTATGGAAGTTCAGCCGATCCCCGTTCGCAAGCAAACACCTAGGATCAACTTTCTTACAAGAGGGATGGGAGTCTTAATCGACCCCAAGACAACCAATCCAACAGTCGGCAAACAGATGAAATTCTACCAGGCGGCCTATCTAAAGCTGTTCGGCTCTCAGAATCATGGCCCACAGCCACCTCTTGCGGCTTTGACAAGCTGGGAAGATGTTGGTGATTGCTGGTGCAGCGCTCCACGAAATGGCGAGTCGCAGCTCGGCATACTTTTAGGGACCAATATCGTGCCAGAAGAGGTGGTTGTTGAACATATACCGAAAGGAGCAACGCCAAACCCACAACTTGCGCCCCGGGATATGGAGCTGTGGGCGCGATTCAAAATCATTAAAGATGAACCCACTACCGCCGACCAACCAGTCGCCTCAGACTCAGACTCGTGGTTATCTTATTTTTCTTCGCCTGAACCTAAGGAATCATCCGAAATGGATAAGCTTTCTGCGCCCCCTGGTCAGCTTTCACTGCATGAGGCAATCATGAGCGTCGTCGGGCAAGCTTATAAAAATGAGCCGGAAAGTGCGTATTCAGATGATCCTCTCCTCGGAGACTCCTTCTACCGCGTTGGACGGTGGACATACAACTTGCACGGCGAGAATAATGTGCAGGAATTCAGCTTGAACGCCATCATTGATCAACCCGACATCCGAGTGGACAAGGTGGTTTTCCGTGTCAAAAACAACTGGGGTGCTAACAATACATGTCTCTATCGACTGAAGTTGCATGGCCATGCATAGGTCTATAGTACTCAGTCATCTACGCTCGCTTTCTTTGTACGCTGTACTCATTTGTTTCTTTTAATTAATCAATTTCTTTTCGAGGAATGGCGCTGGTTTGGTCATTATAGCGATTTCGATACCATTGGCAAAATCTACAGACTGATGCGGGGGCGTTTTCAATTCAGGCGGATTAGATGCAGTTGGATGGTTTAGGCGCTTGGAGATTTGTGTTTATTTGCTATTTCCAATGGATTTCTACTATTTGACAGCTTTGCCCCAATCTTTGCTGTATCCCATTGCCATTATCTATTTGTAGAGACAGATATACCACTCTAGATCAAACGCTATATCCAATATATAAAAACCCAAGAAACAAAATACACAAGAACGATAGGTAACTCAAGCCCCCGAATCAAACTCAGGATTCACCCATGAAGGCAATGGTGCTTTTGCCCTCAGTAAGGCCCCAAAGCGATGTAATAGTGCGAAGACAACCGTCCCTCCACCGGCAACGATGAGAGCCTGCGCGGTAAACGTCCAAGTCCAGCCAGATGAAGCCTGCCAGGAAGCAATAAAGAACTAAAGAGAACGCAAGTTAGACGTATATCATGGCTTGCCTGAAAGCACAGAGACATACCGGGTTGATAAAAGCACTTAGATTGAGGAATACGGCGTAAAAGGTGATGACGCTCGTTGACTGTAGGGGATAGCTGTCGACGATGTAGCTGCTAGTCACGGTATTTCCGATTTGTATTCCAGCAGAGACTTGTAGATGATGATGTTAGTGAGTGATGCATGTCTGAATTCAAGGTGAACGGAAACATACACAGGAAGAAGGCGACTTGGCCGACCATCCAGTGGTAGTTTCTGTCGAGGCTGATGCCCCAGAGGACCAAGCCCACTAAGCATTTATGTCAGTTTTTCTCTTTCTTTTTGTTCTTTTCTCCAAACACTCCTTTTCTTTCTTATCTCTTTCTATTTCTCTTCTCCTTGAAATTAAAATCAAAGATCAACTCACCAGCTGTGATCAAAATAGCCGGATACGCCAACCACAATCGCATCTCAGCAACACGCACGTTATCATTCCTCTTCGCCAGTCGTTCCACGATATAATCGCTCAATCTCCCCGAGCAGCATATCTCAGACAGGACACATCCCAGGAACAATCCAAGACACAAGAGCCCCTGAATCAACGGGGTATACGATGCGTACGCAGCGGGTACCATCGTGATAACCGACAACACCCACCAGTACCAAACGAAGCAATATCCAATAACGCTTACTGCGACAGCGGGGAATTGAGACGTGAGGATAAATCGGGTTATAGAATCCCAGGGTTTGGGGTGACGCATGCCAGGTACGGGTTTGAGGTTGAGAAAGGGGAGTTTCTTGGTTCTAGGTAGGTCGGCTGTATCTGTTGGTGATGCTGTTGTGCTAGGGGCCTTTTCGATGTCGGTTGAGATGGAGCAATTATTGACTGGCTTTGTTGCGTGTTCGAGCATCGTGTTACGCGGGTATAAAGTCTCGGGCATAAAGAAGAGCTCGAGAATCAGCAATGCAGCGAAGAGGATGGCGTTGAACCAGTTGATCCAGGATGCACTGACGACGTTCAAGAAGCCACCAACTAGACGATGTCAGCGCTTTATCCCATGAGATGGATTGCTAATTGTAATGACTTACAGGTTGGGCCCAGGAGGAGCCCAGCATCTATCGCCAGAACCCACAGACCAAGCTTTTGCCCGCGTTCATAATCGAAGAAGAGGTCGTTTACTGCAGTCATTCATCAGTATATTCCATGATTTAGGATGGCAAGCAACCATACCCACAGCCATTCCAACTGTTGAGGCTGGACTGACGCCAAACCCCTGGAAGAAACGAGCAGCCATATATCCTTCATAATTATTTGCCACTGCAGCACCAATTGTTGATACCAGTGCAATGACAGTGCCGACAACGAAAATTATACGACGGCCATATATATCGCTTAATGATGACCAGAATAGTGGTCCTACCGACAGGCCAAGCGCAGGGATAGCAACAGTCCAGTTGACTTGCGAGTAGCTTATTTGGAATTGGGTTTGTATTTCGGGGAAAGAGGGTACCGTCGTGGTAGTGATATAGGTGAAGAGGAAGTATCTAAGACGGGTACACAGTTAGTGATTGTTGGGTGTGGAGTATAGCATGACTTACTTCAACATAACAATGCCCAGTATGGTATGTTTTTGAATCCTGGACCAGCTCAATGGATCCAAATGATCCGATACGAGTTGCGGGTGTGCCATGACTACCGTTTGTTCAACAGCTGTGTCGGCCATTGTCCCATGGCCAAGATGTGACTGCTTCTCTGAGGCATCTACACCCAACACCTCTTGATCCATGATAGGTGGCTCCTGTCTGTCATCCATGAAAATGGTTTAAAAAGGCTTCAGTATAAGAAGTTGGATTCAACGCAAACGATGTAATAGTGTTGTGTGTTCTACAAACGTGTTTATGACCACAACAAAGCTAACAGAGTATATAGAAAGGCCTTATCAGCCATACGATCAATTTACGGGATGAAATCAATGCCACAAAGAAACTAAGCAATGGGATTATTGCCTGACATCTGAGCCTAGATGATCCAAATCCCCGTGTTTTGATTCCTCAAGACATCCTTATCTTTATTACCGACAAAGAAGGCTTTGAAAATCCCTGCACAGGTGTTCTAATACAGACCACGGCATGGAGAACATGGCTATGAGCATAGCATACCAGAAGATGAGCGGGATATAGAGATCAACACAGCATTTGGTTCTATGATCGCCAATCAAACGTGGCAGTGCGATGATAAGGAGTATAAAGAAATAGACGTCAGTCATAGATTTGAATAAGGTATGTTATTCAACAATACTAGTGCTGACATTCGTGATACTAGGTTACAAACCCTGTTTCGCCAGAAATATGCATCAAGAATCAACTAGCCACTAGTCATTGCAAGGATAACTTGTTGTCTCCAGATTTCGAGTCTCTCCACCATCGCGGGGCTGATAGATAACGACGTCCTCGTAACGAATAACATCCTCCGCCCTTTGTCCTCGCATCATTCCCTGTCATCTCTTTCAACTGGAACAGATCACTTACCGCTTCTGGATAAATTTTCGAGAAGCTTATTCCATGTGGATCTATTCCTGTCTTTACCGGGACGAAATGGCGTTTTGGGTCGATCAGCACCCGGCATTTACCGTCCTACCATCTTCATGACCATCCTCGATAAGAATATACCTCATACTTTGTTACAAGATTGGTATTCAGATTGAATTCCTTATTGAAATGGGCTTCTGCGTGGTACTATCACCATCGCTCCTTACATCTGGTACTTATGTGACCGGCCAAACACGGCAGTAGATCGGCATTTACTGCAGCTAATTATAAGGATATGCTGATGGTTTTCGGTCAAGGGAACGATAGCCAATTGCGAAGCTATTTTGCATTCTGAACGCGAGGATACCCTTCGCAGCTCAAATCAGCATCAATGTCCACCACGTATGGAGTAAACTAAGGTCCTTGGCGATTGAGTGTCTGTTTTAGGATTATCCATACTACCTAGGATCCACACGGTGCATGCTTGTGGACAAAATGTTCACTTCATCGTTAGGACGATGGTTGTCGACTGTCAGACACAGTTGTACACTTAAGACGGGGGATTTCTTGATATGACCCCATTGCCATTGTCAACCCAAACCCTTACTGCTTCCTTCTACTTGTTTAAATATCAATGCGCGTCAAACTCCCCATCGCCCGCCAGGGCAGCGAGGCATCCCCCAACGAGTATACATCTCTTCTCCCAAAGCCAGCAGATATCGAAAGCTCTTTGGCACCAGAAGAAGATGAAGGCACTGAATCACATCCCTCGGAAAGAAGCCTTGTGGCTTCAGAGTTCTGGCTGCTCCTAAAAGGCTCTATCCCCGTGATTCTGGCCTATACACTGCAGAACAGTCTCCAGACGATATCTATCATCATAGTTGGACGTTCTTCACCTGAAAATCTGGCCACGAGTGCATTCTCTCTCATGTTTGCCATGATCACAGCATGGATGATTGCGTTGGGAGGGACGACTGCTTTGGATACGCTGGCCTCGTCGACGTTTACTGGGAGCTCGAACAAACATGATCTTGGGATTCTGCTTCAGAGAGGGTTCTTCGTTTTGAGTCTCTTTTACATCCCGGTTGCTATTCTCTGGGTGTGTTCGGAGCCTGTTTTTCTTTTCTTAGGCCAGGATCCGAATCTATCACGGGACAGTGCTAGGTTTTTGACTTGTTTGATTCCTGGAGGACTGGGTTATATCTATTTTGAATTGATGAAGAAGTATCTGCAAGCACAAGGTATGCACCGGTTATCATATCAGCTTTTCATTTCTAATGAGGGGATTATAGGAATCATGCGGCCTGGTACATACGTTCTTCTGATAACCTCGCCGTTCAATGCCGGTCTCAACTATCTTTTCTGCTATACCTTTCACATGGGACTACTTGGTGCCCCCCTTGCAACAAGTATCTCCTACTGGCTCTCATTTGTTCTGCTACTTCTTTATGCCCGGTTCATTGCAGGATCCGAGTGCTGGGGTGGATGGTCACGAGAAGCCTTCAGAAATCTCGGTACCTTTGCTCGTTTGGCTTTCCTGGGCATAATCCAAGTTGGCACAGAGTGGTGGGCATTCGAGATTGTGGCTCTCGCGGCCGGCCGCCTCGGAACGATTTCCCTTGCCGCTCAAAGTGTGATTATGACAGCAGACCAGGTTCTAAACACCGTGCCATTCGGTGTGGGAGTGGCGACGTCAGCACGAGTAGGCAATCTACTTGGGTCGCGGAATTCTCGCGGTGCCGCGCGCGCCGCCAACGCTGCGGCCTGGCTTAGCATGTTTCTTGGGACCGTGGTATTGGCCGTCCTGATGGGCTCCCGGAACCACTTTGCTAAGATATTCAATAACGACGAGCGGGTCGTTCGTCTGACCGCAGAGGTGCTTCCGTATGTTGCGCTGTTCCAGATTGCGGATGGGCTGAACGGAAGCTGCGGAGGTAGTCTTCGAGGGATGGGCCGGCAGCATGTCGGCGCCATGGTCAATATTATCAGCTACTACGGCGGAGCACTGCCGCTAGGAATCTGGTTGGCATTCCATGGCTGGGGACTCAAAGGTTTGTGGGTAGGACAGTGTATTGCTTTGTATCTAGTGGGGGCGTTGGAGTGGATGATTGTTGCATTGAGCAACTGGAACAAAGAGGTTGACAAGGCCTTTAGACGGATGGATGTCGAGGAACGAATTGAGAGGGAGGATTAGACTGGTAGATGGATAACATGATGCAATTGGAAGATGTTAGCATAGACAGAGTATAAAGTTCGGATGTCTGGATAGACCGACCACTCCTTACAGATAGTTTTACTGCCAAGTACGATTTCTTGGTAAAGTGGCAGTTGGTACGCTATTTCATGCATGAAATAGAGATCCACTACCCCCAACTTCCTAATAAGTTAGTCATGGGGAGAAGTACGATTTTAGTCTCGATTCTGTATGCTCTCTTGGTACTGTATTAGACCCGTGCGGCAGATATGCTGTTCCCCGGACTGTCGTTATCGAAGGGATATTGTTGGGTCGAACTTCTCCGAGGATTCCTCGTTCCAAGATGAAACACAATGTTCAAGTATTCTAGAAACGATTGCAAAATGCACTTATCCTCAGTAGGAAGTAAATTGGAGGAGACGACGATCTAATAGATAAGAAACGTCATTAGTGATAAAGGGACTGATAAGACCATGAATAACACAATGTTCCAGGCTCACCTTTCTCAGACATTATTGGCCCATATGCATATTATCTGCAGAATAATTCACATTCATAAAATGCCGTAAATTACATCTTCAACCGTTGTTCTTGGTGTCTTCTCCCCAGTCCTTCCTTTTTAGTCCAGGATATGCACCGGGATAGACCAGCACCAGAAATCCACTTTTTGTATAGCCTATGTGCATATTTCGACTGTATCGTGTTGTATCTTTCATGTCGTCATTATATGTATCTGTCTGCCAGGCCAGGGACTCGGTCTGGGCTCTCCTAGAATCCTCCATGTACGGAAAGATAGCAGTGAAAACCATTCGTTTGTTTTTGACGATTCCCTTCACCCCACACTGATCGACCTGGTAATACTGATCTTATGCCTTTTAGGAAGTTGAGGGGAGCAGATGGATGAATGTGGTGGATGTATCGGTTTCTTCTGCGAGTAACTGCTGCTCGTTCCAACAGTTGATTCGTCTAGGTGCCTGTAATGCGATAATTACCAGTCAGTCAGAGCTCTAAGATGCTGTAAGATGGATTGGGATGGCTTATTCTCGTCCATTTGCTCTGCATCATTGGCTATCGCTATCAGGCGATGCGGATGTTGAGGTCGTTCCGAAGTGGGTGGCTTGACTTTTGTCTCTGAAGTAATGGAAATCGAAATCAGCCCGAGTAGATCAATCAATTAGCAAACTATTTTTGTTGCGTTCATCTGTTGTAGTATGGAGAGAGGTTGTTGAGGGGAAAGTGTTTGAGTGGTTGGACTGTGTGGACGTAGTTGTTATAAATGCCTGCCGCTTCCAGTCTCTGTCGTCCCCCCAAACACTTCTCTCTTTCTTTCAACATCATCCATCAACATGTTCGCAGCACTGAGCTTTCTTGCCCTTGCCACCCTTGCTTCTTCTCATGGGGATAAGAAGCAGACCCCCATGGCAGGTCCCCATCAGGGATTGTGGTACAACACTCTCCCAGGAGATGGTGGCACCCAGGCAGATTCAGTCTTCTCTGGCATCTCAACATTTGGAAGACTACCTTATTTTCCTTGCTTATCCAGCGAGGCAGAGAAATTCGACATTGCCTTTTTAGGTTGGTAACCAGGACACTTCAACTACGTTTCAACTGCTCACAATATACCCCAGGAGCTCCATTTGATACCGGCACTTCTTACAGACCCGGTGCTAGATTTGGACCCAGCGGTATTAGACAGGGCTCTCGTCGTCTTAATCTATAGTATGTCGCATTATATTCTTACTCATACTTGAAACTTACATAATGATATAGCGGTGGCTACAATGTACCATTGCAGTCGAATCCGTTCACCAGCGATCTGAAAATCTTGGACTGCGGAGATGTTCCTGTGACCTCGTATGTTTTCTGGGATATATTTCGGTATAATGGGGTTCCTAATATGCAATAGATATGACAATGCCTGGGCAATCCAGCAAATCGAACAAGGACACAACAGCATCCTGATGCGCAAGCCTTTCACCGATGCCCACGAGCGCGGTCTCTCCAAAGCTGGCAAGACCCTTCCTCGAGTCATCACCATGGGAGGAGATCACACCATCACTCTGCCTTTGCTGCGCAGCATCAATAAGGCTTATGGGCCTGTGACTGTTGTTCACTTTGATAGCCACCTGTAGGCATTCCTTCTCTACACCAAGTTTAGAGCTAATCCGATCGTTTAGCGACTCTTGGAAACCAAAGGTTTTTGGAGGATCTCCTAGCGAAGTTGCTTCAGTCAACCACGGTACCTACTTCTACCACGCAGCAATGGAGGGTCTTCTGAGGAATGATACAAACATCCATGCTGGTATTCGTACTACGCTTTCCGGTCCTTCTGACTACGAGAATGATGGATATTGTGGATTTGAGATTGTGGAAGCGAGGGAAATTGATACCATCGGTATGAACTCGGCTATATTATTGGATTTGCGTATGGGAGAAACCAACATAACTAACTGTTACCAACAGGAATCGATGGCATTATCAAGAAGATCAGAGACAGAGTCGGCACCGAAAACCCTGTCTACCTGTCAATTGACATTGATACACTGGACCCAGCATGTGAGTATCTCTTCTATAGATTGTAGTTCACCGTTGACATTATGTCCTAGTCGCCCCCGGTACCGGTACACCAGAGACTGGAGGCTGGTCTACTCGTGAGTTGCGGACGATCATCCGCGGCCTTGATGGCCTGAACTTCATCGGTGCGGATATTGTCGAAGTCGCACCTGCTTATGACACTAATGCAGAGCTTTCTACCATGTAGGCTTTATATTCTTTCTACGCATCATGACCGTCTTTCGCTAATTAACCAATTCTGTCTCCAGGGCTGCTGCGGACGTTCTTTACGAGATCCTTACTATGATGGTCAAGATGGGACCATTGTCTATCCCTCGCTCTGAGTTGTAGGGTATATATAAGTCAGAGTCCATATAAAGGGGGGAAGTGAGATTCAAGCAAAGGAGATGTTAGATTATACAGGTGTTGAGGTGTGCAATTTGCTGTTGTCTGATAATATATAAAGTTAAATTTATTGTTGTCTCGAAGTATGTTATACTCTTTTATAGGGAGGGCTACAATACTGCTTTCTAAGGCTCTTTACATCGGTAGCGGTATCTCCGATTAAGACGATCAATCATCAAGACGTAGAACCCAAAATTATCTCCCCTAGCTAGTAACTAGATGCTTCATATATACATGTGGTCCTTGATACAAATCTATAAGGACTTGTTTATGACACTGATACCCATGAACGAAGCTAATAGAAGTAAAAGGACTAAGCAGTCTCAGTCACCCAACAGTCTAGGCGGGTTTGTAGACGCGTCGTACATAGCCTCAAGTATCAACCTAGCCCAACCGGCCACGAACACTGAAATCGAGCAAGAAAGAATAAGGAAGAAAAAAAGAAGCCAAAAAAGAAAAGCTCACCTCCTGAACCAGCCTACTGAAAGGTGGAGCTGCAGGGGGCTACAAAACCCTAATAGGGATTTACAACGAATGCGGCCTGAGCGAGACTCAACCAAGCTGGCCAAATGAATTGGTAAAGCCTCAGCCAGATTCGAACAAAGGTCTTCTGTGTTGCGCCCCGGATAGCTACAGAAGCTTACTTTCGCCACTCGGCCACAGTCACCCTGGGTTGGTTGGGAATTCCTGGAAGTGAATGATATGGGAAGGGGGATTTCCTAATTGGGAAAGGGTATGGTGGGACACGTGACGAGGGCATAGCATGAGTGCGGACAGTTCTAATCGCTGGTGAAAGTTGACGATGATACGTATATATCTGACTATGTCACAGGGACGCTCATCCTATACTGCAAGAAAGCAAGAACATCATCAATCTCATCCGGAACTTTGTACCAATGTCCAAAGCCTATATATTCTTTCCATGTCACATTCATATCCAATCGAGATAGAAGACTGGCCATCTTCTGTCCCAGCCTGACAGACACTTTGGGATCCGCAGCTCCATGGCCAAGAAACACTGGAATGTCGAGATGAGCAGCCGTGGATGGATTTGATTCGTCATCCTGTGGAGACAATTGTGGAAGGTCAAGGATATCACGAACGTGGTTTATGACTTGGAATGATGGGGACAGTCTGGTGTTACTGTCGCTGGAGCTGACATCATCTTCAAATGGGTTAAAATCGTCTTCATCTTGATCGTATGACGATTCAAAGACACCAGAGCCATCCTCTTCATCGCTGCTTTCAACTTCACCCTTGTCCTCGCCCTCGTCCTCGTCTGTATCCACGTTTGAATTTGTGTCATCCCCCAGACCAACCCGCTGCATACTCCCTTCCAAACCATCCAAAGAATCCCTCACCTTGCCATCAGAAGCTGTCCTCAAAATATCACCCAGCTCCGCCTCAAAAGGAAGCCACCCACTCATCCCAAAAAACGCCCCCAGCTTCTCACACCCACTATCCCCAAATGCTCCACCAAGAAGAGCAAACACTCCCGCTGCACATCCCTGACTCAATCCCCCAAGGACGATCCTCTGATATCCATCTCCATTCTCTCCCAAAACTCGCGCCTCCTGCACAATAAGGGTCCTAAGAAACGCAGCCGTCTCACACAGCCCCTCAACCTGAAGGTTCGTTCTTTGACCAGGGTCTTCCAATGAATAGTTATCGAACCATTGGTTGATAGGGACCCGTTTGAGAATCGTCGATCGTCGTCGTCGAGCGGTGGGAAAGATGAATTTCACCGTTGGTAGTTGGGCGGGCAGGTTGGCTGATTGGAGAAGTTCGTGGCCGAATCGTGTAGCGTTGCTGCCTCGCCCGTGGAGAATGATAAAGGTATGAGTGTGCTCTGTTGCTATGGGTTCGATTGTCAAAGGGGTGGGATATGGCTTGGACATGGTTGATATGAGTCAATTTGAAGATATGAAAGAAAGACAAGGAAAATCAGATGGTTTTTAGTAATAATTGGTTTTGTCTGCTCCATCATGTGATGACACAGCCTTGCTGTTAGTTCTAGCTCGTTGTCACTTCTTTGTGTCTTATTGTCATAGTCCTTCTTTTTCTCCCATTGTAAAGTGACATAAAGAAACAACAAAAAACCCAGTCAGGAGAAATGGGCCATCAGACTGTTATTATTGTCAAGTTCCATCAGTTCTTCTAGTTGAAAGGCATATAGAACTTCCTGACACTCATTATATATACCTGCAACACCTTCAATGAAAGGACAAACCGGTATCTGCCGTATAAATCAAGAATCACCCTAGGAGATCGCAGACTCACCAGAAAACATATAAATACGCGAGAAAAGCACTAAAGACTGTTCTATCTATATTTACATCTACAAACAGTCTAGACAACCCCAAACAAATACTACAACCCATCTCTACGACCAAACTAAATCATAAACCATGTCAACTCTAGATCTCTATATCGGCTTCGGATACCGTCGAGGCAACGAACCATTGAATTGGATGCTCATCCTCGCATCTCCCCACTCAGAGAGATGTACGTGGTATTATATCAGCGGTCCAATCCAACAACGCCAATACACCCTTCAGGTTCAAAATAACAGAAAACTCAGCAGTTTGGCTATTTCCGACAAGGAGAAAGTCGGTTGTATCACTGCCGGTGATGCTGGAAAGGTCATGGCTGCCGCTCGAGATGTGCCGGTGCAAATGTCCCAAGTGTGGGTGACGGAGGTTTTGGGTAAGTTGGAGAATAAGGGTCTTGTGTCACCGGGGACTTGGGCTTATGCTGAAGGGCAGATCGAGTATTCCTGTTGTGGGAATGGGTTTCCTTGAATTCGAATTTATATTGTATGAGGTCACTCCTTGTTATATCGGTTTGTAGTATTCTCCAGCTCTTTTGCACATTCTTCCAGAACATTATACCTATTCTGTGTCAATTTTGATTCTATAAAATCTTTTGGAAGTCACATACCCAGCATCATGTGCAAGACGAGTCCCAAATGTATTCGGAACTAGAGTAGCCATGATTAGCATTCATCTCACTTGATAAGACACGAGAGAAGGAAGAACGTGGATAATCACCAGACATATCGGGCTCCATATATTGCCGCAGTTTACCTTCCACCTCCTTCTCCTTTCCTACCCTAACTTGCGATAAAATCTGTACTCTCGAGGCTCTTTTAATCCTCACCATTTCGAAAATGGAAAGTCTCGTAGGAAGTTCCTTCTTGCTAGTCATTTCTTTGAAAAGAACCCCCATCGCGCCTGCATCTTCAATTGCTTGGTTGGCTCCTTGTCCACCGAAAGGGAGCATCTAGCAGTTTCAGCTCATGCTAGAAAACAACGGATGAAGGACGATCCAGTACTTACGGCATGAGCAGCATCGCCAATTAGCAAGACCTTGTTGAAAACCCAACTTTCTAGTGGTTCATGGATCACCAAAGGCCAGCATTTCACATCATCCGCGAGTCTAGTCCGTCAGTTCGATGTCTATCTTCCTTGGATTAGGGTTAACCAACTTGATCATCTCATTTACTATTGGATTGAAGTGACCAAACTCCTCGATCATTTCCGACTTGAAGTCTGATGCAATATAATAGTTAGCTTACGAACGCAACTGCAAAGAGGTAGCTTACCGATGGTGCCTGATTCACTAGGATGATTCCGTGTAGGATGTATACCAACAAAATTCTGCACATCGCCTCTACCATATAGATCAGTAAACGTTGATACCAATCTATCTTCTTACATACCCCCGACATTTATACCAAACCATATGTCGCTCCTCCATGATATTCTTGGTACCCACAAGCAACGTAGAACCATCATTCTTCTGCCGGAGCACTCTTTCGAGATTGGGGCTCTTCCGAAACGCCTCGGAAGGAATAAGAAACCGAAAAGCACTCATTCCCGTGGAGATCGGGTCTGTTGACCGTGGGACTACAGACTGTCGAACAGTGGAGTTTATCCCATCCGCACCGATTATTAGATCTGCTTGATGAATCGAGTCATCTTCAAGAAATACACAGCCTTTCTTAGCGTCAACCGCACGCACAGAAGAGCCATAGTGAATCTTCACCGGGTGATGGCCATAGTGCTCTGCAGTATCCTCATCCAAGGCCAGCTTTAGCAGTTCCTTATGCAGATCCACGCGGTGGATGGTCCAAAATTGAGCACCAGCTAGATTCCCGATGTCGTCCAGATTCTGACTAGCAATGCGGTCGAGACTGAGCCCATCAACTACCGCCCAGAGCTCTAATCGACATGCTCGGGCTCGCTCAAAGTCGAAGCCAATATCCTCCAGGACGTGAACGCCATTTGGTGCGAGTGCAACTGCAGCTCCTATTTCGGTTTTGAAGTGGGACTTTTCGAATATCTATCACGTTGCAGGGATATATTAGTTAGTATTGGGCTTTTTGAATTGGGCTAAGGTGGATATTAAATGCAGCCCAGTAGATACATATGACAAGTGCTGTGCAGACTCGTACGTGAACTTACCTGCACAACGTGTCCAGCTCGTCGAAGGGCAATAGCAGAGCAGAGACCGGCGATTCCCGCGCCGACGATAATGATTCTGAGGGTCATTTCATCTGCTATATCGATCGTGGCCGAGTGATATCGTCAAGGGTATACGAGGAATCGACTCTTGTGTGACATGATCACATGTCCAGAGTTGACCGCCAGTTAAACTGCATTTACCCCTCTTTCTGCATGGCATGCTGACAGTAAGGAATCCATTGGTAGACAGATTTCGGAAAGCCATGTTGAATCCGCGTTGAGAGGTTGAGCTCATGCCACCTGCCTGATTGGTACGGTAGCAAGCCTTAATTCTGAGGCAGACAAGTCTACTGTTTGATACCACTTGCGCTCTTTTTTCTTCGCTCTCGACAAGCCGTTCCCAAACCAGTTCAATTTCTGTCTAAACAGCTACGTTGTCACTAGCTTGGAAACATTCTCCTCATATCAGTGAAGATGCGAACCCATTAATTCTATAGATATGTATCGAATGCCTCGTCTACTGCAAACTTCCTACATCAGTCTAGACGAATCGAATCCAGATGGAACACCTGGGAGGACACTATTGATGGATTGATGTCTATAAAGGACATACACTACTATACAACAGCCACAGGATATGACTGTCTGGATACCTCTTTGAGCGATAAAGGATATCCCTCTACTCTTGCAGCCGGTGTCACCAACCAACAGAGCGACAACAGTCACCACCAGATTTCCGCGGAAAAGGAACAAAGAGAAATATTTGTTTTTTGTTTGAAACCTAACAGACTAGTTTTGTCTAGGGATACTCAATATTGAATGTCTTATCCCTTGTCTATGAATCCAGCTAAGTCCGAATACAGAACAAAGAAAGACGACAAAAAAGGCACCCTTGTCTTACATGTCACATCGCCATCAAACAGTCAATAACTGTCAAATTCTGTACTCATCACATTTCCAGCACATCACCTCCCTTAACACGGGCTAGAACGTTGATATATATGTTTTAATCTTGGTCCTGTGCCCCTTGCATAAGCCGACGAAGATAAACGGAGATCATTGAGGTTTGTCTGTTTGCCTCTAGATTGACTTTAACTGCCATCACACGTTTTACTTGTTCTGTATAGACTTTCGGGGAATGCGGGTCTGATGCAGTTGACCTGTCGTGGCTGCATACATGTCAAAGAATGTGCTGAATTGACTTTTGCTTGGTCATTTTTTGTTGTCATTGTTTGTTCCTCTAGGGTGTGTTAATTTGTCAACTGACTGTCTATCTTTTGCTAGGTGGTGTCTAAATTGGTCTGTGGAACTGTAACCACTGGCTTGGTTTGTCTTACATTAGTCGGTTGCACAAATCATTCTCTTAGATGGGATGATTGAAGACAGTGTATAGCAGAGAAAAATTCAGGAATACCGGAGTATACTATGCTTAACATCATTGCTCATAAGCAGCCTCATCACAGTATATAAGCAGGACAATCTTAGTTGAAATGAAGCTCTGAGTAAGCTGCTTAGCGATACATTGAGAGCTCTATCTTGAATTGACTAAATCACCTACAATAAATCCCCATTGAACCAGGGAGACATCGTGACCTTTCCATTCCGCGGCACCCTAGACGGAACAGAAGATCCAGAAATCTTCCTCGACGATGTCGCAGCACAGGCCCGATTCATGTTCCCCGCTGTGTCTATAGATAATTTTATGAAACATGTAATGCTGAGTGTATTCCACAGAAACCTAGCCGGCCGCGCAAAACTCTGGTATCCCTACCTGGACTATGACACCAAACGCGACTGGGACAAAACCGCCACCAAGTTCAAGGCCCACTTCAACATCAACGACCACGACATCAGCGATGACGAAAAGCGGGAGATGGTTAGGTGTGATCTCCGGAGTCTCATGCAGGGAGAAAATGAGTCGATTGGGGCTTATCTAGAGCGATGTGAGGATCTGCGTGTTCGCGCCAATTGGCTCCTGGGCGATGATGAGAAGGGTGAATTCGAGGTGGGGGTGATTAATGGGATGAGAAGTTTGAGCATCAAAGCGAAAATATTGTCTGCGACGGGGGAAAGTGATGGGCTGGGAGGTTTTCGGCGGGTGAAGAAGGTGGTGAGGGCGTTGCGGTATTCTTAGATGTGGATGGCTTCAGCTTTGATGGTGTCGTTGGCGTAGACAGCAACGAGAACACAGCATGATATCACTCGAATCGAAACGACAAATACCTCTCCCCAAGGTAACCATAGCATTGAGTAGATAGTAGACACTATGTTGTCAGTATGCACGGTCAATCCAACCAAGAGTCCAAGACAGACAGTGGAACCGGACTCTAAACACCAGATCGAAACTAGACGAGCGACTCCATTCTGATTATGCAGAAAATACTCCGTCCCCGGCTGTCAAGGTGGCAAAATATCATATTTCCTCATAGTGGAGATGGATCTAGAACCTCTGTTAGTTTAGCTGACAGATGGGTCTGCTCGGCTGCTGTCTTACTGTCCGGCCGTCATTCTTGCTAGGCCCATCCTCTGGTTAAATTGGTGAAACGCCCAGGTTAGAACTACGGCTTTGGTCCTGTGATGGTTCTTACCGGGTTTGACAGTTTTCTTGTTGCTTTGTGGCAGATGAACGGTTTTTGGGGTTTAATGAGAGGGATGGTTGGACTCCACTCGATGAGAGATCGAAATATGCAGTCTGTGATTGTGATGTGCTATGTAAAGACACAGTCAGAAATCTGTCACAAGTCACAATATCTATCGCCAATCACGTATTCTCTTATGACTGTCTGTTCTTTAAATGAATCTCATTAGTGGATGAATGTAAAGCGTCAGAATTACTGTGGGATTCGCAGTCAATCATTGCCGTACTGGCTGTCGACCAGATGCCGTACATGTTGAAGATCGCCGTCATTTTCGTGGCCCGTATTTGCGCGGAGTACCACAAATGATGGGGATTACTTCGGTTTACTCTGTCCTGCGAAAGAAGTAAGAACAGTAAATGATGATAAGATGCACTCCATCTGTACTCCATAGGTGGCTCGTGGGAACATGCGAGAGTCTGTCTGGATGCCGCGTGGACAGACGGCGCGCCGTGCCTGAGCAGTGGATCCAATTGCTCTCGATGAGCTGAGGGTGGAGAGCAGTGGTCCTGAAACAAGTTCTCAATCTAATAGTAGGTTTGATTTCGCAGTTTGCACGGCAGTTGCAAAAGACGAACGGTGAATTACATAAATCCTGGAATTATTATGATGGATCTTATCGGGTCTGTGTCTGGTGGATGTTTGTGGCCTCCAACGGTTTTTTGAGATTAGGTCGTTTCAGGTGAAGCTTAAACTCCTCCTGTACAGCCCAGGGTCTATTCCCTGAACAGTACAATTGATGTAGTTCGCAATCATACTTGTCGAAATACCATGTCGACTGGATTCGTATTCGTAGTTTATTCCCTAGTTGTACAGTCCATAGAAGGATTCATCAAGCATATTGATAGTGGGGCACCATCCCTAAATCTTGGATAAGCAACTTGGACCGAGGCAGGAGATGAATATCCTCTCTTCCACCGCTGTTTGCCCAGGCTCAAATAATCGACAAGCTAGGATATCACTATCTTTCTCTAGCGATCAAAAAGTCGAGGCTAGCTCTGCTGCTCTGGAGGATGGGGGAAGGAGAAATTGCCCCTTTCGCTCGTTGGCCCGAATTTGGCTCGATCGGGTAGAGCAGGCGAAGCGATCGACATTGACCAACCGACGGACGGAGTTTCTCCAGAAGACAACGAGATAAAATCACCGCAAGGGCAGAGTTCGAGGCATAACTAGTTGTGCAATTCGAACATCGCAGGGCACAGGGGTAATCAAACGAAGTGGACTGTGGAGAGGAGGTGGATGGAATCACATCCATGACCCATGTCGAACTGGTGCATGTTCTCTCCTTTCCAATCTTCTGGCTCACGTTCAGAGTGGTCCTCGGAGGTTTTATCTTTCTTTTTTTTTTTTTTTCCCTCCTCATGGTTCTTCTCACCGCAAAGTTGATCTAGTTTGTTTGACAATGTCTGTTGGCAATACTATTGAAGAATAATGGCATTATCCTTCCATAGCATCAAAATCGAGTCCTTCTTATTTGCACACCGCTCCAGCGACTAAAGCACTAGGGGATCCGCCCCAAACTGTCATCCATCGCGACTGGCGAGAAGGCCAGACAGCCATGGGAGCTCCACTTGACAGCCGTGAGCCGTCCAGGTCACCGTTTGTTGAGCTTCAAGATGTCTCATTCGACCATCAAACAATTATCCATCACAATCTGAGCTTTTCGTACTCTATTATAGAGTGACCTGTATGCGGTCAGCGTGGGTTGGGATAGATGCCGATGTGGTCAAAAGGGTGTTGTGTAACGCCGGGGGATGGTATGGAATAGCTGCGAGGATCATATTTCGATATTTGACTACCTAGTACATACCTGTACCACACGATCATTCTGTTATTTATTATCATTTCAAAGACAGCAAGATCCGGGTCGGTCAAGGATTCGATGCCCACTGCAAGTCATTAATCAAGTCAATCAGCCCATCGTCCGAATTCTCCGACTGTTCCTGGCAACGACGAAGACATCCACGGCATCCACCGTTGGTTCCTGGATTCGACCGTGGAACAAGCCAAGGTTCCGTGCGGGATGCCGTTTGTGAATAATTGAAGAGTGTTTGTATATAAACTGTTAATTAGTATTCATAGTTCAGACGAGAGGATCAGTCTGATAATATTAATATTAATTTCCTGCGTTTGACGATGCCGCGTTGCCTGTCTGGGCCTAGAGTGTGCTGGCTTCCCCTGGCGTCGTCTGTATGTATCGTCCAGCAGCCATGATTATTGCTTCAATTATTCTCTTGTAGGGATGGACAGACAAAGAGAAGGATCAAAGGTACTTGCTAATATTAAATGCACCTGTCAACTTGTCAAGTGGTGAAGAACAATGGCCACATCTTCAGCCTCTCCCCAGTCCCCTCTCTGTCTACTATCTGGCTGGCTGTTTGATCGTCCACTTGTTCTTTTTCTTTTCTTTTCTTTTTATATTTATAATAATATTAATATTAATTGAAGGCAGGAGGAATGAAATTATCAATTACTATTCTTATAAAGCTGTTCATAAATAATAGCAAAATTAACGATCTTCTTCCCCTCCCTTTTCCTTTATCCACCCATTCTTTCGATCGAATAGCCTTTGGGGAGCATTAATTAGAATTAGCATCAGCATTAATTCATTTAGGAGTCTAGCTTCTCCCCAGACCTGTCACGGACTTTCTGTCTCTCTCTCTCTTTCTTTTCTTGCGTTCGCTCTTCACCTTTGTTTGCGGTGGTTGTCACCTTGCTTTCTTTTCTTTTTCTTCTTCGTCCTTTTCTTCTTCTATTTGCTTTTCTGCTCTTCCCGTTTCCCTGGGTCTTCGTTGCTGTGGAGGGGGCCCTTTACTTTGCCTGCCCGAGGTTCCTCTTAATCTTATAATCTCTCCTCTTCTAGTACGTGCCGTGATTTCCTCCTATTCTTCTTTTCTTTCTCTTCAACCACCTCCGCTCTTTCTTCTTTCAGGGACCCTCTGTTAACACGCCGACTTGCCGCAGGACGTCAACTCGCGCGACTTATCCCCTCACCTCGCAGTCCCTGATTAGGAAAAAAGAAAGAAAAAAAAAAAAAAAGAGAAAAAAGGAAAAATAGAAAAGTGCCTATCTATCGATCGAACGAATCATTTCACGACTGATGACTATCCTCCTACTCGTCATTCCTTGATAAACAATCGCCATTTCCGATCTTCCTTTGATACTCTGTCTTTCCTTCAAAAGATCAGGGTCGACTTGCGATCCCCTCAATTATTAAGGGGTCATGACGGTTTCGCCGCCGGCGTCACCTACGGGCGCACCCCAGCGACCCATCAGCGCCATTATGCGAACCCCACGAAGTAACAGTCGCCTGAGCATGAGCAGTAAACATGGTGGAGGAAGTCGAGCTTCGGATGAGGATGCCAAAACTGCAGTCAAAGTCGGTGCGTTTATACAAGTTCCCCATACTATATTCCAGTCTTTCGTTTGTTCCTGCGCGGGAGGCCTGCTGTGCGATAGCCGGAAACTCTCCCAGAAGACAATTGATTACAGTTTGGTTGTTTGTGTTCGGTTACTGACACCGCGTTGCAGCGGTCCGTGTCAGACCACCTTTAAAACCCACCGATCCAGGATACGAATTGATTCCGCAACGCTTCCAACGTTCTATGGTCCACGTCACGGCACCGACCAGTCTCGCAGTCGATGTGCCACAAGGCCGCAAGCTGTTTGTCTTTGATCGGGTTTTCCCTGAAACTGTGGATCAAGAAGGCGTCTGGGATTACCTCAATGACAGTGTCAACTCCTTCCTGCAGGGCTACAATGTCTCCATTCTGGCCTATGGCCAGTCCGGCGCGGGCAAATCATACACTATGGGAACTTCGGGGCCCAACGAACAGAATGATAACAGCAACATGGGTTGGTTCTCCTGTGTGTGTTCTTTATACTCATGGAATCATGGCTAACGTTAGGATAATTGGAATAATAGGAATCATCCCACGCGCCGCACAGCTTCTGTTCGAACAACTTGATGGTCCCGCGAAACATAACCGCAATGGCTCGACCGGCCTTCGGACTCCAGCGCGATATTCTATGAGCTCGACCTCTAGTCTGAACAGAGGAAGCATCGATAAGAGCTGGCAGATGAAGGCTACCTATGTCGAGATTTACAACGAACAATTGCGAGATCTCCTACTACCGGATTCGACACCCCTCGGCGATCGCAGCACAGTCACAATCCGCGAGGATGCAAAAGGCCGCATCATCCTCACTGGCCTGCACCAGGTCAACATTAACTCCTTCGAGGACTTGATCGGTGCTTTGAATTTTGGTTCCTCGATTCGACAGACCGATTCCACCGCCATTAACGCCAAATCCTCTCGATCGCATGCAGTATTCAGTCTGAACCTCGTTCAACACAAACCAGCCAACGCGACCCCTCTTAAGGACAAGCGGATGTCCATGCCTGCTGAGATTGGTTCGGATCAGTCCATGACTGTCGACAGCAAGCTCCACTTCGTCGATTTAGCTGGAAGTGAAAGGCTTAAGAATACCGGAGCATCGGGAGAACGCGCACGGGAGGGTATTTCCATCAACGCTGGCCTGGCTGCCTTGGGCAAGGTCATCTCCCAGCTTTCTTCTCGCCAAGCAGGCTCGCACGTCTCTTACCGCGATTCCAAACTCACCCGACTCCTCCAGGATTCGCTCGGAGGAAATGCTTACACATACATGATCGCCTGTGTTACCCCGGCCGAATTTCATCTGAGCGAGACTTTGAATACGGTCCAATACGCGCAGCGAGCCCGGGCAATCCAGAGCAAGCCTCGCATTCAGCAAGTGGCCGACGAGAGCGACAAACATGCGGTAATCGACCGACTCAAGGCTGAGGTGGCTTTCCTGAGACAGCAGCTTCGGAATGCTGAAGACAGTGACCGTCGAAATGCCGTACCACAAGAGCGAGCCGAGCGTCAGAACGAAAGGGAAAATGAACTCCAAAACCAGCTTCTTGACTTCCAAGAAAGCTACAATGCCCTCAGCCAACGTCACGCAAAGCTCGTTTCAGAACTTGCCAGGGATTCCGAACAACCAAATGGCAGTGCTGATGATGCTGCCTCCACAGTTGGCAAGAGCTCTGTTGAAAGACTCAAGCGGTCGCATTCCTTTGCCGAGTCCGTCGAACAGGTAGTACTCGAATACGAGAAGACTATCCAGAGTCTCGAGTCTTCCCTTTCGAACACCCGGTCATCCTTGTCTGTGACTGAAAGCACCCTCCTGGAACGTGAAACCAAGTGCGCCTACGTCGAGACTGTCAATGCGCAGATGCAGTCACGTATTCAGAAACTGTTAGATCGAGAAGCTAGTACAGAGTCATATCTTCATGATCTGGAATCTAGGATCGACGGGCAATCCTCTGGCGAAGAGAAACATGCCGCTATTATTTCCGAGCTACGCAAGGAGCTCAACCGCGCCCGCGAGAGTGAAGCTGGCTGTGAAGACTACATTTCGACATTGGAAGAGCGTCTCGCCGAGGCCGATCAAGATATGGAGCTCATGCAGCGAGAAGTGAACCGCTTGGAGCATGTCGTTGAGCGCCAAAGAAGCCTTGGCAAGTTGGACAACCTTCTCTATGATCTTGACCAAGTCCAGCAGAATGGAACCAAGCAGAGCGACAAGCATGATGAATTCGAACAGCCCGTACCAATTCAGAGTGCTTCCAACCATCGAAAGAGAGCCATGTCTCTTGGTGTCTTGACCGAGGCTGTCGAGACTGCGATTCCCGAATCTGACGAAGACCTCGCCGAAGCGGCTCCAGTCGAGGGCGAAACACTTGAATCAGAACTGGATCACCAGGCAGGCTCCGACCTGGAAGTTCTGGAGAAGGTCACTAGCCAGCTTTCGCCCCAGCGTACTGAGTTCAGCCCCGAAAATTCCGCTCAGTCTAAATTCGTTGCGGATAAGCTCGACACTGTATCCCAGGAACTCTTCGATTTGCGGATGCAGCACGAGGCTACCGTGAACGATTACGAGTCTCTCGGAGCCAAGTACGAAGAGGCTCTAAAGGCTTTAGCCGAGCTGCGACAGGACGCTGCGGATGAAGCCCGCCACCCTGCCCCCGAAGTTGAACAACTTGCGTCGCCTGCCCCTACTTCTCGTCCTGTTTCTTTTTTAGGCGATGCGAAGGGGGTCGACGCCAAGACTGGCGCACAACCCTCATTCTCGCAATCACTCTCTTCGGAATTATCCTTGGCCGGGGAGTCTGCTACTTCGCCCGTAGTTTCTAATGGCATTTCCGAACCAAAGGTGCCCGAGGGTGAAGAAGCTGGAACTCAAGAAATCGAAAACATGCGCAAGCTTCTTACAGAGCACCAGGAAGGTGTTGCCATCATGACCCAGAGATACGCCGAGTTGCAATCCGAGCACGAAGATACTCTTGGACTGATAGAATCTCTCAAAGCAGAGCTCCAGACTTCCAAGTCCAGCCCGTCGCCTACTACCCCCAACTTCAAATCTCAGGTCATCCGAAGGAAGACTAGCCAAAGCCTGATGTCCAGCGTGGATCGTGCCCATCGCTCAATCGCTGCTATCAGGAATATCGCAGTCGAGCAATTTGCAGAGAGCCCTGACACGATGCAGAACCTTGAAGTCCACCTCGATTCCGCCATGCATGAGCTTCACAGTCGTATGGAACGCATCCAGTCATTGGAGGCCGAGAACCAGAGCGTCAAGAAGGAGATGGAGATGAAATCAACCATCATTTCCGGCCTCACAAGGGAAAGATCCAGTTTGCAAGGAGGAGCACCGTCAGTGGACATCGGCCTTGTGTCTCAATTACGTGACCAGGTTGTTCAACAAGAAAATATGATGAATGACTTGAAGGAGTCGCACGATGCTAGAGAGCAGGTGCTGCTTTCTGAAATCGAGTCTCTGACTGGCCTTCTCAAGACCCAAGAGGCAGCTGCGCAGGCAAATGACGTGAGCTCCGATGAGCAGGAGAAGAGGATTGGGGCTCTCGAGGGCGAACTGAGCGAGTGGAAGGGCAAGCACCAGACTGCCATTGATTCTCTGCAGTCCTCTGAGGATCAACTTAACTCGACCCTCGCCGAGCTGGATGGTGCCTTGGCTTCTGTAGATGCCACACGCTATAAGCTCACTCCTTCGGGTCAGACCTACGGCGACAGAGAGGCTGCTTCAAGAAAGCTTGAAGCCGACCTCGTCAAGCAACATGAGCTTGTCGAGAATCTGATGCAAAACATCGAGGAGCACAAAGCGACAATTGCATCTCAGCTCGAGAAAATCAGCTCTCTCGAACAATCGCACATTGCAGCTCAAGAACAAGTCTCGACAGAGGCTGGCAATGCCAGTGAGTCTGTTTCGGGGCTTGAAAAAGAAATTGAATCCCACAAGTCTCTTGTTGAGTCTCACAAGAAGGACCTGGAGTCCCTGCAAGAGTCTCACAAGCGAGAGCTTGTCGAACTGGAGTCGCGTACTGCAGCTGCAGCGCAGGCTGAGTACGAAGCACGACTCGCAGAGAGAAACGCTGAACATGATAAGGCCATGGAGACTTTGAGATCCGAAATCGTGGAGTCACGAGAAGAGCTGGTGAAGTTGCTCAAGATGGTTTCCGGACTCCTCAACTCGGATGTCACTGCGGACAACCTCGCTGAACAGCTTCAGGATATCTTGACGCAGAAGCAACACTTCTCTGACAAGTATGCCGAGATGATGGATACGAATGAAGACCTTCGCAAGAAACTGGAGCTCAGCGGTGGTGACAACAGCGCGTTGGAGGAGCTCAACCAGAAGAACACTGCCCATGCCGAGAAGGTTAGTGAGCTTGCTCTCTTGGTTGCCACTATGGAAGACACCGTGCGCTCCAAGGACGATCAGATCAAGAAGAAGGAAGCTCTGGTGGAGGAGATCACCGCTGAGAAAGACAAGAGCTTGCGTTTGGTTGAGGAGCTTGAGGACCAAATCACCAACAGCTTCGACCAGCACCACAACCGTCTTTCTGTCATCCAGCAAGAGCGTGATCAGGCCTTGGAAGATGCCAAGGCTAAAATTGCCACTTATGAGGATGATATCGAAACCTACCATATGCGCATCGAGCAACTCGAGGTAATCTCCTCCTTAGATCCCTATAATGACCCCCGACTAATCGACCTGCAGCTTCAAATCAAGAACAGTGGAGGCCAAGATTCTTCGCACGACCGCAGCAGCTCTCTCACATCCAACCTACGCAAGAGCTCCTCTGCGACTTCTCTCCCCTCTCCACCTCCCGCTATTCCCCTTCCACCACTCCCCAGCATTGCTTCTGCAACCAACGGCAACTCTGGCAGTATTTCTCCCCCAAGCTCTCGGCATACTAGCAAGGAGCTGGTCAACGCCCAGATTGTCGAGGATCAGGAGGCTCGTATTCGCACCATAGAGAAGCATCTCTATGCCGAGAAGCAGCTCACTGCTACTCTGGAAGAAGCTCTCGGAGACCTTGAGGCGCAGAGCAACAAGGTCAAATCCGACTGCGAGGCTTGGAAGAAGAAGGCCTGGCAATTGGAAGACGAGCTCGGCACACTCCGCAAGGAACGCAACTCCCAGCGTCTCTCGCTTCAAGCTGTCGAGGAAGAACGAAGCGCCCGTCGCGAGGCCGAAGCTGCCAGAGCCCAACTGGAAGAGCGGATGAATGCGCTCAACAAGAAAAAGAAGAAGAGCACACTCAACTGTTTCTAAAAAGCATTTGTGCTTACCAAAGAGTTTTCGTCTGATTTTCTTTTCTCTTTTCTTTGTGTTTTTTTATCATGCTTTTTGACATTGTTTTTGACACCCCCTTCCATGAAGATGAAGTTGCAGCCCTTTTCTGTATTATGAGTTCAACGTCGATTCCCCTTACTTTCTCGATTAGTTGATACCTTTACGCTTCTCTGTGTATTTCACACCTTTTTGTTAACACTTTTTTGATGCCCTGTCACCCTTTCGATTCTACTCATGAGCCCTCAGCTCCTTTCATGATTTCTACTTTACGACATATTTGTGATGGATTATAGCTTTGGCTGGAACCTTCACTGTACATTTTACTTCAACGTTTTACTGTGCTTACGTCTCTATATCTTCGATGTTGTCTTCTTTTAAACATTTTTGATTTGCAGATGTATGCCATAGCTTTTTCTTCTATGACTTTTCCCTATCTTTTCTTTTGCAGATTTGCGGTTACCCCATTGTCTTTGCAGTCGTTAAATCGTATACATGTACAGAGAATTGTAGATACCATCCATCTGTTTGTTGGAAGATTTAATACAGTATATTCTGACTTAATTATTTCTTAACTCCCTTCCAACATGTAGTCGTACTAGTAAGTGAAACAATCAACTGCCTTGTCATCACATGACGTAGCGATTCCGCCGCGTGTCCTTGACCTTCAAACGCAATTCCCCCTCCCAATCTCCGAAGAAATGAGCCAATTCTCTCTTCCAGACTCAATTGCCGGAAAATCCCACCCGAGACCGCCATGACGGGCCTCAAACGCTCCAACGTGATCATCATCCACCCGGACCTGGGCATAGGAGGCGCGGAGCGGCTCATCATCGACGTGGCGCTTGCGCTCCAGAACCGAGGCCACCGTGTGACGATCTACACCTCCCACCGCGATAAGTCGCATTGTTTCGAGGAAGCGCGCGATGGCACTCTCGATGTCCGTGTGCGCGGGAATACCGTATTGCCCGCGCACATCTGTGGACGTCTGCATGTCCTCATGGCGGCGCTGAGACAGCTCCATCTTACCGTGTCTGTGCTGCAAGAGCTGGGCTCGAACAACGACACCACGACCGACTCGTCAAACCCCGAAGACGACATTTTCATCGTTGACCAGCTCCCTGCTTGTGTGCCTGTGCTGAAATGTCTGGGCCAGCAGTTTGCGCAGACCCGCCAGCGGATTCTGTTCTACTGCCACTTTCCGGATCAATTGCTTGCGCGACGGGATGAGGGGAGCTCGGTTTTGAGGCTTGCGAAGGTCCTTTATAGGTGTCCGTTTGATTGGTATGAGGGGTGGGCTGTGAGTGCGTCGGACAAGGTGGTTGCCAATTCGAACTTTACGCGCGGGGTTGTGAGTGATGTCTTTGGGTTGGGGAAGTTTGGGGATGTGCGGGTTATCTATCCGTGTGTTGATACAAATGGTGGAAATGAGAAAGCCATTGAAGGGGAGGAGAAGCTTTGGGGTGGGAAGAAGATATTGCTGAGTATTAATCGGTTTGAGAGGAAGAAGGATATGGCTCTTGCGATACGGGCGTATCATGGACTTGGTGCGGAGAAGAGAAAAGGGACTCGGCTGGTAATTGCTGGTAAGGCGTCTTCTTTTTATTATTGCTGTTGCGTTGGCGGATATCTGACTTGTGCTTTCTACAGGCGGTTACGACAACCGGGTCCAGGAGAATGTCCAGTATCACAAGGAACTCGACGAGCTGGCAACTAGTCTGGGATTGCAGACAGCTACATCGAAGACCGTCGTCTCTGCGCTCTCCATCCCCGACTCAATAGATGTGCTCTTCCTACTTTCCGTCCCAACCGCTTTCAGAGATATCCTCCTTTCGCAATCCAAACTGCTCCTCTACACCCCCATCAACGAACACTTTGGCATTGTCCCCGTGGAAGCCATGCATGCCGGTATCCCGGTTCTGGCTTCGAACACTGGTGGGCCATTGGAGACCATTGTCGAGGGCGAAACGGGCTGGCTCCGGGACGCAAAGGTGGACGCCGATTGGACCGCCGTTATGGACAAGGTCCTGTACGGGATGGACCAGAAGGACGCCGAGCGCATGTCAGTCGCAGGCAAAAACCGAGTCGAGGAGGAATTCTCTCTGACCGCTATGGGTGACCGGCTTGAGAGGGAGATTGGGGACATGCTCAGCTCCGAGAGACGGCCATTCAATGGATCGCAGCCGCTGCTTATCGCCCTGGCGCTGTCTGGTTTTGTGCTATCTGTGCTTGCCATACTGATTTTGAAGACTCTTTAAATTTCTTTACATAGATCAATACCCCCTTTTTATTCTGTTGATACAATATCATTCCATTCTTCTTTCCTTATCAAGGCAAATCTATGTAACACGTGATCTCGCGCCTGCCGACGCGGTGACGTCGCGTCCACCAACGATCATCTCCGCCAAAAGTCCACGCCAGCACCAAACCAAAGACAGGAATTGCATCGCCATCATCGCGGAAATGCCAGAGGTCATTGACCTTCTCTCCTCTACTCCGCCGCCCCGAGAGGACCGACCCCGACAACCACCTGTGCCAACAAAGCCAGCAGCGCCCTCAAACCCGCCCCTCCCCGCAACTTCTTTCTTGTCCGACGATAGTATCGATGTCTCACTATTCAACTACGACGATCTCGACAACCCTACGAACAAAAGACGACGAGTAAGCGAAGAACCCCAATCGCGGCACGAAACAACTACACGGGTAGTATCCAAACAGTCATGTTTCCAATTCTCAGACGAAGATTTCGGCCTTCCGCCGCCTCCCCCTCCTCCCGGTCCTTCTGAGCCGAAGCCCTCAACTTCAGCATGGGACGTGCTGGAATCAGATCCTATTGTCTTCACTTCCTCTGCTCCGGAGCCTGCTGGCAGGCCTCCTGTGATTCGGAAGTCGAATTTCACCCAAACGAATACTATTACGATCGATGATGATGATTTTGATTTTGACGATTACAACGATGACAACGACGGTAATGGTAAAAAGAGTGCGGGTGGTGCTGTTGCGCGTAGAGTTGAGCGTGATGAGATTGAGGAATTCAGCGATCAGATTCCGCTGCCTGATTTGAATGAGTTGATTGCTCTCGAGGAGAGTACGAAATCCACCGCAAATCCGCTTTACTCCAATAGGACAGCGAGTTTGTTGGCGAGTCTCGAAGAACGTCCGAAGGCTGGTCGTGGTGGAAAGGTAGCTTCGAAGCCAGTGGGTCGTCCGCGAAAGGACAAGGACATTGATGATGAATTGTCGGACGATTTGGTCGAGCCTCGGAAACCGGCGAGAAAGACTTCCAGTAAACCTACGACTGCGGATAAAGAAGCGAAAGCCAGAGAGCGAGAAGCGGCTAAGGCGCAACGTGAACGTGAGAAGCAATTAGACAAGGAACGGAAGCAGAAGCTCAAGGAAGAAAAGGCCAAAAAGAAGCAGCTGGCTCAGGACATCTCGGAGGTCAACAAGCTCAAGGTGGATAAAAAGAACTCGACGCCCGAGATGTTACTCGATATGTCGTCCTCGTTAGAAGATACTAATGTCGGGAATCAATCTATCGAGTTTATGAAACGCCTTGGTGTCGAACATACATTCTTTGCAAGCTCAATTTCCAATATCGTCAGATGGCGCCGGAAAGTCACTGCTAAATTCAACGAGGGAGCAGGGTATTGGGAACCATGTCCCCTCCACATCCGTCAAGAGGAGCATGTACTGTGCCTGCTAACAGCACAAGATTTTGTGGACATGGTGATTGCACCCGCAGACTCAGACGAAACAGACACCCTTGAGCAGCATGTTCTTAAACTAAAAAATGCTTACCCCAATTGCAAACCCATATATCTTATTGAGGGTCTTGGGGTTTGGATGCGAAAGAACAAAAATTCGAGAAACCGGGCTTATCAGGCTGAAGTCCGACGCCAATTCGAACAATCGAATGATGCTCCTGCTACAACTGCAACTGGTCGTCCCCGCAAGAAGGCTAACAAGCCCGAAACCACGCCTCCTATAGATGATGATACAGTCGAAGACGCTCTCCTTCAGCTCCAAGTCACATACTCTTGTCTCATCCACCACTCCAACGCAGCTCCAGAGTCGGCAGAATGGATCAAGAATTTCACGGAGCATGTGTCCACGATCCCCTATCGGCTCGAACGAATGGAAGGAAATGACTCAGCTTTCTGCATGGACGTCGGCCAGGTCAAGTGCGGCGACGACAAAGAGGATACATTTATCAAGATGTTACAAGAAGTCAACCGCGTCACTGCGTCAATGGCATACGGCATTATTCCCAAGTATCCCAGCGTAACGGATTTGGTCAAAGCAATGCGCACCCATGGTCCAGGGATGCTGGAAGATGTCAAGGTACGTTTCTACTTTTCTAGCCCCGTCCTTCTCAGGCATCACAGATCTTTTAATTCGACTCTTTTTGGTAGAAATCCGCAAACAAGACTGGGGGTGTAACCGAATCCCGCATCGGCCCAGCTGCTAGCAAACGATTGTACAAAGTTTTTACAGGTCTTGATCCATCGTCGACTGATATCTGATCATTCTTATTTCTCTGTCTAACCATTTTATACCCTTGGGACATTTTACTCTGCAGACTATTTTGCACACTTAGCTTTTTTGAAATTTCTTATTTTGTATAACTACTTTTTCTCCCCTTTAAGGTCTCATCCTATCTTGTCGTCTTTTTGTCGAAGTCGGTTGGCTCACTTTACGATGTATTTGTCTGGAACAGATGCAAAATAATTGGCTCAAGTCTGATCATTTCATTATACTGCTGATCTAGGCCAATATTCTTTTCAAAATCATGCAGTGCTATTCCAAAAAATATAATCATTCTGATGCATCACAACTGAGGTGGAAATTTTATACAGATAGTCAAATCACCATGACATCTAATCGCGCAGTTGTCCTGTTATGAATATGTCATTCAAAACCACGATATGCCCGAAACGCTCCACGTCTATATAGCAATATGTGCAGAATAGATATCCAAGTAAAAGTCTTATGTCCTGGTTATTCAATTGAAAGAAGGCTTAGACAACAACACCTCTCTTTCTCCACGATCGCCAAGCGATTATCCATGCCACGATAGCGACAAACACGCTGGCCGTGCATCCCACAGCCCAGAAGCCATAACACTTCCAGCCATGGCATTGTCCATCAGCAGCACCATTACCGTTATCAGTGGCGATCTGGTAGCCGCGGGAGTAAATGAGCCCCCAGACGGCGGCGCCACCGGCAGGAACCATAGCGACGATCCCCCAGTTTGTAGCGAAGTTCTCCACTCCCCAAACAACAGATATGATGATCGGGACGAGGGAGAAGGAGCTTCCATAGCCAAATCCGATTAAGGCTGTGGAAATGTGTGACAGCTCGGGGTGGCGGAGTGGCAGGGGCGATGAAAGGAGAAGGTATCCAAGGGCAAGAAGAAGTGCGGAAGGTAGGAGGAACATCATACGGGAGAGTGTGGTACGGTTTTCTTGAGCGGAAGGTGACGAGGAGCGGCCGTGTTCCAGGCTACCTGGGAAAAGATGGTTTGCTCGGGGTGCAAAAAAGTCGGAAAGTGATCCCGTGAGAAGACGGGCGATGGTCGAGGTAAGTGCAACCGTAGTGACATGGGTGGACGATAGACCAGCCGGTGCTGGAGCATTGGGTGGATACGACTTTGGTGTTAATGTTTGGATGATAGTACCCAGCTAGAAAGGAGTATATGTCAGTAAGACAGCCAATCTTTAAAGAGGATGAAGCACGAACATTGTTGATATACGCTTCTCCCGGGCCGGTAACCAGGAAGAAGCCCAGTGCGAGCCACCACATAGTCTGATCTTTGAGAAACAGTCTTGTTTCGTAGTTCAGCAGCCAGTTTTTCTTTCTATTCTCCTCCTCTTCTCTTTCCTTCTCGCGTCGTCTTTTATCACGCTCCTCTTCAGACAAGGTTCGTGTTTGCTCATCGCCATCCACCGCTCCATCAGTCTGGTCAGAAAATGTACCATACGCAGCTCTGACTTCGCTTCTTGACCGGAAGAATTCGCTCTGCTCAAGCAAACCGCTGCGCTCAAGCTCTTCTACTGCCTCATCAATATACTTTTCCTCTTCCTCGTCCACAATCCTGAGTCCAAATACCCCAATAAAGCCAATGCTTATAAGCAGCAAAGCTAGGAATAAGAAGTAGCGGAACACGTCAAGGTCTCCTCGACTGCCATCTTCCAAGCGTTCGAAAAGGAAGTATGTCCCCACCTGACTCTGCCACATACCACTGAGTCCAAATCCTGCAATAGGTATGGCAAGCATAATACCCTTGTGCTTGCCCCTACCGAAGTTCTTTGCGCAGGTCGCTACTGCAGCCAAATACAGACAGCTGGTTGCTGTTCCAATCAAAATAAATGCCACGATCATTACCCCGAAAGACCATCCCGATCCACCAGCGTCGGGAGGTGGTCCACTCTTGTAGGTAAATGCAGCCAGAAGATAGCCTCCTCCAAAAAGAATTCCGGAGAGTAAAGCCAGAGGAGATGGCGAGTAACGATCGCACAGATATCCAAACAATGGCACAGGGAGATACATAGAGATCTCAGCTGCAATGGAAACGGCATTGACCCGGAGCTGAGTATAATGAAGACGGGTGAGAAACAGGGGTCCGTAGAGTGAAAAGGCAGTGATACTTCCAGCACCCAAGCTATAAATGACAACCTTGTCAGTTCTTACAATCGTAAAAAGCCTGAGAGTATTGCCCATCGATGCAAAAGAGCAACCCCCGAAAGTGACTCACCAGCTAATCACGCCCCAGATAAAACTGCACACTCGCACCACTTCCTTGGCCATCTTCTTTCGGTCTCTCTCAACAATCTCTTCCACCACATTACTCAAGAGACCGTCACTACTTTCCCCAGAGATCCTCTGGTCGAGTCCGGGGCGCGGTGCCCCATCTTCTCCCTCCACGCCAAGATCTGCATCCTGAAGGAGCGGCCGATTGGTATCGAAATCTCGCTTGTCAATAGATGAGTCTGCCTGGCCATACGAGCCGGTCATTCTGCTTCTGTTTCCAGTTCACCTCGTATAATCCGACTCGCAAACACAAAGACGGTGAGAAAGCGCCGACACGATAAGAACGAGTTCCACCGATAAGGGGTGTTGTCGGCTTATAGTTTTTTCGACAATCAATCGGCCGGCCTAAGATATATAACAACTCGCAAATATCTTTCTCAAACCGGGGTTTCGTAGATTATTTTGCTCTGGTGAACAATTCGTCTGACCAACGAGATCAGTTGACTGACTTGGCTGTCTGACTGACTGGTCGTTTCTCGGAATTCGGGTCACCCTACGTCACTCCGACGGTCTATGCGGTGAGGGACATTATGACAATGATGGAATGACTCAATGAGAAATGGAGGGAAGCGACAGAGATAATCATAGACAGGGGAATCAGATAGCTACCCAGCTTATCACGCCAGGGACAGGAACTGTGAGGGATCAGCTGCAGGAAGAAAGGGAGGACTGGACTCGTCTTGACGTGGCGGACGGAAGATAGGCCGCTTATCGCTGACGCACGTGATTTATCGGAGCTATCACGTATGGGGTAGAGTCCCGGGGCTACTCTGTAGGTATGTAGTACGAATAAGCAGTTTAGAATCAAGCCGAAAAGAGTCGATTAGTTAGATTAGGTATTGCCAGCTAGAGATCTTCTTGTCTAAAGTTCAAGGCAAAATTGTATGTACACAAACACATCCACCCCACCCATGCTGTTAAAAGTGCAGAAAAGGTCCAGGGAATCGGACAACTTCCCGGGAGGTATAATCAATAAAACATGTCCGAGAACAAAACAAAACGGAACGGGGGACACGACACATTAAATAGAAGATAAAAGCAAGAAAGGAAGAAAAAGATAAAAAAGAGACAATTTCATACACGCCATCAGAAGTGAAGTGATCCCCGCATGAATCCCGGTCCAATATGCATCCAGGCATAGATGACCAAATCCTCGGGGTGATTTTTGCGCCATGATCAGATCATCAGTGTCATACCACTGTCACCAAATGCCATGTCCCGGTCCCGTCTCAATTTTCCACCTCAATAGTCATAAGAATGTCGTTGAGATCATGGCAGGCTCGAATCGAAATCGTTGAAGAGAATAAATGCAGGGAACGAAATTGAAAATGTACCCCCAGTCCGTTGCCATGCGATAATGACGCCTCCCACGAAATTGCATTTGAACTTGATCATTGAAGGTGTGGAAACGCAAGCCGACAACTCCAAACCGAATAGAAAAAAGGAGCATAACAAGGAAATGAGAAAAGAAGAAAAGCAAAAAGTATGAACGACATGCAGGTCCCGGAAGGAATTATCGTCGAAGAATGCTAGAAGCTCACTTCGCCAGGGTCATCCTCCATAACACCTTCATCCAAGTAGCGGTCCGATGAAGCCTCGTTACCAGAAGTTCGGGATCCAAGGGCTATAGCTTCACCTTCGCCTCGTTCAACGTAATCATCGTGCATAGTCTCCTTGAGGATGCGCTGGAAGTACATTCTCAACGTCCGAAGGCCACGAAGATAACCGCGATCGATATCATCTGGATGCTGGGGTGGGCAGCGTGTATCCGGTGGTAGTACATCCTCGCCGGTAACACAATTTGCAAAGTCGACAATCTTCAAGTGAACATCGAGATTTCCGCGTCCATCATCAGAGGTACGGCGGTGCAAAGGGTTTCGCTTGACGGGAGACTGGGTATCGGTCTTTGGCATCGTATCGGGGTCGGCCGGGTCTCCATCGTAAAGGATCAAGAGGCTACTGGCATAGAGACGATAACTCTTGAGTTTTCGAATCATGTTTTCCAACTTCCCAATCTTCTCCAGAATAACCGGGATCTTTTTGGCTACGCTGGTGTAACTGACTCCGTCATAGAGAAAGCGAGTAAGAGCATCCTGGAATTCGCGGCCGGACTTTAAATCTCGTCCGAAGTATTTGTCTTCAAACGCATACTCCTGTTTCTTGATGTTCCAGGTTTGCATGCCACAGAGACGTACACCAAGTTGCTGTGAAGTGGTAGACTGGCATTTTCGCCTCTGGGACTTCCTTTTCTTGTCATCCGCTTCAATCCCATACTGACGAGTGCCCATTTTCAAATCGAGCACACAAGGTTTGCTCATTCCAGCTGTGAGATCCTCCAGAAGTAAGAAAAATTGCACTCTTTCGTCTTTGCGCGTCTGAGCTTCTTTAGGGTTGGCCGGGAGGTGGAAAGGGTTCTCGTCCTTGACCTCGAGGCGGACAGGAAGGCTTGGAGGAGGATCAGAAGGAACATGCTCATCAGCTTGTGAATCTTCAGGTGCGACAATTTCTAGGGGAGGTTGCTCTGGAGCTTCCTTGGCTAGGCGGTTCGGTGCCATGGAAGGGTCACCTTCCATTGAAAAGATCTCATCTTCTCTATCCCCGCCGTAACCATCGTCATCGAAAAACATTAGATCGCCAGTTTTTCCAGAATCCATACTTCCACGTCTTTGGAGCCCGCTGCCTGAATGACGTCGCCTGACTTGTCGAGTTCGATTGAGAGAGCTCGCACGTGGCGGTTGTGGCTCTTCAGTTCGAATCTTTTCGAGACCCTTGTGAGGGGCATCTAATGCAGTGGATGCTGAAGATGACAACCCACGTCCTCCTTCACTTGATTGCTTTGTAATATCTATAGCGGAAGACCTCGGTGGCTCACTCTGCTCTGGGGCAGCCCGACGGCTACTTGCAGTTTGATCTTCCGAGAGATTGGCCCTTCGACGCCCGCTGTCGGATGACATCCTTGGCATGGTGAGATGGCCACGGGCATGTCGCCGATGCTGATGAATTGCGGGTGGACTAAAGACCTCTCGAAGAACCTGCTCCTGTAATTTGCGGTTGACTGTCGTAGCGCCCCAACTGATGTTGTGTCGCTTCAAAGGCGGTGGAGCAACACGCCTATCCTCCAAGGAGCCAGGCAGGGCTTGTTTCTCATGCATCGAAGGTCTATTGCCATTGGAGAAACGGTGTTTGCTCAATGTCGCTTCGTCCGCCGTCCGCGGCCTCTCTGAGCGAGAGAAAAGACCAGCAGGGATTATATGACGATTGTTTTCAAGTATCACTTTTGGGATGATACCAGTCACCTGCGATTGACTGAAAATCCGCTGCGGCTCCGCTGGTTCGGCGGGCTTTGTGTCACCTACTGACGCCCTCTCTGAATGTTTCGCATCATGGGCGTTGCCGTTGGCAGCTTCAATGCTCGTCTGGCCTTCAGCATGTGGCTTGGGTCGCTTTGGGTTCTTGGAAAAGGTTACATTCAAAACACCAATATATCTGAGGGAAGAGCTTATCAGTGTGTTTCTCGATTGGGAAAGATTACTCTGGTTTAATGGATTTGCCGGGTTGGGAAATCACATGGTTCCCCTGCGGCGCAACAGAACAAGGGGGGATGGGCTCAGTATTTACACACCTTGGAAGAAACATCAGCATCTCAGGGTGTCTACGCTCGATGCGCTCGTAGAATTCGTTCTCTCTGTTGTTGAGCTGTTTGCACACGGCGCGGCGAGAGAATCGAAACACGGTCGTATGCCCGCCAACCTGGTGGCGATAAGGTTTCAATTCAACTGCCCCAACTGGACCTGCTTCATGCTTGCGACGGGGGCGTGGAATACGTTGACGTTGAGTTGGGGTAGCCGTGGGTGTCATATCAAGGTCATCCGTCAGACTCGATTCCTCCTCCCGGCCAGACAGCTCATCGGCAGAGGCAAGTTCCGATTCGCCTGTAGAGTCGCAGCCGTGTTCGGATACTGTACCCAGCGAATTCTCATTAAGTTCTTCTAGAGGGGGCTGCAGGTCTTGCAGGTCGCCATGTAGAATTCTACTATCATTTTTAGATCGAAGAGATATATCCACATGGCTAACTTCCTGTTCACCGGGGATAGCACCTGGCTCTGGCACGAGAACGTGACCTTCCTGCGAAGCTGATGCATTGAATTGCCGCTCATCAGCCCTGTCATCTGGGAAAGACTGGAATTGATCGACCGTAACCCGCTCATGCGGAAAGTATACGGCAGATGATATTTGCTCAGTTCCCTCGTCCTCATAGTCGGAGCAACGACGGTGTTCCTGGTTTTCGTCAGATGGCGGGGATGATCTGTCAGAGGAATCTTTTGGTGTGTAATCCTGCCCCCCTTCCGAGAACTGCGTCGGAATGCTCTTTGAAAACGATGTTCCACGAGCCCCGCCTGGTGTTAGGTGAAAGTTTCGAATTTCCTCAAGGAGGGTGTGGGGCAAAGCCCTATAATGATTTTTGGTAATAGTATCACCATGTGGGTGACCATAGGCCTCATCCACGGAAGGCGGCTCAATCAGCGGTGCATCAACAAATGAAAGATGCGACATGCTCTTGGAGGTTCGAAGGCCAGCATCTCGAGATGATGGCAATGGCTCAGCTTGTCTTTGGTTTCCTAGGTCATGATGCTCCCAGCCATAGGGTGGTTCCTCATGGATGGCATCTGGCGTATCGTATGGGTCCAGGGGTTCGTCGATTTTCTTACCACGGTCATCCCTTCTCTTCCGGTCTGGAGACGTGGTGTTTTCCTTGAATAGGCCTAGGTAGTGGCTCGACTTGCGGGAACGAACGTGCGAAGTGGGTTCGGCGTTGGTCAGGTTGGCCTCGATCGAATTTTCGACTCTGCCACCTCTGCCACGACGGCTCCGACTCGAGCTCCGTTCGAGCTTAGGTTCGCGAGGGCCATCTCTTGGGGATTCCTCTGACAACTGGTAGGACGTCATGTCAGAGTGGTCGGCAGAAAAGTCATCCCCAGGCGGCAGTACTATCGAGTTACGAGACGACGGAGCATCGCTGAGCGTGCCGGGAATAAAGTCGTAGTCGAACGAAGAATCGCCGGGTTTAGCACCACCCGATACAAATTTTTGAAGGGGCGGGAAACTCTCCCAGGGTGGAGTCTGCGACTTTCCCTCAGCCTCTTGCGGCTTTTCCCAGTCTACATCGGAACGAATCGAGAGCAAAGACGAATGTGGAATGGCGGGCGATGCAAGGAACGAAGGGGAACGCAAAGGGTGGTTTCTGTGGATGTCAACTTCCATGTGGGAGGCGTCGCCGTGAGGGCGATGGGGAAGGACCTTGGAAGTGGAAATGGGAGAAGCAGATGCATTTTCAATGTCGGGGATCTGGGTTATCTGCAGTTCATCATGGGCTGCATCCTGGACGGGTAAAAGTTGGGGGGTGTTGTGAGCCGTGTCTGAAGGAAGATAGTGGGTTGCGAAGATGCTGTCTCGTTCCGACAGCTGAGGGGAGTGAGAGAAATCGGAGCGAGCAACCTTCTCCAAGGGGATCTTGGGGGTCTTTTTGAGAGCAAGGGAAGACGTGGGATTACTCGACCATTGATGAGCAGTTGGGGATTCGGCGCGGGAGGGAGAAGGAGCTTGCTGAACGTCCTGGTGCAAGAGCTGGTCTCGAGCAGGGTGGCGACGCTGCTTGCCGCAGAAGAGATCAGGCCCTTCAGAGCAATCATGTTGGGCAGACGCAGCAGGTGTCACCAGGGGTTCAGACAAGGTATTCTCTGATGCGGACGGAGGGCTTGACATGGGGATGACATTGGTCGGGGCTGCACGGTCAAGACGGTTCGAAGGAGGCCGAGAAGAGAAAGGATGCGGAGCTGGAAAGGTTATGGTTGGGTGTTCCCCGAAGGCGGAAGACGACGAAGAGGAACTGGCGTCACCACGTTGGGTGGCAGTACTGGGAGAGTAGACTGAAGGGGGGGAAATCAAGAAAAGATCAATCATGGCACAACAGCCACGTTCCGGGGGAGCGAGATCTTACAGGCTGGGGAAGGAGAAAAAGGAATTGGCCGCAAATCCGGGAGGATTATAACCGGAGACAATGTCTTAGCAGGCGTAGTAGAAGTTAGTTTTCCAGCGACAGCAAAAGAGATAATAGAGAGGGAGGAAGAAAAGGAACTAACCAGAAAGCGTTGGGCAACCCAAGACGAAATGACGCGGATCTTCGTCACCGCCTTTGGAGTGGAGCCTGGGAAAAAAGGCGGAGACGAATAGTGAGGGAGAAGAGCTGAAGGGCTGAAGGGCTGAGCAGAGAAGAGCTGAGAAAAAATGGAAGAAAAGAGAAGCAAAAAGATGGATGGAAAGTCAGGGGATATTTTCTTATTTTCTTTTTCTTTTTCTTTTTTTCTATCTATTTTACGCAATCGATAGGCAGATAAAAAGGTAATGGTGGAAAATCCCACAAAAGAGTTAAGATATCCTCCATTCCATTCCAGATCTGGCAATTTTCTAATCATTCACTGGGTCTAGATATGCTGCAGTGAATGGCTGGCTATGGATAGATAACATCAGAGATATGGCAGAATCTGCAGTCTGCATCCAAACTATTATATTTTACCTGATAAATCATATCTGAGACGGATAATGATGCATGTTAATCATGGTAATTGCTATTAAATTAGTCTCCTACTAAGAGATACAGAAGCAGCTAACCAGATAACTTAATCGGCTTTGGTGTTTCTGCCGACCTTCCAGAGAACTTCCATCTGCAGAACAAGACAAGTATAGCTAAGTAGCTATCTAACTAGATAGATTAGGATAATAAAGATATCATAGACATCATCTTCATAATACGGAGGAATAATATCTCTATCGAAATCGTACCAACTTATCGCACTATCTCCGATCATCCCTTCCATTGTCATCCATGGATCCCTTTCTCTCCGCACCCGCATGACCTTGCGATCCAATGAATCAAATCATCGCAAAACGTGATCGTCTCGCTGGCTCACCACCACCCTTTCTCTGTCTTCTCTCCTTGCACCCCATTCTCCTCTCGTCACCGTCTATTGTTTCTGCGTCATCTTTGGATGCCCATTCCGGTCCTACATGGCCCATCCATGTCTTTCTGTCCTCCTTGCCTCAATTTCTTGTTTTTTCGTTTTGGTTACGAGACTATTGGTTTTTCGTGTCTGAAGCTGAGTCCAGTTCCACCCCCATCGATCGACCTTTGGGGTTTAGTCTCTTGCTGTTCGACTTATTTTCTCGACACATAGATTTCCCGGGCCCATATCGCTTAGTTTTAGGCCTATCAGCGCATCGTGACTTCACCGTCTCGGTGGTACTGGTGTTGCCGTCAGAAGCCAGGCAGTCAGATGCACTGCGGCCATGATACCTAAAATACCTACACTATCGCCTGCTAGTACAAAATACAGTCAACTAATTCTTCAAATCGCTTCTCTTCTTGCTGCCCAAATCCGCTTCAGTTGGGCTCTCAGTAGGCGGTTTGCTTTTCGTCGACATCGCACTGCATTATTGATCAAGCAACTGCTGACAATTTACTCACACTTCATATATCTACAGTGCCTAAGAATAACACTTGGGTATGCTAATTGGTATACAGATCTGCGGAGTACACTGTACTAAGTACTCCGTAGGTATTCTATTGCCAGCAGATAATTAGGCAGCCGTTTTACTCCCTTTTTGGAGGTATCACAAGCGACAGGCATGTGTACCAAGTGACTCCATACAATCCATATCGCAACCATCCTTCACATACCATTCTATCCATGGATTCCTGGCGGGTTCAATCAAATCCCTTGTAATTACCAGGACCGTCTTTTAACCTCAAAGGCAAAGCTGATAATGGCACCTCAGGACAGCAGTTCGAGTCGGAGACGCCGTGGGAGCTGCCATTTCGACTAACCCTTTGAACAACACTGACGTTCTGGGGTTAAACGAGTATGCAGAGAAACATGTTTGAGTTTTTGGATGATGATATGTTTCACCTCTACTCAAACCTAAAGCTCTATTTTGTCTGAGAATATTTCCTGACCCTATGGACAGACATCCCACCACTGAATGACCTATCATTCTGCACGTTGAAGTCATCAATTGATGCTGGCATGAAGCAGATCAGGCTTATGAAGTCGTTGGGGAACAGCCGACCTTTTGGGTTTGCCTTCTTTGTCTCTTCGGGTCTTTTCATTGAAACTCCCGAGACATTTAACATGCGACTAGTCTTTGTTGGCACATTAATCGCCTAACAGTTGACTTTTATCAGAAGCGTCACTTGAGTGCATGCCAACTGACGCACATAAAGTACGAAAACGGACAATAAAAACCATATTGTACGGTGTTCAAACTAGGTTTTTGTTTGAGTAATGTTGAATAGGTAGTTCCCTTGCTTATCGTCCTCCCCGAAGCTAGGAGAGTATCGGACGATTACTTTGACCACTTGTCTATGATGCCACAGCGTAGCATTGAAGTGAACTTTGGAAGAAAGCTTAATATCCGTGATGTCAGTCTATACTTGCACATGATATTAGATAAAGCCATAATGGATGAGACATACACCCCCACCTTGATCAATCCCATCTTTAATAAAGCTTAACCTATGCCATTACTATATTCATTTATCAGGGTAACCGCGGAAATCCAGTGTGGGCGTTGAACTCCTCGGAGGTCTATCTGCGGGGAGGGCGGTTCTCTTTAATTGCGCAATCTAGGTAGACAGAGACAGTCAGCATCTGCAGTATGCTTAGGCTGTTAGTGAAGCTCTGCCTAGTTATATAAAGGCTATCGCCAACATGGCTGGTAGTTCTCAAGAATCCATGCTTCCACAGTACATAGGGGAGTGTTTCAACATTCTGTCAAATTAACCATACAAAGTACCCCATATATCATGCTCTTTACTATTGATACTTTATTTCTTTCTTTCTCTGCAGTATAAAAATCTGATGGCAAGGCGCATTCCCAGTGTTTACCTGACGATATATACTGAAAGCCAACTAGAGCACATATCACCAAGACCTCAGCTAACAGTCAAAGAAGGTTGTCTGCTGATTGCTCTCATGGTTCAAATGCAGGGATATAGAAAAAGAAAACATGATCCAAAAATGAGGATATCATCGATATTTGTTGTGGCTTGATAGATGGCTTGCTAGATTAATGCCTCAGGCGCCAAGATTAACCCGATCCGGTCAGTTCATCCGAAGAGATCCTCAAAGGGGCGCCAATCCCACTCTTATCATATTTTGTTTGTTTTGCTTTTAATTGATGGGGTTGCTCCATTATTTTTTTTTGAAACATTGGAGAGGGGAGAGGTCAGTATGGAGCAAAAATTAATTGTCATTGCGTCATGGGCTGCAATCCAACGTCTGTTAGTCGATAGTCAAAATTATCAATCAATCTTGACATTCGTGAGGGTTTAAATATTACAATTCAAATGCTGTGTCTTCCGTCTTTGCCGGATCAAAAGGAGGTGGTTGGAAGTGTACTGTAGATCAAGACTGGCTTTTGAGTTCACAATCAGGGGTAAAAAAGACTCTAAAGAGATGATCTTGGATCAGAGCCCCGATAACCTCCCGCGGAACAAGAAGTGATTGCTGTTTGATGGCATTCTCCTCATCCAAGACAGTAGATGCAACATAGCAAGCAACTACCCGCCCGTCAACCTGCGATAACCTCCACCACGCCCAACATGCTGCTTCTCATACGCTCTTGAATTGCGGCGCAGTCAACCTGCCTGCATGCTCCCGCCCTGTCATTGGCTGCTTTCCCTCTCCCGCACCGTCGAGTGTGATGCGACAGACCGGCGCTGTGACGAGACCTTCGAACCTCCCAACGGGATGTTCCGAACCACCGCCAGTCCAACGACGGGCGTTACTGGCGTGAAGAGCGCACATCCTGCAGCCCAGGGGCGTCAGCGCAACGAGTCCTCGACGAATCCCAGCCTCGAATGAATCGAAATGCTCGAGCTTGGGCCGTGGGCCTCCCCGCAGCAGCGCAGCAGCAGGTTGCGACAACCTGACTGCCTGCCCTTTGTATCTCCCACCTTGGCCATGCTACCTTGAGAAATGGCTCACTTGACTTTTTGTCTTTCTCGATACTTCCTACCTCTTCCTGCGAAGAAATCCATCGTGCGAATCGTCTACTGATAACTTTCAACCTTCTTGTCGTTGACTATCATCGCATGCTTCGGGTGGTGGCCTTGCGCATTACGCACATGTAGATCGTCACCGAGAGACTGCATGAGAAAAAAAGACCACACAGACCGTACATGCATGGGCCGAAAATCACGTTGTCGATTTTTTTTGGGTTCCCTCGCCCGTTTTATGTCGAATTATCGCTTTTCGCCTGGAATCTACTAGAGGAGGAATTCGTGCTCACGCATGTTGAAGGATTGATACCGCAAAGATGAGCCGGCAATTACATCTGGACACTTCCAATCTGGGAGCAAATGTTCACCGAAGATATTCTTTTCTCGAGACGCCAATGGAGATGCATGCTCCGGGTCAGCAGTATAATGAGCAACGAAATAATGAGCAACAATTCGATCGCCAACAGGATAATGGCGACCAGCAATTGGATGCTCAACAGTATAGCGAGCAACAGCACGGACAGCATTATGACAGCCCGCAACACCACACTGAACAATACAACGGCCAACAATATGATGGGCAGCAACATAACGCTCAACAGTATCACGGACAGCAAGAAATCGCCCAGCAGTATCATGGACAGCAATATGTGCAACAATACGGACAACAATATACCGGGCCACAGTATGACGCTCAACAATTTAATGTCCAGCAGTATAACGGACAGCAACATATTATTCCACAGCATAATTCTCAGCAATATAATGGAGAACAGTATCATGGGCAACAGCACAATAACCAACCATTTTCGCCGCAAATATACTCCCCCGATCAAATCCAGCAACACACAGTGGTACCTATTCAATCACCAAGCATATACAACGAAAAAGCGCAACACCTACTGCAAAATCCGGTCACATCTCCTTATAATGCTCCGCCACCGGAACAGCATCCTGCAAACTATGCTCCCTATGCCGAAGACACCATCCAGTCAACCCGTCAAATAGAAGTCCAAGCGCCGCAGTATTCGTACGCAGCGCCTCCGAATTCCCCGGGACCACTTCCGATCAAGACGAGCCCAGAGGCTTCAGAGCAGGCACGAGAGACACAAGCTGTAGCGGTTGCGCCAGATACAAACCCCCTCCACTCGCCTACCTTTCCTCGCTTCCCTCCACCAACAGCTAGAAGTACACCCCAGTTAGCCGCCTCGGATGATATCACGGCATACCATCAGCCGGGACAAATAGCTCACCCGAACCAGGTGATCAAAGGAGGAACCTGGAGACACAGTCTATGCGATTGTTCCAATATTTGGACTTGCTGCCTCGGATTATTATGTCCTTGTATATTATACGGAAAGACACAGCATCGTCTTTCCCTCAAGTCAAAGAACGAGGATCCGACAAATATGTTGGGCTATGAGACGTGCAATGGATCGTGTACAGCAATGGCTTTGCTCTGCGGTTGCCAATGTGAGTACCTGGAATTCAAACACACCAGTGATGCTCTTTTACTAACATTCTATTTCCAGGGCTCTTGGCAACTATTCAACACAATCGGACACGAAAGGCCTATGGTATCAGAGGCGATGTTGGGTCGGATTGTGTCCGAGCAACTTGCTGCACCTGCTGCACGCTCATTCAAGACGAAACAGAAATCAAGAAACGAGAAGAGGAACGCGGAAAAGCTGCCATCGCCACCGGAGCAGCCTTGGTATCCCCATATACTGCACCAGTGCAGATGACATATGGCCCACCGCCACGATAATCTCCTACAACTCGCATCTAATTCGAAAACATAATGGAAATATTTAAGGTCTGGATATAATGCTGCATTTATGAAAAACAGCTCTTGTGTGATGTACATACCCTGACGATAGATTTTTCTTCTGTTTCTTGCGTCTTTTTTCACGATGATGTTATATATCCCCTTCTATGTGTTCCTTGTACAACATCGTTGGAGCGGTTTTTGACTTGGATCTTTCTTCCTGTATGACATGACGTTGGCTACCTTGATGATTTAATTTCATTAGCATTCAGCACATGGCCCGTGTGTTTGTGTGCTGGCGTTGATCTGGTGCTATTGTATGGTGAATAGTTTTGCTTTTTTCCCTCCCAACAGTCGATCATATGTACAATGTATGAAAGTTGTAGTAGAAGAATATCCTGTATGATGAGTCCTAATCAAGATGATAAAAAAAGTACTGCATGAACATCTGCTCCCCTTTGATCAACAAGTGTGTAAAAAGAAAAGTCACCGTGAACTCTGCATGGGATACGGGGATGTTCACCACTACAAATGGCCGAGACCGCACGGGTGGCGGATCATCCTCGAACCGCACTCCCCCATCTCTTGGTAGCACGTCTGAGTCTGTCTGACTATTCATTTACCATGAGCTGCTGTACATAGAGTTTTCGCACGATTTACCTGGTACTTTTCTGATTGTTGACTCGACTCATTTATATCAACCCGTGATCTCCTTTCTGCGACGTCGACTGCAACTCCACTGCGCCTGCTCGGCGAACTTGAGACATCTCTCCTTTACGATCGCCACTAACGTTAACCCCGTACTTTGCACTTCGAACCCGACCGTACCGTCGCCGGTCGGCATTCGGCCTACCCACCCCAACGCAAAAGGCAATAATGGAGTTTTGAGCGTGCGGTTGAATCATCCTCATTCTGAGAAAGAAAAGAAGAGGTTTATCTTGATGGTCCCGAGCTGTCTTGAAGGACGACACGGGAAAATAACGTTCGTCTGATCATGGGGGATGCTGCACGCATAACTCCCCGCCAGATATGGGCTCAACCAACATCGACGACTACAAAGACCTACCAGCCCGGCTGTACTCCGTATCTCCTTCCAAGTGAAGGTATGTCGCCCTTTTCTGATGCGTCATTGGTTTATGGCTTTGTTTAAATCCATGAGGCGGTGTCTTGGTTGAATACTTCGTTCGCTTTCTCGATGACATGTCGTACTAACGGGGTGTGGTTTTTTTCGCAACCAATTCTAGGCCTTTTACATTTGAATCGCTCCTATACGCTCACTCTTACACAAAATGCCATCTTCGAACCCTTCTGTACGAACCATCCCACTGAAACCGGACACGCGTCTCCCGTACTCGACACTGGCGATCCGTTTTACTCCTCTACAACTCCGCAGCTATACGCCATCGCCTGCGCGACAGTCGTCAGCTATCTTCTCGTCATTATCCTTTTTATAACGCCTCGGACATTCTACGTCGGTGGCCCCGGCGGTGGTGCCAATTTTCTGGGTCGACATGGTATGATCAGCGGTTCTTATAGTGGTAACTCTTCGGTCGTGGGAGTCGGTGGTCGGCCATGGTTGCAAAAGGTTGCGGCGCTTTTGGTTGCGATATCCTTGACTATTGCAAGCGCAGATTCTTTTAGGGTGGCTGAACAACAATATGACTATGGGTACTCGGACGCCGATGCGCTTACAGAGCAAGTTATCGATGGGATGGAGATTCGAATTGTTCGGGTTATTTCCAGCACTTTTCTTTGGCTTGCGCAAGTTCAGACGTTGATTCGATTATTTCCGCGACATAAGGAGAAAGTTATGATTAAATGGGCCGGGTTCGCATTGATCGTTTTGGATACAACATTCAGCATTCTTGACAACTTCCTTGTCCACACTCGCACCACACGGCCTCGACTATATGACGATGCAATACCCGCGTTGGATTACTTATTTGAGCTTGCGCTCAACTTACTCTACGCTGCGTGGGTCATTTTCTATTCGATATCCAAACATCGGTTTGCTTTTTTCCACCCGAAAATGAGGAATATATGCCTGGTCGCCCTTTTATCTCTATGCGCGGTTCTCATACCCGTCGTTTTCTTCGTTCTGGATATCGCAAAACAAGAGGTTGCTGGCTGGGGTACTTATATACGGTGGGTTGGATCAGCCGCAGCCAGTGTGGTTGTTTGGGAATGGGTGGAACGGATCGAAGCGTTGGAACGAGATGAAAGAAAGGATGGTATCCTCGGGAGGGAAATATTTGATGGCGATGAGATGTTGGAAGTGACGCCTTCCGAAGAGGTCGATTGGCCTCGACAACCATTCAATGGCACCGATAGGGGCGGGGGAACTGGAATGTCTTCAGGATGGGGCGGCATGATGGGCTTGTCGCACCGGCCATTGCGGACCCGGGTTGGTATCCAGCGTGGGAACCGTTATCTCCCAGCCCAACCGAATGAGACTCCTGCCGATCCACGGCGTCGAGATCCGGCCCGACCTACGCCTCCGCCAGCAGCTATTACACCAATTAGCCGGGCTGATACCACGAGTGCCGCTAGCACGGTTTATAATGTTCGCTACCACCCTGTCTCAAGTCCGACGCCCCCTGTCGCGATGCCACATATGGAAGAAGAAGAGGAGGAGCTCGAAGATCCCAAGGAGATAACTGGTATTGATGAGAGGCAACCGAACAATGCAGTCGATGGTGAACTCTTGGCACAGACAACTAGAGAACAATCCCCTCAAGTTGTCAATACAGACCACCGATGGCGGACTCTTTTCAATCCTTTCAAGAGAAGGCGTGCGTCCCTACCAAGAGAGGTTGCTTCGGCGCAGGCAGAAGAAGAACGGTCTTCTGAAAGAGAGGAACTGGATTTGGAGGATGGCAACGAGCAACATCTTGGAGCCCCGAGAAATGACCACCTGTTCCACTTCAACCGAAGGGTAAGACCTGGATCAGGACGACAAGGTGCTGACGCGCCCTTGCCAGTTACTGTCATTCCTGCTCGACGACGAGGCCAACATACATGGTCACCGCAGTGGTTTAACGATGCCAGTCTTCTCGAACCAGCACAGCACCACCAACCTCAGCCAGGCCGTTCTAATTTGCCTGTGAGAGTTATTCCATCGCAAACTGCGACTGCTGCGCCGTGGATCACGCCCAACGGAGAGCCAGATCAAGGTGATGGAAATTATGAGTTGCGCTATGACCCTGATGCAGCTGCCCTTATTGGTCCTGATGATTATTTCTCTGATCGTCATTCACCAAATGTTGCACAACATGACACCATCAGGGTCTCTGCTGAGACATCTGATCGATCTGAAGGGCAATCCCATATCGGGACGCCACCACCCCAGGACTCTAGACCGTCCCTCGATGGACAGCAATCTCCGCATCACCATGGTAGAACAGCAAGCGAGAACGTGTCTGGGCGGCAGGACTCGTCCACCTGATAAGAAAGCGGCGTAATGCCATAATTCATCGTGCATACTTTATGACGACTGGCGCTGGTGCATGGGGTGCATAATACGGGGGAGTTTTCTGTTTCTGTTTCTCTTCTCATTCTCAAATCCGGTTGGTTACTTAGCGAGGAGTATTTGGGTGGCATCAATCATCTCAGGAAAGATGGACTAATTTTCTTCTTCGTTTTTCTTTTTTATTTTATTTTAACTTTCCATTTTCTTCTTATCTCAGGCAGGGAAGGATTGGGTATTAAGGAGAACAAATTGATCTCATGGTACATTTCGGCTGGCTTTTTATTGCACAAGGCAGCCACGAAAAGGAAATGAAGAGGAGTGGATTTTTGGTGTATCAAGATACCCCTGGATTTATATACATCTATAATTATATCGCATTACTATCAATATCATCATCATTGGTTTTATTCTTCTAGCATGTGATTGGGGATAGACTAGAAAGTTCCCCGTAATTTATGATGGAAGGTCTCGGGAAGGCTTTGGTCCGCTCAGATCGATCGAAAAAGCTCTCCGCTCCCACCTGTGCGGTCATCAGAACATCCATGCCTCCTCTGCCTTGCGCACCTTATCGACCCTCTCGTATTCCAGTTCATGCTGCGACTCCATCGCCGGACGTCGCATCATGGCGGCCGTCAATCGGAATATGTTCGATGCAAGCATCATGACGGATCGGCCGCACGAAGGCTCATTGATGGTCTTGCCGTTAAACATCATCGCCCTGATCATTTCACATGTGAGTTGCGTGTCTTTTGCTTTGTTCGAAAGAAGATTCCAACTTCCCCTCCCAAAAGTGGGACAGATCATGAAGCTAACTCTTGCAACTTGCTGTAAAACAATAGATGGACGATACTGGTGACCTTGCCCGTCTGTGCAGTACTTGTCGGGTCCTCAACTACATGGCCCTGCCACAGCTGTACAGGAACCTCACCCTGACCTCCTACGACAAGATTCGGTATCGCGGAGATGAACCTGAAGGAATGGGGAGCGCGAGTCCTTTTTCATTAGGACTCAGTGCTGTTATCACCCGCCCATATGCAACGTTGGTGCGATCGCTGACGCTGCGGGGGGACTGGAGGGAACATGAGCTGGAGGAGCACGCCCGAGTCGGCAGGGTGCCGGACTCATCGATGATGCTGAATATTGCCGTTCGGGCGGCTGTCGACCGCATGACAGAGCTGAGAACTTTCAACTGGGAGCTGAATACGAAAATGCTGGAGACGGTTTATCTGGGGCTGGCGCAATTGCCCAAGCTCACCTCGCTCACCGTCCGGTTTCCCTCGAGCCGTCACCCTCGACCGACGATTGTCATTCCGGCATTGCCTCACCTTCGCCATTTGAGGCTCACCGATATGGATCCTCTTTGTTATCCGGATGATATTTCGACTCTGCTTTGGAAAAGTAAGAAGTTGCGGGAGCTCACAATGCACTGGTCCCCTCGCATGAGAAATGCGCAAGAACCTAGCGTCATGCTTAATCATTACTTCCGCAAATGTATTGCGGCGAAACAACCTCTACCCATTAAAAAGCTCTCTCTTCTGAATTTGTATGCATTTCACAGCGAGGAGTTTAATTTGGCGTTTGATCCCAGGACGATAGAAGACGTCACCATTCTTAATGATACCCCATTGGAGAATGGAAACCTCATGAACACCTTTGTCGACAACAGCTGGCCGACTTACCCTCCAAATATGGACATGAAAATCAAGGCCATCAGGCAGAATGCTTCGTCCAAGAGACACGCTGAATTCTTAGGCAATTTCTCGGGACTGGAGAGGTTATACTTTGTCAACGTTCCTCAAGATCCCATCAACTCCCTCGCTCCCTCCAAACACCCGGCAGGAGCACCATTGTCTGCTACTCTTACACCTCCCCAGGACCACACCCATTTCGCTTCGAATGGTACTGCTACCAACTCCCCTTCTCCATCGCCGATAGGTGGTTCGTCCGGCATCCAAGATTTCTACCTTAACAATATCATGTCGAACCATTGCGCGACACTGCGTCACCTCTTACTTCCTTCGCGGTGGCCTCTTTCTCCAAGCATGATAGCTCGGCTCGTTCGTGTCAGCCCGCAGTTGGAACAGCTTGCTTTTGCGGCCGAACTTTCCAGCATGGATACACTGGGTCTCATGCTTCCATTTCTCCACAACCTTGCTGCCATTCGCATCCTCATTCCCACAGGCCGTCCATCAATTCCTCTAGGAAATGGCGCTGCTCCCCAGCCGGCCAAGTGCAGTATGGCCACTGCAAAGACACTTGCAGATATGGTCGAATTGGACGACGAAATCCTCACAGAGGGGATGAGTCTTGCGCTTGGAGATAAGGAAATATATAGTAAACTGAAAATTGTCGGGTTTGGCAGAAAGGCATGGGAATTAGGTAGATTTTACAGTGCCCCAGCACCGCCACGCATCGAACACCCGAGTTCATCGCAATCGCCCGCAGCAGCCAGTACTGTCGATACGGTGGAACTAAATGAATATAATCAGAGTCCCAAGAGTGATACTACTCCCGGTCGTGGCCCGTTATCGAACCCACAGTTTGAAGTCAACGGTGCCCCCAGTACAGGCTCCACGACTCCTACAGGACCCCCAAGACGACCGACACAACGGGCAATACAGCCCCCTTCAGTACTGGGTAAACGCCCACGAGAAGATGAGCGTTGGCCTCCAATGCCCGCTAAACACATTCCGCCATACGATAGTCTGGTCACTGGCGAAGATAACTTTTATTGCCCTCCACCGGTTGTTGGCCTGGATGGTCGTGTCATAAGGCGAGAATTGCGCCGCGTGGGCTGGGAGGTTCTTCAGCACTGGGAGATTTGGGGTCTCGATACACAAGAGGCATAATTAAGTCGATTTTGTGACCGGCCGAAAAGGTCTTTCCCCTCTTGATATAGGGTTTAACATCAAGACATGGGACATGTCTATATAGGAGACGGCGCCTATTCACATATACTGCTCTGGATGGGATACATATGGATGGAGTTGTGAACATAAATCAGTTAAATGGGGTTCATTGGTGTTTTGAGGTACCTGGGATATCTCTCTTTCTCTTTCTCTTTTTCATGTATAATGTTGGTTATAGCCGTTGAGCAAGGCACATTTCTCTTCTCCTTTCATTTGTTGTTGAGGTGTTAGTCTGGCTTGTACTCATAGACAGCCTAATCTTCCTCTTAGTCTACCATCCTCCAACAATTCATGCAACTGAGACAGCATCTTAGTTCCAATCTTGAATAAATGGCCCCCACAGGTCAGTTACTCCATCGAGTTAAAGGTGTTTCGCAGTTCTGCCCCAAATAATCGCCCTGCCCTGCACTGCCCCGTTGACATCATCGGGCGCGTTGTTAGCGGGTTGGGATCCTCATGCCTTTTCCTCTTCTGGGCTTTAAGCCTCAGAACAAGCCTCTCTCGTGCCGTCGATGCAAAGTCTTGTGTTGGCTACAACTTGCAGCATGCAATCATCATTGGATCAGACCATCCTTGCGCCCCTGTGGTTTGATGATTTTCCAATCGTCGCTTCCCTCCATTATGAGACATAAGAACCCAACAACCCCGCCTCCATCCTGTTGCATCTCCAGGTTCAAATCATGGTGAATATCTAGTCCATCAAAAATGGCACCCATCACAAAGAAATCAAAACCAGAGCCAGAGTCACAGGAGGTGGCAGACCAGCCACCGTCCTATGAAGATAGCGCTGGTCCATTACCGATCACGCTGCCCTTCCTGGATCTTCATCGCACCGCAGGCCCAGGAGAATCCACCACCGTGACCTCGGACGAATGTATCGCTCACTTGAAATTCCTCGGCGCACTGGCCGACCTGCGTGAATTAATCAGCCAAAAAGACGGATTATTCGGGCTCTATGACGACCAGGTGAATCGCGTGCCGCCAGAACGAGCCAACGAGGCAAGTGCTCGCATTCGCGAAAAGCGCTGGGCCGTGTATGTTGCTCGCGCAGTGGATCGCTTCACCATCTGGTGGGAAGCGGCCATTCCGAGATGTGGCACTCCCCCGACCGTGACCCAGGTGCGCAGAGAAAGTCGCAATCCGAGGGAGATGGGCATCTTGCCGATTATGTGGGAGACGGAACAGCTTCCACCGCTGGGTATGTGATTAACCAGCTAAGATGATGATGTTGTATTAAACGTTGTGTGTGTTAGATGTTCTCATGGTTTGGCACGCCTATATACTGAACCCCCGTGACTATCTCGAAGACTGTTTCCGCCAGGCTAGGATGAGCTGTTGGATCACTGGGTTCCCTTGGACGGTGATCAATCCCTGCATCGACGATAGGGACTTGGCATATGTGGTGCCTGAAGAAGGGAGGAACTTCTTTGCGGCAACAACTGGCCTGAACTGGGATAATTTGCACGATCCGGAAACTAAGACGCTCGTTTGTCCTCGCTATAAGTGTCCTGTTCCCGTTCCTTGGACGAACGGTGCCATAAACGCCGACTGCAACTTTGAAGAGAGTGATGGATATGCCGATAAGAGCTTCCACGCGACTTGTCCTCGTCCCTTTTGTCAATGCACGATTGACCATGAGAAGTTGAAGCTCAGAAAATTCAGAGCAGACTTGGTCGAGTTGGTTGAGCTTAACCGGCCTATGCCCGGCACGGTGCTCAACTTGAACGGTGCGCTCAAAAGCCAGACCAGGATGCCAGAACTATATCCGAATGCTCTCATGCTCGCCCTGCAATTTCATTTGATGGATATGTTAAAGGCGGGTTCTATTCATCTGACCAAAATGGTTCACCTCCGCGACTGGATTGAACAGCAGATTAAGCAGAGATGGGTCCTGCTAGAAGCGAACCATCAATCAAGAGCAGTGGACGGCATCTATCGCGATAAGAATTCTCGAATTGCCATTCGCAAGATGATGTCTCGATACTGGAGCAATAGCTCCCCCTTTGCCCTGGACTTGGTCGGGGCTGTGATTCGGCAGGGCACTTTTGTGCAGAAAATGGATGACCTGGACTGGCTTCATTCCCCGACGGTGAGCCAGACAATGGACCGATTGATTAAAAAATACCAGGTCTTCTTTAAAATCATGGCGAGCCACCCAGGAAAGATGGCTGTGCCTACTTTGGATGTCGATCTAGCGTGGCATACGCATCAACTGTCTCCAGCTCGATACTACGATTACTCTGTTTCGAAGACCAAGGACATTTTCATCGACCATGATGATAAAGTGGAAGAAACCAAGTTGTCGGACGGATTTGAGTGGACAACAAAAGAATATCGCAGGCTGACAGGCGGGGACATCTACAGCCAGTGTCTCTGCTGGTATTGTGAGGCCGTGAGAGCTCCCAGTTTGCTGGAACGGTTTTCTTCTCATGACACCCGAGCACGAGAAAATCTTCATGATCGTGAAGGTGTCTCATCCGATCCGAACCGGAATCCGCATATCTCGGCCCACAATGCTGTGAGAGTGGAAGGATTTTCGAAAAATGACAGTCACATCCAGTTGAAGATGCAGCGGCTTCGCGCCAGCTACGAAAGGGCTTGTCGGAGAGCAGACAAGCAAGACAAGAAGAAGCAAAGCAAAGACGGGAAAGGAAAAGCTGTTGATGAGAAGAATGGCAAAGACAATCGCAGATCAACTATAATTGACCCCTACCCTGTGCCTCTGATCTGGGGCTATCCCATTGCTGTGCCCTATGCCGCTCCCTACATGTGCGACCCCGGAGTCAACTCTGCTTCCTACGCCAACAACCCGGCCTGTATGAATGTCACACCAGGTGCCATGGGCAACTGTGTCGGTGGCACTTGTGGAGGAGGAGTAGCTGCTGGAGGCTGTGCAGGAGGAGGCGGTGGGGGGGGATGCGCCGGAGGAGTTGGAGGCGGCGGAGGATGTGCAGGAGGCGGTGGTGGAATAGGAGGATGCGGAGGAGGTGGTGGAGGTTGTGGAGGAGGAGGGGGGGGAGGGGGATGTGGTGGTGGTGGTAAGTTTCGTCTATTGTCTATCTGAATGTGAATTCATGCTAATGTTATAATCACAGGTGGTGGAGCTTGATCGCCAAAAAAAGCGTTTGTGATGGACTTTAGGATCCATTCTTATACACGAATATACCCTAGACCGTTGATGCTCAGACTGAAATAATAGACTTGGCCTTGCTGGCTTTATTATTACCAAAATATTCGTTGCCCTAATTTCAATCTTCATTTGGATCAATGTTGTCTTAGAGAGTAGATCAAGAACTGTTCTGAGACATGGGGTTCTGACCAATATAGTATGGCACAAAGAATTCTCTAATATATTTATGTCTATCTCAAAGAACGTTGGCAGATGAAAGAGAAGAGTTGGTTCTTCCAAAGGAATCTAATAGATATATCGATGATGTTGTGCTGCATATATCAGGAAGGCACCACCCACACCCAAACAACCAACTTCTTTGTCAACCACGCTGCATCTTCTTCCTCCCACAGCTTTTAACCATCATCTTTAAGTCCCATCGCTTCATATACCATCTCTTCAGATATTCCATCATTATCTACCATCCTCCTTTCCATTTCGTCTCATCCACAACAGCCTCGAAACCCCGAATAAGATGACCGAGAAAATAAGTCCCGGTCGACAGTCGACCATTGGTAAAATGGCAGAAAAGACCGAAGAGTACTGGCGATCAGTTCTTGGAAGACTCAAAGGACGCAAGGCCGAGCCGGACAATTCCCAGCGTACCGAAGGCATCATCATGAATCTGAACCGAATCTACGACACCGCTGAGGATCTAACATCTGTCTTTCTCGACCCATCCGAATACAGCAGTCTGTCTATCAAATGCGAGGAATTGAAGCTAAAAGACAATGGCTCCTACGCTCTACTGCCACAACCGTGCTTCTTCAAGCCTCTGTCGCTGAGAAACATTCTTTCTCACCCCGTCAACAGACACGCAATGTGCGAGAGGGACCGCAATTACCAGGACATCTTTGACAAGGCTATTGAGAGCTTTGGACCCCTCAAGTCAACACCTATCGAGGCTGCGGATCTGCTCTGCTCGCGACTGAGCTGGGAAGTTGCGGGATATCCAAGAGTAGGAACAGATTGCGGGAATAGTACTCTTTTTTCACTCGCGAAATGGGCTACGAGGTATGTATAAGGATTTTTGAAACCAATTTTAACAAAATAATGACATTTTCAGGAACTTCACCGCGAATGGAGTGTTCTCGGATGTATTCGAAGATACGCTTTTCAATTCAAACGAGCCACCCTGGAACCCAGTTGAAGCTTACAAGCTTCCAGAGGAATATCCCCATACTATGTTTACAATGCGACACGATGTTCAAGGGGAGGAAGAATTACTGCGTGGAGAAGTCCTGGCGATTGTCGCAGCAATGAGTACCAGGATGAAACTCTACTCATCATCAGGGCATTTATATATACCCGTAAGTGACGGGCCTTTGTCTACAGTCTAATAGTCCCCGCAGATCTTTGCTTTTAACACTTGTATTTATATCTAGGTCCTAGTTTTCTCCTTTATGGGAAAGCAGCACGGAAGAATTCTTCAAGCGTATTACAATGGGACCGCGGTTGTCATTCGAATGACAAAGCTTTACGATTTCACAACTGCAGCGAATGCCAGGAAGCACTTGCAGCTTTTCGCGCAGCATATGGCAAACAATCCAACTGGTAACACCAAGGATTGGGTGACGTATGAGTGATCCTCATTGCGCTGAGAAGGATCAAATATCGCCAGAATTCCATTGCTTTTATCTGCGTTGAGTAGAAGGGCGGAACACATGCGCTAGGTTTACTGCTTTTTGGCGTCTGCTATCATTTTTGGGAAAAGGGTTATACTATCATCACTGTAATTACAAGAATAAATCAAAACACCAGTTGCATTTGTTCTTTCAAGGACCAAACTACGCAAGCTCAAAGCTGAGAGTACTAGGATAGACCAATTCGCAAAGCAGAATTCAATTCATTTTATTTGTATGATCTTGGACAACCAATATCATGATCAACAACATGTACAAACATTAGAAACGAAGAAGAGTATTGGATAAGTATCATAGATAAAATGATACCAAATGATCCAGCCATGGAATGAACAGCCAGGTCCTAAAAGAGGAGAAAGTCCAGATTCACAACGGAATGATGCTCACGGAGCCATTCACTTTCTCCTCACACTTTTGTCAAAGTAGCATCGAGGCTATCTAAGCCTGAGCAGCGAATCCAAGCTTAGGACCCTCGGAGTCGAAAACGACATACTGGCTCTTGAGGAAGATGTCACCGAAGATGGAGAAGCCGAGACCCGAGTTGCTCTGGATACCACCGTAGCAGGTCGAGCTGCCATCGCTGATGGGGGCGTAGTTGATCAGCTTGCCAGAGGTGACGGCCTTGTAGTCGCCAATGACGGTGGTGAAGTCAGGAAGGGAAGTAGAGCAGGGGTAGACGTAACCGCCGACCTCCTCGCTGTTCTTGGCTGAGGGGACGTTCTTGTAGTAGTCGGAGACGACCTCATCGGGGAGCAGGAGAAGGGTGGTGCCAGTGTCTAGCGAGGTTGTCAATTAATGATTTGAATATGGAATTGTCGGATTAGATTACTTACCGGCAATACCGGTGATAGGGCTGGAAGAAGAGTCTTTATCACCAATGGAGTAGCCGTCGGCGGTGAACTGCCAGAAACCCTGGGAGTTGTCGACGTCGGCATACTGGAGAGATCCAGTGTACTTAGACTTGTCGATGAATCCAAAGTCGTAGGTACCAGGAGCCTGGTGCTTCAAAGTCACCGCGAAGAGAGGCGAGTCCAGGTCAGACTTGACGGTGTCAAAGAAGGTAGTCTGGGGCTTAGGCGAGACTGTAGGCGTATATAATTAGCAACTTTTCAAATATAAGAGCTCTAGGGTATAATTTGCAGTGCTCACCAGTGTTGATAGAGCTGAATGCCAGACCCAGGAGACCGTCATTGTTGCTGTCCTGGGTGAACTGCTGGCTGATCCGGCTAGCAGCCTCGACAGCCTGCTTTTGGGCAGTGACGCCACCAACAGTGACGGTGTCCTTGTAGACATCGCCGCTGGCAGAGCTGCCGTCGCCGTACGAGATTTGCCAGCTAGCTCCACTAAGCTTAGAGCCACTGCTGCTAGGCTTGTAGATGCTGTGTCCGCTCTGCTCACTTGAGGGCAGCTCAGAGGAGAATACCCAGCTAGAAATGATAGTCAGCACTGTATACCATGGTAGGGAATTCTCGAATTCTCACTCACAGATCGGCAGAGCCAGTGTCAAAGTCCAAGTGAAGGGTCGTGCCACCGACCTTGACGGGAGTCAGGTACTCCGCGTCATTGTCCTCGGGAGTGGTGACAGCGCTGCCCTTGGAGGCGGCGTCCTTGACGCTCTGAGGGACGGTACCACCGTACTTGTTCAGAGCATTGGCGTACACTCCGGGAAGGTTGATGCTTCTCGTCTTGTTTCCTGCCTTGGCGAGCTGGTTGACCGTGAAGCCCTTGCGAGGCTCAGCAAATGGCATAGCCGATGCAGCGGTGGAAAGGCCGATCATCACGGCGGTAGCTTTGCTGAGGACGACCATTTTGGCGGTTGAAAACGAAAGTGTTCAAGACTTGAAGAGTGTCTGTCACAAAGAGAGAGTCTGGGAAACCTGCTTGATGAGGATCGAAGACGATGGATGATGAGGATGAAGAACTGATGTTGAGCAGCTGGACGAGACTTCCTTTATACCTTTTCATCACCCTATATCAAGCATCAAAAGACATAATGATCCACTGTAAAGACGAGGTCGCATCATGGTATCCAGCTCTGCTGCTCCTCTTCCCCCACCGACCGGAGTCCATGCATGGTAGAGGAGAAGGACATACTTCTCTTCCAGGAAGAAATCGATGAAGATCTCAAGACTACCAAACCTTTGAGGCACGGTGTTTCTCGCCATCGTCCAGCAGGATGTCACAACCATATCCTGCTAAGGTTGCCAGCACGAGATTACAACCCGTGAAAAAGTGATAGCGAGTAGGATGTGAGGAGACAATCAAGGATGATAGGCAGGTACATGGGCAGGGATCCTCTGGATGTTACAGCGGAGTAGCAGGTTGCTTGTTTAGAATAAGATTTCCTTTTTTTTATTGTCCCACCAACTTAATCAAATGCTCGACGGACAACGTCGGGGGACAAAAAGGACATGGTCTCGATTTCCCGGACTAGCAGCCTGAAAGGTTTCATTCGATGGGTGTTTGATGGCTGCCCTGTGGGGAGGAGAGGCAAGTGCGGCAGTTAGGGTCTGGTGTACCTATCCTAGAAGAAAATCACCACCTAATTAGTACGAATTCAAAGACACAACAGTACCTGCGGAGCTCACTGATGACTGTTGAGTCTGGAAATGGCGATATCTGCCAGGAATGTACCATTTGCCTCGTGACGGAGATAGTGGTGGGAGGGACAATGCTGGATGACTGTAAAGTGACTAACTTCCCCCCCTCACAAGCCAGTCAGAAGACCGGGCCTGACTAGGTATGAGACATTGTGACCTTAGTCAGACCGTCCTGAAGACAATCGATATTGCTATCACATGGATGTGCCTGGGTGCATGGAGGCAGAAAGAGAAAGAGGGAGAATATCCGTCTGTGGGAACCTTGGGCGATGAGGGGAGATCGGGGCTAACAGACGGCGACCCTGAAGATCCGGCCTTATCTGCTTCATCCGAGATGGAATGTCAAGTCCGAGAGAGGGACGAGGGATGGAGACAGTGATGGCGATGGCTGACTGGCTGGTCCGCAGCAAAAGGCGATATTAAGGATGGTGTTCCTTTCTCCCCACCGGGCAATCAGAAGAGGGCCACAAGAGTCCACCTGTAACGTCGCGATAAAAGACATCCAGAGCCCCGACGGGAGTCCGGGAAATCAAAACATTCTGGGTCAGAATTGCATCTCTTGATGGCAGCTGCAGAGCAAATGAGAGCGACTCGGGAAAGGCCGACAGCTCATCTCGAACAGCCAGCGCGACTAGTGCGGAGCGATGTCACAGTCAGACTTTGGCGATCCACCCCGGTTGATTAATTAACGATTCTATTCCAAACAAAAGGGTCTTTCTCGGCGGTCGCTAGCCGGATGGTGTAGCAGGGGGCAGTAATGAGTGAATCTAGAGTGATGAAGTTATCATTTGACGATTGACAGATTGGCGCTAAATGGCTAGAGGCGTCGATCTTGGAGATGGTCGATAAGGCCAGGATCGGACGAGGCCGAAGATGGCATGATTATGGCTGTCTCTTGCAATATTATTGATTCTGTACTTTTGATTTAATCATTGGTATACCGGTGACTCCAAAAGAAATAAAATGTCTCATTTCATAATGAGACATTTTATTTCTTTTGGAGTCACCGGTATACCAATGATCCTCGCGACATATGCAATATAAATCAGGCAATGTAAACCTCCCCAACATGTGAATGTACTGTATTCTACCCAGGATGAAACATGGCATCCAACACTACCGTTTCCATATCCACAGCATAATGCCAAATGTACTTAAATATTAACAGCAGAAATGAAAACCAAACATGTATATCGTTCCCTTGAGGGCCTCCTTCTAGAAAGTCAACAAAGCAGCTCGCCGTCATGTAAAAAGGAAAAAGGCTCGTAGGGTATTTCATAATATAGAGAAGATCAACCCAAGACTTGAGTCGAACAGCAAAACATCATTAATCCAAGCCCACCCCGGTAGATCGACAATGCATAGACAAGGAACATCACTTCAGATATCTCATGACGAATGCAGGAACTGAGAAGGTAGATTGCTTCCAGCGGACGAATCAGCACCCTCCCCACTTCCATCATATTGTTCATTGAGAAGAACCTCCAGCATGTCGAATTCACCAACCATGGGCCCTGTGCCTCCAAGACCCTGGTCAACTACCGCGGTGGAGCTGTTGAAGAACTGATCCAGCGGAAGAGCAAACCAGTCCGGAAGACCACTAGAGTTGTTGGCCTGGTCGTGGTTCATTGACTGCGATGGAACGCTCGAACCCTCCATCTCCCCTGTGGATCGTGGCGCATTTGAGTCGTAGTAGTTGTAGTAGACCGACGGTGGTGGTGGCATGAACGAGACATTAATATTTGATGAGTTGATCGGTTGTGCAGGGATCCCAGCCAGTGGGTCATGGACGGACCCCATGGTCGTACTTGTTTGATTGCTGCCATCAACGTAACCAAGATTCTGCCCCGTACTGGGTGTTTGCCAGGAGTGAGTTGACCCCTCTCGTCGGCTTTGCGCGCCGTCACGCGGACGTGGCGACTCCTGCCTCGAGACAGGTGCTGATGTACGATCCTGGCTTTCACCATCGTTTCCACGGTCCAAGGGCGCGAATCGCAGAAAACGCGTACGGATGCTGGTAGTGAGCAGTTCCAGCAAGCGGGCAATGGTATGGCTTAGATGAACGTCGTCCACGACACATGTCCGTAGTGCTTCTACTGTTCGGTCCTGAAGGTCCAAAGACACACGAACATCGTCTTCTTTCGCACCAAGCGTAAATGTCTAGAAAAAATATTAGTCTTAGAGAACAAACTTCCCAATACCGGGGAACACACCTTGAGAATGAAGATCATGCCAGAAAGAATGCGAAAGCATGTCCTCACGGGTGTGTGCTTAAGATGGTCTCCAGGAACAAGTTTTTCCAGCACAGTCGTCAGAATCTTTCGTGATGCATCAACGACTTCCTGGATATATTGTTCATTCACCCGGTATAACTCCATCAGCACTCGGAACCACCCTCCCGAGGGCGGCCCTGATCCTGCTTGAGCGGCCTCGTTCGACATCGTTGTCCAGCGGTCGACCACAGCTTGCAGAGCCAAAGAGTTGACGTACAGACCTGAATATCATTAGCATAATATAAAAGGATTTGAGAGCACAAAAAGATAAACCTACGTGTATATTCGTATTCGATCATCAATATACTGCGCATTGCAGGGTTAACTGGTTCGGGTTAGCTCTTGCTTAAAACAAAGCCAAGTGATGCTTGTCAGACAGGCCACTTACGACTGATGGAGTCAATATTCTGTCGGAATTCCCGCAAAAATGGCTGGAACCTATCGATCTGATCTCGGTACCGTCCGCTTCTGATTAGCTCCGATGTCTGTTCGTTTGACGCGAACAGCAGTTGGTTACTCTGATACATGATCTTGGAAATCCCAATCCAACAATCATGCATCTTATCAACGGTCGTATCGTCGCTCCTAGAATCCGTGGCAGAAAAGGGCTGGATGTCATTTGCCCATTGGGGTAGAGGAAGCATGGAAGGTATTCCCAGACGCCCACTGCTCTGAGTGATGTATACGAGTATGAGGCGGCGGAGTCGACGCTTTCGCAGCTGCTCAGCTGGGGTGTCAATTGCAGCTTTAGACTCGCTCTTTTGGTCAAACACCCCCAACTCAAATGCCAAAGCCTGCGCAGTACTCAGCAGCATCCACGACATTCGGTCTGACCGCCATGCGGGCTCCAACCACTTTTGAAACGCAAGCCTGCCTTCCGCGGCGCTGTTAGACGCCCTGTTCGCAGTTTGCTCGCTTTCATTTTCCAGATCCTTTGTTTGAGTCTGGGCATCCAAATCCAAGAGGGTGTTCTCATCGTCACCAGGAGGGAAATGCAAGTTCCTTGGGTGCCAGTCTGTTAAAAGCAGCAAGGCCTCGACTGTACCAAGGGATCTCAGATTTCCCTTCAAGTTCACTACGCCCGAAGTGGGCGCAAGGTCAAATGACCGTGGTTTGCTGCTACTTCCACCGAATTTTTCTTGGCCCCAGAATAGACGTTCAATCATACCTCGGAGGTACGACCAGAGTCGGTCATGGATGTAAAAAGAGCGCGTATAGGCTCCATCCCCCTTTGGCTTCATATGCCGCGAAGCTGTCGTAAGTATGGTGACCGCCAGCACCGGCTCATCCGTGAGAAGTGAACGATGTGTGGAAAATTGAGAGAAATCGGGAATGACAATAGGGCTCAGCGGAGCGAGATGCTCATAGTAACTACCGCGACTGTCAGTAAAATGGATTTATATATTTCATTGCAATCAGTGCAATAAATATATCACAACTTACTATTCAACATAGGCCATAGCCTCTTCAACTGTAAGCCAACCTGCTCGAACGAAACGCAATCGTGACCATGCTTTGACAGCATCCAGGAACCCTGGGTCTTGATGATTGCCCGAAGAATCTGCCTGGTCACGATGATCTTGGACCTGAGGGTCCACGGTACCAGACCCGGCACCCTGGTAATAGTTACTCATGGGCATGGTACTGGCCCGGGGTCCCCTCGTAAAGGACCCGCCGGCGCTTCGTGGAGTACCGGCCTGGGTCATAGGGGACATGGGTGAATTGAACGAGGACACAGACTGTCGAGTAGCATAACGATTCTCGAGGCTCTGTCGATTGAGATCCTCGGTTCGCCCAGCCGCCTCAGACAAGAGATGAAGGGCATCATGACTGTTACTGATGGCTGGTGATAGCAACTCGACGGCAGTGCGATTCATCATCGGCTGGCCTCCCTCGAGGCCGTAACTCATCCCAGCGGTTCGCTCGCCGACCGGGTACATTGATGACATGCGGATACTCCTTGCATCTTGTAGGTGCCCCGTAGACGCAGATGGATTGGGGGTGTATTTCTGGGGTATATTAGGAGGAGGAAGCCTGCTGACAGCTGGGGACTCCTCGGGCCACTTTGGGCGAGGATCACTGGCATCATTATCGAACGTGGGGTCTGGCTGTTGAAAAGGCGACCCATCACTGATGGATTCATTCGAGGGCCCCTCTCCAACCATCATCCGCTTATCACGCCGCAGCACCCCATCCGCATTTTCTTCTACCTCCGAGGGTTTGCGCTTGCGTCTCGTGGCGGAGAACTCGCATCGTTTGCTTTCGCGTCGACATCGTACGCAGGGGGGAGGACGGGGATTATCGACGCCTGTAATTCCAGATCAGCCTAATGTGTTACTCCATATCATCCGCGAGATCCATCTTACTTCCTAGGTCACACTTGACCTTGCGCTTGCGACACGGATCGCATGCCTGATAACCGCGACGATGATGGGCCTGGGGCGACGGCGATTTCTGAGCCTCGCCGGCGTGCGAGTAGAGACCGCTGTCCTGATTCCCATGCCCTGCTGCCATCATGGCCCTGGAATGCTCGCCTGGTATCGGCGCAAAAGAGTGGGCTATGGAGGATGGAGTTGCCGATGCAAAGCGAAGGGCCGCCAAAAAGCGGTGGGGTTCGCGGGCGCTTTATCAGGAACGGCCGGCGACTTTCACTGTTTCTTTTCTTTTCCTTGATTTCTTTTTTTTCTTTTCTTACTTGATCAGATCCGTGATATTCTGGGGTAGGAAAAGAAACAAAAACCAAAGCTTGATCCAATGCAATTGTCCTACTCACCGCCAACAGTTCTTTGGATGGCAATGATGAGGAGGAAGTCGGCTGGACAAGTGACCTGCCATGCAGCTTTGAAAATTCATTGATTTTGTTGGGTGAGAAATGCGGGGTAGAACAAAATACAGAATTTCGGAGAAAAATTCCCTTGCTTTGTTGTTCTTTTCTTAGAACTGGTTATCAATGAGAATTCATATAGACTCGGTGCTAATATCCATCGTCGACCTCTGGCCTCGTCCTGTGATCGCAATTCTAATGCGAATGGGGATAACTATTCAATGATTCAAGCCTGTCGAAATCATGCAAGATGCTTGCTTAGAAATACAGAAACACGTATGGTGCAATTGGCCTACAATATCGCCACACTCAAGACACACAAACACGCTGGTAAAGGGGAAAGAAATGAGAGCAGAAAAAGAAAATACAACTAGATCGTCAATCTCATGCAAAGCATACAAACCTGCGAAGCCAATCATCCTATTGGGGGGAATAAATAACATCGCAACCCTTTAAACGTATTAAAAAACAGCCAAAATGGCACACCCCGGTGAGGGAAAGCTTCGGTCACTATTAACTAGCTCTTAAGCTAATTGTTGGAACGAGGGCGAAGCGTAGGAAAAGGTGGGGATAGGTTTCTTCCCCTTGTCTGACGTGATATCGCCGTTTAATTTCGATCCTGGATCCAGGGACTTCCGGAAATAAACTGACTGACTCGAAACCACACTATCTGCGCTATCACGCCGCGTTGTCAAGCGCCCTGGAAGGAGACCACGAACGCCGCCAGCCTTCCTGGCGGGGATTTCCGACGTTCCCGCTGTAAGAACGTATAAAAGATACTTCAAATTGGGCAGGGTGTGGCGGATGTCAAGCTCCCGTAGACCTTGCTTGTTGAGTAGAAACTCAATATCTTTGTTCAGAAGAAAAACTCCGTATTCAAAGCGGTAGTTGACATTCATCGGATATAGTGGGAACCTTCTCTGGGGAAGCGAGACTGATACAGGGTCTTGAACCAGCGTGTTCGACAGATGCGGGCTGATAGGGTATGGGATGGTGATCGATAGATAGAATGAGAGCAGGTAGACCAAGTGCGCGGTGTATCCAAGGGCTGCCGCGACGGATTCACGGTCAATATCTTCGAAAGTTGAATTCGGAAGAGCAAGACCAGCAATGGTGAAGGCCAGCGGTTTTTCGGGAATCGGTTCAATGGGATAGATCGTCAGGAGGTCTTCAGAAATGCGCCGGATCTGACCCTTAGATTCCTCCGTGTTTTGGTCCAACAGTTTGGCGCTCGATGCCAATTTCACCTGAGCATCGGGGAGATGACTGCGGGCCTTTTCTTGGGTATGACGTCCGCGCTCCATAGCTTCCTTCCTCGTTTTTATACTAGCGATAAGTTCCTCCTTTCGCTTATTCGTTGAACGTAGCTGTTTTCTCTCAGCTGCAACGGCCTGCTTGGTGAGTGCAAGCTTTTCTCGAGCCCGAGAAGCTTCGCCTGTCATCGTCAAAGTATGCTGGTTATTTTCTAGAATCGAGCTGATTTGAGATTCGAGTTTCTCCCGTGTTGCCAGTGCATCTTGAATGCATTCATCTAGATTCGCCAATCGCATCAGCGCATCGTACGACGATGTTGGCAACGTGTTTCCGGCTGTAGAGATAGGCCTCGAGATACTGCTGATGGGTAAAGGCGTCCAAACCGGCGGAATGTCCGTGAGATTGGTATAAACACCATCTGTGAAATGGAAAAGAATAGAGTTTGACGGAAGAGGCTGGTGAAAGTTATCCAACGACTTGCCAAGGAATTGCAACGACTGGAGATGCAGCTGCAATTCAACCAGCAAAGCATACTCTTCCATAGCCGTCGTTTTTGCCCATAGTTTTAGAGTAACATGGTCCAACCGGGAAACCAATGGCCCACACGCATTAAGATCAAAGGATCGGAAGCTTGGGTTGGTAGCATTCTCTACGACCTCACTGATATAGATTGGCGAATCGATACCATCGCAATGGATTGAGAACCACGTGTCCGCCATTCTGCTCTTTGTGATATCTTCCAGTTTTATCTGTCTCGTCTGCGGATTGGGATCACTCCAAGGCAGCGTGCTTCTCCGGCGCGGTGGTCGTACCACCGGTCTCTTCTCGGTGCGGCTCCGGCTTTCATCAGTCTCCGCGGATTTCAAGCTGGTGAACGACCGTGACGAATGCAAAGCACGACTATCATTCTGGGCCAGAATCTTTGAAGGCGATTGTAGAGAGTTGGGAATGTCTTCATCGTCGATTGCTTTCCCACGAGCCTTGTTCGAGGGTGGAGTGACGACAACGTTGCGAAAGGAGATGCCCTGGAGGTGTCGAAGCTTGCGGTTCTAACATAGGTCATCAGCCACGAAAACAAATATTCAAAAGGTATTTGGAATGGATAGAATCTACCGATGGAAACAACCAGGGTCTATCACGACGACTGCCTGCGCCATCGCCGTCGAGGCCGCCCGAAGTGTCCTCCATCAGTGACATTGCGGGCCGTCGGATGATAGCTTAGCTTTCGCACGGGGATATCTCTATTCGCCCGGTCATTATTATAGTAAAGAAAAGAGCTCAAAACTCGAGCACGCGCATTTGAGAGGAAAAGAAACCCTCGCAATTGTAAGCTCTGTGATGGTGGCAGCAGTGTAGTTGGAGTCGATCGCGGAGAGTCCAGCGGCGTCACTCTAACCCGTTCGGTTCGGATTCCCCATCAAAAATTGATCCGCGCTTCGACTTCACCTTCATTTCACCATCTGCCGTCGCTCCATCGGACCACATCTCCCACATCTCCCCTCGGCCATGCGATAGGCTGAACGGCCACAATAAATCTCAATCCCTATTTAATCGACATCAAAGAGGGAGCCGCACGACTGCTGTTCGGTCGGCCGCAATGGCCTCGCAATCACTCCAGAAACCCTTCCAGAAGATCTTGGATCCTACCAAGATTGGAACCTGGAATATCGTCCGCCGCCCGCCAATCGAGAACCAATCTGTGATCCAAGGGAAAGCTCGCGAGCAGAATTCAAATGCTTTCAAGGCACACCAGGAGAAGGAGGGAGTCCGGCTTCGCAAGGCCCTGAATGCCATCACCCACGGGAAGAACATCTTTGTCTACCACAACATCCGCACCAACCAGGTTGTTTACTCGTTGACTCGGTATCTCGAGGTGAGATAGTCCTTCCAATTTAAGACAACGAAAAATGGCTCTGTTATGCTAATTTACCGGGCTTCACGATAGAAAAACAGTGTCCTCCGCCAGCTGGTCTATCACGGCAAGAAAACCGTTCCCGCAACTCTCCGGAAAGATATGTGGGTTCCCTACTACTCGGTGCACTTCAACGATACCAAGGTCGGTCTTCGCGCCTACCACCTCCTCCGCGAGTTCGCCATGCAGCGTCAACTTGCTCCCCCACGAGAAATGGTCACAATTAGCGAGCAGTTCCTGAACCAGAAGCGGCCACGAGACCCAGAGGAGGCCCGCAAGTTTGACGAAAAATTCAAGGACAAGGTTGGCTGGTTGATGGAAAAGAAGGACCGTGCCCGTGTCCTCATGGACCAGAAGGCCACCAGTGTCGCTGACATTGCTGCTGTTCTGGCTATTCAAGAAGAAGAGATCAAAAACGGATTTGCCGATGGAAAGAGAGGTTACCTTACCCGTACCGCCAGAAGACGCCGTAGGGATGCTCGCACGAAGGAAGAGGCGAAGGCGGCAGAGCAGGCCGAGCGTGTGGCCGAATTCGAGAAGGCCCTGAGCACCCCCGGCGTGGAATACAAGATCCAGGAGCCTCAGGGAGGCGAATACGCTCTGAGCGAGGGCATCAAGGTCCTCTGGACCGACGTTCACGACGCCCGGTATGCTCAGTCGTGGCCCGAACAGGTACGACACGGTGAACTGGACTTGACCCGCCAACATGTCATCCCGGGACAAAAGGCCATCTATGGCACCGAGGTGCTTGCGGATGGCTCTTTCAACGAGAAGGCTTAAAGCACCAAATGTGATACATTCTTCCCTTGGTGTTTTCTGTGAATATACATTTCCAAACGACTGTCTTGAAATTTTTTGGTTCGAGCTGCATCTGTTGCTACCGAGTGATTCTATACTCCCCTGCATTCCAAATTGTACTTTTAGATAACTACTACTTTTCTTTTTCTATTGTGGAAATGATACAAGGGCGTTTAGCAGATAAAACTGGAGTTTGTTCTAATTCCCCCCTTTTCCAAACAGAAACACAAGTCCCTAGAAAACCCATAGAAACCCATGCTGGTCTATTTCAAATTGGAGTTGACATCATGGACGTAACCATATAAGCACATGCGTGGTAAATATGAAAGGAAAAAAAAATCAAAACCCCTCTATCGGTCTACGCCTTGCTCTTTTTGCCGGCTCAAGAAACAAGATGGCAAAGCCGAAGAGACATCGGGTCCCGAAAAACAGGTAGATAGAAAAGAAGAGAAAAGAGAAGTGAAGTGCAGTGCAGTGAAGGAAAATCCTTCATGACCAAAGTGTGAATGAAAAAGGCAAGAATAAAAAGTTTGTAATGACAATAATTGTCCTTGATAGTTACTGGCCAAGTGACACGGCACAGGGACTCTTAGTCCCTAGTAGAAGATGAAGATTTGTAGTTCATGATCGATGCCAGCAATAACAGAAGTAAAAAAAAAAAAAAAGAGTAATAAACGCCAGTCCAATCCAGCCAATCCAGCCAGGGCCATAACTCAAAGCTTTCTATCTTTTCAGAATATAATGACAATTCTGATGAGTATATTCTACTCAGGGATTATTGGTATTAGTGGGCGGCAGCGCCTCGCTATGTTCGTTGACAGACAGCTCTGGACCAGGCCCGTCATTGGACATTTTCTCGAGAATTTCACCTTGGGCCTTTTCGGCGGTTTCGGCGTCATCCGTGATTCCGGCGTTAGCCATGCTCTTCCTAGCTCCTTCGACAATCTTGTCTGCCTCGCTCACACCATGGTCGACATTTGTAGGATCACCATCCACACCGATCGGCTCAGCAGTGCGATTGACGACTTCTTTGACGCGATTTGAGTCAAAGCGAATAACCATGCAAGACAGGTTATCTGTGCTAAATCGTGCGAGAGCATGGTCCACGAGAATCTTCGAGGCCTCTTGGGCATCTCCAATGTTCCTGACAAGGTCCACGGCTTCCTGATCACTGCAGACATCCCAAAGCTACATGTCCAGTTAAATTTTTGTGTCCATTGAAAACTAGAATAGGAATATAACTTACCCCATCGCAAGCCAAGATAATGAATTCGTCAGAGTCTGGCTGGATGACTGTCTCAGTGGTGTATGGATGGCCGGTGACGAGGTCCTTGAGGTATGCATCACCCAGAGCTCTGGTTACGGCAAGGACACCGTTGACTCTGTTGTTGAGGATCAATCCTCCAGCGTTGGCTATCCGCTTGCCCTCATTCTCATCGCTCCCTTTGTGATCGTAAGATAAGCGCAGCGCTTTGCCATTGCGACATAATATAATGCGGGCATCGCCGACATTGGCCGTATAGAGAACACGTTGGCGGGCGGCCTTTTCTTGTAGCTTTGGAATAGAAGACGGAGTTGTCTGAGTTGGGGTCTCCCCGGCGTCGGACGCGGTATCACCCTTTTGTGCCGCTGCAGCCGCGGGGGCAAGGGCGGCGGATCCTGTTGCTGATTGTGAGCTGGGAACTCTATCTTCCCATCTTAGAAGAGCAACCACGGCAGTGCAGCCGCTGTTCTTTAACGGTAACTTTTCCAGCTGTTGGTCAACGCTGGTGAACGTTTGATCCAGAAGCTCCGGAACAGGTGCGTTGGGGTTTCTTCGCATTATTTCCTCGAGAATGAGATGCAATTTTTTCCCGCACCATTCGGCCGCGAAGGTACCCGCATGCCCATCGAAGATTGCAAAATAGCCATTATCGGTTTCGACAACACTGGTGACCTCTGCAGTGGGGGAGACATCACCGGAGCCGGAAGACTCCTTGCCATTGACAAGAGCCTCGGCAGACGGAGAGGGCGTCCCCAGGAAATTGTACAGGTAGGCATGTGTATCTTCCATAGTCCGACGACATTTTCGATTCCGATCTTCTGTGACACCAACTCTGAACGATGAGCGCAAAGTGGGGAGCGATTCGCCAGCCGAATTGTTCAACGATCCCTGTGGAACACTCAATGCTGGATCCATTCTTCCGAGCTTCTGCAGCGCAGTCTGCGGGCCCTGGAATCCGTTGTTACTCGGTGCTTCGCGCGGACTGTTGCCACTGAGAGAATTTTTGGCGTTGCTGAAGAAGGTCGCCGCTTTTGTGACTGTGCTACTTCTGCGCCTCTTGTCTCCACCGGGACTTTGGTCGTCACTTGTTTTTCTGGTAAAGAATCCGCCCGGAGGAGAGATTGAGAATTTCTTCTGAGACACGTTGGCGTCGTCGGTGTTTATGGCCAAGGATGGTGTATCAATAGGACCGGATTGTGGAATTTCTGGCTTCTCTTTGGGTGGGCTCGAGGAGCCACTGAACATTCTGTTCAGCAACCCACCCTGGCTAGAAAAACTTCTCCTCTTATTACCTGCCAGCTTGATTGTCGGCACCTGAATCTAGGGATATCGACCCAGGTTAAGTGGATGGTTGAAGGGAGAACGAGATGGAAGACGGCGGAGGATAGGAGAGGCGCCGAGAACTGAACTGACGTAGGGTTTCGGGATAGATTGCGGAAGCGAGGGAACAAAGCTGAGTGAAAGGAATCTGTCAGCGACTAATTTGGAACGACAGTAAATCCTATCTCTCATGCGGGAGGAGAATAATAAATGGTTATTCCGAGAATTCGGATGGCCTGGGCAGCAGGCAATGCCATCGGATGACGGGTCAAATCTGGGGTGATCAACCGACAGCTGAGTGGCATGTCATGATAAATCTCCCTTGAAGGGAAATAGATCGCAACCAAATAGAAGCAAGCATATTTGTCTCATATCAACCCAAGCCAACAGTGACAGTCTAAAGCCGAACTGATGCCCTCAGTCAGGCATGAGGATTATCGCCTGGTCCTGGCCAACCCCACTGCGCGCCGGCTGGAAATGACAGGGTATCTAAAGCGCCGAACAATCACAGCGAAGGAAGTCAAAAGCACTCACGAGGAACAGTTTTTAGTAGAAACTAAATCTTGAGATCCGTTTCTGACGATGTTCAAGCAGCAAACCCGAACAGTGGAAAAGGTGTTTGAGGATGGGTTGTTGAGGTGGGTTTGATGGCGATGCTGCGGTTGAGGCGGCACAGCCAAGGGACTCTGAGCGATCCCGAAGGCGGAGAAAGCCTGGGGGGGAAAGCGCCTAGAAAAACACGCGACAAGAACGGGCGGAGTGGGATGTCTCGTAGAATAGAATATAATGGATATTATTATTTTGGGGAAATTACATATCAGAAAGACAAGACAAATTGATGATTATGGGGTAGACATTGAAAAAGAAAAGAAAGAAAAGGGAAGCTGGAGAAGAAAAGCTGAACACAGCATCATTATTGCTGCGATCTACGATGGTGTCATTAGTGATACCCACACTAATGGGAATAGAGAACGCAAGGAGGAAATGGCCACACCTAGCCTGGCAATCTCTCGCCTCATTCCTGATTAAGTGTGATGCTCCTTTTTATATAAGGGGGTCCTTTTGCTCAATGATGCCGGGTTTCCCGGTGCTTTTGACCATACCTGCGTTCTAACCAGGGGTGAAGAATCTCGTCTATATACAGGGCACGGAAATCATGTCGCTATGTAAATTAGACAAGCAGAAACGGCAAATGCCGTTTCTCGGCCGTTTCTCCAGATATACCAGTTAATGATCATCTTTCTGTGTACAATTTCTTGTTCTTCCCGGTTCTTCCTGTTCTCCGGATCCGTTGGCGAGTCGGGGGCAAATCCAATGCGTCCTGCGTCCATGGTTCAACAAGATGACGCGGGGACATCAATCTGGTAGAAATTGGACTCGGCCCGATGGAACAGTTGTTATACCAATACATATAATATCGCCCCCAATTCAGCGACGGGCCAAATATCTATTCAGTCGTATACTCGGGATAGTCGTTAAAGGAATCATCCCCAAGAACTGAAATCGCCGAAGCCACCGGTTCCCTTGACCTTCTTTCGCACAGGCTCGGGCTCGGGCTCTTCGTCGACAAATTCAACAATCTCGTCTTCATCCTGTCCTGTCTGGCTAGCCAGTGCAGCCTTAAGGTACTTCCCTACTCCGCCGGCAGAGCCGTCGTCGGCTGCTGCTGTGTTGGAATCGCGAACCCTTTTTCCGGTCCACGTCATGCGGTCGTCGTCCTCTCGTCTGGAGTCCTTTTCCACATCAGCGGTGCCTTCAGCAAGCGCCTTTCCCTTTGCCTCTTCTGCTTGTTTCTGCTTCAGGAATTCTTCAAAGGGATCTACAAAGATAGTGACATCTTTGATGCGAACGTCTGGGGTAGGTCTGTTAGTTGAAGAGTTAACCGGGTGAGCTTCGAGGCTGTTTAGTGTCGCCGAAGAGGGGGTTGGGTCGTCGATAATATGGCCGAAAATAGTGTGCTTGTTGTTCAAATGAGGAAGGGCGCGGTAAGCAATAAAGCTGAGGAAATAGTCAGTACGTGCTTGTTTGACATGCGTAAAGAAATGCAGCTGAAGACTTACAATTGGCTGCTATTCGTGTTTTTGCCCTTGTTCGCCATACTGAGAGTTCCTCTCGAGTCGTGCTTTAGAGGCCCCTCAAATTCATCAGAGAAATACTTGCCCCAAACACTTTCACCTCCCCTTCCAGTACCAGTGGGATCTCCACCTTGGATCATAAATCCTTTGATATTTCGGTGGAAAGCAACATCTCTGTAGTATCCTTTCTTGGCAAGCTTGAGGAAGTTCCATACAGCTTTTGGTGCGTATTCGGTATGCAATTCCAGATTCAAATCCCCAGAAGTGGTTGAAATGCGGGCATAGCCTTTGTGCTTGACTCGGCCGCGCTTCAGCATATATTCTTCATCGGAGAGAAGAGCAAGCTCGCCAGACGTATGAGGTGTCATCCCAGTACTTGTCAGCGACGCAGCGGCCAAACCAGTAGTGTGTTTAGCTGCATTATACGGAACCGCCTTCCCAGACTGAAACGAAGCCGTTTTCTGAGATTGCGATTTAGCATTGGCCACACTTCCAGTCTTTGAAAGTCCCTTGGTAGCAGCAGAGCCAGCCTGCTGAGCCCTCTCTGCACGAGCCTTGGCCACCGCTTCTTTGGCCTTCAGAATCTTCGCAGAACTGCCAAGCGCATTGGCGTTCACATTGTTTGACGGATCCTCACGCTCTCGCAATTGTTCGTCAGTCAATCCGCTTTCTCCTTCTTTTAAGTAGTTGAACGAGCTGAGATTCCTCGACTCGATATTTTGCGGGTCCTGCAATGTAATGATGTCCTTCCGTCCGAATTCCTCGTCCGTAACAAGGTCACGCCACAGCTTCCCCTTGATGTTCAGTCTCTCAACAGTATCCCACGCAAAAACATTCCCAGTAGTACGCAAAGCGACGACGTGCGTGTTGTCTGTCAAAACCTTATACGTCACAGGATCGATATATTCCCCCGATTCGTTCTTCGCGAGATGGAGCTTGATCAAGTCGGAGCTTTTGAGCGGCGTGCCATCGACAGGATTCTTGCCGTGCTTTTTTATCCAAGGCAAAATATTGGTAAGGTCGAATATTGTTCCGGACGAGGTGCAAACCGGGTGTTCGAAGGGCTGGAGTGAGAGGGAGCAGAAATTAAACGGGAGTCGCTTGAAAGCCGCATGAGGGCCTCCTCTCCTCGCACCGCCCACGCCAGCGCCGGCGCTGGCAGAGTAAGCGTCTTCCGACGCCCATTCGGAATGTGTGATCTATATTTCAACCAAATGATCAGTAACTGCTGATGAAAAAAGTGAGGACACACCGCGGAGAAGCAGTTAGGCCGTGGACAAAATGTCGTACATAGAGCTTATCAGTTCCTATGAAAGAATTAGACTCGGGCCATCAATACTCTAAGCCTGGAAAGCAAAAAAAAAAAAAAAAAAAAAGACATGAATGCTTACCTTTTCCCATTGTGATGGATTAATTTGGTATCGTGTTTGCGATCTTCGCCGCTGCTTCGCGCCGCGACATGATGTAGTATCATATGCCGCTAGCCTTTTTAGGTTAGTCTCATAATCACCCGTCTACGAAGTACTAGCTACAGAGCATCTCTAAAGCACTTGAAGAGAAATTAAAGTCATGATAGAATCTTATATGTAAAAAGGGAAGAAAGGAAAATGATACATTCTAATACTACATGTATCATAGTCGCTTCTTGTGCATTAAACAGGCGCTGTAATGGCATTCCCTTGTAAACACCACCAGTGCAAAAAAAGCTGATATTCTCCTCTTCGACCCTATGCTCTCCTACCAATAAACGCCTGCATTTATATGTTCGGTCATTAACGTGTCGTAAAAGATGTAGGCCTTCTTTTTATGCAGAGGAGGTTTGGAACCGCAAAGGCACCACCCAGCGATTTCCAAAGTCGATTCCGTGGCGCCGACGAGTGCCGTATTTCCTCCAAACAATTTGCGGTATCCCGATATCTGCGACACTGAGATTCCACACTATGCCTTCGCCCGTAAGTAGGGCGTTGAGTACCCCAGTCTTAGGTGCTCCAAGGCAAACCACTGATTTTGAGTTGATGCACAATCGACCTCCTTCTACCAAAGTCACCTCGCCTGTAAATTCGTTGTTCAGCTCATGCAGCATAAATCTAAAGAATTGCTCGGAATGCTTACCACTCGAAGCAGATAGTCCGGATGGCACGTCGACAGACATGACATCGACATTACTTCGGTTGACCCAGCCAATCATTTCGAATGCCGTGCCTTGGTCGTCCGTACGAAGATCTTCAAAGGCAATATGCATTCCGAACAGTGCATCAATGACTAGATCAGGTCCAAAGTCAGACGTTGACAATCGCGCCGATAATTCCTCCCATCTGAGCACACGTCCACCAATCTTCTTGAATACATCAAGTTGTTTGCGGCAGCTCTCAAGCAACTCGCTCTCATGTTCAAGACCCAACATGCAGACAGTCACACGGTGGCCTCGATTGCGAAGATGGCGGGCAGCCGAAACAGACCTTGCTCCCGTCCGATGATTGCCCGTAAGCACTAGCATCGTAGGGGCCGCGGAATCGTTAGGAAGAAGACCAACAGCAGCTTCCGCAATACCTCGTCCAGCATTTTCTGTGATCATGTCTTCAGTCAACCCAAGCTCCGCAACCGCAATCTGCTCGACCTCAAGCGTTTGCAATGGGCTCACAGTTGGGCAGCTCCGATTAGTGGTAGTCAGCCGCAATGATGCGCCAGACACGCTTGGGCCATTCATAGGTGACACTGGGATGGGAGTTTTAACCGGGTGGGGACTTGTAGTGCGAGAAATGCTCAACTGGCTCCGTCCAAGGGTGTTTATTTGAGGAACCAATGGCTGTCCCAATATAGCACTGCCCTTTCGAGAACTTTGTGTTCGTGCAGAGGCCCTTGAGAGCTCACGCCCCGAGTAAGTTTCACTACTCAACTTCGCATCGCTAGGCTCATCGGTATCGCCATTCTCACTGTCTTGAGGACTGTCGAGTACGTTCTCAGTCCAGTGAAGATTCTTGCCGCCATTGGTCCCTGGTTTGGGCACTCTCCTGTTAAAGCTGACCAAGCGCGCCTCGTCGGCGGTGGTATCATCGTTTCTAATCTCTTCAAAAACACGCCTCTTGTCGAATTTCGAAAGATTACTAGCGAAATCGAAATCCCCCAGCTCCTGAATGTCGGTCGCCTCCTCCGTCGCCCAACCATTGGGCTCCTCGGAATAAACCCCGCGAGTCTTCTTCTTACGGCGTCGCCCACTAAGATGTGAAGCACTTTCTTTATAGGATCGGGGCGATTGTAGCATGTGCGGATGGGAAGGTTCGACGAAAGCAGTTTGTCGCCAACCTTTAGTTTTCGGGTTGGTATTGGACGCCCCATCGTGTTCGTTCACCACGCCAGGGCCAGTCAAGTTATCTTTTTGCAGCTTGTTTTGACCAGTTCGACGGTTTCGCTTCCCAGGGTAAGTCGTTTCCGTTGCCCTCTCGTCAGGGACATCAAGCTCTTTCTCCTGCGGGGCCGTTGTTTGGCCTTCCACATCTAGTTCCAAGCTACTGAAAGGTTCTGTAAGTGCAGCAGAGACTGTAGGTACTCCCTGATTTATTGGCTGAGAGACATAAGCCTGCTGCGAGCTCGGTACATTCGCGGATGGAACTTGGCTCTGCGGCACCCCGGCTTCGACACCATGATTCGGTTGCTGGGAAGGGGGTTTTGCAAAGCTTAAAATGGCGGGATCGACAAACGACTGTTGTGTAGGAGCTCTGGCCGGCTCGGGGGCCACCTTTGGTGGTTCTGGGTAGGAATCTTGCGGAGGAGCTGGATTCGACGGCCCGAGAGACAGGTCCGCAATATCGGGTGCTTCGATCGAATAAGTGGGTAGGTACTGGCCGCTCCACGAGAGGGTCACTGCAGGTAAAAGATTAGATAAATTCAAAAGTAAACTCAATCCAATGGTAAAAATGTAGCACACATACCATTTCGGAGCATCAAACGTTGACCGATCACATTGGCCACCTGCCCTTGGATCTTTGCATTTGGGGGAGCTCGGAGGGTCACCAAGACATTGAAACCAATAAACTCAGAGGCCATGATGGAGGAAAAACTCGACCAGCCAATAAATCACCAATCTAGCATCTGACCGGCTTTTGGACCAGCAATGGGTGGAGGGCAACAACGAGAGCGAGAATCGCACAGCGTCGCAAAAGTGGTGCCGGAAGTAGAATAGTCAGCGCTGCTTCGTGGCTGGAGCTCCAGTTCAGTCACGTGGGTGCTATCTTATCGATAAGCGCTGAGTGGGGTGTGTCGAGGGACTTGTTTGTATGGAGTCTGAATAGCTTCAGCTATAGAATATTTATATCGATATAGATGCTAATCAATTGAATCTCTTGACATTAGAAATGGGTTGGACAGTTGTCATTCTCTGAGAGAGCAAAGCCATCGTAAAAAGATGGAAGACATGTAAGTTAGACCAATTCCAATATATGAGGTTGCTAATTCCTCATTCACTCCAGCATGTCACACTTTGTTATTGTCTGTATTTGCAAATTTATTTGTCTCTATCAAATGCACCGTATACTATACCCGGAAATGATATCAAATCCCTTGAGACCGAAAACACAACACCGCCTTTCCTGTAGATTTTAAACCCCCATAAGCCGACCAAGACAAAAAGATATGCCTTGATTATCAATATTTGTTTATCGAAAAAAGAAAAAGTGCAACATATCATAATACAGGACGCGAATTCAGAGTGGTAAGAGTACGTCAAACACGAATAAGAATATTCCATGAATGAGAGAAGAGCAGTGTCGAGATCTATCAGCCATACATATGCTCCAGATAATCTTCCTCGTCAAGGTCATCAAATTCGTTTGCAGACCGAGATGACGCGGTGGGATTCTTCGATTTGAGAACCTGGCTGATGCTGACCAATTTGGAGTAAAATTCGGTGACTTTGGGGTGCACCATTACCTTACGCGCTTCAAATCGAGTGACTTGAAGTCCTGCTTGCGAAGTCGCACGACTCAGAGCAACGTAGGCTTGCCCCTTCTCGAAAACGCGGCCCAGATCAACTTTCACACGTTGTAGGGTTTGACCTTGGGCCTTGTGAATAGACAAAGCCCAGGCAAGAATTAGAGGGACCTGTTGACGTTGTGCTTGAACTTCTCCGTTCGGAAGCTCGATCTTCCAAGTCTCGGGCTGGCAAAGAAGATGCCTCTCGGTTCCATCGGGCTGCATGAAACACACCAAGGGCCATTTTCTGCTCGCGCCAACAGCTCCGTCTTTATTAGCGAGACCCTTGAGTTTTTTACGTGCATGGATCGCATTCTCATCGTCACTGGTGTTCCCCTGCCCAGAAAAGTCGTTTTCATTCTCCCGGTAATAGTCAAATGTGGACTCGTCCATGAAAGCAACAACTCGTCCAATCGATCCGTTCACGAGTGTATCTTCCATATTTTTGATAAGCATGACCTGTGCTCCCTTTTTGAGATGAATAGTAGGAGGAGCCATGCAATTAGCTAGCAGCTTCTCGCGATATTGCGGCTCCTGAATTGTCCCAGAATCCACAGCATTGAACGTCATCATTTCGCCAGACAGCCTTCCCATCCGCGCACCATTTGCACTTTCCACTTCTTGACGGGTGGGAAACCTGGGAGAAAGTTAGTAGGTGGTGATTTTGTCAAATTTCATGGAAGCTTGAGCGCCTTACAATTCAGTAGCCTCGAGCGAATCATGAAAGTCAAGCGGCCTGGAAAGCTTTCTGAACGCATCAATGGTTCGGGGGGTGAGTTTTCCAAGTCTCATCTCGTTGAGCATGTCGGCAAACTCGGGGTCTCTTTGACGGAAAACGTGAGTCAAGAGGATCGTGTGCTGGATAGAGGTATTCCACGTAGCGGCTGAGAACGCGAATTTTGCTTCTCGGTTACCCCCATCGGGTACTGGAGGCAGTTGGAAAAAGTCTCCAGTAACAACGAGTTGTATACCCCCGAAAGGGCGACCATTATTTCTAATCCGCCGGGCAATTTCTTCAAGTTTATCGAATAGATCTCCGTCAACCATAGACACCTCATCAACAACAAGCACTTTAGTACGGAGCCAGCGGTTTCGGGCTTTCTGGTTTTTCTTAATCTGTAAGGAGTCAATTCAAGTTCAACCGTATAAAAGGTAGGGATATATGACCTTCTTAACAAGTTCAGGCACTGGCTCTTTACCCAATCCAATACCAGCAAAACTGTGGAGAGTAACACCCTCAATATTACAAGCAGCAAGTCCCGTAGAAGCTGTGACCGCTACCCTATCTGGTTCTTTGCGGTATTTGTCTCGGAGCTTTTTGATGATCTCTCTCATCAGAACCGATTTACCCGTTCCTGCAGAACCAGTGAAGAATATGCTTTTCCCTTTGTCGACAACCGCGTCTAGGACAGCCCTTTGTTCGTCACTGAGGAAAATCGAAGCAATCTTTGTAGGGGGCTGGTTTTGCTTCGAACCCGAATCTGCCTTTTGGCTTTTCTTTTGGCGCCGTAGTTCCTTTTGTTCTTCTTTGATAGCGCTCGTCGTTTTATTCCATGGTGCTGTAGGCTTAGGGCGTGCAGGTGTTATAGGAGGCCTTCTCTGGTAGCGTTCTTCTGCTGGTTCGTTCTTGACCCACGGAAGGGTTCGGCCAGTTGCTGGAGGTTGAAAATGGGACGGAGGTGATGATGACCAAGGATATTGTATGCTGCTGGATGGGGGGGCATCATCGTCAGGGATAGGAGGTAGCTCTGGGTATTTAACGTCATTCTCGTTTGTGAACGATTCCTTCTGCGGTGACGACTGGTTTGTATTCGGATACTCAATTGGCGAGGGTTGTTGAATACTTGACGGCACCGGTTTCTTTGGTTCAATGTATGGGGTTGGCTCTCCAAAGTCTAGGTCCAGATCGTCGTCATCATCGAAATCATTCTCATCGAAATACACAGCATTGTGTAGAGATCCCAAAGTGGACTCGCCAGCATTGGCCATCTCAATTTTCCTTTTGACGCCGATTGATTGAGGTGGAGGTTTCGACTGGGCGGCTCCATTGGTGCGCAGCAAATTGGACTGGAGAGGTTTGGCAGACCCTGCTGAATGGTCCTTGACGGCCTTTTTGAACATCGTGGGTTCTCCGGCGGCTTCTGATGGCCGAGACGTGGAATAATCGTAGGCAAACTGGGGCTTTAATGTTGGACCATGTGGAGGAAATCGGTATACGGAAGCCAGCACCCTCGATCTAGTTCTGACAATGTACATAAAAGAGATGGGATCGAGGTTGATGGCTAGTTAGAAAAAAGATCGACGCCAAAGCCCATAGATACTCAATCGACTGGGGAAATTTCGCGCCGTCAAGCGCGTTGACACGCGCCGCATATCACACGTGATTCCGATAAGCATTTTGTCCCCCCAAAAAAAGTGCGATAAGCTGATAACGAGAAATTGGAGAGACGGATGTAAATACAGGAAGTAGACGACTTGTTGAGATGAACAAGAACATGGATTGTATACCATCTACCATGCTGACTTCAAAGAATTATTGGCTGGTCTGCTCTGCATAACACGGACAAGTCATCGGCGAAGAAATATACCTGCATGTACAGGGGTACAGATGGCTATCAATGACGCAACCGACAGTTCAATAGCGTCTATTTGTTTTGTGGCAGGCCTAAGATAATCAAGTCTCACCAATTCAAATCTAGTATATATTGCTGGTAGGGATTCACCTGAAATTGATACGGTTTCCAAACATAATGCTCCTTGCCGTTGTAATCCATTTTCAATCACGTGACTTATATCATCTCGACGCGCGGGAACCAATGCGGCGCTTGGAGATCTAAAGCAATCTTCAGACTGCATTGATCTGTTGGAGTTAGCTCTGGCAACCATGAAGCATGGCAGAGAAGGGTACTTCGAGTGAGTAAATTGATTTTTATCCCTCAGCAGGAGGTTGGAGGTTTCTGACGCCAATCCAGACAAAGAGCTTCCACTTGCGGGGGTGGTCCTCTGCTTCACCTCTATCCTGCCGGAACAACGAGTACGTAAATCGAGATTCGCTTTGCTTCACACCTTCATGCGAGATAACTGTGATAATCGCTGACGATCAATTGTTATACATAGACTGATTTGGCTACTGTGGCAAGTCAGATGGGAGCAATTCACAAATTTGACCTTACCTCGGATGTTACCCATTTGATCGTCGGCGAAATAAATACCCCAAAATACAAGTTTGTGGCACGAGAACGCAGCGATGTGACTGTCCTCAAGCCGGAATGGATTGAAGCTGTACGGCAGTCATGGATGCAGGGAGAGGATACGGACATTCGAGCACTCGAGGAGCATCACCGATTACCGACGTTTGCGGGACTATCTATTTGTATAACGGGGTTTGAAGACAGTGAGTCGAGACAGCTGGTCTTTTCAAGATTAGGGCACTAACAAAATCTCGATAGTGGCTTTTCGAAACTACGTTCAGAATACAGCCGCTGCAAATGGAGCCGAATTCAAAAAGGATCTTACAAAAGGTGTAACACATCTTGTTGCACTGAACACAGAGGGCCAAAAATACAAGTTCGCAACCCAGTGGAATATCAAGGTCGTTACGGTCAAGTGGTTCAGCGACAGCATAGAGCGTGGGATGGTCCTTGAGGAGACCCTTTATCACCCCCTTCTCCCACAAGAAAAACAAGGTGCTGGAGCATGGAATCGATCATTACCAGCAGCAAAGGAAAAAGTACCCTTGAATGACAGTTCGTCAAACCCGCGACCCAGGAAATTACGCCGAATCGCAAGCGCCAAGCTGGGTGATCAGAACGAGGGGATATGGGGTGACATTGTGGGCACCGGATTCGAAAACACCGACCTGAAAGGATCTAGAGACAGTCAGCCGAAAAGCAATGGGCCTGTGCCTTCGCGGAGTGCATCCGTAATTCAGGAAGCCAAGTCGTTTGCTAGTGAGACGACTTTTCCAGATGCCCAGGGATCTCATCAGCAGACTCCCGAAATAGCAAGCAACCGTCAGGATGGCTTCTTACAAGATTGCTATTTCTTCGTCTCTGGATTCTCTTCAAGGCAGGTCTGTATAACCAAATATTGCTTTATCGTTTCTTGTCAGCTTACGTCCCTTCTTAGACAAGTGTATTGCGCCAACATCTCTCATTCAATGGGGCCCAGTTGGTTGAGTCTCTGAGCGAGTTTTCTCGCCCAGACATCCCGAAAAGAGGCCATAGTCTCTATATCATCGTTTCTTACAAAACTCCCAAATCCGAGATTCCATCCACCGAGGATATGGCATTTGAATGCGAAGTAGTGACAGATATGTGGCTCGAAAGGTGTCTGGATGCAAAGACCCTGGTACCTCCGGAGGCCCATGTTGCATGTACACCGGTCCCTAAATTCCCTATGCCAGGTTGGTGCTCAATTCATCGAGTTGGAATATGATTCTAACGATCTTAGAATTCCACGGAATGAAAATCTGCTCTACTGGATTTTCCAGGATCGATCTTCTACATCTATCCAAGCTTGTTGGGTTGATCGGTGGGTTCCTAATCGATAAAGCTCTATGTTTCCTCGACTAATTTTCAGGTGCTTCATATAATGAATATTTGACCCCAAGTGCATCCGTCCTACTTTGCAATGACCCACGTTCTGTGAATCACGATAAACTAAGGCATACATCCGAATGGGGCATCCCAGCAGTATCTGCTGACTGGCTTTGGGTGTCGATCCAAACCGGGGAGAAGAAATCATTTGAGCCATATATCATTCGAAAACAGCTGTCACAGAAAGACAAGGGCCTGGAGCTGCGAGCTGGCTCTCGCACCGAAAAGGAACGCAGGCCCGATAACAGTGACAAGACCAATAAAGACACGCAGCCTAATACCAATAATGGCCCCGCGGAGATGAAAGAGAATATACCAAACATACAAAAGACCGGGCACGCTAAAAAGCTCTCTAAGCCTACTGAAAACGATGAGCAATTGAAGAAAAAGTCCGAGATTCCACAAAAAAGACCGGCTTTATATCAATCTGCATCGCCATCACCTTCCAAGGACCAAGATCAGAATACTGCAGGGTCCTCAATAAAACGATCAGAGTCAACCCACTCGACTTCTTCCGCTGCGCCGTCTGCCATCGACCTTGCCGTAAGCGGCATCCTAAAGAATGCACGAACAGCCAACACACGACAAGGAAGTGATCTGGGAGAATTGAATGATGGCGTGCGATCCAGGAAACGGAAACCGCTTCTTGGAAGAGCTCCGTCGCACCCGAATGAGCACATGGGATTTTCCCGTGCCAGCTCCATAGACACATTGAACGAAGACGGATGTGGCAGTGCCGTGGAAAGTGACACAGGGACGCGGTCCAACAGCAGAGGAGGGCCGAGTTTCACCTCCCTCATAAACGGTGGAAGGGTCGAATTTGATGAAGATGCTTCCCTTGGCCGTGTCGACGAATACCCAGATAGCCAGGAACCCGCTATGACGCAACTGAACTATGAGGATCCAGACGCTGTTGCAATGAGAGAAGAGTTCTTGAGTCACGCTGGCAAGCTCGTCAACAAGAAGCCATCTGCCGATCAAAAGTTGGTTGTTGGCGAAGTCAAGGAGCTGGAAGACGTAGGCTGGGGAACTGGTCGCAGGACCAGGAAGGCAGCCAAACCTGCCGAAGATCTTGAATCGCAATTTTAATGTCTATTTTGTTTTCTGTCTCTTTCGTCCAATGCATGGCATGGAGGATGGCGTCATTGACTTTTAGCATGGTATACTACTTGCCAGGAGTTATGGTTCTGTGGCCTGTCTTTTATTTTTTTTCGGGAAAGCAATTGAATATAGATCGATAGATCAGTACGATTTGGAAATGTATGCTTTTGTATGCCCCGTATAGAAAGATTCTATCCTAATTCGATAAAACCAGTAATGTGGTAGCGGTGCCAAAATAAGGCTATCAACTGAGACATTCAACCTACCCATCCCGATGGGACAAAAAGTTGCTAGCTTGTATATCAAGACCCTTGTTAAGTAACTCCTCTACTGATACTATTGACCTGACCAGTTGACGCATGGAGGAAACGAATGCCAGGCCAAAAAAAAAAAAAAAAAAAAAAAAAAAGCTACGTTGGTCTTCTTCGGAGCAATCCAAAGCTATACGGTTTATTACTTGATGTAAATTCAGAATGAAAATCATGTTATTTCAAAGTATCTTCAGTGACTCCAACGTACGCCGCTTGATAGGTATGGGGTAATAATCTATGGAAATTGGGTACACGGATGTCCCATCTTTTTCAGAGTCATGCAAGGGACATCAATGCGGATTATAAATCTGTTATGAAGAAAAGCCAACAGGCAGGGGCAGAGCGAACGTAGAAAATGGTGATACAGGGTTCGGGATATTTTGCAAAAACAACAGACACATTATGAATCCACCATAAAACAGAGAAGAGGTTCAAAATGAAAATGAGGAAGAAAATAATTCGTACAGAATCATGATGTTTATACAGGAAACTTTCAAGCCCAGGATTCGGGCGCTGCCATGCCAGCTGGCAATGGGGCATCGAGATCTATGCCTTCCACGGTTCTTCTGTTTTCGCCGCTCTCCCGGAAGAGGTTGGAGAAGTACTTGGTCGCAGTATCGCTCTCGCTCTTGGTCTTGCTGACCTCGTGCTTGCGTTTAGCGAGGTCTTCGACATCCTGGGCAAGGCTAGTCTGCAGGTTGCCGGCGGGGATGCGCAGAATGCGGCGAACCTCGGCCGAGATTCGATTAGCATTGGAGTGAACATAGTCCATTTCATCCAAAGTGGCAGCAAGCTTGCGGGAGATGCGAGGAGGAAGAGTTGTGGGGATCGAAGAAAGCACGTATGCAGTAGTCAGGGCAGCTGTTGAATTAGAATTAGCAAAGGTTCCAGAAGTGATAAACAGAAGAGAAGCAAGAGCTTACCGGCAACGAAAACACCAGGAAGGAATAGACGTCGCAAATTGTTTGGCCCCAGGAATTTAGCAGCAGTGAACATGCTGTCGACCCAGCTGCTACCACCAAAGACTCTACCTCCGAGAATAGTAACGGCGGTCATGGCCATTCCTGTTCCGGCCATCTTCTCCTGTCGTTCCCATAGGCCTGCGATGTCGAAGAAATCCCAAATTTCCACTTCCGTGTCGACCTGTCTAGCAAAAGTGTGACGGCGACTGCGGCGGAACATCATGTCGGCCTTGAAGTTCAAAGGAGCGAACTTGTCTTCTCCTACATGCAAAAGACCGATATTCTGGATGAATCCAACACCTTGGACAGTCTTGCCGCGAGCATAGTCTTCGCAGCTTGTGACCGATGCGGAGATTTGATCCAACATTGCCAGCTTCAAGTCTTCTGCGTACTGGAATGCGGAAAAGATTCCAGGGTACGCGACACCCAAATCGGCATCGGAGACACGAGTTATCGTGTCCGACAGAGTAGATCGTGTGTTGTTGTAAACATCATCGCATGAATCATCAATGCATTTCTCAACCTCGTCCGCGAGTTCTACTCTCTTTCTCTTGCCGTTCTCATAGGCAGGTTCAATCTCTGCCAATTCGTCGGTAACGCGCTTGAGTTCAGCCTGGGCGACATCGCGGTTGACAGAAGCCAACGAGTTCAAGTCCGCAAGCAGGTTGAGGAGATATGTCCTAGCAGGTGCAAGCTTCGAGCGAGCACGCTTCTCGAGAACGAACCGCCGCAAAGAACTCTCCAAGTTCTCGAAATCTTGAATCTTTTCCTTCTCCTTTCCTTTTCCTTTTCCTTTGCCCTTGCCATTTCCATTGTCATCATCATCACCGTCAGGACCATCACCGTCAGGACCATCACCATGAGGATCAGAGCCCCCACCGCCGCCACCCCCAGAGCCAGATTGTACGACGGGCACGGGGGGTGCCACTGGAATGGCATTGCTTGACACAAAGTGAACCAGTTCCGCAGCTTCTTTGTATGTTCGGGGACTCAGTTTGTTGATCTGGTCCAAGATCATTCGTTCGCAACGCTGCTTGTCACGGATTTGATCGAATCCATTGACAACCATAAACATATAAGCTTTTTCGTGAGCGGCGTTCAGAATGAACTCTTTTGCAGAAAGAGTGAAGTGGTTAGCAGCAGAGACCACGAAAACAACCACGTCAATCTCCTCCTGTCGGGCAAAGACGGCCGTGGTTTTCAACGAATCCGAGTTCAAACCAGGGGCATCAATCAAGGCAATATCCACGACACCATTATTGAGTAGCGATTCATCAATGGTTCGTACATCCTTCACGTAGACTTTGCACTGCATGTACTTGGAGTTGTCGATCACAATCTCTTCGAGCTCACTCAAGGGATACACATCGTATGAACTTTCATCGTTGCGGTTATACACCTGATCCTTGTGGACTGCGTGCACCTCCTCGAGACCAGCATTCTCCCGCGCGTCGAGAACCTCACAGAATATACTGGTGCAGGGCTGTTGATCCTCGGGCAAGACCTTCCGGCGCAGCAGGGCATTGCAGAATGTAGACTTGCCCGCGTTCAAATCACCAGTGATCAGGACCTTGCTTGACGTATCCTCGATTCTGTCACGCAGCGAAAGAAGATGCTTCACACTCTGACTAATTTTGCCCTCCAAGAGTGACGCAATCGAGGACTTTTCCAAAGAATGCACCAATTCAGCCTGGGACAACGCACCCAGTTTCAGGTCCAACTTCAATATCGAAAATTCCTGGGCGATTTGCGGGCTCATCAATCTCGGCTCGGGCGGGGGTCGACGTTCAGCAGCGGCACTTGATTCTGCCAAATCGTCGGGCATTGTAGCCGCACGTCTCATCTGTCCGGGTCGTGGAAAAGGCTCGGATCCATCATTGGCATCTCCAAAGTACGACTGGCTTTGACGCAACGGTGGGTTTGGTGGGGGGGTACCGGGGGCGTTCTGTACGGACGGATAATGGGCGGGCCATTGACGGTTCATGTCCTGGAGTTCTCTCAGTGTATCGATAGTTCGTGTGATCGCACGACCAAGTTTGGTGCGATTCGAGTTACTGTACAGACTCTTAGTATTCCATTCCGGACTGAGCCGTGATCTAATCGATAAAACATACTAGAGCAACTGATGAACATGGCTTGCGACAACCTGTCTTTCGTGTTCAGCTGTACAAAATCGTTAGTAAATCCAGGGATGAATCTTCAAAGATCGCATGCGATCCATCAAGTGACACAAACCAGCTGGATTCCACTGTCCCGGATGTGTAGGCGTATGAATCGGAGTCGGTCTGTCCTCCATCAAACCCGCGCGCCACCCAAGATCACCATCCATCGCACTACCACTCGCAATGCTTCCTCCATATCCCGAGTCATTATTGTTCAAAGAATCCATCAAGGCCGTCGCGCTTTCGGAAGTCGATCCATTGCCAACGGTCATATAACTAGGTGGGGGTCTCGGAAAGAAAGGGTTCTCCGCGATTTCTTCCTCTCCAGCAAATCTATGCCTGGACGAAGACGAACCCTCTCCGGCGGAAGAGGCGCGATCGCCGGGGAAATACTCCTGACTCATAACGACGAGAACGTGTTGTGCATCGGTCTTGGAAATCGGACTTTCTCCATGCAAGAAACGGGGAGGCGTTGTTTTTCGGTTCAGATCAGAAACGGGGAAATTTCATGGATAACAGGCGTTATCCCTAAAAGGGGTTGGTCGCCACATGTGACTCGGCCGCGGTAAGTAAAGTAAAGTAATCCCGCCGTATCGCTGGTACTTGTTACCGCCCGGGATTTGATGTCACAGCACAGCTTCAAACAAAGGGCATCTCGATCGACTTGATATTGGAAGTCTTGGGAAGCTTCTCCAGACACATTTGACTAGCCCATCGTTTCATCAGACATTGGTCCTTTCTTCTTTCACCGCAGACAACATGAATGTAAGTTTGAGCATCGTATCTCCCCGCCCATCCAGGCTCCCCCGCTTACAGAGTGCTCTTTCAGATCGTCGAGTGGGCATTTGGAAAGCGCATGACGCCTGCGGAGCGTCTCCGTAAACACCAGAGAGCCCTCGATAGGACGCAGCGTGAATTAGACCGAGAGCGCACCAAGTTGGAGAACCAGGAGAAGAAGTTGATACAAGACATCAAGAAGAGCGCCAAGAATGGCCAGGTTGGGGCCTGCAAAATCCAAGCAAAAGACCTGGTCAGGACAAGGAGGTAAGTCTTATGGACCGGGGGATCGTGATCTCGCGTGGTTAATTATTTGGTGGATAGATACGTTCAAAAGTTCTATCAAATGCGAACGCAATTACAGGCGATCTCCCTCCGCATTCAGGTACGCAAACCCCTTTGTTCAATCTTGCGGGTGTGTCAGTCAACTCACAAAGGCCATATATAGACCGTCCGAAGCAATGAGCAGATGATGCAGTCCATGAAGGGGGCAACAATGCTACTGGGTAGCATGAACCGGCAAATGAACCTCCCAGCGTTGCAACGAATCGCAATGGAGTTTGAACGAGAAAATGACGTTATGGATCAACGACAAGAAATGATGGACGATGCGATTGACGAGGCCACCGGAATGGAGGGCGAGGAGGAAGAAGGCGAAGATATTGTCAAGGAGGTCTTGGATGAAATCGGTGTTGATCTTGGCCAGGCGGTTCGTGCCCCCCCTCTATGTACTATTGGACTTGGATTGACTGACATGCTTGAACAACAGCTGGGAGAAGCCCCTTCAGATATACAGAGCGCTACGGCTCCAGAGACAAGAGTTGCTCAGCCCGTTGGTGCCGGTGGAAACTCGGGTGACGATGATCTGCAAGCAAGGCTTGACAGTCTTCGACGATGATTTCTACGAGACTTGATATCTTATCCTCCCATTTCCATTCCTTTGCTTTGATTCCATTGAGTTACGGTGCCGGGAGTTAATTGGGAATGATTCACGAATCACAAATATATTTGATCATGGCACAAATTGCTGCAATTTCGATTAGCATTCTTTCAGATTGATACTTACATGTTCCACCAAACCAAGATAATTTGCATTCTGACTAGACTTGGATTAACAAAACTCTTGCTTCGTTTCTATTCAAACGAAAAACGTCAAAAAAAAGAGCCAGAGATCCCAAAGACTGGAACGCCAACCCGTAGAACATTTTTTGCATGCGGAGCTTTGTTCCTTGATATTGTCTTCATCCCTCACGTAGAAGGCATTAGTTAGTATACATGAGGTTATCAATTTGACTTTGATATCTATCCACATGTGGACGTCTGAGCACCTCGTTATGATTCGCCCATTGGCCAAACCAGGTCAGCGAGGTCACATCATCGATTTTCGGCCTTTGCTGTGTCTCTCTGGCAAGCATAATGCGCAATGCATCCACGCAATCTTGAGACAGATTCTCATCAACCGGCATTTCCTCAGTGATCATCCTGCTCCGTCGTTTGCCCACAGCTATCAAACGTTCGTCACCTATACCACCATATAAGAAATCACTCACACCTCCAATCGCAGGATCCCATACGGGGTCTTCCCAGGGTGCGAATCCGTGTAATATCTCGTAGGTCGTGGCGGCGAATTTCCATAGCTCGACCACCCGGGTGTCATGAGGGAGTATGGGCCTTAGCGTATCTGTGCGTTGCCTGCGTCGCCAATCCATTTTCATGAACTGGGCGGCCAGCTCTGGCATCATCTGGTATTCATGCCAGCTAACGAAGGCAAATTTCTTTCGTTGGTAATGATCATCCTTGAGGCCAAAGTCGAGCATTCCTAAATCAATGAGTCGAACCTGCAGCGCCAAAAGATTAGTTGTTATTTTAGGGCAAGGCACAGGGATGGGAAGGGACAACCGGCACTCACATTTAGCTCCTCGTCAATGATATAATTACTTCGGGAAAGATCACAGTGACAAAGGTTCAAATTTCGAAGTTCACGAATGCCCTCCAGCATCTGAGAAGAGACCTTGCAGGCTTCGATCTCGTTGAGGATTGGGATCTTCTGGTGTATGAGATAACTCCCCGTAAAAACAGGGATTTTTCTATCATAGTCTTCGTTAACCCCAGCTATCGCATGGTCAATTCCAGCCTCCATGATGGTTGCGTGAAAGTGTCGATCTGAGTAGACGGAGTGAAGTGCTGGGAACCTGTCACTGCCGGTCAGAAATAGCATAACCTGTGCTTCTTTTGGTATATAACGAACTTCCCCTTGGTCTGTCAATGCTCCCATTTCCGGACTCATATACGCCATTTCCACCATCATATTGTAGTCGTGGTGTTGACGCAGATTGCAGACCTCCTCGATTTTGATTGCAAAGTACTGATCCTCGTCATGATTGTTTTCATCTTCATCGGCCTGAGGACTTGGAATACAGGCAAGAAACACCGTACCGTAACCTATATTCATCAGCCACTGGAACGAAAAGGGAATGGAGGGGAGAGAACCTACTTCCGCCGCCCAAAAGTCCAATAATCTCCATATTATTCTTGACGTATGAACACATTTTCACGTAGCGAGTTTGTATTACAGTCCGTTCGTTCTTCCTGTAAGTGATCTGGGGATTAGGGTCATACGTTGTCTGGTAATCCTCGGTGTCAGTTCTATATGCATTCGTTCGTGCTTTATAGAATTCGTGTGAGCATCTGGAGACTTCTTCGTGGTTTCTCGCAGCCATGGCCCTATCCAAATGGGTTTTGAGGGCATAATGAAGGTATGGATATTCCTGCGATTTAGGGTGGTTCGGATCTAAAAAATCATGGGAGAGGAAGGCGAAAGAGCGGTCCCATTCGGGCCAGAGTCGATAATAATCAACCATGGTGGATGGTGGATAAATTGTGATAAAAGTAGATTGGATAGGTATGAGTATCTGGATAAGATGACTTACCTGAGTATGATGGAGATTGCCGTGAGTTAAATATCCATGGCTTCTTTGATAGTGTTGATGATTTTGCGTTGGGAGGGGGGAAAGCAGAGAAAACCAGAACGACAGAACAGAAAAGCAACAAAGCAATGTCAAACAGGACGAACAATGAACCACCTTAAGAGTGAAAGAACAATAACGACAAGTCTTTGTTGCAGAGAAAGAGCATACTGATGTTTGTTAAGATGAAACCGACAAAGCATAAAGATCTTTTTGCAAATTGTGTATATGAAAATAATAAAATAAATCCATTCCTTCAATGATACAAAGAAGCCAATCAAACAATTATTCCCAAAATAGTAGAGACTGGATTGCACGTAGGTTTATAAATATGCAGCCTTTCATCCACGGCCTATAATCTTTGTATGGACAACAGGGAACCACAATAGATGCATCTTAGTCTGTATGCAGGCACCCAGCGACTTGCAGCAGCTGGATGTCGTCCAGATCGACATCAAGCTGGTTCGAGTAATAATCATCTGTATGTCAGATATCTACTATTAGAATATAACATCCAATATTGTTGTATGCTATAAATGACTCATCTGTATATATATCAGTAGGCTGTGATACCTCTAGGCAACACACCTTTTCTTCTTCTATACAAGGCTTGGCTGCATCAAATAGAAATCACCAGTTCTTTTTTTTCCCTTCTTCTTGTATAACAGGGGGCTCTCCAGCATCGGAGAAATTGGTCGAGACGATCAGCATGGATAGGCAGCAATTCGCGGTGACTGGGCACCGAAATGGGCCACCATCACATTCAGCTCGTCGTCGTGCATAACATAGCCACTGCATTGCCGCTGACACTGCAGAATTTTCTTCAAGATCAATATCTACAGGTGGATGCATGCTTTTTTTGAATCTCTTTTTTCTTTTCTTGTGCATCTTTTCAGCTGGTCTGCGACCACTGTCCTGACTAAGAGAGCGTCTCATCACATCTCCGCATCCACACCGGGGCGAGATGCCTCCTCCCACGCTTCCACCCCTGCCCACGGTGCTATTTTTTCAGCCAATATCGTTGCAATGATTGCAAGGCCTCCCTCGTTCTCGCTGTTGCCCGGGTATGAAATATCACCCAGCCCGAGGACAAGGCAGACCAGCAGGGGTAGTCGGGTCTTGAAACATCATCGTCGACTACTGCGCAGCATGATTACGCCAAATAAATGACTACCCCTGATACTATCCATGTCGATCGAGGAGTATTTCTACGCTTTGCCCCCACCTCTGTCCACTTTGTTCCGAAATTTCTTGCCTCCTTTCTCCGTTTGCAGTTTGTGCAGAGTCTGATTCCCACACCCCCGCTGCTCTTCAGACGTCTCTGGCCCTATATTAACTCTAGATCCTGATTTCGTCTACCCTGCTGACCTGCTGGACAAAGAAGTCTTTTTCTGTCAGCCATGGCGGTCATTGACCACAATGTCGTTCATCCGGTTTCTGCGGTTCATTCCCACCCAGGTCATCCTAGCGAGGGTTCTCGTGCTATCCACAACAGTACTCCGAGTCTTATAGACCCTGTGCACTTGGCCCAGCATATGAACCGGCTTAATGTCGACGGAGAGAGAGTCGCTCAAAGAAACAAGCAAAATGCGAAATCCTCTCCGGCTGTCGAGTCTATCCCACGTACTCCCTTGTATCTGGGATACATCTTCTCCAAGTCAAGCGCCACTCCCGGACAGAAACCCACGTGGGGTCGTGCTGAACGCTCCCCCCTGCATATGAGCCAGACCGAACTGCTCAAAATGGTCCAGAAGCGAGCCAGCAAGACCCCGTCCGACCAGCAGTATAGCGTTCTATCAAAGGTCAAGCGGGCCCATGTGGAGCGCTTGCTTGAGGATCATCGACGAAACGATCCTCGCTTTGATTGGAGCTGTGTCTATGCGAAAGAAGAGGAAAGGCCATTCAAGGGCAAAAACTCTCGCCGTGGTGATTACGAGACCGTCGCTGTGGAGGTGATTATTATGAGAGTCCCAGCGGCCCCGTCCATTCCCAAGGCGCCCACGAATGGAGCTGTCCACCCCGAGCACTTTAAGCCAGAGGAGAGAGTCATTGAAGAGACCAAAACGCCACTGAACGAGGAAGAGCCCACGCCGGTCAACCATAATACTCACCACACTGTCCAGTGGGCTAAGCCGGAAGTCCAATATGCGCCTGCAATGATGAATCCCGTCCAGCGGCCACATCCCTCCCAGTTCCATCAAAACCCTCCCCCTCCCCCGCCTACTCAGGGTCCTATGATGGACAGAAGGCACCTTCCACCCCAAGGTCCATGGCTCCAAATGCCCCCAGTCGATGTGCACCAACAGCCGGGCTTGTTTGGAGTCCCTAGAGCTGATTTTGGTAACGGCCCAATGGGAGCGCCGATTCAAAGCGGCCCCCGGCCTGCTCCGCTAGGCCCCGGTATAGCGTTTCACCCAGGACGGAGACCTGACCATGGCCACGCCCCTTACGCTGCGCATGCCAAAAACGGGTTCCCAAAGCCGGACTTTGCCAATGCGACTGTTCATCAGGAGCGCACTCCTAACCCAGTGAAGGTGTCCGCGCCTGCTGAGCGCTCTCCGGAGCGACCCGTTGACCGTCACGTCGAACGTCCGATTGAACGCCCTATTGAGCGCCCCGTGGAGCGCCCCGTTGAACGTCCCATCGAGCGTCCTATCGAGCGCTCCATTGAACGTCCCGTGGAGCGCCCTGTTGAGCGTCGCGCTGAATCCCAGCCAGGATTGCCTCTTAAGGATAACCCAGTAGATGACGATTCAGAACTCTCTGATTCTGATGATGAGAGTATCGCGACAGAGGAGTCGGAAGAGGTCGCAGAAAAGTCTCAGCCATGGCGTGGAAGTCTGTATCGCCGGGACTCTTCCCCCAAACAAGACGATGAGGATTTAGAGTCGGCCTACCGTTCTCACTCTCGAAAGCAGCCCAACAAGAAAAATGCTCTTGTGGTCAAGCCAGCCCAAAGCCGCTACCAAACTGGTTACGCTGATGTAGTTCCGGAGACCAGCAAGGATACCAGCGAACAGTTGTTGAACGATCAACCTCGGGACTTCGCTGTGCAGGGAACCCGAGGTCGTCCCAAGGTTATCCAGGAGTCCGTCAGTCCCACTCTCGTAGACCCAGCGGTGCAACTGGATGACAGGCTCCGGGGACGAACCCGGAATGACATTCGAACCCGAATTCTCGATGATCGGGAAGCACGACTCGAGCGCCGAGAGAAATTGATCGATTATCGTGCCCGGATGCTTGACGATAAACTCGAAGAAGCACGTTACTTGGACCGATTCATGACTTTGCGCGACCCTTCTTATTTCTGTTCTCATCGCCATACCCACGGTATGAGAGATGGGTTTTATTAAGTTTTTTTCTTATTAATTGTTTGCCGCCAAAAGCAGGATACCAGGATGGTGCTCAAGGTGTTTGGATGAATGATGCCGCAATTTTCCTATGTATTTCACATGAAGATATTTATGATTTTTTTTTTCCTATGTACATCTACTTCTACTATGTCATGTCAATGTCTATCGTCATATTAGCTGCATCAGTGCATCAGTCCGTTGCAACCAGTAGACTCTAGTGCAGAAGCCCGCAGCAGCCCAATGAGGGGCATCGGAAGATGAGGCATTTTGTAGCATCATATCCCTGTATCCTCGCCAGTGACGTCGATGGTTATCGATAAGCCCCGCCTGCATCCCACGGCAAGGCATTCACCCGTTCCCGTCCCCGTTTTGTCTTCGTCGCTCACCGGGTACGCTCCGCTGGCGTCTTCCTCTTCTTTCCTTTCTTCTACTGCCTCTCTCCCGCTCGATTCTCTTCTCGTTGTCCATTCCAGCTTCATCCTTTCCATCATTCCTCACACTTTCTCCCCATCTTCCTCAATCTACATCCAACATGCCTCGCCAATTCTTCGTCGGTGGTAACTTCAAGATGTACGTGCTGTGCTATGCCCCGCAGTGCCCCTCAACTACCTTCTCAGCTGCCCCTCTATGGTTTTCCAAGCTTTAGATCACTGACAGAACTCGATAATATAGGAACGGTGTTGCTGACAGCATCACCTCCATCATCAAGAACCTCAACGACTCTAAGCTCGATGAGACCGCTGAGGTCGTCATCTCTCCCCCCGCCCTCTACCTCACTCTCGCCCGTGAGCTCGCCAACCCCAAGATTGGTGTCTCCGCCCAGAATGTCTTCGACAAGCCCAACGGTGCTTTCACCGGTGAGATCAGCGTTGAGCAGCTCAAGGATGCCAAGATCAACTGGACTCTCACTGGACACAGTGAGCGCCGTGTCATCCTCAAGGAGACCGACGAGGTATGTTGAATACCACCTTACCACCTTCAGAAGATGTCGAGTAAATGAAGTGATCACTGACATGTCTCCTTTAGTTCATTGCCCGCAAGACCAAGTCTGCCATTGACGGTGGCCTGAGTGTCATCTTCTGCATTGGCGAGACCCTCGAGGTACATCATTCCAATGTCCTATTCCCTGGAAGCTCAGCTAACTTTTCTATAGGAGCGTGAGGCCAACAAGACCATCGAGGTTGTCACCAGACAGCTCAACGCTGCCGCCAAGGAGCTCTCCAAGGAGCAGTGGGCTAATGTTGTCATCGCCTACGAGCCCGTCTGGTATGAGCCTTCTTCAATTCCTTTTCTTGGTAGCATGACTTGCTAACACTATTCTCCAGGGCTATCGGAACCGGCAAGGTCGCTACCACTGAGCAGGCTCAGGACGTCCACGCCGAAATCCGCAAGTGGCTCGCCGCCACCATCTCCGCCGAGGCCGCTGACAACACAAGAGTCATCTACGGTGGCTCCGTCAGCGAGAAGAACTGCCGTGAGCTCGCCAAGCAGAACGATGTTGATGGTTTCCTCGTCGGTGGTGCTAGCTTGAAGCCCGCATGTAAGTTGCTACTTCTATTCGATCCATCCCATCATGATGCTGATCAACTATTTACTTTTAGTCGTCGACATCGTCAACGCTCGTTTGTAAGATGTTTGAAGATGAGGATTTCATGAAATTCCCCACCTTCAGCACTGCCGTCGATAGACGCCGCAGAACGAACTGATGAAGAAAAACAAAAATAAGAAAATAATCATCGGGCCTACTACAGCCCTTACTCGCAGATACCTATATACGCCTGCATTGTGATAAGCCACCCTGCTGCACTTGCGCAGGTTTGAGAACCCGACCAATGAATGCCAAGTTTCAATGTAGATACGGTTAATCAACGAATTTAAAAGCAACCGAGGCTAGTTCTCATTATATACCTCCTTTTTCCGAAGTATTTTATATTACTTCGTACTGTGTAGTTGCAAATAAGTCGTTCCAAGCGCGCTTCTAAATATGTACATGATATTGCAGCAAGGCTCATTACAAACAAGCTATATAACGGATGTTTTAAAAAGGTAAGAGAAGGGTCGATGATAATTCCAACATGATCATGACGAATACGACACAGATACACCCACGCCGCGCCAATACGAAGCAGGACCTCCTCCAGTCTGCCCCCCCGGCCCAGAAGCCGACATATAGGACGGCGAAAAGGAACTAGGACCCAGACCGACTCCAGCACTGACCAGAAGCTCCTTAACCCGGCCTTCCCAGAGGAGACGCATATTCCAGGATTGATCAACACGAATCTTAAGAACGGACTCGTTAACCTCTTCCTCTTCTTTTGGTGCGGGTGCAGGCTCGGGACTAGGGACGGGGGATGATAGATCCGCAAGAGGGTCTGTCATGCGCATCTTTCTTCTGGCCCATTCCAAGCCGTCGTCGTTGGGTGTGCGTTTGGTTTGTCGCCAGAGTTCGCAACCGGCTACCATTTCGCTTTCCCAGCTGTATACGTTGAAGCCGAAGCGGGAGCTAAAGGATAGATTGGGCGAGGCGCGGAGGGAGTAAGTGGTGGAGAGAGAGCCGGTGATTGGAGTTAGGGTTAGTGTAAGGGTGTATGGGAAGGTAGAGATGGGGTGGCCGTGATTGGAGGGGGGAGATGATGATTTAGAGGAAGATGACGATGTCTCTGGCGATGGTACTTCAGTGGCTGCGGGTAATGTGCTGAATCTCAGGCCGGTGGACATGCCTATCAGAGACGAGACAGGCGAATAATACGCTTCCGCCCCGGCGGAGAGGAGAGACAGCGGCGGAGACGAGTCATTCTTGGTATACCGCGGATCCGGGCCGAAATTCCACAACCCTCGCCAGCCGAACAGGGAATTGTCCGTGCAGAAGAGGTATTCGTTACTATACTTGCCCGTGTCATGAGACAGCTGCGTCAGAAGAGAGGCCTGCGGTGCAGATTTAGATAAAGGAGGTCCCCGAGTTGAGCAAACGGCGAGTGATAACTGCATAGTTGGAGAGATCCGGCGTAGAAACAAGGCATTCAGCGTCGTAGGAGGGGGAAGGTGGAGAGTCGCATGAAGCAGTGTCGCCTTCTGCCCAATGGCATTTTCATCATGACCGTCATTAACATCTTTATGATCTAAAGGATTGCTGGACTTGCTGAGTCCGTCGAGGATCGAATCCCATCCCCAGTTCTCGATAGGGGCAGCGGGAGGCTGGACCTGATGGTAGCCGGGTGCGAGTTTCCGCAGAGGGATCAGGGCGCTTCTACTCGGGGTATTATCAAAGGGGACCGTGCTGTAGAGATACGAAACAGAGCCATCGATCAAGCCGACAGTGCCGAGGGTATAACTGGTCGCGAAATGGGGGGTCGCCAACGACGAGAGACGAACACGCAATCGCTCTGGTGTTGAGAAATCAAGGAGTGCTGTTTGATGCGGAAGAGCGCCAAAGTTAGACTCGCATGGTAGAATATTAATCGGCAAATCGAAGACTCATCTACACACATTGCGAGGTACCCGTGAGCGACGAGTATGAATTATCGCGATTCCAGTTGGTCGCCTCGGCGAAGGCGAGCTGGATGTAATCCATGAAGTCCAGCATTTTTGGAGGGGTTCAAGGACAGCAGTATTAAAAAAGTATATCAGAAAGACAATCCATCCAGCTACCCTCGACACTTGATGAATTGACTTAACAATCTAATGAGGGACGACGATGAGCGATCCCAAATCGTCGAAACGAAGCCAAACAGCTCATTGCCCAATCAGGCCTAGAGCGGTCGGATAAGCCCCGCGTCAACGATAATCCGGCTGTTATCAGGCAAGAAAAAAAAATATCTCGAACCGCCGATTTTGAACTTCTCCGCAACAGCCAATATAAAACCGTTGCGATTCTGGACTCTGTGCAGTGTCGCCAATCTCTGCTTATAAACCTTAAATTCCTTCATTTCACCTCCACAATGCCTCGTTCCAAGCGTGCCAGGATCGTCCACGAGTCCAAGACTACCAAGAAATCCCACAAGGAACAGACTAGACGCTTGTTCGCCAATATTCGCGAATGTGTCGAGCAATATGACCATCTCTTTGTTTTCTCTGTCGATAACATGCGGAACACATACTTGAAGGATGTGCGCACCGAATTTGCTGACAGTCGGTGAGTTACACATGCATCCCACCACTAGTAAAAAAAATATATACAAGGAAAATGAGGGGAAAGTTGCAGGGAACAAAAGGAATTCTCCGGAAGAGAACTGCAGCCCCTCCCATGATACCCAGCTCGAAAAACATCAATTTACATACAAAATGAACCAAAACTAATAATATGAAAGTCTGTTCTTCGGCAAAACCAAGGTCATGGCAGTTGCTCTTGGACACAACCCAGAGTCCGAAGCCGCAACAAATCTGCACCGCCTCTCGCCTTACCTGACCGGTGCTGTCGGTCTGCTTTTCACCTCGAGAGAACCCCAGTCTGTTATCGACTACTTTAACTCATTCCGCCCCGCCGACTTTGCCCGTGCTGGTATGGTCAGCCCCCGCGATTTCACCATCCCCAACGGTCTGGTCTACTCGCGTGCCGGCGAGATCCCAACATCCGACGATGAGCCAATCAGCCACACCATTGAGCCCGAATTGCGCAAATTGGGTGTTCCCACCCGCCTGGTGAAGGGCAAGGTCATGCTCGAGTTGACGGAAGGAAACGAAGGCTACCCGGTCTGCAAAGAGGGCGAGACCCTGGATTCGCGACAGACGACTTTGTTGAAGATGTTTGGTGTTGTTACCGCCGAGTTCCACGTCGATGTCAAGGCATACTGGACTCGGAGTACCGGAGAGATTAAGATTCTCGACCAAAGTCAAGCAGGAATGGAGGTTGATGGACAGTAATTTCGGCCGTTGCCATCTCTCTTATCTCTTCTTTGACAAAGGGTCTTTGGGCATCTCTTGGAGTTCGGCAGAGGCGTTTTTTTCTTCTTTGGATTCGATCCTATAGTCCTTGACGAGCGTATGATGGACATACATGAATACCAAAAAGTTTTATAGTCGAAAATAAAAATCTACAATATAGAAGCAAAAAGCACAAAAAGAAGGCATTACCTTGATTTACAGCTATACGAGAATGCCTGTCATCGGTCATTGCTGCTGGAATGATGAAAAAAAAAGCCTTACCTGATCTTACCTGAACAAACCCTGGACCCAGCCGCATAAATCCGCCTGAACAGAGATGTTAACTACCTAAAGTACATACTTACCCCCGTAGAGTAATGCAGCCGCAGATGGACTGAATAAAAGACAGGATAAAAAGACAGATAAAATAGAAACGAGAAAACAACCATAAGAAAAGGCCCAAGGGTAATCACCAAGCGGATAGATCAGGTATAAACCTCGTCTTTTTCAGAAAAGGGAAACCTCCGCCATATACATCGGAGGCGAGGTGATCCCCATATGGTTTATAGATACCTGATGACCAGAAGAGAAGTACGCCTAGCGTTTCGACTGTTGTAAGTAAATAGGCGATTATACCCCGCTGACTTTGCTGTCGAAGATTGGCTGAGTTTGCCTTACCCATTGCCAGGAATAATTTGAATGAAAAAGGATAATCAAATATACCCACCAGCAAACCATGATTTGAATAGCGGTTTGGGAACAACCAGCAGGATGGGGCTTTCAGTATCTTCTCTTGGCGCGCGGGTCATCATACGAATCATCTTCATGGTATCGCTTCCGTCCATAGTCGTCCCTGCCACCATACCTATCACGGTCACGGTCACGGTCTCCCCGATCACCCCGGTCTCCCCGGTCTCCCCGGTCCCGGTAGCGATAGCTGTCTCTGTCCGACCTTTCACGATCTCTGTAGCGGTCGCTGTCGCGATCACGGTCATCGCGTCGGTCACGGTCAGAATAACCACCTCTGGGCCTTATGGGTTCGCTGTTGCTGCCTGTTGCGCCTCGATCGCGGTCGTATCTTCCACCGAATCCACCACTGCGTCCACCACCTGGACCAGAGGGCGCATTTGGTGGAGGCTGCCCGCCAAAGCCATTGCGACCTCCTTGATAGCCGATACCACCACGAGGGCCGAAACGGTCACCGCGGAAACCTCCTCCTCTGAAACCTCTACCACCAAATCCACCACGGAATCCACCACCGTAGCCCCCGGGACCGGAAGGAGCATTGAACGATCCAGGGCCGGTGGGGCGGGAGGGAAACGCCTTGGTATATCCACGACCTCCAAGTCCCCCACCAAAGCGACGTGGTTTCCAGCCTTTGACAGTGCGGCCGCGCTCCACATCTACTAAGACACGTCGGTCCTTGATTCGGATGCCGTCCGTCTCTTTGTAGGCAGCTGGTTATGAGGTTAGCAGGGGGAATAAACATGCCATGATGACATATGCCAGAGTATGGATAAAAATGTGAGGGACACCGCAGCAGTACCTTTCATGTCCTTTTCGCGCTCATATACAATGAAAGCATATCCCTTATGAGCTTTTTTCGAACCTTTAGGCGTAACTGTATCTTTCACAATACGGATCTGCATTCAATGTCAGTAATGCTTCAGGCGACATTGTCCACAACATATATTTACCCTCTCAATAGGCCCAAACCGACCGAACTCGCGTTCGAGATCAGATTCCTTCACTTCATAGCTGAGTCGGGCGACAAACAGCGTTCTGAATGGGTCGCCTCGAGCTTGTTGGTCATTCGAAGGTTCGTCTACAGTAGTAATCAGCATAACTTGTTCAAAAGCAATACAATTCCGTCAAGGAAGGTCATACAGCTTTCAATGTTCTCCGACAATTGTTCGTTTGCCTTCTCTTTCTTTTCTAACTTTTGGCGCCACTTGCGCTGGAGCCAGCTTTCTGTAGCATTGTACGGCACCTCCTCTTCATAATTCTTGAGCTCGCCGAGGTACTGGGCAACACCGGATATTGTGCTTTTCTGGCAGTCTTCCGGTGCGCGATCACCTGGGGGGATGTAGCGCAGGGGCGGACGAGGCTGGAAAAGGGCCAGGAGCGGAGGGGGAAGCTTGTCCGTCATTTTGTGCCCTCAATCAATTCAAGATTAGGGTGTAATATTGGAAGAAAGAACTAAAAATTGAGCTGCAAAGACATAAAGGCACGAGTCGATGACGAAGGTTTGTCCCCGGCCTTGCAGGACTGTTGTTCACTCGCAGTCAGACGAGTTTCGCGTTCTCCGGCGTTAGTTAATAATCCCTTGGCCGGACCTTCGGGCAGCCGCGATAGCCGATATTAACGCCAACCAATGAACGGCGGTATACACTCCGGTCGAGAAAAGTCCCCGATTGTCCCATCGAACGTTGACTGGCAATAACAGTGACCACGAAATAGACATCAGCAATGCCTGTGCAAGGAATCAAGACGGTCACCGCTGCCAGAGTATGTTTGGACCTTTGGATTGAATTGAAGCTTCTTGACGTCGCCAGTAGCTAACCGATCATCTTTCCAGAATGGCGTGGGCGCCTTTATCCTGCAATGCAAGCGTTTGGATTTCCACTACTGCGACTGGGCAGGTAGCTCAAGGGGCATGGTGTAAGTGTCTTATTCACTGAACTGGGATTTGATTTCCCTTAGCTGATCGTCATGATTCTGCAGTGCCTTCTTGAAACACGCTCTTCCGTCCTTCGCAAAAGCAAACCCCCAGATCGAACTCCGAGTATCTCCCCGACCACACAAGCACCCTATGATCAAGGGACACTATATCAATGGAAAGGAAAAGGCAGTTTGCGTCCGGAACCTCGAGCCCGAACAAATATTCAAGAAGGCGAATCTGCTTAAAGAGGCCAGTGGAGAGAAGCTGAAGCGCACCAAGAAGCCCGTCACGAGTATCAACGAGAGCGTCAGAGGTATCTGGTCCCCATACCACGGCGACATCAAGTCTGTGTAAAGACTGTTATTATATATGGGGCTATTGCAATGGTGTTGCATTCGGGATTTTGGACGCTGAAACCTTTTCAGCATCTAATGTATTATTGACATGGTCGTTTATCTTTTCATCTTTCTGGGGAACCCAAAGTTTTTGCCGTTCAGGGATTTGCATTTACATGTACAAAGGAATCAATTTCAAAGCTACAAGCAGTGGGTATTATAGCCCACTAAGAAACTTCAATGCATATTCAGGAGTAAAATGTATGATAAGAGTCAAATAGATATAAAATCTCATACAGATAAATAATGCCCTGTCAAAATCAATGCCATCCGGGTATCGAGTTAATACAACATAAAGCAACCAAAAAAAAAAAAAAAAAAACAAAAAAAAAACGAAATCCTGCCATAACACCGACGTCATGCAATTCGCTGTATCACAACTTCAAAAGAGAAAGGTGCCGCCCTGCGTTATAGGTAGATTTGAAACATCGACTTTGGTGCGCTGACAGGCTTTCCGCAATCCTCAACCTGGCATTTAGCAAACGGTTTCGTAGTTTGATTTGCTTTCTTGGCCTTGGATAGGGAGCGGTGCCTGGCACATTCGCCGCAATAAACCTGGAGACAAATCAGTTCTATGAAATGTAGGAGCTTCAACATGGTGGTACGAACATGTCCACAAGGCTTTGCCACCCATATTTGTTGTTTTGTCTCGTCGCCGGTCCCAAGTTCCGCCTCGCAGTTTGGACATACGACAACATCTTCCTCTCCGGCGTTTCTCGTAAACCCTTCTGGCGGTGGGCTGGGTGGTTTGTATGTGCTTCTTTGAGTTCTAGCCTCGGGTGTATAACCGGTTCGAGGATATTCCATAATCAGACCATCTGCATCGAGATTGATGGTTAACCCGCCACCTCCGATCCATAAAGTGTCAACCTCGTGCGTCTGATGTCGACGGAGTTGTCGTGCCCTTCGAGCAACCTCTTGTCTGAATACATCTTCTTCCGATACAGCTGCGGGCCTACGCTGAAACCGTAGCATATGCAGGAGGTTTGATCCTATAAAGTCTTCTGTAGGAGCGTGTGGTCGAACATTGGATCCAACAAACTGTACATCAGGACTGCTCGGAGGTTCTTGTCCATTTGTAGGTTCGGGTTCTGCTTCGAGGTCCACCACGTCGGCCATGATGTTTCTTCCAAAGCGAGGCGGTCTTGCATGTCGAGGAGGGCCCCTGTTCGAGCTTTCTTGCTGGACGTTTTCCGGAGAATCGGGCTCATTCGTCAAGTCGATCACGTCTTCTACCTGAGGAGAAGATGTCATTATGGGGCGTCTGTAATCGAAGCCATCCCCCGGATATCGCATTGGTGGCGACGATGGGCGAAATTGTCGGTCGTTGGTAACGTTGGATGAGGAAGAAGCTTCGTCGTGATTGTGGAAGGAGGACTGGCTGCGATTTCGGGCTGATCCGGACATCTGGTGAGGTCGCTAAAGAATAGAAAGACTGGTCAGCAAGATCCATGCATCTACGATGTGTTGGCACAGGGAGCAGTGAATGAAGGGTGCCCCGCCTCTGAAGCCTGCGGAGAGGTTAATGGGACCGACCTTTCTAGACCGGGCGCCCACAAACTGGACGCCTGAGTCGTCATTCATATCAAAGGGTTGAGTTTAAAAGAAAAGTAGGATATCCAGGGGTGGTAGGAGCTAGGAAGCGACCAGCAATGGTAGTTGGTGTTGGAGGAACCTCGGCGTTGACGGAGATCATGATTAGTTGGTGGGTTCCGAATCCTTGTGGTGGAGAGGAGGAGTATTCCGACCTCTCACAGATGAAGTGGCCACTGGACGGGGAGCAAAGTCAAAAAGACACCCATTTGCGTATTTTGGTTGTTATTCGTGAATGGGGAGCGAATAAGTGAACTAGGTGTGAGAAGTTTGAAGATAGGTAGAGGGGATGAAGGGGAGGGATGCGGATATACTAGGAAAGATGGAGGGCAAGGTGTTTAAGTAGCCAGGTCTGCTGCAGTGCTAGCAGGTAAAGACTATTTCCAAATTGATATACAAATAGAGAAGAAGGTCAAGTCAAAATGATTGCGAAATAATTAGCACAGATGTAAATTTAAAAATGTGAAGTAAAAGAAGTATAGATATAGATAGCGCAAACCATACAGCCAGGGAAAGGCAAGTCATCTAACAACAATCTTACTTTCAGTAAAAATTTGTATAGCCTAGGGATATTCAAGCATTGCTACATAGAGCTTTGTTAACTAGGTAGAAGCTAGAAATGTTCTGCCTTTGTCTCATCTTCTTTTTATTTGCCTCAGCCTAATGTGCAAACAGGATAGTATTGATCATTCTCAACAAACACAAAATGGCTAAAAGTACACAAGTTTTTTCAAAGGTATTATCATTATGACTGTGCTCTCAGCACTGTGACTGCTCCCTCTCCATTGACCGCCACTATGCTCTGAGCTGCTGGCCCCCATGCAGCAGAAACAGCAGGCACAGCACTTCTCAAGGGCTCAGACCATCCCTTGGATGCCTTGGAATATTGCTGGACGGTCAGACCGCTAGGCCCACTGGTGAGGAGGAACTGTCCAGTGTAGTCCCAGCTGATCGAGTCAATCTTGCTGCCCGTGTCGAGCACCTTGGTCTCCTGGGCGCTGCGAAGATCCCAGACGGAGATAACAGTGGAGTTCTCTGCCACGGAAGCCAAGAAAGTACCATTCTCGGAGAAGAAAAGACACTTGACAGGGCCAGACATGGCGAAGTTCGCGGCCGCTGCTCCAGATTTGACATCAAAGATCTTGATCTGTCCGTCTGCACCACCAGCAGCAAGAAGATGGCCATCAGGATGGAATTTCACTGATAGAAGAGCTAGGTGAAGGCAAAATTTTAGTCAAAAGTCAATCGTGAGGGGTGTGCAGGTCATGCTTACATGCGTCACTAAAGATCTGAGTGATGGTCGAGTTTGTCGTCAAGTCGTACAGCACATAGCTCTTGTCGACACCAACAGATGCAACAATGTCACCAGTAGCATGCACAGCGAGGGCTGTGGCTTCTCCAGCGTGGGAGTTGAAGTTTGCAAGTTCGCTGCCATTCTCAAACACCTTGATTGATCCAGTAGACGAGGCGATGATGGCCTTCTCACCAGCCCACGCAGCATCGGTAACTGGGCCGTTTGTTTGCAGAGTATGAACCACGCGCTTTTCAGGGAGCGAGTAGACACCAACCACACCATCGACACCGCCAACCAGTGCCAGTTCACCGGACGCATTGACTGATAATGCTTTGCTGCCGGGGTATAAGGGCTCGGAGCTCTCAGCAGGCTGGTATGCGGAAACTGCTTCGCTTGTAGCCCAGTTTTCGGGAATGGGGCGCTTACGGCGACCCTTGGAAAGTCTAGTGGGAGTCAGTATTAGAAAATGAAAAACGACAAGTGTGCGGGATGAACATACGCGGCTTGTGTGTTCTCAACTCTTGCCAATACGGCTTCAGACAGTCCGGTAGCATCGACTTGCATAGCTTCGCCTCCGGCAGCGGTGCGGGTGGCTCCAACGGTAACCTTGGACAAGGCATCGCGGGCCTCGTCTCTTTCCTGGGTCAATCGTGCGATAACCCGAACAGCAGCATCATGCTGGTAGAGCGCTGAACTGAGTTCCTGGCGGGTCTGTGCCAATGTCTGTCGCAAAGTATAGGTCTCCAAAGCCAACGCATCCCATTCTTCCTGGAAGACGCTAAGCAGCGAAGGGATCGAGGTGAGGGTAGGAGGTCGGGGTCGGACAACGCGCTGAGATTTAACGTCGATAAGATCTTCGATGGAAAGCTCCTCTCCCGTCACAGGGTCTTTGCCATTCTCGGAAATGTACGCTTCGATGAGACGTTTCTCAAAGACACTGCCTGTTTGATGATAGACAAGTCAGCCTGTGTCCAGTCTGGACTGTCTAGTCAAGGTTGTAACGTACCGCTCTTGGGCGAAACGACGGGCACCTGCGGTGCTTCTCCCGAGACTATTATCGAAAAATCGTCAGCTATTAAATGAGACCAAATAATCCAGGGCAGCACATACTTGCGCACAGCATTTTAATCTGTGAATAGTTGGGTGGTGGGTGTTGAGGAGTTGATTGCTTGACGCGAAAGCGGCTCCTGGGGACTTTGATGAACCTGCTTGCCGCCCTATCTGGGTTAGCCGCAGCCCAGAGCTGCTGGCCGATTGCAGATCACCTGGCGACCACCACCGCAGTTGCTGAACCTCCTTGGATTCCTACTCTCTGCCAACAAACTCCAGTTGTGTTGGTTTCACTGTCTTCAGCTTCGTGGTTGTAGCTCTGGTATTTATATCAACCTGGAAGATATTTACGCAGCAAATGGCTTTTGCCTGAGGAATACATCGCGCATCAGTCCAGGATTACTCACTAACTGACCAGACATTAAACGAGCAAGAATTAGCCATTGTCTATCGCTAGCTGGCTCTGAATACAATCATTAGATTTTGCCACAGGAGTCTTTCTTGCTGAACTACAGGCGAATGGTCACTGTCTGGTGCGGAGGCCATGTCTTACAACGCGAAAAACCTCGCCTATGGTATGTTGCCTGTTTTCTATAATCTACAAGGTATCCGCTGACATATGACCAGAGGCGAAGCAACCGTCTTTCTTACAAAAACTTAGAAGCCAGTACGGGGATACTTCAGGTCGCCTTGAACGACCAATTGCCCGACCCCGAAAAGAAAAGCAAGATGATGGCGATGACGACGAACCCACATATGTCGATGAAGAAAGCAATGAAGTGATTTCCAAGGAAGATTATGCGGCCTTAGTCCGTGATAGCAACAAGGAAGATGAGAATCCGACGCAGGACTCAGCTGAGCAGACATCTAAACCCGATGAAAAGGAAAAAGAGGCTCCATCCAAACAAAGTCTGGCAGAGATAGGAGGTCCGAAGAAGCGAAAGCAGGCCAAAGTCGTTGGAGAGGAAAATAACGCCCCAGAGAAGGAAGAAGAGCGAAAGGAGGGCCCTAATCGAAAGCCGAAGCAGAAGAAAAAGAAAATCAAGCTTTCCTTTGATGACGCATAATTCACAGTCTTTAAGGGATAAAATCATACGCCTTCTGCCTAATTATCTGGAGGCTAGATGCCTATTCAGGTGGTAGGGCTGTATATAGTATCATACGAAATTTAGAAGCCATTAATAATCAAGACAGTAAACCGGTCGGACACTTCGATCGTATTCTTTTCAACTTCAAGATTTTTCATATTATTTTCTGCTTGTAGAGTATCATTCTTCAGGCATTCTATCTCTTGTTTCTGGCCAAACGAAGACATTCATTTTTGGCTTGACTAATTTTTTTCCGCATTTTTTCTTTGCAACGCGGAACACCAAGAACTAGCCCAAACGTCACTCATATCCCTCATCAGGCGGGACCTTTTGGGAGACTCCTTTAGATATTGGCACTGACTGCCAGAGTCACTATATTCTCAATATGCCTGTCGTCAACGTCGACGAATTGGTCCGTCTTCAGCGGAAACCCGATGACATTCGGAATGTAAGCTGCCCCTCCATCCCACTTTGATGTCAGAAGGGAATGCATTTCCTATGAACCAACGCTAATCACGTCGCAGATTTGCATTCTAGCCCACGTCGTAAGTGGCATTAGGACTAATCTTGAAGTTATTATACGTATTAATTCATATTGCGCTCTCTAGGATCATGGAAAGACATCCCTAACAGACAGTCTTATCGCCACAAATGGCATCATCTCCCCCAAGTTGGCGGGCAAGGTCCGCTACCTGGACTCTCGTCCAGATGAACAGCTACGAGGAATTACAATGGAATCCTCCGCTATCTCTCTATTTTTCTCCATGCTCCGTCGCCCGGCTCCAGAGGCTGCGCCGGTTCCAAAGGAGTATCTGATCAACCTCATTGACTCGCCCGGGCATATAGACTTCAGCAGTGAGGTCTCAACGGCATCGCGTCTATGCGACGGTGCTGTGGTCCTTGTCGATGCAGTCGAGGGTGTTTGCAGTCAAACGGTAACAGTGCTGCGCCAAACCTGGGTCGAGCAGTTAAAGCCGATCCTGGTTATTAACAAGCTCGACCGACTGATCTCGGAACTGAAAATGACTCCGGGTGAGGCCTATTCTCATTTGAGTCGACTTCTAGAGCAAGTCAATGCGGTTATTGGTAGCTTTTACCAGGGTGAACGGATGGAAGAGGACCTTCAATGGCGAGAGCGCATGGAAGATCGCATCAATGCATCTGCAGCTCAAAATAAAGACCAATCTAAGAAGCAAGCGCAAGATGAGGAGTCTATCATGGATGGGACAGAATTCGAAGAACGCGATGATGAAGACCTTTACTTTGCCCCCGAGAAAAATAACGTGATTTTCTGCAGCGCAATCGATGGCTGGGCATTTACCATTCGTCAATTTGCCGCGATATATGAAAAGAAACTTGGGATCAAACGGTCTGTCCTTGAGAAAGTCCTGTGGGGTGAATACTACCTCGACCCTAAAACAAAACGTGTCTTGGGACAAAAGCATCTGAAGGGAAGAGCATTGAAACCCATGTTTGTTCAGTTGGTCTTGGACAGCATATGGGCTGCATATGAAGCTACAACAGGTGGAGGCAAAGGAAAAGGGTACGTCCCACCAAACTATTGCTGAAAGTCATTCAATCTAGCTGACATTGAACAGTGACCCGGTTCTGTTGGAAAAGATCACAAAGTCATTAAATATCAACATCCCGCCTTATATTCTGCGCTCACGCGATCCTAAAAACATCATGACCACCTTATTCTCTCAATGGCTGCCCTTGTCTACTGCGCTACTTGTGTCAGTCATTGAATATCTTCCTAGCCCTCGAACTGCTCAAGCCTCCCGTCTACCAGAAATGATTAAGGAGTCGCCAGGTTCCAAATTCGTGGACCAAAAGCTGAAGGACTCTATGGCGAATTTCAAGACAGGCCCAGAGGAGCCTGTAGTTGCGTACGTCAGTAAGATGGTCGCCATTCCAGAGAGCGAGCTTTCATCGAGCAAGAAGCGAACCGGTCCAGGTATGTCAGCAGACGAGGCCAGAGAATTTGCGCGACGGAAGAGAGAAGAAATCGCCAAGATGCAACAGGCAGAAGCCACAGATGATCAGGACGAATATTCGCGAATCACATCGGGACTTCAAAGAACCACCTTGGACGATGATGCCGAGAAGGAAGACGAGGCTGAGGAGCCTGAAGACCCAGAGCATCTCATCGGTTTTGCACGTCTATACTCTGGAACCCTTTCGGTTGGAGATTCCGTGTATGTGTTGGCACCCAAATTCTCGCCAGCAGACCCCCATGCTAGCCCTGAGCCGCAGAAGGTGACCGTCACCGATCTGTACCTTCTCATGGGAAGAAGTCTGGAACCACTTCAGTCAGTTCCTGCAGGTGTGGTTTTCGGAATTGGAGGCCTTGCCGGTCATGTTCTCAAAACGGGTACTCTCTGCTCCCAGCTTGAAGGAAGTATCAACTTGGCTGGTGTCTCTTTGCACTCACCACCCATCGTGCGTGTGGCTCTTGAGCCATACAACCCCGCAGACCTGAGCAAAATGGTCACAGGTCTACGTCTCCTCGAGCAAAGTGACCCTTGTGCACAATATGAGGTCCTCCCCAGTGGTGAGCATGTCATCCTGACTGCTGGTGAACTGCACCTTGAGCGCTGTATCAAGGATCTCCGTGAGCGTTTTGCCAAGTGTGAAATCCAGACCGGTGAAACAATCGTACCATATCGAGAGACAATCGTCAGCGCAGCCGAGATGCCTGCCCCCAAGAACCCTGAATGGGGCCGGGGAGGTGTCCTGACGATTTCACCTTCGAAGCAGCTCACTCTCCGATTGCGAGTTGTGCCATTGCCCGAGGCCGTTGCCGAATTCTTCACCAAGCAAGTTGGTACCATTAAGCGACTGCAGTCTGAAAAGCGTCTGTTTGGCGAATCCAAACCCGACGCAGAAGTGTCAAATGGGGCGTTGGAGACCAACCAGTCAGTAGAAACCGGCGATGCCACCGACGAGGCCCGAGAGGGAACTATCCTCTCGCTCAAGGAATTCCGAAACGAATTGAACAAATTGTTTGACGATGTCAAGGAAGACAAGGATCTGTGGAAGAATGTCGTCGACAGAATCACAGCCTTTGGTCCCCGGAGAATCGGTCCTAACATCTTGGTTGATGCTACTTCGGTCAATACGTGCGAGAAATTGTGAGTTTATACAGAATAGCCATCCCCAAACCTAATAAACCTCGAGAACGAGGAAACTAACTAATATCACCAGTCTGCTCGAAGACCCGAAGCAACAACCCAGCATCCCCACAGAGGGCAACAACCGCGACGCATTGATTGTGCGTGATTTCTGTGACAAGATCGCATACGCATTCCAGCTTGCCACAGGCCAAGGCCCTCTCTGTCAGGAACCCATCCACGGAACCGCCATCTTCCTCGAAGAACTGGCCGTCAACGGCACTGAGGAAGAACTCGACCTGGGCCGATTGACAGGCGAGGCGATCAGGCTCGTGCGCGAGGGTATCACCCAGGGATTCCTTGACTGGAGCCCTCGCATCATGTTGGCAATGTACAGTTGCGAGATCCAAGCATCGAGTAAGCTACTCCCCATTCTGAGACGATAACCAACACAAACTAACCACAAAAACCTCAAACAGCCGAAGTTCTCGGTCGTGTCTATGGTGTCATTACCCGCCGACGAGGCCGCATCCTCTCCGAAACCATGAAAGAAGGAACTCCCTTCTTCACAATTCTTGCCCTCCTCCCCGTCGCCGAGTCATTTGGATTCGCGGACGAAATCCGCAAACGTACCTCTGGTGCCGCGCAGCCCCAGCTTATCTTCGCGGGCTTCGAGGCTCTGGACGAGGATCCATTCTGGGTTCCTGCTACTGAAGAGGAGCTCGAGGATTTGGGCGAGTTGGCGGACCGTGAGAATGTTGCTAAGAGGTATATGGATGCTGTGAGGACTAGGAAGGGATTGGTGGTTAAGGGAAGGAAGTTGATTGATGCTGAGAAGCAGAAGACTTTGAAGAAATAAACAGGGTCGTGGTTTTCTAGAATAAAATGATATTTTGGCATACGTCTGGGGTTGTGCATATTAGGATAAAAAGTTGTTTTGATTTTTGTGATGGTATTGTTATTATCTATACATTTGTTTACGAAGTTTTAAAATGAAGTAAATATGTACCCTCAGTCATTAAATGACTCCAAATCCCATCGCAAATCCGGAAAGGAAAGTATTTTGAAGAGGGTCGTGAAGAATGAGTAGTTCCCACGGACCATTAATCTCCCTCACATGACGAACACAGCCAGGCATTGAAAGGGCCCAAGACCATGGATACTAGAGAGGTGTGTTGTAAAGATAAGAAGGCTAGAAGCCAAGGGAAAGGGAAGGGGGGAAGAGGTATGGGTTTCATTCGTATTCTTTTAGAAACTAGAATGTTAAATAGACAGTGTCTTTAAAGCACTGTGTGCAGACTGTCTAGTAATAAGGATGCCGTACTGGCATTTCCTTCAGAAAATGCATGAGCTTTATGGCTCGGTTCGCTCGAGATTGAGATCGGTTTCAATTCTCCTATATCTTGTACCAATGAAGCTGATCGGCCAAGATACGAATTCGGTTGAGAGTTGCGTCCTGGACGTGCTCGTAGGCCGACTGACAGGAGTGGTCTTTTGGAAATTGCAGCAAAACTGTTGGGAGGATAACCTGGTCTCTCCACGGGGTCTGCCGTCCAGCCTATCTGGCCCTTAATCGGGACCCAAGGATGGGCTAGGATCTCAAAATGCCTTCATGATAATTTTGTAGATATTGATGAAATTCAGCATGAATACGAGTGCGGATTGTCGGTGATATGATAGAATCGACTGATCGAACGCACTCAGAATGGCCGGGCCACCTTCCTCAACTCCGCAAGACCGGTAGCTGGGTCTCTCATTTCCTTCCAGCTCACAGGGAACATCATATTACCAGCTTCGCTGCGAGCCATGACGACGCCCAGATCATTGCGTGCGGTGGTAAGGTAGTAGAAGCTTTGGTCACCTAGCGAGATGACGGTGCCACGTACAATATCACCAACCCGGAACATCTCGTCCATGACGACACGATCTTTTTCGACGGCACGCACATCCTCTTTCCGAATAAGAGCCTGAAAACGAAGCTCGTCGGAGCTGCTGTGATTCTCTGGGTTTGCTGCAGATGTAAGAATGGACGCCATACTGTCGTTGTCCGAAGCAGCCTGCGACAGGTCCGGGGTCAAAGCATTAGACTCATCAAGTACAACAAGAATAGAAACGGCGGCCTGGCGTTTCTGCACACGTGTCACTCGTGCCAGAACAACCGATTCTACTGCGGGAAGAGTGTTGTATTTCAGTTTGCTGGGTTTCGCAGCTTCTGTTTTGGGTGTAGATGCCGGTGTCCCGCGCAATGTGCGCGAGACGCTGAGAATCGACTTTGCTTTGGCACTTGATTGGACAGGGTCTAGGACAACCGGACCTGCTATAGACGCGTAAATAGTGGCATTCTGGACGTGTGTACCTGGGCCTGCAGAATAGGAAGCAATTGAGCCCAAACGTTGACCTGGAACGGCCAGTGCTGGTAATGTAGCCGCCATCACAACACAGCGGTGGCACCTGCAGGAAAGCAGACTATTTTGATGAAGTTGGCGTTGGTTGTGTTGGGAGGAAGAGAATTGCAGGAAGTGGAGCTTTTTTTTCTGCGTGGAAAGAAAGCGGCGGTGATCGGCTCGGAAGGGGAATTTACCCGAGACTGCCTAGTACGTACCTACGGAGTCCTACGAGAGAGGACTATGGAGCTCCACGGCGATTTCAGTGAATCGAAATAAGAGAAGAGAGGTAGATTCAGGTATCACTGCAATTAAGGTATCCACTCCATATCTAGCATCAATACAACATGTATGCGAAAGGACAAACAAAGCAAAAGGTGGCGAAAGCCCTGAAAAGGATGACGGACAAACAGTCCCAACGAAAACAGATAATTCCTATGGTACCAAATGCTCGCTGACAGAAAAGTAGTGACACCAAATCGAATGCCCGCTTAACACCTTGTGACACTTGAAAGATCGATGTGCTGACAGGAAGAAACGAAGAACGTCAATGTGTATAGAGGAATAGCAAACCACACTCGAGGCGGACGGACACCCCCTTAGCCTTCGACAAGAGTCTGCTTGGGACCGTTCCCAAGGAACTCGAGGCATCGCCGTGCCAGCGCAATGACCTCGCCCTCACCGTCTTCCGCATCCTCCTCGTCGGATTCAATGTTCCTATCTGAGATCGTCTTGACCATCTGCACGACGTCTTCGGATCTCGAGATGTAGCCAATCAGCCTCTTATCATCTGATTCCAGCAGTTGAAGGAGAGTCCAGATGGCGATGTGTTGGAAGGTAGGGTCTCCGCTCGCAAGAAACCTTCGAAGGTAGCCATGGATCCCTCCGTTAGGATCCGCCCAGTCGCGGACAAAGATTGAATAGTCTCCCACTATAGTCATTAGCATTTGCGACAGGTGTAGGACGATCAGATGATATATAAACATACCTTTGGAGGATAGGTTGCCGAGAGCTGCAGCACTATTTCCCTGTACCTCAATGCTCTCCGAATCCGTCAGAGGAATCAAGACGTCAAACACACCCAAATTGAGGAGGTGTTGTTTCAGCTCATCGCTGAGGGCCAGCACAGCGATGGCAGCAGTCATCTCGGATTGGACACTGAGAGGGACCCGCAAGACCAGGTCCTTGCATTTTTGAACCGCACCAGCCTGAAGCACAAGCTCCTTATTGCGGTCCGAGCTTGCGGCAAGATTCCGTAGTGTTGAGATAGCGTGACACTGGATCTCCTCGTTATCCGTTGACCCCAGTAGATCCACCAAGGGCTTAAGGAAGCCCGCGTCGATGATCGGAGATTCATTAAGGGGGTGGATGGAAATATTACGGATGCATGCGACAGCGGAGAGTATAAGGGGAAGGTAGGAAGATTGCAAAAGTCGCAGCAGAGGAGGGAGACCCTTTGCCCGAACAATTTCGAGTTGGTATTTCTCATCGGAGGCAAGGTTGCGCAAAGCTAATGCAGCCTGGCACTGCACTTTAGGGGTAGAAGAGTCCATGAGATGGACAAGAGACTGAACCAGGCGCGATTCCGTCTGAGCCAGCCTCTTACGGTTCGTAGAATCGACAGCAATATTGCTAAGCGCAGTAGTACAATAGTATTGTACATCGACATCGGGTGAAGACAGCAATTGGACCAGGACGGGGATTGCACCAGCGTTAACGAGTTGTTGTCGGTTATCGTCTGCCCACCAGTCAGAGATCGGGGAACCAGGTTACTTCTTCAATGGAATCAATCCACTTACCCGAATGTGTCATGTTAAGCAGGGCTCCTGTAGCGTTGCGCTGGACGCGCATGTCCTTGGATTTTGCCAGACGAATTAAGGGACCCAAGGCGCCCGATCGAGCAATCTTGGCCTTGTTCTCTTCATGTGTTGCCAAATTTGTGATACATCCAACTGCATTGCACTGAACCTCCACATTGGGCGACATCATCTGCCTTATTAGAGGAGCCAGTCCTCCCAAAGCGACAATCAACACCTTATTATCGGCTGCGACTTGTCAGCGACGATCGACAGACGAACCGATAGAAAGAACAAACCATTCACGGCCAGATTCCCCAGCGCGGCGCTAGCCGCCCGCTGTACTTCAATGTCGGGGCTTTGTAGTAGGAAGAGGATGGGCTCAAGGGTGTCTCGATCGACTTCGCGCACATCTGTAGACACACGTTTGAAATTAGACATTGCATGCTGATTCCGCCGTCAAAACCACATACCTCGCTCCGTAATTTCAGCAAATGTTAAGCTTGCACTTCGCTGGAGATCGACATTATCGGAATAAACGAGGGTGCTCAGAGCTCGAAGGGGTTCGCCAGTAAAGAAGTCGGTTTCGGCTCGCTGTAAATAAAAGAATCTGGGTTAGCAGGCTGACAAACTGGAGGATTCAAAACGTCCCAAATCGATTATAAACGACGAACGAAGGGCAACGAAGCTTGGGCGACCGGGGTATCATGGCTGGAGGTGTGCACGTACGTTCTCGAGGTAGCCTAGCAAGTCGGATACAGCTTCCCGCTCATTGTCTGCCAACGTTGTCTCGTAGATTCCATCTCTTGAGCGACCTCCGATAGGACCGAGGCAAGCTGTGATGTGACACCAGCGGTCGACTGCCGACAGACAGGAGAAGCATGAATTCGCGATTCCGCTCATGCCTTCTGAATTGGAGGCCCGCAGGACCCAAAGGCGGTCCCGCAAGCGTTGGATTTCAGAACAAAAGGAGGTGAAGAGAGAGAAAAATATTCCTGGCTGGTGCTGATTGTTGTAATTATTGTGATTATTCCCTCAAACGACGATAGCTGCGGAAACGGAGTTTTGGCGGCGAAACCTAGATATCAGGAGATGCAAGATGCGAGGGAAGGACGATTGGCGATGGAACAGAAAGAATGGGAGCGAGGCTCTGCATATAGCAGCACCTGATGGGAAGCTGGCGGGAGAGAACGAACGTCTCGTGATAGGATGGAAAGATCAAGGGTGTTATTTTTTTTTTTATTATTTGATATTTTTTTTTTTCTTTGCTTCAAAGTTGTTTTTTTCCTGTTTATCGATATTAAGATGACCTCCCGGACTTCGGAATGTAATCCTGGATGGGAGGGAGGGGGGGAAGAAGAGGACGGTGGTTGAGGGAGCGAAAGAGAGAGTGACGGTCTGAGTGGTGCTGCTTTAACTAACTTGGGAAGCTGGAAGACGGTCGGGGCAGATAGGAAGAAGATGACATGTTCTGGAGCTTCATGTGCGTCCAGAGAAGCACTGGCAGAGTGACTGATCTGGTCTCTGCGCTTGAGCGGGTTTTGTTTCCATCAATTCATCCCAATCGCTGCTTGTTTATTCCATGGGAGCTCGATATATTATCTCCTAGCTACGAGCTAACTAACCATCCCGCCCAGCCTCCCTCTATCTTCCTCCCCGAAGAGAGCATCCACCACAACTATCAGCAGTACGTCTTCTATCTATCAACCACGGCAAATCTAAATCTATTCAAAGCTAATTCTCATCTTGAGCAATCACAGGCCTTTATGTTTCAACGGGCGTTTGCATTTCGCCTCACTTCGTCCACCGCAGGAACCCAGAGCTGCTCGGGTTTGGTTTCCAACGGGCCGCCTGTGGATGGGCACCGTTAAGATTGTCCCCCAGCCTCCTCGGGCAAATTGCAGGTCTATGCCGTTTCATCTTTCAACGTTGCCGGCTGCGACAGAATCAATTTGACATGGCCATAACAGTCCTCGGATATTGCCAGCGATGTCTGCAGGAGCTTCGGCCAACGATTCTGAACACTTTCGTCTTTGCCCCTCTGCTCCACGAGTGACGCAAATGATCACCGGACAACTAGTGACCTGATGGATGGTCAGCATGATTGTTGACGGCGGAGATCATGCCCATATTAGTTCCCCTCTAGCATTATTGGTTAGACGCTCGGTATCATGCACTAATCTGTGGACTGACTCAGTCTAGAGCTATTAATCTGTTGTTTTTTTATGGATAAAGACGAGGACGAAGACACGGATTTTCGCCTACAGACATCAAGATTCGACGTTTAAATACAAACAACGCGAGTCTACGGCAAGTGTTCCCACCAGCAGTTCATGCAAGGCTTGAACCATTCGAAAACATCACCCCACAGCTGTATTCAATTTAAAACATAGTTATCAACCACCTTGCATGGTCGAGAGGAGAAGACAAAATAAAGTCTCAGCCCCTTCTTAATGGGGTATATTCTTTCTGTACGGAGTATACGCGGAGAATTATCAACAATTATTCAAGATAAAGTCATTGCGCATTAAGCAACATGGTCGCAACGAGATTCTATAGTTGTTGCCCCCCACCTTCCACAATGATACATACTGTCAGAAGGAATGAATATGTACAAGGTTTAGTGATCTAATCGCGATCAAGTCCATCAGTTCAAAGATAAGAAGGAGGTTTGAGGATCTACAATGGCTATACACAGGCCAAAGCTGTGGATGGTTTCATTCAAACCACGTGAAGACTAGGCGCGCTGCTCAGGAGACAGCATCACTTGTACGACTGAGCTTGGAGAGTTGATAAAGACGCAACGGGCCAAAAGCAATGCTCCGTACGAATCCTCAGTCTTTATTGTTGCCCCACAGAGGAATTCCCCCCAGTTGTATCACACAACCCCGGTTCCTATCCCGACCACTTTTTCTCCGCATTCTTGCCCATCCATCGGAGGGAGCAGAACCAGACTTCATTGCTCCACGGGTTAAAGGGACCAAAAGGAAAGATGTGGGGAGCCATGAAAATGAAACTGGTGTAGTTGAGTCTGTACTCCAAACCTCAGACAGTGGAGTTGGAGTTGCATGGCGAAGTGGCTCTGGATAACTTGCATCATGGCAGAAGCAGTCCTGAAACACTGGCGATTCTTCTTCATCTTCTTTTGCCATCTGATGGTTCTGGATAACTTAGTATTATTGCCTACCTGTCGTTGCGCCCCACTGGGCTGATCTTTTTCCATCTGATGACCCTCGCATGATGGCCTTCCATCCTGCTGTGAATTATAAGAATTGGATGCGCCGGTTTCATTGTTCTTTCTGTGTCACCTCTACTCAAAGAATGGCGGCCTGTTTCTGAGCTGTCTTTTATAACTGATATCACCATCCCTTCCGTCTAATAGATTTCTTTTTTTGCTTGATCTATCTCATCTCATATCTCCCTACGGAGAATATCTCGACGTATTGTTCCCAGGAACCAACTTGATTGCTCCATTCTTCCGCCACCTTGGAGCATTCTTGTGTTTCGATCAGTCGACTCCAGGGCAATAATTAACACGCATAAATAAATCACAAGCCGTGGTTTCAAAAGTCGTAAGAATAAAAGTTGGAATACCATTTATTGATTCACTGTTGCCCCTCGACAACGCGAGTCCATGTCTGCGTCAACCGCCTCCGCCTCCGCCGCGAATCTCCCATCCGATTCTCGCTCGGGTCCCTTTCGTCGCCTGAGCCAACTGCGCACCTATACGCAAAATCACTTCTCCCCGCATTCTTCGTCCGCCACCACCAACAGTCATCGTTCCTCCTATCTGAATACCCTCAGCAATCGTGTCTCCTGGCTTTCTCCCACCTCTCACGCTTCTGCCAACAGCCCAGAGTCTCCTTCCCACTCCTCACCTGTGGGGACTACCAGCGACCAATCTCCATGTCCCGAGTCTGATCGCTCCGCCCTTGCTCGTTACAGTTCTGTGTTTTTTTCCAGCTACCGCAGTCTAGAAGTCGACCTCTACGCCCAGCCTTCTCCTTCTACTTCTTCTGACTCGTCGAGATCGACTCCCTCGAGCGAGTCTGGTCGCAGCCCGATGCAGGGGACCATGGCGCGGCTGAGGAGACTATCTCAAACCCTCGAAGCACGCAGCAACATGGAGGCACAAAGCCCCGTGTCAGCATCAACTAACCCTCAGAACGGATCGCTCGACTCTCCCGAACCCGTTGCCGTCGGAAATACCTCAGCGTCTCCGAAACCCAAGCAGAAAGCGACTATTCGGTTTTTCCCTCACCAAGACCCCCACCAGAGCTCCCGACCATCCTTGCACTTCATCCCCGTCTCGCGCACTCTGCCCTCCGAAAACTCTATTATTCGAGTAGGGCGTTACTCCGAACGTGATGGCGTCCCGGTTGCGAACCCGTCCGAGCCTTCTGATGCTCCTGTTGGCTTCAAGTCCAAGGTCGTGAGCCGGAGACACTGCGAGTTTTTATACACCAATGGTCAGTGGCACGTTAAGGATGTTGGGAGTTCGTCAGGAACTTTTCTGAACCATATGCGCCTGAGTCAGCCCAACATGGTTTCCAGATTGTACACGATCAAGGATGGGGACATTGTGCAGTTAGGCATCGATTTCAGGGGCGGAGAGGAGATGATCTTTCGTTGTGTCCGTATACGTATCGAGTGTAACCGCTCGTGGCAGCAGCAGCCTAACGAATTCAAGTGCGTATTGAAACCCATTCATCACGAAATGATGCAGAAGCTGACGGATAGTTTAGCAAAAATACCGAAAGTCTCATTAGAAATCTGGGTAAGGGTGATACGGCAGATTACTCTGGCTGTCGTGAATGCTCGATCTGTCTTGGTTCTGTTTTGGTTTGTCACCCTGTTTTCATAACTGGAAATGGATGAATACTGACTTTTTATGCAGAGGCCTTACCAGTGCTTATTTATGGCAGCCTGTGCACACGTCTGGCATTACAAGTGTGTCAGCCGCTTGATCCACACCCCTGAATACCCCATGTTTCAATGTCCCAATTGTCGTGCGTATACGGATTTGAGCGCCGAAGTGGACGACACGAATGATTTCGATACTGAGGAGCCGAAGGATACTGCAGAGGCTGCGCAACAGACTCCCACTCCCGAGGAACCCCAGTCTCACACTCCATCTCTTCCATTAGAAGACGGCCACTCTTCGGATGGATCCCCAGAGCCTGCACAACATGGCCATCAACCAAATGGTCATCAGTCGAGCGAATTGCCAGAGGAAGCGGGGCTTGCTGTCAATATTGAAAACTTACATATACAGGATGGAAGCGATACTCAGGGTTCCGGCACTTCTGAATCTCCAGAACCTGCCTCCGCTCCAAACAACGAGGGTACCTCGAACAACGATAACGTACCTCGCAGTAGCAATATCGACATTCCCGGCTGGCAGTCGGTAGCTCAGCCAACTGCCCTCCAGACTCGGCAGGCACAGCTGCGCTCAGACACACCAGTTCGGTCAGAGACTTCTGACGATAACCCTTTGACCCCAAGGAATGATTCAGGTCCCCTGGCCTTTGATGGTCGGGCTGGGATGTCGTGACACTGAGGTAGTGAACTGGGTGATCTTGGACACCATACTATTGGCAATACTTCTTTTCTAATTGCACATTTTTAACCGCATGGATATGGATCGAGTCTACTAGGCCATCTCCAGCATTTTCTTGCGTCTCTGCATCTTACATTTGGTTTTCTTTCTCATCTTCTTACCCTTTCATCTTCCCGTCCCATCGGGGTGTCGAGCCAATGCTTGCAGCTAGCGATGGGACAGGAATCCTTGGTTCCAAGCCCCCATTTCTTCCATCTCTTCAAGTACATCAAACAACCCATATACCCATTTGCCGCACCGTTGTTTTGCCTTCCGGCTGCCTGTAGTTTTTTTCCTCAACATTTATTCATCCTTCTGTCACTTTGCCTCTTACCACTGCATCTACACCCCGAAGCTTGAGCAAACCATCTATCATCACATTTTCGAATGGTCTTTTTCTCATTTCTTTGGCTAGCTTTGGCGTTGATACTGTTGATGGATGCATTGGCCGATTACTAGGGTTTCTTTTAATTGTCGCCGTCCTTGAATGGTCACTTGACTGCTATTGCATATTATATTATCTATTTTATCTGTCAAGCATGTACATACATAATTACAAAAAATTCGAAAAATCTAGATGATCATTCTCCCACAGAATACTATATTATATTCTAAATACGATGCAACAAATGACCCATCCCTGCACGATCTCGTCATGACCGATTCAACCAGCCCAGTAATAATCCAATCAAGAAAACACTTCAAATGAAGTGCATACAAGACGGCACCATAACCCAAGCCGCGGACGTCACCTCACGTCGAGATCGCCAGCCGATCGACCCTAAGATAGCCAGGCAGGATAGACCATAGCGCAAGATTTCCCTTCTTCCACCCCGCGCGCGCGCCTTCAGCTGAGACAGAGACAGACACTGGCATTTGATTGCTTCAATTTATATTCTCCGTTCAGTAGCTCTTATTTGTTGCTTTTGCTGGCCTTTGTCACGCTCTTATCAATTCAGGTGACTTTGTGGGATTCTTTGTGTTTTAATTTTTCTATTTACTGTTTACAACCCCCCCTCTTATCTATGGTGGGAGCTAGGATTTATTGACCGCTTGATCGGAGCAAAGCTTTATTTATTTGATCTTGTCGGAAATAATTGCTCGACAGGCTATTTCTTGCATATTCTGTATAACATATTATTATAAGAAATACAGAATATGAGGTTGAATTTCAGTGAGCCTGCGACGCCGATTTTGAGCCGTCAGAATACGACGCATAATGGGGGAGCATATCACTATAGACATGAGACTCATCCGCATCGACTATCCTCACGAAGAAAACCACGAAGGTAATGATCATGTTCTTTCTTTCTGTCTTTTCTTTTTTTGTATCGCGAATTTAAATGGATTGACATTATTCACTTTTAATGCAGATGGCCGCTAGTCTTTCGATTTATCAAGGGTGCTATCCACGGCGCGATTCTCTTGCCTGTTAGCCTACACGCCTTGTTCACGGCCTTTGTTGTATTCCTCGACACATATGTATTTACCGTTGGATTGCCAGCTACCATTGTAAGTATATAGTCGCGAGAATCCATGGCACCTGGCTGACATCCTGGTTGTGATTGTTAGATCCCCTCCTTGTCCATCGTCGTAGGTTTGATGCTCGTCTTTCGAAATCAAACCTCCTACAATCGTTTCTGGGACGGCCGGAACGCATTAAATACCCTCAACACTTGCGTGCGGAATCTCGTTCGGACAATCGTCACAAATTCGTACAGTACTGATGGTCCCCTCTCTGCCGCTGAGAAAGAAGATATCGAACGTACTATCCGTGTCCTCATGGCTATACCGTTCTCGGTCAAAAACCATCTCCGCGCTGAATGGGGTGCTGCTTTTGCCTTTGAGTATGATGTGGACGAAAGTGGTGCTGCTGCGTATAATCCCGACTATGCTGGTCTTTTGCCAGATGGATTGGAAGGCCATGAGGATGAGGGGCTGGGGCTTCCATTCCAGTTGACCTTTTTTATTGATGGGTTTGTTAAGAGGGGTGTTGAGAGGGGGTGGTATAATGCTCCCGGAGCGAGTCAGATGCAGGCCCAGTTGAACACCTTGACGGATGTATATGGCAAGATGGAAACAATAAAGTTGACTCCTATTCCTGTTGCTTATCTGTAAGTGCTGATGCCATTTGTCTCTGCCAATACGAGGTAGCAACGACAGAACATGTCAGAACTAACATTCCAAAGAATACATCAGAAACAAGTACTCGCCCTATTCGGATGCGTGCTTCCATTCGCCATGGTAGATGAAATGGGTTGGTGGGCAGTGCCTATAACCAGCCTAGTCATCTTCACCTTATATGGCATCGAAGGAATTGGCTCCCAACTTGAAGATCCCTTCGGATATGATCGTAACGACATCAAAATGGATGCTCTCGTCGGCGACGCCAAGACAGAAATAGACGTCGTACTTTCGGAGTGGCGGAAACTAGTTAAGTCGATGGAATCGGCATATATGGGAAATGACGAGCAGCGTGTTGCCAATGGGATGACTCCAGTCAACAGGAAGGAGGGTAAATATGCGCCACCGGATCTGTTTTTGAGAACTAGACCACGGACTGCTCGTTAGCCAAGACAGGATCGAACGGTTCTCTCCCTGGGTATTGATGGGCATTCCTTGATTTTCCCGTTGACCCAAGATACCCATATAAAATACTTGTTCAAATGTTGTGCCTGTGCGCTTAGAATACTTGTCACACATACAGCCTATGCACAGGCTATGCTTTTAGGTTTCCTTTGAGTCGTGGTATATGTACAAACTTGGATAATTTCACATAATAGTACACTATACATTGATTCAGTCTAGGAAAGTAAGCAATGACCAATAGGCGTAAATCATCCTTGGGGGCTTACTATAAGTACATAATTCTTTTGTTGGAGAAGCAATCTATCTTTGCATGTTTCCACTGCTGAAAATCCCTGGTCGGAACCCAGGATGAAGCATCTTGGTCGAGGTTGCATACACTTTCCAATGGCTTCCTTGTTTTATAAAGGAGCCTCGAGAGCGAGGACACTGTCCAATATCGTCTCAGGATTAACGTGAATCAACACCTGAGATACAGCCTCATAATCGCTGCCATATTCCAAGCTGCGATCATCCTCAGGCCTTGCCACTATTATTTGATGGCGAAAGACTTTCCTCGCAGCCAATGCCACAATCGAAGGAGTAAGGTAGTCAAGTCCATGTAACGAGGCAAGAAGTCTATTATTTGTTAGTATAATCATGTGGTTAGGATTGCCTAGATATATCTATGGACATACTTAGAAAATTGCGTAAAGTGACTGTTTACTTTCGCAGATATTCCACCCGCAACTGCGCGACTGAGTCGCAGAAATATGACAATATCTTGCTGATAGCGGAACACGTCTGCACTAAACGTGACCGAATCAGTTGTCTCTCTAAACCTATCCAGGAGCTGTTTTATCATGTCAGTTTTTATCACATGTCACATGGATGAGCTCACCTCTTGATCAACTCTACCAGAGCTCTTTTGTCCCTGAGTTTCCGGTTTATGAACGACAGATGATGCTGACATCTGGCCATCCGAGAGCCATCCGTTACCATCTTCTAGATGTGCATACCCATCGCCAGGCCCGTGAAAATGGGAAATAAAGAGATGCTCATTCTGTGATTGTGTAAGTATCATGCGAGTACTCAGCATCGTATGAGTACCAACCAAATGCATATTAAAACGTAGCTGAAGCTGATCAGAGCTGTGTACCACAAGGGGAACTATGAGAAAATCCGTGGGAGCAGTGAGGACACCGTCCGGAACGACAAGCTTCTTTGAGCGCATCAACTATTTGAGGTCAGCAGGGCTGCATATAATTTCAATATGATGCCTCTCACTTCAAGTGCCTGAACCTGGATAAAATCATTGGCCTGATCGAAGTTTTTGGCTATGACAACGTTGGCCACATCCTTGCGGTCCAAGGAGGGGATATGGTCTTTGCGGACATCCAGTGCGAGAACCTCATTGCAAAAATCGTCAAAAGATGTAGCAGAAGAGCAATCCAGAATTTTATAAGAAAGACCAAATGTGTGAGAGCATATCTAGAGCAAAAATTGTCAGCAGTTGATCAGAGACGATCTGAAGGGGAATTACCAATGCGAGTTCTTTGGCAACGTCATGGATGCAGTCGTCGGTCGTTTCAATGAGACAATGCTCACGGGCGACAAGACAAAGGAAAAGGGCTACTTCAAGATCCGACAGCTCCAGAGCCAGATCACTAAAATCCCAATTCTCCATTCTCCCCTGGCGTTGTACTCATGGTGATGATAAACAGCGTCAAGAACATCAAAATATCACGGGATCCAGTACAAGGAGGACCGTTTGTTACTGTAAGGCGCTAGGAGCGCTAAGAGCCCCCATCCGGTTTAGCGCCCATGTGAGTTGGGGAGCTTCCCGATGACCAACGAACAGCGAGAACATGCATTCGCGGGATATCTGATTGCTCGCTTCCAGGACAATCATACATGGGAGAACACATCCTCAATGGCGCCGTCTAATCCGTTGGCTAATTGGGAGAGAGTGGGGGATAGCTTCTACCGGAAGGTTGCTGTTTACGACGCCATTTTCGATGAGGATGTCGAGTTGGAGAACTACATCATAGCGGGCGCCCCGTACGGGGGAGCGATAGGTACGATTCCATAACAAACTGTGATTTTGTCCTGCAGACCTGCTGATCAACTCGAATAGCTTTACATCGGGATGAGAGCAGAATGCAAAGATTTCGGGACAGCCATACAACCAAGTCCAGCATTGACATCTATTCCAACTCCGGGAAACTTATTAATCGAATCAATGTTTGTCATTTCTTATCTACCAAACTTTGGCCCGTAAGGCTTTCATACTGACAAGTATGCTTCAGTGGGAATATGGCACTATTCGGGGACTCGGCTGGTCCGACAAAGAAGAATTGCTGGTTGTTACTGAAGAAGGTACCGTCCGGCGATATTTCGGTCTGCACGGAGACTTCACTTCTTTCTCTCTAGGAAATGTATGTTAATAGAAATGGCGATGGAGCGTTGAAAACTAATTCTTTTATAGGGAGCTGAAGAATACGGCGTGAGAGGTTGCCGATTTTGGACGTCGGGATTTGTTGCACTGCTTTCCAATAATCAATTGGTTGCTGTCTCCAAATATGATGAGCCACGGCCAAAGCTTCTTGCCCCCTGCCCAGAGGGAGAAGTTTTCACGTGGTCTTTGATCCCCCCGGCTTATACTCTGTCTCGTTCTGTTGAGGTCTTGCTTGCCGTTGATAAGACGGTGTACCTGATCGACCCTACAGACGCCGAGGATAAAGTCCTCCAGAATGGGCCTTTCAAGCATGCCAGTGTCTCTCCTACTGGACGTTTTGTGGCACTTTTTACAGGCGAGGGAAAGATATGGGTAGTGAGCAGTGATTTTCAGAGCAAATTCAGTGAATATGATCCAAAATCCCGGACTCTTCCCACTACAGTGGAATGGTGTGGTGACGATGCTGTGATCCTTGCATGGGAAGATGAGATCCACCTTGTTGGTCCAAATGGAGTTGCTACCAGGTGAGCACTTTTCTTGACCAAAGTATCAGAGCCTCTCTAAACAACAAAGGTATTTTTATGACGGGCGAGTCCATGTCATCCCAGAGTTTGATGGAGTACGGCTCATTACAAATGATGCATGCGAGTTTTTGCATAAGGTTGCCGGTGAGTATCAGCTCAAAGTGTATTGCTGCAACAACTAACCAGGATAAGATGTGACGGAGGAAATATTTCGGTTTGGATCTACTTCCCCTGCCTCGGTGCTTCTAGATTCTGTAGATTTGCTGGAAAAGAAGTCTCCCAAGGCAGACGAGAATATCCAACGGATTCGCTCGAGCCTACCCGAGGCAGTCGACACCTGCGTCAATGCTGCCGGCCAAGAGTTCGATGGTTATTGGCAAAAGCGGCTGCTGAAAGCTGCTTCCTTTGGCAAATCTGTTTTGGAACTGTACAACAGCGACCAATTTGTAGAGATGACCGAGAAGCTTCGTGTATTGAAGGCAGTGAGGGACTACCAGATTGGGCTACCGATTTCTTACGAACAATACATGCGACTCACTCCCGAAAGACTAATTGAGCGTCTAGTAAACCGGCATGAATATCTACTCGCCATTCGGGTTTCAGAATACCTCCAAATCCCAGCTGACAGGATCTATGTCCATTGGGCGAGTCAAAAAGTCAAAGTTTCTACGGTCGACGACGAAGCTGTCTGCAAACTTATCGTGCAAAGACTGGACGGGAAGCCAAGGATATCATTTGAAATTATTGCGCAGGCTGCTCATGATGAGGGGAGAGCTCACCTGGCAACCCAACTTCTGAACTATGAACCACGGGCCGGAAAGCAGGTTCCATTATTGTTGAACATGGAGGAAGACGAAATTGCCCTTGACAAGGCAATTGAGAGTGGTGACAATGATCTGGTGTACTATGTGCTTTTGCACCTCAAGGGCAAGCTTCCTTTGGCAAGCTTCTTTAGAATGATCAATACTCGGCCTATGGCTTCGGCACTCGTGGAAACCTCTGCGCGAGGAGAGGACCCAGAGTTACTAAAGGATCTATTCTACCAAGATGACCGTCCTATCGATGGTTCGAACGTTCTTCTTTCCGAAGCGCTTAATGAAACCGAGGTACAACGCAAAACTGAAAAGCTCCAGCTCGCATCTCGTTTACTATCAGACTCCAAAGATGCGACAGTGGTTTTACATCAAAAGTTGCTTAATGAAGCCTCGCAATTGCTCAAGGTCCAGGAGAATCTAGACAAAGAAATTGCAGATCGGTCTGAATTTGTCGGCCTGAGTTTGAACGAGACGGTCTACAGATTAATCAGGTCAGGTTACGGCAAAAGAGCGCAGAGGATTCAAAGTGAATTCAAGATGCCAGAGAAGACATATTGGTGGTTGAGATTAAGAGCCTTGGTCGCCAAGCGCGATTTTGGCGAACTGGAAGAAATTGGCAAGAATAAGAAGTCTCCGATAGGATGGGAGGTAAGAAAGTTCCTAAATACCCCCCGACGGATGCGGACAAGTGCGCTCACACAAGATGGTAGCCTTTTTATAACGAAGTATTGGGTGCTGGAAACACGAAGCTTGCTTCGCTATTTATTCCGAAATGCACAAATCTACCTGCCGAGGACAGGATTGAGATGTGGGTGAAATGTGGAATGATTGTGAAAGCCGGAGAAGAAGCCCTGAAGGCGAAGAACGTTGATGCCCTCGAGCTCCTACGGACGAGAGCTTCCGGGCCGGCCGTTTCCGATATCGATCGAATGATCAACCAACTAAGACCGAGGAAATAGTTTGGCGACACCAGTCCATTACTTCCTTTGTACCATCATTATCTCTCTGACTCAAGTAATCTCTTCGTCCTCATCGTTGCCAGCAGGCTCGTCGACCACTTGATTTTGTGCCGCGAATGTCGGCTGTGATGCTGGCTTGCTCGACCCGCGAGCTACAGAATCGTCAACCATAGCGTCATCAGCGTCGTCAGCGTCGTCAGCGTCGTCGCCTTCGTCTTCTTGCAGAGCATCGAACATGGACTTCGAGGCTTTGCGATTCGTGTCCTCCCATTCAGCCTATACAGGAACTGGTTAGAAAAACTTCAGGCTAGAACCAAATGTCCACTCATACCCTACGTGCGTTGACAACCTTTCCTCGGCTGACACTCTTGGCCACTTTATTCTCCAGCTGGTCCATAACCGCCTCTGCTCGGTCCATACCCTTTTGTTGCCTTTGGCGTTGTGCTCTTGATTTGGGCTTGGGCTTCGACTGTTTCTTCTGCACACCAGAGTTTGCACGGTCAGTCAGGATGGAATCCCGCTGAAGAACAGTAGACTCGGCCCGGGGCAGAGAAGTCAAGCTTTTGTCGACATCGAGACTTGGGGAAGCCGCGCGCCGTGCAGCTCGGGAGTGTTTTGAATTAGCTAATGATTATGAAGCGTTAGACAATGTTACTATTTTTCATCTTCAAAACCCTGGACACTTACGCTTTGCTTTCGCCATGGTCTGTAGTTGTAGTCGAATGTTTTGGGAAAAAAAAGTCTCCTATCAGTGTGTGGAGCACCTATCGATAAAAAAGTTTCCGGGTGTTTCTGCCGACCTAAAGTGCAGCTTTTGCGGGCCAGCCTTTGGCACGTGACCGCAGTTTAGATCCGTTATTCCAGGCGGTGTGATATGGCAAAATGTTTTATTTCTTTTAGTAAGATCATGTGATAACGACCGGCAGTTGTCCTGCAGCTTATTATGCAACCGTTGGAGCTGTCATCCATCAAGCCATCTATCGCCTCAGCAAGGCTATTCTTTCTTTTCTATTTTGATGCAATAACTCGCTCCATGATTACCAGGAGATTTCCTCTTTGTGGTGGCCCTTTTCATCTACCCACCAGTCATGAATGTTCGCCGAGACAGAGTCGACAGTATCCTCGCTCAGAGTCCCTTTCACGCGAACAACGACCACTATGATACCGTGTTACAATATTTGCAGAACAGCCCTACGCTAGCCTACGTATTTGCGACCTCTATATCTGCCTACTTTCTTCTTTATTACTTTGGATTCACTTCCTTTTCGTTGCCTCAAAGCATCTGGAATATCATCGTCTATTTGACGCCCTCACGAATAGTCGTCGCTTTAGATTCGAAGACAACGAAACTGGATTCCACCGATGGTAACCTCCGTCCGATGAACTTTCAAGCGAAGAGTGAAGCGATGCAACGGATCTTCGGGCTCGATAATACCTCCTTTTACTCCTTCTTCCCCAATGCAACGACCTTCTCGGGATTTGGAAATGCGCTTCTGGGCAGCAAGGATAGCCTACCTCCGGGACTAGGGAACTGGGACAACTCCTGTTATCAGAATAGCACTATCCAGGGCTTTGCGTCTTTTCAATCTCTGGCGACATTTTTGGAACGTAATCTCAACACATTGGGGAGCAAGGGATCGCTTTCGACTCACGAGGCGTTGAGGGATATCATACAACAGCTCAATAGTCCATCGAATTATGGTCAAAAGCTGTGGATACCGCCGGATTTGAAGTCCATGAGCAGTTGGCAACAGCAGGATGCGCAGGAATACTTTTCGAAGGTCGTGGATCAGATAGACCACGAAGTGCAACGAGCATCGCTCCGGCAGACTCGAAACCTAGGCTTGAAAATGGCTGGGCCTGGAGAACATGTTATCGGATCTTCTGCAACGAATGGTGACTCCGCGCCGGTCCAGAATGACGAAAGTTCTTCCTTTCGCAACCCTCTTGAGGGTCTTTTGGCTCAAAGAGTAGGCTGCATGAAATGCGGCTGGACTGAAGGCTTATCTTTGATTCCGTTTAATTGCCTTACTGTCCCTCTTGGTGGGCAAAATGAGTACGATGTTCGCGAATGTCTGGATCAGTATATGAATTTGGAACCCATTGAAGGAGTTGAATGTGCAAAATGCACTCTATTACGTGCACAGAGGCAGCTGCAAACCCTCCTGTCCCAAATTGAAGAGGACAAAGGACTTTCCAGTACCCCGGACTCACCCACAGTGTCTGATGCGGTGAGGAATTCCGCACGAGAACGACTGCAGGCGGTTGAAGAGGCCCTCGAACAGGATGATTTTGCGGAAAGCACTTTATCGAAAAAATGCCATATACCCGCCAAGAATCGAGCAACCTCAACTAAATCAAGGCAGGCCGTCATTGCAAGGGCTCCGAAGTGTCTTGTGGTTCACGTCAACCGGAGTCTGTTCGATGAGTACACGGGAATGTTAAGGAAAAATTATGCAGCCGTTCGATTCCCCAAGACTCTTGATTTAAATGAGTGGTGTCTGGGAGTGACTTCCATGGCCGAGAGTGCCTCTGAAAAATGGGGCATGGACCCCAAGGAGTCGATGCTTCCACCAGCCGGCTCCATGGTGGATGCTGCCGGTCGTCATTATGAATTGCGCTCTGTCATCACGCATTATGGCCGACACGAGAATGGTCACTACATCTGTTACAGAAAGTACTCTTCAGAAACATTCCCGGTTCATGTCCCAGAATCGGTTGTGGAGGCCGATGGCGACAAAGAAAAGTCGGAACGCTGGTACCGGCTTAGTGACGAGGATGTGCAAATGGTCAGTGAATCCAACGTGATGTCCCAGGGTGGAGCTTTCATGTTGTTCTATGAGGCCATAGAGCCTTCCTCAGGGGGTAGCGAAGTAGACGAGGTGGATTTCGTGGATGCTGGAAATGAAGAATCAGCTTCGAGTTTTGCGACCCCGGAAGACATGTCCACGACATCTGTTTCAGACAGTCTCGCATCCAACACGTCGCAGGCAACTAGTGTATCAGCGTCTGAGAAATTCAGGCTGCCCGCCGAGGGTCAAGCTGTTCCGGTTTAATGACTTATGCCGTTTCGGAACGCTTGAGCTCCTTCATGACTGCACATGGTCGTCTTTTATTTTTTGTTTCATTTGCAATTTTGCAAACAATCCCGCATGTTGAATATTGTATATCAACACCCTATGATACCCGGAAGCTCATTCCATTATAAGGCGCTGGTGTTTTATCTTGTCTTCGCAACGGTGCTGCTATACTATAAAGTCACGGTCTGCTCTTGAGTTGTATTATTATTTAGAATGATGCTATTGATTAACTAGAGCATTGCATGTACATTGCAGCTCTCAAACATTCATTGTACATTAAGTGCTATCAGATGCAGTTCACAATGAACCTCTAATAAAGAGCCTCAGATCATTAACTAATAGCAATTAGTAGCACAGGAGAAAAGACAAACCCATAACCAACACCCGCTAATCCAAGACGCCTCAGGTATTTACATTAGACACCAAGAGCCAAATGCGCGTACATATTTAAAAAACACCAGCTCTGCTCATCACATCATGAAACTGTTCCAGTGTTACCCCAGAATCCACCCCGGCACCCCCATTCGCCTCGACGATCATATCCTTTAAGAGCTCATCACCCACGCCGTCTTCTTTCAGCTCGCGCGCTATCCGCCTCAGATGTCCCAGTGTGATGGGACCGTCCGCGCCACGGGTGAAAAGCTGATAAGCCGCGTCTACCTCGGCAGTCATGGCGTCGTCATCGCGTGATCTCAATTTGGCGGCTGCGACGGAAACAAAGGGCGCATATGGGACGAACCCTGTATTTGTGGGATCGACTGCGGAGAGGATGGAGGAGAGTTCGCTGGAGTCGGTGGGAGGGAGACCTAGAGCTCTGTCGCATTGTTAGAGATGAAGATCGGGATGAGATGAGATGACGTCTGTCGCGACGGTGAAAGGAAATGGAATGGGGGGCTATCCTACACGAGCGCTTTCCGAACATCCTCCCTTGGTATGACGCCTTCTTTCTCATTTTTGAATTCCTCGTTCGTAGTCGAGAAGAGATGGAAGACTTCTTTGATTTCATTTTCTTCTTCGCCGGAGATGTCGTTCTCTTTGGCGAGTTTGGATTGACGGGCTTTCTTTGGGGCGGAGGAGGCAGGGGCTCCGCGCCTCTTGGGGGGCTGGATAAACTAGTCAGTTCTTGTGTCGCAGGAGATCAGGGGATTTTGAAGAGTAGACATACCATGACACCGGTTGGGTTGGGTATGGAATTGATGAAGATGGTGGTTATCGTCGGTGTTGAAGAAACGGAGACGCGGGGGCGGAGAGCAAAATGCACCCCGATTGGACTATGGAGAAGCAGTGAACCGGGTTGGTGGTATTGATTAGAGTAGATGGAGATGCATTCAGGTGGAGGTTAGGATGAAGAATTGAAGATGTATTATTTAGATTCAGATAGGTACATTTGGATGTCTTCTTTGTTGAATCTACTATCTAGCATCCTACTGCTCATTGTGCTCGTGGGACGTCATCACCCAACTCATGGTAATTCCACCTTGACAGCTCTGCCTTGTATATTAACAAGATACTGAATGTCATTTCAAATATCAATATCTAGACAATATCTAGAATATCATGGCATTCAATCGAAAGAGACAGAAGGAAATCCCGGTGACTCGGCAGATCGGCTGACGTGATCCGATCGGTGCCTATCACCAACTTTTTATTTATCTTCAACGCAGCATCGCAGGGTGGTTTTGTATTTCTTGGTCTTTTGTTTAATTTTCAGCATACATAGATCACATAAGAATACGCCAATCACACATTCAAGGACAATTGAACTGCCTCATCCACGCCACAATGGATGTAGAGCTATACGTCTACGACCTCTCAAAGGTGATTGATCCGATTCACTTTAGTCAGTGCAAAGCTAATAATTTTCAGGGTCTCGCACGAATGGTATGTACTATTTACAGCCCGGAAGAGCGTCCGCGGGGCGATCAGCAGGCCACGGTCCTAACGCAGTGCAGTACTCGCTCCCCTTGACAGGGACGCAGATCGACGCCATTTACCATACGTCGATAGTGTTGAACGGGGTCGAGTATTACTTTGGCCAGGGCATTCAGACGTCCGTCCCTGGAAGTACGCATCATGGACAGCCCATGGAGGTGGCGAATCTAGGCAAGACGGAGCTTCCCACTGATGTTGTGGAGGAGTATATCCATTCTCTTGGAGAGATTTATACCCCAGAGGTATGTCAAGAGTAGACCAGAAGAGAGAGGCATAGAGAACTAACAAGATCAGTCATACGACCTCTTCCTGCACAACTGCAACAACTTCACGCAAGACCTGGCCATGTTTCTGGTGGGCAGGAGTATCCCCGAACATATCCGCAACTTGCCCCAGACCTTCCTCGAAACGCCATTTGGGCAGATGATGAAGCCCCAGATTGAAAACGCCTTGCGTGGTGTCACCCAGGGGACAGGCGGGGGATTTCCCCCTCCCCCGGGCCCTCCCAGCGCCCCGGCTCCCACTGCCGCTTCCGCCGCCCCCGTGCAGCCTGCAGCGCCTCCTGTATCCCGCACCGTCCGTCTGGTAGGCAGTCTGGCGCAGCTGGACGCGGAGCTTGCATCCGCAGCCCATTCCTGCGCCGTCATCTTCTTCACCTCGTCTACTTGTCCACCATGCAAGGTGGTTTACCCAACTTACGATGAATTGGCCGAGGAAGCCGGGGACAAGGCGGTGCTCATCAAGGTGGACACGGGCACGGCCTTTGACGTGAGCATGAAGTACGGCGTGCGCGCAACGCCCACCTTTATGACCTTTCTCAAGGGCCAGAAGCTCGATGAATGGGCCGGTGCCAATCCAGCCCAACTGCGCGGCAACGTCCGCATGCTGGTGCAAATGGCCCATCCCGCCCATCCCCACCGGCAGCTCCGTCTCCCCAGTCTCCAGCGGCCCATCACCAACTACGTCCTGTACAAAAAGGTTCCCCCGCTGGAGAAACTCGTGCTAAAGCTCGCCCCTTACCATGAAGACCCCCGCGTCCTCTCCATGATCAACTTTATCAAACTCAACACCTCCAACCCTGCCGCGGATTCCCCCCTCCCCGCCGACCTTCCCTCCTTCGCCTCCTACCTGCAATCAACCCCCAAACACCTCCCGCTCGAGAACCACTTTGCCCTCATCGACCTCGCCCGTCTCCTCTTCCTCGACCCCCGAGTTGCCGCCTACTTTGCCCAGGAACCCAACCACGCCACCCTCCTCGCCTTACTCGCCCCCTCCTCCTCCCTCTCAACATGCCCCTATAACCTCCGCATCGTCATGCTCCAACTCGCCTGTAACCTCTTCACCTCCCCCCTCTACACCTCCCACCTCACCTCCCCAGAGCACACCCCCCTCCGCGAGACCTGTCTCCGCCTCGCCATCTCCTGCCTCCTCGACTCCCACTCCACCCTCCGCGTCGTCGCCGCCTCCTTCGCATTCAACCTCGCCGCGGTAAACCACAACGCCCGCATAGACAACCACCCCGATCCGCTCCCCGAAGAAGACCAAGTCGAACTAACCGCCTCCCTAATCGAAGCCATCGACCGGGAAACGCAGAGTGTGGAGGCCCTACACGGGCTGCTCTTCGCGCTGGGCCTGCTCGCGTACGAGGCGCCCCAGGAGGGGGCCGTTATAGACCTGTGTCGGGTTATGGGGGTTGCTGACGTAGTGCGTCAGAAGGGGAGTGTGGAGGGGTTGAAGAAGGAGGCCCTCATCAAGGAGGTGGGCGAGTTGTTGGGGAAGTTGTGATTGTGATACACTTACATACACTACTTAGTCTTACTTATCACCTCACTTTTAGACTAGCTGGTTGGTCTTAGTAGAATAATTTATGAATAATGTACTACTGCACTGCACTGCAGCACTATGTATTACTAGTAGCGTTAGGTTTATTTTGTGAATAAAATGTATTACTACACTAGTTACTGTAACCTGTACTGCGGAGTACACTCATCATGAATGTTGTCAATGATAATGACGTCTACTGTACTATTCTGAACTACATACATGTAAATGTACACTGATAGCTGATGATAATGACGTCTACTGCTATTCTAATCTACGTACATGCAAGAGATATACTGCTAGTTGATGATGATGATGTGCATTAACTTGGGGTATGACAGTGTTACGCTATGTTATGCTATGCTATGCTATGCAAAAGAAAAGATGACGCGGGAGCTGTGTGTAACGTGCTCGGGGTATGTTGGGAAACAAGAAAAAAACATGACAGGAAATACAAAAGTACACGAGAGGGTATCGAGACATCTGGTGTCGTAAAACAATGAAAAAGAGAAAAACAAAAAGCCAGGCTGTAAAACGCTGATCCCAGTGAAGAAAATAATCCGTGATGAATCAATCAGTCGTGATGATGCCCATCCAACGCCTCGCGACAACGCATGAATAACGTGAATAACAGGAATAGATAATAAAATGAAATAATAAAATAAAAAAAGAGCCGATGAGAGTTGAATATCCAAGCACATGCCCTGTCATCAGCATCATGAAGGGTGTGAGTCATGGCGAGGGGTGTGAGAGAGAGATGAGTTGAGGCTTCATGATCAAGGCAGCATATAGACTGGCGGTGAGGTTGTGATGGATGATAGGCCAAACCCCCCTGGGCAGCGGATTTAATTGCAATGCGCCGACAGCGAGGGGGGAAATTAGATAATCAGGCCGCGGGGAAACAGTCGACATTCGGGCATCAAATAATAGGAGCAACAAAAAGAAACACCAGAAAAACAAGAGAATAATAATGCGACCGGCAACAGCGCGTAGAGCAAAGGCACGTGCATCTCTTGGGTGTCGATGATGGCGGTCACCTCCGATCTGGCCAGCCGTCACTCGCATTATTGTTTCCGATGTGACTTGTGATACTCGACCAGGAGCCAGCTGGCCCCACCCCTGATGACCGCTGTCCACCCGATGTGGTGTTCTAGAAGCCCTAACCAAGCAGGCAATAATGGTTGTGGCGAACGCGCGGACAATGTTACCGCAGAGGAACAGCAGCCTAGAAGCTGGTCCTTTGTCGATCTCCGCCGGAGAACTCTCGACCACCGGAGGGGCAACGTGGGGGTATTCGATAAGGCCGGTCGCATTGACGAAGAAAGAGAGGAAGAAACGAAGAAGAATGATTAGGGTATCGAAAATAGAATGATGGCAACGCCCGCGCTGCGCATTGGGTTGTGGGCTGTGGTCTGGTCTGATCTAAGCCCGCGCCTTGGAGGGCGATGAGATGGTCCGTCGTTTCTTCTCGGGAAAAGCTCTGCGCTTCTTGCTGCGCTTTGTGGTTTCGCGCTCGACAATGGTCAACTGAGAGACACGCAAAGCTTGCTGGGCACGAGCATGAGCCTGAACTTGGGCCAGGAAACGCGCGCGATGTTCCTCTTCCTCGGCTGCAGCACGCAGCTGCTGGATCTGCTGTTCGGTGGTGATGCTCCCACAGACAGGGTCCATAGCAGCCGATTCTTCTTCGATGACAGTGTCCGAGGGAGCAGGCGAGTCTGTGTAAAGGTCTTCGTCGGAAAGATAGGCACTGGCAGTAGAGGAGTCTGAATCGGCATTGAGGAGAGAGGGGCGGTTAGGCCATGAAGGGAAAGCGCAGGAGTTGTTCACGCCATAGAGGCTGGAGAAGGAGGATTTGCGAGGAGTGATATCAAGCAGCGAGTCTGTAGGAGAGCAGGGAGGGGGAGGAGGCATCGAAGAGATGGGCGAGGAAGAGTAGAGGCTATCGCCATAGCTGAAGCTGGAGTTGAGGGTGCTGGCGCTGTCGATGCTGGGAGTAGGAGCACTGAGAGTGGCTCTAACATTGGCCTGGTTTTGACTCCAGGGGAGGAATGGATACATTTTGAATGAAGATTAGATCAATATGGATAGAATATTGAAAGACGGAAGGATGGAGAGAGGAGAGAGGAGAGGGTCAGAGGATGAGTGAGAGATGATAAGTAGAGTGAAGAAGATCGACAGGACTGGGGATGAGACAGGCTTTAAGGTGTGACAGTGACGAAGGGTGGGATTATGGAAGAGCTGAGATGGGATTTTTGTCAGATCATTTTTATTTACGATAATAAAATAAAAAAGAATAAAATATCCAGTGCATGGATGTACGTATATCCACCGATCGATCTGGATGACTGGGGAGGATCCCTTGCGTGTTTGTTTTTTTTTTTTTTTTTTTTTTTTTTTTTTTTTTTTTTTTTTTTTATTATTCTACATCAGCGGAAGAGAATCCGGCGGGATGAAAGGGCGATCAATCATTTTATTATTCTTTATTATTCTTCTTTTATTATTATTTATTTATGAGAAGAAGTGATGCATCCATTCAGCTGGAATCCAGACCGGGGATGATCGGGGGGATCATCACACAGTACATAATAGACCGCTATCTGTTGTCTTTCGGTCAGCTGTACATTCTGTCTGTATATTCCAACAGAGAGAAAAAGAAATCATAAAAAGGGAAAAGTGAAGAACGGAAATGCGCAGTACGCGATGGAATAAATCAGATAGACTCAGGGATGAATCCGCGGATCTTCTGGGGATCTCCATCTTCCACTGCCAACCACCCGGTCGGTTTCTTTCTCTCTGCGATCGTCGTCAATAGTCTCTCCATCTCTTTATCCACTTCTATCCACTCCTCGGGGGAGTTGAACAGCTTCCGCATCTTATCTCTTTTGAATCCATCTCATTTTGTTTCCTGGAGTAATCCAAAACGCATCAAGGGATGATGCATACATCGTCCACCCCAGACAGATCGTCCAGGATCCCGGATCCCGTCGTGCATTCCTGCAGCTGCAGCCATCAATAAAAAAGCACCTGTACAGGATGGTACAAACAGCGGTGATACACCGCTTGCGAAGTTATTATCATCTTCATCATCATCTGCATACCCGACGGGAGACAGCCGTTGGGGATGGTGATACTATTCCGATTCCCCGGCTGTCTGTGCACTCTGGCGGTTCCCCAGATGAGATACATGACTATTTATATATATATATATATATTTTATATTCATCTATTATGATAATAAATATATTCATATACGATAATAAATATAAAAGTACGAATACCCAATCGATACATCCAGAGGATCCAGATTCCAGATACCAGCCCAACAATTACCCCCGGCCATTCTCGAACACTTCCACACGTAATGCATTGCAGGTGCCATTCCTGTGGGATGGTTGGATGAAACGACCCTTTAATGAAGACGGAGTAGCTGAGGAGATTATCAAAAGTGGGGTTTTTCATGAACCGCTCTCCCCGCTGATATTCACGTGTATAGAAGAGAAGAGATGAGAAGATGAAGTTCTTCCTGTCCTTGAGTCATGATATCCAGCATACCCAACGACCCAACGGATATCAGCAGAAAAGAACTGGCGGTGAATTTTCCTACAGATGCTCTGCAGCTCAGGCACCAATTCTCTGCAGCATTCGCCATTCCCTGTCTACCGCGCAGAAGGGCTAGAATGACTCAACTGAGCGGTGAAGCTGTTTGCTTTGATATCGAGAGAGATGGAGAGATATTGTGGCGTTGTGGTGTTGATGTGTTGCTAGTCAGACTCATCGGTTGGAATTCAATCCAGTCTGACATTTATATTAATTCCATTATCAATATATTTGTACAATTAATACTGCAATTTATTATACTGGAATGTAGGTTTTTAATATAATGCACGACTGTATGATAATGCAATGCACACCTGTCGCTATATATCCTCAATCAGGCAATACTGCGTCAACAATCCCCATCTCAACCTCATCTTCTCTCCCTCCTTTTCTTCCATCTCCAACTCATCCAACCATCCAACTCATCATCAATCCTCCGTATTTCTAATCTTATCATCTGACTACCCCAGCATCAATCAGAATCGACTTATTTCTGCCACCTATTCACATGTTTCATCCATTACATGCATCCTCCTGACAGCACATCCTCCCCAGACATCATACAGGCCACTTCAGGCACAACTGGCCCTGCTATCTTCCATCTGTGCAGTCCTCTACTTCCATCATCCGCAGAACTGACCTTCTTGACCAGGATCATCGAATTCCTTCCTACGATCCAGCCAACTCGCTTAATATATCGTCGCTCTATCCCGCCTTATCCCCGCTGGCTCCCCTCTCTTATCATCGCCCCCCCCTGATAACCAAATCTCCCATGATTCGCACTGGTTTTTGCTCAATCTTCAATACAACTGTCGACTGCTGCTCACTCAATAACTTCAATGATGAAAAAGACAGATATGAATGTCATATTCAGCTTACAAGTCGATGGATTTACAGGATGAGATAGCGTGGTAGCTACAAAATATAATGAGATTGATTCACAACTCCTGTCGCATCGTGGCGATAGATTAATGCCTTATCTGCCCTATGTTATCTCTATCTATATACCCCTACCGATACAAGGTCGCGATGTTACCCCAGTCGATAAGAAATACTAGTTTATTAACAAGATGTATCTTGCTGTCGCTCAATTGTTCAATTCTTTCCGACAATTGTGCCGCCCATCATGGCTTCAAAAGAACCATTGGAAAAGACTACCGAGTCTCCTACTATCACCGCAGATGTTGAAGTAGAACAGGGTCGTCTCAACGAGCTAGACGACAAAGACGATCCTACCTTGAAGGAGGATGAGCTTGATTATGATTCCGAACACTCTCCTTTCCCTGAAGGTCAGTCATTGTCTTTGGTCTAAGGATCATCGCTAATATATGCAGTGCGAGCGGTGGTTCCCGAGACCGATGACCCAAGCACGCCGGTCAATACACTGCGAATGTGGATTCTGGGAATGTTCTTCACCATCCTTGGCTCTGGAATCAATCAGTTCTTCTCTCTGCGATATCCATCCGTGCACATTGTGTCGCTGGTGGCTGAACTGCTGGCCTATCCATGCGGTGTCTCCCTCGCCAAAATCCTGCCTCTGTCGACCATCAATCTCGGACGACTAGGATCTTTCTGCATCAACCCAGACCGTTACTTTAACATCAAGGAACATGCGGTCATCGTGATAATGAGCAACGTCTCCTTTGGCTATGGAAGTGCAGATTCAACCAACATCATCCAAGCATCGAGCTCCAAATTCTACAATTTCGGACTTTCAGCAGGGTTCTCCGTCCTCATCGTCATCTGTGCCCAGCTCCTGGGCTTCGGCGTAGCAGGATTGGCTGCTCCATGGCTGGTTGAACCGGCCAGTATCATCTGGCCCCAGGTCTTATCGAACTGTGCCATGCTGGAGACTCTTCATTCGCGAGCGAATTCCGTTGCCAATGGATGGAAAATCTCTCGTCTGCGTTTCTTCCTCTATGTCACGGCAGGCGGCTTCGTCTGGTACTTCTTACCAGGATTAATGTTCACGGCTCTGTCGTACTTTACCTGGATTTGCTGGATTGCGCCCAAAAACGTTGTTGTTAACCAGTTATTTGGAATGCAGACAGGATTGGGATTGAGTCCCATCACCTTCGACTGGAGTCAAATAGCGTACAACACCAATCCCCTCCTTTCCCCCTCCTGGGCTGCAATAAACGTCTTCGCAGGCTTTGCAGCCGCCTTCTGGATTGTGGTGCCCGGCATTTACTACACAAATACATGGTTTACAGCCTACCTTCCCCTGATGACGGCCGATGTCTACGACCGAACGGGCGCGGCATACGACACTGCCCGAGTGGTCAGCGAGCAAAAAACACTCGACATTGACGCCTACAAAAACTACTCCCCTCCCTACCTTGGTGCTACCTATGCCTTTGTCTACGGCATCTCCTTTGCCTCCCTCACAGCCGTCCTAACGCACATCTGGGTGTGGCACGCAAGTGACATCTGGGCCGCCCTCAAAGGCAAGAACAAACTAGACATCCACGCCCGACTGATGCGCACCTACAAAAGAACCCCCTGGTACTGGTACGCAGCCATCATCGTAGTCATTACCGCCGTCGCCATCGCCATCGTCGAAGTCTACGCCACCAAGCTCCCCGTCTACGGCGTCTTCCTCGCCCTCATCATCCCAGCCGTCTACATGGTTCCCTGCGGCATCGTCCAGGGTATCTCCAACATCGATGCAAACCAAATCAACGTCCTCAGCGAATTCATCGGCGGCTACATGTTCGAAGGGAAACCCCTTGCCAACATGATCTTCAAAATCCTCAGCACAGACGTCGTAGGCCAAGGCGTCTACTTCGCCATGGACATGAAACTAGGCCACTACCTCAAAATCCCTCCTCGCACCCTTTTCTTCGCCCAGGGCATCGCGACCATCCTCGGCGCCCTCACCCAGTCCGGCGTCACCCTCTGGATGCTCGGCCATATCGACGGCATCTGCGACTCCGACCAGCCGGACGGCTTCTCCTGCCCCAATGGGAGAACCGTCTACTCTTCCTCTGTCATCTGGGGCCTCGTCGGCCCACGCCGTCTCTACTCCGCCGGCAAGATCTACTCGTCTCTGCTTCATTTCTTCTGGATCGGTGCCATCACCCCGATCATCACTTACCTCTTGTACACATATACCCGGCGCAACTTTTGGAAATACATCAATTGGCCACTCATCTTCGTTGGCACCAACAACGTTCCTCCTGGTGAGTCCTCCCCCCTCCTTCGCTCCAACTTCCCAAAGCGCAGTACTGACAACACTAGCAACCGGAATCAATTACTCCAGCTGGGCCCTCGTCAACTTCGCCTTCGACCATTTCATAAAACATCGCTTCTTCGCCTGGTGGACAAAATACAACTACGTTCTTGCCGCCGCCCTCGATACAGGCCTTGCCCTCAGTGGTATCGTCATCTTCTTCTGTATCTCTTACCCTGGTGCCGTGTTTCCTGATTGGTGGGGAAATACCGTTTACCTTGATACCGCTGACGGACAGGGGGTGGCTTACAAGTCGATTCCTGAAGTTGGTTATTTTGGGCCCCCAAATGGGACTTGGACCTGACTTATAGAAAGTACTATCACGTAGGAATATACGTAGCCCAAGTGGCGATGCTACTGTCATCCTGCTGATTTCATTCTTCCATTGTAATGGCTTTCGTTCCTTATTAAATACATACAATCTCCGAGGTTCCCCATCAACATTCAAAGAATAACTTAAGACATAAAACCGAGGTAAAAAGACACGTGAGAGGGGAAAAGGAAAATAAATAAAAGATAAAAGAAGAAACATGAAATTGAAAACACGGAACCCGAATTGAATGGCAAGCTGAGAAAATCAGAAGTAGCCAGTCAGAAAATGAGAGTGACCTGCCACTCCCGCGAATTTGAAATTATAGAGGTATCACCAAATTTACTGAAATAAGAATTAGCATTTTGCAAAGCAACCTTTAATCAAGTGACCCAGCTTACAGAAATTTCGGCCATTCCAAGGTCCTCGCCGCCGTTGGCAGCAGGTGGTTGGGCAGCCCCGTTCACAGGAGCGTTACCCTCTGCGGGTGCCGGGTTGTCGTTGGAAAAGTAGTCGATCATCTCGGCATCGAGCTCCTCAACGGTCTTGGGCTTAGGGCGGCCTGGGTTACGGGCAGCACCACCACGACGAGCACGACGAGCACGGCCCTTGGCGGTGGCATCGGTCTTTGATGCTGTAGCAGGCTTTGGTTGAGATTTGGCTTGCCTAGTCGAGAATAAGCAACTTGCCCGGGCAAGAAAAACTGACAGGAAACATAAACTTACACAACACGCTCGGTAAGGGGCTTGGGTGTAGGAACGCCTGGGGCATGAGAAGCGTCGACAATGACCTCAATCTAGGAACAGTGTTAGGCCCGACGATATCAGAAGCACAACTAGCATCCAATGCTTACCTTCATAGGTCTTCCATCGACAAGAAGTCCGTTCAGATCTTTGGCGGCCTTGGCGGCGGTGTCGGGTTTGCTGAAGACGATGGAGGCGATTCCTCGGCTTGTGCCATTCTGGTTGTAAGTGAGCATAACCCGCTTGACGGGGCCTGCAGACTTTGTGAAGTATTCCTATAGTGCCAGCGAATGATTAGTACATCCGTCAAGACAAGTTCAGTAACGCCCGCCGGAGAATGCGTCGTTTGGGCAAAACATCGAATATGCGTATGAAAGAAACGGCCCCGACCCCATAACAAAAGAGCATCAGCGAGCACACAGCGGTGTTAGTAGCCAGCAAGGCGAAAATCCCAGGATTCGAAAACCACCAAGTCCTGAGCCTGTTTCTGCAGATAACTCCAGCCAAGATCTGGGGAACTGCAATTGCCAGCTTCTATCAGAAATTCGCACATTGTTCCACTTTATCGGCCTCAATCCAGCTCAATTCTCGTGTCCGATCCAGAAAGTCGTTTATCAAACGTGCCAAACAGCCGCCCGTAAGCGTTTTCACGCTCACCACGAAGTGCCTGCTACCAAAACACGTTCGATATGCCATTTGACAATTTCCGACAGGAGAACGCCTGTCGTCTTCCCCCAGTGGCCCTCAGATTGATTCCGCTTATAGAGCATCGAGATTTGGTATGGACCTTAAAAGACCGAAATGGAAATTGCACTCCCTTGTTAGAGCGGCACTCTCACTGTCTCAAGTGGGAGACGCGGTGATCCGCGATTTTGGAAACGTAGTCTGGTCTACTGCTGGCTTGCTGATGCGCTCGCTGATGCCCCGAAACAAAATATGTGAAATGACAAAGTGCGCGACCAGGACTAGATGGTGTGTTTCAACTACCATCCTTGGTACAGTCTGCGGCGTAGCCATGCTGACGGATTTGTTGAAGCAAGTATCCATTCAGACGGGGAACGCTTTTCTCGCAAGACTACGGCAGGGCTCAACTTCTACTTTCGCGGAGCGCTAATGCGCATAGCACGCAGAAAGCTTATGGAAGGAGCATACTGCCTATGTAGTAATCCCAACGGCTACCACGGTCATATGGGAAGGACGTGGTAAACGGTCGGAACGCGAATGGAAGCCGTTTCGAAGGTCTCGAAAAACAGACATGGCGATAGAAACCCAAGGCGAAAGGCCTCTCAATCAACATACCTTGACATTGGCCTCATTCACATCGGAAGGCTACACAAGTTAGTCACCGGTCCCATCGAAAGGGTATACCGTGGAAAAAAGAAAAAAAAAAACTTACCAAGCCGCTGACCATGATCTTGCTCTCTGACGATACAACGGGTCCATTTTGGGCACCCTTTCCGGCGGCCTTGGCAGGCTTTGTGTTCTTCTTCACTCCTCCAACAGGCACGGCAGCTGTGGCCTTTGTGGCAGCTGCACGGCGACCTCCACGGCGACGAGCACCCTGGCGGCGGTTGACGAGGATTTCATCGAGAGACTTGTCGAGCTTGCCGGACATTGTTGCTGATAATAGCTAAAGCTAAACCTTGAAAAAATCGAAAAGATTCGCGGGTAAGAAACGTGACGGAGGACGAGTCACTGGTATCGCGCCACCTAAGAGTTGGTAGCGTTCGGGGAAAGGGGCGTAGAAAAGTCTGTTGAACTGGATAGGGGACCAGGTCGTTTTTAGACTTGCGAAATTGATGATGGAGAGATTAAATCAAAGCAGTAGATTGTATATGAAGCACACGCAGATGGGAGACGCGATGCGGAATGATGGAAAGGGGAGGAAGGGAAGATGATGGACGGACGGGCGATGGAGGTGAGGCAGAGAAGAGGAAGGCTGAGTCTGACGCTAGCCCGCATTCGGCCGCCTCCCGCGATGACTTCACGCGGTCGCTTCACCAAGCATTGATGCCTTACGGAGTATTTGTTTATTGCATTGAATGCAACAGGGGAGGTGTTTTGTTTATTATCCAGTAGATCTATCAGCTGCCATCAATTGTGGGCTGTGAATGGTTGCCCAGAGGATGATTCACCGGCTGCATGGATAAAACGGAGGCCCAAATGGCGGTACCCATGTAGATAAGGGCATTATTGATGGAATATATTCAATGAGAAAAACAATGGATATATATTGCTCGAAATAACAGTAACCAGGTCCAGCCCAATAAAAAAAAATCAACTCCATCCATCCAAACTCCCTTTACTGTGGTACAAAGAGAAGGCTGCTCATGTAGTTTATCATGCCAGGTAGAAATAAACAAGGGATTCCCAGAACTGCGTATCCAGATGTCAAAAAAACTCAGCTCCTCAACACTTCTAAACGTTCTCTCATCTGGTTGAGCGTCTCTCCTTCATCCTCGAACTCCTCTGCAGCGACCGGTTCCTCTTCCAGAGGCTTCTCTGGCTTGACACCCTCGACTTGGGAGAGCCTTCCGTGTAGCACCTCTTGCAAGACCTTGTCGACCTCTGCGTCTGCCTCCTCTTCCTCGTCCTCTAGTAGCTCATTATCGGGGATTGCATCCCCGACCATTTCTTCGATAATCCCGGCCCTCACTAACTCTGCTGAAAGCTGGTGCATCGTACCCGTCAATTCTGGCAGCCGAACCAGCGTATTTACATCTTTCATGATACCGGTCGACTTTTTGAGACTTCCTTGGATTTTGCGTACGGAAAAGGCTTCGTTTACTTGCATTTGCACGCTCTGGAGCTGGGCTCGGCTTGTGGTCAAACGGGCAGATTGTTTGCGGATTCGGACGAGCTCTCGCGCGAACGTCTTGGTTTCCGTAGAGGCCTGCTTGGCCTGCGATGGATTCCGCTGGGCTCGTCGCGAAGCATTCACAATGTACTGTCGTGTTTTGCTATCAAGGGTCTTCAGTTGTGCGATGTCACGATCTAATTGACGAGTGTTTGCGCGAATAAGTTGATTACATTTTCTCATCTATGGAATGGAAAAGCAACTGTAAGCAGGCAGAATGAAGTGACATTTTCTGAAGTGATATACCTGTGTCTGAGGATCAGGCCCAAAGAAGACTGCCTTGAGGGTTTCCATGATTGATTTCTTTCAAATCCCCGCGTTCCCCAAGATGCTGATGATTCTTTAGAGCCCAGTGTAATGATTATGGATTGAATCCCCCGTAGTCAGGTTATCAAATATTCGTATCAAAGAGTGACCCCAAGGTACATGATCCTCGCAACAGGTGGGGTATGATTTTGGACGAGGCTGAAAAAAACGCACAAGGGGTGATTGAATGATAAGATTGCAGTGATAGACTGAGAAGCAGTCAGCGTAGGCTCACTGTAGCCTGTCAGAACTCGTCTCTGTTATCGCTGCATTCGCATACCAATTTCGGTGCCAGCAGGGAAAGCAGCAGCAGTTGCCAGGTGGAGCGGGGCGCTTAGTCACGGATTCCCGCCTGAGGCTACAAGTGACGTCGAGTGCCCTCAGCCTCAGGCACTCAACAAACCGCAAACAGGGCAAACATCCGCGTTTCCAGTACTTTCTACTGGGCCAGGCTGAGCCTAGCACGGCTTGGGAAGATCATCAGCTAACGATTCATCGGCTTCTTCACAGCGTCTAGCCCTTCCCCCCTCCAAGTATTCTCTTCCTTGCAATCATCTTTTATTTCGAGACCTATCTCGATTCCCATTCTATCTCAACTATCCATCCTCGATCTTGTCACATTTTGTCATAATGCCTGAGCTTACTCAGATCCACCCCGAAGGTATGCTGGCCTGCCGCTCTACTTTCCCCGCTTTACTTGATTTTGTTGCTGCAAAACCCATCGCTTCTCATTCGTTATTGCGATTTTCATTCGAGACAGGGCTATCGTTGTTGCGTGGTGTGTGATTTGGGTCATTGCTAACTCGAAATTTTTTTGCCATCCAGTTACATGGGCTCAGCGCTCCTCCAGCACTGATGCTGCCCGCAATTACCTCTATGTGAACATCAAGGCCCCCGATGTTGCTAAGGAAGCTGCCGACCTCAACCTCTCTTCGAACAACATCTCTTTCACCGGAGAGTCGAAGAAGGGATACAAGTACCAAGTTTCGCTTGATTTATTCGATGCCATCGATGTTGAGAACAGCAAGGTGAACCACAGCGCCCGTGAGATCGAGATGGTCTTGCGGAAGAAGGAGCTCAAGGAGGAGTACTGGCCTCGTTTGACCAAGGAGAAGCAGAAGCTGCACTTCCTGAAGACCGACTTTGACAAGGTATGATACAATAGCCGGAGGGGAGAAATATAAAAGCCATGAATTGCGTTCACGACAGGTGCTGACTTGCTCTAGTGGGTCGATGAGGATGAACAGGACGAAGCTCCCGAGGATGACTACGCAAACAACTTTGGCGGTATGGGCGGTATGGGCGATATGGGCGAGCAAGGTGGTCTTGGAAACATTGATTTCTCCAAGCTCGGCGCCGGCCTCGAAGGTATGGGCGGAGCTGGTGGTATGCCTGATCTGTCTGCTATGGGTGGTGAAGAGGAAGAGGTACGTTATATTCATCTACAGTATAATTCGTTTTACTGACTTTGTTCTAGGATGATGAGGATATGCCCGAGCTTGAGGAGGCCGAGGGAACAGCCCCCAAGTCGTCCAAGATCCAGGAGGTCTCTTAAAATGTTGAGAACACGCTTTACGTGGTGGAATCTGATGACGAATGAGAAAAAAAAATCTTTCCTCTTTGTTCTCAAAGCAAGCAGCGTGATCTGCCGGCGAGCGCATGTTGCTCCGGTTTATGGCTAAAGGGTTTTTTTGGCATCCGGGAAACTGGCTGGCAAATGTCCCAGAAGTAGACCGTTATGTTTTGACAACGTCCCTTATTATTTACTATATTTGAATGAGATGACGAGGCAATTGACAGAACTCGCGCGTAATTGAAAGATTGACTGGTTTTTCATACTGGCCCACAAGTTATAGATATTATGACGTAGTTAGACATGCTTGCCCTAACCATGAGAACCTTCTCGTTCACCTTTCAATAGATATACACAATGAATTTAAGGACTATATCCATCAGACATCTTCTGCGACCGTGTAGAGGAAAACCATGATGGATCTTGAAATTTGATGTCGCGTGTGAAAATTGATGTCATCGAGCCCCATCGGGCCTTCAAATTCGAGAACACACAAACGACCACCAAAATGCGGAATACACACCATAATTGTTGCTTCATATATGAAAAAAAAAAAAGTAGATAGATGACAAGAGTCCCATAAATGCTTACTGTAAGAGTGTGACCAGGTGCCCTGCCGCATGCTGAGAATCAAAATCGATTGGCGGAGAGAATCTGTTCGAAGATTGTGCCGCCACATTTCTCTCTCGTGAAACCCACACCCCTCGAAAATGTGGAGGAACTTGCAACAACCTCAAGATCACCAACTCCCACAGTCGTTGATTTTGTAACTTAACTCTTCCCCTTGAGGTGTCATCCTGTCCCCCCTTGCTCTACAGCACGCTTAGAGCTGGTCATCTCCCCCGCCTGCCTTTCTCTTCAGGCTTTTAAGGTCGCCCTTCTCATTTTTATCCTTCGTGAGGTTGCGACCGCCACTCGCCATAACTGGCGCGCATATTCTTTCTTTCAGTCGATTGTAAATTAAAACAAAGAAACAACCGCCATCATGCCTCCCAAGAAGGTAGACCAGCCTAAGAAGAAGAAGACCACGGTCGAGGACAAGGTTTGTGACTATTCCCCCCACCATCTTTATTGAATACTTGAAGACACGAATTAATGGCTGACTGGTATCTCTTCCTTTTGATAGACCTTTGGTATGAAAAACGTATGTACAGAAATGACGTACCCTAAATCGGAGAGTGTCACGCAGGACGTCAACTAACCTGCAAATTTTTCTACAGAAAAAAGGTGGTTCCGCAAAGAAGCAGATTGCCCAACTACAGGCTATGGACAAGTCGAGCAAGAACCCAGATGAGAAGAAAAAGCAAGCCGAGAAGGAGCGTCGTGAGGCCGACAAGAAGGCCGCAGAGGCAGCCAAGAAAGAGGCAATGGAACTGTTCAAGCCCGTGCAGGTCCAGAAGGTGCCCTTTGGTGTCGACCCCAAGACTGTTCTGTGCGTATTCCACAAGCAGGGCAACTGTGAAAAGGGCCGCAAGTGCAAGTTCAGTCATGACCTGAATATCGAGCGCAAGGCGGCCAAGAAGGATCTGTACACCGACTCCCGAGATACCAAAACAGAGGAGGAAGAAAAGAAGAAGAAGGATACTATGGATGACTGGGACGAAGAGAAGCTCCGCAAGGTTGTTGTCAGCAAACACGGTAACCCCCGAACGACCACCGACAAGGTCTGCAAATACTTCATCGATGCTGTCGAGAACCAGAAATACGGTTGGTTCTGGACTTGTCCCAATGGTGGTGACAAGTGCATGTACAAGCATAGCTTGCCGCCTGGGTATGTTTCTTCCCATTGCCGTAGATGCGCATTTGTTCAAAAGCTAATCTAAAACTCCATACAGATTCATTCTGAAGACGAAGGAGCAGAGAGCGGCCGAGAAGGCCTTGATGGACAAGTCGCCACTCAACACTTTGACGCTTGAAGATTGGCTGGAATCCGAACGACACAAGCTTACTGGCACACTTACACCGGTTACACCAGAGACGTTTGCCATCTGGAAGAAGGGCCGCCTCGACAAGAAGGCCGCCGAAGAACAAGCCCGGACCGCCAAGGAAGCCACTGGACGTTCGATGTTCGAGAGCGGCGACTGGAAGGCAGATGATGAGAGCAGTGAAGAAGAGGACGAGGATGATGGAGCTTTCAACATTACAGCACTGCGGAGGGAGACCGAGAGGCTGCGCGAGCAGAGAGAAGAGGAGCGCCTGGCGAAGCTCAACGGACTGCCACTTCCAACGACGACACAAGACGCCGATTGAGTCCTGTGCGACTCCAAAAAGACTAGATTACCGGGGCTTTCGGGATCTCCCGCACTGGGATCGGTGTAGCCAACCGTTCTCCAGACTTGTGGTGTAGATTGTGATGGCGGATGGTCAAATACGCTGCTGCTTATCTGGAGTTTATATGTTGACAGACCAGATAATCAGCTGTGTGTTGGCTTCTTCTGTGGAAGGCTCGGGTTGGGTGGTGTCGTCTGTCATCTCTCCCCTTCGTGCTCAACATGACTATTAAGTTCGGAATTGCTTCCGGAAGCATGTATGTGGAGGGACTCTTAAGACAGACAAGGAAGGGAAACATAGGATTGAGACAAATCCTTTGTCTGTGGGAGGAGTGAATAACTGACATCTGTTATGCCAGCTTTTTGTACTTAAAAGTTCGTTTGTCTAGAATGGACCCTTTTTTTTTTTTTTCTCTTTGTTTTTTGCTCATCACCCCATCTTTAACACACCACTGTCGGTGAGAATACTCACCTTATTCGCTCTCCTGTTCAATTAACTATTCAACAGGAATTTGACTTTAGATACATGGCAACTGGCGTACAGCCAGTAAATCTACAGCGACGCTTTCTGCCTCAACAACCCACCCTCAAACATCAACAACACAACATCCTCAGCTACACCCCTCGACAGCTCAAACCCCCTGCCACCAGCCCCATACGCATGAACCACAAATCGGCCCTCGGCGACCTTCTCCGTCTCAATTCTCATCCCACCCTCTCTCGCAGGCCGACGACCAACAATATCCCGGATGACATCAAACTGACCACCACTCTCCGCCGTGAAGGGGAACCATTTGGCTGCGTTTGCGAGAAGCTGGGCCCTTGTTTCTGGACACGGGTTGGGATCCCAGTTGTGGGGTTCTTTGGTGCCTCCGATTATCGTTCCTCCGTCGAGGGGACGGGGGATGCAGAAGGACCAGGTGCCGTCGGAGTTTTGTCTGGTGAGGGTTACATTGCAGGGGTTTCGGATGAGACAGGTTTGGCCTTGAAGGTATGATTAGAATCGAGGATTTAAGTATGGAAAGAGGAAAAAGAGAGAGAGAGAGAGCAAACAAACCTCGGATAATGAATGATTTAGGATCCCCCATTCCCGTCCCAGAACAATTCACCACTGTCCTGACATTATCGGCCAAATGGAACGCCTCCTTTGGATCAGCTAGGGTGTACTCCCTCTTCTGGCCCCCTTTCAAGATGAACTTGCGCAGCATATACGCACAGTACACCGGCGAATTAATCACAAACGTCTGATAGCGCACACCCCATTTCACATCCGGGGGCAGCTCATCCTGCGACAACTGCTTAAATCCATCTAGATGGCCATACCCATTTTGGACACTCTCTGCGTCCTTGTATTCGGCCGGGGGGTTTTCGAGATACTCGATTCCCTCGATTGGCTCAATACCCGCTGCTGGGTCCTGGGAGGCAAGTTTCTTGAAGTAATTATATGTCCGCCGGGCCTGGTTTTCCTCGCGGATGAACTGCGGCGATGAACCGGGGACGGGACGGTAGTGGGCACCAGCCCAGGGAGAGGCGTAGTTGACAGAGGTGGAATCGGGAAAGTCTTTGGCGACAAGGAGGATGGATTGCGTAGGGAGGAGGTGTTGTTGAATGTAGAGGGCTGTGGAGAGGCCGGTTACACCGGCTCTGTTGTAGTGTTAGATGTGTTTAATTGGGTGTTTTGAATGTCACATTTACCCTATTACGACTATAGTCTCGGTTTCTGGCATTTTGAATGAATTGAAGATGAGATGAGGTGATGATGTTCAAGATGTGAAATTGTGAATCATCCGGGATCATGGCGCTAAGGAGATAAGCCCTTCCCCGCAAACCCGAGCCGAGGAGTGATATCTAACGGTTATATGAGGGAATTACCTAACGGAGTAATTGCGCGACTTTTGCTACCTACTGTAATACTGCTTAGCTCTTGGCGATTCCGTTCATTTGCATTTACAGAATACTTCTACAGTAACTCATCCTACGAAACACTAGCAAGGCTTCAAAAGGCTCCATTTGCACCTTGATGTACTGTACTTATGTTTGTTATCATCATAAAGACGTGCGACATAATTCATACCGTCGATACTTAGCTTTAACCCCAGACCATCTTTGCAATCTCACTGTCTTGGGTTGCTTCCTTGCCATTGGACATGTCTTCATTCCCTTCTCTGTAACGCCATCGCTTCCCCATGATCTCTTTGTAAGATTCAACATTCATGTTGCCACGCATGATACTTTCCGATAATGGCATTGCTGGCTGAATTCCATCCAGAGGCTTCATCTTGACATCGAGGTCAGGAGCAATGAACAGAACAGCACAGAGACGACGGACACCCGGAGTGCGTCTGACACGATGTCTGGCTGCGCGGATGCGTCCACCACTCGAAACAACAGCGCACCAGCCAGTCAGAATGACAGTGGCATATCCTGGAACGGGAACCCATATACCAGGGGCATCTGAGTCCTCCAGCTCCAGACCAGACGTGCCGTCCTGGAAGATGATGCTGAAGGTTCCGTAGTCGGTGTGGGCGCCACATCCATTGGAGCACTCGGGAGCCGCAGTCTCAGGGTTATAGTCACACAGCCGGAAGTTCATGTTCTAGTTCTTGTGTGCCGTAGCTAGATCGGCACCAGCGAGGACACCCAGAAAGGAGAGCATGGAGGGGACATAGTCGGAGCTGATGGTGTTAAAGAAAGAAATCACGTCATCAAGGCCATGATCAGACAATGAGCCCTGCAGAGAAGCTGGAGTCAAGGAGATCCGAGCAGGTGAGAGATCGATGGTGAACTTCTGGTCTGACGACATGTTATGCGTGGCTGCTGTCTTCAAGATACCACGGCGAGGATAGGTTGCATTGAGCTTTGCTGCATCGTCAGGGTGAGCACGTAGATGGCCAAAGAGCTCACGAATAGATGTGAATGGTGCTTCAACACCAAGCTTGATTGAAACAGTTGTGGAGTTGGAGCCTCAGGCGATGGAGCCTCTGGGCGAGTCTGACGGAGTATGGGTGACGCTTGAGATGGCCGGAGTGTGGCTGCTGGCAATGCTAGCGGTCGCCATGATTGTGTCCAAGTTGAAGATTATGGGAGAAGGTCGATTGAGTGTAGTTGAAGCAGTTGAAACAGCTGAAACAGCCGCCAGAATCAATTGCTTTGTTTTGAGTACTATGTAGAAGAACCCCACCCCCACCAAGTCAATACGTCACTGATTATCACGTGGAAGAGGAGGAGTCGCAATCACAAAGCCATTCAAAGCCAAAAGATATCCAGACATTGGATGTGAATATGGAAATGCCAACTGAAGATATTACAAGAGTATGCAAATTGTGCACATCATCAAAGTGGAAGGCTAGATGCACTGCTAGCAACAGGGGTGCTTTATCAATGCGATGCTTGCATGGATGCGCCGTCAGCGTAAGCTATCTATCAAATAGGGCTGTCGGATGAATTTGCTTTTCTCCATTTCTTTTTCTGACAGTCGATACGAATATGACATGTCGCTAAGATACTCCCATTCGTAAACGGTTCCTCGTTAATTGTATACGAGCGGTGGCTGGATATCGAACCGGATCGTCTGAGCTCCTGAACGCCCCCGCAGTCTCTCAGGATAGCTCCTCGACGCTAAGGATGCCAGTCACGAAGCTGTTTGCCATCACATCACATTGCATCACAGTCGAGAAACGTCATCGGGTTGGGAAATAGTCTCGAGTTATACTTTGGACGGGAAGTCCGGGTGGTGACATGCGTGGTGGGAGGTTGGATCTCACCGTCAATCATGAAGCTATCCTAGTCACATCCGATGGGATTTTCAACATAATTTGCGACTCATGTTGTCGACAAAAACGCACATTCCCACCTAATTTGCGACATGTACTTCTCTTCCTAATCCTCTTAATTATGGCGATATCCTGCAACAGGCATCCCACTGTATCTGAGACAGGATCCCTTCTTGCTGCTGCTCTTTCTCGGCCATCCAGAGATTCCTATAAAAGCGCCTTTATAAATTTACGCGCCCGCCGGTCACGGGGGCCTGGGCAGCAGGGCTGATCTGCGCGGTAATTGGCCAGTCCTGAGTGACGAGACCTGCAGCGTGAAGAATCGCCCCTGCACGGAAAGCAGCCCTTCCGACCAATAACAGCCGGTATTGGCCAGGGTATCCCAGGTAGCTCGAATCAGTGGACCAACCAGCGTCATGCAGAACGGCTTGGGCCCACCGAGATCCAAAGCATAACCAAGGGGGAGGCGGTGATTGGCTGGGCAGGATTGCATTTCTTGCCAAACAGGGCTAGTGCGTGATCCTGATATATCCGTTTCTCCTCCATGTTTTTTCGACTCTATCAGCAGCAGAGAGCGACAGAGCTCCGCCAGCAGCGCAGGATTGACCTGTTCGACTACTGGAAACAGCTCATGGTGACTGCGATAGCACGGATCTAAAGTAGAAAACAAGAATAACGTCAGGAAAAAAAAAGAAAAAAGAAAAGAAAGAGAGCTAATAAAGCCCCACTGACTGTGACTCTGCAGTCCGAATCCTCGTTTCTGCATGCTCGTTGGTGCTTATCCTCCAGGATCCAGAGCCACTCTATCTGCTCTCCTCCTTCTCGCCCTCTGCAAGCGCCGTCTTGCTCCTCCCATTGCTTGAAGGCTGGTTATTCGGATCGTCTGTTGGCGCTACCTGGACATCCTACCAGAGCTCTTGTTACGACAGGTGAGAAATTATTAAGACTACTGGATTTTCATGATTGCGACTGTCAAAAGAAGCAAATCCTCGTAGCTTTCTTTTTTCCTTTTTTTTCCTCCCCACCTCCACTTTCTTAACCCCCCCCTCTCCCCTTCTTCCATATCATATGTTATGTACCTTAAACCGACCCTTGTGATAGTCCAAATGAATCTCTGACGCTATCTCTCTTCCTTGTCTTTTCTCCTGCATCTTTCAAATCAATCCTGCATCTCGCATATTTGTCTATCCCGTGTTTTCCTGGTTCATAATACACACCTCCTCATCTGTGATAGCGGACGGCATTCCGGACCGTCCTGTCGGTCGTCTCCTCCCTCCTCTTCGAACCCAACCGCTGATCCTCTCGGATCCTTCTTCTACCGCACAAAAAAACCAGATGTTTTCCCGTAATATAGCGGTCTGCATTTCTGTTTGCTGAAAGCTTTCCTCGAAAGCTCCTCGAATTGCGCCCTCGGTTCCCGTTCACATTGCTGCTGTGCTGGGTATGCTCCTGAGAGTCATTTATTCCGTTACACAGCGCTTTCCATTCGTTGTCAGGGCCAGTTGGGACTTGATGCCCATTGCGGTGGAAGGCAACATACTATTTTGAATAATATACAAATTTTTTTTTTTTTTTTTGGCTGAAATTGGTTTTGGTATATTCGTTATTGGGGAACCGCCTGAAGGATGGTCGAATTGGCATGGAACAGAAACCCCGTTCAGGAACAACGGCATTCGAAAATCAAATCAATGGAGCCTCCATCGCAGATTTCGGAACCTCGCTTCGAGGCATGTGCCTCAACGGCTTCCCTCTTCCTCTATGCCGAAGGGTCGGTGATCTCATGCCTTCATCACGATACACTGGCACTTGAGCGACGGTTCGAGAACCACCAGGACGATATTCTTTTCATATCCGTGGATAATGTTAGCGAGCGAGGGGCTGGAAGGCTGGTTGTCAGCTATGATGTTGGGCAGACCGCAATTGTCTGGGACCTTTTCACAGGAACCGAAATTGCCAGGTTCGCATCATTTGAACCTCTTCGGGTGGCCTCTTGGATGCGAAATGGAAACGTAGCGTTTGGTATGGATGGAATTTCGATCCTTCGACTGTACCGGTACTAATGCCATCTACAGGAAATGGAAAAGGTGATGTGGTTCTTTTCGAGCCATCGACATCAGAACATATCTCGGCCCGCACCATCTTCGATCCTATCACGGCTTTGGCTCCAGCCATGGACTGTCGGACCTATGCCATTGGGTATGTGCTCTGGATTGCGAGGGGTCAAACGAGACCAATCTAGCTAACTGTCCCCAGCTACCAGAATGGGTCCATCCTGATCGCTACGCTTCACCCAACCTTCACCATCTTACATACCCTAACCACATCGCGAGGTCCGTCGCCGATAGTCACGTTGGCATGGCATGCCTCCTCATCAAAACAAAAGTCCGACATGTTGGCTACACAATCAACAAATGGAGACCTCAGAGTCTGGAGTGTGGCAAAACCTCCAGGCAAGGAGACTCCCCGAGTCATTAGAATTTTAAAAAGAACGGACTCGACGTCCGCGGAGCCCAAATTTATTGCTTGGTCAAAGAATGGGAGAATCGTGCAGTATCTGGACGGGTGAGCCCTACAACAACTTGTATCTTCCACAAATGACTGACTTTGTTGCTTCCCTACTCCAGAGAAACGTATGCCTGGGATGTGAGAACCAAGCATGTCACATACGAGCCTATTCCCACAATAGAGAACCCTCGTGGTATCGCAAGCTACGGCCCAACTGCAACGCTTTTCACCTTGGGCCCCCAGCACACCGTGCAACAATATGACCTGGACAACCCGGCAATGGTTGCTAATGTGCAACATCTCCCCGAAAGTGCCCTGGCCATGGCTGTAGAAGAGGCCAGGAAACGACCAATGTCACCGCGAACTTTGCAGGATCCGCCTGAAATTAGAGAATCAGGTTCGATGTTTGCTACAGGGAGAAAAACGCCGTTTGATCCCAACGGAGTTGAATCAGTACGGCAGCAACGCGCAGAGCTGGCCAGCCCCGTTTCCTCACGTAGCCGTACAAACTCGGTCAACTCGAGAGCTTCGTCGAGTAGATATCAAACTACACCATTTTCGCCTCCGAGCAGGTCTGGGCAGAGTGGCACAACATTTTCTCTGACTTCAGCTAGTGGAAGAGACACTCCACAAGCTTCTCATGCATATGCTTCGTCTGTCTCAATGTCTTCGGTGAAAAGCTCCCGGGCTGGTTCTCGTTTGAGGAATGAAGTGCAGATGAGTCCTGCTGACCGGCATGTTGATCTATTCCCCTTCACTCGCGCACGCCTCAACGATGTGCCCTACAGGCAGCATCGACCTCTGGATGAGACGCACCTTACCCATGATGACCTACGTCAACAGATGCTAAGTATGGTGTTTGGCTGGGATGGGGACATTGACAGCTTGATCAAAGATGAACGTACGTTCACCATCACCCCTTTAACCTGGTCTATTGAGCCTACCTATTAACTGTCTCTTAGTCAACCAGCACCCTCACGGTAGCCAGAGTGCTATTCTCCTGTCACAATGGCTCGGAGAGTCTGATAGAGATCAAATGACATCCATGCTCGGCTCAGGGCCGGCTACGGTTTCCGACTGGATGCTCCTGGCTTTCAGCCAGATGAATGGACAGAGACAAGCAAACAAAGTCGGCCAGGCTTTCGTACAAAAGCTGTTGGAGATAGGCGATGTGCACACCGCGGCAACCATTCTTTTAGGGCTTGGCGATCAAAATGATGCTATCGAAGTTTACGTTTCTCAAAGCCACTTCATGGAAGCTATTTTGATGACCTGCCTTTTGACTCCTACAGACTGGCAGCGCCAATCATACCTTGTTCGTCGATGGGGAGAGCACGTAGTGTCTCATTCCCAGCAGCAGCTCGCGATTCGGTGCTTCATGTGCACTGGGGCAGAACCTTCTGATCCCTGGGCATCTCCCTCTGCGCAGCAGACTTCATCATTTGAAGAAGTAGCTATGGGAAGGTCACCAATGACATCTCCCGAGCCGGCTTATTCTAAACCCGCGAGTCTTCTACCCCCAAACGCCCAGCCAAATCCTCCCGCCGGTAACCGAATGCCAGCAAAAGCTCCATCCCTCAAGCTAATCACCTCCTTTGACAACGAGCCTAGCCAAAAGCTCAGATTTCCGGGGTTGAAAACAGATGACCAAACACCAACAAATGCCCCTGGCATCACACCAATCGCCGAGTCCGCAGTAATCGACTCTGCTCTTTCCCCTGGTGGTCTGGGGTCATACCGACTGAACAATTTGCAGAGCCTAAACCAGGCTATGGGCTCGCGAACCGGTACCCCTGGATTCAATAGACAGCGTCTACCTTCGATAGGAGAAACCCCGGTGGATGTGCATCCTCCAACCTTTTCCTCTCACTCTTTGCACAAGTCCGAGGATTTTACCTCGATGTCAGAGGGTGAGGATCATCGACGAAGCCAAAGCCAGGATGACCAGGCGAATGGATCTTTGTCCTTGCTACCATCTGCAAGATATGACCCCAACCAGGAACTCAAGCCCAGTCCTCAAACCGCAATTCAAACTAGCTCGGACAAATTCGCAAGCATCAAAGGTCTTCCCTCTCCGGCCCCTGGATTACTAGAGGCACTCAGGGAGAGTTCAGACAGTCGAAATGGTTCTAGGGATCGGAAACCGGATGGGTTGCAGATCAACTTGCTTCAAGCTGAACCATCGGTGCCTGTTGGGCAAGAAACCCCTGCTGTTCTGGCCAGCGTCAGAAGCCCGGCTTCCACCTTGAACAGCCTTAATTCAGGAAAAAGCCCAAGTGTCAGCGGACGGAGCATTGATCAATACATTAGCAGTTTGGACCAAGCAAACTTCCACGCAAAGAAACAACGCCCGAGACGCAACACGGAAGACTCAGCCAGTTACGGTGGATATAAACAACATTCTCGACAAACTTCACAAGATACCCGAGGGCGCCACGAGAATCATTACATCCAACCAGCCAAACGATCGCCTTCATCTCCGGTTTCAATAACACCGGAGGAACTGGCCAAATATCCTCCTGCAAGCACCGAGAATGATGCTCACAAACCCACTAAACGCCATGCGTCCAAAACAAGAAGTGCAAGCAGAGTTAGGAAGGGAGGTTCCCGGAACTCCTCGCGTCGTCGCAATCGATCCTCGAGCCGCAACGCTGCCAGTCGCATTGGGAATGACCGAGGCCGCAGTATAGATAGAGAAGGGTCAAGCGATGGATCTCCGTCTTCTCCACTGCCCATGTCTCCCGTGGATGATGCTCTGAGATTGGTCACAAGTGACAGAGAGCGAAGACAGAGAAGCAGCAGTCGTCGCCCCGATAAGAGTGCAAGCATGAGAAGAGACCCATCCCCTGAGCCGAGAAATTTCCGAGAAGATTCTCGTAGCGGTCAGGGCACAGAATCGGACATGACTTCAGAGCAAGAGCTTGATAATTCTTACACCAGTGGCGTGGGCCACGAGATTCAAATTCTCAACGGAGATTTCCAAGAGACGTCAGATATATCAACTGAGGAGGCCCTGGACGTCCCCTCTGCAAATTTGCCCTTTATCCGCCTTGCAGAGCAAAGAAGAAAGGAACTTGCCGCTGCTGAGCTTGAAGCCCGCCGCCTTTCCCTTGCACGGAATCCGTCTGCGCCAAACATTCCCTTCCCGGGCGATCCCCAAGCAGCACGGGGTACTCTAGACAGTCCGATGTTCTTTGGAAACTCATTTATCCAGCGCACACCGTCTAGGAACCTGGTATCGCCGGGCAAAGAGTCTCCAAGCAGCTCCTCCGACTCAGGCTCATCCCGGTCAGGAGTACCGCTTGGATTGCCAGCAACCCCGCGTGCGATGCGGAATTCTAAATACAACAATGGATACGAGGAGGAGAGCGCTCCAGCAGTTCCCAATGTCCCAGACAACACTATTCTAAGTGCTGCCAGGTACCAGGGAGAGGCAGAGCGAATTCCCCGTTCGATGTCAGTTCCAGTGCCAGAAAGTCAATATACGCCCCCTATTCCTACAGACCTCCCAACCCATCCAAGATTTAATCCAAATCTGCCACGAAGTCGCTCGACCAGTCGCAGCCGGAACATGGGTCCTCGCCGAGAGTCAAGAGAGATGGGGAGCCCGGGCGGTTACTACACCTCCTCTCCCATGACAGTTAGCATTGAAGAAACCATTGAGAATGCCTTGGCGATGCAGAGGAGGCAGATGGAACCCCAGCAGAATCCCCCTATTCTGCCTGAGCTACAGCATCTCAACGCGCCGCCACCTCCACCACCTCCCGCACCCCTATCTACTGCTGGCTCTGCGCGGGAGTCTTCAGGGACGATCGATATTGCCATCGACAACGAGAACTTGGGAAGACTACTTCCTCGTGCGATGACAGCCGGCCCAACATCATCCTTCGAGACGCGTCCGGTTATCGAGCGCCGGCGTACGTCCCTTGACCACCGTCGTGGACGGAGTATCAACGAAAGTCTCACGAGTAAGCTTCGCAACTTTACTCGTATGCGCAGCAACAGCCGGGGACCAGAACAGTGGTTGCCCACCCATGAAACAGAAATGCCATATGAAAGTGTTCAGATGGTCGAAAGTCGGATCTAGTAGAGCAGCAGCACTCTACTCAGTCTTTCTTTCTTCCCTTTTTTGTTTTTTCTTCATCTTGTCTTTGCGTTTCTGCTTTTTTGCTTGGGAGGCTCCAGACTCCCTAAATTGCGATTACGAATGATGACAACACCCCCGGATTTGGATTTCTGAAACATACCTTTGTTTTTTACCTTATATTTTTCGTTATTTACTTCATACTTGAATCCTTATACCCTCGTATACCCCCTTTCCTTCTTTTTTCTTTCACCCTACTAGCATGGCCAAATCAATGCGTTTTCAGGCTTACCCGTCGAGTCTGTTGATAAGTATTGGGATAATAGTGTTTGTAGGAGGATACAATCGTTCTGTTTTCTTTCCTTTCTTTTAACCATCAGTTTTGGGCTCTTTTTTGCGCCTTGTTTTCACTCGACTGTGTTTGAATCTAAATTTCTGCCCGCGAGGGCCAGAAAAGTTATCATTTCCTTTCTTTTAAAGAAGCTTTCTTACCTAGTATACCATCCTTTCCTGATGATCTATCTAATTGATTGATATCAGTAATAATCGAGTGAAGTAATAGCCATTGACCAATTGAATCTAATCAGTTGTACTGATCCGAATAAATCAACATAGATATGCAAAGAAAGTCATCACGCCCAAGCTCCAGTAAGCTAATGCAACTCACATCCTATATAATACATCAAATCAATCCCATTTTCCCCATCCCTTGGTCTGACCATCCGTCCCCGAAGTATCACTAATGGACATATTTCGCTCCGCGTCCAGCATGCGATCGAAATCAGCCTGTGCTTGCTCCCGCTCGCGCTGCTTCTCCATTTCCGGGCTACTTCCTGTGTTGTTCTGTACCCCCCACTGCTCGCGTGGCTGTCGGAAATGTTCTTGGCGACCTCGGGGATTTGACCCTGTCTGGGCGTTTTGCTGTCTGATCCGTTCCCAGGCGCTTCCTGTTGTTCTGCTGCTATCGGCCTGGCGGTACTCGGGCGCCGTGGGACTGGCGTCGTCGTCGTCGAAGAAATCAGAAACACGGGGTTCATTGGTTGTGTTGGCCTCGGAGGCAGGATCGCCGTAGAGGCGGCGATCTGGGAGGGTGCTCGGTTTGTTCTCGTTCTTGTTGAGTCGGGCCGGTTGGTTCTCACCCGAGTAGCTGCCATGGCCACCCTGATCATGTTCGTGACTTTCCGCAAAGGCCCCCGGCTCTGGGACCATTTCTTGTGCCTGTTCCTGCTGCGCCTGTGGCTGTTTCTGCTGGTGAATCTCGCGGTGTCGCTCGGTCACGGCCTCGAGCTTCCGTTTTTTCAGTTCCTCGGGTGACTGCCGTCGCATTGCAGCGATGAACTCAGCCATTCGCGAATCCTTTATGGTGCCAGCGGTATCATTGTACACAGCCCACGTAGCCGTTATGATCGAAGCTCCCGTCATCCAGAAAAACATTTTGAACGCAGACGTAGCCATGGTCTGTCGGAAGATGGCAGGCTCAGCTATCGCAAACGATTTTATACCCTCAAGGAGCTGTCGCGGGCTAGGAAGGCCCCCAGCCCCCTGCGGCTGGGGAACGTAGGTGCGGTACCGCTCCGACCGTTTAGCTCGGGAGTAGAGCCAGGCTGCGCCGGCAAAGCCACCAAGCGGTGCGCCCATACGATGCTGGTAGACATTGCGACTGACGAGGAAAACCATGGCGTCCATCTCATCCTGGTTGGGGTTGCGTTGCAGCACGAGACGGGTGCTTTCGATTCGGCGCACCAAGGCGAGGGTAACGTTGCGTTTCCAATTCCATTTCCCGAAAAATCCAAAGTAGAGGGTAAAGGGATCCGGTGTGGTGACTAGCTCGGGCTTGACCTGGAGGGGATAGTATCTGGCGAGGGGGGAGTTGCCGTTGAGGCTGGTGGCATTTTGAGGGGAAGGATAAGTGCCGTCTACCTGGGGGGAGGCGTCATCGATAGCCATTGCGAAGGGATAAAGACCTGGCGACAATGAGTGTCCAGGTCACCAGGCGAAGCAATGGTCGAAGAAGGGATTGGTGAGGAGAGAATTATGGAAGACAAAGAGAAGACAAAGAAACGTGATGATGGGGTGTGACGTTATGCTGATTAGTCATCGGGTTGCGTCTCCGCCGTTTACTTTGTACAGTACTTTTGTTTTGTCTACGATTTAGATGCTTCAATTGAGATGAATTGGCGGAATTGAAGAAGCCTAAGCTTAGCAGCTATATATACAGCTATGTCTAGTCTAGGTTTGCTGGAAGGACAAGTTTCGGACCCGGTAATAGGTATCTGCATCAGTCAGTCTCAACCCACCAGCGAAGATCAGTGGTTATACGCACCCGTTGTCGGCCCAGGAGTACCAGACGATCCCTCCATTTGCAAATTGATGATTCTATTCTGTCAGATTCTAGTCCTTTCGGTGACGATATATACCACTTACAGATAAAGCGGCTTTCCGACATAATCACTTCCGTACTGGGTGGCCATCAGCTTATCATCCAGATAGTAGTTGATCGAGATATTCGAGCCGTCTTCATCGCGGATCTCGCTCTTGATAGTATGGAAGTCGTCTGGGGAGGAATATTCGGTGTCTAGAGACTGGACTTCGGAGGAGCTCTGCCTTCAGTGTCAGCGGCTGTCGTTGTCGTGTACATAGGAAGAGAGAAAGACTCACGTTGAAAGTGTTGAAGCTGATATCACCACTCCCTATAACACGATATCAGCCATTGATTCACTTCTCTATCTATAGCAGAGCATAAATACCCTTCCACTCTGCCAAATCAAGCTCCGGTGGCCACGAATCGGCCCCGTTCAGCCAAAACGCAGGCCAAGTCCCCTTGGTCGTCGTCGCCTGAAATTCACCCTGGATGTCAAACCCAGACCCCTTTTCGACGGTGAAGGTCTTGGTCGAATGCACTGCTCCAGACAGATAATTGATCTCTTGCCCACCGCTGGTCGCTGGCTGGCCGCTGACCGGTTTCGCAACCAGAGTCAAAGTGCCAGAGTCAACAGAGATGTAGTCATGGTCGGTGGAATTGCCGACCATGCGAGCAGACCCATTGTGGTCGGACCCCCAGGGGTAGAGGTAAGAAAAGTATTCCTCTAGAGAAGAGTAGGAGTCAAAGCAGGTAGAGGGGATGAGGGTGGTTGCGCCATGGGCGAGGGAGGCGAGGCCCAGAACGGTGAACAAGTGCATCGTGATGGTCAATTGAGCGTGAGCTAGAAGGAAATTTCGGAGGGGCGATGAAGCCCTGTATTTATATGCATACTGGCAGTCACCCCATGGCGGGATTATTCCGGCATCTCCTACCTCCTGGTGGTGGCCTGAGGATCTGATTGTTGCTCTCCCAGGATTTAATCTATTCTCGACGCCTTCCCCTCCTCCACCCCACCGGAATATCGCTGCAAACTGCAAGATCGACAGGAGGATTTGTCGGAATACTACTCCAAGTTATACTCAATTTGTGTCTGTGAACTGCAATTCATAATCGTTCCAAGTGCTAACTGGTGTCTCTACTTAGATCTACCACTTCTCTGACCACGGCCGTAAATCCACCTCGAATGCCAACGTTGACCGGGGCTGCGTGTGCAGATGCCAGTACATGCTCGCAATCTATTCCTGTCAGTATGATTCGCCTTGTTCTATTGAAAACACTTACAGCTTCAGAACTAAGCTTTGCATCCTCATTACCATCGACCACCCATTCTTTCGTTTTCGGAGTGTCGATAATTCCATCAATAATAACATGCGACACATGGACACCCTTCGGCCCAAATTCCCGCGCCAGAGCTTGTGCAATCGCCCGTAGGGTAAACTTTCCTATGGCGAAAGCCGTGAATCCAGCTGATCCTCTCAAGCTGCCTGTGGAACCCGTGAAGATCAAGGTGGGTGGGTGATCCAGGCCCTTAGCCTGGAGAAGTAGAGGCAAGACAGCTTGAGAAAAGTGAAAGGCTCCTTTCCTATCCATAACACAAGCTAGTCAGCACAGCACCGATGAATGGAAGGAGAATGCATACCCTTGACTTTCAAATCCACTGGCAAACTCGTCTTCTGTCAACTCCAGGAATGGCTTCGGCACATACCCTCCACCGGGGTTAAACACAGCAGCGGCAAGGGACGAAGAAGGGAACTGCTGTGAGATCTTCTCGAACGTTGACCGGACACTCATCGAATCGGACAAATCGGTGCTTATACCAATAGCATGGCCTCCGCTGCAATTGATCTCCTTCACGAGAGGGGTATAGCTGGTGGGAGTTCGTGATAGAAGGACCACGGAGTATTGTTGAGCAAACCGCCTTGCTATACAAGCTCCCTATCAATATAGTTAGTCTTCGATTGGATCTAGGGTCATTTCGATTAAGTCATACTGTCCCAGGGCCAACTCCCGCTATTATAGCAAATGTTTTGGGGCCCATGATGCTTTTAGACATGGAATGATAGCCATGAAAGACTCGAGATGCTAGAAACGCCTATTTAATCTGGAAATGGGTTTCACCTTGGTCTTTGTTCAGTGTCATTGTGATGATACCATCCCCTCTCAATATCATCAACCTGATGACTGGGTTATGTCATGTTGATTGCAATTCATGGTAGAACCGCAGAAGTATACCGAGTGTCAGCCTAAGGCATAAAGGCAGCAAGGCACCAAGATCGTTATCGATAAGCAGCAAATGTTTCTTGAAAATCTTCAACGCCATGAAATCATCTAAAACCATCTCGATCTAACCAATTAATTTGCATTCCTATCTTATATTTCTTATATTTAATATCTCTTACTATCGATTCACATTAATAGACCACCATGTCCGATAACCCAGAGGATACCCTCCTCAGCGATCTCTGCACAATCTGGTACGTCCAACTGATCTATCTCCGCCTTTTCACCCTCCAGCATCCTCAAAAAAGCTAAATTCTCTACTCTCGATTAAAAGCCATGTAAACGCCCCTAAATATCGCTGCCCGCGCTGCTCAACCAGAACCTGCTCTCTTCCCTGTTCACGCCGCCACAAGCTCTGGTCGCAATGCTCCGGCGTCCGCGATCCAGCCGCCTACCTCAAGCGCAACGAGCTCGCCACCCCATCCGCCTTCGATCGCGACTTCAATTTCATCACTGGTATCGAGAGACGAATTGAGCGCGCAGACCGCGATGCGGAGAATCGTGGTGTCCCGCTCGACCACGGCGCCCAGGAGGGCGATGGTGAGGACGGGCCAGGGTCGAAGAAGAGAAAGCGGCCTCAGGAGGGCTTCGTGAGGGGGGAAGCTGGGTTTTTGCGCGGCGCGGAAAATGGGGGTGTGACGGTTATTAGGGCGCCGAAGGGGATGACGAGGAATAAGTTGAACTCGTCGCGATGGCATCCTAAGTATGTTTCGAGGACTGCATTTTTATCGAGGTGATATGAACTGACGGATGCAGGCAAAAATGCTTAAATTGGGCAGTGGAATGGATTACTGCTGATGGAGCGAAGACGATGAGGAATTGTCTAGAGTCATGCAGTATCGCCAATGCCTATGATCGGTTTACTCCTCTCCCTAAACCAGGGAAGACAAGCCAGGACCAGGACCAACAAAGACAACCCCCGAATGACGATTCTCCAGGCCAGAACAAGCCTACACAGCAAGAAGCACAGTCATCCGAACAACCAGTGATATCCTCCGACCAACAACCAGAAGAAGCAGCGATTGCGCCTAAGCAGCCAGAACAAGCAGCGCAACCCTCTGTTCCCCCAAGCCAGACCTCCCACCGCGATCTTTACTTCTACCTCCATAGGCCCCGAACATCCACAAAACAACCAGTCTTAGTACCCCTGCTACCAACGGCGACCCTCGGCGATTCTCTTCGCAAGCGAACCGTCCTGGAGTTTCCTTCCATCTATGCCCTGCCAGAGTCACCAGAAACATTACGTGCGATCCAGGAGCAACCTAGGTTCATTCTTGAGGAAACCTATCTTGCTGAACACCCCGACGAGGAATTGGAGTTGGTTAAAACAATCACTACAGAGACGGACAATGAGGTTAACGAGGGAAACCTGCCCGGCGTGGATCTTGGGCAGGTGGATGAGAACAAGGTCCTGGAAGTGCTCAAGCAGGATTTATTCGAACCTGTTTCAGAGACTCCAACACAGTGAAGGGTTTGGTGATAAAATTTGCATATTAGTACTTAATTAATATACGAGACCACGGCCATGTGAATTACCTTGCGATGCACTTCAAGAATATGAAAGGCTCGCGGGAAAGCCTACTTGGTATCAGTTCATGCAACCAACCACATAGCCAATGAATATGGGAGACTCGGTTTTTGAAACCACTTATAACAGATATCCGGAGACTTTGCATTGGCTAACGATTTGCTCTCGTGTTGCTCGGCGGTCGTCAATCAAAGCAGTCATCAAGGTCAACGAGGATAGGTACGGGATATAATATCGATTCGGCCGACGAACAAAACTGTTCGTGCAGTCAACAACATTCTCTTCAACTATCAAGCATATATCAAAAAAATGCAAATAAATAAACAATCCGACAAAACCAAGGTATCTTATGCAAATGCCAAATAAATGCGCCATTCCCCAAAATCAAAAAACCAAATAACCAGGGTATCTCTATTGATATAACCATAACGGGACGCCGACAATGCTGAACATATCTGTATCTTCAAATGTCTAAAGTTGACAGCAGTGTTGGTGCCCGGGGCTGGATAGTTCATAAACCCTCACAAGATATTGCAGGCAATAGCCATGAGATATCATCAAAATTCTGGCACATATCAAGTTGTTACCATATCTTTGGCGTGCCTTCCATCCATTATGGATGGGAATTGCTATGTGATCATTTGCTCACACTAGCGTAGTAGTTTGAATAGACCAAGCGGGTCGAGGGTGTTTTGTGTGCGGCGGATAGGATAAAAATGGATCAAGTCAACGGACTAATAGCATTAGATGCGGTATCCGGAAGCTCATGATCTTCTGTCTTCGCTGAGGAAGGCGAGATGACTTCTGTGGGCACCGTGTTGGGCTCTGTTCGTGTTTCATCATCCTGGGCCGGTTCTCCGGCGGCTTCGCCGTTGCGATAAGGAGCCTTGGATGCTGTAGGGGACATGTTCAACCGTTCGGATCGGCTGGGCTTCAACTTGCGGCGGCCCTGTTCCAATGCACGAAGCAATGTACCAACCTCAGAAACAACGCCTTGGAGCTTGTGAATAGCCTCATCGGAGTACTCAGAATGAGCGTTCCATCCGAGCTTATCGGACTCGTCAGAGGCCAGGGACTTTGACTCAATAGACGGGCCAGTATAGATCTTGTGCAGGGCTGTGGGCGAGACATTGTTCGGACGACGTGCCATCTTAACAGGCTTCTGCTTAGAGCTTGATGTGGCCGAAGCCATTTCCTCCTGCTGACGCTTAGGAGGACGGGGGGCAATGAGGGCGTTTGGTCCCTCGCCAACTTCATTTCGAATCTTGTAATAAACCAAGCCTAGCGTTGCAGCCAGTGCTTGGTGGGCGGCTTCCGGATACTGGCGGACGGCCTCTGCGCGGGTAATATTGGACGAACAATCACTAGACTCACTGGAGTCACTATCGCCGCCGAACATTGGCTCGGTATGGTGCATTCGACTCCAGTATTGATATCCTCCAAGCTGATAGAAATCTGCCATCTGGACCAGGCGATGAACTGTAGTTGATGAATGTTAGAACTCTGGAAAGTACTCATTTTCCTCCTTCTTTGACTCACTTCGACTTCGCTTTTTCAAGCACCAGAACCTCCACACTGTGCGCGGAAAATATTCTGGCCATTGCATTGTGCCGTCTTCATCGATGGTCGGAACTGGAGTTATAGGTGCATGTGTGGTGTGGGCAAGAGAGTTAAAACGAACGCGTTCCGAATGCTTCATGCGCGACTCAATCAGGGAGAAACGATCAAAGACCGCGTTCAGGTGTCGGGACGTCTCATGTTGCAGAGTAATCAGATCTGTGCGAAGCTGGCTGATGGTAGAGTGCAGTTTGCTGATCTCAATCCGACACCCACAAACATCAGTCTGCAGTTGCTCCAGATCGGTCTGGACCTGATCAATGTTTTTCTGCAGGCGGTCGACATCGCTTCTCAAGAAAACCGTCTCGTTACCCGACTGGCCAATACTCGATTTCAGTTGAAAGACTCCCGACTTCAGCTGGTCGACATCCGTCCTCAACGCGACGACATTCAAATCGATACGGTTAGAAATGGAGCGGTGGGCTTCGAATTCTCGACGGATATGGTCATCCTCGCGGTTGCGACGGTCGGCATAGGCGTCCTTGGTCAAAACTGCAGAGCGCAACTCCATCAAACGCGCGTCGATAAGATTCAGACGGTCGTGGACGTGGGAAGACGAGGGTTCAGATATGGACGGAGGAGTGATTTCACGTCTGACGGATAGACGGGGGCTCGACATGGGTATGGACATGCTCGAGGTCCGAGAAAGACTGCGTTCCAGCGTGGTGGTCATGGCGGCTGGTAAGGGATGACAATGAAAAGGCTGGATTAAGGGGAAAAAGTAAGGATAAGTCGTCGTGATAAGGAACATCTAGAATATTTATCCAACCTTTAGATGGATATAAGCATTTTGACGGTGGTGTTCTGATAATAATATGGTGAAAATCGTGATGCTGGCGATGGAGATGGTGATGGCAGTGGAGTTGAATTGGGAGATGTCAGAAAGCGAAGGGGAACGCCCCCTCTTTTTCTCGCTTTTCTCGCTTGTTGGCGTGGCACAACCGCAGCCATCCACCTCAGCCCTTGCAGTCAGCCTTCGTTTTAGCCACCAGACAATGCGCAGGTGGAAAAGGGCATCAAATGGAGTGATTCTGAGTCTGTAATTCTGCCAAAATGAGTCATTTTCTATATAGACAGAATGCATCTCAACCAGAATACACGGCCGCAGTTGAGGGCATTCAAAGTTACGAAAATATGACAAAACCGTACCAGATGAACCCAATGTCTTGGCACGGGCTGCCGCATTCAGCTGACCAGTAGCAGCCAATCAAACGCCCAAAACCATCATCGCCACCGACGTTGTCACAGCCAGGAGCTTTGCTGATTGGCGGGCAGAAATAGGTTACAGCGCACGATTTGTTTGATTTCAAGGCAGCGTCACGTTCTGTATTGGTATTACATATTTGTGTCTTCCATCATGGAAAACAGTTGATGTGAAGATGTTGAAATATTGATGATATTGAAGATATCAATATTATTAATATTGAATATATCATCACTGTCACTGCTTGGAGCATCAAGTATCTCCAGCTAGTCATACTGCCCGGTCTCAGTCATTAAGTGGTTGACCAGTTGGTCACTCATGATGGACAGTAGCTAAGGCAGTGTCCAACAAACCATCACCCATAAACAGCATCATCTGGATCTTCTATATGAAATAGCAGTATGATACTAATATCAGCTCATCGTCGATTTCAAAATCAAAATCATATCTCTCATAGTCTCTCCGACCTCCACTGGGCGGCAATCGTGCGTGCAAACGTTCCCGGGTCCGAAAGTGATTCTGGGGGAATCGATTCCCCATACAAAGTGGGCCACTCTGACGCACCTTTATTTTCTTCTATCTCACCCATTTCTACAGAACCTGTTCCTACTTTCTACAGCACTCCAAGGTACGTGCCAATTTCAGAATACAACCCAGTAATTCCCATGCTCATTATATAAAGAAATCACAGATCATAGATCACATACACGCCATGCGGGAGCCTGCCACAGTATTATGGGGTCTAAGCATTAGCGATGCCGACTTCAAGAAGCTCAAAGCCGGTTTTAGATCTTCGGATATGAATGACAAATGGAACATCTTAGCTATGGATCAGAGCCAGAGTGACAACATCCCCATCCACTTCTCTCGAAGCTGGACGGGCATCGAACACCACATACTTTATATAAAGCCAAGCGATGGTGGCAGCAGCAGTGGTGCGAAGATCGAAGCTATCACCTGGGAACAGAGACGGAATGGAATTCACATCTTAGAGGAGTATGCTAAGAAGGAAGCAGTGATTCTAGCGAGAGTCAAGCTAGATTGCGATTTTGAGGCGCTTCCAATATATCACCCCTCGGATCTGTGAAATCATCCTGCTGCTAAGATAGGCATCAACTTGTCAATAAACACTGCTTCATGCGACCTTTTTGAAGTCCCTGTAGGGGTTCAACCGTTAAGACTCTGATAGAACTACCTACTAGGTATGTACCTCCAAGGCTTCCTGCGGTAGTGGACAGGGCAGCAAGCAGACAACTACAACACCACCAGAGCACTTCTCTGGCATCTCTCGATTTTCAGAAGGAACAGTCGATTGCTCCCTTCTTTCCATTTTGATAAATCCAGTCTTCAAAGCTCTTTCTAAAATGGCATCTCAACTCGAGCAAAGCGCCGCAGAATGCGCCTGCCCTCTGCCACTGCACCACAGTAGAAGAAATCCTCCATGAAGAACTCCCCAGGCGAGAAAAAAAAAATCCCATATTCTGCTGACAACCTTTGTTTGTATAATTACTCTCCCTGATTCTCATTCCTTCAAGTATTCTTTCGTTCATCCTACGTTCCCTGTCTGTCCATCATGAGGAAAACATATCTACTCTTCCTACTCCGCCTCTTCACGACTGCCTCATCTCGAGCCATACACACGGCTAGCAACACCACTCTCGTCCCTAGATCATCAGCAGAAGTAAATGATCGTCGCTGTGACTGCTATCTGGTCTCAGGGCCAGTACCGGGATACTTTCAGAACTACCGGCTCTGGGACTTTCGTAACGTCCCGTTGCATGTGAACCAAGAAAACTTGGACGACTACGATGATAACCCAACGGAAGGAGAGATAATTGAGGATGCAGGCATCGGTGGCAATTTGAGCGTCAACTCCATCCTTCTTTCACAAACACCGTTCGCAAAGGATTGGAAAAGCCAGGCCTGGCACAGAGAGGGCTCTTCGCTCGGCCCTGTTCCCATCCTCAACTCGAAATGGAACGTCTTCTTCGCCCGTGATCCCAGCGAAAGACATGGCCCAGATTCAACATACCTCGTTCTCCGTACCAAAAGACTTAGGGATCATACATCTACGGCTGAAATTGAAAGTCGTCTACGCAATATATTCCGTTGCTCTTTTCGAGTGCGACTGCGGATCCTCGCACCCTACAGTGACCAGGTGCCCGATGCAGGAGTGACGAACGGGCAGATGGCAACCGGCGGTGCTTGTGCAGGCATCTTCTCATATCATTCAGCGAACTGCGAGTCTGACATTGAGATCCTCACTTCCGGTCCGCGCAACATCGTCCACTTGGCTAACCAGCCAGACTACGATCCCAACACCGACCAAAAGATCCCTGGGGCTAGCACCGTTGCTCGTATCCGAAAGCCCTGGACTTCATGGGTCACCCACCGGTTGGACTGGCTCACCGACCATTCACGATGGTACGCCGACCGCGATATGCTAAACACTAAAACCTACCAAGTGCCCAACAAGCCGAGCATGATGGCGATCAATCTCTGGAGCGATGGGGGTTCTTGGACTGGTGATATGAATGTTGGCGACAGCGTTTATATGGCCATTGAATGGATACAGATGGTGTACAATGTATCAGCGAGGACAGATGATCTTCCCGACGGAATTCCTTTGCAGAGACATGCTCATGGACTAAAGTCGAACTTAACACTGATGCAAGCAGTTTTTGACGACCAGACAGGCTCCTCGGGCCCGGTTTCGCCTGATCAAAAGAAGAAGAAAAAGAAGAACAAGAAGAAGAAGAACAGGAAAGGAAAAAATGGGCATGGGTGCCGGAGGCCTTGTTGGGTGGATGACTACCCTTAGCATGAGCCTGCTTTTGTCTTGTCCGAGACCTCATGTGAGAAGTGTTATACTTCTATCTTAGTCTTTACCATAAGAATTGTTACCCCTTAGTTCGAAGCCCCAAAGCTATTCGTAGAAGCGGTATTGGCTCATGTCTATCGGTTCGTAAAATTCTTATGAAGAGCAAATACAGGCCTGGATAAACTTGAAATGATGCTTTCACGAATTCGGGTCTATACGCGTACATGTAGTAGTGGAAGTAATAATAATAATAATAATAATAATAATAATAATAATAATAATAATAAAGAGCAAGGAAACCAAACAGATGTACTCGCAATGCTCGTGTCAGGAGCTCTATGCTTCGACTGACGGGTATCGAATGGCAAAGACACCACAACCCCCAAAAAAAGAGAATAAAACAAAAAACTCCATGCGATCCCAGAACCCAGCCCTATATGCAAATGCAGATCGTGTCACCATGTCTCTTGTCATGCCCCAAAACTGTTCAACCAAGACGCCGAAACTTGCTCAGATGCTGTGTCAATGTCAAACAAACCTCCACTCAAACAAAACTTGCCCCCTTTGCTTCCGTCTATTTCTCTGCTTTCTTTCTTTTTATCCTTCTTTGTCTTCTTTCTTCTCCTCCTTCTTCTCCTTCTTCTTCTTTTTCTTCTTTTTTTCGGGGTTTTTTTCTTTTTTCTTCCCTTGAGAAGGGAAACAGGTCAGATAACAATACACAACCCCCCCCCCTTCTCCTCCCCTTTCCTCCCCCGTGCTCAAAGAAGCACCTCTTCATCCTCCCCAGACGGGGAGAAATCACCCTCCAGCCCCCCGTTCATAATCTCGCCCACGATCTTCCGGCGCAAGAGGGGAATGTCCTTAGCGCCGTAGGACAATGGTTCAATGCCTATTGCGACGGCCTTTGCCGTAGATAAAAGAAACACTCCGCAGTCGCTGCCATTGTTCTGTTGTGGTGAAACGGAGGGAAGGACGGTCCACTCCTCTTCCACATATTTGGAGCCCAGCTCCCCACGAAGCCAATCTTTAACTAGCGCCACATGCCGTGAGGAGAGAGTGCCCAATGAGTCGAAATTCTCGATAGTTCGTTCTGATGGTTTAACAACAACCAGCGTCCAGTGGGAGCTGTTGTGAATGGGGATAAATACAGTATCCACATTCAACAGGTCCTCGCCCCCGATCTTAGCCCGGGATGCCCATCGCCGAACCGATGAATAACCCTTGTCGCGGAGGTTTGAAAAGAAGAATGAATTGAACGCGTGGAAACGAGGCTTGTCGCGGCGTCCCGTATTGCCGTGGGACCGTCGCAAATAGTCGACAATCAATGCCAGATATGCGTTAATAACCTCGTCGTTTAACCAATCCATCCGAGTATAGCAAGTAGAAAGGTCCCTTTTAGTCAAGGGGTCTCCAGATAACGTCGTAGCAACCGTTCTACTGTTCGGTAGAGTCATAGCCTCTGATATTCTGGTATCCCATTTGGCTGTCAGAGGTCGCACAGCCGGTCCTTCCGGTCTAATTCGAGTGGGTAACAGATCACGTTTTTGCCCCTCCTCTATTTCGCGCCATTTTGACGCATAGATCGATTCAGTTCGGCCAGCAGGAAGCGGCTTCTTGTCTGGGTAGAAAAGACGCACAGCCGAAACAGGTCTTCCGAGAGGATACTCGGGCACCGGTTGGAACCAAGGATCTACTATAGGTTCGACCTCAACATCAATCTTCGGTGGTACATTTTCCTTCTGCTGCCCCGTACCATCCTTGGGACTCACGGGGGAGGATGGATGAAGGTGGGGAGCTAGTTCAGTAACAAGTTCGGGCACGTGGACCGGCTCGGTTTCATGTACAGTCTCGGCTGCACGCTGTTCTTCGGTAAGTATAGATGGTTTCGGCACGGCTCGATGTTCAGGTTCTGCAGTCTTAAGAGATTTAGGCACTAGATAATCAGGCTTCGGTACCTGGTGTGCTTTCGATTGAATTTTGTCGATGGCCAACTTTTCGGATCGACGGGCCTGTAATATTGAACGAATACGACGGACACGCTCAGGCACCGTGCTCGTGGGTTTCAAAAGCATCCGCCTTTGCAGGCTTGGGCTTGGTTGTTGAGCCAAAGAGCGCTCGTGAGAAGCGGATTTGTTCTTCTTGTGCCTCCTTTCTTTGGCCGATGAAGCATTTCTGGGAGCTGAAGGCCGCAGTCGACCAGCTGCCTTATGAGCATTTTTGTTGGAGGTGGGTTTTTGGGGGACAGGACGAATTGGTGCCACGTGCGCCTCAGCCGCTGACGATGGACCAGCAGGAAATTGAGGGATATCAAGCGATAGTTCTGGGAATGGATAGCTTTCGACAGGCGAGCGACCTCTTTCTCTATCCCATTGACGGCTTTTGAGGCGTTGACGTTGTTCTTCAGGTAGTGCACGTATATTTGCTCGCGTTGGGGAGGCCCTGACGACAGAAATAGGTCGGCGGGGCGGTGAAATAGGTCGACGTCGCTCAAAAAGACCAAGAGCTCGCCGTTTAACAGATCCTGCAACTTCTACAGCAGACCTGACAACACTCGCAACGGTCTGTCTCATTCCGTGAGGGCCATTGTAAATCCGCTGGACAGTCTCAACCCAATAAAGCCAATTTGCCTGCCAGGAAGAGCCATTCGGGGGGGCATTTTGAATGCCTTCGATTGCTTGCATCTGGGGATTCTCGGTGTCCAGAGCGTGGCCTTGCGGGATATCTACTGAAGTCGATACAAGTGGACCGGTCGAGACGCGGTTTGATGTTGCAACACCGGATGTGAAAGAGGTATAATCATTCGCGACATCCGTACCAGTTGTTGAGACACCTTCTCTGTTAGGTGTGCTAAAAACGCCAGGAGTCTGCGGCCAACTGCCAGGAATGTTTACGCCCGGCGTCCTTTGAGTCTGACCACGGGCGGCTCCACGAAGCTCATGCGCGCGACTTGGCGTTTCTGTAGGCAGATAATTTCCAAAATGGGACAGCGAGGACTGAGAAGGCTGAGGGTAGCTGGATGCGCTTTGGGCAGGAAAAGTGGTAGGTGCAGCAATTGGCTGGTCAGAGCTGGCTTGACCGCCAACATTGCTGTGAGAAGTTTCCGAGTCGCCTTGAAGCAGATTCACAAGGCCCTCTTGACTTGCGCGACGGTATTTAGAGCGAATAAGAGTGTCAGACTCCGGGGTTGTGTGGTTGGTTTCGTCATTTGCCGTGCCCTCGTCAAAAGACCGCTTGCGCGGAAGGGACGATTGAACAGTAGAGCCAGAAAAGAACGAGGTTGCCTTTGGCCTTCCCGTTCCTTCCAAAAGCTTGCCAGTCTTGCTTCCGTTTCCAAGAAGAGCCGCTCGCGCAGTCAAAAGGCTGCTACTGACTGTCTGGTTGTCCGGAAAAAACCGGCTGCGGTTGTTATGGTGGAAGCCAACAAAGTTGGTATTGTTTGCCGTGAAAGTGCTCGATCTGGCACGATTGGTCATCGGAACACAGGCCTTGCTGGGACCGGCGTACGCATGGTATGGCACTCGTAATTTAGATTTTGGAGAGAAACGAGGGCGGAAGCTCGTCGAATTAATCTGCGGCTCAACGGGTTTGCCATCGACGAGTCTAGCGCAGGAAGGTGCGGTGAAGCGACGCGACCCAAAAGGAATTTTGTAGAGTGGAGAGGGAGGACGCTGAGGATCGAGGGAATTCTGATTGTTGAAGACAGCGGTGGGCTGAGAGCTCATTTCGGGCTGGTTGGTAGGTGGCGTGTTGGAGATGTCCATTGGATCCCAGAAACCATCGCCTGCTGTGAGATGCGAGTCATCATTAGAGATCATTGTGGCATCTGCCATAGAGTAATCCTCCATTTCTGGCGACTGGGCCCTGACGACCTCAGCCATTTTAGATTTGTCCGATCGATTCAATAAGAAATTGGAACGGTTTCGTGAAGCGTTAGCTGACGATGTGGTATTGAAAGCTGACGGAGCAAAAGCGCGATGGAAGATGAAGATGGTAATGTAGGGGAAAAGAAAGAAGAGAGAGCAGAAAAAGAGGACGAGCAGAAGGAAACTGAGGGCGAGAGGGAGGGGAGCGGAATCAAAACAGTCGGGGCCGGAGTCAGTGGCCATGCGCAGTTTCCATTGCGGGGAGCAAGTGAATGACGGCAAGTGAATGTCGATGTCGACGGGAAGAAAAAACAGCTGCAGGTCGCGAAGGCCACCCGAGGGGCGCAGAAGCAGAAAGTGAAGCTCCAAGCAGTTCCTGGTTAGGAAAGGAAGGCGGACGAGCTGCGGAGCTTGGCTTAACGCGTTTAATGTCATGTGATCACCCAAATACAGAGGAAGTTTTTGTTTGGCTGGAATTCAAGCAACTATCGAACAGTCTAGTATATCAAAAGGTCATGTCTCTATATGTACAGTAAATGAACCGCCAACTACTATATCATGATGCTATCTTTCAAGTTCAGTTCAGCCAGCTGAACCAGCAGAATTGAAGTAAATCTCCGCCCATCTAATTCGGCACGCCCAATCCCACCAGTTCAAAGAGAATAGGTGCTCCCTCGATCACCAACCAAGCAATTCCTGAAAATTCCAGTTATTCCTGTAGTAAAATATGCCATTCACGGAGGATATACTTACCAGAGTATACAATGAGCTTGGTCACCACCTCGACATCATACCGCACCCGTGGTCGTTTGATCTTCGAAAACATTTCCTTTTCGTCAGGCTCAACATACTCGGGGAACGGCTCTGGTGATAATCGAGCGTAGATGTCTGATGAATCCATTCCAAGGCGTGGGTTATAACGCTGAGATCCGGTGCCCATCATGTTCTCATACTCGTTCAATTTGGAAAGTTTGGGTTGTAGCGAGTCGGGGGCCGGGCTTCCCTGAACATCTACCGCTGAAGATCCCCGAGCTCCCGTCGAAAGACTCTCACGTCGGCGTTTCTCGCGGTACGCCAAGGTCTCGTACGCATCGGCTTCGGACTGTGGGCCAACGGAAATGGCACGTCGGCGGGGATTGCGGATATTTGTGATGATGGAGGGGATCTCCGAGAACTTTGGAAGAACTTCGTGATCCTTAAGTTGTGTGGGGACCTCTGAGTATTGTCTGTGAAAATGTCAGAATCAACGCTGTGGGGAATTTCAAAGGAATACTTACGAGGCGTTGGTGAAGAATCTCCGAGGTAGGATGAGACCCAACTTCTCCAGACCTCGAAACACCGGTGGAAGAATACGAAGAAGGGTGGGCTTCATGATTTCTCTCCACGCAAAGATCAACACTACCCCCAGGATAATGCGCATGGCGGTTTTGGAGAGTCCCAGGCTCTCGTACCGGTACGGGATAGTGGACGGAGATGGCTCAGACCAGGCAACGCTGGTTCGTGCAAAGTGCCAGTAGGCCACTTGCGCCCCGATCATCACACCAGCAAAGGCGACACTGTCATCGAAGCAAGGACAATCGTCTGCCGGCTCGGGGTGAATGCGAACCAGACCCAAGATGACCATGACCACAAAACCAAGCTGCATCGCGGAACCCGACACCACGTAATTGTCAAAGGCAGGGCCCAATGAATACTGCACAAGAGTAATCAAGGCACCCAGCACACAGCCAATGACCACGTCAAAGAACCCATGCATACCACAGTACAGACGACCGATAACGATGGAGGTCACGTAAAGATACGCAATACCTTGGCAGATCAAATTGACGGTAGGGCTGAGAGTCAGGTCGGGCGAGTTCAATAGAGTGAGCACGTATACCGCGACAGAAACGGCATTGGTCGAGTGTGTCGAGGGAAAGCCGTATTCCAATGCCGCCGACCCCGACATAGTAATCCGCTGAAGCGGAGGAGACAATGGGCGCGGAAGGCATAGCAAGTCCTTGATAAACCCACTGAAGAAGACTCCCGAGGCCAAAATGTGCACCGATCTAACCAGAATCACCAGTTAGCTGCCACCCCTCATTTTCAATATTACCCCGGTCCAGCACCTACCCACGACCTAACTCGGTCTGTCCGCTCCAGAAAAGGATCGGCAAGAAGACCATGAAAAAGGTATGTGTTCCCAAGTTCGCGGTGAATGCGAAATACGAATCGAGGGACGGAGTGCGGATTTTCTCCTGGAACCAGGCCAGGTACGGCGTCTCATAGCGGACCAGGGGCAGGAGTTTCTGTCGAGGCCAATATCGCCAGCCTGGGAGCTGGGTCCGATCTATTTGCGCAAAGGACCCGTCAGCACAGTCATTGATAAGATAGAGACGCAATTAAGTGTCTTTCGCTTCATACAGTGATCTCCGCTCAACAGCCCGGCGTCCGGCTGGCCATTTTGCCCCTGAGCCATATTGAAGGCGGCCGGGTTCAATCAAGATTCAAGATGTAGCGAATGCGGATTCCCCCATGCGAGTTTCTGCCCGACAGACCGTCTCAACGCAGTTTCGATGTGACCATAAGGAGCGACAGGTGGGATCGGACAGTCGACACCGTGTGCTATTCTCTTTGTGAATTGTCCGGCGGCAAGAAGAAAAAAAGCAAGAACCGACTGGTCGTCAGATAGAATCCGCCGAGGCCCATCAAAAAGTTCCCACACAACCGGCGGGCGGTCAAAGCGTGATATCAACGCTTAGTCAGGAGTATACATGATCTCACTGTCTTCTCTTAGACATTCTCTATATTCACTTCGATTAAAGTTTCTCTTTAGATTGGGAATATACGGCAAGCTATGTCAATGGAGTGCTGAGGCTACCATCTCAGTAAGCTAACTGGCTTGCACATTCTGCCTTCAAAATGGAGATGACCACCGAACGGAGATGATGCAGTGATAGCTGAGCATGTGATCTGTCTATCTTTGACTGAGGAGAAATTAGCAGACATGGTCCTTGGAAGAGTTTCTCTCCATCTTTGACCGATTCAGGATTTGACTATAGCATATTCTGGTGTCTACATACTCCAAGGCCTAACAGGCGTACGGTCAACCATCGAACTTCCACCTGCTCCAACCCAGGTCATTTCTTTATTATGGAAAGACTATATACCATTAGAGCGTCTGTTAGAACAACATTTAAACAGTTGAATACCAAAGCCGATTTGGTCATTGGCTTTAATACTGGGTCCCATCGACACGACAATCGCTTTCGTTTGGGACATGAGCCAGCAACTCCCTGTAATCGACTGTTGATATTCCATCGTTACTTTGGAAGAAAGCTCGAATACTGATGATGTACTCGCTTAAAATTTCCATAACTCAGCAATTGCGGCTCAACCTACGGTCCAGAACAGGGCAGATTTAGGGTCCAAGTGCTACTGCGTTCAATGCTGGTGACTGGACCATACACAATAAGAAGGGTTCTGAGCTATCACTAGTACTCGGTTATTCATGGTGGGCTTTGGCCGATGGGACGCCTTGTGCGAAGCAGGAACAGGCTAGAAAAGTGGATATCACGCCCTGAGGCTTGCGAGATCATCATTCTTCTTGTGTATTTTTCCGGAAAGGCAAGTTACTAGTGGCTTCAATATTAGTGGCTGTAGCGATTCCTGTCGCTATACAGAATAGAATCAAATACATCCCATTATTGCAGGACATCGATCTCGGAGAATACTGTGGATAACACGAGCCCTTTTTTTCTCCTCAATGTCTTGCACGAGCAGCAAGGAGGCTGCAGGGGATGGCGGACGTCCAAATTGGATTGGCGATCGAGATGAAGCCACTAAACCGCTAAACCACGATGCTAGAACACGATCGGACGGGAGGCAATCAGAACAATCTCGTTCGTCTAAAAATAAGCCCTCCATCCATCCTCAGCTGTCCTATCCTGTCCTATCCTGATCCCCGTGTGGCGTCATCTTCTTGTCCCGCCGCGTTGCCATGGCAGCCCCGTCGCCCGTAAACACCGCATTCTGGCAGCTCCCGGTTTCATGTCGTCGTCGTGGAGAAGAAGAGCCACAGCTAAACCAAGGAAAAGAAAGAAAGCAGTTCTCAATCAACATCGCCAGGGCCGATTTCTCTATCATCCATCTCCAAACCCAGCTCGACATCCCTTCTTCTTTATTCCCTCTTCTCGATCTTCTGTCCGAGCAACAACTCTCCTCCATCCAATCCAACATTGTTCATCTACATCGCATACCTGCAAGCGACCCCGATAAATCATCAGGAATTCTCCGCGTGTCTGCCATTCTACGGCATCCAATTCTAGGTATCAGACCGACCTGTCATTTTGACTTCTGCCACATTCCATCGAGACAGACACCCACTAGTTTGTTCGTGCCCAACACCATGTCAGGCCAGATGTACGACGACCAAGTCTATGCGGCCTCACGACGCCATTCTCTCGCCACTCCTCCTCCATCCATGACCCCGCGCCATAACCGTGTTCGCAGCCAGAGCGTCCGAGTCAGCAACGGCACGGCCAGCACCAACACCAGCTTCTCCAGCGGGATGATGTCCGAGGCGACCAACGTCACGCAGCCGCCCGCGTTTTCGAAAAAGTTCGTCGTCGTGGGCGATGGTGGATGCGGCAAGACTTGTTTGTTGATCAGTTATTCGCAAGGCTACTTTCCAGAGGTGGGTTTATAGATGTCAATCATATTGTGTGCGTCGTTGCTAACTGACTGGTAGAAATACGTCCCGACGGTTTTTGAAAACTACATTACACAAACTATTCATCGCGCATCAGGCAAGACCGTGGAGCTGGCTCTTTGGGATACTGCTGGTCAGGAAGAATATGATCGTCTTCGACCGCTGTCCTATCCCGAGACAGATCTGTTGTTTGTTTGCTTTGCGATTGACTGCCCGGCTTCACTAGAAAATGTCATGGACAAGGTATGTACCACCTATTATAGGTACTCATTTCAAATCTAACATGATGCAGTGGTATCCTGAAGTTCTTCACTTTTGCCCGACTACACCCATCATCCTTGTTGGCTTGAAATCAGACCTGCGCTCCAAGAGAACATGTATTGAGCTCCTCAAGACGCAGGGTCTGACACCAATCACACCAGAGCAGGGTGAAACGGTGGCCAGACGAATGAATGCCTCGTATGTGGAGTGCAGTAGCAAGGAAATGCGCGGAGTAGACGAGGTCTTCTCACTTGCAGTCGACACCGTGGTGACCGTCGAAGAAGAACAAACCTGGACCAGCCGTCCAAGCCAAAAAACCAATGGCAAGCCCACAGGGAATGCCAGTGGAGGCGGCCGTGTGGCAGGAAAAAAGGTCAAGAAGCGCACTTGCAAGATCTTGTAAGATATTTCTTGCTTTACCTTTTCTGTCTGTCTTTTCTTTTTCTCTTTCTGCCGAATACGAAGCCTGGTTGCTTTGACGGCTTGACGGCTGATGGCTCAATCATACAACGCGACATGTTGATGCAAACTGGATATGAGCATGAAAACTCGTGTGCTTTTTTTCTTTTCTTCTGAGGTGGTTTTCTGATTTAATGTTATTCATGTTGTTATACCTGTTTTTCTTTTTTCCCCACCCTGTGCTATCTGTTTTTGGCCCTTTTTTCCTCTTTTTACATTTTATGTCTGTCATGAACTCGGTCTGCTGGCCACCCTTTTTTTTGCATGCATGGGATAGGAGTTATATTGGCGCAAGCGACATCCCATGGCCATGAGATCCGTGTATCTGAATATGATGATATTACGGAGTCTGATGAAATATCGAATATCATCCACCCTGTTGACTGGGTAAATCGTGTAAACAATGGTATCAATAGTAACAAACAAACAATACAATACAATATTTCAATCAATCATTAAACACTCCAATTCGTAAGTTGTTAATCATGCCTGAAATGCTGATGAATCCCCTTCATCATGAACTTCACTCTGTCCTTCTTCATGACCTTCTTTGGTGGGTCTTCCAGCTGCGTCTCCTTGATCTTCAGGTCTGCCCATGAAATTCTCAAACTGGGACCATAAGGCTTCTACGGAGCCGAATTCATTTCCGACCTGACCTTTATTAGATATGTTCGATTAACATGAGTAAATATGGGACGACATACAGCAATAACACTCTCCAGATTCCGGTTTAGACGGTTGATGTTTTGGAGCACGTCTTCCATGCCCTAGGTTTTGTTAGCAAGGACATAGCAGGGGGGAGGGAAGGGGACTCACAACAGCAATCTCCCGGACGAGATCTTCGCGCTGTTGCTGGAAGACGGATGGGCTTGTGACCCTTGAGTTGGGAGTTGACATTTTGGTAGATATCTGAGTATCTGAATATCTGTTGATGTATGAGGTACGATGTTGGATACGCGATGTTGTGGAAGTTGGAGTTTGGTTGTGTGGGGTGTATTGCGGTACGTAAATTACGGCTGGAGTGAGTGCACCTGGTGCGTATTTATGGTAATATTACATCTTCTTTTCTTGATTCTCTTTGTTCTCATGATTTGCACTGTTCAATGCCTCCAATTATTCCATATTTTTTCCAAAATATTATTGTCAATGAGAATAGATAACATCCATCTCGCTAAAAATAAAACCTCCCCTCCTGACCGCTATATCTCCATATTCCTACTCCATATAAGATCAACATCAACTCTTGCCACTGAGGGACCCTCGATATTAATTTTGCCCTACGCTCTGGTCTTCAATGGGACTCCAGTGGAAGATCGACATGGTTCGCTCCACCACATTTTTACTCCCACTATCTTTATTGGTGACTTTTTCTCTCCGGTTGTTGTGATTTTGCCATTCCAAATTTATTTTATGGGATGTACGCCAGTGCTGACGTAAGCGTTTATAGGGTTGCACAGTGTAGATAAATTATTTTGAATTGATAATATTGTTGTTGTTGTTGTTGTTGTTGATTGATTGAAGGAACTCCGGACTCGTCGCTAATAAAACATTGTATAGAAAAACAGATAATCATCACCAAACAAAAGGGTATCCAAATGCACATAATCCAGCCTTGCTTATCCATTTCATCTCGTCTCACTCATCATCTCATTTTGTAGTATGTACTGCACTAAAGTGCGGTACTGTTTGTAGGTAGGCATTCACGGTCGGCGCGCAGTCAGAATACTACTCCATCTCTTCCACGGGCTCTGCGGCGGCGAGACGGAATCGCGACGATCCAATCGCTCCTTATCCAGACTGCCGGAGGTCTTGGAGGAAGTTTGCGTGGAGGAACGAGGTCGGGTGACGGTGGCTTCGTGGTCAGCCAGCACGTCCTCCAGACGGACGTCCGAAGAGGACATGTGGAGGTGGCCGTCTTCGGGGTCGAGGATTTCGATGAATTTGGAGGGCATGTCGCGCATTGTGTGAGCGAGCGAGGAGTTGTGATGATATAGTAGTAGAGTATAGAGTAGAGGAACAGATGAGAGTATAGAATGGTAGAGTAGAGTGGTATAGAGTAGATAGAGTAGGTATAGAGGAGGGGTAATGTTGAACGGCAGTTCTCGGAGACGAATTCCGTAGTCCACAGGATAGAATCGTAGAGGAGATAGAATAGAGAAAATAGAAGACCAAGAGGAAAGATCACTTATAAGAACTCACACTGTTTCATGACGCGCCAGACTGGGGACCAGCTAGGACCAACTGCAGGACAAAACATGAATAGAAAGATAATCATTCTTATTCTTAATTTTGATTTTGATTATTCTTCAGATCATCGACCCATGGAAAAGCAACGACACGAATAGTTTCAAGCAGTGGGGGGGGGCTTTTTTTGCTGATCGGGTGATATCCTCTCTTCCTATACAAATGAGGGGCTGACAGGGTCTGCAACTCCACACACACTTGTTCGTCTGAATGGGGGCGGTTGGCGCCATGACGTCGATTGACTCATTCTCTTTGCAGACAATATATCATACAGAATACAAAATGTGGATAGAAGGAATACACATGGTTCTATAAAAAAACACTGATGGAATGCATCTTCTCACTCATATCATATAGGATGACGTTGACTGCATCGTGGGTTACGAATCTGGAGAAACACAAGTGGAGGTGGATTTTCATTCTTATATTTCATCCTACACACTATGCACTATGTAGTCTTCTCATTCGATAATCCGCCATCGGTAATTCATAATTCTCCTGTAAAATGGAGATTTCTTATCATATGCCGAATTGCCCCTCTTCTTCTTGCTCTCTTGCCTCTTCTCGTCTGACGAAGCACTGCACAGCCCGCTCTTCTTGATGTCAAGATCGACATTTTCGGTGAAATGTTTGCCTTTTTCTGCAGGGATACATCTTATGATATAATCTTCCTCTTTCGTACGGTATCAGCCATGTAGTATGATATCGAGTCTGAATTGTCCATGAATTGTTCAACGTTATGAATTCTACCCGGTACGCAATCATCTTACATAGTAAGTAGATTGAATAGATTCACTCTCTGATTCTATTCACATCATTTGTATATCTGCCCTGTTATATGAGCATGATATCGTCCTTGTCATCATCCCACAGCGGCAAATCATCTTCCTCTCGTGTACTCAGTAGTCCAAGGCAACATTCAAGATGCCCATTCCATCAGCCAACTCCTTGCACCGGTACAAGGAAAGAAAAGGCTTGCGTTGGTCCTGCTCAGCATAGCACAGCATAGCATACCTCCGTAAATGAGATTTCCTTGTTGAGAATAATATTATGTCCGTAGATGCATCCTCATTTTGGTATTCCGGAAATAAAATTTGAAAGAATTTGCAGAAAAAAGAAGGAAAAAAAAAAAAAGAAGTCGAATATCGAATCAACCAGATCGCCCGCTTATTTTAACCCCAGTTCCGTCATTTCCACGCTGTCGGCTGATCCCATCCAGAGGATATTGTTACATCTGCTGCTGTCAGTCCTGCCTTGACATGGTCGATAATTCCCTCTCCATCGAGAAGAGACACCCACCTAATCAAAACAAGTCCCAAAGACCCCGTCGGCTTGCCGTCAATGTACTCCTCCGTATCCCTCAACAACACGTTCATGTACGAATCGATGCTCTCCAACTGGCCCTTGTACTCGGTCTGGCCCCATTTCAGGCGGATGATAACCTCGGTACCGACTCTGTAGAGCAGTTAGAATCCTCCCTTTATCCAATATATGCGATCGTCTCGAGATAGAGGGTCGTGCAGCAGATTATTCTTGAATTGGGAGCTGATCGGGCTCGGGCTGATTGGGGGGCAACATACCTAGCCTGCAAAAAGGGCCGGGGGTTGACTGGTTGGAACTGCAAGCAAGTCAGTATCGTCACTCGAATATAGGCAGAACAAAGCTATCTTGGATAGGTCCAGTCGCAGACAGACGTACACTCATGATGACACTTCAGATCTCTATCGGATAACACACAACCGTCTTCTATTCCAAAGACGTCAATCGCGTGAGTTGATGATTCCACCAGCTGGGAAGAGTTCGTTTGTCTTCCGTAGAGATGGCGGTGGTGCTGGTCGCGTGTGGTGCTGGTCGGGTGTTTCTGTTCTTGCTGGCTGTCGAAGGCCGACTTGCAACACGCCGCGAAAATGTGATGCTGCCAGGCGGTGTGGCCAATCAGAGGCCGAGGTGACTACCGCCTTGGAGGTTTTGATTTAGTATCGTACTGACTGGAGTATTTATTTAATTAACTAATCTGATAAATGTATATAAATATCAGAGAGAAGTAAGAAGAAAAAACACGAATATACCCCAGGGACTTTGCGTTGTCGTACAAGAAACATCGCGGAAGCAAAACATAGTCGATAGCTCAATATCACCAACACACCAGACACCACGACTCCCCTAATCTACAATCTACAAATACCTGAATCTATCCCCTCTTAATCTCCCACTTAACATCCTTGATGGAAACCTCCTCGCCAGCCTTTTCATCATAATCATACCACTCTTCCTCCTCGAAGAGATCAATGCCCGTAAATGGAGAGCCAGACTCGACTCCTTTGGCTTCCCACTCGCCCTGGTCTCGTTAGCTGTGCTCTTATAAGACATGTGAAGCTGGATAGTTACATCAGGCTTGAACTCAGTAAACTCCAACCCGCGACAGTCAAGGTCAATCACCTTCTTCGCGGGGCGTTTATCATCGGCCTCATACGCATTCGGACCTGCGATTATAGACGCAGAGTGTGTTTTCTGCATCATACATATTAGACCATCTCTATACATAGGCATAGGCCCATATCAAGGCATAAAACCAACCTGGCACAGCTTGCACTTCCACACAAAGTTAGCTTCGCCCCGACTTCCCGGGATTTCAGTTTGTTCCTAGACCATAAATCAGCTCAAGTTTAGTCTTCAGAGGAAGAAAAAATACGTACAAAACGGTTGAAGCTGACCCAATTCGGGTGCGTCTCGCGACAAGAGGTACATTGCACTTTGAAGGTGTAGTAGTATGGGCTCTGTTCGGTGTCTGTTGGCTGGAGTCCGGTTACTCTGTGGGTTTGTTAGTTCAGTATCATGCTCAGTCGTGATGGTGGTTATGGTGGTGGTGGTGTTTCTTTTTTTTCGAGTGCGGGGAATGCAGTTCAGACGAAAAAAAATCTTATTTCAAAAGGATAACTGATGAAACTGCACACAGTAAGAAGAAACATACCCATTGAGTTCAGCAGAAATAGTCAGGGAAAGCATTTTGTCTGTTTCTGTTGTCTGTGGTTACTGGTTACAGCTTAGGGAAGAAGATTTGAAGCAATATTTGGTGCGGGGTGATGTTCGGCACCCGTTAAGTCAGCATCCACCTACTTCTACAAGACTACGACTCAGCAGTTACTACAATAATATACCCAGTCAATCAGAATAGTAAATGCATTTGATATACAACGCCAAATATGCTGAGGCCATCATCGCTCTTAATGAGCGAGCCAAAAGACCAAAAAGAATCATATACATCGAAGCAAAACAGCTCTAAAATAGTACAAAATCCAATTCTATCTCATCCGTTCCCTACAGACGGCTCTGCTGCTGGTCCTGACCCAAAGGCTTTGTGGTGAATGCGCCAAAGTATGCGTTCAGTGCATCCACAGTGCCGCTGCCTTCCACAAGCTGCACGGTACAGGCGACATGACTGTCGGGACGAGTGACGACAACACCTCCCTTCTCGGGGTCGAAGCCCAGCTTCTCGTGGGCAGCGAAGGTTGCGTTGGGAACCCGGACGTCGGGGAGGTCGTCGGCGTAGATGTGGTGGTGGTAATCGCGGATGACCTGGGGCACAGCATCGATGTCGATCTTGTTCTTCTCTCCAGCATACACCACGCAGAGGGTGAACAGCTTGGAGTGAGGGTGGTGATGCTCAAAGAAGGACGCCTTGTCGGATCGGCGGTAGGCAGAGAGGAACGAGCGCTCCTTCTCCAGGTTGGCAGCAAAGTCCGCAATCGCCTTCTTGGTGCTCAACTGCTTTCCGGCGAAGACGAAGATACGGAACGCTCCGTTGGCCGGCACCTCCTGTTCCAGGGCCACAAAGTTGGAGTCCGCAAGTCGGGTGACAGTGGAGGGAGTGAAAGCACGTCCCGGTGTCAGTCTCACGTTGGGGACGTTGAACAGAGGAGACTGGGCGGGGTGGCTAGCGTCCCAGTTGAAGACGTTGGGCTTGTAGGCAACACCGTATCCACTGGTGAACTCGCAAGAAGACTTGAAGGTCTTGACAAACTCATCCTCTTCACCTCCAGCCTGGACAGTGTGGTGGCTGGCAGATCCGACCTCACCAGCATTAGGACGGCGCTTGGAGAACAGGGCGGCGTATTTCGAGTCGAAGTTGAGCAAGGTCTCGGCGACGTCCTTGCGCTCGCTCTCGTAGGTGCTCAGAATAGAACGGTTGGCCAATCCAGATTCGACAGCGTGGATCTTCCAGGCCATATTCAATGCGTCGTGGAAAGCAGTGTTCATTCCCTGTCCAGCCTTGGGCTTCAAGGTGTTAGCAATGATTCAGTAAAAAGCAGGAAATAGTAACATACGCTGTGGGTGTGGCAGGCATCACCACCCATGAAAACGCGCTCATCCAAGGTGTACTTCTCGGAGATACCCTGTCCTATGGGGTAAACAGAGTACCATTCAACACGGTCCCACTCCAAATAGTAGGGCTTGAGGATCTTCTTTGCGACATTCTGGACTTCTTCGGCGGTGGCGGTCTTTCTAGGGTTCCAGTCGGGGTCCGAGGACGAGGCAATCTGGACGTAGAGACGGACCATGTTGTCTTCACGGGGAATGACCATGATCGAACCGGCGTCGGAGTGGATGGTGCATTTTGTCTAGACATCAATTAGTCCATGCTCATCTCATCCTCAATATTCTTGGGCTACCTACCTCGATATCAGGGAAGTCGGTTCTCACAACACCGTCCATAACACCCCACACATATGCGATAGGGTCCTTGTGGTGAATCTGAATGCCCAACTGCTGTCGGACAAAACTGCGGGCACCCTCGCCACTGAAGAGGTACTTTGTACGGACAGTCTCGATCACATTGGTATCAATGGACTTGAGCTGCACTTCAACGGGGTAGGTCTCGTCTGCGCCATCGTTCTTAAATCCGTGAATGGTCCAGGGTCGCTCGACGGTGGTTCCGGCCTTTTCGATCTCATCGATAAACACTTTCTCGATCTTACCCTGGTGAACCAGAGTAGTGAAGGGGTATCTAGTATCGATAAAGCGAGGGCAACTGGGCCAGCTGCCTGTGCGGTGGATACCCTTGCCCTCAGCGAGAGGGTCCCAGAAAGCGACGTCGTAGACCTTAGCGGGGTGGTAGGCCATAATCTGGCGCTTCAAGCCAAGATTGCGGAGGATCTCCGTGGAGCGAGGCTGAATACCATCGGCGCGACCAGTGGCAGTGGGGACAGGACGGTTGTCAATGTGCTTGACCTTGTAACCCCATCTGGACATACAGAGCGACAACAGAATGCCAACGGGGCCGGCGCCCACGATGACTATGTCATACTTTTCCTGTTGGTGTGCCATGCTGTTTTGACGGTGATCAGGGAATAGTTAAATAAATATATAAATTGGAATATAATAAAGATGGATATATCAAAGCATCACCCGTGATAGCATGGTAAAAAAAAGAGCAGGACAAGAGACAAACTCGCCTCATATATATACCCTGACGGGCCGACCAAGCTGCAACCTGCTTGCAGCTCGGAGAACCACTACGGCATTCATAGTCGGCTGGATCGTGGAGAAGGGGGAGCCAATATTGATGAGCACTGGCCAGAGCCAATTGCATTGCAGACCCAGAAAAAAGAATGCTCCTGCGAATACTGGAGGATTTGGGATGCAACTGTGGGTGAGAGTGTGGGGGGGGGAAGAGAGCAGACGAGAGACTGCCGGCGCTGACTCCGAGGCACCTGACCAATCACAGCACGCAAATTATGGCGTCTCCCCCCCGGTCGGATAGAGAGTCGGCATGTGGAGTGGCAGCACGTGACGGGGCTGGTCGGCAGCCTCAGCCGGGACTTGAATAGCATCAAATATGGATTGACCGTCGTTGCTGGTGTTGGGTGTTGGTGCTGGCAGACTGCCGAGTGCTTTGCCATTGAAATTCTACATGCGGTGAACTGGATGACAGCGATAATCACAGCCGTATAATCAACCGTCTACGAGCGTGATTTACAACACGGCCATCTTACATGCGTTTGTTCGATAGTTTATGCAAGGTGATATGGACAAATCAGTCTTTACTTGTCCGGAATCCCAATCATTACACAAAGACGACAAAGTCATGGATGCTGTCCCTGATCTTGCAGGAGAAGAATCAACATGACATCAATCCAAAACTGCCTACCGAACGATCCGGTAGAGTTCCGAGTAACCTTCTTTGCCTCGTGAATCATGCTGATCACTCGTCACAACTATCAAGACAATTTATCCACCGCATACACCGATCTACAACTCCGACCCAGTGTATTCTCCCGATTCAGTAACCATCTCCATCTCCGGCCCGCTGGCATTGAAGCTCGGCTATTCCGGACCCTCGAATGGATGCTGGCATCGTCAATTGATATGGGCATGGCTTTGTAAAAACCGCACAAGATCATCAATCCCTTCTGGTTCTTTTATCCAATGCCCATCGTTGTCTGCTCCCAGATACTCCCTCCACTCTGTTTGTATCCCCATTTGCCTGATCAGCTGCCTTGCCTGCCGACCCAGTGCGACATCAACCCAGGCATCGTCCGTCCCATGGCTCAAGAACACTGGCGTAGACACGACCGAGTCAAACTCCCGTTCTTCTATCTGCAGGGGTGTGTAACCGAGTATTTTCAAAAGATGCCTCCCCACCTGCGTACTTTTATCCACGGCAGATGAATCAGGATGCGACTCGACGATCGCCTCAATCTGTCCTGCAAAGGGTAACCACCCGCAGAACGCGACAACACCCCCCAACCGTGTCCCTCCAAGTCGAATAGGCGAGCATAGCAAGGTCCACAGAATTGTCGCCATCCCCTGGCTCATTCCCCCAAGAAACAGTCTCTCTGCCCGTCCGTCGAGAAGGGCAATTTCCTTCTCTACAATGTCGAGAACATACCCCACTGACTCTTTTAGCCCCTCCGTCTGTAATTCCTGACGCTCGTCCGTGTTTGTAAGCGAATATATATCGAACCAGGCGTCCATGTGTTCTTGGAATCGGGTGTCCCATCGTTCACGGGCTGTTGGGAAGACCCATCGCCAGCTGGGGAGTTGCGAGGAGAGATTCTGCTTCTCTGAGCTCTCGGAGAAGAAGAATTCGCCTGCGAATTCGAGTCCGTTGCTGCCGCGACCGTGGAGGAAGATGATTGTGTGCGTATGGGTGGTTTGAGGGGGGTGTATATGGGCGGGAGGAAAGGCTATTTTCAAAGACAATAGAGTAGAATAGATATTGATGGTTGTTGGCTGAAGAAAAAGATGATTCTAGAGAGTTGAAAACGTGGGGAAGAATAGCACTGCGCAGCCTGACAGGATCTACAAGTATGCCTTGAACTGATTATTTCAAACATTTCGCCAAATTTGACAATAGAACTATAAGAGAGAAAGAAAAAGAATAAAATAAAGTAGAAACCAATGAATAGACAATAGACAATCAATTGAAGCCATACTGGATTGTGTTGTGGATCGTCAATGACCATTGTTGCGTCTGCATTCACCACCAACAATACAAGCAGTCATTGCGAGATGAATAGAATCAATGTCTCCTCTATTGTATTGATTGTATTGAATGGGATATCGATACTCCTTCAGTTTTTTCAATAGTAAACAATAACGAGTATTCGAATTGCTTCAAAATAAAAGATGTCATCGTACTCCATGTCGTCTTTCTCTTCCTTATCTTCTTCTTTATTTCATCTTCCTTCGAACCAGTATTCGACTTCATCTCTTTCATCTTCATATCCAACAACTTCGAGTCTTTGTTTCAATCCGTCTCTTTGATCCCATCGTCCACAATGAACGACACCTCCGTTGAAGTGCCCATCATGCTCAGTCCGGAGTAAGTTCTTCTGCTTCAATCCATATTCAAAGACACTAACAGTCGATACAGACATTCGTCCTACGAGGACATCGCCAAGCTCAACCCGTTCTATGAAGAGTATAGGGCTTTCTGGAACACCTCGTCTGATACGAGCACCATCTCTTCTTATTCCAGCTCTTCATCTTCTTCCGCTTGTTCTTCTCATTCGGCCCACTCGGACATCGATCCATCGTTTCACCCTTTGGAAATGTCATCGTCTCCCTCGCTGCATCAAATACCGCCGTACGGTGCTTTGTACGTGCCGGACAGACTCCATGTCCCAGTCCACGACGGCAAACAGTATCAACCATCTTACGAAGTGCACGACGAATGCAATGTTAGTCAGATTGCTACTCTCGAGTATGAAGACAGCTGCAAGCTGCCCATCGAAGGGCCAATGGAGTCTCTTGAAATCGACTTGTTTGATCTTGATCTGGCCGATGAATCTGCCCAGCAAGCAAAGAAGCCTCACAAGAAGCTTTTTGGAGAGAAAGGCTGGCTGGGCTGCACTTCCGATCTGCAGGATCTGCCCAACGACAAGTCCAAGCAAAAGATCTTCAAGGGGTTGGGAAAGAAGATCAAGCAGCATGTCGAAGAACTTGTAAGTCCTATCACCACCTTTGCTCCTCCATTCATTTTTCTAACGCATCATAGGCTGGAGACATGGCGGCCAAGGCCTATCCCAATCCATTCCATCATGCATCTCGCCGTCCGAATATCGTGCCAAAGTCGACTGTCCCCATCTCGCTCGATCCTCCAACACAAGCAAAGCTCTACTCCGACATGGAAGTCATGATCTGCGTCAGTACCAACAAGTTTCTCGTTCAGCAGTACAGCGAAGGTCGAATCTCCGAGGAATCCATCAAGAAAGTCACCAACTTCTGGGGATCCAAGAACCGGCCACAGGTCATCGAGTTCCAGTTCGACCAGGCGACACAGCGCCAGCTCATCTTGTCCAATGTCCGGACCTTGTGCTTCAACGGAGAGAGTTCGACCAATCCCATTCTTCTCAATTCGAATCTGCACAACTGGAAAGCAATCGTCAAGGAGATGAGCGTCCGCACCTTCTGTGCTCCCGACAGCGTCATTCGAAAACACATGCACGACATCCACAAGCTGCTCGACATGCTAGGGGCCCCCGCGGTGACTTTTCTTGCCTTTGAAGAGCTCCAAATGCGAACACTATCGTTGATGAAGGAGCAACTGAAGCGGAGCTATCTTCAACAGAGTGGTGACAGCAGCCTGTCCAGCTTCAAGTCCATAGATGACAGCAAGCTATCTTGAATTCTGGGGTTTATTCGGTTTATTCTGTTTTCACATGCAAAAGTTGTTTTTCAAATGATACCTCCATGGCGTTTTCTTTGTTATAGCCGTCGAATCACTGTATGTTAATGGTTTCTTTTTCTCAGTCCGCGCGACTCGTGTATTTCTTTCACATGAACTTCCCATTGCTTCAAATGGAATAATATCCTGCAACCACCCGTTTTTTCCAAGCTGTCCTTGTTGAACAGCAAGTAAAAACGCATTGTTGTTAAAAAAAGATGGCGTTGTTCCTTGGCAGAAACACGTGGGGCGACGTCATAAAGGTATCACGAGAAAAAGAAAAGAAACGACAAAGGATCCTTTTCCAACCAGTCGCAGTTGGGGAATTTCTTCCCTGCACTGCTTCAAAGCATGTTTTCTATTTCCATGTCTTTCTGTCATGATAAAAATTTCCTTGCCTGTGTTATTTGAGCTTTTCGGAAGCTTTACCTCAGATTGATGCAGATGCATCTCCCTTGCTGACTCGACACCTTGTGATGGCAACCTGTTCGATTCACCGTTTTCAACCATGCCAGTTTCGTCTTGATCACCTCATCTAGCTGTATATGACTCGGAGAGGCCTGAATATTCCTCGTACGGAGTCGAACTAGCTTCTGCAACAGCATAACAGTCCATGATGGCCGGTCCTATCCACACCTACGGCCCGACATGTCTTCTCTCCGATGACGATCCCGACCTTGCGGCCTGGTACTCCTTGGCTACGCCACCCACAGTCCGTCCACAATTCTTTTATACGTCCTCGCTACCGATCGATGACCCCTTGAGTTCCTTGCCTCCTCCATCTGGCGGTCATGGCCCCGACAGCGACAGAGCTCCGCCTCAGCCATTTTCAGCTCGGGATAATATCGCCCTGGAGGAGTCCTGGCAGTCACTGCAGAGGGACAGAAAAGCGAAGCTTGCGGAGAAGAAAAAATCCGGAGAAGGCCATCTGAATAAACATTCGGGAATATCGGTGCCTGGGCGGGAAGCGGTTGTTGAAAGGGAACGGAAAAGGCAAGGAGGAAGTCGGGAAGATACAAGTGCGTTCGGAAGTCAAAGAAGCTTGTCAAGCACCCCTGCATCCTATTTGGATGATCGGGAATTGCAGAACCCCAAGGTTCGACAAAATGGCGAAACCGGTAGCGCAGAGAGCCGTGCCAGAGGGTCGTGGGAACAATCGCGCATTCGCTCCACACGGGATGGTGAGATAGAGGAGGGCAATCGAAGTGGCAGCCCTGGCTTTCGGAAGAGGGAAGGCCGTAACCCCAAACAAGGCGACCTTGACGAAGCGGAACATTGGAGTCCACGGGGCAATCGATCTCGGGATGTAAGCATCAGCGGCTCGCCATTCATCAGAGCTCCCTTAGGACCAACATCAAGTCCACTTGGCCGTTCACTCGAGTTGAACGCGCCCAAAGATGGAAGGCAGGAGAATATCGAGGCCAATAGTCTTGGCTCGAATCACGTAGCGTCAAAACCCTCAGGCCTGAGATCAAGTGTTCATCCGAAGGAATCCCGACAAGGTTCACTGGCTGAAACAGAGGAGAGCGAGCCAGACCAAAATGCCCAAGAAAAGGTTCCTGTTGGTGTTTCTCGACTTCATCTTGTCGAACTGCCAAATTTGAAGGTATAAAGAGCTCGGGATCTTCGGACCTAGTGTCAAGGAGCTGACTTTTATTCTCATAGATGAAACCGATCTACTGGAGTCCTCTTCACGATATATCAAATGTTCTCCGCTCTACATGGTTCTACCAAAACACTATGCTTCCCGTGGAGACGGAGCTTGCCAACAAGCTAGAAGATGGATACGTTTACTTGAGAACATGGACCGATACGTGGCAAGATGAGCTCAACAGCTGCGTGGAAAATGGCGCGGAGGCCGAGCTGAAGATCGTGCACAAGCTTTGGCAGAAGGAAGACCTAAAGCCTACGGGCAAACCTGCAACGCCACAAGACCCCAAAACAACCAGCTCAGGGCCAGAAGGACCCGAAGAAACCGTCGAAGTAGAACCTGACCTTTTGAATCTTGACGAAAACCGAGCTTCCGGTGCGACAGCTGTACATTCTGAGACCGTGAAGCCCTACATGAATTCCAGTGTCATTTATGTCGACGGAAAACACGCACAAATTCTCCGGCCCAGCTTGCTCCCATCAGCGTCAAGAGGTAGAAAGCCACTCGATGCGATTCGCAAAGGACGGCAGATTGGCATACCTGTGATACGTGGTTTCAGCCGGCGAATGTGGGATAAACTCCATCCATCCAAACCGAACCCTGTAGACGTGAGCCACTATCTTAGAAGTACTCGGACCCACAGCATGTCTGCGCCAGCGGGTGAACAAATATGCTATGCTTGCGCAATGGAGGAATCAAGGCCAAGCCCTACTGATCTAATACTTGTCATACACGGCATAGGCCAGAAATTGTCCGAGCGAATGGAGAGTTTCCATTTCACGCATGCAATCAATGTCTTGCGCAGGAATATCAACATGGAGTCATATAGCGAACCGGTTTGGCCGCATGTTGACCAGGATCATGGAGGCATCATGGCGCTTCCTGTGAACTGGCGGTCGACACTTTCCCTAGAGGAAGCGCATCTCGAGGCTCAAGCTGCTGGAGACCCTACTACCAACCACTACTCCCTTGATGATATTACTCCAGAGACTATACCCGCAGTCAGGTCTATAATTAGCGATGTCATGCTTGATATCCCGTACTATTTGTCACATCACAAGCCCAAGATGATCCAAGCGGTTGTAAAGGAAGCGAATCGCATTTTCCGACTATGGTGTAAAAATAACCCGGGGTTCCAGCAACATGGACGTGTGCATTTAATTGCTCACTCTCTTGGAAGCGCAATGGCTGTTGACATCCTCAGCCACCAGCCGACTAAGATACCCGATTTTGATTTCTCGACAACAAGCATTCACAAGGACATCTTCGAGTTCGACACCAAAAACCTGTTCATCTGTGGAAGTCCAGTGGGGTTCTTTTTGCTCCTAAACAAAGGTATGTTCCGTGGACTATGCCGGCACTTCCGAGGTATTGATTTAACAACTTTCATAGCAAACCTTCTTCCCCGAAGAGGAAGAGACAAGCCTGGCTGCGAAGGTGATGATAGACTTCGCGGGGTTGCAGGGGAGGTTGATAAGTATGGATGTCTGGCTGTGGATAATCTCTACAACATCATGCACACGACTGACCGTAAGTAACTATCACAACATTGACATATTCTCGTTTACTAATTTGATATAGCAATCGCATTTCGTGTCAATGCTGCAGTCGACTGCGACCTTGCCGAATCTCTCAAGGCAGCCTCTATACCAAGCTCAGCATCTTTCTGGAAGTCATTTGGCAGCGTTTTCCGCTGGGGCTCCGCTCCCACATTTACCTCCGCTACATCCTCAGCACCCGTACGGCCTGCAGCTGTTTCCAAACTTCCCTCCAACGTTGAACTCGAGACGCACGATTTCACCCGAGAAGAAATCGCAGAGAAGCGTATGCTCTTACTCAACGACAACGGCCAAATCGATTACTTCCTGTCTGGAGGTGGCGGGCCTCTGAACATCCAGTACCTCAACATGTTGAGTGCACATAGCAGCTACTGGACACTACCAGATTTTGTCCGTTTCATCGTCATTGAGATAGCTCGAAAGCAAGGCAGAGAGGGCACGCTGCTGGCGCTTCGAGCCGAGAAGAAGAAAAACTGGAAAGTCACTAAAGGGTGAAATGCAAGTCCGACTTCTCTCCTCTCTACGATTGACGATATCATTGCTTACTCCAAGGCGACATGTCTGTTTTTTCCCGGAGAATTTTACTTTGAAATCATCTCTCCAATATTGCATCTGTGCCTAGCTGGCGCCGGAAGGCGTTCATTCTCTATTTATACTGGTGCATTTAGACTATCGTCACTATAGGACCCATTCTAGTAAATATGCATTTATATAGCCTCAATATATAATAATTTTGCTTTTCAAGTATCGGTGTATCGGTATCCAAGTGGACTAGGTCAATCAGATACAAACCAGTTACTCGCTGGCAACAACAACCCCCATCATCAAAGCTTCTACCAAACTACCCTTCTCAGCCTTTCCAGTTCCCGGTTGAAGCACCAAAAGTGCATTTGCACTGGCAAGACTGCCTACCCGTGAACTTCTCTGTCCGACCCCTTCTAGTCCGGTACTTGAGGCATACAACCGTCCATCAGACCGGGACGCAGTTACGATAGCACGATGATAATCCGTACGCTTGGAATCAAGAGGGAAGGCATGTGCCAGGGTAACAGACACGAGGGGCAGGCCAACCGCTGGACGGAAAGCCTGGATAGCTTGAGGCCGCTGTCCCATTCCCATGAACTTGTGGAGAGAGGGAAGCACGAAGAGGTTTAGTGTAACGAGGGCCGAGGCAGGGTTACCCGGGAGAGAGAAGATGAGTTTAGACTCGCGTTCCTGCTGCGCGGATGGCGATGACGATTGTGTTGATGACTTGAATGGGATGGTTGCAAAGGTGGTCGGTTTGCCTGGTTTCATCGAGACGCGGCCGAAATGGATTGTGCCGCCGAGAGAACGTTCGATGGTTGGTTTGAGGAGGTCTAGTTCGCCCATTGATACGCCTCCAGTGGTGATTATCACATCGACGCTGGTATTGGATTTGCCTGTCCCTCGGAGGGCGTCTCGAAGGCTCTGTTCGAGTTCGCCGACGGGGGTATCGCGGGCGATTCCAAGATCAACTGTTGGGAAACCCCAGGATGCAAGACAGGAGAGGAGGGATGGACGGTTGGAGTCGCGGATTTGGCCTCCATAGAGGGACTGAGGGTCATCGTGCTCAACTAATTCATCACCGGTGCTAAGGATACCCACGCAGGGTTTCCGGAAGACCTTGACAGTTCTAGTGCCTGTTGCTGCTAGTTGACCAATTTCGCCTCCAACGGATGTGATCAAGTCTCCTCTTTGGAGAATCTTTGACCCCAGGGCGATGTCACTTCCCGGTTCGCGGACGTTCTCTTTCGGTTTAATGTCACCTGTTAGAATCTCCACCATAGCTTCTTCTTTTCCGTCGGGAGTCGACGTTGCAAGAACAGTATCTTCGACCATAACCACAGCATTGGCATTTGGTGGGAGAGGTGCCCCGGTTGTAATTCTCGCAATCGTTCCCGGCTCAAGAGGGGATAATGACCCCCCGGGTTTAGCATGGGTAATAGAGGCTACCGGGAAGATGCCTTTCGTACTTGGACCAGATGTAAGTGATTCGGGTGCGATCACAGCGTACCCGTCAACGATACTGGCTCGATATGCCGGTACTGCCTCACCCGCGTAGACATCCTCAGCAATGACGGAACCTACCAAAGAAGTGGTTACTGGAACTTCAACCACAGTTGGGTCTGGGGTTTGTTCGCTGATAAGTTTGAGGGCTTCATCGACGGAGAGCATCGGGTACGGTGACGAGCGATATCGCCGGTTGGGTGCTGCATTGGGGTCATTCGACTGCGGCCTTTCTGATGGCGAAGTATGCGCTTTGGGGACCACATGTCCATGTCCATGTCCATGCCCATGGCAATGAGAATGCTGGTGGTGATTATCATGCTGCTTTTCTTGTCCTTTGGATCCAGAAGACGGTATGCCAGCATCAGCTTCCAGCTTCTTCACACCACCAGCATGGATGGTTCTGGAGTTTGCTCCAGCTGCCTGGATGCATGCATGCGGTAGAAGTTTAATGACTGCCTCAAGGTTTTCCTTGGCGCCTTTCGGCGACCCAGGTAATGTGATGATTAACGACTTATCTCGGACTCCTGCTACAGGTCGAGACATCATTGCGACTAGGTGCTTGTCAGCAGCTATCGAAGTTAAGAGCAATCCCAACTTACATGGCGTGATCTTCAAAGAAGAAGCGAGCATGCCATGCCTGACAGTTAAGTTAATAACTCTGCAGTTTGCAATTGAGATGTGCTCACTTACACAAGACCCGGTGCATGGCGATGAATAAGAGGCGACACAGCCTGCAAATCATCAGACAACATGAAAATGAAGTACACAGGGAAGATCGGCGAACCTCTGGGGTATTATCCTTCACAGCGAAACCAGTTCCACCGCTAATAATGATGAGATTGAACCAGTCGGGCCCATCAGTCCAGCTGCAGATAACTCGTTGAATGTCGAGGACGTTATCGGGCACGATCTTAGTGGTGGGATACTCCCAGCTACTCGACCCCTCAACGGTGAACGAATTCGTAAGAGTATCGACTGTCCTGTCAGAAGACGGATCCTGAAAAGCTGTATCTGAGACGATCAAAATCGCCGGTCTGAGGCTGTTTTCTGCCATCTTGAAAGTTGATGTTGCAATGAAGGAGGGGTGCGGGGGAGTGTAGATAAGAGCGTTGTTCAGTGGCCGCAGCTCCGAGCTTCTCCTTTCTTTATGTATGCGGCATGTGCTAGTTACTCGACCCATCCAACCTAGGGGATTTACACGCTTGTCATACTCATACAAGAGATACAATCTGAATTAAATATGTTTTGCAATTTCATTCCCGGTCCGTTACTGTACATCGACTTCAGACATCATCACGGCAAACCAGCGGGATCATCAATAATGCACTTCGCATACCCAGAAAGTTCTACAGTCAGATCGGATCCATACGCCTCAATGCTGTATATAATAAAAACAAACAGATGAGAAAAAAAGAAGTCATACAAGCACCCCCAGGCACTGCTCACATCGTCCTTTCCTGAAGATAAGTTGTCGTGAAAGATTCGGACTTTAAACAACTCCGAAATCGTTCGCCTTTCCTGCAACCAAAAGCCCGATAATCAGACCGAAAAGACCAAGGACGGAACTGAAAATCTCAATGACAAGAATCTTAACGAATCTATAGGGATTGTTAGCGAAAGCTTCCAGAGACTTCATCAAGATTGGAAACCGACAAGCTCGGATCAGCAGCATCAGCCAAAGCTGCACCACTTCCGTTGATACCAACGGAGATACCGCAAATCAAGTTGCATGCGCCGACAGTAATTCCTCCCCAGAAGAGCGCAAATCCAGTGTAGTAACTGCTGCCGGAGTAAATCTCGTCGCCGGTCACGAGGTTGAGCTTCGCGGAGAAAACAATTGCCATTATGACACCGTAAATAGCCACGACTTCACAGAAAATAATGGAAATCAAGTTCTTTGTTCGTATTCTGGGTGCCTTGACACCTCCGCCGACAATCGAAGAGCCCGTTAGGAAGATACCCCTGAAAGATTACATTGTCAGTGACGAGAGAATAAACCCAAAGAACCTAGAGAAACATACCATGCTGCTCCAACGACCGACAAGCCAATGCACATTGCAATACCGATATTTGCCCAAGCGTATGGGGAGACGGACTCCAGGAATTGACCAACCTAAGGCGGCGTTAACAGGAACTCGATCGTAGGAATAAACGGCATAACTAGGTCCGAGTCATACATTGAATTGTTCACCGTCCCCGTGAAAGAGCATATCTAAAGTAACATATTAGCTTCACAAAGTCCGATGCCGGGGTATTCAGTAGGATGATCTCACAGCCTCCTATCACGAGGAGCGACAAGGTCACAGCACCGGCTGGATAGGCGAGAACCATGGCTACGTCAAATATCAAGATACTCAACCACCAAAGACAGAAAAGAAAAACCGCAAAGAAAGACCGGAGATGGGCGGGTGGGGAAAGGGAGGAGCTGGAGCTCTGTCTGTCGGTCTTGCTTGTATGTATGGGAACTCGCAACTTGGTCGGTGTCGGAGGCCGCATTAATCCGCCCGGAGGCGGCGAGGACGGCCAGTTAGTCGTGGTTATACAGGCCGGACGGACTCCAATATATTCTGTCAGTTCCCCAGACCGATCCATGGGTCGAGTTCACGTCCAGTCTTAAGCAACTCGCAACGCTCTCCCACGCTGTTGAACAACATTACCACGATAGCATCCGCTCCCATTTTTAACACTGTTATATCTATTAACGTCTTTTCTCCTTTTGCACTCCCACCGCTCGAGAAGGGTATCTTGCCGCATACTTATCTGCTACCCCTGATTCGGTTGCTCTCAGTACACTTGTCGCCATGGCTTCCACTTCCGGAGTTGGGTCGTATTCGAACCCTTTGAAGAAATTCAAGTACGTTTACAAAATGCGTCGGTCGGAATGGCTCTCAATTCATTTGCTAACAGAGGCGCAGGTTGGTGTTTTTGGGAGAACAGAGTGGTACGGACACTTACCTATTGAAGACCCGGGAGCTCTCTATGGCGGAGGGGCATCGTTGATCGCATGCGGTTTCTAACATTGTCCTCACAGTTGGAAAGACATCCCTGATTACACGGTTCATGTACGATTCGTTCGACAACACATACCAGGCTACTATTGGAATCGACTTTCTGTCAAAGGTACAACTATCGCAGACATTCATTTCCTGTCTGGCTTTTTGATCGCGATCGCCGTTCTTTTGCAGAGGCTAATTTCTCTCTTTTTAAGACTATGTATCTTGAAGACAGAACCGTTCGACTTCAACTGTGGGATACCGCCGGTCAAGAGCGGTTCCGATCACTTATTCCCTCCTACATTCGAGACTCTAGCGTTGCCGTTGTCGTTTACGATATCTCAAATGCCAAATCTTTCCAAAACACTCGGAAATGGATTGACGACGTCCGGGGAGAGCGTGGAAACGACGTCATCATTGTCCTAGTTGGCAACAAGACCGATCTGAACGACAAACGGGAAGTTACTTCGGCGCAAGGCGAAGAAGAGGCCAAGAAGAACGGATTGATGTTTATCGAAACCAGTGCCAAGGTTGGCCACAATGTTAAGCAGCTATTCAGGAGGATAGCTCAAGCGCTTCCAGGAATGGACGGTGAAGCCAACAGAGGAGAGAGCACAAGTTCGTCCCCCCTATATCCTCGATTCAACTGCCGTTGATAAATGCTGACCAAATTTTCCCAGTGATTGATGTCAACATCAACCCTAAGGAGACCACGACCAACGATGGATGCGCCTGCTGAGTGCCGTTTTTCGAATCGCCCATTATCTTTACCCCTCGCTTTTCTTCATTTTTGTTATGTCCCTGGACCTTAATAATGAGAGTTGAGGTCGTCCATAATGCTCTATCATTCTTAAGATGTACATTTTTTTTTTTCTTTTTGCCCTTGCTCTTCAGGTGAATAGCATGTCTAGATCAATGTCTTATTGAACGCGTTGCTCCAGACCCTTTTTTTTTTTTTTATTTTTTTTTTTATTATCATTCTGCTTTGTTTTTTTCTCCCGGCCCTTGATGGGAAAACTGGCGTTCTGTTTGCCATTTATGAGCATTTCATGACTTGGTTAGAGCTTTACGTTTCGGGATTCCAAGGCCTTTACCCCAATCGCTGTCGGGTAAGGCCTTTTGTTATGCGATGCATCTTCTGTCTATGTACAAACCAGGTGGTATACTTGAGGGAGTTGTACAGTTGCATTATCCCCTTTGTCTCTCTTTTATGATTCTGGGAATGTGTTTATCCATCATTATGAGTCTTTCAAAGCGATTCTATCTTATACTAGTCCAAAATGCCCTTGAAACAAATTAGACAAGCCGTTAGAGTGAATTGAGCCATTCGTATTCGTATTCATTTCAAGAGATAGATTACTTGGCAATTTGATTTGGAATGCTCATAATCAATCAACAAAGGTGGATCGGACTTCGGAAGGTTTCGATACTGCATCGATACCTGCACATTCTGCTTCTCCGACACGATCGTAATGCAGTGCATCCCTTGAATTTCACGGGGTTAATGATTTAAGATGTACAAGATTCCCAGGGATATTATGTGCATAACTCTGTCTAATAACAAACGTCATCCGATTCTCATCGGCCCTGGATCCAAACTGGTAGCGATCGGCGGGCGGATCGACCGGATAATGGCGCCCCTTCTTGTCCGACCCTATTTTGGCATCGTAACAGGTTCCAACGAAACCCGCCAGCCTCTTTTCTTTTCTTTCCTTTCCATCCATCTTACATCTTCGACTTCCATCACCTTTCCATTCCTTTTCCTCTTTCTGCCGTCCTTGAGCCACGAGTGATTATCACCGATCTCATCGACGGCATCAAACCATGGGGTTATCAACCCGTTTTTTCCGCATCCCGCGGCCAGAGGTATTTTTCATCCCTTTCCGTTGTTCGGCTGCTGGTCCAAAGCTAATCATCGCGTGACCTCACAGACATTCCTCTATGCCATGAGCCTCGAAACCGGCGCTTCTCTCATCACCTTATCGTTGCTTCTCAATAAAATCAGTGGTCTTTATGGCCTCCTCGCCTTGCTGACGGGATATCACCTTTCTCCCGTTCAGCTGTCTATGTACCTCTATTCGCTTATTGCTCTCGGTCTCGCGACATATCTCTTCCCGCACATTCGGAAACAGTCACCGCTACAATGTTTGGCTCTCGCCTATTTCTATCTTTTCGATAGTCTTATCAACGCAGCCTACACTGCCACTTTCGGAGTGACGTGGTTCCTGGTCATCTCCCAACATTACGATAGTGGGAAGGCATCCGGCCCCGGCAGTGAGACTATCGCGCAGACTGCCGGCTTTACCAGTCCCAAGTACGACACATCCTCGTCTTACCTAGAGTCGGTTCGAAATGCTGCCCGCTCCGCAGCGGCCTCTGACGGCATCAGCAACGCTGTTAGCCAGCCGGAAAGCTTCCAGAGCATCATCTTCATCTGCTCTCTGTGGATTATCCGAGCCTACTTCGTTTTTGTGATGCTGGCTTTTGCCCGACAGGCGCTGCGTATCTATGTCGCCATTCCCCGCCACACTCAGCTTCCGACTCACAGCCGCAACACATCCATGGCTAGTGTCGCCAGTGTCGCTGATATCGACCGTGAGCCATTCTCTCCTTTCAGTCCTGAGGGTCAGGGTTGGGAAGGCAAGCTTGGCCGGGCCATGATCAGTGTTGGTCGCAACTACTGGCTTGGCGAAGAGGAAGATGGCAGCAGCTGGATACAAACCATCGGCCGCAAATTCCGCGCTCGTGGCGAAAACACTGAGCTTCCCGGTCCTCTAGAGAGGGAGAGAAGACGTCGATCGGGAACCGGTCCTCCTCAACCTTCTCAGTCTGCAGTTCAAGCCATCGCCCTGCAACAGCCGCCTTCGGGAATGAATCTCAAGGTGAATGACTGGAGTGATGGTCGGTAGATCACTGATCTTACCGTCAAATATCAGTTTGAACGGCTTGTCTAGTTCGTTCTCTTGATTTTTGGTTGCCGTATAAAAGGACCACTGGTTCCAATCTTTTTGCCAATATTTTGCGGTTGATCTTTCCGCTCGACAGGGCAACAGTGGTAGGCCTAATTGTCTATATTCCCCTCCACAGCCCTTTCATATTGATCTATTTTCCTGTATGTTTTCTTTCTATTCCTGTTTTTATATATGCCGACATGATCTACATACCTGGGTGATGAATGGGGTTGAAGGGACTTGTTTCGAGTCGCATTTTCTACCCATTTGCGTTCGCGGTTGCCTTTATTCGGAAAAGGGCGTTGGTTCTCGACTAGTACACGGAATGTTGGGTCCAGTTGCATTCGCTGGTAGTGCGTGCTTTCTGGCGAACCTGTTCCCTAGCTACAGTCCCGGCGTCTGGGACATGTACATTGGTTTCTGATATGATATGGGTTTGGTACTTGAGGCGTTTTGAGGGGACCATTTCATTGCATCATGTCGGGGTTTATATGTTTTTATCATTGATGAGAATATCACCATCAAAATATACTTGCTCTGACTCACTCTGGTTATTCCCTATCATATTCCTTATCATCGTATTTATCATGTTATGTGAATTATGAAGTCGGCTACTGGGCACGGCTTTTTCACCGTAGGGTAGTTACGCTGTACAGTAATCCTCGCCTTGTGGTTAGTGGGTTTGATTTTTTGAGTCTCGCCCGAGAAAACGCCTAGATATGCCCCTCTAAACATGTGTCGGCGGCATCCTTGCCCACAATCCGGCTATCTGCAGCCCCAAATCACATCGATTCTTTGTCGTATGACTCAGGATCTTCCATGATGAAAGAAGTTCAAGCAATCTGTAAATACATCGTCGTAGACTGGAAAGCCGAGCAAAGCCCGTCCCAGCAAAGAGCGGCTTCGTTGCAGTTCCCGTGAATCTGACGTGCTCGAGGCTGCCGTCACGGGACCCCGCACTTTGACGGATGCGGAATGTTTGCATCGCGACCTGCCTCGTGTTTGCATCGATGTCGTGATCGCAGTCCAATGAAAATGCTGCTGATCTAACCCCGATGGCGGAGAAGCGACTGTGAAGAGGAGCAAAACTGTAGCGGGCGACATTTTTTTTCCCTTACTTGTGCTGGTGATTGTTAAAAATTAAAGAGACTAAAAAAACTGGGATTTATCTGTCTCTAGTTTTTGTGTCTCTTTTGTTTTTTCCTTCCTATCTCACATCTTCTGCTTGTCGTTGGAACCGTATGCGGTGGTAGTCGGTTCTTTACGTATCTAGTTCATCCCACCTGCGCTGTGAAGGGCAGCCAGCGATTATCACCATGGCGTCTGTTGCGACTGCCGGAGAAGCAGGTAGATCTTCCCCTCTCTGCATTGCTTTTTCCTTAGCCTCAATGGCATTATTTGACCTGTCCGATTGCTAATCCATCATCATACGTTTAGTGGCGAGAGTGGCCTATCTCGCCAGTGATGTCGTTCTCTCCGTCCAGCCATCTCTGCATACAGATTCGTTCTTCTCCAAGTCTCTCAAGTCTTTGAAGTCGAGCAATGCTCGCAATGTTCTGCCCAGGGGCGTCACTGATGTAAGTGTGATATACTTATACGCACCCTGTCCCGGGTCGCTTGAATGGTATCTTACATTGCACGCAGGTTCTGGCCTTGAGACACAACGAGGACCCCCTTCTTTCGGCTTTCCACCCATTGCGGACCGGCAACACAGTCTCCGCCGTCACTAGCTCGTCGGTGCTGCTCTCTTCAATCCCTCACCTCTACCGCTTGGCCAGCCACCCGCTTGTCATCCACGTCGCTTTGGAACCCTCTCCTTTCCCAGACTACTCCGTCATCAGCTCGATCAGACAATGTGGATTCACTTTCTTGCACTCAGAGACTCTGCAGGAGGCCCAGGACTTGGCACTCACAGCTCATGCTTTGGCTCAAAAGTCAGGCAAGGGTGTCATTCATTTCTTCGATCCTGCCAACTCCGCCAGTGAGAGTGCCATCCCCGAGGAGGATGTGGAGGTTGTGAAGCGCGTTCTCGGCTTAGCTGGAAGCGCTGTTTCTCACACTACCGAGGCTGAAGCACAGACTTTGTACGCTGACTCCGGACGTGTTGCTATCGTCTCCGAGGAGGAAGGGGAGAACCCTGTCACTGCGCAGACTGAGGCTACCAACACTGCACAGCCTTCTCAAACTCCTTCGAGCGTCAGCGTTGACAACTCGTCCGTTGGCTCTTCGAGAAGAGATAGCAGTGCAGACAGCCGCGTGAGCAGCTCTGCTGCCACAACTGTCGACAGTGCCAGAAACGTGCGTCCTGTTAGCTCCACAGACATCTTTGAATGGACTTCTCAGATCTGGGATGTCCTTGCCCAGGCTGTTGGACGCAACTACCGGGCAATCGAGTACACTGGTCCTACCGATGCCAAGTCGGCGATCTTCGTCTTTGGCTCGACCGGTGTGTTTGTTGATGTTCTGGCCAAGGCCGAAGCCAACAGCGAGCTTGAGAACGTCGGTCTCATTACCGCTCGCTTGTACCGCCCTTGGGTTGGAAGCCAGATTTTGAGCTCCATCCCAAGCTCGATCGAGAAGGTGGCAGTTCTCGAGCAGGTTCGCAAGACCACTAAATGGGGTCCCTCTTTCATGGACCTCTTGTCGAGTGTTGCTCCTTCCGCTGCTGGTCGCAGCTTGAACATTGTTGGTTACAGACTGGGATATGTTGAGCCCTCTACCGCTGTTCAGGCTCTCCGTGGCATCATCCAGAACTTGAACTCTCCTTCTCCCATCCAGAACCTCGAAATCGGAACTTCAAACGCCCCGGCTCTTGAAGCCACCGTTGAGCAGCCTCACATTGAGAATGCTTACTTGAAGATCCTGAGCCAGCTCTTCGGTGAGCGCTTGCACATTGCCAACCAGTTGGACTCCAAGAATGCAGGAATTTCTTCTACCATTGCTGCGAGCCCCGAGTATGGATTTGGTTCTCTGATCGCTAGAATGGAACACCGTGATCGTTTCGTCCGTGAAGTTGAACAGGCAACCAAGGCTACTGACTTCGCTACCGAAACTCCCAAGACCTGGCTGTCAAACTGGGCCTTGAATGTCAAGGACTCTTCCAAGGCAAACAAGCTTGCTCCGGATGTCATCGCTCGTCTTTCAAATGATGGTTCCAAGGTGGCCAGGCAGCTGCTTGCATCTAAGAAGCTTTTCTACGATGAGTCCAAGTGGCTTGTTGGCTCTGATGCGTGGTCGTACGATCTTGGAAACTCGGGTGTTCACCATGTTCTTGCCTCTGGCGCTAATGTAAACATGCTCGTCATTGACTCGCAACCTTACTCAGAGCGCACCGCTGCCGACCCAACCCGCAGAAAGAAGGACATTGGACTGTACGCCATGAACTACGGCAACGCCTACGTCGCTTCCGTTGCAGTTTACAGCTCCTACACCCAGGTCCTTCAGGCTATGGCCGAAGCCGAACAGTTCAAGGGCCCCTCCGTCGTTGTTGCATACCTCCCTTACAACCAGGAGAATGATTCCGCTCTCACTGTTCTCCAGGAGACCAAGAAGGCTGTTGACCTCGGCTACTGGCCCTTGTACCGCTGGAACCCTAACAACGAGGACAGCGGCGAACCCAAGTTCTCCCTTGACTCGGAGCGTGTCAAGCGCGAGCTGGAAGAGTTCCTCCGCAGGGACAACCAGCTTACCCAGCTTATGAACCGTCAGCCAAAGTACTCGGCTGTGCTCTCTGAATCTTACGGCACGGAGGTCCGCGCACTGCAGAAGCGCAAGGCCAAGGACTCTTACGAGAAGCTTCTTGAAGGCCTCTTCGGCGCTCCTCTCACCATTCTCTTCGCATCCGACAACGGTAACGCGCAGACCTTGGCCAAGCGTCTTGGAAACCGTGGTCGTGCCAGAGGTTTGAAGACCATCGTTATGGCTATGGATGACTACCCATCTGAGGACCTTGCTACTGAGGAGAACGTTGTTTTCATTACTAGTACCGCTGGTCAGGGAGAGTTCCCTATGAACGGCCGTGGTCTCTGGGAGCATGTCAAGAACTCTGGTGACTTGGACTTGTCTACTATCAACTACTCCGTATTCGGTCTTGGTGATAGCCACTACTGGCCCCGCAAGGAAGACAAGATCTACTACAACAAGCCAGGAAAGGACTTGGATGCTAGAATTGCCTTCCTCGGAGGTCGCAAGCTCGCAGACATTGGTCTTGGTGATGACCAGGACCCAGACGCTTTCCAGACCGGCTACTCTGAGTGGGAGCCCCGTCTGTGGCAGGCTTTGGGAGTCGACAAGGTCGAAGGTCTGCCTGAGGAGCCCGCACCATTGACCAACGAAGATATCAAGATTCAGTCGAACTTCTTGCGCGGAACAATTGCCGAAGGTCTTTTGGATGAAACCACTGGTGCTATCTCCGCCAGCGACGCGCAACTCACCAAGTTCCACGGAACGTATATGCAAGATGACCGTGACATTCGCGATGAGCGCAAGGCTCAGGGTCTCGAGCCGGCCTACAGCTTCATGATTCGTTGCCGTCTTCCCAGTGGTATTGCCACGCCTACCCAGTGGCTGCAAATGGACGATGTCAGCAGCGCTTTCGGTAATGAGACCATGAAGCTCACTACTAGACAAACCTTCCAGTTCCACGGTGTTGTCAAGCGTAACCTTCGCGGTGCTATGCGCGGTATCAACAAGGCACTCATGACTACCATCGCTGCTTGCGGTGATGTCAACCGAAATGTCATGTGCAGCTCTCTCCCCGAGCTTTCTGCTTTCCACCGTGAGACGCACGCCGTTTCCACCCGGATCGATCAGCATCTCTTGCCCGCTACATCTGCTTACCATGAAATTTGGCTGAAGGACGACAGTGACAAGAAGGTCCAAGTTGCTGGAGACGCTATTGTTGATAATGAACCTCTTTATGGCCCCACCTATCTTCCCCGAAAGTTCAAGATCACTATCGCCATCCCACCTCGCAATGACACTGACGTCTATGCTCATGACATTGGTCTGATCGCCATCAAGGGATCCGATGGACACCTGGAAGGTTTCAACGTCCTTGCCGGTGGCGGTATGGGCTCTACTCACAACAACAAGAAGACATACCCTCAAACTGGTCGCATGTTTGGATACATCCCTGCCGACATGGTTCACATTGTTTGCGAGAAGATTATGCTTGTCCAGCGTGACAACGGTGATCGCCAGAACCGCAAGCACGCTCGTCTCAAGTACACCATTGATGACCTGACCGTTCCTGTCTTCAAGGAGAAGGTCGAAGCTCTCCTTCCTGACGGATTGAAGTTCGCTGAGCCTCGCCCCTTCAAGTTCTCTGCCAACGTCGACCACTTCGGCTGGATCAAGGATGAGAAGGGGTTGAACCACTTCACCTTCTTCATCGAGAACGGACGTATTGAGGACACTGCTGAATTCACAATGCGTTCCGGCCTTCGTGAGTTGGCGAAGCTCAACAAGGGAGAGTTCCGTCTTACCGGTAACCAGCACTTGATCATTTCCAACATCACAGACGAAGACCTCCCTCTCATCAAGGAAGTTATGGCCAAGCACAAGCTCGACAACACTAATTTCAGTGGCTTGCGTCTTTCCTCCTCCGCATGTGTTGCCTTCCCCACCTGTGGTCTCGCAATGGCCGAGTCCGAGCGTTACCTGCCGGTCCTCGTTTCCAAGCTTGAATCCACTCTTGAGGAAGTCGGTCTGGCTCGTGACAGCATTGTCATGCGTATGACCGGTTGCCCCAACGGCTGTGCTAGACCTTGGCTTGCTGAGGTTGCCTTCGTCGGAAAGGCCTATGGTGCTTACAACATGTACCTCGGTGGAGGATACCACGGCCAGCGTTTAAACAAGCTGTACCGTTCCTCTATCAAGGAGGATGAGATCCTCGATATCATGAAGGGTCTTCTCAAGCGCTACGCCGCTGAGCGCCACACTGATGGTGAAGTGCCCGAGAGATTCGGAGACTTCCTTATCCGTGTGGGTGTTATCAAGAAGACGACTGATGGAACCAACTTCCACGAAGGAGTATGTGCCCCTTAACTTTCCCTCTGTTTCTATCTAGATGTGAATCTAACTTTGCCTTCCAGGTCGCTGAGGAAGATGAGGACGAGGAATAAAGTTGACGAAAAGTATTCTTTGCTAAACAATTTGGATGATTTTGCGCTTTTTCACTTTTGGACTTTTATGATCAGCATTTTTCATGAATTACAAACGTGTTTTCTTTTTATGCCTTCAGATGAATTTCCTTTTCATGATGATGTACTCCATTATTTCTCATCATTTTGGGTCGATTCCACTGTGCACTTAGTCTTTTCATTTCTGCATGTGCCTTTGCTTGTATATACCAGTCATGACCAAAATAGTGTCCACAACTACAGATCTTGCCTAAATTTAATATTGGTTTCAAATCATTTCTTTTGTCCATTTCTAGCTATAGCTGTACCAATACAAATTAAGATCTACAATAGTAAAGACTGTATTTGATGTGTCTGATATCCCTACCACTTCCTCACTGCCAGCCCTAGATGAGGGGAATATATCAAATGGAAGGCGGTGAGCGGAGTACTTTTTTGCAAAATGTTTCTGTAACGCTTATCGACGATGCTCTCACCAGCTTTCATACTGGTTTCGGTATTTTACTGAGGTCAATTTCTCATAATACTGGAATTTCTACCGGGGAATAATATCTATGGCCAACATTTTATAGACTACTCCTCATACCCGATCTACGCAACCATGGACTCCTCCGAAGACCCCGTCGTCGCATCCTATGATGTCCTCCTCACAGACTCCGAAATCTCCAGATTTGTCCTCCAATACCTCGACCGAGACCCCAAAAACCCCTACGATGAAAGCCACAAACAAAAACCGACCGCTCTACGAATGAAGCCGAAAACTGGGCTAGTGGAGGTCGATATTCCCATTGACCCACGTATCAACTACGATGTCACCAAGGGACTGAAGTACGGTGATGCGATGAAGAAAAGCCGAACTGCGCGCGAGGGAGGCGGCCATGGTATGGCTGGTGGATTTAGCACCGGGGCTTCGGCACCAGCGGGGAACCGGGTGAAAATGGAGGGCAATGGAGATGTGGAGATGGGAGGGATGGATAGTAAAGGGGACACGGCTTCTCTATTACGGGTGCAGACGCTTGGAGGAAGAGTTAAGACCGCCGAGGAAGGGGACCCGGTTTATATGTTGGCCGCATTTCGAGGGAGTATGTGTCATCGTCTTCTTTTGGGGTGTCTTGGAGTTACTCTTGCTAACATGGACGGCAGAGAATTTGCACCTGTCTCCTGTTTCCGCTGTTGTGCAGCTGCAACCTCAACTTCACCACCTTGATGCTCTAGAGGAGATACCTTCAAAAGCCAGAGGGAAGGCTCGGAACGAGGGCAATGAGGAGAAGTCCGCCGAAGCCGAAGGTCGCACAATTGATGTCAAGATCAAGGCCGCCGAGGATGGAGAACAGGCCATGGTTGCAGGTAACCTGGAACTTCTGAAGCAGATGCAAGATGAAAAATGGAACTCGTACGACTGGGTTGATGCAGAGGTAATCTTTACCTTTCTTCTTTTATTCTCACACCATAAGCGTTGACTGACTCTATTTTCAGGACTACGAGGCATATCAAACATACGAGGATTACATGATTCACCAGAATATTGATGATCTTCCGCAACTTGAGTCAGCCATCGAGAGCGAAGACTATCTTGACAAGATGAGCGCGCCCCGTATCGATCCAGCACGGCCAGAGATGACCGGTTGGGCCATGAAACAAAACCGAAAGAAGCAGGGAGAAGGTGAAACGCCCGAGAGTGGCACGGAGGAGGGATGATTGAAGTTCTGAAATGAATAAAAGAAAAAAAAAAAAAGCAGAAGCCTATGAAATGCAACGATTGTATGCCTCCTTATTCTATGCACTTCGTCTTGTAGCTTGTTGTAGTCTACAGTTGAAGTCTCATGCTCCATGTGTGTAAACCACGACTTGATATTGAAAACAGGAACCCCTTCAGCAAATTCAGCATAGCCATGGATTAACAGCGTCTTACAGTTCCCAGTAATTGGCAAAATGGATAGAATCCCATCGAAAACACTTTGCCACGCTGCAGCTGATCATCGAGCAAATCAGATGCATCAGGAAGCCAATAGATTGAAGTCACGTGCGCTCACGTGTCTTATCGCGGCGCGCGGCCTGCGCTGCGTTTTTTTGCAGTCCCCGAATTCCCCGTCGATGGATCCTTCGATTTAGAATTTTCCATCATCTATCCTTTTTTTTTTTTTTCTTTCTTTTACTTTTTCCCTTCGAATTTCTTCCCAGTCGGTCAAGGGCTGCAGGACGGCTTGTCAGTACGGATTATCGAATTTCGTTTGATAGGAAGGACTGTTGTTCAAATTGGCATCCCTTTTCCAGTACAGAGTCCATCCTGCACCCATTTCCGCATCTCTAATGGGTTTGTTTTTCGTGCCCTTTATATATCATTAATTATCTATTTATTGTTTTTTGTAATTTTCTACTTTCCCATCTGTTTAATTAGCGGCATTCCTGCATCATGTTATCTCGACTTGCTCGTCAGAAACATGCCTTATTTTACCTCCGGCAGTCAAATGGGCGCCGGGTGTTGGCATCGTCAACAACAACACGGCTACACTCCCATTCGAGTCGACCAATCTCTCTAGCCAATACCTCTTTGAACACTTCGCAGGAACGCCCCCGTCGCCCATCCTTCCAGTCGAACCGAAACCTTGCTACAACCGCAGACCCGGCCACAGTCGATCAGGGATCCTATATTCCCCTGGAATCCAACCCAAACACCTACGATCCATCGGGGCAATGGTCGTCCATGTACCCACCGCCTGCGCAGGACTTCGATCCTTCGTCGTTAATCATTGTGAACGACTTCCTGCAAACACGACCAAGAATTCTCAAGAAGGCGAAAGGAATTGGCGGTGATGAAGAGGAAATGATGGCAAATCTGGATATTTCCCTGAAGGTTGGGCAGTTCGATCGAGCTGCAGCTCTCATCACTCGAATGGGCCAATACTTCCCTATCGGTTCCCCCGAGTATCTCGCTCTACACAATCGTTTTTTGGATGAAATGGTCTCTCACGTGATCATAACAAGGCAAGACAACATGGTTCTACGACTGCAAAGATGGTTTGAATATGATATGCCCAATGGAGATGTGAAACCGGACACAACAACCTTTGCGATTATGATACGGATGGCTTTGCGCATGTTGCACGGCCCCAAGCGTGACCGAGCAGTGCGGCGGTATTGGGGAATGGCCAAGGAAAACAAGGTTGAGGATGAGGTCCTGGCGGTTCCTGTTCTCTCTGAATTAGAACTTGGTGAACTCTCTGAGGTAGGTTTTCGTCGTGCTGTCGTCTGCAATCGTCAAATACTAACTGGTTCAAGATTTGCTCAGATGACCTTCAGCGGGTTATGGGTTACGCAGACCTGGAACCCTCACCCTCAGAAATCGATAATACCCCAGAAGTGAAAGGTGTAGACCAGAAGGGTCTTGGTCTTTCTACACTGAAAGACTCTCTTTCTCCATTTATGGGCAATTCCAATATCCCCGTTCCTTCGAATCCCGAGTACACAGAAGAGGAGAACAAGGAATTGCATCGACAACTTCGACAGCAGCAAATTGAGGCCAGTTCTATCAGTTCGTCCTTGGAACGCTGGCGTCAGGAATATGGTGAGAGACAAAAAGCAGGCATTGATTCCACTGGGGGTGGGAAACGGCTCGGCCACATCATGAACCAATGGCATACTAGTCTTGCAACCAGGATTCAGGAAGAAATCAAACTCATGGAACAGGCTGAAAGCAACCCTGTTCGGACCCGTGCAGACAAGGAGCGCTGTGAGTATGGTGTGTTCTTGAAGACTCTTGACACAGACCGCCTGGCTGCACTCACTATCCTCGCTGTCATGTCAACATTTAGCCGAGGCGGCATGGAAAAGGGTTTAAAGCTCTCCGCAATTGTCTCGACTATTGGTAAAGATCTCCAAGATGAATTGATAGCAGAGGCTACTTTGAAAGAAGCTGGATCCGATGCTCGGCGCATTAAGGCGCTCAAACAGATTTTTGCGGGACGCAAACAAAAAGAGAACAGAATGCGATGGCAGAACTTGGTTCAAAATCAGCAAAAAGAGGATCCCACAGTTGTTTGGCCGCCTCGGGTGATTGCGAATGTCGGGGCTGTTCTAATGAGCTTGCTGTTCGAGGTTGGAAAAGCACCTGTTATGGTTGAGAATGCGGAGACAAAAAAGAAAGTACTCACCATGCAACCCGCATTCCAGCATGCCTACCAAATCACTTGGGGTAGACGTTCAGGACTTATCCATTTGCACCCTGCAATTGTGAAAATCCTCACGAAGGAGCCGACTGCTGACCTCTTGGGTCGACATTTGCCCATGGTCTGCAAGCCCAAGCCGTGGAAGGGTGCAAAGGAAGGAGGATACATGCTCTACCAAACAAACATCATTCGTACAACACCGGGTGAGACCTTACAGCCCGCTTATATTAAAGCTGCTTTGGAAAACAACGGTCTCGAGCAGATTCGTGCAGGCTTGGATATTCTCGGCAGCACTGGATGGGTTATCAATCGGAATGTCTTCGATGTTATGCTTGAGGCATGGAATTCTGGTGACCCTGTTGCCAGCATTGCTCCATTGGAGCCAGATTTGCCACTGCCCGAAAAGCCAAGTCCAGAACAGGGCTACGAGGCCGAAAAGGAGTGGGATAACCAGATGCGCGACATTGAGAATCGCAGGGCCGGTTTGCATTCGCAGCGATGCTTCCAAAATTTCCAGATGGAAGTTGCCCGCGCCTACAGAAACGAGGCATTCTATCTCCCCCACAACATGGACTTCCGTGGACGCGCTTACCCCCTCCCTCCGTATCTCAATCAGATGGGCGCAGACAATTCTAGGGGACTTCTTTGCTTCAAAGACGCCAAGCCGCTTGGAGCCAGTGGCTTGAGATGGTTAAAGATCCAAATTGCTAATCTGTCTGGTTTCGACAAAGCTAGTATGTCAGAGCGTGAGCAATTTGCCATGGATCAATTGGACAATATCCTTGATTCCGCAAACAATGGCCTACACGGCAAACGGTGGTGGCTCAAGGCAGAAGATCCATGGCAGTGCTTGGCGGCCTGCTGCGAGCTACGAAATGCCCTTCGCTACTCCGACCCTACCGAATACCCTTCTCGCTTGCCTATCCACCAGGATGGTTCATGTAACGGACTTCAACACTATGCAGCTCTTGGCGGTGACAGCGCTGGTGCCCAGCAAGTGAACCTCGAACCATCAGACCGCCCATCCGACGTGTATACTGGTGTCGCTGAGTTCGTCAAAAAAGCAGTCGCGCGCGAGGCAGCCGCAGGTAATCAGACCGCCAAGATTCTAGAGGGAAGAATCACCAGAAAAATTGTCAAGCAGACGGTCATGACAAACGTCTATGGTGTGACCTTCATGGGAGCCATGAGGCAGGTGCGCAAGCAGCTTATCGATCATTACCCCGATCTTTCTGCCGAAGAGAAAAAGAACGGGGCTTTGTATATTGCTCGCAAGATCTTCGAGGCTCTTGGAACAATGTTCAACGGAGCCCACGACATCCAGTACTGGCTTGGTGATTGCGCGAGTCGTATCACCACTTCGTTGTCCCCTGATCAGATTGAAGAGATTGCCAAGGAGGCCTTGACACCCGCTAAGTCTTCCAATGGGATCAAAGAAAAGATTAAAGATCCTTCTGAAAAGTTCAGGTCCACCGTGATCTGGACAACACCACTGGGTCTTCCTGTCGTTCAGCCATACCGTACTCGCAAGGCTCGACGCATTGCCACCAGCCTGCAGAATCTGAGCATTGTTGACTCAAATTCCGATGATGTGGTGTCGAAGCGCAAACAACTTCAAGCCTTCCCTCCCAATTTCATCCACTCGCTCGATGCCACCCACATGATAATGTCCGCCAATGCCTGCCACCAGGCTGGTCTCACATTCTCGGCTGTCCACGATTCATTCTGGACACACGCCGGCGACGTCGATTCGATGAACTATATTCTCCGAGAGGCCTTTGTCCGCATGCATTCCGATGATGTCATCAAGAGACTGCACTCTGAGTTCCAAGTCCGTTATGGCAACAATTTGTTCCTTGCAAAGGTTGATGCAACCAGCAAGATCGGACGGGCAATCCGCGCCATGCGTCGCACGACTGCGAAGTCAGCCAAGATCCAGGAGCTCCTAGACGAGTATAAGAGGCAGACTCTCTTGAAGTCAGACGATCCAGAGTTGCAGGCCCAGGGACGCGAGATGAAGACGGCAGGCAGTGTCTTCGAGGAGATGGGTGGAAATGATAGTGACCTCGCCATCGCAAGTTCACTCGGTGAGACCGTCGTCGGTCATGTTCCCGAAGATTTGGAGTCGGCTGAACGGAAGCCCTCCGGGATAGACATGGACGCATCTGATCCTGCGATTGAGACCTTGTTCTCATCGGACTTTGAAACGCTTGGGTCGAAAACCAATGATATCGAAGATGCCGCTGAGGCCACTCCCGACGAACCGCAGGACCAGGCAGCAGCGCCCAAGAAGAAGAAGCAGAGTAAGAACTATGTGTGGTTCTGGCTGCCCTTGCGGTTCCGCGAAGTCCCCGCCAAGGGAGAGTGGGATCTGACACGGATCCGAGAGAGTCAGTATTTCTTTTCATAAACTGACAGCCTGTCGACATTTTAGACGCATTGGGATGGCGTTGTACAATTTGTGTTTTGGATTTGAAGCCAAAAAGTTGATATCTATTCTTCCCCCGGCGTTGTTTTCTATATCTTTGTGGTTCCCTTGTGTACATCTACCATTGGCCTGCACCCCTCTCCGAGCACTTGTTTTTATATTCTTGTCACTTTATTATCTTTTAATATTTCGGATACCACTTGGATCAACATACATGTACAGCAATATTGGATTTGTTTATACGCGGGGGGTTGGGAAGAGAAAACCATCATGTACGATTATAGACGAATATGACTTGACATTAATACTAGACTCATGCGATCCATATTGCTTTTTCCCCTCCACATGGCTGTTTCTGCACGTGGCTGCAGTGACACCAAACAATCTCTCCGGGGCATCCTGAAGCATTTCCCAATCTGGCAATTCTCAGACGGTCGTTTCCCCGCCTTTTTCTTCCCCAGCCAGATCAAAAGGCCTCTTCTTCTTTTTCCTCTTCTTTGTTGCTTCTGCTGTCGTCAAGTTTTCTCCGCATTTCAGTCTGGGCATTTATCTCTCTTTGTCGTCTCGGTCAGACTCATCTCGATCTTTGTGGTCCATCGCATCCCCGCTTTTTCTTCAACTCCACATTTTCTCACTTTCCCGCTTGTTTCTCCCGCTTTTCTTCGGTCTCCGGAATGATGATTCTCCCTCATTGCTGACCACTTTCTCTTCTTCTCCCCTATCGCGTTTTCCCTAGACTCTCTCTTTTCTTCCTTCCTTTTACCGTTCTTGGGGCCTCAGGGCCTTTTGAGTCCTCGTCACTGTCCCTCTATGTCTGGGTAGATCGGTCTCCGAACGCCCAGTGAGGATGTCGACAACCTCGGTCCAGCAGTTCGCCAACTCCTACTCTCCTTTCCCTACTGGAGCGCATCCAGGTCGAATGTCGCAGTCTCAAACTTCCGGGCTGGATACCCTAGCCGAGGGTTCACAATATGCTCTGGAACAATTGCAGCTGGCGCGCGAGGCTGGAAACGCCACTGTGAATACGAGTGAGACTCCCCTCGCCCGGTCCAAAAACCAGCCGTCCTACCATGATGAAAATAGCGCGGCTCCTGGTTTCAAGAGTCCGTCTCAACGGGATCCTCTCGCCGACGCTCGTTCTACAATTCGCAAAGGTTCTACGTCGGCTCCTGTTCGTCGGAGAATCAGCCGGGCTTGCGATCAATGCAATCAGCTGCGGACCAAATGCGACGGGCAGAACCCTTGTGCACATTGCGTTGGTGTGTAGTAGCTCTATGATACGTATAGAAGGCTTCCCCTAACTTGGTACAGATTTCGGATTGACTTGCGAGTATGCTCGAGAGCGAAAAAAACGAGGGAAAGCATCCAAGAGGGATCTTGCTGCCGCAGCGGCTGCGCCACCATCGAATACCGGCTTGGACAGAGAAAGCGCTTCATCAGGACAGGCACAATCTCCTTCGGAGGGGCTACAACCACAGGGAATGAATGGGCGATACGATCCGACATTTGACGAGGCCACCCGAAATCTCACTGCGCCTACGCCGTCGCAACTGCGGCATCCCGAGGTGCCAGGTATGGTCGGGATACAAAACTCTCAGCAAACTCAGCAAACTCAGCAACATGCACAACCACCGATGGGTGCTGGTATGGACACACTATCCTTGAATGGCTTTGGTGCCTTGAACGAATCAAATCGACCTCCGATGTCCGTCCCAGACCTCCGATCGCTACAGATGCTGCACTCATCTAACACAAACCCCCGGTCGACACTTCTTCCTTCGCATGGGTTCAACACTGGGTCATATCATGACAATGCGTACTCTTTGATGAATCCGCAGGAGGCAAATTCGACCTTGATCAACCAGTTTCGTCTCGGAGGCTCTGCAGAAAATCCAGCGGCCCCATTTCTGGGACTCTCACCTCCAGCTCAATCGCCTGGCTGGCTCCCTCTTCCTTCTCCATCCCCGGCTAATTTCCCTTCTTTCAGCATGCCTCCGTTTTCCAGCGCATTAAGATACCCTGTTTTGCAACCGGTTTTGCCTCACATCGCGTCCATTATCCCTCAGTCGCTTGCCTGTGATCTCCTGGATGTCTACTTCACAAGCTCTTCCTCTTCTCATCTATCACCCCAGTCCCCCTATGTGGTGGGATATATCTTTCGAAAGCAATCCTTCCTTCATCCGACCAAACCAAGGGCATGTAGTCCCGGCCTCTTGGCCAGCATGCTCTGGCTGGCCGCTCAAACTAGCGATGCCGCTTTCTTAACGTCGCCGCCGTCTGCTCGTGGAAGGGTATGTCAAAAGCTGCTGGAGCTAACAATCGGCCTGCTCCGGCCGTTGATCCATGGTCCCGCCCCCGGGGAGACGTCTCCTAACTATGCTGCCAATATGGTCATCAATGGAGTTGCCCTAGGAGGTTTCGGTGTCTCGATGGATCAACTTGGAGCCCAAAGCAGTGCGACGGGTGCCGTGGATGATGTCGCAACCTACGTTCATCTGGCCACTGTTGTCTCTGCAAGTGAATACAAGGCAGCCAGTATGCGTTGGTGGACTGCCGCCTGGTCTTTGGCGCGAGAATTGAAGCTGGGCCGGGAATTACCACCCAATGCCACTCAGTCACAGCAGGATGGAGAGCGAGAAGCTGACCCAGAGGCTGATCTATCCAAGCGTCAACTACCGTCCGTTATCACATCCATGGCAAACGGCTCAAGTAGCGCAGCTATCAATTTCACGGAGGAAGAACGTGAAGAGCGACGGCGCATTTGGTGGTTGTTGTATGTGACGGATCGCCATCTGGCACTCTGCTACAACCGGCCCCTGACACTGTTGGATAAGGAATGTGAAAGGTTATTACAACCGATGAACGACGATCTGTGGCAGGCTGGTGATTTCCCCAGCGCCAGTTATCGACAAATGGGGCCACCTATAGAGTGCACAGGACACAGCATGTTCGGGTACTTTTTGCCCTTGATGACAATTCTTGGGGAGATTGTCGACATGCAACACGCGCGAAACCATCCTCGGTTTGGCCTCAGCCTCCGCAACAGCAGCGAGTGGGACAATCAAGTGCGAGAAATTACCCGTCAGCTGGACCTGTACGGGCAGAGCCTGAAGGAGTTCGAAGCCCGATATACCAGCAGCTTAGCATTGGGAGCAACGGAGAATGAGGCCGTCATGGAAGGGCCTCACCTTGACCATGTTAGTCCATCTGGGCATTCGAGCAGCACTGTCGGATCCCGCATGAGTCAGTCGATTGTACATACCAAGATGGTGGTCGCATACGGTACACACATTATGCACGTCCTTCATATCTGCCTGGCCGGTAAATGGGATCCAATTGACATGCTAGACGATGAGGACCTGTGGATTTCCTCGGAATCGTTTATTTCAGCCATGGGTCATGCTGTCAGTGCGGCCGAGGCAGCTGCAGATATACTGGAATATGATCCAGACCTCAGCTTTATGCCATTCTTCTTTGGCATCTATCTCTTGCAGGGTAGCTTCTTGTTGTTGTTAACTGCCGACAAGCTACAAGGCGACGCCAGCCCCAGTGTAGTTCGAGCTTGTGAGACGATTGTTCGTGCGCACGAGGTCTGCGTAGTGACTCTCAACACTGAATACCAGGTATTTCTTCCCATTGTCGCATTATCATGTTTGAATTCTAACCTTTGACAGAGAAATTTCCGCAAGGTAATGCGCTCGGCTCTCGCGCAGGTACGCGGGCGTGTGCCCGAAGACTTTGGGGAACAGCAGCAACGCAGGCGAGAAGTACTTGCTCTTTACCGCTGGGCCGGTGATGGCAGTGGTCTCGCTTTGTGATAAGCTCTTTGATGTTTCCTGTCTTGAACTATACCCCCATCAGACGCATACGAAGTGATATGGTTCTGGTAAAAAGGTAATGTGGTCCAAGTGACCTGGTGTTTGGAGTTTATAGGAAGGAGATGGAAAATATCCTTTGTTCTACTTTAATTTATGTTTATTCCTTGTCGCCTCTAGCTCAAAGCCTTATATCAGTGGCTGGAAGGACAAGGTCATTTTGGCATATATGTTGCATCTATATTTCTCTTCGCTGTTGTTGACAGTGATATCTGTACATTATCGCCGATTCATTGTTTCATACCCTTGATATCCTTTATATAAATGAACGTCTTCTACCAATCCAATGTCTTGATTTCTAGATGCAAATCTCTAACACTCGGGAATAGGAGTCAGGAGTTCCTCTCGATCCAGCGCATTTTCCAAGTTCTGGATGGCCAACAACTCCATATTCCTTTTTGTTTCGACCGTCGTGGTACCTATATGAGGGAGAATCATGATTCTCTTGTCGTTGAGAAGCTCTGGATGCACTCGGGGTTCATTTCCATACACATCCAGCCCTGCAGAGCTGACCTTGCCTGTTTGCAGGGCTTTGACCAACGCTTCTTCGTCTAGCAGAGAACCTCGTGCGGTGTTTATAACCACGACACCGTCTTTCATTTTCTGAAACTCTTGTTCAGATATCAGATGATGTGTTTGGGGGGTTGCAGGGAGGTTCAGACTGAGGATATCGGAGAATTGTAAGACTTGGTCGAATGTTGCATACGATGCTACGCCTTTCCGTTGTTAATTGAACATCATGAATGCATTAATCAATTAGGATAGGCTCACCTTCCTTTTCCTCTGGAAGTCTTGATCGATTGTGGTACATGATCTTCATTCCAAACGCAGCTGCCCGTCGTGCAAGAGCCTTGAATCGTTCAGACATGACACGCAAGAATTGCTGAATCCGAAACCATACCTGACCAATACTTCCCATCCCAATAATCCCAAGAATCTTTCCCCCCGGATCATTTCCCAAAGGCGTATCACCTTTCCACTGGCCATTCCTGATCGCTTCAAGAGGTATCATCGCACGCCGTAAAGCCCCCAGAATCAAGAACATGGCCACATCGGCCGTCGCACCCGCTACCACACCCGGGGTATTAGATACCTTGATCCCCCGCTGCGCAAGAGCATTGATATCCATCCCATCATACCCAGCTCCGTTAAGGCCGATGAATTTCAATGTCCTGGGTAGGGTTGAGATGAGCTCGTGATCGAAGTGGCCCGTTTCCGTGATGGAGTTGGTCCGGTAGAGACCCACGGTGCCATCGAAGAGGCCGAATTTGCAGCTGGAGAGGAATTGGGCTCTGTTGCCTCGGAATTGGAGGAGTTTGTATTTGGAGTGGAGATTGTCCCATTCTCGTTGGCAGTGTTGAAGTTGGCCGATAAGGAGGAGACTTGGCTTGGATGATGTTGTGAGCTGTCTAGCCAGAGATGGGGATTTGAGGGTGGTGTTCATGGTGGAATATTAGGCTGTCGAGAGTTATCGAGATGGAAATGAGTCCCATCTTCTGGGGTGTTGAGATGCTCGGCCAAATGCGCCGATAAACGACAGCCTCGGGCATCAAGACCGATTCTCTCATTCTTTCTTCAAATCACGCAACTTCAGATCTCTTTTCTTGAATGCATTCATCATCTTTGATGCTATACAACTATTCTGGTCTTCGCCAATAATGGTCCATCGATTAATACTATGACGCCATGCTGAGATAAGCCTCGATAAGCTTCATCTTCGTTTCTTCCTTTGCTCCGCATCAACAGTCTTCTTTCTTCAGAATCAGAGCAATGGAGGAATTATAGCATAGACTATCATGGCCAGTCTCACAAGACCCCTCCGACTTCTTTCCTCTCGATATCTCCCTCTGCGGCTGTCTTCTCCTCAGAAGCGATTCATCGGAATTCCCCCCGCATTTCTGCTCGACGAATACATCCCACGCTATCAACTTCACACCTCGGTTGATTCGGCGAAGAAACGTTCGCGAGCCTATGCGCATCTCCAAGAATGCAATCTTTGTCCGCGTCGCTGTGGTGTGAATCGGTATGAGGAGACAGGAACGTGTCTAATCGGCGCCGAAACGGCCAAGGTCAATGTCATTGCGCCGCATCGCGGGGAAGAACCGTGTATCCAGGGATATCATGGGAGTGGATCAGTCTTCTTTTCGGGGTGTAATCTACGGTGTGTGTTTTGTCAGAATCATGTATGGTTTTGCTCTCTTTGATTCTACCCTGGACAACTCTGACCGATATGCTTTCTACTAGGATATCGCCCACCAACGAAATGGTTTCGATTTGACCCCCGAAGAATTAGCGGATTGGTATATCAAACTTCAGCAGGTCGGAAATGTACACAATATCAATCTGGTTACGCCTGAGCATGTGGTTCCACAGGTTGCGCTATCCATCTTAGCTGCTCGTGATATGGGGTTGAAAATCCCCATCATCTACAACACATCGTCTTTTGACTCTCTTGAATCGCTAGAGCTCTTAGATGGTCTAGTTGACATCTACCTGCCTGATTTCAAGGTGTGGAAGAATAGCACCTCGAAGCGCTTATTGAAAGCCGACAACTACACCGAGACCGCGATGGAAAGCATCAAGGCCATGCACGAACAAGTGGGCGACTTATCTTTCACATCTGATGGTATCGCCAAGAAAGGCGTTTTGCTGCGGCATCTGGTCATGCCCGGCAAGGAAGATGAAGGCCGGGAGATTATGCGCTGGCTGGCCGAGAACGTCTCCAAGGATCTCTACGTGCACATAATGGAGCAATACCATCCCGATGCGCATGTGGGCAAGAAGAAACGAGTCGTCAAGGATAGTAATGGCGAGGAGAAAGGAGAGGTAAGATATGCTGAGATCAACCGTGCAGTTCGTGATGAAGAACTTGGCACCGTCAAGGACGCCGCGCTGGCCGCTGGTCTATGGAGGTTCTGTGAAGTCAATGAGCATGGTGGATTCCACTTGTGAGGTGCTGTTGACTTGTATACATTATCGCCAACGCTCTGGGGATTATGCAGCGCACCCGGTTCAGCCGTTAAAGAACGGATGGATATATTTATGCACTTGGTGTTTACTTACAGGTGTGTGCATAGTATTGCGTATACCTGCGAAACCCAGCATACACTATAATGTATGTGTTTTGTTACTATCTATCTCTCTTGTCTGGCGTAAACTGCTTACAGATGATATGTTTATATATAGTGGCGGGAGACATTGTACAGTACAAACCGCAGGAAATGATGCAATCTAGCAGGAAAAATAAAATAGTTCAATATAAGCCCGAAAAATAAATTAAATTTAGATGACGAGTTTCTGTATGGAGTATGGGGTGGATGATATCAGCAGCAGTATGATGGATGATGGATCAGATGGATCACTGATCAGCTGCTAAGATCTACACGAGCTGAGCTGCAAGGCAAACACCCCCAACTTTTCTTTCTCTCCATTTCAATTTCATCTCTCTACCTCAACACCAACCTGACCATGCTGCATTCTTTCTCCTACAGCTTGTGCTAACCTATTAGACTTTTCTAACCACGTACAACTGCGACAACTAACGAAGCACGATGAAGCCCATCATCGGCGTCCCCATCGTGGTAACCCTCCTCTACCGCGCCTATTCTCGGAAATCCCTCACACCTCTAGGCCTCGTCGCTGCAGGTTTAACGGCCACCGCCCATGCCGCTCACCCATGGGCTACTCCAGTTGCGTTATTGGCAGTGTTTTACTTAGCTGGCACGAAAGCTACTAAGGTGCGTACCGCTCCATCTTCATTTGCCCATGTTCGACCCCAGCTCATTCGGAATGCTTCCAATAGGTCAAGCACGACATCAAAGCCCGTTTAACGCTTTCAGCGACCGGTACAGATGGCGGTGAGGGTCAACGTACTCATATCCAGGTATTGGCGAACTCGATCGTGGCCACGGTGTTGATCCTACTACACACGCGTCTACTTGCCATCGGATCAAGCGGGGAACCTTCTTGCTTCTCGCGCGGTCGAGATGCCGGTGGTTTATTGGTCGTTGGAATTGTGGCGTATGTTTCCTACATGCTTAGGATGTGTTTGAAACAATACTGACTGATCTGTGTTATAGTAACTATGCCGCCGTCTCCGCCGATACCTTCTCCTCTGAACTCGGGATTCTCTCCAAATCCAAACCACGCCTCATCACATCTCCTACGCTCCGCGTGGTCCCACCGGGAACAAACGGCGGTGTAACTGCCGCAGGTCTCCTGGCGGGCGTCGCCGGGGCGTTTTTGGTTGCTCTAACCTCTGCGGCGTTGATGCCGTTTTGCTCTGACAACGAGGGAGGATTTGACTGGAAGGCACGCGGCCAATGGATTCTGGCCATGACAATCTGGGGCGGTCTGGGCAGTGTCCTGGATAGTGTGCTTGGTGGATTACTGCAGGCCAGTGTGGTAGATAAACGATCCGGCAAGATCGTCGAAGGCACAGGGGGTAACAAGGTCCTGATCCATCCCTCGTCCACTAGACCCGAAGGTGCAGCGGAGGCATCTGGAATATCCCGCGACTCACTGCATCTACGCAACACCGAGGCTATTGCCAATGCGGCTGCGCTGAAAGGAACCAAGGCTACAGGTACATCGGTGGGCACGAAGCCTGGTTCAGTGGATGACCCAAGCCATGAAAGCCGTCGAATCGAGAGTGGAAGTGATTTGTTGGATAACAATGCCGTGAATGTTCTAATGGCGGCGACCATGAGCTTCGGAGCTATGGGCATTGCGAGCTGGTTGTGGGAGATACCTATGAGCGGAATTATTGGTGTTTGATATAGTAATTATCTATGGAGGGCACATTGGCATATACACGCGGGTTTAAACTGAATAATGAGCCATGAACACAAAAAATAGAACCTCTTTCGTCCTCTTAGCTTTTAAAGTGACGGGAGGGAAAAAAAAAAAGAAAAACAAAAAACGATGACCAGACTGGGGTTCGATCCCAGGACCTTATCGGATTCAGTTGAAGAACTGTTAACGATACGTGATAACCAACTACACCATCCGGCCGCTGTTGAAAGAAAGCGCCATTTAGTGCTTTATCTTTCTCACCATGCCGAGTACAGGCAATGATAGGTTGAGATGAAGTATAGAAATTCAAATAATGTCTGCATTTACCTTTGACCAAGAATTTTCCCTAGTGTAGGGTTAAACTACATATTAAAATCAAGATTTAGAATCCAGTTTCGCCTTTTCTAAAACCTTACGCCCCAGTCTGCGTCGTTCTCGTGCCAAATGGCCCATCGTGAGACGCTTATTTCTCTTTTGTTCTTGCATAGCTTCCCATTCCTTCGCTGATATAATGATCTCCCATGGCTGTTCAGAAAAGATGTGAGTTAAACGAGTACGTGTTGCCAGTCCCCGCGGATACCTCCGGAATTCAAACGCGCTCTGCTCGGGACGGTGGGGGGATTTATTCGATGCAGTCAGCCAATTCATCTCCCACTGCGACTCAATGTTTTTGATTGATGGAGGGCCTTGACGACGCCATTTCTTTGGCTCGTCCCTTGGGTGGATGTGCTGATCTTCTGATTCTTGCGTTAGCCATACTGTAGGGCGGCGCACGTTTCTTTTTCCCTTCTTCTCATTTGGATCTTTGCTTTTCCCTGCCTTGCTGGGTGGGGTGCGAAGGACTCGGTCGTGGGAGATGGGGCTTCGTTTGCGTTTGGTTGTTTTTCTTGATGATTTGCGGGTTGGTATTTCGCCCTTGTTGTGCTTGTTTCTGGCTTTCTTGTACTCAGCGACAATGGCCTTGGAGTGCTCGAGCAAGATACGCTCTCTAACTTCTGGCGTGAGTCCCTGCTGGAAAAGACTCATGTACAGTGGAAGATCTTCTTCCCCTTCTGGATACTCCCCGAGACACCGACGTGCGCCAAGGAAGTGTTGATATGCGTCTGTATAGTTGCCTCGGGCATACTCGATGCGTCCAAGCCAGAAGATGCACCGCGCAATCACAGGCTCCTGACCAAGTCTCTGAGCGACTTCAAGAGCCTGCATAACATATGCCTGTGCATCATTATCATGACCGTTGTCAAGAAACATCCGTGCCCTTAATAGGGTGAAATTGATGTCGTGCTTGACCATCATTGCCTCAAACTCCGCAATCTCCATAAGAGGTGTTTTGGATTTTCGTGGCCAGATTGAGGGGTAAATACAATGATTGCCTCCACTCTTTGGTCGACGCTTGCTTTTTCCACCCGGGTCGTTGTGATCCTTGCATCTTCGAGAGGGGAGTGCATTAGCTGCAAGTACAGGTGTCATGCATCCCACTTCGGGTAACAATGCTCTATTCCCTGCTGTCTCAAGGATAGGAGATGGGCAAATTTCTAAACTTCTGGTATCCTGGTATTTGTTTTCAATAACCAAAGAAGTTTCAGTATTCTTAGCCGGCTCTGAAGATCCTCGAGACATCTCAGGCGGTGGATCGCTGTACTTAAGAAGGAATTGTGTCCATCTAGATGATTGAGTAGGATCAACTGGGGTTTCTTGGGACGATGCAGCTGCTTCGTAGTCAGAAGATCGAGACATGTACGAGTTTTGTGGATGATCAGTATCGTTCTGCGTAATGGGGCTCGACTCTTTGACTGAGTTTTCGGTTGCTGGACGGCCCCCCGCAGGGTCCTGAGGCACATCCATTGTATGTAATCGCTGGTGAATACAATAGAATACCTTGAGATGTTTAACTGTTGTAAGTGTTAGCTAGAAGGTGGGGAAGATAAAGCAAGTTTGATGTTTGATGAAGGAACAGTCTCAGAAGATGTTTAGAAACAGGTTCACTTTTTAACCCAGGGTGACGGGCTACATTTATATCGTCGGTATGATGGAGAACAGTAGGTCATATGCCACAGATAACGCAAATCCATGCCATTGTTCTGTGAGACAATGTCTTGGTTGTTTTGTTTGCTGGCTCTTTGTTCTCGATCAGGTGATGATCTCTCTCTCGCTCCAGTATTCTGCTTTCTTTGACGCTAAATTCTGGAATAAATTGATTTGATTTCTATTATTGCTTTAAAGAAAAAGACTATTTACCGATATCCTGCCTAGTGTGATTAGTCGAGAATGGGGGTTGAGTGATATCAGTATAGGGGAAAGAAGTCATGAATATCTACAAAAATCAGCTTATATTGAGTCACGAATATTAACACTTCTTTTTGTATTTGATTTGAATTAATATCCTAGTCTATTGGGGGAAGGGAAAAGGAAAAAAAACCAACTCTACCTACCTCTGACATCTTACTGCGGAAATGCAGAGTTGACAGAACCTCCGCACCAGTGATGGACAATTGACTACCAATGAAATATTCCCAGATAGGCCCTAGTTAATTGTCGTCAGAGTTTCCCGGCTCAGGTAGCTCGCTCTCGAGTGCTCTCATTCTGTTGGTAAGATTCGCTCTTGCGCAGCTGTAAATCGCTTCTCTTTGAAGCCGCTGAGCCTCCATGTAATAGCCCGGAGTATGGAGAGCCCCTGAAAAGGCCCAATAAGCTTCATTCCCAAACCCCTGTGCTAGGAGATTCTTTCCACGAAGGAAATGAGCTATACCCCTGACTTTTTCGGCATGGATATTGCTGTCTCGGTCCATTCGAAGGAAAACATCGTCCAAAATCTGATTTGATTCATCATACTTCCCAAGGTAGTGGAACACGGCGGCTATGAAAGAACAGCATTTCAATCTGTTCAGCGACGATAATTGTTGATTGCAGTGTATACTAGAGGCGATTGTCAGTGCCAGATGCGGATGTCCGTTTTCCCACTCACTCTCTGGACTTCCAAGCAGTTCCAAGTTGTGGCCTGAGCGAAGCCAGGTCGAGTCAATCCACCCCATGCCAAAACTTGCACACACATTGGGGGGCTGGGAAAGTACAATGGCCGACTCACCGGGGCTCTCCACAGAGTCGGGCGCGCGAGGCTGGGCTTGTTCGAGAAGGCGATCGTATTCGGCAAGTAAGGCATCTTGGAAATGGACAGTGCCCAATGCGTGAGATAAACTATCCTCAAGCGCATTTCTGTCCTCACCAATTTGATAAAACATATTGAGCACTTCAAAGTGGTTGCGTGTCACCTCAAAGCGCGGTCGAGACCGAAAGGGATTCCTAGCTTGCAGTCGTTGAAAGATGTTGAGTACGGTGACAGGCATGATTTATGACCGATTTTGAAGATTTCGAACAGGATGGAATGGATTTGAAGATAGATGGGTGGATAAGTGGATAGGTAGATAGATCAATAAATCCATGGATAGATACTTTGGTCATCAAGGGAATCAGCCCTCTACTTATAGGCGCTGGATGCTCACTGTCTGAGTTAGCCTGAACAAACACATTGTCACTCACTGATGTTAAATGTAGACAACGGAATGAAAGAAAAGACAATTGCTTTATGTATCCAGGTGACCTTGACAATTCATTGTCTATGTGTCGTGGACCAGCAAGCCTGGTTCTTTGTTTGGAGCCCTTGAAGTCTTCGGGTCTGACGGTTTTATTTGATATTGCGAGCAGTAAGTAGTCATATAGTGACGGTTTTGGAACAATTTCAAGAACAAAAGCCTTTGATTCTCACTTCTCAAATGACCTTGACAGTTCATTATTTGTGTCTTGAACCAGAGACAGCTTTTCGGCTTGAGGGACGTTACTCTTCAAAGAAACCTAGACATGATGATCCATCGGCAACTGAAAATGAACCCTACTCGACTCAGATGGCATGACTCTTTTGTTTGCATCTTCTGTTGTCGGTTGTCGGTCGTCGGTGTTTGTCTTGATGTTGCAGACACGAAGATCAGTGGAGAATGCAAACACATCAAATCAAAGCAAAACAAAGCAAAGCAGCCAAACAGAGCAAACAAAGCAAACATACGTCATCATGTGTTGGAAATCGCATCCGGCCAGAAACAACTCCCTCAGCTCTCTCCTCAACCCTGGCAGATCTCCATTCGTCTGCGTCACTAACAGTGGCTCTGTTGTTTCATTGGACTCTTGAGTGCGTTGGGAGGCACAAAGGTTGCATCCTTACCCTCTAATTGTCATAGGACCGGATGCAGACCTCTCCCCATTGCCTCAATGTCAGGCGCTCGATATATCGCGGCTGTCGTGGAAGGCCCTGTGCGGGGTGTTTGCATGACATGCATCCACGATGGAGAATGGACGATTCAGGAACGCACTGGATGCTCGAGGATCGTACCGTCCACTTCTTGCTGCGTATTGAGAAAGTCTAACTCTGGACTAATCTTGGAAGCAGCAGCTCTTTCCCATTCCATCTCGAGAAGGTTAGGTCATTCCACTCGGGCTTTCTGGACTGCCCCTCTTTCAATTTCCAGGGAATCCGATTTCTTTTCTTTTTTCTTCCTTTCTCTCTCTTTTGCTTTGTATGTCTTATATAAAGAAGACTAGTTCTGGATAATCCGAAGCTCATTGTTTTTCTCATTTTGATCTGAGTCCATTCTGTTACTCTTCATATAGCTTCGTACTGAGGAAATGTCTCCATCCGTCTGCTATCCCGACAAGGTCGATATCGTCGACATCCGTGAAAATGATGTGGATTTCTCCCTGGTGAATGAAATCCATAACAGCATTAATCCCCCAGAGGGCAGAAGACGATCAATGCCTACAATACTACTATATGACACTCAGGGACTTAAGCTGTTCGAGGATATTACTTATTTAGACGAGTACTATTTGACCAACGCGGAAATCGAAGTTCTGGAGAACAACGCCAGGAGACTCGTTGAGCGGATACCAAACAATGCGCAATTACTGGAGCTGGGTAGTGGGTGTGTTGTCCTTTTGATCGATACCGGTGGCCGATAGGAATCCGCCAAACCGATAATATACCACATTCAGAATTTAACAACGTCTCTAGGAACCTTCGAAAGATCGAGATACTGCTCAGAGAATTTGAGCGCACAGGGAAGAATGTGGACTACTATGCTTTGGACCTGTCTTTGTCCGAGTTGCAGCGTACATTCTCTGAGGTCTCTGTCAACGAGTATGTGCATGTGGGACTTCACGGTCTCCATGGAACGTATGATGATGCTCTTGCTTGGTTAAGTAACCCTGAAAACCGGAAGCGCCCAACTGTTGTTATGTCAATGGGGTCCTCTATTGGGAACTTTGGTCGTTCAGAGGCATCACAGTTTCTCAACGGATTTTCCAAGGTACTGGGCCCATCTGACCTCATGGTGATTGGTCTGGATGCTTGCAAGAATCCAGAAAAAGTACACAGGGCCTACAATGATAGCAAGGGGATCACTCGTCAATTCTACGAGAATGGGTTGGTGCACGCAAATTCAGTCTTAGGGTTTGAAGCTTTCAAACCTTCTGAGTGGGATATCGTAACCCGCTACGAATATACTGAAGGACGACACCAGGCATTCTACTCTCCTAACAAGGATGTGACCATCAATGGAATCACCATTCCAAAGGGCGAAAAGCTTGTATTTGAAGAAGCAACCAAGTACAGCCCCAAGGAGCGGGATCAATTGTGGCGGGATGCTGGTCTGATTCATGGTGCTGAGTTTGGGAATAGCTCTGGTGATTATCGTGAGTTGGCTCTATTCCCCTGCTTGAATTTCTTTTCCTGTTCAAGGCCAGCACCTAAGTCATTCTCTGCTGTACACTCGGTAATTGGAGATTGGTGGCATGTAGAAACGGGAAGATATGTGCCTTTTAGTATAAATACGCTGACTTGAAGATGATGCATGATCAGATCTCCATCTACTCTCTTCAGCCAACCTCAACCTGCCTACACAGCCTTCACAGTATGCAGCCCATCCGATTCCCAGCCTTGAAGATTTCGAATCCCTATGGACCGCGTGGGACGTAGTTACCAGGTCGATGGTCCCTCGCGAAGATCTTCTTTCTAAGCCGATCAAGCTTCGGAATGATTTGATTTTTTATCTTGGGCATATCCCAACTTTCCTAGGTGAGCTAAAAATAATAGCCTATAAGACTATGATACTAATAGGAGCAACAGACATCCATTTGACTCGAGCTCTAGGTGGAAAACCAACCGAGCCAAAGTCTTATCAACAGATCTTTGAACGCGGAATCGATCCAGACGTGGAAGACCCGGAGCAGTGTCATAGCCACAGTGAAATTCCGAATGAATGGCCTCCTCTCTGCGAAATTGTTGATTACCAATGGCAGGTTAGAAATCGTGTGAGGTCAATCTTCCAGCTGGACGGCTTGGCACAGAATCGAGTTCTTGGAGAAGCGCTGTGGATTGGCTTTGAGCATGAAGCAATGCATTTGGAAACATTTTTATACATGCTTCTTCAAAGTGAAAGAACACTTCCGCCCCCTGCTGTGAATAAACCAGATTTTGAGGCAATGTTTCGCCACTCTAGGAAGAACGCGAAGCCAAGCAAATGGTTTTCCATACCAGAACAGACACTGTCAATCGGACTCGACGACCAAAACGACAAAGTTCCTCCTAGGGATTCTTTTGGATGGGATAACGAGAAACCCGAACGGGTTGTGACTGTTCATGCATTCGAGGCACAGGCCCAACCTGTCACAAATGGGGAGTTTGCGAAGTATTTGCAGGATAGCCAGCTGCGACAAACTCCAGCATCTTGGGTCCTGGTACATGCAGATAAAGATCATCCAATCAACAAATCTGCCAACGGGTCCAGTAATCATGCCACAAATGATTTTATGGCTTACTTTGCTGTTCGCACCGTGTTTGGCCCCGTCGCGCTCGAATTCGCTCAGGATTGGCCCATGATTGCATCGTATGATGAACTGGCTGAATACGCTAAATGGATGAACTGCAGAATCCCAACATACTATGAGACTAGGAGTATCTATAATCATGCAGCTCTACTCAAGGAGATGGAGTATCATGGAACAGCAGATGGCCATAGGTAAGATAACATGACATCTTTATAGACCACGCAGCCTGACAAACCATATCAGAGCCGAAGAAAAGAACGGTAGCAACGGACTTGAAAATATGAACGGAAACGGTTATCTCAAGGCCAATCCTAAAAACCCTCGTGCCCCGGATCACCAGCCAGTTCGGTCATCTTCCTCGAGCACCCTGCCAGTGTTTATTGACCTCAACGATTGCAACGTTGGGTTCAAGCACTGGCATCCTACCCCAGTCACTCAAAACGGCGACCGGCTCGCTGGTCAGGGTGAACTGGGAGGCGTCTGGGAATGGACCAGCACGCCACTCGCGCCACATGATGGCTTCAAAGCCATGGAGATCTATCCAGGATATACATGTAAGTTACTTTTACAACGCGGGGTTTTGGTTAGTGCAGTAAACTGACTTACAGCAGCTGATTTCTTCGATGGAAAACACAATGTCATCCAGGGTGGCTCTTGGGCTACTCATCCTCGAATCGCGGGACGAACAACATTGTAAGCTCCTTTACCCAGACATTTGAATCTATAAAGAAGTACTCACAATCGTTGCAGTGTCAATTGGTACCAGCACAATTATCTGTACGCTTGGTCAGGAGCCCGTCTTGTGCGCGATATTTGAAAGGACTTTGAAGTTGAGTCCTGCCTGCGAATGGACACTACGTCCTTAGCATTATGGATTAATGAGTGATATTATTCTAAGTTTCTTTTTGACATCCAAGTGCTGTACAGCTGTAGATTATAGTAGAGTTTCCCACTGTGGGCCGTTGTATCCTACTCCACAGTGACTACAATGTCATCACCGACGTGTAGTGATGTGGGAATCATACTAAATAAGCAGCCTATAGCTCTATTATCATAGATCTGAAAGCTGCATCTAAATGCACAGCGAGAATATCTCTTTAATAAAATAGAAACAACAAAATAGTACAAGAATCGTCTTCAGGAACGGAGGGCAGTCGTAGATAAGCCCCACGCCACAGCGGGGAAGCTTCCCCGATAACGTGACGAAATGCCCCTCCAACTGTCCTCATTCCTTCCAGTCCTTGAGTTCAATTAGACCTTTCGCTTTTATTTTCATTGGCATCGAATTGAAAGAACAAAGCCATCGAAATGTCTCTCGAAACCATTACTACCATCTCTCCCACGACTAACCTCCCAGTACTCACCCGGACGGGTGTGTCTGCTGAGGAGCTGAAGCATATCCCCCAAGCCGCCCAGGAGGCATTCCGATCCTTTTCTCAGTCCACCACCCTCGAACAACGTCAAGAGATTGTTGCCCGCGCATTGGGTATTCTGGAGAAGAAGAAAGATGTGCTTGCGCGTGAGTTGACCGAGCAGATGGGCCGGCCCATTGCCTACACCGAGGTCGAGGTCAACACAGCCATCAAGCGCAGCCATTACCTGAACCGTGTGAGCACATCGATCTTGGGTGAGGAAGGTATTGTGCCTGGAGAAGCGGAAAAGGGATTTAAGCGGTATATCAAGCGGCAACCTGTTGGAGTTGCGTTGATCATCTTTGCCTGGAATGTACGTTGAAACAGCCCACAGGGTGTGCGTCGTCTCTAGTTACTCGACATTGATACTGACAAGGGGTTGCTATTATTTAGTATCCCTACTTGATTTCGGTCAACAGCTTGATTCCTGCCATCCTGGCCGGAAATGCTGTCATCCTTAAACCCTCCCCTCAAACCCCGACTATCGCAGAACACTACGCTGCTGCCTTCGCGGAGGCTGGACTTCCGCAGAACGTGATCCAGTTTTTCCACTGCGGATCTCCCACAACACTTGAAGGCGTCGTCCGATCACCTCTCATCAACCATATCTGCTTTGTTGGCTCGGTGGCTGGTGGTTTGGCGGTCCAGAAGGCTGCTGCTGACAGACTCGTGAACGTCTGTCTTGAGCTGGGTGGCAAGGATCCTGCATATGTTCGGGATGATGTGGATGCTGCCTGGGCAGCAGAGGAGGTTGTGGACGGCGCCATCTTCAACAGTGGACAGAGTTGCTGTGCTATTGAGCGGGTCTACGTCAACAAGAACATTTACGACACTTTCATTGCTGAGGTCAAGAAGGTCTTGAGCAATTACCGCGTTGGAGACCCATCAGACACAAAGACACAGATCGGTCCTGTCATCTCCAAGCGTGCAAAGGAGGCCATCCTGGCGCACGTCGCCGATGCCGTTAGCAAGGGTGCCAAGGATGAGACCCCGGCAAACGAGACGTTTGAGAATTTCCCAACAGACGGTAACTATGTCAAGCCCACTCTGTTGACGGGTGTGAACCATGACATGCTTGTCATGACCGAGGAGACATTCGGTCCCGTTATCCCTGTCATGAAGGTCGACAATGATGAAGAAGCCATCAAATTGATGAACAGCAGCGAGTTTGGTTTGACCGCTAGTGTCTGGACCAAGGATGTTGCTGGTGCGGAGAAGATTGTCGACCGCATTGAAGCTGGAACCGTCTTCATTAACAGATCGGATTACCCAAGCCCGGTAAGTATCCCAAACTTGACATGAGATCTCGGATATACTAATCTTGGATGCCGTTGTAGGACCTCGCATGGACCGGCTGGAAGAACTCCGGGCGTGGTGTATCACTGAGCAAGTTCGGATTTGAACAGTTTGTCAAACTCAAGAGCTACCATGTCAAGGACTACCCCAAATAATCGAATCACCAAATATTCCCTTTCCGTCCTTTCTGCATCATCCAGGGTGGTAGACAGTGTTGAATGGCCGAAACATTGATATAATAGAAATGCTAGTTCAATGGATAAGCAACGGGCGGAGAGCATCGCAAAACCCGGCAGGGCACATATAGGCACATATCCCCGTGTATGACAAGATGTCGGTAAATGAAAATTGACCAGGTTATCACGACGACTGAATGAGTAAGAAGCTATGTGATCCAGAACCAATTAAGGTTGAACGGATAGCAACTAAAATGAGCCAAAATAACTTCGAATGCGCCCTGCAGAAGCACATGCCAGCCAAAAAATCCTCATCCCAAGTCCGGAGTCCCCAAAGAGACGGCTCATTTACCCGGAAGGAGAAGAATTTAAACGAAATATGAACAGGAGAAAGGCCAAGGGGAACAAATAGGTCTAATTAAATGCGCAAGTGTATCAAACCCAGTCTCGGATCTCAATGCGATGGGTCAGAAAGACAGCTTCTGCTCCACTCGATATTATTGTTCGAAATATGCCATGCTAAAGGGATGACTAGGCAGCGGTAGTAGCCTTCGAGGCTCTTTTTCTCTCTTAATTTCCCAGGTGGATCTGAAACGCAGATGATCCAAAGGATCAAGAAGGTTATAGAACAAATAATCTCGCGGAATGTGTGGACAACATTGCCGCGAAGCAAGGGATGAGGCACCTTTCGCCCTCCCTTTGCTGTGGCGCCGCCGTAATAAGAATATGTAGGACTCGGTTATCAGGAGATTGGGAAATGGGCTGAAAGTCAGACACGATGTACGTAGCAGCCTAGACACGGGTAATTGAACTGGAATGTTTGTATATATCGCCTCAGATAGTCAAGTGGAGAGCACCCTTTTGTTACGTCGGAGCTAGGTATGAGTATGATGAACTGTAATGTAAGCTTCACTGCTCTTGAGAGAGATCTGGACCACGACACGCAGCCTTGATTGTTGACCTGGACGTATAAGGCGATGACACGCACAAGGCGGCGGTACGTATGCATACTGCCAGTTGCCGAGACAGAAGCAATTATGGGCCTCAAAAAGTACCTTTCGCAAGCTCAGTAGAGTTTTAGGGAACATGCATGGAAAAGGTCCCGGAGTAGCTAAATGTGAGAATTTTTCTGCAGGTATCCAAGGTATGTGTGAGACTCGGTAACTGCGCCTGTCAGTGAGAAACCTTGTGTCTGGGCTTAAACAATGGAAGCGTAGCCCATGACAGCACCAAAGGGCCTTTAGTTAGTCCCACTGATCATCCGATGGAGCTTGCAGCAGAATTTAATTCCCTGCATGCTATCAAAGGATAGGCAGAAAAGGCGAGTAGGTACCGATAGACAGATTCTTGAATTCTTGGAGCCTTCTCATTCGCCCAAGTTGCCCTGGGAAAAATCCGCGCCCTGCTGCCAGGGGAAAAACTGCCAGAGGAATGTGTCACATACGCGCTGCGAATTCTGCTCTCACAGCCTTCGTGCCACGGAAGAATTACCGACCAGCTGCTTGCGCTGCACGGGCGAAACCGTTGATCAGAGGGCAGATCACCGGAGCTATTATATAGTATCATGCATGGTCTTGATGTCGAGTCTCTTCTCTCCTCTCCATCCCGCATCAATGACATAGATCATCGGCCAGTCTCTCGTTAATATATCGGTTTTAATTTCGTTTTCAGCGTCTCAGTCCCTCGTTTGATTCACTATCGTCCATCGTTTGATTGCATCCCACGATAACATTCGTTTTCCAACCTCCATCGAATCACTATTCAGCATTCGTTTTATTGAATCGGTCCGAGTGCAGACATCGGCTGGCCCAACACTCATTTTATCGACTTTGACCTATTACACAATACACCAAACCCACTCAACGCAATGGAGTGTTTCCGACAGATCGCCCGGTTCGTCAAGGCACCGTTTAAGCGGACACCAAAAAGGGTCTTGGAAATTGTAAGCTGGCTTGCGATGAACTCGTTCGAACGAAGACGGCTAATGGACCATGGTATAGGGACCCCCGACCAACTTTCGCAAAGAGTCACCCACTTTCTTCTCAGATGATGAGTGAGTATATTTTCGAGCCATTTTTATAGACAGGATTCTGACAATTCTAGGAGCACGCTGACAGCGTACAGCCTTAGCTCGACGCTGGACAAGGCCGCGGTCGGGCGATCAGGCGAATCTAAACGAGATAAGATCAAACATCACGTCCGAAGGATGAGTGTCAAGCTCCCTCGACCCTTGCCCGACAACGTATAAAGCCGTATCTACCGCAATTTTGTGCAACATCTATCTCTTCGGGATCAAACCGGTGTAATCTGTGCACCGAAAGAAATCGTTCTGCGGACAGGAAAGAATGTGGCCGTTATGTTATAGACGGAGAGTAGTTTTGATTGGAAACCCGTGACCATTTTCACAGCAAGAATGTTGGGACTTCATTTAGGCGCGACTTTTTCGAGTCGGGGCCTTTGCTATGCGAACCCTTTTGTGATGTTTTACTTATAGACGTTGAATTTCCCCTCTGCATCGATATATTTGACTTATTCGGCTCTGGAAGCCGGTCAAAGTCGTCAAAAAGCATCCTCCTTTTAGATGTGGAGCCAGACTGAGTTCTGTATTTAGCGCTCATAGACATTGTTTCTTTTGCTTTTCGGTCTGCCATAGATTGAGATATATTAGAACCGCCTCGTGAAGTAGCCCGTGAAGTAGCACTGTTGGTGTTTGTCGTTGCTGGTGTTCTATCTGCTCGCCTGAGAGGTGCTGTGTTGGTCTCTATGTCTAGATCGTCGTCTTCAGATGCAGTTTCGTCCACATCGCGATGCTGCTTCTCTTGTCGATCGTTAGGTGATGAAAAGAGAGAACGACGATCTCCACCAAACTCAGATGTTTGAGCATAGCCAGCAGCAGCTCGAGTTGTGGATTTTATTCCCTGCATCCCCATTAAAGATCGTGCCTTTCTCGGACTCATCATGAGACCGTACAAAGACGTTCCAGCGAATGAACTGTCCACTTCGGCATCGTCCAGCTCATCATCATTCTCCTCCTCGGAATCCACACGAGGTCGGCTTCTTTCGATTTGATCTAAACCGGTCTTCTGGCGCTCCGACACGGCATCGGCCGTTTTCTTCCTCAGTGCTTCTTCACTCATGGGGGTTACCCCATCTGTCGGTCGCGCGATGTCCTGGATGGCAGCTGCGTTTTGTAGCTTGGCCTCCTTTTTCCGCCGCACGTATTCGGCGTAGTGAAGGTGCTGAGTGAAAGTCTGCGCAACAGCATAGAACTCATCTTCTACCATCATGTATATATCATCTTTATCGAAACCCTCGAGTAGATACCTGATTTTCCTATTAGCAACTCAACCTTTACTTTTTGTTCAAAACAATACGCACTCCTCTGATGGACACCGTTGAATAGGAGATGTCGGGGGGCTCTGGGCTATCGAAATAAAGCGTCAGTTGAAATCCGCCAAAGCTATTGACGCATTCACCTACAAGATCTGAATATATCCCGCTTCTTAGAAGGATCTTCAGCAGTCCCCTTGGGAGTTTCGTCGTCCTCAGGCCTGGGACCTATCTTGGGCTCTGGCTTGGGGGTCTTTATCTTTGATCTTTGCGGCGTGGAATCTTTCGAGGCTCGTCCGTTGCTGCCTCCCCCAGTAAGCCATGGCAGGGTTCGGGGCATCGCGGCTGTTGTTTAATATACTCGTAGCCTAAGTCTTTCATAGGCCATGCGACGCTATTATTCCTGCAAAAATGCCGTGGGAGTCCCTTTTCAACTTGAGATGGAATGACGCAAGAGTCAGTGTCAAGTGCTGAGCGCGGCGGAACGCGGGGAGCTTTCCGTTCGGCGCTCCGCCGCCTATCAACTAGCGTTCAGGTACTACGCTGACGAGGAATTATCATTGCGATGCTAGTGTCACAATTTATTTTGGGTATCTGATTTTAACAAGCTAGATAGATATCGAGAATTTGCAATAAAAACCCAAGGGGCCGGTCTCCTAAAAACGCCGACGACAGAAACCCGAATAGATCAACCGTGTCCCCCGAGCAACCATATAATAACATTGTTTGGACGAAAAGGAACGCTTGTGCAGAAAACAGATCCGAGGGGAAGAAAACGCCATGAGTCTTTGAACGAGAGAGGATTATGCCTCCCCAGGTCTCTTGCTGTTGCAGCTCACGATCTTGACCTTGTCCGCGGAGACTGTCGTTTGGTTGTCCAGTTTGAATGTGACATCCTTGATGAGGAATGTCCAGACTTCGTCACAGAATCGGTAGGTATCCAGGTGGCCCTGTTTCAAGAGAAAGGCGGAGTCAGCTTTTCCGATCTGTTGACTCAACAAACCAAGTCCTCCCCCTTTGGCTGTCGCATGGTGCATTGCGGAACGAGATAAATACCTTGAAAGTAAGTCTTGCGCGGACCTTGTCGGCGAGAACTTCTGTAATAACACGATCAAAGGTACCGAGAATCTTCATGGCGAGCTGAGGCTCAATCCGACCCTCGTTGATCAAGTCATCGAGAGTATCAGTCAGAGAAAGGCCGATACTAAAGCGCAAGCCGGTTAGCATGAGAGTCCAAGTGTTATCAGACAGTAACACAGTACCTGCTCCCACGGTAGAGCTCGTAATATGCCTGAGAGCTCATCGTGGCGGTCGTTATGAGCAATCAAAGATGAGGTCTAGAAAGTTGAGGCTTTGATTGTCCGCCCAGATGGTTGGCCGATCGCGGGGAGAATAACACGTGATCACAGGAATCTAGACCCACCCTATCATGTGACTGGTTTTCTATCTTGTTCATTGACATCAATCGAGAGACATCATCGCCACCAGGAGTGAGCTGTGTTCGATGATTGTAATTTCATCATGTCAATGCACTCTGTACCTATGATGAAAATGAGAATGGTCTCAAATATGCCCAAGCTATCTGGGAAAACGGTAGTGCAAGCATCAACCCTTTTCCAAACTCGGTGCATATCTAATACGCCCATGCTATTGAATTCCAAGAAAGGTTGGTGAAGCAATTGACCTTTCATGTTTTATAAAACGATATGTACTAATATGGACTACAGACCAAAGCTCATCAGAGCCAAACCAACAAACAGCAAACTCAGGAAGACCTTCCGTCTCAGACAGCGACAAACAACCGAGACAAGAAGGAAAGGCCAAAACCGTCGCCCAAGCAGACCAAGAGCTTCGCGAAAGACTAGAGAAGATGTCTGGTGGTGGTGGGGCTTCCGGCATCGAATATGAAGACGGCCAGCCCAACACCATGAAGCGTGGTGTTAGGAATAATATGTTCCGTTTGATCTAAGCAGATTGATCGACAGCCAAATCATCTACTATCCCTCCTGTTGATCGAGTCACGCGAAGGCTTTCAATTGAAAGCAAAGAAATTCATGCGCAGCTCCTTTCGTTTGATTTGACAACACCGAATCCAATTTGAAGCGAAGTTGACGCCAACCAACGGATGCCATATCGTGAAGCAGCACGAATGCAAATGTGTTATCCGAGCCAGCTTTTATATACTTGGGCTTTCAACCCACGTTGATGAATAAGATATTCGCCTTCATGGTGTATTCTAGTGGGACATCGCAACTTATTTGAACTGCTTGAGACCGTGATAGGTGCCCGTCTCGAATCGATCACCCAACGAGTCACCACCACGTTCCTACAACCTTCATCTGTCTATGCATTTCTATAAGGAACTAAACGAAGACCAAGAACAAGGCTGGAATACACGAAATCCAGATGGAAGCTGTATACACAAATCGTCAACCAAAATACACAATTACACTTGAAACGAGGGCAGGATTAGTCAGTCTACATGGCCTCCATGAACATTTGACATGATGACCCACGTAAGGACATGAAATGGCCATATAAAAACAATAAAACAAATTCATAAAGCACATTTATCAAAACGCTCATCAATCATGTTCCAATCGCAAAAACGAAACGAACCCTCTATCCCCAGTATGAAGCCAAAAAAGACAAAAACACCAAGAAACCAACTAGGCCGTAAATAATTATAGTATTCTCATTTCACGTTCATTCTTAGATGATTGTTGGCGATCGTAATGTATTTTAATTCTCTGCCACCATGCCGGCTAGGACACCGGCACCGATTACTCCACCATCTGATGCTTCCCGCAAGAAGACTGATTTTCCGCTCTTTTGCGGACCAGTTCTCATTATGAGACGGTCAATGTACTGCTGGCACATCTCCTTGAAGTTGGGGTAGTTTTGTATAATTCCGCCAGTGTAGGCGACGACCAATTCTTCAGGCCCTGATTGCCAGTCCGCCGGAACAGGTGTAGGGGAGAGGACAGGGACGATCGGCCCCTGGCCGCCTGTTGAATTGCCCGGGTTTAAAGCATCCGGCGGTGGTGCTAGTGAGTTTAAGTTCCCATTGTATGCTGGCGAGGCAGCATTTGAATTCTCTGGGGAGTTTTCGTTGCTGTCCACTTTCAATTCAATCTCTCGCGCACAAGCAAGAAGTCCGACAACCGCCGCAGCAATCAGACCAGCAGACCGTCGTTGGACGGTCCTAGCGATCTTTCGAAAGGCCCCTGCAGAGTTGGCATCCCAGTGCCATTCGCTGCTCTCAGGCGGAGGCAAAGAGTGACTAAGTTCATCTGCAAGTTCCTGGTCTGATCGTGCACGGGCTACCTTCTCTGAAATGAAGGCAGTCGTTAGGGCATACTCTTGAATGAGAGTAGCAGGCATTTCCTTTTTGGACAACCCAACGATATTGCTAAGGTAATCGAAAAGAATCAGCCGGATGAGTTCACCAATGTATCGGCCACCAGTCATGTACTCGAATGGCTGGAAACCAGGACGAGCGCATGCAATGTCTAGCTGGGTGTCCCATTTGGTGATGATATCTAACTCCTTCAGCGGTGGTGCTGCGCCACCAATGGTCCATTCGGTGTTTACAATCGTCTCTTCTGCATCTGGGGTTTTCGAGCTCACATGCTTCGCTTTTGAACCATGCAAAGCGCTAAGCTTCATTGGAATTGTAGCATTACACCCAGTACCCACAATGATACCCATTGCAACCCGGCTATTAGGTAGAGACTTCACAGCATATGCTAAGGATGCAAGCGTGGCCACAGCATCGTTGGTAATCGCGGCGATCTTGAGCTTTGGCAATGCAAAGAGCTTTCGACGCTTAGACGACGGCTCTTCTTCGTCTGGGCGCCTTGTATGCTTCTCATAACCGCAGAGAAGAATCTTACGTAGATTGAGGTCAGAAGTGATAGCGAAGCCTTTGCCCATAGGCATCAGTGTGGCCTCCGCGAGAGACTCTTGCCTGTATTCGATTAGCGATGGAATATAACAGCAACCCTGGGTAGAAACTGACATGATAGGAAAACTGAAAGTGATTCCCATGTCCAACTCTTCAGGAATTTCGCCTCTCGTGGCGTCTGAAGTCAGGCTTTCAGCGACTACTTCTGCGATGCAGTCGCCAATCCAAGCAAAAAGATCCTCCGCTTTATCCATCTTCAGGTGCTCTTGTATTGGCCATGCCTTTTCCAGCGTTCGTTTCACACGTTGTCTTTGCGCCTTGCTAATGGTATCCATGGGCTGAGTATCAGAGTCAGCAGCCTCTCCCAACAACTCGATAAATGCAACACGCAGATTACTCCCGCCAACATCAATTGCAAGATAACGACCTGTTTCATGACCGGTGGGCAGTCTGGTCACTGGAGTGGGTAAAAATTGCTGCTCCGAAGTCAAGGCCAGATGGCGATAAACGCTGGAAAAGCGTCGCGCAAGTTTATAAAGAACCGCTTCATCAAGAGCGACGGGTGACAGGAAATCGTCCAGCATCCGATGATGCGCCAGGTGCTCCTCTTGCGACGGATCAATATCTGAGCCGTCCTCTTCCTCATCTTCAATTGGGTCCTCATGCATGTGATCGTGCTCCTCCTCCTCCTTGTCCTTATCCATCGCCAGCGGTTTGAGCGGGGCCATCTTGTATTCAAGGAAGTAGCGATCAAGCCAAATTCTATAGATGATGATAAAAGTTGCACACAGGTTGTAATGTAGGAGTTGGTATAACTCGGAAAGTAGCAGTACGGGGTGTGATTTGGATGCACAACGGGGTCCGGAGTAGACAGAAATAATAAGAATAAGGGCCGATGTTTTTTTTGCGCTCACCGTCCCGCGGAATGCTCATGAGCAGGACGGGATATAGGCAGCCGGAATGAGGATTGGAGACCGACTGATAAGGAACATGCGACGTCGACGGGAGAGGGACGGGGCTTTTCCACAATGTGATGCCTTGATCGGAATTCCACCTAGCTACGTCTCGAGTGTGGTGATACAAAGGGAACCGGTAGCGCTCTCTCGCAGCCTGCAGATCAATCCCACAACAGACGGTCAGTTCAACGATTGCAACGGAGGTTGGGAAGGGTAAACATTATCAAATGCAGTGACGCGTGTCTGCAGTGCAATTATGGGGGGGAAATCCTGCGGGGGGCAAAGAAAAAACATGATGACGACGATCATAATGCAGGGAGCCTTGAGTTCAAACAGATGATTGGGAAGGGAGAGAAAGCTAGATGGGGGAAATAGTCACCTGAGAGAGATTCAGCTCAGTATGAAATTATCTGAGTTGGATAGAGGAGAGTGGTATACACAGTAGAAAAATGATGGATTGGAGGAGAGGAATCGATTAACTATTAGAATAAACCACGAAGAGGATGATAAATAAAAGAAATAGAACAGGACCAGCCAGTGGACAAAATAATCATCACCATTCCCCACATGGGAAGGGAAAAAAAAGCAAAGGAAAAAAAAAAAAAAAAGAAAAAGGAAAAAAGTAAATAATAAATATTAATAGCCGTGGTCGTCAAAGAAGAAGAATCAAGCAAGAGATGGAGAGGAAGAAGAGGAGAACAGCACAGCTCCAGAGCCGCCGTTGGGGATGGATGGAGATGCGACCATCGGCACGAGACGATGTGACGCTGGCTGGGCGGTTGAAGGAAGCCATGGCTCTCGATTTGGCTCACGTCGTATGCCGCCCATGGATGGCTCCATCGTCTTATTTCTTTCTGGTGATGTTTCCTCGATGGAGTCTTTCTTCTGTTGTGTCATGAAGGTGAAACCAACGGAGCTTCTCCGTTTCTCCATTTCCCCTCACTCCAAGCCCTCTTCTTTTCCCAGTCCTTATCTTCGTCCTACTTGGATCGATGTCGCAAGACCTCTTTCTACACATAAGCCTACATTGTTTTCTACTAATAACGTGATATAGATTATCTGATTCGAAATGATTATCTCCATACTATCTCAGTGACTCATTTAGATCCATTCCTTCTCCACATCGGCGCCCAGCTTATGGCGCACGGAGATAATATCCCACCAAAGCCTACGGCGGACGGACTACAACGGAGAAACCTGACTTCTTTTACATTGCCAGACTGGGTAATAACGGCCCTTCAAGCCAGCCATGTGGTAGAGATTCTGTGGGGCAGGCTTGTCAAGTGCCGGAGATGACGAGGTCAGAAGAGAAGCACAGCTACACCCTCAGGTAATACCATCCTGAGAATTCTCTGATTTGTCCGGGATCCCTTCTTGGATCTGTTGTTATTGGTCCCATGTCTTGTTCATTGTGATGAAACGTGCTCGTCCGGCATATCCTACTAACCCCTTGGGTATACTTCAGCTTCCGATCATTTCATTTTTTTTTTACCCCCCTTCCCGGATTTCCAGCCGCAACGGCTGAGTTTGGTATCATATCAGGAATAGCAACATTCGGAGCACAACGGAGGCAGAGGAACTCAATTACAACCTACTACTATCGCTGTTGGGGGACATATGGATACTCAACGGGACAAGACTAATGGTAGACGCCACAATTCGTATCACGCTTGTTATAAGCCTCAACTACACTTCCTACCTGGCAGTCACGCAACGCCCTCCGACGTCGGTGAAAAAGACTAGGAACAACTGGGCCTGGCTGAGATGGTTAGTTTAACCCACAAAAGATCCTTGGAGATCTGCGAGATAAATGTAGTCGCAGCACATAGTTACATGGTGCTAGCTCCTTCTCGCATCCACGACATGTCAGCTGGTACTAGGGCTATCCTCTGGTTTTTATTAGCACACAAGGTAAGTTTCCGATACTTAGACAGGTATAAAACTCAGGTTTGTTCCTGCAGTTCTTCATTCAGTCTCATACTGGATACGCCTGTTGTATCGAGGCTTATCTTGATGTGATGGCGTTAAGTTGGATGATTCGATGATGATAAAACGCCTCATGCAGTGAGAAAGTCTTGGATGCAGCAAAGTCTGTTGGACAGGACTAGTATCAGTCCTGCAAGCATAGGTTTTTATTCCATAATCGAATGTGAGGCTGCAGGTGCATTCGCCCTATTGCGAGTGTCAAAAATAGCTAGCGATGGGAGCACGAACAACTAACCGGTAAGACAACAGCTTCGAATCTGCAATATGATTCAATATGAACTGGCATGTTCTGCCATTTGGTTCATAGGGCCAGAGAAGCACAAGTTAATAATAAAATCGCATGAGGTGATGAAGAAATGGCTGGTTAGTGGGTGATTGAACATTGATGAGCATTATTCAACATTTAAATAGAGAATGTCTGCCACACACTGCATAAGATCACACTAGCCAATGCTGCTTCCCACCTGTTGTGAGTCGAGACAACGCGATGCAACCTGAACGGTTGCCCACGATCGACAGGGATGGCTTGAGCAACGTTGGGGGCCAACAGACGACAGCAATCATAACGGTCTGCAGTGCGTAATCAACAAGGGGATTCCTGGAAGGATGGTCGAGGATAGCATTGACAAAGGGCGGCATGTAGTCGTATTAAGTAGAGATTGGGGGTCATGATTCATCCATGCTGTATGCATGACGGAGCCGAGTGTAACGGGGGGTCGCGAGGAGGTGCGTTGTTCCTTTTTTGCCAAAGTTAGCTTCTCCGCGGTGGCATCACTTCCTAGCATTCTCCCCCACACCTCCCAGTCTTGATCTGCTTCCTCCGAAAAGGTACGGAGTAGTGATCCCAACCATGATGGAGAAACTCCCATTTCATTCTCACGAGGGACTTCGCGGCGATGTCAGTCCCGCTGTTCCCACCGCCTCGACGACATCGCAACGCGACCGGGCTTTCCGGCACATCTTGGCTGCTATCATCAGTCTCTCCCTCGCCTTCTTCCTTATTGTAAGCCGGCCGTCCGTATCCATTCATGGCTCCAGGTTCTTTTCGTGCCACAAGTCGGCCAAGGTTTTGGATGATGGTTCCACCGTGTCTGCGGCGATCGACCATCCCCATGGGGCATCGGCGAACAGAGTCCCTTTCGAGGCTCACGTCATGAGCAAATGCCCAGATGCTCGGGATTGCTTGCAGCAGCTGGTTATACCTGCTATGGAACAAATCAGCGATAAGGTCGATTTCGAGCTGTCGTTCATTGCAAAGTGAGCAGGAGAACCCCTAGATCGCCACTGTCTACCTTACGCAGAGCTGATAGACAACCAGTGTATCCAACTCGACCTCCGACGTAGAATGCATGCATGGCCCTGGTGAGTGTATCGGGGACATGCTTATTCTCTGTGCCGCGAATCTGCCTTTCCCATCTGACGGCTCGAACACCTACCCCCGTACCCCCGTCATTCGATCTCTCGGCTATGCCAACTGTCTCATCGGAGATTATCCTGATATCCCGGATAGGAAGCTAGTTGAGCAGTGCGCTTTGGAGCATGGTATCGAATTCGATGCTCTGAACAAGTGTGCCAGCGAACAGAATGATGAGATCCGCGGTGGTGATGAAAAGTCTCCTCTCAGTGGACTTGGTCTTCTTCGGGAGAGTGCAAGCCACAGCGCCGAGCTTGGTATCTCGACGAGCTGTACGGTTCGCTTGGACGAATCTGTTTGGTGCGTTCGGGATGGAGGAGCATGGAAAGATTGCGCCAAAGACGGGAAAGGCAGTGATGTCTCAGTGCTCGTTGATGAGATAAAGCGACTCTATGGGGAGAGGAACTAGGTGTAATTGGTGTCTGATTTCGGTAATATCATTATGACTGTATGAACTATCGTAGTTGGATTTTAGCAATACTAATCTACTTTCATTACAATGCAAAGCTATCTTCTGAATTGCTTGGTATATAAAGGCTTGGTTTGGTAGTAGGCTGGTTCTAGAAGATGTCTGGCTGTGAAATGGTATACTGTTTGTTTATACTGCCTGGACTATATGCCATGTGAATAGACTTATACTGTAAAAACAACAATGCATTCAATTCCCATTATTGTCTGATCGATATTGAAGTTCGATATCGAAACTTGACGGAAATTTCCAGTCTTCCTTTTGTGCTGTTTGCCCAGAAAGCTCTTGGAGACCAGCAGACATTCACTGCCATCCCCCTCCCCTCCAGAGAAGCCCACCTAGACCCTCTATTTCTTCTCATTTCTACCTTCAGGGAATGCACCAACACTACAGCAACTGCGTCTTCGATTAGCACTCTATTTCTCGAATACATACCCACTTCTCTTTCCCCATCAGCTAAAGCAACCAGAAACGCAGCCATGTCATCCTCCCAGACTCACCGTCGGGAGAAAGACTGCCAGCAGAGACTGGTCGATGAGCTGGTACGCAAGTACTACAAGAAAACAGAACCGAGCCCCGTCCTGCGCGACATCCTCCAGAAGTCAGAAGACTCGTCTCTCCTTATCCAGGCTCTCAGACGCCAGGTCTCCCTCGTCAAATGTCGATCTCAGGCATTTGAGGACAGTCAGATCACCATTTACGACAGAGCCCTGCTTGTGCTGTCCAAGTACGGAGATGACCCTGAAGGCCTTGGAGCCCTCGAGCTTTATCTAACCGAGTTTCTCGGGGTTGTTCCAATCGGTGCAGTCTCAGAGGGCAAGGACATAGTGGTCAAGCACATTGGATTGCAGAGCGTTCTGTCAAAGTGTCTGTTTCTTTCCAAGTCAAACCGATTCAGGACCTGACTAACTGGTGCCTCCCAGCAGCAGCTTCTGAAAAAGTCACCAGAAAGTCTTCTGTATCTGAAAGACGTTCCAAGAGCGAATCAGGTCGAAGAGCACACACTGCTCCCAGACCCGACCATGGTTACCGCGAGAGGAGAATCAAGTCTAGCGCAAGCACAAGCAGCGACGACGCCCAGCTTCTTCACGAGAAAGTCGAACGAATCCTTGATGTATACCGCAAGGCCAAAGACGAATTCTACAACAAAAAGCAGTCAGATGGTATGGAGGATCCCAGCTCAGTTCGTTTTCTTCGAGACACGGCGGAAAATGCTCTCAACTATCTCCATTCTCACGGCTTGCAGGATCACAAGTTGGTCCCAGAGTTGGAGAGCGTCTTCCGATCCGCCAGAGACAAAGCAACGGAGCTTTCAGGTGGTCGTAAACGTCGTTTTGAGGAGACAGCCAGCAGCCACAGCCACAGCCGCAGCCGTAACTTGAAACGGCGACGCGGACTTGTTGATTCGTATCGTCCTTAGGATGTTGGTGGTCATTTCTTTGTTGATTCTTCGGGCATTTTACTTGAGATTGATATAGGCGGTTGCAATCTGGGGTAAACAGGCCAAGCTCGGTTCATGATTTCGGGATGGGTATTTTCTTCTCTTTTTTCTTGTGTATTTATGGACATCGATTGAAGGAATGTTGTTGATCTTTTTAAATCATAGCGCCAATCATGCCTGCTAGTGCCCCACGTGCAATGGTCCGCTTTTGTGACCTTCTTGACGATCTCCAGACTTCAATCCTTTGAAAAAAGAACAAAGCCCTGTAGAATTACCAGGTTCTATAGAAACACGGCATGCCATCTGGGCTTGCTGTCAGCAGAATGAGCATTGATTGACTGCGACAGTAATACTACCCCTTTATGTTCCAATGGCCCCCTTACTGGCAGCTGCGGAGAGCAGCTCTACCTCCGCCCCTCTGACGACTCCGAATGCTCAACCACCACCAACACCAATCAGACCTGATTATCAACATCAGCACTCCCATACCAATTCGACTTCCAGTCGCCCTCCAGCTGGCTCTTTGAAGCTACAAACGAATTTCGAAGATTTCGAAGGGAATAGTGAGACCGACCTCGACGACAATGATTACGATAACGGGTACGACTCGGGTGAGGAGCTTCAACCTGAGCCAAATCGAGGTGGACAGTCTCTACAATACTCGGCAGCAGAGGAGGAGCAGGTCGTGAGAAAGTTTGATCGGAGGCTTATACCATTTTTGGCTCTCCTATATCTACTTTCTTTTTTGGATCGTTCCAGTAAGCCTTATCAGAATGGGTGTCTCGCCATTTGTGGAAGCTAATCGACAATGCAGATATTGGAAATGCAAAGATTGCCGGGCTCACAGACGATTTAAACATCTCATCATCGCAATATGAATGGCTACTTACCGCATTTTATATCACTTATATCCTCTTCGAATGGATGACCCTGATGTACCGACTTGTTCCTCCGCATATCTACATATCGCTGTGTGTTTTTGGGTGGGGTCTTGCTGCGTCTCTGCAGGCTTTGGCGACTTCATTCTGGGTTGCAGTCATTCTCAGAGCACTTCTTGGAATTACGGAAGCGGCTTTTGGACCGGGTGTTCCATTCTATCTATCCTTATTCTACAAACGAGAGGAGCTTGCGTTTCGAAACGGGCTTTTCATTTCCGCAGCCCCGCTGGCTACTTCGTTCGCAAGCAGTCTGGCATGGCTGATAGTCAAACTCAGCAGCGATGGGCCCATCTCACCGTGGCGCACTTTGTTTCTGGTAGAGGGATTCCCAAGTGTGATCGTTGCTGTGTTTGCATGGTTCCTTATCCCTGATGCGCCTGGAAAAGCTCAGTTTCTCGGTCCTCGGCAGAGGATAGTGGCACAGCTGCGATTGGGAGAGGGTAAAGCTGACTACCATGAACCGCGTGGGAGTGAGTTTAATTGGCAAGAGGTTCGGAAGACTTTGGTTGATCCAACGTCCTACATCACAGCTGTGAGTCTAGAAGATGTCTTCATTCGATGCAGTACTGACTGTTAGCAACAGTTCATGTTCTTCAGCTGCAATGTTGCATTTAGCTCGATGCCCGTGTTCCTACCCACCATTATTCAGGAGTAAGTCACTCGATACTATGCATTGACAACCACCAACCTAACGTCTCCCAGCATGGGTTACTCCTCTCTCACCTCCCAAGCCCTCTCCGCACCCCCATACCTCGTCGCCTTCGTCGTGGTGCTGGTAACCACCTACATCTCAGATCGCAACCGATCTCGCAGTCCCTACCTCATCCTCCACGCGCTCCTCTCATCACTCGCCTACCTCGCCATCGCAGCAACAGGCTACTTCCACGCCCACATGTCGCCCTGGATCCACACATTCATTCGCTACATCTGCGTCTACCCCGCCACATCCGGCTTCTTCTCCGCAATCACCCTGATCATCACCTGGACGATGGACAACCGCGTCGCAAAAGAAGGCAAGGGAACAAGCGTCGCTATCTTGAACATCATCGGACAGTGTGGCCCGCTTCTTGGGACGCGGCTATATCCCACCACCGACGGCCCTTGGTACATTCGCGGCATGGCTACTTGTTCGTTTTTCATGGTTGTCGTGGCTATCCTGGCGTTTGTGTTGAGGGTTATCTTTCTCAGATCGAACCGTACAGCGGAGCGGTCGGGAGAGGATATTGAAATGGAAATGGGTGGTCATGGCGAGGAGAGCGAAGTGCTTATGGGTGGTAATCGACAGAGTAATCTGCGGAGTGATACAGAGACATTTACATATATTATATAGACTGTCATATTAATGATTACTTGATTGGATTTGGTTTGTTTCTTATATGAAGGTTTGCTTTCAATTCTGGTTCAGTAAATTAAGATTAATTTCCTTGACCAAACAGCCATGGTATGTACATTGAAAAATGATGTGCAAAGTATGCGACAGGAAGCTACTTCTCCCCTTGAATAGCCATGCAAGGCATTGGCGATATCCCCTGCTAACCCGACTCGTAACTGACTCAACAGTTATATGTATTACTTATTATTAAGGTCCAGCAGCTTCCTACCAAGCAGTATGACCACCGTCGATGATCATAGAGCTTCCAGTCATGAAGCTGCTCGCATCACTAACGGCAAAGAGAGCAGCGCCTCTGAACTCCCCGGGGTATGCCAGCCGCCCGAGCATGTTTTCCGCTTCCCAGGTAGCCTTGGACTCTGGGTTCTGCTGGAAGATCTCCTCTACCATGGGGGTGATGATGTGGCCAGGACACAAGCTATTAACACGGATACCGTATCGACCCCATTCCATAGCCAACGACCGGGTAAGCTGGACAACGGCCGCCTTGGAGGAGTTGTAAATGGGCGCCACCATGCCCTTGTTGGCGATGAAACCACTCATGCTAGCAACCAGCAAGATGGATCCCTTTTGCTGATAGTTGAACATCTGTCGTGCGGCGGCGGTGGAGGCATTGAAGACGCCGTTGTAGTTGATTTGCATGACTTCGTTCAACGAGGCTTGGCTGGTCTCCAGGGCGCTTTGGACGTGGTTGACGCCTGCGGCGGCGATCAAGCCATCTAGCCTCTGGTCTTTGGCGGCGATTTTGGCAAAGACATCGTTGACGTCAGTTTCGTTACGGACGTCGACGCGGTGGTACTCGAGGCTGCCACCGTACTCGGATTTACCGTGTTCTCTGGCCGCTTCGAATTCGGAATCGGGATTCTGCAGACGATCCAAGCAGTGTACTGATCAGTTAGCATGGGATGTATGATTCAATTGAGGGGAAACTAAAGGAATTGAAGTACCTTTTGCACCGGCTTCCATCAACGCTTCGGCCATGGCTAGACCAAGACCTCTTCCTCCACCGGTAATGGCATAGACGCGGTCCTCCAGGTCGAACTCTCGAAATCGAATGCCATTTTTATTATCTTTTAGGGTGGGGATTCTTGTTTGAATGTGGTCTGAACCATGCGCGGTTGAATAGGATAGCCGCGAGACACGGTGAAGCTTAGCACATTGTAGCCATGGCCGCGCTGCTGGAGAGAATGCTCGGGAGAGTGCAAAAGACATAATTAAGAATTAAGGTAAATGAAATGGGTATAAGAGCAGATAAGACGCCAGTTCAAAAAACAATCATGAGTCCATGCCATTGTCCAGGGAAGCTTCGGTTTATAGTACCGAAGGAGCCCGTTGTGGATGTTTGACTGAAAGCGAAGAACTGCAGGCCAAGAAGGAGCCAAAAAAAAAATAAAAGCACCGCGTGATTCACAATTGGATCCACTATCAGAATCTAGAGCTGTTTTCACGATGGCTACAGTGCCCCAGAAGCTGTAATCGACTGAGAACATCCACGGTACATTGCTCGGCACAGATAACAAAGCGGGGCCGAGAAAGCGTGCGATGAAAAAAGAAACAAGATATGCAGCCAGGGATTGGACAATGGCTGGGGGCACATGAGATGCAATCGGGATCCAGAGCGTTGTGACTTGTTGCGCGATTACCGAAGACGGCGAGCTTGGGTGATCAGTTGATCGAGGGATGGCGATCAAGGAGTGGAATGACCCACCCACCATGGCGGGACTCCCGAGTCTGGGGAGGCCGGATTGATCTTGTCTTCTGGGATAGAATTGTAAACTTAGCATCATCGTTTGGGTCGAGTACTGGCGGTCAGGATGTTGGTACGTACCCTCGTCTGTACCTCAGAAGCACAGGATCATTTGACCATCTCAACTGATCATGATCGGTCATCGTGACCTGCCAAACCATGTCTCTGGAATTGTGGAGCAAGCTTTTCCCTGGAAAATTGAAGCTTGTTCCTCAGCCTTTCGGCAAGGCAGTCCGGGGAATCCGGATGCCTCCCTGTGGAATGCATCGCCTCCAATAGCAATCTCGGCATCCCAAGGACAGTGTGACCGCAAGATTTTTCCTGCAGATTCCAGCGGTGCGACAAGTCGTCTGCAGGAGAGAAGAATATATGATAGAGCTGAAGTTCTCCAGAGGTTCTGTTCTCATACGAGTCGGTGACGGCGAATTACTGGAATGGGTCTAGCGTTCCTATTCGGGAAGGCGTCACGTTACCCTATATAAAGCCATTTCTTCACTTCAACTCGAGATGGGCTGGTATATAACCCTTGGTTTTGTAATTGTTCACATATCCCTCCCACTGCTCTATTCTGTATTTTGTATGCCTTCTTTGCTATATCCAAAATTCCTAGATCCATCATCCTACGATCCTGTCCCAGGTCATCATTAGCTAAAAACAAGGTACTGTATATTATCAGGCGTCTGACTTACATCAAAGACACCAACCACCTTTGAGATCTTATCTAGACGGATGGTAAATTCATGAGTACCACTAGGAGCAGTCCCGATATAATAGGGGTCGTCAGGTTCTTGAATGATATCAATCCCATAGACTCCATTTGGCCCACGTCGGACATTAAACCCTCTCAAGCTAGTGACTTTGACCATAACCTGTATTCCGGGATACTCATAATCACGACACGACTTAATTCCACTTCGCTATGTCTCCTTGGTAGCAGGCTTTGCTCCCGGAGTCGAATAGCCAAGCATGAGACTGGGATGGTCGTCAGAGATGAACTCCATCCCGGTAATGCACACGTCTATAGTATCTCGAAGAACTGATACAACGATCCCACTGAGAAACGGTGTGATATCAATTCGCTCGACATGCATATTTCGCCAGCTAGCATTGTGGTAATGCTGAAGGACCCGGCCGCGAAAGTCCAGTGGCCTCAAACCTCTCTTCCCGGGGAATCTGGCTAAATATGCATCTCGGAGCCATCGCAATGCCCCCCACATCCTGATTTCAGACTTGAACCAACCAGTGCGGGGGAGTTTACAGGTAGAGTGGTAAAGAAGTCTCCAGTTAGCATCTCCTTTAGTGCTTTGAATAGTAGTCCGAAAAAACCCGCGCTCTCCATTAATGCCGAATCTTGATCGTCAGAAGGCAGAGCTGGTAAAGAGTGATTCCATAGCCCTTGACACACAACGTAGATTAAGGAAATCCCGAGTAGACAAAAGGACACCAATAGCTTCACTGATCTCGAGTGGGAGTCGATCGAACCAATCTGTTGGGTTTGGAAAGGGATCTGCCATCCTGTTCACAATGCTGTAGTGTCGCTTTGGGGGATCTTTTGCAAACCGCATCAGCTCTTCAAGACTCGGGTGGCCAGAAGGATTATAAGGGATGCGAGTTCCTTTATATCCATAGTAGCTCAAATGCCCTAAACACAGTCAGACGATCAGATTATTTAAAATGATATGAGAGAAACCCTACTTTCTGGCAGTGGCAAGCACTCCAATGCCTCAAATAAAAAGCCTAGATGAAGCTCTCCTGGATCAAAATGCTCCACGAGACGGCGCCAACATAGCTCATGAAAGAGATAAATGTCTGTTTTCCCATGCTTAGGACAGCCTCTGATGCCCCATTGCTCTATCTCATCATCGTTAGGAATCCGGAAATTATTCCTTGTGGAGGCCCCAGTCAGCTGAACTCCATCCAGGGTGCAGTACACTAGATGCAGTCAAAATTAATGAAAAGTACGATCGGACATGAGGTCAGGTTTTGGACCTACTCGCTCTGAACCGGTGCGTCCATGGTAGAGTAGACGGCTTGCCAATAAGCATAAGGCCGCAAACCATGCAGAATGGGTCAGGATTGGGCAGAAAGCTACAACGTGAGAGTCGACCGAGCATCGTGGGTGTTGGGTCGTGCTGTACTGATGGATAACAGAATTTTGCAGGATCACCTAGCATATAAAGTGTTTGATGGCATAGATATGTCAACAATCTAGATGTCACTCGGCTGTGTATGCGGTAGAACATTAACCATGGATCAGGCATTTGAACTAAGGCTACTACTATTCATAATAGTCCATTAGAGTAAAGAATCAACGCAAAATGAAATATAAAAATGTACAAAAATATGAACTATGCCAAACCACAAAGATCAACAAATTAGCATCTCCCAATGATGACCAAGACTGGCGCACAAAATGGATGGCACGACCCCTCATTCCTTATTCCCCAGCAATCTCTCCATGTCGATATTGGCTCTTGTCCTTTTGGCTCGACTCTTCATAGCATTCCGCATGCTACATTATGACCGATGATCTGAAGCTGGACAATCCGTTTGCTACTGCAGATGGCGGCGCCTTCGTATCTCCGGCGCTGGACTTCCTAGCAGGAGGAGCGCCTGGCGATCTGCTCCCGAGTAGTGAACAGATTGCTGCCATTGTTTCTGTCCTTTCAGATGCTGGCATATGCTGTCTCTTTACTCAGGAATATGCTTTGGTCTACTATGGATCTCGTTGCTTGACGAAAGTATGGCCATTTATCTACCATTTTACTAAAGTACTGATTATTTCTACAACTGCAGGACCGAGTTTTGTGTATCCCTGATGAACATCATGGGCGGGCTGTGGAGATTTTTAATACAATCGATATACTAAAGCCATGTGGAAGGAGCCCCATTTCATCACCTGGCTCACTCAACCATACATATCCCCGTTTTAAGGCTACAGGGCGACTTGATTTCTGGCTTCTCGTCCCAGCAAGCTACTATCATATCATCTGTGAACCTCAGAATGTGGAATGGAGCATGGGCAGTCTACCCTACCCCAAACTTGACGTATACACGCAGAGTCTGCTCGACACCAAAAACGGGGTAGACTTGGAGGATATAATCGACGCAATGGACCTGTCAGAGGAGTAGGGGGAGGAGAATCTGGATCTAAATGGTGATACTGATACAGAATGGTTGGAAGGGTATATTGAGCGTCTTCGCGGGGATGAAATCGAGAAGTTATGGATCGATCTTGAGGCTACTCCTCTTTTGAGGCGGGATCTCTGGATGAAGTATGTAGGGAATAAACAGAGGCGGCTGGGGTGGAAGTGTCCACCTGAGATTTACGCGACCAGATATCGACGGCATGGTGCGAAAAAAACCAGGACTTGTCAGAGGGAGGGGTTGTAAGAGCATTTTACTTTGGTAATTGTTGTCCGTTTTTATTCTGTCTGTGTGGGTGTATCACGAGTCTAAAGCCAGTAGAGTAGAAAGCTAATTAATAGCATCTGAATACTGCTTCTCATTCATATCACGGCACAGCCGTGGCAAGTTTCATTAGTAGAATCTATAATTAAAATTCATAGCAAGGTAGGTTATACACTAGCTAACATTCATAACTCCATCCCTTGTTCAAACACCTTCCCGTGTCTTAAAAGACGTACCAGACTTTCGGGCGACATCAAAATAAAGCAAAAGCGCGTTCGTAGCCAGCAAAATCCCACCGAGAGCGAGAATCCCGGTTATCTTCTTCGGGGACTTCTATTCCATCTCGACGAATCCACCTGCGACACCAGTTCCAGGACCGATACTATCGTTGATATTCCCAAAGTCCAGCTTCATCAACAGTCGATCCACACCAATGGGCTTTTGTGGGACATAGTGACTAGCATGGCCATTCTGCTGAGCCGTCCAGTTTTGAGCTGGGTTCTTGGAAAGGTCGAATAGTCTTCGCCCTTCCCCAGATTGGTTATCATCGATATCTCTTAATCGAGCCACCACATCCTTAATTCCCGCTTCCACATTCAATCGCGTGGCGCTGAGTTCTTGCCAGACTTCTTTCTCTTCGCCTGGGTAGTCTGCCAAGTCATCAACGACACCCTCATCTTCTTCTAGATCCATATTGCGCTGGATGCTCTCTAATCGAACCACGAGGGCGATAAAGCTATCAACACTAGTCAAAAGTGATCGAAGAGCTCCTGTGAACGGTGAATCTGTGAGAAACAGTGACTGCACGAGAGTAAAAAGATACCGCCGATGTGCAACCGTCAAAGTCTCTGGGTCGTGTTGTCTCTGTGTGCTTTGGGTAGAGCTTCCCTGTATACTATCGGGCTGCTGCTTAGATGATGATGCGGTTCCAGGTCGAGAGCCTGCCACTGATCCTGCTGGTGGGGGCCCTTCAATCCATTCTCGGAAATGTTGCCAGGAGCCATTGATCACCTCTCCTTGGAAAAAGCTCCCGATTTCTGACAGAACAAACAGTGAAGCACTGCCAGTCGCCCATATTGGCCTCATTTGTCGAATTCGAATGTAGTCTCTTTGTCTCCCTGCCTTGAGCCTATTCTGGCCAAATGGTGTGTTACTCCGCGGAGGACCCCATGGAGAAGGGTGACTTCTTCGGAGAAATGTATGCTTCCAAAGATCACCTAGGCGTATTTGCGCACGCCGGAGACCCAGAAGGTAGGAGTGAATCTTTGAATATATAGCGACGTCGGAAGCTGAGAGGAATAGGTCAAGGGGTTGCAGTACATGAACTGAAAGATATGTTGGCGTTGGGAAAAGGAGATCTTCAAAAGAGACGCTTGATATTTCCGTTACTAGATCAACTCCAGCCGTATCCTGGGATGTTGCCATCGCCTCGTCGTTTCGTTTGTCGCTGATGGATAATTGGACAAGATCCCGAGCAAGGTCGAGCTCATCATCTGCCGGATCTTCTTCGTACTGTAAAGAATAGAGCTCGGTCCACGCTTGCGCCAGGGTAGCCATTACATCCCCTTCTGTGATAGAAAGCCCTTCTAGTCCTTCAGATGATTTCCCCCTGGTTGTCAAAAGTTCCGGCCTCCGATGTCTTTCACTTAGGCGGGCATCTGCATGTGACACAAGTGCCATGGCAAACTCGCCGCGTCGTAAAAGTAGAAAATCATGAAGCAAGGACAGCATCTCGAGGATTTTTGGCAGAGGCAGTAGCTTAGAAAGTGTGGTTTGCGACAGTGATAGTCGGATGGTATCAATGGCATTGGTAAGCTTTGGGGTTGAGATAGGTGACTTCAAAGCGGCAAGGTGCTCAATATGTTCCCCATGCAAAGTGACCGGAGAAGTCAAAAGGCCAGTTGGAGTATCGGCCATAGGAGCTTTCCTTTTTGCTCGGATATGGTTCAAGGACTTCCCAATGAAAAGAATAGACGATGCCGCTTGTGGCGAGACAAATTTCGGAAGCAAGCTCGCATGCATGACAAACTGTGTTACTCCTTGATGACGATCCTTCTCGCTGGAAATGTCCTCTTGGATGAAGAAATCATCTTTTCCAAACATAGGCAGATTTCCATACAAAAGCCACATTGACAATTGCCTCATCCAAGCAGTCTCCGCGGCGGTAACCAGATGCAGCGCCATCTCTTCAAGGTCAGAGTATCCCGTTTGCGATTCCGCTCGAAGGTTATCGATCAAAGCGGCGCCGGTACAGCCGTCCGAAGACCTGCTTTTCGTGTATTCGGGCTGTATAAACCGCACGATTTCCCAAAGCCATTCTAATCGTCGTGTCCATGGTGCGAACTCTGCAACAATCGTCGACAGCGGCACGATACCGTACCCTCCAACATATCCGCTATCCTCGACAAGTATTGCCTTCTCCACCTCTAATATTTTCTTTTGGAATCCGCCAAGGTGTTCTGTGGTGATTGCGGTCGAAACAGCGCGGCATATGACCGAGGTATGCGAAGAAGAAATCAGCGAAGTTTGCGTTCGTAGCCGGGCATGAAGCCGGCTCAAACGGGCGAGGGACGTGAGGAGGGCTTTCTCCGGTGGTGACAGCACTGGAAAAGCATCTTGAGAGACGGTATTTTCATCCGAGTATATGTCGATGAGAGGCGATGGCTGGCCGGAGAGGGAAAGCAGGATCTCGTGGAGCATTCTGTAGGGAGTTCCCTATAGATGCCAGGGTTAGATCAAATGAGGCACGAGGAACGTGCCGGAATACACACCTGGAGGAGAAATTTCTATCTAGACCTGACTCTTGTCGCTGCCAATATAGAATTCCACGACCTAGGAGCTCGTAACGACACATGTAGCCAGTGGGAATTATTCTTGCGTCGTCGATTCTATGTGTTGGAGTAATGCCGCGGCGCGTCGGAGATTCGATATATGAGCGCGGAGTTGGAAAGTAGGGTGTGCAGCTGTCTCTTGCTCGATAACTGGCGTCTGTGTGGTTTTCTGCAATCAGTTTCGCTCCTGAATATCCCCCATCACATCCACAGCAGAGCTCGATGCGGGCAATGTCAAGCTCACTCTGAATCGTCGTCTTCTTGCGCTGTCGGTCTGTTCCATTGCTGGTCCTTTGTTGGTCGATGCCGTTCCGCGGGGCTGTGGCCAATCAGAGCACGCGCTGTGCTGAGTCACCCGCTTGCAGCTGTCCCTCTTACGTCGCTGACTGAGAGGTTTCCAACATCTGTCGCTTTCTCTCTAATTCTCCATCGTTTTCTCTATTGCTTTGCCATTTCTTCTTGCCTCTGAAAATATCATCTTTACCTGGACCTTTCCCTCTCCTTCTAAGGTCCTGTATAGTCATCTTTATCTATCTACGCCTAACCGCATTTCGGGTACTTGACCGCTCCTACCCCTCTTGAGTCTGCACTGAAAGCTGTAGACATTAACTTAACTTGGTGGAAAGTCTTGCTCGGAGGCAAGACTTTCGCTTGCAGTCTTTCACCATTCCTTCCGATATTCCCGTTCGTGAGGCTGCGAAGCTGGGAAAGCGAAGAGCGTCTAGCGAGGAAACAGCAGCTCCACCGGATAAAAAGAAGATCATGACGGTAGGTTTGATCGCTAGCTATCCAGATTTTTCCGACTATCTTATCGGTTTCCTCTCGCTGACAAGCTCCAGGACTCCAAAATGCAGGTCGACAACCCACAGGAGGCTGTGGAGATGATCAAGCAGGGAGAGATTGACGAGTCTTTGTACAGTCGACAACTGTGGGTGCTCCTTGCCACGGCTTATAAATCCATCAACTCATACTGACTGCCGGTAGCTATGTCCTTGGCCATGAAGCCATGAAGCGCATGGGATCGTCGAATGTCCTCGTCGTCGGTTTGAAGGGTCTGGGTGTTGAAATTGGTAAGTTCAACGCCTTTAAACATACTTACTGATGGCTTCTCTAACATTCGTTTTTCAAGCTAAAAACATCGCCCTTGCCGGTGTTAAGTCACTCACTCTTTACGATCCTGCCCCCGTCGCTATATCAGATCTATCATCCCAATTCTTCCTCCAGCCTCAAGACGTTGGCAAGCCCCGCGCCGAAGTAACTGCTCCGAGAGTCGCCGAATTAAACTCATATGTCCCTGTCACAGTCCACGAGGGTGGAAGTCTCGTGAATGACCTCGAGCAGCTCAAGCGCTACCAGGCCGTGGTTCTTACTCTGACACCTTTGAAGGAACAGCTCGCAATCGCCGATTTTTGCCACAAGAACGGCATCTACCTTACCGTAACCGACACTTTCGGTCTTTTTGGATACCTTTTTAATGACTTTGGAAAGAACTTTACCGTGGGAGATGCCACAGGTGAAGAGGCTGTGAGTGGTATTGTAGCCGATGTTGCCGAGGACGGTCTGGTCTCCGCTCTCGATGAAACTAGACATGGTCTGGAAGATGGAGACTTCGTGACCTTCACCGAGATTAAGGGCATGGAAGGCTTGAACGGTTGCGCCCCTCGCAAGGTTACCGTCAAGGGCCCTTACACTTTCTCTATTGGAGATGTCTCCGGTCTGGGGTCGTACCAGGGTGGTGGTATCTTCAACCAGGTCAAGATGCCTAAATTTGTTGATTTCCAGTCACTCAATGAGCAGCTTAACAAGCCTGAACTTATGATTTCCGACTTTGCCAAGTTTGACCGGCCACAGCAGTTGCACATTGGTGTCCAGGCACTTCACAAGTTTGCGGAAGCCCACGATGGCCAACTTCCTCGCCCTCATTCTGATAGCGACGCCCAAGAAGTAATCAAGATTGCCAATGACCTTGCCTCAAGTCTGGAAGACAAGGTGGAATTGGATGAGAAGGTCATCAAAGAGCTGAGTTACCAAGCTCGTGGTGATCTGAACCCCTTGGCTGCTTTCTTTGGTGGTATTGCGGCACAGGAAGTTCTCAAGGCTGTCTCCGGCAAATTCAACCCCGTCCACCAATGGCTCTACGTCGACTCGTTGGAATCGCTTCCCGCATCTGTTCCTCGATCCGAAGAAAACTGCAAGCCTATTGGCAGCCGCTATGATGGTCAAATAGCCGTCTTTGGCAAGGACTTCCAGGATAAGATTGCCAATGTTACCCAGTTCCTTGTTGGCGCAGGAGCTATTGGCTGTGAAACCTTGAAGAACTGGGCGATGATGGGCTTGGGAACCGGTCCCAAAGGAAAGATCTTTGTCACCGATATGGACCAGATCGAGAAGAGCAACCTGAACAGACAGTTTTTGTTCCGTACCAAGGATGTTGGCAGACTCAAGAGTGAGTGTGCCTCTGCTGCGGTTCAGGCTATGAATCCCGAGTTGGATGATAAGATTGTCACGCTGCGTGACCGCGTTGGACAAGACACCGAGCACATCTTCAACGAGGAGTTCTGGCAAGGCCTGGATGGAGTCACCAATGCCCTGGACAACGTCGATGCAAGAACATACGTCGATCGCCGCTGCGTCTTCTTCCGGAAGCCCCTACTCGAGAGTGGAACTCTTGGTACCAAGGGTAACACCCAGGTTGTTCTGCCACACATCACCGAGTCCTATTCGAGCTCCCAAGACCCCCCAGAGAAATCCTTCCCAATGTGCACATTGAAGAGTTTCCCTAACCGAATCGAGCACACTATCGCCTGGTCTAGAGATCTTTTCCAGACATTCTTCGTTGGGCCTCCGGAGGCTGTCAACATGTACCTTTCTCAGCCCAACTACATCGAGCAGACCCTTAAGCAAGCTGGTAATGAAAAGCAGACTTTGGAGCATCTGCGTGACTTCTTGGTGACCGAAAAGCCATTGACCTTCGATGACTGCATTATCTGGGCCCGTCATCAATTTGAGGCACAGTACAACAATGCAATTCAACAGCTACTCCACAACTTCCCCCGGGACTCGAAGACATCCTCGGGCCAGCCGTTCTGGTCTGGACCTAAGCGTGCCCCGACCCCATTGAAGTTCGATAGCTCAAGCCCCACACACATTGGCTTCATCGTCGCTGGCGCGAACCTCCATGCTTTCAACTATGGAATTAAGAACCCTGGTGCGGACAAGGAGTACTACAGGAAGGTTGTGGACAACATGATCATTCCCGAATTCACACCCAGCTCCAGCGTCAAGATCCAGGCGGATGATAACGAACCTGACCCGAACGCTCAGGCAGGAGGATCCTCCTCCTTTGACGATGGTCAAGAGATCCAGCGCCTTGTCGCTTCTCTTCCGTCGCCCAAGTCTCTTGCCGGTTTCCGTCTGAACCCTGTTGAGTTCGAAAAGGATGACGACACTAACCACCACATCGACTTCATTACCGCGGCCAGTAACCTGCGTGCCGAGAACTATGACATCCCCTTGGCCGACCGACACAAGACTAAATTCATTGCTGGCAAGATTATCCCTGCCATTGCTACAACCACTGCACTGGTTACCGGCCTTGTTGCCCTTGAGCTGTACAAGATCATCGATGGCAAGGATGACATTGAGCAGTATAAGAATGGCTTCATAAACATTGCCCTCCCATTCCTTGGCTTCAGTGAGCCTATCGCTAGTCCCAAGGGCAAATATGCCGGTAAGGATGGTGAAGTTACAATCGACCAACTCTGGGATCGCTTTGAGGTGGACGACATTCCCCTCCAAGACTTCCTCAAGCACTTCGCAGACAAGGGCTTGGAGATTAGCATGGTCAGCTCTGGAGTCAGCCTGCTATACGCCAGCTTCTACCCTCCGTCTAAGGTTAAGGACCGTCTCCCCATGCCGTATGTACACCCAAGCAACCCGTAGTGTCTCATTGATGAAACTAAAACTAATATTCTCTGTCTAGTATGAGCAAGCTGGTTGAGCACATCAGCAAGAAACCCGTTCCAGACCACCAGAAGAACATAATTTTCGAAGTGACGGCCGAGGACACGACCGAGGAAGACGTTGAGATTCCTTACGTGATGGTGAAGCTGAGGAAGTAGGCCGAGTATACAAAATTCCCCATGAATGATAGAAATTGTCCTTCTTTGGCAATATGTTTTACGTGCTAGATTAGTATGAGCAATTTATCTCTGGATGCAAAATTCCATGTTCTGAATAATATCGCATCAGTGTTGAATCATCATCGCAATTGCTTTGTCAGGCGTTATGCGATCAATCCGTAAGCAACGTCATTTGGCTCCCCGCACCCAAAGGCCATGCAACGCTTCCCCTCTTATCATAATTATTTAAGACCAACGCCACTGCCCGTCACTACGCTCCCTTATGTTCTCTCTATTCCTTCGAACTCAGACACTCTCCCAACGTCTGTTAAATCCTAGAATTATCACTGCGGGGTTCCTTAGCTCAACTTCCAGAAGCTCCGTTCTCTCCGCAAAAATCCCTTTTTCAACACGCAGCATGGCGGTAAGCAGCTGTCCTCCAATTTCGGTTGTTGAACCGTCCTTCTAATACGTTTCGCTTTCCTATCAAACAGACTGGCAATTCCGGAAAGATCACCGACTGGGTGAATCCCAACGATAGGTCGGGCGAATTCAAGCGACAACAGTCGGTTTTCCGAAACTGGATCTCCAGAGAAGCTGGCGCGGAATTCCCTCCGGAAAAGGGCCGCTATCATCTCTACGTCTCATATGCCTGTCCATGGGGTGAGGATTCTTCTGTGCTTTATGTCTCTAGGGAAACAATTGCTAACGTATGGGTTCTTCTGCATAGCGCACCGAACGTTGATCACGCGAAAGCTCAAGGGTCTTGAAGACTTCATCTCATTTACATCTGTGCATTGGCATTTGGGAGAGAATGGTACGGCATCCATATACAACAGGACTTATCTTATGATGGCGGGAAATGATTGCTAATGCTCCAACTATAGGATGGCGCTTTGCAACACCCGACGAGAAACTGCCTGGGGAAAATACCACGCCGGACCCTTTGCATCCTGAATTCACCCACCTTCGTCAAATTTACTTTTCGAACGATCCGGAATACACTGGACGATTCACGGTCCCGGTGCTCTTCGATAAGAAAACTGGTCGGATCGTGAGCAATGAGGTACGTTAATGATCTCAGACGTAAGCGTGGTTACGTTACTGACGCATCCAACTTAATACCAGAGCGCCGAAATCATCCGCATGCTCTACTATGAATTCGACGATCTTCTTCCCGAGCAGTACAAAAAGGTCGACCTCTTCCCTCTGGCACTTCGTTCAAGCATCGAATCTTCCAACGAGTGGATCTACAACGATGTCAACAACGGCGTCTACAAATCCGGATTCGCCACGACCCAAGAGGCCTACGAGAAAGCTGTGAAGACGCTCTTCTCGTCCCTTGACAAGATCGAAGCTCATCTTTCCGCTCCAAAGAGCTCTGACTCGCCGTTCTTCTTCGACTCGAACGTCACCGAAGCAGACATCCGGCTCTTCACGACCATCATCCGCTTCGACCCCGTCTATGTGCAGCACTTCAAGTGCAACATTCGTGACATCCGATCGGGCTACCCGGCCCTGCACAACTGGCTTCGTCGGCTGTATTGGGATATTCCTGCATTCCGGGAGACTACGGATTTCGAGCACATCAAGAAACATTACACGAAGAGCCATAAGCAGATCAACCCATTCAGCATCACTCCCGTCGGGCCGACTCCAGATATTCTTCCCAAGGACGAAGAGGTGAGAGCAGTCTCTGGGGGAAGAAAGTAGTATTTCTTTTTCCGTTGAATTTATTCAGAAAACTTTAATTGATACTTTCTAATGCTTTTCATTGACATCTGTATACATCATCGCTGTAATGAGATTAATATTATACTGTACAGTATATTGACAATGACAAGCCACGCTCAGCAGTGAAAACCAAAGACAGGTTGTAACCCCATATGTACGTGTAATTCAAGAAGTATGGTCATTATAATAATGCTCATATGTTGATTTATAAATGCTGTGAAGCAAGGGTCTTTTGATACATTTCAAATAACAGTTTGGGGGAATCCTCCAGTATACAGAAAGTTGAAAACAAAATGCAAAAAGATGCCATAGTATAAACAAACTCCACAGCATGCATTCCCACATGGCTCATGCCAGTGTGGTTAGTTAGTATGTAAACCATCATGATCCCAATTGATTGAGCAGATGAGGTGGGCAGTGGTCTCACTTCATGTTATGAGCCAGTAAATAAAAATGAATGCCATGAGAAACAAAAAAAATAAAATATGCAGCAAGCTATCAAAAAAAAAAATAAAAATAAAACATAGCATGCGAAAAAAAGGAAATCTATCGATTTCCACCCAAGGAAAATAACTGTGCCATACATGGCAGTGGGCTTTGTGGGTATCTTGACAAAAATATTCTAACAATCAAATGAAATGGGAAATCTTCGGCAGTGTACAGCGGCGGCAATAAACTGATTTCTTGCGGTGAAAGCCTGATCAGGTGGGGGATGAATGAGCCCGATAATGAAAAGCTCCTTTGGGATTTTATTTCAGGCCAAGCATTCGTTTCGAGTTCTCATACACGACGTAGCTGATGGATACTGCCGGCGCAACTTTGAGGAGGTTCGGTGTGAGTCCTTTGTAGAGACCACGAGGGCCTTCAGACTGCAGGGTTCTGCGGGCCACATCACCAATACCGCTATATGTAGCAGGGTGGAGTTTAGTGCCTTGGGCCTGCAGTCTTGTTCGGAGGACATTCAATGGGTAAACAACAGAAGCACTCGTTGCCCCACTAATAGCTCCAATAGCTCCTGTAGTGAAGTTGCTGAGAGGAGCATCGTCCTCGTGACAATGGTTAAGGCGAGCTTTGCGGGCGAGAAGCGTTCGTTTAAGATTTTCAAAAGTAGTCAGGTCGATAGCAGCGTATGGGAACATTCCAACAAGTCCAAGGGGCAGGCCACGGAAGAAGGCGTAGAGGCCATTCGCCTTCCACATCTTTCCAGCCGTGGCCGCGATAAGCCGGGTGCCTTTCAAACCACCTTCAACGGTCTCGCATTGCATTCGACTATCATGATGATGAGCTGTGATATCCCAGAATAGAGTCGAGGACAATACTTACAACTTCAAGGTATCAATGGGATAAGCGAAACATCTGTCGCCACGTTAGATACGATATGTCCAATCAGAGAACGCAACATAACATACTGGGCCACCATTCCACCACACCCTCCGGACAAGAACTGCGATGTTGGCAGAAGGCGCTTAGGGTCATTGTGTCCTTCAAGTCGAGCAAACATACGTTTTGCAGACTGGGTAAAGTCAGTGCCACGCATTCACAGAATATCCACATTGAGAAATATTGGACGACCAACCTCATAAGCTCCGAACTTGATAGCTGATTCGGGCATGACCTTGACCACATTCAATCCATTTCCTGGCCTCGTCAATAGGAATGCTTCCGACAGTGATGCACTAAAACGAACCTGCAAATAGACTCCGAATTCCACCAGCGCGCCAAAGCTCTTTAATCGCACCGGTGAGCGTTCTTGATGCATTGCCTGCGGCTTGTAATGGGGCGCCGTCCTTCGCCGCGCGAACTGCTGCCGTCTGCACACCGGACTGGGCAATGAGATAGACCTTGAGACGATCCAAAGGTGCGGTGGCCGTCCGCGATACGACGCCTGCAATCCCGCCCGCAATAAAATAACCTAATTGAGGAGTGTTTTCCGTCAACTTCTGTTCATAATATCGGAAAGACATCCACATGGCGACAGTCCTAGGTATGGGTAGCCACTCCAGCTCGGGTTCACTATCTAATGAAACAGAAGCATTGTTAAGTGCAGCAGCCGACTCTGAGATCCCAGCGGATTCCGCATGGGCTAGTGGGATGAGGGCTGCCAAGGCATGCACTGGGAAAATATTGTACAAAAGGTTCTTGAGAGCCAAGATATAACGTTTAGGAAACGAGTGGTCTGTACCTAAACCCTGCAGATCGTTGATGTGGACATCTCCTTCCGGGTTCAGATTGCCCGTGGCCGTATAGTATGACAGAACGGCGTGAAGGTCGGATGACGAATAAGCGGGGAGGAAGAGCAGGAAATCCCTTGAAACGATCAATCATTAGAAACATCCAGAAAGTTTCACCTGACCGCCAAGGTGTCTCACCTCCACTCCGCATAGGAGATGACCCCATCCTTATTCGTATCCACGTCCTTGAAGAAGTCGTCTAGTTTTGCGGTCGAGACGGTCATCCCGGACTTGGCGAAAGCAGCCTGCAGCTCGCTTTTATCGATTTCTCCGTTATGGTCGCGGTCGATGCTCTGGAAAAGATCCCATAACCCAGCCTCGGTATGGTTGACAAAGGCTCGGAACTCTGGTAACCATTAGGTCGGTTCAAAGAAAGAAAAGGTCGGGTAGCGCTGGCAAGATAGTTGAAGAACGGAATGCGTGCGACCTTACCGGAGTAATCAATGTGTCCATCACCGTTGGTATCGACCGCTCGCAGTATATTTTGCAACATATCATCGGCATTTTTGAGAGCTGGAGGGAAGTGGAAAAACAGTCAGCCGCCGCAAAGAGGCACGAGATCGGGTCATGGAATCAAAGCGGCTGCTCACGATGATCAATCCTCTTGAGGCCCTTCTTTAAACCATTGAGATCAATCTGGCCCTCCTTCTGGGCATCCAGGGTTTCCCAGAGTTTCGCAACCCGTTGGTCGCGTTCATCTTTCGACTCGCCGTTTGCCATATTCGAGATAAATTTGTTACCGGGCACCCGTCATTATTTTTTTTTTTTCAGGGAGGGGTCACGGTTCAGGGATTGGGCGTATCCCTGTCGTAGTAAGGAAGAATAAGTCGAGTATAATGAGCGTTTTGCATCGAAACCGAGAATGTTCAATAGTTATGAAGACAACAACATGCCGTTCCGATCATGTCTCCCGATGGTCCATGAGAAATCAAGCGGCAATGATTGCTTGCCTTCCACTCTTGACGCCATGGACCGGAACAAACCCAGCCTCCGGCCCAGCGCTCACGGGATCAGAGGGCCCAGCCCTACTATGCCTCTTTGGGAAGGTCCCAGGTCACCTGTCTGGATACCTCGACGGCGATGGATATATCAAGTTGCACCGTCCCATGCACAGAGAACTGTTGATGGCGGCTCGAGACAAAGGGTGATGATGATTCTGTCTTGTTCTAATCAGGGTGAGTTGTTATGTCGTGGGTAGGATAGCTGGATGGCGTTACTGACCCACACGGTTGTCCTCAGAATGATTGGATTACTGGCTCTACAACACCATCAACAAAGACTATGAACAGCTTATCCTGACATTTGAGCCAAGCTTTTTCTATCATAAAATACATGTGCTATGGCTGCCAACTACTGGGTTTCGACTCAACGTCGACATTGGCTCTTCTCGAGAGAGAGTTTGGCCGATGTCCGTGAGAAACAAAAAGAAAAGGACAAGGTTGCGCATTCACAGTTTCCTTTGCCGGATCAAAGGCTACTGAATATTTACTTTGGACAGCGTGAGTTATATGCCCTTGTCGTCGTTCTGGTGCTGGAGAGCGAAGCTAACAGCAACAGAACTCACAAGGCTCGGCAAGAGAATGTCGACAAGACAACAAGCTCTTGCCACTGCCCAGGTATATATCAAGAGATTTTACACCAAGAATGATATCAGGCATACAAACCCGTACCTTGTTCTGACCACTGCGTTCTATCTTGCGTGCAAGATGGAAGAAAGCCCTCAACATATTCGGTTTGTTGTTGGTGAAGCGCGTGGTCTTTGGCCAGGTATGGATATAGACAGCATTTGCCCCGTGTGGATCTATCACTCACCTTTGACAGACTTCATTACTCCCGACGTTGCAAAGATAGGCGAATGCGAGTTTGCTTTGATATCAGAGATGAATTCACAGCTTATCGTGCATCACCCATATCGAACGCTGTCAGAGCTTCAACCGGAGCTAGCTCTTACATCGGATGAAATGGCACTGGCTTGGTCAGTGATCAATGACCATTATCTGACCGATTTACCATTGCTATATCCGCCTCATGTCATCGCTGTCATGGCCATCATCGTGGCTGTCGTCTTCAAGCCAAGCCAGACAAGCTTCCACGGGTCCGCAACACCATCCTTGGCGGGAGCGATGAGAGAAGGTGGTGTGAATATCCTTGCCGCATTGGGGGATAAGAATGGTTCCGGACCTCCTCCCAGAATCCAAAAGCTCATTGGATGGCTTGCGGAAAGCGAAGTCGACATCAAAGCCGTGATCGAGTGTACTCAGGAGCTGGTATCACTGTATGAAGTGTGGGAGCAATACAGTGAGAAGCACTGTAAGGAACTCCTTGGGAGAATGGTGAAGAGCAAAAATCTTGACAAGTAAAGTCAATGCTGCTTTGTTTATGATGTAAGGGATAGTGTTGAGTCATTTGTGCATACTGGCGTTTGGTTTACATTTAAGCATCAAGGTTCAATTTGTCATATCATTCCAATTTCCGATCAATATTTGAGTATTATCAGATTTTATGAGACTAGCTTGACATGAAAGCCCTGTCTAGACCTGGTATGCAATTGCGTCAACATCCCCATATTCTTTCCGACAAGAAAGTCAACCTTATATAACATCGACACTTAAAAATCAACAACAAAAACAAGCTCGAATTAAGTTTACCCTAGAATCCAAGAAACACAAACAAGCAAGTCCTGTATGATGTATGTACTCCATATGTACTATCCTGTGCTCCATACTCCAAAATGTATGTGTACTGTACGCATACCTCACCCTTGCCTACATGTCAAGGAATGTACGAAATACATGCATACAGAAATCAGCCGGGGTTGCCTTATTCGTATTACAGTATACAATAATACAAAACATACCTACCATCTGGATCTCAGAGAGATCAAAAAAATGGAGAATGAGATATGAGATACGAGATATACAGGTTTTCTGCAGAGTGCCAGATAGATAAACTGAGATATTGACTCGGAAGTCAACGTCATGCATGCTAGACATTGTGTCGGAGGGAAAAGACGGAGTAAAAACATGGGTTAATTGCGTCAAGGGCGGCAATAACAGGCCTAGACTAGAGGTGTTTTGAATCCCTTGCTTCATTGTTGTTGTTGTTGTTTTCTGGGGCTGTGTACGACATGCGTATGTGTGCATGAGATGAGTATTATTTTGTTTTGCATGCTGCTTTAGGATATATACATATTGTCTGGGATATAGAGTGTGAATACGGAGTAAACGAGGACTAGATAGTATGAGTAGACAGATGAGATCAAGTGTAACTGTCTATTAGCAGTCTGCTAGTAGAAATACCAGATAGCAACAGGGGCTGAAACAATAATCACACACTCAAGGTCTGATATATATTATCGCCATCCATGACGCAGTCAGACCTTCACAGATCTGATATCTCACATCCACATCCCACTGCCTGGTCTGCAAGGCAATCAATCCTGCGAACCGCATGTTGCTTCCTCGCCATGGGGCTCACGAATCCGATAACGTCCGCTGTGGTTTTCCGGTAATCTGATATTACCCAGATCAGGCTGCATGAGAGAACTTGCAGTAAGTTTGTTCCAGGTCATGGTTAGGCTTCCATGCGTTGATATTCGAGGCCTGGCTGGGTTGAGGACCATATGGTGCTGTTGGGGCTGTCGAGTAGATCACCTGGAACTTTCTTGTACTTATGAGGTCTTAATTGCATGTAATGTAAACATCATCAGTGCTGAGATGTCATATAATGCCTAATTCGAACTTGTTAATACCATGTTGGGTGCTGAGGGTACTCCTGTGATGCATACCATTTCTAACATTCCATTTTCGTCACAATCAAGGATAAGGCGATATAAATTAAGACGATATGTTGCAGGCTGGCTAGAATATGGGATACATTAACCGGCAATTGTACAGTATGAAGAGTGCCATCCGCACGAGGCTGTTATCTGGCCTCATGATAGCCTGTTGGGGTCCAAATAGCCTCGTAGTGATTGCCGGCGAGTAACACCCGATGTCGTCGGTAGATCAGGCTACCATCTTCTGCAGGGACTTGATAGACAGGCACAAGGCCAGGGCTGCAGCTTCGCGAATATGGCTGTGCTAGATTACAGTTCTGAGCTTTAGGACCTGTCTGGTGCTTATTTATGCTTATTCCATTGTTCTGCGCTGGCACTGAGTCAGCGCAGTGAAGCTGAAGGATTTACAGTATCGCCAAGCTAGTACTCGACTCAGCAAAGGGTCCTAGAGCTGGATAAGAAACACCTGTCATTTCATATTCATCATCCCAATATCCAGTGGGTTCTTGGATGATGTGAGTATATTTGACATCCCCACTATATGATCATAGTATCTGACAACATCTACTCCATATAGTAGATCTGAGTACAAACTCCACTATGACTACTGTACATAGTACACAATATCTGACAAATATGCATCATCCACGAGAGGGGTAAGGATTAAACATAGTTTCAGGCTATTTTGATAACAAAAAGCGGTGAGATACAGATGCAGCATGGATCAGGAACAACGGATCAACAGATCAACAGATGACCGACTACCCAATTCTGCGATGTACAGGATTTGGATGCCTCATGCCACCCTGGATAGGCCCATGTGTCACCAGTCTGAGCTTCTGCAGACAAGCAGAGCGCATTGGACAATGGACTGTGCTTGTCGGGGAATCGGGTGTTCCAGGAGGCGCTCTTACGGCGTCTAGGTACTTGGGTATACACTGCACTGCAACCTACTCTACTATTACGTAGACAAATATAGATGCAATGCCACAGCGGACCTCATCCACAGCACAAGGTAGAGCTGCCTGATGATGAATTGGATTGTTACAGCAGTAATAATAAATGGAGAAGGTGGAGAGCAACCCTAAAACAGCACCTTTTTTGGTTCTTGGAAAACCGTCGAAGCCACGAAGACCTGCAGGATCTGCTGGTCATCACCAATAAATGGTTGGGACAGGTGGCACGGTTCATCTCCACCATGATGATGATACCGAAACAATACAGGTGCAAATCATACCCGCAGACGGTCAGCGCCAACGCATGCCTGCCTGTCGGAATTGGCAAGACAATCCTGCTCCGTGTTTCTCCAATGACAAATGGAGTCGATCTTATTAAGTTTCTCTCCTCATCATCACCATATCATCATCTCATTATTAGTCTGTTCTGGGACGATGAACACCTTGGAGACACCTCATCACCACACTATCATGATCATCATCCAATAGCCGGTAACATAAGGGGTCAACGGCCGTCTGCATCCATCCTCGAGGTCATAACTACCACGTATAAGCGGGTATCGTAACCAATACCGTCTCAGGCCTACTATGTGACGCTACCGGGCATCGGCCGACAGCCACTCCCTTAGATCAAGGTCCCATCGTGCAGGTCTGCCTCCCAATCCGGCCTAGTCCGTCGTTCCATAACGTCACTTATTACCACTAGGGAACCGCCGAATGTGTCCTTGAAATTCGCTGATTGGTCTGATTTTAAGAATGAATCCTTAATTCCCCACTTGCCCCACTCTTTCCCCCCTTCAAAAACCCCCTATTGGTGGTCGAGGATCCGGCCTTGCCACTGAGCAGCCGCCAGCGGAGTCCTGGTTGGGTCATTCCCCCCTCAAGGCTGGTGCGTGACCCCGTTAGTGCAGGAGGGGTGTAAGACTTTGCTGTAACCCTCTTACTGTACATGACGAGGGATAAGGGGGATGAGTCTGGCATGGGAAGGGCATTTACCATACCATACCGTCACAGCCTGCCCTTGCGGTGCCCCACCGACTTCCCACTGGCTCAGCCCCAGCAGCAAAAAAGCAGCACAGCAAAAAGCAGCAGCCAATCCGCGGCCACGCAAGCCCCTCTTTTCCTCTCGCCTCCGTCCGCTCCGGCTTTCCTCCTCTCCTCCTCTCTTCTTCTTCTTGCATTTCCCGGCCTCTTTTTCTGCTCTTTTTGTCCCGCCATATTCCTGTTGTTTTTCCCCATCCCACAACAACCTCTCCTCCACTATCCGCCAATTTCGTCTCTTCTTTCGCTCGAAAAAAAAAACCCTTTTCTTGTGTTATTTTTTACTTCACATCAGCTCTTGTCTTCTTATTACTTTACTTACTTTCCACTACTTGACTTTCTCCTGTCTCATATATCTCTTTTACTACTACTATATTTATTCTTCCCTTCCTTGCTCAGGATTTATTCAAGGTGCTGGTTTCTATCTGATTCACCTTGACCCTCGAGCCAGTTGCAAAAAAAAGTCACTGCTCCCCTACTGCTTATTGCTTTTATCATTCGCCACTTTCAATATGTCGACATTCTTCTACGGTCACCACCACCAGCAGCACCAGCACCCTCACCACGGGGCTGCTGCACACATGCAGGCTACCTCGAATAACCACCACGGCGGTCGCTCTAGACGAGGACCCAAGATGGCTGCTCAGAATGCCCAGCGTCAGTTTCGAGGTGTGAAGAGTATGAGGGAGCTCGCCGAGGCTCCTGCCGTGTCTGCTTTCCGTGCACGGTTTGAGGCTGGACGGTCGTTTGATCTGGATGACGATCTTGAGTTCTGCCCGGGACTCCTGACTGAGGATGATGTATGTATAGACGACGATCAGTGATCTCTGAAGGACGGTTATTGACATTATGCAGCTGCACTCTATTCATTCCGCTTCGTCCGATCGCTCCTCTCTTTCTAGCGGCTCTCCCGACACCTCTCCTCTTCAGCACCAGATCCAACCCGTCCAACAAGTCACCCCGTCCATCTCCTTGTCGCCTGCTTCTAGCAATTCATACGTTCAGCCCGGTGTCGCCGGTAATCTTAATCACATGAGCTACCAACAGCCCAACGCGGTTCGCACCCGAAAAGTCATTCCTATTGTCAACCCCAACACTGGAATGACTCTTACGAGCCCACCCACGTCCATCTCGCCGGCTATGATGCAGAACGCTCAGCGCCGATGGTAAGCACCTAGTCGGCCAAGCCACGCCAGGTGGCCTCCGACCATGGCGTGCTCTCTTTCTTTTTCGTCTGTCGCTTCACTCTTCTGCATCATCGGGCTCCCTAACCGCGGGTTATAATACTTTATTCGTTCTTTCGGCACGGCCATCGCATCTATTACGATTTATACCGAAACTTTTTTTGTTTCACGAGCGCAAGAAACATGAAAAAGATAAACCAGTGTTTTGTATATACACTATCTTCTGATGACGACACTTATATCTAGATTGTTTGCGATCCTTCTAGCTTGTTGCGAGCGACGGCGCGATTCGATTTCTCCTACTCTTTTGCATTATTCACTTCACCAACGATACCTTGTTTTATCTTTCGGTTAGGGAAATACTTTTTGTTTTTTTGGCCTGTGAGCCTGGCCGCGATGATGTATAGAAAGTGCGGTGGCTTGCTGTTTGCATGCCTATGGTTTCGGAGTTGCTTTTCTTTGGTGTGTCTTGACGACTGTGCCATATGTGATCGGCTTTCTGTTTCGAGCTTTCTTTGCCAACTTCTTGGGGTTATCTGTTTTTTATTTGGGTGGGCTGGAATTGTTATGTTTTTCAGGGATCTAGAAAGGCGGAAACGATATACGTCTGCATTGATTGGGCTCTTTTGAATTACCCGGACTGTTTGTGGTGCTTTTGGCTTTGTTACCCCCCGACTGTTTTGCTGCTTATTTTGTCTTTTTCTATTTTTCTTTCAGGATTCTTGTATAGGGTTGGGGTGACACGCGATACTCATTGCTCCTTGCCACGGGTCAAGTGGCTGGCTGGTTGGGTTTGATTGAGAAAAGTCTACGGACTGGATGCGGAGTTGATGTTTTGGGGGTCTCCTCGCATTTTTACTGCGATGCATAGACCATTTTGCACTAAAACTACTTTGTTTCATTGTTGCGTCGTTGGTCGACGATATATTTCGATTCGTTTATTGCTTCCGCGTTGACTCGTTCGGATATCTTTTCTCATTTTCTCCTGGGACTCCCGGAGAGTGATGCAGTGTATGATTTTTCTTCTGGTTCACTTCTTTCTTGGGCAATCTGTCATTCTCATCGTCTCCTTTGTCTATATGCCTTGGCTTAACTATGAGTATTATACATAGTTGTGAGATAGCAGGACAATTTGATCATTGTCATCCATTCTTCAACAGTTGCAATAGTAGACTACTTTAGCCAAGCCCGATTTGACATGTTTGTTTGGCCCCCTTTTCATCTGCCATCATCAGTTCACTCCGTCCATCTACACTCCATTCATCAACGAAATGCACAGAATCAGACCAAGACATATATCACGCACCCTCCACTCCCTCTCCCGAAAACCCCTCACCCTCCCTCCCCCAACTCTATTACCCCAACACGAACTCATCGACGAGGAGATCAGCCCCGGCTACAACCCCAAGACCTTCTACCCAGCAAACCCTGGAGATGTCCTCGCCGATCGCTACCAAATCCTCGTCAAGGTTGGCTGGGGGATGTCATCTACAGTCTGGTTTGCGCGTGATATGCGGGGGTATTCTCTATCTAAGTTACCTACTCATACTATCACGATGCTAACAAAGCATAGACACGAAGACGAACCAGAAAACGTCATAGCACTAAAGATAACCAACACCACCTCGCATGCAGCCGATGAACGCGAAATCGAAGACCACATTGCAACGACCGACGCATCGCATCGAGGTCGTTCGCTTTTCAGAACATACTCGGATTGTTTCGAGATTGCTGGCCCGGAAGGGAAACATGTGTGTCTGGCGTACGAGCCTATGAGAGAGCCGATGTGGCTGTTCAAGAAAAGGTTCAGGAATGGTGTTATCCCGCTTCCACTTGTTAAGACTTATGTTTATTTTCTGCTTGTGGCGTTGGATTATCTGCATGCTGGGTGTGGGGTTGTTCATACTGGTTTGTTTCTCTAATCCCGTCCGTTTAGAAATTGGCTGACTTTCGTTAGATTTGAAACTCGACAATATAATGCTCACCTTTGAGGATGCCGACGTACTAGGTGACTTTATGAATCACCATCTCGACCACCCGATGCAATACAAAATCGACTCCACCGGCAGACCAATATACCTCAGCCAGAACGACTTTGGACCCCTCCAGAAAGTGACCAGAAACATACCCAAACTCGTCGACTTTGGACTCTCCAACCGCCTCGACAGCCACGATGATTGGGGAATCCACCCTATCCAACCAGACCACTACCGTGCACCGGAGGTCATACTGGGCTGTGGGTGGAGGATGAGCGCTGATATATGGAATCTAGGCGTTCTTGTCTGGGAGATTATCGTGGGGAGGGGGTTATTCTGTCATGTCCATGATGGAAAAGGGTGTTATGATGCCAGGGCTCATCTTGGGGAGATGATAGCTTTGTTTGGGCTTCCTCCGATAGAGATGGTTACAAGATATCACTCGGCGAGGGGTTATAAATGGCGCAGTCCTATCAAACGGCAGGATGGTAAGGTCTGTGAAGATGCAGAGCAATATTTCGGTGGTCCATTCTTCTATAGGGATGGTATGTACCCATCTCGGGTAATATATATATTGACATGCTAACAAGGGTAAAGGCAACTTTCTACATTCGGATTTAATCCCCGATCGGAAGCTAGATACACTTCCCCTAGAAGAAGAGGAAAGAGAAAACTTCCTATCGTTTATCAAGATGACGCTTGCCTGGGTGCCAGAGGATCGGAAAACGGCGAGAGAATTGATGGAGCATCCATTTGTCCGACGGTAGCTTACAACTAGAGCCCCCTCGCCTGATATTCCATTAAAGTATTCTATATTATAATTTTAATTGATTACGGGCTGAATATAAAATATAAACCGCCAAAAATATTAAAAAAGACAAAAACATACAACAGCAGGGATTCGCTGGTGGTCACCCACCCAACTACTAACCTGTAGGCGTGTGGCTTAAGTACGGCTGAGCGGACGGGAAGCCCTGTTCTCCACACCCTGTGGTCGTATGTACTAGACACAACATAAAGGAGAACTATATAGGAAAAATGATAATAGTTTATAGGGGCAGTTACAATGGATCTACAGTTGATTCTTCTCTAGATAGTCATGCTACTACTGTTCAGTCCTTAATCGTCATCCTCTTCTGGGAGGATGACTTTGACCCTCTTCAAACCTTAATTTTCCAATGGCATCCTCAGTCAATGGTCTAATACATAAATATATATTAGCGTCGTCATCATTTAGTCGATGAAGAGCAGTCAAACTCATGTGAAATACATTGGAGAAAAGCTTGATTAAGTCTTACCTGATGACCTCCTCATGATGACCCTCAAATCCGTCAGGGTAAATTTAATAACGGCTTGCTGTTTAAGACTATTAGATTGGCTTTAAGATAGACTAGGCATGCATACCTTTCTGTCAGACATGTCGGTCTGGACCATAGGGAAGTGAACTGTGTGTAGAGATGAGTTGTAGATATCATCAGGTCTATTTATAACTGAAGGTCCACACAGTAACAAATTATGTGAGGGGGTGCAAAGTTGGCCATTACAGTGAATGAGAGGACTACTGGATTACGCAAATCCCATGTTTATGTGCTAATTTGCGGCCCTTTCAATATCTTTTTACATATACAGGCCCAATAAACACGCGCTGAGCCTCTGTAGGTGCATACATTCCTATCTACTTCAGAGCTTACTTTCCCCCGCGGTAACCAACCGCTTATCCTCAGCGAACCGATAATAATACTCCAGACACCCCGGATTGAGAAGCGTGCCGGACGGCTTGATCCGCTTCCCTGAGACGATCTGTTTGACGGGGAGTTCCACCTTCTTTCCATTGACGGTGACCTAACAGTGAATCGTTAGAGCTCACCACCTACTCGGTCACAAGTCTGGATCAGGTACGTACCGGAATTTCAGCCGTCTCAAAGATAAAGCTCGGAACATGCCGGCTGCTCAGTTTCTGGCGAATGGCGCCCTTCACCCGGGCAACTAATCCCGGGGTGAAATTGACCCCGGCCTTCAATAAGAGGAATAGCATCACCCGCTCATCTGTGTCTTGGGGTCGTCGCTGACCGACACAGATCGAGTCCGTGATCTCATTAGGGAATTCGGCGTCTAGGACCTGGTAGATCTCCGACGATCCGAAGCGCACCCCGGATGGGTTCAGGACACCGTCTGCTCGACCGTGGAAGAATAGTTGGCGGGTGACGGGGTGGATGGAAACAAAGTCCCCGTGCGTCCAGACATCTGGGTCATAATTCCTGTGAGTAAGGAAGAGAATGCTGCGATGGGAAGGTGGAGAATGAAACGTACTGTCAAATCGAGCAAAATAGGCATCATGATACCGTTTCGGCCCATCTGGACCCCAGAAACAAGCAGGCATGTTAGGGAAAGGAGCGGTGGCTACCAGCTCCCCGGCGTTCCCGATCGCCACAGACCTTCCCTTTGCGCCGGCGCCTTCGATACTGGCATCGTAGACATCCACCGGAATCCCGAGACTCATTCCCGCGCAGCCACCCACGTGAACGGGGAGGAGGGAGTTGCCCACTCCAAAGCACCCGGCCAGATCGGTTCCTCCGGAGATGTTATTCAAACGCACGTGGGGTGGGAAGCCCTGGTCGTAGAACCACTCGAACAGAGCGTCGGGGAGCACCATCCCCGTGCTGGTCACCACTTTTAACGAACTCAAGTCGGCGATCTGTCGCGGGGAAATGTTTGCGCGTTGAAGCTCATACATGTAGCGTGGGGATGTGCCGAAATGAGTTACCCTGGGAGAGGTTAGATATGTCAGCTCTTTGTTGGGAAATACAGTACATATCATATCGCTTACCGCTGTTGCTCTGCAAGCCGAATCAACGATTCAAGCCGCGGCATAAACGGACTGCCATCATAAAGTACAACCCGGGACCCGAACAAAAGGCTTTGAATAGCAGAGAGATACATAATCCAGCCGGTGGTGGTGTACTGCAGCACCGTACTGGACTCATCCAGCTCTGAATGCAAGTGCCCTTCCTTATACGCATTGACGAGCACCCCGCCGACTGAATGCGCAATGCACTTGGGCTGACCGGTGGTGCCCGATGAGTATACGATCAAAAAGGGATCGCAGAAGGGCATGCGTGTAAACTCCAGCCGGTCATCGGTGGATTTGGCTAAGAAATCACCCAGCAGCTGCGCCTGGGGTATCTGGCTGATCTGCAATGGCCGGGAAGCAAAGCGCGGCTGGGAGACCACGCCACGGAATTCCTGCACAGAACGCATTCCGTCCACGACCGCCCCCATCTTCGATCGCAGGTCGATCGTCTTGCCATTATACACGGCCTGGTCGTCCATGAACAAGAACCGAGGCTTGATTTGGACCAGCCGGTCCAGGATCCCCTTGACGCCCATGTCCGTCGAGCTGGAAGAGAACAGGGTTCCCAGCGCCGTCGAAGCGAGGAACACGAGCAGCGTGTCAATGCTATTACTCGCACAGACGGCGATGCGATCGCCCTTCCGCACCCCGTTGGCCTTCATGGCCTGGAGCAACCGTCCGGTGCGGGTTCGGAGCTCCCCCCACGTCAGAGACACGGGGGGGGGGGTCGAAGAGGCTCTCACGGACCTCAACCACAGCAATCTTCGCATCTTCCTTCCCTCGTGTGCAGGGGCCGTTGGGGCTGGCTGAGAATAATAGGTTCTCGGCAAAGTTCAGCCGGACGCCGGTGAACCAGTGGGGGATGCTGTCCATTCGGGCCGATTGATTCACCACGGTGGTATAACTTCCCTCGTGAAGGAGATTGAAGTTCTTCCAGCAGAAATCCCAAAAGGTCACTGGCTGTGTGATGGAGAAATCGTATAGATCATGGTATCCCTACCGACCACTCCTTAGTTTGGTGAAGGCTCTTCGGCCATCTGGTTCACTGACCTTGAACTGTTTCCCAACGTGCTGCTCGAGAGCCCTTCGGAAGCGTCCCATGTAGGTGGACTCTGGATCCGAATGCTTCCAGAGCATGCGTGGAGTGTCTTGGGCCGCCATTACCTGAGTGAGATTGAAGGAGGGGACTAGTTGGTGCTCTGGAAAGAGGAAACCTCTGGGATGGCCGGGTTACGCTATTATATGGGGAGGGCCCGGGATATACACCATATACCTCGGGTAAGCGTCCGTGCCATTGCGGCCCGCATCACGGATAGCTCCCACACCGTGGGGCTAATATCATAATATGGGGCATAATCGCGCTGTTCAAGGTCATATGCATGAACTCCTCGAACTAGGTCTAGATCTGGGTGTGCCTCGGGGATAAAACATGTGGCCTCGTCCGCATCGGCCTTACCATATGTGTAGCGTACTACGGAGAACGGCGTTAGAGAGCCCATAGAAAATCAATTTCCTCCTATAAACTCATCTCCCACCATACATTACTCCAGAAACGCGGCAGGAACTTTAGGCCCCCAAATCGCCAACGAATCCGGCCCTGCAGGCACATATCCAATGGGCGTCTCGGCATTCACCAAGTCGCCATCGGCGTAGTGTTCGACCATATTGCCCGAGATATCCCACCAGTAATCGAAGATCTGAGATCCCAGCACATGACGACCTACTCCCCAGGCCGGCCGACACCCCTTCTCGACCAGCCACTGGTGGCCGAGCTGCTGCGAGTCGTAGTCATGGACCTCGAAAGAGCAATGGTGCCCGTGCGAGGTCTTTGGATTGGCGCCGAGGAAGAACGCGTGGTGGTCTACGGGCTCCTGTCCCAGATCCAGATGCAGGAACACCGTGACGGGGATTCGCTGACCATCTTGTTCGATGTAGACCACGTCGGTGGGCACGATGTTGAAGGTGGACGTGTAGAACTGCAATTGAGACTCGAAATCCTGCGTGGAAAGGCCAAAGTGACCCAACTGAAGGGCAGAGTTAGCTCTCTTGTATCCCTGCGATATCTCCCTCTCGAGAGCCCGGTTTCTTACCTTGTAAACTGCAGCTGGTCCAGGTTTAAACTGATTGAACTGTCTTACACGCGGCTTCTCGCTCGGGAAGCTCAGAACTGTCTTCTCCTGTTTTGGCTGTTCGCGGGAAGAATTGATGGGCCCCTGGTCATAGATCACGTTGAAGGGGAATCCATCGGGGTCGGTGATTGTCACCATGGAGCCAGCCCCTGGGGCATCCGCTAGCTTTCGCACGGGACCGGCGTTGGGTAAAGCCGCTGCTCTGGGGCCTGATTAATATAGGGCATTGCTTGTCAGACGCTCAGTTGCGTACCGTTGGAAGTCTCCTAGACTGTCTGCTTCGAAAGCGCCCCCCAGGAACTTGCGGGGACCCTTTTGCGTATAATACACGTAGTGATCGGGGCCGTATCCGCGGTGCCAGATCTGTTTGTCGGTCTGGTGCGCCACCTGAAGGCCAAAGTCCAGCAGGAACTGATGGATCTCCTGTAGGTTGGGGTGTTGGTAGCGGACGTGTGATAGCTTCTTGAGATTGATACGGGCATCCGGGCACACCAAAGGGAGTGGGCTTTTTCCAGAAGGAATTCTTGCATGATGGAGATGTGGTGGTCGAGGTCTGTAGCCGGGCCAGTGGATTCAACTTGATGATGTATGTGTTTAGAGTTGGATAGGCCCCGCAGTCCTTCTAGATCATGCGGGGACGTATACGACCGCTACCGACCTTTCGATGGATAAGTTTACATGCAATTGGAAAATCTCTCGCCATGTACTATAGTATATAGTATTACAATTTAGTTCCCAAACCCTCTCAGAGGATCAACTTCTCTGTCTCGAATGATAGTATTAACTAGTATCGAATCAAAATAAATCCGGCATATTTTCCACAAACGCCAGCAAAGTACTCGAAAGATTCTGCGACAGTTTCCAATGATTGATTTTCCCCAGCAAATCAATCGCCCTGAACAACGGCTCTGACTCCGGTCTCCCCATCTTGACGTTGCCCATGACTTCGGCGAACAACTTCCGCTGATTGATTCCCAGGAGTCTCAGCTCGGGGAAATCAAGATCCTCAGTGTGGCGATCAACCCGAGCGTCGTCACTCCCGCCAAATTGAGTGAAAGACGCCCAGGCTATCCCGGTATAATAAAGCGCCATGGGGACGTGAACGGCTGGCTCGGCCCCCAGCGCGTGCGTCTGGAATTGTCGCTGGATCAACGCCGCGTGAAGGAGGGCACGCGTGGCGTTTGTGGATTTCGCCCAGCATGCGGCGTACGCGCCTTTCTGCTGAGATAGCGTCTCGCCTTCTCGGCCGCAGGCGCATTCGAGGTCATCGAAGCGGGCGTATAAGTGCATGAAGGTGGAATGCCAAAGGATGCGCAGGCAAAAAGGATCCGCGGTTGTCTTGGTAGCGTTAGACGGAGGGGCATTGGTTTCTGGGTGGTGGGTTTGTCGTTGTAGGAACCACTGGATGAGGGACCGTTGGTATTTTTCGACTGTTGCCGAGTGTTGCATTCCGCCTGAGCCTCGGTCCTCTAGGACCAATGATCCGATGGACTCTAAAATGGCGCACGATTCGAAATCGTTGCCTGGGTTTCTTGCAACGACCAGGGACATGGGGTCTGTGGAAGGTGGTAAGGGAGGGATGGGATCTGGTTGCTGAGTGAGAAGGAGCTGCTTTTTCCAAGCCACTGCGGTGGGTGCTGTGAATGCGCCTGGTGGGGATAGGGTTGGGATCTTCTCAATGGCATGTCGTAGGACGGGCTCATGATTGTGCAGCTTAGCCAGTTCCACATCATGGATGTAGATGCCTACGATAACACTAGGTAGGGAAGACGTTCAGTGTTGTGTTCTATGTATGACGGTTTGTTGGGATGGTACTGTACCGTTTCTTTTCCTCCAATCGGGCCCATGCTTTCCATGATGCCTCGAGCTCCTCGCCACTGCCTTCTATATTGACGGGGTTGGGGGGCTCATCGACCACTTTGAACAGCTTTGCGCTGCGTGCCCACTTTGTCGATCAGTTGGTGACCTCCATGGCTTAATGTGTGGGCCTCACCGCAATTATACTACCATGGAACACCTCAATTCCCGTTAGATCTTTGGGTCTCTTAACGGTCGGTCAGTGGGGGTACCTTGCGGTAGAGGGATGGGAAAACTGTTCGCCTACCCCGACTAGAAGGCCAAATGTTTGGCCTATCACTGACGCCTGCAACGGAATGACGGACGAGTCTCCTATCCCTGCTACATGTGTATCCCACTGAATGGACGGTCAGTATATGCCCGCTTATTCATGAGTCATCTCGATGAACATAACATACCGAGGCAAGGATTGACTTCTGCAGCCTTTCAAACATGCTTATGCCGTGCGCCATTGCCCGCGATGACCCCAGAAACAGACTACCAATGGAACAGATCGACAAGAGGAGAAGGGCATTCTTTTTCGACGGCCGAAATGTTGGCACATGGATGAGCGGGAATATGGACTGAAAGTGTTTGAAATATGCTTGAAGGCAAAAGTCCTACCAATACGCTCGGTTAGAGGGGAGAATTGCCTGACTTTAGACGCGGGTGAAAAGAAACACTTGCCAAGAATCCAGTGGATGGCAAAATCCCGGGCTGTACGCGTTGTTGCAGACTCTCGGCCAGCGTTTGCCGATAGGATTCGTCTGGGATCATGTGGATATGACCGCGGTCACGGTCACTGCTGCCGGGGCGCCGACGATCGGGCGTCGTCTGACCGGATGAGACTATGGACTCGGAGAAGGTATGCCATCGTCTCTGAATTGGGCCCGGTGCTTCGTCTGGGTTTCGTACGAGATCCGTAAGTTGCATCTCGGTTGTCTCGATTAATGATTGATTGAGTGCCTCGAGATCAAAATTAGGCCCTGTTAACCACGACATCCAGTCGAGGTCTCTTAGTCCGTCTGGCAGGATCTCCCACGGGCTTGTCTCGGAGGCGAGAATGTCATTCATCTCTGCGGAGGGCCAATGGGGCATCACGAAGTCCCCATGATGGTTCGCGGCTTGATTGTTCTGGTTCTGCTGAACGGGTACGTCGACTGATGCGTCCGATTTCGACGCCGTCAAGTCGGTTGGAAGATCCAACAGCATCTGCTCCTGTCCAGGAGCGGATGGTGCTGATTCTGCAGCATGGGATGGCTGGATCATGCCGGCCTGGGGGCCCTCACTCGTCTGTCTCGTTGGCTGAGCATTCCCGCGATGCGATCTCGTATGGCGCAACAGGGTGTCTCTATGAAGGATTCATTAACGGGGCTCTCTCCAGATCACACCACACTATATACATGGCCCACGTACGGTCTCGCATAGAACTTGCCGCACACATCACAGGTGAACGGGCGTTCTTTTGTGTGCGACCGGATATGCCGGGCCAGGTGCTCTGCCTTCTTGAAGGTTTGCGAGCAAATGGAACATGTTCGTTCGTCTGCGGAGGTCTTGGGGCGGCGCTGCCTCGCACGGGGGGCAGTGGGCGACATGGCCGATGGAGGAATGGCAGCAGAAATTGCGGGGGATAACCCGGAGGCACCCAGAGGCTGTGTGGGGCTGCCCAAGTACGGCCAGCCATAGCAAATCAATATGGATTCTATTATATAACCAGACTTGATTGGGTACGGGCTATTATTAGCCCAAGTGCCTAGTGGCTGGGAAACCGCCTGCCTGTGCGTGGAGTGGAGTCGTACTAGGAAATTGGCAGCGTTGGGTTGCACAGGATAGATCCCGCATCTGGAATGTGGGTTCTATCGGCATCCCATTGACGCCTTGCACGCGAGTCTCTCAATGCTGGACCCAAGGATCGCATAGAAGCAGCAAGATGATGTCACTGAGATATAATCTGGCCTGGAGGGGGAATTCGCCGTGCCCACTCTGCTTCTTGGTTCGATTGACCGTCCAGGTTCCATGAAAGAGTATTCGACCTTCGTTTACCAACGTGTTTGATGGTATATAGGAGGCCTCCAAGCCGCACGACCGCGACTACCCCTCTCGCCCATCTTCATCTTCCTCTCAATCTGCTCGATCGCACTTTCACCGGCCAAGACCCCGCGCAATGGCAGGCCGCATTGATGTACACCATCATTTTCTTCCTGCCGCTTACGTGCAAGGTGCGCTCCACGAAAAGGCTCTATATCGAGATTGAAAGAAGCTGACCAAGATGAAAGCTCTCGACAAAGTGGGCGGCGACCCTTCCGGTTTTCCCACCCCCGCTTGGTCCATTGAAGCCGACCAACGGCTTTGCAATGACTGTGCTATCGACACGGCGATCCTCTCGGTGACCGCGCCCGGCGCGGCCATTCTGAAAGGAGCCGAGGCCTCGCAGCTGGCCAGAGAATGCAACGAGTATGCCAAATCTTTGCGGGACCAGTACCCGAACAAGTACGGGTTCTTCGCTACGGTGCCCGACATTCTCGATACCCCGGTCGCCTTGGAAGAGGTTCGATATGCTCTGGACGAGCTGCAGGCCGACGGAGTGACCCTTTTCACCCGCTACGGAACCGGCAATTACTATCTGGGCCACCCCGAGATCCGTCCCATCTGGGAAGAGCTGCATCGCCGTTCCGCAGTCGTGTTTATCCACCCTACCCATGCAGTGGACACCAACCTCGTCAACCCAATGCTTCCGCAGCCTTTCGTTGACTATCCGCATGAGACTACGCGCACTGCGGTCGACCTGATCACCACCGATACCGTCCGCCAATACAGCAACTGCAAGATCATCCTCTCCCACGCGGGAGGCACCCTGCCTTACCTTGCCGTGCGTCCCGCGGTGGCTGGGAACGACTGCGGGCTCTGTAACATGACCCCCGAGCACTTTCTCGAAAATGCACGCATGTTTTACTATGATTTGGCACTGACCGATGCGACCTATGCGCTGCCCCTTTTGCGGGAATTCGCCTTGCCCGACCACATCCTTTACGGCAGCGATTTCCCATATGCGCCAGTCCCTTCGATCAAGTTCTTCAGCGACGGTCTGGCTCAGGCTGACCTGGGCAGTGACATGGACAAGATCAAATATGGTAACGCCCGGAAGCTGTTCCCCCGCCTTCGTGCTCCTTGAACATATAAACCTGTCCGAGAGTGATGATTCCTGTCCCTAGCCTGAAGATAGGGAACGCACAATTCATGGATATAAATCTGTTGATAGTAACAACAATGAGGTCTTCCCGAGATTTCCCCTGATCGATGGATTGCGTAGCGTTTTCGCGTGGTGGAAGGCGGGGTCTATGTTTCTGCATACCTATTTTGGGTTGGATTACGCCCCGTTGTGGGTCCTATATGGGGTATCTATCATAGGACCACATACATTGTACCCTCAGATCCCAACAAGTCCGCTTCCTGGAGGCGCAATTTGCTGCCATTGACTATATCATCTAGGCTCGCTAGTTCTCTTAGTAACCCAAGCAGCTCCTCAGGACCGTCTCAGCGTCTTCCTGGCTCCAAGCTCCCTCCGTCTCACCACTCCGCCAAGCCACATGCATATCAGGGCGAACCAAAACGGCAGATCTCTCCCACAGCTTCCGAGCCGTGGTTTCCTGGGGCAAATGCACCACCGTCAGCGTTCTCTTGAACGGGGGAATGGCCCTGTTGAATTCCTTCCCATAGGCACCGTCACGCGTAAAATCGACCAGCGTAAAGTCGGGTCCTAGGCGGTCGTGAATCGCCACTCCATCACCGAGTATAATATTCGGCACTCGAGAGCCAGGCCATGTAGTCGCAACGTAGTCCCGCTCACTCCACCCCGGCTCGTTCCCGGGGTCCTCTTCCAACCGAATGATCGACGAGCTGAGTCGGTACCCCATCTCGATTCCCAAACTCTGGTTCTCCCCGTCGTTGGCACACACATGGCTGCGGATGCGTTCCCGAAGGGCCTGTCCTTCCGCACTGTCCCGGCGCACTTCCCCCTCGCTGGCCTGCCGAACCCACCCAGTGTAATCCATGTGAACTTTGGCATGTCGACCGGACATGGAAACGTTACGCACGGCGACCGGTCGCCGCTCAGCTTCGTACGATTCGAGTAGCCGTTCGCCGCCCTGGCCGTTCAGAACCATCGCCAGCTTCCATCCGATATCATATGCATCTCCGATTCCCGTATTCATGCCATACCCACCAAAGGGGATGTTCTGATGAGCTGTCGAGGTGTCAGTTAAGGAACCCCCCGTTTATCCATCATGTCGCCGTACCTGAATCGCCCGCCAGAAAGATGCGTTTCCCCGGTGAGCGGAATGTCTCCGCAACACCCAAGCTCGCCCTCCATGTGCTCCTCACCAGGATTTTGTCGATTTTGATCGGCTGCGGCGGACCAGAGTCCCCAAGCGCAGCGTAAACGGCTTGCTCGAGATCGATATCAGCCATGTCCGTGTCGGGTGGCAGGGGAGTGTGGAGGGTCCAGGTATCTTTCTCGTCTTGACTGATCACCACCCCCCCTTTTGACAGGAAAAGGTGCCAGAATTGACCCTGGCGGTGGATCACGTCGAGGTCTCTAGACTTCAGGTGAACGAGAAGTGTCGGTACCGAGCTGCCCACAAACGGGATATGCACGTTAGCAGACAGAAAGATATACATACTCGACGTGAAGACATAGGTAGGTAGCGCATTCTTACATTGGGGACGAGGTAAGCTGGATTCCGGCCGAGGTTCGCACGCGACTACTGGCGCCATCACAGCCGACGACGTATTGGCTCTCGATAACGTGTTTCGCCCCCGTAGCCACGTTGGTTACAGTTGATAGAACCTTTTCCGTCGACTCGGTGATCGTTTCGAATTTCATCCCAAAGTACGATTCAATCAGCGGCTCCTCTTGGATAAGAGTCTTTAACCAGGCTTCGAAGATCGATTGAGAACATCTCTGCCAGGCATAGCGCGGCATCGTTCCGTCGTGGTTGTTCCGTATCTGCGCAGCTTGCTGATCCGGAGACGGTAGATCCTGAATCCAGTAAGTATTCTAATATCAAGCTTGAAGATGAAGACAAAGGGAAATGTTATACCCATTTCGCCAGAACCTTTCCCCCAGGAGACAGCCCCGTGCTGAAAATGCAGTCAAACGAGAACTGCATAGGGACACCTTGATAGAGCGAAAAAGAATCTCAGCCATCTGCTCCATTATAAGCCAAGTCCAAAGGCATCAGAAACCTATCTCTCGTAGCCCATCTGCCAGCCCTAGACGCTGGAGCAGCTCCATTGACCGTGGATTGGTGATATCCATCTTGGGCCATTTCGTCGTCTCCAGGTTGCGCTCCACCAGAACCGTTCGAATGCCCCGTTTTGCGAGCTGGAAGGCCGTCACCATTCCGATGGGGCCGGCGCCGACTACAAGCACAGGAGCCTCCACCTGGGGTGGCATATCGACGTGCGTCTCTGTCATGGTGAGTCTGTGTGGAAAAGGTCGTTAGTGACTATTGCTGTATTGCCTGATTTACCCTTTGGATCGAGATTTCTGCAGCTTTTGCGGGAAATGTCAAAACGACTCGGATAGGTAAAGTTGTCTCGATAGAGGTAGTAGTAGTTATACTTCTTATGAACAGAGCGTTAATTCGTGGTCGCTTGGCCTCCCCTCCATACGGGGATATCCTACCTAGGAAAATCACCGTCCCCACAACGGTTGTCTAACATATCCTCGGTAGCCAGCATGCGGGGAATCCTGAAGAACCATGATAGACGGCAAATGAAGAAGATCACCGCCATGTGGGGATTAACACAAGCTCAGGGAGGTAGGAAAATGGAATGGCCACAGACTAGTCCTGCGTACAGAGGGGGAGGGGGAGGGGGACAAAGCATATAATTTCCCCGCAAAACGTTATCGCATTCTTCTTCCTTCAGGATTCCATGCCTATTTCTGATTTTATTTACTTGATACCTTACCTTTGCGAATCACCATGTTCTGGCACACCATGCAACTCACAACAATGCGCCAGGTTCTATTGCCCGTGTTGGTCGCGCTGTTTACCTGGATCATCTACAAAGTCTTGACGATCGGCCGACGGGACCGCAATCTCCCATCTGGTAGGTGATCGTGTGCAACCGTTCGCCGGACCGGCAGGACGCATCGATCTGATCTTAAGAATGCTCTTTTGACAGGACCTCCAACGCTCCCCATCATTGGAAATGCCCATCTGATCCCAAGAAAGGGTGCGCATTTTGTGTATGAATGCCACTATCCAGTGAGCCCGAAACATCAGAATCACCGTACTGATTGGGGGAAAAACAGATTCCGAGAAATGAGGAAGAAATATGGCGATATGTTCTCCCTGAAAATCGGACCTGGGACGGTCATCATCCTCAGTGACCGGAGAATCATCAAGCAGGTCCTCGATAAGGGCAGCGCAACCTCCAGCAACCGACCCCAAACCACAGTCGCCCAGATGATCACCGGTGGCCACCATTTGTTGACCATGGACGGAAGTCCCGAGTGGAGGAGTTTCAGAAAGCTGGTACATCAGGAGGTGATGGAAAGGCGATGCAACGAGGTCCATATAGCGGTTCAGAATGCGGAAGCGATCCAGTTGCTGCATGACCTGGTTGTCTTTCCGGATCAGCATATGAGCCACCCGAAGAGATACAGTAATAGTGTCATCATGAGTATCTGTACGTGTTATATATCCTGGGGAGAGGAGACATCTTTTTACTGACCGTGTGTGGTGCACAGTGTTTGGCGTACGAACCCCGTCCACCGAGTCAAAACATATGCAACGTCTTTACGATCTGATGGATCACTGGTCTGAGGTCATGGAGATCGGCGCCACCCCTCCGGTGGATGATTTCCCCTGGCTGAAGTATTTCCCTGAACGACTGTTAGGGAACTGGTTCTCGCGCACTCGCCAAGTACACGTGGAGATGAACTCCCTGTACGGTGACCTCGTCCGGCATGTTCAGCGCCGACGGGAGCAAAAGGGGACTCGAGACAGCTTCGTGGACCGAGTCTTGGACCAGAACAGCAGGTTAGGGCTGACAGACCATCAACTGTACTTCCTGGCCGGCGTGGCTCTTGAAGGCGGCTCGGACACTTCATCGGCCGTCATCACCTCCTGCATGCAAGCGTTGTCTCAATTCCCCGAGATCCAGAAGAAGGCACAGGTGGAAATCGATGCCGTGGTGGACGAAAGCCGGTCGCCGGTGTGGTCGGATTTTGCTCAACTGCCGTATGTGACTCAAGTCGTGAAGGAGTCCCAGCGCTGGCGTCCCATCGGCGGCCTGGGCTTCCCCCATGCCCTCACCACAGGTAAGTCCCACCATGAGGACAGACAGAACGAACGGCCCCCCAAATTCCTGACGATAAATGAACCCCAGGCCAGTGGATCGACGGCAAGCTTCTACCCAAGGGAGCCAGCGTGTTCATCAACCTGTGGGACATGCATCACGATGAAAGAAGATGGGAGGATCACGACGTGTTTGATCCGGACCGCTATGCGGGCTATACCATGCTGGCGTCTGAATATGCGAACTCGTCCGATTACGAGAAACGAGATCATTATGCGTTTGGGAATGGCCGTCGACTCTGTCCCGGAATACATCTCGGGGAGCGAAACATCTTCCTCGGAATCGCAAAGCTATTGTGGGCATTCCGGTTTGAAAAAGCAACGGACAGTTCAGGAAAGCCAATTGACGTCGATACGGACTACGAGACGGGGTACAGCCAGGGATTCCTCATCAATGCGCGTCCGTTTCCGTGCAAAATGACCCCTCGCTCCAAGGCCCGTGAAAGCACCATTATGCGTGAGTTTGCGCAGGTGTCGCAGGATGTCTTCTCGAAGTACGAGACTGGAATATCATGGTGGACATCGTAGCGTTGTTATATTGTCTGTTTTGGTCAAGTCTACGTATGAATGCAAATATGATGCCCAGTCTACCAACATTACCCCGAATGGAACAACCGGTCCAGAACACGTAACGATCTGTAGGAGCCAAGTGTAGTGAGTGGGGAGTGGGTGGGGACTATCTAGATGGATCGACTTCCCCACATTTACAAGATATTCAGCGGCTTGAACGGGGGCAGCGAAATAGTAAATAACCTGCGTCTCCTCTTCTCTTTTGTGAGACCTCCTTTTCCCAAATACTTTCCATGTGAATCTTTCGCAAATACAATGGACAACAACAAAGCCAGGTGCGGAGTGCTTCAAGGTCAGGAATACTCGTCTCCCTTGACAGTGTCCGGACGGCCATCGGCGCGTCGTGCGTGTTCCGAATGTCGAAGAAAGAAGACCAGATGCGACACCAAATCTCCAAAGTGCTCTTTTTGCTCGAGAACCGGTCGGACTTGCGTCTATCGGACGAGGCATGGGACAGGAAACGATCCCAACCCGAGTCCCAACCCGAGCCCACATGAGGGTCCGATGATGCAGGTCAGCATATTAGACGGTAAATATGGGACATCGCCCGCCCCAGATACAGATTTATACAGCCCGGATGCCTTGCTATGCTATGAATCGGGTTGTATGGTGGAAGGACTCGCACCCTGCGTTGACCTGCGGTTAACCCAGGATGTTTTCATGATCCCCTCCCTTCCCGACATCATGCTGATCGGCTCCTCGCCGGAAGACGCTTTCGAACTTGGCATTCCCGATGTGTTGGCGAATGAATTGGTGGGACTCTTCTTTGACAGTGTTCATAACTCCTGTCCCATCTTTCGCCCCTCCACATTCTGCCAAACGGTTCTTCATCAAGCGGATCCGGCACAGCCGCCGTTTCATGGGCTATCGGCAACGTCGAAATTGATCCTCAATGCGATGTTTGCGTTGTCGGCTTGGTTCAGCGATGGAAGATGGAAGATAGAAGAAGGGAGATGGTCTTCTGTTTTCTGTTTTCGGCTTTCTCCTGGCCTATTTATCCGAGAAGGTGACCACATCATTACCCCTCGATGTAGTGTTGGCTATTTTAATTTCAATTGCAGCTGAACTGGGGATAGTAGAATGGTCCAGGCTGCTCAGTTCAGTTCCCCTACTTCATTGGATAGTACGAATTGCTTTTCGAATGAACGGGAATGTCTGTTCTCTACAGATGATAAAATATAGAAATGGATGAAGTTTTCCTATTCTCTTGATACAGTGACGCAGTTCATTCCTTATTCCTCATCATCAGGGAAGGTGAGTTGAACCCCGTCCAAAGCTTTCAACTTTTCAATGGCATCCTCACTCAACGGTCTGAAACAGGGGTATTAGCATGATATACCTATGAAAGAGGATCAAACTCACGGGGGGTGATAGACTGGGGGGTAGCTTGGCTGGACGATAAACTGATCGGTTCCAGTATCCTCTCTGATGATGCTTTTATCAGTCAGTATATATATTTCAGGCGAAGGAAATACAATTCAAAACTCACTTAATGACCTTCTCATTGACGTCATTGAATTTATCCCAGTCAAAACGGATGATGACTCGCTGTTGAATCATATTAGTTCTGCTTTATGTAGGGTCAGGTCGGGTATACATACCTTTCTGTCAGACATGTTGACCGTGCTATGTTAAACTGTGCTGGAAGGGTGGAAGAGAAGAAGATGATAATTCTTGTTTTCTGTTCCCCTCGAGGGCTTTTTATAAGAGAAGATGGACTCCACTACCCCTCTATGCAAGTGTGGCATCATGTGCCAGTGTAAATGGTCATCGCATCTGCAGCAGTGAACTGGGATGGCGGAATAATCGGTCTTCACCTCATCCCCCCCACTTAATAACTCATTGGATAGACAAGTCGCTTCCTGGTGAGGGGAATCCCTGGTCCCCGCCCTGTGGTCGTGGTGGATGGCAATGGTTGTGATGTTGATGGAAATATCATTCTTTCTATATGACTGTCAAAATAGCATCAAATAAGAATGATGATCCGCGGGCTTAGTATATACTCTATATCGACACTAGTTTAGTACTGCCTGACTGCCTTCCATTGGATTCGCGGCATATCCAAAGTGATAACGAAAAGGGCTTTTCTACCAGCCTGGACAATTCAACCTAAGAGGCAAATGCAGCATCCGCTGGCCTGTTATCGATGGCTCCGGAAGATGGCCTGCCCGAATATTCATCTGCAGCGATTGATGGAGTAACTTGGGCTCCCCCAGTTTGGCATCGCGTTCATGTCGCACAGCCATAAATTCCGCTTCAGTCACGCCGTCCATTAGATGTTTATTTCGTTTTCTGTGTTCCTTGACACTGATACATGAGATAGGCTCGCTGCGTCCTGGTGGGGGATAATCATGGCCTGTCCAGATTTTTACATGATCTGGTAATGCGAGGAGCTTGCGACCGGATCTGTATAGACTCTCTGCGCTTCCACCGGGGAAATCGCATCGTGCGGTGCCAATGTCTGCGTGGAAAAGCGAGTCACCGCAGAAAACGTTGTCTAATAAGCAGGAATCAGCCGATGAGTCTGAGGATGGTATCTAAGTCCTACCGCCAATCTTATAACCCAGATGGTCGGGAGTATGACCAGGCAGGTGAATGGCCTGAGCACGGAGATCACCAATGTCGAACATCTCATCATCATCGAAAAGATGATCAAAAACGCCTCTGTATTCATGCACAGCGACGCTGTATCGCTGACCAAACAAGTCTTGCACCTGTCCGATACGCTTCCCAATGCACAATGCTGGTCGCTGTGTTTGCTGTTTGGCAAGAGCATTCTGGATGTAGGACGCCGCAGTGAGATGATCAGCATGGATATGGGTTTCGAGAATCCTGTCAACTTGATAACGGTGCTGCTTGACCAGAGATAATAGCGAGTCGGCCGATTCAGACGTGATAGCCCGGGTGACTGGGTCAAAGTCCAGCACGGGGTCGATCACCACCGCACTCGAGGTGGAAGGGTCTGCAACCACATATTGCCAGGTTTCTGTCTTTTTCTCGAACACGCTATGTATGATGGGTTGTCCGGATGTAGCCGGACCAGTGTGGTAGGATCTGCGGTACGTTGCAAATGATTCTCTTGCTATCTGAGACGTGTATAGACGAGTAGAAGCTCGTGTTTGAGCGAGGAACGCACGAGGAGCCGTCTTGCACAGCAATTGAAAAGTGAGAGGAACCTTCATGATGGTGAGGAAGGTGAAGATGGAGGACTTTGAAGAGAGTCAACTTTTATAAACAGGGGCGGGTGAGTCATCGGGAATGTTCCTAACTGCGAATATGTTGATGATCACTCGATTATCCCAACTCACCTTGTCTAACTGTAACCTGTGGATCTGATCATCTGACAGATTCCCGATTTGGTTATATTCTCCGCCAAGACAGATTGAATTATCATTGCTTCGACAAAGTGGTGACGGTGGCAGGATTATCCATCGACCTGTTCCAATCTCACTATCCCAACTGCTAATCTATCACTCTCTCGCATGCGTCATGCAGAAGGCACTGGACCTCGTGATGGGTGGCCAGAAAGAGGCTATATTAGGGCACAGGGTTAGGGCAAGCAGCTGACGGGTGAATGTCCTCAAACCAAACAACCCTTTCCTGAGCCAACCCATATCCAATATCCTGGATTTAACACGCATTTTGACCTTCAACTGGACTGTGTCTAGTCATAATAGCTCTTGTCATGGCCAGAAACCTTGAAAGATGTCTTGACTCGGCGAAAAACCTCCTCCTATATGCCGACACAGGCAGTCTCTTGGGAGGTCAGTCAATCCTTGTACGAACCCAAGCCAACCCAAGTCTAATAATTTCTCTCTAGGCCTAATACTCCGAGACGAAGCGCCCTACATTAATCCCGGGATGATATATCGATACTGTGCTTTGTTTTTAGAAATGCCTGTTGGAGTGTCCTGGGAGATCTTCCATCTGAAAGAGGATGGGTCAACCGGCCGTTCACTCCGACGTACGGGCCATTACATGGTCGAACCTGGCAACTATATCATTCTTGATCAAAGTATGAGCGAACCAGCTGAGAGAGCGATGCAACACCACTAATGAAATGTAATAGATACAAATCCTATCCAAATCACTGTGACGTCAGACCTTGCACCACGTCGGGTACGGAGTGGCCTCACCGATACCTCGCGTGATAGAAATAATCTTGTGTGTCATTAGCTGGACTTCTAAGCGTTGTGTCTCTAACTTATACCTCAGCAAGGCTACTTTCGTGACGGAATCAGGGAGCGAGACAGATCGTGCACAATGACGGGCAAAAAGCCAACCAGTCGAAACCCATCTTTTAGTGGACTTATTTCCGCGCATATCTATCCGGTGGCAAGATTGGCGGATTGGAACACGCAAAATTTCAGGCGATTCCTGACAGACACTAGCAGCGAGAGTCGCATCGGCCAATCGGGGATATACTCTCTGCAGAATGGGTTGCTATTGAGAGCAGATATCCATAGTAACTGGGATGATTGGCTGATAGCAGTAGACCCGGATGTATGATTTCCAAAGGGTCTTCTATGAGGTAGTTCAATGCGCAAATGCTAACCTTCATACCTGCATAGGAGGATTTCAAAGTAATCTGCTTTTTCGAGGATGATGAAATGCTAGGGGGCCGTCGTCTGCAAGCTACTGCAATTAACGCTAGTAATGCAAACCATCGCATCAGTCATGATCTCCTTCGGTGGCATCTCCGGATGTGTGTGTTGAAGAACATGAAGGGAAACGCCGGTGTTCCCGAATGGGAGTATGAATTGGGACCAGATGATATCGGAGAAATCATGGCACAGGAGGATGCAGGAGAGCGTATGGAGGTGGAATTGTTTTCCCGCCTGGGGCCCTTGATTGCATGAGACATTATTGTTGATTTGCTGAAGTATTCAATCGATAAGCTTCGGGATGCTGTAATTGAATTATGTCATACTGAATCGTCCATTGGCGAAATGATACCAAGAAATCTCCGTCGACAGCATCAAAGAATAACATCCATTTACACAATGTACATGGAATTCCCAACATGCGGCATATGCGGGCAACTGCTAGAAAATGAACTCGAGTTGATGTTTACCCTGCGAGATAGAGCAGAGTGGAAGGATAAGAAGACTTGCAGCACCACCGAGCTAGAAGATGCATATTTCACCGTTCCGTGGATATGGGCGACCTTTGTTCGGATGAGTAGGTCTGCTAAAAGCTGATCGTGATGACTGGCTGACTGACTGATGTAGTACTTCCAACAGACCGAAACTACATATACACGGCACAGAACGAGGCAGCGAATAATACATTCTTCCTCTCGGGAGTAGGCCAAATGGGGTTATGGAGGGACGAAGCATCAACGCCTATCCAAGTCCCTCTCGACCAGAACGTAGTTAATATAGGCAATCATGACGATACAGACGGGGAGATAATCTCTGCATACTGGACTCGGATGAAGTATACAGCACCCAACGACCAGGATCTGCAGTATACCCCGCGCGGATACGTCCTGCACGAGCGGTGCTGGTGGCTCGCCAAGAGAATCATTGGGGGATCAATCCTAGAGAAGCATCTCAATTTATTCGCGGCTGCTCTTCACGATACACAAGACGGGGTAGACGGGATGTCGCTAAATATGGAATGGATGATCTATATGCGGGCGATTCTGGACAAGGGCGTCGAACGATTCCTAAGCACCCCGCAACAGTACGTGCAGGAATATACGGGCTATTATGAGCATGCTGCGACTCCCATTTACCCGGTCGGTCGTGATCCGGTGAATATTGTCGAGCTGCGAGATTTGGTGGATAAGGCCAAGGGGCGGTTTGGGATGGCGCTGAAGCCGCCTATCTTCAGTCTTCCGATTGACGTGCAGTGTCTCCTTGCTGATACTCTTGATAGCTGGGATCTGAGCAATACGCTTTTTGCGTTTCAATGGAGGCTGCCGGATACATATTGGCGAGGTCGAATTCCCATGGAGATCCTTTTTGAATATGAAAATATTCGGCATCAGAACCTGGACTGGCAATATTTCAGCCTGGGGCTGGAGAAACTGTTCAAAACTTCTGATGGCTTGAAGAATCGACAGAGAATACTGAAGCAATTGGGCGATATTAAAAAGGCGTTTGCAAACAAATCAAATCTGGACTGAGTAGTCTACGCATACTGTAAACTGCATCAGACTTGGTGCAGTTGACGCTGTCGACAGTGATGTCTGATTAATTACCTGCCTTCTATATAATTTATCAATATACTTGTTCTAGTACATACGACCACAGGGTGTGGAGAACAGGGCTTCCCGTCCGCTCAGCCGTACTTAAGCCACACGCCGGCAGGTTAGTAGTTGGGTGGGTGACCACCAGCGAATCCCTGCTGTTGTATGTTTTCATCCTTTTTTTGATGCTTATTATTTTTATATTCAGTTGGAATGGACCAATGAAAAGCAAGGTTTGATTAATTCTCTGGTGTGGTCAAACCTGAATACATGCTACACTGCCGTTCTGCAATCATGTGGTATATTCTTGTAGACTGTCTTTATATAGTCCATCCTAAGTCCAAGTCAGCTCCCTCAAAGCCACTGAAGTGCAGAATTTGGGTCTCATAAGAATCAGGCGTAAAACTGTCCTTGTTTGACTTTTCGGGCTCATAGCTTACAAAGGCATTGGTGAAGATCGCTTTCCGTCAGCTCTTTTGTTAAAGTGAGTTGGCTATGTTTAGAAGAGTATTTAGATTACAGTGTTCATGTTGATTATATAGTATATTCAATGGAATAATCTCGGATAGATCAAGCAAGTACATATCTTCGGTTTCTCCTTTCTGGGAATACATCCACTAGACATGGGAGGATGCGGGTCGTATTTCCGCTGAGATCTCTTGCCCCGCATTAGCTGCAGATCTGCAGTGCCGCAACCATCGCTAGAGTCCCATCATCGATAGGACACCAGCTGATCCCAGAATCCACTTATTCTTGTTGGGAATACATGCAGACAAACTCAGAGTGGATTCATCTCTGCCATCTCTGCCTAACCCCACCCTAGATTCACTAGTTCTCTTGACTTGCAGAAGCTGAGGGCGATGCTACAGTGTGATTAGTTGCCGGATACGACTATGCACGCCGTGGAAGTGTGGATGGTGTAGGCTTAGCTCTCCCATCGAACAGACCAGTTGTTCTGCTGAGGATTCCAATCGCACATGACAAAGTTGGGGAGGGAGAAAACTATTTAAGATGCCTTCCGACCTGATCTGAATCTGGCTTGACAGCATCCACACTTCCCTCAAACCAATCTGAGCTAGGCATATACCACGCCCACAAGTAGCAAGCAACATCCTATAACTACCATCCCCTACTGACACGTACAGAATGGCCGAATCCGTCGAAGAACTCAAAGCAACCGTTGCAAAATTACAGAGGGAACTTTCTGTTAGCAAAGAGATGCATGAAAGGACTAGCGCGAGATCCACGGACGAGAGGGAAAAATGGGATACAGAGCGCGAGGCACTACAAGCGAAAATCTCCGGACTAGGGAAGGCTTTACATGAGCTGCAGGAGGCAATGGAGAACATGTAGATTTTATCGTGTTGCTCAGAGAATATCAATCCGATTGATCTCAATAAACCTCCCATAATTCTATTCCACAGTATGGATCCTGATCAGTATCTGATTGGATAGGGGTCTTGCACCGATATATGGTCATTCGCTTAGTTCTTCTTCAGATATCTACGCCTCATCAGCCATCTCTGGACTTTAATGGTACTCTATAGCCCTATGCCAGTTCTCAGGCTACCATCCAGTAGACTGAAAATCAGGACTGTAAGGAATGCCACACTTCCTATCTATATAACAGACTAGGAGCAATTATAGTTATTAATATAGACACATCAATAAGACTAAGGAGATAATGACCCTGTTGGACTTGCTTCCCGGATATGAGTTTTATAGTTAAGCTAGTGATAGTAGCTTATAAACGCATCCAAGTCGCCCACAGCCTTGATTTATTAAGATATAGATCATGGTTCTCCTTGATAACTATGGTTGACCGCGGAGAAACCACAGGTAGCTCTACCAATTCTCAAGTCCGCCCTGAATTCGACGCTGTTTTAAGGGCCATACTCTTGTCAGGATAGGGTGAGTATCAGTGAACATGGTGAGCTGGGGTGAGGGGCTGAATGGGGTGAAGTGATGAGGGTGAGTAGCCATCCCCATATAAGTGACTTGATTTATGAACTAGTTTATAGGCAGATAAACATGGCGTTCTTTCAACAAACATTTAGCCATTGCTCAATTTATTTTATTTTATTTTTTTTTTATTGAACTACTGTAGATAGTAATAGGGCCCAGGGTTCGGGTACAATATTAGGGTAGTTTGTTAGTACTGAGAGTAATGTGGCTGGCTATCTACAGTAAGAGTTACGGGAATAGCGGCTTCTGATTAGCAGAGGGAAAGTGTATTTATATGATTCAAAGAATGCTTGAAACAAGGCTTTTTAAATAGCAATGCTAACTGTCAATTTGGTATGGGAGGTTGGAACGATAGCATTTCAATGACCCGGCGCCATACCTAATCGGGCATATGGGGTGTCGTTTGATTAGCTATATCACGGCCTAATTATTATAAAGGTATTGGTTTGTATAAGACACAAGCTCCAAACTAATAGAAAGGAGAGTTGAAGGTAGCATGAATGACAGCAGCCCGGAAAAAATCTGCACACCGATTCGATCATGTCTGTAACACTTTTCCCAGAATGTGAGGTTTGGTAGCACATCCCTATGTGATCCTCTTTAAGCCTTTGGTCGAGTTCTTCCCGCCCGGCGATATCTCTCCAATGTCTCAAATTGCCCGGCCGATACTTTCTTGGACATTCATGCCATCTAGTAAGGGCAGATGTATGCAAATCCTCTTCGATGATGCGTCTGGATGCAAAACTTTTCTCAGTAAGCATTGAATAAAGATAATACCATGTAGGGATCTGATTTCTGTGTAGTATTTGGTCTCGCAGGAATCTAAAGTGTCTTAGTCTGGTTGGGGCAAGTTAGCAAGGAGCGAGGTGAGAAAATTAGGCAAACTTGTGATTGCCGTGGTCACCCACAATGTCTTGGAATAAGGCAGACGTCTAAAATAGCCGTGGAGCCGGCCATTTCTGGCCGCATCAAGTAAATAGTCATATACGTCGGGGATTGAAAGAAAGCTTTCACCGTTGTAATCCTTCGGGTCCGCTTCAATCCCAAGCTGCGCTTTTATTTTCCAGATATCAAAGTCTAGACCAGCTCTGATGGCCTCGCGGAGCATCCAAACTAGAGGGATATGGCTAAGACCCCAACCTTTGTCAGGGTCCGGGGGAGCCACACCACCAATGTCCTAGCGGCAGGTCAGCAACGGTTTACAGATATTAAAGGGGTGAAGCATTTACAGCATGTCCTCCAGGGAACCATATCTCAGTTACATTACTTCGATCGTGTCTGAATAGCCGGAACAAACGTTGAGGCCCGTCGCATCGCTTTTCGTCGATCGAGATAGCGTGGCGAACGATTTTACTATCAAGCTGAACCTCGGGACGGGGACTCAACCATGGCACTGGTATCTTCCCCTCGATGTCGAGCGCATCAAAGCAGCCCACAAACTCCACCCTCCCAGCTGGTTCGCAATACTCTTGGCGAAACTGGACCATCTTCCAGTATGCAGTTCGTCTTTGCAATTCAGTGCTTGTCTTGCTTTTAAATGTAATATTGTGCCAACTGAAATATGACGACATCGGATTACCTCGAACGATATCTGAGCTTTTGAAAATTCCAAAATATTCGATCATTTTGGCTAGGAGTATCACCTGACCTCCGGTGGAAAAGCCAAACAGGAATATTTGATCTCCAAGGCAGTAATGCTCAGTGATCCACTTGATATCAATATGATCAGTACTTTTAACCTGCAAACTGTGAAAGGGATGAATATCTTACTTTGTACCCAATCTGTATGCACGATTCAACGCAGTTGGTACTTTGGCGACTTGCCCTATGATAGTAAGATAGTTGGGCATCATTGGTATCTGCAAGCATATCATGCATCTTGTAAATGCTGGAGGTGATGTTTTGCCTCTCTCTACCTTTGTAGGGTGGTCCGTCAAAGAAAAGAACCAGTTTTTTGCTCTTCCGTTCCATGCCACTCTGAGAGGATATTTTACGACCGATAGAACTCGAATGGTCATAAATCAGGCATTTGTCCACAGATGGACCAGCGGTTTGCAAGGTTGTCGCAACATGAATTAGCTTGGGCATGGCAGAAAATATTGACGGGAGGTTGGTTTGCTTGGCTAGCCCTCCATTGATCCTAACATACTGATTGTTTCCTCCCGGCCCCTTTACCTTAAAGCTCGGTATGGTTAGTTTCTTTTTCGAGGTGTCTTGGCATTGCAGTATCAGAAGATTTCGTATCTTGGGTAGATGTACTCTGATGCCCAGGTTAGTGACAGCAACTGGTTCGGTCCTTTTGGCAAATAGAAAGGGAACCATGCCACCACTATCTTTAAAGTCCCACGGCGACTGAGCAAGCAGGCCACTGGGGTTATCATGTGAAACATCATCCCTCTGCCATGCAAATAGTGTCTGATCAGCAGAACCCCTTAGGATCTCTTCTTGGAGACGAATAAACGCCTTGTCACCTTCTCCATATAACAGTGGCATGTTAACATTAAATAATCCCATAAGACAATATGCAATATCTTCGACCCGAGTTGTGTGTCTATTGGCCGCCCAAGACATCCGTTTGGCGATGCTAAATCTTTCAAGCTGGGGAATTTCCACCAGATCAGATTCGTCGATTCCAGTTATATCTTGGATTAAGGCACTCATGTCCGCTTTAGAACCCATGTCGCTCCAGTTGCTTGCAAGGAAAAACAACTTTGGCGGCGCAACCAGTTCTTGAAGAGTCCACCCACGGGTAAACCATTTGCTATTCTTGATGTTTTCAGATAATAGCTCCTGGTCTTCATTTGCATCAACATCACTTAGATATGCATAGCAGATAGCGGATTTCTGATACCAACGATACATAGAGTTGATCGCCTCGGACAGCTCAGCACTGCTTTCCTTGTTGTCCATTCAAGTTATCTTGTAGAGTAATTTATATCCACACCCACCTTCTCAGCCTCCGCAGCCAGTCGGTCACACTGGTCCTTGTACAGGTCGTCCGCATCGCTAGGATAGGAGAGGTAGATTTCTTTTAGAGCAGGCACATGAGAATCCTTCCTGGCGGCAAAGTCATGAAATAGGCGGTCGAGGGCTTTGTAATGGTGCTCCGGGTGGCCCTCGGTGTGAGATAATAGGGAAAGCCGAGAGACCGAGGCAGGGATAAGGTCACTCAGGAGCGATTCGTGGTTCGCAGGTGTCATAGTGCACAAGACCAATTCAAGGGGAAGCACAAGTTTTCGCAGCCGCTGGAAGCCGCGCATTGATACGCTTCCAGGTTTGATTGCGCCAGGGAGTTCGTGGATGCTGATGCAAAGCTGCTCAAGGTGACTCCCGACCTCGTGCTCGATTGCTGTGATAAACCGGCAGAGATCCCAGTCGTGGGAAGTATCGTTTGCGTCTGCCATATGCAAGTACTTCAATTTCTTGAGGCGTGGTGTGTGTTTGAGAAGGTCTGTAATAACCATCCAGTCAACATCCGCAAACGAGATATCAACCACTTCAAGGCCTGATTTGAAGTTACTGTCCAGATATTCGGACACAATACTCCTGTGGCCGCCCATGCCGATGCACGTGAAGCCGCAGAAAGACTGGACGTGCGGTAGGGCCAGGAAAGGGGTTGCCCATGTTATATCGAATTGTAACACGGGGCTCCGCGTTACAAATGCCTCGAATTTAGTGACCTGGGCCATGCTGGGTCTGTCATAAGGGAGACACGGATGTCTTGTTTTGCGAACGACAGCATCAACGAGCTTATCAGCTGCAGCGACTGGCTTCCACCATCTAGGCAGCTTGAATGCCTTGACATTAGGCAGCAGCGTCAGCGCAAAAGCCGCAGCTCGCTGCGAGTAGCGAGCAGCATCGAGATCCTCTTCCATCGCAGTCCAGTATTCCCTCCAATCGAGACCTGCTTCCTTCAGGTAGGGAGAATTGGCGAGCAGTTTCACCACAGCGCCATCATAATCGACATTCGTTGTGATCTCACGGTCTTTGCCCTGAGTGCATTGGCTGTCATTCTCAAAGTCCGCCTTTTCAATGTAGCGGGCGATAACCGGCTTGACGGCGATGAGGGCGATCAAGTTGAATGCTGAACAGGCTGTGTATGGAGGAGTATGGTAGACCAGGTGTAGTCTGCTTTTGACCACTTGATCTGTCTTGTAGTAGTAAAAGTCCTGGAAATGATAGCGCAATTTGTTGTAGTGCTCGATGAAGGGAGTACAGAGTGTGTAGAGGTGTTTACAGGTCAAGGCAAGGCTCTCAAACCCCTCTGGCAAGGCATGTGTGATGATATTTTCCAGAAGTTCATTTGGCAAACGCTCAATTGACATTGTTATGCTGTAATTGGTGTGGTGGAATGAAGTTGGGGTGGTGAGGGGAAAGGGGATATCTGTCTCGCCAAAACTCTCAGCCTCAGGCCCTCATAAACTTAGTACCTGTTTTCAAATACTGGTTTGGTTTAGATTAAGGGTCCACTGCCTGCGGATTACGGGTATATTGATCCATGGGGCTATTTAGGTAAGCCCTGTGAGGCTGTCGCTGTAAACAGGGCTGTAAGGCTGCAGGAGTAGAGCAAGAAGTGTACTAGTCTGTTAGCCTGAGGGTCTTTCCGTGATTAGTCAGACGTATCTATGGTTAGTACAAACAAGGCCATTTTTATATTGATGTACATTGCCTACCACACAGAAGATGCACTTTATGAAATTGTATATTAGTTTGAATGTAGAAAGCTTGGACCGTAATCATGGCCATGAATGAAGCAAAAAGCGTGTAATGATGATCAGGGGTTGGGAAAGAAAGTATCAGCCTTGTGTGCAGGGATCTCAATCTCATCAGCGTCCAGTCTGTTTCGAAAGAACCAACACATCGCCCAAGGGGACTCTCTCAGAATGCACCTTGCTCTGACAGGAGGTGTTAATATTTAGAGATCTTTTTAGATACTCGACTATGGAAGATGGCTATAAAAGATTCAGTACATCTCGTCCTCGTCTGGAAACAACAAGTCTACTCTTCTATCATCACTACCAAATATCATATTCTCTTCTACGAAGAACCTGTCTATCATGCATATCCTGCCACTCTTTTATCGATTCTTCTGACTGCTTCGGCAGTACCCACGAGTCACAAAAACGCCAAAAAAGTCGATGGTATAACAGAGTACCATGACGGGCCCACTGCCGATGGGGCTGCAGGACTCGGAATCGAATTTGAGAGCCCAACATTCTATTTCATCAACAACAAATGTAGCCAGGCTGACACGGACGCGGCCAAGAAACACGTTGTCTCCAATCGCAAAGGCACAAACTGGATGTTGACGGCCGACACGGGCAGCGGCGCCGGAAAACTATTCGCAGAGGTCATTCTGGATGGCCAGAAGATCAAAATCGGCAAAGGAGATGCTGAAGGCCGCGAAGGCCGCGGCTGACGATATTGTGAGTGCTGCAGCAACTTGATTTCTTGTGCTTTAATATATTAACGCTGTCAGATCCAATGGCAGCCTTGGACTGGGGAACGGCCAGTCCATGTGCAAGACAAATGCAATCCATGGACGGTCGATGCCTCCAGCAAGAAAACCGACCCAGGGACAGGGGTGTATTGGGCACCGCAGGTCACGGCGCCAATGCCCCTCGAGGCCCTGTATAGCATCATGAAAGGGCACCACGTGCCATTTGGATCGCAACATATCCTCGACGGAATGTCCTATGGCAATAACTATTTTGAGCTGGTTACAGAGGACTATTTCCAAGCAAAGCCAAACGGTATTGACAAGAATCATGTCACGGACGATGTGCTCGCCTTTGCCTCCTTGGTCTTGTCCTATGCCAAAGCCGCAAAAAAGGATCTCAAGGCAGATGAGAGCCCCAAGCTGCGGATGGCTTTTATGCCCCGGACCGAGTTCAACACGCTTTACAAGCAAGTCAAACCGAAGCTTCCAGGTGGCCTGTTCAATCTGTTCAATACTCTTGCATGCTACACGACAACGCAGCAGAGGCCATGTTTCGTAATTATTCCAGCCAGAACCCCCACCATATATCCTCTACTCGCTGTTCTAACTGAAAGCGCGCAGGGTTGACAAGGACTTCTGCTCCGGAAAAGAATCAGCTCCCAAGCCCAGCACCAAATTCGCCGGTCTGGAATTCAAAAAAACCCCCTTATGGCTCTCATGCCTCGATGAAGATCAAATCCTGGATTGAAGGCATTGGCAAATCCTCCGGCTCCACCGACATGCTGACCACATTTGACAAATCCATCGATGGCTCTATTGGAGGCCTTGGGTCCAAGATGGAGAATATGTTCGGTGCACACCGCAAGGTCCCTCTGTTTGAATTCCGGGGCCTCAGTGATATTCCGATGAAAGAATTCGAGTCGTGGACGAAGAAGGTCGACCATACTATTCAAGATCTTCACAAGAAGTACAAAACCGCGCCTGAGTGAAGTACCGTGAAGTCATTCTTCGGGTAGACGAACTGGGCACATCAGGATAGATTTTTTTTTTTTATCAGCGTACTTGTACTGCTTTTTCTTTCTTATTTTGCAACTAGAAGATGAATATATTTCTCAATCAACTCTTCTGTCTACACTAACTTGGAATGCTGTCCAGAGGAATATCAATGACATCACTCCACACCCGCCCTCCCAAGCAGCCATCACCACTCAAAACAACCAAAATAACAAGAACCACAATCTAAATTAAAACCAGGTGCCATCTACGACCCAATCCAAGATATCATATCCTGTCTATGGATAGTACATAACTAGTAAAATAAAGTGTAGCAGAATATCCGAAGATCCATCCACCCGAGCAAGTAACATCGCTGACGTCACATCTACCACATTGCAAGGAAAGATGAGGTGGACGAATAATCCACCCACTTCGATTTGATTATTCAGTACGGGTCCGGGATGAGAGCGTTCTTTAAATTGCTTCTTCCTGCTTCAATTATACCTGAATCTTTGTCTCTGTCTCCATCCTCTGCAATTGACCAATGTACGTGATACTCTTTCCTCTTCAACAGGATAGACACTGATAACCTCAGCAGAACCCAATCAATTCATACACAATGTCCTTCCTCACCTCATTCCGCGCAATCGCCCCTCGAACCCTCCGACCAGGCTACGCCATCTCCTCCTTCCACACCTCCCCAGCTGGTCTGTCCCTCAACGAGTCGGATCGAAGTAAGCCATCCATCCACCCACTCGCCCATATCTAGATAAAACTAACCACTGCAGACCGCGATAACCTCGACAACGTCTACGAAGCAGAAAAACAAGACCAGTTGAAAAACACCAAGACCGGAACGGCAACATGGAAGTCCGAACTTGCCAGTACCAGTGAAGAGACGGTCAAGGCTGATCGAGGAGAAGTGGATAGTGGAAGTAAGGATTTCAAGGAGATGCAGGATCGGACCAAGCATATTCCTCATGAGAAGGAGTCGAAGAAGAAGGCTCAGTGATTGATTTATTATCCGAGGTGTTGGGCGTTGGGTTAGGCTATGAATCTGTATAATCAATGTAAAGTGCATATGATCTAAACGGTTGTATTGGATATCTCAAAGAGCGTAGATAACGCGGTGTTATAAATATAAAAGATAACCTGTAACGCCATAAAACCATACCCATAAACTCATAACTGACCAAGTTTCAAGTTTGACACCAGCCCTAACGCCAAACAATCATCTAAGACATGAGTTTATTTCAAAAGAACAATCAGGATCACCAGCACGATAATCAACCCGATAATTGTCATCATACTCCAGTTCTCGCCCGCCCGTCTTCTGACCTTGTCCAGTCGTCGTCGTGCGCCATCAAGCCGGCCTTGGTGTCTTTCAACATCACCGTCCATGCCATCCAGCAGTGCAACATGTCCTTCGAGTTCGTCACCAATCTGAATGCTCAGCTGATGCTGGCGCCCGATTGATTCTCCCAGACGATCCAATTGCTCGTCCTGGTCACGAATCACATCTGCATGGTGTGCGTGGATTTGTTGGTTGCTCATATTGCTCTGGTCCAAGCCCGGGGGAGATGGCGAATCGCGGTACGGCCGGAAAAGGTCACGACGGCTGGGATCTTCGTCGTCTTCAGCGGCGGCAGCAGCAGCGTCCATGAATCGTACCGACTTGGAAGGCGGATGCTGCGGGGTAGGTTGTTTGAGATCCGGATTGATATTCTTTGCTCTGGCAAAATCAGACGCCAACGCCGAGTCGTTGGGCGAGTTGACAGTGCTGTTGGCCTGGTCCTCGCCATAGAATTGCGATGACAGGTCTCGAAACTGCGAATGAAGGTGACCAAGCTGGTCCTTCAAATCGGCCGCTCCATCATCATTTTCCCCCTCCAATCGAGCATGTTCTGCCTCCACACTATCGATTCCATCCCGCAGAGAGTCCAACGAACGAGAGATCTCTCCATCCTGACTGTTGGGCTCCAGGTCCAACGAGATCGCCCGCTGCCGTTCCAGCAACGAGAGCTTGATATGATCAGCAAGGAGAAAAAGCTGCGACGGATTGGTCATCGTGGAATGGTAAGATGGAACGGGCCGGACAACGGTTGAGGCTTTGGATGTCTGACGGAAATGCGGAGAAAGCGTAGAGGCCAGCAGGCAGCTGCCCGAGGAATGCGTAAGCCGGGAAACAGTCGCTCAGCAGCGAGACCTGAAACGAATATTTGACCACCGGATGCGACAGTGGTACTGCGAGTGTGGAAGCAACGAGGGTTGGCTGCTGATGACGATGGCGATGATGGATGGTTGATGGTGGATGGCGTCGGGTGGTTGGAAATCGCGCCTCTCTCGGCCGCCCGGACTGATCTGCCGCTTCCGCATATCATGCCTCCTCATTCCATCCCCTCCCCGCAATCACGATTCTCGTTCTCCTCAGTCTGACAACCTCAGCTTCAGCCTTTCTGAAACCTGAATTTAGGGACGAGCGATCTTCGCGGAATTACCCCTGATCTACGGATACATCACATCCCTTTCAGCTCGCCCAACTGCCGCCACTGTGCAACCCTCATGGGTTGTCCCTCGGGTTTATTGTTTCAGTTTCATTCTCAAGCCTCACTAGCAAACGAACGGCCGATCATTTCCATCCCTCCTTCCTATTATTTGAATTCCAAGCGATAGGGGGCTGAGAGCTCTAATTTTATATTTCTTTTGCGACGGAATCTGGGCTTGGGACAACCATGAATCTTGAGGAACTTCTCATGATGGAGTCAAATCGCGACCGCGAGGAAATCGTCGACCTCCGCGCTCTAGACTATGTCTCCAGCTATGATGACCATCTCATGTGTGCAATCTGCCATTGTCCTTTCATACGTCCGGTGCGCCTGCAGTGCGATCATGTCTTCTGCCAACGATGTCTGAATGTCGCCATGACCAGTGTCGGAGGTAACCGGGATGAATTCAAGTGTCCAAGCTGTCGGTCTCCCACCAGAGACGCTTATATGAATGTGCCTCGATTGTTAATCAACATGTGCGATGACATCCGGGTGAAGTGCCCGTTTTCGGGCGAGGGGTGCAGTGAAATCGTTCCGAGGGGGCACATCCAATCGCATGTGGATAAATATTGTGTCTATAGGCTTATGGACTGTCCGGATCGGTCCTGTGGCAAGCAAACGAGAAAGAAAGATCTCAGCCCTGATCAGAGTTGCATGCATGAGCTCCACACATGCTCGCGCTGTGAGAAGGAGGTCATGGAACAAGACTTTAAGGTACGTCATATGCTTATCCATCCCCTGTGTCCTCCATTCGCGTGCTAACTTCAACTTTCCATTTTAGGAACACATCAAAGAACTTTGCCCGAGCCTCAAAACTACCTGTCCCGATTGTCAAGCCTCTGTCTTCCGGAAAGCGTTGGAGGAACACATCGATTCCTGTCCCGAGGCAATCCATTCCTGTGCAGCGTCAAAATATGGATGTCCCGTCAAGGTTAAACGGACTGAGCTCACAGCACATGAGCAACAGTGCCCGCTGATAACAATGGGACCCTACCTCGAGGCCCAGAATTCACGGCTTAACTCTCTGGAGTTGACCGTCAAACACCTACAACAACGCAACGAGATATATGAAGACGGACTGGCCAATATCCGCACCTCCTTGACTGATGCTTCTCATTCCATGTCTGGCCTTAGTAGGGAACCTCCAGCCAACTCGGGGCACCAGCCTGGACCATCAAGTGTGCCAGAGGCAGATGACCAACCCCTGGCGGATCGTTCAAGTATTTTCTCCTCAAACAGTGCCACAACGTATCTCCTAGCCCTTCACGAGTCGCTGCGAGAAGAAGTCGGGCAAATGTCGCATGCCATCTCTGACCTAGATACACGTGCCAGCATGGCAATTATGAACGAATGCCTGCGCATCAAAGAGGACATGGCTCATACAAACGCTGCTGTCAGCAGTATCCGGATGCAAGTGCAGTGGCTTATGAACCCTCGTCTGCACCAGGCTCAACGAACCTCTAATGTACGCGCGAATGGCTCCGACGAAACCAGAACACCTGCTACTGCCACGGCTGGGCCAAGCAATTCAGCTGGCCCATCACCGGGTGCGCTGCGATCCAGACGACTGAGCGATAGTGGGCGAGAGGGTACCAAGCTATAGCGACCATTGTGGAGTTTAGTATTACGACCTAATGATTTGATATTTGATATGGGATAGACGGAGTGCAGTGTTTGTTTGGTGGCTTACTTTGGTTTTTTGTATTTTCGGGCTCGGCGGCTGTGTGATATCCGTTTTCATTATTTATCTAATGCGTCGATTTCGCATCTGGGTATGTTGTACCTTAAGATGTGGTGATTAACAATGTAGTATCACCGTCGGATATATATTGTTGTAGATAAACTCTATTTAGACAATAATCAAATCAATTTATCGCAGACAGATTTCAAATGAGACCAGCTCAGACTCTGTTTGACTATTTAAAAGCCCCTATTCCAAAAAAGCAAAAAAAAAAATAGAAAGCAGGAATAAAAAAAGCAAGGAGAATCGATCCCCCTCCCCCACCGCTTGAATTATAGGAATAAAAAATGAAAAAAGCAAAAAGGAAAGCCGAACGCGGGGGTCGAACCCGCAGCCTTGAGATTAAGAGTCTCACGCTCTACCGATTGAGCTAGCCCGGCTGCTCTGGTTATATGTCGGAGCAGATCTTTGCTTTATCAATCTCATGATACCTTTTTGATTCAAGATCGCTTCCAGCACCAAGGTTCGTTATAGGCATCCAAAGGAAAAAGTATGCATGTACCATGGTTATTCAATTCATATACAGTCAAAAAATGTATATTCAAACATATAACTAAATCTAATCACAACCAAACAGCCTCTCCCATCATATGTCCTTTTTTATCTCCAAAAGTATCGTCATGTATGTTGTATGTAGTAAAGCCATCAACTCATAAACTGGGTCGTGAATATACATTCCATCATCGTCGTTCAAGTTCGATTGCACCTTATCTAGTATTGGTAGCCACCGTGTCCATATCCACCACCACCGTAACCTCCTGAACCGTGGTTGTGGTGAGGTTGGTGTGAGTGGTGCTGGTGCTGGTGGTGCTGGTGGTGATGCTGATGCTGATGCTGGTGCTCGTGTTGATTATGGCCATGGGTGTGGCCGTGACTGGCATGTCCGAAAGAGGGCTGGGGCTGGTAGGCTCCGTGGTGACTGCTGTGGCTGTGGTTACTGCCAGCGTAGCCACCGTGGGTGCTATGTCCGGCGTGGTGCTCGTGGGAAGAGTGACCTTCAGAGCCACCGTGAACCTCTCTTGTTGCTCCGCCCCCAAGGAGACTAGATAGCTTGTTCATCTTGGAGATACCCGGGATGGGAAGCTTGGAGAGTTGCTCCCAGGGAAGACCCGAGCCGCCGGATGAAGATTGCTGTTGCTGTTGGGGTTGCTGCTGGGGTGGTCTTTGGCCAGCACCTCCCATTGCAGAAAAGCCACCTCCTCCGTGGGAATGACCACCGCCTCCGTGGGAATGGCCGACTTCTCCTCCGTTGTTCTTGCCCGACTTGACACCCTCAGAGCTGAGGATATCGTTCAGGTCAGAACCGCCACCGGGTCTGGAGTGAGCCCAGGACTTGACAGCCTCGAACATGGTTCGGTGGGCGTCGTTGTTCATGTCACGAAGAGCGGGGTGGTGGAATACACGCAGGCAATCTGCCAGAACCTCCTGGTCGTGCACGTCAACGTGCTCCCAGGCGTAGAGAACACGGGGAGCGACGTATTGGAGAATAGCCGAGGCCACCTGACCGGCAGGCTCGTTGAGGATGTTGGAGAAGTGGTCCTTGGACAGCAACGAGTGGGTAGGATCGGTGCAGGACGGGTCGGTCCAGGGCTCATACTGGTGCTTGCCAGAGGCATCAATGACACCGGCTGAACCAGTCTGCAGCGATTGGGAAGCAAGGTTGATAACGGGACGAATGAACGGGGCCAGCAAGGACATGATGAAAACAGTCAGAGTCTCTGAGATCTTCTCCACGACTGTCTCCAATCCCGGAATCTTCTCGATGATACCCGAAAGTCTTCGCACAACCTTATCTCTGAACTGAAGGATGGGATAGATCTTAGCGATCGTCTCCTTCGGATCAAAGTCCTGCATCCCACCACCGGAAGAGTGGCCAGACTCGGATGCCCTGGCCATGTCATCTCCCAAGCCTCGACTGCTTCCGTGGGAAGCTCCATAGCCAGACCGAGATCCACTTTGCTGGTTCCTGGAATTCTGAGCATCGGACTGACGCTTGAGGTCTTCGGCCTCCATGACAAGCTCTTTGGTCCCAGGGATCTTGCCCAAAAGTCCCGTGAAAGCACCGATCGAGCTACCAGAAGAGTTGGCCTGGGCATCTCCAAGCGCGATATCCATCTCGTTGACCTCGGACTGGGTGAAGTGATCCGTAGCCTCACCAAGGACGGAGTGGAAAAAGTCCACCATACCGAAGGTACCCGTCACGAGAGGGAAAACGCGATGACCGTGAAGGTTGATCTGTGTGCTAGTTCCGGTATGCGGGAAGACATTGTGGAAGCCCATCTCACGGAGAGCAAGCTCAATGTAGTTGGTATGAGCGGCAAAATCCTCTAGAGTATGAAGTCCCTGACCCAAGCACCGGAGCGCCTCGCAGAGGTCATCCTCATTTCCCTTTCTATCTCCACCGTGTGTGTACATTCTTCCATAGTGTATACTCCGAGCCAAACTGAACTTGATATAGGCGGCACTCGTGGCCCAGTCTCCGCGCTCGTTGGCGATATAGTTCTTCATACCGGTTTGAGGGTCAATATCGAGTTCGACTTGGCGGATGGGGGGACGCAATCGAGAATCGTACTCGCGGGCATCTTGGTTATCGGCGTAGTCTTTGGGGTTGCTAGAGACAAAATAGTTTAGCAATGCGATGCAGGCGTATCTATAAGAAAGACCTACTCAATATGTTCCTCTGGACGATACACACCAAGTCTGTCGCCGGTGACCTCGAATTCACCCGTGGCGTAACCAAAAGTAAGGAAAGAAAGAATCCACACAAGAATCCGAATCGTATCAGCTGGAAGACTCTTAAGGGTTCCTACATCCATAGCTTGGGAGCTGGGGTCAAGTCAACACCAATCTGATATCATATCGCATATAGACTCGCAGGGTACTCACTAATCGCGCAACCAATTCCCAAAGTAAACGCGCTTGATCATCATGGAGGTCCATTTATGACCCTTGATACAGGCAATCGCCTTGAGCATATCCTCGATATCACCATGGCGCCAATTTTTGCCCTCGACGGCCGAGATAGATGCGATATCTGATCATCGAAAGTCAATATCAAACGAACCCGATTTGCGTAATACAGAAATATACTGTAAACAGAGTTTCACATACTACCGGCACCAAACGCATTCACATTAGTGGGAAGCAAAACCAACAAAAGGCCCAAGACAAGCAGGGCATTAAGGCCTGGACTGGCCATTCTGGAAACAAGACAAATATTTCTTGTTTTCAACGTGATTTTTTCTAAGTAGTTACAGGGTGTACAGCGTATAGCGTACAGGGCGCAGGTGTAACAGAACCAAACACAACACACCTAGCGAGGTGCTGATTTGAAGAAGTGGGGGGTGTGTGTGGGAAAAATGGGTTTAGACGACAAAGCGGCCTGCATTCGAGGATTTCCCTTGACTCCGATTGGGTTAGAAACGGGCTATAGCTGGACTTGAATCGTATGTAGGGAGATGGAGAAGGGGAAGAGGGGAAGGGATCAGGTAAGTACCTTGGTTAACTTTGATGCCTTTTACAAAATGAAGCAGTAGCAGCGAGTCAAGAGGTTTCCAGTCGACAGAGAAGGTTGCCTTGACGAGATCTGCATGACGACAGAACGAAGCTGAAGGGAGAAACCGAGAGAAAGATGGAAATGCCCCGCCATCAGCGATCAGAAGCTGAAGGTCAGCCAGGATCGGCCCAATCCGGTAATCAGTAGGAGCCCTAGACAGAAGAAGTTAGCGGTACAGTCCAGGGTATTACATATATTACGAAATACATAACATACAACACATACCATACCAGGTACTGTATATACGAACAATACCATTATTCAATACAATACGGTACAGTACATACAGGGGTAATGCATTCTGCAGAGAATATCATGCAATAAAACCCATATCAATAGTAATGCCAATCATGATTTAGATTAAAAAATTAAACCTGTCATCTCCATATTAACCTACCCCCGGTATAGGAGAGAAAGAGTAATGGCTATAAATATAAAAAACTATTTTGTCCCTGAGCAATAGTGTCTGTTTTTTTCTGTACTCCGTACCTAAATATATCACATCACACGCGTAATAGTCCACCTACAAACTTTTGCGGATCAGCATCATCCACCCTCGGATATTGGGAAGTGGGGGTTCTAAAAGTTACTGCGAACAAATACTTTGATATGATTCATTGGGCAGGGTCACGGGTCCAGCTGGCATGATTTGATATAATTGAAATTAGTATTCATTTTTGCGTCGACATACGAATACTGTTTGAGATGAAATAACTCATGTTAATTAATACCAGTATCTCAGGTACGAAATAGTTACTTCCATGACTCCCTATCGTAGGTAATTAGGTATTATTATTATCTGTGGTCGTGTTGTATCAAGACAATGCAACCAACCCCGCCTGGGTTCCCGCGGGGTAGATCCTCCTTATAATTAATAACTCCTCCAACCTAGGTACAGTCGACAGTAGCAGACGATGAAATGTTACAATAATTTCCAAGGTAGTATACAGTATACCACACTGTTGGATAATAGAATTGTTAGGATAGGTTTATTTAAGTCGAATGTCATCAAGTCCCATGTTATTGCTTGTTTGATTCCATTTGATCCAGTCAGACACATAGCTACCCCACTTTACGTATCTACACCTTCACCCACCACTATCACCACCAGAACTACCTATTCAACCTCAAACAAACAGATAGAAAATGACCTACCTCGACGACCTCCAACGCGACGGCTTCGTCCGCATCCCCTCCCTCCTCTCGCCCCCCGAAATCGCCCACCTCCGCGCCATAGCCACCAAAGCAACAACCCTCACCCGCACCGGCGGATGGCCTCACTTCCGCACCGTCCCCAAACAATTTCCCCCCTGGCCCACGACGGCCCCTCCTGCCTCTGAGGGCGGGATCTGGGGCGTCCAGCACCTCCTGCACCCGCAGATGCCGGGGCGGGCGGACTTCGCCCGGCTCTACTTCTCCGAGAAGATACTCGCCGTAGCGGGGGAGTTGATGGGCGTTGATATTACCACTACAAGCGGGGAGGAGGAAAAGCTGGTCATGGAGTTATTCAATCTGCTCGTTGCGCCTGAGACGAAGGATTTCGAGCTCCGCTGGCATAGAGATGATATACCCGAGTCTGTGGGGGAGGAGGAAGAATTGAGGCTTCTGCATGCCAAGAGTCCGCAAGGGAAGCAGTCGCATGCGCAGTATAACCTTGCCCTGTGTCCGGATGCTTCGTTGATTGTGATTCCGGGATCTCATCGACGGGTGCGCACGGAGACGGAGCGAAAGGCGGACCCGTATGAAGCTGAATTACCCGGGCAGTTGGTGGTGGAGCTGCAGCCGGGGGATGCGGTGTTCTATGATAGTAATATCCTTCACCGGGGGGTGTATAAGGGGAAGGAGGAGGGCGGGGAGGAGAGCCGGTTGACGTTGCATGGGAGTATTGGGTTGAAAGGGAAGGGGAGCGATTCTGATAGCAAGGTGCGAGCGACAGCGGTGTTGCAGCATGGGGTTGGAGCGTGGGTGCATCGTGACGATGCAGCATTTGGAGTTGGCGAGCGAGCAGAAAGGATGAGAGCGAATCTGATGGCGATGGGAACGGGAGAGGGAATTGGATATTCCCTACAGGGATAGATAGTAAAGTGAAAGCATTACATGTAGAAATTAAAAAGAAAGTCCATATTTTTCCAAGCTGATCGTACGCAATAGCTTCAGGGGTATTAAACACCGCGACTGAGAATAGCAAGAGTGCTAAAGAAACAGAGAAAAGGGAAAAAAAAAAAAAAGAAAAGAAAGGAAGACAGAAAAAGAAAGGCTATATACCAGACGTCATTACCGTTAATCGTAAAATCATCATCATCCGTCCATAGGCCGCTGTGCATACACATAATGGTACAGCACGTAGATATGGAAAGAGGGTCTGAAGAGTTCAGCGCGCACTTTTTCAGCATACGCCTGGGCTTCTTCATACGAATAGCCCAACACCCGTGTAAACAGAGCCAGGGTATATGGCTCGACAGCTTCGATGATGGACACTTTGCCAACACGGCCAATTTCTTTCAACCGGGGGTTCTTGGGCCAGGAACCGACAGGGCACTGCATTGCATCGTCAGCATATGTATTCCTTTCATTAGAGATAGTAGGCATATACACACCTTGTAAACATCATCAGTGACATTGACAAAGCCAGCCTCCCGCATCCACCCACTCAGACAAGGAGCAACATTTAACTGCTTCCCAAACTTCTTGCTCGATTGATCCAATTTTTCCTGCCAATCCTGAACCATGACTGCATCCTCATGCGTCCCGTCATCGGAATTGACCCAAGCCTCGTACTCCTGAAGCTCAAGCCAACCTCCCGGCTTAAGATGGGCGTACGCCTGATTCATAAACTGCCTCCAGTCGGCGATACCACCGCCCATACTGCGCGCGTGGATATAATCAAAGGCCTCATCGCTAGTAAACGCCCAGTCACTCTCAGCATCATCGATGATAAACGAGCAGTTGGGCGGAGCGTAGTTGGGTTGAATGGGACTGAGATCGGTGCCCACGATCTCCGCATTGGGGAAATCCTCCGCCATTTCGAGCGCCCAGACCCCGGTCCCGGTGCCGATGTCGAGGATGCGTTTGGGCCGGGACGCTGGGGCACTGGTGATTGGGGCGCGGTAGAGGTCGCCGCCTATGAGGAGTTTGAAGATGTGGTGCATGAAGGCGAGGCGGTCTTGTTCTTCTTCATCGTTGGGCATGGGGTATTGGCCGTAACGGTAGGCGTGGTAGCGACGGCCATTTTCGTAGCAGTAATCCCGGACGGAAGAGGAAAAGGAAAGGCTGGAGTCGACTAAGGAATGGGTGTCATATATGGAATCCTCGTCACTTGTCTGGAAGAGCTTGAAGTTAGCTTGGGTTGTTTGGTTAGGCGTGGAATCGGAGGGGTATAATGCAGCACCGATGACCACATACAGGACGAAGCAACATAGATACAAAACAACAAAACAATCATTAAAATAGATAGAAAGACAATAAAAAGACAGTAGTTGATGATGTAGAAGAAGCTATTCAACCAGAATTGAAAATAATACAGAACAACACATGTGACATGGACCCAGCTGTAAGGGCACCAACCAGAAGATGAAATAGTGTCACCTGCGAACAAAAAAAACACATCAAATCCAACAGAGAAAAAAGAGAGGAGATAAAGCTTACATCCACCAAAATCCGTTCATCAGCATTAGGCCTCGACATACTCTAACGACAAAAGAGAAAAAAGAAGAAGCGAATTGACAGTAAGAAAGCGAAAGCGAAGGTGAAGAATGGAGAAAAAGCGCAGGAATCCCAAGATGCAAGGAGCAAAGCAGGGGTTCTGATCTGGTCCCGGCGGAGGGGATGTTGGGTCGACCCCAAGAAATGCAGCAAGCGATGGGCGGTGTGTGCCAGCCAGGCGGTTCTGATAGAGAAGGTGCAGATGCTATGTATATTCGACAGCCTCGTCTGCGATTCGTTCATGATAGATCAAATCTATCTAAGTAGGAAGCAGAATAGTCCATACGAGGGACCAGAGATCACTCGTCGGATGGCAGTTCCCCCCAATGGGCATCTTGTCCCAGACCCCGCAAATCCCGGCTTCGGCTGGGCCCGTCCAGGAAGCTGGATCGATTGAAAAGCCTCAGATTGGACACTGTATTATAAGGTATATTCTAGTAAATTCAGATTAGATAGATCTTTTAGAGAACTCTGTTTTAAAAAAAAAATATATAAGACACAACAACACTATTCCGTACTCTGTATACAGACATCTATATACGGAGTACCGTCCAATACAAAGCGTCAGTAACCGCCAAGCACACCAGCATCTTCGCTGTCAGCCATGTGCGCTATTATCATGCCTTTCTTTGTTCATGTCTCACCCATCACAGTCATTCCTGTACAGCAGATAGCACCGACTGAGTTGGCAATCTTAGCCCTACCAGCCATTTCAAATCGTCATTTGTACAACATGATACATGATATACGCCTCATGATCCTACCTTACTGATCATCATGATCACCACCGCAGGATCCAATTGACTGGAACAGGAAACTTTTTTTTTTTTTTCACCGTCCCATCTGTGGCAAAAAATAGATTAAATTAGGAGGGGGAACAAGAAAAATACAGAACCCAGATCTACCTCTACGGAATATTCTAACTAGCAAACTATTCATGTTGGCCATCCCAGTAAATGCATTATTTCGTCATCATCACCGACGGTCCATGCCTTTGTTGTCTCCGGGTTTCCCGCTTCCCCGGTGCAAGTCGGATTCTTGCAGACTGATCTTTTGGTATAGTCCAAGTTCTCCGAGAAGTCAAAGAAGAATTCTAAAACGCCAAGAAAAGAAGAGATCATCCCAAACTCCGAAGCTTCTCTTGTTCGTCCGGAGTCAGGGCTGCAAAAAGTTCCTGGAATTCGGGCTTGGTCGATGCGTGCCGGAAAAATTCCTCAAGAAAGCCCTGTGTTTCATCGTCGCGCTTACGCACTCCAAACACCCCCTCTGTGCCTCCTTCGCCAAATGCCATGAGTTCCTGCTTCGTCACACCCAGGCTCAGGTCTAGTGTGTTGCTAGGAAGATCCTCCCAGTCATCGTCGTCGCTATCTTCTTCCTCCAGAGCCGCGGCTGTGGCCGCATCAATCTCCTTGCTCCCCGAGGCGGCAGCCAGCTCCTCAACCAGTACCTTGACGATCTTCAATGGGGCCGACACCGTCGTGTACTGGTCTGGGTTTGCACGAGCTTGCGACCGCGTCTTGATGCGACCGGTGTCGTGAATGATGAGATCGCCCTTGACCTGCACCTGAGCCAGGCGGGGATCTTCAAGCTGGTAAAGCTTGGCGAGGGCAATGATGTTCTGCTTGATCTCGTCATATCCGGCAAAGTTGACAGAGTTCTCGAGCCATTTGCTCATCACTACTGGCAGTCCACTCTGTCCACCAATGTCGACCTGTACCAGGAAATCTACCACCTCACGCGGGCTGATGAGAGTGAGTCGCGCAAAGACGAGAATCAAACTCTGGATAAACTGCGCTTGTTGGGCGCTGCCCAATCGCTGGGCCACAGCACGCAGAAGTTGGGGCAGATAGGGTCCAAGCCTCTCCGATCCGGCCTTCTCCACTAGCTCCGCAGCTAGTTGTCCAACCTCAGTGGCTGCGTTGTCGTCGACCGATGGTCCCAACAATCGATCGATAATCACTAGAGCGACCTCGATCGCTTCCTTTCCACTCTGCGGATCCCGCCAGGCCACAAACTGATTGAAGTCATGCGAGAGAATGTGTCGGACGGCTTCCGTGGCTGGACGAATCAACTCACCGTCAGTCGATTCCAGCAAAAGTCGGTTCAGCTTGGGCATGACAGTTTCGACAAAACCAGTGGGCAAAGGATCGAGACCCCGTTCCGCGAGAGCACGGAGAAGATCCGCCGCAAAAATAGTCAGAGAGTTCTCCTGTAACATATTTCCGACGTCGATGGCTCCCATCAGAGAAGGCAACACCTTTTCACAGACCTTGACAAAGGCATCGGGGCCCTGATCGGCGATTTGATCCACAATATCCTCGAACGCCTCCGTGACGATCATAGTCAACTGGAAATTAGTAGCTCCATTGCTGGCAATGTTGAATAGTACATCGATGGCCATCGACGACAAAACTACGTTGGGGTTGACCATGATGGTATCACGGAGCGTCTCCGCCAAAGTGACCTTGAGGTCATCACTTTCGGATTGTTCACTGATGTCGTGCGAGGCGACAAACTCGGTTATGGCCGAAATGATGGGTTCTTGGAGAGGAACGGTGACACTGGGGGGCAGCGACGGAAGGAAATCTTGCAAAGCTCGAATGCAAGACACCTTGACCACTTCAGAGGGATCCTCAGCAATTGCCTTGAGAGTAGCTTGAAGGTAAGAGATAGAAGTGGGGTTAAAGGCGTCCCCAGTGACCTGAGCCAAAATGGATGCCACAAGGTAACCACGGGCCCGCAAGAATTCATGCTCCTGCTGGATGGAGAACTGAATAAAGTTGTTGAAGCCATTGGCCAGATCGGGCGAGATTTGCTGAGCGACTTCGCTAAAATCGCGGAAAAGCTGGTTAAGAACGTACATGGCAGCTTCGCGAGATTTCCATCTACTCGAGAGATTCTGGGTTAGCTTTTCTGTAAGGTATGCAATGTGTGGGAGAAAGGTCTTACGAAGAAGAAGCATCAGAAAAAAGGGTATTCATGTAGGCAAGCAGGGCTTCCACCGCTGTCTTCTTAAGCCACTCGCCCGTTTTGATCACCAAGTCTCCGCTGCATGTTCGCGGGGTATAGTTGGCCGTGACCGAAGTTTCCTCCGAGAGGAACAGGTTGACATCGATATCCCACAAGCCTTCTTCATCTGTGGTAATCTGAGAGTAGGAGCCAGCGAGCTTCATGATTTCGGGCAGCCAGCTGGAGGTTGTAGCAGCCGGTCCGGCATTCTGCAGCTGTTGCTGGAGCTCGGCCTTGACAGGGGGGGCTTTCAGGAGAGCCTGTATCAAGTCCAACTCCTCCAAAACCAAAAAGTCGAGAGTGTAAGGAAGTCCGTCAACATCCTCCATACGGCCTTGTCTTTCGTCATGGATGTAGAATTCATGGTAAGCATGCTGGATGTTGGAGAGTTCGGTCCAGATGGAGGTGAAGTAAGCGGGGCTTTGAGCAGTCAAAAGGCCGGGGAAAACCATTCGAATCTTCATAAGGGTCTAAACAAAGAATATGTCAGAGTGTGTTTCTTAGTAAGAACAAGGAAGATCATACCTTGACCACCTGCAACTTCAACCCAATAACTCCACGCCATTGGGAGGGGATTTCACTCTCCTTGGATTCCTCTGCTTCACTGGGAGCTTGGGGCAAAGGCGCCTCTAGAGTCGCGATGAAAAATGGAGACCAGGCCCCGAGCACCTCATCCATAAACTCTTTGACGGCCACTTTATGTTGCTCCAGCACCATCTCCAGGGTATCAAAGCATGATCGAAACACGGAAACGGCCAAGGCCCTCAGCATGGGTTTTCTGGATTCGCTAGTGGCCACGGTAAAGAGGGTAGCGACGAGATCGCGGGCAACCTTGAAGAACTGATCCTCATTGAAGCCAGTATCGACCAGATCCAGGAGAACCTTCAATGCGCCATGGACGGCGCTGGCTGAGCTGGCGGAGTCATTGATGATGTGAAGCAGCGTGGGGAGGAGCTCCGGCCAGCTTTCAGGGAAGTCGGCGCTGGCAACCTTGCTGACGGCAAAACTGGCAGAGGACTTGACCTTGCGCTCTGGGATTTCGGCGGTAGTGGCGAGCTGGAGCAGGGCCTGACGGATGCTGGTCTTGTTGGCGTCACTGATAAGGATCTGGCCCTTGAACTCATCTAGCTGCGGGGACCAAGCGGTGGCGATGAAGGTACGTAGGACAGAGAGGGCGGACTGGCGGAGATTGGTCGGGACGGAGTCATGAGAAGCAATGGCGGCGAGGGAGAGAGGGAAGTTCTCGTTGGAGTAGAGGCGCAGGAGGTGAAGCTCGGCGGCCTTTCTGGTATCAGCGGCCGGCGACTGGGTGTCTGCAAGGAGAGTGAGGAGCTCTTGCTCCATGACGGGCAAAGGAGCGGTCGGAGGATAGGGATAAGGTGAAAATCAATTGGTATCAAGTGACAGCAGTGGAGTCGTAAAGATGAAGCCAACCAGACAATTGCAAGAGAGGGATCCTTAGATCAGGCCCCAAAACACGATGGTTTTGATATCCGCGAAATCTCGCGTTGGGAGGGGCAGAAATAAAGACGGTTGGCGATAGAGCGGAAGAGGGAGGCGGTGAGCAACATATAATACGGACAATAAATGTCATGATACGGGTATGGTTCAGGGGAAGTCCCGTCGATAATATAACGGTACGTAATAAATGTATGTAATGAAAGGAAAGAGAAACAAACCCGGACAGCACTAACATCCAATAAATCGATAGATAATCCTCCTAGAAGAAGATCTTCTTTGTTCCCACATCTACTATGTGTATTTGGCTGATGCTCTAAAATAAAATGGTCTAAAGAAATAAAAATAAAATAAAATAAAAAATCAAATCAAGGCGGAATAAATACATCTGAAGCACTAATGCTGACATTGTGGAGAAAGATCGGGTTTAGAAAGAAAGAACGCTGACAGTAGTCAAGACTAGATGTACACTGACGTCGAGACAGCGACTGTTGACATTGATAGACAGATTGTAGACTGGAGATGTATAGTACTTTTGACAATAATGCATCATGCATTCTTATTACTCATGAGTATTATTTGATAGTGCTCCACTGATTACTTCATTTGCATACTGGAAATCTGCAGTTGAAACCATAGTGGGGTTGATTTGAAGCTGAAGGGCCATTTGGTATGGAAAACCTTTGAAGAATGAGTCTTGTGTAAGTGAGGGGTGATGGCAAAATAGGTATGATGTACTGTCTATCGTATTCGTGTATATGGTACAGTACCTATATTACATAGAATACCATACATACAACCAGGTACTGTACATGGAGCCGCTGTCCCAGAAGAAAAAAAAGAAAAAAGGCTGCTTTTTTCGCCGCCGCCACTGCCGGAAGAACCAAAGAAAAGGAAGACTAGAGGATTTAAGCAATACGGTGTATAAAAACCATGGTACAGGACTGTATTTGATATCAGAGAATCAGCGATGAAAGAAGAAGGGTAAGAAATGGACAGGGAATAAGGCTGAGACTGGGATGAAACCCACACATATCCTGATATGATCTAGATTGAGATTGATATGTTTTATATTGTTCTTTGGAGGGTGCTGACTGCTTACAGACCAGATCCAACACTACGTGTCGATTCAACTTTCGCTTGGATGATCGGCCGTATGAACTAAGTCTCATCCCACATTCAACCACGACTCAGCCGGTGGAGCAGAATGTGTACTGTATGATCATACCGACTGTATGCAGTCAATAATACTGTTTTTTTCTCTTTCTCTTGCCCAGTTCCTCTCCACTTGATCTCTATAATTTTTGCTATATATTGTTTCTGCTTTGTAGCTGATTCTGCACCGCATCCCAACCCATGACGCAACCACGTGACGGACTGGAGGCGTGAACCTGCGCCTTTCCACCGTTTGAGACTCTCTTGGACTTCTGAAGCCTTTCCCCTCCACTGCCAGTGCCTGTCTGCCTGATTGATTGATCGATTGATTGATTGACTGACTGATTGACTGAATCCTGTCTCTCTGTCTGTCTTTCTTTCCCTTTCTTTCTTTCTTTTTATTTATTTCTTATTTTTTATTACTTTATTATTTTTTATTCTGTCTTTTGGCGCTGCTTTACTTGGGCCCTGAGCTACTCTTTAGTTCACTGGATCTTGCAACGACTTTCTCTCTTTCTGTCTCTGATTATACACTATCTCCCTCTATCCTGTTGCCCCCCAGACAGAGATCCAAATCGCGAAAAGCAGTCGCTGCCTGTCCCTCTCCCATTGTTCCCTCCGCTCTCCTCCCTCCCCTTCTAAAAAGGGTTTCCTGCTGCTGGTCGTCTGCCCACCAAGCGTGTTCCCCCCCAGACGGAAAAAAAATTATTTTAAAAAAGAAAGAAGAAAAAAGAAAAAAAAAAAAAAAAGTCCAGGAACAAAAACCTCCGAGGGAAGGGGATCTTTAAAAATACTTTTTCTTTTTTAAAATATTTTTGATTTTTATTAAAAAAAAAATTCTAGGGGAAAAAAAAAAGAAAGAGAAAAAAAGGATATCGTCAAATCCAGGCCTTTCTTTCGTCTTTTTTTCTTTTTCTTTTTCTTTTTCTTTTTCTTTTTTTTTTTTCCCTCTCTTTAATAATTTGCAACAACAGCCTCAAGATCTTCCACTTTTTATTGATTATTTTATTTTTTTTATTTTTATATTTTTATTTCTCCTACTATTTTACTATCTTATTATTTTATATTATTACCCTTCTTTATCCTCGACGCCTCTACTATCGATTGATGTTTACGATCCGAACGATTCCATGCTGTGAGGTTTGCTTGTTTCGTCTTTTCGTCCACCCAACGTATGTATCGGGAATCTCTCTTTTTGCTACTACTGCTGCTGCTGCTGCTCTCTCTCTCTCTAACTAAACCCCTCCTCTCTTTTCCTCTCCATCGACCACCACCAACCATCCTCAACTTCCACATATCTTAAATTTATCCTCCTCCCCTCCCCCCTCCCTCACCAACAAAAAAAAAGATAAAAACATTAAAAAAAATTTATCTTCCCCCTCCTCCTTATCAAATCAAATTCATCATTTTCTTTTCTTTTTTTTTTTTTTCTCTCCCTCTTTTCCCTCTTTTTGATCTTCCCACGACGGGGCAGAAAAAAAATTCGCCTTTTTCACTCTTTTTTTTTTTTTTCTTCTTTCTTCTTCGTCACCGTCTCAACACCAACAACCACCTTTTTCCTTGTCTCCTCGTCTGCAATTTCCCCACCGCCGTTGATCCTCCCCGGTTGTCGCGATTATAAAAGGAAAGAAGAAAAAACAAGAGTGCGAAGGCGCAAGATCTACAAAGGAAGGAGAGAGAGGGAAGGGAAAAAAAAAGAGGAAGAGACCCAAGGGACAGGGAGCCAAAAGAGAGAAAGAGAGAAAGAGAGAGAGAGAGACAGACAGACAGACAGGAACCGTTGTCCCCATGTTGGGCGTGGAACACCGTTGTTGACCCATCGTCAAGAAAGGCAGAGCGATGATTAGCCTCAGGGTGGAACAGCACTCAGATACTTCGAGACTCCGTCAAGACCCTCCCTTCCGTGGAAACGACGATACCAGAGCCTTCGACGGCAATGCCGATTGCCAGTGAGAGCAGCACGACCGTCAACTCCCTCACCACCACCATGACAACATTTTCCGCTCCGGTCACCGCACCCAGGTCGATGCCCAATAATCAGAATGCGTTGTCGTCCTCTTTCACCAATTTCCTTACCGTTTCAATCCACCAGATCCTCTTCCTCCGCCAGGTATATCCTCGAGCTACGTTTCTGCCCGTTCGAGCGTACAATTACCCCGTTCGACAATCCCGCCATCCCAAGGTATGCGACTACATAAATGATGCGTCGATTTCGGTCGGGACGGAGATCTTAAAAGGCACAATAACCGCTGTCAGTATCATCATTTCATCTCTCCGCACAAACCAACCCCTCGAACGATATGCCTTTGACCTGTCGGGCTTCCCCCGTGTCCCCGCTGGAGAGATCAACACCACATTTGAAGACAGAAAAGAAGATTCATCCAAGCCAGGTGCACCCGTCCCTGAACGGGCTCCCGCGCCTCCTGCTCCCGACCTCGAAGCGCAATTCCGCGCTTGTCTCGCACGATTGGCCTCCGCCTGTGCCCGACTGACTCCGTTACCTCGGGACGACGAGTTCAGCTTCACCGTCTGTATCGAAGTACGAGAAGATTCCCTACCCCCCGTGGGAACCACCAGAGAAGAACAAACCTGGATCGTGGCCGAACCGGGAAAGGTTCATTTACGGTCATGTACCGCCCCATATTCCGTCTCCAAATTAAGAAATGGCGAGCAGCAACAGCCGCCTCCGAAAGTGTCCAACGGTCGTGCCAAAACGGTCCCGGTACGACGAGTAGAAGCCGGCGAGCTTCGATTAGAACTATGGGTGGAAGAGGCACGGCAGAAATTTAATGAACCGGTGGATTCAGAACATCCGCCATGATATCATTAGTCGTTTTTTTTTTCTCTCGCTGTTGTTTCTTGTTTCTCTTTATCCTCTCTCCAGGGGTTTCCTTTTCATCCTTGATCGGTTCCGTTTCCTCTTTTTTCTTTTTTATTATTCTCTGTCTGTCTCATTCTTGATTTAGCGTGACCAATGATCGAACATACATGATGGATGAGGGAATTAGGAATTGTCGTCCGAAAGAGTGGCGCAAATATATAAAATGGGGAGCGGACGATTTTTGGGACTCGCATGGCATTACATAGATCTGGTTCATATCTTTCCTTTTCTCTTCTTCATCTTCTCTTCTCCTCATCCTCCTTCCTCCCCAAACCCTCCTCTGACTCTTATTTCTCTCGTCACATTCCTTTTCTCTTCTATTCTATTATTACTTCTTTTTTTACTCCCCCCATTTTTTACTTCATATTTCTTTTTCTACCTCTACTTCTACTTTTTTTTTTCTTTTTTTTTTTTCTCTGCTTCGCTTTCATACCATTTCCTCTTGTACTCTCACGTCTCTTTTGTTGGTCTCTCGAACTACATGATCCTAGCCAATCCAAATATCTAGCATTCAGCTACAGAGATCATCGGAATCATCAGCAGCAGTCGCTAGCGGAGATTTTCTTTTCCTTTTCCTTTTTACCTTTTGAGTCCTGTCCGTAATTGATAATATGACCCTCCCCATTTGGCATCTGAGATTTTTGCATGTTTTTCTTTCTTTTTCCTGTTTTTCTATGGCATTTTTTTTTCATCCTCATCTCCATTCCCATGTTTCATTTTCTAATTCCAAAAGTGGTTCAATTCATACATATAGCATGTTTGTTTTGGCTCATATTGATTTACAGCTGATGACGGAAACGGCAGGCATTTCAAACGAATTGAGTCTTATGTTATATGTTATGTTATACGTTATGTTTTATATCAGGGATCCATGCATCATGACATTTTCCAAGTTGGAGACGAGCAGACAGACACGCAATAGGAGCATTTTATCTAAATATCTTTTATCTTTTTTATCATTCTTATATTGCATGGTTAGGGTTGTATAAGATATTATACTTCTACCAGTACTGAAGAAGACACCTCACCGGAAAGAGCAAAACAAAGAAAGAGGGGAAAACAATAACTATACAGAAACGAAAAAAACGGAAGGAAAAGGAAAAAAGAAAGAAAGAACATGACGTTGCAGTTGTGCTGTTCCTGGATCCGCAGATCCTTCTAGCAGAAAGGAGGGAGGGGAAGGGGGAGAGAGATGCTTACTTGGGTTAACTATCGAGTTACTTTACAGTTTTACAGCTAGTTTACTTTCCTATCCCTTGAGAGGAGAAGTACAGTGATGTCATATGTGTTTTGTGGCTTGTGTGTTAAGTGCTTCGATGTCATTTTTTTATTGTGTGCTACAGGGGTTCCGTTCCATCTGTGATCTACTACATTCCATTCATTTCCGTGTATGTATTATGTATGTATGTATGTATCCAGATGTATGTGTGTGGCGATGAGTTGGCTGATTAGACAGACAAGACAGACAGCGTAGCATTAACTAGATGGAAATTTGTTGTTATTGTTATTGTTGTGTTGTTTTTGGTCGTGTTATTTGTTTATTATAGATGTGATGTGTTTTGCCTACATACTTTATCTAGTAAATAAACATGCATCTACGTTTGATATAAGATGAGTATGAAGTACTTTGTAGTAGTCTGTAGTAAGACATTGGATTGCAATCGTCATTCGTAAGGTAAAATCATTATCAACCAGCTAGCCAACGCATCAGTGAAACCGAGTCGAGTCATGAAAACAAAACCAAGGTAAAAAACCAAGACAGACAGGCGTAGTATTCTCGTGCGAATTGGAAATGGCAGTCTCATAATGTGCATTTCAGAACAAGTCGAGATAAATCCAGTAACTAGACATGAGTAGAGCAAAGAAAGTAAGTAGATGGAGGGTATCTATCCAAAGATTTGGACTAAATGGCTGATGTCGCCTGCCATATCGCAAATGCAGTCAAGATGGAGTATGAGGCAGTATTCTGAGTCACGGCTAACTAGATATCTCGTTGCCCGAAGAAGTGGTCGGCAAAGTTGAGTCTCGGTATATCAAGCGTCCGATGAGGAAAGGCAAAGGGAGCCATGGCCTGCTCGGCGGGAAATGGCTCGGCTGCGGCAGTCCTCCGTGTGCGCACAGTCATGTCGGCCTGATTCGTGAAAGGACGGCCGTTTGGAGGGACGCCTGGCTGGGTCGCGGCGGAAAAATTAGCCGCAGTTGGCCGAGCCCGATTAGCCAATAGCCCGACAGGCCCACGGGGTATGCCGGCTGGGTTATTATTATTATTAGTAGTAGTATTATCGTTGTTAGTAACGGTGGCGTTATCACGTCGTCTGTATTCATCGCGTCTAGCTGCGATTTGGTTGGAAAGTTCTGACAGGGCGCTATTTGGAGCGAACTGAGGGCGAGCAGCAGCAGCAGCATGAGGGTTTAAATACTGAAAGTCATGCCTGAGGGGGTGCACCTGGTGCCAATTTGGCATGCCTGCAAACAGGTCAAATTGAGGATGCGGTGGCATGTAGGGTAGAAAAGCACCTTGATTGTGAGGTTGCCATTGTGGAAAGGGCCCTGCTTCGGGATAGGCTGGCAATGGTGGCATCGGGCCATGCCGGCGACGTGCATGTTGCGGGCCATGAACTCGATACAAATTACCACCTCCAGGTATCTGAGGAGTTTGCAATTGTCGAGCAGGCCGAGAAGGGTTCTCTTTGGCACTGTCTTTCCTTGAACCATACACCCGAAGCTCCTCCTGGGTTAAATGGGGGTTCTCTGCTCGAACCTTTTCAATGGCCTTCTTCTCAGCCTGTTCAACTTCCTGTTGATAACGATTCTGTCGGGGGTCATCATTGACATTGCAGCCACGCCCGAAGTGACCGTATTGTTCCCGGCTAATGTCTTTCTTGCAGATATAGCACATCATGCATCGGCACTGGGGGCAGGTCATCTTGTTGCAGCCCATCTCCTTGACTATCTTCACCTTACATTTGGGACAGGATCGGATCAAAGCCTCACTCATTGCCTCTTCAACGTGATGACGCTCCGAAACTCCCCTTTCTTTTTTGGCCTCTTCACAGGTTTTAGGAATATGACTCTCTTCATTGCATATTCGGCAAGTGATCATTTCGCACTCCGGATTGCTGCAGCGGAATTCTCGGTCTTCCTCCACCGGTGGACAAATTGCTTTGAAATCACAGAATGGGCAACTTTCGAGACCATCAAGGCCTGCTCGTGCGATCTCGTCTTGTTGCTGAAGAGTCTCAAGCTTCTTCATAATTGAGGCTCCCAGCACCTCTTGAAGCTGGAGCCTGGTGAAGCTAGCCTGGCAGCCACTAGTGTCCATGCATTGCAGTTGGTACTTCATAAGTCCAATTTGGGTGTCTGCAGATCTGCGGATACACGCAAAACAGAAGAAGTGCACACCCATCCCTTCACAAGGAACTGTTCTGTTCGATGGAACATCTGAATAGCAGCACTGACACTCCACAAGGGTACCTGCTTTAGTGTGCTCCTCCTCATTGAGTCTCTCTGCCTCTTCTTCTTCATTTTTCTTGACGGCTAAGGCTGTAAATCGAAGTAGTTCGTTAGCGAAGAACAATGACTGCTCGAAAGACGCACTTACCGGCTTTTTTCTTTGCAGCGTCGAGTTCCTGTGTTAACGACCCCGTCCCCAAAAGTTCCGGAAATGGTGTAGGAGTAGATTGTGCTTTCCTTGCCCGCTTTAATCTCTCGTATGGTTTGGAACCAATAATTGTACTCTCGTGTTTAGAAAAGTATAGGTAAGCAGTGTAGAGCCTTTGCTTATCATCCATAACCTGTCGAATGTATTGGGTGGGAACATGTGGGAATTCTTGCGCCAATATCCGTGCACTATGAGCCATGTCAGCATGTCAACCAACCTTAGAAAGGGATAGTAAAAGGAGAAGGAGAAGATATCAATTCTCACGCTGTATTGAGATACAGAGTATCGCCATGATGGCCTGGGCCAGATTCCCAGTCTTTATCATCTTCTGTCACTGTCCTCTTTCTCTTCAACTCCTTCTGCTTGGGGTAAGATGGATTAGCCAGAATCTCCTCGATTATTTTCTCGTAGCTCGTATCCTGGTCAGGTTTATGACGGGCAAATAGGTCTTTTACGTATTGTTGGCTAATATCGGGAAAAAGTTCTAGGACTTTTGGCAGAGGGTCATCTTCATCCTCGGTATCTGATGTGATATCAATGACAGACACTGGGGATTGTGCCATATGTGCCGCGGAAGATGATCGAGTAGAAGCGTGGCCACGAGTTCGATCTAGTGACTCGACATTGAGGCCTGTCATTGGGGAGTTGCCAACTCGCCGAGCTCGCTTTGGGAGATTGACCGTGGAAGGAACCAAGCCAGTGAAATCATAGTCCAGCTCATCATCATTCTGCACTTCGAAGCCCAGTTGCCTCAGCAGCATCTCATCAGTGATGCCCGGCATGAAATTGTTATCTTCCTCATTTTCCGTGTGTCTATGTCCTAGGGAAACTTGAGTCATGATGGCTAGATGTAGGATCCCGTGGGTAGAGAGTCCCAAGTTGACGATTTAGCCTCAAAAAAAGCTGAGACTGGTAATCACTAGCGTTGGCTGTACTGACACAGTTGTGTGACTGAGAAGAAATTGAGGATAAGCCCATAGAGAAGCGCTCAGAGTTTATAGAGAGAGAGAGAGAGAGAGAGACGAGGAAGAAAAGGAAGGACCGTGACTGAGGAATGAGAAGAACCACCATCAGCGTCTTTCCGATTGAATCCAAACAGGTTGAATGAAGCTATGAAGGAGCCCGCCACGAACAAAAGTGAATCTTCCAGTAGAACCAGCCGGTCATACGATCCCCCCAACAACCATGGACTATAGCTTTGTTTACTCTCTTGAAGCAAAACACACCACAACAAAGCAATTGCAATAATGCCTCTTGATTTCGAGGGACTTTCTGCAAAAGGGGATATCAAAGAAAAAGAAAAACATCAAGCAACCTACACGTCAAAAATGATGCTTAATCAGGCTGCGGATCATCAGTAGCCAAGTGTGATTTGTCATCTGCTCGAGAAATTGCTCATATACAGCCTGAGCAGTGCCTGACTGCGTTTGGGATTTGTCTGTCTTCCTTCTACTGACTTTGCATACAAGAATAGTATGAAGTACTAGTCAGTCAACCAACTCGGAGTAAGACGGTAGCTGAAATATCCCAACCAGGACTAGTTGGTTGGTTAGTTGTAGGAAAGTTGGGTCGAACTTGGACGCTCTGACAGTGGCAGGATTCTTGGTGGGGCTGCGGTGGGATCCGGATGTACAGTGTGTGTCAGAGTGGGTAATAAGGAGTTATCGAGATGAGGGGCAGTTAATCGTGGTCCATGATATGGATAAGAGCATGGAGATAAATATCGACGGGTTGTTCTGCACCTGCCGGCCCAGCAGTGCGCTTCGCATCCCTCTTGATACAAAATCTGGATTGGCGATGATGTTATCTCTGCTGGGAGATCTCCGTGTGGTCATGTGACGCATGCGAAACGACGAGAGTGTCAGGGGGTGACAATACCGTGTACTAAATTACCAATCTTTGGCTTTACTGTACCTACCTTAAGTTACGTACGGTAAATTATAAATTACTGACCGCCTGGTAATGTATTATTGACGCTGCACTGCGCCCTAGGTGTCTTCCCGATTAGGCCAACGCCAAGCTGTACCACATGACGGATCATACCCTAGGTCATCCCCTCTCTTGCCCTACGTCACGCATCCCCGGTAAAGTTGAATGCAACGGCTTGGACAGGCAGGTACAGCCTTCGATTGCCGGTTGCCATCGCTTGTCCTCGGGATTATGACAAACAGATACAGAAGGAACAAAGGTCACCAGCTCAGTTGGATGGAATGTAGGTAACTATATATCCATTGTATCACCCCGGGTCTTCTCGTGGTTCTGCATCATTCCTCGGGTCTTCAAAGGCGCCATCATCGCATTCTTTGCTTATCACCGTCAATGTACCACCACTAGACATACACCCTTATCAAACTATCAGTAAATAGTGGTATCAGCTATCAGCTACATTAACCATCGCCGTGTCATATATCCCTGTCGAATACAGCAGACGTGGTTTCAAATAACCCATACACGAGCCAAATCAAATCGAACTCATTGTAAATATGATTGCTGCCGATCTCCCTGACTCGATTGCTTCTTTGCCACAGGGCGACTCTCCTGAAATTGTCCTGGTCCCTGCAACGCCCGAAGAACGGATTAAATCCCTCGAATTGAACAGCATCGTGTGGAAAGGGCTCCTGGATATCGAAACATATATTGCCCGAGAGAACCATCTTCACCAGCAACGATTGACCCGTGATGGCTTGACCTGCTGGATTCTCGTCGATCGCAGGCAGCCAGTAGGAGACCGGACAATCCTTAGCTCCTGTGAAACGTACAAGAAAAAGGCACTCCTAGCGTTCAACGGCAAGGTGGAAGAAGTGTCCACTCATGGAGTGGGGAGCGTTTATTGCCGGCCTGAGTTCCGAGGGAAAGGGTATGCGAAAAGAATGGTGGCAGATTTGAGCATGAAGCTTGATACTTGGCAAATGGAAGACGAGCCCAGGCACAGATCACTTTTCACGGTCCTGTATTCGGACATTGGCAAATCGTTTTACGCCAAATATGGCTGGAAACCCTTCCTATCCTCGCATATTTCCCTTCCCCCTATCTCCAAGGAGGAGTATGGGCGGGATATCCCCGGAGCCAACCTACCAAAGGCGAAAACTCTGGTTGCCAATGATGTTCAAGCCTCAATGTGCAGTGATCGGATTCTGCAAAAAGAACGTGAACTTTTACGAGTCGCCTCTGAGAAGTCTCCCAGTGCCAAGGTTGCCATATCCCCTAATTTCGACCATTTCGTATGGCATTGGGCACGAGAGGAATTTTTGGCAGAAAGAATGCATCCCGACAGAGAACCACCAACAATCAAGGGTGCTGGCGACGACAAGTCCCGGGTATACTGTGCCTGGAACAGAAACTTCGGCGAAACACCACAAGAGAATACTCTTTACATCTTGCGGTGGGTGTATGACGAGCCAACCACACCAGAAGAGACAGAGGCCACATCGAAAGCCATAGCTGCAGTATTGCGGCGGGCCCAACTTGAAGCACACGAATGGAACATGGCAAAGGTCGAGTTTTGGAACCCAACTCCATTGGTGCAAAAGGCGGTTCATCTTCTGGATCCTACCACCAAGCTGGTGCACCGGGAAAATGATAGCATTGCCAGTCTGAAATGGACAGGTGACGCGCAAGGTTTTGGTAAAGACGTTGAATGGTGGTGGAACGAGAAGTATGCCTGGTGCTGAAACAACCGAGCATTGCGTTTCATTCCATCATTCTGCATTTTTGTGGGTAGACTCATGAGTCTGTTGCTAATTTGGCACTGGAGGTGCTCAACATAGATCGTGAAAGACTGCGGAACCGAAACTCTTTTGAGATTGTGAAGTATAATGTATAATGTTTGGCGCAACCTTTCGGCTGCCGTGTATTTCAGCGTCGTTTTTGGTTTTTGAATAGCTCATGCCAATTCCTTGTCTTTTTGGCCGCTGTGGCAGCGCTGGAATCTGCCGAGAGGTTCTTCTTAACCTTTTCCCGATCGACTTCGTTGACGAAGCAAATTGATACAGGATCGGGATGTTGATATGAGTTTTCCTATAGAACATCAGCACGGTTTTCACAAGAGCGATTCGTAGAAGCCCCATATGTGAAGGAATAGACTCTAAGACCGAAGATAACAGAAGCACATCACTCACCGGTAATTTGGACAAGGCCACCTCATCCCTCCAAGATTCAGGAAGATGATCCTTCCAGGCATTCAGAAATTCACTCCTTCCAATTGCAGACTTTGTTGTAGGTGCCATAGCCTCCAGATATGTCTCGCCTACCCATCGCGTGCAGCTGGTCTTGTCGATACTCGCCCCTATAGTGATAAACACTCGTTAGAGCGATCGCGATTCCTCGAACATCTTGACAAAATATACTCACATTTGAGATTCTCATCGACCGACAACTGGGTTTGGTCATCCTCAGACTCACACACCCGGCGTAAAATGGCCTCGAACAAAGGCTGCGGAAAGGGTTCTTCAGCATCATCAAGAACCGACTTCCACAGATCGTTGGCCAGAAACTGTGTCTCCAAGTTGATTCCCTGCAAAACTGCCCCCTCCACCATCCTTTTCCAAACATCAACCTTGACTCTCGACGAAGGTCGCCAGCAACAGCCACTCCCATCCTGACCAAACACAAACGCACACAGCTCCACCCAACCCTTTTCGCATAGATTCCGGGAAACAGGAACATCGTCAAACACGGCATCGATCACCCTTTTCCGGTCCGCGAGTTCATGGATATCGTTGTTCATGATCACGTCATCGTCCGCCTCGGTGCTCAGAGTATCGTATACCCTCAAGACTTTCCCCAGGAACGGGATGGCGGAGAACCCCTCCGGTGGGGTGTGGAGTTCCAGTGTTGATCCGCACTTTGCGATGGTGGTCACCGTTTCCACGAGGTTCATATCTTCATCTTCGCCAACAACCTTGATATCGTCTTTCTGGATTGCCCCCTCGCTGGGACGGATCATATGGATGGAATTGGAGGAGTGGACTTGGCGGATTCGGAAGGTTTGGGTCGGGGTGCAGAGGTTTACATATTCGGGGGCTGTAGGGTCGGTGGTTGATTGGGATTGGGACATTGAGGGGGATTTCAATTGGAGACTGAAATCGAGTGAAAAATGTTAGCTGAGCTGGCTGGTTTTCAAGGGTGATGGGTGCGGGGATATTCATTGAAACAACTCGTCTGTTTCATATCGTAGAACAGAGGGGAGAAAGAGACATACGTAGGAGGCTCCTTGGATGAAAGCAGCTCTACCACTTCCGATGGGAGTTCGAGCAATCTGAAACCCTGTTGAGGGTTGGTGTGCGTAAAGAGGATGCTTCGTGCGGCCTGGGTGGACATTTTGAATGACAACCACCTGGCAGTTTTCAATTGGCTTGTGGAGAAAAGGGTAGCAGTCTTAGATTTGAAGAGAATTTTTGATTAGTATTGACTCTATGTAGCTTAAAACATAGACATCTTCTTGCGATAGGAGCTTGAAGCAGCTTTGGTCGACGCGGTACGCGCTTTTTGGCGGAGGGCGGATTTAATGCACGGACCACTGCTTAATATATGGCCATCCATATTCAAGTAATTAGGTAGATGACGAAAATTTTGGTCGCTGTTTGCATTTGCTTTCGATGCTCCATATAAAATAAAAAGAAATACATATACGAAAGAAGTAAAAAATAAGAGAATACATAGATGGGCTCAAAAGCACCAGAGAATCCCAAACAGTATCATCAGATGGCGATGAAGCAGTCTAGATCAGCACATAACAAATCCGTAACCCCTGAAATCTAAACCCTGTGTTGTTCTATAAGCAATCAAAAATAATCAAACAGCGACACCAAATGTGGAAGGATCTTGCTCTGTCTGGTCAGTACCTGTCATGTAGGTTATACAAGTCGAGTATGATCCAGCCAGCTGGAGACCTCAAGAACAGATTCAATCCATGGCTTCACAGCAAATGTCGAGCACATCAACCAGAAAGAAAGAAAAGACCCAAATAGCGTTATTAAACACCTGGAGCAGCTGCCACACTTTCTTTCGCGGGGGTGGCTGCAGGGCCTTCTTCGGAGCCTTTGAGGCCATCTTTAGCCAAAGACTCCTTTTTCTCCTCCTCCATGGAATACTTCACGACGGCGTCGTCAACCTCCCATTCTGATTTAGAGTCTTTGAACAGAGTATCGACCCGCTCGGCCCGTTCGGCCTGTTCCTTTTCTTCTTTCTCGCGGGCCAATCGCTCTTGTTCCATCTCTTCCATGTGTCGGAGATCATCCACACTCGGTTCGTAAAGATGCCAGATGGTGTAGTGGGGAAGTCCAATGACGGAAAATCCCATTCTTCTAGCCATCTAAACCACTTGTTAGCAAGGGAATCACACCGAATGGAGGTGGTTCAGTCTTACCTTTCCAAATCCTTCTGTTTCAGCGTGTTTCTCAAAGCTGAACGCTGGGAAATGAACACCTGCGCGGAATACCCTTGCTTTGGCGAGAATACTGACACCTCCAACACCATCAAGCTCCATTTCCATATCGGGATCGCCATATGGGTCACGGAGATAAGCAAGGTGAGGCCTCCATGTGGCATATTCGGCATATCCCTCCACAATGACCGCATCTTCGTCCAATGTCTCGGCAAGGGCCAATGCCGTCTCCGATTCTTGCCAGGAGTTCAAATCATACGGTTGTTCCCCACCTAACCAGTCCGGAAGAGGTCGCCAAACATCTAAAACCAATTAGAGGCGAAGCGAAAGCATAGGCATATCAGTTACTCACTTGGTACAACGACATCCTTGTCGTGTCTCATGAGGTCTTCGAGAATGGTAAATGGGGCAGTCTCAACGTCTGCATCTCTCCAGTAAACCCAACTGTGCGCCGGCCGAAGCGTGGCACTCAACAGCCAATTCCGTGCCTGAGCCATCAACTTTCTCCGTCCAGCCTGGGCAGCAAAACCATGCCGACTCTCCACATCCTGTGTCACCTTTTGTCCAAAATCCTTCTGAATGACCGAAATCTCTCCGAACGACATTGTGTGATCGGGGTCGGTCTGAAGCTCCTCGAGCATGCGCGTTAACATGCCCATCGTGTCATCCTTGGAATCCGATACCAGAAACGCCAAGTCTATAAGGTGGTGAGGGTATGTGAGGTTCCGAAGATGCGAAAAGAACATGGGAAGATGTGAGGAGGCATCTCTGAGAGGGGTACACATGAGCACCCGTTCCTCGCGCTCCCACCCTTTTGCTGACCCTTGAACCTGGGATAAATCATAATGTCGAACGGTTTCGAGCGAAAGGTCGTCGGAGGAAGAAAGGAGGCCCAGCGATAACGTGGGAAGGATTGCGGCTCGCCAGGACGGAAAGATCAGAACAAGCAACAGTAAAGAAATTCCTCCGATCAAAAATAACCGTTGTAAGAGCTGTCTTCGACGTCGTAAAGCAGGTTGTGAGCGCGGTTGGAACCTAGCATAGGCACATTGTTAGCGATGTGATGAATTCCCAGCAGTTCGGATGGGCCGCGAGCAGGGATCCGCAACTCTGCAACGCTGGGTGGGTTATGACGGCTGGATTAACGCTTACCGGTTAGGGGAGATGGAAAAAGTACTCTGTCCGCGAGGGTAGGCTGAGTAGCCATTCACGAAGGCGTGATGCCTATTCATCTCCACGGAGTCGCCAGCATGTGAAGCAGGAAGAGACAGTGGGAAGTCCCAGGAAACTCAGGATCCCCCCGATCTGGAGAAGTGGCCACAGGCTCACCGAATTCCACCCGAAATGCGCTGAGGGGAGAAACTAGAACGAAGGGCGGAGAAACCGAGAAACAGGGGCAAACGCAAAGAAGTAAAGAAGTAAAGAAAGACTCAGGCAACGAAGATTAAAAAAAGAATAAAAGCCAAAAAGCCAACGGTAGAATCGAATGATAAAATTAACGGCGTCTCTAGGCGTAAAGCCACAAGGTTAACAGGTGGTCTTCAGGGTTCGGCCAGACACTGAAGATTTGCCTCTAGGCCCAAAGCGCTGAGCCGCCCCGAATTCGTCATCTCCGTTTGCAGGCATGCAACCATGTGTGAAGGAAGACTTCGATCTAGCAAATTGCAGATCTGTATATATATTGTTCGACAGATTGTTGATAGTTTCACAACATGCAACTAAAACAGTGGGCTAATTACAGGGGTGTTTGAGAGGAAGGTCGCAGAACTCCGACTCCATGCTGAAGATATCTAAATGCCGACTCCAACGCCATGATGATAATTAAACAGAGAAACAGAAATTAAAAGGCCCGCTTATTGAGTACGGTCCAGGTCAACGTTCCATCGTGAAACCCGTGATTCGGGCGACCCCATCCCCTTGACTCCTACCTCGACCTGTCGCATCATCTTCTGCAGCAGGGCTTCCATCTGAGGCGGATCTCGCAGCGTTGAGATGACGGATCCGGCTTCGTACTCGTTATCCAAGATATAATATCTTTCTCTTCCCCAATTCTCCACCGTTTCATTCTGGAATGCGACCTTTGCTATCACTTTGGCGGGAACCTTGGTTTTGTTGATGGCACTCTTGGAGAACATGCGCAAAACGGGTCGGAGGCCAGATCGGGTCTGTTGTGCCATTCGTACGGATAAGGGAGCCGTCGTGGTTGTCAAATGACTCTCCCCGGTCATCCCTCCGGGATCAAGTGTGTATATGTTGAGGGAAATGCTGCCAGTCTATGCATTGTGAAAGTGTTAGAAGGTGAACTAACCCACAGCCAACTATTCGAACTCACCCGGACCAGACTCCTTCGCAGAGCATACATGGCAGCAGACATCAGCAACTTGCTGCTCCCAAACCGCATGTTTCCCTCCTTTGCACTCAACGGCGTCCCTGAGGCCAATCCGGGATTCCGATCGAAGTAATCCAGAGAACCACTCGACATGGCAGAACATCCAATGTTGATCACTCTCGTACCCCCGTTCGCCGTTCCGTCGCCTGCCCGGAAGGCCTCAAGTAAACTGACGGTCAAAAGGAAGGGTGCGAGGCAGTTGGTCTGGTAAACAGGGTCATACCCATCCGGGGTCACGTCGTCGCTCACGTACGAAGCCATGGCGGCGGAGTTGATCAACACCGTCACGGGCGGGATATCCTTGCATCGCACTCTATCGACCGTATTCTGAGAGAAGCTGACGACCGAGTTGAAGCTACTCAGATCGACCCTGACCACCTCGATAGACCGTGGCCCGATCAGCCGTATCCGTTCCGTCACATCCTTCACACTATCGGATCGAATGTCCCGTGTAGCTAGCAGTATGTGTGCAAACGGTTGTGTTTTGGCGATAGCGACGGCGATTTCAGACCCGAGTGACCCATTTCCTCCGGTTATTATGACTGTTCCGACGAGTGGAGTTCCCATTTGAAAGGTCGGGTTGCGAAGTAAGTCAGGTCAGAAAGAGCACGATAGATTACATTTGAGATCTCTCGATCGATCGTCGGTGACAGATCAGGAACGCTGCTTCTCATCCAGCGAGAAGGGCAACAGAGATGAAGATCTCTGCTGTAGAAAAATCTACGACCCGACAGTCCAAGCCGATCTGTAAACTACCTGGTCTGAAGCGCCAGGGCTAAGAAGCCTAGGACTCACTAGTAGTTGGTTAGCAGACAGACCGAAAATGAGGATTTTTGTCGACAAACCGACGATTCAAACGGTGGGGAATTGGCGGTCCACTTGGAGCAAAAAATAGAAAATAGTCCATTTAGCTTGAGAATTTGACATGGCAGTGAAAAGGAGGATGAGATTTTAGACAAAATAATCAAATTCGCCATTATCCTCGTCATTGTTGTCTCTCAGCTCAGCCACTGGGGTGAGACAATTGTGCCTCAGCATTTCAAATCGCTGCAATGTGTTGGTTGTCGTAATAATGCAGCTATAGTAGTATTGCATCGTAGTAATACTTACTGAACCCCGATGACCTGGAGATAGGAAGTATCGCCTACCTTTCATGGTATTCTTTTTAATAACCACTCCATCTATCAAAATTCCTCTAGAGCCGGCCTTTACATATGTGGGTCTGAAATATATGGAGGTCTGTAGTTCTATACTGAATGAGCAAAACACCACATAAAGCACGTGGCGCCACTAAATAATCCCTGCCTTAAATAGTTACCAAATATATCAACCATGCAAACACGTATCCATGCATCTCGTGTTTTTTCTTGGAAATATCTATGAAATCATTGCTTATTCACCGATGTTCGCCCGTGTTCGGTTGACTCGGGCATAGGTAGTTGGGCTCCTGTGTATCAATGTTGAAGAAAAGCGTACCTAGGCTCTAGTCCCTCAGGCAAAAGAGCCGAATGGCCTCATATAGGTCCGGGAGCCTCGTTTGGGGGTCATATCTGCTGCGCACGGAAACATCTAAAGGTGTTATATACCTATTCGATTTCCTACGTCTGTCAACGCTAAGCCAGGTGGTAGTTGGCCGAGTTTATGGAGAAAATCACCTATTTAACGACTTATCTTCGTTAAAATAGCTATGCTATATAAAATCGATGACTTTATTAGCTCGCAATGCAGCCGAGGGAGCATGTTATCCCTCGTCATTAAGAGCGGTGCTGAACATGATAGACTCCTATCTACCAATATCAATCAAAATCTTGACATACTTATCTTTTTCATTAACCAACGCCTTGAACCCCTTTTCCTCGACATCTTCCATCCGAATCTTACTAGTAATCATCGGTCAGGAGGGGCCGGAAGGGAAGTGGAGGAATAGGGCTCCTCTCCAACTGGGGGAGGACATTGTTGGAGGTCACATGCGCAACGAAAGAGATAGAAGGATCATCTCCCGGGAGCATAATCCAGATTTCCACCGGAACGGTCACCAGAAGCACTTCGGAGTGGAAAACCGACTCGATTTTGACGTCCGCCGAGACGAGGTCGGATGGGATGTTGTTTGTTAACCATTGAGTCCACTGTTGGAGATCCGACTCTCGAATCTGGTCACGGATTCTGATGCTCAGCAACACGCGGTGCTCGACACGCAGTTGTCTTCTCGTGATAACTCGGTTCAGACCCAAGCGCGCAAGTGTTATACTACTTGCCCCGTTCTTGGGGATGTAGACCGGGGGCGCACTGGCCTGATTTTGCCGTGCGTTTCGAAACATTCTCGCGTGAATCCCAGCCAAAGTTTCCGCGTCTCCGTTTAGGTCTTGGAGAACGTCGATGAGGTCTTGGGTGAAAGAAAAGATTGTCTCTGGTCCATCCTCCATGGCGATGGGCCCTGCCGAGCAACAACCAAAGAGGTAGCATACATCACCCAAAAATCCCTCTGGTCCAGCGCGAAGGGTGTTCCAATCAACCCTAGGACCGTTTAGGTCTCCATGGGCATTCACCGTTCCTCTATACCTGGGTTAGCATGATAAAAACAATATATAGGAGTGAGTCAACTCACCCAAGGTACCATCTATCCAAAGTTGCTCCAGCGGCATGCCCGGTGTACACGTAAATTCGCAGTGTGCCCTGACCAGAGTGTGTATTTGACCAGTTTGAGAGTTTCAGGGACAGTTTGCCTGCACACTCTGCTGTGGGGATCACGAAGCTCTCTACGTCGTATTGGTACTTGTCGTGGAGAATCTGGAGAAGTTGGGCTTCCAGGCGATCCACCCCCATCTGATCATTCGCCCATCGAAGGGCAAGCACCGATACTTTCTCGTATCGGGTTTCGGATGGGAGTGTCGAGTTCAAGGCTGCTTTAAGGCGTCTGGCAAAGTCTTCCAGACGATGAGGCACTGGGAACTCCTGCCAAGCATGAAATGGTCTAGCCATAGCCATATTGGCGTTGCCGTAGGGGTTAAGTGGTAGCAGCGGGGTGAGGAGCGAAACATAGACAAGACGAGGGGAGATGAAGGCGCTAATGAAGAGGATTAGAGTGAAAAATTCAACAGTGAATGTCTACAGTCATGTTGGTATAATGATATCATACTTTACTATAAGCAGAAACTACCAACAAAGAGATATAACTTGAAAACGAGCCTTTATTATTTACCTCAATAAAGAATAACTAGAAAGTAGCTTTCTATTAGCCTATAGTGAATTGCTATTCTCAAATTTTATTCTTATTCCGCTCCAGTGACTGTATATAGAATTAATGTTTCCCATTTTATAATATTGTTGTATTAATAGTTTTAGAAGAGGACTATTCAGACTTTTTTGCCAGGCGCTGCAAGTGAAATGGACGCTTATACATCTCAGACTACGAGCCCGAATAGATTCTCTGGAGGCGACAGAAAGAGCCACATAGCCTTATATAAACCCAAAGCCTACAGATGATGAAGAGAAGGCTCATATCTGAAGGAGTTGCTAAGAGTATGTAGTGCTTTATCAGTACAACTATGTTATATACACTTATGGCTTCATTTGCTCCCCATACAGCTGAAGGAGCAAGCACGCTGAAATCCTATTTACCAGCAATGTCAATCAAAATCTTGACATGCTTATCCTTTTCATTGATCAACGCTTTGAACCCCTTTTCCTCGACATCTTCCATCCGAATCTTACTAGTAATCATCGGTCTTGGATCGAGCTTACCCGACAAAATGGCTTCAATAACAGCCTCGAATTCCCCATAGTCATGAATAGCTGCCCCGATGACATGCTTCTCATACAATACCACCTCAAACGCATCAATAACCGGTTTTACCTCCCACAGCGACACAATCGTCACCGTCCCTCGTACGCAAATACCAGCTATGGCGGCATCAATGCCCGCCTGCACACCGGAACACTCAAAGGCGATATCCGCGCCTGCATCGTCTGTCATTTCACATACTTTATCCACGATGTTGTCGGTAATCGGGTCAAAAACGTGAGTGGCACCGAGTGTTTTGGCAAAGGCGCGACGCTGTGCTGAGACTTCGCTGACGATTATCGTTGGGATGCCTTGGGATTTGAGGACTTGGACGATTGCTAGGCCGATGGGACCACCTCCGGTGATTAGGGCTGTGGTGGTGGTGATGTTTTGGATTGGGGTACGTTTAACTGCGTGCCAGGCGACGGTGAGGGGCTCGACGAGGGCTGATGATTGTTTCAGTCTCTGCTTTATGTCGTCTAGGTGGATGACAAGTTTACTCACCACCAATATCGAGAGGAAATGAATCCGGTAATGGGATGGTATTTCTCTCTTGAACGACCACAAAATCCGACATACCACCCGCATTACCTGCATATAACCATCAGCAAGTCGTTCTCAGTCAAGCACAGGCGATAGAAAAGCTTACTACTATATCCAATAAATCCAAGATTCCGACAACTATTCATCCTTCCCACCCGACAAGACGGACACGTCTCATCGTACAGATTCGGTTTGACGACTACTCGATCTCCAACCTTCACCCGCGTCACGGATGCGCCTATGTCCTCGACTACTCCACTGAATTCATGACCGAGCGTGACAGGAAGCATGGCGCCTGTTATGGGGTGGGGAGTGACCGGGATAGTCGTTGGACCGATGAGGTATTCGTGGAGGTCTAGTAAGACATTGATTGATGTCAGGGGTTCTTCTTTCTTTCGAATACAATATCAGATAGTGAGGATATACGTACCACTACCACAGATCCCAGCAAAGGCAGGTTTGATCTTGTACGAGGTTTAGTGATACAAGAGAGCAAGTAAGTGAAATGAGCGCGTAAGCATAACTGTACCTTGACTTGACCATTACCACAAACAGGCTCCTCGATCTGGTCTACACGGATATCGCCGCGTCCGTGGAAACGAACTGCTCTCATGATGCTTTTACTGGATTGAAGAATAGACAGAAAATGGAGATCATGAAAAGGCACGTCCCCTTATATAGCATCACATCACTAATTCATGGGGTTTTCCCGTCGCGGAGAAGGCAATGCGGAATAGGCCCGTTGTACAGACAGGTTTGATGTCCCGAATCGATCGTTACGCAGTCAGAATCCAGACGATCAGTGCTAATAGAGCAGGCTCGAAAGCAGTCAGCAATAGCAGCCAACTTCCCCGCTGCTGTCGATGTGGGTTTGCGGGGCTGCTCAACTGGGGCAGGAAGCGTCATATTGGCATCCAATAGCATCGAACGTGATAGAGCCAGAGGAATAACCGGATGTTTTGCTTCAAGAAGGCTTTTGAAAACGAATATGTAGTTATAATTATGGCTTGGCTTCATTTCATAGCGATGATGGACCGGACAAGAACAAGAAAATCATTTAATTCTCGTTTGAAACGTTATGCTGCTGAAAATTATGCACTCTCTCTAACTGAAATTCGAATAAAACAAACAGGTATTTTCCCTTATATGCATGATTTTACCGGACAGCAGCTCCCTTCAAGCTCTTCACTGTGCAGATACCACCAGACTGGGTCAGCAGCTTGCCAAGGGCGGGCTTGCCCTCCTGGCCCTGCACGGCAGGAACGGCACTGCTCTCGAATGCAACCTCGAGGTTCTCGGTGGTGGTGAAACCGGGCTGGAAAGTTTCCCAGACCTTCTTCTTGGGGTTCAGCACCTTCTCGGGCTCACCCTCGCTCCAGCCGTCAAAAGTGATGCGCTGACCGGCAGGGGCGTCGGCAGGAGGGCTGACCAGCTCGACGGGACCGGCGTGCGAGTCCTCACCCTCGGCAACACGAGGAGAGGCAGCCAAAACCATGGCACAGGACTTGATACCGCGCATGGTGACAGGCTTGAGGTTGCACACGGCAACGATCTTTCTGTCCTGCATCTCCTCCAACGGGACTAGACCGTTCAATCCAGAGCACACAGTGCGAACAGTCTTGCCAGTGGCCTCATCCAACGAGGTGTTCTCGGAGCCAGGAGCATCACCGCAGTCAATAGTCGAGACGAAGAGAGAGTCGGCGTTGGGGTGGTTGATGGCGCGAAGGATGTGGCCGACACGGAGATCGATGATGGACGGGGACGGAGGAGCGGCCGGCGCAGGAGCAGGCTTGGGCTGCTTCTCTTTCTTCTCCTTCTTTTCCTTCTTGGGCTTGCCGCCAGCAGGGGCCTCTCCAGCCTCTCCACCCTTGGCCTTCTCGGGCTTGCCCTGTCCCACGACCAGCGGCTTGCCAGTGGAAGCAGCAGCGTCGGGATTCTGAGCAGCAGCCTTCTCCTTCTTCTTGCGCTCCTTCTCCTCCTTGGGGTCGACGGGCTTGGGGACGAATCGCACATCATTCACGTCAATAGCGATCTTCTCCTCGTCGGGGATCTGCAATGCGAACAATCGGCTGTTCTGCACAAAGTCCACATGACGGACAATGTGGTGGTAGCCCTTCTCGCCAGTGCGCTCCTCGGGAGTCCACTTCTCCACGACAGGAGCCAGGAGAGCATACACGGCGATATCAGCCACTGAGGGCTTTGCACCCAGCAGGGTTGTCCGCACAGCCAAGTGAGTGTTCAGCTGGGTGAGGATGCTCTCAATCACAGTCTTCTCATCCTTGGTGAGGGCGCCCTGCAGGCCGGAGATTGTGCACAGCCATTGCTTGATGTCGGCCTCCTCGGTGACGGAAAAGCTGGTCTGGGGGAAAATCTTGGGCGAGGCGTGGTGGAGGTCGAGCTCAGTGGCATCGGGCGAGACGGCGGCGGGGTAGGATCGGTAGAGGAGGGAGAGAAGGGAGGACTCAGGAGCCGAGTTGATGGCCATGTTGGCGAATGGGCGGACGGAGGGCGAGCAGCAAGAGGGTGAAGTGGTGATGCTGGTGAGCAGATGAAGACGAGGAAGAGGGGCAGCAGAATTATTGGATCCCAGGCGTGGTCTCCAAAGTCGAACGAACCGCGGGGTTACTGCGGCCCGCCAAAGGGTGACGGTTGGACGAAGGGGAGACAACTTGGGCATAAATATCCCTTTATTACAGGATCTTGAAATATTATTTAATAATTTATGGACTATTCTTTCCAGTAAAATGATCTTTCTGATCAAAAACTGCTTTGCTTGATGCTCACAATCTGTCGTCGCGCGCTTCTTACGGGCAGCTTATTCTTTTTTTTTTCTCCCTTTTTTTTTTCTGCCCCTTCCTATTTGGGCTGATTAGGGCTCCACCGATGACTCATCAGACCTATCATTCTGATACCTCAAGAAACATATTTTTATATAGTATTCATGGTTGATTTCATGATTTAGCATAATAATATGGACTGCAGGATGATTTTAATGTTTTGATGTTGACTGGTTGGATGCTGAATGCTACGACTACGTTGTACAAGGATAGAGAATCGATGCAGGAACACTATACTATACTCAGATGGCTGGAGAATACTAAGCAGGAGCGGCAAATCCAAGAGATGGACCCCTCATATCAAAGACAACATATAAGGCTTTCAGGAACACATCGCCAAAGATCTGCATCGAGGTGCCCTGGTTTGTTTGAACACCGCCATAGCATACTATTCACTCATTAGCACATGATACATTATAGAAGAGGAGAAAAGAAGGAAGAGAAGGAAACTTACCAGCTTTGCCAGTCGTCGTGTTGATGCCCACCTCCGAGTAATCAATCAATGCACCTGGAATCGTCGCAAGGTGTGCATCTCCGATGGCAACCGACAGATCAGGCAGGTCAGCGCCGCAGGGATAGATCCAACCACTTGCCGAATCGGCATACACGGAGCCCTCGACCTGTTTGTAGTATGCGTCCACCACCTCCGGGCTGACCAGCATCAGCGAGGTTCCCGTGTCAGCAATGGCAGTGGGTGTCTTTTCGATGTTTTGTAAGTCTCCATTACCAACAGAAAACCGTGCGGATTCAAACTCCCAGTATCCATTAGATGAGTCGACGGTGATATTCACCATATCTCCCTGATATTTGCTATGGTCGATGAAACCAAACTCATACTCGCCAACGCCATTGCTCTTGAGAGACGCCGCAAGAACGGGCTCGTCAAGGTTCTCAGCGAGGTTTTCGAAAAAGGTCTTCTGTCTGTCGGGTTGAACGGTGTTGAGCTTGGAGAATCCCAAACCAACCAGTCCGTTGGACGATGGCTCGTCGATGAAGGAGTCGGATACGGTGGTTGGGATGCCAATGGCTTGTTTCGTGACGGTTGCACCGCCGATATCAACGGTATCCGTGCCCACTTCTCCAGAGGCATATGACGAGTCACCATAGCTGATCTTGAATGTAGCACCCTCCATAGTCTTGAAACTACTGGATTTTGAAGGATCAAACACGGTGTGACCCTTTTTCTCATCGGACGGAAGATTTGAGTTCATCACCCAACTATAAGAGCACTTCTTAGTAACCAGTCAAAGGAGGATAGGGTTAAACATACAAGTCAGCTGAGCCAGTATCAAAGTCCATGACGATCTTTTGGCCTCCGATGGTCACTGGGGAGACGAATTCGGCATCTTCCTGGATGGAGGTGGCACTGACTGCCCCTGTCTGCTCCGGCTCCGGTGCAGACGAAGTCGAAGATGCCGATCCCGATGGGCTTATTTTCTTCACGCTGATGGGCTCAAAGTCCGAGAGGTCAAATCCTATATTCATAGGAACGATGCCGTATTTCTGGTATGCTCTGCGAAGAGCAGTAGGGCCATGCACGGTGTTACTTCGGCGCACCCGGTCAACCTTAAAGGACCTGCCTTTGTGCTGAGTCTGGGGAGCTGTTGGCGCCGAAAGTACATCGTAGCTGAGAAGCAGCACAAGAAAGATAGACTGTAGAAGCTGCATCGCGTTCGAATATTAGCTCTCAAGTGTCTAATGAGTGTTTTATAATCCCACTGTCCCGACAGCTGGGAGTCAAGGATGAAAAGAACTGGCGAACTCTTCCAGAGTGCAAATTATATTGAGAAAGAAAGTAGCAGGGCCCAGTCCTGACTCGAACACCTGTGAAAATGAATAGGATGAAAGGAAAGAGAGAAAGACAAAGCGAACAGCTTTGAATAGGCTGATCAAAGCAGAGCAAAAGAACAATAAGAGGGAGTGAATTAGATGAATATCCGCCAGAAAAGAACACAAGAAAGAAAAAAAAAGAAACAAAGAAAGAAAGCCCTATTCACTACCGGACATCATATAGAAAAAAAACATATGGCCGGATCAAACATTGTCTATCCAAAGGAGACTGGAGTCTCATATCTGGTCCACTCTGGACGAGCTTCCAGGGGCTGCAGAACGAGCCAATCCGTCGAGCAAAAATCAGACAAAAAAAGCCGAGTGGCATACGTAGGCCGACTTCTTCAGTGGAAGGTGATTCTGATTCCATCTGCCTGATACATCGTCAGTCACTGCAGTGGAGCATCTCCTCTCAATAAGTGGTGCTATCCAGATCTCACAGACTGCCATGCAGCGCGTGCAGTCAGCGTGACAGCAGCCGGCGATCACTTGAAACGCCCAGTGCTGGGCATCGGCCAATCACCGCCTGGTTTTGCCCCGATATGCTGAAACAGGGCGCCAAGCAGGAGTTGCAGCGGTTTTGGGAAGATTTGATATTCGTGATTTTCATTATTGGGGTGAAGCGTTGAAGAAATTGAAGGAGAAAAGGAAGGGAAAATTCATTGCCGATGGAGATGGAGATTTGCGTGGTGGATGCGACAAGTTGAGCAACCTTATCTGGATAACTTCAAGACCATCAATAAAGCATCAAACCATCTGCATTCAGCTGTTATTAATAGCCAAGCATAAGAAATTATCAAGGACTGGTCATTCATATAAAGTAACTGTCATCGCTCTACATCTAACATAGTTTAATCAGTTGTGATTGCTTTCCATCTAGAAGAGGAATAGACACCGTACTAGTTGATCTGCTAAGCCCCTATCAAATTGACATGTGGATATGGCTGAGATCGGCGAAGGATGTTGTTTGTTTTGACCAAGAAACCCGGATTTAGAACGGAGAATATCTAGTTTCATCGCAATATTAAATTGAAGTGTGAAATCAGTCGTAAATCATTGGTATCAGGATAGAACTCTATGTCCAAACGCCAGGACCCTTCGAACTGCTGTTCGGATGCAACACGCTATGAAAAAATGAGAGAAACATTAAAAAGCAGAGAGAGAACGCCAGATCACTCAACCATATCGTCAGGAAGGACGGCGTCTGGGTCCTCTCCAACCATCTGGCCGACAGATCGTACAACTTGTTTGATCGCCTTCGAGGCCGGGCTATCGGGGAAGTTGTCCACGAAACTTTCGCCATAGTCACAAGCCATTCCAACTCGTGGGTCAAGAGGCACTGCGCCCAAAAAGGGAATGCCCATCTTCTTTGCGAGGCGCTTCCCGCCGCCCGTGGTGGCTCGGAAGATCTGAGACTCTTGGGTACACTTTGGACACACAAACCCAGACATGTTCTCCACCAAGCCGAGGACTCGAATGCCCGCCTTGCGGCAGAAGTCGATCTCCTTTCTGACATCTAGCAGAGACACCTCTTGGGGGGTGGTGACAACCACTGCACCGTCAACACCGGACTCCTTGAGGAGCGAGTTGACCGAGAGATGCTCATCAGATGTTCCCGGGGGAGTGTCAACGATCAGATAGTCCAGCTCACCCCAGTCCACGTCCTTGAGGAATTGTTTAATGAGACCGTTCTTCTTCGGACCTCTCCAAATTACCGCATCGTCCCGATTGGGCAACATGAACTGCACACTCATCGCACCCAGATTGTCTGTCACCCACACCGGGCTCCAGCCTGCATTGCTCACGTGGATTGTTTCGGCTTCCACACCCATCATCTTAGGGATCGACGGCCCACAGATATCGGTATCCATTATCCCTACGGTCGAATCGGGGTTCGCAGCGAATGCGTGTGCAAGGAGGGAGGAAAATGTCGATTTGCCCACACCACCTTTACCGGAGAGGACGAGGATCTTGTGTCGGATTTGGGAGAGACGCTCTGTGATGATGGAGATATCGGGATCTGGGCCTTTGGGCGCAGAGGCGCAGATGGATTGGTTCGGACAACCGGCGCACGCATCACCTTGACCGGCCCTTTCTGACTCGGGGCCAGGGCAGTGTTCTTGAATATGATGTGTTAGCAACAACCATGATTTAAAACCTGGACGATAAAGCATACCAGGTTCAGGCGCCACCAGATTTGGTGCCATTTTGGATGGGGCTGCGATAGCCGTTGGCTCCTCGAGCGACGGTGCCATCAGGTAGGTTTTAAATTCTGAAGAAATCACCTGTCCAACACCTCAATACCTGTATCTCAGAGAAAGATGAGATGCTTCCTGTGGTGGTGAAAAATAAAACTGATGGAGAAAAGTGGCGGATCAGTCATAGCGGAAATCGATGCTTGATAATACAGGATGACAAACGATCGGTGGCGATTGGCGGGGGAGCGTCGCGTGTTGCGGTTTCGGAGTGCCCCGCGATAAGATTCTGTTGTCGCGATGTTTTCTTTTTCTATACATATTTCTTTTCTTACGAGTAGTTATAGAGAGTATGTACATATGTGGTGACAGGTTGGGAGAATTACATGCTGAGCCTGGAATATTGTGTTGATCATAGATGATCTTGGGGGTACGAGCTTTGCCTACAACTACGATGAAAACTAAAGGCAACCATTTGAATTCTAGGTTGATTTTATTTGAATATCGATATCGAATGCATTCCTAATGGTATAATAAGTTCAAGTCGTCACTTTCAACCAGTCAGAGCTCGAGTGGATGTCTGAGAATTGATGCGACGATCAGCATGGGCAATCCGGATACACCACAAGATGATATCACCAGCCCTTGCATACTCTGTCTGGTCAACGTTCAATGCCATTGTAAATTTCATTTAAATTGAGGTTGAATTCAATAGACAGTCTGAATATTCCCTGCTGCATACGAATCCCCTCATCCTCATGTTGTAATTGACTCAGGCTATCCATCAAAAAGGCAATAATAGACCTGCTTAGCCTCACCATCCTTACCATCACCCTGGCTCTCCCTCCCTTCCCCTCTTTCGACATTCCCCTGGTGCAGGATACATGCATCGAATGCAATCTATATCTGCATCTATATCTTAGTGTCCACTGGTATTCCAGGCGAAGCCATTGTCCAGTTGGATATCGCAAAAAGTATCCGCTGTTACCGCTCAGAGTCCAGCCAGGCTGTTTCTCCCGCGATCGGCGCATGAGGCCCTCGTAATTCTTCGGTGTCCTCGAGCGTTTCTCATGGTCCAAACACCAGGAGAAAACTGGAGGGGGGAGTGATTATGCACTCAATGCAGCGTGCTCGGACACCCTCTCCTCGACTCCTTGTATTCCGTAGCGAGTATGCCAATTAATCCACGGCCATCTGATGCCACTCTTCCAGTGTCGTCGTGACAGCGTCAAAATAACGGGTTTCTCTTCCCTTCCGCTCCATTCCCCTCCTGGGGCTGAGGCCGCCCTCTGATTGGTCGAATTCCGGTTTCCCCCCAGTTGGCGATCCCCACCGAGAGGAGAAGCTGTCGTTCTTCGACTCTCTCGTTTCTCGCGTGCTGTCCTTCTCAACAGTTTACGTACTGGGTCCTGGATGTCTTAAATACAGCTAACTGCGCTGGTTTTTTCTTCAGATTCAACAACTGTCCAAGAGACATCTACCAGGTCAATCTACTGGTTGTGTGCTGAAACAAGACCCTGAATCACATGCTAAACTCGCCTCGCAGCTGAAGCACAAGCCACTCTGAGCTTTGCCCCCAACCCCAACCCTGCATCGTGTCACATGCTTTCTGTCCTACACTGATTATTTCCCGCACATTGTTACTTTGCTTTTACTTTCTGCTACTCCAGAGAGTCTCATAGAGTACTCACGGTCTTTGTATTTTCAACCTACAATCATGGATCGTGGCCTTTCAACAGGCACTCATCGTGAAAACGATGGTCTCCGTGAGAGAATTCCTACCTCTGTCAGTCCAGAGGCTCTTGCAGCCACGGGCGAGGTAGAGGTCACGGATAAGGAGGGAAATGAGTTGAAAACATTTGGTCGGACGCCAGATGGTACAGGTAGGTGTCTTCGACTTGATGGTTGGGATTGCGATTATTGTTTACCTGATGGTTTCAATCGCCATGATTCCCCCATGGAATCACGACGCACAATCCAATTGTCGTTTTAATTGTCCGACTGGCTGACTCGACGTTTTCTTATAGTGTTCACGGTGCCCCAAACGCATGACATGGTCTCTCAACTCCTGTCACCGTCGGAACCAAAGAACCTGTCTGACGTTCTGGTAATTGCCATACTGGGTTTCCATATCCTTCTCGTGTGGCAACTTCCAGCAGGTGTCAAAATCCCGGTCTTTGCTGTCATCTATCTCTTTTGGCGTGCTTGTTACAATGCAGGAATTGGTTGGCTTCTTCATAATCAGTCTCATCACAAGACACTGATCCGGTGGGCGGAGAAGACCAAGGTCTTTGTGAACCCGGCCACGGGAGAGAACCCATATCCTCAGTTGTACAACTTGTTCAAAAGAGAATTGGAAACAAAGATTCCGGCTGACTATTCCTTTGACGAGGCTCCAATTGAATACAACACTTGGCTCGTCTTTAGGCGCGTCGTGGATCTGATCTTGATGTGTGACTTTACCTCTTACTGTCTCTTTGCGATAGCATGTAGTCACCACCCTATCGACGAAAGCGCCATCATGACCACTCTGAGGTGGTCCGCGGGCATCGTTCTCGTGCTTTTCAACCTTTGGGTCAAATTGGACGCTCATCGAGTGGTCAAGGACTATGCCTGGTACTGGGGTGATTTCTTCTACCTCATTGACCAAGAATTGACCTTCGATGGCGTCTTCGAAATGGCTCCTCACCCCATGTACTCCGTCGGCTACGCCGGTTATTACGGTATCTCGTTGATGGCAGCAAGCTATAAAGTGTTGTTCATCTCTATCATCGCCCATGCAGCTCAATTCGCCTTCCTTGTCTTGGTCGAAAACCCTCACATCGACAAGACGTACAATCCTCCTCCCCCACGCAAGCGTACTATGGAACAGGAAACCGCATCGACAGTGTCTCAAGAATCGGATTTACCCAGTGCGCCACCATCCTCCGATGAACCCGTGCCCCATGCATCCACATATTCCAGTAGTAGTCCGCCGCCTTCGGTCCACAACCTGCTCGGGCTCCACAATCTGGATTTGTACCGGACTACGGATGCTTCCGTCATGCTTGTTCAATTTCTTGTATTTTCAATCACCGTCTTGACACCCTCCACCCCGTGGTATCAGTTCCTTTTTGTGGTCAACGCTGCGATCTGGAGAATCTGGTTTTCGGTTGGTGTTGGGTGCCTTCTCAACGGTCAATCAAACCGTAAGACCTGGACTCGTCACTTTGTCAAGTATGGCGAGACTCCTCAAGAGGCATGGAATCAATGGAAAGGCACATATTATCTGAGCATGATCATGTGCTACGCCAGCTTCATTGCCGCCGTCTGGAAGATGTATACCTTCCCCGCAGACTGGGGCTACGGCCTCGTTCTGTTCCGACACATTCTGGGTGCAGGACTCATTAGCTTGCAACTCTGGACTTCCGTCAGCATCTATGAATCCCTGGGCGAATTCGGCTGGTTCTATGGAGATTTCTTCTTCGACGAATCTCCTAAGCTGACCTACAACGGCATCTATCGCTTCCTCAACAATCCCGAACGCGTCCTTGGTTTAGCCGGTGTGTGGGGCGCCGTTTTGATCACCAGTAGCGGCGCGGTGACTTTCCTTGCCCTATTGAGCCATATCTTGAGCTTGGCTTTTATTCAGTTCGTGGAGCGCCCCCACATGCAGAAGTTGTATGGCCGAAGCCTGCGACAGGATGCTGGTCTTGTAAAGAGCTTGAAGAAATCCCTGCCGCGCACCCTTCGGCAGCTGCATGGAAGCGTGGACAAGATCTTTGACGAATCAGTCGAGTTTATCGAGGATATTGTCGACAACGCGCGCCCCAAACTTGCCGCCGGTGTCAATACCTTTGTCAGGGACACCACTGCCCTTTTCCAGAAATACCCCGCTCGTGTTACCATTGCTCGCATCGATGAAGACTTGGCTGGATTTAACTCCCGTGACTACTCCTTGGACATCGAAGGCACCGAATCATCGGATTTGGATGACCACGACCAAGGCAGTGGCAGAGAAGGCGCTAATGCCCGCATGCCGCTTGACAGAAGAGGTGACTTGAAGAACCTCGTGTTTGAATACGGAGCCCCGATCAGAGTCAAGTGGAACGCACCGCTCAACCACACCAAGAAGGACTGGATTGGCATCTACCGAGTCACCGATAACACTTCTCGAGAGGTCACGAGGGTCTCATCTCAAGGCCGCTGGGTTGCAGTCAACGAAGGCTCCTACGACAACCTGACCTGTGAAAAGGGAATCGTCACCAGCGATGTCGTCGTACACACCCCACTAGGCCCATATGGCGACAAGCATAAAACCGCAGCCGGTGAAATCGTCTTCTCTGGTGACAAGCTCTTCTGGACACAGGGTGTCTTTGAGTTCCGCTACCACCACAACGGCAAGCACAATGTCATGGCGATCTCCAGACCGTTTGAAATCCGCATCCGTCGTGCCGATGAGGAGGGTATGCTCTCGGACAACCACAACCTGGACCAGACCTCCGTGGAGAAGGGCCTGTTGACCGTCATCCGCAACTGCTTCGACCGTGACCCTGAAATCGCGCCCGAGAACGTGGAGGAATCGTTCGGAAGCCTCGTCGAGCGAGATGGTAAATTCGCCAAGCGGGTCGTCTTTGCTGTTCATCAGATGTGAGTTCACCCCAGTTCCTCCCTCTTGATATATATACTCATGCGACTATAGGTTTGGTATCGAACTTGCTCCCGAGGTCGTTCGTGCCGATGGAAACGTCCGCAATCTCGCTTGGAGGATATGTAATGCAAAGAGAGTCCTGGTAAATAACATCTTGGGAATCTGCAACACAGCAGAAGCTAACATATATATAACAACAGGCCCCTTATAGTATGTCTAGAGACGGTGCAACAACACCCACAGAAAGAAAGGAATAAAAGATTCAAACCCATGATAGAGTAGCAACTCGAAATGGTTGGTTATAACGAAGAACAGGAAATTTTTCTTCCTGCTGCTTGTTTATGTTGGAGATGAGCCACGATTGAGATTATAGACTGGTTCGAGCGCTGGACCTTGGTGGACGATCGAGGACCCAGGTGTCTTTTCTTTTTCTTTTGTTTTCATTATTATATTATTCTTTTATTTTTATTTTTCTGCTACGCATGTACTAAATTTTAGAATAAAGACGAATAAAAATGAAAAAAATTTTCATTATTCAAGTCATGGACTAGGACGTGAGCCGGCACATGTTTCTATCGTCCAAACCTGTCGAATGGTTGTCTTAGTAAACTGCTTACGGCTGTGCAATACATTGAAAAGATAAAGCTGTTTGATAAGAATTCCATATCATTTATCTAAGGTTATATATACTATAGAAAGTCGATAACCTATTCAAGTAACCGTTAGCACGATGTCATCAAACTCGAAGTGTGACTTGAAGTATTTGCACATCTCTTTATCTTAACAAGAATAGAGGTGAGTGGCGGTAATCAGACAAGCCGGTTAATTCAGCCCATCCCCTGCCGACTCTCCCCCCCATACACGGTGTCCAAAACGAACAATCGGCAGAAGGAGAGAAATCGACACAAGTCAAGCATAGCAGTCAAAATACCAGACAGGAACAACACGGCACAGAGTCAACGATTTGAGTCCAAGCCCCACTACTCCACAACCGTTCATCCCCTCCACATCGCTGCAGAACAGTGATAGAAAAGTCCGGTATAAGGGAGGTGGGAAATGGAACCGCTGCCCTTCAAGACGTGCTATTCCATAGGCAAGATGAAGCGAGCTCGAGGGGCGGTTCTCCAAAGGAGATCATTGAATGGATTGACTAGTTGTCATCATAAACCATGTGTGGGGTGTTGTAAGTAAGAGACTGATGGTAGCCTTACCAATTAGATTGCAAGAAGACAATGGTATATTGAGGGATAATACTACAATATGAATCTGTCTTTTGAGATCGTTAGCAACTCTCCGAAAACAAGAGTAAACAAACAATATCGAGTAATTGGGGGTAGATCAGGAGTTTTTGGTAAGGTATTTTGTTATCTTCAATATATTTGCAGAAGCAGAACTGAAAAAATTTTTCTCATCACCAAGAATTGGGCAGGAAAAGCAGAAGTGAAAATTTCGTACCTGGTCAGCAGCTACGAGGACATGTTGCAAGGATGGTTTTCAAATAATCTTCCTGTCTTGGACAATGTCAGCAAAGAACATACAATCAATTGTGATGTATGAGCAAGGTGAATAGTGTAAATGTTCTCAGATGGTGATGCATGTTTGTTCTTGGCCCATTTTTTGGTCGCCGAACTTAAGATTTTTGGAAATCATTCGTCATAGGAACACTGTGTGAAGTGTGCAGAAGGATTATAAGACTCACAGTTTATTGTGTTAGTCGAAGTTTCTTGACGATGATAACAAGTAGCAATAATAATTGCTGAAAACTCTTCATCATAAGAAGAGCAAGCTGTTTTTGACAACTTGACAGTGATGTGGGAGGAAAGAAGAGGAGAAAAAGACGCGAGGAAGAAAGGACGAAGAAAAAGTGAAATGGCGCTAAGCCCACATGGACAAACAGTGCAAACATCCCTCAAAATTGTAGATTTCCGTTTCGGGCTCTCAACGGCAACCTCAGCTTCAAGACATTTGGATTCCACAGCGCCAGCGACGTTTTTGACCTGTCGCTTGCTTTGTGACTGATCGCCGACCTATTCTTGCTTTAATGATACAATTTCATGTGTAATGACTGACAGACGAAGAATCAATGGGCCGCCCAGCGGCACGAGGCCTGCGGTCTTTGCCTCGCTACTCAAGTCCGCCTCGGGCGCTCCTACAGAAAGACCGCAGCGTCAGAGACAATCTAATGAATTACGAAAAATCTGTGAGTATTCTGGTACTTTGTTCGCTTTGATGTGACTGGAACTGACAGAATCAGTCTTGAAAACCGGTCTTATCCCCACTGCCTCCGGTTCCTCCTACGTCGAATTCGAACCTTCAGCTTCTCTCGCCGCCGCACGCTCATCCCCCAAATCCTTGGTTCCTCCTTCATCAGCTTTGAAGTTAGCCTGTACTGTCCACGGCCCTAAGCCGCTCCCACGCTCTGCTACTTTCTCCCCGAACCTTGTTCTCACGACTCATGTCAAATACGCCCCATTTGCTGCCCGCAAGAGGAAAGGACATATTCGCGACGCCAGCGAACGGGATCTTGGTGTTCATCTGGAGACAGCTTTGAGGGGTGTTATTATCGCGGAGCGCTGGCCAAAGAGTGGACTGGATATCACGATCACGATTTTGGAGGCAGAGGATGACCGCTGGTGCGGGGATGCGCCTGACTCCCATGATGCATCGTGGGGCATGATGAATGTCCTGGCAGGATGCATTACTGCAGCTTCTGCAGCGATTTCAGACGCTCGGATCGACTGTCTTGACCTTGTGGCAGGCGGTGTCGCAGCTCTTGTCTCGGATGACTCCAGTGAAGACGACACTTCCAAACCGAAGCTGATGATAGACACAGACCCAGCAGAGCACCGGTCAATTGTGTCGGCGTGTGTTGTTGCATATATGCCGTCTCGGGATGAGATCACGGAGCTTTGGCTCAAGGGCGACAGTTCCAAGGCATCACCGGGTGCTGATGATAAGCGAACGGGCCACGAAGCCCTGATAGATGGAGCGGTGGATGCAGCTCGAGGAGCACATTCAGTACTGGCAGAGGCTGTAAGGGAATCCGCAGAGCGGTTCATCAGCCAGGCAGTGAGTGGAGTTTCAACGCAATGATATCAAAAATGAGGATATAATGCCATTGTCTATTAGATTATGTTTATTGTTGCTTTTATTAGCATGGAATACAAATGGGCTTGAGTGGTTTTTAGCTTATGAACGTAGCAGTGCAAAGCAGGCCATTGTTCTATCAGTGAATGAAAGATAGCAGCTCTACGACACTCAACACTTTCTCCCTCTACCACTTTACCTTCAACTCACTTTCTTTCAACACTACGGTGGACAGCTTCAACTCACCTTCCCTCCTCTTCTATCTCAGCACTACAGCGTACAGCTTTAACCGTCTTCCATCATCTATCTCAGCAAACCTCTTCCCATCTCATAGCTTTTATAAAGCTTCAACCAACCCTACCACCTACCTTCTTCTACATCCCTACCTCCACATCCCCCAACAAGCAACATGGCTCCCAAAGCTCCACCAGACGCGTCTCTAATGTTCCTCTGGACATGTCTCCAGAATTCCGACTTCACTACTGTAAGTCACCCAGCTCCAGCTAAGAGCCTCATAGCACCTACTTATTGTGTATAGGTCAACTATGCCGCCGTGGGAGCAGCCACGAACACCAACGTCCCAGCCGTGCGAATGAGATTCACCCGTTTGAAGAAGTGGATCGAGAACGGGCAGAACAGCGAGGGCAACGCAGAGGATGGAGAGAGCGAGCCCGCCACTCCGAAGGAGAACGAGCCTGCTACCCCAAAGAAGAAAAAGGAGCCTGCTGCGAAGAAGCAGAAGGCGGCTGCTCCGAAGCGCGCCACGAAGCGTAAGAAGGTCTCAGAGCCTGAAGACGATGATGAGGACGTTGATGAAGAGGTTGAAAACGCCGAGGCTGTCGTCAAGCCCGAAGACGCTGATGAGAAGAAAACTGCCATCAAAGGTTGATGAGAAGAAAGCTGGCGTGAAGGTCGAAGAACATGATATCGATGAGTAGGCGCACATGGAATAGAGGAGATGAACTGGATTGGATGCACTGCTCTCTCTTGGCTTGGGGCTCTTCTCGCTTGGATTGACTGAATTGGAGAAACGGTTACAGTACCTACCACATGGGTTTCTACATCTACAGACCGAGGATACAGGGAACGGTTCATTTGCGGAGATTTGAAGCGAACAGGGTGTGATAATTTTTGCATTAAAGACTAGGAACAGAACAGAAACAGGGACTTGGTCGAATTAGAAGCGATGAAAGACATGGGTTCTCTGTGATGAAACACGACCATCGCATACTCTGGAGCGCACAGATGTCTCTGGCCTCGATCTGCCAATTCTGCATGCAGTATCGACGTTAAGGCATGTGCTGAGCACCTACATATCGTGTCGATCTCGGAAACATTACCATTCTGGACGTATTATCAGATAACTACCCCTGAGCAGTAAGCAGTAAAGCACACTTCTGACTTCGTATGATGAAGAGACAGAGTTCTATTTCGCGTGCCCCCTTGGGCATGGATAAAAAAGGGTTGTGTGTGTGATAACTGCCCAACAGTCACATTCAACTAGCCCTATGTAGCAAGAGAAGGACCAAAATTGGATTTGTGTGAATAAGCATAACTAACATAATATATCGGAATTTGACGCCCGTTTTAGCTCGAGAGGATCTTTTTCCCGTTGGTTGTATTTTAAAATTATTTTTCTCTCTCCCGCCGCTCTGGACGATGGCCTAAGACTGATAATATTCAGCCGTGGAGTTGGTGGAGCTATACAGAGGTCGTACAGCGACAGAACGATATTATTAGCATGGTGGTTTAGTACTATCAGGGTCTAGCACAGGGGTAGAACACGATGGACAGATGCCACTATGCGTTGATGGCTGAAATATGATTGCGATCGTTGGGATTTGGAAGCAGGAAGAAATGGGAGGATCCAACGGTCTGGGTATTTAAGATCATTCGAGGTGGATTGCGGACATCTTGTGGGGGTTTTGACCAGTACTATGACTTGTCATTTTATGGAGACGGGGCTAACGCCTCATTTGCTTTAGTTTTTCAGTACTTTTTTCTCGTCTTCTCCTCACCTTCTATTCTCACTGGTGATGTCGAGTCAGTTCACGTCGTTTCTGGCTTGTTGGCCAATGAGACTGCCTCTGTGATGCTGTTGACCGACGTTATGACCACATATTAATCCCGATTCTCTTCGGCTTCACGAATTTAAGAATTGGAGAGAGTCCGGAAGGCAGTCTGTATGCGTAATACTAGTGCGTATGATGTACGTAACCATCGGAAACAGTCAATCAGAATACCACTTTGTCGGAACTGATTTCGGATCGAGATGCTCTATCTTGTGACTGTTTCCTTGTGATATCTCATACTAGGTGATACCTATCTACAGTAGTAGGTGATATGATATCTGTTTACTTCACCTAATAGAATCATATGATGAGGTCTAGATAGCTGTTATCCATGAAACTCTGTCTCTGTCAACCGTGGATCGTCCTCGAATCCGTTTTATTCAGACAAAGAAAAAGAAACCATAAAAAAAAAAAAGAAAAAAGCTCTCCAACTCTTGGCGCCCCGAATGGCTCGAACTGGTTGGCGCTTCCTGCAGGCCCAGGCGGCATTGCTGGAGCTCGGTTCGCAGGTTCCTGCCGCTAAGGAACACCGTTGGTGGCTTACTTGACGATCAGTATTATTCCCAGCCAATTAGAAAATAGCGACTGTGACAGACAGTGGGAACAGCCCCACTATCGGTAATTTGCCAGGTCCTGATTAGGCTGCGGGCCCTCGAGGGGACCCACCGGGCTACCGTCAAACTCCTGTCTGGGAAAGTCTGTTGGACGGATTCCCCCTCTGTATCGGGGCGGTATCGCGTGTAAACTGTGTAATAATTGGAGAGCAACAGGGATGCTGCAGATGAGATTTTGGCTGTCAGTGGAAAGTGGAGAGAGAAGCGCCCAGGCCATATGCAGGAGGAAAAGACGTTAGGGTTGCACGTTTGAGCACACATTATCTGCAAATGATGATGTTGAATAGATGTTGAGAGATAGAGTAAAATAAAAAGAATAGTAGATAGTAAAGTAAAGCATAAAGAAAGGAAATCAAAATAGTCCCTGCTAGCTCCATCTCGCCCGTCACAATGGATCCAATCTCCTCGGGCCACTTCCCATCTTCCCCTGATCCAGGAACCAAGGCAGTAAGTAAATTGTCGGATCTGCGAACTGGCGTCGTCGAACTCATCCAGACGAACTCCTGGCTCCGTTCTTCCTCTTCTTTTTCTCTTTTCTCTTTTCTCCTCGTTCTTCTGCTTCTATTCTTCCTCTTTTTCCTCTGCTTCTGATCCCCCAATGCCCGTCTCGATCCGTGGTGTATGACACCCTTCGTAGACCTCAATCTCCCTTGATGCTATCATGACACCAACTTTAAAATTGTTTATTTCTTTTTCCCGCCCTATTATTCTTGGTCTTGTGCCAGTCGATCGCTAGCTTTCTTTGTCTTCTTCTTCTTTATCTCGACTGTCGTCTTCAATCCCTTTTACTTTCATCAATCTTATAAGACGGACCTCACCTTCCTCAATTGATTTCCAGCATGGTCACTCTGAGGAGACTTTTTGGTCCCTGCAGGAATCCGGATAATCCAGACCGTTACACAGCAGGGACAGGCAATCCAGCTTCCAAGATGGCTGAATCTCTGCCTCCGGTGTCGAGAGATGGCACTGCTTCCTTCATCTCGCGGCACAAGGAACCCCCGCCGCCAGCAAATGTGGAACAGCACTTTGAGAAGATCGAGAAGCAATTCGAGCAATTACACGATCATCTGCAGTCTCGCCCGCTTTCTCCCTCGTCACAGGCTCCCCCTCCCCCATCTCGTGGCTCGAGTCGTCCCATGACGGGTCAGAACCCTCGACATGTCGATCTCCTCGATGCTCTCTTTTCATCGGACCGGTACCACACCCAGAACTCCACCTCGTCGCCTATTAGCCCGTACAATGAAGACATTGCGGAACGAAATATGACTCGGTTTCTCCAAACAACTCCCCCGCGCAAACGGACTGGCGTATACTCGCGCATCATCAATGCGTTGTACCAGGAAGATGTAGCGGACAGGAACATTGCAAAGGGTAAAAGTGGTCGGTCTTGGTCTCGCAATTCGAGCGCTCGATCTCCTCGGGTTGCGAACAATGGCCTATCTCGGCCCAAGACCCAAGGCCACAAGCTTGGTGACAACGGACGCCTTGGCGTTGAGAAGAAAGATGGCAATGTCTCGAGGTCGTCCTCTCACGAAGATCTGCGTTCTCGTTCTCGTTCTCGCTCTAGATCTCGGTCTCGGGCTGAACCTCCTGCATCGGCCACATTGGAGAGAGAGACAAGTAATGCACAGCAACTGCGACCCCAGAAATCGGCACCAAATCTATCTGCGGAACCTGGGGAGCCCAAGAGAGGGCCTTCCCCAGGCCCTGTTGGACACTTGGGAGTTCCTCCAGCCCACAAACAGGGCAACACATGGAGCAGTACCCCCTTGCCGGAAAGTCCAACATTACCTATTCCTATGAGACGAGACAAGAGTGTGAACGAGAACAAGCCTCTCCGAAATGCAGCAGCAGCACCTTCCCCACCTCCACGTCACAGCCCACCACCATTGATTCCCCGCCCTTATTCCCCACCAGCCTCTTCGGGGACAACCTCTCGCAAAAACAAGAGAGATCTCTCTATCAACACAGAATTGGCTGCTCGGGGTGATTCATCCAAGATCTCTCACCGTGCCATCCAGCCACCGACCCCAAGCAGCTGTGATGTGAATCACAACCCCACTATTGCACAGGTTATGAATAGCCCTCTGCCAGCGGGTACCCCCACATCTATATCCCCTCTTCCTTCCGCAAACCAAAAGCTTGCAGAGATCATGGACATGTTCAAGCAGGCATACTCTCCTACGCCGGCAATCAGCCCACACCCCACATTCGAGACGCTTCAGGACGCCATTGTCAGGGAGATCAACTCCCATGAAGCCTTCCGGCGTGTGCCCCTTCCTGACCAGGGCCCTCCTTTCACTCCTTCTCCTACCGAAGGATCATTCGACGGATGTGCAAATGTGCCCAAATCCCCAGGTCAACCATTGAACAGGACAGTTTCCGCAAAGGAGAGTCAACTCTCCAAACTTATGCGGCGTGGTTCCTTTAAAAAGCACAGGAGAGGCTCGGAAATGCGCAAGAGCATCTCCACTAGTGTGCCCTCGAAAGGATATGAAAAGATCTTTAAGCGAGCTCCTGCACAAGCTACCCGCCGAAGACACACCGATGCTCCTCTGCCCTCTCCTGGATTCTTCGATACCGTGGAATCATCTCAGTCACAGCAAGCCGCCGAACGACTTGACCAGGTGACATACATGGATGTGCTTCTCCGATCTGCCAACCAGAAGAGGTCTTCCAAGAAAGGATCCGACTTTGGCATCCCCAAGAACCTCGGTCACTCTCATTCCGTGGGAACTCTCTCCTCCCACGGGTTCTCCGAAGGATCGAGTGCGGCGGCTCCCTCTGTCTACTACATGCGTGCGCAGACCTCCGCATCATCCCCTGATGGCCGTCACAGCTTCGCACCCGATGATGATGACGACGACGATGTAATTCAACTCCCAAGTGTCGACATCCCTCAACTGCAAATTCAAGGCGTCGACAAAAACAACGTTCAATACGTTGTCGGCAACTCTACGGCCACCAATGCGTACAGACTAATGAGCTGGCCGCAAAAGTCTCGCACCTTCCACCCACCATCTTCCAACCCTGGGATGCAGCAGGTCCGAGGGGTTGGTTCAGTGGAAAGCTACTGATTCAGCTCCCTGGTCATGAAAATTTCCTTCTCTCTTCTAACGATACCAATGTAGCGAGCAACTTTCTGAAAATCCATGTCGCATTTTTTACACAAAATTCGGGACGATTATCATTTGTTTTGGTTTTATATACCGCCGACCCTTGGCTTACATACCCCAAACTTTTCCTTTATATCGCCAAACCTACAACTCGTATCATTCAGATACTGTCACTCCCTACTACCTACTATACTATACTATACCCACCCCAATTCGGGCGTCACTCCTTGTCTCATCATCTATCACTACCGACCTTCCTCTCATCTGTTTCTTTCTCTTACCTGTTACACATCGGTCATCATCACCGCATCATTTTCTTTTCTTTTCATCTACTATATATATCTCTTGCATACGTTTTTAGCATTTGTCTCACTCAGACTCGACGGACATGGTTTATTAAAAAAAGATCTTGGGGGAGAATTGGCTTGATTGGCGTCAACATGTTTTATTGGATTGGATTGGTATTTGGGCATTTGGGCATTTGGGAGGATAAATTATTGGCATACAGTACAAGATCTTGTACAATTGGGAACAGAAAACATATACCCACATATATACTTGAAAATAATAATAAAGAGAGGAAAAAAAAAATCTACAAACTAAAGACTTGCATACATCACATCTGTTCAATATACATATACCTCTGTAGTTAATTTGAAAGTAATAATTACACCTTGACATTTACGTTTATACAAGAAAGTCGAAACATGATATTCTGCTACTATGAAATCCATTCAACCTTAGCTAGCGAAAAAATGTCTCGCTATTCCGGACTCCACAAAGGTATCTCAAATATGTATGAGCTCCTCAACTCGCACCCTCATGCACCAATGCCCCCACCGAACATGTTTTGTTTTTTTTGTTATATCAGATAAAAATCGTGTCAACCGTCATGGCAAGAAAAAGAAAGGTCATAAAGTCATCGTAACCCCATCCTGATTTGGGACAAGGGTGGTTCCGATATGGGTATGTATGACTCCGACGTGATGGATGGCTTAGTAGGAACCTATTGTACAGTTAGTGAAATGTTCATTGTCCCAATTGAAAATCTCATGATAGGTAGTAGGGAAAGATATAGGGGATTACTTACGGCCAAACATGCACCATTTCTCGGCCAGTCGGTTGCACAGAGGGTTGGTACACTTGGTCACACCAGGAGTGAGGCCCTCGGGCTGGTCGAAGGGAATGCACAGCGACTTGGCACCCATGCTGGGGGCCTTGGCATCTTGGGCCTCGCCAGTGTCCTCCTCAACCTTGCGTGCGCTAGTGGCCTTGATCGAGTCCTCGCACTCCTCAGTGAGACAGTGGGGAATGAGGCAGACATTCTTGTCGTTGAGAGCAGGAACGAACTCGTCCCAGTTGGTGATGATCTTTCGGTGGGAGGTGTACTCAGCATCGGCACGGTTGTACAGGTCTTTCTGGATGGTTTCCAGCAGAGCGGGGACAGCAGTCGACAATTCAGGGATGGGGAGAGTCGACTTGCCATCTTTACCAGGGATATCACGGCGAGCAGCAGTGATAAAGTGGCCTGCGGACTCACCAGGGCCAAACTCGAGACGGAGGGGCACACCACGGAGCTCCCACTCGTTGAACTTCCAGCCAGGAGAATAGTCGCGCTTGTCGCTGTCAGCACGGACGCCAGCAGCGTCAAGGACAGCAACAAGGCCATCAATCTCAGAGTAAAGCTTCTGGCGCTCCTCATCGGTGGTCTTAGCGGTGATACCGACAGGGACAACAATGGTCTGGAGCTCTGCGACACGAGGGGGGAGGACCAGACCCTTGTTGTCACTGTGGATCATGACCATGACACCCAGGGTACGGGTCGAGAGACCCCACGAGTTCTGCCACACGTGGAGAGGCGGCTTCTTCTCATCGCCCTTGGCAGAGGGATCCTCGACAGTGATGTTGAACATCTTACTGAAGTTCTGACCAAGACCGTGCGATGTTCCACCCTGGATACCACGACCAGTGGCGGGGATATAACCCTCGACAGTGGTGGTGTAGAGACCACCGGCGAACTTCTCCTTCTCCGTCTTCTGACCCTTGACGACTGGGACAGCCAGGAGATCTTCGTAGATGTGAGCATACCAGTCAAGAATCTGCAAAACCTCCTCCCGCGCAGCACTCTCAGTCAAGTGCGCAGTGTGACCTTCCTGCCAGAGGAACTCTCTGGTTCTGAGGAAAGGCTGGGGGTGCTTGAACTCCCACCGGACAACCGAGTTCCACTGGTTGAGTCTGAGAGGCAAGTCACGGTGGCTTCTAATCCACTTGGCGTAGTAAGGGTACATGACAGTTTCGGAGGTGGGACGGATGGCAATCTTTCTCTCAAGAGGAGTAGAGCCCCTAGAATTGAGATGTCAGTATCCAGTAGAACCAATCATAAAGTGTATGTAGTCATACGCATGAGTGACCCAGGCAACTTCAGCAGCAAACCCCTCAATATGATCCTTCTCCTTGTTCAGAACATCCTCAGAAACGAACAGCGGGAACGAGCAGTTCCTGACACCCATCTTCTTGATATGTGTGTTGAACCACTGCTGGATCTCCTCCCAGATGAAGTACGAAGCGGGCTGTCGGTGTACATCATCAGCTAAGAAGCACATCATATGAGGAACCAGGACACTTTACCTTGAGGATGAAGCATCCCGAAACATCGTAGTAGTCAAGCATGTCTCCCTTGGTGAGAACCTGCTGGTACCATCCTGGGAAGTCATCTTCCTTGTTAACATCAATACCGATCAAGGCATTGTCGTTCTTCTTCTTAGGAGCCTTGGAAGTGGGCTTCTTGGCTTCCTGCTTTCCGAGGCCCTTGTTGGCAGCCTTCTCGGCCTTGTCAGCGGCCATTTTGGCGGCCTTTGCAGCCTTCTTTGCGGCATTCTTGGACTCTCCCTGAGCAGCATCCTTATCGGCGGGGTTTTGAGTGCGGTCAGGAAGAGTTTGAGAGGCCGCCGCGTCAGCAGCGACCGGGGTATCAACAGGAGCTTCACTGGCCATTGTGAGGAAGGCTGCTTGGAGACCGGGATTGAGTGAATCTGTTCGAACTGAAAGGCGTGGGCGCTCGCCAGGAAAGAAAACTCGCGGGAAGCGAAAGAATGACTCCCCTCGTCAAAGTGGGATGCATCTAGAAAGTCTCACCGCCCGGGGCCGGCAGAACTTTTAGCGGCAACACCACGAGTCTCGACAGAAGAGCCCCCCAAGCAGTCGGAGCTTCAGACCTTCTATTTTATTTGACAACCCCTCGTCCCCGTCTGTTTCTTGCATCATGGCAGGCATCTTTGAAGCGCCGCGGAACGCGGACACCCTCTGTGAGACTACTTCCTGAGATGGACTTCGTCACCGAATCCTTTTACTAACCATCTCGCACAGTCTTGGGTGGGCAGAAAATCACCGGTGCTGATGTTCGGGAGCAAAATGGTATGTGAAGAAAGGACAAACATTGAATCTGCGTGGCCAAAATGCTGAAATGTGTGCAGTACTTGCGACACAGGCCATTGCAAATGTCGTCAAGAGTTCTTTCGGTCCTTCGGGTCTGGACAAGATGATGGTGGATGATATAGGAGTAGGGACCGCTTTTGACCCCGCGTCGTCCGAATCGTTTTTTGACCACCTATATAGGATGTTACCGTTACCAACGATGGAGCGACCATTCTCAGTCTTTTGGATATTGAACACCCTGCTGGTAAGATCCTTGTGGATCTCGCCCAGCAGCAGGATAAGGAGGTGGGTTTTCGACTCCACACCGCCGTGCGCTCTCTTAAAGCTTCATGCTGATATACCCCCCAATTCAGGTTGGAGATGGAACTACTTCCGTCGTCTTGATCGCCGCCGAACTCCTAAGACGTGCAAACGAGCTGATGAAGAACCGGATACACCCCACAACCATCATCAACGGCTACAGACTAGCCCTCAGGGAGGCCGTCAAGTACATGAACGAAAACATTACCGGAAAGGTCGAGACTCTGGGGAAGGAGAGCTTGGTTAACATTGCAAAGACATCGATGTCCAGCAAGATCATTGGCTCAGACGCCGATTTCTTCGCCAATATGGTTGTTGACGCTATGCTTTTAGTGAAGTCTACAAACCAGCGGAACGAGGTCAAATACCCGGTTAAGGCCGTGAACCTCCTCAAGGCTCACGGAAAGAGTGGAACTGAGTCGGTTCTCGTCAATGGCTACGCTCTGAACTGTACCGTTGCTTCCCAGGCTATGAAGACCCGGATTCCTGATGCCAAGATTGCTTGTCTGGATATGAACCTGCAGAAGGAGAGAATGAAGCTGGGTGTTCAGATCACTGTTGACGACCCTGATCAGCTGGAGAAGATCCGTGAAAGAGAGTCTGGCATCGTCCTCGAGCGTGTTGACATGATCCTCAAGTCCGGAGCGAATGTTATCCTCACCACAAAGGGTATCGACGATATGGTCCTCAAGCTTTTTGTCGAGAGAGGCGCCATGGCTGTCCGCAGATGCAAGAAGGAGGATCTGAGACGGATAGCCAAGGCCAGTGGTGCCACTCTGGTCAGCACTCTCTCTGATCTCAACGGAGACGAGAAGTTCGAATCGTCATACCTGGGACATGCTGAGGAGGTTGTGCAAGAACGGATATCTGATGATGAGTGCATTCTTGTTAAGGGAACCAAGGTTCACACCTCGGCTTCCATCATCCTCCGAGGACCTAATGACTTCAGCTTGGATGAGATGGAGCGCTCGGTTCACGATTCCCTGTGTGCTGTGAAGCGGACTCTGGAGAGTGGCAGCATCGTTCCTGGTGGTGGTGCCGTTGAGACTGCCCTTCACATTTACCTTGAGGAATTCGCAGTCACAGTGGTAAGTGAAATTCTAGATATCTTCATTGACATTTCTAACAGAGTATAGGGCTCTCGTGAGCAATTGGCAATTGGCGAATTTGCCCAGTCTCTTCTTGTGGTCCCCAAGACCTTGGCAGTCAACGCAGCTAAGGATTCATCTGAGCTCGTTGCCCAACTCCGAGTTCGCCACGCCCTCTCGCAGCGCGTGCAGGAAGGTGATGCCAATGAAGAAGAGAAGGCCATTGCCAAGAAGAAGACTTACCGCAACTATGGACTCGATCTGATGAAGGGACGTGTCCACGACTGCCTCAAGGCTGGTGTGTTGGAGCCTAGCATGGGTAAAATCAAGCAGCTTAAGAGTGCTGTTGAAGCCTGCATAGCTATTATGCGCATTGACACCATGATCAAGTTGGACCCCGAAAGACAGGAGGATGACGGCCACGGTCACTAAGGGCCAGAGTCCTAACTGTGATATGGGTCCCTTATGGAGTTTTAGATAAAGGAGGGAAAAATGAAGAAAAATGAATCTAATATGAAGATGTCACGAGTACAAATTGGGATTGCAGTGCTGATATGCAGATTTGTGCGTTATACTGGCAGTAATCAAAGATAGCAAGTACAGTCACCAAAAGAACCAGCTATGGATATAATTGTCGAGTGGTTATCTTTGATCTTTCCAAATGAACCAATATTCCTCCAGTTGTCCCTTAGTAGATAGACACTCATTATTCTCATATGTTGAACTTGTCCTAATTACGAGGCCTGTATAGACAAATTGTAGTTTCATACAGCCAAGGCACGCTTCTCTTCAACAACGCCGCTCCATCAGTCAAAGAGTCCACTGAAATATATGGCAGACTACATCGATTGGATGGGAAAAAATCAAGTTTCACATTTGAATAGTAAAAGCCTCACTGATTGTGTATAGTTAGTCGGGTTTAATCCAAAAGACAACAGCCATTTTTCCTATTCGCCTTGCCTGCTAGAGGACTTCTATACCGTGTTTTGCCATGCAATGTATAACGCTAAAAGGAAAATAATGAACCAATAAATCAACCTCCAAAGTAACCAACGCCCCGCTAAATGAACAAGTTATCCATCCTGCGCCCTGAGATGCTCCTAAGAGCAGTGAAAACCATATGCTAAAAACCAGTGGAATCATTCGTCTTCGTCATCATATGAATCTGCGGTATCAGCCCAGCCGCAGTGCCACCTTCGACCCTCTGTTTCACCTCCTGCCCGGAGATCTCTGGCATCAGGGCCTTCGCGCCAACATCGGGCAGTGTGGTCATCACTGACGGTAATCAATTCTCCATTTGCAGTCCATGACACAGCAGAGACTTCTTTTTTGTGGCCCCCAACAAGCGGTGTTCCTGACTGGTATATCGGCACGGTGTCTTCCAACCGTCCGGATAAACCAACACCGGAATTAGTGCGGCGAAGACCAGAACGAGTGGAGAAAATGGGTGTAGGCGGAAGGTCATCGTCGCCTGAATCAGCCGGCATTTGGGTTGGAGAGCGAAGGAATCTTTCATCTGTAGGGAACACAACGGCACATTGATCGCTGCTTCCAACGGCAAGCATTCCTGGCTTGTCATTGATGGGTTTCCGAGCGGCAACCCTGACGTAAAACGATGCGGCCTGCAAACGCGGATGGCGGAAACCATACAGAGGTCCAAGTCCCTCCTTGTCAGAACCCCCAGTCCGTCGCGGACGATAGTTGTTCAACGAAAGCTCGGGGGCATGGCCGAGAACCAAATGCGAAGTTGAGTATGCGTAAACAGTACCATCCCGACATAGTGTATATAGTCGTGAACCATCACCGCCTAGTGTCATCGATGTGAGACCGAAACGTCTATACTTGACATGACTGTCCGGTTCCCGAGTAGTAGACACGGGAAGAACAGGTCGCCCACGGCGATTGCTATGCGCTGTCCGCAGATCCCACAATTTTACCGAGGCATTGGCTTCGGAGGCTGTCACAAAAAGATTCTCGCGACCTGGAGGGAGAAAGGCCAGCGAGGTCACGGTAACGGTGCGGCCAAGCTGAGGTTCTGCCTTGTCAGAAATTGATGTATGGGGAGGCAACCAGGAATGGGCTCCATGAACCGTGTTCAAAACCTGAGGGTAAGTCATCTTGGAATAGGTAGGCGCAACAGGTTGTTCCGAGTCGGATTCGAGCGAGCATCGAACTTGTAAAGAGGGTCTTTCAAAGCCCTTGCACCGAAGATCCCAAATATTCACATTTCCATCGCGACTACATGTCGCAAGGACCTTGTTGTTGGAATTTGGTTGAAATTGCACGCGTTTTACAGAGGAGACATGGTTGGACAAGCAATATATCGGTTTTTGGGTGGCCATGTCGATGACCAAAGAGGTTTGGTCGCCTGATGCCGTGGCCAGCAACATATCATCCGACGAAAACTCCAAGTCCATGATCGCATTCACATGTGGGTTGAATGTAAGGTACGCTTTTGAAAACCCAATCCTGTCGTTTTCGGCGGAATCCAATAACCGAATTCCTCCTTCTTCATCGCCCACTGCGACAAGCGAATTGGCTAATCAATTGGTTAAATCTTATACAGGAAATAAGTTGTCTCTAATATACTCACTATTGCAGGTTGCGGTGCAGAATGGAAGGGCATGGTTGTTTCCCACAGAGCTAGCACAGGCATGGATGTCTCCTGGTCGGGAGTAGAAATTCGAGGTCAAGTCCTGCCAGCCTAAAGATCCATGAGAACGATATCAGATGAAAGATACGATGAAAGGATAACGAACCAGCTCCAGAATTAGACCGCATGGTCACTCGATCCGCCCGTAGCCCTGATACGCTTCGCATGTATAATCCCCCAGACGTCTGCAATGCTCTTGACCGGCGGATAGGTTGGACTGGTTGAGGCGGTTTTTCAGTCGTGGTTGATTTTGTCTCATCATTATCTCCCCCAACTTCAATTTCTCTAACCGTGACGTCAATCTCTTCTTCTTCGTGAATCGGGGCCCTGACACGGACTTTTCTCAGAGGTGACGATTGGAGCGGAGAGCCAATTGAAGAGAAAGACAGTTTTCGCTTCTTGCTCGGTGTTCGAATCAGATCCGCAGATTCACTCAACGCGGCTCTATTCCCAAGGGCCTTTGATGTTTTCGTGAAAGCCGGCCCTAGCCGATTAACAGCTGGAGAGCTAAGTACCTTTAAGGCCTGCCGATTAGTTCTCACACTGCCGCCAGAATTTCCGCCATTGAGCACAGAGCGAGGTGTAAAGAATCGCCTGAATGATCGAGGAGTGACCGGGGGAGGCTTTCTAGCCTTACGTCGAAAGCCAACATCGGATGCTATCGAAGGTGGAGATGAAGGTATTTCCTGCAACAAGGGAAAGACAGGCTCAGATCGTGGTACTTCAGGAAGATCATGGCTGAAATCCATTATGCACCAGGGATAAGGACATTCTACAATTAAAGAGTGAATGAAAAAAAAGAATTGGGAGGAGAGGGAGAGAGCCCTAGGTGGAAGAGAATAATCCAAGCATGGTGGAGCAGAATTGAGGGCCGAAAACGCCAGAAATGCGCACGTCGCGGCCAGAACGAGACGAGGGCGAGTCTCGTGTTTTTTCGTGACGCGCAGCGCCGTTTGCGGCAGGCGGTGAGGTATTCAATTAAAGTAAGATGCTAGACCATATATGGAAGGCGGTCGGGTTGGGCGGTTTTTTTTTCTATTCATGAAATTTTAATTTTTTTTTCGTCGTCCGCAGATTGAGAGGCTTTGGAGCAGCTCAACGAGTCTGCCCTTTTTGCTAACATTTCATTCACAATGGCGCCCATTAAACGCAAGGGCAATACTGCCGAGGAGGCAGCAGCTCGTCAGCCCCAAAAGCGTGTACGAGTTGGCGCAGAGGATCGCAAGAAGAAGGACCAGAAGCAAAACACCGCGGAGGAGGGCAAATCGAAGCCCACTTCTACCAAAGCTTCCGAGCTTTCTGTTTTGCGCGATGATGAACCATCCTTCCCTCGTGGTGGTGCAAGTGTGTTGACCCCGCTCGAGCGGAAACAGATTCAAATCCAAGCAACAAAGGATGTACTCTTCGAGCAGAAAGGATCCAAGAAGTCGTCTGGCAACTTGGGAGATGAGGATGATGATGAGGATGTCGACATGGGTAATGCGGATGATACAGCCACTTCCACAAAGAAGCCTCGCAAACGGAAGACAAAGGGCAAGAAAAATGCGGAACAGGATGCAGCAGAGAAAACTGTTCGCATTGAAGGTCTTAACTTCAAGGTACGCCCGAAAAAAACATTTGTCTTGTATGATGAACTATGAACTGACAAGAACAGCGCATTGTGCCTGGGTCTATGGTTCTAGGCCAAGTTTCAAGCATCAACGCCCACGATATTGGTCTTTCTCTCCCTAATAACCTGACCGGTTACGTTCCCTTGACGGCTGTTTCGAAAGGCCTCGAGCAAAAGATTGAGAAGATGCTGAACGAAGACGAAAATGACGAAGCAGATGATGACGAGGATGACGACGATTCTTTGGACCTGAGCGACTACTTCTATCTGGGACAGTATTTGCGGGCATACGTTGTCTCTGTCGGGAGCAATGCAGCGGATGCCAGCTCGCGGAATAAGAAACGTATTGAGCTTTCGGTCGACCCTAGACAAGCGAATTCCGGACTCTCCAAGTCTGATTTGGAGTTGAACACCGCCGTTCAAGCTTCGGTTATTAGTGTGGAGGATCATGGTTTGGTTATGGATTTGGGCATTGAGGGCTCAGAGCTCAAGGGTTTCATGTCCAAGAAAGAAATTGACCCCAAAGTCGATTACTTGAGCATCAAGGAAGGGTCTTCCTTTTTGTGTATTGTCACTGGCCAGAACGCCAACGGAAACGTCGTCAAATTGTCCGCCAACCTCCAGTCTTCTGGATCGATCAAGAAGTCGCATTACCTCAGCACAGCGCCTACGATCAGCTCTTTCCTGCCAGGCACTGCCGCAGAGATTCTTTTGACCGATGTTTCGTCGAGTGGAATGGTTGGAAAGATCATGGGCATGTTGGATGCAACTGTGGACCTCGTTCAATCTGGTGGTAATACCGGTAAAGACGACCTGACCAAGAAGTTCCAGAACGGCGCCAAGATCAAGGGCCGTCTCGTGTGTACATTCCCATCTTCGGAGCCATTCAAGGTCGGGTTTTCGTTGCTTGACCATGTTCTCAGATTTGCCTCTGACGGTCATGGACCTGGCTCAGCCGACGATGCTCCCGCCATTTCCGCTATCGTCCCCGATTCCAAGGTTGTGAAGGTTGATCCCGGCCTTGGTGTTTACGTTCAAATCGGTTCCACAAACCATAGAGGTTTCGTCCATGTTTCGAGGCTATCGGACGGAAATGTTGAATCTATTTCTCCCGAGACAGGGCCATTCCGCGTTGACTCGACACACGAGGCAAGGGTGATTAGTTACAATGTCCTGGATGATCTTTATTTGCTTTCTTTCGAGAGGAAGGTCATCGACCAGCCTTTCCTTCGCCTCGAAGATGTCAACATCGGTGCAGTGGTAAAAGGAAAGGTCGAGAAGCTTCTGATTGGTGCAGCTGGAGTTGATGGACTTATTGTATCGTTGGCTGATGGTATCACTGGACTTGTTCCGGCCGTGCATCTCGCAGACACGGCTCTTCAGTTCCCCGAGAAGAAGTTCAGAGAGGGCATGACAGTCTCTGCCAGGATTCTATCAGTCAACTTAGAGAAGCGTCAGATTCGGTTGACCTTGAAGAAGAGTCTGCTGAACAGCGAGTCTGCCATATGGAAGGACTACAAAGACATTGTTCCCGGAGCGCAATCTCCAGGAACTATCGTTAACCTCCAGTCTCACGGTGCCGTCGTTCAATTCTATGGAACTGTCCGAGGCTTCCTTCCCGTGTCAGAGATGAGTGAAGCTTATATCAAGGATCCTTCTCAACACTTCAGACAAGGTCAGGTTGTGAGCGTCCATGCATTGAGCGTGGATGCATCTCTTGGAAAACTAGCAGTGTCCTGCAAAGACCCTTCAACATTCACCGAAACCTATAAAAAGGCCTTTGAGAACATCCACCCAGGATTGCTCGTCACGGGCACTGTCTTCGAAAAGTCCGGCGATGATGTGCTTCTCAAACTCGACGAGTTTGGTCTTGTGGCTCGCTTGGATCTTGAGCAAATTGTCGATGGTTCGATCACCAAACAGGGCTCAACCCTTTCGAAGATTCGTGTCGGACAGAAGCTCAATGATCTCCTCGTCCTCGACATTCAGCGGGCTCACAGACTCATCAAGGTGTCGGGCAAATCCAGTCTCAAGAAGGCCGTAAAGCAAGGCGCCCTCCCCGGAAAGTTTGAAGATGTCCAAGAAGGTGCCGAAGTCACTGGTTTCATCCGCAACATTACTTTCGATGGCCTGTTCGTTGAATTCTTGGGCGGCCTGATCGGCTTGGTACCTAAGCGGCTTGTCGCTGACGAGCTTACAACACAGCCTGCTTTCGGCATGACAAAGTCGCAGACGGTCTCTGCGACGGTTCACTCTGTTGATACTGACTTCCGAAGATTCATCCTGAGTATGAAGCCCGCGGAAGCTACCCACGCCGGACCCAAGACATCTACTAAGGCCGCCAAGGCTGAGAAGCCCAATCATGCCGACGATGCCGTCACAAACGCTGTTGACGAGAGTATCAAGTCAATGTCAGACTTCACTTTCGGAAGGATTACTAAGTGCAAGGTCGTTTCGATCAAGGCAACCCAGGTCAATGTTCAGCTTGCAGACAACATCCAGGGACGAATTGACGTGTCTGAGATCTTCGACAAGCGGGAGGATATCAAGGATCGTAAACAGCCTCTCCGATTTTTCCGCCCGAAGCAGCTTCTTGAAGCCAGGGTTCTTGGTGTTCACGACGCCCGAAACCACAAGTTCCTGCCCATCACTCACCGTAACGGCAAATACCCAGTTTTCGAGCTTTCCCTCAAGCCTAGCTTCCTCAAGGCTGCGAACCCCACCCCGCTCAACTTGGAACAAGTCCAGGTTGGATCTTCGTGGTTAGGATTCATCAACAACATTGCTGATGACTGCCTCTGGGTTAACTTGTCGCCAAACGTACGAGGCAGACTCCGCTTCATGGATGCATCCGATGATCTGTCTCTTTTGGCGGATGTGGAGAAGCACTTCCCTATTGGATCGGCTTTGAAGGTTAATGTGACAGCTGTTGACACTTCGAAGGGTCGTCTGGATCTTTCGGCCAAGCAAAGCGCTGATAAGCTCTCGTTTACGGATCTTTCTGTGGGCATGGTTTTGGCTGGAAGAGTTACCAAGGTTACTGAGAAGCAAGTCATTTTGCAACTGAGTGACTCAATCGTCGGTGCGGTCAATTTGATTGACATGGCCGACGACTATTCCAAGGCCAACCCTACGATATGCAACAAAAACGAGGTGCTTCGTGTTTGCGTTATTGGCATTGATAAGAACAATAAGAAGGTCTCTCTTTCTCTCCGACCCTCGAGAGTCCTGAGTTCTTCACTCCCTGTCCAAGATCCTGAAATTTCTTCCATGGGACAGCTTAAGGTGAACGACGTTGTCCGCGGATTTGTCCGAAGAGTGGCTGACAGTGGACTCTTCGTGGCATTGGGCCACGATGTCACTGCCTATGTCCGAGTTTCTGATCTCTCTGACTCTTATCTGAAGGAGTGGAAGGATTCTTTCCAGGTGGACCAACTTGTCAAGGGCCGGGTGACTCTTGTCGACCCGGAACAGGGCAAACTGCAATTGACCCTGAAAGAGTCCGCCTTGGATCCCAACTACAAGACGCCCATTACACTCCGCGATCTTAAGCCTGGACAGATTGTCACCGGAAAGGTTCGCAAGGTCGAGGAGTTTGGTGCTTTCGTTGTCATTGATGGATCCGCAAACATCAGTGGTCTTTGCCACCGTAGCGAAATGTCTGAAAACCGGGTCGAGGATGCTCGAACTCTCTATGAAGAAGGTGACGCCGTGAAGGCCAAGATCATCAAGATTGACCGCAAGCAGGAAAAGATCTCTTTTGGATTGAAGGCGTCTTACTTTAAGGACGAGGACGAGGACGAAGAGAGTGGCAGCGACGAGGATGATGAATCCTTGGATGGTCTCGGTGGCGTTGGCGTTGAGGGAAGCGACGATGACGACGAAGATGACGATGATGACGATATGTCTATGGGAGGAGTCGACCTTGAAGATGAGAGTGAAAGTGATGATGATGAAGAGAGCGATGACGATGTGGAGATGGCCAATGCTCCCTCAAACAAGGAGGGAGGCCTCGGTGCCGGTGGCTTCGATTGGAGTGGAAATGTCAAGGATGATGAAAACGCGGCTGTCCAGTCTGATTCCGATGATGAGGACAACACCCACAAGAAGAAGAAGAAGAACCGCAAGGCCGAAATTGAGGTTGACCGTACTGGCGACTTGGATGCCAACGGACCGCAGTCAGTTGCCGACTATGAACGACTTCTGCTCGGTGAACCCGACTCTTCTCTGTTGTGGCTCCAGTACATGGCTTTCCAGCTGGAACTTGGTGAGGTTGAGAAGGCCCGTGAAATCGCCGAACGAGCCCTTCGCACCATTACCATTGGGCAAGATACCGAGAAGCTGAACATCTGGGTGGCATTGCTCAACTTGGAGAACACCTATGGCAACGATGATACCCTCGAGGAGGTGTTCAAGCGCGCGTGCCAGTACAACGATACTCAGGAGATCTACGAGCGAATGACCAGCATTTATATCCAGTCAGGAAAGAACGAGGTAAGGCTTTCATTGCCAATTATTGTATAAGACAAGTTGCTAACCACAATCTCTACTACAGAAAGCCGATGAGCTTTTCCAGACCGCTCTCAAGAAGAAGATCTTCCAGTCCCCCAAGATCTTCCTCAACTACGCCAGCTTCCTGTTCGATTCCATGGCTGCTCCTGAGCGTGGTCGTGCGCTGCTGCCTCGCGCTCTTCAGTCTCTTCCCTCTCACACCCACGTGGAAACGACCTCCAAGTTCGGTCAGTTGGAGTTCCGCTCGGCCAATGGAGACGTCGAGCGTGGCCGGACCGTGTTCGAAGGTCTTCTTTCCTCGTTCCCCAAGCGTATGGACCTGTGGAACATTCTGCTGGACTTGGAGATGAAGGCTGGCGATGCGGAGCAGGTCCGCCGGTTGTTCGAGCGCGTTCTCGGCATCCAGAATGTCAAGAAGGGTGGTGCTGTCTCGGTGGATGCGAGCAAGAAGGTCAAGGCCAAGCAGGCTCGTTTCCTCTTCAAGAAGTGGCTTGCTTTTGAGGAGAAGCTTGCAGCCGACGGTGGTAATGACAAGATGGTGGAAGAGATCAAGGCCAAGGCTGCCGACTACGTCAAGTCTCTGCAGCAGGAGTAAACGTTGTAATTACTACGCTTGAAAAGTTTCTTTGTTTGTTTTCTGGGCATATTGGAGTTGCTGTGAGCCATTCGGTACAGTGTATATAAAAAGCATTACACCTCAAATACTTTTCTTTTCTTTTTACTATTTATAAATATCACAAATGTTCGAATACAAGAATGAGATGATGATTCAAGGAAAGGGTAACGCTCTCATAACATAAGAAGCCAAAAGAGTGAATTTTGGGTATATCATTGCCGCTTCTCGGCCATCAATCGTCTATACTCCTCGACAATATTCCTTCTCTCATCCGCAAGCTCTTCTCTTCGTCGCAAACTTCCCACCGCAGTTGGCACGTTGGCGACATCGATTTTAGCACCGCCGTGGACCTTGAAAGGCGCCTTGGGCTTCTTCAATTCCGGCGGTGCCTGGACGACATCAAACGGATTGGTCTGTTTGTTGGCACGCTCTTTCTTGTTCAACTTGGCCCACGGATCCCTTTCTTTGACGCCAGCATCACCCTTCTTAGCGCCTCCCTTCTTCTTCGCTCTGGCCTGTGCAGCCTCTGTCTCCCACTCCTTCCACAGCTCCAGCTGGTCCTCCATTTCGTCCTGTCGCTCTTCCCGCTCCGCAGCCTCGCGTTCCCGGATCTTCTTGTCGTCTTCACGCCACATTCGCTGCAGCCGGCGCAGGTGCTTCTCGTGCTTCGTCCGTCGCTCTTCGCGGATCTTGGGCATATTCGGGTCATTCACCTTACCCGACTTCTTCATAGCAGACAAGGGCATCTCGCGATCGACACGGGCCGCGAAATCGGACAATTTCTCACCGGGGAGGATCGAAAGCGTCGACTTGGGCTCGGCCGGTGCGGGAGCAGGGGCAGGGGCCGGAGCATCGTTAGAGGCGGCGGTGGATTTCTTCTTCTTTGCGTTCGACGCATCGCCCGCATCGCGCTTCCGCTTTTTGTTCTTGGGTTCGTCGGGTTTGGAGGGTTGAGAGGGTTGTTGCCTCGCCTGCTGGAATTGCATCAGGCGACGAAAGGCTCGGGGCGTATCATCTTCGAGGGCTTTCTTGGGACGGGATTCGGGTTGTTTGGCGGTTGCCTTGGGGGGTGGTTTGGGTTTTGTGTGCTTTTTGGCTTTGGTCTTTACAGCGTTGGGATCGCGGACGGGGAGAGATTTTGCGATCTGGGTGGGGGGGAGGTCGTAGGTGCTGGTTTGGGGTGGTTAGAGTATTTCTTAATTGAGAATTTTTGTGTAATGGCTTACCTGGCGTCATTTCCACGCCTTTTGTGTTTGTGAGGCATCTTGACTGCGTTGGATGGTTGTGGTTTGGCCTGTCTGGAGGAAATTGAGCGGAGTTGAACTTTTTCGCTCTGGGTTCTTATCGATAAGCGGCCAGACCAGATTAGCACAGGCGATGTTTTACCATGAATTCATCTCATTCTATGGTGTTTCACTTGGTTTAATCTATATATTCTTTTGATGTTAATATATATGAGTACTATTTCAGGATAGTGTAGCCAGTTGCATCTATCGTTATGGTAGACCAATGTAATTGCAGTTCAATCATTTCCACTTTCCGCGTTTATATATAGCAAAGATCAATATGCATATTGGATTCGTTTAAAGCAGAGATACGGTTTACAGTATGTTGTAGGGTCAGTCAGGATAAGCTGGAATGGAGATAAAATTATGCCTTTAATGAGGAGTATTATGCGTGCTCGTATACAACTTTTGGTGGTTACTCGAGTGATGCTTGTTCGGTTGATGATGATGCATCTTGGTGATCTACAATGCAATCCAACAAAGTCCGTATTGCTTTTTATTCCTTCTATATCCCGTTCCTCGTGGGATGAAGTATACTGGCTCTATTTCTGAGTGTTATTTAATTAAGGAGTACAATCAGGTATCCCACATTGCATAAATATCCGCAGATAGAACCTCGAATGACAGTATACAGGGTAATTTACTCTCAAATTGCACCAAGTGATCTTAAATTACTCGCAGGGAATTACCCAAGTGTAATATAAGTAACACTTTCCTGCTGTAAATTGACTCATTTTCTTCTGATGGTGGCACAAAAGAGGATGGCTGTGTTGTTATACAAACCCCACACTTGCAAGGATACAATTAAGGAACCATCAGATGATCTGAATGTGATAATTGATGATAATTTCACAATGTTCTTACACGTACTTTTATACTGATATTCATGATGATATAATTCTACGTCTATGATGCTATACTATCCTGACCGGCCAATCATCGTCGCCATCGCAGCACATGGCTTCGCTTGGCCCAAAGCGGACGGGAAAAGCTTCAACCAAAGTTGGCACTGAAGAACCCCTCAACTGCTTGCGTCGATCTGTATATCCCTCGCTTTTAAACCATCATGTAGCGTTAATCCTCCATCTCAAGTTATCATCTCTTGAGATATCACAAAACCTCAAGATCGAAAATGTCCTGGAATCCTGGTTCCCCGCAGCCCCCCAACTGGACCTCGATGAAGTCATCGCAAAACAATGTCGATCAGGACGGACAAGATGACATGCACAAGGCGGAATTCGATCTCGATGTCGAAGCACCAGATGAAGATGTGATTGAGGAGCTTCCTCAGCATCTCCGATCAGCGACTCCGTTTTGGTGCCGACAGCTCCGAGCTATCCTGTCCTTTGCTTCTCCATCCTCCTATCCTTCAACATTAACTCCAGCTGCTGTCCCACTCCTCTCACCACATGGACAGCGTTCAAAGAAATCCCACAGACAACTCACCAAGCCAATCCTTCGCTGCTTGCTGTATTTAGTCCTTGCCTTCTTCGTCATGCTGTATGACCCCATCCTGCTGTCAATCACTGGCTCCAACTCACCATAGCAGAGGCATCATCCAGTTCATCGTCATCACATGCGGCATCGTCATAACTTTCTTCCCGGATGAATTCGATCGCGCATCCAATTACTGGCACCATCGACATCATAATCTCAACACAGCCGAAGCGGTGTCGCATTGGCCCACCGACATTTCAAGGGATATTACCCCGATCGGCTGCCACTCCCACAACGACTACTGGCGTCGAGTGCCCCTTTTCTCAGCACTACAGGCAGGATGCATCAGCGTTGAGGCTGACGTATGGCTGTTCGATGACGATCTCTACGTGGGACACACCACCTCAGCCCTTGCGCCCAAACGAACATTGCGAACCATGTACATTGAGCCGTTGCTTAGGGTGCTCGACAAGCAGAATCCAACCACGCACTTTAACCGTGACCGACATGCAGCTTCAGCTTCAGCTTCACGTGCTCAGGGCGTTTTCGATACCGATCCAGCGCAGACCCTGGTTCTGCTGATTGATTTCAAGACTGACGGGCCTGCAACTTGGTCGCATGTTGTTGCGCAGCTATCGCCTCTGCGCGAGCGTGGCTACTTGACTCATTTTAATGGGAAAGAGGTCATCCCAGGCCCTGTGACTGTCGTTGGAACAGGGAATACCCCGTTTGATTTACTGACGTCAGTTTCTACGTATCGAGATATTTTCTTCGACGCACCTCTTGATGTATTGATTGACGACAACAACACCACCTCCACACAGTACCAAGATGAAGGTAACCAAGCGCCCCAGAACACTATAGCCAAACCAGCACCTACCGGAAATCGCGGCCAAGGCTTGTCCGGCACTTCTGCGGACATGATTATCAACCCCAACACATTCAACACCACCAACAGCTACTACGCTTCTGTCTCCTTCCGGAAATCAATCGGAATGCCCTGGCAGTTCCATCTCAGTGACCAGCAGATGGCTCGTATCAGGAAACACGTTCAAGCAGCCCATAGCCATGGACTCAAGGTTCGATACTGGGGTATCCCTAGCTGGCCTCGGAGCTTGAGGAACCACATCTGGACCGTGTTGGCCCGGGAAAGTGTTGATATTCTTAATGTAGATGATCTAGAAAGTGCCGCTAGGAAGGATTGGCGGCCTAGTTTGTTTGATTGGTGGAGTTGATCTCGGCATCGAGTGCCTAAACTGAGATCGACCTTGGTTAGGTACTTAAGATACTTGGCTTGGATTACGGCGTTGTGGTTTATCATAGATAGTAGATACCTTTGGGATGTTGGACTCGTGTTTTGGTAATAAATATAGAACTTTCAATAACCTTTTTTTTTTCTTTTCTCCAAAGCCATATGAATATGTAAAACGCGACTGACGTTATGGTTCAGAGCTGTCAAAAGGTGCGTCAACTGCTTGTCCGTATAGACAGCAGTAACATGGACGCGGGTATCACAATTTCAACGCTGAACCTCGGTCTCGACCGAAAGATGAAATATGAACAAACATGCACGCCTATAGGCAGAACATGGCTTCCTCCCCAAACTCCCGTAGAATACTTCCCTCTTCGCGGATGATATCCCCTAGCCAGTCCTTGGCTGTCTCGAAATCCTGGGCGCCGAACTTGACGAGCACGAAGCCAGCCCGGACGCGAGCCGCAGTCCAGGTGACGTTCAACCCGGAATTAGGAGAGGGATTTGATGTCGGTGCAACAGACGGCGATGCCCAGTTGCGGGCACCGATACGCGGCTGCGACGTGAACCGGTCCATGATGAAAGTTGCGAGACCGTCAAAGACAGGCCCGTACAGAATAAAAGTACCCACGATCCCATGGGGCCGTGTGCGTTCCCGGACTCGGCCCCTGCGGGCGCATTCTTGTTCCTCGTCTTCGAAATCGTCCTCGTCGTATTCATCATGCAGGATGACCGAGTCACGGAGGAGAAGCTTTTTATCCCCCCTTTCATCCTCGGACCATACCTCGTTCTTTCCTTTCCACAGATGGAAGTCCCAATTCTCCCCTCGGGAGCCTCGGCCTTGGGTTACCCAGTCCAGGATGCATAGGCTGCTTCTCTTGCCATCTCTAACTGTCCCGTCCACGGTGAATGTCTGGATCTGTTCATAGCGGCTGTCTCTGTAAGGCACAGCAGGGTCGGGCAGATAGCACAGGGCGGCTTCGCTCTCCACCCGCACGTTCAGCAGTTGCCTACTCATATCAGGCATCTGGTGGGCCGGAGTCCCCCGTCGTCCCTTGACAGTGGCACTGGGTTCTGTTTTGAAGATCTTGGTGCTTCCCTGGGGCGTTGTGACAACAAGTCTTGTTTGTGGATCGAGTGTGATGGAGACATCAATGTGATCACCGGGGAGAAGGCCACCGCCATAGGTAAGGAGGTATAGATGAACGGGTCGAGAAGAAGGACATTCTAGAGCAGAGGATTGAGGGATGAAGCCCGGAGCACGGGTGAGCAGCTTCAAGGGATATTTGTAGGTCAAGGTTGTGAGCGTAGGAACCGAAGGAGGAAGTAGAGTCAAGACGACCTTGCCATGCCCCGGCTTAGCAATGGCGGATTGGAATGGTGATTTCACCGGCATTGTGGATGGTTATGACGAAGGATTGATGCCTAGGAAAAAATCGATCGAATGTGAAAACAAAGATGTAGGAGAAAGGGATATCGAGCACGGGTTATATAATAGGCAAATAGTCGGTTAGTAGGGCCTGCAGCATGACGATTGAAGATCACACAAGAATCGATAGATCTGCTTTGCTGCTATTCATATAGTATCCCAAATATTAATATTGCTTCGGCCGGATGGCGTCACAAACAGGACAAGAAATCCAGCCAGACCAGCCGAAGGACAACTGTACCTCCTAGACGAACGTATAGTTGCGGGGAACGCTGACCCCGTGAAACCTCACAGACACTTGGCTGTCCATCATCAACTCCGGATGTGCAACCGTGATGGAGACGCTGTGATTTTCATTACGGCATTGATATCATTTTTCTCCGGGGTTAGGGTTTGTCCGACGCAGGCAGGTCTTGGCGTGGTGCCGTATTCTATTCATAATTTTGCGTATTTAGTACGCCGCTGATCGTTACCGGCGTGTTGGTTTTACCGCTCCCGGTAATTCGTTTTCATGACAGAACCGTTATTCACAGCCTGAGGCCCCAAGGCTGCCAACACCCCGTCATCGCCAGGCACGAAAGTCGCGTCAAGACAGACAGACCAGTTCGATTCCGTTGCTCCCCTCTTTCGAGTCCCACCTCGCCTGCTATCCCACGCCATCGCAACGGCCTCATTTCCCCCATTCGATTCTTGAGGCGTATTTTGTTTCTGTCTCTCCGTTGTCATCTTGTCAGTTCCTTGCGCGTGCAGCCGCAAGACGCGCGCGCAAAAAAGAAACTCGAGCTGCGGTGTAGTTGGTACTCTGGAACCCTGCATCGTGTTCTCTCATCGCATTTGAAAAAAAAGTATTCAAGTATGTACTGTAAATCTGTTTATGGAAGGAAACTATCATGTTTTGATCCAATTCATCTTATTCCAGCTGCTGATGGATGATTGATAATTACAGTGTGTGGTCATCCCGACAGCCATGGATACTGAATCGCGCCCCTCCAGTCCTCAAGGACCATCTCAAAATCACCCCTCTACCCCGCAAACAGATAGAAGAAAGTCTGGCCGAGTCGTCCGCAAACCCGAGTTATTTTCCCAAACCTATACCCCCACGGATGCTACAGGCGGGGCCAAGCGCAAGCGTGGCTCAGCTGCTCGTGATGACAATGAAGAAGACGAGGACGATGAGGGTGGTCACGAAGACGCGTCCGAGTCGGACAATGATGAGATCAGTGATGAAGAGCCAGACGAGGAAGAGCTGAAAGCGAAGAAGCGCGCAGCGCGCAAAACAGCGGCCAAGAAAGCAGCCTCCGGATCCAAAGGAAAGGCCAAACCACGAACACATGCTGCGAAGAAGGTCAAGATAGCTGGGAATGGAATTGGAGGCCAGCTAGTCTTGCGGCCCGCGACCAATGGAAAGGCAGCTTCTCGTCCCAAGAAGCCCAGAGTGCGACCCAGTCTTGCTGCTGGCGAAACCGGTCTATACGGTATGTTACCTCTCTCTATTCAAATTTTCGCATCGGCTTACAGTGTTAATTCTAGGGGAGGTCTTTGGAAAGGGCCATGCCGTTGATACCGCCGCGGCGGAGTGGCTTACGCATTACCAGAAAAACCAGTCGACTGCAATGTGCGACATGGTAAACTTCATGCTCCGATGTACCGGAACCGATCTCGAGGTATCCACTGAGGATGTCGAGGACGTTGACCACGCCCCGGTGCGTGTCAAAGATATACAGGACCAATATTACGCCCAAGGCATCTCCGAATACCCCCTCATCTCGAAAGCAAGAAAGTTCAGGGCCTTTCAGCCAATTTTGGAAGACTTCTTCACTTCACTGATCCAGACTTTCCACCATTCGTCAGTTCTGTACACCGACGAAAATCTATTTGAAAACATCCAAATATGGCTCTCCTCCCTGTCCACTTCATCCTGCCGACCGTTTAGACATACATCGACCATCGTCTCCCTATCAATCATGAACTCATTGTGTGATGCCGCGCGCGAATTGATGACTACTGTTTCTACTTCCCGCAAACAACTTGAAAGCGAAAAGAAGAAGAAGTCAGTGAATAAGGGAAGAGCGGATGCCATCGAAGCATCTGTTCAAGAGAACGAAAAGAAATTGGAGACCATCGATGAGTTCCTCAAAGACGGGTTCAACATTGTGTTTGTTCATCGTTATCGGGATGTTGACCCAAGGATTCGCTCCGAGTGCATGGCAGCTTTAGGACGGTGGATGCGCACTTACAGAGAATACTTCTTTGAAGGGCAATTCCTTCGATACTTTGGCTGGATCTTGTCAGACGCCAATGCCCCAACTCGCGCTACAGTCATAGCCCAGCTTCACAGTCTGTACGAAAACAAAGACAACATTGTTGGCCTGCGCTCTTTCACCGAGCGTTTCCGTCACCGCATGGTCGAGATGGCTGCACAGGATGCAGACATCGGAGTGCGTGCCTCTGCTGTTGAGTTACTCGATCTGATCCGCGATGCGGGGTTGATCGAACCCACCGATGTTGACACGGTTGGCCGGCTGGTATTTGATTCGGAGCCTCGAATTCGAAAGGCAGCTGGTTCGTTCTTTGTCGCTAATGTTCAAGATGTATTCGATTCCACCACCGAGGAAGTGGGAGACGAAATCAATGAGATGTTTGGCGACGAGGACGAAGATGATTTCGAATCCCCCAAGCGTTCATGGATCAAATTCAAATGCTTGACTGACATTCTTCAAGCATACGATGAGCAAGAGAATGAGCTAAAACCAGAAAGGACAAGCTCCGCACCACGCGATGCACTTTCTGGTGCCCCGGTCGACTCCCGATTTGTCCTTGCAACTGAGGCTATCTACCCACACTTTGAGGAATTGGCTCAATGGCAATCGTTGGCAGGCTATCTTCTTTACGACCACTCGCAGATCGAAGATAACCCCTCGGAGGACGATGCCTCTGGAATAGTCAGGAACATGTACAAGATGCAAGAAGGACAAGAGGTGACCCTTTTGGAGGTGCTATGTTGCGCAGTCAAACTCCGGGTTCTCGACGTAGCCAAATCGGACATCGACAGGAGGGGTCGCAAGGTCAAGGCCTTGACCGAAAAAATCCCCGAATTACAGGAAGAGATTGCACATGGTCTTGCACAGATTATCCCGCAGCTTCTGAACAAATACGGCTCTGTACCCGAAGCTGCGTCTGCAGTTCTCCGACTGGAGCACTTGGTTGACTTGGATAAGATTCAGGACCTCCAGAAGGATGCCACGGCTTATACTTCGTTACTGAATGATATCAACAAGCAATTCCTCACGCATTCCGACCAAGATGTCCTAGCAGAAGCAAGCGTCGCTTTCCTCCACGCGAAGAGCTCCGATGACATGCGGGAGGCTCTGGAAAGCAAAGTTCAGGAACTATGGGATGACATGGTGGACACGCTCAGTACGTTGTCTCAGAAGAAGGATGTTCAAGAGGGTAGCTCGATATCCATTGGTACCCTAACCGAGCTCACCAACACTGTGACAAGGATTTCCAACCTCGCCAGTGTCACTGACTGTGTACAAATACTTGAAACGGTGCCCTCGTCTCGGTCAAAAGGCAAGAAGAAGGGCAACCTGGAGGCACCTTTTAATGGTCTTATCCACCTTGCGGAGCGCGGCCTTCTTGGCGAGGATGAGGATGAGGATGTTGCCAAGGCAGAAACTGAATTGGTCACAAGTAGTATAAGAACGCTGCTCTTCTATTTTATGTGGAAGGTGCAGTCCATGGCAACAGCCTTGGGTGCTGGGAAAGCACCATTCAGCACAGCATACTTTGAAGCCTTGGCGAAGGGCCGTGAGACTTTCGTTGCGACACTTGTCGCCATCATGCGGAACCGCTCTGGCTTGGATGAGATACGCTTTGCGGCAACCACAACACTTTTGGACTTGCAGACTTTGTTTGGTACCCTTCGTCACGCTGGACAGACTGCAAGTAATGACGAAGATGTTCTCCTTCAGACCCAAGGCTTGGTTCACGAGATTGACTCTAATGCGCAGGCACTCGTGGCTAAGATTCACGGAGTAGCTGAACGCACATATGCTAAGAAGTCACGCCGACCGTTGGAACCTGCTGAGGACGACGCACCGGCGTCTGATGAGTCAGATGTCGAAAAAGACCCTTCGGATGACGAAGAAGAATCGGGATCTGAAGAAGAAGCAGTACGCCATGAGCGCCTGCGGTCCACTATCATTGCAGAACAGAGGCTATGCGAACTGACTGGTAAAATTGTCCTGGCCATTATAGGCCGCATAATCGACGCTTCGGGATCGCATCAGGGCCAACTGAAGCAAAGAATCCTGCGGCACAAATCTCACCTGGGCCAGAACTACCGTGAGGTTCTGTCTTTCCTCGATGAACGTAAACCTAGGAGTGCTCGAACCCCTCGGTCCAAGGGCAAACAACCCACAAATGAGGATACAGGCAATGACCAAGGCGGTTCTGGTAAACGTTCAAACGAGCACAAGTCTGCCGAAAAGGTTGACAACGAGGACGAAGGAGATGACGATGGCGACGAGGACGTCAATGCGGAAGAAGACGATGAAGAGGACTTGCGAGCCAGAGGTCTCGTTGAGGAGGATAATATCGACCAAGATAACGACGATGAGGAAGACGCAAATCCTACAGGACAAGATCCAGAAGATGAGGATGAAGTGATGGGCGACTGAGACAATTGAAACCACCTACCTCATATCTTGGCCTGTCTTGCTTGATTTTCTATCTCCTAAATCTCGGATTCCCACCATGATTTCGCTCTCTTCTTCTCCTATCCAATGCACACCTCGTTTCTCTCGAGAGCACTGTCAAGACCTCTCTTTCTAATCTCACTGTACGCAACTCATCTTTCTTATCTCACTATTGTGAAAAACCACTCACAATTTACTAGTTGATCTACTCACAAGTTGCTCATGATGACTTAACGTTTATTTTGCTTTTCCTTTACCCATCTAAATGCTTACTCTACTCTTCCCTGTTGTCAAATGGTATATGTTTTCCATTTCGTCCTATTTTCTCGCTTTTAATCAGTGTGTCATTTTCCATTTCTTTTCTCTACTCTGGTTCTTTTTCGAGTTTTCTCTCCATGGGTTGTCAATTGTGCCATGTATGTATTGGTATGTACCTTATGTGCCTGTATATATTCACGGATTTCATTCACGATTATTCTCTTCAAATGGTGTTCTTTTGATGCCTGAGGACAGAGGCTGTTTGACTATGGTCAGCGAGTTGCCTGCTTACACATAGTGGTATTATAAGACTCCGTTGCATTCCAGAAACACCAAATGTGAGACGATAACTACGTAGCCTATTTGGAAGTACTGGTCTATTATATGGGGAGCAATGTAGGGGAATTTATCATTTTCCTGGCTAATCGAACTGCATCACCATGAAACATATTCGACTTTTGATCTGCTTGATTCGTCATCTAGCCAGTGGCTTCCAGACACAGAATAGAATCAATCAACAAGGGAATGGTCGCACGGTAAAATTGAAAAGCGCCAGCTTCGTTATCAGGATCATAAACGACGCCTGGACCCTGGAGACTAATCCCTCGAGAAAGCTTCCGAATAATAGATAATAAGCAAAAAGAAAAATAGAACAAGATAGAAACCGATTAACAAACAAATACGCCTGTGTATGGGGGATGCTACGAGGAAACTGCGTGACAAGGGGAAAGCATGAAAGGGGTACATGACGGTGAATCTTGTTTATCGTGAATTAAAAAAAGGAAAGTCATGGGGAAGGGAAGGGGTAGAAAGTGAGGAATCAAAAGGGAACCCTGCTCGAACGTCAAAAAGGCAGAACAATAGGCGATCGGCGAAAACTGTAATGCTTCAAGAAGACATCGAGGCCGGACGCGCAAAACCATCCTCATCCAGATCAAATAACTAGAAGGTGGAATCAGGTGCCGAGCCTCCATGAATTCAAGATTGACTGGGGACTGAATGGCGGCTTTGCAGCCGCCACTCACGGATCTAAGCGAATAAGAAGAACGAATAATTGGAGAGGTATGGTAAGATCACAATCGGATCGAAAAATTAATTGCAGTTGAGATCCCAGTTTACATATCCATGGAGTCACCACCACCGTTGGCAAAGTTGAATCCGCCGGGCTGCTGTTGGTTAGTGCCAAGAGCAAAGCCGGTTTGTGTTTGCTGAGGAGCAAGCTCATCGATGTCACCACCAGCCTCTTCTTCATCGGAGAAGTACTTCTCGATGATGTTGTAAGCCTTCATGTAAATTTCTTCGTTGGCGTTGTTCTGGCAGTCGTGGATCTTCTCCATACCACCAGCCTCCTCGATGAACAGGGCGTAGCGGTTGACGCGGGCCTCGCCAGCCTGGGTGGTCTCCTTGTCCATCTCACCAACCTTGAGAATGTTTTCGAGGCCGTCCAAAGCAACTTGGATGATCTTGTTGTCAGGGCAAGCGAGAAGGTCACACAGAGGCTTAATGCACCCTTGAGAAACAAGGTACCGGATCTGGTCGGGCTTCTGAAGACCACCAGAGGTAGCGTTGGAGATAGCCCAGCAAGCTTCCTTGCGGGTCTTGAAGTCACCATTGGCAAGCAAGTTGATCAATGGGGGGATGATGCCAGCATCAACGACAGCTTGGATCTGAGTCGAGTTGCCAGCAGTGACGTTGGAGATAGTCCAGCAAGCTTCCTTTCGGATACCATCCTTTGTGGAGCTCAAAAGAGAAAGGAGAGCAGGAAGAGAACCGCAGTTGATGATCACCTGGGTCTGGACATCATCACCAGTCACAATGTTTCCAACCGAGCGGAGAGCAGGAGTCTGAACGGAGGTAGAAGCGTGCATGAGGAGCTCTACGAGGCGACGGGGAATGCCAGCCTCAATGACAGCTTGGATCTTATCATTCTGACCATCAGACAGGTAGGAGATGGCCCAGCATGCATCAATCAAGACCTCATCATCAAGCATGTAGATGAGCTTGGCAAGAACGGGGAGGGCAGGTGCGATCTGAAAATCGTTAGAAACCTCTACCTAAACCCAAAATGTATTTATAAAAGAAAACATACCGTGTTCCAATCGGGCTGCGGTGTCTTGCCACGGCAGAAGTTGCTCAGAGTCCATGTAGCGTTGCGGAGCATGCTAAGCTTGCGGCCATCGTTGATCAAGTTCAACAGAGGGCGGAGGGCACCGGCACCGAGCACAAAGTCACGGCACTGAGGGCTGTCACCAGCAATGTTACCAAGAGCCCAGACGGCCTGCTCTCGGACATCGGGTTCAGGGCTGCTGAGGAGCTCGACGAAGATAGGAACAGCGCCGGCCTCAATAACAACCTGTGTCTGCTGGGCAGATCCAGAGGCAATGTTGGTCAAAGCCCAGGCAGCCTCAAACTGAACAAGAGTGTGGGGGGATCGGAGGAATTCAACGAAACGGCTCACAACACCAGTCTCGATGACACGCTCGATGGGAGGGTTGCGCTCCTTGGAAAGCAGCTTTCTAAACTTGGTTGTGCATTGGATCTGCGACTCGATCTGGTCGGAGAAAACACCCTTGACCATCTCCGGAAGTTCGACATTGAGCTAAAAAATATACTTTGTTAGTCATTTTGTTCTCAAGCACATGGATGTTTGCGATGGAGGGGACATCCGTGGGAGGGTCAAGAACAAAGCAATTAGGGCGGTGAAAAGCTCCTCATCGGCCATGATAAGCAAAACAAGAAGAAAGAGTGCAACATGGGATGGGCAAACAATAGAAAAGAAAAAATCCAGCTAGAAATGAAACCAAACATGATAAGGAAGATAAGAATACATACCTCGCTCTCTATGGCGCTGGCTTCATCGTCGCTCTCAGTGGCGGCAGCCATGCCACCACCCACACCAATTCCACCATCCCGGGTCTGAATACCTCTTCTCTTGGCCAGGTTCTCATCTCTTTTCTGCTTGCGAATCTCAACCTGCTGTTCCTCACGACGACGACGCAGCTCTTCAGGCCGGAACTGGTTCTTGGCCTTGAACTGCGTACGACGGTGCTCTGGGATATAACGCTCCGACATGGTTGCTGGGACACAGGAGGGGTGAAAACAAAGCGCACCAGCGGAGTCAAAAAGGAAAAAGGTGAGTGGAGTAGAAAGAGGACCAACCCAGCCTTTCTTGTTGAATACCAAGAAGGAGATGAAAGGAAAAGAGCTGACAAGGAAGCCTCAAAGGTGCCTGTCTGGGAGAGATGAAGAGTAAGTAGTAGTGAAGGAGGGGAAAAAAGTGTTGATAGTTTCCGGAGGTGGGATTATTCAGTGCCCGGCGGCTTCTGATTTGCTGTTTTCGGCCACGGCGCCCTGGCAAGCGCCACACCCGCCTAAGCGAAGTTGGCGCGAGGAGGGGGAAAGACGCGTTCGTTAAGCAGTGCAGCAAGGGCCACTAAGCAGCCGATATATACAATTTACTCAAGGATCGGGACTTTAGGTTGCTTTGCTCTACTAGAATTTAGCATCCAAGCGTAGTAGCTGATGATACGCACGGATCTGAGACGTCGATCCGGACCAATGACGATAACTTGAGCTTAAACCATATCAACATACTACAATTCTGGCGGCTCCGCTCTTATTTTCCCTCGCTAGGCGGTTCTCCGTTTCCCCTCTCTTACCATCACTTATTATCATCTATATTCCAGCTTCATTATCTTCAATCTAAACAATCCTTTGAACTTTGTGTCACGTGATACTATTTCTTTTGGGTCACGTGAGATAAATATGGGACAGACCCATCTGGCCAATCAGAAGAGTGGTTCTATCAACATCGCAATTCGCGACCAGCTCTAGTAATTTCATGCTTCGCGGCGCTTCCAGGATGAAACCTTTCCAGTGTCTTAAGACAGCTTGAATCTTTAAACATTATCACTCATATTCGCTTATGGCAACTGTTAAAGCATATTTATCGGGATTGCTACTTCCTGGAGAATTCGTTTCTTCTACTCCTGAGCCCTAAGAGAGAGCGCCTGCTTAGCGACACTGAAGTGACCCTTTGAACTCATTTCAATTTCAATTGATTCAGAACGATGCAAGCCCCATTCGTTGACATTCCCACGGCCATCACTTCGAAAGGCTATGTCAGTGTAATCGGGGTGGTGGTCGATTTGTTGGGTGTATTCCAGACAAATGGCTCCTCCGTCTGCGTGACATTTACTCTCAAAGACAGCGATTTTAAGAATGGACATACGTGGGATGGACTGAAGATAAAATACTTCAATGATGACCGGAAATCACTACCACCAGCTCAATTGGGCGATGTAGTTGCTCTACGAAGCATCCGAGTTTGTCACCCATGCACCCTGCCAACTAAGAACCATGATGCTCATTGATTCCTCGCAGATAAGACCATTTAATGGAAAGGCAATGGGGGTTGCATCTCAGGTGGAGCTGATCCAATGGGTTGTCTTTCGTCAAGGCCAAAATCCATTGTCAGGTCCCTTTCCTTTTGAGCCGTCAGTCGCAGAAAAGAGGCATGCGGCTTCGTTTTTGAGCCAGATAAATGGCACCTCCTCCTTTCGGGCAGCTTCTTCAGATCAGACGAACAATTCTCTCGCTATCCAAGCCCCGGTATCTACGCAAAAGTCATATAACCGAAGGCGATTTTCGCTCATTAAAGACATTGAGGGGGCTATGTATGTGGACCTCGTAGCCCAAGTGGTCAAAACATTTTTCAATGACAGTGAGAAGGCTGTCATCTATGTGACTGACTACACTACCAACGAGACTTTATTTGACTATGGCCAAGATGATGACCATGGCCGTGATGGTGACCCACATAACTACTTGGGTACCGGCAAAAGGAAATGGAAAGGGCCTGCTGGACGCATGTCTCTTCAAGTAACTCTTTGGGAACCCCATGCTTCTTATGCCCGAGAAAATCTCAAATTGAATGATTTTGTTCTTCTGACCAACGTGAAGATCAGAAAGAGCCGTGTTAGCGAGGGTATCGAGGCCAGCCTCCATGGTGATCGGATGTATCCTAACAAAGTCTGTGTACGCACGGTGGATGCTGAAAGCGATGATCGTGCCCGCGACTTATTACGTCGAAAGAAAGACTATTGGAAAGCCCACGGTGGTAAACAAAATCTTCAAGAAGAAATCGAAAAGAGCACGGGTTCTAAAAAGTCGAAGAAGAACAACAACAACAACAACAACAATAACAACAACAATAACACCCAACAACAGAACAAGAAGGAGACGAAAAAAGAAGAAGGCCAAAAATCACTAACTCTTACCAGCAGAATCAGGCCAAATCAAAATAGTAAGCCAGCATCTCTAGGTTCTATGCAGTACACACAGACTAATCACACCGCGATAACAGTCCAATCAGCCAATCCCAGCATTCCAACCCGGTCCCTCGCAGCCATTTTATCCAATGAGTCTCACCAAAATATATCCCCTGATGGCATCGAATACCGCCTCCCGTTCCAGAATCTCTGTTATCGGCCCCTAGTCCGCGTGGTCGACTTCTTCCCGCATAACCTAGAAGATTTTGCTGTCCCCGAGGATGCTGAATGCGCCGCCCTCTCCAGCTCGGAAAGTGACGAGGCACCCGATCTCAATGACACCGATCGATTCTACCGATGGGAGTGGCGTTTCATACTTCTCATCGAGGACGGTTCCCCCTCGCCCCCTGGGCAACCCAAAGAGCAAATGAAGCTTTTCGTCTCTGGTGCTGATGCTGTGCATCTGTTGGGAATAGATGCCAAAAAGTAAGTAATATATGCCTTGTCAATAATTGATGACCGAGCATTAATCTCAATTTTTCAATCCAGCCTACGAAAGAATAAGTCCACATTAGACATACTCCGAGAAAAGCTCTTCTATCTCTGGGGTAATCTCGAAGAGGAGAAGCAAAAAGCCGCTGCTGAAGGTAATCTCAACCCCCAAATTCTGAAGACGGTGTCGTCTGTCCCATTCACCTGTTGTATAAAGGAGTATGGGGTGAAGTGTACACATGGGCCAGACAAAGCGGCTATTGAAGATGGCCTTGGTTGTAGCCAGGAGGGCTGTTTCGGTTGGGAGCGACGATTTGCGATGTTTCAAACTGTCATCCATGGATGAGAGGATTCTCAAGCAACACGTTTATGATTCTTTATCACTTTCTTCTGTTTTTTCCCGCAGCCTCCATTGGATTGAAATAGGCTTATAAATTATGCATGTTTTTAGGATACCATTAAGCTCTGGGATTACCACTGCGTGCACATTGAATGAAATGAATAAAAATCGAATCAATTGGTTTTGATTGCTAGTTGATTGCAGTTTGTGCAACATCATTATGTAGATACAAGACGCTTCTCCCTTTTCAAAGGCAACTTTATGACTATAGATACGTAGCATATTTCCAATCTGAAATCAAGGCTATGGAACACGCTGCAGACCTAATTAGGCCCAGGGAATATTGTTCACCACGCCAGGGATGCTGTGTACAACGCAAAAGTGACCTAAGTGACACCGAGAAAGAAAAAAAAAAAGGAAAGAAAAAAACCCCAACCATTTTTTGACCCCGTGACCCCTATCCCACGCCAAATTATTGCAAGGCCCGAAAAAAATTTAGCATAGTGCCCAAAATTAGTTCACGGACGCCATTTCAGCAGTTATTCATCGAATACCGAACAGTCACAGACTGGGTAATAATAGCAGAAGGCGATTAAAAGTAGACGCTAGACCTTGGTCAATTTGACGATATTTGTATCAATACCATGTGCGACGGTGTCAAAACGACAATTTGAACCCCAATAGCAGTCCTTTTTACCAGGCTCACTCTGGGGACAGCGATGCCCATACATGCATTCTGGGTCGTCACAATCGAGTCCGAAGCGACAAGGAGTCATGCGGGCGATTGCTGTCAGAATATGATATTCACTCTTGCTCAGTTTGCGAGAATGATCGTGGTGGCAATTGTCGTTGGGACATTCGCCTTGTAGAAAGTAAAAATTGCAAAGCTTCAGTTTCTTAATGCGGTTCAGTTCGTCTCTCGGAATACTTCTAAAATCGAGCCGGTCGACACGCTGGCCGTACCTATTCCGCTCAACGGTCTTAGGAGGCGCTGCGATGGAAGTTTTCGAACGCACAACTTGGAAGTCTCCAGAGTTGGATGCGTTTGGGGAGGTAGATGACAATGGTACGCTGCTAGTTGTCGAAGTCGTGTTGGTTGATGTCCGTGAAAGGGATGCTACGTGCTGGTTCGGCGACGGTGTGAGCAGATCTCGGGGTTTAGTAGTAACTGCAGCTTTCCAGGGGGCCCAGAGTGGTGCTATCTTTGTATTCCGGAAGATCTTGGGAAATTTAGTGACTCTGTAGGAAGATTTAAGGAATTCCAGGTCTTTTTCAAACGGAATTCCTTCAATCAAAGACACCCGTCCTATGAGATCCCTATCTTCCAATGTATCTTCCAAAATCTCAGCATATTCACTATCGTTTGAGCACCCCAGAAAGATCTGATGACAATGGCAATTGTATAAATAAACTTGGAAGACCTCTGGTGAGAAATTAACACGTTAGCATTTACTCTAAAATCGCTATTGCAAGAAAGACCAGTGATTTGGCTGTTGTGTAACTCTCGAAGCCCAACAAGGATGCAGGGCAAGATCGTTCCAACACCATAGGACGACAAAGGGTCACTTTGCCTACCTCCAATTTTATCATGCGCTTTATCATTCCCAGCTCCAATATCAACAAGGTCGAAGAGTGGTACGGTGCCATTAAATCCGCGAACAAAGTCATCGAGCAATGTGGGCTCATTAATGATTCCTCCTTTGACGCAGAGATCGCTTAATCCCTTCACATTTGCATATATCTTGGTCATTATTTTCGGGGTTGTGATGCTTGGAAAATTGCTGGAGATGTAATCCTCTAGGGCTGTAGAAAGCTGAGTCGCTGCGTTTTGACCACCTTGTTCACCTTGTTGTAAGAAATCGTCCATGAAAATGAGTCCATCTCCGTCGAGAAGCACGATCACAAAGGGTTCGCGGTCCTACAGAGTGAGGTAAATTAATTAGCAAGAGTTCTGCCACCGGGGCGAGACGCTCACCATAATTGTCTTGATTCGTGATATTTGATCCATCAGCTCCATTTCATGGATTTGGATATCACGATTGAAGCGCGTCTCTCGCTCATGATCCAGCTTCTCTCGCTGATAGGCATCTTCCAGGTCTGTAACGCGCTGTAGTAGTTCCTAAATACGGGATTAAATGATCAACAGCCAGAAGACTGATAAAAGTTATGCTGGAAATCTACCTCGATGAGATTATCCTTGCTCTGTTCTAAAGACATCAATTGCTTATAGCGCTCAAAGAAGGCTGGAGCCGTCATGTTTGCTGTGGCTAGACCTCTGGGGTAACAAAGAACGCGGAGAAAGTTAAGGGTAGAAGTGGAGAGGATGGGCGAGAGAATCAGGTGGGCTCATCCAAGAAATAGGCGAGATGGGATGGGAAGACTAGACTAGGGAATGATGGAACGATTGAATAGCAGTCAGTTATGCGATGCACTTCACCTCACCCTCACCTGCAAGATCTACATGTCCAACTGCAGCGGGCTTTTTTTATCTCTTGTCAGTCACTGGCAGAACTCCCGCGGCAAGAAGCACCCAGTCACAGTGCTTTGGGAGCTGCTGCTGACTCAGCCGTCGCAATGGGGAACTCCGACACGTTAACTCGAACTCCCAGTCTAAACGCCTACGTGGAGCAAAAAGATTCCCCTTCCCTGAACTCATTCGCTCCATCTCCTTCCTTCCTTTCCTCTCAATTCCCTTTTTCTTTCTTTTCCCGTCCTTCATCCCGGTAATCTTCACAATGGGTCGCTTTGGTTTCCTGTCTCTTGGTTTGCTCTCTCTTCAGGCCTTTATTGGCAATGGTCTCGCCGCAGTATGTCCCCTCCGGTTTCTATCATGCTTCAATTCCTTGTCAATTGATCTACTCACACGTTATTTCTCACCTTTAGGACACTGCTGAGAAGGCTGAAGAAACTGCGGCCCCTCAGATCTCTATCTCGGCGGAAGCATCCTTCCCTGCCTCTGAGATCTTTGGCGTGAAGCTCGTCAATGGCCACCCAACTCAGGCGCTGATCACTTTCACCAATGATGAGCCTGCCCCCGTTACGGTCAACTTCATCGGTGGTACTCTGTCGACTCTGGATGAGGAGCAGAGCCAGGTGGTCCGAAACTTGACCGCTACCAGCTACGGTGTCGAGATTCCTGCTGGCCAGAAGGAAAGTCTGAGCTACAGCTTCGCGACCGAAATGCACCCTCAGGACCTGAGACTTAGCCTCGCCTCTATTGTCTCCGATGCTGAGGGCCAATTCTACACTGTCTACTCCTACAACAGCACCGTCAGCGTTGTGGAGCCGGAAACCAGCATCTTCGACCCTCAGATGTAAGAATCATATTTTCCTTTGATCATCCTTTCAATCACTAACTCTATCATCCACAGTATCTTCCTGTACTTCTTCCTCCTGGCTTGCTTCGGTGGCGTTGTCTACTTTTTCTACACCGTCTGGATCGCACCATACTTCCCTCAGAAGCGCGCTGGAAAGGGCTCCGAGTACAACAAGAAGTCCTCTGGCGCATCGAAGAAGGCTGAGTCTGCTCCTGTCGAGGGTGCTAGCAGCCCTGCCGTCTCATCTGCCACTACCTACAACGCCGACTGGATCCCCGCCCACCACATCAGCCGCCCTGAAGCCAGAAAGGTCAAGGGCAGCGCCAAATCTAAGAACCGTGCTTAGATAACCTCTTGGTAGTATTGATGTGGGGGATATTGAAAAGAAGGGATATAGCTGGTTATGATCGATAAGCGGTTGTCGATCTTGGGAGACCTTGGTATGGTTTTGCCGGGGAATCTTGGGATTAGCTAGCTTTGGGCGAATGGCCGCTGAGAATGCGGTCAATCAAACAAGCTACTTCTATTTTTGGTTCGGGCATGTATATCTACGATAATTTGACCTTCTCTTTGTTGCCCGTGAAGCGGCAAGATTGAGGAGTATATCTAAATAAATGTTCTGTCAATTTATTATTGATCCAATTTTACATTATAATTAAAGTTTGGCGCAATTCGCAATGGCTATAATGGGTTTGGATTATGAATATTATGTAGCATGCACTATGGATATCTTCTGTCCGTTTACACTCTTTTCCACTCATTGAATTCTTTCTCAAGATGCTCCTTCAGTGAAGTAAACTTATTCCCAAAATCCTCACCACATCGCCAGCAGATGAAATCCCGCTGGAGATAGCCCTCTCTTCCCGGATGCCTTCTAACATCATCCTCTGCAAGCGGGAAATCCTCGATGTTGACGAAGAATGGAGTAGAAAAGCTGTTGTAGTGCTTCCTATGCTTCAAACGCCCACTATATCGATCCACTGACATAACATGGACGTGCAAGTGGTTCATAGACGGATGAGCGTGAATCCCGCACATGATTTCTTGCTCCCAATCCCTCCCCCGCGGCAGTTCATCAAGTGGTGGCTCCGCATCAAGTGCTTCTTGTCTCTCCTTGTCCTGCGCAGAATCCTTTCCATATTTCCGTCTCAACTCTCCCGCCGCCAGAGTGCGGAGTTTCTTCACCTCGGCTTTAACCTTTCTCAGGAACTCGGGGTCTTCGAAAGCGTCGAACGGATGGAGACGGGTCTTCAGAGGATCGCGGGGGAGCAGGAGCAGATGGAGCGTAGATTTGGGGAACATATCATGTATTGCGACAAAGTCATCATTATGGTAAACCACGACATTAGGCGGAAATGACTCTGGCTTTGCAATGTAGACGCCTAACCCATCACGCACACCCCCAATAGCTCTCTTTGACGATTTCTTGGACGGACCGTCGTCGGCGTGCTTCTGTTGTTTGTTTTTGGGAGATAGGAGCTCTGAGACTGAGCTATAGGTCAGCTGTATTGAGGTTATTTGATCAAAGGGCTCGGATGACGCAGTTTACAAGCATCTCTCTTTTCTGGTTTCTCTGGAAGCGTATTTGAGGCCATGGGCCCAGGGTTCTCTCCTTCAAACGCTGGCGACTTTCTCGACATTTGAAAAGATCAGCACCAAACTGAATAATAAACAGCACTCTAAGTCTGCAGCAAATCAATAGTCTTGTAGGTTGTTTGCTTCGCAAGAAGGATGACGGTGCGGAGAGACAGCGGCGATCAATTCCCTCTTCGCTCCCCGCAGCCCTACAGTTCGAAAGGAGCCTAGTGCGGGACAGCAACAACCACGGCCTGCTGCCCGCCAGCGAAAACAATCAACCACTCCTCTTGAACTTGTCAACAGTTGCTCCACGGGCGTCTTGCTGCTGAAGATAGTCGCATATACTACAAGAATGCCCCCCAAGAAAAAGAACGACGCCCGTGGAGGTGGTCCCAAGCCCGGGACGAAGCAGGCAAAAGCGGCCGCGGAGAAATCGGCCGATGCGAAGAAGGCGCCACCTCCCCCGGAAGAGCAGAAGAAACCATCTGTCAAGGAGTTGATCGGTGGTGCATCATGGACGGGAAAGCTACCGTTGAATATGCTGTCAGAGCATTGCCAGAAACAAAAGTGGGAAAAGCCCGAGTATACAATGGTAAGACGGAGAGCAGGCGTCTTTTTCTGCGCAAGCGGCGTATGCTAATGATATTTGCGTATAATACAGATAAAAACCTCGGATGGCTTCGTATCGACGGTTATTCTAAAAAAGGTCGACCCGAAAACAAAGGAAATGATTACCATTCCTCCCATAAAACTACCTGCGTCTCATAAACACCTGTCTCCTCAACCATCTGCGGTGGAGGCCCGCCATTTCGCTGCCGCCCTCGCTCTTTTCCGGGTCTGCAATATGCAGAATCTCCACATGATGATGCCTCCTGCTTATAGGAAACTTTGGAAGGAGGATTTCACTGAAGTCAAAACTGAGGATGTCAAGGGAGGGAAAGGTTGGATGTACGAAGCAGATCCATTCTTGGCCAAGCAAGAAAGAGAAAGCGCTGCGGCAGACCTGGAAAAGAAAAGAAAGGAGCGGGAAAAGACGCAGGCGAAACAAAAAGACAATAATAACGTGGACCTGGGCTTGGGTTCCAATGGTGAGAATAAAAGCAGAAGGATATGGTCACAAGCTCCGAAAGTTGATATGGGAGGCAAAGTTCGGCGTGATATTGAAGGTCTTCTGCGGCAACACACCGTTTGGAACCCTTATAGCGTGCAAATCCCCGGCGGTCAACGAAAATCCATCGTGGAGGAATTTACACAGCTGGGCTTCCGACGCAGCCATGTTGAAGAGGCAACTGCGGCTTGTAAAGACCGAGAAGAGGTTCTTGAGTGGCTTCTGATTTATGTCCCCGAGGATGATCTCCCCAGTTGGTGCTTTCCAGAAACATACTCTGCTGGTGTAAGCCTTGCTAGTGATAACCTAGCAAGGGAGGCGAAAATCAAACGACTCTCATCCGTTGGTTATCCCGCCGATCTTTGTTCACAAACCCTTGACAGCAAAGGCGGCGATGAACACGCAACAGCGGAGTTCTTACAGAGTACACTTGTGCACGGGGAGAACTCTCCTGTAGTTGGCGAATCTACTGGAGATGAGGATTCTTGGGCAGAAGAACAGGAGACCTTGGAGGCTATCTTCGGGGAGCGCTACGTTCGATCTTCACCCAAAACCTGTGAAATTACAAGTGAAGCATCCAACTTACCAGAGTCGACATCGTTTCGATTCCAAAGACCTTCCGGGCATTATCCTTCGTCACCCCCAGTCATTTCAATCCTGGCAAAGGGTATCCCGGCATATATACGGCTTAGTGCAATTCGCCAGGTAATACGGCACAGTGAAGAGAATTTCCTGGGGGAGCCAATGATCTTCAATATACTCGACTGGCTCGAAACACATCTACCAGGCGTTATGGAAAATCCAGGTAAATTGCGAGATATTTCCACAGTGACGGCACCCTCGTCTACTGCTGGTGTAACCTCCGAACTACCAGTCCGCCTGCCACGTAAGCAACGAAAAGGAATCGATTGGCAGCCAGGCTCGCCCCAAAGTATCTCGATTAAAGAGGCCTGGGAAGCAAGGCAACCGACTCCGGCGCAGCAGAACATGGCCCGCAAGCGAGAATCTCTTCCTGCTTGGAATACACAAGATGCTATTATACGCTGTGTGAGCAACCACCAAGTTACAATCATCTCAGGTGAAACAGGTAGTGGTAAGAGTACTCAGTCGGTACAGTTCGTGCTGGATGATATGATCAAGCGTGGCCTCGGAGGAGTCGCCAATATTATCTGTACGCAGCCTCGGCGAATTTCTGCCCTTGGTCTCGCAGATCGAGTGAGCGACGAGCGATGCACGTCTGTGGGTGACGAAGTCGGATACATCATCCGAGGAGACTCAAAGACGAAATCTGGCTTGACGAAGATCACATTTGTCACAACCGGAGTTCTGCTTCGTCGCATGCAATCTGGAAGCAGCCCTGATGGCAATGTCGCAAGTTCTCTCGCAGACATCACTCATGTCGTTGTGGATGAAGTTCACGAACGTAGTCTTGATACCGACTTCCTCCTAGCCCTCCTGAGAGACGTTTGCCGTTATCGCAAGGACATTAAAGTCATTTTGATGAGTGCAACTCTCGATGCAGACATATTCATTAATTATTTTGGTGGACGTCAAAGTGTCGGATTGGTCAACATCCCCGGTCGAACATTCCCTGTGGAAGATTTCTACCTAGACGATGTCATTCGGGATACCGGGTTCTCACCAGAGCTGACTGAACGGGGCTTCGATGATGATGACTTCGACTTCTCTGGGCAGGCCGAAGAATCGTTAGGCAAGATTCTTCGTAGTATTGGCATGGGAATTAATTATGAGTTAATTGCCTCTGCCGTGCGATATATCGATGCTCGATTGCAAGACAAGCCCGGAGGCATCCTAATCTTTTTGCCTGGTACTCTCGAAATTGAGAGGTGTCTGACTGCTGTAAAGAAGATCCCAAATATGCACCCACTGCCATTGCATGCATCTCTCCTCCCATCTGAACAACGACGTGTCTTCTTGAGCCCTCCTAAGGGGATGCGGAAGGTCATCGCTGCTACAAACGTTGCAGAAACCTCAATTACTATCGAGGATGTCGTGGCGGTAATCGATACTGGCCGTGTCAAGGAGACCAGCTATGACCCCAAGGATAACATGGTCAGACTTCAAGAAGTGTGGGCATCTCAAGCTGCGTGCAAACAGCGACGAGGACGAGCGGGTCGTGTAAGGGCTGGTTCCTGCTATAAGCTCTACACCCGTAAAGCAGAAATGAATATGGCTCAGCGTCCGGACCCGGAAATTCGACGGGTTCCCCTGGAGCAATTGTGTTTGTCAGTCAAAGCAATGAAGGGTATAGATGACGTTTCTACGTTCCTGGCAAATACTATCACTCCACCTGAGAGTATGGCCGTTGAGGGGGCCTTGAGCTTCCTGCATCGCGTGGGAGCTCTGGATCATGACAAATTGACCGCACTGGGACGATACCTGACCATGATCCCTGCTGACTTGCGATGCGCAAAGCTTATGGTTTATGGATCCATCTTTGGCTGCATAGACACCTGCATCACAATATCTTCCATCCTCACTGTGAAGAGCCCATTTGTTTCACCTCGCGACAAACGTGAAGAGGCGGATGCTTCCAAAGCGCAGTTCTCCAAGGGTGATGGAGATTTGCTCACTGACCTCTCAGCTTACCAACAGTGGTCCGAACGAGTGAAAGCAAATGGCTATTGGCAGACTCAGTCGTGGTGCGGTGCCAATTTCCTTTCCCACCAAACCCTGCGCGACATCTCATCCAACCGAGCTCAGTTCTTGACCTCGTTGAAAGATGCAGGCATACTTCCCGTTGACTACTTGGACCCGGAGAGTACCAATGCCAATGGCGCATCATCATCGCCTTGGAACCGCAATTCTGGAAACAGGAACCTCCTCCGTGCCCTGATCGCAGGCGCATTCCAGCCCCAAGTCGCTCAAATCTCATTTCCTGATAAAAAGTTCGCAAGCTCTGTCACGGGAACCGTCGAGATCGACCCAGACGCCCGAACAATCAAATACTTCAACCAGGAGAATGGTCGCGTGTTCATCCACCCTAGCTCCATCCTTTTCTCTGCGCAGGGCTATCCAGGCTCCGCAGCGTATCTGAGCTACTTTACTAAAATGGCCACGAGCAAAGTCTTTATCCGTGACCTGACCCGTAAGTTTTTTCTTCCTCCTACTCTCCATCCAGAGTGCTCAATTAACCTCAAATACCAGCATTCAACGCCTACTCCCTCCTCCTCTTCTGTGGCTCCATCACCCTAGACACAATGGGCCGCGGCCTCATCGTCGACGGCTGGCTTCGCCTCCGTGGCTGGGCCCGAATCGGTGTCCTCGTCTCCCGACTGCGCATGATGTTGGACGAGATTCTGTCGTCCAGAATCGATAACCCTGCTTTGGCTTTCAAGGCGGAAGGAACCGGCTCTGATACGGGGAATAAAGTGATCGATGTGGTGAAACGATTGATTGAATATAATGGTTTGGATCAGTGATTGATTGGGTTGGTTTAATTGGATAAGATCGTTTTTTGGTTTCGGGCATTTTGGTTATGAATGGACGATGACTTTTGGGCTGGCTTCATTCTGAAAAAATAGATGCTTGGGCATATACATAGACAAAAGTTACGTCTTTACCAGAACTTATATATTCATGTTCTTAACACTACTATATTGGAGACCTCATTTGGATATAGTATGGGTATGGTCGCAGACTACCTTGGACAGGGGTTGGACAGGGATACTCTTTGAAACTATAAATAGACCCAATGTACTAATTCACTAGCCTCTACTCCGTAACCTCGGATAATAATCCATGAGCAATAAAGAAGATATCAAGCCAAAAGAAACAAAGAAAAGAAATTAAAAAAGCCAGAGGGCAGGTAGAGAGCGTGTGGCAGTAATTTCGTGAGTCCATAACATTGGAAGAAAAGAAAATCTGAGAATAATAGTCGAAATGGGCACAAAAGAAAAGGGGAAGGCTGAAAATAAATTCATACAAGAAAAAAACCATCGATGACCATGAACTCCCGTGGCGGACTGACTGCATGGATCTCATGTCATCCGATTTCATTAATAAAACAAAATAGAAAAGAACTCCACCCATTTGATATCCCATTCTCCGACCGTAACACCCTTGGATGTTCTCCATAATCTAAATCCCAAAGTTGTGTAATAGAGGTGCAAATTTGCAAGTGTATGAGAGCATGAAAAAGATGAAAAGAGTGTGGATAGGACGATGATGTGAAGAGCGAAATAGAAAAAAAGTGTCGTTAAGGCAGCAACTAGCCAAAGCTGCAGTCCCTTGTTGTTTCTTTGGTTTTCTTTCAACGGTTCATTATTTTTTTTCGTTTGTTTGCGCCAGATGGTATCATGGAACTGGTAAGGGCTGCAGAGAATCGATTAAAAAAAGAAAACGGTGAGTCGTGTCCGTTCGAGAAAGCATTGCCCTGTTGTCTATATGCATGGGCCTCGTCCGGAGCGACATGCATTAGGGCTGGTGGGGATAAAACAAAGGAAATAATGAAACAAAGTAGAGTCAGAAGATGGTGGCCCACGTGCAAGCTTCAGATTCGCTTCCAGTAGTGTCCGGTTTCGAACTGCGTGTGGATGGCACTATCCTTGGTAGGCTCTGGAAGACGGAATCCTTTCTTCGTCTCGGCCTCCACGAAAAGGGATGCCCGCTTAAATCGCTTGTCGGTATACTTCTCGTGAATGGCCGCGTGGTGCTTGCGGGGGTTTTCGCAGCATTCCGCCATGAGCGAGATGAGGGGGAAGAGCTGTGAGTAGGTGTATCCCGCATAATGCACATGGGCAGGAGTCTGTAATGTCAAATGTTAGAGAATCGCAGTTAAAAGTTATTGAGGAATCAACATACCCAGCTCCCTTTTCTAAGCATCATTCTTGCCAGGCAATGGGCCCCGGCAGCGACAAAGCTAGGAGGGCTTCCCACAAACCGCTCGTCCATGATGGTGAGCTCAAGGAAGTACTTGGCGAGAGTCCGAGTCTCCAGGTCGTAGTCATCAGCTTTGCTAATTTTGCGGAGAAAGCTCATCGGGCCAGGCCATCCCAGCTCGAACTGCAACATGCTCAGCATGAAGCGCTCGGCCTTGAGGATCTCATCAACTGTGTAGCCTCCATCGACCATGTAGACAATCTCCTGGACGGACGGGCAGTTGATTTCTTCATACTTGGCAGCAATGAAGATCGCAGTGGCACCCACCAGCTGCAGCTTACCCAATGAGACGATCTTGCAAGAAAGGAAGCGATCGATGTAGTTGACGCAGAGGAACAGAGTTTCCGGCAGCAACCCAAACCTGTGATGCACCTGCACCAGCCAATCCATCAGCACTGACCGCATGGACCATTGGATCTCTGCCTGGTTATCCATGTAATGGGCGTTGGGCAGCATTTTGATCTGATAGACATGTCAGCAACGATCCACTTTGTCTTTATCGCCTGCAGCAGCTTACCTCTTGCTCCTTCATGTAGTCGAAAATTTCGTCACTATACTCAGCGACCATGCTTGTGTCCCAGTATTCATCCTCAATATCTTCAGGCGTTCGGGTCGAGTCGACGATCTGCTTGGCGACGGCCAGTTCCCGTTTCACTTGTTGGTTGTATTTGGGAAAAAGCACGGTGGTCGCTCCGCCGGTAGTATTATCACCACGGGAGCGGTAGGAACGGGCAGTCATGTATCCATCCTCTTCCTCGTTCTCTTCTTCCTCATCGTCCCAGTATTCTTCCGGTTCCGACTGGCCAGGCAGGTGATCGTAGCCGGGGACAGAGTCGCGGTGGGCCTTGGGCTCCTTGACACCGTGTACCTTGCAGTTGTCCTCATCAACCTTTTCAGCGTCGTTCTCCGCGTTGTCAGACTTGACAACTGAGCATTCCTCCGTGTCGATCTTCTGAGCCTTCGAGGCTTCACTTGGCATAGTATCCTCCTTCACGTTGTCCTCAGCCAATGGACGTGAAACGTTGTCCGCTTTGTTTTCCTCTATTCCCACTGTGTTGTTTTCCTTGGATGCGATTTCATTTGTTTCGGTCACTGGCTGCAAAGGGTCTTTGAAGACGGCGTTGCCCCGCTTGTTGACGGTCTTTCTGGAGTTGGCGGCTTGCTGCGACGGCTTCCCGGCAGGCTCATTGGGCTTGTTCAAAAGACCCTTCAAGCCCGTCATGGACACGGGACGCTGAGCTGGCTGTGAGAGCACGCTAGGTTTCCTCTCTGGGCCAACCACGCCTGGCTTCTCAACTGCTTTGCCCTGTTTCTTGCCCGCAAGGGAGGCGTCATCCCGGCTCAGATGAACCAGGTTAGCAGTGTTGCTGACATCGCCAAAGGCAGCTCGTCGAGGACCGTTCTTGTTGGCATTCTGGAAGACCGCCGATAGAGCAGGGGTGGACTTGTTGCGTTGGTGCTGAAGGGTCTTATTGGGAAGGGCGACAGGAGCATTTTCGTCCCCACGGACGCGAATTCTCTGTGGCTGTAAACAATTGCATCTTGTCAGTTTCCAGACGAAAATTGAAGGGTAGACACGACTCTGTGGTCGAATGGCGCGTCGACGATCGTAGGCAAGCTTTGTATGCAAGCAAGAAGCCATACCCACGTACGGCCAACAAAGCAGTGGAGAGATAAGAATGACAACATACCTTTGCATCCATCGTGTTATGCAGCAGACTAGATGGTTTCCTGCACCAGAGTCCGACCTTGGGGTTGTGGATAAATTTGTGCCTGGTCAAGAAGGCAGGCGATGTTTACCTTTTGTTTAGTCGGAGTCGGACTGGAGGCCCAGAGCAGCTACTAAGGCAACCCCAAACAAACAACAACCGCGCCAAGGCTTTTTGTTGCGACAGCACGACGGGCGGCTTTTAGATCGCTCAACAAAGACACCACCAACAAAAAAAAAAGAGAAGAGGGATGATGGGATAGAAGAAACAAGCGAGAAAGAAGAGGATAAAAGAGAAAAGAATCATGAAGAAAGAAACAAAGGACGCTGGGAGGCGAAGCCAGGGAGGAATGATGTTTCTCTCCTTCGCCCGTAAGCGGAATGCGCCTAATCGGGTTAGTCTGGTTGCGTCTACAAAGAATTGCAGAATTCATTGTCAATAGAACATTTTATATTCCATTTCTATATACCAATGGTCTCTATTACTAGATAGATTGGGACTCTGGCTATGAATGAAATACTGGATTGTCTCTTCAGTTAATTGTGGTAGTATAAGATCCTGCGGTGTAAGGTTGACTCGAACGTATTTACATGGATAGCAACAGCCTCAACGTGAATAAGGCACAGTAATATGCTATCCTAATCTGATCGCTGAGTAGAGAAAGTGACCTTTTTCAATATATCGAGTGTATCGATTTATTTAGAAACTTATTGGATTGCGTTCCTTGAATTCAGAGTGTCGTTCCTACAGTAAGCCCAACTCTATTGCCATCGATAGTTAGGGTTTGTTGCTTGTGTTATTCGACTGTATATTCTACTATGTACTGCCTGGCCATCGATATATCATATGTGGTCCTTGGTAGCATTACGCCTAGTAGTCCTCGTCTTCACGACACTCAGCAATCACACTTATATTGCAATGTCCTGAGCTTCTTAGAATCCCCGGTTCTGCATACAGAGCTCAACTCAATTCATCTGTATTATCGAATAAAGCGTTTCTTGCAGTCGCAAACAATATGCATATTTTGATTACAGTAGGACAATGGATGACTCAGCATGCTGACTTGACTGCCCTGTTTGCGTCGTTTGGCTGCATGACATCATGCAACACGTCTCCCCGCCCGCATCTGATCTGGCTTTGATGATTGCGACCACAAAAAAGGGATGTAAAATGCAAAAAATAGATTAATTTTGATGCACAACTTGTCAATGCGATTTCAATTCATGTATATTTTATCTATTAACATCTTCCAATCGTGGGTGGTGCCTGCTAATACCGCCCGCCGTGGTGGACGCGCCGCCCAACAAGAAGCGGAAACCCATTAAACACGAAAACACGTGACCTAATGGCCGGCGACAATTCGGCCGTGAATGGGTTGGGCTGCGACCAAATGGAGACAAAATGCCAGCAATTCTTGCGTCGCAGATCAACTATTGGCATTTAGCACTTGGGCTAGATATCAGAAGTTGGTCACGAGTCGCAACTGGCCATTATTCTATCTAGGATCTATCATTCATCTTCCAAGGCACCGTCTGGATGGCTCAGAATTCAGCAGAAATCAACCGCAGCCTGTCGCTGTCGAATCCACGATCGGATCCATTGCGATCCTTCTCGTCCGGCTTCTTTGGCTTCTCTTAATTTCTGTCGTTCTTTTTTTGTTCTCTCTTTCCCCGTTTGCACCCGTCTCCAAAAGCCACGACCGTCCAGAGTGGGACGCCGGATCCAGCGGTACCTATCATGAAGAAGCGGGATCTCTGTAGCTTCGTCTGGTTTTCAGACGAGAGTCAACAGTGTCCACTGTCCACCAGCAGGCGGAAGGGGAAAATGAAGAGATTTCCCACACTGATGAGTCTATGATCTTCTGAATGGTGCGGGGTCGACTGTCGCAGGGGTTGGTTCTGGATGATTGTTTCCCAGATCATTGTGGGAGAAACCAACGGTGAAGGCGGGCTATTGAAACGATGCGCAAACTTTCGGTGTGCCCCAGACAAGACCTGAAGACTGACCTGGTGGCTGACAAACAATCATCTTGCATCCATTCCTCGTCTGATTCATGCTGATGATTCGATCATGGAAGCCCTCCACTCGACACCGTTTGGAGAGGCGATGCGATGATAAAAGCGTCCCCTCTCGTCTTCGATAACTACTTACCACAGGCTCTTTTTCCTGTCTGCCAGGGCTTGGAATCTGCTCTACGACTTCTTGTCCTGACTTAAACCTTCTGCGGGATTCAATCTCTCCCTTGCGACCGTCTTATCATGTCTTCCAAGGACAGGCCAAAGACATACATTGATCCTGTCAATCATACCATTTCCCCCCTCACTCTCCAAGTCTTTGCCCATCTTGCGTGCGAAGAAAGCGAAAGAAAGAGAGAGGACCCGGGGAGATTAATCCATCCCGACGGCTCTCAACTACGTAGAAAAAAGTTGCATTTTGGTTACATTTGATTTTGAATCACAAAGAATCCCACTATCCATCGCCTGCAGCGGTCACTTGTGCCCGATGTCGTTCTCCCAGAGCCATTCATCCTTGCGTAGCCCACCGTTTCCGAGGAGGGGTAACTAACGACTAACGACTAAAAAAGAAGAGTCTGGACAAGCGCAGATCATGAAACGAAGCAGCGTCGAGTGCTGTCGCAAACCCGACTGATGATGCGCAAGTATTTCGTAGTTGTAAATACCTTCTAGATAAGAGTTGTTGAATGCTGTAGAAGAGCAGAGTGGTATAATTATGGGTGTTGAGTCCCCGAGGAATATCGGTCTGCGACTCCAACCACCACTCGCCTAGAGCATTTAACCCACGATGTCGCATCAGAAAAACATTTGATTATTATTCGCATTTGCCTTTGAAACCCATTCCGTCATGCAGAGCTATCATTCGGGTATTTAAACGGAATGCGCAGTGGTTTTGGCCAGGATGGGGGATCACTTTGGGCGTCATTCGACGTGGCCGCGCTGGCTGATGAACCCACTGCAGCCACTCATCCTGACCAGGTCACTGTTTGTCCCTGGGGATTATTTGTTGTTGTCCTTATTCCATTTCTCTCTTTTTATTTCTTCCGATCAAAGAAATAAAGAAAGAGAAAAAAAAAAAAAAGTACCTCTTTTCTTGGTTGATGGCTGTTGTTCTGCGCCGGCGTCTTTCGAGGCAAATCAACAAAGCCGATGCTCATTGACCCTCCCCTCCCATTCCCATTAATATCCCCCATTATTATCATCGATTCCAATTCTCAATCAAGGAATCAAGTAGAATAATAGATAGAAAATAAGAAAGTACGCCTTTTGTAATTGAAGTGGGTGGTATATAACACCATGTGTTGAGTGATCGCATCCGACTTGCGACCAGACGGACTCACTGCGCAATGCGACAAATGATCGAATATCCATGGATTCAAGGTTCAATCCAGAACCGGATGAAGTGGTTCCTGTAGAACGAGAGAATCATCCTCATCTCCATCGCCATAACCCGCATTGGTGCTCGTTGTCGCCGGAGCGCATGTCACCGACCCAGGCCATTTTTCGCTTTAACGTGAAACCATCCGGACGCTCGCACCCACTCTCTCTCGCTCTCTTCTCTCTTCTTCTCCTCAACCCACTCACTCCCCCAAGTGCTCTCGACTCAACGCATTTCCCTCGTCCAAATCGACTTTCGCCTTTGACTCGACTACTGATCAGGTTCGTCTGCCTTTTCCTTTTCTTCTTCCTTTCCTGCTTCATCTCTTCCCCTGACCCCCATTCCCCCGTTCTCGCTGGCTTGCTGTGATGCCACCGCTGACATAGCCCAAGCGCCGTAGCAGATCGATCGATCACTTTCCACCACCACTGCGACCTTCTGACAACTGCCATCGCCTGCCTCCTTTCCTTCGAACTCGACTAGCTGTATGGGTGCGACTCTGGATGAATAGGTTTGATTCGAGATAGGTGCGTTTTCATCGCTGTTCCATCTTCTTCCGAGAATTCGGGTCCCCCTCAAGCCAACAACTCATCACCTGGCGATGAGCCAACATCCACACCCCCAATCTTTGCACTTTCATATATCCAAATCATCATCCATATGGATTAAACCCATCTGGAATCCATTGTGCTAACGTCCGTCGGCTATTTCGTCCAGGCTTTCCTCAATTTTTCCCTTCTCAGTCGCTTTCGGCTCTTGCGACTTGAGGGTCCCCTCCTCCATCCTAGACCTTTCACCATCGACGGTTTTCATTGAACAATCGCGGGTGGTCCATCTATCAACCAAACCCCTCTGATCCTCTCATTGTGGTAGGTTAGATGGAATTTGCCCATACCCTCACTCTCCCTTCCCCTCCTCCCCCATCTCCATCGGCCCGTCCGCCCACACACATAGAACGAACAGCCAATTGATACATATCATCCATGTAGCAGCCAGTGTGGTAGACTTCCTTCTTGGACCCTCCCACGATGCAAGCTGTCCAGTATGAGCGGCACTCCGCTCATGTGGAGCCGTCTGTCTATACGGATATGCATGCTGCTGTCTCGCCTCAGGAACACCACCGAAGCCCCGTTCCCAAGAACGTCGCCTTTGAGTTGTTGCTCGATGAAAACTCTAAGGTCCGGGCCCGGATACCCATGCGTGTGCAAATCTACCCCCATGATACTACCGACTCCATTGTGACTACGGTCAAGAATTTCTATGGTATCTATGATGGCGCTGCCAGTGGCGTCAGCTTTGAGGATGAACATGGCACAACCCTCATTGCAAGGTATGAGAACCTGAGAAATAACATGACCGTCTATGTTCGGGTAATCCCTGTTCAAGCATATACGGAAGGCTATGGAGATCACTTTTATGGTCACCTCCCCGTAGAGGCTCGCAAGCGTCCTAGTCTTGGGGAGCCGTTCCAAATGGCACACGCAATGTCATCGGCGCATGCCTTTGAACATGCTCAACCGCCATCTCGGCCCACATCTAGACTTGCAAGAAAGCGCAGCACGTCTCCGTCTGGCCGGAGCCGTCGTAGCGCCTCCCAGCACAAGCCGCTCTCCCGAGCTGGCAACAAGAGCAGGGGGTCTAGCACTCATGACAGCTTACATGAGGATGGATATAGCGACAGCGAAGGCGGCTATGGCTCTGTCAATGGCACTAAAAAGTCTCGAAGTGAGCAACTTGGAAGCTCAGATATCAGCATGGAGAATATTCTTCACGATGGCCGTCGGAAGCGGCCCAAGTTTGAAAGCTCGGTTAGTTTGATATCCATTACTGTCTCCTTTTCTCACACATCGTTGGCTCTTTCTTCTAACCATCATTCTTTCTATTCTGTTTAGGAATTACCTTTATTCGTCCCTCCCCAGGTTCCTCTTACTACCTCTTCCTCCTCCATCTCACCACAACGTCGATCCATCGGCCAAGAAGCCGTTGGCTCTCCATTCGCACGCCCCACCCAACGTCCTTATAACTACCAACAAGCACTCCCATCACCGCAGAGCTATGGACACAGTGAACATGCTTATGGGGTCAGTTCGACGCGCAACTCCATGTATGCCACTCCTGTAGTTCCTGAACATGGACACCGGTTGCGCGACCGAACTGCCACCCAGTCGTCTGGTCATTTCAGCAACCCTGCTGGTCAGGCTAATGGACCTGGGATCTTGCCTACCCCAGATCCCACTATTGCAAGCTGCATATCCGATGAAGATGTTGCAATGCAATTGATTCGTCTGGGAGATGCTTCGAACTTCTCGCATGGTCGCACGTCTGCGTCTACGCTTGACGATGCCTTCAGCGGCGCTGCCGATGCCGCCTCCTCGACTGGTGCCACCAGCGATGGAGATGAATTTAGCGAGGAAGACGATGATGATCTGCCAGCCCGAAGTCGGCATAAGCTGGAGTCCAGCCCGATGCTGCCGCCGGGCGCTACCAAGCGCAACCATAAGCGATTGGATGAAATCCTTCCTAGCTTTGACAGCTCGGATGCCAGCTGCGACGAGGAGTATCACCATAATGATCACCACGACAGCTTGGTTAAAAGTGAAGCGGACGAGGACGCTCTCTACAAAGACTCCGCACCTAAGGCAAAGAAAACTAAGACCCGTCCTACCAGCACCACCTCCACTAAACCTCGTGGTTCCAAGTCGGGTGTTTCCCGTCATAATAAGAACAGCAAGAGTGTATCTACTAATGCCTCTCGCAAGCCTAAATCTATTTCCACCACTGCACCTCCTAAGCCTCCCATGTCCCCCCAATTGGTCAGTCCGGCTCCGACCCGGAAGACCTCGACCTCGTCGGTCAACTTCCAGCACCCTCTTGCCGCTGATGAAGAAGACCTGTCTACCAAGCCACGCTGCCAGCGATGCCGCAAGAGTAAGAAGGGCTGCGATCGTCAGCGCCCCTGCGGGCGGTGCAAGGACGCTGGCATTGGTCTGGAGGGCTGCATTAGTGAGGATGAAGGAAATGGGCGCAAGGGCCGATATGGTCGGCACATGGGTGTTCCCGTTAAGAAGGATGGAATGATAATTGACTACGAGCCACAACCGATTATGGCCGCAGCTCCGGCTTCGTCCGCAGCAGCAGACAAGAACAAGAAGCGCAAGCGGTAGGGACCTGCGCCTGTGTCCTGAAGACAATGGACTGCCTGGATGACGCCACTTCTCCCCTCCTTTTAACACCACCTTCCTTTATAACATCGCAATCAATACGCTTCGCCTCGCAACTCACGGAATTCCTTGTCATCGAATACCGAAATAGCATGGTACTCTTCGAAAGCCACCGTTGATTCTTGTTGGGTACTGCATAGGTACATTGTTGATTCTTGATTACGGGTTCCCTGTTGTTATCCGACTTAGGGACCAAGCGCTCCTTTACCTCCCACCACCACATCCATCCATCCATCCAACGATCCTTCATTCTCGCAGTCCTCGTCCTGTTGCTACCAGCCATTTTACTTCTTATTGTTGTTTTATCATGGATAGTTCAGCGATTGAACTCAGCGGGTTGATCATATTGATTGTATCTTTTGGCGTTGATACTACTGATACTGCTGCTGTTTGCGGACCACCTTATTTTTCGGGTCATTTACGCTCATTCTTAGCTGTTACATACATTCAAGTGTGAATTTGTTTCTGCCTTTTGTTTGGCATTTTCTGTCCATTTTGAGTGTGATACGCTGTGGTTATCCATTCGCAGTAGAATACTACTATATATTTGCCCATATGAGCCTGATAGCTGTGTCCGTGGTCGTGTCCGTAGTCTAGTATTCTCTTGACTATTCCTCTCACCGTCAGCTAAGGCAGGCAGTCACCGTAGTCTGTCCAGTCCCTTATCCTCTACTGCATTGTGGCCTTTTTGCTCGATTTGAGCGATCCAAGTACTGTGGCTGGCGGTGGCGCAGCTGTAGCGACTGCGCTGTACCGATAAAGCGCTACAGGCGATAAGAAGGCCAAAGTAGTCCAACTTCAGGTCGAAAGAGTGAAATCTGTCAATATATCCAAATATCCATTCCTCGTTACTGCTATGGAGGCAACAGCAGCAGTAGCAGTGGCTTAAGTATACAGCTGAGAGCTCTACTATCAACCATAGGTTAATTTTTGTGATATACTACCTCCCCTAGCCTAAGCCTTCCATGTACTGTGATGGGCGACCCGTCCACCTCATGGAGTGCTACCTTATTACCTATTCAAGACATAAAGCCACTGGACCATGATCAATAATAGCGACACTAGCAGCGGCACTAGCATCAGTATCAGCAAAAACAGCAAAATAGCCACAGATTTGATGATCCAGAACTTTTTGACCTATATGCGAGGCCTCATTCTGATTTGCGAATTGAAGAAAAGAATGATGAAGGCTATCGTGAAGCTGCTCATAATACTTCCTAATACGGCTTAGCGCATAGATATCCGACAGCCCCGCCGTGAAGCGTTAGCCGCGCGCCTACTTTTTTCCCGCCGGTTCCATCAAAAGATTCATCGTCGCGAGCGATAAACTGCTTGCTATTCTTTTGCTAGAAAAGCGCTGTACTGGCCTCGGTTTCTTGTGCAGTTGAATCTACCTTGAGAAGGCCCTTTTCAATGACCTAATTAAACTTTTATTGCCCGACAATCTCAACATGCCTCCCAAAGCTGCCCCTCGTCGAGGAGGAGCAGCCGCTCCTCGGCGGACAGACTCAACGCAGTCAGGCTCGTCAGCCTCTCCGAATCCAAGTGAATCACGTTCTACTCCCACACCGGGCCCCTCGGGAAGCCGCCCTCCTGTGCAGCGACTCCAATCACTCAACAAACGCACTCCTACCGGCAGCATCCCCGCAAAGCCTTCCCCTCTCGGTAACGGTGGAAATGGGGAGCCAGCGAAGCCGACCCTCAAATACAAACCCCGCGCGGTGGGCCGGCGAAGTAAAGAGGAGCGTGAGGCTATTGAGAAGCTTGAGGCAGAGCGTCACCGGGAGCGATTGAAGGAGGCAGCGGCTATACAACGAGGCCGAGGTGGCGGTCCCGCTGGGAGAGGCGGAAGAGGACGTGGAGGTGGTCCTGGAGGTGCAAATGGACCTTTTGGAGCTGGACGAAGAGGTCGTGGAGGACGGTTTGGAGAGGGAGACTCACGGGCATCGTCCATGTCGCGGCGCAGTCGGTCTGTCATCGATATGGGCAGTGGGGCTGCGCCTCAGGATTACTCGTCGGATGAAAGTGATTCTGGAATCCGAGTTAGCATCGACTACATTAACCTCGAAAGCGATGACGAAGAATTCGATGATATGGTTGACAAGAAGAAGGGAAAGATCCCAGCCCGTAATGTACGACGGGAGAAAGGTCTGCGACCAATTCGAGTGGAAAGAGTGCCACATGAGGAGCGGGCTGTCAGTGTCAATATGGAGTCTAGCTCGAGCAAGTCAGCAGATATTCGACAAGAAGCTCAAGACAAGGCTCAAGAAAAGGCCGACGATGACGCTCTATTTGTGCAGCAAGATGATGATAGCAAGACGACCGAGCCGGAGCCACGCGTCAAGGAAGAACCCACGGATGATGGAGACCAGGTCATGACAGATGCGATCCCTCACGCCGATGAAGCCGCCGCCACAGACGATGAACTCCTCCCGGCGCAAAAGGTCAAGGTCCGTCGCAACCTGAGCCCCAGACAACAAGAGCGAGAGCAGAGGGAACAGGAGGAACGGGAACAGGCGCAGGCGCAGGCTCCGGTGGCTGCCAAGGACCCGCGCAGCCTGCTCCGCACGCGGGAGGAAATTGAAGAATTTGAGCGGCACGAACAAGACCTCGAGGCGATCAAGAAACTGTTGATTGTGGAGCAAAAGGAGGAAGAGAAGCCTGCCGAGCCCAAAAAAACGCCGCCCGATGCCCCAGAGACTACCACCGAAGACCAGCAAGATAAACCTGACGAGAAGGTCGAGAAGAAGGAAGAAGGGGCGGAAGAAGAAGAGAAAGAAGAAACAGCTGAAGATAAACTTGCTGGCCAACTATTTTTGGTGCAATTCCCACCCATGACACCTAATTTGATCGTACCTGGAACTGGCGTTGCCGAAGACGAAGAGACCACACAGAATGCAGGTGAACCAGGTGCCTCGGGAGAAGAAACTGCCGTCAAGCATGAAGATGGCGATGTGGAAGTTCTGGATGGTGGAGTGGAAACCACGCCGAAAGCACGCAAGGTGGTGACTGCCTCGGACTGGCAGCTCAGCGCAGGACGAGCCGGCAAATTGAATGTCCACGCCTCGGGACGATTGACGATGGACTGGGGTGGAATCAGCTTCGAACTGGACCGAGCAGCGACAGTGAACTTTTTGCAGGAGGCATTGGTCATGTCTACTCCCAACGCTTCGCCAGAGGAGTATGAAGAGAACCGCGTGTGGGCGATGGGACAGCTGAGTGGGAAGTTTACAGTGACGCCTGACTGGGCGAAGATGCTGTAGATATCTGGCATGACAGGTACTTTATGATAAAAAAAATGGTAGCATCGGAGTTAGGATCAATCATAACTAGGAGTTTTCACGATAGCAAGTCTCTCAACTGCATACAGCAAGTCTTCAAACTACACGAGAATCATATTCTTCTCCCACTCCCGGTCTCTTCTTTCCTTTTCGTGAGGTTCATAAAACCCTTTCCAGCGAATGCAGCATCCACACTCCACACTGCAATGCATCCGGACCTCTTTATCTGGATTACCAGTAGCATGAGCAAGTCCTTTTCGTCGTCCCAGTTTGCAGCACTGACAGCGACGACTGCAGCAACCACCACGGGCTCTGCATTCCCCAACTTCATCCTGCCACTTATCACCTTCTTCATACCCAGCCACGTATTCGGTTGCGAACGCATTCAACGGGTTTTCTTTACGCGCGGTTGTGGCCTGCTCCCAATATCGTTTCCATCGGGCATCGAGGTCTTTGCATGCCTGTTCGATGGCCTCAAGGCTTTGGGATTCTTCAGGAAAGAGGATTCCATCTGCAGCTCATCTGCATAAAATATCCCTCATCTCTGTCAAGTAAATCGTACGCTGAATGATCAAATCATGCTCCTCAGAGACAGCGTCTGTAGGCACCCGCCACAATCATATTTTTCCTCTCTTCTTCGGGCGTGAAGAGTTTGGCGACGCTGCGAAGTATGCGTGCTGAATGACGACAGTGACAAGTTTGCAGTAGATATTCAGCGAGTACAAATATGAAATTGACGATTTTGAATATTATCGTTCCTGTCAGTGATATTGACGCTCCCCCCGGGGGAGAGGCGACGAGCACAACAGCTCCGAGTATCAAGAAAAACGTCCAATAGGGGAGCATTTGGGATGATGAGGTGACGAGGTGATGGAGTGGGCGTGGGTTTGAGGCTTGGAGGAGACGTAATAGATGTAACGATCTATCCTGTGCATGGCGGTTGCCTATTGTGTTCATTACGATGCCTATATAAACTACCTACAATGTACACACTCAGTGAAGCACCAGAAACCATAGCGAGATATACATAATTTATATAGAGTATTTCTGACAATTACGATATCTAGCTCTATATCTTGTCTTATCAAGAATGCTCACTCAATCTGCATAATCCGATATAGTATACTATGTAACCACTGCAAACAGTGATAGAATAAACTTTTATTTCTTGCAGCCTGCATTTCTATATATAGCAAAGCTGACGATCTCCAACTCGGCTCCAATCAGATCCATTTATCTGATACATCTTTATTTCTTTTTATCATATTTTCTTCTCTTATTCATGCTTTTTGTCATTTTGATTTTCTCTTATCCACGCAGAACAAGAAAACCCTCAAATTACATCATACGTCCTGTAACGGTCGGCCCCCATTGGCCAGGTCTAATTCCCGTTTGGGGAAAGTCCGATGCTGATTGTTGCAAGGGTGGCTCCCAGCCTGCCCTCTGATTGGTGGAATATCCCTGACAAGCTTCCAGGGCTGGCACGAGAAAGCGATCGGCGGGCGCTAGTCCTAGACAGCGCTGACACGGCTGAATCGGACGAATCACCGCGCACGGATTGAGATACAGCCTCCATTTAGGGGTTGTGGGTGGGGCGCGCTAGCCCACTAGTGCCAGGCGCGGCGCTGTGTTTGGCCACGGGGTCTCGGCCTGTCAGCGCTCGGGATTGGCTCTCCTGGATTTTGTTTGCGTTTCCCTGATTTCGCTCTTTTCCTCTCTTTCTCGCTGTTTACTTCAACCTCACCTTTGCTGCTCTCGTTCGTCTCGCTCGTTCGTATTCTGTGCCACCGGCAGTGCGACGCCATCGTTCTGCAAGCGTTCTGTCCGCTTTTCCTTCCGTCTGTCGCTTCTGTGTATCACCAGTCGTTCAGGGTTCATCGGTTTGCTCGATCCCACATCCCAACCACCGCTATATATCCCCTCGATCGTCCCTCGCCACGCTCGTTGTTGCCCACTCCTCGCAAGCCGTCTGCTGCTTCTTCGACGGTCCGCAACTGCCAGCCATCCGATTGCGATTCTATAAAAACCCCTTACCGTCTCATCTAAGATTGCGAACTCAAAGGATCATACCACACTGATCATACAACCATGAAGACCTCAAATATCCTCGTCTGTCTCGTCCCTGCCATGGCTCTGGCAGTGGATCCTCAACACACCCCGTCTGCCGTCGCATCATCCAGTGTTTCACCTCCAAGCATCACCCCACCATACTTGTCTCCGGAATCGCGAACACCCGCTGTGGAGGATGGTCAGCCCCAAGAATCGCTGGCTGTCCGTCAAGTCCAAGTTGCCGACCAAGAGCAACCGGCCGATGCGAATGCAAACATCGGATTGACCAAGTCTACTACGACCAAGGCGCTGCGCGTACGGAGTGAAGGCACACTGGGCCAAACACCATGGATAGGCATGGCCATCGGGCTGACCTGTACGGCCCTCGCCGCAGTGATGCTGGGCTAGTTGATCTTGCCACCACCAATTCTTGAATCACGATCGAAAGCCGAGCCCCGATGGGGTTGACACCTATGCCATTGCTTTAATCTTGACGATTTCCCGACTATTTGCTTTTCGACTTCTTTTCACCTTCTCGCCCTTTCACTTTACCATTCGACTGTTCAGCGAACCATGCATTCTGGACATTGCTGCCAGACTTTGACTGTTCCTCTTGGTTGCTATTTGCTACGAGCGTATTGCATACTTGCCATTCTACGGATTGCGATGGACCGACATTGCATTTCTACCCGTTCTTGTTTTATATTTTCTTTCTACTTTTCCTTCTTCACTTCACTTCTTCAGACATACCCATCGGCAGTATAGACTCGGTTGCTGACGCCTGTTATTTGTACGTGTATATGATACCTTTTTGCTTCGTGTTAATCTTGCACGGGTGGATCTCTATCTGAGAGTATGGGACCACCGTTTGATGTATTTAGATAGAATTTCAATGGCTATACATATGGATTACGTTTTACAGACTACAGAGTACTGCATACTAATCTGTAGAACACCCGATAAACAGCTCCTGTACTTGTGATACAGTAATTCTATGTGACGATGCACAAAACATTACGGATGACTCTCAAGCATCAAGTGACATCAAACGATAGGGCTTGGCCGGATGCCACTTACGCGTGGAAGATAGCTAGTCTAATATGCGAGGACGGAGGGGGCGATTACATAGCTATACCTCCCCAGAATGAGACATATGATGGCGAAGAGAAGACACAACGCAGCAAACTATGTTTATATCTGAATGGTTGAGAGCAATGGGCTACTCGGAACTTTATCACCCAAACATCTTATTAATCTACTTAATCTGCTTTCAAGTGCTATTCATTGACGGCCTTCCTTTACCTCACATCTTCAAGAGATTTATGTGATAGGGCCGATCGAATCTTCCGGGTTGCTCGTGATTTTGGTGCTTCTTGCACCTCGGTTTGGGGATTCAGCGTCGGGATACTGAGTGTTAGGTGCAGATGGGGGTGTTGAGGTGCTCCTGTTACTGTTAGTATCATCATTATTCCCTTTATTATTAGCATCATTAGTGGTGATTATAGTCATTATAGTGGAGGGAAGAAGATGTACTTTTGGTACTGCTCCTGGGTGCTATTGGGAGGGTGCTTAGGATCTTGGAGGAAAGGTAGGAGTGGTGAAGCAGTGACGAGGTCGAATTCACGAAGCAGCAACCCGCTGCCTGGTGACTCCATTTCCTGATATCACACATACCATTTCCATACCGCATGGGGTTCTGCTGCGAGAAATGAGAGTGAATCTATTCGCAAAGATACTGATAGAGTGTCTGGCAGGATATCGTGATCCCGGCCCTTTCCAAGGACGAACGTTCAACATAGAAAGTAGGCAAGAACTCGAATTACCCCGTCAAGGAACACTCCCGGTAAAACAGCAGTCGAGGGCGATAGTAACTCGCAGTGCCTTCTTGACCACCTGGTGTAATCGCGAGGCAAGGCAGTTCGCGATCCACCAAAAGAATCGCAAAGTCGCCTGCTATCTCATTCCTATCGCGATAAACACCAGCTGGAATCTGCATCCCATGTCCAGAATAATGGATATAAGCAAAGTCCCCCTCTTGCGCATCGTTGGCTATCCTATCCAGACTCGCAGTGACATTGCCGTATGTAGGCCAGACCTCCTCTTCCTCAGTTGGATAGGGATGACCTGCATCAGGATGATTACTGGCTGTGAATGTAGCTATATCCACCGTGTCAGACTCAGCCCCGAGGCTCTCTTGATATTATCGACATCTCGAACACATCCGCGTAGACGGCTGTAAATCTCCCCGTGGAAAGTCACACCGATCAGCAGTGCCCACGGTTTTACCTGATGCTAATGAATCAACAAAGACAGACACGAGGCTGTCATCGAGATGTGCTTGCGTTTCTTTGTTGGTTCTTTGAATACGAAAGCCTCACTGCGCCACGAACATCCCTGTTGCTGATGATCTGCGGGGTTAGCCTGTTCATCATCTTAATATCATCTTCATTATCTCTCATCTGAGCAAAATAGCAAAATAGAATCATTATACCTAACAGTTACTGTATGGCATCATGGCCGAAACACCTTTCCCCAACAAACTCCCCCCATACACCCCGATGTCGTCTCTGGGTCACGAACTCGGCGTCATGTTCGGTTTCATGGCGGCCTGTTTTGTTATTATGGCTGTGTACACGTTTATCTGGCGTGGTGAGTTCTGTTCCAGGTCCAGGTTAAGTTGGGATCGAAGAAGCTAAGTCATGTGTTGGTGTAGCTGCCCAACGACGAAACGCAGAGAAAGATCTCGCCCGTCGCAAGAACTTACAAGCTAAAGGGGTGATGCGACATCGAGATGGGAATCGGGTCCATGAGAAGATGGTGGATCGACATGCGATTCCAGCAAATCGGGCTGAGTTGCCGGTTCATCAGGCTGGATAGGATATTCAATATGTAGTATGCAGTGTGTTCCTGTTTACATAAAATAGCTTTATTCTTATAAATATATATATTACCAAGTACTAGATCAGGTAAATAAAGATCATTTCCCAATAGCAACAAACAATCTATCGCCGATATCACCCAATCCCGGCACAATCATCCCCCGCTCATTACACTGCTTATCGACAGCACCCAGCCACATCTCAACACCCTCAGGCCAAGCATCGACAGCACGACGCACACCCCCCTCAGACCCAAGCACGCTGATCATGACGACCTTCTGCACACCCCATTCCCGGAGGAGGTGGATGGCAGCTTCGGCGGTGGCGCCTGTCGCGATGATAGGGTCGAGAAGGACGGCGATGGAGGCAGCGGCAGTGTTGGGGGCTGAGGGTGAGGTGGCTGTTGAGGGACGCTGGAAGGGGAGGTTGTTGTAGTATTCGACTGGTTGGAGGGTGACACGTTCACGGAAGAGACCTAGGTGGTAGATTGGGACGGAGGTGGGGAGGAGGTCGTTGATTGCTATATCATGTTACTTCTTTCTGTTCTCTTTTTATTACGTTGTACGGAATGAGGGGTAATACCATCGACCATGCCCAAGCCAGATCTGAGAATGGGAACAATAGCAACATCGTTCTCGATACCTTGGGTTTCGTACTCGATGCCGAGAGGTGTTTTGTCCTATCATATATCAGAGATTTTTGAGGAAATAAAAGGAAAGAAAACCCACAGTTCCACTCTTGTTCGCCTTTAACCCAGTTGCAAAAGCCTCGACACCCAAGATGGTGGAGATCTCAGTGACGAGAGTCCTGGTTTCACGAGTAGTGGTGGATTGCGAACGGAGGAGAGAGAGTTTAGCTTGGAGACAAGGATGAGAGGAGATACGGATACTAGATGGGAGAGACATGATGGAGATGTATTCTAATAGATGGAGTAGATGAGAGATAGAAAGGAAGAGGAAGAGAAGAGGGAGAAGAGAGTGAAGGGGAACAAGTCAGAAGAGGGGAAGAGGGGAAGAATGCTATGTTGTCAGGATGCAGGACAACAACACTGCATGGAAGGTGGAAGAATCTGCATATTTATTATGACTGTGATTATATCTACTTTGCTTTAAATACAATAATAGATAGATAATTCAACAACATCAGGATAATCAAGATAATCAGGATAAAGATACAAGAAGATACAAGCTGTTCCCCTCATACTGATAAGCAGATCGACATTGACCCACTTGGAAGCTCGCGTTTTCCACTCCAACAACTTGCCAGATTCTTCCCTCTCAATCTCCCTACGATGTGATCACTGCGATGCCTCATCAATGCTAATGCTAATATAATATAATATACTAATTTAATAAAAATGCCTGCAGAACAACCTCTCTCAGAAGAAGCCGCTGCCTCTCCAGTCCCTCCCACCAAAGAGAACAGCCTCAACACCAACGCCTATCCCCAACCTCTCTCGGAAACCACTGCTCCTCCTCCCATCTCTCACGATGCAGAACAGCGCAATCTCTGGGCTCCAACAACAGCCTACGCGCCTCCCATCGAACCGACTGAGCCCAAACCCATCACAGAACCTCTGTCCGCGCAGGCCACCCACCTCTTCACCCTCTCCTATCTGGTCTTTTTCGCCATCTTTGGCACTTTGGCTCGTCTCGGATTACAAGCCCTCACTTTCTATCCTGGTGCGCCTGTCGTGACGGGTGTGTTGTGGGCTAATGTCGGGGGTAGTCTGGTGATGGGTTTCTTCCTCGAAGACAAGAACCTCTTCGCCGAGGAATGGGGAAATATCAAACACAGGGGGGAACCAGCGAGCGAACACGAAAAGCACGAACGGGAAAAGAAGCACAAAGCAGTCAAAAAGACCATCCCGCTGTATATAGGCCTCACCACCGGTTTCTGTGGCTGCTTCACCTCCTTTTCCTCCTTCATGCGCGACGTCTTCCTGGCTCTCACCAACGCCCTCCCCAGTCCGTCGTCGGATACCATCGTCTCGCGCAATGGCGGATACAGCTTCATGGCTCTCGTCGCCGTCATCCTCATCACCGTCGCACTCTCTTTATCCGCTCTCATCTTCGGCGCGCATCTCGCTCTCGCCCTCGCCCCAATCACACCTACCGTTTCATTCCGGTTTATGCGCAAATACATCGACCCTGTCGTCGTCTTCCTCGGCTGGGGCTGCTGGCTAGGCGCCGTCTTCATGGCCATCTGGCCCCCAGATCGCGGAAACACAACTGAACACTGGCGCGGACGCGCCATCTTCGCGATCGTCTTCGCCCCGCTCGGCTGTCTCCTCCGCTTCTACGTCTCGCTGCTTCTCAATGCGCGCATTCCGTCCTTCCCGCTGGGTACGTTTACAGTCAACATCTTCGGAACCGTCATCGAGGGCATGTGCTATGATCTGCAACACGTGGGTGGGATCGGAACCGTCCTTACAAGCTGCCAGGTTCTTCAGGGTGTCATGGATGGATTCTGTGGCTCTGTCACGACGGTCAGCACATGGGTTTCTGAGCTGAACGGTCTGAGTCGTCGTCGCTATGCTTATATCTACGGAGTTTCTAGCGTTGCAGTCGGACTGGGCTTTCTCGTCGTGATTATGGGTTCCTTGGGATGGACAATCGGATATAAGAGTCCGATTTGTGAATAACTCAACTAGACTGATGTACATACACTACCTATTACCACATAATAATAATACCTACCCCATCTCAACTAACCCAACAAACATTCTCGAAAGCATCACCCTCTCATCCCCTTCACTATCCCCAACAACACCCAAACAAGCACTCAAGTACCCCTCCCGGAAACACCCCCATAGCTTCGCATCCAGCCCAGGTCGCGGGAAAAACGGATCGTTACCCCAGTACGCTTTCACGGCCTGTCGAACACCATCTTCGTCCATGCTTATCGTTCGACAGAGGTCGAAGTCGAGGATCCACATTGTATGTTCCCCAAGGGGGTTGGTCGCTGTTTGTCCATCCCCAGAGGGAGAAGGAGGAGGCGCAAGAACAAATTCCACATCATTCGCATCAACACCAACGCCCCAATGCAGTATCGCCAATGTCTCCCCCATAACAGTCGCATACCACTGCACCAACCCCGACTCGCCAAGTTCCAACTCCTCCATCTGATCCAAATGAAGCGGATAATTGCGCAACGAAAACGCCTGAAACCTCCCTTCTGTCGACTTTTTCGACCTTTTCGATGTAGGCGTATGTAATCTCCGGCCTAGATACGGTCGGATCAGACAATCGCGATTTGTCGCGCTGGCAAATATCTCATCTTGTAAAGTCGCCGGACAGTATTTCGATATTAAGGTTTCGCGGGTTGCGCGGGGAATGGCGGGGATGCGCGATACTTCGATGACGTTGCAGGGGGAGGAGCCTTCGGGGAAACGGGGGAGGTTGGTGGTCCACCATGGGTCGGAGGGGGAGATGAAGCGGTGGCATTTGGGGAGATGGATTTGGATGTTGATGTTGGTATTGGTGTTTTCGCGGAGGAGCTGGAGTTTGCTTTCGATGAGTTTGTGGATGGTGTAGTCGTGGTGGAGGGAGCGACTGGGGCCTCCGTCTTCGCGTTTGTAGGCTATCGCAGGCTCAGATGAACTCGTCCAGACTGTGCCGCAGAAGCCGGCGCCAATACGGTGGAAGGAATTCATTTGTGAAGTGGATGTTGAAGCTGAGGTTGTTCGAAGTCAAGTTGTTAAGTTTTACGATTACAAACCATGTCAGGTGAATCCCCGCCAAATATCTGTATTTTGTTGCGCTCAAATTAACTATAGTACAGGGTACTACAACGCGAGACATGTTCAAAAACATCAAGGCAGCAGATAAACATTAACACAAAGATTTCCAAGAATCAGAAGAACAGAACATAACGGACGATGCCAATAATCAAAACGAAGACGTTGCGGGGAGGAGTCAAAACATTGCAGGCGGGGACGGCGTAAACACATAACAATCAGAACGAATCTAACGCAGGAACAAACATTAAGACCAGTGCCAAAACAATAATGGTTAAAAGTGTATGGGAAAGGAATGACTTGAAGACTAAAAATGGGCAGAATGAGTATATAACGAACAAGGTATCAAAATGGCCAAGGGACAAATCGACTGGCAAACTGACCAAACACGCTGATGCGCAGAAGTAATAAAAGGGCACTAAGAATTAAGGGTGTAAAAGAAGAAAGGAAGAAGGGTAAAGAAGAAGAAAAAGAGGAAAAGGGAAAAGAAAAGACAAGAACTCCTCCAAGTGCTAAAAGGGAAGAACACACAGGACCAGCCGGGTGTCGAGATGTTACCTGAAAAAGGAACAGCCCATAAAAACACGAAAATGACCACACCGGACTCCTGTGAGCTCTTGCAAATAAGAAAAACCAACAGGAAGAACCATGATAACGCGGTGAAAAACATCGCAAAGCAGATGAAAATATCACAATCAGTCGGGAAACCACCAGCAAGGAGCATTATGCGGCGGTCCAGATCGTCGTGTTCCATGGCCGGAAAACACACATTACCGCCCAGCTCCTGCTAATCCGTTCCCGACCCTTCCCTGAGTTCCGAAAATCCGCCAGTGTCCCAATGAAAGAGCTGAATGCCAAGGAAAACGAAAATGAAATAATAACCATGAGATCCTACATGGAAGCGCCGGTATAGCGCAACCCATTAGAATGTAGGAGTTATAGGCGACTCAAGTGAGCCTCGGTAGGGACTTAATAGGCAGTCCCTACACTAGCAAGCGTCTTGGTCGGCATTGGGTGAATAGGCTGGTCCTTGCTGACGCGCAATGAGTCTTCGTAGCCGACCAGGGCCTGGGAGTGGAGTTTGAAGGATTCGCCCATGAGCTTGGTAATTCTATAGATATGTTAGTGATGTACATCAGATAGAGTATCCGAGAAAAACTTACCCCCAGACAACCACGCCGTCCAGGATGTTACCCCATACACGGGCAACAGTGGAGCTGAGTTTACCAAAGGCATCGACAGCGTCATCATCAAACAGATTGCGAACCTTGTTGTAGATGGCCAACTCAGCCTCGGTCGCTGGCTCCTCGTCGTGTTCCAGGCGGTAGAGCCAGAGACTCAAGATGACCATCAGATCGAGGCCGCAGAGCGGATGCTCGACACTCCAGTTGGTAGCCGAAGTCTTTGCAACCCAGTTGATCCCTTGGATGGCTGCGATTTCAATGCACTCGAAGCAGGACTGGATAACCTTGTTCATCTCCTGCGATCGCTTGACCTTTTCGCGAGCGACGGTCATAGCGGCCGCAACCTCGTAAGAAGAGTGGTAGCGCATGGCTTCCTGGATCGACTTGAGGTCAACTTCCAAGCGAGCGCGGGTGTTGCGGTACATAGCCATGGAGTTGAAGATGAGGGGGTGGCCCTTTTGAGGAGTGCTGAGAGGCACAACGATTGTCTCTGGCTCGCAAACCTCGAGCGAGTTTTCCCAGGTCTCCAATGCGAGGCGAAGCTTGTACTCGGTAACGACGTCCTGGAGAGCTTCAAAGCTTCTCTTGTGGTTCCAGACCTGCAAGAACAGGGCGTTGATCAAGACACGAGTAGCAAAAGCGCTGTATCGGGTCTGCTCGCCTTGGAAGAGACAGTCGTGGGCTTCGCGAACTGTAAGCGAGGTGGCAGTAGACAAGCTGCGGTTCCATGCCTCATCATCGGTGGTATCCAGGTTCCAAAGAGACTCGGAAGAAGGAAGCTCGAGGTTGTCAAATTCGTCAAAACTCATTGCTGGAGTGTGGTTGAAAGTCAACGTGAGCATGCCGAAAAAGATGTAAACCGCGTAGTAGGTTCGGCGGCACGATTCGTCCTCGATCCATTCTTCCCTGGTCGGTTGAACACCTCCGCGAGCCTCGGATCGCAGCTTCAGCTGGTATCGGTTTCCGGCAACCATGTTGGCGAGGAGACTCTTGATCGAACAAGTCCATTCCAGACCCTTGGGGTCGCCACTCCAGCTCTCGAAAATCATATTCAACAAGGTACTCTGCATGGCCCACAATGGACATTTTCTAGAGTCAAAGTTATCTTTATGTTGCAAGAATTGGGTGACAAGGATCTTGGATCCAACATGGAGGGTGAAAGCATGCTCGCGCTCAAAAGTGTACAAGGCACCGATAGAGAGGACAGCCAGTAGCAAGGGAGGCGATGCCATAGTAGGCCTGAACGATTCCTGGTGAAGGAAAGGCAGGTGGGGGTGGTACAAGTTGAAGTAGGTCGACAAGTACCGGTTCAGCGATGCAGTCGAGGGCAATTGGAAGGATTCGGGCAGCGCGCCAAGGGCATCAGCGTTGCGAATGCGTTCGACGACCATGTTGCGCTCGATCTCGCTTGCGATTTGAGGTGCTTTGGGCAGCGTCAACGCTTGGCTGGGGCCAGGCGATCGCCTGTAGTTCACCGGGCTGACAGGGCCAGTCATGGATGGGTAAGGCGACAGCGCGTTGGGGGTAGAGTTTCCAGACATGGGCAATGAGCTGACGAGGGAGTGGAGCGAAGGTGCAAGGGCGTCACCGACGGCACCATGCCGTTCGATGTCCTGGCCACTCTCTTGTGCGGTAAAGCTCGAAGCCATGGAAGGCTGCTTGGCGTCTGCGGGGGAGACGAGGGTGTCCCAAGGCATTTGGGGGAGAGTCGCATTGCCTGAGAGGTACGCGACGGGGGGTTCCAGCAGTGGACCACGTCCGGGAGAGAACGAGCGGTCGGATTCAGCACGGTCATTTGCCTGATTGGTAACGGCAGCTGCGGCCTTATGTTGGAAATCTGTCATCAACATGGCTGCAGTTTCAAGGTCGACCATACCATCACTGCTTGCCTCAATTTGCTCTAATGTGGCAGGATCAATTGTGATCGAGGGCTTGGCGGGGGCGGATGGTGCAGGGGATGACTTCTGAACACCACCACCGCCACGTCTGCGGCCCTCAGCAACCAACGGTATCCCACCATCTTTGGCGTGAACAGTACGGTCATGGCGAAGGAGAAGGTCACGACGAACGAAGGTACTCCGACATTTTAAGCACTTGAAGGGTCTCTCTTTGGTATCTGCAGGGCATTAGTACTAGAAGGCTAGGCTGCGCGAAGGAAGAAGACTTACGGGAACGTTCATGTCTACTGCGATGTTCACTTCTGGAAAAAGCGCGATTGCAAAATTGGCACTTGTATTTCTTCTCTGGGGCATTTGCTTTTTTGGCCGGGGAGTTGTTGGCCTGGTTGGGAGCTGTAGGAGCCATGTCGTAAGACGGAACAGAACGGCAGGGCCACGATTATCTTCTCAGCAGAGGGTCAGCGACAAGGTAGTCTGCGGTATTGTCCCTTTGGTGAGTTCAAATCGGTTCTGAAGGCGAGTTGACGACAGGAATTCGGTTTGATGTCTGATCATTCCTTGAGCGGGGGAATTATTGTAGGAAGTGAATCCAGTATTGAGGGGGTCCAGCCACAGGCGGACCGAGGGGAAAGTAGAGGTAGTCGTAAAGAAACCCAGGAAGACTAAAGCACACAAAACACCGCGGGGAGAGAAGAGAAAGATTATGTTGAATGATTATAAGAAGAGAGAGTGAGAGAAGTGAAGGAGGAGGGGGGGGAAGAGAAAAGAAGAAGAGGGGGATGTTGAATAATGGAAGAAAGAGGGAGAAGAAGGGGAGAAAAGAAGAAGAGAAGTGGGAGGAGTCGAAAGAAGTTTGGTTTAGGTAAAAGAGAGAGAGAAGAAAAGAGAGAGTGAGAAGGGAGCGAGGGGGGAAACGCCGGCGAGAGAGAGGGGGAAGTGCGAGAAACCCACGCGTGGCCGTGGGCAGAAGCGGACAAAAGAGTCGGGCGATCACAGTGAGGCGGGCAGCAAAGAGTGGGCGAGGGGCAACCGTCGGCCATGAGGGACTGGCGGGGAGCAGCACCACCGGGAAGGATGCGTGGGCCACGCACTGCAGCTCTACTGCCACGGGCTGCAGGGCTGGCGGCCAATCAGACGCGTGGAACCCTGTTCTGACTAACGGGCTAGGCAGAAAAGGGGTTAGCGCCGCAATCGGGCGGACTTCCATACAGAAGCAGAACCACCAAAACAAACCCACATGGACTAACCCGTCAACCGGGACTGACTAACAAGAGGAGAAATGATATCAATATCCATTATTAGGTACGATGTATTGCGTTGTTCCTTACTCTAGTTGTCTGTACTGTGTGTGTTGGTTGTCTACCGTAGGTAATGCTGTCCACAGAAGCTAGGGTGGCATCCCTGTCCAGGGGCCCCTCGCTCAGTTTCGAGCTGGGCTAAGATTTGATGCTGTTAATATCGATTATTTCATTGTGGGTTGGTCTGGTATGACTGCAGCTCCATACGGTATGGTATGTAACTCTGTTCGATGGGTACGAAATCCTCTCCTCCATCGGTCCATCCCTACTATCATCCCTATCTGACAGCGCAGAACCACAATCTTGGTACATCGGCTGCGGGGCCGTCTTTTTGCTTCCTGTTTTTCTCTCTCATTTTCTCAATAATTTCCGTTCAGCTTGGCCTTAGGGCTTTTTCTCAGCCCCTCTTCTTTTTGAGCAAACGCGACTTTCGCCCCTCGCCCCGCCCCTCGACAGGGATCTTAGTACTGACAGTACATAAGTACTTTTCTACACACTCAGCTTGTCTGATAGACTGATAGAAAATGGTCTATGAGGATCTATCATATAATATATTAATATTAATTTAAATAAGTAGTACAGAGTAATGTAGTACAGACTTTTTTTCTTTCATCTTTGTTCTTTTGTTTGTAGATCTACCCCTCCTGTCCTTCCCCTCTATCCACCCCTCGGCTTGAACCCCTCCTTACCATCGTAACCAAAACTCCATCCTCGTCCCGTGCGGTGTGCACAGGACAATTCTCACCTTGAAGCGATGCCGATGGGGTTGGATGTATGTCGTAAGAGCCCAACAAACAGTTGGCAAATAAGAGGCCATCACCGATCAATAGTGGTCGCAGCTGTCCATGTTGATCAATCTGCCGTGTTCCAGACTCCTGTCTTCCCCTTTCACTCTCTCTGCTTCCTGTACCTACTGACTAGCTTGCCGTCTATGGCGAGAGCTAATCTCGACTTGCCAGGTAGAGTATCGACTGTACATTATTGGGGTCGATCCTCTGGGCCAAATCAGGGATCCCTGACAGCGTCATCATCGACCTTTCGATGATGTGATGCCCCTCTGATTGACAGATCACCAGATACCTACATCCACGCTACACAGTTGACTGTAGACACTGTGTACACATTTTTGAAATTACTGTCTCAGGTCACCTGCACTCACGTCCAAATCTGAACCCACCGATACAGAACGGTATTTACTCGATCTTCAGATGCAAGCCTGCATCACCAGTGCCACTATTGTTTCTGTTTTTGGGGCCCTGGTTTCCACGATTCCGATTCCACGATTCAATGCCACATGCACACCAAGTGGGATGGCTGTGGCTGCCTGTCCTGCAGCCCAGCAGCCGCCGCCTAACCAGCCTCACCTCGGAGACGCGCTCTCGTTCCGCGTTGCCCTTCTGATCCACTATACAGTACCCCTCTTCACTCCCCTCTTATGCCTCCCCTCTCCCCTCCTCTTGCCCCTCTTTGATTATCATGGATCTATGGTCTCCATTATTTGATATTGAATACAATTACTTTATCGAGTACATTATTCTATCTACATAGGTAGTAACTACTATCTAGTATCTACCTGTATCTACAGTACAGAGAACGATCCGTAAACTCCCGGGTGGGGCAACCAACAGCAGCCGGAGATTCCGTCCAACACGGCTAGTTACTTGGGAAACGCACATGACCTCGAGTTCATACCGCCTTTGTCTCTCGATCTATCCTGTTCATGACGTGTGGACTGTGGATTTACACAGTGGACTCACATAGGAGGTTTATTATCATGATGCTGTGCATATCATATTCCCAACAGTTGAGGCTGCTGCACATGTACCTGACCTGGCTGTCTGTCTGTTGGCTGCTCACCGCTCTCTGGCAGATCGAGAGCGGTGAGTCGGCGAGCTTACGCTTTGAGGAAAAGAAGGTGACGCAGGCTTCGAAGCGGGACATTCGGCCTTTTCTCACACGTCCAGCCCCTCGTTTTTTTTTTTTTTTTTTCCATTTATTCAGGGAAAAATAATAATAATAATAATATGAAATGAAAAATCTATTCGACTATCAGTTATTGAACAGGGATGGTAATCCCTACGAGAAAATGGAATTTATTATTCTTTTTCCTGCATCCCTCCACTTTCTTCCCTCCCGACATGCAGCGGTCCGACCCAGGCAGACACACGAATCAGCAGCTGATGCAACATTTTGTATCTGTACGGAGTACTCTGTAGGAGTACGAACTCATGGTGGATGTAGAATACTGAATACCTAGTTGGCTGCTAGTACATACCGATCGTGATGGATCAGGATTCCCGATCAATTTCCCGACTAGTCCTCATTCCTGGATATTGACTGGGAAGATAGTCAGAGTAGGGCTAGAGAATCCTCCTTACTGCACGTACCCGCCATGAATATCGCCAAAAGTTCTTCTTCTGCAATGGATCTACAGTCACAAAGTCTGAAAGAGCAAGACAAGATGACTCCACCAGGGTACCGTTGCAGCATCAGGAACCTCTTCCCCGGCGGCCCCGTTCCTCGAACTAGTGAAATCACCTCGGCCGTTCCTTGGCTGGATGGCGATGGATGAGGGATCCGCTTTTTCCATCGTCCCGACAACTTCTGGTTCTTTTTTTTTTTTTAATTCTCTTCTTCTGGCCGTCTGGTAAACGGTCTGGAATTCCCAAATGTAGACATCACTTTGGAGTCGGTGAGGCCCTGTCCTGGTGGGATGTTGACCGCTTTATTATTCTTATGTCTTATGGACACAGAATAATTGTTTTGTACACATGACAGTTCAAGTTGGGCATCATCCCGCTTTCTTTCTTTCTTTCTTTCTTTCTTTCTTATTTTTGACAGTCTGTCTGTTCTCGGATGGTCCACCGTTTGAGGATATCCACAAATTGATCCTGTGATAAACTTTGTCAGTTTGTCTCGGAAATATGATGAAATATGAATAATGGATTTCGCCTTTTTTTTTTTTTTTTCTTTCTTTTTTTTTTTTTTTTTAATTTTTATTTTCGTACGCGACGCGTTGTGTGTCCCTCGCTAAAAAAGAGGATCTTCGAAACTTCCGGGGAAGCCTAAGTTACATTAGTCTGTCCTTTTCCTTCTTTGAGGCTTCTAGAGTATCGACTGCAAGTATCTCGAGAATATGATATTCTACATATCTATTACCTATAATATGATTATAGATATATATACTGATAGAACCATGGAATCACCACGATACCCGGTGTTCGATCCATGGTTCATTCCCGCTAGGGCAATGTAGGTACCATCACATACTGTCGCTGTGTCGACCGCCTCAAGCGGTGTCGCAAAACCTGCCATTCCCTGTCAGCCAGCCAGCGCTTAGTTAGTAGTTAGTAGTGTTTGGTGACCGCTTCTTTATCCTTCGTTTTGGACCTATCGTTGAGAATGTGTTTTCTACTTGATACTCGACTGGGTGTCTATCGATCTATCAATTATTCTATTATTCATCTACCAGGTATCATCGCCGCTGCTATCTGAGACCTGAGTCCTAGACATGAAGATCAAAAAAAGAAATAATTCATCTCCGTCTATACCGCTCCCCACTCACACCTGGTCCTAGCAGGTTCTAATTGGACTGAAAAATCCTTCTCGAAGGCGCAGTGCCGGGTTCTGCGACATCCGATGTGCCTGTTAATCTTACCAGCGGCTTGGGATGGTTGAAGGCTGAAGCCGAGTCCGAGGGGGGGTGGGAAACTTCATCCATCATCCAGTGAGCTGAGCTGACTGAGACTGAGAGAAAAGGGGTACATACAAGGCAGACAGGATTAACGGGATCGGGATGATCGTTCCCATATCCGCGGAACCCAAGGGGCTGGTCCGATTGCTAGATTGGAATTTGATAGATAGATATTTCCATTTCCATTTCCATAGTCGCGATAGTCAGTGGGTGGTGGTTGGGATGATTCCTATTGATTCATTCATCTTTTCATTCCGTAATCTGCAGTAACTCCTGTTGGACAAGACTGGAGTTACTCCATCCGTCTCTTCACATCCAGTGAGGAAGTGAAAATCGATTTCAATAATTTAATCACCCCCTTTCGATGGATAAATCTCCCCTCCCTCTTTTTTTTTTTTTTTTTTTTTTTTTTCTCTTGGGGGGGCATTCCTTACCCCCCTCCGTAGTTATTCTGTACTCCGTGGTTATTCTGTATCTGTCCTTTTGCCACCCCTTGCTGAATACCCCTCCATTATTGCGTGCATGGTTTCTCGATTATCGAGTCTAGTGGGTGTAAGGGATCGTGGCGGAATTGGTTCCTGGATTGTTTTATTGATTGTTTCAGATTGTTATACTGTATGTTTACTGTGAATAATAGGTAATTATATGCAGTATTATATGTATGTATGTTGGTTGATTTGTTTATGGAGGTTGTGGTTGGTATATATATTTGGTGATGGTGACTATTTGTCGTGTTTGGCCAACTGAGTTCATTCGTGGTGTATAGGTATTGGGATTTCCATTTGAAAATGATGCTTCTAGTTTTAGTCGAATATGTTGGTTATTATGGCATATTCTTTAGTTTTAATAATGATGGATATTCGTGAAGAGGGTACTACAAGGTGTTCGTCATTATTGTAGTATGTCGAGTCTGACTTGAGTACAGTGATTCAAAGAGACCACTGGAAGGTTTATATAGATGTACTGAAATCAGGCTATAAATGAAGTAGCTAATATCTGTCTTTGACTATGTTAGTAGGGTCTGCCGGTATAGGGCAGAGTACAAGAGTCCAGGATATCAAGTGCTTGCTAAAGTCTGAATCATGTTCATGCAGTGCGTCTACTAGTCGATATATCACTATGAAAAGTAGAGAATGGGCTCACTTGTATAGATAGACAGGTGTGTACAATATAATAAGGGTTGTTTATTTGGATATACTGCTGATGATGTTGAATGAAGTAGATGTTTATATTATGAGCATATGCAGATTCGTATAAAGAACCGAGATATGCTTACTTTAGAGACAGCATGGATAGACTGTTTTATAGCAAATCTATACTCAATCACTGGTTCAGTCGCTGCAAACCATTTCTTCATCGATACACCAATTACTAAAGCCAGCTTCATCCAATCTGACCTGCGATGATTAATAGACGATGGAGAAGTCATAGCTCCTTCTATCTTCTTCCTAAAAGGTTCATATGGCGTGAGAATGACGGCGGATTATGGGTGTCAGCCTATGACAAATTCAGCCTATACTGCAGAGAGCAGAGCATCTAACGATGGAGGCCACAGGATTGTTGGGACATGGAGCTAATAGTAGTGTATACTGACATTGGTCAATTGCAAACTTGACCAATATATACACCTGTCTCGTTATGATTAGTAGTGAGGTATCGGCTGCATTGAACTAACACCTCCTGGCTAGAGTAGACAATTTCATGGGAGCAGTCTATATTCTGACAGTACATTCGATTGACGACTCCCCGATTTCTTGGGGTACTTTGGCTTTTGTGAAGAGGACAGGACATGCTTCATATTCTCTGCTCTTATATTCACCCAGGATGACCGATCAGATAAAAGGGAGAAAAGACATCTTTGCATGAAGCCCAAGTCTACAAACGGGGAGTTTCGCCATTGTGTTCAGAGATCGATGTTGACGTGCGACACTTGATAACCACCAAATGCAATTGTTGACGATGAACGGGCTCTCAGAAGACGTGCTAAGACTGTCGTACCATCATTAGCACTGAACTGTAAATGCAGACTAATATTGTGGTCGATTGAGATACTCATTAACTCATCTGAGAATCGTTTATCCGGAGTGAGACTTGCTGCCAAGGAGAATATCTATAGCATGGATATCATGCCGTTAAGATGCCAGTCACTGTCAAACATACAGATGTTGATGCGATGAAGTTCATTCTCAGTCCAAGCAAGCATGCCCAAATCGAGGCATACAGCCGTATCCAAAACAGAGGCCAAAAAATAGACCATAGACAGGTCAGATAATCACATGCTGATGGTTGGCTGCCTTCCAGATGCCTTGAATAGCTCTAGTCCGTGCAGATTCAAATAAGGACATAATTGCGAGCCATTGCGGGTGAGGCAGTCAATAGGAAGAAGAGGTGCTTGGGCCAGTGCTGAATCGAGGCCGTCCTCCGCAAGGTTCAGATCAGATGCAAAGATGAGGCATTTGAAGAGATGAATTGAGTGAATTGATTGCTTTGAAGACGTAAATCTGGGCAAGGGAATTTCGTCATTTTTTAACTCTTCCGGGTATTTGGTTAGAGTTGATCGTCGTGTGCATCGCAATCTGGATGCCGAAAGTCGAAACATATGGTACGTCTGCATAAATCAGAATCATTTTCATCAGCATCATCCAGGTTTATTGAAGTTTATCGACGCATCCACTACCCCGGGTAGCCCAGGCTGACTCGTGGGACATCGCAATCAAAATAATCAGACCAACGACTCCAACGGCGTCTCGTGGACGGATGAAACGGCTTTTTGCCAAGATGTCAAGTAGCGGGTCTTTTTATTTATCAGCAGTGTTATTGTATAGTAGTGTATAATTTATTACTGTATAATAGTGGCGTGTGAATCAATAAAGGGGAGTAGAAGATTCATATAGTGGAGCCATTATTAAAGCACGATCAATGAATGTAGAGGATGACAGGATATTTTGGGACTGGATGACATGATATGGGATGTCACGTTGATACATGATCGATAGACATAAACAGCAGTTAAGCAATGGCTTTATATTCTATAGATTTCAGAGTGTTAATTGTACACTGATATATTTATGCTGACTCTTACGTAGTAGTATGTTCTACATATACTCCGTAAGCCCTCTGAAAGACTTCTAGACAGCAGACTTGATAAACTCGCATACACCTGCATAGATCCACAATGGTACTATTGCACTCGACCTGTCTGATACGGAGGATTGTGGCAATGCGTCACCCCAGGACCATCCGTGATCATCACGTACGACAATAACATCGATTATAGATCAATAGACCATGCCACTGTGACTCCAACCCCCCAAAACACGAGCCTCGATGAACAGAGTTTGACATCGTCATTATTGATGTATTATTGCACTCCACTCCTAGGTAGGGACGCACCTGGATATACCTTCGTAATCAACTGAGCCACTCAGTCTGAGCCTCTGAAACCGAGTCGACGGTCTGGACTCTGGCCAACATGAGGGCATCCAGAGATCAGGGGCTCTACCGGACAAGAACGCTCGTGCTCCTATAGTGTACCCGCTTTGGTGGTCAGTTCTTTTTTAGGTGCTATTTCAGTGCAATATTACCGGGACAGCTAGTATTACCAATACACACCCTGTCACTGGGCACTGAGCTACTCGAGGCAATTAGCAAGATCAAGGCAATCATCAGGTAATATCTCAAAAGTAATCATTTACTACATAACTTTTAATAACTGCCTAGGTACACACTTTGTAGTACTCCGTATTATGTAGTAATAATATTACCTATGTATGAGTAATAACTACCAGGTACTACCTAGGGTAATGTCTGTCGTATTGTAATGTATGTAATACAGATAGCCTTATCCCCCCTCTTGTCTCTCTCCTTGTGCTCACTTCCCCCCCTCTCCTTCACGGTCGGTGTCCACCACCTCATCTTCTTCTCTCTTCCCCCCGAAATTATCCTCTCCCCTTCCTCGTGTCTTTCCTTTTTTTCCCTTTTCTCTCTTTTAATACTACTTCATATCCCCCCTTGTCACTTTTTCTCTCTTATCAGTGATATCAGTTGTCAGCTTTGCTTGCTTGGTCCTGTCAGCTGCGCATTTTCAATCGGACAACTCCTGCCTCCGAACAGACCGCCTCCCGCAGCTCAATCTGCAATCACACCACCCCTAATTTCTACCGCTATCCTTCCCATCTTCACACCTTAACCTAGTCATGAGCAACGCCTTCTTTTGAGTTCGTCCAGCAGTCAACGGGAGACGCACTCTTCTAGCCCACCCCCCGGTGCAGCGTCAATTGCTGTGACGCTCGATGCACGACACTCGTGTGGCAGAGCCCTTGGCCGTCGATACCAGATCCGCCCTGGCGACCAAATCCGGGACTTTTGCGACCGCCTTCGAGTACTCCGAGCAAGTGTCCACCCCCACGACTGATACACCTCCGAGTCGCAGTCGGGGAAATAGTCTTTCCTTTCAGCAACATCAACAACAGCTGCAGCAGTTTGATTTTGTCGGTCAGTCGCCCATGAAAATGACTAGCGGTGCGGGCTACTCGCCCAGTCCCGAACCGGCTCCCGCCCTGTTCGTGCGAGCCATGTATGATTATGACGCAGACGACCATACCAGTCTTAGCTTCCAACGAGGCGATGTCATCCAGGTTTTGAACCAGCTCGAGACCGGCTGGTGGGATGGTGTCATCAACAATAACGTTCGCGGTTGGTTTCCCAGCAATTATTGTACTGTAATCACAGACACAGCAGACCTGGAGGATCAATTATCACACGCTCGCGAAGATGGAGAGTTCAGCGCCGAATCCGGTGTCGAAGAGGAATATGAAGAGGAACATGAAGATGAAGAGGTTGACTCGGAAGGAAACCCCCGCGATTCACAGCCCATTCTGCCCATTGAGGGCCCGGGGCCATGCTCGAGTAATGAGCAGGAGGAAGCCGCCTTTTGGATCCCCCAAGCGACCCCCGACGGTCGTTTGTTCTACTTCAATACCCTCACCGGATACAGCACAATGGAGCTGCCGTTTGAAAACCCGACGTCGGCAAACGAAACTGGTCCCCGCGACCGAAACAACTTCTTTGTTCCCGATCAGACTCGACCGCCACCGGAGATGATGGCTCGTGGCTTCGAGCGTGACGAGGATGACTACGATGGCTCGGGCTCTGAGGCTGAGGGCGAGTCGTTGATGCTTGCCTCCCACGACTCCATGTCCCGGAGACGCCAGTCGCTCATGGATGGGGTTTCGCCTGCTACTTCGATGGACTCCTTGCATCCCCCGTCCGCCACCAAGTCCGTCCATGACAGACAGTCCAGAAGCCCGCGGAAGATGTCGAATGCTGCAATTTCCGTCACGGACTTCCATCGTCCTTCGATCTCGTCGGAAGCTTCCACGCACTTTGTCGATGACGGTGCTTCAGTTCCTCTTACCTGGCCCTTGCTCATTGACACCATGCACAATGCTATCGACTCATACCGCCAAACGCTTTTGAACGGTGACCGTTCCGAATATGTGAGAAAGGCCGAGGACATCTCAGATCACCTCCGCATGCTCCTGGCCGCTGGATCGGATACGACCGACAATCATTCCGGAAACCCGTCGATCATCTCGACCAACAAGGCCCTGTACCCCCACTTCAGGGATATGATGTCCAAATTTTCCAAGCTGGTCCTCTCGTCGCACATTGCTGCAGCCGATTGGCCGGGTCCAGACTCGGTCAACAAGTGTCTGCAAGAAGCCGATGGAGTCATGCATGGCGTCTACGGTTACGTGGATGTTGCAAGAAAGCAACGCGGGGAGACTATTCACCGCACCATCCCCGGCTTTGTGATTGGCAGCACCTCGGGCGGCTGTTGGCAGAACAACGGTGTTTCCTTGACTGAGGCGGGTCCAACCTCGTTTCTGGACCAGGATGGCGGCGACTCGCGTGCTGAGCCATCCGTGCCCCTGGACTCGGCATTGCTGGACCACATTGACATCCTCAGGAGATCCTTTGTTGGCAGTATTCGTCGGCTGGAGGAGCGGTTGACCCTGAACCAAAAGAAAATCGTGACGCATGCCCAACAATATGAAATTGGTGACGCTGTGTCTGCTGCTGCGATCCGGGTTGTCGAGCAATTCCGCCCATGGCTTTCTGCCGTCGAGGCGATCAACCTGGCACCTCTTGGCACGAGCTTCCAGAACCCCCAACTGGTCGACTTCAGTCTGCAAAAGCAGCGGGTCTACGATGCCATTGCCGATTTTGTCTTGAGCTGCCAAGCAGTCTCGGCCCCACTTGGGGATGAATGGGCTGAGTTGCGCAGCGATTCACTTGACGACCGGCTGAACGCTGTCAGGAGTATTGCCAGACAGCTCGAAAATTATGTTTCTCAGATCGGATTCTCCTTGTCCCTGCTTCTCGAACAGATTCCTGAGCCCAACTCTGTTTTCCGAAGCGAAAGCCGTCTTGGTGGAGACAACGAGCCCTTCAACCCCCCGCACAGTCGAGGAGAATCGCAGTCGAGGGTCCCCACAGAGACCATTGGAATACCATCATCCTACGCAGTCGACAATTCTACAGAAAAGGTTCGACGCAACATGGACAAAGCGCAGAGGTTCTTTGGCCAAGCCCCTCCTACAGCTATCACCAGGGAGCCCATCCGAGAGCCCGTCAGAGAGCCAGATGAGACTCCTTGGTTCTTATTGAAGATGGACCACGATGGCGAAGTGTTCTTCGATACCAAGAACGACGTGCCCACTTTGAAATGTGGAACGCTCGCAGGATTAGTGGAACACCTTACACGCCATGACAAGTTGGATGCCTCTTTCAATAACACTTTCCTCCTCACATACCGCTCGTTCACGTCCGCCTCTGAGCTGTTTGAGCTGCTTGTACAACGGTTCAACATTCAGCCTCCATTTGGTTTGAATGATGAGGAAATGCAGATCTGGATCGACAGAAAGCAAAGACCCATCCGATTCCGAGTTGTGAACATTCTAAAGAGCTGGTTTGAGCATTTCTGGATGGAACCGAGTGATGAAGTGAACATGAACCTCCTTGGACGTGTTTACAACTTTACCAAGGATTCCATCGCCACCACAAAGACTCCTGGCTCTCCTCAGCTCTTATCAGTCATCGAGCAGCGTCTTCGTGGCCAAGACACAACCGCCAAACGACTTGTTCCTACGAAGGCTGTCCCTGCCCCGACACCTATCATCCCGAAGAACATGAAGAAGCTCAAGTTCTTGGACATTGATCCCACTGAATTTGCCCGACAGCTGACTATCATTGAATGGTGCCTCTACTCGAAGATCCGTCCTACCGAATGCTTGAACAAGACATGGCAGAAGAAGGTGGGGCCTGATGAGCCTGAGCCTGCTGCTAATGTGAAATCGTTGATTCTGCATTCGAACCAATTGACCAACTGGGTTGCGGAGATGATTCTCGCCCAATCCGACGTCAAGAAGCGTGTGGTTGTCATCAAGCAATTTGTGAACGTGGCAGATGTAGGGCACCCCACCCCCCGTCATCGAGAAATGCATATGTATGCTGACTATGATCTAGAAATGCCGTGCTCTTAACAACTACTCTACCTTGACATCTATTATTTCTGCCCTCGGAACGGCACCTATTCACCGTCTTGGCCGGACTTGGGCCCAGGTCAGTGGACGGACGTCCGCAATTCTCGAGCAGATGCGCAAACTCATGGCGAGCACGAAAAACTTTGGTGAATATCGTGAGACTCTGCATCTTGCAAATCCGCCGTGCATTCCATTCTTTGGTACGAGCAGGGATTAGCCTGTTTCCCCACTTGCATGATATGATACTAACAGCACCCCTGCTAGGTGTTTATCTGACGGATCTGACATTCATTGAGGATGGTATCCCGTCCCTTACGCCATCGGAGCTGATCAACTTCAACAAGCGTGCGAAAACCGCCGAGGTTATCCGTGACATTCAACAGTACCAGAACGTGCCTTATCTCCTTGATTCAGTTCCTGAACTGCATGACTACATCCTTAGCAATCTGCAAGGAGCAGGCGACGTCCACGACATGTACGATCGGAGTTTGGAGATAGAGCCTAGGGAGCGCGAGGACGAGAAAATTGCGAGGTATGCGCCTATTACCGGTACTGGTAGAGATATGAGTACCTTGATCATCGCAAGCATGGTTATGCCCCCACGGTGATCAAGTAGACCTGCTCTTCTAGTTTCTTTCTTTCTTTCTTTCTTTTTCCCTTTTCCATACGGGGGGTTGAATATCTGGCGATACCCACGTTTCTTTCTTTTTTTTCCGGGAAATTAATTTCCTATGAATTGACGACTGACCATGCTTTCTTCGGCGTAGACTGCTATCTGAATCAGGATTCCTGTAAACAGATCGAAGCCACCGACCTCCTACCTCCCAAACCAAAATTTGATTCGACCATAAGTGCACGCTTCCCCGCTTGGTCGTTCGATGGCGCAAGACATCCCTGTCAGCGTTGCAATTGCGCCGTTCGGCGATCGCCGCTATGCCCGAGATTACCGCCGCTATCCCACGGTAAACCGAGATCCGTCGATATCCAACCGCTTATCGTTTGCTTCAGGGCCATTCGAAGCCTCTAATTGGCGATGGGCTGAAGGCTCTAGACTCTAGACTGGGCAGTTGCTCGTGCGACACTCAGCTAGGCGGTGGGGTTCTGATGGTGAATGAAAAGGATTCATTGAATCATTCACCCATTTCGCCCCATCCCAACGACCAGCATTACGTACAACTTAGAGACTTGATGCCAAGGCTTCTTTGTTTACTGAAATTTCATGTTCTGTTGGCTCATAATGCTGCGAATGAGAGCCTTGTTTACTAACGCGCCTGCGTCGCACTTTCTGGATCTATGACAGGCCTTTTTTTCCTGTCCAGTTAAGACGCCCAGAGACCTATATTTCGATGATTGTGACAATTATATCGCAATTAACATTAAGCTGTGGCTTGTGGGCTCTAGAGATAACAAAGGATCCGAGGCCGTTATCGAATCCGATCCGGTCCACCACTCGAGTTTCACATGACAAAGGAGGGAACTTTTGTCACATCCCTCTATCCAACTGTTATCCCACTTGGCGAGAATCGCCAGTCGCTCCTTTATTCTGAAACCAGATTGCATGAGAAAGCACCAATTAATTTGTTGTGCCTCAAGTCTTGAGTCGGCCTCTCGATCTCCTTTGGTGCCTACCTCATCTCGTTCCATCCTTGACGCGCCTATCTTTCCCATTTATTTGACATCATTTTATCTTTCTATATTTGCACATATTTATACCAGGCATACTATGATGTACAATGACCTTCTGGCCGGTTTTATACACATCTCGTATAAACCTTGGCCCCTCGTTTTCTCTTATACCCGGAGTTTTTTTTTGCCAGGATATTTCGTTCATGTTTGGATACCTTAATGATATATCATGACACGGGCTGTGTGCTCTTACTCTTTTTTTTTTTTTTTTTGGCAATTCATGCTTACCTTACTATTTACCCCCATCTACTCCCCGCCTGTTATACTAGGCATCTTTTTTTTATTTTTTTATTTTTTGGAAATGTCGTGGCATCTTATACAGGTTGATGGCAGTTCATGTATAGGCGTTTTCTCTCGTGGCTACTAAACCACATTCAGGATAATCAAATAGAATCTTGTCATGACATTGGTTCTCATTGTACTCCGTATCTTTCGTAGAGAAAGGTGAATGGCAGAAAGAGCCATAATTCGAATCGACATATGTTCATTTCACGTAGCCATATTAATTTATATGATCTGATCAAGTCTCTGTCTTGGTATTCTCCCCAATCCCCTGAAACAGCTGTGTCTTCACCTCGGCTGCTAATAGGCCTTTTACTTCTTCCGAGACAATACGCTGTCCATCTCTAACTACTTTATCCAATTGCTGGTCTTTGGCGGTGTTGACGCCGCCTCGTGAACTGTTGGTTTCGATGCCGCGGGCGGCACGTTTGACCTTCTGACTGAGATCCATCATCTGCTTACTGCTGTAATCGCGGGTGGTGAAGAGGGGGCTTTGGCTGAGTGTGGCGACCCAGTATTTGTTCCAGAGGAGGGAGAGGATTTCCGTGTCGAGCGTGCTCTTGAAATGCGACACCTCGAGCGAGTAATACTGCGAGGCGTAGGCGCCGAAATCCTCCGCTTTGTTGAGCGGGATGGTCTGGTAGTCGTCGTCGTCGTTTCCTTCCTTGGGCGGGGTATAGTCTTTGGGGAATGTTCGGAATGCACCGATATCGACTTTGCCGGCGGAGATGGTGCGTTCGGGGTCGATGACCACAGCCACGAAGGGGCCGCCCATCTGCTGCATATCCTGCGTTGTGACGTCGATTCCGGAGAGCCAGCACCCGTATCCTGGGTGGCTGTGATACCATCCCACTGCGTTCTCCATCCGTCCTGAATCGCGGCACGCCTGTAGAAATGACACCATGTATTCGTTGGCTTCTTCCTGGGCGTTGACTCGTGTCTCGGTTCCCTCGACGGGGAGACGGAAGGCGTCGGTGACCACGAACGTCTCGGCAACGATATAACCCTGCATCAAGCCCATGACCTCGAGCGAGCCCCCGGAGCGGGCATGCATCACCATCTTCAACAAGGCGACGGCGGAGATACGTATCGACTTGAAGTAGTGGGGGTCTCGGGACCAGGGGCGGGCAGCGTTGAGCGCCTTGTGAGTATCATCATCGTATTGGTAAAGGGCATCTCGTTGGGGGTCGATTAAGTCGATGGCATTTTCGAGCTCTAGGTTGGTTGGTATACTCGTTAGTTTGGTGGTTAATTTGGAGCTGTCAGATGAAGTCACACAAACCCCAGGACTGCTGTGCAGTCTGCATGGTGGGTATTCTGGAGAATAATAGAAAGAATGAGATGAACAGATGCTATTTAATCCACCATCCACTGACAATGGCGATGATGCTCGATGCAGCCCGCAAAATGACGATTGACACTGTCGATGATGGACGAGACACTGCGGAGAAGGCGGTGGCGGGGTAGTGGCAGATCCGGGCGGTGAGATCGCTGAGTCAGCGGTTGCCCCAGCGACAGGGCGGCGACAAGCGCCGCTTTTGCAACGCCGCGGCGGCTGCATCTCATCTTCGTTTTGCGACGGAAAACAAGGCGTCACCAATGATCCATCTCCATCGCACCCCCTCATCGCTAGTCCTTGCATACGCGTGCGCAAGCCCGATCCATACATAAATATTTGTCTTCCCTGCAGGTCTCTCCCGCCAGATGTCATTTCGCCTCTTGAGAAATTGAACGTCAACAAAGTCTCTGTTCCCCGTGCTTGGGGTTGTCGCTCTTTAAAAAAACATGACAGTCGACACGAGCTACCTGACCACCCAGGTCAACAACATTGTGACCCAGCTGCATGGGATCTTCGATGATATCGGAGTTCCCGGCCATGAGCGCGATGCTAGAGAGGCAGAGGTTGGTTGATTGATGTTTCCTTACCTCCCCCTCTTTCGCGATAAACATTGGAAATGCCAGACACTAACATGACATGCAGCTTTTCAGTGCCCTGTCGGAAAGTCTAAACAATCATCTCAAACTTGTTGACGAGTAAGCTTTACTTGAGGCCCAACACACTCTTTGCTTTTTCTAACACTAAAATCCTCCAGTGAGAAAAATGACATGACAGAAGAGGCTGAGCGCCTCATCACGGCTATCCAACAGATGGAGGGCTCCTTGGTCGATGAAAAGGCCAATGGCCAGTATCATCTGGATGATGCTGAGCTGCGGGTCTCCTATCCGCTTAATCGCTGTCTCACGTTCCTTAGAGAGAAGTATGGTGCTCTCAGCAAATTACACCGGGAGCGCTTCGAGCAAGTAAAGAGTGAGTCGACCATGCTGTATTTCGCGTAAGGAAGAATGTCTCGCTAATGACCACCAGAACTTGTTGAAGCTCTCGAATCCTACTCATCCCACCTGGAGCCGTCATTCATTTCAATTGCTCTTCCCCCAACCGCGCCAGGATCCTCAATCGCGCCCAGCTTCGACCTTTCCCCGACATACGTCACCGCTTTGGATAGCGAATTCACCAGAGTTTACGAAGAATATCACCGACGTGTTTCTTTTGTCCAATCTACCTGCGAGGAAATTATCCACCTTTGGGCCGAGCTCGGTACCCCTCAGGCGCAGACGGACTCGTCTATCGTCAAATTCTATCGCGAGGCTCCCGAGCAGCTGGGTCTTCACGAATCTGATCTCACCAACATGAAGGCGAAGCGCGAAAAGTTGCTGGAGGAGAAGAAGGGTCGCGAACGCAAATTGAGGGAATTGAAATCTGCCGTGGAAGCACTTTGGGACCGATTCGGAGTGGAGGAATGCGATCAAAAGGCTTTTATGTCCGCGAACCGCGGCTGTGGACTTAGAATCATCAACGAATTCGAAGAAGAGCTGGCCCGCCTCAACGAACTCAAGAGACAGAACCTACACCTTTTCGTGGAAGATGCGCGTTGCCGACTTCAGGAGCTCTGGGATAGCCTTTACTACTCCGAGGAGGAAATGCTCGACTTCACCCCTGCGTTTTCAGATGTTTACAGTGATGCCCTTTTGGAAGCCCACGAGGCCGAAATCACGCGATTGGAAACATTGAAGGAACAGCGTGCCTCGACCCTCGAACTGGTTGAAAAACACCGCACGCTACTTTCTGATCGCCAAGCTTTGGCTAATTCTAGTCAGGATGCCTCGCGCCTCATGGCTCGTGGCAACAAGGGAGAACGACGCGACCCAGGAAAGCTCCTTAGAGAAGAGAAGATGCGGAAGAGGATCGCCAAGGAGTTGCCCAAGGTTGAAGCTGATTTGAGAACCGAATTGGAGAACTGGGAGGATGAGTACGGCCGGCCGTTCCTCGTCCATGGAGAAAGGTACCTTGATGAGCTCACTCCGGTTATGGCCAAACCTCCACCTCGCTCCAAGACACCATCGGGTCCCCCTCCAAGCGCCACTAGAGGCAGTGCTACAAGGCCGCCCTCCCGCCCTGCCAGTGTAATGGGAGGAGGCCCTTCCCGCCCCGCTAGTGTCATGGGAGGAGGTCCTCCCCGCCCTGCAAGCTCAATGAGGGAACCCCCTCCCTCGCGCTCTGCTACCAAGACCCCGACTGGCGGCCAGACAAAATACAACACAATTGGACCTTCGCGGGCGCCTTCCAGGGCTGGAGCCAAGTCACCTTCTAAGATTCCCGCGCGTGTTCCTCTGAGCAATATGCCCCATGGAAACAACTCGACTGATCGCCGTGGTGGACCGGGAACGTATTCTTCAAGCACTGTCGGCAAAATGCCCGCTCCTCGTGCACCGCCGCCAAGGATGCGCGCTCTGACCGTTGATACCAAAGAAGAGCGTGGAAGCTACTTGTTCGACCCTCCTCGCTGCGCCAGTGCCATGTCGAATTCTTTTGTGCGGCCAGTCAGCCCGGAAGACCCTTATGATGACCGTAACCAGCGGTCCTTCATGAGCTCGTCTATCTTCTCTCACAGATCGAATGGACAGTCATCGCTGTCTTCGACCTCGTCCTTACAGTCTTCTCTTCAGGGCTTCCCACGACCAAACCCTTATCTGCAGCACGCACCACCGCCTCCAGCAGCTAGACAAGTATCCAACTCATCGACTATAAACACGGCGAACTCCGGGTCCGAGAACTGGGAGACGTTTGATGACGGTTCTGATTCTGAACCAGATGCTAGCGACGTTTACTATGCTAAGCTTCGTGCTGCCCACGGGAAGAGAATCGCCCCTGAGGATTCTCAGCCCGTGTCCATGGCAGGGAAGAAACCAAAGGGTATCCGAAGTGTTAGCCCAGACGAGCCGATCGGTGGTCAAAATGCACAGATGCTCAGGGTGGCAGGCAGTGATGTCGACGAATGGACAGACGATATGGAGCCTTATTAATAACTGACACCTCTAACGGATAATATGTTTTCTGTTTACTCCAGCAACTTTCAGCCACTCTTTGCGAAGGATATGATTACGTGACACTCGACATTGACGACCGTACGATTGTCTTTGAACGATCATTAATTGATTTCGACGATTTCAACCCCCCAGATAATAGTCGAGCTTTCCGATTCATCCCAGGCGTCACCGCCGCAGCGATTGTACCAAGCCAGCGATTTTTTCTTTTTATTTCTGTGTTCAAAATTGGGATTATACCTTGTTCATCATGCGCTTTCCGACTTCACTGTTTATCTTTTCTATGAGCCACACGCTGTTCAGACAATACCATCTGTACACTGCCATCGATCCTATTAGTTGGATAACAAGCAACAAACACCCCAAAGGGTCATGACAGGAGTGCAGTGTCATTTCCGATCATCGTCAATATGCTTGGGAGAATACAGGCTGGATTCTTGTATTTTTTTTTTTTCTATGTTGGGGCAAAACGCCTTGATCTTCCAGCCTTGATGATATGGATTGGTGGTGTTGTGATAGTGACCTTTGGCTGTGGTTCTTTCCTTGACGCTTTCTTGCTTCTCGTTTACGATCACTTTCCCTGACTTCTCTTTTTAATTCGGCTCTATTTCTCTCATGTTTGTCCTTAGCCAGGACTTTCACCATTTCTACTTTTTGTTTTTGGTTGTTTATTACCTTGACCTCTATAAGTCGGGTAGCATGTTATCTTCCTATTTGTTTCGATATCAGCGCACCGCAGCGCAACTTTCTCATTTCTCTTAATATTTGTCAATTGGAGGCCCGAGTGATTTTTTTGTGATTCTAAGTGTGACCGTGTATTCATTGTATTCTGTCCGTAGGTTATTATTACTCAATTGAAAAATCCGAAAAACCAGTACTCTCGACTTGATATTTTACTGCCGTAGCATTTATCGTACAATAGCCCGACTATATACACAAAATCACGGCATATGCCGTCACTGCCAACATAAACAGTGGTTACGAGCGCGGGGCCAGAGAGCCCATCCAAGTAAGGTCATCCTGGGTTTTGGGTTTCGACGGCGGCTTTGCCCTTCGAGTCGGGCCACCAGCTGGAGCCGTCAATTGTTTCGCCTCTTGAAGCCTCTGAACCGACAAATCTCGTCCCAGGATTTCCAGGGTTTCGGGGATACCAGGGCCAGGGGCACCTCCGGAAAGGGCCCAGCGGAGGTAATGGTAGAGTTCCTTTTTGAAGCGTTTGTCGTGAGCCACTCTGGTCGATTCATCGGGGAGTGTCTCGGCTCCGTCTTCAATGAATGAACCCGAGCCATCGTAGGAAGAGATGTTGAAGCGGTGGGTGTCGATGGTCCAGTGAGCTTTGGGGACGAGACAGAGGGTTGCGGCGGCGGTGTGCAGGGCTGTGATTGGGATGGGGAGGTCATTGGCTGGGGAGGCGGGTTTATCCTTCTTGTTGTTGTTGGTGCTGGATGATGCGACTGGGGTGTAGGGGGATCTGTCGAGGGTGGTGGTGAAGAAGGTGGAGTTGCGCTGGACGAATTCCTGGGCGTTGGTGTAGGATTTGGCGTCTGCGCGGAAGAGAGGGGCGATGTAGTCGGTTAGAGAGCGATTTTGGAGGATCGGGGCGCTGAAAGTGATTTGTTAGATATTTAAGAGCAGGAGGAAGAGGGTATAAGCGTACAGTTGCTCAGGTGAGTATGTCTCTTGCACAGCGCTGGCAATCCAGGATACCGTCTTGTCAAAAGAAGGACCGCCATTTGCAGCAAATCGCTGTGCGTGTGCCTTTTGCAAGAACCCTAACTTCTCAAAGGCGACAATCGTATTTCCCTTGGTGATTTTCAGATTGAACTGGGCGTCATTAGTAAAAGGATTGGTGTGGACTCATTAGAGGAAAGACATACGATTTGTTCCAACTCTTCGAGGCTGAATATGTCCGACTTTTGGGTATGAGACCAGCCCAATAGCGCTGCAAAGTTCGCCAAAGCCTCGGGGAAGATACCCTGCTTATCTTTGAAGGACGAGAGGTCGATGTCCGCGTTGCGTTTGCTGAGCTTCTGTCCGCTCTGGTCAACGAGGAGAGGGACATGGCCGAATCGAGGAGGTGTCCAGCCAAAAGCGTTGTACAAGGCGACATGCATAGGGGTTGAAGGCATCCATTCCTGTAGATATTAGCACCTTTCTTCTTGGAGATGATATCCATGGACAAAACACTTACCGTGCCCCGGACAACATGAGTGATCTTCATGAGGTGGTCATCCACTACATTCGCAAGATGATAGGTCGGATGTCCGTCTGACTTGAGCAAGATGGGATCATCATATACACGGTCAATTAAATCCAGCTTATTGTTGGAGCGACTCTGGCCGGTTTTCCCATAGACCAGATCATTGAACATGGGATACCCGTCGACCTTCAATCGGACCACAAATGATTCGCCCTTTGTCTTCCTATCCATTGATTCTGCTTCGCTGATATCTGCACATGTCCTGTCGTATCCTGGGGCGAGTCCCGCTTGGCTGCGATGTCTAGCATGGGCGTCGAGTCGTTCCGACGAACAGAAACACCGGTATGCGTGCCCGTTACGGATCAGGTCATCGGCATGGTTGTGATAAAACTGTGTTCGTTCAGACTGGGAGATAAGATCTTAGTATACCCCTCGACATAGCACAATTGATCCCAGCAATCTCACCTGTCTGTATGGACCGTAAGGCCCCCCAACATTTGGACCTGCAACAGCTGTATTAGCTTTCCGTCCAGATTTCGCATTCTCTCGCGCAGCCCGTCTAACCTTCATCCCAGTGCAATCCGGCCCATTGAAGATCATCATACAATCGCTGCTCTGCGTCGGGAATGGTCCGTTTCTACATTCATCAATTAACATCTGTTCTCCTCGCAATGCTATCCAACAAACAAACCTGATCCGTATCCTCGATTCGTAGCAGGAATTGGCCTCCGGTCCGTTTGGCCAGGAGGTAGTTGAACAATGCTGTCCGCAAAGACCCCAGGTGAAGATATCCGGTTGGAGACGGCGCAAATCGAGTCCGCGCAGGTGAATCAGGGAGATTTGTCTTTGTCTTGGAACCAGCGCGTAGATTCGATGCTTTGCCCGGCGTTACGGAGGAGTAGCCGGCCCTGCATTGAGTGCAGACCCATGAGCGACGGGCGAAAAGCCCAGCCTGTGGGCGTCTCATCCCCGGTGTGGATGGATAGTTGAATAGCGCAAGGGGATAAGACCCTGTGATGAAAAGTGAATTAATCAAGGCGAGGGTTGCTGGAAGCCAAAAAAGCGACAGGTTGAATCTCCAACAAGTCGGAGGATCTGCAGGAAGCTTCCGACAGAAAAAAGGCGGACTGAAATTTCTGGATCCCGGGGAGAGAAACAGAAAACAACCACCTCCGATCTCTTCCCCGCGGGCCTTTCAGTATCCTCCAGATAGAACCGGTTGTCGTTTTTGAATAGATTTTTCGACTTTTATTCAGCCCCAAACTCTTGCAGTATCCGACTTGACCCCGACGGCTTAACTCAGTATGTTCTTTCCGCTCGGCGCTATTGCCCCGTGCTTGCTAACATGTTGGTGCAGTGGCTGAAGCAGAGATCGACCTCTACGGTATATATCCTCCATACTATGCTGTGGAAAACGCAATGGAACGTGATGGGCTAATCAAATTTCTGGGTTTACAGAGGTCCTGGAGATTTCCAGAGGCGCGAGCAAGGAAGAGGTCCGAAAGGCTTATCGCAAGGTAATAAAACAGAAGAGAAAGGCCCCAACCAATCGTCCAGTACTAACAGTGATGCTTTTTACAACAGGCCGCTCTTGCAAGCCACCCGGATAAGGTCCCCGAAGAACAACGAACAGAGGCGGAGATCAGATTCAAGTCTGTTCAAGAAGCCTACGATATCCTTTACGATGAAGACAAGAGGCATTTGTACGACACACATGGCATGGGCGCATTTAACGGCTCCGGTGAGCCAGGAATGGGAGCTGGCCCCGACTTGGACGATATTCTAGCACAGATGTTCGGTGGAATGGGTGGTATGGGCGGTATGCCCGGCATGGGAGGCATGGGAGGCATGCCTGGAGGACCACGCCCCAACAAGCCGCGCAAGAGCCCGAACGAAGAGCAAAAGTATGAAGTCAGTTTGGAGGAACTCTACAAGGGCAAGACAGTCCGGTTCTCCAGCATCAAGAATGTCATTTGCAGTCTGTGCCAGGGTAAAGGTGGCAAGGAAAAGGCGACGGCCAAGAAGTGCTCTACTTGCGAGGGAGAAGGTACGATATCTTTGGGTGTTTGGGGTTCTGCTTGGGATAATTGGGATGCTGACAATTCATTTACTTGCAGGATACATTGAAAAGTTGACTATGATGGGTCAGTTCCTGACCAAGAACACCGTTGCCTGTACTACTTGCAGCGGTGAGGGCAACTTCTTCAGCCCCAAGGATAAGTGCAAGAAATGCAAGGGAAAGAAAACAACCGAGGCAAAGAAGATTCTGGAGTTGTACATTCCTCCAGGAGCCAAGTGAGTTGGACTGTCCGAGTAGCCGAGTTACATCCACTAACCCCATCTGCAGGGAGGGAGACAAGATCGTGCTGGAAGGCGAGGCAGACCAGGTCCCCGGCCAAGAGCATGGAGACATCGTTTTCCACCTGGTGGAAGAAGAGCACCCAACATTCTCAAGGGCCGGTGCCGATCTGGCTGCCGAGATCGATGTCACTTTGGCCGAGGCCTTGACGGACTTCTCTCGCGTGGTGGTCAAACACCTCGACGGACGGGGTATTGAGCTCAGTCACCCCAAGAAGAAGGGCGACATCCTACGCCCCGGGCAGGTTATCAAGGTTCCCGGAGAGGGTATGCCTATCAAGCGCAGCGACTCCCGCGGCGATCTGTACCTGACGGTCAACATCAAATTCCCCGATGAGAAGTGGACACCTAGTCCCGCAGAGGTAGAGAACCTCAAGCAAATGCTCCCCAAGCCCGACCCACCTATCCAGGCCGAGACCGTGGACGAGGTCGAGTACGACCCCAAGGGCAAGATGGAAGACTTTGGCTCTAAAGACCCTAGCGGTGGAACTGCCTGGGAGGACGATGAGGATGATGAGCCAGCGCAGTGCGCGGCTCAGTAGAATTCTTTTCACCAGGGAAAAGAAAAAAGGAAGAAAGGAAGAAAAAAGAAAAGAAAAGAAAAGAAAAGAAAAGAAAAGAGAAATTCTGGCTTCTTGGTAGATATATTCGATTCGATGATACATTCCGGGTCAAACTCTCCTCTGGCATCATCGGGCGTTTTGGGAGTGTTTCAGCATCTTCTTCGGGCTTACTGGTTTTATGTTCTGGCTCCTTTGACCAGTTATTTCTTCTTGATTAATTACGATGGTCAGCTTTGCTTTTTTTTCTTAGCTAGACGAAAAAGATCGTTTGATGAAAGGGTCGTTATGATCACGACCTGACTTATTCGGCGGTTTTCAAGACAAATCCCCCTTCCATGATTCGTTGATATCAGGATTATTGTTATAGACGCTACCTAGTTAGTCAATAGATGAGAATACATCAGACATGATATCTTCAATCCGCTTGCATGTGTTGTAGATAATAGACGGTCGAATGGTTAAACATCCGACGTGGGGAAGAAAACGTGGGATGACGTCCCAAGGCAGTGGTTCAATCAGGGAGTATATTCCCATTGACCTTATGATTAATTTCCCTTGTTCGTATTTGCGGATTTAAATGATTCAATTTCTTTTCATGCTTCGTCGTATGATACTTCTCCCCATATCTCATCGTCATCGAGATACAGATTGACGAAGTATGAGGGGTAATCGTTTTCGAGTGGGGAGAAAAAGGCATTTGCGTTCATCCACCTCCAACTCTCGGGATGTGAAGAAATAAAAGGACAATGGCCTATCACTGTCAGTGTATAGATCAGCAAAAAAAAGCAAGGCCATCCTGCTGACAATTATAACTCTCCGAGAGCACTCGCAGGCATGACATGACAACGTCCATGCCTCCGTCCCCGGCCGCAACAGGATAGCGTGGGGTAGCAGAAGGCGAAGAACCACCGAAATGGATCCCCCGAACCGAGAAGAAATCAATCAGCCAAACCAGCCAGTCCAGATCCGAAGAAAAGGCGGGGTGAGAGGGAATTTCTTATTTAAATGGCTCATGCTTCCCGCCGCGGTCAGCAGTATTAAATTTAATCAGAATACCGTCGGTTGCAAATTTCGGCACGCCGTGACAAAGGATCGTTTCTTATCGGGTCCCGATTTTCAGCCGGTTTGATCTATATCAATCAACTTTCGCGTGACGGTTTCGAGATTTCAGATAGACAAGTATCCCAGGTCGTTGAAGAATTGTTGGTCTTTATCTATTGTTGTATCTTTCTATCATGTCTTGCAATCCTCAGGCTTCCTGTGAGAGTTGCTCCTGCGATGGGAGCGCAAGTCGTGGACCAGTCAATATTGAGGATTGTGAAACCGAGCTGCTCACACTGCGGAAGCGTGCGATAGACCTCGAGAAGAAGCTGGCATCCATGAAGAATGGCTCTTCAAATTCCGGCATCTCAAAAAAACGCCGGAGGTTGCGGTCCTCTAGATGGTTTAATAACGATGCCAACCCGGGAATGACCGCTTTATACATCGAACGATACCTCAACTATGGAATGACAAGGGAGGAGCTGATGTCTGGGAAGCCGGTCATCGGAATCGCACAGTCCGGATCGGATTTATCCCCATGCAATCGCCATCATCTAGAGCTTGTGAAGCGAGTCCGAGAAGGTATCAGAACCGCAGGTGGAATCGCCTTTGAATTTCCCACGCATCCAATCCAGGAGAGTACAAGAAGGCCTACGGCCTGTATTGACCGGAATCTGTCATATCTGGGTCTTGTTGAGGTTCTTCATGGGTACCCCCTGGACGGGGTCGTTCTTCTGACCGGTTGCGATAAGACCGTACCGGCAGCAATAATGGCTGCTGCCACAGTTGTGCGTGTCTCCTGCAGCGGTTTGCTGCCAATTTACTTTGCCTATCTTCGTTTGGCTAATCCTTGATCAAAGAATATTCCGGCTATCTGTCTGAATGTTGGTCCGATGCTCAACGGCTACGTGAAGACTCAGCTAGCAGGCTCCGGAAGTGTCGTATGGAAGGGGAGAGAGATGTATGCCGCAGGCGAGATCAACAAAGATGAATTCATGGAATATGTTGCTAGTGGGTATGTCGAATCGAGGCTTCCCGGTCTTTATATTGGATCCATACTGACCTGCATAGCACTCCATCGGTAGGGCACTGCAACACAATGGGAACAGCATCAACAATGAATGCACTGGCAGAGGCGCTCGGGATGGCGCTCCCCGGGTCAGCTGCAATTCCTGCGCCATATCGCGAGAGATCGCAATGTGCTTATGAAACAGGATTGCGGGTAGTCGAAATGGTACATTCAGACCGGAAACCCAGCGATATTATGACTCGAGAATCCTTTGAGAACGCCATCATGGCTAATACAGCAATTGGTGGAAGTACCAATGCCCCGATCCATATTAATGCTATTGCCAAACATATTGGGGTAGATGTTTCACTAGATGACTGGGATCAGCTCGGGTTCCATATCCCACTGCTTCTAAATATGCAGCCAGCCGGGGAACTGCTGGGTGAAGAATACCACCGAGCAGGCGGGCTTCCGGCCATTATGGCCGAGCTTCTAGACGCGGGGAAACTAAACGCTGATGCCTTGACATGCACTGGTCGCACGATGGCAGAGAATGTTCGAGGCAAAAATTCATGGGACCGTCGTATGATCCGGGCTTATGACGATCCTTTGATGAAAGATGCAGGCTTCGTCCATCTTCAAGGCAGTCTTTTCAACTCGGCTATTATGAAAACCTGTGTTATCTCCGAAGAATTCAGGAAGAAGTTCCTAGAGAACCCCGACGACCCAAATGCCTTTGAAGGTGCTGTGGTTGTCTTTGACGGGCCGGAGGATTATCACCACCGTCTTGACGACCCGTCAACACCAATTGATGATAAGAGTATTCTCGTGATGCGTGGGGCTGGTCCATTAGGATTTCCCGGTGCGGCCGAAGTAGTTAATATGCACCCTCCCGGGCGTTTACTACGAGAAGGTGTCCATTCCCTTCCATGCATAGGCGACGGACGACAGTCTGGTACTTCCGGCTCGCCATCCATCCTGAACGCTAGCCCCGAAGCCGCGGCCGGTGGGAATCTAGCCATTCTCCAAGACGGGGACAGACTTCGCGTTGACCTGAACAAACGACGAGTCGATATCTTGGTATCTGATGAGGAGCTAGAGAAACGCAGGCAAGAACTTGACGCAAAAGGGGGGTACGATGCCCCTGAGAGTCAGACTCCATGGCAAGAACTGTTCCGAAAGGAAGTTGGCCAACTCAACGAGGGCATGGTTCTTCGGGAAGCTGTCAAGTATCAACGACTGGCCCAGCGATATGAAGAGCCCAGGCACAACCATTGAAGGGTAGTGAGATGCTGATATTGTACTTGAGCAAGCAATTTGCATTCCGACTCTATGGAGGTTGTACACATAATGATTGATATCCCTGTCGCTATTTTCTTTTTTCTGTAATCCGATTAGCCAGATGTTCCGTATGACAAGTCCAAAGAGATAACGGTGCCTGAAAGATAGGTTGCATCCGAGCGATCGAAAAAATTTTTGCCATGGAATTGTCGATCCTTGCGTCTGGATAGGTGCATGAAGGTACCGATAGTCTGGACTTCCCAGGATGAAGTGCAGCAGGCCAATTTGAAATCAGCGTGTTTTACGGAGTATTCGGCCTGTTGTTACTGACAGACAAAGGAGTGGAGGAAAGAAAGAGAAGAAGTTCTCGTGCTTCGTTGGTCATGGGACTTTTTTTTTTCTCTGCCCCTCCATCTTCTTCTCTGGAGAATTCGCACCACCTCATTCCACTCTGCGATTGTCCACACCATCCCCATTTACCCATTTACCCATTTCTATTATTGCATGGATTCAAAGCTCAGCTATGGATTACTCCCCCTGTAAGGCTATCCATCCACTAATAATAGCCAGGCCTTGGTGAGATAGACGATGGTCGCACAACCCGTGGCAACAACCAGGTGAGAATTACAGGCAGTGAACTGCAGAATCAGGCATCCATCTGACGATATATCAATAATCTGATTTATTATTGCTTTGGGCCACAACAGGATATAGCATGATGCCAAGGGGGCTGGCCATGGTGATTGTCACTCACTCCCCACTTGCTGAGAGTCGGATGCGGACTGACACTTCCTTTCTCTGCCAGGGCTTTCTTACCCTCCTCCCGGTAGACTGGTCATTCCACTCAATTCGATAACATGGGGCATTCACATGTGTTTCCCGTCATCTCGGATTGATATTCCATGGGGAGAAGACCAGAAATGGGAAGACAAAAGGGGGACCGTGAGCTTGGCCTGGCGGGGGAATTACTCCTCCTAGGAGTAGTCGTGAGCTTCGAAGCCCTGGCAACAAGAATCAGCTACCTAATGGTTTCGGAAATATGTGTGTGACAACTTTTTTTGGCCTGCACAAGCCACGGCTGAGATCGCTCCGACCAAAGAAAAGTCTCATTCGTTCGTGCTTGCCTTCGAATCCTCATGTCATGTTCTCCATCTGGCTGCGGTCGAGTCCTACTCGAATGCGACGATCGCTCTTTCTCGTCTGTCAGCAAAACTTGCCATGACGAATTGACGATGATATAAACTACCCACTCCAAGATGACTCAAGGGAAACTAGACCAAAATATCCCATCACATCGTTTGATGCAGCTGAAGCCCATGGTGGGCCGGTGGGGTTTTCCCTTCGGCTTTCCCGCGGTGTCGCACGCTAAATTAGTATCGTTGTTTCCACGGGCCGCCACCGTTACACATCAGGTCTAGCCCTCAATATCAAAATTTTCTCTCACGAACTACTGTATCCGGCTGCCTTGAGGGTTCTGACCGCCCCCATCTGTCTTGACGCACACACCATTGCAGCCTCCTTTTAACCTGGCAATCCTTGTTGCTTTCTTTTCTCTTTTTTAAACCCCCTTCGCCATGACGATTTCTTCTTCCGTCCAGTTAGATGCGAGATTCCAGCCATGCACTTGCGCTGAGCAATAATAAACCGCGTCCGCGTCCGCGCCGTGCTTTATCGATTGCTGCACCCTCTTCCTTCGTCTTTCGATCGTCCTATCCCAAACCCCGAGACCCTGCTATACCAGTTGTCTCTACAGACAGGGCCCTCGCAATCTTTTTGAAATACTTGTACCACTCAGACGCAGGTCTAGGTTGTCGACCGGACATCTACACCTCACAGATACACACCGCCTGATAACAGCGTGTCTGGTTGCAAAAGTCTTTTTTGATATTGCGACAGCAGTCAGACAGTGCGGTCTGAAATTCGTCTCCACGAATCTTATCCATCGATTCCAGCTACAGGGGTACGGGGTAGAACAATCCGCCGGACACTCGCAGCAGCGCGAACAACCTTACAACCCGTTTTATCTTCTTTATCAGACTACGGATTGATTTCTTTTTTCACGATGAACGTCCCTTTATAGACACAGCCTTTTCCCCTCTTCGTTTTTTTGACCAAACGTTTTTCTTGCCTGCCGTTGAGCGCTTTCATACACAATTATCGCAATTGCCTCTTTTTCCTCTTTGAACACTTCTATTTAATATCTCCTCGATTTTTCGAAACGGTCCATCGCCGATTCATCATGGCACCCAACCTCTTTCTCTGTCTTCGGACAGTCTTTTGCCCAACATACTGGTTCCAACGGGGTGAGCGCATCCATGGCTCAATCCAAAGAGAGGAACATTGGGAAAGCCCCGTTCCTGGTATCTACAGACACATCCCAGGACAGGGCTGGCATCTCGTCTGCCGCGACGGCAACGATTACGATGAAAAGGTGCCCATCCCTCTTGTCTACTGCCGCATCCTCCACCGATACCTCTTCGAATACGAGATGGAGGAACGATGCCGCTGGCGCTCAGTCTCTCTTCATGAGGGCGCCAAACCAGAAAAGTTTCTATTCTTTCTGCTTGACGATGGCTACACCTGGGTTGCCGGGTGGGATGCCAAGGGGACATTTATCCCAGGACCCTATCAAAAATGGCACTTTGACTCAGAAGCCAACGCGATGCGCCGGGTTTCGATGCCCGAGAGCTCCAATGTTTCCCGATGCAGCAGCATTGTTCCAACCAAGCTGAATTAGTGTGTTTTGCGCACGGATCTCAAGTCGGCCACAAGCAATATCGAGGGCAAGATCTTACAGCATTGCCCAATCACTTTTACATACAGTGGTCGCATTGACCACTTGACCACATTCAACCCATGTCGCAGGCCGATCGGAGAAAAGTTCTGTTTTTGCTTTGTGTTTTTATGTTATTGGCGTCAGCGACCAGTTTCAACAACTTCATTTCCAAGAAGCGATTCATTGTTACGACTTTCTGAATTGTCGCGGGATCAACGTCCAAGCGAGCGATTTGCTTTTTCTTTTCTTTTTTTGACTATCTTTGTCTTGTTCTTCCTTCCATCGCTCAAGGGATTTCCGGTTGTTTACGTGTAGCGATGGCGTTTCGGGATACACTTATATAGACTTGCTTTTCTCGCACAATAGACATAGAAGGACGCAACAGGACTGGTTGTATTTAGCTTTTATTTTCGATAGAACAGGTGGACTCGGGAAGGATCACTTAATGGATTTACTTATCTATACTTTTCTCCTCGCATGCAACTATTTTGCAGACCGGAAGTAAGACAACTAGTCGAAGAACCCTGTCGGCGGGCTGGGGTGATAGTCCCGACTATGACGTCTCAGAATGGAGACTTCGGAATATGCAGGAAGTGCAGACTGCATGATGCAATTCGACTATCAATAAGGCTGATTGGTGATATCACATTCTTATCGGGTCTGTGTTGGTGTGTCGATGTGTATTGCCTATATTGGATGCTATGAAGCTTTTGAAGACAACTCAGTGAATATATATAGTCAACATGCTAGATTGACTGTCTGTAAATCTGTTGAATTAGATGATCATTACTTGCTTCACTAGTAGTATAGCGCTGTGATGGTATAGGCATCAAGGCATATATCAACCTTTACTTTCACTTCGATTTATCTCGCCTACTCACTGCCTCTCTTCACTTAAATCCCTTCTTTATAATGACTACGAAGCCAGAAGAAAGACTCTCTCCACAACAACTCTCTGATCACATCAAGCAGGACATTCAAGCACTGAATGGACAGTCTTCTAGTAAGCAAGCAGCTTCAACTCTCGATCACGACGCAGAAATAGAAGCAAATGCTGTGCGCATCAGCTATAACTCCATATCAAGGGAGTCCAATATCGCAAGGCCAACCCTGCTTCATGACTCCCATTCCACCTGGATGAGAAACGAGCGAAGCCGAGGCCTCGTGTGGATTTACATCCTTGGATGAGTCCAACACACTACAATTAGACTAAATGAATATACCTAGCATTTCATTCCTTCAAACCCCCCTACCAATCCTCAAGCAAACAACCGGATCTATATATCAAGCCCACGATGTTGGCATTGCCAACAATCGTAGTGGAGTCAGGGTGGTCCCAATCTTATCCCCGACTACTCCGAAACAAAGATCTTTGGCTGATAGGCGGAGCAAACACCGTGAATATTGTGCTCATCATAAAGTGGTCGTCTATACCAGAGAACAGGGTTAAGGGCAGAATCGAAGTGTTCCTGGTAAGAATCAGAGTCGGATTTCAAGCATCACTACTGGATACTGACATGGAATGGCAGCCGATATTTCCAGCTCCCGTTGGGTCACTATCTAATGCGATGAGCTATCTGACAGAAACGTTGATGATACCATCACATTCCCATTGATCAACTGCGTCATCCTGGCGGAGGGGTATAGGCCGGCGGGGTAACCGGTTTATATAGTGGATGGCCTAACCGTTCTTTTCTAAGCGATTTAAACTAGGAGCTGCTTTGCATGTGATAAGGATGTCTAATGTGCTGTATAATGCACTATTCTCTTGGGGTTGTTGTGCTTTCCAGCTAACTCTGTATGTATATACCTCCGCCGCTGTTGATATCAAATCTATGAATCCATCGATATCACAACTTTGACCCTCTCTCCCCCTCAACAAGTAATTTCTCCAACCCCCTTCTCACTTTCTCCTCCATACCCGCTTTAGTTGGCCTCATAGTGTCCCTCGCGACAAACACATGCGTATAACCCCCCACCACCTTAACCGCCTCCTCGCCCTTCTTAAACACCCCCACCTCATAATTCGCACTCGACGACCCCAACTTCGACACCCGGAGTCCTAGCTCTAGAACATCCGGGAAAGCAACAGAAGCGAAATAATCACAGAACGAAGTGACGATAATACCAACTTGTTCGGCGGCTTTAGGGGTCGAAGAGGAGTGGTCTTTGTTGTTGAGGCTGAAGGGGTCCATGCCGCATTCGTTGATTAGCCAGGTGTTGATTATCGAGTCGAAGAGCATGGTGTAGACGGTGTTGTTGAGATGGGCGTACATGTCGTTGTCGAACCTGTTGTTTTGGTTAGTGTTGATACTGGATGTGGATGGGGTTGATGACAGACCATCTGGTCCGGTATTCTTGGTGGAAGACATAATCGCTTCGGGTTCGACGTTTCTTTGCTTCGATTTCTTTAGGAGCCATTGTATCGATTGATGAATTTATCGATGCTCGAACATGAATTGATTGCTCGGTAAGTGGAGTACGCCGTCTTCAATGAAGATATCTAGAGTTCAACGTTCAACGGGTGATGGGCGCAACGAATGGCCTGATGACGATATCAACAAGTGAGGTCTGAACAGGCTGAGCTGACAGATTGTAACTTTCAGACACTTTGTTTCTTTTCTATGCCGTTTGATCTGCAGATCTCCGAGATGAATTGCGGTTGAATGCTTCCTCGGAGCTGGAGAACCGAGGTTAGATTAGGTCAGCCAATTGTGACTCGTGGGGTTGATATGCCACTGCTTGTGAGTCTGTCTGATATCACACTGACATAAACAAAAAAGAACAAAACAATCGAGAAAGCAACAACTGCATCAATTAATTAAGATGCAAAAAAGAAATGCAAAAAGAATGGACTCGCGGGGAATCGAACCCCGGACCACTCCCATGCTAAGGGAGTATTATACCACTAAACCACAAGCCCATTGGATGAAAGACAAGCCCCTTCTTACAATACACATTCTTAGCAGTACCCCGCAATACAGTTTGCCGCCCAAAGTTTTTTCTTTTTTTTTTCTTTTTCTAGGACAGGACCAGGAACCAGGAACCCCATCAGCAGCCACTCCTTTCTCTGTTTGACATTTTATTCTCCATCGTTCATCTCTATTTCGCCGTACTCATATCTTATTGCATCTTGTGATTTCTTCACTGCGCTACACTCACCTCCAATCCGTCCCATTGGCTCCATCTCCCCGCATCGCTGCCTATCTGCTGCGGCGAGGCAAGTTTCCGTCCACCAGTATGGCCCTCACTCCTGTCGACGCCACGCCTCAGGCTGCTCCTCAAGAGCCCGAAGAAAAGCCTCGAGACCCTCCCGACGTTGCGGTGACCCCGTGCGACCCGCCTGGTCGTTATTATTTCGAAGGTGGCTTGCGCAGAGTGGCCCCATATCACTATACCTTCAACACCAACTGCAAGGAGCGATGGCGGGGTAGAACGTTGGTGGAAATCTTCACATCGGAGTTTCGGGATCGCAGACCGGAATACTACGTACGTTTGCCCCCTTTCTTCGAGAAGGCAAAGATATTAACAGAATACAGAGGGAAGCCCTTGAAAAAGGCCTTGTTGCTGTGAACGGCGTACCTGGAAATCCGGATACCGTGGTCAAGAACGGCCAAGTCGTCTCCCATACCCTTCATCGCCATGAACCCCCAGTCACCGGAAAGGACATCGGAATCATCCACGAAGATGACGAATTGATTGTCATTGACAAGCCGGCCGGTGTGCCCGTTCATTCCGCCGGAAGGTACCATCACAACACTATCGTCGAGATTCTGCGCTCGCAGCGTGGTGGAGGATGGATCCCGCGGCCTTGCAATCGGCTGGACCGCTTGACCTCTGGTGTCATGTTTATCGGAAAAACTCCCAAGGGAGCAGAGAGGATGGCCAAAAAATTGCAGCACCGAACTGTGCAGAAGGAGTACGTCGCTCGGGTTAAGGGTAAGTTCCCGGATGGCGTTGTGGTCTGCGACCAGCCCATCATGTCTGTCAGTCCCAAACTCGGCCTGAACCGAGTGCGCGCAACGGGCAAGGACGCGAAAACCAAGTTCCGTCGATTGGCATACTACCCACCACCTCCTCCCCCGACTGCTGAATCCTTTAATTCCGACCGAGCTGCCACGCCGCCGCCTTCGCTGTCCAATGAGACAGAGGGATACAGTATCATCCACTGCTTCCCTTTGACTGGCAGAACACACCAGATCCGTGTGCATCTCCAGTTCCTGGGCCATCCCATCTCCAACGACCCAATCTACTCGAACCGTAAGGTCTTTGGTCCCGATCTCGGCAAGAACGAAGTCAGCGCAGACCGTGATGAGGAGATCATCAGCAAACTGTCCTTGATGGGCAAAACGGAACTCCCCGACACAGTTTCCTACCGTACACACTTCACGGCAGCTCCATCCGTCCCGCCGGGCACTAACCCTGCTCTGGTGAACGAGATCATGTCCCGGGAACATGAGGCTGCCGTGCTGGACTACCAAAAGCGCAAAGGCGAGCGACTGTCCGGCGAACTTTGCGCGACCTGCGGCACAGAGCTCTACACTGATCCGGGAACACACGAACTGGGTATTTTCCTGCACGCCGTGTCATACGCGGATAACGAAGGTGACTGGAAATACAAGAGTAAAATGCCTTCTTGGGGACTGCCTCCAGATGGCATGGAAGGTCCAGTAGAAGCGCCGGATTGGATTCCTGTGCCAGAAGAGGAGGAGCGCGTCATCGGTCACGGTGTGATTCCGGAAGGACTGGACGATGAAGAGGCTGCTGCCGCCGCTGCTGCTCGGAATAAGAGGAAGCAAGCGCCCACGATTGTTCGGGGCGTTGGAATGGTTGATTACTCTTCTTGGCAGAATGAGAATAAGAAGAGCGAGGTGCAGACTGAAGAGGCTGCTACTGCTGCAGCACCTGCTTCGTGATAACCTTTTCCTTCTGTCTGATGTCTTGCTGCATCTGTTCAAAAGTTTTGCATTTTGCCATGATATCCAAGGTGTTGGTGTGCTTTGTTACATCTATAGAGCATAGACGCATAGTTAGATACCTGTGACCAAACAAACTGAGTTGGAAGATAATTGGTTTATATAAGTCATCATAAATTTTTATTCATGCAATACGCAGACTGCAGCATGTCCCAAGGGAATCAAATGAATACAAGCCCATTTATCCTAGACCTAATTCCCATACACCCAGCCTAAAACACCATATAGACCCGTTTTGCGCAAATGGAAGAAAGATAGAAAGATAGAGGAAGAAATGGAACATAGTATAAGTTTCTTTCCATATGGGACAGACAGCAGAAGGAAGAGAAAAAAAAAAGCCTGTTAGGTATATCCGATTTTTTGAAAAATTTTATAAATATTTTTCATTCATTTCTTCCTCGATCCTCGCACGCACGTCCGTTTTTGGTATTGAAGAAGATTTGCATTGCACATTGCCATTGCATGCACATAATCTGAAATTCGTTATCGCCACGAGATTCACGACCGTACAGAGAAAAACCGACAACTGCCCCAAGTAAAGAAAAACCATCCATCCCAATTCTCCCTTTTTGTGTTGATCATTCCATTTAGTTCTCGACCTGGACACGGCCCTTGGGGTTGGTGACCTTGACGCCGAGGGCCTTGGCCTTGGCGATGATGTCGACACGCTTGCGGGAGGAGACGGCGTGGCCGATCCTAGTTTTTTTTGTTAGTATATTATTCAAGTGTTTTGGATATGACTCGATCTCGTAGTTCCGGGTGACATACTCAGCGGCGTAGGTGCGGTTGTGCATGAGGAGGAGCTCAACGTCCTTGGGGTTCTGGACGAGGAAAGCCTTGTGGCCGGAGGGGGCCATGTGCTTGGTCTTCTTGTTGCTACCGTATCCAATCTACCAAACCCAACATATCAGCATTCTTGTCCCGGAGAAATGACGACTTTTCGTTTTGCTCAAGTCGGTTGCATAGATTCTGTTTCGGAAAACGTACGGAGGGCATAGCAATGTTACCGCGGAAGCGTCTGCGGACGCGGTTGTCGATACCCTTAGGCTTGCGCCATGCCGAGGGGACACACTTGAAGCGGTCGGACTGGTGACGTTCGAAACGCTTGGTGCCTGTTGTCGTCGAAAACTCAAGTCAGTCCATCATATTCGATGTCCTCGTTTGTATATGAAGAAAAATTCCAGGCTTCGTTCGATATTCTCCCCCGCAACAATCACAATCGACACCATTTAATCCATCGATTCAAACACTTCTTTTTGGTTTCTTTTTTTCCCCTCCCAAGCCGGATAATGTGTTTCGAGGAACTGAGGAAAGAGAGACAAAACATACGCTTCTTGACGATAGGGACGTGCTTCTTTGCGAGGACCATCTTGAATTTTCAATCCCAGTCAGTATAACCCAATTCAATAAATCAAAGAGGTTTGGCTTCTTGTCGTACCTTGTCGGTGTCGCTGGCTGGGCGTCGAGGGTTGTCGTGACGATTTCGAATTCGCAGGGCAAAAATTCGCGCCGCTCAGGTTTGGCCGCCCGCCCGATTCTCTCTGAGTGCAGGGCCCGCGCTAGTGGCTCGCTAAGCGAGAAAAGGGTGGTTTAGGGCTTGGACGGGAAGCCCTGTGGCGGTGCCAAGACTTTCCTCTGCGGGCGGAGGCGGAAATCAGCTTACGGGAGTGGTACGTATAGGGCGGAGGCTTAGATGGTACGGAGTGCAGATGGAGTGTTATTGTATCATGCTGAGCTGGCTAAACCTGGAATCTTAATTTCATCCTCTCTCCGTCCTGTGCACTGCTGTCGAACATCTTCTCCATAATCTCAAGATCTGCCATTGCTTCTGCGGGTGAGAGTCGGTTCGAGACTGGTCTTCCCTCGACTATAGACGCAGCAAACTCCGCAACCTCCAGATTGACGCATCTGCCCTCAAACGGGATCTCGTGGCTCTCTCCATTGGCTGTGATCTTGTCAAAGTGCATGGTCACTACACCACGTTCACAGGCAAATTCGAACAACGAATCGCTGAATGCTGATCCATATGACAAAGACAGAACACCTGTCGCGCCCGATCTGGTCTTCGCCACCGCATCGACTGTGTCAACAGGAGCGAGATGTTCCTGCTGCAGAGATGACTGTGCAGAGATCGTCGCCAGGGGGTCATTCGAGCCTAGTATCAGCCGTAGACCAGCAACCATGTGAACACCACCGTCTAGAACGAAACCGCCCTTGTACTCGGGTGTCCTTCGCCATTCCGTCTCTGAATAAGAATCGTAGTCAGCTAGCTTTCCCATAACCAGAATAAGATATATAGTTCAAACTTACTATGATACTTCGAGTCCGGCTTGATCATATTCTGAACATTCATCCGGAAACTCTTCACCCGGCCCATCTTGCGCACTTCTTCTGCGCAGCGAATGTACTTTCCAAGATATCGAAAGTTCTCTGCTACAGCCCAACGCGTCTTGCAGGGATCAGTATTGGCTTGGTACCATGCCACCAGATCCTGTGCTGTAGCTACATCCTTGGCTATCGGTTTCTCAGAGAGAACTTGTTTTCCTGCTGCAAGTGCTTTCTGGATGAATCCTGGCTGGGCCAGTATAGGGAGACTTGAACGGTCAGCCATGCTGTAGTAAGCGATGCACATACAAGGATACGCACGCTATGATGACGGCTACAATGTCCTGGCGAGCAAGTAGATCCGCATAACTCTTCCCGGAGCCAGAGTCTTCAGAGTAAATATCTATGCCAGAGGTTCCGACTGCGAGGTCTTGAGCGGACTTTTGTGATCGTGAATAGATGGCCTTGAGTTGAAGGCTGTCGGATGCTTGCACTGCAGGCTGCGAATGGTATTACTGTTAGATGGACATGCTATCATGTCTGAGATGTCGATTATCTAGCATACCAGATGCTCCTCGCGGGCAAAAATGCCTATATTGTTTGTCAGTTGATAGATAGTTCAAGCATATAGACTGGGTAAGCCAGTTCAGCCATTGGCACCGTACCGCTTCCTATGATGGCCACGCCAATGGACATTATGAGACCTGGAATGTATCAAGGTGATTATGAGATTGCGGCTTGGTTTCAGAAAGAGATGAGAAGAACTGTGTTGCAGCGATTGATTCATCGATATCACCCGGGGTGGTCGCTGACACCAACGTGGGGTCGCTGAAATTAAGAGTTCCAGACTCCAACCGCTGCTGTCCCGCAATGCGGGATGAAGACAGTTACAAGTAATTATTTGAATGCAGTTTTATACCAAAAGATATTGATTGATTGTAAAAATAAGAACAGTCTGATTGCGATAATGGAAATCTGGTATCATAAACCAAAACCATAGACATGGGTAATTATAGATCCAACGCCTGGGATATGACAGCAGAGAAACATGCAAAAAAGAGTAGACGCCATGCCATTCCATCATAATGCTGGTCGTATCATTCATAGAGCAAAGTGGCCTCCAATAATCCCATAAGGCCATGTCCCATGTCAAAATCCCGGGCCCAAAAAATAACAAGGGGGTATAAAATAATCCTGGAAACCAAAAAGCAAACGCTGGGCGAGCAAATAGCCAAATGGACAAATACCAGGTCCAGGCAAAAGACTCATGCAAGAGGAGATATAATAAGGGGGGGAAAAAGCAAAACAGTAGCAGCACGTGGTGATGCCAGACGCATATTGAGGTCATCCAACCAACGCTCGAACCCGCTCCACTCTGGCCATCGCCTTTTCTAACCTGTCGAGTCGTTTTCTCTTCTCAACATCCCGACGCTCGAGAACAGCAACGCGCTCTTCCAATTTCGCACGCGCCCGACGCTCTTCGGCAACCATCTCGTTTGCCTGGCTGAACAGTTGTGCCGTCAAATCCTCCAATTCAGTGCTGGCCTGCGACAACTGGGTCTCCGCGGCTTTGCGCAAGTCCTGTTCCCGGCTCAAAGCATTCTGCAACTCCAATGTATCTTCCTGGACGGGAATCACCGGCGCTTGGGGAGGACTCGGGACAGGAGGGGTAGCACTGGGACGACGATACGGGAGAAAAGAAGTAAAGGTGGACAAGCGGCTTTGTTGGGGCTGCGACTGCGGACTAGAGGACGGCGGAAGTTGTGTCGGTGAGAGGTCATTCGATCGATTCGAAGATAATGAAGATATCGGTGAGCCCTTTCTCGGCGTTGTTGGGGCGCGCAGACGACGCAATTCGTCTTCGTATAGAGCGAGTTTCTCTGCTGTAAACAAACCAGTCAGCCGCCATCCAACCGAACAACCGAAATCCCACGTAATATCCAAGACTCAGCAATGTCTTACCTGTCAACGCAACCTGGGAATTCAAATCAAGAACCTGTCCTTCCAATTCCTTAATCCTCTGTTGGGCCTCCTCCGCCGAGTGTTGTTGTGATGGAAACCCCTCCTGACCACAGGTTGGGCAGGTTTTATCGGAAGTCGTTGACATTGCTGGAAGCATGCCAACGAGCGTAGTAGCTGTGAGAGCAGTTGTAGTAGTCGTCGACATTATTTGCAAGACATGGATTTATGAAAACCATGAACGGGGAGTTGAATCGCCTTTAAACGTGGTAGCGGAAATGAAAGGATGTCTCAGAGATCGGTCTGACGTTGGAGAGAGAGTTGAGACCCTGACCGGTATTTAAACAGAAGAAATTCCCCGGATAGAAGAAAAAAGCAAAGGCCTGGACGAGAATATAATTAGAAGAAAGAAAGCACAGCAAGGCAGCGTGAATAATAATGCATGGCCGGGGAGGTTCAATAAAGAGGAGGAGAAGAAAGTCGGCGGCGGTTTTGCCCGCGTTGAAGAGGCGGGTCGCCCTTTCGTATAGCAACAAAGGACTTTCGCCACGACGATCGCTTGTTTCTGCTTCATGCTAGTAATGTGTTATGACTGTTTCAATTCTACTCCATTATTCAGATTATCCCAGCCTACGGAGATCCTCATTTGGTGCTGCCCGCTGCGTTGTGTTCATATAGATACTCGACACGTGTGGATCGTGGCATCTCTTAGTGTCCGTCTCTTAGTCTTGTTGACTCGTCACTTTCTCCATCTCAAGCCATCCAGCCTTCTTGATATTTGATGCGATGATCTTGATATCATTGGCTTCCTTGCAGAGTATCCAGACGGACAATCGCATTGTCCATTACATCAAGCAGTCACTGGGGAAACCCCAGCCATGGAGGATGTCGGGTGTCATCCCCTTGCGTCCCATCCACTCCACTCCTTACTGACAGGAGTCTATTTTGATCGCAGATTTATTTATTTACTGCATCTGTTTCAATCCAATGCTATAGGATACTCTTGTGGATATTGATAAATCAATAGAGTTTGTTATCAAGATCAAAACATCTGATCTTCATGCTGATCCTCCACCAGTTTATGAGGTTTAGAACATCGACAAAATAAGGCTTGGATCGTCATATTGGCAAAATCGTTATATGCTTGCTGTTTCAAAATGGCAATTCATGAATATATTCGTCAAAGTCTCCTCACGCTCTACGCTGCCCCCCTTTCCCCTTCCATCGCAGCACGCTACCCTCACTCGTGGCACTCACCACCACCGCAACCACTCCACTCGCCACTCCAAATACAGTCACCATAGTCCCCCATCCCTGGTGGTCGACCAATGAACCTGCCACCAATGGTCCCAGCATCTGGCCACCGGCCCAGGCTACGTTTAACAGACCATACGCCTGTGCTGCGCATCCCTGACTCCCAAACAAGTTAGGAAACTCCTTTTCCTTGCGCTCAACGATGTGGTCGATTTCGGTCATGAGTGAAACAAGCTGAAGACATGCCGCAATACCGGCGAAGAAGAGGACTACAAATAGTAGAACTTTGTCGTGTGTTGTGTTCTCGGTGACGAGTTGAAGAAGCATGAGCACTGGGAAGTCGAGGAGAAATCCGACAAATGCAACACCTCGTGTTCCACAGCAGTCAATGGTAGCGCCTGTTACAAATTAGCCTGAATCCTGTGATTAAGATATGGTACATACCGATCTTTGGAGAGGCAAATGCAGGCAAGAACAAGGGAAGGAAGCACAATCCTATCTCCATTGGGCCCCAGTCAAATACCCTCAAAACGTATAACGGCAGAACCTGCAATCATCAGAGAATGGAATTGTGCATTGGAAAAGGAATACTTACAGTGTCAAATGAAGACTGGATCGCGGCCACAATTATTGTCGACCCAAGCACGACTAGCAAACTGCTAGTGCACAGCAATCGCACGATTCCAGGCAAAGACCCTGTCTTCCCACTCGACAGGGGCTCTCCAACATCAACATATTGCTCTTGCGGGTAGTCTATTGATTGCTGATCTAGTTGCCCGATCGATTCATATTGAGAGGCGGTTTGTCCCGTGTGGCCGTTCAGCAAGCTTTCCGTCTCCGCGTGAGATGGCTTGAGCCATTTCAAGGCCGCCTTCTTCTCAATCATAACCTGGCGAAGAATAATATCCAGTACGATGAATGCAATTGCCACCGAGAACACGGCGTGATAACCCGCTCGGGCCAACCTAAACAGTACATTAGCTCGAGGACAGTGCCACCTCTTCGATTGCATGTACTCACACTACTCCTCCGATGAGAGGTCCAGAGACAGTCCCAACAGTCATAGCCATGGAGACGATGCCCATCGCAGTACCGACTTCATCCTTTCCCACCGTATCCACCACCAAGGCCAGACCGACAGTCCAAACCACAGCGCAAGATAGACCCTGCAGAGTCCGGGCAATGACCAACCAATATACTGTCCTAGCAAACCAGAACATCATAGTCGATCCTCCGAGAGCAGTTAAACCGACGAGGAATGGTGCTTTTCGCGATGGCGCCTTGTCCGCAAAGTAGCCGCATACCGCTGTTACTGTTAGAGGGAATATCTGATTTATACTGTAGAGAATCACTAACGCGAGCCAACGAGGATGGCACCTGCAAATGCAGCGAGAAGGATCGACATCCATTTCTGTACTGTGCTATATCAGTATGTTTATCATGGATGATGAGTATAGTATGAGATTCTTACATTCATCCTCGGGTACATTCGTACGCGATCCCAAAACAATCGGCAGGATGGGAACAATCTATAAGATACATCAGCTGCTGATTCTCTACGTTAGATGATGAATCCGCACCATTCCGTAGATAAAGACATCCTAACAACCAAACCCGATTAGTATACCGATCGACACCCCACTTCACATATAAACGACAATCAATCGAACGCTTACAGTAAAAACAGCAATAGCAACCACCGAGATGATGAAGCCATTCGACGAGCGAAACTCGAGCTTCCAGGGCGGACGAGAATCGTCGACTGGCCCATCCTCATTGTCGATGTTGTTGTTGTCGACGCCCATGTCTTGCCTCGGGTTAAGGAGGGGTAATTCACACAGACAGGCGGGATGTGATATTGCGAAGGAAGGAAAAAAAAAAAAGAGAGAGAGAACTGTCTGAACGACGGTGAACAAGGTAGAGGTCACATTAATAACAGTCCATCAATCTAATACCCCACATAAATAAAAAAACGAAAATGAAAAAAAATCAGAAAGAAAAAGGTGAAAGTCGTTCCAAGAATAATATTATCGTGGCTGGTACGGGATGTGTTCCCCGAGAATCAGCTGTGCATATCGATTTATACCCAAGTAGGTATACAAATCCAGATATTCTGAATTCAAGACATAATATAAATTTCAAATTGATAGAGATAGATGGTATTATTGGCTGATGTTCGAAGATGTTGCAGTTGTAGGAGGGGCGTTGTTGCAGTTTGCCTTCCGAGGATACGTTGAATATATTTTTCGACACAGTGTTGGGTTGGATTGTTATGGGATCATGGGATGATGTCGACCATCTAGATGGATCTTCACGACGATCCGTTCGTCCATCCTTACATCTCCACTGATCCATCTCAATCTTCTCAGTGGCTGATCGTTGTTACGCTGCATAAGCTAGAAGAAACCTAGCTTTTCTCTATCTCTTGCCCGAATTCGGAAATTACAGATGCAGATTGCATAACCACACACTACGACATAGCACATTGTATCACAACGCTGATGGGCTATGGTGGAGTTTCAGTTGGGGAAAATCAGGAAAAATCATGGATTTTGGCATTCTGTCACTACTACATCTTTGCGAATTCATTTAATTCATTCCATCGGGGGAGAGAAAAAAAAAGGGCCAATCGATGAACACGGAAAGATAGGAAACGGGGCGACAAAGTACAACTAAATAAGCCCACCAACCCTTAAAACTCATCGTTTACATAGCTTGACATGCCTTTGAATCGTAATCTTATTCGCATAACTGTCTCATCAACTAGGAAGACCATGGCTGCGTTAGAACAAGAAGAATAAGACTCCACACTCCATCCCTGATCCCAAACAAGACAGACAATGAGAGGGGGAATAATTGACAGTATGACCGATTCTGCCGTTGAAAACAAAACAAGAAGATACTCGAAGATAATCGTAAAGTTCCATCCTCCACATCGGCCGTAATGGTCAGGGGGTGTATCGCAGACGATCCACACATGTGAGTACATATCTAGATTGAAAAGACATGACAGAGAAACTTGAGTAGGATAAAAAGGAAAAAAAGAGTTGAAAAAAAAGGAAACACATGAGAGAAAAAAGGAAATAAACTTTTTCGAAACATGTCGGACAGCGATAGCAAGGACTAGACGTAAATCAGGGACCTAGCCCAACGAAGAAATCGTGAACCAAGAGATGACCGGAGTAGAGAAGAGCTGACGATCTGAAAATTAAAACAAATGCCCACCAACATAACCAAAACCACCTCGCTATTGCCGGAGGGAGATTCGTAAAAAAGTCCTTTCGAGGATAGCGTACCGAGATGCTGGGTTCACCACCTCAAGACTGCCGCTGGAGTATCTTGTCCTTTGGAATGGCTACATTCAAAGTCAAGGCCTATTATGCAGCCCCTTTCATCAAATCAGCTCCGCAAGATTGGCGTGAGGTCCTGGTAAAGCGATGACGCGGTTCAGGGTATCGATAAATCTATGCGTAAGTACGGCCGGACTGTCCGCGGCGGTTGCTGCGCTGCCTCGAGTTGTTCACGGTGCTCCAGCCCTCATCGTCAGCGGGTGCCTCGGCCTCAGCAGGTGCGCTCCTCCAGCTTCCATTAGCCTTGTTTTCACCGGCTTCTTTCGGCGCTTCAGCAGGAGCAGCAGCGGGTTCAGCCTGCTCTTGAACAGCAGCCGCAGCGCCCTCATCCTCTTCGGCCCGCCGGAGGATCTCGAAGTTCTTGCCGCCTGCAGGTGTCTCGCCATCTTTCTCGCTACCGCCAGCTGCCGCTTTCTCGGCCTTGGCCTGCTCCTTGGACTGTCGTTGCTTCTCAGCTTTCTCAGCCTTTGCCTTCTCATCGGCCTCCTTCTTCTCGCGAAGTGCCTGTTGACGTCTCTCCTCGACCTGCTTCTCTCTGGTAGCAGTGTCGATCGGGCGAGCAGCACCGAATGGGCTAGCTTTCGAATCGCCACCTGCGCTGGCGGGGGTGGCTGTGGCATCGGGTACAGTTCGCTTCTGGAGGTTCAACTTGGGCCTAGCAGGGGGGCCGGCAGGGGCAGCAGCGGGCGATGTAGGTTCCTTGGCAGGAGGCTGGTCAGGTCGCATTCTAGCTCTCCAGGTGTTGTCAAGCTCAGCGGCAGTGGGGGTACGTTCCTGGAATTCACGACGAGGGGGTCTAGAGCCATCCTGGGAGCGGCCCTCACCCCAAGCGGGGGAGCTTCTTCTGAAAGAAGAGCTCTCGTTGCTGCGTGGGCGGCCTTCTCTGGGGGGACCGCTGACCGGAGAAAGGGGACCCTTGCGTTCCCAGTTGCCAAAGTCACGGGGCTTTCCATCAGATTCGAAGTTGCGACGTCCGCCGGCACGTTCGCTGCCGGCATCTGAGAGGGTGTCAAGGTTGCGTCCAAAAGCGGAGCGGTCAGGAACAGGAACAGGTCCACGGCGCGCTCCAGGTGCGTCGGGAAGGGGACCCTTGCGAGTCCAGTCAAACTCCTTGACATCACGTTCCTTGGCTGTAGATGTTGTCAGCTTGCGTAGAATATTCAACTAGGATTCAAGGAATACGTACGGGGCTCGGCGATGCTGACTCGGATCGCTCTTCCTTGGAGGGTTGCGCCCGACAAGTCAAGAGCCTTCTTCAGACCGTCAACGGTTTCGAACTCGACGTATCCGAAACCCTTGGGGCTTCCGGTCAACTTGTCCTCCACGACACGGACATTTGTCACACCACACTCAGCAAAGAGGTCAGAGACATCAGCCGCAGTCGCGTCAAAGGCCATGTTTCCAATGTGGGCGGTATAAGGAGGCTGGGTAGGAAGGGGGAGCGGCTCCCTCATCGCAAAACCACGGTCTTTTGTCCCAAGTCAGATTACACCGATCAAAATTCCCACCACCAGATAAGAGAGGGCCATACCATTGAATCCCGAACCAAGCGGCGCAGCAGGGCGACTGCTACCGAAGCTGGGCTGAGAAGGAGGGGCTGTCCACTATTTAGACCAGGGCTTTCAAAATGGAAAAAAAAGGAATATCGGTAGAAATCGGGTTGAGGCGAATAAAACATACCGGCTGCGAGGGATTTCCATCAGTAACGGTCATCGAAAAGAAAAGCAGGACTTGCAACTTACCAGGCAAAGGCATATCCTCCATCTCATCGGCCCAGGAACCGAAGTCTACCCTCGTTAGCACTGCATATCCCCCCGCACAAATCCCGGGATCACCTACTCTCATCAGCCAAGAAGGCCCCCATGGACATCTTCTGGGCTTTTTGCTTTGAGGGCGCTGGAGCAATAGCAGTCAGCATGATTTGAATTCAAAATAAATTGCATGATGAAATGAGCGAGCGCAGTGGTGATAGTCTGGGGGAGGGGTTTCAGCGAAAGGAGGGGGAGTTGAGACGAACCCATGATTGCGGTCGTGGGAAATCAGGAAACGCGCCAAGTGCCTTGTGCGCGTCTCGTCGACAGAAAGGGAGGGTTAAAAGAGAGATAAAAAGACTTCCTAAAAGTGGAAGGCAGTAGTAGAGCAATGAATGACGTCTAGTCAGTGGAAGAGAAGACGTGCGATGGGGGATTGTAAGTGAGCTCCGCAGTGAAAAGCAGAGGGGAAAGTAGGTTAATCCGTGAGGATAATTTTTAGTGATGACGCTAGAAAAGTCAGCCTCAAAAAAAAAAGTGTTGGTGCGGCCCTTCGGTCTGGCGCCTCGACCCAAACCCGAGGGCTTTTTTTTATTGCGGAGAAAAAAATGAGGGTCAATCGACTGGATTATTTTGGTTTTTGGGAAATTGATATGGAAATTATTCCTGGGGTTGATCTGAATTCCTACAAATGGTTTCTACTTGATTTTTTTTTTTATGATGCTTACAGGCTTTAGCCCTTGTCCATTCGGGTTTGCCTGCAGGCTGTCTGGAACTCCCGCTTTGTTCGACGCATGTCAGGTCAACGATCATCGGATGTACGTACAATGTTGTATGGCATACAGAGTATACTGTTGTTTCTTCTGTGCGGTCAGTCAGTGGCATTTTGACTGCATCAGTTACGAGACTTATGATCCAATCCTGCTGGAATTGGATGGAATACCGAAGCAAGGACCGGTTGCACAGGTTTCATTGCCACACTTGGGCAGTTCTTTGTATGGCCATGATGGAGTAGAGCAACCTTGCAGAGCACACCAGGATCATTAATATTAATACCCCGCAATGGAATCCAAACTTTTATCATTCCAGGCACAAGTCGAACTCAACCAAACTGGATCTTGTATAGAAAGACAGTCCGTTTTTGGACGAACATTACATAAGCCATCTACACCAGGTCACGTGTATCCCATGATGCCGCCCCATGGAAACAATGACTTCGTCTGTAGCCCTTTGTAGGCATCCGACCTAGGGGAATGCCCGTGATTTGGCATATTGAGGTCGCAAGATGAGCGGGCAGAATGGGCAAAATGCCAGCTTCGAATCCAACGCATTGTTGCCTGCGTTGAAAGCGGGCGCTGTGAGCGGTTAGTTTTTCACTCTGTTTCCAGGCCTTTCCTCCGAGTCTTGGAGGCCTCAAAACCTGTATACCAGCGTATACAAATCCTTTTTACATGGTTCGATTTTTCTCATATTTCACTCTTTAGGATCTGCTGGTCTTGTTTATGGCGGTATTTCTGGAGTTATTCGATCACCGCATCCAGTGATACATTCCATTTCCTGCGGCATCCACTGGGCTGCCTGCGGAACCTCCTTTTGGTGTAAGGCTTTCTAGCATCTTGACCATGGATTGAGATTAACCGGTATTGCAGGGTTGAGAAGCAATATCTTGAAGCTTCATTATGAAGACCAGGCCTCCCCGAAACAGCGGGCTTATGTCAGCGCTCTTTCTGGTGGGATTTCTGGCGGAGCAGTAACCAGACTCATGGGTATTTTCTAGAAGAAGCCTCTCGGGAATATAAGTGATTGCCGTGTTGGCTGACGTGTGTGAATAATAATAGGAGGCCGATTGATTCCAGGGGTCGTCGTCTTTTCGATACTAGGCTATCTTGGGCAAAGCTCTTATAATGCGATCGACACCTGGCAAATGGAGCATGCAAATACCCCAACGAAACCGATTCTACAACGAATGGCCGAGTCCAAATGGATTCCGCTCAAATCGCTTTCTGATGATGACTACAGGGGAATGTTGAGTGAAAAGCTACTCAGTATCGAGGCTGACATTGCCATCATTGATGAGAAAATCGATCTGCTCGAGCAGCAAAAGTCCGGTGGAATGGAAGCTTCGAAACCCGCCGAAAAGTGACTACAGATAATAGCGCCGCCTTGATTTGTTTTGACAGGAGAGCCAGCCGGTTTAGGCCAGATGAAGGGGCTTGCCTTCTTTCTCCTCTCTCCACCGTGCCATCCCACCAGCAGCACTGCAGTGGGAGGGAGCGCCGTCGAGACGGAATATATCACAGGCAACCGGGCCAATGAGAGTGTGCAGGAAGCCTCTTGAAACTGGTATTGTCTGAGAAAAATGTGAGGTCAGAAAAGAAGACGACTGTGTATATTAGTGTGCATATTATTGAAGATTTGCTTTCGTGGTATTCTTAGCCAATCGCCCTGTCCATCAATCACCCTTTAGGAAAGATTGACTATATGTATCCAATTCCATGGATACAGTGGACGGATACGCTACGGGTAATAGATACGTGTATGATCCTTACACAACGTAAACCACATTATTCTCCGGGGTAGCTCTTCCAGTCATTTTTCGCTGTTGAGAGAACCGGAAATCCAGAGGGTGGAGTACCCAAAGAAAGCCGTGAGAATCCCTGGAGAGATCTGATGTCTATCAATTCGTCCTGGGGATTTTTTTAAAGAAAAATCGGCCATGCAGGGGTTCGCAAAACACATCGAAGCATGGCAGAAAATTCGCCGCATTTACCGTACATTGCTTACACATAGGGAGGTCCTCAGCTGTGGATTGGTGGGTGCCGAGAGAGCCGGGTCGGCCAGAATACCACCAAGTGGGCGGGTTTCCGCTTCCAGCGTCTCCCGGCCTCCCCGTGAGAGAGAGCGTACCGTTTGTCGACCTTTCTGCGTTGACATGACAGATCTATGGTTCATCCGGTCGGATCGTCCATCCCATCCCTTCTTCTTCTTCCTCGTTTGATCGCCTCTACCTTGACAATGAACGACTTACGACTGTTGCGCTGTTTCCTTGATGCTTTTAAGGCTGGTGCGCAGTCCCAGTCTTAACTGAGACCCAGTTTTGAGCCTCTGTTGCATTGGAGGGGGACCTCTCCTCAGGCGAATACAGAGGCAAAAGAAGACCAAGGAAGATAAAAGTTTTTACATTCTAATTCTACAAAAGTGTTCATAACGGCCGTGTTAACAACATCCATGATCGATCCTTTCTCAGCTGTCCATCCTGTTCGACAGATCAGTCCCCTTACTGATCGCGATACACGATGACGCTCTTCAGCCCGACCACAATCCTCGTGGGGTTCCTTCTCCTCTACCTCTCGTCCTTTTTTATCTTCGCAATCGTTCGTATCGCAACCGGTATTTCAATTCAACGGATAGGCTATTTCTCCCTTCGTCGGATCGCATACGCTCCCAAGGAAGGGGTACAGATTGAGCTCCGCGGTCTCGGATTGTCACTACACCCCCCATCGTTTGCCCAACCGACATGGGTCAGCCTCCGATTGACAGACCTAAAAGTAACCTTGGACCCCTCCGCATTAGCCAAGAGTCGAAGAAATCCAGAAAAACCGGATGCGTCGACCACCCCAGACTCGTCGGAGTCGAAAAAGGAGGATGATCCACAGCGAGGATCCTCTCCGCGAAGTAAGACGTGGAAGACATTGACAAAAGTCAAGGAACGAGTCAAGCGACTTCACCGGCAGATCAACTGGTTGACATTGGTGGACGTCGTGGCCGTCAATACCACGGTTCATTTTATAGATGCTGGACAGATTCAGGTCGGTTCCGTCTCCTTGGCGGTGGACACCAGGCAAAAGATGGTGGATAGAGGAAAGGTGTTTCGTCGCAAGAAGGATTCATCTCGCGAACAACGCCCGGCAGAATGGATAATGAACGCCCAAAATGTTTTGCTTTCGGTGGACGGTCGTGAGCCGACAGAACTTTTGGATAACGTGGGGGTAAATATACACGGGCTTCTTTATAAAGATCTAGAGGGACTCAGAGATGCTTCCGTTGCGGTGAAGATTGGAAGGATGCATGTTCCATACGACGACTTGACGACGCTTTTGCAACGAATCAAGCAGTTCCGGCAACCTCCTACTAAAGAAACCTCGAACAACGACATCGATGAGGAGATGACCTTCGCAGACTTCGTGGAGGAATTGGATAAGCCTGGAAGCCGGGATGATGCAATTGTTCAGACAGTCGCTGATTCTAAGGAGTTTGCAAGCTCGTTACTGCGGGGAATACAAGAGATTCAGATCGCCCTGAGTTTCTTTAGACTGTCCCGGTCTATCGAATCGCTTTCTCAGGACCAGAATACCGTCTATCTGAATGTTGTATCTCATGAAATAGGCGCCGACCTTCATCGAATGGATCAGAAAAGCCCCGCCCATCGCATGTATTTCCAACGCAATGATGTGGCTCACCAGGCCCTTCTCGCTGCAATTGCCCTTTCAGTCAGCTTGGACGACAGCTCAGGTGAATCAGACAATATTCTATATATTCCTATGGCTACCACAACGATCAAAACTACACTCCCTTCGAAAACCGTCAGCACTTTTGATGACCATAACCCCGAAGAACGGAACACCAATATCCTTTTCGCGAACCTGGTTGTGACTTCCCCTTCACTCGATCTTGAACCTCGACACGTCTCTCGACTTCTGGGATTGGTACAACCACGATCGTCTTCGCCCCGTGGGAAGAAGAGAGATAACCACCGCTTAATATCTCGCCTACTTCCAAAGGCCAGTATAAAGCTTTCGGTCCATGAACCTGTCATTCGATTTGTCCTTCCGATCTCGAAGGAATCTGGTGCAGTTGATGACGATTATAACTTGCTCATATCTTCTATATCCTCTATATCACTCGATATTGAGTCTTCACATTCTTCGGAAGGCGGCGTCTACTATTCCCTGTCATCGATTTACCGGGTTGCGTCCCACCAATTATACTACCAAACTCCTACTGGAGTCAAACATAACCTACTCACGACGGAGAATTTGGAGTTCAAAGTTCTCCTTACTGCATCGCCGGAGGTCTGTGTGGTTGTCTCGGGAGCCTTAAACACATGCTCTGCCCATATGGTCAATGGCGAAGTCAATCGCGGCATTAGCCAGGTTGTCGAGCAATTCAGGCAACAGCTCAAACCAAAGAAACGAACATCTATGTCATTCGAAGAGCGAAAGCCTAGCCTCTTAAGACGCATACCTCCGTGGCTGCTCAGGTTTCAATTCGAAGCCACAGGCTTTAGCCTGGAAATCGCTGGCGTTGACTCAAGCGTGTCAGAGCTGTCTCGTGGTGTCTCGCTACAGCTTCAATCGTGGACTGCGGATTATAGAGCCCAGAAGTCCGAACCTGTGAATACTGTGAGCTTCGCAAGACGACGAACTCCAAGTCACTCCACAATTGGCGACGAATCGCCCTTCAGGTTTCCTCCCACATCTCCCCCAAGACAAGCACAACGTGGTGCCGCAGACGGAAGACGTTTGGCAATACATGGTCGCGGATTCGAAGGTTTTGTTATCGAATCTGAAGATTATCTGGAGCCTGAGGCATTCTTATCTCTTCCCAGATTCGAAATTGCTCTTAGCACGTTGAGTGATCGCCTTGGGCCCATTTTCCACATCAACTCCGTGATCAAAGGCGTGTATCTTCAATATTCTCTATATCGGTATTACTGCCTTGGAGTTGCGGTGTCTGTGCTCCAGAATGCTTTTATGCCAGAGTCTCCTGAAGCTTCAAGCGAATCTGCTGCTCAACGTGAATTTGCAAAGTCAATGCCACCGCCTCGTGCACCCACACAAAGGAGCGAGCTCATCACAACGGACATCAGGGCAACTGTGATTCAAGTCAAAGCTTTTATGCCAACAGATCCTCCAATGATGCTTCAGGTCTACGGGTTGGCGGCTGGCTCGCATCGCCTTTCAGCTCCTTTCGTCAGAGCTCATCTTGTCCGATTACATGCCGAAACCCCCAAAGCTAAAGGCGTGTGGGCCAGGATTGTTAGCATGAGCAATGCCAGACTTGATTTACGCAAAGTGAAATTCAAGCAGGGTGCCAGTCTAGTCGAGGAAAAGTCCATAGATCTGTGGGCCGATTTCATTCGCATTGGTGTTCCTCACCACATGGTGATGCATCATGTTTTTGATAACATCGTGAACACGTCAAAGGCCTTCAAGCAGCTACACGGTCGCTTCAAGAGCCACAAAACGGATTTTGTCTCAGAAAGAGACCCAGAAGGGCCAAAGAAAGTACCAAGAGTATCATTGCGGAGCAAGGCCTTGCTGTTTGAGCTGGAGGATGACGCGTTTGAGTGGAAGCTAGGCTGCATATATAGAACCGGACTACTCGAACAGCGTCAACGTTTGGCTCGGGAAGAGGCTTACAACCTTAAACTTCAAAAGATCAAGGAGTCGGATCAGCGGCGCGCCTCGTCTAAGCTCAGAGCAAAATCCAGCCACCGAACCCTCCGCAGTGAGCGAACAAGTCAAGATACGAGGAGGAGTAAAAGCGCCGATGGGAAACCCAGACACGATCCCCATGAGACCCATCGTGGCCGGGGAAGAAAGTTCCGCTACGATGTCGACGGTTCAGCTTGCCTTTCCTCAGAGTCTAAGGTATCGGCAGAGAATGCTTGGTACCGACTCCAGGAGCACAATGCACAATCTTGGAAAAAGAAGATCGATGCTGCTATGCGATTCCAAGGCAACTCCATCAAGGAGATCAGGAATATCTTTTCTGGGGTGGATGAGCCTCCGGAAGATGTGCAAGAAACAGAGACTGTGCTGGGCATCCCGAACAGACCAGGTATCATGTCGGCTTTCATAAGTGATGTGAACCTTGTGATCGACAAACCATATTTCCTAGTTGACGATTACGCCACGTTCCTCAATAAGATTGGAAAGGGAATGCCAATGTCCATGCAGTATGCATTGCTCGTTCCTATGAGCATTCAGCTGGATATGGGCGAGGCTCGCGTCACATTGAGAGATTATCCCCTGGATTTGTTGCATATACCGGCTTTGCGACCTGGTCAATCTCCACGACTGCCTAGTTGGTCACTTCGGACTAATTTTGTCATCGCTGAGGAGTACCGTGACTTCAAGTCAGCCAGACAAGTCAAACTGGAGCTTGTTCCCGAAAGTGAACTGCCAGATGGTAGAATAAGCCCTGCATTTTCAATTGATGTCTGGCGGTCTGTTTCGCCTGTCAAGACGTACTCCGATCCTACCGTCGAAATCAATACTAGCCTACCAACGAGCATCTCCTGGGGAATGTCGTACCAGCCCGTCATTCAAGACATGATGAAGATCATAGAGGGCTTTACGAAGACCGAAATCGATCCGTCTGACAGGGTTGGGTTCTGGGATAAGATTCGACTAAGCTTCCACTCTCGAATTAGAGTTCTTTGGAAGGAAGACGGAGATGTCCATCTACGTCTCAAGGGCTCTCGTGATCCATATGTGGTGACTGGCTTTGGAAGCGGCTTCGTTATGTGCTTCCGCAAAGATGTCAGATGGGATATTCACACTAGTGATGATCCAATGGAGTTCATGAACGTGAGGAGTGGAGAATACGTTCTGGCCATTCCAGATTATAGCAATGAAGCTCGATGCGCAGTTGAGGCTGCAGCCCAGGATCTGGAATCTGCATCCACGTCGAGCGATGTGAAGAATGCGGCCCATTTCAAGAAGGTTGTGATGAAATTATCAGGCGACGTGCGCTGGTCTGCTGGTCTGGTCTTTGAACGCGATATTGATGAACACAACCGCTCATTCGAGTTCAAACCCCACTACGAGGTGGTTCTCCAGAACCCAGATTATGTGGACCATTCGCAGCCAGAGGTATGGTGCAGAATAACTCCAATGAGATGATTTTTAACTAACAGAATTGCAGACCTACGATGCTTACCGTGGCTTCCGGAGTAACCACATTCACTTATCCGTCGCGGTTCTTGCCCCGGAAAGCAGAGACTGGTGTGTCGACGAGATCAAACCGTCGACAAGCTATAACACAGTTCACTTGACGCCCCGTTTCTTTACTCACTTCTTCAATTGGTGGTCTCTGTTCTCGGGTGTAATGTCGCTCCCTGTTCGTCAAGGACCTCTCTGGCCTGGTATCACAAGGACAAGCAAGAAGTTTAACCGTCATCTTGCAACTGTCAAGTACAAGCTGCTTCTTGCTCCTTTGTTTGTGGCTCACATATACAAGCATAAGGACCGTGAAGACTATGCCGAAGACGTTGTGACAGCAACGGGTTTGAAGGTTCGCTTAGACAGTCTGAAGCTTGATTTCCATCAGAGACGCGAGCAAGTGAAGACACTGGCCAAGGGACGCCTGAAGCAAACGCAGGCAAGCGCAATGCGGATAAATCAAGCCCAACTGGATTTGCAGGCTGCGGACTTCAGAGCCGTATCGGCCAGCATTGAAGGAACGAACCCTGACGACCTTGAGAAAAATAAAGAAGATATCATATCGACCTTCCAGCAGCCAGTGCCATCAGTGGATCTATCACGATTTACCATTCCCGACCAAAACCTCGATTGGGTTGATATGGATGATTTTGTCGAACTCGATTGGATCCTTCCCCAGGAGTCAAATCCTCGAACTCAGATCTTGCCATTGGCCTTCTCGCCACGGTTTACCTACTTCCGCCAAACAGACCACGGCGATGTCACCCCAGACCAAACAGGTTATAGCACATTTGGATATGAGCCTACTCATGAATGTGTCATGTCCGAAAAGAACGAGCCCCGTCGGGTACAAATGGAACTTATCCGAGATCGCCTTGCTACAGTCGAGTCACAAATAAGAGATTATGAACGCACAATCGGTGAACTGGAACTTAGGGTAATGAGAGAAATCGACAACAAGGCCGAGTTGAAGAGCCAGTATGATGCTTTTGTTAATCAAGCAGAGGCGCTCACACGGAGGCGAAACTTCCTCTTTGCTGGGCTTTGCCGCCTCGAGAGACAACTTGCAAGGGACGAAAGAGGATCACCGAACGAGAAACCCGATTACAATGCAAGCGAGACGTCATCTAGAGCCGGCACTGATTCAGACTCGGCCAACGAGGGCAAGGAAGCCAATTTTGATGGACTCTATGCTTCACCTAGTGACGAATTCGCGAGCGACTTTGACAATCGGTTCATGATACACAACGTGCAATTGAAATGGAACAACTCGCTCAGAAATATTATCCTGCGTTACAGCCATCAAGTTAGCCAGAGGCGCGGGTTTGTGTATTACATGTCTCGAAGGGCCGTCAAGTTCATCCTTGATATCGTCGATGAGCAAAACAAGAACAAGGAAAAACATTCCCAAATGTTCAACAACTCATCCAGACGACCATCTGATGATGGGAGTCTTGCTGATCTGGATGACGGCGAAAGTGTGGAAGATCGCATTGAGCAATTGCTAAACGATGCAAAGCGATATGTCAACGTGGAAGACCAGGATCCTCAGCCACGTAGCCGATCCCATTCGAAAGTGGATGACTCAAGTGAAAACATCGCCCCTGAATTTACGCCCCAGAACAGCTACAGTTTGCGACTCATTGCGCCTCAGATCCAGTTACAGAGCGAGAAGAACCAAAAGTCGGTCTTGCTGGTCGCCGCCAAGGGCATGCAACTTAAAGTGGTATCAATTATGGATAAGGAGCGAGTATCTGACGATGTCAGTGGTTTGGTGCAGCGCCGGTTTTCTCTAGACATGGACGGGGCTCAGTTCTTTGTCGCAACGCAGAAGAGCTTGATGGCCCACCTGCAATTCTATGCCGGTAACAAATATGGCAATTCACCTGGATCAGCATGGCCACCTTGGTTGACTCTCGAAGCGATGTTCGATTTTGAGCTTAATCCGTTTGGGTTCTCAAGGATCGTGCAGAAGACATCTGCCAGTCTGCGATACGACAAATACAACAACCTTAGATTGAAGTATAACGAGGAGGTTGCTAAAGGACATCCAGACCATCAAGATAATCCAGACTGTCAAGAAGCCCGAATGGACCATATCAGCGTCGATTTCCCACATTTCCGTGCCATTTGCGACTCTGCGGAATACTATTCCATGTATATCATCGTTCTTGATCTGCTGCTTTACAGTGAACCCTTGGAGAAAGTTCGAAACGAGCGGCTTGAGAAAATTATGCTCACGTCCGATTTCAGCGATCTGCGAGGTGCTCCCGAGATGGTCTTTAAGCTCCAGGCTCGTATCCGTCAACTAGAGGAGATAAAGGAACACTTCCAGATTCATGCCAAATACCTGGACAAGCGAGGGTGGGAAGATCGGTTGGCGCTTGAGCAAGATCTCGCTCAATGCGAAGACGAGTTGTTTTTCATGATGGAAGCAATCACGTCGTCTCAGAGAAGAATTGATCCGACCATGTCAGGAGCACACGGTGTTTTGCGCTGGAACATTTCTGCATCCGAAGTTGTCTGGCACCTCATGAAAGAGCAATCCCAACCATTGATCGAATTCCAATTGAGAAACGCCGAATACGATCGTACTGATAACAGCGATGGTTCGAATCACAATTTGGTCGCGATCGAGAGATTGTATGGTTTGAACCTTCTCCCAGACGCCATATACCCTCAAATCATTGTGCCATATCTTGACCAAGCACGAAGCTTGGATGGTCCAGATGATTACATGCTCAGGGTCAAGTGGCATATGTTAGAGGCTGTTGCAGGAATTCCCGTTTTGGATGATTTCGAGGTGGCACTTTTCCCACTCAAGGTACAGTTAGAGCGCGAGCTTGGGCAGAAGGTGTTCGAGTACGTTTTCCCCAATGTCGGGTCGAGTGCGTTTGAAAATGGTGGCTTCTCGCCAATGATGATCAAAAACATGAAGCCACTCGAAGATTCAGACGACGAGCTCGATGACGATGACGAAGGAAGCCCACCGCCGCCTACAACTTCATATGGCAATGGTGACCTGTCGATGGACGATCTTAAAGGACCCGGCGCAATTGAGCTTAGGCTGCAGCCGACAATGTCGCTAGCCGATGAGGGTAGGCCGCATACTCGCTCGGGTCAGCTCAAGGGTCTCGCCATGACGCCTATCCACAAAGATACCACTCGGCTTGGGCCATCGGACAACCGTCCGCCACTTCGCCCGAGCACTAGTGGTGGATTGGGCAAGAAGAGATCCGTTGACAGCTTGCGCATTCTGTCAAGAACGCATACAGAAAAGCCACTGGCCAATACCAATGCCTCGAGCAGTACTGCTGTAGAGGAAAAGACCAAGAAGTTCAACCTGTCAAGAAGAAACAAAACCAAGGAGGCCCAAGATGAAATATCTCAAATGATGTCTCGCGCGTCCAACTATATGACACTTGCGCACGTCAAGGTCCAAGATGTGGTGCTCTGTCTGAGTTACAAAGGCAAGGGCGAACACAACATTGAGGATCTTCATGACTTTGTCTTCCGGTTGCCGATTCTAGAATACCGGAACAAAACCTGGTCTAACCTCGATCTTGCTTTGCGCCTGAAGAAGGATGTGATCAAGGCTCTCATTTCTCACACGCCTGCAATTCTCGGCAACAAATTCTCCCACCACCGACCTTCCAAGCAGCAACTGAAACGGTACCGCGAGCTTGCAAATTCGTCCCAACTTCTGCATAACCCTGATAGCTCTGCGAACACGATTTCCGATAAGAGTCAAGCCAGTGCCGACTCCAACAGCGAGTACTCGGAATCGCCATCACGAAGGTCCTTCCAATCGAACGCTTCTCCTCTTGGGCGATCAAATTCCCTGGGGTCTAGTATGCAAGACGGCGCACCATTATCGGATTCTCGTTCTGCAAGTGAAGTGGATGTGGATTCTCGTTGGGAGGTAAGTTTTCTGGCCCGCTTGAAATATGAGAAAATACTAATTGGTTTACAGCAATCTCGCCGGTTGATCAATCCTCCCAACCGGCCCATGACTTCGGGCACTACAATCACAACTGTTCGGACCAAGACCTGGACTGGACAGGATGAAGGTCACAAGAATACGATTCGAAACTTTGGGCGGAAGTTGATGCCGTCTCGGAAATAAGTTCGACTCGAAGATGAATTCATGCGCCGGCAAAGGCTTCCAACGCACCCTCTTATACTCACCAACCTCCTAGCACCTTTATCCTCTCCCTCCAAACATGTCCTTTATTAATTTCTCCTGTCATCTTTGCATTCCCTGCGACACCCAGCGTCTTCTACTATGAGATACCCCAAACGCAGTGGGTCGTATATAGGCGTCAACCTCTTTCTATTCTTGGAAGTTTTGAAGTTTTATTCATTCTCGCTTTTGACATTTTTTCCTTTGGTTTTTACCTATTGTTTCCCTTTCTGTCTGTATTATTGTTCGTTCAACCTTACCTTACCTTGCTACTTTTATACTCGATTACTCCACCTATGTCCTCATAATCCTTTTTCTTTCTTGCCTTTTGCTTTCTCCCCCTTGATCATTTCCGGGTGTTTGGATCCATTACTAGCATGTGCATATTTTAGAGATGGAAAGGTTATATGGCGACAGCGATGGCGATGGCGATGGCGATGGCGAAATTCAAATCGGGTTTACTACTCTGTACAGTTCCATATCAAGGCTGTATAGACAACTATACAAGACACGGTACATACATATTGGGACTTCTTTGTTGGGTGGAATGGACTTGGATTGAATGGAACTGGTATATAGAAAAAGGACAAGTTTCGAATTGAAGAGATCCAATCAACCTGGCCGTGTTGGTTAAGGTCATTAACTACTTTTTTACTACTGAGTAGGTGTGGTAGGATACATAGTACTAAATTTAAGATTACATTTTTTTCATAAACGCCAGGGTATCCATGTACATATGGTACAGTGTAATTAAAGAAAAGCAGGAGCAGCGGTATTGCATTTCCATCCGAACCCATTGTTCTTGGATGGGTAGAAGTGACCATTCGCCAAGTCAATAGAGATAAAACAGACGTATTTAGTAAATGGTCATGGATGGATTAAATGCAATAGATAGTAGATAGTGGCATGTATCAAGTCATTAGGAGCGTTATAGGTAGAGTATGCATCGTTCGCCCGGTTGAGTTGGACGGTTATACATTGGAATGAGCATCAGAAGGCGTAGACGGGGCAGAAGGTTTCTCGCGGAACCACGGGAGGAGCTGAGGTATACTGTCCTGGACGGTCTTGAAACGGGTTCGGGCTGTTGGGGCAGCAGGATCATCGGTGTACGGGATGCCACCTTGGCCGAGATTCTGTTGCCAGGCTTCCTTTTCGCGGCGGAGATCGCTCTGCACCCATGGGATGGTGATGAGGGTCCAGAGGATGGCCCAGGCGAAGGGGAGGGACCAGCCCAGCTGGGGGAATTAGTTTGGATAAAGGAGCCAATGGCTAGGGCTGGCTGGGACTTACCGTGTAGGCGATGTTCTCGGGAGTAGTGAAGATCACAGCCGTAATGGCTGCTGCAAAGATGACTGAGCCACCTCCCCAGAAGCAGTTCATTTCGAAGAGCATGCGCCGGAAGTACGGACTGGATAGATATCGAGTTCGCAGGGCGTACCGGTACATCTGACCACCACCTCCATCCACGGCAACCACATCTTCAATGAGAACGTAGAGGGCTGTCGGCATGACGGAGCCTTTCGGCGTTGAAGAAATGCGAAAAGGGGCCTTATGTCCACAGGCACGGAGGACGTCGAGGGATAAGTGGACGAGACCAAAGTAGAACATGACGGTAGGGAGAACCATGGCGACGAGGCGTACTGCAAATAATGAGTATGGGAAATAAACGAATAGAAAAGAGACTCCTACCATATGGCTCTTTAGGTACAGTGCCACTGCCATCGTGTTAGTTTGCTTCATCCGACTAAATACCGTTCAGCACTTACACGATGAGCTCGACAGCCAAGATCAACCACACAATGGTGAAGTTGATTTGGAAAAAGTCCAGCTAGATAAGAGAGACAGCGTCAACAATCCATTCAATCCACCCGCGCAGTATATCCAGCGCCTTACCCATGATCTCCTGGCATTTAGGGGTCTCGCCCGAGAATGCTTCTTGAACAGATTATAGAGTCGATAGAAATATTCAAACACGGAGATACCGCCCAACGAAGCCGTGACGATAGAGAAGACTAGATGAATCGCAAGCCATTAGCGATGAACAAACAAACAGACAGACAGACAAGGGAGAGATGGAAATACACAGCACATACCCAAATTGTGCGAGAGATCCGTCGCGTACCACAGGCCCCAATACAGCGCCACCGGCTGACCCAAGGTGTCGAGGACGAAAAGGATCCAGAAGAAAGCAATGGACTTCTTCCTGGTACGCAGGGAGTAGGGAAGCGGAGGAGGCTCTGATGCGACAGTAGCCCTTCCTTCTTCTTCCATCGCAGTGGCGATGACTGGATAGATAAGCGGTACGGATGAGCTGATGGGATGGGAAGAGGTGCCTTTTTTTTGCCCTTAAACGGCGGGTGTCATGGCGAGATGAGGTAGATAAGATGGAACAGCAAGCAACACAAGGCTATTTCATAGAACCAGACAAAGACATCAGATCCATAGTCCTTCAGCGGAAGCCGGCGGAGACAGCCAGTTTTTGGACGGCCTTTGGTGGCAGAGAACAAGGAAGATCCGTTCCCGGGCGACACAGTGCCTGACGTAACTGCAGTGATGTCATCATCCAGTGGCTACATACTATACAGGGGTAGTATTGTTCGCATTGTTATTGTTGTTCTTTTATTAGTCTCATTCTTATTACTACATAGTACAATCCCACTAAATACTATGTAATCTCCAGATAATGTAGAAATCCGATTCTGCCGTCTTATCCTTGATGCTTTTTTAGGCTTGCCGATGCCCGATGGTGATCCTCACGTGATGAGTCCAGACTGGCGATCTTTTGATAGTGAAGTTATATTCATTATTATTAAATATTAACACATATATATATATATTACAACCAATACAGATTAAAATATCCGAGTAATACTCGGCTTCACCCACAACGGCTTCTCGCACTGTCGACCGTTGCGCCAGTTGGCGATCTTTTCCAGATCCCATCCGGCAGAGAGACGATTCCCATCGGGAAGGTCGGTTTTCGGTCCCCCGAGTCGGACTGTGCGCACAAAGACACAGTGGCCGGATGAATCGTAGGTGTATTCCAGACATTCCGGATGGTCGTGGCAGGCAGCTTTACAGGCTGCCATGGAGGCGTGACCGGGCGATTCGAGGGGTTCTTGCCAGCCACCCCAGTCGCCGTTATCCCAGTCGGTTTTTTGCTCAAAGGTGCCGATCTTGTGGTAGTCGATCAGGTCTGCATAGAGTAGAGGTTGCTATCATTGTTAGTGATACTCTGGCATATCAGACGGAGATACATACCTTCTGACCCCTCTGCTGCTCATATTTCGACAAAGACTCCATATCCGAGTAAAGTGTCTTGTGAAGGGTGATTACCGGCTGACACCAGTGCTTATCATCAAAAGGAATCCCATGCAGGGGATGAGGATTAAACATAGGCCACAATCCCGACAGTTTAATCCCCTTCTGATACAACACCCACCCCAGTATCGAATCCCCACAGCAATCCTCACGAGCAAGCTGCTGGTACTCTTCCGTCAACGACGGCGAAGCAAACTCCCCATTTGCACCAGCCTTCCGGACAACCGCCTTCTGAACCGCCGCAGAGGAGAGGACAAACCCAGCACCCCCGTACGCGAACCACGTCGTCTCATCATCCTTGTTCTTCCTACCCGGCGAAGGCGACCCAAAGTAGAGCGGTGTATGGTGATTATAGCTGTCCAGCAGCCGGAACAGATTATCCCAGACGACGTAGGTGTCACTCTCGATAAACACGAACCAATTGGCCGTCGGATTGACCTCGTAGGCGTATTCGACCATGGGGAGGAACTTGAACCGATCCAGCTTCCAGCCCTTTGCGCCCGTCATTTGCTTTTCCGTATTCGTGTTCGTGGCATTGCTCTTGATGGTGTGGTTTACGTAAAAGGCCTCGTAGGCTTCAAAGTCGACAGTATTGTCGACACGGTAGGAATGCGGAAGGGTCGCGATGATGTCGTGGACATGGTGCGATTTCAATTCCTGCTCGTGGTCGGAGACAATGATGAGATTCGAGATGCAGCGGGTGGCCGTTGCGAACTGGGCCTCGATGCGATCGGCGGGTTCGGAGGCGCCAATCTTCAACACGACCTGGACGCGCGGGAGGATTTCGGAGGGGAAGGAATCGCAGATGTCGGGCTCGGACGACGCGGCGCTGGGCGAGGGACGGAAACGAGAGACGGTCTCCCAGGTCCAGAAGTCGGGCGAAGACGGGGATGAAGGAGGTGAGTGTGGTAACAAACGGGCGGAGGGATTGCCGAGTCTGAAGCTGAGGAAGGCCAGGATGCACAGGGCCAGTAGCACGAGGGCTGGGATGGTGACACGGCGAGAGGGCATTGAGGGTTTATTTTTGAAGTTGATCATGGTGGGATAAAGAGGAATTATAAAGAATCATAGAAAGAATCGACATAATTAGAGCATGTTGGGTGAGACAACAATAGGAGATTCAGCCCTGCTGCTATCATTTTCCTGCATTTTAGTCTGCGGGGATAGCGGTATGTCTACTCCACATAAGCTAGAAAATCTAGAAAATCTAGAAAATACTAGAACAACTATCTAAATAATCAGACAATTATAAGAATATAATTATCCTTTGAACAATTGATGTTTCTCTGCATATAAACTGGGGCAAACTCAATTCTTTAGCCGACAGGAACCATGGGTGGATAATTGGGGCTATCCATAGACAGCATCATCTACAAGTATGCAGTAGAAATACTACAACCCTCTTCATGCCTCGATCGCAAACAGCGCGAGGCATGGCACTGCCACACTGGGATACGCGCGGATATAGCAATACAAGACAATGAATGGTATAGTTTGCAGAAATTCTGCGTATTTCCAGTGCAGGGCAGCAACCACGGTTCAACATCCCATCCCATGGAGGCCGGAAAAGGTTGCCCAAAAACATACCTATACATGAAGAGCCCCTTCAATCTCTTAAGACTGTGAGAGGACTAGAAAACCAACGGCGGTCCCCTTGACATGTTTCGCGGATGGAAGATCTTCCGAACCTCAAGAGGGCTTGCCAGTGATGGACTCCGGATTGATGGTTGCGTGAATCCAGCCAAATCCGTTCCACCCACATTAGAGATCAACTGGCGAGTAGGACCAAATACGGAGTATACGACTACAATAATAATGATGCCAATCAGAATATAACAGGGTTAACTGTTAAACCTAATCATTGGAATGGTGGCGAACCGTTGAAAATCAGGATACGCCATCTTGCCCAGGAAGAAGATGCTCGCGGACAGGAAATACGCCCGAGCCTGGATCCGCCAGACGCGCGCCCATGTGTCATCCGGTAGGTTTCTCCATGCGTCGAGAACCCCAGTGGGAGGGTGTGTTTTCAGTCTCGGATCGAGGGGCACAATCAACTGGTCGTTGTCGGGTAGCATGGATGCCGCCATTCGGATGAGACCCGTTCGTGCCGGAAGGGTAGCCATACTTGTGATAAAGTACGGGATCAGGCCCAGAACTCCCAGCTTATAGCCTGGACGGAGGGCCTGGGGACCACCGGAGCTCAGAATATCTTGGACATCCATGAATCCAGTTAGAGTTGCGAGACGACTTGCGAGCTCAAGAGCATACAGTGACAAGAACCGGTCGGTGATGGCGTCCAGGAGAATGGCGGGGAGCACGCGGATCCAGCATCAGGGCCCGGGAAGTCTTTGATGGATGTACTTTGGAGATGGCTTGGTGATGATGATGTGGATCCAGAGAACTTGAAAATTAGCCAGAAGGCCGGCGAAAAGAACCGAACGCAGGTCTTCTCTCCAGGAGCTGCCAGCTGTTGGGAGTAGCGCTGGGAGAAGAGCACTCCAGACGAAATCATAGGTGATGAACAAGATGAATCCGCGCAGCCAGAAGAAGGGATCGGCTTGGGCGTGTAAATGGGAGATCGTGGTGCGGAACGAGTTGGTGATGCCGGGCTGGGGCTGTTCAACCATGGCGATCGTTTGGATAACCATTGCATAGGAGTATTGAGCCTGAAGACAAGTGAGAGACGTCGCTATACTGGACTAGGTACATACTCACCAGCCACCATAGCGCGATGCAAAGCTCGGGCAACATTGTGATGAGAACCAGAAGAGGTGGAGAGTCAGACTCGACTGATTATGAAAAAAAAGGAAAGACTGGGAATTAACTTATATATCCCTACAGGTCTGCCAGCTGGCGGGGCAGAGTGGCACTAGAACACCCTCGGTTGAGGCTATCTGACTCAATGCAACCCTCCGGGCCATTTGAGTGGAGTTCTCGTTCTTTTCGATGTTTCTCATGTCTTTTTGCATTTTGGGGTATGGGATTTAGGGGTTCGGATACTAGATTCCTGCTTCCTTTGGCGAAGCGCCTGCATAGCTAGTCACTATAGACGGCTCCAACAGGGCAATAGAATCTGATCAATTGATTGATCAACGTTGACATACCTTGACAAGCATATTGACTCAATTTATCACATTTTCTCAGTCAGATCCCTTAACTGTTTCCCATGCTTGTGGATGAATGCTTTGAGTCACGTTCCCCAGACCCGGCGACAGCTAAAGCTCTGGGGTATAGGATCCCCGATTGAATATTCGTGACTGCCCTCAGCAACACGAAGGTGGCGGGAATCCATTCGGGGGTGATGACGCACGAGCTGGACTACTTTGCGAATCTAATCCACAACGTCAACTCGATCGAGCCGCACGACTTTCAGGTTGTGCCAGATCACGTTCAACGAGAACGAACAACAGGCTCTGGAAGCCACAGATACCAAAGTACGACCAGCCCAATGCACCGTCCCACCGGGCGATCAGCTCATCATCCCCCGCGGGGGCCGCAATTGTGCTGCTCGCAGTGGTGCTGTTCAACAATTGCAGCTGGAAGATGCAGCTGGCGATGGGTGCGGCGTGTTTTGTCCTGAACATCGAATACTGGCTGTTGGCGCTGCTGGTGAAGCCGACGACGATGGGGGGATTTTAGTCGCTACTGTTGTGCATCCAGTGCCAGTGGAGTACAGGTTGTCTGCGAGTAGGCAGAATTACCCCCCAAACGCTGTGGTTGGCGATCCAGCGAACGCAGCCCACCGAGTGGGTGAAGCGCTCTGGTGTCAGGCCAGCAAGCATCTCGATGACCCGGGCTGGAGTGCGGTTCAGGCCAAAGATGAAGCTGTTTGGTCCATCCAGGGCCTAGTGGCGATCAGTTGATGACCTCTAGATAGCCATCTACAATTCTACCATCTATCCAGTGCAGGATGTCTCAGATCCAACCAACCAGTATTCCGTCGGGGACTCGGGATCGGATAAGGCTGTACGGCTGCATCATTACTAGACTTCCGGGCCGACTGTGCAGATGGCAGGCTGACAGGCAGGGCTTCACTAGTTCGACTTACGTGGATCTCTGGAAGCATCCAAAGCCCCCGAACCCCCTGTGTTGGCTGTTGTCTATCTTCGGTGTGGACTGTCGCGTCGTTCGTTGATCGGCAGCTCCACCAAACTGTAGCCTTGTAGGTATACTAAAACACGCTAGAAGAGGCTTAGAGACGAAAAGGATCAAAGGATTCTCTTCCCATATATTCTGTCTTTTTATTCTAAATATCCTTCTCATATCTCTAATTCTCTATCCATACCTCTGTCTTCACCTACAAAATGAACTCCAATAATCCCAACATCACAGCCCAGTGCTCTCAAGACTTCAACTCCGTCCAATCAGTGCCCTTTTCCTATTCTTGCGGAGTGCCCCGATTCACCACCACTAATGCAACCAACACCACCGAAATCCTCGAGTCTTGCTGCAACGGGCCAGTCGCAGTACACGGCGATCCAGATCCATGCTGGATCTACTGCAATGGGACCAAACAGACGGTGGACCAGACATACAAGTGTCTGATTCATTCTAACGCTGTCCCGGCTGCCATGTGCAATGAGAAGGAGAATGGTACGAGCAGGAATGGGGTTTCCTCTGTGTTGGGAATGGTACTGGGGTTGATGTTGTTTATGTTGGCTGTTCTGTGATGCTATCCGGATGTTATGATGGGTGGGTATAGATGGGATGGTGTATCTGATATCATGAATAACTGCATTTTTCATGTTCATTCTGCTTTAAACACGAATTGTCAATAGATGTTAATATCGGATAGTCTATAATAAAATAAATAATAAATGATGCTACTTTCTATCGAAGATGTATGCCTGAGGCATAAATCACGTGCTACCCCGCCGAAAGCGTCGTTTTCTTCGCCGCCGCCGGTTCGAATCGCGCCTTTCGCCATCAGGAAAAGATGACGTCCAGACGGCGCTGCATCGATTCTTTTCTCCTGCATCGCTGAGTCCATCAGACGTGTTGATTATCAGTTGTTTTTCTCATAATCATGGGGACAGTATGGCCCCCAGTCTACGAGATTTGATTGATTTCCTGTTGGCAGAGATTGCTCTGTGTGGTGATCAAGGTACGTTCTTTTTCTTTTTTTTCTTTTTTTTTTCTTATCTGCCCATGTGCTTTTGGTGTAAATCCCTGCAGCAAACTAGTGCATATCATAGCATCTGGATCCATCCAATAATTAAACATCCGATATAAACCATCATTTTAAACATTTAAATTATTCATGCTAACATCTTCAAGGAGCTTCATCTTCGGATGTCCTCTCTTTCATCGATGCTTTCTACAAAAAAGCTCAAGATGCAAAGCATCGAAATCACCTCGTCGACAGACGCTTCCAGGAAAAAGTCTGGTCTTGGTTAACCAGAAACCCAGAAGTTTCTGTCGGTAAAAATAAAGAGAGTAACCATCTCAGTCTCAATGATGTCGAGCAAGCAACCCGCGATGCAGACCCGGATCACCCCCCAGTCCGGGTCTTTGTCTCGGAACAGCGAACATGGCTTGCCATCACCGGCCATGAACCGGACGAAACCAAGGTCCTGCCGACGGAATTTGCCCTCTTGTCTATCATCGCATCGCATAAATCAGACGGTGTCGCCCAGACAGAGTTGGTCAAACTCAGTGGCCAAGATAAGCGCTCTGTGCCCAAGAGAACCGACATGCTACAGCAAAAGGGGTATATCGAGAAAAGAGCCATCCAGATCAAATCCGCGCGGACGAGTCTTTGCACCCTGCGCAAATTCCTCAAGCAGGAACCTCTACCCACCGAGACACCAGTCGGTGACAAGGACCAAGGGGATAAAATTATTGACTTTGCAGTGTTTAACGAGAAGCTCTTTAAAATCCTCAGAGAGTTCAAGGTCATCTCCCGTATTGATCTGAAGCAGATGTTGGGGTTTGCCGATGCGTGGCGGTGGCGTGTACTCTCGCGCGCGCTTCGCAAATTCGAGCGTGTAGGCGTCCTCAAGCGTGTCAGGGCGATGTCGCAGTATGCGGATACGATGAAAAAGTTCCATCCCTGTGTCATGCTCATTCGGGACCCGACCGAAAGGGACATGGAGCTGTTTCATGAATTTAGTCGAAGCATCTTTACAAATATAGGACGCGAAGATAATGCAGAGTTGGACGAGGATGTGGATGGCGCTATCAGACAGCCAGATGATGTTGATACGGTCAGCGTGGCAACTCGTAGTGAGGAAAACGTGGAAGAAGCTGGTCGGACGCTGCCCACCTGGACGCCGGATCGAAATATACACAACATGCTTTTTGACACTGTTGATGGCGCGGGGATATCTGGGAGGACCAACTACGTGAGTCAAAACGATTTTCTGCAGAGGTTTAAACTGACATACGACAGAGTATCATCCGGACCTGTTTTGGGTCCTTCTTCCGTCGGCCGTTGGAGAACGCCCTGACCCGTCTAGTGGAATGCTGGCAACTATCACAACCTCTACATCTACGTCATCTTGCAATCGTCCGAGACACCGCTCTTGACCGAACCGTCACCCATTACGTCCACTACTCCACAACAAATTTCCAAAAGCTTGTCGATGCCGGAGAAGCGCCATGGGAAGCCGTTGAATTCGTCCCTAAAGGCCCTAAGGATGGCACTGTCACTATACCCCCTGTTGACGCCACTCCTGAACTCGACGAATATGGACTTCCGATTACTGGACCGACAAAAGAGTTGTTTAGAGATGGCAACTCTACTCTTCTTGAATGTATGGCAGTCGTCAAGCCTGTGGATTATGTTTTATCTGGCAGTGACCCTCTGGCAATACGGCAAGAAGATGGCACATACAGCGTCCGGTATGGACATCAAAAACTCCCATCTGGAACCCTCCACCGTATCAAAACCGTTGGTCGACCAAAGGGTACACCAAACCGACCCAAACTGGAGGACCTGGAAAGCCAAGCCGGCGCTGTAGATGATGCTGTCGACGAGGAGCTCGTTTTTGCCAAGCCTAAGAAGCCAAAACACGACCCAGACCGTTTCAAAGGAATGACTGAGAAAGAGAAACTTGAGGCTCTCGGTTTGGACGAAACATGGACTGAGTACAGCATCCTTCTAATCGATCGCCCGACGCCCGGTGTCTATATCACCCCACGTGGCCGACGACGACCGGCAGGGAAACGACAAGGTCGTCCAAGAATCAGCCGGCTGGCGGTTTTTAAATCACCACAACTGAAAGCACTCCCTTGGTTTGTCGAACAGGAAGAGGAACAAGAAAATACCGAAAGCGTTTCGCAAAGGGATTCGCAGGCACCTGGCACCGAAACTCCTGCTGGGACACCGGCGCGTGAACCTACCTCTTCCAAGTTTTCTGAACGCCGGTTTGGTGGAGTGTCTGGAACGTCTAAATCTCCAGCTACGCCTTCAAGAAGGGGAAAGAGGAGGAGGGGGTTACAGCGGCAGGAGTCTTTCGAAGCAGAGTCTGTTCCGGGGTCAGCTAGATCTTCGAGAGGGCCATCGAAGCAGCGACGCCTTAATGAACCAGAGAGGGGTTCACAAGATGTAATCATGTCTTTGGACCGAGATTCTGAGATTCCCAAACCTGCTGAAGATATACCTGTTGAAGATACTACTATGGACACAGCCGAGACTCCTGTGAAGGAACTTAAACGGAAGAGGGCGCAATTGCCAAAGGTTACAGGGCCAGCAAAATTTGAAGCATCAGAAGTTGTTCAAGATCATATCATTGACCCAACGCTGATGCCGACTCCGCAAGAGGATCAAACAAAAAGACCTCGTCGTGACTCTCAACCGCCACAAGATCAAGTGGATGTTTCTGTTGCTCCAGTAGAGACCCCGAAGCCGCCAGCTCCGTCGGAGCCGTCAGAAGCTGGGGTTATTGAGAAAACCACCACTATTCCACCCACTACACCCTCAGGCCCTGCAATTGAACAAGATGCAAACCTAACACTCAATGGGCAACAAGACTCAATTGTTCCTGATGCCCCAGTCATCTCTGAAGAAGTACCTGAAAGCGGTGAACGCGATGGTTCAATGGTTCAAGAAGGGAAGTGGTTTAAAAGAAAGACAGACAAAGGAGGCTCTATTGCCTTTTTGCGGCGAAAGATCATCATGGAAATTATTGAAAAGGCCGGTGGTGCATATCCCATGGGCACTGAGCTTTGGTATCCGTTCATGACAGCGTGGAAAAAGACAAAACACAAAGAAAAGCCAGATCTGCGCACGATCAGGAATTCAGTTAAGCAGATGGTAGACAGTGGCAAGATTCGGCAGCTTACTTTCAGCGGCAAAGACAGCAAAGGAGTGATGGTTACGAAGAAAATCCTAGTGAAAGCTGAGCTTGCGCCGGATGATGCCATTATTCAAGATTTGCAGAAAAACATGCTGTCCACTGAAGAAAGGTTCTATTTCCCGCCAAACACTGAAATCGACGCGGACGTGACCAAGAGCGGCGGCAGGACAATTGCTCGTCGCAACGAGCCCAAGATTGTCCCCCAACTCCCGGTTGAGACTGGGGTCACGGTCCATCTACAAACGAAGCCGGCCTTTGTCGTGGCGCAGGAAAAGAGGAGAGGCCAGAGTATTCACAGGAAATTGTTACATAGTCTGGGTCTTGAAAGCGAATCGCCTAGACAACGCCGGTCCAAGGTCGTTCGACTTTTGAAGATTCAACGCGGATCTACGATGAGCAATCTTACGTCCATCTCGAGGCCACACGGTGACGAGGGCATTGAGCATGTCCAGAGGCGCAGAGCCCCCGGTGGCATGAAGCGACTTTTAAAACCGATATCTTCACTGGGCCCGTACGCGATGTCTATGAATCCAAAGCAGGTATTCCATCCGACAAGTGGGACCTTTGGAACACATGCTGGCCTTGCGGCTCTCCGGGTTAGGCCATGGCCTAGAGAGGCCCGAGAAGCTCGAGAAACTCGAGAAACTCGAGAGGTTCGGGAAAAGCCAGCGTTTGAGTTACCGCAGTCGCTTGAGGAGCTATTCCATCAAACACGACGAAGATCTCTCGGTCAGAAGACCGAAACGCGCAGGTTTTTCTCTGATAACGATGTGATTCTCAGATGGGAGCTTCAAAACGAAGAACTCCTTGAAGAGGCAAGAACTGAGGACCTTCATTATATCAACCAAAGTGTTCAGTATTCCTTCGAGCCTGCACCGATTGACGGTGATATCCGATTTGCCTTGGAGGATACTGGCCATGAAGTAGCTCGGATTAAACGACGCGTTCCACCTAGGAAAAAGCCCCCTCGTCGTCCTCAGAATGTGGAAATGGAACCGGCAGAACCGGACGTTTACGAGCCATCCAAATATGTTCCGCAGAACCGTCGTCTCACGAAGTTGAGTGAGTTGATGACTACCGATGGGATGGATGCGAGCATGGCCGCTGCTGCGGGTCCTGCTACGAGACAACCGGCTCGTCGCATGCGCGTTGGATACCAAGTATCCCACATGTTGGTCCAGAAGGTCCTGACTGCAATTGTGGCCGTTCGAACATTAGCAGGCGGTACTGAAGGCAGGTCTATAGACTGGTCTCTTGTCGCGAAAGCCTTCCCAGGATACGATCCGAAGTTTATTCAGGAGCGAGGAAAGGCGGCACTGAACAAAAGCCGACTTCAGGCAGCCAAGATGCAGAGTGATTTCCAGGAGCGGTTTATCGAGGCGTACGAGAATGGCCAAGTCCCCAGTATCAACTACGAATATCTGGAATCGTATGATTGGGAAGGCGTTGTTGAGTGGGCGACTACACAACTGGATGTTCCTACGTCTGAGAAGCTACCGGATCTTCCTGCTACACGAGAACAGTTTGATGGAGTGTTTGAACTACGCGAAGAAGCACCAACAACCGTTGACGAGATCTACCAGAATCCTCAGTCGCTTACTGTCTATCGGAAACGCACGCTTTTCGCCGGAGTGCCGTTCGCAGTACCATTAGAGGATCGAGCTGCCAAGACGACGCCTCGGAAGGAAGAGCTGTCACGTTTGGATGCGGCCAAGGCGTGGGTTCGCGCCAATATAATCACTCCGGAAGAGACGTATCGGCCTGCTGAGGCTCGACAAGCGCTTGAGGTATTTGGGGATGCAGTTATTGGAAGCGCTGTGCAGTCTCTAGTAACCGAACGTGCAATCTCGATGGGCAACGGAGGACGCATCATGCCTGGACGCAACTATGATATCACGGATCACTTCATTTTCACCCTGGGACGCAAGCGGGCGATTGAAAGTACACAACTCCGACGCGCAGCACGATTCAAGACTGAGATTCTGGACCCGGAGCTTCGAGAACGAGGAACGTTTGATGTCAAATACAGCTCCGAGGACGGTGACATTCTGGCTCTGATCAACCTCGCGGCAGAAGGAAAGGTGACACTGAAACCACGAGACCCGCCTCGCGAAAAGTACGGCTTAACAGACGGAGGGTATCTCACTCGCCAAATGGACAAAGACAAGCTACGGTTCTCCATCGAGGCCCAACCCATTCAAGGGGCATACGTATACGGGAACCCGATCCAAGAGCGCATGTCGAGTCTCCCACCCCCATGTCCGCCGCGAGTCATCGTCCAACCGACCATCTCATTACCTGAGAAGATCCCGATCTGGCTAGACATCCACGGCGAATTCGTCAAGGTGCTCTGGGATCTCGTCATTGCAACCGTGGCAGGGTGTGTGGCAATGCGTCCGGGCATTAGTGCCGTCAACATCGGCAACATGGTCAAGCCGATGATGGGCGTGTGGGAGGTCCAGCTGCTGCTTGAGTGGATGGCTGCCGTTGATCTCGTCCGGCGAGTGGGCGAGGACGCTGGCGAGCATACGGAATGGGTGGTTCAGGAGTGGTGGTGGATGGTACTGGGATAGAGCTCCGGTATTGTATGTACGTTTTATGTATGTTGATGATCATGTCATGTACGAGTAGTCGCATCTCAATAGATTCAAGATTTGATGTTCATTCATCTGATACTACTATGATCATCTCGTGATACATGTTTATCGTGACTCTCATTGGTCCAAAGTGCCATCCAAAAGATGTGCTCTGATTGGCTGTCTGCGTGTTTACAACCTGCCATCACCTGATCAGGACTGGATTGTTTCTGTTGCTCTGGACGACATCAATTTTTATATTATTCACTTCAACAGTTCACAGCTGAATCTCAGTGAACATGAAGATCAGATCGACATCTCCACTCCATCAACGTGGGTATGCCAAGAACCCACCTCTGCAATATGTATCGACAAGTTCGAGGCCTTTCGTTTCTCCGACGCTGAAAAAGGAATATGTGATACACACAATCTCTACTATCTATCGTGCAATTCTTAAACGGGCCAAGCCGACCGGATTTTTCCGGTATGGACTAGCAAATAGTTAATAAATAATGTGCGTGCGTCTTCCTGTTTTCTGTTTCTGGTCATACGCCAATCGCCAATTCTCAGTACGTATTCTCCAGTTTCAGGATGAAGCTGCTCGGTCTTGTTGGGGTGGTTAGTGCTTCGTTGCTCATTGCGAATGCGGGCTCTGTTGGTGTTGATGCCGAGCCGCCAGCTGTTAATAGCAGTGTTGTGCAACGGCATATGTTGGCTCGAGATGCGATGGTTAATTTGGAGAAGAGACAGCGGCAAGGTTGGTTTTTTTTTTTTCCTTTTTTAAAATATATATATATATATATATATATATAAAATCACCCCCTTGCTCAAATGGATGGGCTTGTTGACATTCCCAGATTACACCTTCAAGCAGAACCTGTCGCCTACGGCCCAAAAGGCCGACGCAATTACCAGGGCAATCCGCCAGGAAGAAATCGAGGAGTACTGGAGAAAGCCCGCAGCCGTGGGCGATGAGGAGAATGAGAGGTTTGCAGGGGAGATGTTCCCCAAGGCTAGGCCGTTGATGCTTTCCACGAAGCTGTGGAAGATCGTCAGGCGCATGCCCAAGGGAGCACTGCTTCATTCTCATCTGTATTCCATGCTTCCATTTAGGGCTCTCCTTGATGCGGCTTTTGATACGCCAGGCATGGCGGTGTCTGCTTCGCAGGCTGTCTCGACTGCCGACAGCCAGAAAAATGCATCTATCAGCTTTGTCCACATCAACCACACGGTTTCTTCAGGGGAGCCATCGATCAGCTCTGATGGTTATGTTTCCAACACGCTGGTTCCCCTCAATGTGGCTGCTGCGGAATTCCCTGGTGGAAGAGAGAACTTCACCGACTTCCTCATGACCAAGCTGGCCCTCACGCCGCAGGAGTCTATTCGTCATGAGCTGGGTGTAGATGAGGTGTGGAGGGTGTTTGAGAACTTTTTTGGTCCGGCGATAGATCTCCTTTCGTACGAGCCTCTCGTGAGAACTTTCTACAAGAAGCTCTTCGCGAGGCTGGTGGAAGACCACATAAACTGGGTGGAGATCCGTACTGGCGCTGGGTATTTGGTCCATGAGGGTCAGGAAGCTCAAGATAATAACCCTGATTACTGGTGGGATGTTCTGGTTGATGAGCTGAATCAGTTCAAGAACTCTGAGAACGGGACCAACTTCTGGGGTGCGAGAGTCATCTGGGCTGATACTCGGAGTTTCAACCGATCCTCGATCACTCAGAGTATGTTAGGCTTTCTTTTTCTTGTTTGAAAGTATTCTCACGTCAAGTAGGTATGAAACAAGCCATCGGGAGAAAGCAAAAATTCCCCGAGCTGTTCGGTGGCTATGATCTGGTCGGACAAGAAGACCTCGGCCATTCACTCGCCTATCACGCCCCCGAACTCATCTGGTTCCAAGAACAGACGGAGAAGCTGAATCTCACCGTTCCCTTCTTCTTCCATGCCGGAGAAACCCTCGGAGACGGTAACTCGACCGATCTTAACCTCTTCGACGCCATTCTCTTCAACAGTAGACGTATCGGCCATGGATTCTCACTGTACAAACACCCCAAGTTGATCGATGAGGTCGTCGACAACGGCATCATGGTGGAAGTCTGTCCCATCTCCAACGAAGTCCTCCGTCTCAACACGGATATTCTGCACCACCCACTACCCGCTATGATTGCCCACGGTATCCCCACTGCAATCAGCAACGACGATCCCGCCATGCTCGGACAGAATGCCCCAGGTCTGAGCTTCGACTTTTACGAAGCCATCCAGGGTTTCGATAACCTCGGTCTGGGTGGATTGGTAAGCTCCTTCCCTGTCTATCTACACCAACACTGAATAATAACTAACATAAATCAGGGCGCCTTGGCACACAACAGTCTCCGCTGGGCCAACTTCGAAGACCAGTCCGACGCAGACTGGATCCGGGACATTGACCTCAGCGAACGCGGAACCGGCACCAAGGCCAAGTACATTCAGAGCTGGAACAAGCAGTGGGAGGAGTTTTGCGAGTGGATCGTGAATGAGTATGGGGATGAATATTCGACGGAATAATTGCATTGTATGGCATTTGGTTGGAGTATGAGTTGAGTTGTTGGAGTGAAGTGATGCGGGTGGAGTTGTGGTTCATGGATACGGCTTGTTACTAATATTCTTATTCTTAATATTTCGAGGACCATACTGGGAGGTAGTATTGATGAATCGTATAACAACATTGTTGTCTTGCAATTGTAATGATTGATAGTGGGTCTATAGGTATGAATCTTCTTAAACCCACCAATCAAAAGATACAATCAGTTCCACTGGCCCCGCATAAGATCTTAGATAGACTTTGGCTCGTGGTGCTATCTGGGCATGTTTCATATACCTAAGAGGATAAGAGTATCTAGTAGTCTAGCGATGACTCTATTCAACTGCTGAATCCTACTATATCATGCAGATAGTACTGCTATTCAATGATATCCACTGTCTATACTAAAACAGATATACCATCTCCATCCCAACGAGTGAATGTCTGAAAACATAAGACAAAAGAAACCCATAACGCCCGCTTAACAATCCATAAATATAACAATCCATAACCCAGCGCCAGTGACATCAAATGCAAACATCATATATCTTTTCTTTCAGTCGTCCGAGTTTGCAACCCTCCTCAGAATCATGAATACCAGCGCAATCAGCACGCCGATAATGGCTCTATCTAGCCAGGGGCCGTCGGAGGATTGCTGTGTTGCGGGGGGTTGGCCTTGAGGTTGTGGTTGTGGTTGTGGTCGATATTCGGGGGGAGGTTGTAGAGCTGGTGTGATTGGGGGATTCGATGGTGGTGCTTGTTCTGTTGGCGTTTGAGGTTGTGGTGTTTGTGTTGTGGTTGTAGGAGTAGGAGTAGGAGTAGGGATGGGAGCTGCAGTCTGAGCAGGTTGAGCCACGGTATCGTGAGATTCCTCCTTTTCAACCTCGCATTCCTCCTCATCTTTCTCATCTTTCCCATCTTTCTTCTCCTCTCCATCCCCCTCAACCTCAACCCCCGCCTCCCGACAAACCTCCCTCCAACTCCCAAGCACCTCCTCGTTCGACCTCCCCCCCTCACAAACCTCACAACACCACCCCCGACTCTGCACCGCATACTCCCTCCTCACCTCCTCACTCACATCCAACCCACCCACCTGCCCCTTCGCCTCCCCATCCATAAAGCTGCGAATCGCAAGCAGCGCCGTCCGAATCCCCCACGCCGGCTGCCAACTCTCCTCATGGTGGCCCGAGATGCTCAGGCAGATTTCACGATTCACCTCGAACCGGCCGGTGGGCGTGAGGAAGCGGAAGCTCGGCGGGCGGAGTGGGTAGGTTGGTGGGAGGACGATGCGGCCGTGGTAGATTCCTGAGGCGTAGGGGGATGGTTCTGGTGGGCCGGCGAGGGTGAAGTGCCAGTCGTAGAGGTTGGTGTCGGAGACGGGGTGGGCGCAGAAATGGGGGGAGGGGGAGGAGGAGAGTTCGGCGGCTTCTTTCATGAGGCGGCGGAGGGAGGGGGACATTTTGTTTCTTGCTCTCTTTTTTTTTCTCCCTTTTGATTGTTTTTATAGTGGGTTTGGAAAAGTGATGTTGGTGGTTGGTGTTCAATTCATTGCTCGAAGACAAAGTAGGGATGATGAAATAATGCCAAGCTGGCCTTTGCGGTTAGCATTAGATTCATAGTGAAGACTGTTGCGGACTTTTATTTATTTGTTTTATATTCCATCTCTATATTATGAATTACTTGTTCATGAATATCAATTGAGAGTTTTTAGTTGGGGCCTAATTACAGGCATTTGTAAACTTATGCATGTTTCACCAATGCCTACGAATATATCCGGATGCAGGTCCATACATAATCATCATATATTGACACCCTCAACTAAAATAATAACTATACACCCATTGCGCCAGCACAAAATACCTAATCAGACCCATCTACCGAAAATATACACCATGCTATGCAAATCCAGCTTTCTTCGATCTAGGAAAAATCAATCCCAATCTCGCCACTCATCCGACTCATGACGACCCCGTTGAGTACGATGTGAAGCCCCGTATGCATTTGACCCGAGACTGTGACGGTTCTCGTCGAAAGTATCTTCGTAATCACTTTCCCCCGGTCTTGGGCGTGGGGACATGGGCGCCAGTGTTTTCATCGATACCCCCGTAGCGGGCCGTTCAGCATCGTAATGTGGTTCCAGCGGTTGGTTCGACCATACAGGCGCTGATTGAGTATGGTTCCCCCCAAGCCAGGCCCCACTGTTGTCCATGTTGCGCTGGTACAGATCTTGATAGTACTGTTGCTGGTCGGCCGCGTCTTGCTCCCTTGCTTGACGGGCTCTCTCCCGGGCTTCGAGGAACTTTCTGCTTGGCTCCCAGTGCCAGCCATCACCACTGGTCGTGCGTACTGGGATTGGCCAGAGAAGGGGCCGGTCTCCGAAAAGGTGCACCAAATTGCGACGCCAGCCCAAGTCAAAGGCATGCGGCATCTTCTCATTATCTTCTTCATTCAAGTACTCGTTGTAACGTTCGCGATCGCGCTGTCTTTCCAAGTCAACATACGACCGTGACAAGGCCTGCTGGGCAGGGCTGAGATTCTCCATCTGGGCTTCAGGCCCATGTTGCTGCGGTGCTGGAGATAGCCTTTCCTCCCCTTCTTCCGCTCGAGTCACGCCTGGAATGGCATTCGCGTGGGCATCCAGAATCTGATGCCCGTAGTCCTGTAGACGATGGCCGAAGCTATCCGGAGCCTGACCGTGGCTATTCCCCAACAAGGAGTCGAAACGGTTCTTATTCAGTGCTTTCCGCAACGGAGAGACATAACGGGTCTTCTCCAGACATTCGATTGTAGTCACACCACGAACAGCCAGACTGATATGCCAGGCGGTGAATCCCGTCAACACCAGCCCGATAATACCACCCAGGATGGCCAATAACACAACATTCACCGGCAAGATAGATTCCATGTACCGGGAATCATTCAGCATCTCAGTCCAAATCCACAGCGATGCCACGACAAAATCCACCCAGCAAAACACCGACGTGTAGATAAGGAACAGCAAAAAGGCCTTGTAATTGTGCAACCCAACACACGTAGCCAACCACGGACAGTGATGGTCCATCTTCAAAACACATCGTTTGCACGTCGAACAGTGATGCGCACGGTCCGGTTTCGGGGTCTGGCACTTCTTGCAGAATCGAGATCCACCCGTCGAACTGACGGTGTAAGCGGTATATTCGGGAAGTTCAGTGACGGGCAAGGCGCTGTATTCATGCCGGTCGTTGCCCCGGGAGTTGTCTTTCGAGGGAGACCCGGGATCAGTAAATACTGCAACGGAGTAGCAAAAGTTGAGACAGAGATAGAGGAAAACACCGACGATCGTACTTGGGAGGCCTGCAGTTGCACGAGATGTCAGTCACCGGTCCGCAGTTTATCCCAACTATTTCATCAGCCTACCGATCCAAGCACTTGACGAAGGCTTCAAACCAATACTGGCTTCAACGTAGACCGCCCATGTCGTAAGAGTATAGACAAAGGCCAGAGGGAAGCAAGAGAGGGCTGCACAGCAGTACCGCTCACACCGGAGAGCCCAAGCTCGGGGACGTCGTTTAGGCCATGAGGGAGACGACGGCGGAGAGGCAGCCAAGGTCGCCATTGTGGGAGATATTAACGCTTTGTACACTGGGCCAATCGATGGCTAATAAAGTGTATCAAAGCTGGATTTCAAGCGCAGACGGTGATCATTGCGACAGGAGGCAGAGCATTCCGAAGTTCCCGCAGCGTTAGTAAACGAAGGACGAGTTCTAAGAGCCTAACGAAAGTCGAATAAAACAGACAGTATAATAATAAGAGTATATCTAGAGAGATGGGCTCAGAAGTAAAGAAAAACGATTGTTGGAAGATAATTAGGAGCAGAGTAGATGAAAAAGAATGCAATGGATGGATTGTTGGTTTTGCTAGAGAAAGAGAGAGCGATCAGCGACGATTACGACGGATACGTGGAGTGTATTATTGTAATTACGCCGTCACGATCTGCACAGCCACTATATAAATAGCAGCGGATTTACAGACTTATGCATGCATAACTAACTACCAGGGCCAGCATAAGAGCAAATGCATGACTGTCATGAGTTATAGACATTATCAGGATTTAGATGCAGGAAGTGTCTATATAACAGCCTATTGGCATATTTTTTTTTTCAACGCCGCTCAAAATACGTTGCAGGATGGTCCCAAACCATAGATTATTCAAAACAATTTGCAAAACAAGTGATGAAATTCGTTAGGTATCCAATGACTAAAGTCGACAAAGAAAGCTTAGCTGGACTTGGACTCGATCTTCAATTCGCCCTGCGAGCACCAGTCTTTGATCGGCTGTTGAAAACCATGTTAGCAAATGATCTATCAGCGGATCAGTTATTATGCTGAGACTTACCAAGCAACTTAATCTGTAACACCACGAGCAATTCGACTCGTAGTACTTATAAAAGTTCACAATGAGCAAGATGAAGCCAACGACCACAGCGACCAAGGCCCCAAGTCTCACCAACCACCATGCCCACCACAAGGGCTTGCGGCCCTTGAAGAAACCCAACGGGCCCGAGGGTTCCTGGGAATCAGAATTGAGTCCCCGTCGACCCTTGAAATAGTCAACAATGCTTGGACTCGGCTGGTTTGTCTTGGTATCTTCTTCCGGATTGCCTCCAGCACCACCGCTCATGGCCACGTACGGGTTACGGGCCAGACCGATACGCTCACGCAGAGCATTGGGAGAGCGCAAGAGACACAGTCCGAGAGCAAGACCCATGATGAAGCCACCAATGTGTGCGAAATTGTCAAGACCCGGCAGCAGGCCTAGGACAAAAGAGATGCCAACTCCAACGATCATGATGACCAGCTCAACCCACGGTGATGGCCGATCTCTCCAAGTGTAGAAGAGATCCAATAAGAAAACCGCCATTACGCCGAATAGACATCCCGAGCATCCAGTGACGGCGAGGCCCTGGGCGGAATAGTTTCCACCGAGCACAAAGCCAAAGATTCCACTGGCAAAATAGACCAAAGAGTACCGCCACCAGCCGATCAACTTCTCCAGATCACAACCCATCGTCATCTGTGCGAGCATGTTGAACCCGATGTGAATAAATCCGCTGTGGAGGAACATGGGGATAATGAACCGGTACCACTGATTGGGCTCAGGGCGATCGTCGAGAGATCCTCCGGCATGAGGATTGGGGACTCCACTGAAGCCACACAGTTGGGATAGGGTGCAGTCTGTGGCACTGGTTGTTGTGTTAGGGCAGCCGAATTGGACAGCAGCTTCTTTATTATTTTGTACTCCGTTGACATTCTTCATGCACGGCGTATAGCGTGCTCCCATATTGATTTGAACCCATGGCGAAGGGCCGATCATCGGGTTGAATGAGGGATGGATTTCGATTGGGCTTCCTGTCAGTTGAGCTACGTAGCCATGTCAGTAAACAAACCACCAATTCATCTTAATCTGCACATACCGCTCTTGACCAACTCGACAATGAAGACAATGATCTGGACTGTCGTCAGAAGATATGTCACCCACGGCATCTTCCTGTTGAAAAATTTCTTCTTCTGTTTCCGACCCCTCGGGCCGAGTGGTGCTGCCTCCATCGTCTCTGGTGGAGGATAATGAGTGGGTTGCTGCATCCAGTCCGGCGGAGGTGCGTTCGGGTACTGATTATGCGATTTCAAAGGAATATTCTCTGAATAGTGATCACTGTCGTTCGCTCTTCCACCGGTCGGGTATGCCTCGTTGTCTGAGCCTAGTGTTTGATGACTGTGTTGGGGTTGGTGGAAGTCGTCGTCGGCGGCGCCTGCATGGGAATAAGGGCCGGATCCTGTGTAACTAGGGCTTGTAGGCGGTCGGTGGAATGGGTCGGGAGATCGAGGAGGAAGATCATCGTAGCTGGGAGGATGATTGTAAGGGCTGGATGAGTGGTAATAGTTGTTGGCTGCCATATTGGATGAACAGCCCCGTTAAGGGGGTTTCGGTCGATCAGAGCGGGAAGATGCGCAACCTGAGTCTATCTTGTCCTCAAAAGAACTAAGAAGCAGATAGATAGACAGTCCAAAGCAAGAAATCGTGATGCAAGTTGATAGATAGTCAATCGGCAAGTCGCCCCGGTCGCAGGACAAATGCTGAAACGGCAATTAATCTCCCCAGGGACCGGATAAAAAAAAGCGGATGACAGGGCCACGAGGTTTCTTTTCTCTTTGAAGGGAGAGAAAACGAGTGACGAAGAAGAAAAAGAAAAGAGCCAAAGCAACTCAAAAGATGGAAAATAATAGACTGATGATGAACGGCGACTAAAATAAAGATAGACCAACCGATTAAAAACACGGCAGAATCAGAAATCATTAGGCAGTCACTTTAGGTGGTGTTATTTTTGGCGGGCGCGCGGCACCCAAGCAACTGCGGCCGATCATCGTCGTCAGCGAGTTATGTTGTGCCCGGCTGTCACAGCCATCAGCCACGCGGCGGTTTTTGTTCCATCTGGCAAAAGCCATTCATCAACATGGAAATTATGGAGACCACGATCCCGATTCAGTGCTTAGGGCTGAATTATTCTTGTTTCTCTTGACATCGTGGGGAACGGCTGGACGTTCCGGGCAAGTCAGGCCCGGATATCGGTCTTTCTACTGAGTTTCTAGCAGCATTTTTACGTTGAAAAATCATGCATGACAACGAGCTAGGAATGGAACAACAGCCATGCACTCCGCGTGTTCTGTACATGGATGGATATTTGACATTAAGCATTACTGAGTGCGTGACCAGCTTTGGCGTAGTCGCCCTGTACATCTGGCCTAATGCAGACAGTGCAACGAGCTGTGTATACCTGGAGAAAAATATAGAACCTCACTGACGCGATCCTATCCAGAACACCCTCAAATGGCAGAAAAAGAAAAGAAAAGGAAAATAGGCAGGTGAAACAAGTCCCGATTGATCCGCAATGATCATGGATCAAGGATCACTCGAGCCCCGAGCACACTTCATTGGTCTTCGTCCACCCCGTTGTTGCATATTGTTTTGTACTCGTGCTCGCATTATAGTATATCGGTCTCTTCCGTTGAATTCATTAAAAATATGCGGCGGCGCATCGCCACAAACCATGGTAACCGCAATTCGCAAAACGCCTTGTGAACTCCCAGGATAATCGAATGAAGGAAAATGAAAGTAATCTAACGGCAATAGAAGATATGATCAGTTCCCTGTCTTCATGTGCAGCCCGAGATGCAACCAAACACTTACCCCCAATTTGATCTCAGACTTCCTGTTGATTGCCAAAGAAACAAACAAAAGATGATTGGGTATTGATATCTATACAATGTGCTTCTCCCACTCAGGACAACGCATGTTCGGCTGCAAATGCCGGAGACATAGGGTTGACATGGGTATCGAGAATGCCCAACGCTGCGCCCATTTCCTGGCTGCTGTGACCTGTGAGCAGCCACACCAGGCGGCTGAGTTTATGGTAGAGCAAAGAAGGAAAGTAAAGCAGCAAGGCCCAAAGGAGAAGAGATAGCACGACAAAGACAAACGAGTTGGCTACCACTTTCTCGCCCGGTGTCATGACATAGAGCCCAAAGGTGACTTCGTAGCGGTAGTATTCTAGTCGAGCACGATCGAAGAAACGCTGAACCGCATTCCGACGGGGGCTTCTCGAATGGCTGGGGGAAGAATTGCCTGTCGAGGTCGACATGGTAGACGAGTATTTGGAGATCAGTTCATCGACCGCGGCCGGGGCATGAGAGGAGATATGGGTAGAGGTCGAAGGAGTGTAAAATGATTGCATTTCTGCCGTCATTTTGACGAAGTGCGAATTTTCCTCGTTAGCAAGGGTCGGTGCTTCTGTGTACTTTCGTCCCCTGGGTTTTATTTTTATTTTTTATTATGCCTTGGTTTTCGTCGCTGCCCGAAGTGCCTGTTTTTCAGGCTCTCTTTTCTCGCGTCTAGGAAGTCGCGTACAGGAAATATAGTGCCGGTATTTCCTATACAAGGTATTCCATCGGCTTACCGGACAGTTTAAATAGGTATCTCTCTCCCAGAGGAAATTGGACCAGAGGAAGACAAGAATTGGCTGCAAGTGTTTTGGGAGACCCAGTCCAGGGACTATGCAGACAAGGGAGTCAAAACCACGGGGAGAGAGAAGAAAGGGAAGGGGGAAAAGAAATCAATCGCCGAGTAGCAGAGCGCTGGAAGGAAGAACAGTTGGATTAGGATATTAATTATATTGAACAAACAGAAAAAGAAAAGAAAAAAAGGTGGGAGAGAAGAGGGGGAGAAAAGAAGGAGGAGACGAAGGGGCCAAAGACGAAAACCGGCAAGGCGCGGATGGAGAAACGCAGCCTTGCAGTGTCTGTCTCGCCATGATTTGCTGCAAGAAAGTTGGAAATGTTGGAACAGAACAACTCGGTCGGATGCTCGGCTTGTGCGACTCCAAAATCTCGAGATGGATCGATATTCGATGATTTCATTTTGATATTGATGCTCTGGAGTATATGCTGTGGTGTTGTTGATGATCGCCATATCCACACCACACGCTCATCTTCAGCCCTGTTTTTATCCACAAAATATCCCCAGTCGACCTTCTTGTCTACTCCATCCAAGATCCCCCCTCGACAGGATTCAGAATTCGATTATCATCGCATATTATGCACGTTATGTCAACCCTGATGAACTATCGATGAGGCCCATTTATTTTCCGCAGATCCCTATATGATACCAAGCCTTAACACCTGAATAATGGATCTCACCTGCTCCCCGTGCGTCCTGATTCAGGCGGATCCAACACTACATCAAGTTTCTCAAACATGTTATCTTGACTGAAGTTGACATTCGATACGATGATACGATAATCTACCCATGGAACCTAGGATTTTGACTCCAAAGACAAATTTGACGGTTCCTGGATGATTCTCTCACGCAGATCATGTGACCCAGAGCACAACAACTCGTTGGAAGTTGGCATGCATGCATATATCGATTGGATACAGACTACAATTTATTGGCCATGTTCATTGACCCTCGTTCTCTCTTTTATTATATTTCATTGATTCTATAACATCTTCAACATGTCCTGAATACCTCACCGTGCCCCCGTAAAGCTGCTCGTACTGACGCGGCTCTTTGCCCGGGTGATGTCATCCCCAACTCCCCTCTTCCCCCAGCCGTCCCGCCTCTCTTTCTCGACAGCAACCCATCGTTCCATCCACGGATCCTCGATTTCCCATCACCATGGCCGAAGCTGAAGACGTTCTTATTCAGGCTCTGCCGCCTGCCACCGACTATCTGACTTACCTTACCCTGCTCGAGTATCAGTTGACGTCCGTCCGTCTGCCTATTCTCCATAAGGTCCTGCAAGATGAGACCCTGACAACCAACATTGGCTGGGACCTCGTCCAGTTGCTTTTGCCGATGCTTCCCCATTCCTTGGAATGTCTTCAGGATATTGCAAGACTGGGAAACCCGAGAGAGGTTATCCTACGAGTCTCCGAAGCTCTGATGGCGCTTCAGCCTGAGGACGACGACACAGAATCCGAAGCGGAGGATACAAATGCATTGGAGACTCAGCTGAAAAACACCGATATTGGCGATGATGATGATACCAAGTCTGATGAGCCAACAAGGCCTCTTCCGCGACACGTAGTGCAATTCAATTGCCTCCTCGCCATGCTTTCCGTGCTCCATACCCGCATCCAGACCAAATACCCGAGTCGGTTTATCGCGACCTCGCTGCAAGCCGCACTAGAAGCGTACACAATGATGCCGACCAGTGAGACAACAGTCGCCCTTCTTGAATTTTTCAGAGATGTCTCCCCATCTAAACGACCTGCGCCTCCACCGAGAGCAGCTAGCGAATCCAGCCTGTTGCGTGTCTCAGAAGCCTCTGCCCCGGACCCTGAGGCTGAAGTTCAACCCTCCCCATCAACCAACGATGATAAGGTTTTGGTCAATGGTTTCCTACAGTTTGGTCTTATCGAGTTGCTCAAATCATATCTGTTGAGTTTTTCGGGTCCCATGGACCCTGGCATGTCGTGGGCCATCAGATTGCAAGAGAAGATGCACCCTAAATCATGCATTCCTGGGAAACAAACGCAAATGGATATCTATGCGACTACCAAGGAGCTTAGGGAAAGAGACATGCTAATGGCAAAGATCACGGTAAGTCAATCCACTTCCATAACATCTCTACGTTCTAACCTCCAAGTAGGCTTTGTCCCGGGATCTTGGTCTAGACGATAATAAACTCCTCGCGATTGTCTCCCTACCGTCCGAGAACCAACCGCCACCTCTTGACTTTGACGAAACCCCGAAGAAGGTGGAAGAAATTCCCCTGGAGAGACACGGTTGCTTATTGCTTTTGGCAGCACGGGTCGTAGGAGCTGAGCTCTTCACTTCCCGACAAACAACACCAATTCCCGTGTTCCCTGACTTGGCCCGGTTATTCTCGAACTTTGTCGGTGGATACGGCACCCCAGAAGAAGTGACTTTGGGGCAACCGCAGGTTCTTTTAGACTCCCTGCTCACCCTGACCATTTTCTCGACGGAAAAACCGATCAACAGCCCATCGGACGATACAGAATTCAGAAACTTTGTTCTGGAGTTGACCGCCTGTGCAGCACGTCAGAGCTACAGCTCCATCCGACGGATCCCTGCGACTGTTGTCCACAGCCACCCTTCGCCCGTCGCTCGCTTTAAGTTGATTCGCAAGGTCTTGGAGGATGGCAAGCTATTGACCGTCAAGGATAGTGCAATTGGGTGGCTTAAGGATGAGATTCTGAGTGCTCAAAAGTCGGAGTCAACCACCTCAGACAGCACCAACATCTTCCTCGATCCGCACTACTTCTCCGTTCTATTCCCCGCACTGTTCAGCACCGCTGAATTACTACTCAACGTGTCGTCAGAAATCGTGGCATCTTGGACCAAGTTCTCTCAGACACTGACCCCATCGATCCACGCTGCCCTTAGCCTGTACTACGTGCTTGTCTCGTCCTCATTCCTTCGAGAGCGGTTACAACTGGAAAAGACGTATGTGTATTTTAGAAACCGCTTTCTCGAACCCCTCAAGTCACTCTGTCACGCTTTCGAGGCAGACCTGTCAAATAACGGCGGAGATGGACGAATCGAAGCCGCTGTGGGTGAGAGCATGTGCGAGGTCGGGATGGCCCGGTCCGTGGGATTGATAACCCACGTTCTGGAACAAGTGGAGGATGCAGTCGGCGACGCATTTGTCCTCACAGATGCAGAGCTGCAGGAGCCAAGTGCGGACGATATTGCCCGAGTGGACGCAATACGCAAGGAGACGTCGTAGATATTATTTGAAATTCTGTACTTATGACGAGTCAATCCTTGAACGAGTGATGAATTGATCAATTAAGCGACTGAAAACTGTCCACCTTAAATGACAGATTGCAATAAATGATAAAGTAGATATTCAGAGATCTTATGATTCCTCTACTAACAACATGGCCAAACTATAAGAGACCACTCCCACCCAACGACCAAATCCCCGAACAACAGCCAAGAAAGAAACAAGACGGACAAAGAAAGGATGCAAAAAGAAAAGACACATAGACAAGAGAAAACGAAATCCCGATTGCCACGACCGTCTAAACCAGACACCGAATTCATTCACCCCCCCCCCCATCCCTCCTCCTACCTCCTCTCCTCAACCCCATATGATAAAAAGGTTGGAATTTGAATTCGTAGAGAGGCGTTCAATGCAGACGAAGCAACCAAAACCCGTTAACTCATTTCATATACGATACGATGATAAAAGACGTTTCAAGGATTGTATATCGGCTCATGTTGTGTTTCGATGTATCGATGTATTCTTAGCTCGTGTCGGGGTGGACTATTTGACGGTTTTCTCTTTTTTGGTCGTAGGGGAATCATGCATGGGAAAATGGTGTATTTGCTTGGAGGGCGTTTACATGATAACGCAGCCACCGCCGGGGGAAGCTATTTACTGTTAGTATATACATCTCCTAGAAAATGGTGAGGTGGAATAGGGAAGTGGGAAATGGGACGTACCCTTGACAACGGCAGGGTTCTTGACGATCTGGTTGGGAGACATTTTGATAGATGGGTTGGTTTGCAAATGCAAATTGGATTTGGAAAGTTTGAGAATTGGAAGTGTACTAGATGCGAGACTTGTTTCGATATTCATGAAGAAGGAAGGAAAAGAAGAGGGTATCCCGAGGGTTTATATCCTGTCAGAGCTGGTTTGTAGTAGTAGAAAGCGAGTCGCTTCGGCTCTTGATCATTCGATATTTAATGGAGCTGGATTGGATTATTCCAAAGCCACAGAAGTGGAGAGAAGAAAGAAAAATCCCATATTGAAAGAAGGGAGTGATACTATTCTCCTGGACATGTCAATGGGAGTCAATCCATCTGGCTTGATATTGTTCTTGTCTGGAGGTCCAATCCGCGACCATTCTCCTGTCTGTCAATGGAGAAATCGAGGAGGGTGATATTCTCCGCTGATTGTGAATCGGTGGTTTCTTTTTCTTGCAGATCAAAGAATCGTTGGTCATGACGTCTCGTATCTGGGATTGGTAGAGGTCTGGCATGGCCCTTTTGGTTCTAGTCGTTGATGGGGAGCAATCGACTGTCTTTCAACAGAGTCCGTGGAGACTGAATGCCCCAAGATGCGATGCGAGGAGATAACACTCTGAAATATGATGTATTATCAATCCACGGTGTATGTGTTGGAGGATTGCTTAATGATATCACCATCAAAGTGGTTATCGTTGAGTGTATACCCAACCCAAACCTTGCAACGCTTCCCACCTATAGCACATACGCCCCATGCTTCAGGCCATCCAAGAACAATTGCCGTTCATGTCTCGTATACAACTGCAGGAGTGACGTTGTTGATAAGCAGCAGCAGCCACATTCAAATGCCGAGGCGCAACAAAGAACCTCGTCCGCCAACCACACGCAGCGAAATGCGCCTACTATTGTCCCCGAAGAACAATACTAAGAATATTCATTCAAAGCATTCAAAATGAACTCAAAAAGATATCCAAAGTTCAAGTCAACAAAAGTATTGGTAGTAAATGAAATATAGACAACAATACTAAATATGGAGTATCCAAAATATAGATCCAAAATCGCTGGCTCAAGTGTAGATTGGCTCTGTCAAGTCATTCAGAGCCAATCCCTCCTTCGCAACATCCTCCTCGATCAAGAACATCAAAGGCATTTCCACCAAAGTTCCCTTGACTTGGCTGAGCAGCTCCTTCACCTGCTTTACTCCCTCTGGACCCTGAGGGAAGTCATCTCGCACGACATGGCCATACTTGTACCTGGATTGCCTCTCAAAACATCCCTTACCATGCGCTTGGTCGTCCGCATTGTTGAAGTAATATCCATAAAATTCCTTGTACGTGGCCCAGTTGCGGATCGTGTCGTCCGGCACAGAGTGGAACACCTTACGGAATACTTCTGTGTTTGTTCTCGCCCGTGTGTTCCACAGGCTGTAGAGGGTGTCGGCAAGCGGATCGGCGACAATCTGGCTTTCAGGTGAGTCGAAATCAACCTTGTTGGGCACACCGACAGGCTCGAAGTTGGCGTCTGGTTGCCGGTAGTCCTGGGGTGGTAGGAGACCGAGGTGCTTGCGGAACAGCTGTCGACGCAGAGAGGACGCGAAGCGACTTGCCACCCAAGGCTTGCCGTTCATTTTCGATTGGATAGGTGAGTGGTCCTCAACAATAACCGCAATCTCCGAATCGTGGTCTCCAAGCTGGGATCGGTCGTTCAAATTGGCTGATCCACAGATGACGATGCGGTCATCGGCGACCATGACCTATTTACTGTCAGCTCCAAACCTAAAAGAAAGATAAAACAGGAAGTGTATCAGTGCTTACCTTGGAGTGAACATAGAGCTCTTCAGTCACGAACGCATCGATCTCGGCCTCAGGAGGACCCTCCCACGGCACGTTGCGAATATCCTCACCGTTGAGCATATAGCATTCACTAACACTATCCCATCTGCCCGAAGCCAATGGCCCGGAACCAGAAACTTGGTTGGCAGCTTGCTGGTATTTCTGGAACGGTGCTGATGTGTCAAAGGCAGTTCGAGGAGCACCAGGACCATAGCCACCTGGTCCAGAGGTATTCACGTCCTGCTGCCTTCGCGCATCTTCGTAATTAACACCGCTTCTCTGCTCAGCCTCAGTCATTGTACTGCTGAAATTGATGCGATCGTAGTTGCGAAGGTTGTAAAACCGGATGTATTCCATGGGGTTGTAGCCTTCCTTCGCAATGAGCTCCATGATACTGTTACCTCCACGGTTGATGGAATTGTATTGGAATTCCATGATGGCGCGGGTGCCCAGTGTCGATTCGTCACTCAGATCACCCGCAAAGCAGGGAACGGATGGAATCACAATAACCATCTTGTACTTCTGGCCCGCTTTAGCGGCGCGCAGAATCCGCTCAACAATGGCAGAACCGATCTTGTTCATTACCGGTTTCTGGGCGTCGCTAGTTGCCGTTATGAAGAACTGGTTCTCAATGTAAATGAAGTGCTCACTGTTCCGGATAATCGCTGCATATGCGTCCTGAATAGAATGCTCAGTGTCGCTACCGTGACTCCATTTGGCACAGCTTCGCACAATCTGACAAGCCATGGTGCCTCGTGGCTGAGGGTTGGGCTGTCCATATGAAGTCAAGCGGTCCTGGTACTGATGGATTTGGCCCGCCAGTTGGCCACGAAGGCTGGTTCCATACTGGGAAAACTCCTTGAAACGACCACCCAATCCTCTCTCGAGGTCACCAAATCCACGTGTGCCCTCGTGGTGTTCACCAACACCCCGGGTCTGGCTGTGATGCGCTTCTTGGCCTGGCGGTGGAGGGTAGTAAGGTGCTTGATTCTGACCCTGGGTCTGGTTTTGAGTAGGTGACTGGGTTGGTGGGGGAGGGAAGTAAGGCGCTTGATTCTGTGCGTGGCCCTGAGCTTGATTCTGGTTCTGAACAGGCGATTGGCTTGGTGGCGGTCCAGGAGGCGGTGGTGGGAACGAATCACCGGTGTAAGTGTAGTGCGGAGCACCCTGTGGTGGCTGGCTGGCAACGTGGGGTTGAGATTCTTCGTAGCTTGGTGGGCCCTGGCTATCAGTAGATGGAGCCGGAGGATAAGCCGAAACGGCACCAGGCTTATTGTGAAATTCGTTAGGCTGCTGCTGCGCCTGTTGCGGTTGCGCCTGTTGCGGTTGCGCCTGTTGCTGCCATGATGGTTGTTCTTGCTGCTTCTGCTGTGCCTGTGCCTGCGGCTGTTGTGCTTGCCATTGTGGTTGTTGCTGTTGCGGCTGCTCTTGCTGTTGTTGTGTTACAGAAGCAGGCTTCTGATATGGCGTAGGCTGCGAAGAGGTGGAACCTTGACTAATTGCCGAGTTTGGCCGTCCGTACAGGGCCAGTCTGGAGTATTTTTCAATGTTGCGAGCTTGGTATTTGGAATCGTAGATGAAGTTCCAACGCTCGACAAAGTGACGTCGCAGATCTTCAACTACCTGACCATGCAAGCTCATCGATATATCAGACCATCCCATACGGGAAGTTTCCTTTCGGCTCAACTGGTTCTTTTCCCACTGAGCGACATCTTGGAAATCGAGAACCCGAGCGTTGTTGTAATCCTGGCCCGGGAATACAATCTCATCCAACTTCGCTGGGTGGGCGTCTGAAATTGCGTGTTGGTTGGTATCCCAGCGTCCGAAGCACAGGTCCAAGCCTCCCATGAATGCAGTTTTACCATCAATCAAGCACAGCTTCTCGTGGTGTGCCCAGTAGAGGATTACATCGTCGTTTATACCATACAGAGATTTGAGGGCATCCCCGGGCAACTTGGAGAGACCTGCCGCATTCAAAGTCAGGTTCTTGAAAGATGATTCGATTGTTTCAGCCACATCATGACCAGTGGGAAGATGATCAGGGTGACGGAACACCGCGATATTTGGATGGAGGTCTTCCAAAGCCTTCTTTGTGTGAGAGGAGGACACTGAATTGGTCAGCAATATGTTATCAATGCTCGGATTGGGACCTGGACTCACAAGTCAATGCTTGCTCGACCTCTTTGTAAACAATGATGTTGACTCTAACTCCACGCTGAGCGGCAGCCAACAGCATTCGGTCGAGACGGTATTGCTCGTTCTTCGCAGGGGGTCTTCTCAGGTACAGCTCTGGGGAAAGCCACCCTAGAAATAATTAGCCGACAAAACTATGTCCCAGATACATGAAGAAACTTACAATCCAAAATCCAGATGGTATCTTTCGCACTTTCCAAAGCCTTGGAGACGGCGTAGAAGTAACTACAACCATCAACATACCACTTCACATCATTGCCCTCTCGCGAAGGAGCAAAGCTTCCAAATCGATGCTCCGTCTGTGGTTTCTGTCCATATTCCGCATAAGCTTGGGGATCGAGGGCAGTTCCCAACTTATGAGCGACATCGTTGCCGTATTCTGCCACGACACCTTGGAGTTTTCCTAGGATCCCGGAAACCTTATCCGCCTTCTGGGGCTTTCCCTGGTACTGCGGAGTTTGGTATGGCGGTTGCTGTTGCGAGGAACCTTGGGTTTGGGATCCCTGGTTTGGAAACATATACATCAGTAAAGACCGGGGTTGGTAAAAGGGCATCAACAGTTGATCAACTTACATAGCCCGAGGGGTTGTAGGTCTGTTGCTGGTTCTGGTTCTGGTTCTGGCCAGTCTGCTGTCCACTTTGCTGGCCAGCCTGTTGGTGGTTCTTGTAGGAGCTTCGCAGTTTCTTAAAGGTATCACCAACCAAACCTCTGGCACTGTCGCCATTTCCGCTCCCTCTGTCCTGGTTGTACTGGCCATAGGCCAGTGGGTCCTCACGATGCGACATGGCCGCAACTAGATATAGGAAGAAATGCTATTGGGGAATAGATGATGCAGAGAATCAACAAAATGAAACTCGAAAATGAGGCTGGAGAGCAAAATAAACCAACTGAAGAAGATGCTGGCATGGATGCGATATTTATGGGCCTTCAGGGGATCATCACCAGCTTGGTCAGACCGTCAGTCCACGTTGCTTTCCCGCCCCGCTGCTCCGAAACAGCAGCTGAACGGGGCGCTTCCCAACCTAGGCTGCCACATAATTAATTTAATCGAGCCCATCACCGCCTCTTCTTCAGTGACATCCCGTTATTATGGAGGTTCAGTGGCCCTGGGATGTATCTGTGGATGGTGTGGCTGTGCATTGTGTCGTCACATGTGTCTATTCTTGGTGATCTGGTGATGGAGGGGTAGGAGTAGAGATAGGTAGGGCAGAGTCAATTCATGCACACCCTCATGCAGGAGGATGATCATGGATATATATTGATGAATCGATCCATGTTAGCAATGACTGATTCTCCTGATTTTCTCATGATGCTTAATTAATTTATTTATCTTGAAGCCATCGTATCTCGTGCGGGACAGAGTGGGGGATTTGAAAATTTCATAAACAGAGGGGATAAAACACGGTATGCAATTACCGTATTGCAATTACACCAGCCAAATCTGCCCCTCATCCTGCCCGCATGACAGCGGATGCAGTACTCCCGTTACCGTATTTAACCCATATTCTGGGAGAAGATAGACTAAATTACACCGCTATGTCACAATCTTACCATATCAGCTGTCATTTTCCCCGCTTCCACAATTGGAGAAATCGTCCATTTCGATGATATAAGAATGAGGTCAATTCTCCTAAAATGCTAATTGAAATTGCTTCGAGAAATCATCCAACATACCCTTAAAGTCCCTATCACAATCATATCAATTAAATTATATTCACCATGTCTCTCGCAACTCTTGATGTAAGACAGGACCCTCCGATCTGCAGTATCATACACCACTAACTAAAAGCCCAGGCCTCGCAACACCCCAACCTCCCCACCTCATCGGTGACCCTCTTCAGCGCCAAAGCCACCAAGAAGTTGAGCTTCGAGCAGATCGCCCAACACATCGGCCGCAATGAAGTCGCCACCGCCGCCATCTTCTACGGCCAGGCCAAGGCATCCTCTGAAGATATCGAAAAGCTCGCTTCCCTCCTCGACATTCCTCAGCCAGAGCTCGAGGCCCAACTCAGTGGATTCCCTGACCGTGGCCGTACCGTCGAGATGCCCCCCAAGGAGCCCTTGATCTACCGACTGTATGAGATTGTTCAGAACTACGGATATGCGTACAAGGCGATTCTCAACGAGAAGTTTGGTGACGGTATCATGAGTGCGATTTCGTTTTCGACCAAGGTGGAGAAGGAGACTGATGAGGCTGGAAACAACTGGGCTGTTATTACGCTGCGCGGAAAATGGTTGCCTTTCTCGAGATTCTAATCGACTCGCTTCGATAACGATTAACGAAGCAGTCTGGAGGTACTACCTTCATGCTGAGTCTGCGGTATACTTTATTAACTAAGAAATAAAATTATTATATATGAACTTTGTTGAACTCTATCACCTGCTGATTTATACTAATACTAAACAGGGAATCTACCTGGTAATAATGACGATATCCAGAAACGACTGCCTGGAGACATGCTGGTGCCTTGAGAAGTTCCTTTTATCTATCAATTTGGTCAAGGAGTCATGATTAGTTTGATGAAGGAATCGAAGACGAAGATGATGCTGGTTCTTTCTCGTCGCATCCAAATGAAGGAGAAGATGAAGATGACGATGCTGAGTATTTCGTCAAGGACGAGGACGAAAGTGAGAGCAACGAAAACGATACAGCCAGCAAACCTCCCACTGTCCCAACCTCGATCGAGATATACCGCTTTCTCTATGGAAATTTGATGAAGATGAAGATGAAGATAGGAATAATCATTCCCATATAATCCTCCATTGAGATGTGACTAGTACATACGACCACAGGGTGTGGAGAACAGGGCTTCCCGTCCGCTCAGCCGTACTTAAGCCACACGCCGGCAGGTTAGTAGTTGGGTGGGTGACCACCAGCGAATCCCTGCTGTTGTATGTTTTTATATTTTTGGCCTTTTGAAGGCTTTAAGACAACCATCTCTACAGCCGTGGATGGGAGGGAGATATTGGAGGTGGAATTCTCTAGATATGAAGATGGGCCAGTAGACTGCAACTTGAAGAGACAGGGTATTTCCGTCATTAATTTGGTAGAAGGAGGATACTAGGATTTTTCTCACAATCGAAAATTTATCATTCAAAAGGCTTTAGCTTGGTATATGGCATTCTGCGTAACAACTAAGTAACAGCAACATTATATATTCAAGCATGAACATCAAATAGTATCCGACTTTCTCAAAGTGCACTCTATGGCAAATGATGTATCTGATTTTCCCGTCTTCAGTATCTCCCATCCCCAGCTCTCAAGAACTTCCTTTCGCCTGGTCCATTCATCTTCATACTCGATACCCGTCCATCTCACAGCAATAGAGTTGTTCCCATATAGAATGCGATACATTTCGATCGTGTTTGGAACACTCGGAAAACTCTTCAATTCACAATTATATTGGAAAGGATGCTGCTCTTCAGCATCTTCTGGATCCGAATCAGGGGGGCTATACTCCCTTGGCCACAACCTGGATGGCAATATTAGAGTAATTGTGAGTGGGTTAGCACGCCAACTCAGTTCCTCGAAAATTTTCTCAATCATCGGACTGATGACTTCAACACATTCTGGGCCATGGCTTCTAGTGAGATATGAACATCGAGGATAATTTTCGAGACCAGTGTACCGTCCTTTAATGACATTCCCACCATGATCTAGCTTCACAAGTTCGATCGAATCGTAGGCTATCACCAGATTCGCGAGAAACTATTCCAAGGCCCGATCATAGTCAACCAGTTATGCAGGGTCTGCCAGCCTTCCTCTCCCTCGATGGTAAACTTGAAGGTATTCCGACTGTAATACACCGCAGTAGCTTCGTGGTGGATAGCCTTGCTGCAAAGAAACGACCCCACTTTATACGGAAGCACGAGATAGTGCCAATCAGGCTTAGCTTTTTGTCTTCCTATTCTTAATTCCCACACCGTTGTGGTCGTTGTCACGATGGTTTGTGTTTGAAGCTGGGTGACTGGGTCGAATATAAAGCTCTCCTTGATGTTGCTTCGAGTCGCTTGTTGGTTGTGACCATATCTCGATTTGGTGGTTGATTAAGCGATGGAAGAGTGGAATGTCAAATAGACGTGATACGAGGCACTGCTCATAAATGAGCATGCGTATCTCAGGGGGGAGATGGAGGAAGCCAGTCTTCTCTTCCATGGTTGAATATTGATTGTATGAATGACTTGTGTTGATGGAGCGACTCTTAAGGGGTGGAAAGAGTAATTCCATAAATATCAATAAAGGTGTTCATATTTTGAGTCGATTGGATATGTTCAAAATAAGGCACCAGCATGATAACTCCAGGTAGTCGTTCTGAATAGCATCATTCTTACCCAGTAAGATATGCTTGATTTGGATACTAAAAAGGCTTCAGCTGCACGAGAAGGAAGCTAGAAATACATGCAAAATATCCATATTGACTAGACAAAATTTGTGAATCAAACATACTTTCTCAGATAGCCTTCTCGCCCAACCTCTTCAGCAGGGAAAGAAGAACAAGATGAACTGGCCAAACGCAAATTTTCCCTAATAAATGTTTCTTTTATTATGACTATGTAATCTCCATGACTTTATCAATAGATAACATCACCCTGTGAGCATCCTGAAAGTCGTTTGTATCATTTCTCATAGCTAAAATCATAACGCATAATTAATCCAGATCAAAATCAAGTATTAGACCACATTCATGTCGAGACTGTCAACCCAATCAATGAAATCCGTTCCATCGTCTAGTAAGATTGACTCGCCATTCAACCAATCCGCTGCTATCACGCCGGCTGGTAAAGAAAAGGGCAGCGCTGAGCCACTGACCGACAAGACACGGTTGAGGATGTTGCATATGACCTTACGCGCGTGCTGGCAAGAATCATAGTGGCGTTCATGTGGCCGAACAACGTATTGCAGGTGTGATGCAAAGACGCTCAGGTTTTGAATGATCTGTGACCGTCGGAATGCGCTGGACTGGAGCTGGGTTCCAAATTCCGATTGGCGGAGTAGTTCGATTGCGAGGACACCAGCAGCAGGTATGCCAAACGTCGATGCCTGTATTTTGTGAGCAACGGGAGCACAGAGAGATGATGAGTTGGTACTAACATTCCATCCAACATTGGATGAGCCCGTCCCGGACCCGATTTCCCTGCAAATGAGCTCGAGAACTGTATTCAGGATATCCTGGGAGATAGTGACCAAGCCTTCTTGTCCACTCTGAGCGCGTTTGACAAGGGTGCGGTAAAGAAGGAAGTCATTGTAAAGCAAAGTGAGATAAAACGTGGCGATGTCGCCATGACCTTTGGTACCCACGGCACCGGGCCGCCAGTGAAGAAAGCTGGGAAGTTCGTCCCATGTTCTGTGGGAGTTCAGAGATACCTCCCTAGAGATATCATATTAGCTGCGCATTCCTGTTGAACGAGTGACAAGGTTGCACTGACTTGACCTTCTGGGGCAGATTGTCGACATGACGGCTCAGGGCCAATTCAAGAATCTGTTCCCTAACCGAGCTCATGAGCAAAGAAAACCGGATTTGCACTGCTTTCCGAACGATGCCTTGAGTGTTCCATCCGCTCGCATCAAGTTTGCTGATTATGGCATCTCGGACCTGAGGTTCGGCCAGGAGTTCGTCGTCACCAAGATCCAGAGGAAGCTGTACATCGTAGTATCTCCAGCTGATCTGAGGCGGTCTTCCCAGAAACGTTGCCAATTGCTTATCTATGCTGTATGCACCCGCCATAAGCCGTCTTCGAAGCTCGACCAAGAAGAATGGGATTCGCGCGATCTGCTGCGACTGATTGCGGTTAAGTGTAAATACTGCTGTCGATAACTCGGCCAATTTTCTCCATGCTCGATTGTCTTAGTTTATCAGCATTACGATTCAGTAAAACGGGGGGGGGGGGGGGGGGCGGGGGCAGCCACATACCATTTTCACCATAAACCAACGTCAGTAGATGTATGTGTTGGAAAAGCAACCAACCAAGTGAATCGTCGATGATTCCAGAATCATCGCAAAATTGTAGGCAGGTGTCGCTTGCAGCAGCAGCTTGAGCTCCAAGAGATTTTTGGGTGCCGGGTGAATTGCCTTCCAACTCAAATATCGACCTAGACAGCATGGCGCCTTGGCCTAGAACCGAAAAGAGCAGTCCTATGCCCTCCCATCTGGCTGATACAAAGATGATGTATTCTTCAGGGGTCATGGATGAGTTGACGCCGACAGGCTTGGAGCCGTTGTCAAAAAGTTTCTGGGACCAGCCACGCATGTTCGAATAGACATCATTTGTATCCTTTGCGTCTCTCGTGCAAGCATCATACATGTTCTTGACGGACATGAGCATGGTTCGTATGAGACGGTAATCGAGAATACACGACTCTGGCGATATCTCGCGGAAACTCTCGATTGCTCTCTCAAGAACTGGGGCATTTTCAAACAACAAAACCAACAACTGAGTACCCAGATCAGTCTGCTTTGGAGTAATTGCGACTGGGGCAGATCGAAATCCATTTGTGGCGCCATTGCGCAAAAATCCGCCCAGGTCGTCTTCATTATTTTCGCTGAAGACGCCCGAGTAGCTTGTTAGCCCTAGAGATCCGCGCGGCGGGAGTTGCGATAATTTATCTTCCAGAAGGAGGTCCGAGTTGGTCTGTGGAGGGGAAGCCGCAGTCACATCATTTGAGGAGTACCACGACTGAGTCGCCTGCGCAGCATTGTACACGCAGACGCCCGACTTGCCTTTGCGAGCGCATTTCTTGCAGACGGGAGTAGCATAGTCGCATCGAGATTTGGATTTGCGACAAGGCTCACACGGTGTGGGCTGGCCATTCTGTTTGGAGGCAGCCATTTTCGCCAACTGGTTTGAACAGAATGAAAGAGGGTCAAATCCAGGGGAAAAGTCTGCCCTGGTATGGTCTGCAGTTTGCAGTTTGCTTCGAGGTGGCTGGTCGCGAATTGAAACACATAAAAATAGACCAAGTCATTGCACTGCATGGCTGCCTGGGGGATCAGGTGTCGATGCCTTACTCGTCACATGTTGTGATTATCTGCTTGGCCAATCAGGACAGCAGGTTGCTCTACAGTAAAAACAAACAGCTCGACTGAAAAGAAATCAACTATCATTAAGCTGTCTAACACTGGTGAGTCTGTCTCGTCCAGAGAATATATCAATCCAAAAAGACTGTATCTCATATCCGCTCATTCACCAGACAAACCCACCATCTCCAATGAATCCTTCCAGAGCCTCGCCTCATCCTCCGGGTTATATGTGTGGCTCACATACGTCTCATTATCTCTACCATCATCCTTCTCGCCACGCTCAGCCTCGGTGCAGTCCAGAAGATATTTTCCACCTTTGCCTTCCAATTCCGAGCCAACTGCTGCCCATACGGTAGTTGCAGCTCCTTGTTCCGGGCTCTTCAGAACTTTGAGCAGAGCTTCGTCTTGTAGCATAGCCTCGATATGAGCTGGAGGAAGATACTTCCCCAGACCTGTGGCGATGATTCCTGGGTGAAGGCTTGTTGCATGCAGCCCACGAGATCCGTAACGACGCTCAATCTCGTTGGCCGTGTAGATATTAGCCGTCTTGGACTGCCCATATGCAACCCATGGGTGGTACCCTCCTTTTTGAAATTGGTAATTTTCTGAGGAGTTGATGCCGTGGACACGATGGCCCGAGGAGGATACGATGACAACTCGGGACTGAAACTCGGGATTGGTGGCAGCCAGAAGGGCAGGTCCCAAAAGGTTAAACAAGAGGAAGTGAGACAGGTGGTTTGTCGCAAACTGGGATTCATAACCATCGTTGGTAAGCTGGAGGTCCGGCACGGCCATTATCCCGGCATTGTTGATGAGGATGTTAACCCGGTTTGTCTTTGCCAGGATTGTTTTCGCAGCATTTCGAACACTCTCAAGAGAAGACTGGTCCATATGAACAAGCTCCATCAGAGACGGGTCAAAGATGTCACCCAAAGCATCCTTTGCTTTAACCAGATCCCTGGCCGTCAGATAGAGTGATGCTCCAGTTGCGGCCAGAGCACGGGTAGTCTCGACACCAAGGCCAGATGAGACGCCAGTGATGACAGCCACTTTGCCTGCGAGCTTGCCTTGCATGTCATTATCTTGGACGATCTGCAGAGCAGTTGGACGTGAGTCCCCAGGGCCCTGGGGGTTGGCATGTGCTGCAGCGTATCGAGACATTGTATGGGGAAGACGAAAATAAATGAAAAATAATAGAAAGTGATGGAAAGAGCTAAATTAGAAGATGGTTTCCTTATCCCAGAGTAGGCGAAAGGCATCCTCTTTATATCTTTTCGTATCATTCTGCCTGGCAATTTTAATCTATATCCCAAATCGCCCCCATACTTGCTGGCTGACAGTTTCTACCGCATATGGTTTAGTCCGTGATAGTCCTGGCTGACACTTTTGCCTCTTTCGGTCTAGTGATATTCCTTCGCTCCTGCTTCTTGACCACGCATCATTTGACTCTTCTTCATCTCCCTGATGATCTCCAAATTACTCAACCATGGTATCGACATCAGCTTTGCAGCTGGGGAGAAGTGGAGCAGGAGAAAGTGAAAGAAAAGAGCGGAAGAGGATCCAAAATAGATTGAATCAAAGAGCCCGCAGTGAGTGGTCCCTAGGTTGATCTCTCCATTAAGCTTACAGGTTCCGGACAGGATTTCGTAATAGAGAAGAAAATGCCCCCGTAAATTCCAAGGCTCGCTTATACCAAGTACATCGCTGGCGAGTCGAGGACGGGGCGTCTCACTCTCATGCCACACAAGGCTGGAGTAGTAAACCGCGCAGTGAGCTCCGCAGGAACTCGGAACAGTCCATATCTGAGCCAGCTGGTCCACCGGCTCTTTGTATCAGTGTTCTTTTTTCGGATCAATCGCTTGAGACGAGGTTTCCTCTTCCTGCGGACCAATTGCTGCATCTTATCAACTACAACGTATTCCGAGCGCTCTATATGAACAAGGCTATACTTGGGCAGGTGGCGATGTCCTTAAAACCAGGCCACGAGGTCCCTGAAACCTTCCATGGTGCTAATTCAGTAGTATTTCCTGAATATTCGGTGATTCTTCCACTGGAAGAGCCAGTCGCGTCGAGCCTTCCAGCCTGTCTTGCTCCAACAGAGTCACAAATGAGTCTCATCCACTCCACATGGATCGACCTACTTCCTTTCCCAAAAATGCGCGAGAACCTGATAAACTGGGGAACCTGCTTTGATCATGCCGAGTTCGTCAAAGACCTGATCGGTAATTTACTGGACGAACGGAATTTCTATTCACCTTGGTTCCCCCAGAAGTCAGCAGGCGCTGGAAAGCTAACGCTTTCAAACGAGGAGGATGATGAAGTCACTGCGACTCGAAATGGGCTTATCATCTGGGGGGAACCATACAAGATGGAAAGTTGGGAGGCTACTCCTGGATTCCTAAAAAAATGGACGTGGGCTGTGGAGGGTTGCGAAGGGTTGATCGTGTCCAGTAATCGTTGGAGGATTATGAGAGGCGAGGATCCAATGCAGCTCTCTGCATAAATAATTCCATGTGCAACTGTCGTCTTGCGTTTCGGAGGGCGAAGAAGAAGCCAAAACTACGTCTGAGGACCGATAATACCGCTTCAATTCAAGTTTCGGAAGCAGAAAACGGCAGTCCAAATGCAGGTGGACACAAAAGTTACGCAGCGCTTTCTCGTGTTTCAGAAACGGGCAAATCTGGCTTTAATATGAACACAAAGAAGGGTCGATATGATCTCATTACTACGGCGGCAGCTGGGCTGAAGATCGTGGCCCTTACTTGGAGAGCGGAGCCACTGCATTACACAGAGCCGCAAGGAGCAATCAAAGGGGGGTTGCTGAGTTGTTATTGCGTATAGCGCGATGCGAATCCCGATGCAACAACTTCCCATGGCCAATGGCATTAAGGTTGTTTATATGGGAGGCATGGGCTAAGATGTATGACGCGCATACCCTCCCCTTCCTTTAAGAGAAACAGTCTGGATGATTATTACTAACTATAGCTTATAGGATGAACACTGTCATACCATGATATATGTGGAATTAATGCAGTTATCATGAAGCTTTACTTGACATTCCTCTGATAAGCCTTGAGAGGGGGCAGTGTTATCGATTCCCGAGTAACATCTCTACTTCTCATTGAAATCGCCTTACAGTTTGCACAACGCTGCAAATCGCAATAGGGGCTTTCGAGAGAGTCTAAGATTATATTCGACTCACGGAAAATACGGGACCATCAGAAAGTCCTCCAGAATTAAATAGTAACCGGAAAAATGGTGTGCACAGGCATTGAAAACGGGGATATCGAGGACCTTTCAGCTTAGCATCAACCAATAAAGCCTACCAGAGTATATCCGTTATCACAAGGTATGTGATCGCATATAAAATGAAATTTTCTTGACTAAAAGATTCATTAAAGGATGAACTATGCGCAGTCGTATTAAGGCCAACTGCTACAGCGAGTAAACTTAGGTTGGCTTGTGTGTATGTAGCACAATATAACCCGAATGCAAGGGAATGGTTACGCAGAAGTTACCGTACAAGAATTGGGATTTACTTTTCCAAGTTGACGAGTCCACCTATCTTAAATGGGGGTTTGATAATATATAAGTAATTTGAATTCTTCAAATTAATTCGAGGGGAATACATCTGTTGAATATAATTCTACGAAAGGTCAACTGGGTATGCCCGTCGCCTTTTTGGCCTAATGGTTATCTCAACAACATCCATCGCGATGGCTTATGATCGAAAACGATTCGAATCAGTCTATCCGGCTTTGGCCAGGGATATACTATCTCACACAAAGACATATGGTACACCTGATAAGCAGATGGACCGGTTGGAGTTGGTAAGTCGTCAAGGAGCTACTGCGGATTCCAAGTTAACTCGAGACTAGAATCTACAGCACAACACAGTCGGGGGAGAATATATTGGCGGTATGATGGTGATCAACACGTATGCTCATGCTCTGGGTCGAGGACTATCCGAGAGCGAGTATCACCAGGCAGCCAAGTTGGGCTGGGTTTTCGAGTTCATCTATGCATCACAAATAGTCAGCGAGGATACGAAAAAAGGAAACGAATATCGCAATGGCAATCCAACTTGGCACAAGATGCCCGGTATTGCCTTGCTCTCGATAAACGATTCCAGCATGCTCAAATGCACAGGTTTTCTACTACTCAAGAAACATTTTCAAAACAACCCTCATTATGTCGAGCTGGTTGACCTTTTGCACGAGAGCAGCGCACAAGCTGAAATGGGCCGAATGCTGGATTGGACCATTGCTCGTCGAGAGAAGGGCGACGATTTTAACATCTTCACTTCAACTAACTGCGAAACCATCGCCACATGCATGACAGCAGACTTCGTCGTGCGTCTTCCCATCCTTCTAGGTCTTTACCTTGCTGATGCCATGACGCCCGCAAACCTGAGTCAAACGCAGAAGGTCACGACACCTCTTGGCCAGTATTATCACTTTCAGAATGAGTTTCTATGCAGTTCAGAATCGGAAAGATCTGTCAAGCAAGTCGACTGGTATATTAAAGAAGGAAGATGCACTTGGACAATTACACAGGCTCTGCAATGCGCAAACCCATGTCAGAAAGAAACCCTAAAGGATGGCTATGGATGCGATAACCCAGCCAAGGTGAAGAACGTCCGGGAGATATTTGCAGAGCTGCAAGTCCATCGCATTTTCCATGAATATGCGAGTGATTTACTGGAGAAGATTCGCAAGGAGATGGCAGGGGTTGATGAGTCGGAGGGCTTGAAGAGGGCTGTTTTTGAGGATTTGATGGAGGTAATGGCAAAGGGAAGATGATATAATTGAATTGAATTTATTCAGCTTAGAGTACAAAGAGAAAGAATGAGAATGTGTTGTATATCACTTCCATGGAAAATAAGTGAGACACCATTCCATGATATTGTAATAGAGCAGTCTTTTCCTCCATCGACTCTTGATCTTGTCTATGAGTAATGAACAATGTTAATTATTTTCTTGACATCTTCACCTTAGATTGTTTTCGATTCTCTTCTTTGGATAGTGAATATACTATCTGTCTGTGATGCAGTTGAAGGTAGACTTTCACTTTCTCCTCATTTCCAGACAGTGAATAACACTCTCACACTTCTTCATTGCCCAACTTCCCTTCTCCCCAGCTTCTTCAAACCCCACTTCCTCCATTATTGAACAGTCTGCATCCTACTTCCCTTTATTCTCCCATTCTCTATCTCCTCAACTATCTACCTTTGTCGATTTAATCTCTACACCTAAACGTCGAATCAAAATGTCCGGACAGCAAAAAGTGCAGTGTACCTACGCCGACTGCCCAGCTCTCTTCAGCTCCATCCAGGCAATGAAGAAGCACAAGGCCCAAGGCGAACACGACTACTGCAGCAGATGCGACGAGGACTTTGAAGACGAAGAACGCCTCCTCATCCACAAGATCAAAAGCAACAAGCACATCGTCTGCCCCATCTGTGGCGTTGACTTTCGCAGCGAGGGTGGTCGAGATGGCCACATTCGCCAGGTGAGTGGGCTCGTGGGCTCGTGGGCTCGACTTGAGACTTCCCTCTCTGTTCTCTACTAATGCAAACGGTGGTGGATGGTAGAATCATCGAGCGGAACAGACTATCATCTGCCATGGCTGCAAGGACATTTTCAAAAGTGCCAGCGGTCTTATGCGTCACATCGAAGAGGACGAATGTCCAGCCATTAGCAAAACCCGTCTCTTACAGGAACAGTCCAAGAAACTCATCATCAAGGAGGCCCTCAAAGCCGGCGAGGGATCCCCCATGCCCATTATCCCCAATCCTGTTGATTTCGACGACATCGACGGCGGCGTCAAGGTGAACATGCTCGAGATGGAAAATAGGGAGGCGATGGCTCACCAGCCCAAGCCGGGCGAGGTCGATCCCACCGCGAGTGTAGATGCCATGCTTGCTCTGAAACACTGGCCGCAGCTGGGCGAGCAGAGAAAGATGGGCAGTGAAGCTGCTTCGCCGGGTAGTGACCTGATGGCCTTTTCTGACTTTTCTCCTTCGGTCAGAAGCCCTAGTGTCTGGAAGGGGAAGGAAAAGGCTAGATCTGTCACTGAAACTGAAGTGCAGTCTCCGACTCGCGAGGAGGGCCCGTTTGGCGTTGGCTTGCCGGATGCTGGTCAGATGCTTCGTATTATGAATGAGAGCTGGGATCCGACCAAGTTCTTTAACTCGTTTAGTGGAAAATACGCTTGTCCTTGTGGTGCGCTGTTTACCGGAATGAAGGAGTTTGAAGAACATATTTTGATGAAGAGTCGCGCGAGACGTAACATGCAGTATGTATCCGCTGATATTGAGGGACGGATAAAAGACTAATCTTGGTGTCTACAGGTGCCCCGCATGCCTTCGGATCTTCAAGAGCACGGCTGCCCTTATTGCCCACTGCGAATCAGCTAGTGTCCGATGCAGCATCAATGATGGATACCGATATGGGCAGATCATCGATGAGCTTAGTGGAGGGGTGATCCAGGCGAGTGGCTATAACAACGATGGAACTGTCAAGTATGAGGCTGGAAAGTTGGCTCTGCCTAATAACACGATGATTGGGACCGATTTGCAGGCCGTGAAGAAGTGGTGATCTGTCTTTTTTATTTTCTTTTTACACAACTTACGATGGCATCTGAGAAGGGGTAACAAGGGCAGATAGAACTCAATATGAAGTCGATTTATTAGGTACAAGGGTATAACAACCGACCAGACAGAACGTCATTTCCATATATACATTATACGTATATTCATTCATGCTTAACAGCATTCCTCACAGCATTCAAAGCATGCCAAGCCAGCACACCTATATGGTCAGCATAATCCATTATCGGGGATAGAGGAAGACATACACTCCACAACAGACATCACCAGCTTCACCACCTCCACGCAATTTCATTTGCATTGGTTCTTGGGTGGTCTGATAATTAGTTTCATTAGTATTAGAACTTCATTTATACTGTGTAGAGGTAACATACTGGCTGCTCCGTAATGACCCCATTCGAAGGAGTAGATTGACTGGCGGGTTGCTCCATAGTGATCGCAGGCGTAGTGGGGGTTTCAGGGGAGGATTTCGACCAGTTGAAAAAGCTGAACATGATGTATAATGTTATATTAGGTATAGCAGATACTAGAAAGAAGAAGAGAATAAAGCAGAGCAAGCGAAACAAACCGGGTATAAATACCTCAACTGCTATGATGTATACAACTCCACCATCAAGCATGATATTATAAATTTGATGAAATGATATAATAGGTACCTAACACATAATAAATAGGCAACCACATTCGCCCCTGATCCAATCATTTATGCATACTGCATACAAGCCCGATTGCTTCCCTGATTTGGAGTCCAAAAAACTGGGCACAAGTGGAGACTTCATATGATATCGTCTTATAGGGCTGAATGGCTAAGCTTTGTCAAGCTTTGCTGGGTATTGGCCAATCAGTGCTGTTTAATTCATGTGATTTATGTCTGTTTATGTTTTATTATGCTTTATGATTAGTAGTATTTATCTGTATAACTCAAGGTGCTTGGAGATAGGAAGATGGATGTCTCGGCTCCATGAGAGATGTGTGTCGATGTCAACGATTATACAGCATTTGTTCAGCTTCTAATATCGCTAAATACTGTATTTATCATCAACGTTATTTATTTATTTACAGACTATAGATATCTTCAGGAATATACTTCCCGCACTCTGATTGGCCTGTCAGGTCACCTGACTACGCCTTTGGTCGAATGGAATCCCGTAAATTTTCTTTGCGATAACAAATCCAGCATCATCTGCAATCGAATCCAACCTAATCTCATGGCCACACCCATTCATCAAACATAAATATCCCAATCAAAAGAAAACGGAGGAAAAATGTCCACCCCACAAGAAATCCAAGCAATCCGCGAAGCAGACTACATCCGCTTCAAACACTACGCCGCACTGGGCTTCCTCGTGGCCTCGCCAATCCTAATCGCCCTCCCACCACGACGTCTCGATCCTCTCACCGTCCTGTTGACGAGCGCCTTCTTTGTCTCCGCAAACCACATCACCCACGAACGCACAGGGCGGAGTATCGTCGACCGTATCGAGTCGAAAATCGCATATTCCTCGAAGGCCGTGTCTGTGCCTGACCTCCCGAGTGAGCGCGCGTTGGAACTCCAGGCTCGGATGCGAGCTGCGCGCGATGCGCAGATCAAAGAAGGCGGTCTGGTTAGTGAGGAATTGGAGAAGTTGAAGGCGAGACAGGAGCAGGAGAAGGGGATGGCGGAGAGAATTTGGATGGGGGGTGAGGTGGAGGGGTGGAAAGAGCGGCGGCTGCGGGAGGAGAGGGAGGCGTTGGAGGAGGGGAGGGGATATGGGGATTTGATCAAGGAGCATATCTGGGATGTGTGGACTTGGGGGAAGAAGGATGAGGAAGATGAGGATGATGATTGAGTTGGTTGTGTGGAGTGTTGATTTGAAGCGATGGATTCATGTATAGGTATTTGTATTATATGGTTGGCGTTGAGGTATTCTTGTACAAACAAAGGGACTCTCTTACAGATCTACGAAGCTACGAGTAGACAACATTCAGTTGATAATTCTTCATTCTTGAATTCAACAAATACACAACTTTCCTAGATTGTATCCCCTGGGCTCTGGGGATACAACCAGGATACAAAACAAAATAATCCATATCAATCTGTATAAATCAACGATAATCCACCATCATCCCCCCATTCGGGCTGTCGAATCAAGGGAAACTTCCTGACAAATGTCAGGTAAAAACCTTGATCAGGATGCAACCATCAAAACAATATAGTAAATTCAATCTCATCCCCCCATTCGAGCGGTGGATCAAGGGAAACGTCCATGGCATTTGCCAGGTAAAAACCTTGACCAGGATGTAACAAAATATATCAAATCCAATCCGATCCCCCCATTCGAGCGTGGACCAAGGGAAACATCCATGATGATACCAGGTAAAAACCTTGGCCGGGATACAGTACAAATTCAAATTCGTCCCCATATAGTTGCAAAATCAATCAAAATAGTACACATAGTTCAGTTTGATCCCCCCATTCGAGCGCGGGTCAAGGGAAACTTCCTTGATGATATCAGGTAAAAACCTTGACCGGGATGCATACATGTTTGAAATCCCCAATTGTGTGTATGTGTGTGTATGTGTGTGTATGTGTGTGTATGTGTGTGTGTATAGATAGGATGTGTGTGTATCCATGTCCATACGATCTTTCCAAGATCAAAAACATCCAACTCTTCCCATTTCCCATGGGGTCATGGGGTGTCCCATGATCTCCTATTCAAAGTGCCCCCCATTCAAAAATGTCCTCCCGCTTTATGCGGAGAGAACCAGTCCCTTCAAATATCAATTTCCCATCCGAAAGTAATCGTTTCCCCCACTTCATGTGGAGAGAACGTCCCATGTATACCTCTATGTTTCAATCTGATCCTCCAAAAGTGGTCTCTGAGAGAACCATCCCCATGGCATGATGCCATCTTTCCAAACACTCTTCATTCAAAATTGCTTCCCCCGCTTGATGCGAGAGAAACGACAAGTCTTGCATGTCATACTTCATACAACTCTTCAAAATATCATCCAAAATGTTCTCCCACTTCATGTGGAGAGAATGTTCTCAAAATATCTTCATCCAAAATGTTCTGTCAAAACTAGTTGGTCTCCCACTTCATGTGGAGAGAACCGATTCATATCATCTTCCAAATCTCTTCATACAAAGGTAAATGTTATCCCACTTTATGTGGAGAGTAACTACAAGCAAGTTTCTTCTAACATCCCCTGACCGGCGCCGGCCTTTTTTATCTTCGAGATTGTAGGATGATTTCAGTCTTTGAAAGCTTGTAAATTCCGATCGATTTTTGGTTTGATGATTGTCAACTGTGATTTGGAGATCAAGTAGAGTGGAGTGGGATTGGCCGTCATCGACGACGAGATACCATCTGCATCCAACGCATGGTCGTCCCCAATTAACGACTTCGCAGGAGTTGATACCCCGCCGACTCGATACCATTTGGGTCCATTGGTGTGAATCGGTTTGAAGTTGAGTTTTTGATACCATCTGGGTTCAGCGTTGGGTGGTCGTTCCCAATATTAATGACTTCGCCGTCGCCGATATCTTAATTGTTTGTTAAATCAACAGTTTCTTTTGGAAAATCGAGATGTGTTTCGGAGATTTATTTGACTTTTGTTTGTTTTCATGTTGACTGCCACTAGCCAGAAGGAGGTTTCTCTCGATCGATGTCGGTGTGTTGATGTGATGTGTCGATGGGTCGATGTGTCGATGTGTGTTTGAGAGATTGTAGAGGCGAGATGACATGGCCCGATGGACATCCATTGGGATCCTACAATGGAGCCACCCGCAGCCGCAGCCATTGTGTTCCATCCCAGGCTGTGACTTGATGGCCATGGAATGTTGGGGAGGAACTTTTTTTTTTGGTGAAATTGAGGTCATTCTCGTGTTTTTGGTATTTTCCAATTAGATTGAAAAAGGACAACAAGAAGAAGAGTAAAAAGCATAAACAAAAAGGTTTTTTTTTTCTGAGGTTTTCAATTTTTGGCGGCTTTGGATGGGCATCGTGGCAGTCAAACATGGACTGGACGTGTGGCATAGGCCGATGCCAACGTCCAGTTTTTCTTCAGTAAATGCCGCGGCCAGGGCCCGGAACGGTACATCGGGCCCTGGCCTACTCTTAACGAAAAGGTGATGTCGGAGACATTTAATAAAAGAAGAAGAAGGGAGCATCGGTCATTTCGACCTCCGGAGTGATGCTCCCTGCCTCACCACTAAGGGCAAGGCTTAGCATAGAGGTGGCCTGTCATGACGTTAGCAATCACTGTTGAACCCAGAAGAGACAATAGATACTTACGAGATCTTGAATTGCCAGCGCCCCCCTGGCGAGGTATTCAATCTGTAGAGAACATGTGAGACACGAGTCATTCATAGGATCTGATAGAAGCGAGATACTTACTGGTTCCAAGAGGGGCGGGGCCTCAGTCATTTCGACGTCTCTTGGTTCATCGACGCTCTAGAGTCACGTTAGTTTATCTGAACATAACATGCCATCAAAAGAAGAACTTACTGCCTGGATGAGAGCCGGAGCGTCTCTCATCACAATGTCCCTAAACCGGTGACCATTGTGAGCCTTACGCCCACGCCGGCCAGTGGACAACCCGGAATTCCCAAAGGGCTAAAGTATCGTTAGTATAATGTGAAGCTAGTTGCAGACAGGACATGAACTTACCATTGGTGGTCGCTGCTGACGATTGTTCCTTGGGAGGTTGCGACCTCTCCCGCGGTGAGGGGAGCCGGGTTGCTGGGCCGGTCCCTGAAATTGGTTCGGACGAGGTGTCTGCTGATTAGCAGCTATGTTCTTGCCTCGCCGATATTTGCTCCCGGACTTCTATACAACGGTTAGTTGAGATGAATCACAGGCTAGGAAAGATGGATAGTTACTCTATTTGTGGCACCTTGTCCTCCCTATACGATCGTTAGCATGACTATTCGTCCCATCACAGGAAACTGATATGTACTTACAGTCGAGTTTTGGCCGAAGCCATTATTCTGATTGTGAGGGCCTCCAGACCCGTGCTGTCTGGTGCCGTTGTGGAAAGGGTGAAGAAACCCGGCACCGAGACCGTTTCCAGAGCCGAAGCTCAAGGGATTCTCATCGAAAGCCATTTGGGGTATGGACTTGGGTGAGAAGGAAGAACACTTGTTAAAAGGGAGTAAATGCAACGGATTCCAACTGCCGAAGGGCCGTTTCAGGGCTTTCTCTCCAAAGTGGTTCCCTTTTTTCCTTCAGAAAAAAAGGTTAAAAAAAAGAAATCAGATTTTCAGCTAGTCCTTGTTTTCTCTCTCAGATTCGGGGATTATTTTTTGTTTGTTTTTTGTTTTTGATCCTTTTAGCCCTTGAGTAGAATGTTTTTGGAACTGCCTTTTAACAAAACAATTTGAAGCAACACTCAGATTAGGGCTCCCTATTCCGGATGAACTTCGTTACAGGATGGGTGTATGTTTGAGATGACGAGGGCTTGTTTTTATGTCAAATGCTCTTTGGTTTCTTCAAGTGGATACTGGAGGTGGTGATCCTTCGATAGATGAAAGAAGGAAGAAGGAAACGGAAATCCAGGACCGCCGGGAGGGGATTTTATACCACCAGAGAGAAGTGTAGGCTGCAATTGAGGCATGATGTATGAATTGCGAAGAGAAGACGAAAATGGAGTGGTATAACGAGGCAGCAAAGCTCGAGGCAGCGGGAGAGAAAAGAAGGTAGCAATGTATACAGAATAGGCGAGGGCAATAGGGAGTACCAAAGAACAGACCACCCTGCAGAGGCTTCCGCCTGTCTATACTGTATAGAACCAGGGATCATGATCGTTGAACGGGGAAGCTCAGGCTAGCTGTCGATCATCTGCCCGGCGGACCGCAGATATGGAGAGTACAGGCCGCGACTCGTTTGAGAGGCTGCTTCAAATCCTGCGGAAGCCCAATGGGGCCAGGTCCAGTATATAAAACCGGGCACCAAGATCGTCTGTTAGGCAAGCTTTAGGTAGGCTCGATTAGCTTAGATTAGGCCGTCGATCAGAGGCAACACCCGCCTAGCGGGCCGCAGGAAAATGACTTCATTTGTTTTTTTCTTTAGGATTTTGCATTACCTATTGCCGCGTACACTGATACTGCAAAGGGGTTCGGAGGTGAAGGCTGCCTGCTTCAAATACTGGCATAACGTCGAATCAGTAATCCGCCGCCATCATCACGCAGTAGGCTTCTGTCTCTTCGTCTTTGCCTCTGAAGTCGAATTGGGTCCAGATTGACCAGACACCCGCCTCTTCGGCCGAATTATGCCTTGGAGTTTTTCATTATCACTGCCTTCTTGTGGCTTGTCGACCTTGGGTTTCTTTTTCTTAGGCCTAGTCCTCTCCCCAGGCGACGAAACACTGCCATTCGAGGCCAGACTATCCCGTTTCCTTTTTTCAGGCTTCGCATTTCTCTTCTTGCGGCGGTCCTCTTTGATTTTTAGGCGCCTCTGGACCTCCTCTGAAATGTCTTCCGTTTCCATTGACACTGGCGTCACATTTCGCACATCCTCATCGTTGCCTGGAATTGCCAAATCCAGCCGCTTTCGCTTGTGTTTGCGCACACCCTCTGTATGGGCATAAATTGGCCCATTAGTATCTATTTCCATTGACTCTTGGCTTTTTCTTGATCTCTTTTTTCCTTCCTTCAGACGAGTTGAATGCGGCGCGGATGTAGCTTGCGCATCGCTGGGTTGTGTCGAATTCGAGCTCAAATGACCGCTCTGTGCTTTTGACAATGAAGGTTGATCCAACATGGCTCCAAATACGTTTGGCCCTAGTATAGTTGTTATTCCCCCATCCAGTATAAAGACTGGAGAGACAGCAGGCGACTTACTGTTGACCTGATTGAGAGCAAGTTAGCTAATTGGTCCCACACACATAATCCACCCTAGAGCAAGACAACTTACAAACTGCTTCTTAATCACTTTGAACTGAGTAACCAACTTATTGGTTTTCTCCACCATCAAAGAAACAGTGCGGAATGCATCCGCATCGGAAAGCACTTGATCTTTAACCGAGTTCAGCATCTCAAGATGCGAAGAGAGAACGGACTCATGGCGAGAGCATATCTGCATAAATAAACAATGCCATTGTGAGTGAATACGTCCAACTACCAATTGATTCAAAGCTTCGTTGCCCTTTGTTTTGCTTTCTTCCTTACCTCTGGCCACGAGAATTGTGGGTTTTCTGCGCTGGAGCCCCGCGTATTGGGCCCAGCGCGGACTTCATCTGGTGCTTCCTCGACGGTTGGATTCATGGATAGCCGTGTTTCGACGCAAGGTGTGCGAGTTCAGAGACTGGTCGAGTCCGGATGTTGAATTAAAGTCGCGACGCTGGACAGAAACGGCGACGATCGGCGGAGCTGTCAGGTACTCCGCGCCAAGATCGCGCTAATGTATGTAATGGCCGGTATTGCGTGGGATCAGCTGCTGTGCCTTGCAGACAGTCGGTATACAGGGTCAAGAAGACGGCGAGGTGGTTCTTTTACGTAGAGTGGGCTATATTTTACTTAGCAGAGCGTAGGGAATCGGATAGAAATTACCAATTGGCCTGATACTACATGTTGATAATCTAAAATAACAAAAATAAATCCAACCGCTGACTTGTTCGTCAATCCATCCTAACCTTATTGCGCCGCCCCAGAAAATAAGTAAACAAAGTAAGGTGGTTGTTCATGCAATGCAAAATGTCAATCATCCAATATCATATAATTACCATGCACCTGGATCAAAGTCGAACCGAGACAGTTCCTTTTGCGAGTCCTCCACGTCTTTCTTCGCCTTCATGCGCATGTAGAAGATAGGGCAATCCCTGGAAGAGCAAATGACTTCGCAGTGCAAACTGCCTTGACACCTCTGGCACTGAGTCCAGAGTCGACCAAAGCGGACCTCAAGGTCGGAGACCTTGGTGAGAGTCTTGGTATACAGCTCACCAAGACGAGGGCGGCAGTGCTCACATACAGCCCCTGCCATCTCCTCTTTGCCGGAAAGTGGCTTTTTACAGCCCATGCAGGTTTGGGTTTTCTTGGCGAACTTCATGAGACCTCCAAGTGTAGGTGCTGCAACAGAGATGGAGCGCGTATGTTCACCAGTAAGTAACTGGTTTGCCTTCTTCTCTCCGAGAATGGGTTCGAAAATACGGCCGAGGGGGTTTGCGAGTTGGTTGTCAAGATAATACTTGGTGTCGATGGGAATATTGTTTTCAAGAACAAAGATGGGATCTTCAGACTTTTCATAATTCTTAGAACCACCGGCGCCTTTCACGATGACATAGGCCACACGGTCACCAAGAGTGGGGGCAGAACCCGCATCACGCTTTCTCATACGTTCAGCAAGCTCAACGTGTGCCTGCTTAGCAGTATAGTCGTCTTTAGAAAGTGCCTTGGTAATCACGAGCTTCGACATATCGATCTTGTTCTGTAGAAGATCCGAAATAGTTTCCTTGACGTATCTGCGAGCGGTGTTAGTTGGCAGGCCAAAATCGACAGAGAAATCAACTTACTCTTGAGCACCATCGATATCTCTGTCGATCAAGATCTTGTGAAGCACAGTCTCAATGACATTTTGAACCATACGACAGTTATCTCGACGAACAGTTTCGATACCCTTGGTGTCCATCTTGTCATACTTTTTCGGGTTCGTCCAGTACAGACCAGCATATCTCTTTTTGTTGATCAAAAGATATGGGAAATAAACTTTTTCGAACTCAAGTTTGATGGGCTTGAGGAATTTTGCTGAAACGTATTCAGATGCCTCCTGTCCCAGTTTCATGGCTTCTTCCAGCTCACTAACACCGAACTTGACCATGACGGAGTCAGTGTCACCGTAAATAACCTTGGCATCATGAGAATAACCATTTGCAATCGTATATCTCGCCTCCACCTCTTGCTTTGTCTTCTCGATCATTTGACGTCCATAACTAGTCGTACTACTTGCGATAGGCAGACACGGCAGTTTTCCGACCGTTGCGCCAGTCAAACCGTAGACACTGTTAGCACTGACCTTAAGAGCAAGCTGTCGTCCGTTCAAAACCGCCTGCTTAAAAGGATCAGTTTCAACCGCCAGCTCCTTCTTTGCGCGTTTTCGTGCAGTGAGTAATTCTTCCAAAATCTGTGAGAGAAGACCTTTGCGGACCTTCGCAGTCGCGAACATATCGCCATTTGGTGTGACGATGTAGTCTTCATCTTTTTTCAAACCAAGCTTCTCGACGCTAGTCTTATTGAGCAAGGTAGTATAGCACAAGTTGTGCGCCTGAATAATAGAAGGGTATAGGGAAGCGAAATCGAGAGTCGCAATTGGTACACCGTAGTAGCCTCGAGTTGGCTCGATAACGGTTGCACCTTCATAATCCTGCTCATCTGAGCTTTTTGCATTCGGGATGACAAGCTGCTGCTCCAAAGCCTTGCGGAATAGCTGACTGATGAACTTGACTTGTTGTCCTCGTGAGAGTAGGAAGTTAAAGGGAACACCCGTAACTCTTGCCATCTCAGTGTAATTAACTAGACACATAAGTTTATCCATCAGTCTTTGTGGTAGATAAGCGTCCTTTAAACAGTAAACTGCAAGTCGTCGCCTTGAGTCTGGAGTTCCGTTGAACAGTTCGGTAATCATTGTGTGATGAACGTCTTCTTTCTGTTCCCCTAAAAACTCATAGGACACAGAGTTGAGCGTGTAACTTCGTAGATGATGATCTCGCTGAACCAACTGAAGCAGATCGAGTTGGATTCTTCCATTTGTATTTGTTGTCTTTGTGTCACGGTTGCCCATTTGCTTGCTGGAAAAGTTCGTTTTCTTCGCCTGCGACTGGATCCCCTTGAGTCTTGTCCAGTAGGGGAATCCGGTACATTTGAGATGCTGTGCTCGATCCAATAGGTATGGGAAATCGAAGTTGGCAATGTTATATCCGATAATCACATCGGGATCCACCTTTTCGACAAAATCGCGCCATGCCATGAGCATCTTCTCCTCTTTCTCAAATTCCAGAATCTGTGTATTGACAATCAAGCTGCATGTATCCAAGACAAATACATTTCGAACAAATGGCTTGGACTCTCCGTAGCGAGTCACGACATTGGCGATCTGGATAACTGGGTCATGGTTGGGTTCGGGGAAAATGCCCTTTCTTCCGGCGCACTCAATATCAAAGGAGAGGATGCGAAGTGGTGCCATCTTGGCCCACTCTCCATTAGGCGGATGGGCAATAAGGTCCCGATAGTCGACGCTTGCTTCAAGTTGGCAGTTCGACATCTTTTCCCGTGCTGGAAGAAGGCGATACTTGCCAGCCTTTGCCTCCACCCAAGCCATTCCCGAGATACTCGTGTCGATCATGAACCTCAAAAGATATTGAATGTTGTCAAATGTGAGAATTCCGGCATCAGACTTGCTCCACAGACCCTTGTAGTTGACACTCTGGGGGGTGTTTTCGAGTGCACTGCGCAACTTGGTGATGTGCTTGGGCTCTGTCACGGTGATCTTCAAGTAGTAAGTCTTTTGGTTTCCTTGGAAGCCGTATATATTTTCTCTCATTGTTATTTCGACCGACTGGATGGTGGGTACGAAATTACCAAGCTTGGTTTCCAAAAACGCTCGGTAGGGGTCGCAGTCCTCCTTTGTAAAACCGACAGGCGCCGCGATGTAGAGATAATGTTGAAACCCGGTGACATGCAGTAAGACAGATTGTCCGGCCTAATTTATCGTTAGAAAAGTAAGAAACAATGGATGAAGCGCAGGCCATACCTCTGTGACACCAAAAAGCCGAACAGCAGTCTTGCCGCCCATCAATGTTCCTTCTTCCGCATCAATCTGTTGGAAGCAGATGTTCTCCTTTGTCTCGTCGAATTCGCCTAGTGGTGGTCGCTCCCATTGCTGATCCTTTTCTGAGTTGCTGTCCTTCAAGCCACTGATATCCTGTGTCAACTTTTCCAGAACCTCCTCTTCAAACTGGCTCTTCTGCGGTTGGGTTGAGCCAAAGGGTTTTCGCGGGCCATTTTGGGATGGTGTGCTGAATTTAACATTTTGTTCTGCGTCGAGTCGTCGCTTTTTCAAAGAGTTGGGGGATTTCAAGGCACTGCGAGAGTTATTCGAAGCATCGCCCAGAACCCGCTTCTGGGGCATCGCGACGGCTTCAGGCATAATGACAATTCATAGAACGATAAATGATGAGACTTTTGAGCGGCCAATACAGGAGACAAAATATGGAAAGTAAGAAGATTCACCAAGGGAAGTGTTATCTCAGAACACAGCAGCGTCGCGGATCTGCACTCCATAACGGGAAGTCGTGTCTCGTTCGCGCCTCGACGTGACGCCCTTTACGCGTAGAGCCGAAATCACGTGTCGCATAGGTGACGCAAGGACAGAAGAACAGTAAAAAACACGGTTTGACATCGTTTAAATTGCTGAATATAAAGTCGAAGATAGGGAGTATTTCTCATTACTCTAGGATATTGATGTTGCCGTGTTTTTAGATAGGCTGAGTTCATTCCACTACTCATAGATGCGATACTCTGCAGAGCCCTCATCCAACGTGATCTTGAGAATGTCTATTGATTTCTCTGGATCTCATTAAAGCTGATATCCCAACATTACTTTTCCATACATATTCTCCGTTGCAAGCTGTTTCTTTGTGTGGACATTTCGCACTAGCTGTTGCTACAGAGGTCACGGTAGCATCATCGACTGCGATGCTTCCTACCAATCAAAACCGACAGATTATCAGCCATTTAGATCTTGTAGAATTTTTTAATCCATGAGACTTAGTAGTCTGTATATTTCCAGATAAATAATATTGTATTCGATGTTTTATTCCAGTCTCCAGCATTACATTGGATCCTACCGTGTGTCAAATGCTAAACCCTCCACATTGTATTTCTAGGCTTGTATACTGCTCTGTTCGATGTCTGTTCTACTTTATAGTGCTCCATAGCATGCTAGCCATTAGTATTTTGCTATATAAGTACATTTCTAAAAACGAAGCTCGATCAAAAATGGCATCAAAACAGAGTGATATCTCCATTTTCTGCTCTGTATTGATTCATTGGTGTTTAGATCGCACAAATCGAGCCTTGCAGCCTGAGGCCACCAAAGTGGCACTTTTGACTCACGGAATCCCCGCCAAAAACGAACATGCCCACCTGAGACTCAATCTTCCAGAACCTGGCCATTTGCATCTTCATGATCATCAAGACATTCACCTCTGGGGCACAAAGAAATGCAATTGAAGTGACGTGTCATTCTCAGCAGATGTGGTCACGTTGAGAAGCACCGCCTAGCATGCGCCCTGTCGATGGCATCTCGGTTTAGAAACTGATGGAAACAAAAGTCGACCACTACCTTTTTCCCCAATTGGAGCTTGTTGATCGAGCGGTAAAGGTGGCATCTTTTACAACTGCATTTCAACTCTTGCAGGCATCACGGTCCATTGTGTTTTATTAGACTGCCATTGCCTCCCTTGCCTTCTGGTGATCGCAGCTGGCAGAACCAACCGACAGTTCTAGCCACTACCTAAAAAGGCTCAATATCAACACCATTGAGTGGATTTACCACATATTGTTTTTTGTGTGCTGCCACTTTATCAATTTGACATTAGATGACTTCCGCATATTCCACCTTAATGACTCTTGTGTCGCTCTGAATTTATGATTGTCTAAATCCTCTACTTCAGCATGTCAATGTTCAGATCAGCTGCAGATAGCTCGTCAGATTCTCAAGTCAGCTCTGATGAAAACGATAACAATGTGCTCATGACCTCAATTCACAGCGAACGGGAAAACCCCCGAATCCCCCAAAAGGAAGCAAAGACGCCTCCCATAACAACAGGAACAGGTCATGGCCAAGACACAAGCTCTTCCGAGCATGACCTCCCAAGTCCCAGTGGGTTGCCTGACGTTGACGCTGGGGGCCATGCAAACTTGATGACTGCTGCTTTGCTTGAGTTTTACTGCCTCAGTCGGGCTGCAGATATTCTCAATGCCCAAGAAGGCTCACACCGACGGTTCACACGCGACTCGTCTGAAGTTCAATACCTTGGGAAAAAGATGTATGCCTTTAAGTCTCAGTTTCTTTCATCGCATGGCGTGTTAGTGGGTGGGGTTGATAAAGAGGAATTGGGAACGACACGGCAGTACTACCGCGACAATCTCGATCTACTTGGTGTGTCTGCATTGGAGGATTTGAATTTAGACGACGGAAACAGGCGATCGCCGACAATCGGTGCTTCTACGGATCTCGCATTGACTTCCAAATCTTCAAAGAGCATGCGGTTCCTTGCTGAAAAACAGTACGCGGAGCCTACTCGACCAGAGGCCGAAAGGGGTGAAGGTTTAGATCTGCAACGACTTATCAGTGGAAGAAATTCCGGTCTGATGCAAGACATTCGACTGGACTTGGGCAATTTGCCAACACAGCCCTTGCCTCTTTCTAGAAGCTCTCCTGTGAGCTTTCCATTATTCAGTGCACATCCACACCAGCCTATCAACCACATGTCCCGCTATGAAATGGAATTTTCTGAAGTCAAGGTTTTGGGTCGTGGGTCATTCGGGGAGGTTTACCATGTGAAGAACCACATTGATGGACAAAGTTACGCGGTCAAAAAGATTCCGCTGAGCCAAAAGCGCCTTGAACAGTTGCAATTTGGGGGACAAAATCAACTGGAGAACATAATGAAGGAGATTCGAACCCTTGCTAGACTTGAGCATACAAATGTCGTTCGATATTATGGGGCATGGGTGGAACAGGCACATGTCGCTGGGCATCTACCGCCTGAAGAGCCCTCTTCTCATGGGCTGCACCACGAGGAGTCACAAAACACCGATATAACTCAGGAGTCAGCAGAAAACCCGAGTTTTGGCATTGTATTCGAAGATTCGGAAAGCTCACTGGCCGAGGCTCATTCAAGCTCCGCGTCAACGGAATACGAAACACGCTCTCACGGTACGGCGCAACGTCGATACAGCCATGCAACTACAGCTTCACATCGATCAAGGAGAAGCTTTGGACACAGTATTGAAGATGACGATGAAGAGATTGAGTCAATCCCTCGCGATTTCACTATGCAGTCTCAAGGCCAACTGTCGACCTTTGGCGGAACGGACGACGATATCTTCACAGATGGATTGAGTCAAGATCCATCCAAGCTGCAGATTCAGCGAAGGCACCGGAGCGGAGCTCAAATTCCTGCTGTTGTTCTTCATATTCAAATGTCGCTTCACCCCATTTCTCTTAGCTCATATCTGAATCCACAGCCGGAAAGATCTGGGGAGGCGCAGTCCCCGTCACGGCGCCACTGCTTCCATTTGATACCGTCATTAAAATTGATGCTAGATATTATCTCTGGAGTCGAGTACCTTCACACTAAGGGGATTGTGCACCGAGATCTGAAACCGGCTAATATTTTCCTTTCGTCTCCCGAGAACCATAACTTACAGAGATGCGGTTCTTGCCAATCAGACCATGAGTCTGTCTCCCATTATTGCCACCCCCGGATAGGGGATTTCGGGCTGGTGGCAGATATCTCCCATCTCAATGTCACACCCTCAGACAGCCCTGTCACTCCTTCTAACGAGGGCCCGAATGTGAATCGCATTGTTGGGACAGAGTTTTATCGTCCGCCACAGGGATCCGTTGGGGATTCCAGCTTTGGCAGCAATCAATCGTTTTGCACAGTTGACGAGAAGCTTGATATATTCGCCCTTGGGGTGATTCTATTTGAACTATTATACCGCCTGAACACGAAAATGGAACGACAATTAGTATTGAATGATCTGACAAGGGGAAGCAACAGCCAGTCATCGACAGTATCCCCTACGAGCAGGACATCGTTCCCATCTGACTTTGTGGGGAAAATTGACATGGGACAAATGATGCTAGATGACGAAACATCTATAGGGGAATCCTTGATGGCGTGCATCGAGGGCATGCTGGAACCCCAACCTCAACAGCCCTTGAACTGCTCGTTCATCAAGTCCCGCCTGGAAGGAATTCTCGCAGCAACCCAGAAGGTGCTGTGATTACGACCTCTTACTGCATTCAAGGTTCTGAACGAGCCATCCTTGCATCAGCATTCTGGTTTTTTGCGCATCGATAGGATACGTTGAAAAGAGGAGGAAGCAAAGAATCCAAGTTATTCTTTGAAAAATTGTCATTGCGCAGCACAAGTCTAGACTTTTGTGTCTTTGGCGTCTCATCATGTGCATCTTAGCGAATATAGATTATGACCATCAATTATAGCTTAATGAACTCAACTCTCCACCTAACTGGTTGATATTGTCTATCTTCTGTATGCGTTTTCTTTCCTCGAGTGTCTGCAAATAAAATAATATGATATTCACATCGAGTTGGTCGTGCTCACAAGAATAAAAAACGCCCGCGGCCCTCGGTTTCCTTGAAGATTTTCCCCGCACGCCTCCTTGCGATAAGATAGACCCCAACAGCATTAGTGTGCAACAGTTTGTGCATACATAGTAAACTATAGGTATGCACAACGTATCTTGATAATATAAAAAGACTGATTACAGAGTAAATTCTTATCCAAATCTAAAGCAACAGCATCACCATGCCACGCACAATTCCCCTTCAGACCGCTCCATACAGCGAACCTCTCCTTCCCCAACTCGACATCAAGAACCCCTACTACACCGATCTGCACCACAACCTCCGCGCCGCTGTCCGTGAATACGTCGATTCATCCATCGCCCCATACGCCCAAGAATGGGAAGAGGCGGGACAAGTCCCCGAAGCCGTTCGACGACGTCATTGTGAGCTAGGCTTCGGCATCGTCCATCCGTTGACCACAGTTGAGGATGCGGCGGGTTTGTCGCTTCCTGGGGACGTGCCGCGCGAGAAATGGGATACGTGGTGTGGATTGATTCTGACAGATGAGCTCACGAGAACCGGGTATGTTGGCGTGGTATGGGGATTGGGGGGTGGGAATGCCATTGGGTGTCCGCCTGTTGCGCGGTTCGGGACTCCGGAGCAGAGGAGGAGATGGCTTCCTGGAGTTGCGAGAGGTGATATACGGTTTTGTTTGGGGATTACGGAGCCTGATGGTAAGGGGACTGAGGTTTAAGTTAGTGTGGGTGTGCTGCTGACGTTTGTCCGTGTTTACAGCTGGATCGGATGTTGCCAATATCAAGACTACAGCCAAACGTGAAGGCGATTATTACATCGTCAATGGAGCAAAGAAATGGATCACCAACGGTATCTGGGCAGATTATTGTACTGCTGCTGTTAGGACTGGTGGTCCAGGAAGATCTGGGATCAGCTTGCTTGTGATCCCTCTGGCTTCTCCTGGTGTTACTCGCAGGCGGATGCACAACTCGGGCGTCAATGCAAGCGGTATGTACTTTCAGTCGAAGAGGATACCTGTAAACTGTACTGATATGGTTTAGGCTCGACATTCATCGAGCTCGACGGAGTCCGTGTCCCAGTCGATCATCTCATTGGCGAGGAGAACAAGGGCTTCCCGTTGATCATGTCAAGTGAGTTATATTGTCAATCGCAAAGACCCCATTCTAACTGAATGCCATCAGACTTTAATCCAGAGCGCCTTGCTCTCGCCTGTGCATCTCTGCGCCTATCTCGCGTATGCGCCGAAGATGCCTTCAACTACGCCGTCCAGCGCGAGACTTTCGGCTCACCCCTAATACAGAAACAAGCCATTCAATCCAAGGTATTCAAGTTCGGTCTGATGATTGAGCCCGCCTACGCATTCTTGGAGCAGCTCGCAAATATCCTCGAATTGACAAAAGGTCGATCCAGTGACGATGTCAAAATCGGTGGTATGACTGCTTTGCTCAAGGTGATGTCTACCAAGGCGCTGGAGAAGAGTGTCCGAGAAGCTCAGCAGGTAATGGGAGGGGCAGGTTACAATAAGGCTGGAAAGGGAGCGCGGGTTGAGCAGATCAGTCGTGATCTGAGAGTTCATGTTGTTGGAGGTGGAAGTGAAGAGATCATGATGAGTCTTGCGTTGCGAGAGGAGACCAAAGCACTTCAGACGAGACGGAAGGCTTTGGAGGCTAGGGATTCCAAGATGTGAAGTAGAATTTCGAATCAAGGCTCGTCGTCTTCAACATATCATATTACAGAGCGGAAGTATGAGAAATTATCATATAAATCAACACCATGTTATTGCCGATATCCGTCAGAGTGTTGCCAGAAGCCTTATGAGAGATCAGATAATGCCACACCCAATATCACCAGAACAGACAACTGAATCCCCGCATATTAAAAAACCCACAATCAAGACTGACACAAGTGATCTTTCGCTCAAAAAGTTCAAACAAGTTCCCAAGGATTGATGAATTCTTTTCTGTCACGATCTTTAGATTCCAGTTGCTCGATTCGACGATTGATCACATCAAGATGCGCAATCATATCCTTTGCCGCTATCTTTAACAACTGGAGATCATCAATTGTTTCCGGTCCAAGAGGAAAGGGAATGACTCTTCCCTTGAGACGGGAGTTAGAAGTATTTATGGGATTTGCAATGAGGTTATTGAGAGCATTCCGGTTTGGAGAGTACTCGTCTTTGATCGTTGGAGTACGCGTATTCTCGTTCATGGCGTTGCCAGGACTGGTGGCCTTTTCTTCGGTCTCGCTTTCGAATCCGTCCCATTCAGCAGGCACCGGCGACAAGCTCAAATCACTCGGAATAGAAGATATCTCATCACTGGATCGATCTCCGTTTTCTGTAGACATGACCGGGTGGTCAAAGTTGAAGACATTGGTTCCTGGAATATATCAGCAACGCAAGACAGAGCCGCCACACAATCAGACTCACGGATACTGCAAATATGTCCCTTGCGACTAAAACGACAATTGGCGCATGATCCATGGGTCGTTGTATCAATGTTAATATCCGTCCCAATAACACAGGACTGCCACGGCCCCCGAGAAGAACGGCAGTAATCGCATGGCACTAATGCGACAAATCCCCGTGTTTGGGCAAATCCCGCGAGGAGAGACTGACTGCCCTTTAGATCTCTGCGGATCGGTTCCTTCTTTTCGTTCACATGCCAGTCTAGCTTTCTAACAACCGGAAGCCCATCGTAAGCCTTGAAGTTATTGGTGATGGTCTTCGGAGGTATCGGGAGGTCATCGGCGCTGACTCCTATGACTTGGACCTTGGGCTCTTCTCTATCTGCTTCTAAGATGGATATTTAGTCACCTGAATGGCCTGCATGTAATGGCGTGCCCTTGTCACTTACTCTCTGCCATGGCATGGAAATTTAGTCTGCGACGGACTTGTCTGCCAACCTCGAAGTCAGTATCCTCGACGGGTCTTATGCGCTTTGACAAGATACGACGAAACATCTCCACTGGCTGAACCTGTTGGAGCTCAGATAGAAAAGATGTCATGTCTAGAATGTTGTCAAAATTTATCAATGTGTTGGTGTTAAGATGTCCACTGCCCTGGAGGAGGAAATCTTGGGGACATTTCCATAACACACAATAGGAGGGAGGTCTTCAGTGAATATCTCAGTGATAAAGGGTTTCATGACAGACATATGTCTAAACAATAAAATATGAGGGTGTTCTCATCCTATTATCCACACTGCTCGAGTGAATAGAACAATAGGCTGCCTGAACGTATCTCTCAGCCACAACCATTCTTTCTCGTTTCAAAGATTGATAAATCCATCCTTTTCTATTTATTTGGTATTAATAGCTGCATAGCATAATAACGACTGCATGATCTATCCATAAACCATACCGCTACACTGTAAACTCATAAGATCGATGGCATTACGTCATTGGAGAAGCTCATGTGGGGTATCACCGTACCATACCATACCGTATGGTAAGATCACGGGTCTCGAAGCCCAACTTCACGAATTGCTCGAGTTACTTTTCTCCAACGCCAGTCCTTTCTTGCCTTGAGTGGTGGAGGGTTTGCTATGCTGATACGAAAATTTGAATATCCTCCTTCATTATGGAGAGCTTTGATCAAGTGCCCTTCTCCCAAGAGCTCGTGGATGACCACATTGAGGAGCATTATCCGTCTCGAGCTCCATCCGTTGCCGACAATCACCCAAAGACTGCGTCAAATCCTTCGCTATCAACACATAACTCGTCACTATCTCAGGAGATCAAAGTCCCTGCAGAAACAGAAACAGCACAACGAGATCCTCCGGAACAAGGAGATGCTTCAATCCCTCCCTCGACCATAACTCCGTTTCCACCGCTCCCCTTCGATTCATCGTCCGGAATCCAGATCAACGAAGATGAAGATGATGGCGACAATGAAGAGCTTGCAACATCGTTCGAGCGCGACTCGACTCCTATGTCAGCACAGAAGAAAAGATCGACCTTCTTCGATGATGGGGGCGAGGAAAGCGTGAACCGCATGCACAAGTTTTCCCTGTACGAGACCGCAACTCGGTTTTATATGGTTGGGATGGACCTATCGGATACTCGCTTCAAGATTTTGAAAATCGATCGCACATCGGATACGGGAGACTTGAGTATCACGGAGGATGATATTGTCTACACCAAGAGAGAAATGAGCCAGCTGCTCGACGCGATCGATGATGGCAACAAGAGCACCGGTGGACTGAAGCTCAAATGCAGTGCATGGGCTTTATTGGGGTTTATCAAATTCACCGGTGCATATTACATGCTTGTTGTTACCAAGAGGAGCCAAGTGGCCATGTTAGGCGGGCATTACATCTACCAGGTCGATGGGACAGAGCTCATCTCATTGACGACTTCGAACAGCTCTCGACTGAGGCCGGAAAAGAACCCCGAAGAGGCAAGATATATTGCTATCTTGAATAATCTGGACCTTACCCGCTCCTTTTATTTCAGCTACTCCTACAATATCACCCGAACTTTGCAGGATAGCATTTGTCGGGAGCGCAACACCCAACGCGATGGATATCCCCGGCCGTTCCAGCACGATTATAACACAATGTTTATATGGAACCATCATCTTCTTAGCCCGGCTATCGAGAACCTCAATAATCCTTATGAATGGTGTCTGCCGATCATCCATGGCTACGTTGACCAGGCGAAGCTTTCTGTTTATGGGAGATCGGTGTATATCACTATCATCGCGCGTCGCTCTCGGTTCTTCGCTGGAGCCCGCTTTCTGAAACGTGGCGCCAATGATCTAGGATATGTCGCCAACGATGTCGAGACCGAGCAGATCGTATCAGAGCTCACCACGACTTCGTTTCACTCTGCCGGTCCAAATCTCTATACGAACCCTTTTTACACCTCCTATGTCCAACATCGTGGAAGTATTCCGCTCTATTGGACACAGGAAAACTCGGGCGTCTCCCCTAAACCAGACATCGAGCTGAATCTAGTAGATCCGTTCTATTCCGCAGCGGCCTTGCATTTCGATAATTTGTTTGAGAGATACGGGGCTCCGGTATATGTTCTGAATCTCATAAAAGCCAGAGAACGAACGCCGAGAGAGTCCAAACTTCTCAAAGAATATACCAACGCTATCAATTATCTCAACCAATTCCTCCCGGAAGGCAAGAAGCTCATATATCGCCCATGGGATATGAGCCGTGCAGCGAAAAGCCGAGATCAGGATGTTATTCAAAATTTGGAAGATATTGCAAGTGAAATCATCCCTAGTACGCGTTTCTTCAAAAATGGGTATGACGCCGAATCTGGCTTGCAGCTTCAAAATGGCATCGCAAGGACGAACTGCATAGACTGCCTTGACCGTACAAATGCTGCCCAGTTTGTGATCGGAAAACTAGCTCTTGGTCACCAACTTCATGCCCTTGGCATAATTGATGGAACAACCCTAGAATATGACTCTGACGTGGTCAATATTTTTAACAATATGTGGCAAGACCATGGCGATACGATTGCCATCCAGTACGGCGGATCTCATCTCGTCAATACCATGGCGACATATCGCAAAATAAACCAGTGGAGCAGCCATTCGCGAGATATGGTGGAGAGCTTCAAGAGGTATTACAACAACTCTTTTCTCGACGCTCAGCGCCAAGAGGCGTATAACCTCTTTCTCGGCAACTATATATTTTCCCAAGGACAGCCCATGTTATGGGATCTCTCTACAGACTATTACCTGCACCATGCCGATCCTCGGTCTTGGTCAAACAGGAAACGCCCCTCTTACACATCCTGGTATACGCCCGAGTATCTTGAACCCAAAGCATTACCGCCGCCTCCTGCACGGCCAAAAGAGCCTTTGTCGCATTACGACGACTACTGGCTTGAGTATTACAGGCCGCTAGCCGTGTCTTCATTTTCGAAGATCTTCTCGTATAAGATGAACTCTACGCTTCGATACCTTCCTCCAGCACCCGGGAACCATTACGATATCAGTCCGTTTGTTTCTCGCACACCACACGAAACTGTACAACGGGATCGCCATCCACAACGAACCGTCAAGATCCAAGAGCCCCCCAACCATAGGAGCGACTATTCGAACAGCCCATATCTCCAGAATGCAGAGGCTTCGAGAGAGATCCAAGTCTGGACACACCAGAATCCCTCCGCTGATAAACGAGCACCTTCAGCAGGAATTATGAAAGAGTCGGTATACGGAGTGCCGCAGCCTCTGAATAAAATCCCACCCATCCAACCTCCATCGGATTCCCCTGCACCCAGTAAAGCACAGATGGCCCAATTGACTCTGGGCCACCTAGTCACTGATTCGCTCAACCCGTCTGTCACAGCTGCCGAAGCAGAAGAATATGAGCGCTATATCAACCACCCACTCAAGGTGCCTCTGGTGGTAACGTCCGAGAATGAAATGACAGCAACCTCGATACGCGAACGCGGGTCGAGTCTGGACTTGCTCGAATACGCCAACAAGTGCAACATCGGGGAGAACAGTCTCGAAGCTAACGCGGAGGAAAACCTGGCCGATTATGCCGAATTTCTAAATGTGTCTACGGGAGGGCTCACTGTTGTCGCTGAGGACTATGAGAAGAAACGTTATAAGCGATACCGGCAGTGGCTACGAGGGAAGAGTTTGTTCAAGCAGCGAGTGGATCTGTGATCTTCTCCTGTCAATGACTTCTATGAAATTTCGACTTTATGATGGATACCCCACAATCGTTTCTCTTTGCGGTATGAATATGAAGTTTATTGAGGATATAGCACTGTATGATACGAATCACAAATACAGACATGTAATAAACCAAGACAACGAGGTAGTTAAATCTCACTTATCCAAGTCTCCTAGCCGTAAACTTAAGAACCAACACCGAAATATCCCGGATCATTAGGATCAATATCGGCAAGAAGAAGATCCCCAAGAGTATCATCCGCATTAACAAGCTCCTGCAATTCCTTCTTAATGTTTTCCTGCGCATCCAACTGGCCAGGATCATCCTCAGCCTGCACTGGGTTCTGGAGTGCAAACTTCAACAAATAAACAGCCCCCTTCAGCTCCGTTTTCAATCTCACCATAGCCTCACCAGTTGACTGGTCCGATTCAGAGCTTCGTCCCCTTGTCGCTCTCTTGGCAATTTCACTCTCCTCGTCGAGAATTTGAAGCCAACACGTACACAAGCCCCCGAGGATCTCACCGCGCCATCGCCACAAGCGCGGGTGCGCATTCAGGATAACGGCTCGTGTTGCAGAAACTGCGGAGAGAAGGAGAGGGGTATATGCCGTTCCGAATGGATTCGAGAGAGTGCTGTAGATTGGGGGTATTATCTCCTGGAGATATTTGGTTGTGTGGATGCCCAGTTCTCCTAGGATGATGCATATCTCGTCTACCAGGAGCGTTGACAAACGTGGATGGGGGAAAGAAGCGTAAGAGGAGGTGGCTGTGGGGTTGGTAGAGCTGATATGGTGGAATGAGGGGATAAGGTTGTCGCGGAGGATTTTGGTGACGCCGGAGATAAACGCTTCTCTATCTGTTGTTGATGACTTCTTGACGTTCTCTTGGGTAGATGTCTGGTAGCTTGTTTTTAATAAAGAGAGGAGCGCCGGATACGCTACTTGGAGTAGTTGGATCGACTCGTCTTCTGGGGTGATGGTTGGTAGGGAAAGAAGGCATGGTCGGATAGCATCTTCAAAGACGGAAGAAAGGTTCGTTCGTCGAAGGATATCTGATTTGCTTTCTCTGATTGGGGTGAGGAATTGGGAGAGAATACTGCAGCCACGGGCCTTGAAGGCCAGGCTTTCATCGTCTATCAGGGTTAGGATTACAGGCACGAGAAGCGGGAAATGCGTCTCTAGATGTTGACGGTCTGTTGACTGTAGATTTCCAGTCAGTAATTACTTCGAAGGTGGACAAAGGTCACTTACGCGGTACTGCGAAATCACCCACCCAAAGACCGTCGTGGCGTAGACATCATGGATTTTCCACGGCTTTGACTCCGGATTCAAGATACTGGGATCAAACCGGGGCAGAGGAACAGGATGGAAATTCTTTCTACCAGCCGCAGTGATGGCCGGGTTCTTAGTCTTGGAGAAAAGAGGCCTGACTCTCTCCTTCAGGATGCGTTCGACAAAGGTCCATAGCTCATCATCCTTTGTTTCCTTGGAAAATTCCTCTAGTAATTGATTTGATAGCTCGAGACTTTTCTGCGTCGTCCAAGGATCTTTTTCATACGTGAAGCTCGCCAGTGCGATGACGATATCTGGCGTGTTGCTTGCCTTGCGGATTGGTAGTAGAGCTGCTAACGATGCCAGGGCAGATACAGCAAGAATCGATCTGAGTCGACTATCCTTCACCTCTTTCTCTTTCTCTGCTATTTCTTTCGTTTAGCAATCCCTCCAGAAAGCAAGTCAAGAAAGGTCTCACCATCCGATGATTCTTCCAGGTCGAATGCCTCTGCAAACACCGGTGAGGGAAGAGTAGCGCTGCTGGCCCAGTCATATAGGCTGTTTGCAGCATTTTCATCTTCATTTGACAATTCTCTAGATCCCCAGACCTTTAGATAGCCTTGAGCGACAAGGAGGCTTTCGCACGTCTGGTGTCGTTAGCAACAGACCCACGTGGTAACCGGCAATTTTAAAAAAGGCCTCCGCGCCATACCTCTTGGTTATTTGTAGTGCCCTTAGATATTATATCTTGCCATAGAGGCTCTAATGCATCAGGTATCGTGATATCTCCCAAAAGGGAGTCTTGCAAAGCGTGTGATTCTTCAGTTCGTTGGAGACACTCACGTGCCGCCCTGCGGAGGTCTTCCATGAGGGGTGGATTTTGGCAAAACACCAGTTCGCAATGACACGAGTAAGGATGAAGAGATAAAGATGCTAGATTATTTGGGATCGAAATTTATGCTTATGCTGTTCAAGCGAGAGTTGATGTCAGGCGGTAAGTTGCCGGAACAAAGGCTTTTGTGATGGGATTTTCTTTATTTTCTGCTAAAGCTGGGCCGACGGGGCTTCAGTTCTGTGAGACTTTGACTTCTAACATCTAACATATTATTTTGCTGGAGGCAAACCAAGCTCTTCGCGTCGATTTGACACTTCTTCCAATGCCTTTTCCTTCTCTGTAATCTCTGGATGCAATAGCTGCCATTTGACCACCATATCCAGGGCTTTACCCATCCACGGCCCTTTTCGAGCCCCCAAGGTCTGCATGATTTCGTCTCCATTTACGATGGGCCTCATTTCGCATACACCTTCTAGGTTATTTGTTATTATATACGAAAGGAATGAGTCGTAATCTTGGATCACTGCGGGTTAAACGAGGGGTTAGTGTCTGATTCTTGACATGACGACAACAGTATGGCCTAAATCCTTACCTTTGGAAAATTCGCCCCCATTCATGATCTCTTGGAGGATGCACAATAGCACACAAAGCCTCCAGTCTTTGTTCCATGATATGATCAGTAATCCGATCTGTTGTCGGATTTCCGCGGCGGTTCCGCCCAGGCGATTTTCCAGAAGAGATGACTTGGTGTCAATTATGCTGCTTGCATTAATGGATGCACATTTCAAGATTACGATCGTCTTGTTATCAGCACGAAGACTATCCCTTGCGACTTCGGCTGTGCGAGGTGGGAGCGGCTTTGCCTTTGCCGCGGGCTTCGGTAAGCGACCTGGTACTGTTGACCAAGGAGCAAAGGCAGCAATAATCCATGCGTAATAGGTTTCGGGAGAGTCGCGGATAAGAAGACTGCGTACACGTTCGATAACTGCTGCGATTTCTCCGCTATCCTTTGGAGGGTGGAGGATTTTCTGCAGGGAGTTATAGGCAAGAGACCACGACGAAGTATCCACGCCAACATCATCTTGGTGATTAGCGAATATGGTAGGGTAAAGCTGAAGGCGATCGATAAAATGCAATGCACCTCGCGGGTCGGGACCTGTGATCTAGTGAATAGAGAGCTCAAATTGAACCATAGCCATGTCACATACCACGCAGCATCTTTTCTAATTCAGTGCAGACACGCTCCTTGCTGATCTTTAGCCTGAGAGCTTCACTGATATCACTGTTCTGCATTGCCTTTTCTGTCTCCTCGTCAATCCGATATCCCAACCGGCTAGCAAATCGAATCAACCGTAGCACACGCAACGGATCATCTTTGAACGTCTGGTATGGTTCCATAGGGGTGCGAACGATCCCGTTCTTCATGTCCTCAAAGCCTCTTCGGGTAAGATCTTCCACTTTGGATTCGTTTAGGTTGTAGAAAAGCGCATTGATTGTCGCATCGCGACGCAATGCATCCTCCTCTGCTGTACCAAACTCCATCTGGGGGTTCCGGCTGTCCTCTGAATATGTCTCCTTTCGTAGATTGACTAAATCGATTTCCAACCCAAAGATCTTCGTTGTAACTGTCTCCAAATGTTTCGACTTCTCGGGATTGGCATCAATCTTATGCAGGCTGACAATAGCGTCCTTCAACTCCCCATCTGGGTGGTTCTTCTTGTATTTTTCCAGGTTATTCGGGATATCCAAGTACTCCTTCAAAGCCATACCATACTGATAGCCAGTCATATTACTAATTCCCACATCAATATCGTGACTATCGATCCCCAGCAGCTTATCCCGCACCCAGCCGCCTGTGAAACGCAGCTCTGTCTGCGGGACGTTGACATGGCTGTTTAGCGCAAGCTCTCGACCACGAATATAGTGCGCGACATCAAGGAGAAGGGTCTTCAAGGTATTCTCGATCGGGGTGAGCTGTATTGTGGGCAACGAATGCATTGCCTGATCGGAGGCCTGAGCCATGGCTTCGAGACTGCGAGGGGCCGTGGTGGAAATACGTCTTCGTTTGTTTGCTCGTTCGAAAGGGCTCTTTTCGGTTTCGCGAAGTCTCATGGGACTGTGGACTGCAGGCCGATGCTCTTGTAAAGGGACTGCTTGGTGTTTTGTCTGGGAGAAGCTTCTGTTGTGAGGGGCAGGAAATCGGGGTTGGCTGGCAGAAACATGTGTCTGCGGAGTGACGAGTCGTGGTGGGGGGGATGCGACAAAGGAAGAACGACGACTCTCAAGAAAGAAGCGGACGGCGCGAGATCTCGACATTGATTGCAGCCATAGGATGAGGCTGTACAAGAGTGATTGGTTTAAGAGTGTTGAGTCACAGTCATACTTGGATGCACGAGCAATAATTCCCCGACTCTAAAAAAAAGCGAAGATCACCGCCTTCTGACTCGATTTATCACGAATTAATCTGATCCTTGCAATCGCTTCATTTTCTACAGCAAAGCAATTGGCATGAATAGCTAGAGTGAAAGATAGGAAATTATGTTATTGTGTCGTTGTCTATTCCAATGCTTTAGCTGGCGACGATGTAGCCGACAATGGTCATTCTTGGGGTTTGGGATGATGGAGAGCATAGATCATTGCCTGTGCTTCGATAGATCTTGCAAAATAATTAGAAATCCTCATACGATCGCTCATCATCCTACAAAATGACGAAAGAAATGAAGCCGAAGTGAGTTGGGTGATCTTGGGCAGGTAAACCAGTCACCTGACTCACCACCTCATTAAACTGGTGATGGCCAACTCAAAGTAAGACAGCCATATTCCGGAATGCTGATCAACTATACCCATCTTCCACCTTTTTCTCAGGCCCTACACTCTCATACGCCACTCACGCACCTCGAACTGTACAGCCCATGGGCTCTATATTCTTCTCTATCTCTCTAAGTCGCTTATCGCAATCCATTCGGTGTCCATGACATCGCCCGGAGATGCTGCTCCGGTCAAACCTCCGCCGTCCTTCTCGCCCGGCGTCCCGCGCGTCGCATCCAAGACCAGATACCCAGACCAGCATGAATCCTCGACATCATTAGATTCGGAGCTGGTGGAATCGAGAATCGGATCCTCCCCTACCCCGCCTCTGTCGGCCACTACCACCACTCCCTCTGACCTTCCGATCCGGTCCGCGTCGCCCTACGCTCGATCGCTGAGATCGTCCACACCACAATTGGCGAGATCATCGTTGGGTTCGCCCTTGGAAGGACGGTTCGATGGTTCTGACGACACTCGGTCGCTGATAATCCGCTCCTTTTCACCCGTCGTGGGGGTCTACGCTTCTGCCGACACGGATGAATTGGTTAGGCAGAAAGGATTCCAGGGCGGCTTCTGGGAATTGATTCGGCCATTTGGAGAAGATATCCCTGGAAAGATTGTCATCCGGGATAGTGTGGGAGCGAGTCGGGGGTGGGAGGATTACGGAGTTCGTTTTGTTGACTTGGGTGGACAAAACAACCGGGGGGCGGAGGTTGGAAAGACGGGGCAAGAATCGCCTTTGGCACAGGTGGAGGAAGTGTTGGAAAGACAACTAGATTCTGCAGGCGATCCGCTGAGCGGGACACTGCATCCAAAAGATTTCTTGGGGTTTTCGGGAGCGTCTTCATTATACAAGCAATTTCTACGTCAGCTTCTCTCTTCATCGTCTGCGACGCCTCATGAGACATTTCGCCATCCGGTGGCCAGTGTTATCGCGATAAGTTCGCGCAACACCGCCCCGCTCGAGACGCTGAGGCAGCTTTACGCAGACACGAGCAGTGGAGACAAGAGGCTACCAGAATGGATCAATGCGGAGTATTTGCGCTACTATGTTCTGGTTCACGACGAAGACCAGGATGACATTACGGAGTCGACCAAGCTCTACGATCAAATGAAGCGGCATTTCGGGTTACACTGCCACTTACTCAGGCTCCGAAGCACCCAATGCGTTGTTACCGATGACGATAGTGTCCAAGTTCCCAAATGTGAATGGCTATCGCCTTCAGAGCACCTCCTAGGAGTGGGCCAGACAGGTGCGCTTGCCCTTCGGCTGCTGTACTGAATGATTGCTGATTATTACTAGAACCGTTAGTCGATTTGGATACCGACGGTCTTCCCTATCTATTTGATTCGGATGTCATGTCTATCAAAACCTTTGTTCGAGAATTAGTCGCACAGTCCGTCATTCCATATATGGAGAATAGGGTAGCCGTCTGGAACGATCAGGTAGCATCTCGGAGGCGTGGTATCAGTGGCCGTTTCATGTCAATGTCGCGACGGTGGGCCGGCTTTGGATCTAGCTCTAGATCCAGTATCACCGGAGCTGGCTCAGGCGCCAGTGGAAATTATGATTCCGTACGCGGCTTCTATAAACCCGACGTTCCTGAAGCGGTTCTGCGAAAGATGGCCGATTTTGCCTTCATGCTCCGTGACTGGAAGCTGTCCGCATCTACATATGAGCTGCTGCGTTCGGATTATGGTAACGACAAAGCCTGGAGGTACCATGCAGGCGTTCATGAGATGAATGCCATTAGCATGCTGCTCAACCCTCTTTCCATGTCTGCAAAGACCAAACTTGAAGGAATCGACCAGATGCTCGAGACTGCCTGTTATTCATATCTCACGAGGTGTTCAGATGCGCCAAATGCTCTGCGATGTCTTTGTTTAGCTGTGGAATTGCTCAAGTCTCGTGGGGGCTCCGCTACTGAAAGCGCAGCTAGGTGGGCCATGCGGGTCATGGACCTTAATTTAGTCGGCTCCGTGGGTCAGGTACTCTTCACTGAAAGAATTTCAGCGTGCTATGCATCGAGGACTGTATCCAGTGGTGGTAGATGGGGATCTCGTCGCAGGAAGGCCGGAATGTGGAGCGTTTTCGCCGCTGACCTCTGGCTCAAGCTTGGCAAGCCAACGCTGGCTTCAACCTGTCTCGAAGAGGCGGAAAGACTCTACGCTGAAGTCCTCGATAGCGATGGCGTCTTTCCCATGCCTGATTTGCAAACCTTTGTGGACAATCTCAGGAATGCCGTGAAGGTCGGGTATCTCGAAGCTAGAGGCGTGGGCACTGCATATGACACAGCTATCTCGGACCCATTGGTTACGGAAGAAACCAGCGAGAAACTAGACAAACGCAACCATCGCAAATCATTGATGGGACTGCCAGCGCCAGTAGATGCTGGAGGTCTTAGTCCAGCGCAAGTGACGGATAACGGAACGCCACCAAATGATGATTTTGAACGAGCTTAGGTAAAACAAGGGGTACTACAGTATAATTGGGCGCATGATAGGACATACTTCGTTTATAGAACTTGGGTGTGGCAATTAATCTTCGAGACTTGTTGATTTCTGCTTCAAAACTACCAGTAGTTTGTTAAATCATGGAACATGTGATAATGCACAGAGTCGTGATAGTCTCACGTGATTATACCCCTTATCGATAGACGATCCCTGCCAGTTGGTGGAGTGGCGCAGACGATCGTTTTGTTGACAAGCAACCATAACAAAAACATCAGAAACCTCGGTGAGGTTTACGGCCACGACAGAGCATATAGCTTCTCCATTGAACCCTGCAGACTGCTCCCTGCAAGGGATTTCTTCCTTATATCGACCCCACTGCCTACACTGTGAACGTTTGTCCTCAGGTCTTGACGCTCAACCCGCATTTCCGCAGTCCCAGCTCAGCTCAGCTTAAGATGAACGACCTTCTCAACTATATCCTCACCAAAGAGGACGCTTTCCGAAAGTATGTGCGGTTAATATAATCAATGAAAGAGAAATGAAAGCTAACTAAACTGATCTCTAGAAACCGCCTGCCCTCACTTTACTCCGACTTCACGTTACAGAAGAAAACAAACCCCGACGGATACGCCGTTAATGTCGCTGCGTGGGAGCATGCTTTGACAAGGGCCGCAAGGAATGGATACATATCATCTTCGGGGGGCTCGAGTAGCAAGCGGGCGAAGGGCAATCATCTAGTCCTCAGGACGGATGACTCGCTGCTACGAGATCTGGAGATCCCGGAATGGGGTCGACCGGTAGCACTTGCTACTGTTGTTGTATGGTCTTCGATGTTTCACTGTTTTGGGGTCTGATCAGCTGATGACTCTTGTCTCCTTATCTAGGATGAAGCGATTCGCAAACATACCATGGTCCCTGTGCAGTCGTACATCAGCAATCCGGCGAGTCTGCGAAAAAGTCAGTGGAATATCATCGATCCGGCAGCTTTAAGCCCTTGGAACGTTATGAGCTGGGGTATGAAACAATTGAGGGGCATTGTTGTAGGATCCGACGAATCTTCGGGCCGGTTGCAGGTTCAGGAGCTGGTCTTGGTTGAGAATCTTCAGGTACGACAGTGTCTACTAAACATGGCAGCTTATTGAATTTCTTAGACTTGGTACTAATTTCCTTCGCAGGAGGCTGCAAGCCGCGTGTCCAAGCAGGCCATGGACCATAGCTCGTCTAAAATGGACCTAGTATACACCAAAGAGGGTTTCATGAGCAGATTCTCTAGAGTTCTCAACGAAGACAGCCAATTGTCGGAATCTGACTTTGACATTTTATTGCTCTATTTATCCCGCGACAGCGGTGCCATTGCATATGATGGCAAGGTATGTTGGATATATCTGTTTATAAAAAAATAAAATGAAAATGAAAATGCAAGACGCTAATCATCAGAAGACAATCAAATTCAGGCCCTCAGACAATGCACCGAGAGAAATTACCCAGCAGGATACCAGCATCGCTTCTATGAGAACGCTGATGTCAACAATTTCACAACAAGTAGAAACTTTAGAGAAGAAAATCAACGAGTTAAACTCCACCGCAAAAGCTGCGTTACAGAACAAAAATCGGATTTCGGCGCTGTCGGCAGTGCGCTCGAAGAAACTTGCAGAGCATAACCTCCAGCAACGGCTTAATACACTGGTGCAGCTCGAAGAGGTCTACACCAAAATCGAACAGGCCGCGGATCAAGTCGAATATATTCAGATGATGGAGGCAAGCACTGGCGTTCTTCGCGGCCTGCACACTCAGATCGGCGGTGCCACCAGGGTCGAGGATGTGGTTGATGAGTTGCGTGAGGAGATGTCCAAGGTGGACGAAGTCGGAAGCATCATGAACGAAGCCGGTCCTGAAATCGACGAGACTGAAATTGACGACGAGCTGGAGGAGCTGGAGAACACACAGCGGGAAGCGAAGGAGGAAGAGGAGGCAGAAGCAACTCGCCGCAAGCTGGCCGAGCTGGACAACCTCGAACAGACCACAAAGGACGCCGCGCGCACAGCAGCAAGCGAAAAACACGTGGATTCAGATATAGCTGAGAGCATCGGAAGGCTCTCGCGGATGTCAGTGGAGGATGGCTCTGATTCCCCAGGGTCAAAGGAGCATCCGTTGTCAGCTAAATAATAACGGCCTTCCCAAAACAATGATATGAGTCGACTTGGCGGACATCCTTTTACATTTGTGAATATCTCTGCATAATAACTGGAAAAAATCTATCCAGGATGGGCATTAATTTCCTGGCTATTGCTGGGACTCGAATTTGTTTGGAAATCGGCCCCAGCACCATCTATACTCGGGGGGTTCAAAAGTAGCTCTGCTGGCTTCTGTGTCTCGCCTATTGCAATGGGGCCCTGTATATTCTGCTGGGGCGCTGGGATACTTTCAGGCAGTTCCGGGGCTGCTGATGCCTGAGGTTTTGTTGTTTGAACGACTGCACCACTCTTTTTCCGCGCATTCGCGATCAATCGCTTGAAGTCGTCACCATGGCTAGATGACCACGCTGCGCCATCGAAATCTTTGTTCATAACCTTGTTGCCAGGATCAAAAGACGATGGAGATGCAGCCCAGCCACCCTGTGTTCTCTCCCAGACATCGAGTTCATGTAATAAATCTCTCTTGGTCTTGGGTGCTTTTGAGTCGCAGTTCGCATTCCACAAGTTCATCCATTCCGTATGGCGCCTTTGGAGGAGGGGCCGATTGCCCCAGTTTGGTATTCCCAGATCTTTGAGCTTTTTCCGAAGTACATTATCCTTTAATAGAGAATAATTTATCATGGGAAGTCGTTCCGGCGGTTTATCCATAGTGCCGTTAGATTTACTGCGCGAACCCTGCGAATTGAGCTGTAAGGACCTATATAAGTAGTTCAATCAGACAAATGCATAGACAATGCATTCTTCCAAGTCCCTATAACGTACCCAAAGGAGGCCTGTTTTTGCGCTGCTGGAGGTGCCGAGCTGCCTGTGCAGCTGTCAAGATGTTGAAAGACTGCCGAGTTTTTCATTTTTCGACTGCAGATTGGACATGCAACCAGCTCGTCCTCTGCGCAAGAGATTAGGTGACAGCGCAAGAGGTACGATGTAGAACAACATACCCGGAATATAATCTTCATCTGGCCCATCCTCAATGACTTCCACCGCAGGCAGACTTCCTTGACTGTAATCTATTCTCTTGCTCCTCGACCGAGTCTGTCTCCCTTCCGAGCCTTCGTCTGCCACATTGCCGTCATCCACCGGCTCCGCATTGTCGACCTTCCGCTTCTTTGACGCAGGCTGATTGAGGTGCTCCTCCGCACTATCTCGATCCGCATCCCTAGCCTTCCTCGCAAGATCCAACACACTCGACCGCGCGTTTGTAAACGCTTCCACCAGCTCCTGAACGGCCCAATTGCGGCGCAACTTTGTTTCTTGGTCCGATGTTCGGCAGGCGGGGCATTTGCTATCAGCACTCAAACAGCGACGAATGCATAATGAGCAGAAGGTATGACTGCAACTTGTAATGACGGGATTATTGAAGAAGTCCTTGCAGACCTGGCAACGGAGCGAGGATTCGAGCGGCGCCACAATCGACAGCGGCGTATCCAGCCAGTCGGTGGAGTCTTGAACGTCGAAGGAATGTTCCATTGGACTGACTGGATCTGCTCAGTGCTCATTCAAGAGCACGAGATAGGAATGGTCGAGAAAAGGAGAAATTAGTTGCCAGAGAGAAAAGTGGTGGTTGTCAGTGTCGAATTGGAGAATAATACTGGCCATCGCAGATCTCGCAGCGGGCGGCGCCAAGACCCGCTGACTGATACGCGTTAAGTGGTTTGGCACGCGTCGTGGTTTCTTGGGGAAGTGAGGGTGGACAGCACAGAAGAGAACAGAAGAACAACTGCAGCATCGCTTGTGACCTTGGGTCTCTGCAAACACAATGGCAGTCGATTACAAGAGATACCTGGCTGAGAATGTTCTCAATGAGCGCCGAACTGTAGGTATCGTCCTGTCGCGTTCTCGGCAACTCACTCACATTGAGACAGGTCAGCTATCGCTCGCTGAGTCGAGCTCTCAAGGTTCACAGCAACCTGGCCAAACAGTATGTCGCTGTTATCGCTATGTTGAAATATCGGTTCTAATGTCGGGAAAAGGATGCTATATGAATTCCACCACAATGAAAACAACAAGAAGCCGAACAGCGTGAATGCGACCTACATTATGACGGGGACTCAGAACCCTCCCGAGGAACCTACCAATGGCGCGCATTCGAAATCGGACGATAACGATGATGATCAGATTATGCAGAGCAGTCCCTATCTCAGCAGCTCCATGCCCAACCAAGATAAAGCTTCGGATTCCGTCACAACCACCTCAATTATTCTGGCGCGGGAGGAAGACTTGGAAGGTGAGTAGCCTCTAGTCTGCATTAACGCCACTCTCGCTAACACCGAGCTAGATGCAAAGTCGACTTTCCAAAACATATCCTCAATGCACGTCTACAGTCTACAGCCAACAATTCTCCAAGATCTCAATGTCTTGACGGATGTAACTCGTGAGATGATAACTGCGCATGCGCATGAAGACCCTTTGGAATATGGCAAGCAATGGGGCATGATCCAAAATAAAAACGTCAAGGTTAGTATCTGGCCATCGATCTCAGGATCATCAATGTCGGATTAAATACTAACAACCTACAGCGACGAACGGGCGCACGACCACCCCCACCTGCACCCGCTGCTTCATCAAATGCAGGATCTTCGAAGACAACAGTTCCTGCCAAACGGCCCTTGCAAAAGGAAGCAACGCCGCAAACCAAGGCAGAGACTCCCAAGGAAGAGAGTGCAAGCTCTAACTCTAAGCAACCATCACAACCTTCAGATACCCAGTCTTCCTCAAAGCCCACTGAGAAAACAGCGCCAGCCAAGAAAGAAAAGGGCAACATTTTCAGTTCCTTTGCCAAGGCGAAGCCAAAGCAAAAGAAAGAAGAGTCAGCGACTCCAGCGGCTTCCACAGCTGAATCGGTGAGTGCAACGTATCAGACTCATTTTTGTACTCATAACAGCAAAAGCTAACTTTGTGGAAAGACCAAGCCTAGTAGCGCCGATGAGACCCAGTTGCAAAAGGATCTTGACGATGCTTCAGAGGACGAACCCGAGGAACTCTTCCCCGACAAAGGGGGCTCTGCAGCTGCGGCTGCGTCCAGTAATCGCGAATCGAGGAAAGAGCGAGAAGAAAAGCTAAAAAAGATGATGGAGGATGATGACGACGAGGAAGATGAGGGTGCGTTACAACTACAACGACAACTCCGAGACCTACATGTTTTGGTTTATACTGATCCCTAAAGTAGACGAAGAAATGCCCGATGCCGCTGAAAGCCCAGAAGAGCCGGCCCCTGTCGATCAACCTCCTCCTAAACAGCCGGAAATGAAGGAGGAAGTGACGGTTCAGGGAGGACGCCGAAGAGGCAAGAGACAAGTGATGAAGAAGAAGACGGTCAAGGATGACGAGGGATATCTTGGTAAGGAGATTCGTCAATCTGTCAATGTAATTTCTTAGGCTAACCTGATTTCCGCGGTAGTCACCATCGAAGAGCCATCATGGGAGTCTTTCTCCGAGGATGAACCTGCACCTGCACCACCCAAGAAGAAGCCGGCTGTGAGCGCGAAGGGGAAACCCAGTGCAAAGCCTGGACAGGGCAATATCATGTCCTTTTTTTCCAAAAAGTAAAGGCATATCTAATGTCATGTTACCTCGTGCTGATGGAAGCGATATACATACATCTGTGTCAAAGCGCATCACTTCTGAGCAGTCATTATATTCCATATAATGCTTAGCATCATATCATAAAAGATAAAGTCCATAAATTAATATTTATACCTCTTCTACCGCTATTAGATAATGATATAGAAGCAAGCACAAAACACAACCGGGTATATTAATTACTCGACAACATAAGGCTTTGCCCCCTCCCCAAAGATTAAATGCGGCTTCTGGGCAGCGACCTTCAGGATGGTTTGCGCAAAGACCGAGTTAGCCCATGCAAACCACGATCGAGTGTAATCCTTGATATCGTTTACGTTGATGGACTCGTGGACGAGACCTAGTAGACTGGAGTTGCGGACTAAGTTGATAGATTCTATAATTTCAGAGTCGGAATCGGTCGTCATTGCTTGAACTAGGAGGGACATTGGCCAGGCATATTGGAGACCGACTAAATAAGGTGATTAGCAATTTATTGGTAAGGTCTGTAGGACACAGGGAAGAACTCACTGTGAGGACCACCAATGCCATGGAATGCCGAGCCGGACAGATAGTACGGGTTACCGGCCTTTTCCAAGATCATCTTGCGCGTATTTTTATACACTTTGTTATTCTGATCCGTAAATCCCAACAAGGGCAACGCGAGCAATGAAGGCATATTGGCATCATCCATGAGAAGGCGCGAGCCGTATCCATCAACCTCGAATGCAAAGACATCGCCGTATTTGGCATGATGCACCACTCCATGCTCCCAGACAGCCTTATCCAATGCATCGCCTCGCTGCTGGAGATTCTTGACCAGATCCGAGTTACCACCCGCGGCCTTGACCACTTCGGCGATCTTCTTCAATTGAACAGCCATCATGGCGTTAGGGGGGATGAAAAATCCAAAGGTCGTAGCGTCATCACTGGGGCGGAAGGCGCTACGGATTAGACCCGTACCACTGTTGAGGGGGTTTCCAACACCATCCAGGTTGAGGGTCTCCGTGCCAGCCGTAGTCGTACGTTGGAAGGTATACTGGTTAGTGACAAACTGGCCCTGCGCGTCAAAAGTCGGTTCTGATTGCGCATCCAGGACTTTGAGAAGGGTGTTCAGTGCCGTGTACCAGCGACTGGTCAAAAATTCGGTGGATTTAGTATGTTCGTAGAACTCGGTCCCCAGCGCGAGGAAGTGGGCCAGAGAATCGAGCTCGTACTTGCACTCGAACACCACAGAGGGCTCATACGCCGGGTGTACCTTGTCATCTTGGTTGTTTGACGATGGACTCAGTCCGCTAGGAGGCGGGGGTTGGAAGGCATTGCAGTAGGGTGACTGAATGACATACTCGACCTGGGTATTGATAGCACCCAGGAGCAGCGTATATAAGCTTTGATCCTTCTTTGCGAGGGCCTGATAGCCAGATAATTGATTTGTCGAGTCGCGCAGCCATTCTGCGTTGATATCTCCCGTCACAACAAACGTGTGAGCTCCCTCCCATTGCGAGCTAGCTCTCTTGTTCCTGCTCGATGCAGCTGGCGTTGAGCCGTTGGTGTGCCATCGAATGGTTGTATCCAAAGTATTGGGGAAGGCATTCTGAAATAATTGGGCCAGGTCCTTGTCCACCATGCGAGATGTCACATCTTCAATAACTTTGTCCACTGCTGACGATGCGAATGTCCGACAGGCCTCCGCTGGTCGTTGGAAGGGGAGGTTCAGAGGGCCGCCGCTGTATGGGGCACTGGAACGAGGCAGATAAGTTAGTTCGGACAATTTAATAAGAAATATAATTATACAACTCACTGGGCGGCAGCTGAATAGGATGTATAATCAGGACACGCCCGTCGTAGAATGGCAGGATCATCACGAAGCCCTGCGGTGCTCTGAACCCCGAGAGCAATGGCCAGAACGATCGCGGGGAGCGACGATAATAACGTCATGGCCGGTGGAGTTGATAGATGAAGTTGAGCTCCAGTGAATAAAGGGCGAGGAATAAATTAAGAAAAACGCAAAAGTCGAGGAGAAACCATGAAACCGGTGGCTCAATGGCTATTTAAGAAGATGCATTACTGCGAAAGGCCGGAAACTGGGGTAGAAAGGAAGAAGGTGGAGAAGATGAAAACAGACAGATCTGGTCGATCACCGCCATGACAACATACTATGGGCCATGTTAATTTATGTTGAAATGAACCCTGCTTTTCTCCTCTTTTTACTGTGGTCTGGTTCGAAAATAATCGTATTATCCGAGGCTGCAAGGTGACATTGCATCGGGATTGTTGCAGCGACGAGGATTTCCCCGCTTCATGGGTGGATTTGATGTTGTTTACACTTAATGCGGGGTTACACAGGCTGGGAATTTGTTATTATTTCTTCTTTTGTTAAAATTTATAGAGGGTTGAGAGAAATAGAGGTGGATGCCTGTCTACTGGAAGAGCTGCTATCCTAGGCAGTATGTGAAATAGTATCCTCGGTTCAAGAAAGATGATAGGTATATGCTCATTATATAAAATACATTATCAGACCAAAACTCGTCGCAAACCCTCCGTCCCGCCTAGCACTCTTCGCCCGGTCACTGGGCATCTTCCTTTCCCACTCTCCCACTTCCCTTCTCGACTCTGTCCAGCAGTGACTGTCTCTCCCTCCCCCTCTGCGTGCTCTTCATCCCATTCCGCGCCAGCGCTCTCGCCATTCATGAAGTCCAGCTGTCGCTGGTGTTCGCCGTTAAGCCAGTGGAAGATACACACGTAGCAAAACACATATCCGGTCTGGCACGCGGTGGGATTCGCAAGTGGGTTGTGGCAGATCGGACATGCGCTGGCGGTGTCCACGTCCACTGGCGGAAGGGAAACGGTGAGAATGGGCAGGTATGAAGCGGCTGAGATAGGGGGTTGGATGCGACGGCGGGGTTTCAGGGCGGGTTTGAGGTCTTTGGTGGAAGAGTCCTTTTCTTTCTTCGATTGTTCTGCCTGCTGCTTCTTTCTCTCCGACATCCCATCCACCACGGGAGCGGGGAGATCCAGAACCTCGGTCGCTTTGCGGGCCAACTGCCGTGAAAAGTCGCTCGCGTGCCACCACTCGAGGAATTTGAGGGCAAAGATGGATGCTGGGAGGAAGTAGCGTAGAGACGTGAGAAGTTGTGGGTAGAGATTCTGCGGGCTCAACATGCCCAACAGGCCAGATCCGGGTCGGGAACGAGCACCACCACTGCTCGGCTTGGGTTCCAGAGCAGCAGCGATAGCGCGATGGTCTGCAGATCCCAGACGGCGAATGCGAGTCCCGATCAGCCAAAGGAAAGGCGAAGAATATTTGGTATTATCAAAGAGGTAGGCCAGGTTGAAGGCCAGAACAGAAAAGTAGTACGCCGCATTGACTGACGGATAGACATTCCGCAGGAACCATTTATAGTAGTATTCTAAACGCTGTCGGATAGTTGGGTTGGGAGGCAGGTCGTCACTGGGGTTATATCGCGGCCCGCCGCTCGAGATCAACGACGCCTGCGGTGCGGCATGGATGTCATAGCCTTCGTCCAGCTTGCGCTTCAGATAAGGGATCCCCACCATGACCAAGAGGTTCTTCCAGACGTCCGATGTGCGCAACTTGAGGGCGTCGCGAACGGGACCCGGGGCTCCCAGCTGGGCACGTGGAATCTCGCCATTCTTAGTACGGAGGACACGTTCGCGTTTAAGGGAGTAGAAGTTCTCTGTAAAGGAACCGCCAAAGGTGCGGAGGTAGTAGCGCTCAACGACGAAGGAAACGAGGGCGTATATTTCGTCGTACGAGTTCAACACACGGAGAAGATAACGGGGATGGCGGTGTGTAGCGACTGCGAGAAGATAGCGAATCGATGGAGGCAGCAGATCTGATAGCTGCTGTTCTGCGAGCAGTTCTGAAAGGGGGCGTCAGCGTCCATTGTCTCCTGAAGCGTTGAGGCGATTCTCCTGCCGGATCATGTGAAACCACTCACCGAATAGCGACGGCTTCAGCTCGTCAAACTCCTGCTGAAGACTGGGCAAATACTCCATGGTTATAGTGCTCTGTCAATCATCCTCCAGCGACAGCAATTAGAGAAAGGTGACGATGATGGAAGGGCAGCTGGATCCCTGGATGGGAGAAAGGAGAAGAATGCGGAGAGAGGCGGGCTTCATTCCCCGACGGTCGCAACCGAGGCTCAGTCGGGCATCTGGTATATAGACACATCTACGCTACATGCATCGTGGGATATTTGTGGATATTAAAATCCGTGCCAAAATCGCCAGTGAGTATTGATGAGGGTAGAATATTGTCAAGTAGATATAAAATACAGGTTATCGTACATGGGTATATAACATTTGCACTTTTTACACATAGCGAACAGCAGTCAAGAATAAATCACCTCAGGTCAGGTTGCTTCGACATTGATCCCACAGCCGAGTCAGATTGTTCATGTTACCTTTAGCAGCTCTTTGTTGAATTTCCGGATCGGCGAGAAGGAGACAATACATGATGTGCTGTACAAGCAGTCCTTGGAGAGGGATTGGAGGCTCCTCTCGGCTCATCATAGGCACCCACGTCAAGATGCAGTCTCTGGCACGCTGCTCATGGCCCAGATCAGCATGGAGTTGGAAAAGCTGTTCGTAGTCCGCAGCAGTCCGAGGGCTACCACTGAGAGGGAGCTTGCGCCATAGCTTCCAGAATCCATCATAGTCTTTATTTCGGAATAAAGAGACCATGAGAATGCGGGCTTGCTCGGGGTCAAATGGAACATTGAGAGCCTCAATCACCTGTGAGACCCGACGAAGGGCCAGGCCTTTCATCCTGCCAGCAACATCATACAACAAGTTGAATACTTTCATGTTCAAAACATCGGTACCCCGCATGCTGAGATGTTCCAAAACGCGCAGAGCAAGCTCTATATCCTCGTCGGGCAAGCAATTTGAAGGCGTCTCACCCTCCAAGTTTATAGGTCGTTCCGCCAACATAGCTGAAACAACTTCAAACCCCATTTCATCGGAGAAATGATAACTAGAGCAATGGTAGTCCATGAAAGTCTTCCATAGGTTCTCTTTACTGTATGCCTGATGCTGTCGAGAAATTGCCAGGCACATCAGTCGAATCTGGGCTTCGGCCTCTTCTTCTGCAGAAAACTCCGGTGGCCGATCATAAAAAAGTCGCAGGAAAAGAGTCGATTCCCGATCTGCAGGACCACTTCCCAATTCACTAAGAGCCTTTTCATCTGAAAGTCCGGAGATATACTGGAACAAGGAATCCATAGATATTCCGGATCCGAGGGAATGTTGGGTAGTATCGTGAATCGATTCAGGAGACCTGAGGTTGACATCTGCTGCTTTCACGCTATTGACGTTTTGTGTCCGGCGGGTGCTGTGTAGACCCCTCCTCTGCTCCAACGGGATGCTTACTGAGGACCTGGGAATTTGTCGAATATCACGGTCAGAAGATGATGAATTTACCGTCGCAGGAAAACGAACCTCTTTCGGGGGCGCGTCGGAAGTGACCTCGGAATATTTCTGTTTCTCTCGCTCGGCTCGTTTCAGGGTAGCCTCCCAAAGACCGTCCAGATTGACATCCGCTCGCTTTTCCTCTGTGAACATCTGCACCACAACCCGCGTACCTGCAGCAGCCCGACCGAACCCTTCAAATCCTCGATCTTCTACTTGCTCCTCGATGGGACTCTCCTCAACGACACCCGCATTTACACAGATCCATCCAGTGGTGATCCCGTCATCCTTTTCATCGAACATTGCTCCAGCCTGGCTAGCGATTCTAGCCCGACGGGCTTTGCGGCGAAGCTTGATCTTTAGCTCGTTCCGACCCAGCAACCCATCTGCATAGGGTGTGAGCTTATAGTTACTCCTCAGCCAGCGGCAGAGACGATCTGCCGAGACGTTTAGGTGCTTAACACTGCGAGCAGTGCCGATGATCATGATGACATTAGCCCCGAGAGCTGGCGGAGTTTCAAGGCCCCGTAGGTCAAACAGCTTTAACTCATCCAGACCCAAGTCTTTAAACGTATAGTCGAGAAGCACGGGAAGAATTGCTGGCGGGTCCTCTGGGAGAGCTGGAATCTGGTCTCGCGACAAAACCGGCTCGGTGACCGAGGTTTCATCCTGCAGATACCACGGAACATGCTTCGATGATGCTGGTCCATCCTTCCCATCCTTTCCATCCTTTTCCTCCACTGATTCGGTTTGCGAGCCGGAGCTGTTCACAGACGGATTCTCGGATCGAAGACGAGAGACGGAGAATGATCGGTTATTGGCATTCCAGATTGGACGAGAAGGCAAGCTGTAACGAGGCAGTACTGGAGCCCCGGAGATGGTAGAAAACGAGCGAATAACATCATGGCGGCACGAATGGCACCAAGGCCCTTTCATTAAAGCCCTATGCATGATAGTATAGAATACAATGGGATGGATGCGTTGATTGTAGAATTCAGGGCAAGATCTTGATGGAATGAAATCATCGCTTCTTTGCGTCTCCAAACAAACAGAGCAAACAAGCTAGCTGCTGACTCATTAAACGCTAACCAAAAACAGAAAATCAACATCAACGTCCTCGAAGATTATCACGAAATTATTCTCACCTTTATATAAGGAAAGCATTTTTCTGTCTGCTGTTCTTCTCTCCTGGAGATATCTTTAGACATATTTCAATATTGCTACTTGATATGTGCAGTGACATGGAGGTTCTGTCGTATCTGAAAATTAGGGCTAGTCCGCTTTCTATCTTGAAATGAAGCATCAACAATGATTGTCGTCTCTATGTGACGATTCAATTCCCAGAATACTATGATTAAAATATATACAATAGCTTCGTCTCTATAATTATGTGCAGCCGCCAGTTACCTGGTTCGATGCAAGCTCTTTTCCAGCCTTTTTGTCTTCGATGAGCTTCTCCAAGGCTTGGAGCAATCTCGAAACCCCGTCTTGCGATGTTTGCTGATGGAAGACCAGTCTCCCCGTGGAGAATACGATGGCATTGTACTGCTTGCAGTATTTAACAAAGGCGGTATGCGGGATATCCATCGCCTCGAGATCAAGGACCACCATATTTGACTGCACGGGCAATGCAAAGACGTACCCGATTTCCTCCAGCTTCCTTGCGACTTCCTTAGCCATGGCATGAACACCTGGAAGCAGAGGGATAGCATTATCCAATGCAGCAGAAGCGCAAGCAGCCATCATACCAGGCTGGGGCAAATGTTAATACACCAAATTGACAAAGAGATGGATGGAATGACTGACCTGACGAGTTCCACCTCCAAACATCTTCCGGTACCATTTCGCCCGTTCAATAAACCGCCTTGATCCTACAATCACACTACCCTGGGGTGCACCAATCCCCTTGGCCAGGCAGAAGCTGATGGAGTCAAAGCAGGCACAATAGTCTTTCAGACTAACCCCTTCAGCCGCCACAGCATCGAAAAGCCTGGCCCCGTCCAAGTGCATACGAATTGGACGGGTTTCATCTGGTACAGGATAATTGCGCACAAACTCCGAGATTTCCTGGGCATCTTTCAATGGGAGAATCGTTCCACTGAGAGTATTCTCAAGAGAAACGACTCGAGTGGGAGGGAAATGAACTGGCAATAGTGTCAGCATTAAACATAGTTGGTCAGTTTCCCAGCTTCATACTATTCCCATCTGGGATCATGTTGTTTTTGACGTCTTCCAGCGTCAGGTGAATGCCGTTCTTGGGTTGCACGGTTTTCACCGATGCTTGAGAAAAGACAGGCAATGCACCCGACTCCCAGCACTGGACGTGAGCTCTATGGTCTACGAGAACGGAATGTGGAGGCTGCGTCAGATGTGTACGCAGACAAATCTGATTCCCCTGTGTTCCAGAAAGTGTCCAAAGAGCTGCTTCCTTGCCACTGAGCTCGGTCATCTTGTCCTGGAGAGCATTGACGGAGGCATCACCTCCTTCGTCATAGATATCGTCGCCGACAGAAGCATCGATGATCGCCTGGTCACTGACATTAGCTCCGGATCTAAAGATGAAATAACCCATACGAACCTGCATCATGCTCTCTGTTGGGACTGTGACCACATCGGAGCGAAAGTCTCGACCAGCCTTCTCGACTGCATTTTTCAGCTTCTCTGTTGAGGTATATCTGAAAGTCGGTTCATCCCCGCTAGGCTTCAGCTTCTGGACTGCGTCCAGTTGAGGTACGTCACTGAGGCTAGGAGCCATGATTCTGGCTGCTGGTCAAGATGGGGTATGGGTTATGAATAAACGAAGATGCACAATCTGATTTTGATAACAAAAAAAAGTGGTTTTGAGCGGTCTTAAATATCCAAATAAACGGATTCCCCGCAAGTCGTTATCTCCATCATCTGACCACCATCAATCAGTAATTACCGGTGCGGGGATTCAAGTCGCATTATCTTACAGCAGGGCTTTCTCATCGGGCTACTATCAACATGTTATCTTGATACCATCCAATAATGGATTGGGATTCCCCGCGTTGGTATACTTGTTTTCCGCCGGTTTGTGTGGCTATCTTTTCCGCCGGAAAACAACTTTGATTTAGAACAGCATCAGTTGTTTCGAAAGGTATAGTGGAGAGGACAGAATCCAACTGATGTTATGTATATCTGCCATCGCTTCCTGCTCACAACTTTCTCAATATAGATACTACACGAGCTGAATTCGAATCATATCGAAACTAGTCCGCGCCATTATCTTTTATACTAAGCAAGCCGGGACTGGAATGCAATTGTACTAGGAGAATACGTTCAGGAAACAAGAGTATCCTTTAATCAAGGCAAAAGCTCTCAAGCTCTGATTCCAAAGCCATATGTGTCTATTTGACTCCTACCCTAACACTATATAGTCCTCAGATGTCACCCAACTCAGGTTTGATGGCATCTCAAAAAAGGTGATCGTATTGGCTGCGAGACTCGAGGCCTTCAATCTCTCATTAATAAGAGGGTGTTTGATGAGTTCAAGTCGACCATACTTGAGTGCGTTCAGCTCAATTTGCATTGTCTTTTTCTTTACGACTTACGTGGAATATTAGCCAGTTGTCTCAGGCCTTATCTTGGTAACATCTAAGTACGAACAAGATCGAATTCAATAACCATTAGAGCTTGAGAAATAGTATACTATGTGTGTATAATTGGCATTTTTTTTATGAATCAAACTGATGTGTTTTGTGACATTTGATATCTATGGAAGGGTTGGTAGAAAATATGGTTTGGCAAACTGTAGAGTCAATCCATGGTATTCTGCATATAGTTTCAATTGATTTCCATGAATAGATCAACCGTATCACTCTGAGTAAAATACTATATATTCTATCAATGTTGTGTTGGTCAATCTTCTCCAGATCGAATTTGTCGAAGCTAAACTAGATCGAAACATAAAGGTGATATCGCCGAAACCCCGCAAACCAACACTTATCTTCACCTTCACCATCGACTCGATTCCACTCAAACAATTTCTACTAAAGCTATCGAAATAAAGCTTGAAGAATAGCTTAAATGGATTCTACATCAAAACGACGACCATACCGCTCCCACAAGTTCCCCGCCTGCGATAGGTGCCGTCGCTTTAAAAGGCGATGCACTGGTGGCAATCCAGAGGAGCCCTGCGTTTTGTGCAGTCTCCAGAACATCCCATGCCAGTTTTCATTCATTCCAAAGACCAATTCTGCATCTCGTCGCGCCTCGAAACGTCAAGATCCCGCATCAGCCCACAGGCAGCAACCAATTCTTCAGAAAAGTCTTCCCAAGGTCACTCGCGAGTCTCCTCCAGCCAACGACGTGGATTCTGGTCGAAATGGCATTGCGTCTGAATACCACGCATCCCCTGATGCTAGAAACACACGGGATATATCATCCATGGTTGTCAGTCCAGTGATCACTGAAGACATCCAGATCCTCGAACAGTACATGTCTTCCAGGCCCAGTTCCATGTCCGTTGAAGCGGATCAACGCAGTACTGCTACTCCTGGAAAGTCCGTGGCGTATCTCAAAGTCCCACGGGGAAGGAAGGGACTGGCAATTGCGGAGAATCCAGGGAAACGCCAGAAAGAGATTCTATGGCAAATTATGCGGCCATATGCGAACGAACTGGTCAGACTGTAGGTCGCATGCAGGTCTTTCTGTTGACCCCCTTTGCTAAGATATATCAAGATACTTCCTCGAAGTTCATCCAGCATTTCCGATACTCGATGAACAGTCATTTTTAGAACTCTACGAACATGGCAGTGATAAAATCTCACCAGCTCTTGCCTGCGAATTTTTTGCTCTAACTTTAACTCTATGGGATCACTCGGATATCCTAAAGCCTTTTCCCAAACCAGATCCCGAGTTTATTTGGAATTTGGCGGTAGAAGCCCTGCAGCAGGATTTCTTAGCACCCGGATTATCAACAGTTTATGCTGTTGTCTTGGATATGGTGGGGCGTCCTATATTTTCTGTGCTAGGAAATACAATCAACAACGCAAGGACAGTGGCTCTAGCTCAGAGTTTGGGACTAAACAGAGACCCGACGCACTGGAAACGGTCAGAAAATGAAAAGGCCCTTCGTATTCGACTGTGGTGGGCAACATTGATTCATGACCGGTGGTTAGTAGCTGGGTCCTATTTAATCAACCGTACTCTTGCTAAAGAATCACCAGGTCAAGCTTTTCCCATGGCATTCCTCCAAGCATCACCAGCAAGCAATACGACGTTCGAGTTCCGGTTCTTGGAGATCTTGTCACAAAAGACAGTCAATCTGAAAAGCGCATCCAAACTTCGGAATGTTTCATTCATCTCTGTACTCTGTCTGTCATTCTTGGAGACGTACTCCCCCTGGTGTACGATTTGAAAATCGACCAGCAGGATATTTGGAGACAGATCAGCTGTTTAGAATCCAATCTAGACGAATGGGAGAGCAGTCTCCCTATATACCTTCAGGGAACGAATGCAGGATACCCAACAACAGTATCTGGCTCAAGCAGTTTACGTGTCGGCTATTTATCCGTCCGCTTATTACTATGTCGAATTGCTTTGCATGTAAACACATTTCCCTTCAATGATGTTTGGATGGGATACAATGCTAATAGACCAAGGCTGCAAGTATATCAGGCAATTTAGATCGCATTGAAAGCACACAGCATCACCTTTCGCGGCTACGAAAGTCAGCACAAGCTATCGTCGACTATGTTTGTTCTTTGACAAAAGCTCAACTGCAAGAATTCTGGCTTCCATGTAAGCTCCCATGACAAGTGCTTATTCTACCTACGCTGAAATATCCAAGACACAGCACATCATCTCATCCTGACGGTTATCATTCTATTACGCTGCACCATTGAGTCAGTAGACAAGAATGTGGCCGAGTCTTGTAAATTGAGTCTCCGCAAGTTCTGGGTCAAGCTCCAAGATGCAGCTGAGAATGATGGATGGGATCTAGCGAGTATATGCATTTCGCGATGTGTTGGATTCGTTTCGAAGATATTGGATGCCTCTTCAGACTCGCAAAAGAACAACAATAACCATACGATAGAAAACCAACCAACCAACACTACTCCATTGAATCCCCAAGCTTATCAGGCTGGCATACATGACAATATCCCCGATTTAACAGGGTTGGTGCCTGATATACTTCCGTTTTCGAACCCTGATCTGTCGTTTGAGAATCAATGGGGGTCATTATGGGATGGGCTGGGATGGATGGGAGTGGATGATCTATCATCATATGAGTTCAACGATGGGCAATTCAACCTAGAAGGCCCAATTTAATCAACCCCAGTTGTATCATAATAACATCATGGCAATTTTCTTGAACGATCGCCCTGATATCGCTATCAGTCATGTGACATACAAACAGTGCAAATGGTGCAAACAAAAAGTTCTCGCGGCGGGGCAGCAAAAAAAGTGACAAATCCAAAATAACCCCACGGCTTCATATTTCCATCAAGAGTCATCGACTCTATTTTCCTTTTCATACTTTATTATTTGTGTTGTTTGATCCCATCAGGCATCGCAATCATGTCGATGGATTTGGATGATGCCGTCCCCATGGAGGGTTTCCAGCAGGAATCAGCTGCAACGTAGGTTACCCCTCTTCATAATTTTTTTCCCCGAAAAAAAAAAATCAATCCTGACTCTTTGGTTTTTGTATAGTATTCTTTGCTGCAACTGTGGTGCCCCCATCGATGGAACAAGCTCGGCAGGCGCGCTGTGTGGAGATTGTCTTAGGTTGACAGTGGATATTTCGCAAGGAATTCAGAGAGAAGCTGTTGTAAACACCTGCAAAGACTGTGAACGTTGGCTGCAGCCTCCCACAAGCTGGGTTGTTGCCGCGCCCGAGTCCAAGGAACTTCTCGCCCTGTGCCTGCGCAAACTTCGAGGTCTCGCCAAGGTCCGCATCATCGACGCAGGATTCATCTGGACCGAACCCCACTCGAGACGTATCAAGGTTAAGATCACCATTCAGCAGGAGGCTTTCCAGGGCACGATTGTGCAGCAGACATTTGAGGTGGAATATGTGGTTGCCACTCAGCAATGCCCGGATTGTCAAAAGTCGTATACCCACAACACCTGGCAAGCGTCGGTCCAGGTGCGACAGAAGGTGCCTCACAAGCGAACTTTCCTCTACCTCGAACAGCTTATCCTTAAGCACGGCGCTCACCAAGAGACGGTTAACATTAAAGAGGCAAAGGATGGACTGGATTTCTTCTTCGCTAAGCGGAACCATGCTGAAAAGATGGTCGACTTCTTGACGTCTGTTGCCCCGGCCAAGACCAAAAAGTCGCAAGAACTCATCTCTATGGATATCCACACATCCACCAAGTCTTACAAGTTCACTTACTCTATGGAGCTGATTCCCATCTGCAAAGATGATCTGGTTGCTCTGCCAATCAAGCTGGCTCGCTCCTTGGGTAACATTTCGCCCTTGACTCTCTGCTACCGTGTTGGCAGCTCGGTCAACCTGCTCGACCCCAACACCCTTCAGACAACAGATGTCCCTACCGGAACATACTGGAGATCTCCCTTCAAGAACTTGGCAGACGTCACCTCGTTGGTGGAATTCATCATTATGGACATTGAACCAGTGGGCCGATCGAACGGCCGATTCCACCTTGCCGAGGCAACCGTTGCGCGTGCTTCAGACTTGGGCTCGAATGATCAGACTTACTTCACTCGAACTCACTTGGGTGGAGTTCTGCATGTTGGAGACACCGTGCTTGGTTACCACTTGACTGGAGCCAACTACAACGACCCCAACTTCGAAGCCATCGAGGCCAGCAGCCAATATAGCTCCACTATCCCCGACGTGGTACTAGTCAAGAAGTTCTACGCCCGTAAGAAGAAGAACAAGACTCGCGCCTGGCGACTCAGGCGCATGGCCAAGGAGTACGAAGATGAGGCGAAGCAAGCCGCTGCCTCTGGTGGTGGTGGCACTGGCAACCGCAAGCAAGACCAGGAACGCGACCGCATGGAAGCCGACTTTGAAATGTTCCTTCGGGACGTCGAAGAAGACCAGGATCTGCGGGGTACACTCCAATTGTACAAACAGAACCAGCAAGCGAACCGACAAGAAGGCGATATGGATATGGAAGAAGATGGCGAGAGTGATGACGAGGTGCCGAAGATTAACATGGATGAGTTGCTTGATGACTTTGACGAGTTGAACATGCACGATAACGAATGAGCTTCTTGGTCAAGAGGTTTATAATCATGGTTTGCGGTTTGCACAATTGGGGGTTCTGGCGTACAGGCAATGAGATCCTTACGAATGACTGATATCTTTGATCTTTTGGTGTTTAAAAGTGAAGATTCCTCTAAGAGTACATAGAAATATATCACGTATGCAATTCAATATGCAGTCGGAAGTTCATGTCGCAAGTTATGCTGGATCAGTAGATTTGAATTCTGGATATCTATACATGAAGAGAAAAAAGTAGTAGAAGGAAAACGCTCATTATTAGAAAATCTTGCCCAAGACCCTCTTCGTATCATCCGCCAGGGCAGCACGATCATCGCCGGCCTTGAGCTTATCCCGGCCATGCTTGACTTCGTTCTGCTTGAATAGCATCCGAGGCTTAACATCCACCTTGCGAGCACCCCCATCGCCATTCCGCTTCTTCTTCTCTTCATTCTTCTTCGTAATCCCATCAAGAACTCTACCCTTCTCCACACCAGACAAAAACACCTTCTCCTCCTTCCTCGCCCTCGCATCCTCCACCCGTCGGCGGGCCTCTCTCTCCCCTCTCTCCCTCTGCACTTGCTCCATGAGATCCGCCCACTTGAATCCCCGCAGATACTTCATATTCCACACATCATCATGATACCAGCCACCCTTGCGCCCGCCCACAATCGACGCATTCAACGTCTCCGCACAAATCTTGGCCGTCTTCTTCGACGCAAACTCCACCCATCCATCCGCGTAGGTCTTACGCTTATTCGACCGTTTCCGGGGCGCGCCTGAAGTCGCCGATTCAGGCGTCAGGAAGACCTTGGTGATGGGTTCGAAACCGCGGGCTTCGAGGAGCGACTTGAGCGCGAAGGGTTTCAGGTACGGTGGGAGGGAGGAGAAGTAGACGACGCCGGTTTTGTTTTTCTTGGGTGGTTTGGTTTTGTCGAGGGGTTTGAGGGGCTTTTTGTCGGCGCTGGATTTTTTGGTTTCGAAGGTTGTCGTTTTGTTTAGGTAGTCGTCGTTGTCGTCGTCTTCATCTTCATCTTCGTCCTCGTTCTCGTTCTCCGATGCGTCGTCATCATCGTCGTTGTCTTGTGTTTGCTTTGCCTTTTTGGATTTCGTCCTGGATCGGCTTTCCTCTTCAGATTCACCCTCTGAGCCTTCGGCATTATCATCGTCATCATCACTCAAGCCCATCGCCGACTCCATCCGTCTCCGCTTCAAAGCGCGGCCTTTGCTCTTCTCCTCCTCCGCTGCCTCGGAGTCGTAGCCGCGTTCACTTCCCTCATCTTCACTGTCGGGGATGTCTAGGAATTCATTCCGCTTGCGAGTTGCCATGTTTATGGACTTGATGTATATTGTTCTTGGTGTTAAAATGAGCTTGGGGCTTGTCGATGTTGAAATCCGCCATGCTTCTCGAGCTTTTTTTTTTCTGCCGGAGATGGAGATGGTCTGTGCGCGTTAGCCAATCAGAGTGGGGGTGCTTTTATACACCACCTTAACTAACATATTTATGCTACGAAAGCCATAATAGTAATGATGATGATATGAAGTGAATCTCGTAGAATTGGTATTTGTATATGTAAGATAACTAATGCAATCATAATGTACTTCTATCCAGGTCCTCCAACCACTCACAGTAGTTACTCACAGTATGCCCAAGTCTCGGAGAAACCAGATAAATCCGCTATGTGCGCATTCATCAACAGAGGTATATACCATAAAGCCATCTAGGCTCCTTCATGCATAGAAAATGGTGGGAAAGACAACGATGGTGAATGTACACAACCGAAAGACGCCAACTGCACCTCTGGAATCTAAACAGAATGGGGTAACATGATGCCAAAAGAAGAAAAGAAAAAATCAAAAAAAGAGCTCAGGACTTCCAGGTCCTTTTGAAGGTAAAGTCTCGTCACAAAAAAACAGGAAATGGTTTATATTCCCAAATACCATTTCAATCGGTCGTAGACGAAGAAACTCGTGGCCCCCATTGGGATGACCTTGATATATCCAATGGTCAATCCGACAAAGAACCCTCGGAATCCTTTCTCCATCAAGATTATCCGGGCTGTTTCGAGGATTCGTAATCGATGGCCATCACCTACTGCTCCACTGACTTGCATCCGTCGCCGGATCACCTCAAATGGGTAGGAAGATGTCTGCGATACTAGTCCTGCAACAGCGCCGGAGAATAGCTCCGCGGCGGCCGTGAGTTGGTGCGATCGAGATCCCTTGTTTGATGAATTTGTTTCAGATCCGGGTATAGTAGTGTAAGGAGCAAAAGCCGGTAAGCGGAGCCAATCGCCTACAGTATCGTGAGTGAGGAATGAGATACCGGCGTAAGGAAGCATTCCAAGAAGAGTCGGTGCGAATCCACGGTAGAAATTGGCTAGTCCAGAGCTGGGGACCGCCTTGGTCACGGCGGCAGATGCACCCTCAGCAACTGCTGTGACGGGGGCCGTGGACACCTTTGGCTGTGATGGAGCGGAAGGGGTTGGGGGTTTTTCATAATAGATCTGTCTGAATGCATCGGTCAAGGACGAGCGGGAGGACGCTTTTGTTTCAAACGCTAATCGCACTCGAATCAATTCCAGTGGATATGTAAAGAACACCGACGTGATTCCCGCCATGCTTCCAGATATCAGTCGGCGGAAAGCCGTTTCCTTGTCGTGCGTGGGAATCACTACGGTTCGAATCTGCTCATAGGCGAGGAACTTGATGGCGGCGTAGGGGAAGATACGGAGGAGTGTTGCCGAATGGCCCTTGAAGAGACCCTTGGCTCCTTCAAAGCGTTTGATATCCCGGACTGCTGATATTAACCCAAACCAACTGCCCGTATATTTGGCAAACTGAGGATTCGAAGCCTGGAAGAGGATTTTGACCCGGTCGAGTGGCGCAACAACCGTTTTTGCCTGGTAACCATCAGCATCCACCCACTATATTGCGAGATACCCTATTCCGATGATACATGAAATCAAGGGAAAACAAAACAATAACAAAAGGTAAGGAACAAGTTCGACTCACCGCACACCCCGCCAAACCCCCCGCAAGCCCACTCTTTAATACATAATCCACACTCCGCTTCTTCAACGGTTTAATTTGTTTATGAGCACCCTGCTCATCATGCCCAGACTGTGATGTCGCATGGGTGGCATCAATCGCCATTCCCCCTGTGTTGCCTGCTCGGGGCCCTCGAGATGCCCCCGATTGTGATTGTGCGACTTCGTTCATCTGGGGATCGCCGAACTCCGCACGTGTTGAACTCGAGGGCTGATTAGATCTGGGGGCGCTAGAGGAATCAGAATGCGCATGGTCCGAAAAGGTAGCCGACATGAGCGAGTATGCCAAACGAGGTCCGAGCAGCAACGGTCGTTTGTCTGGTAGGGTGGAGGAGATTCTCGGTGCAGGCGAGGAGACGAAGAATAGCAGCAGATCACGGGCTACCGGAGAATCGAAGCCATGGAGAGTTGGACAACAGGAGGCGGTGATTTTCTTTCACGGAATCGCCAGAAAAACGAGCCCAAAGAATAAAAAACAATCTCAACGCTGGGATGACAGGAAGATCGTGGCAGCACAAACAACGGTCTCGAATTGGCCGAGGATCATCGCCATCAAAGGGAGAAATGGTTAACAGACGAATTTCTGTCGCTGACGTCGGTTTGCAGCAAAACGCCGTTACGTCTCTGACGTGCCGATACCCGCCGTTCCCCGCCAAATGGGGTCGTATTACCGTCTCATTACGGGGTCGTATCCGAGTGGCGCGGCTTCTTTCGGCCCGTTAGTAATCAGCGTCTTTAATTGGTCTGACAGATGGAGATAGATGGAGATAGGCAACGATGGCGATGGCAATAGTGGAATAGAAGGGTGTAGAATGAGTAAAGTAGAATGTCTATCTATGGCTAAGCAGCTGTCGCTATCTCCAACGAACAAACCCCAGAAATCACGGAAAAGAAACCAAGCAACGGGACCAACGCCTCCCTATGTACAGACAGTAACAGCCTCCACCCCCCCATCTCTAATGCAATGTATATATATAATGAATCAGATGATTCGAAGGAAAAAACAAAATTCATGGTCTCATCGCTCATGCGCATAAAAACAAACACTTTTTTTTTGAGCTGCTTCCAAGTGCGCCCAGCCTTGCAAGTTGGACCACGAGATCAATTAGAACTGGTACCGCGTGCCCTGTCGGGTCAGCGGTTTGCCTTGACGGTTTGTCGCCTTGAGATCCTTTGGTTCGTCCGTGTTTCTCTTGGCCCGCTTGGCTGGTCGTGAGGCTTCCACATGAAGATGCCCATTCTCAGACAAGGACGTTGTGTTTCGCCATCTTAAGCAGCGGTGTTTTCGGTCATCCACATACGTCTTGTTTCTTGTCCGTTTAGTTGGCGCTTCCTCTGACTCGGCCCTTTCAGCGTTCTGTGACAAGTACTCTTCACGACTTTTCATGTACTTCACGATGTGCTCACGCTGCGACAAAATCTCCTTGCGTAATTTCGACTCCCGGTTACCTCGTGAGTCCAACCATTCGAGCAGTTCCGCAATAGACTCGGCATTGTCGTAATAACCCCATTCGTTGGCATTCAAAAGGCCCGTAGATCCCTCCTCCGTCTTTTTGCGTTCGGCGGGCGTGGTCTGGAAGTCTTTCTCGTACTGCTTCTTTTGATCCTCTGGCACCTCGATAAATCCTACTCGCTCCATCTCATCGGGACCCTGAATCCAAAGGCGACCGTTGGCATACTCAGCATCCGCTGTAGAGCTGTTGGGCATCCCACCATACGGCATCGCGTTCCGCTCGAACCACCAGTATCGGTTACAGAATCGATCCTTACCCAAACATCGGGTGCGCGGACAGTCGGCCTCCCTCAGATCGGTGTCCATCACTTCGATATTTTCTTCAAGCTTCTCAATGCTGGCCTTCTGTTCATCGATCTTCTTGAGCACGCGTTGATACTGTTTGGTTCCCTTGGGCTGCTTCGCCAGCTGCTCCTTTCTTTCACGTTCTTCATCTTGCTTCCGCTTCCGCTCCAGGGCTCGGTCCACACCTCCGCGCAGCGAACGTTGTTTTGGGCCATCGTCGTCCGTATCCATGGCCTGATCCGAATCCACGTCGACCCCAGTCATTCTGGAATCTTCCAGCCCCTCCTCCAGTTCGGGAACTGGCGATGTTGACTTCTCCGGTTCAGGTTGCAGTGCCTTTCGCTCTTGGTGTAGCCGGCGGAGTTCTTCCAGTCTGAAATCAACAGTATTAGTTTGTAAACAAAATGTGCATCATTGGATATTATGTCACTTACCCTGCCTTACGAGCCCGTTGGTACTCGATCTTCTCTTTGCGGAACTCCGTCATCTGATTACTGCACTCCTCGAGATAGTTTCTAATAGATTTAGTTTCCAAACTGAGCATGCAGATGATCTGAAGTGCCTGGACCCGTAGATTGATATCGAGAGTGGAGTACTGAAGCTGTGCAGTTTCCTGGGTTGGTTCGGCATCAAGAGGGGCCAGATGCTTGAGGATTTCATCGCAAATTTTCTCCATCCGAGGACGGACAGATAGTTGATGCAAGAGACCGATCATCACCAATTCCCATCCACCATTTCGGAAATCCCGTTTTCGCAGACGATCAATCCATCCATAGTCCGCGAACATCTCACTCGCCCGGTGAATTTTGACCTCCTCAGAAGTGGAGCGGCTTCGATCTCCTTGCGTTTTCAGGTTTTCTGCTTCAGCCTTGGCCAGGCTGCTGCGAGTGGTCATTCTCGTAACTCTGGGTTCGGGTTCCGGGGTAGGTTCCTCGTCGTCTTCCTCCTCATCAGACTCATCCGAATCGTCCACGGGGAGGTCTGGGAGAGAAATCTGGACGGCGCCATTCTGGTCCTTTTCTGCATTGACAAGCTTCTTCAACACAGCACAGTGCATTTCCACGAAGAGCTCACAGTCAACGTCTTCAGATGAAAACCGCATGGCCTGAAGGAAATCGTCAAAAGTAAACGAATCCAACTGGTAAACTTCGCAGTATACATTAAGGGTGTTCCACGTCTCCAAGAGCAATCCCACTGATTCCTGGCTGATGTCATCGTGTAATAGATCCTCATCGTCAGCGTCATCGGTCTCATCGACCTTCAAGAAGTTTAGGGATGGGCGTGGCTTTTTCTCGCGGTCGGGAGCAATGTCTAGATCCTCGATGGGATATTTGATTGGTGGTGGGGAAGGCGGTTGAGGGGGTTCGTTTTTGATCACAACTTCCGGGCCCGGCTGTGGTTTCTTGTCGCCTTCCAGCGGCTTCGGGGTACGGGCAGGAGGAGTTGCGTTTGGTGTGCTGCTGCCCCCAACAACAAAAGTCGGGTTCCCGTTAAGCGAACGCTGGTACTCGAGAAATTGCGCCTCCTTAGATCGAGCCAGTTCTTGGGCCGAGGGCTTAGATTTCTGGCCCTTGACTGCTGGCTTCAGCTCTGGCAGCTGTTGCGACGCGAAGAAGCCAAAGAACCCTTCCTGGTCCGCCTTCTTCATGGCCTTCTTTTCGGCAACCTTGGCACCATACTGTAGATGTTTCGGGACTTCCGTTGGGATCTTGTATTCTTCAGCTATGGAGGGCTTAACCAACCACGGGGCGCCGCTCCAAGATTCTCTGGTGACGTTGTTCTTTATGAAAGCGCGCAGCATTTGTTTGGTGAAAGTCTTCCGATCCCGGGTGATGTGCTCTTGATCCAGGAGAGCTTCTTCATTTGGGCGGTCCAAGATCTTCACCAGGTATCTAGCATAAGCAGGAGTTTTGATGGTTCCGTCGGGATTCAATTGTTCAGAGAAGTTGGCCTTGTCTCTGATCATGCCATGGAGACGTGTGTTATCCGTGAGTAATATTAGGACCGGTTCGCCGGGATAGAAGTCCTGTTTAAATTCCTCCACTCATTTAGCACTGCTTGTATGGTATGGGGACGAAGTAGGGGTATTTAGTAGTTGGTGTTACTCACTTCGTAAATCTCATCCACTGTTGAAACGTTAGTCACCCTTCAATTGTTGTCTGAGCGGGGACAGCGAAACTCACCAAGATTGTCGACCCTCGATACCGTCGAAAATTGAATCCGGCGTAGAATGGGTTCTTTGAGAGCGTCGGGGAAGCTGTTGTTGACCTCGCGCGACTCCTCCATCTGCATGGTTTATTAGCTACACTGTAATTGTATAACCGAAAATCTCCAAGACCTACTTCACTGCTGAGCGCTTCGAAAAAATTCAGACCCGAGTGGCCCGTGATCTCACATATAAACCGCCTCTGTTTGTAGAAATCCATTCGTTGAAGGTACGGTTCGTAGCTGGTAAAGACCTCGTTGGTCTCTGGGATAACCCAGACCTTTAAAAAAGATGTCAATATGTGCCACCACTGCGCGAATTTGTCAACTGTACATGCCTCGGAGCTGTCATCTTCGATCACGGGTCGCGGAAGGTACTGGACGGGTTTTCGCTTGAACAACACCTAGTGGCCGTGTAAGTCTCCGTGTCCTCCTCGTATTCTTTGCGTCATTCTCCACGAGCAAGAATATTGTTGCGTACCATGATCTTCTATAATAACGGAGACACGCGACTGTCGATCATGTGCCACGTTAAAAGTCGAGTTCCAAAAAATCTATTAGAATCTTTGCAAACAGTCCGGTTAGCACACTGAATAAACAAATAGTTCCTAGTAAATAGAAAAGAAAGAGGTGAGAGGGGTAAGGGTGAAAGAAATAGGACAAAAATGACAAAGTGGTCCGAGTCGCATATTGCAACGTCCAGCTCGAGGCGGAGATACGGTCCAGGTACAGCACGGAGTAGACAAATAAAGCAATGGGAAGAAGAGATCCAACCCGAGAGAATATGTCAGAAGAAATGCTTACCGGTTAAACGCGTGTCCAATCGCGCAAAACCAGGCGTGAAGAAGTCGTGCGCGAAACAATTTGCAACGGGCGACACACGGATAGCACGGTTGAACGTGTATATATACAAGACCGGAGCTCGAGACGGAAGTTGATTTCGGATGGAGTATAAAAGCAAAAGAAGACGGCGATGGAGGAGGGGGTGGGTGGTGGATGAGAGATGCAGAGATCAGAGACGACGCCCAGAGCGAGAAGGAAAGAAAGAAAGAAGGAGGATCAGAGGAGGAGAGGATGTGAAATGGGGTCGAGGAGGTGAAGCGGTCATTGGTGGAGGGCCGGGGCATCCCGGGCGCTGATTGGCTGCGAGGAGGAGCATTTAGCGGCCCCGACGATGTTAGGTTAGCGTCGTTATTAAGACGTCCCGGGCGGGCCTTTTTTTTCCTTTTGGAGGCGTTGAGGGCACCGCATGGCCTCACTCTGCTGCTGCCCTGTGAGCTGCTCCTCCTCGACACCAGCCCCCCGTGTTCGTGCACTCGTTCTGCGCGTCACGCTCTGGAGATTCTCGTGTGCATCATTGTTCTTTTTATATTTTTCATCTGCTGCAGTTATATCCTTGCGATGTCGACCGTCTCGGACGCCTGCGGGGACTAACTATCACCTGGTGCGGGCACTGGGGAAAAACACACACCATGACCTGCGACCATGGCCGATAACAGCTTCAATGGCTTCATCGCTGTTGGACCCAAGTCTCAGTTGCCATCTATTGCTTCTTTCTTTGATCATCTAGAGCTGACTATCAAATCTTGATTTGTTTCGTTTTGATACTATGAGCGGTCAATGTCGACTGGGTATGTTCCTACTGGTCCATATGATTTTCTGACTTTACTAATTCTCATCAGTAAGACTCTGTTGTATATTCCTCCTCTATACATTCGCACGGGCATCAACAGCCATATAAAATTCGAATGCGTTGAAAGGATGCTTGGTCGGTCTTAATCCGAACCGTGTCTCATCTTCCAAAGCTACCATAGCCACCATCAATCACTAACAAAACTCATCATGTCGATCGCTAGCTATCTTTCTTCTGGTGTTTCTGGCACAAGTCCATGGCTTATTCTTACTGTCATTGTGCATGCTAAAGCATGCCCATGGTAAGTCCTTAACTCGCCGTTACATGAGGACTTGTTTCAAAACTGCTACAACTACTCGGACTTTCATTGACATAATTCCTCTATGAGCTTATAAAAAACAGCCTAGATTAATGATTCATAAAAAACAACTTCTCGACATTCTACTCAATCATACTGCTGTGTTTGAAGACTTATACCAACGAAACATCCGACATGTTACTGCATTATAGGTCTTCCGTGATCGAAATTTTGTTCTGCTTAGCGTCCAGGCTCTTATATCTATATCTCGAGATTTACTCTATATGGGAGAATTAGGCGAAATAAAATATCAGCGAGTTAACCCGAATGAGGCTCCTGCGTTTTTCCCCAGAGAAACCCCATGTCTCCTACTTCTTTTCGAGTTCTCCAACATCACAATAAATCATTCTTATACATATCGCAAGAGTATTTACATAAACAATAAGAAACTTTGCTTGTCACACGACAGAAAATCCCTGTCGTGTCTTTCCAGTTTCCAACACTGCAGATATGAAAAGAACTCTCGCAAAGGGAGACGTCAAGAATGCGGTGCATACATAATGCAGTGCTCTTTATACATATTATCAGCTCAAGTTTCAGGCTATTCCCTATCCTTTTATTCAACTTCAACTGAAAATGGTATCTAAGTGGGTGACATGAGGTATGTGCAAACCAATTTAATCCCCAACTAGAATTGCTCTTGTGCATGTTGAATGATGATACCACCTGACAACTATGGCTGACAAATAGGCTAATGCTCTTCTAAGCAAGCATAAAACTGTGATAGAAATACTCAAGCATATCTCTAGCCTCAAGCCTCTGCCTCTCGAACCGATGCGGAAACATTGGCGCCTGCAACCTTGCCCTTTTCCGTAGCGCTGTTTCCTGCCAGCACTGGGGTTGGTGCTTCAGAAGAAGTTGAGTCCTCTTCGATTGGCCTGCGAAGAATGGCAGCTTTAGCTCGACCTTTCATCGCGGCATAACGAGCCAGCAGCGGATCAATGACCGGGATGGCCCCCTTGCGTTCACGGTACATCATCAAAGAGTAAGCTACCATGATGCATATCCAGAACATGTTGTATGCGATGACTGATCCGTAGGTGGCCGAGTTGGTCCATCCTAGCAGCGCGTTGAAAATACCCCAGCCTCCACCGCCACCTATCAGCGGATTGCAGCAATTGACGTGCCACACACTCATATTGATGTTATACGAACCCGGGCCTGAGCCAACCTCGGAGGAATCCCCACCAACGATTTTATTCCAAGTGTTGTTCTCAAAAAACCAGACACCGCGCGAAAAGAGTCCTGCGGCCACTAGGTACAGGAAACAGGTGGAGATGATCAAGAAAATCTGCATGGAGGTTTCGCTTCCACCACTGGATAGAAGGCACTCGTCAGGTCTTGTTCTTTTGGTCAATGGAAGATAAAGGACTTACCGGTAGATGATGTAACCCACCAGACATCCTGCAGAAATACCGCACACCACCGCCAGCGGAAACGATGAAGCCGGCAGACCTAGTCCGACTCCGCCGACATAGACGACACCCTCCAGTCCTTCTCGCAGCACTGTGATAAACGGCAGAATAAACATGCTGTATTTTTCCAGCCACCGCTTGAAGCCACCCTTTTCCGAGCGGCCCTCTGTTGGATTGCTCTGTTCGAGGGCTTTAATGAGTTTCACCCGCCATTTTTCCTGTAGTTTCGACACCCGGAGCAGGGCGGCGCCCATAATGGCGATGATTATGGCGGCCAGAATTCCTAGCACCCCTTCCCAAATATCCTCCGTGCTGGAGAAGGTGTCGGTCCCGAGCCCGTAAAATGCCCCAATCATGCCAGCGCCAACGCAAATACAGACAAACAACCCTAGGCCGCATCCCAGCCATACCTGTGGTTGAAAAGCCGCAAGCCGTCAGAATGGTTCGGATAAATAGTGATGGCAATGGTATCTCTTACCTGCTTTACCAGCTGTTTATATGCCCTCTGATCTTCTTCCTGGCCTAGGGTCTGCTTCAGAAAGGCAAAGAGAACCGACACCACAACGGTCGTCTCGAGACATTCTCGAAAGCAGACGAAGAAAACTGTCCAGGTTCATTAGCAACTCATGCCGTTGAGAGCAAGACGCACGATTCCTCACTAGTGACTGCAAAGACAGGATTATTGCCCATGCTGAAGGGAAGATGTGGAAATGGAAATAGAAATGAAAGTGACGGTCAGACGACACCAGATTGAGCGGCCCAAGTGATTGATAAGATGGAGGGGCTATGGCGCTGAATCCGTGGGACTTCTTTTTTGCCTTTTCCATCTTTATTGTGATCATCCATGGGGTTCTTGTATTATCTGTACCACCATGACGGTAACTAGACACGGGATATCTGCATTACTAGGACGGGCTGACCGGGTTGGGGTGCACGTGGTCTAGATGGTCTATCCGACAGCGTCAAGTGCCGCCTGGCTCCATCCCAACGAGAGAATAAATTGATATGGGTCCAATGGGCAGACTTTTTCTCAATGGGAATATGTCTCGTTCTCATGTCACCCTGCAGTCGCCTATATCGTCGGCGCTAGGTAGGGTTGTGCAAAGCTTAATTGCTCCCGCCCATAATTAACGACTGAAAATGGGCTGTTTTACCGCGAAATACCAAATTACGGGCTGTATTCGGTATTTCACAGATTATCTGATAACCCTACAAAACACCCCCCACGAGGCCTGAGCATAACACAGAAAGCTTCGATCGATTCTTCTTGTCTTCCTGTCTCGTCCGTCTTGCTCGGTCTGTTTTCCATTCATCACGCAGATTGAGAAACAATATGGCACGCCTGTCGCTCAGTCTACTCTTCGGCCTCATCGCCGTCCTGTTCACTACATACTGCCAGGCCAAAACAGTTACCTACGACTTCAATCTGACTTGGGTCACTGCCAATCCAGATGGCCTGGCAGACCGCAAAGTCGTTGGTATCAATGGTCAATGGCCGCTGCCCGTGATTGAGGTAGACAAGGGCGACCGTCTCGTGGTCAATATGCATAATGGACTGGGAGATAAGCGTGCTTCTATCCATTTCCACGGCATGTATCAGACCAACACGACAGACATGGATGGTCCTTCGATGGTTACTCAATGCCCTGTTGTTCCTGGGAGCTCAATCACCTATGATTTCACGGTCAATCAGAATGGGACGTACTGGTATCATTGCCATACAGACTATTGCTATCCTGATGGGTATCGACAGGCGCTGATTGTCCATGATAACGAGTCCTATTTCCACGACCTATATGATGAGGAATTCACTGTCACGCTGAGTGATTGGTATCATGAACTGGTTGAGGATATTGCTCCCGGCTTCATCTCATTGTCCAATCCGACTGGAGCGGAACCCGTCCCGGACTCGTTCCTCTTCAATGATACAATGAATACCAATATTTCCGTCCAGCCAGGAAAGACATACTTGATGCGACTGATTAACATCGGCGCGTTTGTCAGCCAGTACTTTTATATTGAAGACCACACCTTTCGCATTGTGGAAATTGATGGGGTATACACGGAGCCTACCGAGGCCAGCATGCTCTATATTTCAACAGCACAGCGGTATTCTATCCTCTTCACGGCTAAGAATAGTACCGACAAGAACTACCCTATCGTGACCGTTGCCGACTCGGTGCTCCTGGATAAGATTTCACCCAATCTCCAGCTTAACAATACCAACTGGCTGCAATATAATCCCAGCGCTGAACATCCCCAGGCTGTCATGAAAGTGGACATTGCCTCCGATCTCAACCCCTTTGACGACATGACCCTCATTCCGTACGACAAGATGGAGCTCCTTCAAAACCCAGACCACAGACTAGAGCTGACAGCGCTCATGGACAACCTCGACGATGGCGCTGGCTATGCCTTCTTCAATGAAATCTCCTACACCAAACCCAAAGTCCCTACCCTCTACACCGTCATGTCCTCGGGCTCTCTTGCCACCAACCCCACCGTCTATGGCGAGTACACCCACCCTGTGGTACTGGAGGAGAACCAAGTGGTCGAGATCGTCCTCAACAACGGTGATACTGGCTCCCATCCATTCCACCTGCACGGACACAACTTCCAGCTCGTCGATCGCTTCCCCAGCTACGGACCTCACTTCTACGACTACGCTGACGGCGATCCCGTGGTCTACAATGCATCCAACCACTCTTCCTTCCCAACTTATCCTGCTCGCCGGGATACATTCGTACTACCCCCACAGGGGTACTTCGTCATTCGATTCCGCGCCAACAACCCAGGTGTGTGGTTATTCCACTGCCACATCGACTGGCACCTGGTGCAAGGTCTAGCAATGACCTTTGTCGAGGCACCGCTGCAGATCCAAGAGCGGGTTTCAATCCCACAGCAGCACTACGATGTATGCGAAGCGGCCGGGATGCCATTCGAAGGGAACGCGGCAGCCAACACGGCAGACTTCCTCGATTTAACGGGACAAAATAAACAGTTGCCCTGGCTCCCGGACGGGTTCGAGGCGCGGGGGATCGTCGCGTTAGCCTTTTCTGCGGTGAGCGCAATCTTAGGAATGGGGTTCATCTCCGTCTACGGTATGTCGGGACTGAAGAAGGACAGAGAGGGAGAGGGGGAGACTGGGGGAGTTGCTCAAAATGAGTGAATGACCAGATAATTTGTACATACCTCCAATAGTAGCTGTCTTTGATCAACAAATTTGATTACTTGTAAATAACTCAAGTCCTGGTCATCTATAACAAAATCTAGATATCGGATGCTAATCCTTTATGTTTTTCAATATAAACTATCCATAGTAGTTTTACTGTAAGAGTAGCTGTGATGACCGAAAGGCTAACATTACCAGGCGTGTTACTTTATATAAAACAACCTGCTTGGGTCATCCAATTAGCTGGTGCCATAGTCTAGTCGTTAGGACATCAGGTTTTGACTTGCTCGTTTCCTGAGAATTCCGTCCCGGATGACACCTTTTTCTTTTCTTTTTTGTGCTGCCCCCATTCTCTTCTTTTGTTTTACTTGACAGCTCTAATGACGAGCTGCAGATAATTCTATTATACTCTATTTCTCATATTGTCATTGGCTAGAAACTGTATTATCTCTTTGTTATAATCAGATAGAATATCTTCAACGCTGACTGCAGTAGTCAATTAGTCCAAAATAACCGATACATTCTTTTACTACCACGCTTTCCAGGCACACACCTTGTGATAAATATTCATCCATGCAATCCAGCATACATAGCAATCATCATGCCGAAAGTGGCATAATACTCGATATACATGAAAAATCTGTCACCCACTCAGTTAGACTTTCGTAGACAACATTGTGGCGTTACCACCCGTACTTTTCATGATGATCAATTACACAGATACCGAGATTGATAACACAATACATGGCGGTACAGTACTAGCGGTACTTAAAGCGTATCTAACCGCTATCAATCTGATAAATAAATCATCCTGAAACCTGACCGGCAGGGTGTCTTTCATTTGTTTAATTTACATGGATGGTTGATGTAGAATACTACCTTTCCAGCCTCCTGTCTCATATTATCATACGTGTAGCTGGCTTCTGGGCTAGAGTTGTCGTGCTCGTACGTGGGGTAATACCTAGAGGAGAAGCAGCACCGTGTATAACTTCATCTTTCGTCTCGTCAAAGCTTGTGCCAGCTTAGCTCTCTTTTACACGGAAGGCTCGCTGACACAATCAGTACCATGGATTCATGGAAATAGGACGAACGTTTTTCAGCAAGCCACTGCGCACATCCCAATAACTATCGTCTATCAGCCAAAAAAAAAAAAAAAAAGTTTCACCAAGAGCAGCGTAGATAATAATTTGCAATACGAATATGACCCCATACTTGGGGATTGGATTGAGGCTGTGGAAACTGAAAACCCACTCAGAAAGACAGTGAATAATCATTATCAATCAGTGTCAATCAGGGTTTTCTCATTTGCGATCCACTTTGTCCCCTTGCCAATGCAGATGGTCTTATCAATTGTCCGATATAGGCATGTTGGCACTGGACAGTAACCCTAGTTTGTGTCCATAATCAGTCATGATATTCTCGCACTCTGTTTGACTTGGTGCTTGGCATTGTGGCCGTGAATTATTGACATCGCAAGGGTCCAGAGATGAGAGTAGGGGCCTTTGGATACGTGGATATGAATGAAAATTCAATCAAACTGTCCTATATAACCATATAACCGTACCATCATATAACCACCATTGTGGACTTTTTTGGAATCAAATCAGTTGCTGCTTCCCCCATTATGGACGCCGTTTCGAAGAAGGAAGTAAAGGCTCTCCGGCTAGCTAACAATGTCTGGAGTGACAAGTACTTTGCCATTGCCATCGGGGCGATGATGGTGCTTGCTATTGTCTGTCACTGGGCAACGGTTTTCTACTTCCGTGGCAGATGCAGAGATATTCGCGTGGGCAGACTGTATCAGTAAGAGGAACATCATGATCTCAGCGAGCAAATGGTTAATCTGATGCAGTAAGATTTGCTGTCGCTTGTCGGCCCCAATTCCACTTGTCCGGGTTGCATCGGGCAGGGCTTTGCTGTATACCATATACTGGAGCATCAACCTGATCCTGGCTTTGACCAATGTCGAGTTGGAGAATCCTTCATATGTCGGTGCTTAACCCTAACCTTGACTTGATGGAGACAAATGCTGACTGCCATGGCCGCTGGATAGGTTGCGAAACGGTTTGGCTGGTATGCCATTCTGCCCCTCATCCCTCACGAACATCTAAAACTCACTGAACCACTGGAGAAAGGATCTCTGTAGCCAACATGGTGCTGCTCGTGTTCCTCGCCCTCAGGAACACCCCTTTGGCCCCGTTGTCTGCCACCTCATATGACCAACTCCGACAGCTGCACAAGGTTGCTGGGTACACCTGTATTGTAACCAGCTGGCTGCACGCCATTGTATATCTCTCTTCCTGGTCTGCGCTTGGGAAATTGGATAAAATGCGTGAAACTCCTATGATTGCCGGTGCCGTTGGTGGCACTGCTATGCTCGTCATCGGGGTGTCCACCATTTCTTACATCTACCGCCGTCGTTATGAGGGTGCGTTCCCAACCCCGATTCTTCTTCTTCTCTCCCGCCTGAAGATATACATCTTGCAGTTACTGACTCACTCACTTGTTTCCAGTCTTTTATCTCATCCACATGACAATGTTCATGTTAATCCTAATCGTGATCGGCATGCATCGGCCCAAGTTCTCAACCTCAAGTGTTATTATCATCATCTTCACAGCCTGTATCTGGGGCCTGGACCGTTTGATTCGCCTGGCCAAGATTTTCTGGAACTTCCCTGGCAATCACGCAACGGTCACTGCGCTCCCAAACGGTGGAATCCGTGTCCGCCTGACACGCCGGCTAGCTGCAACGCCCGGATCTCACGCCTTCTTATGGCTACCCGCCATTCGGCTGTTCGAGATGCATCCATTCACCATGGTGTCCGTCGACCCGGCCGAGTTTGTCATTCGTGCACACGATGGCTTTAGTGGGGAACTATATCGCCATGCACAGAATCACAATGGCAATGGGGCCACGCTTCGATGCTCGGTTGATGGCGGATATGGGCAGATCCTTGACTTTGGGGCTTTTGAGAGAGTGGTTCTCGTTGCCGGAGGCAGTGGTATGAGCTTCACCTGTGCTGTTGCTGCTGAATTAATTAGAAAATCTGCTGCAAGTAGAGCCAAAAAGATTGATTTTATCTGGACGGTGAGAGAGAAACAGACTCTATCCTGGTATCAGGAAGAGCTACGCCAACTGCAGGACAACTCCCTGGTGAATCTCATCATCCACGTCACACACTCCTCCATCCCGTCTACAGAGCAGCTTCCTCAAGCCACATCAAGTCTGGAAAAGGAAGTTTTAGCAACAGCCGAGCTAGAGGCAGAGTCTGACCCGGTCCCAAGAGATACTGAAGCAGGGCCCTTGGAAAAGACTACCATCATAGATTATCCTCTCACAATGCACCCCGGTCGCCCAGATATTTATAGTCTGATATCCAGTGCAACATTTGGCACAGACACAAAAGACCGCATCGCTGTTGGTGTCTGTGGCCCGAGTGGTCTGGTGGATTCGACGAGGCAGGCTGTATCGAGGGCCATGGCGGATGGGGCTTTGGTTACATTATACGCAGAGGTAAGTCTGTGCCAAATGCATTTGAGCAAGCAAGATAGCTGACAATCGGTTCCTAGGAGTTTGGGTGGTGAGTAAAGTGATGATGGCCATGTGGAGATAGGAAATGGGGTGCAGGAGTTCCCAGTCACGTGGATAAATATCCATGAAAGATGCGATTTCAAGCAGGTTGGGGCTAGCCTATTCGGGTCTAGTGGCCTGACAAGCTCTTCGGCAGCGGGCCCAGAATCCAAAACACGTGGTGAAGCAAACAATGCAAACGTTGTTGTTATTACATCATGGTCGAGCTGATATGTATTTTGATACCCTCAATTCGATATAATATTTTGGTCTATCTACAGTATTTTTTTTATCACTCTCCAACAGCTAGTTCTGTCTATGAAAAGTAGACCACCATAAATCCAACCCAGCTACCAACCACCCCCAAAGCAGAGTAACTGCTCATGAACATCAACGGCAGGAACTCATAGCGGTCAAGCCCAAAGATCAGCTGGTGTAGCAAAGAGCAGTAGACAATCAGTGGAATTGCCACCGTCAAGTACAGCAAGGAGAATCGATCGAACAAAAAGATTCGAGGTCGCTCTGGGACCGGTGCCACTCGGTCGAAAACAAAGAGAAACAGCACCAACCACAGCACGGTGTAGACGGTTTTGATGGGGAACTCGGCCGCTGTAAAGAGCAATGGGAATAGCGAGACGTGACCCGCCACCGCAAGGGGTCGGAATGCACTGAAGTACCGTCGGTCTTTGAGTGCGATCAGACTGAACGGGATGATTATGAGAAGGATAGCCTTTTCGTGAACGTGCCAACCAAACAAGAAAGAGGCGTATCCGCAAAGGGTGATGGCACCGACAAAGGTTTCCCAGTCAGGTCGGAACCAAAGTTTAACCAATGGAAGCTGGAAATCAATTAGCCTTCGAGACGAACACAAGCTTAAAGACACATACAAGTTGAAATATAAATGTCAATGCAAAGGTGTGTTCTTTGGTGACTTCCGGGAGGATGGCAAAGGAAGTGTCACCGACAAGCCCACGCGTGACACTGCTGAGAGCATCGTGATTGACCCGAAGGCCCAACCGTGGAGCAACTAGGAATCATTAGCTTGAGTTTCCAGGACTGAGAGAATTTCACATACGTGGAATCAGAACACGATCCGTAAAGGAATACATGGCCCAGATATTGGGCGCCCAGTAGGCATGGCACAGACCCCGTGAGAAGGGGAAAAGCCTATCCTTCAGCTGAAAAAGCTGGTTCCAATGGGTAAATGGACCAAAGGCAATACCAAACACACCGAGAACCCCGAGTCCGAGTTTGAAAGCATTTCCGAACCTGGGCCGAAAAACCGACTTGGGATCCAGACAATAGGCCCTCAGTAAGTAAACAAAGTAAGCTAGCGCGAGATAGAGATAGATGTGTTTCAAACAGAGCAAAATCGCGAAAGAAATGCCACTGTACAGAAGGGTCGACTGCTTCCGGGCGAGAACAATTGACAAGATCAGGATGCCGTACAGAAAGCCGTTGTACTGGAAATGAATGTGATCGATAATAAGCAAGCCGGGGGACAGCAAGATCGAGAGACCGGCAATATGCGCAAGGTGCTTATTCTGCTGCGGCACGGAATTGATAAATTTGCTCAGTGCGTAGACCAGGACGAGCTCGGTGAGAATGACCGTTGTCCTCTGAAAGTAGACGGTTTGCCAGGAATCATAGTTCAGGTTGTTGACAACCAACATGGCCGGGTCCGCATAACGTGCTGCCTGCGACATGATCCATTCGAAGGCCGCAAAGAACGGTGGGTAATCGAGGGTCCATTCCGATGTTTTCTAAAGCCATCCAGACTCAGTATCCCTGAACTGCGATATGCGACCGCAACCACCCATACCTCATAGTACCATTCCTTAACCGGTAACGAATTCGTGATTGCGAGCCAATTTCGATGGACCTCAAAGTCGGTAGATTTACTGCGAGCAACGACACACCGTCAGCATGGGCTGCAACCCACAGGGGAGAAGCCAACTTACTAGGCGGGGAAGAGAAGAACCTTGAAAGCGGCGGCGACGATGGCGCATTGTGCCAGAGATGGGTACAGCTCAGCCATTGCAACTATTGCGCATCATGCACCGTCAAAATAAAAGAAAGGGGAAAAAAAGAAGAAAGAAAAGCTAGGGAATGTCGTGGGGCGTGGAGATGAAGAACTGCTCTCTCTGTCCGTTCCTTGGACGAGCGACTTTTGGTCAATCCGGGGGAGGCACGTGACGGCGAGCTTGTCAACAGCAGCAACGAAAGGCCAGTTTGTCCCCTCAGCCACAGCTGGATATACTCGTTTTCGACTCAATTGCAGCACCAGCTCTGGTTTATGGACATGTCGGATGTTGCAGTCCGCCATAATCTTGCTCTCTCTGATTTCAACGTCCATCATTTAGTCGACTTCACCCCGTCTGCTGTGTCCATCGCCAGAGAAGTCCGCTTCTGCGTGATCGCCATTGTGGTTGGGTGGACCACCACGCGCGTTGTCTCTGCGCTGTTGAATCGGAAAACGCCTGATCGCTGAGGTTTTCTCTAGCTGTGCTGGAGACTGGTTTATTTGTGTTGTTTTTCTGTATTGTTTTTCTGTATTGTTTTTCTACGTCATTGCGACTTCCTTGGAGATAACGAGACCTGGACTCTACGGCATCATGAAGATCCCGGCTTCCTTTTCGCTCTTTATCGCTGCTGCTACAGCTCAGTCAGTGATTGAGAGCTCAAGTTTCGGCTATGGTCAAACGTAATACAGGTCTTTTTACATTTCGAGCTTCTCGTTTGCTAACATCCCATCAGTTTGTCATTGAACACAGACGGCATCCCTGGGTGGCAAGTAGGAGGAGTAGGAGCTGCTCCTCAGATTGTATGTTCTTCCCAGCATTTTATACTGCATGTTGCTTATGATGCTGACTTGGGTTAGTTTTCGGATAAAATCATTCTGACTCCGCCCTATCCTGGCAACACCAGGGGCTTTGCCTGGTCAGAGAATCCGTAAGTCTTCCTGTTTCCTAATTTGTTGAGCAAGTATTGAACACTGTCATGTAGTGTTTCCGAGTCGGAGTGGACTGCGGAATTTCAATTCAGAGCCACTGGTCCTGAGAGAGCCGGGGGCAACCTTCAACTGTGGTATACCAAGGAAGACCACCACAAAATCGGCACTTCCAGTATCTACACTGTTGGCCAATTCGATGGATTTGCGCTCGTTGTGGACACCCACGGCGGAAGGGTACGTGAAACCTCGATCGAGCTGTGTAACCCGTTTAACTGACTCGGATTCTAGGGTGGTAGCGTCCGAGGGTTCCTCAATGATGGCACAAAGGATTACCAAAGCCACGGCGATGTTGACAGTCTGGCTTTTGGACACTGCGACTACTCGTACCGTAACCTTGGCCGCCCTTCTGTTGTTCGGATCAAGCAGACGAACTCGATCTTCGAGGTGACCGTCGACGATAAGCTTTGCTTCTCCTCGCCCAAGGTAAGTTATATGCTCATGGCCGATCCTCCTCTAATCTAACAGCTATGCAGGTCGCTCTCCCTGCTGGAAACTCTTTTGGTGTGACAGCAGCAACCCCTGAGAACCCGGACTCTTTTGAGGTCTTCAACTTCATTCTGCGAACCAGCTCGCCTGGAAGCGTTCCGGTTCAGCAAGGCGGTAGCAACCAACAACCGATCGTCAACCAGAACACGAACAATGTGCCACAAGGACAAGGCCGCCCTGCTTCCGATTCCAGAACAATGGAGCAGTATGTGGATCTCACCAGCCGTATCCAGCTCATCAGCCAAGCCACCAACAACATCATCCGGGAGATCGGAAACCAAGGCACCAAGAGCGAAAACCGTCAAGCCGAGCTCATTCAGAAATTGGCCAGTAAGGACCAAGTGGCTGCCCTTGATGCACGACTGCAGCGCATCGAGCAAGTTTTGCAGCGCGTTCAGCGTGATATAGAAGGCAATGACTACCGTGACCGCCTTTCTCAGCTCCATGATACTCTGAAGTCGTCTCATCTTACTTTGACCGAAAGCCTTCAAAGCTCGATTCTTGGCAGTAAGTGTTCCCCAGCAGCGTCACCCGCTACACCCTTGATCATAATCTGACATTAAACAGCAATCGCTTCCTCGTCGCCACGCATGGGCTTCTTCATCTTCTGCATCATCGCCTTCCAGCTCCTTCTCGCTGGTTCCTACGTTCTCTACAAACGTCGACGCGCAAACATGCCCAAGAAGTTCCTTTAAACTTCACCTGTTTGGCTTTTCTGCCTGCCTTCTCAATTTAGGACCATGATTTACGATGTTACTGATTCTGCCTTGGTTTCATCATCTTCACTCAGCAAATCTCGCAATCTGTCTCTCTACACTTTCGGGTTTGGGTGGGTAACCTTTCATCCTGGTATCTGTATCATGAACGAAACACTAGAATAATGATCTCCTTCATCTACCGTGTACTGCATTTAGCTTGAATATATACGTCCAAGACCACAATTCCGACTTCGATTGCATATAATTCGCTGGCCTCTACAGGCGGAAATAAACTACAATAGATACGATGTAGACAATAAATCAAAAGCAGGCTCGATTTCATGAGTAGTATATCTTTCATGCTCAAGACAGCATCTAATGGCTGTAAGAAGGCATCAACGCCATATGCTATGCACACACACACAATAAAGACAAGAAAAACTCCTTTCCATCTTTCCACACCGAAAAAAGGAACAAAAGTTTCGTTTTCATCTTTTTTTTTTTTTTCCTTTGTTTTTTTGTCTTCCTTGATCATGCCCAGGTCCAAATTTACATCCCATAATAAAACACGAGTTCTGCACCCGGAAACCGGGTTAGCAGAGAGGAAACCAAAAGCGAATAGTGTGAACATAGGTAGGGTAGGTAGTGTTACACGGGTTCGTTTCCCCGGGGTGGTCACAGAAAAAAATTCGTTTCACTTAGTAAAAAGAAAAAGAAAAAAATCGCCATATCCCAGTTGAAATGCAAGATGACAACTATGATCCGCTAAAAATGAGTCGCCGTCCGTCGTAACCCAAACAGAAAACAGAAAGGAAAAAAAAAGACAAAAGAAAAGAAAAGAAAAAGAAACGAAGTCGGAAAGACATTCGTTATATTCAAATGCACAAAACGCCGGGAGCGATTAAAAATACGTTTTATTATGTGCTTGCTTGCTTGTTAGCTCCTCGGTTGTTTCATGCGTATCCGTACGCTGAACTCTCAATCTTGAGAGTATAGCTATGGATTAAGATTGAGAGTTCAGCGTACGGATACGCTGCTCGATGAGGTCTTGTAGCGTCCGTAGCGACGCTATCTCCGTCTCGGCTTTGGGGATGTTATTGGGGGCATTAGCTTTCAGCTGGTCGATGAGAAGGTTGATTTTGCCATTGTCAATCCCCGTGTTAGGCCGAGTGGCTTGGGCGAAAGAAAGGAGGTTTGCAGCCGCTTCTCGCTCGGCGACGGTTCGTGAATTCAACACCGCGGCTGTCGTGTCCTCTGCTGGGAAGTCTGGCGTCTGGGAGGAATAGAATTCGTGCGCCTTCGAGGTGAGGTCGTCGATGCGGGATTTGGCATAATCGAAATACTTTGAGGCCGCCGCTTTCTTTGTTGCAACCTCTTCGTTTTCCCTGTTCAAATAGTCAGGTAAGATCAAACACACAAATTCCAAGGGTAGGTAAACTGACCGTCTGACACGCTCAATAAAATCAAGTTTGACACCCTTTTCAGAAACACGATACATGATGCCCTCTTCTTCCTGGTCTTCAATTCGCTCGGACTCTTCCTCATCCGGCAATATCTCGATGTCAATCATTCGAGGGCGCTTAGGGCGACGAATCCGCCGGACTGTATCGTACCCTTCTTCATCTTTCGTAACGTAAAGCAAGTCATGGTAGACATGGTTGGGACACATCCAGTTGTGATGCGTCCTATCGCTTCCTGCCCTTTGGTTGGGAGGATTTGCCAAAGGAGGGTCGACACAATCCATATGAAAGGCACAGGGACAGTAATCGCATTGAATGATCGGTCGACGTCCGTTGCTGGTGCGTCCGCAGCCATAACAAAAGATAAGCTTGCCTTTTCCATCGACGGTCCTGAGAAGCTGAGGGTCGTCATAACGGCCAGTTAATTTTACTCGTCCCCCGCGTGTGGTGGTTCTAGGCAACGGTGCGGTCTCTTCGTATTTGCCACCTTCGCCTGTCTTTACGCCTGTGAAATAGTCCCGAAGGCGGGCTGGTAACGCAAAGTCTTTCGCGCCGACATTGTCGAGTGCACCCAGGAGAGTACGCATAGGTCTGGAGCACGAGCACTTCGGACAATACCATTCCCCTTCTGGAGGGTTCGCGGGGTCCAATGGTGGGTTGAGACAAGAGAAATGGAAGGAATTGACACAGCCGTCGCAGCACAGCAACTGTCCACTGCGGGTGCAATTCCGGCAAAAATCATTGTTTTCGAGAGTTTCGTCATCACTAGCATATGTCAGTCTGTATTCAACAATAATATTGTAAACATAACGCGGGAGGGTGACTTACGCAAAGGTAGGTGTCAGGCGCCGGTTGCCCTCAGCATCGCTGCTATCCGGACTGCCCGACCTTCCCATGCCATTAAGCTCGGCTTCTCCTTGAGAGCGGTTGTTCGCATTTGGCGCCGGTGATGCAGCATTGGAAGGAGAGTTTGAACCCAGGGAAGAACGAAGCTTGCTTTCATGGGCGACAATCTTGGGAAGAGATTTCTGTAGTCGACTCCGTTTGTTTGTGATAGCCAGGTCTGAAAATGCAGGGTCTTCTTCTAAAGCGCGCTTTCGGTTGTTAATAGCGTCGTTGGATGATGGGAATGCCGAACGTGGGGCTTCTTTCTCCTTGCCCTTGGCCTTGGTTTGTTTTCCCTTGGCACGCGAACGAGAATTTCCTGCTCCGGGTGCCATTCCTGGGGCAAAGGTCTCAGCATCAAGGGATTTGGCAGACGACAATGACGAAACGCTGCTAGCAGACCGGGTGCGGGCCATGAGCGGCGGCTCAGGGGCAGCTGTGGATTGGTTCTCTTCCGCCCGCACATCCCTCCAAGCAGCGCGCATCATGTTATGAAACGCGGACATTTCTTCTTTTGAAGGGTCGTCTCCAAGCATTCCGTCAAGAACAGATAGCACAAACGGATCCCTATTGCAATCACCCCACATGCGTAGGAGCCCGCGAACGACTGGGTTATTTCCAGTAAGAGTGGCAAGGCGGAAGGCCTGCTCAACTGCCGTCTTGAGCTTTTCCATGTCAAACTCATTCGAATCGGGGATCGGAATCGCAGCGAGAGCCGAAAAATCCACCTCTTTTGATTCGTCCAACAGAAGAGCCTCGAGAGCTTTATCTTCTTCTGACATTTCGGGAACTTCTTCTTCTGTAGCTTCTTCATCTTCGGGCACTTGTTCTTCGGCCGGTGTCTCCGGAGTCTGCTTCCCATTCTCTTTGTCCCCATTCAGTATGGTCTGTTCCGGCTCCTTCTTTGCAGGAATGTTCTGAGGCGTAGGTTTCTGAGGTACCAATCCTACCTTGCGTAGGTCTGCAGCAGATGGCAATGCTCCGAGAGGGCGCATGGTAGAAAGTATAGGGTTCGCGTCACTGGAAACAGCTGACCACGGCGTGTCTGCGTAGCTTGGAGCCGGGGTCCTCACGGGAGGTTCAGCCCACTCCGAGGGTTGTCCGTACATTTGTACATCATCGGCGACATCTCCGGTTCCAGCAGGAGGCTGCTGCGACTGCAGCTGTTCGAGAGACGGTGTATCTTGGGGAGGATCCGTGGCAACACGAGTATTGCGGCCTGTCCGCCGGCGTTTTCGATCCCTCGTAGATTCAGTAAAGGAAGACGCGGTACTAGGGCCGGCTTGCGCCTCAACCGGCGTTGAAGGGCGCGAATTGTTCGAGCGAGCATGCGACGACGAACGGAGTTTGGGAGCCATCGCGCTATCGAGGCAGGGCTTCGGCGATGGCAACGCTGTGAAATGCAATGTTAGCTCACGGAACAAGTAATTGCTTCTAAACGGAGAATAATAAAAACCCACTAATTAAAAAAAAATCCCAAGGCAAACAGCGAGCGTACCCGGCGTTGCTGCAGGGAGTCGTGGCCAGCCCGCGCGCTGTCTGCGGGTTGATGGAAGAGAAAGATTGCGGAGTTTGGAAGACGGGAGTTTTCGAGGTCCGAATCACTTCCCAGGGGGTCAGTACGCGGAGGTGCCAACCACAAACGTGTGCACCTGAGTAGTAGACTTGAAGGGTTAGTTTTTTGAAAATTGAATATTCTGAATTGAATGGATTTTTTTGTTTTGGTTTTCTTTTGTTGGAGCCTGGTCTTACCTAGTGATGTCTTTCAACGGTAATAGGTGCTCCGGAGATTGCGAAAGGGAGAGGTAACAGCTTCTCACAGGCAATGTCGTGCAAGAAGATCAATAGCTCCAAGTAAGACAAGGAGATAATATTTGAGACTTTGAGATCTCAGAATAAGACTTGCTAAGCTGTAACTTTGAAGATAAACTGTCTTTGATCAGCAAGAGGACCGGTGGCCAAGACAAGATACTGGGACTCGAATAATGACAAAAGTAACAAAGAAAGAGAGATCCCGAGAAAAAGACAAGTTCCACGTAGTTCTCAACAGAAAATAACAGGCCAACGGAAGATCTACCCCAGTGCTGGCCCAAGATGACACCTGGGACAGCTGACAGGTAGAGGAGGGAGATGCACTGACGACTCTCGTAAAGCCCAAAGACAAACTCACCAGGGATAAGGCAGTAGCCAAGATGGTTGAAGTAGCAATAGTTCGCAGTTGGTAAAGCAAGTTGCACTGCTTATCTCTTGGATAGACGACAAGATATACGGTTTGCGAAGAGGCTTTCAACAGAGCAGTTAGAAAAGGATCCAGTTTAAGATTAAGCAGAAGAAAGATAAATGCCAGAAGGCTTTGAAACGGGCTTTTTCTTGTCTTTTGAGTCAAAAGCAAGATAGAACGAAGGCAGTTGAAGCGTATGTGGGAAGATAGAAAAGACGTGGTGGGTGGGAGAAGAGAAGAAGTCGAAGGAGAAAGGAGGAAGAGAAAAGAAGAAGAGGCTGGGGCTGAGGAACACAGAGACAGAGTGAAGGCGACATTCACTGAAAGGAAGAAAGAAATTTTTTTTCAAAAGGTATTACAGATTATGCCTGGGGCCTTGAGTGAATGCAGCAGAGGCGAAGGCACGAGTCCATTCGCGATGGCCAGTATCAAGCAGGTGAGGGAGGGGTGTGCCTGAGGAAGATGGCAAAGGGCCAAAATGAAAGACTCGAGTGAAATGGGCCACCAGACTGATGGATTCCACGAAATATCTTCAGATAGACACAGAAGAAGTAACAGTAGCAATCTCAATCTCCCTACTGGAGTGGTGGTGGGTTTGGCTGAGTGCAGAGGGAAAAGGTCTGCTCCAGGGAGACCCGGAGTCCAAATATCCGGGATCAAAGGGAAATATACAGAAAATAAAGACAATGAAGGATTTGGAAATAGAGTCGGATACTTACTTTTGCAAAGATCGCGTAGAATGTCTCGGAGGACGAAAAGCAAAGGGGGGGTCGAATGAGGTTGGGGAGTTGAAAAGATCTCAAGGCTTCGAGCTGGTCGATGGAAAGACTCAGCTTGTGGCCTAACCCACTGCCACCACTTCCACGGCGGCAAAACTCCACGACAGATACAGATTCGATTTTCTGGATTAGATATTCTTTAATCTACGGGAAAAGGTCTAATCATTGCATCTATACGCCTTACTCTACTCGGCTGAAGACTTGTTGTCCCTGACGATATACAGGAGTCTTGAAAACACCAGATACTCCCTCCCTCGTAAGAAAATTACGCTAAATATATCACATACTCCCAAATAAGCCGGTAGACATAGGAAACGGGTTGGAAAAATAGAATGCAGGTGGTGGTGGGTGTTGGATGTGTTGAAACCAGCCCAACAACTCAACCTCAAGATTTCAGGATAAGACAGAACCAGGATACTTCGCATGGAGAATAGTACAATTGGCCTGAATGCTTCGTGATAATAATGCGTGCAAGAACATGCATGGGCTTCATACGAACCCAGCACCAGACAAGAGCAATGGTGCGATACAAGACTTCATAAGATCCAAGACTTCAGGGGTCGTGAAGCTGAATCGTCTCGAAGCATAGTTCGTGGTAGAAATGCAGAATTCCTGCAAGAGAAAGAAAGTTCGACAGAATTTTTTATATTCAGCTCATACACTGTTATTTTTTCTGGCTAATTAAGTGACACGAAATTCCAAAGCGGAGCTCTGTGGGATAGCAATGAATCCCACATTGCTCCCCAAAGATTGATATCTACTGGACCAGACAGTACCTGATGAAGATGCTCCAGGCCTTTTATATCAACTTCTCCTTCCTTGTTCTGGGGCGCTGACAGGTTTCGCTGGGTCACTGCCTTCCCCCTATTGTTCTTGTCCAGGTCGGCAAAAGAAGAGCATTTTTTTCTGTTTTGAGAACATATAGCAGATGGGAGAAAGACGATTCTTGTATAAATAGCGTCTACTCATGTTTAAGCCTCAGTGGTGGTCTTCTTCTTCTTCTTGTTCTTGTTAGCCTTGGAGCCAGTCGACTTGGCCAAAGGGCGCTCAAGAATCTTCAGGATCTCCTCATCCTCGATCTTCTTGTCGGTCTGGAACTGCGACAAGTCGGGGGTGACGGGAGCAGCGAGCTTCGTGATACCGTTCTTGGTGATGGCTGGATATATTGTTAGCAAGGACAAAAATAGGGCAATACATGAAATCGATCAAGATTCCATGGCTTGAGTAGACAACGGAGAAAACATACCAATGGTAGTCAACAGACGGGAGACCTGAGCATTATCGGCATCACCGGCGGGCTCGTACTGTCTCAAAACACCGTTACGGACACACTCGACCACACCGACCTTGGCGGACTTCTCGTCATCAAGCTGGCGCAAGCTGAAGGGGAATTGACCGAACTTCTTGACGATCTCAGACAGAGTCTGTCTGGAGCTGGGGCGCTTGAGGATGTAGGTGGTGGTTGTACGACGGTGCAGGGTAGCACGGTGGGGCAAGGTCTTGACCTTGCCGGATCCCAGGGAAAGACCCATCTCAACACCCCAGACTTCACCAACCTCGGGAACACCGTCACCCTTGGTGCTGTTGGCGCTGGGAGACAGGATGATCTTCTTCTCACCCTCAATCTCGTTGCGGTTGAACAACCAACTGGTGGTGTCCTCAACGACATTGACGCCGTAGGCCTTGGCGACCTTCTCAACCAGCTGGATGATCTGGGTCTGGGTGGGAGCCTTCTCAGAAGCAGCCTTCTTCTTCTCTTCTTCGGAACCACCAGCCAAGAGACCAGGGGGAACCATGAGTCTCAGCAGAAGCTCGTTGGCGTAGTGAGTAGCATGGATGAGGTCGGCCTCGCGGCCGGTCACAACGTCCTTGGTGGCAGTCGCGGAAGCGACAACGACCATGTCGCAAACAATGGTTCCGAAGCCATCGATCTGGGCACCGAGCTGGATCTTGGCGATCTCACCGACCTTGAGGACGGTTTCGGCCTCTTGTGCGTCCGACACCAACGGGGTGTATGGGGTCACATAGGAGCTGGGAGAGACGGTTGTCGGGTGGGAGATACCTTTTCGCAGGGAGATATGTTAATTGGGGGAAGGCTTCCTGGGAGACCAATGACGGCGGTAATGACGCACCCTTGGCGATCTTCTTGCCCTTGTAGACCTTGGCAATTTCTTCATCGAGCAGCTCGTCACCCTTCTGGCAGATCTCAACGATCTTGGCTCCCTCCACACATAGTGCTAGAGATAACGATTAGATCATGCAATTCCATCTAAAGGGGGAATGAACACACCTGTGACACCCTCGAGGACTTTGTGAGAGATCTGAGCGGCAGTCTTGTACTTGGTCAAGGTGTCGGGGTTGTTGAGGGTGTAGTCTAGAAACAATCGAGAAAAGAAACAATGTATTAGCTACGGAGAAAGACAAAGCTAGTATAATTCTGAGCCGAAGCAGTTTTTTCTCGTTTTTGAGGCTTGTCCTCGGTCAACAGAGCTCTGAGCTGCCAACCGAGCGCCATGACGATAGAACGAAGTAGGCCGCAAACCCACAAACGTCAGAGCTTTCAAATTGGAGGGGTGAGAATGGGCAGCAGTCAACATACCAACCTCGGGGGTCTGAGCCTGAGTCTCAGCCATTGTGAAGAAATAAGGATGATCGCTCGCACCAGCAGCGAGTGATACTAGTTAATTAAAGATGGAGAAACAAAGAGGTCAAAAAGGAAGTCGATTCGGGGAGGAGAAGAAAATGGGCTCTTGAATTCGAGCTGGAGCAAGTCGTGTGCTTTTGGCGGGGTTTTTTTGGGTGGGGGTGCATATTGGTATTACGGTATCTTACGCGCAGGGTGGAGGTAGGGCTGGCGGTCCCGGCACTACATCATCGTATTGCGTGTATTGGGATTTCAGCAGTGACGTCGTTCTGCTTTGTGGTTGATTCTGGATCTGGACTGGTTTATTCTAGTGTGTTGCGGTATAAGTGGCTGGTTGGAATAGAATCATTTTGATCGAGATGATATATAGAAAATATTATATATATCATATTGTAAATGTTTCTACTGCCTGAGTGTGCATCTTGGTGGCTGATATATAATGGTTGACATCAGCATTGATGGCATCAACAACATCATAGATTTCAGATTTCCACTCATTCTCCATATAGAACCAGTTCATGCCATTTAAAAAATGTCCAGAGTAATTTTAATAAGTCATACGACCAACCAGTGAGGAGATGCTGTCCAATCACATGCCATGTATTGGCTTCTCCTCATCTGCGTCGTATTCCACATGGCCGGTGGTTCTTCATGCTTACAATGCATCAACACTCATCGCACTTCGTACATATCCTTAGCTGTCTACATAATGAAGTCGACTTCAGAGCTGCCCATCCGTATCCTGACCCATAACATTCGATATGCGACCTCATCGCCGTTTAAAGGAGAACTGCCATGGGAAGATCGCAGGCAACACCTCATCAATGAGCTGCAGTACAATACGCGAAACCAAGATGCCTTCATCTGCCTACAGGAGGCTCTTCATCCTCAGCTTCTTGACGTCCTCTCTGGACTAAACCACACTACCATCACGAAAAATCCACCCTGGGAATATATTGGAGTTGGTAGGGATGATGGCAAAGAGGCCGGCGAATACTCTCCTATATTATACCGTCCTTCAGTTTGGCAGCTTGGACACTGGGAAACCGTCTGGCTATCGGAAACGCCCCAAGTGCCCTCCAAGAGCTGGGATGCTTCATCGATTCGCATCGTCACCATTGGTGTGTTCACTCACCGTGCCAGCCACCAAACTATCCTTGCAATGAACACCCACCTGGACGATCAAGGATCCCATTCCCGACTCCAAGCTGCACACATCATTCTCAAGAAGATCCACGACTACAAGACGGGTGAACTGGGAGATCACATTGCAGGTATCTTCCTTGCTGGGGATTTGAACAGCGAAGTGACCCAAGAAGCGTATATGGCCTTGACGACACCTGAATCACCCCTGGTCGACGCGGGGGAACTGGTGAGCCCAAAGGAGCATTATGGCAACCAGATCACGTATACCGGGTTTGGGTATGAGGAAGAACCCCCTTCACGCATTGACTACATTTTCCTAGGCCCTGGGCGCAACAAGGTTCTTGCCAGCGGCACTCAGCCATGGAAGGTCGAAGGGTATGCAGTGCTGGCGAATCGGTTTGACGACGGAGTGCTCAACTCGGACCATCGAGCGGTCATCACGGATGTTGCGTTAGTAAACTAGATAGCTTTGATCAGTTTCGAGTCAGTATATAGGGAGAATGTTGATCTTCTGATGCTGCGATGCTGTGTTGGACATCAGCGTTGGTGGAGGAAATCGGAATGATCGCGGTATGCCAAGCGCTACCAGTGATACCGATTGGGGTATTAATACGGAGCTAGTGTAATATACCATCCCATAGGAGGAATACACCCAGTCACATGACACCGGGATGGAGGATAGCCACCGGATGTGGAAAGAATACCGTACGAGACAGTACAATATTACACACACCATACGGTAACTTTGGTATGGCATCGCAATCCCACCAGAAGAACAGGAGCAAAAGAAGCATCGCGATGGCTTCAAAAAGACCTCAGAAAGTGTCCCAAAGCAGTCCCGCACTGTCCGGCCTCCGCAGTGCTGCTGGCTTGTCTCTGCCTCCATCCCGACACCTCCCTCTGCTTTCCAGACGGAAACGGACACACACTTGTAACGGCTGTTCGCCTGTGCCCAGCGTTCTTTTCTCTCTTTCTCTCTCGCCTTTCTTTTCTCCTCCCCTTCTTCTCCTCCAGAGGAGATAGAGAAACTCGCCAGACGCAACGCAAAAGGACCACTTTTGATGGTCGATTTGAAACATCTAGGGGGAGAATAGAAACTGATTCCCAGCAGCGAGAGAGAGACAAATTACTCGTCGACCGACTGTCGTTCCCCGGTGCACCGTCAGCTGATTAGCCGCTCTCTTCCGCGTTTCTCCCTTAATCTTTCGACTCGCTGACGCTGTCCGGTTCTCGGCAGATTATTCTGGAGAATAATTAGAGAAATACGGTGATAGACAGCCTGCCTGAGCGTTACTGAGAGCCTCACAGACACTGAGAGAGACCAGTCCGGCTCAGAGACCCATCCAGTCCTTCGTTTTGCCCTGGAACCCTCTCGTTGGCGTCCCCCGATCTTCCTGACCAACGCCTGTCTGCCTGGTCTGTTTCTTATTTTTGTGCTTGTTGGTTTTGGTATGTTTCTTTCTTATGCTATCCTCTTCCTATTATTATTATCGTCGTCATCATGTCGCCCTTTTCCCCTTCCACTCTCCCATCCTCTCCCCTCCCCTCCACTATCCCACTAGCCTCTCATTGACCACGCATCACGCCTCATCGTCGTGGCGGGTTCGCGACACGTGCTTGTTGCGATGCGTGTGTCGCATCTCCCGGTCGCATGCGCTTTCGCGTCCGTCGCAGTACATGTCGTATGTGGACGATGTGGGTGTCATTGAGTTATGACTGACCTGGGTATGTCGTGGTGCTTAGGTCCCCTTAAGGATGCTGTCGTAACCATTTTGGTTGTCATCCTTGTCCGTCGAGTGCCACTCCGAACGCGATTCCCTCCCCGCGAGTGACACCCAACCCTTTTTCCGAAGAAGTAAACCAGTAAAGAAGCAACCTGCCCTGAACCATGCCCTTTCCCGATCCTGCTGGCAGTTCGTTGCATCCGGAGCAGCCCTCTCATGACCCCCAAGCCGACGGTCTTTCTGGCGTCCCGGATGCCAGCGCAGACTACAACGGGGAAGCTTCCGATGCTTTCACGGACCAAGGCGCAAATGCCGGACCGGTGCCAGATGCGATAGCAGAGGGGAAACAGAACGCCAAAGCCGTCCTGGCAGCTTCGGGGGTACCTGTCTCTGCAGAATCTAGCAACGACGCGTCCAATGGCAAGGCGTCGCCCTCTTCCCCGTCGAATGGTGCAAATGGTTCAGCCTCAAGTAGAAAACGATCCCGTGATGGTTCCGTCCTCCGGCCCTCTTCTCCCACTGAAACCTTAGCTGTGCGCGTCCGAGAAACACCTACAGATAAGATCCTGCTGGAGCAATATGTCAACCGGGAGTTTCAACACTCGGCTTTAACCGTATGGCACAACCCAAGCCAAGACTTGCAGCAACAGAAGCGCGCCGAACGAGATTATTTCCTGACTTTGCGACGGGAAAACCATTTGAACCCGGCAGCCCTGTACGGTACTGGATATGAAGGTTTCGGGAACGCGCGAACCGATCTACGAAACCAGCACCCTCAATTATTGTATCCGTCCAACCGACGTCGTCCCGGATCTAGGAAGACCAGAGAACTGCGGATTTCACGCAAAGACCTGAAGACACAAAATGAACAGGTGGAAGACCTAGTACCCATTCGGTTAGATATCGACTGGGAAAAGATAAAGATCCGCGATACATTTACCTGGAACCTCCACGACCGTGTCGTGTCCCCCGATCTGTTCGCCGAGAAGATGGTGGAGGACATGGGCCTCCCCCTCGAAACTTGTATTCCTTTGATACGAATGATTTCGCAAAATATCCAGGAGCAATTATCAGACTACTACCCTCAAATTTTCATGGAAGAAGAGGCTCTCGACCCAGAGCTACCATACAGTGCTTACAAGAACGACGAAATGCGCATTTTGGTCAAGCTGAACATCACCATTGGCCAGCATACGCTGATCGACCAGTTCGAATGGGACATGAATGACCCTACCAATTCGCCCGAAGAGTTTGCGGCGCGCATGACCGATGACCTTTCCCTCTCAGGCGAATTCACAACCGCAATTGCTCACTCAATCCGTGAACAATCGCAACTCTTCACCAAATCTCTCTACATTCTCTCCCATCCATTCGACGGCCGCCCAATTGACGACCCAGATCTCAAAACCTCATTCCTTCCTACACCTCTATTGTCTCCTTTCCGACCATTCCAAGCCGCAAAAGAATTTACACCGTATTTGTACGAATTAAACGAGGCAGAGCTAGAGCGCACAGAAGTGTCCATATCCAGAGAACAACGCCGGCAAAAGCGGTCTGTCAATCGTCGTGGTGGTCCAGCCTTACCGGACCTGAAGGACCGCCAACGGACCATTCGAACAATGCTTGTGTCGTCTGTCATTCCCAACACCGCTTCTTCCGTCGAGGAAAGCAATCTGTTCAAAAGATCTGGCTCGAGTCGGCATAGGCGTTCTGCTGTTGGACAGCGGGATATTGGCGATGAGTCGGACGAGTCGGACAGTGACGACTCGTCAATCACAGGATCCCCAGCAATCGGTCCTAATTTGGCTCAAGGCACTGCACGTACGAGGGGCATGAGAGGGGCCGCAACTGCAGCCCACGCTGCTCTACGAGCCAATCTAGGTCATTCCGCAACCCCCGAACCTCTCCACGAAGGCAGAGTTTCTGCACGACGACGGGACTACAGAGAAGAAAGCATTGAGGAGCCCGAAAAGCTCGTCGTGAAACTCAGGATCTCACCTCACAAATTCCGTCAATACCTAACACATGGACTTCAATCGGCTCTCGCCCTCTCAAAACATACGCCTGGGCCGCAACCATCGCAACGTGGCACTCCTCAGGCCCAGACACCAACATTGAGCTCCATGGCACCACCATCTCACCCTCAACCGCACGTTCGGGTGCCTAGCGCCAGCGCGGCATCGCAGTCACCTGTCCCTCCACAACAGCTTGGTGCCCTCGATGCACCCCACCCCCCTCAACCGGGTGTACCTGGGGTAAGTCTTTCTTTTTTATTGTTCGGAAATATCCGAGAATGATCTAAATGCCGGAAATGAACATTGAGTACTAACAATGTATTATAGCCACCACCCCCAAGCTGGCTTGCCGCAGGCCTTGCGCGTTTAAAGCGGTCATACCCAAACGACTCGTTCGAGGGTGTGATGCGATACACCGCTGTCGACACGGAAACCATGCTACCGGTTGCCAACGCAAACAGCCAGCCCGGGCATAAGCTGAAATACCAATACTTACCTCGGATCCGCTGCCACGATTGCCCCGGCAAGTTGTACACTCCCGGCCCCAACATGACCGTGGACAACTTCGAAGTCCATCTCCGGAACCGACAACACAAAGAGCGCGTGGAGGAAAGACTCTCCAAGAGCGCTGCTGGTGGCGGCAGCGCATCATAGTCCTATGTTATGAGTTAAATGACGGAGTAGTTTTCAATCCTCTCTACTACCTCCCATCTATGTATTCTTTTTTTCCCTCTCTGTTTTCTTGGTTTGGTGTATAGGATTCCATTGTTCGAGCGGATGATGTGTGTTTTTTTTCTTTTTCTTTTTTCTTTTTTCTTTTCTCTCGAGAGACTATTTCCCTTTTACTTCGATTGTGTTCAATACTCTAGTGAGATTGGGTTCTCTCTTTTGGAGGGCGTAAATACATGATCCCTTATTCAGGATCGATTGTCTTTGATCTTCTACTTTTTCCCCCACTTTTTTACTTGTGTGGCCTTCTGGTCATTTACATTGGATTCTAATCAAGCATAGACTAAGAGATGAATATGAATAATGATGACATGGGATAAAAATGGAAAAAATCATGAGAAAGTCTGATAGTTCGATAGCTCAAGTAAAACGGGCTATATACACAAACGAAACAACCTACATGAAGAGAGAGAAACAGATATGAAACCGAAACAAGAAACAGACTGATATTTCCGAATTGTAAGATAGATTCTGCAGAGACAAAAAAAAAAAAAAAAAAGCGCAAGACAACATGGCATAACATGATGATATCGAGAAGAGGAAGAAATTTGGCACAGAAAAGAAAAAAGAAGAAAATGGGTATACAATTCAATTTAACACCGTATGATAAGAAACAGAGATGGAAGAGATGGGAGATATTTCTTCCTCGACATAGACACACAAGCAGATAGACACTTACAATTGGAAGACAGGGGGAAAAGAGAAACTGGATCGTAGAGTCCCGAACAACGATTTCAGTACACAGACACATATCATGACACTCGCCTCCCAGGGAGTTTGGAGGTGACAGGTAAGAAAGGGGGAAAAAATAACTCCATCCATATATCAATCACATCACACATTCTTATTTATCCTCTTCGAGAGGATCGTCTCGAGGGGAGAGTCGCCGTCTTCTCGTTACGTTTGTTCTTGCCTCCTTTTGCTGCGGCTTTTTTGGTCTTCGGGGCTGGTGGTGGTGTAGCTTCTTGCTCTTGTTCCTCTTCCTCTTCTGCATTTTCTGATTCCTCATTGTCCTTTGGCTGGTCTTCGTTTTCAGACTCTTTTCCGGGCCCCTCTTGGTCTGAGGGATCCTCCACTTCACTCAGTTCACTGAGTTCGCTCTCTTCGTCTTCTTTCTCCTCCTCTTGTGGTGGTACCTTTTCCTCCCATTCATCCATCTCCATGTCATCTTCATCACTGTCCCGGTCGGCATAACTGACCCTCCTGCTCTTTGTGCCTCTGCTACTACGTCTTCGTGCAGATGCCGACACATCTTCGTCAGCGGCACCTCCATCCGACGACCAACCATCCTCATTCTTCTTCTTTTTCTTAGGTGTCTTGGATGCAGCAGCACCAGAGGAAGACCTCTTCCGGGGACGCGAGGGTGCTTTCCCTTTATCCTTCTTTGCCTTCTTGGTCGTGCTTGCATCCCCATTTGTGCCAAGGGACTCGGGCTTTCTCTTCTTCGCAGCTCCCTGGCCTTGTGAGCCGCCCTTCGATCTCATCGCAGACCGAACAACACGATCCAAGATGTCATCCATGTCATCAGGGAGGAAGTTCTTCTCAGCAACTTCCTGTGCTTCCCGGTGGCTATTCATTTGAGCGAAAATCGAGGCAGACACTCCCATCTTTCCGGGATAGGTCTGAAGAATGTTGGTACCGCCAGCTCCTCCGCCAAACTTGTGCTGCTGGGAGTAAATATCCGCAAATCGGCGGATTGTTGATTGTGCCAGGTCCGAAAGAGTATGAAGACGGGTGGAAACCTCATCGGATTTATTAATGCCGTCTCGTGCCTGCTTGACACGCTGTGCGACATGGAAGATCAATGACAGGTTGTGCTCGTTGGCTACAGCGGTAAGGTAGAAGAGAATATACCGTGCGAAGTCTGCCAGGTCGCCGAGTTTCGTCGACTCATCCAAGTCGTCAGATGGGTAATCGGGGTGGTAGGCAAGGAGAGATAGAAGGCGTGAGAACATCGACTCCAGATATGTCTGGTCGGCCTTGTCCCCAGTAGCTTGACCCTGTTGTGAGAACCATGCTGCGCGAGACCGCAGCCATGTGAGGGTGCTGTCCCTCAGGCTCGCGTTGGGCTCGAATGCAAGCAGGAAAGGAATGGTGTACCAACGCTGGCCCAAATAGGATTTCTGTACAAGTTTCTTTTTGATCTGGTTGATAAAACCACTTCGCACTGCTGCGATTGGGTCCTGAGCTACCAAAGCAATCAAGTTGAAATCACCAGGTGTTAGCAATGGCTCACAGAGCTTGTGGGATGCACAGAGCTTGAGCAGAGATTTTGCAGCCAGGAGCCGCAGCCGCGGCTTCTGTGCAGCTGGCGTGTCTTTCTTCTTTGACAGCTCGCCCTCACCAATCACAAGCTTGTTCAAGGTGCTGAAAACGGGATCAGCGTGGGCCCGGAAGTCAGCCTCATTGTCTGAGCCATCCTTAGCACGGAGACGGTTGACGATGATCTTGAGTGCCCATTCCTTAGCAATGGTCTCTTCATCCGCAGAGTCTGACCATGTGTAATCAGCGTCCGGTTGCGGGGAACGGTTCGTGAGCAGGATTTGGTTTATAGCTATGGATATGATGGCATCGCTCTCTTCATCCGCTTCTCTTGGGCAAAGGAGGCTCAGCTGAGACAGAGCAGCCAACTTGGTGAGGAAGCGGTCAGATCCGTAGGTCCATTTCGAGACGCATTTATGGATCAAATCCTTCGCGTACATCTCCTTTTTATCCGCGGTGGCAATGAGAATCGAGACGGCATGCTTGGCGGCACGAGGCGATGTGCTGTAGAGGGCGTAGTTTGTGAGAGCCTGGAAAAATTTGCGTTCCTTAGGAAGCTTCTCTGGAAGTTTCTTTGCAAATCCAGAGCAAGCCTTCAGGATCTCCTCAGTGCCAGCATCGTTGCCTGTAGCAGCCTTGGGTGCTCTCGATTCCAGATCCTTGCACATCTCCTGGACTTGCGCTTCCAACACTTCCGGGTTCCAGTTGGAGATCTCCCGCAAAATCTCATGAGCGGCGTTTGCCAATCCGCTCTCGCCCGACCTTGAGAGACTCATAATTGCGGGAATGTGACTTCTGTTGAAAATGAGGGAACTGGCACGGTACAGAAGTGGCGTGAGGGTCTCGAGCAAAGGAGTGTTGTTCGCACTTTGAATTCTTCTTGCAAGCTCCTTGATGGCCTTGATCACAGTGCGATAATCACTGGTAGCAGCCATCGCAAAACGAACAAGTTGATAGCCTCGACGATCATGGACCTTGGCGAATTTCCACAAGTCTGCGGATGCGCGCGATGCATCAGGGAAGGTCTTTGCCAAAGTATCAATCACGCGACTGAGTTTGGTCTTAATTTGATCCTCGTTTTCTTCCATCACGCCGCCCTTTTCGCTAGTTAGTACTGTACAAAGTTGTGGGGAAACAAAAGACTCTTTATTCCAATCCAAACTTACATTATAATCCTCACAGGCCTGTAGATAGACAGTCATAATTGTCCTTATAGACAATTGCCGACGCTGCGTCGCGAATAGAACCTTTTTGGCCTTCTCGTCTAGCCCTGCAAGCAAGGTGAGGATTCGACGGACACGGATTTTATCAACGTCTGTTTCATTCTCGGCCTCTGAGCCTTGGATTCCTTGTTTTTGTGATTGACTTGAGCCACTTCGGGACAGCTTGGCTTTGATCGGAGGGTAGCTGAGCGGCAGTAACAGTTCGAAGAGCACGCGATCGATAAGCACGTGGATGTCCGGGTCATTGGTGTAGTAGGCATCGAAGATCTTCGATGGAGCGTCCTTGAGCAGAGAGGTGACCTGCTCATTGTTCTGCTCAATCTCGCCAGCTGCAACAGCCCAAGTCCGAGCCAGAGTCTTCATCGCACGCTCACGTACCAGCGGCTTCCGGTCCTTGACTCGTTCCGCGAGAATGGAGAGGACGGAGTCTGGGGATGAGAAGTCGCCATTGGCCCCCAGTTTGTGGACGACATGAGACAAACCGAAGGAACCGACTGCATCAACAGCTGCCACTCGAACCTTTTCGTCAGCATCTCGAAGCATAGATCCCAAGTTCTTAATAAGGGTCTGCTCCTCGTTGTCACTCAAGCCCGAGCCCCCAGCAGATGTTACGAGAATTCGTCCAATGACAGTCACCCAAGCCGCTCGGACTGAGGCAGACTTGTCTAAACGCCGACTCAGGAAGCTCTCATATGTAGAAGAATGCGCCTGCGAAAATGGTTTCGGGGACAGTGGAGTGAGGAGAATGTTTGGCTGAGGAAGAAGTTGGGAATATTCCGCCAGAGCGACGGGTGGGTAGGCAGCAGGATCCATTTGGGGAGGAGGGGGTGGTCCAGCAACCCCGATACCAGCCGTAAGATCACCAATGGTCTGTGTTGCCAACAGGCGCAAAGGTATCGATTCCGCCGATAATTCCGCTTCCAGCTGGGGAACCACGTTCTGCAATACCTCCGGACAGGCTCTCCAGAGCTCCCGAATTAGCCGGTGAGCCTTGCCCAACTCCTTAAGGTCTTCTCCTTCCTCATCGGAATCGTCTAGGTTGGGTCTCCGGCTCGAAGATTTCGAGCCATTCGCCCCGCTCGAGGTTGCGGAGGCATCGATGATAACATTGTTGAAATACTGACTGATGTGGCTGGTCATCCTCTCCGGGCATGCTTGGCAAATCGCCTTGGCCATGTTGTAAGCGGCAGGGTAGTCCTTCAGAAGTAGGGTGCCTTGTTTGGCATCCACCGGCGCATCCGCCTTCTTGCCTTTCCTGTTAGGTTGCTCGATAATGCGGGGGTCAACTCGTAGGAATTGTGCCACGATAATATCCACGACATCGGGCGCGAGAACGGGCGACTCATCGATGACCGTTACGAGGAGCCGGGTCATGTCGAACTCGACATTTTTAGCCACCTCTTCGCCCGTAGAAGATTTGGAGGAGCCAGAGACGATGTCAAAGCAGCTGGTGAAAAGAGGGATGATCAGAGAGTCCGGATGGTCAAGATCCGTCATAAGCACGACACTCTTCACTTCTGCTAGCGAATTCAAGACGTAAATATGCTGGGCATTGTAGGTGTTGGAAGGGTCTGCCAGAGCGGGGACAATAGAGGATACGATGCACGTAAAGATATCCTATTCTCCAACAGTTAGTTCCGTCATAACCACCATCATCAATTAAGTGAGGTCGAATCTCCATCTCGACGTTGGCAAGCGCACCTTGAGCTGATTACCGGTGAAGGGCGCGTCGGGAGCGCAAAGGCGCAAGACATCCACAATACAACACGTCGCCCAAGCTCTCACGCCCTTATCCTTGTGTGCCAGCAGATGAGCGCTGGCAAGCTCCTGCGAAACCTTGGTGAGAGAATTCGGGTCGATCTCTTCCTGCTCCAACTTGCGAAGCTCCTGCGCGAGGGTCTGCAAGCGTTGCAACAAATCTGCAATGGGAATAGCTGATCGGCCCACGCGCCAGGAAAGCGATTCATTGAATTGAAGGCTGCGAAGGTCTCCGGGCGCCTCTTCGGGCTCCACGACCTCCGTCGCAGTGGAGGGACCTTGACGAGTGCGCGAAGGCATCGTGGACGAAGCGCGGGGAAGCCGAAGGTGAGGGTTGGAACTCAGCACACCATGCGAGGAATCCAATCGAAAAAGACAGGAAAGGAAATGGGAAAAGTATAATATAAAATTTAATGTGAAAAGAAGATGAGACGAGCGAGGGGGAGAGGAGGAGGAGCAAAAGCGAGGAGGGGAAGAGATAGAGAGAGAGCGAGCGAGGCGAGTTGGAGCAATAATCAACGGAACTTGAGCCGTCATGCTATTGACCGCCTCCAACGACCGCACGGGACGCGTCGCAGTAGCGTGTTTTGGCTTTTATTTTATTTTTAACGGCACTATATAGCAGATTAATTTGGGGCTTTGTTTTAATTATAATTATTTGAATAATTTCAATTGAATAGTTCAGTGAGATCATGCAACTATCCATTATCTCATCTATCATGCAGGGATGTACATGGATGATTGCTATCTAAAGTAAACGACAACGCCCAGGGTATGTATGCAGAAGAACTTTTTTGTCCAAGTAAACATTATATCGTAGCGGAATCACGCTGTTTATGATGCTGAAAACAACCGATGAATCGCAGGAAGATGGGGGATATCTATAGGAGAAAGACAATGTGTAGGAAATTAGAACTTGGGCGAGAATTTGCTCATGGCCCGGATCTTGCTGCCGTAGAAGAAGAAGGCAACCGGGATGGGAATCATGGCAACTGTGATGAACCCAAGCAGACTGGATGCCCAGTCCACGCCCAGCTTGTGGTACATCTGGACTGCAAATAGAGGGAATGAACCTCCCAGGCTACTTCGAACCAGGGTGTTGGCAGCGATGGCCGAGTTGGCAAACATCATGTAGCAATCAATGATGTAATTGAGTCCCTGCATGAAAATAACAAGGATACCCATGCCGATAGGGATGCCTGCAATCACCTGCGGCACCCAGGAGATGCTAGGGTCCGAGGTCCAGCCAAACCAGAAGAGGCCGATGGGCAACAGAACAGATGCAATCATCATCGGCACCAGACGCTCCTCAGGCACCACCTTGCCGTGCTTGGCCAGCTTGCGAGCGAAGCGGGTCTTGGTCTGCCAGATAATTAATGCCACACCACAGAACACACCAACCAAGATGCCAACGAACGGTAGCCCGGCGATACCCTCATTGGTCCAGCCTCGAACCTCCTGGAAGGAAACTGGGTAGGCTTCGAAAAAGAGGTACAGAATGCCGTAGACCAGGGCCAGATAGAGGGTGATGAGAAGTAAAATTGGCTCAAGGAACAACATTTGAATCGGACGCAGTAGGTATTTCCAGACAATGTCAGAGGCGGTAGGCCGGTGTTCGTCAAGGAAAGAGTGGTACGCCCAGTTGCGAGTCTCCCGGCGAAGGCGAGCGGCGCGTCGCTGCAGGAGCACAGGGCCATAGGTTTCAGGGACAATGACCAAGGCAATCAGGCCGAAGAACGAAGAAGCGATCAGGGTGATCCAGGCAGTCCATCGCCATCCGAGATACGAATCGGTGATAAATCCACCAACAATAGGACCTGGAACATGTTAGATGAGCCACGATAGAATATTTGAGAAAGTAACGCACCAAGTACTGGACCAACAAAGGTTGCCGCAGAGAACATAGCAATAGCAATAGCACGGTCAACCGGGTCCCAGAAATCAGCCATGGCACCACCGACGACCGCAAGAGGAGAGCAGCCGAAGACTCCCAGCAAGAAACGGCACAGCATAATCGTTTCGATATTCTGTGCAACAGCAACAGGAATTTGGAAAATTGCAAACACAGCGTATCCCGAGAACAAGGGGATCTTGCGTCCATAGAGCTCAGAAAGAGGCGACCATACCAGCGGGCCCAATGCGAAACCGAAAACCACCAGACTAGTCGCGAGAGTCATCACCTCAGTCGAAACACCGAATTCCTTGGAGGTGACCACCGTAGCTGTTGAGAAAACACTACTCGCGAAGGTAATCCACATGGTCATGAAGGACAAAGTCATGGTAACAACCCACTTTCTCCAAACCGGCATGTTCTGAGGGTGCTCGGGGTCGTTTGGCCCATCCCAATCCACCAAATTGGGATCTTTCTCGGGCCCCTTCTCCGGTGTTTCGACATCTTGGTCACCCTTCTCTAGATCCTTGTCCTCGGAGCTGTTAGAGCGAGGTTCATTTTCATCCATGGCATCAATGCCTTCAGAGTTCAGGGCATTTGGTGGAACCTCGGGCGATTTCACTGCAGGCTGGTCCCCAAGACTGATACGAGGCGTAGTAACGTTCGACTCGAATGATGCCGCATTTTGGATTGCGGTACCCATGTTTAAATTGTTGTGTTCACAGTGACGCAACCGAAGATGGCGGGGTTTCTCTTCGGGTAGTGCCGTAATAGGAAACCGATATCAAGCTTCTAAGAGCAGAGCAGAAGTTGTATCTGATTGTGAGGGGGGTAAAATAAAATATGCTTTTATGAGGTCAATGAGCCAGACCCCAGGTGGGATCTAAAAAGCTTTTAAACCCACCAACCTGTTGGATGGGTGGGCCTTCGAGAAGAAGAGATTGAACGGAAATAAAATGGCGGACCGAAGCACATTGACCGACACGGAGACGGAGTTAAGGGACCCATCAGACTCGCAGGCGATTGCAACAGCCTTGCATATCACGTCCAGGGCACAGGGCAGCAATTCTCCACTCTCCGGGTAGAAATCTTAAAAGGTCGCCAGAAACCTAAGGCCGACCCCCGATATGCACGCCGTATGATTAATCACTGATTGATAGAAATGACTCGAACAGACTCTCGGCGGGAACACTAAGGAAGAATTCGAACGAATGGCGCCATCTAAGAGCGAGTCATATCCCCGATCAGATGGCGAATTATTGGCACAGCCAGGAAAGAAGTCGCACATATACAGTCATCAAAAGCGGGCAGAGCAGAGTCTGGCAAAGTTGCAAGGGAAAGAAAGCTTAGCCTATCGCTCCTCGGACATTCCGAAACGCGAGGGGCCGACAGCAGCTGAGCGGGCGATTAATTTTTGGACACTGACACATCGTCCATTATCATTGCTAATAGCGACGGATTCTTAGCACAATTAGCCCCGGGTGACGGACGGAGACCATTCCCCTATTCGAGCTCTTATCCCTAGGTTGACGGTGGATTCCTCTGGCTATCGAAAACGTCGGCATGTAGAGGGCTGAACGAGTCCCGAATTAGAGGGGCAATGTTGCTTCCCAACTTTCCATTTTTAATCTCTGTCACTTTATCTATTATGGTGTTTGGAGTATCTTTGGCAACGATCTTATGTTCTTTCTTTTTTTCTTTTCTTTTTTTTTTTTTTTTCTCTTGCCATGCCGATAACCGAGTCCATTTGGCGGTATTCTGGACTTCGTAAGCCTGCATGTCGACAAGTATCGCATCAGCAGTTTTCAGTCATCAGGACGGGGTACATATGCCACGTGGGTATTGTGTGTTAAAAACTCATTGAAAAGAATCTGGGAAGTCCAGAATGTTATCATTCTCTGAGTTCTGGAGCTCTTTATTGGCTTTTTTCTTTTGATCCACAGTGAGCCCACCAGAATTAGACCAAACCGTGGATGCTGCTGAAGAAACCAAACGGTCACGTGGTATCCGATGGCTAGAAGTAGTATAGCGTGGAATGGCATAGTATCACTGCTTCTTTTCACCACCTGCTCTGTATCTCACTTCAACCCATCTTCCAGCGCGTATCCACCACGGTCGACTGGGTAATAATACGGGGAAAGAATGTGGGAAACGGGAAGGACTGGGGTAGTGGATTCGAGCCTATCAGTGCCGTTCTAGATCCTATTCCACCGTCAACTATATATAAACAGACTGTGTCCATGCAAGAGATGTACAACCTCAAGAGTCTTTACAAACCATTTCCAACGCTCAAGAGGAGCAGGCTGAAAAATCTCCAGCACTGACTATAGATGCATGAGTGGTGACAACACGTAAGCACACATGGGAGCTACTGCTTGCGAGATGCAGTATATGTCGAACGCAAGGCTGCCGGTATTCCAAAACCCATGAGGCTATGAGGTTCTCTTTAGGCTTCACCCGGGTTGATAAACGCGATGAACGACGTATGAGGTGATGTGGAATTATCCGTCCATGCATCTGATATGCAATGTATTATGCAGTGTTACTCTATACCTACTAGTACATGATTATTATTAGGACAACTACACCGTACGTACGCTATCCCTCCCATTTCTTAAGCACTGTTGGTGTTCTGCTATTGAATTAGATTACCTAGTGCAAGAGCATGGAGCCTATTTCAGGTGAGTATTTGATTTCATATAAGCGATATGCAAAGACGATAGATCTATAGAGGGAAAGGTAGACATTGAATATTATAGACCTGCTAAACAAGGACGTTATGAAAACCGCCCATCCAAGAGAATCCATACCCATTCCAAATCACTGGATAACCTGAATCTTCGAGCCAGATCCTGCTGACGAAAAATCAATGCTATGTCAACGCCCGAATGTATGCTTCGCCCTTCAGATCCAAGTAAATCGCTACAAAACGCCGTCAAATGCTATGGTCCGTACTATTATCATGGACTTCGACAAGTACCATCCATATCCCCATCTTTCTTTTGTATCAAGGCCTCGATCGCTCTCTGCACTTCGTCTTTCGCAGACTTCTCCAGATCGGCTCTAGTGCCAGCCCCGAGTGACTCGGCTTCACCCACTTGTTCGTAGAACATTCGGGAAATGTTTCGATTGATCTCCGTGTATTCTTCTTTAGAGACAACTTTTGTACGATAGTAGGGTTTCAGCGCTGTCCCCACCACTTTTTGTATGTCGGATTTCACTGTCGATGATGGCCCAGAACGGCTGGGCGAATTGTCGGCCGACCGCGCGACCATCAACCGGGCTGATGTTCGAGAAATCCGCGGCCGCGAGCGACCTTCCGAGCGGGAGGGCGTATGATCTTTGGCATTTTGAGCAGAGCCTGACGGCGAGACATCGGGTGAAAAAGATGGAGATGAATGGTTGTTAGGAGGCGTCAGTTGGATTGGAGACACAGGCCTGCCCCTGAGATGTGGAGGCGGTGTCGCAGAGGATAAAAGGGGGGATGAGCGATTGGATGGGGCAGGTGATATCGACGGAGACGAGGGACCAGGCGACGTATGTTCAGTCGGGGCATGTGATGCCTGAGCGGAAGGTCCATTTGAAATTGAGGCATCGTCGACCTCTTTCAAAAGCGATTGTAGGAAGCTAGGCTCACTTGAGCTTTCGGCATTGATTCGAGCAGAAGCGTTGACACCAGCAGATCTTGAAGATTCGCCATTTTGCATAGCCAGAGCTGCCAGCTCCTGGGGCCTACGGGTTCGTGGCCGCTTTAGCTTCCGTTCCGGTTCAGAAGGTTCAGGCGATGGAGACATTGTTGGCTCTTTTCGCTTCCTCGCTGCACTTGGGTTGCTTTCAATCTCACGAGCTCGTTCGAAAGCGTTCCATGCCCTCATCTCCTCAAGGGATTCGGGTTCGGGTGTTGGTACCCTAGGTGGACGTGGCCGCGACGGTCGCGGGGCCTCGATATCGAGGAGAGCAGCAGTGTCTCTGAATCGATTGCTGCCTCCCTGCCGCTCCGCAACTTCGAACCGGCGTTGCCAGGCGCGAAACTCTCGTTGATTGGCTTCTTCTCGCCGTTGTTGTTGCCTAGCACGCTCCGCAGCCCTGTCATCATCAAAGGGAAAGTCGAGATCCAGGTTGAGATGATCCCAGACAGACTGCCACACCCGAGCCCAGTGGAGGGAGTTCATTTGATTTCTGTTCTGTTGGCTCCGCTGTTGTGCCCTCGTACGACGGCCTCGTCGGTCCTGAGGTCGCGATGATCTTGCTGATGCATCGGATGAAGCTCCGATAGCACGCTGTGTCTCGCACCGGGCACAATACCAAGACCCTGATGGGATCTCATCCAAACCAAGACAGTAGGTATGCGAAGGAGCATCGCAGCCATCACAAAGGAGGAGTAGCTCTTCATTCTCTGCATCTCCACAGATTGGACAGGGTTGGAACTCGGCAAGATCATCATCTACATACTCTATTATCATCGAGGGATCGACGTCCGGTATTTGGACTCGGTCCTCGACGGAGTATGACGAAAGCACGGGTCCTGTAAAAAGGGGGGAACAACTAGTCAGCATATATTCATGATACGCGTTCGCATCCTAATTTTCCTCTCAAAACAAAAGCTTTATATCAAACGGTGATGAACGTACCTCCAAGTCGCTCAGTGAGCTCAACGACGTTGAAGCTGCGGCGACATATGGGACAGCTGTTGGCTCGTTCTACCCATGGTTTCAAACAGTTATTATGTAGGATATGACCACAGGGGAGCAACTGGGCGATTTGACCTGCATCCTCATCGCCATCCACGCCATCTGCCTTGATCGAAAGATCGTTCGACTTGCCATCACCATCCAGGTCAGGTCTTGGCACGGGCTCGGCGGAGGCGGCAAGAGGATCGCTGGCGCTTTCGCCAAGGTCTCCTAAACACACGATACAAGTGTCGGACATGAACAAAGGAAGATGTGCCAGAATTGTCTGCAGAAGAACTGTGAGAAGGCATGAAGAGCAGCTGGCAGAGAGGAGTGGAAGAGTAGAAGAAGGAGAAGGAGAGAGCAAGTTGAGCAGGCCGAGCGAGTGTGGGGAGGCTTTAAGGTGGACCTAAAGTCCGGTCTAACGCAAAACAGTCATGGGTGGAAACGTGACCTGCCGTACGCGAGGACGAATCAGCGGCCAGCAAATCCGTAATTCTGACCTACGGCGACGATAAAGCCATGGCGGTGACAAAGCCGAGGAGAATGCCATGCCCTTGCAGCTGGACAGAATGGACATGCCCCTCTTCGGCCATGAGATTGCCTGTGCGACAGCAGGCACTTGGGTTTCTAGGGGAAAATGGGGGGAAACGGGGCTGGAAACCGGACACAAGAGAACACAAAGCGTGTGGTCATCGTCCACCTAAGACATTGACGCAGCTGCTAGGCAGGGAATCGAGACTACAGACTACGTTATTGACACTTTGCAGGAGAACCATTTCGATAGCAATGACAAGAGCGCGTCGCAATCTATCAGAATTTTATCCAGCCGTGCCAGTACTTGATCTGATGATCGCGCTGTCTGATCACCTCGAGCTGCTCCATCTTACAAAGGCAATCTGCAGCTGACGACAGCCCGCTTCTTCAAATTGTTATGCCATGCCAGGATGGCATTGGCTTAAACTGTCATATGCACGCCGTAAGCCCGCCCCCTTTTGGCCTTTCGAGGTAACTCGTTGAACCAAAGGTGTCTGCGGTTTCAACTAAAGAAGCAGTATCCTCGCGCCTGTAATTGAGCATCACATGACATCCTTTATAAAAAGCGCCTTCACTAGCAGCCCTCTTGTAATACTCCTTCAGGGGCAGACTTGTTCTTTTGAACATTATAGTTGATTTTTATGGGTTGGAGGCTTGCTCTAAATGACTGACGAGAAACTTGACTGTCAACAGCCTCATGAATAGCATCAATATCTGCCATTGTTTCGGAGTCTCTCATGCTAAATATCAACCGAGAGCTCGAGTCGATGTCATAGTAATTCGTAACCGTCATCATTAACGCACGTGGCCCACGATCGAATTTTTGGCTATTTGAAAGGAGCGATACGGAGTAAAATGAAAGAAATTTGGTCCCAAGAGGGTTTGAAAAAATCACTTCATTGACTGTAAAATAGGTTCTCGCAATTTATTCAGCGTGCAAAACAGAGTGTGCGGCTATATCAGAAGAGATGAGGGGGTATCGATATTCTTTTCTTCAGAGTGAAACATATGAAGATAAGCAGCATTAACTCTAGGAAATGGGATCCGGACGGCGATGATACTACCATCGATGATTAAGTACCTGGTATATTTCATGATGCGCCTTTACCAGGTCACGCCCGCTGATGTCATTCTTTAAAAATCGAATTATTCTACTGAGAGGGGTTACGGCCTTCTGGTCCCTGGATCATATTTGATATGATTTTTGGATATCGACCAAAGGGAATTTCGGGTTTGGGGGTAGGATATCAGGTCTTGTGATTCAACAGTGTGGATGGCCAGAGGCGTACGATGTGTCCCATGGTGATTTAAGAACTACCCTGGAAGACACGATCACGGATAACTTTTCAGTGTACCTTCGCAGATAGTACCCGTATAGAAGGAGTCGATGAATCAGGGAAAACGCGAATCGCAGAATGAACGGAAACCCGAAATTAGGAATTGAACTTGTTTCTATTTGTTTGAAATTTGATCGACGATGTAATTCGAAACATCGATATCGATGAGCGTTATTCGTAACGAGAATGCGCTTTATTCATGCTAACTCCACAAATCTCGAGACTCATTTTTTTAATTCCGGAACATAAAGAAAAAAGGAAACCCCATCCCACACTTAAACCTCAGCGATTTCACGGAGACGACGGATGGTCGAGCGGGTGGCAGCGGCAGCGGGGGTGCTGTAACACATGTGCATCAGTAAACTGTTCATCTTTCCCGTTCCTTCTGTCTCATCTGGTTTGATCCAAATGCATCCCTGGCTGCAACGGGAGAATATTCATTAGGCGTTCGACTTACGAGACGGTGTAAGCACCACCAGCAACGGTCTTGTGGCAACCCTTGCACTCCCAGATACCGACAGAGTGACGCTTGACGGTGTTCTTGCCGCAGAAGGTGCAGACATAACGGGCGTGCTGAGTGATTTCCATCTTCTTCACCTGCTTACGCAGGGAGGCACCGTATCTGTTGAACCATCGAGTCAATAAACCGTTCGATGCCTGGCAAGTTCGCTTTTTCGATTCTCAATTTCGTCGTTTGCGCTCATTCGACCACGGACGGCAAAATCGATTTCTTCAAGCTGGATTCGACGTAGAAGGGCCTGAGCCTACCTGGTACCATATTTACCCGTGATTCCGACCTCTAGAATTTCATGTTAGTTTCTCGCTGGCTATATACACAGCTGGTTCCTTCATCATGAGGGACTTACTCTTGGTGCGCTTCGTCATCTTGTCTCGTGTGCGGCGGTTGAGGAAGATGGAGTTCAGTAAGTCGAAATCGAGGCTGCGGCTTTCTTGTGAGGGCGATTGTGGGTGGGCTCGCTTAGGGCTCGAACTCTTGGCGGTCACGTGTGACCCACTAACGCTTTGCTTTTTTGTATATCGCAGTCAATATCAACGCATTTTTGTATCACATTATGTGGTATGGAGTGTTTATATGGTAACTGAATGATGTGGACTAATTTATATTATGCTAATAGTGATATTCTAATTTTCCGTATCTCCATCCGTGCAGGAACACCCTCAATGCAAACGCACAGAATGACATCATACACAATAAATTGACCATTTCCAAACAGAACAAACAGTCAAAGATTCTTCAAGATTCTTAAGATGTCATCCAACCATCTCACTCGCGCAGAATCAATTGACGATTGATCATCGATGCTCTCTCACATGTAACCCAGATTTCCCTTGCTTCATGGCGTACAGGTCACATGACTTCCTGGATAGGTCCCTTCCCCTTTCCGGTTAGCCACGGCCGAGGTCTTCTTGATGCCAATCGATCCCCCCATGTGTTCCTCTTGTAGCAACGGGCTTTCCATCCATATAACTTCAAGAACATACAATTTGACTGGACTTTAGGTGTATTCCCTTGTCTCAATCCTTCATAGTAGTGGCTTTGTCATTCTCAATCGACGTACACTGCCAATACTAGTACGCAGCTAGCTCTCTATCACAAGATTCCTATTCATCATGGCATCCAACCGAGAATTCGACATCGTCCTCCTAGGCCCTACTGGCTACACTGGTAAACTCTGCGCAGAGCACATTGTCAAGTCTCTCACGACGAATCTGAAATGGGCTTTGGCGGGTCGTTCTTTGCAAAAGGTTGAGGGAGTTGCAAAGGAGCTCAAGGCTTTGAACCCTGACCGCTCAGAACCAGGTACATCGTCTTTAGAATCTTTGGTTTTTCAAGGGGGGAACATTTTGTTAACCTTCAAATAGAAATACTGGCCGTTCAACTCACGGCAGAGGAATTGGGCCCTCTGGCTCAGAAGACCAAGCTCATCATTAACTGCATTGGCCCGTACCATTTGTACTCGACCCCAGTGGTTGAGGCATGCGCCAAAAACGGAACCCATTATGTCGATGCGTAAGTGATCAGACGTATTTGAACTTGTCCGTGGCAATGTCACTGACTGAACGTCTGAACTAGTACTGGAGAGACCCCTTGGGTCAAGTCGATTATCGAAAAGTACCATGAAACCGCCAAATCAAACGGTGCCATTGTATGTCAACCATGAACCAAGGATTCAATATTGGGCAATACCTAATTAGAGCATAGTTGATCCCGTCTGTTGGTGTTGAGAGCGCCCCTGCGGACATATTGACCTGGTCCGTTGTGAAGCGAGTTCGTGAGGACCTTTCTACCCATACGAAAGAAGTAACCTGCGCTATTGAGGAGATGAAGTATGTTCAACCACCAAGGTTATCTTTTGAGGTACTAGTAACCTACTAACACTATTTCCAGGACCTCCGGAGCTAGCGGTGGTACTCTCAATACCATTCTGACCATATTTGATTCCCTTTCGTTCTCTGACCTGATTAAGTGGGCCAATCCTTTTGACCTTGCTGCCGGCCCACCACCGAAGAACCTGCCTAGCGAACCAATTCTTGCAAAGCTATCAGGAGTCCGGTCTGTTCGGGACCTCGGTACTCTTACAACCTCCCCGTCCGGGCTTGCCGACATTACTATCGTGCACCGTAGCAGCACATTGATGCCTGAGTTCTATGGACCGCAATTCTTTTTCAGACAATTCATCCATGTGAGGAACGCATTCATTGGTGTTCTGTTCCACATCGGCTTTTTGATCGGCCTGGGTCTTCTCATCATACCCCCAGTCCGGACACTGTTGAGAAGATATATCTATGCTCCAGGCAATGGACCCCGGATGGAGGATTCAGTCAACGACCTGGTCGAGTACCGCGCCATAGCAACGGCTGACCAGAATGTTCCCGCACCCAAGCGCGTGTTTGGAAAGTTGAAATACCACGGAACCATGTATGTCTTTACCGGACTGTTGCTGGCGGAGGCAGCAATGGTGATCTTGGAAAATGAGGAGAAGGTGAAGAAGGTTTCCCGCAGCGGTATTGTGACTCCGGCGACATTGGGACAGGAGTTTGTCGATCGTCTGGACAAGGTTGGGTGCCAGATTGAGACCAAGGTGTTCGAATACTGAAGGATTGACGCATAATGATCTACTTTTCCTGTTTCATTTGCAAAGCTTACAGCACTGACGGATGAAAAATTCCCGTTTTATTGATTTACAAATTATGTATCTTAATTTCCAGCTGGTGTACTAATTTTGCGATTGTTACCAGTCACTATTCATCTGAACCAGAATTATAAGACAAAGAATGATTCCCGAAATCCCCAAGATTGAACCCCAAAACCCATGTAAATATACAGTCTTTAAAACACGCAAAGATAAAACAACGGCACAATAAAAAAATTGCTAAGCAAATGTATAATATACCTTTTATGACCATCTTACAATTTGAAGGCTCTTGGATCCGCAAAGACCACCTCCTCCAACCACCACGCAATAATTTCATTTATTTCTTCTGGCTTTTCCCACAGTGCCCAGTGCGATGTGTTGACTTGTTGGAATGTCAAATGGGGGATGGTCCTAGTCATTCCTTTGCCCAGGTGTGCTGGGAGGGCTGTGTCTTTGAGGGCTTGGATGAAGAGGACGGGGGCCGTCATGCGCCGATTAAGGATGGAGAGCTCGTCTTTATAGTTGATTTCACGGGTTCGATACCAATTTACTATTACCTTTAGTGTACGCGTAGGATAAGATAGGTAGATGATGATGGACATACATGGACCATGAATCCCGTGTCGAGAGAATTCTTTTGCATAATAGTCAAGTTCCTACGACATGTTAGTAAGTATAATTATACCTGAAGAACAAAAGAGTAGAGCAAACCTCATCACTCAATAACCTCGATGGCTGCAATCGAGGCAGATTGTCGAGGACGACCCCATACTCAGCATAGAACGCCACGTCTTTCTCCTCGGTTTTGCCGCCATACATTGCGGAGAGAAATCTCTTAATATCATCTTCTGTTTGAATGGCCTTTTCCAGATCACCACTCTGGAACTGCAACTGGTAGGCGAAATGAGGGGCGATGGTTTCGACGAATTCGTTGAGAGGAATGTATTTCCTTGTTGGAGCGGTGAAAGGCACACAGACGGTGAAGACGTGGCTGACTAGATCCGGATGCCAGAGGGCAACTCGATAGGCGAGGGCAGCACCCCTTGGATGTGATGATTAGATTCAGACTGAGATACCTTGGTGCAGAGGAGGGAGGAAGGATAGTACCAGTCGTGTCCTCCGACGATGATTTTGGACAGACCCAGCTGAGATGCAAGCTCTTTGATATCATCTGCACAGCTTTTGTGGGAGTAATGTGCGGCTTCTTCTGGAGCATCCTGTGTAGCATGTCAGTTATGCACTCCATCTATCTAGCCTGCATGAGGCATCAGTCACTGACCGTCTTTCCGTATCCTAGACAATCGGGCGCAATAACCCGGAGTCCCTTGTTGAGCAACATGGGGATCTGATATCGCCACCCCATAGACAAGTCGGGGAATCCATGAATCTGCTGACTGGTGAGTGGATTGCGTCTATGCGTTTTTTGCAATGGTTGAAACAAACCAGAAAGATAGTCGCTCTATATTGGCCCGATTCGGGTTGACTGTAGAGATAGCCTGTCCATTCGATGTTTAGCACTCATTCCTCATAATTCGGCCATAAATACTCGAGCCACAGGCTGCAGGTGCATACCATATTCTTTGCCGTTGAGATCTGCAGTTCGATGTTGGATCCTCGGATCCCCGGAGACGTTGATCTTATCCACGGGCATGATTGTGATGGATAGAGGAGACAGGTCAAAAACTGTATCGTGAAGATGAACGGTAGACCGAGCAGCGTCAACAAAAACCGGATCACCCTGTATACCGACTTTCCTCGATGTCCAGCTTCCTTATTTATAGCATCCAGAATGCTTGGAGCACCCCCGCCAGCTGTCGTATCACGTGAAGCCGAAGCTATGCCGTACAGACAACAGGCGACAGAGAAGAATCGCAATTAATTGAGGGTTAAATACAGGTTTTACAGCTCATGGTATCATGTAGCCGTGCTAATCCAGTGGGGTTATAGGGATTTGCTGCAACTACCAAGGCAGAAGGCCCAAGATCTCTTCAACATACATGAAATGCGCTGTCATTTCTGCCGGCGAAATGCCTCGGCAATCATCGTTCCTATCATCGACATACGTGCTCCATACTATCCCGGTCTCCATTATCGAATAATAACATAACATCAGAAGAAAAAAAAAGCAATTATCCCATCCTTAATAAATAACTGTATCTTCTTGGTCCTCCACAACCTCGCCGCCGTCATCTTCGGCCGCTCGATGGGCATCGGGTTGGTCATTAACAGGAGCAGCATCTTGACGGTCAGCAGTTCCATCAGTCCCCGCTATTATTTCATGACCCTTGTCATGGTCAGTTTCAGCATTTGTCGTCCCCGCTGCATCATTTGCTGTCTCCTCTTTGGGCTCCTTGGGCTCCTTGTCAGGCAACGGGGCTGGGTCTTGTTCTGCGACGACTTCCGACTGCGTTCTCTCTTTCTGCTCTTTACTTTCCTCCTCTGTAGGGGATGGATGACGTTCTTCGAAATCGGCAGTTTCTCGCGCGACTGTAGCTTCTGCCTCATCGATTTGATCTTGTATCACGTCCTCATCTCTATGGGTTAATTGCCATGGTTTGTAGTACTAAAATGCAACCAACAATGTGAGTAAAAATCCCTCCAAGGTGAGTCGGACCTAGAACATACCAGCACTGGCTTCGTCTTGGTCTTGAGAAAGTGGGCCATGGCGACCAGATTCGAGTGACGAGTGCGCATCTGTAATGGGCAACTTGTCAGTAACCCAATCCCAACAACCTGCCAACTGCATCGGAAAGAACATACCGATTCTTCTTCGTAGAGTCTTTGGTCCTTTTTCCGAGTGGCCACCCGCTCATCTCGCCTCTTTTTCTTCAACTCGCCATACTCTTCATCCTGCAACTTCAATTTATCCTGTTGCCGCCGTTCGATATCCGCGCGTCGTCTCTGAGCAGCCGAGTTCGAGCCCTGCGAGAGCGTTCCCAGCAAACCCCCGAATAATCGCTGTCCCCGTTTGCGTTCTTCCTCACGCCCACGAACCGGTCTTCGCTCTACTTTTCGTTCTTCCGGGGCGGGAGAAGATGGTCTGCGGTCTTGAGGGGATTGAGGGCGTTCGTCTTCATGGTGCGAACTGAGGCGGCGGCGTTTGCTATCAGCATCCGTGGTGGAGGACTTGCGCCGTTTGAGACCGGCTTCTGGTGATGGGATCAAGGTTTCTTGATCGGGCAATGCGACTGCAGATGCGAGGCTATCACCGGGGGTTTGTATGGTTAGCTAGCTATTCGACCGAGTTCAAAGAAGCTCCGTAGCTTAGACCTACCCTTCCGCCATATTGTCGATTCGGTAGGAGTGGCCACAGGACACAATCCAGACAATAGAAATAATAAAAGGAATAGACCTTTATAGCAAATTCAGAAAACAGAAAACAAAATACCCAGAAAAAGCCAGGCGTTGTCTGATTGAATGTCCCTCACTCTTTGGTCTCCAACAACAATCGGCGAGACTCCAACGTTCCGCGCACGGACCATTTGCCCGATCTGGTTTCTTTCTTCCAGCGTCTTCGATCGTTTCTTCTTCACCACCAACAGTCCAGTGTCCAAGACAAGGACAACCAATACATTTGTCTTCTCTGCTGCTTTTGAAGCCTTTGGATCGCTAGTACCGCTACCTTATTCTCGATTTATCCTTCTACAATTCCACACACCCCCGTCTCCAACCACAACTCGCAGCCATGTCTCGCCATCACCCCGATCTTGTCATGTGCCGCAAGCAACCTGGCATCTCCATCGGTCGTCTTTGCGATAAATGCGACGGCAAGTGCCCCGTGTGCGACTCGTACGTGCGCCCGACTACCCTGGTCCGAATCTGCGACGAGTGTTCGTTCGGAAACTACCAGAACAAGTGCATCGTCTGCGGTGGCGAGGGCATCAGTGACGCGTTCTACTGTTTCGAATGTACGCGACTGGAGAAGGATCGAGATGGGTGTCCGAAGATTATAAACCTGGGAAGTTCGAGGACGGATTTATTCTACCAAAAGAAGAGTTTTCGGAATCATTGACGCCTTTAATATTCCATACCCCTCCATTTCGGCTGCGGCTCCATCCAGGCCGCTTTTTTTGCTTGCGTTTCGAGGGCTGTTCGATTTGGGTCTGCATAGCGAGAACGACTGCATATTCTCTGTCTACGTTGTTTTAGTCCGGCTAGCTAGAGCATTCTGCCAATAACTGGTTTCTTCGCCGGGAATTCTTTCAATGAACAACTCAAAGCTACAAGAGAAATGATCATGGTGGGAGAACGTTCAATTACGCACGTCCCAGACTATCTATGGCATAACACGCGAGGGTGATCGCAAACTATTCATCGCAGATCGTCAAGTTTACCTTCCAGGTCGCTTAGGTCTGGCGAATCCCCGTCGCGGCCCTTGGTCCTGAGATGGGCTGACCTCTTCCTGCAGTCTTTCTCCAGAGATTTCGTCTGGCGAAGATGCTTCGATCTACATTTCACACCGTTAGACCATCTCAATTTGTTTGCAGCAAAAAAAAAAAAAAAAAAAAAAGACATACCTTTTTGAGAATCTTGAGTCCCTGCTCCTCGGAAACACCGAGGGCATTATTCCGAGAACTGGCGTACAGCATGCGTTCCTTGATCGACGAACCCGACGGGCAGGTATAGATGAAGATGACCACATCCGAGTCGGGGTAGTGATAGAAAGTGTACCGAGGCGCGGACGGGGGGATGTGAGACTGAACGGAGTCTGCATCAATGCCTGATTCCGAAGCAGCGAGTTTCAATGTCTCCGTTGGGATGTCAATGGCCTGTATATAGAACCGATTAGCCTTCAAGAAACACCGTGCAACCCCAATTCAAAGGAAGGAAGAGAAAGAAGAAAAGAGAAAAACGCACCAGTTGCACCAGTCCACCCGCCTGCAGTCCGGAAAGAGCAGCCTTTGCATCCTCTTCCACGGGCATTTGAATACCAATGCCAGCACCACTCCCGGAACCAAAAGGTCCGCGACCTCCACCTCTAGCAAACGAACCACCAATACCAATATCTCTCCCGGGGGTTCCAATCCTGGCTTCCTCTTCAGCCCTTCTCACATACTCCAACTCCCTCTCCTTCTCACCCATAATATCTTCTCTCCGAACACCCCCGGGCCCAACCGAGCCATTCTTCTCGGCATCTCTCTCCCGCCATGCAGCCTCACCGAGAATCTCATTCTCCTCGGTTGCAAAGATCGTCCCGTCGAACTTCTCACTGCCCAATTCCCGCACTAACGTAGCCCGGGTCGAGGCGAAGAGGGTCTTGGAGCGAACAGGCGCATTGGACGGAATATACGTGAGGGCGGAGAAAGTGGAGGAGCCGGACTGGGGGCGGCGAAGGAGGAGGTAGATGGGGGTTTTGGGCTGGAGGACGGACGAGAGTTGGGGGAGGGATTGGTAGAAATCGTCCGAGGCGGAGAAGGAGATAGTAGGCAAGGGAGTCAGGCTTTCTCCGCTGATTGTGACGGGGAGGCAGAAGATGGAGGGGTCGGAGGAGAAAGAGGTGAAGGCATCGTGGAGGTCGGGGGAGACTGTTGATAGTTGTTAGGTGTCTGTTTCGTTTAACTGTATTGTAGGGAATATGATATATCAGAATGATAATCCGAACTGACCTTGAATTCCCGACTGCATCTTGACGGAACACTGCAGCTGCGATGCAGGAAGTTGACAGATGGATGGATGTTGTTTCAGTCGATGAGACTGTTTAATAAGAACGAGGGGGAGGCCGAAGCGGTGAGTTACTTAGCGGGGTAGTTTCTTTGGAGTCTTCCAGGGGAATCCCTCTTCCATCTCCATCGCCAGAACAGCCAGTTCATCAATATCCATCTACGGTTCTTGATAGTTGATCGAGATGTGTCATTGAAAAAAATTTGAATTGCCCAACTGCAAAACTAAATGGTATACAAGAACAAAAGAAATATATACAACCGAGCACCTAGATCTGACAGTCCATCCCATCAAAACAAATTCCAAATAACCAAGGCAAATAATGCAATGAGATCGCAACGCAATCGAAAACGCCACCATGCTCATGGTATCAAATGCTCTCGAACTGCAGCCCTTCATCATCTGTTCTCTTCTCTTTTTATTTACTTATGATTGATCACAGCGATAGGCTTATTCCTCGTACTGTCCACCCACAAACGCCCAGTTGGACGCCTCGAGCTTTCCTTTCAGGAACTCATACACGGTAAAGGTGACGGCTTGACCAGGGGCCACACGCATCACACGCGGGGTAATACCCTTGTAGAAGGCCGAGGCACCCTCAGACTTGAACATGTCCTTGGCGATGACCAAGATACGGCTCACGGCCGATTGACCGGGCTCACCACGGGTCTTTTGTAATCTTGTCTTGATGGTGTCGATTGGGGCGTTGGAGAAGGGACCGACAGCACCGGAGATCAATCCGATGAGGGTGGTCTGGTACGAGGGCAGCTGGGTGTTGCTGTACTCGGGCTGGTATCTTTGGAGAGCAGCCTTCAGCTCAGTGTATGCGGTGAAGTTGGCGGCCTGGTTGGTTCCTTGTCGGAGAGCTGTGAGAGAGACACCACGGTACAAGGTGCTGAATCCTTCTTCCTTGATCACGGTGAAAAGGGCATGGGGTGCGCTGCGGTACTTGGGGGTATCGAGAGGGTCTGCCAGACTGTGGTGCTGGGCTTGCAGACGGATCTTGACGACTTCCATGGGGTTGACAATGGCAACAGCTTCAGTCACACCGGCAGCGAGACCAGCTATGAGGCAGGTTAGCTGCCGAAGGCCACAATTAAATCCAAACGAGGAACCTACCCAAGAAAGTGGCCTTGCTTGTGACATTTCCTGTCTCCTTGTCGGCGAGCATCTGCTTGTATGACTCGTAGGAGGTGAAACGGATGGCCATCTTGGGAATGATACCTCCGAGAACTGCACCGAGACCCTTGTACAGACCCATTGCGGTCTCTTTTCGGACGATATCAGCACCCGTGGTGACGAAACCGCGAGGTTTGGCCTAAAAGCAAAACCAATTAGCTATATTCACAACCAATGAGTGTTTCTTTGACTTACACCAGGAGCTCTAGCCCGCCGCGAAAGTTGCATGCGGACCTTGATTGTGTCGAGAGGATGGCAGACGAGGGCCTCCATCATACCAGCACCACCACCAGCTGTGAACGATCAGCAAAGCACACACAGGAATTCCTCAAGATGGAATCTACCTATCAAGTTTACAGCCGGGGAGGCAGGCTTCTTCTTGCCTCCCTGCACGTTTTTGGCAGACATGGTGCAATCAGATAATGTCTATAATTTTTTGAATTCTTGGAGTCAATTGCCTGAAAAGCTCAGACAAAAGGAAGGTAATAAGATTGAAATGACGCCAATTGGGCTTCCAATCACTTGGTATATTGAATAATTTTTCTAAAAAAGAGAAGAGTAAAAGACGGATGGGGCGACGGCAATAGGTATATACTGTCGTCGGCACCGGGTATCTAAATCGGAGGATTGAAGGGAAGAAAAGTAATAGAATAGGATAAAAAGGATCTGGGGCTGGATCCGTCGGCTTATAATGCGAACGACCAAGAGGATAATAAAGCAATAAAAGGATAATATTCGGGAAAGAGAATCATCGACCTTCGTTCGGGTCCAGTGGCGGCTGTTCGTCCAGCGTGGAGAAGAAGCTGTGACGGGGTAGCGGAGGCAATGGACGAGCGGAAGAGGTGCCGCTTTCGAACAAAAACACTTATCCGAGGGGATGAATATATTCAGGATAAAGGGAGATGAGGGAAGGGGAAGGGATCCATGGAGGATACAAGGATAGCTGAGCCTGTCTATCTTATATGGTTTGTCGCAATCGCATCTTCAGCTTCAACTACTGACTGGGAGAGCACCAGATCAGAACAATCCCGAGGCATCTTTCATCGGCTACTCTCGATCTTCTCCAGACTCCAACCATATCTCCATCTGGCTGGTATCTTTTTCTCACATCTTCAGTCATGATTCTCCAGAACCATGGGAATTGTGGTTCTCTTGGGCTTCACCAGTGCCAATGATAGCTCAGAACCACAGAGCGGAATGGTCTTCACATGCTGGTTCTGGTCAGACACAAGTAAATCCATCGTCATCGCCAGCGTGATCTCCCAAACCTTGAGCCTGTGATTCATCCATTCTTCCTCTTCCTGACGTCCAGCAACCATCGCCAACCAAGACAGATCCAATTGTCCGGTCTTCGGACGGCGGGAAAATCCGGAGTCGCAGATGCTGCCTTCAACCGAGGTTTCTTTCCGCGGCTATCACCATGTCATGGATGAGCATCAGGGATTAGAGATGATTCACGTTATTGATAATTCGATTTGACATGCTTTTACGGCATCCTGCTTCAGGGATACTTATATTGACAACTCAATAATCTCTCTGCCTAGAATTCTGGAAATACTCGCTCGATTCTCACGGTTCTTTCTTTACCCACACCTGATCACCCCTTTTCCATTCCATCAGAATATTTCTCTCCATGAAACCCATTTCAATTTTCATGTCTGATGATGTTTCTGGAACTGGATTTATGAAATGATTCTCGGCGAATATCACGGCCAGAATTCAGTAGCCAAGCTCACTGTTCACATGCAAATATGTTAGCTGGCATATGATTGACTGACCGAGTACAAGGCGACTACGCTTGTACTGAGTGTCTTCTTACTGTCACAGACACGGAGCATCTTGATGGCTTTTATGCTTGATAGCTTCGACAGAATACTTGGACAGGACGATCGGATCAAGTTCAGGCTGATCTATCCTTGTCTTGCTGCATCTACAACACTGCCCCTCACTGTCATAAACATCAACACATTGATCATTAATACTAAGCCTGCAGCTATTGAGGCCCTTCTATTCCATTCTATATCTTTTATTTCACCTCGACAGAATAAAATACTCAAATGAAATGAACGATGCAAGATGGCCGTTTTTGTAGCAATGCGGGGAATCCGAACTAGGAAGGCGGTCACTCTGGAATATCCCCTCTGCCCTATGACCAATACGGACTAGCGTGGATGTCCTAATAAAAAATATCCACCATCTTCACATCGTTTATTATCTTTTGACCTAATATCACGAGATTATAAGCTGCAGAGTTATTTAGATCAGTAAAATTGAATAGATATCAAGGTGGAGGTGTGGCATTAAGCTTATTCCCATACTCTTATCATCGGATTTGATCCGATCCCTGAGCTGCAAGGATCTCGGTCTAAATTCGAAATTCGCAATTAGGGTGAAAGATTATCCTATAATGATGAACTGAGCCAGTTATCAATTATTAATTCCTCATATTTCCCTCTCATGAGGGGAAGCTAGGAAGCATCCACTTGCGAACCATAACAGGACAGGAATATGCACCAAGACCCAGTGGCTGATCCTGACCGCACAGATTCGAAACAATGGAACCTGCAGCGAATCCTCAAATGCACCGCAAAATTCATCCTCCATCAATGGCTTCTCATCGGCATCGGAGTCGTCTGCGTCCTGGCCTATTACTTCCCCAACGTAGCCAAACACGGGGGCGTTATCAGATCGGAATATAGTATCCTGTACGGCGCGATGGCGATCATCTTCCTCATCTCGGGTCTCAGCATCCCGCGCCAGAAACTGCTGACGCATTTTCTGAACTGGCGGCTTCACTGCTTGGTGCAGATTACTTCGTTCTTGTTTATTCCTGCGCTAGTCCTGGCGGTCGTGCATGTGATTCTGGCTGGCGATCCTCAGGGTCATATTGATCGGGCTGTTTTGGCGGGTTATATCCTCACGGCTTGTATACCTACCACTATTGCGTCGAATGTGGTTATGACGAGGTCAGCAGGTGGTGATGATGCTGCTGCGTTGGTGGAGGTGTTGGTTGCGAATATCCTGGGACCGTTCATCACGGCTGCGTGGACCGTGACTTTGTTGCCTCGTTCCGCTGAATTCGATCCGTGGAGGTATGGAGGCGGCGATCTACGCGATATGTATAAAGATGTCTTCAAGCAGTTGGGCCTTAGTGCTCTAGTGCCGTTGCTGGTGGGACAAATAGTGCGGTGGACATGGTCCGATACAACAAACAAGGTGTTGCAAAAGTTTCATATCTCCAAGATTGGGACGGCGTGTCTGTTGCTATTAATCTGGTAAGCTTCCTTAGCATGAGTATGCCAGAGTGTTCAATCTAACCATGATAGGTCGACCTTTTCATCCTGTTTCGCAACAGGGGCTCTGCAAACCATTTCAACGCAAAGTATCGTCTTCGTCGTTCTTTTCAACATCGCCCTATATATCATCCTCACAGCCGTCTGCTTTTACCTCTGCAGACCACCTAAAGCCCTCTCTTCTCGCCCCTGGGGAAAACACGTCTTCCATCGTATGTCGCCCGAGGAAACCATCGCGGTGTGTTTCTGTGGTCCGGCGAAGAGCACCGCGTTGGGGATTCCGTTGCTGTACGCCATGTGGACGCCGGTTGATTTGTTCACCAAGGCCAAGACGTCTGTGCCCGTGCTGCTTTACACGACTGAGCAAATATGTGTGGCGCATTTCTTTGTCGGTTTGTTTCGGAGATGGTTGGAGAAACGGGGTCAGAAGGGGGATCTGGAGGTGGGAGAGGAGGGGACGACTGCAAGGGTTGAAGCGGAGGGTCCAGAGGAGGTCAAAGAGGATGCAAATGCCCACCACACAATTGATACTTGATATAATCCAAATAGATATACAGGAAGGAAGAATACATCTCGTAAGACTTTGAGAGTTCTATTTGTAGTGACAATATCGAGTCCTCCCTGAAATACCTCTAACACGAGATATCGGGCAAAATATACAAATGAAAAGAAAAGCTCCAAACATCTCCCTCGTAAATATAGAAAGCGACGGTGTAAAACTCGTCATTTTGAATATGTATAACAAAAGAAACAACAAAAGAAAAACCCATCATATATAGCTCACCTTAACGCCCATCCCAATAGTACCCTTGACTTTCTGCCAACCTGCGCTTGTTACTCTCTGGATTCGCTTCCGCACATCTTGTCTGCTAAGGGCCATGATAATGCCCAGCATGAATAGCAATGTTCGTGCAAAAGAAAGCGGGTTTCCAGCGACGGTTTGGCGAAGGTACTGCATAAGGTTTCGCATAACATTGACCAAGGCTCGACCCTGTCGTGCCCGAGCGTCGGGCTTCTCTGGTTTCTTGACATTTTTTGACGAGCCAGACGGTGGAGAGAAGGCAGTCCGCGAGGAAGACGTGCCAGCCTTACCGGACGGCTTCTCTGCCGACTTGGTGCCTTTGCCCTTGGAGATACCATTCGGGCGGCTCTTTTCTACCTCACTCTTGCTTCGTTTGTGCCCATTCTCCAAGCGCTCGGCGGCAGCCGCCTCTTCTGTCCTCAGACGTTCGTCCTCACGTGCTTGCCGCTCCAATTCGGCGTCCTTTTCTTGCTGTATCGCCGCTGCACGCAATTCACCCTGTGCCTTCTCTTCTTTGATACTTTCGAGGGTTTGCAAAAAGACATCCTTTCGTTCCTCATCAAGGACTTCGCTCAGATTGATAAATTCCTGCGCATATTCCCACTCCTCATTTCGGGGAAGGACATGAAGAGTGAACAGTTCAATGATTCGAACCCTAGCGGCTAGGTCTTTCGGGGTATCTGTTCCACCATTAGGCCTGGCACGGCGTGTACCGGAAGGCGAATTTTGGAGATGCTCTGCGATATCCAGGTTTGGTTGACCATAGGACGAAAGATAGGTTTCGAGTCGCTGTTGATTGAGGGCTTGCGAAGGGGAGTGATTCAATAATAAGGTACCCCTAGATCTATTAGCTTCAAGCAAGTCGCATGACCGTCCCCAAGGCTTGACTTACAAGTTGTAGACAACTTCTGCATCCACAGAGCCCTCCAAGCCCTTGTATCCAATCCGAACAATTGTCTCCCAGATCCCCCCTTCACGCACTTGGGACGAAATTCCTTTCCATTCTTTTTGCCCAAATATTTGTTTTCCTTCCTCTGGCCCTAAATCAACAATTGCACTAAGCAGTGTGATGTACAGATTCCAGATCTTGATCCTCCACGTGCCCGGCGCTGTCGCAATTGGTGGTGCCGAATTATCTCCATTTGTGTATTGTTCGTCGTGGCCCTGAGCAGCTGTAATAGCTGGTTCCAGAGCAGCCAGAGACTCTTGTAATCGACGGGTCAAGAAAAGATTGGAGGCTTTTTTGTAGGTTTTGGAGCATAGCTTCGACGGAGAGAGGGAGGATGTGGAGGAAGAAAGCTGCGACTGAGAAGCCGACAGCTGAGCACCATCGTCGGCCATTGTGAGTGAAAATGCGGTCGTGGTTGTAGATGACTGGGGTAAAATAAAGAAATAATCGAATATAGGAATTAGCGATGATCACAGGTCACAAGGAGCATATGACTTCGAGCTCCTGTGGTGGTCGGGGATGCAGTCCGCTGTTAGGCGTTGGTGACACAGCGGCCTTTGCTTTTCCCTCGGCTCGGCCGTTTTTGGAGTCTGGGGTCTGATGTCACGGGATGATCTGGAGACAACACCAACGCCATCTTTTCCAACAGCAGCATCGTTATCATCAGTATTCAGTGTGGCTCAAGTGAGTGACAGTTGACTGGATCAACGCTCATTTATCTATCTGACACTATGACGAGTCATATAGCAGATGACGGATTCTCCGTTGCCGAACTGACAGTGGATTGAATGAAACTCCGCTGAACACTCGTCAATTCAATTGCAGAACACATCATATTCATTCCTCTCTTCCACCCTCAGTTTTATTTATGAATCTACGGAATATCTATATTTGAACTGATATGAGAAAGTTGGATTGAGACCTTGCCTCCTTCCACCCCGCATCCGCAACATGGATGTCACAGCCGACTCGTTTTCCTACCATCTCCCCAGGATCTTAGATGACCTGGCAGCCTGCTGCTTTGTCTCTCTGGATTTCGAGTTCTCAGGAATTGCAACAAATACCGTTGGGCCGTCGAGGGGCTCACAGAGCCTACAGGCCCGGTATGCGGAGACCAAACGAGCGGCCGATAAATATCAGATTTTGCAAATCGGCTTGACAGTCTGCCATGAAGACACCGAAACAGGTTAGATATAGGCATGCTGGTAAAATTTTCTCAAAAACATCAGTGGTTAATGGGTGTTTAAACAGCAACGTATACCCTGAAGCCGTACAATCTCTATCTTAGCCCCATCATCGACCAGAAGTTAGAGGTCGAGAGGGATGGGACTTTTCAAAGCGGTGGTACGTTCTCCTGACCGTTTCTTTTCTGCAATATAAAACTGAAGTAGGATAGCGGTTGAGTTCTTACTGGCAAACAAGTTCTCTATGGACTCTTATTACAGAAATGGCGTTTCTTATCTGTCCCGAGAAGAGGAGGACCTGGCCATCGCCAAAGCCAAAGAAAGACATGATCGTACGGTGGTCTGCAGTACACTGGATGTCAAAGAGACAGAGCACGAATCAATCAAGTTTCTCAAAGCTACTCGACGCCTGGTTGACGATTGGCTTGCTCGCGGTAATGTAGAGAACCCAATGTCCATCGAGATGGCAAATCTGACTGATAGACAAGACCCGTGAAGGATATCTCAATATACCACCACCTAGTCGCGCCAATGAGTCTCACGAGTCCAAGTTATTCCCTGCGACCTTGAACAGGTTCCAGAAACGGCTCGTTCATCAGCTGATCGAAGCGGAATATCCGTCTCTAGTGACGATTGGCAAGCCTACGTTTGTTCAAATCATCAACTACAACGAAGAACGTGAAAAGGCCATCAAAGAGCAACAGCTAAAGCGCACGCAAGAACGAATTTGGAGACAGACTGGTTTCAGATGGATTGCAGAGGCATTGGCTGGAGGGAATTTATCAAACCTGGATGCGGGTTACTTTACGGGCATACTGTCCAGCTCCATTGCTGTGAAATCCAAGCATTCACTCAGGGAGTTTTCCGAGAAGCTCAAGGAAGCATTGAAATCCCATCGACCTGTTCTAGTCGGTCACAACCTTTTCACGGACTTGGTGTACTTTTGCAGATGCTTTCTCGGTCCCCTGCCAGATCGAGTGGAGGATTTTCAAGCAATGGCCCACGAGCTATTTCCAATGCTGATGGACACGAAATACATGGCTACTCATGATTGTGGTTCTATCAACCCCAGGTCTTCGCTCCAGGAAATCAATGATAGTCTGGTGCAACAAGCAACACCTCGAATCAGTAAGTGGGCCTGCCAACTTCATCGTTGCATACTAACCGCTACCAGATGTACATCACCAGCATGGAAAGTACAAAACCCAGCGGATTGATCATGAAGCGGGCTATGATAGCTTCCTTACTGCCCAGGTCTTTATCAAGCTGTCCGCTCAGCTTCGCGATGGCGGCACATCCAGGCTTCCTGGACCAGCCCCGATAGAGCGTGGGATATCTACTGCAAGCAAAACCCCCACTGATCAAAAACCAGAACGAAGCAGCCACAGCCAACATCTTAAAGACCTTAACACGAGATTTGATCTCATCCAAGTTGAAGAAGACCTGGACGCTCTGGAAAGCGTTCCTCCTAATGCCGAGGTCTCGCTAGACAGCAGTCCAGAAGTGACACGAAGGGTCAACGCCGGGGAATTGATCCCTCGACGAGGAGCACAATTTTGGCAAGTCTACGGAAACCAATTGCGTGTATTTGGCACAGAAGAAAGGGTGCGCACTATTGGCACAACCTCAGTAGCCGAGACCATCTAGGAAGCCGTAGAGGCGTACACAGAGCATGAGACATGACATGTACTTGACAAGACATTTACGAACATGATATCCAAGATACCACGAAAGATCTGACCCCGCGTGATCCGTAGATAAAGCAAGGAATGAGATCAACAGTATGTGGGCAGCGTCTATCTAACCGTACACCTTGATTATGAGAAGGTACCGCTAGCGAAAAAAGGCTGCAATCTACTCACTCTAAGCACCATTTAATGGTCGACTGGTCGTAGAGAAACTTAACGCAGTGATGATAAGGAAAGGTGCTTGGAGGAGAAAAGAAAAAAAAGGGAAAGGGAAAAAGGCGGGCGGCGCTTTTAAAGAGGAGAAAAAAAATAAGAGGGCTGGTCACATGGGCTGCTAGCCCGGCTGGGCCTAGCGTGGTCCGGTGCTCGCTGCGGACAGGTGACCGTCAACTTTTCTCGAGTTATCGGCGTTGAAGTAGTCCCCAAGCGACGACGACGAGCACGCCAGCTTTATCCAGCATCAATTCGGGGAGATGTCTACGGGATCCAATGGTGCCCGGCGCATGGCGTCGCTTTTGCGTATGTGATTGTGTGATGCAGTGGGCATTGATGAAGAAAAAATAACAAAGCGCCTGTAACTGACTTGACTTTCCCCTACAGGACCCTCAATAGTCGACTCCAGAGTGTGCAAGAGCTGCCAGGAGACCCTAGTCCGTCGCAATTATGCCTCGGCCGCAACCACAGCTGAGGCAGAGACCGTTCCTTCAGCGACATCTACCTACCCCGTCGTGAAGCCGACCTATACCATCAACGCCGGAGTGGTTCTCTCCCGCCCACCCCAGATCACCCGCGACCTGACACAGTTCGAAAAGTCGTATTACTTCTACCAGAAACGCCTGAACGAGCGATTGGCTATGCCTTTCACAAAATACTTTTACTTCAAGCGCGGAACGCCGGCGGACGAGGACTGGAAGCGGAAAATCCGGGAGCGCCAGACCCCTGCGCGTGACATTGGCAATTACAACGCGTACTCCAAGGAGGCATGGAACGATGAACTGTTGGTCGGGGCAGTCGATGCCGAGCCCGATCACCAGGTGGAAATGTTGGTGCAGGACGCAGAGGCTACTGTCAATGCCACCTCCCAGGATACTAGCAAGAAGGAAGAAATCCCCAGACCGTTTCCCCGAGTAACGGAGGCAGACCAGAAGGGAGACCAGAGAAGTCTGAACCGATTGCTGCAGAGGACACTCTACCTCCTTGTTCAGTCCAAGGAGGGATACTGGAAGCTCCCAAGCTCCCCGGTTGAACATGAGGAGACTCTTCGTTTGGTGAGTGTTTGATGTTTTATTCTGGCCGAATGCAGCTAACATATTTAGGCCGCTGAACGTACCCTCGCACAATCTGCAGGTGTCAACATGAACACCTGGATGGTTGGCTACCACCCTGTCGGCCACCACGTGTACAACCTCCGAAGACCCAAGCTCGACGAAGCGGCCGGAAAGGAACATATGGGCGAGAAAACCTTCTTCATGAAGGGTCGTATTATGGCCGGACAGGCAGATCTGTCCGCCAACGTGCAGAACCTCCAGGACTTTAAGTGGGTGTCCCGAGAGGAGATGGCCAAGTTTGTGTTGCCGCAGTACTACAGCAGCGTCAAGAACATGCTGGCTGATCGGTAGATGGATTGGCCTGGGGTAGGATAGATGTATGCCTGGGGGAGTGTACTATTGATAGAGCCGGTTGGCGATTTTATCACCTGGTCAAACATAATTGCCAGGTATAACTGCATATACTGCGATAGTATGTCATGTATAACTAGTTTTTATTCTGCAAGTCAATGGTTTGGTTTATTTAACGCCAGACTCCCACCATGCCGTATTCATAAACAGAAGCGATATATACCCTCAACAAGGACCATTATTTTAGATTGAACTTTTGTCCCTGAACTACCGGCTGGTCTTTTGAGGATTTCCCAGCCAAACCCTTGCCACACATAGGACAGGCTATAAACATGTTAACCAAATCCCAAAATAAAGAGACAGAAAAGAAAAAACAAACCATTCTTCTGATAAGCACACCGCTGACAGAATTTCTTCCCTTGCTCCGTCTTGGTCTTGCAATTCTCACAAGCAGACGCATACGCCGCGTACGGATTTTTAGCCTTCGACGTGAGCAATTTACTCTACATGAATCAGTCAGCCATGAACATGAACCCACCCATCAAAGTCAATTTTAATAATATGATAAGTGATGATAAACATACCTTCCCAATACCCGTACTCCCCAACGTCGCCTTTTTAGAGGACTCCCCGCCCCCTCCAAGCGTGGTCGATGGCGAACCGTAGTACATTTCACTCTTGCGTTTGACGCCTGGGGTGGCTAGTTCGGTGGATTTGAGTTTCTTTTGGCATTTTGAGCAGACCATTCTGATCTTTTGTTGGAGTCTTTTATTATTTCCGTAAATGAAGGGTTTGTAATAAAGTAATATATGTATAGATGGGAGAGATGGTGTTGGTGTTGTGGTGATGATATCAGTTGCCTTTTTGGAGGTGGTTTTTTTGCATTATTTCTTAGTCAGATGGGTTGTGTTTACTGGTTTGGGTTTAGTGTGGTGCATAAAACCTGCATATTTATATCTACTTTTTTTGAGCTTTGCAGTTCAGCTATCAATATGATGGCATTAAATCATAGGTTTAGTTATGTAGATAATAGAATGCAACCAATCCATCCCTTCATGTAACATCCATACGTAAGCAAATGGGTATCATCCAAACGTAAAACGTATCCGCCAACCACTTATCTCATACTACAGCGGAGTATGAGATACAGCCCTCTAGTCAATTATCTGCCATGCGACTGCACTACACTAGACGACATATGCTGGTTGGGAGCCTGCATAGGAGCCTGGTACATATCAGGGTACCCAGCAGCAGGCGCAGTCCATTGACTGCAGCAGAAAAGCAGGCCGCCGTATATACCTAGAGTGCACAAGGACTGCACGATAGTCTCGGGTGTCCGGGCTGCGATATACCATGGCAAGAAGTCTGCTTCGATGTCGTATCGGATATCGATGATCATGATGGTAATGTTGACGATGAAGAAGAACAGGCTTGCAATCGCGAAGGCAATAGTTCCAGTCTGTGACTCTGTTAGTATGGCTATCAAGGGCCAAGGAGAGCAGACAGGATGACTTACCTTGCCGCTCTGTCGGAGAATATTGGATTTGGTGGAAATAAAGGCCGCCCACAGGAGGATCTCCAGCGAGGCCACCCAGTAGAGGATCGAGCGAGAACCCGTAACTTTCGCGTAATGACTACTGAGGTCGAACACGTCGGAGTCACTGTTGACAAACATGACTTGAAGTGCAATATACATGGAGAAATCCGTAATGGATAGCGCTGTCAAGATGGCCAAAACAGCCCAGTGGACGAAAGTGACTGCAGTAAACGCCTTTGCCCCATTTGCGATGCGCTTGAGATATGTCTGAATGATCTGGTAAAAGGCGTAAAAGAGAAAGAGGAATGCCACTAGATAGAAGATTCTCTGAATCATCAACATGACAACCCAGCTCTGCTTCACGGTAACCTCGAGGATCCAGAAGAACCGGTGAACGATATCGAGAGCGTCGTCACTACAAACAATCACTTGTTAGTCTATTTCGCATTTTAAGTAGCAGCGTACTTACACGAGATAAAAAACTATCGAGGTAATGAGCGCAGTCAAAGGCAGACCTTGAGACTTCCTTATGGGCTTGTTGGCAATGAAGGACCAGACAAGAAATGCCAGGAGCGCTATCAGGAGAAGGAAGTCGAAAATCAAGGTCACTTTTATGGATCCCTTGAAGACAGCAGGATAGTAATTGAAAGAGAACGAGTAGTCCTGGTTCCAAGGAGACGAATCGTCGTAACCCCAACCACTGGAGCCTCCTCCTCCTCCACCTCTGCGGGGGGCCATTGTATCGAGATTGGCTTTATTCTCTACTCAGGAAATATTCAAATGCAGGGGAATGCAGTAAAAGCAAGGAACCCTCAAAATAAAAGGATGACTGCGACGGAGGTCCATTCTGAAGGATTTCATCGGGCTTTTGTACATCCCCAGACACTGCTGTGTGACAACAACACCGACAAGGCTGAGGAGGCTGAGATCTTGGGATACGAGGCTGGAGATTACTGGACGGTGTGATTGGGCGACAATGCAGAGAATACGAGTCTTGGGAGGCTTACAAGAGTCACAATTCACAATTCACCATTCACCAGATTTGAATGTCTAGAGATAACTCCCACGTTGGGCTATTTTAGCCGTGAACGGTGAAGCCATGAGGCTGAGCAGGGACCAACGGCGAGGGAGTCATTCCGATCCAGCATCCCTTTCAGACCCTGATTCAGAAGGACTGGGATGGTTCACTCCTTAATATGCATGGGTTGACTGTTTTGGGCGAGGATAAAGCGTCTCCTTTTCAATTATTAGACCGACCAGGAGGACTAGACAGACTGCGAGAGTCCAGACTGTCTCCAGTCTGGTGATCGACATTCGCTTACCGTGTGCTATTTTGAGTCACAGCGATCGTCTGATCCAGTAGAACAAGATCAGTCGCAGATATGGAGCAATACCATCATTGTAGTATATTGCAGGATGTAGTTATTGTAGTATGATCAAGTGAAGCTGAGAACGTTATATTGTCAGTCTCTTCAGCGCACAGCATAACTCCACAACGCATGAGTTGATAGAGCATAAATCAGCAGAGCAGCAGGCTATGTAGACAGACTGCTGAAGAACAGGAAGATGACTCTATCAGAGAATCATATCCAGGATCTCAACTCTTAAATCTTCAACTCTTCGCAGCTGAACTCGTAGCTCGGAGACTCCGACAGCTGAAGATGCAGAATCTCAGCTGAGTGGGACAGTTCGGTGGATTCGACGGTGAATCGACACAGGGATTGCTTCTCCACGGCCTCACAAACGTGCTGCTATCCTCGAATGAAGACGAAGATGACGATAGTTGCGCGACAGCATGACAGGAACTGACGACCCGCTGTGGCTGTGCTTGCAGGGCCAACACGAGTAGGATGTGGAGGGAAGGGAAGCATGATCTCCTGATGGAGCATCGAATGAACCGTCCGTTGAACTTGATTCGGACGCTGCCAGTCCTCCTCGTGGCTCGATCGCGTCGTGGTCGTTGTCGTCGTCTTCGTTTCTCTTTGTAGTCTCTCTCGCGGACTCCGATGGTGGCAAGACTGCGAGAAATCCTGCCCATCTTCCATCCTCCGCATCATCCATCCATCGTATTTGATTTATTTTTTTCAGCTGCCATGGAGACAGCTGTCCTCGTCCCACAATCTAGTGGACTTTTCACTTCCCTCTTCTCCTATTCTTCAGTCTTCACGGGGCGTTTGCCAGGACCCAATTGATGCTTGCATGACCCGCCACTCCTGAACCTGCAGCCCTGGAGGCAAACGAACGGCTCCATCCAGCACCGACAGAGAGAGACAGAATAAGAAACCCAAAATAATTATATTATAATTATAATAACAACCATGCCGAAATGGACCGGACCCCAGTTGGCCCTGTCCCAGCACAGTGGTTCGTTCGGCTGTGTTGGCCCAATTCCTGCTTGTCGCTGTTTCTCTCTAACTCTCTCCTGAGGATTAGGGGCAAGTCTTGATATAAAAACAACCCAAACACCACGACGTTGCATCGCGACCGACGGTTCTTTGGTCTTATCTGTTTGATTTCACATCCAGATACCGGGGCTGCGTTTTCTCTCGTCGCTAATTTGACTCTCCTCGACTCGCGCCCCCTGAATTTCACCGCATGCGGCCTCCTTGCACCAAAACTTGGTCATCAGTACGGAGGACTTCAGGCTGACTCGACGGTTATTGCGTCAGAGTTACCCCGTTGGATCTCTCACGAGCGGGTGATTACTTGGGACTGTCTCAGATTGCTTTCTTGGGAAGCATCTCGGCCTGTCTTGACCGACTTGTGTTGCTTCATCTGGATACACGATACGTTGAACCGTTAAAAGAGAACAAACGACCCTTGCTTTATGAAAAAGGGAATCGGCCTACTTCTACAATAATTTCGCCGGTGTTTCTCCATCTGTTCTTTCCCAACGTGTTCTAAGGGAGTCACTGGAACGGTTGATATCTACGAACGGGGCACATGGTGCATACTATAAGAATATAGATCACACCACGATCCCATACCGTTGACAAGCCAACGGTGGATAAGAACTTCTTGATCATGCCTCCCACCGGCTCGTCCTTTACGGCCTTGAATCTGCCTTCAACGTTTTCACTGCCTCAATGCATGGAATACTTCACCCTTACCGCCGGCCCCAACACTGATCTCTGGCGAAAACCTCCCAACGGAGACACATCGACCGCCCCGATAGTGTTCACCTCGTTGCGAAATGCGTTTGTCGTGGCCGAGGTTACCGTCAGCGCCGACTGGGAGATGGAATGGGATCAAGGCGGGCTGGTGATCTTCGCCGGGGCTGCACCCCAGTCTTTCTCATCGGACAGTCCCGCCTTTGCATCGCCCACGCGATCGGGCCGGTATGACTATGGACGACTATCGGAAAGCCGACCCTGTAAATGGGTCAAGGCAGGCATGGAGTTCTCATCAGGGACACTCAACGCATCGTCCGTCAGCGCAACGGCGGACGGGGCAGATTGGTGCCAGTCTCCGCTGTGTCTTCCGAATACCGGGTCGACGACGACGGTCCAATCACTGCGCATCAAATTGGAGCGCGTTGGGTATTCGCTCTGGATCTGGTACCAGGTGCCCTCCGCATCACCGTACGCACGAACTCCGGGCGCCGTGAGCAGCACATGGCGGAAGTTGCGGGAAGTGACCTGGTTCTTCTATGGGGTAGAAGACAAGTTTGTGCACGTGGGGGTATATGCGAGTCGACCGACTAGTATTTCACGAGAGGGGACGATGTGGGAGATGATGAATGGGAGGACGTTGAGCAGTTCCGCGACGAGCGACACGGGCGATGGGCTGATGGTGGAATTTGAGGATTTGGAGATATTCTAATGACTGACGCATCTTCTTTCTCTTTTCGTACTTTTTCTTTTTTCTCTCAGATTCTCCCAGATTCTCCAAGTTTTTTTGTTATACCATCTAGCGAGACTGAATTAATTGATTGCTTGATTGACAGCTGATAAGCAAAGTTTATACGACACCCATGACCATGATCAGCAGCGCTACTCGAGCAGCTCAACACCAGTGTGACGCTGCTGCATACATCCAATGAAGACGAGCAGGAATGGGCCATGGCACGAGCTGATCACAGTCTTGCTTCTCGAGGGAGAAATCCGGAGTATTGAGAAACAATAATAAAATGTTCCATGGGTTGAGTACTCCACCACAGAATAAAACACCAGATTTTGAATCCAACTACTCCATACATACTGTAGATGCAAGCATCATCTCATCTCCTGCTTTAGCCAGCTGCACACCATAACGATTTGAGATCAAATGGAGAATTTGCAAATCAATAGTTCGCCGAACGCAAGCAGGGTAAAAAAAAAACATCCCTTTTCTTGACTCATCAGCTGTTTAATATTATTGAAATTTCTCCATAGTGAAGCGGTGGAGCCAAACCGGGAACCAACTATGTATGGTGCCACTCGCAGTCAGAATTTTCTCAACTCCAGGAAAATCAATACGAATGCCGAGTTGGACAAACAGTCAAATCAAGTCAGATAACACAGGAGGGGTAAAAGAGAAAATCACAGTAATTGGATAACTTCTCAGCTTCACCGCATTTTTTCTCTTGCTTTCTGGCTAGGGGATCTGCACGGCATCCAGAAATCATATCATATCATCGCATATCGCATCGTCTCGCAGTGTAACCACCTTGGGTTTCCCCACCACAAAATGAAGCTGAATATCGAATGAGAAGTAAACAGAAAAGAACTAGTCAACTTGAGCCGGCCATCCGAGGCAACGAGAAAAAAGATGCGGCAGATTGCAGAAAGCGATGCTGCTGGATGGGCTTTTCTATCGCTGTGACAACCTCCCTAACAGAACTAGTTTGGCTGCTAAAAAACATCTCCACTGCGCCTGTTCGATGGGGACCGTGTATTATTATTTTTATTATTATTATGAAATTATTATTTTTTTTCTGCTCTGCCGTCATTGAAAGACTCTGCTTCCTTTTTTTCTTTCTCTTCTTCTTCTCCTCCTTTTCTTTCTTCTCCATCCAATAATTCTGATTGCTTATCGCTTACCCCTCCATAAAGAAAAGAAAGAAAGAAAGAGTCTTCCCTCTTTCTCTCACCTCAATTCCCTCTCAGCTCTGAGAGTCCTAATCTGTTCATCTTCCTGTTTATTGTACATTATTTCTCGCGTTTTATCCTCATAATTCTGGTCTTTGTTGCTCTTTTCAATTCTTAATTCCCGTTGTTTGAATCTTTAACGACTTTTACGACTTTTTACGATCATCATGGCTCGTCACAGCAAGAAGAAGTCGGGTTCCAAGAAGGGTGAGTCCTGATTCCCTTATCTACCCCCCTAATTAATACTAATCAATGTCTTAGTAGCCGACCCCGTTATCAACAAAGCTCCTGTCGAGTCCGCTCCTCCTGCCGCGGAAGATACCACCCAAGAAGAGGGTGCCCCGGATACAAACGGCGTCGCTAAGCAGATCGATGAGCCTGTCAAGGAAAACGGAGTGGAAGTGCCTGAGCCCGTCGAGGTTGCTCAAAAAGATACCCCTGCTGTCGAGTCTACACCGGAGGAGCTGTCGGAGAAGCCGGTTGAGGCCGAGACCGATGCCAAGAATGGTGATGCAGATGCAGAGAGCAAGGAGGTTCCCGAACAGCCTGAAAATCCTGTAACAGCCGATAAGCCCGAGGCGGTGGAGGACAAGCCTGTCGAGGTTGCTGAGGCGGAGGAAGTCAAGGAGAACGGCGCGGCTGAAGCTGAGGCGGCTGCTCCGGAACCCGAAGTTGCTCCGGCAGTTGAGGAAAAGACTGCCGAAGAGCCGGCACCAAAGCCGGAGGAAGCTGTCGTTGAAGAGGCCCCCGAGCCTGCCGCTGCCGAGGCAGCTCCTGTTCAGGAACCCGTTGTTGAAAAGCCTGCAGAGACTGTCGAAGAGCCTTCCAAGGAGGATGCTACAGTGGAGGAACCCGCAAAGGAGACTGCCGAGGAGCCTGTGACCGAGAAGCCTGCTGAGTCGACTGCCGAGACACCAGCTGTCGAAGAAACCGCCCCAGAGCCAGTCCAGGAGCCTGCTGCAGAGCCAGCTCCAGTGGACGAGCCAATCGCTGAGAAGGTTGAAGCTGAGGAGAAGGCCCCCGAGGCTGTCGCAGAGCCCGTTGCTGAAGAAACTACCCAGGAAGTCGCTACCGAGGAGCCGGCCAAGGAACCCGCTACAGAACTATCCCAGGAAGCACCTGTCGAAGAATCGAAGGAAACCGAAACAGAGAAGCCAGCCGTGGAAGAACCAACAACCGAGGCTCCCAAGGAACCTGCTACCAAAGCACCTGCAGCTGAGGAACCAGTCACTGAGAAGGTTGAGGCTGAAGAAAAGACTGAAGCTGTCGCAGAGCCCGCAGCTGAGGAACCAGTCAAGGAATCCGCCCCCGAAGAGCCAGTCGCTGAAGCTCCTGCAGCCGAAGAAAAGGCCGCTGAAGAACCAACAAAGGAACCTGAAACCGAAACCCCCGCAGTCGAGGAGCCCGCATTGAAGGAACCCGAACAGCCTATCGTTGAAGAATCTCCTCCCGTCGCCGAAGAGTCTCCCAAGGAGCAAGCAGCCGAAGAAACCACCACCGAAGCTGTTTCCGGAACTCCTGCTGTCGAGGAACCCACTGTTGAACAGCCAGCAACTGAAGAAAAGGCCGTCGAAGAAGTCGCCAAGGATGTTACTGTTGAGGAGCGGGTTGAGAAGCCCGTCGAGGCCGCTGAGGAAGTTACAGAGCCTGCCACTGAGCAGGCACCTGCAGTGGAATCTACAGAGGAACCTGCTGCCAAGGAAACTGTCGAAGACAAGCCTGCCGAAGAACCGGTTCCTGTGCAGTCTGCACCTGTCGATGAGAAGCCTGCTTTTGAGGAGCCAGTTGTCGAAGAACCTGTCAAGGAACCCGCCGTTGAGGAGCCTGTTGCAGAGAAGACTGAAGAGCCTGTTCAGGAACCCGCCTCTGAAGCACCAGTGGCTGAAGAGCCAGCAGTGCCGGAAGCAGTGAAGGAAGAGCCCGTCGCTGAAGCTCCTGCGACTGAGAAGGCAGTTGAGGAACCCGTTTCCGAGGAGCCGGCTCCCGAAAAGGCCGCTGCTGAGGAACCAGTTGCTGAGACGCCCGCTGAAGAGGCAACCCCCGCAGAGCCCGCCGCTGAGGAACCGAAGCCCGAAGAACCCGTTGTTGAGACAGCGGCTGCTGAAGAGACTGCTGAACAACAGGTCGCACAGGAATCTGCACCCGCTGAGGAAGCCCCCAGCAAGGAGCCCGTCGCCGAGGAGCCAGTTGCTGAACCCTTGGCCCCTGCTGAACCCGAGCCAGCTGCTGAAAAGGCTGCTGTTGAGGAGCCCGTCACTCAGGAACCCGTCGCCGAAGTCCCAGTTGCCGAAGAGCCCACCGCTGCTGCTGAAGAATCGGCCCCTAAGGAGGCCGTGGTGGAAGAGCCTGTGCCTGAGCCTGCCGCTGAGGAGCCAGTCGCTGAAGAAACCTCCACTAAGGAAGCTGTTGCTGAGGTGAAACAGGCCGAGGAATCTGCATCTGAACCCGTCGCCGAGCCCGTCGCTGAGCCCGTCGCTGAGCCCGTCGCTGAGCCCGTCGCTGAGCCCGTCGCTGAGCCTGTTGCTGAGCCTGTTGCTGAGCCTGTTGCTGAGCCTGTTGCTGAGCC